GTCATCTGGCCATGGCGCTCGAGTCGATGTACCGTTGTACTCTAGGAGCAGTGTCGAGGTATCATTCCATGCGCCAGTGAACACGATAGATGGATCTCGGTCGTCGACTACAACTGCTCCATCTTGGGGAATAGAGCCAAAGATGGAGTCATCAGTCTCGACGGCAAGATAGTCGAAGAAGAATGTATGATCGGATTCGACGTTGACGTTAACGAGAAGTGTATGCTGGCCATGCGGGAGGACGGGTGAAGTGTAGAAAGGTACATGTGAGAGGGGTCCCTTCACCGACGAGGAGATGTGCGGCATATCTCCCGTAGCATTGATGGGCATACGAGGTTGGTCGTCGATGCTGTATGTCGACGCCGGTAGATTGGTAGGGGACAGGAGCGTCCCGTAGAGCGTAATCCGGGTTCCTGGACAGAAAGGTTAACTAAGAGAGATTGGTTTCTACGAACAAGTGTACCGTTAAAAGTATATGACATTGTTAGGCCAGGGCTCGGGCCGTAATGCATCGTCCTGTTGTATTCGTTGGACGTAGCACTGAATGTGTGTCCCAAAATTTTCCACCCTACTCCCCCGTATACGATTCGATCGTCTGTATCGTCTATCAACACTGTTCTGCCCATCAGACGAACCTGCTGTCAGTCCCGACAGGGATGCTAGGGATTGGACGTCGTGAGAGAGCTCCAGACAAGACCCTTCTTTTGTCCATCGCTTACTGAATCCTGGACTCCAATATTACCGTCGCTTGGTGCCGCTTCTATATCCGATGCCGGCTGTTTGAGGGAGACCAGTGAGTAAACTGTGCCTGAAATCTCAGAGTCAACCCTCTTGTTCAGTTATTTGAGTTCTTTCTCACTTCTCCAGAGTTCGACATTGAACAGCAAATGCAGTGTGGGAACGCCAAGGTTCAATAGCACTCCGCTGATGTCACCTTCTACAACTAACGATAATCAGAGTATCTTGGAGGTAGTAGTACTGGTCTGGGATCATCATCTTCGTCACATGGCTCCAGCCGCACACCTCCATCAACTTCTTGAATCCACTCCTGCCCGGCAGCAGAGGAAGAAACTGAATACCTGGTGCGTTGTATAATTGAGCCTGTGAATCTAGGGGCTCTTCTACTTTCTTCCTGTTCCCCGGATGCAGATGTCGGATGAGAACTGGCCGGCCCCTCGAGAGTATCAATATGCAACCGAGTTATATGTGATGTACGTAGTGTAGGGCCAGCTGAATCTGCTGAGGGACTATTATGGATGCTGGAAGATGACAAGAGTGTGCTTCTGACTCCGTCCACAGTCCCAGTTTGTCCTTGGCTATCATGGTGCCCATTGCGATATTTTAGCGGGAGAACAACAGCGGCGTCCATCCTATCCCCTCCTTGTCTCAATTTAACGACGCTGTTAATCACACGTGGTCACTGAATGCTACTGTGGAACATAGTGGATCACGTACGGTGCATAATGGCCTAAGCCGTTCAGTTTTCCATTCCCCTTGCCATGCGTAAGCACCCTCCTCTTCTTCCATCGGCACCAAAGAACAATGGTACCTAGCAGAGCGATAATAGCTATTCCGACGACGACACCCGCAATGATTGACGGTGTATTAGTCTTCTCACTCTGGGGCTGATGTGTCGAGTTTGTGGTCAATGGTCCAAATGTCACCTCCATACTATTGCCTGTGACTACGGGGTTTGACGCACTGGAGTTGAAACGCAATGTGCTCCCTACGGGGAGGTACACGAAGTTGTCAAAGCGCCATGGGCTCAATGCCTCAGGAAGCGATGAAAGGACTATTTCGTGTTCGCCTCTGTTTTTCCCTGGTATGTCTTGCAGATCTTCGAATAAACAGAGTCGATGGTGTTTGTGTTGGGTGACAGAACCAGAGACCGAAAAGACATCGGTGCGGGTGAAGACTTGGGCATCGCTAGAAGCGGGTTCTCGAGATGGGTCTAGTGTGCAGCTCATAATGGGCAAGGGGCCGTAGTCACCCTGAATCGTCCCGTAGACTGCAATCGCGCTGCCGATGAACGAATAGGATGCGGTCAGGTTCTGACCGACGTTGGCGCGCGATGATGTCGTATCATACTCGAGGAGCCATGGCGTCGAATGGTCCCAGAGCCCTGTATAGACGACGGCTGGGTCCCGGTCGTCTACCGCCACTGCTCCCATGTTGGCCGCGTCGTCATCTACCTCGATGATAAGATAGTCGAAAAAATATGTTTGGTTGACTGCGACATCTACACTGACGTGGAGAGTGTGCTGGCCGTGAGGGAGGATCGGCGAGGTGTAGAAAGGGACATGAGCAAGGGGCCACTTGGTCGTTGACCCAAAATGCGGCATATCACCGGTGGAATTTATGAAAGAGGGGGTCCCTTCGTCAATACTGTACGTTGATGCGGGCAAAGTCAAAGGCGAGACGAATGTACCGAGCACTGTAATTCGAGTTCCTGTTTGACAAGAATACCGTCGTTACTAAACATCAGACAGTATCACAGAATACACACCATTGAACGTATAGGTCATTGTTGACCCTGGATTACGGCTGTAATGCAACGTTTGATTGTACTCGTTTGTTGTGTCGCCGAACGGGCTGAACAACGGCTTCCACCCAATACCATTGTATTGGATCCTCTCGTCCGTGTCGTCTACGAGTACCTTCTTGCCCATGTTCTGAATGCTCTACCCTCTAATATAGTCTCGTACAAAGTCTGTACAGTGTCTGTGCCCAAGAGGGATTACTGCGGTATTCGGCAAAGACTGGATCAGTGAGTATTTATCCCGAGATGAATCTGGATGCCGTTCTCTTGTAGCCGCCCCTGACTTCTCTGTCTCGGCGGCGGCTTCATGAGCTTACTTGTCGTTCCCTGGTACAGAGTTTCGGGTGCGGGTATTCATCGCAGGGAATGCGGTGTGGGATGTCAGAAAAAGGCGTTGATTCCACCTGTGACCCCGATGAGTTCAAGAGAATGTTATACGGCATCTATGTTACAAAACTTGGACATATGTCTTGTGAGAAAGGCATCCAATCTCCGGCCTACACCTTGGCGAGGTGCTGCGTATTCCCAATTCTCATCCGCCTGAGCTCCTGTAGCGGTAATGGAGACTCATCGATATACACCTCTCGCTGATTTGGGTTGAATGTGGGGTATGCGCGAGCTGGTACCGAGTCGACACCCGGTGAGGAGTGTTGATGTTTGCCACGTACGAATCCCAACGAGCCTGCGGTATCAGGTCCTGGCAGGAACATGGCTTGCTCCTCATCAATTGCACCACGGAGCTGAAGGAAGAAACGGGAGATGAGCGCCGTCGAGAGTGGCCACTCAAGTTGGTTGCCAACGAACCACAGGCTGAGCGGTGCAAACTCGTACTATACTCTCTTCAGCGTCTTCTCCTTTGAAAGTTATAGAGACCATACCACTAGGATGCATAACAATCGGACACTGAGTACAGTTATGTACCAGAGGTATCCATCGCGGAACAAGGTTGACATCAGCCGTGTTCTGAGCAGATTATGCTCCTTCCTTCTTTGAAAGTGGTTAAATATCTGTAAAAGCATGATACCTGTTTCAGCTGCCAGCTATAGGATCTAGTTAATTTCCGGGACTGGCTCAGGTAATCAAGACGTACAGGTGGGATGTAAATGACCTTGATCAGAGGATCCGGGATGGTGTAGCATGACTGTTTGAATCAAGATATTTGAGATACGCTGCCAACAGTAAGTGCCGTCGACTACTCAACAAACGGGCCACGTACGCACGAAACGTGACATAGAGATTCCAACAAGAACAAAAAGTATGCTATGGCATACCCCTAGGTAGGCATATAGTGCCAAACGGACCCGGATGTTGTTCCTGTAAAGTGCAAGTACTCGAAGGGCCAGCTAGGATATGTAAGTCGCCATGATTAAAACTCGACATTGAACTGACTAACTGAATTCCGACGATAATAGATATGCCCTGTATCAAAGCATTGGCAGGTATGAAGATTCGGCAGCTTCGTCGCATAAGTATACCCGTCACACTACGCACTTTGCACTCACAACTACAGAATCATCAGAAACATCGTCTTTGACGAGGCATGTCAGCGTACCGTGTCGGTTAGCGGTCCCCTAATCGCAGCTATATCTATAAGCGCGATTGAGAGCCATTACCAGGTTACCAAAGTACTCACGAAAATTCGAGAAGACAATCCATGGGACGACGAGGTATCGATTCTACGTATAAACTCAATTCTACCTCACTCCCGGCCCCAATGGGACGTACCCAGAGAAACATGAGTTTCACTGCATTGAATGTCTGCTTGCCGCTCCAAATGTACTTGATCTCCTGGAGCATCTGAATTTGACTAGTTAAGAAGAGAGGTATGCATGGCCGTACCTCCGGAAAAGTAAGGACAAAATCGTAAAGGAGCACTACCATTCCCGCGCCACAGGTATAACTTGAAACTCGAATATTGTAGAAATCCTTGAAGAATTGTTGTAGTGCAAATGACATTTTGTCGCAGAGTAAGAGGTACGTCGGAGAGGAACTCCAGGTCGCGTCGAGAAAGGGGAGGAGGAGAGAACGAACTGTGCATATTCGAGTACGATCTTATGTAGTACTACCACAATGAGTCGTCCAATGATATACGAGGCCGGAGATGATTTCGAATACCGAGGCCGAGGAAGCCGTTGTCGAAGGCTAATGTTGCCGGAGGCTAATCGCTATTTCGAGAGCTCGGCCGTCGACAAATCATCAGCTTCGTCCAGCAGGAATTTCGTCTTCTGGGCGTAATGCAATATGACTAAATCTTCGTCTTTCGTATTTATTTGGCGGAACGGACTAGGGGCTCGCGCTGATGTCAGTGCCGATGGAAATATCTAAAACAACTCTAAAATCGCGGTTATCCTCAGATGCCAATGTGTTTTGGCATCCCCTCGGGGGCCATAGAGCGAATGGATGACATCCGCCAAACTGAGCCGCAAGTCGGTTCCTGACGTGGCGTGAGAAATGTAGATCTTTGTGACAGTTCGCTTCGGACCCGAGAAAAAGGTCGTCGTGGCAAACACCGTCTCAACTCTGCTGAGGCACGTGCGGTAAAAGGGCAGAAATATTGAGGTGATACACCTTGCGCTTAGATAGCCGAACAATTACCAATGCTCTGCGCCCCGGGCCACTGAAACAACTTTGGTTGCGCCTAAAATCAAGGTGAATATTTAAAAATGGCGTCCAGAGGACGCTGTGCTTTGGATACATAATATCTCATACTCAATTCCTTGCACAGCGGAGTTGAATCTGAGTTTTACCCAGTTCCTGAAACCTGCTATTGGATCCTAGGGGGTCTGTTATCTGTATCGAGTTAACTCAAGCCTTTCTCCGCAGTCAACTCCAATGGGGTACCCCTCTTTCACAAAGAGGATGTAGCCACTGATCGAATGACGAGCGCTCTAGTGTATCGTAGCTTGGCCCCAAATCAACGGTTGTTATCAGCATCGCATCTTCTCTACGAGTAGAAGTACTCTTCGGGGAGGGCTGCCTCCGTTTTTATTCGAACGTCTCAGGCTCACGCGATTTGGGCGGCTGCACCACGAATGCATCGGGTTACTAACGGGATCTGTGCAAGAGAATAAGAAATATAAATTATCGCCTATGTCCCAGATAAATTGAGAAAACGTGTTCAGAGAGACTGGGCATGCTCCGCGTCTGGATGCATGGGGTCAGGGTACCAGAAAATACCATGGACCACAAATGTAGCACGAGCCAAAAAAGGCGCTTTTCCATGTACGGACATCGCATACCATGCGTTCGGATGCGTGCAGAGGTCCCATCACACAAGCATTTCAAACTCCTGCGGCGCGTGACGTGAACAAGAGGGATCAACGCGGGTTTTGAGTGACTAGATGGATCCAGGATATCGTAATATGAATTGGGCGGGAGTCCAGACTTCCTCCGACGGTCAGGAACCAGGGAGGGGTTGGGAAACCGTCCGCGCAGACGCCATACTTGCAAGCTGATTTTAATTCTGGTAGAGAAAATGGCCGTCAGAAGTGTGTATATCGGAATCAGAGATCCCTGCCTTGTCATAATTGTACGACTTGCTGAGACGCATCGGATATCGCTGGCATGCTGAAATAGGCACCTTGAGGATCATTGGGAGGATGTGTCATGAGAGATGGTTGCGGAGCACGTATCAGCGATTCGGTCAACAAGTTTCTCGTCTCGCTCGTCGCAGAGATGTTAATGTGACCGCGATCCGCCTGGGGCACAACCTTGCTCAGCAATCCGTCCAACGAGAATATAAATAGGATCAACACACCAATTTCTCTGTGATGACTTCCAAAGCAGCCCCACAGCTCTCCCAAGCAAACAGCTTGTACGAGTCTCGTCTGGTAAACCACGTCTGGAGCCGCACGTGCAGCTCAGAATGCGTCGCAGGACCGACGACAAGGAATCCATAATTGATAGCGGGTCTTGTATCCCATCCTCTGCGAATGTTGGCCCGCATTTTCCTGTCGGTTACGTTGATGCCAGTCTGGAAGCGGTAGCACACGAAGAGATCTGCACTGGTGATATAGTACGCGTTCTCGTATCGGATGCAGGAGATGATGTTTTCATCTTCCTCTTGCATGGCTACCGCCGCGGGAACGACATGGCCGTTCGAGTCCAAGAGACGCCTCCCGCGCGAGATCTCATCCGCCGTCCAGTTCTGCGTCGCTCGTTGCCAGCTCTCCGCTGTGATGGGCATGGAATTCGCGGTGAGGAGGAAAGGAACAGGGAAGGGATGGCGGCGCGACCCAGACCCAGAGCCACCAACCTATCATACCCACGAAATCTATCCCGGACGGTCGTCCTCTAGCGCGCCACTATTCGGAACCGCTGGATTACGTGCCAGAAGAAAACGAAAGGGGCAATTGGTTTCAGGAACAATTGCTTTCTGATAGGCTAGTCCTTGCACTCTTTCTTTTGCTCCAAGGCCAGACAATCAATAGTGCCCTACTCGTTAACACTGCGCCCTTCCAGCGTATACACTTACTTGATTCGCAAGGTTTTGGGGGGTCAATATCGTGGCAATCGAACACTATGTGCGTTAAATACACGGATATGGCTCGCGGCGATTGGTTGCGACACCGTCGGCCAAGTAGGAAAGTCAAGAAAGAATGTTGAGGTATATTGGATGCAAGCTTCTAGGGTGTGAGTACGCACGACAGACAGGGCACTCGGGCTTGTGCTGAACGGCAGCCGTAACACACTGTGAATCGAGTGAATACATGTAAGAGCCCGGTGAGCTCCGTTGGAGGTACCTACCTCTTTGCAAAAAACGTGACCGCAAAGCGTTGACGTAAGGGCCTCCGCCCGGTCTAGACACAGGGGGCAGGTCACTGTGATGGCCGGCTTGGTAGTGGTGGGATTTTTAGACGAGCTGGGAGCAATCCCTCCAACGGAGGTGGGAACTTGAGACGTTGCGGCAATCGGAGAGCCCTCGGGACCCCGGATTGTGGACAGAGATGTGTCTGCTGCTGACGCCGCTGACGCTGTTGTGGCTTGGCGACGAGCTGCGGCCTCTGCAGCCCTAGCTGCTGCATACGCGCGAGTGAACACCGGAGGTGGTGAGGGTGGCGTCAGACCTTGCCCGCCCACTCGTTGAACAGTTTCAGGCTGACGATGGCCAGACTCTGCATGTGCCTATCATGCAAACATTAGATGAAATTATCTTTTCTCGAAGTTTGAGCATACCCTCAGATCATCGACACGGTCAAAATCAATCTTGCACGCCAGACAGTAAAACGGGTGTTGCGAACTCTGCCTCAAGTGGGATTCGAGACCTTGTTGGGTCATAAACGTGCGGTCACATCTTTGACAATACGGAACTGCTGCTGGGTCGGGAACATTGCGACCTGATAGATGAGAATTGTCTGAGATGGAACCATCGTCAATTTCGCTCTCGCTCCAGTTCTGGGAGCTCGAGCCATAACCACTGCCATAGGTATCGTAGTGGTCGTGGTCGTGATATCGATCTCCTCCAATCCAAGTAACCATGTCGTCCATATATGTGGGGCCATGATCGTCGTCGCTCCACCATCCGTCATCGTAATGTTCTTGATAGCCCCACGCTACCAGTCCCTCGTCTGACAATGTCCCTGCTGATTCGTCGTAGTCATCTTCCGACGCCGTACATCCACACTAAAATGGGGCGGGTCAGTTGAACCGCCGGTTCGGAAGGCGATACTCACGTTATTCATCTCGTGTCTCGTCTCATGATCATAGTTGCAGTGATTACAGACGTGGTGTCTGGGTGAGTCTCGGACGTGCTGTACAAGCGCGTATGCATTCCGAAAGGTGCGTGAGCAACGAACACAGGTCCGAGATCCAGTCTGTGGTCTTGAACCCTGATTCCTGTTCATCTCAGCGGCTTCTCTATGTGGTGTTAGCGCCGTTTTCAGCTCTCCTGCGAACGTAGCGCGGGCCAAGTTGCTTGCCACCTAGCGACCCAACTGTACATTAAATCCACGAGACTACATTTTACCAAATGCAAGTCCTCTAATTGTCAGGATTGCTGGTTATGAGTTGTATTCCCGCATAGCTAACCTATCCATCAACAGTTGATCTCATCGTGCCGTATCTGATATACAAAACTGAATGATCATATAGAAATTTAATGCGAACTGGGTCTAGACTACCAATACGCGCCTGGCACAAACGTTGCACCCAGCCGCCTCCACCCTCGACACTCAAAGCATGTCCGACGATTTTTTACTCGATGATGAGCTGTACGAGCTCGCGACAGGAGGTGACAAGAAGCGGAAGAAGAGACCGTCCGAGGGCAAGAGCTCGCGAAAGCGGGCGAGGACAGAGTGGGTGCAGCTGGAAACTTGATTTACATGCTGCTGCTAATATATGAACTCTCCAATCGGCGGAATAACAGCTTGGGTGGCTCGGATATGGACGACAGCGACGAAGGAACCGACGCGGAGAATCCGTATCCATTCGAAGGCAAATACAAGAGCTTCAAAGAGAAAATGGAGTACGACACGGTTCCGTCGAATATCAGTTTGCTCATCTTTTGTTACTTAGGCTCGAGGAACTTCCTGAAATGGAGAGAGAATCTATCCTCGCCCAACGGTTAGAAGAGATGCAGCGAATAGCAGATAGGCACAACCTCTCCAAGCTCATGGCGAACAGAGGAGATGGTGGTGGATTGGCAGACGATAGTGTTGCGCAAGCTGCGAAGCGTAAGTACTCCGAGCGCCATGTTGAAATAGCTCACCGTGTTCGATATGTGACAGGTAAACGGAATATGACCAACTCAGCTCGAGAAAAGGCGAGCACCCGAGATGCATTGAAAGCCAGTCGAAAAGCGAGGGAAGAACGACGGGCTCATCACGTAGGATCACTTTCTCCAATATCGCGATACCTAATTTGCTTGTAGACTCCCGGGACTCGCGAATCACCCTCCAAACGGCGAAGGAGCTCGTCTTCAGCTTCGTCAGATATGAACATGAGCACGGACGAGGAAGAGAAGCCTCGATCGAGAAAACGAAGTGAGAATAAAGTGGAAGAAGACAACCGGGACATTACAGTGCAAGACCTTGGTAGGCTTCAGCTCACGCGGACCCAACTCGCGAAGGAGTATATGAAGCCGTGGTTTGAGGAGTATGTCACAGGTTAGACTATACTAATCCCCGCGGACTACATTTAACATTCACTTCAGGCGCCTGGGTACGATATCTGATTGGGTCCAACGAGGGGAAAGCCGTCTACCGAATATGCGAGATAAAGTGTGAGCTTGCTTTAGTAAAGACCTCCGGCTGTTTCACTGAACGGACTAAAGCTATCGGCTCGCGGACTGTCCTCCCGTATACGGTTGAGAATGTGACCATGAACCAGCAACTCGAGCTCGCGTTTGCCAAAAGCACGCGCTTGTTCAATATGGACAAAGTGTCGAATAGTGCGTTCACCGAGGTAAGCAATCTTCCAATTACATGATAGGCTCTTACACGGTTGCAGCGCGAGTTTGATCGATTAGTTGCGACTTGCAAGCAGGAGCGTTGCCTCTTCCAAAGCCTTCTCAGATTCAAGAGAAGAGACAAGGCATGAAAGCATGTGAAGCGCGCAATCTCACAGAGGTTGGACCGTTTCCCGACGTACTAAATACCCACTTATCCTCATCCTTAGGCGGACGTCGCTGCTATGATTGCCCGTCGACGAACGATCAACCCCAACGAAGTGAGCTTCTCGCAGCGGATTGCAGAGGGCAGTCGGATCCGTCAAGAGCTCAACGCAGCGCTGGCGCGAAGTGACAATGCCGAAGTCACCAGGTTGCGCGCCGAACTCGACGCCTACAATGCAAAATATGGCGAGAATGATAGTGCATACTCCGGAAGCGAACATGAAATCGCGCGCAGGCCTGGTATAAAGCGCGAGAATAGCGCAGCAGGAAGTGGTGCAGAGTCACTTCTCGAAGAACTCTCAAGGCGTAACAGGCAGTTGAATCACGAACATGCGCGCAAAGTCCAGATAGCTGATGCAGAAAGGAGACGAAGGGCGCACCAAGAACGCCTAAAGGAGGAGGCTGCAAAGGCTGCGTGAGTATTCGCTTCTCTCCGCAATATCTTTACACTAACGTATCACAGTGCCGCTCAGAAGGATGGATCAGATATTAACGTTCAGAAGATGGAAGATGTCGTTGATAAAAACCCTGACTTGGCCAACAAAGACATTGGGACGAAAATGGCGCATATGGTCGAGATTGACCTGCCGGACTTTTGACGCAGTTTTACGACTACGATTACAATATAGCTTTCCACCATACACTACTTTTGGATCAGGCTGTCTACTTTCTCCGTCGTCGCTCGTTTGGATTCTTTCGACCCATACCAATGGTGGGCAATGCGTGCAGATCTTGTCGCTTACCAGCACCAACAAGCATATCTGGGATCCAATCTGGGTCATTCCAGTCCCCCACTTTAACGCTCCCCGCGTTGCTATTGGGCGAGTCGGCTTGCATAACGGTCTTCATGAGCTTATCATGTTCCCGCTTCTCTCTCTTTGCCTCTTTCTCGACCGCCTTCATATACTCCTGCTGGTCCTCTCGTAGGATGATCCCAGTACCGCTGCCTGTCTTAGAGGTGCCCGGCTTTGGCATTGGGATAGAGTATTTTGTGCCTCTGGTTCGGTATTGGAAGTTGTTTTTCAGATGGATCTGCACCTTTGCCTGTCCACCTGGTGTCGTAGGAGCGGTTGTAGAAATGGTCGTGCGTAATAGAGAAGGATTTCCACAGGATGGACAGAATTTTTTTGAAGAGTCTTTACAAATTCTACACCCAAGTCAATATACTTCCCTAGACGGAGGAAAGACTCACTTGAAGCAGGCATGGCAACGAAGCACCCAGCTCTTTACGCTCGATATCCGCGTACCTTCGACGCCAACGAGGTTGAGACCCATGTGCAGCAGAACATTTTGCATGGCGTAATCTGCTGTCATGCAGCCCACAACCACTGGTTCTGCGTCGACTGGTTTCTTCTTGGATTTTTGATTCGCTGCGTCCGGTAGCAGATCAAGTGCTCGTGACTTGTGCAATGCAACGTTGGTTGGCGTGATCCATTCTCCTTGACCATCATCCTCGTCAGAGGGGTCGTCGTAGAGTGGTTCGTCTTCGTGCGTCGTGTCCTTAGCGGCAGGAACCTTGCTTTCCTTGGATCCATGGATCTCTGAGGAGAGCGGTAGCCTTTCGAACTCTGCCGCTAATTCGTCTAGTTCCTTCTCGTTCATAACCTGCTCTTCCACTTTGTCGCAGTCTTCCGATATTCGAAGTGCATCCTCGCGAGTTTTGCTCTCTGCTGATGTACCTATTTCCTGGATTAATTTAGAAAGTTGCCAAAAACGATGAGGGTGGTAACGTACATCTTTGGTCGCTGCGTTACGAGCCATATACTCTTGATGAAGAGCATATGTAAGCGCAATAACGTATAAATCCGCGGTTGAAAGTACTGAGTAGTCGCCCGACTTTTTGGCCGCGAGGGTTACTATCGATGGGTGGCATTCGGGTCAGCGTCATCCGGGCCAAGTTCAAGTCGTGAAAATAATCTTTTATAAATGAATTACGCACCGTGAGCTATCGCAGCAGTATCTGGGACCCTCGTTTCAACTTTTACACCTGCAGAGAGACCTAGATTCTGGAAGTGCGTCCGCGATTTCTCATCCTTTAGTTCTCCTAGGACTTGGGGGACGGTATAGTATTCTTTTGCGAGCCCTCTTAACGGTGCTAGGGACAGAAGCGGACCTGCGTCGAGGACCAAAGCTTGAACGCGCGGACTGGTCGAGGCCATGACAAATGTAGAGGAATATCAGGGAAATCTTCTGAAGTTTGTCTGTAGTGGATTCTGTCTTGATTGCACTCGACGGAAACGTCGGAAAGAGTGAGGTCCAAGTTTGTCGTATTGATATTCAACTAAGCCGTGGGGCTGAAGTAGAGTTTCCTCTCCCCGATGATACGAGAATCTCTTCGGGGCGATTTACATTCCCTTTGTCGCCCCTTGCGATACGTTATTGGAAGTCGGGACAGTGCGAAGTCTCATCGGTGACTGACCATTATGCTGAATTCAGATCAGGAAGGATAAGCGATGCGAGGGATGTAAAGCCGCATGCCTCCATTCATGCCGAAATGAACAAGGAGAATCAGGCCCAACCGAAGGACCTCATCGCCCAGATAACGATAAAGTTGACGGGTGTTGCAAATCTCATCCCAAGACACCTCAATACTTTATCTCCAAAGACAGTCTACCACTTTGAGTATTTGTTCTAATATCCTCAAATAGACCTTAGTTTGACGAGGCTTGTAACGCCACTCATCCATAATTTCGACACCTATTTTACAGCACATAAGACATAAACAAACACCAGAGTAAATTACCCTCGCGACGATCGGTGGATACCACCAACGTCGGGACTGATACTCATTTGGCCAAAGGATTCTGCAACCTGGAGTCTTTCTAGCGTATTTCCGCGTTCCCGAACGGATCCAAGTTCCATTGCGACACCATAAGTGGCATCTTCATCCGAGCCTTCGTCCGAGCTCTCCGAATTCTCCTCTTCTTGGTTATCAGAGTCTCCCTCGCCACCTCGAGGGGCAGATCCAACAGCCAGAATATTCTCTTCCTCATCATCAGACTCTTCTTCTTCCTCGTCGTCCTCGATTGCGACCATTGACCAATCACGATAGGTCCCTTCGAACCATTTGCTGCTAGTGGGAAGTCTGTACGGGTCGAATGGGAAGAAGGCTTGAAGGTCTGTCATGACAGAGAGGACAGCAGATGAGTTCCATGCATTGAGAGGTGTTCCAGACGCGGCTAGGTTGCCATTCGAGGAGTCACCCACAGGCGTGAGTGGCGCGAGAGCGAGAGCCGGCTGAGAGGTCATTAGACTCAGTGATCGCTTGTTGCCTTCAATAATCGATCGGCAGTAGGCAAACCCCGCCTTTTCCGATACTCGTGAAAATTGATGAACGACATTGGGGGAGCAGATCTGTCGTGGAATTTAGATGATTCCGATATGAGGAATAAGGGAAGCGTACCTTGAGAGGATTGAGAGGGCTTGTGATGAGCCGTTGTACGACATTGAGTTCGTGGATCCACTTTTTGGGTGCCTCCTCAGCCTCGTCTGGGTCGTCCTCTGTCGACTGCTCCAACAGGTCTCGCCAGCGAAAGCAAAAGATGAGAAATATTGCTTGAGCCACCGCGTAGAAGACGCCCAGTTCGTCGTGAGCATTGACGGTCGCCGCATCCAGCGGGGCGGAACTTCCCGACATGAGGGCTTCGAGCTCTTCCATATGACCATCAGCCCACTGACAGCAAACGATGACGACACTTCTACAATCATCCTTCCCGATACACAGCGCGCGTGAGACAAAGCTGGAAAGATAGGCGGCGGAAGCAATGCGAGTGAGCATGGGAATTGGAGGGGTTTGAGGAACCAGCGCGTTGTGGAGCAGGGATCCTAGGAAAATGTCGGCGTGAGCGTTAGGCGGGTTCTGCTGTACTTGGGTATGTAGTGGTGCTGATTCGTTGGACACGAGCGTTGACTGGGCCCAGGGTGAGGAGACAATGTAAAAGAGGAGAAATTGGGTGTAACGTGATTTGAAAGTCGTCAGGATAATACGATCGAAGATGGCTAGGAGTGTAACGAAGTGTGGATGCTGGGTGGCAGCTGAACCGTCGGATGGCTCTGGCGTCGTCTTTTCGAGCCACCGGAGGAGAATGTTCATCATCCCGTCTAGCTTGGCGACCATCTCCTTCACTCTAAGAGCGCGCTTCTCCGCCTCTTTTGGATCGACCACGTCGTCATCCCGCTCGTCGTTATCCGCCTCTGATGAGACGTCGCTAAAGGTATCGATATTCTGCAGCTTCGCCATTGCTTCCTCCTCTCCATCTTCTTCATCGTCAGAGTCGGATTCTTGGCCCGCTAGAATGTCGAATGGATCGAAGTCAGCGAGAAGGCCGGTTCCTGACTGAACGGCTCCACTCGATTCGTTTGATGCGGTGAGTTCCTCTAGCTCCTCTAACTCCACTTGAATCTCGACGTCTATACCGACAGCACGCTCAATCATGAGCGACAGGACTGGCTCGACAAGCTGCGAGATATCAATATTGACGAGACAATGTTAGGAGTTTCACACCTGAGAACAATAGCTCATGATCTCGACCAAGTTTTTGCAGTAGACTGTAAGACTGGTGGTAGACTGAGCCTTGTGTGGGAAGTGACGGAGGAGATGGGTAGGCAGAGTTGCCGGCAAAGTTGGGAATAATTCGAGCAAGCTCTGAATGAGAAGGTGTACGCGATTGAACACACTCCTGAGTGGTACAGGGGTCGGAGTCGGAGTCGACTGTGAGGCTCGGGGGGGTGCGTTCAATGGGCAATCTGTCACATTGTCAGTGGACTTTTCGGTGCCGAGTGCTTGACTCACGATGGGTCAGCCGACGAGCAGCACTCGCGACAACAATCGAAAGCCACTCTGTGCGCGCACTAACCAGCATTCCAATGAAACTGATGTAGCACTTTACAAATGCCTCGTCGTGGTTTGTCGTCCATGGCATGTAGACGAGGGCTTCTACCAGCGCTGCATGTCGCTTATCTATTTGGGAAACGACATGTGATAGGGCGAGAATCCAACGTTTGAGTTGGGAATAATCTGCTTGGGTGGTGGAAAATTGCGCCACAAGCTCGTCAAATGGACCAGAATTACCCTATGAAGGGGAAATGAAAGTAAACGTCATGAGACGGTAAAGATGCGTCAACAAACTCACTAGGACTTTGGCTTTGAGCGCGTTGTTCACAAATGCAAGATACATATCCCGTTTGTTCTGTTCATCTCGTCTGATGCGCGAGTTGGATGCAATCTTACGACCCCCATTTGGAATAGAAAGGTCCGTAGTTTTCTTCTTTTCTATTGTCATTTCCTTGGTTGTGGCGAGGGAGGCGGCGGTGAGGTCTGGAGCCTGAAGCAAGCCATTTTTGGAGGGCTTCAAGGACGACATGTCCTTTTCAATGTTATTTCGAGTCGATACTGTTGCTTTTGAGCGTGACGATGGCGTTTTGGAGAGGGCCGCTGGTCGTTGTCGGGAGGAGGATGATTTTGTTGAAACGTGCTGAGTTGGAACACCCATTGGACCCGACATGATGCTGAAAATTGGACGATCGTGTGGTTATACAGATAATGGTCGAATTAGAAGCTGAGGAGGAGGGAAATACTGTAAGCCCAATCACCGAAAGAAGGTAAACTGCATATTTATAGAGTATGCATACCCAAATGTAATGGCAGTTTGGCAGACACTGCGGCGTGGGCTCGCCGAATGGTCGTGTGGAGATGAAAAAAGTAGATACTGGACGGGCGGTAATAGAAATAAGGGAGTATAACACGGTCAATATGCTAATTCTCAAGTATCGGCAGAGAATCGAGCAAATTTTGAGGACTCGCCGGCCAAACAGGGAGATGGTCAGTAGTCAAGAGAGTGGCAACGATGACAAGGGGCTCGATTGAAAAAGTAGCGTACAGAGGATTGCTAAGCTACAGAGAATATAAGAATACTGCATACTAATTTCCAACAGACTGGGCCTATTGACTTCCGACCCAGAAGACGGTGACTTGGTACTTGGCCGCGCTTCCATACCATTTTGCAGCTTGCGCAAAGAATTCGATAGTCCCACCTTTCACGGCGAACGATGGTAATTTGGTGATACGCCACCAGCCGTTATTACCGGAGAGGTTTCCCGAGGAAACCGTGTATATCCGACGATTCGGGACGCTGCGTTGTATATTTGTTCTGGAGGAGGTTGTTCACTACTACCACGTCGTGAATTGTGTCGCATTGACACTGGCGGGAAGACAAGGGGTGAAGTAGAATGTTGGGCGTCTGTCAGCTCTGACGTCCAGGTCTGTATGTTGATCGTCGGATGCGGAGACTCTTGATGTGTATAGCCGTACGACCATAGCTCTGTCGTATCTGAGCACACCCACGAATCGCTGTGGAGAAGATGAGACCAGCTAAAGTATCAGTAGCAAATGCTTACCCTCCGGTCCCCATCTTCTTGACCATGTCGAGGAACTGCACGTAGACTCCACTCTCCATTTGGCGTTTGAGTTCCTCCTTTTCATCCACGCATGTTCCCAGGTCATGGGTAACATCATTCAGCTTGCCCTTCAGCGTCAATGCATCTTTCTGACACGTATCCAGCATCCCTTCCACAAGGTCAACGCGCTCCGCCAACCGCTTTTCGCTTTCCCGACAGATATCAACCCTCGATCTCTCGTCCTGGAGTTCCGTAGCAAGCCGTGTTGTATTGTCAGTGCATGTAGAAAGCGACCGTGAGAGTCTCGAGACTTGATGCGTGAGATTTGTAATGGTCTCCAATGAGGAAGATGGCGGTAGGTTGGCTCGTAGGTTCAAGGTCATGATAAAAAAGACCAGTGAAGGAATGAAGAGGATGACTGGGATACCTAGCAATACTCCATAGCCAAAGTCTCGCTTGACCCACGAAGGAACGAAGCGCCACTTGTTAACGGCGCTCTCGCCCTCTCCTTCATCGCCTTCGTGATCTCTTGCTCGATTTTGGTCTCTCGCATCGTCCAAAAGAGGCGTAGCCCTTATAGGGGCGATATGTCAGTGCACGTTCAAAGTGATGACAATGGCGCTCACTCTGTTGCCGGCCTATTCGCTTCGAAAGAAGCATTTGATGAGTTTATATTTCCGATAGTGTCGCTTTGCTGATCTTTGGACATTCTCTTCGGCGCAACTTGGAGCAGATAAGGCTCTAACCGTGAGTGACAAGCGATTGGGTGCTGGGAATCGACGTAGAAATGATCTTAATAAGCTCTTTGTGAATATAGTGTCGAAATAATGCGAGATCGCGCAGGTTTGTTCGTCGAATGTCCACCCGGGTGCGGTTCCAAGTGGCAACTACCACCAAGCAAGGTGAACCATAGAACTAGATAGCGTAGTTTATAGATAATATATGAAACGAATATTCACTAAATGACACTTGTGCCTGTCCGCGGAGTAGCACACACGCGGCTGACCAGGCTATCGGTCTCCCTCTCAGTTCGGAAATAACGGATCATCACGTACATAAGATCTTCGACCATTATCTGGGAGTAGATTAGCTAATTTCTACGTCTTACGGAAAATATCACCTCGATAGTATTGTCGCATCTAAATTCACCATTACCGAGCCTCAGCACGAGCAATCCATATCTTCGTCGAGCTCCTGTGTTGTGACCTGAAAGCCTCTCTACGTATTCACACAGGTCTCGAAGGAGATAGAGGTTGCTACGAGCGACCGTGGAGAGAATGGTCTTTACTAGAAGGCCAACTTGTTCAACAATCGATGTATATTTACTCCCTTCACTTACATCGTCTATGCCTGAGCCCAAAGGCTGCAAAGTCCTGTTCCGTGATAGGCAAAAGTGGCTCGGGTAGACCCCTCAAGTACGTCTGTGCAGATGATCAGACTGAGCATCCAAAACTAAGACTCTGTTAGTACCTCGAGGAGAGCGTCACGCGTCTTGTATGACAATTGTCGAACCAAGGCAGCATTATCGTTGGCATTGGTCAGCCAATTGGACTCGAGGAAACGCACAGGCTACAATTTAGTGAGGAAGCTGAGTAAAGGAGATTGCACAACATACGTCCTTGATATTTGGGTTCGTATCTTTTTGCTTCCAATTCGTTAGCCAAACGGTTCATGAAATGACAACTGTCCATACTGCAAACGAAGCTCCCTCTCGTGAAGCCTTCACTATCGTGTGAAGAATAGTGAGATCTAAATCATTCTCGTTCGCCAAGCTGTTTCCGAAAAGCATCTCTCTCCTCTCGCCGCTTGATGGGTCGATGTAGGGTCGAGGGCAATATAGCGTCTCCGCGATTTCCAGTTGGAACGAGTGATTGAGATTAGCGGAAAGTCGTAGTGGAGACACGCGTTCGTGGAGCAAAGTTTCGAAACGAGAACAGCGAACGGAGGCAGTCGCAGCCTGCTCGCTACACACTCCCTTAGTCTGTGCGAAAAGAGAGTAAAATACTAACACTTGAGAACAGATAAAGCGTTGGGTAGATGCTTGAAGGAGTACGAAAATATCGTGTTGTGCCTCGATCAGACTCTGCAGTTATGAGTGTTAGGAGTCCAAGTTTTGGAGGTTGGGGACTGACAGGAATCGAACTGCGCGCCTCTTCTACAAACAGGCGTCTAACACAATACAAATTTGAAAGATTATGTCGATATGCCAGATCTGTTGCGGACATAAGGCACCAAAGGACGAAACTCGACAACGACATACTAATTGTGTCCAACAAGTTATAGCTTTGTGAGGGTCCCTTCTGGCGTGATCCTACAGAGGTTGAAATCTTGTCCCTAATATCCCGCAAACAGCTATGCTTAAAAGTAGTCAGCTTTGGTGACAAAAGAAGGATGCTTAGGTCAGACCCGTCGTCTCGTTACACCCGGTTGAGCAAGTTCGAAGGATTTCTCAACTTCCAAATATGCGTTCTGAAGACTGCCGTCAAAGACTACCGTTTCGGGGGTGGTGAGGTCCGTCTACGTGGGTGAGATCCGCGTTCAGAGATCATAGAGTACTCACGGCTTTCTCGAGAAGAGATTCAAATTCTTCTCGCAGAGCAAGTGCGCGGTTCCAGCGCATCGTATACTCTACAATTAATTATGTATCAGCGGTGCAAGTAGTGACTAATCCCTAGAAACTAGATACCATCTTTAAGCATGTTGATGAAATAGACCCACATGCGTTCAAGTTGCAAGTCTTTCTTACTAATCTTCGCCCAGAGCGCCGTCATGTCTGCAAGGAGACACCTCGTACTAGCAATACTAGAGCATGGAGGTTGAGTCATCTATGAGCTCGATGTTACTTCTTACTGTTGAATCTCTAGCTCATTTCTAAAGGATAAGGTCGACTGTACTGCAAGGTAAGCGGAGCCGGGGCTCACCTTTGAAAGTGGAGAAGGGCAAAAATCCTCATCGCGAGCTTGTTTGAACCCATCTCTCGACTAATAGATAGTCGATTTGGCGGTTGAGTATCATCAATGTCTAGGGTTCGCGACTTGGTAAAGCTGCGCATATCTGAGAAGAGGGCGGCTGTTGCATTCTAGTCCGTGCTATATAATATTCTAGAGCAAACCGACGGTTAATGAAGCGTGAGAATAGCAAACGTCCGACAGATATTTGATAGTTACTACGCTATTGGTTAGGTGTTGCTAGACGCTGACACGCGTCGGCTATGATGTGTCAGGATCCGTGTATTGACAAGCCTGACCGCCTCTTGTGGATCCGAGATGAAGAATGCAAAACTATTCGCCAAGACTTCAGGGACCAACTTTGCTCTCTTATTTCTCATACGCTCCAATAGGATACACTGGCTATATATTATGACTCTGTGGGTGCCAGCCCTTCTCAATCAATTGTTTCATGCATCCAACGTGGCTGGGAGCAGCCCTATGACTGCGGAGGAGGGGAGATGTCCAGCACAGTCTCCTCCAACTCTTTTCTAAAATAAGCGATCATCTGACGCATGAGAGTAACAATTGTTTTCTGAAAGAGGATATTGAGTCGGGAATGAAACCGATCCGGCGCTAGACTTACCTCATTTGAAGCGTCACTCATCAGGTTGCTACTCGCTCTGATAATCAAAACTCCGTACGCACGTGTGGCTCGGTGGTCCACTTCGGCAATCCTCTTTACATAGTCGCACAGATCGCGTAAAAGAGTGACGTTTCGACATGGAATAGACCTTATGATGCCTTTCACTGCTGAAGATGAGCCACTGCGGGTTTGAGCCCTCAAAGATACTCACCACGGACCTGCTGAAGTGCGTACTTGGTGAACATGTCGTTGCTGATTGGAAGTAGCGGAGACGGAAGAGAAGATAGGTAGAGCTGAACCAGGCAGTCACAAATAGACAGGTTTCATGGAAAGCACACTCACTTTGATGAGGGCATCACGCATGGCAAAAGGGAGTCGCTCAACCAGAGTCAAGTTCGCCTGGGGATCCGACTGCCAAGAAGCTTCGAGATACGCAATTGTCTACAGCTATCAGAGTATAATTTACGGAGCCGAAGCTTGCATACCTCTCCAGTGTCATCCGCAGATTTCTGTCTCTAGAATTGATTTAGTCCCCCCACTACAATCACATGGGAGAAGTCTTACTTTACGACTAACTCGTGTCTCCTTCCTTGCAACTTGTAGCAAAGTATGTAGAACGGTGAGTTGAAGATCTTCTTCGTGGTTCAAGCATGCGCCGAACAGCATCTTCCTCCTGTTTTTCTCCGTGCTTGGTTCTTTGTAGATCCGCGGGCTATATGGAAACTCCGAGAGATCCTGCTCAAATGCCGCGTGAAGATGAGCAGAGATCCTCAGTGGAAAGAGGTTCTTGTCCAATAATGCGGTCACCCGCGAACAACTCAGAGAAACATGGCAAGCGAGCTCACTGTCCGATGAGTAAATGAGTCAGTTTTGCTCGATGTACCAGTAGCTCACCTTTGCATCAGCCAGTGACGATTAAGAAAGGTCTTGAGAAGTTCGGCAGAGTCCTGTTGTATTTCTATCCAATGCTGAAGATATGTTCAGACAAATGTACCATGAACGGATGTACTGACCGGGATCTTGTTACTCGCCTCTCTTACGAAGCGACGCCTTGCATTGTCCAGTTGTGATAGTTTGTGGCGGTATTTGAGGACTATGTAGGGACAGTGGGTTTGGATGATGTATTTCTCCACGATTCACATACCAGTTTTCTCGAAGCGAAGTGGCTCTCGAGAGAGCTTCGGATCCGTGACAGAGGTCGCGGGAGAGATTTCTCCACTACTGCTAAGATTGGACTGGGGATCCGCTGTCTAGATATATCGTCAGCTGTCTTCCTCGATGTATGCTTTTTGTTTACCGATGGTCGACTACGGGCCAATCTCCACGCCTGTTCTGCCTCTACTGCTAGTTTACGCAGATTTGTATCCGATAGATCCTCCGTTTGCTTCATATTGTCCATCTGAGGGAATCCGCGGCTTAGTTCGAGAGTTGTCAGGCAACATGAAACGTACAATAGCGGAACGCAGTGAGTTTAGTTCTTTGCGCATTTCTATCGCCTTCTTCCAGCGCATCGTGAATTCTGCTCGCACGGCTCAGTGCCTGGAGAAGTTGGGCGCCACGAAGAAGGCTCACCAATATTCATCATCATAATCAATCCATTCCATAACTTGATGAGATGAGAGCTAATCCCTTGAATTTTCCGCCAAATGAGTGTCAGGTCTGCCAGCAGAAACCTCGTTTTCGAGATGCTGGATAAGCGTAAGGAATCGAGGCGAGACGAGGTTATCAAATGACCCTACTCACTGTTGAATTTCCAGTTCATTCCTATCGAACTCAGCGACAACATAAATCCAAATGACTAGTGAACTGACCGCTCTACCAAGAGGTGAACGAGAAGTTGCATACCTATTTGATTGGCTTGCATCACCTGTATAACTGGCGGATTATTTGGGGCTTTTCCATCTTCCGTCGTAACGTTGCGTCCTTTGAGAATTCTTGACATATGTCGAGGGCAGGAGCAAAACGCATCCCAGAGCCCAGCCAAATAAGTCATAGGAATCGATTTGATCGCTCGAAGGCACGTCAACATAGTCGTTCAATCAGCGTATGACACTGAATTGGAGGCAGGGGTGGCGGACGGCAGGATTTCCCAGGATGGAGCGACTTGGCACAAGACTTCTAGAGACGTCCCACTCTGAACGGCGCAACGAGGCCGTATGGCATCTGAATTGACCTTAATTGTCGGGGATACCCCGTTTCAGTCTCCACCGTTTCAACATTCGGATCCTATGGGCCAGCATATTGAGTCCGAGTTTTTCGATAACGGGGTGAGAGGTAGGCAAGCTACGACCAAGAATCTAAGTCAACTTCATCTCTGGTCCGCAATGCGCATGCAATGTGATTTCCCAAATTAGTGCAGAAGACAAGAGAGATAGCTATAGTCGAATAAGACGGCGGCAAAGTCTCTTTGGGAGGCCATCATAATCATCCCAGTGATCCAATCGAATACCAGTCTCGATTCCGCAGACTGGAGCTGCGGGACCAGCGCGCCTATTAAGGAATGTTGACTCACTCGATCGAGCGAGGTCGGCAGGTGGCCCCCTAGAACTTCTGGTCAGACTTGATCTGGGAGTTTCTGAAGCAGAGAGCATGTCCCTAAAAACCAGAGACGTGCCCTTCATGTGAATCTCAACCTCGCTCACTCGTAGGAAGCATGCCATTGACCGTCCTCGAGGGGGTATGGTGTGTTAATCCAGTGGAGTCTAATCCAGTATACACGGACATGAACAAGGAGGGCTGTGAGTGAGAAATGATTGGACGTGAATGTGGTGTTCCGTTACGTCGTGGTCGATACGTTTCCGGGATTACATTCTCTGAGTTGCCTGATGACATATTACGGCGACTGCCACTTCGTAATTATAGGCCCTGGAAACCTGATGATGAGCGTGGTGCTGGGTTGTATTGTTCCTCTGAGGTACTTCCTATCCTTAATGGCATGTCCCAGATTGGGAATGCCGTCCTCACTGCTTGATCTGATTCAGAAGTGACCGACCCCACAGTCCCCAATAAAGAAGGCTTTCTTGCGAAATTTCTGTGACATTTACTTGAACCAGCTGAAAGAGGCGAGGTCCAAACTTGGTCCCCACCATTGACTCTGACGCCGGTGGACTTGTGCTATCACCTCCATTTGAACCCTAACATAATTTACGGGCCCACTGTACATCAATTATATCTCAAATATGGACACCGAATCGGCCCGAGTGGTAAAGTCGGCTAACTGAATCTGGGAGCCCCCTATGATCCGAGATTCGGGTTGCGAATACTCTTTCAAGCCGCGAATTGAGATATTGGTTCTTTGCGACGGTTTCTCTTCCGCCTTGCAAGAATCTGCAGCTAAAGCTCACGATTGGAAGCCTGAGTCGGATTCACTTCGCGATGTGATGGATCCCGAACACGAACAGTTGAAGGCGGCTTCCAGCAACGTTTCTTCGCTCTCACCTCCGATCAACAAACGCCTTTCATCACCTCGCGCGCGGAGAACGGTGCCGTTGAATGACTGCACCCCATGCATTGCTTGGAGGTAGTATAATGGCATGGAATATACCCCGCATTCGCTCAAACTCTTCCTTCCCATATATCATATTCACAACCGCCATTATATGGCTCCCGAGCGTCATAGGTCTACTCGCCATAGGCCTCCTTCAAACCCTTGTGTCCCACTGGAGGCATCACCGTCGTCTGGCGGCAAGTATTCGACAGTGGCAGCAGCACTCAAGGACACGAGCAAGTCGCTATTTCCCGGTCTCCAAAGGATATATACTAACTACCAAAGCAAGGTCCACTAGATTTCTTCGCGCATCTCTCCTCACTTTTAGGCGACCAGCCAATGACCTCGTCCTCATGTCGCTGAAACATGTATTAGGTAGGGCTCTCGTATGTTTACCAGTAGGAGTTCCTTGTGCACGTGAGGTCGAGTCGTAGTAGCGACAATCGCAGAGCGTCAAAAATATCATATTTTGATTCGAAATTGATCACAACAGATGAAATCTGTCCCACATATTGACTCTCTTATGGAGCAATACCGTCATTTCACCTAGTCCAGGTCATCCCGATACTTTGATCCTCCATCTGGTTCCTGAATAATCAGTGACAGGAAAAAAAAAAGGATTTCTATATGTGACTCACATTATTCAGCTGTAGATGCACGTCTTATTGATCGTATCCGTATATTCGTACCCTCCGGTATGGGTATGCATCGGATTCGTTATCATGATATTGCGGGTACACCACACGGAGGATCATGTGGCGACCTTGGCAAAAGTTCTTCAGATTATTGTCGCAAACCTCGCATGGCTTGCTTGTCACGAGGAGTGTCGCATCTGGAGAATGTAGTCCCTTGCCCGGAGCTGAATGAGAGCTGTCATTTTCCTCGTCCAAAAATGCAAGCGCCTGCATTTCTGCATGACATGCATGATATCGACCTCGCTTGCGGCCATCATGCCTGTGCTCTGGCCACTCGCTGTGGCCCCATTTTGTCTTTTGAAGGGCCAATCTACGACTTTATAGAGTTTTGGTGACATGGAAATGGACAGGCGTACATACAGCGTGTATTCTGTTATCTCCGTTTGACTGCGTGGCATACTCACTTTTGAATCAAGACATAGCCATCAATTCCCGCATTCGTCAGTCCGTGACTGTATCCCGAGTCCACTTAATATGTTTCCTTACTGAAGTACAACCACTCCTTGGTATAAATAGCCGAGAGGCTGCCGATTGAGGGTCAGCCCGTCGCAGGCGTTGACTCCAAGATGCAATTACACGCATGACATGTAAAAAGTTCGAATTTTTACAATAACATAAATCTATGATTGCAGATTAGAGTAGGAGGGAGGGAGAGTATCATGAGCGCCTTCAGCATCGGTCCATTGCAGCCGTATCCCAACATCGACTTCTCGAACTCTCGACTCCTCTGCTGGTGATATAGTCTCCATAAGGCTTTGTAGATTAATGGATGAAGAGAGCAGCAGCGTCGAAGAGTCCCGAAAATGATTTGTCTCGGCCTCGCTGCCCTTTGGTGATGGAGCGGAAACCATTGTCGATGGGAGCGGGCCGTGGATCGATGAAATAGTATTTGAGATTGTGCTTCCCTTGGTTGGAGAGATACAAAGGGCCGAAAGGGATACCGTATCACTCTTTGTTGGTGCCATGGGCAATGAAGGTGCCGCGTCGGTCTCCCTATCATATGCATCCACCCTCCAATTGGGATACCGGTGGATAAGCATCCTTCTCCGATTTTTCCTATGTCGTCTTAGATAGTAGACGAGGGGGGCGATGAGGAGGATTCCAAGGGCTATTCCACCGATTACTCCTCCAATTACCACGGCTCTCTTTGAATTCCCGCCAGTGGTCACATCTCCGATAGCTTGCTGAGTCAAACCCGTGCTTTGGCTGGTTCCCCAAGGAGAATTGAAGCCTGGGACATTCTGAGTCACCATTTCCGTCGAGATGAACATTGTCCCATTGGACGTGAATGTTGTTACCCGGGTTGATACGCTCTCGAGGCCCCCTGTAGCTGACGCCAGAGAATTTGTTAGCCCACTCCCCTCCCCTCCGATGCTACCACCACTCGCGATACTAGTGCCAGTGCCATGCGCAGGGAATGGTGTGCCGTAAATGATATAGTCTAGCCGCCAACCCGGCAAGTTTCTACCGAGGGCAGTGATAGTCAGAGTATGGGAAGTGTCAGCTAGACCAGAGAGTCCCAACAGCTGAGTGTTACACTGCCTTGTGACGCGTCCAGGACCAGTGAAGGTTCGGACAACTTCGTCTGGGGTGCCACCATCCACCGCAAAGCTGGCAATAGGTCTTGAAGCATAATCACCGTCAAGAGTGGCATATACGGAGACACTCGTACCAGTGAATGGAAACGAGGCAATCGCATCCACACCAGCTGGAGAGCCGTGTACCATGAGCAGATACTCTGCCTTATTACCTCCTGTATAGGTCCACCCATTACCATACTGAATGACAGGTTCCTTATCATCTACAATGATGAGTCCTCCCGCCCGTCGAGCGTCTTCCTCGGTCACGGCCGTGACGACAAAGAAGTCGAAATTAAACCGACCAGTTGTTGTCGGATCGACTTGGTCGACGGAGATTGTGATTGTATGGTCTCCGTATGGATATTGTGGAGATTTGAAGAGTGTGACGTGTGACTGGGTGCTCACGGCATCTTGCAACATCCCTGCAGTGTTCCAATTGACGACAGGTCGAGCATTGTCAATTTGATAGGTGGCCTTTGGATACCCATTTGTGACGGGCTGAGTGATGGTCCCATAGACAAAAATTCCGGTTCCTTTGCATGTTAGCTTCACGATGCTATCAAAAGACGATATGCCCGACCGACCTCGAAATTGATAGGTGATTGTCGCCCCAGGAGAGGTTGCGTAATGCAGAGTAGAGTTATACTCTCTATTAGTGTCGGTAGATGTTGCAACCCATGAGCCTGGAGAATAAAGGATTGCCGGGTTGGTGTCGTCGATAATAGCGAGATTTGACATTCTTCCGGTCTGTGAAATGGTTCTCTGAGTATTTTATCGGGGTAGAACAAAGCTGAAAGTAAACGACCACCCCTCCGAGCTCTAAAGGCCCCGCCAATTAGCGCCTATTCAATGTCATCCCACGCCTGCTCCGATGGCGGATCATAGTCCATACACATTGCAAAAAGGAACACCTATAAACCAAGATTCATTCCGGAAGGTTAGTCCGCTTTTATGTACAGGTACATAACAAAGACGTGTCTGCCGACTCGCCAGAAGAAATGAAGCCGCATACCCTATGATGTTATGATGCAACGAAGCAACTTCGAATGTACATGAATAATTGGAAGAAAAGGACAAGATTTTACGAGTAGTTAGAATAGGATGGTGGAAGTGTCTCGTGAACGCCCTCATTATCAACCCATTCCAAGCGTATCCCACCATCTTGCTCTCTCAATCGCCCTTGGTGTTCCTCTTCAGGTAACGTCGCCTCTGGGAGACCTTGTTGGTCGGTGCTAAAAAAGAGCGGGAGGGTCGAACCGCCTTGGACACGGTTTCTCTCGGCTTCGTGACTCTCCTGTACGGTCGCTAGAGTCGTAGCTCGGGGTAAGTTTGGCTGAGCCGGAGCAGCGATGGTAAGTGGAGCTTTGTTGGGAGGAATATAGAGCACAGGGAGAGTAATGTCGCCTCTTTTTGGTGTCGTGGAGCTTGAAGCGGTCGCATTTGCGGAATTGTGAGGGCCATGACTGTCCACAGAGACGCGATACTGATCTATTGACGCTGTCTCTCTCTCTTTTTTTCGTCTTCGTCGATACAAGCACAGGAAGAAGATGGCTAGGGCCATAATGGCTATGCCACCAATCACTCCACCAGCAATAGCTGCTTTGCTTGATTGCCCGCGAACGAGTGATTCCCCAACGGGTTGTTCATTTAGACCCGCACTCCCGTTGATATGCCTGGACAAAGTGACCGAGTCGGAGCCAGGGATAGGTGATTGTATCACCCCTGTTGCAGTTTGCGAGGTTGCACCCCCAGACTGCGATGCTGATGAGCCCGACACTCCACCATTGCTACTATTGTCACCAACGGCACCGCTATCTGCAGGGGAGGATGCGACGGTGGGCGTACCGTAGATGAAATAGTCTAAGCGCCAACCGACCGCGCCATTCCCCAGCGCAGTGATACTTAAAGTATGAGACCCATCCGCTAGATCTAGTAACGACAGGATTCTGGTATTGAATTGCCTTGTGACGCGTCCTGGGCCATTGAAGGTTCGGACAACCTCATTCGCAGTACCACGATCAACTGCAAAACTGGCAATCGCGTTCGAGCCGTAGTCTCCATCGAGTGTCGCGTAGACCTCGATATTCGTCCCAGTAAAGGGAAGCGTAGCCGTTGCAGTTGCACCAGCAGGTGAACGATGCACTCCAAACCTCATTTCTTGCTTGTATCCACCGGTCAGAGACCAGCCCGCGTCGTAGATGGAACCGGCTTCATTATCGTCCAAGAGAATGAGGCCACCAGCGTTCCTCGCGTCCTCCTCAGTTGCACCAATGACAAGCAGGAAGTCGAAGTTGAGGCGACCAGTTGTTCCAGGATCAAAATCCCCAACATAGACGGTAATTTCATGATCTCCGTAGTCGTATTCTGCAGATTTGAAGAGGACTACGTGCGATTGGGTGTTGATCGTATCTTGTAAACTCAGGGAGAGATTCCAACCTCGGGGGAGATCATTGTCCACCTGGTATGTGACATTCGGATAACCCTTTGTAACTGGCTGTGTGACGGTCCCGTAGACGTGTATGCCAATTCCTGGTTGACGTTGGCTTAAGGGCGCTTGAGATAGAAGGCAGAGAACGGACCTCGAAACTGATATCGGATGGTTGCTCCGACGGCAGTGGGGTAATGTAGAGAAGACTTGTATTCGTTGTTCGTGTTTCCGGACACCCCTCTCCATGACCGCTGGGAGTAGACGATCGCCGGATTGGTATCGTCAATGATTACGATTGGCATTTTGAGAGTCCAAGCTACTAGAAGGGACCTAGAGACATGGACAGCGATCGTCGGTAGGAGCCTTTAGTAGGTCTCGCCAATTAGCGATTAGCGCCTGTTGAGCGCTGTCCCACGCTTTGTGCTTCCCCGATGACGGCTTATTGCCTATCAATTGCTGAATAACTGTACACTACATGGATCACGCACCGGCTCGACAACGTCTGACCGTACGCGCAGCTCTTTTCCATTAACCGTGACGACAGACGGTATAACTATACTCCGTGTTGACTAGCCTGTCATTTATCTGCTTATGTACGCAGTTGGCCCACCTATCGAGGAGACTGAAGGATGATCATCAACTTTAGAGGTTGTAACGTCCACCCAGTGCAAGTTTCTGCGTTCTGGGACTACAAAGAGCACGTAGAGTATTGGGAAATGAGCAACATCATAACGGCTTGTGGCGACTTTTTCCAGTGTCATAGCGAAACGCCGCAGAGGGGCCGTGAGTCTCTCGCTGACTTTTACTTTGGTATTTTGCTTATTTCGGATCCTGAATTGACGAAACTCGAAATTGACATTGACAGGGCGGAATCCAAGGTATAAGCTCAGTCGTAAGCGACTGCTCTGATGCCGAGTGAAATATTTTCATTGATAATGCAAGTATATAATCCCTAAAAAGTAAAGCTAGACAACACCCGCGGAAGAAACGGATTTAGAACCAAAGTTATCACGACTGATAGTTAGAATAAGACGGTGGAAGTGTGTCGTGAGGGCCTTCTTCGTCTGTCCATTCCAAGCGTATTCCCGCATCCACTTCTCTTGTTCTCGGTGGTTGGTTGGTTCGCGTTACAGACGAAGCCGTGTCAATGCTGGGACGCGGACTGTGGCAATGAGGGTATGGAAGGGTATTTGGTTCCTTGGTGCGCGGAATTGGAGGAACTGGACCCATGTCTGTTGGCCGGCGAGATATATCGTCCTTTATGGAGTCTCGATACTGATCAATCGATGCTATACTCTTGGTGTTTCTACGCCTTCGTATGCACCAGCACAGAAGCAACATAGAAAGAATTCCAGCGGCTATGCCCCCAAGAACTCCCGCAATAATGACAGCTCTCTTTGACTGCCAATGGGCTTGCGTTTCCCCGACCGTTTGTTGATTCGAGCTCACGCCTCCGTGAGTATCCTCAGGAGAGTTGAGGCTAGAAACAAGAGGACTTACTGACTCTGTCGTCGTGAATACTCTTCCTCCAAAAGTGCTTGTCACGACTCGAGGAGTTGCACTCCGGGTTGAAAGTTCGACCGAACTCGATACTCCGGAAGCCCCACCACCACCAGTTCCATTATCAATATTTGTCTCGTTAGAGACCCCATAGACAAAGTAGTCTAATCGCCAGGGGGAGACATCTTTCCCAAGAGCGGTGACGGTCAGGCTATGAGGCCCGTCCACTAGGCCATGTACTGACAGCAGCCTAGTATTGAACTGCGTCGTGACACGCCCTGGTCCAGGAAAGGTTCGGACAACTTCATGCGACGTGCCTCGATCCACCACGAAGCTGGCGATGGGTTTAGAGCCATAATCACCATCAAGGGTCGCATAGACCTCGACACACGTTCCATTGAATGGAAGTATTGCCGTGCCCTCGGAGCCAGCCGGTGTTTGGTGGGCACCAGACTTGAACTCTTGCTTCATGCCCCGAGCTAAGGACCATCCGCCTTCATAGACAGGACCATAGTCGCTGTCATCTCGAAACATGAGGCCGCCTGCATTCTTCACGTCCTGCTCCGTTGCGCCGTAGAAGATGAAAAAGTCAAAGTTGAGGCGACCAGTTGTTCTGGGATCAAAGTCTCCAACATTGACTGAAAGTGTGTGATCTCCATACGTGTACTCCCTGGACTTGTAGAAAGCTACATGAGACTGCGTGTTGACCGTGTCCTGTAGCCCTGGCGAGAGGTCCCATTCTTCAATGGGATTATTGTCGATCTGGTAGGTGACCTTCGGATAGCCCCTTGTGACGGGTTGTGTAACAGTTCCAAAGAGCTGAATGCTGGTCCCTGTTCAACATTGACCTTGTGAACTCTTGTAAAGCTGAGAAAGCGAACCTCGAAATCGGTACTTCATTGTCGCACCTGCAGATGTCGGATAATGGAACGAGGACATGTACTCGTTGTACTCGTTTGTCGGCGAGCTGGCCCATGTCCCTTGAGAGTAAACGATCGCGGGATTGGTGTCGTCGATGATGGCAATGGGCATCCTTGCGAGGACCTCGGAGCTCTTCGAAAACCCTACGCATCTAAACGTCGATACCTCACAGTTCCCCGCCCCAGGTTTTAATGTCCAAGCGGCGTCTATTCAACTGCGTCTCACGGTCTCAATGGGCCCGATGACGGATCATAGTTTGTACATACAGTTTGTAATGAGGGTGTGAAAAAGCATGTCCGCTCGAGTAGGAGATCCATTCACTTATTCATTGATCATATGGTCACGACTGCGGCCGAATTGCACTCCCCGTACCAGGCTCTGCATCAAGTACCATCATACCTCGAAGAGTAGACAGGACAGGTACCCTTAGGGGCCGTTAGTAGTGACGAACAGAGCCACCGTTTCACTAGGTCCGTCCCCCTTGAAACTAGGCTGGATCCCGAAGATTTCTCGAGCTTTACAGACTGTGTTGGGCCGAATTCAAAAGCGAGGTCAACGGGGATGAAAGCCAAGCGGTGAGTGTATGCTCAGCCCAGCTGCCACAACGCAGCACAAGGTATCCATCTCGAAAACGAATTCAAGTACATTACAGTCATATCAGATAACTAAGGAATTAGGCCCTGCCAGAGAACAAAATACTCGATAAACATCGCCGGGATATTCATTACGATTGATAGTTGGAGTAAGATGGAGGAAGCGTGTCATGAGCACCGTCCTGGTCTGTCCATTCCAAGCGTATACCGCCATCCAACTCTCTCACTCTAGGTGGTTGGCTCTCTTCTCGTGCGGACGAGGCATTATCGGGGATACTTTGCAGATTACTCGAAGAAGTAAATGCAAGAGTGTTTGAGTCTTGGAGGTGATTTGTTTCGGTCATGCTCGGTCTCGGGACTGCTGGTCGCTCGACAGGTGTTGGGTGGGGGCTCTGTCCCTTTGTAGGCGGAATGTACAAAAGTGGTGTTGAAGTATGTGTCGAGGCTACCATCGCCGCCGTTGAAGTCGTGGGCGGAGAAGTGGCCACTTCGGTCGGCATTGCCAATGGCTTTTCGTCTATCGGCCCACGATATTGATCGATTATTTCCACTCGATCGTTCCTCCTGCCTCTTCTTCTTAAATAGTAGAAGAGGAAGAAAATGACCAAAAGACATGCGACCACGCCACCTATCACCCCTCCGGCAATGGCAGCTTTGCTGGGGCCGTTGCTCTGAGTTTGGCCGATGGCTTGATTGCTCGACGTCGCTGTTCCGTTGCTGCCGTTCGAGTTGACGACACTACCGGAAGAAGGGGAGCCATAGAGAATATAGTCTAACCACCAACTGGTGGTCTGGTCACTGAGAGAAGTCACAACCAGAGTGTGTGACCCCTCTGAAAGACCAGATACTGATAATATGGGACTGTGATACTTTTTTGGGGCCGATCCTGGGATGACTACTGTTCCTTGGACTTCGTTCGCACTGCCGGGGTCTACTACAAAGCTGGCGATTGGGTTAGATGGATAGATACCATCAAGAGTTGCATAGACAGAGACGCTCGTTCCATTGAATGAAAATGTAGCCGTTCCAGTATTGGACGCGGCTGGTGAGCGATGGGCGGACCATTGGTATTCTGCCTTGCTTCCGGTTGCAAACCAGTTGCCTTCGTAGCCAATAGCGGTATCCTTGTCATCCACAATGACGAGCCCCCCGGCGTTGCGAGCATCCTCCTCCGTGGCACCAGTGACCACAAAGTAGTCGAAATTGAAGCGGCCCGTTGTCGTCGCATCAAACTGTCCGACATTGATGGAGATCGTGTGGTCACCGTAATTGTATTGTGCTGACTTGAAGAGGACGACGTGAGAGTATGTAGTCGCATTGTCGATTACCATGCCAGTCAGATTCCAGTTGGAGACGCGGTTGTTATCAATTTGAAAGGTGGACTCGGGATAACCATTCGTGACCGGCTGAGTGAGGGTTCCATAGACAAAGATACCAGTTCCTTTGCAAAGTTAGTCGTATTCCTCTATGCCGAGAAGAGAGTACAAACCCCGAAACTGGTACTTTATTGTCGCTCCGGTGGCAACAGCGGAATGAAGAGTAGAGTTGTACTCGTTGTGGGTCGTTGTTACTGCACCCGCCCAGGATCCAGAGGAATACGTAATGGCTGGATGGCTATCATCGATAATAACCAGTTTGGACATCTCTCCTGTGTTCCAAGCACCCTACAAGCTCGACGGGACAATCCAAAGGTTGAGACGCAAACATGGAGGCCGCTCCGGTACATACAAGTAGGTTTAGCGCCTCCTTCCCACGCATTGCCCGATGTCGGAGCGGTTTACTCGGCATATTGCACAGCGATAGAGAATTCATCTGGCTTAGTCCGTAATAAAGAAGGTGGTAAATTTCTCCTTTTCAATTTACACGCGTAGCCAATGCCCGCTCTGCCGCACAGTCATTAAGCTCCTTGTGGAATGCTTATGATGCCAAGAGAATGTCGATGACTAGTCTGAATGAAGCTATGACTAGTCTGAAGCTATGACAGCCAGCAATGATACGCCGTGTCCGATCCATGCGTACTTTTACGTTGCAAGGATACCATGTATACTAGATGGGTACAACTGCTCGGTTGATTGTCTTTAGCTTCATTTGAGAGGAGCTTACAAACGACACCGACGACGAGTTATCCAAACAGGGCCCAATCATGATCTGATCATGTGAGGTTCATTGCAAAGGAGTACGCCTATTGACAAGAGAGACTGAGAGTACACTAAGGATGACGAAACTGTCCGAGACCAACCTGAAAGAGCATGACGGGAGAGGAAACTAAAGGGGAAAACAATGGAAATCTCAGTACCGTGAGTACTGAGGGGGAAGAATGGGTACGCTAGGCTCAGCATGTACCGATTCATCAGAGTCTCCAGACGCAAGCCGTACACCACCGTCAACCTCCCGAATGGCATTGACGTTACCGGCGCTAGAGGAAAAGTATCCATCTCTCGTATAGAGATTACCCGGACTTGGACGAATGTAGTCGTATGCGCTCATCGCCGTCGCGTCTCCCAAGCTCGGACTTTGCGTATTGGTCGCGGTAACCGTGGTCGATGTCTCGACATTGACGCTTCCCTGTCTACGAACGAGTGGCGTGGAACCCTGTTGCGCAGTTGCAGAGTGCTCCTGGGGAGTCGCATTTGCACTGATATCCAGGACCAGCGGCTCTTCCTGTCGGACAACACCAGGCTCGTCTCGCCGGACAGCACCCTTTTCGGCTCGAGCCGTGGCTTCCGCAGTTTTATCTGCTCCAGACTTGTGGAAACTCTTCCGCAGTCCGGCCAAGATGGGGTTCGTTGACGCTGGGACGGTATACTCTGTGGGCGCTCGGCGCTTCTCTTCTTCCCTGCGCTTGTGTCGTAGGAAAAATAGAATGCCGACAATGACAATGGTCAGGAATGCGAGTCCGCCCAGGACACCGCCGGCTATGGCGCCGCGCTCCGCTGCAGACGAAACCGAGGATCCACCGCTTGGTTGGAAAGCCACGGGAGTCGCGCTTCCAATCGCCGAAGATGGACCATAGACGACGTAGTCGAAAAGCCAAGGAGATACAGTTGGCGCTGGTGTCGGGCCACCGGATGTAGAGGTCGAGCTACTGGTGGTGGAAGAGGTACCTGTACTCGACCCAGTTGAAGAAGACGCTGTCGAAGTGCGCTGCGCCTCTATCGAGATGGTGAGAGTATGCTGAAAGTCCCCGATATCCTTCAATCCCTTTGTTCTCCAAATCGCTTGATGCATAAGTGGTGTCGGAACCGATATCCAGCCATTATCCAGCATAGTTACTCCCGGGAGATTTGTTATCGAATCAGAGTTTCCAATTGGTTGGCCGTTCGTCTGAACGACTTGGGTTATATTCTGGAGATAGACAGGTTTCTTCACGCCTTCGTCGATGGAGAAGTAGCCTAAGGTCGCATTTGGGTTGTAGGTCCCGTTGAGTGTGCCGTATACCGTGATCTCGGTCCCTTGAAGAGCGTAAGCGTAGGTCGAGCGGATGACAAAAAGAGTATTACCATGGAACCCCAGCCATGTAGAGCCACCATTTAAAGGCGCTACTACCGCCGAATTAAGATACGCCCCGGTCACATTCTGCGCTGTCCAAGAGCCGTCGACGACGGTGAACTGGTTTCCTGCATCCAAAATTACATCCTCCACGTAGATGGGATCACCAGCCAATACCGCGAAAAAATCCAGATAGAACATCGGCGGTGGGCTGCCGTTGACTACTCACGACCGTGGAAAGAAGAAGGGGCTCGTTAATGACCCGATAGTTTCCGTGGAATGGATTGTGAGAAAACTCACCTCCCGAAGCTGGATTGATTTCTATCTTAAGCTTGTGCGCGCCGTCTGCAAACTTTCCAGAACGAAAGATGCTCACATGGGATGTTGTCCCGTTGATATCATATGTTCCAATTGTATTCGGTTGGGGGAAGTCGACTGGAGGCTTGCCGTCAAGGGTCCATCTCGAGGCAGGGAGCCCTTTTTTATCGGGAGCGTCGATTGTACCGTACGCATTTACGACAGTGCCTGTAAGAGTGGTCCCGTGGTACACACGGGAAATCGGATTCGGCGTGGAGGTTGGAGGCCCGCCGCCAAGGTCAATAGAGCGTTCATGGATTGAATACGGTTTAGCGGCGAGAGCGGCGGAGTTGCGTGAAGGGGCAAGACGTTTGGACGCAGATTTTTATTCGGAAGAAAACGATATAGTCAGTAATGGTGAGCTTAAAGGTATCAGAGGCTATTCTTACCGTAGAAATTGAGCTCAATCGTTGCGTCGGGATCATTGGTGGCATGGACCGTCCCGTTGTACTCTGGCTGATTGGGATCCAACATGCTGAGGACAGTCCAGTTACCCGTATAGGTGATCATCGGGTCGGTGTCGTCGATAATTGCATAGCGAGGCATATCGACGCCTTGTATTGCCTATAGGTCTCGAACGATACTGTGCCTCGTGTTTTTTTTTTGACGCTGCTGGCGAGTTTCGACAAGGCGAAAGGTGGCGTGGAGAGCAGCTGTGTACGGGGCCTCAGAAAAGTAGGAAAGGTTGAGAGATGGATGAGGAGAGGTCCAACGTCAAATCTGGGCAGGGTACTTACACGGCTCTCTCACTATGCCAGAGAACGAACCGGATCCAGAGCCCTGGGTCCACTAAATCGCGCTTCGAGCCATCGCATAACAGTTCAGGGATCGATGAAATTCAGCACCGACGTGCGGATTGGCTGTAATCCGTCCGCCACGGAGCTTAGCCTCCCACAGCCGGCGGCCGTCCGGTAGCGATCCCTTCTGGACCTGTGCGTTTTCTCAGCTCTCATTTCTAGCGTTGTGCACTCAGAAGCTGCGAGCGTGAGTGCCCAGGTGCCTAGCCTGGATGCATGGACCTCTGCCTATTGCCTATCCTGACAAAATGACCTAACGGACGGTCAGTCTAAAGTTACCAGGTTAACAGCATCTTCCACCTCGACAATTGTTACTCTGGGCGTCCACATAGGGTTTAATGCAAAAGGCGTCGGAGCACCGGTCGGAGGAAGGCGATGCAACTTGGACGTTTGAGCCCAACAACGGTGGCTGCACGAGGCGATGGCGATCATTGCATACTCCCTTGCGTGAGAAAGTTGCAGCCACCATATTGATCGATGGGGTTGAACGAAATTTAAACTTGTATAGACGAATTGGACCTGAGAACACTTTGTTCGTGACTGATGAGAGGGCTAAAACTTACTTCAAGTCTACAAATATTGTATCTACGGCCTATCAACAGCCGCCTCGCACGCCTTGGCGTGGAATGAAAAAGAGCCTGGATTCAAAGTTCTGCCGAGATGTTCCACGAGACAAAAGTGAAGCTTGGTCTTTCTCTTGGTGTCTCTCAAGTCCTATTCACTCCCCCGCGGTCGGTAATTTCCAGTCGGATCGAAAGAGGTTGGCGAATAGCATATCGTGAGGAGTTGGTCCCACTATTCGGAACAATGGGTGCCATTCCCACATTCAACGTGTATGAAGTAATAGGTGAGCTCGGCAATGGCAGAGCAAAAGCTTGATACCAGGAAATGTCGTCGATAAATTCCATAATAAATATCTTCCAGCAAGTTTGACGATATTTCGTCGCCGAATCGAGGTGAAAGTGGGAGTCAAGCTTGGTCTCTGTCGCGATCCATGTCCGACTCGGAAACAGGTTCCGACGTGCCAAAGCGCGTTAAAGTTAAGTCAGAGTCTCGTCGGCGCCCCCTTAGGGCTGAGGAGGCTACAAATCGAGAACGTACAGGTCGCAAACGACGGCTACAGGACGAAGAAGAGAGTGAGGAGGAAGAGAGAGCGCCCGAAGTCCAAGAAGATGATGCCGACTCTGGAGAAAATGACAGTGAAGATGATGATGAGCGACGTCCACGCAAGCGTATCAAAGGATCCAACGGTCGTCCAAGGCCATCCGAGGTGGGCGATTTTGGTGAAGATGATCACGTTCCCGCAACTGCAACTACCAAAGTTCTCCAAAGAGATCCAAGTGACGGGTAAGTTTGGCGAAATGACTAGTGGCGGAGATCCTGCACTCATTTGGATGAACGGATCCTGATGGGACTATCTCACTCTTGAAAATTGCCGTTAATTGTGATCTGACGTTATGGTAGATATATCCCAGGGTCTATATGTCGCATCCGATGTGAACATTTCCTAACTTACGACTTCGTCGAGTTCCAGCCGGGTCCACGAATGAACATGATACTCGGGCCCAACGGTACCGGTAAAAGTACCATTGCATGCGCAATTTGTCTTGGTCTTGGCTTCAACGTCAGCGTACGTCTGATTCTCCAAATATGCAACGTCCTCTCAGCAACCTCAGGTCCTCGGTCGTGCAGATCAGTTGCAGGCGTTCGTCAAACACGGATATGAAAAGGGCTATGTGGAGATTGAGCTCAAGGGCAAGATTGGGAAGCGTAACCCCATCATTCGTCGCAGTATCACAACGAAAGGTGGCGGGAGCACATGGACCTTGGACGGCAAAAACGCTACGAAGACTCAGGTCGACAATACAGTGGCTTCACTCGGCATTCAGATCTCCAACCTGTGCTCGTTCCTTCCACAAGACAGAGTCAACGAGTTTGCCAAGCTCAAGCCGGACGAGCTTCTGAGGGAAACACAAAAGGTTGCCGGTCATCCAAAGCTCAGTGACTGGCATTCGGAGATTCAGAAGCTTGGCGCTGGATTGGAAGAGATCAAACACGTGAGCTGGTTTCGTCGTGGTTTGCAGTCGCCTAACCTCCGTTCTAGAATTTGACCACAGATCAACGAGACTGCGCGATAGAAGAAGGCAAGAACCAAGTTCTAGAGAGAGAAGTTGCTGCCTTTAATCGTCGAAAGGAACTGGAAGAAAAGGCGAGTGACCCTGTGTGATATCGGAGCCTCTCTCATCTCCATTAGCTCGCGCTATATGATCTCCTCGTTCCTTGGTACAAGTATAAACAAAACAAAGCCCGGATGAGACCTATAAGGCTTGCTTGGAAAGAAGCCGGCATTCGATTGGCGACTGCTCAAGCCGAATTGAAACCTGCAATCGACTTCAAGAATAGACTCGAAAAGGATCTCGAGGCCGCTAACAAGTCAATCAAAGCTGCCCAAACTGAGGTGCAGAAGTGTAAAGAACCTGTCGAGCGCCTCAAGCGCAAGGAAGAACGCCTTGTACGTCATCTAATGTCTTGTATCGTTAGAAATGCTAACCTCCACTAAGGAAAAGGATTGCAAAGATGTTCAAGATAAGCTTTCGGAGTTGAATGACCAAGAAGAGGACTCGAAAAAGAGGATCCGCCAGTATAATGAAGCTATTGAGACACTTACTGCGAAACTGAAGCAGGCCCGAGGAGAGTCAATCCAGGATCCCGCTCCCCTCACGGCCAAGAAGGCAAGGATAGTCACCGGGTAGGAATGAAGATGTACTGATAAAGATACCAGGAGGACCTTGGACGCAAAGTTCGTCAAGTAGAAAACAAGCGACGCATGCTCGCGGACAGTATGGATGAGATTGACAGAAAAATCGCGGCAGACGAGCAGAACTGCAAACGTGCCAAAGAAGCGTGAGTGAACCTACCACTTGCATTTAATTCTGACTGCTAGTCAGACTGAATCGTTTGCTTGATAAGAAGCAACAACGACTTAACAGGATCGAGAGGGACCGTGCCTTTCAAGACGCAAACTTCTACAGGGCTTACCGATACCTCCTTGATCACAAGAATGATTTTGAAACGGTCATAGAGCCTGCATGTTTCTCTCTTCACGTCAAGGATGCCCGCTACAGCTCCGCAATCGAGGCCCTCGTTCCCATGACCGCCATGAAAACCTTCGTCTTCGCCAACAGACGGGATTATGAGACATTTAGTAACGCCCTCGATAACATGTTCGAGAAGCACCGCCCAACAGTCTGGTTCCGACCTGTCAACGAGGATGCGCTACCGAAGAATGACCAAGATCCGGAGGAGATGAAACGAGTGGGCTTTGATGCCTACGCGATCGACTTGGTCGAAGGCCCACCGGAGGTCTTATGGTTCCTCAAAAGGCAATTGGACTTGCATCGCATCGTGCGTTTCACCGTTTTCTACAAGCAACTCTAATTCAGTCCAGGGTGTCGCTCTAAATCCAAATGGTGTAGACTTGGAAGGCGCTGCTCGGTTATTTGCTCCAAAAGCTCCTGGTCCGCCTCAGAAGTATATCGTTGGTTTCACCCTCTATACTATCAATAGATCCGCATATGGGCAGCGTCTTATCCAGAACAGCTCTAGCAATATCAATAGAGCAGCCTGGCTCGTAGACCAATCTGGTGCGTTGTATTGACCTGATGTTCGTACTCTCATGCCGTTTTAGCCGACCCAAATGAAAGGCGAAACTTGGAAGAAAATATCAGGGATTTGACTATCTCTATCGACCAGCAAAAAGAAGAGAAGAGACGTTTGGATGAGAAAGATGCCGAACACAACAATGAAGAAAGGTTACTTCGAGGAAAACTCGTGGGTACACGAAGAAGACGCTACCGAATTAACTAAAATCCTGATAGAAAGAAGCTGCAGACCAAGTTGACGCCATTACGGGAACCCTTAGAAAAGTTCGGAAGATTGAGTCTGAGCTTGGTAAGTACCAGACTTTGCTTACACGAGACTCATCATTATAGAGAGTAAACGGCGCCTGCTTATCACGGAGACGAACAGAGCCCCAGTAGAGCAGCGAAGAGCAACTCTGCGCGCCAATCTCCGAGGGAAAGTGAAGGCACGGTTGGACTTGATTTCTGATATCCAGGTCTGATCAGTCCTCGTTAGAAACAAAATCGCTGGCTGACGATTTGAGCAGAAAGCCGTTGAAGACCTCAACTCCTCTACCGAGGCATTCACCAAGGCCACATACGAATCGCTGCAGCTAACTGCGGACGTCGCATCAATGGAACAAATGATCCGAGCATACAGCACCCGACACGAGCAGCTCCAGCAAGAAGTCGACGAGCGTGTGTGCATCCCTCTGAAGTAGAGTCCATTCTCATCACCATTACAGTGAGTGAGAGACTTGAAGAACTGAAGAAGGAAAATCTAGAGAGTCAGGAGGCATTCAAACGGCGCTTTGAAAAGAGTACTCCAATGCTTCAGCAGAAACACACGGAATATGTCGACTCTCATCCGGATGAAGAGACTGTACTACCTTCACTTTCAACCGTATATTGACTAAAACTTCTCAGAACGTTGAAGAACTGGAACTCGAGCGGACCCAGGCCGAGGCTACACTCGAGAGCACTGCACAGGTGAATCGTGTGGTGATACAGCAATACGAGGACCGCCAGAAGAAGGTAAGGAACTGCTATATTTCGCAACAATATCTGAGGCCCGCCTAGATAGAAAGACTTCGGGATTCCATCAACCAACGGCAGCACGAGTTGGGTGTCGCGGAAGCAAGGGTTCAGAGGATCAAGGTTAGTCTCACTGAAGGAATTAACATGATTGATCTAATAATTGAACAGGACAGATGGCTCCCCGAACTCAACGCGCTCATAGAAAAGATCAATACTCGCTTTTCCGCTGCATTCGACCGTCCGTGTTCTCCGACCCGACAAACCCCAAACTCATAATTTACAGGAATTTACTGTGCTGGGGAAGTTCGTTTGGCGCAAAATGACGACTATTCCAAATGGGCAATCGAAATTCTGGTCAAGTTTAGAAGCAATGAGCCTTTACAACTACTCACTGGACAGCGTCAGTCTGGAGGAGTGAGTTTCTTATATCAAACTTGATTGATCCTTACCACTTACAGGAACGATCACTGACGACTATTCTCTACCTGATGAGCCTTACCGGTTTGGCGAAGACGCCATTCGCGCTTGTCGACGAGATCAACCAAGTATGCTATCCTACTGTAGTCGCCTATTACTGACAGATCCAGGGCATGGACATCAAATACGAGCGTGCTGTACACAACGAGCTTATTCAAGTGACGTGTGCGGAGGATAGTGGACAGTATTTCCTTATCACGCCCAAGTTGCTGCCCAACCTTACCTACCACGAGAATGTTACGACCCTGGTCATCAATAACGGAGATTATCTTCCGGATACCCGAGACGACAACGGCACGCCGACCAACTTTGGTGATTTGCAAGCCAACTTGGAAGCATACCGCCGTTCGCTTCGCAAAACGTAGTGTATGTGCATGTACATTATATTCTTGGGATACTATGTGTATAATATCCAAACTCTAATCCAAAGCAGAATTAAGTAACAACGTTGCGTCTAACTCTTGGTATAGTAAAAGGACAAGAACGAGCTCTTCTCTTCCCAGCCTTGACCAGTACGTTTCAACTTGCCAACTTGGGAGATGAGGACTGAACATGCTTCTGAAAGTGTGTCTTTCGTTCCTCCTCCGACCAGCGTATCACTTGAGAGAAATAAGGCCGAACTTGGACCTTCTGAAAGTGGGAGGAGACGGATGGTGAGGCGGGACGGCTCAAACGGGATGGTGAACATTTGCACCAGAGGCTCTGGAAGAGGAATCGGAAGTTTTTTGGGAATCGAGCACGTGGCAGAGGGCTTCCAGTGAGTTGGCGCGTCATACCTAGAGGAAATCAGTTTTGGCCAAAGATCAAGACGAGAGCCTCACCGAGCGCACATGATGAACACGTCATAGCCCTTGACAGGGACGGCATGGCTTGACTCAAACACATCGACAAACCGCAGAAGCCCGCGGCCGTTACTGGTGGTGCATTCAGGAAAGACGACCACCGGTCTGTCGGCATCTTTGCGTATACTCTCGAGCGACATTGCTCCTGCTATAGGCAGCCCGTTCGTCGATGGTGTTTCGCCTAGCGACGAAAGGATCTTGAGCAACGAGACACGGTGAAAGCCGGCAATGGCGGTCCTTTGCATTGCGCCGTTCCTGTGAATGGCAGCTGATCCAGTTCCTGTCCTTCTTCCAGTGAGGTTCATGCTATCTTCCTCTGCTTGCTGCGGTGCATTTGCAACCGGCATGATGAAGATTGGATTGAAGCTGACGTCGATGAGTCACTTTCCTCGCAATGTGGCAGAAACGAACCGAAAAGCTAGCCAAAGAATCTCGGCCCAGGAGCACCAGTTTGAAACAATGAGATCTCCAGCCTTTGGTGACCATGCTTCGCCTTGCGTGGTAACACGTCTAATCTCAGGTTAGCACCAAATATAGGAACAAGTGGGCAGTGAAAGATTACCCTTTCTTCTTGCTTGTCAGCTCCACCTTGATTCGACCATATCCTGCGAGCGCAAGCAACGTCCGACAATGGATAGCAGTAAGGAGCCAAGCCAGGAAGCGGTACAGGGGCGGTATTGGGGACTATGAATGCGAAGAGATGAGATATGTCAAAAGAAAGCAAGTGAGGGCATACGAAGACGAGGATGACTGCCTGTAAGAGCAAGTGCTCCGCCAGCACAATCAAACTGAGCACGAAACGAATAACGGCAAACGCGTAGATGAGTGGTTGGACTATTTGAAGTGTTGTTGGAGGAGAATTTGAAGGAATTGGAGTAAGAAACGGCTACAGGTAAGAGTCTGACTTCTGGTATTTCGTGCGTTTGTACGTATACATACCTGAATTCCCGTTCCAGCATCCTAAAACCCTTATAGTAAGTACCACAGGTTCAAGTAAAACCATAGAAAACAAACCCTATATGCGCTGAATTTTTCCATGGATGCGGCCGGCAACAAGAAATCACAGTTTGGACCCGGCTTCATTCATGGCCTATCCCGCGTTCTGGCAGCAAACCTGGGACAACGCTCAACTCCAGTTGAGATCTCTGCAGGCATCTCTTGGAGCACTGCCGGTGCTGCCAAGTCATACACAAAGAGTCGGACAGGTCGACGCAGAGCTGCTCGATCACGAACTGCTTCAGATCCTCAAGGAACCTTTGTTAAAGGCATTTAGCCTGATCAAGGTATATTATACCAGTCACGCACATGTTGCCGACTATTGACGGTTGCTAGAGCGGATGGGAGTTGGCAGCAGAGCCGGAGCTATCCTTAATCCTTCAGCTGTTGCTCTACAAATACTCTATATGGGATACCGGAGCGACATATGGGGCTAAATTGCAAAACCTTCGCTACAAATGCAGGCGACAGGTTCCTCGGCGGACAAAGCTTGCTCGTAGGTGCTGTCAAACGAAGACATCAATCATCACTGAACATGTAGCAGCATCAGGGCTGCCCGCTAGAACACTGTGGTTACACGGATTTGTCACGGTTGTCCTTCCGTATATTGACAAGAGGTTCCGCTCCTACGCCTTGTCAAATGCCTGGCCGGATGCACCATCATTCGATAAGCGCAGGAAGATCTGGGAACTGGCTCTCAAGATGGAATCCACCCATGCGACTTTGGGACTCCTTAGTTTTATTGCTTTTCTTTGGAATGGCCGGTTAGTGCTTAGCCGTTACCATCGACCAACTCCTCTGAGTCGCCGTTCTCCATAGGTACAGAACCATCACTGATCGGATCCTCGGTCTCCAGTTAAGTCCATCCAGCAGCCACCTCAACCGCAATGTCAGCTATGAGTTCATGAACCGTCAGATGGTTTGGCATGCATTTACGGCAAGTTATAATTCTCTCTTCAGTTGCCTCACTGACTTGTGATGTGGGCCTGTAGGAATTCTTATTGTTCCTCCTTCCTATAATCAACACGAGGACGCTCCGCCGACGGATATCTCGCTTTCTTTCCGGCCTCGACTGGAGAGTTATCGTTCCCAGTTCCCTAATTCCCGATAGGCTGGCTGCCAAAGGCGATAGGCCGCAGTCATACGTCAGGCAAGGGCCCTACTACCGTCTCCCAGAGACGGACTGTGCCATTTGCGCAGAGGATGCGTCAATAGATCTCTCTTCACTCGCCGAATCAAACTCATCGCGATCATCGACCTATATGCAGACATTGTCCGGCTCGCAGCATGCAATTTCATACCCCATTCATACGCCTTGCCGTGCGTCATGTGGGCATGTATATTGCTACATCTGTATTGGAGACAGACTTCTTCGAGCAGCAGACGAAGGAGAGAAATATTGGGAGTGTTTACGGTGCGAAGAGCAAGTCTACCAGGCGACACGATGGGAGCCTTCGGAACGGCTGGGCAGAAGGCCTGCTAGACAGAATGATGACGGCAATTCTGTGGAATCACGAGGAGTTGGAGTCGCCGCTGGTCGACGATGGGATAGTCTCGTAAGTAGCAGTGCGAGTCGGCTGGGACACGGCTACGGTACGAGCGAGTTGGACGACTCGGAGCTTTCAGCCATGGACCTCGATAGCGTCAGCAGCATCGGTCTGAGGACGTTTTCAGGGTCCGAAGATTTGTCCGAATAGGACTACTTGGCTGGACTCTCTCGTGGCTCTGGGCCGTTCGATTATTCACTCCAATCGTAGCTGCGATGAAGCTTCGGAGGCTTTCTTCTCTTTCATTTACCGTTTGGGTCCCGACAAGGCGTCAATTTTTGCGAAAGGAGTAGACGCTGAGCTTGGACTGTATCGGTACATAATCAATGGCATTGTAAACGTCTATCTACTCGTTCTTAATGCAATCTGATGAGATCTTGATCCCCCCTCCGCGGGTCAAAGGCGCTAATCCCTTTGCAAACACCAACCGCGAGGCGGAATTCGAAAGGTGACCTTGCTAATAAATGTCAAATGTCAAGCTGGCGCTTAAAATTGATCGAGAGTCGAACGTGACGGGGCTACCGTCGCTAGCTCACGTTGCTCGTGGCTACGTGTAGCATTGGACACTCTCCCGTGATAAGATGTGGGGTGATAATAGATGAAATGACGCCACGTCTGTCCTCTTTTCTCGGAACTCACAATATTCAGAATCTGGGAGAGAGCGCTCAACGGGATAGTCGAGTCGGAGGCTACAGAATGATAACCAAGCGAGATCCGAGAATCAATGGCGCCTCTTGTTGATCAAGCGGCCTCTTGACGTTCTGGGAAGTGCAGCCCTCTAAATCCCCTTCGAGTCATTAGACACATTGGGGCTGCTTCTGGACTTTGTGAGATTATTCTCGACTCTAAAGCAGATTTTGTACTCCATTTTAATCTCTTTATCCCTCTAATTGGGCCACACCGTGTGGTTTACGAGCAGGCCCCCCACAGCTTCGCCACACAAGAGATCTGAGCGTTTAGCAATCGAGGCGAAAAGATATCCGGTTGTATAGAGCATCTTTGACAACATATTACCGCCCTATTCCCTGGTAGTTACCGTCAAAGGCTCAAGGTTTCCAACCAGCGGTTGCGCTCATGGACGAACTCACGGGCATGTATGACCGTATTCGGGCTCTTTTCATCGCAGGTAAATGTCAGAAGAGAGGTTCCTGCCTCTCACCCGCTCGACATGGCAGAGCGGACCAGTGCTCCGTGCCCCAGGAGGAGGAGGCTCAACAATATCTTCAAATGTCGGTACTAAAATAATTTAAATATTTTCTTGTATGCAATTGAGGTTGTTCATCGCATCTTATGCCCCCGTACCCCGCCTTCCGCCTATCCGCTCCAAACCGCCGCAGTGTAAGCTGGCGCCTTGGATAAACCCAGCGACGGAGGCTGTCGGACGAGCCCAAGTAGCCTGACTCGAGCGGTATTTTAGTGGAATGTGCGGGCGCTCAGTCAAACTGGCGAGGCGACACGACTCCGGCGTGGTTTCGACTGAAGAGAGCACGAAAATTTGGATATAAAGGGTCAAGCAAAAGGCCGACTTTAGCAAGTAACATTTCCGGTCATGAATCACTATAATAACAGACGTGTGTATGACTTGGCCGCACTCACCTTGTTCTCACCCACCCCCTAGACTCTGGCTATCGTATGGCTTCCAACTCTAATTACGACAACTCTGCAAACGAGAATGATAATGAGCGGAACTATTCCCATCAGTATTATGCCGCAGGTAGGTTTTCCATCAACCAGTTAACCATCACGCTCATCGAGTCGCCGGGACACAAGGCTACGCGCAAGCAGGTTCATCCCTGCAATATGCCCAAGTAAATCCTGGAGGTGGTCAGTATGTCGTGACGAGTTCTACTCCATTGCCGCCTGGGGTCCAGCAACTTTCTTGGAACCATCAACCGCCTGCAACGTACGGCGCAGGGGGGCATGGACCTGGAATAGCCTCTGGATATGGCCATCCTGTCAATGTTGGAAGCTCTGCATACGTGAATGCATCTGGTGCAGGCTTTGCCGCGAACGGCATAGCGTACCCGCCGTCAAACGGGTTGCCACTGCTCGCTCCTGGAGGAATGGCCACAGCTGGGGTCCTTCAGTCACCACATATTGTCGGGAGCCACAGCGTAGAAAGTACGATGGGAACGTTTACGTGCCCACATTGCGGAAAATCCTACGATCGAAAATCGCGCTGGGAGAGTCATCTCAACACTCACCTAGATGTCCGTCTCTACAGATGCGACGGATCATGTGGAACGACAAATTGGTACGTAGAGGACGTGACCTCTGAGTCAGTTCTGATTGCTGAAACCGGCTCTTCGCAGCGATGTCTCGTTTACTTCAGCCGAGGCGCTTGGAGCTCATAAGAAGAAGGACAGGGAAGTCTGCAAAAAATGGTTAGCGGGTTCATTGGTCCGAGCAGAAAATAAACTGACAGAGCCCTTGTGCCTTTTAGCGGTCATCTTGTGACAAAGAAGAACATGTCCCGTCATCTCAATACGCACTGTGGTGGATTATATCAGGGCGCCGAATAGACTTATTGTGCCGGATGAACTCTTGACGAGTAGCTCGTGACAGCCCCAAGGACATTTTCAATCCCCCTTTATAACTTATGATATGCTCACCGCTTGTTTCAAATTTCCTAGATTCGAATACCAACATTCTCCATTTTGAAGCACTAACACTGGTTGTCCTGAGGTACTCAAACATATGGAGGGCGCGTGAATCTGCAAGCCGGTGACATATGTTGACATGTGAGTAACACGATTTGAGGGAGTACTACACTGAAGGGCGCGTAGTCTTTGCAGTTCTAGGCTATTCCGTGCACAGCCAGCGAATGAGATGCCATTTGAGAATAATCGATGAGGATAGACTCGTATTTTCTGATTATGGAGAGTGTGACTGTGGATGACTCCGACTGACACGACTGGATCCCAGCATTTCCGCGCCTGCTTGTGGGCCTCGATCGAGGCTTCCAAGGGTTCCAGGAGAGTCACGAGCATCAATACTTGCGTACACCACCACGTCTGGCAATCGCGCAGGAGCCGAGTGGGACAAGGCGGAATCCAAGATGGTCTCCAACCGCGTCGAGTTTGCAGCTTTCCACGACCATGGCTTCAGCACCACGGCCTATTCCAGTCTCACCTAGAACACTCAGAATGGACACGAGTGAGCATGGACTTGCAAAGTCGTCCATTCCCGAGGATGGCCAGCCAAATTCGCCGTTTAACAATGTCAACTCGCCTCAGCATCCTGCAAGACTGTCGCCAACAATTTCAAGGACGTATGATCCTTCTGATCCAGACGTAGTGGAGCGCCAGAGAGCCATGGATGCAGATTTCGCAATGCAATTGTGTACGTAGATATCCATTTGGTGACGGACGGGAGCTGACATCATTTTGTATCTATATACATCGGCTATTTTGCTCTCTGATACCGTCTTATTATATCTCACCGCTATTTTTGTCGGATGCCGCCGAGTAGCTCGCGCTCGAAGTGCCAGTTTCGCGGTCGCCCATGTGCCGTCGACTCAAGACCTTCCCACCCCTCCAATAAGGACGGCATTAGACCCAGAGGACGAGGAAGAACGGAGCTACTTTCCGACAACACATGTCGATCATGTCTCTGGAATGGGCTCTGGGAGCGAAACACCTGCTCCATATCATCTCAGCGGTGGAATAGATCCTTCGTTGATGATGAATCAAGCACACGAACCGGATCTGTTGGTGACGAGCGTCAGCTCTAAACTTCGGAACCAGAGTCCCCTCGCGTGCGATCATGAACGTACACACGAAGAGACTCAAAGTCAATCTCCACCGTTTGAATCGCCTCACACGGCCGCACAGCCCGAGCTCGAGCATCGGATTGGCGGTGGCTACTACAGGAGCAAGTTTGATTTTGGAGTCATGGAAGAGTTTGCCAAAGAGGAACGACAGCGACTTGGAATCACGCGCAACACAGATTGGACCAAAGGCTCCACTCGCAGGAAGCCAACTCGAAACACAGAGACGACTGTTATCCATGAAGAAAGTGCCGCAAGAAGCGCAGAAGGTCTGCCAAGCGAAACGACAGTCGGTCAAGGACACCGAAGGGAAAGCGAAACCCTGCTTCAGCCACGCAAGACGGGCGGGAAATTGGCGCAATTCGAAAGCGCAACAGCGACCCTCCCGCCCTTTGACTTGCCCCCAGCTGCGTCACCCATGCTTGGACCGACGCTCCCACCGGCCAACGGAATTTCACCTACCGACCAGCCGGTCGATTTGCCGCCTCTTGCGAATAGCTGGGAGCACGAGACTCGACCGTACCGCTTTTCATTTTACTCCAATAACCTTCGGTCTACGATTCATGCGCGAACGCTGAGTGAGCTCCCAGCAGAAAATCAGAGCTTTGAAGAGCTGTTCCAGGGGAAACGGACGGCCCCTGCCAAACAAGGCGTTGCGAGCCAGGATCCATCCTTGGTCAATCTGCCCATGGACGTTGTATCGGCAAAACGTGACTCTGGGATACCTGGTCGCGGTACGACGTGGAAAGAAGACGAGGATGCAAATAGTTGGTGGCTGGATATACTATGTGCAACCGGTACGGTTCCGTTTCGTTTCCGTTGTTTGGTCTAACTGGTTTTAAGATGAAGAAATGCGCGTGCTCAGCAAGTGCTTTGGAATCCACCCGCTCACAGCCGAAGATATTCAAATGGAGGAAACACGCGAAAAGATTGAGCTGTTCCGGGACTATTACCTCGTCTGTTTCCGGAGCTTTGATCAGAACCAGTACAGTCCGACCTATCTGGAGCCGATCAACTATTATATTGTGGTATTTAGAGAGGGTATTCTTTCGGTATGTCCGCGCCGTTGTTCCTACTATTGCTCACCGGCCTTGCTAGTTTCATTTCAGACAGTCTCCACACCCACAAAACGTGCGCCGACGAATCAAACAGTTGAAAGACTATATTAGCGTGACGTCGGACTGGATATCGTACGCGCTGATCGACGACATTACCGATGCGTTTGGTCCGTTGATTCAGAGTATCGAGTATGAGGTCGACAGCATCGACGAGCTTGTGCTCATTCTTCGTGAAGCCGAGCAGAGTGACATGTTGCGAAGGTGCGGGAGTCGCGATGAATGATGAAGGGATGCTCACCGCTTTACAGGATTGGCACATGTCGCAAAAAGGTCATGGGATTGTTGAGGTTGATGGGCAACAAAGCCGACGTCGTCAAAGGACTCGCGAAACGATGCAACGAAAACTGGAGCATGGCGCCAAAGTCGGACATTGTACGTCTCTCTCTCGGGTGATTAGATTGCCATTCCTGATCTGGTTTGTCTAGGGACTCTACCTGTCTGACATTCAAGACCATTTGATCACGATGACCCAATCGTTGAACCACTACGAAAAGCTGTTGTCACGCTCGCATTCCAATTACCTTGCGCAGATTAGTATCGAGATGACCGACGCGAATAATCAGATCAACGACGTGCTTTCGCGGCTGACGGCAATGGGAACTATCCTGATTCCGATGAATCTCATTACGGGTGAGGACGATTGTGGGGTTTTGCTCGTTGTGCTCATGGGTTGGACAGGTCTGTGGGGGATGAACGTGCACGTACCGGGGCAAGACGTGAAAACTGGGTATGCATGGTTTATTGGGATCATCTGCTTTTTGGTCGGGATCGGAGGGGTGGGGAGCTGGGGCGCATATCGGCTCATGAGACGCAGTCGAAAACGGTGACCGTAGACTCTTAATAGGTCGCACGTTTTCCGCTCTGTTTGTTACAGTACAAGCTATCTGGTATACAGTTTCCGCTTTAGATGAATTGACGCAGACCTTTTGTGAATCGCAGAAAGCGCTCAGACGAGGAATGGATTCTTTTCTGATGGACCAGATTTGTCTGCATCTGCAAATGGCGCAGGTCTACGGGCTCTACCGCTGGCCATTGCCTTTGTCTTTGGGAGGGCTTTGACGGAGCGTTTGGGTTGCTTGGATTTGGACTTGGACTTGTTCCTCGGATTGTAATCGTCATCGTCCTCGTCCTCTTCGTCTTCAGAGTAATTGTCCTCGTCGTCGTTTGGAGAAGAGTATTCTGTGCCACTGTAATAATCTTCATCATGCGTCGCTCGTCGTCGTTTGCGAGGACTACTCTCTCCGACTGCCATCATCTTTTCCACCAAGTCGACTTTTTCCTCGTTTGTCGTCGTCATTGGCGGCTTTGTATTCGTCGAGTCGAGATGGACGTTTTCGAGTTCGCCGGCGGCTTCGTGGATAATCTCATGTTCGGTACGAAAGATGCTAAAGCGGACTGGGGACGTTTGGGGTGTGTTGGATGGGTTTGTGGGTATGGGCTTGACGGGGGATCCATATGGAGTGGACTGTGGTGTATTGCGGTTGCTTGCGTAACCTTGGCTTACGTCTGTTCATCTTGTTAGAGTTTAGGATTTATTGTAGATTTGGATGGATGGCGCACTGTAGCGGACGCGACGACCGACATTGGCGAGCTGTGCGATCAACTCGTCGGACAAGCTGATTGTTGAGTGATTAAAAGGAAAAAGGTTATGAGCAACGTACAATTGGGTTGCGGCCGTGCGGGGGAGCTTGCGTTGTTCAAAGGCAGCTTCTGTCAAGATGCGTTTCTGTGGCGATGCTTCCATTGGTCTGTTTACTTTATTTTTAGGGGGTTATTGTGAGTTTGAAATGAAACCAGAGTCAGACGGTGGCCTCCAAGGTGGGCCTCCACAAGGGAACAGGACATGTGAGTGGAATTGGATTTAGCTCCAGAACTTGCTCATTACATCCGGGTTCTTCTGATCGGATCAAATTTACGTCCATCAAAAGCTTATATTATTGGATGGTGCGGTAAACAAAAGATGAGCCCGTGAAGCGGTGGATTGACAGGTCCGATGCGTCTCAAGGGCATATCGGGCGTTATATACTGCCAGGGCTACCAGGACTTGCGCGGAAAACGCGCAGTAGGCGACCTGAAAACCACCTGTCGATCGACGCAGACGGAGCGGAAGTAAACCGGTGGTACGCTAGAAGCGGAGATGAGAGACCCCAGAAATGAATAGAAATAGCGTTGCTATTACAGTACGAAATGAGGAAGAGGGAAACCTGATGGCGGGGACTCTGAGAAGTGGGACCGACTAAGCTTTAAATACAGCACGGCTGTCCTTCTTCTTCCTTTGGGCTGAAAAGTCTAGGCCCATGGCACATTATTCATCGGCAGGACTTGTGCCGTTTGTGAGTGGGAGTGGTTATCGTGAGTTCGTGCTGTCCACAACAATGTCCGACTATGTTCACCGGGCTGCTGCAGAGTCGTATAGTGTAGATTATGGGCAGACCTGGCCGAGCTCTCCGCTGGGCAGCTATCCAGCCGTCGAGTACTATTCAGAGCTGTATGCTCCTCAGCTTGTTGGACATTATCCGCTGGCCACTCAACTTGATTCCGGACGTGGCCCATCAGAACGCGTGTATATTCCTCAGAGTACACACCATCTTGACCAATGGCCCTCAACGGTGCCAGCAGCATCCAGTCTTGCAAATCCTCCAAGTCCGCTGCATCCCTCGCCCGCCCTCACCCTCGTCAACCCTTCGTTCACTCCTCCGATCCAGAGTCCATCATCGGATGCCGCTATTAGCGCCCAGCCGCCATCACCAACAGCCACGGCCGCGAGCAACGGCAACGGCAACGTTGACCAAGACCAGATTGTCTATGCTGGCTCAGGAGCTTGGAAATGCGCTATTTGTAACAAAAAATTACGGAGAAAGCAGCGGGCGTTGATTCATTTCATGAACAAGCATGGAAACGTTCGCCTCGCCTGCAATGGCATGTGCGGCAAGGGCCATTGGTGTGTATTTGGTCTTCTACTCTACTTGCTCTGTGTTTATATCCTCTAGTGCAAGATCCTTTGCGACCCGCGAGTCGCTCGACGTCCATCTCAACCCAATGATGACAGAATGCCAATCCTGGTGGGTATTTGTCCTTGTTCTAATGCTCCACCACTCACTCGTTAATCAGTGGAAAGACGCTCTTGAAGAAGAATATCCTCCGACACCAAAACCAGCATTGTCACGCGCTTGCTACAAAGTAATCAAAAGTTGCCCGCTTATAGTATCTACTCCTCTCATGTACCATTATACCTCGCCGTCGAAGAATATATACACGCTACCCTTCTTGAACCTCACCTTTGCCGACCTTTTCTCGCTGGTCTTCAGCATTCCGACCAGGCGTGCACCACGCCGCCATCTTTTTCACAATGATTTTCCTCTTCTTTTCCCTTTTCCTTTGCGGCCTCGTCCGCGCCCAGTCCCAGTCGCAAGCTGTAACCGTTCCCGTTCCACCTCTACAGGTCTGTTTACCCAAATCGATCATATTGAACCCCCCAAACTGGTTTGTTGATAAAAATAATACAGTGGATTCGACTACAAACGACGACAAATGCACCCGCCTTGGCTTATGCTGCCGCCGCCATCGACACCGTTCATTCCCACCTCGTCCTCTTTGGCGGCGAGACGAGCGGTGGGCTCACGGATGGAAATACTCATCTCCTCAATCTTCGTTCCTTCAATTGGTCATCCCCGCCCACGACTAGTACTGGCATTGGCAGTGCCAAACCTCCCGCCCGCTCTCGAGCTTTGGGCGCACATGATTTAATTGCATCCTAGTGCGTCGCTTTGATTGGTCCCCCTTTTACTTTCCCGCTAAGACTCCTCTAGCAGAAACGGCTTTCTTCTCTATGGGGGGCGTGCAAGTGATGGAAGTTCCCTTTCCGACGTTTGGGTATGTTAAATCACCGTATCAAGGGTGCTCAATTCAAAAAAAAATTGTATAGGAATATGCTTTTAATGGTCAATTTTGGACAAACATTACCGTCAGGGGCGATATCCCTCCTCCCCGTTGGGGCGCAGTCGGCGGAGGAGACCCTCCCGTCGTGAACAACATCGATTCCAACTTGCTGACCACGTTTTGGATGGCCGGCGGAGCGACAGTCGTGTCCAATGGACAAGCCGTCGAAACGCTCGACTACAACGACGTGTATCGACTCCAAATGAGCGGCACTGTTGCGCAGAATTACATTGATGGCACCGCTACCTGGGCCAAAGTCGCGTCGACGGCTAGTAATGTCAAGGGACGAATAGGACAGGCAGGCCTCGTTTATCGTACAGACGAGGGGAAAGCAAAATTGGGAATCTATGGCGGGTGCACAGGTTCACAATTCCAAACACTTGCTTCTGTCAATCAGGAGTGCGCCCAGGCGGATTCATATGTGCTCTCGACGGGGGATAGTAGCCCGAATTGGGAGACGATTGCCCAATGCCCAAGTCCGCGCGTCGGTGCATCGTTTGTGCCGACGCTCAATCACTTATTCAGTGACATGGCGTTTCTCCTCTTTGGCCTTTCGCCCAATGCTAATACCACCGACGCCGCGGCGCTAGAGGAAAAGGGCGAAATTGACGTATTGAGTCTGTCGCAGGGCGTATGGACGCGTGTGGTTCCTTCATGCGACCCGTCGTCGACTCCACCGTGTCCTGTCGCGCGTCAAGGTGCGGCCGTGGTTAGTTCGCCTAATCCGATTGTCGGAACGGGGATTGCGGATGGTCAGGCGTCGGATGTGATTGTGTTTGGTGGAAAGGATAAAGATGGAAATGTGTTGAGTGATGTGTGGATCCTGCGGGCGACGGCTGCGCAAACGACGTTTTCGAATCAGACGACGTGGGGTGCACAGTTTGGGGATGGAACGCTGGGCAGTGGACCCGATACGAATGGTCAAGGTGTTAGTGTCCAGGTGCGTTCGGGTCGACTTGTGTTGAGCGGGAACTCATGGTTTGGTCTAGTTTTTGACAGATTGTTCGTCTCCTGCATCTGGTTCTGGCCCCAGCTCGACGACGAGCAGTGGAGGCGCTCAGCCGAGTGGTTCAAATGGCCATTCTGGTTTTAATTCGGTTGGACCGACGTATCGCGTTGGTACAGCGCATCAAGTTTTAGCGGGAACGTCCGTTCTTGCCATTTTGATGACCGTCCTCTTTGCGCGATGGGCGGGTTTCTCTGTCGATGCGGCGTCCTCGACCGATGAGAATCCAAAGACGACGACCACCACCACGACAAAGATGGCGCTCCTTTTCCTCGCGATTGCGTCTTGGATGCTCGGCGTCGTTGGGTTTGTCGTGTCGTTTACGTCGACTCGCAAGATTACCTCTGCGACGAGCAAGGCCAGACTAATCAGACGGGATGGTGGGAGTGTATTTGGGCCGACCCCTCATGCAATTGTTGGTTGTGTGCTCTTTGGAGCGGCCTATATCCTCACCCCGCTCGTCATACTCTCTCGTTCGTACGCGCGAAAACGGATGCAGAAAGGGAGAAAAGAGGCGAATGGGCAAGTCGAAGAGTTGCCGACGTTGCATCATGGCTATGGCAGGGACGCGTCTGCCAATTCAACGCCAGGCGAAAAGGCACATCCTTTTGGATCCCACAACATCCGTTCCTCTGTTCATTCTCAGTCGATGAGTACAGCGTTGAACAATCCCTCGATTGCAACGGCGTTAAATACGCTCGAAGGAGGCGGAGAGCAAGAGCGAGCCCATAAATCAAGAGGAGAGGAGACGGGGGACGAAGACGATGGAGACGAACCTTTGGGTGCGGGCCATCGGGAACGATTGAGAGCGCGTCGGCCTGCGTTTGCTCCGTCTGCCTTCTTCAAGTGGCCGAGCTCTTGGACTGTACTACCGACGCCGGTGAAGAGAGGACAAGATGCAGATACCAAGGGTCGTCGAAGACTCTCGTCACAAGCGTCTACACCCATGCTCCCTCGCAATTCATTAGGAACCCAACCTCCTTCACGTCCTGCCTCTGTTGATGCCTCTGCGCCTGCTGCCGGTGGTGAGACTGGATTTGTTGTCCTCAACCGTGGACGGCATGCGTTGGACCGTATGACGCACGCGACTCCGAGCCATACTAATGGGAACGGAGCAAGGTCTGGTCCCGTGACGCTCAGCGACGTGAGTTGGTTGGAACGCCGGCGGAATATGAACCTCGTGAGCGAGATGGATTATGCAATGTCCCAACTACGCTCGTCCAAACGACACTCGACTTCTGCTCTCATGGACGTGTCGCCAGATGGGCATTCTGAACACGACCGCTCGCCGCGTGCGTTGGCGAGCGGGAGACGAGGGATGGAGTTTCCAAAACGGCGTGTCGTGCTTTTGCACCTCATGTTCCATGCGCTCCTATGCGCATTGGTTGTCTACACTGCCGTCGCGTTGTTCTCCAAGACGCGAGGCAACTTGGGGGTACCGCTTGGTGTCGTGTTTGTCCTCTGCGCGGTCGCGTACTATGTCGGCGTGGTGCTGCTGGCGCTCCGAGGGCGCCCGGGTGAAGGGAGCGTGCTTGTCGTTGGATTCGGACGATTGCGTGGACACTATCCTTCTGGTTCGGTGCCTCATGGGTCAAATGGGGAGGAAGATGTGAATGGTGTGGAGAGGGAGCGAGCCATTTCGCCGCTCGTGGATGGCGTGACGGTGCATTCGTCGCGTGCCTCGCGCGCTTTTTACCCTCCACATGACGGCGTCGCTCATGCCGGGAGGGAGGACGAGGAGGATGAAGGAGAGGAGATTGAACGTGAGATGGGCAGACGAGACGTATGTCCCTTTTTGACTATCTTATAGTATGATTGCTGACGACTCGACAGGTCTCCATTGTCACGGTGGTGCCAAAACGACGACTATTTATTGCCAATGGCGATACATTATCCTAAACGCTATCCAATTTCCGGGAGCAAGAGGCCCTTTGTGATGTTTTCTCCTGCTATCATCATCATCATCCATCCATTACGGACTTGTTTTACTTGCATGCCAGCGATCATGGACACGTTTGTTCGTCCTAGGCTTAGTCTCTTTCTTGCATTCATGTCATACCTTGCATATGGAATCAACATTTGGAATCCAAAAATTAGATGTTTACCCTCATTATGTGTGCTATATCTGTGAGATTTGCTCGCCGGAGAAGTGACGAAGAGTCGGCGACGAAACTTGCACCCTGACCACAACTTTTGCTGCTGGCCAGCTGGGGCTAGCAATGTCGTTTACATTTACGTGGCCACGTTTCTCAGACCGATTCCATCAAGAAGCGCGAGAACTGCTCTATAATGCACTCAACAAGGGCTCCAAACCGCCCATCATTGCCGACGAGATTCAGGTCGTCGAACTCGACATGGGTTCACAGGTAAAGTCTTGTTTTCGTTGAATTTCTCGACTGACAATGCGCTCCTACCGCCTCGTTTATTCCTCGCTGTTTCCGCCGCTTTTGGCACCCTCGATTATTGAAACTTGTGGAACTCGCCCAGCGTAGCCGCCCGAACTCGAGATTAAAGACGTTGGTGAACTGACAAAGGACCAGTTTAGAGGCATCTTCAAGTTGACGTATTCCGGTGACGCCTTTATCGTCTTGCGGACCAAAGTCCAGGCCAACCCGCTTACACACCGCGCGACTTCGACGCCCTCGGATGGTGATACGAGCATTTCGTCCTTGTTGGGTGGTGGGAGTGGGAGCGGCGGTGGAATCCTCGCTGCGCACCAGCCTCTCGTCGTCCCCATGCTCCTCCGTCTTTCGCAATTTCGCCTCAATTCGTACGTAGTACTCGTGCTCTCCAAGCAAAAGGGCTGTACGCTCGTCTTCAAGACGGACCCACTCCAGACTGTGCAAGTGTCGTCGACGTTTGATTCGATTGCCGTCATCCAGAGCTTTATTCAGCGGGAAATTGAGGATCAGTTGAGGGAGATGTTTAGAGAGGACTTGCCTGGGATCATCCATCGGCTCAGTCAACGTTGGGTCGCTGGGCGTACAAGAGTCGAAGCACCATATCTCAGAGGAGCAGTCTATCCTGCCCCACCGTCGTCTGCGGGACCAAGTAAATCGCATTCAACAGCAGCAAAGTCACACAAAGCACGGTCGACGACTTCTCGACCATCGTACAGGGAGGAAGAGTACGAATTTGGGACAGGCATACCCATGTCGGCCAGTCTCGGTCTCCACCCTGGTTTACATCCTACCGCAAGTACACCTGGCTTTAGTATGCGCCGACAGGGTGGACCACCCTCTTCTGTATCATCCAGGCGACCTCCACCGTCAATCAATCCACCTTCCTCCATTAGTGCACGAACACATTCTCACCTCTCAAAGTCTCCACGTAATTACCCGGGATCCGCTGGTTCAGCACACTCGTCCGGCTTTCCGCAAAACCCGCTCTCCACCGTGCCCGACATTGAAAACTTTGACCCTACATACGGTCTACGATCGGATAATGTCCCACATCAGACGACGTATTCGGGGCTGGGCAAGCTGTTTGGTGCGAGCCGTGGCTTGGCAGACTTAGCGCCGGTAAAGGGAGGGAGGAGTGAGCACGGCGGTCTGGACGGCGAGAGTACATACGATGTTCTTGACTGGGAGGATGATACGACCACAGGTGCGGGGATGGACGACGTGGACGATGAGCCCCCGCCAGCACCAGCTCCGCTGGAGGACTTGGAGACCATCCCAGCAGTGGGCGGAGGATTTGTGACACGTCTACGCCCGAGAAGGGGTGTTCCCTCCAGCACGGCTGCCCAAGCGCCTTTTGGAGAAACCAGACGGGGTACGCGCTCAACGTTTTCCCTGGCGGACCAATGGATAGAGGCGGGAAATGAAGACGGAAACAGCCGTGGCGCGTATAATCCGTACTTTGGTGAGGCATACCGCGAGTATCACCGGGAAGAGGAGGGCATGCACAGGCGATCTCCTCCCATTTCGGCGCCACCAATATTCACGCCGTCTGAGATCGGATCCAAGTCTGGCCGTCGGGTCCCTGAGTATAGCGATGTCCGCCGTGGACCTGGATCCCATACTGGGGCATCTAGGTCGTATACGAGACGTGATCCCCAAATCCATCATCATCAGAAACCAAAACGACAAGGAGAGAACGAAGAAGGATCATTTGATGACGCATTACAATTTGAGCGAACACAATCACGTTCCCCATCTTCACCTTCTCAACGAACGGCCGCGGTACCGACATTATCAGACGAAGACGTGACGGACGGTTTCATTACACACGACAATTTGCTCAATGACACTGCCCTCGACCAGCAACGAAACTGGACAGGCAGTTTGTCACGGAGAGGGGGTGGGATCATATTGCGAAACCAGAGCGTGTCACAATTAAGTGCACTGTCGAGGTCAAACCAGACGCTCTCCCCTTTTACGCGATCCTTTTCGCATTTCACGGTCCGAAGTGGGCCGCCCAAGACCGTGGTGAGCAATACGATGCCATTCCCGAGCGATGCCAAGCATGGTGCACTTGGGAGGAGTGGAGAGGTCAAGAAAGCCCGGAGGAAACGCGTCCATAGGATTGGCGCCGCAAGAGTCGCACAAGGTGGGAATGACAAAGGCAAAGAAAGTATAGAGAAGGAGAAGGAGAGAAGTGGACTGCGCAGCGCATCTACCAATGTCAGACGGTATACGGGTGGAGGTGATATTACCTTTGGTCGGAGGACGGTGATGGAACGGGGTATGGGGTATGAAGAAGACGAGGAAGATTCGGAAGATGATGTGGAGCACTATTTCCGGACGAGGAGGCCAAGCGAGGCCAGTAGAGCCCGAAGAGACTCGAGCAGGAGAGAGGAAGGAGTGCCGCTCTCGCCGAGACCAAATCTTCACAAGTCTCCGATCCAACAGCACCAACCGTTGCCACAACAGCAATTACAGCAGCAGCAACAGCAACAACAATCACAACCGCAATTGCGAAGAGTGGCATCGCCTCCACCAGCGCTGTCGCTCGAGGGGGGTGGCCATGGGCGACGACAGCGGACGACTTCTGGCCGATCGAGATACTAAGGGGAAGGGAAAACCATTCAAGACGGGCAACGGGAGTACTCCGAGGCGTGTCTCCGATCAGGTAGGAATTGTTACGGCCCTCGTAATTTGTGAACGCGACATCATTTTTCTTTTACGTCAAGGGCTCTTTCACACGTAATGGAACCTGGAGATCACGCATTCATGGACAGTCGACCCTGGCGATGACTCCATGGATCAGAAATCGAGCCGGCTAGGGGCGGGAAGGCGGAACGAGACGAACAAGCGTTCGCACTCGTCAGGGCCGACCGCGCGTCTAGAAGGGCATTCAAGCATTATCAAACAGGAACGGTGGGTGTCTTAAATAAGCTCAGGTTGATCCGACAATGCAGGAGGTGCTTCCGAGGAAACCGCTGTGGTGGCCACGTCCACGGTAAACGAAACAGACGAAACTTTGAGTAGACTTCGAGGGTCATGGAGGGGTTAGAACTCGGTGCTGGTGAGCCATTGCAAACATTTTTGTTGCATTTACCATGTCAATGTCCGATTTTTCGGCACACCCAAGAGCTGTCATCCTTAGCATGTCACAGAGCAGGCTGTGAATCGAGTGACGGTCGCCAGTATTCGCGTTCGAGTCTACGGAAACACGCGACGATCCAGTGCTAGGTACACCACTCCTCGACCTCGGCATTTCAAACTTTTTCAACCCATAGACGGCGCAACCTCGGTCAGCTCGCGGATCTATTTCTCCGGGGTACCACCGCCTAACTCCGTCCGACTTGTCGATGCAGTGAGGCGAAGATTGTCCGTCATTATTATTTTAAAATATTTCCATTATGCTAATGCTAGAAGCCCAGAGCTCTAAAAGAGTAGACTCCAAGCCGCAAAGAGGGTGGCACGCTGGCCCCCCTTCTTGTTCCTCACCTCTTCATCATCTTCGACCTCGCCCAAACGACGACGATAGTAGATATACTACGATGAGCGCAGCTTGTGCTTCCCCCCCGTTTGTGCAATATCCCCTCGACACGACCTACATTATGCAAACCCACGACTGGCCATCGCCTGCTGCGTCGACGAGCTCAAAGCCTACCCCCGTGCATGAGTGCAACACCTACTGGCGTATGCCCTTTACCGATATTCCGGAAGCGCTTTTGGCTGACGAGAGGGGAATAGGGACAAATGACTGGAATACGCTCGGAAAGTATCCGTTTGCAACAAAGATTCACCTCGAAGAGAATTATCAGTCGACGACTACGACAGTCGTACCCGCGCCGAGTACGTCTACGTATGGCTTGTACGCGGCCCAGGCCCACCAAGCCATCGTCGAGAGTAACGCGAGCGAACACCATCATACGTCTCCCTTACACGACCACGGACACTCCCACTCGCACTCGCATGATGCCGGGTCATATTTCGATTTGGGCCTTGACAGGACGCGTAGTCTTTCGCCTCCGTATGTACCCGACGTCGAGACCGCAGCGACAAGTCCACAGAGTGCATTGTACGACCCGCTCCATGCACACGGGAGCCCATCGATAGGCTACATGACCTCTCCGGGCATGCATCCTCTGGTGCCCTATCAACCGCCCCAACAAGCACTCGATACTCTCATACAACCCTTTGATATGATTTCTTCCCCTGCCCCACTCGTGTCTCAAACGGGTGCCGAACCCCTGGTCCAGGTCCAGGAGCAACCAGTGGACCAGCAACAGCTGCCGTCTACCCGCGAACCCAGTGCAAGTGGAGATGAGGGACTTGAGCTCGTAAAGCTGCCGTCCGGCCAATGGCAATGTCCCCACTGTTTCAAGCAATTCAGACGGCGCGATCGTGGGCAGGCACATGTGAATGTGCACATCAATACACGGCCGTATAGGTGTGAAGGAAGCTGTGGAAATCTGGGGTGGTACGTCTTACTTTTCTTCGTCCCCTCCCGTTGTTGGAGATGGTGATCATCGGGGCATGCCCATCGGGCCGTATACGCCGCTTCCACTCCGCCGTCAATTAGGAGCGCCATATGGTGCTCTTACAAGTTTGTGTTTGATGACCGGTCCTGACGATGGACTATGACAGTGATCGATCCTATTTCTCTCAAGAGTCGCTTCAAAGCCATACGCAGCACGCAATGATCATTTGTGAGACGTGGTATGTCCGCTCATTTTCTTACGTGTGATTTGAACTCATAATGAAAAAATCAGCGGTAAAGAGCTTCGCAAGAAGAATATCAGCAGACACCGAAAGCGATACTGCACCGCAAAATCAACACCATGATTTGTTCCTCTCTCACTCAAAATCGGCCTCTCTCGTCCTCTTGCCTCAATTCATGCAACAGTTCTGGTCAGCAAGTTGCTCCCGGGAGCTTGTACAGTTTATACATCCACTTCGAGTAAAACTTATTCCATTCCTAACTTATCTCACCAATTCTATCTACGCCCTATAGACGTACGCATGTAAACACACCCATAGGTAGCAGCAGGCGGGTCCATCAAAGTAATAATTAATTAACATGATATGTCTTCATAGCATTTCATAAATGGTTGCGCACGGTTGCACGTTGTTCTCACTGATGGCCAAGATAGTGGACATGAACGGTTGGGTTGGACTGGCGGTGCCCGTAAATCTGACAGCCACTTGGCTGGTAAATGAAACACCGGAGATTTGCGGCTCATGGGTTCTCAGGGCACGACCATTGGCTCACCTGAGAAGCCAGGGTTTCCGAGTGGTTTACGCTCAAATTCCGTCCAACCCCGATCAAATATTCTTTCTGATATGACCACTTCCGCTATTATCCAATGAGAATGATTTGTAAAGTGGAGTCATTGAAATCATACAAGAGCTCATATGTCTGGCGGTGCAGGCACATTTGGCAATTATTATTCACATAAGGTCTCTGCTTGCTGTCGGGAAACTAAGGATCACTGTTTATACAAATCCTCTCGTCGAATCACCACCTTCAGAGATCATTTCGGGCAAATACATCGTAGTTATAACAGATCCGACATTGCTCAGCGCGAGCTAACCATGCCAGCCAAGCGCAGTCGATACGACAATTCTCCACATATAAAAGCTTATAATTTGGGAACAAATCCAAGTTAAAGGATTAAAACCGGCATGAAAAATAACTATAGCGACTGCCGCGATGATATACCGACGTCCGACCTCGTGCACTGCCATACGGTCCCGTGTTAACACTACGACAACAATGTTTCTTGGGACACCAATTTCCGATCATTGGAATCTGTCAACCAGTCAGCCTCCCACCCATCCCGCTACTCGGTTCGCTGCTCTTACCAACCGACCGTGTGCAATCAGTAAGACACGCCGATGAATTACGAAATTATTCACTCTTCCCATCTTGGAGCTGTATGCCGAGCTTTGTCGCCAAAACAGCCCTTGCCGACACTGCATCTGCCGCACCCTTGCTGATTTTCATAACCCTGCCGACGAGGGCATTGATTACGTTCAATTTGCCTTCTCTCACCCTCTCGGCTTTGTCCGGCAACTCGTCAATCGCACGTTGGCACCATTCCTCCAAGTCTGTGTCCGAACGCGATTTTGCGAGGCCAAGTTGATCAATAAGAGATTGAATAGAAAGACTAGGTGGTGTATGGGTGGAGTCTGTCGAGGAATCTGACGCTAGCGGTGTAGCAGCGTCGAGAATATGTCGGAGTAGTGTCTTGCCAGCAGTGTTGGTGATCTGACTTGCTTCGACGGCATCAACGATATCCCCCAGTTGCTCTGCACTGAGTGGATTTTGCGCAAACGTTAGTTGGCGATAGGTTAATTGACCAAGTAACTCGTGAATCATCCTATGCCATGTTAGTACGGTTTACTGAGCAGCTTTTTTCTCACCAATTAAGGACAACTTTGGGATCTCGTCGATGCGTCGAATGCTGGTCGCCTTTGATGGCACGTTCAAAGAATGCGACGGCCCCATTCTCGACTTCGCCATCCCAACCAACGGTTTTGCCGGCATCGAGGAGCATCAAGACTTCCAAGTCCCTCAGCATATGCTCCATGGCGTTGCTATGCTTCACATCGCTCACGCTCGAGGACGGTGCGGAAACATCCAAGAGTGACTGTAATCGCCTTTTGGTTCCATACCAGCCATAATGGACGTGCCCATCTGGTCCATGGCCAGTCATACCAAGCGCGATGAGTTCATCTTGAATGGACGATACATCGTCCTTGCGAAACAGAACATTCGGAAGATTGGGGTCTGGCATGTATCTGCAAGAATCTCCGTCATTGACCCGCAAAATATAAACAAAGAAGGCAAGAGGCCAACCTATAATCTTCGACACCCTCTTTGCTCCGTAATGGCCTTGTCAGCATTGTGTCTTCGTCAAACGTCAGGGTCTCCTGGGCGATCCTGGGCGAATTCGAAGAGGAAGAGGGCACCGCGTTTAAAATGGCCATCTGGCGAACAACTTCCGCATCTGCCTAGAGGTGAGCCACTCATAAAAGGAAACACTTTCCCTGTACGTACTAGTTGCGAGGATGACACTCTTAATACTGTTGAGGTTTTTGACTTCCGTTCTGGTCCCCATTGGTTCGCCATCTCGGTGAATCGACACATTCACATCACACCGAAACGAGCCCTGGGGATGGGGACAAAATGAAGAGGATCAGAAACGATATCTCCTTCCAATGGGCTCATTCTCCGAATGTGAGCCTGAGTTACGCCGCGAAACGAGGACGACAGCAGAGTCAGGGTCGAGAAGACGAAACCTTACTCACCGCTTCCATCATCCCATCGCTAACACCAACACTTCGCAAGATGGCCTGCAAACTTCGGACGTATTCTCCCGCCTCTTCGGCGGATGTAATGTCCGGCTGGGACACGATTTCCAACAGCGGCATGCCCACCCGATTCAAGTCGTATGTCGTCCCTGATCCGCTACTCAATGATTTGGCTGTGTCTTGCTCGATTTGGATCTGCTTAATTCGGACTTGCTTCCCAGTCTTGAGCAACTCGACGTGCCCGTTCCGCGCAAAGGGAGCTGGGTGGGGGATCCTAGTCAGGGTTCCTATACGGGCAATGATGATATTCGGAGAGTACCATAATTCTGTGTAATCTGATAGCCGGCAGGTAGATCCCCATAAAAGTAATGCTTCCTATCAAAAGCGGACCGAGGCTGAATGTCTGCCTGGAGTGCCAAAGCCGTCCGAGCAGCCAGAGAAATACACATAGGGTTGATTCTCTACGCAAAAATAAGAATGAACCATTCCCAAGAAAGGCAACGTTCACGTACCGGCAATGTCCCAGGGAATGCAGCGTCGAACAACGAAACGCGTTCGTTTGGCATTATGTCGGGATTTTCCGCAACGATTGTGTCTATTCATCCGGGTTCAGAGCTCAGGAGACAATACATGAGACGTGTATCATGTACGTACGGGAGAATAGCTTGTTTCTCGTTTTGAGTTGCGCATGTACCTCGATTCCAACGATGATATTCCATCCAGGCCATTGATCTCGCACAGATTGTGGCTTTTCCTTGGACTTTTTGTGCGCACTCTTCCGGCGCGGTGTTGCAGCGTCATTCAAAGGGTCAAACTCGTCGACTTGTTCATTATGGGCTGCTGAATTGGAGAAATTCGATCGAGAAAGACGACTCCAGGTTAACAGGGAGTGCAGGTGAGATTGACGACGGACATGGCGGGAAACAAGCAACATTGGCCACTCTTTTGAGGACTCCACTCACTGCAAAAGTTCTACGAAAGTCTCAAGAGGTGGGCTGATAGTCAATATCAATAAAATACCCTTTACTATCTGTAGATACATCCAAGATACGAGTTTCTTTTTGAGAATGGTACCCATGCTTAGAGCTCAGTGTGCTCCGTCTTTGGCTTGATGGCATCCGCCACCATTCCCTCGATATCAACCTCTTCACCACTCTCCATTCTCTTCCGAACATCATTCGCATCAAACGCAACCTGATTCGGAACAGTCTCAATGGGTCCATTCGCGTCCATCTTCATGAGCTTTGGTCCACCAAACGTACGGTCGAGCTCAGGTCCCAGCGATGCGCGGAAATCTTGCATCTCGATGAAATCAGCCGCGTTGGTGGCGACCTCGTCCATCTCTGGTGGTGCAGTCTCGGCCTTTGGTGGTGCGGGTGCGACCTCGACCTCGACCTTTGCCGTTTCCGAAACTCCGAGAGAACGACGAAGAGCGCGATCGACGCGTTCGAAAAAGCTGCAACATCATGTTAGGATTAAAGCCGGGGGTGTATGTGAAGGGACACGCACATGTTGGATTCCATGACCTCGAAGCCGGAGCGAATCAACGCGCCGTCGATGAGGATTTGAACAACCTCTCGGAGTTCGGCCTCTTCTTCCTTGTCACGCTCAGCTTCTTCGACTGGGAGTGCCATGACGCGCTTGAGGAGTCCTTCGATGAGCGGGGAGCGAGGGTTAATCTCGAGCACCTTTTGCTTGCTGGCGTATTCTTGGAGAGCCGTCTTCTTTCCGTGAGAGGTGAGGAGTTTCTCCATGTTGGCAGAGTATCCAAACGAGTCGACGACAATGGCGCATGGGCTCGTGACCAGGCGGTTAGAGATGACAACTATAGTATAGATTAGACCGGTTCATTAATGGAATAACAAGACTTGCCATCCTTGATATGTTCCTTGGTGCTCTTGACGAAAAAGTTGACGAGTGGCTTGTAGTCCTCCTTGAACTTTTCAAGTTCCTTCTTCTCCTTTTCAACATCTTCATCACCATATTGAAGACCCTTCTTTGCGACGTCTTGGAAGCGCATATTGCCCCAGACACGGAGATTAGAGACAAAGATTTCGTCCATGGTGTCGGTCATCAAGAGGACTTCATAACCACGGGCGATGAGCTTTTCAACAAACACCGAGTGGCGCATGTTCTCCGTCGTCTGGCCAATGTTGGCGAGGAAGAAGATCTGGGAGCACATTAGTTTACTTCTATCAGCAGCAGAGGAGACGCACCTGGTTCTGACCCTCCTTGCGGTTATCGACATAGTCCTGAAGGCTGATTCCAGTGCGGAGCGTCGTATCAAAGCGGAGAAGAGACGAGAGTTTGTCACGGTTACCCGTCTTTCCCTCTGCAGCCGTCTCGATGACACCAAGCTTGAGAATGGGGTTGTACACCTTGAGAATCTCCTTGTACTTTTCGACGTCTTCCTCTGCCGTCTTTTGCATCACCTGGATAAACCTGGTGATGACGATATTCTTAATCTGCTTGAGGAAGCGGTTAGACTGGAGTGTTTCACGGGATACGTTGAGTGGGAGGTCGTCGGCGTCGATGATGACTTTGGCCCAGCTGATCCATTTGGGAAGCCTGTGTTCACCAAATTCGCTTGTGATGAGGACGCGCTTGACCAAGAGTCGGGTGTCCTGTTGAGCGGTTTGAGGAGATTGCCAGAAGTCTTCGGGGCTAGATGATTTGTCAGAGAGATGAACACTTGGCTTAGAGGGATAACTCACAGAGTGGATGGGACGTAGATCAAGGCGCGGAAGCTGACGGGTCCAGAGTCACCCTTGAAGTGGTGCCAGAGGATGGGATCCTGGTACTGCTTGAAAGTCGCCTTGTAAAAGTTCTTGTACTCTTCGTCGGTGACATCCTTGGGATCCCTATGCATGGTCAGGAATAGCTAAATAGATTTATGCGGTACGCACCTAGTCCAAAGAGGAGGCTGATCATTGAGATGGACCCATTCTTCGACAGTAACTTGACGAGTCTTGACCTCATTCTCCTTTGGCTCTTCTTCCTTGGCATCTTCGACGACAACCTCATCATCATCGACCTTTGGCTTTTCCTTCTTTTCCTCGGTGGCCTGGTCGAGTTCATCCTGGGGTATCGGCTGTTCTTCGATGCGCTTGGTAAAGAGATAGACGGGGAACGAGGATGCGAAACCAGAGTGCTTGGTGATCAAGCTCTTGACAGTCTCCTCTTCGAGATATTCCAATGCGTCCTTTTTGAGAACGAGACTAGCAAAAACGTAAGCATACTACGATCATGCAAAATTGCACCAAACTCACGTAATTTCTGTACCGCGTCCAAGAGTGTTACCACGCGGGTCAGGGTAGACGTCGAAACTGGGTTCGTCGGCGCTCGAGCTAAAGACGTGTTGGACGGGTTGTGGGTTTGCCTCTGTTGCGGGTGGGAGGGAAGCGACGTAGACTTTGTCTGCGACCAAAAAGGACGAGTAAAAGCCCAAACCAAAGGCACCGATCAAATTTCCGTTTGACGAGCCAGAGTTTGAATCTGCTTTGGCCAAGAATTCGGATGTGCCGGACTTGGCGAGTGTTCCAAGGTTGGTGGTCAATTCCTTTGGACTCATGCCAATACCAGTGTCTAATAAACATGAGTACACGTTGTGACATGGTATAGACAAACGTACCGGAGATGATGAGTCGACCACCGTCGCCTTCCTCATTCTTCTCGAGCTTGAGGGTGATATTGAGTGGTGCGACGCCATCCCAGACGGTCTTGTCTTTGAGAGCGGTGAGACGAAGCTTTTCAATGGCGTCGTTTGCATTGGAGATGAGTTCTCGGAGGAAGACTTCACGATGCGAGTAGAGGGACTCGATGACAATCTTGCGGAGACGAGCCACGTCGGACTGGTGATGGCCAGGAATGTGAGCTGGAGGCAGCGAACAAGGTAGAATTTAACACACCTGGTATTCATGCTTTGTAGAAGAGTCTGTAGCTACAGGCTCTTGGGCAAAGGATGCGCCCGAGAAGAGGGAGAGGGCGAGCAAGAGAGACGGCAGGAGCTTCATTGCACTGCCTGGTGGAGAAACAAGTCGAGGAGATAAAGATGGACGATTTGAGAGGAAAGAGACGAAAGGGAGACGAGAAACAGATCAACGATTGTCGTAGGCGGGTGCCAGCTCAGAGGTTTGGATTTGGTCCCGTGGGTTTTATAGCGTCACCGGAGAAATGTCAACAAGACTACGTGGCCAATTTCATGCGAATTCTTCCGTTCAAATTCACGCCGGGAGTTGCTAACGACAACAGGTTCTAGCGACTATTGGATATCCTACGCTCACACTGAGTCTGACCGACCTTGGACCCCAACCACAGCCAGCAATCACAAGTACACCAAACAGAGATTACACCCACATGTCTCATTCATCTCCCCCACACGCCAGCATCCCACGCCACCCAACAAAGCCCGGCGATCCCATCGACGACGCCCAGCTCTTCAATTTCAGTGATGAAGATGGTCCAATACAGCTATCAGACGGCACATTACGATGTAAACACGCCCTAGAAGTCTGTGCTGTCTGCAATATCGACTACACCTTTATGCGCGAGATTCTCGACGACGACAGCGGCTTCATCGACTCGGACGAGTCCATGATGTATCTCCCAGAAGAGGAAGAGTTTTATTATATGCCAGATATGAGCAGCAATGGTACCAGATGCGACATCTGTGGTCAGCCCGCCGCCGTTGCTTGCACCGAATGCGAGGAGAGTCTGTGTATGTGGTCTACCTTCTTACTTGTTCTTACTAACGATCCAAAGATTGCAGTCCAGAGCATCGACAGCTGGTACTCACTTCTATCATCGCATCAGGACACACTAATAGTCATTAGGATGCACAAAATCATGCATCAAAGTGCAATTCTACCACCAAGTATGCCCAACCTATCCTGGAACGTTCCTGACTCATGCTCTGCAGAGTCGAGTTTGTCGTCGTCGGCACGTCCAACAAGCTATCTGACGGGTTATCCGGAGCTACAAGTCACAAATATGACACTTCACAGCCATCTCAGCTACAAGAAGCATCCGACCTCCTCAAATCCTCCAAACCACTTTCCATCCTCCTCATCGTCGACTCACCCACAACCACCAACGACACCAATCTCCTCAAACTCTTCGTCACCTCTGTCAAAGATCACGGCACAACAGTCATCATCGCACCAACGACGATGAAAGCCGCTTCAAACGCAGAACTAGAAAACATCTTTACAGAATTCGGGTTGAACTGGAAACTAGGTCAAGTCTCCAATGACAAGATTACACTTTCACCCCACGTCGCGGCGGGTGTATCCAAGATCCAGACGTCGCAAGCTCAAGGCTTGGCCGAGTTTCTTCGTCGAAGTGTCTCAGTCTTTCTCCCGCATACCTATACGACAGAGGCGCTTCAAATCACGAATGTCTCGACCAACGAGGCGGTTTACCTATCGTCCCAGGCACTTGCGGATATCGCTGGTAAAGATAGTGTCGAAGCTGTGTCGGCGTTTGCGAGTGTGGGTAAAGGGTGGGTGGGGTATATTGGCGATACGAGTCTTGAAGGGTGGTCAGAGTTTGTCGTCAAGGCCATGTTAGGTCTTTGAACGTCATCCGTAGAACCAATCAGATATAGATTTGTAGCAATATTTCCAGTGAAATGATCTAGTGGTCGCACTTTGATGGTGGCGCTTGCTCTGAGCTGACCATTACCAAGGGTTTACAGTCAACCCGCCGACTCGTATCATATGAGATGAGCCATAACGTATCCGTTTCGTCGAGTGGGATGGACGATTCAGACGCGCACCCAGAGGACTTTGTTCAGCAGCCTGACGGATCGCTCCGGTGTAAACGACACGGACTGGAGATTTGCAAGGCGTGCGACGTGGACTATACCTTTATATACCAATACCTGGATGATGATGATGTAGAATGGAAACCAGACGAGCCAATCGAGGAGCCAGACGGGACACTCCGATGTAAGCGTCACTGGCTGGAGATCTGTGGCAAGAGCTGCGTCGACTATACATTCATGCGTGAGATTCTGGAGGAGGAGCGGCAAGGGCCGATGGATTCCGACTCTGATGATTCTGGACGGATCCGCAAAGAGTCTAGGAACCCCAAACGCAAGAATAGCAAGTGGTCAAAGTGCGTCGTGTGCAAAGAATATGCGCCGAAGCAGTGTAGTAACTGCAAGACTGTCCAATGTAAGTCTTGTTCTTCAAAGGTGGCGATCTGACTCGTAGTAGACTGTGGCGCAGAGCATCAACGACAGGTAAGTCGTTGGTTGTAATTAACACTCCCTTACATATGTCCTAGCATTGGAGCGAACACAAGGCTCAATGCCGCAAGGCCTCTCAACAGAATGCCAATTCTGACTCGCATGGAACCAAACCAGAGCTCTTACTCCTCTCCATCGGTGGATATCACAAGGTTGTAGAAGAAATGGAGCACGAGTTCATTTCGTCCCTCGAGCCCCTTATGGAACTTTCCTTTACGACCAACGAGGACAGTGCGCTGCGCAGGCTCAAGAGCAAGCGACCACCTGCAGCAGTCATTGTCGTAGATGCACTCTATGCCGACGAACACGGCGAACTCGTCGAGGCTCTCATTGCCTACACAAAAGGCAAGAGGAGCAAGGGCGGCCTTGTCATGTTTGCTCTCGGCTTCCCATGTTTCATGGGAGGTAAGAATATGCAAGAGCTATTCGAGAAATTCGAAATGTTCTGGGAGATGGCAAGCTATGACCGAAAAGTCTTCAAACTCAATACCCTCCATCAGCCAAATACTGGAGCCGTGGAGCCTACGCCTGCGCAAAGGCTCATTACCTGGCGTGGAGGGAGTACCCTACCGGAGGAATATTCGATGAAGGCCCTCAGGATCAAGGGTGCCACCTCGAGTGAGGCAGTTTACCTCGAGGAAAGGGCAAGTGCTGAGGCACTCGTGGAAACGCCGCTCGCCATGACGAGGCTAGGGTTTGGAAAGGTCGTCTACGTGGGGGACGTCAACAACGAGGCGGAGACGCAGCTAGTCATCAGAAATATTCTGACGCAGCACCTCGCAGGCCATTAGGGTGAATTCGAGATGGTGTATCATTTTGGTATCTTGTCCTATCACTTGAATTCGTCGTATCCTTGAGCTGTTATGAGAGGAAACCTAGACCAGCCATTTCAAGGCGCCGGTCGCACCTGCCGAAGCCCCCGGTGAGATCGACCGGGCACGGGTTTGGGGGGGATTTACTTGCCAAGAATTAGTTTTGCTAAAGAGTGAGGCTGGGGAATCTTTTTCGCCAAATTTCTTAGCGATGGTTCCGCGCAGGCCGCCCAGCTGTGCAGTCAGTCTCATATCCAATAGGGAAAAAGACACGAGGTTTACTATATTCGCGTCAAACTTTGGTAAGGATTGCAGAAATCATATATTTCATACATCCAATACATCTAGTATTGGAATACTCGGTTCTTGCAACTTGAACCTCTCCACAATGGCCTCGTCTTCCAATCGGATAGACCGTGCAAAAGTAAGCTGACATGGAGTATTCAGACTTCAGACGGATACTAATAATGACTTCTTCCTGACTTGTTCTGCCTTTCATCGCCCAAACAATTCGTTGCTCGTCGCGCTTGAACGACAGGTCACACCATTCCTAATAAGAACGTTTGTTCGTGCATCTCCTGGACTACGAACGTCACATTTCTCTGGAGCGAGCTTGCCAACCGAAAGCGAATACCAAATCTACACATGGCAAGTCTGCAGCCTCTGTCTGTTACTCTCAACTAATCATTTTTCCTCCAAAAGGATGGATGCAACGCTCTCAGAGCTCCTAATAACGCTACGTGCTCAAGAGCGCCGCCAACGCTCAGCTCAACAGGCACGACGCTCGACACTTCAACATCCCGCAATGAAGTATACAGTTCGACAGCAAAGTACGTCTTTCGGAGCATCTATCCGGACCCTTCGCCAGCGGGCAATAGGGATCGCGCAAACGGTGGCACGTTTCAGTCCAAAGAGCTCGGTGTTGTGTACGCAAAAGATTTATCCGATGCAGCCAGCTTGGACGATGGTTGGGAGCCAAACTCTTCTGATACAAATCGACGGGATATGAATGGGCCGAGAGAGGAGAAAAAGGCAAAGGATGGAGAGGACGCAATGGACACGACCGAAATGCCGACGGAGCGGCCACCAAAAGACTCTTCCCCGCCTCCCGAGCAGGAGACAAACCGTTCTGGCGATGGTGGGACTGGGAATACCAGTACATCTAGAGAGACGCGCACACTGGCAGAGCTGCGGTTCCGTCCAGGAGACTACATTTCCGTCACCGTCGTCTTTCCCAAGGGTGAATCTGGTCCCCCGCCGTCGGCTGGAGGAGGTGGAGCCAACAGTGGGTTTGGTGCGAGTGGGTTGAACATTCGTGGATCTGCTGGAGGAGGGATAGGATCTCGCGGAGATGCAGGTCCGCCGAGACAAATACCATGGGTCACTGGCACGTCTGCGGCTGAGCCGTCAAGACCTGGAGGAGCGTTTTCGTCGACAGGTGGCGGATGGCGTGGACGGGGTGGTGGTGGACCACCTGGACGAGCAGATAGGGATAGAGATGTTCCACCTCCGCGTGATGACAGAACACGGGACTATGGTGGTCGAGGACGTGGGAGGGGCGCCGGTACGCGGGGACACCCAAGGAGCAGGAGTAGGTCCATTACGCGAGGGCGCCAGAGGAGTAGAAGCAGGTCCATGGATCGCTCCATGGCATCGTCTCGCTCGAGATCCAGAAGGTCCATATCGCATTCTCGGTCTAGGTCACCTCCTCGTCGCCGTCGTGGCGATTAGATGTTGCTGATATACATTTTCTTGGCTCTCAAAATAACCTTAGAGATCCTTTCGTGAGTTTAGCACTTGCTGGGCAGACCTTGTGTGGTTTGGCCGGCGCCCGCTCGATCCAGAGGCTCCAAGATTCACGCAGTGGTCTGTGCGCTATCGATGGAAAGTGCGGTATATAAGGCTACTTTGTTTGTCCCGAGGCTGCCTCACCACTCTTCCTTTTGTTCGACGGGTCATATTCCCCTTTGCTGCCTCATCACACTTTATTCCCCTACAAGACCGTTCTTATTATCTATCTTAGCAATCACTTCTACTTTCGAATCAGTCGTATTATTCCCAACTATCCTCTACGCGATGCAGCTCACCTCGACCCTTGTCCTTGTTGTCCTCGGCGTACTGTCAGGAGTGCGCGCTGTTCCGACTTACCCATCCTACGGGCCGAAATCCAACAACTACGGAGCTTCCGTCAGTACTGGACAGATTGGGGTGGCCAATGTTGGTAGTTCCAACGCCGGCGACACCAACGTCGCAAGTGGCAATCTCGACAATGCCGTCGTCGGTGCCGCAGGCAAGGCTGGTGGAGTAGGCAGCTATAACGCACGTGGCGTCAATATCCTCGAAAGCCGCACCAGGAAGAATACCCAGCCGCAGTACGTCAACTCGCCCCAGGCCTCCAACGAGGGCTCTTGCTCTGGTATGTCTCTTATTCCATGCCTCCGAATATCTATTTGTGCTGACGGTTTTCAACCTAGTCGGAACCGCGCAGTGCTGCCAAAGCCTGCATCAGACGCAAGACCTCCAGAGTCAGGGATTCTTCGGCCAACTCCTCGGTGCTAGCATTCCTCTGGATGACCTTATGGTTGGTGTTCAGTGCACGCCTCTCGCCGATCTCGTCCCCGTCGCTGGTGGTTCCAGTTCGTGCCGCAGCCAGCCCGTGTGCTGCACAGGCAACAAGTAGTACGTCTTCTTCGATGCCCTTCTCTACTCTTGGCGCTGATGCTCGTGTGTTCGCAGCAACGGTATCATCAGCATGGGATGTAGTCCTCTCGGCCTGCACTAGATTCTACGACTCTTTTGGATGCACGCCACCTCGTCGTGTTCTTCGACTTGGTTGATGCGCCTTTTTCGAATTTATTCATCAATTTTACCTTTGCCATTGCCGTTAGCGTAGTATATCGTCATCTTTGTACTCTTGTGCGATAGGTTGCTTGACCAATATACCCATTGGTTGAGTGGTGTAATCTCGTTTGATACTGAGTTGGTTCATTCATACCAAGAACGACCGCGAAGAGGCTCAGCCTTTGATTTGCTTGGATAGATTCTCGATGTACATTTGCAGCATCTCATTCCCCGACGTAAGCTTTTCAACTTCGTCCTGAAGACTTTGAACGCGACCGACAAGAGCTAGTATGGCATTAGTTTTTGCCAGACGATGACAAGATGCACTCACCGCGCAAGTCTTCTTGGCCGGCTGTTATCTCTCTGAAGCATAGTGTCAGAGGAGTAACGAAGAACATGCAGCACTTACTTTATCAGCGCCTCCTTTCTCATTGCATCCCGCAAAATATCGCCTGGCGCAGCGTGCGCATTGCTTCCCCATGACGGCGAGTCGTCAAATTCATTCTGAAACGACGACATGGATTCTCTTTGTCGTCTTATCCAGCTAGTACACTGAGCGGGTGCACAATAATGACGAGGGCAGGTCCAAGTTTTGAATCGATGCAGACCCTCTTGGACTCTACTACGTCTTTGGTTGCGATTTACGAGTCCATAGGCTGGAGCACGACTGTGCATGATCTGAAAACACAATGTCGAATCTACTTCTACCGCGCGGTGTAGCCGCCAAACGCGCTGCCGCTGCAGCAGCAAAGCCTCTGGAGGGCTCTGCGAAGATAGATGGCATGCAAATCGACGTCGACACGCCTCCTAAGATTGATGAATCAAGAAAATCTACTGTATCCGGCTCGCATCCATTGTCAAGTCCGTCAACCACACACCCGCTGAATCCGCAATCCACGGACATATCGAAAGTGGGAAGATGGAAAGACAGAGATCAGGATACTACGCACGTGAAAAAAATTCAAAGGAAACCGATCAAGCCACTCAAGCCGCACGAAATTGCCGTGCTCGTCGAGACAGCAATGTCGGATTATGCATTGTGGGAGAATGTCAATCTGAGACGGTATGCAAGTGATAAGAATACGTCTGGATGTACGTATCGCTCCTTCAACTTTCTCCTTGTATTAACATGCTACGAGATGTTGCACTTTCAAGACTGCTAAACGAGTCATCGATCGTAGTCGCTTCTGGAGCGACGCTCTCAGAGGGTTCTATACTGCAAGCACTCAAAGATTTTGGCACTGGGGCCGTCGAGCTTCAACTGAAGGTCGTGCCGGCCCCATCTAGCGGTGCACGGTTCAAATACGCCACTAGCAGTGCTGGAAGCTACAACATTCGTCGAGTAGATTGGAAGTCGTTGCGATACAAAACAGAACCGTCTTCAGGCTCTACCAAAGAGATGTCCGAAGCGGGCGACTTTTGGAAAAGAAGTCAAGAAGATTGGGAGAGGTCTACCATCTATATTGTAAGTTTCATTTATCCGTTATTCCCGCAGACATTCCTTATGGTTGTATTGCTGCGCGATTACAACTTTCTTTGACAGCGCGTGTAGGAGAACCTTCCGCGAAATCACTGGAGTCTCCCGGGTGCACTCGCGTTTATGCGCTCTCTCACCAATGATATCAACCAAAGGTCGGAACAGGCTATCATAATGGACGACGAATCAAGCTCCTCCACAGCAACATTCAGAATACAGCATCTCGAGCTTCCCACACATGCCAAAGCAGTTGAAGGAGATATTCCGCTCTGCAAGGGGTTCGCCTTTGTCACCTTCAGTAGCGTGGAAGAAGCCGAGAGGTTAGCGTCGCGATGGCCATGGTACACAACACACATACAGGGTAATGATGAAAAAGGAGTTGGTGAGCACGTTTTAGAGCTTTCAATGACTTGAAGTGACCTGATTTCCAGAAGACTCTGATGAAGACTCGGACATTGGTGACGAATTAATGAACCTCGATCTTTCAGAAGAGAATAATGAGCACAAGATTGCGGTCAAAGAGGCGACTGAGTCAGGTTTCCGGAGCATGACCTAGTATGCATCAATAAGAAATTCACCTGCGTCGTGGTATTGACTGAAAACTTGTAGCCACAGATGGACGGAGCTCAAGAACGAATATACTGCTCGGCAGGACGCTCTGTACGAAGCGATGCGACGTGGCATTTCTACATCCAGCACGGCTGCCACTACGTTCCGTACCACCCAAGGAGCCGCTGAATCGGTGTCTATACAGACCACAGGGTCTACACAGCCCACACAGAATGGATCAAGAGGTCGCGAGATTCCGCCTCATCTTGCACCCACTCCACAAAGAAGCGTGCATGATCCCTTGAAAAAAAGAGATCAAGATTCAGATTATCCACATGGATGCCTGCTCTTCATCAAAAACGTGCATCCCCAGACGAACAAGACTGCGCTGAAATCCCTCTTCAGTCATATCCTAAACATCGCATTCGGTAGCACCACCACAATCGCCCCTAGCTCTTCTGGACAAGGTGCATCAAATTCAAGAGTGGATTACGTCGATTGGTCAAAAGGGATGAGCTCTGTATGTCGTTTCCTCTACACAAACATCAAGAGCTGATACGAGACATTTAACATAGTGCCACCTCCGCCTCACTCACCCATCCATCGCAAGAGCGCTTTCGACGTATCTTGGTTCACACAACCTCGTGCAAGCAACCGGTGAAGACACGGTGGGAACACCCATAGCAAGCTCCAGTAAACCGACTATGAGCATAGGCGACGCAGACATGACGCGGCCCCTAGTGGCCGAGCTTGTTCAAGGGCGGGCGGAGGAAATTTACTGGAGCAAGATTCCCGAGAAGATCAGAAACGCAGCGATCGTCAAGTTGAACAAGATCGAAGTGGAAATGGCGCTTGCGCATGGCACCGATGGTCCTCGCGGGTCATCTGTCGAGAATGACGAAGAGACCACGGCTGAAGAGCGGAAAAAGCGTCGAAAGAAGGCATAGTTCGAGACCTCTTCCTGACCAATGTGATCATTTCTTGTAAAGTATTCTCACTAAAGGCGTTATCACCTGCAAAGAAAATTAATGTATCCTGATCATAAATTGGAGTGCTCAAGATGAATATAGTATGGAGCAATCGGGTTCAATGGCTGGCTACATATGGACATGTTTCTGTGTGGAGCGCGAGAGTCGAGCATAGACTTTATGACGAAGTAGGCGGTCTTTGTCGTCTGATTCCATGAATATGTCGTTCTGGGCACCATTATGGAAGCCCATCTTCATATTGTAGCCCGGACTCTTCGTCTGACCGTCCGCCTGGTCGCCTTGAAGCTCGACATTGTTCCCATCTTTCTGAGCCCAAAAGATCATTTGCTTGGCACCAGTGATGCAGCGCTTCTGATCGCCGTCGCACCATTTGGGAGGTCGAGCCTTCGCGAGAGGGACGGTACTTGTTGCCCCAACGACTGTACACTAGTTGCCAATGAGAATAATGTGGTATTAATTGGACCTTTCTGTACCTTGTATGGGTGAATGTACATATTTGGCTCTCCGCAATGGTCAGGAATCCACCTACCAAGGATTAGTATAAACTCGTCTCTTGGAAAGAGTGATTTACCCCCAAACGCAGTGACACCCATCAGTTGGACATGCAGGAAGAGCGGTAGGAACTTGGTAGGTGGCGAGGCGCTTCCATGGTGTGCTATGCCGGTGAGCTACCAGTCGTTGATAGTACCGATCCACGTACTGATGCTTCACAGTGAAGACTACAAGATTCTCAGGAGTTACTTTGGTGATATCACTCTGACAACGGGTCAGAAACATTCGCCCGACTCAAAGAGATTATCACCTGGTAGGAAATGGCAAACACTGAGCCTGCAGCGTTTCCTTCACTCTTGGTGTGAACTAGAAAGCATAAGGATTTCGAGATTCGAAGCACGGGATGACATACAATTCGGAGAGCTGAGGCATCCAGCGCTGTTGAGTGAAGCGCCTCCGGTGTTCGTGGATGAATAGCCTTCAGGATGATGTTGACCATCTCCCCATTCCGTTGTATATTGACCATTGTACGATAGACTGGTAAATGCCTTGTTCATGGCAAGCTCGACGGTGAAGGAGCCGCCAGCGGGTCTGTGATACGATGAGCGAAGTCAAATGCAAGAGACAATACTAACAGCTCCAGGAAGTCTCCACGCTCCGGAGGATAGTCATCGCACTGTGGAAGAGCTCGGTGGCGAAGAGTGAAAAGGATTGAGCCAACCTTGCTATTATGGTGCACTAGAAGTATTTAATTGAAGCTCCAGGATCAATATCGGACGTACTCCACCATTGAGAGCGGGGAAGACCGAACACCGGGAACGCAGCCTCGTTAGAGTCCGGATTGTCGGTTGTGCTTGTGCCCTTGGCAGTGTCAATCAATATCGCGAGTTTATAAGAGCTCCTGACATTAAAGCAGTACATTCCCTTTGACCACGCTGCCATGTGAGCACGAGCCAAAGGCATCAGGAGTGTGAAAGTAGAGAGCAAACGCATATTAAGATAAATAAACTGATATAGTAAGGATTCTATAACATATATCAGTGCTATACATGCTAGGATTGAACGGACCCACAAAAAGGATTGCAGTAGACGAGTGCAAGTTGGGATTGGGTGGCAAGAGGCAGCGAGTGCTCGTTGAGTCTCGGTTGAGATGTAGTGGGCCCATGAAGTGTATTTCCTCTCTCTGCGCTGAGTATTTGCTTGCTAAATAACTTTAAAATGGAAAAGCGTGACCGAGAAAGAGCAAACTAATTTGATAAAGGCACGAGAAAGTACGGAAGTGGACCAAGAAGAGATAAGTGGCGTCTATTGTTCGTACATCATCGGGACTTGCAGGTGTCGCGAACTGACAACCCTCGGCTTCTGGAAGATGTCATCCTGTGCTCCTGCACTTGGTGTAAACGATTTGATACGCTAGGTGGGTTAACACATACCTTCACGGAATCCCATTTTCTGATTATAACCCGGGCTTTTGAGATGCCCGTCGCGTTGAGTGCCTTCGACAATGACATTGTTACCATCCTTTTGTGCCCAAAAGATCATTTGTTTGGCACCTTTGATGCACTTGGTTGGATCATCCTCGCACCACCGAGGCGGGCTGGCTGGCGTATCCAAAGGAATGGTGCTCTTCGCTCCTGTGACAATGCATTTGTACGGAAGCATGTACATGTTGGATTGTCCGCAGTGATTCGGAATCCACCTAATGCAAGTGAGAACGTGAGCGAGCAGGTGACCAATTCAGGGTTCGTCGTACCCCCATACGCAATGACAGCCTCCTGCTGGACATGCAGGTAGCGACAACGGTACGTCGTAGGTCGTAAGACGCTTCCAAGGTGTGTGATACTTGACACTAAAGACGACCAAGTTTTCCGGTGTGACGTCCTTGATATTGCTCTGTCGCCATCATGAGCCGGTTTCCACCCAAAATCATTTGCATACATGATAAGAGATGGCAAATGCGGTGCCTGCTGCCTCTGTCTCGTTGGTGGTGTGAACTAGCCCAAGATTACTACTGGTATATGAGGCGCGAAGAACTCATACGATTAGGAGAAGTAATGCATTCATCCTTTCGGTCCTTTGAAGAGAATTCTGGGTGGGCTTTTCCGTCTCCCCAGTCCGAGGTGTAGCGTCCGCCGTATGAAAACGTCGTATGAGCACGATTGTCAGCGAGTTCGACCGTGAAGCTTCCACCAGCGGGGAGTTGAAGAAATTTCCCTGGGGCTGGAGGAAACTCGTCGCACTGCAAACCATTAGCCACTCCTGTTGGAACAGCTGCTCAGGCGGAAGACCTTGTTGTTATGGTGCACTGTTGAGCTCATGAACCATAGCCATAAGATTATTTGAAGCTCTTACTCCACCATTGTGAGAACGAAAGTTGATAGAGCGGTGTCACGGCTTCGTTTGCATTCTGATTGTCTTGTCCGCTCGTACCCTGCTCAGGATGAGAATAAGAAAGTAAGTCAAATGAAAAATGCCGTACATTGAGGCAGTACATGCCCTCGTTCCAAGCAGCAATGTGCGCCTGAACGAGTGTGGCGGTCGAATAAAGGAGTGGAAGGAGTCGTAGCATCGAGATTAAAGTGCTGATTAAATTATAGCTATCGAATCATTGGTGAGCATTACGTCTTTCATGAATCTTTGAGCACCCGCACCTGTGGGCGAGGGGACCAAGTTTATTGTACAACTTGGCTCTCTACTTCGTTGGCCATGATCTACCTGCCGCGAATTCATAACATTCAATACACTGATACACGATTTAGCTGCTTTAATCTCCTGAAAATGTCACTTTTGTCGCGATTCTTTGGTTTCCTTTGGGGGTTTCATGGCCCTGTGCGATGTTAATGACGTTGAAACGCATACACCTTCTGACAGAATCCACTGCTGGAACTCGTGGTTGCCTGCAATTTCAGGGCTAGAGGGCATTCTCGCAAAGATAGAACAGAAATCGCGAGTACGTAAGTGCTCCCAGTTTTCTCAATCGACGCATACTGATGGTAACTTGATTCATCTAATTGGACGGGTCGCGAAAGACCCCCAAACGGCTCCCTCGGTGCTCGCTAGGGGAAACATCAGGGACGGAGGGGGCTCCATTTGGGCCGTTATCTTGTTCAGAATTTTACGTGCCACGAGCATCCAACGTGCTCACTACGCTGCTCGAATTCGCCACTTGCCAACCCTGCTTCCCTCGTCCGCCGTTACAAAGACCGGGGGAGGTCTTGTCGAGACACAGTTCGAGCCGTCGAGCGGCCCTAGTGCGCGGTCCGGAGGTAGACGATGCCGATCGCGTCTGTCGAACTGGACGACGTCTGGAACGTAAAATAATGACTTCGAACAAGGACGGCGAGGAACCGACTCTACTTCGCTCGTCCTCCTCCGCCGGACCCTTTTTGCCAACCTTTCTTACAACTGTTCTATAACACTGCCGCTTTTTCCCTTTTTCGTCATTGCGGGTGCAACGACCTCCGTCGACAATGGACGGGTGACGATATGTTGGGTGACAAGAGCTGGCAGCTCGTCGTGGGTGGAGAGCTTGCCACCATTCCATGCGCATGCATGATTCGGTTAGGCTAACAAAACGAGGGCGACATCAAGATGGCGATAGACGCGTCGTGCCTCTCGCGCGCCCGCATGCCCACTTCCGGACGAGACGGTTTGACGCTATCTCCCCTCGTCTGGGCGGAGGCGAGAACAAAGGGGGGAGGGCAAAACCGAATATGCAAATGCGCTCGTTCCGCCGCCCAATATCGCGAGTCGCGTTTCATGTTGAGGGAACAGGCAGGAGTGATCGACACATTACCTCTCTTTACGAGAATCTCGCTCTCGTTGTACAGCGAGCAAGGACAAGCTGGTTGCGTGGGTGGGGCGGAAACTGTGAATGAGATACGGCGACTTGATCCGGATGCGCGTCTAATGCCGGTGTGTCGACGACTCAAATGGATTAAGCGACTATATTACAGCATATCGAGATTACTGTTCGAGACACGGCGGGGCGCGTCCCAGTCGACTGGGAACGAGATGACAAGCGGAGAGGGAGGAGAAATCCCACGCCTGGCTGGGACAGGCTAAAGGAGGACGAACAACTCATCTCGTAAAACGCCACGCGCGTCGCGTCTGCCGCAGGTCAAGGATCGACTGATCTCAAGTGAACCGCGGGCTCAGTTAGCGTGACGGAAGGTTGGGACGCGTTCCAGACCGGTGTTTCTACAAATCCTGTTGCTCCTACGTGTATGTGGGGCGCGTTGAATACCAAGCTAATAGAGGTGACTATACACAGTGTCCACGTCTAGGATCCATCTTCGGTGGCGCGAGGGCGATAGACAGGAAGACGAAAAACAGCTGATTAGGGACCGAGAGGCCATATCGAGTACAAGACCATCCAGACATCTGGCTACTCCTCCGAGGAGCGTTACGCGGATCGAAAACGCCATTCTATCCTCACAGACGATGGTGTTTCATGGGTTTGCAGGCCAACACCGTCCAGAACGGCATAACGCGGTCGCCTTGTGACGCGCGAGATTCTTTGGCAAGATTTTCGCACCACTGATGAAACAGTGATGAGTGTCAGGATCATCGTTTTGGGGGGTGCGCGTCACTGACCATTGGTCGCATTGAGTTTTCTCCTTGTTCTTCTCATGCTGCAATAAATCCGGTTTGGAGCAGAACCGTTGACAACTATGGATCCATAAAGCATGAGATGGGTTATAAAGCACGCAGAGATGGCGCTTACCAGCCCGCTTCGCGGCAGACGAATGGCTGGAGGTCAATGTGCGTGCGTATATGGTCGAGCACACGGTCCTTGCGATCAAATTCCTTGACGCAGCGTGTATCTGCTTTCCAAAACGCACACTGGTAGAGCTTGCCGTTTCTGGTTGTAAATTGGAGCAAGATGTCATCCGTCGGCTCGCGCTCGTTGGCGCGTTTCCAGCCTGCATTCAGGACGTGAAAAAGGGCGCGTCGGAGGTGTACTTGGGTATCAAGAGGAAAGTGGTAGCGCATCAGTCGGTCGTCTGCTTCAGAGAGGGTGGCTGGGCTGTCCGAGGCCACATACATCTCCTGTCCTCGCTGTGAGTAGCTTGATGGGTGCGGGTTGATGTGTGTCGGCTGCTGTTGTTGCTGATGCGAGCTCACGGGGGACGGCAGATGTTGCGGTTGAGGCGAATAGCCCTGGACCTGGTGCACACTCGAGTTTGAACGCTGTTGAGGCTGTTCGTGGTGATATTCGTGTACAGGAGCTGGCGGGGAGGGATAAGCGTGTCGATGCGAGTCCATCGAGCTTTGACGGTAGAGGACCGACGTCTGGCCCTCGGCATGGTGATGCGGGTGGTATGGATGATGGTGGTGGTGATATGCAGGATTTTCGTTTGCTGTAGACGTCCGTCAGGTAGGTGACGGGCGCTCGCCACAGCTCGGGGGAGACTCACGGTAGACGGCTGAGGACGACGGGTACGGAGCATTGTTTCTGTTGTAAATAAACGATGAGGGAGACTGAGGAACTGGTATCCGCTCGTGAGTCTGGAGCGGAGGGGATACGGGCGTTGGATGCGAGGACGCGGGCGACGTCGAGGCTGGTCAGGAGAGTCAGGACGCAGGGAAAAGAGAAATAAAAACAAAGTACGGACGGTGTTGGTGGTCAAGATAAGCAGAGGACGAGTAGTTTGCGTACGGGTGCTGGTACTCGGAATGGTAAGCCATGGCAAAGTAAGGGAAGGGGGACGTCCAAAAGCTGACCAGAGCGGATAACAGACCAGGCTTATAAACAGCCATCAGAGAATTAGACTTTTGAACGGTGAATAGCTATTGCGACGATAGTCGACTCTGTTGCGATCAGGTCAGACGGAATGTCGCATAAAACAGCGGTCAATAAGCCTTTGTTTCTGGTGCCGAGCCCCCCACCGAAGTTCGTCTTCCGTCTACGAAAACGGAAGGCGGGGCCCAGCCGTCCCTAGGCGCAAGACCGCCGTTTCCGTTCGACTATGCGAAAAGGATTTACATTGCCGAATGGGACCCGAGTGCCCCCCTGAGGCTGCCCCCGTCTGTCATCTCACGAGATCCCATCGGGCACGGGGATGCAATGCATTGGGCAGACACCTGTCTCGATAAACACCAGGCAAAGAACGGGAAAAAAGTACTCGCGTAAGCTACATAGCCGCGTCGTTAGATCATAAACAAAACAGCCCTCCCCCCCCTTTTGTTCACTAGTCTCATGTCTCAGTCACCCCGTCCTCTGGTCGTTGGCATCGCTGCGCCCGCCAATGCCGTGCGAGATTCTGTCGGAGAACCTGTGCTCCACTGCACACAGTCAGTCGAGCTCATGTTGTGGTTTGCACAATGGCTAGGTATTCGGCTCACCATCGCTGACACTGAACCGGCTCCACGTTCTTCTGGTGTTGGTACATGGCCGACTTTGAGGGAAATACGCCTGGACTACATACCAACTATGCATCAGTAACACGCGTATCGCTTAAGAGTCTTCGCACCATCCATCCGAGTTGCAGTCGCACAACCACGGTCGCACCCCAACATGTCGTCTGCAAAACCGATCAGCATTTGGGTCACGATCATGTATTCCGAATGCCAACCTCAGGTGCTCGAGCATGCGATCCGACCTGTCAAAACACGCGTTACAGTTTAGCCAATAGCATCCCGTCCACCAACCAGACATTCACATACCGGGGAATATTCTTGCCACACTCTGATCCTTCCGACCAGAACAAGCACCTATACTTCTCAAACCCGTTTTCCTCGATTTTGGACGTAAACTGCAGCAGCAACGACGGGTCTGGCTCCTTTTGGTTCGCTCTTCGCCACACGGCATTGATAACCTTGAGTAACTCTACACGGAACCGTTGGTGAATCTCTGTCGACAGCGGGAAATGTTCGAGCATATCTTCTGGACCGCATAGGGGTGCAAGCTGGACCTGTCTCGACTGCGACTCTATAATCTGCTGTTGGGGTGCTCGTTGAATGGACTGCATCGACGGATCTTCGTACATATCCGCGTTGTGTGTGAATGAAGAGCGTCCGCCCGCCGTCGTCCCAGCTACCTGAACAGGCATACTGGGACCCGCTGGACGGTGGTCGATCCAGGCGTACGATCCACCAAGCGAGGCCGATGGTGAAGGTGTGCTCGAGTCCCCACTGCGATTGCGAACGACATACTGTGGATTCACTGCACCGCGAGGCGGTCGTGGGGGTGGATTGGAGGAGGATGAGCGGCTCGCTGGATGGGACGAAGAGAGGAGGTGCCGGGATTGCAACGCACCAGGATCGTTTTTCGAGGCATCTTGCGACGCATTCGTCTGCACTCCCTGCCCAGAGTTCAAGTGACCCGAGATGGGAATCGGCCAGACAGTCGGAGGCAGCGAAGAGTCAACATCATGACGTGTATGATAATGATACAAGCCGGTGGGACTCTGGGGTGACATGTTATATGAAGCATCGTAACGGCCGGAAGAATAGGTTGAGGACGTCGAAGGAGAAGCGAGTGACGGCGTGTGCGAATACGGCTGATGAAGATTCATTTGGGGTGCTGAGAGTGGAAAAATTGCCGACAGAGAGTTAGGGTATCGGCGTTGCTGGGCGGTAGCACGGCACTCACGAAATGCCTGGGTAGAAGCGCTCGGCGCGGGACCAACGGCGAGCGAACTAAACGAGGTCGTCTGTGGGGCCATATACCCAGGAGCAGAGACGTTTCTCTGAGTGTGATGAAAGTTTGCATGATAAAGGTGTTCGTCCCTCATCGTCATCGCCGGAGATGGCGGAAAGGATTGCGTCGAGGATGCGTGACCGGTACTCGGGCGACTAGCTGGGCGCAAAGCATGAGTAGAAGTTATCATAGAGGGTTTATAATCTACCTGTGGCGTAGTACGCGTCGTATTCGTCTTGAGGATTCATCTGGGGATGAGATGATTGACAACCCCTCAACAGACGCGAGTCTTTATACGTTCGGAGGGGGGAATGACAAACTCTGTTCTTAGACGGCCGAACATATCAATTGCATTTGACAGCCGGACATCTAGGGTCTGAAACTTGACGTTGAGAAAAGCGGGTCCAATTTATCGAATGAGATCAGGCAAAACGCAGGGTTTGAAGGAGCCCAGCATCGCCTGACGTTGGGTGTCTACCTCAAAATCTCCATACGGCAGTTTCGGCTCAGGACGAGTGTAGATCCATCCCGAGAGCAGGCCTCTCGCAAGAACCTAGCGGAGCTCTGGTCGTGCGAGTCGGTCCAAAATTCTTACCGAGGTGATGGCATAACACCCAGAAAGTGAGTGACGATAATCGTGGAAGGAGCCCTCGCAGACATTGGATTATGGCGCACCGAAGCAAACGGGTTATTCCGCGAATAACGGCCAAACTTCTATCTCCAGCTTTTGATCTCTGGAATGAATACGGCACATACATACCATGAGGGCCAAGAATCAATGATTTTCGGTGGTGGATAACCCGCAAGGGAAATCGTCAACTTGTAAGTGTCGTGTCATCTGAACTAAGAACATGCAACAGCTGATGTCAGGGTCGTAGATTTTGAGCGCCACTCCGTCGACGCGAGGGGGACTGCGTTACGAATTGCCAAATGATCCACACACGTCGCATATTGTTACCGCACCGATCGTTGCTCAGAAAGAAGCTTGTCGAGGCCCGACAAGAAACTTGAATAGTCCAATCAGAACGCCATCATTGCCATTATTGAGGCTAACCATAAAGGCTCTTGTATACGCGCCTATGCCAACACGTCAGTCAAATCGTATCCAGATTCCATCACCCCGAGAAGAGTCTTCTATGCAGATCAGGGCACGGGAGTGAGCCCAAAGGCGAACAGCCACTTGCTGGAAAGAGTCGACGTATGTAGTTCGTTACCCCAATTGAAGATGGCATGTTTACTACACTCAGTCATGGTAAATAAATCAGCCGCCATTCATGATGAAACACCTGATTGCAAATACCTTTACTATGGCCGCTACGATCGATCCTCACGGCCAACGGAGTGGCCCGTTGTGTTTCCATGGATCGAAAATACTTGTCCTAGTGGTCCAAACCCCACTGAAATAACTTGAATGTTCCATCGACCAGCCCTCCCGCCATTTCATGGGTTTTCTTAGAAGCCGGAGGTTCTCTTCGGTGGCGACGATCGCGTCTCTTGTTCATTGTAGCTAACGGGGCACGTATCCCTACCCGAAACAAAGGTCAGACTGCTCATGTTAGTTTATTCCCCCAAACCCAGACAAGTCGAGCCTTACCGCCTTCAAAGTGCCGGTTTGTCATCCGTCCAGACACCGCGACCCCGAGTATCAGCTTTTTCACATCCACGAGTGTGCTGTCACGGCGAGCGAGGAAATGATGGTGAGCATCAAGAAGAACTTTCAGGGACTGAATAGAGTTCATGTCATCCCTAACCGGTTAAGTTTTTGTGTAACAACACAAAAGAGCGGTAGAAACTCACTCGAGTCCAACGGTTATTCGTTCAAGGACCTGTTCGAATGCGGCATAAAGCTCTGACACGGCGTCAAGTCAAATGCGTTTCAATCAGAGGCATTACCTTTTCCGTCTTGCTTCCATTGGTCCATCGAGCAATCCGCCCAGTGCCTTCTATGACCTTCGTATTGCTGCGTCTGAGTAGCGTCGGGAATCGTCAGTACGTCAACCGAGCCTTCGGGCTTATCATTTTGGCAAGTTCGGAACAGCGAGCGAATAACAGATGCCGAGTCCGTCGCAAATTCGGTATGGGCCCCATCGGATTCGTCGGTGGGCGCGGAGTATTGAATATCGGAGAATGCCGTGCCGTGCTTCGAAAGAAGATCGTATTCGCCGGAAATATGAGTAGAAGTTTGCTTTGCACGTTTTAGAGGCCTGCCGCTTGTGACGTCGAGCTCTGTGTGGAAGCGGAGGCGATTCGATATCATATTGGGATTGTGACGGCGTAACGTTTGCAATGTCTTGCATAAATTCATCATCACCAACTTGATTGACAGGAGCCGTGGGCAACTTTCGGTTGCGCTGCCAGACAGGGCTCGTGGGACTCGTAGGTGGATATTCTAAGGAACTAGGGGGCAATTTGATCACATTATGAGGGGATTCAGAAAGCGAAGGATTGAACGAAGAGCTGGAAGGACTAGAAGTTACTCGGCCTATTGCCTTTCCCGGGATGGAAGGAGGAGGCATCGAAGATCTAGATGAATATCTATAAACAGAAGCTGCAGTAAACGCCTTCCTTTTCTCTGGAGGCTGAACGGGCGAGGGCGAGCTATCGGGGAGCGAGGAGAAGGAGAGACGAATGCCGTCTGGAGTTGTTCCATACAAAGAACTAGACGAGCTGCCCACGTTAACATCTCTACAGTGACTCTGGGATTTTGACTGACCGTGCTGGATCCATGTTCTCTCCACTTGACGCGTCCAATTACGCGTCCAAAGTAGTAGAGGAACGTATTAATGTTAAATACGAATGTTTAGAGGTCTGTAAACGGCCAGACCACGTTTATCCACTTGTGAACAGGGTGGCGTAGGGGATCAAGAATTTTGGATCAAACGCATGCCTGATTAGAAATTAGGAATAACCCGAAATTCCACTAATATGCTTCGATTGATGCATCCTCATCGCCAAGTTAAACTTGCGGATTCCATAACGCCAAGGGCCACGCCGTTTGCAGGCTTTCGCTTTTTCGCTCCTACCACGAGGACGTCGACGGCCATATCAGCGCTATAATTCTCCATGGCTTTACGATTAATGATCTTTCATGTCCTGGCGACGCTTTGGATAGCCTCAACAGTCGCAGCTTACGATTGGAAGGCGATTGTGCCGCGGAACACGGGTCGAGCAAGGCTGCACAAGAGAGCCGTGAACAAGACTGTCTGGGTCAGTGCACATTCGTATGAAGGACCAACGTTTTTCGAGTGAGTTTGGCTGATTGGGCGATGTTGTTTGCGCTAAATGGGCGTAGTGGATGGGAGTTTTGGGCGTATCCAGATCCGACAAAGTGCGTGCGACTTGAATCAATAGACGGGATTACTAACGATGCTCCATAGCGGTCTTGTTCAGTAGGCTCTCTCCGCTAGGATGAGGACTTCTGCTCACTCTGACCCTCTAGATATGTGAACCGGGATGTCGCTTTTGCAGAAGGCTTGGCATACATCACCCCCGAGGGACGAGCAAACATGCATGTCGATAGCAAGACTGTCCTGACATTGGAAGAGGTGACAAGTCGACGAAAGCTTCGGAAAAGGTGCATTACTTTAGTCGCCTTGTATGCATAACTGATCCTTGTCTCAGTGTTCGTCTTCATTCCAAGATTCTGTACACCCATGGCCTATTTCTGCTCGATGTCGCTCAGGCACCATATGGATGCGGTAGGTTATCTACACAGGTCGTAGGAGAGTAATCGCTGATCCCTCCAAGGTACATGGCCGGCGTACTGGATGACGGGGTTCAACTGGCCAGCGGATGGCGAGGTATGCCTTGCCCACATTTCCCAAGTCTTCCCTTAACGGTTCGACAGACCGATATCATTGAAAATGTACACAGTAATGCCTCGAACCAAGTAGCTTGGCATACGAGTCCCGGTACGAGTCCTCTCTTGGGCCTAAGCAGAGCTCGCTCATGTTCAAAGGATGCTATCTGACGTCCCCCGGTAACTATACTGGCTATGCTGGAAGTCTAAATTGTGATGCGTCGATCAACTACAACAAGGGTGATGCCTTTTAAGACCTTTGGGATGGCCATCAACTCACCTTCGGTTACAGGATGTGGTATCGTTGACCAAAGTATTGCATCGTTCGGCCAGACCTTCAACGAAAAGGGTGGTGGCATTTATGCTGTCAAATGGGACTCGGACAGCATCGATGTTTGTAAGTAGCATGTCATGTGCACAATCACATCCTGACCTTCCTTTTCATAGGGTTCTTCTATCGTAGCGCGATTCCATCCAACATCCTCGAGGGTTTGCCAGACCCGGCAACCTGGCCATTGCCTTCGGCGTCCCTTGTGAGCATCGTCGCACCGTCTTCCTCTCTCAAAACGCTAAGTGTTTTAGTCCCGCCCAGGATGCGACATCGACAAGTATTTCAAGAACAACATGATTATTTTTGGTGCGTAGTTTTACTTTAGAGATTCATTTGACCTGACTTTCACCAGATACGACTCTTTGTGGTGCGTAACTTGCCTTGGAACCTTGGCATCAACTCACTGGATTACAGGTGACTGGGGTAAAGTATTTATGTATTCTTGTGCTAGCTTCTGACGCCTCGGGACCTTTTGCTCTAGCTGGAACATCGTAAGTTCCGGTCCGATGTCAACCAGCGCAAGCTCACCCACTTGACAGATACGCAGCTGCCGGTTGCCCCGGGACGTGTGAAGAGCGAGTAACGAACCCGAATAGCTTCGTCGTACGTAGGCTGCGTGTTGGCTAAACTTCTGCTCACTGCTGCTAGAATGCGACGTGGAGTATCAACTACATCAAAGTGTACAACAAGACGATCATCAATACCTGGTATCTGGAAGCCGGGGCTCGACTCCGAGCACACGCTGGGCTCTTTTTGGTCTTGGTGACTACGAGCCTGGTGATCTTTGGAATCTGTTTATGCTAAGGAGGATTTCGTTGCTGTACTCTATATCGGAATAGATTTATGATTTTGCGGGGTTCCCAGTGGCTCAGGACCTTGACCCTCTCCGTCAACCTGGCGTCGACATTTGCTGGGAAAGGCCCTGCGCGCCGTGTCTCTCTGTCGTCCGCAACTCTCCAGATGCAGTCTGGTCCGTCCACGATGGCTCGTCCACTCCATCGCGCGACAGAGTCGTCCACCCGTGCCTTCAATATCGACCATAGCTTAGCAGCCGGGCCACAACCTGCGGGCCCACCGCCGTCATTCAACGCTAATGCACCGCATGAGAAGATTATCTCTGCAATTATCAACCGTATAAAGACAAAGGTACCTCGTTTACGCCGCCAAATGCCCCGCTGACTGCGTTTTTCTACGATGACAGCTACCGTACAACTCTGGGACACCCGTGACTGTTCTCGAGCAAGACGAGGCTTTTAATCAGGCAGTCACGACGCTCGTCCATCTCGCGCGCCATCGCCTCGATCATATCACCTGGACGCTTTGCGAGATGTTGGATAAGATGCATGGTGTATGTCCCTCGGAACAAGATTAATGTGTGACTGATCACTCCTCTAGGAGGCAGGCCATCGCGAAAACGACCTCGCATACTTTCAATCTCAGCTCCTGCTCGCCAAAATCCTCGCGTCTGCCATGTATTTCCGGTGGGAGTCGTACAAAGAAGATATTCTCAACATCAATGAGCGCCAACCGCATTCTCCAGTTGGCGCAAGGGGTGGCGACACGTCCGAAGCCGCCTCTGGATGGGTTGACCCTCCACCCCTGGATGACAAAGTAGCGAGATATACCATGTCGGTCATGGTGCTCTTCATGAAGCAGACTGGCTCGTGGGGGGACCGACCGAAAGCTTCGGGCCATATACACTCGGACACGTTGTATGACTACGAGTCGATCGAAAACCACATGAGTCCGCCCATTTCAGCCGTGAAACCGACGTTTACTGGAAATGGATCCATCCATCGCAAGCAAACTGGTTCGACGACGAGGAGGTCGGGCTCGATTGGTGGAATGGTCGTGCCGTCCTCAAACGGCGCATTCGCCTCGTCGAGAATTGTTACATTTAGCTCCCCCATACTCGCATCAACGGTGGCCTCGGTCAACGCACTCCTCTCTAAATATATCAACAAGATCATCTACTTCATCTCCGCATCCAACTGGTCCGTTGTTTTTGCGCGTATTCAGCAAAAGATACGCATATTTGCAAGCGGATCCGAAGAGGTGCATCATGATAATACTGATATGAAGCTCCTGTCCTACTGCGCCATGGATCAAAAGCGCCTTGTCGAACTCTTCCAAGAATTATCTTCGCTTCTCGTGAGCATGAAGCGCGACGCGCAGTCTTCGATTGCGCTCTCCCTACGAAACGCAATATGGAACTGGATCAATGGATTTCCGGAGCAATTTGGAGAGACCATCTCGTCCCATCGAAAGCTGGAGGGTGCTCCGGAACGTGTGTTTGATACGCTTTACCAAATGATGCAAGACCCCGGACCATTGAGCACTAATAGGCGCATCATTTGGCCGACATTGGCGGCGTTGCTGGCAATTAGCCCTGAGCGATTACGGCAGTCTGAGGTTGCAATGACCGGACATGTCGCGGGCAGTAGGGCGGTTAGTCAATTCTACCTTGCTTTTCTAGACATATCTCATTACTTGTAGACGAATGCCTACTTACCGACCGTGTCATCAACCCTATCACTCAAGGACTCGAAGCAATCAGACATTGCAATGGTCTGTTTCCTCGATCTATGCAAGGCGGCAATGTGTCTCCCAAAGTCAATTGATCAATCAGCGCTTCGCTCCTTGGCTCCAGAGCTAGCTAGCGAGTTGAGGGTACGTTTATTGTTATATACGGATACCAAAACTCATGTCTCATGCATAGAGTCGCATCATGACACCACCTCAAGGGATCAGGCCCTTTTACGAGTCGTCGGAGCCTATCGACGTCAACCTTTATGCTGACATTTTGGTGGCCATCTTTCGATTTAATGCCGCCGAGGCAATACGGAGCGTGTTCCCGGTGTGCTTGGCCTCTAAATCCGACGCAGTAAAGACTTGTGTCATTCGATGCTTGGTGACACTTGTTTCTGAAGCTACACGGTACGAAACGCAGCCTCCCATCGCTCCTCTCCGTCAGAATTTTGCGCGGACGGTGCGCGCGGTGTTTGTCGGCGTCCTCAGGGACCAGGAAAGAGACCCATCTCTTCGCCAATTGCACGGGAGGAATGCCGTCAAGCCGACCGCGAAGAAGTATGGAACGGATTTCTATAGCGACAGCAACTTGCTGTTATTGACGCTTCTCACGCTGTATCGATTGGACGTCAGCTTTTACTTTCACGACATGCAAGAACGCTCGGAGTTGGACGTGATCTGCGACTGCGTCGTTCTCCTCTCGCCTCAGCAGGATGCGACTATCCAGGCCACGGTTGCAAAGTCAATACATACATTGGCTACTGGGGTTATGACGATGGACCCTCTGGCGCCCATCTACCCGCTCGCGAGGAAGCATCTCAAACAAATTGGGTACGTGAGGAATGATTCTAGTTCTTTCAGCCTCTCACGTTCATTAGACTCGGCGTGATCATTGCTTCCGCTTCTGGGGCCATGATGTCTCGCTCGAACACAGAATGTCTCCGCTCATATTTCTCACTCATCAATATGGTTGTCTCGAGCAAGGAACTTGGAGTACGTGCATCATCACGTAGAATTCAAACGCTTACCCCTTATTACAGTTGTTGGATGTCGAAGGCGACACTTGGTCACAGGAAGCGATTGTCCAGATGCGATCGCTCGCCGTGGCATCTGGCATCCATACTCTTGTGGCATCACAACTCGATATCGCCGTTCTTGCCTCGAGGACACTTCGGGCACTTTCTCTATCAGAGGTTCTTCCGTCTAAAGTGCCAGAAATTATCTTTAGAGGCACCGAAGAATACACTAAAGCCAGGCACAATATGCAGGCGCTTGGAGATCCGAGTGTGCCAATCCTTGGCCGTGCGGCCTTCCAACGGCGTTGCAGGAAGATCATGCGTTCCATGGACACACCCAATGCGATTCAAGTAATTGCTTGGGCCGAGATGTACGACTGCTGGATTAAAATCACGGAAAAATACCTCTCAGCCGTTAAGACTAATCCTTCTCCACCAGAGGTGCGTATTTCCTCCTAACGCGCTTTCGAAGTGATATTTATTTGCCGCAAAGGATCAAAAGTTTGAATGGCAAAACGTGACATTGGCGTGCGCCGCACTCTCTGGAGGTGTCTTCATGGAAAGGTCTGCCTATGGCAAGGTGATAGCACCGTTCCAACCCATGCTTCAATATTTTGTCTCGGATCCAATGCCGGAGAGATTCCGACGCGCGAGTGACTATGAAGAACTCCTACGAGACTTCGTCGCTTCGCTCGTAGAGCTCCTCGTGCATGAAGATCTAGTTGTCCGCGATGTAGCCAAGGAAGCGCTAGGCTCGGAATCTCAGACAAAGCTCTATTCGATGATTATCTTCCAACTAGACAGGTGAGCATTCCCAGCCTTTCCTACCACAGTCAATGTCTGATCGCTTGAAAGCGTCGTGTCAAGGCTACTCGACCGACGGTTACCAGACTGGAATCCGGCTAATACGCCAATACTGATTGAGCAGGTGGGTGCAGCGACATACTGAGCAGCCTAACGATACTCACACTATGAAAGGCAATATCCGTTCTCAGGCTCATATTCGACAGGATCGAGACTATCGCAGATGGAGCGCAGCTCAATGTCGATGTCACACACATCGTCCTTCAACTCTCGGCATTCCTCAACTCGTGGTCGAGTAGTCTAAATACGATCCGGATCAAAATCAAGTTCTGCAATTTGTGCAATTCATTGTTTTCAAAGTCAGATATCCTCGCCTTGAAGAAGAGCGTCGCCATGCGAAACCAGCTATTGGATAGTATCCACCAATGGGTCAACGTTATATCCGTCAGTCCCTTGTTCTCATCTTGTCTGTTCACTTACAAGGCCTAGATGGACTGGCCAATGCACGAGCGAGACGCTATGTTGAAGCTACAAGCCGACCTTGACTTTAGTTGTATTCAGGCAGCGGCCACCATGCTTGACAGGCTTCGATTGCAACCGTTGGATGGCTCTGGAGGACTCGAGTCTGGCCAGGCTATCTCGAGCCTGTTCAGCAAGTATCTCAACTTTTTCGTGCTTGCGTTAGAAAGGACGGTTCCCGTAGAGGTATGTATCTCTTCTGCGCGGGCTCCTTGCTGAGTGCTCTACCAGGATGCACTGAGTGACCGTGGCTCGGCAGCCAGCAAGCCGGTAGGTCCGGGAAGCAAAGAGCAAGGGAGCGTTCGGGAGCTTGCGATCCTCGGGATATCCAATATGCTCTCAGCAAACATGGACGCTGGTATCAAACATTGCCTCTCGTTTGGCTATCACGACGACCCAAGGATGCGAGCCACTTTTATTCTCATCTTCACCCGTGTTCTCAAGCAGGGAGCCCGATTTGATGGAGTCGAACCGATGGTCCCTCGACCTGGAAATAGGCGCCTTTGCGAGGTAATAATGTCTTGCCTCCCACGGTGCATACTAAGTAAACTTTGCAGATGGTTCGTGGCGATCTGCTGCTGGCGTTGGCTGTGTGCGAGACCTGCCCGGTGAACGAAGTCGACATTATGCTGCCTGTGATGATCAATATCTTTGATACGCGCTCGACCCTGGTTTCTTTACTTCGAGGACTGATCGACAAGGAGATGACTCGCTCAGGTAAGCAGCGTTACCCTTACTACATATGTTACTGATTCATTGTTAGAACGACCTACGGAGCTGTTTAGAGCAAACACAATGTGCACCCGACTCCTTGTCAGTGTCGCCAAGGTACACGGATACAGCTATCTTCGCATGATTATTGCACCTCTCCTTGCAGAAATGGCTCAGAATCCGACCATGGACTTTGACTCGACTACCCTGAGCGACGAAGAGAAGACGGCCAATCTGAACAACCTCAAGCGCATGGCACAAATGTTCCTTGATCGTATTACAGATTCTGTTGCTTTGCTGCCACCGTTCGTCCCCGTTTCCTTTCATGCCCATTAACTTACGCTTTGCAGGCTCGTTCGCGAGATTTGCGCTCATATTGCGGAGAAAGTGTACGCACTGTCGAATATGTAGCCATCTATCTCACTTTGAACAGCTCTATACAATGGCCGGAAAGTAAATATGCAGTTGTGGGCGGGTTCTTGTTCCTTCGGTGCGTTTAGATATGACAAACCGTATTGTTTCTCATAGTCTCCGAATGAAGGTTCATCAACCCTTCTATTGTTACGCCAGAGACTATCGACCTATCTGCGCCGCCACCCGTCCGTCGAGGATTGCTTCTCATCACAAAGATCATCCAAAACTTGGCGAACAATGTCCTCTTTGGACGAGAGCAATTCATGATGATTCTCAACGACTTTCTAGAGGAAAATATTCTTCGTGTGACTCAATTCCTCTCCGATGTCGTGGTATGCTTCCTTGGCTACCGATATTTCTTTCGCTGATCACCCTACAGACGTTGCCCGAGTATGATCAAGAGGAAGCAGAGGAATGGCATGGCTCCTCCTACGACGAAGCTGATGCTATCGTCCTGCACCGCTTTTTCCATCGATTTGCGGACAAAGTTGGCAAAGAACTGTTGGGATTCTCAAGAATGTCGATGGACGATGAAGCAAGTCAAACAGGAAAACAGACGTGGGACAACTTATGCTCGACGCTTGTGGAAATGGGTCAACCGGTCACCATACCTCCTCCATCCAAAGACATGATCTCTCAACACCAGCTCTATCAAGAGTTTATGCGTACCCATGAGCATCGCTCCAAGGACCTCGTGCGTGATCTATTTTACGCCTTGCCAACGCCTCAGGTACGTCCCTGGTATAAACTTTATCTATTCTGACATTTTGTAGGGACATAGTCCCGTTTACGCCTTATTACTTCACAGAATCAACGTGGAAACCGTTGAACTGGATATTCTCACTATGCACATCTTCAAGGTATGCTCGAGTTGGAAACAGAAGAAACAGCCTAACACGAAATCTGAAGACGTTGGCGTCGAATAATCAACCTTACGATGTGATATTCGACTGTACTGGATTCACCTCAACTTCGGAGATTCCCTTGCTATGGCTACGGATTTTCCTGGAGCGGTGTCCATACGACTTTGTGCAAAATTTCTCGCGGGCGTTCATCTTGAATGCAAATAACGCCGCAATGAAGTTCCTTCGAAAGTTGTACCACATGAGTGGCGGAATAGCACTCTCCAAGTCGTGCTTCGCCGTTTCTTCCATCGCCGATCTTCAGCAACATCTCCCTGATCTACAGCTTCAAGGATCACTTCGCGCTGCAGACCTAGACATGGAAAAGTCTATCATCTTCGAAGAAGTTGCACAACAGAGTCGACATAGCATTCGACTACCCATATCACTGATCATATACGAAACCTATCTTCGTATTGTATCGGTATGTACACTGTTCTTTCCTGACCGCATTCTCAAATCAAAGTCTAGTTTCGCTCTCAACCCATCTGGCCCGGACTAGAGTGCCATGTCAACGAGATTATCCTCTTCTCTGATATTGGAGATGTTTATAACATCTCTACAGGCCACGAACCAAACGAGTTCATTGTTCGACGAAGCCGTTATGGAGGTACACTCTACTTCTCGTCATTGGAGCGTGACGTTATCGTCCATGTAAGTTAATTGGATCACGGAGACGCGAGAACTCACTGCTTCCGATAGACAATTCGCATGGCCAAAGGCAAATCAAGGGTCGAGAATCTTCACTCATATGAACGGACCTACTCATCCGGCGAGGTATCCGCCACGCTCCTCAACATCTCGCTGCTCAATCTGGGCTCCGATGAAGAGTCGTTGCGCAATACTGCCTACGACTTGGCTACAGCGGTAGCTGCGTCGCTCAACTTTGACGACTCTGCCACCCTCCCTGTCAATGGTACGCTCTAATATGTCGATATATACGCATCAGTGACACTTATGCAGGAGCGTTTATGCCCTCGAGCCCCTTGTCGGTCGCGTTGCACATTAGCGACAAACTTTCGGTTCATTCTCCCAACCTGACACTGGATTTCATCGCGGAGTTTGCTCGGGGCTATTTCAAGTCCTCGCGATCTCACCGAGCCATATGCTTGCAATATCTGCAACCATGGATAAAGAATCTTTCAACTACACCTGACCCAGCCAATGTGTCGACAATCCAGCCTGCCACCAAGCTCAGGGACTCATTCAGGATCCTGATTGAACTAGTCGTCAAAGACCACGAGGTAAGCTACATGGCGTTCTTCCCCGACGACAGATTACTGACCTTTTCAAGCTATCTCCCGTTGCTCAGCGTATAGTATGGACAGAAGTGGCCAAGCTTGAACCCGGGGTCATCTCTATCGCCCTAGATGAGCTCGTCAGGGCTGCCTCTGATGGCGGAATTGGCTCCAGGCGATGCGAATTGGCGGCAGAGACTATGGTTGTGATATCTTCTATCAGTGTTCGTGGCAAAATACTTTCCAAGCTTCGCAAAGTACGGGGTTTCTGCCTTTATTAGCCTTTCTAACCTCTGTCAGGCTATCGGAAAGACTATTCTTCGACCCTCTCAGGCACTCACGGCCAGCGTCGCATGGAACGAGGTCGCTGCCATCTCTCGGCTTGCGCTGTATGCTGGATATAATACGAGAGTTCCGGCACATAATCAGCTTTTCGTGGCTGAAACGGCACATCTCATTACACTTTTGGCTGGTTCGGGGCCAGTCCTGATGCGAACCACAATATTCGGCATGGCAGTCAACCTCGCACAATCGTTGTACGTCAGCAAAGCAGATGATCCTGCTGTAGCACCGAAGTTGAAGCAACTACTTGAGGACGCACACAAGCCAGAGATTCTTTCCATGTTCGGCCTTGTCGCCAACGGTCCGATAGGAGACTATAGTCTCCCAGATTCAACTTCCGATACCCTTCCTATTGACACCTTGGAGGACTTATCGAGGTTCATGCTCAAGATGATCTCCTTGGGGGCTCAATCTTCACGTGAGTGTCTGTGCCATTGAAGTGTGGAGCCTGACCCTTTGAAACAGTTGGGTCGAACCTGATCAATGTTTGGCGTGCGCGATGGATGAGTCTCATCATTTCTACCGCCTTTCACTGCAGCTATATTCAGTCGCGAGCCTTCGTCGTCATGGGCGTTTTGGCCACGTCGGATGTAGACGACGACTTACTGTATCAAATCCTTGTGGCCTTCAAGAATGCCCTTGCTGGCTCCTCGGACGGCGACACCTCTACCTCTGCCGGAATCCTCCGATGCATCACCAAGGTCATACCAGGAACCCCTCACAATGGTCGATATCTTTCTCAAATTGTATGGTTGGCGATAGCCTTGATGGAGTATGGAGAGGTCGCACTGTTCGCCGAAGCAGCGGACCTCTTGAGAGTATCGCTCGAGACTCTGGATAAGCAGGGCTTGCTGGACAATATGACGCTCGCAAGCTTCTTCTTCGAAGCTCGCTCTCCGCTCGAAGAGGTTGCACTGCAGATTGACGATTACGTGGGTTTGTCTTTTGAGACGAATTTCTCGTTTTCCCTCGCCGCGATCATCTTTAGAGGCCTGCGTCATCCTCAGAAGCGGGTTCAGACATCAAGTGCATCTGTTCTCAGGTTGCTGCTGAAGTTTGCTGCCCGTTCAGCCCCAACCACTTCCAATACATCTCCAGAAGAAAAATCGATTCCACCAGATGCGTTGGGTTATTTCCTCGCACTACTGCCGACAGTGTGTCGAGCGTCTGCTCTGCAAGGCCTGCTCAAGGATGCTGGAGTAGGCTCGACCTGGCTCCACGTGGCGTTCCGAGACGCTGATTCCGACGAAGCAAGCAAGGCAAGAGTACCCCTTCAATCCTTGGGCATCAACGAGGACAACACGGCACTTCTCGTGGCCACTGTCCTTGGGACCATGCTGAATAGTGCGACCTCGATCGACGAGCGTGAAACGCTCCTATGTCTGCTGGCCGACATGTCGACCGTATATCCTGAAGTGATTGAGCAAATGTGAGCATATCGCAAATCACTCTTGATCCATCTAACCTGGCTTTAGTTATGAGAGCATCCAGGAGCGTATCATTCACTCCTTTTCCAATGTCACCAACCCGGGGATTCTCTCCGCTGTCGGTGTCATTTTCCGCACATCAATGCTCGATGTTCTTCCACGGAACGCACAAGGTCCTCGACTCAATGGCTCTGCATCGACCATTGGAACGGCGGAGCAAGCTCAACCTCAGAACCAAGCCAGTCGTGTGCAGCTCACTCTTCTCGAAGAAATGCAGATGCGTGGTATTCTTGCACCCCACAACTTCTTACCGAGGCAAGCCAGCGCGCAGCTTCTCCACTGCATGGTCGAACTTGTAACTCGGATCGTAGAGTAGATTTGGTTAATGTGTTTAGATTTGTGTCTTTCTTGTGCTCTACTATACAAGTCATGTTGTTGCTCTTCACCTTGGCATGGTTGTGACGGTTGAAGACCACCTGACCTTTTTTTTTCCGCCACGACCGAACCATAGACCACTTTCGTACCCATATCTCTCATAGACCTTCCCGCTGCGACGGAAAACAGGGTTGCGGCGACAGGCAGGTCGGACTGACGCCACTCTAACCGGCTCTCTTTCTATACACGAGATTGTCACAAATCACATTGCTCAAAGCACAAAGGACTGCGACATTTGGTAAGTCGACTGCGCATACTCTGACGTTTAGCTGATCTTGAGTCAGGGCAAATATCTTATTCGGCACCAGCAACGGGAAGCACAATGTAAACCGATGTACCCTTTGTTGTGTTATGTACCCTCTTTGAGATAAGCAAATGATACCCTTGTATCAAGACTAGGATCATAACTATTGTTTAATGCGTTTCAATTCGTATTCTTTTCGTTTTTTGGTCTGAAACATTCTTGGCCTGGTTGTTTGTGAATTGCCGCTTGACCTCTTACCATGGAGCGGACTTCGCTGAGGACACCGACGTCGTCCCGTCCGCTCACTCCAGAATCCCCACTCAAGCATATTCTCAGTAGCAGCGAGCACAGCCTGCAATACGATGACGATCTCACAAATGCACTCGCAGCTCTACGCAACTTCTCCAGTCGTGCGGCGACGCCGCTCGAGCTGACGTGCTGCTGCGAAAACCCAGATTGTGAATCACTGCATGCGTGGAAAGACGCGGTTGCAAAGCTAGAAAGAGAACTCGTTCTCAGCGCAGGTCGGCCACCCTTTACTACGAGCGCCATCGCTGATATCCCCCCGTATACCAGAGGTTGGACAGGCATTACTGCATCGACATGAAGCACATCTACGCGCGCAGGATTCTATACGCGAAACAGCCGACCGAAACGCCCAACTTTACTCTGATGCGCGCGAGAAAGTGGCAAAAATAACGGCCGCAAACAATCAACTCGTGGCCAAGATGTCGCTACTAGTAAAGGAGAATACAGTTCTCGAAAAGAGATTGACCCAAACGCTGCTCAACTCGGAGATTGCTGAGGCGTCGAACCGAACGTTGCTACACGAGGTGCAAGAGTCGAGGAGTACGATTGCAAAACTCTCTGCGCAGAGTGCGCGATCTGTAGGTTGGGAGGCAAAACTCAATACTCTGCAGCAGGAGCGAGATGATTTACGAGAAGAGAAACGAGCAGAGGCATCCCGAGCACGAACCGCAGAGGCAAAGGTAGCTGCCCTTTCCGAAAAGTGCGGTAAGTGCATGGAGCATGCATAACACTCGGTATTCTAATACGTGCATAGCAAGATTGCAGGCGGAGCTCTATGGTCTCCGAGAAGAGAGGGAAAACACCCGGCCGTCGAAAGTCACCCTGTCAGACGAGATTCTGAGAGACGCGAGGCTACGTCTCGATTCCCTTCAACTCGCACTCTCCCAGACAACCCGCTCAGAGGATACTGAACTTTCTCGTGTTCTGGGGGAACTGGTATCCGAAAATGAGGCGCTGAAGCACGACAACGCTGAGCTCCAGAATCTCTTGTCCGACAGTAGGGAAGAGGTCAAGCAGCTCAGGGAGGAGGTCGAGGAAACCAAGGTCACAAACGCAGTTTTCCAAGACCGCATCGCAGAAGAATCTCATATCCTCCCGTTACGACATGATTTGAGCCCAAATCATCGCAAGCGAGAGAGCTGGGCTTCGACTGCATCTGCTCCACTTCCCGTGTCGCCGCACCGCAACGACGGATTCCTGTCACCCCGTCTACCGCTTGGGCGTATGAGGACATCTAGTCACTCTCATGCAGGCCATCGAAGAACTGCCACTCAAGTACGCCGGCCTACATTAGAAACACCGGATGAGAGAGCCGCGGTACACAATAGTTCCCACCCTTTTAGCATTTCTCTGACGTATTTCCAGGTGGATGCGAGCTCTGCCAACGAAAGTGATGCTTCTAGGATGTCACATTCCCCGGTTCCATCGACTGCGGGCAGTCGAAGAACTTCGATAAGCAGACATTCGCACACGCCTTCTACCTACAGCGTGGACATGGACGCTTCAAACCAGCCAGACGATGCTGTTTTATCGCCACCCAAAGGGCGCAAGAAGCTTATGCTTCTGACGCGCTCTCGAGGGGTTCAGACGGACCCAATCACCATCCTTCCCATCTCACCTCGCCCTGCCTCTCTCCTCGATGAGCCTACGCCATCCGGATCGCACTCTGAGACTTCTTCTTTCCACGAGGGAAGAGTGTCTCAGATGTCTATACTATTAGACAAAGTATCCGCTCTGCTCAACCGCATGACTCAGGCGGACGTTCCCACTCTCACAAATCGACTCAAACGTCAGCACATTCTCGGGGCGGATGTGGGGCACATTTCGCGTTCAACGATTAGCAGCATACTCAACGAAGTATCAGGTCTGCGCAATCATTTTAGGAGCATTCTCGACGACGAGAGGTCCGCCACGGTCATCTCTCGCAAGGAGTTCCGTGGTCTACTCAAATCGTATTCCGACCTCTTCCAAGAGCTAGGTTCTCTTCGAGCAACCGTGAATGAAGTCGTACTCAATCCAGGCATCGCAAACAAACTTCGGGAGGAAGCACTTGAGCCGGAGGAAAGCAAAGGCAAGGTGGAAACAGCAAAGGGAGGAGCACTGGGAGGCTGGATAGCGCCCTTGTCCAAATTTTGGGCTGGCGCACCATCTAACGCAGCGGATCCCAAAGCTACTACCCAAGCCAATCCCACTGCCTTGATTCGAGCAGGCAGCAGTCGCAACCGTCTGCAGCCTCCCAAGATTGCTCCCAAAATCGCTGCAGCGGTGTCTGCCTCGACCACGACAGTCAATGTCGAGTTTACCAATGCGGGAATCAGGAGGGCGATATCGACCACACCTGATCCAGTCTCGAGTCCTTCTCCTCCTGTTCCTAAACCCAGTACTGCCACGTCTCCTCTTGCCCAACCTCGACCTCAACTCCGAGGGATTTTCGCGGGGTCGTCAGGAGGAACTTCAACCCGCTTGGTGGCCGAGCGACAAACATCGGTCGGAATTGGGACAGCAAGCTCGTCGCGACTGGAGCAAGCCAAGCTGCGAGCGCCAAGGCGGGCCACCCAAGACCCTGAGTTTCCTAAGGGAGAGCCTGCCCGGAGATACTCGAGAGCCGTGGATGCCGTTGTAGATCAACATGCAGTTGACGAAGATGAAGAGGACGACGAGTATCCTGGAGATCTCCTCCAGCGAACGCTAAGACCGAGAGGATTGTCAGACTCTTCTGTCCATTCGTCGATGATTCCACACGGACCGCCGGTGAGCCGGCTGCTGACACCGGCCGGACTGGCTCTAAGCTCTCCGACTGTGGACGCCCCGGCCACGGGTGCTATTGCAGGGGTGGCCAGCGCGCTTGGTGGCGTCGTAGGATGGCTGGAGAAGGATCCAGTCCTACAGAGCTTCAGTCGTCGAGTCCAAGGCCTTCGTTTCCCAACTGGATCCAACCAAATGAAGACGCAAGATCTGCCTGATAGCGACCAGCCACCAAATACTTCTAAACAACCCGAGAATGATGGCATTAGCTCGTCTCAAGGCGCGACGCCTACCACTCTCTCAAAGACACTCCCAATCTCACCTTCATTGTCGCCACCAAAGCCTATACCCGAGCACCTATCCTCACGGACGGGGCTCTTGCGTCGAAACGACTCGCGATCGCCACCCAGAAAATCGTCTCCTCGCGGTTCGCCCAGGCTCGGCGTGGATACCATACGCGCTGGGTCGTTTAGATCCGGTGGAATCTTACCTGGTATGAGAGCTCGAGCGGGTCCAGTCTCACAGATTGTGATTGAGCGGGAGGATACGACCAGTCCTCGAGAAACCCGGAGGTCGGCTGTATCTGGGCTCGACTCGCCTGTAGGGCACCTAACGCGGTCGGATAGATATTGACTTGTATCATTAACGCTCTAGATCAAACATTTGGTTGGGGAAACATGTTTGGGCACCGTCTCCTGAGCGCAAAACAGAGAATGGGCTGCAACGTGTACAGGGTGTTGTGGTTATGGGTAGGCACGGAGGCTTCGGCTGATGGCGAGAACACTCAGGACGTAGAATCGTGACTGCCTATTGGATCTTTTACAGGCGCTCATCCTAAGAGCCAGCCCGAATTCCCCTTATCCGCCGGCTGGCGATTACAACATGGATGCGATAAGCAAAATCCACGGAAATTACACTCAAGGCTGCTCGGACCGGATCCTGGGCTGGTTCAAATCTAATTGGCTTAGGGGTTTCTGAGTTGGCTGTCTTTCATAGTTCGGCGGCGATTGAAACTGAATTAAACCAGGAGCTTGATTCGAGGCTCTGAGGCCCCAACTTCTGAACCAGGAGAATGAATGGTGACCGAGTGCTCGAGGCAAGGAACCAGGATGCCTCAAACACGAGTTCTCTCGAGCCGGGCATGACTGCGCCCATAGGCACCATTACAAAGTCATATTTAATTGAGAATAACACAATCTCGCAGCTCTAAAGATGCACGCGGCACCGACAAGGCCAAAGTGCATCGCAGTCGGAGCTAGGCCTCGCAATTCCAGCGCAATGGGAGTATCTTCCCGATTCGAGGCGCCTTGAGGCATACACAGCGGGGTGTTTTTGACTTGGTTCCTAAAAGTACAACCTTTTACCCTTTGACAACTTTCCATAGGATATGGTAAGTGTGAAGCAGAGCCACACGTGACAGTGGGAACCCCACGAAATTTCCTACCAGGTTCGCAAATGCCCGGAAGGACTGCTAATTAATATTCGATCAGCTCCTCAAAACTGACTTCTGCCCTAGAGGTAGTCCAACGTGTTGCAAACAAGCTCAGGGTCAGTCCTTGGAGTCCACCGCTTTGCCACCGAAGGCAACTCCGTGCAGGCTCCTACTTTCGAACCAGCTTAGAAGCTCCAGCGCAAGGCTTATGCGTGTATATCCTTCAAGCAGCAGCGAATGACCGCACAGGTATGAGGTGGCGGTATAAAGAGAGCCATTGTGGACGCGGGAGCACAAGAGTATCATTCTAGTCGCCTTACTCTCCAATTTCAACACTGTGATGAGCTCAACATTTTCCTCTGGTGTTTCGAGTCAGTTCTATCGGCCTCGAACATGCAGGGTCTCACTATATGCTAACATTTATTCACCTGAATTTAGTTCAAGACTTCAGCTCGTCCATGGGGAGCCCATTCTCTCCTGCACCAAGTGACAGCGCGTACGACGAGCCAATGCAGGCGCAGAACGAACAGATCGAGATGTTCATAAATCTTTTGGCTCCCAGTAACCCCACTCAACGGGAAGATCTCAGCATGATTTTGACTCAACACGATTACAAGGGCAGGAAGTTGACTTGGAAGCAAGTCAAGTCTTTCTTTGCAATCAGCAAGGAAGATCCTCGCTTTACGTGTACACTCCAGCACAACGGAAATTGGTGCAATGCAACCTTCGACAGGCGGGATCGTTCCCAGCACCATATTCAGACGCATCTTGGGATTCAGCCTTGGGAATGTAGAGTGCACGACAAATGGTGAGTCCCGAGAGATGACGTCTAACTTTACTGAGGCATCCTAGCCGTGAGAGGAAAAGGGTCTTCAGTTCCAAAGCGGGTCGTGATACTCACGAAAAAGGGGAGGAAAAAACCCCTTGCGGATGGTACGTCCTACTCCTGCCAATAACCAGGCGCATACTAAATTCAAAAGTGGGAAAAGCATTATGAGGAAGAATATGGCTCGCCATCGCAAGGGGAAAGGGTGTGCTGCAAAAAAGGCCGTAAAGTGAGGCCAGCCAATCGCGATTTCTTTTCTCTGTAAACTCGCTCCGCGCTGTTCTCAATTAATAATCTTTTATATTTTGTTGAAGCTTGAGAAAACGTTGCGGTTGCGGCCTGACGATGACGCTCAATAGGGAAGTTGGATTCAGAGTAAAAGAGAGCCAAATCTGTCGCAAATTAGATCCGGCGATATTGTTTCTCTCAGTCGATCACCCAGCCTCGAGCGCTTTCCAACCAGGCCATTGAGGGGCTTTTCGGGCCAATGAAAGATATGCCAAACGCCGGCGACCCTGTCTCAGCAGAAATTTAAACCCCGGAAAAGCATCAAGGCAGCTGACTTCAATGCCAGTCTTCCTGTTCACGTGCGGCGTCGAGGGGATTGATATCCCTTTAAACGGTTCTTTGCCACACTCACGTCTGTGGCTGGTTTCCCATGTAAAAGAATCGTGATCCCGTCTCCTAAGCGCCAGATAAGTGCACCCACGCTGGAAATTAGAACCAAACCAGGGGAAATGAATTCTCCAACTTGAAAAAACCGTATTCAATAGCATGCCAGAGTATTCATGCGTGTCCCTCGCCTTCTGGGACATGGCAGGGAACCTGCTGCCTGCACGACTCACAGGCCCATCTCTCGTATCTGAAAGCTGGTTTGCTGAGGATGACAAGCGCTGTGGAGTTGGAGAGAAAGCTATATAACCACTCTCCTCTCCCCTATGATGCTGTCCGACAGATCAAAATCTGTAAATGAGCTCCAAGTACCCTTGTAAGTCACATCGCCCATTTAGTGAGTTTTGGACGCTGATATTGCCTCCTTGTAGACGACGTTGATGAAGCATCTTCGGATGAAGAGGATACTGGTACTGTGGGGATTAATCTGGCCGCTCTTGCACCCGGAAATCCGTTCCTCCAAGATATCCTTCATCGCCTCGTAGTAAAATTCCAAAGAAGTCAAACTCCTTTGGTTTTCGAGGAGGTTGAAGTATGCTTCAATCCTATGTCGTCTACCACCCGCGAATGCGCGTTGCATAAGAAAGACGGGAGCGGTCCCTGCCTGAAGAAATACGGACGGCTTGATCGATCCATCTATCACATTCAATCCCATCTAGGAATCAAGCCCTACGAGTGTACGGGTTGCCCCAACCCACCGTGGTGCGCCAATGTTATTGCACGCGTGATATATTTTGATGCTGTTGCAGTACTGCCAAGTTCAGCTCGTTGAATCAACGTGAAACTCATAAGAATGACGGTCAGAAAATCGAATGCGACGTTTGGCAAGTGTCATTATAATACCCGCCTTTGCCACCGTTCTGATTAAGAAATAGCGGAAAATTACGTTCGAAGAAGAACATTGCTCGTCACAGAGCCTCCAACAGCTGTCAACCTCGAACGGATTCTTGATCTAGCTCTGTAATTGAGATTGTTGGCAAAGAGCGGGTTGAATTGGAGCTTGAACCTTGACCACGTCGTGTCCTTGTCGTAAAATTGACCCTTAAACTCGAAACATAGCCAATAAAGCCCTGTTGACCTAGCTATACCGCCTGCAGATGCTTCTAGAGTCTCCGAATCACCAGTAAAGCGAGGTAGACTCGCAGATAAGAAGCAAAAAAAAAACACGGATTCTGTTCAGTCTCAGATCCGGGGGGATAGTTTTCCTGCTTGCCTCATGTTCGATCATCCAGCACGTCTCGAGCGCTTTCCGACCAGGCTCCAAAGGCTTCGAAACACTAACTGCGCTGAAAAGCGCGCAAAAATACCCGCGACTCTACCTCAAGTCGAGCGTAAATTCTGTCAATCGCAGGAGCTGGCTTCAGCCCCAGCCAATTCGATGGGGGCATATACGGGAATCATAGGAGGTGACGTATCCCATTGAACGGTTCTTTAGCCACATGCACATACTGGCTGGTTTACACTGTGAAAAGGGCGTGGTGTTGTGTCCTAGGCGCCAGTCGCGAGGCCTCGCGTCTGGAAACCAGGGGAGACCAGGCCAGATGAATGCTTCCCAACTTGCGGGGCCTCATTAAAGAGTATGGCAAAGCATTCACTGTTGTTATCCATCTTCTTGGACGTGTCAGGGAACACGCCGCATGCACGAGCCACGGGGCCAGCTTACATATTTGAGAGCTGGTTTGTTGGGAATGATGAGCGTCGTGGGGTTGGATTAAAAGCTATATAAGCCCATGATGGAGCTCCTCGACCATCGCAGAACATCCCCAAAGTCCAAACCTTGAAAATGAGCCGCATACACACTGGTGAGTCACGCGTCCATCGACTGAAGAGTGTAATCCTGATATCCCCTTGTTGCAGACAATATCGACGAAGTGTCTTCAGGTGAAGAGGACACTGTCACTGTGGATATCGACGTGACTGTCCTTGCGCCTGGAAACGAGGGGCTCCAAAATATCCTGCGCCAGCTCGTAGCATATTTCCAAAGGACCAAGACCGCTTTGACTTATGACGAAGTCGCGGTATGCTTCACTGACACGTCATCCAATACCCGCGTGTGTACGTTGCATAAAGAGGACGGAAGTCCCTGTCGGAAACCCTATGACCGCCTTGATCGATCGGTCTACCACATCCAGTCCCATCTCAAGATAAGGCCTTATCATTGTAATGGCTGCGTCAACCCTCTGTGGTACGCCAGTCGCGTTACGAATGTGTTTTGAGTCTGACATTGTTGCAGCACCGCCAGTTTCAGTTCGCCAAATCAGCGTGAGACTCATAAGAAAGATGGTCAACAAGTCAAATGTAGCAATTGGTGTGGTGTTTATCTACTCACTTTTCTCACTGTTCTAACCGAGAGACAGCGAAAAATTGGTGTCGAGGAAGAACATTGCTCGTCACCGAAAATCCCCCATTTGCCAGCCTCGACCGAATCTCTAACGTGGTTTTGTAATCCAGTTTCTTGTTTGCAAAGAGCGGGTTGAACGGGAATGAGTGACAACTTGAACCTTCACCACTCGGCAACCTTGCCATAAGATCATTGTATATACTCAAATCATAGCTTGGAGAGCGATTTCTGTCGCCTTTATGCCGCTTCCGGATGTATTTCCAGAGACTACTGCATCAGGAATTGCGGTAGATCCAAAGACGCTGGACCGTGTCGTACCAGCAACTCGACGAGCAGACGGAAGGTACTTGTCTTCATCCACCAACGCGAAGAGACACTGATATCTCGACTGAATCGCGTTTCGGATAGTCTGCGAAAAGAAATCAAGATTAGACCGGGCTTTACGCCGCAGGAGGACCAGAGTCGATTCCGAGGGAGTCGACAACAGCAAGCAGAGAAGAATGCACTACCCAAGGGCCATATTCTGGGGTGGGTGGCCCCATCGTCTGAAGCCCGCAATCGAGGAGGGCGCCCTGCCGCCGCTTCATCTGGAGGCCGAAGTCTCGAGGCACTTGCATCTGGAAACGCCCGCCTTGATGGCGCTTCGACGAGTTCGGGCAAAGATACATCTGCGATGTCAAAGAGCGCCAAGAAGAATGCAAGGAGAGCAGAGAAGAAGAAAGAGGATAAACAAAAGGAACTAGAAGCGAAGATTCGAGAGGCATGGGATGAAGATTCGGACGATGATGTGCCAAAGGCTGCGACAAAGCCAAAGGCATCACAGGAACAGGCTGCAGGTGACGATGCGGGTGCATCACTCGCAGAGGAGATTGAAGGGCTCAAGGTTTGAAGCGACGTGCACCAATGTCCAAGATCTGCGAGAGTCATGCTCTCTATGTATAAACGACCTCTTAACATACCAATGTTGCAAAAGATATCTAGGCGGCAAAGGGACCGATCGTGTCAATTCTACGGAGTTACTGTACAATAGGAGATCCCGCTGTTATTAAGAGACTAAGCGTGCGCTCGCTCTTTTAGCTAGCTGGTCGGAGGGCGCGCAGTCGTTCAGCAAGGTCACCACTCTCCTCTCTGACTTTCGATTCACCGATTCCCGGCTCGGGGAGTTTGGCGCTGTGCTCCCCAAGATTATGTTGAAGCTCAATATTAGCCTAGAGATTCGTGAGCAAGCTGGGCTCAGATAGAGTTGCGTGAGCACACCTCTTCCGCAGTCTGTCGCATCAACTCGTCGATTTGGTCCTGTGGCGTAGTGACTGCTGTAGTCGATTGCATCGTGTCTTCCATATAGGATGTCTGTACGTCGAGGTCGGCAAACTGAGATTCAAACTTGTCCATCACGAGGGAGATGCGCTCTAGGTTCATGCTCTCCATGGCTCTATCCATTCCGCGAACGACAGAGGTCATATTCCCGGTCACCTAAGACGAGAACATGGTCAAATCCTGTTATCCGACAATGTTGGCCGCACTCACCGACTTCATTGTCACTGCCGTCTCAACACGGCTGGCTACTGCGTCGATTCGGCTAGCCAGTCGCAGCAAGTTGAGGGCTTCGTTCTTCTTTCTAATGGCGTTGGCTGCGTATATGCGCGCGCCGTCAGTGTTTCCTTGGGTGAGCGCCTATCCGCAGTGCGCGTCGTGGTTGAAGATGTCGATAAAGAAGAAATAAATTAGAAAGAGGGTGTAATATGGCATGTACAGAGGGAACGTGTTAGCTCAGCCGGCGTGCTTGGGCATTCTGAGCATACCTTCTTCAAGCGGGCTTTCTCAGTCTTCTCGTCTTTGAGGGCTTTACTGGACTGCTTTGACAGCATCTTGGCTGTGAACTGACCACGTTGACAGGCACGATGGCCAACAAATGAGCTTCATATCTCGCCACTCGTTGTAAAACTGACCTTGAGCTGAAACAATGTCTCTGTAAATCATACGGAATAAGTCATTTGTTCGCAAATAAGTCGAGTTGAAGCGCACTCTCGAGGTTGCTCATGGCGCGGGGAGATGTAGAATCCAAAGATGATTCACCACACAGCTTGGACCTCGCCAAGTGCGAAGGCAAACTTGATTCGCTGGCGACATTCTTCGTTAGGATTATAAATCTTTATTCGAGCTTATAGAAAGACGTGTGGGCTTCATAAAAGGCCTTGACGTGGAGAATATGGGCCTTCTCTACCTTCTCAGCTACGTAGCGGCTGTCGTGGCTGTTGTATACGTGGTCTTAAGTCTTGGTTCGTTTTATTCCTTTGATAACCGGCGCTAATTTTGTAGCCAGTGGACTGTTGTGGATCGCCGAACTCATCGAGGAGCATTCACGGCTGGCCAAGACGGTGGGCCAACGAGCAATTTGGGTCATTGTTATCATCCATTTGCTCCTATACTTTGATGGTCTTCCTCCAACACATATCGCATTCTCCATATTCTGCCATTTCGTCTACTCTCGAAACATAACACCCCGCTGGCCTTTGATATCTCTCACGTCACCCTCTTTCATCCTCTCCTGCATCTTCGTATTTGTGGATCACGCTCTGTTCTTCAATTACTTCTCCCAGCAAAAGAAACTAGCTAGGCAAAGGGGCAGAGCACCTCTGTATTACCGAGATGCTCCAATCTTTGCGAATGGCCGAGAGTACAGTTTCGGAGAAGTAAGTGTGTCCTTGCATTCGTGTCTCCGCCAACTGACCAGGTACGTGGTCTAGATTGCAACATTCTTTGCCATTTGCGTCTGGGCTATACCTCTCTTCCTGTTTCTGGGCCTCAGCGCCAATGAAAATACGCTCCCGATACAACAAACCACGGATATGAGTGGGTCCTCGACTGCGGGTCGTGGAGAGGCTCGCACCCGGGCATCCCTTTTACGGAGGATATTAGATCCACTCTTGTCACTACTTCCGAACATACAAAATAAAAGGCAAGAAGGTATTATTGCTCCGGCCTCTCCAATTGCTCCTGCATCATATCCAACGTCGCCTGGTGGCATGTACGGAACACCTCCGTCTCCAGGGATAAATGGAACCTGGGTTACTATTCATGGCCAGAGTTATGTTACTGGCCCTGCTATTTCTTCTCCTCCGCCTCCGCGGGTGCGAAGAACAGTAGTACGAGATAGCTCAAGAACGGGAAAGGAGGACTAAGATTCACTTTGTAGCCTACATCGAGCTAATAGACCGCTTTATTCTGCGTGGTTCGGACACCCGCCAGGATGTCATATATCTGTATCAACCTTTCGACGCTTTCTGTCGCCGCCTTGCTCCTCTTCGGCGGTTTCCTTTTGAGGCGAAGATCCCCCCTCCTGATTTGCGTCTTCCTTGTCTTTGGAATTCTCTTTAGAATTGGCTGTATCGGCTGTTTTGGCCCGTTTTCTTGAAACGACGACGCCTTTCAGACCTGGCTTGACTACGCGAGCTTTTGACGGATTTGCCGGGGCTGATTTCGAGGGTTTGGCGTCCTTGGTTTCCTTTGATGTCGAAGGGACTATGGGTGGATTTTGAAGGCTCGACTCGCGTGCTTGGACGGCACTGAACCCCATAATGATCAGTCCCATATCATCAAGAGAGGCGAAAGAGTAAAAAAAAGTTATACGTAGCGTCATGAAGCCCTAAAGAGGATGAGTATGTTGTATTCTTAGAATGAAAAGGAAACTACACGCACGCTCTAAAGTTCTTGAGTTCAGCTGCTTCGTCTCGTTTGACGCTCTGTTCTTCTTCGAATCTCTTCAGCGCTATAGAGTCGAGAAAGCCGACCTCGTCTGGGTTGAGCGGACGAAACTGGGCAGACAACTTGTGAGCATTGGCGTATTCCTCGTCCTTTGCAGCACGATTAGCCGCAAGTTTCTATTATTCAACTTGTCAGCATTTGTATACCATCGAATATCGCCGCTTGACCGACCTCTGCAAGGCTTCGACCGTCGTATGCTTCTGCAGGAGCTTGCGGCGGTGGTTCTTGACCCATACGTGCATATGCTGCTTTCCAGAGTTCATCTTTCTTGGCGTTTGTCTCGTCAATCTCCTTTTGGGAGACAAAGCGCGAGGGCAGATGCACATCGTCCATGCTCGCTGTATCTTGCTGCAGCCACTAGCGCTGTATTCTGCTATCTGAGTATTTTGAAATGATTTTGAGCGGGCTGTTTGTTGAGCCCAAGACGCGCGCCTTTCTTGGTCGATGGTCTTCAAAAGCAAAGGCGCTTTCCAAGCTTGTTCTCTGCCCCTACAACTCGCCGCCAACAACCCACGCCTGGACCTGCTATTTGCCGTTTGATCCGTTTGTTAAGATGATTATCAAGGTCAAGGTATGCTAGCTTTACTCTGGCAGTCGGCAGAATTCGTATTGTGGCGACAAGCTGACTGATGGTTATCCATAGACGTTGACTGGCAAAGAGGTAAATAGCTTCGGATACACTTGGAACAATCTCTAATGTTTTCTTCCGGGCGTAGATCGAACTTGATATCGATCCCGATGACAAGGTCAGCCTCTTCCGACCTGTTCTACTATCATCAACGCTAATTGGCTATCTTTTGGGTTAACAGATCTCTCGCATCAAGGAAAAGGTAGAAGAGCAATCTGGTGTACCACCGCCACAACAGCGTCTCATCTTTTCGGGTCGTCAAATGTAAGCAAACTCGTCTCCATCCAATCCTATATCGAATCAACATCATTGGTGTTTGTTTGTTCTTGCTCCAACGAGCTTTCTAACCTACAAATAGGGTCGACGAGAAGACGGCAGCGGAGCTCAACATTGTCGCTGGGAGTGTATTGCATCTAGTGCTTGCTCTGAGAGGCGGCTACTAACGGTTCCATCGTATGTCGGATGAGGCACTAGACCCGCCACCTAGAAGTCGTGTATCTCGAATAACTATCCCTTTAAAGTTTACCCTTGCATTGCGTATTCAACCGAATAGGGTATGATCATAATAATGATCATGCAGTTTCCTCCGAAGCTGAGCTAACTCAGCTGAGAGCAATCAAACGGTCGTGTTGGCACCTCTTGGAGATGTTCGTACATTCTCTCCTGATTCTCTTCTAACCTCCTTTAGCACTTACCCGCTCAATCATCCATGGGCACTTAACAGTGGACGGGAAATTTGTTAGCGACCCAATTCAAAAACACTCCACTTGGACAGATTGCTATCAAGCCACACTTTCCGATCACAGGTGTTGGTATTGAACCAACGCACACCGAGTTTGTATCTTCCTCTCTTTCGACTGCAAATCCTCCCCAAGACCAAACTTGATATTTGATCTTCGATCCATTTGCTACAATATTTGTAACATTCAGGGGACGTGCCTATCACCGCCCAAGTCGCGGATTATCGCCACAAGTTCCCTAGCAATCGTTGGCGGATATCTTCCGCCCCTTCTACCATCATTAACCATTGAATCTCTGAAATGACAGATATGAAATTATCTCTTGATGTAACCATCAGTGAAAATCACCGTCGCATATCTTCGAGCTTGAGTTTACTAGGGGTGCAACGCATCAACAGAGAAACTGCTCATAGTGTACACATGGGCTCTGCAAGAATGTAGAAAGTGGATGGTTTCATCCTAATCTGTATCATACATTGATAGTGGTAGAGATAATAAACACTGGGTGACTTCAAACGATTGTCCAAGATGGACCACATTGGAAATGAGTAAAATCCAGCCGTGTTGCACGCAACGAGCTTGCTGTCGGTATAGTGAGAAGATGTGAGCGTAGTAATCCATGCCGATTGTCCGGTGGTACCCAGAAGAGATATCTACCAGAAGACTGCACCCATCCATCTGGCAAAAGTGAGCACTGTTCGAATCCAGGTACATGAATCTTCAAATGAGTGTCTCTTGGGTCGTCTTCGAGACCCAAATGCGTAGGGTCTATGACGTTCTGGTTATCGTTCCTTGTGTTTATATCTGATAATACGTCAGACGGCGAACAATAAGATAGCACAATGCCCACCCATCCCTGCATCCCACAACATGATGGTCCTATCTTTCGAGCCAGAAATAACTCGTGAGCCATCTGGTGAAAATGCGACAGCCAACACCGAGTCTTCGTGACCTCGAAGTGGTTGTCCCAATGATCGACCTGTGTTCATATCCCAAATTTGAATCGTCTTGTCTTCCGATCCAGAGACGATCCGAGAGCCATCTGGCGAGAGACCGACGGCCAGGACGGAGTATTTATGCACCTGGAGTGGCTCCCCGAAGGGTTGACTGGTGTTTGTGTTCCACAATCGAATTGTCCCATCAGCTGACCCAGAGACAATTTGGGAGCCATCCAACGAAAACAAGACGGCTGAGATCCGCTTGCTATGACCTATGAATGGCTCTCCCAATTGCTGGCCAGTTTCTATATCCCACAGTCTAATTGTGCGGTCATTTGAGCCAGAGACGATTCTTGACGCATCTGGTGAGAATGCGACTGCCAACACCGAGTCTTCGTGACCTTGGAGTGGCTTTCCCAACGGCTCACCGGTGACCGCATTCCAAGTTCTTATTGTCCCATCATCCGAGCCAGAGGCGATTAATGGCCCGCCTGGCGAGTATGCAACCACATTGACACCCCCTTCATGGCCTTGAAGTGGGACCAGTACCCGTTGGCCAGTGTCCGCATTCCATAGTCGAATTGTTCCATCACGTGAGCCAGAGACAATCCTTGACCCGTCTGGCGAGAATGTGACGCATTCCACTGCAGCGTCATGACCTTGAAGTGGCTCTCCTGATGGCTCGCCAGTGTCAAGAACCCACAGGCGAACAGTCATGTCCTCCGAGCCAGAGGCGATTCTTGAACCGTCTGGAGAGAATGCAACGGTCAACACTGAATCTTCGTGACCTCGCAATGACTCTCCCAACGGCCGACCAGCGACTGGATCCCACAGTCGAACTGTGTTATCAAACGAGCTAGACACAACTTTTGAGCAGTCTGGCGAGAATGAGACGGCCAAAACTGAATCCCCGTGAGCCTGGAGTAGCTGTCTCAGCAGCTGACCGGTGTTTGCATCCCAGATGAGGATCGACCTATCAGAAGAGCCAGAGGCAATTCGAACACCATCTGGTGAGAATGCGACTGTCAAGACGGAGTATTGGTGAGCTCGGAGTGGCTTTCCAAATGGCTGGCCAGTGTCTACATCCCACAGTCGGATCGTCATGTCTTCGGAACCCGAGACAACCCGTGACCCGTCTGGAGAGAACGCAACTGCATAGATCACGGATTCATGACCGCGGAATGGTTCTCCCAATGCCCGACCGCTGTCTGCTTCCCACAGTTGGACCGTCTTATCGGATGAGCCAGAGACGATTTGTGAGCCGTCTGGCGAGAACGCGACTGAATGAACCGCGTCTCCATGCCCCCGGAGTGGTTCTCCAAATGGTTGGCCAGTATCTACATCCCACAGTCGAATAGTCTTATCGGCCGAGCTGGAGACGATCCGTGAACCGTCTGGCGAGAATGCAACAGCATTTATCACGGATTCGTGCCCTTGGAACGGTTCTGCCAATAATTTACCACTTTCTGCATCCCAAAGTCGGATCGTCTCGTCGGATGAGCCGGAGACGATTTGCGAGCCATCTGGTGAGATGGCAACTGCCTTGACCGAGTCTTCGTGGCCTCGGAGAGGCTCTCCCAATGGCTGACCAGTGTCGACATCCCACAGTCGAATAGTCTCGTCGTCGGAGCCGGATATGATTCGTGATCCATCTGGTGAGATGATGACGGCGTTGACTGAATCTTCGTGACCCCGTAGAATATTCGGGAGCTTTGGATACATGGTGTCAAGACCTTGAGTCACAACGAGACTGTTTCTATAGAATTTGATGCCCTCGTCATGCAGTATTGACGTTTTAGGGGTAAAAGGAAGCGCTGAAATGTAGATGTGTGGAGTACTGTCCAGAATCGGCACCGAAAATGCTATTAGGAACCGTCGGATCTCATAAGCACTTGTCCTGATTTCCTCCTCAAGCTATTTGTTGCGTAAGAGATTGATATTATCGAGATAGATTACTCACTCCTGTCTGGCGTGTAAGGGCTCGAAGACCGGCTATTGCACGAGACACTGCTCCAGTGAAGCTCAGTATTTCCATCCAATATAGTACGTATGGACTTTTAATGATGTGTTGGAGTTCGTCCTTAAGCATGCGCTGCCAGTCGAGGTTGGTTTGGGCTGCATGAAACAGCCAGTGGGAGCTAGCATATCTAATTCTTCTTGTAATGAACTTTGAAACCCTGACATCAAGGTCCGGGAGCTGCCTATTTAAGTAGAAAGATGACTGAATCTGACATATGTTAAACCTGAGGCCTTCAGTCCGCGATCTGAGACATTTCAGACACCATAACGCAGCTTGGCCATGTGCATGCGCAATGTTAATATGGATCCTGTTGATATTGTTGACTGTTGTAACGGCGGTGCAGCGCCGCAGGTATTCGACAAGGGTTGGGTGACGAAATTGGATAAGATCTGTAGTCGTATCCCTAATGAGTACGCTTCCCAGATTCTGTAATAAAGCCTTGCCACTTCCCGATATTCCAGCCTGCTTGAGGAGGTGTTCTAGATCATCGATTGTGAGCGGCTCGAATGCCACAAGGAGCACCGCAAGCATCTTACACATGACCTCGTGAGATTGAGGGTCTGTACGCTCAAATATGAGGTCGTATACTTCATCTATTGCTCCAGTTTGATCCAAGGAAATTAGGCGGTTATATATGCTCTCTGGAGTGCTCATCGTTGTCTCGCTTGTGAGCATTCGACAGGCAGTGCTCGCCCAGATGAACAACCCGTTAGCTTTTCCAACCAGTCTTTGTCTCTTGTCATGGGGCAGCACTCCATCTAGTGACTGATGTACATAAAATGCGATGTCGTTGACGTTATCGCGATGGTTGACATCATGGAGGCGGTCATTCAACTTGGCTTTGATCGAGAGCGACCCCAACACTCCTTGGATGACTGGATCCGGCCGACTCGTCATGAATATCCTGAGGTTCTTGCTCTCTTGGACGGCCTTGGAGAGTGTTTCCAGAAGCTCTCTTCGCTGGGATCCAGATTTACATTCGTCAAGGGCGTCAAGAACAAGAATAACGCGTCCTTTCCGACGATTGAGAGGACCGACGACAAGCGTCTGGAACTGTTCGTCAATGGAGCTTCGCATGAAAGAGGGATTCCGCTTCACGGCTTCAGCGACGGATGGCGTGAGCTCCGGAATAAAATGAACAAGGTCCCTTGCTATGGTGGAGCAAAACTTGTCGGTTGTTGATCCGTCACTGCTTGCCATCGAGAAGAAGAATCGTCCACCCAGCACCCCCTCCTTGCGCCACGCGTCCATCGCGGACATTGCGACGGTTGACTTGCCGGAGCCAGCTATATCACAGAGCCAAAATATTGACTTGTCCGATGTATCGTCGTGGGCCCACTCCCGTATCATCTGGAGAACGGCCTCACGCGTTCCTTTGAGACAAGTCCGGTGGACAGAGGACGCGACAAATGCTACTGTCGGTAGCTGGAGGATAGCAGCGGCGTCGACTTGGAACACTCAGTGAGTCTCCTTTCCAAAGATTCCAACTTACCCTCCGTTAGAATTGCTTCTACATTGGCCCGCGTGGCTTCGGTATTCCGTTCGACAACTTGAACACGTAATGCGGTAAAAACGCCCAACGCTTCCTGTGTCTACGGTGAACCGGTATGTATAAAATTGATGAAGCTCGCACCATGAACAACCTATGTCGGTCTTCAATCTCTCTGTTAAGTTTACGAATCTCTCCCGCATCAATTTTGACTTTGCTAAACGCATTAAGGAAGCCGAGTTTGTTGCGACTCCGCTTCGCCCTTAGATCGACAACCATGTCATGCATATCTTCGAGGAATCTACATATCTCAGCCTATTGAAATATCCCTGGAGTTTTCACGTACTCGACATAGTGGATGAGTGGACGGCTGAACACCTCGTCAACCGCCCTGTCCCCCAGTGGGTAGGTCTCGAACAGAGCAGTGCGTTCCTCGAGTGCGGACATGTATTCCTTCAGGCGTCGTGTCAGGTCGGTCCATTCTTCTTGGTTGCTTTCTATCGCCTTTCATTCGTTAGTATGAGGCCGTGGCAGTTTGGGTAACACACTTGTACAACTTCGAGGATCGATTTTGTTGTTCGACAAGCAGCCTTCAGAGGAGCGAGTATGTCCGATGCCTCTGCTATGTTTGCGACTATGTCGAGGCCGGTGTTGATTGTGCCGTATCCTTGCTCCTTCTTGCTTGTTGAGCGATGTGCCGAAGATGATGATCCCGATATATTTACAATATTATGTGATTTCTTCGATTTATCAGACTTTCGCGAGGACATCGTGAAGGTGGCCGGATCCAAGCGAGGCTCAGCGCCTGTCACCTCCAAAACACGCTCTTTGGTGGAGAAACGTGACCTGATACAATGAATACGGCGCTCAATGACATGGCTTTTCAATCTATTCGTCAGGCGCAGACCTGCTCGACGCCTTTCTCACCCATCTAGATGCATTCATGACAAGTGTAGTAGAAACGTGACAAATAAAGCAACATGATCATGCTGTTGTTTCAGAAGCCGGCTTTGACGTAGTGGAGGGCGACGTTGACCCTGTCGGAGGCGATCGAGGAGTAAATGTCACCTCTCTTGTCTCGAGGAGTCCCCCCCAGGATGTTTGTATATTTCCTTCTAATCCACCTTCAACAACGTCGCCCTCGAATATCCGTAGCCTCTCTAGCCTTCTCTCGCGGAGTTTGTTCTTTGGAAGCATTCCTGAAACTGCAAGTCGAAGGATCTATATGATACTTGAATTACGGCCGGCTACTTGGGACAGAATCAAGACAAACCTGGTCTGGTCGGTCCTTCATGAGATCTTTGTACTTTCGCTCGTGTAGTCCGCCAGGATACATGGTATGATGTCGGTATACCTTTTGCTCAGACTTTTTGCCTGTAACAATGAGTTTGCGAACGTTGGTTACGCAGACATAATCGCCATTGTCCACTGCCAGATAGTCAGTCATTGAAGATAAAAATCGAATACTAACAGCTTGGGTGCCACACAGGCTTATGCTTTCCCATGAGTACATTGGCGATTCGAACGGCAAATTTGCCTAGGACGCGGCCAGACGCGTCGGTGTGATGCCAAAGCCGAGTATAGGCGAGTCGGGGCTGAAGAAGAATAAATTCAGTCAGCAGGTGCGTTTGAAGCAGGAGGAAAGCGTGAAGTTGAATCAAGGTCAGCAGTTCTTTCGTCCGTAGCGTAGATCCAGAATTTCGAACTTCTGAAACCATGAAGAAAGAATAAGACATACATTACCAATTGCTTGGGACATTCTTCGCTACGCACGTTCTTCCAATGGCCGTTTAAGACCTCTTTGGGTTGAAATTCGCTTCTAGTATCGAGAATATACCGCCGAAGATGCACGTGCAGCGACTTGTTCTTGAATTATAGGCAAATCTAGAATGCAAGGGTAGGATTGCAGTGGCACAGCTGGCGTGCAAATGTGGTCGAGTCGAAGAAGCCAATGCATAGACCATTTGTTGAGCATGACCTCGATATCGCAATAACCTGAAATCACTATACAAGGCATGATTTTGGACCATCATCTCCGCTTTTGCTCGTGGTTCACTGAACAAAGTTGGTTTCAACTTTTGCCCAATGCCTCGACGACCTGAACCCCTCCTTCAGCCTGGCAAGCTCTGTTTCCCTGGTGTTCATGCAAAAGGCTCTAATGAACTTTAGAGCGACCTTATCTTGCTCTTGGGCTCGAAGGTTCTGCCAACAAACTGGGAGCCGGCGTGATTCAGCATCTGCCTTCGGGAGAAACCAAAGTCTTGTCCAATGTCCGACACACGTACATTACACCGCCAGGTGAAGGCTTCTTACCTCGCGATACGGCCCTACATCATCGGCAATGGATCATGAAGGTGATCAAGGATGCAATGGAACAGGCCGGTGTGGGTATTAAAAACGTCGATTGTATTTGCTACACAAAGGGTATGCATCTGGTGTGCATTTTCGGGATACTGATTGGTCTCAGGTCCGGGTATGGGTGCGCCACTCCAGAGTGTAGCTGTAGTGGCAAGGACGCTTTCGTTGCTTTATAAGAAGCCACTGGTCGGAGTTAATCACTGCGTTGGACGTACGTTATCCTGTCTGAAACCACTCCGTGGTTGCTAAGTTTCGCAGATATCGAGATGGGACGCCAGATTACTGGTGCAACGAACCCAATTGTCCTCTATGTATCCGGAGGAAACACCAAGTAATTGCCTATTCACAACAACGATATCGGATCTTTGGCGAGACGCTGGATATTGCAGTGGGCAATTGTCTCGACAGATTCGCCCGCGTAATCGGTCTCTCCAATGACCCAAGTCCAGGATACAATATCGAACTAATGGCACGCTCTGGTGGAGCCAACAAGAGACCGCTTCGACTCATACAACTCCCATACGCGACCAAGGGCATGGATGTGAACCTGTCTGGGATCTTGACTGCTGCAGAGACTCTCACGCAGGACCCACGATTTCGTCGAGAGATGAACGAGGATGATCCTGATGACACCTTTACACCAGCAGATCTCTGCTACAGTCTCCAGGAAACTGTGTTCGCCATGCTCGTAGAGATTACGGAGCGCGCAATGGCACATGTTGGGAGTAAAGAGGTTCTCATTGTGGGTGGCGTTGGCTGTGAGTTTCTAAGGTAGACTTTCAAGGCCACGTTTGACCATTCGACAGGCAACGAAAGGTTACAGGAGATGATGGGAATCATGGCGGCGGAACGTGGGGGCAATGTATTTGCTACTGATGAGCGGTGCGTTGTAAAGTACGTGATTAAAACCTCTGACTAAAGTTTGGCCAGATTTTGTATCGATAATGGGATCATGATTGCGCAAGCAGGACTATTGAGCTATCGAATGGGCTTCAAGACACTACTAGAGGAAAGTACTTGTACACAAAGGTATGCTCCATCCTTCTCTTCTTTGATACACAAAGCCAATCTTTGCTAGATTTCGTACTGATCAAGTACATGTCTCTTGGAGAGCGTAATCATAGTAATTTAGACTGCTGCTTGAAAGAACGTAATCAATAAGTTTAATATGTAAAATAGACAGGTGCCGGTGGGGCCGAAACCTTGTCTCTGACTACCTCCGGCCTAATTACGATCAGCGCGCCCGCACCTAGCTTCTGGACTCAGCATATTCAATAATTTTCCCTTGCGAATTCTGCAGCAATGCGCTTGGAATCATCTGGGAGAATTAGAGGGATCGACTCTCTTCCATTGGAGTTAGTTATAGCTATATTCAAACAGACGACATATCTGGATTCCGCATACCCACTTCTGCTACTCCTCGTCTGTAGAAGCTGGGCCAATCTAGTGGAGCAGGCTCCCTCGCTGTGGACACAGGTATCCGTTGACGAGACAAAGCCCGACTTTTTTGATCGGGCTTTTGCTCACGTTTACTGCTCGAAGGATGCCCAGATGGACGTTACAATCTCTGGTGGGCGAAGGACCCTATTGCCGGTGTTGGAATCACTATTCACCAATAAATGGGCGCAAATTAGGTCATTCACTTGGATAGACTATAGTATACAGTACGAAGATGAGTTGTGTGCGACATTGGCGAGGCTTACTGGATTATACTCGCTCAGTCTAGGTCGCATGAGGTGCCCAATTATCAACACCTTCGCCTCATTCCGCAATTTGAGAAATCTTGAAGGCTTCGTTCGTGGATCTGTGGATGCCAACCAACTTATGAAAGCAGCCTGCCAGCTTCCGAAACTGGACCTGCTGAATGTCAAAGTCCGCAGAAATATCGGTGAGAGGATCGACTTGGATCCCCTCCTTTTCCAGGAACTCCGTCTGAGATCACTTACATTCAAACCATCGATTCGGACTATCGCGCCCTTCGCGCTGAGCAATGCGTCGATACGCTCAATCCTCTCCAACAACTATGTTCGACATGTAGATCTACAACTTCATGATCTTGATCAACTCCAGCTTCCCAAGGATTTCCGTTGTGGGTCGATTGAAACCCTCCGTTTAGCGACCACCTGGTTCATTGGTAGATCTCCAGAGCTAATAAGGTCCCTATCTCACACTTTGACGTCCTTATGCTTGGCATTTTCTGCCTCGCACGAGGAAGTTGTTCGAGTATTGAAGGAGTTACGAAGCTGGTCAAACTCAAGGAGTTCGAATGGGCGGGATCTTGTACAGATCAGCGACACGAATATTCTCCGGATCCCTCCCTCTCCCCTCTACTTCCGCGCTTATCACAACTCGCATTTTGGGCGACATGTCGCAGCCAAGTCCTCAACGTCCTGACAATGAGGGCCCCCCAGCTGGAGCACTTGAGGATTGAGTCCTCGGCGCCGGTATTGGCCAAGATACAGAAAGACCTCACCGTTCGAGATGCACTGAGGGCATTCCTACAAAGAAGTTCGCAGATCTCGAAAGCTCTGCTATGGGGTTTACCTCTATGCGACATTGAAGAAGATTATCCATCGATCGAGATGCCTCTTTTGACTCAACTAGAGGTCTATGCCAATTCTCCGTATTCCCTCTCCCTTTTCCGTCCCGGCGACCGACCCATCGAGTTGTCAATCACCATCGGAGAGGACCCTCCTCTAGAAAAGAGACCTGTGCCTTCCGGGGCCATCACTCGGACGTTCTTTGAGAGCGCCGAAGCCCTTACCTTTCACATATCTGACCGATTCAATCATTTTCAACCCTTCGCCATCTCCATCCATCTATTCTCTCATCTCCGCGTACTTTCAATATGCGGATTCGCGCAACATATCAAGCACGTGGATAAAATTCTCGAAATCCTCCATCACGACCAGGGATGCCCGGTTCTGGAAGAACTACGAATAGCAAAGTATCCGAATTGGGATGCTCTGCTCGGATTTATTTCCTCTCGCAACTCACCTACCTCCAACCGTATACACTCTGGTGCAGCTCCATTCCGAGCCGTTGGCCTGCCTCGACAACCTCATCCGACTATTCATTATGCAATACAAAGAGCTCTCGCCGGTGGGACTCAAGTCGCATTGGAATCTTGGATTATCCCACCTGATATGTGAGTCCTAATAAGATGTATGTCGATGTATTGACCATCATAGGTTATCACATTTATGTCTCGGCTGTAAGAGCGCGAGAATCCATACCTGCCAATGGTCAGATGATGAAGATGCAGAGTTGTCCGAGTACTGTCTTCGCCACCCTCCACGTGCAAATGTAATAATTACTCATGATATGCCGCGTTTGTAATGTCGTCGCCCACCAATGGTTTATCCTTCAAGAGTCCCGGTTCGCGCTTTCTAGCCACTTTCGTAAAGGGGGTTTCCTTCATATTTCACTTGATCCAACGGGTTCCTATACCCCGACTTTGTAGTCTAGTCGGATTTCAATTCTAAACATCTAAACTCACGCCGCAGCAATGCATGCGCACAATTTTGTCACAAGTCCAATACTTAATCTATCTGATCAATCGTGCGTTGGATAGTCAAAAGGGCAACCGACTCCCGGTTTATGGAGCCGACCTCGTCGGTATGATTATATTGAGACTCTAGAACATTCGTCTCGTGGAGTGCTTACAAATTAGGCGCCATATGGCATCGTTTATCGTGACTCGAGCACTTCTTGTCGAGTTTAAATACTTCCGGGATATCACCATAGTTTGGTAGGTCCCCGCGTCGAGACATAAGAAATGGATATAGGGAAAATACCGAAACAAATAGAAAGTCGAAGGCTGTCGACCTACGTCACCACCTCTCCGACCTCGCCAAAGCACGGAAACCAGCTCCCATCAAGGAAGTATTCAAGTACTATGGCAAACCTGGAGTTCTTGCTATGGCAGGAGGTGTGAAAATCACAAAGTCTCGCGTCTTTTCATTCACTTTTGACTAGGTATTCCCCATCCCCAGTATTTCCCATTCTGTACCCTCGAGTCTGCACTCCTGTCTCCAGATGCGTTTACGAGTATAGAAGAAAATGGAACATCCACTCTCGACCTATCCATCAAAGCAGGCTCAAACGACGCCGAGCGTGCGCACGACAAACTCGTCGTGCAAAAGTGGCCTGAACATCCAGGCGAGGAGATCAATCTTGCCCGTGCACTACAATACGGTATGAACTTTCTACAGTCCTGGAGAATGAATGGATCGTATTGACATAAGTTGAGACATGGCAAAGGGGTTGCCAAATCTCCAAGCCTTCATATACGATTACACTGCAAGATTCTTTCGACCCGCTTACGCAGACTTTAGTGTCTTGGTTCACACGGGAAATACAGATGGATGGTCGCGCATTCTTATGACACTTCTCAATCCGGGAGATGGCTTATTGATGGAGGTCAGCTGTCATCGGTCCTTGGCTGTGTTCTTACAAACAGGTTAGGAATGGACCTACACTGCAGCCATCTCTGCTGCTCACCCCTTTGGCATCCGCATCGTCACGATCCCTTTGGACAGTCAAGGGTTCAGGCCAGATGCACTCGAAAAGGTATTAAGTGAATGGAATGAAGAGGAAAGGGGATTCAAACGGTACACGGTAAATCCACCCACTGGCAATCCGTCTAAAAGATTTTGCAGTCCACGCTTATTGTACACCAACCCTATTGGTCAAAATCCATGCGGTATTCAAGTTGGACTTGAACGCAAGAAGCAGATTTACGAAATTGCGGTGAAATATGACCTTGTCATCTGTGAAGATGACCCCTACTATTACCTTCAGGAAGGCGAGTACGCTGCCCCGATGCACGCAGGTCAGCTCCCAAACAGTCCCAAGAGGATGGAGTGGACGGCTTCATCCGAGAGCTTGTGCCGAGCTATTTGAGGTGCGAGTCCTCTCCTACCTTGAATATGTTGCTGAGTGGCGTGTAGCATTGACTACCAAGGACGAGTGATTCGTCTTGATACATTTTCCAAGGTGCATGCTCCAAATATTCTGTTGTCGTAATTGCTGATACAGGACTTTGCGAATGGCGTGGTGTTTGATATGCAGACACTTGGACCGGGTCTACGTCTTGGATGGTTCACCTGTAATCCCCTCTTCGCTGAACGCTTGGAGCGTCATGGCGAACTCTCGACGCAAGCACCCGCCGGCCTCAGTCAAGCACTCGTCACACAGCTCCTTGTGCACCAGTGGGGTATCGACGGATACGTACGCTGGCTACGTGGACTTAGGACCCAATACACCGCACGCAGAGATGCACTCGTTGACGCGCTCTTCGAAGAGTTTGAGAAGGAAGGCATTACATTCGATATAGTCGACGGGACAGGGAATTTTGAAGGCAATAAAATGTTCAAGGCGGATGTACCAGAGACCTCGTCAGCAAGTAATCCGAGTGGAAAGGACAAGGGGATTCAAGTGAGCTTTGTACCACCTACATCAGGGATGTTCCTCTGGGTGCGCCTCCCTCGTTCAGAATTAAAAGAATATACTGACAGGAATGTCGTGTAGGTTCAAGTTCACTTTACAAGCACAGCGAATCCAATTGCCGTGAGTGGCTTCGATAACCATGCTGCGACGCATGAAGGCAAGCTATGGTCACGTCTCGCGGACGAGGGCCTCTTGGTTCTCCCTGGATGGATGTTCCGTGGTGGCAAGGAACATCAACACTCAGACGATCCAAATGAAGTAGGCTATTACCGTATTAGCTTCAGCGATCCAACGGTGTGTTCTTCTTTGCACTTTCTTCCGAAACGAAAAGGCTAATTGAATGCCAGAGAGAGGACATGAAGAAGGCTATGAACGTGTTTGCTCGTATGCTCAAGAGCTATAGCTCCACAATGGCGCATTTCGAATAATGCATGAATACACGCGCGCTATTATACATCCCGTGACTAGAGTGTTGATTTAGGGAGATTTGCGATTAAGCCTCTTGTGCTCTTTGTGGATGAGCTTAACAAAGTCGTCAACGGAGCCCTTGCCAGCTTTACAATCCTTCCACTTGTCGTCATCGCGAATGCACGTCTTGACGCCGTTGATGAATACCGTGCAGCTATTGCTACAAGCACATGAGTTTCGACCAAACGAAGTGATAGGAAGACATACGTGATACCCATAGCCCTCGTTCGCTCTACACTCTGCAAGAGCAATGTCCGCGCAATGACCTCGTTATGAAAACACGATCCAACGCCCAATTTACTGGCACCCCCTGGATACTCCACGTCTACCCATGGCAATCCGACGCTACGTGCGCATTGTTTCGCTATGTCTTCCTTGCCTGGGGCGTATCGACCGCCGGCATTCTGGCAGGTGATAAACGACCACCATGTTCTCCAAGAGGGTTCATCGTACTCGCGAGACATCGCCTGTAAATTAAGCGGAGAAGAGGATCTCGTAGAGCGAATTGCGCAGAGTTGCTGAACGTTTCCTCGGCACTCATTCTCGCCATGCCTACAGGTCACGCCGTATGTAGGTTCAGAAGCGTTTACTCTGCACTATATCAGTACAATGACCTCTATATCAAAGAAGGACTGACCTTGCAATATAAGTGACGTCGAGTTCGACGAGTGGACCGACTTGCGAAAGGACGTCGTTGAAAACTCTTTCACAATACAGCGCATCTGGGCAGTTGGACATGACGCCCAGCAACACGGGAACACGGATTTCTTCGCTCGCCGCTGATGTCAATGGCATCTGATCATTCTTGAACAAATTTGGCGAAGATGAAACACTAGATGAGAATCCACATGCTTGGAGGAGTACAATAAACGTGACCGCGAGCTTGCCGACCATGGAGCCCAGGAGTGGTCAACGCCAACTTGTCGACGGCCTCTTTCCAGCAAATTTCTCGTCGGCTCTCGACCACTTTCTAGAATGTGTTTGAGGAACGAATCCGTGGCAAAATCACGAGTGCAAGGATCGGATCATTGCTTCTTCGAGAAAAGTGAACCCCTCATGCGTCCATTACATTGAGGACTTCCTGGACGAAGTAACGAAAAGAAATGAAGGGATCGGAACCTGACCAAGACACCGTATTCACACGCCATCAAACGCTTACTTGCGTCTAATCCCCTGATCTTTCTCGTCGGCTACCACACTCTTTTTCTTTCCTGTTCCGTCCCGACGACTTCTCATGGGTCAAAACGAGACCCTGTGACGATGAAGAAGATGAAGAGTGGTGCTCGGCAAATGAAATGAACGTTTACATCATGGTCAAATGAACGTGCATCCCTCGCCGCACTCTCGAATGTTCCCATCGTAAAGGGGAGAGGTCACGACCATGTCGCTTAATGGCCTCACATGTACTCCGTGGACCGAACGAGGCCGTCAGCGTGCGATTCCGCCCGGCGGATGTCCCCCTTCGTGACGCCTTGGACGTCACTTGGACCGGATGCAAAAGAGCCTCGACTTGGCCGTGGTTGTCTCGGCGGAGGAGTAGGTGAATTTGAAGCCGGGAAGAAAGGATTCCGCGAAGTCGGTGCGAGAAAAGTGCATTTACACTGCACCAGGACGCCGCAACGAAATTTAGACAACTCCACTACATTCTTCCTTTCTTCCATATTTGCAAACAATTCCCTCATCACTTGATCTTGGTTCCGAGCTTTTACGCCTCCATTTTTCTATGCCAAGCAGCTGAACATGATGGGTAAGCAGAATTATTTTCTTACTCGATGGCTGATTGTTTTGACAGATAGGACCGTCAGGCACCCGTGGCCGACGATTCTCGTTCACACTCGCCTGCCCTTGCGGCGCTACCGCTGGCGGGGCACAGCAAGTCAAGTCGACACATTCATTCCGAATGATAACCGAGAGTGTGTGCACGAATTGATCGAAGAGGGTCAAGCTCGATCCCCCCGGTAAAAAAAGAGCCTGCCTGTCCTCCACTTCAGGTCCCATTTGCCGCCGAGCGGATGAGAATTGGCGTTAAACTGACGCGTCCAACCCTCCCTCCTGATCAAGCTTCTGATATACATCACTATTGGACAGCTACCGGCCCGTTCAATGTCCAATATCGTGAGCATGATTGTCCTTGGAAAAGGATGTATAGTCATTCCTTGGCCCTTGCCGTGCTCACATCTCACGATTTCGCGCGAAAGCGGAAGGATGATCCGTAGCGCAACAGAACAAGCTCTGACGCGCGGCTTCTTCCTTGACGAGGAGGTGTGCCGCCCTGCGCGTCTGCCTGACCATGGCCTAATTCCCGGATCATCCTGCGAAAATGGCGGAACGAGTTCGATGAGCGCAGCGAGCACACACACACACATATAAAGGGACTCGAGATGTTCACAAGAACATTACTCCCAGTCCTCACCTCGACGACCTCTTTGCCTCCAATTCGATACAGCCCCGTCTATAGTTGCTCTCCTAGACATGTTTGGTAAATCGTTCGTTGGCCTCGCGTTACTTTCGCTCGTATCGACTGCGCTCGCGAGCCCGCTCGTCGAGCTTGAAGAACGTGCGGCGTGCAAGAAGAAGAGCTATGGAGCATTCAAGTTGTACGCAGCACCTGTCGGCCAGCCGGCATCGGAGTGGCAGCAGGTCAAACTCATCGACTTGTACACGCCGCGACCGCTCAACGATACCATTTCCGCATTGAGCGTGCGTTTATAGATTTTGTGTGGTGTTTGGAGATTGACCGACTTGATAGGTGTGCCCCGACGCGTCTTGCGGTCGTGCTCCAGCGTATTGGGTGCTCAAGGATCAAATCTTGGAAGCAGTGTTTACGGATGCGCAAGAGGGATGGCGGACGGTGAACAAGGCACTGGTCAAGGATGATACAGTCAAGTTTGTGACGAGCGATGCTGCGTCGATTGCGAAACAATTGGCACCGGTCTACTGCGCGACGGTGAGTATCTTGCACTGCGTTTGGTGGAAGAGGACTGACAATAATTGTTCCAGCGGAATCCAAAGACGTCGAGCGGACTTCCAGGATACCTTTCCGCGAATGGGAGCGCCGAGTATTTCTCAATGTGCACCAACTTTCCGACGGTTGGGACACCTGAGCGGGCAGATATCTACTACAAGGCTGTGACACCGTCGACTGGAGGAGAATTGGAAAGGTATTGCACCAAGGTGCATCTAGTCATGCAAGGGATTGGCATTGTGCCAGAGCCTATCCCGGCGTAGTGGAGAGTGTACACAATAATAATGAATAATGAATTGGATGGTACAGGACACATGACCGTCTCCTTTCTCTGTCGAAGCTGGACCCACAGGGCAGTCTACTGCGGGGCACTGCCCCTCGGCGATGCGTCCTAGGCCCCGCCTGCCATACGCAGTCAGGTAATCGAGACCAAACAGGATGATATAAGCTCGCGACTTGGACTCTGCTTGTTCCGACACCCACAGGTCCCCCCGTCCGCTTTTAATTTCTCATATGTCGTCGCCATTTCCCAACAACGCATTGGACAGAAAGCAGACACGTTCGTCACACTCGCAGTCGTCGCACGGCATGTCCTCAAATGTCGTCGACCATCTCGCCCCGGGCGTAACAGATATGCCCGTCGCTGGCACGAACAATAATACGCTCACGAACAATGCTGCACGGAGAGCGGCGCATCCAGAGGGCAAGATTATCACCGTCCAGCCTCTTAAAAAGGATGAGATGCAGGTAAATTATACATCGTAGTCGCTAATAAGAGTAAGCTGACAGTCTCGTAGCCCAGCTATGCGCAGGATCTCGGTGTCGGCGTCGTTACCCATGGCATCTACGGCTCGCTGCTCAACGGTCTCGGCAGCATCATTGGTTGCATTGGCGCCGTTCCCTGCTGCCCTTGTCCAAACCCGTACCGTGAAGTCAACCAAGGGTATGTATATTCTACATTTTAATATGGATCTGACAATTTCTACAGTGCAGTTGGTCTCGTTTCGAGGTTTGGTCACTTCTACAAGGCCGTCGATCCCGGTTTGGTGCAAGTAAACGTCTGCACAGAGTCGCTCAAGATTGTCGATGTCAAGATCCAAATCGCTCCAATTGGTCGACAAACGGTCATCACCCGTGACAATGTCAACGTCGAGATTGATTCTGTCATCTATTTCCAAATCACCAATCCCTACCGTGCCGCATTCGGCATCTCTGATCTCCGCCAGGCGCTCATTGAGCGTGCGCAGACGACTCTCCGACACGTCGTGGGTGCCAGACCAGTCCAGAGCGTCGTCACAGACCGCGAGACGATTGCATTTGAGATTTCAGAGATTGTAGGAGAAATTGCCGAGAAATGGGGTGTCCTCGTCGAATCCATTCTCATCAAGGACATCATCTTCTCCCCAGAGGTCGCTGCCTCGCTCTCCTCTGCTGCCCAACAGAAGCGACTCGGAGAGAGCAAGGTCATTGCTGCCAGAGCCGAAGTCGACGCCGCACGGTTGATGAGACAGGCTGCCGATATCCTCGCCAGTAAGCCTGCCATGCAGATTCGACAACTCGAGGCGCTCCAGGTCATGGCCAAGAGCGCTGGTTCAAAGGTCATCTTTGTTCCCATGAGTTTGATTGGCGAAGGGAGTGGGGGAGGTGGCATGTTCAACGAAGATGGAGGTCCAGTCGCCAGTGGGAGTGGAGAAGGCAGACACACGACGGGTGCGATTCCAGCTGCCATCCTGAACAGCATGAGCAACGTCTAGTAGCACAAAATGACTGCAGATTCAGAGGAGGATTCCCGTTGTACCATAGCTCTAACGTATTCCTATGCCTATCCATATCCTTGTTTTACGTCTCTTGGACTGTAAGTTGCAGACTGTCTGGGATCACATTTTACTACCGAACTTGATTCCGACCATGACCGCGACCACGAGCACCGCGCTTCCTCCAGGCGTATACGTCCCTACCAAAGATGAGAAATCCCATCAAGAAGCTATACCCGCACCGACACCGGCACCTTCATGGCCACAGACGCCCAAAATGAGATTGAGCGTGGAAGACATGGCACATCCAGGCGCCGTCCGCTTCTTCAAACACATACAAGATATAAACACATTTCTGGAGAGCTGTGTTATTGCCATCTTTGAGCTCTTGTTCTCACCAAACACGGCACCTACAAAGTGAGTACTTATCAAGTGAGAGAGGCATACTAATTGGTTCTAGTGTCCGTTCGGTCACGTTGATTTTACGCGAGATGGACGGCATAGCGTACACGACGGGCTCACGACTCGACAACGATCACAAGGTCCGGTCCTCTTCCTCTTCCTCTTACGACAAGCTGTTCCTCATCTTGATTTTGATGGGCAGGAGATTCACTTCAGCCTGCGACATATTGCTGCTATCGACGTAGAGCGTATCGGAGACGACATCAAGGGCGTCCTGCAGCACGAGCTCGTCCATTGCTTTCAATGTAGCGGACATGGCTGCCCGGGAGGTCTCATTGAAGGCATGGCAGGTGTGTACTCTACTCTTACATTATCTCTCACAACTAACCCAACCTAGACTATGTTCGCCTTCGCCGCGGATTCGCACCACCATACTGGAAGCGCTCGTCAGAAGGTAAATGGGACTCGGGGTACGAACGCACTGGATACTTCCTCGACTGGCTTGATACGACCTATCCCGTCGATGGTAATGGTGGATGTGTACGCAGGCTCAACGAGTCGATGAAGGACGTGTACGACGAGCACATATGGACAAAGCTCACGGGTCATTCAGTCGATTCTCTGTGGGGAAAGTATGCTAAGACGATGCAGGGATAAATGAGTGCATAGTGGAATATTTACGCCTCCTAGGTAAATGGATGGATAAGTATGCAATACAATGGAAGCCCAAGTCGTGCTTAGTTGGACGAAACCTCTCCATTGCCAAAGATGGGTCTGAATATGGCGTCGTGCGCTTTCCAGCCAGCACCAAATACAGTGCGCGTGATCTTCTGAGCCCATTTCGGCGCTTCTCCATTCTTCTTTTGAAAGATACGACCGAGTACGACCCCAAAGAGGAAGAATGGGAGGATCATGAGGACAAAGATGGTCAAGCCAATCGTTTGGCGGATGCTGGTACGGCGGTACGTATCGACCGCGTCTAGATACTTGATGTATTCCTCAGGAAGCGATTTCTCTATCCTCTTCGTCAGTCGAGGCACCTTTGCGACTATTTATAGTGGACAAATGGACTCACCTCGAGCGCCGGTGCGTAATAGGTTCATGTACCGTGGCGAGGGCTGTCCAAGCTGCGTTCTCAGTCGTGCGGGGTCACTGCAATAGAGCGTGTTGGCTCGGATCGTCCGTCGTTTTCCAGTCTCTCCATTAACCTGGATCGCTTCCCCGTTTTGCGCCTTTTCAGGTTGTATCTCGTGGCAGTCGACTTGGATGACTTGGTAGCTCGACCCTCCGCCTTCTGTCCTGAGGATCGTTGCCATCTCTTCTACTGTCACATAGTATGCGACACCGATGAGTCCCTTGCCCCAGGGATGTTCAGGTGCAGCCGAGATTTCCTTTTCGTCTGCATACCGGATTACGTTGGCAAAACGAGGTTCGACATAAGGCAGGCCTGGAAGGTTGAATGCAAGCTAGAAAGCAGTCAGTATGTCGTTTTCGAATAGGTTGAATGACAAACGTCGAGGGTCGGACAGTGTACGACGACAGTCTTGAGTGGTCGAATTCCGCGCCGTCGGAGGAAACTCGTTTCGGACATATTTGAGCCATATCCCAAATACCAGCAGTGTGTCGTCCCGTCACCTTCTTCGACCACCGACACGTCGTTGAGCAGGCCTGGTGCATAAATCTTTGCCAAATTCGCGGTTTGTGCGGTTTCGTTCATCTTACAAACTGTTTGTAGTAACTGGTAAATTTATCAAGGGAATGAAGTCGAGGAAATGTCGCGGCTGACAGCAACAGAGGGTGTGTTTATATACCGCGCGTTTACTTCCGAGCCGAACGATGACTAAATCTCCGGAACAGAGTGCTGCGCGGGCGGCTCCTACTCTCGGGAAATTTGCTCAATACAATTACATGACATATGCTTACGCGTCCCCCAGGTATTCGTCCAGTAATGCGCGCTTTCGGAGATCGAGCAGGACCACTTCCAACTCCTCTCGTGTTGGCATCTTGGGCGGTGCGATCATCTCGGGGGTCAAAAAGGGTATGAGCGCCGTGATTCCATCCGACTCGCCGGACTTGGTATCCCCGTCTCCTGTTACGACCTTTTCGGACGGCTTCGTCTTTGCAGCGTCGGTCTTTTTGCCCTTTACCCTTCTTCTTTGCGTTTGGAGCCTCCGCGTCCTCCATTACCGCGTCTTCTCCATCCCCGTTTGCATTTGATTTGCTAGCGTTGATGGCCTTGACATCGGCGTCGCGGAATCCAGGTAGAGGTGCATCCTCGTCCAATCCTAACGCCTCTCGTACGGCCTCGACCGCTTCATGGTACTCTATACCTAATAAGCATCCTACCACGTAGTTTGAATGGAATAAACCTACCCGCTAGTTCTGCCTGTTTCTCAAACTCGAGAAGTTCGCCATCTGCCTCGTCCAGGTCCCCATAGTACGCCGGGCCGTTGTTGGTAAACTTTTTGTAAAACTCTGCTGTTGCCTTGTCTTCGTCTTCTTCTTTCGCCTTGCTTTCAAAGAGCTCTTTGACGCCAGGTAGCTCCTTTGCCCGTCCAAAGTACCTATTCGCCAGGTCAACTCTGGTAGCCAGAAGTCAGTTTACTCACTTGTATCCTTTTGTACCCGGAACTTCTTTGCCATCCGCATCCAACATTGCAACACTCCTTCGATAATTCGCACCTCCCAACGCGATGATCTGGTTCTCCCAATGACGTTTCTCTCGCATGAGCTTGTTAATCTCATCGTTTAGATCCCGCACTTCATAGTCGGATAATCCAGCTACACCACGCTCAGTAAAACTAAAAAAACCAAGATGCAAAGCAAGAGTGCTGACCGTCTTGGATTTTGGACACCTTGCGACTAATCTCGCGTAAAATCTCTCCTCTCCATCGTTCGCATTCGCGCAGAGACTTGCATGCGCTGGCCATGCGCGGCCGTTTATCACTTCGTGTGCCCAATCCGAGCTCTGCGGCTTGCGCCTCGCGGAACCGGTACAACATTGACTGTGCTTTTTCTGAATTTCGCGCCTGTGTTGTGCTAAGTGAGGATTCTGGCCAAGATTTGTAAAGAAAGACGAACCATGGTGGATAAGGACGGGGTCAAGTTATGAATTCGCTTAGACCACATACAGTATAGACCCATTTGGTTTGAAATGATATATAGATGACGATACATGTGGTTTGTAGGGTATATAATGTCTACACCGCGCGAGAGGTGGACGCTACCCGCTCATGCGTCTCCTCGCTCGGGCTCTTTCGATCTGCTTCCAACCAATTCACCGCACGCCTCCATCTCTCCGCCTCGTAGGTATTCGTCGTGAAACGCCCAGTCCTCTTGCTACCACTCCCACTATCCGCATACTGAGACCTTGCAGGTCTCTCGACGTCGAGCGTAAACTTGGCGTCCACCCTTCTTTCCACTTCCCATGCTTCAAATATGGATACCCCCCAGTTTCCGGCGCGGAGAGCGAAAAAGGTCGAGGTGAGGAGGATGAAGGTGATGACGATCCAGCCTAGCCATGCCCATGCTATCATCGCTTGTAGAACGCGGCATGGAGAGTACTGGACACAGAAATTTAGATCTGGCCATATGCTCTGTGCGACACAAGGCGGCGTGAGTGGCTGAAGGGAGCAAGAAGATGGATACGTACAGTGGCTGATCCAGCACCCCCAATCCAGAGAAACCAGAGGAGACCAAGGATAATCACTTCGAACAACGCGGTCGTAAAGGGTGCCTTTAAGCGCGTTCTCAGCCCGAAGACCCTGTCCCATCTAAGTAATTGGCATGCCGTCAAGGGAATATACGTACATGAGTCCAGAGAAAGGAAGCGTGAATAATCCGCAGACTACAAGTTCGACAACGGTTGTTTCTGCATATGAAGTGAGCGACGTCCGAGGCGTCTGATTCGGAAGCAGAAACCTACCATAAAAAGGACGACCGTTATTCAAGAAACGATCCGAACGTGGGGACAAAGTGTATACAAGTCTCGCTATCGTGAAGATGAGAAGCAGGATGGACAACACTCCAAGTATGATATATGCCCATACATGAATCGCTCGAGCGTATAGCGTAGCGATATGCGTCGTCGCGACTGTAATACGACTCCGTTCTTCGTCTTGTGTGCCCATCCTGACTCGTCCAAAGAAAACGGGTGTCCAGATAATAAAAAGCGCGTGAGGGTTGAGATTCAAGAGTCCACCTGCTTTGGGTCTAGCAGGAGAGCAGAAGAGGACGAGATGTTACGAGGCACCTCCCAGACACCTATAAAGGCCGTCGTCCATCGAAACGAACTGTATTGGCCCCTCTATTTTTTGGTCGACAGGCAAGGATGTGCTGGGCATCTCGGATGGTTACATCCAAGTTCACTTGACCCGAGATTTACTCTACGATACTAAAGAAAACCGGACCGGACCACGTGTACTGAGGCCAAATGATCTTGTATTCCGCTTGGGTTGGGCTGGGTATACATTTGGGGGAGGTCGGCATTAGGAAGCTACGAAGACATCGGAGAAAAGAGGAATTGGGGGGAGTAAGGGGGAAGAACCAGTCCTCGTCAGAGCACGGAATAAGGTGGTGAAAGGGGGAAAGAAAACGAGGGAAGCGATCAGAAGAAGCCTCAGGAAAAAAAGGGGAGACAGAGCAAAAGGGTAGGTAAATAGTGTTGAGAAGAACCGGGTCGTCAAAAGTGTCCTAACGGTCGTGAGCCGCTATCCCTAGCCATAGATTCTAGCGTCGGAGATGGTCGAGTATCTATTAATTTTCGCTCAGAGCGTACTTAGTAGACCAGCGAAAAGGAGACCAGCAGCCGAGACGCCAACAGCGATCGCTGGGCGTGTGGCCGCATTTCGCTTGGGCAGATCTTGCTGCTCCGCCAGCGAGCGTTTCCGAGACGCCTGCGCACCAATCGTCGTGTTTGTCAACGTTCGCGTTGGGAGCATGTTGGGGGTTTCGGATACTCTAAACATGGGTGACAGGGGTGCACCATCGAAGCGGAACAGATGGAGCTTGTCGCGACGTTGCGGGTCTCGGAAAATCCGCCAATGGAGGAAGAGCGTAGTGACGTTGATTTGGCGGAGGACGTTTGATTCGGCCGCGCAGGGGTCTTGGACTTGTTGTCGACCGTCCTGAGCAAATGGCAAGAGGACAATGGAGCCGTTTGCAAGGAGCTCATATCGCCCGTGCTGCCACTGCATGACACCAATTATACATCGAGGGTCAGAGCCTGAGCCAAAGCTTGTCAGTTTTCCGGATGCTCGTGGTGAGCGAAGGCGGTACAAATGCTCACCATTTCCCGTGAAACGATAGAGCGCCTCCTCAAAGTAACCATCGTCGGAGCTGGCAAAACAGATGTTAAAATCCAATTATGGCATGTAGACGACATCTTGAGACACGTACAAGGCATAGCCGATGCCTGCAGTCTGCGGATAGGTAAAGGTGGAGTCGACTGGGTTGCAGAATCCCGCTTCCTAAAATTACAGAAAATATCGTGAGCAATTCTGAACACCTTCTAAGGATCGAGGATGCGCACTGTACCCGTCAGCACGCGCTGGGAGCCCGAGGACCAAGAGCCAGTGATGGCGGAAATGTTGTGGATGGCATCAAACTCGATATCTGGACCGATGCTGATAATTTCTTGCGCAAATACTTGAAGACTGAGAGCAGCGGCCAGCAGGGTAAAGACGGCCTGGCGCATGGCTGAAGACGCTGTAACCAAGTTGTTCAACGGCCGCTTGCTTTCTTGCCGCCGCCCACGACCCGCCGTTTGAGCTCACCATGGCACACAGCGCAGTCAAGCAAATTCATGGCAAATTACAGAGAGCATTTGCAAGCAGCAGCAAGGACACGACGCCCCTCCTCGCTCAGGCAAAGGTTTGCGACGCGCGTCCTTCAAGTAGAGTGCACAACCATCTGATCTACTCTGTAGCTCGATCTGATTCAAGCTGGACTCCTCGTTCCAGTTGGAGAACACCGCGAGCAGGATCTCAGCTATGCTCGTTAGTTCTTTCCTCTCTCCCATAAACTTAGCCAGCTGATGAACCTGCAGGAGACATCTTGGAGATTGGAGCCTTTTGGAGTATTCGTGTTCGCGATGTACCCGCCTTTGATCGCTACTTCTCCCAGCTGCAAACCTTTTACACCGACTATCAGGGTGTACTTCCCCCCTCGCCTAGACAATATCCATTACAGGGACTTAATCTCATCCGACTGTTGACACAAAACCGCATCTCCGACTTTCACACCGTCCTTGAGTCGCTGCCACCAGAAACACTCCAAGAGAACCCGTTCATCCGACACCCCGTCAATCTGGAGCGATGGCTCATGGAGGGGAGCTACTCAAAAGTATGGAACGCGCGAGAGGAGGCCCCCGCTGCAGAGTACCGATTCTTCGTCGACAGTCTCATGGGTACCATTCGGTATGTCTCGACCCCTCTCTTACACAAAACGACTCACTCATGATACAGAAACGAGATTGCGAGCTGTGAAGAAGCCGCTTACAACAGTCTACCGATGGCAGACGCACAGACACTCCTCTTCTTCAACAACCAGCAGGACCTGATGCAGTTTACACAGCAACGTGGCTGGCAACCCGATTTGATTCGAAAGGTGTTCACCTTCCCGACAAAGGCAGATGACAAGGCTGCGGAGATTCCGTCGCGAAAGATTATTGCGCAAGCTCTGACGTGTGCAAAGGAGCTTGAGCAGATTGTGTAAAACTTTGGTGTATCTATAGATGAAACTACTTTTTTCACTCGCCTGGGAATCCGCAAAGAGCAGGTCGCCACTCGACATACCTTCGAGCTGATTAATGGGCGGAAGCCTCCTCAACTGATTCTGCTGATACAGATGTAATCTGCAAGATATGGCAATGTTTAATCTCGAGAGTATTTACAAATTAAAGATGAAGTGATAGTGATAGCAATTGCAATGGTGATAATCCATTAGTAGGTGGCCGAACATTAGTCCAAGAGGGACCACATTGAAAGTGAGTGAAATCAAGGTGGGTTGCGCGCGTAGGGCTCGTTCTCGGGAGAGTCAAGAGAAGATGAGGAGACAGTAATCCATACCGACTGTCTGGTGGCACCCAGAATAGATAGTTACCGGAGAATTGCACCCAGCCATCGGGGAAAAGTAAACAATTTGTGAATCCAGGTATGGAGATTCCTAGGGGGTCGCCTTCGAGTTCGTCCTTGAGACCTGAATCCGAAGTCTCTTGAGCATAATGGTCAGAATTTGCATCTAAGAGGGCTGGTTAGCTGACTTTTCGCAAGCAACGCCCCGCCGGGGTAGGACTTACATGCCTCCACACCCCATAATTGAACCATACCTTCACACGAACTAGAGATGAGCCGCGAGCCGTCTCGAGAGAATGAAATGATGCAGACAGAGCTTTCACCAAACCGTAGTGGCTTCCTGAACCCCTGACCCGTATCCACATTCCTTAACTGGATGCAACCTTCCTCGAATGCAAAGGCAATTCCTGGGCTGTCTGGAAAAATGTGATGGACACGGCTGGAAAGTATCCAAGACATTGAATTGGCTCTCCCCAAGACTGGCCAGTGGTCACGTCCCACAGTCGAATTGTACGGACGTTTGAAGTAGAGGCAAGTCGTAAGCCATTTGAGGACACTGCACTTTGGAATATTGAATCTTTATGCCCTCTCAAGGGCTCCCCCCGAGACTGACGCGTGGCGACATTCCACAGTCAAATACTAGATCGTTCCATTCTTCTTGGTTATCGTCGATAGTCTGTGATATTCCTTAGACCCAAGCGAGGTTAGTCTCACAAACTAACCTGCAATCGATTTAGTTGCCCGACAAGCTGCCTTGAGAGGGGCGAGTACGTCGGATGCCTCTGCTATATTGGCAGTCACGTCGAGACCGAGACTGGCAGTATTATACGCTTGAGACCTCGTTCGCGAAGAGGATCCTTGGGGTTCCTAGTCTTGTTGGTGGACGTGGTTGGTCTTCTGGACGACATTGTGGACATGGATGGGTCCAATGTAGGGTCGGCGTCTGCCATCTCGACCTGCCGGTAAACTCATTTTGACGGCCGCGGCACTGTGATAATAAAACATTTGGCTGAATCTCTGAGAGGAAGCTTGACTAAAGAACATGTCGGGCTTGTTATTTATTGTCATTCTAAGCACCTCAAACTTCTCATGTCTCGGATCATCTCAATAAAACTCGCCTTGAAGTAAGTTGGGACGCAATGGCTTTGTTCGGAAACAATCGTGGTGGTGGTGAAAGTGGCAAGCTGTGGCACACTTCCTGAAATGCATCTCTATCTGCGCGAGCATCCAGTGCGAACTCTGTTGCTGACGACGAGCAGCGAAGACGAGCGACGAGGATGTCCCAGAAGAGCTCTGATTTTCCGTGCAGAGGGCTCAAAAGCTGCGAGCCAGGCAACGGTGGAATTCGTGCCCAAAGACGAGGCCGACTTCTCGAACATCATACGCCTCACAGCGAGACAAGTTCAAGGATGTTTGGGACTCATCAACATTGAAAATGGTCCGTTTCTTTGCGTTGAGCCTGCACATCCAGTGACGCGTTGTACAGAGATCTTTCTGGCGGTGGTCACGCAGGCGATATCTATAGGAAACATACGACCCACCGCTGAAAAACCAGAGGAAGTCAACCGCATCCAAGAGGTTGCGTTCTTTGGGTTGAACACGTCAAGATATGACGACCTTAGCGCCGCAGAAGGCGCCCTTCCCAGCCCAGTCCATCTAGAAAGTTCAGAAGTACTCGGTAGAGAGTCTCAGTACGGCTATTCGCAAGCACAACCATCGATATACGAGCATCCAGCAACAGCCATCGTGAGCCTGTTCACTAGCGGCACATTTTACTATACCCCAGCACCCGTATGGGACATTTCCTCAAGACTCTCTCAGAGGATACACAAAAAGGGCGATACTGGAGACTCGTTTGCAAGCTTCGATGGCCGCTTCGTCTGGAATGAGTATATCGTAAAGTCATTGTTGACGTTTCGAGAACGACTGGATGCTGCAGAGAGGGATGAGCTGGATCGCTGTCAGTTCATTGTGAGCATTCTGCCTCGAAAGGTGACATTCATTAAATCCCTTATAGCTGCTCGCCATCCAAGGATATGTGGGGACGTATACCGTCACTCTACCCCACCGTCCCAGTGACCCGAATCCAATCGTTGCGACAATCTCCCTGATCTCCAGATTGGGATGGAAACGAGCGGGCACGCGATTCAATACCAGAGGCGTAGACGACGATGGCAATGTAGCAAATTCGGTCGAGGTGAGGCGTTCCGTCCGCTTATCCATAGTATCTAAAGACAGAAACAGACAGAAACCATCTTTAGCACCGACGCAACGTGCATGTCGTACGTTCAAATCCGAGGGAGCGTACCGCGTAGGTGTCCAAGAAGTCTTCTGTATTTCATCTGAAGACTTTTCAGTATTTTGGGAGCAACAAGGACTCCAAACCTTTCGACCTACAGTTCAAATCACTCGTTCTCAAGCCGCCTCACAACCTGCATTTGATCGGCACTTTGAGCAATTGGCAGAAGAGTACCATGCTATTCATGCCATCAATCTACTAGGCTCTCGGGAGAATGAGGCAACTTTGACAGATGCCTATGCAGCTCACCTTCGCTCTCTGAGAGCCACAGGTGGGATAGACGTTGAGATTACACACTACGACTTTCACGATCAGGTCAGGAAGTATGGCCATGATAGCGTCACCGAAATACGGTAAGGTTTCTCGTTAGTGTAGAATGTGGCTGACCATCCTTGCCAGCCGTGTCGCATCTATTCGAGCCAGTCGAGAAAAGTTTGGCATCACTACCGTCGACTCTAATGGAGACGCGATCATCACCGAACAAACTGGTGTCTTTAGAACGAACTGTCTTGACTGGTACGTCTACTAAGGACGTCACTTCCGACTCTGACACGATCCCAGTCTGGACCGTACAAACTTTGTAGAGGACATTCTATCAAGAACGGCACTAGAGGACTACTTTATGCAACTTCGTCCTGAATGGAAGCAATCAGCGGCGTTGTGGAATTGCCATCGCGAACTCTGGGCAGAAAACGGAGACGCTCTATCAAAGATATACGCTGGAACTGGAGCCCTCAATACAAGTTTTACAAGAACGGGAAAACGGACACTCGCCGGTGAGTTGTATTGCCTCTACCAATGGTACAATACTCATGAGTTGCAGGTGTACTTGCGGATGCGACGAAGAGCGTTTCACGAGCTTACATTAACAACTTTCAGGACAAAGCGAAACAGGTGGCGATAGACTGTTTCCTGGTATGGCACCCATAAATCTTCAAGCGCGTCGCTGACCTCGCCCAAGGGTAATCTAGCTGGTCAGAAACCGGTTTCTATTTTCGATCCTATACATGACTCTGTGCGCCTGGCTCTACATGAGAGGTTCGACTGGCCATCATTCTCATACCCAGCTGACCACGCATAGACTCTCGGAATACTCAACGATGCGTTATATTACCATCTTTGTGGGTACTTGGAATCTCAACGGCAGGGTAAGAGTAAAATAATAGTCTCCTGAGGCGTATGCTCATTTTTCCAGCCATCGTCAGAATCCCTGCTTCCCTGGCTATTTCCCAAGGCGGCCTCACTCGAGCAAGTTCTATCCCAAATATGAAGGAATAATTACATCTTTCAATAGGCCAGACATATTTGTCATCGGGTTCCAAGAGATTGTCCCATTGACCGCACAGCAAATCCTACAAACTGATCCCGAGCAAAAGTAGGACATATGCACGCCGGAGATTGATGCTGAATCCCCGAGCAGAAGAAGGTGGGAGTATATCTTGATGGAAACACTCGCGCGGCGTCCAGAGAAACGAGCAGACTACACGATTCTGCGGAGCGAGCAAGTGAGCACGCAGTAATCTTCTACCTAGTGTTGACATTTGAAAGCTTGTTGGGACTGCTCTAATCGTTATTGTCAAGTCTGACAGTACAAGCAATATCAGAAAGGTGGAAGCCGCAACACGCAAGGTATGGTGGTAGGTATCTGGTATTCAGAGGCTGACTCTTAAAGACGGGTTTAAGAGGAATCTCTGGCAATAAGGGGGCTGTTGGAATTCGACTCGACTATCACGACACCAGCTTTTGCTTCCTCACCGCGCATTTGGCTGCTGGACATACCAACGTAGATGAGAGAAACAGCGACTATCGAACGATTGTCGGCGGTCTGCACTTTCAAAAGGGAAAGACAATCGGAAGCCATGAGTACGTATTGTGGTCTTGGTCGCAGTTAGGATTTTGAATGGTGTAGGAATGTTATCTGGGCCGCTGATACCAACTATCGAATCGACCTAGAGAACGACGTCGTTCGAGCGCTTGCTACCAACGACGAAATCGACATGCTAGTAGCAGCCGACCAGGTAAGCTATCTGTGAACGAGGTGGTAGGGGGGCTAATCACCGAGCAGCTCGGTGCGGCGATGAACTCTGGGGCAGCTTTTGTAGGATATGAAGAAGGACCCATACTATTTCGACCTACCTATCGATACAACCTCAACTCTGACGAATACGATACGAGCGAGAAGATGCGGATACCCGCTTGGACGGGTGAGCTATACCCACATGGCAGTGATCTTCCTGACGGATAGTAGACCGTATCCTGTACAGAGGCAATAATCTAGACCTGGAGAAGTACTCAAGGGCAGAGTTGAAAAGCTCTGACCATCGACCAGTCTATGCGGTCCGTGACAAATGTGACTTCGTTCATTATCTTGACCATTCCTTAGCTTTTCCGCGCCGAGGTGCGGATCATAGATCATGCAAAGAAAGCGGCTCTTCAAAAGCAACTGCTCAAAACCATCACGGCAACGGGAGTTGGCGAAAAGCTTGATGAGAAGCTCACTTCGATACACCTACATGCTCCTGATATCTCAGACCGTGCGTGATATTAACCTTAGAAGACTGCTCCTCTAAGCTTCTCCAGTGCCACCACCGAGCTCTGGTGCCGCAGATGACTGGTGGAACGGTGCAGGTCATCCCAATGGAGTATTTCACCCTTCGACTTACGACATGGACGACACCCAGCGAGCGCATACGAACCCCTTTGATTCACGATCATCCTCGCTACATTCTTCTCCATCCACCTCCGATGACGAGCTCTACCAAAAGGCAATATCGGCCAACGCAGCGCCACGAAAGCAGCCGAAGAAGCCCCCTCCTCCACCTAACCGAGCTACAAAACCATCGAACGCGGCCGAGTTCTCGTAGGCATATCAGAGTGGAAAGGAGATACATGTAGGCGACTCGTAATTCGAATTACAAACGACGATATAGCTAGATGAGGCCTTGCTTCTTCAGGTCTTCGTATGTCTTGCGATTGTAGACGTTGCCTTCTTCGTCTTCCATCTCTTCCGTGGTCTCGTTTTGGCTTATTTCCTTTCGACCCTCTCTCTTGAGCTTTTCGGCAACTTTGCTTGGATCAGCACAGGTTAAATGGCACTTCTGTACACTTACGAGCCAATGCGTCTTCAATCTTCGTGATTTCGTGAAAGTGCTTCGTGTTGGGTAGCCCCAATGCACGCATACCAAAGGCATGCCGTGCTTCCTGTAAAGAATTCAGAAGGGTTTGAGAGATTGGGGGCGAGTCACACCTGGAAGTGTCTCTCAAAGTTCTTTCGCCCCATGTAGACAAAGTCCGAACAAATCTCGCATCGGTACTCCACACCCAATCCATGAAGCTTGTAAAGCCAATAGGGAATTGGCTTACCATCCCATCCAAGAGGCAGCTTGAGCGGATTGTATATCCGCTCCTCTTCCTCTGGTTCCTCATCCTGAACCGCATTCTCAGAGTCTGCCGGTGCGGCGATTGGTGCTTCGTCCACAAGTTCCTCCTCACGTTCTCGGGCGGTGAGAGAGAACCGTCGCTCGACGTTGGCCTTGGTTTCGGCAATGGTTGGAAGCAAAGGAACAAGTAAAGAGGTGATAAGGTGCGTTAGGCGAGCAGAGTTGCGACCCTTGGAAGTCGAAGCTTGTGATTTGGAGGCACCATTGGGATGTGGTGCACCATTTTGGTGTGCGGTTCCGTTGGCGGCAGAGCCGCCTTCTGCCTCTAGCTTGGCCGCTGCTTTTTGGTGCTTTTTGGACGTCAAGTGAGCATCGTAGACAGTTTGCTTGGTGTAAGACCGTTGACCTGTTGAACCATTAGCACTGCATTAATCGAGATCAAGACGACATACACGCGGCGCACCAGATCTCTCCTTCAGTACTCTGAGCTTGGGGTTTCGATTCCCAGCCTGGCACCTTGCCTTCCTCCCAAAGGCTAGCAAACTCTTCCTCTGATCGGCGTTGAAGAGATTCAACATCAACAAGAGGTTGTGTTCGCTTTGAGAAGGAAAGTAAATAAGTATAAAGCCCGCTGAGGTAGCTGCCAAAGGACGTTAGATGGAGGAAGATGCAAATTCTTCCAGGCGCACTTTTCATAGTCTTTGGAGTGCTTGCAGTCTTTCGGTAGTTCTGGATGGAGCGATCCATTGCTGACAGTTGCAAGTGCATCTAGGTATTGCAGATACTGTAGTCGTTTTGGCACGTTTTTCAGATTGTTGTACTGAGTGTGGCTGGCATACAAGTCCAAGCACAGTCCGTATCTCTCCTCGCCAGAGAACAAGGTATTGATCGCTGCAGTCAATTTCGTCATGCGAGCCTGTTATAAGAATAAGAGACTTACGGTCATCCTGTTCGTACTCGTCGTCCATCTGTTCCTCCATATCGTCCACCATTGCAGCCAACTCTATTTCAAATCCGTTGATGGGTTGATTTGGATAGCGTGTATGGTGGTCCTGGAGCTTCTTGAATCGTTTGTAAAACTCGTCCAAGTCGTTTATGCCAGGTTTCGCTGGAGCAGCCAAGAGGTCTATTTCTGCTTTACGAGTACTTTTGATAGAGCGGTAAAGTCAGCGATTTGTAAGATGAAACGATGGATGAATCGACTCACCCGTCAATATCATCGTAAGCGTTCTGTAAAGTGACAGAGCGCGCAACGATGCGGTCCAGAATGTCACTTGCCTTGTGCTCTGCTGCAAGATGAGCTTTGTGAGTTTTATGTTGCCTTGATAGTATCGTTGACAACGCCCGCTCAAAGCGTTCAATCTCCTCGTGTGTTTGTCTCTGGACTTCGATGATAGAATCCATCCTGTAGCGTCAAAACTAGATCCCACTCTTGTGTTTTCTGCTCGCTCGATGCCAGCCGTGCGTGTGGGTGGAGAAAAGAAGCGGCTTTCTTTGTACGAGCTTACTTGGACCCAGCGTCGACATACGAAAATGGCTAGCGGCATCAACGAAGGAGACGAGCGTCTCGTCTTTGAATCCTCTGAAGCAATTTCCGTCGTTCCAACGTTTGACCAGCTCGGACTCAAAGAGGATCTCCTCCGTGGCATTTACGCGTACAGTCAGTCCATTCATTTCCTATGATAAATGCATAAAAAGATGCTAATACACGCTTTACACTAGACTTTGAGCGCCCTTCTGCAATCCAGCAGCGTGCCATCGTGCCAATTGTCAAAGGGCGCGACGTGATCGCGCAGGCCCAGAGTGGAACTGGTAAAACAGCCACATTCTCCATTTCAATCCTTCAATCAATCGACACAAACCTACGAGAAACCCAAGCGCTCGTTCTCTCACCAACAAGAGAGCTGGCGACGCAAATCCAGTCGGTCATTCTCGCGTTGGGGGATTACATGAACGTGCAATGCCACGCGTGTATTGGGGGGACTTCCATTGGAGAGGATATTCGCAAGCTCGACTATGGACAACACGTCGTGAGCGGCACCCCTGGACGAGTGTTTGACATGATTCGTCGCCGAAATCTCAGGACCAGAAACATCAAAATGCTCGTTCTTGACGAGGCAGACGAAATGCTGTCCCGTGGCTTCAGAGAGCAAATCTACGACGTCTATCGCTACCTACCCCCAGCAACACAGGTTGTCCTTCTCTCTGCTACACTCCCATACGACGTCCTGGAGATGACGACCAAGTTTATGACCGACCCTATTCGAATCTTGGTCAAGCGTGATGAACTGACGCTGGAAGGCATCAAGCAGTTCTTCGTCGCTGTCGAAAAGGAGGAATGGAAGTTTGATACATTGTGCGACTTGTACGACACATTGACCATTACCCAAGCCGTCATCTTTTGCAACACTAGGCGAAAGGTTGACTGGTTGACCGAGAAGATGCGAGGCGCCAATTTCACAGTGTCGAGCATGCACGGAGAAATGGTCCAGAAGGAACGAGATGCAATCATGTCAGAGTTCCGTGGTGGTACTAGGTGTGTAGATTGACTTCTTTTGGAGCCTTGTTGACCCCCTCTAGCCGAGTTTTGATCACCACCGATGTCTGGGCCCGCGGCATTGATGTGCAGCAGGTCTCTCTTGTCATCAACTATGATCTTCCTGCGTGTGTACCTCCCAGGTTGCGGTGTCTTCGTCCTGACTCTTGTCAGAAATCGTGAAAATTATATCCACCGTATTGGTCGTTCCGGTCGCTTTGGGCGCAAGGGTGTTGCTATCAACGTAAGTTGTTTAGGAACTGCTATCCTTGTTCTCACATCCTGTCAGTTTGTCACCATTGAAGACGTCAAAATCTTGCGAGACATTGAACGTAGGTACAGACTATTATGTTTGGCAGATCGCTGACATGTCTTCACAGAGTTCTACTCGACTCAAATTGATGAAATGCCAGTCAATGCGGCAGAGCTCATGTAAGTTGATGATGTATCAGGAGCTTGCTGTTGACCTGTCCCAATAGCTGAGACTGGCTGCTGGTCGGAGTGGAAACCCTCTGGAGTATAGAGGGGGTGCGAACCCTGTACTGTATGTGATTTCCATTTTCTTTGCTGACACGGGCTGACTTGTTTGCCAGGCCTTTTGAATGCTACGCTTTACTGTTGTCTACAAACGGCTGCACCGAAATAACTCGGATTCTCGGCATTACCACATCTTATTAACAGCGTTGCAACCTTCCTTTCCGCTCACACACACGACCGTGCCACCACCACCAGTCGTCTTTCCATCCCGTCCCAAATCGGGGACGACGCACTTGATGTCCTCTGGGTATGGACACGGACAATCAACTGGGCTTCCACACAAATCAAGGTACTTGGGCAGAGGTATTTATTGCAAGGAACTAGAAATTCGTTGAGTGAATCTGTCGTCTGCTGTTTTGAATGGAGCGACTTGCCTAAGTCTGCTTGAGCTGCCCATTGGCTTCCACCTGGTCTTTGCTGTTGCTGTTGTTGATGTCGTGGATGGCCTCCTTGGAACATTTGGTCGAAGAAACCAAACTGGGCGAATGCCAGCGAGGGCAAGAGGCCCACGAGGAGGAAGAATGACATCCAAAGAGACTGCATTTGCTTTAGGGATGAGAGAAAAGCGGCTGTTTTGCTGTCCACGTTAGCCATTTCACGCCCATAGCATAGCCAGGTGGCAGCAAATACCTTTGAGAGGAAGAGACTAGGACACCTAGAGGTCAATGAAAGTAGTCTGAGACGCGTTTGGGTTGCTCCGGATTTGCAAGAGATGGTGGTCGGGTCTGAAGAGTTTGCTTACACCTCTTGGATTCCTCCACGATCAAATGGCAGCGGCGCAAGCGAGAGCAGGCGTATGTAGCTCCCCCTAATTATTTCTCAAGTTAACATATGCACTTTATCAGCCCAAATTACCTCCTGGCGCAAACCGCATCTTGTTTGTGAAAAATCTGTCATACAGCATCACCGGCGAAGACTTGTACGATCTCTTTGGACGATATGGTGGTATTCGGCAGATACGAATAGGCAACGAAGCGAAAACTAAAGGCACGGCCTTCGTGGTGTTTGACGATGTGATGGACGCCAAGAATGCGCTCGAGCATCTCAATGGTTTCCACTTGCAAGAGCGATATATTGTCGGTGAGTTATCTCTCGTTTCCTCATGTTTACAGTCCGTGTTTGCTGAGCGGCTACCTAGTTTTGTATCATATGCCGACGAAGCAAGAGGCGGCTGCAAAAGCCGATCTTGAGAGGAGGGAAAAGGAGCTAGAGGAGATGAAGAAGAGGCACAATATTGGGGATGATTAATTGTCCATAACCATCATTCATTCTGTGCGTACTTGCACGGACGTCGAGCTTCGTCACTGATAATTCTAGTAGTGTAATAATACGTTTACTCCGATTACTGTATTCCAAGCTTCGGCGTTAAAGGATTTACATACTCCCCTCATATTGCTGCAAGATTCTCAGCGAGGTCCATACACTCATATTTTGTGACTTTTCATCCCATTCTCCTAATGGACCATGTCAAGTCAACCTTTCCAATGCTGAAACTTTCCCATTCGGGGCTGTTCGAAGCGCTGAAGGATCTCTGTTCAGTTCGTGGCTCTGCCTATTCGCTTCCGAGAGGAAGTTACCTATCGCACCACCATTGCTTGCTGATCCGTGGTTCCGGGTCACACACAGCGCCCGTCACGAATCACTCAAACTTACAGATCGTCCCCCAAGTAGGCAGTCTTGTCCGGCTGTGTGGCTCGTATGTGGCCCAGACTAGCCTAGAAGCGGAGTTGTGAGACGTTTACTGCAGAAAAATGCACTGGTTGAGGAACATCTGGCAGTGAGCTGGAGGATGGTCCTAAGATTTCTCAACCTTCGTGAGATCTTTTCGGCTCTCTACATTCTCTCAAGGCTGAGCACGATATTATCCATACTCTCATCCGACGTCAGACTTGCCATATCCTATCACCTGCCCACATTATCTTGTTTCAAGTCAACACTGCATCAAAGAAGACGGTAAACTCGTGTCTATATGTAATAATAACTACCGTATATGGGCATCGGTGTTGCATGCCCGTCCAGACGGGGCATCTGTGTACAGAATCATTTCAGGCGCAATACTCGGGAGAGGATCGAAAATAATAATAATAAACCAGAAACCAAAGGAAACAGACCGAAGGTGCCGAACCGGGGAAGATCCGGAGCCTCCTGCCTTTATTGCCGTCACGGTGAGGATGTGACTATCTAGAGCGAGGAAAACGGATCGAAATCGCGGTTGAAACCTGAGAAACATCTGGAATGCGGCTTCAGCGAGGCTCAAAGCTCTTGGAACCTATATCTACCCATCAGAGGAATCCCAATTGGGTTCGATGACTGCAATACCGCGAGATTAGAGTCAGAGATTGCAGTGACAAAATGAAAAGGGCACACAGTGGATAGAGGAATCGCAACCGCCTTGCCCAGGGTCACCTGCGTTTTCCCTGGATGAAGCAGGAGCTGGGGATATATTCCCGCTCTGCAGATTGTTAATCTCGCCATTAGAAGATGTATCAGCGTCCGTAGGAGCTACGGGACCCAGAAGTCAACCCAGTGTTCTCCGCCCCCAGCTTTTAGTAAACCCGCGATGGAACTCACCATGCACTCCATTCGTGTTTGATGACATTCCTCAGAACTAGAATGATGTTGGTCACACTTGGAGCGAAGGAAATGCTGGTGTCCAAATAGCTTGCCGTCGCATACTTATACGCGTCGACAGCAAGGCACGGTGGGGTGCAAAGGTATAAAGATTCATGTCTAATTCGGCAAATGAGAGTGAAATTCACCCTGCGAATGCGATGCGAGCAATGCAACATTGTGGGCGGGTGCTTGGTGCCAAAAGGAGTTAGTTCTATTGCTTCTTTCTCATTACATCCATTTAGAAGCGGTGCTGATGCGCGTCGAAAGACAGCCAACTCTCAGCTACAGCTGTAGCCTTCAGCACCGATCCTTTCGCATCCACTCTCCGTCTGACACGAACATGTTATCTCGGATATTCTACGCTCATCCAGCCCCACAACGATTGCAGTCCAGCGGACGGTTCCATGCGATCAACTCGCAGAGAAGAGGCTCCTTGACACTTGATGAATAAGTTACTAAGCTCGCGTAGGTCAGCGGAATTCCTACATGCGAATTGTTCGCGAGCTAATGGTCATGACCGACGCGCCTCACAAGAAGACGGCAAGGTTTCTATAGCTTCCGGTGACTTGCGCAAAATCGCCAAGTCCCGATCACCGCGAATTCTCGATTAATTTACACTGTCCGCTAGTTGACCTCACCTCGAATCCTGGGCAGGGCTCAGGCTTCATCGTGCTAGTGAGAACCATACACCGTGAGTGGCTGCAGAATAATTGATAACCCCTTGGTGAATGATTTTATTCGATTGTTATAACTCGTACTGGGGTAGCTGTAGATCCTCAACAGCCTAATGTCCCCTAAAGTGAAGTACGCTCACCAAACTATGTATCTCATGGACCAGGATCATCACAATGCCTTGTATTATACCTATACACAGTCCATAAAGCCCCTTTGAGTCCTTACTGGTTACCACATCAATAACTTGAACCCGATCGCCACCAAATGTTGCCAATTCTGCGGCACTCATTTTGACAGTGGATATAAAGAATTTATCAAGGTATAGAAATAGTTGTAGCAGTCATTATACGGGAGATAGTATACATAGATATCAAGTTTGGCATCCATGAGCAACAGGCAGCTAGCCACAGGGATATGGGTATTACGATCTGATTCCTATTCGGATTTCAAGCTACTTTCAGAATTAACAGAGTTGATGATGGCCTGCATTTTCGATAAGACGACCATCAACGATAGTGTAGTTTGGTTAATGGGACCTAAGGGGATCGAGATCGCAATCAAACCCTGTAAAGCACCTGGTACGTGCTATCAGCGGATATTTATCGACGTCGGACCCACGTACCCGTCGGACGAATCCCAGTTTGGCCGTACGACTGGATATCATGTATCAGCATCAAGATGACCGTTGTCAATATCGAGGACTCACAGTATAGAGAACCATTGTCGTCGCTTGCTGCAGTCGCATTTTGATGATTATGACCTCCTACCCCAAGGGATCGGTCCCCACCGCCTTCAGTTGTGGACGCGCTGGTATCCAGGTCTAGATTCGTAGTTATCTCAGCGGTCGCTTCGCATTCCCCCAAGGGCAAGATCAGGCCGCCCGGCAAAAGGAGAACATACTGTGTACCCCGTTCATGTTCGACATTGCCGTCTCTCGATATTGTAGTTCGAAAGGTTGGCAAAAGGGTACTGTTCGTCATGTTCTGGAAATTTGCAACGTATTTATAGCTGGAGAAATGGAGAGGTATAAGCCTCGGCCCTTCCTGCGAGCATGGCAGCCCAGGCTATTCGCTAAGCGATAGGAACAAATATTATATCACCCGCGGTCATTACCATGCGGTAAACGGATGTACGAATGCGCAAGGTGTGTCCAACAAGCCCGCACGTGCCAGAACCCACGTCATGATGATGTGCCTTTGGTGATTTACGTTCGCTTATTAACCTTGGTCAGAATTTGTCCCCCCAAAGGGACACATTGGGGTGCGATTTTTCCGCTCATGCACGGAATACAAAAGGATTCGCCGCGTCGCTTCAAAGGAATTCATCGTTTCCTACTAGAAGCTCAAACAATCGCCAACCCGCCAGGTGGAGGCTCTTTCACTAATCTGACGTTACCAATACCATTCACTCTCGGGTGAGCGTCTCCAGAAGAAGTACAAGTGTAGAGAGAGCATGTCCGCTTGATGAACAGGCATCGTGAGAAGCTGATAAAAGAGTCAATCAACCACGAGTACGACTGACCGCGGGCTCGTCAGGCCTGAAGATTTCTCCTCAACATTTCGTGAGATCTTTTCGGCTCTTTACATTCTCTCAAGGCTGAGTACGGTATTATCCATACTCTCATCCGACCTGAGACTTGCAATATCCTATCACCTGCCCATATTATCTTGTTTCAAGTCAACACAGCATCAAAAAAGACGGTAAACCCGTGTATATCCCAGACTAGGCATCTGTGCACAGAATCATTCAGGCGCAATACTCGGGAGGGGATCGAATAAAATAATAAACCAGGAATCAAAGAAAACGAGCCGAGGGTGCGTGCGGTTTGATTGCCGTCACGGTGAGAATGTGACTATCTAGAGAGAGGTGAACGGGTCGATATTGCAGGTGAAACCCGAGAAACATCTGGAATGTGGCTTCAGCGAGGCTCAAAGGTCTTAGATCCTATATCTACCCATCAGAGGAATCCCAATTGGGTTCGGTGACTGCAATACCGCGATTTCAGAGTCAGAGATTGCAGTAACGAAATGAAAAGGCCGCACAGTGGATAGAGGAGTCGCAATTGGCTCCTTGCCCAGGGCAACCTGCGTTTTCTCTGGATGACGCAGGAGTTGAGGATGTATTTCCCCTCTGCAAATCATTCTTCTCGCCATTAGACGATGAATCAGTGTTCGCGATAGCTACAGGACAGGATGTCAACCGAGTCCTCTCATCCAACCATACTTCTATTAACACCGCGATGGAGCTCACCGTGCAGTCCGCTCGTATTTGGAAACATCCTTAGCGCTGGAATGCCGTTGGTCGCACTTAGAGGGAAAGAAATGCTGGTGTCCGTATGGCTTGTAGCCATATGCTTATATGCGCCAACTGCGAGGTAAAAGCGGTACAAAGGTACAAAAGTGTCCTTTAGCGTCGACAGCTGAGAGATAATTTCATCATTAAGTGCAATGCGAGCAATCCTGCAGTTGAAATGGCCCCGATGGGCAATTAGTTCATGTTTTACTATTTACGGATCCAATGCTAGATACACGCCCGCCCTTGCCTAAGTATGCAGCTAACACTCCCGGAGGCTTGCCTTTGTCACTTTCGGTGCAACACCGACACTCGCGGCTGCATAACCCGGTCGGTACGGACCCGGTATTATTTCGGTTAGTCCGCTCATCCCCACCCCTCGACAATTTCCACTCCGGCTGCTCGGTGTGGCCTGCGGTCATTGCGCGAAGAAGTAGATTCCTGTCCTCCGGGATAAAATATTTATTTTTAGGTTAAAATAAATATCTACATGCGGGCCTTCCTAGGGGTAGCGGCTATGGCAAGAAGACAGGGAATTTCATTTCATTTCATTTTGTTTTATTTCACTTTATTTCATTTTGTTTTATTTCACTTTATTTCGTTTTGTTTTATTTTCCCCTTTTTTGGTTTGGAGTAAGGAGATGCGTTACGCAAGTTATCTCGGTCGGATATGTCTGTTTTCACGGATACTGAGTTTCCGTGTCCAGCGGTAGAGGTAGAAATATCCACTCAAACCTCCACCCGACGGGCTGCGCCTCTGTTCTCGTTAGTAGGAATATTTCCCATCACCTAGCGCCTTGCAAACTTCCCCAAATTCCCATTATTGCGAGCTTTCCGTCAGTTTGGGAATATCCATACAAATTGACCACCTAAATCTGGAAATTTACTACATCGGCAAGGGTAGAAATGACAAGAATTAGGTTGGTCGACGCGCCTCGATACCAATACAAAGGTCTCGGTTGTAGCAGAGTGCGTATTCCCTTCAAACTAGTACGGGCTGGGTACGGGAATACTCTCGAGACGTTAAAGACTGATTTCCAAGACTTGTACCTCCAAAAATCTCGTTTGCGTGGCAGCTGCAACGACGTTCGGAATCGGGCCGCCATGTGGCTAGACGACCCTGACCTACTGAATGCCGTCAAGCAAAGGTTGCTCGATGCTGAAATCGTGGGAACTCGACTTCAAACTAGGTTGATCGTGATTTTGACCGTAGAGTCGACACCCTCGACGGGAGGCATTCGTTAAGAGTCTAAGAGGCCACACCGAGAGAGCGGCGAGGCAGGTTGTGCAGCTATGTATAAGCACTTGTTGAACAAGCCACTTCACATGATGATTCTCATGAAGTAGCATGTAACGCCTGGAATGAGATGCCGAGAACTCGTTAATCTATGGATACAATTTACAAAAGTTAGCAGTGTACCTTGGACTATCGCGCCATCAACGAGTGTAAGTGGTGCCCGCTCCGGGGCACATACCCTGTCGAACGCAAAGGCGTGATGCGTGTTCAAGCGTATGAGATCATCCACCCAAGGCAAGCCCTTGTCGGACGCAAACGTGTAATGCGTGTTCAAGCGTATGAGACCATCCACCCAACGCAAGCGGATAGACGTGGCCTTCTATCACTAGTAGTTCTCAAGTAACATTCAATCGCGCTTGTTTTCAGAGGTAGATTCAATTCCGAGGTCTATCCAGACACGGAACGAGTTTAGGAGAGTCAACAACGTCGGGGAACACCAAGATCTCTGACGCAGTGACGGGATAGTCTGATCACTGGGACATAGAAGGATCGAGGCTACGAGTGAAACTTGCGAAGCAGCTGGAAATTGTGCTGAGTGGATGCTTGTCGACGTTGCGAGCACGTACTTATTCGATGAATCCCAGTTTGGGGTTACGACTGGATGTCTTGCGTCAGTATCAAGATTCCCGTTGTCAGCAGCAAAGATTTACAGTACATGGAGCCATCGTTTCCACTCGCTGCCGTCGTATTTTGATGGCTATGACCCCCTACCACAAGAGTTGGTTTGTTACCACCTTCTATTGTGGACGTATTAGCGTCTAAGGCTGTATTCATGGTTATTTCAGCAAATTCCTTTCCATTGCATCGAGGGCGAACCCAGGCGGAATGGAGAATGGAGGACATACTGTGCACACTGCTGTTCGTGTTCGACATTGTATACTGTAACTGGACGCAGTGAGAAAAGGTGCTTTTCATCATTTTCTGGAACTTTGGAGCGTATTTATACCCAGAGACTTGCGAGGTACAACCATCCGCCCTCCCAACGAGCACAGAAGCTTGGGCTATTCCCAAAGCGTCACGAACAGGGATCATCTCATCAACGAGACGCGAACATGTGATGAACGGACGTGCTAATCCGCGGCACTTGGCGGGTAGGTCCGGCCGTAGAGACACGCAATGATGGACCTTTAGAAATCTTACGTTCATTTCATTGACCGTGGGCAATTTTTGCTACTCAACCGGATACTGACATGTGCTTCATCCGTTCCTCCACAGGAGTAAAGTTAAGCGATGATAGCTTAGCTATGCGCCGTTTCAAACGAAGTTGTTGTTTCCTACTACAACCAACAGTCACCAACGCGCTAAATGAAAGATATTTCTCTGTCCCTAAACTGCCCATATTGCTCACTTTTGGTTGAGTTCACCCAGAAGTGCAAATGCAGAAGATGACGTCCGGCGCATGCCTTGATGAATAGGCATCGTGGGAAACTGATAAAGGAGGGTCAAGTGGATCAACCACGCGTACGTGCGCCTACGGAGCGGCGACAAGAACAGTTACTGTCCCATGTTTGACTGGGCAGGCTTGCTTGTTGGTTGTCTAGAACGTGGTGGATTGATCGGAGGAAACGCCGTTTCGGATTAACGCCTGACGCCACGGGGCCATGTGCATAATCGACGACTAGCAAATAGTATGGCAAATGGGGTCTTGGGTCAAGCCGAATGAAGCGTCTGTGCCCAACCCACGTACCCGTGACAAGGGCTGTCCCTAAGGCGGCCAATGCCAACTATGATCATGCATCGGACAGCGGAGCGGTCACCCACCCAACAAAGGCGTGACGGTATTCATCACCAGTGTGTCCATTTGATCTGAAATAAGCCGCCTGCTACTGACGTAGAAAAAAGCCACTTCAAGGACACGTTTGTGACCTGTTGACCGCTGGATCATCAGGTTTGTCCGCTTTTGCCTTTCTAGGAGCATATGGACCTGTCTGTCACCCGGTGGTGCCTATCTTGCGGCTGAGATCCACGGTCGACACAAAGCGCGAGAGATCAAAAGCTGTAAAGAGCCGGGTTTGATGTTATCAGGGTGTCAAATGCCATAGTTACTACCCTTTTCTGGGAATGCACAGAAAGCAAAGCCGGCGTTCGATCGGAATCACTCACTATTCGCCGGAAAGAACTGAAATGTAAGCGACATTCATATACGGCGAATTATCTAGCCTTAGAACCCCTCACATTGTATGCCCGACTTGTCTAAGTACGGCATCAACGCTAGTCTTCCAAGTATGGACGTCTATAGGTGTGCTACTGAAACGCATAGTGTGTTTCCGCACGGACCGTATTCCGTTGGGTCAACATTGCGACTGACCTCTTCGTCGTACAGGTATATTAAGAATGCCATCGTGTTGAAGACGACGGGAGAGCAAATGAAGACGCCTTCATCTCCATGGTATCCGCCAAATGAAGTTTCCCTGCCCGAGACAGCAGCTTCCGAAAGTGGCTCGACTTCGACTTGGTGGTATAAAAATGGGTTTATTGCAATCAAAGAGAAACATATTGAAGTAGAAACAGAGGCGTAATGATCATAGAGTGGAAAGAAAACCCTCCATAAAGTCCCAAGAGAGGCAAACGTCGTAAAATGTGTGTATTAGATAAAAGGAAATTGTGAGAGCGTCGTCGCTCTCATCGAACCAACTAAGCCAACTTGACCAGGTAGTACGATAATCTAGCGACGACGGAAAGGGGGTTCAGGGATTCGCCTCAAGCAACGACGCATCCGTTAAACCACCAGGCAGAATTAAACTGGTCGATCCAATGGACGACCAATCTAAGTCTCAAACGCGGCGAGCGGATCGGAAGCAATTTCGCCTTTTCGCTCTCGTCGATAGGGAGTAGCTAGTTTAATGTTGTCAGCATGAACTGTTCCAATAACCGTTTCGTCCACCCATAAGTCGTTTAATGTAGCACGTACCTGAGCTATCCAAAAACTGAGAATGCCGACGTCGGATGGTGGAGGGCCAACGTTGTCGAGCCGTTGAATGACAGCGGCGGAAGAGGCCTTTCTCAGTCGTTGTAGAAACGTATGACACGTCTCGACGAGTTGTTCTGTCGTCGGTTCGATTGGGTATACAAACGGAGCGGCGGCGGGTGCGGCAGCAGCTACCGCGTGGCGGTCGGAAAATGCATACGACCCCGGCGACGACGATGCTGATGATGATCCTGGATGAGCGCTTCTCGAGGGGGAAGTAGTTGGTTCCGAAGGAGGTGGTTGGGGGTGGAATGGGGCAGATGATGGTGGTGCACTGTTGATGGAAGAAAGCGTCGAAATTGATGCGATCGAGGCAATAGAGGGCGTCGGCGAGTTGGATCGTCTGCGTCTACCTAGAATAGAAGGTCGTGGGAAGATACTTGGAGAGCGTGCGCGGCTTGGTGTCGGCGATTGATGCGGGCTTGTCGGGGGTCTCACTGGTGACAATGGACGCGAGAGCGGGTGAAGGCCTGGAGAGTTGCGCGGGGGTATTGGAAGTGTCGCATTGCGCTCAATCTCTCTTTCCATTGCCTCTGAGAGGTCATCGATGCTAGAGAGCCAGGGTCAATCCCCATCGACTGGGAAGAGGGTGAGGGCTTTGCACTTACCGATCAACTTTGCCAACCATGTAGCCATCTTGTTCGCCTCGTCTGACGATTCGAAACCGATATGACCCCCATGTTTCGATGATGGAGCGGCCATCGCCGAGAATGCGGGCGCTGCGTATTTCGAGCATTGTCCCATAGGAGACGACTGTACCCTCGTGTGACGGATACATGATCATTCCAAATTGAGGAGTTTTCCTTTGTAGGACGCGTCGAAGCATCAGACGGTACCTGCCGTGACGAATCAGAATGAGGTAGGTGGTGACGAGCGCTTTCTGGGAACTCACCTAGCTTCAAAGATGTGTAGAACGGTGGGCATCCCAGGAAAGGATAATTGACACACAAAGATGGGTGTATTGAGGTCGTCATCGGCGTCTGGGGCGGGCGTCGGGGATGGTGTCGCGAAAAAGGTTGAGACTGAGCAATTATTAGTCAATTAAAGTTGACAGGGATGAACGTGGACGTACTGATCGAGTTGATGATGCGATTTACCCGCGGGGAGTGAAACCTGGCGACGTTTGTATAGTCATGACGACATAGAGGACACGTCGCGAGATGATCAAGGGACCTCTGGAGACACGAGGTGCAAAATGTATGTTGACATGGGGTCGTTACGGGCTCGTTGAGCGTGTTGAGACAAATTTCGCATTGGAGGAGACCGCGGAGAGCCTTTGAGAATGGATCGGATGGTGGTTGAGAATGTTCTGAATCTGAGCGCTCTTGAGGGGACTGTATTTGTGCTTCAGGGGAACTAGACGTGGGACTAGCGTCGTGCAGAGGCGGGGAATGCGAGATTGGCGTTTGACAGGGTGGTAGCGTGGAATTGTCGGAAGACGAGTGTTCGAGAGCCAAAGCAACAAGCTGGACGATGCGAACGTCGTTTCCAACAATGGGCTCGAGTGTAGGGACGTCTACAGTCAGAGCAACGGTTGGATGCATTGGCCGGTCAAGGAGAGCGTTGCAAGCCGTGACTGGGCAGCGTTCTACGAATATTCTGAGATTTCTAGACGAAAGCAAAGCATCGTCGTGATCGCCGAGCAAATGTCGGATGCAGACCGAATGGCCACAAGCCAGAGTGACCGGTTTTTCGAGAATGCGGTCGCAGACGGCGCAGACGAGGAGAGAGAGCACTCCTTGTGCATCTACGGGCTCTGTGGGCGTTGAACAGCCGCTGAGAGGGGTGAATTGGTGCGGGTGAAGGGAATTGGAGCGGAGATTGAAGCGTGGGGGATCATCGTAGAGCAATGTCATTGTAATCCCATGAAATTTACGAACAGAATGAGATGCGAGACGACGAGGGGCTCAGCAGGCAGAGAGCAAGCTCGTTTTATCCCAGGCGCGAGGCCCGGAAGATGGTGGCTGCGAAGATCGGGTTACGTCGATGAAGGCTGAGAAGAAAATTCGGAAATCGGGGTCTAGAGCCGTTTTCGCACCACCTGCCAACACTTTTGACCATGGCCTTTGCGCAGCCTTTTGGCCAACAACAGCAGCAGTTACAGCTCGGCGGCCAGTATGTTCTAGAGCGCTTATAGATCGCCATTTCTAATCTTATTTGAATAGTCTCTCGGCAATCCCCAGCAGAGACCAAAGGTGCCGTCGATAACGCGTCGGCCTCGCGCGTCTGACAAGACTCTAGGCCTCAACAAACATTCTATGACTATCATTACGACGACGAGGACTCGCTGTTCGAGGAGATTAACGAATTTTATGCCTTTATCGAGGCAGACCAACTCGCAGAAAACCTAAAGGTCTGGCAGGGCTCGTTTGATGGCGGTCAGCAGACACATGGGTCACCCTAATTTCATCGTCTCATTATTCTGTCACAGACTGGACAAAGGCCCCACTCCAACAGCGCAAAACACATGTCGTCGCGCTCCTGGAAGATTTGGAACACAAGGACAGCCTGACACGCTATAATGCGAGCAGGAGACTCCTCTATCTTTTACAAGGCGCGTCTTCATTGGTCCTCGTTGTTCGGAACACGTCTGACACGCCGAAACAGGCGCGTTTGCGGAAAGTACTTCGCCCGAATACCAAATGCATTGGATAATTGAAAACGCCAAACTCGTTCGAGCCTCGCAGGGCATCACGATCATTGTCGACGCCCTCAAAATGCTCTCGGTCAAGCACGATCAGCTCGCGTGAGCGCGTCCTCTCATCGGACCAACCATAGAATCCTAACTTTATCTCGTTTTCGACCCATGCCCCACTCTCTCCGACGCTCAGCACAATTGCAGACGCGGATCTCGCCCGCATAAACGCCGCTCCACACATGCGCCAATCCTGGATTGACGAAGTCCAAGCAGAGATTGCAATGTGCCTCAATATGTTATATCCGATAATTGAAGTTTTCCGGTCCGACGATGAATTCGCCGAAGAGCTGAGTAGGTCGAGATCGACACACGATAATGCGGGCTGAATCGATGTTTGCAGTGGGAATGGAACCTCCACTCCCGATTTACTTTCTCTCCCTCTTGTCCACCCTCGGCAATCGGAGCGCAAAGAGTTACCCTGCCAAAAAGGTTCTGAGATCCTTGACACGCATATCGCCACCCCGTGCTGATGCGGGTCTCTATAGCTGCTTCTCATCACATGGAAGGTTCTCCTCGCCTGTTTGGGTGGCATGAATGAACAAGCGAGGGCCAAAGCAGTGGCACGCGAGCTCGCGGGACTTCCGCCCCTGACTGAAGCCTGTACGCTTTCTTCTGCTGAAATTCGAACATCTTGCCTAATCTGGTCATTCAGCTTTGATGCTCAAGGCCACCCCTGTCGACTTGCAGACCTTTCGGGAAGAGACGTTTGTCAAGTATCCAACTTTTTCACCCCCTCCTATCACCGAGGCTGCCAAGGTCCCGTCGACCAAACTCGCAGAGGCTCTTACTCCTCTCCCGGTCCGTAATCATTACGTTCACCCAGATCACAACGTCAACGGCGGTCTCGGCCAAGGCGACGATCCAGCCTCTGCCAATGCTGTCCTCAATCCGCCTGGATATGGGAATAATGGTATGGTGTCCAATTTGAGTAAATTGTATTTCTAACATCCTCTCTAGGGTTCCCGGGAGGCCCTATGCTCGCGACCCCTGCTCCATCTCCTCCGCCATCCCCCAAACCAAAAAAGCAACAGTATCAGACGGACCAAACCAAACCGTTTGTCTTCCCCTTTTCACCCGCCGCTTACGTTTCAAGTCGCCTGGTTCCGTATGCAATCGACGAAGCGGACACGTTGTACGCGCGACACATGCACATCCCCCTTGCACTCTTCCAAATATGGCGAACTCGTGAAGACTTTATTCTTGACGAGAGTGGATTAGACGCGATGCCGGGTGACAAGGAGAGTGACGTGCGTATGAAACGATGGAGTGTAGTGGCGATCAAGAAACACCTTGGGTCCGCATCGTACGGTAGTGGTGGTCACGTTTCTAGTGCGTCAATGGGTGGGATTCTTGGGAGTGGGAGTATGGATGCTGCCAATGATGGCGAAGATGAAGAGGAAACGATTACATGGCCGGATTCGCAGATTCTCGAAGAGGAGATTGAAAAGGCCGAAAGGGAGCTGAAGAAATTGGATGCGGAGATTGCAAAGGAGATTCGGTTGCATGGCGAGGATGGGATCGATTCGGCTAAAAAGGCGGAGAGGAAGCGCGCAAAGGAACGCAGGGATGATCTTATGCGATTGCAGAGAGTTGAGATCATCTACGTGAGTTGTGTTCCTTGTCTTGCTGGTTCTCTGCTTATTCCTTTGGCAGGCCGCGACGTTGCCATTCTTGAGTGGTGTTGTCGTCGTCTTGCTCAAGTTTCTCATTGCGATCAACAATATTTCTTCTGCGGCGCAAAATGCTAGCCAGCAGAGCAATATATTCGCTGGGCAACCTGGTAAGTAAAACGAGTGTCTATACAGGATCCTAACCATTGGTCTTAGAGGCTCCACCGCCTGTGGTTCACCATACTATGGAAGAATTGGATGCTCTCCGACACCGGGAGATTATGATCAAAGGTCTCTCGGCTTTCATCCTCCTCTTGCTCAAGTGGTTCAAGCGATCCCGTATGTGATACCTCTTGAAAATACAGCGATACTCATGCATCACAGATATCATGAAGCACCACCATCTCGCATTTACTCTTCTCTCAGCTGCCACCCACGCACATATCCTGCGTCTGCTCTCAAACACCGAGGTTTCGACATATGTGGTGACGAAGAATGAGGTCCCCGAGCGAACGTATGTGTCTCCACACCAACCAAATCCTGGTCTAACCTGTTGCCCGAACAGCTTCTTCCGATATTGTTATGAAAATTTCTCTCCCAATGCGTCCCAAGTCCGAGCGGACGAGTTCCCGCTCTTCGCCCCTCGACAGGGCTCCCGTATCACGACGATGCCCCATGGAATCCAGTCAGAGGAGGAAGTGGAAATGATCACAGACTATTCGTGGAGAAACTTTTTCGCCATTATCAACGTCCTCAAGATCTTACATAAAATTACCAAGGGTAATCCCAACAGGATTACACAGCTCGTTCACCACAAGTCGTCGGTGAGTGTTCTCCTCTGATTGGTCTGAACAAACGTGGTTGACGAGATACAGGCGATCCTCAAGCGCATGATGCGAATCTCGCACCCTTTGCTGCAGTTGCAAATTCTCAAGCTAATCAAAGGGCAAGTCCCATACAGCGGTCGTAAATGGAAGCAGTGTACGTCTACGCCTCAAGCGATTCCGGTTGCTGATAACAAGTCTAGTGAACATGAAGCTGATTACCGCCATCTACCTCAATTGTCGACCAGAGCTCAGAGACGAGTGGCTTGCGACCATGGACGTCGAAGAAGTAAAGGATTCTCCATCAAATGTCGAGACGTTCCTGCGACGACTCGTTGCGTTTTGTAAGTTTGTATTCAGAAAGACCCACTCTTTATACTCACGATAGATAGACGATTATAAGCGGTATGGTTACATTCCGCCAAAGGTCAGCTCGGATCAACATCAGCGTTCTACCAGTATCTCTATGGGTGACCCACCACTCTCACCAGAGATTCAGATGGCGAATCCACTTGCCAGTCCAGCGGCGTCGGACGTCTTTCCTCCGCCGCGCTCGCAAGCCGCCGACCCGTCCATCTTCATGCCGTATCCGAGCGAAGATCTGGCGTTTGAAGAAGAATATGAAGAATATCTATTCGACTTGCACAGCTCGAGTGTGCCGCCAGACATGGTCACGACCGACACCGCACCCGCGTGGACCGAACTCCCGAGTGATCAGCCACTTGGTGATGGGCTGAGTGATGGGGAAAGTGTTGCCTCTCTGGGTGATGAGCTCGAAGACAAGACTGGACCAGACGGCGAGACGTTGCTTCCCTCGGACACCGAGGTTGGCAAGAATAACTGGGAGGTGCGCACTTTTCCGCTTTTCTTTGCTCATATGACTTAAATGTGGTGTACTAGCACATGAGCCCAAAGACGCTCGGTGCGCTGCCGAAATCGCCGGCCAAATCGCCTGCTGGCGGCGGACGTAGATCGAGCTCGGGGAGCAGTTTGAGACCGGTGATTCCGCTTGACCTGGACGATCCAGAAGCAGGAAGCGCGCTCGAGGATGAGGATGAGGAACTTGAAATGGGGCCAATGCCTATTGAGCGGTCGACACCGTTTGCCGTGCAAGATAAAGGCAAAGGTGTAGATGAAGTCGAGGTTAGTGTCTTTCCAATGCAGCAATTCAACTCTGACGAATGAATAGTATATGTACGGGGAATGATCCTTGGGGTTATCTCCTTATGAGTCTCCAGAAGTGAAATAGCATTCAATCAATCTACATGATAAACACACGAGGCTGATCCACAAGGTTCAAGGTTACGCGAAGGTTGTAGCTTTCGGTCAAGTGCATTAGGTGTCAGACTTCCCTTGTCAAGGGAAGTTCCATGCGTTCGGTGGAATGTATGGAGAGTGGCAGACGAGTGGGTTCTAAGGAATGCTAAGAATATCGTCGAGCATTAACACCTAGATCATCTCGTTGCAGGACGACCTCGGTTAGCACTGTGATTTCAACATCCTGTGGCTTCGTTCTTTTACCCAACGAACGTACTGCCGAAACCGACTGCTGGAAAACGGTGTTGAGTATAGATTGTTTCTTCTCACTCGCATCATCCAATGTCAGTCTCGGATTTCTGGGCCGTTGAAGCCATCGGCTACCACTTGCTCGCCGTCCAAATATCGGTACATCGCGACTCCTCGTGTTTGACGCCCCTCCGCTTATCACTCCGCCAGTACCACATGTCTCGCTTTGGTAGTTGGCAGCTCTGAGCAGGTTGAGCTGTAGTCGGGAGCATGCGATGGACATGATGACCCAGAGGATGAAGACGCCAGTAAAGGTAAATGATATGGGTCTCATGTTCCAAGCAACGAGGTTCCACGTCCGGAACAGGAGGATGGAGACGTAGTAGCATACGCCGTCGCGGAAGAGGATGGAGAACAGGTAGGTGCCAAAGCCCCTGCTGTGCCTCGTCTTGTCATAGAGTTTGATGGTCGTGACAACGAATATTGTGGCCTCAAAGAGCATTGGAGGTACCCAGATAAACCCCATCGTCTTCGGATGAATGGAAGAGGAACAGATGTGCATTGTCGGCGAGAAGAAAATTTTGGTGCGGAATTCGTGGGAGGTGATAGCGACAAGTACACCAGTAATGGCGTAGGATAAGAAGAAGTAGATAACAAGGAGAGTGTTGAACGTGGGGCGGCTATGCCCAAGAAGTGCTCGAGTGCGCGCGAGAAGCATCCAGTTGCACATTGCAAATGAAAGGAATGTAGCATAGCCAACGCCTATGAGGCTATACGTGCAGCTGCATGGCGAATGAATCGAGTGTCTGGTCATTGGAGGGCTGTCACTCACAATCTATCCGACATTGTCCTACTGCTAATGAACTGCTGAGCATTAATGAGCGTAAACACCGCGCATAATGCCCGGTTCTAAGGGACCGAGGTAGCACTCCTGTCAACCTGTTATGCATCGTCGAGGGAGAGGTCACGCACTAGATAGTAGAACAGTTTGATGACACTCCACCGCTTTGGCCAGAACAGTTGCACCTGCAATTTATAATGTCATCAGAAACGTTTTGAGACATGCTCGTCTTGCCAGATTCACTTCGTCACCGAAAATCAGCGAGGTGTCATAGATTAGTAAGGAGATTGCGACGGCTGCAATTTGAAACCTATAAGTTAACATATACTAGCTCGTGAAAGTACTGACCATTCATCCAGCGCGTGAGCTGAAGATTCTGGGCAATCTGTACAAGGGAGAGTCCATCATTTCGCACCGCTTCTAGCTCGAGGGCAACAGACATGGTACTAAGTCACATCCCATTTGACCCATCTCGGTCCATTTAACCCCAGCCATACGGCGCTTTTGCATTGTCAAGCAAGGGCTGTGATTTGATTCTTCTGGCATGTCGTCGAGGATCGAACCTGGCAAAGGACCAAGCGGGGAATAGACTTTGCGACGACCAGACATCGAGGATGGTAACACAGACATTATTGGATCATGTCGAGAGAGACAGACGCTCGCCGGGGATTTGCCTTGCACCAGTATTGTGGTCGGGGACATAACGCTTGTACCCAACTACAACCACCTGGCTTTCTGACGACTTTGCGAGGGCCATAAAGAGCGATGATCAATACAGAATTAAAATGATTATTGTCTTCCGGCATGACATCGCTGCGCTGAGAGGACCACAGCCGTGACCAAACACGGCATGCCAAGCAAGCAGAGATCAGATAAATCGAGAGAGTTACATTCATCTAGCATATAAGTTTCAGGAGACTGCGCAAATGACCTCACCCCTAGGCATAACTGCTTGCAACATCGTGGGCGACGTGCGTTTTGCATCACCATTACAGCATGTAAATGACAACACTGATGATAGCTCCAAGTTGTAGGACAGCTCACCTCGGTCGTCACCACACGAGCGGAGCTTGGACAAGACTCCTTAATCGGTTCTGACTGGGTCATAGCTGGCGCATGGCTTCAGTACGTCACGGAATACGCGCAACATGACATGAGATAGGCTCTCTGAAAACAATAAATACCCAGTTTAGTCCTCGGAGGAAACTATGGGACGGATCTGTAGATCGGCAGCCCCATTTTTAGCTAGTGGAAGGATCTGCCGGGAGTGCTTATTGGGCAGACGATACCCCCCTCGAAGGGGACTCGGTCCCTCTGGGCATCAAGAATTCCAGCACGAGCATTTGTCAAGGAATTCCTAACCTAACCAACCTTTCCAACAAACACTCATTTATTGCAACTTGGATTCTGCCTCTGCCTCCAACAATGCCCTCTACAGACCGTTCCAATATCTCAACTCGTCCCTCGTTGACGCGACGAGGAACGTCGTGCGGAGGCTCTCAAGGAAACCACGTTATGTCTCTGGTCCGCACCAGTGACCCACCAGAGGCTCCTATTCCACCTTCCCTCCAGCGTCGACGCCTCACGCGGGGACTTTCCATCAGCACTCGAACCCTTCCGCTCGAACATACAGACGAAACGAGCGAGACGGGCTCACCAAAAATCGAGCCCCCCTTTTCCCCGCTTTCACCGACTCTTGTGAGTAACAAACCCAAAGTCTGGTACGACTACGACGAGTTCAACGTCTCTGGGCGCCTCCGAGCCAATTCTCAGTCCAGTGAAGGATCAAATGAATCCGCAAAGGAAACAATGAGGGCCCTAGCGCCTTGCATGCTGCAGAGGAGGGCAAGCGTCCCACCTTCTAAGATGCGAACTCCGGCCTTTGAACGTACCGAGTCTAGCCGCCCAAATTCGCCTCCAAGTCAGGAAATGAGACGCGGGGATCTAGCGGCCTATGCCTCATCGAGTGCGCAGTCACTGCGACTCTCTCTTCGAGGCCATAGCATAATGCATCCTTCATCTCCAGAGCCCCAGACTCGTCGTTTGGAGACATAAGAGTGGCCGTGCTTCGGGAGTCAGGATGATCCAAATATGGAGGTATCATTCTCTCTATAGGGCTCTTTACGTACCACCTCCAGCCCATCATCCCCCGAACTTCATACATGGCAGCTTCGACTGGATACATTGTGGCGCCTCTCGCTTTCGGGCTAATTATTGTTCGATATCTATAGCCCTCTAGTCTTTATCTTCTGTTGTACTATCACTCTGCGATTTATCTGGGTTTGTGTCCAAGTCAAGTGGTCTAGCCACTCTGATCTCGGCCATCATGTCGAAGCGTATCACTCAGCAAACTTACGGGGAACGATCGAAAAACTATACAAATCCGGCAGCAAGAAGACTGCTGGAGATTATGGATCGCAAGAAATCGAATCTTTGCCTAAGCATCGACGTAACCACGACTGAAAAGATTCTGAACATCGTGGATGCCGTAGGAGAGCATCTTTGCTTACTAAAAGTAATCATCTATCCATCTACGCACGCTTCTCTCCCTACGCAAACTCCTCCGTTACGCGTTACTGACCAATTTGGCTGAATCAGTAGACGCACGTCGACATCATCGAAGACTTCAGCGAAGAATTTATCACTAGACTTAGGCAACTCAGTGACAAATATGACTTCCTCATCTTTGAAGATCGCAAGTTTGCAGATATCGGTATATCCTCCCCTCAGGCGAATGACTCTTACTAATTCGATTAGGGAATACGGTCGTGCATCAATATTCTCGCGGAATACATAAGATTGCAAGCTGGGCGCATATCACTAATGCCCATCCTCTGCCGGGCCCAGGTATTATCACCGGTCTAGCTTCAGTCGGGCTTGCATCGGGAAGGGGTCTACTTCTCTTAGCAGAGATGAGTTCGGCGGGATGTCTGGCCAAAGGATCATACACCGCCGCCGCGGTACAAATGGCACGAGAGAAGAGGGATTTTGTGATTGGATTTATTGCGATGCAGAGGGTCGAGACCCTTTATCCACCTATGGATGTCGCGAAAGCGTCTGCTGATCCTGTACGCCTTGAGTTTCTTCTTCACACCGAATTTCAGCTCACATCGAGTAAAAATGTAGGGAGCTGTCGAGGACTTTTTAATCATGACGCCCGGAGTCGGCTTGGACGTTGCGGGCGATGCAATGGGTCAGCAATATCGCACACCGCATGCTGCGGTTTACGAAAGTGGAAGCGACATTATAATTGTCGGCAGGGGAATATATGGCAAAGGTGACGATGTGGAGGAGATGAAGAGGCAAGCCGAGCGGTACCGACAGGCGGGATGGGAAGCGTATCTCTCGCGGCTTCAGACCATCGCACAGTAACCATTACTCTCTGTTCATGGTACTACAATTACACCATTATATGAAACGGATTCGAAAGGCTATGTCTCATCGGCCGTGAACATGGATATAAAGGTGTCCGTGTGACCACGAGGAGCATCTTGAACGGGAGGTATATTGCGTCCCAGGGCATATATGCGCTAGTACGATCGATATACCTTGCATGTACCATGTCACCTGTCAATTAAGCACGACTTCCCTAAGAGAAAGTCGTTCGCGCCTCAATGCTTCGAGCTGGAGTGCCAAATTCGACGCAGTCATGCCGAATAAAGGAATCACTACGATGATAGTAAGTATTTAAAGCACGATTCTGGGGTTGAGAGCAAGCAGGATGGGTGGACATTCGAAAAGCGGGGAATAAAACACAGGGAGAAGATAGCAAACCAAACCGTATTCCGATCAACAGCTCCATTTCGACGTGTTGCCCGTATAGATGTTTCCGATAACGACTACAGTGACGGTTAATCGAGCCCCGAGAAATCAAATTCTTCTCGGGCGGCTTGCAATCCTATTGGCTGATCAATGGCTAAGAGAGGCAGGGTTGGCAGTTTTTCGCTCGATGGGACGTCTAAAAACTGCAATTGGTCTACAAATACATGTGAATGCAAAGAATCATATATTCTCAACTTGTTCCGGAGGTTTTATTTCATAGCTTTCTCCTATAGAGAAAGTGGAAAGCTCCCGTTGTCTTTGTTGTGCCGCCATTCGGATGCGGAATTGCCTTGTTACCTCGCCAGTCGCCGCAGAGGTTCCGACATCGGTAAGCTCCATAGAATCCTCTGGCCATGTCTGGTGACTGGCATCGAGGAGGTTGAGCTGAATGCGGAAAATGAACACGGTCATGATTGACCATTGTATATAAAGTGCGATGAAATTGAGTGAGCCGTGTTTGTTTGCGTAGGCGACGACGTTGGCTATGCGGAGGAAAAAGAGGATTACGTAGTAGCTCGCTCCGTCGCGGAAGAGGACATAGAATAGTCGGGAAAGCGTTTGGCGAAAATATGGGACTGAGCTGCGAAGCTCGTAGAGTTTGTAGATTGTGATACTGAAAAGAGTGGCTTCAAAGGACATCTCTAATATCCACTGGAAACGCATAATGTGCGAGTGAAAGGCGAATGCGCAGCTGTAAATCTCCCGCGAATAAAATGTCTTTGACTGTACTAGGATAATGATCCGAATGGCGATGTAGAGAGTGCCGAAATGAACGATTGCATAAAAGAGGATGAGAAATCTTCTGTAATTCTCCTTTCCGGACCCTAAGAGAGCGTTTGTACGACAGAGAATGATCCAATTACAGATCGCAGTCGAACAGAAACAGGCTAGGCCGACCGCACTGAATGCGCCTCGGCAACTGCTAAGAGTGAGGGTTGTAATACTTCCCGAATTGCGAAACGTACTATGCCTTGGATAAGTCCCTTTGTAGCCCTGCAAAATGCAGGCAGCTGTAGATCGAAAATGTGATTGCGATTAGGCGATTCTGAAGCCATTATCTTAGAAAAGCCGCAAAACTCAGTACCACCTACAATGTACAGGCCAACCTTGATGGCCTCCCATTTCATCGGCCATAGCCATCTGACCTAGGGACATGAGCTGAACGAACCGCACGCTCAAGCAAACAAACCTCTTCACGGAGTGTAAGAAGCGTGTCGTAACAGAGAATTGTCACCGCAGCGGCTGAACAAACTTTCAGTGTTATAATCGCGAAACGACTCGTAAATACGTACCTTGAAGGTAGCGAGAAACTGTGACGTTTCTTGCTATCTGCCACAGTGGTATGCCCTCCAGGCGCAGCGCTTCGATCTGCAGCGCGAGGTCCTGTGGGGACTGGGCCATTTCGTGGTACGGGTCGTAGTCGCATGATAGACGAGGATGACAGAGATGTATATATATACAAGCACTAGCTTGATTTTCCAAGGTACTCGACGGGCGGGGATGCCAGCATAATAATATACAATTTACATATAGTGACACACGCACCACCCGACTTACACAATTGGGCGCTTTGCATAATAGACGTGACGATCGGACGTGTGTAGTTCGGAACCGTACTTCTCGGTGAATTCCTGACGATAGAAATGGGGCCATCGTGGGTCGAGCCCTTGTTCCCCCTTGTTCCCCCTGGGCTGAAACGGATGGTTTAGGATCCCGGCGATCCTGTGTGCATTGAAATCGACACGGTGAAAAATTCGAGTACAAAATACGAGTCTACTTCTGGTCAGTGCAAAGGGAAGCGTACCACTTGGTTTCGCGCCAACGGCTTGGTTAGTTTCAGGATCTCGTAGAGGAAGACATCAAATATATATGCTACGCAAGGCGATTGCACACGCATACAATGTCACATGTCTCTATTGATACCACGAACGTCCACTCGATGGTTGGGAGAGGAGAGCTGATGAACGAAAGCACCACTGTGCCGTTCATTTGAGAGAGATGATGAAATTATGGAGAGGGATGGTGTATAGCGATCCTCGTCGTTCATATCCGCAGGCGTCGCGTCGCGAGTTGGCTTCTAAGAGGTGGCGCTTGGCGTCGACTGGCTTGATGGCATGATAGCTAGGAGTTGGTGAGCACCTGTCTGTTCGCCAGGGTTCCATGAGGATGCGGCAAGGCAGGAGGAGCGGCGGTCCAAGAAAGTCGGATAGGAAGGGCAGAGGGATGGTTTCAGTGTAGTGAGTGGACTAGTGGATGGGTCCGTCTATATGGTACAGCTTTAGGAAAAAGTTCGAGTCCATAAGTCCATCATGATACGGTTGTTCGATCATAAGAGTCCGTTTGCAATTATAGTTCTTATCGAGGGGAGGACGAAGGCGTAAAGGGTTGAAGTGTCGGTGTAGGAGAGGACAACATGGCATGGTGTGCGTAGACAACAGATGTCAATAGTACGAGAATTCCGAAAGCCCATGAAGAGGAGGAAGAATTGCTGACGTTGATTGTACACATGAAGGATCGGACGAGATGCTGCAGACGAAAGACGTTGAAGTAGGCGCTGTCGATCATAGTGCGAGTGCGCTCGTGATCAAGACGAGCACACCGACCGCGACACCGCCGAGCGTAAACGTCTTGTGCGCATCAGACGTCGAGTGACTAGACGTAGAAGTTGCAGTCGCCGTCGCCGTTCCTGTTCTTGTGCTAGTCGTACTATTCGAGTGGCCAGCAGAAGAAGACGTAGTCGGGCTACCACCGGCCACGTCCATCTCTTGATCCACGTCGCCTTCATTGTCCTTGGCATTCTGGTACCAGCCTACGGCGGTTCCATTGAGGGTAGCGCCTTCAACGTGGCCATCGAACAATTGCGCCACAGAGACAGCAGTCCATGGCTGGCCCGATGAGCTAGCAGCAGCGATGAGAGGGTACATGTTGATAAACGCCGTAACGTCGTCCGCGGTGATTTCGTGCTCGAGGATGACGAGACCGGGTGTACGCGGGCCGCTGAGCCAGTTTGCAAAGTCGCTCTGGATGCGAGCAAGCGTCGTGCCGGGTGGGTTGGCAGCCATGGTCCAGTCCCTGCTATCTTGATTCCAGATGACGGTTGTAAGACCAAAGACGTGCTTGGCTATCGCACGAACACGGTTGTCGCAGTCACCATAGGGCGGACGCCAGTATCTGGCAACACGGCCCTCGGTACTATCGTAAATAATCTGCAATGTCCAGCCCAACTCGGCGACGAGCTGCTCGTTGGAGAGGAGGGACATGTGCCTGTGGGTCCAAGTGTGCACACCGATATCATCACCCAACTCCTCAAAGGCTCGCATGAACATTGTCGGTGCATTGAGAATGTTGGCACCGATCATAAAGTGAGTGACTTTCTGGTTGTGGGTCCTGAGGAAATCGTAGAGCCTTGGGCTGGCATCGGGGAAGCTAACTGGACCTGTTGACAAACGGGTAAGGTAGGGTTCAAGCGGTAAATGACAAGAAAGACGAACCGTCGTCGACACTGAGGCCAATCATGCCCGATGGAGCGTCCCAGATATCGTCCGTGTGGCGGCATTGGAATTGGGAGCTGCAAATGGGCTCTTGTCCACCATTGACCCCAGGTGGGTAGACGGCGGTTGAGCCACCATCTGGGGACGTAGCAAGTGGGATGTTCGGGATCAAGTTTGCTGCTTGAGCACGATGGAGGGCATCCAGCCAGGCTTGGGGGATGTTGGCCTCTGGGTTTTGCCCCAGGTTGGCAAATTTGGCACGCCAGGCTGTTGAAAAGACGGTTTTGTCAGTAAATATGGCTTGAATGTATAGATTTTGGACCCGTACCATCGGATCCAACGGCAGGCAAGTCCTCTGGGCCACGACGGAAGAGGGCAGCAACTGGGTGATCACGAGGGTGATGCCAGGATGTTGGAAGTACACCCCTTCGTTCTTGCTGAGCGGGCGGAGGAACGGGGTTGGGGACCGCGGTGACGAGGGCAAGGGTAGAAAGAAGCGCGATAAGAGATTTGGCAAACATAATTAGACTGGATTATGGGTTAGCGATGGTGTAACGAGTGGTAAGGGGGAGGGGGATTGTAAAGGAGTGTAAGGACGCGGAGAGCAGCGTCGACGTAGAGTCCAACTTGGAGCGTCTCGTTCTGATGACTGCCTCTTATTGCAGGACGAAAGACGGGACGTGGGCGGGTCCAAGAGGGTTAAAGAGAGCTCGGCAGGGAGACAGGCAATAAACCAAATATTATGGCCAAGGGACGGACTGTAGCGAGCGCTGGCAGCCAGCATGAATACATACCTCTTTGAATTAGACACGGCAGGCTGTCAACGGCAACGCTGATGCTCCGTAGCGTCGATACCAAACAAGGAGGTCCAAGTAAGGATGGAGGAGGAGAAAGAAACCAGGAGCGAGGCGATAAAGGCGAGGTAGTAGTGGTTCTGCAGAACAGGGCATCAGTCTTCTTATAGCCCAAATGGCTGACCAGACGCTTGCACTGCCCAGGGGATGCTAGCCAATTCACTTGGCCTCGGGTTTGTATACTGCCTCTCCGCCCTCGAGCAAGCGCGCTGATAGGGTCATCTAATTATACAGTCCAATTATCATTCACTGCACCCCTTGAGTATCTCCGTCTGCGGTCCCCTTCCTCTGCAACCGCCAGAGTTCTTCCAACGGCACAGCGGAGCGGACACGAGCTATTTCCGGCTTTTCTCCCGGCTGGGCGTGCCGGATGTCCATATGGACAACCCAAGACTTGACACCCGAAACACTTGGCTACGGAGGTCGAAGGGAGGACGGAGCGATAAGCTAACGCTCACGGATTGCCTAGAGCTCTGACCTATGATTCCTGTTTGATGCTGAAACGCATATCAAACGAAGTAATATGTCCGCCCAGCTCTTTGCAGTCCAGATCTATTGCGACGAAACCGGGTGGTAGAGAAGCACCTCTATTCACATTACCTTGGCAGTTTGCCCATCACAGACGTAAGAGGCAAACGACAGCGGCGACAAAAAGGGATCGAGGCGGGTGACGCAGGACAGGTAACTGACCAGCATACTGACTACAATGCCGACAACTGACTCGGGTGAGGTGTCGTGAATAAATGTCCATTGCCCGACGTTGGCTTTGCTCCCGTTTCAACTCGACTAGCCCCTCCCGCCGGACAGTGAGAGGTCATTTGTTACGGAGTCGGTCAGCATATGTTCATATGTCAAGTAGATTGCATAGAACAGGAAATGACTTTCGAGGCGACAAACAGGCGAACAGAGTGCGACTAAGAGGCATACCCGAGGACAAGAGGCGAGACAGTCCAGAATACAAAGAAGCAACAGGAGAACAATAAATTAGGGCTCATGCGTACAGTCGACTTGCGACAGACACCCTGGTTACATATGCAACTGGGCAGGTGACACAGATTCGTACTGGGCAAACTCCTGGTTGGCGCGTTGAATCATTGCAAGAATGGAGTGCTCGTATGGCACTATCGTAAATGCTGGTCCATAGCACGTCAAGTCCTCAGGATCAAACGGCGTCCGACCACGCTGTGCAAAAAATTCACGCTCGAGTGATTCGGAAGAGTCACAAGAGTCTGCCTCTGTGTGAGATAACGGATCCATAGAATCCTCTGGTTCGAGCGAACACGAGTTGGAGGCTGTTCCCATCTCGTCTTCGAATGACCAGTGGATTGAGTCCTCGGTCTCTAGCGCCTCCGAACAGTCAAGTTGAACCCTGTTGGCTTCGAAGTTGGATACAGGTACGAGACTCGACTCGCGTGAGGGAGTCACTGCTTCGCTTGCCTTTCCTGCCGAGGATGGGATGTTGCTGGTTGAAAGCAAAGACGACGGTGGGGATCCACGTAATGTGATGAGACTCGGTGGAATACCTGAGGTCATGTCCATTCGTTCGAGTCCATCTGCGTCAGCGGAGTCAGAGTCGTAGTCCATGGTGTACACGGCCGAAGCACGGGCGCGTCGAGGTGGGTTGGCCAGTCGTGCGTATACCGCTGTTAGACTATTCTTACTCCCCTTCTCCAAGGATAATGGTGAGCGGTGCTTTGCAGCAGGCAAACTTGAGACAGAGATGGACGGCGAGGGTGAACGAGACAAAGACCTGTACGTCGAGGCGTGTGGTGTGCTCGATGGGGCGACATTCTCTTCTTCTGCTTCTTCGACTTGCTGAGGAGAGCTCTCGTCATGCGTGGGGTTGGATGAGGAGACGGACTAGAAGGTGCTGGGGAGGATCCAGCGGCATTCGTCGTGCGTGGTCGTTGTTGGTGTGTTTGGATGATATCCTGGATCTTTGTTGCCAACTCGGGCCCACAAATCCCTTGAAGAACGAGGGCGGCAATCTCACGACACTGCAATTCCTCTGCTGTTAACTTGGCTGGGTTCTCCTCGACATCGACCTTGGTCTTTGTATGAGAAGTGCGTTCCTTCCCCGTGTCTTTTGATTCCTTGTTCGGAATTTGGTACGTCGGAAAGAGCCGCTGGTGGGCAAGTTGTTCCTCCTCAACGAGCGCAAAGAACCGGCTCTTGTGTACCTCTGTGAGCTTTGCCCAAATAATAGACACGATGCGTGAGATTTGTCGATGGTCCTTGCAAAAGTCGAGCTCGGAGGGCAAGACGTTCATCGCGTAAAAGTGGGAGCGGAAGAGGATAAATGCATTGCGTGGGCGAGGGACGTGATTCATCGGCCTACGTCTCGAGTGCGACGGTCCTCGTTGATTGCGAGGTGGGAGAGCGAGATTCGGCGGAATGAACCAGAGTCCCGTCGTAGACTCGGAACTGTCGAGAATGATCTCTTTATGTGCATTGAGACTGGATGGTACTGCCAATGGTAAGCATGCGACGATGCGACTTGGGTAGCCAGCCTACCAGGCGAGACGGGACGAACGGCCATGAATACGACGATGCAAGACGGAGCAAGGATAACAAGAATAGTTGTTGGAAGGATGAACGGAAGGGAGAGTGTCTCTGCCGCTCGTCCCTCAACCCAGCGCACTTTTTATACATCTACACAGGGCATTCTATCAGCCATCTCCCAATCATGGAAAGTCAGAAACATGTTTTGTGCGTTCTGGCTCGACATTCGAATAGGATCCTGGCAAATGCGCCGCTCGAGTGGATGGGAGTGCTCAGGATGCGGAAGGAGGTGGACTCGGGGGCCGTTAAAATGAGGCTGGAAACATGCACAGAACACGAGGATTGCGATTCCTTGTGCGGATGAAAAGCCCACGGTTTTAGGACAATGACACGGATGGCGGCGAGGAGTGGAAATTCAGCGAGAAAGCCATTATCCACAAAGCCTCGTCTTACAAAGAAAATAGTCTATTAGTAATATATTATGAGCATCTTGAGGGTTTGGAATGTCTCCCAAGGGGTATTCGAGGGAGGAGGGAAGGGACAGAAATGCGAGAAATGCCAGGAGCCCATATTATTCTTTTATAAAGAATTTATCAATTTCCATTTGGTGTTTGCTTATAATTACGTCTCGAGAATCAATTGAAACTCGATCAAGTATCCCGGAGTCGACTTGACCACAGCCAGTGGGTGGCTGCTTGCAGGCTGTTAGTGAATTCTCCTCTTGGTGGCAGAATGCATAGATTCGGGTCTACTGGAAACGAACTAGGTGCCGCCTGAGAGCTCATGTCCCTGGATGGCCAATCTAACGACTTCACGAAACGACCCTATCAAGAATCAAACGAGTTGTAATGCGTATCGTCATTCTACCTTGCAAAGGATCCCGCCAAGGCGGTATAGATTAGAAGTATAGACAGACCGAGGACGTAGTTCTAACTTAGCAAGCTGTACATGACCGTGCCCCTCTACCATGCCCATTGCCCCCTCGGAAATCTTATCTTCTTGTCATTGTTCAACGGCTCTGCGATTCGGATTTTATCCAAAGCCCGCTGCATCTTCTTTTCGTACTTCTCCTGCGGTGTCTCGCCTCGACCCAGCCGGACTGTCATATGCGCACGGTAGCGCATCTTCGTGCCAAACTTCCCTCGCGCACGAATATCTATCCGCTTCGGCATATCTGCGCCCTTTCCGACCCACGCCTCCTTTACGACCAGCTCGTCGAGATTCATCTGGAGCCCTTGAGCCCGCTCCTTTGTCTCGAGAAGAAGTCGTTCGACATGTCTTGATACGCGCTTCTCGCTAAATTTCATCTGAAGAATGGCATAATCGATAGGTTTGCCGATGATTTGGCTCGCTAGCTTGTTGAGCTTTCGATGGCTGGTATGTAGCGTCCGCGTTCGACCGTCAACCTGAAAAGATGTAAGCTAGTTTTAAAACTCGTAGAGCAGTGTACTTGCCTGTTCTGGGATGCGCCATGTCTTGTACCATGGAACTCCAGGCTGCGGCTTGTATTGTAGGCCCATTGAAATGTGCTCCTGAATCGTAGTCGCTTTCCGATCTAGCGGAAAAGCGTCGAACAAGTTTCCGGTCTGCTTTGCCTTTGTTTCTTCTCGAGCACGCTCTTTCTCCTTGCTTTCTTCTTTGCCGTCCTTGAACTCGCCCTTGTATATTTTTTTCTTGCTATTGCCAGGTATGTAATTACTCCAGTCAGTCACTGTCCTACGCTGCTGGTATCCGTGTCGCATCACCAGCATTCGTGCAAGTTGTTCCCCATACGACCGGTGCGCTAGCCAGAGGTCTAATGAGTGAAATGTCTGCAAAATGAAACAAGTAATCACGTCGTATCAGAGCCTTCATGGTCGATTGGTCAAAAGGCCCGGCAAAGGCGAATGGCAAGGTGCTCAACAAACCTTTGACTCCGACGTGAAAGACGGTCGGCCATGGCTCTTCTCTACGGCTTTGGAGATTTACTCTATGCCTTTCTACTCGTCATAAACGCAATTGCTGTTCTCAACGAAGAGCGTTTTCTTGCCAGGGGTGCGTAGACGTGGCCCTCGATGACAGTCCCGGGCTGCAAACTCATTGCCTCTGAGCTGACGCACACAATAAACTCTGTTTATAGTTGGATGGTCATCTTCGCAGGCGACACAGCAAGCATACTCTGGCTATGAACAAGCTCCTGAAGAGAGCATTAAACAACGTCTTGTCCATCTCATTGCGGCGGTTAGAACCCTCTTGCGGAGTGAGTCTATGACCATATTTCTTGTAATCTGACGCCTAATGACTCGACAGTACCGCTCATCGGACTAAATATTCTCGTCATCGCTTACGAACTCGTACTTGGAGGGTAGAAGACGTTTGCGTTATCATTATTCACCGTTTTATGCCCCGTTCAACGTGTCATCCGGGTGTACCGAAGCGCTCGGTCCTGTGATGTCCATCGACCCCCCATTTCCTTGCATAATTGCGGGTTCATGTCCACCGTCAACTTCCTGGTTGGAATAAAAAGCGCTTTGATTCCTACACGTGAGGTATCGTCTCTACTATCGATCGAAAGCAGACGGTGCTCCGTATCTAGGCACGTGCTGCGCCTACTCGTTAATCCAGCCTTTGGACACTTGGGTTTGGGGTTGCCCGTTAATCGGCCGGCCCTTCGCAGTCAGCCTTCACGTCGAGTGGCGTAGCCTCCAGACCATCTCGCGACTTGAGTGGAATCTGATTCTATGCAGTTGGCACGACACACTCGCTTTTCGCATCGCTCTTCATTTGCAAATCAAACGTTGCTCTGCGGATTTCTGATTCACTAGGGCCCCAATAGCTCGTCAGACTATCCAACCCTTGTCATCCCGCACGGAATCCTATCGCACATATTGTCTGGCTTGTCAATGCAGTTTGCCGTAGGACCGACCCATGCATCGTCCACTCGGCAGGCTCTAGCCCAAAGCCACTGACCGCGACACAAGGAGTCTTCGGTCGATTGCCCATCAGATGGGCTTTGGCTTACGTACTCGGTTGCTAGTTGGTTTGTGCCACTACGCACCGAAACGTTGGGCGCTCGAGCGAACGCGATTGGTTCTTGACATGCGGGATGCTTGAGCATACCAGGAGTCCTGAATTCATTTTCCCTATAGGATGCGGCTTCTTATCGCATTCTCTCGACGTGGCGTGGGCCAGGCTGGTCAGGTTTAAACTAACCAGCAACAGCCAATTCAGTTCACAGCAGCGAGCCTTGTTCGTCCTCCAGGACACACCAAACTGTCCAATAGTGGTAAGGAGTAGGTCCGAGCTTGTAACAGAATTGGTCGACCGGTCACGAACCCTATAAAGAGCTTTCCGCCTCGAACTCATCGATTCCTCACCGTCTCCTTTCCACGCCCTCCATTATTCTTACATCAATGGCACTCCAAATGAGTAATGAGACCTGGCTTTACCCTGAACACGTCGGGGCCATGTCCATCGGTACGGCTCCTGCCATTGTCTCCGACCACCCAGCGATTAAACACCTCTCTACAGCTGGGGACACACCGTGGTCACAGTTGTGGGCTTGTGAGTCGCCGCCTCTACAACTAGCGGACCGTGAGTTCCCTTTTCTACTTTAGAGGCGACGCCCAACGATTTTCTAGTCACCAAGTTTGACGACGATGTCGCGATTGCCCAAGGGACAACGCATTCGTTTGACCCATCGATGCTTAGCGCCTGCGCTCCTTCGGACCTTTCACCACCAAGAGCACCACCGGCGACGCCCGTGACGCCCGCAACACCCGCGTCCATCTATTCGTCTACTTCTACGTCGCTTTCTGGAAGCTATACACGCCGCCGCGTACGCCACCCGTCGACGAGGCCCCACTGTTTCCTGGCATCTACAGCGACTATCCGCGAATTCATCCGTCCGGACCTGAGCGTGGTCTTGTCAAGGAAAACCCCGAGGACGTCGCGCAGCTTGTATTCCCACATCCAGAGCAACAAGAGTTGAAAACCCGGCTACTGCGAGACGTCCTCGACTCGATCTGGTGGCAGCAAAACCAGCCGGAGCCTAAAGGCATATACAGCCAATTCATCCGGAGGATTAATAATAAGCTCTTTGAGTGCTTGTCTTGCGGCAAGAAGGTCCGTCACCTCCTTATCTATTGAAGACGATTTCACTCACCTCATCTTGATAGCTCAAACGCCAGGACCGGACCATAGACCACTTTCGTACCCATGTCTCTCATAGGCCTTTCCGCTGTGACGGAAGGCAGGGTTGCGGCGACAGGCATTGGTGAGTATGGAGACATGAGGTACCTTGAGGGTTGCACTGACGCCACTCTAGCCGGCTCTCTTTCTATACACGAGACTGTCTCAAGTCTCATTGCTCAAAGCACGAAAAGGACTGCGACATTTGGTAAGTCTGCTGCGCATATTCTAGCTCCCGACTTATTATGTGATACAGCGGGGCAAGAGTCGAGGACAAAAATCTTATTCGGCACCAAGGAACGCGCAAGTGCAAGCAAGCAAGGCGCGGCAGGTTGCAAACCCATTGAATATATGGACGCGTGTATACTCTGCTATGCTGTATTCTGTTATTCCAAACTCCCTGTAATCGAAGACCCATGTGTTTCAATAGAGAATACCCTTCCAAACAATCGGCGACGAAAATTGAATGAATCTCCGATACTTAGAGGGCATAAACAATGCAAGTGGTCCCTGAAAGAGTGACTATAGCTCATAAACGGATGATTTGACAGCCGTGTGTATTGAGCGGGAATGCTACTGCAATGCTAGTTACCCAGACTCCTGTTCATGAATCTGCGCTTGGTGAAGCAAGTCCACCATTTGCTTGGTTTGCCAGTCCCGTCGGCATAGAGTTTCTCCACCAGTCTCGCCGCAGTCTCCTGCCTCGCTTGAACAAGATATTGTCTAAGAGAGTCTAAAAGGCAAAATCAAACGTTAGAAGAACAAGTCCAACTGCGGGCGATGCAAGACGGGGAGACTGCGCGTACTCACCGGCCTCGATTCTGTTTGCGGGCGTAGCATAGTGGGCGTTTAGTGGGAAATTGGCGTCTCCTGGTATAGGGAAATTGTCCACAGCCAACGTGTTCAGCGTCTTGGTGGCCTCTATCTGCGACGGTGGCACGCGCGATGCGGCGATTTTGGCCAGGCAGTCGGAAATGAAGAGGATAAGAATGATGAGTAGACGATCTGCCGGACCTTTGATCTCAAAGTTTCGGAAGAGCGAGTTTGCGCGGAAGAGATCGAGTGTCTCGTCGATAATATCGACAGAGTTTGGATCAGCTGGTGGGCTTTTAGATATTTAAAGGTGTATGGACAGGCGATGTGAGCGTACCTATCGGTGCAGGTCCTCTGATTTTGGATTTGAAGGGCAGCAGAGACAAGTTTCCAACGAGCCGCACGTCGGCCTCTTCGTTGAAGGATGAGTGATATGCCTGATTATGATACAAATATTAACAAGGGCCCTTGAATATTTTTGGGAATAATTTGCTGACCGGCATATTGTGGAAGAGGTCAACACAAGCGTCACTTCGTCTCCGACTTCAACTCGCAAATCCACCTAGACAGCCCTGTGGCCATGGCAGACCCAGAAGCGGCATCTTTAATCTCCACAAGGTCCATACAACCTGCTCCAGCGACTCTAACCAGTGCGTACTTGTCAACTTGGCATGACGAATGGAAGCAACTGACCATGTACAGAGCTCATCAAACGTATTCGCGCCTTGACGTTCAAGTTATTGCCGGTACAAGTCAATTTAGAGGAGCTCGCAGAGCCTACATCACGCGTTATCACTCCAAAGGTCATCAACGCGTACGCAAAAGCGGCGGGTGACTTTGGAGAAGCGGTATGGATCTTGCATCTTGGGCCACGAAGAACTCACCATGGCTTTAGCTCCCGTACTGTCTCTTACGTGCTCGTCAAACCTTTATATGGGTATGTGCCAAGCTGCCTTCGTCATGTCGACCTCTGAGCTCTGTTCAGGATGCGAATCATAGTGCGGCAGACTATGACGAGCATATGGGTCGTGCAATTGCCTGTGAGGTCCTTGCCCGTCGTATCGTCCACAATGCACCACAGGAACGTCTAAAGTCCATCATGTCAACGCGCTACAGACACAAGGAGTGGGACGGTGATGACAGTAGTCTAAGCTCTGCCCTCGAGCTCGCTATTGATCAACACTGTACCATATTCTTATCATCCAACGAGGCTCAGTTCGGTCAGTACTCCTTCCATTACCCCTAGCCTGTCTCATATCCAGGCAGTGATCGATTCTCTATGGAGTGGTCAGTTTATGAAACTTGTTGGCAAACTTTTGTAACCTCTCGCAGGTACTTGGGTGCAACAGAATAACGAGGACCACGACATCGACTGTAAGTCACGAGCATGACGAACGCCTCTGCTAACAGTTTGCAGACGTCGAGTATCGGCAGGTAGAAGAGAAATCCTGGTGGAGACATTTGGATCCCTCTCGCATGTCTGTCCCTCGGTACCAAAACGCGTTTCGTGTGATCATTTGGTTCTTCTTCCTCTTCGTCTATTCACAAGCAGGCAAGTATAATAACAAACTGAATTCGATATCTCATTGCTACCAGTTCGTCAACCGTTGGAAAAGGTGGATCCCCACCACGATTTCGACTTTTTCGAGGGGATGCTTTACACGATGGCTCTCGCATTTTCGTTTGAAGGTGTGTTAATGGGCCGTTCCATTCATTTACTAACAACGGTCCCAGAGACGCACAGACTGTACACAACCTTACGCTACTTTACGTGGAGAGCCTTTGGTTTCTGGACTATTATAGGTCTCATCACTAATGGTCTACTCATCGCAGCATTCGTGCTACGTATTATGGGTATCGCATCCCATGACCAGACAAAATCCGATAACTGGCATTTCAGAAGCTTTCAGGTGTTGGCCTGTGTCAGTCCGTTCATTTGGTACGTTCATGATCCTATGAAGCGAGATTAGAGTCTGACACCCCGTTTAGGATGAGTACGTAACGAAATGGCCCTGAAAAATCATTCTAATATGATCTACAGGAGTCATTACCGTCCTCGACGGCTTCAAATATATTGGGACAATGCAGATTTGCGTAGCACGCATGATGCAAGAATCTACCATCTTCTTTGTCGTATGTTATATTCGTGGCGCAACTCTCACTATCTCACCCTCCTGTAGCTCCTCTCAATTCTTCTCATCGGCTTCTACCAGGGCATGTACGCGTTGGATGCCGCAGACGGTGTGACGGATAAAGGCGGGGTCGTCATGCACTCTTTACTCCAAGCTTTATTACAGGCGCCAGACTTTAACGCGACCGAGGGGTAAGTGTCCGCATTCAACTTGTGGTTTCATATATTAAATGCAGCACAGAGCATTTGGACTACTGCTATATTATATGTGGTGCTTGGTGACAACGATTGTGCTTCTCAACGTCCTCATCTCCTTGTTCTCGTCCGCATATGAAGATGTGAGTTAATCATTGATTGCAAGAGGATTGGCTCAACGTACTAGGTTGTCGGAGCTGCAGAAAGTCACTATTTGGCATTTGTAGCCGGGAAAACAGTTTCGATGATTCGCGCACCTGATTCCTACGTAGGCTATACATCTACCACCACACTTTAAACTCACATATCACTTTCTAGGTATACCCTGCTCCGTTCAACTTGATTGAAATCTTCTTCATCGCGCCACTCGAGTAAGATCCACTGCGTGTTGTATGAAGTCATCTGATGGATATTATAGACCGTGCATGCCCGCGGACACGTATGCCAAACTGAACCGCGCAATTATGCGGACTCTGTTCTGGATCCCGCTGACGTGCATCGCGTTGTTCGAGGCGACACTGGACCCTCGGAAGAACGAGTTCACCAAGGCGTGGTTCGAGGCTAACGAAGAAGAGGCCGACGACAACCCGGAATACCAGGATCCCGATGTGGATTCTGAGAGCCGGGGGTAATCACAAAGACCAAGTTTGAAGACTTGGTTCGCGAGTTCCCCAACACTTCGCAGGTGAAATGCGGTTGAATTTGGATAGAAAGGCGGCCGCTGATGAATTTTGCAGAGCATGGAGGCGACTATCATCAACGAGATTCAGAAGCTCCGGCAACGGCTAGACGAGTTGACCGCGAAGGTACAAAATGGCAATGTAGAATGACGGAGGCCGAAGAAGATCTTCATGCGGCGTTGAAAATAGCATCTGAAGGCCATATGAACAACATGTCAGGGCAGGAACGGCTGTCGATCCATACTAGCTATCGGCTTGGACGCTTTGTGAGCGAGAAGTTGTGTAGTAGTCTTTTGCAATCGCTGGCTTTCGTGAAGAGGGTGTTACTGAGGCGGCCTAAGATGACAGAGCCATCTGATCGGGTCGGTTGATTACCGATAGGGGGCCCCGCAGTGGACACGAAGGATGCACGACTGATTGGACTAAGGCCTCCATGGCTGGCAGGATCACCTGGCTCGCGAGGGGCTCTCGGCGGCCGCTTGTGCATTTAAGCCACTCGGTGCTCCGTCTGTCTTTGCTTGTGCCCACTCAACAAATCTCTCGAGTCATGCTCTCCCCGAATCTGTGGCTACAAGAGACATGGGCGCAGATTGCCACGACCTACAGCCCGTTACAGATTGAGATTACGGGGACTGTAGTCGTGCAACTGCTCACCTTTTATCTTCCGTGTGCAATCTATATGTCTCTCCCGAAACTTTTCCCTGCATTTTCGGAGAGACACAAGCTGCAAAAGCAGGAGAAGCAGCCCACGCGTGCCCAAATCCTCGACGCCGTCTTTGTCGTCTCTCGGAACCAACTCATCGCATTTGGAATCCAATTCCTTGGTGTGTGGATTCGGCAGCAGCATGGTCTGCCTTGCATCTACGACGTCTCGCCAACGTTCCCCACTCTCCAAATCTTTGTGCGCGATTTCGCGATTGCGCTCATCATACGCGAAGCCTTGTTTTATTACCTGCACCGACTCTTCCACGCCAAAAGGCTGTACCCGTACATCCACAAGATTCACCATCGGTTCACGGCTCCCGTCGCATTGGCAGCGCAATATGCGCATCCAGTTGAGCACATCTTGGTGAATGTACTTCCGGTTGTGCTTCCAAATGCGCTCCTACGATCGCACATTCTCACCTTTTGGGCGTTTCTTGCCGCGATGCTCATCGAAACGTCGACGGTCCACTCGGGCTATGATTTCTGGCCTCATTTGGCGGAGAAGCACGATAGACATGTACGTTTTCTCTCCCTTCGAGTGGGTCTGATGCTGATCGACAACCAGCATGAGGTCTTTATCTGGAACTTTGGTGCGTGCTTGGACTGGTTTGACTGGATGCACGGAACAAAGGAGAAGCAAAAGGTCCAGAATGCATTCACGGACCGCAATGAAAAAAAGAAGAGCTAGAGGATTGATTGAATGCTTCTCCACACTCTATACATCGTTTCTATTTGATCCGTATGTAAGATTCTAAAGAACTTCGTACTTGCGAGACGTCTCCGGATGACAAGGCAAGGTCCAAATGGTAGTGATCCGAGTGGTGGCCCGTGCTAGCAACAGACTTTGACCCGACCACGGCCCGCGCAGAGAATCAAGATGTCGCAACGCCGCATCTTTCTTGGCAAATGTCTCCCGAATCGACGACGGGAGGACTCGTGATTGGAACTCGTTGGAGGAATCGCCTCATCGCCTTGCTGAGGCCGTCGACGACCATTAGGATATAAACCACAGGGAGAGATACCTCGGGGCACTAGAATTGCTTGTCTCCATGAAGGTTTCGGTCGTTCAGCTCGCCCTTACGCTCTTTGCCCTCCCTGCCAGCGTCTTTGCGGCGTTTGGCATCACAAATTCTGGTGGAACGGTCACAGTAGATAGTGGTGCGGGTCTTGTCATCAAGAGTACGTCTCCTCTTGGTTGTTTTTCAGAGTAAACTCTGATCAAAGCCTGCGAATAGTCAACTCCTCAACCGGTGACATCAACTCAATCGTCTACAACTCGAAGCAACTCCAGGACTCGTCAAAGTTTACGCATATTGGTTCAGGTCTAGGATCCGTGACGACCACCACGAGCGTATCGGGCAATTATGCCAGGGTGACACTCACGACCTCGACTCTTATACAGACCTACGTCGTTGTCAATGGTCAGAATACGCTCTACATTGGCACATACATTACCGCCGAACCATCCGTCGGAGAACTCCGTTTCATTGCCCGACTGTCCAGAAGTGCTCTTCCCAATGGAGTGACTGCCTCTGATATCAAAGGTGGTTCAGCAATCGAGGGATCAGATGTGTATAATGTAAATGGACAGACAAGGAGCAAGTTTTACTCCAGCAAACGGTTCATTGGTGATCAGGTCCACGGAGTTACTGGTAGCGGCGTCGGTGTCTACATGGTGCGTTTACATCTATGAGAGATACTTTGTGGCTTAAAATATCAGGTCATCCCTGGAACAGGCTACGAGACGAGCTCTGGCGGTCCTTTCATGCGCGATATAAACAATCAGGGTAGCGATCAGCAAGAGCTATATTGGTGTATGTATCTTCTTGCTTTTGCTCTACCTTGCTAAGAGCTTACAGACATGAATTCAAACCACGAGCAAACGTACGTCTGTCCTTTCCTCTTTGTGCTCTCACTCACACTCTCTCAGAGAATCTTACAGGTTCGTTTCGTCAACCACTTAGGCTCTACGTTGACATCCCATAGGACCGGGTTCTTTGGTCCTTATGCAATGGTATTCACATCTGGCTCAGCCCCTTCGGCATCGCTCGATACGTCCTTCTTCTCCTCTCTGAGCATCAAAGGTTACGTCGCCGCCTCTGGTCGTGGTAAAGTCACCGGGTCGATTTCAAATGTCCAATCCGGCTACCCAGTCGTCGTTGGCTTTAAGAACTCGGCCGCCCAATACTGGACGACTGCCAGCGGATCTTCCTACACCTCTCCCGCCATGAAACCAGGAACATATACCGTGACGTTGTTCAAGGGCGAGCTCGAAGTTGGCACTGGCTCTGCAAGTGTGAGTGCGGGCGGGACGACCACGGTCAATCTGTCGTCAAATGAAAGTATTCCAAATGCCATTTGGAGTATTGGAAATAGCGATGGTACGCCAAGTGGGTTCCTCAAGTATGTATATCTCCTTTCCTTTGCCATATACTAATGGGGTTCGCAGTGCCGACAAGATCGAGACAATGCACCCGTAAGCACCTTGACAGGACATTCATATTCACAATGCTCAATTGCATACAGGTCCGATTCACGCATGAGTAGCTGGGGTCCCGTTACCTACACCATTGGTTCCTCCTCGGCCTCGCAATGGCCTATGGCCCAATTCATCTCCGTCAACAACGGTAACAAGATTATATGGACAGCGACTTCGTCTCAAATCGGTGCACGAAAAATCCGTATTCGCATCACGTCGAGCTTTGCAGGCGGACGGCCTTATATCACCGTCAACTCATGGACCAGCTCGACACCAGCAGGTAAGTCCATGCCACTTTCGCTCCCCCCCAGTGAAAGTACATCTGCGAATAGAAGCTGATACTGTTGTACAGCACCTACCAAAATCGACAGCCGAGGCGTCACACGCGGCACGTGGAGAGGAAATAACCAGGCTTTCGAGTACAGCATCCCATCTGGAACATTGATCGCCGGCAAGAATACCATTACCATCTACGTAGCGAGCGGATCCTCGGGTGATACTTTCCTCTCACCCAATATCATCTTTGACTCGATCGTCCTGTACTAAATTCCTCATCAACCATTCGCTTGAAACGTCGCTCATTTTCCCTAGCACTAATGATACATGTAAGCCGTACAAGGGCATAGACGCCATATAAGCCTATCAAGGTCCCATATCTAGTTTCGGAGCAGTGAGCCTAGCATAAGCGGGGATGGGAATTGTACTCACAGTACCAATACTCGTCCACGAGCGGGAGCCAATCTTGAATCAATCCGGACAGCAACCCGAGCAGCGGCTTGCCCTCGAGTCGTTGGCGCATACCATCAATCTTTGGACGCGTCCACTCGGTCCACAGCTCTCCACGGAACGCATACCAGAGCAAATCGCGGTCGCGCCTCGCATACTCTTGTCGCTCAAGCAAGTTGGACGACGAAGGTGACGCAGGCGGGGAGCGGCGGAGGTAAAATGAGAGCACGGAGAGCATGAGCGAAACCGCTAGGGGCGTCCGCAGCCCGTTTGTGATGGGCCCCGTGTTGTAGTTTATACTCGTCGACTTGCTTTTCGGCATGTTTTTGGACGTGGGTCGAAGGAGAAGGACGTAGATGAGAGGCCGGAGAATGTAAACAATCTCTGACGTCCATTGTCCGAGGCCTGCGAGAGGTTGGAGGAGGCTGGTAGGTGACTTGACGAGCGTCGACGTGAGCGCTTTCGGGAGGAGATAGTCCTCTATTACAGTGCGCGTCAGAGGGCTGCTCGGCAGCGACAAGAGGAGTGGGTGAGGCTTGCCGGATGATCCAGTAAATGGGACATGATTGTTCGCGAGATGCGACGGCCTCGTGGTTTGCCGAGAACCTTCTTCAGATGAGCCAGTGTCCTGTCGTATAGGCTTGGCTTTGAGGGGCGGCGAATCTGGCGCTGTTGAAGGCAGATCACCCAGCGCCGGGAGCATGGCAGGATCAACATCCCGCTCGGGTATTGGTGGAGATATCACAGGTCGTTTTGTCCGTTGAAGGAGAACGAGCTGAAGGAATGCCCTACGCAAAGGATGAGCATAAACGGGGTCTAACAAATGACGAAACAAACGACGTACTTTGTGAATTCGAGCAAGAATATGCCCCTCCAGCGGCCGTTTCGAGTCGAGAAGCGGGCCAGGAGCATCTCCACGACGAGCTGCAGGAAGCGCACGACTTCCAAACTGCGCGCACTCCACTTGTAAAGGCCATCCTTTTCGCACCACGCCCGTGTATAGCGCGTATGAACACTTGGAGGAATCAACTCGCGCGCAGCTTTGGGGTTTGACGATTTCACGAGCATGAGCCGGCGAGCGAGTAGCGTATCGTGGTACAGCGACAGCAAGTTTAGCGTCGAATTGACTATGCATATACAAGAAGAAGAATGAATATAGTGAGCCGGTATCTCTTTGGCCGTCTGAACGAGAATGGCTCACGCGCTTCACCAACAATCTCTGCATCCTTGAATCGACCAGGTAAAAGCCATGTCAACGAGCGTAGAGAGGATTCAATGGTAGCAATGGTTGATGAATTTGAGATTAGAAAGGATTCATAGCGGGCGGGTAGGCTACTCATGGTGGAGGGGTTCAAGATGCGATCAGCATCGGGTATCAAAACTTGAACTGCTCTGCATTGGACAATTACATCAGATTACATTAAAATACGTCAATCAAAAATCATCTACGCGTTCATGAGTTCATGGACAGAGTTCTGTGACGACGGGATCTCCGGAATGCCCTTTCCCTTCTTCGGACGAGCTCTTCTATGTCGAATGAAGAGCCAGACAGCGAGTCCAATCAGCAATATGCCACCAATTATACTTCCGATTGCAACCCCCGCAATTTGCCCCGGCGACAGTCGTGAGCGCACGACGAGGGTTGGGTCGACCATGGGAAGTGCAGCTGCAATAGTAGTATTGAGACACTTGAGAAAATCGAGGTCAACGCCCGTCGTGTTGAGCGGCGAGGCCGCCCAGTAGTCCGTGTTGTTCAAGCTCGCGACATGCGCAAACTTGTTGTCGTATGTCGAATTGGCAAGAAAAGACAGAGCTAGCACGATAGTACTGGATAACGTTCCAAGGATATATCTCGATTGGCGCTTGAAGCATGCTGATGCTTATCGAGAGGAACCTTACACCATCGTCCTCTGATCCACCCAATGTGAACTTGATCCCAGACGCTGGTGACCCCCGCCTTGACCGGTCTCGGTCGACCCCGCATCCTCCCTTGTCTTCTGGAAGCAAGAGGACGTCCCAGAGGATGTTGATCGTCGCGGCGTCTGCAACAGTAATCCAGCTTTGGTCCCCTTTCTTTGCCATCAAGTACCCATATTGATTTGGGTACTGAGGGCCTGGGTAAGCCCGGTAGGGGTCGTCGATCAACGCCATTCCTGGCATGTCCTCGTTTGGTATCTCTGAGTACTCCTTGCCACCACTGTAGGAATCTCCCCAGTGGAAGGGTGGATATCCGAAGAAGAGGTCGCGGCCAGAGACGTTGAGGCCCGTTTCGACACTGTAGGTCCAGCCCCACTCCTTCTTATTATATACTCCGTATCCACTCCCGTATCTCGCTGATCCATATATATGAATCCGAGCTCCTCCCCCAGCCTTTCTGCCTTGAAATTTCCCGGTCGAAATTGTGCGTATCTCTCCGCCACCGTCGGTAAACGGAGTGGCCACGAGCGAGACGTGCGGGATGATAATTTGGCTTGTGGCATTGAGAGGCGTATCGGCGGCTCCTCGATTCAGAGGGATCGTAAAATTGAAAGGAAGCGGGTGCGCTCCCGAGGACTCGATGTAGTCCTTTCGTCGTCGGAGAACCATTGGTGAGAGTCTAATGGAGGGGCTGCGCCTTGTTGATGTCGTTCAAGGGGCTTATATAGGTTCATTCATCACTGTTACGTCTTGGCATACACGCGGGTTTACACAGCGTTCACCGTGAGATCCTAGAGAGGCAGCAGAGGGTCCAGATTCTCAGTCCAAAGTCGGCCCCCTCACTCGGATCTTTACTGCACTGCATCCGAGGACAATTTGCGAGGGTAGAATGAATGCTTACCTTTGTAAATAGATCTCCAAAATATAGGACTAACAGTCAATTGGGGGAAATTAGCACAGTTGGGCTTACAAGGAGAGCAATCGTCTCGTTTCTTTGGTCTGATCGCATTATTTTAGTAAAGGTCAGCTGCCCAATGCATAAACAATCCAGCCAAAAGGCCACTGAGTTCATAAGAGGTTCTGTCCGTGTTCACGTCAATCTGTCCAGGTGGAAAGATAATGCCTTTTATTTTGATTCTAAGTTACTCAGCTAGCGACAACACCTGTCAAAACTGCGTATTCCGCGTTGATGATGCTACTCGTCGCTGCACCAATGGCCACGTTGTTCGAGAGCACGACAAACTTGAGGTCTAGTACTGGGCATGGTCGTATACGTCCGACGTTGACACCAGCGCCCTTTTGAAAGTCGCGATCTAGTCGTGGTTGTGGCCGGTCGACCTCTTCATGAACGAAGATGACTTCACGAGGAGCAGAGGGGCAGCCCGCTGTTTGTGCTTCGCAAGTGAAGCTTCTCATTGCCTGTATTGCCTCTTCGACAGTAGGTGGAGGTCGCCTGGCGAAGCGTACAGAAACGCATTCCGTATGCCCTTCGAGCACAGGCACTCGGTTGCAGTTTGCCGACACATTGATCGGAGTCTTCTCTCGGAGATCAAATGACTGGCCATTGTCGGAGATCCCACCGAGGATCTTGGCTGCCTCCCATTCTATCTTCTCCTCTTCGCCACCAATATGCGGTACGATGTTGTCAAAGATGTCGAATGACGGTACGCCTGGATATCCAGCTCCGGAGATAGCTTGCATTGTGGTGACCAGGCACGTATCGATAGGGCCAAATGCCTTTTCCAGCGCAGCCAACGGGATAACGAGACCCGTCGTCGAGCAATTTGCATTGGTGACAATGAATCCCTTCTGGAGTGATAATTGGGAGCGCTGATAGGGTATCATCGAGAGATGCGAGGTGTTAACCAAAGGAACGATGAGTGGCACCGTCGGATCGCGTCGAAAGTTCTTCGCATTGGAGAATACAGCGAGTTCAGCGGCCCTGAAAGCCTGCTCTGCAAAAACCATGACTCATTAGTCGAGAAATCTAAAGGGATAACCGACTCACCAATGTCCCCTGCTACGTCGGCATCGAGGCCCGAAAACACGATGGCACAATCGGCAAACTCCTCCGCTACGCAGTTTTTGACGACCAAGTCGCGTACAGCTTCTGGGATGGGCTGCACTTGTTTCCACCGCACGGCCTGCTTGTATGGGAGGCCTGCTGATCTCGCCGATGCCCCAAGTGCATGAACTTGAAAGAATGGATGGGTCGAAAGGAGTAGAATAAAGCGCTGTCCGACGGTCCCAGTCGCTCCCAGTACGCCAACTTTGAGGGGGTTGGATGGCAGAGTCATTGTGGCTGACTCAAAGTTAGTACCCCCGCTGCTACCAAAGCCGTTTAAGTAAATAAAGATAAATAAAATTATGAAGGAATAGCTATAAAACATTACGTGAATAAGTGAGCTGAACAGAATGCATAGATTGAGAATACATAGGGCATATGGAGGGCAAGAATGCGGAGAGTTGAATTGACGTTACCGGTGGGTGTATTAGGTGAGCTGGCTTCCTTGCGTGCTCATGAAGTGGATGCACCGACGCGTTTCATTCATGTGGCGGAACAGGTTCTTCTCCTCGAGCGCTGAGCCACTGAAATCGAGTCATTCTTCGTCGCTGTAAGATAATGAGTGACTTACCACCGTGGACATAGCGCGTAGTGGCGCACTTGATGTGCGGTCTGATTACCCTTGCTGTAGAACCGCTGGGTGCTGGGTTGGGAGTGAGAGGCGTAAACACGATATGAAACACTACTCACCAGTTGGGATTATCACATCCCAAGCAAGGGTATGGGCGATGATTGACATGGGTCCTGAAGTGATTTCGGGCCCTATAATGAATCAGACAAGATTTATGGAAGAGGGGTAATTTTTACCTGTCTGTACGATCAAAATCCTCATCACACCCAAAGACGGTACAACGTAGCATCCCATCCTCCTTCTCGAAGAATCCAAGAAGAACGTCGGAGTCTTCGAGGGTGTTGTTGACGTAGTGGGACGATTGTAAGAAACGTTGAAGCCGTCCTCGACGTGCACCGTCCCCAAAGCGAAGAGGATAGCAATCTTCAAGGAGTTCGGATGGTGTAGGCACCGTGGATCTCGGCCTGGAACCCGATGTTTTTCGTGAGCGTGGACGGCGAATGGGCCGGGAGGTTGAGCTGCCCGGAACCCGACCCGAACTGCTATTGGCACGATCAAATAGTGAATTTGAGGTTTCTTGAACAATTTGAGTATCCAGGTGAAGCGATTGTTTGCCAAGGCCAATGTGAATTGATGCTGGGCAGGAATGAGCAATGCTCGTCATCGCGGCCGGAGAGGGCGGGACGATGTTATGCGACGATTGAAGAATCAAACTCGCAAACAATTCGTCATACTGCGAGGGATTTAGAACATGGCTGGGGACAGACGGGCTGGGTGGATCGATGTACCGAGCTTGAAAGCAGTCGGGGCAGAGATCATACCAAGGTACGTTACGCGGGCAATGGTCCATACGAGTGATTGAAGGCGAGAAGGATTCGCTGAGGAAACAGAGACGCAGTCCTGAAATAGTGCCGTGGCTTGGCCATCAGCAGGTCTTTTCAGGATGGAGAAACTCGAAATTTAGGCAGGCTCATTGCTAATTCAGGCTGGTCGTTGCCTGTACCACTCTAGAGAAGCGGATCGCAGGGCGGGAGGAGAATGGCCAGGTCCGCGTGTTCGTCATTGACTGTAGAGTGATACATATAAACGCTCGTCAATTGCTCGTACCAGAAAGCCGAATACTTACTATCATTGTCGACTCTCCTACTCTCCCCATCGAGCGAGGCAGAGATTAGAGCACAGCTGGCTCGGTCTCCGCGCTTCTCAATGATAGTTTAACCTCTCACATTGTAACGAGATACGGGCTGGGGGTTGAGCGCTTGAGAAATGCAGACCTGCACGGAGACGGAATGCCGCGATTATCACGCGAGAAAAGTAACAAACTCACGCCTCACTTCAAGAGTCGTTAACTCTGCCACTCTGAATAAAACCGCTTTCCAGCGTCCAGCCCCAAGAGGCGTGCTCAATTCTGACAACAAGGACACGCCGAAGCATTTACTGCATCAGATGACATCGACACCTTCTAGAATAGTGAAACGAGAGGGCCGGTTGAGGATACAGAGCAGAGTTGATGACATCGAGAGGAGGCAATTAATCCCAGTTGCGGGTTCGAAATTGGCGTTTCCACCTCGAGGCTTTTGACTCGTGACATATTAATTGCAGATTAAAGCCACTCTGAGCGTCATGCATTAGAATCAGTTGGCAACTGTTGGGGTAACAAGCAATTTCTGGCTGCGGTGGCACCGAAATGAAAGATTGACTAGGATTTAGATATTCTAGAGAGCTTCTCGAGAAGCTGGAGAGGAAACATGTCGTCGAGTGGTAATCGCGAGATCCAAGGTTGGACTGATCTCGGCCTGACAGGCGACATGCGACTCTCGCTGAAGACGGCCCCAGAAGGTCAGTTCTGCTGCTTCAGGCTGTTGATAGAATCCTTTCTTGACAAAGAGTCATGGCCCGCGGGTTCAAACGATAACAGTTAGGGATATGTATGGATTAAGCAAACCACACGATTTCCCTCGGATATAGCGCATCGGAGAAAATGTAAACTAAGTCCACACGTTTCCATGCAAGTCACGGCGACAAGGATCTGCAAAGTCCGGTCAACCATCCAAGACGGAGAAATCGCGGTTCATTTGTTGAACATATAAACCAGGAAAGGCGATCCACACTTACTTTCCTCGACCTCATTCGCGCGGCATGACTACTCAGCCTTCAGTCCCTTTGAATCAAGGGGCTGCACATGCCTCTATCAACGCGACCAAGGAGATTGCTATTCCTCATCTCTTGCTCGCTGCTACCCCCTTCGCCAACGGTGGAGGTGACGAGCACATCATCCCCGACGGCAAGTTCAAGAATCGTCGAGTTGGGAGGGGAACAAGAAACGAGATTTACGGCTCTGCAAGATACGGAAGTGGGTACGGCCACTACACTGAGACGGATAACGGATGGAAATATGAACCCGACACGGCTAACTTCAATGTCACCGGTCGTGACTTTCACTTTGGGTTCCCACCAATAAGCTGGGGGAACTATAGTGGAGGGTTCGATTACTTCTGGGTCCGCCGTGACGACCTCCCAGGTGCCGCTTTCGTTGGTACATTCCGTCCTTACCCGTACGACGAACCTTCACAACAAGGGGCTATCATTGCGAAGAAGAATGACCAAACATGGATCTTTGTGGCTGATGCTGCCACGGTTAACATACTCTTTGATGTTCTTCGCCTGCCCGAGCAACAAGGTGGCTGCGCTTTGGATGAGAGTTCAGCCAAAGTAACTACGAGGGTTTCCTACGATCCACTCAATCCAGACCCGGAAAGCAACGTATCAATTTTCCAGCAGGACATCCCGATTCCGCCTTATATCTTCCACTTGCAACCATGGAACGTAGTACAGTACTATCGAGGGAGCTCAGCATTTCTGGCCAACAGCTCCTACGACAACGAGTACGCTCATCAACGCAGTAACAACACCGACTATTGGAAGGCCACACCACTGAACACCACGGGTCTCGATTCAGCCTTTCTCAACTGCCTCAATACAACCATTGCAGCCACAATTCCCATCATCGATCCCACATTCGTCGTCAGGGCCCCCAAGGGCAAGCTGTCCTCGGGCCAAATTGCTGGTATTGCGGTGGGAAGCGTCATGGGAGCGCTCTTGCTGGTTGGTTTTCTCGTATGGCTATTCATCCGAAGACGCCGTGCGCACAATACTTATAATGCCGTTTCCAAAGGAGACGCTCCGCCCTCTCACTCGAGTAGTTCCTAATAAGATTTCCTGCGACGTCTGGCTAGCTTTTCCATGTCTATTGTTCTCCCTGGGTAAATGCTGTGGATATTCTTACATTATCTCTCATTTGGTGCTAGTATTGCTTCCATTGAAAGGAAGACACTCCACTTTTGCGTATATTCTCAGGTCTTCCTTGTGTCACGAGAGCCCCCTTGAATACTCATTTCAAAGTTCCGCGGTGACAACTCGAAAGATTTTACATGAACTAAACTCTATATGATGGTCAAGAGGACTTGATTCAAGCAGAGTCTGTCGGATCTCGCTCGGCTTAAGGGCACATATGGGTTGGCTTTCCATGGAAGCCACGGTGACAAGCAAATAAAGTCCGACCAACCATCCAAGAAGGAGATGCCACGGGTTATTTTGTCAGTGATATAAGCAGAGGGGCTAGAGACGCCTAGCCATCGTTCTTTTCTTGACAATATTCCCGCGAAATGGCCGCGACTCAATTTACAGTCCACTTGAATTCGAGAGCTGCAAACATCCCTACCAACAACACAGGGAAATTGCCATTCCTCACCTCTTGCTCGCCGCGACTCCCTTCGCCGAGAGTGGGGGTGACGAGCACACCATTCCCGAGGGAATATTCAAGAATCGTCGAGTTGGGAGGGGGACAAGAAACTGGATTTATGGCTCTGCAAGATACGGAAGTGGGTATGGGCGCTACATCCAGACCGACGATGGCTGGAAATACGAACCTGAACACGGCGAGCTTGGATGTCGCTGGCCGTGACTTTCACTTTGGATTCCAGTAAATATCCTGGGGACAATAAGGAGGAGGAAAAGTATATTTCCAGACCAGTATGGAGGATGTTCCAGGTGTCGACTACGTTGGTCCAAATCGTACGGCGGGCCCACGCGAGAAGGAGACATCATTGTGATCAAGAGAGACGAACAGTGGATTGTTATGGCTGACTCTGTCACGGTGAATATCCTTTTCGATATCCGTCGCCTGCCCGAGGACAAAGGAGGCTGCGGCATGGACGAGATTTCCGCCAAAGCGGGTACTATGTTGACCTTCAATCCATACAGAACGGACCGACACAAAAACTGGGCATTTGTCCAGATGGTGTATCTCAGTCCGCCATCAGCATTCCTGGCCAATAGCTCCTACGGCAACGAATACGGCCATCAGGGGAACAATAATACCGACTATTGGAAGGCCACATCACCAAACACCACGGGTCTCGATTCAGCCTTTCTCAACTGCCTCAACATGACCATTGCAGCCGCAATTCCCATTATCGATCCCACATTCTTCGTTAAGGCCCCCAAGGACAAGCTGTCCTCGGGCCAGATTGCTGGTATTGCAGTGGGAAGCGTGGTGGGAGCCCTCCTGCTGGTTAGTCTTCTCGCATGGCTGTTCATCCACCGTCGTCGTACTATAATGTCATCTCCCAATGACCTCTCATTCGAGCAGTTCTTAATAGGATTACATACTCAGCTTTGTAAATATGAACGCCCTCGTCTATTGATTCTTGGCCATTTCGTAGCGACCCGCTGTCAAGCTGAGCCAATGAGCGAGGAATGAGTAGGCAAAAGTATCGAGTTGTGTAGCGGATAAGAATAAAAATACAGCACGAAGATAGAATATTCGAGTTGAAAGCTCAGAGGCCGGTCGCCCATTGACTCTTGCGGCCTTTGAGCGTAACGAGCAGTTGATTTTGTCCATCTTGGATTACCGCTTCTTTCTTCTTATGTTCTGCATCAACCTTGTCTTCTTGTCTATGCACGTCTTCGACCGTACTCTTCTCCAACTCCCTAGCCGCATAGTCGCGAAGTTGGTTCCACGAGTGAGCCTCGGCTTCTTGTGGATCATGATGAAGCAGCCAGTCTACCCCCTGCACGATCCTCGTTGCGAGCTCCTTTTGCGCCGCGAGCGTCTCGTCCGAGATGGGGAGAGGATCCCGTCCGTCCCTCTTGTTGAAAAACCGCCTCATACCTGCAAAACGAATGATACGGAGCGCGACGCGCAAGTGTTCTCGCTTTTCCGTCGCACGCGCCGTCTTGAGGAGCAGAGCCATGCATGTCGTATTCCACGTACAACCGACATACCTTGGCTGCATGTCTTTGAACCTGCGAACAGCCACGGATAATTCTTCCGCCTCCAACTGCTTGAACACATTAGGCACATGTGCCATGAATGACTTCCGTGGTATCCCAGTCACCATCTCGAAGATATGGAGTGCACTACCCATGTCTGCTCCTCTCCATGCGGCGGTGAGTCCGTACACGAAATGGTCGATGCCTGGTCGTACTCGGGCACCAATCTCGCGCGACTCTGCCTGACGCAACATCCATTCCAATGCCGATACAGCCTCCCGAGCGTCAATGACCCCACCCTTGGGCGGACGACGCATGGCAAATGCCCGCATGACAAACATCATGTGTTGATATTGGATGATACTTGCGAAATTTGGCCTTTCTGCGACCGTTTGGAAGTATTGGATGGCCGTCTCTGCTCTCGCACTGTTCACACAGAGCTCGAGTATGGAGGCGAAGATGTATCCGGTGACCGGAAGCTTTCCAGAGGGTTCCTTTTCGGGCAGATTTGGTGTATGCCGAGTGCGTATAGGAGGGTCAATATCCACATAGTCACGGACAATGTCGAATGCGAGCATGTGGTCCGATGGACGTCCATGGGATAGAAGATGAAGCACGAGAGCTACGTGCGACCCTTCGATGGCGATGCTGGACGGATCCTTGTTGTGAGCCTTTTGGAGTTGTTCCCAAAGCAGACGGGCGTCAGCAGCATTCTGCACTTGGACACTTTCTGGTGGGTTCTTCCTTGCGAGGGATCGGAAGTATTGCGACGTCAAACCCAGTGTCTCCTCTGGGACTGTATCGATACTGTCGTAACGGATCCATTGTTCCTTTCTGACCAGCTCCATGTTTGCTCGCTCTTCTGCTTCTGCTGCTGTCTCAACTGGTCCTTCATTGAGCGATTTACGCCTCTCCAGTGCTCGTAACATGATAGTATACGTCACTTCGTCTGGTGCGAGTTGTCCCTCCATCGAAAAGAAGACATCCCACATTCGCGCATAGCGTCGGGCGTTTCCCAACAGCACGAGAAAGCCGTTGAGTGGCCATGTCGATATTTCGGGACTGTTAGGTGTTTTGAGCTTTATCTTTTCAAAGTGGACGAGGAGTTGATCGTATGCGATAAAGGCGCGTTCGAGAATGTTGGAATAAGGGGCCCAGTCCTCAATATTCGAAAGGCCAACGAAGAGGGTTGAAAACGTGCGTGTGTTGGGTTTTACATGCCTTCGTTTCATCTACAGACATGTCTTTGTAAGCACTTTACGTCCAAGGAAACAAAAAGCGCGTACGTCGTAAAACAACTCGAATGCAAGTTTATAACGGGCTTGCTTGATAGCGGCTTGTATCAAAACGTTCCATACAACGACATTTACGGCATCCAGAGGTAAATTTTCGACCATTGTAATGGCGTGGTCGAGTTTCTCCTCTCTGAGCAACGCATTGATACGCTGGACGACTTCAATCGGCTTCAGGCCTTTGACAGTTAGAGTCCTCGACGTGTTTTGACGGTTTCTGTCCTCTGAATTTGAGCTCTGAACCTTCCCAGCATCTTGAGCGACTTGGTGTGCCTTGAGCCGCGTTAGAAAATCGCTTTGACGGGGTGTAGAGCGTGTTGGGTGGAATTAGCGCGTTCTTTTACTCGTGCAGCTGCAAAAGAGCGCGTAGAGGTGTATGAGCAGCTTGCAATCGAGTTTGACACTCGGCGCGTCGTCACAGGAAGCATCAAGTTTTAGAGGCAGGTGGGCAACACCTTGAAGGGTATAATCTAAATGTACAAACGTGTACTACTGTCGGTTAATCTCCCGTTATAGCTTGTCTGCAAATAGCTCAACAGCAACTGTGTGAAATATTCTCAAGGGAATCATTCGGCATTGTATCTTACAAGTTCTCGGCCACCCAAGATCTACAGGGCCAGGCTTTGCTTGACTGCTAAGGCTTCACTTGGACCGCACGGCGCGCGCTGCAAGTCCAGCATTCGCCTCTAAATTATCCTAAAAATTACGACCAGTCTTCATGCGCGCTCTCCTTCTTTCTCTCCTCCTTCCGGCATGGACGGTCCAGGCGCTGCGCTTCGACATTGCCGGCCGCAGCGTCGCCCACCTCAAGACGATCAACGCCAATGTTCTGGCGGCAGAGGACCATTCTGACGATATTTCGTGCGTACTATCTACTTATTAATTCTAATTCCGATACATTTGCTCATGTCTTGGCTGGCAGTTCGACTCGGGATGTGTTGTACATCGCCAACGTGACTATCGAGGGCCGCTCTTATCCCCTGCAAATGGACACTGGCTCTAGTGACTTGTGGGTGGACATGGGTTCCAATACACCCGCCAACCCCGTTCGTATTTCCGGTTTATATATAGCCAGAAGACTTACCCCGCATTCGCTCTTGCACGCCTTTGGACGTCAATATCTAGACTAGCAACACGCTCAATCTCACCTATGGTACCGGCAACGTCTTTGGGAACATTGCCCATGGGCCAGTCACCTTTGCTGGGTACGGCGTTTCCCTATTCTCGCACGACGTTTGATGCTCACAGCCGCCCATCAGCTACGACATCCCAGACCAAGCCTATCTCGTATTTCAATCCGGACATAACCCCGTGCTCTCGTTCGGCGCTCAGGGCATCATCGGACTTGGTTTCACAACCTTGTCGCACATTGATGCCGCAGTCACCGAGTCCTGGGCGAGCTCCCTACTCTATAACATCTTTGCACAGAATCCGTCAGAGCCTAATTTTATTGCCATGGCTCTCGAACGAGAGAGTGACGAGCACAATACTGTCCACGGCAGCCTAGGAGTTGGAGAACTAGCAAAAGAGTACGAGTCTGTCAGTAGTACAGACCATATTCCACTCTTCCCGCCCGAGGGGTCCAAGCGGTGGACTGTGCTGCTTGACTCGTACGTGGTCAACGGGGCCACCCAAAATGCGACATCGACCGTTCAAGACGTGCCAGCGGGACGTCTATCCGTCTTATTGGACAGTGGTACAACCTACTCGTATGCGCCTCCCGAGGTTGCCGCCAGCATTTACTCTTCTGTCAACGGCGCGTTCCTCAACACCACGACGAATCAATGGACCGTCCCGTGCTCTGGGGGCATTCGATTGACACTATGGTTCGCGTAAGTAATATTGCTACCGCGCGCTCCGTCTACTGACGCGCCAACAGTGGGCGCGCGTTTGACATCCATCCCTTGGACGTCGTCGTGCAGAGCTTGGCTGACCCTTCAATTTGCATAGGTTCCTTTATTCCAACGCGCATTGCAGTTGGCGCATCCGACTTTGACTGGATCCTCGGCACCAATATTCTTCGTTCCGTCTACGCCGTCTACGACTTTGGCGACTTTGACTCGAATAACGTCATGGGCAATCCTTATGTCCAGCTTTTGTCCGTCGTCGACATTGAAGAAGCCGCCAGTTCCTTCCAAGCCGCTCGAGGTGGGACCGTTCCCATCAACAGCGGTAACGGATCTGCCAGCACAAGTGTATCCGTCATGACGACCAGCGAAAAGTTGGACAAGTTGATGAACCTCATTCCATTAATGTTCGCGGCGCTCGGAGCAAATGCGCTCATCCTGTTGACCATTCTTGTCATTGGTATTTGGCTCTGCTGTCATATGCGCAAGCAGAAAGCCAGAAAGCCAAAAGTTGCGCCACTTCCTCTCGCGACAATGGCTTCGTCAAGCCATGCCTACGAGGCGGTGCCAACTGCGGACAACGAAGAACGTCCATCGTCGGTCCACACCAGACACTCGACGAGGATGTTGTCGAGATCTGGCTCAAAGCACTCACTTTCGTCGCGCTCTATAAAAAACGAGGGCGAGCTTACCGAGCACCCGAACATGTCGAGGTCCTCTTTGCTTCGTCCTTCCATTACGGTCAATCGCGACGACGACAGTGCCTCGATACGGTCTGGTCGCGTCCCTGTTGGAGGAGATGCTTCTCGCCGCAGCTCACGCCTCACTCCGCCAGACGAGGCCTCTAGTCCATCCCCCCGTCACAGTCGTTTCCCATCAAACATGGCACCCAACCCCTCTTCACCCCTATCCAACTCGTTCTCGAACACAGGCAGGACTTCTCCGAATCCAGGAAAGGTATCGCCTGAAGAAGGCATGACAGATGTCATGTTGCGGCCACACGACGAATCGCTCGAGGACGAAAAGGCGGGCGACGTCTCGCTCGCCAAAGGAAAGCGAAGCTCGTTTAGGCCACCCCCGCCCATTGTCGCTCCAGGGTTCCGTAAATCGATGCATTCAGACTTTAGTGCTAGCCCCACAGTGGCCGGTTCAGAATTCCACTATGCCGCGCGGGAGAGGACAATGTCTGCTCAGATGGAAGTCCCAGTCCGCCAAGGCAGTTACAATTCAGAGAATGGTCAGCCAAGCCCAAGTCCGACGGAAAGCAATTATCAAGACGCTCGGCAGAGCTACTATTCGCATGCGAATGGGAGCCAATCCGTCCTCCCTGCAGATGCGCCCAATACAGGTCGAGCGTCTATGATGGTACCATCCCCTCACTCTGCGGCATCTCCCGCCGTCGTCGTCGATGACACTCATACGATCCCTGAAGAAGGCTCGTCGCATCGTAGGACTGCCTCAAGACAAGAAGCGCAACGCGCAGCATTCATGGCCGCGCTCGAAGAACCCCTCCCCCCGCCACGAAGACCGAGAGCGGCGAGCAGAGGATTGCAACCTGCGCAGGACCAAGGAGCTCGCATGTCCGCTTACCACGCGCGAAGTCCATCGCAAGAGGTGCACTTCCCGTCGCAGCCGAACGTCACTCGTATGCGCCTGGTCCGAATAGCCCAGGCTTTGTCGGAGGACGAGGTTATCCGCAGGCACCAGCGGCAGCGGCGGAAGGTGCTGGTCCACAGAGGAGCTCTTACATGGCTGGCTCACCTCTACGACGAGGTCCCTTCGTTTCGACACCATCGCCGTTTAACCCGTCTTCGCTAGGCTCAAACGCGCCCTCGCGATCGCCGCCAGCTCCGCCATCATGATAGCAGACTCGTATATTATTCACCGAATATCTCTCTCAGACTGATAACGACCTTCATTTTAAAACAAGGACTTTTGCAAGCCAAGATTCCGTCCACTCACTCTATCTCCGTTCACTACATCCGCCTTCCCTACCCTCTTGCCAATCGCGCATACTCTATCTCTAGCCCGATAATTCCCTGGGCTCACAATGGACAATCACCTTCACGCTTTCCTCCATTCATGTAGACAATTACTCTGACTTTGCACAGTTGTACGGTGTTGAAAAGCCAAGTAGCTTTCTACATTGAATCTGGAACTTGATGCCAGGAACGCCTCCGTGAGTTGATCGCGATTACAGACTTTGGTACTTTCGATTATACTCGACGAGGTCATCAAAGCGTACGAGCGATCCTCCGAATATGTCGAGCGCACTATGCGGGTAAGACAGAGACCATACTAAGAGCATATCGCATACCTTCCAAACGTGAGGTCAACCCTGCCTTGAGACAGACGGTCGACGAGGTCAAGGTCGCTGATATCTACTACGACTCAGAGGCTGAAAATAAGCGAATGTGAAACATGCCTTTGGCACCCCCTGCGTACGTAGTTGGAATCGTCACCCACTCCGCCAGCTCTAGAACCCATGAGGAATCTTATCCGGTGAGTGGTCAGCCAGTTTGCTCACTTGTTACCAGCTCTTCGTCGATACCCTGACATAGGCCCTCCACGTCGGCAGCGTGGATCAAGAATTCACTATCGAATCTCATCCAGAGTCGGGCGGGTCAATAGGAGCCACATACCTGCAGTATTCGGCGAGTAGGTCAAGAGATTCTGCGATTATTCAGAGAGATATCACGGCCTAAACTTGATAACGTTCCTTTGTTCACCTCCATGTCAGTCATATCTTGCCACTTGTTCATCGCGATAATCCATTTGTCGTTCCTTCGGCGGCAGCTAGCGTACTCAGAGAATTGTATAGTACAATTTGCCAATATATACCTGACATCCACGACCAACCTTTCCTTGCCTACTGCCGCGGATATCCCTTGCAGTCTTTCGAGGGAGAATTGGCCAGAGGGAAATAGATACGAGGTGACGATGACCTGTTGAAATACCATGAGACGGACTAGTTAGAATAGGTCTGTTCACGAAGTCACCTTTTCTGCTCCAGCATCTATCCATTGCTGACAGTTGTCCTGCGTGATGCCTCCTCCGATATGAAGTCCATCTACCCAATTTTCAGGTCGCGTAAACTCGGACATACATACTACATACTGTTCCACTCCGTAAGTGCCTCTTCGGCAGCAGCATCATTTCCGGGCCCGAGCTTGATGACATGCCCTCCACGAAGATTATGCTCCTTATACAGTCTCGCAAACTCCCCAGCAGTCTTACTTTGTCCATCGTCAGTTAATCGGCCCTAACGCACATCTTGAACCCGCCGACCTCGACACGAAATTTGTCTTGAGCTCGGATGGCGTTACATCAGAGAGCGTTCCACCGACAATTTGCTTTACGAGCCCATTATGCAAGTCGATACATGGTCTGAACACCGAGTGTCTCCTCGTCGAAGACATTGAGTGTAGCGGCGAGGTTGAAGATCGAACTTTTATCCAACTAAGACTGCATGAGTCCCTGACTCCTAACTCGCTTTCGCAGAATGAATGCTCTATTATTATGCGTGTGTGTCAACGTATGCAACTATATCAGCACGCGTTCTCTAGGAATGCAGTGACTATCCAAGCCCTCATGAGGTTCTCTTCCTCATTGGGAGCAATACTCTCGAAGCGTCTTGGCAAAAATCTTTGCCGCCTTGTCCATATTATCGACTGTCGAATCGCTAAAGCTGATTCTGTAGTGTGCGTACTTGTTCGGATCGATAGGAGCATGCTCCTTTTCACCGCGGAACACCCACCCAGGTAGAATCAGCAACCCAGCCTTGGCGAGGGTGACCCAGAACCGGCCTTCATGCGTGCCTACATCCCGTCAGCATACCATTCATTATATAATGACACAGAGATAAATGCAGCGGATTCCAGGTCTCACCTTCGTTTTCTTCCTCTCCGGGGACGTGAATCGGCGGTGAGAGATCGCTAAAGTCGACTTTGACCCAGACGAACATGCCCGACGTTGGCGGTACAAAGCTCACGCGAACTTTCTTTTCCACCCCCTGGCACCCTTCACCGCGCCTGCATTGGCAGTAAGAGTAGCCGTCCACACTGTCGCGCCATCCCAGACATCCCCTCCAGGCTTTTCATTCCTGTACTCTTCTGTGACCAGCTCAACACCCATGGCTTTGCAAAACGCGTCGATGAGTGTATCCCGGCGCGTGGTGTATTCTGCTCGCAACCCACGCAGCCATCGCACATAGCCTGCCATCCCCCAAGTCTTGACGACGAGTTGTGTGACCATTGATTGCGTGAAGCCTGATGGCGCTTGGGTGGAGACTTCTCCAGCACGTTCGAGACGTTCGGCGAACATGGGGTTGCAGGTGAACCAACCAAGACGAGATCCTGGTGCAATTGTCTACGAAAGCCCGTGAGTAGGTCAACTTGATATGCAAGAAGAATCGGACCTTTGAGAACGTGTCCAGTCGGATTACGCGACCTTGGTAGTCGTAATGGAGATAGCTACGCTCCAGACTCTCCACAAAAGCCCGAATCTCTTCTTCATCAGTCTTCTTCTTTGTTTCCTTGCGAGCATTGGCTCGTTTCGCGCGTACGTCTGGCGCAATGTACTCGCCCTCTTGAAGGATATAATATGGATCATCTTCTCCAATGATGATATCGTACTCGACGCAGATTTCGTAAATGGCCCTCTTGCGTTCTTCGCCCGTGGTGAGACCGCTTGGATTTTGCCCGATGGGAACAGTATAGAGCAAGCGTGGGCGGTTGAAGCCACGAGACTTTGAGTCCCATGTGGAAAGAATATGACGAAGCGCATCTGGGCGCATGCCCTTGCTGTCAAGAGGGACGGCGACGGTGTGTATGCCAATAGGAAGGGCAGCTGAGAGTGCAGAGGGGTACGTCCATTCCTTGCGTGTGTAAATACATTGCTTCAGACGGGTTCTAGACGTACCTCTACGAGCATGCTATCACCGGGATTCAGCAAGGAATAGACAACGCGAGACCACCCGTCCGTGTTGCCTGTATGAACGAGTGTCGTAAAGTCGGAGAACCCAGGTTTATAGAAGATGCGAGAGTAATCTCTCAGAAACTGCTGAAGCGGCAGAACGCCAGTGGCCATTCCTACATTTCGTCAACGCTTAATAGACAAATGGGCCAAAATTATTACCGTATTGGAGTGCAGTTGCAAGATTGACCTCATTCAGTGGGTCGGAGACGTACTTTGGCACAGAAATCTTGGTAGTTCGTGCGGCGCTCGGGCTTGAGAAAAGATTCCACAGCCATGCGAGAGGAGACGGAGAGGTTATTGTCCCTGGTGTGGACGAATATGTATCTACGGGTAGCGTGGAAGCCTCAGAGTTGCAAAGGGAAAGTAGTCCGGGTGTGGAACGCCTACAAGCCATGTAAATAGGGAAGGGGGAGAGAGTGGACAGTCGAACGCACCTCCTGCAAGTGCTAGAACATCTGGGGTGTAGTACTTGAAGAAGCCTGACCAGTGTTAGGAGCGCCGTCTGATCAGAAAGTGGGGAACCTTTGAGAGGGGATACATTGCGGGCCTTGGCGAGGTCTGATAAATGATGCGACAAGTCAATCGACTTTGGAAGCTCGTTTTTCTCCTCTTGGGACATTTTGAGATAAACTCGGGGAGATGGCGAGCGTCAAGAGGAGGCTGATGACCAATATTGCTCAACGAGCCCAGGGGCACCATATGGCCTGTACAGTATTATCGTTAGCATTCTGGTTGGGCGCTGATGGGTAGACAACGGAGGTGGATCCAAGATGTGAAAGGAGCCGGACATTAGTCTCGAGTGTATATTTTTCCTCTCAACTGTTTGATTTCGTCTTTCGATGTAGAGATGGCGAAAGACACTTGGCCCGGCGGCCGCGTCAAATCCCAAAAGAAAATAGGACCCGCAATAGCTTCCGTCCCTCTCCCCCGTTCGACCAAGTCCGGTGACCAACCTGCCGGACCATCTTGGTTTCTACCATTGCCAGTATTTCCATGTCACCAGCTCCAGCATCTAGAACGTCCATTCTGCGTCTCCTCAACGCCAGTAGACATGGTCTATGTCCATGCCATTCGTGCTCAGGAGCAAGAGCTGGTCCAATGGCAGCCGTCAATGCATGGCGCAAGTTTGCAACACCTGTAGATATGCCTACCAAAGAGTATGCATTCGAGGTATATCAATCTCACCAGAACAACCAACCCCCTGACCTCAACAGGTCGCAGCAGCCAACTTGCGATTCGGAGACGGTGTCGCCCGAGAAGTTGGCATGGATTTCAAGAATATGAAGGCCCGCAAGGTACTAACCAGTTACACGTCAAGCACGTGTTGACCGCCCCCAGGTCGGTCTATTCACGGACCCCAACGTCGCGAAATTGTATCCAGTAAAAACCGTAAGTAGTCACCATCCATCTCTTTCATGGTATTAAAGTGCTCTTCTAGGCTGTACAAGCTTTAGAGGCCGAAGGCGTTCCGTATGAGGTGTTTGACAACGTCGCCGTAGAGCCAACAGACAAGAGCTGGCTAGAAGCCATCGATTGGTCTCGAAAGCATGACTTCTCGCACTTCCTGGCCGTTGGTGGTGGCTCAGTCATTGATACCGCCAAAGCTGCCAATCTCTTCACAGTCTACAAAGATGCAGATCTATACGACTTTATCAACGCACCAGTAGGCAAAGGTCTCCCTATTACGGAGACACTTAGGCCATTGGTCGCTATTCCGGTACGAGTACATCAAGGACTGCCATTTGGTTCTCAAGCTTGATAGACGACAGCGGGTACTGGCTCGGAAACGACTGGAACAGCCATTCTTGATATTCCGTCGCGCAATTTCAAGACTGGTATCGCAAATCGTGCGTTGCGACCTATCCTTGGCGTCGTCGATACCTACAGCACCGACTCCTGCCCGCGCGAAGTGCACATTAGTGCTGGTCTAGACGTCGTACGTCTATCTAATTCACTATTAATGATACTGTGGTCTGATAATGAATAGCTGTTCCACGCGTTGGAGAGTTATACCGCCATCCCGTACTATGAACGCTCACCGCGGCCAGCCAACCCCAAACTCCGGCCGGCGTATCAGGGAAGTAACCCTGTGAGCGATGTATTCGCTCATTGGGCACTGCGTGAAGCCGTTCAAAACCTCCCACGGATCTCTCGCAACCAAGAGGATCGTAATGCCAAGCGCCAAATGCTCCTGGCGTCAACATTTGCAGGGATTGGGTTTGGCTCGGCAGGAGTGCATCTCGCACACGGTATGAGCTATCCGGTACGTCTCTGGTTCAATAACCACTGCCACACCCCTTCTGACCAGAGGGAGTAGATTTCCGGTTTGAACAAGACTGGTCCAAAATTCAAGATGCCTGGGTATGCCGTTGATCACCCAATTATCCCACACGGTATCAGCGTCGCACTTACCGGCCCCGCGGTCTTCCGCTTCACCGCACCTTCATCACCGGACCGACACCGCGAAGTGCTCGGCATCTTCAAAGACTATTCGAAACTGGACGAAAATGCCATCTCGCGTTTGGCCGATGCAGAGGTCGGACCAGCAATCTACGATGCTATTGCCGCCTTTTTGGACGGCTTGGGCGTTCCACGGGGACTCAAAAAGGTTGGATATACAAAAGACGACGTGCCGCGACTTGTCGACGGCACTATCCCACAACGTAGAGTTTTGGATCTTGCGCCAGGCATTGGCGATGTTGCGGGAGAAGATGGCAGGGAGCATCTCACCGCTATTCTTGAGGGATCCTTGGAGTACTGATTCATCATTCGTAGATATAGAGTCACCTCGAGTTTGGAATACGGAGTTTACTTGACCTTCGTTGCTTTTGACTCTAAGGTCGCCTAGTGGTATTATCTTTCCAGAAGCATTATTAGGTCTGTACCGAATGGCTCGATTCGAGGATGCTCACTCGGATTGGTATAAGCTCAGAGACGCTGTTATATTCGGAGGTAAACGAATGTTGTCTTTTTACATAGTTGACTTAGCACAGATCAGTCAAATTTGATTGTAAACCAAGAAACGAAACCGTATGTGGATCTCCTCTAGTCGCTGAACCCAGCGTACGCGTACTCTGGGTGATTTTCGTGACGAGTAAAATCACGGTGAGCCTCACCGACGGTCCAATACCCTGGAATAGCCCACTCTAGCCTCTCCACGTACCACCACTCGTCATCACTACTCTTGCCTTTCTTTCTTTTTCCCTCTCCCGCCTCTTCCTCGTCATCCTTTGGTTCGACCCGCTTGTCAACCTGGACCCAAACCGCACCGACCCCCATGCCGACTTTGCACTCAGATGCAGCCTCCTTGTGGATATACACGCGTATATCGTGCTTAGAAGGATCAAAGGAGCGCGCCTTGCGCTTTGATGCTTGCACGACTGCATCTTCGGGGTCCATATCAATCATCACGGGTGGCTGGACAAGTGCATCAGGGTCTGTGTCCGGTATCGGCCATGGCTGAAGGACGAGTGTTGCCAGCGATGCCGTCATTGGGTTTGACGAAGTGGGGTCAGGTGGGAGGATGTCGATGATGCGCCGCGTTGATTTCTCTGCACGGATAGGGATCGCGGATCGAATCAGCGAGGATGCAAGGGTTTCATCGACGACATCGGTGAGTTTTTCGAGGACAATCTCACCCCACGCATTCTCGACGGTGTCTTCAACTATCTCGTCTTGCATTCCCCAGTTCCTCGCGAGGTCAGAGGCGCGTGAAGGATCAAAGTCTGCATCCCAATCCCCCCAGCCTGAAACAGACGGGGCTTTGGTTGGCTCGATTTCTGCTGCTGCTTCGTGGTTTTGTTCAATGGCTGGAGACTCCTCGATCGGAACAGAGACCGGCTCAATATCTTCTGCAGTGACTTCTTCGAGGAATGCCTCATTTGCAGATCCATCGTTTGATGAATTGTTCACATCTCCCTTTTCTTCCACTTCTTGGTCTCCTAGATCATAGTTTGCGGCCACAAGCTTCGCTTCGTGCTCGATATGTGGTTCGACCAATCCACCATCGGAATGATTGGCCTGAGAGGAGTTGATGAAGTAGAGCTCAAATGGATGATGGTACTTTTGGCCCCACTGGTTCTTGCAAGCGTGCCCCCATTTATCGGGCAAAGCGCGAGAGATGCGAAAGGTATAAAGAAGCTCGCTGCATGCACGTTGTGCAACGACAAGAGCCTTTTCGTATCCACGAACAAAGTCCTTCTCGGGAAACATCTTGTTGCGAAGGACGAAGCTCAGGTAGAAGCAGAGGAGTAGTGGCATATCCCGCGCTTGAGGCTCGCTCCTGTGCATAATGGGTATAAGTGTGAATTGAACCAATAATACGCACCACATAAGTCCTCTGTCACGGAAATGAGATGAAAGGAAGATCTTGGTTGCCTTCTCCGGCTCGGTCACCCAAAACAAGGTGCGCTCGTCCTTTGCGGCAATCATCCTCTCATACTTAGCATAATCACGGGCAAGACGTTCTTGGAGCCTTCTGGCATCACCTTCTTCCACTTGGCCTTCAATTGGAGTTTGAGAGTCGACCTCCATTAAGTCTTCCTCCTCGCTCATATCGTCTTCCAGACCTGGATTCAATTCTACCAATGGCCGCTCGTCATCCTCTGGGAGCCGCGATTTGCGGCCTTGCGGTTTCTTCACTCCAGAAATGATCCCGACGTACAGGCGCCACTGTGAGCAAAGAAGTCAGATACAAGCAAAATGTATTGCAGCACGAACCTGGTCCCACAACTGCTGCCGACTAGGATCCCATTGTCTATTTGGCAGAAACTGCTGAACGGATTGCTTGAATCTCTCCTCCAGCGGTTCCATTCTGAGCATAAAGTTTCACTAAGCTCGCCTTACGCTCAGAAAGACTCACGGATCCATCGGTTGCGCCTTTCTGAGATGCTCACCGAGCTCCCATCTCTTATCCCATGTAAGCTTTCTGAGCTCTTCATCCGTGATGTCTGCAAATGGACCCTTCTTCACTTTGGCTTTCCGATGTCCTCCACCGCCGACGGTGTGGCGGGCGAGCAACTCGACGGTGCGAATGCCCTCGCCGTCGACTTCTGGCTCATCCCCTAGACTGACAACGATACCCTTTGGTTCGAATTGATGAAATCCAATGATCGTGACGCCCTCTGGCGGGCTCGGAAAGGGTGGCCACACCCACTTTGGATCAACAACCGGCTTTGGTGCAGGAGGAACCGAAAGTTCTGCTGATGCATTGGAGTCAACTGGTGGTCTAGATTTCTTCTTTTTCGCCATTTAGAGTTGCGGCCTTGTTGTCGGTGAAAGCAAGGTTGGTGGACAAAGCCAGGCTCCGCTCCATTCCAACACGGCGAATCGGCATGTAACGTTTCAGGGTACATACGACACCAGAGAGCTGGTAGATAGCAGTGACAAAGGTGATAGAAATACAGAGTAGAGGCAACAAAAGGAGAGCTCCGGCACGCAACCAAAAACCGTCAAAGGGAAAGGACTACCCTCAATAAACGGAGTCAGATCATGTCGATAATCTCTTCGTCCTGGTGCATCATAAGGCCCACGAATTTGCAGACACCGATAAGGTAGTCCTGGCAGCGTGATCCACGGGGGCATTTGTGGCCATAATGACAAACTACAAAGAATGAATAGCTATTCAGAGGAGCGAAGCATAATACATACCTGCCGAAGGGCACTCACGACCTGGAGTGTCATCAGCCAGAGAGCACCGATCGAAATTGCCCGCACCTTCGTTCACATATTCGCATGGGGTACAACGTGCAAGATCTTTCATTTGCTCTTCCTGCGTAGCATCTAGCTCATCACTATGGTCATAGCGACAAGTAACAAAGTTTAAGCAGCCACGGGGGGAGTAATGATGTGCGAGGCAAGGAAGCCTTGTCTCGGATTCATCTGTTTGCGATATTGAAGATGCCCCGGTGGCCTAAAGGAAGAGTTAGTGTGAACATTTGCGAGGCCGCTCTGGCACATACTGGGGAAGAAATTATAATTTCGTCGATGGAAGAGATGGAGAGCACATTGCGCTTCTTGCCTCGCTTCTTCTTCTGACTCTTGAAAGAGCCGGCGTAGAGAGTGTCCGAAGTCGGCGTAGGATCTGTGTTTGCATGCATGTGAGCAAACGCTGGTCTCCTTTCTAGCTTTTCCGGCATGAAAAGATCTGGGATCATCAAATCTGGTAGCTTCAACAACGCAATTTCACGCGCTAGCTGCGTGTAAGATTGAAGGACCACAATCTTTTCCTGAAGTCCTTCGGTTTTCAATTCCGTCAGACATGGTCCATAGCCGTTATCGTGTCCGCCTGAGCTGATGTGAGGAAGAGTGGAGCCCAGTTGTGTGTACTAACCACCGAAGAATACCCTAAACGTCTGAGGGAGACGCACAAATACCTTGAGATAGTCTAGAGCTATAAGCTACCCAGCTCGAGCAAGACAGCCTCAACCTACCACGCATCTTGAAGTCGGCAGCCTCCTTTCCCATCCCTACATCTACTACAGAGAAGAGTGGATGTGCAGTACCGAATCCTGTCATAAATGCTCTGAATTGCTCCAGCGTGCAAATGTGCTACCGGGAGTTAGTCAGGCAAGACTGGTGACGAGAGACCGACATTTCGGCATAAGACAGCCTCCATTCCACTCTTGGAGAGGAAAAGCATGGTCAAGATGCGGCAGCCGGTAGGCATTCGTTGCTTCGATGTGCGCAGGTATCTTGTCAGTCCCTCTGACAATGCCTGGGCCGCCTGAATGCCCCCCTCGTAGCCTTGGCAAAGATATTGTTCGGAGAAGATGCATCCATCCCCGTCCAAAAGGCACGCTATGAGGGGATTTTCGGACTATGGAACCCGGTGCTGAGTCAGGCGGGCTCGACATAACCAAAGAATACTTGCCTTGAAGCTCTCCTGCTCGCTGCGTAAGAAGTCAATCTCGCCTATGAGTACCTTCTCCTTGGCGTCTGCCGCGGCCTGGTCACTCCGGAGGCGCCATTCCAGCTTCTTGATTTGTTTCTCAAGTTCGGCATTTCGGGCTTCAAGTTCCAAATTTCGAGTCACGAGATCATTGAGGATATTTTCCTGTTCTTTGGTCGCATGGTTCCAGCGTTGGATGCAGTTGTCGAGGGGGCGTGTTGTGGGCGTCGAGCAAAGATCGTGATGGGACATGATATATCGTACTGTAACGAGTTTCTTGGTAAATAAAGAGTGCAGGAGTCTAGCTCCGAGCTGCAGACTGGGGAGAACGGCTGTGGTCGGGAAAGAGCTGGCCGCCCTGTTCGGCCCTTCACCAACGGGGTTCAGAATTGAATGGTATATTCTCATTGGGAAACTACACAAATTAATCATGCATTCCTTTCCCAATGAACTTGCACGTCTTTCTTGAGAGATATGTGCAGTTACGTCCTCTAGGGCATTCATGCCCATAGATACAGTTCTCAACCCAGCACGTTTGATCTATCCCAGGCTTCGTCACTAGGAAAATTCCAGTCGGTATACTCACTGTCGTTGGCATAGTGGCAAGGCTGTTGTTTCGCTCCCAGAGCGAGTTGCGAGAGTTCTGCATGTGACAGCTCGTAGTTGTGACCATACTTGCAATCCTACATGTTCCTGTCAGCATATGGAGTGGAGCACTTCTAATACGCACTGGGGAATTACAGTATCCAATCAAATAATGTGCGTTACAAGGTGGAGGATTTCCTATCGATGCGTCAAGCAGGTAATTAGTAACCAAAGGTTCACTCACGTTTCTATCAGGATGTCAGTAGAGTATAGGACAACAGGGCGAGCGTACTATTGCTCCTTTAGTCCAACCAATCGTGTTCTTCTCGGGACTATACGTAATCTTCTTGATTGTGACTGCCACACTAGCTGGAGGACTCTTAGGGGGACCAGCTACCGCAGCATAAGACCCTGCTACAATGGCCACCTGAGTCGGCACCGAAGTAGGAGGCGAAGGTGCCTGGGTCGTAAGCTTATCCACTTTGAAGAGCGTATCTATTGAGAACATTGGGAGGTTTAGCGCGGCGATGTCCCTAGCAATGTCTGGGTGAGCTTGCAAGAGCACGAGCCTCTGATCAGGGTCGTTGGTCATAGCTGAAGATATCGCAGAGCTGTATCCATTATCATGATCCACTTTTCACCGGTTCAGATTCTCGCATAGTCAACTATAGATGCGTACCTCCTAGGATCACCCTGAATATCTTCGGATTTCCAATAAACTTGCTCAAATGCTCTGCAACAATGTCAGTAAGGAGTAGTAGCACCTTCTAGTCGAGCACCTTTGATCTTGTGATCCGCAGCTTCCTTGGAGGGACCAACTTCAACAAAGGAGAAGAGAGATTGTGCTTGAGAGAACCCTTTGATAAATAAACGGAATTGCTCTGCGGTGCAAGTACTCTAGTCTGATTAGAAGTGACTCCTAATTGAGGGTAAATGAACCAACCGAGCGTGAAAGAACCGCTTCGAGCTTGTCCTTGGATAAGAATATCATGGTCCATAGATCAGGCGAAGCTGGCCTATTTGCTTCTTTGGACAGATGCTTCATCACTCCATTGCTCAAAATTTTCTTTTGGTAGTGAGGCAAAGTTCGCTAATGGGCGAGTAAGACAAACCGCTGCATCCCTTCCTCCATCTTCACCTCTGGTCAGAAGTTCACGGTCAAAGATGTATCCATCACCGTCAATCAGTGTCATGACCAGATTTCGCTCAGCCTAGGCGACCCATGAGACCCTTCATAACTTTATTAATAAATCAAAGCGCTTACTTGGCTTCTAGCATTTGAAATTGTGACTTCACGCTGAATCTCTTCTAGTTTCACCTCCAAAGACTTGGCCAGGCTCTCCTTTTCTCGGAACGACGAACGAGTCGTACTCAATGCGGTCGTCAAAGTATAGTTCTGGAACTCCTGGTCTTCAATCTTCGCCTTAAGTTCAGCGTTTTCTTGGACAAGCTTGCGAATAAGGACTGGCAAGACGTTAGCCAGTCTCCATTGCGGTGGAGAACGTACCATCGATAGCGTTGACAGATATATTCCTACAATTGTTAAATATGAAGGTGAACCCACAGATAGCTCACCATTGTGCCAGCGGATCTCCGCCAGATTCGACATGATGCATTTGTATTCCAGGATCCATTGATTTAGTCCTATAATATGAGCAGAATGACGGGAAAGCACTTCTGAAGTCGATAATGTGGTCGGGTTTGAGTGAGCGAAGAAATGGGACAACCAGCCAGGCGCCTAGCTGCCTCGACGGCTCCGCACCGCGTACACATTTTGGGCTGACCAGAAGGCCTCTCTCCTAACCAGCGGTGTAGATCAGAGCCAATAATATTCCATCAGTAAATTGAAAAGCACATGCTTCAATCGTGCGAATCAGGACCAGTAAACTTGCAGGTTCCATTCCACCGGAAAGGGCAGTCCGAACCTCTGGAGCACTTATGTCCGTATATGCAATCCAAGCGCGGACAGCGTTCGCCTATGCTGAATAAGTAGTAGCAAGGGGAGCTCTTCGCCAACGTACCTTCGGTCGCGTAGCTGCAGGGCTGGGCTCTTGCCCATTGAATAAGTTTTTGAAGTTCCTGCTCTGAGAGTTCATAATCATGTCCATAAGGACAGTCCTAGATGGATGAGGGATGGTATCCTCGTGCAACGCTGCGAACACACCTTATCGCAGCATCGTTTGGTGAGGTAGAAGGCATGGCAAGGTGCCGGATCACCTACGCGAGTTGAGATTGATCAGAAGAAAACCTGTGTTATTCTATCCCTTACGGGTCTGCAGAGCATTAAATGTTAATTCGCTAGTTTTTGCGCAAGGGAGCTTACAGGGGCTTTGTCTCTTCTCCAGGAAGCCAAGGTATCGATTGGAGACGGAGGGGAACCATAAACAGATTTTCTTTTCTCCATGACTGGTGAGGCATATGCTCTTGTCTTGAAACTAGACCATGGATCGCGTTGCGGTAAGACTACACTGCTTGGGCCCGGGCCCAGGCCATCCACCAGGAAAAGGTCATCGATAGACATACTACCGAGTTGTAGAGCTTCTATTTGTCTGGCAATATTGGAATGAGCCCGGAGGAGTACCATTCGATTCGCATAACCGTTCGTCATCTCAGCGGAAATCGCCACATCGTAACCGTTATCATGGTCAACTAGATGAATGGGATCAGAAAGCTAAATAATAGTGGTGGAAATGATCATGCCTCCCAGTATCACGCGATAGAAGCTTCTGTGCTTGATAAATTTCCGTAAGTGCTCTGTGGCGCCGTCAGTGTAAGATGAGTTGCGTGAAACTAGACACCTCGTATTTTGGCGTCTGCGGCTTCTTTCCCATCTGAAACGTCAACCACTGAGAAGAGAGGATGTGCGCTTGAGAAGCCTTTCATAAAGTATCGAAACTGCTCCTGAGAGCATACACCCTTGAGGGCCGTCAGTCTAGATACAAAACGGTGACTTGGATGTACAGATCTGACGAGTGTTGCTTCTAGTTTCTCCCTGGATAGAAACCACATCGTCCATAGAACAACTTGAGATGGTCTATCAGGCTGCTTCGCGATGTATCTCATTATTCCGTTTGTGAGTATTTGCTACATTGAGTATCAGTGATGCTTTATATCCCAGGAGGATTCAAACCGCGGCTTCTCGTCCTCCAGATTCTCCTTTGCATAAGAGTGTTCTGTCGAAGATGTAACCATCTCCATCGAGTAAAGTAAGGACAATTTCCTAGAGAATGTCAGAGTAAAGAGTGGCTTTGGGTGGATGCTCGCCTCCTCCCTATGCGTCAGGGACGCTAGCTTGGATTGAAGGTCTCGCTTTGCTGACTCGCTATCCTCAACTTCCTGCCTCAACTTCGAAAACGCTTTTTGAAGGGTAAACTTTTCGGACTCTAACTGTTCCACTTTGTCATGAAGCACTCGATTCTCTTCCAGGATTCGGAGTATGACATCTGGAAACCATTAGCTGTCTTCATGTGATATAACCCCAGACACACTCTCGTGCCTGTCGTGTATCTCGAGCCTGTACCAAGGCCGTAAGAGGGCAGAACGGTATCAAAACTGGCGAGCTGTACCATTCTTGCTGTAGATCAGAGCCAATGTTTTCATCCATATTGATTCTCAATAAGTTCTGGTGTTTGAGAGTCTACGAGGAGAATACAACTCGCCAGGCGAGCGGACGTGGCGGAGGACAACCTCGCGCGAGCAAGGAACGGAATGAGTTAGAGTTACATAGATCGCTCTTTCGCCTCAAAATCGTTCATTATGTCACAAAGTGGGCATTATAGAACAGCATATGAGTACAAGGCCCTTGGGTTCCTTCCGGGGCAGCGAAGCCTAATCTTGTTCCTCCATGACGGGTCCTTGCCTGTATCATACATTATGCATGGTTGGCCCTCTGAACTTGCACTTTCCAGCCGCTAAGAACGAGCACCTGGCTCCTTGTGGGCATGCATGTCCGAATATACAGTTTTCCAAGTGGCATGCCTTTCCTGCTTGAGACTCAGAACGATTCAGGTGCGCAACCTAACTACTTGCCTTCATTCATGTATTTGCACGGTTGCTTTTTGGCCCCAGTAGCGAGCTGCTTGATCTGCGCATCCGAAAGTTGGTAGTAATGACCAAATTTGCATTTCTGTATGGGATATTACCAACCGTCATTGGATAGTCTTGAATCTGACCTCAATGTTATTGCATTTTCCAGTTATATAGAACAGATTGCATGCTGGTGGATCAACTGGAAAAGTTAGTCAGAAACAGAGGGATGGAAATAAAGGCAAACGTTTAGGCTACGACGTTTTAAGTAGAGGTCGACCTAATATATAGAAACTTACTAATTTCGCCTCTCTCGTTCGTGGACTCGAAGTTGTCGAAGAACCATTGCCAGGATTATTGTGTGCAGCGAGTCGGGAGGGTAAACTTTCGGGGACTAGACCCAGGCTATTCTGGTTATAGTTGTCAACAATACGTGGCGAGGACGTGTCACAAATGGTAATTTTGTCAGGCATAAAGAGACCATCGATGCTGAATGTAGTGAGAGTAAGGGACGAAATGTCGCGGGCAACGACGTTATGAGCTCTCAGGAGAATCAACTTCTCTTTGAAGCCAGCAGTGAGTTCTGCAGCTATGGCTGCACTATAACCGTTGTCATGGTCGACTAGATTTCTGTAAATGATTGCGCAAACTGAATGTCCAAACCCACCTCCAACGACGACCTTGTAAACCTTGTGTATTCCAATAAATTTGTTCATGTGATCTACTTGATTGTCAGTTGATTGCCTCAACTGGCTTGTAAGCTTTCCTTTTATTTTATAGTCCGCTGCTTCCTTGGAGAGTCCGACTTCTACAAATGAAAATAGCGGGTGCGCTTGAGAAAAACCCTTGATGAAGTGCTTAAATTGATGTGGATTACAGGTGTCCTTTCAAAAATGTAAGAGGGAAATGTCAAATCGCAGCGAAGGAGATTTACGGATTTGGAAAGTACGTGCTCCAGACGATCCTTGGACAGGAATATCATGGTCCATAGAATAGGGTTTGATGGGAAATTGGGTTGTTCACGAAGATGATGGAGAATTCCGGTACTGAGCCTCGACTTGCCTCATTAGTGACGGAAGCGGCGTAACGGGTGAAACATACAGCAGCTTCCCTTCCACCAGATTCTCCTTGAGACAAAAGCTCTTTAGTGAAAATGTACCCGTCGCCATCGAGCAAAGCGAGGACCAAATTTGAATCGCCCTGCGCGGGGTTAGCGCAGTACAGAGAGCTCTTAGTCTTCGTCACCTCGAGTTGAGAGATTCGCTGAGATGCATTCGAAATTTCTGTTTGCAACAGTTCTTTGGCTTTTGAGCTTTCCTCCTCACTAGCCTTCATTGCCTGAATTGTCGTCCGAAAGGAATAATTTTCCAGTTCCAATGATTGAAGTCTTTGTTTCAAGTCCTTATTTTCTTTCAGTATTGCATTTAACAGCACTATCGTGTCGTTGTTAGAGGTTGAAAAGCCATGCAGACAGAGGATCACACCTTCCTGCTTTATGGTCGAAGCACGCCTATTTTGACGCGTTGAAAAAAGCTCGAGACAAGTAGAAGCACGTACCACCGCTCCAAAACGCCATCTGCATCCAACAAAGACGCGTCGCCGAATGGGGTCGCGTCTTCCATGTATTAATCTGTCACCAGTCTCCTCCGTGCAGATTTATTGTCTGGTAGTTTAAGAATTAGAATCCGGTGTCGAAACCAACGGCCAAAGTGGCGGAGAACAAAGTTGAACTCCACCGGAATCCAGAACCTGCATCCATCCCTCTATTTGGCGGAGAGTTTCATATTATGCAGGCACTTACAAGACGTACAGAAGGTGCAGCACCTCCAAATAACCAAATTGCAATCTCTGTCCCTGCCAACGCGCGAGAACAGGCCCTCATCCGGTCCGTATGTCTCGGAAAAAGCTATAAGAGGCAACTAATTCTCCTTTTCAGGACCGTAAAAAGGACAAGTGCCCTTGAAAGCCCTATTGTCGCACTCACAGGCGCCCATTCTGTACGTGGCTTCTTGTTCGAATCGCACATGACCACCCTGTAGTCAAAATTACTCGTATAGATACTGATGCTGAGCACAGGCGGAAATTCTCAGCGCACGCTTCGATCCTACCGGCCAAAATCTTGCAGCCTGCTCAACAGACTGCTCAGTCTGTAAGTCATCTAGTTCCTCCGAGTACGGCGTCTTAGCATGTTAGCGCTATGGAGAACCTATGCACCGTCGACAAACTATGGCCAACTCCCCCATCTCCACAAAACAGCCATTACCGACCTACAATGGTCTCTCGTTTCCTCGCATCTATATACTGTATCAGCCGACAAGACGCTAGCCATCTCAGACCTCACAACAGGTCAACGGGCGCGCCGTCTCAGGGGCCACACCGGTATCATCAACGGCCTGTCACGCACTATTGCTGGGGCTGGTGTCGAACTTCTCGCCAGTGCTGCGGATGACCGAACTGTGAGAATATGGGAGGGTGGTGTCGAAGGCAACAAGCATCCTGTCGCCACTTGGGATATTGGATGCCCAGCAACAGCAGTCTGCTGGGGACCCGATGGCAACTCGGTATATATTGGTGCATTGGATAACATGATTCACGTGAGCGATGCTTTCACGTGTTTTTGTCTGCAAGTTGACGTTCTACTCAGGTGTACGACCTGCGAAAAGGCGCAGAAGTCTCGGCTTTGGGTGGACACACTGATACACCTACCTCGATCTCCTTGTCCCCCGATGGTAAGCGCTTTATCATCTAGATTCGGCATTCTCTTATGCCAGACAGGATCGTATATTCTATCACCCTCTCTTTCTTCACAGACCTTGATCCACGACATTCGTCCATTCAGCTCGTCTCCAACCCGTATTCATCGCGTTCTACAAGGTTTTTTGCTCATTTCTGCCTAAAATCTACCATCTCACTGTTGTCAAAGGTGCCCCCGCTGGATTCGAAAACGCCCTCTTGCGTGGTGCGTGGTCGAGGTCGGATAACGGTGCGAGGGTAGCGGTTGGCGGAGCTGACCGCACAGTCACGGTGTGGGATGTGGAGTCGACCAAAATTCAGTGAGTAATCTCCTAGGTTCAGAGGCCGGGATGTCCAACTCTTTATAGATACAAGCTACCTGGCCACAAAGGCACCGTTACCTGTGTCGACTTTCACCCTAAAGAGCCCATAAGTAGGTTGTGCATTCTATGCGTAACAACTTCTGATTGGCTTTTCACAGTCTTAACTGGGAGCAAAGACGCGACGCTTTTACTCGGGGAGCTTGAAGAGACATCATCATAGATATAGTCCATGTGATCTTTTAGCCTGTACGAATGTCATTTGGAACCGTTATGGCGTACCTTGAACCCGTCCTCCGCTCCCTTTCATCTAGCCGTGGGCGCGTGAGCCGCCTAACTTCAATTTCTCGTGCCTTTTCGTCGCCTCAGAATGCTGTCTATGGCTCTCGGTGCATTGTGACATCCCCTCGCCTGGGCTTGAATCTTTACAAACCTCAAACACGGTTAATCAATACAGGAGGACTGACAAATCTTTTCGATACGTCGAATATTGGTGGAATTCAAGTCAGAAATGTCACAGAACATGATGGAATAGAGCTTGAAGACGGGTTGACCATGAAGTCGAGTTGTATCCTCATTGGCGGACGAGTGTTTCTATGGAAAACTCCAGAGAGTTCCCTTTCGAGTGGCGAATGGACAAAGGACGACTTTGAAATCTTTGATGTCCTCCTGCCAAAGCCGGGTGAGTGCTATAGCCAATAGGATGCTGTCTAGGTATTGACGTTGTTCTTGCCATAGAAATACTAGTGTTTGGGACAGGAAAGTCTTTGATGCTGCCTCCTGTGTCTGTTCGAGAGTATTTGAGAGAGATTGGCGTCCAGGCCGAGTATATGGACACAGTAAGCATTCTACTTCTAATACATAGTATACTCAATTCTGCAGAGAAATGCATGCTCGACGTATAATCTGCTTTCCGAGGAGGGTCGCCGAGTCGCTGCGGCGCTGCTGCCTCTGTCGCACCGAGTGTGGTAGAAATCGTGTTACAATACGTTTACTTGTGTTTTATGTGCTACCTGCGCTTGTCGCCTGAGCCACCGCGCGTACGTTGACCCCAACCACTTACAAGAGCATGAGCTCGCGGCGTCGCGGTGCTGAACGAAAGTCCCGAAAAGCTGCTCGTCAGCGGAGTGTGTCGCCTGTGGCATCGACTGACTCCGAAAACGAGCTGGATAACGACGACAAGGTGTACGCACCAACGTCGCCCGCCGAATGGTCTCACCAAAGACTGAGTATACACTCTCCACGACTTGGATATGAATCTCCCACCACTGGGAACGCAGCGCTCCGATATCCAGCAGAATGGCACCAGTCGCCAATCTACGCTCTCCCCGCGGAGCTCCTTATCCATATCCTACGCTCGCTAACAGACACCTTGGACCTCTATAACTGTCTTTTCGTCTGTAGCAACTGGTGTCAATGCGCCGTCGAACTCCTCTGGCTCAAGCCGCACCTCGCCACGAAGGAATCCTTCCTCTCGTTCTTATCTGTCATCTCTCCCTCCAACTCACAATTCCCATTCGACTCGACGGAGCTCGTCGTCAATGGCCAGTCCCTTGGCAGGCAGCCAAAAGAGTCCGTTGTCGAACCGCTATTTCCTTATGCACGGTTCGTGCGGAGACTGAATCTCTCTGTGGTTGCAGATGAAGTCCATGATATGCACTTCATGCGCCTCTCCGCCTGCATCCGGCTGGAGAGGCTTACTCTCAATGGATGCGTTCATCTTACAGACTCTTCCCTCGCCATACTCGCCACTATGCCACAGATCATCGCACTAGACCTTACTGGAGTGGTCGACGTAACTGACCGCACTCTATTGGGTGTCACGGCGGCGTCTGCCAAGATACAGGGAATCAACTTGGAGGGATGCAAAAAGATTACAGACGAAGGAGTCCTTGCTATTGCAGAACACTGTCCTATGCTCCGGAGAATCAAGCTTTGCGAGCTGGACAATATTACCAATACGAGCGTTTCAAAGCTCGCCCAGAAATGTCCCCTCCTGATTGAAATAGATCTCACTGGCTGCATCAACGTCGGGGATGCAGCCGTTCGGGACATTTGGATGCATTGCTCTCATCTTCGGGAGCTGCGACTGGGCCGATGCATCAATCTGGGGGACACTGCATTCCCAGTCCCTCAGCGATTAGCGAGTTCAAACAATCAACCTGATCAATCTAATTATCGCTTCCAAAACTCGAATAGTGATCCTGCTCGCCTGATTATGCCGACGTTACCGCCGTTGCTCCTACAAAAACCGCTTACTCACCTTCGGCAACTCGATCTCATGTCGCTTCGCATCACCGACGACGCGGTGGCGGGTATCGTTTCCAATGCCCCCAAACTTCGCAATTTGGTCCTGGCAAAGTGTACATTTCTTACCGATGCTGCCGTGCGTAGCATTAGCGAGCTCGGTAAACATCTGCAGCTTCTCCACTTGGGTCATGTGGAGTCCATCACGGACGCCAGTATCATACACCTTGCACAGAGTTGTGTACGTCTGAGATATGTAGACCTCGCATGTACGCGGCCATCTATCTCGAAGCAAGGGTATTGTAGCTAACGTGCTCTCATAGGTTGTACTTCACTCACAAACGCCTCTGTACATGCCCTATCTGCACTACCGAAATTGCGACGCATTGGCCTGGTCAAGATCACAAACTTGACCGATGACGCCGTCGACTACCTCACAGCCAGGGCATTTACGCTCGAGAGAGTCCATCTATCCTACTGCGAAAGAATATCCGTCCAGGCGATTCATCGACTACTACAAAGCCTCACGAAACTGACACATCTGAGCTTGACGGATGTTAATGCCTTTAAACGAAAGGATTTGCGGGCATTCTGCCGTCCAGCACCATCGGTACGTCCGATAACTGGTATGAGGCGCCAATCGTCTTGACTGTTTATAGAATTTCAACGAGACGCAGCGCGCACAGTTCTGCGTTTATTCTGGAAGTGGGATCGAGAACCTCCGTCAGTATCTTGCAAAGAAACTCTCCGATTTCACAATGTTGCCTGATGCCGATGACGAGGCCGACTCTGCAAACCTCGAAGACGACGACGCCGTCCAGGGCTTCTCGGGAGAGGGAACACACCCACCCCCACAACCAATCGAAATGGTCAATCGAAGCGCGTTTGTCGACTATCCAGACGCTGATGCGGGATTGTTTGCAGAGGATGCCCCGGAGAGACAGTACTCGGGAGCGACGAGGAAAGGGATACGCCTAGACCACGGCAACGCGGTATAAACGCCTTTCAGCTCGCTTCGGGTTTGCAAATGATGCGCTCGCCTCGGTCATTCGCCACCTCGCGGGGAGCACCAAACGCGGATGTTCATTCCCAAAGTGCATCATACGCTGGATCCCGTTCGTTGGGCCATGCAGAGGCAGTAGCGACGGGCAGCGATCGTGCTTCTGCCAGTAACAATCTCCGCCTGAGAGCCAATGCTCCGTCTCTAGGCGGAAACTTGCCAAACCCGATCGTTGGTGCACTTATGCATTCGCGGTTTCAGCGTGCTCGCACAAGGGATGAGAGTACTGCCGCGGAATCCTCCAGGTCAACTACGTCGACGAGCACTCCCCTCCAACAGCATTCGCCATCGCCTCGAATCATTGCGCACCCAGCGTCCGATGAGGATCAGGTGATCTACGTCGATGAGAGGAAGAAGAGAACGTCGCATTTGCCATCGCCGACGAAATTGTTCTCCATGGGCCGGTCACGTCCGAATGTACCGGTTTCTCGTCGTGGAGGATCTACTCTTGGTGCTGAAGCGAATAATTCTGACCCATCGACGAGTGGACCTGGCCAAGCACGTGGCCAGATGGCAAGTGGGAGCTCGAGCCACAGTGCGGATCTGCCGCAGAGTATAGACTCTGTCGGCGGGGTATCTCAATTCCAGACTCGTCAACGATCTCGACCGGCAGATGGGGCTTGGACATCCGACTCGAGCCGTGAAGGCGACGTGGAGGTGGAGGGCGGGCAACCGCGCGGTGAATGCGCGGCTGACGAGGCTGCTGAGCACTCTCCGCGGTCAGCTGGTCAAGATGTGTCCCGGAAATCTATGGAGGATTCACGCTCGTCGACACCAAATGGATCTGCTCGGTCCAAGAGGGGAATCAAGGGGACACTGAATGCGGCTGAACGGTATACGGTGTCGTTGTTTAGGTCAAAGGGAAAAGGAAGGGAAGATCTTAGCCATGGTCAGAGTTCGAATTCAAGTCCAGCAGCTCACGACGACAAGGATAGATAGGTTGATATACGTCTCATCGGGAAATGTACCATTTGTCTCCATATATAGTTTGAAGGATATCAAGATAGCATAAACAGGATGACGAGAAAACTGGTGATAACCCATAGTTCCCACCATGTCGCTTCTTTCTGCACAATTTCTAGCGTTGAGCCTGAGCGCGATAGAGATCTGCGATCATGAGCGAAGATTGAAAGGCCTTCGAGGATGTCTAACTGATGTCTCATGCATGAAACATCCCCTAGGAGGTCATCCCGAGTTCCCTCGCTTGAGACTGGTTGCATTTGAAGATAGACCTTGAGCATGACGGTCTGAGCGAATGCCTTTTCGTAGTTAATCTTCTGAGCTATATAAACTAGAAAATACTCACCTCTTCAAGATTGGTTCTCGAGTAAGGGTCGGGAAGGCATGAGTCCCGATGGATTGCCTCTACCCAGCGGACGGAGGAGCTCAAGCGTTCTCCTGAGTACCCATGAGCGGCTTCGTGGATCCACGTCGCAATGGAAGGTTCCCCGAATAATACAACAGTGTTCTGGGACATCATTCCGTGTGGAAGGGTGGATCGAAGGCTGGGTTTTGTCGGGGCTAGGGATGAGGATGTAGTGTGCTCTGTCTCCAGGGGGGTAGAAACGACGACGTGGATGTATTCGCGAAGAGGTACTGGAATCCTTGATAGATGTCCCAGCAAGTAGGACCAGTTATCCGCTTTGCCTGGTAGAACGACCTGTGCAAGCTTGCGAGGCGTACATTTGCACAAGAGCCATGTTTTGTTCGAGTCGGTGAAGCCGACTTGTAGTCGCTGAACGCTGTCTCCTTGACAAAACTGGGTTACATACTGCGTACAACGCTGCATGGCTGTGGTCGTAGATGGAGGTAGCTCTGTAATGAAGTAGTCGCTTTCCACCAATGTCTCGTAGAGGCGTGGAGAGATGAGGGGGTTGATGTCGGATGGATGGAGCAAGGGCTTTTGCAGCAGACTCTCGGAGACTCTGGTGGTGGTACATGTCGCTTGAATAATGATAGTGAATATATAGAATCCGGTGAATTTCATGTTGTGGTTGCCACGTTGGCTGGAGAGTTGTGAGTTTGCGACAAGCGGGTGTAGAATATATATACCTAATCAGACATTGGACTGTCAGAAGAAAGCAGGAGTGGATTGTGAACACAGGTCGAGGTGGTGGCAGCCAACCTTTCTTGTTGAGCTTTGACCACCAAAATCTGCGGGGGCGTTGGGAATCGCCAGCGCGTATATTCTCTCAATGTCTCAACTCGGACAACGCGCATTGGTATCGTCTCACATCTCGAGCGCGTTTACGCAACCAATCTTCTACCAAGTCCCTCCGACGGCCTCGTCGCGGCACCAGCACCAGCAACCACTCACACACGCGTCTCAAAAACTTGTAGAGAGATTGAACAATAAGAAGAGGAGAGATGCACCTCAGGGCCGTCACCAGACGAATGCGCAGACGGGCCCGCTCGCGCAAAGCTTTGAAGAGCACGCAGTTTACGCGTCGACAACGTCTCTTCAAGCCTTAGGAGATGCTTTGATGCGTATTACGCACTCGGGATACGTGCTAGAGCTCACCCTTCTCGACTGGGCAGACGGCACACCAGTCTGCTGGGAGTTTGCAGAGCGCATCGTTCCCATGCCAGGAATCGCAGTTACTTCACCATCTCAGGATGTGCAAGCAGCAGCGCGCAGCAGAGGTCTTGCGGTTCCAAGCGGGCAGCTTGCTTTCGTCTATGTCCTCCTCGAAGGTGGAACGCTGTACCGTCTTGCGTTTCCTCTCGTCCCTCCACTATTTCATGACGAAAACTGGGTCGCCAAACGTGGATGGTGCAAGGAATTCACACTTCCCTCGACTGTCAGCAGACCCATTGGTGGGACCAGCGGCTCAATGATCCTGCAAGGAGAGAAGACGGTAGTAGTCACCGTCAATTCAGGAGCCGTCCTACGAATGGAGGTGGATGTCGACAACGACGGACAGCTACGAGAGAAATTGCACTATCCTCAGCATCATTCACTCCTCTCCAAAATGTTCCGAACGGCTCAAGAAGAAGACACTATCGTTTCTGCCGTCTCTGCATCAGTATCTGGATCTGATATCCTCATCACCCTGTCCAGAGACCGCTGTCTTAGGGCATGGGACAGGCAAGGGGGCAACACCATCTCCATTGGTATTTCACCAGGAAATAATACATCCTCCGAACCCGTTCGAGGGTCTTCTCTCATTCGTGGATCATCAGTCACTCCTCAAGTTGCCGGGTCGTCAATTCCACAACTTTTACCACCAGAACGTCGATCTCTCCTGCGTACTTTCTTTACCGAGGACGAGGAAAATCTCTCGAATTTCCGGATTCTTGTATTCCTTCCGACGCCGCTTGGCCTTGGAGCGGGATCCTCTGCGCATCAGCCTTCTTCAGCCGGCATCTTCGCACTCTACAAAATGGAAGGCAATCGCTTCAAGCCTTTGGGAGAGAAGGAGACTAGCATGGAAACAATTAGGTGCTCACTGCGCGATTTCATGGTCATGCCAAACTCTCAATTCCGGAATGTGCGTATTCATCCACGATACCATGGGATATTGCTGATATCATACAGCTAAAGGAGATTCATTGCCTATGGGAGTACTCGGGGGAAAGCATGTATGAATACACCGAGCTGGATATAGAAGTGCGTAGAGCGCACAATGGACGAAATACATCCGCTAGTGGAGACGTTGAAATGCGAGAGGTTGGGTCGAGTTCGCTACCACATGAACTCATCTACGAGGACGACGATGGAGAGGACTTCCATCCAGTGGATTGGCATATCGTCACTCCCCTTGCGATGCCTTCAAACGCCGCATCATCCTTATCCCCCGAGCCCACCGCAGATAGTGTTGATTTCCTTTCCACAATCGATTTTACCTCTCCTAATGCCGCCGCCACCATTTTGGATGCTCTCTTCCGGGCAGGCCGTGGTGGATTCTCACCATATACAATCTCCGAGGCACTCAACGGATACGTAGAGGCGGCATGGGTATCTACAGATCAAGTAGACCCTATAAAGGATCCAAATTCACGCCTACGCGCTGCCCTTTCCAGGCAATACCCTACGTTACGAGCACGAGTCAGCGCTATTGTTGGTTGCCGACTCCAAGCTCCCGAAGTCTTTTCGGATCCCGCCAGTGCAAATCCTTTCAATGCCTCTGTCATTGCAGAGCCGGAAAATGAGATGGCCATTGCTCAACATACAGAGCTCGATGTAGCATTCCGTCGAGATTGGGAAGGATTCCTTGCCCGGTGTCGCGAAATTGAAAAGGCAGGAAGTTGGCCAGTAGCTCTGGGACTGGTGGGCTCTAAAAAGCCTGGAGGCGCGCGATCATCTCAAAATACGACGAGTGGGCACTGCGTCATTCTAGAGAGGGAACGGATGGGATTAATGGTCACTGAAGACGGACCACTCGACCTGTACCGACAAACTCTCTCAAAGATGCAGGAAGATGAAACCACGAATGGGTACGACGCCCGTGAATCTATTGAAGCGTCAGAGGCTCCACAATACCTCGTTTATACCGCCCTATCTTTCCGTGCTCTCTTCTCACCAGCGAGTTGGGCCGATGTCGCACATGAACTCTACAACACTATGCACAATACCGTACAATTTGTCTATCACGATCTTCTCGTGGACTTGGCTTTCAAGTTGGAGATTATGGATCTTGATATAGACACTATAGAATGGGTCTTTGAGCGTGTCGACTCGCTCGGAGGTAATGAATCGTTCAATACGGCTCTCCAGGCCATCAGCGCCCTTGTTCGGACGACTGGCATCGCAAAAGAGCTGGACAGCGTAAAGCAAGAGGACGACGAAGAGGAAGTGGATCGAATGCTGCTTCAGCCTGACCCTAATCAATCTCTTTTGGCCGACGCTTCGAATGCAGCCATTCTGCCTGGGACACGACCTGCAGACTACCATAATCAATGGAGCAGGTCCCTCACCGCCGTTTATCTGTCAGCGACACTGCAAGCTCGTTACGAGATTGCTTCTAGCATATTATTCTTACTCATATTCATTGTTGCCCGAGGAGGAGAAGCAAACTATTTTTCCGGCTTGCCCAACGCCGTTGTCATCGACGAACTCTTCGCTGGGCTGAGAAGCGCCAGCATGCTTCGACAAACTGCAGCCAGGGTTGTGGAGAGTTCCACGGTCACTCGTCCAGCACCTGGTCCTCCGAGCGCGCTTGCTCCATCACGGACTATTGCTAGGCATGTGCGAGCAGGAACGGCCGACTCGATGGTTCGTCAGTTGGCTGGAATGCGAGTGGCACCAGCACCTTCGGTTCAGTTTGCCATTCAACCAAAGCCGCACGTGCACTTCGCTTCGCCTACAGGCTCTTCTTTCCCAACGCTACCTCCTACGACGAGAGGGTCAGGCTCTATTACTCTGCTGCAATCGCTTCTGCCGCCGCTTAGGCGACCATTCTCACTCCCATACGCGTCAGATGCGTTCTTAGAGTTTAACGGGATAATTCAGGCGGACTCCATGCTGGTGGCAGGATACGACGAAGTTCGGTTCGCCGAAGAACTTCGAAGAAAAGGCCATACACAGGGTGCTGCGGATGTGATAGACTGGCTGCCAAAAACTAACGCTTGTTGCTACGTGGCTGCTCGACTTCAGCTACAAAAGGGAGAATATGGGGAAGCGTCGACCATGTTTGAGCACAGCGCGCGAAGCTTTGGTTCGTATATTCGTATATTATGTTTCGTTACTGAATTCTCTCAGGGCCGTTATCGTACAAGACAGGGGTCGAGGAAGCCACCCTCGTCGCCGTGTTGCCGCCCTCGCTCGGTGACTTGTCTTCCTTGGCTGCTTACTACGACCACGTGGCTAAGCTCTTCGAGGCCGAAGCACAATACGGCATGGCTGTGCTGTTCTATCGCTTGGCCATCGAATCCGCAAATGACGACGAACCGACCACCGACCTTTGGTACAACATCTTCAAAGGTGAATTGGCCTTGGAAAACTTTGAAAGGGCATATACGACGCTGGCGGAAATGTCCGAGCAGCCAGTATTGTAAGTAGGTTTGTTTCCGTTGCTTGGGCCATGTCTAACGGATGTTCATCGAACAGGCGGACCAACTCGGTTACCGAACTCGTCACCAAGATGTGTGAGAGAAACAAGGTTGAAACCCTTCTCAGCTTCAACTTTGTTGGCTTTGCCGACGATGTGGAGCAAGCGCTAGGTTTCAAGGCGAGAAACGCGGACCCACTTGACCGGCCGGTCTATTCAAAAATTTATTATGCGTGGGCTGTGAAGAAGGGAGATTATCGTGCAGGTGGGCTGTGATGTTAATTTACCGCCCGGCTCTCGTCCTGACAGCTCGTGCTAGCGGCCTCCACAATGTATCAGCGGGCGCGTATTCTCGGACAACAGGACAAGCCGGATACGGATACCCGGTTCATGCTCATGTCGCTGCAACTCGAAGCCTATACAGTGGCTATCAATGCCCTGTGTCTTCTTGATCCGGAGGACGCCTGGATCAGTTTACCCGTGTATGACGAATCTGGTGAACTTCCTCCAGAGTGGCGAAGGTCCAACTTTGGCATTGACGTTGGAGAGCGAGGCGGAAACGACTCGGAAATCGTAGAGTTGGACGACATGCGGAGAGAGATGGAACTTTGCCGAGCAAGACGGCACCTGGTGTACATGATGGCCGGTCTGAACCGTGTGCAGCAGGCGACAGAGGTAGACGAGAAGGGTAAGCGGGATCGTTGACATCCGACGGGGAGACTAACCGGAAGTGCAATAGACTTCAGTATTTCCCCCATGGAGGTGTTACGTAGGTACTGTCAACTCGCGCGCTACGAAGAGGCTTTATACAGCGCGCGGGTATTTCGTGCGGACATGACGGTCATCTTCACGATGATGGTCGACATGTGCATGCGCCTGTCCAAAGGCGGTGAAGCAGCCCTGTTAGTGCATTTGCCCCTTGATATCTTGCAAATATTGACCCAAGTAATAGGACGCCGTTTGAGGAACGGTGGCTTTTACAGGACAGGGCCATGATTTGGGAAGGAGAGCCGATATCAAAGGCGTGGAGGTTGCTCCAGGATTCACTAGAACGACACGACACGTCTGACAGTGGGTGGCAGTACCGCAAGGTGACCCTTGACCGAGAAGCGGCAGTTCATCTTGCTAACTTCAGTTCAATCTAGACCTGTCTGGAACGTATTCTGGAGGCCGACCGTTCGTCCTCACCCCCGACTTGGCTCGCCACGTTCTTCCAGGACCGAGAACCCGAGTACCTAATCCGGACGTGCATGCGATATCATCTGATATTACCTGCCCTTGACTACACTCTATTGATGATCCAGAATGTAAGTCACCCGCTTCGGTCGCAGGCAGGGAGGGGCCGGTGACGACTGGTCCGGAGGAGTCGGACGATGCTGTTTCATATGCTAACGACGTTGGACAACAGGCAAACCAACCTTTTGACAAGGGAGCTACTGTTGCAGTCACACAGACACGTTTGCCGTATCCGCTCATTGATGCCGTCGTTGCCGCTGCGCAGACCGAGGACGAGGTACACAAGGCGGCGGGCATCAAGGCGGAGATAGAGGCGCGAATAGGTAAAATGGGACGCTGGGAGTGGAGTTAAAGAGGCTTGGGTTCGATGATGGAAACTGCAGCCGTTCTTCGGGGTGTGCCTGGCTCATCTGACCGTAGGATGATTCCTGAGTTCTGTGGAACACATGGAAAAACAAATTTTGTAACAAAGAGAACCGAACATGATATTACTATTTTCTCCTTACTTCTGCCAGAGGCGTTGGCGAGCGCTTGCTTGGTCCCGACTTAGTAACTATCTAACTTGCTCCCGCCCACCGCCGTCTCGTTGGACTGGCCCTCCTCTTCAAACGCCTCTCGCCTCTTTTCCTCGTATTTCTTTGATAGTATATCCCTCTTCAACCATGCCGACGACGCATCCGCAAGCCACTAGCTCGCACATGATGAAGACGACGAAGCGGGGTCGTCCGTTTCTCAAGGTATGTGCTCGATAGCACACCCCCGCTGCTATTCTTTGCATTATTTACTCATTTTTGCCCCTTACGTGGCGCTTTACAGGACACGCTGGACCTCTTCGCCACGCTGATCACGTCGATGGAGCTTACGACCCACAAACAGTATTTCCGATCGTTTCCAAACTCTTTTACAACGTACGTGCCCCCCTATATTGGTCGGTGCATATGAAACTGTGCTCATCTGTGTTGCCGCCTCGCATAGCGACGACGCCTGCGAATGTCTCTCGTGTCTGAAGTTTTCTCAATCCAACCGCTCGGCAGATCCGAGAGATCCAGACCGGATAATCACTACCACGACGACGACCACGTTTAGTATGACGCGCGACATGGCGAAAGCAATGTCCCAACACTTTATGGATGCCCGGCTCATCGAGAATGCGATTGATAAGACCTCGAACCAATTCAAGGACCGGTCTGTTTATCAGCTCACACCAAAAGGACTCCATGTGTTGGAACGGTTCATTTCCAAGAACGGCGTCAACGCGGAGGGCCTCGTCAAGGTTTTCCAATCTCAGCCCATTTGCATGAAACTCCTCCATCTCGAACGCAGAGCATCCGACGACGAAATCATCATCTCTCAACAAGTTGTGACCGCCCTTTTCCGCCGCTTTGCTGGTCGCTCGCCCAACTACATCGACGAGGCCAGCCAGTCAGACGACCCGGCAGTCGAATACAACCAGCGCTCGGCGGGGATTCCCTTGAGCGACGTTGTGGAGCGAGCCCCCCAACTGATTGGAAAAGGCCCATTGCAGACGTTCAAATACTGCTTCTTGGCTGTCAATGCCCTCGAATGGCTGTGTGACTTTACGTCGATTGTTGGTCGAGACGAAGCAGCGGAGATGGCGGCTCATTTTGTCCGGTTTGGGCTGATTACGCTTTTGAGCGACAAGCGCAAGACCTCCGACTCTGCCGTCATCTTCACTGTCCGTGGTACGGCGACCGGTCCAAACTCCGCGGCGGCGACCCAGGGCGAGTTTAGGTGCACGGCAAAAGCAATCTACCGCATCACAGAAGAGGGTCGAAAGGTTGCCAGATGGACCGAGGCGCGCCCAACGCAGAGCAGTACCGGCCGAGACTCGCCGGTCGGCACCCCCAGCAGTCGTCAAGGATCCGATCGCGTGTCTTCGGACACCAACGATGGCGCCCCGCGAGCCACCGAGTTGGCATTTGGTCCCGGTAGCGGGTCTCATGTCCCCAATACGCTGGAACATACGACGGATCACCAGATCCACAGGCGTATATCCATGGACGAAAAGCTCAAAGCAGACCATGGTACAGGAGATAAGGGCCCAACGCAAAAAGAAAGCAATACAGACCGTCTCAAGTTTATTCTTGATGAACCTGCGCTTCGATCCCTGTTCCGCGAATTTTTGCGAGGCAATTTCTGCGAGGAAAATTTGTCGTTTTGGCTCGAGGTCCAAGAGTTTAAACGCAAGTTTTTGATCACCTCGACTGCAGTCTCGCAGCGCAACGTGGCAGGTCAGGGAGGGCGAAATATACCTCAGCATGCTGCAATGGAAAAGCATCACGAGTCGCTGATCCAGATGGCATTTGTGATCTACAACATGTATCTGGCGCCGAGCTCGCAGTGCGAGCTGAACATTGATCACGGTCTGCGCAACGACTTGGTGGCATACCTAAACGAGGTCATGACAGAGTCGACAGGAAAGGCCGTTCAAGGGCGAGTCGATCTGGAACAGGCGGCGTCGATCAACGCGACGCAGCTCAAGCACATTATCCAGCTCTATGAACGTATCCAACTTCACGTCTTCAGGCTGATGGCCACTGATTCGGTTCCCAAGGTGTGTCACCTTTATCTTTGCGACTGATCCCGGAATTGATTGTGTTTCTAGTTCATTAAGACGAAGCGCTTCCTTGCACTGCGTCATTGGGTCGAAGACTACGAGGCCAGCGAAAATGATTCTTTCTTGCCTCCAGGTTATGGAAACCCCTCTGCACCACCGGGACTCGAAGGAGAGAACAGCGGCGAGATTGGCGGCGCGTACATGACGGTGTCGCAGCAGGCCAACGAAAAAGCAGCTGCAGCGGCCAAAGAGAAACTGCAGCGAGCGACTCGAGGCGATATCTGAACGGTTATCTGCAGCTTGTTCCACCAACTCTCCCTGTCAAAGGTGCCGTCGCCGCGCGCCGCCATACCACTGTTCAACATTATCGTCCATAGCTTGGGCGCATTTTCATCTCTCTACTCGCGGTATAATTCTCATCTTTAGTGGGCTTCTCTCGCTCCTTCTCCTTGGGCCGCCCTCTTGACCCTAAGTTATTCACGATATTCTTTGTTGAAACTCTACTTTCCCCTTTACATTACCCTCTGATCCAATTCACGACACCCTCCCCCTGCCGCTCGCATCGATCGTACTGTCCGAGCAACGACAAATGTATCCCCTGACATCCGACCGTCGCCACCACTTTGTCCGCTTAGCCTGTCTTCAGTTCTTCTATATCCTACAATCCGAGGTATGACGGCGGTGGTGGCGGGGCTGGTCTCTATGCATCGCAAATACAGAGAAATGTACTGTCGTCTACTTTTTGCTAAGTTCCAATCGAATAGTTTTCTTTCTATAAGGCATTTAAAATCATTATACACGCACATATGGCCCCTTTTTAGTTCTCGCCACTCACATTCGCATTCTTGCTGCCAACCTTAAAACCCATCGCGAGCCATGTCGGGCCGTACGGGGGACTTGATAGCGCTCTACTCGGAAGGGACATTTGATGAACATGTACGGTGTACAGTTTCCCATCTACATGCATTGTAAAAGGCTCATCGTGTTCCTTGCTCTCCTTTTCCATATTACATGGGTCTCCTCGACCGACCAAACCGATTTTCAACGACAAATATACATGGTATTATCGTGTGGTTTGTTGGAAATCATTTTGGTCTCTCTTGATGGGCGGTCCATGTGGAAAAGATCCAAGAGCTCGCAGATTACCTTGCACGGCCGTTGAGCGAAGAAGAACGTGCGGCGTTTGTCAAACCATTCGTGACGGCGCTGCTTCCAGATGAGAGCAAAAAGACGTTTGAAGAGGATGCAGGACGACGAAAAGCTGTTCTCGACCTTGTCGTCGGCCGCGTGAGTGGACTTGGAGAGGGAACAGACAAAGGTATGGTTCTGTTCAGACTAGATCCATGGGAGAAGCAATTAGCAGCGGCGGCTGACACTTGTGTCTAGAGGTCGAGGGCTTCTTCAACCTCTTGGTGGCACATGTACTCGATTCATATCCAGATCCAAGTGCTCCGCTGAGTAGTCTAACAAAGAGCATTTGCTCTGCCCATCGATCATCCACCATCAAATATCGACTGTAAGCCCATTACCATGGCTATCATCTTTCATCTAACATTACATAGACTGTCCAACATATTCAATGCCCTACCTCACTCGTCACCTCTGCGACCTCGCACATTCTCCGAGCTCCTCAAACTCGCGAGTGACAACGAGGAGCTGGATGTACTCCATTTGCATAAAGCCGAGGTGGACAAGTGGCTAGAAGAATGGGAAATTGATACCGAAGAGCGTGCCCAGTTCTGCAAAGACATCGCCGACGCACTTGTAAAGGCATCTCAACCGTACGTTCACGTCCTCATCTCGTGTGAACAAAGAAACCGCGTTGATTTGCACCTGTAGAGTCAAAGCATATCCCTATCTAATCCTGCGCGCCCAACTTCTTCCCTCAAACTCGCCAAACGCTACCAAGGCCATTGTAGAAGCCATCACTGACGGTCTCCGGCTTGCTTCTGTCTTCAGTTTTGAACCCATTCTCGCTCTACCAAACATTACGATGGTCCGCGATCATCCTCTGTTCAAACTTGTCAAAGTCTTTCTCCGTGGCGGACTCGCTGAATGGAAGGCATGGCTCGAGAGCCACGAAGCCGAGCTATCAACCGCTGGTGAGCAGGGTTAATCAATGAGGTATTGCTATGATAACCTATTCGTATAGGGTTGGATAAAAATGCTGTGGAACGCAAAGTCCGACTCGTTTCGCTCACGGCGCTGGCGTCGAATAATATTGGCAAAGAAATCTCGTATGCAGAGATTGCAAGAGCGCTGGATGTGGGCGAATCCGAAGTTGAGAGCTGGGTAATTCAAGGCATGTGTTTTTACTTCTGCCTCATCCTGAAAGCTAAGAGCTCCATATTAGCAATTCGCGCCAAACTTGTCTTGGGCAAGCTAAACCAGCCAGCGCAGACGTTTGTCGTAATCCGAAGCACGACACGGCAGTTTACACCAGGAGATTGGGAAGTGCTCGAAGATAAACTGGAAAAGTGGAAAGAGGCCATCTTAGGCGTGCTCAGTGTTGTGAGTGCTGCACGAAAGAAGAGTGCTGGCGCTGGTGCTGCTGGTGGACCGCAAGTAAACGGCGTACAGCCCGTAGCAGCCTGATATCGTACGCTCTGATCCTAGAGCATAGAGATGTTACATTTTCGCTACCAGGATCTTCTCTGGATTGAGATACTCAATTCTGATGTATGGTTTGTAAAGCTTCTGTGTTACGACTTGGATGCTGCTACACACAACTGCGTCAAAGAATCAAGAGATCGTTCATCGAGTGTCCACACTGCCAGTGCCGCTAAACAAGGCGATCAGGATACCAAGTGATTGAGAGGTAAAGGATACGTACCGGGCCATGTTCAGATGCGCGGTGTCGTGTGCACCAATCCTCTCGCTGTGCTGCATAACGCCATTCTTGAGCATAAACTCTGCGATTCTGTCCTCATTCTTGGTGTTGAACACGGACTCGAGCTGCTGGTTCGACGCCTTTCCGAGCTTGCCCTGGTTGCCCTGTGTGGAGAAGAAGACGTCGTAGGCTGGAATGATGCACATCAGAACGCCATCACCAGCCCCGCAGAAGCGACATACAGTCTACGACTTCGACGATTGGTACGCTATTCCAGGATCAGACCTTATCTGCATCCAACGGGGCGCTGGGTACGTACGATGAATCTACGCGCTTGTCAGTCCATTGAGTCTAGGAATATAAAAGACTACGCACCTCCGCTCGAGTACTTCCTGTACTGATCTCGCTATCAGACTCTCTGTGGCTGCTGCTCTCGGCGCCGACTCACCTCGTCTGCATTGACGAACATGATGTATTCGTCGGTGGATTGCGAATCGGGCTTGTAGATGAGCTTGGTGAGCGACTTTGTCATGTTTAAGTATAAGATTGGTTGGCTTGGATGATGTGGTTGTGGATCAAGGAGGTCAGGCTTTGGTGGTCAAGTGAGCTTTGAGTCAGCCTGCGTCTCCGCGCTCTTTATGCGCTTCCGAAGAATCGACGTCATTGGGGCCCAGAATTGGTCCAAGAATCCATTCCGTCGAAAAGGGAAAATAATCATTCAATCTCGGTTTCTACAAACAAGTTCCGCTTTACGCGACCCACAAACTCAGCCGTGGTGGCTTGGGCTCAACCTGGTGAGCTCGAGCACCATTTGGACTACCCCTTCTGATATTGGAAACACCTGAGGATTCTCTTGGTCTGTTGGTGGTGGTGGTTGTGGTCTCTTTCCTGACCGACTGCTGCCCCGCGCCTACTTGGGGGTTGAGGGCTCCTCGGACAAGCGGTACAATGGCTTCAAATGCCAATGATCTCGCATGGCAACTATTTGCCGGGGAGTTACTGGATAAATGGCGAACCGACGTCGCATTAGCGCTGGCATACTTGCTTGGTGGTAGATTCGACTCTGCAGCTCCAGAGGCAGCCTTTGGTGCCGTTCGAGGGCTTGATGCACCCCCTGTCCTCCAAACGTCCTGCGTCCCTCATGGCTTGGTCTCGCAGCTGCAGCTGGTTTCGCGTCGGATAATGGTACCCCAAAGTCCAGCATCAACGACGGAGTACCAATCTTCTTTGTGCTGGTAGCAGCTGAAGCTTGTGGGTTTGAACCAGGCGATGGGTCCTTCTTACCGATGGTCCCAGTCCTCGTCGCATTGCTACTAGTCCCGTTGGTAATGGCTTTTCTCCCCTTGACATGTGGAGACGAAGGGCAGAAGTCCAGCATGAGAGCCGGGGGTTCACACTTTTTCTCAGTGTTTGGAGAAGGAGCCATACGCTTTCTCGAGCTGGACTCGGGTTGGATGTCGTCAGCTTTGGTCTTAGTGGATGTAGGACCCGTCGACTTGACAGGTCTCGTGGTAGGCTCCGACTCCACCTTGGTGATATTATGCAACTTGGTCGGGGCCAAAGGAGGTGGGAGGCCTTGTCCTACAACAGGTTCCTTGACTGGGATTTCTATAGTCGCATGAGTACAAGTGACAAGTGATATGCATACAAACCTTTTGATCTAAAAATACCCTGCAGGTTCGAAGGCAATGGGTCTTTCGACCATGACTGCCTGGTGCCATACGCTGCGTCCATTCCACGAGATGGCTTGTCGGCCGGATTCTGTGAGGTGTGGATATACTCCAACGTCAATTCGCACCCTCTTTCCTTCAACATTCGTCGAATATCCACGATTACGTCGTTTTGGAATATATTCCGTGAATTTCCTTTGTTATATCCTCCTGTGAATCCCTGGTTGTCGGAAAAGATCTTGACGTGGGTGCCAGGCGACAGATCATAATGTCGAAAGAGGATATGAATACCAAGCTGAATTGCTACTCCCTCAGCCCATGCGATATTTCGACCATTTGTTTCCCATCCATCTCGCAACTGCCACCTGTCCCAGCAGCCATTGATTACAACGCCACATCCCCATCCACTGGCATCCACATAGACGTTCCACTTGTCCGAAATTGGCTTCTGAAACTGTAAAATGCGAGGGGTACAGTCTTGTAAAGCGGACCTCCACCACTGCAAGTCTATGATCGTTCGTTCTTCGAGTCTTATCTGCCTTGTTTGCGGGATGCCTTTACGAATTTCCAGTTCCTTGACAAAGGAGCGCGTGTAGCCCTTGCCGTCGATGATGACCGAGCAGCACCAGATCAACTGTCCCCGCAGTTCGTTAATCTGCTCAAGGGATGCTGTCTTTTCGGCCAAGAGTCTCTCAACTCGCTCGAGGTAGCTCTTCTTTGCCTTGTCCGTGAGCGTGACGCTGCGGTTGGGCATATCCCAATCGAAGCCGACATAGGTGAAATGGTCCGAGAATTCTTGATCCTTTTCATCCTTTGTCGGATAGCCAATTTCTTTCAAGAGACGCTTGATGTCCCCTAGAGAAATGGTCATCCCATCGTGACTGCCTATGCCCAACCAGTTGGCCCATCCAGTGGTTTTGACTGGGGTTTGGATAATGACGTGATCGTCTTGCCATTTTGCCGGGATGAGATGTGGCCATTTCGCTTTGAGTATCTGGTGCAACATATCCGCCATTCTTCCATGGGGAACACCGGCATTAACACCTAACCAGCAGTTAATGGAGATACTATACTCGAACGTGCGTACCTCCAAAATGCGGTGCGCGGTCGACGCGAACTTTGCCGTCCCAATAGATGCATGTGAGATGCTGGTCCTCTCTTCGTAGCGGACACATGCGGTACGCAGACTTGCCGTCGAACACACAGGCTTTGGATCCAGGGGGAGCGTTGAGGATGAAGTCGCACATTAACTTGAAGCCGGTTGACGAATATTGGTCGCTTTGTGATATGCAATGAGTGTTGAGCGCTCTTTCGTGCCCTTTGAATGGAAAGCTATCGTCGTGAATGACTCGCTTCTCCCCGTTTGGGTTCCACTTGTCTTTGTCGACTACACCCATGGGAGCGGAGAAGTAAGGTCCGATGATCCTTTCGAGCTCATCAGGTTCATACGCCCGCGAGTAGCGTCCAGCCGCTTCTTCCTTCTTGATGTCCTTGATGATGGCTTCCGGGTGCCGAAGGGCTGAACCGTGGTTGTGATGGATGATTCGCTTGGGGAGTGTCCATCCACTGGCAATACCAAGCGGAAATCCATTCCGTAAAAACTCTAGGTTCTCCTTGTTCCTTGCGTCCAAGAGGCCATACATTCGCAATATTTGCTCTAACCGGACCACATTGAACGTCGTGACGATCTTGCGAGGGTCATCGGGGCGGTAGATTTTGGGACGGATGTTGTTATTGGCGTTTCCGCCCAGCAGGAGTTGGAAGGGATTGGCCTTGCTCGCCGGGTGCTGTCCTTCGGGCTTGGAATGCATGTGGACGGCACCTTTCTCGTTGATGATACCAGCTGGTATATAAGGTCGTGTGCCTGGAGCCTGGTCGGCTTCTGATCCTGAGTCACTCTGTGGAAAGCGAGACTGGGGCGTTGAATATTGACGAATGGAGTCTGACTTGGGTCAGAATTCCCCACAGTAATATGACATCTAATACATACGTTGTGTCAGATTTGCCAGGCAAGGACAGACAGCGCTCTCACAGAGCTGAGATCAAGGTCCTTGAGTGGTCATGTAACGCAAGGATTGTTGTCCCTCCTAGCCAGTTTAATACTCGAATTGGGATGTAGCGAATCACGCACAAAGTCCGCTTTGCGCGTCCCAGAATGCATTGAATTTAAGATTTGATCGAGACAGAGTCCAGTCTTGCGGCTCATATCTGTTGTTGAGAAGAGGTGGAGCAAATCTGCGTTGTAACCGTCCTCAAATGCAAATATGACTGTTTCTGATATAAATTCTTTGCAAAGATCGACCTGGTTATCAGAAAGAGAATGTCGTCCATGATTAGGTCAGAGTTCAGGTTTGTGCCGACCACACACGTCTGTCTGAACCGTCGCAGCAGCTGGAGATCCTCCGCGCGTATCTTCCGATGAATCTATATTTTTGACAATTGTCTGCGGATTGCCGCCTGTCCGGTGCCGAGGGCTTGCATGGCCAATGCCCGAGTCGGTGGATGACGACTCGACTCGGCCTGGGCTTTGTACATTTCTGCGCACGTCTCTCTTCGGCACTACTGCGCATCTCCATCCATCCGTCTATAAAAAAGCGCATCCTCCCACCGTCCTGACCCCATCCATCCACCAAGACTTAGGAATCAACCGATATCCACTCTCCAATCTCATTCAACCTCGACAATTAGATAATGCACCACGGCACAAGCTGGCATGGATACAGCGGCCCAGCCCCTTATTGGCGTCGACCTGGCCCCTCTCGTCTCTGGTGGTTCTTCCTAGGTGGAGTCGCCATGGCATGGTGGCAACATCACTCTGCCAAAAAGGAGCGTGAAGGTGGCTTTTGGTGTACAAATGCGCGCCGTAAGCGCGAGCTGCGTGGGGATCCCGAGCCCGAGTCGAGGTCTTACCAATACCAGTCTAGCGGGAGCGCAAACCCTCTATCAGATCCAGCAGCCGCTGCGAATAGCAGACCAGAGCCCGAGCCGTTGTGGAAGCTGAGAAGCGAAAAGGAGCAAGAGAGGATCCAGCGTGAGCGTGAGGATGCCTTTCGAGAGGAGTTGATCAACGCACGTGAAACGGTATGTCGCAGATGCATGTCGTAAAAGAGCCACGCTGACGTACTTTCTTGTAGATGCTCTCCGCCACCGAGAGTGGCCTCCACTCCCTCCGTGACAGCATCGACTCGTTGACAAGGGTACGTCTCCTCCCATCTAGTATGTAACGGATCTCACCTCTTTGTACAGATGATCCATGAGCAACGACGAGAGCGTCCTTCGCGCGACGCTTCTCCCAATCCTGAAAAGCGTGATTGAGCGGCTGGAAATCCAACGCTGCGATTCCTACTGTATAAAATTTTACCTATTCCATTCCTGAATCAAGAATGATAGCTTTCTACCATGCTTTGGGAATGAGTCTCGCTCTATTCATACTAGTAAGCAACCAAGAACGTCGTTTCACCAATGGCCATGCTTTGAGTAAACGAGTGCACTATCCATCTGCCAACAACGGACAATTGCGGGCAATCTACGATGTGGGATTAGCCAGAGTCGAAACCCAAGACGGTACTCACATGTCCCTCCTTGTGACACTTGTAGCACACTTTAGGCTTTGACGTTCCGTTGACAGGCCCATCATGCGCATCATTGACACTCTTGCCACCCACGCCTTGCTGCCCTTCGACAACTGTACCAGCAGGTGCCATGCAATCCCTACACCACATATCATCACCAGCACAACAAAGATCAAGAGAAATGCAAACCTAGAATAGTGGTTCAACTCGCCACACCGCCAGCACTTGACGGGAGCCGTTCCTGCTTGCGGCGTGCGTGCTGGACGAGAGGGTACACCTCTTCCAAACCCTGCACTCCCAGGAACATGTACAGAGGGACAAAACCGCGCGAGGTGCCCCGCACGACCACAACTCTACCAACCGCATCACAACATCATCCAGTACTCGCAGATATGATCCAAACGTACATGACATTTCTGCGTCGTATGCCCAGATTTTGCACTTGCATTCCTCAGACTCGGACAATCCGACTGGTAAAATCTGTCAGAATGGGAGAAGGGAATGGAGAATGGGCGGGGGTTGCGTACTTGGACATGACCGATCCCACCACACCCATAGCACTGTTTTCCAGCAACACTTCGTGGTTCAGGACACGCAGAGCTTTCGTGGCCGGGTTTGCGGCAGTTGAAGCAAAGCCGCGGCTGCGTGCATGCGTCGGCGGTATGTCCAACTGACCGTCAAGAGCAAGATAAAAGAGGCAGGAATGTAGGGTTAGTCTCGAATGAGGAGCTGACCCCAACAAGAAAAGGCGTACGCGTGCCACATTTGAAGCAGCCGAGTCTCTTGACTGGATTACTCATTTCTCTAAACTTTGTATCTTTACTTCTCTGCACTGTTCAAAGTCCAATGATGTCAATCTGCTGCAGGCCAAGCCAGCTGGCCGCAAGGATGCAGACACGCAATTGCTGACCTGGAATCTTCAGCTTCAGCGTCGTTCACTCCCTTCTTCACCTCCACAAAGCGTCTCGTCGGCCTCTTTTTCCCGCGGGTCACGACAACGCACAGTTCAAAGAATCAAAAGGTGCTCACAGCCACTTATGGCTCGGGGTCGAGACGAGTCGATTTCACACTATGAATGGTACAAACTCAAGAGTCAAAAACCCTTTTTGAATTTTTTTTGGTCAAGAAGAGGTGCTCGATGCGCGACTACGATGGCGTTTCGAAATCTGGACGAGCTTGGAACGAAGACGCATGAGGGCCTTGCCGTATTCGTTGCGGCCCTTTTTGTCCGGACCAATGCCCCAAAATGCATCATTCGAGTTCTGCAATGACGCTGTCAGTAATCTTGAAGCACACGGTATGTAATCACGAACTCACCTCTACGAGTTCGGCATCCCCAGTGCCGAGGAGGAGTTTGACGAGCTCTGGATGCTGAGAAAACTTGAGCGTAATGATTTCGTTCATCTAACACAGGGCCGGGTCAGTTAGAGGACAAATACGGATAAGCTCCGTGGTTCCCACCTTGGCGATCTGGACAATATGCCAATCCTCGCGGACAAAGGCTTGATAGGCCTTGCCGAGAGAATGAGCCTGGCTTGGACGTGGAGACGACGTCCTGATGTATTCTGCAATATCGGGGCGGCCATCGACAAACTGATCAAGTGTGAGTGCACATGATCGTGAAATACAATGAACATACCTTGAGAGCTTGAAAGAGATGTTCTGCAGTCGGGTAGAGCGCGCCGTCATACAAGATCTGCATCGTTCCAGAATTTGTGGGGTGAGCAGGGGACCGACTTGGCGGACAAGAGGACGTACAGGATGAGGAGACGAAGTAGCAAACTCGCTATAAATGCCATGATCTTCACTAAAGAGGATCTGGGGGACCTTGCGAGTACGCTTGGTCGCTGGTTGGCTCATTGCTGTGTTTGTGGTGTCGACTGCTGCCTTGTTGGGCAAGAGTCCTGGACGGGTATGGACGAGCAGAGGCTGCCAGAGTTTCCAGTGCGGCCCGCTCGTCTGCGTGGCCATGTCAGTCGTCGCCGACGTGTACGGCGAGCTCACTCACCCTCGTTAGAGGCGATTTATCGAATGCGTTGTAGTCACATGATAAGTTTTGACGGGAAACTTGCATTCGTTGCACAGAGGCAGAAATTGGGAAGAAATAGACGGCAAAGGTAGAGGCCAAGCTGTGGGTGCTCGGCGCGTCACCCTTAAGCCTCAGAGGACTGGATTAGGTAATCCCACCCGCAGTTGACCTCTGCCGGGAGTCCCGGTGGCAGGGTAAGCATCGGAGGTAAATGACCAGTCCCCCTCTGCCCAGCTCACAAGTCTCTGGATTATGTCGCCATCCATCCCTCCATCTCGACTGAGCTCTACACGAGTCTCGGCCCCAAGAATAAAAGACAGCCCACGTTCGAAATCAGGATACAGACAAGACGACACGAAAACAAAAGTCTATAAACCAGAATCTCTTGCTCGAGTGCAGTAGCAGAGAGTACCCGTGCATGCCTGCCACAGAGTCCATCAAAATAGATTACGAGGTCATTCTTCTTCCGAATTGGACAGGGCACCATCAGGGGCCCACTCCTCCGCATCGGTCAATCGTCGCTTCTTGCGAGGGGCTGGGCCATCCTTGTTTCTAGTGCGCTATTGGACCTCGCTCAGCAGATACACCTCGGGACAGCGGGTGAATAATACGAACCCCAGGAATCTTGAGGCCCTGTTGCAGAAGCTTCTTTGACAGAGCCGTCGTCGCTAGAAGCCTAAATCAGCCACAGGAGAGAGAGAGAGAGAAGGGAGGGGAGCAGGAGAAAGCCGAAAGAACGTACGAGGCACACCAGGAAACTTTTTCGCCGAAAACACGGTAAACGGTTGAGTAAAGACTTGGGCAAGTACAGTCGAACTGTCGCTGCGGACGCGGGTGGCCCCTGGTTCGGGTGCTGGAGGGCTACCATCGACGCTAATGTCAATCCCCATTACTCTCACGCAGGTATAGTGGTTCGAAACGAAGCGTACCCTCCGACATTGACCAGCCGCATTCGCAGCCGGAACACGCCCTCTTTGCGCACGGATAAATCCTGAAAGAGGAAAAAGATGCCTGGCTCATCGTTGTCGTCTGTCAACAGCTGGGCTCCTGCGGCCAAGGGTCCAATCAATGTCCTGGCACACTCTGCTGGCTCGTCTGTGGACCATGGTGGTGGTGGTTGCATCGAGCCGTTGATCACGGGTTGTGGTAGTGTGTCGTGACCGACGTACACGCTCGCCGTAGTCGCCGTCGTGGCTTCTTGTGGCAACGATTGCCCATTCGGAGTGAGGACCGAGATTCCGGATGTATAGGTGGCGTTAGGGGGCATAGCCGCGTACGAAGGACTGATATAGTTGGTAAACGGCAGCAGGTCCTGCGAGGCAAAGGCAGACGGATAGAGAGCCACTGCGTTTAAATCTTGAGGGTAGAATGGATGGGTAGGAACTTGTTCAGGTCCGCTTGCTATCGGAGCTTCTGCCCCACCTATAGAAAACAAATCAGGGGGAGGGGGAGGGGTTTCCTTTGTGCTAAGAGCCACCCACCTTCATTAGCGCGTTTCGAGCGCTTGCGCTTAGCCACCGGAGACGCTACTGTCAAACTCCGGGTTGGTGACGTCGGCGAGCGTTGTCGATCAAAGACTTGGGTACTCGTGCTGGCCATGCTGCTCGACACAAAGGGCGACTGGCTGTCAGCAAAGGTATAGCTCTGTAATGGAATAAATGGCACTCTTTCCCAGGAGTTTTTCTTAGCAAGGACATACGGTTCCGTTGGTTTCGAGAACAGATGGCGACGACTCTGTGCGCACATGTCTGTTTCGTTTGGCGCTGACACTCTGCTGCGTCGGAACGCGAACGAGATTGCAATCCTTTTGACCTTCTTCGTCCCATAGATCGACGAGAACAATGAAAAACGCAGCCTGGATGGACCTGGTGGGTAGGCTGAGAAACCAAGTTAATCGTATAAAAAGAACGGGGACGTACTCGGGCGAGACAATCCGATTATTCTCATCCGTGACGAGCAATCTTGCGACTGCAGCTGGAGCGAGCGGTCTCCGATCCTGGTCATCCACAGCGGCGCGGGCGAGGAAAATGATTAGAAAATGGACTAGACGGACAATGGGTACCGTACTTTGTCTCCAAAGCCGCACATGCGTGCGCGGATGGGATTCTGGATGACTTCGAGCGCATAGTTTCTGGATTGTTCAGCACAAGTTGTAAGTTATTGTCGGCGACCCGAAACAAGGGTTCGCGCACTTTTCGCCGTGTTTAGACGACCATTCGCGGAGGAGTGGAGGTGCAGATGGCGCGTATGACGCGTCTTGCGCGTTGTACATATTTTATGTAGATTATTCGTGCTGAACCAGCGTTGAAGAGCGTAGTGCCGCAAGCGACGAGGAGGGAGTGCAAGCCCCCGGATTACAATGGCGTACAGACGTCGCTGTCCAGGAATGATATCTACCGCTCCTCTGTGGCAAATGCGTGGAATGGTCGCTGGCAAAGTTGTCACCAGGCCTTGGGTCGCCATGAACCCGTCTTGCGTAAAGGGTCGATGGAAATTCTCGATTATTACAATTGCATAATTAAGTAACACCTGTCAATCACCGTGAGTGTCTGTCCCCCGATCCAGCCGTCGCATGGGATCCGCCGTCTTCGGTAGATATCTCTCTCATTCTTTTTGGCTATCCGTTTGCACACAGGCCGTGCCACCGCTCTTGGACCCGTACGCGACACTCACGACCCAGCTCACGACTACAAAAAATGGGAGAATACAGGCAGGAACTCATGAAACTCATGAAACGAGAAGATTTGGAAAACAAATGTCAGCTTTTTACAGCACAGTACATACCCGCTAACGCACTTCCAGTCTGTGTAGATTGCGGAGCTCCAAACCCCCAGTGGGCCACCATTCCCTATTCCGTCTTTATCTGTCTTCAATGTGCTGGTTTGCATCGCGGACTCGGTGTTCACATCTCCTTCGGTAAAGCAAATCCCATCGGATGCTGAGCCGGGTCTGACAGTTGGCAGTTCGCTCCATAACGATGGATGAATGGACAGAAGAACAAATGAAAAAGATGCGAGTATGTCGCAAATCCATCCGAACAGCGTGGCGTGACATTGGATAGATTGGCGGCAATCTGCCCTTCAAGACGTTTATGAAAGACTATACTCCGGTCGAGCAAGGAGGTTATCGTGAAGGAATGGGCATTTCTGAAAAGTATCATACATGGGCTGCCGCGCAGTACAAAGAAAAGGTGAGGATATGGATTGTTCTACTGTCCATATGCTGATCCTCCATCTAGCTTGCCGCAGAAGTCCAAGGACAAGACTGGTCTCCTTCGGCTCCTCCTGCCAATTTCGGTCAACCCATCTCGAGGCCGTCGTCTGCTCAAGGAATGCGCAAGCCCCGCGCATCCGCTCGAAGCAACCTAGGCTCCTCGCTCCGAAACGACTCTGCCTCTCCATCCCCCGATTTAGGCGGAACGCCGTCTTCGACATCCTTGAATGACGCCGCATACGAGAGGAAGACGGCAAACGAAGCATACTTTGCCGGACTCGGTGAAGCCAATGCGCGGAGGAGAGAAGATTTACCACCTTCTCAAGGTGGGAAATATCAAGGTTTTGGTAATACCCCACCCGTCTCCTCTCATCCTTCGTATGGCACAAGCTCCGCCGCGATGCCGACGCTCGAAGAGATTCAGACGCAACCTGTGCAAGCTCTTTCCAAAGGATGGTCGCTTCTCTCCATGGCCGTAACAGCAGCTAGCAAAGTCGTTGCGGAAAAGGCAATGGACCCGGCTCTGCATGAGAGCGTCAAGTCTTATGCCGCCTCTGCAGGAAAGCTCGCCATGGACACGGGAAAGTCTGCCAACGAGTGGAGCAAGCGTGAGCTCGGTGTCGACGTTGCGGATCGCGTGAGCGGTGTGGCAGACAAGGCCAAGGGCGCATTGGGCATGTCTTCCCATCCAGGTGGTGGGTACAGCGCAGTAGGAGGGCATGGAGGAGCACAAACTGGGTTTGGAACGTGGCATGATGAGGACGATTCACGGCTGTACGCAGAGGGGGACGACGACTTTTTCGATCGACATGGTGCAGGAGACGAGGCTCATAGTGATATCGTCACGCCCACTACACCCGCGACTGCGAATAGCAATGCAACCTCTGGTTCGAGTGCACCGCTGACCACAAAGGCGACGACGAAGAAGGATGATTTCGAAAAGGATGAGTGGGCCTGGTGATCGCTGTGTACGCCATTATCCCATAATTTATTCTTTGTTCTTCTCTTCCTTGTTTCTCCGGGTGCAGATCTGGGAGCTGTCAGCGTGCGAGGCTATGCAACCGGTTTCACGGCTTGGACAACTCCTCTATCCTCCTCCAAGGCTGCGGCCGCTCTAATCGTCGACAAAAGGGCTTTATATCAGCCTCTGTCTACCCGATAAACGCATTCCTCTGGACTGCGACTCACATTCGTTTTACCACGGCCAGCCCTAACACCAAACGTCGCACCGCCGACACCTCGGAGCAAGCCTAGACAAGTCCAAAGTTGTGATTTAGGACTCTCGAAGCCGCTCAGCAACTCCCTTGAAGTGCTCAAGCCTTGCTGAGACCCGGAAACTCTACGCGGCTTTGTAAATATTCGCAGAAAACCAGCGAAAACCATGCGGAGTATGTTCACCTACCTGATATCAATCTATAAGAGCATTTAGCTAATCGCTCCGTGTCTCCCAGGAGCTCGTCGTTTACCGCCGGTAACAATCTCCCATTTGGAGACTCACCATGCCTATACCAGTACGCATATTGCTCTATATACTGTTGAAAGTGCCGACATTTCGTCTAGGCCCCCCACTTCCGGAAAAGGGCGGTCTACCCACGATTATTGTGACGCCTGCGGATTCGTCGGGTCCGTCAGAATTTGAGATCCACTTCTATTCTCCAAAAGCCTCGGAAACCACATTTGGAAACGTCGCCTCTCCTTCGCAGGGCTTTATGCCTCGCATGCGTTCCTTCTTTCGACGCTCATCCCCCATTGGGCAACAACCACCGACGCAAATCGAGTCGTCAGGAACCGAGAAAGCCAGTTACCGAGGTAGCGCTTACGAGGAGGACATAGCCGAGGCACGCTGCAACGTCAACGTCAATGTTAACATTATCAATGTCCACGGCTCCTCAGCCGAAGTCCCGCGTATCATCGTTTCTCGTCCAACGCGCAATGGAGGCTACGTGTCGATTCCGCAGGACGAAGAGATGGGTTGCGACATTCGACGACGAAGTCTTTCCCAAGAGAGTGAAGACGAAGAGGAAGATATTGTGATGGATGCCATTGTCGTTGGCGTTCCGACCATTTCCGAACAGGATTGGACTGCGTTGAACATGCCCTCTGGCCCGCTCCTTGTACAAAATACGGGGAGTGTCATGGGCATGCACGATTCGACGGCGCCGACGCTCATGGTTGGTGGAGGACGACCTTCCTTTTTGACACGAAGAATGAGGACACTCCTCTTCCTCAGTATCCCTGTGGCGCTCGTCGGCCTCCACTTCTTCAACCACTACATGCCTTCCTTCTTTGGCTCGCCAGACATCGGTGCTCAAGAGTCGACATGGTTCGACGTGCCCTCGGCACCTTTGAGTGGCCCCACGTTTTAAAGGAACGAGGCTCACAATTTCACATCGAGGATCGGACTATTGGATTGGAGACTTTTACCTATGTAAATTCATGCGGACACTTTCCTCTGGCTGTCGTCACAGCTGTCCCTTCCTTTTATCTTGCCCCTTTTTTCACGAAGTACCCTTTATAATCTCCCTACGACTCCGTACGCTCCGCCCTCCCCCATCCTCCAACCCTGACGCCGCTTTTCCCCTATTGTATGCGCGCCAACTCTGGTAATATTCTTGTCGCTCTTTGAACACACACACACTCGCTTGATCTTTTGTCGCCTTTGAATGTTGCTGTATATCACCTGTGCTTCCATCCGTCCCATCGTGTGATTGAGGCGTATATATTCGCGATACATTTACATGTGAGGAATTGACCTTTGTGATCAAGTTTCAGCCACGTCTTCCCCAACCGCTGTGGTCGTAATGCCGACCCTCGCAGCAAGCTGTTGCGTCTTCTCTACTGCCGCTTTGATGTGCTCGTCTCTGTAAACTTTTGTCAATCACTCAAATTGTCTGTGTAAAACTTGTACGCACTCGGAACCCAAATGCCTTCCAATATCCAGCATCTGTTTCGAGCCAAGCTCAGCCTTGTTATCCGCTTGTGCCGCCTTTTCCTGCTCTTGCATGTCCTTTACAAGTGGCAGGAGCGTCTCTAACTGCTTTGACAACTAGATGACCCAGAAATCAGTCAAGGTGGTTTAACAAAAGGAAATGCATACCATTTCAACTTTGGAGGAGAGCGCACTTCCATCCCCGCTGGAGACAACGTCTTTGTGCATCCGCTTGAGCTCGCCAAACCACTGCTTCTCGCTGGCCGTCAATTCCCCGCTATACGAATCCATTACACGTTGCATTATAGCATCAACGCGCTTTAGCAGCGCTGGTAATGCAGCGGCAATTCGGTCCAAACGCGCCAACGTCTGCGCGCGTTGACCACCGGTGCCGTAGATGCCTACGAGCTTATGCACCCGAGGTTGGAGTACCCGTAAAGTCGTGAGTTGTCGGTCTCGCTCTTTCATCAGATAGAAGATACGGTCTTCCATCACGCCTGGTCTGCCTTGTACAGACCGGTCGCTTTGTGAAAGTACGGCGACTGCCCTAGCAAATTGTCGTAGCTGATCTGGAGTCGCTTCGTCTTTTCCGACCACAATATGTGGCACCGGTGGTATTATGGGAGGCGTGTAGGGAGGAAGACCGGTGAATGGTTCCGAATTGTATGGAACATAAGATGGGTGCTTCTTGGGTGCGTGTCTGCTGGAACCCGCTGCATCGCTTGACTGAGCGAGATCGCTTGTCGTGCCATCACTCGACATTTTCTGGAGACGCTCAATCATAGCTGCCGTTTCAGGATCGAGGGTCACGTCGCCTTCGTGAGGCTCTGGTATCCGCATTTGTAACTCCAGAGGAACGGCTTGCGAGTTCGAGGTAAGGGCGAGCATCGAATAATCGACGAAAAGGTCGGAAGAAACAGCCAAGCCAACGATTGGGGATGCTGCCCTGATGACAGTTGTCAACAGAGACAATTGGTTCAGATAAATCCTCACCTCATTGGGGATCCACTGTCTCTAATAGCTGAGCGGCATGCGATATTCCGTTGGGGCTATCTTCCACGAGCTGCCGCACAAACTCTTCGAGAACGGTCTCACCCTTTTCTCCTTCCTTGGTAAGACTTTTCTGCAATGCTGCCGACATATCTGCCATCCATCCGAGCCAGAGTGCATGCACACCAAAGCTATGATAGACGTAGACAGTGTCCCCATATACTGGATCTAACATCATCGTAGGATGATTCTGGGCGAGGAATTTTGGGTGTAACGGTGCTGATGTCAAGAGCGGTTTCGACGAGCCTGATGAGCCTCCTTGCGGTTGTACGGGACGGAAATAGGCCATATAGTCCAGGTCGATCGTCTCCAGTACAAGGGTGACTGGTGAATTGGCAGTGACTCCCTATACGTTTGTTGGTACTGAACTATTCCCACTGTAGGACGTACCGGTCGCGACCAAACAGCTTCAACCTTTACGAGATCCAAACATACATCCACTCTGCCGTCGCTATAGGTGATCAAGATGACACCTGCATCTGCAGATTTGGTTGATGCGCGTCTGGGTTGGTCGGTGAAGAGATGTGTGTAAAGTATATCCGTAGCCAATTCTTCCCATTCCGGGGTAGGGCTTGGTCCTGGTGCCGGCCGGAATCTGAATGGTCCTTGAGACTCTGGCTCGAGTTTGATGTTTGTTGGTACGTCAAGAGTGACGAGTGCGGATCGTGTCTTTGATGCCGTGCTGGAGATGCTCGAAATAGAGAGCTCCTTTAACAATTCGGTCGACTGCGCAATATCCTGTGAGATGCTGTCATCTGCAGGGAGTTGCCTGGTGAGGGAAGATATGTATTTCCGTTGATGGTCGTATACACTCGGAAGGTCCAACTCTTCCCCTGCGCTTGTAATGGAAGATACGGAAGACGCAAACGAGGACATTGGGTTGAAGGCAGGAATTGTGGATTTGTGGAGAGAGTAATCGTTGAGAGCCAACGCCTCCTTTCCACGTACGTAGGCTTCCAATGACAATATGTAAGACTGATCGATTCGTCTGTAATAGGATAAGTCAGTGGGTTGCGTGCAGCCATGCACCTACAATCTGGAGGGGCCGACAGGGCAAATGGCGTATAAATCTCCATTCCTCATGAGGCCGTACACAGTTAGAGGAGTCCAGTCACTACACCCTCTGGCGCCGGTTCTGTCGTTTGAAAGGCAGCCAAACGAAAATGAAATAGCCTCTGAAGCCAGTGGGTCATCCGTGTTGAATGTGTTTCGCTTCTTTCGCTTTTGCACAAAGTTGAACGTTTGCAATGCATCGTCTGAGCTGACCGTGACGTCGTATTCTTTCAAGACGCCGTCGGCTGTGAGGACAAACAGGGACCTATACCCCTCTGCGAGTGGATGCCACTCGATCTTGACGACCCTGGGAGAGCCCTTCACTCCATAATAATAAGGTGCCACTTGGATAGACTTGCATTCTATGATGGGAGCTTTACTCCCACGAGCGTTTGAAGGTAAGACCACTATGGCGGCGTGGTGTGCACCTGCAACGGCCAGTAGGCATCCGTCTGCATTGAGTACCATTTGTTCAATAGTGAATTGAACCTGAGGAGCATGGAGGGTCTGAAGAAACGGATTAGACAATCAGTTGGGATAGAATGCACACCATTCATTGAAGACTTGAGAATAATTTATATGTATAATTGATTTTGCTCACCTTGTATGACCTTGGGGCACGCGGCATCTTTGCGTCTAACAGACTAGCGATACGAATTTGATTGTTGACCGCGACGAGTATGTCAGATTCTCGATATAAAACACGACATCGTCTCTGAGGAGTGCCTTTGGGTCGAGAAACCAATGTTTTGACGCGTTGAAGTACGCATTTCGAGTCCACAACGCGTGTTGGAAAAGCGCGGGCAATATAATGAGTTCGTTTTGGAGCAAATCAGAGATTCAGGTCAGCTGTCGATTGAATGAAGAGGCAAGACTGGTGTTCGAACCTGCTTGAGCTGTCGAGACTGCATGGAAGTCGTCTGCCAAGTCGAATATAGGATGTGTTCGCAATGATATTGGCCATGGTGCATCTGACGCGCTTGGGTGATGCGTTTGGACGTGCATGCGAATGCAAGTCCCGAAGGTAAGGGTCCAAAGTGGATGTACCACTCCGTCCTGGCCACTCCCGTCGCTTTTGAACATTGATGGCTAAACAGCCTCAGAATCAACTCTATGCATTAGATCCGGCCCTAGAGGCTCGATTGACCTTGTCATCCTTCGAGGTGAGCAAGCATACTGAGCAAGGGTTTTAACCGGACCATTGATTGGTCGTAACAGGACAAGTTCGACCTCAAAGAGTTCATAGGTTCGGTTTCAGACAAGTTGATCGCCAAATCGCAAGAGGAACCTGGTCGTTCGTTGCTATCGCGTTTCAATTTCTGTTACTCAATCTACTTCATCCAGCATTTACACCAGTTCCCTTCATTCGCACATTTGAGTCTGTTGTCGACCGACTTATTACCATTCGCAAAGATCTACAGCAACGGACAGAGCAGATGGAGAAGAGTGTCAAACAGGCAGAAAGGGAATTCAGCACGCGAATGAAGGGTCTTAACGACAACTTCGAGGCAAGCATTCTGCCTCCGTCATCCATTTCCTCACCCATCGCAGGAGGTCTCCAAATCGTTCGCTGGAATGGAGAGCAGAATATCTGAAGTGGGAAGGACAGCTATACGCATAGGTTTGGGTTTTGCTTCCTTCATAAGCGTACAATCTGACAGTGTCTAGGTGAACAGCTCGAATCTGTCCACGCGTCACGTCTGCGAGCACAGGCTGCGCATGATTTGATCGATTTTTATATCCAATTCTCGCGTAACGACGTCACAAAACTAGACGTTTTGAGGAAAGAAGGTGGGAAGGAAGGAAGAATGAAGCTTGCGATCCTATTGCGCCGAATGAAAACCACAGCCAAAGAGGTGGATATTCCTATCGCAGAACAGGTTAGTATGCTCCATTTAGGTGATATTTACTCACGCCTTGAAGGTCAAGGAGAATGTCGACAAGTATTGTGAAAAGTTTGAAAAGGATATGCTGCGTCTCTTCGATCGCAGCTATCGAAAAGGAGACCCGACAATGATGGCGGTTCGTTGCGCACTCTTTTCCATTAAAATGCTAATATTCTTGAGAAGCACTGTGCAAAGGTGCTATTGGAATTTAATGGAGGGGACACCTGTGTGCGAATATACGTCAATCAACACACCTTTTTCATCGGAAAGTCTGGCGAAGTGAAAATACCTGATGCCGACGAAGTGTAAGCTCTCTTGTCTGTGTAAGGCTGTTATTGACTCTCGGGCAGGTGGGAACCCTTACCTGATCCAGATGAACCTCCGCCAGCAAACGAACCTGGTTTAGCCAAATTGTACCGTGAAATTAAAAGTACAGTGGGAGAAGAGGTCAAGATTGTGGAGCATGTCTTCCCTAATCCTGGAAGCGTCGTGCAGATCTTCTTGATGAGAGTATTTGCCCAATCGGTATGATAGCTCATTAACCCTAGGATGATACTAAGGTGGAATAGATCCAGCAATACCTTGAAGCACTCCTCAATCGGGCTGCCGCGGTTTCAGCATTGGCATTTCTGCGTATCCTCAAGCTCGCACATGCACAAACGACAAGTTTGGTTGAATTCTTGAAGAGTTATGATCCCAGCACAGCGCTCTTTCGCTATAACGAAAATAAGCCATCAGCCACTTCGCGTCTCAATAATCAGTCTTCGACGCCAGGTCCAAGTGTCGCTTTGTCAATGATGCTTGACGGTGCTATGGAGGAGCTATTCGTGCCATACACGGAAGGCCAGCGATATATCGAAAAGGAACTAAAGAGTCTAAGTGAGCTATATATCCTCAATCTTTATCCGTTTGGCAAGTGGCATGTAAGTCTGCATTCATTTGTTCGCCTTTTGACTGATTTGGTTCAGGAATCAGTATCTCGCTCAAAGACAAGTGGCGGATTCTTCGACAGAATGAAAAATCAGCTCGCTTCGACTGCGGCTGCAACCTCTTCGGTTACTGGTAACGCCACGGCAACCGCACAAGCCGCACAAGCGCTCCTCAAGTATAGTGGTATCAATCCAAACGCAGCGAACAAGGTCAGCTATCTCTGCCTCGCGATACCAGACGTTGATCCTCGGTGAACAGGAGAGTGAATATCAACCTGTGGAAGACGATGGCAAACTCAAGGTTGAAGTTGCCGAAAAGATGCTCAAATGGCATGCTGAATCCATTGGGCGATGCGTTGAGCTGAGCGCACAAGGCGACCTCCCAAAGAATGTCTTTTCCCTCATGCGAACGCTCAGTGATGCAATCGGGAGAGGATATGTTGAAACTGCCCTAGAGACGTGAGTCAGTCCTCTCGTTGTTTCCGAGCATTGACATTCCTGCAGTGCCCAGAATCGTTTGGATACACGAGATCCAAAATTGGAGCCAGAATACTCGATCCTGAGCGTCATTCGCCAGGTTGAGCTCATTTGCCATCTGTGGCAACAATATGTTTCGGTTGCACTACTGCCACTGGCGTCCTCGTCGATCGTGGTAAGACGAGAGATGGCACTCTTCAACAATCAAGTCATCAACCGCATAGAAGGTTTGACTACTGGAGTCCTACAGCGCTTAGCCGATGGTGAGCACCGCCAAATGCTTCTCACGTCTCTGCGCTGAACCTCCTCTAGCAACAGTGAAATGGTTGACTACCCAGCTTGGGAAACAGAAGAAGACGGATTTCAAACCACGTAACGACGACCTATCGCAGACAAATACAGAAGCCTGTCAAGCATCGTGCAATACTCTGAAAAAGGTGCATGAAGCGGCCAAAGAGTTTCTTAGTGGGGGGAACCAGGAGTCATTCTTGATGGAAATTGGTGTCAACTTCCACTCGTAAGCTGTCTTCGATTTCATCAATATCTCTAACTTCTCGAAGTCTACTCCTTGACCATCTTAAGAAATTCCCCGTCAGTGCAACAGGAGGTGTCGCACTCGCAAGGTGAGGAAACTTATAGAGACAACCACATCCATTAACTGCTTCCCAGGGATTTGAGAAGCTACCAGGAGGCTGCTCAGCGGTTCAATATCCCAATCGTGGACGAACGCTTCGAGTTCCTACGCCTTCTCGGGAATCTCTTCATGCTTCCACATGATGCGATCAAACAGTATACCGAAGATAATGCACTAGGAGGCGTCGACCTTGGCCTCCTCAAACCATATCTCATGCAGCGAAGCGACTGGGGATCGTTTTCAATTGCTGGCATGGATGGATCCAGCGACCCAACACCTGTAGAGCAGGATACTGGTACAGGATTGATGGAAAGGTTTGGCTCAGGACGTCTTGGGACGATGATGAAGGAATTGGAGAACTTGAGGATAGGTACAGAGGATCTCAAGCTGCCATCACTTCCTACGATGCCCACAATGCCATCTATGCCGTCTATGCCATCAAGACCGTTCGGCCTTGGTGCACCCTCAGCTTAGGTTACTTGTAATGGTATCGATTGAATAGAGCCTTTTGGCGTACGCAAAGCGCGGGCGATCTGTAGGATGCGTTGGAAAGAGTATTTTCTATCCTCGAGTTACTCGTATATTGTAATCTTTGATAAATGTCGTAAACTCCTCTTCTTTGGATTTGTACTGAGCTGCGAGCGTAGCCACCACTCCTTTGATCTAAACAAAATGTTAGTTATCTTCTATCAGACACAAAGTCGTAGGTTCTGCTTACCCCCTCAAAGTTTGTCTGGAGTGTGGGCAAGACGTCGCCGACTGTACGTTCTACGAGCACACCGCCAACCATTCTAAAGCATTTTCGTGATGGTTCCGTTTCACTCAACGTCGCTAGCACGAGTCTGCAGCACATCGTCAGTCGAGAGAGATTGCGGGTGGAAGAGACGCACTGGTGCTCCTCTGCCTCTGATTCTAGTTCTCCAATCTTCTGAGCGAGAGCTTGTAGCTCACTCTGCATCCTTGAGTAATTCTGTTGGATTTCTATGTGCACGCCACAGCGAATTAGTAAACCCCCAGTTCGAGCGACAATAAGAAAGTGGACCACAGAGGTAGCTACACTACCTTCTGTCGTCAAAGATTTTTGTTTTGATTTTGATTTCTGCTTGGATGCCATTGTGAGAATTGGCCTGAAATGATTGGCTCCAAATGACCCGTTGACAAAACTTGGACTTGACTTCGACCGTCGAACAACACAAGCAACATGCTGGCCATGCGAGGCTTCTTGCCCCGCTCTGCGCAGTCAGCCAGGATTATTTCAACCTCGATGAATGCCAACATCTCGTCCGCACGCGCGATACGCATCGTCTGGCGGACCTACGCCTCGACGACGAACACGACGAAACCTGCCTTTGAGACCCCCCATTCGCAAACACACCAGGTCCCACATCTTCCAGAAACCCATATCAAGTCATTTGGTACATCAAAGGTCATGGCAGGGCCCCAGGACGTCCCCGGTGCGGCCGTGAACCCATACAAGGACGGTCCAAGCGCATTAGATAAGGCCATGACCTCTTTCCTGTTCACAGAATTGATCAGAGGCAGGTTTTGAGGGCGTTGCGGACGTTGCAGATCGCTGACAAGGATTTCTCGCTGCAGGATTGTGGATTGTTCTTGAGCAATTCTTCCGTCCGCCATACACGATCATGTACGAATAAGTTGTTCAGAGCTATTTCGAGCAAGGAGACTAATCGTGCTAGGTATCCGTTTGAGAAAGGTCCACTTTCTCCCCGCTTCCGTGGTGAACACGCTTTGCGTCGGTATCCTAACGGTGAAGAACGATGCATTGGTACTTTTCATATTCCTTAACTAGCCATTTTCATATTGACCTCCTTTCGATAGCCTGCAAGCTTTGCGAAGCTATTTGCCCCGCCCAAGCAATTACCATTGAGAGCGAGGCTCGTCAAGACGGCTCGCGGAGAACAACGAGATACGGTTCGTTTATCTTATCCTTATTGGAACAGGACTGACCACCGCGCTCTAGATATTGATATGACAAAGGTTGGATTGCACGATTGAGCAAGACCAGGATTCACTAACCTGTCGACCCACAGTGTATCTATTGTGGCTTCTGTCAAGAGGCGTGTCCTGTAGACGCCATTGTCGAGAGTGTGTATCTTGTCGTCTGTGAAGGTTGCCGTACTCACTCTTTACTAGCTCAAAACCAAGAGTTCTCAACGGAGACTAGGGAGGAATTGCTATATAACAAGGAGAAGCTATTGGCAAATGGTGACCGTGCCGAAGCGGAAATCGCTGCAAACTTGCACTGTGAGTTATTTGTTTGTGTCACTTCGCGCTCTGACGAGCATTGCAGCCGAGCATGTCTATCGATAGATCAGTCCATCCTCGTCTACCTACCGGATTGAATATACGCTCTTTTGAACTACCTCACGCTATTTGCTTCAACTTTATGCATTCAACTGGGGTATCTGCATATGAAATTGCTATCGACCAGTCAAGGAAAGGAAAATGGTGAGCTCAATCGCTGATGAGGGAGGGGAGAATCGGGCTGCCTGCCGTTTCTCTCGAGATGAAAGTGGGGTGGTATGTAAACGGACAAGGCGCGCAGCGATTCTCTCGTCCAAGATGGGTTCTTGTGTCATTGGGTCTGTCATTGACGTAGAAGAAGAGAGCGGAGTGGAAAAGGTAAGTTGGTGTCTTCGTTTGGTGTTGTCGAGTTGATGAAATTGCCAGGGTTGCTTATTTCTGGACGTTTTGGCTGCACAGAGCTATTAGCATTCGATCGCTGGTTGAAGAGAAATCCACTTACGCAAACTGTCCGATGACATTGCCAGCGGGACGATATTCGCAGGCGTAGAAAAGGGCAGTTCCTGATGCTCCTGCTCCAAAGAAGTTGGCTGCAGGGCATGAAGCGACGGCGCATCCAACTTCCTTGGATCCCTTCCAGACAACTTGGGTCCAGTGGCTATATTGTGGGCTTGCGGGATTGTACTCATCTGTGACGAGGTGAGTGACGAGTAAGAAACGTGAGCATATAGTGCTTACCACGCTCATCCAACCAGAGTTGAACGGCTCCACTTGGGCTCATATTGGTTCCGACAGAGAGGTTCTCGCCGAATTTGCCACCACTGTGCTGCCAGATGCATTTGCTATACGGTCCATGTCAGCTAGGGGTGATGGCCATGACAAAACAGACGATGCTTACTTGACCCAATCTTGGGCGACACCTGCCAAATCATCTGCCCAGGTCAACGCACTAGCACCGTGGGCGGCACGCTCGTTATTGTGTTGAGCTGCGAGGAGTAAGTACACGAACATCAAAGGAGCAAATTCGTACAAAGGTAGGCTTGGATATCTGGGTTGTTGTTGCTTGCAGTATTTCCGCCAGAGCTCGGAGCGGGTTCAGCGCTCGGTACCGGTTGGGGTTCCTGGGACGATGGCGATGGCTCGGGAGCTGGTTGCTCAGAGGACGTGGGCACTGGCTCACTTGTTGGGAGTGTGATGACGGGTGCGTTTGCGCCTCCGTCTGCAGCCACCGACTGCGAGCTAGATGCAGGGGCAGTATTGGCGTTTCCAGAGTTTGTCGAGAGGTGAGCGGTACATGTCTTGGTCTTGCGTCTGGTATATCCATTGGCCTTTCCGTAGCGGAACATGGCGTGTCCGCGTGCGGATAGACCATCTCGGGCGTGGAGGCCCTTGTCTTCGACATGTGGCACAGCTTGGACGCTCAAGGCGCCGAGGAGGAGGGTGGAGAGTGCGAGCTGGAACTTCATTTTGGTATGTTCAACGAATGTGGATAGAAAGGAGAGTGGTAGACGACCCAAACGAGACGGTGAAGGAGAAAGGGGGAAAAGGTAAGATGAATTCTCATTTGGGTTGAAAATGAGGCTTATATTTCATAGGCGGAAGAGTTTGAACGGATCAAAATCTGTACCAGAACGGTTTCTATGGTCCCTGGCCCCCTTTTTCGATGTGGCCAACCATGACAACCGCGAGCTGAAGCGGAGAAACGGAGCGGAGGAGGGCGCCCAAGCCACACGGTCCGCTCGTCAACCGACCAAGAAGCCATTGGTGAGAGTGCGAATGGGAAACTAACATCGTGGACGCTCAAGGTCGCGCATTGTAGCCGGCCCCCCTTGATTGTTCTCAAGCCAAGCTTTACTACCCGAAATTAGGTTTACACGCGCTTTCAGACGGAGCTATTGAATTGAAACGCCTGACGTATGTTCTGACCTTATAGTCGCCGTTGCCAACTCGCACTTTACGTACGCTCAGGGGCGTCTAGCCCGCCAACAGGGGATGAAATAGGCTAATGAGAGCCCTGTTTCGTGGGTATGTGAACTTTTGTTCATAGGCCTTTGCATGTCTGCCATGGATGGACGGTTCGCTAACGTTCATTGAATAGCCGGGGACTTTAATGTCCTGGAAAGCCTCTCCAGAGAGGGTGTGTCCAAAATACCAGTTACAAAAATAGCGCCCCTATTAAGGGGATTAGAGATGAATCAGGATGCTCTATCGACGCTATGACTTTGAGGATACAAGGTCAGAAGTCTAGGAGCCTTGCAGAGAGTACGCGGGAATGATGCTATAAATGGTTAATTTTGCAGTGTTCGGCCTGAGAACCGCCCAGGTTACACTTTGACGAGGAAGTGGCTACTTGATTCAGATAGGCCAATCAGTATTGACTCATTATCTCTTCTGTTCACGATATCTGGCCAACAGTCCCCGCTACACTCTGGACGCACGTTTGCCATTGCCAGTAAACTCCTGGCGCAAAACACGACGCACATTCCTCTGCCAGGGCGTAAAACGAGCTCAGATATAATCCTGTTACTCGGAGAATCGTCTCAGTTCCGAGATCAGCCCTAGAATTCCCTTCCTGGGACTCTGAGCAGACGCTCTCTGAATAGGCAGGTAAGCCCGGCATGTCAGTCCGTAGATCAGATTGCTCACGGACGTCATTTATTGTTACCTGGGGTGCGCTGCACACGACTCTGCCGCCTGCAACAACCTTGGCCGCTTCCACCACCAGACTTTTACGGCATTCCCCCGCGGCCAGACTTCAACTGTTGTTCGTACGAGTCTTGAAAGAGGAAATATACAGAGGAGCGTATCTGGGGCCTAGACGCTGCTACCAAGAGCAAAAATGGGTCGCGTCGTCCGTTTTCCAGCCCTCATCCTGCTGTTCAGCGTTTTCCATGCTGAACATAGTACTGAGGCGCTCAAAATTGCACCCAACGCATTCAATCAAGTTCAACCGACACAGGTAGCTGCTCCAACCGACGACGCTTCTCGCCCATCGGCTCAGCTTCTGAATGCCAACATTCCCTTCCACCCTTTTCTATCAGACGATTCGTCTGCAACGCGGCCACGGAAGCTGCATGGTCGCTTTTTGCACATCACCGACCTCCACCCAGACGAGTTTTACATCTTTGACAGCGCCGTTTCGCAATTCTGCCATCGAAATAAACCAAGAAAAGAAAAAGAACGAGCAGGACGATGGGGTGTGCCCTATAGGTGCGTATCTCACCACCAGATTTGGTTGAAGGCTGCCCTTGGCCCAAATATCCTCCTCTTTGGCCACTTGCTGACATCAATTTTATTGCTAAATGTAGTGATTGTGACTCCCCAGTGGCACTCACTAACCTCACCTTTGAGTATTTGCAAGAGGAGTGGGCCAATAACATTGATTTCGTGATCTGTACGCTTCTTTCCTCACGATACATTACTTCTCAATCGTTGACATTATAAATAGGGACAGGAGATAGTGCTCGGTTCGTCAATTCTGACTTTGGCGAGTTTCCGACTTAGGATTGGACATACAGTCACGATAATGACAACAAGATTCCTCGTACGCCGAGTGCAATCTACGAGATGAACAGGTATGCCTATAATATTCAAGTCAAACTCGTCCTAACTGTTCAAGGCGTCTTGCACATCAAATGAGTGAGACGTTCCCAAACATTCCAATCGTACCAAGCATCGGTAAGTATATCCCAAATTGAATGTCAACGATACTCATCTGTCCTAGGCAATAATGACATCTGGCCTCACAACGGTGCGCCGTTCAACCTTTGCTTGCCACGAGGCTAATCTTCGGACAGTAATGCAACCGGGTCCAAATGGAATCACAAACGAATACTCTTCGTGCGCATCTTTCTCTATCATGAAGCCTCTATAACACTATTTGCAGCATCTGGCGACCATTCATTCCCTTTTCCTCCTATCAAGTCTTCCAACATGGCGGATATTTCTCGACAGAAGTGATTCCCGGACACGTCGCTGCCATTTCTCTCAATACAATGTACTGGTACGATGCGAACAGTGCGTATCTACCCCGAAGCCTTGGACGTGCGAATATTGACGGCTACTCACAGAGGCCGTTGGAGGCTGCCAATTGCATGATTCGAATGATCCCGGAAACATGCAGTTTGACTGGCTGGACGTCCAGCTACAACTGTATCGTCAACGTGGGATGCAGGTATGCCATCAACGTCGAGGTAGTGTCCGTCAGCTTATATTATGCAAACAGGTTATCCTCGTTGGTCATGTACCACCAACGCCTGGAAATTATTTCCCGGATTGCGTATGTCCAAATCATCTCTAGGAACATTTCGCTGACTCGCCTCAAGCATTTCCGATACGGACAAATAGCCATTCGATAGTAAGTGCCTCTCTTCTAGCTAGCATAATTCTGATCGCCTAGCAGTCAGGATACCATTGTGGGTCACTTCTTCGGACACATGAATGTGGATCACTTTTTCTGGTTGGATGTATGTCGGGTGCCATCGCTTCGACTGGAGCTCAATTATTCGATAGGTTCACGACTTGAATATGGAGCCAACGGACCCGTCGTACCGTGTCACTGGCAAGACTCCCCTCCACGAATACCTTCGAGAGGATATCGAAAATCTACCTAAACATACGCACGACGACGACTATGTCATTGTCAATGTTGGTCCTTCGATCATTCCCGCATACCTGCCCTCGTTCCGCATCTATCAGTACAACATTACCGACTACGCTGGGCCCAAAATCACAGATGATAGGACGTTCACTGCGGAAGAGTGGCACGCGTTGTCAGTCGACTCTTCGGATGACGACGACGATTGGGACATTCCTCCTCAACGGACCAACGGTACAGACGACGACGTAAAACCTCACCCTCGTCGACGCAAGCGATCCGAGTATAGCCCACTTGGAACTCCTCCGATGCCTGCCAAGCCGTTTGGTAGAGACCATCGTCATCGACATGGAGAAAAACCGGATTGCTCAAAACCGGAGAATGAGGAAAAATATGCGTGCCGTCCTTGGGGACCGAGACATGCGAGCGCGAATTCACCTAGTCGGGAGAATCGACTCTGGTCCCTTCTTGGATACGCACAATACTACCTTCCAGACATTGGCGAGGAAGAATACTCTGGTGTTGGCGAGATGAAGAAGGGCGGCGGGAAAAAGGAGGCGAAGAAACCAAGATTCAAGTTGGAATATGTCACGCACTCGGTTGACGCACTCCGACCGCCAACCAATACGACAAACGTCACGACTACGGAGGGCGCACACCTCTGGAAGAAGCAGAAGGACTGGATCCCACCCGTTCCAAAGCATCTTCTTCCAAAATCGTTGCGTGATCCTAACCGGACCCAGTCCAAGTTTGCTCCATACGAGCTAGAGGACCTGACGATACCAAACTGGATTGCTCTCGCGCGCGAGCTTGGAAAGAGCAAAAAGATGTGGAAAAAGTTTATTGGATTCATGTACATGGGTCAAGAGATGGATGACGACGCTTGGGATGGGCCGGTTGGGGAAGAGAACAAGGAATGGAGGATTCCGCATGATGATGGAGCGGGACAAGTGGTGCTCCAGTAAGTTTCGTGAACGTAACGTTTGTCGTGTTGTATTTCGTATGTATGTCTCTCTCTCGCATTTGAATGATCCTCGTTTGTACTCTGTATCCCCCGAGCGGGAAGGCAATCTTGGATTCTAATTCCCGGGAACGGCAAGTAAGCTTATCTCTCTCCAAAAGTAGGCATGCCGGAGGTGGAGAAGAATGCAGATGGAACCGGCATACACGAAGGGGTCGATGGCCCTGTGAACACGTGCGGCATCTGGTGAGTGGGTACAATGACTAGCTGGTATCACGTTGCAGGATTGCTCGCCTCAACTCGTCTCCGGTCTCATGGATGGCATGTTTGGGATCACAGCCTGGGCTTGCTCCTATTCATGCGCCACACAGGCTATCCCCTCCGTCAGGCTCCGCCATAAACCAAGGCCGCGTGTACACTCAAAATCTGGCATAAAATGGAGATGGGTAAGGAACTCTTGGATCCAACTGCTCTTACACCTGTTGTAGGGTGAGTACGAGCCCGGCGTTGTTGGCGTCGGCTGACGCTCGTTCTTCTAGCTACCAATGTTCGCAACAAGGTTTAGGCTCTCGTCCCTACTCAGAGCGACTTATTTGTCCCAAGCGCGCCTTTCAGCACCCAAGTCGTCGCCTAGTTGGTCACTTCGTCGACAAATATTCACGCCTTCGGCGTTACAGAACCTAATTGTTGATGACCTCGCCGATAGGAACACTAATGTCCTTGTAAACGCCCGGCCCGGATCAGGCAAGACCTCAACCGCTCTCAGTGTTGCTGATCGCTATCGCGGCCGAAGGATCCTCTTCCTTACTTATTCGAGGCGACTCAGAGATATCACTGAGTCTAAGATGCAGGATTTGGAAAGGAGCCCAGGAGCAGAGGTCGAGGTGGAAACCTTTCATGAGTAAGCGTGTTCTTCAACCGGTCGTCAGTCATTCAACCTGTCCAGAATGATAGGAACTCTCTACAAATGTCAAGTCGATAACGATCTTCTACTTCGTAAACTTAGACTACTCGGAATGCAGCCGAACTGGGATGGGGTGGCTCCCTACGATCTAATCATCATTGACGAGGTCCAAGACATGACCCCAGATCTCTACTGGGTATCTCAGGTCATATGCTCCAATCCGAACGGTCCAAAGCCACAGCTTTTGCTCCTCGGAGATCCGCATCAGATGATCTACGGCTACCGTGATGGAGACTGGCGTTACATTGAAGAAGGAGATAGCATTTTTAATACCAATCCACCTCATATCTGGAAGCGAAGGGATCTCGACATCAGCTTTCGTCTCACTGTCCCCAATGCGACCTTGGCCAATGAATATCTTGGCAAGGAATATGTTCAAGCATCACCACGCCGTTGGGAAGCCAAACTCCCTATGTACATTGTATATGACCGCAAGGATGAAGGACAAGTGGATAAGCTCCTGGACATCTTATATGCGAAGATCCAAGACCACAGAGGAGTGGAAGACTCTGATGGGTCACCATCGGTTGCTATTCTCTCTCCGTACATCGACCAAAACTATCCCTTGATCCAACTGATCAACCAATTGAGTACGGAGAAGGGAGTTCTGTTCGCCAAGACCACGGAAGACGACAGCTCGAAGGATCCACAGGTTCTTTTTGGCAAGGTGGCATTGAGCAGTTTCCATGCTTTCAAAGGCGCTGAAGCTGCTCTCACCATAGTCTTTGGGGTCGATACATCTTCCGCCATCCTCCGGTCTGCTCCAAGCGCTTCGACAATGTCAGTAGACAAACATCTCTTGAACCCGCAATTTGTGGGCCTCACGAGAGCCAAGAAGGAGCTTATCATTGTACAATCGCACTCTGAAAATCCATTCCCCGGTATAACTCTGGACAGGCTCGACAAACTGACGACTTTCATTGACCTGACCGGTCAATACAAACCAAAGGAGAAGGCAAAACGTCGCAGTAATCGTCCTCTGCGTGCGGCGGCTCTAGTAAAACACTGTTCAATTGATATACAGGAGAAGGCGTTTGCCGAATATCTGAAGGTCAAGCAACTTTCCTCTCCACACTTGGACCAGCTTCCCGGCTTCGAACCGGTAGTGAAGACAAAGATTGCTCCAGCTCTTTACGAGGGTGTTGGCGACCTCTTTGGCTTAGCCATAGTGGAAGCCTTCCAGTTACACTCTCAGGAAAACCGACCAAATTTCGACATCTCCTATAGTAAAGACGATATGAAGACAATCATAGACGGTGTGTGGAAGGAACACAGTCGTGTTTCCAGCTTGATATTTCGCAAACGACAGCTGCACCGGACGCGTTGGCTCGATGCAGCATCATTGGCCCACGCCACCGAGCGTCTTTGTCAGTTCATTGGAGCTGAGGACGACCTTACTTTTAGGGTCATGGCAACAAGAGAATTGGACTTGCCTGGTCGCCCAGCAGTTCGGATCAAGGGCGTGGCAGACGTAGTTTGTCACACGACTGGCAGTGGCAAAGCCCCTACACTGTATGCAGTCAAGTACAAGGGCCAGCTTGGCCCCGAAGATTGCCTCCAGCTCGTTGTAAACGGCATGCTCCAGTGTGCTCCACCCGAAGTTGGGCATGCTGAGCGCTCGTTCCCACGTTTGATCCTTATCAACATTGCAGATGGTCAGGTCTTGGAGATTCAATCAGACTACGAGCGTGCTGAGAAGCTTGTAAAAGCTCTTGTGGCAGCTCGAGAGACACCTCCTATGATCGGGGAGAACTCTGAAGGGGGGAAAGACAGTTTTGCGGCGGACTGTGCTCGAATCCGGGAGGAAGTTGAAGGTGCTTCACCCTTCAGGGAGATCCCGCAACTCAGGTTCTGGGATTAAAAGCCTCAAGTGACTGTATAAGATCAATGAGCCACTTGACTCTGCTTCGTCGAGACTTTACGTTCCTATGAATCTACTGTGCTGTCCCTACAATCATTTTCTTGACCCTTGCAGATCGAATAACGTCGCTCAGCCCCTCTCTAGCTTGTTCGCTCGTACACCTATACCAAGGTGAATATACTGGTGTTTGTCGTTCAAAAAGTCCAGAAGAGCGTACTCGGTGAGCTCATTAACCTGTCAGTTTCCCAGTACTGGTGCGTCCTCCCAGAGCGAGTCTTTGACTCCACATGGGCCAGGAGAGCCCGGGTCAGTCATGCGAAATTGCTCAATTCGTCGCCTTGCCCTTCTCCAGTTTCAGCACATGGAAGCTCATGCCTAAATAAGCAGAATGACGCGAGCAAAGGAAACACAAGATTTACATTCATCGGCGCCCCCTCAACGTGGTGTGCACCCACTCGAAGCCTTCGTACAGACCATCTCCGTACGTCGCGCTAGAGGCTTGAATATTCCACTTTCGATTGTGGAGGGCGAAAAGACCAAGCTTGTCGATTAGTTGACTTGTGCTGAGTGCACGGGGCAAATCTTGCTTGTTTGCGAATATAAGAAGAGGGGTATTGTTCAGTTCCTTGATGCTGAGAAGTTGATCCAGTTGTTCCTTTGCATCGGCGATACGTTCGGTGTTCGTTGAGTCGACGACAAAGATAATGGCCTTTGTTCCGGCAGCAACTATTATACTGGTAAGATTGTTTATTTTCCCCAGACTTGTACTCACAAGTCTGCATCAGACTACGGGTTCCACTGTGCGTGCCTCCAACATTCATATCCCATACTGCAAACGTGGACTCGCTGTAGGACACTATCTCGAGATTGTATCCTTCAAGCACTCAGTTGGTCCAGGCGGTGCATGAAAAGACCTTACCGATCTCTAAAGGACTATCTGGCAGTAGTCCTTTCTTCTTCATCTTGTATAGACTATAATCTGGTCAAAACGAGCTTGTTTTGAATGGATTTTGGTTACATTGTTGTCTTTCCTAGGTGAGCTGAGATTTGCTGGCGAATCGAGCCAGGTAGGACATACCAACACCCTGAAGTCCGATCATTGCAACGGCTGATGCAATGAGTTGGATAGTAGTTGAAACATAGAATGCTTACTGTGGGTCTTGCGGCGGTACCATAGGCTGATACAGGCGCCCATCTTCGACGAGGATGAAGATGAAGAGATTTCGACGAACTGCGGACTTGTTCTTGTACTTGTACCCTGATCGAATCGGCCATCGGGCGTGGGTTGTGTTACCTTACCATCTTCCTAAAATGCGACACTACCTCGACTGGTGCAGTCGTCCCTGATAACTGGACGGATACATGCGAAGGTTTTAAAGGTTTGCATTCAATAGAGTCGTTTCATCGTGTTCGTGAGCCAATCAAGACCTTCATAAAGACCTTCTCCCGAAGTTGCAGAGCATGCTTGAATGTACCATAGTCGGTCTCGAAACGTGACAAGCCCAAGCTTGTCCGCGAGCTGTGTCGCCTCGATGGCATCGGGTAAATCCTGTTTGTTGGCGAGTACGAGAACAGGCACACCCTTCAGCTCCTCAAAGGTGAGAATATGATCCAGCTCCTCCTTTGCATCGGCGATTCGCACAGTATCTGCCGAGTCGACGACAAATATAAGTGCCTGGGTGTTCTGAAAGTCTACATACGCTGTTTGGATCATTCTTTGATCGAAGCATGCAGACTTACAATGTTTCCAAAGCTGACGAATGTGATGCTGCGCTCCGACGTCCCATATAGTGAACTGTATATTCTTATATGCAACAGTCTCCACGTTGAATCCTGGGCCAATTCAGGTTTCTTCACATTAGGGAAAGAAGTAGCCATACCTATCGTCGGAATCGTCGTGACAATCTCGCCCAGTTTTAGCTTGTACAAGCTACACCATGGTCAACCTAGAAGTAGGCCTCATTAATTCTCACTACATTGTTGTTTTCCCTATCATTGACCTCGCTGAGATGTGGCTGACAGCGATTGAGGATCAAACTCACCAGCGGCATCCAGTCCCAGCATCAGAATACCTGTTTATGTTGGGAAAAGATAAAGGAATGAAAGCATAATGTAGGATACTTACGAACATCCTTGCGCCCAGAAAGCTTGCTGAGGGTGTCGAAGAGGGAAGAGATATAGGCGCCCATCTCGGGCGAGGTCAAGTTCAAGAGCCAAGTCCTTTATACCAACTGTCGCCAATATATGGACGAATTACGGATGACGTGGCAACCTGGCCTGTAACCCAGATATCATTTATCCTCCATCCATTGGAGTATCGGAACCAAGAAAGATAGGCACCACGCAACTACTTGGTGGCGAGTCAGAATGGGATTTTTGCGTCGGCTTTCCATCTGTTGGGTACAAAAAGCGCCGAGGAGCGGAGTTCAACGTGTTCCATTGTGCAAATTTAGCGTGGCCGAGGTGCCAAATGGTAATCGAGTCAACTCCGCTGGGCGCTCCGATGGGTAGAAACACGTAGGCCACACGTCGCAGTCCGCGCCAGGGTCCTATAAGAGCCCCAAAAGGGATCAAATGATCAAAGATATCACAAATTTCAACATTTCTCGTCCGCCATGGGTGCCTATGTCTCCTCCCTGCTTGACTCTCTCAGCGCATTCGCTGGCCAAAAGGAAGTCCGTGAGTAAAGTTGGCACCGTGAGGAGCATACGCTAAGATAGATTTACAGGCATTGTCATGCTTGGACTTGATGCTGCTGGTACGTATCTCAGTTTCATCCTCCAACAATACTTACCGTTCGACAGGCAAGACAACGATGTAATTGGTAAAACTCAGCCAATGCCCATTGCTAACGACTCGGTAGCGTCTACAAGCTAAAGCTAGGGGAGATTGTTACGACGATTCCGACGATTGGCGAGTTAATCCGCCTCGTCGCTCCATGAATGCTGACCGGTCTGCTAGGTTTCAACGTGGAGACTGTCGAGTATAAAAAGATACAATTCACAATGTGGGACGTCGGAGGGCAGCATCGTATCCGACCACTCTGGCGGCATTGTGAGTTACTGGATATACCCTCTCATCTGGTATCTGACCAAAAGTAAAAGACTTTCAAAATGTGCAAGCCGTGATCTATGTCATTGACTCCGCGGATCTGGAGCGCGTAGCAGAGGCAAGGGACGAATTGAACGCTATCCTCGCCTCGGAAGAACTGCGCGGTGTTCCTCTCCTCGTATTCGCCAATAAGCAGGATCTGCCAAATGCCATTGAGGCGTCGCAGCTGGCGAATAGACTAGGCCTTGTCGCCCTTCGAGACCGGCAGTGGTACATTCAAGCTTGTTCGGCAACGTCAGGAGATGGACTTTACGAGGGTCTTGATTGGATGTCAAGCAGTCTAAAGCGTCGAGGCTGAGCTTGGGTTAGGTTTGAGATGAATTCGTGTGTCAATATATCTACAAAGATGTGAACGTAATCCACGAGTAAATAGATGCCATACCTACAGTTATCGAGTCCCTAGACTGGGTCTTCAAAAAGAGTGTCGAATGGCTAAAGAACACGTGCTCGAACACGTCAGGCGGGCGTCTTTGTGGCGAGATATAACATACCTGAAGCTCTTGGACCCGAACTCGGAATCGTCCACTATGGGTCAACAACCTTCTTTACTACCTAATGGATTTAGCTCAAAAAAGAAGCCTTGTAAGACTTGTTTGGAAGGTCAACTAGTTACTCACCTCAATAGGCATCTTGATGCTTGGGTTGGATGCTGCAGGTACGTCGGGAAACTCCGTTCTTGAGCCTAATAGATGATGTGGGTTCCAGGGAAGTCGACTATGTGAGTTGCTCGCGAGAGCATGTGTCAATCAATGACAGTCTAGGCTGTGGAAACTGCGCCCCAACGACATTAATACCCGCATAATTACAATAGGTAAGAAAAATCCGCGTTTTGGTTCATCGTTGATTGGCGAACTGCAGGTTTCACGACCGAAACTGTGGAATACGAGGACGTCAGCATCATATCATGGGACACTCCTAATAATCACACAGGTCGAGCCTTGAGACAACATTGTCAGTCCCAGGATGATAGAAGCTGCAAGGACTAACCATGATGAAAGACTTTGCGCAGGCAGACGCGTTAATCTACGTTGTGGACTCTGCAGATAGAGAGCGACTACCGGAGACTAGAGAGGACCTGCAGGAATTATTGGAGGCGGAACACCTCGCGGGACTTCCACTACTGGTGTTAGCCAATAAGGAAGACCTACCTGCTTCTAAGGAAGTTGGAGAGCTCATTGAATGCTTCAACCTTCAGTCACTGAAGGATAGGGATTGGTATATTCAGTCTTGTTGCGCAAATGGTCAGGACGAGGGTTTGCTGGGAGGTTTCGAATGGTTATTCAACACGTTGAAACGAACGGCAGGACAGAGACGTGTGTCGAGAGAAAACTCTCAATGATATTTGATCACTACTTTTGGTCCATTAGTCACCATCTACGGCAAGAGATGCTCTTACCGAATATCATTCGAAATGTGACATCTTCACGAAGGAGCTGTCGTCTCTGTTCGAGCAGCTTGGGAGTTCTCCATAACAGAGGGAAGCTTGAACATTGGTATCGTTCTGAGAGGCCCGTCAGGCTCAGTAGCCTCAATCTCAATCTTCTTCCGCTTTCCATCTCGCTGAAGCAGATTAGGCTTGTCTTTATAGTGGAGTGAGATCTTACAATGCCGAGCTTGGGTATCCCTCGTTCAAGACCCTCTAAAAGGGTACATGCCTTGCATAGCTCATTGCTTGCAATGTATCCGCATCGACTACACTTCCCTGGGGTCTCTTAGAAGGTAGTGGGAAGAAAAACGGATACGTACGTTGCTCTTTGATGACGACTTCCTGAGCCACTTCGAAGGCTTCGCCAGAGCGAATGATATCAATAATAACACTCGGTCGTGCGACCTCTAAGCTCTTGAGAAAGCTTCTTGCGTGACCTCGATACGCGTCCGGGGAGTATATGCACTCGGTCGAGAAATAATCCAGCTTCTTGAAGTATGCATACCTGCCTGGCTCAGCCCTGTAAAACGACTGCAAGGTTTAGACTTACATTACGATCTCCTTTTCATAAGCGTACTTGAGAGGCTTTGAGCGGCGTATTGTGTCTTCGCCTTGTGTGCAGATCAGTGTACAACGTCCAAGACGAGCAATATCCCCGCGCATAACTGATGAATGTTAGATAGCGTGTATGAGAAAACATCGGGGCTTACTGTTCATCAGTACGGTCTCGGCAATGTCGTCCGCATTGTGTCCGGTCACGATATGGTCAACGTTCAAGCTTGCTGCACCACGATCCAGTGCCTGTCTTCTAAATACCCCGCAGAATGTGCCTAGAATGCCTTAATGAACCGTAGCCTGCTCCACGAGATGGTCATACAGTTGTTCTTTCTTCCGACCTGTTCCACAATAGCGTCCATAGTCCATCCGTATAACTCTTTGTAGCTAAGTATCTTGAGTGGTAGATCGTATTGCTGTTGGTTCCGTTTGACTGTCTGCCGCCCATTAGTTTACTGACTCGTAAGCTCAAACGACGGTACCTCTAGTGAGTCATCTCGATACCCGGTGATTCCCTCGTCTATTGATAGGAGAAATAAGTTTAACCCATAGTCGTATCTCTCATTGAGCGTTTTCATCACATGAGCGAGCACTGTAGAGTCTACCAGCACGCTGTATTAGTGACTATAATACGGCTGGGGACTATTGGATTACCTTTTCCTCCCGAAGCACCAATAGCGACCCGATCGCCTGGCTTGAAAAGCTTTGCCTCTTGAATAGTGTTATGAACTTCGGTCTCAAACACGTTAAAGAAGCACTCTTTGCAGACGTGATCTCCCGTCTTTGGTCTTCTAATGATCGCTCTGGCGTTCTGGCAGAATTGACATGTCCTCGGTGGCATGACTTCTTGATGGAGGAGTTCAAGATTGAGTGATCAAAGATATCTCTGTATTATGAACGAATATGGCATATTTCTTTGTTTTATCTGTAAGTCGTGGGTTTAGCTGGCTTGGATGACCCACTATTCCTTGACTTGGACATTGATTGTGGCACGCCTCGTGGGTTGCTCCTGAATCCGGCTTGGTACCCATTACTGTATATACATACCACAAAGAGTCCAATAGTTACCATAATCTCGTGGTCCAAGCTCGAGACAGAAACACGCCCAGTCCGGCCGGTTTGGGGGACAGAACACGCTGCCCGCCATTACGCTCCTAAATAGCGCGCTCGCTCCGAGAAAGCAATCGGATCCACCTCTCCTCGAACCCTCTCGGTTCTCCACAGCTCTCGCCACTCGGCTCGCACTTTGAATCCAAATCGCCCCAATGGCCGTTCGTCCTCTCTTCGTACGCAAGCCCAGGCGATCTGCGACAAATGGTGCGTGTATACGGCGTGTAGTGAGACTTTGGGCGATACTTATTGCATTGCAGCTGCCATTGCCATCGTCGTTGGATACTTTGCACACCGTCTCGTCCCTCGTACTCCCCGTGAGTTCACTTGAGGCTGCAACAAAAGACCTTTGAGCTGATGTGCTCTGTCAGTCGCCACCGTTCTCGCTGAGATGGTCGTGGCCTTTGTGGGTCTGGCAGCCCTCACACTCTTTATCCTCGCACATCATCGTAAAGCAGGACAGGCCCGTATCATCAATCAAACACAAGAAGAAGTCATCCTCATCGGCATCTTTGGTCTATTCTGGGTCGGTGCGTCCAACAACGGCCAATTTACCCAGAGAGGAATGACGCTGACGAAACGAATCTTGTAGCTTTTCTCCTCGGCTTGCGCGCGTGGAACGACCGGCACGGGTTTGGCAGCCTCGCAGCCACTGCAGCGGATCCAGCAGAGACGCTGCAGGACATCACGCCTCCTCTCCACAGGCAGAGTGCACGTATTGGAGAGTGTGTCGGCGGACATATGATGTGTGTCGTACAAGACAGCCGTCGTTATTGGTAGATGCAGACCCCTTCTGGCAATGGCGTCGCTTCGAATCGTCCTATTCGCTTTTCTTATCCAATGTCTAACGTTATGTAGGTTATGTGTAACGAGCAGTACTACGTTGAATATATATCCCTAAAGAAGTGTAATGGCGATAGATACATGCGCTCGGTTAAAAGGGCATAGTCATACTATGCCTAGGCGGTTGCCTCTACTGGAGCAGATGCCTCTTCCGTCGCAGGAGCTTCTTCTTGCTGTTGGGATGCAGCAGCGGCGGCAGCGGCCTTGTTGAGCTTTTCGATCTGAGCCTCGGCTTTGGCGATATTATCCTTGGTAGCCTTGGCTTGATTCGCCTGGTACCAAGCCTTCTTCGTCTTCAAGTCGTCGATGACACGCGGAATCTCCGACATGTTTGTCGGCGGCGGGATAGAGAGCGCCATAAGACCCGAGAGCGTACCGAACCCAATGTTCAGCTGCGCTTCAGCTGGGTTGGAGGTAGAGGTCTGCTGTGGTGGTGCAGGAGCGGCGCTACCATATGCTTTCGGGGCAGGACCCTTCTTCGTCTTCTTCGCGACAAAGTAATTATTCTCCTCCTCGCCCTTCTTCTTCAACGCCGTATATCCCTCCATGGTATTCTCGACCTTGCGCAGCTCGAGTTGAGGAGCGCTCGACGAGGTAGCCTTGGTGCTCGTCGCCTCCTCTTGGGCACCTGCCGATCCAAGTCCACCAAGACGAGAAAAGTAGTCGATGAGAGTCTGGCAGTCTTGAATATCGGCAGCAAACGCGGGCTCCTTGGCTTGCTCGAGCATCTCCTCTGCAATCTGGCGCCGTTTGGCCTCTTCAGCCGCCTTTTTCTCCGCCATGGCTCGTTCGGCACGTCGTGCACGATCCTCGTTGACCTTTTTCCAGTACGCATCTCCAGCCTCTTTGTGCGCCGCGGCGGACTCTTTCTTTTTCTTCCAGAGCTCGTCGAGTTTGGTTTGCAACTCGGTGCGCTCGTCAAAGAGTTTTGTCCGTCCTTGGTACGCGGTATCCGACTCCTTTTTGATCTCGTCGAGCTCGGCTTTGATTTGGTCATACTTTTCTGACAGGGCCTTTGATTCGGGGTCGTCGTACTGCTTCCGGAGGGCATCGATCTGGGCTCTGTCCTTTTCGATGTCGTCTTGTTCACTCTGGAAGCTCTCGATCGTCTTGCGGAGGCGTTTGAGGGAACTAATCTCTTGCAGAGTCTTCCGCTCGTCGACAATCTTCATGGTGCCAGAGTTGACGAGGTTATCGAGCTTACTGCGAGGATGTCAGGCTCCCCATAGAAGAAAACGACTAGGACACGTACGTAATTTGTGCATTGACATCATCGATCGTTTTGTATGGAGACTTTCCGCGAGCGGCCTGAAGGGCCTTGACCTGTCAGGATGTCAGCGGAGAGAGTATGGCAGAGAAAACAACGATCCATACCTTGTTCTGGACGTTCGTTTGGAGAGTGTCAATCTGCTCCTTGAGTTTCTGACGAGAGGCCTTGTTCGATCCTTGCTGACCACGAATGGCATCCAATTCTGCACGGAGCGCATCACGACGTTCATTAGCACCTCCACCTTTTGCGAGATTAATCTTTTCCTTGACAGCGTTCTAGTTTTGGGGTCCGTCAGCAATCAGGCTCCGTTGCAGCTTTTGCCCAATTTCCTCACCAGTTTGGCCTGTGTTTCGTCAATCTCCTTTTTGAGAGCATCTTGTTCTGCATGATATGCGGTAGTATCTGGTTTCGTTACGGTCGTGGCGGTCGTGGCAGCGGGTTTGCTACTGCCAGCAGCAGAAGCAGACGCAGCGGCAGAAGTCGTGGATTTTGCGGGTTTATTGGCGTCCGTCTTTCCGTTTGCAGCTTGTTTTCCCTTTGGTGGCATTTTTTAAAAACTGGGACGGACGAGGGTTGAACTGGGTCGTGACCTGGCAGAGAGACGGGGGTAAAACTTTGGTTGATTGGTCGAGTGTGGTCGGAGCAGAAGGTTGGATTCAAACTCGACCAGCGACGACGCACGAAAATGTCAAAGGAGAAAAAGGAAAAGAAGAGAAAGACGCTGGAATCAGGGTTTGAAGACGTGGATATGGCAGATGGGCCAGCGGCAAAGGTACTTCCAACGAGTTCAGTGGAGACGATGGGATACTGAGGCAGCGAGCGTAGAAAAAGATGAAAAAGGATAAGGAAGAGATTACAGTCTCAGTAGAAGAACTGAGCCCAATCGCACACCCACTCGCTCAGAAGAAACTCACCAAAAAGCTGCACAAGACGATTCGACGAGGCGGGTGGCAGTTGCACAGATTGCGGGGAAAAGCTGACTCTTCACAGCTTCACGGTGTCGACAGGTCAAACGAGGTGTCAAAGAGGTCGTCAAGGGCATTCGCAAAGGCGAGAAAGGGTATGCCCTGTATTAAGCTCCCATAACGATGGTTTATTAACAACTTTGGGATAGAATACTCATTCTTGCTGCGGATATTAGCCCCATGGACATTATATCGCACCTGCCCGGGCTCAGCGAGGAATACAAAGTGCCCTATGTCTTTGTTGCTTCAAAGGAGGAATTGGGCCATGCAAGCGCAACCAAAAGACCGACAAGCTGTGTGATGATTTGTCCGAACATGAAGAGAAAGGTCCAATCGAAACCTGCAGACAAGATGGACGACGAGGACGACAGCGACGATTACCGAGAACTGTATGATGAGATTCGAGAAGAGTTGTACACCATTGTGAGTAACATCTCCTTGCAATGTCAGGAGGGACCTGGGGATGCTCACTCGACTATGCAGAATCCACATGTGCCTAGGACCCAGTGAAGCGGGCCCGGTCAGCCAAGCTGACTAGATAATCGGGCGATGAACATGGTAATGACTACCGAGGACGCAAAGCCGGCGACAACGGGTCGAGGATTGGCCACTTGAGCGTCGGCTCGCCAGGGGTTGGGTAGCAACCGTGCGGCATTCGTTCAAAAGCGACCAAGAGTGCATATGAGAGCGACTGTATATCGGTCTCTCTAATAAAGCTGTTCTCTACGGGTTCTTCATTCTCGCTCAGGCCAGGCGTCTTGCTTCTTCCTTCCCCCCCTTTTCATTTTTCCAACAACCAAGGCGCTGCTGGTCAAAAACACGCGAGATTTGATTCGATTTCGTTTGCTTCCGAGTCGAAACGCTCACCAAGTTGGCAGCTGTCAGCGGTTGTGAATATCTTGAGACCTTTTGTTTGCTCTTCGCTCTCTTTCTCCTCTCTTCCTTTCGTTTTGTATCTCTTTTCCTTGTGCGTCGAGCAGCCAATTCCAAAGGGTCCGACGATCTCAAACCCCTTGGACCTGCCGCCTTCCACCTGCACATAGCCGCGGATCCTCAGCAGCGCTTACAAACTCGCTCGTTTGTCTCATACCAGACGTCTACAGCGCTCTACTCGTTCGCGCAGGTCGCGGTCTGAAACGCCCACTCTCCTTTGCCAATCTCGATAATTCTGGTGAGCTTCTCCTCTATAAACCGGGCTTTCGGACGTTTTCGTGCTCATTGGCGGCGTTATTTCTCCTCTGCGTATTTTCCTCGCATTTTCCTGCTGCTCCCCCCCTTGCTCGCCGCAGTCTTTGCCGCTCGTCGTTCGTCGCTCGCAGATAAATCGAAATAAAAAATGTCGCAGCCACCGATGATGCTCAACTCTACGCTGCCTGGAGTTGTCTTGCCGCTATCGGGCTCGGACGCGAGTTCATCGCCAGCATCTGCATCTTACTCCCGACCTCGAGCGGAGACGACTGGCTATTTGAGCACGCTGAGCATGTCCGAGGCCCGTTTATCTGATATCGTCTACCAGACTGCTTATTACTCGCGCTCTTCCCCTTCCCTCGTCCCGCACTCTAGGAACTCGTCAAACGCCAGCTCGTCGTTTTCGTTCCCTTCTGCGTCCTCGCCCGCAGATAGTCCCCAGTCTGCGACATCGGTCACCGTTCCGCCAGCCTTTAAATCGGCGCCCTCTGTCACCCGTACGACAATCCGACGCGCGCGAACAGGCACTTCACCATACCCGAGAGAACCACATATACACTCCAACTCTGACGTCTACTCCTCCTCGAGCGAGGCTGAAGATATGCACATGTATTCCTCTCCGTACGCCCATCCGCCGTCCTCGCACCACGCCGCCGCCCAACACGGTTTGCACCACCACGATCCATATGCGTCGAGCAGCTTGTACAATATCCCCCCCAGCGTCACGGGCCATATCGACCCCATGCAGTCGATTCAGCACCATCAGCTTCATCATCCTCAACACCAGCAGCCACAGCAAGCCCCTGGCGCATCCCCCTCGCAGTATGGCGGCGCCCGCGCTGGCATGCACTCGACCGATCACAATCTCGAGCAACTCGCCAGCAACGTTCGCAGTGCGACTACGACGAGTGCCTCTGATCGTGCGAAGCAGATATTTGTCCATGCTTGGTACGTGGAAGCCCGTTTAGACCCCCTCAAAAGATGACCCGGGCGCGGCTGATCCCTTTTACAGGTTAAACGCAAATTATACACCTTATGCGGACGGCAATGTCCCGAGACAAGGCCTTTACTCCTCTTACCGACGCGTCTGTGACCAATATGGCATCCCACATATGAACACTGCCACACTCGGAAAGGCCATCCGTCTATGCTTTCCTGCCATCAAGACCAGACGATTGGGCGTCCGAGGTAACAGCAAGTATCACTGTGAGTTTCAGACCTCGTTTTCGATCGGTACATCCATCTCATGTTTCGCAGACTGTGGCATAAGACCCTCGAACACGACAGAAGCCGAGTGGCTTCAAGATTATATTCGGAAGACAAACACCGCGGGTAACAATAATACTGGCGGCGAAGCAAACCTTGGTCGAGCCAATTCCCACAGTAGCCGTGGTTCTGGCGCCGGGGCCGGAGATTCGGATGAAGACGATGAAGGAGATTCACCAGACGGTCCTCATTCTGGCAACGCCTCGAAGAGAAGCTCCCTCAATCTCGATTCCCTCAAGCACACGGGTGTTCTTCCACCCTCGTTGGACGACAAGACCCCACGACATCGTCGGTTTTGGCAGCGGCTCAGAATGTCGCACCTTCGTCCATGCTCGGCTCTTCCTCGACCGCGGGATTGCAGTCTGCCTCGGTTCGACGACGAAGCGCGCAACCCGAGTTTTCCGGCATGCAAGTGCCGACGCCCACCTCTGGGGGCCAGCAAAGTCCGTTTACACCGCAGCAGCCCGTGCCTCCACAGCAGCTAGGTCAACCCACATACTCTATTCGACACTTGCCTTCGTTTCCCAAGATTGAAGAGGCACTTGGCAACGCTGGTTCGTCCCCTCAGGGTGTCGCCGCGCGAGAAGTCTGGAGATGGTTTGAGGATCACTTGGATGCGCTTCTCGAGTCCACCCGCGCATTGAGGTTTGATCAGTTTGAGCTGCATCTCCGTACATTCTGGGCCAGTCTCACCGGCGATCATCGCGAAGTCGTGCATGCCCCCGCAGTAGCGGGATTGATGGCAAAAGCCGATGCACTGTTGTATGATGTACGTCTCCATTTTTTCCTGACGTCCTCGACCCCTGGGAGCCGCCACCACTTGTTGGTTCCCAAGGGGACGGGGTGGTTTAGCTTCTGGACCTTCGTTCTGACATGTCGGATCTACACAGGAAATTCTTGAAACACTCCGATCGCAGATCCTGGCCCCTATCCCGACCCCGGCCCTTGCCAGTCTGCGCGGGTTGGCAGACCAGATGGAAAAAGTCCTCTTGTTGGCGTTGGAGAATTACGGCAGTACCTTTGTTGAACCAAAGGTGGAACTCGGGGCACGGTTTGGTCACCTGGTCTGTGCGTATACGTTTCTCCGTTCTGTCCCTTTCCCTTTGCCCAGGAATGGCTTCGTCCCGCCTCTTCTGATCACTCGAGCTTCGAGATGCTGACATTTTGTTTTTCTCTGTTTTTCTTTCTCACGTCTATCTCTAGTGCGATTCCTGGACATCTATCAAGTCACACAAGCGCTCGCGACGGTCTTGCAAAATCCCAAGCAGCTCGCGGACATGCGTCGGGCTTGGTCTGAAATCGACTTTGAATCTGTGCGAAATCAATCGGCGCTCGTGTGCAATTGTCGACATGAAGACTTGATTCAATTGCTCGAGGTCGATTTTGTCGCGTTGATCGATGGGTTGCAGCGGAGTGCAGAGCCTGTGAGGGATGTCATGCTTTGGGCGGATGATTGTTGTGAGCGGCTCATGGGCTCGAGTCGGGCGGAGGATCGCTCGACGTTGAGCTCGCGTAGCGTCTTGATTCGCTGGGGATATGTCACTAGCCAGATCATGAGAGACTTGGTATGTTCTTTATCTCCCAACTAGTGTATATCTGACATGGCGTAGACGATTCGTAGCGATCCTGCGTTTGGAGCCTTCCAAATCCTCAAGCTTTTCCTCGAGTGAGTATTGGATGATGCAATAATTTTCATATCTGACATGGTTGTAGCGATTGGATTGCCCTCAACGTCCTTCGAGCAGTCGCGCTCTCTACGAACAGCGTCGCTGCTTCGGTCGAGCCAGTCATCCAACAGCAATTCTTCACCATGTCACCACCCGAGTTTGGCGCCGGTCCTACGGGAATGACGGCTGCGACCAACCCGCTCATGGATCACAGCCAAAACCCATCCCTCATGACCACGCTGAACGACTCGCCATTCGCTCAACCCGATACGTCCTTTTCCTCTTCGTCTCTCGACGGAAGTTCCTCGTCCTACGCTGGAGGTTCCGCCTTTGGCTCGCTCGACGGGATGAACTTTATGGACCATCACTCTGCACACGGTGGTTCGGGAGGCATGGTCGGAATTGGCGGTGGTGATTCGCTTCTTGGTGGATCTGGTGTGGGCGATATGGGCTTTGGAGACCCGTCTTCGGGCTTTGATGTTGGCAGCTTTACCAGCGAGTTTGTCATGTCGTCGACGGGTACGCCTGCAGATTCTGCCGATTCGGGACCTGCAAAGCACGAGTCGCCTGCGCGTCCTTCGAGTTCGTAGACAAGGAGCGAAGAGGCTAGGATGTGGTTTTCCAATATCATCGAAGCGGACGAATTCACTCCTCGACAACCGGGACAAGACACGTCTTACCAAAGTCATGGGAGAAAGATCTTGATTTATTATCTTTTCCATTCGCGAACCAACCATCTTTCAGTGCAAAACGATTCCCGGCAATGCGTCATCATTTCAAATACCATCAAGGAAACCTTTTTTTTATTCACAACGTTGCAAGCAAAACGCGCGGACGTCCATGTCGCGCTGTATCGTACCCAACTCAACTTCGCCTTCGCAGAAACAGCAGCAGTAGCAGTAACAAGAGCAACAGCAGCGTGGACCGCCAACGAACTGAAAATATCGTTTGGCCAACTCTCTTATTGTTCCGCGTACCATATCTTCTTCCACTCTTATAATTCTTCTCCTTCGAGTAAATCCCGTCACTCTCTTGACAGATCCCAACTCGAAACATAATCTAATTCCCTTACGCCTTATTCTTTCGTATTATCTCGGTCGCACTGCTTTATACCTATTTCCCTCCTCGTCTTTTCATGCAGACTCCCGAGCTTGTCGTCCTTGCCCTCCCTCTTTTCGACGAATCGCTGCCGCGCACCTATGGCTTTGTGCGTTCACTTTTGGCATTAGCGTTTTTCCCCCGTATCACACCCAATTACGGACTTTGAATCGCAACCTCTGTATCAGTCCTCCTTCTCGTTGCAATACGACTCTATAAATCCAAGTCTTCGAACCAAATTCTGTCAGGAATGAAACAACCCAATCACACGTTTAGATCGGTCTCAGTCTATAGTAGTGTCCATCACCTTTCACCAAGTCTCGACTATTGTTGATTCACCAATATGAGTCATAGCTAGAGTCGTGCGATCGATAACAACTTCGATAGTATAATCGTGTCCATGATCCGTGGCAAAGACTGGAGAGATCCCTTATGAATCATACTCAGTCGCACGCGGGTGACGAGGAAAGATACTGCGTTTGTATTTGGCAATTATCGGCTCGATTCTGGCCTTTAATTTGTCAACCACTCATTGCTTGATTAATGAGGGCGTATATATACTGCATTTCATCTTCATCTGCATCTGTGTATTAACGTGAGTCAACTATGGCATCCAAAAGGTGAGATTACCTGTAGCAATGGGGACTTGATGGAGGGTTTCCAAAAGGGGTCCGTAGTTGGGATGAGAGGATCTGAAAGTGTTGGCCTCGACGTAAGCAACAGCCAAGCGCAAGCTATTGCGTAGTGCGAATGAGCTTTTGGATTGCTTGATACAGTGAAGAATGAGTTCCTCTATATCCTCTCGTGGGCGCCCGTTGTTGGGCAACTGTTTGAGATGGATGACCGCCCATGTGATACCGTCGTTTTTGAAGAAATGGTCTGGGAAAGAAGCAGTGCCCTGGATTTGTTTCAAGATATATGCTGCCATAGGGTTTGAAAGCAGCCGCGTCATATGTTTGGTGAGGAGAACATCCCAATAGGCAGCCTTTACTAGTGTCAAAGATCGCACACTACATAATGCAGTCTGTCATACCTGATTACTTTGGCGATGAATGTAGTCCGTCATATAATTTGCACCCTGCACCTCCGCCGACTCCATCAGAACCATGCATTCTGCATCAATGTCTCCTTGGGAAGGATGTATATAATGAGTGCACCAAGCTTTGAGTAGATCCGGAACACTTGGATTGGTGCGCATTTCTGGGGATATCTCCATGCTTTTCAATCGGGTGAGCGAATAACGGACTGGTAAGATCAAAGATGCAAAAATTAATATCAAAGGATTGTCCAAAGAGTGTTCTTTGGCCTCGCGTGGGTGATCGACACGATATTCAGTAGTTTTTGCTGCCAATAAGAATGTCGAAATGAGAAGTTCGAGTGAAAACCCCGAGTCATTTTTCTGATTTAATATTTGATCACATGCTTCGAGAATGCCTGCCCATTGCGCGCCTGGTGATGTGGTCGTTGGATGTTCGGGCCACGAAACAATAACACTGAGAAGAGTCATTGCCGATGCGGTAAGTGACCCTTCATCTTTCTTGACCATATTCTTCAGAAACATGAGCATGATTGGTCGCACGTCTCTGAAAATTTCCAAATTGTAATCCACTTGTATGAGAGAACAGAATAACTTGTCGCGAATATCTGGCAACCCTGGTGCATGAGAAAGTAAATGGAAAAGGATGACCCTGTGGCATGTTCTTAAAACGTTATAGTCATTGTGATCAGACGAAGGAAGCTTGGATATTGCCTGGAAATACCGTTCCCATAAGTATCCCGGATAGGAGTTATAACCCTGAATATATATCACTATATGCATAAGAATCAAGATGACAGGGTGATCAAGGAGGGGTCGATCTCCTTTGTAGTATTCAGGAGATGTGAGCGGGCTCAGAAAGTGGACAAGCAGATGTTGGCGTGTGTCTAGAGTCTCTCTAGGATGGTAAATGCGGTGGAGTACCATATAAATGCAAGGTTTTGGGAGAACGAGAATCAAACCGTTGTCGTGACGTCGGTTTGCAATGAAGATGTCCTCGTAACCCAGGCATTTCCACAATGCCAATCCAGCAAAGATCCAAATATCGTTCAATTTGACGTCAAGAAACCGCCGGCACAAATATGAGAAGTTGCGTCGAGCTGGGCGTTCAAGCTCAAATGTCCCTATGAATGCAGCTGCCTTGAGAAGAGTTTCCAACTCTGCAAGCTCTTCTTTTGAAAATCGCTTAGGAGAGGTGCCCTCCTCTTCATAGAACTTTCCGAACACATTGTCGAAAATTGCAGACCAAGGGGCTGCATTCATCCGAGAATCCGTGAGTTCCTCGATTGGTATAAGGGCAGCCTCCCTGAATAGTGAGACAAAGCGTGATCGCGATGAAGGCAGGTCATCAATATTCCTGGCTAACCACAGAATGCAATCTCTGTCTAGAACTCGACCTAATTTAATAGCTTGTCGCTCTCGATGGTCAAAGAACTTTGCTTCTGCCGGTGTCATAACGACAGCAAGTAGTGCAGAAAACGAAGATCGAAGCTTTGGCCACAGCTGATGCAGTTTCATGGTTCGATGCTTCATGAGCTGCCATAGACGAGCGGTCTCGTCGTGATCATGCAGAAGCAGCCACCATTTCTTGACCCATTCACCTTTAACTAGTTGAATGAAGCTGAATCCAATGAGGATGATCCATAAATGTAACTTTCTGCATATATAGGGAAGAGATCGAGAGACTGGGGTGCGGAAAGGAGCACCTATATCGAAAACGCTGATAGTATGAGTAGCCACATAGAGCATTCCCGCTACGACCAGGCCAGTAATGACAACTCCAGAGACCCGGCGATGGATATGCCAAAGCCAGTTGGCTAGTCCCACGAGGAAGAGGAAGACGGAAATATAGATGAGAAGTGGAAGTGCTGATATGATTTGAGCCAGTTTCCACTTTTCTATGCCATTATATCGAAGCTGTCGTTGAACTGCACGCGATTTCATTGAGGATTTGATGAGGCCAAAGTCGTAGGATCCAATCCATTGTAGCGCGAGTACTGCTCCGAGTGCGGCAACGAGACTGCACGAAATGCTCATGAAGAATAAATAATTGACACGCACTGCCCAAGCATCCGGCGTAAACGCCTTCTGTTCAAAGGCTGGCATCGACGTATTTGCCAGTTGATGAGAGATCGTGAGCAAGATATCTCGAGTCATTTCCCCCACATCCCTTTGGAGTAGCTTTATGCTTTCGATGATAAACGCTGTGAGGACGGCGGTAAACAGGGCACCCTGCGTTTTGTCAGTCTCTCATGCGACTCTCGAGAGTTCGTCGGTGACTTACGAATATCAAGAGGGTATCAAGGGTACCCTTCCAGTCTTTGATGAGCTCACTATCCACGGTGCCGGCGTGGTCGTTGTAAATCTTCCAAAGATCCTCCACCTTGTTCTCCATCGGCGTGGACGACAACTCTGGTTCTTTTGTGGAACCAGGTACTTCTTTAGATCCACTTGATGCTATTTTTTCTTGATCCATGCGGAACGGGGTGCAGCGTCTGTTGGGGTCGATGTTGGTCGAGAGCAAGCGAGACCTTTTTGGTGACCGGGCCTTGTAAACAATAAACAAGGAAGACCACTCGGTGCATATCCAAATTTTTAATTATTAATGGCAGGCTGCTTTCCTTGCCAGAAGGACAGCGAGGTGTCAAAAGAGAGACGTTCCTCTCTGGGATGGTCAAAGATCCAAACGACATCAAATTACAGTCCTCCTAGTAGGACTACAGATGCGCTTCAAGTAAACCTAGAGCGATCAAATACGCAAAGGCGACAGAGTCCAGGCAGCAATTAGAAAAGCCCACTATCCCAAACGAACTTTGGTCGTTCCCTTTCTCATTGCACGCTTCTTTTCCTTTTCCATCGCCTTGCGTTGCTGCTCTGCACTCAACTTGGCGATACGCTCTTCTTCTGCCCTACGTTTGGCGGCGCGCTTGCTCTCGTCCGCCTAGAGAGTACATATCAGTCTTGAACGGTATTTGATGCTTAAATAAACTGACCTCTTTGACTTTTTCCTCCGTCACGTCCTTGATGAGGTCCTTTTCGAGCTCTTCGCGGGCAGTCTTTAGCTTTTTCAATGTCTAAACGAGCGTCAATTTAGGTTTAATCGAAGAGGAGAGACAAACCTCTGGTCGTAGATTGAATTTGCCGCCTTCGACCCAATCGATCAATCCAAATACAGCTTTGATGAGCGGGGTCAAGTTGGCGAATTCGAGCTGGATGAGGGAAGTTTGAGCGATAGGATGACGTGTCGCTCCTTTTCTCTGATAGGTCCAAGTGGGCGGGCCAAAGGCAAGTCGGTAATCTGCGGCGATAAGTGACCACTCGTCTAGTGTACATAGATGCTCACACTAAGAGACTTGAAGTGTTTGATAATCTTTGGGTCTTTCAACGCGGCAAGGAGTGGCGTAGCGGCGTTATTTTTCAGGATGCTATCGCTAATGTCCGCAACCTCCGACATGACGACGCATTCTTTGGGCACAGTTGGATTGTCTTGAGTCTTTGCAATAGTCTGTCGAGATTGTAAGCAAAGCCCTAGGAGTGAAGAGAAGAACTGACCAAATCCCAGCGGCCCGACTTGATGGTATTCAGCTCATCCTTGTCGACGATTGCCCACACCATTGGAGGGCCATTACCAGCTGGAGCAGCGTTGACATTGCCGAGTTTGAAATCGAGCGTGACATCGTCAGTCGGATTGTAGCGCAGGTCATACAACGTCCACCCATACGTAAACAAGAGCTGGAAGAGGTCCTGGCGAGGCAGGAATGTAAAGACGGTGTGGAGCGACTGGACGTTACGCCTGCCTGTGCTGAACAGGAAGCTGTCAGGACCATCCGTCAACAGCGACGTTTTCTGGCCGGGCTTGGAGAACTGAGTAGCGAGGAATTCTTGGTGAGCATCTACCCATTTTTCCGCACGGCGTTCGTTGGACCAGGACGCGTAAAAGTAGTTGAAGACGTAGACGAGGACGAAGGAGAGCATCACGCCCTCGAATATGTACACTGTACAAGACTGAGCAATCCTTTTCTTCGCGTAAAATCATCCAATGAGTGCTTACTGGCTGGTCTGAAGACGAACCGACCGTAGACAAATTGCCAACCGTCGTACTGCTCGGCGGGAAACTCGACCGGGGCCATTTTGAACAAGTTTAGGATTGAACCAAGCGGACTGGGAGCATCTTCTGCACGAGCAAGAGGCAAAAAGGTGAGCACAGAGCCCGCAGTCAACGCCAGCAAGGTCATGGTCGGGAATAAATGGCACAGGCACCCAAGCTTCGACTCCAGCCGTGCAACCGTCAACTGTGGGAGACAATGACGACAAGCAATGGAGAAGAACAGAAGACATACAGTGGACTTAGAAGAAAAGATGAACCAGCAGAAGAGTGGATTCAACGCGTCGTAGCAAAGCCACTCGACGGAAACTTGGACCAGCAGATGGTTCTCGACAAAATCAACGATATTATGCGTACGAGCAAGGAAAGGAGCCAGAGTAAGCGTGTCATTGCTCACACACAAGCTCAGCTCACCCTCGTAGAACTTGAGCAAGGTAGACCAACCCATCTTGCGCAATCTCACCATCTCATTCTACTCAGAATTCTACGAAATCTCTTCAAAGCTGTTAGCTTGGGCCACTTCAAAGCCGTCCTCCATGCACGTCCAAGAAGTGAAGGACGCAGAGAAGCGCGTCCAAGCCGCTAGAGACCAACTGAAAGCTCAAGGTTAGTCTTCATAGGGCTATATAACCAAATTGACGCAGTGTTCCGTTAAACAGAATACATATGTGGCAAACTGCTTGATGTTGCTTCTACCATCCATGCGGCCGTGCAGGAGGTGTCTCGATACGAAAATGATCTTCTTGATAGAACTGAGCAAGCTAGCTGGGCGCAAGAACTACCAGATTCCGATAAGGGACAGCCCAAAGTTCTGGCACCCAACTCTAGTCCATGACTGTTCGTACAATCATGTATATTAGTATAGCTATGAGGCTACAGAGCTTGTATCCATTGATTGATACGCTTGTGGGAGCGGCGTTAGCTCCAAAGGATGATCTGGATATCTGGAGGGAACATGAGCATCGGACCAGGAAGAATTGTGAAACAACTCACGCAGTCTTGATGCGTTTGACGACATCCTCTTCGTAGATACGATCTGTACCGAGTTGGTTACCCAGAGTCAACCATCCAGGCCGAGTATTGTGCTTGCGGCCAAATATTTCTGCGAATCCTAAGTCGATGCCATGGTGGAAGGGATGACGTACCTAGCTTTCTTCCTCCTGGACAAAGCCTCTCGATGAGACCGTACGCTTCATCTGGCTTTCGGCTCGTCTCGCGCACCTCGCTCACAATCACGTCCACGTCGAGCCCTCGATTCACCCAACTCGGAATCTTGAGCGAGCCATCAGGTGCCAGTTTTACGCCGACTAGCATGTGCTCCTTGGTATGGTTTAACCAATGTCCCGTTCTACCCGTCCGAATAACACGCTGGAGTTGATTCGTCTTGACCCAAATGATCTCGTCGATGCGGTGGTATCCCCATGCACGCATAGATTCTCGACCGAGTTCCATTGCACGTCCAGTCACCCAAAGGAAGAGCAGACCCTCGTCCTGGAGCATGGGGATCTTCATGGACCGCATCTCATCGTCCGTCATCGTTCCATACGGCAGGCTCATATGAATATCCCACGGTGGATCAGCCATGATGACATGAAACTTGCCCAGTAGAGAGCAGTCAAAGTTTCGCAAGTCGCAATTGAGCCATTGTGGAGGTAGCTGGACAGGGTAAGCTCGAGCTGTGCGACCGCTCAGCACGTACCACTTCGTATCCTTTCCCAACAGGCCCTAGACCGAGCTCAATTCTGTGCGTCCTTTGTGGCTTCTCTGGTCCATTCCTTATTCGCCGCAGCGTCGGTGGGCCATCATGATAGATGTCATCTCGCTCTTCATCAGAGCTCGAGGGTGTTTCCGAGATTGCTGGTGTCCCCATGTCCACCTCGAAGTGCAAGTACCGGCAAGGTGCCTTTTCCTTTCCTCTTCCTCCCGCTCCCAAGCCAGATGGGAGCGCGACAGAGCCAGCAGGACGAGGTACAGATGGAAGAGGATGAATAGAAGGGGACATAGAGTACTGGAAACTGTTAGCAAGTATCAAGATGAGTGCCTCGAAACTGACCAGAGGTTCAGAGAAGCAAGTGTTTAGATATGAGCACATTCCCAGACTTGGGTCTGTATGTGGCCGTATGATAGGCAAGAAGTGTACTTTTGTGCATTTGACTGTCCCCGCCTTTGCACAAGCCTCGCGTGTAGTCGAAGGGCAAATGGGTTCAAATACTCCCGTCGTCGACGCGTGCTAAAAAATTAGCATACTTTTCAACACGATATCACAATCTCACCTGTTCAGCAACAAGCTTCTGCTTTGCCGTGCCTTGACTAAGGAGGCTAAAGATTTCGCGGTCAACAGCTGACATGCCACTCATCGTTGCTACAAGTGGGAGCTGAGCGCCAGCATGATCACCTACCACACAAAAGAAACAAAAGGTCGCATCAGCATAACGCAAATCTTTACGAGCGATGCAATAAATGCATACCTGAACCGACAACATCCTCACCTCTTTTCCGTTTCCTCGAACCCGCCTTGTCCGTGACTTGAGCGGCAATAATGCTGAGTTCACTTCGCGCACCGAGACTCGAGCCCGCCTGGCTGTCGTAATTGCGACTCTTCACAACGGCAATCACGCCGTGATCCCATTTGTCCGCCCAAGTCTTCAGCATGGACTCGAATCTCGCCAAATCGGTCAAACGCAGTCGTGGCTTGGTCTGTTTCGCGTCGCTGGGTGTCTGACTGCCGTTTGTGCTGCTGTTGTTTGTAGAGGTGGACGCGTTGGCGACGAGCAATCGCAAGAGATGAAACGAATCAATGGGAAAGTGGACATTTTGTGTCAACAGAAAATCGCGTAACGCAAACGACGTCGACTCTTGCAATGCGTCTACGGGCATTTATGGGCAGCTCCAAGTTGTGATTTATCGCCACCGCCGTTCGGTCATTTCACAACATATGCAGAGAGTCAAGAATAAATGGCTTTCGTTCCCTTTTATTACAAACGAGATAGCTTCTACAGTTCATTACGACCGCGATGCTACGACGCTCAGCGCGTCCTGATAATGCCTGCAGCAATGAGTTTTCGAATCTTAGCGTTGACGACCGGGTTCTTCATGTGGTCTGCAAGTGCAGCTGGGTTCTGCTGAGCCTGCTGCAAGATCTGGTTGATAACTGGGTCTTGCATGATGGACTATATGATTCATGAGCATTAATGAGCAAAGTGAGGTATAAGTGTGCGTACCGCAACTTCTGGATCACGCATCGCACGTTGCAGAGTCTCTTCCTCCGTCTCACCCGCGCGTTGGGTATACATCGCCAGGGAAATCTTTTGCATCTGGTCATCGATCTCCCGTGCGTGCTTCTTGTCCACATCGGCATCCTGAGCTGCCTGAGCTGCCTCCATAGCCTTGGTGTACTCGCGCATAGAATGCAGGACCAAGCTCTTCCGGATATGACCTTTTACGAATGATGGATCGACCTTGATGGCCTCTTCGGCGTCCTTCAGCGCTTCTGGGAGCGCGGCTAGCTTTGTGTATGCCGCCGCTCGGTTGTTGTACGCCCGCGGATCCGAGGGGTCGCGCTTGATGGCTTCGGTGTAGTGTGCAACCGAATCGGCAAATAGGCCAGCCTTAAAGGATATAAGATTCGAATACTCGTGAAGAATAGCTACGCACCTTGAATTTGGCATTGCCCTCCTCTCTCGCCTTTTCTGCGAGCTCTGGATTAATATAGGCACGTATCTCTGATTCCTTCTTGATCTTCTCCGCTTCTCGGAGCTTGTTGAGAATGTCTGGTGTTCGATGCTCTGTGAGAGACTTTTGGAAGTACTTAATTGCGTTGTCATAGTCTTCCTTCTTGAAGTAGGACGTGCCTATCCGACCGAGGGCTTTGGCAATCAACTTAAAGTCTGCTCGTAGCTACTGGGTGTCAGTCTGCGGAAGAGACAATGAGAGATGGAGACTAACTGATCGCGCTTCCTCGACAGCAGTCTCGCATGTAGCAATCGCTCCGTCATAGTCTCCCTTTTCAAATTGTGCGGCTACAAGAAAGGTTAGAGGCAGCCTGCCACGCTCATACCCGAACATACCAGCTAGATTCGTGAGGAATGTAATATCTTTTGGCCACAACTCCCAAGCCTTCTTAAAGCTCTCAATTGCAGCGTCGAATTCCCTCTTCTTGTAGCTGTCATTTCCCTTTGCCTTTTCCGCGAGCGCAGACTTTTTAGCAATAGCCTCTTCATCTTCTTCTTCTGGTTCCTCTGGCTCTGGGTCGGCCATCTTGACATCTGCGGCGGGCTGGCTTGGTTTAGGCGGGGTCGGGGTCGGTTTGGAGGAGGAAGGTGCAGGTGCGTCTTCTTTCTTCAGTCCAGGCGGTAGCTCATCGGACCCTTCTTCTCGTGCAAAAGCCTGCATGTCGATGCCCATCAACACGCCGAGGACAGTGATCATTCGTGGGTCGTTGAATGCGTTACCGGCGAGTTGAGGATTCGCTTGCATCATTCGGAGCTAGGTTTATTGTGAGATATGGGCTTAATCCAAGGATTATGATCGTACCTGCGCAGCAAAACTTGGGTCGTTGAGGAGAGGTGCCGTCTTTGGATTCGCAGCTAGTTTAGCCCACATCCCAGGATCCCTGAATATCTTTCCGATACCCGCAGCACCCTCATCTGCAGCTTCAGCTTCTATCCAATCCGTCAGTGCATCCGCTTCGCAAACCACAAACAAGGGGACAAACCTTTGGCCTGCTGAACCTCTTGGAGACCTTTCCTCAGCCCAGGAGAGTCCTCAATCTTGAGTCCTTCTTCATATGCAGCAATCGCCTCGTCGTATTTATGACCACCATGAAGCGCTGCACCTTTCCGCGCATACCCTTTGCTCCAATTCGGACTTATGCTGATACACTATTCCAAATGAAAAGACTTTAGCATCCTTACGCTACCATAAAGGAAGCAGATCGACGTCTGCCACACACAAACGTACCTTGTCCGCGTCGACGAGCGCGTTATCCCAGTCCTTTTTGGCGGCATATGCACCGCTCCTATTCGAATAGAGCACATGATTCGTCGGATCCAGCGCAATCGCTTGCGTAAAGAGATCTATAGCGGTATCCCATTGCTTCTCCGCGAACGCCTTGTTTCCTTGTTGTTTAAGCAACTAGACGTTCCTTGTGAGTAGCTAAAGCGTTTCTAAATATATAAAATACGCTTACATCGGCCATGGTGTTCAATCTGGAAGGGGTTCAAGGTAGTTGGCCAGGGCGGCCTATTTACGCTGAAGACCACAGAAGGGCATAGAAGGTGAGCGAATGAACGCGACGGGCAATACATTTTTTAGAAATATCGTCGTATTGGTTCGTATTCTATCAACGTGATCCTCCGTTTGTTCGAATTATGGCTTTGGCGAAGGCCTCACACGTCGGCCAAGCTGGTCAACAGCCAGCTTGTCAAAATCCGCATTAGCAGGCGTACTCCAACTCCAATTAAGCCACCCAGCTGCCTGGAATATACTCCTCACGACATGCTCTTTACTTTCCCTCACCGTCTTGATGCCCGGTATCGAAATCTCGCGCCATACGGCCACTGCCTCGTGCACTTCTTGCGGAGTGCTGAGTCCAATCACGGTTGGTACGTCGTTGTAGGGGCTCGTCTCTGCGTGCGACTTTGGTCGACGCATGGTAAAGCCTAGCGCAAGGTTGGGAAGACCACCTGACCAGCCACCTAGTACGCTAGTTTGTGCAACGCGAGAGGCTTCGATCATGTCTACTGGGGCAGGGTGCCAGGCTGGTCGAGATGGTCCGAGGAGACCCATGGAGAGTGGCGACGCAGTAAAGATTTGCTTGACGCGGCCGTGTTGGAGGATTGGACCGATGTAGAGTTCGAGTCTGTTGTTCTGGAGTGTACTGTGGCAGAAAGATAGGACACAGTCGAGCGGTCGTAAATAGGGTGTTTGTGCGATGAGTCGGCTGAGCCGTAAGAGGGTTGGCAACGTGTATCCTGAGCAGGTATGAGCCCAATAGAGTAGACTTGGATGTAGATGGCTCACCACTGAATCCCACAGCTCTCACCAGGCCCTCTTCGTTCATCTTTTGAAGTTCATGTATGGCGGCAAGGATGCTGTCATCACCACTCCCCCAAGCTATAGTCCAGTGCATGTCAGTATAGCCTCGACACAAAGGCAAACGTACGTCTAGCGGGCTTGGTAAAGTCTAGTCCCCATTCGGCACCCACTCTGGGGTCACTAAGAGCGCGTTCATGGTCACCACAGTAAGGTATAGGCCAAACGGGTGATGCCACAAACTCGACGTCATGTAAGAGCACGACGTCAAGGTACGAAGTCTGCAGACGAGCGAGTGAGCGCATCACAGACGCACGGATACTCTCTGGCTTGTAATCGAAGTTAGAACCTTCTCTTCCACATTTCGACATGAGACGATAAGAGTCTCTTGGGAATTCCGAGGCGAGTCTCTGTAAACAGACGCCGAGGACGGATTCGGACTCTTGGTAGTGAGGAGACGTGTCAATGAATCTGATTCCGTATCTGAAACATCGGGAGATTAGACTCTGGGTGTTTGTCATAACTGCGCATACCGAAGCGCAAGCCGGAGGGTTCTGTACGGGACGTCGCTTGCCAGCCACTCGGCCGTGTTGTAAAGCGTGGAGAGCGTTGCAGCTCCAAATACAATATCTGGGACGGCCATTGTGCCGACTGTAGACTGTGACCTGTGTATACATTCAAGCTATCTAGCATTAAACACCCACCAGCGTCTTTCCGGGGACAGGCTTGTCCTCTGCCGAGTCTTGAATGCGATCTGGGAGTGAATACGATATTTCTGCCATTTTTACAGAATATCCGGCGCCTGGACAGCAGCGGCGTTAGTGGCGTGTGAGCGGCGGCCAAACAGCTCCAAGGCTTGGACTCGTCTCTTTCCAGAGCGCTGCGCTCGACGGCCGACAAAGACCAAAAAAGTCTACAAATTCATAATCCAGATCAACAAAACTCATCTGGAGTTCACATTCCTTGCAAATCGCCACCAACTCGTTCCCCGAGCCTCTCACTTTCCTTTCCATCTTTCGCTTCCACGCATCAAAAAACTACACCTTTCTCCACCAGAAATACTCTTTTACACTCTGGGATTTACTGCAGATATCCTAGGTATACCGTCAGCGTCGTCTGCCAAAGCTCCAACCGCCGATTGTCCGTTGGCAACGCACTGATTGCCGGCAAGCAGTCTCCTCCAACGCATCTGAAAATTGTTTGGGAATGGATCATGATCAGCTCCAGAAGCCTGTGCTCGCATCTGTACGTCTCCGTCATGAATCCGATGCTCCGTCGGCGCTGATGATATTTGGCGCAGCTCCGAGCAATCACGCCCTCGGATTCAGCCCCTGCGCACCGCAAGAAACGGTCTCATTCACGCGGAAACTCGATTGTGAATTTTGATGACATTCTCAGTCTGCCCGTTCCCAACCCTTCATCGATTCCGTCTCCGCCTCGCTCACGCCCAACGTCACACCACCGACGTCTTTCGTCCGTCTCCACACGCAGAGAAAGTTCGGAAGTAATGGGCGTCACCTTTAATGAAGATTCAAAGGACAACGCGATCACCAGCAGCCGTGTCGACAGCCATCTCCGAGCCCTGTTTGCACTCGAGGGACGCACCTCACCGACTCCAAGCCCCCTTGCGACCGCGGTGTTTGGCCCAGCAAAGGTGGATCTGCCAGAATTCGGAGCGGAGGACAAGTCGTCCGATTCGACGGCGCCGTTACCATCGAAGCCTTCTTACCCCGCCAGTAGCTCTCTCGCGGGCAAACGAGATTCATTTGGCAAACTGCTCGCTGCGGCTCCCAGTGTGAAAAAAGAACTCGGTATCCTCCTCGAAGAGGACGAAGGCGAGGACCCAGCAGGCTCGGACAGCGAGCTCGTGCCCGTGCCTGCCGCTCGACACCGTCCGCGATCCCTGAATTTGCGTTCATCTCTCCTATCAAAGGCGTCGACATCCATTCTTCCGACACCGTCTCCAACGCCATCCTCCGGTCGGACGCCAAAGCTCAAGTCGCTTACCCTGGCTTCATCTTCTGTCATGGGTTCCTCCCAAGGTACCCCGCCACGGCGCTCATCTCAGCTCGTGATCAGCAGCTCGGTTCCCCTGCTATCTGCCGCAGAGCTCGAGATGACACAGCGCCAGGGCAGTATCTCCTATCGCAAGCCTTCATCCACGCTCCACCGTGCTGCTTCTCCTGATGCCGCCTTATCATCCTTGTTCCTGAACCTTCCCATGGCCAATAATGGTGGAAGCAGCAACCAGACGACTCCGCTCCAGTCACCACGATCGCAGACTCTCACGCCGAGTCCATCGCCGACATTTGAGCTTCGCTCCAACACCCCTCCATCGCGTGTATCAAGAATGACAAGTCCTCAACGGTCCACGTCCCCAACGGAGCTTCTCGCGCAAACCTCTTACTATGCGAACTCACACGCGTCATTTGTTGCGCGGATCGCGGAGCTCGAAGCTGCCCTTGCTCGGACCAGAACTCTTTCCCCTGCTCCTACCGAGCCTTCTGAGGAACTCCTCGAAATGCTCTCGGACCTCAAGGCGGAAAGGGACCAACTCAAGCATACCCTCGACCTGCTCACCAGCCGCTTTGGCGAGCTTGAAAAGCAGCTAAGCGCGTTGGGCAGAAAGCTTGATAACGAAAAGCGCGAGGCATGGGTTAGCAAGGAGAAGCTACGGACCAAGGAAGAGGAAAATCGACAGTTGGACGCGGAGAAAGAGGCCCTTAGGGAAGAACTCGAGGAGCTCAAACGGCAATTGTCCAATGCGCGATCTGCAGTGCGAGAAGAAAGGGACAAACGCGTTGCAGTCGAGCGGGAGCTCCAAGTTGCGCTCGACACCCCAAGGGTCGCCGCCGATCCGTACCCGTACGCGACCAACTATATTCGCAACAGGGGTTCCTTTGACTCGCAGGTTACACATTCCGAAGCCGCGTATCAGACGGTGCGCAGTCCTCTCTCCCACGCCGTAATTATAACTAACATCTCGATTTAGACTGCTCCCGTCAGCGTCGCCAACGGGGACGAAGATGACGATTCGGATGCATCGTTCCACTCTCGATCTCTGTCTCACGCTTCGTTTACGTCGAGAAAGGGTCGGGATACCATTGCCAGTGATTGGTCGTTTGCCAAGGCGGCTCGTCGGGCAAAGGCGAAGTCAAAGCACAATGCCGATCCATTCTTTGCGGGTCTTGAAGATGAAGACGAGAACACGCAAGTCGTCGAGTCGGGTCCTTCCGATGCACTCAAGCCGCTCACACCCCGTGCCATCAGCTCGCCGGGTCCGTTTACGTCGTCCAGTGGCGTGAGCTCCTCGGGCGCATCTGGTGTGCTCAGCTCTCCTGGTGCCTACAGTATCGGATTCGGATTCGGTCTCAGCGCGGACGAGGATGAGGATTCAAACTTCAACTTTGGCCAGCCACCTTCGCCATCTCTGTCGCCTAAAAACGACAGTGGAAACGAGTCGGACCGAGAAATCAGTTCGTCGCCTTTGGTGGATGACGAAGATGCTACGTTTTCGTTTGCGTGCCAGACGTCGGATGAGTCTCACTCGACGAACAAGACGATCAACACTCCCAGTCTCGCCCAGGTTATGGCCCTCTCTACGCCCTCTCTTCCGTCCACCCCGTCACCGTCTATGCCCAACTTTTCCGATCCAGCGACACCTCGACCACGGCACAAGGCAAAGGATAGCATGAGCCTGCGACGTCGATCAAAGATGGAGCGACCTTCTACCGATCTATCCGACTCTTCGCATGCGCACTCGACTCAACGACATGTCTCGCCTCCACCACGGACCTCCGAAGAGTCGGTCCCGACTTCTCCTCGATCGGAACCCTCGTTTTCGTTTCCACGGTCGGCACCTGCGCCGAAACCCGCCAGATTTTCGATGCTCGTCGCGCCAACGTTGGACATTTCGATCCCGTCTTCGGATTTTGGCTCGCTGCTGCCGTCTTTTGATTTCATGTCGTCACCTGCTGCCATCAGTGCTCCTCCGCCGGCACATCGTCCGGAAATTGCGAGCATGCGACCACCGCCGCCAATCTCGATGCCTTCTCCTGCGAGAAGGTTGAGCGAGTCACGGTCTAGTCTTGGCCAGGCTACGACGGAAATGACGCAACAGAATCAACCTGCTGTTCATGGTCACAAGAGCTCGCTGTCGCTTTCGTTGGCGTCACTGGCGAGTCTCTTGCCTTCGTCTTGGTCACCCCGTGCGTCACCCACTTCTCCCGTCGCATCTATTGGAAATCGAAACTCGTTGGAGCGTGCGCTCGCATCTCGAGAGAAGCAGCTTAGCCGGCTTGCCGAGCAGATGGGTCAGTCTGTCTCTCCGAGCGACCACCGGCCGTCCTCTTCGATTGAGGCTGCGCAGCCGTCGCAATCGCGAAGTCGGAGTGGATCTCGTGTGATATAGCCATGTACCCATCAATCTCGACTCTTCCCACAGGCCTCCGAGATACCATTTCATGACGACGACGGCTACCAGCATCAGGCATCCTGCCGCAATCAATACTGCAAGCATTACCCCCCTCCATACTGCATCTTAATATTGTATCGGAGTAGACGACATACGGACAAGCGAAACCGGCTCTCTACTTTCAAGTTTATGCGACCAGTGGGTCGCGTCCGGCTTGGATTGTCATACACGGCCATGTGGTGGTGCATATTTCTCGCCTTGAGGGTGGCATATGTTCTATCCATGTGCCCTCCGTCATTGCGTGTTGGTGTTTTGTACGCCATCATGGTCTCTTGCATTCAACCTTGACATGCAATTCCGTTCGACTGGAGAGGTTTGAGCTAGTTCGAGCGGTTCACTACCCTCGTCCCCATCTCACCTCTTCTTTTTCTTGGAAACAATTTCCTTTTCGCACATTCATTTGCAATGAATGCCTTTTCTTTTCTTCTTGGAAATCTGCCCTTATCGAAGGACTGCATCTGCGTTGTTCGTTGGCTACCTCCTCCGTTCCCATTTCCCATCCCGGTACTTTGGTACTTTCTTTGCGCTACACACACAACCCTCTTCTTGATGATAGCCACCCGTTCGACGCCTTGCTATCTCTTTTTGGCAAGGGAGACAGCCTTCGCCCATCCGCTGATAAGTATTACTCTTGATATTGTACCAAGTAGTTTGTCGTCTGTTGTTTACAAGGCACGCGTTACAACAAAACTTGGTCTCGACCACCATTAAGACTTCCGATGAGCCACGAGGAGAAGGCGCCGAAAAGACCTCTAACAAGGCTTGGAATCCCTCTTAGGGAAAGAAAGCCGCGTTCTAAGACGAACAACAATAAGGTTGAGAAGACAGCTTGGGAAATCTACAATGAACGTGCGGAAAATATGGACAGAGACCTCACGAGAGACTGGCATGAGAGCCTCGGCACGTTATTGACCTTTGTGAGCCGTCAATGTTACCTGAAGTTGCAAGAGACTGACAATACGCAGGGGGCGTTGTATACCGCCGTCCTCACGGCTTTCATCATTGAGAGCATGAAACTGCTTCAAGAAGATACGGGAGAGACGACTCGAGACATTCTTCTGGTTGTTTCTCGTCAACTTGCAAACGCATCAACGCCGGCCTTTGAACACGAGGAGTTCACGCCCGAGGCCTGGGCAGTGAGGGTCAATTACTGCTTCCTCACGAGTATATCGTGTAGCTTGGTTGCTGCACTCGGAGCAGTGCTCGCGCTACAGTGGGTTGGGTCCTATGACTTTGGCCTCATTCGGTCGTCAGCGAAAATGCGCGCAACTCAACGACAACTTCGATATAACGGCATAAAAAAGTGGAAGCTTGCTCAACTAATATCCATCCTTCCACTCCTCATCTACATTTCCCTCTTCCTGTTCTTTATCGGACTGGCCGACTGGCTGTGGCACATTCATCGTTCAGTCGCTAGTGTCGTTGTGGCAGGCGTGGTCATAGGAGGACTATTCTATTTAGTCACTCATATCATCAGCATTTTCGACATATCCGCTCCTTTCCGCACACCTATCTCCCTTTCTGTCTCGTACATGATCCAGAAATTGCATTGGTGGCTCGTCAATGTTCTTTCCTGGCTTAAGCAATATTTTGGCCTGCAACAACGTCAACGGCATGACAAAACTTTTAGTCTCCAGCAGTTCATGAAACATGAAGTCGGAAAGCTGCATAGTACCTGGATCAAATTTCGCTCATTGCTTCCTGCACTCCGTAAAGCCATTACGGCCCCATCGACTCCACATTACTTCAAGCATCGAGAGCGAAAAGAGCTGGATTTCTCCGCGACGACTCTGCATAGGGACAGTATCCTGTGGTTGGCTAAGAATATAGACGACATCCCTTCGTCACGATCAGCTTTCGTGTCACTGCTCAAAGAGGTTGTACAGGTGCCGTACGTGCAGCTCATAGGTCGCAGAATGGAGTCGAATCTGTGGCCTGCGATTTTCCAAAACGTATTTCGGCAGTTTTACGAAATGGAGGACGTTATTCCAGAGGTATTCTCCAATGCAGCGCTTGAAGAGTTGGAGGCCCTTCTAGAAGCACTTGCGTTGGTTGGAATACGTGGTACTTCTGATAAATATGATGGAAACATTTGGCGTCTGTGTTTTCGACTTCACCAAAGTAACCTTGGTAGAGTCTCCACATTTTCTGGATTGGTACTCTGGAAAATCAAGGAAATCCACGGACACTCGAGTCTCACCTCGCTACCATCCATCGTCAACCAGGAGCCTGATCTTATCACCAGTCTCTCAGACTCCTGGGCATACATGATACTTCACTGTATTTACAATCATGGGAAGCCAGAGGATAACCCAGAGCTCGCTGTACTTCTGACCCCACTTACGCTTCCCGAATACTATGGAGAAAAGCATCAGCTTCTTGGACTCCCTACAATTTTCATACTCATGCGAATAGTTCTTCGTATTCATGGCTATAACGCAGATGCCGACGAACCGTGGGAACAATATAGAGAGGCGGTATCCCATATTCCCGAGGCCAAAGGCGACTGCGATACTGTCCAGATATGTCACACCGTGATACTCCTCCAACTACTTTCTCATGCCCCCAAATTACAAAACCACCGTAGCGAGGTATTACACGCTCTGTTACAAGCCCACGACTCTTTATCGAAGTTTGACGACCTACGTCTACTCATACTTGGATTATTAACACATATAGTCAAACCTGCTGACCGAGAGCCATTAAAGTCTCAACTAATGACAGCCCTCGCCGTCGTCATTTGTTGGCCCAATCCGCCCTCAAGTGAGTTACCAGCCGGACGTTGGGCAGACATACTTGAAGGGTCCGACCGGATATTGAGCCAATCGGGTGATTCAAGGTTCAGCCTTAATCTTCTCGTCTCGTCGCTCTTACGCGCAGCGGAAGTCACTGGATATCCAGTTCGCTCTTCCGGACAGGCAACAGGACCCGCTTTGACACACCCTGTGATACTGGTTCTCGCCTCTTTGGTTCTCCCGGACCGTTATTCGCTCGGGCCTCTCAAGGATATGGATTTTCCACCAGAGATTCGCAAAGATTCAAGCTACCAGGATCTACTCAAAGCATGGTGTAGGGGATATACATGTTCTTCGAACAGAGACATCGAATCCGAGTGTATTGTCCTCCTCGAATCGGCAGAAATGCTAGATGCAATTTGCATGACTATGTACGTCAGTCACCAGAGTAATAAGGTGAGTTCTTGCCAATGTGATATAGTATGGGTTTTGACACCGAGGTAGATAGCCTACTGGAACGCTCTCTTAACCAATCATCTAGATCGCCTGTTGTCGAACCCCAAGGCCCCTTCCATTTTGAAAGAAGTTGGAGATACCCCAGTGTTTCCAGACCGCTTCTTCGAAGCTGGTGGCATATCACGGGTGGTTACCAGCCTCCGGGAGCCTTACAAAAAGAGCCAGGAAGACGCTGTGGAGCGGCTGGTTCTTCGGTGCATACAGCGGGCCACAAGTATGCCCACGTTTTACAATAGCCTCAGTTTTGTGGCAGCGTATATTGAAGCTGCCACCCTTGTCTACAAATCCGGACCCTCCTACAATCTGCTGATGGAACTCCTCCAGAACATCCACGATTCCCAAGGTAATCATCCCTTTGAATTCTGTAACGGACTCACATCTCCGCAGAGCCTCCTGAGCGTGGATTCAGTTCCTTTATGCATTCATTGTTTAAGAATGTGGATGATCAGTTGAAAGCTGAAATCCAGACACTTATCATGGCATGCAAACGCCAGTATCTCTTATCGGGCCCCGTAGATAACAAATTACGATTAATCAAGGATCCGGATGGAGTCTGCCAATTACACAGACCAGTGTGATGTGTATAATTGATTCCATATGTTAATCCACAGCTTCATCTTACAACGAACTTGATCCAAGATCTAACTGTCCAGCTACCTGTTTCTTTTGAGTACTACACATCGCCATTTGTTCAATGCATATCCTAACCTCATCCCCTGATAAAGTCCTGAGATTATGCAAGTAGTTTGTCTCGTTCTCTTTGATTTTCAAGGCACACGTTATAAAAAGTGTGCTGACACCTCGGCTAGTAGGGCACAAACCTCACCACCACCACGACGCTACAAAACGCTGACTCAGATCTCGGATGAATCGACAAGATCGGACGCCAAATAGGCCTCGAAGAGTGCTTGGAGGCCTTGCCAGAGATCTAAATATGCTGCCCATTACGACTGAGAGCACCTTGGACAAAAATGTTTGGCAGATTTACAATGAACGCGCTGATATCGCAGACAGGGAGCTTATGAGAGACTGGAACGATAGTCTGAACACGTTACTAATCTTCGTACGTTGTCAATTTGGCTCTGAGTTGCAAGAGGCTGACCGTGTGGAAGGGGGCCCTGTATACTGCCGTCCTCACGGCATTCATCATCGAGAGCATGAAGCTACTTCAAGAGGATATGGGAGAGTCAACTCGAAATATTTTGTTTATCGTTTCTCACCAGCTTGCGAACGCATCAACGCCAGCCTTCGAACACGCGGAATTCACGCCGGAGGCTTGGGCGGTGCGGGTGAACTACTATTTCTTCACAAGCATATCTTGTAGCTTGGTCGCCGCACTGGGAGCAGTCCTCGCCCTGCAATGGGTTGGATCCTACGACTTTGGCCTCATTCGATCATCGGCGAAAGTGCACGCCACTCAAAGACAGCTGCGATACAATGGAATAAAGAAGTGGAAGCTTGTTCACCTGATATCAGCCCTCCCACTTCTCATCCACATCTCCCTCTTCCTATTCTTTGTGGGACTCGTCGACTGGTTATGGCACATTCACCGCCGGGTTGCTTATGTCGTCGTGACGGGTTTGGTCATAGAAGGAATACTCTATGCGGTGACCCATATTATCAGTATTTTTGACGTATCCGCTCCTTTCCGCACTCCCATCTCCCGGTCCCTTCCCTACATGATTAGGAAGGTTCATTCCTACACTTTCCTCACCGTATCCCATCTTTCTGTGTGGATAGAAGATAAGGTCCTTCAGCAACTGCATTCGTCTCGCGAGAGTGTTGACGAATCGCCGGGTATACAACGGTTCATGAAGTATCAAGCCGTAAAACTACAAAAGTTCTGGCTGAACATTCGCTCCTTGGTTTATGCACTACACAAATTTGTTATAAACCCGACAGAGGCACGATCTTTCGAGCATCGGGAGCGACAAGCCCTTGATTTGGTTACAACTCTACAAAGAGATACAATTCTGTGGCTTGCTAAGAACATAGAAGACCTCCCTTCATCACGACCAGCTTTCGTCACACTACTCAAAGAAGCAGTTCGCTTGCCACATGTACAACTCATAGATCCCAGAATGAATTTGGCCCCGTGGTCTGCGATTTTCCAAAACGTATTTCAGAAGTTCAACGAAATAGAAGATGTCACTTTGGAAGCAGTTTCTTCCGAAGAATTCGCGGAGTTGGAGGCTCTTCTAGAGGCGGCGGCGTTAGTAGGAACAAATGCGACTCTAGGTGGTGGTGTCTCTGATCGCAACATTCGACATCTTTGCTCTCGACTTCATGAATGCGCCTTCGGTAGAGTTTCGACGTTCGCTCAGTTGGTACAGTGGAAATTTCAGGAATTCCCGGTATGGTGGGATGACACGCCATTATCAAATGTACTCCGCCAAGAACCGGATTTAATCCTCAACCTCTCAAATTCATGGATATACATGGTACTGTATCACATCCACAGCCACGTTGACCGGCTGAATACACAGGACCTTATCGAGTTTCTGAGTCCACTCGCATCTTCAAAACACTATGAAGGCGAGCATCGTCTTCTCGAAATTCCTACAATTTTCATTATCATGCGGATTGTGACTTGCATCCAAGGTTACGATACGTATCCCGGCAGTTTATGGGAACAGTATAGACAAGCTTCCTCTGTTATCCTCAGGACCAGAAGCGACAACTCTGATGTTCTTCAAACATGTCACAAAGTCATACTTCTTCAGTTGCTTTCTCATGCACCTAATACGCCAGATATGCGCGAAGAAGTGTTGAACTCTCTGTTACAAGCCTGGCACCAGTTCCCGAGTTCCGACGACATACGACCAGTCATACTCAAACTACTAGTAGACTTGTTTGACCTGGAGGAAATGTCATTGAATACCCAGTTGATGGGCCTCCTCGCTGCCGTCATTTCTTGGCCCGAACCAACGTCAACCCTGACACCAGCCAGGCGTTGGGCCGACATAATCGAGGGCTGCGATCAAATATTAACCCACGAGCATGACTCTAGGTTTACCCTCAGTCTTCTTGTCTCGCCAGTCTTACGAGCAGCGAAAGCCGCGGGCTATTCCGTTCAGTCCCCTAATGGGATCACACTGAACTCATTGGAACATCCTGTAATATTGATTCTCGCATCGTTGATTCTACCTGGCTGCTGTTCGCTCAGCCCTTTGAAGGGGATGATCCTGTCGCCGGAGATTCACGAGGATCCAATTCTGCCGGATCTACTCGACGCTTGGTGTAATGCATATAGACGGCCTTCCGATGGAGACGTCGAGGCCGAATGCATTCTCCTCGTCGAATCGGCAGAGTTACTCCCCGCAAACCTTTTGACGAGGTATATTGATAGGCAGAGAGATGATGTAAGGGAGCCCAAAATTATATGGCGTGTGATTTACGTTTTTATAGGGAGCATATTGGGAGGTCCTCGTTTCCCAACATCTGCAACGTCTATTGTCAAATCGCATGGCACCATATATCTTGAAGCAGGTCCGATACACCTCGATTTTCCCAGACTGCTTCTTTGAAGCTGGTGGTATTACATGGGTGGCCACTCGCCTTCGTGTCCCTAACTATGTGACCGAACGAGATGACATGGTCGAGCTCATTATTCAGTGCATCGAGAAATCTACAAGCGTAGCCACCTTCCGCAACAGCCTACATTTGGTGGCCACCTATATTGAAGTGACGGCTCCAGTCGAGGCTGCCCCTCTTTCGTACGGTCTCTTTGAGGAAATCCTCACGGAAATCCACACTTTTAGAGGTAATCTCACCTTTTGAAGCAGATAGTCAACTCATACCTCCATAGCTGCATATCAAATTCACCTTCGCCTTCGATGTAGTCCCTTCATGTACTCACTGGTCACGAATGGACTAGAAGACCAGCTCAAAGGCGAGGTAGAGACAATAATTGCGGCGTGCAAGCGCAAGTATCTCCTATCACCTCCAGTAGACGACAGACTGCGATTCATGAGGGATCCGGATGAACTCTGCCATAGATCGTGGACATGATGTGTATGCCAATGATGATACATGAATAATTGAGGGATCTATAGGTGAACCTGATCAGAAGCAGAAATCTCGACGATGTAGATAGACAGGTTATGCAATTAGACAGATATGTATACGTGTATTCTTCTCCTCGGTGCTCAATAGCCACCTTTCCGATATAGATCATGTAGTCTCCTCTGATAAGTATCAGTTTCGCTATTAGGCCAAGTATTCTGTCTTGCTGCTTGATCTCAAGGCACACGCTATTAACGATAGCGTGATGGCATCTCACCCTGTGGGTCAGCAAGCTTGAACTTAACCAGCCACGACAATGGCAGACGGTTCCTCCGATTCCTCTAGCCATGAATATAAAGTATTTGATAGATTTCGAAGTACAGATAAAATCTTCGCCAGGAAACGAGAGTCACCTTCCACGACGATGGACAGCAACGCGGACAAGACTGTTTGGCACACTTACAATGAACGAGCCGATATCGTGGACAGGGAACTTATAAAAGACTGGAACGACAGTCTAAACACGCTACTAATCTTCGTATGTTATCACGTAGACCTTAGGTTGTAAGAGACTGACAATCCGCAGGGTGCCTTGTATACTGCCATCCTCACGGCTTTCATCATTGAGAGCATGAAGCTGCTTGGGGAGGATACGGGAGAGACAACTCGAGACATTCTTCTGGTCATTTCTCGTCAACTTGCAAATTTTTTTTTGTGTTAAGTATTATTGTGCAGTGGCACCGCCAATATAGCACATTGTCTAACTGGAGCCCACTTACTGGGTTACCCTCGGTTTCATTGGCGCGTGCATCTCCTTGAAGGCAGGCAGTTGTCGCTCTCCTCGCCGAGATCTCCCTCTGGGTGTGGCTCTGCTACGCTACTTTTGCTTGCTTTCGATCGCCTTGACTGTCTGTGAAGTTGGTTTGGTTTCGATACGCGTTGTCTCTCTGGTGAGTTGGTTACTCTCTTTCCCTTCCGTTTGTATCCTCCCGTCCCATCTTCAACCTCCCCGTCCTCCTGATAAACTTCAACGTCTCCTTGATTCCCTCCTTTGTCCCTAGTATCTCCGCTGGTTCTCTCGTCTTCTCACGCAATGCTCCTTCCCATTCGGCTCGCGCTGCATTGTACGCTGGGCAGATGTGGAGGAGATGAGTTATGTTTTCTGCATTTCCCTCTCCACAGTGTGGGCACCACAGTGCATCCGCTCTGTTGATGCGGTTCAGATGCTTGTTCAGTCCGATATGTCCTGTACGTAACTGAATAAGTGCCGCTGCTTCTGCTCTCGTTAGCTCGTCTGTGATTTGGAGATATTTGTTGGATGGCATTGTCTCGTCGATGGGCCTGGTCCTGTCATACCATGCTGAAGATTTCCACTTGTCGTGTGCTGACTTCCTTGCTGCAAGTTTGAGTTCCTGTCTGAGTGCCGAGATATTCTGCAGGAGGGTGTCCTTCGTCCATGGTGGGAGTGTTGCTGCTGTGGATGATCCATCTGTGATGGCCTTCTTGGCCTCCTTGTCCGCTGCTTTGTTACCCTCGATCCCTTCGTGCCCTGGGACCCACGTGAGAGTGATCTGAGTCGATTGATTGATCCTCGTCTCGTCATCGCTTGCCTCTACGAGTTCTTGTCTACGCTTTTGATCATTGCGCAGTTCGTCTATTGCTCTGTGGATCTTGTGGATGATGTGTTGGCCGGCTTTGGCACTGACGTTCTCCATTCCTTGTATTGCTGCCTGGTTGTCGAGGCTGATCTTGATACGTGGTATGATGATCCTTTCCATCTTGGCTAGCTGGACTCCGAGTGCAATTCCAACGAGTTCTCCTTCGTGTACCGTGTGCTCCGTGTCTTCTCCAAGCAGGAATCTTGCTGACCTTATCTGTACTCCGTCTCTGTAGAGTACTGCACCTGCTCCTATCATGCCTTCCATTCCTGAGCCATCCGTATAAACTACTACCCGCTCGTTGTTGCCGTTGCTGTTGTTGTCCGCCTCTTTCGCTAACATCCTCAACTCCTCTATTGAGATAGTGAATGGGTTAGTGGCGTTGGGGTTGCGTGATGCTGGGGTGATGGTTTCGAGGTCGTCTACTTTGGAGTCGATGGAGTGGAAGATGCGATGTAGGGGGGCGTTGTGCCTCTGGAGGAGTCCTCTTGATGCTCGTTTCACGAATTTGGAGAGAGGATGGGTAGCGGGCAGGCTTGCCAGCCGGGCCGCCGCCTTCTGGCATGTGAGGCGTAGAGTTTCTTCGATTGGTAGCATATTGAGGTGCGCATCAAGGGTATCTCCTGCTGTTGTGCGGATAGCGCCTGTGATACCAATGGCGGCTCTACGTTGGACGGCTTGCAGCTTCTTGGTGATGGCTACGGATCCCATCCGGCGTGCGGAGTCTGGCTTGGTGTACAGTGGGGTGTACCAGATGTCTGCGGCGTATGTGATGCGAGGAATGGCAACGGAGTTGAAGAGTTGGCGGCCTGAGCGGATTGGGAGGCCATGGAATGCCCTGTGTATACGCAAGAATAGTGAGGTCCACTTTACTGCCCTTGTGTGCACGAGCTCCTGGTGCTTGTTCCACCGCAGTGACTGGTCGATCACCACTCCAAGTAACTTGCAACTGTCGGTGGGTTGAATCGTTACTGTTGACGTTCTGCCATTGCTGTCCTTTGCCTCGAGGACCAGTCAACTTGCAAATGCATCGACGCCTGCCTTTGAACACGAGGAGTTCACACCCAAGGACTGGGCAGTGCGGGTCAACTATTGCTTCTTCACGAGCATATCGTGCAGCCTTGTCGCTGCACTCGGAGCAGTGCTCGCGCTGCAATGGGCCGGGTCTTACAGCTTGGATCGCATTCGAGCGCCGGCAACGCTGCGCGCAACTCAGCGACAGTTGCGATATAATGGCATAAGAAAGTGGAAGCTCACTCGATTTATATCACTTCTCCCACTTCTAATCTACATCTCCCTTTTCCTGTTCTTTGTAGGATTATCCGAATGGCTACAGCACATCCATCGCCATATCGCTGGTGTTGTTCTGACTGGCGTTGTTATAGCAGGGCTACTCTACATAACCACTCACGCTATCAGTATTCTGGACGTATCAGCTCCCTTTCGAACTCCCATATCACGGTACCTTCCCTATCTCATTCAGAGAGCTCACTGGTGGATCTTCCCCGCTACGTCTAGTCTGAATAAGCAGGAAGAAGATAGAAAGCCAGAGGAACGTCGGTGGTCGTCGCAGGTTCTTGACGAAGTTTCTGGTCTTCAGCGGCTCGTCAAAATTCAAGTCACAAGGCTGCGCACGGTGTGGTTCAATCTTCGTTCATCACTATATACAATACAAAGGATAATTATGAACCCAGAGAAGCCAATGTCCTTCAAGTATCGTGAGCTGCGAGCACTAGAATCAGACCCGATTCTGCAAAGAGATGGTATACTGTGGGTAGCCAAGCAGACCCATGTCCTTCCCTCGTCGCGCCTACTTTTTGTAACACTACTCAAGGAAGTTGCCCTCGTGCAGAACGTCCACCTTATTGATTCTGGAATGAGTTCAGCTCTTTGGCCCCCGATTTTTCAAAATGTACTCCAGAGGTTCTACGACATGCAAAGTATTACTCCGGGGGCATTCTCTGACCAAGTAATTGCAGAATTGGAGATCATTCTAACGGCGGTGGCATGGGTAGGAACCGTTCCTACTCGCAATTTTACCCGTCTCTGTGATCAACTCTCTTGCGATGGTTTCGGTATGCTCTCGACGTTCGCCAAGTTGTTACAGTGGAAATTCTACTCAGGTACACTCTCACATATCCTCGATCAAAGCCCACATTTAATTCTCGAACTCGCGGACCCTTGGATATACACCATATTACACCGCTTTTACAGTCACGGACGACCAAATGATGGCTCGGATCTCATCAGATTTCTGGATCCTCTCACAATCTCAGAACATTACGAAGGAGAGCCGCGGCTTCTTGACCCCCCAAAAATCTTTGTCCTCATGAAAATAGTCATTTGTATTCAAGGTTACAATACATATCACAACGATCTATGGGAACAGTACAGACAAGCAGTATCCAATATTTCTGACACCAGAAGCGACTATAATACTCTTCAAACATGTCATACTGTCATACTCCTCCAACTTCTTTGTCATATTTCCGATCTGCAAAACCGTCACGATGAAGTGTTGTACGCTGTCATACAGTACTGCAAGTCTCATCTGAGTTCTGACAATCTACGGCCACTCATACTTAGGCTATCAACAAGCATCCGCAACTCAGTTGGTGAAGGGCAGCAGATGTCCCAGTTAGTGCCCGCTGTTTGTGCCATAATTTGTGGGCCTGATTCGCCCTCAAGCGAGTCACCAAGCAACCTTTGGGCTGAAATACTCAAAAGATGCAATCAAATACTAAGCCACGAGCGCGATTCAAGGTTTAGCGTTAACCTTCTTGTCTCGTCACTCTTACGCGCAGCGAAGGCCTCTGGGTGCCCTCTTGATTCCCATCGAAGCGATATACAGGTCCCTATAGAGCACCCTGCAATCTTAATTCTCGCCTCTTTGATCCTACCAGATCGCTACTTGCTCAATCCTCTAAAGGAGATGTCCTTAGCACCAGAAATTCGTCAGGATCCAAGCTTTGCAGATCTACTCGAATTTTGGTCTCTTCGCTACAGAAGTCCTCCCAAACCCGATACCGAGGCTGAATGCATTGTTGTGCTTGAGTTGGCAGACGTTCTAGACGCAGTTATTGCAGCTAATTACATTGCTCGTCAGAGGTTTCCGGTAAGGTAAACCAGTACTCTACAGCGTGTGGTTGACCTCTTTGATTAGGATGAATATTGGAAGGTCCTCGTTTCCCAACATCTGCAACGTCTATTGTCAAATCGCATGGCACCATATATCCTGAAACAGGTCAAAGACACCTCGACTTTCCCAGATTGCTTCTTTGAAGCTGATGGGATTACATGGCTGGCCACTCGCCTCCGTGCTCCTAACTATGAGACTGAACGAGATGACATGGTCGAGCTCATTATTCACTGCATCGAGGAATCTACAAGTGTAACCGCCTTCCGCAACAGCCTACATTTGGTGTCAACCTACATTGAAGTGACGGGTCCAGTTGAGGCTGCCCATCGTTCGTATAGTCTCTTTGAAGAAATCCTCACGAAAATCCTCACTTTTAGAGGTAATCTCACCTTTTGAAGCAGATAGTCAACTCATACCTCCATAGCTCCATGTCAAAATCACTCTCGCCTTCGATGTAGTCCCTTCAGGGACTCACTAATCAGGAATGGGCTAGAAGACCAGCTCAAAGGCGAGGTAGAGACAATAATTGAGACCTGCAAGCGCAACTATCTCCTATCGCCGCCCGCAGATGGGGACTACAATTTATGAGGGATCCAGATGGCATCTGCCAGAAATCGTGGAATTGATTGCAAGGAGACTTATGGGTGCCTATATGTTCAATGAATCAGGACTAGACTCGAGTAGTAGGCATTGGGATTATATCTATAAATTGTCCTTTCATATTCGTTTCCTCTCTCATGAGAGCGCCTACAGGGAGTAGATTTATAGGACAAGGGTGAGAGAAAATAGTACAATTGCTACAACGTCGAGTGGTCATGAGGCGAGAGCAGAATTGAGTGGCGAGAGATTGCGAAAGACCAAAATCAAATGGCGGGTTGTCCATACGGAAGGAGAGGGGGGGATGCCCTCTACAATGAGGTGGGTCCTCGCCACATGGGCGCTATCGGTACTGATAGAGCGCGGCGTCCATCGGCTGAACGTCCCTGCGAGCCCAGAGCGTGCTTTGGCCTGCAGCCGCGGGGTTAAACGCCTGTGCCTGTGCGAAAAACGACGACGAAGAAGGCGATTGTTGGGTGTTTTGAAGCGGCTGTGCGTAGAATGTCGAATGTTGGGTTGTGTAAAATGCAGGTTGCGACTGTTGCGATGCACCTGCTGCCGAGTTTCCGGACGAGGTACCAAAGACCTTTGGAGTCGGCGTTACTTGGGCCCGTGAAGAGAGACCAAATGGTTTGGCTTCTAGTTGTCGTCGTGAGGACTCTGATCGGTTGTGATTCGAGAGCTGGGCGGCGGTGGCGAGATAAAAGGGATCGCAAGAGGCAAAGCTCGAGTTGGTGTCGGAGTCGGTAAAAGTGTATTCTGATCTCTGTTCATCATCGACTTCGATGTCCATATCCATCGATGCCCGTGCCAGGCTGGGCTCTCGCCGTCTCCGGCTATTGCCACCACCACCACCCACGTTCTTGGAGAGTACGTAAGGCGAGGTAGACAAGGTGGGTGTAGTCGCTGGTGCAAAGTCTTGTTTTACTTGATGGGGATGATTCTGGGACAATGCAAAATGATAAAGGAGCTGAGCCTGGTTATAGGCATCCAAATCGAGTAAAGTCAGTTGTGAGCATTTTGAGATAAGAAAGAGGGAAGCGTGACGGAAAGAGGATGCGGCATGGAGAGCTCGGAGTGAGACTGACCCGTAGTTCCGGAACGAGGAGCTCGCTCTCATCGACGACGGTGCACGACGCAGCGGCAGTGGCAAGCGCCAGGAGATCATCGCATTCGATACGACTGCTCGTGGCTGTCATGTCTTATCTGCTTTGTGGCTTTGCTAGTTGGATAGGCGCTTTGCCGAGTCAGTTGGGGGAGTGGCAAGGACGGTCCAAGTATCTCTGGGAATTTCCAAGGCCTTTATCGTCGACAAAGTGAGCACGGCGGGTGCGCTGGAGAGATGTGGCCGGGTCCAAGATGCGAGGTTGGTTGGGGGCGCGTTATCAACGATCACCGCTTTCCGGCACTCGGAAGCCACGCCGGCACTGATTTCTCCGATCGAATAGCACCCAACCCAACGCGGTCTCTTCCGGTCCGACGGCGATTCCATCCGCTTTGTTATTTATTTTATATAGAATATTCGTCGGACCACTTTGGTGTTTTTGTGCCAGTCTCAGAAGCTGACCCGCGCCTCTGTTCGTAATCTCGGCCTCACTCGGGAGAATCTTCGTACCGCATAGAGTGTATGCGTCATTCACATTCATCTGCTTCTAGACGAGCATCTCGACTCGTCCTTAGCCTCGCTCTCCCGTCGCCAAGGGCTATTTTCCTGGGCTAATCACATTCCTTCCGTCTATTCCCAATCATTGCACCGTGATTACCACGACACATTCCCTCGCCATGGATACTCCACCTTTAAAACTTTTATCCATTTCTGTGATGCATCGGAGGAGATATCACGAGTCAGGTTCGTGGCGCCGCCACGTTACCAGCTTCGTGAATTGGATAAGCCAGTAATTCAACAGAGCCAGCAATCCATTCGCTCCCTCTCTCCAGACGTTGTCACACATCAAATGATGACCTAGACCTCGTCAGACCGTGTATTCAGCATACACACATCCATCGAGGGTGATGTTTGCCGCTTCTTGTATCAGAGCACGAGGCATGATTACATCCTCTTCTCTATGCGACTCTACTCTCCTTGGCCTTTTGAATATCGACAAACGAGTCTGTCATCAAATCCGACATTCGAGACTCTCTTCAGGGCACATGCTCGCATAAACCTCTTATAACCCGTCCTTTGGCATCTTTGGCCCAAAGAAGATGTGCCGGATGAGCGATGGAGACGAGAGCGCGCTCTTTGAAGCAAACTCCGCATAGAGCGTCGACACGAAGCCAATTCAGAGCTACTTTGTCACCGCCCATGGGTAGGATTGTATCGAGCAGGATGAGACCACTCGTCAGGGGTTTGCGCGGTTGTGGCATTCGAAAGGCAATACTGCGCGACTCTGCCACCTGCTGAATGTGCAACGAGAATCGGACGAGCAAGTTATGGTCGGAATGAGTGAATGAGGTTGATAGTACTTTCAAGTTCGCGTGCGTAGTCGACGGCTCAAGTGGATAAAGGATTTCAAACAAGAAGATTGTCCAGTATGTATTCAATGACTACAAACGACGTCCCGTGTATACATGTCGGGGAGGGAGAGCGAGTGCGCAATACGGCCATTGCTTGCAAAGTACGGAAGCCGCTTGGAGTAGCAGTGTGCTGTTCCAAATTCACCATGAACGAAGAGAACCGGTGCGGTATTCCCATCCCCTTCTGGTTGGCAATAAGATCTTTGAGGCTGTCTGGTGTCGTGAGTTGCAATATAGGGGTAAATGGCGTCAAGCATCGTCGTAGAGTTCGGTGATGAAGCAAATGACTTGCAAGGAAAAGCGCAACGACCATGACCCGGCTGTGATAGCCGCGACAATGAGAAGTCCCGAAGCTAGTGACATGCCGAGAATGACTGGGAACACTTTTTACCCAAAAGACTTCTCAGAACCGTCTTATAGACGCGGTCGTGTCCAAACTGAGATTGGCCATTACCAACATTGACTACAGAGCAAGGCATCAATTTACAATAAACGCCAGGTATTCGATATGAACCCATGCCTTGCCTCCTGCTTCCAGACTCCACCTGCAATACCCGAATAACCGGACACAACTTGACCTCCTTCCACCGTCGACATGAAACAAAATAAGGTTATTGTCGCAACTGGACGTACTTATGCATACGTAGATGCCAAATCCACACCGAGTCCTCGAGCGACGTTGCTCTGCCTTCATGGATTCCCAGACCAATGGTTAGACAAGTTGCGACGCTTCTTCATAACACTGAATATTTTGACTAGGTATGGTTGGGAACACCAGATTACAGCGTGGAGTAAGGCTGGATACCGAGTCCTTGTGCCGCACATGCTAGGCTATGGACAAACGGTATGTGTGGTTTTCGCGTTGGACGGGGAGAACTAAGAACAAAGTAGGATAAACCGCAAGATATCGAGGCCTACTCGACGAAGAACCTTTGTGCAGACCTCGCGGCCTTTCTAGACGCACTGGGTCTATTCGAACCCTTGGTCGTCATAGGTCACGATTGGGGAGCAGCTGTCGCCTGGAGATTCCTGCTTTGGTATCCGGAAAGACTCAAACTCTTGATCAAGTCGGTCTTGCCCTTTGAGCCCACATTGGAATGTTGACGCAGTTCTTCAGCATGTCCGTTCCATACTTTCCACCATGGACAACGTATATTCCAATCGAAGAAGCGTCCAGGCGTGTCCCATCGTTTGCGTATCAAGAATACTTTGCGAGCCCCGAATCAACAGCACAAGTGGAAAGAGCCGTACGTTTCCTGTGTTTCTCAGTCATTTGAATGACGGGTTGACCTCTTTGATAGTTGAGCATTTTCCTACCTGCACTCTTCCAAGGACCGAGGGGATTCAGTGGGCACCAGCAAGGCAGCTCTGGAGAGAATATCTCCATCCTACGCCCAGGTCAAATGAAGGCCCTCATCAATGACGAAACACGACTGCGAGCTCAGCAACCTATGCTTCCTCCAATGGTCATCTCTCCCGAAGTACGTACCGACTGTTCCAATGATCCACGGCCCGAGACGGTTTCCGGTCATCCTCTGGTTTGACACTCCGTACTGACGCCTTCTCCCGCTTGTATAACAGGAGCTCAACCGGTACCGAGCCGACTTTGAGCAAGGCGGGATGCACGGCCCGCTCTCGTACTATCGCAACACACGTTCACGGTACGACGACGAGCTTCAACTTCTCAAAAGAGGTAAAGTCGATTCATCGTATCATGTTGCTCGGTGCTAACGTTGGCATGATCAGGAAATAGGAATCGCTCCTCGCCATCCAAACCTATCCCAATCTTGTTCATCTATGGATCCGAGGACAAAACCTGTCCAGAAAACTTTGTCAAGCGTATGCCGCAGCTGATCACCAAGAGCGATCCCAATGTGCGACTTCCACTGCTCTACGGTGACTTGAAGATGATCAAGCTCGACGGTGTCGGTCATTGGGTGCTCCTAGAAGCCAAAGAGCGTGTCACCAACGAGGTGCTCTCCTTCCTTGAGCAAAATTTGGCCGGTCGAACAGCTTTGCCACTCGCAAAGCTCTGATGAGCGACCAGAGAAGAAACCGTGCTTACTTGGCAACCAAAACTTGGAAGTTCATCATTTGATTGAGATTTTGTACAGTAGAGAAACATGCTACACTGGCATTCCACAAGGAGAGTTCATTCAGAACATATCCTCTAGCGTCATCTGCTTTACGATGTCCTATAAACACAAAAGCATTAGTGATCAAGGGCCGCACTCGAGAGAAAGGGGCGGCTGACCGTATTCGATACCATCGCGCTAAACTCCTCAAAGCTCAGCTTGCCATCTCCATCCTTGTCAGCTTCCATGATCGTCTTGTCCACAATCTGCTGCAACTGGGCGTCCTTGAGATTGTTGCCAACCATCATCTTGAGCACGAGGAAGAGCTCGCCGTTGGAAATGTAATTGTCCCTATCCATGTCATAGACCTTGAACGCAAAGCGCAGCTTTTCCTCGCGGCCACCACGACTGCTAAATGCGCTCAGCCCTCCGACGAATTCTTCGAAATCAACCGTTCCTCCTCCACTAAATAAATGGTCAGCCTATTGAATGGAGATGGAATGGGTGGAAGCTCCCTTGGTGGAGCTCGGGTGTAGTCATGGAGGGATGAAAGAATTCTCACTCCGAGTCGAAAATGGCAATCATTCGGCTAGCCAATGGATTGCTTGCAATTTGGGGGATGTTGAGGAATTCTTCGCGGTCTATCGAGCCAGATCCATCCCTATAGGCCATTGTCAACAAATTGTCGCTTTGATGATGGGTGGCGGCTCACGCATCGAGCTTGAGGAATCGCTTCTTTAGCCTCTCAAGTTCTGCAGAGTTGACTATATAGTAGAAAAGGTATCGTCAGCATAAAGGCCTCGAACGTGCTGAGGAGCGACCTCGACGCCCGTCGTGGACGCCTTGAGCGCTAGCCACAAAGGCTCGATATACGCAGTGAAAGGAACTTACAGTTGGTGTTTCTTTCGATATCCGCAAAAAACTGGGACGGAGGCTTGCCCACGGGCGCCTCGATGTCAATCTGTGGAATCGTTGGTCGTTGCTGTTGTTCCATCTCGCTCTGCTGTTCTTTGTATGTGTCGAGATTGTGAGCTATCCTCTATGTAGAATACACGCCGCTAGACGATCCTGGCTGATGGCGAGAATGACGAGGTCGGGTCCAAGCCTATTCTTCATCCCTGCCTCGTCCTTCGATCCGTGGTGGCGTTGGTGTCCTCTTTGTCGGCGGCAGAAACAACTCGAATCGGATATACCTATAATTTGAATATTGATTGTCAATTTTGACGAATTCTGGAGCGGTGGTGGATGCTTCAGCTGTGTCGACCAAGTCTGCCAAATTCCCTTCATCACACTTGCTCATTCTCGTATTTACCAACATTTTGGAGACCACGGATCCACAAGACACTCGTCCTAGAGCGACCAAGTCTTTGGAAAGCGCCAACGAGCCAGCACGGGCTGCAAGCTATCCAGCAGACGCGCCGAGTTTCTTCTCTTGCCCATTATGATTTTCTTCCACCCTCTCCTGCTCAGAAAGAGACAATTTACGCGCTTTCCACGCCACCTGGACGTGCTGGCGTCGCGGTGATACGCATATCGGGGCCAAGCGTACTCAATGTTTATTCCTTGATGGTCAAGAGGCCAGCAATATCTAAAAGAGACCAGAAGGCTGTGTTGACCCCGTCTGCTGGTGCGCCAATGAAACCAAAGCCTTGGAAAATGCATCGGTGCAGCGTTGTGGACATGGAGGATGGACAGGTTATCGATGAGGGACTTGCTGTGTACTTCTCAGGTATGTCTCTTCTGAACAGGGCCTCACCATCCTCATTGCGTGCCAGGGCCCAGGTCATTTACTGGAGAAGATGTGCTAGAATTACACGTCCATTCGGGAAAAGCCATCATAGCCTCGATAATGAGAGTACTGAGCCAGATCCCTGGATGTCGAATGGCCGAACGAGGAGAATTTACGCGTCGGGCATTTGACGCGGGCCGAATGGATCTCACTCAGGTCGAGGGCTTGCGAGACCTCATCGACGCTGAGACGGAGGAGCAACGTAAATGGGCTCTTGGTGCGACACAGGTGAGAGCCCTTTTGCCACCATCCTTGATCATACGGCTCTCTGCATGCTGACATGCTTGGCGGTGCTGGCAGGGAGCGATACGTGAAGAAGTTGAAGCTATTAGAAAGGAGATTGTTACCTGCCTCATGTTATGCGAGGCTGAAATCGATTTTGGAGATACAGAGGATATCGACACGGGAGTGGTCAAGCAAGGTGAGGCTACAGTGCTTAATAGACATGTGGCTGTGCGCTAATACTATTAATCTTTTGACGCTGGTGGCCGACGGCGATCAGCACACGACCGTGCCGTGGTCCTCAGGGACAAACTCAAACTGTACCTAAGTGACAGCAGAAAGGGGGAAATTATGCGCAATGGAGTACGTATCGTTCTATTTGGTGAGCCTAACGCTGGCAAGAGTTCTTTGCTTAATTGGCTGGGTGAGTGCTGGCTATCTGCGATCATATGTGGATACTAACCAGCAAGTTCTCTTTACCAGCCCAACGCCAAGCTGCGATTGTAACGCCCGTACCTGGAACGACGCGAGATATTCTCGAGGTGGCGCTTGACATAGATGGGCTGCCCGTCATTGCGTGTGACACTGCTGGAATACGAAAAACGGAAGATCTTGTCGAAAGAATAGGTGTCCAAAGAGCCGGAGATGCGTTAGTACTGATTCCGACCCTCTTCCATTCGTGCCGACTTCCTTTTCGCGCGCGCCCAGCTCCACAGCCATCGTCACCTTCTGACGATCGAGCTCGGCTGGATCGTCATATGACTGCTTTGATCATTGATTTCGATACTGACTTGTTTTTTATGCGCCGCCGGGCCCTTTCCAGCGTCCGACAGGCAGACATAGCCATTTGTGTTGTCTCGCTTCCCGAGTTGGAGGCGCGAAATAAACTGGCCACCCAGCGCTGGAACCACCGCGGCAGCGCGATTGGAGGGATTGAAGCGTGGCCGCCGCCAGAGCTTGGCGAACTGATGAGCTCGCAAACGTTGGTTCTACTGAACAAGCTCGATGTCGCCAATGAATCAGCGGCTCGGCATGCGGAGTACCTCCAAGTCCCAGGCATGGCCGAGGATGAAGCGGGAGCGCGCCGTGGAGAAGAGATTCGATGCTGGCGCGCAAGCGTCACCACTGGAGAGGGCATGCAAGAGTTTATCAACGGTTTGGTGCGGTGTATTCGCGATCGGTACGTATATCGACTTTCGGGCTCAGTAGCCCATATGCAATGCTCGGATTGCGTTTGCGATTAGCAGAGCCGAGCACAAGTTAAAAAAAACGTTACTGATGACGTCCTTATTTGCCAGGTACCAACTTTCCGGGAGCCAAGGCCCAGGAGGTGGAATTCAGATAGGGCACGCTCGTCAGCGACTGCACATGGAGAATGCTGTCATGTATCTCGAGGCCTTTATTCAAGGTCTCAATACGCACGGCCACTCCACCGTTGTGCTCGCTGCAGAAGAACTCCGGTACGCTGCGCGCGAGATAGGGGCCATTTCACGCCAGGTGACGGTCGACGACATACTCGACGCCGTGTTTCGCGAGTTTTGTATTGGAAAATGACAATGTCGAGTATTTTTGGTCGAATTACGAGGCGCCCTGTTATCATTGAGATGCGTCATGGAAATGCAACCACACACGGGATCGTATCTTGAACCTCTCCTCTTCGACCGTCGCTCTTCGCGCGGGACTGTTCTCCCGCCTTGATGAGAGTTTTACAACTATTTAACCAGCCAAGTCGCTCGTACACAGACGGCGGCGAGGCCCAGCTCGACTCTGTCGACGCCGCCGAGGCCGCAAAGGGGGATGGCGTTGCCCCCAAGTCTCCGGCAGAGATGGAAGCTGAACGACGTGCCGAACGACGCTCACGATACTACTCTGCAGCGTCTGACCCACGCCTACGCCGCGAATGGGACCGAATCCTCCAAGAGGACCAACGCACTCGCTCAAGACGACCCGCGAGCGCCGGTGTGGCCGTTTCCACAAAACCGAGTAGACCTGTCTTTGCGTCTGTGAATGAGCAAGACGGTCTTCATGTTCCCAAACCGCCAAAGGGAGCGGCAAAGGATGACAACGACAGCGACGAATTTTACACGCCCTATGCGTCACCACAGGCTTCACCGCAGACTGCCGCACTCGATCTCGCAAATCATTCACCCATCCTGCAGTCGCTCACCGTAGCCGCCACTTCAGACATGAACCAAGAGCCGCGACACTCCCGGCTCGGGTCGAGTAGCAGCAGCACTGTCAGCCAAAGCTATGCATCCTCGGTCGTTTCGTCGGAAGACAATTATACAAACTATTCGTGGAGTGCAGGAACTGGCAGCGAACATACACATATTACCATTTCCTCGTCACGGTCCAGCCGCCACTCTAAACAGCTCTCCGACCCTACGCACAACAACATGGCACCTCCGGCCGACTGGGCAAAGGACATTCGTTGGCTCGTCGCTCCTGAGCACTCTTCCGCGGCTCCGAAACGAACCATTTCTGCACCACCGTCGTCCTCCGCAGCAAGCACTCGATCACGTTCCTCGAGTCGAAGTAGCGGCAGTCTAGGCAGCAGGAGCAAGACGGAACCTATTCGCCCAAGGGGTAAACGACGAATGAGCGAGATTCAGGAAGAGGTCGAGGACGACGATGGTCGGCTGTCCCTTGATGAAGGGGCCGCCCGAGCGCCCCAACTCTCCGATTTTGGCGTACCCCCTCAGCGTCGAAAGTCTCAGTCTAGTCAATCGCGTGGGTACGGAAGAAAGAAGAGCCTCAGCACACACTCTGAGACGAGTTCGACGTCGTCTATCCGAACTGTCGATCTACCGCCATTAGTCCCACACGCCGAACCAGGGACCTATACGTCTCTCGTCTTTCCCCGAGCCAGTTATCAGCCCTCGAAACACCCAGAGCGTCTCTCCAGCTCGGTTGATATGATCCACATCGGCGTCGGATCGACGACAATGACCACCATTTCTGTCACAAAACATGCAGCAGAGATGCTCAATCGCGGTCGCAAGTTTTCTCTACCTTCGATTATATCCCCGAGAAACTCCAGTGAGACGCCGAGCCATCTCCTCGAGGAGAGCACAGTCCCCATCGTTGCCCTCACATCTCATACACCCACCCCATCGAAGGTGCAGAACCACCAAGTTCTTGTTCAGGTCTGTTGTGTAGCGTTGGAGGGGATCGACGTCGTGATTACGAGAGAGAAGAGCAAGACAGCAGAAGGCTATGGATTTGTCCCAGGGCGTGGCTTCTATGGCCGGATTATCGAGGCTGGACTTGGTGTTTCAAACGTACGCAAAGGAGATTGGGTTGTTGGCTGTCTGGACCTGTCAAAGGTACGTGCATAAACCCCTTTTCGGTCGCCGATCCACTCACGTGCTCCTAATTAGTCTGGAGCCTTGTCCGAATTTCTGATCGCTGATAAGAGGAGGATACACCGTGCTCCTCCTGCGACTCCTTCGCTCACTGCGGAGCATCTTGCCGTCCTCGCCGTCTCCGGTCTCTTTGCTCAACGCGCGACGAGCACGCTACCAACGCCTTGCAAGGGTCAACGTGTTCTCATCCTCCAAGCACACGATGGAGCTGGCGCATTGGCTGCTCAAGAGCTCGTAGCCGCCGGTGCGCGCGTCACGGCACAGATTGCAGACGTGAAACAGCTGGACAAGCTCCGCGGATTAACTCTCGACTCCGTCAAAGTCGGAGAGCCATTAGCCGTTTTGCAATCCTTTGAGCCATCCGAGGAAGGCTCGTTTGATGCTGTCCTTGACACGGTGGGCGGCAAGGAGATTTGGGAGGCGTGTAAACGGGTATTCGGATCCACCGGCCAGGTGCGTTACCCCTTCTTTCCCATTTGAGATTTGTGTTTTCGAGGTATTGACCGGCACTACAGTTTACTACCTTTGTTGGCGACTCTGCCGATGCTGCATTGTCTCGCAACGCGCACGTCAAGAGCAACATGCGCTCGCTCAAGCTTGCCTGGAAGAGGCAAGAAAACCGATCGATTGGATACGAATGGGTGTCCCCATCGGCAGAGGTTGACCATGAAGGCAGGGACATTCAGGCCTCGTTGGCCGCGACATGCAACCTGGCCACCGAGGGCTACGTTCGACCACGGATATCGCCGCATCTCATCGTGCCATTCGAACGTGCTCCGGACCTCCTTAACGGCTATCGTCGAGACGGCCTCGCGGCCGAGCTCCTGAGTGGGGCTGTCGGTGTCGTGCGCCTCCAATAAGCCACAAGCCACAGACCACCACCCACACAACCTTGATCGTTGCTCGCCAACGTCCAAGCCAACTTCAAAGGTATACAGTTTCCATGATCACACCCCAACCCAGTTCATCACATCGCATCCACCTACACCACCTACACCACCACAGCAATTAATAACTTATTCAACGTCTTGGTTATCAAATAGTGGGGCTCGGTGCCCACCATGTACATGAGCAGACAAAAAAGGTCGACATTCTTGGAACAGGATCCAACATAAAACTTCGACGCCCCGGTCTCATTCCCATCCCATGCAACTTTCTCCATCTTATTTACTTCGCGTAATCTTAGTCTAGACTACTTTTCCCTTTTCTTTCCTTACGACCAGCTCCCGGCCGTTTTGGCGGCCTTCTCGACCTCCCGCAAAGAGTGCTTCCGACGCATACGCGCACTTGGAGGGGCATGCATATCTTGTTTTTCGGAGTTCTACTAGCTCTCGTCTCTACTGGATATTTTGGGTACGAAAAGTGGGTTCGACAGATTGCTCTTTCCCGATACCTGTACTCCGACTACTAGCTTGTTTTGGTACTTCGAAACAAGGAACTTGCAAAGTATTTGCTCGCGCGTCCGTTGAGTAATCAGCCCATGTTTGAACCCATTCACAACATTGTGTCAATATGGTTCTTCCTCGTATCAATATTCGACAACTTTTCGAATGCTGGTAGCTGGAGTTTGGTCTAGCCGTTTGTTGGATTTGGGTTTCAATTGTGCTGGTTGGCAATTTGCCGTCACGACAGGGGGCATTTGAAAGCTGGAAGAAACAGCGGAAGTGCATCGAGTACGAGTTGAGAGACGCGGACCGCACTTGGACCCCTTCCCCATCCGCCCTCTTCAGACTCTATCACGGCAATGGCAACGCCTCAGGCAATGTGCATAGTCAGTCATATTTGCGGATAAGCGAAAGGCAAACTGAGGAGAAATGGTTATTCACTAGAGCTGCGGCTATCGACCGAAGCGGATCGAAGGCAACCGTGTACACGACTATTGCTCCAGAGGTTGTGCGCAAAGGGGGCCTAATCCAAAGTAGGAGCGCCGTACTTTGTGGAGTACTGTCACTTATAGAGTTTTATTTTCAGTGTGCCTCAAACTCCTGTTGCTGGACCGTCCTATTTCCCCCCTCCGACGCCGGCGCCTATGCCCTGGCCCGCTCAGCCAATGAATTACGGTTAGCCATGCCGCTCATTAAGTGGATAGAGGGCTTATGAGGATATTGGAACTAGCTGCGCCTGGGATCTGCGCTCTTCCGGGGTGCAATCGACCAGTCTTTGTGGATCACTCGAATAAACCTTCTCTATGGTGTGGACGGGGGCACATGGCGTACTTGGTTCTTATTCAGATCATAGTATAGTCTGTGTTGACTATCTGTAGGCAGGGACAGGCACAAGGCATTCAGCCCAGCTACCCAGCTCCCTATCCGCCTGTCCCAGCGCAACCAAGCCATTTCGTACATTCAGGCTTTCATAACCCGCCTGCACCCGCTATGACCGCGCAAGCGAAAGCGGCAGCTGGTTCGTCCTGGCAGGCCTATGTCGAAGCTACTAATCTATCCCAGGTCTGTGTCTATTGTCCAGCTGCATGAAGCCAGTATGGAGAGACGCGTGCGTAGTACCCTATCAGTAATACGCCTAAACTCATTCCTCATAGCTCCGGAACTCCAAGCCAGTATTGCAGCAAAGCGCATAGAACGTACGTTGGGTCAGCTCCGAAATCTTTTATACATACTTATGGAGTACAGTCAACACATCAGTGGGAATGGCGTTCCAATCCCGGCGCAAAGCGGATATCAACCGACACCCGCAGCGGCACCAGCTGCCCCATTGAAAAACCCTTGTTTGCACTGCAAGCAACGAGAGCAATGGCAGACAAGCCCTTTCTGTGGACGCGGATGCCTCGGCAAAGCTCAGAGCTCGGCACCTTCATTGATCGAAATCCCAAATACGCATCCAAAGTTCAAGGATGGTGAGTATATCCATTCAAATATGTACAATCCAATACTAATTTCGTCGCGCTCCTAGTGGCCAATCAATTTACCGTCAAGTGGAATACAGCCTATGCACCGACTCCGACCGTTCGACACGTTTATATGATCATGACGAGTGCTGCAAACATGAAAAAGTTTGAAAATTATCGGGATCGAATCGAGGCAAAGAACCATCACAAGTCGAAAGGGATGGAACCGGGCAATCAGCAACGGCGATGGCACGGAACTCGACGCATGTGCAAGTAAGTCACTCTCTTTTTATTTTGACCTTTGCTGACCCATCATAATCAAAAGGCTCGGCGACCCGGGGAACACTACTCTCTGCACGAATACAACCTGCGCTTTGTGTAACATCATTCGCTCTTCGTTCGATATGAAATACGCCAGTCAAGGTCTATTCGGCACTGGCATCTACACCTCGGCTACGCCGTCCAAGAGCGACAGTTACATTACCTCAACGGGACCGCTGAAGCCCATCTTGCTCAACAAGGTCATCGTCGGCAGGGGTTACAACCTCAACACGATGAACATCACGCTAACGTCACCACCTGCTGGCTTCGACTCGGTTAGTACCTTTCTGTTGATCTCTCGGCATGCTCATTCGTTCTGTATAGGTCCTCGGACAACTCGCGAATGACGAGCTCATCGTTTATAATAACGACGCAATTCGTCCGGCGTATCTCATCATGTACAACTAGAGGTCAAGATGTGTTCCTATTTGGGTCGGATTCGGCTTTCGTATGCACATCCTTTCTATTTGAATATCCTTGATTCATTTTTGTGGATGTTCAAGACTTAGTACCCTCGAGTGCAGTGACTATCTGGATCTCGAACCAGCCGCACATGGCCTTCGGCAGGTGAGGAAATGAGGTATCCCCGGTTGTACGCCTTTATGAGTCTTTCCATCTCCGCTCTGACGTCGTTCGGCCATCCTTGTATGGCCATCGAGCGCATGCCGACGCTGTAGTAGGATGTAAGGAGTTGGGAGCCATTGGCTATCAAGCTTGTCATCGTCTGCCAGGCCAGTATCAAGTGTCTTACTGGATGCATTCAGTATTACTTTGAGCGCTCGAGGGATTTGCTGTAAGAGGTCAGCTACTGCCTCATCATTATCCGTCTCCATGAGTTCGAGAAATATTGCAGCCAGTTCCATACTACTACGAAGGGTACGGATGGATGAGGATTGTTTGATGCACCAGGCCACAAGATTCGGAAATTCTGAGTGAGACTGTTTCCCATTTAAACGATTGATCACCCATTCTTGACCCCCAACCTCAAAGAATTGGTCTGGAAAGGTTGGAACGTCTTGAATACGGCACAGCATTGAGACACAATCGAAGTCGCTGGTGGATAAGAGACCTTGCAAATGGTCCGCAAGAATGGACTCCCAGTAAGCTGCCTATTACGTTTGCATCAATTATGACCAGTCATCTTGAAATATAGTATAACTACCTTATCATCCCGCCTCTCAATGTATTCCGTGATTAAATCTTCTCGTGTCTGTTCCCAGCCCTCGGTCTCCAGAATTCTCCGTTTACTGATTTTGGCTATCTCGCTGAGTACGATGCATTCAGACTGAATATCACCACTTGACGGACGTTCATAGTTCTCGCACCATTTGCGGAGAAGCTTGGGCCAGTATTCACATTCGCAAACTTCAGATATAGTCATGCACTTCAAAGGTTCCAAGGAGTATTGATTGGGAAGTATCACTGAGGCCAAAATCAGTAGGCCTGAATGAACTATTGGCGGTGGCGACGCCTGAGCGTGGGATTGGATTGCGTATTCAGTTGCTTCCGCTGCACGCATGAGAAGCGAAACCACACAATCTTGACTTTGGATTTCTTCTGCCAGCAGCTGATCACATTGGGTTATAACTTCGATCCACCAATCTGCAGGAGATGCGCTATAAGGTTGAATCGTCGAAGAGATGACGGAACCAATGAGTTGTAGCGTGTGGCGGTCCCAAGCAGCATCCTGGAGAAATTTGAAGATATTAGGGCGTACACTGTTGAGGACCGATGTTCTGACTTCAGCGACACGCTTCGTCAAGTATAAAGCTCGCTGTTCAGCGTCGACAGAGCTACGGGCATGCTCTATCCATTGTAAGATGATCACAGAGTGGTAAGTTAGCATCATCTCTCGATAGGGATCTCCAGGCTCGCTTATGAGAGTCTCACAATACTGATTCCAAGTGGTAGTAGAGGTCTTGTAAAAAGTATCAGGTTTGGAAAACTCGTCAGACGAGAGTTTGTGAGCGGCCACTGAAATGGCCATAAGGAGCTCGAGCGCTGTGGCCGACAGTCGTCGCTGATTATCCGAGGGCTGTGGACTCATGAGAGGATGTATCAATCTCTGAACCCACCATATGTCGACAAGCATGGGAAATCCGTTCGCTGAACTGCGTTTTTGATGGCGAGTGCGATGTAGAATCATATAGACCATCTGGTCTGAAAGGTCGCGGATTGACACAGAGTTCGTCAGCACGAGCTGGGCCAGTGGGTGCTGAAGGGTGTCACTGGGTGTTCCGTAATAGTATGCAAACTGTCTCCATACTGTAAGTAAAACCCATGTAGAAAGATTGCCCTGGCCAAGCTCAGATATCGGGTGCTGCAGTAAAGGCAAGTCTAATGGCAGATGACTATGACTCCCTATCAGCAGCGCTGCTTCCAGAAGAGATTTCAGTTCTTCAGGAGGTGTTTCACTCCGCAAAACCTCGGGATCATAATCATTAAAAACATTCCTGAATATTGCCGTCCAGGGTGCCGCATCCATTTCTGGGGCCATAAGTTGTTCAACAGGCAACGTGATTGCCTCTTTGAGTAAGGCCAGGAAATGAGGACGTGAGACTGGAACGTCGTCAATGTTCCGAGCGAGCCACAGGATACTATCCCGTTGTATATATGTATGAGATTCGAGGATTTGACGCTCCTGCTGCTCAAAGGGGTAAGCAGTCGGGGGATTCGATATCGCCTTCCATAGCTTGGCAGGTATTCTGGAGAGCTTCGCTGGCCACTTCTGTAGCTTCGCTTTTGCCTGCATCATTGTCCGTCTGAATTGTGGAATAGAACTCCCAACGCGGCGGTTTGGAGGTCGATTCTTCTCTTGCACCCAATGAAATAGACGACGTACACCAAGAGAAATCCAAGAATACCCCCTCAGGATGGCGAAAGGAAGTGATCGAGAGATTGGCGTACGGAAAGGGGCGGACACGTCGAGCATGCTAATTATATGACTCACGATGTAAAACAGACCTGCAACGACAATACCAGCGATAACTACCCACGCAATTTTCCGGTGAATGTGCCAGAGCCACTCAACAAGCCCGATGAACAGAAGGAACAACGAGGCAAAGATTAGGAGGGGTAGTATAGAAATTATTTGTCCAAGTTTCCACTTTTCAGCGCCATTGAAACGCAGTTGTCGCTGTATGGCGCGAAGTTTTGGCGATGGACGAGTCAGACCGATATCGTAGGATCCAACCCACTGTAGCGCAAGCACCGCTCCTAACGCGGCGATCAAACTGCACGATATGCTCGTGAAGAAGTAGTAATTTACACGTATTGCCCAAGCCTCCGGCTCGAATTTACTACGCCCAAAGGGGCCGGTAGTCGAGTTGGCGAGTTGCTGCGAGATGGTGAGCAGTATATCTCTTGTTGACTCCTGCATATCCTCTTCAAGTAGCTTCATGCTTTCAATGATGAATGCAGTGAGAATTGCCGAGTAAAGCGCCGCCTGTTCAACGTCAGTCTCCCCCCCTGCATCCTCGAAAACGTACAAAAATGAGAAGGGTATTCAAGCTCTCATTCCAGTCTCTGATGAGCTCCCGGTCTACAATGTTGGCGCGCTCGTTGTAGATTTCCCAAGCGGTCTTCTCTGCGCCACCATCTATCGCTGTGGGCGGTAGCTCTCGGTGTCTTTGTGGAATTCCCATGATCCCCCGCGGTCTATCTATCGACTCTCTTCCGTTGTTCATGTAGAATATTGGTTGTCTATGATGGGGGAGAGCAACTTTGGGCCGGACGAGTTCCGAGTGCTGCTAGGGAGTAGGCGATGGCGAGTGAAACTCCAAATACTCGCGATCAGTACCAAATAATTGGGAATTGCTAGGGAGTTGTCCTCGCTCCTAGCGCCTCATAACGCCCTCATTGCTAGTCAACCGTACTGCCGTTCTGTATATCTAACTAAGTAACTTTATACGATTTATGATGAGATGTGAGCCATGGAAAAACTCCAGGTTTGCTTGTTCCCGACCACCACCTTAGCCATCATGTCCGACAGCGAAGATTATGAATCGCCTCCAACTCAAGCATCTTCAAAGAAGCGCAAGCTATCTGCCAAGGCAACTACATCTACAAAGGCTAAGCGTGCAAAGAAGGACCCGTTCGCCGACGCCAAAGAAACCATACGCACCGTTCTCGCAGCCCCAGATTCCTTCTCACTTCCTGATGATAATGGTGAGATGCGTCGTCTCGTCGTCAGCATCGCCGAATACACTCAAAGCCTCGAAGGCATCACCGCTGCGGCGAACGCGGGCAGACCTGGTCTTGAGCACAAAACTGTAGAAGATATCAAAAAAAGAGGCTTCGCGCAGTGCGAAGACAATCAAGGCTAGGGTTAAGAAGCGGATATCGGTGCGTTCAAAATTTTGTTTGACATGGGACGCGTTGTAGCTGACGATTTGTTTATAAACGAATAGTGGAAGCCAGCTTGTAAACAAGGGCATGCCTTGTACGCGTATGAAGGCGTGTGTCCCGACCCTAGAGTCGTCGGCGCTGTCCTTCAGCTCGACGGGCCTACTACGTTCAAAGTCAAAAAGTACATAATCGACGAGTTCGAGGCACGTGTAGATCATATCAGGGCATCGTCTAGGTGAGTAGAAACGGCCTCCTAGCCGGTAAACGGCCCTTACAGAGAGTGTTAGGTATTCCAATCTTTACCTCACGAGCGATGCCAGCCTTCATTGGAATGGTGAGGCTGGACAATTCAAGATTAGCGGCAACTACGGTCTTCTTCAGGGTTGATCAAGTCTGCACCTCCGGTCTCGACAGACAGATTCTGTACTTCTTGCACTTCTAGCAACATAATCGACGTCAGGGATTGCCTGATGTCCAACTTCTCACAACTTAGATACTGTATATCTTGACAGCACGCAGCCTCTGTTAACAATAGATTATTTGACAACAAGTCATCCATCTGGTCGAGTGTTATATCTCGAGTAGCTTCATGTTCTCGATGATGAACGCGGTGAGAATTGTGGAGTAGAGCGCCGCCTGTTCGCTGTCGTGTCTCGCTTGAGCAAGGTATGAATGAAGACGTGCGAAGATGATAAGTGTGTTCAAGCTCTCATTCCAGTCTCTGATGAGTTCCCTGTGCATAACGTTGGCGCGTTCGTTGCATCTCCCAAAAGCAGTTTTCTCTGCGCTGTTGCCCACGTTTGTATGGTGTCGTTGAGGATTCCTAGGAAACGTCGAGTTCATCTGGTGATCCTGTCTCGGTGCTCATGTTAGAATGCACACTCAGTTTTCTGGTCGGCGGTGGGGCAGAGCAACCTTTTGCACCCGACGACTTGCACGTGTCAGGGGGTCCAAGGCAAGTGAGAGCGCTAGAAACTCTAAATACGTCATACAAACTCTGATTTGCAATTCATTAGGAGCTGCATCTTTACCTACCACCGCGCCTGACGCACCGCGTTCATGGCCGGCAAATTGGAGCTCTGCTTCTGTGTGTCTTGTCACAAGAAACTGGGAGTCCTTGAGTACAGATGTGATAATATGGGCCTAACCCCAAAATCCTCTTGTTCCCGACCACGACTTAGCCATCATGTCCGACAGTGAAGACTATGCCTCACCTCCCACTAAAGCCCCGTCCAAGAAGCGCAAGCTATCTACAAAGGCAACGTCATCTACAAAGGCGAAACGTGTAAAGAAAGATCCTTTCGCCGACGCCAAAGACGCCATACGCACTACTCTCGCATCTCCAGATTCATTCGCACTTCCTGAAGATGACGGTGAAATACGTCGTCTTGTCGTCAGTATCGCCGAATACGCTCAAAGCCTTGAAAGCATTACTGCTGCTGCAAACGCGGGCAGACCTGGTGTCGCGCACAAAACAGCAGAGGAGGTTGCAAAGGAGGCTGAACGCATTGCGACGATGATCAATAATGGGGTCCGGAAACAAATGCCGGTATGTTGAGGATTCTTGTTCAATCTACAACGCGTTATAGCTGACAACTCGACTATCAACAATTAGTGGAAGTCAACTTGTAAACAAGGTCATGCCTTGTACGTGTATGACGGCGTGTGTACCGATCCCAGAGTCTTTGGTGCAGTGCTCGGGCTGGACGGACCCCCAACGTTTAAAGCCAAAAAGTACACAATCAACGAGTTTCAGGCATGTGTCGGTCAAATCAGGGCCGAAGTCAGGTAAGTAGGCCCATAGCCTGCACAATTTCCCTTACGATGGGCACTAGGTACGACTCTCTTGTCCTCACGAGCGGTGTCAACGTTCGTTGGAACGGCGAGACCGGACAGTTCAAGATTAGCGGCAAGTATGGCGTTCTACGCTTTTAATCGACCCGAGCTAGCTACCACTACTCTCGACATGCATTTCGGCAAATATTCCGGACTTTATATTTCAAGTAATATAATTGAGGCCAGGGATCACCTGATGTCCGACTTTCCTAACCCTTGTATATACTTTGGCAAGAGGCATTCTCTGCTGATAATTGATTATTTGACAACGGATTATTCCTTTCTTCAAGGGCAAAGCTCGTAACGAGAGCATTCCATTACCGCTGTAGCTAATATACACCAACAAGACAAACGCGAAAGGTGATTATGCGCGACAAACCCGTTGGGAGACGCCCGTCTAGAGAAACGGAATGGCATCCATCTCTCCCGTTTCAAGCAATGGGTCGAAATCCATTTCGTGCGGAAGCTCGTCTTCCTCTTCTTCTTCCGAGCCCTCATCTTCCCCGTCCTCTTCATCTTCCTCATCCGAATATTCCTCTTCGCCCTCCTCATCCTCAATCTCCTCGTCATCCTCATCCGAGTCGTCCAAGTGAAACTCTTCGTAGCTTCCAGGCATACTACTCCCAACGCTCAGTCGATTCTTCGCACGTTGCTCATCGTCGCTCAACCCATCTCTTCTTGACGGCATAGGAATGCCATTCTCGCGCGACGCGTCGGCGCTCGTGGCACGACCGTGGTGTTGATGATTGCGCCTGCCATTGCCACCCACCGAGGACTTGGCTCGCTGGTGCTGCTGATATGTATGGTTCCGGCTCCCATCATTGCCTCCGCTCTGTCCTGGAGGAACAAATTCTTGAGCTGGTCGGGACGTCGAACTGCTCCCTCGCAAGCTAAAGTTGCGGAGTCGACTGAGCCCGGTCTGCATGGATGCGTCTGACCTCGCACTTAGTGCCGGTGATGGTGGGAGAGCGGCGAGGGTGGATGAAGGTGAGGAAGGACTCGGTGAAGAGGGTCGGGTTACGTCTGGGAAATCGAAAGTCGGCATGGGTGGTCGCCAAAAGTTGACATCCGTGTACTCTGGCGCCCACTTTCGATGGATCGGTGGGAACATTTGGTCAACAAGATCCGTCATGTGGATGTACCTGAGAGAAAATCAGCAAGATGCAGATGCGAAAGCGTCTGTACGTACGAAGACTTGTACCCTGCCAACTCGAGGAGCTCCATCTTCACGTCTCCAGACGAGTCAATGGTAAATATTCGTCCACTGGGAACGTTGACGCTACGGTACGATAGGGCGTCGGTGATACGATTACCAAAGCCAGCGTAAAAGGGGTTGCGGTGGATAGGTCCAAACAGTCTTTGGATATCACGCAAACACGCCATCTTGAACACTTCTGGCTGACGCATAATCACTTCACTAAACACATTCTGTAAATGAATTGTCTGAGACGAGAGAATATAGACTTGCCGATGAAGCGACGCCATCAACCTGTCCGGGCTCATGATGACGGGCCCTTCTGGGAGCTGATAATTATTCTGATTGATCCCGCGGAGGTAGTCGCGCGTCGAGTCCGCTTGACCAATTGCGCGGGATGTCAGATACATAATCTTGTATCCATTTCGACAAATATCAGTGTAGAGCTTGGCGACACCCATGTGCGTCCAATCTCGACCAATCATAGTGAATACGTGACCAAGCGCGTCGGACCTGTCGGTACGGTCAGCCATTGACGTATACTGCCGTTATGAGACTCACTTGGTGATCGTGCCGTCAATGTCAGAGATGACAATCTGATCGGTAGCATCCCAGACAAATATACGTGCAGTACACGTCGCAACTCCAGTTGCAGAGAGCGAAAAGGTGATCGAATTCGGCCCCTTTTTGAGGTTGAGCTCTTTCTGTAAAAGGTGTTAATGAAAGATGGCAAGCGGATACTCTTATTTACCAGTTGCTCAGAAGTGAGACGCAAAGTCTTGATGTAATTTTTGTGCGTTGTCGATGTCCCAATTGGTTGTAATGTCGGAGGAGTGACCGCACCGGGAGTGGTCACTGGTAACGGCAAGCTCTCCTATACAATGGTTAGATGGGTCATTTCGACAGGGACAACCTTACCACAGCGTTAGGAGCGGAAGATGTAGGATGTAATCCAGGACGATTGGCAGAACTCTCCGGAGTCGGGGTCGACGCCGTCGTCGTGGGCTCGCGAGCAGCCCTTGAACGACCAAACCACCGCGTCCACCGACCAGGCGTCGCTTGGGCAGCCGGAGCAGTCTTTGGAGGCTGCGGACGCTGTTGACGTTCATCCCCGTCCGAAAGTGGTTCTTCGTCTGACTGCACTATCGAGGCTCCCACCGTCGCTTGTCGCCAGACGACGAGTGCCGCAAGAATTGGCGACGATTGTTTTCGAGAGATGAACCTAGCAAGCGCTTAGAATCGCTCGCGAGGGTTCGTTCATCTTACCTCCCCCTCCACTGGATCGTCAGGTCGTCCTTATGGACAATAGCCGGCTGATCAATGAATCGATTGTAAGACACTCGCTTCTGGTCGAATAAGGCTTGCGCTTCTTCAAGACTCTTCTCAGAAAGATCACCACACAGACTGAGATCGAACATGGTGCGTCGTCCTTTAAACTCGAGGAGATAGCGATCATCATCCGTAGGCGAAAGCCAACCTCCTCGTCCGAAATGAATATCAATATCCTCGTCGTCACCTGCGCCATCTGAAGCAGGGACGTGTTCCCCCGACGGTGGCATACTCGTCGCTCTTTCATGCTCTCCAGGAGCATGAGACGGGAACGAAACCTTTGATGGTGTCTGAACGGGAAAGTTTCCCCATTCCCAAGAGTAACGAGGAGGCGAGTTGTCGGGGGAAGGTCCCAGCTCAGACGGAGGTTCCGACGTCGCTCTCGGAACTTGAATTGTGGGGCCTGATTCTAGGTCAGGTGATTGAGCTCGAGAAGACGTTGGCGTCGCATCGTCATGTGTATCTTGAAATAGCTCAGACAAAACGTACGACGGAATGTGAAATACTCACTGGCGTCATGAGAGTGCGCCCCATGTCTGCGTCTATGAAAGCCACGTGAATACGTATTTAGTAAAGAGGTAAAAGGGCCTACATTAGCTCCTTTTGAGCCCTCTGTGCCGCAGCCGCGGTAATGTCATCCTCGAATTGATAACTTCGATCCGGACCGGTGACCGTCTGATCCGAAGCTTCTTTGGAGTGATAACCAGCCATGTCAACGACGACGTCATGCAGGTATGCGACTGGAGGCGGTGAACCGCCCTTTTTGTGCGTAGGCAAAGCCTCGTCGCCGAGATCTGGCTGTGGAGGCTGGCTATCATCAGACGAAGGTCGCCGAATCTTGTTCGCGACAATGTTTTGTGCGGCGATGAGCTTGTCCTTGAGATGGCCGAGTCGTTCCGTCTCTTCCTCCTTTGCAGCGGCCAAGGCTGCCTTTCCGAGCTTTGCGCTGAATTCGCGTCGGACGCGACGGCTGTAGAAGATGCGTCGTCTTCGTTCGTGGATTCTACGAGCAAGGTAGGGACGCTGCTGCTCGCGGGAGGTAGTCTGGTGAGTGGGACGGCATTCGAATCCTTTGGTGGTGTCGCAGAGGCGTTCAAGTCGAGAAAATCTGGTTCAGGGATTCCATCCTGTGCAGATGAACAGTATTAGCTTGTACATGACCAACGTGTTCACGAAACCCGCACCTCTTGTCCTTCCTTTTGGTCCTGTTCCTCTTGTCCAGATACAATATCCTTTGTATCTAGATCTGTTTGCGATGCAGAAGCAGCTTTTGCGCCAAATCTGCCCGTCGCTGGCGTCGAGCCACTGGGCTGAGGTGGAGTCGTGGGCTGCAGAATCGGACTCGTCTGGAGGTCCGCCGGCACGTCCTCGTCCGTCTCGAATACGAAGAAAGCCTCTCCAGCGTCTCCAATTTTCATGTTAAACGGGATGGCGCGTCCGTTGACGAGGACGGTGACCTGCCCCAATGAGCTCAGTTAGTCCCCAATAATCCACAACGCTAGCTCACCTTTTTCTCTGCTGGTCGTAGAATCTGCCATTTGCCAAAGCGGACGTGGAAAGGAGTACAGGCCAGGACGAGGTCTCCATTGTCGTCTGTCCGCTGGATGACAATCACGTCAATGGCACCGGTGAGCGTAGACGCATTAATAGGAGGTAGATCACGGTAATACTGATATGCTGCTGTTATCGACCCACGCAGGTAGTTCATGGCCGGCCTCTGACTATCGTGGGGCAGTCCAAAGGCATTAATACAACAAAGTCGGCTATACGCCCCGGGCCATTATCAGCTGATGTCCACTGGGCTCAGTTGACCAATTCATGTGCATCAACCGACTCTCTTATTCGTCTATTCTACAACACGACGAGATGGCTCACCTGGTCTATTCCTAAACAAATCAATGGGCTTCACACGTCGCGTTCGAGACTTGAGCGTTTTGACGGTATGTACATTTGAGCGCAAGATTAGACGGCTTGAAGGCCATAGAGCATGCAGGCAAGAGCACCTTTTTCTTTGCATCGACGGTCGACGTTGACGCTTGAAAAACAGAGCCATAATCGTTTCGCACAGAGACTTGAACATTTGAGAACAACAACCAGTGGAGGAGGGGGATGACATCTTCATCATCTTCACATCAAACCGTGTCCGTACTGGGCTTTGCGCCGTCCGCTTCTTTCTTCACCAACGAGGTGCCTCTTCGTACCGTCCTGGACTGCCTCCACGCGGGGGGCTACGAGATGGACTACGCCTGCGGGGTGAGTAGCGGCTGCTATTGCGCGGGGGCGAACGACGGTCCCTCCATTCCCTATCTCCACGATAGTCACGATCTCCTCTCTCGTCACGACGATCATATCTATCATCGTACCGTTCACGATCATACCTCCCTCGGTCACGATCATCTCGGCGGTAATCACGGTCCCGTCGACTGTTGGCCGAATAGTCGGAGCGCCGGAGACCCATGTACTCGCCCGGAGTAGGTGCGTGGGGACGCTCGGTGACGGAATAGTCGACGCGAATGCGACGTCCATTCAATTCCTTTAAAAATCTCTTGCCTCAGTGCCTGAAACTCGTTTGGACGAAGGAGTACTGACCACGCCGTTCAACTCTTGCACACAACGCGTGGCTTCTTCGACATTGTTCATAACGATGAATCCAAAGCCGCGCGAGCGATCCGTCTTGCCGCATTGTCAACATGCGTGCGGCAAGGAAAAATATGGAGAAAACGAACCCTTTGGTCATAGACAATCGTGACTTTCTCGACACGTCCGAAACGGCTGAATTCGTCTTCGAGGTCGCGTTCCTGCGTGCGAATGCTCAGTCCAAAGACGCCCAAAACGTTGGAGGGCGTTGGATTCTATCAATAATGGCGTCATGTCAGCAAAAAACAAACATCAATCATCATATAACAAGGGAAACACTCACAGAAGGCGCGTGGTTGGGCTTTCGCGGGCCAGGAGAGCGCCTACGATAATTTCCTCCCCCACCACCACCACCACCGGGCGAGCGAGGAGGCGGGCTGCGATAATGACCGCTGCTCCCGTTACGAGCTGGTGGACTGCGCGATCTGGAGCGTCCTCGTGGCGCATCCTGGCTTGAAGGGGGCGGAGCCTGGCTGCTGGCCAAATTGTCAGCACACAAGTCTTTGGTATATAACCACTGTAAAAGCCATGAATGATTTACTTTTGCATTTTTGTAGACGGCGTTGTTAGTCTGTCGTGGTCAGAGTCCAACAGTCTCAACACGGAGCCCGACTCGTATTTGCACCGTGTTTGGCCGCCAGCCTTTGGAAGCTGAACCTTACTGCGACATGGCAAGTCTCTCGTTCTGTAACGAGATTACAACCACCATGCTAATCATATCTGAATCTTCTAGGGTATCGATATCGCAAAACACCACGTAAAAAAGGGTCATCGTACCGCCCCAGAGTCGGAGGATCCTTACCTCCTCTTGCTGGTCAAGGTCAGCCATCAACCATCTCTGGATTATTCATGACATGACTAATTATCTATAGCTCTACCGTTTCTTGGCCAGACGCACCGATGCACCCTTTAACAAGGTCATCCTGAAGCGTCTCTTCATGTCGAAAATCAACCGACCGCCCATCTCACTCTCGGGAATCACAAAGCAAGTGGCTTCATCTCCAAGCAACGAGGGAAAGATTGTCGTTGTCGTTGGAACCGTCACAGACGACATTCGTCTCACCGAATGCCCTCCCTCGCTCACCGTCGCCGCACTCAGGTTCACTCGCAGTGCCAAGGAGCGCATCTTGAATGCTGGAGGAGAGACCTTGACGCTTGATCAACTCGCCACTCGTGCACCCACCGGTACTGGAACTCTGCTCCTCCGCGGAAAGAGGAACACTCGTGAGGCCGTCAAGCACTTTGGCATGGGTGAGTGCCCTTCTACACGTCCATTTACTCTCTCTCTAACTTGCTACAGGCCCCCACAAGCACAAGAAGCCATACACCATCTCAAAGGGTCGCAAGGTACGCTACTCTCTTCCCCTTGAACTAATTCTAACCCTCTCTGCAGTTCGAGAGGGCTCGTGGACGAAGAAAGTCGCGTGGCTTCAAGGTCTAAGCTCTGGTACCGTGGCATGGTCGTCTTCTTTCTTGTATGCCACTATGCCTCGTAGCGATCACTATGCGAGCATGATAAAACTGAATGCATTTAATTATGCAAGACATAAACATCCACCATACCTAAGAGGAACATGTCTACTTTGTCTTTTTCGCCTTTGCCTCTGCCTTGATATTCTCAACAAGTTTGTCGATCAACTCTTCCATCTCGCGCGCGACTTGATCGACAGGAGGAACATTTTGTAAACCAGTCCCCTGCATCTCGTCTGTGCGCAACGTCGGGTGAATATAAGTCTCGCCAACAATCTCCCATGCCACGTCCTTGGGCGCACGCTTGATCCTTTCCTCGTTCAATTTCTTGCACAACGCACCACCTCCGCCGTAGAAAAAGGCAAACGCTAGTCCGACCATCCACAGACCATACCAGTTCATCCGGCTCCACGCTTCGAGCGATGGTTTCCAGTGCCACAGCAAGAAAGGCGCCACCATAAAATTGAGGATTAAAAGCGTCGTGATCGTCCCAAGGACGTCATAGATCATCTTGAATAGCGTTCGAGGCGGAGCAGGGAGCGTGATACCGTGCTTTGCGAGTGCATCGGGGAGCTTAGGTGGGAGCATTTCCAGTGGCGAAAGGAAGAGCGGGCGAAGGTACACGCGTGCGAGGCGGGCGGCGGTTTGGACGAATCCGGCAATGAGGAAGGTGAGGTAGTATCCGCTATACGTTCCATGCCAGACGGCACTTGTGAGGAAGGTGAGGATGGTACTTTGGAATCCCGGCTTGCGACCTTTGGGCGTGATACGCTTGTAGACACACTCCCGCAGCCAGATATTTGTGCGAATGTTCCACGAGTCGAGCAGGATCTTGAGGTTGGGAGCAAATTCGACCCAGGGAATGTTGAGATTGGCAATGTCGTCCCATGTGCTGCGACCTTCTGAGTCGTAGCCACTGAATCCAAGACCAGTCACGATACAAGCTCCCTATGCAGAATTAGATCGCAGAAACCACAAAGGGGATGTCTACCTCGGATAGTTTCCAGACTCCGTAGTATTTTGTGCGCTCAACAAAGCCGATGAATTGGACGATGAGAAGTCTATCGAACAATGAGCGAGAATCCCCACGAACCAAGACAATCTTACCTCGTAATCAAATTATGGTTGAACCAGTCATCTTGCAAGACACGATAAAAGTTGAACATGGGAGAAAGGAGAGTGTAGAGCCCGAGAAACACGAGTCCAAGAAGACCGCGTTTATACGCTACTCGCTTACGGCCGCGCGGTACATGTCGCTTGGCATCGTCCTCTTTGCATTCATCGAAAATGGTTCCCCTCGTCAAGGCAAGATATGTATTGAGGTCTGAGCTATGCCCGACGAGAACTGCCGGGAAGTAGAACCTTTGAGCCGATCAGCAGCTGAATCAAACCTGATGGTAGGTTCGTACGCATATCCCAAGAACTCGAGTAGAGATGGTTCCTTGGTGATTCTGGCCGCCATTTGACCTTTATCGAGCTCCTACACTGACGTTACTAATCTGTCACGTCCAAGGATGACCAACCCACCTCTGCTGGTCGTCGTCCGTCCCATATACTCCATGCATATGAGGTAAGCTTGAGTGTGAGGACCATCTGGGGACCCGTAATATCAAAGTCTCCCCAGTTGACCTTGTTCAATGTTCGATAGATATGGCTATCGCTAGGTTAGGGAAAGAAGTCACACTGAGAGTAACGTACTTGATGAACAAGTGTCCCATTACAACTCTATGGAATGTCAATAACGCAAACTCGAATGCGCCATGTCATACCCAAAGACAATCCAAGGCATGTTTTTCGACCTGTCAAACTTGGCGATAAAGAACGTAGCCAGCGCACTTGCGAGCAGCTGGAGTCCTCCAGAGTAGAGTTTGAAGAACCCAAACATGTAGTATCCCGAAATGGAGAGGTTAAACACATGCTTGAGCAGTGCATTTCCTTTAGGCAGACGTATAAAGACGTTGGCCAGAGGGTAATCAATCAAGAGACAAAATATAAGCTAAATGGAGTAGTTTAGATGGTTGGCTTTGTGTACAGATTAAAAACGAAACCTTGAGTTGGTCTGGAGTCGCTCCCACGGCGTCCGCGGCACTCCGGAAGAATCCATCTATATCCAGCGGAACTCCCTTTCCAGCGTACGTTGATGCCATGATCCCAAACGCCGCTACAAACTAAAAGGGCGGGTCTATGATGCCACGTTCGTCGTGTAAAGGCGCTCTCGTTGCAGGGTCCAAAAGTGTTAGGAAAAATAGAGCAAAATGTTTGTTGGTGTCGTGAGATGGAGGAGTTGGCCGGGTCCAAAAGCAAAAGCCCGCCTTCAGGGTTCGACCCACACCATACCTGTCGTCCTCCGGCAAGCGAAAAGCATGGCAGCCCCAGATGCAACTCGCGAAGAAAGTCCACCAGTGGATGAGGAAATCAACTCCGTTCCCTATTACACGACGTTTGCTGCCCGCCGAATGACCGTCAGTCACTCTCGTTGGAGCGCGGTTGGACACAAAAGACCGACAAATATTGCAGCAACCACGATGGAACGAATACAGGAACCAAATGCCTAGAATTGTACAGGTGACGCCTCATGGTGTTCAACGGAAGACGGTCCAGTGGGTCGCATGGAGCTGCGACGGCAAAAGACTCGCTTCTTGCGGTTACGAGAAGAGTGTGCGACTATGGAACCCAGAGAAGAGTGTATGTCATCCCTTTGGATGAGATCTTTGGTCTGATCTATCTTAGACTGAAGTCAGAAGCACTGCGAGTCTCAGCGGAGGACATACCGAGCATATTGACCAAGTTGCCTGGAGTCCAGTGCACAAGGACTTGCTATGCTCATCCAGCTCTGGGGATAGACGCGTGTGTTTCTGGGATGCTCGGCGTAAGTCACAACCTAATCCCTCGAGCACGTTTAAACCGGTGGACAGAATCCAAAGTCATCCAAAACATTCGCCTAGATGGATCACCATGGCAGATTGCCTACTCGCCCGATGGGAAATCTCTCCTCACAGTTGGCAATGATGGCGGCCGCACTTTCTGTCTCTTCCAACATAGCAAGGACGGAAAAGACTCGTGGACAAAGCTCGAAGCTCCGAAGCACAATTTGGAAACAGAGGCGAGCTGCTTCGACTCGTGCGCTTATGCAACTAATGCATCCTAGTCGATCATGGATATTTGCTGGCTCAATTCTGGAACTGCATTGGGTCTTGGATGTGCAGATGGCTCTCTCCGAATCGTCGATTACCCAACATTCAAAGACATACACATTCAGACGTGCCATAACGGGCAATGTAACACCGTTGACGTCCATCCTCGTGGAAAGTGAGTCGCCTCACTGATGCCACACTTGCACTAATCAGAGAAGCTACGTTGTGACCGGTGGTAACGACGCCATTCTAGGCATGTGGGATATGCAAGAGTGGATATGCGTTCGCACGTGTAGTCCTTATGAGTGAGTCCGCATTCCCACGTTTACCCCATCTGCTCACTCTACTTGGGCACCAGCGAAACTGTCAACTGGTTACGTTTCTCGCATGATGGAGAGTGGATTGCTTCAGTCGTGGCCAAGCAAAAAGAGATTACCTTGGTAGGTGACACTCTCAAGATACACCAACAATTCTGAATGTCTTGACTAGGTCAACTTCGAAACGGGAGAAGTAGGTCATCGGATCAAGATGTCGGGCGAGGTCAACTGTTTGGCATGGCACCCATCCAAGCTCCTTTTGGCGTCATGTGGAGACGAAGATGACAAGAATAATGTCGGTTGGGTATCATTCTTCAACCCTCCAGCGTGATCAATTCGTCGACATCAAAAAAGATTGATATTCACTGTTCTATTGCTACATTTCTACCAAGATCACATTACCAAGATATACCAAGATCCAATATCAAGATTCAAAGTCCGCTCGTTTGCACAAGCTTAGAGCATCTGAGCGTTGTAGAACGTGTTGAGATTCGAAAGGCGCGTTGCACTGAATTCGTATCCAGACGGCGGTCGTACGACGACCGTAGGCAGCTTCTGCCCTTGGATCAAACGACTTCGCGCTCTTGCACTATCCGTGCGAGCCAGCGGGCTCAAATGTGCCTTGACAGTGTTCTCCTTTTCTTTGAAGAGCTGATGCTGGCGCTTTGGTTTCGTCTTCTCTGGCAAAATGTTGAGTGTTGGCTTCTGCTGTTCGTTATTACTCTCCACAACTCGAACGGCATGATCGGTCAGGATGGTCGAGAGACGATTGATGGCAGGCATGTATTCCACTCGAGATGGGACTGTAGCCTGAACCACCGGAGCCGATCCCTCTTGAGGCGTGGTAGGAGAAGATGGCTTCTTACTTCTCGACATGTAGAGCGTCTTGCTATCTTTGGGAATGTGCGTGCGACGCCGTGAAGCACGTGCACGATTTGCGCTCTCGAGGGGAGTGTAGCGTCTCGATTTGGTCTTTTGACGAGTCACTCCGGATGAACGGAGATTAAGAGGACGCGTAGATGTGGAGGAGTGTTTCAGAGAAGAACGCTTATCGCCCTCAGAGACGCTTATAATTGATTTCGCCTCAGAAGGAAGAGCTCGACTCCCCGAGAGTCTTGATGGAGCGTTCAATTGTCCAGACGTGTCCATGTTTTGTCCAGGGCCAGTCAAAATCTCTGGTAAGTCGGGCGTGTCGTAAGGAGTCTGTGGAGGCAAGCCACTGGCGCTCGAGCCTCTCACTGAGAAGCTCGGAAGACTGAACCATCGTGAGAACTTGTAGAGGTGCATTTATACCATGTACGTACGAAGGGATGCTACGGAGGCGGTGCAGCTTGTCGCTTTTCTTAAAATGAGGTGTCGAGTGAGCGTCTGGAGCTGATAACTCTTGAAATGCGGGTACCGGTGTCGCTTGGTTTGCCTGTACATCTGTGTGATTGTCGAGACTTTCGTGGTATTCAGATGCGTATCCAGAGTACTGTGACTCGCTATCAACCTCCGACGGTATATCTCCAATGTCGTTATTGCTGAGGTCCATCGACCTATCGTGTTCGGCAGGAGTAGGTGGAAGTGGAATAGACGGCGGAGGAGTTGGAAGATCTACTAAGGTTAAGCGAGTCGCTCTTACGCCAATAGGACGCATACCTTTCGGAAGTGAGTTTAAACGAATCGTCCGAGCAGACACCTTGGGCCGTTTCTCAGCCATCAGCACCATTGGCAAAGAGGTGACCGAATCTTCATTGCGCAAAAAAGGGGGCGTCGATTCTGTCGTCATCGTTTGGCCCATCCAAGGTACGAGGGCAATCTCGTCGACATCCTCGTCTGATATGGTCAATCCTTGCATTGAACGAGGGTTGGTAGACGGCTCGTTCAAAGGAGGTGCTAGATCAACTACCTCGTCACGAGGAGGTAGGACGGATAGTTTGGGATACGGGTTGAGAAGGCTGATTGCGCGTTCCGTCCTTGAGAGGCCATCCACAGCATGCCGTTTCTCAATCCAAATGTCGCCGCTACGCCTCCCTTCGACCACCGTATACGATCCTGATTTGCCTCGGACACGAAGGTGCGTGGGATTTGTGTGAATAGGGAGAGTCGCAGACGAACTGGATGTCGGTCTTGTCCTGGTCACCTCTTTCGGAGGGAAGGGATACTCCAATGCAAGGGGAAGTGGAGCCTTGAAGACGAACGAAATCAAGAACAGAATGGAAGGTGTACAAATTGAGATGATCAACAGGATACCCGCCGCTGTGAGCTGTTGGTCAAGTCCTGCTCGAGCGAGAATCAAATATGGAATAGCAAAGATCTGTGGCGAGTTAGAATGTCCATGCTTCGAATGCTCATACGTACGTATGGAATCCAGATTATGCCTAAGCTCAACGCTATTCCTGTGACACTCACAGAAAAACTGCTTGGAGACGGTGCCGAATCGGAGGTAAGAGTACTAGTGGATGTAGAGTCGACGAGAGCTGTCACCGGGAAGACAGCAGTGGTGGACGTAGTAGGTAGGATTACTGCTTTCCTCCTCTGCTTGGGCGAACTTCGAGTCGTCGGAAAGGAGAAAGAGCTCATCGTCTCTCGGCTCCCACTGTACGACGTCAACCAAGAGTTTGTAGAGCCAGTGGGTGACGTGTTACGAGGAACATCGAGTGGAATGCTACGTTGATATGCTGATGGTAAAGGAGGAACCGGAGGGATGATCGGAATAACGTCTCGTCCGTTGGAGTCAGTGGTACTGCGGAGGGTACTGGGAAGTGAGTAGTAAGGGGTGTGGCGACCTCTCGTATTGTTCGTCTGGCTCGTTGTAAATGACCAAGCTGAGAGCGATCGTCGCAGCGAACCCTCGACTGATGTCACCCACGACGAGCGATCCTTGAGAAATTGAATGTCACCAGTATCAAAGGACTGTCTTCGTTTCCTTCGAGTCGCTTCGAGCCACGAGAAAGAGTCACTCTCCCTCTCAGCACGGCGAATGATGCGAAAAGTGGATCGAAGGATGGAAATCAACATCAAGGTCTGCAAAGTGGCGACGATGGAGATGTAAGATGCGATTCCACCAAATAGAGAGGTCAACTCGAATGCAGCAAGGCTAGCTGCAGTACCAGTGCCCGCAGCTGAGAGAGCGACAGATGGTGCCCACAAGAAGGCTTGAGTCCTTCCATAAGAGATCGGGCGGCGAAGTCGAATGTGCAAGAGGGAGATGAAGAGGATGACCACAAGACAAGATTGGCGAGCCGTAAGTGCGATCCAAAGAAGCGCGGCCGAGAAGGGGGAGATGGTCACCTCGGAGATTGTCATACGGTGCTGGTACTGATAGATAGCTTGGACGAGAAATGATAGGACGGAAAGAACATCAAAGATGCCGAGGCAGATTTGGGCATGGTCGTTGGGGGAAAAAGTGGCCTTGCAAGGAAGCTATGCGAGCCATTAGCGACAATATATTTGAAAGAAAGGTGGAGCTTACGCGTCGTTTGGGAACCAAGCAAAACCAGGAATCACTTGGGCAAGGATTCGAAACAAGATGAAAGTGGTTACGATGAAGGACAACAGGCCGCCTATACTGGCAACGGGCAGAGATATTGAGCCCATGATGCTGTTCTAGTGTAGAAAGCGTCGAGAGGCGCGTCCGGGACACCAAAAGGACGCGTCGCGCAACTTTCAGCAGCGCGCAGAGGTCGTTACCCAGTGGACGCTGTAGTGGAAGAAAGAGAGATTAGAAAGACGTCAACAGCGGAGATTGAAAGTGGAGGCCAAACGCGCAAGCTCTCCATCGATAGATCCACTCGAGCCGTCACGCCAACTGATAGAAGCTCCAATATGTCCGGGAGAATAAAAGTCCTGTTTCTTGATTTGATTCAATCAATCGAGACCCCTGAGGCTTCTTGGGAGGCGATTACGAGCATTACAACTCGTGTGACCAGTTTATAACTGAATAAATGGGGTCTTATGAAATGTCTGTTACTGAAAGGCAGCCTTAGGGCTCTGAAGTTTGGTCTCGACTTTGACGTATTCAGAGGTATCCATGCTACTGGTGTTCACCCATAGATTTCCGACATTTCCAGATCGAATGTTTCTTTTCTGCAACTTGACTCGATTTTGTCGGGATACCCTGCGGTCTTGGTGGCGGCCAACCAACGTTGACACGCTCCCTTGATGGCGTCTCAGACCGTCATCGACTTGACCAACGATGACAAGTCGAAACAGCCTGTTATCGACCTTACACGAGACTCTAGCGTGACTCCTGCACCGTCTCGTTTCCAATCTCCAAGCTTAGCAAATGGTCGCAAGTCAAAGGACGGAGCATCGCGTCAAAAGGGCAAAGAGCGGAGGAGAAAGAATAATAACAAGCAATCAGAGGCACCAGAGTTGGCTCCGGAGGCTAATGAGCCCGCGAAGACAAAGTCTTTGGCGGAGCGATTACAAGGCAGCGAGTCCAACAATAAAAGGACAGCGAATACGAGCTCAAAGCCACTCTCGAAACGAAAAAGACGGGAAAGTATCGATTCAACAGCTACAGCTCACGCTACCCACGATGAATCCAGGCCTCGTCCACCAAAACGCCAGAAATCCGACAACACCAAGCAAAAGGCTATTCACAATGCTACATCCTCTGCACCTCTACGCAAGGCCAATGGAAAGACTGATAGGAAGGCAGTCGACGCGTCGGACAATCTCCAGGCTCCAGGCTCTTCTTCCAAGAAGGAACAGGAGGGTGATTCAAGAGAGGAAAAGGGCGAGAAGAAAGCGTCTAAATCCAAAAAGTCGAAGAGTAGACGGTCCTCGCAATCTCCGATGCCACCCTCTGTCGAGCCAAAGCTGGAGAGCAAAAGGAAAACAGCCCCGCGCGCTCGAAGCGCTAGTGTACCCATCTCACCAACTGGTTCGAGCCTCTTCTTCGTCGATGTCCAGCCGAGCGTGGAGAACAAGCATATCGAAGAACCCGTCAAGTCTGTTTACCGCCTCGAATCTGGCGATTTGCTGCTACCTGAGCATGTGCTCCTGGAGACAGTCGAAGAGGCCATCATGACTCCGGGAAACGAAGTATTTCCTCCACCAACACCTGGCCTGAGTCAGAGCGACGAGGACGAGATTGCCATCGTCGACGACAGGGTACGCTGTCACTCACAAGCTTACCGTGTTCTCACTTTATAAAAGGGCATCCGTCGATACTGGGAGCCTCAAATAGAGGCTGCTGAAGTCGAGGAGTGCAGAGCCTGTGGGCAGTTTCACGCTTCGAAACTATGTATTGGAACCTCTGTTGTCAGTCAATCTCCTCTGACTCTCACCGCTAGCGCTCATTCTCTTCAGTGCTTTACGTGCGGCTCTACTGCACACACTGCGCGACAGTGTCCGTTCAAGACAGTCTGCTTTCGCTGCAGGCGAACAGGCCATATACGCGCTGTATGTCGTACATTTCAGCTCAGCAAGTCTCTTATACTGCTATAGGACTGTCCAGTTCCGACTGCGGAATTGCAGCGAACTTGGGATTGTGATCTTTGTGGATCTCAACAGCATGGAACTCAGGTACAGAAAGCCTTTACTCGTCCTGCATACGCCTTAAACTGTGTAGACGTGCTCGCGAAATTGGAGGATATACAAGTACCGAGACAGCGAAACCCGAGACAGGGACATAGCGACTCGGCTTGCACTGAAGGATCTCGTCATGGCCGGAGATGAATCCGTAGACGAAGAGAAATTTGTCGGATTAGAACCGTGGTGCTACTCTTGCGGGATGAAAGGTCATCTCGGGGATGTGAGTGAATGCCCATTTCTCGTAACATCATTGACCGTCATCTAGGATTGTAACAAAGTAAACACTGACGACCGACCATCCGATCCATCCGCATTTGGGCAGTGGAACGTGCTTTACGGACCGTTTGCACCTCGCTACCGGCGGGTCGCGGAAGAAGTTGCAAGCACCAAAGGATCTCTCAGACCCGTCGTCTTTGGAGACCAAATTCTCGACGAAATGACACTATCCTTTGATCCCTCGCAACAACGCTTCGAGTCCAAGGTTTTTGGCAACCTGCCTCTTCGACCAGGCGAATCAGGCAGACAGCGTGAGCGGGAAAGAATGGCTCGCTCGAGGGTGGATGATCGGGATGAAGAGCAAGATTGGTTTTCGAATCGAGTTGAACGCCCGTCCGGATACGAGCGAGATCGCAACTCCTTCAGAGACAGGGAGAGAGCGCGGGACCGGCGACGACGAGACGATCGTAATCGAGAAAGAGATCGAAATGAAGACCGGTACCGCGATCGATATCCTCCTCGACGGGATGACGACAATACCAGCCGTCGTGGCCCCGAGGATAGAAAAGGAGGACGGTCGAGTCATAGACCAAGATCCCCTTTGATACCTCCACCACCTTTACCTCCTCCAGCACAGCAAGCGCAGCCGCGACATGTCTATCCGACCTCTCATGACATGGCCGCAGGCTATGAGACGCAGCCGGCGAATGGACTGAGCATTCGGGGAGCTGCTGATCGCCACCGCGCTTCATCTCATTCGCAGACTAACAGCCAGCGGCCGCGAGACGACCCCCACGAGCAAAGGCAGCACCACGGCCGAGAGCGAGACCGACGGCGGAAGGATGACTCTCGAGGGAATAGTCGTAGATGAACAGTCTTTTTTCTTATTCCGCTTTGATTTTTTTTTACTGGTCGGACATGTCCGGTTGGAACCCTTATTGTTGCGAATGCTCTGCCGTGGAAACATAGCATTCCCTTACCTGGCCGTATGAGCGCTAATCAGCCACTGTTTCCATCCCGTTTATTAGCCATCAAGGGGGGCTTATATTCATACATAGGGTCAACCGCCAAAGGGCGCCTGACCTCTTTCTCCCTTCTCTCTCAACCTACGGTCCATCATGCCGCAAAGGACGATGCCCGGAGCGTCCTGGGGACAAACCGAAGCCCCTCCATCGTACGAAAATGCGCTTACACCGCTGGAGTTTGAGCAAAAAACGGCGAGCGTCGTGCAGCAGTCGCTTCAAGAAGTCCGACACCACGACTCTGGGCCCGCTGACAATGGCAAAAAGCGAGCGACCGAATTCAATGAATTTGAAGATTGGGATGATGCAAAATTCGAGGCTGCGGCGGCAGCCTATCGCGCTCGACAAGCCAGGCAGCAGAAGAACACGAGTTCTTCTGGCGGCACGTCCTCCTCGACGGGTATGTCCTGGATGTCCTCTTTTTATGTATTTGCTAATGCTCTTTCTGCCCTTTAGATCGTACACAATCGCCCAGGGGTGAGCCATCCAGCACCTCGCAGCAACCTTCGGGGAGCGGGTACGAGCCGAGTTCGTCCCAAAGTAATCCTGGACAACTCCCTTCACATTCCAAGGCTGATTTGGTCAGCCCGAGGGGCTTGCCACTGCGGCCGATAGACATTTACAGTGAGCCTGGGCCCGCCCCGTTGCCAGCATCGGAGTACCCAGCAGATGTAAAGGATCCACGTTTCTGGATGGAAAAGCAGCCCGAAGAGCACCATGGACGCCCGAGTTTGGAGGGGCCACCGCCGTTCACGTCCATGGCTTCCCCAACTTCTACAGAAGAGGAGTCCGCGCCACAGGCAGAGGCGATTCGCGGATCTCGAGACAACTCTATGGGATCTACGACCTATGGCAACGTTCCCCCACCACCACCGATCTCTCGAGCGCAAATGACCGCGACTCCGCCAGCACCGACATTCCACTCACCACAGCGTTACTCGGAGATACCTCTTTCTACAACTACTTCGCATCATTATCAACCACCTCAACGCCACTCGGATATTCCTTCGCCGTTGCACTCGAACCCGCCTCGGCCGCAGACAATTTACCGAGAACATCCGCTCGGACCCGAAAGGAGTACACTTTATGGAGAGCCTTACTCTCGCTCTAGAGAGCTGTATGCGTCCGCCAACTCGAACATGGGTGGACCCACTATTTCCATCGATTTGCGAAAGCTCCCACTTCATAATCAATCTTCTTCACTAGACTCACCAGGGGATAGCGTAACTCATACCTCGTTCTATTCGTATGTTTTTCGATTGCACAAGGGAGCATTTTCTGACCTCGAGTAGATCCTCTGTGTCTGCCTATCTAACCAAGCGTCCGTTGCCACAACCAAGACGAACGGCGACGACGCAATCCCAATATGATGGTTACGTTCAGCCCAATTCAGCTTCAACACCGAGCACGGCGTATTCTTCACCGGCCTATGGACAACCCACATATAGCAACTACAATCCTTCGAATGGGTCTATGCCTCCCTTTTCAAATCAATACGGCGCGCCTGCCGTATACCCAAATCATCAGCAAGCGCAACCGTATATGAATACCTATCAATCGCCTCTACCGCAGCCGGCTCAGCAGTTCCAGACTCCCGTGTTCCATCAACAGACACCAGGGAATCAAAACTACTGGCCATCACAGCCTGGACATTGGTCTTCGGCTAATTATGGACGTCCCTAACTTAATTTTGATCTCGCACCAAGGACTTTCTGTTCTTTGATCTTGGTGCCCTCTGTGGCCCTTGTTAGACATGTATACTAGAGCCGTGTATAGTACTTATGCATGCATTTCATCGAACTAAACATGTTTAGGTGCAGTTAGTTGTGCCTTGAACACAACCGCTTTCCTCATGCTTGCCTGGTGCTCGTTGCCTCCTTGCAAACTATATTCATAGAAGCAATATGGAACTATACAGGCTATGCGGGCGAGGACTTTGGGCTGACAATGACGTAGAGAGCATTCTCGTCTGCCGGTACCGTGGCCTCGTTGAAGCGTAGATATGGGATTTTGGCTTTGTCTTCCTTTCTGACCGGATAGATGTCCTCCACCGTCCAAGGCTCCTTTTCCCAGACCTTTTCAAGGTGCTCCCGAATGCTCCGGCAATCCTGTGGGCAGCAAACTGGACTGCCCGCTAGAGGTACGTCTGAACAATTTATAAGCTACTAGTACTATAACGCATTGATATTCACTTACCAACAGCAAACGGTTTCTCGTCCTCGCCATTCTTCACTGTCACGACTGTGTACCAACGACGTCCCCCTGAGATAGCAATATTGATGAAGTATATCTGAGAGATGTCTACGGATATCTCTCCGTCCCCATGCAACCGCCACAGCCGTTTAGAACGATCATTGATGGATGCGGGAAACTCGCCCCATACCGCGAATGAGAAATTTCCTGGTATTTTATTCGTCTTGTGATACTGAATTAGTGTGTAATTGACCTCGTATCCATTAGTAACATGCTTAGCTGTAGAGTGTTAGTTGTTATTCTGTCATTTTGCATACTTACGAAGAGGAATAGGGTCTTTACTATGATCGTCCATATTGTAAAGCTGTATATCTTGGCGTGAAACCTTAGAATTTTGTCCTGACCCCAGGCTTGCAGATAATTCCAGCATGTTAACTTCCTGCGCATCCTCTTTCTTGGCATTTGAGAGGTCCATTTGATCATGGCCTTCGTCGGCCTTGGAGAAAGTGTCGATATTACATCGCTCTCTGGCATTGACTGCACTTACACATAGTAATGGAGCATACTTATCGAAAACGGCTTGTTCTTCTTTGTACCTTGGTCCAGCGCTAGCCATGGGGTCCCGGTCACGGTGCCGCTCCTCTATTTTTAATAAGCCCTCGTAGATAAGTTCAAGCGCTTTCTTGATGTTTAATCCACGCTTTAATCCACCGTTTGGCGACTTCGGTTCCGGAGGGTTTGAGACACCGTTTGTCAGATCGCCTGCTTGCCTATGGGTCGTAGTTGCCAGGAGCCTGATCTTGCCGCATAACTGGTATATGCCCATTTCCTTCAGCACCGGGGGCATCGTGGTGGTGGTCAGGCGTGTGTGCCAGCCTCCCGATCGATAAGCTCTTTGTCCACCATCTCGCTCGAAGGTTGCTTGTTGACTACTCACTTCAAGGCAACCAGTTCATTATTACATATGTCTCTGTTCAATCTGAAATTTACTAGCTAAAATGGCTGAAAATAGAATCGCTTCGTCGAAGATCCGTGTCGCTGCGGGTGCTTCTTCAGTTTCAAAAGAAGCGAGTGGTTCACTGATTCATGTTCGACAATAACGATATTATAGTTGCGGGTCACCGCTCCTTCGCCAATCCCGCCACCTCTACGGATTATTACAGCGCATACGAGCAACCTGATAGACAATTTGGGTGAAAATCCTTTCTTCAGACTGCAACTATACCACATTCTACTATGCATTCGGCATATCACGTACAATCTCGCTGAGACCATCAACACGACGGATTTTGAAGACATGACATGTAGCGATGAACAACACAAGCAGATAATTAAGATCAGAATGTAAGTACTCTCTTGTATGGCTAGACACTTCTTTAATATATGAAGGACGCTCAGCGGTATTCAGAGTGTTATGCTTGACATCAAGCGGGCCCAGTCAAAGACTATTAGCTTCAAACAATTCCAAACTACCATTTACAATCTATTTGATGGCCTTCGGTCGCAAGAACTCGCTGGAGCTGAGGCGGTAAATCAATCGGCCGAGCTCTTCGAAGCGCTCAAGGTATCTGATTGGATAGAAATAGCCGCATTGCATGAGTATGCCTTCACCCCACCGCCCACTCATATCCGACACTGACGAATATAGAAGAAAGTATAGATTGTCAGATACTTCTCTTGGTCCAGGATTTCCGTCAATCACTTCCACATACACACCGCGTGTCGAGGCCGAACAACAACTCAACGAAGCTGCCTTCCGGAATGATCGCCCAACCGGAAAGAATGTCATCGTCGTCTCCGGTTCACCTGGGAGCGGAAAGACACAGTTGGTTCTGCATTTCGTTCAGCAGAACCGCAAAAAGTGGGTTGGTGACTTGGTGGTCTTCACGCTCTGACGGGTGTTAGGTTCGTCGCGGCCTACTTCATTGATAGTTCCTCCGATAAACTGGTTAGGGATGGGTTCAAGAAATATATCCAACCGCCTGGAATCACGGACCCTCAGGAAGGCCTTCGCTATCTCGAACGCTCTCAAGCACCCGGGAAAGGGCCATGCTTAATCATATTTGATAATCTCGCGTCCTCTGTCGATATTAACCCCTATCTTTCAACCTCGGACCATTTCCTCGTCCTCATCACGACACAAGCACAACTGTACCTCTCACCACGTGCTACGGTGTATCTCGGAGAGATGACGCCGTCCGAAGCCAAGGAGCTGCTGGAACTTCAGCTAGTTTCACGCCTGCATCTACAGATACCCTGAAGAGGATAGGAGATGCCCTTGGAAATCAACCTGCCGCGATCACTTGCGCGACAGCATACATGAATGCGTCAGGTACACCCCCAGATACCTACCTATCGCGTCTGCAACCGGAGCTTATAGCAGAGAGGACTCGTTCCGGAGATTTCCACACGCCAATGTATGCAGCTCTCACCGTCTCATACAACACCATCTCAGAAGGTGCTCAGCAACTTCTACTCCTTCTCTCTTGCTTCGTTCCCGTCAGATTCCCTCTTCTCCAACTTGTCAATCAGGCAGCTAGTACCGACTTCGACTACAAGATGTACCCAATGGTGCGGAGAAGCGAAGAAAAGACCAGAGGCACAGTATCTCTTCTTCAGCAAATCTTTTGCGCGAAAGGGAGCTTTGACGAAGAAGGGCTACGCCGGGAGTACCAAGGCTTGAAACAATACAACTTCATCTCCGACGCCAAAGCTGGAGACTTGGTTTTGACCTCTCTCCATCCAGAGGTCAAGTCCTGGGTTAGGAGCTGGATCAATAAACCAACCGAGGAGGCATATCAAGCAGCGGCCACCCAACTCCTCGGATGCTCGCCTAAGCACAAAGACCCAATGGACCAGTACCTGAATCCACAGATAATGGAGCTTGAATCCTCCTTTGACACCCTCCGCACCAACGACAAGGCCTCCTTTGCCAGAGTTCTCTACCGCACTGGGGATCACGGGAAGTCTCTCCAGCTCTTCAGGCAGGTGATTGAGGACCTGCAACGAGATCTCGGACAAAACCACGAGGACACTCTAGAAGCACTTGTCGAGCTTGCAAACGTTGAGCACGCCAACAAAAACTATGCTGATGCCAAGACGCATAGGGAGGCTATCAGAAAGTGGAGACGTGGACGCCTTGGGCCCGACCATCCGAAAACACTAGAGGCAGAGGGATTGCTGGCTGAGACCTGTACCAGCCTCGGGGAAAATGCAGAGGCCGTGAATCTGTACAGACGGATTTTGGAAGTGAGGAGAGGGATTCTGGGCGACGACGACACCCTTACCCTTATGACGAGGGCAAAGCTGGCAGACGTCTATCATGCCTCAGGTAATAAACACGAAGCTCTGGCCCTCAGAAGCGATGTCTATATTCGACGAGAGAATGCACTCGGTCCGAATGACGCAGACACTATTCTCGCTGCTAGCAATCTTGCCGTTTCCTGCTATAGCCTTGCTACGTCCAAGAGCAGGGGAAATGTAGCTGAAGAAAGCGAAATTGGAGAGCTGCTCTCCCAGGCAGAGAAGCTCCAGGTCCAGGTTCTACAGTATCGAAAGACAGCCCTCGGAGTCTTGGATCCCGAAACTCAACTTGCCATGGGGAATCTGATGTGGACATACTATGAACTCGACAAAAGGACAGAAGCGGAAGAAGTGGCTCAAATCTTATATGATGCTACCAAGAGTCTATATGGATCAAATCACACCTCTACTCGACGAGCCGAACTTGCTCTAGCTCTTTTCCGGAGAGATCTCTCATCTGCCAGAGCGATTAGACGGGGCCTCAATGAGAACCATCCAGATTATGAGCATGCGGTAAACGTTGTGGAAACAATAAAGGCGAACAGGTCATTCTTCCGCCGGTTTCTCGACTTTATGTAAGTTGCCCGTCGTTGATTCTCGCATTCTGATCTGCTTTCAGGCTGTAGCTGCTTGTAGGACTAGTTTGGGCTTAACTATGTACGTTTCGAAATACCAGTGTTCGTTTCCGCGATCTTCTCACAGAAGCGGCATGGCATCTTGCGAACAAGTGATTAGGTACGTCTTGTGAGCATATGGGGTTGCCTATTTAGATTATTCCAAGTTCGAGCGAAGACTTCTAAGCGATGCAATTCCTTGAGGGTGAACCGATCCCTCGGCATCGTGCCTCGAGGATTCGAACCTACAATTATTGGGCCTTAACGCCTTGTAGATGTATGGATGATATATCACATTTGATGGTGGGTAAAATTGTCTATCATCCATGGCGCTCTACATGCGTTCCTTTTGGATACGAGGGTCGTAGATCCTCAAACGGCTACGAGAAGGAGGGAGGGAGGAGGCGAGTGCAGTCGTTGGGCAGCCTTAGCCCTCTAACGTAGTCTCCGTTACCTCATCCCTATGCAAGTTAACGAACGCACTCGCCGTTCAAAGTTACGCCTTTACCACCCCGCCTGCCCGGCGCATGACCCAATCCATCATCAATGACACCCGACACACAATCGGTAAGACGAGAGCGAGTAGCACTAAACCTATCAGACCTCTCTCTCTACACCTCGTACTGAAGCCCCTCTCATCATCCTCAACAAAACCCACAAACCAACATCGCAAAGCCCATGTGAAAGAGAATAATGCAGATAATTAGCCTAGTTTCATACGTGCGCGATCCCGTTCGGCACAAATACATCGACAAGGCAGGACTAACTGTTCACATCGGCATCTATGGGTGTTCCATCCGACATCTTGACATCTCGTAGATTCGTTTCTTTGTTGGTTTGCATCCCTTTCTCCGATCTAGTTCGTGTGGTGTTTGTAGACCGTTGGAGGATGTCAAGGTGAATGCGATGAGAAGGTGAAGCAGCCGCCGTCAAAGAGGTTATTGTTAAAATCTTTTCTTGGCTTGATTTGTAAGTTATTCGTTGTCAATTTTTCCGCACTCTAATTTGCACACAGTCAATCCTTCAGATGACTAGTTACGTTCAATATGCTACCCGGCTTGTCTATGTGGCCTCATTACAGAGCAGGAACCCTGTTCTAGTGAACGAAGGATTAGGTGCTAAGGCTTTTGAGTATAGGGGTCGAGTGTTTGGGATAGAGTCTGAGGGTGAATTGGAACTTGAGCTCAACTCGCTGAATGACCGATTCCTACCCTTTCTGCCCGTTAAAACGCTTCAATTACAACATGTTGCTGCCGGAAATCTCTCCAGAAACTGTCGCGGTGTTGGAGATCGAGATCACTCTAGGCCTGGGCCTAGCCTCCTCAATAATTTCAATCAGAGAAGACAGGCTCTGAGCGCCGTACAAGTTATATGGAACCCATAAACCAGGATATGATACCGAAACCCTAAGAACAGCGTAGAAAGTCCTGCAAAAGCAACCATCATCCGTGATAATTGGCTCAGAAGACTGCGAGCGACCCATTATGCCTCTTATACTTTTTCTCACCTTTCTCAAGGACAGAGTTCTCAACAAGCTCTACATATCTGGCGATAGCTTTCGTTTTTGTACCAGATGGATTTGACCGCGCGCCAGTACCTAGCACACCACCACCACCAAGCAGAGATCAACAGAGCACTTATGGAGCTTTTCCATTTGATTGACATTTTTCTCCAATCCGACGAAAAGGCGCGCGACTCGCTCACCGTATTGTGTTTAGTGAGCAATTACCTACAGCAAAAGGGCGTAATAGGGTCCATGCAAGCAGCCAAGTGCGATGCGAATCAGTCTATCAACTCTAATGGAGACCCTTTGGCCGACTTGGCGGGGCTCATCGCGTCCCAGTCGCTTGTCGCTGGCTCTACCTTAGTGAACTCCTCCAAACGAGCTCCAGCGCAGTCAAGTATTCATCAAGCCCAATTTTTGTCCCCATCATCTATGGGTATCCCGACGCGCTATGAATCGCCAGTCGAACGGGCTGCGACCCAAAGACGCGTGAGAACCACAGAAGAATTGCCTTCCTTCATATCAGTACTACGAGAGGGTGTTCGGGCGTGGCTTACACGACCCACTACGCACGCCCTTCGCAAGTGGACGTATCACAATTCGTCACAAATTGCCCCTCCAGATTCTCGAAAGCGATACGAGAGAACTGGAGTGGGGGATCCTGTTCAGCGTTCCGGACAACCATCTTCAGTACAGACTCATCCCCGGGCAGACGAGATCTCGGAAGATGAGTTTGTCATGGTGGACTATCCTCAAATGACCGATAGACCACTTCCTCGTCCACCAAGTGATTACCATCGTACGTCCTAATTCCCCGGCGCCTTTACTCGCTAATTATACTAGACTGCTCGTCATCCGCCATGGATTCGCCCGGTCGTACAACCTCATACAACGATGTACATCGGTTCGCGTCAGGCCAAACTGATTTATCTAGGGATGATGCTCTCCCAGACAACTCCTCGTCACCTTTTCTGCAAGATATTCAGCAAGTAGATAAGCTTCAGCCACCAACTTTTGTCTACCGACCTCCGACTCCATTACATATACGGCGAGTTTCTGATCCATGGGCACCCAAACATAGGACGCGCTCAGTGGAATCTTCTCCCATAAGGGAGAGACCATCACTATATCCTTCACACATCTCAGAATATGACTCTGTACAGCACCCCCACAAAACCAGCAACCAATGCATATTTACCGAGAGTGTATGCCACTCCATCCCTGGGCCGTGGCACCCCTGTGTCCAGGAAGGAGGATAGCTACTCTTGCCCACGCCAGGGGGGATCCATTTCCGTATCTTCATCATTTAGACGGCCCGACGTCTCGCCCAAATTCCAGACGAAAGATCTCCCACCACGCTATGAAGCTATGGAATTTCCTCTGATGAAGACAGCTTCTCTCCCTGTGCGCTCACGAGCTTTATCACACCCTCAAATCTCCGTTCGGGCACAGAAAAGGTCGATCGGCGTCACTCACTTAATTCTTCCGACACCTCCATTGTCTCTCAAGAGTCAATGTCGACTCTTCGAGACGCAGAGGAACCTGAAGAAGAAGTCGAAGAAATCAAGGTCTTGCCGAGCGGAGAGGTTTTATATCTGAGCGGAGAAGATTTGGAAGAATGGAAACAAGGCGAGGAGATTGAAAGGAGAGAGCGGGAAGCCTGGAAGACATACTCGAACGAGCTCGAGCATGCATGCGAGGGCGTAGCATCGTCTATTCCCGGTGGAATCCTTGCGGACATTGCGCGCAGGCGCAAATCGTTGACCTCTTCGCATAGCGTAGGACTCTGGTCGAGTCGTCGCTCAGGTCGGTAGCATCCAGCCTAGCTTTTCAAAACAGAAACTGTGTTTGTTCATAATAGCCCACTACTTTCGAGTAACACCTTCATTCATGAATTCAGCCCTCGGAACATCAAACAGCTCGATATGATATGAACTTTGATTAACCTCAAGATGCTTTAGGAGATCTGGATCCTCATTTCGGAAATGAATCGTGTCCTCCTGAGCAACATAGCATGAGGGGTGGATTTCTAGCCGAAGCATGAATTGTACCAATTGTGTCGAGTTATTCTGCCTCAGAATTGTAATCTGGATCATTTTGGTTCTCCAGTGAGCCTAGTAAAGTTGATGAGGCCAGTAGATTGCCTTTGCATTTCACCCACCAGCAGCGTTCCGTACACGGAAACTCTAGTATAAACCATGATTACACTACTGTACACCGAATCCAGGGCCTTATCGACTCCTCGAGTGTATGAGTTTCGTAAGGGGTATCACGTCTACGACCTCCCAGCCATCTTCCTTGGCACCAGACTTTTCCAAATCCTTTTCCTTTTCCCTCTTAGAATGGAGACTTCCATCCTTTTTCTTCGCACTCGTACTCGCACCAGCATTCTCCTCGTCTGAACTCGCACCCGAGGGAGAACGTCGCAACGACGGGTCACGGAAAAACTCTCCATCACCCATAATAAACGCACAAGCAGCTTTGAGGCCCGTCGGATTTCCACTACCGCTCGGACCCTGACTTGTACTTGCAAGTCCACTCCGACCCGTTGTCGTCGTCGTCGAGCTCCTGCCTGTACCCGCACTAGTCGGTTCCTCCGTCCTATGTGTACGAGAAGGAGAATCATGTACGACCCATACTGATGAGGTTGATGTGAACCGCTCGCGTGGTGGACGAGGGTATCGAATATCCTGATCACTTCCTCCAATCGTCGACGCGTCTCCGTCGCCGTCTCCGCCTTGATCATACTCTTGTCCGTGTCCGACCTCGGCGCCGCCGACGACACGCGAGTTGGGCGGGTTACCCGGCATACGTGCAAAAGTGATGGTCGGGTCGAGGCCCTGTGAAGAGAGTTGCTCCGTCTCGTTTGCTCGACCATGGTAGTATGCTCTCCGGAGATTGAGTGTCAGGTAGGATGTGCATCTGTGTCATCTCAGCGTTAAAGTACGCGTGAGGGCGAGGGGAGCGGACGTACGTGGAGAGTAATGCCCAATAAATGTAGAGCAGGAAACCGCTGAATTCTGGGGGTAAGAGATGCCAGCTTAGCATGTTTGAGACGGAGACGACGCTGCTGAGCACAAAGTAGATCACGCCGTCACGGGCCAGGACGTGTAGCTAGATGAGTATGGTGAGAGGGATCAAGCGCAGAATGGAGAGTGCACGTACGATGGGTGGTGAAGTTGCATTGGTTGCAGCGATAAACTTGTAGGTTTTGATGATTGTGAGCACGGTCAAGAGGAGCTCGTAGAGAGTCGGTGGGAGAGGCGAGGCGACCATGACTTTTGGGTTGTGATCTGTAGCGCATATTCGCATATACTTGTTGTAAGTCATCGTTGCTGTTTGTCCCGTTAGAATGAAAAGCGTGAGACTAGTGGACAACGTACCGATGACAGATTTGTAGGAAAGATAGGTAAATAGACCGATGACGACCATGATACCCGCCCAGAGTGCCCAGAGTGAATAAACAAGGCGTGGGTGAGACCGCCAGAGAGCCGCGACGCGGATGGTCATTATGCCGGTCCATGATAGATGTGCGAGTGTGAGTCCAATTACGCCGGTACATTTTGTACAATATGCCTGGGAGAAGTCGCCATGAAGGCCGGACATGTCTGCAACCCTCTGCGTTCACACAGACTGTCGACATCGGAAAAAGAGAAAGAGACGGACCGTATACGATGTTGAGGAAGAATCCGAGGCAGACATATCGATTAATAATGTAGAGTAGGTTGGGAAAGGTTGGTCGGAGTGTTGACCAAAAGTATTCGACCTGAAGCAGAAAAGCAGAGGTCGATCAGCTTTTGGGCTTGTGACAAGGCTAAGCCATAAACAGCAGACGAACCTCTTCATCAAACGAGACCAAAATAGAATAGACATAGATGGCTCCAGCTGCAGCGGTGGCGAACCTGGTCATCTGAAGACCCTCCGCACCGGCGAGGAGCTGAGGCATGATTGCGGCGATATCGCTGGGTGTAGTTGCATTCTGAGCGGACATTAAATGCTGGTCAAGTGCATGAAGCGCGTCGCTTGTGTCCTCGAATGTTGGTTGTTGGATGGGAAGGGCCCAAAGGAGAGAGGGGCAAGGGAGCGCAGAAGTTTGTCCGGGGGGGGTGGGTAATCAAAGTAAGACGGGCCATATGGACACATTCACCCACACGGACTCTCTTCGCCGCAATACCCGTCGGCTTGCTGATGGAGCCCTCCAACCTGTTCCTGGATCAAAGCCACCGCTGGGAATGGCAAACTTGACTCCGATTCCGATTTTTGAGACTTTTTTTTCAAGTGGCCAAGACGGAGGATTGGCAAAACATTGATGGAATCTGGACAAATTCAGGGATATTGTGCATGAGAATATAGTCGGCTGGTGGTTGCCGTCTGCAGCTGCTCGCGGGAGAGGTCGTAGCGAGCATGCATCGGGTAGAAGTGATCTAAATCTTAAGTAGCGTTGTAATCCCCATGTAACCTTGCAACCCGGTAACTAGAAGACGATCCACGGCAGCCAGAGTGCCCACAGTCGTACCGTAGGAGCTCCTTTTCCGCAGCGGGCCGTAAGATTCATAAAGCACAATTTGTCATGAAATAGACCGCAAATCTGGACTTGCTCCACTTGACACAGAGCCTCGCCAGCGCATTCTTGGAAATCGACCTTGGAACCAGACCACATTCGAGAGCCCGTTTCCCAGCCGTCCCCCAGCCTTTGCCCTCTTCGTCGTCGTTATTTCCACAAATTCCCCAGTCGTTCGATTCGTCTCTTTAAGTGCTATATAAGCCCTATAGACCGTGCTCCCACTCGACATTTTGCTCGTTGGACCTCCCCACAACTTTTTACATCTTGGTGTACGTGCTCATTTCATGCTTCTCCACGTCTATAGCACCTACGCAACCTCATCTATACTCTTCTCGGTGCTCTATGTCCTTGCCCCCCTACTCTACGTCCAACTCGACGTGATTCTTCGGCTTTTCAACTCTGGCTCTTACCCGTCCCTCCACTTGCAGGACATAGCCCACCGTCGCAAAGCAATCGTCTATAGACCATGAGTGCCACTTCTTCGTCCGACTCGTCATCTCCGTCCACTCCGGAGAACAAAGTCTACGACCTCGGCGGCAGCAGTAGCAGCAACAGCAACACCGACCTCGCCACAGCCTCTTCAAGTAACAGCCCTTCTACTGTCGATATTACCTCCACGACGCTCAAGCCAGCGAGCGTCGCCCTCCCGCGTCGCAACAACGCCGGATCGAAATCTGCCAAACGCGCGCTATGGGCATTCACTAGTGCACCCCAAGTCTCCGAGGACCAATCCACTACGAGTACTGAACTAGTCGGCGGCCGCACAATCGATCCGACGACCCTCCTCGAACCCTCGGACCTCGCAAAGCCACTCAAATGTGCCCCCGTCGACATTGAAGAACTCCGTCAGGTGGCGGCACCCCGCAGGAAAAAGGCATGCAAGGGCTGCACATGTGGTCTTGCAGAACTCGAAAAGGAGGAAATGATGCGCGAGCGTGGCCTCGTCGTCGATGCTGTTACCGGAGACGTCGTTTCGTCGACCGAGCAAGGCGAGAGTGTGGTATTGAGTGCAGAAGAAAAGGAAAAACTCCGTCTAGAGGCTGCGGTTCGAGCAGCGAATAAGATTACTCCAGAAGTCGGGAAGAGTAGCTGCGGGAGCTGCTACTTGGGCGACGCGTTCCGCTGTGCGACGTGTCCGTATCTCGGTAAGTCTACCCTACCTTCGTATCTTCTTGCATAGGATTGACATTCGCTTCTAGGACTTCCGGCATTCAAGCCCGGAGAAAAGGTTGAACTCCCCTCAGCCATTGTCAAGGCATAGATTCTCGGCTTTCGGTCTCAACGTGTATCCATGTCCAGCTTTCGTGTCCGTCTCGCACTTAATGGGCTTTCGTTTTGTTTCCATAGCTTATCGTATTTATGCAAATCAGAATCACAACCTGTTCCTCTTTGTGTGACGTGCATGAGATTCCATCCCTATTCATTCTGTTCCGCAGTCGCTGCTGCCTCGGCTTCTTCCTTGGCTTGTCGCTCCTCTTCCTCTACCATATCAATGTCCAATGGAAATGTGAGGATCGCAGCAATTCCGGATAGCTGGTTCAGTTCTGTGGTCTCGTGTCAGTGCTGGTTTGAAGAATGATAAAGTCCGTACGTTGTCCAGTCTCGTGCATGCTGGAAAAGATGAGCACCTCTGCTCCCTTTGTCCGCACGGCATCCGCCATCTCGACATATCGTTTTCGAGTGGTCGGGTCCGATGACCTGTCAACGATATGAGAAGTTTCCGCCAACGAGGCCCAAAGGTTACTCACCGGAATAGGTCGTCGGAGATGAGAAGTGCGCCAATGGCACCCCGGTCTGCTGCTAACGCGACGTGATCCGGTCCATACCATGCTCTCATCTCGTCTTGTCCAAGCATCTTGAAGAATCTTTTCTTGTCAGTATATCCCTGTTCACTACGTAGTACCTACTTGTCCAGCATGATACCCTCTCGCGCAAACTTAGTCTCCTTGAGCTGACTCGAAATCTATCAACGAGCATTAGCGCAATCATCCGTCCCCGAGGATGAACCTGCCTCTGGACTCTTGAGGACTTCGACGAGACTGTGTACGTGCGGGCTCGAGACGTGCACACGAACAAACTTGTTACGCGCTTGTAACAACGCCTTGTTGCTCGTCTTTGTTGCCTGTGCGAAAAAGTATTCATATACGGCGTCCTTTGTGAACCCGGGCTGGCGATCACAATGACCTTGAGCGAGGCAAATGGAATAACGCGCAGGAATGCAGCATAGAGCGTCGAATAAAACTTGTCGAGTCCCTTTTCGTGCGATGCGCTGCCTGCTGCTTTGCGGGGTACAGGCACATCGATGCGTTGTCGAATCGTCGTCATGTGTTCGGACATGAGACATAGTGCAGCCGTACCTAAAGATCATTTAGCACTTGTAAAGAGTCGTGGAATGTCTCACCCTCTCCACAGACAATCGCTCCCACCTCTGCCCCTCGTCCCTCTGCGCACGCTTCGTCGACTCGATCCAACGCAATACGATCCCACTCTTGTTTAATAATCTTCACGTCTCTGTTGACCTCGATGTCGAGTGTATGAAATGCACCCATTTTGACGTGCGCATTCTCCTCTGTCACTCGACCCGTAATATGCATCCCCGCACCCGTCGTTGATCCAACTCCACCACTAGCACCTGAAGAGGAGGCAGTAGCATTGGTAGACGAAGCAGCGGCATTGGACGACGCGGTGGCCGAAGACGAGGAAGAACCAGCGGCGAATTGGGTTCGGGTAACGTGTAGTGTAAGCCGCGTCCTCACGCGTTGTGAGTCGGTGGATCCAGTGTTTGACACTGTTTGTACCCGTCTAAGGTGGGTAATTTGAGACTGCAATTACGGGAGCCTGGGTGGCGGACCCATACCTTAATGTCGTCGCTTGAACATCGTCACCCTGATAGATCATTGAGATAAAAGTATAGCAACAGTAGAAATAGATAGACCTCTTGGATCAAGTTGTACAAATGCCACATATCCTCGTCGTCCTCTGGTCGCAGCGTCACGTACCCCTGGATATTACATTGATATCAAGGGAAAAATGACTATTGACAAATAATCTACCGCCTTGTTTTTGTCGATATATTTTCCGATGAGTTTCATCTTGGGATCATCCGTGGTTCTGTCCAAGTTCCACTTTTGTACCCGACCAACACCTTGGATCTCTCATTGACAATCGTGGACAGCAAGAACCTAGATTTGTAGCTATTTTGCATTCTCCAGACGATAAAACCATGACAATCCGGTTGGATGAACGGCCTCTGAATGATCCACGAACAGCCAACCGAGATGATGTCAAGGGCGCTTCCAAGGGCGCTTCCAACTGTATACATGTTCTTTCGCGCACGTAATCCCGAAATCAGTGGAGGTCGTTCTGACAAACCAACGAAACTTGCTTGCAGCTCCCCAGCTACGATTAGCACGATGGAGGAGCACCTGACACTCATCTATTCCTTGCTCTGGGACCAGAAGAGCCCAAGCTGGAAGTCTCCGCCAGATCCTGGACTTCATCAGTAATGTAACCTATCCAAGTGAGACTAGTGGGCGCTATTGGAACTATTCTTCCATCCTATACTTCCCTTCGGACTTCCGTTCGCAAGTCCATTGAGCAATTTCCGCGAAAGCCTCGCAATATTTATTCTTAGTGAACAATTCTACATGATCTGGAGCCGTATATAAGGTCCTCTTCCGACCTTTCAAGTGCCTTACCCCCAGATATACTTAGCAATGGCCACGACCAACAAGCTCTATCACCCTTGGCAAGAATGGCCCGAAATTACCCGCAATTGGCTACGGAGCAATGGTAACGCTGATGGCATGGAGGCTTGGCCAGACTAACTGTGTCGCAGACCATCGAAGGGGGGTATGGAGGTAGCAATACCGAAGAAACGGCCCTTGAAATTCTTCGAACCGTGAGTTTGTATAATCTGGTATAATCGATTTTTTATCAAGGATAGGCTGCCGACGAATGCACGCTTATTGATACATCCGACATTTACGGAGACCTGGTAGTGCCAGTTAGTTCCTCATATAAATCTTATTCGCTTTATTCATGAGAACACAGGGACGCAATGAAATCCTGATCGGAAAGTTGCTTAAACATCCAGAATACCGATCCAAGGTCTTTATCTGTACCAAATTCGGCATTGTAATGGACATGAAAGACGGTTCTCTCTCAGCAAACGCCAGAGGAGACCCGGAATATGTTCGCCAATGCTGTGAGGAATCCTTGAAGCGGCTCCAGGTTGATCAGATCGATCTTTATTATCAACACAGAGTACGTTCAGCTCACGAATGGTCTTGCAAATCCTAAAACCTGCACAGGTCGACCGCTCAAGGCCCATTGAAGAGACCTGGGGCGAACTCAAGAAATTGCAAGAGGAAGGCAAAGTCAAATATCTCGGCATCTCCGAGGCTACGCCCGACGAGATTCGTCGCGCTCACGCCATTGCACCGATTACTGCTTTGCAAATCGAGGTAGGCATACGGTTCATGTATTTATTTGGAAGAATGGGTGATTTGAGCTCTCTAGTTCTCGCCATTCACGCCAGATATTCGGGAAAACGGCATTCTGGATACGTGTCGTGAGCTCGGTATTGCCATTGTGGCATATAGTCCTCTCGGACGAGGTGGGTGTCGTAATTGCTATGTCTTATGGTCATGCTGAAGGTTTCTAGGAATGATTTCGGGTGAATATACATCCCCTGATCAGTTTGAAGCTAGTGATTATCGTCGGCATATGCCTCGTTTTCAGGGCGATGCTTTCACCGAGGTGAGTCTGCCAACGCCGGTTCATATGCTTGAACTCACTTGCAATTCTATAGAACTTGAAGTTGGTTGAGGCCATTAAGTGAGCGACACTGTTCTAGTACATTCCTTGGCTGATGAGAGAAGATATATTGCAAGCAAGAAGGGTGTCTCATCAACCCAATTGACGCTTGCTTGGGTTCTCGCTCAGGGAGACGATTTCTTTGTAATTCCCGGCACGCGAAGTCTCTCAAAGTAAGTGACTGCTTCCAAGCAATATTTCAGAGCCCAACATTTCCTTCAGGCTCAAGGACAATGTTGCCGCCGGATCTATTACGCTCAGTGAGTCACCTTTGGCCCCTAATCTCGTCAACTGATGCGGTGACATAGCTGAGAAAGAGAAGGAGGAAATCGAGGCCGTCATTGCACGTATTAAGGTCATTGGTGACAGGTAAGATTCACCTTCTTAACTTGGAATGGGACTAAATTCTCGAAGATATAGACCTATAGGTAGCAAGTTGGCCGCTTGGTAGACCTCCACAGTCGACAAAATTCCCCTTGCCTCGTGATAAGGTCTGTGAGTATTAAGTCTGTAGCCACCTTCCGGTTGATTGTTCATACTGCGAATAATGTTCCATCCCATGTTGACGATCGTAGAGTATAAACGACCTTTAGCACTATTGCGGCAAGGTGACTCTAAGTGAGAGCGCTTCATAATTCAAAATGTCATGATCTATGGATCAAGTCAATATTTAAACTTGTTGTGCTACCGAGAAACAATGAATTGATCCATCGTACAGGACTTCGTCGCCAATTCAAAATCCGGAGAGATCATTACCACTCCCGCTATACCTTTGAAAGATAAGAAGCATGCGCAACTGGTAAATTGTCAACCGTACCTTGCGCCCAGGACTGTGATGCGTTCGATGACATTATCAATCTCTTGTTTCTCCTCATCCGCTAGACATATATGTCAACCCATACCTAGCCATGAGCATATTTCACCCACAAAGCCGAATGGAGGTAGCAGAAATATTATCCTTGAGTCTACGATGCTATGAGTTAACTGTCTCTCCTTACAGAGCACTCGTACCTGGAAAGGCTCTTTGTGCCAGGAATTGCGAAAAAGTCATCCCCTTGCGCGAGGACCCAGGCAAGAGTCAACTGGCTCGGTGTAACCCCTTTCTTGCTTGCGATAACTCTACGAGAGAGAGTGTTACAGGGTCTCTACGAAGATATTGCGCTTACTTTATCGCTTCCACAAGCTTCATGTTCTAGAGAACAATGAGATACCAACTGACGAATAGGAAATACTAACCTCCTTGAACGCTTCGCCTTGGAAGCGAGGGAAATAACGGCGATAGTCGTTGGGTTCAAATTGATCTGGCGAGGTGTATTGACCAGTAACCATCCCTGATAAATAGCGTTAATGGTATCCCAAACAGTAATGTGCACCCACCTCGTCCCAGAGGGCTATAAGCAACTATGGCGATGCCGAGTTCACGGCAGGTGTCGAGAATACCATTGTTACGGATGTCGGGCGTGAACGGAGAAAACTCAATTTGCAAAGCGTTTATCGGTGTGACGGCATGAGCACGCCGGATCTCTTCTACAGTAGCTTCTGAGATTCCGAGATATTTGACCTTGCCTTCTTCCTTTAGCTTCTTGAGCTCGCCCCAGGTTTCTTCGATTGGGATGGAACGATCCACCTGCAGAGCGTTGGTTGAAGGTAAAGCCGACATATGACGTACACGATGTTGATAGTACAGGTCAATGTAGTCAACTTGCAGGCGCTTGAGCGACGCTTCACAACATTCACGAACATATTGTGGTGAGCCTTTGGCAGTCATAGATAGTGCGCCTTCCTTAGGCTCAAGATTGATGCCAAACTTTGTGCAGATGAACACTTTGGCACGGAATTGTGGGTCCTTGAGCAGTTTGCCGATCAGTTCTTCGTTACGTCCCTATTCACATTGAGCAAGGAAGGATTGACGTTCATAGGAAACACACCTGTGGTAATCCATAGATGTTCGAGGTATCTATCAGCCTGCACTCGTCGGCAGCCTGGAGATGAATGAGAAATGAAAGACGGGTCGATATAGACGTACTACTCTGAGGATCTCAAACGCTTCCTCTTCCGTCCCACTACCTCCATACCCCCCTTCAATCGTCTACGGAGGCATAAGAGCCATAAGCAAACGCTGTTCTACTCACCATCGCCCCGTATCCCAAAGCAGGTAGGGTGGGACCGTTCTTGCCAAGTTGCCTGTGAGTTTGATTGATTTCACTCATACTTATGTATCTGTTTGTCGTCTAGCAGGTGGTAGGATGGGCGACGGCCTCATTTATATAGTCGCCTCTTTCTTGCGTCATTTGCTTTGATTACTCATGCTGAGAAGTAAACACTGAACGACAGTTCGGAAGTCCGTATTGCCACCATCGGTCGTCCGATCATCAATCAGGGACCACAAAACCGGCTCATGTCTTGGCCACAGCGACTAATACTTAGCTCGCCGACTGACATTTTGCATTTTGACCAATTGGATCTTTGTAGTCGTCAAGGACACGAAATGAATATTGATATGTCTCATAAATTTCGAAATTGCCTTGTCGGGATTGCTTTTGGTGGGTGGCAAGTCTTGAAAACGGTTTCTCACCTTCGACGCTGGATGGCTCTTCACGACACTCGTGAAGATCTTACTATTTACATTTGGGGCAATCACACTGCGTTTATATCTAGATCATTTTCGACTGAGATATTTCGCATACGCACGGACAGAGTATGTTGAGAGCTAAATTTACCAAGCATTTAGCTTGACACCAGCTGGTGAAAACGCCCTTCGGCAGGTTATTTTGGTTTGCTCGATGGTTTTGAAGAGACTGATTCACCTGTCACCAATGACCTTGATCCGGGCAATGACACTCTCAATTTCCTCCTTCTCTTCCTCGCCTGCATCGTGATGAACACACCGGCCTTGAAGACCAGTTATGACTTACTGATGGTGATAGATCCGGCGGCGATATTGTCCTTCAGTCTGCAACAGTCACGATAAGCGCTTTGGGAAACACAGTCCGCTTACTTGGAGAGACTTCGCGTTCCAGGAATAACAAAGAAATCTTCTCCCTGTGCAAGAACCCACGCGAGCGTCAACTGGGTCGGTGAAACGCCCTTTTTGCTCGCAATATTCCTTCAATTGTCAGTCACAAAGAGCTACCGAGAGGTTGAAACGCACTTGATAGCTTCTACAAGCTTCAGATTCTATACATTCTGTTCAGCTTGATGCTAGCAATCAAAATTTCCAATATACCTCGGTGAATGCCTCGCCTTGGAAGCGAGGCATGAAACGACGATAATCACTGGCTTCGAACTGATCTGGAGACGTATATTCGCCAGAGATCATTCCTAGAAGATACTATTCAACTCGGCCAGCGGTCAATAGCCCAACTTACCTCGCCCAAGTGGGCTATATGCCACAATGGCAATACCGAGCTCACGACACGTATCCAGAATACCGTTTTCCCGAATATCTGGCGTGAATGGCGAGAACTAGAGAGCTCAAATCACCCATTCTTCCAAATAAATACATGAACCGTATGCCTACCTCGATTTGCAAAGCAGTAATCGGTGCAATGGCGTGAGCGCGACGAATCTCATCGGGCGTAGCCTCGGAGATGCCGAGATATTTGACTTTGCCTTCCTCTTGCAATTTCTTGAGTTCGCCCCAGGTCTCTTCAATGGGCCTCGAGCGGTCGACCTGTGCAGGTTTTAGGATTTGCAAGATCATTCGTGAGCCGAACGTACCCTGTGTTGATAATAAAGGTCGATCTGATCAACCTGGAGCCGCTTCAAGGATTCCTCGCAGCATTGGCGAACGTATTCGGGGTCGCCTCTGGCATCTATGACCAAAGAGCCATCTTTTATCCCCATTACGAGTCCAAACTTGGTGCAGATGAAGACTTTTGAACGATATTCGCGGTCCTGGAGCAACTTTCCGATTAGGCTTTCATTACGTCCCTAGGCCCATGTCAACAAAATCCGAATACTTGTTATGAGAGAATCACTGGGGCCCGTGGGTCACCATAGACGTTTGACGTATCGATCAGCGTGCATTCCTCGGCTGCCTACACTCAATAAGATTGGCGACGCTCGGATAAACGAATTCACCGTTCTAAGGATCTCAAGTGCTGCTTCCTCGGTGTTTCCACCCCCATATCCTCCCTCGATAGTCTGTGCATACTCAGCTTGGTCGAATTTCCGGTAATGGAAGACACACCATTGCCCCATATCCAATTCAGGTAATTTTGGACCGTTTTGTCCAAGGGTATGGTAGAGCTTGTTGGTTGTGGCCATGGTTAATGGGTGGGGTGAGTTCGCCAGCCCTATTGCGAGCGGGGGATTTATAAAGCATTTTTATTAAACTGGAGCCTATTTTGAATAGTAACACAGCTCCTTTATGGAATCTCAAAGCCTCCAGCAAAACTTGCTCACTCTACCGGAAGTCCGGACTTCGCCCTCATCCAATTGGAAATTTATACATTACCCACGTAATCTTAGATTGGAGTGATTATCGTCCGTTAAATCATGTGAACGCAGGGAGTGACGAAGGTTCCGGGAGAAACGGCACGCCAGTCACTCTTCACTCCAATAATGACGACCGAGGGCCTAGAACAGATATGCTAATACCTTTTATGCTACTTTGATCCGAGCTTCGGTGCGCAGCCAAGTAAAACATCGATTCCTTTTGCATACCATGAACCAAACGACCAAAGACGTCTCTGAACTGATCATCCACCCAAGACAAGATCATGACATCAAATTATTAGGACTCGATATGGACCATTGTCCATGTTCAGTAATGTGGGCTTGGCACCAAAGTATTAAATCGGCTTTGCTCGCATAGGTTCGTCCTCATTTAGTCCTATCAAATACCTTGGGTTTGCAACCTAGTTCTCAATACGACGCAATCATATACACACCAAAGGTACCCGCAGCACTCATCTATATCAGTACAATGCTTTGGGTATTTTTTCAGAGTCAAGAGCTTCACCAATGGTGGTCATACATCGATCTGCACGGCCAACGAGGCTGTAGACTTGAAAGTCCTCAGTAGATATGCTGGCAGCCGTACTCTATCATTAGATCGGAGAGTTCAGATAGAGAGATCTCCAAAATATTGGTCTTCGACAGCTCTCCTAAGACAAAGCACGGAAGTCCGAGGAGATGATTGATTGCTGTTCCTCATTCGTATGAATTGAAGGGCTCAAGATATTAGTACTCAGTGAGTATTGACGAACTAAGAGGGATTCAGACATGCTTATAGTCGAATACGAGATAGCGTGAATATGGTAAGGGACGAGCACAGTGACAATGAAATGCTTGAATAAAAGAAGTAAATCAGGTGATATAAAAGAACACTAGGTGAATGAAAGAAAGCCGGTGGTGTTTTTATCTTGCCTAGCGCTCGAAACGGCAAGGGTATGAACAAGTGCCTCACAGACTCAGACGCATGCCATAACAGCAGTGTAATGCGAAAAGTTCACAGAGGAAACAGGATGGGGATGCCGAGCTCTGTCTTCGCTTGCGATTCCCTCAGTGCTTGGCCACGAGTTCCACTGCCCCGATCCAGCATAAGGCAGCCCTCCAACGTTTGGACAAATTGATGGCGTTGTTCCCGCAGCAAAATGACTTTCAGCCATGTCCCCCTGAAACGTGGCTAGGCTCGCCAAAAGTTGGTCGACTGCAAGAGCGAATGCGTGTTAAAAAACGTTCGTCGTATTCCAGCCTCTAGACTTCAGAACAGTTCTATTCATAAACTAGGCATGACGAACATTGTCTATTCCCCGCCGGATGGCACGGTGATTGGGTCCCCATTTAGCGTGAAGCCTTGATGATTTCAATGACACCGTGTGCTCGGTCTGAGAGAGAATCCCCCCAGAAAATCTCAACCATAGCCGAAATGAAATCCCTGGAAATCCCGATGAGTGCTGTTGTAACCGACCCGAAGAAATAACGCACCATCCCTTGACCATGGACCTGATCGGATACTGTAGCGGTGGGGGAATGCTCGTTTGAATCAAAGATGGCCAACGGTCGATTGTCACTGCTTTGGGGCAGGTAAGAGAACGCAAGCCTTCTGGTCCAGCTATTCAAGAGATAAGGCTCATATGACACCTATCAACGGAGTACGCACAGAAACGGCCAAAGCCGGACGCTTTGACTCCGCCGAAACCAAGATCCTGACTGCAGCATTGTTAACGCGTGTGGTCGTTATGAAGGATGATGACATACTTCAACTGGAAAAGTCCGTAAGTGAATGAGATCACGGCAACGCGAATGCACGTACATAGAAGACTCCGAAGTCGTTGACGGAAACCATGCCGCAATCTGCATGTCATGTTACTTCGGCTCACGGAGCAAATCTGGTGACCTACCCAGCCTTCTGGCGACGTCGACGCATTCATGCTGCTTTGGACCGAAAACCGATGCACCTAATCCGTAACGGGTCCCATTGGCAATCGAGATGGCTTCGTCGACCGACTCGTAGGGGATCACGGTAATCACCGGCGCAAAGACTGTATGACGAGTTATCAGTCACACGTGTGTGAGGATAAAGCAACAGCTTATTAGCTGACGAATCGGAAAATGAGAGGATGGAATTATTGTGTGGAAGAAGAATTGAGGCCTACGCACGTTCTTGCTGGGCTATTTCCATGGCAGGGTCGACATTGGCAACAACTGTGCCCTCGAAGTACATGCCCTCTTCAACGTATGGGTGCCTCCATGCTTGACCGCCAACGACAAGATCCGCGCCCTCCTCTTGAGCCTCGTGTATGATTCGTTCGAGTTCACTAAACCTAACATATGCACCATATGTCAGGGAGATAGAGTATGCGTGCGCATTGCTCACCGGTTACGTGAAATCATGGCACCACAGTCGACAGGGGCGATGTAACCTCCATCAGATGAGGCTTCGGCCAAAGCAGGACCGAACCGCAATTTTTTCGTCCTCTCAGCCAGCAGGGTCACGAGTTCTTTGTGCTGAGATGAATGAACAATGAATCGCTCGATGCCGATGCAGTTTTGTCCGGCGTTTTGGAAAGCACCCCTCAGCCATGTGTCTACCCACTTCTTGAGATCGGTCTCCGGCAGAATGACGCATGGGTCCTTGCCACCAAGCTCAAGAGTAACCGGAGTGAGGTGAACCGTGGCAGCCTGAAGCACCTTGCGTCCAATAGGCTCTGAACCTATAAATGTGATATGTCTATGAGGTCAGCCAATTGAAAACATAGGTCAATGACACATACTTGATGTATGGCGACATCGTCAATGCATCTGCTTCGGACGGATAACAGCAAACGAGCTGAACGAGATCGGCAGGCAAGTCGCAAGCGAGGAGGCATTCCCTGATTGCAGAGATGAACCACGTTGCTGGTTCGAATGTGAGTATGTGATGGCAAAGACGGTCACAGGGCATACAAGACCATACAACTTGCTCCGAACATTTGACCACGACTGCGTTACCAGCAAAGAGACCAGCAATAATGGGAGAGATGAGGTTATGGAATGCTGGTCGAGATCAGCCCTGTGAGTCTTTATGCATTCACATGAACGCACGATAGTTCCACGAAACGATTGCAGCGACAACGCCGAGCGGTTCATAGTAGACTTTGGAGCTCTTGTAGAACATCATGGGACTCGACTTGCGTGACTCTGGTCGTAGGGCAGCCTCGCCATGGTCAATTAGGTATTCCAATTTTGCGCATGTAGTAAGAATCTCCCCCAAAGCCGCATCAATCACTTGGAATCTCGATGAGTATGGGGAATTTGTATACATCAAGATATACTTACTCGTCTTTCCGGTGTCACGGCATGCGACTCGGGCACAGAGCTCACGATTTTTGACGACCCAACGAAGCAAACTACGCATTACACGCTTGCGCTCACCAAAGGAGCTCTGGCCCCACCGACTCTGCACCCACGTCCGGCGCGCAAGCCCAATTTTTTCCGCAATATCGTATTCCGAGTCCGCTGGAATTGTATCCAAATGATAGCCGGTAGACGGATCGTAACAGGTTATATATTGTGCCTTCATCGTCGGTTTTGCCGTTGGGAAGCCTTGCATGAGCAATGGTGTCGGTGCCGTCGGGAGAAGGGTTGAATTGACGAGATGAGATTCGAGGCTAGGATTTTCTATCGTGAGCGAGGTCCATTTAGAAGAAGCCGCCTGCGCGAACACGGAGTCAACAACTTTCGATCCAACCATAGCTGCGCTAGTTTACGCACCGCAGGAGCCTTGATGGAGAAAGGGACTGCTCTGTATCGTACACTCTCGTATCGTTTGAACAGGAAATAGATGCCCGCCGCCGCGAACAAGGTGAGCGCATAGACGGGGCTGATTATGCTGAACAAGCCTCTCTCCTCGACTTCGTCATATGACCAGTCGGTCATCGTGAGTTTTTCGTGAAAGAGTTCAAAAAGAATATCCAAACAAATGTGCAAGCAGCGACCTGCAAACGCGTGGGCGGCGCGCGTTGGTCGAACCACTTTACACCTCCAACACAAACCCAGAACGGATAGAAACACGTTTATTCTTTCAACAACTATGAAGCAAACATGGTAGTAAAGAAGTCTATGCAGATGGAAGTCGGCTCATGCATGCCAATATGGGTTTGTGAAATTTGAATTTTGCGACGATTGTACAGTGGCCCATACGCGACAGACACGAGCGTCGGAAGACGATGCAAAATACGTAAATAGATTAGGCGTGGCATACGAGGGTGACGGGCTCGAATGCCGTTAGATGATTAAGAGGATACCATGCCGGGGTCGTCTTCGTCAGGGAAAATGGTGGCAAATATGTCTTTGGGTTCGGTAGAGAGGGGGTGAAGGTATTCGTCGTCGACAGTGGAAAAGGATGTAACAGATGCGTTCGAAGAAATTCGACCGGGGGCATTGGAAGAGCCAGACGAGGAAGCGGCCCGTCGACCTTGCTTACGCCTCTCGTCCTCGTAAATCTTTTCGAGCGTCTCATAGAGATTCTTGAGGCCAAAGAGGAACCCGAGGTCGGGGAGTTCAGGATGATGCGGCGGGAACCGTGCGTAGAGGAGCCCCGTCTCCGGATCGACTTCTGCCTTGTATCCCTTGCCACTTTTGAGCACCTCTCGTTCGGCGTCTGCAGGATCCTCAGAGCTGGGCGACTTGTAGTCGGGAGGATAGACGAGGTAGTCGTTGCCGGTTGTGGTATGAGCAAAGTCGACGATGCGGATGATGACCTCGCCACGCTTCTTCTTTTCGTCTTTCCCAGTAGAATGCTCCATGTTGGGGTCAAACATGACATCATCGGAATGCGTACGCCGGATGACCTTGCGTGACCCCTCGCGCTCCTCCGACTTGGCACGGTTACGTCCTGTGCGCATCTCTCCGGTTCGGGGCATGCAGCTGGACTCCGCCAAGGCGCGCTCGTAGTCTTTCTGTATGTTCTTCCCGCCATCGTAGATGAACAATAGACTGCAACCGTAGAAACGGAATCCCTCGAGTCGGTGAATAATCTGTGCAAGCGACGAAAGTTTCTGGAGGATGACAGGAATATGATAAGCGAGGCATCGCTCTCCGTTGTTGAAGAAGGTGGCGAGTACAGCAGGGAAGTCTTGAGGTTGGATCTCGCGGCCAGTATACTTGTTTTGGCTCACGTACTTCTTTTCGACAGTATTCCACACCTGCAAGATGATTAATAAGTTGTCCGTGTTATCGATCTGGACATTACCTGCATGCCACAAATTCTGACGCCGAGAGACTTGCTCGTTGTGCCTGCACACTTCTTGCGTTGACTCTTCTTCTTGGCAGCAGTTGCGTCAACACCATATTGCCGTGTGCCCATCTTGAGATCAAGTACGCAGCTGCGCTTGAGCCGACCTGTCAAGTCCTCCATGAGGATAAAATGTTCCTGTCGAGTGATTGCTGGATCCGGAGGTGGAGGCTCGAGGTGACGCACAGAGAGAGGAACGGTCGCAACTCCAGTATCCTTTGAGACTGCTGGTGTCATGGTCGCGGACACCATTGATGACTGAGGCTTCGGTGTTCCATATGCGAAATGGCGAGAAGCGGTTGGAGAGCCAACCGACCTAGATCGACTTCGCCGATGTATAGGGGATGCTTGTTCTTTGTCTCCCCGAGAAAGTCTGAATCCATCGACAGACACGCCACGAGCATTGTGAGTCTTCTCTTCATCAAAGTCGAACACCTCCATACTACCACGCCTTCCTCGTGTCCACGACGGAGAAGGTTCTCGCTCCTGAGCAGGCTCGACCTTGTCGTCAACAGGACCCGCAAGCGAGACCAGTGCTCTCATCCTGGATGGGCTAGAGAAATTGTCCTCGCTACGCACACGCCGAAGGGCATGAACCTCCTCACCCTCACCCGTAATCTCCTCTAAACGCAGTCGCGAGATGGCTTCTGGGACGAGTCCCGATGTTGAAGACACTCCAAAGTCAGATTCACGCCTGCCTCTGGTCGAAGTGGAGACAGAACTTCGATGGATGGGGACTTTTTCGGGATGCGTGGCTTGGGTAACGGTTTCACTACGTCGACGGTAACTGCGGACTTTCTTGAGCCCCCTCTTGAGAGCATTTTCCTCGCATTCTCCCTCGGCATGATAATCCTGTTCGTCCTCGGTGCTCGCGACACTACGCAAATGGCTCGCACCACGGCGATGCAATTTGCGATAGATAGCGGAGAAGACGTGGTCACGGAATCTTGTGTTTGCAGAAGTGGTACCAGTCCCGCCGAAGGACGGACAAGGTGAAATTGTACCAGAAGTGGCCCCGTGCTGAGAAAGAGGGTAATAACCATATGGATTAGGCGAGGGTTGCCCAGATGAAGTCATAAACCGGGTCGAGGTGGGGGTGTTGCCGATGGAAACGGACGAAAGCGCGCGGCCGCGATGAAATTCATCCTCAGAGCGACGTGAATCATTCAATCGACTCATTACAAGCGAGTCGAGGCGTAAACCAGGCTTGACTAATGGTGAATGCGCCTCGGAAGGTGGCGTGTTTCCCTGAGAAGACAAGTCGGGAGTAGCTCGAAGTATGTCAGAATATGGCCAGAACATTAAAAAAGTGCTACGTACCAATATTTCCCGGCTTAGTCGCGATCAGTTCCGGGCTCGACGCCGTTCCACTTTCTGGACCTGGAGCCTGCAAGCGCCTAATTGGGCTGCGGCCCTTGATAGGTGTGAGAACAATTGGTGTATGACCTTGAGATGTAGTGTATCCAGACATGCCGGGACGACCACGAGGCGGTACTGCACCACCAGGAAGAGACCGGTAATACTCTCGTCTGCCTCGAAGCATCCAGCCTGGGAGGATGTGGGGATTACTATCAAGTTGAACGACTGGTTGCTCCTGCTCTCCTTCCTCTGTATCCTCGCCACTTGCGTGATGGGCCTCGTCGTCACGACGAGAACGCTTCGGCGAGCGCGCAGGTGATGAGACACGCTCGGCACGTTGCTTGGCTATTCCAGAGATCGGCAGACCAGGTGCCGTGCTTGCCTTTCTTAGTGGTGGCCGCGATGGAGAAGCATCTGGCTGGACCAGAGTGTCGTGGTCACCTGTCTGTCGAGGCTGATCTATATTGTCTGCAGTCGGGTGCGGAAGAGCAGCCTTCTCAACGCCATGCAAACCACCGTTGGCATGCCCTTCTTGCAAGGCAGGTGGAGCTGACGAGGTGCTTACAAGGTCATCATGAGGCGCCGCTGGAAGGCTTGCTTGCTGCTGAGAGGCGCCTTGCTTGCGTACTTTGCGATAGTTGACCAGCATCACGCCAAGATAGCGAGGGATGAAACCCAAGAGCGGAGGCGCCTCACTCTCGACGGCTTCGTAGAATAGATTCTCACGGGAGACCAGAGGCTAAACGAGATTAGAGCCCAACCACATTTGTTTGTGACGCATACCTTGCAGACGGCACGTTTTGTAAACTTGTAGATGGCGCTATGTCCACCTACTTGATTACGAAACGGCTTAAGAGGGACATTTGGGAGAGGAGGCTCGAGCTCGTCTAGAGTTCCATACGCGGCCTCGTCATTCTCGTCTGGAATGTCGAGATCATCTTCACGGACATCACCATGATCGCTATGTCGAGACAGAGACGCCCCGCGAGCGCCGAGTGTGTCCTTGGAATCTCTTCGACGCCTGGAACGATGTAGCACGGTGGAGTTGTGGAGATGCTCATGCGAGGGAGAAGTTGTGGTTGCGACAGATGATACCATGGACGCCGTGTCCCATGCAGACTCGGAATCGGAGGACCACGGTGACTCTAGGCCAGGGGAGGGGATAGAGGTATCCACACGTGGATAAGGCGGTGGTGGTGTCGTCTCTTGTAGAGGCGAAACTGCGCGAGGAGCCTGGGGGTCTGTCGTAGTGGCCGAAGAGACGTCCCTATTTGTATCAACCTCGATGAGGGATCCAACTTCTTCCTCGGCCAGGGAAAAGGTGACAGAGGGCTTTCTGTTGTGTCCGGGAGTCGACGCACGTTGCTGGCTCAAGTTGGACTGAAAGGTTTTGAGCGACGTCGTCGAGTCCCTTTTCGGCATAGGAGGGCGCTGGAGAATTGCAGGGTCCTTGCTGAGCGATGCAGAAAGAGCCCATTGCTCCTGCTCCTTTGCCTCGTCATCGGTGCCGAAACTGCCATTTCGCGAGCGTGTACGACCACGTTCAAACGTGCCCTGCCTCCAGTCGGCCAAATCTTTCGAGTAGTCCTTGGCGGATGAGAGCGACTGTTCGCGACGTGTCGCGTCCTTGTCAACGGAACGTCTCTCTCGATCGTTGTACGTAGTTGAAATGTTGCTCGTAGCGCGTCTTGCGCCAGTACCTATGCTCTTGCCCCGTCGTACAGCCGCCGCCTCGCGGTCGGGCCATGCCGCGCGTTTAACAAACTGCGTCTCACGAACTTCCTCCTCCTCTTCGTTGGGGGGCGTAAGTGGCAGCTGCTCTTTGCCATCGCCGGTCTCTCGACCGGCTGTCACCGTCGGCTGACGGGATGAGGACCGGCGTTGTTGAGAGTCGACATTGTCCGACTCGGTTTCCTTGAAGAGCTGGAGATTAGAGGCGACTTTTCTGCCAATATACGATGTTGACGGCACGGGTGGAGGTGAAGTGGAGAGAGTGGAAGACGATGAGCTCGATGATGAAAACGAGCCCTCTCTCGTCGGCGCTGGCGAAAGTCGTTGCGAACTCGCGGTATTGGGACTGATGAGTGAAGACGCGACTGCTGTCTGTCGGGCGGTCGAAATGGCCGTCGGAGCTGAGGGCGGCTGCAAGCCACTGGCCCAAGGCGTCTCCTGAGGGGACATACAGAGCTCGATCGCACGCCCAGACGCGTCTGTAGCGTAGCTGGAAGTCGTTATCGCCGCAGGGAACAGACTCGAAGCCGGCGCGGGCCCATGAAGAGCAGATGCTTGCAAAGGGAGATGGCCTCTGGCTGCTGACGGCGACGGGGACGAAACTGAGTCAGCATATGCCATCCACTGCCGCTGACGGGAGTTGTGACCGGTTTGCTGGAATTATTGCGAATATTCTCGAGACGAGGCCACACTGCGGTAGAGTCCAAAGTTTGTAGACTCTTGGTTCCGACACGCGTTGGACGTTTCGCGCGACACCAGGCTTATAAGTCGGTGAATAATCGAGTATGAAACCAAAACTACGAATAACACAACTTCCGGCGACGAAGGCATTTAGCCCACACACGTTCATGGCCTTTGGCGCACGTTGGGCGGCAATTTCCAGCCCCTAACACCCGATTTATTATCTTTTTGGCATTATTTTTCTCAAGGTTTAGTCCTATGCGACCGAGTCCGATCACCTGTTGCGGCCATTTGATTCTCCGCGGCCCATTTGGCCCTGCAATCAGCGCTCCTACGGTCTTTAGATGTACCAAAGACCCCTATACTCGCATCTCCGTCTCTTGATGCCGTTGGGACGTCCGACTGTGCTGACGGCCGGCCTATGACGCGGCTTTTCCGGATGATGACCAACCAAATGGCATAAATACGCAGCCGGCGCCGTTTTGTTGACCTTCTCTATCCTTTTTCAAGCTGGCTGCGGCAGCTCTTCGCCACCAACTGCGCTCGCGAATCGCCATCATGAGTTCCAGTACCTCGCTTCCAGCCTCTGGAGAGATTCCAGACTCGTTCATGGCTTCTCTCAAGGCCTGGTACGCACATTCGTCCTCTCTATTCGAATACTAACGTCAGCCAGGCTCTCGTCTGGCCAGAAACAAGCTCAGATCGCAGAAGAACGACTTTGCGGCGCATGAGCACCTTCAGGGGCGCCAATGAATCAGACACGACTGCGCCAATGTCGGCCAATGCTCGTGTCTCTCAGGTGCAACTCTCCGACAAATCTCGGTCGATCAACATGCTCTCCATTCAGCCTACAACACCAGCTACAACACCGGCCGCATCTACAACCGTTATTCTGCATGGCTATGGCGCTGGCTTGGGGTTCTTTTCGCTCAATCTCGACACTTTATCGACGTGGGTCTCCAAACGGGGACAACCCGTCTACCTCCTGGACTGGCTAGGCATGGGTCGTTCGTCTCGTCCAACGTTCAGAGTCACGGCAAAGCATGCCGATACTCATCAACGGGTATCACAAGCCGAATCCTTTTTCCTGGATGCGCTTGAGGAATGGCGCAATAAGATGAATATTGACAAAATGAACCTCGTCGGGCATTCATTGGGTGCTTATCTGGTGACTGCATACGCGCTCAAGTATCCGCAACATGTAGAACGTCTTGTTCTTCTCAGCCCTGCAGGCGTCAATGCTGGTCCGATAGCACTCTTCCAGACGACGAGCTTCAGAGAAGCAGATCGAACCCAGAACCCGAGGACGCGAAAAGCCAAGTTAGAGATGCAACCTCATCGGACGTTGCTGCTTTACGGAAAGAGCAGATCGATCGAGGTGGCAAAATACCAGAAAAGCAGAAAGAAAAGGAGAGCTTTGGACGACGCCTGGTAAGCAATCAAGATATTTCCTAACTCGTGGCAATAGTATGAGATCTGACTTGACTTGCTAGTTTGTTCATGCCTGGGAAGCGGGGTATTCCCCTTTTGGCGTGCTCAGAGCTGTAGGACCGTGGGCGCCGTCGCTCGTTGGTCGGGTGAGTGATGATATAGTTAACCTCCACAATTCCCTCTATTCTCCATACACATCCCCGCTTCTATCTGGAAGGATCATGGCGTCACACCGTGCCTAAGTCGGGAGTTTATCCCGGTGGCATTTCACTCGTTTTTCTATTACACGTTATATCTTGAGACTGACCTATCTGCCCCATATCTCTCTAATTTTAACCGACTTTTTGAAACCGCACACACCGCTACCGCCACTTGCCGCAATCACGTCCGCTTACGATTATCATCGGCTCGCTCCCCCCCATACAGTATAGCTCCAGGCGCTTCGCAGACCTTGAACCACAGTATACGCGGGACCTGCACGAATACCTTGTGCAAATCTCTCTCGCACGTGGCTCTGGAGAGTATGCACTTTCCCACATATTAGCGCCAATGGCGCACGCTCGTCTACCCCTCGAATATCGTGTATCCAAGCTACCCAAGACCCTGCCAGTCACCTTTGTCTACGGGAGCCATGATTGGATGGATCCCCAAGGTGGCGAGCGCAGCGTCAAGCGACTCAGAGCGAGTGGGAATAATGGAAGCAGAATGGTAATTGTTCCTGGAGCAGGTCATCATGGTGAGCATGCTTGAAATAACTACAAGGCAGACTGCTGACGAGATGCAACCAGTCTATCTAGATAACCCAGACTTTATCAACAAGCTTCTAGTCAAAGAGATGGATGCCGCAACCAGGAACTCTAGAGTCACCTTGACCTCGGCATAAGCGACTGTCGAAAACGACCCGGTGAATCCAGCGGCTCGCGATTCACGAACATAGATGATGCCAGTATTTATTTCACTTAATTATTCTTGCGTTTCATAACCCTTAATACAAGTCGTTGTGGTCTTAAAAGTCGGCCCTCATTCACCTCGGAAAGCCAGCCGGTCTGAATGTACCAGGTTTACGCTGTTCGTAGGCCATGCCAGAAGATGCCGCTGCGGAGGTGTGAGACCTAGAAGCAGTAACAATGGGATAGAAGTACCTCGCTGAATCGTTTGGCCAAACGAGAAATCGCGTTGAGCAGGCCGATTGGCTTGACCTTGCTGAAGACGAGAGCTTCCAACTCCTACAGCTACATCGGCCTGGTTTCTACCTGCCATCTTCCTATCAATTTCTCCACTATTCTCGCTTCCACGTGGGCTATCAGGGGGTCGACCGTCACTTCCCGCTCGACGAGGCCGCAAACCTCCTCCGGTAGCATTACCAATTCCATTAGCTCCCCGTGGAGGTTGCAAGCTAGTGGAGAGACCAGCAGTTGCATTCTCCATCTGGAAACGATGACTACCTTGTGCAGCTACCTGTGCTCGTCCAGACTTGCTAAGCGTAGCATGTCCGGGGGCCTGCCACCCTGAAGTGGTATTATTGGCGTACGCACGAAGAGGAGTGCGTTGAAGCTATATGTTCTCCTAGGTCAGGATCATCCCACTTAGAAATAGATAGCCGTACCCCTCCGACCTCCATATTGTTCACTACATCGTTGACAGAGAGGGATGCAAAACCTGCAAGACCAGGAGCGACTTGGCGAGGACGGGACGGCTCGTCTTGACGTGTATTCATTCCTTCGTTGGCTGTTTCGGTTGCCGCTGCTGAGAGGGCTTCAGGAGCGAGAAGGGCTTTGCGCTTGAGTTGATCGTATTGGCTCTGTAAATATGAGAAAAGTGTGCGAAAATTCGTTTGGATGACCTTGAGGCGTGCGTATTCCTTATCCCTCTCGCGTAGTTGCTCATGCTGTTCTCGGTTTTTGCGACGTTCGAGCTCGAGATCTCTCTCTAGACCTGTGAGAATTAAGTCGACGAATACATGGGAAGAATATACTTGCCTCGAATCTTGTCGTTGAGTACGGCGAGCTCGCTATTAGCTGGGCTTGAATGAGCAAATAGCCCAAGATGGAACCGTTCCTGACCTTCTCTAATGACACTGTCTAGCTGCTTTTGAACTTGTGCACTCTTGTCGTTGACACTCTTGAGAACAGCTTGCTGAAAGGCACTGGATAGTGTTTGAGCATTGTCCAGTGCTGTCACACTCAGCTTTCATGCCTCTCTTGTCTAGACTGATACTCCCAGAAGCTCATCGCCCTTTATACGGTGTTCAAGACAATCGTGATCTGAGAGGTGTGCTATGTACCTCTCACAGATTTGAAGGATAATTCCAGGTGAAAGACCGCTAAGAACAGACTAGAGCTGTGGTGAGCCAGAAGGCCATACGACCATAAATCGCCAAACCGTCTTGTAGTCATTTGTCGGCTGCAGAGAACAAACCTGTAATAAACCCACATATTCAGTGTAACGGGATGTCTAATGTGGCAAAACTTGCCACAATATCGTCTGGCTCTGTCAGTGAAGCTGAACAGGCAGGGCAAACATGAGCGTTCCGGAAGAGTTCATTAGCGCAGGAGACTAATATCGTCATTTTATGTTGGCGAGAGTTGCGATTGACGCGTAGTTGACGCGACATACCGCAGAAACAATGGCTACACGTCGTGACCACTGCCGTCTCTCGTAAAACGCTTCGACACGCGAGTTGATTGCATTTCAAATGCTCCATGGAGTTCAAATATCACGGTCCTACGGCTCTCGTTCAGCTGTCCAAAGTCGTATCGAGGTCCAACTGGCACGGCATGTTTGCTCGCGCTCATTTTCATTGTATTAGGAGCTCTACTGATCTTGTTCTACAGCATCGGCCCAGATATTTCGTAGTAGTTTCCCTACCGCAGAGTCTGCGGGCACGCGAGAGAAATACACAATACTCAGGCTCTCCTTGTATACTCGCAGGTATGGTGCGTACTGCCAAGAGTCAGTATGAGGTAGAAAGGAGCATAATTTGCTTACGTTGCGGGTAAAATGCCGGAACCAGCCCCAGGACTCGAATGTCTCCCATTCCTTCTTTGACCAGGATGCTCGATTGTTCCACGACTCTTCTGTAAGGACACTGTCGGTATCACTGAGAACAGTGACAAAGCCCTCCATAGTACGAGAAAGCACCGCTTTTTGATCGGCTACCAAGATGGAATGTGCGCGGATTTGCTTCCGCAACTCTTCACTGTCATCTGTCACTTCTAGCACACAGATTAGGCCTGTAGATGAATCAACCAAACTTGGACTTGCCGTCGACCTTGGCCGGCATGTCATCGACATCCATTCCATTGCCCGCAATGGTAGCCATCCTTGCGGCTCGGGTTTCTTCATCTAGTTTCCGCTGCTGTACAACTCGCCGCTGAGCGATGGCCACACGTCCATTGGATTTATCTAATGCGATGCGCATGAGCTCCCACTGGAACGTCCCCAATCCGTCTCCTTTATCACCCAAGCCTCCACCTTCGAACGCCCATGAGACCACGTCGGAAGGATCCACAATCTGGTATTGCATCAACTTGTCGAAAATGATCATAATCATTTGTCGATTCCTTCGCCAGAAACTACTGACAATCTCCAAGATTTCAAACTTGGCATCTGGTGTACTGGAGAGACCTTGAAGAACTTTGATGTATTTCTCGATGGCATTGAGGAAGTGTGAGAATGAGCGCGAGCCAACGACCAATAAACATTGAACGGCGATAGACCGTGTACGGCTCGCTGCTCTAGAGTCTGAAAGTCCTGAGCTAATAAGCTCCGTGCGCATGGTATCGATGTAGACGGATATTTCCGACATGACCGGACGGTTCTGAAGTTTGCTCAAGAGACCATCAGCTATCGCATGGTGCGAGTTATCTTGAGATGGGTTAGCATGAGCTCGCAGCGAGTCAAGGCGGCGAACCTGATGACTCGTATTCAAATTCATATCCCGGAGCCTCCGATGGCATGACCCCCGCCGTGGAACTCTGCATAGGCTCTGGTAACGTAGACATGATTCTGTCATAATATGACAGGCGAATCTCAAGCTCTAGCGCTCTTCTCATGAACGCCCGTTTTGGATGAGATTCATCTAATGCGAGGTCGGGTACCCTAGAACACTGGATCAGGGCCAATACAAACATCTCAGCATGCTCACCATTCCTTCCATACCCACTGGTACCCAAAGTTGCTCATGTGCACAGCAAACCAATCAGAAAAACGTCTCGCGATCTCAACATCCAAGCCTTCACCAAGGAAGGCATAGAGTTTTCGAACGGACTTTCCGACTGCAGGGCCGGTGGTTGAGGGTGAAAGTTTGCATATCTCTGTGATGAGCGCATGATAGTACACCGGCTTGTGTCTCGGTTGCGGCAAAACGAGCATGTTGCTCAGTATGGTCTGAATAGGATGTCAATGCATGACAAGACAACATCAAACTTAACGCACTTCCATGACAGAGAGCTCCAATTGTACTCCAATTGCCGCTTCTTCTGTTGGAGCCGTTCCTGGCCGAGGTCGATATGTGCCGCGAGTGAACCATCTAGCTACATCCAAGAGAATTCGGGCCCCCTCTTTTCTGTTTATTTCGTAGATGTCAACAATATCTTCGTATGTTGACCGCAGCAAATAGCCACCAGCGCGTGAGAAGTCAATACTAGGCTGTAAAATGTTAGGCAGTTTAGATGTGGTTAAAGCCCGTACCTCTACGTCAAATAGTTTGATCCATACGATAGGTAGTTCCCTGTGATGTACCACTTGTGCATTTGTCGAAGTCTCGTCCTCGACATGTGTGACTTCGGGAGGTACAAGTATCCCAGGAAGTTCAAAGGAAGGTTCCATGCCATGCAACTCTGGCAGATCATCTTGTGGACGAAGCAAGGTCGCCGGATACATAAATCCTTCGCCCTGGAGCTCACGGAGCGCCGAAACAAGACAGGCGACTTGCTGGCAAATCCATTATGAAATGACAAAAAAATTGGGAAAAAAGAGCTTACTATGTTTCCGCGCGGCGTGTTTGCATCATGAAGAAGTGCAACAGGGCTAGACATCGTCGCTGCATGTTTTGTACTGTCAGCAAATGCAGAGAGGCCTCTAGAACATTTGAGACTGCGCTGGAGTCATAGTCTTGAAGTATTTTCCCAGCCTACAAATGCTTCGGTTAATAGCCAGAGCGAAAATGCGTCACAGTCAGTGCTGACCCTCATGAGAGCCTCTCCTGCACAAAGTGCAGCCATGGCGGCTCGTTCATAGGAGACACCTGGTTCGTCTAGAACAGCTTTGAAAGCTAGAACATGCGAGAGCATGGAGGCTGGTGTTATAAGGCCGATTGTTGTAAGGTGCGCGAAGAAGTGCATCTGGTGGTGTCATTATATCTTCCCAAAGGCCAAGATTTGACTCACATATAGCCGTATATCTCTCCAGTGGAGCTTATCTAACTGGGTTTGGAAACCCTTGACAATATCCTCGCAGAGTTTGTTGGGCCATGGCGTGTCAACTGTCGCACCTTCAGGCCCTTTGACGAGACATAGTAGCGCAGCCCAGTATGGCATCTTGAAAGGTTGCTGAGTGATACTACCATGCGAATGAGAAATGTTCAAGTCATGCTCCAAGACAACATACCCAATTTGAAAGCCCTCAACGATTGCCATATAGTTTTCTGTGATTTCACTCTGGATATATTTCCACTTCTTTTCCAGAGAAGGTCCCACGACGAAGTTCTACCAAATTCAGTTGGCGCTGTTCGAAAGACTACATGTAGAACGAACCTCTTCTTCACCAAGATCGAATAATCTCCTGCGGACCAGTACGTTCTTGGGGATAGGTTCTTGAACATGTTGGTTCCCGTCTTTGCACTGTATGAGTCTACAAAGTCTTTCTTACGCTACACAAGCCTTACGGTTTCTATTTCGACCGCGTCCCTTGTAGTTTGAGTGTCCGTTATAGTTGTGGTGCGCCATTCTTGCCTTCCGAAATCTGCTCAGCAGTCGGCGAGCTCAAGCTTGTTCGACCAACGTTACCACTTGACCCTGACTATCGCCGTTGCACGCTGACAAACTCGCCAAGCATCTGTATTGACGACGAATAAATAAGAAATTCCCCCATAGTTGAACATCTACGGAGCGGAATCTGGTTGAGGTGGAAAGACACGCAAGTGGACATCTGAAGACAATCGTACCGACATATAGCCCTTATTTGCACTTATTCAGAGACTGAATGAGCGTAACCTCGCCTACAGCGCTATTTCTGACTCGTCCTCTCCGTGCTCGTGTTCGATTGAATGGGCTCATACCAAGTCCTATTTGTACATGAGAAAAATTCTAATAGCGACGCATTCTCGTATGATACATTAGCCCAATATTTACACCTCGATACCTTCAAGATTTGTGCCCAAACGCGGCAACTTTAGGTAGACGTCCGTCCCTATGCATTGTCAGCCTTGAATAGGAAGCAGAGTGTGCGTTCATACCCCATCCATCCATCGACATCAACTCGAGAGTCCCACCAAAGTAAGTAGCATAGATGTTGCTCAGAGGCAAGCCCATTCCCATGCGCTGTGGCTCCTCTTCTTGTTCGGCAACCTCTTCTTGCTCCTCTTGTGCTCTCGTGTTGGAGTTGCGAGCAGAAATCTTCTCACTCACTTTGCCCATCATACCTCCTTTGCGACGGCTAACGTGCTGAAGTGCGACTAATCTTGCGTCATCTAGTCGCGTTATATTGCGATGGTGTGAAAAGGAGTAGAGGTCGGAGGGCGTTTGGCGTTCGTTGAGCATCAACCCCCACCTGTAGAATGTTCAACTTGCGTGCGGGTGATAATATAAAACCACACCTTGGTCAGATATTCGAAGATACACGTCGTCCTTATCTGAAGAAATAGTAGCGCGAATGACTCCTGGGACTTTGTCTGGCAAGAAGCACATCTGGTATCCAGTCGCGCGTACGGCCTATAAACTTGAATACATGCGAGACAGCTTTTTTGTTGTCTCACGTTGAGTAGGAGCTCCAGGATGATGTATTCGAGGTGTTCCCGGATGTACGAAAACGTCGCATCGACCTCGCCATCGACAACAATCTCTGGAAGTTTGGGTAAGCTGCGTAATACTGAATCCTGACGAAGGCGATCCGCAATGCCACCTGGCGCGTCTGAGGAGATGAGCTTGATAAACTTGTCCAACGATCGCTTGACGTTTAGGCCCGTGAAAATAATCCCAACATTCTCCACACTCGTTTGGAATTTCTCCCTTTGCGCAAAGCCTTCGCTGAGCGCGAGGTGATGTTCCGCAAGTACTCGGCGAGAGATACGCGAGACAAGCATCCGACGCATAAACGAGTCCAACTCGTCTGGAGTAAGATGCGGTGAAGAAATCGAAAGACCGAGAGACAGAATGGGAATTGCAGCAGAACTACAACACCGGATCAGAACGAGACCTTCTGGTGGAGCTTTGGCATACTGTTCTTGGAGAATTTCGTGTAAAAATTCGCAAAACCTATCATTTCCCGCACGGTCGTTTATCTGAGGATAGTTCCGAAGCCTGAAGACGATTAGCGTCCCGGACTGGATGGACATGGTGCATACTTTTCGAATGCGGACCAATATAGCTGTAGGATGACTTTAGCAGGTAAAATAACATAGAGGGGGCCATACACTGTATATTTGCGCGACATGCTCTTCTGTAACCACCGCGTATGGCAAAAGCTGCATATCTCGGATCCGATGGGCGATACTAAAGACATAATGAGATAAATATGAAGAAATTTATGGTACGTACCGGACTGGAAGTTCTGTCCTAACATAGTTTGCACTCTAGGAGGTGTTGAGCACCAGACGGCATGAGGCGCCAGGCAGACCTTTATCAGACGATCCTCTGTCATCGAACGTCCAAAAAACACCTTTTATCTTGCTAAGAATATGACCAGCTCCATCTTTGGGGCGTACCAATTGCCGGAGCGAGAGTCGATGCGTCTTCCGATTCGCATACAGCTCTAATTGCTTATTTGAATAAAAGTGTGGAGGTCCTGAAGAGTATCCCCTTAAAAATGGTGACAATATTCGATTCGTAGGAGTGGTAGAGACATGTCGCCGAATGAACATGGCATTGGAGGAGGTCAACCACGGGAGCCACACAGAAGAAATAAATAATCCTTGATAAGTTGGCTGGAGTATACATTATAGGTATTGGTACATTCTACTCTCTTGTGAGAGAGATCTTTGATCTATATTCTCTTCTAATGTCCCGCGCATCCACGCAAAGAGCCCCTTTTTAGCGGGGCTGAATCGTCGGTTGTGCATAACCATCATCTGGATGAAGATATACTGTTTGTCCAGGTGGGGGTGCCTGAATGACAATCCGCTCGGGCACACCATCGGGACCAAAAGATACTGGTGGATATACAGATCCTGGGGCATAAGTAGAAGGAGCATAGGTCGTCCCTGGCATTGGATATGTAGGTTGATAGTGCCGTCGGTCTTCGCCCACCCAAGTGCCAAACCTGGCCATCGGTTAGTATGGGATCTCGCTCGGTGAAATAATGCGGAGTTACCATGGCAAGTCCGAAATAGATTCGTTCCATACTCGGCTTCCAGCCCCATGCGACCTCGCGCGAATGGTGAGGATGACGACAATGATGAACATCAGAACGACTGTCGAAAGTTAGAAGTGCATGACAAAGGGTTTACAACTCACAAATGCTAAACTCCGCCCAGGAAAATGCCATAATAACTTTCATCTGTTTGCAGTGGGTATCAGCTGGCACTTTTGGAATGTCAGTGGTCGGGCAGAGAGAGAGAAAAAAAATAACGAACTAGTTTTGTTCCTACCAGTATTGATAGGGTCATGAGGCAAGGAAAAGCACTGGACGCCTCCGATACGATCGCTGGAGCTACGTTAGTCTGGAACGGCTGCGCTATCCCTGACGAACACGGTGAAGCCTCCCATCGCAACCCACATCACGGAGAGCACAAATAGTCCAATCGCCTCGAAAGCAGGCGTTGACCGTAAAGAACTAGGTAGAACGTATCAGATATCTGACTTCAACATTGCCCCTTTCGACATACGTCGCAAATGTAAAGATGATGGTCATAGCGCTTACGACCAGAGCGAATATTATGAAATCACCTATAAGACCGATAAATGCGAAATGTCGGACGTGGGTATGAGGCTTACTGTCCCATGGCAAAAGTAGCGATGCGAAGTTCGAAGCAAGTCCCAAGACGACGCATCCACAAGCCCACATAAAGACTAGAATAAAACGCATAAGATTATATGCTCGAACAATACGCTGAGAATGGGAGCGAGGCCGGTGCGAAGCGGGTAAGATGAAACCGTTTGGAATGAATATGGGAGCGGCGCGGTAGTCAACGTACAAAGAACGAGAGATCGTATTTTTGAGAATATGCTCGAATTTCGGTCGTAAAACATAGCCATTGCTGCCAAAGGCGCCTGCCTCGTGGACGCAGAGTTCAAGTTAAGTCGAATTCAAATTCAAAGCCGCCCGTCATCGATGAACACACTCCATAATCCAACAGAAAACCGTGCACAATATGAAATACATGAAATATTTGTCAGTGTAGAAAGTCGAGATCCATCGGCTGTGACCGAAAGCAAAGGCGACTCGCCTCTGGGTCGTCCATAAGTCGCCGCAGCCGCCCAGCGAGCGCCTTGATCTTCTCTTGTACCACCGTAGTCGGAGATATCGATTCGCTGGAGCTCCAGCACTCGGCGAGCGCGTTGCGGACCGCCTCGACGGTCAAAAGCTCGAGTTGCGAGCTCGCATGGAGCGCAGCGAGGACATCCATAATTCGGTCAAAACCCATCGCCCATTGGGACACTCCAGTCTCTGGATCTGTCTTGTGTGAGCCGTCCAGCAGCAAATATGCAGGCGCGAGTTGGAGGTATGCCCTCAGGATTTCTTGGTTGTCACTATATGGACCACTGAGTGACGATAGACTTTTGAGAATCGTAAGGTTATAGTTCATTCTATCCCTATTTTAAATTCATCAGTTTGCAAAATCGTCCTCCAGTAGCTCCGCTCCAACGTACATTCGAGCGAATGGTGGCTAACGGCGGCGTTCGGCACCAACAATCAAATAATTTAAAATCTTATTGAAGATCTAGGCCTCCACAAGGCGCCCGAATTCCCCCGGTGGGGCTCACCTATTGCGAAATGATCGAGCTTATCCGGACGAGAGGAGAGCAAGAAATTTCAAGAAGTATCAACATGAGAGGCCTACATAATCAACTGGGTGATCCCTGGTGGCGTCGATCTGTCAAAGCTTTTACTTGCCGTGAGCTCTCATGATTGCATCTGAGATGTACGAGGCACTAATCTGGCGACCACCAAACCAGCGGCCGTCCAAATTGGCAACCGCACGCTTGGCCATATCGATCGAATCGCATTGGATATAAATCTCGCCCTGTAACCGGATGAGTCGATAGGATAGCAATCTGATCTCTGAACCTACCTTGGAGTCCTTTTCAACCACAATTTTTTCGACACGGCCCTGGAATTTAGATTCACATTCAGCAACAACATCTTCTTGCAGGTTCTTGTCCCAATCTGGATCAGTTTCCCTATCACACCGTTAGTTTGAAACCAAGGATTACTGCCTAGGTCCTTACTCAGCAGGATCAAACGCATTCTTGAGTAGGATACATCTCGTTTCCTGTGACTTGATATTGATTTTCGGCCTGAAAAGCTATTACTATAAGCCAAGAACGAGAAGAATCGAGCTCCTACCCGGACACTGGAAGGGGAATCTGTGGCTCATTCGTTCTAGCAAGCTTTTGCATCAGCGCCTGTCGGGACACGGCGTTCAGGTTACCGCCTATAGGACATGAGAACGATTCAAGTATGATCAATGTGACAAACCTCCTTCATCAAGGGATTCAGCAGTGTTTCCCATCGCACGCAAGCTCATGCCGACACCTCCAGGAGCCGCAACACCCTTTTCGTGTACAGTGTTGACTCGGAGCTAGCGGATCGTAAGAAAGTGGCGTAAAAGAGAAACAAATACCGACCTGGCGACCGGCCAGCTCAAATCCGTCCATTTGCTCGAGCGCCATCTTGGCGTCCTCAGGACGACGATACCTTTAGAGATGAGAATATGGATCCATCGGATGATTTCTACTCACTGAATGAAACAATAACCTTTGCTGCGCCCCGTGGCTGGATCCCTATGAAGATCAACGAATTCAAGTTCGCCAAACGGCTCGAAAACCTGCTTGATCTCTTCTTCGGTGAGCTGGAAATGGAGAGAACCAACATAAAGCCTGAGGAACTGTTAGTCATACATTCGAAGGATACGGGTACAACGTACTGCATAGGTCCGTGCGAGGTTGCTGTGACTCCAGGCGGAAGATTCAGGAGACTTAAATAGTCAGCACAAAGTACACATCAAAATGGGAACAACTTACTCTCCGGAATGAATACGATTACGCTCGGCTTCGGTGAGCTGAACTTTGATTGGAAGACCCATGACGACAGTTCCTGTGAGAGCAATAGCCTTCGAGACGAGATCCAAACTACGCAGCTCAACGTAGCCAATGCTATCAAAGGAGTGAGACATGCGCAACTCTGGATGCTTATACTTACCCCTTCGAACGTCTGGATAAGCGATCTGTGACTATACGTGCGTCACGAACGGCGCCATCACCCAGCTTTTCCTCGAAAAAGTAGCCTAGGTCGCGTGCAGTTAGGCGAGCTGCGAGTTGGGTGACAAAGACAGAACGCTGCTCTGAGTCTCCCGCTTCTTCTTCGTTGAAGTCTTCCGTAGGTGGTACGTATTTGGGAGAAGCACGGCTATTTACCATTAGCGTCACTGCAAGCTACAAACAGCCTTGGAACATACCTTGGACGACGATCATAGTCACGACGCCCGGAATCTTGATGCCTGTCACGTCTCCTCCTGTCAGAGTCCCTCGACTGATCCCGCCGCTCACTCCTGTTGGGCGAATCGGCTTGGTCTTCTTTCCTACGTTTTCCCTCTGGGGCTCCCTCGTCTCCATCCTCCCGTCTTCTCTTTTCGCGGCGGTCGTCATCGTCCCTGCGCGAGTCGCGGTCACGGCTGTAGTTTCTCGAAGAACGATAGCTACGGTCTCTGTCGTCCCTATCCCGGTCTCTTCTCTCGCGATATCTGTCGTCGTCTCGATGTCTGCGGTCCCTCGAGCGATCTCTGTCCCGGTCTGACCTGCGACGGTCTCTGTCTTTGTCACCACGATCGCGGTGCTCAGAGTAATGCCTGTCTCTGTCTCTATCTCTGTCGCGTCGGTCGCTTCCCCGAGAACGTGAGCGGTGAGATCGCCTGCCGCTCTGGGAGCCGTTTGCAGAACTAAGGTCAAAGCGCTGTTAGCAAAAACGCCACAGGATGGGTCCATGATACGCACGACTTGACCTCTGACTGCTTGTCTACTTCCATACCTTCGGTCGACATGAATTTGGTGGCAATCAGACTTTGCGCTCGACGAAGTCGGGTCTGAGTTTTAGTACCACTTTGCATCTAGTCTCAACACTTTGGAACCGCAAGGAACAGCTATGTTTAGACTCGTTGCGATAGAATTCAGCGTTCATATTCTCCTAGGTAGTAAAGGCACAAGGTGTAACGTTCGAGCGTCTCACCGGGAACCCAGAGGTTCATTAGAACAGAATCCGAGATGCTTGGTCGTCTAATACAAAGCTCTTCTGACCCAAGTATCGACTTTGAGACGACCGCCAAAGGCGTGAAAGTATAATTATGAAAGAACGGTGGACGAGGTGACCTCGTTACGACACCGATTAATGTTCAAGAGAGAGACCTTGGGACGATTGGTAGCTTTGGCGCAATGGCGTTGGCCTGTGAAGTGTTTCGCTTCTTCTTGACCTCTGCTTGTCGCATAGCGAATATCTGGCGATTGAGAACATATTTCTGGTGTGTCGGTGGGCTGTTTGGGGATGAAAACAGGGCAGCCGGTGGTGTCCTGGACGATGAAGAGGGAGATGTAGAGCTGCTTCCGCTGGCGTTGGTACCACTATTTGACCCTCCCATTGCCCACCCAAGCCATGACGTTGATGATCCCGACTCTTTCTCTTTCTCCTTCTCCGCTTTGGCTGCTTCCTCCTTCTCCTTTTTCTTCCTCTGCTTGTCTTCCCACTCTTCCTTAATCTTCTTCAGTTCATCCTCTGACAATGTCACCTTTTGAGATGGTGCAGGATCAGGTGAGACAGCCGTAGCGAATCCAGTGTCGCTGAGGTGTGAATCGCATGTATAGAGGAAATCTTGCGGGTTCCAGAGCACTGTCCGAGTTTCTCGATAACATCTGTGAATCTATAAGATTGCGCATAATGATAATCACGTACTCACATGAAGCAAGGCTTGGGAGTTCCAACAGGCTGTCATAGTCCAAGGCGCCTCTGGTTGAGTTCGAAGTCTAAGTAGACAAACTACCCACTCACTCGTTTATAATACATATTTTGTAGAGGTGTTGCTTGAGGCTGAGTCGCCATTTTGGGTCTCGCTCGTGGTGGTCAAGGCGCAAACTCTTTGACCCTGCAAACATCCACGATGAGCACCCAAGGACAGGTATTGCGACCTCTGGAAGTTGGAAAACAAGGTCTAAATTCATTCTTTTCAGACGATCACTTGCAAAGCCGCGGTCTGCTGGGAAAAGGGATCTCAGCTCTCCGTCGAAGAGATCCAGGTCGAACCTCCTAAAGCCGGCGAAGTCAGAATTCAGATTCTTTACACTGGAATTTGCCATACGGATGATTATACGAGGAGCGGAAAGGACCCAGAGGTATTGGCGTCATCGCAACCCATCCAGTGGCTTTGGTCTCTGATGCCGAATACAGGGAATATTCCCAGTCATTCTCGGTCACGAGGGTGGTGGAATCGTGAGTCTGTACCCTGTTTACCTGGAAAACGCTGACAAGCCCTCATAGGTCGAATCGATAGGCGAAGGCGTTACGAGCGTACAAGTTGGAGACCACGTTATCCCTCTGTACACAGCTGGTATGTCTTATTGGTTTATATGGACCTACTGTGATCCGTAACAGAATGCCGCGAATGCAAGTTTTGCGTGTCTGGAAAGACAAACTTGTGCAGCAAAGGCAAATCGCATGTTTCTGAGCCTTATTAAGCTGATTGAATCCTTGTAGTTCGAGAAACTCAGGGTCGCGGTGTGATGCCTGATGGTACCTCTCGCTTCAAGTGCAAGGGTCAAACCATTGCCCACTTCGTGAGTGCCTCCTTGTACGATACCATTGTATCCTTACACTTTACTAGATGGGTACCTCTACTTTTTCTCAATACACCGTAGTGGCAGAGGTATCCGTTGTCCGTATCGCTCCAAAAGCTCCTCTCGACAAAATTTGCTTGCTTGGATGTGGGATTCCAACCGCATACGGAGCAGTACACAAACTCTCTGGAATCAGTTTGTATTCCCCCAAGCGATCTATCCTGCCTGACCACCTCCAGAGGGATCCACGGCCGCAGTCTTTGGTGTCGGAGCCATCGGTTTGGGTGTCATCAACACGCTCGTACAAGATGGAGCATCACGAATCATCGCAGTCGACGTCAATCAAGGAAAACAAGCATGGGCAACAAAGTTTGGTGCAACAGACTTTGTCAATCCAACGCAGCTGGATGGAAAGCGGATCCAAGACCACATCATTTCCATGACCGACGGTGGCGTCGATTTTTCGTTTGACTGTACTGGGAATGTCCAAGTGATGAGGGCCGCACTCGAGGCGTGCCACAAAGGCTGGGGAGTGTGCACCATCATTGGTGTCGCTGCTGCTGGAGAGGAAATCTCCACGCGTCCGTTCCAGTTGGTCACCGGACGTACTTGGCGTGGAACGGCATTTGGCGGGATCAAAGGACGCACAGAGCTTCCAAGTATGGTTGAGGATTACCTGGCCGGAAAGCTCAAAGTGGACGACTATATCACTCACCACCGGGCTCTTGCCGATATTAACAAAGGTTTTGATGACATGCATAGTGGTGAATGCATTCGTTGCGTGGTCGACATGGCTTAAAACGTAACAAGCGTGTAACGCAATACTCAAAATGAAATAGTATGATGAACAGACCGCACGTACAATAAGTATGAGCTATGCAGATTAAACACCCTTTTCAGCCATGATGCGAGGGGCATGTGTCCCGGTAATCGCTCTCCATACGCCGCCTAGAGCCAGATAAACTTCGCGTCGTCTGATGCTGGTTCGCCTCCAGATCGACTTGAAGACGATCAAGAAGACGAAGAGGAAACTGAGGTCTAAGAATAGCCGCCGGATGACCACAAGTAATGGTGAACGCTCGTCACTCTGAGCCAAGAAATGGGCAAAGGCTTTGAGATTGGTCTCAAGACGGGAGAGCGGTTGGAGGACAAGTGACCAGGCTCCCATGTTCGATGGATCCCATATAGGCCATGTCGGCCCAGAATTAGCACCTCGTTTGGGAGATGAGCGGCGTAGACTATCGTAGGAAGAAGGTAGGGAGACACGAGAAATTCCGGGGGGACCTCTCTCGTTGAGACCAAGATTCGTTTCCAAACTCTCCAGGCGCTCGTGTAGAGCAGCAAGAGAGGCTTGCATACTCTCTACTGCGCGCTCTAGCGTTGGGCGCTGTTGTAACGAGCCTTGCTGCTGATGTACAAAGGCACGCTGGAACGAGGGTGTTCCCCGATACGGACCTTGAGAGGCTGTTGGTAGACGAGGGGAGGGAGTCGGTTGTGATCCACCAGTGAGCTGAGGTGCAAGCGTCGTAGGGTAAGCTGTAGGCGGAGCGGCAGGTTCAGATGGGGCGTAGGCCGAAGCTGTAGGATGTTCGGGAAGGACTTGCATTCCTGGCGTACCAATAGGGGATAAGACATGAGGCGGAATAGGTGCGTTGATTGTGGAGCCAGCAAGTGGTGTCCGATATCGGTTTTGTGAGGAAATAGCAGAGCCTGGTCGTCGTATTTCGTTGACGGGCGGAGAGTGTTGGCGTTGATCGTAGACTTCATCGGTCTCATTCTCCATTTGATAAGGTTCGTTAGATTCTTCGTTATCGGCTTTGACTTCGTCTTCATCGGTTTCCGAGTTGCTGGTTTCGCTATCGGTTTGAGCGTTGCTCAGCGTACCTGTCAGTCTGTTAAAGAATAATCGATGTATGTCAATCCTCTACTCACCACTCAATACTATCGAAGAAGGGTCGCCATAGGATTCTAGCTCCTGGACTAGATTTCTGGCTATCGTTCTGTCCGAGTATTTGCGCAGGACCTATCGTTACCACTTGAGTGCTATCCAGTTTTTCATATCGTCTCTACGTTACCTTCATCAAAGTCTCTACGTATTGCCATTTCGCTTCTCTGGCACCCAGATCCTTTTGCTTCGCCCAAGAGTCCCACTTTGCCCGTCCTAACATGTCAAACATGCCTAGACACAGCGTAAGCTCGTGATATTCGCCCCTAAATCGGCGAGCAGTCGAACGAGTGAAACAAACATACTTGGACGAGGCCCTTGTACATTCCCTACGGTGGCTATCTCCCATGTCAGGATCTCACATAGCACAAAATGAGTCAAATCGCATACCCTGTTTGTAGAGGCTTGATACAGTCGTCAGCATTGGCGCCTGCATGCTCCGCCGCGCGACTCACCTGTACATTGCCAGCTTTTCCTCGTATCCGGTTTGTATCGGACCATTCTTTGGGAGACTATGAGTCCATGAGTAGCTACCCAGCCAGCGTTTTGGAGGTCGTTTACCTCTGGACGATCTCAACCGCCTTGTCAAACTGTCTACAAGTGATTTTTGAGCAATCTCATTGCGTTTGGGCGTGTTCTGACATACACGTCGATAAAGTCCTGAGCCATGAGGGGGGAATGGACGAGGCCAAGTTGTGAATTCGAGTTAGGCGGCTATAGCCGGCACTCAGAAGACCGTAACTGCTGCGTTTGATCATGATAGATTAAATGATAGAGTACATTATCATGCTGCAGAAGTATGCTAAGAGATCCGGGGCTGGCCGTTGACAACTTTCCAAGTGTATTTTAGACCGCCTCTAATCAGCTCGTCTCGCTCGCTAACTGGTTTTCCTAGTTGAGAGTCGTTAGCGTGAGTTTCTGAAACTACTATCAGCCCTCTTACCTTTCCAGACGAGTCGTCCCCAGGCTTTTCCATGTGTGCCATCAAGCTTTAGCTTTGTGCGTGTTACTTCCCAGTAGGAGCCATGAATTCCCTTTGCATCCCATCGACATTGAGCGAGTCGTGCACCGATTCCATCCCTCGGAAGTCTAGATAACGCTCTGTAAAGCGTCGTTGGATGTGGGTTGATTGTAGTTGTTGCATCCACAGTAATTGGCGGTATTAGCTTGACTAAAGACTTTGGAAGTGCTGCAGCCATGGCTTATTCGGTGGAATTGGTCAGGTCGAAATGCTGGCGGCCCGGGATGCGGCACTTGCTTCCTGCCACGACAATCCCCCACAAACGAGTCAGCATGTCAAAGGTTTCTAGGAGTCTTTTTTACTGCTACACTCATCACTAATACGACCACAATAGCCTTGGACTCGTCTGATCAGGTGCACAGCCAGAGGACATGGAAACAGAGTCTTCTTGGGCGAGCCTATAGACCCCAAAGTGGACGGTGAGTCATTCAAGTTCTCTTTGAAGTCCTTGAGTCTCATATCATGTTCACACAGTGGGTCTTGCTCTTCACAATGGAAAGGATGTTCAAGTATATGAAATCTCTGGGAGCAGCGCTCTGGATCCGCATGCTCGTGTCACCTCCAATATCCTAACAGTTGCAAAACTGTTGACGCCTTTGTCCCGTGACGAAGTGTAAGTTCTTGCCACTTGTACCGAGATTTCCACCGAGATTTCCAAGCCCGGTGGTCCGAGCACTCGGTCTCAATTACTCGGACCATGCAGACGAAGCGGCACATTTAGCTGGTCGCGAAAAGGTGGACTTGCCAAAGTGAGCAATTCGGCCCCCTTCATGCTAGAACTGACCCCGTACAAGATTCCCTATGCTATTCTACAAGGTTTGTGGGCCATTCTATTGTTTCTCTGGCTCACACAAGAGTCTTTAGCCCTCAACGTCTCTCATCCCTTCTGGAGACCCAATCGTGCTTCCGTCTGTCGTCCGTCCATACGCCGAACATCTTCCCGACTACGAGGTCGAGTTGGTAATTGTCATCGGTAGAGATACTAAGAACGTCACGGAGGAAGACGCATTGGACTATGTGTTGGGCTATACAGGGGCTAATGATGTATGTGTGCGGATACCTGCTGGCAAGCTCTCTGACCAATTCCCAGGTATCCTTTAGGAAGTGGCAAAATGCCATTCCTCAATGGGGATTCTCAAAGAGTTTCGATGATACAAACCCCTTAGGACCCGTCTTGGTGAGCTTCGTCTGGGCCGTCACCTTTCAGAAGCTGAACCTACTTCAAGGTCTCCAAGCACGCACTACCGGACCCGCAGACTATCTCTTTGAAAGCCGTGTTCAATGGTCAGCTTGTTCAGAACGGGAACTCGAGGCAAGTGGCAAGGACGAGAATCCAATAGTGTCGCTCATGCATGTACAGCAAGCAAATATTCAACGTTCGTAAAACGATATCCTTCCTCTCGCAATCGACGACTCTACCAGCCGGGACAATTATCATGACTGGCACGCCCGGTGAGCCTTAGCCACTTTGCGCAACCACTCTACTTATAAACATTGTAGCTGGCGTCGGCTTTGTACGTCGGGAGAAGCTGTGGCTCAAGCCAGGAGATGAAATACGCTGCGAGGTTGGTGGTGGGATTGGGACGCTGATTAACAGCGTGATTGAAGAAAAGCCAAAGTCCAAGTTGTAGATTAGACAGACACGAGTGCAAAGAGACGATACCCGCTAAATGCCGATCCAGGCCACCACTTCGACTCTTGAGCTCAGCGTCGTTGCCTGAATGTGACCGAGATGCCCAAGCAAAATCGTAAAAAATTAATGAACTAGTGCTTTGTCATCCAGATTGTATTTTCTGGTATCCGTAAGTCGTATCGGATCCTCGGGCTGAATGCATTATCTCTGGAGTCGACCACGACAAACGGCGGACGTGATCGAGCATCACACGCCTTTATTCGACTTCCTATCTGTCCTTTGAACATATATCCATGTCCTGGGACGGTCAAGACCGCTATGGCAGAGGTAGCCCACCAAGGGACGAGCGTAGGCGAGACTCAAGATACGGAGAACCCACGTATGGGAGCTACGAAGACTCTGTGCGTGATTGGGAAGAGCAGGAACGTCTCCGTCAATGGGACGAGTACGAACGCGCTCGCATGGACTGGGAACGACGAGTAAACGAGTATAAAGGCGGAGATGGCCACCGTAATGGATACTGTACGTTCCTCCTGCCCTTTTGTCCACGTTGATGTTCTGGCTAATGATTTTGCGTGTAGACAGCGGTGGAAAGCGACCTCGTTCCCCTTCTCCGTACGAACGAGACGCGCGACCGCGTCGAGATAGCTATGGTGAGCAAATAACGGTGTAGGCGCCTTCTTACGTCGCATTGTAGATCAATATGGACGTGGAGGACGATCGCGCTATGAAGATGGGAGACGCTCACCAAGACGTCGTTACTCTCCCGATAACCGATACAGAAGAGATTCTAATCTTCCGAATCCGATGGATCAAGACAAACTCGTACCCTACCGCTCATTTCTCGAGTGGTATCGTGATGCCGCACCAGACCGCTTCTTCGAAGACGAGGCTGTAACAAGAGATAATCCGTCAGATCGTAAAGTGGGTCTCAAAGCGCGCTACGACGAGTTTAGAGCAGACTTTCAAGCAAAGCAGGTATGGTAATGTGTGCTAAATTGCATAAAACTTGGCTCATATACTCGCCTCTAGGTTCACACATTATTTGAAAAGCATCACAAGGCAGCCTGGTTTTTGGAAAAGTACGACCCAAGCGAAAAATATGCCGACCTTCGCTTCCGCGTCCGCAAACAGGGATGGAACGGCGCATTGGACCAGTTCATATCAGAACTCGAAGATGGCAAATTCGATTACATCTTCAACGTGGGGAGTTCGAACCCAAATGAGCTCAAACCTGATGTAAAACCAAGCGAGGCTACGTCCTCGGCTGAGAAGCCCGTGAAAACGGAAGACGATGAGGATGACGGAGACGACGACGCGGAAGGGAAAGAAGGCGACGGCGACGATGTGATTATTCCTCACAAGGGTCACCAGGTTATGATCAAGAGCATCCCTCCGGAGATTGGTCGCCTTGAGCTCGAGCCTCTCGTCGATAAACTGAGTGGTGTTGCATCATTGGCCCTTGGCGAGCCAGTCGCAAGAAGAAACTATTATCGCTCAGCATGGATCGAATTTGATACTGAGCAAGCAGCTCGAGACGCAATGGAATTTCTCTCCGGTCAGGAGGTGCGTTGCCCAAGAGTTTCGTCGCCCAATTGTATTGACTTTCTCCCAGGTTGACAACTTCAAACTTCGCGTCACTATGATTCGCTCTCCCCTCATCGCCAAGATTAAGCGCACTTCCGTACTCGTCAGCAGCGAGCGGCGACTCGAAGAGGACTTGCATACTATTAAGCGCTTGGTGGCACTCCTTGAGAAAGAGAGCCACATGCTCGCCAACTACAAGCCACTATCACAAAGGTCGACAGATGATACTGGAGGCGACGTGAAAATGGAGAGCCCTGTCAAAGAGAGCACCGGCGATGATGAACAGACGATCCATAGAGGAGCAAAAGCGGTCGAAGCTCGGCTTGAGAGGCTGCTCCCACCTCCAGACAGTGAAGAAGCCAAATCCCAGCGAGTATGTATACCTCTAAATCCTCCAGTCAGTGTATTCATTTGCCTTGCATCTGCGTCCGTCTACAGCTTTCCATGACTGTCGACCTGTATCTTGCATACCTCCGCTCTGCATTCTTCTGTTGCTATTACTGCGCCGTCATCGCAGACCGAGCAGATGAACTCCAGCGGAAGTGTGTATCGCACATCAGGACTCCGTTCAATGAGCGTGAGATGACCGAGATTATGCGCAACCAAAAGCGATCTGGTGTGTACCTTTTCATTCCGAGCTATGATTGTGACACTTATGATTGGTAGATCGGGAGGACCACTGGTTCCTCTTGCATGACGAAAAAATCGAGGCGCTTGTCGATCGGGATTCAGTTGACCCTACACGCTTCGGAGGCAAAAACGTTGAAAAGTAGGTCGCATAGATATTCTTTGAAGGTGAACTCTCATCTTTGTCAGGGAACTCGAAACCAAACTCAAGGATCAGATCCGCCAAGAAGATGAAAATCGGTTCCGATGCGTGACTTGCGGCAAAATGTTTAAGAGCACAGGCTATGTTTGCAAACATATCTTGAACAAACATCCAGAACTCATTGGCGAGGAGTTTATGAACCATGTAAGTTGTCTTCCTGTTTCTGGGCTGGTATTTACAGGTCTCCAGCTTCGTATTTACAATAATTTCGCACTTGATCCACATCGTATCCAAATGCCACCCAGAGCTCCGACAGGGGCACCTGGACGAAATGGACGGGATGGTGGACGAGAAGATGGACGTCATAAACGAAGAGCAACAATTGATACCTCGGAGAATGCACGACGAAAAAGTCCTCCACCTGACGCAAAGATTGACCCCCGTGCCGGCCAACGGATAACGTACCAAGATCTGGACGAGGTTGCTGGTGGAGAAGATGTAGCACTGATGTACTGATATCTGTCTCGAATCTATCCCAATTTGTGCAAAACTTGACTAGCTACTCCCGTCAACCCTTGTTGAACTCTGCCATGTCGGCCCTTTTACCTGAAAAACCGGCCGCAGCCTTGCCGCAGTCGGCAAGAGCGATTGCTCTTCTTCTTGCATCGACACCCTCCGTCGTAGACGCTCCACCCCGCGTGCTGCAGATGTTGATGGAGTTTGCGCACCGTTACACGGTCCAAGTCCTCATGGACGCGCAGGTGTTTGCAGAACACGCTGGTAGACCTGGTAGAATCATCATGGACGATGTCACGTTGGCTATTCAGGGCAAAGTGGGCTTTGAATTCGGCGGGCGCGTGCCCAAGGAGGTGTGTTGAACCACTACCGCGAGTGCATCGCGCCTGACTCTTTCATTTCATCAGTATTTGCTCGCAATGGCAGCTTCAGTCAATGAAGAGCCGCTTCCACCTGTCCAAGAGGCCTTTGGCATTCGCCTTCCACCGCCCGAACATTGTCTCGTGCAGCCCGACTTTGATCTGATACCCAATGCGCCACCGGAAGAAGATCCACTATACGAAGAGATTGAAGAAGAAGTCACTGACGACGAAGAGGATATTGCGGAAAACGACGAAGAGGACGAGGACGATGTCGAGATGCAGGAGGCGGCCACAAATGGCGTGCGTGCAGAGAATGGGATGGATATCGATGCGGACAAGGAAGGTTCAGACTTGTTTGACGGCGACGAGGATGAAGGTGCAGCCAAGGACGTCAGGAGGCCCGTCAACGACGACGATGATTACGATTGAGATGACGCAGGCAGCTTGCAAGTTATCCAAAACGTCCATATTGAGAAAAGCTACATGAATACACGGCTACGTTTAAGATACGCCTCGACCAAAATGAGAACCATGGGAATCAAGCCGCAATAACGCCAGCGCTCTTCTAGATTATTGCAGGACGAGGTATCGGGTCCCGGAGGAGATGGAAAATCAGTGAAAAGGAAGAAAGCTAAGATCAATGAAATGGCACAAAAGATATCCAGGGTAACCCACCACGTCGGAACGCATCGCCGGGCTCACAATGCAGGCGGTGGCGGACCGGCGGCTGGGTAATGTGAAGCGCGTGATCCCGGAGGTGTAGCATTGTAAGAACCCTGCTGATAATTGGTAGATTGGCCATACGAGTGATGGCCGTTGGTCGCAGGAACTCCGCCGCGCACAGCGTCAAGCTCGGATTTCAGCGACTCAATCTCGCGAGCCATATCATGCTGCTGACCGCGTAATTGATTGATATAGTCGATGGCTAGAATCCCTCGTCAATTCGGGGCCCTGACAGAATCACATTCGTGCACACAAACCTTTGCTCAGAATCTCCCACTTGCTCGATTTCATCCCACGATCTGCTGGCAGATTGTCTCGAAGTTCGTCAAACAAGTCCTTCATCTCCTTTCTTCGCTTGCGCTCCGCCAGCTTATGCGAAATACGAAGCTCCGGAGATCGCGAATAGGGTGTAGCCGCCTCCTTGGGTGCGACGAGCATGCCGGGAGTTGAATTGGCGGATACGGGGGTTTGTTGCTGTTGCTGCGGTTGCTGTGCCATCGCCATGTTCGGGTCACCATAATGGTCGTTGGGGTTGACGAGGGTGGCCGTGATTTGCGGCACATGTGGAGGAGTAACATTTTGATTCGGTAAGCCCCTCGAAGGTGGACGGGAGCGCGACCGAAAGTTGCGCACAGCACCCGCGGCAGCGAGCGCTGCATCGGGGACAGACATGCGTCTATCATACGGGGACGGTCCATGAGTAGAGGCAGTTGGCGTACGTGGGTCTGGAAGTGTAGGGAAGGGTCGGGCATTGGGAGGCAAGGTGTCTGGGAGCTGAGGTTGAGGGGTTCGCTGGTTCCACTGTTGCTTAGAGTCTCCGGAGAAGGAACTAGCATATCCTCCCATACTCGAGGCGGATGCGTTTGAATAAAGCGACGTAGTCGAGTCCCGCCTGTCCCACCAATTGGGACCAGGAGGCACAAACCGAGCAGAGTCGACTGAATCTCTGCGCTCATTCAGACTCATCTGAGCGATTACTCTCGTGTCGAAAGCAGACGCTCGACGCTTGGGCGGCTCAGGCTCCATGGGTGACCGATATGTTTCTGGGGGATATTCTTGTTCGACAGGCGTATGACCGTTGAAAACCATGGAACTGTGTGATACCTTGCGCGATTTGTTGAGACTCGGGTGGAACGGAGACCGTGCATTGTGAGCGCTGGGGTCTGCCTGAACATGATGCGAATCCGACGATTGGAGGGCTGCGATGGAGTGGCGACGCATGTTATAGTCGAAACCATCTGGGAAATGATCTCTTGAAGCGGATTCGTGGTCTAGAGGAAGTCTTGGAGGCCCATAGAGGCCTGGTGCGGGTCTGGATTGTTCCTGCTGCTCCATGTCCATTTCTGGGACGAGGTCGCGCTCCGCAGATTGATCGTAGGCTGTTGACAGTTTGTTAGCATGCTTTGAGCCACATGGAGGACTTGACTTGGGCTCCCCGGCGGCAAAGTCTGTTGGCGATGACCAACAAGACTCGCTTTTAGGGGGCAAATGGACAGGCAAAGAGGAAAATAACCCACTAGAGGATGTTCTGGGATATGGTGGTGGATTTCCAAAAGAAAAGGGAGATCCTGGACGGCCTGATGGCACCGGTCGTCGCGAGGCCTGATCGACAGACAAGGCCGGTAGCTGGGGCTTGTATCCAGGAAAACTGCCGTTTGGATCGTGCGCGAGCGACGTCGCGTCCGTCGCAAACGACGCGGTCGAGGGCTTTGAGAAATCCAGGCTGGTCAACGAGGGCAGGGACCAAGATGTAGTACTCGACACGGGCGAGCTATGCTCGTTGCTCGACATGGCAAAAGACTAACTGGCGTACAGGCGGGCTTGGATTTGTCTCTGTCCTTTTAGTACTCACCCGAGTGGCGACGACCAAGGCGAGCGAGGTGGGTATCTACGAACCCCCCCGCGCGAACCAGCCAAACGTATGCTATTTACGTTGGCAGCACAAGCCTTTCCGCAAGGAGCGTCCCTCTCCCCTCGGTACTCATCCATCCCCATCCTCCGTGCTCTCCCCGGGCCATTTCCATCATATACGGCACATAGTCCAGAACGCACCCCTCTGACGGCAGCAGACACCCCTGGAGCGTAATCTTCTCATCGAGTGCTTGAACAATCCTCGCTTGATACTCCCTCCTGCGTGTTGCAAGCTGCATGCTGTCTTCCAGTCCCGGGACAGACTCTCCCTCTCCTGATACCATCTCGACAGCACGGGGGACCACTCCCCGTTTAGCCAACTGCACGGACCCACGTTGCTTCAGCTGAACTTCTGCGTGGGACGCCACCCACAATGCCATGTCCTCGTCGCGTGGGCAGAGCACAGAATTGGCGACCTCCTCCGGCGCCGCTACCTTGCTCAGCAGCATGTGGCCTTGAATGTCGTCTCCAGAGGGTCCGTATCTGTCAATCGACTGCGCCTGTTCACAAACAGCTTATCAGCGCCGACAACATGGGCAAAGAAGCACCCGACCTCTAAAGTAACCTTTGCTCGCCTATCAATCAATGCATCACTCAGTGATACGGCATCCAAAGCGACTCCCAGCGCTCTCAGTTCATCCATCTCCTCATTCGACGATTGTGGGCGATATCGCGTGTCCTCGGGCGTTACGGCAGACAATAGCGCAACGTCGTTATCTTCGATCCGTTCGCCGGTGTTGTTCACAGCGAGGTGGAATTGAAGTGCATTTATTGCCTTCTTCAGATCGTGCTGGAACAGCGGCTGCTCTGAGGGAAGAGGATGCATCGGCTGGTCTGGAATGTCCACTTTGATCGGATAGTATATCGAGCCCTCCATGCATGCCTGGGTGCATTCTCGTTTGACGAGCCGGCCCTCGGCAATCGCGATTGCTTGAAGGTAGGAGGTACCCAGGGATGCGTCACATGGATTAAAATACAGAACCATCTGCAGAGGGAGATCATCAACCGGAATAAGTCTGACGTCTATTCTGCTTTTCAGTACCCCTGCGCCGTTGCTTGAGGCATTCATTCACGCACCGTTACAGGTCAAGATGACCGGTCTCCGCGACTTGCGAATGAAATTGATCAGGGTCGGCCAAAAATTGGTATCGGATTGATATAAGATGTCTGCCTCCTCCACCAAGATGAGGGACTGACGGACTTCGACTTGGGTGGGTAGCACATCCGAAATAGGTGACATCGCCGCGACACCATTCTTCTTCTTGGAGGGAGACGTCAGGAAACCAAGCGACTGAGCTTGATGTTGGCCAGCGTTCTCGTTATCCATGACCACCGTACCTCCCACTCTGTGGTTTTCTCCGGCACCTCCGAGCTCATTCATAAACGCGGAACCGGAGCGTTTTCCAATCCCTGGGTAAAACTCGAATACCTTCCATTGGAGCTCTTCAGAGCAAGCATAAACTGCAGCCGTCTTGCCTGAGCCACAGGGGCCACAAAGTACAATCGTATTTGCAAGTCTCTCCTCGAATTTAACGAATTTTGGAGAAGTAGCTGGGATTATAGCTGGATGTCCTGGTTCAGGTGTTGACACGGGAGATGACTCTGCGATGCGGCGAGCTGACGGTCGTGACCGCGTTCCAAGAGACGAAAAGATAAACGCTGGGGGAAGGGGAGAGTTACTCCTAGAACTGAGTGGAGTGCTGGTAGTGGTCGCTGTTCGGGGAAGATCATCTCCAATACTTCGAAGATCATCATCTAGATCATCGTAGGATTGAAGGTCGAGATTGCCACCGTCATCCTCGTCATCCTCCACTATGAAATCCTCAATTTCGTCCGAATCTTCAGAGTTTCTTCTCCGCCTTTTCCGCTTCGCGACATCCCTCAAGATTGCGGGCCTCGACCGCTTGACTCCTCTCGGAGCGTCAATGGGATTCGTAGACTCTAGCTGGACTTCCAACATCTGAAGCCACGACTTTAAGTATATAGCCTGTTCTTGATTCTGTAAGACGTGCTCCGCTCTTTTAGGGGCAAACTTGTCATTCCACAACTGGTGGTTCGGGCCGATGACATGCTCCTCGTTTAATATTCGAGCAACAGCGGGTATCCGGCGATGTTCTGCTGGGATTTCTTCTATTGCAGTTTCTTTGTTTATGTAGTACTCCGACCGAAGAAGGGTCCGGTGTTGAAGGGTGAGATCGACGAATTGCGACAAATCAGAGGACGTTTTTGTGATCCCTTGAGGAGATTTATGCTTTTGGGTCTCAAATACGTGCGGAAGGCGATCTCTTGTGGAAGAGTATCCAACATGAGCAAATTCATGGTTTGGCCATGGAAAGTAATCTCCATTTGCGACTACAGGGACCACCTTGGAAGACTTAGAAGCATGTTTCGATGTCGACGTGATCGGTGGGACGCGTGCAGCGAAGAAAGGATGGACCGGTTTCGTAGGTTTTGCTGAAGTGAGCAGTGAGGAGGCATTGGAATCCTCTTTTTTATTCTTTGATATTGTATCGATAGAAGGCAGTAGTTCAACTGCGGTTGGCTTCACTGGTGAGTCTTCAATGACGATAACCTCGCGTGCAGGATGAGACTCTACGCGTGTTAGCGCGTAAATATGTCAATAAAGACATCAAATACCCTGAGAATCTACTTTATCTTCTGAAACGTCAAGAGGACGCGTAGATGACAAAGAGCCTGAGAGATCTGGTTGTGTTGGAGCAGTCACCAGGATCTGCGGAGTATTCTGAACTCCAGATGCATGCTCTCCCGTTGGTTTCGTGAAGAAACCGCTGATCTTTGGTTGCGTGGTCTGGAGGCTGATCTCAGCCATGTCAAACGACGACCGAGTTGGGATTCCAAGTCACGTTTTTCACCTCCTTTTGCTGATTTGCGCCTTTTCGTCGCGCCGTTTGCATGGTTGATGGTCAAGGCAGAGTTCAAGCCTGTGCCTGTGTTCGTCGCCACACTGTGATGTTGCCAAACCCGGCTCGACGAATATACTTAGAGAAACTGTTCAGGAGCTGTCTGATTATATATGTCGTAGTACGTATATGAAAAGATAAACGCGGCACAGTGCGAACAGAGTAAGAGGAAAGGTCCCTATGTAGAACACCCATCGTAGTTAGATCGCAAGGTAAATCTAAATTTATGGCTTGGTTCCCCAGTATTCTGCCATGACGGCTGTATGCATCAGCTCAATGGTGTGATTGACAGCCGCCATATCTGACGGTCTCAGTGAATAATCTACAAATATATGTCACTCTCACCAATGTTATCCCCCAGATTCAGCGCTGTGAACATCTTGAGCGTGGTCGGTGTCTCAACCTTGCCAACGATTTCGACAAACTTGTCTCTAATGTTCCCATCCTACAACATTTAGTCACAGATCAAGAAAAATAAGTAATGAAACGCGCTCACATCCGATATAGAGACTTCGATGTCGCCACCATCGGCGAGTTCCACGACAGCCCTGTTCCCGTTAATCTTTGCGCGTCAAATTGTAATAATTACGTGTCAAAGAGGATTAGAATCTCATTTAGCCAGCTGTTTGATTACCCAGACGCTTGAAGATTGCGTACCGACTTGATTTTGCACGGGCAGCGCACCGTCTCTCCAAGGTAACTCCTCATTCTTGCAGCATTTACTCGCGGTGCCTTGTGATCCATTTTATAGGGTCGATTTGCACGACTAGCGGCAAATGTGGTGTAGTCGTGAGGTCCAAACTTTGCCACCGCCCTTTTTGCAGGCTCTCCAATGTCCGACACAGACAGACAAAAGCGATCGTGGAGCCTGCCATTTCTTGAAGAGGCGTTTCTCAGGCAAAGAAACGCCACTAGTTCTCTCCCTGGAAGATGGGCTTTGATCGTCCTCAACCAGCCTTTCCATAGAGAACTCTTTGATCTCGTGTGGAGTGCTTGTGAGCTCCAGGCTAGATTGAAACCTCAGATTTGGTGACTCTACTCCAGGTCAATGGCGCGTTTTCGCGGATGGAGGATCCAATCGTGTGTTTGATCTTGTGGGCAGCGACTGGCGCATGTATGTGGCATATGACTTCATACTGCATGGTTAAAGTTCTACAGATACAAACCGAACCTCATAACTGGCGATCTCGACTCTATCCGGCCCGAAGTTCAAGAACAATACGCGTCACTTGTAGGAACATCTTCTTCGTTGCAACAACATTGAAACAGTGTATCAGGGAGTCACTGTTATCCCTGATGCCGATCAATACGCGACCGACCTCATGAAATGCGTGAACGCGATACGAACACTGGAACAAGAAGAGCCAGGGGATGAGGTAGCGTCTACATATCTTGATTCCCACAACCTAATTTGTCAGTATTCTATCATTATACTCGGAGGGTTGTCAGGACGTCTCGACCAGACCATCCATACTATGTCATACCTACACAAGCTTCGTAAACAGAGACGACATGTGTTCGTAATTACAGACGATAACGTCGCATGGGTCCTCGATGAGGTAAGTAATACAGTAGATACACTTTTGGTCCAACTAAACGATGAAAGGGCGAGCATGATATTCATCTGGATAGAACGCATCTTGGTCCTACTTGCGGACTGCTTCCAGTTGGAGTGGTGTCCTCCAATCTTTCCATGAAAGGCCTCGAGTGGAATTGGAGTGTGTTGAATCTCCTTGTTCTTTATATTTCCTAACAGTTGTCTTCAGCTGAACATCATTCGAGCTTTGATGGAGACGTCTCAACATCCAATTGGCTCGCCAGTGACGATATTTGGATCAAGACGACGGCACCCATATGGTGGAGTGTAGAGTTGAGACTTGGGACGAAATGAACAACTGGAAGACATATAATTTGACCATGACATACACGACTACTTGTAGCTGTATATGTATTCTCCAGTTGGTGGTCACACACAAATACAGCTTGCCACCGGAGACATTGTGAACGTCTGAGGCTGCTTCCAAACTCGAAAGGGAACGACTGTAATCGTATTGGGACTCGGTGTAGAACTACATCAAGCTGGGAAAAACCTTCAACTCTGCGTTGAGCCGTAGTTTCGTGCAGGAAGCGCAACTGATTGCGACTCGAGATCTATTTATTATCCCTCAGTGACTCTATACTCTCGATATACATCTTGATCGAAGCCCTTGGACCTCCCAAATGATGGAAGACTCGATGGACCTCGACGAGCAGGTGCTCAACGAAGTTGCAAGTTTGCGAGCATCCAACTGGCAGGCATCTACTTCTTCCAGTGGCTTTGAGAATCATCGAATATCGTCGGCAGTATGTCTGGAATAACGTCCCAAGCTTTGCAGCTAACATAATCACCTGTAGGGCATCGAACAATTCTTTGTGTTGGATTCCAACGTCTTGATTAGCTATCTCCCTCTGGTCAAAGACCTCTTAGCGGCTATCCTTCGACGAAATTCAAACATGGCACTTTGCCTCCCGATTGTCGTCGTCGAGGAGCTCAACTTTCTCAAAGAGAGAAACTCGAATCCGAATACGCGTGCACTTGCTCAACAAGCCAATGTGTGGTTACTCGCCCAGATGCGCAATCGCACGGGTGCCATTCTAGGTCAGCAACGACACGAGAAGATACTTGTCTCTGAACGCCCTGACGTAAGCCGTAGTTGGTGGTTGCATGAGAGTGGCTAAACTCCAAACTTAGCAAGTAAATGACGACAGGATAGTGGACTATTGCGAGTACCTATTGGCTACACATCGCACGACAAACGCTACTGTCATACTTGTAAGCAATGACCAGAACTGTTGCTTAAAGGCGGAGCTCCAAGGTAAGGAAATTTAACGGGGATGACACGCGGGAGAGCTCACGTAAACAGGAATTAAGACCATTTCTCCGAATCCAATGACAACTGCAGATGATTTCATTGCTCAAGGGGTCACATATGGCGCAAAACCACCGAGAGGGGGTGGCGGCCAGCACCAAATCTCACACGGCTCTATGGATCTCGATGAAGAGGAGATTATCGGCGCTAGTGATTCCCACCCACTTTCGGTGCTCCACCGGGCGTTTTTGGATTATCTCACTGCTCTTCTGCCCCAACTCGCGTACGACGCTGCGCTCAAGGAGCAAGAACGTCGCGACAAGCTTGGGAAAGCACCAGTTTCGGCCCCGAAGTCGTCCTTGTTCTCGTCACGATATGCACCCAAGAGCGCCGAGCCCGCGGCGTTTACAGGTCCAGGTGCGTTTGTGATGCCGACGATGGACAACGTGCGTTTGTGGACGGCCATCGATTGCATCACGTTTTGCCTAGAGCTGCCCTCTGCTGTGGTTGGAGAGACTGTCCGCAGCAATAGCAAGCCAGATATAGCCAAGCTGAGGCTATTCCTTCTTCCCGCGGGATTGCCTGGGTCGCGCAAGGGCAAAGACTGGAGCGTGGGGGACTGGATGGTGGCACTCGATGAGCTCGAGAGGGTTGCATCATTCTGTCAGTGGGCAGCTGTCCAGGAGTGTGTGGAAGTATGTCGGCAGCAACTACGGGGGGCGATACCGGATGCGTGAAGAGGAGCATGACGTCTGTCTCTGTGAAATATTCTGTATATTTCTGTGTAGATATACCTCGATCCCCGCTACTCCGGTCGCGGCGTCGGGGATAAATGGCCCGTGTCAGTCTTGTTTGGTTGGCCCCCTTGAACCCGACCAAGATCCCGCAGTGGCAGCCTTGACATGGCCAGAAGAGGGCTCGTAGTGGTGCTGAGCATCCTAGCTCTCTTTCTCTTGGGCACGCTCGTCGTGCTCTCATCCGTCTCGTACTATCTGCACATTGACCGGCACGCCTACCTCGAGGACGACGAAATATTCCAGCTAGAACGATTTTACGACGATAACAAGACTACACAGGCCGACGAAAAGATTCCCAGGATCATCCACCAGACGTGGAAAACCGATGTCCTCCCAGACCGTTGGAGGATCGTTGCCCAGGGATGCAAGGACCTGATGCCCGACTAGTGAGTCTCTTTTGCCTATTTTTCACATTATTACCACAGTCGTTAATCGTCCGTCTGCGTCTCCTTGCAGCGAATACATGCTTTGGACCGACGCCTCTTCCCGCGAGTTTATCGAGACGCACTACCCTTGGTTCCTCGAAACATACGACGGGTATAAATATACAATCCAGAGGGCCGATGTCATCCGCTATTTTGTGCTACACCACTATGGAGGTGTATATATGGACCTCGATATTGGCTGCATGCGGCGCATGGACCCTCTGCTCCAGTACAACGTTATCCTCCCAAAGACTATCCCCGTCGGAGTCTCCAATGATCTCATGTTCGCCGTCAAGCGACACCCTTTTATGGAGCAGACCATCCGGCACTTGATCAACTTTGACCATTCGTGGATTCTCAACTATCCAACCGTCATGTTTTCAACCGGTCCCATGTTCCTCTCGGCCCAGTACGGCATCTACACGACTGCGCACCCTCCCACGCCTGATAACCCGGGGGGCGATGTGCGCATTTTGCCAAAGTCCCTCTACGGCAAAAATGCACGTGTAGACGAGGCTCCAAACGCCTTTTTTTCTCACCATTATGGCAGCAGCTGGCACGCAGACGATGCGGCATTTATCACTTTTTTGGGCCGGTCGGGCATGACCTTGATGTGGATAGGCTTCTTCGTTCTATTGATCGGGACCCTCCGTCTGATCATACAAAAGCGCGCAAAGGGCAAAGGTCGCAGTCTACGACGGCGTCTCGCCTCTGCACGTTATTATTTGCTGCTCCCACGCCGTGTCCGGGCGCAAGAGGGCAATGTAACACTCGACATTCTCGGCCCTGCGGCTGGCTCGACGAGCACAACGACCAACACTTCTCCCATTTCTTCTCCGACCTCGAGCCGCCCCTCGTCTCCGTCGTCGACAATGCCCCTTTTGCCCTATACATTTGATGCCGACGGCACACCTAGCACCTCTGCCGCTGCTGAGAACCAACCATCCTCGCTAGGCGCCTCGGCAGCTGGTGCATTCCGACGAGCAGGGGCTTGGGCACGTTCCCAAGTCGGAGGTACTAGCACCTCCAAACCTGCGCGTGGTCATCATCGGGGAGTCTCACGCTCGAGCTGGGGAAGCGCGAGTGATCTCCTCTTCTTCCTACCCGCCATCCTCCCAACCCAACGGACGACCTCTTCCAACGAGCGATCCACGACTGCTAATCCCACCACCCCAACCGCCGCCGGACACCGTTACCCGCCCTCTAAACGCGCCATGATAGACTCGGAAGAAGAGGACCTTGAAGCTGCCAATCGACGACCAAAATCTGGTGTCCTCTCTCCTCCTCCACCCTATGTCGACAACCACGGCTCACGACTCTCCGTTGCCAGCCCCGCAACAGAGGATGAATGGCCGGATTGGGGCTCGTCGTCACGACCCTCGACTTCATCTTCTTTGTCTTCTCTTCCATCGTCCAGCTCGCGCCTCCAGTAACCCGTTTTATCAGCGCTTGATTCCACTTTTAGGTTTACAGGTCGTCGTCGCACCAACCATTAATTGCAAAGCACGTCTCTAACTGGCTACCTCCCTCCTGACTCGTCTCTGTGCAAGATGATGTCTATTCGGACCCGCATTCACATATTGGCCGTCCAAAAAAGGGCATGGACGTTTCTCTAGTGGACGCTTTTAATAGTTCTAGAGACTTGTGTCAGTTCGTTAGCCGTAGGGAAGCGTCTGGATATTCTTATAGACACAATACTATCAATGACATTGCTGATTGCTTTCGAATCATACCCATTCTCTAAGATGCTAGTGATACAAGGATTCAACCATTGCGCCAACAGATGATAATGTCCATGATCGCCTGCCATTGCCAATGCAATCCAAACGCCTTTTCTACCGTCTCCTTCATCACCATCATCAGGGCACTTCGCATCGACTCGGGGGCCAACCGTTTCTCGAGCCCTGCCTGGACGGTCTCGATGTAAAGAGATTTGAGACTGCGTAGTGTGGTTGCCGATGGTGTATTGGTGTGAGTCAAGTAGAATCCGAGCTGTCTGCCGAGAGTTCTCCTTGCAGAAGGATCGGTCTCTTGGATCCCTCGACCATTGGCATAATGTCGCAGCTGGGTCATGAAGGAGGAATTATGGCGTAGTGCATCGACTTTGCTTTGACCGACGAGGAGAATTGATTTGATCAACTGCGTACGCAGTAAAGTAGGGCCGCGAATGTTCGCGGAACCATACCACTCGCTCAACGCAGTCAGGTCCGCAAGGTTTCCGCTCATTGCACTCGATGAACCCTTGAAATCCTGTACTCGCATTGAGTGGGCAGTGAGGTGTACACCAAGAAGATCCATTGTGTCCGCAGCGAAGCAGTCCATCATGGCCGCCTGGCAAAACGTTATCCATGTTCGTTCGAGACTGATAAATGCATCTTCTCTTTGTTTTCGGGTGCTGTGGGCTGTTTGGTCAGTGCATAACCGTTCGGCGAATGTGGTCGCTCGGTCATCCTCTGTGAACGCGGACATGAACTCGCCAAAGTCGCGCGACGTGTGGCTCTGGGACTTGAGAAGCTCGGGGACCTCGAGACAGGCGGTGTCCCCTGCTGCGCCTCCTGTAGACCGCGCAAAGCTGCTGAGGGTACAGTGCGGATCTTCAAAGTAGCCCAGATATCCTCTCCTTCTCTTCACCCAGAGAGTCTGATTCCGGATGAATGCATCCTTCATCTGAGGCAGGGCTTGAAAGTCGATAAAGATTGGCCAGTACCTCGGACTGTCCACACGAACGGAGCGGATAGACGTGAAATCTGGGGTCAAGGTCGGGGCAAGAAGCGGTAGAGAGGCGATTCGAAAATCTGCTTCGGCCACCCTGAGCTTTACGGGGAGAAAAATGACTTTACGACTGTCGATGTCGCGAGTGATGAGGCAGCGTGGCTCTACAGCCAAGACCCAGAGATGGCGAAGTGCTTGGAGATGGAAGCGGTTGTCGTATCCGAAAAGTGGAAAGCGGGGATAGAATGCTATCAAGAGCCCACATATTGCCGCATCGGATGTGCCCAAGGTATATCGACCACCTCCGAGGAATAGCAATCCCATTGCCATATGATTGGCCATGTGCATTCCAAATTTGTTGGGCGTCGTGTATTTTCCATGGGCAAATCGTAACCGCTGCAAGCAGTCAAGATAGCCCGAACCCGCCATAATGATCGCCATTGCACAAGAGAGTACATTGATTGCGTCCCTTGTTGCTTGCCTGCGGATCGAATGTTCATACGTGCGCGCTGATCCAAGTTAGTAGCATGAAATATTGAATTCAAATACATACCATTAGCGTATACTCCACGGATGAGGATGTCATAGAAGAATACTACGACCTTCCACGCATCCGCTGACGCTGTACCAGCATACTTTAGGGACATGGCCATGCATGCACCCGCTATGACATTATAACTGGCAATGTCGAGTGCGTTGACGGTTGGGGCGTCGTTGGGTCCATCGCCTCCGAACGATTTCATGGGCGCATACTGGGAGTTGACCCAGTCTACGGTGGGTTGAATTTCGTCCCAGAGTATGAGGGACTTTGCCAACGTTCGGAGAAGAAGAAGATTTGGCGGAACAGTGTTCAAAGCTACTCGGGTCGTCGGAACAGAGACAATGTCTGCTACATCACTGCGACCTGACTTGAGGTAGAGCATGGCAAGAGCCAGACAAGCTCCTGGTGCGGTAATGTTGACATCAAAGCTCCTCGTGCCTTCTGGCTCTATCGAGGCTTTTCTGTCACCATGAATCATGACCCGGAAACGATTCAGCCACGCATTGTCTGCGAGCCCATGAGTCCTAGATCCCTTGCCGACCATGATCATTCCAAACGCAAAGGCAGCGGCCAATGTGTACGCTTCGCGGTTGTCAACACCATGTGTGGGTACCATAAGATCGGTCCTTGAAATCTCGCGCAGGGCGATATCCGCAAGTCGTCTGTCTCCAGTCCCAAGGAAGACCAGACCAAGGGCGACTAGACCCGCACTCTGTGTGAGGAGTGATACGTTGATGTCAACTGTGCGTACTGGAAGCAGAGCGGGGGTGTGTACGGCGATCAGGCTCGTGATGTACTGACTTGAGGAGCCGACATTGGAAGCTGCCAAGCCTAACAAGATCGCCATGGATGTGTGGTCATGTTTGGGAGAAAGGTATGAAAACGTGTTCCAAGTGTCGACGTGCTTGAGGTGTCCATTAAGACCGAGCCCAAAGAGGAACCCCGCGTGCTCCGCGGTCAGCTCCGATGGTTTGGCAAACTGAACCCAGGAGCTTTCGATAGAGGACAGGTGTGGGGATAATCGAAGCCCTGCGGCAACTCCGTTGTGAAATTCAGCCCAGCTCTTGGTTTCCGACGTAAGCTTTGCTTGCTCGAGCAGCATTACGATGTTGGATGGCATGATTCTGACCGCAAGCTCTATCTTGGGTATAGCATATGCGTCTGGCGTCGCAACATTGACACAACCATACGTGAATAGTGCACGTCCTGGCGGCAACGATAGCGTGCGTTCGGAGATACGAAGAACGAGCGCTGAATGCTCCTTCTCGTGCTCGCTGCCGTGGAATCAGATATATAAACCCGAAATAACTGATAGCCTACTTTTCCGGCAGAGTATATTGAATCTTGGCGACGGGTATTCGAGAGCTTTGCAATATGAGCTCGACCTCTTCTATTCTTCGATCGTCTATCCACCGTATCTGGGTGAAAAGATCTTTGGGCAACAGTCCAGAGTTCCCCGGCATAAGAATTTGACCCGAGCCTCCATGGGTGGCTACCTGTTCTACGCTGCCAATGACATCGTGCTAGCACGTAAACTCAGCTCCATCAGGTTCCAGGAGGCGCCACACACCTTACTTCTGTCGCTTGACCCAAGATAGTCGTCGACAACTGGATTGCATTGCACAAGCTCAAGAAGGTCAGGACGGTCAATGAGCTCATAAGTCTCCAAAGGGTAGCTGAGCTTTGGACTGATCTGAAGAAGTCGAAGGCTTTCGCGAATTGGAATCTGGAGGCAGATTGGTAGAGAGTCGAGGGACTCTCTCGTCCACTTCCTTTCAATCATAAGGCTTGTAAGTGCTTCAACGCTTTGTATGTTACGCCCTGGAGTCCCGCCTCGAATTAATACGAACATCCTGCCAATATCTTCGAGGTTTGTGCATGGGGAAGAAACTGGGTAGCCATGGTCTGCGTCTACCTGGATTCCGAATATGGAAGAAATGTCGCCAAGGATACCCACATTTTGCCATATAAGCAGTGTTCGATGATATCCGGTGGGCGCACGGGAAGCTGTTGCCCGTTGAAATGTCCTATTAGTGACATTCAGTGATGAAAAAGGCCATCTGAGTACTTGCCATCACTCATTGACCACGCTTCAATTGCATCTGATGACTGTCTCGACCAGTATTCTGCCCATTCGGGTGCTAGAGCAATCGATATCCTGAGGATTGCAGGTACAAGAAACTGGAGTAGTGATGCACGTTTTGTGTCGATCTTGAGAGATTGTCCAAGGATGTGCAATGCGAGGAGAATGGGGGCCGCACTCGGATGCAAAGGAGGTGGGGATGGTTTGGAAATTTGAGCCTGAGGAATGCCAAATCCGACCAATGCCGCGTCGTACCTAAGCCGCCGATGAGACGCTGTCCCTGTCAATACGTCGAGCGACTTGGAATCCTTGGAGAGCATCCCCTCCGAAAACCCATCGTCACCAAGGATTTGGAAAAGCGTGATAAATAAACAGTCCATTTCTTTCTCTACTGTGGTCGGTCGACCTTGACCCAGCCACATATTTAGATAGCGATATCGAAGTGCCCTGAATTGTGAATGTGACATGGCGAATCGAAGGCAAGAAAGGACTTCGTGCACAAGTCGATTTCGGGGTGTGAGGTCCAGTGACAAGTGAACTATGTTGCCACCCAACAGTCGGATTTCCACTTCGGTGCCATGTGCGGAGATTACCTCGTGCAGCGCAATTGCATATTCTTGTGCGGGTACATCGCTGTCCGCCGGGTGGATACTGCAAATCTCAAACCCATGGCCATTGTGCTTCATAGCCAAGGTGTAGAGTTGGGGCCCGGAACGCAAGACGAGAGAGTGATCCAACTGGACTATCAGAAGGTCGACTGGCTCATCTCGAAGCGCTTGAACACTAGCAATTGAGCGAGCGGGGACGGGGTGAACGTCGAAGGATGCGGTGAGTGAGGAGCGCGGTAGTGATATGTCGCTCTCCCATGCGATATGAACTACACGAAAGCTGGATATGTGGGGAATCATTAAAGCGTAACTGCAGCAAGATTCATGGTCTCCCCCTTGATTGAACGGAACAGCGACAATATCGCTCCAGTGTTCAGCCCTGGAAACCACGTTACCAGATATCGAGGTGGATTATCGAACTTACGTTTCTGCATCCACTGGGATTGAAGTTAGGCGCTGGAGCCAGTACTCTGGACCGACGATATCCTCTTCCTCCTCCAAGGGTTGTTCGTGAAGCGATGTCATCCTTATACTCAAAGGCTGGTCCAGATCTAAACCATTGTCACTTCCATCAACAGCCGCATGATGCCACCTGGAACCTATTGCTCCCGATTGCATTAACCACTCTGTGGTAAGCCTTGGACTTCGGCCTTCCGACTGGTATGCAGCAACTAGAGCGTCGAGATCCGCGGTTGAATTAACGGGTTGTTCGAGTCCCGAGTTGATACTACCATTCAGCGTTGGCTCTTCTGATGGTGATCGTCCATATGCATAGCAATGGACCATTTGGAGACGTGTATCCACCGTTATGATAATTTGAGGCGCGTCAAACTTGTACTCGTGTACAAATATGACGTGTTCGCCAGCCTTGATGGTCGAAAATGTGGATAGGTCCTTGTTGGGGCGTGGGTGATCCTCTTGAAAAATGATGGCCGAATGCGGCGAGGTTCGACAGATGCGATGGGCGATACCAATAGGAGATACCTCTCCAGTTGGACTCGAGAGAGAGTGCAAGCCAATTTCGGGATTGAGGTAGGGGATGGCCCATGGAATAGGTTCGATTCGTGGTTCTTCTTCGAGAGCAAAACCTGTCGGGAATAGGGGCCATACTTGTCGAACAATAAATGGTATGTTCACATAGTATTCGTTCCCGTCCTCGCTGTAGAGTCGCGCATGTGTCCGGAAGACGATGCACACTGAGCGAACGATTCTCAGTCCTGAATCTAATTTTGTGTTATCTTCCTGAGTAGCCCTGGCTATCGTTCTACTTTCCGCATCTCGCACTGCTGATCCATATGGACCAAAAACAGAAGGGGACGGCTTGCTGAAAGCATCTTCCAGCGATTGAGATGCTTCGTCCATTCGGTTTTTAGTGACATGTATCGGAGGTTTGATATCAAAGTATGCCCAACAGACGCTCCGGATCTCTTCTTCGTCCCGAGGAAAGCACCACTGGCGCTGTAGACGACCACCAACTGTCCATATCACGGCAGAGGAGCTCCAAGAGAGTTCTTCCTCGGTCTTGGTATCAGGTATACGACGTTTGATCCTGCCAAGAATCCGAGACGGTGGCTGGCGGTGCTGCAAGGCATTGCGTACAGACTTTAAGAGATCTGTTTCAAAAAAGGAAGACAAGTCGGAGCCAGATGTGTTTATAAAGTATTGTTTGGCGGCATCTACTGGCATCTTCAACCGAGCATGGATTGGTTAGGAGCAAAGTACGAGACGAAGTATAGCCACCGAAATGTTACAAGAAAGAACATTTGAGAATACAAAAAAAGTTTATTCTCCCGTGAAGTTTGGTTTACGTTTGGCCTTGAAAGCTGCGAGTGCTTCCAGACGGTCTTTGGTAGAGAGTAATGGCTGATAGCACGCTCTCTCGAAGTCTAAGCCAGCCTCTAATGACAGATCCACAGCTCGAGAGACGGCTAGTTTCGCTGCACGCAATGCCAAAGGAGCTAGAGTAAATAAGCATATGAAGGAGCCGCCCAGTAATAGACCTACCTCCTGTTTTCATCTCTTCTGCCAATTCAAAAGCCTTGGACAGACCAGATTCCGCGACGTGATCGACTACGCCTACTTCTGCTCAGTGCACTATAAGACGGGTGAAGTTTACATACCAAAGGCGTGGGCCTCCTTTGGAGATAGTGCTCTGCCAGTGAATATAAGCTCTTTTGCTTTGGATATCCCTAGTAATCGGACGAGTCGCTGGGTCCCTCCAGCACCTGTTTTTCACCGTTGGTAATATCACGAGACATGGTATCCTCACTCACCCGGAATGATCCCCAACTTGGTTTCTGGTAGTCCAATCTTTGTGGCTTGTGCGCCTGACAGCAGTCAGACCATTATTAAGAACATTGTCAAGGTAGCATACCCGCTACCCGAAGGTCACATGCCAATGCGAGCTCAAGACCGCCACCAAGAGCAGGCCCATCAATAGCTATTGAAGTCAGTTTAGACGTCAAGTCTCCGGGAGAAACTTACCAGCTATTGTTGGGATGTCCACCTGCTCCAAATTACGTATGGCCGCACGTAAATTTACGAGAAACTGGTTGACCTCTGCAGTTGACATGGTACGGCGCTGGAGATTTTGAGTATTGTGTCGTATACTATGACGAACGAACGAACCTCGGCCAAATCGGCTCCTGCACAAAAAGCACCGGGCTTCGTCCCAGATATAATGAGGACGCGAGAGCTTGAGGTACTCAGAAACTGTTCTCGGTGGTTGCTCATGGTCCACACCTCCGGTCAAGTTGCTTCAAGCAACCATGAAACTCCTGGCAGGGATTGTGAATTGATATATGTACCTATGTGAGCAAACACACCTTGAGAAGCTGTCTGGATATCGCATTCTTTGCCTCTGGGCGGTTCAGATATAGAACGGCGACATTGTCCTTCTGTTCGAGGTATGCCTGTTGTGCAGGTGCTGCGTAATATCTTTGCCAATTCCTAGTGATTGTACTACTCGACGCAAATGGCCGTCTTGCACTCGCCCTCAGGCCGTTCATGTGGTCAAGGTCCAAGCTAGCATCTTGATCCGGACCATGTCGAAGCGGCCAAACAAACTCGCATTTCTGACTCAAGTCGCGCCTTCAGGATATGTCCCTGGTCTAGGACGAGGGTATGTACGCGTCTGGATGGCGTCTAGTCGTTTGCTGACATATGACTTGTTCTGTCCAGCGCGTCGGGCTTCACCACTCGGTCTGATATCGGACCTGCTCGTGAAGGTCCATCAGCAGAAGTCATAGCGTACGTGTTCATGTCTACCACGAGACCCCAACCGACGTGGCTAACCTGCATAGCGAAGCCCAAGCTAGGAGAGGCGAAGAAGTTGAAGTAGATCCAGAGCAATTTCAAGACCCTGACAATGAAACGGGTCTTTTCGCCGGAATGGCGTACGACGACGCCGATGAAGAGGCGGACAGAATCTATGAAGCTGTGGACGCAAAAATGGATGAGAGGAGAAAGGCCCGAAGGTACCTACATATCGAAAGTGATGCATCAACGCTGATATAAACACTTCAGAGAAGCCAGAGAGGCAGAGATACTCGCCACAACCCGTGCAGAGCGGCCGAAAATCCAAGCTCAATTTGCTGATCTCAAGAGAGGACTCTCTGCTGTCTCAGACGCAGAGTGGGAGAACCTTCCCGAAGTTGGAAATCTTACAGGAAAGCGGAGAAAGTTGAATCCACGGGAAGGGAGAGCCTACGTTGTTCCGGATAGTGTCGTACTTGGAGATCGTAGCAAAGCTGGGTATGAAAATGCATTGGATCCGATGCAGCAAGCGGTAAGTATGTTACCTTCAGGCGTCTTCTCTGCTTACGGTTTTGCAGACAGGAGGATTCGAGACGCCCGCAAATGCAGGGGGAATGGTCGATATTGTGGGCATCAGCCAGGCAAGAGACAAGGTTCTTTCCCTCAAGCTCGACCAGGTCTGTCTTCTCAGCTCTTTTGTGTGCATTATTGACAATCTCCCAGGCCTCACGCAGCTCGGTATCAAATGGTACTTCGACTAGCATCGATCCAAAGGGCTATCTTACCTCTCTCGACAGCGTCGTTCACAAGACGGATGCTGAAATCGGAGATATCAAACAAGCCAGAGCTTTGTTAGACTCTTTAGTCAAAAACAATCGCAAGCATGCTCCTGGTTGGATTGCGGCGGCATGCGTCGAGGAACATGCTGGAAGAATGGTAGCTGCTCGCAAGCTAATCAGGCAAGGATGTGAAGAATGCCCGAAAAGCGAGGATGTATGGCTAGAGGCAGCTAGACTACACGTACGTTGATCACCAGCCAGTGCATCTACAGGCTAACAGGTCAACAGAATACTGAGGACGCAAAAGTCATCCTGGCGAATGCCGTTCAGCATCTCGACCAAAGCGTGAAGATCTGGCTAGCAGCAGCCGAGCTAGAGGGTGATCCCAAAGCGAAGAGAAAGGTTTTACGAACAGGTGCGTCAAACACTTGCATTTTTTTTCAGACACTTATTATATACAGCCGTGGAGCATATCCCGAAATCAGTGAGATTGTGGAAGGAAGTCGTCAACATGGAAAATTCGCCCGAGGAGGCTCGTATCATTCTCGCTCGCGCCGTGGAGGTTATTCCTCAATCTGTCGAGCTCTGGTTAGCGTTGGCTCGCCTCGAGACTCCAGAGAAAGCGCAAAAAGTCCTCAACTCTGCGAGGAAAGCCATCCCGACCTCTCACGAAATCTGGATTGCCGCAGCTCGCTTGATGGAGCAAGAGGCAGCACGACCAGAAAAGGACGAAGCAGCTCGTCAAAAGGATTACAAGACGGTCGACAATATTATCGCATCCAGCGTGTCCAACCTACGTCGCAACCATGTGCTGCTCACAAGAGATCAATGGATGAAGGAAGCGGAGCAATGCGAACGCGATGGCTCGCCGAGAACCTGCGAGGCGATTATCAAGGCCACTATCTCAATGGAAATCGAAGAAGAAGATCGCTATGATGTGTGGAAGGCCGACGCAGAGAGTGCCCTTGCGCGCAATCAGGTTGGGACCGCTCGTGCCATCCTGGCATATGCTCTCAAGGTCTTCCCAGACAGAAGGGCGCTCTGGAGAGAAGCTGCTGACCTCGAGAAGGAGCACGGTACAAGGTAGAGTTATTCCCTCTTTGAGTGAATGTGTCCGTCTGATCTATTCTAGACAAGCACTGGAGGAACTGCTCTCCCAAGCAGTTCAACACTGTCCTCAAGCAGAGACCCTCTGGCTCATGCTCGCAAAGGAGAAGTGGATGGGCGGAGATGTTCCAGGAGCTCGAGTCGTCTTACATCAAGCATTCGACGCAAATCTGGAGAGTGAACAAATTTGGCTTGCGGCTGTCAAGTTGGAGGTTGAGAACAACGAACTTCAGGCGGCGAAGGAGATTCTCAATCGCGCAACCAGCGTAGCTGGTACTGAACGTGTACGTTTCCTTCTTTTAGGCTCAATCTATTTCTCATTATCCTACAGATTTGGATGAAGGCAGCCGTATTCGAACGACAGCAAGGCAATCTTGAGGCAGCATTGGACACCGTGAACACAGCACTCGCAAAGTATCCAAAATTTGCCAAGTTTTACATGATCAAGGGTCAAATATTACAATCTCAAAAGGACATACCTGCAGCCCGCGCTACGTATGCCACAGGTGTCAAGGAGTGTCCAAAGGATGTTCGCCTATGGATCCTATCCAGTCGGCTAGAGGAAGCAGACGACAAGCGTATCATGGCAAGAGCACTGCTCAACAAAGCCCGGCTTGCAAATCCCAATAATGATCTTTTGTGGGCGGAGAGCGTCCATCTTGAAGAACGAGCCGGGCAACCAAATCAAGCTAAGTCGAACCTTGCACGAGGTGAGTGAAGGCATTTTCATTCGAGGGATGATCGTCTTAAGCTTTTTTAGCTCTACAAGAATGTCCCACTTCCGGTTTGCTTTGGTCAATGGCAGTTATGGCTGAACCTAGGCCCTCACGACGCAATAAGTCAATGGACGCTCTACGGAAGCTAGGCGATGATCCACTCATTCTATGCACCATTGCGCGCATGTTCTGGTCCGAGCGCTCCATCGAAAAGGCACGATCTTGGTTCGCGAGAGCGGCAAAGGCAGACAGAGATATCGGTGACATATGGGCTTGGTGGCTAAAGTTTGAACTCGAGCATGGTACTCAGGTACGGGCAATCACTTGACTAAAAGCCGCAGCTGATGGTTTTTCCAGGAACATCAACAACAGGTCATTGATCAATGCGTTGCTGCTGAGCCGCGTCATGGGACAGTATGGCCAAGCATTGCCAAAGATGTCGCAAATGCTCGGAAGACCACACGAGACATCCTCTTCTTGGTTGCGAAGCAGCTTCACTAGCTTAATAGGTGAAAATGATGTGTATATTCTACGATGCAGCAATCTAGTGTAACGTCTTAACAGGCAACACTTAAATGTCGCATAAGCTCTGTCTCCATCGACCCCCCGTCGTCTACTGCTCCTTGGCTTCGCGAGCCTTCTTGTTGAGTGCACGGCGACGGATATCGACATGAAGGCCTGAAACTGTATGAGATTTTATCACATTCTGCTTTTTGAACATACGGTGTGTATAAGAAATGACGAGAGATGTTCGCATGTATCCAATAAAGAAATCTCCGATAGAGTGGGACCAGAACGGTGTCGAGGTAAACGGACGTTGAATAGCACCACATGATTGGCCAATATGGGAGAGAACAGACTTGACAAAGGTGTTAGCAGTGGGTGTAGTGATCGATGGGCGACGAATTTTGGACATTTTCGAGACCTGGAATACCCGTGAGCTCGCGGTCTGGCCTAGACTTGAAGCACATACAACAAAGAAGGTGTTGACAAGCTGTACGGCAATTCCTTTGCTCTTATATTCTTCTGCGAGAGCTTTGCTCCAGGCCGCAAGGAAAGCCTTTGAACCGCTATAGGTAGCGAGCATAGGTGAGGGCACCTCGCCTGCAAAGGATCCAATGTTCAGGATTAGGCCATTTTTCCTTGAAGCAAAGATGAGCGGGAATAATACTGGCTACGCTACACCTACTTGGCAAGCATGATTGGGAGGACAGTCTGGGTGATGGCGAGCGTGCCCTTGACGTTGATATTGACAATGCTCTTGATTTCTTGGCGTTCAGTTTCGGCAAAGTAGACGGGCATCTCGTGAGAGCGGCCAACGTTGTTCACTGGCATCGTATTTAACGACTAAGCGCGCGCTACACCAAGAACACTTACCCAAGACGCCAACAGTAACGTCTTGGAGAATTTGGTTGAGCTGCTTGCATTCCTTGCTAATGTCGTCCTTCTCAAAGTCGATAGCAAGAACCTTGGTTGGTACCGTGAATTTGGCAGCTGTGATCGTGAGTCGAGGATAAACATGACATAATATGCGTACAAATCTCGTCTCCGAGCGCGTCAAGCTTCTCCTTGGTGCGTGAGATAAGGACGACCCCGAAACCGGCTTTGGCGAGTTGGAGGGCAAATTCGCGCCCAATACCGTCCGTAGCACCAGTAACGACTATTCGTTCGTTTCAGTCATAGAGTTTCTACAAAGTATTCCACGACTGACCCGCATAAGCGCCACGTTTTGCCCCAAACTTGGTGAGCTGGCGCATTTGTTAAGAAAAGCACGACTCGACGGAATAGGGCATACTTTGGTACCGCTAAGCACAAATGTCTGTGCTAAGACGACGAGAAAGGATGTTAGACGCCAAGTCACGGCCAAAAAGCCAACACCGGCGAATGCTAAGATGGGAAGTTTATGCTCAAAGACTGAGGCGTGTTTCAGACAGTTTTATAATAATAAAATTTTCGAGGACTATACCTTGGTCAAACATTTGTCGAGCTAGGTCCGGTCGAAGAAATTTACATTTCTACCTCAACCTGCCCCCGACCTCGTTAGTATGCGTCGCGTCAAACTCAAATATTCGCCATTACATTCTTCTCTTGTCAATCTTCCTCTGAGTGTCTATGGACCTCTTGTATCCACTGGCGTGGTGAGCCCATATCGGCTTTCACGTTCACCCGGCAGTCGTACTGACTACCGGTAGAGACCGCAAGCTGTATCCGTGCATCTTTCCAACCTAGTAAAAGGCTCGGGCCATAAATCTGCATACCTCGGATGGACTGGGCTAGCGTCTGCCTCTTCTACTGCCCGCTGGGGCTCGAAAGGCGGAGATGAGAGCCTGGATACGGTGGAAGTCGACCCACAACTCTGTGCATCTCTTGGATTCAATGAAGGAGATGTGGTCAGTCGGATTATTCGTTTATGATCCCCTTACTTAACACCTGTAGCTTGAACTGGGGTTGGTGCACAATCTTCCAGTCGCAAAGTCTGTAAGCACTGAACCATTGACACCTGATGACTGGGAGATCTTGGTGCGTTCTTTGTCTTCGAAAGGACATCTCTCATCCTTCAAAGGAACTACATGCACAATATGTCGAGGACAACCTGCTGTCACAAGTCAGGGTTGCAGCAAATGATCAGCATATACTGGTATGGATCATGGGAAAGAATCTCATACGATTCAGAGTATGTGAGTATCCACCCATTGTCGATGCTCGTCTGACATTTCCTAGCATCTATGGATCCGGATAAAGGGCCCTGCCTTCTATCTACCGACACAGAGCTCATAATAGCGCCCAAACAGAGGAAGCCACCCCACCATCTAAAGAAAGCATTGAAAGTGACCGCGCGGCTCGCGCATCTGGAATTATCGTGCGGGTTGTACCGATGGAGAACTATCCCATCGATGCGTCGACCTACTCTCCGTTGTGTGCCCTTGCACCCCCTTCCACTCTTGAGACATTGAGCCTCAAAGACGGTCAGCAAGTTTATATTCAACGCCAGTCGCCCCCAGTCTTGGATTTAACAAGAGAGATCAAGCATTATCAAGGCTCCTCGAACAGTACGAGTAAAGTATCTGCTCGGATCAAGCTAAAGGACAGGATTACCGCCACACCGATGAACCAAGCCGAAGAAGAGTCGAAGCCACAGCTGTCAACGTACAGCATATTTGCGACGGATTTGTTGCCACGTAATCAGATTGTTCTGCTGGGAAGTCCTAACATTCGAAGCTGGGATCTGGCGAGGTGAGAATGGCATAGAGAGGCAACTGGGGCTAACTTAGAGCGGCATGTAGGGTTTCTATTAAGCCGCCCCAGACGAGTACCGGCATCGAGCTGCCGTCACAGGAACTTAATATTCCATTCCTATTGTGCGTGTTCAGGCTCGGACTTGCGTCAAGCTCATGGCATTTAAAGACCTTTGGCGATGAAGAATCTCAACTTCGTTGGAGTCGACTCCATTGTATCTGAATGCACCCGATTCTTTCAGCATTCCTTGCTTGCCCAGAAAACACTGCTCGGAGGATCCAACGGTAGGCAGCCTTGTGAAACTCCAAAGGTGTACCTGACTTGAAGCCAGCTTCTCAGCTGCTTCTCTGTGGTGGCAAGGGCTCCGGCAAGACTGGAATTGCCACGACGGTAGCCGCCAGACTTGAGAAAGACCCACAACTCTGTATTTGTGAGCTCTATTACTTGCAATTCGGTCAGTCTCTAACGGAACCAGGTCCTTTGTACATCGACATGAGCCGATACTCGGAGGAGGCACTTGCTGGGATTCGTGCGTTATTCAGCCTCTTAGTTCGGTTAGCAATATGGTGCAAGCCCACGATATTAATCCTGGATAATGTCCACTACTTTGTCGGCGTGGAGACAGAGGTATGTGTCTGGTTGCCTTCTCAAATCCCAAACTGATGGTATGTCGCAGCACACCGAGTCGTCCAAGTCGACACGAATAGCCGAGCTCTTTGTCAAGTTTCTTTACAGTTTACGGGCTCACTCTGCTTCTGTTCTTGCCATTGCAGAGGGTACATCGTCCTTGAACAAAATTGTCTCGACAGGCCATACATTCTCTAAAGTGATAAATATCAAAACCCCCGACAAGAGTGCACGTGCCACGGTGCGTACATTAGTCGACTTTCGGACAATATCGGCTAATCCGGGAGAAGATTCTGAAGCAATTTGTTGAAATCGCTGATGCGCCCCCGACGAGAGGACTCAACTACGTCTCCCTTGCGACAAAGACAGAAGGATACTCCGCTCAAGATCTCAAGGATTTCACGGACAGGGCCTTGCACAAGGCGACAATCCGCACGGCAGATGCCAATGTCCCCGAGGTGTCACTTGAAATGTGTGACTTTGACGCTGCGCAAGAAGGATTCACCCCGCTTTCGTTGCGAGATGTTAAACTCCAAAAGTCGGAAGTGGAATGGGCAGACATTGGGGGTGAGTTTTACTGCTCGTGCAGAGGAAATGAAACCGAAAATATACGACAGGACTTCAGGAGACTCGACGAATTCTCTGTGAAACGCTTGAGTGGCCAACAAAGTACGCTGCCATCTTTGCAAAATGTCCGCTACGGCTTCGCTCTGGGTTTGTCCTCGTCGTCATGGGGCCTGTTCTTTCCTGACGAGTTATAGGCTTCTCCTTTATGGATACCCAGGTTGTGGCAAGACTCTCCTGGCGTCAGCCGTGTCAAAGGAGTGTGGGTTAAACTTTATCAGCGTCAAAGGACCGGAGCTATTAAACAAATATATCGGTGCAAGTGAGAAGTCGGTTAGCTACATTTTCCTTCCACTTGAAAGGGTACTTGATTGATGATGAATAGGTCAGAGAGCTCTTCGAGCGCGCAAGCGCGGCCAAGCCATGTGTGCTGTTCTTTGACGAGTTTGATTCAATAGCTCCTCGTCGGTAAGTGCTCAATTGATCCCGATCGGTTGAAGGTATTGATATCCTTGGGACGTACACAGAGGCCACGACAGTACCGGGGTCACAGACCGCGTCGTGAACCAGATGCTCACGCAGATGGATGGTGCGGAAGGTCTGGACGGTGTATACGTTCTTGCGGCCACAAGGTAGCCATTCATTGTCGCCGTCTGCATAGTATCACAACTTTCTTAGCCGGCCAGATCTCATCGACCCAGCGCTGCTTCGACCAGGGCGACTAGACAAATCACTGCTCTGTCATATGCCGACTCAATTAGAACGCAAAGAAGTAAGTAATCAACTGCTATCATTGAGCACTTTCCAACTCTGTATAGATATTGCAAGCCATTGCTCGAAAAATGCACGTCGATTCTAGTGTCGACTTTGAGCATATTGCTGCATCAACTGAGGGATACTCTGGTGCAGACCTACAAGCACTGGTATACAATGCCCATTTGGAAAGCGTACACGACGCATTTTCTGGGACCACGCCGGTTGACGCAGTCGAGACAAAGACTCCTGAATTTGTCATTCTCAATGGAGCAAAAGGTGTGTCTAAAGCGGAGAATTCGGCTATAGCCGCTCGTATAGCGACTGTGATCCGTTCGAGCAATCCAAGCAAGGTAGTAGTTGTGAGAACGGGGAGCAAGCCGGTATGTATCTGATCACATTTGGGATCGGAAAGTTCTGAAAAGGTGTAGCCGACTATTACTGTACGGCATATACGGAAAGCTCTCTCAACAACGCGCCCTTCGGTGCCAGAAGTGGAGAGGCGGAGACTCGAAAGGATGTAAGCTCAGTTTCGTTTTATTGAAGCATCGGTTACTAATCGTAATAGATATCATGAGTTCTCGAGCGATCGCAGCGAACCACTTCCGCAACCGCCAGAGGCTGACTCGCGAAGCGTCGGCAACCGTGTATCTCTAATGTGATATATTCACTGCAACTCGGGTTACAATGCTCTATGACGGCGCCACAGTAGCGGTGGAGGCTTTGAGTGCTTCTTGGTACTTGACTAAACGAATCCTGCACCGAGTTAGATGAAACCACGGAAAATTGATGTCTTACAAGTTTCTTAGGAGCATGAGAATTGTAACCTTCCCTACTGCTGGTAGGTAAACGGATGCCTAACAAAGGTCAGCAACACATTCGAAACCAAATTTTCAGTGAAACACCTTTTCTCGAACACTCTCTTCAAAATTCTTCTCACCGGCCACGTTGACGGCGATGCAACCATCCTTGAGAGCGTCGGTAGAGACTTTGTATTTGACATTGGGTACGGCCGATACGACGACGTCTGAAAGCGCCAGACATTCTTCGAGGGTGAACTTGCAACTTTGAACGACGTGACTCGGGTGTAGCATGCGCTGGTGTCGCTGTACAGCTCCCTCGGTCTGTTGGTCCTGGACGGCAATGGTTGGGCGTTTGGTGTATTCCTGTATCGAGTCGATATCGACTGAGAATACCCTGGCACCATCGTTGGCCAGGAGGGCAGCGAGAGGTCGTCCCACGACTTCGGATCGATTAATTACCGTCACCGTCTTTCCAAACGCACGGTCGCCATATTTGAGAAGCGAGTTGTACACCCCAGCATATTCAAGACACTTGATGATAGCTAGGGGTGTGCATGGAAGGATGCTTTTGAGTGTTCCCGCCGGAGGGGTGTCATTAGCCTGAATCGGCGTCGGTGGCAAGACGGTGTTTGTCGAATTGAGGAGGGTCGGATCAACGAAACGAATACTAGGTGAATAAGAGTCAAAGATTTTCGCCTAAAAAGGGCCCAGACAAGACGTACTTATGGTACATATTGTAATGCCACTTGTAGTGTAATCCCTCGACATCCTTGAAAGGGGAGACAAGCTAGTGGCCATCAGAGTTTGGAATTGTTCAAAGTGTCAAACATACTTGCTGAAGATAATGATCCTGTTATCGTCTTAGTCTCGAGTCTTTTGGGGGACGCTCAAAACTGACCTGACGACCACCAAATATGGGATAAAAAACAAGAATCCCATCACACCCATCGTCTTCATTTGCTTCGACAATAGCCTCTTCGACGCCTTCTCCCTCGCCACCAGCCTCTTCCTTGCTCATCGATCCGCCTTCTTTCCAGCGGCCTGCGCCGACTTCTTTCAAAACGAAGCGAACGCCAATGTTCTCGCACTGCGATTGTGCAAACTTGGCGTACATCCGCGATGGTGCGGCAGAAGTGGACAAGATGGCCACCAGTGTCGGTGGCCTTCCGAGACTCTTCAAGCTCTCTCGGACTTCATTCTCAAACGGCGCGCCGACTTTGGCAGCTGTGAGCAGTACACCCGCATTGGCAGCCATTTTCTTCAATAAATCAGAGGACAAGGCCGAGTCAAAGATAATCACGATTCCACAAGCGAGCGGCCGACAAAACTTTTCACTCAGAGCGGATCGATTTGGTCAAAGGGATGTCATTATACAGAGTCAATAATTGGACGTATTTCATGACAGGAATCCTCGAATCGCGCCTCCGACATTGGGAACATCAAGCATGAAAGTGTCGTGTCCCCATACTCCTCCAAGCTCGTAGTACACCACCTGTGAATTCCCGGCCATTTTCAATGCGGAAGCGCATTCTCTCTGCTGTTCTACTGGGAAGAGGATATCACTCTGCACACCGAGAATGAGCACCGGTGTATTGACCAGTGGCATCAGTCCCGCCGCGAGATCGGAAAGATGTGGAGGGGGAGGCGTTAGATGAAGATGAGAATTCCCTGATTTTGGATCCGGTGCATCACCAGACGTGAGATGGAGTGACGAAAGGGCCGAGTGCGTCAGGTCGAACAGGTCCATCGCCTTGGATACATAAATGAGTGAGTTGGCGTCGTACTTGAGACAGAATTGCTCTCCTTGATGATCTAGGTATGTCTCTATTAAAAAATCTGGACAGAGCGCCGGTACGCGAGGTCCATTGGCTGGTTGCTGCGAGGGTGCGTCGCGGAACCGTCGTCCAAACCGTTGATCCCACTCTGGTCCAGAGCGGTAGGTAATTGTCGCAATTTCTATCGCCATGTCAGTCTAGTATGATGCTAAATAGGGGATACTCACGCCTCGCGAGCTTCATGCCTGTATGGGGAGGTAGGCCATCGTAGTAGAAGCCATTGTTCCAGTTGGGGTCGGCCATCAGGACTGTATTGGGTTGATTAGCACTAATAATGAACTCAAGTAATTGACCCACCACTCCTCTGGGCAAAACGCATTGCAATCGCACCCGGACTACTCCTGGCTGTCCCGCTAATAGAAACAACCTTTCCCACTCTCTCTGGATGCAACCAACCGGCCGCCAGGCTTTGCATCGCACCCATAGAGGATCCAACACTCGCATACAGTTTTTTGATGCCCAACTCATCCAACAATGCAAACTGCGCCCGCACCATGTCAAAAATTGACAAAACGGGGAAATTCGTCCCATATTTCCCACCATTTGCATCCGTCGGGTCCTGCGACGAGGGTCCCGTCGAGCCGTAGCATCCACCGAGAACGTTTGTGCAAATGATGAAATGCTGATCCGTGTCGAGCGCCTTTCCTGGTCCAATAAACTTTTCCCACCAACCTGGCGCTGGATTCGCGGCTGTCGAGGCTGCATGCGACGATGCGCTCAAGCCGGTATGCAACAAGATTGCATTCGACTTTGATTCATTCAACGTGCCCCACGTCTCGTACGCAATGTCATATTCTGCCAGTGGTTGATTCGGATAGTAGACCAGAGGAAGTGGCTTGCGTGACGTGAATGTTTTATAGGATGATGGGTTCGGACGCGCATAAGGTGGTTCGGGACCGGTGGAGGACGGATCTTTGTTGTTAGAGGTTTCTGGTGCATGTGTAGTCACCAAATGGTGTTTTGTGGTCGACTGGAGACGCTCTTCACGCGCGGCATGCGCTTCGACGCACGGAAACGTTGGAGGCTCGCGTTTTTGCCTCGTTGCTGCATTTGAATACGCGCGTTTTGCTGGTAAAAGCACCTGGGCTGCATCCTTTTGGTTTGCGTGGGCCCGGGCGACGGTTGCAAATGCAGCCAACGACGCGCGATGGTGAGGACGGAGAAAGTGGGGTGTACTAGAGCCTTTTCGCTGCGAGATTTGGCGTAGAAAGGATATGGAGGACATGGTTGGGTTCAAGGCTTGATCAGCGGCCCAGCTCGCCTAGATTTCATTCGAGCACGCCATCCCTCATTCAGTGAGGTAAGCGGACCGGGTATATATAATGAGATTAGCCGAAGAGACTACATTGTTCTCAATAAAGAGAAGATCTCAGTAAGTAATCTACAATGTTAATACAACACTTGTCCACACCAGCACGACGCTTATGGCACTCGTTCCTTTCCTTTGGTACTCGTATTCCCAATCCCCCCCGGCGTCTCTATATCTGCCACTTCACGCTCTGACAAACGTGAACCAGTCGTCACACTCGGACCAGCCGTCCCTCCAAACGTGTCGAGCTCTGTCCCTTGAGGATGCTGTATATCCAGTGTCGCCTTTGTCTCCCACATGCTAATATTATGATCCCGTGATGCAACTTTGAGGAGGTTGAGGTAAAACCGGCAGATGAAGACGACGTCCATGCACCACTGGAGGGCCAAGCCCAGGTAGAGACTGCCGCCCTTGACGATGAGGAGAATGACGCAGATACGGGCTACGATGATCATGAAGAGGTAGAATATACCATCTCGGAAGATGACATAGAGTAGCGGTGCGGATTTCCGGTGCTTGAGAAAGGCGACGTGGCTGAGGGCTTTGCGGATCGTTAGCGGCCATGTAGAGTTCGTATATTAGCTGTAAAGGTAAGAAGATGGAGATATGATCAGTGTTGTACTCACGGGCGCGATGAAGATAAGACCAAATATGGGTGATGTCTGCTTGACCGCTGCACATTCTCCACGGTTTGAGATGCCGACGTGTTCTAGTAGTGTTAGCACTGGAACGATAGTCTGCGGCGTGTACATACTGATATTGTCACTGATGCTCCATAATGCAAAGACGCCCGACACAATGTAGCAGAATCCATATGCGGCATATATCGAGGCAACAATCTTTCTATCTTTTGCATAGATAGCAACCAATCGACGGGTTAAAATCCCTGTGATTAATGAGTGACGGTCAAGGGCCATGGATGGCTACTGACATTTGGACAGAATCTCGGATATAAGCTGGCACAATGTCCCTGCGACAATATATCCTTGACACCTAGAATTTCTGAGACGATGCACGGCTAGATTTATGGAGTAGTACCACTAGAGGGTCAGAAATAGACGGATCGTTAAATAGAATGCATACTTTTAGCGTAAGAGATGGACGCAGAGGTCCCAGTTCTGCAGTATGTGAGCGTGGCTACTCGACAGAGTGCCGACTTACGGTACATGGTGACAATGTTCAAGCCGATGGTGATCATTTTGTTGATGAGATAGACTGGCTTGATAGAGCTCTTCCATGGCTTTGACCATATTAGATCTACCTGGTATGGTTCAGTATTTGGTGTAGCTGGAATATTCGCAACTGGTACCTCGTCTGCCAAAATGAGAAACGAGTCGTAGACGATTGTAGTGATGCTTGCGAGAGTGACATAGCGCTGGTTGAACAGGTTTGCAAGGCCCCTGGTATCTCTATCTGTCCATTCCTCGTCCATGGAAAAGAGGGAATAAGCATCACCCACCGCTGCCGAATGCTTTTATAGGCTGAAATGTTGCAAGTCCCACGCCGATTAGGGTTAATTCGGAGGTTGGATGTCCCATGAGAACGGCGAGGAGAATTCCCGTGGTAAATAGCTATCAGCGCCCAAAAAGAGCCGACGAATAATATAAGACTGTTTCAGTTTTGCTGGTTGTTGCCACAGCTCGGTTCGTGTGCAATGTGAATGTGCTCGGCGAAGGACGCATAAAGCTTGGACAGCGACCACGACAGCCCCGATATTCTCAAAATTCCTACAATAATCGCCATTCGTTTTCCAATACTGCCGCTGGGGCTTCCAGTGCCATGCCTCGCTCGCTGGCGTCGTCGTATCCGTCGCTCACGTCTGAATCTGGGTCAATAACGAGCTCTGAATTTGTCCCAACGGCGTCTGAGCACGTGAGCCCGTCCCCGGTGTCGTGGAGAGGCAAGCAACGGCCAGACGAAACGGTTAGCCGCGCGCGCTCGGGCTCACAAAGTTGGATACTAAGAGGACTTGCAGGATCGTGGACATCGATTTCAGTCTGCAAAGCGGGTATGTTGTCTACTACAAGATTGGTGACGTTTGGTTGACCAAACTTGGCTCCTGTCCCTTCAGCTCCTGAGCTTTGGGAGTGGCCACTACCCGCTGTCGATCCCTGGACCTGCAAACGCAGACGAACTCAAGCAATTCTCTGCTCGGCATAACAAAACACAGACAGCAGAGAGCCACGGCCAGTCGACGCGGCGCAAACCACGCAGATCACGCGACGAAGTGAGTGACTTGAAAGTTTACAGTTGGAATCTGACCACGAGCGAGCAAGGCCGCTGCCTCGTTGCACAGGTCCTCTCGCGCCAGCGCCGCATCGACAACGGGTCTCGCCTCTAAACATTCTTCTCTCGGTCCTCTGCCAATCTTTACTCAGCGCACCCACCATTACACCCTCTCCCGCCAGTCTTCCATCTCCAGCACCTTGGCCCACGCCGCCGACAATACAGGCCAAACTAGCCTCCAACCAGAACAAGACTATTCAGATCAGCTTCATACAGCGTCACTTTCGACGACGCCACCCTCTAGATCGTCATCGACAAGACGCAAACCAACCCTGGCTTCGCTATTCCAGAGCGCAAGTCGCAAGGCGTTGCGACGAGACGAGTTTAGAAAGGACAGCTACTCGAAGCAAGATGATGGTTATACGCCCGCCCAGAGCGTTCCAACCACGCCACGGCTGCGTCGCTTTCTCGGTCTAAAGTTTCCGCATATTGGCGAGACGCTACGCTCCGCTAAATCTACACCAGCACCTCCCCCGCTTCCTACAGCCCCTGTTGCCTCTGTCCCCGTCGTTCCTGTCCCCCCTACGCCAGCCTCGATAAAGCCAAAAGAGCCATCTGCACCTCCTACGCCCATTCTCAAGCGTAAACGATCCTCCCTTCCCAACCCACCCCCCAAACCAATGCACGAACATGCACCAGACGACTATCAAGATCGTTCGCTTGCCTACGAGACGCCCAGCAGGGCTGCTGCCGAGCTCGCGGACATTTCGAATCATACCATTCGTCGATCAAAGTCGGACTCGCGTCATCCAAAACGTAGCCACTCGCCCGGTCAGACGACGAGCATTCGCGTTCCAGGTCCACCACCGCCCCATCATCCTCATCCGCATCCATACTTTTCGTGCGGTACACCGATTGATAGAGCCCTCATGTCGCTTCCGTCTTTCGACTTTGAACCCCCAGTCACTCGACCATCGACACCGGGCCAAAGTCAAGAGTTTTTACCACTTGAAAAGGGTAAACGATACAGGTCAAAGATGACGGAAGGAGATATGGTATTGAATCCGGAAATCAAGAGTGTGATTGCCGCTGGCACCGAGGCAAGGCGAGAACGACGAGCGCCCAGTCGTGAACGACTGCGAGTTATTGGTGGTATGCACAGACAGATACTTCCAGAACTCACACACGAAGACGATCAACTCTCGCCAGACCCATATCCCGACCAGCGCGCGTCGGCGCACCCTAGTGCAATGGCCACCCCAACGATGAGGACAAGAAGTCCGTTTTCGCATGGGCTATTGCCATTTGAATCCCCCGCCTCTACCCCATACGGTAGTCTGATTGAATTGCCTCTCACACCGCCGCCTTCACGGCCTCGACGAAGCCTTCAAGCCGTTTCCGCACCGAAACCGACTGCAGCTGCGCCTGCATCCCCCGTCGTCACACGGGCGCATCATCGTCATTTTTCCTCTTCGGCGACGGCAGTGGCTCCCCCGGCGCCACCTCTGCCGCCAAAGAATGAGAGACGACAGGAGAAGCGGCCTAGTTATGACGAAAAGGCGCAGAGTAGGCGGGACGAGTATGGATACGATCAGGAGATGGGATTCTTAAAGGGTTCGACCTCGCCTAGGTTGTATGCCGGGGACTCGCCCGTCAAGGATAGACGATATGCCAGTCTCGATTCGTATGACCGTAGATACGATCAGCACAAGCGTAAAGGCTCGAATACAAGCAACTCGACGTCGCTCAATCACAACCATCGACTCGACAGCTCGGCGGGTCACGACTCGCGTGGGTCTCCGACATCGTATCGCTACCCGCCTCCCAATTCGCAGCACGCACATTCAAAGAGTCTATCTGGAGCCACGACCGTTCATAATCCATATCTCACCCCGCAGTCTATGCCTGGTTTGGGCATCACGCTTTACCCAGAGGCGTCGGTTCCGTCTCATCGGGACCGGTACTATGATCTGAGTGAAGCGATGAAGCTCTCCATTGGAGATTCGCGGTACCGCTCGTTTGAACGAGGTGAGTGATACCTCAGTCTTCATTCATCGGGCCGGGGTGACATTTTCTGATAGCAATGCGCAAGTACAATGAGCAAGCAATTCCTCTTCGTGGTAAAGGCGGCTTGTTTGAGCGCGTCGAGCGGTTATTGGACGATGCGGTTCGCGATGGTCTTCCACTTCAGACGGCGCGTCGGTATAACCAGACGTTTCAAGATCTCCTCGTCGAGAGTGATCGACCACGTCGCGACCTTGCCGTGTAACTAACACCTCCACCCTTTTCGACACGCACACCTCAACGTTTTATTATCTCTCCTTGTTCTCCGCAAACGCAACTAACGCCCGGTTTCTTCCGCAAATGCAATGCCAACGCCAACGCTACGTCTTCGCTTCACGCACCTCTTTCGTTTTGCGCCACTGCGTTTTATCACGCTATCTATCCCCCCTACTTTGAACGGGCTATTTGGACTATTTTCCGTCTTCTCTAGGCCGAGCTATAATGATATATCCAGGATGGACAATGCCTCTTTGTTTCGGGAGCCACGTCCTTGTACTTTGGAATCTAAAACGTTTTGTACTACCTCTTACGCCGTTTGGAAAGTTTAGCCTGAGTTTACCTAGGAGAAGAGAGTGCTTTCGAGGACGAATGTAAATGAATGTTTAATATTGAAACAGGACAGTACATAATGTATTAAACGCCACGACTCACTAGCTAGCACTGTTTCGTACGCTTGTCCAAGAAAGACCACATTGAAAATGGGTGAAATCAAGCTTGGTCGCGCGAAACGAACTCGCCGTTGGCATGGTGAGAAGAAGACGTGGGGTTTGGAGTCCATGCCGGTTTTCTGGAGGCACCCAGAAGAGAAGTTTACCGAATTATTTGACCCAACCATCATTCGAAAGCGAGAAATGCGTGAACCCAGGTACATGTAGTCCTAAAGGAGTACCCTCTATATCTTCGGGAATGCTTGAATGTGCAGCCTCACTGAGATCCTGCTGACCATTATTCGCGCTTGTGCCTAATTAAAGTTGTAAATCTGCGTCACAGAATAACCAACAAGCCTGAAACAGACTTACCGGCATCAATATCCCACAGTCGAATCGTCTTGTCGGAGGAGCCAGAGACGATTCGTGAACCGTCTGGAAAAAATCCGACGGCCAAGACGTCGGATTTATGACCTTGAAGTGGCTCTCCCAGTGGACGACCAGTGTCAACATCCCACAGTTGAATCGTCATGTCGGAGGAGCCAGAGATGATTATTGAGCCGTCTGGGGAGAATCCGACGGCCCGGACCGAGAGCTTGTGTCCTCGAAGCGGCTCTCCCAGTGGCTGACCAGTGTCCGCATCCCACAATCGAATCGTCTTGTCGCCAGAGCCAGAGACGATTCGTGAGCCGTCTGGGGAGAATCCGATGACCCAGACCGAGGATTCGTGACCTCGAAGTGGCTCTCCCAGTAGCCGACCCGTGTCCGCGTTCCACAGTCGAACTGTCCAGTCGGAGGAGCCAGAAACGATTCTCGAACCGTCTGGAGAGAATCCGACGGCCAAGACATCAGATTCGTGACCTTGAAGTGGCTCTCCAGTGGCCGACCAGTATCCGCGTCCCACAGTCGAACTGTCTTGTCGGAGGAGCCAGAGACGATTCTTGAGCCGTCTGGGGAGAATCCGACTGCCCAGACCGCGTCTTCGTGACCTCGAAGCGGCTCTCCCATTGTCTGACCAGTGTCCGCGTCCCACAGTCGAACCGTCTTATCACCAGAACCAGAGACGATCCGTGAGCCGTCTGGAGAGAATCCGACGGCCAAGACGTCGGATTCGTGGCCTTGAAGTGGCTCTCTCAGTGGCCTACCATTGTCCGCGTTCCACAGTTGAACTGTCTTATCGTAAGAGCCAGAAACGATTCTCGAACCGTCTGGAGAGAATCCGACGGCCAAGACGTCGGATTCGTGACCTTGAAGTGGCTCTCCTAATGGCCGACCAGTGTCCGCGTCCCACAGTCGAACTGTCTTGTCGGAGGAGCCAGAGACAATTCTTGAGCCGTCTGAAGAGAATCCGACGGCCCGTACCGAGTCTTCGTGACCTCGAAGTGGCTCTCCCAGTGGCTGACCAGTGTCTGCATCCCACAGTCGAATCGTCTCGTCGCCAGAGCCGGAGACGATTCGTGAGCCGTCTGGTGAGAATCCGACTGCCCAGACCGAGTATTTGTGACCTCGAAGTGGCTCTCCCAATGGCTGACCAGTGTCCGCGTCCCACAGTCGAACTGTCTTGTCGAAGGAGCCAGAGATGATCCTTGAGCCATCTGGAGAGAGCCCGACGGCCAAGACGTCGGATTCGTGACCTTGAAGTGGCTCTCCCAGTGACTGACCAGTGTCCACATCCCACAGTCGAATTATCTTGCCGGAGGAGCCAGAGACGATTCTTGAGCCGTCTGGGGAGACTCCGAAGGCAAAGACCGAGGATTTGTGACCTCGAAGTGGCTCTCCCAGTAGTTGACCAGTGTCCGCATCCCACAATCGAACTGTCATGTCGGAGGAGCCAGAGATGATTCGTGAGCCATCTGCAGAGAATCCGACGGCCAAGACCGAGAATTTGTGACCTCGAAGCGGCTCTCCTAGTGGCTGACCAGTGTCCGCATCCCATAACCGAATTGTCATGTCGGAAGAGCCAGAGACGATTCGTGAGCCATCTGGCGAGAATCCGACGGCCTGGACCGTGTCTTTGTGACCTTGAAGTGGCTCCCCCAATGGCTGACCAGTGTCCGCGTCCCACAGTCGAACCGTCTTGTCGTCAGAGCCAGATGCGATTCGCGAGCCATCTGGTGAGAATCTGACAGCATTTATCTGTCTCTGATGACCTCGAAGCGTTCTGGGAAGACTGGGATACATTTCCTCAAGTCCTTGAGTCACAGTCAGCGTATTCGCGTACAGTGGGAGACTCTCGCTACGCAGCATTGACTTTGTAGGAGTAAACGGAAGGGCCGAGATGTAGATGTGCGGGGTACTGTCCTGGATTGCCACCGAAAATGCCATTAGAAACCGTCGGATCTCTGTTAATCTGGTCTGAAACCCCTCCTCAGCCTTTCCATTATGTCAAAAATTAGAACATATCTGTAGAGACCACGCACTTTTATGTGACGTGTGACGGCTCGAAGACCGGCTATTGCTCGCGGTACTCCTCCAGTAAGGCTCAGAATCTCCACCCAATATAGCACATGGGGACTTTTGGTAACGTATACGATTTCGCTTTTGAGAGCACGTCGCCATCTGTCATCAGTTTCCGCCAGGTGAAATGACCAATGGGAGCTGGCATAACGAAGCCTTCTAGGGATGAACTTTGAAACTCTGGCGTCGAGATCAGGGATCTGTCTGTTGAGGAGGAAAGAAGATTCGATTTGACATATGTTGAACTTGAGACCTCCAGTTGGCGACTTGAAGCGTTTGAGACACCATGATGCAGCTTGACCGTGCGCATCAGCGACGTTGAGATACAGTCTATTACGTCTATCGGGGGTTGGTGCAATAGAGCAGCGTCGAAGGTACTCGACCAGGGTAGGGTGACGAAATTGGATCAGATGTGTACCTGGATCCACACTGAGTACGCTTCCCAGATTCTGGACTAACGCCTTAGCACTTCCCCGTACTCTAGCATGCTTCAGTAGGTCGTCCAAATCGTCGACGGTGAGTGGTTCAAACGCAGCAACCAGCAGAGCGAGCATTGCGCACATCACTGCGTAGTACTGTGGGTCGGTCCTTTCGAAGACGAGACCATATACGTCATCTATGACTCCGGGTTGGTCCGTGGATATAAGGAGATCATATATGTCCTCGGGCGAACTCAAACTGGTTTCGCTAGTGAGCATTCGGCATGCGGTGCTCGCCCAGATGAACAGGCTGTTGGCTTTTTTGACCAGTCGTTGCCTCTTATCCTTGGGTAGAACTAGGTGCAGAGACTGATCTACATAGACCTCAATGTCATTGGTGTTATCTGGGTGATTGATATCGTGCAGGCGGTCTTCCAACTTTTCTTTAATAGAGACCCCTTTGAGAACAGCTTCGATGACGGGGTCTGGTCGACTCGTCATGAAGATCTTGAGGTTTTTGCTCCCTCGAACGCCCATAGCAATGGTTTCGACAAGTTCTCTTCGCTGTGATCCAGATCTGCATTCGTCGATTGCATCGATGACAATGATTACTCGCTTGTCTGAATGACTGAGTGGACCGATGATGAGTGTGCGAAACTGCTCGCCAAGCGGACTTCGCATGACCACCGGATTTCGCTTCACGGCCTCGGCGATGTGTGGAGCTAGCTCGGGTATATGGTGGGCGATTTCCTTAGCTATGGTTGAGCAGACCTTTTCTATGTTTGATGCTTCGGTGCTGGCCATCGAGAAGAAGAACTGGGCCCCCAAAGTTCCCTCGGCTCGCCACGACGCCGCTGCGGACATTGCCACTGAGGATTTACCGGATCCAGCTATGTCGCATAGCCAGAATATTTGTTTCTCCGACACATCATCCTCAGCCCATCGCCAGATTTTGTCAAGAACAGTCCGACGTGTTCCTTGCAAACAGGGGGTGTGCACTGAGGACGCGACGAATGCTACCATTGGTAGCTGCAGTATGGCAGCAGTCTCGACTTGTAATAGTTAGCAAACTTTCAATGGACAAAGTTAAGCTTACCGTCTGTCAGGATAACCTTGGAATTACGTTCAATGGCTTGAACATTGCGTTCGGTGGCTTGAACACGCAATGCAGTGAAAAGACCCAACGCATTCTGCATCTAAGATCAACTTGTGAATAAGACTAGTGGGACTCGTACCATAAACTGCCTATGTCTGTCCTCGATATCTCGATTGAATTTACGGATTTCTCCTGCATCCAGTTTAATCTTGCTCATCGCAACTAGAACATTGAGACCGCTGCGCTGTCGCTTGTGCCTATGATTTACGACCTTGTGATGAAAATCTTCAAGAAGCCTATGTATATCAGCTCGCTGCTGCAGCAGAAGTGATATTCTACATACTCGACGTAACGAATGAGTGGCCGGCTAAGCGCTTCGTCGACGGCTCTATCCGCTGGAGGATACCGTTCAAACGAGTTGACTTGATCTTCAATAGACGATATGTACTCGTCTAGACGCCGTGTTAGGTCGACAAAGTCTTCCTGGTTGTCGTCGATACCCTGTGGTCTTCCTTAGACGAGGTACGCCAGTCTCGCCGACTTTACTTGCATGACATCGAGGACTGATTTGGTTGCTCGACAGGCTGCTTTGAGAGGAGCAAGTATATCGGATGCCTCGGCCACATTTGCCACGGTGTCGAGAGTGATGCCGGCCGGGGTATATACTTGGGCCCTCTTGCGTGATGATCTTCCTGTCGACGACGATGACCCTTGAGGACTCGTTGCCGTATCCATGACTCTAGGACGACGCTGTGGACGTGGACGGGTCGAAGAAGTCTGCCACTCTCCTCACCACCCAGCGTGACAGATATCACGAGGCAAAGACTGGTATTCGATCTTACGGGTTGCAAACGATAGGAATTGTTAATACCTGCACTAGACCCACGCTTTTAGGACCCTTTCCATCACACTATCTATCTGCTACTGGATGTCACTTGGGTTACTTCTCTAGGCCTGGGTACAATGGTTTCGGGAGGCATGTCCTTCTACTTTTGAATCTTAAACGTGTACTGGCTTGAATAAGTCTTGTAGAACAATTTACCAAAACTGTACAATTGAGTGATTACGGATAAAGCGTATCGAACGTATCGTCTCCCTTCTCTCATGCTCAGGCGCCATTCGAGCCGGTCGCGACTGTTGGTTTGGCCGCGCTGTAATCAATCAGAAATAGGAGAAAGTTGACCCTGAGATACTCACCTAGTCTCTGCATCGATAGCCATGCTACTCGACTCGGCTTTGCGTCGCTTCTCGTCTCCACCTGGGAGGAGCTCCATCGAAGGCTTGCGCTTCTTGCCTAGTTGCGCCGATTGTTCGTCCACAGGCGTGAGTTGCTGGGCCGATTGTTGTTGTTGTTGTTGTTGCGGCTGACCACTGGGTGTTGTACCTGCCGCAATGGGAACGGGCTGATTCGAGGAGAAAGGAGGCTCTGCATCTGGTGGAGATGTCGTATAGGTGACCTGAGGTAGGATAGGGCGCGTTGGAAGCTGAGACTGTGGGTACATGCCGATCATTGGCACAACTGGAAGTGGTGGATTCTCCTCTGCTGGGAACCATTGGATAAGATCGAGGACAATGATGCGCTTGTTCGGTTGGCCCATTTGGACTTTAACGAGGTCGCGATTTTGCTTTAGCGTCTTCTCGACGTCTACGTAGACACCATAGTTGGCGTTCTCACCCGCCTCGATGTCATCTGTCTTACAGTTAGCCCTATCGAAACGGACTTGCCGTCACACTAACCTGGCGTGCGAACGCGTACTTCAATGGAGCGATACGTCTTGCCTCGCTTGGTAGCGCACATTGGACAATACCAATCCTCGGGCTGCGTCGGACCCCAGAATTCGACGCACCAAGAATGGAACAACTTGAGGCAATGCGTGCATTTGATCGTCGGTGCGACCTCTGGGCCAAATGTGTTGGGTGGAGTACCATGGCAGAAACATTGCGTGCCATCTGGTGCCTCCTTTTCGTTCTCCTGCTTGAACACCATCTTTCCGCGCCTTCTCCTCTTGGTCCTCTTTTGGCTTGCGAGGATCCTATGCAAGCCAGCGAGGTCCAAGCCATACGAGACGTTGGGCCTGGGGGAAATAGCGACTTGGATCTTGAAGAGCTTGCGCATATAGTGACGGACCTGTGGAATGATCTCGGGTCGTTGGTTTCCACTTTGCGCAGCAAAGGCGAGGAAGTGGGTGATGACATTCTGCAAGCGAGCAATGCGAGTGGCAATAAACTCGATTTGCTTCCACAGACGCGAATAGTTGCGCGTCAGATCTGGGACGGGCCTGACGCATGCCAATACGTCAAAGGAATGATAGTATCTGCCTCGATGGAGAGACCCGTTCCAGTGGTGATGATCGCAAAACGGGCAAGAGCCTCCCGCACACTGTGGATGGAACCTGGCTTGACAATGGTCACACTGAACAGCGTCGGAGACCGTTCCAGGAGGTGGAGGGCGAACAGGCAACGTGCAGATACATGTACAGAACTCTTCGTTTGGCGCCGCATCCTCCTCCGTTTTGGTGCATTCGGCAACATCCTTGTACAGATGTTCTACGTGATCGCGTCGAGGCTTGGGGAATGGTAGACGGTTGTACCATTTGTCGTGGGCATCGAGCTGGCTCTTGAGCATCTCGTATTGAGGGAGATGGAATTTGCTAGTAAGGTGTTCATCCGCGTACGCTCGCCATTTCCTCACCGCATCAAAGACAGATTCGGACTCGGATTGAGGGTGCTTCTTGTTGAGTACAGCTTCACAGCGTGTTTCGAGGTCGATAGCAAACTCCAAAACGCGGTGTAACTCGGAGACTGCTGGAATGCTAAAGTCTTTTTCGGCTCGAGCAATCAAGCGCTGTGCATCGGCGATCTTGGTGCGTTTATTGCCTTCTGGCCACATGAGCGCCTTTGCCGACTTCTCCAGCTCCTTGGCCTTGGATCGATAGGACATGATTTTGGACAGGACCGAGGCGTCCATCGGATGAGAAGCAGGGAGGTCCGTGAATTCGTCCATATCCTTCAAGTTTTTGATCTTGGACTCGAAGATGGCGTTGGCCTTCTTCTCCCACTCCTCGCCAAAGACGAGCTTTTCCCGCAAGACTTGCAGCATCGGATGCTCGTCAGTCAATCCACAAAGTCTTGCATGCTCCAAATGCAGCCTGACTTCAGACAATGTCAAAAAGTCTTCTTGGAGGGCATCGATTTGTGCGAGGACTTCGAGTTTTCGGACAAGCAAGTTGATCTCGTCCGTCTCATCGAGCGAAAGGTTGACCGACCACCCAATGCGAAGGAGTTCCTGGCACTCTGCCTGAATCTCACTTCGAAGCGCGACATCTGTCCAGTCCATATTCTCCCGAACCTTTTCAAGGACGGCGCCCGCACGTTGCTTAAAGTCTTTCGCCTGGGCAATCACAGCTTCGAGGACCGAAATCTCCGGCGCGTCAAAGCCCAGCAAGCCGACTTCGGCCAACAATGCCTCTGCGTCTTCAAGCGTCTTCTCTCGACCATCGCCATCCTCTGGGATAGGAGGAGACGCATCCTTCTTCGTCCGCTTCTTCCTTCGAGACTCTTTCTTTTGTCGTAGCATATTGGCTGCCGCTGCAAGCCAAATATCGCCTCTTTCGATGCAAAGTTTGAGGTTCGTGAGCTCGGGAAGGGGATAATTGATCTTGTCTCCTTCAGCTGCGAGGAACTTGAGAGAACGGAAGAGGGGGCGAGGTGATTCGGTCAACAGTTCTGCGAGTTTCAGTCGCCAGTTAGAGGGCTGCGCTGCGCGATCAATGACCTCGTTGACCATGTCTTCGAGAGTTTTGTCGCTGTACCGCAGCTGAAGAACTCGTTTGGAGACATCGCATTCGCAAAGGAAAGAGGCGTGGGAGTGGCAAACGACAGACGAGGTGCATTCGCAACCCATTCGCGAGAGATGACAGAACGCCTTGCATACGACACACTGGTGTTGCTCCTCTTCTTGAGCGTCCACTGCGTCTACAACTTCGAAGATCCCAGGGTAGTTTTCACGAACCCTGTTTCGAAGCTTAGTTTCTCGCCAAAGCATATCCGTGAGGAATGGCTTGAGCCTGTAGCACAGTCAGCATTTATGCCTAGGACGAAGATAGGCACGTACCAGATGGCCGTCTTGATAGACGTCGAATGCTGAGCAATTGTGCATAGTAGCTCGTCGTGGGAGAAGACCGGGGCCTTGTGATACTGTTGATATTTCAAAACGCTCTCGAGGTTGAGTGGGAGCCACTCTGGAAGAGCAAAGTTGATCGCTTCGTTGAAATTGAACTAGACGTGGTGAGCCTATGCCACGAGCAAACAGACGGTCTACATACCCCGTGGTTGAATCCTGCATGGTATGCTTTTGGGAATGTGATGACGAATTCACCTGGACGTTGATTACAGGCGACAACCTTGACACCCGCCTCCTTGAGGCGATCCGGTCGCATGAGGGTGACGAGCTGGTACAGCAAATCTGGCTGAGCTTCAAAGAGTTCGGGGGCTTCACTTCGTATCGCATCTTCGAATTTCTCTGCGTCGCTGCCTGGCACACCATACCAGGTTTTGGTGGCACCCCAATGCACTTGTAGGAAGCGTGAGTACTAAGGGACATTAGCGCACCGATCCTTACTATAGTTTACGCTATAAGTATAATGATCCTGTTCAGAAGTTAGTAAATATCTCCCCAAATCTCGAAAGTACACAAACCTCATTATGCCAGCAAAAAGTAGAGAAGACCATGCCAACGTATGTCCATGGCACAGTCATGCCAGAGATATCGCTTTTGATAAAACGAAGAAGTGAGTCGGAGATGATCGGAAGATTGTTGAGGTTCCAGGGTTCGCGTGAATAGGGATCGAGTGGATGAGTTTCAATCGTAGGCATGGCACTAGTAATTGTTAGAAAAAATGAAGAGGTTTTATACAAGAGACAGACCTTCCGTGGGTTGTCGAGTGTACGTCTGCACCGTACTCGACTTCGACGGTATCCTCGCAAGATTGGACGAGGCGCCAAAACTCTTTCTCGACGTCGTACTCCGAGACTTTGACATTTCCTATTTGGATCGTGTTTTCGTCGTACTCGGCATTCATCGAGTCTTCGGACGGGGGATGGCTTTCGAACCAAAGTTTTCGGAATGCCATATCTCTGGCTTGGAATGTCGGCAAGGTATGCTCTTCTCCTTCATCGAATCCAAACTCGTTGTTGGAGCCGTCCAAGCAAGAGTGGCAAAACCATTGCCCTTTGGGCACAGTCGGAAGTCGAGGGTCGAGACAGAAAATATGAAATCCTATGACGAATAAGAGAGTGCACGGTATTATTGGAAGAACCTTACCGCCGTCGCAGCCATCACAGAGGAGCATCTCTGACGGTTTCTCACTCGCCTTACAAATCTCGCAGTACTGCCACCGTCAGCCATAGAAAGACGGGGCAAGGGGATACTCACATCGCCATGTGCTTCAGTCGGAGCTGGAGTGGCTATGGAAATGTTAGATTAATGAAGAGGGCGCTGGGTGATTGTACGTGCCTGTGCCCATACGGCTGCGCGGTTTCTCGGTCGAGCGCGCGTCTGCCATCTGCACATCCTCATTCATCGCATTTTGCTCTTCCCTCGTTCGTGCCTTTCTATTGACGTCGCCATTGATGCCGCTGCCCATTTTTGCTTGGCGCTCCATGGTATGGTCGACGATCGTCATGGGCGCACCTCGCGAACCCATACTCGTGATGCGAGACAGAGTCGGCGAGTCGGGAGGCGCAGTAGGAGGTGTGCGGTTATTGGCCCCATTGGGTGTCAGCGCCGGAGAATTCTTGACGTGAACCAAAAAGTTTTCATAGGGCACGATGAGGGTCTCGTACGTTTGTTTCAGAGCCGCTGGGACGTTGGGGATGGCAGAGTATCCGAGCGTCTTGCCAATGTCCGACCACCTGTTCTCGGCGGTGACCTGGCATGTCCCGTTAGGTGATATACAAGTAGCTACACATTTAGACATACCGTAGTGAAACCACCGAGTTTCTGGACTTCCTTGCGCAGCAGCCAGAGATCGAGTGTGGCGTGATTGATAGTCGGCACGATGATGCGCATCTGGCCGTGTTGCTTGTGATAGCGATAGAGCTGCTCGAGGAAGCTAATCTTTGCCCTCGATGACGCTTCGACCTGATTCAGTCGTTGCACCCGAGTCTTGAAGCGAAAGGTCTGAATTGCGATAGATTAGCGCCACGGGAAACCGCAAACGGGAAAAAGGGGGCTGACCTCTGTGTTGGTGACAAATGGCATCTTCCAATTTTCTGGAGGCACAATCTTGCACAAGCCATACTTTTGAGCGGTCGGCGCAATCTTTCTAATATAGGCCATGGGATCGGTAAACTCTTCCGGAGTCGGATAATATTCTGGACAATCTTCGAGTCCAAACAGACGCTGTTTTGTCAATTCTGCGTCCATAGCATCTGCCGGCGTGGCGGCGGCCTGGCTGGTGGAATGTGGTGGCCGCGGAGCTTGAGTGCGCACCGAATTCAAATCGAGGACGCTCGCGACTTTGATGGGTTCAAGCCCGAGGTCTGGCACATCGTCGCGCTCTCTGGCGCTCTCATCTGCAGTATGTGTATTCCTCTGAGCAGTCGTCGTCGTCGTTGAAACCATTCGTGTCGACGCCATGCGCGCGGGAGCAGGCCCGCTTGGGTACACGCCCGTGTTCCCGCTACCACCGCTGGCTGCGTGAGTGTTGATGGCATCGTTGGTCGATCCAGAGTTTGTAGTGGATGGCAAAATCGGCCTGGTGCCCACGACGGGGATAGATAAAGCCGTGGTAAAGGTCGCAGGCCCACTGGGACCGCCTGCGGGAGTCGCTGGAGATGTCTGCGGTGCTCTGAGAGTCTTTAAAGACCCCTGTGGATCGCTGAGAGCAGCGGCCGCGGACATCTGAAGATGGAAGCAGGAGTTCAAGCTGCGATTGCTTTGTCCCCACCCACCGTGCCCGGCTCTGCTTACATTCAAGTTTGTAAATAAATCTCAGAAATTCAGATCATTGTTTCAGAGACTATACCTTTTATTTTACATCTTTTTTGCTCGAGAAATATTTCTAGGCTTGGTGGACACCGGTGGGTCTGGCGCTCATTTTCGCAAACTGAATTGTGACTAGTCTTCTGGGTCCATCGAGCTCAGCCACGCACGGGTCACACACAACGGCGGTCACAAAGGTTTAGAGTTGACAAAACTTCCTATTTACACTTTCCATCTACGCCAACAATACCAGATTTCACAACCGTCACATCAGGAGGGCCAGTCGTGAGTGGAAACTCAAGTCGTCGAAGAAAAACACACATAAACAGCGAAGGAAATAGGAATAAAGTGGGGGAATGTCGAGTCGTCGTGCGCGCTGCTATGAGACTGTAGAAGAGTATGGGGGTAAACCCCATCAAGTGGAACTGGAAATAATCGAATCACAACAGATCATCATCAGAGCTAAAGTCGCCGTCAACCTCATCTTGTAGGCGTCCACGGCCCGTGCGCCTTGTAGGTCGGCGTATGGGCCTACCACTCAGCGAGGACATGCTACTCCTCGAGCTCAGTGGTGTCGAGAAGCGAAGTGCATATTCCTAAGGTGCTGGTCAGCAAGCACACCTACATGGGATAGTATACATACGTCGACTGGCTGTTGGTTTTCTTTGGTTGCGTCGTCTTCATCTTCTGCCTCCATTCTAGAGGGGTGTGCCTCTTCAGTCTCGTCATCGTCGACCGGAATGTCGAATCCAGGATAGTGATCTTCCTCTGGATCATCCTCTTTGCTTCGCTTTGGGCGAGGGTGAGCGGCACCGGGCAGATAAACCTGCGTCGGTTTGGGTGCGGCAGCCAATGCAGCGAGGAGTTGCGCCTCTTCCTGGGACGGCTCGGCCGCTACACGAGGCTTTGGCTGTGTATACGAGGGCCCGACCTCGAGCGATGGGGCTAGTCCAAGGGCGATCGATTTGACAGGAGATGACCTGCGTGCTGGGGATTTTGGAAGAGAAGACATGGCCACAGGAGAGCCCATGGGCACATCGCTCTGGGTTATGCGGGATGGCTGAGGCGTGTCAAAGGAGAGCACCCGGGCAGTCGTGTTAGCGGATGGAAGTGCCCGTTGAAGATCTGCAACGGCCTTTTTGAACGGACTTCTGGGCGACAACACGCCTTCGACGGCGAGGAGGCGCCGCTTGGATGGGCTGACCATGGAACTTGGAGAATATGGACGCTTCTTGCCCAGCAAAGACGTTCCAGACACGTAATCTGGGTGGATAAACAGCGAGAGCGGGAGGTCGCGCAGCGGTTGGCGGAGTGTGGGTCGTTCGATCTGCGGCATCGTAGAAGATGATTGAAACTGTGATTAGCTGTTTGTAGCTGTCTTGTCTGATTTTGTGGGCAATTTATAACGTGGATCCAAGAAAACCCCAACGTGTCGCTGGGCGCAAAGTTGAACAAACGCGAGTACAAACAGCGAGTCGGCTGCCATTTCTCAAATCTGAAAGCATCTTTTTACGTGTTATAGACGCGTATTTGACCGTGTCGAAGGGGTTGCAATGGTATCCATCCCTGTTAGAGAATATGACCATGGCAATCATAAGTCGCAACATAATTCGTGTTCTAGACGACTTGGAATAATTTAATAATCCCCATATGTCCAATGCTGAGCTCCCGTATTGCCCGCACAGCTCCGCCGCATCGCAACTCCAACTTGGACCGCACTCTCTCCAGCGTCGCAAGTCAAGTGGCTGGCCCTCTTTGCACAACTATTTTTGCAAAAATCGTATCAATTATTCTACTATTCGGGAAATAACATCCGCCCTGTCAAATGAACAATGTACGACGCCTCTGGGCTGGAGGAGCCTCTACGACAACCACAGCGCTAGAACAACCCTACCAGGACTATGATTCCTCCTCCAGCACTGGTTGGACACCGCAAGTAGGGTCTGCCTCTGCCTCAAACACCCTTGCCGGTAGCTCGCATCCCACTCGCACGCCGTCTCCACCTATTTTACCCCGTCTCAAGACAAACCAGAGTCCAAATATCAACCCCCGAAGACAGAATTCGGCCCCAATATCCCCAGACGATGCAGACCCATCCGCCAAGCGAGCGAATTCCGTGAGCTCGCAATCGTCCCGCACCGGAGCAGCCAAAAAGCATCGTCCAGGCCATTCAAAGGCCCTCTCTAGCTTTTCGAAACGCATGGCCAATGGATCTGCATCACCGTCCTTGTCCAATCAAGGCCCGGCCCTCAATCCAAAGGACGAGCTCATCATCGAGCTCCTCGCCAGCGAGGCCGTTGTCGACAGCCGAGACTATGAAATCCTAGGGACCGACCAGATTGACGAGCTCAAAAAGGTATGTGCAGCGCTATTCATTCTGTTTCGGAGCGAGCGGGAGCACAAGTGCTGACGGACCTGTCATTCGCTTTAGGAACTCAAAGCCCTGACTGCTCGCCTCAATGCGGCTCAGAAGAAACTGACACTGGAGACAAAATTACGCGATGCTGCACTTTCGCTTGACAAAGTCCAGGCTGCCCACAAGCATACCGGCTCAAAAGGCACCAACGGGACTACTGCGACACCCCTTGAAACGGCCAATACAAAGGTTCAGGCCGCCCAGATGGAAGTTTCAAAGTACCAGGACCGCTATAACCAAGCACATACTCGTCTGTTAGAGCACCGTTCTGCCGTCTTGAGTTATTCGCTCGGACGATTGGAAGCCATGGTGAAACCTCAAGATGGCAGTCAAGAAGGCACATCAGGGCGTAACACCCCTGCCCATCAGGGCATGGCAATCAATGGTGGAGAACTCAGCCCGACGTCCGGCAATATGTCAATCGCACAGCGTGCCAAATTCGAGGGCGCGCACCTATTCGCCGGTCACGCTGATGCCAAATTACCACCCATGCCCAAACATGTCCGTGCACAAGCTCAGGTTGCCGCGCTAGAAGAGCAACTAGCCGCTGCCAAGGACGAGGCAGATGCGTTGCGGAAGGAGGCAGAGATACTACGGGACGAAAACTTTCGGGCTCTCAGCGGATGGAATGACAAGCTGCAAGAGGCAGACGACACAATATCAGGTCTTCGTGCCGAGCTGCAACGCGCAAATTCATCGACGAAAAAGCTACGCCAGTTGGAAGAGGATAAACGACAGTGGGAAGAGGAACGGTCAAAGCTACGGCGTGACTTGCAGGAGAGAGAAGAGGCTGCCGAGTTTCAAATAGAACTCGATCGGAGGGATGGCGAGATTAAGCAGCTTCGAGATATGCTCGCTGAAGAGCGTCGACAGCACGAAGAGGAGCGACAACGGTGGGAAGATGAAAAGATGGAAGACATGGCTCGACTTCAACAAGAGATGGAAGACGCCCGAGCGCACGACGAGGAGAATGCGCGAGGTGCCGATGCCGAGCTTGATATGGCGTCGGAGCGTCTTCAGGCGCTGATCAAGTCGCACAGTGTCAATCTCACCGCATCTCAACGACGCGACATGTCTTTAATGACCCTTTGCGATGCGCTTTCTGCGCATCTTGACGCTGTCAAGGATGAAGCCCGTCTGCAAGAGTTGGAAAAGGATGAATGGAACCTTACCAAGCGACGGATGGAGTCTGACCTCAAAGCTAGCATCGAGAAGCGAGAAAAACTCTCTCAGGAACTCGATGAAGCCCTCCGAGAAAAGGACGAACTCCGGAAGGAGCTCAGGTCTCTGGATGATCGCCCAAGGGTATGCTCATTTTCTCTTTCACAGAGGTCTGTATTGATGTATTTAACAGGACCGGTCCGAGCGCTCCGTGCCATCAAAAAGCAACTCTTTGCAGAGCGATCCGGGCAGCTCCAATGGTAGCCGTACGTCGGATGATGTGGACCGCATTATGTCGACGCTACGGAATCTCTGGTGCCTGCTTCCATCTCGAGAAGCTCGTGCCGCCAAATCGTCGGGACGCTCTGCATCTCCGACGTCTCCTCTTCGGCCAATGGCTTCAAGACTTGGCGAGCCGCCTTCGCCTTCGCTCTCTGATCTCGACGTCCGCGCTCTCAAGGCGCTATACGACCCACGAAACAATGCCCCTTCGCCATTGTTCAACACGCCGTCCAACCCGGCAGACTTTAATATTGATGCCTTTGCCCAACGGGTACAGGCTTTGGTCGCGGATGATCGTGCGATCATTGAGCGTCTCCTGCGCTTTGCGCAAGCGCATGATCTGCTGAAGAATAATGCTGCTCGTGCTCAGAAGCTGGCACAGGAAAGTTCGATGGGGCTCGAGACGTACCAGAAGCAAGTCAAGTCGCTAGAGGAGCGCAACGCGACGCTGGTTACAAAGCAGGCTGAGCTGTGAGTGTCGTCAGTGGGTTTTCTTCTTGAGCCAATAACTAATGTGTGCGATAGTATGGACGAACTCGACAGTCTTCACCGCCAGAAGCGTCACCTAGAAGCAAGCTTGGCCGATCAAGCGAGTGCTTTGGAGAGCATGGAACAGACGAATGGTCTGTTGACCACCAAGGCTGCGGCGCTAGAGGTTGCAGCCAGTGGTCCCGAGTCGACGCGTCTCAAACTCGAGGCGCAGCTCAATGTTGTTCGCAAGCAGCTGCAAGAGGCGACAGAGGAGCTCGAGGCTATGCGTAAATCGGAGCATAGCCAGAATCTGGCGCTCTTGGAGGAACTTAACGTCGTGCAAAGCGAAACACCAAGCTCCGGGACCAATTAAGAGCACGAAAGTAACAATGTTATGATGTGCGTCCATATCACTCTTCTTGTGGAGCCTTTGCTGACTGTATTATAGGCATCTTCGTTCGGCCGGATATTATCTTTAGCCCACGTCTTCGTCGCATCCTTCTCAGCATCACGTCACGTATCAGATCACGTTCGTTTTTTGGGGATACTCTGCCTGTACATTTATGTCTTTATTATCGGCCGCAAGGTCTGGGCTGGAATAATATTGCAAGCTACAACACTGGCAGCCTAGAACGCGTTTCTAATTGGGTATCCCGAGTTGCGAATTCGACTTCTTGGTCGCCGATTTCTGCCCTGTGCTTGTTCTCCGCCGGCATCGTAATGAGCGTCACCAGCACGAGTTTATCGTCGTCGGTCATTTGTAGTGTCAAAGGCTGCCACTGTTAGACTCGAAATATATAGAAATGATGAATAGCGAGACGTACAGTCCAGGCATGTCCTTGTGGCGAGTAAAGTCCGTCTAATTTCGAGTCTGAGAGCCTGGGCTCGGCATGTGTGTATGTTCCACGATTGAGCCAACAGTTATAGACGTCGGGTCTTCTTGATAGCAGTTGATCTTCTTCCAACGCCGCTACTCTTGCCCGTCGCGCTCGGATGCCACGATTCGCGTGGACGATGCAGACGACAATGATGAGCGCACCAAAGACTGGAGCTAGTATAAAGAAGAGGACGCCTGGTGTGAAACGAATGACAAACATGGCGCCGCTATGTCGTGGTTGGCGTCGGCATGTCTAAGGCTGTGGTTGCTTACCACTCACCCCGGAAAGTATTTGGAAAGAAAAAACAATCTGTACTTCATTACTTAGCGACAATACGCGTCTGAGATCACGTGTAATTCTTCAGCCGAGCGGCTCTGAATCGACCTCCCTTAATGATGCTCGACACGCTTGGATACCCGTCGAATGACTCAGGTTTCCTATGCACATAAAACGAAATAATGTATTAGGTAGGTAATGTCAAGTAGAGTATGGTCGGTTAGCCAAACGTTGGGAACCAAGATCTTCCTAAGTGGCGCAGTTGAAATCCATGCTAGCACGCTGGGAAAAAAAAGCTGCGATCAATGTTGGTGGACAATAGCTGGTCAAACTCTTACCTTGTTCATGCACGGAGTCGTGGTTGGAGTGGTTGAAGAAGCAGTCGTGGCGACATTGGTGATACTGGCGGTGTAGACAGAGAGCTAAATGTGTCGTGAGATGACGGTTCAATTGCTGTAGTATAAAGCACGCACCGCCCAAGCGTAGTTGTTTGATGCACGCGGATTATCAAAGCCGCATATCTGCCCAGTATTCCCAGGGCACGGCTAGGGGGACAGTTTGTACTTGGTCAGGAAACATCAGAGAGGTCACTGACCGTCGTGCATGTGTAATCCGAGGCAAGATCAAGGGCGTTCGGGATGCAGACTAGCAAAGATCAGAATTGCTACTAAGTCAATCAACCTGCTCTCACAGCAGTCCTGTCGTGAAAATGTGAGAGAATGAAGGGTCGAGATATCTGTGCTTACCGCTCCTGAGAGCATTGCCGTACGATATGAAAAACCTTGGCACATATTTGTGCACCCCTCGACAGTATTCCGAAAGTCAGTCACCACAAATCTCTGGGTCATCCATCCCGGCAAGTTCATGATACTGCAACACATCAGAAACAAAAATTAAAGGAAAGCATGCTACTTGCTCTAATTTGTGGCAGGATTTGTACTCCCAAGACCAGGAAGCGGTAGCCGAGGTCGAAGTCGATGTGCTCGAGGTCGAAGTCGATGTACTCGAGGTCGGTGTCGATGTACTCGAGGTCGAGGTCGACGTGCTGGTTTCAATCTGGCTGCTTGTGCTAGTACCAGTCGTCGGTGGCTGATACTGATAAACATTCAAACGGTTTGCGCCCCCACACAGATAATCAGCGGCTCCAGCACACGGCATGTTGCAGTTATCGGTAGCCTTGAAGCTTTCCGCTGGGAGACCGACAGAGCAATAGCACTCGGAGCCAAATTCCACAGCGGCCACATCGTATTCAGCCGCAGAACAAGCGTCGATGCACTTCTCCACGGTCATTTGCCCGACGACGTCCATTGGGGTCATGAGACGGGCCTGAACAGAGTCGACATAGCATCCTTGGCTAACAAAGTTGCTGTACGACTCGAGGACGGTAGGTTGGGTTGTGAGAGCGTTGCCCTGATACTTGTAAATGGTGATCCTATCCGGTCCACCACAGATTGTAGACATATCTCCGGAGCATGGCTGAAAACTCAGCAATGGCTTTATATATCCAGGCTGAAACACTCACCATTGTGCATCCATCCGTAGCCTGCACGCCAGACGAGCCAATCGAGTGGGAGCAATAGCACTCATCGGCGAACTCAAGACCTGCGTAGCCATAGTTCAAGGAGAAACACTTTGCAGTGCATTTGGGTACGGTCATTGGACCATTGACGTACACACGAAGACCTAGTGCACGATTGGTGACGGCATCACTGTGTCTTGTCAGTGTCAAGAGGACGAATAGCATTGGTACACACGTGTAGCAGCCGGTAGCACTGTCAAGAACCCAGTCTCCGGTCGATGGAAGAGGAGATGCACCAGCATACTTGAAGACGTTCAAGCGATCGGCACCTCCGCATGTCTCGCTAGGGTTTCCGGTACACTTCATATCACAACCCGTGGTCACGGGACCTCCAGAAGAGCCAACAGAATCCGCGCAAAAACACTCGTGCGCGAACTCGACGCCAGCGAGAGGATATCCCAGGCTGAAGCACTTTGCCGTGCATTTCGCAATAGTCATATCGCCATCGACGTATACTTGGGTAGGAAGAGCACGGTTGGCGACAGAGTCGGTGTAGCAGCCCTGCGAGGTCCAGCCGGGATACGTTGGCTCTGGCGGGGCGAGGTCGCCAGAGTTCTCGTAAACAGAGAGCCGGACACCACCACCGCAAATCTCTTGAGGTGAACCTGAGCATTTCATGTCGCATCCACTATCGGCTGGGGCTCCATTGTTGCGGAATTCACTGTCACAATCTACAGAATTGCACGTTCAGCTCGACCAAGTTGGGCCCACTATCAGAAACGTACAGCATTCTCTGCTCCATTCAGTGCCAGCATACCTGAAGCCATTAGAGTAGCAGAAGTCCTGGCACATGGCTGTGGTCATGGAGTCGGAGGCAAGTTGGGCTCCAGTGAGCGTGCGGGCGAGGGTATTGTCCGTATAGCAAGCCAAAGCGTTCCAGTTTGAACCTCCGGTCTGTCTACTGACATGATCAGTGTGTTTCGAGTCGAAAGGAAGGGCATTAGTGAATGTAGAATAAACGAGCGGGGCGAGGAGAGCCAACGTCGCGGGGACCATGGCTGAAGATTAAAAGAGAGGTCAAGGCGTAGATTCGGTCCAATGGGGGGGAAACTTTACCTCTGGAATGCGGTTTTATACGTAGACGACGCGTCGGTGGACGGATGTGCAGGGCAGGCGTGACACTGACAGGGCCTGGACTCCTGGAGCGACGGAATTAGAGAGTTTCCGGTGACATTTTATGCAGTTTCAGGACGTGTTTATTCCAAAGCGGGGCATTTGAATCGTGTTCGCAACTCGACACACGGGCCATTGACTCGGGGTACTCATTGATCTTGACATTGCTCGGTGAAGGCAAGTTTGATTGAAAGCGGCTATAGAGCGAGAGGGTACATGTAAGGACGACGCAGCGGACAAGAAGTTAGGCGGCGTACAGCAACCTTCTACCAAGTATTCCCGGTCTTTTGGTTACTGTGGACATCCAGACAACGTATCAGAGGTGTTTACCATAGAACGATGGTAATGGGTGATATACTGTTAGCAATATAGATCCATTACTACTTAGGCTTTGCTCGTATTATCGGTCTCGTGGTGCAATGGTAGCATATCACACTTCTAAACCATGCGCGTTTTGTTGATGTGAGGGTTGTGGGTTCGAGTCCCGCCGGGACCTTTCTTTTGCGACTTTAGCTATTCAAACTCCAGATCTTCCTGGCATATTTCGTTTTGACCTTGCAAGATATCAAAGGGTAAGTGCACGATGCATTAGAGGCAACGATGATACAGCTGACAAGTCTAATCTGGCGGGAAAGAGTCCATTCTCTATGGGGATCTGACCAGAGGCGATTAGGATGTAAAGAATAAATAGTTAGTTGAGCCGTGGTCGCTTGACAGAGCCATCGTTTTCCACCTCGAGCTCGCTCAGTGCGCTCCTGGCACTCGAAGCCAGATTTGCACTCGGCTTGAACGCATCAGCAGCTAATCTCTTACTCCCGATTCCACTAATTGGCCTCTGTTCTTGCACCCTTTGGGCGCTCGCTGGTCGCTGAGGTCGGGTCACCCCAGGAGGGATCACGAAGCCACCACCCGACGAGGGTCGTTTCGGAGGTTGGGAAGGGAATATTGACTGAGAGAGTGGGCCAATCTCCAAAAGACCGGCGAGAATGTTATTCTTTGTCTCCAAACCCTTGCTCGCTGCGGACGAACTCTCCATAGGTTGCTTGCTTGAAGACGCAGTATTTGGTCTTACTGCCAATGTCGATGGCTTCACATCTGCTACCGGATTCGACGATGCTGGTGCCGGTGCTGGGGCTGCCTTGACAGCCGCAGAAGATGGCACAGCTCGAGGAGCAGGGTCAAAGGTAGACACAGATGAGGTTGAGTGTATGCGGGAGCGGTCAGCAAAGTTGATCCCGCTACACTCATCCATCGACAGTTCGGTGAACATAGAGTCGTCGTCTGACCCCATGGCGTATAGCGATTCGTCTGTCGGGGCACGTTTGATATTAGAAGCGGCGGGTATCTGCGCAGCGGCTTTGGATGTCGAGGCGACGGGCTGGGGACTTGGATTTTGAGGGTGCCGAACTGGGATTTGCGGTTTGGGACAAGGCACTGGTGGAGGAGCTAATGGGGGATGCTGGTTGCTCAGACCAGCGGCAGTAGATGTCTCTACAAACTCCTTGCGACGGTGAAGATCTTGCTGCCCCAGCTTGGGAGGAGCAGGAGCTTTCATCTTGAGGATCTGGTTCGTGTAATCCTTGTCGTAGATACAGTTTCCAAGGACGTTGCCAAAGTTTCGCAGTGCTCGCTTTACGCCATCTGTGACTGCCTCCTTCTTGCACTGTAGCATCGTCAGCGTGAGCAGATGTGATGAGAAGAGACTTACCTTGTCCAGACCCTCTCCCTTGTTCTTGACGTTGATTACTTGGCCATAACCAACGTCTTCGTGGGACACACCGTCTCGCAGACATACTTTGACAATGGCAGACACTCCGACGTTGTATCGCTGGGTTTCTTGATTATAGTCAATCTAAATCAAATTAGCGGGTCAGTGACAGGGAAAGGGGAGTCTCACATAGTCGACGGTGAGATTGGTGATGCTTGAGCTCCAGCCGTTGAAACCAAACACCTCGTTGGCAATGTTGATCGCTTTCCACCCTTCCACATACGTAAGCTTCGGACCTCCACCCGGTCCAGGTCGCTGGGAGATAAATTCCGGTCCAAGTTTCTGATTGAGCTTCGCCTGAAGTGTGGCAAGTTGAGCGGCTGTTCGGAGCGCCTGGGCCTCTTCACGTTGCTGTTGGAATGCCATCATTTGCTGAAAATTCATTGGAGCAGCAGTATCGGATCGGACAACCGCCATGTTACGCATGGCCTGTCCGAACGACGCGTCGCTGAGCGAGCTATTGCCTACAGCAGTCTCTGAAAACTGAGAAAAGGGTGCAATCTACAAATTTACGCGTGTTTAGCAAAGAAAAACGCGTCGAACAAGCGGATGTACCGAGGGCCGGTTGTGTCCGTGCGCGTAGGCGTTGTATTCCATCGCGCCGCTTTGTACAATTTGTTGAGGAAATGATTTCTCGTAGTCTTCCACCAAATGTGCCGATAGCGAGGGCATTCAGGTATCGCGGAGGAGCTTGTGTTGTTTGTGTACGCGTTCACCACTCTTGGTAACCGACGACCAAGCCCGAGCAATGGAAGCGGCTCTTCGAAGCAGAAATATGGAGGAATTTCGAAGGGTCTTACATGCCGCAAAGAATATAATCGTCGTTGCTGGAGCAGGTCTCTCCGCTGCCTCTGGTCAACCCTTGTTGTCAGGCGCTGGCTATCGCTCATGCTAGATGCAGGTATTCCAACCTTTCGAGGAGCAGGAGGAATGTGGAGATCCTTGGAGGCGGTGTCTTTGGCAACCCCAGAAGCATTCGACCAGAATCCCAGTCTCGTTTGGCAGTTTTATCATTACCGTAGGGAGGCGTGAGTACTCTGATGTAATACGAACCGCCATTAACTTTGTCCAGAGCCCTTCGTGCCCAACCAAACGCGGCACACCTCGCACTTGCAAAGATGATGGTTCCAAGCATTCTAGCGCGGGTCGCTCCAGCGGCTCAATCGTTTCATCTGATCACTCAAAACGTAGACGGACTCTCTACTCGAGCAATTCAAGCTGTTGCAGAAGAACGACGAAGCGCCTTATCTTCGCCAAGCCCTCAAGACCTCCCTAACCCCTCATGTCTCATCGAGATGCACGGACGTCTGTTTGACGTACGATGTACACAATGTAACCACACTGTACTCGACTTCTCGAGTCCACTATGTTCTGCATTGCACGAAGCAGACAAAGAGCATACCAGTGTGATCCAGGCAGGACAAAAGGAACACGAAGTCAAAATCCCAGTATCGGAGTTACCCAAATGTTCCGAATGTGGCAGCTTGGCTCGCCCCGGCGTAGTTTGGTTCGGCGAGGAGATTCCGCTCTTGGAGGACATTGACAAGATTGTGGCCGAGGCCGACTTGTGTCTAGTAGTTGGTACCTCGTCCAGGGTAAGCATCCCCGTGCTTGGTTCTATTCTGATCCTTGCGAGTAGGTTTCCCCAGCCGCCAACTTTGCAATGGAAGTTCGTGCAAACAATAATCGGACAGGCCGCGTTGCCGAGTTCAATATCGAGAGTTCATCGAGGGGCCCTGTGGACTTTAGATTTATTGGGGAATGTGAAACTGAACTCCCAGAAGCCCTCGGCCTCAAGGATGTAGAATGATCAAGTAAATTGTCCGAAAATCATGTGCTATATGTAACCGAAGAATAAGAATACCACCGTTTTCCTGTATCCTATTTTGTTGGCTCCACATCCTCCGGGATGCTCATGGTCTCGTCGATTCGAAAGTGGCCAAGATGTGGGGCTGGCTTGCGTGGAGTTAGATCGACCTTTTCCTGAGGCGGTTTCTCAATCTCTGGATCCTCTGGCGGAGAGTTGAGTAGAGTAGGTTCCTCTGCGACTTCGGGACCATAACGGTCCTTTAGGACACGCTTCTCCTCATCCAAAGCCGCACGAAGTCGTGCTTCGACTTCTTCTGTCTTCTTTGACCGCTCGCCTCCTTTCCAGATTAGGACGGCTGCAGCGATACCGCAAAGAAAACTCAGAGGAATCAGGGAACCGGTTGTCCACGGCGGTCTACAAGGGATAAGTGACTGCAGAAAAACCAGTAGGTGGTCACTGACCGTTGGAAGCGATCCAAGCCCCACATACACCCGCACAGAATGATCTATCGGTAATCAGCTAGAGCAAACAAAGATTCACGGTACCGACCTGGAACACTGAGTTTCCGTCCACGAACAGACAGATGGCAAGTGCATAGCTAGAAAGAGTCAGATACAGTTTCTGTTGCGGATGCATCTACTAACTTGATAGAGAATGCTCGGTGGGTGTCTGTTCCGTGAGGGCGGTACCATGTCTGAGATTTCATGAACCTGACTTGGTCTCAGGGGATGTGAGTTACGGTAGTAGGAAAAATGAAGAGCTTACAATGTCGCAATCTCTCCAGCTGCTTGTCCGTAAGCATTTGCACATGCTCGGAGTCGATCAACGGGTCCGGAATGTCGTTTCGATCACCGACGGGAGGAAACTTTGCTTCTGATCGCAGCCGTCTGTCAAGACGATAGAAATAGTAAATCCAAAGGATATTATACGTGTCCATAATCCTCCAAGGAAGAAATCCGACACCCTGGACAGTAAAGAGGGCGTTCACGACTTGACTAGATATCTCCACCCAAAAGCCCTGGAGATATGGATTGTGGAGGTTGATGAGCTTCCCGAGGAACAAGACAATAGCCGCGCCCCAGAATACGACAGCAAACCCGTAGAGAGCTGCATGGTTGTTTAGACGGGACTCGGGTAGATGTAGTATGCTAACCTGTGACGATGCCTATAGGGGTTTTGAGGTACGCCCAGAGACCCTCTAAGGTCCGACGTAGTTTATCTCGCTTCCGAAGGACGTCTTCAACGTGTAAATCAAGTTCGTCTTGACTCCCAGCCTTCTCTGGATCGACGAGACGAGCGGGGATCGAAATGGTTGGCTTTCGAGAATAGAAGGATAAAGGGGGCCTGACTGGTATTAGTTTGGAGTGAACTAGATCCGATATGCGCACACTAGAATGCTGTTGGCAGCATTGCTTAAATGAGACACGGTAGAAATGTGCTGGTCTGGAAAATATCAGGAGGTCATTGTAACCTTGATGTAATGCGCACCTATCACATCGAGATGCTCTACAATGTCGTTGTGATGTAGTACACTCTCTGGCAAGGACTCATCCACGCCATGCTGCTCCCTCTGCGCCAAAGCCCGTCCGAGATGGCTCCTGGCCTCGTCCGGAATGATTACATCAACCTGAGGGATGGAACTGGCGGCTGAGAATCGATCGCTAGACATACTCGGTCGCTGTATCTCCTGCGGGCTGAGAAATGTCTGTTGCTCTGCGACTTCATCTATCGTCTGACGCCTTTTCGGTTGCATGACATGCTCGGCGAACCAGCTAGTTCTCTTCCTTGTCTGTGTGTCTATGGATGTTCCTGCTCTGTTGCCGTCCGACATGGAGGTGACGGTCCGTGTGGGGGCTTCGAACGTGGGACGGACGGTAGGAATATCAATGGTCCTACTCCTCGAGCGTTTTGTAGGAGCTGGTCGTAAAAACGACTTTGATAATGGAGATTTAGGTGTCCCAGACGAGGGTGAGGCGAGTTGCTCAGCCCGTTCGTAGAGCACTTCCTGATTTCTGGGCGAGTCAAAGGCCTCTGGACCTGGAGTATCCTCTGGAAGATCATCTGTTGGTACTACGACGACCTTGTTACGCTCCAATGGTACGAACGCGACCGGAGGCCGTTTGCGAACCCGCACCGCTGCGGACATTTGGGGGTGGAGGGGTCCAAGCTGGCACCACACTTGACCTTTCTTGTTTCATTACCGAAAATAGAAGAGATCTTCAGGAGAGACTTGGTTCATGATGTCACGGCGCTTGCAAACTTGGAACCGACCACTGCGACAGAATAATGGATCAACAAACACACACGTACTCTATACAGACAGATACTGCTTTTGCAGACAATACCGTCCCAGCCCTCCGCCAGGGTATGCATTTCTTGTTCAGTTTCGTCATTCCCTGCTGAGTGGTCACAGGACACCCCGAACAAGTATTTCAGAAACGAGGAGAAGTCAAACAATCTGATAAGTCTCCCTCTGGTCACCAAGAGTCGGGCATCTGCATCAAAGCAGCTCCCGAGGGATGCGAGCCCATGCAATGTAAGCATGCCCGGTGCGAGGCGTTTTACACTTCTCAATGACTCGCTAGAGAACCTTGTATACTATATCTTTGCAAATCGATGTCTGTCAAATGACTGTATGATGTCAGCAGCCCCACTTGCCCAGTCAACTCTTATAAGGCTTCATTTCCATTGTATCAGGAAGAACAAGATACGAAATGTTGAACTCCGCCTACAAACACACCTCTGCGGAGAACCACAGTGAAGACAGACCCATCTCGGAACAGGACCCGAATGTCCATCGAAAGTTTACAAATGCTCATCTGTACAGGCATTTTGGAGGAAGTAGAGACTCCTTTGGACGACAAGAGGTTTATCTCGAGTCGAACAAACGACCAAGTGTCTTGAGCAGATGGCTAGGTGAGTGTCACTCAACGCCGCGTCGAAATCTCATTGTCATTATTCTAGGGGGCATTATGCAAACCTTGGGTCGTTGGTCTGGCAATGAAACCAAAGAAACCAAAGGTTACATACGTAGAGTGCGTCGTCAACCTTTGCGTCTTACTGGACCTCCTTTAATTTCTTTTAGCATGGCAGCTGATCACGGACACAATGTTTATCTGTACTATAGTGTTGTAGCGTATATATTTCATTAGCTGTACCCTGTGGATTTCGTTCTTGGTCTCCTCCATCATGGCGTTTCGTTCGCCGCCATCTTCGAACCCTGTTTCCCCAATTCTAAATCCTACTGGATTAAATATATCGACGAGAATACCACCGCTGAGCTTGACCTCGGAAGGCGCGGGTGCAGCGCCGTCATTTACACTCGTAATACCCACAGTCCGAGCGAAATCGACACGACGGATAATAGAAGCCGTTTCTCCAAAGACAGGAAGGCCGTATCCCAATCGTCTCAGAGCCCACAAGCCCTCTCATAGCGTCTCCATCGACATACTTCCGTCTCAGCCCGTAGAGGACAATTGGGTCTCGCCATTGGGCAAGTTTGATATCGAGCAGGATGCCACAGAACTAGAGGGCTACCAAATGTATGCCGTAGAAAAATGGTGCGTCTCTCCGTGTGACTTATGGGCTTGTTGTTCATACATGGCAGGGTTGTGGATCGTGCTAGATTCATGAAAGTCGTCATAGTCTACACCGGCAATCCGAAGGATGTGGTTCGTATATCCTATACATACTCTTGACAACTGCCGTAACCAGTTTAGATCACAGTCACGGTGATAACACCCTCGTCGACTCTGACAGTGGAACAATCTCAGGCAGAATATGATAATGCGGTCAAAATGTTACGCAGAGATGGAGCGCGACCGCGACAGACCGTACTTGGGACGATCATGTGCACCTCACTGGCAAACTTTCGCTCAGACCTCAATATCGTCAATATCCCCGGCGGTCACTATCTTCAATCCAGAGATAAGTTATATGTAAACATTAATCTCCTCCGTCTCGGATGCAGCGGGCGTACAGCACTCACGCTTGATCCTCCCAAGTAAGTAAAGCACCCTTGAGAACCTGATCTGATGTAAATCCAGTGAATCTATTCAAGAGCGACTTAAGCAGCTTTACTCGATACCCGCCATTGCCGTCCAAAGACTCGGATTCGAGACCGTTGTGCTCTCCTTTGTCAAGCTCATTCAATCTGCCCTCTGTATCTATGACTTCTATGACTCAAACGAAGAACGAAATGGGCTACTGGGAGACCATACCGTAGACAGCATTCAACGATGGACACTGGAGATTGGTGAAAAGCTGCGCGAACTAAATCTTCAGGTAAGTTTCCACGAACTGCTCGGACTTTCTAACTATATTTTAGCCCTCGGAACGGATCCTAGACCCACCCATTGTGGCCAGTATCCTAAGCGTAGTTGTCTCGATGCGAAGTAAGCTCCTAGGGCTTCTCCCAGCCGGCGCGGTACGTCCATTTGACACTATACACCTGATCATTCTAACTCTTTTTAGAACGTACCAAAGGATCCTTTTCAATATCCTGACAAATTCACCGAAGCGCTTGCCCAAGCAAGTCCGGCGCATATGACACGTCTCGGACCGAGTGGCGTGCCGCGTGCATATCTGAGTGCTGCCCTCATTGACCATATCAATCGACAACATAAGCGTAAGACGGTCGAAGCCAAGTCTTATCGCATTGGTATTGGCCCATTGGCTGCGCCCAATGCGCTTGCAAGCCTTATTCCGTCGTCCGAATCTATGATGGCCGGAAGTAGCAAGTCTGCACCGGATGCCGTTGCGCCTGAGACGTCAGATTTGATTGCATTTGTCAAGTCGCCCTCGGTTATTTCCAAGGATCCAATCGAAAGCTTGCAGTTGATCTGGACAGGGAAGCTTGGGCCAGGACTTACGCATGCTAAGCAGGCGCAAGAGGTGGAGGAAAAGCGACTGGCGGAGGAAAGGGACGCAGAGAATAAGAGTGACGCGAAGAGTGGCGAAGATGAAGAAAGCATGCTCGGAAAGGGTTTCTCTGTACTCAGACAGACTGGTCAGGAGATTACAGCTAGGTGAGTCTTCAATCATAGTGAGAGGAGGCCTCTAATTTTCTCCAGGCTTAACAGCTTGCCTGTCGGAGGCAGAAGAAAACAGAGTATGGACGTTACGTCTTCTCCTCACTTCTTGTATCCTCCCTCTCTTTCCTCCGCCCGACCGTCACCCGAGATTGGTGGCCCGCGACGCTTGTTTGGATCTGACCTCCATACGTCGTGAGTCTGTGCTCTTGCCTAATAAGCTCACTAACCTGCTGTAGACCGTTCATTCCCGACGAAGCCCGCACGTTGAGCGCGGATGAGGGTATGCCTCGCCATCGCAAGGCCATATTTCCTCATCTTGGAATACACTCTGCATTAACGACATCAAATTTCAGCATGGGAAATTACCACCACCACCATTATCATCATCATCCTCCCTCTCGGCACAAGGCAAAGAGCCTGGACTTTGAGCCGACTAAACGCACAAACCCCGTGCCAGAACCTGGTAGTAAACCTCAGCAACGAATCATTCCACCAACTTTGACCGCACTCGAAGTTCACTCAGAAGATGAGTACGTTCCCAAGGCAAAACGGAGGAGCACAGAGCAAACCAAACGATTCAAAATCCCACACATACACAAGTCTATTCAAAGGTAATCACCTGTTTTGAGCAACCTTCATGTCTAACACATACATTCAGGCGTCGAAGTTTTGACGATACCGAATATACGACCGGCACTCCATTACTCTCTTCGGACCAGATGAGAATCGATGTACAATTTGCGGCCTCTCTCATAGAACTTCAACGTCGCAAACGACGGCTTCAACTGGCTCACAGCGCCTTGCAAGTGAGTGAGGAAACAACTCTGTTGACTAGTCTCATCAATATTAAAGGAACTTATGCGACCATTGGCATTAACAAGAGAAGTCATCAAAGCGCAGATGAATCGACAGTCTGATGACCGAAATCGGTTGGACGCCACAGTCGATGAGATTCTCCCCGCCGTCGAAGACTTGAATGCGATTAGGGCGCTGCCTCTTCGTGCGCGACTCCTCTCGTCCAATGCAATCCCACGGGATGCTCCATTCAAGGTCAACGCCGTTATTGCTGCAGAGACGCTCAAATCGTCGAAGTACAAGGCATCCGCGGAGATACCAAGAATACCAGAGCTCCAGAAAGAGGTTAAGAAACACCGGGAACAGTTTTGGCAACAACGACGCCTCGCGTATCTCCCACCAGAGACAAAGATGGACGAGGAAGATCTGACACTCGCACTCGGGAGTAAATGCCCGTTTTTGTGGAGCCTCCAAACAATCTACAAGCTAATGCTGCTTGCAATCTTGTGGGCTGGTATGCTCCGACGTGGGGAAATTCATTCAAGCACAGACGATGGATGGCGAAGATCAACTGTTTTCAACACACGGCTCGATCTCAAAGGGCGTACGCAGCCAGATATCGACAAAATGGCCAAAGAGGAGGAGGAAGACAAGGTGCTAGAGTGGCGGGCTAAGGCACAGGAACATGTCATCAGTGGGCACTCATTCGCACAGCTGTGAAGGATCTTTGTACATTATTTGGTCTCCACCAACGCGTGTAGTTTATAGATCTCTTCTCGCACCATGTAGAACAGAGGCGAGGCGTCTCCTTCGACGCGCACCTCTCCCTTCCGTGTCTTTCGCACAGCAACAGTATCTTCCTCGTCGTCGTCGATAGGTTTGCTCCGACATACCAGAAAACCCTCACCGGCAAACTCGGCGGCAATTCCTAATCGGTTGAGTCGGATTTTGAGTGCGGTGAGTTTGAGGTCGCCAATCATGATGGCGCGAGGGATCACCGCGGCTGTGGACGAATCTTTCGCAGCGGCAACACCATTCTCTTTTTTGGCCATTTCGACATCCGTCGTGCGCTGCATGCCTAAACGTGGCGGTTCGAGAACGTAGATACCGGTACTGGTCGGATTGCTGAGTCTTCCGCGAACAAACGCAATCTCGTTGTCCTCATACTAGACCTTTTGTCAGTCGCCGAATGACACGACGCTGCATAACAGACCGTTGCCATTTTCAATGAGTTCATCAACGCGTCCGAAAGAGCGATGGTATAATTTTCCATATTCTCTCCAATCCGTATTGTCTCTCCGACCCTTGGCGTGTAGATCTCTGCCGACATCGACTTAATAGCCTTGCAGGCCTCGGCCAAGGATTCTGTAGCTTCGGAAGTGGCTTGAACGATGATCTGCCCGTGTCAACCAGAGTATAGAACAACAATATGACTACTGACCAGACGCCGTGGGTTGACCTGAGGGAGGATGTTCTTCAAAGCTCTTCCGTCGTGCACGCCCTCAAGATCGACGAACATGACTTTGCATCGCATGTCGATGCTTATCTGCTCGGCGATAAACTTTGATGGAGCCTCTTCTGGTTGTTGCTACAGGACCTTAATTGGTGCCAGTCCCAAGTGTGATCCAGCTCACCTCTTTCTCCTTTGCTGCCGCCTTTAGCCTGTTAGCCTTCGACTGCTCGCTTTCGGCATTCTGGTCCATAATCTTTCCCTTTCGTAGCCACGAGCTGACATCGATGACCTCTCCGAAATCGTCCACACGTTTTCGCTTCTCGATGAAGGGAAATACGCGAAAGCGCGGCACACTTGCATCGTTGCTTTTGAAGAAATTGGATGTCTTGTTTTGATGCCCTTTGACGTAGATATCGTAGGATTGATATCTGAGGCCTACTTCTTCTTGATCCAGGATTGTCCAATCGACTCCTTCCATCTCCTCGGTAACTTCTGCAGTCACGTCCTCTCCAGAATCTGAATCGTCTGAATCGTCGGACTCTGATCCCGATGACTCGACTTCTTCTTCACGCATCTGTTGTTGTCGAGCCGCAGCAGCTTTCTTCGCATTCGCTTGTTCCTTTGCCAACTTCTCCTTTTCTCGATATTCCTCGAGTTCTACGCCTTGGAGGGGAACTTTGATGCGGAGCTATCCAAAGTCAGAGACGGAACACTGAGTGGGAGGTTACCTACTTCCATATCAATTGGTCTATCCAGGGATACAGGTACCCCGATGTGACCATCTTGCCACCGCTGTGAGTCCTCTTGTCCTGCTTCCCAGCGGTCCAATAGGAAGCGATTCAGTGTTCCCATTCCAGTGCGCTGGGTGAGTACGACCATGTTTCCTTCGTTGACGGCAAAGTCGGCAAAGAGCGATCTAGATGGACCATGGGAGAGTGAAGCAGGGACAGAGAGAATGAGCTTGGGCTCTCTTGATGAGAAAATGTTGATCATCTCATCTGGATTTGAGAAGAATTCGACAAACCTGTGGCAGCGTTAGCTCAGAGAAAAGAAGTTGGGCAAGATCTCACTTGAAGCGCAACGCAAGTGCACCCAATGCCTCGTCGTCTTCATCTCGCCGCCTTCGTTGATTCTTTGCCGAATCACCGAGATCCTCTTTCGAGATGGTACCCCCAAGCCATTCCATCATGTTACGGACCATAGAGAGCAGTTGTCGTGATGTCTTGCTGATCAAACAAATTGGCGCGCGCATCTTTGAGTATGCCCAATGCTGATCCGTCAAGACCAGCAATTCCAACAGGCGGGTGGAAGAGTCGACTGGGAGAAGGAGAGAGTGACCGGACTCAATTGTTTCAGTAATAAGATCTGGAACAAATCAGCCTTAACTGTAATCAAGGTTTTTACTCACCAAGCAACGCTCTGTCGCGATCCTTTCGTTTGCTGCCGATTGTTAATGCTCTCTCCGCATCCGTAATGAGTACCTCTGGTCGAGCAAGAGGCTCAAATACATTCCCTCCTGTCGATAGGGTGAGGACTGAGCCGTCAAGATGTCGCTCCTTGAGATGATTCAAATTGACAGCGTATACAATTGTACCAGCCAATGAGGAGCGAATCTTCCAAATCGTCCCTCCAATCGTATGTCCAGCGGAAAAGGGTGTGATTGTGATACCCTGACACTTCCCTAAAGAAGATGAGCCCGACAACATCAAAGTTGAGAGGTCTGACCTGCTAGCTGCGTCGGTTGAGAGTATCTCAAGGTGATAATAGACTGAAAGGCATCATTGATTTCTTGTGGTTTTGCGACTCGGATTTTGGTTCGCTTCTTCTCTTCAGCTGGTGTTATTTCCATGCCGTCCGTTTCTGGGGTTGGTTGAGGGTCGGAATCGATCTGTTCTTCCCCACGTAGAGTGATAGATTCCTCCAAGGTTGCAAGTCTCGCAGTTGCTTGAACCGGAAGGGTTGCATACGCCGTTGCAGTAAGTCCCCAGCGAGCGTTGGCATATGCATATAGACCAGCATGCGCTAAGTCACCATGGGACAACAGAACTAGGTCAATATCTGGCGATATTCTGCGTGCAGATGGTTAAATGACAATCGGCAACATGTGAAGGTCACTCAACCGTTGAAGCTGGGCGCAGTAGCTCTCGAATATCTGCTTCTGCTCTTCACCGACTTTGAGGTCGTCATCAAGATGCCAATCTGGCGACCCACAATCAAGAAGAATTTTGGCGCCATCAATGTCGAGCAGATAGGCCAACGGTATCGTGGATGCCGAATGTGCTCCTCCAGCGAGAGGAGTGAACGAGACCATGATTTATAGTGTTTGATTTCTCGCCGGTTGAACAATCCAAGGAGGTCAACTCCAAGGTTGACTACCACTGCACTTCCCTTTACTGCCAGTTCAAATACAATCGCTCGGATATATCGAGTACTCGGAAGCTAAATTTGGCTGATTTCACATTGGATAGGCGCTTTTCTGATCAAAAGGTCCGATCTTCGCTATAAAAGCGAGGCTCGAGTCTACATCTTTTTTGCGCTCAAAGCCGATGTCTTGCAAGCACTTTGATTCAGTCTTTGCTTATGCTAGCCATCTAACTAGACTGGAGGCTAGCTATTTTCCGGTCCTTACCTCGCTCTTCAGAGGTTATGGACTATAGGGCGGATGACTACTGGCAACTGTGCTCCCTTATTCTTCTCATGCTTGACGACAGGTCGCGTCACAATCCTATGACGGGTTAGTTATCGCTTTTACGGAGAGATAGATGATCACATTTCCATGCCGGCAATATCTTCTGGTTTGACGGCGAGCTGGAACTCAAAGTTGCGCAATAGGTGTAACAAGAGGGCTTTCATCCTTACCAACCCTGTCAGTAGGGAACACAAGCGGTGTACGTCAAGAGCTCACTCGAGGATGGCAAACTTGAATCCGATACAAGAGCGTTGTCCCCCGAGGAACGTGAGCAGATTGGCCCATACACCAGGAATGCCTGCCGTCTTCCCAGGTAGCTCATTCAGCCAGCGGTCAGGACTTGTGGACATCAACATCCTGGTCACTCTATCAAGATATACGCACTTGTATTCGTCCGCATCTTCTCCCCAGATATCCTTTGCGCGGTTCATGAGCATGATAGGGATAATGAAAGCATCGCCTTTCTTGACTCTGCACTTCTATGAGCTGCCTAATCATATAACATATTTGAGAAGAGGATACGCACTCAATACACTCGCGCAGTTTGCCGTACTTGTCCACAAATGGTTTCTCCAATGGGATCACGTCGTCGCCTTCTGCCACACGCGCGGATAGCTCGACGGGTGGATGGAACCGAAGGGTCTCACGGACTACTGCTTCAAGATATGGAAGCGCATTGAGTGCGTCGGCTGTAACTTCAGTCGAGTCGCCAACTGGGAACGCCTGGAGGAGTTCCTCACGCAAGCGCGTCTGGATCGTTGGATTGTTACAAAGCGCGTACAAGCACCACGCAGTCGAGTTGGCCGTCGTTTCGTGACCTGTGACGGTGAGTGCGACTCGAGGGAGAAAGGAGACAGAGACACACCTGCAATGAGGAAAGTCGGGATCTGGTTCATCATCTGTTCAATGGAGAGACGTTGCTCTGGTGGGACTGTGGTCGACATGTTCGACTTGATCATGAGGGAGAGCAAATCCTTGTCGTGCACTATGCCAGTAAGTATTAGTACATTCAGAGCAACAGAAAAGTAGTGCATACCGGTATGCTTCAAGTCTGTCCCGCCACCACTCGCCTTCTCTTCATTGACCCTCTTCAATCCATCCTCAATCAACCCTTTACCAATTCTGCGAATGGTAACTCTGGCTTTGCGCGCCTCGCGAGCCTGAGCGTCCCACTCCCATAACCTAAACAGAGGGATAAAGCCTTTGAGGAAGAGAAAGACGGGAAACTTTTCAGGAGACAGGAACCGATGAAGTGCGCCCGCCAGCTCTGTACCAGGCTCGCCGGGCTTCTGGTGAAGCGTATCGAAGTCGTAGTTAAAGCCAGCAACGGAGATAATGTCGATGGTTGCCTTTGATAAGTAAGTAATCATGTCGACGCGAAGCGAGGGCACGGCGTCCGGGGATGTCGTCGGTGCTTTCTCTAGATGTTTACGTAGCATTTCGGAAAGCTGGAGGCTTTTAGAACAATTAAGCGGAGGTCTTAACAAGTGGCTCACCGCAGCAGATTTGTCTAAGAACGTGGGCAATATATTGCGCAAATGACTGGCGCTGAATGCAGGGGTCTGCAGGTATTCAGTCATGGAAGTAACTAGTCATGTTGCATACCATAATACGTCGCTGGTGGCGATGCTCAAGGCCTGATTCGAACTTGTAAACACACCCACACCAGACCGTGGGAGCCTACCTTCAGCAGAGACCAGGCCTCGAACAGGTTGAGACGAATTCATATAACAGCAGAGAATTACTCACCGTGCCCTAGGAGGTATGACAGCTGGAATCGTGCAAACTCGGGTTTGTAGTAGCTCATATGATTTGCCAGGAGGTGCGCAATACCCTTGTTATCGGCAATGACGCAGCGCCAGTCCTGTAGTGAAGAATGAGTCTTGCGGGACTCACCCAGAATCGCTAGTTACCCCGAAAAGTGCGTGAAGCACAAAGACGTTGCCATACTCGGCTCGCCATTCGCGAAGGCGGACATAGGCGTCTCCCCTGGCAAGATCAATCATGTTACCGAACAATATCGAGTCTGACTTGGGGCCTTTTAGCTTGCGTAGTGGCGATAAGTACGGCTTGATGAGGTACACTGCTGCGCGGTAGCTCAAGTAGAGCAGTGCGGCAGCTGGAACTGCGAGAACGATGCGAAGTATACTCGAGGAAGCTTTAGTGTCCATCTTGGATAACCTTTCGAATACGTTGTCCATCTTGGCCTGGCCTAGGGTGGCAAGAGCTAGGAGGCAGGATAGGTTGACACGTACGCATTTCCGGTGGATTATATATGCCATCCGAGCCTCGCGGGTCTCCAAGACCCTACGCAAGACATCTCGGCCACACTTAGGCTTCGACTGCTACGCTGGCGGCCTTGACCCCGCATTCTTCAGGTCGGGAGCTCGGTCTATTCGTCTCCCGAGAATCACGAACAAAGCTGATTGGATTCATTGAATCAAATGGTATTTGGAACTGAACTGCGGCCATATGCCGTGCCTTTGTTAGAGTCTGTCAGCGATCGGTGAAATTGGTGAACTCAAAGAGATAAGTCTTGGGCTGGGTGCCCACGTAGGGTCAATTGTGAATATCTGCGGTAACAATTTTAGCTCATCAAACGCCATTCGACGCGTTGCGACCAAAACAATGCGACGGGCTGGTCGCCGACCTCGACAGACAACGCGTGGCGAAGGACTAGGGGCGCTCTGAAACCCCCCAAAAAGGACATAAAGCATGATAAACAAGTCTAGTCGGCGTTCTACGCGCTCGACAATCGCGACATCCGTGCCCAATACGTTCCAACACTCTCCTTGGGGCTCCTGTCGAACAAGCTCACATACTCCTGCAAATGAAGCGTGTTTCACCTCTAAGCGTGTAAGAATCAAACCATATTACAGCCGCAACGCTACAAAATATCGGGCCACACATCGTCCGAACCGCGGACGTGTATCCAAAGGAGCTGTTCACAACGAATCACGCGAACTAGAGAGATTTATGGTCGACCTTCGACTCCCATTTCTCTCGCCGTCTACATGCGACATGTCTCTGATGGAGTAAGCAGTCCATCGCGATCTGAAGGCTTCCTCTGATGAACGTTAGGCGACTCCAGCTCCTGAAGTGGCGAGTTCACCACAGTCCGCGATGTCGTGGCAGCTATGCGTGGCATAAGGCCGTTCGTTCAACTGAGCAGCTTGCGAAAGCCTATGATAGGCCGAACGGTGTAAACCTCTCGGCCATTCCCAGCATGATGTGTGAAGAGTCGATTCGATGCGAGTTCTATGAACTGCGAACCACGTGCCTCAACAGTTGCTTATTTTCATCGCTATCATGGAAGGTTGGCATATGATAACGCTGCAAGCACATTGGCTGAAATAGTACCAGGAACTCGAAGACGTACGGTTGGGCGTAAACATCGGAAGCATCGAGGAGGGAAAGCATAAATCGCATTACGAGAGCCACCATATCAGCTCGAGTTACACTCTCGGCAGCAAAGACCCTGCTAACGCATCGAATTGGAACCCTAGGCTCATTACTCGTACTCGATATGCCAGGACTGCCCGAGCTCGTGCTTGTGGCGAATTTCTCCAAATTGGCAGGCCGTCCCACTTCAGGTCCATCTGGAAGATGCCTATTCGAGGATGTGTTGATCGGCAACACATAACAGATTTCGATGCCAATCAATCGAGTCGCAACCCCGATCTATGGCCACAGCGTGCAGGAAGCCGACTGTTAGCCCATCGCGAATATCCACTGGTCGAGGAGCTCGACTGGCGAAAGGATGTTGGGATGCTGATAGGAACAATGGTATGCACTGATGAGTTTCCATTGAAGTAGTAAGCTCATCCTCTTTGAAACCTAATTCCATGTTGACAGTCATCGTAGTGGTGCACGTAACGAATGGCCTAGTCTCCTTCAGGTGGGGAACTTCCTCCCACCCGATTATTCCTGCCGAGCAGTTGGATCAGCTATGGGCTGGAGTGACGACCTTACACCAGTACTATTCGCGGCTCATGATGAGGGCGAAAACCCGCAAAATGCTCTGGAAACCCTTGCCGCTACTTTTCATCAAACCATGATCTTATTTATTCTTTATTTTCTCGACACTCGGTCCACCTGGGACGAAGAAATGCCAGGATGGATGGTGCTCTATGGGATTACGTATTCATCAAAGATGCAAGGATTTACGATTCACGCATATCATCCGATATTCGAGTCGCCAGAAGATCCCAACGCGCCCCATAGTAGCGGTTCTTGGGGAGCTGTCTCACTCGAAATCGTAAAGGGTTTCAGGGGCGTTTGGGGGCAAGATCCTTGGTGCCGAGAGCCGCTGCTCGCGACCCTTACACACATTAAAGGTCATTGCATGGACGTACTTAGCCGCCTTCGCGCCTGGCCAGGATATTCGAAAGTTTGGACCCAGTTTCATATGTAAACGTAACTAGTCATAAATTTGGCTGTAGCTAACTGTCTATCTGTGACATTAGATTACTCGAATACGAAGTTGCTCGCATTGTCCTCCAGCTCTCCAAGTTGGTCATAGACACTCGCAATGATATCATCCATCACTCCCTTTCCACATTGTGCAGACTCCTTGATCCAATGCTTGAGATGCGTCGCGAGTTGACGCCCATGAGAGCGGATGACCAAAAACGCGGAATATGCCATCATTCGAACTTGAATCGGGGTGTGATCAAGGAAAACCCGGGTAAATGTGTCCGTAACAAGTTGAGAAACCCACTCCCATTTCCATGAAAACTTCCCGTCCTGCAATTCGATTGGAACAGCGCGCGGGAAGTGAGCGTACCAGGTGAAACCTTCCCGCGTATGCACGATTCCATGGATCACCATCCATGCAGGCATTTTATATCCTGGCTGGTGGACGTAGGTAAACATACGTGTGATTATTAGCAACGTAGTGACGCAGCTCATAGCAAGCTGCGCTCGAGCTATCCGTGATGGCCTAGTCTTCGTCTCTTGAACGAATACACATGGTCGTAATTGACGAGGCCAGTTCCCGAGCTCTTCCTGGCGAATACGAACAACATAATCGGGCGCGGGATCACTCCCGAACAGTCGAGAGAATGTGGGTGTGCCCAATGGAACACTCCTACAAAACGTCAGAGCATTAGAGATGTGCAAACGGATTCCGTACATCTCCTCTTCCAGATCAAGATCATCGAAAAACCCCATTGTATATGGGGTAATCTTCGAGACAACTACCGCCTCGCTCTGGATTACAGGGGTTTCCATTTTCCTCCATTGAATAAGCTTGGAAATCGGAGCAGATGCCTTTGTCTCGTCGAGTAGAGAAAATGGGTCTTGAAAGGTAGGATTTCCCCATAACATATTACTTGCCGCCTCGATGGTCCCTGGATCGACACCAGCTAAACCAGCGGATCGACCGCTACCATAACCATACAAATAGGCAAATAGATATCTTTCTGAATCTTTGTTCCACTCTTGCTCCTTTTTGGTGAGAGATTCGCGGAGTGCCAAAGCCTTCTTATGCTTGGTAGACTCGGTGTCACTTTCTGTGAACATATAGAGATCTCCATGATTCTCGATGTATTCTTTGACAAAATCAGATGATTCCGTGGCCTCAATAGGCTCATGGCGAGGCTCAGGCATCGAGCGCCTGGCTTTCATGACAGCCCTTTGCGCCTTCCAACCAAGTTTTGGTGGCGTTAGATGGGGCAGCACATCATTTGTCGGTTCCAGTTCCTCAGGGTAATCCGCAGCCGTAGAAAGAGGAGTCGAGGGGGGCTTTGCTGGTTCCGGTTCGGGTTGACTTGATTCAGGCTCTAGATCGAAATATTTCGAGTAATCGTCTGAGTAGACAACCCTTGGTACATTGCAATTGATGAGCTGCAGACTATCAGCTCACTCTAGACAATATGCAGGCCATACCTTCATCCAAGACTGGGGAACAGGCAGTCGAAAGCGTGTTGAATTAGATTGACGAAAGGTTCGCCGATCATGAATAGGGAGACCTCAATATTTCGTTGAGGCTCCGCTGGTGGTAAGTCCAGTGAGAAGGAAGGATACAAAGGACTGGGAACCGGTGTGTCATTGCGTCGTTTCGGCAATGGTCTAAATAGCTCCTTGAGATTATCGTCATATTCACTAGCCTTGATCGCTATAAATTCATAGCGTTCATTTCCCCCCTGTCGTTGAAGCGAGGCATCCCCTATGAAAGCCTAATTACGAAGGAATGCGAGAATTGATTCGGTAACAGTCCTGAGGGTAATGAGCAATTTTCGCTCGGGGAAAGGTTCGACTCACGACGGAGTATAGTACGAGGTCTTGTAGGTAATACCATTCGATCCGCACTTCAATATGAGACCCTTGTCTGTTAAGAGTTCCTCTCTTCTCGCATCATCTTCTGGAGTGGGTTCAATCAATGCCTTGATATATCCACGAAGACCCGTTGTAGGATACAACGTTTCGTGATTGGTTGTCTCATCAGGCTCCTCGTCTCCCACCAAGATGGAGTCGGGGTCGGATCCTACATCTGTCTTCGTCTCTGGCAATTCGATCTTGAATTTGGCGAAGACTTGTTGCACAAAGCTTTTGTGCAGAATCTTGCGATCAATGTATATGCCATGGTTCTTCATCCGTTCGTCTATCTGATGTGGGAGGATCCCAAGCTGGTTGCGAAGCTCGATGAGTTTGGGGGTGTTGAAGTTTATGAGACTTTTCTTCTTCTTGACTTGCTTCTTTGGTGTCTCGTGCCAGTCACTCGAGGGGTCGTCGTCTGCGCTGAGCTCGCTGGCAGATCTCTTCTCATCCCCATCGCTCGAATCATCCTTGTCCTTTACAGCCATTTATGTCGTGAGCACTCGTGGGCTAGATTTAGTTGGAGACGTACATTCTGAAAATCAGCCTGACGCGGGGTTCGCCGTCCAGAGAGCAGTTCATCATCACTGTCGTTGTAGTCCTCCGATTTTGAAGAGAATTCATCTATGCCATTCTATAAGGGGAGTCAGTCGAGTCGCCTTGTCCTCTCAGCTGGCATCTGACCTCGAAAGTTGCCGCCGTAGTCGTGGGGTAGCTCTGAGGTGCATAGAGGACCAGATCATTATCTTCTTCGGTTTCATTTTCATGGTCCTAGACACGGATAAGAGTTCCTGCGTCAAAAGCCGGTGGCAACCTACTGGCCAGCTAGCCCGATTGGCATCCACTGTTTCGTTGCCTTCTCCATCGTATTCAGTTTCTTCACCTACAAACTAGACATATTATGTGATTAGCCTGGTAGCAATCCTGGGCTCAGTGGCGGCTCACCTCGGTTGGTGCATCCGTGTTCACTGTAGGTACCTCAGATACCGCACGAGAGACGGAACCAAAGTCTTCTTCGTCTGTGTGTGTATCGTTCTGATGCTCGTTAGCGAGGCTCTATGCTCAAGGATGGATGGGTTCGGCTGGTGGTAGACTAGGGGGCGGCGAAGCCGGAAGGGCGACCCCAAGGAGCCTATGTGCAACGAAATGGCACTATACGTACCTCTAATACTGCTTCAGGTGGATTTGGGCTCTCTAGAGGCGGCGTCGTCTTCCTGTCTTGCCGCTTGATCGTGCTCGTGTGTCCAATCCCTCCAAAATCTGATGTTTTACGCTTGATAGACTTTCTAGTGCCGATTGAGGACATTATTGTGGATCTAGACCACTGCCAACAGTGGGCAAAGGTCGAGGAGTGGGACAAGGACAATGAGATGGCTGGTGCCTTTGTTTTGCGTCTAATCGGGCAGGTCGGCTGGCAGATTCATGTCCATTTCTCGCTTAATAAACCATTGACTATTTGCACTGCATATCCTGTCAAAATTAATGCGGCAATAGCCAGTGTGGCAAGGGGAAAATCAGTACCGGAAGGCAGGAGGTCTATATAGCTGTTATAAATGAAGGGGGAAAGAGGCTCACGGATTTATGAACAAGGGCTAAATGATGGCTACCGTTCTAAAGCCATCCGGGGGTGACCCGTGACGTGAGCTGCGCAGCGAGATAAGATCTGGGGATCACAAGGAATAATATAATCTATTCAATGATTTCGAAGCCTGACTCAGTTGTCAGTTACAGTGTCAACTTTCACGAAGACGTACCTCTTGTCAATCAAAGGGCTATTAGGCCATAGGTCGACCACTCAACCCTGGGTATTTGCAGGTGAAACAAGTCGTCTGTGACACTGATTGTCGCTGACTAGAAGCCGTAAAGAGTCCTGCCAGTCGTCAGGACGTTGGCGAGCCTTCTGCTCCCCCAGTTAGGTTCACAAGTGGATTAACGACCTCCTCATGGCTGATTGAGGAGTATCGTAGTTAACTCCACATCGGATACGGAACAAGATTGGCCCTGGGCCAAGGGAGGTTTTAGAGAGTTATGACGATCGAACCGAGAAGCGACATTGCGCCTGTAAGTGTCCAGAGAGTTTGAATTTGATATATATACGCTCGCTTTTTCGTTCTGGCTTTCGAGGATCCGCCCGAATAACTGGATGTATGGATGACGGAGCCCACAATCCTGCAAATGCTGCGTCCGCAATGGCTATAGTGATTTTCGATGATTTAATGACTGCTGTCCTTGGTGCCAGCGAGGTCTCGCACGATTTGCCTTTTTGAAAGCAGTGAGCGAAACTTGGCCAGCGACCACCACCTCTAGTTTTACAAGCCTCACCGTCTGATTAGAATTCACCATGGGTATCGGATTCTCGAAAATCTTTGATCGTCTATGGAGGAACCAGGAGATGCGTATGTCGCTTTGAACGCCTGTTGGCGCCTTACACGTAGACGGCGGTTGCTGACGGTGGCCTTTACCTAGGTATCTTGATGGTCGGTCTCGATGCCGCAGGAAAGACTACCATCCTCTACAAGCTCAAGTTGGGCGAGATCGTCACCACCATTCCCACTATTGGTGAGCCAGCGCCTTGTCCTTGCGCCTGCGCGGTCTAACCACAACATCAAAGGCTTCAATGTTGAAACCGTGGAATACAAGAACATTTCCTTCACCGGTAAGCCTCGGGACCGCGCCGCTCTTTACAACTTTTTTTTGCTGACCTTGCCCCTCAGTCTGGGACGTCGGAGGTATGGTGGACAGTGTCTGCATACAGTGAGCGACCTTCTGACTCGATAATCAGGACAAGACAAGATCCGACCGCTCTGGAGGCACTGTGAGTCGTCGTTTTACCAGCAAGACCATATTTCTTAGCGCCCGCTCCCAGATTTCCAAAATACGCAGGGAATCATCTTCGTCGTCGACTCGAACGATCGTGAGCGAGTGTCCGAAGCCCGTGAGGAGCTCCAACGCATGTTGAACGAGGATGAATTGCGCTCCGCCATCCTCCTCGTCTTTGCCAACAAGCAAGATCTCCCCAACGCCATGAATGCCGCTGAGCTTACCGACAAACTCGGCCTCCACGGACTCAGGAACCGAACATGGTACATTCAGGTTAGTCATTGCAACTTTGCACCGCGCAATGGGCTGATCTCCTCTATTAGGCTACCTGTGCCCCGTCCGGTGACGGTCTCTACGAGGGACTGGAGTGGCTCAGCACGAACATCAATAAAAAGGTTCCCCAATAGTAATTATGACAGAGTACCTTGATCGGGAATATACTAGCAGATAGAACGCACGTCCTTGTTTCCACGTCGACTCGATCATCGGCCACGACTCTCCTCCGTCTCTCAATTTCTTTCTGCCTGTTGTCCACATACGATCATTTATTGCAATCGATACGTCCTTTCTCCTAGCTTACGAGCATGACGTCTACAATCTGGAAACGGCAAGTGCCTCTGTTCTTCTGCGCTCGCCTCGCTCTCTCTCAGCCCTCTCTCTCGAGTTGGAACTCCCTCGAGCAAGCTTCTCCAGCACTGGTGCGAGTTCTGTGGGTCTGATTGACGCGTATGAAGCTTGGCGCTGTGACGCGTTCAAGTATTCCTGAACGGTATTGTTCAATGGAATGGAGACCAACTACGGGCCGTCAGTCAGGCTCTTGGTGATCATCTCGTACTCACTAGCTTCAAATGGTCAAAGATGGAGCTCAGATGCGACTGACCGCTGTCTCGGAGTGACTGCTCGACAAAATCAATGTCTACAAGCATATTCGACAGCGCGGCGTCGTTGAGTTGGGATACGGTGGTACCAGTCAAGCATTCCTAGAACCGAGTCAAGATTGGCAATTGCACACGGCATTGCTGCATACCGTCAAGCTGTCAGCTATGTACTGAATCGCGGTTGTGTACGCATTGTTCTTGTAAATGTCTTGCAGAGATAGCGCATCAATGTTCGTTGTGAGCCACATGATCATCTGGATCATGTACAAACTAGGCCCTCCACTGCTGCCCGACGGCGTCCATTCAAAGTCCGACATTTCAAAGTTGCTTTCTAGTTTGACCAAAAGTACTTCATCGATGCGTTTGAGTGCGAGTTGCAATGTTTCGGCAAACACGGGTCGACAGCCGAGCCTGATGGAACCTCCCCGTTGGATTGAGCTGCAAACATCGTTAGCATGCCGATACAATGAATGCACAGTACTAACCGCAGGCTCGCAAGACCTTGCTCAATTTCGCCGCATGCATTCTCAAAGTACTCCAATGTGATCACACTTTGTGCGATTTGGCTGAATCCTTGACTCTCTTTGACTTTCGAGGAGATCTTTTGGCAGATGTTCTTCGTCATGAGACGATCCAGCGACTTGGACAATGTCAGCCATCAGCGATGATAGGATGGATAACCCACCGTTCCCAAAAGCTCGTCTATGTCCCGATGATGTTGTGAGACGCCTTCGACAAACTGATAGAACTTTTGGACAAAGCTCCGTATCTAGGCTAGATGAGCAAGACGCAGCGGATAGGGATACACCCACATTCATGCAGCATTGGTAGAATGTTTGGGAAAATGGCAGGACACAAGGAGGATCCAAACTTTGTGAGAGTTAGACCCAGGCTCTGTATGTTTATTGACTCGCCTATAAAGAGAAGCAGCGACACTTGACGGCAGCCAACATCCTGAGACGATAGCATCCAACTCTTCGCCAGTTTCTGCGGTGAGTGGAGTATTATCGTCTTCTTGGACAATCTAATGGTGGGTTAGAGACGATCAAGAACGCGTGGTTCTCGCCTTTTCGAAGACCGTTTCGTATTGTTTTTCCAACAGAGATGCATAGCTCCCGAAAAGGAGCAGAATGAGATCATGAAGGCGTTGGCAGTCATAACCATAGCCCTAGGAGCACTTAATAGCAGCAGAAAGATGAAAGATAAACGTACCTCCATTGTCATCGTGAATGCGAGCAGACTCTCTTTGACTCCAAGGAAAACTTCCGGATCTGACTCCGTCTCCAGTTCGGATGCAACCGAAGAATTCAATCGCTCTAAAACGCCTTCCCAGAGCTCGTCCACCTCACGCTGACTTCTGAAGCCGCGAGTATTCTGAAGGACATGCGTTTCGGCGATGAAGAAGCCGGTAATCTCTTCTGTAAGATCTGCAAGGGACTGGAGCGACATTTGCGAGGATAGAATAAGCGTTGATTGTGTCTTTCTGTCGGCTTGATAGCTCTTTTGAAGCTCCTCTAGCATTTCTAGAGCCGTGTAGATGAGGATACTTTGATACAGCGGCTTGAAGTCTACCTGGAGCTTGTCATTGTCGAATACATCGTCTACACGCAGGATTGGTCATGGTGATGAAAGCTCGATGAGAAGAAACGTACATTCCACTTTCTCGTAGGTGATGAGCTCTACTGCACCACCGAGTCGGCAAAGCTTGAGTTGAGGCTCTTTCTCCTTCCGTTGTGCCCAACGTTTACTCCGTAGATCCATCGCCTCTAGTGCGAGGCTCCCAACTTGTCGAGATACATTCCTGAGATCAAAGAGCCATGTCTTGAGCGACGCGGTGACCGCATCCTTGATTTGGGTACGATAGGATGGGAGGGAGGCCAGTAAATGATTAAAGAATGGTGTCTGAGAAAGAGAGGATGTAGGGAGATTCTGAATATCATCTAGTGACTGGGAAACTGGTCAAGATCTCTTCGAGGTCGGTTCCAGGAGAACGCACCCGTAAAGCGCTATAGTATTTGCCTTGCTTGATCAATTCTCCTATTCGATTCACGAGATCGAGAAGTCTTAAACACGCCTGGAGTGTTTCTATTGCTTCGTCCAGGTTCATGGCTGCTTTCTTTGCCTTGAGGAGACCCTTCTTTTTCTCAGCGAGAGCTCTGCCTGCTTGATTGACACTATCGTCCAATGAGATGATCCTATCGCGCAGATTGTTCGTGGACGAGCGGACGTTCAGCATCGTGGATACCGAGGACACGAAATCCTGGTAGTTGTCGCTGCATATTTGCTGAATTTCCGCTTCTTTGCTCTCTGCAAGCTGCTTCAATGTCCGCAGGTATGCGTCTTGCTGTCTAGTGGCATGAATGTTCTTGATTATTGGCGCGAGTTGCTCCAAATTTTCAGAGGTAGACTGAGCATCCAAAAGGTGAATTTGCTGTAGTTGCTGATCAATGTCCGATTCGAGGAACTTGCCCTTCTTTGATCGGCCAGCCATGTTGGTGGTGGAGACGAAGCTTGTTCTCCGCCACCGTCCATGTCTGAACCCGAGTCTATGCGAAATATGTTGGAGAGACCGATCTCCCAACTAGAAGCTCTTGCGCATGGACTATTTACCAGTCTGGCTAGCGGAAACACGCCCGAGCCTCCGATTGCAGAACTCGCGGCTTGTGATGCGAACCTTGCTGAAGCACTGCAACTCGCCCGGATACACCTCCTCAAACAGAAACAAATCGAACAATTGATGGATGAAATCCATGAGCTTGACCGCCAGCTAGTCGATATCGTCGAAACTCTCGCAACAGGTCAACGCGACCTACAAGCAATCATAGAAGAAGGAGAGGAACGAATAGCATCCGCGGACAAGGCAGAAAAAAGTAAGAACGTTCCATGTCCCTTGGTCTACCTTACCAAGTTCGCAGTGGCAGTCGAGTATCCGCTACTCATTTCATACGGATCCAAGTTGGCCGACTTTACGGCTGCACCACCAAATGCTCCAGCAGATGACAAAGAGCCAGCGGCATTGCCATACGCATTCCACCCTCCATTCCCCGCGACCGAGATCATGCAACGAGGAAGACTGGGTCTCGAAGAGCCAATAGGCCCAGTTGGAGAAACGCGCGTTATTGGAGATACCAAAGGTCAAGGCATTGTAAACAGTCAAACTTCCTCTGACACATTGGCAGGTCTACCCTTCATTCAAGCGCCTGCCCAAGCGAGACCACACCCAACAGCTCAAGCAGTGCAACAGCCTCGAAGACGGGCAGCACCCAACATGGATCTCTTTGACCTTGACCTTAATCCTGACCTGTAACATTGATAGAATCCGCAAAAACAAGGGTTCATTACATCAATGCAACACATTTACGCAGACTTTCCAGAGTCCTCTTTCAAGCTGACGATGCGGTTCAAAATGAGCTTGTCCCCAGGATGCAAACCTGGAGTCTGCGTTTCCGACTCCTCAAAGCACGACAGCTTTGCGTCCTTGTCCAATGCGAAATAGGCGACTCGTAGACCTTGGAACCTAACCACTTCGTTTCCAACGAGCTGCTCCGCCGTCGCCTTTGGAGTATCATCATGCGATATTTCCTCGGGCACAGTGAGCTCTTTCGAGGTTTGGGCGTTCGCCTTGTTCGTCCTCTCTCGTCCCTCTTTCAGCGCCTGAGAGAATGCCTTCTTGGCCAGAGGTAGGAAACCTATCTCGACAATCGCCCCTTTGACGACCTCGAGTGTGTCTGGCGCAACATCCTTGAGGAAGTCTGGCTCTGCTGCTGGGTCGTCACTCTTGAATAGCCGATGGAAGACCCTGAGTTCGTCGATGCGAATGGGACTGCCTGATGCTGGATGTTCTGCCACCCATTGAATGAACGCCTTTGGCTTCTTCGGAGGCCCAGTGTTTTCTTCACGGCAGATCACCTCGACAACCTTGCCACTCTCGTCCGTCTTGTGTGAGACATAGGTAATAGGGTATGGTGCCTGGAAGAGACCGACAGACTTGCCGGGTGCGAGTCGGAAATAGTCTTTCGAGTCTTCCAATCGGAAGTCGTCCTCGTCGATATAGATTGTCCTCGTATACGGAATGGTGCTCGTTCCTAGCTCTGGTACTTTAGGGTGGAGTGGCTTTTCGATCATCTTGACAAAATCTTCGGCAAGATTTTCTATGGTCACCTTGAGCGGCTTGATGACCATGAGAAGTCGGGGAACATTAAGCTCAAGATGCTCGCGAACGGCTTGTTCGAAGCGTGAGACTTGAATGTTCGACGCGGATGTCGATACACCGAGACTACCGACAAACGATTTGATTGCACCAGGTGGTACACCTCGTCGGCGTAGAGCGATAAGCGTGTAGAGCCGAGGATCGTCCCAGTCCATTACATGCTTCTGGTCGACCAGCTTCTTGAGTTTGCGCTTTGACATCACTGTCCCTTGGATATTCAGTCGACCGTACTCTGACTGACGGGGACAGTAAATGTCGAGCGCATTGCAGAGCCATTCGTATGAGACCCTGGATTGGATAAACTCGGTTGTGCATAGGGAGTGACTTTGTATCATCAGTGAAGGAGCGAACGATTTAAAAGGACTTACGTGATGTTCTCGAAACTGTCGCAGAGACAGTGAGTAAAGTCATAAGTCGGGTAGATGACCCATTTGTCGCCTGTTCGATGATGAGGTGTATTAAGGACACGATACGCCACCAGGTCCCACATTTGAGGGTTTCCGTCTTCCAAATCTTGCTTCATGCGAAGAATGGCTTCACCTGGCTTGTACTCTCCACGCTTCATTTTCTCAAACTCTTCCAGTGACTCTTCGATCGGGCGATCTCTGTGCTTGCATGCATACCGAGGACCTCTTTCGGCGCCTCCACGAGCGGCATTGATTTCCTCGCCTGAGAGTCTCGTTAATTTGTCCTGTATCCAAGTAATGAGACTTACCAGTACAGTGGCACACATATGCCAACCCACGCTTTGTCAGCTCCACCGCGAGCTCATAGAGCTTCTGGAAGTGGTCGCTCGAGTAGGTAATCTTAAATGGTTCGTAGCCTAGCCAACGAACAACCTCTAGGATACTTTCAAAGTAGCGAGCTTCTTCTGCCTCTGGGTTGGTATCGTCGTATCGAAGATAGCAGTGTCCGCCATTGTGTGCGGCGTAGCCAAAGTTGACAAAGATGGCCTTGGAGTGCCCAATATGGAGGAAACCATTCGGTTCAGGCGGAAATCGAGTGAATACTTTCCCTTTGGTCCACTCGAGATGCTCTTTCCTCCGCTCCTCGTGTTTCTGAGGGTTCTCTCCTACGCGGTGCAGTTTTCCGAGGAATCCTTCTTCAAACACAGATCGATCGTTTACTTGTGCAGGCGTAGGATTGGCACCGGTACTTGTTGACGTCGAGCCTTTCGAAGTGGACGCGACTGGGGCTGCTTTTGCACCCTTCGCAGGGGCCGCTGGTTTAGGGCCAGCAAGTTCGGTAAGAACCGCTTCTAGTGTATTCTTGACATCGAGCGAGTTTGCCCACTGGAGCGTAGCATCCTGCTTCGTTGCACCGAGAAGCGCGTTGAGTTTATCCCAGGAAGGATTTGGACCGACCAAGTCCTTGATGGCCGTGTATAACTCTGCAGATGTTATACTGAAGCCTAGAAATAACGATAAGATATGGCTGAAGCATTCCTTGCGAGATACTGACCAACGCCACAGGCGCGATCAAATACCGCATCGTCGATGGGTGGGGGATTCTTCTCGACATATTTGATAGCAGCTATGTTTACAGAGTTATGAGTTGCATGTAATGGCTTACAAATACATACCCGAGAGTTGATTAGTCGTCTTGAGTCTTCCATCTGCTATAGCTCGCGCTATATAATTTCGCTCTTCCTCTGGAAGCTTTCCACCTTGATTTGCAAGAAGAGCGACCAGTCCAGACTGCTTATCGTCGAGCGGGTGCTCAGCGAGGTTACATGCAACTACAATCTCCTTGAGCGTCGCGGCAGTCTTTGGATTTCGAATGGCCTCCGCCGATTTTGTTTCTGATAGGCCGAACGATTTGAAAAGTTGAAGTAGCTCTGCGATAGCGGGGTCGTTTGGATCAAACTTTGGTGGCATGGCTATCGTTGGGTCCAAGTCATCCAAGACGAGGCTGCCAAACAAGTCTTAATAAGCAAGTGTACAAATAATTAAAAATGGTCTTCAATATCCACGTTTACTGGGCTTCCCAGTGTAGATCTTCCAACTTGGACCCTGCCATATCACATAGACAAAGACGGTTTATAAATTTGACCCATAAAACAATCAAAACCCTTGAAATGCAATATATTTATAAGCTTATGACACGTCGAGACGAGGTACAGCTGCGGTGAAAGAAAGCTGTGAGCGTGCGATGCTCGGCGGCTTACTTTACTTGAGCCATTTCCCTTGCACCACGGAGAATCTGATCTCATTCCCGTCTTCGGTTTAGCTGTGCCGTTTCACGGTTGCTAACGTACCTCTTTTTGGCCTCCACTCCCTCAGCCATTTGCGAGCTGGTCCCGAGCTGGGCTCGTCTGCTACTTCATCGTCTTTCTTTTATCATTATTTCTTAATCTTCTTCCCGCTTTTGCGCGTTTCGGTCCCAGCACTTGTACATTCGACATGTCACCTCAACTCGAGCATCTTCCGGACGACGAGTTCTTTCGAAATCCATCTCTGTGCGTATCTTTCACCGGTATAATGACTATGAGAGGCTAAAAGTGTCGTTTAGAAGGAACATATCTGCCTTCTTCCTCGGCGGGACATTCCTGTTGTCCGTGTATTGTATAATCAACTCCTCTGCCGTCCAGTTCATTGTAGGAACATTCAGAAATGTATTCCGCACCAACTCGTACATCGCTGCCAGTCAAGAGGCCATGGAGGAAAATGCCGCGGAAAAGGCACGAATGCGTCGATGGATTGAGGAGACGCTGCTAGGAAACTCGGAGAACTCGGATCCCAAAAACCTCATGTTAATTCTCTCCATAATTGTTGCTAGTGCTAGTCTTAGCATGTTTGGCTCTACACTTCTCTTTCGCGCCGGTCAAGACGGCTTTTGTAGTGAGTCCCCCAGTAACTCTTGATCATCTCAATCCTGACATTCATCAGCATTTGTTGTCGGTTGGTTTGGCCTCTCCGCAGAGATGATACGCATAATCGCGTTTATACGGATCGGTCTCGACCTGCGCGCCTTGGGTACGAAGAGATGGGAGATGTATCTCACATGGTTGTATATTCTTGGCTCCGTCGGTCAGTGGTAACCCGACGAATTGGCACTGGCGCTCACTCTCATCTAGCTTTGATGATCGCCAATAATGTACTCGCCCCTGGCATATTACGAATCTACTACAAGGATGGTGGACTTGCCTTGTGCTCCAGACAACAGTCAGTGTTATGCAGTGTTATGCAGAGTCCAATTCTTCATACTGACGAATCTTAAAGCCTTGTCATCACGGCGCTGCTGACGGCACTATTCAATATTCTTTTCGAGGTTTACGCCGCGTTTCGTTTCGCCATTTTCCTCGCGCCATCGTTTCTTCGCCTCCAGCATCGGCTTGAAGCGCTACAGGATCTGCGAATGGCCAAATGTGTTTCACTTCTCCTACTCGAGCTACTCACTATTGTTCCGTTCATCATACCCGTCAATATCGCAGCGGAGTGTATTCCATTCGCCCTGGCATCGGCGATTGTCGTAGCAGTCTTCAATCAAGAGCATGCTCAGGTCACAAAGGCCTTGACGCGTGTCGATTCGATCCCAAGCACCCGAATGCTCAACATTTTCAGGGAGAATCGGGAATCGATTGCACCTCCGACGTCGCCACTCTCAGAGTTTCATTTCCGGACAAGCAGCGAGCGACACCAATCGGTACGCCGACAACGAGCCATTGAGCACCCTCCATTCTCTTTGGAGGCGCTCACAGAGGAACGAGAAAGGGCATTGCGCAAACTCAGCCGGGCGAGTAAGAGTCGAATAGCGGAGAACCCCTATGCTATCCCCGGTAGCGCACCAGCAGTCATGGTAGAGCGAAGTGTACGTGTGTGGCCTGCAATTCCCGTTTCATTGCAACGCGCAAGCCGCGAAGCAGCGATACGGCAATCGACACGGCAGTCAACAGGTTCCTTCAAGCGCTATTCAGACTTTCCCAGTCCGCCACCGAACCCTCCCACCACATCAACGACACCCGTCTTCCAAATACCCGCTCCGGCCAATACCTCTAAGCCTCTCCCCGCCTCGCCAATGCGAAAGGATCATTCAGCCAGACGATACGATCCTTCGCGAGTGATAGGAACGAATCCGGTTGACCCACAAGTTGTCGACGCGCCGGCAACTACATCCAAGACCAGCGCAGCGTCCAATCCTTATTGGTACATGCTTCGCGGCGACCGCATCAGCCCCGTGCATGGAACCGTACGCACATCAAAGCATAGGAGTATGATGGGATCCAATTTACAACGGGCTTCGACTCGCTCAGATAGGCATCGAAGGTCAAGCGTGGATTCTGGTGGACGTCTGCCTTACAATCCCGTGGGAAGTGAAGACGAAGGAGAAGACGTCCCCCCGAGCCCGTTCACTGCCCCAGCACGAAGTCATCATCCAGTACAAACACCTGTCATGGGGACGAATAGTAACTCGGCGGCGGTCCAGACAGCGTCAGGTGTTCTGGCCACTGGGGTTGCGGAGCCGATGAGCTCGACGCGCATACGGTTTGGAGCACGACCGATGCGGAATATCAGTCAGGCAGAGTCGAGTTTTAGTCACACTCGTGAGTCTGCTGGCGGTAGCAATGCGGGGAATCGGAGGAACGACAAAGTCGAGTGACCAGCTGTACGAAGACAACGCATGAATTGATACAGGGATTACCAAGTGCTACGTGTAGCTAAGAGAAAGAACTTCGGGGTATATTGGGCAGATAAGCCGCTCGCCAGCGCATAAAGTGCCACTCGACGTGGCAGCCAAACATACTAAACTTGACCCCGACCTCTACCTTCGTCTGCTCCCCGTTTCGTCCGTCAGAATGCGTCTCTCGCTTTCTTTTACAGTCTTGCTTGCTTCCCTCACCCGCGTCCTCGCTGCCGCTGAGTCGGACGTGCTCGACTTGACGGCGACAAACTTCGAGTCGGTCGTCAATCCGGCAGATCTCATTCTCGTCGAGTTCTTTGCCCCATGGTACGTAGCTTGAACTAGTCAGAGTGTATTGTACTTAACTGCATTTTACCAGGTGCGGCCACTGCAAGAACCTCGCGCCTCAGTATGAAGAGGCTGCCACCACTCTCAAGGCGAAGAATATCCCGCTCGCAAAGGTTGACTGTGTTGACCAATCTGAGCTCTGCCAAACCCATGGCGTCTCTGGCTACCCGTGCGTTTCTCCGCTTTCGCTGACCAAGAGTCCGTATTGACGTGGCGGCTTTACAGGACCCTCAAGGTACAGCAACCCCTGGCTCGTAGATCAAAAGATTGTGCTCACTCGATTCCCTTCTTTTCCAGGTCTTCCGCAAGGGTACTCCCACCGACTACCAGGGCCCTCGTAAGGCTGATGGCATCGTCAGCTACATGGTCAAGTAAGCATCTATGCCCCTTCCGAATGCTTCGGAGATGCTGACAGAAACACACTTAGGCAATCTCTTCCTGCCGTTACCAACGTCAAGGCTGCAGATCACGCCGAGTTCATCAAGGCCGACAGGGTCGTTGCTGTCCTCTATGTCAACGAAGAGGAGGAGCCTCCGGCACCCAACTTCGTGAAGACGGCTGAGAAGCACCGCGATGACTACTTGTTCGGTATGGTCACGGACGCAGAAGTCGCCAAGGCTGCTGGTGTCACCCCTCCGGCTTTGGTCGTCTATAAGAAGTTCGACGATGGTCGCGTCGACTATCCTTCGGCAACCGTCTCCTCTGTCACAGACGCCAAGTTGGTCAGCTGGTTGAAGGAGAACTCCGTCCCACTCCTCGACGAGGTTTCGGGTGAAAACTACAGCCTCTACGCCGAGAGCGGTCTCCCATTGGCCTATGTCTTTGTGGACCCGTCCGCAGAGGGCAAGGATGCGTTTGTCGAGACGTTCAAGCCCCTCGCCAAGTCGTACAAGGGCAAGATCAACTTTGTCTGGATCGATGCCATCAAGTTTGGCGAGCACGCAAAGATGATGAACCTCCAAGAGGCCAAGTGGCCCTCGTTTGTCATCCAGGATATCGAGAAGCAGCTCAAGTGGCCATTCGACCAGAGCAAGGAGCTTACCATCGAAGAGGTCGCTCACTTTGTCAAGGCTTACTCCGAGGGCCGCATCGCGCCTTCGTTGAAGAGCCAGCCTATCCCGGAGACCCAAGACGAGCCCGTCTTCACCTTGGTGACCAAGGAATTCGACCAGGTCGTTTTCGACGAGTCGAAGGACGTCTTCGTCGAGTTCTACGCTCCCTGGTGTGGTCACTGCAAGCGTCTCAAGCCAACTTGGGATCAGCTCGGTGAGAAGTACGCCGCGGTCAAGGACAAGCTCGTGATCGCCAAGATGGACGCCACCGAAAACGACATTCCTCCTTCGGCACCCTTCCGTGTCGCTGGCTTCCCGACTCTCAAGTTCAAGCCAGCCGGTGGTCGCGAGTTTATCGACTATGAGGGTGACCGCTCGTTTGAATCGCTCGTCGAGTTTGTCGAGAAGAACGCTAAGAACTCGTTGAATGTTCCAGCTCAGGATACTGCTGCTGCTGCGAGCACACCCGTCGCCGCCGAGACTCCAGTCGCCACCCAGGACACGCAAGGGCAGACCCACGTCGAGCTCTAAGCGTCTCTCTGGTTTGTTTATTCTCTGGCTATTATCTCCGACACGACAAAAATCCGACGCTCCGAATACGATGTTGATTCTCTCTGGCGTCGACGGTTTGGTTTGCTCGTACTCGCCAAGTTCACGGAAGCTCGAGGTTTCTCGTGGCTGGTGGCTACATTCCCCTCATTGTATCTATGCTATGTGAGACTGTCTTAAAACAGGGGCTTGAAACACAACGAAGTGCCATTTGTGAGACTACTATGAACACATGGGTTGGAAATTAGTAGTGCGAGACAAGAGACTGTAGAGTCCGAAACGTGCTCTGGAATAGGTACAAGTAAGTATAAATAGGCGGAGACGCGCCTGTCGCCTTTTTTTGCGCATGCAATGGTCGTATAGGCGGTGGACTAGGATTTGGAAATTGCTGCGGTGTAAAATCTAATGCATGTGGTGAAACGGATGTATGAGTGTCGGGTCCAGTGAACCTCTCTAGGGCTGCCCTTTTGTGTCGGGTGGGATGTACACTGAGTACGAGGGAGGCGGAATTACCTGTCATTACGTGTCAGCCACATAGGCACACCCACAAAAGAATAAGGGATGAGGGTAAGACGGGGATATGATATATGGCCAGGGAATGAAACTCTTGCGAGTACAGGGAACGGGTAAATGAAAGCAGGGGGAAAAAATCAAATCGACTCAAAACGTACCGAATGGTCATCTCTCTCGTGACTGATTGACCGCCGTGACCGCCGTGAGGGCTGAGAGCCCGAACGGCCCAATCTTGATGCGGCCTCATTGCCATCCACATCCGCACCGTCTAGTGGGCCGTTGATGGTGCCCTGGCTGGCCATCGTGCCATGCCCGACGCTCCATGCGCGCATACTGCCTTCGATCGTCGAGCCGTCAAATGCTTCGATAATCTTTTCCTTTTCTGTCATCTCTTCGTCTTCTTCAGTTTTTCCTGGGTTGGAGTGGGCGTCTTGATCTTGTGCAGACGATTCGACGGTGCTCAAGACGCGCTCGCGGACGGGTTGGGTGTACGATGAGAATGCCAAATCGTCCATTCTTCCACTTGTTGTGCGTGACATTGATCTCAGCCCGGTCGAGCCTTCGTCTATAGCCAGGCTTCGAAGATTCTGCGAATGGCGCGAGATGCGTGTGCCGTCTGTAGGTGAAGCTGCGCTCGCTGAGGGCCGATAGTTGAGTGGGATCCCGAGATTGAAATGATTCATTCCACGGAAATAACCAGGATCCTGTTCCTCGACTGGCGCAGTGCCGGCTCCTCTCCCGAGTCCTTGCATGTTGAGGTTATTACGGTTCGCCTCTACATCTGGCGAGCCAGATCGTGAGAAAGAGATTCCCAGTGCTTGTGAGAATCGTCGAAGCATCGAGCCGGGCCGCGACGAGGATGCGGGAGTGCCAGTGGCGGAGAAGCCCCGCTGACGTGTGCGCGAGAGTGGCGACAATGGTCGGCGTTGTGGGTTCTGGTGAGAAGCACTCGATTCGGAATCTGAAAAGACTGTTGATGGTCGACGTTGGTGGCTCGCTGCCGTGACATATGCCGAAGGGGTGGTTGCCGTCGACGTCGAGTTTCGCCTATCAACACCCGCATGGTTCTCTCTTGTGGGCGTGTGAGGATCTGTCTGCCGAGCTCCACTCCTTGCAGCATTGGCAGGCGCAGTACCAAGGCGAGCTGCTGTAGGTGTCGAATCCCACTCTGCCGGAGGGCTGAACGTCGGATCGTATGTGGAAACAAGTCTCTCTCTCTCCGCAGATCGAGTATTCCCACCAGTTTCGTTTACCGGCGGATCTCTTGGTGTGCTGTTAGGTGGGAAAGCAATCGGAGCTTGTTGCGCCGTGCCCTGACGCTCGTCGTTCGGAGCGGGAACGGTTTCACTTCGATAAGGCATACCATTTGTGCCTGCTCTAACAGAGTCTTGACTCTCCCGTCCAAACGAGACGGCAAACGGGGTCGGTGACGTCGGTGTAAAATGGCCTCCACTTCCCGAGGGCGGTGGAGAAGGCGCATGGTACTCCTCTGCCGTCGAGTAATGCGTAGACGCGTACGTGAAGCCCGACATGCGCCGCTCGCGCATCCCCCTTGACCCTGAACCTGAAGCTGCCGGCGAAAGAGGTGTTGCATCGCGTCCGATGGATTGTCTCCCGATTCGGCGAAACATTTTCTCGCGAAACGATTGGCGACGTCGCTCCCGCGTGCGTGCTCTTCGTTTGCGGTACAGACAGAGCCCGACGCAGCAAAGCACCAAGAGAAAGACGACTGGGACGACGATGCCAATGATCACCGCACTGTATGGCTTGCGCGGACTCGTGAGCCCGTCATTAACGGGGTTTCCATTGATAGTCCCTCCCTGATTTGGTCCTCCGCCGTTAATAATAGTTGAGACGACTTGACCTGCAGAATTGGTGGTCACGGTAACCTCTGGAGCATACGATGTGACGGTGGTGGTAGTATACGGGAACGGATCCTGTGCATCGTCGTACTGGACACTGAGGCGTGGGTTCAGAAAGTGTGAGAACGATGAAGGTGGAAAGACTCACATGAACGCATCCAATGCCAAGATGGCGTTTGCACCCGGGTCGTCGTGAGTGATTACGAGCGTGTGGGTCGTATAGACGAGACCGGTTCTGTTCCAAAATGGTCTCGAGGGACTCCTTTCTGGTGCGAGGGCGTTGTAGACACCTTGGTCGACGCCGTCGAGGGAAATGCGCCGCTGGGCTTGGTCGGGGGCAAAGGGTCCTTGGGCCCATATAGCGGAACCTTTGAGCGAGTTTCATGGGTCAACCATCGAGGACGAGGAGTTGGAGAACGTACCAGTAAAGACAAACGTCGCGGTGGCGCCTCTAGAGTAAGTAAAGCTACGAGAATGGTTGTAAAAGTCGTTTTCCCATCCCTGTAGTGGTTGATGATTCCACTGTCGGCTTGGGGAGTATGTAATGATTGAATATGTCTGGTCATCAATCGTCGCATTGACGAGAGCAGCGGAGACGCTGTGAAGGGTGAGTAGAGCTACAAGGGGGATCCAGAGCAAAGAAGAGAGCATGGCTCAGGAGGAGAGAGAATGACGAGGAGAAATGGGCATAAGGAAGGGGATCGGGTCCAAGTTGTCAAAGACTGTTTGCAAATCGGGGCCTTTACACCATTGACAGGTCAAGCTGACAGGTTGACATGCGACCTACTGGCCGACGTAGCCAGCGACTCCGTCAACGCCAGTCGGCCAAATTATCATTATCAGATATTATCTAGCATAATTTGGGGGAATATTCGATTCCATATGGCCGCGGGGACCGAAAGGGGCAGGTTGAGGACGGCAAGGATTCTTTTGACATTGTGTAAGCACTTCGTTGCAAAACCGTTTATCACATACGTTATTATCTCGATCGGTCAATTTTATCACCCGGCGTCTGCCAGTCGCTTACTTGGGACGAATAGGAGCTCCTAATGGCGATAAATCAGTCATATAAACGTTACCCAGTGAGTTGAGAATTTAAAGCCAGGTGCCTGTCGACTGCAAACTCGACAGACTGAGGAAAAGACTCGAGTGCTTTCTTCTAATCTGGTTCTATCATGGTAGCTCGGATGTGTCTTATTTGACTACATCTGTCATATTGTCTTACTCATCCTAAATTGCAAGAGGTGGGTCATCGAAATGGAATGTAACTAGGTCAATTGGAGACCAGGATGAAAAGAAACAAATGTAATAAATTGAGAAAAGGTGGCCGTGTGTTATGGCGAGTACGATGGGGGCGGCATTGCCTGTCATTCCATGTCAGCCACCGCAACCAAACGAGAGGTGATACGAGTAAGATAGATATGAGGTAAAGGGACGGTGCATGAAACTCTCACTGGCAAGCGACCAGGCAAGAGCCGGAAAGTGAATCGAAACGCAAACGTACCAAGTCGTCATCTCTCTCCTGGCTTATTGACCGGCGTGACCGCCGGGACCGCTGAGAGCCCGATCGGCCCAGTCTTGATGCGGTCCCATTGCCATCTGGTGGATTGTTGCTAGTACCTTGGTCGGCCACCTTTCCTTGTCCGACGTTCCATGTACCCATGCTGCCTTTACTCGTTGAGCCGCCAACCCCGCCGACAATCGTTTCTTTTTCTATCTTCTTTTCATGTTCTCCCGGTCTTCTTGAGCTAATTTGGGGATCTTGAGCATTTCCTGATGATCCGACGGTGCTCAAGACGTGCTGGGGGGACAGGCTGGGTGTATGACGAAACCGCCGAATCTTCCATCTTTCCACTAGCTGTGCGTAGCGTTGAGCCATTATCTATAGCCAAGCCTTGAAGGGTCTGCGACTGGTACGAGAGGCGGGAATCTCCTGTAGGCGAAGGTACGCTTGCCGATTGCCGATAGTAGAGTGGAATTCCAAGATCAGATTGATTCTTCCCATGGAAATAGCCTGGATTCTGTCCCTCCGCAGGCATAGTGGCCGCTCCTCGGCCGAGTTCTCGCATGCTATCGTGGTTCCCCTCTAGGCCCACCGGCGAAGGAGATGATGCTGCACCGTCTCCAGCGGGTGGTCTTTCGATTCGGCGTGGTCCTTTCTTGTAAATGGATCCCCGATGTTGCGCACGCCCTTTTACTCGTCGTCTGCGGTACAGGCAGAACCCGATGCAGCAGAACGTCAAAACAAAGACCAATGAGATAACGACACCGATTATAATCGCAGTGTTTGGCTTGCGAGAGCTCGTCTGCCCATCATTGACAGAATTCCCGTTGATATTCCCCCCTTGGTTCGATCCTCCGCCATTAACGATGGTTGAGACGACTTGACCTGCAGAATTGGTGGCTACAGAAGCCTCAGGAGTGTAAGATGCGACGGTGGTTCTGGTATATAGGAATGGATCCTCGGCATTGTCATACTCGACTCTGGCGGGTGTGTTAGAACCTATCAGAACAATTAGAATCAGTAAACTTACATAAATGCATCCAGTGCCATAATGGCATTTGAGCCCGGGTCGTCATGAGTGATTACAACCGTGTGGGTGGTGGGGGGAAGACCAGTTTTGCTCCAAAAGGGTCTCGAGGGACTCCATTGTGGTGCGAGAGCATCGTATGCACCTTGATCAACACCATCAAGGGAAATGCGCCTGCGCGCTTGGTCGTCGGCGTAGGGCCCTTGTGCCCATATCGCGGAACCTTTGCGGGAGTTGGGTGAATCATCGAGGAAAGAGACAAAAAGAACATACCGGTGAAGACAAACGTCGCAGTAGCGCCTCTAGTATACGTGTAGCTACGAGTTCGATTGTAAAAGAAGTGCTCCCAACCCTGGAGCGGTTGATGACTCCACTGGTTGCTTGGAACATACGAAATACTTGAATATATGTGATCGTCAATCGTCGCATTGACAAGAGCAGCAGCAACGCTGCGAATAGTGAGTAGCAGAGCTGCAGGGGGGATCCAGAGCAAAGAAGAGAGCATGACTCGGGACGAGAGAGAATAACAAGCAAGAGGTGCGTGTCAAGGAAGGGATTAGGTCCAAGTTGTAAAGGCTATTTGCCATTGCCTCCTAACTGCTCCAGCTGAGGGTCTGGTTGACTGTTGACGAGCAGCCCGCAGCTCCGGGGACGCCGCTCGTCCACAAATCATCATCAGAAATTATATCTAATAAACTTGAGGGATCCTCGACCGCACTCGGTCACTCGGACTGATGGAGGCGGGTCCAGAACGTCTTTTTAGCTTCGACAGCCTTTGTGAATACTGCGTTACCTTATGGTATGAAATGATTATCCTATACATTGTTATCTTGATCGGTGGTTATTGGTTAAACATTTCTCAATACTTATTAGAGGTGGCTTTGTTGGACCCGACTCCGCCGGTGCTCAGTCAGAAAGTGTAGCCCGTATTCTTTTAGAATACGCAAGGGGAATGCTGCACCCAACTTTTGCAGCATATCCTGGTCCTTTGCGCAATGGAGGCCCAGCAGACGACAGCGACGAAGACACGCCGCTTCAAGGACGAGCATATGCAAGAACTCCGTTTCCTACCCAACGAATGCTTGGGAGTCCTCCAGAAGATACCGACAGCGATGTCGTCGTTCCCGGTGGACGCCCACGATGTCAGTAAACATTACTTGTTGCGCGCTTCATGTTTTGACTCTGGCGGTCTCGACTCGCCTTTCTCCTGCAGCGTATTCGAATCCGACCCCATCTCCGTTTGTAAACGGAAATCCGGGGTCTGCCTTTGGCTCACCAGAATACGAGCTGGGCCAGGTTGAGCGTGGGCCCTACAACCCTCCCCAGCCAGGCGTTATGCCTGCGAAGTCTGCGTTACGTCAATCAAGACGGGCGACCATGGATCAGCTACGAGGAGGACTACCAACGATTATAGGCTCTCCCTCGGTCCCCGGATTGCCGCCCGACGCACTATTTCCCAACGGTCAGCCTGTCCCTCCAGGCTATCCAGTCCAACAACAAAGAATGGGATCCGTCAGAGGAACTCCCTATGTTCTTCGTCCAGGAGGTATGCCAACTCCAATGATGCACCCACAACAACAGACTCCGAGGGTCATGTCTCCAATGGGTTCGGGCATGTTCCCTACTCCTGGACCACCTCAGATGATCCCAATACCAACTTCAGGTAGGCCCATGCATCAGATGTTTCCTGCCACGCCTCTCCCGCCAGGCATCGGTCCGTACGGCAAGCCCCCGTCTCAACCTCCGGTCTCACTCTCTGGCATGCGAACTCCCATGCCAGCTATGGGAGCAAGGCCGATCCCACATGTCCCCGGAGGTCACTCAGTGCCGGGGGCCATGTCGATGCCAGTCCTCCCTCAGCAATGGCCAGCATCAGCTCAACCGGATAGGAGGCGTCGACGAAGGCACCGAAGGCGACGTGGTAATGAGGACGACGATGGAAGTGACAGCAGTGCGAGTTCTCGACAGGAACACCACAATCCTCTTCCAGAGCCACCCCGGATACTACCGATGCCAGACGTCTCTCCGGATGGCTCAATCCGTGTGGATTCTCCTCCGGCTACCAATCCATTTGGCAAACCTGAACCTCCTCCGAAACCACCGCCGAACCCTCTGCCCGTTCCACCCAAATCGATCATCGCGGAAAAGAATGCTAGCGCCGAGCTTGAGGCAGCTAATGAAGCCGTCAAGCGTGCAAAGGAACAGACAGAGCTCGCAAAAGCAAAGGCGATTCAACGCTTAGAGGCAGAAGCATGGCGAGAGGCGGGCGTACCTATTGGAGGCGACGAGGAGAACCCCGTCGTACCTCTGATACCAGGTGTAACTGCGCCAGGCGTGCTTCCGACAGCTGCAGAGCCTCCTGTTACTCGAAAGAAGGCGCGACCTACTACAATCAAAAAAGGAGAAATGGTTATGTCAAACGTCAAAACACGAAAGAGAGGGGAGGAGAGCGAGGAAGAAGAGGAGGAGCAAGAAGAAGAAAAGCCTCATGGCACTATAGCATCTGGCATTGGCTCTCTCTTCAAACGGATCTCAACTAGACATCGACCCGAAGCTCCAAATGGTCCGCCACCTCCTGTTGCACCTAAGCCACCTCCCAAACGTGGCTCGAAGCAACCACCCCCTAGACCTCCGCCATTACCCACCCACAATAGCTTTGACATGCCTCCAAACGAGCCCATTATCCCTCGGGGTACAAAGAGAAGCACCATTGATGCTCCATTCCGCAGTCAGGTCATTACTGCTGGACCGACACCGACCGCACAAGGATTCCCGGCTAATGGGCAGCCAATGTCGTTTCAGGCGAAACCAGGAATGCAACACCAGCCCATATACGATCCATCCACTCAAGAGTGGTATGATCCAACAAGTGGCCAATGGTGGAACCCTAACACTCGCAAATATTATCACAAACGAGCAGCGACGGTCGCGCCGTACGTGAGCGGTGTCAAGGGTGAAAAGGAAAAAGGCGGCGGTGGGTTGATGAGCATGTTGAAGCGTTGGACGACCAATACGGCTCCGGACGATCAACCACGACCCATCACAGCCCAGTTGATTATGCCTGGTAGTCAGAGGGATGGCGCGCCGCAGCAACCAATTGTCGTGCTACCTGATCACCCACACTCTGGAAGACAACGTCGTCGAACCGTATCAGCTGGCGAGTCCGGCATGCCCATTAGCTGGTATGGGAGCCGACAACGTCGACAATCTGGACGCACATCTACGCAGACACATCAGCGGCCGCAAATCCCGCCGTGGGGCTATGGGCCTCATGCGACGCCGTTGGACGGACAAACAGGGTTACCAACCGACATGATGATGGGTGGACCTCCTGGCCACGTCGGACAAGGCAACATTTACTTTTCGCGGAAAAAGGATCCTTACGGCGCGTTCCGACTCGATGCAGATTATCCCGTCTCCTGGGGTGGGTTAGAGGCGCCTGCGTTGAATTGGTTCGAGAGTGGCAAGTTTGAAAACGTCACAACGGGCCTTGGGTCGCTCGGGATGGGCACCGGATGGACGCGGCCGTCGACACAGGCAGGCGACGTCACTGGAAGGGGCAGCTCCGGCAAACGCGGCGCAAAGCGCTTGTTGCGCGGGTTTCTGGGTGGGAAGAAGAGTGAAGAGGGATTGAAGAATTCCCGGATGGAGTATGCAAGGGCACGTACCGAGTATAGTGAAATGGTCCTCCGCGCTCGCGGTGCGCGCGAAGTCGACCGACTCGTCTCACAATTTACGCTCGAGGGCGCACAGAGAGAGGACTGGGCTCAGGTTTATCGGCCAAAGGTACGGTGACGGATTATCGATTGACTTTTGCTTATTTTGTTTTCTAGCTCGATGAGATCAACTTTCTCAAGTTCCAGCAAAATGAAGTGCTGCTTAACATGCTCCTTGGTACAGGCAATGCGACGATTATCTTCAATTCGGAGAATGCAGAGCTTGGGGACGGTGGACATGTCAATGGCGCGACCGGTCACGGCCGAAACGAACTCGGACATTCACTCATGCGCGTCCGCGAAATTCTTTTGGATCGTTATGCGGGAGACGAAGAGGAAGGGGCGTGATTCGATGTGGGCACCGTGCGTCTATTCCGGGGTCATATTTATGGCTTTATCTCTCTGAGCATTGCTTTCTATCATTTTTTATCTTGTTGTGGAGTAGATGTGTACACATGGTGTATCGTACATCAAGTGTGTTGTCCAAGTGCTTTGAGCACTCTGTCAAGGGCGATTTCCAATGCAATTTTAGACATTTGAGCGTCATTAGGCGCATCTGTAGCAGTTAACATTTGAAATCATTGCCGCTGAAATCTTACCTTCCAGGAGAGGTACATTCTGCAATGCTTTTACCAGTGGATCCAGTAAACTCCGCTTCGTATCACTAACGCTCGCGCGATCTTTGATACCCGTCTGTGATATTCAATTTTGAGCGCATTTGAGCACGGGGTACTCACCTTGTTTGCAGCGTCCCTCTGCAAGAGAGTATAGTAGAATCCTAAACACTCCACCAAGCGCGCCGGTTCTGTGGAAGAAAAGAATTCTTTGACATCCAATGGATGCTCAAAAAGATCTACTGGGTCTGAACGAAGTAGGTACCGACCGAGCGGCCCCAAGAATGCATTCGTCCCAAAGACATCCCTCCGTCCGACCGACAAGGAATCAAATACGGATTCTTTCACAAGTCCGACTGCCGCGACACGCATCTGTGGGAATGGATCATCTGGTGAGAGGAGTTCGGCAAAGAGTCCAAGTCTTGCTGTGGGGGGTATTCTTCTCACTAAAAGAGAGAGTGCGACGAATGCCGAATTACGCTGTATAGGGTCTGGGTTTGAGGAAGCGAGAGTAACCATGGAGTGCGCGAGTAAATTTGCGTCTAGTTCGCCTGAAGATGCCGAGTTGCTACGGCTGAGGACAAGGAACGTGCACTCGTCGGTTGCTGTGCCTTTTTGTAAGAGGAATTGCATCGCTGGCTCGAGTTTGGACAACTGGTCAAGTTGCGCTGGGTATTCGTCCAATGGCCAGTGGGCGAGTAGGACAACGCACGAAAGAGCCATCGTTCCTCCTTGGGCAGAGAGTCTCGTGAGTACGTTGGGCGTGACATCAATACCCTTTGCGCATGACTTTTGGGATCTAAGTATTCGAGAAAACTACTTGAGTTATGACTTACGATCAAGGTGGACGCGACCTTCTCTCCAGCCTTGGAATCCTCATCGAGAGTAGAGTGCAAGTATCTGCGCGGAAGATGAATTTCTATATACCCTTCCGATAGGCGTGAATGTAGATGACTATGATAAGATGCGACCGAGCTCAGGAGCAGTGTCGTCAACAAGTCCTACCTAGTGTCAGTGGACCATATCAAATGAGGGATGCATACCTTGCACTCTGAGACCTCTGACGTGAACTGCGCGCCAGTCGACTTGGCCCATGAAACGATGGAGCTGATCAAAGTCGAGGTCGAAACGAGCACCTTGCGTCCACGCAATTTATCAGCCGCAGGACCAATCGCCCGGAGAGCCGAAGAGATACCCTTGGCAAGGGGCTTGATGGTTTCTAATGGTCCCTTGCGGCGTAGTGTCACGCGGGGAAGGGCTGTACTAGTCAAAGCGAGCTCCAATCGTCTTAGTGATGAACATACTCGTAGTATACAAATCAAGCAGCAGACAAACGCGGTCTATCAACTCGAACCCTCGCTCCTTTTCCTCTTCATCGTCGTGCCATTTGGATATGTCGCCCAGCAAGATTTCTTGGATTTCGTGAAGCGCGATAATGCACTCTTTGCTACTCGCATTTGCTGCAATATGTTCAAGCAGTTTGATGGCAGATTGATTGTCTTGGACGTGCTGCCAGAGCAGAGGACACAGATCGAGTGCATTCTGGCTTGAGGACGTCAGGTACCATATAAACGTATATGATGCAATAGTACGGACCAATTCGATCCCATCATGCGATTGTATTACAGTGTAAATGTCTTGGACAGTCCATTCTGGCTCAGTATCGGTGAGCGCTGCAGTCAAGAGGTTGAGGATAGGATCTCCATCAAGCTAATGCAATCAATATCCTTCTATCCAAGCCTTCTGCATCTCACAGGATCACTTGACGTGATTATCGATTCAAGCCGGGAGCGGTCAAGTTCAAGAGCCATCTGAGAACCAAACTCTAATTCCGATCTAGGTCATTTAACACCGAGTACGAATCTCACACGAGATTGCTGGGGTACCCAAACTGCTCAAGCCCAACAAAGCCCTCTTTGATGCTCCGCGCGCTGATGAATCGCCAGAAGAGCGCGACGCTACCAGCCTTGTCGTTTGTCCCGCTCGCACGGCTTCCACCAAACGGTTGCTGGCCCACGACGGCACCGGTGCACTTTTCATTGTAATAGACGTTACCCGCCGCATTGCGGAGCGCACTCGTAGCCTTAATGAGTGCCAAACGATCCTGAGAGAAGCTGCGAGACGATGAGCGTGTTGTGCGCATGAACAGAGGAAATGCATACATGGAGCCAGTGAGTGCATAGTCCGTGGTCGTGTTGATGAGCTCGTATGTCTTTTCGACCTCTTCGTCCGGATAGACGTAGACCTATTACTTGTCAGATTCAAGCTATAAGCAGCCTAAGATATATACCGTGACGACTGGCCCAAAGATCTCTTCGCGCATCGTCACGCTCTTTGGGTCCTTGGTAAGGATGATTGTCGGCTGGATAAAGTATCCCTTGGAGCCGTCCGCCGTTCCTCCGCACAGAATCTCACCGCCCTCGTTCTTGGCCTTTTCGATGTAGCCCACAATCTTGTCGAAACCAGGCTTGCCGCTACAAACTATCAGCGTTCGATCGACAACAAGGTAAACGAAACAAACATGACTGGACCCATAAAGTTTTCCCACTGATCTGATGGCCCAACCTTGATGGTTCCGACTTCTTTCAAGAGTTTGGCTTTAAATTCTGGCCAGAGTGACGCCGGCACGTAAAGTCTCGAGAGCGCGGAGCACTTTTGACCTATAAATCATTAACAAAGCCCTATAGGTATACAAAATAGCCCACCTTGGTACTCAAAAGCGGCGCGAACAGACTGATGAACGGCATTGTCTACCTGCGCGGACGGGAGGACGAGATGAAAGTTTTTGCCACCCGTCTCTCCAACCACGCGCGGATAATTCCTATACCTCCCCTCTCCAACACCATCACCAACGCTCTTCCACAAGTGCCTAAACACCGCCGTCGACCCAGTGAAATGCAAACCAGCAAAGTCTCGGCTCTTGAGTGCTTCCTGCACGACGACTTCTGGGTCACCGGGGACGAATTGGATGACAGAAGGTGGGAGACCGGCTTCGAGAAGGACGCGGTGGACGAGGTAGTTGGAGTACGTCGCGGCTGGAGACGGTTTCCAGACACATACGTTACCGAGCATGGCTGGTGCACAGACGAGGTTGGCACCAATGGCTGTAAAGTTGAATGGCGAAATGGCGAGCACGAATCCTTCGAGTGGTCGGTACTCGACTCTGTTCCACGATCCAGCCGCATTCTTGGGTGGCTGTTGTGCGTAAATCTCTTCGACATACTTGACTCCGAATCGCAAAAAGTCGCACAACTACAAGGCCAATGTCAAACTTGGAAACGGTTCCGAGCGGAAATACCCCACCTCTGCAGCAGCGTCAATTTCGGCTTGCCATGCATTTTTGCCTTGTCCAAGCATCGTAGCAGCTAAGATCTCCTCTCTATACTTTCCCGAAATCAAATCTGCCGCTTTCAAAAAAATGGCTGCACGATCGTTCCAAGCCATCTCCTCCCACTCTTTCTGAGCCTTGACCGCATCGTCAATAGCCCTTTGAGTAGTAGTTTTATCCGCCTTGTGATACGTGCACAGATGGTCCGCGTGCGAGGCGGGTAAAGGTTGTTTCGCGAGATCGTTTGTGCGGACCTAGAAACGAAATGAGGATCAAAATAGATGCAGTGATTACAGGACATTACCTCTTTACCGTTGATGACGCATGGAACGTCAAACGGGAGCTCACTCTTCATCTTCTTGATCGCCGCATCAAGTCGAATTCTCTCCGCAGATCCAGGCGCATACGAACGCTATCCGATGCCAATGGGTACGAATTGCATCAAGAGCAAGACGATTCAAGCGCAGAAGGAAAAAAAGTGGATGAGTGGCAGAGCTCCAAAGACAGGCCGGATCATATGAAAACACACCATTGGTTCATTTTCGATCTGAGGAATGCGGAATGCGCCGAGTTGGGCAGAGGCGGAACTCATTGTACGTCTATCAATCGTCCGTTGTGTGATCGGAAAGCAACAGGTTGGCTTATTTCTCGAGAGAGAAGGAATCTGCGTACGATGGTTAAGAGTGAGATATCCAGATGTTGGTGCAGAAGCCAAGATACGTACCCCAAACAAGAGGTCACGCGCGGGGTTCAGCTGAGCGTACGCCCGCACAGAGCAAAGGGTCCGCGGGGAGAGTCGAGAGAGCGAAGAGGCGGTCCGGATCATGTTCAAAGTCACCACGTTTCACCAAGGATCAAGAGGCAGAATTGAAATGTATACAGAGCAAGATACATGGGTAGATACGAGACCGGAAATGATTAGACGAGCAGTGAGCAGTGATTACGCGACTCGTACGCGCTGTTTCGAGTCGAATAAGTAGCGCCTCCTAGAAATCTTCATCGAGAACAAACGCGCCCTTGTTGGCGACTGCAGTGCTGTTGTCGTCGTCCTTGGTGCGAGCAGCAGACTGATTGACACCAGCCTTTGCATAGTCCGAGACGCGCTTCTCGAAAAAGTTGGTCTTGCCCTGGAGCGAGATCATGTCCATAAAGTCGAATGGGTTGGTGACGTTGTAGACCTTGTCATTGCCGAGGGCGACGAGCAGACGGTCGGCGACAAACTCGATGTACTGACGCATGAGGGTGGCGTTCATGCCGATGAGCGAGACTGGGAGGGCATCCGTCAAAAACTCTTGTTCGATGGTGACGGCCTCGGTGATAATCCTCTTGACCGTCTCGGGGTGTGGTCGCTTGCGGAGGTGACCAAAGAGGAGGCAGGCAAAGTCGGTGTGCATGCCCTCGTCGCGCGAGATGAGCTCGTTGGAAAAGGTGAGGCCAGGCATGAGACCACGCTTCTTGAGCCAGAAGATGGCAGCAAACGAGCCAGAGAAGAAAATGCCCTCGACGGCGGCAAAGGCGATGAGACGCTCGCCAAAGGTCGAACGGCGGTCGGAGATCCAGCGAAGAGCCCAGTCGGCCTTGCGCTTGATGCACGGAATATTCTCAATGGCGTCAAAGAGATATTCACGCTGGGCAGCGTCCTTGATGTACGTGTCGATGAGGAGCGAGTATGTCTCGGAGTGAATGTTTTCCATCATAATCTGGAAGCCATAGAAGCAGCGGGCCTCTGCAGCCTGGACTTCTGCACTAAAGCGCTCGACGAGATTCTCGTTGACGATACCGTCCGAGGCGGCGAAAAAGGCGAGGACGTGGGAGATGAAGTGACGCTCATTGTCGTTGAGTTTGTTCTCCCAGTCGTGGAGATCCTTGGAAAGATCCATTTCCTCTGCGGTCCAGAACGAGGCCTCTGCCTTTTTGTACATTTGCCAGATCTGAAGGGGAGGCTGACTCAGCAGTGGCAAAGACAGAGCAAAGGGAGACATACCTCGTGATATTGGATGGGGAAGAGAACAAAGCGGCGCTGGCTCTCCTTGAGCAGGGGCTCATCTTTTTCGTCGAGATCCACGTCGCCGACAAAGCGCTTGCGGTAGTCCTCGAGGGGTTCCTCCTGGACAGGCTCTGCGAGCTTGCTGGCGAGATCTACGGGCTTTACGGGCGTCGTAAGCTCGAGAGCGGCGAGGTTGTGGGCGGTCTTGGAGGCAGGAGTGGCCATGAGGGAAAATGTGGGCAGAGGTAGAGTCTGAACGCGTTGTTTGCTGTTTGGCCACGGCGCCGCGTCTTCCTTTATGCCCAATCAAGAGGTCACGCGCTTTCAAACCCCGCCGCCAACACCCCTATTCATGGTCTGCCACCCATCTATTTATCAGGGATTTTTCGCAAATTTATTCTGGGCGGGACTCAAGGGCTAGATTCTATTGGTCTAGTCTTCATCCTGCAGTACCAGTGCACATACAAACCCAAATATTCATCTAAAATCATTTATACACTTTACACATATTTCGTACACTTTATCCAAATTTATCACATTTTATCAGCCACGACGAGTGACCACTCGCTACCACCCAATCTCAGCCATGGATGTGACCGGGCTGCTTGCTTCAACCTCGACTGGACGCTCGACAGTCGTAGAAAAAGATGTTCCTCTTGTCGTCGATGCAGGATTACTCGCCGTATTTGATTCAAATGACATTGACGAAGAGTCTTTCCGGCAAGTGGCTGGAAAACCTTTAAAGTGCTCTCTAATCTCTCGTACAACAGCTCTAATCCTGAGGAATATCTCCAATCAACCGCACGAGACGGTGTCCAGGCTCTCATAAACGCCCTCTTTACGCTCCCCATCCAAAAGACAGAGGATGGTCCACTCGCTCGTCTACCACCCATCGAGATGCTCCTTCCACGAGCAAAGCCACTTCCAAAGCCCAAACCATTGACGAAATGGGAGCAATTTGCCAGGGCCAAAGGTATACAGAAAAAAGTACGCGACAAACGCATCTGGGATGAGCAAAAGCAGGAATGGGTCGCTAGATGGGGTCGAAATGGCAAAAACAAAGAGATTGAAGAGCAATGGATCACTGAAGTCCCCGATAATGCCCGTACGTGCTTCTGTGATTCTATTTCATCAGCATACCAACTTTTACCAGCCGACGACTATGATCCTATCAAAGAAGCGCGTGATGTTCGCAAAGCCCGTGTTGCAAAGAACGAAAAGCAGCGGCAGGCAAACATTGCTCGTGCTCAGGGCGGCCCAAGCAAGGACGAACGCAAGGCAGAGCTCAGAAACACAGCGCTGCAGACAAAGATTAGCACTGCGAGTATGGGCAAGTACGTAGACACCACGAATCGTTTGACTTTCATTCACCATTTGGTAGGTTTGACAAGAAGCTCGAGGGAGATCCGAAATTACGCGGTATCAAACGAAAGGTAACCTCATTCCCTTTCTTGTCCTGTTACATTCTAATAATCTATAGTTTGAGCCCAACGAAGGAGACGTCCAAGCTGAAAAGTCCAACGCGCTGGCTCTGCTCGCAAAACTCGAACGCGCAGGTCCGACATCAAAGAAAACCAAGACGGATGGAGAGGGTGGAGATGACGTACTGAATGTCCGAAAAGCCGTCCGATATGCGACCAAGGGCAAGGGTGCCACCTCCCTCGCCGCAAAAGCATCCAAAGGTGGCGGCAAAAAGGGCCGGGCAGCAGGTAAAGGAAAAAGGAAATAGTTTGTACATTCTGTGCTATTTCTATAATGCTTGTTCTTCTTTATCGCTAGTTGAAAGGGTAGCCGGCCGCTTGTTTGGCCGGTCAGCCTTTTGAACCGCGACTACGACATCATGTCCATCGCCCAGCCCTTCCCCCTTGCAAATCCATACGGAAATGACGCGCCGGTGCGCAGAGTCGAACTTCCGCGACAAGATCTCGCCGTCCGGCTCATCTGTCCACAATGCAGAGACCCGCAACCCAACATTGAGGAAGAGTTTAGCTCGGGAGATCTCGTTTGCAGGGGGTGTGGGCTGGTTCTTGGTGACAGAATCGTCGATACCAGATCAGAATGTGAGTACTGGATATTTTGGCGGCTTTTTGTACGCCGTTGCTGACCAAGCGCTCGTTTGCGGATTGGGCTGGATGACTTGCAGGGAGAGTAAGTCATTATTGCTCCTCACTAACCCCTTCTCTATACTCTTTTGATCTTGAATACAATTGTTTACACTACATAGACGTTTGCCAATGAAGAAGGCGACGATCCATCCCGTGTCGGTGGTCCACAGAACCCCATTTACGAAGGTCTCGACTCGCTATCGACGTCCATTTCGTTTCGCGATGGCAACTCGGGCCACTCGCGCGAGCTCCAACGCGCTGCTGCCCGGCTCTCCAACGACAAGTCGCAGCGATCCCTGACAGTCGTGTTTGAGCAGATCCAGAGCATGTGCGATCAATACTCACTCCCTCGTTCCGTCTCCGACACTGCCAAAATGCTCTACCGCCGCACAGAAGAGGAAAAGCTTTTGCGTGGAAAGCAACCCGACGCTATCGTCGCCGCATGTCTCTTTATCGCATGCAGACAAGCTGCTGTGCCTCGCACGTTTAAGGAGATTGTCGAGTTGACAAATGTCCCTAAAAAGCAAATTGGCCAGTGCTACAAGGCGCTCGAGCGGGCATTCAACCTCGCGCCCGGTGCGACTGCGGCGAATCCGAGTGGTCATTCGAGTGGTGGTGCTGGAGATGGCAATGTTGGTACCTCTGGACCGAGTGGTGCGCAGAAAGGAGATGCTCCATTGCCTGGTGGCGCTGGTTCGACAAACTCGACGAGTCCAGAGGATCTGATGGCACGTTATTGCAACTATCTCGATCTTCCGCCTGCACTACAGGCCTACTGTGCCGACGTGTCTGGACGGGCGAGGAGTAGGGATATCGCCAGCGGTCGATCACCGGTATCGATTGCGAGCGGGATCATCTACTTTACGGCGATGTTGTTCGGCTACTCTGTGTCGCTCAAAGAGATTGGTGCGACGGCCGGTGTGAGCGAGGGTACCATCAAGCTCGTCTACAGACTTTTGTGGGCGGACCGCGAGGCGCTGGTCAACGAAAAATGGATCGAAGAGGGAAAAGTCAAGTTGGACAACTTGCCTAGTGCAGAGACCAAGGGTGCCGTTGTGGACAAGGAGGGCAAGTCACCAAAGGACAAGTGATCCCCTGCGCCCGCCCCGCCTCTACCCCCCCTCTACGATACCTCCCGCCCGAATGCTTGATTGTATTTCGGACGGAGCCATGTCGCGCTTTCGTCCCTTCCCGACATCACCCCAAACGGCATTTATATTCTATGGCTCGACCGCGATAACCTACGAACTGACAATGACATAACAAGATAGCGTGGACATTTGATGGCTGAGAATGAGGGCTTCTTTCTTTCTGTTCCAACCCTTTCCACTAACTTTTCTTCCTCTTCCTCTCTCCATATGTCCCGTCGCCTTGCCTACATTGACCTCGCAGCGTGCTACAGTGATGTAAAAGTGGTAAAAATGCGAGCAATAATAGTGTGTGTTGACTACAAAGAACGGAATGAGTGGAAACTAAGCTTGAACCCGACGTCGTTTTGCGGTGGCGGCATTGAATCAAAGGAAATATTCAATAATTGATATCGGATATTATTAATAACTGTTCCATTTCTTATGATCGAGGAAATGCGTTGGAACGCAGTCTGAACCTGGCGGTTTTCGGCGGGAAGCACTAGAGAGGGCGGATCGCAGCTTTCAAATGTGATACGAGTTTTCTACCCCGCAACAGATCGCATTGATGATATATTAGGGGTGTATTTAGCAGACCTGGATAGATTCCTGGATCGCCCGACCACCAACGGATAAACTGGTCACCTGCGCGAGAAGCAATCCACGAGAAGGCGATTCGGGATGGTTCTACGCACTTGGAGCCCATGTGGAGTGAATGTGACGACGATGGCGACGACGAAGCCGCCCCGGGTGCGCACGACTCGGCGACCGAGTTGATGGACGGGTCTCCCAGGACCCGCGCCTCTCTTTCACAAGAATGCGGGATGCGGGATGCGGGTGGGCACGTCGGCACGCTCTGTGGAGAAAAAGAAGCAGGGGCAGCTCGGAGCGAATGCCCAGGAGGCCGTCCGTGGCAAGGAGAGGCATAAAAAGGGGGTCAAGAGATCATTGTGCCCATCCAACGGGACGTCTTACCCAACCCACCACTCGTTCCTCTCTCTGGTTGCTGCCGTTGGCCGAGATGCGTTCGCTCCTTCGTCTTTTCCCCTACGCACTCGCAGCGATGGCGGCGAGTGTACCAAATACGCTTGTGGAGAAACGTGCGACGAATAAGAATGTGATCATTCAACTCTTCCAGTGGTCCTGGAACTCTGTCGCTGCAGAGTGCACGACGTTCATTGGTCCCGCGGGTGCGTTGACGTTGACTCTTATGACAAATTTTTTTTACTAAACTGATGCAGGATATGGATACGTGCAAGGTAAAATCTTCAGTCTTGTGATTGGTCTCCTCTAATGCCGAACACAGTCAGTCCTCCTGCCGAGCATATCACAGGTACGTGCATATGGCGCCTCATAGGCACGCATTAAAGTATACAGGTGCACAATGGTGGACGGACTATCAGGTAGGAAATTGTAGACTCTATGCCAAGAATGCTGATGTCAAGTGTAGCCCGTCTCGTACATCCTAACTTCCAAGCGCGGTTCGCGTAGCGAGTTCGCTAATATGGTCACCACATGTCATAACGCTGGTGTACTCGTCCTTGTGGATACCATTTTGAATCACATGGCGGGAATCAACTCCGGTACGGGTGTGGCCGGCTCTAGTGAGTGCTTCGCCGTGGTCAGCCCTGCAAGCAACCTGACCTTGTTACAGCTTTCAGTACGCGACACTTTGTCGTGAGAATATTGGGCTTACATTTGTACAGCTCATTATGTGTATCCCGGGATTTACCAGTACCAAGACTTTCACCATTGCACGCTTACCTCGACCGGAGATATTGTGGACTGGACGAGTAGAGCGCAGGTTCAGACATGTGAACTCGTCAATCTCTCCGAGTAAGCATAGGCACATACCCAGTCTTGTTCTGACATTGGTTTAGTCTTGCCACGGAGACGGAATATGTACGCGCCAAACTCGCCGCCTATATGAACGATCTCGTCTCTCTCGGAGTTGATGGCTTTCGAATCGACGCTGCACGACGTTCGTGAAACCACTCTGTTCATCGAACATCCTAACCTCTGATAAGATGTTGCAACCGAGGATATCGCCAACATTCTCTCCCGCGTCTCAGCAGCTGGTTATGTCAGTCAAGAAGTCAGTTTTGACGGGGATCAAAACGCTGTCAAACCTCTGGAATATGTTGCCAACGGCGCTGTTCAAGAGTACGTCGGTTCAGACCAATAGGTGTTTGCTCATTATACCCTTAGATTTCGTTACACGTACCTACTCAAGGAACGGCTTTTATATACTTGTTATTTGCTGTCTAACTCCTCCTCAGGATGCGTTTACGTCGTCCGGCATCTCTCAGCTGCAGACCCTTGGGAGCGCCAGTGGCAAGTGGCTACATCCTACTCCACGAGAAAAAATTGACAACCATTAGGCTGGGTTCCTAATACTGGCTATGGAGCTAATGTCTTCGTCGCTAATCACGATACCGAAAGAGTAGGTAAACTAGTTCCCAAACCGCATCGTCCTGATGTCCGACAGGCCGGTGGCTCGCTTCGATATGACTCTTCTTCCAACACCTATACACTCGCTATGGTCTTATCCCTCGCACATCCTTATGGAGTTCCGACGATCCTCAGCTCGTATTCATTTAGCAACAATGATAACGGGGCGCCAAACTCCAGTACGTATATGTGAATTACTGTCGCCCATACAGTAGCTAAATGCTTTCCAAAGACTACGGAACGTGCTCTGGTTCGACGGGATCAAACGGATGGTGAGTCAGTAGTCGGGATGTTCGAGAATATTCTGACTATTCGGACAGGCTCTGTCAACACAGATGGCCTGCAGTCTCTGGTCTCGTTGGGTTTCACAATACCGTCGGGACCGATGCGTTGAATAATTGGGTTAGCCCCGCGAGCCAACAGATTGCGTTCGGACGAGGTGAGTCATACCTTTTTATTCTCTCTATTGTGCTTAAATGAAAATGATCAGGTTCTAGCGGCTTCGTTGTAATCAACAACGCCGACTCAAGCTGGACGTCATCATTCACAACCTCACTTCCTGATGGCACGTATTGTGACGTATACACCGGTCCAAAGAGTGGATCAAATTGCTCTGGTGCAGCGTATACAGTCTCGGGGGGCGTGTTCAGCGCAACCGTTGCAGCACGTACCGCACTCGCATTGCACACTGGTGCGACTACCACAGCCGTGACTACGACAGTCACAAGCACGACCAAGACTACGAGCACCACGACGTCGACTGCTTCTGCGAGTTCGGTGACGGTTACATTCGCTGTATACGCGACGACAGTTTGGGGACAGGTCTGTTAAGGGATTTCCGTGTTATATGTGCTAATTTACCTTCCTTAGAATGTATATGTCACAGGCAGCATCTCTCAGCTCGGAAATTGGGGACCAACCTCTGGCGTATGTGGATAATTAACAGCGACGAACTCAAGCTAATTGATCATAGGTTGCTCTCTCTTCCGCATCGTATCCGACGTGGAAGGGGACAGCAGTCATCCCTGCTGGAACCACGTTTCAGTACAAGTACATCAAATGGGATGGCAGCACCGTCACATGGGAAAGCAATCCAAATCGATCGTATACCACCACGACGTCTTCAGTGACGCTCAACGATACCTGGCGATGAAAGCAAATGTCTGTACTCTAAATCTTGCCTTTCCAATACACGTCGCAGTTGTACAGCGAAGAAGGCAAAATTGCCGTTAAATTAATTCTTTGACGAGAAACTACATGCCAGTACGAAAACAGCAGTCCGAGTGGAGATGGTGTCGATTAAAGGAGTCGGACACAAGTATTAGACAGTCCCGACCAGGTGCGTGTATGGATTAAGATAGATCGTTCAACAGGATATGCACTGTCTACACGACACTCATTGGCGTGCCCGCATCAGCAATATGAACTGGTACGCGCTGACCGTATCCCTCTGCCATTTTGACTTCTGGTGGGGTCTTGCGCCGGCGGCTAAGAGTGAAGTGGTCAGTAAAAAGAAAGAGACAGGAACATGTATCACATACCCAAGTAGTGTTGCGCCTCCCAAATTGAGTTCAAAGCCCTTCTTGCGGTCTCCTCGATCGCGCGGTCCTGCGCGTCCACCTTGATATGCCGTCTTTGCGGCATCGCGATTCATATGTGTACCCGTATCGACGCCCCGAGTGCCTGCACCCTGAGCGCCAGTGAGATTACCATTCTGTCGCTGCTTGACCGAGTTGATGACAGCCTGGTCGCTGTCCTCCTCGTCTTCGTCGTCTTCATTGAGATCTCCAAGGAAGTTGGCACCTCGTCGGCGAGCGCCTTCCTCCTCCATTCGATGGACGGCATACGTAATGTCAAACGCCTCTTTGAGCGTCGCGAGGCCAGGGGAGCGGCCAACGGCGACACCATGAGCGGACTGAAGAAGAGGAGAGTCGAGTGGATGATTAACGGCGGGAGTTTTAGCAGGCTGAATAGAGCCTTGGGCCTCTTTGCACCATGGATGGTTGAGGAATTCGTCAATGGTGTATCGTTGGGCGGGGTCCACACACAGCAAGTGAGTGATCAAGTCCTTGGCTAGAGGGGTGTTAGCGAGAGGCAGACAGAATGGCAAGGAATGACGGACAGGATGCACTGATGTCATCCCACCAGGGGCTCAGGAAGGTGTAGTATCCCCGAGCAACCTTCTCCGTCAAGACGTTGATACTCTCGTCGTAAAAAGGCGGGAATCCACAGAGAAGCGTGTAAAGAACACATCCGAGTGCCCACATGTCGACGCTCTTGCTGTAGCGTTCGTCCTTGACAATTTCTGGTGCGGTGTAGCCGACCGTTCCGCAAGGCGTCATCGTATCCTCGTTCCAGACAATTTTGCTGAGCCCAAAGTCGGCAATCTTGACGCGCCCGATGCCTCCGCCGCCGAGGCCGTTGATGAACTCGCCCTCGTCCTCCTTTTCCTCGTCATAGGGACGATTGATAGGATTCTTGGATGGAATAATTGGTATCCTTTCGAACAACAGATTCTCTGGTTTGATGTCTCGGTGGACAACGCCACGCTCCTCATGCAAGTAGCGGATGCCATGGGCAACTTGGAGGATGACGTGACGAGCCAAGGGCTCGCTGAAGTACGTGAGCTTGACACTGGTCATATGTTAGTAAGAGATCCGAAAAGACGAGGAGATGCCAACATTTGATGGAAAAGCTCTCCTCCTTCCATGACTGATCAAGGGTCAGCTGTGGGGTCGTCGGGGCGGGCGGGCGAACGTACGCTCCAGCACCAAAAAGTAGTGCTCATCAGACTCAGAGAAGGAGATGAGCTTGACAATCGATGGATGGTCGATTCCTCGCATAATCTGGACCTCTGGTATGATGTCAGTGATCAGGGCCTGAGAGGAGAACGTAGTGATGACGGCGTACCTTTGAGAATATTCGCACGCTATACGTTGTCATTGTCAGCCACAAACATCGAGAGGCGGGACCAGAAAGGAGAATGTATTGGGGTCAGCAGCTCACCTCGGTCGCGCGCGGCTTCTTCTTCTTGAGCTCGGGGTTAAGGTGCTTGTTTCCCTCCTATTATGTCGAGGGCAAAGATACGCCGCGCGCGTTCGAGAGGAGAAGTCGAGAGGGAGAAGACGAAGTAAGCAGATGGTTTGCACAGGAGCGTGGAGAGTAGGCAAGTAATGTGATACCGACCTGTGTAGAATTAAGCTCGTATTTGCGAACGACCTTGACTGTGAAAAATTGCGTAAGACTTTTGATGCGGTCATTAACAGTGGCGAACACTTACTGGCGACTTTTTGGCCCGTCTGGGTATCCAAAGCCTTGTAAACGTTGGAGAAAGCGCCACTGAAAGAATCAGACACGCTCAGCGACGAAGAGGTTTGTGACGATCAGACTTACTCCCCCATCTTGTCGAGCAATCTGAAGCGTTCGAGGCCTTTGATATATGGCATCTTTGAGCTAGCAGCACGCTCTTCCTTGACGATAGCCTCTGCGGCCTGAGTATGATGGGCCTTGTCCTTCATCGCCTGCTGCTTCTCCTCGCGCTCGCGTTCTGCTCGTTCATGACGTTTAGCCTCTGCCGCCGCAAGAGCAGCTTCTTTGCGAGCTTGCTCGCTGTTTGCGTCATTCTGCGTCTGCTGCTGCTGTTGCTGGTTATGCGCGCGCGCATGCTTGCCGTGTCGAATAAAGTCTAAATCACCATCAACGACCTGGTATTGCTATCCTAGATGACGAGAACTCACTCTTAAATGCGTCCATGGCGGCTCAGAGGACTCGGATGGTCGTGGCAGGTTCCAAGATGCGCTCTCACCTTTGAGACGGACAGCAGCCGCTGGAGAAATGACGTCAAGTGGGCGGGTAAACAGGCCAAAACAATAGAATCTGATTAGCAAGCCGTTAGTGCGAATATTCAAGCGATATTCTCTCGAGGGACCTCTACGTTTAACCGGTTTATAGCTCGTTGGTCGTGTGTTACCAACTGGCTACATGGCGTAGAAGAGCCATCCCAAAACTATCAGCTGGGCCGGGCGACAGCACTTTTAACGAGACTTGTTCCATCATTACGTGGTGGGTTTGAGCTATGTACACGGGTTCTACTTGTCATCGTCCAGCGAAATATCGTGGCAGCCTTTCTGTCGGCGGGTAAACAGCCCATAACAATCCATTAGTCCTCCGTCTTTCGTTTCTTAGTCGCCTTTTTCGTGCTCTTTTCCGTTGGTGGAGCCGCTTCATCCTGGGCCTTCTTTGCCTTTGGGCCAGTCGCCTTGGCTCGCGGCGGCTTTGATGGTTCCGGCGTCTCGTTCTTGTCCTCTTTGTCCTTTTCAGCCGTCTTTTTCTTGCCCCGGCCTCCGGCAGCTTTGGGTTTGGACTTCTTTTCCTCCTCGTCCGACATGACAATGTCCTCATCGCTCTGGAGTTCGAGGTACTTCACGGGACCCGCCTCGCTCTTACGTCTCGCATGGCGTTCCCGGGGTTCCAGGGCACTCAAGTCCATGTCCTCCTCCGAGTCGTCGGCCATCGAAGTGGCACGCTTGCGCTTAGGCTTGCGCGTACCACAGCGAAGCTTTGCGCAATCTCCGAGCTTGTCGTCTTCGGGAGTTCCATCCTGGCGGTATCGCGCCTCTTCGCGATCAGAAGTGTGCGTGCCGATGAAGCAGAAACCGGCAGGTGGTCCTTGGTCACCGTCTCCATCCACAGTTTGTCCACAGCATCCCCAAAAGGTCTCGTGGATACCCTGGGCGGATCGCCGGACTACGGCACTGTCATCGTCGTGTTCTCTCACCTGTACGCGTCGCATTGTTAATACGAGCAGCCAAAGGAATGAAAATGACACTCACACAGCTCCTAGGCCCGTTCTCAATATCGAAATAGTCCGAATGGCATCGCAAGCAATGCTTCTTGGGAGGTACGACGAGGCCCGTGAAGAACGAGCTCAGGACCGGAAAGTCATTCTCGAGCGTGGGGAATGCATTTGGATTGGGTTTCTTCTTCCCTCGTGCTCCTGGCTTTTGGATATCAAGTCTCTGTACCATAAACTGATAAAGAGTCTTTGGGGGAACAGTGTGAATGAGCTCCTTGAGTCCACCGAGGTTGGATACGTCCGGTTGCGTAGCCTCTACCTTGTCCGCACCCTCTTTCTGGACCTCGCCGCCTTCGCCCGCGGGGGCGGCCTTTTTGGTGCTCTTGCGTGGTTTACGGGGCTTTGGAGCGGCCGTAGGCTGTGGTGTCGCCGTCTCGGTGACAACGCTCGGCGGCGGGGGGCTCGCTGAATCGCGGTCCCCATTCGTCTCGTCGTTAGCAGTCGACGACGCAGTAGGTTTACTCCTCCAAAACGACAACATTATGATCTACAGTCGATGAATCGTGATTGTGGATGTCGTTGGTCGTGTGCAAGTGTGATTACAGATTGTACTTGTTGAAAAATTCGTTGCCTGGTCGTTGACGCGTCGTAGATGCGCGTTTTGCAGTCAGAGGCGTGTATTTATGCGTTTTTTCGAAACCCTGGAGGTATTTGGCAGAGGCCGGCAGATGGTGGTAAGGGTCGAACAACGCGCGGCATGTTTGGCGCCTGACTCGCGCATTCTCCAAGCCGCAACGCCTCGTGTAGCATGTAAAATGCATTATTTTGGCATAATCTTGCGCAGAACACGTGTTCAATATCCTACACAAGTCGCACAGTCCCAAAAGGTGAGCAACGGGTCATGCTAAGAGATGTTTGGCGTGTTAAAAGTAATCCTTTTGCGGTATTCCAGTCTAGTAACCTGCCGCTGAGCACATCTTTAGCGCACTAGCCTTGAGCGTTGATGCAGTTGAGACGATACATTCACATTGGAATCTTTGTCATCTCCTTTTCACCCAATCCCCAACCCTTAATTGTCATTGGTTTGCCTCAAAGCCGTTCACCGTTAATCGGCCATTAACAGCGCAAAGAACAAGCCGAACGTCCAATGACAAACTAATTCTATCCAATTGGTCGGCCGAATTTCTGCTTATTCGTAAAGCCGACAGCGCCGACACTCGAAGGATCTTAAGTCGCGAGTGGCGTTGAGCTCAAAGTAAACTTGGACTGCTCCTCGCCCACCAATCTCAAGTATGCCAGCAGCAATTCCAGGACCACGAACGCTCTACGACAAGATCTGGGACGACCACGTTGTGTGCGTCTTGAAATCTGTCTTGGTCGACTGCTGATATTCTCGCGCAGCGATGCCCAGCCAGACGGAACCACTCTCATTTATATCGACAGGTATGTACTCTACATCTACGCACTGTCCTTGTCTAAAGTCTCCACAGGCATTTGGTTCATGAAGTGACTTCCCCGCAAGCCTTCGAAGGCCTGTACGCTGACCTTTCATTGCATCCGAGTACCCACTAATCTTGTATACCAGCCGAAATGCAAATCGTCCAGTCAGACGTCCGGATTGCACATTGGCTACCGTCGACCACAATGTCCCGTAAGTCTGCCAATCACCTTGGGCATCTCAAGCTCATTTCTCCCAGGACTACATCCCGCAAAAACTTTCAATCCGTCAAGACCTTCATTGAGGAACCAGACTCACGCGAGCAATGCATGGCTCTCGAGGACAATGTGAAAGAGTTTGGTCTCACATATTTCGGCATGACCGACCGACGACAAGGTGCGTACGCGCCCACAGCCAATAGGCTCTCGTCTCTTATCTCCATGCGCTAGGCATCGTCCATATCATTGGCCCGGAGCAAGGCTTCACGGTACGTGATGTTGGCTCCTAGTCCTTCTAGCCTTGACCCTCATCTTATTATAGCTTCCCGGCACTACGTGCGTGTGTGGTGACTCGCATACGTCGAGTGAGTATCCGGAAGCCACGCTTATCTAATTCGTTGACACTAGACAGCCCACGGCGCGTTTGGTGCGATTGCCTTTGGCATTGGTACATCCGAGGTCGAGCATGTGCTTGCAACACAGACTATCCTCCAGAAAAAATCGAAGAACATGCGCATCACAGTCGACGGCCAACTTCACGAAGGCGTCACCTCGAAGGATGTCATTCTACACATTATTGGTGTGATCGGCACAGCTGGTGGTACTGGATCCGTCATCGAGTATGCCGGTTCCGTTTTCCGTGGGTTCAGCATGGAGGCGCGCATGAGCGTTTGTAACATGAGCATCGAAGCCGGTGCTCGTGCTGGTATGGTCGCCCCCGACGAAACCACCTTCAACTATCTCAAAGGAAGGCCGTTGGCTCCGAAAGGCGAAGAATGGGATCGCGCGGTCGCATACTGGAGGACGTTGAAGACAGACGAAGGTGCCAAGTTTGACCGCGAGGTGGTCATTCGTGCAGAAGATATCGTGCCCACCGTCACCTGGGGTACTTCTCCACAAGATGTCGTACCGATCGGTGGCAAGGTTCCCGACCCGGCTGACTTTACGGATCCGATCAAACGCGCCGGTGTTGAGCGAGCTTTGGCCTACATGGGATTGGAACCAGGAACGCCAATGGAGACTATACCCGTTGATAAAGTCTTCCTCGGATCCTGTACCAACGGCCGTATCGAAGACCTTCGCTCTGCAGCAAAGGTCGTTTTAGCCGCCGGTTCCGATGCCAAGGTCGCCCCCAACGTGCATGCCATGATTGTCCCAGGATCAGGACTCGTCAAGCAGCAAGCTGAAGCAGAGGGCCTCCACGCCATTTTTGTCAAGGCCGGCTTTGAGTGGCGCGAAGCTGGATGCTCAATGTGCTTGGGTATGAACCCAGATCAGCTCCAGCCCGGTCAACGATGCGCGAGCACATCAAACCGAAACTTTGAGGGCCGTCAAGGCGCTGGTGGACGGACACATCTCGTCAGCCCCGCAATGGCGGCTGCGGCTGCCCTCACGGGCAAGCTTACCGATGTCCGAAAACTCATGAGCAAGGACGATGGTACCACCACTCGTGGTGCCGGCGCTTCTGCTCCAGTCAAGGAATTGACCCGCACGAGTTCTTGACGGACGAAGTCCTCCCTCCTCCAGCCCCTATTCCAGTCGAGTCTGCTATCGGAAAGGCGGAACCAGAGATACCAGAAAAGGTCGTACCTAGCGGAAATGTTCCCAAGTTTACAGTGGTCAAGGGCATTGCGGCACCATTGCACATCGCCAATGTCGATACCGACATGATCATTCCAAAGCAGTTTTTGAAGACACTCAAGCGAACTGGACTCGGCAATGCACTCTTCTACACCCTGCGAAAAGACCCGCATACGGGCGCCGACACAGACTTTGTGCTCAACCGAAAACCATACGACAAGGCATCGATTCTCGTCTGCGATGGACCAAACTTTGGATGCGGAAGCAGCCGAGAACACGCGCCATGGAGCTTGTAAGTGTTTCTGATTCTTCATGCGGTCAAACTGGATGTTCATGTCGAGTAGGAACGACTTTGGTATCCGCTGTGTGATCGCACCGAGCTTTGCCGAAATCTTCAAGACCAACTCGATGCAAAATGGAATGCTACCTGTTGTTCTCCCAGCCGAGCAATGCGAAGAGCTCGCGCGCGACGCAGAAGAGGGCCTCGAACTCGAGGTTGACCTAGAGAAGCTTGAGGTCCGAAGACCGAATGGTCGTGGCACCTTTACATTTGAAGTCGAACCGTTTAAGCGGCACTGCTTGTTGAACGGTTTAGACGACATTGGGCTCACGTTGCAAAAGGCGGACAAAATTGACGCCTTTGAGACGAGAAGATCCGACCTGTGGCCCTGGTTGGATGGATTTGGCTATGTCAAGGGTGGAGGAAAGATTGACGCCAAACCGGTGAGGCAAAAGAAGGGCATCGACTGGTAGGACCGATATCCAATCTTGGTATTTGATCTTGTGCACGAAATGGACTATGAATTGAAAACTGGTTATGATAGTTCGCAACTTCGAAAAGGACCAAATTCACAAAGTGTAATCTGTAAAATGAGCCATGTCTCACAACTTATGCATATCATTTACTACTTTATAGAGCCTACGCTCATCCTCTCTCTTAACCCGTGGTAGGGGCGAATCGTGAACGAGGTGACTGACTCCCCTCAAATTCTCTGGCCCGTTATTGACTTATTCACGCCCTCCTGATGATTCTAGGTCACGGGTGGTCAGGAGGGCAAAACGGCGATTGGGTTGAAGTCGCTAGTAAAGGCGCAGATTGTGAATTAGACAGAAAAGATTCCCCATCCAGTCTTTGTTCAAAAAGGTGGTGAAATTTGCAAGAGTTTGGATGGCAATGTATATTATGGCTTGTAAGGATCCTCTTTCTAATTATATGGTGGAACCGGCGCTCGCGATGGCAGAACTTGGGATTATGAATCGGTGAGATAAAAAATATATATCCCGGAAACCTGTCAAGTGAATCTACAGAAGGATACAAGGCATCAAGAGCTTCTGCCTACCAGACGATCGCTCTGCGCTGCCAAAAGCGATTTCCCTCTCTCTCCATTTTTTTTTTCGATCAAGATATATGGACATAGAACGGCTCTTCATTTAGGATGCTCCCATCATGTTTTCGCCTCGTTTCCAATTCAATCTGCGGACAATTTCGTGTCCATCTGGGATCTCGGAAAAGGCTTGAGCAATGTGGGCCAAATCTATAGTCGCAAGGGGGCTTTCGTCTGCCTTGATTGCATCTTGAACTTGGCTGGTAGTGGAATCCAGATTGGGAACCAAGGGAGCGGCAACAACAACTCGAAGAATCTTGAAGCTGCTGACCACTGAGAGCATTTTCTTAATTCTTGTTTTCTGTTTCTTTGTCGCTATTTTACCCATATTTCTTCGTCTCTGGATACACGTCACGGTAAGCAATCTCGAGAAGAGAATCACGCACCGTCTCTGAGAACCATCGGGAAGGCGTTAAAGATCGGATGGCGCTGGCGGTCTCCGAAGCTGGGAGGGAAACACCCTTCGAAGTTGCAACCCCCCAACACTTCGCTTGAACCACAATTAAGATATTGTTACCATTGCTGAGCTTGATGCGAGTCATGAGATCGGGGCCCATCTTCGAGTCTGGTATGCACCATGCGGGTGAGGAGTCATTTGTTAACCAATTGATCACATCTTCTGGGTCAAAGGCTTGAAACGGAAGGGCTTGGTCACTAAAAATGGGTTCATGGAGGATGCTGTGATAGTTGACATAGCTCTTTGATGCTCTTGAGACGATCTGTGCTGTCTCGTGCGACCACTCCGGTTGTTGCTTGTGAAAGTTGAATAGATCACTAATGCGAAGCTTGTTTTGAAGAAGCCGCGTAAAAGCCACCATGGCTACAACCTCGAAGCCTTTTCCACTGTTGTATTCCAAGTGATTGAGAACATGCGTTGCAAATGATTCTTTGCCAATGAGATGGCGACAGATGCTGATCAATGCCAGCGGCTCGGCAACGCTGATGGATCGCTTGGGGTATTTTTGTGTGTCTCTGGTCTCTATGAACCTGCCGAGACCGTATTGAACTATAGCTCGTTCATGATCGTTCATGATTAGTGGTTCCCCCAGCGTGAACCATTTGTAAACACAAGTTTCAAGGCGCGATTTTAGCGGGAGCTCTATACCCAATGGTTAGGACTCCCTGATGGATGATCAAAGCGACGCGCCTTGATCCAATTTATCCCATTGAAATGAATCGATTATAATGGGTCCAACTAGAGGTTCTTGCGATACTAATTCCCAGTTATAGTTTAGCGGTACACAGCCTGTCATTGCCTTGATGTATATATTCAAGGTGGAGAATGGTGAGGCTGGTCCATCCAAGTTCCATTTGCCACACATTAGTTCTTCAATAAACCGCGCCGTAAATCGAGGTCTACACTACATCAGCGCATGCTCTGAGCGGATGCATATCGACCACAGACCGTCCTCGACAGGATTCCCACACCCGCTGAAGTAGTTCGCGCCCAGCGTTTGAGGAGAGAATTTTCTCAGGGAGGTACCGCCGTATGTACGCTTTCTGCCGTTCCGGGTTGGAAAAGTCGTCTATCCAATAATGAGCTGGCCATGTAGGATCTTTTGCAACACTGGAAGTAAGGACAGTCTGAATGTGCTCGAGCCTAAACCCCGTTCCTGATACAATAACGTTGTGGTCGTTGCCTTTCGTAAGTTGTTGTATCAAAGGGCGAAGGAAAGGCCTTGGTTCGCGACCTTTGGAGTCCGAAAAACACCCCATGTGAGCCTTTTCGACAATTTGAACTTCATCAAGAACGTAATAGAATGGAGCATCCGGTTCGTAGCCCAAGAGCGGCCAAATGGTGGGTGGAAACGCAGAGGCCTGATCCAAAGTATCGACGCCGGCAAGGCACTTTTGAATGAAGTCTCGGAACACATTTTGAGTTGAAGGCGTAATCTGGAATAAAAGCCAGCTCTTCTTTATGTCCGGGGGTAAAGAGCCATCGTCTTGCTCGGCTACCTCGAGGAAGGCCTTGAAAATGGACCACCGTGCAACTAGCAGGCGAGAAATCCTAGCATTGCTAGTCTCTCATTGGTTCGGCTTCTTGCCTGGATATCTTTAGGGTCAGATGCACCATTGAACACATCGTTTACCCATTCCAGCTTGTTGGGCATGCCTGTGATTATTTCCATTAGATCTTTGGACCCAATATCGTCGACTCCCGGATCCGCGGTGAGATAGAAACCCCAGCGAGTCGAGAGTCCATCGAGAAGCGCCCGAGTCTTGCCTGATCCCGAAGTGTTGCACAAAACGCTTAAATGAAAATGAGTAAACAATAACACGTCACCAGAATCCTCACACTTTGGACATTCCGAATATAGTATCAGCGGTTTCATTGTTACTTCCAAGATTATGGAGTAGCAACCTGGGTTTGCCGTTTACCGCTGGTACCTTTAACTCCTGATAGAACTCGTGGACCTCGCCGTTGACGGTTGTGGGCGGGGCCCAGGAGGGGAGATTGGGAGCCTCCAAAAATGTCTTTATCCGCGGGCGGAGTTTGTCCAAAAAATCTTCGATTTGCCTTTGAACAGTAGAAAAACTTGTACTCGGTGAGATGTTAGAGATGGACTGCTGGGGCGACGGGACAATGTTTACTGTATGCAAAGTAAGCAAACAGACATGAAAGATAAATCCACTTTACTTGCGCCCTTGTGTGGTCCTGAGTCCACCAGGATCATATGTAAAGTTTCTGCTGCGGGTTTCGATGGATAGAGCCCGGTGAGTAGGCGGTTTGGCCACAGCGGCGAGGGGAGCGCATTTAACCTTCCGGTGATCTCCTGGTGCATATTCACTCCATATGGAATATCTACTTGGTACAGCTTGAGCTGCAATGCGGATGCGTTCTTATAGCGGCTGTCTGTGTTTCGGATTCGCTCTAGGAGACCGCCGACGATTTCAGAACTTGAAATGGTGACCATTGCTTGCTCGTTTGGGTCTGGATTACTGCTGTCGAGATATACCAGGCGGTAATCACTCGATTGCATTGCCATAATGAAGCGGTCGAGGTCAAAGCATGAACCCACCTGTGCCACCATCTCATGTGACTGGATACTAGTCATCAACAAGGTCTAAAATATGAGAGCGCTTTTTTGATTTTATAACCCTGTCATTCAAGCAGTTCTATCGTCTCATGAACTAATTGAGGGCGGGGTCTGATAACGAATTGATAGAAAGTTGATGTTTGACAGAACGGCTGCTAATTAAAAGTCACGCTAGCACTTGCAAGGGTCCTCGGTAGGTTCAACCGTAACTGAAAGTTAGGGTAACTAGTAACTCGGACAACGCTCACTGATGGTGAGAGTCACACAAGTTTAACACATTTCACGGTCCAGAAATATCGTTGTGACTTCTAAACTCAGTTTTCTGTCGTCGGCCTCGGCACCGACACAACCATCATCGTCCTCGAAGGGTGGACAACCTGGACGTTCAAGTGACTCCCAGAAGAAGAAAAGAATATGTCATTACGGGATAAATAATGTCGCAAAAGGACGAGCTATATCAGACGATTGAGAGACGACGTTTGCCTGCCTCCTTCAATGACCTGATGCCATTAGCATGACGCTTCGTCTTGAGAGACGTGAGACCGGCATTGCGCATGGCGAGAGCAAGGGGATCCTCTGGCACCGAGTTGACTGCAAAGCTCTGTGCAAGGCCTGCAGGAGCCATTGCACCCACGTGCACAGCGAGGGCCGTACGTGGAGTAATGTTAGCCGTGAACTTGCCACCGGAGATGGTGATAGGGGATCCCATACAGCCATCTCTAGGAGCACCGCCGTTGACATTGCAGTAGCTACCGTCGGGAAGACTCGTCGTGAATTCTGCGGACCATTGGGCACTCTCGTTGTTGATGGCCACAAACCCAAGATTTCCGCGCCCAAATGCGATTTGTTGATGGGTACCTGTTTGCCAATTGGTAATTTCAGAGTCGCCGACAGTATTTCTAAAGCCGACGAGTCCAGAGATTCCAGGCCAGCGATGTTGGCATAACCTAAAATATATATAAGGCAAAGAAGAAGATGTCGACAGGTTGACTTACCATCCCTTGTCTCCACTGATTCCTTGGCAAGCGCCCTGCCAGTTGTTTGGTGCACCGTCATCCCTAGCCTCAAAGAAGTAGGACGACAGAACGGTAGGATTTGCGCCATATGGGTGAGCACTACCAGAGTATGAGCGAACCTCCGTTGCAAGGGGGAAGTACCAACAGAGAGAAGATCGTAGCAAGATAGTATGTGTTCATTGCAGACTTGTAATTGAGCGATGAATCCTATCACAGAGGTAAGCATATTTCGATTTATCAAACTCTCCTTACCCTTTCTGTATCATGATTTGCAACAAAGACGTTGGCACTCTTGGAGTCCAGCCAGCCTCGATTCCCAAAGTCTTGAAGGGTGTCAATGCCACCTTCAGTGAATGCCCATTTTAAGGTATTAGTGTAACGGAACCTGTGATTTGTTAGCGTCAGACGAAGATGTTCCAACACCACTGACTCTTGGACAGCCCCGTTGGCGACATATTCGCTAGGTTGGATAGGTTCATTGTCGCCATAGATCACCTAGCGGCCATCAGATCAATCGTTTCGACAGGGAAGAAGGTTACCTCTTGAGTGATATAGGGAACAGGCCCAACTCGAGACAAGATATTGGTGATGTCGGAGGAGGCAATATCTGCAACTGCTTTAGTGGATACTCCTGTCAGATTCTCACACGTACGCTTTGCTGCGTCAATCCTGAGACCTGTGACGCCAGTAGAGAGCAGGTCCTTGAGGTAATCGGCGAGGCGCCCTTGGACGTAATCCGTATCTGTCGCAAGGCTGGAGCGACGTCAGGCAAGTGCTGCAGATTCTAGAGAAAAGCATACTCTGCGAGACCGACAAGCTGGCACTTTTGTACTTGATCGCGGTTTGTGTAGTCGGCGATATTGTTATCTGGTGTCAATCCACAGTAGTGAAAGTCGCTTTACATGGATGTCAAGAGGATGAAGCCTTCGGGAGCTAGAAGACGTACTTTGCCGAGTAGGTTCCCGGGTAGTCGTAGTGTGTGAAATCTACTGGATGTAAGATTCAAGTCGAAAAGTGTACAAAGGCACTCACTAGTTCCCAGAGTGCTCGTTCCGGCGGAAGCTCCGGACATGTGGTTGACCACGGCGTCGGCGATAACTTGAACGCCTGCGGTCTTGCAGGTGTTTACCATGTCGATGAACTCTTCTCGCGTTCCACGGTTGGAGACAAGATCGTATGAGGTGGGTTGATAGGCCGTCCACCACTGTTTACCGACGATGTGGGCGTTGGGAGGACTCGCTACCGCTAGAATGAGTGTCCATATAATACAACTCGATTGTCTCACTCTGTACGTAGCCGTATCCTACCGAGCGTCAGTTCAACATCCGGAGTGTCCACCAGACAAATTTCCGTACCAGCTGGACCGAGGAACGCTACACATTCAGCTTTGATCGAGTTCCAGTTCCATTCAAACATTTGAGCGATGACTGTTCGATTCGTCAATCTCCAGGCCACTTGAATGAGCAGGTGGCGAACTTGCCTGGCTTCACGGTCGGACTAGCGGCATCCAATCCTAGGTTGGGCAGAGCTGAGGCTCCGACAGAGAAAAGGAGTGTGGTAAGCAGAGCGCTGCTGATGGCAGTCGAAGGAGCGGTGGTCATTTTGGCCAGGAGTGCTGGCGTAGTCGTGGACAAGAAGATGGATGAGTCTGGGACCAAATATAGGGACCTTAAATACGATCTAAACCAAGGCTTGGAATAGCAAGCTGCGACATCGGCGAGTACAAGTTGCGAACTAACTGAATGGTTGAACGGTTGGCCGAGAAGTCCCGTCACAGCGACCGGATTATCGGCGATTGGAAATTGCTTAGAATACTAGAAGATCACCGCATGGTGTCGAAAACATTCTCATTAGCCTACAAAACACGTCGGGAGCGACCTAGAGCCAGTTTCCTATCGAGAGATTCAATGCACACTTCTAGACCAAGATGGCCCGAAGGGAATACGTTAAGCGAAGTCAACCAAAAAAAAAAATTACGCAGTTGCTACGTTTGAAGTTGACCTCATGTCGTTGCAGCACCGCCGTCTCGTCCGATGGCTGAGACAATCGTTTCCCAGTAGGTCCAATCCGCCGCCTCGTACCCGTTGATTGTAGCAGGTCCTCCTTCGACATCCACCATACCGTCTGGAGCACCAGACTGCACCGATGGGAATCCGTACATGCCTGGTGTTGGAGCAGGCACCCAGGGAGACGTAAAGTCTGCAGCAGATGGCTCGCCGAATCCAGAGCTATTGATAACACTATTGCACCAATTGTCGAGCAGACTTTGGGCTTCTTCGGTCGGTGGAGTATAGGATCCCGTCGAGAGAGCACTTCGTGACTGATGTCGTGCGTGACCATGTCGGGGAGACCCATCCATAGGCGAACGGGGTGACGGGGTAGATTGAACGCCGTGGAATGCGGGTTGCTGAAGTGCAGGTAGAATCGGCTTTTGACCGGACGACGTCGAAGCGTGCATGCCAAACGAGTGTCCGCCAAGTCCCATCAAAAGCGAAGCGTTTGCTTGTGCTTGAGCACGAGCTTCTCCAGCATGTGCAGCTCCCATTCCAGGGAACTTGCCGTCCTCTGGACCCGACTCTGCCTTTCTCTTCAAAAATTCGATAATCTTGAGCTCTCTGCGAGTCGTCGCGTCCATTTCATGAAGTCCTTCGTGGTCTCGAAGGAACCCATTGATAACTTCATGAAGTTCATGCTTATCGGCTGATTGTGGATCAAGTATAAGGCCGATACCAGCTATCATAGCCGCTTGGAACTCTCTGTATGCACCACCGAGCGCGCGAATAACGTCAGGTGGCATCGTCTTCTTGAACTGCTGGCGAATCCTGTACTCTTGACGAGCTGACTCGAAGCAGGCTCGCCTCGAGAGCGCATAACGATCGGAGGAAAGGCGTCGAAGGAGGTATGGACGATGAAGGGAGATGCGGACGAAGAAAACTTCGGTGACGATGATAAAACGATGAACGGGAATGTATGGATGACTCTCATCGAGACTCGTATCTGGGTCGTCAACTGCGTAATGCGGCGGTAGATTCTTCATGAACCGTAAAAGCTCCTCGTCCAATGCGACAACATCATTATAGTGGCTGTGGCTCCGTACTCGTTGAAAGTGATGGACGATATGCCCAATGATCGTTGCAAGAGAATGTCGCAAAACTAAGAATGTCCACGGGGTAGGCTGTAGTGCGTTAGCCAAAACATATGTAGTTTCGGAGGACACTTACTTGGGTCAAAGGGACGGGGCGTGGTGGTCCAGTTATGGTGTCGTCCGCATTCATAGGTGGCTGAGTGGAGGTATACTCGTCTTGAATCTACCCAAACTTAGCATTTGCGTATGGCAGCCATGGCAGCACCTACCGCATGTGGACGGCCCATCAACAGGGCATGAGTTCGGTCGGCATGATAGAGGTAGGACCTGTTTCGGAGAGTCAGGATGAAATGTCATCTTATTATAGCCATCATACCAGACTCTGCGCCGATACTCTGTTTGGTAAGGATTCAAGCCCTAATAAGGGTTAGGCGTGATTGAGATTTTTTACGATGCGCTTACAAGAAGGGCGCCATCGCGATGGAGTCCTAATGCTTGTGCTGTACGGACTGCCGCTCCTAATTGGCTCCAGCATTCGGTAATCCTCCGGTCAAAGGTGAGGAACCGGGCACTCTATACAGAATCACGGACTGTTCCCTTCATGAAAAAGGAGAGGCGACTTACCAGCAACCTTGCAAGCACGAGCTCCAACGAGTCGCTTTGGACAGCCGCGGCAATCAAGAGTGACCGTCGGGCTACAAAACAGGGTCAACAGCTGGGCCGGGAAAATCAGACGTCCTTACAGCTCCAGTAATAGCGTAAACTCGTGAGTCGTCTGTTACGCTCATCGCCGAGGATGTTCTCCGGCGCCAACCTGGCGGAAATGGCCAACACTACAAAGAGGAGAGGAAGGAAACGGACGTCGTCCGGTTGCACACGGTGCCCGTTGTTGCAAATAGAGTCGAAAGATGCCCGGAAGCCGACTTCATCAATCGGATAGCGAGTATAGTTGATGGATGTAAAATAGTAGTCCACCAAGACCTCGCAGAGTGCCTTTGGCGGGAGTTCCTGAACGAGTTCTGGGAGCTTGTGAGGGGCAACACCACACTCTTGGACAAGAGACTTGAGGTTATCTGACGGCGAAGGCTCGTCGAGGGTAGGCACAAAGCTGCTGCTCTGAAGCTGCGAGGTATAAGCGGCAGCCCTGCTTACGGGAAATCAAAAGATCCTTTTACCTGCTCAAGAATGGGCATGGAGGCTACACTCCCCAAGGCACTATTTCCGAAGTATGCACCACCGCTTTGCAGAGAGCCGCCCTTGGTCGCTGGGTCGTCGGGACTGCTTGCCCTGGATCGAGCATCGTTGTGAAGAGTCGGGGATCCATGATCGGAGAGCGAGTCATGAGCGAAATTTGGCAACGCCTGTTCGATGATTCGCTCCAGCCTGGCGATCCGCAGATGAAGGTCATTCTCGCTCTTGCCTGGAGTATATCCCTTGCAGAGCTCGGGAACCTTGCGAGCTACACACTAGTTCAAAAAGCTTGGTGTAAGGGAAGACAGCCAGGTTCGGTGGAGGTGGCTCACATGTCCACACGGAATCTGGCGGTCGCACTTTTCAGAGTAATTATTGGTGAGCGAGATCCCAATACATAAATGTGAGTCAATACCTTCTGCTTTCGCCGGTGACATTCCGAGCAGCTGTAAGACACTCTCGCTCGCTTTCCAGGTTTTTCGGGGTGACGGGCCGTAGATCCAGATTTGGGGGCCTGCGACGAGCTTGTTAGGGAGCCCATTCTCTTCGTGAGGCTCCTCGTTCTTGCGTTTCTTGGACGGCGAGGGCTCCTTGGGATCCTCGGTGCGCATGTTGGGCGATGGGGTAAACTCCCAAGGTTAGCAAACGAGCCAGTAATGTCTATGCGTCCTAGAATGTGCGATAAGAGCTCCAGAACGCTGTTCTGGCTGTAGATTGGCCACAGGCAGCGTGACGAGACAACAGCGGTCGAAGTCAAGTTATCTATCGCGGCTACTCCCACTCTCCCTGAGTCACCGCTCGAGATAAAAAAAAAAGGAATTTTTGGATAAAATTCTTCACATTCCAGACTATTCATTAGCGTACGATTTCGATAGCACATTGTAGTGGCAAAGAGTCAAGAAAGCATCGTCCCAATCTACTTTCGCCCTGCTGTCTCCTTGGAATAAGGGTTGCATGCATAAACCTTGAGGACAGGGGGACTCTTCGTGAGATCTGCGGTGACAATGACCTGTACACGGTAAGCTGCCTGTAGATAACACACACGGGACCACTTACAGGAACGCTCATCAGCTCCTTGATGTCTTGGATACGGTGGCCGGACGGGGTGGTGCGAAGTCCCTCAAACTTGGGCGGAATCTTCGCCATCGAGAGCAATCGCTGCTTCGACGTCTCCTTCTCACCCTGAGCCCCACCCGTGCGATTGACCATGATTTGTTCCTCGTCATCTCCGTCGTCGTCAAACAGTGCACTTTCGTCGTTGACCGAGCGGGATGCAACTTCCATCTTCAGCGCGTGTTGTTCAGCAGTCTGCTTGACCTTCTTCAGATGCTCATCGTCGCTGTTCTCGGCAAGCCACGAGATAACGTCGCGCTCCGACCAATAGATCTGAAGGGCATGATTGTGTTCGTCGTAGACATGATTCTAAATGCACCCAGTTAGACATATGCGCTTTTCGCTAATCGCTGACCACTCACATCGATAGGGATCTGATCAATGTGCACACGCTTCTCGATACCGAACTCAGGTACGATCACGTCAAACGCCGCATCAAGGACGCCGACCACTCTGGCTTGCCGAATTACGGGACCGTATCGCTGAGTGAGGTCTGAGATGAACAAGCAGAGGAACAGATGGGCTGATTGTTCTTGGGCGAGCTTGGCCATGTCTTTCTTGCTGTAGATTGCTTGTCAGCGGTACCCAAGATTGGCAGTGCTGGCACGTACATATTACAATGCTGAGCCACCTTGGCAACAGAGTCTCGGTCCATTGAGAACTTGATTTCATTATCCACTACAAAAAGTAAGTGAAAATGCTGATCAAAGGAGTCAAACTCACCGGGTGTGAGTATGGCATCGAGCTGACGGTGAACCAAAATGTCTGGGTAACGACGGATGGGTGACGTAAAGTGCGTATAGAGCGGCGCATTGAGCGCATAGTGCTGGTACTTGGCAATGTCCAACATGCCCGCGCAGAAGTATTTAGCACGGTGCATAGCTTTGACTGCAAGTCCTTCGAGCTGGCGACGAGCATCGGGGTTTGTAATGGCATCAAAGGAGCGCTGGAGAGCACCAGCGGACGAAATGTCCATCTCGTAGCCCAAGCGAGCAGCACGCTCGGCAAATGCATTCTAAATCAAAGTAAGCGACGGCGCCACTGAGATACGAGCCGCGTACCAAACGGCGTTCCAAAGGCTCGTCGTGGCGACGGAGTAGAGCCTGCTCCGGAAGGTTGACGGCAATCTGCTGTGCGACTGCAAAGTTGGCGAGCAACATAAACTCCTCGATGAGTGCGTTTGCAGCAGTAAAGTTGTAGTTGTAACAGTCAGTTGCGACTCCATTTTCGTCCAATGTGAACATTAACTTGTTCTCTTCAATGCGAAGAGTTCCATTCTGGAAGCGGCGTTGACGCAAGTGTTGGGCCAGTTTCTAAAAGAAAAGTCAGAATATGGCAGGCACGTTGCTATCACCACGAACATGGAGAAGAGCAATGTCACCAGCAATGGCAGAGGCATCGTGTCCAGGAGTAATAGGAACCTCCGGCAACCCTTTGCCATCGATGACACTTTGCGCATGATCGTACGCCAATTTCGCTGCAGATCTAAGGACGCTTTAGCGACAACGCCTCTGAAATAGGCGATTTGAATTATACTCACTTGATAATTGTGCGTCCGAACCACTTTTTGATAACACGAGCGTCCTCTGTGAGCGTGAAGATGACAGAGAATGCGAGCCTTTCCTGTCCAGCGAGCAAACTGCATAGCTCCTCGCTAAGGGCTGGAGGGAGCATTGGCACTGCACGTTGGACAAGGTAGACACTGGTGGAGCGCTTTCTGGCATCACGGTCCAAAGCTGTATTCGGCTTGACGAAGTAGGAGACATCAGCGATATGGACGCCAACTTCGTACGTTCCGTCGTCATTCTTGGTGATGGAGAGGGCATCATCAATGTCGCGCGCGGTGGGTGGATCGATAGAGAAAATTCGTGTATCGCGAAGATCCTTGCGAGTCTTGTACTCATGTTCGGGAATGCTAGGTGGTCTATATGAGTTTTATGTTTGCTACTTGGTGTCGACTCACCTCCAAGGAAGAGGCGGCAAGCACTTGAGCACGTTTTCAGTGAAGTCTTCCGTTGGGAAGTTGCAGTCCTTTAGAAGTGCACTCGTCTCGACCTCGACGTCGCCAATAGGACCAAGTTCCTCGACGAGAGTTCCGAACGGATGGAGCGAGCTGATGGGCTGTAAAATGTTAAATCAGACTCATTGTTAGTGAATAGAACCACGTACATGACGCTTGATGCAGGCTACGAAGAGACGATCGGCATAAGCCTCCGCATTTTCGACAAAGTCGGACGGGGCTTGTTCCGTCGGAATGGCGATGAGAGGGACACGCTTGTCTGTGGGCTTGAACCAAACAATCTTTGGTCGTTCGGTTGGGACACGCTTAGCACCCTCATCTCCGCGATCACCCTCACGCTCGCGACGTTCAGCTTCCTGCTTCTCCTTTGTCGCCGCAGAGGAAGGACGAAGGAGACCGAGTGTTCCAGAGAAGAGCTGGCCTGGCATGCGTTCCACGACGGCCACGACGTGACCAGCAAATTGCGGCTTGATCTCGTCGGTGACCTCTTCATCTTCGAACAGGCCGAGACCTTGGCCTTCAACCTCGACATCGTCCTTTTTCTTTTCATTCTTGCGTCCACCGGGGGCACGGATGTCGTAAGCTGCGTTTTCTTCCTTCTTGCGCTTCTTTTCCTCTTTTTCCTTCTTAGTAGCCCAGACTTCATCCACATTTAGGAGCTCGACAGCCACAATATCGCCCTCGAGAGCACGATTACGATCCTTGGATCCGCAAATGTAAATGTCGGCGTCCAAGACTTCTGTCGCAACATATGCATCTGAACGGTTGCGCTTGTTGACTCGGAGGATACCCACGACAAGCTTTCCTGCCGCAAGGAGAGGAGGAAGTGATGCCTGGGGAAGGTATGGCGCAAAGAGAGACTTGCGCTGGGGCTGGTTCTGCTGTTGCAGTTGCATCTGCAAAACAAATGTTAGGTCCATTCTGCATGAGATATTGTATACGCACTTGGAATTGCTGCTGTTGCTGTTGAATGAGGTTGAGCCCGCTGATTCCCATCATGTTTGCAGCCATCATGTTTGGCAACATGTTCGGGAAACTGAACGAAGGCATCTTGGCATGATGTCCGCCGGATGCAGCACGGAACTGTGCAAGACTTTGAAGTTGAGCTTGTGCCTGAGCGAGATCAGCCTGATATCCATTGGCAGCCTGGATAGCGCCCGCTCCACCATCTGGGATATAATGAGTCCTCACAGTTTCTCTCAAGACAAAGAAACGTACTGATGCGCCAGCTCGAGTCGGCGCGCGATTGACCACGGTTGTGTTGGGTAGGAACTGGCGGAGCGTTTGCGGGGGCCTGGAAACCATCGTCAAAGCCATCCACTCCCTGGTAGGAGAAGAACTGAGAAGGCTGAGATGCGTGACCCTTGTTGAGGACGTTGACGGAATGGCGCCTGCCGTGTCCCTTGGGAATACTCGCTTGGTCAAGTCCCATTCCGCCACCTACGAAGCCGCCCACAGGAGCTGGGGGCTGGAAGTTGCCTTGGAAGCCACCAGGGGAAACCTGTTGGCTCTGAATCCTACGATGGGCAGCGGAACGCTGAGAAGCAAGAGCCGGCGCAGAGATGGACGAGCTCATAACCTGCAATCTGTTAGAAATTGAAAAACGATTGACTATGTGTACGTACTTGATTGGACGCGAGTTGCTGCTGCAAGAGTTGCTGTTGTTGCTGTTGGAGCGCCTCAATTTGATTCTGGAGGGCAATTTGCTGCGACATGATCTCGCTACCAGTACGACGATGAGAGCCAGCAACCGGCTGCTGGGGTTCGTATGCCTCTTGCTGGTGAGCCTGTGGCTGCCTAGAGGTCGAGTTCTGCTGAGGGAATTGAAATCCGGCATCCTCTTCTCCAATAGCAGGGCCTGGTCCAACTGAAAGACTATTCGTGCGGCGTTTGGCACCAAAAGAGAAAGATGGCGCAAGCTGAGGCCGTCCAGATGGTCCTACAGCGTCTTGATCGCCGCCCGAAGCCTGGGACATGCTCGAAAAGCGAGGTGCTTGGAAGGAGCCCATGGGCTGGCGGTTGGAGAATTGAGTCATGGGGGGCAGAGGGCTTTCGGGCGCTTGGTTCTCTGCATCCTCACTCATCGGGTCGAGATAGGGGGCATATCCACCCATACCATAGCTCGGACCGGTAGCGGCTGGGCCTGTTGGTGTAGGACCCATAGACTGAGCCTTGCGATGTCTTGGCGGCACATCATTGTTCGCAAACGATGGCTGGAAGGGAGCGGCCGTGGCCGTCAGATTGGACTGCTGTGCCGTCTGCGCATATGTAGGAGCCGTCGATTGTTGAGGTGGCGATTGCGCTTGCTGTGCTTGGCTCGCCGAGGCAGGCATCGATTTGAGGTCAGTGATGACCTTTTGCAGATTTGAAAGCGCAGCGCTCTCGCCCTCGGGCAGCGGAGGGGCGTTTCCTGGAAGAGGGGGTACACCGCTGGCCTTTGGACTGGGTTGGGTAGCGCTTCCTGGACGCGATGGACGTCTGGGACCTGCAGAAGACCCACCGCCTCCACCACGACCGCCGCGATTCGAGTTTGAGCGTCGCTTGGTCGAGACATCGGAGGCTTGCGAGTCCGAATCGCGGTTTCCGCTGCTCTGGTTGCCCGTGCGTCGGAGTCCTCCACCTGAACGACCTCCTTGGCCACTGGAGCCGCCGTTTGCGTTGCCTCCTCCTCGCCCGCCACGTCGTGAGCCGCGATTGTTATTGCTGGCGGTGGGGGTGGGCCCCCCGCCGCCTGCATCCTTGTTACTACCAGTTCTTGGTTCAGACATTACGACGGAGTGTCTTCAAAATGCTGGAGGGTGAGTTTATTCGTCTGTTTTTGTCGGATTTTGTTGCGGTTGCGTTTTCAAGTGTTTTTGGACGTTTAAAGCTTTCTCTGAGGTTGTAGATGTACAATTTGCTATATTTTTGGGTCGTGCTACCCAATTCGAGTCTGAATGAGCGAGCTGCGGCGCTGGTGAGGACAACGAGATACATACGATGTCTGCGGTTCGTGCACCAGAGTGTTGCCTAACGGACAAGCGTTTAGAAGAGTGTTACTAGCTTTCAAATTCATCTCACAGACCTTGCGGGCGCGTTCGTCCAGGCTGACGAGTTGGTGGTTTGATCCAAGATGAACGTCAACACTTCGCAGACCTGGAGCTTCGATCCAGCTATCCGTATGCAAGTTATGATTCCTCCAATTTTTTACAACTACTATAGAAATGACTTTGCTACACATTTATGAGATTGTTACTGCTGGCCATCTCGCATCCCCATCTCTGCAGCTCGGCAAGGACGGCCTCGTTCTGCGACCCATCCACGGCACGAACAGCGTCGACGAGAACGATTGTCTTGAAGCCAAACTTGCAGGCATCAATAGCCGTAGCTCGGACGCAGTAGTCAGTAGCCAAGCCACAAATAACTACGTCGGTTATTTCCGCCGCGTGGAGAGCCCGTGTTAGAGGCGTAAAGGATATATATTGATTGTCCGCGAATGCAGAATATGAGTCTACCGCTATATTATCTCCCTGGAGGCAATCAGGGTTTGCAACGGTGTGTCTGGTTGGAAGGAACATGCCTTGCGAATATACTGCACCATGTCCGACAGCTTGTCAAGCCTAGTTTGAATTCCAGCTTCCAGTTCGCATCCCTATCTCGATCTAGCAATATTGCCTCCATACAGGGAGTGGCCTACCTTGGACCCTTTGAAGCTTGTCAAACAGCAACGCTATGGAAACAAGGCGCTCACTGTACCTTGTACACAATGGTCTGGCCAAAGCATTTGCGTAATCGTCTCTTCAGAATGCAGCTTGGGGACTTCAATAGCAGTAAATGGATCCTTGCCGTGTGTGCTTGCAAATGAGACATGAGACACAGGATGATCTTGATAAGGTGAGTTCAAAGTCTGGTAGACATATATGGCACGTACAGTCCTTCAGGGTGTCAATGACGGCCCACCCAGAGTGGCAAGGCTTACCTGTGAGGCAACCACCAGATCAAAGTATTCCCTGGCGTTATCCAAGAGCTTGTATGTGGGCTCTAGGATTTGATTCCCTTCGTTGACCGCGAGAGAGCCATCCGGAGGTAGAAAGTCGTACTGAATATCCACGAGAATCAAGGCCGTCTTGGGTTTCATCTCCAAACTGTCTTATCCCAATCTAAGAGGAAATTTATGTGGTGGCAGAGTGCAAGTCTACTTTGACCGCGCTTCGACAACATGGTCGACTCTTCCTTGACCTTTTTGGTCGTCATCTTCGCAATATTATTGTAAGAGAAAGCTGACCGCCTCGAGTAACCCTCTGACAATTGTCAGCGCCGCTATGGTTGCATGGTTTGCGGTGTCGAGCTGTTTGGGCGATAATCTTCGCAGAAATATGGCAACTTCACGTAGATATAATCCAGGAAATGGCTGGAGATCACTCTCCGTGGCTTCAGAACACGAATGGGAGATGGAAAACGTCCGTGCCAACCGACTTCAGTGAATCCCCCTGGCTCCGTCCCCAATGCGCGCGGCATGTACCGGAGAGCCTAGAACATTCATCAATTGGATTTTGGGGGGGGGGGGACATATAAACCTCCATGCAAAAAGCCTGACGCCACAATTTTCCTTCCACCGCGCTGGCTCGCCCTTCCCTTCTACACGCCAATATGGCTTTGCTTTTTCTCCTGTTTGCATTCGCCTCCATTTCCATCGCCACCATAACGCCATATACACCTAATAGGAATGATGTCTTTCAAGCCCACGAGCCTTGCCCAATCTCCTGGGGTCCGGATAATCCAGACGGTTGGAGAGCAATGCGAATAGGTACTTGGTGATTCATAATGGCTGAATATAAGCTCACCTTTTAGATCTCGTCAGCGGTAACTACCCTGTGGTCCACCACGTCGTCACTGTCGTCCACAGTATCGACAGTCTTTCAGGCTCCCTTACGTGGACGTGCCCTGAAATCAAATTTGACGGCGCATTCTACAGCTACATGGTGCGCAAAAATCAATCATCCTAAGCTATCACTCAGTCTGCTCAGTTTACTCCTCTTGACATCTCGGACAACTCTGTGTACTCGGCCCAATTCTCGGTCTGTGCAAAAACTGCCTGCGACGGCAAGCTAACCCCGTACTAGATTCACCACGAAAATCTCTCAACCATGTTTGATCATTCGCATGTAATCAATGTGGCCACAGATACAATTGACTCGGGTGAAGAGATGCTCGAGGATGTCGACCCAGCATTAGGTGGTTCTGACGGGGACAATTCCCAATCCAATGGCCAACCCAACTTTGTCGCTCAAGTTATTGGACAGTCGTACCAGCGTAATAATGGCACCACAACCCAGCTCGAATCTCGCGTACCATCTGACTACTCGTCTGTCATGGTCAACTACACGGGCAGTAGCACGTCGTTATCAGGCTCTCGTACATCGACACGGACGTCGGCTTCAACCATGCCGATGGGGTGGACTTCCAGATTTACAGGAACCACCTCGCCTCGGTACGTCTCCAGCGCTTCCTCGTCGAAAGGAATCCAGAGCCCCAGGGTCTCCATCATCGTCGCCTTTTGTATAGGGCATTTCGTCCTTTGAATCCACACTCGTTTATTATAAGACCAGATTCAGCGTTAAACAGCGCTTGATATTATCTTAGTCGCCCAGTCCAGTATCGACAATCGCTCGACAGGAAACGAATCTTCTAAGACTGGTCGGCCTTTTCTTGTCACTTCTGCTGAGCATCGAATCCGCCAGTCCGTGGCGTGCTGTATCTTGAAGACTCTGATCAAACAATTAGCTCACGACTATAGCAATTCCGGACACGCACATATTTGTACCATCCCAGGACGCAAAGCACTTTGCTTCTACAACGTCCATGAACCACGATTCTTTGGCTGCTCCTGTCATCTTCTCTCGACCAATGTCACAGATACCAACCAACACGCAACGGTTTACTTCGTGCCGTAAAACTTCTTCAAGTTGTGATATCGAGTGAATCAAAAATGTGGATTGTGCCAGGTATGCCGTCAGTTGCGAAGGAGAGATCATTGTGAAGCGGAGAGTTTGTCTAGGGCCATTGTAAGATTCAGAACCGGCGACAGCATAGATGCCACACCTTCCAGCGAGCCGTAACAAGATTTCACCTCCGATAGTCTTTTTTCTTATTTGGTCCTCTGTCGTGTACGGCGCAGCAAGGAGAGAGACGAGTTCGTCCGCCGTTTCGCCCAGTCGATTGAATCGCAAGAAGACCTCGATACCAGATTGCTCCAGCCCGCGAACAAACATTCTAAGATGGCGTTCCAGGCTGCTAACAAAGGTATGGTAGAGGAACAATTCAACGACGCCATCGAGCAAAGGCGGTCTGGGGAGGCCGGGTTGCCGATTCTGAGAACGGCGTTGGGCGACATTATATGCATGTAGTCGAAGCAAAACGAGTCGCAATGCATAGTAGATGGCATCGCAAATTGCATTCACAACTGGATCCGAACCTGACAGAGGCGATGGCTCAAGGTCCGCCTCGGCAGCCTACCGAAATCAGTACCGTCTACGAAATGGACTATTTACTTACAATTTCAAAGCGTAAGGAAGTTTTTGGCGATATTTCGACGGATACTGTTTGTTCTCGCACCCAGGCTGTGGCGGTCTTGAGATGAGGCGCGTTGGCGACCAGCTCTGCAAATATCTCTCTATCTATAGACTCTCTTTGCATATCCTCAAGCACCTGTTCGACCGTTTCGTCCTCTTTATCTACCAGTTGCGGAACGACCGTACTTCTTGAAATGACCTTTGTACCGTCAGGGCTCTGAGTTTCGACGAGAACACAAAGGCGCGAAGGCTTTCTATTGCCTTGTGCAATAGGTCCAACTCCATCCTCCGTGTTCAACCAGACCAGAGATGAATGCAGATCTCGTGGGGCTGAAAAAATCAGCAGTGGGCTGATGATTTATGACGTTGCACGTACAGTTTTCGAGTCCATGAGAGATGCATACATCCATCGTATTGGTATCGCCTGAGCGACGAGTCATGCGGTTGTAAATCAGTGGGGCGGCGATTATAGGCCAGTTTGCATTCCGAGCCCGCAAAGCGTCTGTCCAGTAACGTTCTCCCGAAGCCAAGGCCCGCCGCATGCTAAGGGCTGCTGTCTTGAATGCAGCGGCTGATTTACGCAAAGCCTCGTCTTTGCCGCCCACAGCCAGTTGTGCATTGAATGCTTGAATGGAGGGAAGTGGAGGGTTCTTTGTGATAATTGTCGATGCTATGGCTTTTGGTGGAAGCGTGTTGAGCTCTGGTGTTATTCCTTCTGTTGGCGCGTTTGGCGAGGCACTTTGTAGATACACCCCGAGAGCATCACGCGATATCATGAGTTCATTCAGGGCTTGCCTATGAATTCGTTACAACAGTCGCCCCACGGAGGATTGCGAACGACTTGCATGAGCATGGGCACGACCTCGGATCTAAGTTTTGCGAGCTCTTCGACTTTCATAGGCTTCTTCTTCGTCTTGACCTGCTTTTCTTCTGACTCTTCCTCATCCTCGTCTTCTCCTTCCTCGGTATCATCGTCTGCTTCTGGCGCGTTGGAATCATCCTCGAGCCACTGAGGAGTATATTCATCCCATATAGTGTTTCCTCGCTCGTCAAACACGCGCTGGAGACGCGTTCCTAGTTGTTCATCGATAGACTTTGGCTGCTCGTATATGAACTCTTCCTCGTTGGAGATGTCCAACAGGTTGCGAATGAGTGATCCATTTGCGTCTTTATATGGTTTTTCGAGCGACAGTTTGGTCCTTGACCACTCCTTGTTTTCGGTGCTCATGGTCGTAGCGGTCCAAGGTTGAATGGCATGCGCCTTGAACCCGACGCCATCATCTGCTATGCAGTCCATCAACCGATTTCTCTACGGACCGACACCAGAGGAGCGTGTTCGAACGTGGCAACAAAAACTGCGACAAGAGACGCGCCAGCTGGAGCGAGAAATCCGGCAGGTGAGCGAGTGGCGACTGCTTGCTGGCGACTGCTGATAGCGCCCTCGTTTCCTGCAGCTAGATAATGCACAAGCAAAGGCGAAACAGCAGCTGAAGCAGCTCGCAAAGAAGGGAGACGTGAAAAACGCAAAGCTGCTTGCCAAAGAGGTGGTCCGAAGCAACAAGCAAAAAGACCGGCTATATGTCAGCAAAGCACGACTAGGCTCTATTAATCAGCAGCTCCAGGAGCAGCTTGGTTCGTCTACAACTTCGCGCCACGACTCGACTGACGCTATGCTACAGCGATCATCAAGATTACAGGGAGCGTGCAAAAGTCGACTGAGATTATGAAGCTATCTAATCAATTGATTAAACTACCGCAAATCAGTGCTATAATGCGGGAGATGAGCATGGAAATGACAAAGGTCTGTCCTGAAACTCACGTTTGAGAACATACTAATCACTGAGTAGGCTGGAATCATGGAAGAGATGCTAGAAGATACACTAGAGTCTGTCGACGAGGATCCGGAGCTCGAAGAGGAGGCTGAAGAAGAGGTGGATCGTGTCCTGTTTGAGATTACCGACGGCAAACTGGGAGTTGCTGGTGCTGGAAAGGAGCTACCTGTACGTATATTATACTCGTCTGTTTGGAAGCTCACTGTCCCCCCAGACGCTCAACGACGAGGAGGAAGTGGCCAACGACGCGGATATGGCCCGGATGCAAGCCCAGCTCAACAGTCTTCTTAGTGGATAATTTATGTAGCCTGTTCTTATCTCTTTATACAATTTGCAATCTTCCCAGCCTCACGCATTGCATTTGTCGAAAAGAAAGCGAGGCCGGCTAACGTTGATCTCGTCCATTATCTCTGTTTTACCGATGCTCCCCACCCGTTCGCTCGTCGGTGCTGCTAGAACAGCACTTTATCAGGTCTGCAGCGTCTACTGTGTGTCGACGAGGCTCACCGCAAACTAGGCTCCTCGTCGAGGATACGCCGCAGCGAGTCCAACAGCCGCTTTTGCTGGAAAGAAGGACGCAAGTGTAGGTCATCGCATGGAATGTACAAATTCTGCACAAGCTGAGCTTTTTCATCGCTCTTAGGGAAAGTACACTGTGACGCTCATTCCTGGAGACGGTACGCATCTTCCGTAGCCGCGTCCACATTGGTCTCACAAAACATCTAAACAGGTATTGGACCGGAAATCAGCCAGTCTATCAAGGATATCTACACGGCTGCAAAAGTTCGTTGACACCGCGGCTTTCGACTGGGACGGTGTTGCTCATCAAATTTCGTCTTCATAGGTCCCAATTCAGTGGGAAGAAGTCGATGTCACTCCAATCCTCGTCAACGGAAAGACTGCAATCCCTGACGCCGCTATCCAATCCGTCAAGAAGAACACTGTAGCACTCAAGGGTGAGGGAGATGCTGGATATGTCGACTTTTACTGACACTCATTCCTTATATAGGTCCTTTGGCTACCCCAAGTAGGTCTAAATCCATTCTATAAAAGTCTGCTCATCTCCCCCAAGTCGGAAAAGGTCATGTCTCCCTCAACTTGACCCTCCGGAGAACATTCAACCTCTTCGCAAACGTGAGACCGTGCTTGTCGATCCCAGGCTTCAAGACTGCGTATGACAATGTCGACACTGTCCTTATTCGCGAGAATACCGAGGGAGAATACTCTGGTATCGAACACGAAGTTGTCGACGGTGTCGTTCAGTCGATAAAGCTAATCACATGGGATGCCTCCGAAAGGGTCGCGCGCTACGCGTTCAACTATGCGCAGAGCCAGGGACGAAATAGGGTGACTGCCGTTCACAAAGCAAACATTATGTACGTCTTGATCCTTTCCTTATCCACGTACTGATAAATGTGTTTCAAGGAAAATGTCCGACGGAATGTTCTTGAGCGCCTGCCGTCAAGTCGCAAAGGACTATCCAAACATCAAATACGACGAGGATCTTCTCGACCGTGTCTGCCTGCAGGTGAGATCTGTCATCTCCGTGTGCGCGTCGCCGACCGCTTGTAGATTGTCACCAACCCGGGTCCCTACTCTGACCGTGTCATGGTCATGCCCAACCTCTACGGAGATATTCTGTCAGATATGTGCGCTGGTCTCATTGGCGGTTTGGGTTTGACACCATCGGGTAACATTGGAAGGGTGGGTTCCCAGTGGCGCCAAGGGTGAATATCGACACTGAAAAACTTGCATAGGATGCTTCCATCTTCGAGGCTGTTCACGGTTCCGCTCCAGACATTGCTGGCAAGGGTCTTGCAAATCCTACCGCACTCCTCCTCTCGTCGATCATGATGTTGAGGTAGGGGACGTTGATTTTCTCACGATTATGCTCATCACACTCACAGGCACATGAACCTCGGTGACTTTGCCTCGAAAATTGAAAAAGCCGCGCTTGCTGTGAGTGAATCTATCGTCGGCCTAGTGCATCTGCTTAACTGGGTTGTAGACAATCGCTGAAGGCAAGAGCATCACTGGAGACCTGGGTGGAAAGGCTAGCACAAAGGAGTACACTGCGGCCATCATCTCCAAGCTATAGGTGGCATATTTAACCAATAGAGATTCTACGCATCGCCACATGTTTGTGATTCTATGGATGGAATGCCTATGCACCTTATGTCCCAAATCATCGAGAATAAGAGTTGCTCGTAGACTTTCGACTCAACCTCGTCCTTGTCCATATGGACGGCTTTCAAGTATGCACGCCTTTTTTGCGCGAAAACATATTCTCAACATGTTAAAGGCTCCCAGATCATCAAGTTCGGGAATCAAACGCAAGTTTGAAGGCACAATCTCTCCCGAAAATGCAAAGAAACCAAAGCCATCGCCCCTAGAGTTTATGCAGTCGTCCATGAGCACATCTGGCAAATTCAAATCGCTTTCGACCATCAAAGTCGAGGACGAACCAGAAGACGATGCGCCCGCAGAGGTACAGCAAGAAGAGGAGTTTGCGCCTGGAAATGATGCAGACTATTTCGTTGAAGAGGACGAAGAAGGACGATTCTTTGGCACAGGTCTTACAAAGGAGCAAAAGGATATTCTCAACATCTTCGAGGATGGCGCTGAGGGTGCTGTGGCAGACGTGAGTGTCCTAAATTCATCATCTCTTTGATTTTCCTGCCAAACAGTATCTGAAGCTAATCAGGTTTCTGCGCCGTTCGTTGTCAATAGATAGAGGAACTAAACTTGCCCGCAATCCGTCGACTTCTCCTCAAGCTCGAGAGAGCTATCAACAAGAACCAAGACCAGCGCTCCAAGTATCCAAACGATCCTACAAAGTTTATCGACTCGGAAGCCGACTTGGACGCTGCTCTCAAGGCGTTGATACCCCTCTCACAAGTCCCAGCCCTTGCATATCCAGAGCTTGCCAAGAGTGAAAACATCGGCATGCTCATTGGTCTACTGAGTCACGAGAATATGGATATCGTCATTGATGTTGTAGAGCTCATTGACGAGCTCACAGACGAGGACGTTGGAGGCGAAGAGGACGACGCTGATCAAGATGAGTCTGAGCAGAATGACCGTGATGCCAGTATGAAGATGCTGGCAGATGCCTTTGTGAGTCCTACTTTTCGTGCGTGTATGATAACGCTCATTACGATTCAGACCAAGCACTCGTTATTGGAGCTCCTGGTATCCAACTTCAGCCGTTTCAACGAAGAAGAGGAATCAGACCGCCAGGGTCTATTTCATGTGCTCGGAATCTTCGAGAATATGATTGCCCTCAATCCATCCCTAGCCGGGCAGATTGTTGAAAAGACCTCGTTCCTTACCTGGATTTTGACCCGCATACAAGCGCCAACACATGATGAAAACCGTGGATACGCTGCAGAGCTGCTCGCAATCCTACTTCAAAACGACCGAAGCAATCGTCTGGCCTTCGCAAAGAAGAATGGCATGGAGGTGATTTTACCCGTCCTGGCAGTAGGTTCTACACTTGATAATTTCGGTCACCAGACTGATTTATTGACAGAATTATCGAAAACGTGATCCAGAGACTGCAGATGAAGAAGAGTTTATGGAAAACCTCTTTGACTCTCTTTGTTCTTCTCTCCAAGAACCAGAGAACAAAAATCTCTTCACGGAAAGTGAAGGGGTCGACCTCATGCTCATCATGATGAGGTCAGCCCAACTCGAAAGTTGCCGTCTCCGATAGACTAATCAAAGTCCAGGGAGAAACTAAAGGCTCGAAGCCGGGCCATCAAAGTCCTGGACAATGCACTATCAGGAGCGTCTGGTGCCAAGAACTGCGAGGTATTTGTCGAAGCGCTGGGATTGAAGCCGCTCTTTACGGCCTTCATGGGCAAGGTACCATTTATCTCTCCTACTTGTCCATCTATTTACATTCGATAGTCAAAAAAGTCCAAGGTGGAGAGTAGTATTCTCGCTTCAGAGGAAACCTCGCACGTACTTGGGATCCTCTCATCACTCTTTACGAATCTGGCGTCGGAGTCTCCAGAACGTATTCGCCTCTTAACAAAATTCGTAGAGGGTGATTATGAAAAAGTAGATCGGCTTCTCGACGTTCGTGAGGCCGTGGAAACGCGTCTCAGAATTGTAGACAAGGAAATTGCAGCGGAAAGAAAGGTAGGCTCGCTTCTAGCGCTTTGATCTTTCTAATTTCGGCTAGGAAATGAAGAGAACTGGTGAGGAGATTGGTGATATGGAGGACCTATGGTACTTGCGACGGCTAGATGGGGGCCTTTTCACACTGCAAACGGTGGACTACATCCTCGGATGGATATGCATGGAGGACGATGGCGTGAGCTCAGCTCGCTTGTCTAAATGCGTGTCATAGCTGACCAAGTAAAAAGATACGAAACCACATTTCAGTAATGCTCGGCCGGAAAAGCAAAGGGCTCAAAGATATTGTTGCCGTGCTCAAAGACTATCGGGATAACATTGGCGACACCGAGAACATGGAGGTGGACAGCACGGATGAGCCGGTTTCTCGCAGAGAGATTCTCGACGGATTGTTAGGATTTCTCGAAACTTGTGTGTGATAGCGTACATCCCAAAGGTTACCGGAATATAAAAATCAATACCTCAATCGACGAGATTAAGAGCCGAAGTAGCGAGGATCATGTCGAGCGCGCCTTTTAGCTTGACAATCTCCTTTTGGAATCTGAGCTCCGCTGCCAGTTTCTTCTGCAGTCGTACGAAGAGGATATCAATGAGCGGTGATTGCCCGAGAACTGAAGAGTACATGTCTGGCGCATATCAGCTGACGGTACATATTAATATGGGTAAGTATGACATACCTATCACGACAGTGGCGATATCACAGACCGTCTCACCAAACCGTGGATCGGTGAGATGTTTAAGCAGAAGACGAATTATTGGTTCCAGTGCAACGTCGTCTCGTCCTGATAGAGCCATCCTCACACCGTCCCGATGGATCAACTCTTGGATTAACGAAAAGGTGACAGTAGGTGGTACATCCTGTACAAGATGAGCCCGGGTTCATCGAGCAAATCACTCACAAACCTTTCGCAGCACCGAGTCTAGCGCAGCACCATATTTGAAAGATTTCAGGTAACGGTCGTATTCTTTCAGCTTGCGCTTTCTCTGAGTGGCAATCTTGATCTCCCCAGGGACGCCGGCTGGCTTATTCTTTGCTTGCCTCGGAGGATTGATTATCCGTTCGCCAATGTTTCCCAACATTCCTGTTGCAAAGAATTCGTAGGCCCCTTGTTTGAGTGCCTCTCGCTCATCGTCCTCGTTTTGCCTCTCGGATGCTTTTGGATCTCGTCTCCTGATTGAGAGTGTCCCATCCGACATTCCCGCTGCAATATGCGTATTATCTGGCTGCCATTTTTATCAATACCGGAAAAAGAAGCAAGAGAGGTGTCATACCGAGATTGCAACGGAGAGTAGGGGTGCCGGATACCGCATAGTATGCACTACTTTGTAGTCGGACACGTCATAGACCTTGACCATTTGATCCAGTCCAGCACTGAGGACACGGTTTGCACCCCCATCGAACGCTAATGATGTGATAGTCTTTTGATGATTCGACAACGCGCGAATACATCTCCCGCCGGAAATAAGATCCCAAACTCGCAGGATTGGCCCCGAAGACGATATTGCCGCAGTGCCGGAAGGGAAGAGCAGCACTTGTTCGACGGGCAATGCTGCCGCACCACCCCCTCCACCTCTCATTGTCATCACACAGTCACCTGTGCGAGTGTCGAACATGCGTACGGTAGTATCATATGACCCGGTTAATATAAGGGAAGGATTTGAGGTGCTTACAACACCAGACCGCACGTAGTCTGTGTGGGAGGTAAATGTATAGGCCTCTGCTTGCGTCGGGATATCCCATAAGCGGACAGTAGTGTCATCGGAACACGACAATATGTGTGAATGGTTTGGTGAAAACTTTGTCACATGGGTTGGCTGTTTGTGTTTGTCAAATGTTCGTAAAATGGCTCTGCTCGCGGTATCAAAGACCTGAGGGAACGTTCAGAGTCGGATTTGTAGATAAAAAGCGGCCTATTCATACCTGAACAGAGCCAGTATCCTCTCCAGCGACAATGAGCTTGCCGTCTGCGCGAATTTGGCCCGAGCGCGCGTTGTCTTTGAACCGAGAAATGACTTTGAAGACCTTTTGGGTCTTTGGATTGTATATCTGAACTCTGGCTCCCGAAGTCACGACATAGCGATGTGGTTTGGCAGGGGAAAACTGGATGGCGGTCACGGGCGCCTGGTTCTTGATAAAAACTGGATTCTTGAATGATCTCCAATATTTAGTCTCTGGATTGGATCGCGTTCCGGTCTGCGGATGCTTTTTGACGACTAGTCGCTGATAGTCCATTTGGCATTTGGAAAAAGAGTGGCTCGCTCTCCTTGCCTCCATCCGCTTCCGACCGTTTCGTCAAAAAAGTGCCAGATCAACATGCTTCTCTACAAGGATATTATTAGCGACGACGAGATGTTCTCTGACGCCTTCCCAGTGTGAGTGATGTTGCCGATCATGGGCAGCTGTGGCGATGGCGCTTACTGTGCGATTTCGACCGCGTCTACCCACAGAAAACTTGTCGATGACATTGTTTACGAAGTTGATTGCGCTATGATCACCGTCAAGGAAGGCGATGTTGATATCGGTGCGTCTCCCATAGACACAATTTGAAAGTGCTGATATAATTGCAGGAGCAAACCCTTCCGCCGAGGAAGCAGGAGAAACTCTTGATGACACAGCTCAGACCGTTAACAACGTCGTCCACTCTTTCCGACTTCAAAGTACCACCTTTGACAAAAAGTCGTATCTCGCTTACCTCAAGGTACAAATCAGTATGGAATTATGAGCTACTTTATTAATTTATCACCAGGGGTATATGAAAGCGATCAAAGCCCAGCTTCCGGCTGACCAGGTCGAAGCTTTTGAAAAGGGAGCTGCTGCATACGCCAAAGTGATTGTTGCCAAATTCAAAGATTATGAATTCGTGAGTATCTATTACCAGTTCCTTGCCTTGTCCTAAGTATCTCCCAGTATACCGGAGAGAACATGAATCCAGAGGGTATGGTCGCTCTCCTCAACTACCGTGAGGATCAAGTTACCCCCTACTTCACGTGAGTACTGATTGAAGCAGCATTTCATGGCTCCTGATACCTAGTAGTTTCTGGAAGCACGGTCTCAAGGAGGTAAAACTGTAGATAATTGGCGTCGACTCCTATTACACACCTGCGACTCCAATCTACTGCACCCTATGACCGCTGTAAGATGTGAAAATTATAGGTCAATAAGCAGCGCATCGGCCATGTCTCCTTTCAGCAATTGTTTTGGTCCTTCTTCGACCAGCGCAGGCAGGGCGACGAGGGCATTTGAACTATTGAGACTTGAAGCACGACTAGAACGCTGGCCACCCGTCGAGTGAGCCTCTAACTGCCCCTCATTGTTCGCCTTGACCAAGACTCTATGAAACTCCGGACGGGGATCCAATGGCATATCATCGGCAAGCTGCAAGTATAAACATCGATGAGCAAAGCTCATTGGAACCTCAGACTCACTTTGACTTTGACTGGCTGCAACTGACAATCCTTGATCGAGAAGCCGCCAAGCAGGCGAAGAGCAGGTCTCACAAAGAGGTTGAACCTGAATATGATGAGAGGATTAAAAAGGTGATTCTACTTGCACTCACGTTACCAATGCTGATGCAGGGTTGCCTGGAAGACCAAAGAATGGCTTGGTGCCTTCGCCGGACTTGCACGGGACTTGTGCGAATATTGTTGGCTTCCCGGGTTTGACTTTGACTCTTCCGAATAAGACCGTTGCGTTCATCTCCTGGAGCATAGGTCGTATGTGGTCAGTTGTACCCATCGAGCTCCCACCGGTGCTGATAAAGATGTCGGCCTGTTCCAAACCAGAAGAGAGGGCCTGAACATGCGCTCCCAAGCTATCGCGAACAATGCCGAGGTCAACGACGTCGTAGCCTTGCGCCTCCAAGGCACCTCGCAATATTGGCCTATTGGTGTCCCAATGCCTCCATTCATCCTGCTGATCCGATTCATCCGCTAGATCCGCTAACTCATCACCTGTGGACATTATGGCCACTCGTGGTTTTCGGTAGACGACGACCTGATGCATGGTTAGAACGCGATATTGCCGAAACACCGATTACCTCTCTCCTTCCTATGAATGCGAGAGCACCGAGATCACCGCCAGTGTTTCCAATGGCCGCTCCTTTTTCAAAAATCAGGTCGCCCTTGCGCAGGTCGGATCCAGGTTTCCTGATATTTTCACCAACTTCGACTTGTGCAAGCGTACGAACTTCGAGTTCCTCTGACGATACTTCTCCCGAGCCGTTTGGAGCCGGTGACACGAGTTCTGTGTCTTCGACCATGATGACTGCGTCGGTGCCCAAGGGGAGAGGCGCGCCGGTGTTGATTCGATAGATGGAATCTTCTGGAACTGGTAGTGACCGAGGGTGTGTTCCAGGATGAACAACCTTGTATACGCCCGGTCCTTTCGAGGCTTTCGAGGCTTTAGTACCACGCTGTCACAATACATGAAAGTCGAACCTTGAATAGCGTAACCATCAACATTAGACGAAGGGTAGCGTGGAAGATCATTCTGTGCGTAAATTGGTTCCGCAAGGATGTACCCTCGGAGGCTAGGGTTCACAGGCAAAGTTATAGGTGGAAGATGGTGGATATTCTTGATGATCAATTGACACGCCTCCTGGAGAGATATGAGTGGAAATGGGGAGTTCCTAGCCCTCAGAGGCACTATCAAATATGAGGGAATGTCGAGTCGACCTAGAAACGTACTGGAGGGAATCATCTCCATCTTGCCACCAGTGCGGGGTTTCGGCGCATGATGTCCACAATGCGAGTGGACGTGTCTAGTTTGAACACCAGCGCCTGTCAAGGCTGCTGAATTTTCATGTAGATGTCGACTATCCGCGCCTCGCGATAGAGCCAGTGCATGATCCAAGATACCTCCAGAAAGAAGAGCCTCAAGACACTCGTCGACAGCCTTTGGGCTACCGGGGAGAGTGATGATAAGAGTTTGATCGCAAATACCGGCTACAGGGCGCGACAGTACCGCCTTTGGAGAAGATGAAAGCAGAAGATGAACTAAACCTGGGGCTTGTTTTTGTAACAGTGGTCCAATGGCCTCGAAGAATGTAAAAGCAAATCAGTGCTTCAAGAACGGCGTACCTCTGGTGTGACATCTCGTATACCGAATCCTGTTCCACCGGTAGTGATAATAAGGTCAATACTCTTCAACTCGACGAGACTTTTGATTGTCGATGTGATGACGCTGACTCGTCTGGAACGATCAACGATTCCACGACCTGCAACGTCCCAGGGTCAGGCGAAGATGGTTGAAATGAATATACAAATCACATTAAATTTCTCTGTCGAGGTTAATCGCTCGCGTATCAATGGGCCGGAGCGATCAGTTGCAGAGTCGTGAGTCGCGGTATCGCTGACTGCGTATGGGTCACAAACAAACAGTCAATCGAGTTTCTGAGATTTTCATCGAGTTGGGATAACGAAGTGGACTCGTACTCGACACGGTAGCTACGCGATGAGGCATGAGTGGGGAGTCAAGTTGCACAGATGGACTGAGGTGGTGACGTCTATTCCTTGTAGGGATAATCGAATTTCGGGGCATCTTTCCGTCTCCATAGTTTGCGTCTGTATCAATAGTCACATACCATTCTTGACACAAGAGTTTTTACACACTTTTTCTTGGTCGTCAGGTGTTCCACGAACACTTCGACGCAGTACTTTGCCTTGAACTCCCGGATGAAACGAGGATCCCTATGAGGTGAGGTCAGAGGCGAAAATTGGGTGGCTTTGTGACATACCAAAGCTCGCTGGCAATGCCTAGGTCCTTGCAGCATCTCATCAATGCATTACTTTTGCATGATTCGGTCGCCGTTGCTATCCCGGATGGATCAAAGTATTCCGCCTCGCCTCTTGCGACCGCAACCAATCTGTGCCACCTTAACTTGAGGGAGTGATTAGAGGCAAGAACAATCCACTGACCTTCCAAGGCAAACCAAGGCATACTCTCGACTGACAATTTTGGAGCTCACATTGGTTTCTCCTCGAGGTGCAAGGCCCCAACCACCAGGCCCGAATGCACGGTTTAGAATACGTCTATACTTGATTTCTGGAAGATATATCAGGCCGTCTAAACCACTCGGTTAGCATTGATTTTTAGAATGGCCCCAACATGCCTGGCTTCATCTCAATGTCTGCCGGGTCAATGGGAGCCAGAAGAACGTCAGCAGCCTCCTTTGGAAAAGGTGAGGCAGAAAGGCCATGGAAGCTTCTTGACCAATCCGTTGCAGCTTCGTCTGGAGCGGCGAGAGAGGATTCAGAATATGGATTGGATGAAACAACTTCCTTTGCTGAAGATGACGCTGACGGAACATCGACGTCGATATCAAAATCCTCAGGAATAGCAGAAGACGCGTTTCGACTCAGGACGTGGGACGGACGAGCTACTGTAGCGCGATATCGAGCTGCTGCTGCATAATTGCGAGTAGATATGACCCTTTTCTGGCCAAGGGAACGTCCTGCGTTGAAATTGAGACGCGCAGCGAGGCGGGTGGCCATCGTCAACGTCTCCAAGTTGGAATCCACCGAGTCTGTTGGACAGCTCGGGCGACCGACTCTGGCCCCAAACCTTGCTTAGTGGACAAGAGTGCGCGTATATACAAGATTGTACCGCGTTTTTACTCAACTGAGGCATCTCGCCACATCTTTGCTCGCCTACAGGGCAGCGTTCGCGGCTAGGCGATTGTTAAACCGCGTCTTCCACAAGCAGGATCTACTTGTCTCCACTCTAGATAACCATGTCTCAATGGCAGTCCTCGCAGCCGCCGACGGCAGAGCAGCTACTTTCAAATGTGAGACAGCTCGTGAACCAACCAAAATTTCAATCCCTATCTGGTCGTCGAGATCCTTATGATGATACCACGGTACAATACACCGAGATCATCGATTCCCTGTCCGACATGCTTAGCCAATTTCCACAAGCAACAGTCTCTGCGAGTCCAAAAGAGCTCAAATTACCCGTCGAGATTGCCTATCTATCACTGGATGCCATCGAACGGGTCAGTTACAGGATGGAAGGAGCGCTTGTCGGGCAGGAACGAAATTGCACCTGGAAACTCCTATCCTGCATTGCAATCCTTGATCGCTGGGACCAGAAGAACACTAGGGTATTCCAAGAGTTCAAAAGTCTCCGGACAAAAGTAATGGAGGGGCTCGCACGAGTGTACCAGATAAGAAAAGGGGAATCCTTCACCCTCGAGACGAAGCAAAGTGATGGATTAGTGGTGATCAACTCCTGCCTGGATAGTGCCTTGGAGCTCCTTGGAGGTGCGCTTGTATTAGAAGAAGGACGAGAGTCTCAATCGCGCATAGAAATCATAACGCAGGACCAAATGGAGTTTCCGTGGATCAATAGTATACCTGGCGAACCTCGGTCCGTCCAAGTTACCCCACAGAAAGTAGGTGCTGTTCCGTCACACAAGACTTGAGGCTCATCCAGATGGAGTCGAGTAACCCGTTCCAAATAATCATACATGACCAAAGTCACGCCCACATCTTTGCCGCGAGTCTTTCACAGGCTCTAGCCAGAATCATGGCTGCCTGCGGCCCAATGTCGTTTACCAATGCAAGGCACCTCCGGAAGGCCATAGACTTGACCAACAAATTAGGGAAGATATCTCTACCAACTTTCGATCCTGAAACAGTCCTTGTCCTTTCACGGTTATTGGACGCGATAGAGCAGCTCGCACAACTGTCTGATGACACGCTAAAATTGATGCAACCCGCATTAGTCTCTCTACTCCTTGGGACAATGTCCCATCTCAACCAACCAGAATGGGAGCCGATCCTTACCGTATTGAGGCCTCTTCTGGACAAAGCTCTCCAAAAGCGATCGCTATCTTTCGAAGCCGTTGACAAGAGTCATATTCGGGACCTTATTATCGCTGGAGAGGTGACTTCCCCCAGTGAATCCACGCGCGCACTTGTCTTTACCTATCTTTCACGGTACTGCTCTCGATGTCCGCGTTCCGTATTAGAAGAGATGGAAAGGCTATGTCACAACCATATGGAAGTGCCAGAGGTCGACCATCTGCGTGAAATAGTCCACCAGCGTCTCAACACGCCCGTTCCACGAGTCGACAACCCCCTTTCTGTGGACTGGGAAACGGAAAGTGAGAAACAGATTCGATCCCTTTTTGACATGGAGCCTTACCATGGGATGGACATCGACGGAAACCAATGGCAAACACATATTCTGGCTGGAGTAGACGAGTTATTCTCAAGGCATGTTTCTTCTTCACTGTGATTTAGACTCACTGTCACTGAAGGGATCTTCCCGATAAGACCGTCGCCGGTCGACTGAGGTTGGCAAGAGCGATGCTCCAGCTTCCCTCACTTCTTATCTCGCCCCAAGAAAGAGATTCAGACAAAAGAACGGAACACGCTCTTATTAATCTCTATGGGACAGCACTAGCCCAACTCACACAAGGCGCTGACGCCGAAGTCACCGCAGAGATTTGGCGGATCTCGTATGCTGCTTTCCTCGAAGCCATCAACCGAGGAAAGGTCGAAGAAAAGGATATAGAGCAGGTAGAAATGCGAGTTGCGATTCCGGCTTTCAGTCTTGGCTTGGAGCATAAGAACCGGCCGGTTAGGCTGGCTGCTGGGTAAATTTCTTCTCTGAATCATCTAGAAGCTCATTTCGATAGTCGCGCGTTGGCAGCCTATTACAAATACTACCAAGGCCGGGATGACACTGCAATTCTTCGCACTCAGATTATCGCAGGTTACTTGGAGGGCTTAGTGCAGACGCAAAGCACTCACATCGTAGAAACGACCATTTGCACTCTGGGATGGATAGCCGAGTAAGCCATCATCCATTTTATGGCATACTCTGACCGAGCAACCGCAGGTTTGCTGATCCAGCTGCTCTATCTACGGCTCTATTTCCGCTGATATGTGTATTGGGCCACCAAAATCCGGTCATCAGAGGAACTGCATTTCAACAAGTGTGGCGATTCTCACTCTTTGGTCATCATAACATCTAACTATCTACTCAAGCTAGCCAGACTATCCAAGCGTTCCAAGTCCCCTTACAGCCTTGTGGCTCCGGACATCTCACGTATCGGCTTCCATATCGCTTCGCACTGCGTCCAGAACCCTGCGCTGATGGGCGAGTTTTGTCGATTCATCTCTTACCCTCCTTCCAGTCTTTTCTCCCAGACACTGACGAGCTTCTTACCGCACCTCGTCGCAAACTGTCGGGCAGAGGAATTAGCAACAATCACTAAGCTTATGGATACAAATCTAGCTGCTTTAATCATAGACAAGCCAGCGGAGGTGTTGGAGGAAGTCTTCATGCTAAAGGAGACCCGCGCTATGGAAAACGCTCTCGAATTTATTGTTCGAAATCTTAACAACAGGAATAATCTTACTCAGACTAAGCTTGGCATAGCCAGTTTAGTCAGAAGCAAACTTTCGACGCTACTGGGGAGGTTGGTGATTCGCTTTGGAAATGCGACTCCTGAAGACGACAAAGCGGTAGGTATGCTTTGAAAACTCGAGGCCGATATACTAAAACTCCCAGATCCTGAAAGCCATCGAGAGGACAGAAAAGTACTCGACATCGGAGGCGAAACGTACTCCCAGTCGCCCTGGATCGTTTCTGCAGCAGCACATTATGGCGATTGTCACCCACCTCAATAATGAACTTCAGGATGTTCACGGAAAGCGGTCTGTTGATACCAAGCAATGGGTGCTCTATGGCCTTCGCCGTGTCATGATGCTCATCGGTGAATCTATTGCAGTTGTTGCACCACAGGTCAGCTTCTCTAGCTATAGGAGCTATCAAGATGCTAACATCAGTCAAAAGTTGGTCGCAATCATGCAAAACACTATACGTATCGCAGGCTTGACGAGTGTGACTGTCGAGGTGTGGCAGGAGTTTGCGAGTATAATGAGCATTTCCGATTTTGGGCCATACGTCCCATTGACATCCGCCATATTCGTGGCATCATGGCATCTTTTCGATCGGCAAGCCAAGAGCGCTGCCCGAGGCGTTCTTCTGCATATATTGGAGCATGCGGATGCACTTTCGGAGCACTTGGAATCACTGGCCTCGTTCAAGTCCGTCCACGACCTTCACGACATTTCCAGCCAACTGAGTCGCGTCCTATCATCACCCCCCTTGACAAGCCAACTCTACATTCTTGCAAAGCGGATTGCGGATATGAATCCCTCCATATCTTATCTCGGTGTCTTGGAGGCGCGACAGGTAGTATCAGACTCTTCTCGCTTCCTCCCCCTCGTGACAGGAGACAGCTTTGATCCATCTGTCGGAGCCCTGATCAAGTCTTTACATTTGCTTGCCGGTCGTGAGGGCGACGTATATGACGAGGCTCGCCAAGTGGCGTACGAAACTATTGGAGTCATTGGAGCAGTCGATCCAGATCGGTTCTCTATCCCTAGCGACCCACCAAACTATCTCGCCACCTTCTGCGATTTCCAAGACGAGAAGAGCGCCCAAGAGTTTGCGGCCTATTTAATTTCTGAGGTCCTTGCGCCTATATTCCCCAAGACAAGTGATATCAGATTTCAAAACCTCCTCGCCTATACGCTACAGGAATTGCTGGCATTTTGCGGGTTTTCAGAGCTTGCCATGTCTCGTGACGGGACTAGCACTATCCCTGCGAAAACGAGACACCGTTGGTCTAATCTTCCGAACGATGTCCGTGCTATGGTCGCGCCATTGCTCAGCTCCAGGTTCACAATCGAAGGATCTCTGGAGGTTCCGACAGTGTACCCTATCTACCCTTCAATATCCACTTACAAGGAGTGGATTCAAAAGTTTGCGTCTTATCTCATCTCAAGAGTCGATAGCGGGTTCGCTGGTCAAATATTCCAACCATTCCGTTCCTTACTCGGCTCAGCCGATGTCCAAGTTATCCTTTCTGTCCTCCCTCATCTAGTGGTTGAGGTTTTGGGCCGAGGAGACGTAACGGACTTTAATAACATCCACGGCGAGATAATAGCAGTTCTTCAGGATCAGCTCACCCAAAGCTCTGGACACTCGTCCGAAATGAAATTACTCTGCGCTCAGGTACGCCTCGCATGCTTTGTGGTTTCGCCATTTACACCCAATAGACAGTGTTCCATCTCATGGATCACCTTAATCGGTATCTTCGTGTCACTGCCTTGTTGCTCGGACAGAATCGAAAGCAGAGGGGGACTTCCATCATTGAAAACAGGAAGTTGGTGGAATTCCTCACGACTCGAATAGATCATGGCCTCATGGCGCAAGCGGCTTTCACCTGCAAACAATACGCTCGCGCGTTGATGAGCTTGGAACAAAGAGTGCTCAAAGCGAGGCCAGATCATTCACAATCAGATGAAGTCTTGCAAAGTGACTACGAAAAGATGCACGAGATTTACGCCAAGTTGGATGAGCCTGACGGCATGAACGGCATCTCTACCTCGGTCCTCATTCCAACGCTCGAACATCAAATTAGGGAGCACGAAAGTAATGGCCGGTGGACTTCTGCTCAAAGCTGTTGGGAGGTCAGTTTGCAGCAGAACCCAAACAATCTTACGTCACAAATCGGCCTCCTACGCTGTTTGCGTAACCTGGGACATTATGGTATGTCAAGCCTCGATATTGGACGACTCTGACATTCGAAAGACACCCTAAGGACGCATCTCGACGGTATTATGACTCGGAATCCAGAGTGGCATACGGCAGTCGAGTCTTTCCGTCTTGAAGGTGCATGGACCGCTCATGATTGGGGATCCGTGGAGAAACTTGTCAATGCGTCGACACAGTCATCACCCGAACTTACCATGGCGCGCATCCTTCTCGCTCTACGCGGTCGGGATAGCCGAACGATCGCTGAAGCTATGACACAGGCAAGGTCAGAATTCGGGCAACCGATAGGGTCTTCTGGACCCTACTCGTATCGGAGATCATATGAGGCCTCTCTTTCGTTACATATTGTGGAGGAGCTGGGAATGATTTCCAAAGTCATGGCCGAGATATCAGTCAATCATCACAGTGGACGAACGCAAAAGCTTACTGCCTTATCAAGATTACTCGACACTCGGTACCAATCGGTACTGCCTTCTTACCGAACGTTGGAGCCCATTTTGAACATTCGAAGAACTGCGTTTGATCTCTTGTGAGTCCCTGGATGTGCGCAGGATAAACACTCATGTGACTATAGGAATAAAGACATCCAATCGGTAGACTCCATAGTCGGGCAATACTGGCTGGTTTCATCGAAAATCGCCCGCAAGGCGGGCCACTTCCAGGCATCCTACAGCGCTCTACTGCAGGGTAGACAAAGGGATGCGCCTTACCACTTCGTGCAGAGTTGCAAGTTACTGGAGAGCGGTGGAGAATCTATTCGGGCCCTGCAGGAACTCAACAATGCTCTGATGAATCCGAATCAAGTCATCGACCTGACCGAAGATGATGATGTCAAATCAAGAGCAAAGGTGAACCCGTCCCCATATGACCGATCTTGGCTCAAAATTCTCAGGCATGGCTTCTGAGAGCAAAATGGATGCAAGCATCAGAGCGATTTTCAAGACCCGAACTCAACGCACAGTTTAGTCAGGCTGCCACCATTGATACACAGTATGTGCTTGAATACACTTACGAGCCTATTAATCTGACCAAATGCCAGATCTGAAGCCGTGTTCTTCTACTGGGCGCTGTATCTTGACCGCTCTCAGAAACATAAGGAAATTCCAAGTGATCACCTTGAAGAGTGAGCCAAAGACGTGTGACCGCTCGTGTCTGATGCATGGCCAGATACGTGAACCACATCGATCACGTCGTACGCAACTATGGAAAATCTCTGCAATTTGGATCGAAGCACCTCTATCAGACCGTGCCTCGGCTACTGACCCTGTGGCTGAACCTTGGTCAACGTCCCGAGCTCAAGGTCAACAAAGGGTAAGTTACCCCGGCGCTAGTTTGGCGGATATGTCTGAGGCATTGACGAAGAATGTCTACTGCTGATCATCCTCACCGAGCTGCACTATCTAAATACGGGAGGCTCTGTGAGTGGATGAAGAACGACCTCATAAAGAATGTGGATCCCTTTAAGGTAAGCATCCGCCGCCTCCGTGTCTTTTTGACCAATGATACAGTGGCTGACGGCGTTTCCTCAAATCGTCTCGAGAATTGTCGTGGAGAGCGCGATGCTCAAGACCTCGTTATACGCTATCCTCGGCAAAGTAGTCCAAGAATTTCCGCAACAGTCACTATGGATCATCTCAGGGGTGCAAGCTTCGGCGAAGAAGGAGCGAGCAGAGGCTGCCTCTCGAGCCTTGGGCTTTAGCTTCAATACTCGCTTTGTAAGCATCCTATCAATCTGCATTACGACACTGATAAGAAACCAGATCCCCGAAACTTTGACCAGTGATGAGCGAGTCAGAATCCTCGCACTCATCAAACGAGTTCAACCTTTGATCGCGACGTACAGTCGCCTCAACGCAGAGCTGCTTCACCTCTGCAATTTTGACGTCGAAAACCTAAGTCAGCACCAACTCCATATCAAATGCCCGGAACTGGCCCGAATGGATTTGCGGCATGTCATCGTTCCCTTGCAAGATTCGTTCACTACCAAGATTCCGCCGATGTCGAGCATCCTTTCGCAGCATCAGCCGTTCCCTACGTCCTTGCCAACAATCCGTGGTAAGCCGGGAAATAGATGTAGATGGGGATTTAATGATCCTGTATAGGATTCTCTGATATCATCAAGGTGATGCCTTCTCTCCAAAGACCGCGCAAGATTGGAGTGGTTGGGAGTAATGGAGAAGAGTTCAACTTCTTGTGTAAACCCAAGGACGACCTACGAAAGGATGCGCGATTGATGGACTTTAATGCCGTCGTAAACAAACTCCTTCGAGCGAATTCTGACTCACGAAGGCGTCAACTACGTAAGGTGTATGTCGGCCCAGGTCCCTGTCTAACTCTTTATAGACATTCGGACTTATAGCGTCGTTCCTCTTAATGAAGAGTGCGGATTGATTGAATGGGTTCGCAATACCAGCCCGTTTCGAGAACTTCTCAAGCCGCGATACGATGCATTGGGCGTGGGATTTTCTGTAAGTGGGATCGCAAAGTGAAGAAACATGCCAAATATTCTCCCACTAGTCGAAGAAAGTACAAGAATACTTTGACAGATTCAAACAAATGACACCCGAAGCGGCAGCAGCAGCGTTCAAAGCCAAGATACTCCCAGAGTATGTATCATTTACGTCCCTTGGCGCCTGCTTATGTGCGATAGATTTCCACCAGTATTTCATGAATGGTTCCTTGAAACATTCCCCGAACCGACGGCGTGGTTCACTAGTCGACTTGCATATTGTCGCACCGCTGCGGTGATCTCCATGGTGGGCTACATTATTGGTCTAGGGGATCGACACTGCGAGAACATCATGTTTGATACCGTCACGGGTGAGACAGTTCACTGCGACTTCAATTGCATCTTTGAAAAGGCAAGCCTGATCATTGTCCAATCCACGGTCGGCCCTTACCATCTTCGGTAGGGCAAACAACTTGAAGTTCCCGAGCTGGTTCCATTCAGATTGACCCAAAATATCGTGTCGGCAATGGGCATTACTGGCGTTGAAGGCTGTTTCCGCATTTCGTGCGAGATTACGATGAAGTTGCTCCGTTCGAACCAAGATTGTCTCATGAGTGTCCTGGAGGCGTTTATTCACGATCCACTGGTTGAATGGGAGCACGAGCGGAGACGAAAGGTGCGCAGCTGTGAGAGATGAGTGGCACAGGGCTCACGTAAACTAGGAACGACATCGTAGCAGCAATACCAACAGGCCCGTTGTAGACCTAAAGACACTTGCTGCAGGGGCGCTCGAGCCGATTGAACGAAAGCTCCAGGGCTTGGAAGGCGAGACGCAGATTTCAGTCAGTAATCAGGTCGAGAAATTGATTCAAGACGCTACGTCGTTGCTCAAGCTGGTGCGTCTAATTGAAATTGACCAATTTCGACTCATCGCAAAGCAGAGTAAAATGTACGTGGGTTGGAGCCCATGGATGGTAAGTAGGTAACATCTCATCCGTATCGAGCTTACGTAGTAGTAATAGTGATGATATTTGATTCTGTATTACTATGCAACATATATATCGTACACCATCAAGACGTCTTAGCTTTTTCCTCCTTCGAGTCTTTTGACTTTTCCTTGTCTTTGCCGAGTGCACTAGCCTCGTTCTTTTTCGCTTCTTCGGCCTCGCTTCTGCTATTCTGCGCCTTGTTGTCGACCAGAGCATGTAGAGCGATAACCGCCCTAACGAGACTGCTCAAGTAGACGACGAGGAGCTGGTCGTTGGTATTGCTGATAAAACTACCGGTGGTGAGCGGATTTGAGAGGTCGGGGAGGAGATTGAGTGCGTCTTGAAGGAGATAGGTAATCTGATGGTTCACGGGCAATTTACCCTGGGCCACTTGGAGGAGATAGTCGCGCAGGTCTCGTATTCTCGATTGCAAAGCTCGTAGGGAATCGGCTTGTTGTGTCACGCGTGTCGCCAAAGTGGTGGTAGTCGAGTCTTTGATGTCGCGTAAGAGATGCTCGACGCCAATCTCTTCAGCCTCTTCCGCTTCAATTGCAGATGGGACATGGAAGAAGGTTCGCTTCGACTCGGTGCCATCCTACGATCGAGTATAAGATTCAGTTAAAGGGAGGAAGTAATGGCGTACGTCTTTGATCTCCTCAACGGAAAAGTATGCTTCTGTAGGAATTCCTACAGTAGACTGTCGTGTGTCTACGATGACCAGGACGGGTCGCTGGATGTATCGTTTGAAGACATCGTTGATTTCCTGGTCGGAAGCGCGGAGTTGAGGACCTGTATGATACCATCCGATCATTCTTTCCCTTGCTGTAAATATAATAAAACAGAGGCGCGCGCAGTGTCAGCTACACGACGCGACTTTGGCCAAGGGGACGCGTCACGGACCGTTTACTTTTTTGAACATTTCCGCCATGCTTTCGATGTAATTATGGTCCAAGAACCATGTCTTTGGGTCCTTTTCATCTTCCTCAAACGGAATTCCAAACGAGTTGGCGACATTGATCGTCTTGCCGTTGTCCTGCCCGAGTAGCACTCCAATTACGCGCTTATTCGACGCTCGTGCGCTCGTTCGACCGTGATGATCTGCAACAGAGAGTAGAACAAGTGGGTGTACGACTAGATGCACGGCGTTGTTAGCTATTTGGGTGCGATTTGAGATAACTAAAGGACGCACTGACGGTGGTAGCGGCCAATGCCGTTAACTATGCGACGGTTAGTATCTTGTAACAAAGGTTTGAAATGTTTGAAGCGCTGACCTGCTCTGTCTGTGCAATTCCAACCATTGACGAGCGGCGGGGAAAGGATCAGAGTAAATGTTGCCACCCAATCACAGGTTGAACCCTCTCCTTGCTCAGGATAAACTTTTAATTTTCCAAAACGTCTCGATATTCACTGGATCCATATCTACAATCATCAAAGATCCTGGCAAGGGTTATCTGCCAGGCTCTGAATGGGCGCCCGAGCCATTTGAGGATTCTAGGCACCACTTACAGCATGCACGACGTTCTCAATTGCTGTACCGAGCTGTCCGGATGTTATGCCCTTGGACGGTGTCGGGCGCCTGGCGATATGAGAGGAGCCAGGCAAACACCTGGAACATACCTGTCGTTCTGCATCTGTGACTTTCAGAAACTGATAGAGCCTGGAATCTGCCCTTTTCCTGAGCCTGACAATGGGTGATGGCTGAAAAAGCCGGACAAGCCCATCTGGTCAGTCCCTCGGCAGAGCTCTCGTTTCTCCCTGAGCGCTTTCAGAAGAAAACCGCTGCCTCTCAATGGATAACAGTAACTATAATGCATATGCGTGCTGCAACCCTCCAGCAAGCGAAGTGGCTCAGCTGCCACCGCTCATTGAATTCAAGTACGCGAAAACGAAAACTCAGGTATTCACCCATCGATCCTTTTCGGATAAACCAAAGGCAATTTTTGAGGATTCGTCGGATGACATTGCACCGGATAACGAAGTCCTCAATCCGTGGGAGATTCTGCTCTCGACCTCGCCGTGTCTTCTCTTATAAGAAATAAATATCGTATGCCAGGTTCTATTCTCTACTTGTAGCTCACGTTCGCGTAGCTGGATTACGTGTCGGGCCTCACGCGGTCAGTTCTCACCTCTTTCTACGAGTTTACAAGTCTTAATCATCGTATGAATACAGAAAATCCGGTCATTAGTCGTTTGCGTTGGCACTATTGCCCAAATATCGCAGCACTACCGGCTGGCGGACAATCTGCTTGCGGATGGCCGGCATCTTGTCTCTCTCCAGTCCTCTACATATATTCAGGGTGTGTGACACATAACTGTATGCGTGCGAGTTGCTGACATGCTCGCAGCTGACCTGTTCGAGGTTGGTCTATTTGAGTTTGTTATTTGTACTCAATACCGAATATATTTCTAGGCATACGTTGGTGGACTATACGCGGATTGGGGTTACGAACACATTCGCCCATGGCTTTATCGAATTCTTACACCATACGTGGAAGAGGCTTACCGCATCGTCAAGATGGAATATAAATGTGCTGTCTCGTCGAACAAGTGATCGCTGCAGTCTACGTTCAGTGATGCACCATTCAATAGGAGTGCGACTGGCAGTTTCACTTGCCCCGTTACAGAAATTGGACCGACTTTCCGCGTAGGGTTTACGGTCGTCATTGTATCCAAAGTCTCCTTGAATGACCAGATATACTACAGTGAGATAATCTTCCAATGCTCTGTTAGCAAGAATGATTGCTCTTCGCATACCCGTCCTACTTTGGTGCTCCTCTTTGCCTCTAGGAACTTTAGGGTTTCTGTAGGTGTCGTAAGTGGCTTTATGGTGAAATTTGTGACTGGCAATTGTATAGGAATGCGCGTGGTAGATGCGAGGAAATGGCATGGCCACTGTGCCCAACTGGGCGCGGGAACTGGAGGTTCCTTAACGCGAGGCGAAATGAACAGAACTAAGAAGAAAGAGATGAGGTACAGATTCGCTTATGTATTTACTACTTCTGTTCGGCGAGCGTGTATTACCCAATTGACCAGAAAGCTTAGGCGGTATTGAATTCACAACTTGAACCGTTCCCTTGCTCTGGTAACCGTCAAATTTGGAAAACAGACTGATTGGCATGGAGAATCGTCAGGGGTCCTGAGCTGCCCCATAGAGACCAAGTGCATAAAGTCCCTAATTGTGATTCCAAGTCATTTTAGGGTCCTGCACGCGGCTGAGAGCGTGCAGGGCGGTCGCTCTCAATTGCTGGTCTCGGGGTCATCGCTTTGGGCGGTCCAGGAGTCTCGCGCCTGGCGATTATAAAAGCCAGGAATATTGAGCGAGACAGAGACCTGTGGTCCGTCGGTTCTGCATTGTCTGCATTCGGAAATTGGCGGAGCCTGGCAGCCCATTTCAGAGCCTGGCCACGGTGATAGGTGGAATCGGTCTGAAAAGTATTTTGAACCCGGATAATGTCCTCTAGTCAAGCCCTTCGGTGTGTTTTCCCTTCCCTCTGAGCGCTTTTGGAGAGCCTGACGGTGCTGTTTCTGTGATGGACGACGATGATTATGACGACTGCGCGATTATTACTGGCTGTAGCCCTCCAGCGAGCGAAGTGGCTCAGCTCCCACCATTGATCGAATTCAAGCACACAAAAACAAAAACTCAAGTCTTTACCCACCGTTCATTTTCAGCGAGGCCAAACGCCGTTTTTGAAGATCCACCGGACAACATTGCTCCGGACAATGAAGTCCTCGAGTTCGTGGGAGATTCTGTTCTCAGTCTTGCTGTTGCGTCTCTCATACGAATTACCTATCGTATGTCACACTCGTTTTGTCACTTGCGACTCACGTTTGTGCAGCTGGATTACGTGTTGGGCCTCACGCAGTCAGTTTTCACCTCTTTCTGCTAGTTCACAAGTCTGAATCATCGTTTCAATATAGAAAATCCGGTCATTAGTCGTTCAAAATGCCACAATCGCCCAAATCTCGCAGCATTACCGTCTGGCGGACAATTTGCGAGCGAATAGCTCGCAACTTGTCAGTCTTCGGTTTTCTACATACGTTCAAGGTGCGTTATAGAGTTTTGAGAGCGAATTGCTGACACCCCTCAGCTGACCTGTTCGAGGTTGGTCCATTTACTCGCCTTGGGTTTGTTATTGGCGACCCAATACTGAATATATTCCCAGGCATACGTTGGTGGACTGCACGTAGATTGGGGTTACGAGCATATTCGCACATGGCTTTATCGAGTTCTCACACCATATGTCAAAGAGGCTTACAGTATCGTCAAGGGTGAATACGTGGATGCAGACTCGTCGAAAAGGCGTTCGTTACCGTATACAGTCAACAAGAGCCCAAAGGAAGATTTGTCCAATTCCCCCTCTCGGCGTCACTCGCAGCAACCTCATGGTGAAAGAAACGAGATAACTGTACATACAGCCATGGTTCCTCCGGCTACCCCCCTTTATGCACCTCCAACGCCGTTATCTCAAGCCTCGAACAGCCCCGGTAGACAAAGAGATCCCCTCCAGAGTATAATGGAGGACCCACTGGATTATAGCAGAAACTACATACCGTCCCCGTTGTCCAGGCCCGACTCTGGCTATCCTTCTCCGAATTTGGATGTCAGCGGCGGGGGTGGAGGCGCGGCCGAAGGGCACCTCCCACTCCTCAACCAGGTAATACAGCATGCGAAACGATGGATTGACTGGGATTGGAAACCTGCCCCAAATTCGTCCCCGACGACACCAATCTGGGATGCTGTCGGGACCATGTCAAAAGTCAAGATTGCCGAGGGTCGGGGGAACACGAAAAAATTGGCCAAGAACGATGCGGCGAGGAGACTTATTGGCGAACTGCAGACGCGATTGGGCAAAAAAGCGGTTACGACGGCCAGTTTGGCCAAAGAATTGGAACGATATCATATGGAAAAACAGGTATGCCCGTTTCTTGGATATAGGTGAACATTCTGATATGGTGTGTGAAGACAATTCCTCTCGATACCCTCAAGCAAGACTCGGACGTCCTCTCACGACTAGAGCAACTTGGGCTCAATGACGACATGCCCCCGTACACGGTAAGAGTTTACCACCCGTCTCACTCAATGGTTGACGCCGCGGACAAGACACCTCCATACCGACCACTGTACGGCGCCTATTAGCGGAAAGCCACATCTCGATTGTTTTTGGTTCGAGGATCGGATCTTGCGAATGGTTCTGGATCCCAAAACCATTGCGATGTTGCGACGTTGCCCGTCCTAGAAATCGCGGTCTATAAGGTCATCAACATGGAGTCGAGACTACAAGACTCCATATTGGTCTCATTTTAATCTTCAATTTCTACCACGGGTATTGGGCGTCGTGTAGTGGAGAAGTACAGGATCCTCCCTACCCCTTGTTGTTCTGTCGTGGCCATTCTTGAGCCAAACGAAATGCAAGCCTTAAGAGTCATCGCCATTCGACGTGCGTCCGCAACGCATGATGGGTTTGGTGGAACGAGATGCATGCCCATAATATGGCTGCAGCATCCAAGAAGTTCCCAAATCGGAGGGGCGCATTTCATTGTCGAGGTCTTTTATGCTGTACAATATGATTGCTTTCTCTTACACGAAATGTGTTTGGAAGTGATAAACAATGAATGAGGAGTGAATATGCATACAAAATAAACAGCCAAGTCGAATCACTCGCTCGATGAAGTCCTGTCCCCGATTCGTCCCATATTGTCGACGCTAGGAGCACCCCACACGAGTGGCTTGTTTGGGTCGTACCACGCAGGATGCTCTTTCCAGAGTTTCGGAAGTAAGCCCCTTTGCACATCACCGCTAGAGAGCGATGTACTACCTCGGAGTGAGTTGACCACAGCAGATGGGGTCGATTTGGCCGTCCGCTCAGATGCGATTGCCTTGAGCTTTTCCTCGACTTTGCGCGCCCTTTCCTCGACGGTTTCTACGCCTCGTTTGAGTTCTGGCGTCAACGCGCGGGCTTCTTCGTCCACGTCGTCAAATACGTCTTGTCGGACGGCACGTATGCTGTAAGCCCATATGCCGGTGACGAAGAGGGCTATTAGAGAGCCGGTGACGATGTTGGACACGAGAAATGGTCGTCGTGCGCGTCGTAGGCCAGGTGACATACCCTGCGAATGGATCAGTTTCAAAATGTGTAAAGGATGGAGAGTATGCACTTACATAGCCCTTTGGTCGGTAGGAATCTGCCGCCTTTTGACGGTCGACGTAAGAACCTCCGTCTGCCATGATGAATGAGAATATATATTCAGTGGTATCCTTGGATTATCTGAGCTCGGAAAAAAGAGCTGGAAGTGGCGGAGGACAAGATTGGTCGCGAGCTTGGGTCCAGACATAAAGGCACGAATATTGCACCAAAAACGCATGGAACGAGCCCAAAAACTGCATTCCCGTTTTGTATATCCGCCACAGCGAGATTAACACGCGGCGGCTCAGAACTTTCAACAAATTGAAGTATGGTATGGTTCAAGATCATAAAGAAACTATAGAATGACGATATTTGGCATTGGTGTAACATTCCAAATGTCTAGCAACATGTCACAACGAAACCGGATCTCTATTCCTTGCCCTTTAGAAACAAGTCAGTAAATGTCTTAATACTTGACAACCTGTAGATGCTCTTACCCGGATGAGGGCGTACATGGTGTAGACGGATCCAAGCATGGCGACGCCAAAGCCGGCAGCAAAGGTACCTAAGAAACCAGAGAAAGTCAAAAAACATTCAAAGGCAATGATACGCCCACGCCAGACCGCTGGGTGGCCGTAGAGCGCAATTCGACGTACCGACGTAAAGCCTCGAGCGAGGAGTCCTCAGGTAAATTGGAATAGTGGATTGCTAAACAAGCAAAAGATCAATTAGCAGTCCTTTGACGATCACAAATCCCCGTGAAACGCACCTGATAGAGCCTTTGGCGCTCGGGCACGCGGTTTGGTTCTGCACAAACGCAATTACACTTCAGAATGAGGCCTTTTGATATGTTTTTATGCGCTTACTGTCGACGAGAAACATCCCGCGGTGTAGTGGTCGAAGAGTGAGAGGGAAACAAAGCAAAGTGCAACTTTGACCCACTCTAGCCTCGAGTCTGGATCCATGCCTTCGAATGACTTGCGCCAACGCGTGGGTTATCACCTTTCTGTAATAGAATCCGTTTAGTAACATACTTGTAGGGTGTTCAAATCGTCCGTCCTATCATCTATGGCAACACGGCTCGCATGCTCACTGCAGCCGATAAAGCAGAGCTCAAGCCACCACCAGATCATACACACCGTTGGACAGTCGCTCTAAGAAGTGCTGCGAGTCAGCCAACAAACGGCGAGAACGAGGGGGACATTGTTGGTGGAAAGGATGACCTGAGCTATTTCATCAAGAGGGTTACATTCAAGCTGCATGACAGTATTCCCAATCCTACAAGAGGTGAGCAAGACTCTTTATATCTCGGACCATGGAACTGAACTGTGTCAGTGATTGACAAGCCACCATTCGAGACGACTGCGACCGGTTGGGGAGAGTTTGAGATCCAAATTCGAGTCGCATTTACTCAGGATTGCAACGAAAAGCCGATTACGCTCTTCCATATGCTCAAGCTACACGCATGGCAAGTCGTCAAAGCCATTCAAGGTCTGCGCTGCCACACTTGAAGCATTCAGAGGGACTGACCTAGTGCACAGATGACCCTCACCTACCTATTCCTCCGCCTATTCAGTGCTGGCAGTATGATGAGATTGTCTTCACCGACCCGCAAGATAGCGTCGTGAACAACTTTGTGAATCATCCTCCAACACCTCTCCCACCACCGATGCCTGCAGGTAAGAAATCGGCCTCGTATATGTGCAGCACCCTTATTTGTATCCAGGCATAGGCAGACCGATACCGTGGCATCCAGCTTGGCCAAAGAGCGTGATTGGTGATGGAAGTAACATTGCTGGTGAAGGCACGAATGCAAAAGCGGTACCAGGTTTCCATAATCAATTGGCCAAGCAAGAAGGCGAGCGTCTAAAGGAGATCATCGAAGAGCTCAAGACGATGATTGAGCAAACAAGAAGTACGCTTGAGCAAAAAGAAAAGGAGCTGCAAGTACTGCGAAGTCGTCCCTCATAATTCCACTCTGCATCCGTATGTACATCCTGTAATGATTTACGAACCAGCCGTCCCTATTCTAAGAACTTCAAGTTCTATCCGCGTGCGCTGTAACTTTCGGACGAATGGTATAGCTTTTGCAAGCTCGCCGAGGGTTTGCAAGCGGGAGGCAACAAGAGCCTCGAGTTGATTGAGCATGCTGTCCCAGCGAGTGTACGCTTTAAAGTCTGTTGATAGCTGGTGCTTGAGTTGGCGAATGGAGCCTTGTAGCTCGTGGACTGAATTCAATCGGCTTGCTACACAGAATGAGTAGATGATTCAAAGTTGTGCACGACGTACCCAGATCTGCCTCCAGTTGACCGAGCTCTTCGTCATTGCTTTGGATTTGATCTTGCAGTAGCTGTAGTTTGGAGCTCACGTCGGTCGTTGAATGTGGTCCCTCGGTTGCTTCGAAAGAACTGATCTGGGATAGTACTCGCACGAGCAACGTCGCAAATGGCTTATTCTGAAGACTTGTTAATAAAGAAGTGGCGCTAGAGGAGATCCATTCACCTGGTGTAGATCCTCGAGCATCTCAATCTGACCCTGAAGTTTAGATCTTTGTTGCGCCTCTCTGATACTAGTCTCGAGCTTGTCTAGCCGCTGTCGTTCTTGTTGCACCACATTCTGAACCTGGTCAGGGGAAGCACAGTCAATCGTATGGATTCACCTCGAATGCAGCTTCGAGTGGCTTGAGCTGGCTCTCAAGAGCGATACGCATTGATATCCATGGTACGAGCTGGGCTGATATGACGAGGGCGTCGACATTGACCTGGGGACCTGCTGGCTTGAGTCGCGGTGGAAGCCTTGGCTTTGTTGTACTTCGGGTGACAGCAGCAGTACTTGGCTTTGAGACTGGACGTGCTTTAATGGGCGCTTGCTGCTTGATGTGAGTTGTCGAAATGGCCCTCCCAGCCTTTGTCGCTATAGTGGTGACTGCTCTTGGAAGTGGGGGTTTCCGAGATATTCTTTCACGTGATCTGCTATCAGACGCTGTTGTTCCAAGTACCATGGACGGCATTCGCAGATTATCGCTTTGTTTTGCTGCACGCTGCTCTGTTTATCGCCTAGACCCATGATTTCCGAGCTCACTCTGTGTATCCTTTGACGTCGTTTTGGGCCGAGATCCACGCGGTGCAAATGCCATGATTGGCGGTTGAAAGCCAACCGGTAACACCACCTTGGTCTCCTCTTCGTCACCCATTTACCAACAGGCTTCAACTTCGACTGCAATGATGGGTTCTCTCATCTCACTCCTGCGACCTCTGGCCTATTTGTCCCTCCCGGTCCTCGCTTTCCGCTTTGCCGCCGCGAGATCACGCGTCGCCCGGTATTATTGGCGAGTGGGCATGTATCTGTGCGCACTCGCTGTCGTTTCGGCCTGGGGTGCTTGCATTGGTATCGTCTTGTTCGTCGTCGGCAAGCGGTTCGATACCGACTTTTGGGTCGCGAGGAGCTTCCATTTCGTTGCGGGTAAACTACTCGATATTCGCTTTGAAATCGAAGGAGAAGAATATCTGGCAACAAAACCGGCAGTCTTGATCGGAAATCATCAGAGTATGGTTGATATTCTCTGTCTAGGCCCGTACGTCCTTTGGTCCATCTTTTTTTTCGTGGTGCTAATTCTCTATTACCTTACATTTTCTAGGATATTCCCTCGTTCCACTGTCATTTCTGCCAAAAAGGAGCTACGATGGGCCCCCTTTCTCGGTCTGTTCATGATGGCCGGTGGAAACATCTTCCTCGATCGCAGAAACCCACAAGTGGCCATTGCATCCCTCAAGACGGCTGGCGAGACACTCAAGCGGCGCAGCCTGGGTCTATGGGTGTTCCCCGAGGGTACTCGTACCTTGAGTGAAGAGCCGATGTTAAAGCCCTTCAAAAAGGGAGCATTCCACGTCGCAGTTCAGTCAGGGCTCCCCATCGTGCCAGTCGTATTCGAAAACTATTGGAGATTATACAGAACCGGTGTCTTTGAATCGGGTGTTCTAAAGATTAAGGGTATGCACTGTGATTTTTGGCACTCGGTACTTTGACTGACGGTCCCCAGTTTTGCCTCCAATCGAAACCACTGGTCTTACGACTGCCGACGTTGCCGACCTCGCGATTCGAACGCGGGAAAGCATGCTCACTACGCTCAAGGAGATTTCCACTCCTCATGACGCCACTTCAAAGGGACCGAGGGGTGCTAGTCGCAAAGCAGAGCGAGATGCCACACTCATGCCGCCCCCGCCGTTGCCAGAAAAGCAGTCCATTGGGATCACAGAAATCCGACCGGGTGGTCGATTGCCGACGGGTGGTGGTGGCGACGAAGAACCCCGGCAACGAACGTCGTCGTTGGTGAGGAGTATCGCTTCAAGCGACAATGGGAGCCAGACTGAGGAGGAAGATGGCCACGTGCTAGTGAGGAGACCATAAACTCCTTTGGTATATTGTGTCATTTATTCTAATTTTCTTGGACAAGCACAATCCCCCGCCTCTACTTGTTCGTTGCGACACTTGGGATATCACGTTTTACCCAGTAAAGTTAGATGGAGCAACCCAAAAATGAAATCGAGATCCGAAGTCGCCTTTTGTCTAATGGTCGCGGCTGTTTATGGCGTGCAGGCCGACGCTTCCGGGTGTTCTGGACGGTGGTAAACTTTGATGAATCATGTCGAACCACGGCTTGGGCGCCGTTTGCTTGGTCCAGGGTCGCTGGTTACTCTTTGACCCCGCCCAAACCAGAGTCCGCTGCCCGCCGTCGTCCAGCGCGCATTTGAAAGCATTTTCCTGCACAGTCTTCTCGTCGTTAAACTCGTCATCTGTCGTATATCCTCTCTCCAGTCCGTTCGCCATGCCATTGACCGGCACTCGCTCGCTCGGACGACCTAGATTGCACGCTCGTCCTCGTCCCAGTTCCTACTTCTCCTTTTCGTACACAACTGCCCACTTAGCGTGCAGAAATGAGCGCAGCCGCGCAATCAGAAGAAACAGCAGTCGATCACCCAATGAGCGGGGTCGAGCACGAGAATCCAAACAGCAGCAATAATCCATCCAGAGGCAATCTGCGTGATGAAAAGGGCGACGACTATGTCTACTTTAGTCGCAGCACCGTCGGGTTTTCTGACCAGGCCGTGCCCAAAGCAAAGGCCTTTCAGCTCAAGCTCGAACACTATTACAAGCTCGCCGTCGAATCTGCCGTGCAGAGGAATACCCGGTGTGTTGCCCTCGTTCTCTCCCCTCCCCCAACCAACCCCGCGGAGTTCTCCCGTAATATGGCGTCTAGCCGTTATGAAATTGGGAGATTCCATGAAGGGAAGCCAACCTTAACAACCTTTCGCAAATTCGGCGTGTCGACTGACATGTGCATTCAAATTTTCTGACAGGCGAGTCGAGATAGAGACAAAGCTCATCAACGATGTGTCCATGTCCGAGGAGCGAAAGCGGAAACAACTCGCTCAGTTGGGGAAAACAGAGTCGACCTTTTTGCGTCTGCGAAGGACCAAGATTGGCTTGAATGACTTTAGGACGGTCAAGCTTATCGGCAAAGGCGCGTTCGGAGAGGCGAGATAGATTCATTATCGCGCGCGCTACATGGCATTCTTATCCATGATAGGTGCGGCTGGTGCAAAAGGTGGACACGGGCAAGATTTATGCCATGAAGACGCTGCAAAAGGATGAGATGGTCAAGAGAGATCAGGTTGGCGGAGTTTTTCACAGATTCGAGTGTTCTAAAACGAGTTTACAGCTCGCACACGTTCGAGCCGAGCGCGACGTTTTGGCCGAGTCAAACTCGCCGTGGGTCGTTCAGCTCTTCTACTCTTTCCAAGACCCTGCGTACTTATACCTCGTGATGGAGGCATGTATAAAGCCTTTATGAGAGTGCTCGGCTGATCTTTTGGCAGTTCCTACCCGGCGGCGATTTGATGGTGAGTGTCCTTGCAAACAGCTTGATGATCGCTCAATACCTTTGCGCAGACAATGCTCATCAAGTACGAAGTCTTTTCAGAAGATGTTACCCGGTTTTATATGGCGGAATGCTGCCTTGCTATCGAGGCAGTTCATAACCTAGGATTCATACATCGGTAAGGGCATTGCAATATCGGAGTTTCCTCTGAATATCCGCAGTGATATCAAGCCGGACAATATTCTCATTGACCGAAACGGTCACCTTAAGCTCTCAGATTTCGGACTGTCGACTGGGTTCCACAAACAACACGATATGAGCTACTACAAGAACCTACTTGCCTCTGTGAACGGCTCCGGCGCTTCTATGCAATCGCCAACGACTTCTTCGCAGCAAGCGACAAGAAATAGCGTAATGGTCAGCAATCCTATCCATCTCACTATGAGCCGCAAAGATGCCATCAACACGTGGAAGAATAGCTCCACCCGTCGACGTCTGGTCAGTTAGGCGTGCCGTCTCTGAATTCGACTGACCCGTCGCTTAGGCCTATTCGACGGTTGGAACACCAGATTACATTGCTCCTGAGATTTTCCAAGGTCAAGGATACGACAAGGCGTGTGATTGGTGGTCGTTTGGAGCCATCATGTTTGAATGCTTGGTCGGGTATGCGCCGTTCTGTTCAATGGACAACAACCCGCGGGAGACGTACCAGAAGATTATGAACTGGCCACAATCGCTCGTCTTCCCCGACGATGTCTATCTGTCTCCGGAAGCCGAGGGACTTGTTCGAGGGCTGATGAACTGGAGAGATCAGCGACTCGACTTGAACCAAATCAAGTCGCACAAGTTTTTCGAGGGTGTTGAATGGGGAATTCTGCGGGAGATTGGTGCGCCATGGGTACCTTCGCTGACAAGTATCACGGATACGAGCTACTTCCCGGTGAACGAGCTCGAGGCGAACAAGCCACCTATGCCGATTGAGACGACGCCGGCTACGGATCTCGCGTTCTTAGGGTACGTCTCTTATTTCTGGTCTCGTGAGTCGGTGGCTGATGCGGTTGTGTGCATAATAGCTATCACATTCAAGCGATACCCGGCCAGCTGATCATGAGGGGGATGTATTACCACGTAGAAGGTTGGATAGACGACAGATGGAAACAAATGTCTTTACAAGTCACGCGTGACCTCTGAGATGCTCTTTAGAACAATCCCCGCAATGGGCACGGGGACGGTTGTCGATCCCCGCATGTGCCGGCTGGACGGCCCCGTGCTCAACGGGTGGGCTCAAACGTGGCAGGTAGGTCTGGCAGGAACGTGCCTTGGTCTCCGCCATATTTAACGTCTCGTTGTCCGACCCTTCCATCCTTGGACCCCGACCTCATTCTCCTGCTTTCCTTGATATCTTATAAATTCTGAAATGTCCTCTTTCTTCACGGCCAGTCAACTGCCGGATTGCTGGGTGCGTCGGCCAACATTTATTCATAGACAATTACTGACCTTTGCTCCAGGGGTGAGTTTTTGGTCTCGAATCTCAGCTTAAAAGTCCTCTGACACCTTCAACAGGCATCGTGGCGTACGTGGACCGGCGGTATCGGCAGTACTGACTAATCTCGGACGCTTTCCGCACAGGCTAGCTCCAGTTTCCCAGAGAACACCATTGCAAGCTTTGAGGCTGCGATCCGGGATGGCTCGCACGGCATAGAGAGCGGTTAGTCGCCGATAAACGCACCCGTCCCCGAGTGTCCCCAGTTTGTCCCCCGCCACCGGACCATGTTCCCTGACGCGACTTCCCAAGACGTTCACGTCTCACTCGATGGTGTGGTCGTTATGTTCCATGATCCCGACCTCTCGCGCACGACAGACTCGACGGGCCTCATCCGTGAGCGCAACTGGTATGGCAATGACGGTATGGAGCACTGCCGGACCACAAAGGAACCCAAGCAGGCCATCCCCACGTTTGTGCAGACTGTAGAGCTTCTCATGCGACCAGAGAACCGGCATGTCAAGTTCAACGTTCGTTTCTGTCTATCTGAGCCTGGATGGTGGGACCCTGACGCGCCTTTCTCAATTCTTCTATAGGTCGATGTCAAGATTCAAAATGACCCCGATCGGCTGTTCAAGCTCATGCACGAAATCATCTCTGCTCAAGATGACTGGCAGACGACCCTTGCACCCCGAATCTTGCTCGGCCTCTGGCACTCTCGCTTCATCACCCCTGCAAAGACGCACCTCCCCTATCTCACCCTGTCTCATATCGGTGTCTCCCTCGAGATTGCACGCGAATTCTTTTGGGATTCCTGCCAGGTCTTCAGCATGCTCTTCCACGTTCTCGCAAACGCCGAAGGCGAGCGCTTCCGAAGGGACGCCACAAAGGCTGGAAAGCATATCATGGTCTGGACTGTAAACGACCCTCTGCAGATGATGGAAGCCGCCAGATGGAACGTCGCCGTCATCTTGACTGACAAGCCGCGCGTCTGGCTCGATTTGCGCACGCAACTTGCCGGCAAGTCCCGTTCCAAGCGGATTCCATTAAGATACTAACTACGCCCTTCGTAATAGAAAAACCCGCTGTGCAAGCTGCGTATTCGCGCACGTTCCTCTGGACCTCGCCATTCTATTACCGACCCACGCATCTCCTTATCAGCTACATGAGTCGCAAGAGAATCGAAAAGGAAGCAGGGCCATTCCAAAAGGTCGAACTCTCTCTAATCACGCCTCCAAACGGTCCCGAGCTTGTGGCTGCGTCCGTTGTATCTGCGCAAGCATAACACGTCTTATGTGGCATCCGTAAAACGTTATTTACGGATAAACATTCCTAATTTGTCCCTTGGTTTCTTATAGACGCTCCTGTTGTGGTATAGTGCAAATCAATCAATGCTCGATAGATGCTCCCTAGATCACAAACTCTTCGATCTGATACAAGTTGACTGCGAGCGCGTGTGTATCCTGGGGTTTTTCCTTCGACCGATGATGTCGTGAAGCGTCTCCTGCCTGTGCATGCTTGAACCGTCGTTTCTCTGTAGCGACAAACGGCTCAAGAGGCCCTCTAAGTTTCTCCAACGACGAGACGAGTGAGATCTCCACCTCTATAATCGTTTGTATCTGACGCAGCACTTGATGAGCGGGTGAATATTGAAGGATATCCAGTAGCTTGGCATCTAATAGCGTTGACAAGAACGAAATTGTCTCGGGGGAGATCAGGAAAGTCGTATAAACGCCTAAAATACTCACTTTTTCCACCTTGGGTGTGCTGCCCTTCTGCTTGTGGCTTCCTTCTTGTCCAAGAGAGAGACCTGCGGCGTACCGGACACCGTGCTTGAGGAAATCTCTGCAATTTTGGAGAATTGAAAAAACATCCTCTATATTGGTGAGGTGGCGCCGAAGCGCAATACGCATTGCCGGTGCCGAGGTCGGATAGGTGATAATATTTGATAGAAGCGGTCGAATTTTTGGTCCCTTGGGAGAGTTAGGCGTACCCGTGTCCACTTCCATCGCATTTTTTGTTGCTGAACGATGTAGGCGCACAACGTCGACCAGGAGCGCTACAAGTGAATCCTCAGCGATGTCGAGCGAGTTTTGAACCAGGACAAAGATATTATCCTACGGAAATGAGATTAGACTAGAGACAGTAGATTATACTCACCCAGTCTTTGCGCTCACGAAGCGCGTTCAGCAAGCCTCCACCAACGCTATTGTCGTTCACCAACTTTCGCTTCAGCAAGTATTCGACAATCTTTGGAGAGTATGCTTGATCTTTGTTGGGATTGAAGACTGCAGAAAGCAGTCTCGAAATGAAGCCATACTCCAGGTCGAGTGTATCCGGAATCTGCGCAGCTGTCAAGACAGTAAGCCATGTTTGGACTAGAACGCACATGTTTTATGCGGATCTTCTTCTTTTTAATCTCCTCTTTGTCAATCTCAATGTCCTCTGTCCACGCTTCGCCTTCCTTGAGCTTGCCGAGGGCTACTGCGAGTTGACGCTTTGCTTCCTTCCGAGCGGACTCTTTGACAGAAATAGTTTCTTCTGTCACCCATTGGAAGAAGATAGCATCGGCGGCGTCTACTTTCCCTTCATCCAATTCCTTGACAACAGCTTGAAGAATCGCATCCTTCCCTTCGTCATAATCCATTGTGAGCGAGTGTTTTGCATCTTCCGATGATTTCAGCCACGCATTACCCGCTTCAGCTCTCCCTATGACATTGGAAAGTGTTGAGGCTGGTGGCACTGTGTACGGGATCATAAGAATATTTGACTTGGCACCAGCGGGGAGTTGACTCGGTCGAAGTTGCGTCCATGAGGGTGATACAATGAGTATGGCATGAGTCTGATTTCCTCGGAGTAACTGAAGCTGGAGCTTTTCAACGGGAACTCCCGACAGATTACTTGGGATCGAGAGCAGCTGTTCCGCAAGAAGCACCGAGTACTGCACGTCCCACAAGAGCACAGCCATTTCGTCTCGTTTTTTCTGATTGACGCCAACAAGGAGGACGTGGCTTGAGCCCAGGCAGAGAATAGAGGCGGACGGGGTATAGATAGATCTGAGCGCCAGAGAATCCAATGGAGTTGCTGAGAGCTTTCCATGGCGGTAATTGATCATATAACTATGGAGATTTTCTTTGTCATCTTTGGACCAGTGTCATCAAATGAAAATATTCGAACAGTGAACATACCGAGAAGAGCAAGACACCCATCCTTGTCAAAGCTGGCACGCAGGATATTCTTTCAAAGTCAGCATGTGGCGTTGGTATGTAATAGCAGGCGTACTGAATCGGGGAACGGAATCGCCACCTGTTCATCCAACTCGACTGCAGTTCGAAGTTGTAGTAGCCGTAAAATGAGAGCGTCGTGGCTCTGGAAAAGAAGTGTGACGAGTGCCGTTCTTGCGCCGTGCAATTGGCGTTGAGATGGGAGAAAGGTGCACAGAGAACAGTCGTCGATAGACGCCAAACGTAGCTCGCCAGCCACTTTATTCAAGTCCATTCTTCGAGCATTTTGAAGCGCAGAATCGCAACAAATGACTGTGCCCTCTGTAGATACGAGAATGACGCTGTCAGTCATGTATTCAGGGGCATATAGAGCATGCACTGCGTCATTTATCTGGATAATTTGTTAGTTTCGGCTTTGATTTAAGGCAGTACCTACCCTGATTGATCCCTGCTTTTCCAACGCTGTCAAGGATTCTCTCGATGTCCATAAAGAAAGATCGCATGGTTTTGAGGAAGATGAGGAAGTTTGATTAATTGCATAGGTATATCTTGCCGACGTTGCTTCGGTTGAGGTTGCCGTTCGAGAGGCGGGAGAGGCTGCAAAAACCACCTCAGGCCCAAGCAGTGCGGCGGCTTCGGGTTGGAAACTGGTCAACTATGCAAATAGTTAGAACTGGTCCACTCGACCAGAGAAAACGAACATCTATAATACTAATTCCCTCCCCGGTCACGCCAATGGTAACAAATTCGCCCTTTGTTTCCCTGGAGCAAGAAGCCTGAAGATATGGAAGCTTTGAAGAAACTTTGGTCGATATATCATGCTTTGATAGCGCAATGGCGTCGCCCAAGGTTGCCATCGCTGGTTGAAGGTGGCTCCAAAGCCTCGACTATGACCAACCCCCTCTCAGATGAAGAGGCCCGAATGGCCTACTTTGAGAAAGACGAGAACTTCAGATGGATCGCCAACATGTTCGCGCCAGTATGTCCAACGCGACTCAGCAAGCCTGTAGAGGAACACGTCCAACGAGCAGTCTACGCCTTTGCAGAGTTTGCAGAGATCGCACACGGCTCGATAGATCCTGAATGGATCCTAGATAAGGAGAACAGGTTGCTCCTTGGTCAAAGTGGATTTCCTCTGGAAAAGTATCCAACACTTGCAGGACAAGCAAAGGATGAACGAGAGCACACTGGAAAACTACTCGAAGATATTAGGCTTGTATCAGTGTTCCATGGGGAGAAAGGCCCGCTACAGGGCTATTGCGCCCTCCGAATGACGCCTAAGACGCCCGCCTATGATGCCGGTGCAAACCCAGGTGCGTGTTCTTGGGGTTTCTGACCCACGTAATTGACACCGCCTTGGCAAGTCAAAATACGACCTCAATTGATCCTTGCCTTCTCGGGGACATCCAACCTGCGACTGGCAATGTACGACATGCAAACCTCACGCACGGCGTATCGGACTGAATTCGAGCCTCGAGATCGAGAATGGCTTGTCCATACTGGGTTTCAAACAGTCTATCAAGGAATCCGGAGAGAGGCATTCTGGGCAGTGAACCAGGCTCTTGACGTCCTCAAGCAAGATAACATCACGGCGTTTGACGTCGTGATCACTGCACACTCTCTGGGAACGGCTGTTAGTTATTTGACGCTTCTCGACATTCTACGTGCGGATCCATACAAACATCCCTCGGTGCCAAAGATTCCGGACTCGTCGAACATCACCATGGCCCTGTTCGGGGCTCCAAGAGTCGGAAACAAGCCATTTGTGGAATACTTCAGGAAACTGGTGGAGGCAAGAAGAGTTCGCACTGGCCGAAAAGAGGCGGTCACCGAGTGGTCCGTAATCGGCCATTTGGATGGTACGTACCATTCGACCAACTTTTGGCTTGCTGATTCATATCAGGTGTCCCGGCGCTACCTCCTACATACTTTGGGTACGAGCATTTCAGTAAAGCGCCGTTCTATTCATATGGTGGCTTGCTCTTCTCTATTCCTTCCGAATGTAGCGAGTTCACTCGCTTCGTCGTGGATTATCCAAAGGAAAAGGTGAAATATCTGCGAGGTGGTCACAACTATTATGGTGGGCGCGACATGGAGCGACTACAAAGGAGGATCAAAGCGATACGACTAGACTTATTACCCAAAGAGCAACGCAGCACAATCATCTACCGTAATATGTCTAGGAAGCGAACTGCTACAACGTCGGACCTCACACATCCAACACAATCGATGCACTCTAGCCCCTCGAGAGGTTGGTCTGTACCCACGAGCCTACGCAGCGCTCAAAACCAGTCATACGCTCCCTTTTTCAACACGAATATCTCAGAGGAACCAGAACCCATGACGCCAGTGGAAACCATGCGTTCTGCATCATCGCCGCATGCGGAACTCCCAGAATGGGCACGACGATATCTTGAGCGAGAGGAAGCCGAAGAGACTACATGGAAGAAGAAGTTGGCTGAAGAGAAGAAGGGCCCAGTCAAGGGACTCTGGTCGCGATTCTTTTAATTTCCGAGGCCTGTATTTATACACAAGATGATACACGGCTCACGATAAGTGGGACACTAAACGTATTTGATCAGCCATTGAGACCGCCAAAGGACACAAACTTGGTGTTCATGTACTCTTCAATGGAATGAGATCCCTCTCGCCCGTATCCACTCTCCTTTACGCCTCCAAAGGGTGCGATGGCCGCAGAGATGAGACCTACGTTGACACCAACCATGCCCACCTCGAGCTTTTCAGCAACTCTCCACGCGCGTCCAACATCTCGTGTATAGAAATATCCAGCAAGCCCAAACTCGGTATCATTTGCCAATCGCACCACGTCGTCCTCTGTTTCGAATCTTGTCAATGTCGCGAGCGGACCAAACGTCTCGTCGATAAAATTTTGACTCGAGGGGTCGACATCGGAGAGAACTGTGGGCGCGAAGAAGTTCGGCCCCTTTGCGTCCAATCTCTCACCGCCGACGAGAATTTTTGCACCTTTAGAGACTGCATCCTTGACGTGTGACTCTACTTTCTCGATTGCTTTGCCATGGATCAGAGGACCGTGCGTACTTTGATCAACCGTCAATATCGAAACATAAACGAATTTCACTACTTCACGTACGTTTGCTCTTCGAGTCCATCACCAACGACAAATGAGGATACCCTCGATGCCAGTTTGGCTGCAAAATCGGCGTACACCGAAGATTGGACGAAGATACGGTTGGCACACACACAGCTACGAAAACTGTCAGTTTGATACGAATCGAGATCCTTTCAACTTGCGTTTGTCCGCTAGATCTAAACTTGCTCGCTACAGCACCCTCCACAGCTTGGTCAACGTCGGCATCATTGAAGACGATGAAGGGCGCGTTTCCGCCTGCCTCGATTGTCATCCTATATTGATTCAGCACAGTGGATAGTATGGGCACCATATATACTTTTTGAGGGTTCCAGCAGCATATCCAGCCAGCAGCTTTGCCACTCTCGTGCTTCCAGTGAAGGAAATTTTCTTGACAACTACAAAACTGTCTATTTGAATTCCTGATAGATAAATACTGAACTTACTTGGATTCTCGCACATCTCCTTTGCGATCTCGGGTAGGTGTTTGTGCGATGTGACTACGTTAATAACACCCTTTGGAATCCCTGCCCTGTTAGCAAGCTCTGCTAGCGCCAAGGCAGAAAAGGGTGTCTCTGCTGCTGGTTTGACGACTGCTGTGCATCCCGCCGCCAAGGCTGCACCGAGTTTCCGAGTGATCATCGCGGAGGGAAAGTTCCAAGGTGTAAGGATAGACCTGCATCCAGAGTTCATGTAACAGTAGATAATGCGGCAGGATATACTTACACGACGCCTATTTTGCATTAGTTGGGGCCTGCATGACGGAGTGGAAACTTACCGATCGGCTGCTTGATTATTATTCCCCTTTGGCCGTTCTGCATCGGTGGGATGACTTCACCGTACGCTCTCACAGCTTCTTCAGCTATCCATGCCTCAGCTCATGTTTCCCACATCATGCCGGTTCTTACCAAACCACTAGGAAGAATGAGCCAGAAGCACTCGACTATAAGGCTCCATACCTCGATAAACGAAGCACTGTATGCGTTCTCTCCCTGTCATAGGTCAAGACGGAGTCGAGCCTCTAGTAAGGGCTGACCTTGCCCTCAGCTAACGGCTTGCCATTCTCGAGTGTCTAGTACGAGTTAGTACAGAGAAAAGGAGGAGTTTTATACAAACTATTAAACGTCCGAGGTCGTCGGCATGCTCATGCATGAGCTGGAAGAATCTCATTAAGAGATCATGGCGAGTCTTGAAAATAAACATTCGTGTCAGTTGATAATACTGTAAGAGGATGAGAAGCACCTTTGCAGTCGTCGTTGACCACGACTGGAAAGCTTCATGGGCGGCTTGTATCGCCTTCTTCGTATCGTCGACCGTCATTTCCGCGACTTGACCGAGCTCCTGCCCAGTCGAAGGGTCTGGGTCCGGTATGAGCAAAGTTTGGTGTCGAGTATTCACGTACTATGGACGGTGAATGTAGACTCGGAGCCATACCATTCACCGTTTATAAGTCCTTTTGTTTTGAAGAGTGTCTGGTCCTTGAGCCCCAGCTAGCTAAGAGTGAGAATGGCATATAGAATGGACACATAATTGCATACACTGGCTGCTGAAGCCATTCTCTTTACGATTGCTCGTTGAACAGCCGTAGTTTGCAGCGAACTTGGTCGCAGGACACGTGAAGTGTGTCTGAACATGTTTAAATCCAAGAGTTAAACCCAGTTGTATCAACTAGGTGGCCTGTGGATGAAGTCTAGTGCGTAGTGGATGACGAGGAGAGGTCGAAGATCGAAATGGGACCGGCTATCGGCTACTTCGAATACCAGAAAAAAGGAGTTAAACCTTGAAGAACGGAAGCAATTCCAGGGCTAGTTATCTGATCTCCAGTGCCTATGGCCGTCCGACGGAAGTCGGCGTTCCGAGCTATCGACGTTTCCAAAATATGTGATACAGGAAAAGGGAATACACGAATTTCTGCAAATTATGTGATTAGCAACGTGTGTGATTGGGCAGGTGGGACACTTGCCTCAGACTGCGACTACCATTTGGCCTGGCAATGGACACATTCTGCTGAAATAAAGGCCATAATACAAGAATAATGGCCAAATCAAACAAGGATACATTTGAAGCTACCTACTCGGGCTCACAACCCCCGCCACTTATTCCCTCGTTGCGCTCAGATCCGCCGTCCAAGGGACCCGCGCCAACATCGCTCGAAGAGTTCAGGAGACTTGAACCAGCTCATGTCAGAGATCAGAGACTACGCGAGCTTTGGAAGGCGCTCCCAACCGCGTCGGATGAAGTCATTTTATGGAATGCAGCTGCTGGCGACTCCGACAACAATCGGCCACGACCCGGCCTGAAACCAGAGGACGAGCGCATAGAACGGCTCAGAAAGATATACAACCAGGAGCTTATGAATCGGGTCAGCGGAGGGCGGCCAAAGGGGCTCAACTACGACCAGTTCGTCCAGGTAAGTAGCACAAGCTGGACTATTAGCTCGCGAATGCTAACACAATATCAGTATGCAGATGCCAAAGAAGCGGAATTGTGGGCTATATTCCACGACGAGCTCGATTTGGACCGCAACGGACGACTCGACGCGTTCGAGTTGCGTACCGCGCTCGCGAAAGCGGGTAAGCCCTCAGTCTATGCAAAATTATACCCAACTAACTGCATTGACTAGGCATCACCTTGCAGCCTTCAACACTTTCCGACTTCATGAATTTCCTCGCCACCTCTCCACACCAACAGACCATTAGCTTTCAAGAGTTTCGCGACTTCCTCATTCTCATGCCACGAAAGGCATCAACGATAGAGATATATCGATACTACGAGTACAGAAAATACCTCGGTGATGACGGCCACGGTCACGCACGAGTCAATATGGAGGGTAAGACTCTAAAAACTACATACGCCATTCGCTAAGATTCGGGTTAGGAGATGTATCTCTCAGTGCTGAGGACCGTCATCTTCCGGCATCGAAATTAGAAGCCTCGCAATCACGCCCACCAGTTACAGAGTACGAGGAACAAGAAGAGCAGCAACATCATCAAGATCCAGAAGTAGACAAGGCTACCGCCTTTAAGTTTCTTCTCGCTGGTGGCATCGCTGGAGCAGGCACGTTGGGTAGCCTCGTGTCGTCTGTACTAACACACCTCAAGTCTCCAGAACGGCCACGGCACCCTTTGATAGGCTTAAAGTGTTCCTCGCGACACGTGCAGTAGAGGGGTCGGTTTCAACAACCTCGGAGGCTTTGCTGGACCCAAAGCGAAGTACCAAAGCGCTTTGGTCCGCTGTCGCCCAGATATATGCAGAGAGCGGCGTACGTGGCTATTGGATAGGAAACGGACTAAACATCGTCAAGATATTCCCGGTGAGTTTATTCGGAGCCAAGGAAACATTGCTCATCACTCGGCGGTTGTAGGAATCTGCGATCAAGTTTTTGTCCTATGAATCTTCAGTAGGTTGACTTTGACTTGGTATAGTCGTGGCTTAACTTTGATAGAAACGATTTTTTGCCAAATACGTTGACCACGTCGAAGATTCGCGGGATATCAGTGGGACGAGTAGATTCTTGTCGGGAGGAATTGGTGGTTTGACCAGTCAATTATGTAAGTCTCTTCTATTTTTCTTTGCTTCCATCTCACTATGATAGCGATATATCCTATAGAGACTCTCAAGGTGAGGTTACAGCATCTGACACCGCCTTTGGCTTATTCCCGGTGCAGACTCGACTCATGAGTGAAACGAGTGCATCGCATATACTACCAACTGCAAAGCAAATGTGGCGTGAAGGTCGTTTTAGGACGTTTTATCGTGGCCTTGTGGTCGGTTCTCAGCGTAACAGGGTGATGGCAATTAAAGCGCTTTGCAGATTGGTCTCGTCGGGGTCTTTCCATACTCGGCTATTGATATGTCGACGTTTGAGGCACTCAAGCTCGCGTATCTACGATCAACAGGGTTAGAAGAGCCCGGTGTTCTCGCACTTTTGGCTTTCGGCAGTATATCCGGGAGCGTCGGAGCAACGGTGAGCTATTCGTGATCAGAGCGGACTTGGGTTGATGCGCTATAGAGCGTCTACCCCCTGAACCTCGTTCGAACACGGCTGCAGGCCTCGGGATCTTCGGGGCATCCTCAAGTTTACACTGGCATGTGGGACGTTGTGCGTCAGACGCATGAAAAGGAGGGTATTCGTGGCTTTTACCGCGGTCTCTTCCCAACGCTGGCCAAAGTCGTCCCGGCCGTCTCGATATCATACGTCGTCTACGAGCATAGCAAACGACAGTGAGTTTCATGGTTGTTCTGTAGACTGGTTACTGATCTGAGTTACATAGTCTGGGTGTCGGCGACTGAACGGACTACTCTTTCCCATAGAATGTCCATCATCGCTTTCAATAAGTTATGCTCGGGATTCTCTAACCCTATTGTATATCTGAACCTCTTTCTAACGTTGCGATTTTCTCTTGCCACTGGTGTTCGTGGCTCGTTAGCTTGTCCGTCGCCACACCATGTCAGAGTCCCAAAGAATCCGCGACTTTACACCAAAGTACAAACAGCCGTTTACGATGGAGGAGGCTGTCGAGCTTGATTTGCACACGCTTACAATGGGTACGCGTCAGACGCGACTTTCCAGCATAGGCCTTTTGATATGTGAAATACAGAGCTGGCTCGTCTTCAAGATTCGGTAAATAGACTCGAGGATACACAGAAGTCTCTTGCAGAGTTTCTGGACGCCTCGGCCGACAAGGACGAGGATCTATCGACAGCGTACAAGGAGAATGTTGACGTTATGTGCGTATCATCGTTTCTGCGTGATTTAACGGTGTCTAAATTGTTCACAAGTGGGTCTCAAAAGGAGCGAATGAATATGATTAGGCTTGCACTAAGCCACAAGGGTGTATCCTCCGAATCTCTCAGTCATTATATACCAGAAGGCAACAGTTCAACTCGTGTAGCGCAGGCAGATGCTAGCACCACCGAGGAAGGAGGGATCGATTTGTAATAAATTACCCTTCCTTTGGTTCTCTTTCCGTTGTATTTGAATTTGATGGATCCTTGAATATCTGTGGCCATATGTTGCGCAACTGATGCAAATTCGAAATGACCGCATCGACACCCTCTGTCTCTGCACCGTCTCCAGCTTCCAAGCTCTGCTTTAGTTGCTCCGCGTATGATCCCGATGGGGCTCGGAGTGCGCTTTGGGTAGCGGCTTCGTCGCCGCTGACGAGGTGCGCACGTGCTTCTGGGGAGAGCTGCTCACGGAACCATACGCATGATCCCCAACCAATAGTCTTTGCGGCGCGCACGTTTGAGAGAGAGTCGTCGATGAAGAAGCACTTTGCACGGTCGGCGGGGTCGTCTGGTGAGAGGCCGATTTTGGTCATTGCCTTTTACCGTTTTGTTCACCCATGGGCGTAATGGAGGATATGAGGGCGTACCATCTCATAGTATTCTGGTTCTGGTTTGCATGTGCTACAGCCGAGTTAGCATTAGAGGGCTGTGCAAAGTAGACTCACAAGGCTGGATCTTGGTAGTCACAGAATACAATATCTTCGATCAAGTCTCGCAGGTTTAGAATCTTGAGGACTCGTTCCGCATGCTAAAGAATGAGCTTGTATATAAGGATAATTAGGTGCTATACCGAGATGTATGCGTTTGTTGCTGCCCATACTTTGACCTTTGATCGATCAATGTCCATTAAGAGCTGCCTGATGGCTGGATCTGGCTTGAGGAGATCCTCGAGAGGGAGAGAGGCGTCGCATCGTTCATTAAAGTCCATGGGATCTATGACATGTGAGGAGACTCGGATAGAGAAGGTGTACTCACCGATCTCGTGGTGCTTGACGAGTCCGCGAATAGCGAGGCCGTACTGGCGATAGCTACGAGCATCAGACACTGGGTTAGCTTTTGGAGATGCTTACTATGCACTGTGCAGTCGTTCTGCCTCTTCCTCCGTGTGGCCGAGCTCGATAAAGTATGCTAGACGGCGTGGTTGGTGCAAGTCGGTCTACTTTACGGCTGAGCCTACTTCTGATGCGCTTCATCATGAGCTGTGAGATGGATGAGCTGGCCGAGTAGAGGCAGTTGTCAATGTCGAAGAAGACGGCGAGCATGGCGGGCACCAAGATCGAGTGGGGCCAAACAAGTAAACAGACCAAACTCAACCGTCTCGATGGCGCGCACCCACAATCCAAAGACCCATCTCGCGCCGCATATTGAGCGCAAATCTCGCACTCAAAAAGCCCAGAAACGCGGTGCTCACAAGGGTCCCAAAAAGGCCGCGGCCGCTGCAAAGGACGAGATTGCCCCCCACAAAGAGGTCACCGTCGGAGGTGCAAACAACGGCCAGACTCGTCTTGTTCCTACCCAAAAGGCACCACGATACTATCCTGCAGAGGACGTCAAGCGGCCCAAGAAGCACCGCAAGACAAACCATCCAACCAGGCTCAGGGGAAGCCTCACACCAGGCCAGATTGTCATCTTGCTTGCTGGTAGATTCAAGGGAAAGCGTGTCGTCTTCCTCAAGCAGCTCCCCAGCGGTCTCCTCCTCGTCACCGGGCCCTACAAGGTCAATGGTGTCCCACTGAAGCGCGTCAACCAAGCCTATGTCATTGCTACATCGACAAAGGTCGACATTGATGGCATCGAGGTGTGTATCGACTCGTCGACAAATTCCATACCATGCTCACCTCACAACTCTGCAGCTCGATGAGTCAATCAACGACTCGTACTTTTCGAAACCCAAATCGACGTCGCCAAAGTCAAAGGAGGAGGAGTATTTCTCGGGTGGAAAGCCAACCACCAAAGAGGCTCACCCGGCTGAAAAGGCCAAGCTGCAAAAGGATGTCGACGCAAAGGTCATTGACGCGATCAAAAAGGTCGATAACCTCGGCAAATACCTCAAGGCGTCGTGGGGTCTCTCCAAGGGACAGTTCCCGCATACCCTCTCGTTCTGAGAAGGTGCCGATCGACGCTTTCTGGCATGTTTTTGGGCAGTCGAGCATGAGCGTAGAGATAATTAATCCGTCTTATGCAACGCTGTTGTACTCGACGCGTAAATGGCTAAACCCTTTGTATGAGGCCCCCGTTTGTCGCTGGACGCTGTTTGGTCCGCAACACTCCTATGAATGCATGCGAGACTATGCCTATTTCTTGTGTTCCCTGAGCTACATTAGGCGACCACACGGTGGTAATTCACATAGACTGCCTCTCGCTCTCGACCACTCTGGCTCATGCTCGGTAGACAAGTCCGAGTATACCTTGTAAGGCCACAAATATCTCCAAAATCACTTGCAACTGCATCAAGACGCCCCCTTGATGGCCCAGGACATCTGTCGAGACGGTCGATTTCATCTGCAACCTTTACCGAACCGATAGGCCGAGCTGTCGCGTCACTACCATATGCTATACAACACGACATTCCACAAGCTATCCTCAACTTTAGTAGTGCAGCGTTTCCGGAGAGCTGGCCAGTCTATAGCATAGGCTTCTTCGCGTTTGCCGTCGCGACCCGTCTTTTGGTGTTTACACCTTGGGCATATTGGGTAATCCTGCTCATACTACCGTGTTTGTCAAGTAAATGCTGATCTTGCCTCTTGTCAACAGGCACGAAAGCGAAAATGGAGAACGAAGGAAGTCGTAGAACCTCGACTGATAGCCGAATTTAAATATGGTTGGAGTTCAGAGCTGCGTGACAAGCTCAGGCGCAAAGGTCTAACCTCTCGGGAATGGTTAATGGCAATCAACGACAACGTATGTGAGTCCAGATTCTTGCATTTAGTCTGAAGGTTGACTATTACAAAACAATAGATGAGCATCCGACAAAAGGAGCTTGTGAAACAATTCGACTGCGGTTCCTTCAAAACAACAGTCCTCCCGCTCGCCTTTACAGCCCCTGCATTCATCCTCTCCACATCCATAGCATTCTCCGCCTCTCTTTTACCTGAAATCGCGTCCAATCCGACACTAAACGAATTCTTCCTCGCACTGCCGACACAAGACCACTTTCCACTCCTCCCAGTCGGTCTAGGCGTCTTTGCACTCTTGACGACCGACATAGGAACATGGTCACCGAAGAGTCTGAAGCAGATGAACAGTATCGAAGCGCCAGTAGCGGAAGAGGAAACGAACAATGGCTCACCGTCAAAGATTGTGGAAGTGAAACCGCACATCATCGCACTAACATTTTCTCGACTGTGGAGCCTAGCGCGTGTAGTCGTGGCGATAGGTTTACCAGGAGTAAGCCCCAGTCTACGCAGTTATTCTCAATCAGTTGAAAATCCCCATTTAGACGGTACAAATAATCTGGTTTACATCTGCTCTCATGAGCTTCCTCGAAGCACGGATCTTTAGTTGGATAGAATCCAGGAGAAGGAACAACTGGGGCGGCAACAGTCCTCTCATCAAGATGAAGATTGGACAGCTCAGGAAACTCGGCGTCGAAATCTCGCCAGATATACCACTAGAACGACTCGGAGTGGTCGACTATAGTACCGCCACGCCCGGATATTTTCCTCGACCACGACAAGTGGGTCCGCTCGAACGTGCTAGGGATGCGATTGCGGATTTGAGCTTTAGGCTAAAGGCGATGAGCCCTGGTCCTACTTCGTCCGCCCAACCGGCAGATCACGTGCGGGATGGCTTTGTACGTGTCAATGAACGCGGTTCAGCGCTCAAAGAGGATACGGCAAAGCAGGAGGAAGTAAAGGTACCTCGAGAGGGTACGAAGAAGTCGAAGAAGGGTATGACTTGACGTTCAATCACCCTGCAATAGTTTCACGAGGGTATGTAGTCTACTTTCAATTCAACTTCATTGGGATTATAACAAAGTGGTGGATGGAACCATTTGCATGGTCTTCGTCGACCTGCAGCCCATCCGTCCGAGGACGGGTTTGGTTCCACGTGATTCATTCTTGATCTAATATGATATACTACTGCTCGTTCTCATACAATCTCTTTGCTGACTTGGACGTTTAAGACCGAACCTTTGGATCATGTAGAGATTATCTTTGGAAATCAGCCATTTGAATTATCTCGTAATAGTCCGCTATGAACACCAAGTAAGAGTCCTTTGAAACGGTCACCAAGGAGCCGTTCAACTATTAGCCAAAAGAGTAGTCGGGCGAAATGTAAAAAGGGGGAAAATGAAAAAAGGGGGCGACTACTCTCTAGATCCACTGGTTGCGCTTGGCCTTTGCGACGATGCGAGAAGAAAGCATGCGCTTGCGCTCGAGATGGTCATGGACGGCACGCTTTGCAACGGGCTCTTCGACGACCTCGCGCTTCTTCATGTCATCGAAATCTTCAACTTCATCCTCTTCGTCATCAACTTCTTCGCGGGTGGCGAGCTTGAACGTTCCAGCAACGGGTGATTGGACGGCTGCTGGGCTTTCGGCGACTGGGACTTCAGCGGCTGGAACAGATGAAGCAGGAGCAGATGCAGCAGGAGCAGACGCAGCAGGAGCAGACGCAGCCGGGACTTCAGCAGCAGGAGCAACCGCAGCCGGGACTTCAGCAGCAGGAGCAGCCGCAGCCGGGGCTTCAGCGGCTGGAGGGGCCGCAACGGGTGCCGGAGCCGCCACGGGGGCTGGTGCAGCCGGAGGAGCAGCAGCAGGGGCTTCTGGGTTTGTCACAACAGCGCAACCTATACTACAAGTCAGCCAAGCCTTAATAATGATGGATTTACGAACCTCCAAAGGGCCCTGCGCGTGCTGAGTTACGGCATCGGACAATGCATGCGTCGCCATTCGGTCCACCGGTGCAAGTCGTACCAGCAGCGGCTTGGACAACAAGTGGGAAAGCTTGTGCTCGTGCACGACTCCTGCTGTTCTCACCGGGGACGTTGGTAACAACGGTTGCCGGCACAAAGTTTGTACCCGTGGCGTCGGTCGAGATATCGCAAGTGTATGGACTAAAAAGTATTAGAGACGGTGAGAGAGAGAGAGAAGGAAAAGACATACCCAGCTCCATCACCGTTGACTTGGTGCAGAGTCATAGTGATCTGTCCATTGGCAGACATGGAGGGAAGTCCAGCACTGGAGGCTTCGTCGACGCTGCTAGCGATTTGGTTTACGCCACCAACAAGCGTTCGTCCACATGGACTGGCCTCGCCGCTTTCAATCTCTTCGTCTCGGATGATGCTGCTGTCCTGCTGGAATGGGCGGCGGCGTGTACCATCACGAGGCGTAGAGGGATCAATGCCCATAGCAGTCGAAGTCACGCCGTTGGCGCCAGTAACTGCAACAATGGCACCGTGACCATGGACGGTGGTGACAAGGGAGGCGAAGAGTGCGATAAATGCGTGTGTGTAGAGCATGATGATTCCGTTTCTCGAAGAGAGATGAAGATGATAGGCGCTTGAAGGGTGGAAATAGAAGCTAGATTATTACTGGGTCAGTCCTCGCGTTCAAACCATGAGCTTGGACGTACAGCGAATAGAAGAACTAGCAAGTCAAGCGGAAGAAAGACGAGAGTAAGAAAGATGCACTGCACCGAGGCTGATCCTGAGGAGCAGTCTAGAGTCGGTAGATGGGGTTTTATAGCCACTGGAGGCTCACCGAAGCAGAGGTACCGAGTGTCCATCGTCAAGTAGCCGGATGTCGTTGAATCTTGTTATGCAAGAACGTGATGTGGTCCACGAGGAGTGTGACTGTATCCATCAAACCATTGACAAGGTTACCAACGCTTACCTCGACGGCATGAAGCGAACTTTGATCGTTTGTGCACTTCGAAAAGAGTGATAAAGTCATCATGAATAGGCATCATCCAGAGAACAAGTCACGAGCTTGGCTCGAGAAGAGGGGCATAACGTTTTCCATAGATTGGACATATTCAACATTGGATCATCATTAAAGTCTTGGCAAGCTTGGAAGCGATTGTTGATGGTGGACACCTCGACAACGGAGGAAACGTTGACTAGTTGGTCGTCTTGTAATTTTAAACAAGCTAGTCCTCGTTCCAAAAAAAGCTTGTTCGGATGTTTTTACAGATAGTTCGCTCGCTAGTTGATCGTCGTCATCAGCAACAAACCTCACAACCACCCTCCGGTAACCCTGAGCCCACTAAGCCTTGATGCTCACCCGCTTCCTCTTCTTGCTCTCTCCACTCTGTAGGCGCTCCCGGGCCGCCTCAATGTCCTCTTCCGCCCACTCTTCGCGCTCGCCGCGCTCGTAAAATTCAGCCGTCCGTGTATCGTCGTCCTGTCGCTTAATGAATCGCAACGCGGCTAGGTTATACCCCATTTGCGTTCTCTGCCGTGACAGTGCAAGGCGCAGATGACCTCTGAGCGAGACGAGTAACGGCCTCAACGACCGAGTGGCGACAATCTGCGAAGAATGTATCCGCAGAAGATACGCTAGCATGTTCGATGTCAACGTGGTTTGAATTCCCTGTACAAAAGTCAGTCAGCGAGATGATTTCAGACACAAAGGACAAACCTTTTTCGCCCATGCATCCATGTAGTGAAGCAGCCGCGTCACCTGGCTGAAGGGCAGCGCAAGCAATGCATCGTATAGAGCCGCATTTTGCACCTTCTCGATCACGTCGAGCACGTACTCATCTGGACTGACCGGTTCGCCGCGTATCCGCAAGCTGTTCGGCAATGCGTCGGCATACTTCTCCCTCTCACTCGCTGGGAGACGCTCCTTGGCACGCTGGTATTCTTCTACGTCACGCGAGTATTTGTCCGCCAGCTCCATTGCTTCCGCAATCTTTTCGCCTGCCATCAAGGTCTCCGTCGTCGTCTTTTGCACCATTGTTGCCTCTGCCTGATAACCACTCCCGGCAAGCTCCATACCACCTTCGACGCCGGATCCTATGGGTCGTTCCTCTCGATTGAGTTCGTCCGCATATGCTTGGTCGTCGAGGGCCTGCTGTTCGTTTTCGCGCAGTTCAGCGGGAACCACGATTTCTTTCACGTTCTCCCATATCCGAATAGACTTGTCATGCGAGCCTGTTACAAGGATGTCGCCACTGGAACCGATAGCCATGGCCCAAATCTCGCCGTGGTGACCATCCATTTTTTGTATTAATTGAAACTGTAAAGAATTAGGCCTGAAATCTTCAGTTTTACGTGATGCCCGCACCGTGTCTCCATCCCAATGCTTCACCCATCGGTCCTTTGACACCGAGAAGAAGCGATGACTTCTTGGTTCGAACAATACCTGCATCACACTTTCTTCGTGAGCAAATATTGACTTGTGACAGTCTCCAAAGTCCATGCCCCATATCTTGACATTCTTGTCCGATGAAGAGGTAATTATAAGCTTGGAGTCGGAAGAAATATCCAGTGATAGCACGGGCAGCTTCAAGAGATCAGGGTTTAGTTGAATGATGCAGAATAACCTACCTTGTGACCATATAATGATAGGAAAAACTTGAGTGTATCTTGATAGAAAATTTTGACCGTCGCATCCAATAATGCAACCGCGAGAAACCGCGAGTTTGGACTGTATCTAACAGCAAGGACCTCGTCCGACATTTTGAGTGTCCGTGTATGCACAAGCGTCTTGACTTTGCGGGACGGCTGTTCGCCGATGAGCCGAGCGAACCCTCCACAACACGCACGCACCTGCTCTTCGTCCTTTTTATCTTCAAAGTCCCAGAATTTAACATCCTTGTCGGCACTTCCAGTCACTAGACCACCGAAATCAGGGCGTATGTGCAGTGACCATACAGTGCTAGTATGCGCCTTGATTGTCTCCAACTTGGACGCTGAGGCGACGTCAAACAATTCGAGCTCGCCGCTCTTTGTTCCAATAATGACCTGTCAAAGAGAATATGAGAATAAGTCCAAGGACAACTATAGAACGAACATGCCGATCCCCCGGGAGGAAACACCCACAGACAGCATAGCCGCACTCGAGCGTACGTATGCACGTCATGCTTTTCATGTTCCAAATTTTGAGCATACCTGATGCAGTTTCAGGCACACGTAGATCAAAACAGACGACATACCACTCGAAGCGGTGGCGAGAAGTTGCTCGTCAGCGCTTAGCGATGCCACTCGAATATCGGTCCTATGCCCGGGTAGATCGAGTGAGAATATGCGTGCCGCTTCTGGTGTCTCCTTGGTTTTGGTTGGTAGTGGTATTGTGTAGACCTCGGCCGAGTTTGTCGACAATGCAGTAAATATCTGAGCTCCATTGAGTACTCATTCTTCCTGCATCGAAAGAGACTTGCCTGGATTCCTTTTGGATGTGTGTCGTCCTCCACAAAGTCGAAGGACCGAATCTTGCCGCTCGCACGCACAACAAGATATGGCGTGTATAGATCCACGAGCTGTATCTCTTTCTGTGCGTGATCATCATCCTCATTCACAGCTTCTTGCAAAGCCTCGGCCTTTTGCACCTTTTTCTCCTTGGCTCGCTTCTGCCTCCGAGCCTGTTTCTTCCGAATCTCGTCTTCTGTACGTATCCTAAAGACGTCAACAGCCTTTTCGTGCGACTGTATAGCAAGAAAGGGGGCCGTGGGATGATACGCCAGCTGCGACACACGATGTTTGGATGTCATTGGAAGCGTGGTGAGGGGATGAATCATCTTGGCGTACTTTACTGCTTATCAGTAACTATTTCATCGTCATATTAGGGTGCAAACCTCTCCAGTCGAAGTTTCTTGCAGGCCTTTATCAAGTTCTTCGTGGTCAATCTTCCAAGCCTTGATCTCTCCTTCGCCGCTTCCGGTGAGAATGACACTTCCAGATGGATCAATGTCTAGTGTCCAGACCTCGGACCGGTGCGCTACCATGCTCTGTATACAGTGCTGCGTCGACAGATCCCAAAGCTTGAGGAAGGTGTCCTTGCCAGAGGTCACGAGAAACTGGGCGGATGTTGTGCCTTTTGATGTCGAAGGATCGCCCTTTTCGATAAATTTGATACCAGTGATCTGGTCCCTATGTCCCCGTAGTCTAAGGTTTTGTTCAGAAACGTTCTTTGTTAAATGGAAGCACGTACCGGAATAGTCCTGTCTCCGCTACAACGTCCCAAAGAATAACGTTTGTGTCTTGAGAGCCCGATGCGAGTCGTTGACCCGTCGAGTCAAAACACATGGCAGTAACGGATTTTTTGTGCCCATTCAGCACCACAATTGACGAAGCAGTCTCAACACTCCACAATCTGATCGACCCATCCATGTATCCGACCGCAAAGACGTCTTTCTGTGGCGACTGTGCCATACAAGTGACTTCTGCTCGATGACCACTTTCGTGCCACATGGTTACCTAAAACACTGTTCAGGGCCTTTTACAGCTGCTGAAGATGTAATGACGTGCCATTTCTCCCTTTTTCATATCCCACACCAACACGTCTTCCAGCGCAGGTAGAAAAGCGAGTTTTCCGTCGTAGACGGCATTGGACGATGGACTACAGATGAGTCCAAAGGCTTGTGTGCCTCCCCAGCGATCATAAGTTTTGGTGAACATTGTGGCCGACGCAAACCCTTGAACCCCGCCACCACTGCGCAAACGCTACTTGTCCTGCGGACATCGATGAGAATGCTCGGAGCAATGCAGCCAACAGGCGCAGTGCGCAAAGCTGCGTTAGGCCTTGTCTCGTTCATCAACGCTTCACCAACGCCGTATCATGCGACGATGGAGGCTACAACGCGGTTGGAAAAGGCCGGTTTCGATCGATTGCGAGAAGAATCCGAGTGGGATATCAAGCCTGGCGGGAAGTATTATTTCTCTAGGTTCGTCCACAAGCACTCTGAGAGCAGGATAAGACTGACGCGTGACCAGGAATCAATCGGCCGTCGTTGCGTTTACGGTACCAAAGGTATCGCTGCAATGAAATGAAAAAGGAATGTGCTCATCATGCACGATGTTGATAGCGCTGGGCACCTGGTGGTGGGATTAGCATGGTGGCCACGCACATCGATACCTGCAAGCGAGTCGAATCTTCAATCATTTAAAGGAAACTAACTGGCTCTAGCCTTCGCGTTCGTCCTGTCTCGAAGAAGATTGCTAATGGATACCTCCAAGTGGCCGTGGAAACGTATGGAGGAGGCATCTGGCATACCTGGTTTGACCGAGATCTCTCGTTGGCGGGTCGTGTCATTGTCTCAGATGGGGATAACGGCCCCTTTACCTCTAGGATGATCAAAATTGACCGACCAATCCTGCGCGTCCCATCATTGGCCATTCACCTCGACCGTGGCGTGAACGAGCAATTCAAATTCAACCAAGAGACAGAGTTTGTTCCAATTCTTGGCCAGCAAATCTCGTCCGAACTCAATGCACCAATTCATAAAGAGGGCGAATCGAAAGGACAAGGCTTGGATGTATCGGAGAACCATCATCCTGCCCTATTGCATTTGCTTGCAGAGGAACTGTCCATCAAACCGGAACAAATCAACGATTTCGAATTGTAAATTGGCTCCTTATACAAACTACCCTGGCTGATTGTGTATAGGCATTTATACGACGTCCAACCTTCGTGTTTGGGGGGACTCTCAGAGGAGTTTGTCTTCTCACCACGGCTCGACAACCAAATGACAAGCTACTGTGCACTTGAGGCTCTGATCGAGAGTACGAGTGAAGCCTCGACGGAGGCTTGCGAATCGCAGCATGAATCCAATGTCAACTTGATTGCGCTCTTCAACCACGAAGAAGTTGGTTCTGTCTCGACTACCGGGGCCGAGGGCTCGCTCATACCGACCGTCATCTCGCGTCTATCGCCTTCATCCGAAGCCCTTGCACGTACTACAGCAAAGTCATTTTTGATCAGCAGCGATATGGGTCACGGAATACATCCAAACTACAGGAACAAGTACCAAGAGAATCACCGACCGCAGCTAAACGGTGGAGTCGTCATCAAAACCAACGCAAAACAACGCTACACGACAGATGCGATTGGGAGCTTTTTGATCAAACGCCTCGTGGCGAAGAGGGGTGGCAAAGTACAAGAGTTCGAGGTGCGGAATGACATGTGAGTGCTGAGTTGGTCATTTGGCGGGCGGCTGAGTGCTTCAGGGCATGCGGATCTACGGTTGGACCTGCTCTTTCAAAGATGGGTGTCCGGTATGTACTCTCAGTCAGCGATGTGACTTAGCTAATGATACCCTAGAACGGTGGACGTTGGCCTTGCCCAGCTCAGGTGCGTCTGGAAGCTGTAGCGGTGGTATACAAATTAATCACATCTACAGTATGCATTCTATTCGGGAAACGGGTGGATCTCACGACGTACGAGGTGCGTTGCCGCTCTGTAAACGTGCCGAACAGTTGCTAACGGGAGCAATCTTGTAGCTGGAATTGACCTGTTCTTGTCCTTTTTCGAGGGATTCAATGATATAGACAAGGAACTGTCGCTGCTGTAGGCTTTGTACTCGCGTGTTGATGGTCGTGTGTTCGGGTGGCTGTCTTTTGCACCCGACCGCGACGAGCGCTCGAATCAGAGGAGTTTAACGCTTTGATCCGCCTGAAGATGAGATGCACAAGAATCGGTTGACATGCCGAAGAGGCGGCGTGGAGTTGTGTTACCAATGTTGCGCTTCGTTTTTGGTAGCGAACAAACGCAAAAGGATGTCAAAGTGGACGCGAAAGGATGCCAAGGGTGGACAAAAAAAGCAACGGGCCCAATGTCGTCTGTCGTCTGTCGTCAACGACGGTTGACTGGTTCCCAACGAGCAAGCGTGACCCGTTGCGCTCTGGGAAATTGCACCCGTGCGTAGCCTTTTGCAGTCGTCGTCGGTCGTCGAACACGTTGTGTCATGGACAAGGTCCTCCTGGCTACCGAATCACCGTCCTCGATCATGCGCGAAGAGGGTCACTCCTGGCACACATAAAAGGACTCCAGCTTCGAAGTTGAGAACAGCAGGAACTCCTCGGTGCTGAGCATCTTTCACTTGCTTTTCTTTTTTGTCGCTGTACGTCTCCCCCCCGAACACCAAATCTCTTACTGACAGTCTGTAGTCATTCTTGCATTCAACCATTCGCTTTTATTACACTCATTCGTCAACAACATGTTCGCTTCATCTACATCTTATCTTGTCCTCGCTCTCTTCGCCTTTGCCTCGACGGCTCATGGGCACGGTACAATTACTGAAATCAAGGGTGCCAACGGAGTGACTTCTGCTGGTATCGGTATTCTCGCATCAACACCACGCGATGGTTCCGGTAGGACACCATTCCAGCAAGACACGAGCACTATCCGCGACCGCGAAATTGCAAGCGGACGTACGGGACCTTGTGGACGCACCATTGCTGGTGGTAACAATGACGTCGCGGCAGAGGTCGCATCTGCATCGAGCGCAGGCTTGCCATCCATGGGTGCAGACGGTTCTGTCCAAATGACACTTCACCAGTATGTATTATTCTATCTTTTCACCCACAACCTCGCCTAATGTCTTTTAGAATCAACCAAGATGGTGGAGGACCGTACACCTGTGAAATTTCGACCGACGCCTCGGGAACAAACTTCCAGCCAATGACCGTCACCACCAACGTCCCAGGAATCCTCGGCTTCAGTGCCGCCACCGCTAGAGACTTCCCTCTAGTCGCACAAGCCCCTGCTGGAACGACTTGCACTGGTGGCCCGAATGGCGATGCTTGCCTGGTGAGGTGCCGAAACAACACGCCCGCGGGTCCGTTTGGTAGCTGTGGCGTTGTCACGAGCCCCCAAGGTGGTGCTGTCGCAGCTAGTGCCTCCTCTGGAACTGCTACTGGTGGTGGAAATGCAGCGGCCACGGGGGGAAATGCTACTGGTGGACGTGGCGGACGCGGTGGACGTCTGGCGCAACTCTTTGGCGGGCTCAACAAGCGCCTATTTGGTGGTGAGGAGGACTTGTCGTTGAAAAAGCGTGTTGTCGGCTCGAGAATCGTCGAGCGTGCACAGGCTGGCAAGTGGATTTAAATATCCCCTTCTCCCCATCATACCCACGGACTCTTGCATCGCTCGGACCAGACTCATTACTTATCCGCATCCGAGTTTTTTAATGTTGGACGCTTAGTTTAGCAATTGGCGATGTACTTATTTCAGCGACGAAATCGAATTGACAAGTCGAAAAAAATGTGCCCAATTTGTTGATCAGGACTGCATCTTCTTCTCCAGGAATGCAAGCCACTCGTCTTTGCCCCATGCGCTCTGTGGTTCCGGTGCAATGAGACCGTCAAAGAGGACGGTGGGTGAGAAGTGAACACTATTTTGACGGGAGTACTTGACTGCAATCTCGATTAGTATCTCCTTGTCGAATAAAACAGTGCGACTCACGGCAGTACTTCAACTCATCTGTCACACCGTGCCCTCCTCCTTCCTTGAGTGTGAGAATCTCCTTGACCTTGTCGACCTCGTCTTGCGTGAGGACTCCTTGCTTGAGGCCAAACTCTGCGATGGCTTCGCGCAACTGGACGGGCGAAAGGTTCGCAGTGGGCACGTCTGTAAACTCTGGGCGATGCTCAAAGAGCGTAGTAGCAAAGTTCCACCATTTGGAAGGTGCGACACGGGCGACGGCAAGCGAGACTTCATGCGCGATACTCGACGAGGGCCACCTATTCGATCGATCAAATCATTTCATTAGAGATATGTCCACGAAAAGTACTGACCATGGTTGAACCTGTGGCCGGAAGATGACCTTGACCTGATCGGGCCATTTCTCTGCGAGCAACGGCAGGATCACATTGTTGAGTGTCTTGGCAGATCTTACGGAGTGTGTGCACACGAAACAGTAGAAGAACTCGAGCGTGCGTGGTGCACCCGCCGAGCCAGCGATGCGAAACGGTGTCAGCGAAGGTTGGAGAGCCATCTCAGTCGTTCAACGTTCGTCTTGGATTTTCTTCTAAATCTCTGACAAGTTTGCAGGGTCGTAGAGTTGATCAAGATGTTGTCATATTTCGACGAAGCTTATAAGTGGGGTGGCTGACACTCCTCCGACGGAAGACCAGCAGGCCACCGGTCGGATCTTTGTAATTTCACTTCACATTCTTCGAAAAGAATTCAGACCAGTCTTTCTCTCCCCAAGAGCTCGAGACGTCATTGGCTATGAGACCATTCCAGACCACCGTCGGGCTGACATGGATTGAGTTTTGTCGCGAGTATTTGACTGGATGGCGTCAAAGGGCACCAATGGAAGAGGAATAGAGACTCACTGCAAAGCTTCAAATCATCCGTCACCCCCACACCCCCATTCTTCGCGCCCCCATCCGTCTTCAAAGTCAGCATCTCTCTGAGTTTCTCGACCTGCTCGTCCGTTAAGCCTGCACTAGTCTTTGCTAGCTGAACGAGCTTGGTACGAATCTCATTGGGTGTCTGGGTAGAGGTCGGCACGTCGTAGTATTCCTCTTGGGCATTGAACAAGGCGAGGCTAAATGACCAGTACGCATCTGGGGCCACTTTTGCCACCGCCAGCCCGGCTTCGTGGACGAGCGTCGATGAAGAGTGCCCTATCCATATCAGTCGTGGATCAAAGACAAAGGATGGTGCAAGTACATGGCTGCGGATGTGGTCGGACAATAATCTTGACTTGCCCAGGATACTTGTCCTGAAGGAGTGGCTTGACGATGCTGTCGACAGCCCGCGCCGATTTAGCACTGTATGGGCACACATAGTCCCAGAAGAACTCGAGAGTATGCGCGCTCTCGGGACTACCAGCGATCATCAGTGGTGCAAGCGACGGTCTGAGGGCCATTTCTAATCAGTCTTTGAGGTAATTCTGTCTCTTATCTAGTCAGTACTTCCGGCTACGTTGGCAATCCCGAGTGCAATACTTGGCTGGGTGATCAGATATCGTCGTCCTGTGGCGGTCAGGTTCAAAATGCGTCATCAGCTCAGAGTTGGTTCCGAAGAGACATTAAATTTAGACGATAAAGGACTACAACCAAGTAGGGAGATCACAATCCAACGAACCAGGAACTTGTCTCGCAGTCGATTTGTGCGAGGACGAAAGCGCAAGAGAAGCAGCGGGCTCCAATGCCATCAAAGTTCGCTCCCGAATAGGTTTAGGGGATGAAGGAGAGTCCGTTTCAGAGTGTCTTTCGCGAATGTAATATGGCGTGAGCATATCCATAATCTCCGGATCAGGAGGGGACATTTTCTTCGGTATATCTCGCCCTTTGAACGCCAACTCATCGTCTAACTGCCCCAGGTTTCTGAGAAACTCGCCAACTCCCGCAAGGGAGACGCGAACTTCCCAAGAACCTCCTTCCTGCAAGACGGTCAACAGGTGGCTCGTTCACATAAAATATACAGACCTGCATGGTCCTACAGAGCGCGGCAGTAATTCCAAATGCTAAAAGATGACCAGCTGCATGGTCGAGACACTGCACAGGAAGCGTTCGTATAGGTCTTTGGTCATGGCTCGAGCGTTGGCTATGGCACTCCCAAGCCGCCCCTTCGGCGGCATTGAATCCTGTAGCAGCTTGAACGAGCGAGTCAAACTGAATTAGGCATCAGTCTAAAGAGTTTGGACTAGGGAGAGGGTTACACACCGCCCGCTTCTCGGCCCATGGACCATCACACCCATAACCCCTCAAATTTGCCACGACGATCCCTGGTCTGCGTTTCGCAAGACTCGCAGGATCAAATCCACGTCGCGCAAGACTACCAGGTCGGTAAGACTGCAGGAACACGTCGCATCCATCTACCAAATGCTGCAGAGATTCGACTCCGTGGTCGCTATTGAGATCAAGCTGCGCCGCTCGTTTCCCACGAGATGTATCGATATCTACGACTGGGATAGAGGGAAGATTGGGTGAAGTGATCCATAGCACGTCGGCACCAAATCTGGCCAATGACCTCCCAGCGATAGGTCCGGCAAGCACACGTGTCAATTCAAGCACACGCACGCCATCCAAAGGCATAACCCTATTACTATTGTGCCCCGAAAAACGACGAACCGGTGCATCCCCAATCTTGACGAGTTCGATGGGAAGGCGAGCACGCAGGGTTTGTGCCTGGGGATGCCGATCCCATTCGTCGAATGTGCGTACTGCAGCAACACACATGCCAGCTTTTGTGGCTTCCTCTTCGAATGTTAATGCATCTTTCTCCAGTAACGCGTTTGCGACCACTGCTCGAGTAGGATTCGCTATGTCCAACAGGTGTAATATACCCTTGCGATGGCTGGAAGCACACATGAGATAAAAGGAGATATTATGTATAAACATACTGGGGAAAGTTTGTGTGAATTCTCACATGCCCGTCTCTCGTTGGATATAAGCCTGCCAAATCATCCCATACTTCGGTCGGAGGCTGATCGTCCATGAGCGTATACTGCTCAGAAGCTGTCAAGTCATTGAGTCTATGTTTCTTCATACACTTTGGACGGACCAAAATTGAGCAACGCCTTTCTGGCATCAACCTCGACCACCGGCCGATGTCCATCTCCATTTTCCGACGTCCTTAACCCATAAAGAGCACTCGCTGAAAGACCCGCGAGTGCTGTCGTTGTCTGCGCAAGGTGTCCAACTTTAAACGACGACTTTGCAGCCATATCCGGGTCGCCAGTCAACAACAACTCCGGAAATATAGATTCTGGCAGTCCAACGTGGTTCCAGAGCTGTTTAATGCTCGTACGCACGGCGAACAATGCAGTTGTTGTGTTCATACTTGGATGGATGAGTCACCATGATAGTCCCAAGCTTTGATGGGCACTTGCTATTTCAAAAGCTCGATAAAGGCAACCAAATCCTCCACCGCCGGATAGAGTCTATAGACGCGAGGTCCTAAACTTGGACGACCCCAGACTGTCCTCTGAATCAAAGTCAGGGGTACAAAAGAGCCCCAAAGATACAGCGCCTCACTTCTCTTCTGTCCTCATCGCACTGCCCTCCATGCGGAACCACGAAGAGATGCCCGGATGGCCGCAGCTATGATGTACGTTATGTAACGCGACAAAATATAAGACCGTAAGGAGAGCTTCCAAGAAGCCATTGCCCAAAGAACCGCAATGCTCGCCCTACTTTACCTCGCTCTCGTTTCCTTACTCTCCCTGACGTCGGTGCATGCACAGACCGCTGGAACTATAACCGCACCTTCTCAAGGAGCAAAAATCATGCCTCTACAAAGTTTCCCATTCTCATACAAGATCCATCAAGACTATTGCGTACGTAGTTCGTTCGGCCCGCTTCCTTCGAGCTGATATACCATCATCTAAATATAGACGTCTTCTCACAATATCACCGTCCAGCTCACCACCAAAGCGCTTGATTCAGGTGGAACAACAGGGAATACAGGCCACTACTTTGGTAGATTTGCCACGGGCAGCTATCCGTACCAAGGTCAGCGACTCACCAATGGCACCTAGCCTTGCTAATCAAAGTATTTATAGGCCTCCCAAATCCAAACCCACCTGTTCCGAGTTCCCTCACCATGCCAGACTTTTCAATGGCACCTGGGGGCTTTGGGACCGGCGCAACGGCGTCCAATCTCCCACTTTATCTTCACGTAATTGAAGAGTGGAATACCTGCCAAGTCAGTCTCTCATTCCTTTCATTGCATTACAGAGCTAACAGAAACTACAGCCGACAATTGGCAACAATATCTTCGTCAGCACCGTCCAGGTGTTCTACAATTCCACATCGTAAATACATCTTCGGGCTTTGAGCCTCGGACATTTATTGGACGCTTAAACTTTGGACGATAACCTGTAAATAAACTATGAACAGGTACATATTTGCTAGGGCATCTTAGACTAGCTATGCATCGTCCTCTTCTCACCCACGAGTACGCATATGCATCCCATTAGCACCTGAATAATTATCATCACCAAGGAATAGGTGACGCGAAAGAGAATACAACCTTCGCTTGCGTGACACTCCGCTGTTCAGGACCGTATTCCCTGGTGATCAAAGTACGCTATATCGACCAGCAGTCTGGTTCGGTCCACGAACTTCCGCCTGCATAGCTTGCGCAGACGCCTCGATGAGAAGTCGCTTAATCTCCCTGACAGCTTGTTCGACCTGGGCACATCGTGAATAGAATTACTAGTAAGAGTTTTCAGAACGTACCCTAAACTCGTCATTGGACTCGATGAGCAAGTGAAGTTTCGGTGGCCCTTCTGGCGGTGGCTCCTTTCCGTGCTCGTAGAACACGCCCTTGTTCGTTACAGACGCACCCGTAGCCTCGATCAACTAAGCCCCAGAGCATTAGTAAATAATATACGGCGAGTTTAACAAAACCTACCCCGCTCATCGTCTCCTTGTTCGTTACCTTCCATCGCGCCTTTTGAGGGTAATCGTTGATCGGAATGATTGCATGGAAATCTGTCGCGTCTGGATCCTTCTTCCTCGCCGCTGCCGCTGCATTGTCCAGTGAGATTCCACCCGAACCACCCAGCTTGGCAGCCAATAACTGCGCGTTCAACTTGGTGATGACGTTCATGGCTTTGCGGTATTCGGGGCTGTTCTTATCCTGCCGTTCCGCCTCTGCTTGCATCGCCTTGATTTGGTTTTGCATATTCTTCTCGTCTTGTTGTGCCTTTGCCGCACGCGCGCTCGCAGACAACAAGAGTGTGTTCGTCTTGAGCGTGTCTGGCGCAGGTCCACGACGAATCTCGACTTTGAAATCACCGAAAGTCATCGGGTCTTCTTTTCCTTCCTTGTCCGCACCGCCAACATCTGCTGCCTTGTCCTCGACTTTGCCGTCTTCGCGTTCACCATATACAGTGCGTTGAACCTTGTCCTTCTCTTCACGGTCTCGATCAAGTTTGTCCAGACCCTTGCCACCAAAGCCCGAACTTGCCTGCTTGGCATTTCCGCTCTTCACTTTCTCCAGGAATCCATTCGCCAAAGCCTCGAGCTCTGGAGGTACTTCGGCGTTACTTGCTTTGAGAGCACGGAATATGTCGACGGAATAGCGCTCCTGGTCCGGCGTGATGAAAGTGATGCATGTCCTTGTTCCCCGCTCGTCCGGTACGTCCTGCACGGTGAACATAGTCCTCCATGTGATTCGGCGCATCGTAGTTGATTACGACCTTGAGTTGCTTGACGTCTAGTCCGCGGGCTGCAACCGACGTTGCGATCACGATGGTGATAACACCGTTTTTAAAGTCGGCGATCGTCTGGTCTCGATCGACTTGGTCTTTTCCACCGTGGAGAGTACCAGTCATATAATTCTTTTTCAGCAGATCCTTCATCAAGTTGTCCGCGTGCTCTTGCCGGTCAACAAAGACGAGAATTCTAGCGTTCTGGTCGTCGTTCATCTGTTCGCCAAGAATCTGCAGCAAGCGATTAAACTTGGTGTCTTCGGTGCGAACCTCGACAAGCTGCGTAATTTCGGGCGCAACGACGCTTCGACCACCGACCGTGATTTCCAACGGCTTGTTGAGAATTTTGCGAGCGAGCGAATCCATTTGCTTTGGAAACGTCGCGGAGAAGAGCACGGTCTGTCGATCCGGTCTAATATTATTCACAATCTTCATGACCTAGCAAACTGTTCAGAAACGCATTTTGCGTCACAGAAGAGTACTCACCTGTGGTTCGAAGCCCATGTCAAACATTCGATCCGCCTCGTCCAACACAAGGTATGTGACCCGCTTGAGATTAGTCACTCGACCAGAGTTGGCAGTAAGAAGGTCAATCATACGACCAGGAGTGCAGACAATGATTTCAGCACCCTTTTTGAGCTCGGCGATCTGATCCTTGATAGGAGATCCGCCGTATGCACAGACAGCCTAGATCAAAGTGAGTCCTCACTCTTTCAGGTCAATGGAAATGCGCACCCTGAGGTTCAAGGCTTTCAGGAATGGCTTGCACTCTCGATGTATTTGAACGGCAAGCTCTCTCGTCGGGGTCATTACGAGCGCCATGGGGCCTTCCATTTGCTCCAGTGGCCGTTGGTCCTTGATCTGTCGGAACAGTGGGAGCAAAAACGCAATCGTCTTTCCGGAACCAGTTTTGGCCACACCAATGATATCTCGACCAGACATGATGGCAGGGATCGCCTGAGCCTGGATTGACGTAGGAGCTGTATAGTTCAACTTTTTGATGACTTCGAGGCTGTTGAACGGTCAGTGCTACGCTTGACGGCCAAAGTAAACATACCAGCTAGCCGGAAGGCCACATTGACTCCATTTCATGACTGGATAAGGGCAGTCTACTCCACGAATCTTGATGCCGTCTAGCGCGAGTCGCAGGTTTTCTGCATCTTGTTCTGTCATCTCTGCGATATCTGGCGTGGGGTGATAGAAAGCTTTTCGGAAAGGCTCGTATGTAACCTTTGAGTGGTCCACTACGGCGACATCCTTCTTTTTTATCTTCTTTGCTGCCAAACTATGAAGAAACTATCAGCAATGCACCGGATAGCCAGAACGTACGCACGCCATAATTTCTTCCGGATTGAGATTTGTCGCGTCAATCTCGTCCACGACAGAGGTCTGTGCAGCGGCTGGTTCATTGTCTTCACCATCATCCACCCTGGCACCAAGTCGACTTTGTTTCTTTCCATCAGCACCATCAACGTGATGTACCTCCTGAATGACACCAGACATAAACGCATCGAGTGGGTCTTCCTCTTCCTCTTCATCAACATCCATCTGGACCGCAGGCTTTTCGGTGACCTCGTCATCGTCGTCTGCGGCTTCCAAGTTTTCTCCAACACTCTCTCCGCCTTCTTCCATGGTCAGGTCAACGTCTGGCATGTCCCCAAGCTTCTCGAGTTTGCGGGTCGACTCGGTAAAGTCGTCCATGGCGCCTCCAGCGAGCATCTTGGTCTTTGCTGCATTCTTGACGAGATCCTGTTTCAAAGGAAGACCCTTGAGTCCAAGAGACGCGAGTGCATTGCGGTTGATAGCACCCGTAGGTTTCGAAGGAAGGAACGAAGGTTTGGTCACTAGAACAAAGAGCAAGTGATGTGAAATCTTGTCAACGCGTAACGTAAACGATTCACTCACCAGAAGAGCCTGTTGCTTTGCCTGCTAGAGCCATAGCTTTGGCCTTTGCACCATCCAGCGCCTTTTGGGCCTCACGTTCCCGCTTCCACGCTGCCAACCTGGCCTGTTTCTGGGCTTTTGCATCATCCTCTGTCGTCGTAGCGGTGGGTGTACCAGGAAGAGCAGTTGGTGCAGGCTTAGAGGGAGTTCCGTTAGCAGAAGTTCCGTTCATGGGCGTAGTATCCCCACGCGGCGGGCTACGTGGACGCGAATTGGGCTTTGATTGATCCTTTATTGGCGTTTCGTAGCGTCTGTCGCGGGATCGTGAACGTGAACGACGCGGTGGTCTGTCCTCCCGACTCCTATCGTGCTTGTCTCCACGGTGTCTGTCGCCTCGATGCCGGTCATATTCTCTACTCCTATCTCGTCGTCGATTGTCGCGGTCATAGTCCATGCTGTCCCTCGAGTCCCGCGGGCGATCGTAGTCATAGCGGCTTGAATGCTTTGTGGGCCGCCTGGTCGGCGAGGGCGAGTGTCTCGAGTATGAAGAGTGCTTACTTCTCTTTCGACTGTAATCAGGAGAAGGAGAACGGGATCGTCGTCCGGGCATACTCGTCGAGGTCGAATCCAAGTTTTTGCGGACCCTTTATGTCAGCGACAGTTTATACAGACGCAACTATGTCATTCAAACAAACGAATGCAAATGTATTAAATAATGATACGACCAATCTTCTCCCACAGATTTCGTGGTGGCATCTCCGGTACCTCCGTTTCTGCAATAGTCGGAATTCCGGTTATAAAGTCTATGTCCTCCGAGCGCCAGATTCCGGTTCGGTGCCACCACTTCCAGCCAAAGTAAAAGGACAGGAAGAGTGGAATGTTTATATCTAGTCATTAGGTCAATAACCATCCCTCCTATGGCCGACAACGCACAGTATGTGATGAATTTGGATGTGGTGAAACGGAAAAAGACATCAAACCCTTTGGGTGGTTAATAAAGTCGACGTCACAGAAGGTGAGCGCACCATTGAAAAGAATAAAGACCGCCGTCCAGAAGAGACCCCAGTAAGAGAGCCACGGTTGTAGACTCGACTTGTAAATGAGCTGTAACAGGTTAGCATGAGTAACGAAGCAATCTCTTGCTCACCTGTTGACGATCGATATTCTGCGCCTCCATTCCTCGATCTGGGATGGGTTAGATAATAGAAATCCCCTGTGACGGAGACCACTCACAGAATGCAATGTATGCAAGATTAATGGCTGGTCATGTTGTCAATGTAGATTCAAAGGAAAGCAAACATACTCACAGAACCAAGCACCGTACCCTCCCGTTGTCGTCAAATTTACCATCCAGTTAAAGAAGGTAGCACTTCCGGAGCGCAAGGTCATGAAGCTAAGGAGAGCCGCTCCGCTCTGCAAACTATTGAGTATTGTCAAAGCTTGTGAGGGTCAGACTTACACATGCGACAATGGAGACTAGTGGAAGGCCAGTGCGTGTACAATATGTAAAAACTCGAGGCGCTTGTCCGCGAAGAGCCAGACCTAGATAAAGTTAGCAACCGTATGAGCCCGGACAAGTGACGGACCATAGAGAACCTATTGGAGGCGTCAGCAAATGTATAATAATGGTCGGGGGCGTACTCGGGAGGCAGAATAAAGAAAGGCAGCGCCGGAGGAAAAGGCAGACAAAAAGATACCAGCATTGACGACATGTGGTAGACCCTGTGATCATTTAGCAGTGCGATATGTGCGCATTGTGTTACTGACCTTGATGCCCGCTATCTTCATAGCAATCACGAAAGGGCTTTCAGCCGCATTACCCGTTTCCTTGAGCTGGATACGAGTGTCAGAGAGAGTCGACGAGTCTACGTGAGACGTACCAAGTCGGGGTGATTCGACGGCACCGTCCAGCCAATCACCAGAATGCTAAGCATGTACAAGGTGATAATCTTCCAAAACACACGACGAACGGCGATGCCAATGTTCCGTCGCGGACTTTCAGTCTCTGCTGCGGCAACAGCGACTAGCTCAACGCCTTGGAATGTGAAACTAGCCTGGATGATGACACTAAAGAGACCTAGAAAACGCCCCAGTCCACCTGGTTTGAGATACTCGTTCATTGCTCCCGGGTTGTGCCAGGTACGGAAACCGCGCCCTGTATATAATCAGAACGCTAGATCATTGGTTCATGATGGCTTACTGTCGTGATCTGGTCCTCCTCCAAGATCAATGATCAAACCGAGCATAATCTACGGAAATATGAGAACCAGTGGCGAGCAATAGGAGTTTCTTACCAAGCCAATGATCAGAGTAATCTTGATCATTGACATGACAAACTGAACGAGCTCTGTCAGATTATGATCTGCATACAGGCGCTCAACGTACTTCGGTTTCACCAAAGTATCTGACGGCTGCCAAAGGTCAGATGTCTTAATAAGCTGTCCAAGGAGCTGACTTGCCAACTAGATTGACAAAGATTGTGACGGCGACGAGAATTGCAGTGTAAAGTACATGACGACCGGGACTGTCATCCCAGAAAGTCAGAACAATCTGAGCCGCAGTAATTTCGCTTGGAACCGTCAAGAGGTTGGTGTAGAAATAATTCTACTGAGGATTAACAGGCTGTCTCGAGCAATGTGAGCGCTCTCACCCATCCGACGGCAAACCCGAGAGCAGGATCAACGAATCGACTACAGAAATGAGGAAACGTCCCTGATACCGGTGCGAACGAGGTCATCTCGCCGACGGCGCAGAGCGTCGCATACGCTACTGTGCCGACGTGAGCGTATGCAATGAGAGTGCTGAGGGACCAGCTTGTTGGATTGCGTGTCCTGATCCGAGTAATAACCCAGTTCCTATTGTGCCGGCAATGGCCAACCTGTCAAATACCGTGAGTCCAAAGGACATTGAGGGCGCGGAGGGATTGACATTTGTGCATGACGTTGACCAAGCCTTCGTTGTACACAGTCTAAATCTTCGACGTGAAAGTACGCTCGACCGTTTTCGTACGGGAGCGATTCGTCGATGCCACCATGGTCTTCTCTGCCAAGTTCACTGCTGTTGAGGGTGTTGAACTGATGTCGCTTCAGGTATCCATCGTCCAAAGGAGTAGCCATTGTCGACGAATAAGAGTAAACGAGTGAAGAGCTACAGGTAGACGTCCTGCAGAGGCCGACAAGGGAGGTTCAGAGATGCCTATTGAGCCCGAAGGCTGCGCAGAGTCGTTTTATTTTTGATTGTGAGAGGATTTTAGTGAAGCACAAGGTGCCATGGGAGAAGAATATCTCTGGGAAATTGGCTGCGAAGCGACGACGCACAGCTACCGGAGAGCCGGTCTTTCGCATGTTTAGGATCATCGAACAGGTTGCTATCTGCATCTTGAGATGTTGATCAACTTTCGTCTGAAAAAGCGCTGACGAAGTGGGAGATCAACTTGGACCCTGTCACTCCAAACGACGACTTATCTCTGACAAATTCACGAAAAATGACAAGGCTGACACTCAAGCCAACATCCATATTGCAACACATCCTCCTCGTTCTTCCAGGTGGCCAGCCACCCCGCTCAGCTGCTGACGCATTCGCGGCGCTCATTCATGCCGTCAACGCCACACTCGGTCTACAGCTTGTAGGCACAAACGAGAACGCATCAACGGTCTCAGGGGACGGTTCAGATGTATTACCCGCGCAATGGAACGCGCGTTCGCCCGACTTTGTGTTCAAATATCGCGAGCCGACCTCACACGAAACAGTCCTGATCAAAATAATGAAGCTTGGGAGTAAAACTCAGGTTCATTGCATACTCGAGCAGGTACGCGCTCCGTTTCCCGGCCCAAGTTCACACCACTCGCTTCTCACCGTGCCGACTGACCGGTTCACCCAGACCGAAAAATCTTCATCCATGGAGATTACTACGACGGAGTATGTGTCACCCTCATTCTTCCAAACAGAGCAAATCGAACAAGAGTCGCTGGTCCACGGATACGTTTCGTCAGAGCGACTCTCTGAGCTCATCGCCCAATATATCAAATCTGTCTTGAGGCCTCTTCTTCCTGATCTGAATTATGAACCACATTCCCGATCGCCTAGCCCGTGAGTACTCACACACTCCTGATGCTACTTCTAACGCTGTTTCAGGGCTCCTCCAAGCACAGAAGGCTCAGCTCCGGCCAGGCATCGTCCATCGGAACCTGAATTTGAGCCTCCACCACGAATTGACCAACCTTTTACACACCCCTCAAGGAGCGACAACCCGTTGGAAGTCGGACGTAGCGACCTCGATCCCATTCCTAATCCATTCGCCGGTCGCTCGCCTATTCAACCGCTGAACCCAGGCGGTGGAATGTATGTCGGCCCAGGTCATCCCATGTTCACTCAACCAGGCGCCCGAGGACCGCCTACTGGTGGGCCATGGGGAGGAGATGGATATCTGCCACCCATGGGTGCACCACCTGGAGCCCGCTTTGACCCCATCGTGCCATTTGGAGCTGGAGGAATCGGCGGCTTCCCTGGGCGTGGCGGACCGGGAGGAGGGCCATTCGGACCAAGAGGGCGAGGTCAGTTCTCTGGAGAGCCAGATAATGACGAGTTCCTCCCACCTCGTTTTGGAGGAGGTAGAGGTGGTTTCTCCCACGATGATATGTTCATGTAAGTCGACCTAAATGTTCCATCAAAATAGCATGTAAATCGAGTTGTATATAATCTACGCATTTTAAAGCGCTCTGTTATCTCCTTTAGTCCCATTTGCTTGCGGCGCGACAAAGCCGCAGTTTGATTATGGTGGCTGACGCGACTGGCCACGCTCGCTACGAGACGGCGACCGGAGCGCTGCAAATATACATGACAACGTATCGCCGATAATCTATTCACCAGTGTACAGCTCAAGTGTGTCCTGCCTAAAAGTACAGCCCATGCTCAGCCACAGGCGCGCTCATAAATGAAGCTTCCTCCATCACCCTGAGACCTTTTCAAGAAAAAGCAACCTCCCGAGAAACTTATGAGTGCACGAGATCGACGACGACTAGCTCTGCCAGTGAACCCTGACCACCTGTCGAGAATGGGAATAACACGGAGAGGTTCACTGGACGCACTGAGTCCAACATTGCGTTGTAACGTCGAGGTGATCGCCTCTGGAAAGGGTCACCGTGCAACTGCCATTGTCCCTCGGCCAGCTTCGCGGAGGGCACCTTCGTGTGACACGATTGTTTCACCTGTCGCATCGAAAGAGAATGGCGGAAAAGTATCAAATTTTGATCCACCTAGAGAAGAGGACGACCTCATTCTGGCACCCGTCGAGGGGAGCAACCTTCCTAGACCAGCAAGAGTTCATCGAAAAGGCCATGTCAAGAAGAATGCACCAGAGCGTTTCTATGTCAACGCTCGAATGAGAGAGCAGTCTTCTCCAGTATCAGATTACTCCAATAGTCGCGAAGTCGAGGAAACTCCAATGAGTCCCGTGGTGGATCCTGGGGATGATGACTGGGTCACAAGTCCAACCGGAGTATCTGGAAGACATCGATATCCGTCCATCTTCGAGGACTATTACGGCGCAGGCTCTCCAATACCCGAAAGCCCACTTCACACGATTGAATCACTCAGTCTGTCCGCCAAAAGACAAGGAGTAGAGCGACAGACTACAGTCGATGAGCAGAATCTATGGGGAGAATTCTGGACAGATGCCATGCGACGACGTGCCACTGAGAAAAAGTCGAACAATGCACTCAAGCGAACGGACACGCTGGAAGTGTCTGCGCTTTTGAAGCATCGACGCCAGTTGGTAAAGGAAGGAAGAGGACGAGAGGATTCCATTATGGAAGAAGAATTGTAAAGGCCGAATGTATATCAAGAATCATGTTGCAGTTGTTGTAAAAGCTAGCTCGGGACCAAGCATAGTATTGTACTACGTGTTTTTCTACCATAGTGCAGCTTCAAGGATGCTTTCAGTTCGTTTAAAGTGTCATCGCGTTTGTCGGATCGGCATATTGCCGTAATAGCGGGAGCTCAAGATTTTAATTGCGGTACTCCGTTCTCTTGATCAGATTCGCAACCAAGAAATTAGCGAGCTTCTCTCAATATATTGAGCCAGGAGAATATGTCTAGAGTGGTCGGGACCAACTGAGTGGTATCGTCCTCTTGGAGCCCACCATGTCGAACAGCCATAAGAAAACTGCTCTAGAGGCGCTGGACGGAGCTATATTGGCTGCAAAGATCGCTAAAGCTACGGCGGAAGCGACAGATGTGGCACCATTGAAGTCTGCATTGGAAATATTGATAAATGTCATGGAGACTATTCGGGTACGTCATAAAAGCCGAATTCATTGATCAGGTCTGATAGAATGTAGACAGTGAAGACCAACAGGGAAGATTGGACAACCTTCGGCGAAGAATTGTCATCCCAGGTCATGGCTTTGCAGAAAGCTCTATCCCAGTGCAAGCCACCCCACTCGACTGCTATTCTTCAGTCGATCATCAGCTACGAAAAGTAGGCGACATCCCATCAGCGACCTTTGATCGCTGATAATGTCAAGCAAATTGAACATAGTGCAATCAAGAGTGCGTAACGCTAGCAGTAGAGGATTAATCAAGAGCATTCTTCGGTATCAGACAGACAAGGAGCACATTGCCGAGCTGCAGCGAGAAACCAGGAAATGTTGGGAAGAGTTTATGGTATGATTTGACTTGAATGATCTTCCCGCTACTCAATATCAATAGCAAGCGATCACAGTTCGAATTCACGAGTTTGCCCATGACATCAAGGAAGAGATGGAGGGGGCCCGCTTCAACAATCTGACACCTCTTCGAGACGCACTTGGCAATAGACATGATACATGCCTAAAAGGGACACGTGTCGATATTCTGGAAAGCATTCGACGATGGGCCACAGATTCACAGGCTCTCCCGATCCTATGGTTGACTGATGTCGCTGGTTCAGGAAAGTCTACTGTCGCCAAAACCCTTGCGATTGAGTGGAAAGAGCAAGGCCTCCTTGGAGGCTGCTTTTTCTTCTATGGAAACCAGCCTGAGACCGCCAAAAGTGACCACTTTTGCGAGACTCTTGCAGCTCAGCTTGGAAACAACCAACCTCAACTTCAGAATAAGATTATTCAAGGCATAAAAGATATCGGTCCTTCCCTCCTAATGGCGGCATTTGAGGAACAGTGGAATAAGCTTATTATCTCCGCCTTGGACAATACCACGATAATATTCGTCATCGATGGCTTAGACGAATGTAACGAAAGGGATAGAAAGACCATCCTTCGATCTCTTCGGGCATCCATTCCCCAAGAGGTTCGCAAGATGAAGGTTTTGGTTACAAGTCGTCCTGAAAACGACATTGCCCAATTTCTCGAGCCGTATCGTTCGCACACTGAAAGCCTGCACGACAAGAGACTCCAAGCTAATCAAGCAGATATCGCCGCGTATGTTAGGGGGAGATTAAATGATCTCATTCAGTCATCCGTTTTGCAACAAGCGGACGTCGAAATCCTCTCAGAGCGAGTCAAGTGTCTTTTCTTGCTGGCCAGCACGGCGTGCAACGCAATTGCAGACGCCAAGGCCCCTGACGCGATACTAAAGACACTTCTTGATCCCAAAAGGAATGTCCTTCAAGATATAAACAGACTTTATTCAACAATACTCGCCAAAGCATGCGGATCTACGCACTTGACAGGAACCGCGGCACACAAGGAACGAGAAGTGACAATGCGTGTGCTCGCGGCCATCATGGCTGCTATAACACCTTTGACAATTCCCTCCATTGACGCAATACTTGGAATCTCGGTCACAAATCGAGTCGTCAAATCGTTATCCAGTGTTCTCCTTGTCGAAAGTGATCAAACTGTCTTTGTAGCCCATCAAACTTTTACAGAGTATCTCGAAGACGATTCAGTTTCTGGGGAGTTTGCTGTTGACAGAGCGAGTGCTCATGTGTTGATGGCAAAAGGCTGTCTGACCGTGATGGATAAAGAGCTAATGTTCAATATTTGCAAGCTTAGCTCGTCATTTCTTCGTAACTTGGATGTCAAAGATTTCAGCCAACGAGTTTCACAATATATATCCACACAACTGCAGTATAGCTGCGTATATTGGCCGACTCACATTGCATACAGCACAAGATCTTTTGGCGATGAGGTGATCGAGCGAAAGCTTACTGAGTTTACGGAGCGGGGGCGCCTCTCCATTGGATGGAGGTCCTGAGTGCACTTGGTAGGGTGCCGGCAGCCATAAGGGGTTTGCAAGACATTGGCAACCAATTACCGGTCAGTGTATAATCTTGGTCGAAGGATCATAGCTAATTGTTCGCAGACGGGGGCTCTAAAGGACCGATTGGTTGATATAAGGCGATTCCTCATGGCATTCTCCGTGCCAATTTCCATCAGTATCCCTCACATCTATATTTCATCCATTCCATTCTCTCCAACAAACTCCTACCTCCGTCAATCTACTGCTGACCATTTGACTGTCATGTCGGTCTCAATCGGTTGCCCTGAGACATGGCCACAAGCACCATCAAGATGGCAAGGTCACACTTCGTATGTCAGCAGCATCGCGTTCTCTCCTGATGGGAGGCGTGTAGCTTCCGGTTCATGGGACGAGACAATCCGCCTTTGGGATGCAGAGACTGGCCAAACAATAGGTGAACCACTTCGAGGCCACTCCTCATGCATCACCTGCGTTGCCTTTTCTCCAGACGGAAGGTGCATCGTATCTGGGTCGTGGGATCGAACCCTTCGCCTATGGAATGTGGATAATGGATCACCTATAGGCTCACCACTTAGAGCGCATAGTCGCGAAGTGACTTGTGTCATATTTGCGTTCGATGGTTATTATATTTTCTCGGGCTCAAGAGACGAGACTATTTGCAGATGGGATGCAGACACGGGGCTGATCCTAGGCAAGCCTTTACAAGGACACGGGGCCGAGGTGACCTCCCTTGCAGTCACTTCAGATGGTTCTCTTCTCTATTCCGGCTCAAAAGATGGGATGATACGAGTATCAGACGCACAAAGAGGATATGCGGAAAAAACGACGTTCAAGATTGATGATGATGGCGGGATTTGCGCTCTCGTGCTCTCAAGGGATGATCGCCTTCTCATATCAAGCTCGGACAAGAAGATACAGTTGTGGGATACTGCCTTATACAGGCTCACTCGAGTATTGGAGCAAGATGGTGGCCTTGCTTCCATTGCTCTCTCTCGCAACGGGCGCCATCTGGTCTCGACCTCGTGGAAGTTTCTTTGTCTCTGGGATACAGAGACTGGTATTGCTCTCCAAACCCAAATGGCAGGTCACACGGGTTGGATAAACGCCGTAGCATTTTCACCTAGTGGAGATTTCATAGTATCTGGTGCAGATGATGACACCATCTGCCTATGGGAAACCAAGACAAGGAAATTGGTGGGAAAGCCATATAATGGTCATACCGAAAGGATTACTTGTATTGACATTTCACATAATGGACAATGGGTTGTTTCTGGGTCTTGGGATAACACCATTCGACGGTGGGACGCAAGGATGCGGGAGCCTGTGGGACAGCCACTCTGTGGTCATACTGGTAGGATACATAGTGTATGCGTCTCTTCTGACGGACGCTATATTGCATCGGGCTCAGAGGATAGAACGGTTCGGATTTGGAACCTACAAAGTGGAGAGCAGTTAGGAGAACCTCTCCGGGAACATAGTGGCTGGGTTTATTCTGTGGCATTCTCTCCCCGCGGAGATCGACTTGCGTCCTCCGGAGTTGCACGTATTCTCATGTGGGATACGGAAACTCGATCGCTCCTTAGAGAGTTTGAAGGACATAGCCAGCCCATACAATGCGTTGTCTTCTCTCCTGATCTGGACGGGCGCTATATTGCCTCTGCTGGATCCGACAGTTCGGTCCGTCTCTGGGATTCCGAAACTGGTGATGCTCTATGGAAGGTAGTTATGGGGCTAAATTCCCAAGTATACTGCCTTGCATTCTCACCAGATGGACGACGAATGCTTGTGGGACAGGACGATAATACGATCACCGAATTGAAGACAGAGACTGGGGAACGTACCATAGGACCACTTCAAGGTCATGGAAACCTGGTTGGCTCTGTGCAATACTCCCCTGGCAGCCCGTATTTCATCTCCGGGGCAGATGACGCCACTATCCGACTATGGCACGCAGAGACTGGCGACCTTATTGGACAACCGCTGCTAGGTCACTCTGGAAGGGTCAAATCAGTACGATTTTCACCAGATGGTCGCTTGATTTTCTCGGCTTCCGAAGACCTGACTATACGAATATGGGACGTGCAGATGGCTCTCAATCAGGGTAATTATATAATGTTGACAGGAAGAAATTGCTCACTTCGAATGTTCTAGGTGTCTCACACTTTAGGAATAGCGAACACAGGGTGGACTACGGGCGCTCTAATACTGTCACTGAACTTCTCGATGCGGTTAGTATGCACATCTTACCCTTGAAGGATGAGTCTAATGCGCCAAAGCTTTCTCATTTCACCCTCGGACCTCGAGACAATACAGATTGTTTGCTGTTAGAAGATGGCTGGGTCAACTGTGCAGAAGGGCTCATCTACTGGGCACCTCCAGAGAATCGTCATGGTCTACGATATCCAAACCATCTTGTGATGCCGAAGGACAGCCCTTTCCGCCCAACTTTGATCGAGTTTACCAACTTTCACCATGGTATGGAATGGACTGAGTCCTGGAAGGAGTAACTTGACCTCGATGATGTTTTTTTCATATCAAATACTGAAAATTAAATACAGCTTTGCCTCTATTTTGGCTTTATATATCACCTAACCCGTGAATGAAGGCCTTTGCAAGTTCACCTAATTCTTCAGAGTAACCACCTTCCAGTAGTGCCAAGGTAGGAAGTCCGAGGCTCCGAATGCGAGCTCCTATCGTCGTGTAATCCTCGCAGTCGAGTTCAAACCCACCTAAGACATCCTTTCTATACGTATCAAACCCCATACTCACGACGAGGTACTTTGACTTCCACTCGTTTTTAATTTTCACACAAGCCTCCTCCAGCAAAGCAAGGTACTCCTCCGTTGTCGATTTCGGACGGGCGAGGAGTGGAAGGTTACGATTAAAGCCTTGGCCCTCCCCTGCACCGCACTCGTCTTCGAATCCTGTATAGTATGGGTATTCTCCTTTACCATGTATGGATATATAGGCGGGTTCGCGACGAGTATACGTGAGTGCTTGTGTGCCATTTCCATGATGGAAATCTAGGTCTAGTATAACAACTCGACTCTCCCTTTCTGGTCTGTCACTCTTTTCTCCCGCCAAAGTCAATCGTGGTCCAAGCTTCGACAGTAGAGCGTCGGCTGCGATAGCTGCATTATTAAAGTAGCAATATCCGCCGGCGAGATTTCGACATGCGTGGTGACCTGGTGGGCGGGTGAGTGCAAAGATGATGGGTTTGCTTGATTGCGATGGGCTCTCAAGGAGCATGTCGACGCCTCGTATGGACAGTCCAGCGGCCGCCACGGTGCTTTTGAACGTATCCTTTGACATCCCAGCAGAGAGGTCAAATGAGTAGTATCCCATATGTGCGAATGGGTCTTCTGGGAGGCGAAAGCGAGACATCCCTTGGTCGTCCTCGGTTGTACTCTGATCGTGAGACTTGCTTATGCTGAGTAAAGAGTAGTGTGGGAAGCATTCTGGAAGTACACATCCGTCTTGTTCAACAGCTCCACTTGCGAGAAAGCGTTCAAAGATTGTCTGGATATGGCGAATATAGTCGTTAGAGTGTATTCGAGAGATGTAGTCTATGATTTGGGCCTGATTCCCCTCAGTTGACATTTCGACAAGCTCGCAGCTATTGTCAGAAGTGAGTGCACCGAGGATACGATGTATGCGATCCGGAGATTCATGTGCATCAATGACCTTATGAGCAATAACTTCAACCGAGTGGTGTAGGAGCGTATCCAGATCGTAGAGGATAACAGGCTTAGGCATGGTTGGGTCCAAATGTTGGGGTTGGTAGCGAGTATTCAAGAGGAGCCTCCTGTGCACAAGGGCAACACAGGACTGTAGCTCTCTCGAGAAACATCAGTGAAACTCTCATATAGAGCCTAATGGGTCCTCCTAGCTCACGCTACCAGGCTGCGAGGCAGCAATCCACAGGAAAGTGCGTGATTTTTCCCATGCACGCATCTATTTAGTGAGTCATGGCATGCTTTCGGTGATAATCCTGGACCGAAATGACCCTGATGTCGAAGCGGGCCAACGGGATGCTCTTCAGAGAGATCTTCTCAGTTCTCCTGGCATTTGACTCGTGGGCTCGTAGTCATTATAGAGCTAGTTCGATAAGTTCAGATAAAGTATCTTTACTGTGCTCTAGGACAGTGACATGAGTAAGGCCAATTCATCGGTCCTTCTTCTCTTGCAGGGTCTTTCGTGTCTCCGAGTCATCCCTGATTGCCAGTATAACGTAGCTGATTAGAATGATATTTGCGGAAACGACCGCCGCGACAGCAGGATAAATCGTGTTACCTGCGTCAGGTTGTCAAATAAATACCAAGACATCAAGGTGGACATACCAGGGGTAAGATACCATTGTGTGCCAAAGTATGCACTTATAGGAACCACCGCAAGCGAGACACTGAACACTAGCAACGTTGTGATGACACCGCTGCCCTTGAGAGTGAGTCAACATTAAAGTATTTCGACAAGACAAACCTTTTTTCCGTCTGGTTCGCTATCTTTGCAGCTGCCGCATGCTCGCTCATGATAGCCGACTCCAAGTTTTGAAAGTAGTAACAAACCAAACTTGACCTTGTCCAGCATCATTATTTTCCCCTTGGTCCATGGAGCCGGCTTTGGATGGAGGCTCTACTTCCTCGTCGAGACATTCGAAGCGTTTCTCGCAGTCATTGACGCCAACTGGTTCGGGCTCTCTACGTGTTCGCAAGCCGTCGAACGCCAGCGGCGGTATCCATAGTGGAAGCATGCATAAAGTGATTCCAGACAGTATACATACCTATGGAGAGGGAATAAAAGCTGTCAAAGAGAAGGATAGCGAAAGAACGTCCCTGTCGAACGTCGACTGGGATTTGCTCGTTGTCGGCACGGTCATCAAACTATTGCTATTTCCTGCATAGCGAGTACTTGTTTCCCATGGCAAATCTTGAACTGACTCGTCTGTAGCCGGTCGACCGACTTTGAGGTTCATAGGAATTGGATGGCAATAACGAATAGTCTGCCACTCTCTCAGTGGTACTACGAGGTAGTTTGATTTCATATAATCAACAGTCTTATTGACACAAAGATAGGCCACCTCTGAGTGGAGTAGGTTGCACATGTTCTAAAGCGTCGCATCTGACGGCCCTCAGCGCTCGATTACCCACCATTCTTCGCTTACTTTGAATACCTATTGTCGATACCGGCATCATTCATCGATTCCCAGATGCTCAGGGTGCAAAATCTTGGCTACGACGCCTGGACCGTTGTAGCATATCAACGAACAACCGTCATCGTCACTGAGCTAGTTATGGCTCTCGCACTGCGCTCGTAAGGCTGGAACCCATTCTTTGGCCCTTCTAATCCATAATACAGCTTTATTCCCAAAAGTATTCACCCTAATATCCAACGCATCATTTCTGCATCGCTATTCTTCCACCCGGGATTCCTGATTGTCGATCATATTCACTTTCAGTACAACGGCTTTATGTTCGGAATTCTCCTTTGGTCAATTCTGATGGCTCGTAATGTATGAGCATCACCGTTTCCCACTTCACTCTAAAGTCCTTGTAGGATCACAAGTTACTAAGCGGAATCCTGTTTGCTGTACTGCTCAACTTTAAGCATATCTATATGTATATCGCGGTATGTATATTTCCTTCTCTCCTGGGGATCTTGCTGAGGTCTCAAGCCTGCATACTTTGTCTATCTCCTGCGGTCCTACTGCATGACGCCAAACGGTGTGTTCATGCTCGCATATAGGTGTTGCTAACGTTGAACAGGCACCATTTCGATACCGTCGTTCCTTCGACTTGCTCAAAGTGTGCTTGCAGTGTTTGCGGTTTCCTTTGGACCATTTATTTGGCTCCGTCAAGTGCCACAAGTGCTCTCGCGCCTCTTTCCCTTTACTCGCGGTCTGAATCATGCCTATTGGGCACCAAATGTTTGGGCACTTGTGACTGCGTTGGATCGCGTCCTTCTCAAGAGTACGTTCTAAAAAGGCGTAATGAGTATGTGCTGACGAACTCCAGTCATCAAAATGCGAAAGATTGATTTCGAGGTCGACACTTCTGCTGTAGACTCTACTTCGCGAGGTCTCGTCGGCGATACGAGCTTTGCTGTAATCCCAAACGTTAAGCCCATTCATACGTTTGCCATCACCATTGCATTGCAGACGGTAGGTACATACTTTTTCCCACCAGTGACTTATCCCGCTGCAGGTGTTCCTGGTCAAACTATGGAGAAACCCGACATACAAGTCCTTTGTTGCTGCGATCACACTTTGTGGATATGTCTCGTTCCTTTTCGGATGGCATGTGCACGAGAAGGCAATATTACTTGTACTAGTGCCTCTCAGGTGTGTTTGGCGAAAAGCTAGAAAGTTTCACGCACTCACGTATTGCAGTCTTCTTGCTGGAGAAAGACATAGCTACTTCCGAACCTTTACAATTGCAAGCGTCGCGGGCATCTTCTCCCTTTTCCCCCTCCTATTTACGCCTGCAGGCAAGTTTTGATCTTACGTCTGACTAGGAGGCTGATCGTGTCCTAGAAACTATCATCAAAGTCGTGTACTCCATTCTCTGGTGCATCCTGGTCCTGTCACCCCTTTCAAAACAATTATACGAGTACGTCTTGATTTTCCTAATCCCTTCCACTATGGCTCACCAAGGCGACCTGTAGATTTCCCTCCGGAGTCATCGCTGTCGCCACGGACATCCTCGAACGAGCATACCTCTACGGTTTCATCCTCCTACAAGTCTTTGTCTCTCTTTACCCCGTTCTCACAAAGACACGCGCTCAGGCTGGAGACACGGCTGCAGAGTCCCTATCCAAGCTCGAGTTCCTGCCGCTCATGGTCACCAGTATCTATTGCGCCATCGGGGTCATCTGGGCCTTTTTGCGATTCTCGTGGTTGTACCTCACGGAGAAGTATTGACGAGGCGGGTTGGTCCAATGGCATTGTCGCGCCGGTTGTTTATTTCTTCACGATATGTACAACGTCTTCGTCTTGCAATTCGTGGTCCAACCCAACTTTTTGTCCGCGCGAGTGCTTCGCGCTTGTTCCCCAGACGATTGCACTATCATGGAAGGTGAGACACAATACGTTGGAAGAGAAGACAGGCGTACTATTTGAGTTGTTTTGCAATCTCCTTGTGGATGGCATTGCAAAAGTCTTCTACTGTCGCCTTGTTTCGTTTCAATACGACCTATTACGCGTGAGATAAGCGAGTTAATTTTGGTGGTCCGTACTGGTGCCGAATAGTCGGGTGCTAATCCTCGTGGTTTGGTATATCTGTTACTTGTATCAGCCTGTGTAACGAGAGGAGTCGAAGCCCACGTACACTCTAACAAGATTGAGGGCATTCCAAAGTGCATCCAGTAGTTCGTCAATGTTTAGCCATTCCTTGGAGGAGATTGGGACGGAGTGTGGAATCTTTACTAGTCAATAATTGAACCTGACATTGGGACGACGTATGTACCTTGTAGAGAAGATCCAGTTCTTCGATCGAGATTGCATCAATCTATTGCGAATCAGGAGATGAGGTTGCTCCAGCTGGAGAAATACCTTGTTCAGAACCTGGGTACGATGAGCGAATGAATACTGAATACAAGTCGAAACGTACGTAAATGCATGGGATATAGACTCGGTTGCCCTCGATGACATCCACGAGGTCGTCTGCCGTGCAACCCGGCTCACGAATTGCGACATCACAATTCGCTAGTCTGTATTCACTGAGAACTGCCTTGATCTCTTCGTGGTCGATATTGGTGAGGGGGACAGTGTTCGTTATCGCAATGCCTAGTCTTGTCAGCCAACAGATACGAGATAAATGAGATGGCTCGCCTCCTTTCTCCTTCTTTTTGACTGTAATGTTTGGAGGTTTCTTGTTCAGCCGGATACCAAACCCTTCCAGCTCGTCCTCGAGAATCTTCTTGTCGTGTAGCGGCTTCAAGACGTCGAGTACGATGAAGATCAAGTTGCATGTTCTTGCGACTGCAATAACCTGTCGACCTCTACCTCGACCGTCTTTGGCACCTTCGATGATACCGGGGAGGTCGATAATCTGGGAAAAGGTGAGCATATATAATTGCCAAAAGATGGACATACCTGAATTGGGCTGCCGTGTAATCGCAGGGTGCCAGGAACACTTGTCAACGTTGTAAACTCGTAGGCTGCCACCTCTGAGTGTGTTCCCGTCAATTTGGACATGAGTGTAGACTGTCAGAGGTCATTGTATTGATGTATGTTTTTGCTCGTGTCGGTCGTACCTTTCCGACAGACGGGAATCTGGGTGCGTGTTAGGCAGGTCTGTGATAATTTCTCGCGGACTTACCCAACAAATCCGACAGATGCGACTCCGGTCCTAGCTACATCGAACCCCGGGCCTCCCCCACCACCTCCACCACCAGACGGACCTGCGAGAAGTTCCCTCCGTAGCTTTGCAAGTTTGGCCTTGAGTAGACCCAGATGATAGCTGAGTTCTTGTAAGCAAGTTTGTCCAAATACAGACATTTTGATATGGTGGGGGTCCATGACACCACGAGGTAGCCCGTTAGACAGTTGCTTTCGAACTGGGAGCTATCGTAACTTCTGGACAAGAGTCTGATCCCCACCAGGGTCCATGACGATGGGTCCGAAATGGCCGTATCGGCTGGTGTCGAGTGGCGAGGTCGATAAACTCACCTGGTGGCCTGTGATGTGTTTAGTGACCTATGTACGCTATCTGGATACAACTTGCCTTGTTTTTCTGGGCTACAGGCGCCGTCAATGGGCGCCATTGTGATCATTTGTACTTACTTCTCGCCTGCCGCTGGCGTTAGAGGGCGCGCTGGGAGATGTTATCGGATGCATACCATTTCATCTTCAATTTCTTTGATCTTCTGGACAGTCGTCATTTTTTAGCTCGGATTTCCAACGACAATGGAGACAAGTACGCGCCGAGTTTGGGCACAGCCATTACTTGGAATCCGCCTCTTCCTGACCCAGCATACCAGCATCTTATATTAGCTAGCCCCTCCACTCTTTTGCGGGTTTTCTTGCTGCACTTTCCCTCTCTCTGTGCACTTTCGCAGCAAGCCCTCGGTCTCACTCGCCGGCCAGAGACGCCAGACCACCCCGCCTTTTCGCAGGTCATCTCAGCCCCTAAGCAAGACGCTCCTTGTCCCCTTCAATGTGCTGTACAGGCCCCAAATGGAAGCGAGAGGTCGTTCCAGATCACAAGGCAAGCCCGTTACAACCCCCCGAGACACGCCGTTTGCTCACGCTGCAACCAGTTTGATTTCATCGACACTCGCGAGTTTCACTCAAAGTCCTTTTCTGTCCGACTTCAGTACGTCTCTCGATTATTTGTGTGAATTCTCGCCAGCCCGCTGACCATCGGCGCCAGATATGTCTGGGTCTACATCCTGGTCATCAAGTCATTCCTCGTCTACATTTCGGATATTTATACTGCAACGACCATGTTAACGTCGGACAAATGGTCGAACAAGATTTTCGACTCGTGCACGCAGAAGGAAGGTTGCGTCGCCATTCCGTTTAGCATCGCCAAGTGGCTCTTCGTCGGATGCATCATCTTCTCTTTCCTCCTGGTACGTTTGGGCTAGCCTTTGGGTTTCATTTCCCGCTAAACCGGTGTCCCAAAACGACAGCTCGCCTATGAAGCGCGGAAATCGAAGAAAATCATCGCAAGTAGGGATATCTCATTCGCGTTCACCAACGTGATGGCACAGAATTACTACAGTCTTCGTACGTTCAATATTATCCCTTGTCCGCTCCCAAGGTCTCATTCCGCTCCAGGCTCGTACGACCACTTCTGTCTCTTCTGCCACATCAACGATTCTACCAAGAAGAAAGATGATTTTGCCTTCTTCATCTTCTTCACATTCAAAGGTCAGTGCATTCACAACGGCCCACGCTCCCGAAATAACGTGTGAACAGAGTGGAAACGGTTACTCCTCGCCGACGGCCCTCGTCAAACGATCAACGCGCTCACCCTCTATTCGTTCTACCTGGCGAAACGCGATCCAAAGAGTGATTGGTGGGATCTTAAAAAGTACTTTGATTCCAACGACATGGTCACCAACGGTCTTCTCGTGGCCATCGTGTTCACAGTGCTCATCTTTTTGGGTTCGCTCCTGCTCTTGATCATCGCAGCCATTCTCTATGTGCCGTTGCTGTGCTATATCCGAGGCAACCTCAAAGAATATTGCTGCCACAAGGTCGACAAGGTGAAACACTCCGTTGAACCTAGACAACGACTGACCATCACTAGCGCATCGAAGAGTTGATCAAGAGAAAGCGGAAGCAGCGCGAGAAGCGCGAACGTCAATTGGCTGCAAAGGAAGCCGCGGGCGATTTCTCTCATCTCAAGAACAAAGGTGGCGCACAGGCAGCTCTCCCGCAACCGACATTGCCTACAATCTCCTTGGACGATGACGAAGATGATCTCAAGACGGTCGCCAATAGTCGTTACGCCGCCTCGATCCGAACCGGCAAAGAAAGTTACTGGTCGGGCAAGGACAGCGACTATAAAGGAGGTGCCTACATGCCAGACTATCCCCCCATGCCGGCATATGATCCCAATGCGTATCCTCCTCAACCCGGATATGCTGCGTACGCGGTCAGCCTTCATGACGACGCGAGCACTCTAAATGGGGAACACGACGACTATGCTTCCAAGGCTGCGATTGCGCGCGGTGCCACGCCAGCCAACGCTTCGATCCATCGTGGACCAACTCCCGCCAATGCTTATGATGTGCGTCAAATTTTGTACCTTGATCATCTGATTGCTGACATTCCTCTCAGGCATACGGAGGAGCATACGGCAACAATGCCTACGCTCAGGATCAATACCGAGACAGGAGAACACCCGACCCGTACGGTGTTGATTATAACGGATACCCCAATCAAGGCTATGGTAATGCCTATGGGGGATACGGAGCAAATCAGCAGCAATACCAAGGTTACTACGACGAGAACGCGTACTATCAGCAACAACAGTCTCAAGGGTACCAGAACCAACAGCAGCCGCCACCGCGCCAACAACCATCGCGAAACGGTTCCAAATGGGAAGGTGGTCAGGCATACTAAATCCCAACCCTTGTTACCCCCCATCACATCATCATAGACGCATCTCTCGTTCTGCTTGGCTCATCCAAATTGTGTCCCCTCAACTGTAGTACTTACCATCGTCTCGCAACAACGTAGCCTACCTTACCCATCAATCCCCCCCATCCTCTCTAACCTTGATTCGTGGACTTTATTGCCCACGGCATTTAACAGAAGCAAATTTGAAGTGCCGTCCAAAGTTGTCGTTACTTCCTGTTCCAATAGTTTGAACTTAGATGCAATCCAGCGGATTCTGCGTCTGAAAGATCGTCTATCTAAAGATTTTATAGTGTCATTTATGCTAATGAGTACACGTTGGATGCTGACTAATGGACCGCTAGTGCAGGTACGCATAAAACTGATGGGCCGATATGCAGTAGTACGGACTGTGAGAGCGGCCGATGCCGACCACATTTAACACCGGCCTTATTGTGTCATTTTGTGTAAATAGGGAGGCAAATACAAGCCTTTAAAGAGCGGGTGGAGGAGTACAGCACTGGCTCTAGTAAGTGCCCTCCATGGCTGCACTGGACAAGAAGCGCAAACAACGGCCTCCACCGTCGATCAATCCGCCAGCAAAACGACACAAGTCAACAAAAGATGCGCCATCTACTTCTGCTTTGCCAAAAGACGGGCAAAAGGGGTCCAACCTGACCTTGCATGACTGGCTGACAGTCTACCAACAATGTGACTCGCTTCCTGAGGGCTGGAGACAATCACAAGTTGTCGAGCACTTTAGAAACAGAAAGGAAGATCCACTCATCTTCGACCAGTCAACATTGTCCCGGAAGATCAAGCAGCGAAAGGAAATTGAGGAAAGGGCAAAGGCATATCCTGGTGCACTCTCATCTCGAAGACTACGTGTTGTCACCGCTCCACAAGTTGAGCAGGCATTAGCCTTGTGGGTGCAGCAGATGTTGTCCCGAAAGGCAACTGTGAGCGTCACAATGCTCATTGCAAAACGGGAGTGGTTTGAGGCGAAACTCGATGTGAATGAAGAAGATAAATTGAAGAGAAATGGATGGGTCAAATCGTTTTGTAAGGCGTAAATTTTTTGTCGGTCCAAACTGTGACTGTGGTGCGTTTACTATGGCTGAATAGCTACAAGCTCGAAGGAATCAAACGGCATGCCGAAGAAGGATCTGTAGAGTCTGCTGATATCGAGAATGACTCGACAGTCGCAGCATTGGAACAGTTGGAACAGCTCTGCAAGGACAGCAAGGTGCAGGAATCGGCACGTTATAGCAACCCCGAGTTCAACCGGTCACAACCAACAGAGCTTGAGCAGTGCACCGAGGTTGAAAAGGCGCTCATAGAGCTTGTCAATATCCTCAAGGAGCGAGGACGGATACGTGGGGCGATCCCACCTATTGACGAGATCATTGAACCTGCTGAAGAGCGCGAAACTGCTGAAGAAACCTCGGATGATTGTGAGGCAGATACTCTCTTCGAGGTCCTGGACGAGGAGCTGCAGAGCGACAGTGAGGGCGATATTGAGGAGGTGGCCATCCAAGGCCACGCATCGGAACTTGTCATGTATGCGGTGAGTCATTGCTTGTTAAAGTCAATGAAACATCGGTTTCTTAGGAAAACGAGAGTGACGAAGTTATGGCTTGAACGGATCAATGATGTGGTCAGTGTCCAAGTGACGGCAATATGACCTGGACCTGTCCACAACAGCTATGGGCGACAACTCCTCGATCAACATTCTCCCAACGGAACTAATTCTGGAGATTATGTTTGTCTCTCACCCATTAAGCATTCTTCATTGCCGTCAAGTGTGTTCTTGATGCAGGAGAGTGCAGCTTTTCATCGACAATAGGTATCGAACCGTCTTAAAGACATAATCGACACCAGCAACGACGTCAAGGTCATCATAGATCTATATGAACATGGATGTGTCCTCGTTTATCCTCGAACGCGGCCATTGTCTGACGTCTGGGCAAACTTTGTCCGCGACCAGAGGGCACTGTTACAAGGAGACGCACGTAGATTCCGACGTGCGGCCCCGCAGCAAGTACCAGACTACATGATCACCGATGGTGTGATTGTTCGAGCTGGGGCTGACGACCCATTCCTTGGACCGGGAGAGACTTCCACGCTGCAACTCACGAGCTGCAGATATACTAGCAAACAGAGAGAAATAGACTTGAGAATCAGTCTTACAAAGGAAGGCCTCCTGCGTCGAGTTGCCATATCACGTCAACGCAATATTCTTGCTGTTGCAGAGACGAAAGTTGAACCATCAGGGAAACATCCAAGGTGAGTCATTACTGCACAATTTTATTGCTCACACAATACTAGCTATATGGTTTATTTATTTCCTCTGGCCGGCGACTTGTCCCATGAACCGCAGACACTTTCTTTCGATCCTAACAACACAGAAGGCCTCTGTAGTGCTGAGTGGGGACGCCTCGAGGAAATAAATCTCTACGAAAACCTCGTCAGCATCACTATCAAGAATTCTCGAGCGCATTTCCGCGAACAGCACACGATCGTGATCTGGGATTGGGAATGTGGTCGGCAGCTCGCGGTGAGTTCTGAACTTTTGAAGGTCACTACTCAAATCTCCTAGGTCCTAACGTGTGTTCATTTCTTCGCTTTCCTATCGTCCCAACGGGCCGTCGTCCTCTATGCAGGTTACGATCGTGTGCTATGGGTGGTATCGCTTCACACTCTTAAGTATCGTCGACTCATCCCACCGGATGCCATGTCAGTTTCTGAATGTGGGTCTCAAGATTTTGCCGAGCGCGGAACCTGTGGAGAAGAGTATGTTCTGGATCGAACTCTAGACATCTTCCTCCTCAGGGTAATGTGCATCGGGGGTTCGCAGCACATCGTTTGTGTGATTTCCAAGCAAAAGCTCGACCGATTCGTTCAGAGCCTGGACGACGCAGGTGACCTTCGAAACAAGCTGGCTTGGAACGCCTGGGGTCCACCCCTCAGCCGAATTTTCAAGCAGAGTGACTACACACTATGGTATGCACGAAATCGAGATCGGTACCACCCTCGTCCAACTGCCGGCCACTATCAGACCGTCTTCCACGGCGACAAAGGACTCTATTCAGGGAACCGCCCACCCCATGCAGAAGTAATATGGGATCGAGGCATTCTCGACTTCAACCCGCGTCCAATACGTCGCGGGACGCCGTCGCCTTTCGAAATCAAGTTGGGCGAGGTTGTTAGCGAACCGTCGATTCTGACATCGGAGGATATCAGAGGGATCCTCTTTCCGTTGGAAAGTACGCTGCCGTACCGACGTATTCTTACAGACGATATCCTGGTCTGCGAACCAGGAATATGGCCATCCGATCTGCTGTTTCTGTAAAATCATACTGATGCTCCTACCCTTCTGGTCAGTGAGCAAAGATAGTCCTCTGTTTTCAACTTGCTCTCAACGAATTCTATCTACTTATCATCCCGGCTGCAATTGATTCAGTCAGGTAAGTCGTTCTCATGTCACGGAATCGCGCTCAGGTGTGAAATGAACGCGAATCACTTGCCGGTTTTCTCATGGTGGGCATATAGTGTGAACGCAGGGCTGTATACCATAAGAGAGTAAACAAACTGCACAGCTCGTCGGCCAGATAAAATGTGCGAGCACTGCATCCACGACGACCCGATGTTGCTGATTGGGAGAGTCGAGGCGATCACTTCGAACCGGCACTGCTTCCTTGCTGCTGCTGTCCAGATTGTCCTTCTTCCTCCGGTATCGGTGCGAGGAAAGCTACGGATAAGGAGATGATTGTAAGTTATAAACGCTCAAGATTAGCGCGAAAAAGAACACACAGATAAGCAGGAATCCACCAATTAGATGCATCCAGTACTTTTGTATAAACGTCTTTTCGACTTCGGGGACGACGGGATTGCCCTCTGGTGTTAATGGAGGTGGCACACGAAGTTGCGGACTACCAGAAAGTTAGCTATCGATCGTCGTAATCTAGTAATGAGGGATAACTGTCGCACTTGGAGACGTGTGTCTCGGTAGGGAGGCGAGAGAGAAGGTATATGGTCACAGAACACAAATGAGAAGACATACACCGGAGCAGGAAGTGAAGATTTGACAATAACGGTCGAGTTCCACTCTCCGCGAGCCCCGACGGGCGACAACGACGGTGGGCAAGTGCCGTCGTCAGGGGTGTCCATAAGCCAATAGCTGAGCGCGTGTGCGATTCCAGCGTGCGAGACATGTACCCATATGCGTTCTCCGCTGGCTTTTGGCAAGTGGCACTGTTTAGCGTGTTGCGAGGTGGGTTGGGGTGCGACCAAGGGAGTCCGTGGCCAAAATTGAACGTCGAAGCGGGTAGATACGCATAATGTCGCATAGAATGTCAAATCATGTCATATAATGACCATGGAGAGAAATATCCGACGCCAGCCCACGGGTTCATGGTTCGGCATTGAGCGAGAGGAGGACGATAAGTGCTTGTGTTTCCACCTCGATTAGAAGATAACTTACAGCTTTGATAGAGGTCATCGGCCACATATTTTCATCATAGTCTGGGAGTTCTAGTGCGACTTGGTACAATGCATGGGGTTCGTCGATGGATTTCTGGAAATCACGCAATAATTGATCATACTTGGTTGGAACCGGTGTGAAAGAAGCTGCGAAAGAAGAACCTTGTGAGACGTGTCAAATGTTGGGTCTTTCCAGAGCTGCTGCATCAGGCTATTAGGCTCACCGGTGGTCGTATCAATATCAACAGTTCCCTTTAATGCATATTTGGACGAGTCGGAAGGCTTTCCCGGGACGAAAACACGATGATGCAAGTTGTATTGCGCTCCCCAGGCCGAATGGAAGATAGCCGTAATGAGTACAAGATATTTGAGCATGATTAAGTCGAATAAAAGAGCCAGATAACAGTCGACGAAATATTCGTTCAAAATCGCCACGCGGAGGGAGGGGTCAAATCGTGTGTCGGTATACAACTCTGTGTTATGAGACAACCTCTACGCTTTTCATGCTGTCTTTAGAGCACGAGAAACCGTACTCCTTACCTGTTATCGCCGCGTGCGAGGGCGGCCCCTTGAGTGCCGAAGCCCGTGGCCCCGCTATGACAAGCGTCATGGCATGGCTTAAGTGGTTTACGTTATGTATATTTCAATAGGATAGCGACATTCGATAGGCGAATGCCGGCGTAGAAGAGGCCATTATAAGTGGCTGCGAACGAGCGATCACAGTTCGGGCACAAAACCCAAGTTCCCTCGTCATCTGAATGATATGTCAGCCACTGGCATTCTTGGATTCGGCTCGCTGCTTACCCGACCCGCGTTCACAAGGCGAGCTCGTGCCTCAGGTGGAGAAGGAGAATTGTGAGCCGATGATGAGAAATATGCCAAAGAACAACGTGGAACCACAGACGGTGGTCATGCTCTTCAATTCCAGACTCGCCGGGTGATGCACCGGCTTGCGTCTTTGCCTCCCCCCCCCTCTCGTGTAATAAATATGCCAACAACCTAGGCTAGACGCACGAGTTGTGCATGCCACACACCTGGGAGGCGCTTGCAAGCGCGTGTGAGATTGGTCGCAGCGGCAATTTTGCCCCCCCCCAAGTTGACCACCGTCATAGGTTTGACTGACAAAAACCCATACGACTGAGTTTCAATGAGACTGATAAGTGTCCTCAGACGCCGAGCGGCACGCAATATTACGGCCTGTGCAACGCCCTCCTCTCTCTACTAGGTGTTGACTTGATAAGAGCTCACAGCACCGATTGACCTCCTGAGTAGCATAGTCTGCAGCTCTTTAGCCAGAATAGAGACGCTGGGTTGGTATGGAAACGACGCAGAGGCTGAGCATAGCAGTGGGATGTGTGGCAGGGTAGTAGATATGCACGTCGGGCCGTGCTTCTTAGTGAAACTGACATGTTAGCCTCTTGAAACTGGCATTATAAAATGAATCCGCGAGGTCGGTGGCTCGTCGAACCTCTCGAGGCGTGGGCTCCTAGCAGGCCCCGGGGCGCTCGCAGTACATAGGCGTTGGAAAGAGGCGCGTCTGTGACAATATTGTGTCACAGAGAAACTGCATTGGAACCAACATCGGGGTTGCCCCACACTTAACAGGACTTCTTGCCCACTGGAAGCGGCCCAGAATCCCGTGGTGTGCTACTCGAGAAGTGAACGGGGAATTGGCGAGGTGTATGCTCGGAGCTGAAAATGGCGAAGAATTCGCGCGCGACTCGAAACTGGGCTTGAACCCAAATGGCACTCTGGGAGGGTGGGGGAGATGGGGCAGTGTATTGCCGGAGCCTCTTCTCAGCGTTGACGAAAAAAACGCAGGCAATATCGCTGGCGAGTTCTTGGGAACTTGTTTCAGTGTGACCCACACCCCGGGCTGGGACGAATAATCGCGCGGAGATTCAAGGGGGACGCCGGAGGGAAATTAAAAATAATAAATATAAATTTTATAATAATAATATAATTTTTCAAAAATAAATGTTAGGAACCCAGAGCGGGCAATAGAGTTGCTGCCAACGGAGTTGAAACAAAGCAAGGCGTAGCTCTGGTCGAAAAGGTCCCAAAAAGACTTGTCCCAGGGCTCTGCTGGGTATTTGGACTCTACCTCGTCGGTGGTATTCGCTGCCCCCTCGCCCTCGAAGAGTCCAAGTAGCTTCAAGATATTTACGACTTTGCTTTCGCTCTCTCAAGACTCTGCTGGCCAGTGTTTGTCAAAGCCGCCCTCGCTCGCTCCTGCTGCCCGCTCGCTGTGAGTAAATTTCAATCTGGGCGAGAGGATGGCTGAACAGACTCGATTTGTTTGCAGACATGGAATCTTTGCTTGATTCTCACTCTTTGTCCACCACCGCGTCCTCGTCGACGCCGCAAACACCCTCGCCGCCCATGAGCAGCTCGCTCGACGAATCTGGACCGTCTGCGGTCGAGTATAGCTATGAATCTGGCTCTGTCGCTGCTTCTCACGCGCAATACTACGTCGACTATGCGCAGCACGCCGTCCACCATGCTCCTATGGCCCAACCGCCTCCTCCAGCACACCAGCAGCCACAGATTCAGCTTCTAGACGATCCCCATCAGTCTCATTCTGGCCCAGGATCACTCTATCGCCGGGCGTCGTTTCCATTCGTGCACCACGACCATCCCATGGCGCACTATCCAAAGTATCCTCCCGTGCCCCCGCTGCCTCAAGAGCATCCTGTCGCAGGCTCTCATCATGCGCTTCACGTCCAGGACGCGCATCCATACGAGTACGATGACGGCGTCAAGCTCGAGCACGCCACGGGCATGATCGTCCCGACCCAGGTGCCCCCGACAGCCGCCCACCATCCGCAGGGCTTCTATCGACCTTCGTCCTCTTCCTCATCCGTCTCCAGTGTGTCTGCAACGCCCAGTTATCTCACCCCTGCAATGAGCAACATTCCTGTCATGCACACCGACGATGCAGCCTCAAAGGAGACGCAGTATCTCCGCAGAAAGTGCTTCAACTGTGGCACCACAGAACCTCCTAGCTGGCGTCGTTCCACGCTCAATCCCGGCAAAATTGTACGCTTGTGCTCGTCCTTTTTTTTTTCCCCCTCTGCCATTCAATATTGCGCGTCTGTTTCACGCCCGCACCCTTGTCTGACCCTTGTGTTTCATCCTAGGTATGCAACAAGTGCGGCCTATACGAACGCACCCACAACAAGCCGAGACCACACCAGTTTGGACTACGTCCGGGGAACAAGGCTCGCAAGCAGTCGTTGCCCACCTACACTCGCGTCTCCCCGTCGTCTAGTCCCAAGCGTCATGGCCTGTCGGTAAAGAAGGAACCGTTGGATTATGGTCAAGCCATGCGGCGAGGTAAGCCCCTCCTTTTTCTTCTACCCACATGGAGACCGTGTGTCGATGTGGTCGGTGTTGCCGACTGCGCCTATAGTCGCCCATACGTGACATATGGTGTTATGCTTGCTTCGACAGAGCATGCCTTTTTTTTTTCCCGTTACGTCGAGCGTAACGCCCCTACGCTCTGGCGGAATTAGGCGACATGTCGAGGTTTCAACTCTATGGATTGATTCGATGGCTGACTGAATTTCCGACTCGGTCCCCCCTCCCTAACTCGCTCTCTGTCGCTCTCTGGTCGTGCTACCCCTCTCCCTCCACACAAATCTCAGGTTCGATCGCATCGATAAACTCGGGCAGCGGTACATCCGACTGGGACGACCATTCTGGGTATTCGACCGCGTCGTCTGCCTATCCTTCTTCTTTGGGCATGGCACCTCCGCCGCCGCAACCGCCCACTCAACCCTCGTACCACGTCCCGAATCATCACGGACACCACCCATACAACAACGCGCTATCAATGCATACTTCTCGGGGTACCAGCAGCGCCATCCGACTTCCGCAGGCACCGCCGATGAAAATCCCAACCAAAGCCGCTGGCTCTCCCTCCCCGGTTTCGGGGCCAGTCGTCACGTCCTCGACGACTGCAGGTTCAGGCAGCCATGTTAGCTCACCGGAGGGACTCGTGCCTCCAGCCCCGCAAGGCCATTCACCGACCTATGGCACCCCCTCATCTGCATCTTCGTCTTCTGCGCGCCTTTCGGCTGTCTACGGTGGAAACTTGCGGGGCCCGCCGCCGCCTGCTTCTGCTGCTGCTGCTGCACAGATGATGCCCTCGCAGGATTATTACGCCAGACGAGGAAGCACGAGTCAGATTCCGCACCATCATGTGAACCAGTACCAGCAAGAGATTATGCGACGCGGTTCTGTGGGTGCCATCGGCATGCATTCTCCGACTTCGTATCATGCCGTAGGTCTACAACATCGGGTCCCGCCGATACCAGTATGGGCGCAGCACCAGTCCGGTTCTGGCTCACCGTCGAGTACAGTCGGGCCCATGATTCCAGCGTCGATAGCAGAGATGAGCCCCTTGCCCACTCCGACGCCACCCCTGATGATGCCCACTGGCAACGCCAGCGCGTCCTCGACTCCGAGGAGAGAGTATGTGTCCGGAGAGTTGACACCCTCACCACCAAATCATCACTTGCATCCAGCCTATTTGCCTCAACCGCACTCTCAAAGCGCGTCGCCGACAAACGCGACCCCATTGGGATCTGTGCCCCAGCCTGAACTTGCAACCTTGGCTGTATAATGCAAGCGATTAAAGGGGGGGACTTAACAAATTTTTGGATAGACGCTGGAAAGCTCGTCTTGCCGTTGCTGGGAAACGTTGGAGGTCCAAGGCGCCGCCGATACGCTTCACCTTTTCGCCTTTACTGTTCCTGGAGAAATTGTGCATACAGCTCGCAGCTTATTCCCCGCAATTTACACTCGTTTCCTCTCTCTCTCTCACCTCTCACTCTCACTCTCTGCTGATGCGCATTTCTCCTGGGCCCCGAATTCGAATCCACCGACGCCGTTGGTGTTCAGAGAGCATGTGCTCCTGAGGGAACACCACATAGACCATGGCGCCGCCATACGCACCCGTGAGGTGCGATTTTTCCAACCTCGACCTCTTGTTCCAAATTCCAGTACCTCTGTGTACTGCTAGAACACAACGGCAACAACGAGAATGACCAGATCTTCTAGTTGGAGCCTCATCATTCGGACAATCTTTTTTTCTTCTCTCTCGCCCCCGTCACGAATCTTTTCCCCCCAACCTCACGCCTGGTCGTCTCTCACCAAAAGATCCCTCCCTTTTTGGCCAGAAACTGTCTGCAAAGAGTCTCCACTCCTTTTTTATTGTTCTCCTCCTCTTCGTCTCTCACACGCATGTTTCCTCGTTATTTGGAACCAGACCTCTCTGGTTGTTGTGACATAGTTGCTTCGCCCATCCCTCCGACCTCTGTTTGTCAAACCTAGCCGGTGCAAATCCTCATGGAAGTCTATCCTTAGTCTTCCAAAAACCACATCTTGCAATTTCGGGTCTTTCTCATCTATGGCTTGGCTTTACATGCACACCGACCGTTGCCCACTCCCTCCGCGTCGTTCTTCCTGGTCATTGTTGGTGTAGTATTTTTGGCGTAGCTAGGGAAAAAAAGAGAGCATTTGTCTCGTGTCCTTCTGAACATGTTGTTTCGATGTAGGCTTATTCGGACAGACAACTGAAACGGGGAGACGGGTCTCAAATGGTTAGCCCATTGGCTTTGTGCCATCCATGGGTTCTTTTCTCTTGATTGCTTCCCTAGGGAGGACTGGCATTACGTTGTGGCTTGGGTCACTGGTGGATGCAATACGGCATCACGGTACCGGTTTCCCTCTTCTCCAGCTGGATGACATTTCTCGGAAGCAGTGTTATCCTAGAAGAATCTAGCATCTCGCGTCGCCGTGGAGGAAGACAGATACATATACACCGGCATAGCGGCGTCGGGTGCGGTTTTAATATGGCTTTTGCTCCCGGAGGAGGGGGAAAGTGGTCTCAATTCCATAAGAAACCACACACATATACCAAGAGCTACTTGGTTCTTTGGTTGTTGGGTAGAAAGGACTCGAGAGCAAGAGGTAGACAGTGTCCGCTGTCAATACGTTGTCTCCGGTGCCAGCGACGGTCTCCGCTCACCGTCGGAGAAGCTGTCGAATCTAATTACTTAATATACAACCTCCGTTTGGGGGAAATGGGATAAACTATAAGGGCCATCTCAGCCAGCTCGCGTGCTAGAAGGGGAATCGCGATTGTTGCCCGTTTCTTCGTGAAGAGGAAGAAGACGGACAAGTGAACAAAGACTTGCCTCCCCTGGCTGCGATTCGATAAGCTACCTCTTGATACGTTAGTTCAGCCTAGGGCCGAAGCAAACGTGGCTCCGTCCTCAGGGAACTTGTGAGAAAAATGCGGCGTGGGGGTCTAGGTCGTCCACAGGCGTCCTGTTAGAAGCGTGTGTGCGTACAGAGGGGTCATCTTCGAACGAGTTTCATCCCCGCTCTTAACACTCAGTGACATCCGAGGCCGTCAGTTACACCGTCGGCAAGCGGTCAAGCAACTCTTAAAGCGGATTAGGCGAATAGTCTATAATAATCCGTTTGCGGCCAATTAATTATATAACTCGCACTCGTCTGCAAACGTTGCCACGGAGAATCCCGCCTCGAAGACGCAATGTCAGTGAGAAGCCGCGAGAAGGATAAACAGGTCTCGCTGTTCTATGCTAACATGTTAGCCGATATTTAGGCACCGGGACAAGGTTTTCTCACCGATTAGAACTCATGTGGCGTGGGGGCTCAACGGTCTACAATTCTTTAGAGGTTTTTGTCGGAAATGAGTCCATACAACTTGGCCAATACGGCTCATGTGTTCTCTTTGCTCGTGTGGCTGGCGCGAATATACTAGAGCTGTGTATAAGCAAAACAGTATTCACATTCGACTCTCCGAATCTATCCGTGCTTCACGTCCTCTGCGGTGGAATTCGGGCCCTCATGACCTCCGGTCGGGCCCAAAAAGAATCACAAGAGTCTCGATTATGAGAGTGTCAATACAGGGCTGTATATTATTGATTGTGCAATATAGTTCTGTGGTCATGTGTTGAGGGTCATGTTGCATGGTGTTGTGCATGCATATATCCATGTCCTTGGCCGAAAGAGAATCTGTCACCAGTTGCTTTGCATTGCGTCTGGATCTATATCAGGTGCGCGTGCCCGTCTATCACCCCCCATAGTCAAGCCAGATATACTTCGCTTGCGCCTGTTAATGTTGACAAGTCCAAGAGCACCAAGTGCATCTTCGTGTGTCAGGGCAGAAGGTGTCCTACGTATTGGTGGGCCACTCGGGTAGGCATCATGGATCGAAGCAGCACCGACGCTACTCCTTCGCCGGGACATATACGCAGGATTGATTTCTTCCTCTCCTGAGCGATTCGTAGCATAATCTACATTCGTCGAGGATGAACGTGGGGTGAAAAGCCAGCTGACCGTCGAAAGACCTCTTGCAACCAAACGCGTCCATACCCACATCGCTGGTCGGCCCCCAGGTAGCATTCGAATAAGATCCCGCGCATCCCAAAAGTCGCGATGGTACGACACCCTCCCTTGTTCGTTAAACGTCAGTTTGGTGATGATGCGCAATTGAAGGTGAAGAGGCGAGCTTGGGAGCGTAAAGATGCCTCCAAGATGCAACGCAGGACTAGATACGTGATGTGGTGGGGTAGAGGCTGACCCATGGAAAGAGAGAGAAGACGTCGAGGGAGATAACGACGCCCTTTGAGCCTCTGTAGAGTTTCCGGGGACAAAACTGTGCAGATTCGGAAGGAACAGGATATGGAGCGTATGTTCGATAACACTTCGACGTGTACCATCTAGTTCTTGGTGGTCAGTCACTTTTCGTAATAGGTATATCTTGAGACGCACCCCAACCCTCACTTTCGGCAACAATGTCACCAAGTTCACTCCAACACTTCAGAGCATCGAACCAGGGAGGCTCCTCTGCTTCGACTTGGACTTCGGCCCCACGCGTCTTCGCCTGCCTCCACCCAAAGAGCCAAGCGAGCATCCGAAGGGGACGAGGTCGTGAAACGTGTACATCGGCAATCTGTCGAGAGAGATGATGAATGTCCAAAATCATCTCACGGGTTGTTGCAGTGAGTAGCGGGTTTTCATACACTATGAAGGGGATTAGATTGTACTGAAACAATCGGGAAAATGTAATGAAATTATCACCTGCGTTAGGCTCGTATAGACGTTCCAAGTTTGCCATGATGATGGCGTCTTCGCTCATCGCACCACTCAAGTTGGGAGCAGCAGGAGCACTCGTACCCCCAATATTTTGGCTTACAGAGGCAGGAGTATGACCATGCGGTCCGTAGACAAGGTCGTGAACCTCGAGTGCAACCTCGCGGCTGTGGCTTGCAATGCTCACGGTCCGTACATTGTTGTTGGCGGCATCCACGCGCCAATTCGATTGCAAGGTCGAACCCGTAGCAGTTTCTGGACGAGCTCGGCTCGTTGTGGGGAAACTTATCGACGTTTGCATTCTCTTAATGGGCCAGTAAGGAGCAGAAGGCAACTAGCACAGCCGCCATTTTGTCGCGATAATTCCCAAGGAAAATTCTTTCAAATGTCATTATCAAAATTGCAGTAATTTGCTTGTTAGTGGGGGTTTTTGACGCGACTGAGCTCGGGCATTTTCTAGGGAACCCAACTCGACCGTCGTGTGACGGAGAAACCGAGTCGCCGATTCGGCGAACGTTGTGGGTCTAGTGTTTGAGAATATTAAAGACCGTACATCTTCGTTGTTTCGTTTGAGTTCTCCCAGTAAATTATCCTCTGCTTCGTGCCAGTCGAGGGGAACTCCCTCGCTGGCCGAGAGCCGCCATCCTCGCTCCCTGACATATGGTGCAAGAGCAACCAGCACAGCTTTTTGATAACTCTGTAACATCTTCTCCAGCCATTAACATGCCGAGACGCTCTTCTCCGAAGTTTCAACCTTTGATTCCAAATAGACGGTGAGACGGAACGCCTGGCCGAATCACATAGGCAGCTGACACGACAAAAGACGTCAGTACGGTGTCTAGGATAGGCGTAAAATGGGGGAACATCCCTGAGCTTCACCGAGTCTTATCCATAGACAGACAGGCTCCCGTACCGAGCTCCCTGTCCTACCTCTCGGCTTCACTGCCAGATACTCTTCTGTTTCATTTTGGACACATTTTGCCGTGATTACCTGTTCGCAGTTGACTCATTTTCCTGGCTTGGCAAGACCGCCGATGATACTCGCCAGAACGTCTCGCTGGTCCTCAGTTCCTGAGAAGAAGCCATGTAAAACATAGCCCTATTTCGTACACATGATGCCGATTCTGTGTACAATTTTTCACCACGAGACCCCTGGTGTACTATGGCGAAGCGGAGGGGTATCCTCCGAGTCGGGCGATCCCGTCTAGACAGCGTTGGAGTGGGGGAGAACCTTGTACGGAATTCAGGTCTGTGTATCAGTATGTATAAGATTCTGGAACTCTGTACAGGATATTCGTTCAACCCGCCTCCCCCGGCTTCGAACTAGGAGGTGTTGGGGTACCTGGGTTATCGGTTCTGAATGGCCACTGCATGATAACCTCCCCATTAATAGAACTGGGCAAGTCCGCCGCCGTGAGCCACACACCTCGTTTGAGGATTGTGGCTAATGGGGAAGAATAGGGGATCCCCGAACGAGTATTCCTTTGTCCTTACGTTTGTTCGCCTGTTTCTTCGTGACTAAACGTGTTTCCTCATCACGGGTGGGAACTGCGTGCAGCGAGAGGCTAGTTCCGTGCGTCTTCTGGCCACAAACGCCCTGATCGAAACCGCGCTAACGTTGGCGGACGTGCGGAGATGGATCACGATAATCCCAGTGTACCGGAAACTCAGGGACTCCTTCGCTTATTTCGCTGGCCGGACGCTCGTGGTATGCAAGGAGCTGAATGGTCTGATAGATTGGCTTGAGTGAATGTGGCACAGCGGAGCGTGTTTCTGACCGAGTCTTGCATACCTCCTGTCACCCTGAGAGGCTTTCCATTTCCCTAAAGATTTCAGGGGGCGACAGCTGAAGGGGCGGAGAGGGAGTAAACAAACCATTAGGAACTACTGAGCGGCGGACACGGGGCTGAAAGCGACTAGGTCCCCAAACTCTGTGGATCTGCACGAGTTTCACGTTTGTATGTAAGGTTCCATGATCGACATGGCACGGCAGTGTACAGGGAGCGGCCAAGGTGCCTGTTTTTGCCCTTATCCGACTGCCCAAAGGAGACTTATAGGTTTCAAAAGGTCTAGACATAAGGTTTCTTCATCGCACAAAGCAAACACGAATGGTGCTACCATGTGGTGGATATTCAGCCGATTTCATTGGCCCTTACCAGAATATGGCGTCGATAACCACAGCGGCAAGAGGTCCATATCTATGGCTCTATGGATATTCAAATATACGAAACTGATGTTACATCTTTTCACAGCACTCCGCTCAGCCCGCCCCGTCCCCTCGTTCAGCATTCTCAGTAAGCGAAATTCTTCATCCAGCTCCATTGGGCACGAGAGCTGACATATTATACTTCCGAATCGTCTTTTCATTCTCTTTATCCAGGTAGACAAGCATTCCACACCACTACGGCGTGCAAAGTCGCCGCCTCGCCTTCGACATCGGCCAGCGCGAGCGACAATGCGGCAGCAACCCGAATAATCCCAGCACCGCCACCTTCCAATGATATTACAACGTATGCTAACCGTGGATCCAACGCCCAAAGCTTGATGCAGCCTCATAACAAGACTGGTGCGAAGGTTTCCTGGTAAACGGCATGCAGAGGCTGACTCCTCGCTTCCTTAATCTGCCCTTAATTTATCAGAATATGTTCTTTCGACCATGGACAAGATTGTCAACTGGGCTCATCAGGTCCGTCATTCGTTCCATCCTAGACAACCCCGCTCCATATCCTTGCTTACATAAATTGGATGTTTATCTATCCATAGGGTTCATTCTGGTAAGTCAGAATCCGAATAGCGCCGTTGCACGCGTTTTCTAATCCTTTCAAAAGGCCCATGACTTTTGGACTGGCTTGCTGCGCCGTGGAGATGATGCATATGGCTGCTGCTCGTTATGATCAAGACAGACTGGGCATTGTCTTCCGTGCCAGTCCTCGCCAGTCGGATATTATGATCGGTACGCAAGCCTGAAGCTTTCTGTGCGTTCACGATCTGAACCTTCCTACAGTTGCTGGAACCCTGACAAACAAGATGGCTCCTGCATTGCGCAAGGTGTACGATCAGATGCCCGAACCTCGCTGGGTCATTTCCATGGGTTCGTGCGCCAACGGAGGCGGTTACTATCATTATTCGTACTCTGTCGTGCGAGGATGTGACCGTGCGTATCTTCCTAGCATCAACGACCGACTTTCTGATCTTGTCTGTTCACTAGGCATCGTCCCAGTCGACATCTACGTCCCTGGATGTCCACCGACGGCGGAAGCGCTTCTCTACGGTGTCTTACAGCTTCAACGTAAGATGAGAAGAAACCGCAAGTCTGTGCTATGGTATGTTGATTGCCAATCGAGCGTCCTCTTATACTTATATGCTCATAGGTACCGTATGCGATAAGTGTATGCTACGTTTATATGCACTTTTCTTCAACCCCACAGAAAATATTAAGCGTAGTATCATTAGGTCTCGGTTGATATATGGATAAGTTCCGTCTGAAATCCAAGAAAACAAGTCTGCAATAATGTGTCGCAGTACTCAGAGAATCATGGCGTGCTTATCCTCGTGGCCTGCTGTCATGGCCCACTCCTGAGTCCCCATCTGGACCAAGCGCGAGCACGCTCGCGCAAACGCAAACAATTCTTCCTCTCCGGTGAAGATGGATGTAGTCCCAATTTGCTGGTCGGAGATACCCTGAGATATCCACGGTCAACGCAAGTTAGAGTTCGTAAAAATTTCAGACTTACGAGCTCATCCATGACGCTGCGCATATGTTCCGTCTTCTCTTTAGAATGCTGGGTTGTACCCTCGTCGGAGAAGATCTGATAGATGGGTACTTCCGAAGTCACGAAAAGTTTGGTCTGATCCTGAGAGTCAGTACCGGTCATTGCACGGCCAGAGCAACGTACGTGGTTCTCGTAACATGCATCAATGAACGTGATGAAGCGTCTCGCCAGATCCTTGTGACCGAGGTTCATCTTGGGAACGTCGACGACAAAGATGGTATTAAACTCCTTGGTCACCTCGAGGTAATCGGCCGCGCTGAGCGGCTTGCCGCACAGTTCATCAAACGTAAATTTGGCAACGTTGTCGCTACTCTCTGGAATCTTGAGCTTGCGCCCCCAGACGTCCAATTGCTTGTCTTGTACCACTGGCCCATCGTGCGCAGTCAAAGCGTCGAAGATCTTTTGGATTTCGAGGTTGTGCTCTTCTGTCAATGGATGGAAATAGACGTTGGATAGTGCCCTTGGCATCTTTCGGTAGTCGGTTCCCGAGTCGAGGTCGGTCACGTCAAACTGAGACATTAACAAGTCGATTGCAGGGAGGAAACTGGCCCGTTGGATCCCATTCTTATACAACTTGGTAGGATGCCGGCTTGAAATTTGGTCAATACGATGCAAAAGTCGAGGGACGGATGGCTTACTTTGAAGTCATGACAAAGATGACACCAAACTTGATCATGCATTCTAGCAGTCTTCGAAGAATCATTGCCACTGCAATGTCCGTGACTTGAAACTCGTCAAAGCAAATGACTGTGTTCTCCTTGGCCAATGCTCGCGCTATTGGAAGGATGGGATCAGCACCTGGTGGATGCGTCTTCTTAAAGTCGTGAAGCCGCTTATGAACATCGATCATAAAGGCGTGAAAGTGTACCCGACTCTTGCGAGTAATATGAGGCGGAAGCGTCAGGTAAAACAAATCCATGAGCATAGACTTTCCCGTCCCAACATCTCCGTACAAGTAAAGGCCTTTGGGAAGGTTTGAAGGAGGCTCTGGCAGAGTCTCAGCCTGACTTCCAAATAGTCGTTGTAGCTTGAGGTTAAACCGGTCAGCATGTGCCAATGCGATTTTGTTTTCACTCACAAATGATGGAGTTTGCACGACTGCTTCTTCCACAGTCGGTTGATTGTAGTTTCGCAACTCATCGTGAAGCTTCTGGAGCTTGCCAACAATCTGAAGTTGATGGTCATCCGGCCGAAGGGTTCCATTGTCTATGAGCTCCTTGTATTTGGACATTGGAGTGACTGTGAGTCATCGTCAGCCTTTTCACGTCGGGTTTTCGCTCAAACTGCGGGGTAGTAACCGAAATCACGAGAAGCGGTAATATCTCGCCTAGACAGTGCACAACCATCGCTCAAACGCGCGGAATGTGCAAGAAAAGCAGGAAAAAGAGGACAGCAATCGTCTAGATTGAGAACGCACCTCGCGAGGGAGCATGCCACTCATTCCGTCGTTGCTCCGGAGCTCGGTAAGGCGGGACTCCGGCAGACGTGTCGAGTGTACGTTGTGAAGAGGACGGCGGTGGAGGTGGAGGTGTAAAATCGGGTTGCACGCTCGCTATTGACGCTTGGGAGCGGCGGAGAGATGGTTTTGAGCGCGCCAAAACTCTGGACGGGTGGCGGAACCGGGAGGCAAGAAATACACGACGAGAGAGGGACGCAGTTGCAGTCATTAGAATAAAATAGAGAAATTCTGTTCAGAGATTTGTACACTAGAGGGCGGATGAGGGAAGGGACAAAGTAGTACGGCTTGTTTGTCTGCTGGAGCTCGTCATCATATAGTAGCCGACCACAGCAGTCAAGTGATCGTAACTCTACCACGTAGGCCGAGTTCTAGACTGTGGAAATAACTAGAAATATTCCTGACGCACACTAAAAGGCATTATGGACAATGATTCCTATCTCCTCTTGCTCCTTTCCGATGGCAATCTGCCCACAGGCTCGTTTGTCTCGTCCTCTGGCCTAGAATCATACTTCAAGCATGGCTTTCCAGCGATCGAACGCATTTCCTTATCTGATCCATCAGCCTCGCAGGCCCCAGCAAGCATTGTCGGCTTTATTAGGGACAGTCTGGCTGCTTACGCGAGACTAGCGCTGCCTTTTGCATCAGATGCACATAACACGATGGAGAATGCTGTCGAGAAAGGCAAAGACGCAACCATTGCTGGGCTTCAGGCCCTGGACAGGCACTACGAAGCCATGTCGCTCAATCATATCACTCGGAGGGCATCAAAGGCCCAGGGAGTCGCACTCCTAACTCTATTCTCCAAAGGGTTCTCGCGACCAACATGGCTAGACGCATTCAATCCCAGCCAGATGGATGCAACAGGGTCAAGGCGTAAAGAAGAGGCTAAACAACGTCTATCAGAGACTGTGGTCGATGCATACAAACTGATGATACGGAAAGGGGAGGCTCCCGGACACTTGCCAATCTGCTGGGGAGTTCTCTCAGCAGCACTGTCCCTGTCAACTGGTAAGGCTTTCTCTGGTCTCCATAGCCATCGTTTCATCGTTTATAGGCCGTAGCAAGCAGCTCTTCCTATTCCTCTACGCTCGGTCCTTGCTGTCCGCCGCTATTCGGCTGAACGCAATCGGCCCATATGCAGCTCAACAACTCTTGCTCCATGTTATACGCCAAATGGTCGACGAAGAGGCGTCTAATTGCTCTCATTTGACAAGCCTACCCTCAGAGGGACCACTCTTTGAAGAAGACTGGTCGCGACTTGAAAGCAGCAGTACCCCAGCGACCACATGGCCTCTGGGAGAGATTCTTGCAGCTCGACATGACCTGCAGCATTCCAGAATATTCAACTCGTGATACTGGCCTTTGATCCTCGATGTAAGCTAATGTAAATGTATTGTAATATATTGTAAACACACTCTGATTTATCCGACAATTTTTCCTATTGCTCCAGAAGTCGAATGAGCGACCTCCACACAAACTTCGACTCCTCCATGTCCTCGCTTTTCGCGCCATTCACGCCGCATCATGTACAGCTGATCAACGCATGCTACCCTTCTTCATCAGCTCTCGTCGCTTCTGGCTCGACATTTCAACCATTGCCTCAGGAATTGTCTCGTCTGACGTATTACGCTTCGAATAAAGCTGGTGTGTGAATAGCCCATGGGCATGTCTGGAGATATTCATCGGCTCACACGATTTAGAATCGTCAGGAAAGCTTGCAAAACTCGGCTTAGAGCTTGAGAAACGCGCCAACTCAGAAGCGCGGAAGGCCAGAACTGGGAATGCGCGAGCAAGAGCGTATGTGACATTTACCTTGCACGAAAATAAACGAGGAGAGCTAACAGATGAGCCAGACAGCTCCTTGTTACTATTTCTATATTCAAAGCCATCACAAACGAATGCAAGCGAGACGTTGGGTTGTTCACTAGAATGCTCCTCTCTGCTGTCAGAGAGGCTCTTGTGTCCATTCCAAACGACTTGGAGCTCCAAGCCAGAGTCGCCAGTTTGGTACGTCCGCGTTTTGACCCACGAGTAAAAGTGCTCAGACCCTTGTGTACAGTTTACGGCCTGGGCAACCTACACAGACGGCCAGCTAATAGGACCGGACCTCCGCTCTACAAACGATTACTTTGCCGTGCTCAATATCTTCCATGAACGATGCAAGACTACGGGAAAGGATTCCGAACATGTCAATCGGTAGCGCGCATCATGTGTGACAGCAAATCCCGTACTTATACTTGTCACAGGATGCGGCTGATTGGTATTGCAGCCCTGACCTCTGCCGTTTCATCCGACGCGTTCTATGGCGCCGCACCAGAGTTTACCAAGCAAGTCAAGATTACCATCCCTGCGTTACTCGTATCTCTGCATGAAGCTGGTGCCGACGCTTTGAAGACAGAGTGCGTTCATTAACTCCAGCTCCTTGACATACAAACTAATGGTGTGGTCAGATCTACAGCCGTAGCTGCGGATCCGTCTCCAAATTCTCCGTATCTCTCAGAGTTTCAGCCGCGCCCAGTTATGGATAGGAGAGCGCCTTCGATACACATCCACGTCGACGGGCAAAAAGGACCTGAACTTTCAGACGTCGTCAATGCATCACTTCGAGCTCTAAGGACGCTACTGGGCCGGTGCAATGGAACCCAAGTTGCCACCGTCTTTGATGCAATCTTGCAAAGTATTCATGAAGCCAAGATGTGGGAAAACCCTTCGATTGCCAAGTCGTACGCAGAGCGGACAGTTGAATGGACACAGTACCAATATCGATATGCGATTCCCAATCAGCTTGTGGATCAGTTGATTGCCATTCAAGATTCACCGTCGCCTTCACCCAAGCACTTCGCGTTGGTCGAGATGCTCACTTCCATCTTCAACTCGCCGACTCCGCTCATCAATATCTCCACTTCTGATATTATTTCGAGCCTCATGGCCGTGTTATTACGACGGGTCAGTATAGACTCGGAGGATGGTCTCCTCGTCCCGCTTGTCGAGTGCATTTCATCCCTTGGAACGCATGTCTACTATGCAGATCAGATTCATGACCTGGCAGAAGAGGTAGTAGCCCGTCTAGTCAACGTCCAAGTCAATGGCGTGCTTGGGCGTGGACGTGGGGGAAACGAGGCAGCTCGCGAGTCCGCATTAAAGTGTCTGATCTGCTGTCTTTCTGGTCTGACCGAGGCAGCCGATCGACACGCTGCAAAGTACAAGGAGAAATTGTTACAGGATGACGAGGTTCCACCATCATCAAATGCGACTGAAGGAGATCGTCCACCGAGCGAGGCCACCTCTACTTCTATTCGAGCAGCACGCCGTAATAAAGTGAGCCCAGAGTCATGGCAGGAAACTCTAGCGCTGCTGTGCGAATCCAATCATGGAATTCGGGCCATGTATGCGAGGGGCTTAGCCTCCTTCGTGCAGAAAGAGGTCAAGCGTGAACCGTTTGTCCAAGTGGAAGAAAACTCTGAGAACATACTCCATCGACGTGTGAAGATTGTTGTGGATCCAGATTTCAAGGTTTCGAGTCGACCGTCTATCCTCGCGTCTGACCCAGTCAGCCGTTTCCTCAATGCACTACACGCGACCATATACACACTCGCTACATCGACTGGTGGAAATCAAGCTTCCTCACTCTCAGCTCGTTTGAAGCAACAAGACCCTATCGATACAGCGCTCCCCGGAAAGATCAACGTCATCCCGCCTTCGACCTCCAATCTTCCGAGCCCTGATACATCGCATCCAATTGCCATTGACTTTGTGGTCAAACCCCCAAGTCGGCCCGGCAGCCCTGTTGGCGAGCCCCCCATGACCGCCGCTTCGGCTACGTCGACAATTGCTTCTGCACCTGGAGCTGGGGAAGTATCGCCCATTTCGCCTATGGAGTCTGGTCGCAGGAGAAGCAATCACCACCAAAATGGCACCCGTAAACTCTCAGTCGCACTGAGCCTGTTAGAAGGACCGCAAGTTGGTGTCATGGCCACGCCAACAGACTTTACATATTTGAGGGAAATCCTCATATGTACCCACCAGCAAGTCCCTTGTCGAGCCGTCTTGACAGGGGTTCCCATGTTGCTTGCTTTGGAACAAGCAACTAGAAGATCGTCGAAGGACGCAAAAATGAGCAACTCGAAGGCGATACGGGAGCTAGTCTGCCATATCTGGATCGCAATCGGCCATGTCTGGGACAGTCCAACAGTCGTAGACAAAGCTACCAAGGTAATATCACCATCCTAGCAAAGATTTTGTCCTCATTCCTTCTTTTAGGCTCTCAGCTCTCTCAATCCACCGACGATTCCGGACATTTCTCAGGTTCCACCCGTGGATCTCAAAGTAAAAGAGCCACGTACTTCGGTCTCTCAAATCGTCCAGGTAGAGGTTGTCGAAGATTGTGGTCTAATTGATACAGAAGCCATACTTCCTGCGTTGGCATCGAGCTCTGGCTTGCAGTCGATTACTGGTCTAGATCGACAAAGCTTGCTGCGACGATTCATGATTGAATGGTCAGTTGAAGGTGCTCTCAAAGATTGTGAGTTATCTTGTTTCTGCGCCCGTTGCCGTGCTGATCTTTGTAGCGGTTGAGCATTCCTCTACACAAGAAATTCTTAGGGGAGAGACTCCATTCCTGAAGCTCTCACCCGCTTTCATGCACAAAGACAACATGTCGTTGGCAAGCCTTGCGCGTTCAACTCATGGAGGCGTTGGCGTGGGAGACCTCAAGGAGGCGCTTGGACGCGGGAGCGTGTCGAACCCTGCACTAGCCACAGCATCCCTCTCCTCTACAGTCGAACGCGCATCGAGTATAGCGAGGCACTTTGATAAGCGCAACCACCCGGAACCATTGGCAATTAGCCGCATCAAAAGCAAGGGCCGACGGGCGCAACCAAGTGAAGTTCGTGACGTTCCTTAACAAGTTAGGCATCGGAAAACAAAGCAGTAGTGGGACCAAACTCTTGCGAACGCCGTTCCCTCCTGCTCAACAAGAGGCACCGCAGCTCGACATAGAGAAGCCAAAGAAAGATGCTTCACTCGCGGAGCCCCCTTATTAGCCACATCGTCCGCCCTAAATATTCTTTACTATTCTCCGGATAATATAGAGTCGTCTCATAGCTTTATCCCTGCGTAGACGCAATCCGCCGACGTGCTTCCTCTTCTCTTTCCCTCCAGAATGCTGTCTCTGTCTGCATCTTCGGGTGAACGGTTGGCCTTGCCACCATCTGAATGCATTGAGTAAGGAGCTATAAAGGAAGAGAACGACTCACGCTCAGAGTTTGAAGAATGGCCTCATATGTTGTTGATAGGTAGATTGCCTTCTGAGTTTGATCGCGGACTTTGCCTGCTTGAACAGAGATTAGTCTTGTCAATTCCTGTCTGAGACGGCTCAGACTGTAAAAGACGTTAGCCTTAGTCTCGAAAGCAAGTCTTTGCCTACTTGAGGAATAGCATGGGTTCGTCATCCTCGTCGAGTAGCGCAACTATCGCACTGAACAAAATAGCATAACGCTGAGCGGCCTGGTATCATGTCAGACATGATGGACTTGACTGAAGGACTTACTGCACGGACGACTGGATCCCGTACATTCCCCCGAACGAGCATGGAACCCGTTGCAGCATCAGCCAATTTTTTCAAGCTCTCGACATGTGCCCCCATCTCGGTCTGGAAGAGCGGCCAAAGCTTCATTCGAACACCAATTAGGAAACCCTCGAGTGGCGGGCATGAACGTCTTCCCGTCTCCCTGTACACAGCTTCGTTGAGACGGATCATGGTGAGGATGGGGACAACCGAAGGCTTGGGATCAAGAAGGGAGGGGGTGACTATGGATTGAAGGAAAGCCTGGATCGGTCAGTATTTCAAGGACTGTTGGTGAAGTGCAGAGCTTACGTCGGTATACTGTAAAATGGGCTCCATTACTTGTTTCCATATTCCTGCAAAGTACGCTTCCTCTTCCCGTTGGCGCCTCAGGATTGCACTCCGTACAGACACCATACTCGAGGTCGACGACGTCCTACGATGTCCAGCCGCAGATCCCTGCCGTTTATGATCCGCAACGGATGACGCCTGCGTTCCTTCTGGGGCTTCGTCCTCTGCAATGACAGAAGATGAAGACGCGGCACTCTTTGCTTCTGAACGCTCTTCCCTATCGAAAAATTGGCGAATGAACGATAATTCTGCTGTCGCGTTGTCCATCAGGACAATCATCAAAGAGCGGAAGAGCGCTTCAACCGGTTCTTTCTACTGGTTATCAGCGTCTGAAGTGGGCAGACCGCACGACTCACATATTTGCTATCGTCTGCCATGAATGCCATCGTGACCGCGGGTCCCTCTAGGGACGCATACTCCAGATGTGCGACATTCAAAGCGGTTTCCACTTTCTCGCTTGTAGAGCCAACAAGTTCAAAGGGTTCGCCAGATCGCCCCTATAGTGCTTTAGACGAGACAAATCTACAGCGAAAAGCCTACCTTGATAGTTGTAAGACTCCGGATGTACCGACGGAACCCAGTCTCGTAGTAGGTCCGTGCAGTCCCTGTATATGCTCGCTGGAGCTCTGCAGCAACCGTTGGATGATTGCGCTGAAGATATTTGAACAAGTTTTTGTATTTGAGAAGGACTGAGGTCTGTAACACCTGCATATTGGTGCTCATGTTGGTACGAATCGGCTGCAGTAGTGCTAAGAAGAATGAACGTAGTTTGGTACCAATCTATCGCAGGGGAAACCTTCAGAAACCAGGTACGAATGTCTCTATGTACGCACCACAATCCCCAGAGCTTGTGCAACTTCGCCTAAATCTTTCGACGCCTTGACTCGCCCACGTGATTTGATGGCGTCCAATTTCTCCTCGAATTGCGCGACAGCTTCTATCCATGGTTCGCCAACGTTAGTGTCAAGGAGCAGCGTCGCAAGTTCAGGTGGGATAGTAAGATCTGCAATCAAGCTCCCCAGGGGCTTTTCAATTTTCTGCAAGGCCCTCAGACGGTAATACTTCAAAAGAAGGAATATCCATGCCTTTCGTCCCTTGAGCCGCTCGTCGATATCCTGACTTCGCTGCTGGAGCTCCGATATTTGGCCAGCAACAGACTTGAGATCATGCTGAAATGTCGAGAGAAAGGATTCCAGGTTCTGCAGCAGAGCAAGGCTAGTCTACGTGGACGTTTGTCAGTCCTGATCGTGGTGCTCCTAACATATTGACGGTATATTTGGCTATAGGATGTGTAGATACCTCTACTTGATTATGTAGCTCAACAAACTCTGCAGTTTTTGTCCTGTCTGCCCAGATGAACGATGAGAATGGGCGGTATAACCAAAGTTGATGTCAAGTCTTCACCCACAGAAGGAAACATCAGTTCTAGTTGTTGAAGAGGACATAATAATGGTCCAGCTGAAGGCAGACTATCGAGAGGTCGTAGAGTAGAGGGCCAAGGTATGTCAGTGGACGCTCACAAGAGAGATGACAAACAATCAGGCTGAAATTGACTTTTGCTTATTTTGACACGATAATGGAATCTAAGATAACAGTTGTTCAGAACTAGACCGAAGCATCGACGCCAAATGCCAGGGGAGGAGAGGGGGGTCGTAAGCGGACGTCCACCTCGATGAGTCAAGCGGAGCGTTTAGGTTAGTATACTAGTATATGAGAATACAGACACAGACGGATCCAGCGATGGGAAACCGAGGACCAGATGCGACCAGGTGTGAGGTTGGGGCATAAGTCGAAAGAAAAATAAGCGTGCGTGGGGCCAAGTCGTCTAGTATCTCTGTGCACCAATGTTCATCCTCCTCATTGCTTCTTCCGCTTCACCAAATGCGCCCGCGAGTGCCGCTGGTTGCTGTTGAGGGCTGCTGCTGGCAATTGGTATCTCCTCATCGCCGACAGCTTCCGCATGCGCTTGACCCTCAATCTCGCGCAATCTCTCCATCTCATCTTCTTCCCTCATACGCGCCCGCAAGCCGCTGTAGCCATCCTGGTCAAAACTTTCCGACGCAGTGTAGCTGAACCCGCGGAACTTTTCTTGCAAGCTGCGTGAGATTGGACTACTACTGCGCTTCTTCTTGGCCTGCTTGACGACGGTGGGTAGAATAGGCTGCGGTTGCGCACTTCCGATTGGTGTGAGTACGTCGATCGCACCGTCAGGTGCGACGCTCCCAAAGCCAAACATTGGCTCGCTACCAGCTGGTCCATTGTACAATCGTTGACCCGAGGCGCTATCGACGAGCTGGGCTTCTTCTTCGTCCCAATAGTCGACCCCAACCTCGTTGAGATCGGCCGACGTGAACTCGGGGTCAAAGTTTGCCGTGCATTCATCCGACTCGACAGACGGCTTGAATGGTGGGGTGACTTCTTTGCGGGACAGGGCCACCCAGTCGATGCATGAGAAGAAGGGATGCGCCTTCAACTCGGCAGCATCCCCCTTTGAACCAAGCCGATTCGCAGGCACACGGTTCAAAAGCTGCATAAAGAAGTCAGGTTTGTGGGGTAATGAATTGGTCATCACTTACTCCCTTGACGAACAACTTTCCGTCTTCGCTAACGGTGTTGCGTGGGAATTTGATCTTGCCGTAGCAAATGTTGCGGTACATCACTTGAGTGTCCTCGTTGTAGAATGGACTCCAACCGCAGAGCATCTCAAACAGCAAGACGCCCAGGCTCCAGAAATCGACCATTTTGCTATATCCGAGATCGTCCAGTAAGATTTCTGGGGCCAGATACTCTGTTGTGCCACAGAACGTGTTGGTGAGCTGGTTTGCTGGGAGATCGGGCTTGCTTAGGCCAAAGTCGCAGAGCGCAACGTGGCCTGTGGCATCGAGCAAAATGTTTTCCGGCTTTAAGTCGCGATAGACAATATCGTGCTTGTGTAGATGTTCCAGTGCCAACGTCAGTTCCGCAATGTAGAAACGAGCCCTCTCCTCTGAGAAGCGGGACTCTCTCTGCAAATGCCAGAACAATTCTCCTCCGCTCTTAAAGTCTGTGACAAGGAAGAGTTCGGATTCCGTCTGGAAGCTAAACTTGAGGCCAACGAGGAAGGGTGACTCGAGACTGCGTTGGAGAATCTTGCGTTCACCAATGGTATGGGCCACCTCCTTTTTGGCAACAATCTCCTTTTTGCTCAGGACCTTCATTGCGTATATCCTCCTGGTATCCTTCTTGCGAACCTGGAAGACTCGGCCAAAGGTGCCCTTGCCGACCAATTTGAGAATATCAAAGTCGCGAGGGGTGAGCGAGCGCTTTGTGAGGGATTGCTCATATGTGATCTGGACCCGGAGCTCGCCCGTGATGGGGTGTTTGGCGTCGACGGTTCCATGCGATTCGAGCTTGTGCCAGACATCTACTGGGTGGTCGTGTACAAGTGCAGGTTTGATCTCGACTGTACCCAGATATCCCTCAACGCCCTCGTATTTGCGGTCATAGATGTTGAGGTAGAGAATCGAGCGCTCCGACGTGACGTCGCTAAAGGGCGGAGCGGGTAGAAGGCCAGCAGCGATAAGGAAAAGATTGGGCGTCAGCAATTGTCTCTTCCAATGATATTTGAGAGAAACCGTTGCGCGGATTAGAGTGGCGCTTGGTCACAAGTCGCAATCGGCTGCTCGCCTGGAGCTTCCGCCGCGCATGTCCGGGTCCAGTATCAAGGAGCAAAGGCGCAGACTCACAAAGAAACCTGGTGCTTCCAAACGGGGTTGGTCGCGTCGTATATCGACTGTGGGGTAGTAGACTGCTGGTCTTTGACGACTTTGGATCCGCCCGAACTGCCAGACGAGGATCTGCTCGAGCTCTGGCCACTCTGGCCACCGTGAGTGGTGTCACGGGCGCCAGTGGAGGGGTCACCCTTTGGCGTGATATCGCCCTCTTTGGGTGGAGAGTTTCTAGGCTTGATATCGAATGCGCGCTGGATGCCGCCTAGAACGTCCATGGCGGAGCTCCTGGGGGGTGTAGTCGTATTAGCAGTTACATTGACGCTACTCGATTGCCTGCTGAGCGGATTTGGCCTGCCCTTTACCTCCTTCTCGCCCTCGTGTGTTGGCTCGCGGCTGATAAACTCGTTTTGCTCGTAGACGACGACGACATAGGGCCGGGAAAGAGCAGATTTGACTGCAAGACCACGGGCTTGGATGAGCTTGACATGTAGCTGACCTCGTGGTGCGGTTATCGACGCCTTGGTCGCGGCCTGCATGGCTTGGGGGGCAGAATTTGTGGGAGGAAGATTGTTCGAGGCTTGTACTGTTGTTTTTACACCTTTAATCTTAGTAGGCAGTTGGAGATCAAATGTCGGTGGGTTCAGTGTGAGCTGGGTAGTCGGCAAGCTCTGAATACCACCTGTCGGGGTGAGTGCGAGCGGCGTAGTGGAGGTTCCTGAGGATTTTAATGAGTCAATAACATTATTGGATTTTACTATCTACCGTGCGTCGCTCCCCCAGCTGGCTTTGTGGCCACAGTATCAAACGGATTGGGTGTTTCTGCCTTTGGAGTGATCTGAGAGTCCACCGAAGGCTGGTGTTTGTGTCCCAGAGACGCTCCAGGAGACGCGGGAGGCTGGTTCCAGCCAAACTTGAGCATGCTACTGATATTCGAGATGCCACCGAGGAGAGACTGCCGTCTGCCGGTTTCTGCACGGGACATCTAGTGCTAAAAAGTCCCAAAATAAGACTTTAAAATCGACTGTCGAAGCAGAGTTCAAGTTTGCTTAGCACGCAGCTCCACTCTTACGGGGATTCGGCAGGCCCTATACTGAGATCATGGCGCCTCCATGCACCCAGCTCTTATCGTGGCGAATACAAACTCCAATTCCCTAATTCTTCTGCTCGACAGTTGGCATGACTAACCAGGGAGACGGCGCAATCGCCCAAGGTTCGCCCGACCCCCCGGACCCATTCACGGACGCACGGACGACGACCAGTTAGGGCGTTCTTGCCTCTTTGATCTTGTCCCCGACCTTTTCCTGCGCCTTGCGCACAAGGCTCATTGCGCCACCCATTGCCGTCCCCAGGATCACAATCCGTCCGCTCCCATGCAGATTCAAACGGCCCGCTGCTGCAAATAGCATAGAAGAGCTTGTCCCCGCAATCAGCTCCTTGACAGGTTCCATCCCGGGAGCGATCCGAAGGACAGCTTCCTCAATTCCACCCCACAGCAGTCCAAACGAGCCCACCTTTGCCTGCCAAGTGGATATGATGAGAAATACACACTATATGTGACAAAACTCACTCCAGTCTTTGCTCCTTCTCGCAGTCCGGCCCACATCATCCGGTAGTTTTTCGTCTTGTTGTAAAAGTACCAGCCTTGCACCGTTCGCGGCGGGTTATGTGCATTTTCAGCCAGATATCGCAGTTGCGCTGCTCTAGCACCCTGAATCATGCCTTGAACTCATGTTAATATACGTTGTCGTCGACACGCCAATGAGAGACAAACCAGTTCCTAGGCCTAAGAAAGCCCCCACAGTGGGTAGAATAAAAACCCTAGGATGAACGTTCACGTAGAGACGGATTCCTTGATCGTCATGGGGTTCTACCGCGGGGGTCTTGTCATTACCCGACGTGGTCATAAGCAAGAGATGAGCACACGGACCCCTCAACCGAACAATCCCTTCTGAGCATCGTCTATACAGCTATCTGTAGCGGCCATACAGTGTCTCTGCCCTTGAGGCGACTCGTCGCCCAAACACTCCCTGCCTCGTAAAAGTCCATGGGATACACTCCGCGAATCGCCGAGTTCGCCATGGAACCTGTGTCATCCTCTACATTGTCGTCCCAACCCCTCGCTCTGCCCAGTACGACCGCTGCCTCGTACGGGCTCAACAACGGTCGCTCAAACGCATACCCCCAGTCGATGGATAGTCTTGGGCACGACGTTTGAATAAAGGTAGTGATATTCCCTTGAGACCCATCATTGAACAGTGAGAGCTTTGCAGGGCTGAGCTCGGATAGGAGGATAGGCATGTAGGGTATGCGATTCGAGGTGCCAGTATCCTCCCCATACGTATCCAGCTGCCGGAGAATGGCCTCCATTTGACGCAGAGATCCCTGGCGACCCAAGGTTCCCAACACGACGCCCCAGACAGTCTGAGAAGCGTCACCAGGGAGTGAGGCCTTTGCAGTTGTCACGGCTGTACCACGAACCGCCCGCATCTCTTCATGGTCATAGTACTCTCGTGTTAGCTTTTTGGAATAGGGGTCATATCGAAACGCAGGAACCGTCGGATTGGCGATCATAATGGCCTCCAAATGAAAACGACCGTCTGCGAGATATCTGTGAAGTCCAGTTACTAAAGTCAAATTATCTATGAGTATAGGACATACAGTATGGCATCGACGTCCTTGAGTCTCGGCGCCGTACATCCCAGTATCTCTCCTGGGCTCAGCGGCTTGGAACGCGGAACAGAGACGCTATACACGCCAGAGTCCAAATCCACGTTAGGATCATAGTGAGCGACGGTGCTACCACTCTGCTCCTGCTCGGTGTCGGTCGGTTTCCCGTCCAGCACAAGCCCTGCCGACAGATCTTCCTTGAGCTTATTCAACGCGGCTGAAAACTGAATAGTCGACACCAACGCCAGTCGCGTGTGCTCCTGGCCGACTGTAGCCAAATCAGCAGAGGTCCCACCGTTCTCGAGCTCCACGGCCGTCGGCTTTTTCTCAGGCTGACTCCCTTCAATCCTCCGTCGACCGGCAATCACCGTACCAATGGGCGTTGCTTCAGGCCCCTGCGCGGATCCATCGTGTTGTTGGTGGACAACCTCGCGCAGAAAATCGTCCCTGTTGCTTGGAAAGTTGCGTCGGATGGTGCGCACGAGATGTTCAGAGTCGATTGAGATCTCCACAAAGACGTAGAGCGTTCGTATGGTGGTGACGTCGATTGGAACGAGGCAGGAGTGGCCATAGTGAACCAACATGTCGCATCCTAGTGCGAGGGCCGTGTAGTCATCAATACAGCATGCTCCATATGTTACGTCTCCGAGTATCACGGTCTGTGCAGAGGTGAAGCTGAGCACTCGGGGTCAGTGACGACTTTTGCCTAGCGCGTTGGAGTAGCGAGGACAAGGCGAGCGCACCGTTCGATAATATCGCTGAGGATGCACGCCCACATGAGCAGTCCCTCTGGCATCTGAAGCCCCACCATCTTGCAATCCCATTTCCGGATGTTCCAGATTGTCTTGTGCATCTCAAATTGGTAGTTGCTGGGCAGGTTTTGCGCAATGGCCTCATTCAAGAGTGAATCCTGAAGGATCTCTGGTGGTACGGATGTATGCAGAATTCCACGCGGGGAGGAGGGGCTCCCTTTGGCTCCAGAACCTGATGGCCCCGTAGACTTGCCCACAAAACGTTTTTTGGGTTTTGATGCGGTTGCCCTCCCTTTTCCAGCCAAATCTTGCGCAGAAGCTTCAGGCGCTGTTCGCGGTTGGTCATCCTGCGCACGGATGCTCCCTGAGGGTGGCTCGGTGTGTAGCGTAGCCATGATACAATTCTAGAAACGGATTTTGACGAAATGACTAGAGTGTACTGGAACCGAGCATGGACTAGCCCCTAAAGTGGTGAAGAGGCAAGTTGCAACGTCGGCCTGACGCCCTACTTTCAAGCACCCACTCCGACCTAAACAAGAGCTTCTAACAGTTTTGATTCAGAAATGGATATCATACTTGTGCATATCCCCCTGTTCAGCATGGTTTTGCCCAAATCCTTCACGTCGTCAATGGAGCCCAGGTCAAATGCGTTAAGGCTGCTGCAGATCTAAAACTCTATTAGCCTCTAGCGTCACTACGCATGGTTTCCGCGTGTAAATGCAGCTATCTTCAATGAGCCACCAGGCGCGATGCGAGTTGTCGAATAGAGAGAGGGTACAAACACAATCAGGCCTCCATGATGTCACCTCGCATCGGAGAAGCCTTTAACGACACAAATCTACAACGAACGCACACCCGAAGTGGCTGGGAGAGGGCCAGTCCCCTGTCGTTGGTGGCGGTTGACACAAGGCTGCAGCCTGCGAGGAGAGACGACCAGATTGCTCTCTAGCTTATCTGAGTCGTCGTCGTAGGCGCTCGCCGCTGTAAACCTCGCCGCTACCCTGTGGTCGAGCCTTGCCATGCTGCGAGCACAAGGCGTGTAGCCGGACATAGTACGTACCACTTTCATGACGAAGCTCTCAGGGATTCAGACTATGGCAAGAAGCTCAGGATCAGATGAACAAGCACCCCTATTGACTTACGGTCAATCAAGGCCTCCTAGGAAGGATATCGCCGTCGCATCAGCGCCCCTCGGGAAAAAAGGCCAAGGATGCCATCCTTAGCATGGCGGATCAGTTTCCTAGCAGCTGACCACGGTATCGTGCTCAAAGGATTGTTTCCGTGTGGGGCTCCTCTGGTGCAGTCGCAGAACACGCGTTGGCCATCGGGGTATCGATGGAAGATTACACTGTTCCCAGACGAACGTCGACCTGCAGAGAAACGTACGAGTGGGCGAACGATCTCAAACACGCGGTTGCGGGGAGGTGAGCGGCTGAATTCGACGGGATCCGCCTTCAAGGTTTTGAATGGTGAAAGCCCGTAGCCGCAATGTGGTAGTCTCACAATCGACAATTCTTAAAGGGCTGCATGGTACTGCGCTCTTGCCGCACTTGAAAGGCTCTCCCCCCTCCCCGTCTCTTGTGTGGGCGACCGACCTTGCCAACAGATATAAGGCGCCGTGTGCTCATCCTCGCCGCAGGTCACATCTTTTCCCTCCCCTTTATCTCTCTCAACCGTATACACCATGCCTACTCCAGAGTCTGTCGCACTCGCTCATGACCCAACTCTGCTCCACGCTGTTGCTGGTCAATTTCGCATCACTCCTGAGCAAGCGTTCCACCTCGTCTATTGGCAGCCAGACATTGTAGAAAAGATGAACAATGGTGGACTCACGGAAAATCACGCCGCTGTTGTGCGTATTGGACCATCAATCAGGCCACTGGGTGACAGCGGCGCGCTCTGCTTCTTGTCAACCGAGAAGAAGCGTGCCACTGTCAACGATACTAGATTCACATCTGACTGAAAATCTTACAGACACGGGCTCTCAGCAAAACAATGACTGAATATATTGCTCGACGGCCTCTTCGCCGCCCAGCGCCACCACCAGCCCGTCAGGCTCGACGTCGACCCCAAATCGACAGGCAATTAGTCGAGGGCGCCGACGATGATTTCGGTGCGTTTCTCTGTTGGCTCGCGGTCCTGAACCCAGGCTGACTGGAGGCACAACGCCATTCTTTTGCCCGTCTCCGGTGCCCTTCGACTGCCGTACACTTTCGACGCTTACGGTCTCACCCAACCTGCACGTCAAACTCGCCTCGATTCGATCGACCCGATCAACCTCGCTTGTCTGTTTTCACGTTTTTAGATTACTCAAAGCTGGAAGGTGGAGCTCTGGGGCTTACCACTGGTCCATCGGCGGCGCAACTGTGGTTCCAAGATCCACATCCACAACTATTGGAATTTTTGAGCAAGCCACACCCCGCAATTTCTGCCTAATTCTTTTGCTCTGATCGCACCCCTTTCGCTCGTCGTGTCACTCTCAGCCGGCTCTCTCCCGTTCCTTTTTGGTCTCGATTGGACAATTCATCCGTCTCTGGCGCCTCTAGTTCCCGCATGACTATGAAGCAGGCTTTGCTTGGTCTCGACAGTCATCCCTTTTCGTGTCGCTTCACTCGCGTCTTTCCGTAGTGCAACACTACTGTATCCATACCTTCTACGCTACTCGTGCCGAGAGCGTCTAGAAATTGAAATCAAATTTCTCTTAGTATAGACGTTGTGGCTATTGCTATGTTTGTAAGGAGGCCGATTCGAGCCAACTTTGACCACGCCACTACTACACGCGGCCTTGTGACGCCTGTATCTGACAGAATTTGAGCGCATACTATAAATAACACTATCTAATCTTTCTGACTGGAACGTCTTCGGGGATCCTAGAGGCTCGACATGTCGGGCGCCAACCCGTACGCAGGAGGTATAGGACCACGCCATCCGTTGAGTATTTTGGTTTCTTTGGGTGGTGATTTGAGAACGATCACTGTGATCCAAATACCATCACCCATGCTTTTAGGCCCTTACTAACCTCTGGTGTAGAAACCTGAACCCATATTCACATCAACCCACCTCAAGTCTACCAACCAATACTTTCTCATATACAACTGGTATTTTACAAGGAGGCAATCATACACGCCATCGCCCAACTGGCTCGCGCAGCTCCCAGTCTTCAAACCCACCGCCCACCACCGCCCGCCTCACGCCCAACTCGAGTCTTGCTAGTCTAGCGCGGACAACAAGTCCTGGGACTGCGAGCTCATATAGCACGGGATCAGATCCGTATCACCCGGGCTCGTCTGGCTTCAATGCATCAACGACTACCCTAGGTAGTTCGAGTCGATACAGCGGCGAAGACGCACCGCTCATTCAAATACGACCGGACCAAAAGGTCGTTCATACCTACAATGCTACGGTCTCTGGCTTCGTAATCCAGTTCTTAATTACGTTGGTCGCTTATCGTTGACTGAATGGTTTTGACCTCATTAATAGGGTCGAACAATCACCCACGGTAGAAGAAGAAAGCATGCTCACGCTCACCTACAAGTCTGGAGGAATCGAACGACCCCTTTGCGGCAAGGAGCACATGAGACTGGCCATAGACCCCCAGACACTTCGCTTTCATATCTTGTATGTTTACCGAGGTCCCACATGGTCTCCTACTAATAGATCTAACAGCGTGTTCCCGAAGCCATCTTTACCTGCTGATTGTCTATACTGTGTTCGTGTCTGGCTCGAAGCCCAAGGGGTCCAGCATCGCATATTCTCCGATGAGAATCTCTGGGTGGGAAAGGATCCTCCTTTTTCAAGCATACAACACGTCGCTCTGACGCGTCAGGATCAGCCTTCTATCCCATTCTGCAAGCTGCTCTCTTTGGCTAGTGAAGACACAAACTAACGTGTCCTACAGCACTTCGACCGGATCCAGGGGTGATTCGGAAAGCCTTCAAGGGGTATGTGGGCAGAGCCTCATGTGACTTCATAGTCATCATGAAAAATCTCGATCCACTTGGATCAGTCTGGGGAGTTTCTGTCGAATACCAGGCTGGCGGTATATCACGCTTGGTGTTTGAACAGACCAAGTTTCGGCTTCATTGTCGTGTAGACGACATCAAGTTTATCATTTAGTACGTTCTTTCCACGTTTTAGTGGGCAGATGATTGAATCAAGTTAGCACTGTACCAATTGATTCGTCGATTCCTTACTCCAACCATCGCATACGCGTATGGGTCAAAGGAATGGACGGGATCTGCCAACGCCTATTCAAGTCTGACGAATTCAGAGTCGGAGCTGAGCTAGCCTTTGAGCCTCTGCTCCACGGGCCAGGCAGTGTCGTATTTGCGACCAAAGACGCCTCTGCACCTACAATAACCAACTATACAACATCCCTTCACACGGAATCGCCGCAGGAAGCCTCTTCGCCGAGTGGCAGCAGCGAACAACCCTCTCAGAGCCGTAGGCCGAATGGAACAACTCTCAGCGATAGAGAAAGATCCGAAGTAGAATATCAAGAACAACGGATGGGCATCAATGTGGGTATCGGGAATGCAAGGGTGTTCTCGAGCGTCCCGAGCATCGCACCATTTGATGAAAACCTTCCAAGCTATCAAGCTGCACTTAGTTCCGAATCTGGACGATGACATTTGCTTTATATGGTTCGTCAACGTGATTGATGGACGCGCTCAGTTTCCCTGGGCTCTCCTCATACACATTCGAATCTATTTATCTACTATTCTCTGTATTTCATGTCCTTCTACAGTGTCTGTCTCGATATTCCTTGTTGACCAACTGAGCCCATCCAATTTGGACGCGTTCATAGCGCGTCATTAATCTGTGACGGTTGAATGAAGAAACGAACGCAGTCCTGCGCGTTTCGAGATACGTGCGGGAAGAAGAATCTCTTTGGAAGGGACCTCCCATGCCCGTACGATGGTGCGCCAGTTGAGGTGAGGGTGACTACAAGGCGCTGGGGGTGATTTCGCGCTAAATGGCCTTGAATATAGCCAAACGACAAGTTTAGAACTCTTCTTGTGGATGTCTGCGGGGCCGACTTTGCCAAAGTTCCGACGTGTTGCACAGTTGAGCAAGTCAAGGTGCTCAGGACAACTTGCAGCAAGTAGAGCCTCTTATCTCGTCATGTCCAGCATGCAGAAACAACTTTCGCTCATTCTTCTGCGACTTTACGTGCTCGCCGTACCAAGGCTCGTTCGTAAACGTCACGTCGACGCAGCAGACCACGTCCAAGCAGACAGCCATCAAGTCTGTCGACTTTTTTGCAAGCGAGAAATTTGCAAGGGGCTTCTATGATAGCTGCAAGGACGTCAAATTCGGACCATCCGGATACGCAATGGATTTCATTGGAGGGGGTGCCAAGGACTACCACGGGTTTCTCAAATTTCTGGGAGATGAAAAGGCGCTTGGAAGTCCGTTCCAGATTGACTTTCCAGACCGCGCGCCGGATGGATTCATCCAACTAAGCCGTCTACCCAGGAATTGTGCCGATGCCGATCTGGGGAGTAAATGCGCTTGCATAGACTGCCCTACGGTATGCCCTGCACTCCCATACCAACCCACACCAGAAGAGGCGGCCAGGTCTTGCCATGTCGGCCCTCTCTCGTGTCTCACCTTTGTCCTTCTAATCGCATACGGACTTGCAGTTCTCTCCTTCCTTCTAGGTCTCACGATCGAGAGACTTGTGAGGAAGAAGAAGGACCGAGCCTACGAGCGCGTCGCGCTGTCGGAGGACACTTCTTCCTTGCTCAACATCCAAGGTGCGAATTCCCACCCAGTACACGCCTCTGCGAGCGCAAATGGTGGAAATCGACATTCTCTGGTCGGTGCATCCTCTTTGGCGCTCTACTTTGACGGGGAAGAGTCTGCCGCTCCATCAGACCCCGCCAGACATCATCTGGGCCGAGGTGCATCACTTTTGGATCCAATGGAGACCGCCCAACCACGTCAGTATCGATTGAACACCCTGTTTCGACGCTTTTTCTATCGTATAGGATACATATGCGCCTATTATCCATGGCTCACTTTCGCCATCACTTTCTCCATCTTTGCCGGCCTCAACTACGGTTGGAAGTATTTCCAGGTGGAGACAGATCCTGTACGGTTGTGGGTGGCACCCACATCGGAGAGTCGAATCCAAAAAGAGTTCTTTGACGAGCACTTTGGGCCATTCTACAGACCGCAGCAAATCTTTGTGACGGCTCCGGCCAGCGATCCATCTCTCACCGGGCCGGTCACCAATTCTTCGACTGTGGCCGAAAAACTTCAACCAGTCCTCTCCTGGGACAGGCTCGTGTGGTGGGATCGAGTCGAGAAGGAGATTGCGGCCTTGGAAACGGATGAAGGCATCACGCTGCATGACGTGTGCTTTAAGCCTGCAGGGCCATCTGGAGACTGCGTGGTACAGTCTGTCATGGGCTGGTTCGGAGACCTGGATGATTGGGACAAGGACTCATGGGAGGAGCGTGTTCTATCCTGCGCCGAGTCACCCGGAGACCCGGAGTGTCTTCCACCCTTTCAGCAGCCCCTGTCGCCTTCGCTCATTCTTGGCGGCGTAGAGGGCAACGATTATCTCAACGCCAAATCCTTGGTCGTTACCTATGTCTTGGATAACTCCCTCAACGAGACTCTTGTTCAGCGTGCTGAATCATGGGAGAGGAAACTTCGACAATACCTGGCAGAAGTCTCTCAAGTCTCCCCAGTAAAGGCTGGCGCACAAGTCTTCTTCTCTACCGGCGTCTCTTTGGAGGAGGAGCTCAACAAGAGTACGAATACAGACGTTCGTATCGTCGTGCTGTCGTACCTCGTCATGTTCGTCTACGTCTCCCTCACCCTGGGCGGCAATTCATCTCGCTCGGACGAAGGAAGCGTAATTGGCTCAATATTAAGTTGGTTCTTCAACATCCCTCGTCTTTTCCGGAAGAAGAATGTCGATTCATCTGACCCGCGATCAACACCGACATGGTACCCCAGACTACCTCGACAGGCATTCATTGGGTCCAAGTTCTTCCTGGGACTATTCGGCATCTCCTTGGTGATTCTTTCTGTCGCGGCGTCGGTCGGGCTGTTCTCCTTCTTGCAAGTGAGGGTAACTCTGATCATCGCCGAAGTCATTCCATTCCTCGTGCTTGCAGTGGGAGTGGATAATGTCTTTATTCTCGTACATGAATTAGACAGGCAGAATACACTTCACGGACCCAATGCGCACAATCCCGCCCTCGCAGCGCATTCCGGAACGCATCACGCACCGTTATCCCCCACCTCTTTCCGATCGCCTTTCGCATCCACCCACGACGAATCCGATGGTGACGGAGATTCTATGCCAATTCATCTTCCAGCAGAGGAGCGTGTCGCACGAGCCGTGGCGAAGATGGGACCATCCATTCTTCTTAGTACAACAACAGAGACGGTAGCATTTGCACTCGGCGCTATGGTGCCTATGCCGGCAGTCCGAAACTTTGCGCTCTACGCGGCCGGAAGTGTGTTCCTCAATGCACTCTTGCAAATGACTGTTTTCGTGAGCGCGATGACGATCGATTTGAGGCGTGAAGAGGTGAGAATCACATACCAGTCGGTTCCATTTCTGACTTTTTGTCGAGGCAAATCGGTTAGACTGCTTCCCATGCATTCGAATCCCACCCCGGATAGCTCTCACAGATGGCCATGTCTCGACCGGAAAGATTACTCGCTTCTTCAAGAGAAAGTATGGGCCATTTATCCTCCAGCGGAGTGTGAAAGGCGTCATTCTGCTCTTCTTTGGTGGTATCTTTGTGGCATCCATAATTGCGATTCAGAACATATCTCTTGGTCTTGGTGTGTCATTAGATACTAAACGATTCACTGCTAACTCGCCCCAGACCAACGACTTGCACTTCCATCGGACTCATACCTCGTGCCGTACTTTGACGCAATGGACAAGTTCTTGGATGTTGGGCCGCCGGTTTACTTTGTCTCGACCGACGTCGATGTCAAGGCACGAAGTGGACAACAGAAACTCTGTGGTCGCTTCACTACATGCAAGGAGACTTCTGTCGCCAACATCCTCGAGGGTGAGCGCAAGCGACCGGAGTCTTCGTTCATCTCCGAGCCCACTGCTTCATGGATTGACGACTTCTTGAAATGGACCGATCCTGTTCTCGAGTCCTGCTGTCGAGTCAAAAAGGCGGACCCTTCGACGTTCTGTCGTCCATCTGAACCAGCAGGAAGATGCCGACCTTGCTTCGAGGGCTCGACTCCGCCATGGAACGTGACCATGGAAGGACTTCCAGAGGGGCCGGAGTTTATGAGGTACCTCGAACAATGGTTGAAGTCCCCAACAGACGAAGAGTGTCCATTGGGTGGACAAGCCGCGTATTCGTCTGCGGTCGCACTGTCAACCGATCGTTCTACCGTCGTTGCTTCGCACTTCCGTACATTCCACGCACCGCTCAAGACGCAGAGTGACTTTATCAACGCATTTGCAGCATCTCATCGCATTGCCGATGATTTATCCGCGTCGACGGGAACCACCGTATTCCCTTACTCACTCTTTTACGTCTTCTTCGACCAATATGCGCACATTGTCTCCATGACGCAAGAAGTGCTTGGCCTGGGACTACTATCAGTTCTACTCATCACATCTATTCTCCTCGGTTCATGGCGAACGGGCCTCATTGTTACTACCGTTGTAGCCCTCACAGTCGTCAACTGCATGGGCGTGATGGGCATCTGGGGCATCAGCCTAAATGCTATCAGTCTGGTCAATTTGGTGATCAGCTTGGGTATTGCAGTTGAATTCTGTAGCCATGTTGCGAGGGCATTCATGGGAATGGGAAGTATTCTTCCTATTGATCATCCTAACGGTCAGAGGGAACGAGATGAAAGGATGTGGGGAGCACTTGTGGAAGTGGGGCCTTCGGTATGCATCTCCCCTTGATTGTGAGCATTACGTCTAATGACCGTAGGTCTTGTCGGGGATCACCTTTACCAAACTTATTGGAATATCGGTGCTTGCTTTGACTCGCTCGCGACTGCTAGAGGTATGATTGCTTGAAGAGGATACACTCGTCTTCTGATGGATTGTAGATCTATTACTTCCGCATGTGGCTCACTCTCATTCTATCGGGAGTTTTGCATGGCTTAGTTCTTCTTCCCGTGATTCTCAGTCTTGCTGGTGGTCCAGGATATGCCATAGAAGACCCTGATGCAGAGTGGATGAGCTATTCGATCAGGAGGCAGGGCGAGTTTGAATATACGTAAGTCTAGGCGCTGCATACTGTTGACAAGTTCTCAATCTCTGCAGGCCATTCGTCGCCGATTCTGACTCGCTCAGTGACTAGGCAACTGCATTGTTATTGAACAGGACGTATATATTGTACCTAATACGATGATCCCCATCACAAGAAATGTTTGACCATGGCCCGAGTAACTGAGTCTTAGATGCCTGGTGGGGAGCGGCTGCGACTCCGACTACGGGATTTACTATCCCTGATATCTTCCGAGCTTTTACGGCTGCGTCGACTGTCCTTACTGCTCGCTCGTGGCCGCGCTGCTGGGCTTCGCATGCTCCTACTCCTACTAGAACTGGTTGAGAAAGAGCGGGTGCGACTACGTGTGCGACTACGGCTGCGAGAGTAAGAACGAGAACTGTAAGACCTGCTTCGATATCGTGGGGATCTTGATCGTGAGTAAGACCTGGATCTTGAGCTTCGGCTTCGACTACGGCTGCTCCGAGACCTTGACGACCTTGAGCGTCGGGAATATGGACTCCTGCTCCTTGAACGACTGTACGAGCGTCCGCCACGTCTTCTCGGCCCTCGACTGTCCGACCTTGGCCGTCGACCTCCTCGTGTATAGCTGGGCGACCTGCGTCGGGGCCCAAGCCTACCGGGGGCACCTCGCCTTGGTGGTGAGCGTGAACGACTTGGACGGAGAATCCTCCCTCGTCCTCTCGGCGGCGGCGCAGGTGGTCCTCGTCTGGGAGGACTAGCGTAGCGACCACCAGTTCCTGCACCCCGTCCTGCACCCCATCTACCACCAGGAGGACCCCTGCGTGGGGAGCGGCTCCTTACTGCTCGTGGTCGGGAACGGCTTCGAGATCGAGAATAAGGTCTTCTGCGACCATATCCGCCTCGGTCGTAATCATTGCCGTTGGACCTATTGATGCCGTTTCTTTCTGGCGAACGTGAGCGCCGAGGAGAACGACGACGTGACTGCGGGGACGGGCTCCTGGGTAGCGGAAAGTTGGATAGTTCTAGCGTAACGACGTTGCCATCCATCTCTCCTCCATTCATATGCGAGACTGCCAACGCTGCAGAGTCGGTCTGCACAAATTCGATAGCAGCTTTCCCTCTGTTCTGCCGAGCTGTGGAATAGGTATCAAGGGTATCATGAGAGATTGCGAATGACATTTAGCTGACGCTTGCGACGAGCATGAACGGTACATACACTTATTATGGAGAGGAAGGTCCAACTTTTTTATCTCGCCATAGTTGGAAAAAATATCTCTCAAATGAACTTCGACAATGTTTCTCGTAAGGTTGGATACAATCACGACGCGTGCGCCCTCGGTCGTGTTGCTGGACGCCTTGTCACGTCCACGGGCAGGCGACGCGCTCCGTGAACGCATGTTTGCATCTGATTCTGGTGACCTTGACCGCATAATTCCAGCGAAGAAAAGCGCTTTTGGCGAATCCGATGAATTTGGGCGGGAATGGTGGAGACCAAGCAGTTTGAGCAACCTTGCACTCCGACCATGGCAGAGGCGATCCAGCACCTGATCCTCGAGACTCTAGACAAACACAATGTCATCAAGGACACGAGAGAACTCGTCCTTCCTGGCGAGTCGAAACCGGCTGCCACTCAAGAGGCCCAGCTAGCCATCATCGCAGCGCTCAACTCGCTACAATCACGAAATGTAACGTTGTCACGCGCTATACATCTTCGTATCTTATTAGAATTTTCTAGATGGTGGTCTATCAAGCCCATGAAGTACTGAGCTACTCTCTGACTCCCGAAGGAGAACAAATCGCAACGCAGGGCTCGCACGAAGCTCGCGTATGGGCGGCACTATCCGAGAAAGGAGGGGAACCCGTCTCTATCAAAGATCTCAAATCCAAGGTGGGGGATGAGAGTGCAAAAGTTGGACAAGGGCGAGCGTTCAAGAGTGGCTGGATCGTCAAAGACGGAGAAAATCTCTTCAAAGCTGTATGAAAAGATTCCAAACTTCCTTTATTTTAAGTATGAGTCCCCTGATTTCTTTCAGGTCTCCTCGATCGTCGATACCACACAAGAGGAGATGGTAGAGATCGCGACAACAGGTACATTGGCAGCTGGAGAGAGAGCAATTAACGAGTTGAAGAAGCGCAAGTTGGTTGTCCAAAAGTCAGTCGGCATCTGATACTTAGACTTGACTCACAGAAGAAAAACAGGAAAGGCCAATGGTATGATGTAGCCAAAGGGCCCGAGTTTAGTACGTCCACTGCGAAGCCAGAGACAGATCTTACGGCGGAGATGATTGCAAAGTGCGTACTACGATGGCCCAAGTGACAGTTGATTGACTTCTTGTAGCGGCTCTTGGAAGACCTCGACTTACAAGAAATACAATTTTGATGCCGAGGGTATTCCACCAACAGGAGGTGCTCTTCACCCACTACTCAAAGTACGAGAAGAGTTTAGAAACATCTTCCTGGAGATGGGGTACGTTTGAGGCTTCTTGACTTCCAACGCCTAATCATCTCTTAGCTTTGCAGAGATGCCAACTTCGCAGTTTGTCGAGTCTGGATTTTGGAACTTTGATACGCTTTTCGTGCCACAGCAGCATCCAGCTCGAGATCTGCAAGATACATTCTACATCTCTGACCCAATCTCGTCGAAACCGCCTCCCAAGGACTATTATGACAAGGTCTCAACCGTACACACTGTAGGTCTACTATAATAAACAGTGAATATCTCCTGATTCAACATAGGTCGGAGGCTTTGGGTCCGTAGGCTATCGCGCCCCTTGGTCCGATGAAGACTCGCAGAAGCTTCTTCTGCGGACACATACCACTGCGCGCTCTGCTTACATGCTGTACAAGCTCGCCACAAGGCCGAAAGGACCAGATGGACAAGAGGGTGGCTTCAAGCCAGTGAAGATGTTCTCAATAGACCGGGTGTTCAGAAACGAAGCGACGGATGCTACACATCTTGCAGAGTTCCATCAAGTCGAAGGTGTTGTGGCTGATCGCGGCATCACACTCGGAGACTTGATCGGTATGTTATTGACTTCCTCAGTACCTTTGCTAACAGTTTATAGGATTCATGGAAACGTTCTTCAGTAAGATGGGAATCACAAATCTGCGCTTCAAACCTGCCTACAATCCATACACCGAGGCAAGTTTCCCAACTTTTTGGATGCTTATCACCAATAAATTTTGTATAGCCTTCCCTAGAAATATTTGCTTTCCACCCCGCTCTCAAGAAATGGGTAGAGATTGGCAATAGTGGAATGTTCCGGCCTGAGATGTTAGAGCCCATGGGATTACCCCGAGATGTTCATGCATTGGGATGGGGTCTCAGTCTGGAGAGACCGACAATGATTCGGTACGTATGCCCATTCTCCTAATGAAACTATCTTGACGTTCTCAAAGGTATGGTATCAATAATATCCGAACGTTGGTCGGCCATAAAGTTTCCATTGAAGGCGTAGAAAAGTCTGCAGCTGTACGGTTCTAGTCGTGGCCTGGAATGAGACAAAGTTGCGCCTCCAATAATAAACATTTGACCACTACCACGACCTGGCTCCATGTCTTTCCATAATGGACCTGTCACCAAAGGTTTAGTTTTCGTTTTTGAAGCTGTGAAAGGCACTAATCGTCCAGCTGTTCAGCGCTGATGCTAACCCTCGGAGCCAACACGTTCATTGTTGGTGCTTTTCAATTTAAACACTACTTTCGACTGCAACTCGTGCCTCATATAACCAAGTATACCCAAGTAAGCGTGCTCTAGCGTGCACTTTCTCATAGACTTATGGATCTTTTTTCGACACATGAAGTGGTGGCGCATCTTAAGCTACCAAGCGGCATTTCAAAGCTCTAGCGAGCTCTTCATATCTCAAATTCTTCTCTATAACGTGTCCGTTGCCTTGGAGCGTGTCTACGGAGTCGGAAATTCAGCGTGAGTGACGCGCTTCCGCCCGGCTTGCCTGAAACTTACAAACTCACGCCTATAGTCCTATATCTTTGTCTCTGGGGTTGTATCGACGACAATGACTGTATTAGGGATGCTAACGGCCGGTTGGTTTGGGATAAACACTTCGTTTGCGGGTCCGATACCCATTTTGTTCAGCATTCTTTACTCGTATTATCGCGTCATTCCATCAGCATATCGTTATCGTATCTTTGGAGTTTCGTTGACGGACAAGACTCCGTACTACGTGATGGCCACCTTTGTAAGTGTCAAAGTATCCAAATGAGACTGACTAAAACAAGGTTAGCTGGCGCTTATCAATGCTCCGGAATCCATAGCTCTCGCGACTATTGGGATCCTTACTGGTGCCGCTTGTAGATCGGACATCCTGCCCTTCAAGTCGTATCGACTGCCTAGCTGGATCAACAAGGTTGCGAGCGCATTCAGACCACTCATAGGATCAACTGAGCCCGGATATCGTCCCAATTCGGTACTTCCAGAACTTGGACAAAGTGGTACACACGTGCCTACAAGTAGCAATGGCGAGGCCATCGGGAGTGCTGGAGTCGATATCGCAGAGCCAAGCGTTATGAATCGGTCACCTGTAGAAGCCCAAAATCAAACCACTGGCCGAGAACCTACGTCCGAGGAGATTTCACAGCTCAGCGCCATGTTCCCAGAAGCCACGAGGGTGCAGATTGTCAACGCTATTAGCTCTACGTAGGTCATTCTAGAACCAACGCTCACTGCTCACATATTTCCATCAAGGTCAAGCCTCGAAGCTGCCGTAGAAAGGCTTGTTCAGTAAATATCCTTCAATAGGACATCTGTTTCAATAACACTGAAAGGGCCTGAAACGATGCTCTCTTCGTTTGCTTGCAGTCGCACAGCGTGGTCAAGGGTTGCAGACCGAAGCGGCCACCTGTCCCGGTCGCCTGAGCAGTGCTTGTTACTCGTCGCCTTTTCTCCTTAGCACCCAAACAGGGACCGGAGATTTGCGTGTTTGTTGGACGAGACCAGCTTGCTTAGGCAATGTTATGGATGATTCGAGAGAGACTGTCTGAATATCGATAAATCAAACTATATACGACATTAATTTATGCCAATTCCGTCTGCATCCGGCGAGCTGTGCTTCCGTGCAAAGGTGAGCGGCTTTGCTCGCACCTTGGACCCGCTCACCACCAGCGGTTTTGTTATCAACCCCGTCTACTGCTTCAGACCCAATCTACCACCTTTATTCTCGTCTCTTACCTCTTTTTCAGCTCAGTACGTGTTTTTGTCTGTTTATTCCCCTTCAACCGGCGCCGCTAGTTGGTCATGTTGCACTCGACGGTGGCCATCGAGTGCTCTCCGTCGGCCCTCCGGGCTCCTCTGTAGACTGCTTATGCCCACTACGGTCATCGCCGCCATCCGTGCCTGCCAAAATGCCGCACGATGAGCACTATACCCGGCTTGCATCACCTGGCGCTTGGTCACCCCGCCCGAGATGCTCGGGGACGGCGGAATTTCCAGAGCGTTTTCATCGTCGTCTTTAACGACTTTGAGCTTTGCCAGTCTCGTGCATTGAGTCCTCCAGGTGGCCTCGAGGCACCGCGCCATCGGTTCCTTCTCCCCATTTTAGCCCCCGCCTCCTCACCTAAACATCCAAAGCTGACCACCGTTGCTACAGACCCGTTCAAATGGCCGACCCGAACGCAACTAGTGCCAACCGTATCGATCTCCGTGTTGGAGGCAAGTACCGCCTCGGAAAAAAGATTGGTTCAGGTTCCTTTGGTAAGCTGTCTTGCTCCTTTCATCAGATGATAGCCTGATCATCCCATAGGTGACATCTATCTCGGAATCAACATCATATCTGGAGAGGAGGTTGCCATCAAGCTTGAGTCTGTCAAGGCCAAGCATCCCCAGCTCGAATACGAATCCAAGGTCTACAAGACTCTTGCTGGTGGTGTCGGTGTTCCGTTCGTTCGGTGGTTTGGTACCGAATGTGACTACAACGCCATGGTCCTCGACCTCCTCGGCCCTTCTCTGGAAGATCTTTTCAATTTCTGCAATCGCAAGTTCTCACTCAAAACTGTGCTCTTGCTTGCGGATCAATTGGTCAGTCCATTTTCCCAGATGTCAGATGTCCTTGTTTGACGCCAGATCGCTGCAGATCTCTCGTGTCGAGTACATCCACTCGCGCAACTTTATCCATCGCGATATCAAGCCTGACAATTTCCTCATGGGAATTGGCAAGCGTGGTAACCAAGTCAATATTATCGATTTCGGTCTGGCCAAGAAGTATCGAGATCCCAAGACCCACCTCCACATCCCTTATCGTGAGAACAAAAACTTGACTGGTACTGCCCGCTACACCTCGATCAACACGCACTTGGGTGTCGGTGAGTTGTATATTTCTGTTAGCTCCGATTACGATCACTTACGCCCTCATAGAACAAGCTCGCCGTGATGACCTCGAGTCTTTGGCCTACGTCCTCATGTACTTCCTGCGTGGTGCACTCCCCTGGCAAGGTCTCAAGGCTGCCACCAAGAAGCAGAAGTACGACAGGATCATGGAGAAGAAGATGACCACGCCGACCGATCTGCTCTGCCGTGGCTTCCCCAATGAGTTTGGCATCTTCCTCAATTACTGCCGTGCCCTCCGCTTTGACGACAAGCCGGACTACTCCTATCTGCGCAAGCTCTTCCGCGATCTCTTCGTCCGCGAAGGCTTCCAGTACGACTATGTATTTGATTGGAGCGTTCAACAACGTAACGAAGATGGTACTGTCAAGCCCCCTCGCGCTACGCGCAAGCCGACTGAAGAAGCTGACCCTATTGCAGAACAACCTCGGTGAGCACATTTGGTGCATCAATGAACTCTCATCTAATGGGATGCGCTTTCAGTCGTCAAACCAGGCAAAGCGCTCAGGCCAATGCTCAGCGCATGACGCAGTACTAATTGCATTGACCCGAGTTCTTCTTTTCTTCCCCTCTAGACAGTCCATTGCTCAGCTAGCTGGGCTGACTGTCAAATCAGTGTCGTGAACGATGGGATATGTTGTGATAATATGGCCTCCGACTGTAGGAGAGGGGGACCTTGACAGGTTCTGGCGATGGCTTGGCAGTTGACCTCGCACAAGCAAGCCAGGACGAAAGCTACAACAGCACATGCTCCAATTCAAGCAAGGACTTGGACCGTACCTCAAGGACGGTCCGCTGCAACTACGCGTCGCTCGTCCGTCGTGTCGATTGTTGTCCTCTGCGACTTCTGAGCCAGGAACATCGCTCAGATGGAGTTGGCGTAACGATAGCTGTGCCAGGTATCGCACCGGCTTGTGGCATATTATTACAGTCTCGGTTTCCTCAAGCTTTCATCCACCTCCCAAGATGACGACCATGATCCCGCCACGGGATCGCATTCGCCCGATGTTCAGTCCTCCCTTCCCCTCTTTTATTTTCAAAGCGATAAATTGTCGACTCTGCGCAGAACACCATGGACGCTCCGTTTCTTTCAAGCCTTTCTCAGCTGGTTGTCGACTTCGTTGTCGTAGGCACCGACGAGAGGGGCTGCCTCGTCCCCAAACCCACCATTCGTGCCCAGCGATATCTGGTGTTGCAGTAGTCACTCGCGCTACCTCGCTCGTGATCATCGACACAACACTCCGAATTTCTTTCTGGACCGCCGGCTCATTCATTCCCCCCACATCACCGTGCCACACGAACCATCAAACGCTTGGGTTATACATGGTACTCACCCTCCCTCCTCGGCATTCCCATCATTCCTAAGAATAGTTTCCCCCTATCGCTAGTCTGATTTCCCAATCCCCCATGCTCGCGTTACATTCGTGTCTTTCTTCTCCATTCGGCTTTGGTCTCTGGTTTCCATCGTCTCTCGCGCTCGTTTCTACTTTTCCTCTCTGCTTCTATGTCGCCCGATTCGTCCGACTCTTATCGGCGGTCAAGTGGCGGGCAAGAGTGATCAGTAGTCCTCCAGGTCACCGTTTCGCGCCTCTGCATCGACGTATTTCGACGTTGTCAGGGCGGAAGCATGGTGAAAGGAGAGGGCGTCGATGGGTCGCCAGTGTGGTTGTAATTCGACTTGCGTACACCCGCTCGTGTCGCAATTCGCTGTCACTCTCTTGCTTCGCCATCATATGTTTACGAACCTCATGTGTTGCCTCACCGTAGTGGTGAAAATAGTGCTTTACCGTTTTAGTCCTTGGATCCATTGAGTCAGCTAGCAAACGTTTACATCGCTCTAAGTCAATGAAAGACTGGAATGAGTGTTGAGAATTAAGAGAGTGGTAGGGTAGGTTCTATAATGTCCCGCGGAATGTCCTAAGCTGACAATTGGTTCTACAGCGCCAGGAGGAAAGAAAGCAGTGTAAAAAGGGCGAAGAGAACGGATGATGGTCTTGCAAATGAGGTCAAAGCGGAGCTGCCGTAGAAGCGGACCGATCGAAACTCGAAATAAGCCTCGGTAAATGCCTTGGGATTGTACTTGACAAATGCCTCGCAGGTTCCTGGGCAGCCGTTTGCTGCATATGTCGCCTCGGCACTGAAAGAGTATTAGGCTCATAATTCCAAGGATTGAAGAGCATCCTTACTAGTCTCCACAAAAATCAATGTTAAGGACGATGGCGTGGTTGTGGAATTGGCCTCCACATCCTGCATATTGGAACGTAAAAGCGGCAGCTAAAGGTGGTTCAGCATAAGAGCAAAAGTGACGGGGAATCCATACTTGGTGTCCCCCACGTAGATGGGTTGACGGTCGTCGAGGAAGAGTTCTTTGGGAGATGTGAGAATCTCGACGCACAAAAGACAGGTTTACATACTAGAACGTCAGCCGGAGGTGTCACATCCCGAGGCCAGAACCAGGCCTGGATCGTGCTTGAGCTGTGAAGAGTGAGTGTCATATAGTCAGGGCAAGGGGAAAGCATACTTGTGAATGTTTCTGTACACGGCGTAGATGCCGCCTCCGTTTTCATTAAACGCGCCACCAAAGCTCTTGCCAGGGACAGTCACCCCGCATCCTATATTTCCTTCACTTAAACCGCTGCAATCCATCGAGCCAGCGGTACCCGTCATGGATCCAGCCGGACGATCCTTGAGAGGACACTGCGGAGCTGTATGAAGCGACACGGCGTTTTGTCCTGAATAAGATGCGTTTCCTGGGAGGGAACCTCCGGTCGCAAGTAGGGAACTAGGGTCGAGCAAGCCAAGAGTACGCATAGTCGTTATAGACGAGTTGGAATTCGCGTTGGCACCCTCGAGTACATCGATCTCGCCTCCATATGGCCAATTTTTGGTCGTCGTGGTCCACACGGCTGGCCAGGTTCCGCACCCGACGGGAGAATGGTTGATATCGAAGATGTACACGCCGTCACCGAATTCGTCTCGTGAGACAAGACGGACACTGTCGCGGCCCTTTCCCATCACGGAGTTATTGATGCTGTCGGCCTTCATTGTGAACGTGGAGTCAGCTGCGAGGGAATAAGGACACAAGCGAAGTTTGGAGAGAAATGTGTGGCGTACTCCAGGAGACAAGACCTGCAGACTGGGCTGCTGGTTCAGACAGATAGCTTGACAAAAGTCAGAAAAGAACATATTCCATGTAGCAATCCACCCACTTTACCACGCCATTGGCCGGGTCGCGATCGTCGAAAAAGTCTACCGTGACAGTCAGTCTATAGTCGCTTCCGATCACATATTTCCTTACAGAAACCTTCCGTAAATTGCTTTCCAACAAAAGACTTGTATAACGGCAACTGTGCCTGGGCGAGGAGACTGTTGGTGACTGCCAAGAATAGGAGGTTGAGGACGGAGGTCATGATTTCTGGACTCTTGCGTCTTTGAACAAGTTTTGATACAGATGATATTTCCGTATACGGCGAAGGGGCCTAATAGGAGGGAAATGATAAGATAATCCTTGGGCGTCGCAGCGCCGGAAGTGGGCGTAGTAATAAGGAGTGTTGAGGTTTCTACAACACAAGGGGCTTGTATTTGCTATTTTTCCAGACTTCTCACAAGTTGCGGCTGGGACGAAGATGCGCGGCTGCTTCTGTCAACGGAGGTTTGTCGAGGCCAGCCGTGGATATTCAGATCTTCCGCGCTACTTGTTGATATTTTCAGCGTCCAGGAGGATCCAAATTGCAACAAGCACGGGACACCGAGGATGAAGACGAGTTCAAGCGATGTGACAGCTTGGCTGGCCAAGAAACCACACAGAGTCGTAGCAATTAGTGCTTATTTCCACAAATCATTAAAATTTGAATACTCAACAAGAAAACTGGCAAACCCGACGATGCCGGCTTCTCCGATAGCCGTGGCCTTCGTCAGCGCTGCATCGCAACTTGGACTCGACGTCAGCAATCTCTGCCAGAATGTTACCACGAATCAACGGAACATACCATGTCGCAACAAGTTTTTGGAGCATTCCCTTTGCAAAGCGCGTCTTTGGGACCGCAAAATTCAAAAGCTCGCAACTCCCGGTCTTTGCACTCGAAGAGGCCGGCGTGCAGGTCTTTTACCCATGCGAAAAACCACAGTCCAGACGTGCTTTTGGGGTTGAATGGCTGCACCGGTACGCATAGAATCAAGCCAATGGTGGCGACGATATTGAGATCATTGGCATTCTAGTCCTTTGACCCAGTGGGCGGCTGGATACGCTACTTTTCTCGGTTAGATTGCTTTCTTACTTGCTTTCTTGACCTTCTGACGTCCTACAGGGTACTCACGTTGGATATTCTGTAAGCCTTGCCACTCTTCTTTCGAGCTCGGCTCATCAATCGGCAGACCCTATCGTCTTTTGTTGAGCGCAATCATCAAGGTATGCAATTCATTGTCCTTCTCGTCCGCTAACCGACCTCGCAGATGCCACTATTTCGGGACACACCTCTCAAAGCCCACCCTGACGGAGCCGAATGGCCACTTGTCATCTTCTCTCACGGACTTGCCGGGACTCGTACAACATACAGGTCTGTAGAGAACATCTCGGAACACCATCTCTTACCTTTCATAGCCAAATATGCAGTCGCATTGCCGCTCAAGGATACGTCGTACTAGCAATAGAACATCGTGATGGAACAGGACCATCCTCTATTTACCCCATCGACGGCAAAAGAGGGCCGCATTACTACCTCAACGTGCAGAATCTAGAGTGCGTCCTTCCATCTGGTGCCCCGCCATATGCTGATACAGTATCAGCTGGGATGAGAAACTGAAAAATCCAGAGACACCGATGCCCTTACGCACTCAGCAACTTGACGTCCGCTACGTGGAGATCTTGGAGGTTTTCAAAGCCTTCAAAGAAATTGTCTCTGGAAATGACTCCGTTGTTGGAAATCGAAAGATTACCCATATTGGGCTAGCTGGAAAGACCAGGTGACCGTCTCTTCTATCATCTTTACGGGCCACTCCTTTGGAGGCTGCACAGGAGTAAGACCTACCTGCTAATTCGCCCTCGCGCGTGCTAAGCTATTTCATAGTTTCATATTCTCACCCACTCCCCTCCAAAGGGCTACGACTGTCTGCCCATCTCGAAAGCCATTATCCACGACCCGTGGATGGAACCATTTCCCGCCGACTTTGAACAACGGGTGGTGCGAGAGAATCAAGCGTTCTCTATCCCAGTGATCGTCATCAATTCGGAAGAGTTCACTCTGTGGAAATCGCATTTTGTGCGTCAAGACACTTTACTCAAGCCCTGGGTTTCGCGCGCGGGTGAGAATGCCGCGTTTGTCACGCTAGGTATGCCTTGCAACCTTCAAGCGAACAAGTGAAATTAACTCGATGTTTGTAGTCGGCTCAAGACATATGGCTTTCTCCGACTTTCCTCTCATCACGCCGCTGAATAAACAGAGGGCAATCGCATATCACGACGACATCCACGAGCTATCTATGGCCTTCTTGGAAGGCAGAATACCAGCATACCTCAAATCCATTCACAAGCGAGCAACCATGACCATGTCCGTCGAAAACCCAGACGACAAGAAGAGAAAGAAGATAAAGGCCTCTCCCGAGACTATAATCATCCATCATTCATCACTACCAAACAATGCAGCAGTCTCGAAACTTTGATCTCATAGTCCGGACAATCACTATATACGGATGTACTTAATCCAGGATTGTTGGGTAGAATGGCATGTCAAGACTGCGTACTTTTCTGGCTGTGATTGGAAGCATGAAAACAAACCGGAGGACCGCGGGGTCAACGCGGATAATTGACATCTGAAGAGATAAAACTCGTGACAAACGAGGTTGAATTGTCGTAATGCACATAAACAGCGTTCGAGATGGGCAAGTGCAAAAAGGTAAGATTTGGGATGTTGATATATGAGGTTAGATGGGTTGGCGATGGATGTGTGGATGCGAAGCATGGTTGAACGAATGCCGTCATTGGAGAGCAGCCGTCTTCTAGGATGGAGTGATTTGGTTGGGGATGAGATGCAACGACTTGCAGCACGATGCACATGAGACTTGTGCTTGGGGGCGATAGTTACAAAAAAATTGGGTACGTCTTTGATTGAATTGTGTGCGCTTGGTCCGTTTATGAGAAACGGCAAGGCCGAGGGGTTCGTATGCTTGATGGAATACTCGATGGTATGGTACGCCAATGAGGAAGGGAACAAGAAAGGAGACCAAGGAAATTGTGATGACGATGGATTTGCATGGGAGGGAAAGTGCCGCGATCGGAGCAGAGAGACGATAATGTACAGTGGTTGACAAAAAGGATGATGATTGAGGCTGAGCACGAATGAATCTAGAGATTTGGATCAAAGCCACCTTGGGCAGCATCACGAGCGAGGTCGAGCTGTCAGAGTCTTGTCAAACTGCTGAAGCTCACCATCGAACCAAAGACCTACCTGGCTAAAGGGCTGGAATGAAGACGATGGTTGATACATGCTAATTGGGGACGTCGCTGGCGGGCTGGACGCCATCATAAAGGGTTGGACGTTTGGGCCGCCAATGTTAATAGGACCACGACCATAGGGACCCATTGGTTTGTTGGACATTCCATAATGAGAGCCGTTGGGCGGCGGTGATGCGGGAAGATATCTTGTTGGCGACACCGGGCCCATGCCCATCTCCATTGTTTCGGCTCGCCCTCTGCGAGGCATTTCGATGGACTGACCAAGTCCACGACCCATAACTGAAGCATCCTGCATGCCCCCAGGCATGGAGCTAAAGTGAACGTTTCCGTGGGCCGTCGGGCTTTGCATAGGACTCATAAGCTTGTTGAGATTGGTTCCAGAGGTATTTGGTGCCGCCGTTCGCACTCCTGATACATTGTGAGTAACAGCTGCAGGGCAGAATTGGAAACGTACCCAGAGGATTCTTTGAATAGGAGAGTCGTATGCCTCCACTCTTGATGAGACCATTGAGGTTATTGCCGTACAAATCTGAAAGTGCCTTGCTGGCGCTTGCAACGTCTTCAAACTGTGAATTTGTCAGATATACCCAAACCAAGGATATTCCCCGCCCATACCTCGACAAAGCACATAGGGCCGTTGCTCTTTTGACGAAAGCTGAGCTTGCTATATCCTTGGCAGCGGGAGAAGAGCTGCACAAGCGCTTCTTCTAGAGCCTTTGTTGCCTGTGGATTTGTGGGATTCGCTGGCAAGTTTCCGACGTAGAGCGTGTTGATGGGAGGGTTTTGGTCTGCTGCATTGCTTCTTCCTCGAGGGTGTTCTCCACTCGTACGCGTATGTTCTCCTCCATTGGGTCCATAGTTACTTTTACTGCCCATTGTCCCTTGCCTCGGGCGCCCAAACTCGATCGGCATTGTCGGAGGGACTGTAGATGCTGGGGCCGGTGTTGAACCTTGGCCACTGGTGGTGCTGATGCTCATACTCTCCGCACCTCCACTGCTAGCAGACTCTGCCACGCTGGACGCGCTCGAACCTGGAAAGTTGGCAGAGGACTCACCCGCCTGGGGTCCACCCGATGCTCCACTCTCGAATGGCACTCTGAGGGCATCGTTTAAGCCGTTTATAAGTTCCATTGGCAGACTATCGAACAGTTTGTTGGCATAGTCGGTCTGCTGCGGAGTGCCAAGTACGTCATCGGCGAGCAGGTGTGGAGGTAAGTGTGCGTGACTCTCGTCAAAGAGCGGTGGCGTATAACCGCCGTATCGAGATACAGACTCGGAGCGGGAACGCTCGGACAAGCGAGATGTCGAATAGGCGTCCGATATATAGCCAGTATCGGCGTCTTGCTGATTCAGGGCCGAAGGTGGACTACCACCATGGCTCGACGGTGGGTGTGGTGCACCCAGGCTAGTGATGATAGGGGAGGGAGGTTTGTTGGTGGCAAGGCATTGGCTTTGACAATGTCCGAAACTGGCTTGGTTGGAAGTGGATGGAAACCCTCCAATAAAGAGGAGTTTGCATTTTTGTGGACGGGGTATGGTCGTGAACTGTAAAGCGTCTGGTCACCGTTGTTGTTGATCACGGGCCCAGAGCCGGATGGTACAAAGGTAGGAATGTCATTAATGCGCTGTGCCCTGAGAGATGGCGAGTCTGGTGCCTTCGACAATGCCGAACTGGCCGTAAGATCGTTAGGAGATGGCGCGTTGCTGAGAGGGGGAACTATTGGGCCCAGTGAAAGTCGATCGGACTCATTCAGACTTTGAACGGGTCCCAGACTTCCAGGTGGTCCCACTATAGGGCCAAGGTGCTTTCCTCCGTTGGTTCCAGGGGCAGCAGATTCTGAAAAGACGCCAAACGCGCCACTAGCTCCTGCAGGACCATTTACGCCAATGCCCAAGGGAAGTTGAACCTGCAATGGCCCAACCCCTCGCTTGGTGTGCAGGTTCTTTTTCGCCATTTCTGCCTTGAGCAATGCACCCTTTTCGATATCCACTCTTCTCCCATGCAAAACGTCCCGCGCTTGCAATGCCTCCTCTCGCGATCTGAATTTGGCAAAGCCAATGATTTGCTTTCGTGGTTGGCCTTGCTGAGCCAAAGCCAATTGCTGAGCGAGGTCGGATGCGCTCGTGGTGGACGCTGCAGCGGCAGCGAGTACTTGACGGGTATACGGATCTTCTAGACCAGTCGCCCATGTCGATGATGTGGTAGCGGTCGTATTGTTCCTTGGTCGACGACAACGCCACCTGAGTTGACCGTCACCAAATTATACGGATCACTTGCTCCAGCTAATGCGCTTGCAGCGGCAGCAACGGCTGCATTTGGTGCCATCTGACCTTGTTGCTCCTTTGTAGGGACTTTGAGAGTAGCCGCCTCGTATCCGGGACAAAATGTGAACATATTCTGAAACTCTCGTTCCTACAAACTCGAATGAGGACCAAGATTTAAAAAAAAACATACGAGGTGGACTCACAGTCATGTCATCGGGAAAGCCCACGACGAAAATGGTTGAGATCTCTTCTTGTGCTTGACCTCCGGGTATGGGCTGCTGAGCAGCACTAGCAGGCGGTATTGGGACAGGTACTGATTGGGCAAGCTCCTGTAGACGTCCTACCACTGCGTTCTTTTGTTGGGGGGGCATGCTCTGCAGTGCTTGCATCAATTGTGCTGTCGATGGAGCACCAGGCAAGAATTGTTGTACAGATGAATGAGATAACGATACATTGTGGATGGGTGGGATCGGCGGCGGTTGAGTGGCAGAGGGCAGAGTCTGTTGACTCAGGCTGGATGTCTGGAGAGCACCGGGTGCAATAGATAGCTGTACTTGATTGGAGTAGAGGGGTACGGTCGTCGAAGAGAATCCGGCGGATGCAGCCGCTGACATATTGAAAGGGTTGGATCGAGGAAGTATCGAATGTGGTCCGGGTGTGCTTGACCCGTTGAGTGTATTCGTGGTGGAGGTAGAATGGGATGATGCCAATTCATAGTCCACTCCATTGAAGCCGCGGCCAAAGGCGGATGGATCCGATAAATTCGAGGTGGACGAGCTGTATAATTCCTGAGGAAATGACTGCTTGGCGGGCGGATCGTTCATGAGATTTGGGACTGCACCAAAGGCACGGAGAGCATCGTTGGACGCGCTCGGGCGATGCCTAAGTGGGTTTGGTTGGGCAGGCGGTTGCAGGTCGGCAAACGCTCCTTGAGGGCGGTATGTGTATGGAAAAGAGTTCGAGTCACTCTTCTCGTCTCGCACCAGGCTCTCCCCCTTTTGTGGGCTAGCTCCAGGCGGTTGGAGACTCTCCGCAGGAGGTCCTACGGTGTGTGTCTGTTTGGTGGACGGGGCCGGAGGAGGGAAGCCCACTGAGAAATCAATCATGTCGTGGGCATCCAAAGAGTCCAGCAACGAGCGATTGATAAGATGTTCGTCGCTCCCGAGCGCAGGGCTGGGCGACGTCAACGACGGGGGCTGCACTGCTGACGCCAGGGTGGGCAACGCGTTGGATTAGTAGATTCAAGCTTGTTTGGCTGATTTTTCAGCGTCGGCGGTGGTCTACAGAGCCAGAGAGCATGCACTTGTCGCCACCAGACGTGCTACAAGGCCCCCAAGGCGCAGATAATGAGCGTCGTGGGCCATTATGTGTACAAAATCGCTCACAGAATCTGAAATTTGTCGAGCAGGGCCACCGAGGACGCTCAGAACGCGCGCTATCAAGCTGTACAGACGCTTGCTAGACGCGAGCGGCCGGCGAGAGACGACTTACGACCTCTCGAGGCAGCAAAGAGGCAGTCGAGATATCCCCTTGCGCTGTCTCGCGTCTCGTCTCGCGCCTAGTTGGATATTTTTCAGAAAACGAGGATGGTGGATTGACGACAAGTTCGCGTGGACAACAGATTGGCCTCGCGGCCGTTGGCGAGTAAGCTCAGACAGCGCAAAGCGACGTTTCAAGGTCATTCTATGGGCTCATTCTTCATCATCTGCGGTGTGGTAGACTAGTTAATTGGCCAGAATCAGTGCGAGACCTGCCTGCGTCTTCGAGGCTGCACGAGTCCGACGAGGGTGACAGTCGCAGTCACAGAACATGTATTTGTCCTATCCCATCAGATAGGGACGCATTTACTCCAGGAAAATAGCCCCAGTGGGCATATATGAATAGTGCTACACAAACTCTAGAACGCAAACTAGTGAGTGATCAGAAGCCTGAATCAAGTCAAAAGATCTCACAAAAGTGATCCTCACTCCTTTAGCCAGTGTCTCCGGTGCGCTGTCGGCCACACTGAGCTCCCTACAATTGCAGCCGCAATAGCATAAATGACGACCGCCCACAGGAACGCTTCAAAGAAGCGCAAGAGTGCCCTGCTTCGGGCAGCCTCCTGGGCGGCTTGGGACCTCGGGTCTAGAAACGGCAGCTGCGCCCGTGACGAATCACCACCAATTTCTGGATGATAACGCTGAGGTGCATGTATTTGCGTTCTTGATGATCCGGAAACTGTGTGTGGCCGTCAGTGACGTTTGTGACGCCTGGGACGCCCCACATGGGCACAGAACCGAGCACTCGGACACTGCGACTTGCCTTGTTGAGAAGTTCCTTGTGCAACAACTGCAGCATACGAAGGAGGTGCCCCTGGGTCGTCTTTCTTGCTTGCTCCTTGTGTCATGTCCGGATATGTCGATGATGGAAGGCTCCAACTTGTCTTACTGCGGATAATCAACAACATGAGAATTTATTCACGATACAAGGTGAATACGAAGAAATAAGTCGGTAATAAATCAATGTAGACCCCAGATACCAGTATGCTTCATCCCCGCCACCAAGGCATGTACATTGCCCAAATGTTTGGCTAACAACTGCGTTTTCTCGTCTGTGGTGAGTAACATCTTTTCTCCTTTACGAGTCACGTTGGTAGGCGGAAGAGAGCTTGGGAAAGGCATCTTCTGACGTGCAGGTTTCGGCGTCCTCTCGTCAAAAGGATTATTCACCAATGTGTTATCAGCGTAGGATGCCTCTCTTAAATGTCGCCGTTGTGGTGTTTGAACTCGATCAAGCGAGCCTTCCGAGTCGGACTCCTTTGACGCGCCAGAACGATGGGCCCGCAGAAGCTTGATGGGAGTGCGGGGTGTGTCATCCCCAGATTCGATTAGGGATCCAGAGCTCGAACTAGGGACGAGTGTGACCTCGGACGTGCCTCGCGCATGGCCATGGTCACGGGATAAGGGGTTGGAGAATGAGCCATCATCATGGGTTCCATGTCGATGCTTCGAGGACAAGTTTGGGGTGGGAACACCTCCAATGACTGGTCGTTTCTTTTGTTTGATCGGCGTAGCCGGCGTAAAGTCGATGTCGTTTCTCAGTAACCTGAGCTCGGCTACCTTGGGATTTGGTGCAAACTCGTCGTCGGAAGTGTCTGATGCTGTTTGAGAGCCTTGGGACGCCGACAAGTCGATGGCTTGCTGTCCTTCAACCGAAAGTGGATCCTCTTCCGGAAGGAGATAGAAGTAGAGAAACTCTAGACATTTCATCCTATACGTTGTTAGGTTCCGCAGGTCTGGACAATAGAGGGTCGCACCTAGTCTCTTGGGTCACTCCTGGTCGCTTGAGTGTTCGGACTAGAACCTCTAATCCATTGAGCTCTTCAAACAGTCTAAGCACCGCTGGGGCATCGACTAGGACGCACAGCAATGTATCCAATACAGCGCTGGCTAGGCAAGTAGGCACGGGCCCGTCGGAGGATTTTGGCGCATCTTTAGAAGGATTGAGGTATTTCGACAGGACAAGGAGGTCCAAAAGAAGCTATCAAACTGTCAAAATAGAGCAAGTAGACCGTGTAAAATGCGAACCTCTAAACACCAGCGTCTGCAAAGAAAGTCCTTGCTGGGTTTGTGTAACAAAGATACACCCTGAAGAATTGATAGGCATTGAATGATGTTTCCAGTTATCCTCAACGACTCGTCGTGATCTACATCACATGTAAATAGGCTTTCTTGCTCAGTCCTTCCAGCATACCTGCTATCTTCGAGTCGCCAACTGTATTTGATATGCTCTGTAAGATTGGGAGCCATGACGAGATGGCAGCAACAATCCGCGAGGCCACTAAGATTGGTGTTAGGTAGCATCGGGGAACCGTACGAGACATACCATTCGTCTCAAACGCGTCTTGACACCGTATGAACTCCTGAGATTGCTATTGTCTGCTCCGAGTGTGCATGCTGCGCCCAACTCGTATTCGATTGATGTTAGAGCTCGGCTGCGACGGGATATCGACGACCGAGTTGAAGATATCTGCCTTATATTAGCTTCTAAGTTGTATACAACGAGATTTGCGCACGTCGTCGAGCAAAGCTGACAGGTCCATAATCCTGGTGAGAGCCAAACTTCAAAGGCGCAACAGGTTCGACCCCGACCACGTTGGCAGTTTTCTGGCCAGCCTTTGTACCATCATGGTTCGTTCAACAACAATTGCTAGAGCATCAGACGCGCTCCCACTGGCCGCTTCAGTCGATGACGAGCAGGTTTGGGCATCCGTTTCTGGCTTGAGCAGGCCTGTTTGCTCATTCGCTGCCAGACAGAGACAGCCCTGCAGGAGCATAAGCAACAGGCAAAGCTCATTTTCAGGAGAATAAACCCTCAGAGCGAGCCACGCTGCTCCATTGAAAGCGGCGCATACACTTTGCAGTATGTACGACGTCTCTCTCCGGCACTAGACTCTTACGTGGCCACCAGTTATCTGATATCAAACGGTGTTGTATACCTTACGATTGCAGAGAAGTCGTACCCGCGCAAACTGGCCTTTCTCTACCTTGATGAGCTGGCCCGGGAGTTTGGAAACTCGTACGGATCAAAGGTCGAGACCACAAGAAAGCCTTATGCGTTTGTTGGATTCGGTAAGACAATTTGCTCACCAAAGGGACTATATCTTGCTCATTCCCGGTTTGTCTATAGACACATTCATGAGCAAGACGGCCAGACTGTACAGTGATACACGGACAGCAGATGCTGCTGCTGCTGCTTCTGAATCAAATCTCGACAAATTAAACGGCGAACTTCAAGACGTCACCCGCATCATGACCAAAAATATGGAAGAGCTCTTGTGGCGAGGTGACAGCCTGGACCGTATGTGCTATTTGTCATCTTCTAGGGTTGTGCTAATTCTGTTCTGTATTCTAGGCATGTCGCATCTCTCCACTTCGTTGCGTTCGGAATCGGAAAAGTACAGAAAAGCGGCCCGCAAGATTAATATTGATGCCATGATCCGTCAATACGCACCCGTAGGAGGGGTTGTACTGCTGTTATTGATCGTTATCTGGTGGAAGTTCTTCTGACGACGTCTGACGCTACCGCTTCCCGTGTACCTTATTTCTCGTCATTATATATTTGCTATGCTCATTTCGAACCTTTGCTTCTAGTCGTCGATTTCCTCATTGAAGAACGGTCGCAGGTGAAGCGCCGTCTAGCTGCTGCCACTCAATCTCTGCGACACACTACAAGGAAGCAGGCCAGGCAATTCAACGCGCAATGTTACAAAATCCCAATGGGTGCAACAGGACGGGCTGGGGGATACTATGCACAAGCATTTGGAGCTCCACCAAACGCTGGTATGCCGCTGGTCGGCCAAGGCCCTGGTCCGTCGCCGCAGACGACCCGCCCACGCGCAAGGAGCAACGTAGACATGTTTCCTCCAGCTCAGATCGCACAGCCGCAGTCTTCTAATATCTCTAAATGGCAAAACGACGTCCAGGCGTCGCAGATCCACGGCCAACCACCGGCAGGTAGGTGCTATATTGGCTTAGCCAGGATGCTAATCAGGAATATATCCAGTCATAGATCAAAGACCATATCGAGAACCTAATCCACCTCCTCAACCAGGCTATCCAGCAGCAGACGCCGCTGAAGTCCCGTTCGACCCAGGCCCACCCCCCGTATGCGTTTTGCAATAGGACAGGGGTTGAACGCTAATTCCAGACAGAACTTTGATGGAGTAAAACTCTCCAAAAAGGCAAGTGACTCGTACTCACCATCGAGCTATTCCTGACGAGTGTTACAGCAACAGAAGGCCGTCTTAGAATCCTGGTAAGATGGGTCGCGATGTGATGACGAAATTGACTCAGGTGGCGTGCAGGCAACGACAAAAGGACGACTTTCTCCGATACCAAGCCTCTCAAGGTAGGAACCACAAGCGCTCCAAGTCTCAGACTCGATTCGCAGAGGAGCAATACGCCGACTTTTCAAGGGGAGGGGTTACATTCCCTCAACCTGGTCGTGGATCGAATCCCAACTCGGACGTCGAGCGCTCCATGTCTCGACTGACCTTGAGTGGACTTAACCCCAAGGGAGGAAACACTACCGCCGCTGAACGTCAGGCACAGCGAGGTAGACGCCTCTCAGGAGGTGTTCTCGGCCTGTCGGGCTCCATGGCACAGCAGCAAGCTGCACAACAAGCCGCTCAACAAGAACAGATGCAAAGAGCCGCCCAGCAAGAGCAAATGCAACGAAACGCTCGTGAGAGATCACGTTCGCGGCAACCCCAAGACGGACGGTACATGAGTGAAGACTATGGCGCTAGGCAAGGTTACCCCGGAAACATTTCCAATATAGACCACGGGATATCAGGCTCACAGCAACCGACCGTTGTGCCCAGGGGAAATACCCAGTATGCAACACCTTACTCTGTGCAACAGTCCACCCCAGCTACAAGATATGTCCAAGCACAGAGCAATCAGCCACAAAGATCTCCGTCCTTTTACACGCAGCCGATAACCCCTCAGGAGCCGCAGCCTTCGCCAATCTATGGGCAACAGATTCTACCCACTCAGCCTGTGCAAATTGGGGGAGCCCAATACTCTCCTTCGCAGTTTGTGCCCGTTCAGCTTGGCAGCGTGCAAACAGCCGCTATCCCTCTTGGCCATGTTTCCAATTATCCAGGCTTTCCTCAGGCTATACCAGGTCTATCACCTCTACCGGGAACGCTTGACCTTGGTACCGGCCCACAGTATATGACGCCGGTCGTCGCTGGACAACCTATCTTGGGTTACCAACCAGATCCGAGAACTCCAGCAAAGAGAAAGACAAACATTGCTGAAGTGATGGGCAACGTGAAACAACAACAGCAGCAATTCCCCATTGGTGGTGCACCATATCACATTGACAAGACATTAATCACGCCTGCTCCAGAAGAACCCGACACTTGCGCAAGAGCAATATATCCGAATATATGCATACTCGTAACAAATCGGAGCCTTTGGCCCAAAGTGGTTATGTATCTGCCGCTCCCATCCCTCCTGCGGAACCACCCAAGCAAGTGAATTATCCACCTCCATCTTATCCACCACCTTCTCACCCACCCCCCTCGCATCGCCCGAACCTTTCTGTCTCTACCATTGGTCTCACTGGACAACCTGGAGTGTCGCCTGCTGGTGGTCCCCCATCCGGCCAGCCTCCTGTAGTCGTCCGCCCTCCCTTCACGCAGAACGAAAGCGCATCTAGCCTTCCCAGCGTCACAGGGCCGCAAGGATTTGGGAATCGACCCACCCATGTACGCCAGCCGTCCTACAAAGCAGCCCTTCGGGACAATGGTCAAGATGCAGTCGCAGAAAGCCCAAGGTCGGAATTGCCCGTTGTATCCATGAGGAAGCCTGATCCAAACATGGAAATCAAACACTTTGATCCCAAAGTGATTACGTACGACTTGAATAGCGAGCATCGTCTGGAGACTCCTATGCGGTTCGGACGATTCGCCTATGACAGGGACGTCAACCACGCGGAGTGGGAACTATTTACCAAGGTATACAACTTGGCGAGATTCCTTGATGTTCTCGCTGACCTTTGCTTAGCAAATCCTTGACACTTGGGCCGAGCGGAATCCAGCTTTCAACCACTACCACCAGGCCGTCAAGAGGATCCAGGATATCTTGATGGCGTGGAATTTTGCCTTCTTCAATCCTCGCGGGTATGATATTGTCCATGCTTACCGGTGTATCTCTAATGGTCCTTCTAACCTTACAGGATGGATGTTGTCCTTTTCAAGGGGAACGAGAGGCGCTCAGGCAATGGCTTCGGAGAACCAGAGCCTAATATTGATTTCGCAACCGAGGCTGGACCAGTGTCAGAGCCTGAGACAAGTAGCGAGGAGGAGGAAGAGCATCCGAATCACTATCTCATGAACCGCGCAGAAGCCCACCAGAGGGCGCAGCAAATTGCTCTCAAGGAACAGCAGCGCGAACGTATGTCTGGTTTCTTCCATAGTCAAATTTATTGCCTCACGTCTTCATTTCAGTCAGACGAGCCAAACAGTTGGAGGCGCCGCACTCCCTTGTCATCTATGACATACCCATTCCACATCCTCAAGCGCCTGAGCCGCAACCTGGATATAGATGAGCTATTGGCGAGTTGACTTCCCATATGTCCATCCCCTTTCTCGTGTCGAAGATATGTACCATACAAACTTTGGAATTTGGATGCCAGTTCCTATACATTCTCTGTTGAACCCGTTCCGGACGGTCTCCAGAGTCCGGTCCAAAACTTGAGCACGACCACGCCACCATGGAGATTGATTCGTTACCGTATGACGATGCTGCTGGAGAGAAATATGCAGAAGAGCATCCTGAACATGACTTCAAGTCACGTATAGGCGCCTCACGACTGTACTTGTACTCTGAATCGTCAGCCGCAACATCCAGCTCACGAGTGCGTTGCGTCACAAACCAACGCGTGCCGTCTGTTTTTCTCAGTCTTGTCTTTTTCATCTCTAGCGACAAACTACACAAGGCGACGAAGCAGACACACAGGAAATGACAGTCGAAGTCGAACGCGCAGAGAACCCGCTCGGGATCAGAGACAATGCGATTCTCTTTCGCGGAGATGCGATTGCAAATCTACCGACGCAACGTATATTCAAGTACATTAGCCATTGCGGAACGCTACCCCTTGGGTACGTGTTCCCTAATGTTGTGCGTTTTCTGCAATGTGACTCAACGGAGCGGACAGATTGGAATGGGTGAATGATACCAACGTGGTACTCGTCTGGTCCACGGTCGCAGAGACTCGAAGCGCGTATGAGAGCATGCGGGAAGCCGGCACGGGGCACCTGGCAGAAGACGATGAGGGCTTTGTGCCTGCGAAGCCGATTCCAGAGACACTTGCCCATGTGGCATTGCGTGTCGAAAAGGCCCTTGGTAAGACGGACGTGCAAGAACAGGCCCAGATGTGGATGCGGTTTGCGCGTGCAGAGGATGTCAAGCAAAAAGGAGGGCGGAATAAAAGCAAGTTTTATGAAAAGTATGGCGAAAATGCGGGCAAGGATGGACAAAATGTCTATTCCTCACGGCGTGGGGAGAGAAGTAGACGTGAAGACCCCGACGAAGCACTCAGACGACGATTAGATGCAGGTATGGGGCACTTATGACATATCAACCGAAAAACTCACGATTCTTAGAACTCGATGGGTTTGCTGAAAAGGACGAGACTGCCAGACGGTCCATCTCTCCGAGACGAGGGAGATCCGCGTCGCCACCAGGCCGGGAGCTTCCTCGCGATGGGCCTGGAAGAAGGAGGAAACGGTCCGACTACGAGTACGATCAAGACTTGCAATCGCGACTGGGTCCTCGGGTCGGTGGGGCTACAGGGAGTGTTCGGGAATGGGACGTTGGTAAAGAGTGGCACACGGACGAATTTGGACGATCTCGTTATGGAACCATGTCGAGAGATGGACGCAAGGACGCACGGGGTCATCGGCGGGAACGGGGCGAACGTGGAGGGGAGCGGCGTGAGGGCCAAGGCCGCCCGTCCAAGACCAAGGAGGAGCTTGATGCCGAGTTGGACGCATTTCTGGAGGGATAATGGGAACCGAGTGTCGGACGAGGCGAATAGGCTCGGGTGGCCATTCTGGTGGATATTCAAGCGGTGGATTGTAATCATCTGAACACTAGTCTTACATACTCGCTTATTGTGTGTGGCGTGAGCCGAGTCCTATGACCGACTGGATGACCGCCCAAATTGCTTGACCAGTCGAGGGACTAAGCTAAGTCCCGACCACAACCCTCCGCCATGGCTACAGCTTCCCCGATGAGCTGGTTGCCTCCAAGGGGAGTTCATAATATTACTCTAGGCTCCTCTATTCGTCGTTCACTCGCCAGCCCACGCGCAAACGCTGTCCAGGCGGCGCAGTCATCCAGAAACGAGTTTGTCGCCATGCGTTGTGAGTCCAGCGCTGCTCTGGGCGCTCTCAGGACACGCTGGAGCTGATCTGGATATTATTCTCGATAATTCTACAGACAATGTCAAGCCGCCCGGCGTTGTGAATGCGACGGGGTCGCTTGCCCCTGCGGCAACATACGCGCACAAGGACTCGTTCCAGATGGAACTAAGCTCAGAGGTGACTAGCTCCTTGTCGTCTGCAGAGTCTGACAGGCGAGACTGACTGGCTGGTACAGACGGGCGAGCAACACTCGTTCAGCGCGAGATCCGAAACGAAAAAGGAGCTCGATTGCGTCCTGTTCTATGATGCTTCTACCGGGGTGAGTCCTTGGCTTGCTTTGTTGTGATTAGCCCGAGTGCCCATTTTCCATTTTATAACAATTCGAGTTCTGACCGCGTTTGGCATTGTCCCTCGCAGACGCTGGTCCTTGAGCGGCTCGATAGCCTCCTCGTGCTCACCCACCAACGCGCAGCCTCTGCAACCGGCCCACCGACGACTTTGACCACTGCGTCCGGTCTCAAGGGCGCTCCTAACGGTCTCCTACCCAACCGTGCGCATCCCACGGCGTTCCCGCCTACCCCGCCTTCGACTTCGCCACCCGAGTATGCTTCATTGCCGGAAACTGGCCGCACAAAGGAGAGAGCACGTCCAGTGTCTTCCGCAGGCACCCCACGTGCTATTCCTCTTGATCCACCGTCCCCCGCCCATGTCCGCGAATCCAGTGGCGCCGACAACGAGCCGGCCCCTCTTGCCGCACCAGCCACTGGCCAAACTGCAACGATCGCCAGCCGAAAGGTGCCTCAGAGTATGTCCGAGTATGCCCAAGAGCAGCGTCGACTCCAAGAGGCTCGTCAGCGCTCCAGTTCGGGTTTTGCTTCCGATCCCAATGAGGAAAATCTCACGTTCGGGAAACCAGCCGGGGCATCTGCGCCCCCGTCCTCTGGAAACGCCCTGCGCCTCTCGGACATGCCATTGCGGCGAGGCGACAAGCGCAAATTCTCAGATTCCGAACCAGACGAGGAAGAACTCGAGTTTGGGCGCCCGTCCAAGGAGATTAAACGTGCAAAAACGGCCAGCCAAAGCCCGGCTTCTGTCACCTATGGCACGCCACCTGCCCAAGTCTCGTACAGCGATTCTGCACCCTCTCCAGCACGCGCAGCGCATCTGCACCCAGTGTCGTTGCGCTCGTCTGCTGCTGCCGCCCATAGCACAAACATGGTCCACGGGTCCTCCCCACTCGTCAAATCGCATGCACTTGTCGAGGAAAGTGACTCGGACGACGAAGAGGATGAGACGAGCGATTCCGATTCAGAGCCAGAGGCGCCTGCACCGACATTCGCGCCAGCGAGTCATAACGAAATGGAGCTAGTCTCGGTTGATCCAGACGGGGAGGAGGACGATTTTTTGATGGCGGCGTTTGACAATGACGATAACGCGGGAGGAGGAGCAGACAATGGCTCTGGTTAGTTACATTCTTTTGTCCGAAATCATCGCTCATAATATTCTAGATGATTCGAGTGACGAAAGTGACTACGACGAACGTTGATTCATTCTTGTTTTCATTTCTTGCTATGGCACCTATGGCGGTTTCCTGGTTGGTTCTCTATTTTTATCCTCGTTGTTCATTTATCATCTACCTCCACCAATGGCTTTCTTCCCGCAATGTCGCGCGAGTTTGTTCGTTTGTGCACCCCGGTTACTCCTCTTGCAATCCACTATAGTAGACGTACGAGATTTTCAATCATGTTCGATTCTCATACACGCGAGCATAGAAAACATAATAGACGGCTTGCAATTCATATTGGGGGCCAATTGGCAAGACTGAGAGATGACCTACGTGGAAGAGCTTTTTTCTCTTGAGCCTCTAAAGCTACATTCCATCTTGATAAGCTGCATTGTAAACATTTAGAGCTTTTCGCGGGTCCACCTGGTCGAGTGTCAGCTGTATCGTCATATTGGGGATGGTCAAGGGACGCACTTGCGGTCAAATTCGCGGTTGATAGCCATGAATTTCGTGTTCTCGTTTTGTTTGACCTAGAGAGCGAATGTCAGTTCATTTGTCAAAAGTCGTTATTGAGGTCCGTACGCTTTGCCATGGCTCTGGGTTCTTGCGGGTCCAAATGACTAGGCGCGAAACATTAGAACAACTCAGTATGCTCTGGTTGAACGTACTGTCTGGACGAGTGCCCAAGCGGTAGAGGTACCAAGAGGCTCCGCTCAAAGCTCCGCCAAGAATCACATAACTGTACGATGTAAAAATTACAGAAAATATCCTGTCAGTATCCAATTTGTCCCCATCTATACAAGAATATGGTCGTACATGGGAATTGCCTGTCCACGAGGGGGTGCCCAGTCAGCCGCATGCAAAAATCGACGATAAAAAGCTAGTAACGACACTCACCTCGATGGCAAACCATTGCTTCATGAGTGATCTTCGTGCGACCTGTGCTGCGACCATAACTGTCTGGAATGTGGTAGTGGTTCAAGTTGGATTAAACAAGGGCTCCTAGCCGGCGGCCTGGCAATCATTTCGACCGACAATTCACAAAAATCACAAGCAATTATTGCGGAAAATGAGGGTATTCGTTCAACGTTGTCACTCTAGAAATGAAGAATGGCCACTGCAAGATCGACTCGTAGGCAGGAAACAGTAATGTCGACTGTGGACATGCAAAAGAAAAAGGAAGGAAAAAAGGAAAGTGTCCTTAATGAATACGAAGGAAGAATGCAATGCGTGATGACGAGGCCCTAATAATTGTCATAAACAATGTCCAGCTGTACAATAGTCGTTTTACGCCGTCGTGGCAGGGATCGCGCCAACTCCAATAACGTTGATCGGCGGAACAGCGCCGGACGCACTCGAGGTTGTTGCTGGTGGCTCGGCAGCATTTACGGGTGGGCTGACCGCAGTTGGTGCAGCAGAGACACTTTCGGTCGAGGTAGCAACAGGAGCAGACTCGGTGGCTGTCTGCGATGCGCTACTGAGAATATCAGTAGCCTGCGAGGGCGAAATGGTCTCGGTCGCGCTAAAGCCAGCGCCATTTCGAACGACTGCACCCAGAGCGCTGCTCTTCGAGTCGATAAAGGCGGCAGTTGGTCCGGCGAGGATGCTCGCGCTGCTTCGGACGTGGATATCCGCGGCAAGAGGTTGTGTGTCCTTTGTGAGCCAGATCCAAACGGGTCCGTCGATACCCTCTGGAACGATGCACTCGTTGAGGGCGAATGACAGTGAAGTAGCTTGACCTCCGACCAACATTTGGCAGGACGCAGATCCCTCACTGGTCGAGTTGAGCGCTGGCGAGCTGAACGTGAGCTTGGTGCCTGCGGCAACTGGTCCCTGGTTGGTAACCGCGAGCGGTGGGTTTGCTGCACCGAGGCCCAAAGCAGCTGCGGGATCGCATCCACTAACAAAGGCACCGGCGATGGAGAGAACGTCTTGGGGAGTCAGCGCGACGTCAAAGGCTTGTGGGACAGTAGTCGCGCCGCCGACAATGTTCAGGAAGGACTGATGGCGAGCTTCAACAGTGAGAATGGTTGCTGCAGCTGCCAAAAAGTTCTTGTCGTCCAAGATGTCTGCGCCTCCGAGGTAGGCTGCGACACCGACATGTTCGACAACGCGGGCGACGCCAGCCATGGTCGCAACATCGGTGAGCACAGGATCAAAGTTGAATGAGCATCCAGAAAGAGGAGTCTCTCCGTTGTCGGCTAGTGCTTGGTCAAGACTAAAGGGATCACAGCCATGTCAATGGGGGGCGACATAAAAGGCTGAATGAAAATGGACATACACAGCAACGTGGGAGCTTTCATGGGCTAGAATCTCTTGGAAACCCTGGATAGCGATATCTGGGATCGTGATACCAGCAGCAGTAAAGTCTTCGGGCTTGAATTTGGCAAGGGCTTGAGTGTAGAATTGTGTTTCCAGCTGTTCAAGGAGCTCGGCAAACTCTGTATAAATGTGAGCAAACAAAGTAGATGAAAAAACCAAGCTGGACTGACTCAAGACTGTGACTGTTGCGGCGGAGACTGCGCGGGTCACCTTGAGCGGATGGGCGGAGGCGAGCAACGGGGTGGCGGCGAGGAAGAGGGCGGTAGTAAAACGCATCGTAGAGTAGATTCAAAAGAAGGAATCGAGTGCTGGATGTTCAAAGGCCAAAGGCGAAGTGATCTTGCAGAAAGAGCGACAGGATAAGGGGCTCAGCCCAACTAGAAGCAGCGGATGATGAGCAAAAGAGTTGTATGAAATATTTGGAGAATATACTGACCGTTGACGAAAAGAGGAAAAGAAAGGGAGACGAGGAAGGGGACAAGTGAGGACTTGATGTTTGGCGGACGGGTGGTTATGTAGAAGTGGTCCTGGCAACGGGGGTCGACCGGACTCGCCACCGCTAACAACCGGTCATGACGGTAATCTGGGATCTATTCGTCTCTAAGCACTACAAGCCCGTAATCATTCCTTTCCACCATCTCCGGTCGCAACTCCGACACACTCCGCGCACCAACCAATCGCATTGCCAGTGCAATTTCTTCTTCGAGAACTGAAAAGGGACATCACCACAGGGACACTTTGTCTCACAAAATGCTTACTTTCGATTGCTTTGGTCACTCCTCGCTCCCCGTACGTTCCGTTTGCGTAGAGAAAGGGCCTCCCTAGCCCAACAGCTCGTGCTCCTAGTGCGAGGGCTTTGACAACATCCGTGCCACGGCGTGCACCACCGTCGACATAGAATTCTGCCTTGTCAAACAAATCGGGTCTGCGCTGGCGAAGCTCCCAGAGGATGTCAATCGCGGCAGGAGCACTGACAACAGTGTGTCAACTACTGCAACAAGCCCGAGTCTACTCACTAGTCAAGCTGTCGACCACCGTGGCAACTGAGGTAGACGCCTTTGGCACCATGCTCAATTGCGAGCTCGGCATCTTCGACCGTCTGCACGCCCTTGACGATAAGGGGCAGGTCGGTGATGCTCTAGGCACGGCACTCAGTCCGAAATGGCCTGCCAAGACAAAAAGAAACAACCTTGAGCCATTGGAGATCACTCCATTGCAAGTTGATGTCGAAAAATGAATCGAGTTGCGCCGAGACACCTGTTCGCCCTGTGGGTGTCTCTTCGTCCTTTAGAGCATGAGAACCAGCAACGGCGTAGAGAATAAGCATACAGTGGTGGGAAGTCGATTTCTGATATCCCGCTCTCGCTTGCCAAGGACGGGGGCGTCAACCGTGAGCATGATGCCTTTGTATCCAAGCTCGTCGATTTGCCGGATGATCCGCTCCGACTCTTTACGATCCTTATTAATATAGAGCTGTAGGAAATGAGTATTAACATCTGAATGAGCAAAGTCCGCACCTGGAAGAAGAGAGCTTGATTTTCTAGACGAGCTGCGGAAATATCTTCAATGGTGCGTGAGGCGTTGGATGAGATCTTGTCAAGTGAGCCACAGCACAAGCTCATACGGTCAACGTACCCCTTGAATAATACCAGCTTTGCCAGCGCCGCGCGTAATGTTTACTTCACCCTCTGGGTGGCCAAGGCCCGCAAGGGCAGCGGGGCTTACGAAGATGGGGAGTGCCGTCTTAATACCCATGATTGACGTCGTCATGTCTATTGTTCCCACAGGAACCATGCTGTCGAATGTGAGCCAATGTAGGATATGCACCTGCGCTTCACGTACACGCGTGGACGAAACCAGTATCGAGACCATGACCTGAGGTTATTTTTGTGGCCTATGGAACGTCGACGTATTGTCGCTAGGGACAATAGTTCACTCACTTGCTTCGTCTTCCGCCGAGCTCGAGTAATATGCCCATGCCGTTCGACTAAGCACTCGCTCGGCAACTTTCTGGAAGAAATCAAGCAACAAGCGGGGTGAATCGCAAAACTTTACCTCGAAATCCCGCAAATTGACCATAGCAGCCACCGGTGGCATTGCCTCTCGTTCGCGTCGAATACGCTCTTCTTCTTCTAGGTCTCCTTTCCGAGCCGGAAGTGTAGAGACATCAATTTTTCCTACGCACTGCTCGGGTTTGAGCATCTTGAGAACAGTTGGAGCGTGTATGGCGGCGAAGATGGAACTTTGTAATGTTAAGCGTCGTATGAAAGGCTGATACTTGCTTACTTGACATCACTCCCAGCGTGACGAAGGATAATGTCCGGTCCACCAGGGTGCTCGTCGAGAAATGCCGTCAAGCTAAATACTAGAGGTTAGGCGAGTGTAGGTACAACTGATGGATACAGTACTCGTAAACCTATTGCAGTCGCGATGAGAGGGATCACATTTATGCAAAGAGTGCTCACAGTGTCGCCAATAATCACCCACACCGACTCGCGAGAGTTGTGCTTTTGAACCTCTTCGAGTGTAAGAAAAGGTGTCTCTATACCTGATTTCTGCGCATCAAGCTTTGCTTTCTCCTGATTTCTCCCTTGGAAGAGGCCAATCTATGGATATTCGGTCCCACGGTCCGCAACCCATGTAGAGAAGCCATACCATGATTCCCGCAATAAATCCACTAGCAATTAACGTCTTCAACGACGCATATTTACCCCCTTTCTCTTTCTTGTCCCTCTGGTTATTATTTTCCGGTGGCCCCTCCATCCCCGACGGCATCTCCAACCGGGACGGAGTTCCATAACGGACTCGTGTAGAGTGCGCAATAGCACGTCTGAGGCTCTGAGGAGACAATATATAGCATCTTCGAAGGGTTTCATAGCTGTTCCGGTGGAACAAGGTGTGGTGGAAGGGTCGAAGAGGCATTAGCCATCAACCCGGTCAACATGGCTCAGGCTGTATACCAAACTTTACCCTTTACCTGACGATACACAATAGGGAATAACTGATATACCGCGTAAGACATTCACTATCCAACAACGCTGATAGGCGTTACTCAGGGAATAAGGTAGCCAATACCGGATGAGTCGGAATAGATCACTTCATTTCATCTGGCAAAGTCTACTGTGCGTGGAGAACGACTCATAAAATCCCAGAAGGGATTGTGTAGTTACTAGCCAGGTGTTTATTGGTACAAGTGGTGCAGAATACATTGTTATTTGAAGTTACTCAGTTGCGTGGTGAGCTTACATCCTTTGGAGCTTGGTTCGTCTTTTCCTCCGCCTTTGCGAAAGGCTCATTCATCTCCTGTGACATTGTCAATACCTATCAAAGAATAATGAGTGGCAATATCGAACCTTTTGTCTCTCCTTGCGCTTCAACTCTCCACTAATACGCTCGTGACCGCGCTCAGCCAACTCTGGGTCGTGCTTCAATTTGCCTTGTACGCTCTCTTTGAGACCCTTGAATTGCTCTTGGAGCGTCTATTACTCTAAAGTCAGTCTCTACTCGGAATTTGTTCAACAACAAGCACGCACGGGCTGATTCTGCTCTGCATAGTGGGGACCGAGCCCGACTTTACCTGCGTGGAGCTGGGGAGGATATTCAATGCCATCAAGCCCCGTGTCTGCACTCCTGTGCTCGTTGTGTGCATCGTTTGGGCGTGAGCGCAAGTCGTGAGGGTGTTCATCTGGAGGAGTGCCTGGGCTGATGGAAGCTCCGAGTCAGTCATGGCTAAGGGGCTTGCAGGGTGCGTACTTTTGGCCCTGTTCCTGCGCTTGTGTAGTCGAATGCTGAAGGTTGGACATGTCTGACTTGCTATTAGCTCTCTTGTTACTTCTACCCGCTCGTCAATTTAAAGGCTTCCGCTGCGTCGACGTCATATCCAGGTGGGCCCTGGTGGCGCTCGTCCTTACAGAACAACATTGATCGATAAAATAGATATTACGCAATCTAGTCTATTCTTAGCGCCATAGCCACATGGTGGGCTCCAGCTACGATACTTTGTGCACCCCATTCTTATTCAGTGGCTACCAGTATCTCCTTTGCGTAATACGCGCAGCTCCTTTCCAATTATCACAGATTGCCTTTGCTTTGAGGAGACGCATCCTCCAGGTCATTTGTAACAGCTACAAGTCCAAGAATAATTCCAAATAGAATCCTTATTGGTAGGTCATCTCCTCCGTCCACAACTTCGACCATTTTATTGTGCACATAGACGACTCGATAGTCGACATCCGCGTAATGGTGACAATCTCCTCCTGCAAGTCTATCGCCATTTCGACCATTTGGTCGTAGAGATCACGGCGAATGTGCACCGCGGAAGAGGAAATGGTCGACAGATTTTCCAGGAGAGTGACTAGGTAGAACAGTAGAACGAATCAGAACTCTTCAAGTACCATATTTAACAATGCGTCTCATTTGATTCGACGTTTTCCCTGTAGGTTTGATAGTTGGAGCGCGGTTTACCAAATTTTCGTCAGGGCAGGCCAACGCCACATTATTATTTGGCTACCAAGAAGACAAGACGAACAAGACGGGGATGGGAAGGATCGGACTATGCACACTTTGAGCTCGAGCTCAAAAGCAACGCATTCAAAGCTTCTTTTCTGCGCTAGGCTTCCAGAACCCAAAGGTGGGTATTCGCAGAAGTGACGAGTATCGGTAAGTCGAGTTGTTGGTCAAACGAAGGGTTTGTGGATTATGATCGTGAAGGAAAGTTGGCGTATAGTACACTACCAGAGCCTCTAAGGACAGGAAAAAATACGAATGACGCGATATACTCGAGTAGGACGGCGTCTGGTAGGTCGAGAGAATGGAGTTTAATTCTAATTCGATGATGCGGTCAACGAGAGGCGGGGTGGTCGTCAAGGAGAGTCGAAATTTGGGATACAGTCGGTCGGTCTTGATACAACAAGTGACGTGAGCGAGTAACATGCGGAGAGAGGTCGAGCAAGATGAAGACGAGACGGCGGCAGCAAGTACAGGCTACGTCCCATGGCTCCTAGCCTGTCCAGCCAAGTGCGCGGGTGACGGAGGATAGACCACCTCCTGCACCGGATGATCTTGCTGCAACGAGGTATCGTTTTTATCAGCTTCAGGACGGAAGAACAAGTCTTCCGCATCCTTCAACGCTTCAAAGCTACTCGACCTCGACGCTCGCTTGCGTGTCTTTTCCTTGTCACTAGTCGCACTCGCCTCGCTCTTCCTCTTGCCAGATCTTGGTGGGGTGGAGGATGGTGACGACTGCGGCACTTCTTCGTCTGTTGGCTGATGGTGTCCAAGAATAGCGTGGCTGAGTCGGTTCAAACGGGGGACGAGAGAGGAAAGGCGAGTTCGTTTCCTCCCTTCACCTTCGTTCACGTTTTCCTCAGTGCTAAGAGTGGAGCTTGGGAGTGTCGTAGGTGCCGTACGTGGCCGTTTACTGGTAATACCTTCCGCTCTTACAGCGCTGAGCGACACACAAGGCGAGACGTCGGTTACGCTGGCTATATGAAGGTTCCGCTGATTCCAGTCATAAGACGTGACCGCTGGATCGCCTTCAACGCTTTTCTTGCTGTACGACACACTGTTGCCATATGTTGGGGATGAAAGTGCATTTTCCTCGTCGTCTTCGTAGATGTTGATCTCAATGTCTCCCGAGCCACGATGTGTAATCGCATGCTCTCCCTGACCATCGTCTCTCGTTGCGGCAAAGTCCCCAATCTTTGAGAGACTTTGAAAGTTGCTCCCCACGTGCTCGCTCCGAGTGCCCGTCTCATCACGACTATTCTTCTTCCAGTGGATCATAGCCGTCGGTGGGTACTTGGGTTTGCCACTCGAGCCCGGCCGTCCAGAGGATTGCCCTCGGGGAGGGGGAGGACTGGTCAGCCCACGTTTCGGACTAGTTTTAACCTCAAGAGGTTGCTGCTTGGTGCGTAGGCCTGGAGTCGGAACTCCAGCTTCTGCACCCTTCTGACCTCCCCGGAACTGCACAGAACCATTATGGGGAAATGGTATGGATCCCTTTATTCCTAGGATCCGGTTTGGATCCTTGGACCTGTTGGCGCCTCCGGGGTTTCCACCTTCTCCATCGAATACACTCGTCGTCGACATGGTGTGGTTCGTGAGCACAGGTGCACGGACGGAGTATTGCGTGAGTGTGTTATGACTCGAGGTCAAAGACTGCGATGCGCGGGAAATGGAGAAGATGACCAGGGCATTGACAGTTACGTCAAACCCACAAGAGGCAAGACAGACCCACTGGAAAGTGCGTTGAGCCTAGGCTGAACCGAGTAAAGGTGAAACACATACCCCGAGCTGTTTGCCGTGCAGAAGAGTCAAGATGAGAATATTGACGACTGACGTGCCAAGGGCAACGGTCGCGGCGATGCAGGTGCGCTTCGCAAGGGCCCTCAGCTTTGGATTTGCAAGCCGCCTCTTCAGCAGCGGCCAGACGAACATGGAAGTCAGAAAGATGTTGAGGAAGACATCGTAGGTGAGAAGCGGGATGGAAGCAATATTCCGCAAGCCAATCACGCACATCCTGTCGGGACGAATGTAGCCAATCTTTGCGACCAGCATGAGGATGAATATGACGACGTAGAAGAGAAGCACGACGGCGCAGACAATCCAGATGCGTGACCTCCCGCCGACGGGGTTCTGAGCACTCCAAACAACATGGACCTGATGTGGCTTGATCAGTTTGAGAGAATCAACGGAATGGCGCAAGGCCGAGGTACACAAAGGTGGGTGGGTGGATTGGCGCGGCGGGGACGAAGAACGTGCCTTATCAGCGAGAAACACGTAGATGAGCATCTTGCTGGATGCATAACTGCACTCTGTGTGAGAATATGATCGTCACTGAACCGCTCGAAACGCACAAAAAGATGCACATGTAGATGCCGGACAGACAAGCAGCGGTATTGGTGGACATTCCAACACCGCTGACGATGACACCACCCGAAAAGACGAAGAGCCATCTGTGACAGGGGATCAACAAAAGCACGGCGGACAAGACAGGGGCGAGCTAGAAGCTCGGGTCGGGCACTCACGAATCTACAAAGATGGCCATCAAACAAGCTCTGAGACAATAAGAGCGTGTGTTCAGTTTCCGTAGGTAACACGAAAACCGGAAAAATGCGTACTTGGCGAGCGTTAAGCCGGTCCATGCCAGGCGTCGAGCAAAGCAAAAGGAGAGTACTGAGCAGGCTAGACTCGGTGAATCGATAGTTCCATCTCCTTGTGGATGCTTTACCTAGCAAATGGAGGAGTGTTGACACAATCTGGTGTGCTTGAGAGGGGAATACGACCGACGACTCCATGCGCTCCTACGCGTCTCCGCGCTGTCGTCGTGTATGTTGACAGTAGACCTGTAGAGCGTCGTCGTCGCTGTTGTCGACGCCGCCGTGGGCGTGGTAAGAGGACAAGAGGGATCGGGCCCGGATACAAGGGAGCGGGGGGGGGGGGGAGGGAAATTAAGTGAGAGACCAAGCCGTGCCTTGCCTTTTGCACCTGGCGCCGTCAAAATGTCAAGCATAAAGGAGACGGAAAACGTGCAAACAGAGAGTTCAAGTGACATTGATGAAGATGGATTACTCGATGCACTCGACAACGACGAAACGCTCGCGGGCTATAGGGAACAGAGGCTTGAACAGCTGAAGCGAGAGGCTGAACACGTCCGTGACCTGCGCGAGATCGATCACGGAAAGTACACAGAAGTCGACGACGAGAAAGAGGTGATCCGCATCAGCGCGTAGGTTTCGTCTCTCCTGGGCCCGTGGTGGCCAAGACCGAGAAAACCGCTCACGGCAAAACTCTTCAGAAACGAGAAGCGATGTGTTATTCACTTTTATCACCGGAATTTCCAACGGTGCGCAATCATGCACAAACATCTCGAGGTGCGCGTCGGTCTAGCCTGAAACCGAAAATCCAAATGCGACTAATTAGCCCATTTGATATCCAGGCGATTGCACCAAGATACTTTGACACCCGATTTCTTCGCGTCTTTGTCGAGGCGGTCCCATGGCTTGTCGAACGCCTCTCCATCAAAGTACTCCCCTGCGTCATCGTCTTCATAGACGGAGTTACAAAGGATAGGTGAGCTCTTCGTCTTGTTGTCCGCGGACGTTCCGGCGACTCTTCTACCCGCCGTCCTCCCTGTTCTCTCCTTGGTGGCGGCATGACGGCACCGAGTAAGCGTAACGCCTCATTCGAATGCCGGCGGCATTACCCCCAATGCGTTAGGACCAAATCTTGATTTCCCACTTCTAAATGTGGCGCACTTTGACGGAACACCCGGGTCGGCGCGTGGAACGAAACGTAAAGCCACTCCGTTCGTTCTGTCCGACAATGTCACCATGCCCATGCTCTCGCTTCCTATCACCAGCCTGGAGGCTGACATGGTCTTTGCCTTTGCACAACTTGAAACAACTCGAAATACTTATCATTTTCCTTCCAAACTCGTCTTCTCCGGCGCGAAAATGATAATGATATACGGCAATATCCGAATCTCACCCGTGTGGGCGGCCCTGAAACGGACCTTTCACCCGTCCCGTCCTCGGGTCCACTAAACTGATAATGGCGAAAATTCAATCCTTTCCGTCTTTTTAGGATTGTCGGCTTCGAGCAGCTTGGCAACGTCGACGATTTTCCAACTAGCGCGCTCGAGATGCGACTTCGCGTCTCGGGAGCAATCTCAAACTCGCCCTCTTCATCCTCTAACCTCGCAGCCAGGCTCGGAATATCCTCGAGGGAGAATGACGCCGAAAGCGACGACGAGGAGAGTCAAGGGCCAAAGAGGAAAATTCGGAGCTCAAACAGGCAGAGCGACGACGATTACGATCTGTAGCGTATATAGGAATAGACCATACATACAATGGAACCAACCAAACAAGTCTATCATGTCGATGCCTCGGGAGTCGCCGACGGAGCAGTTACGGTGGAGGATGGTGTTATGGAACCTAAATAACCTTGAACATAAAGCTGGAATAAGAGTGCAACCAATGCTGCAATGAGAGCAACGGCTACAAGCATGGTAAATGTCCTCGAGCCTATCAAACATGACGATGAGCATCCCAATTGTTGCAAAGTGTACGTTAGCCCACCTCTTTCTGCAAACTTTTCGGGGACTGTAATCACGCGTACAGACGTATCGGCACTCCCAGACAACAACAGCGACCGGTCAGTGCTGAATCGAAGGGTCGTACTTGGGAGCTCGTGGGCACCCAAGATCTTCATCAAGGGCTACAGAAATTGATTTTTTTAGTAGGAGTATATTCAGTTCAAAGTCACTAACCGCCAGCCGTTGGGAGTCCAGGATGCCGATGCTATTGTCGGATGCGCTATATGCAACCAGTTTACCATCCGCACTAGAGAATGCGTGTCAGATCCATAAGATTGGAGGAAGGGACGAGCCCACCTGATTTCGAAACATGTAATGGCTCCCTCTCCTATCTTCCTCGTGGTGGCGATTTTCCACGTTCGCAGTCGTGGGGACCATTCATATTTGAGTACATGCGACTTTCTCGACGTCTTTCTTCCAGAGACCAATGTGCTATTCAGCACCGCGTAAAAGGTCATCCAATTCTTGGGATGATACCTGGCGCTTGTTAAAGGATGGCAAAATGGGTTAGACTCATCTTGACATACCTTACTGCGCGGAACGAAGTCGAGGCAGAGCCATTTCCCGGGAGTTTGGGGCGTACAATTGTCGCCGATAACTCTAGACCCTCCAACAGACCTTCGGTCGGTGTCGAGCTCCCCTTTGACTTTTTTGCTCCTTTACCTTTGCCCTTTACACTCTCAACGGGAGTGGTGGCACCGCTTGCCAAATTCTTTGCTTTAAGCAGATTTTCCGTCGGGGCTTGATCCTCGTGTAGATTATAGATGAAGATGTTGGTGGAAGAGGCGATAGCGATGGAAGTGGCCGAAAAGTCGCAGTCGTACACGTCTCCGGCGCTTATCTCCATAACCACAGCTGCACGGTTCAGAGATGGATAATGTAGAAGATGGACCTGGATCCACAATGAGTGGATTTCCAATATGATACGAGCCTGCCCACCTCATTTGCAGTCGTGCCTACGGCTACGACGTTATGCATTTGGGAGAATACGGTCACCCTCTGTCGAGAGTTTGAGTTGAGATTTTGGACCCTTGTAATTCACACACCTGATACGTATCATTGTTCATCGAGTTCATTGCCTGAACGCTTTTCAGATGCTCGATTCTATGATCCATGAGTTTCGATTGCCAAACGGACGGGCGGGACCGACTTGTCATTGCGTATGCCAAAGGCACGACAGTGCATATTTCGACCTTTATGCATACTCTGCTCCGAAGCATTTGCACCACAAATGACATGGTTGTCCTAGTAGGATATGTTGAGCAACCGACGAAAGGGTCATTTACAACGTACTGTCAAGTCTGCGCTCATACTCATGGGTACGTCAGCACCCTCTTCAAGTTCATATTCGTCCACTAGATTAAAATGCAAATCTCCTGGCGACACATCGTAGATTCTCTATCGTTTGAGAAACCAGTTTGAGCGGGTCGAACGTTGCGCAACAGGTACACCAGTAGTCGTAAGCGGCGCATCTTATGTAGGATAACAATTCCGAGAACGACGTACGAGTCTATTCTTAACTCCGGTTTTCGATTGACCGCCGCCTCCACCTAGAACAACTCTGGACGGGGAGATAAATGACGAAGAGTAGACCGGAAAGCCATGAAGTTTGTGTGAAGCGTGTTGTGGTCGCATATTAGAGTCTTGGGTTCGTTTGAACGAGACGAGAGATGCGGTATCCTTCAGCGTATTGCCAGTTGCGCTAGCCGACGTGTTGTTCGACGTGTCTTATAGATGACTGAACCAGCGTCTATTCACGTTAAGTAAGGAAAGGCGCGACGAGAATGTCGTGGAAGGGTCCAAGTTTTGTGATGTGATGCCAGCTCGCCCGCCTGTCGGCAATGGCCGCTGATCGCCGCTCAAACTTGGACTTCTCAAACCGCGGGGCAACCGTGTCTTTCAAAGAAAATAAAGAATTTTCTGAATAAAGTAAAATACGGACTTGTGAACAAAAGGCAAACAACAACGGTGACAGAAGATGGGTATGCTTTTGCAAAGACATGTAGTCTCCATGGATGCAGTGCATCGTAGACAATGATTGGGTACCCATCTAGTATGCTCCAGGTGAATGCCGTCGTCCTCGTTCGTCCGACTCGCGTGGCTGGGGATGATACCGAGCACTGTCATACTGCACTGCTGGCAGCGGTGGAAGGACAGCAGCTGATGAGGAAATAGACGGTTGGGAAGGCCTTTTACGAGGCAATGGATGGTGCGGCACTTGGACGTCGTCTGTATGCATGGGGACATCCTTCATAGGAGGCAACGGTGCGGCTGGAGGACCAGTACGCGATGAAGAGTACTGATACGCAGAGGACACAGGGTCTCGTTCACGAGGGATGGATGTATATGGTGCTGGAGGTCCATTCGAACGAGCGTCTCGTTCCTGGTCCCGATGGGTCGCAGTAAACGATTGAGAGAGTGGGTGTGGTTGATGCGCAGCTGGTACAGTGGACGACGATGCGGCAGGAGGGTGATGAGGATGTGGATGATCGTCGACTATGGATTGAACGTGCACAGGCTGGGGAACTGGAGCGATCTGAGGAGGCGCAAGCTTTCCTAGACGTTCATATATCAATCTGGAAAAGGGTCAGCGTCATATCTCGCAAAGAGGGAGATACTGACGCTCTTTCGAGTCGCAATCTCTGGATACTCTGCTGTGCTTGCAAGATTTTGACATAGAGTTGCTCGTTATCCTGTACGAGACGAAAGCGACGTGTCAGCGAGACGTGCGCCGTGTAAATGCATGTCGGCAATGGAGGTGAGCTAACCTCTTCGACCTCTTTGACTTTTTTCTTGAGTTCCTTGTACTTGCTCTCGTACTTGAGGTCGTCTGGATGAATGAACACACATCAGTTGACTATCCCGCCGAGCACGCCCCACCAAAATAGCAAGAGTCGAGCTGGGCGACTGACCAGCTTCAGCAGCAATCGTTGTCTGGTAAGCCTTTGATTTTGTCCTTGGAGGAGCTTGGCCACCGCCTGCAGGAGCGGCGACTGAAGGTGCTGGAACGACGCCGTCCATATTCTACACACAGAGACGAGCAACGACGAGTGAACGGCGGTCTACGAGGCCCGGAAGTGGCGAGGTTCAAGATGGATGTTTTGTTTGTTGCCCTTGTAACTGCGCGTATTTAGTACAGTCGACGCGACTCGAGATGTCGTCGGGGATGCATGAGGCTGGGCATCTCAGGCACTTTGGTTTCTCTCCACGACCATGTTCAAGGCAAAACAGCGCCCAAAGAACCAGCGTAAACACGAAGAGAATGTGGAGAAACAAGAAGAACAAGATGGTCACGTCTCGGGGGAAGAAACGCCCGCAAAAGAGGCTACACCAGCGATAAGGCAAGTCAACACCACTTTGGCATTCATCCTCTGGTCTTATTTGCACCACTAGAGCAGTTTGGAAGACATGATCGCTCTCCGAAACATGCGCAAGGCAAGGCAGGGCATTGACGCCTCCAAACTCGCAACAGGCGGACAGAAAAAGCGCAAGAATGAGGAAGAGGAATACGAATCAGAGAAGCCTCGCTATGGATTGCATACACCAAAAGAAGACGATGGCGAAGACGAGTACGCTTCCATTTGGATCATCATGCCCAATCCTTACCACCACCAGCTTGGAAGGTGCAATGGCAAAGGCTCGAAGGGCAGTCAGAATGAGCAACTTCACCCAGCAAACCAATGCCCTCGACGTGGACAAGCATATGTAAGAGTCGAAGCTTTCACACCGTTTGGTGATTAATTTCACATTCAGGATGGCGTACATTGAAGAAAACCTCAAGCTCATGAAACAACAGGCAGGGACATCAATCGAAGAGGATGCCTCCAAAGCTCCACCCACGACAGAAGAAGGAATGCTTAAATTTGGTGAACGATACAAGACTCATGGCATCGAGCTCAAAGAAGGGAGTGTCGGAAACAGCTTAGCGATGCTCTCTGCCATTCCAGAGGTGGATCTTGGCATGGAGTATGTTGATACAACTGGAAATACGCCCCAAACTCACGCCCCTCCAGTGCTCGCCTCCGCAATATCGAAGAGACGGAAAAGGCAAAAAGAATTGCAGCAGAGGAGAAGCGGGCTCGAGAAGCACAAAGGATGAACCCTGACGAAGCTCGCTTGGCTGCTACAAGATGTGAGATTCAACACCAACGACCGGTGCTCAGCTCACCTGTTTCTTAGTTTACAATCCTCACCTGCGTCAAGAATCTGATCAGGAAGCTATCAAACAGGCAAAGTACAAGGCCTTGGGTATCGACGTACCGGAGAAGTCGCAGAGGAAGCATGAACGTCCCGAGCTAGCGTCAGACGAGGCAGTATGTAGACCTACTTGTCCCATTCAACCTGACTCACGAATCATAGGTCATGGAACGCTTCAGAAAGAGAATGAAGCGATAGGCTAATACGATAGAAAACCATATGCATTACGAGTGATACAAATAACCTACACTATCAAAGGATGAGGTCAATAGATAGCATAAAAAAGAATAATATCGCCAGTAAACGACGCTCATGGACTCTCTTGCAAGTCCGTCGTGAGGTCTGCATCTTCGTCTTCTCGCGCGTTTGACATGAATAGACCAGAATCATTCGCCAAATTGAGCTCTTCTTCCCCAACGTCTATCGCAAAGGTGGACTCTGCCGCTGTACGCTCATTATTCCAGAGAAACTCATCTTCGCTCGAGGAATCACTACTCCATCTCTCGTCCGCAAGCTGAGCACTTGTCAGGCTTCGCACATCAGCTTCGCGAGCAACATTCGGCGCGCGCACAAATGGCGAGGCCAAGGCGTTGAACGAGGTGGATCGGAGGCGGGCAAAAAAGGAGCGATTGTTCGGATCGACAGAAGTCATTGGGGCGACATGATTTGTCTCTGCCTGCTGGCTTCCAGTGGATATTGGGGCAGTCGACGGCTCGCCTGAATGGGATTGGGAAAATGCATTATAGATTGAAGATCCCCACCGTCGACGTCGAATAGGTGACGGCATCGTCGAGTAGTTTCCCGCCGAGTTCTTTCGCTGGTCTTCTGGAGAGGCCGTCTGAACGATTATGTCTGGGTGTTGTCGCGAGTTGGAGGTGTCGATCTGAGCCAGACTCTGCGACGCCCTCCGATTACTCTTTCCATGGGCCTTTTTGAAGAATCTCTCGGAGCCAGCAGCAAACCCTGCCTCGGCGTCGGACTCGACTGCTATTTGCTCTGAACCAAGGGATGCTGGGAACTTCTTTGGAGTATGATGACCAGCCCCTCCACTCGATGTGTCTGCATGATTCGCGGCGGTGGAGGATAGAATAGCATGGAGTGCAGCTGGCGAGGGTCCAGAGGTCCCTTCGATGGCGGGTGTTCGATCTCCCTTGACCTGAGAAGCGCGCTTGACGCTAAGGCGACCTCGGAAAATCTTGCGCTCTATCCGGAAGCGATTCTCGATCATATGAATCTACCTCATTCCGTAAGTCGATGGAGATAGCTAGGAAAATGACGAACCCTTGGCCAAGTAACGTGCTCTCCAATTTTGAGCATTCTTTCTAGATCAGATCGACTAGGGTCACTGAGAATGTGTACCCAGTCCTATGCGTAGTTAGAATCTACGCGAAGGGATCTCAGTTTAACTTGCCATGAAGCGAGTCTTTGGTAGAATACTATATGCAAATTAGTTGCCTGTTGCTGGAGCTATGAAAAACTCACGTCACAGAACCTTCAAACTTTTGAAGAAATACGGAACTCCAATCTTGACCCAACAACTGGGGCATCAGTTCGAGATCTCGTATCACCTGAAAGTGTGTCATGATCGCCTTGTATATAGTGACGACAAACCTTGAAGTTTTTGGTCAACTCGTGCTTCAAGAATTGTTCAGCGGCCGAGAGAAGAAAACCACCACTACAGCTGAGTCAGGAACAATACTCGTTTTGCTCCTCAATAACACTAACCGCCATCCTGAACCGATTTCAGTAAACATCAAGGATGAGCAATATCTCGCACCTTTTCCCTTGCGATGAGCCACTGGCTTCCCAGCGGACCCTCGGCTTGAGAAGAAGAATAGATGCACGTGTGGATTGACTTGGGACACGATTGGGTGGCTCACTGGATGGGAACCACTATTAGGTCGATAAAAGCAAAATCATCCAAACAGACCGTTGAAGAGAAGGTTGAGAGACTGAAGTGGAATATCAACCCGGAGGCTCCCATCCTTGAAACGGCTACCCCAATTCCACGGGATCATAGTGCCATTCTTCGTCTTCTCCATTAAAACCACAGGGTTGAGGATACCAGGTACGGCGGCTGATGCGAGGACGGCAGTCCAGATAACACAATCAGGTGCAGTCAAGTAATTGAGTAGTTTGGTCGGACTACCCAGAGGTGAGACGGTGCAACAACCCGGAACCAACTTACGAATGTCGGTCAAATGGAATCACTGAGACATTGAGTACCCGGCCAGTGAGTTCATAGGCCTCGCGGAATGTCATAGATCCCCGCGTGAAGAACATTGTCTACAATAATCATGAGACGCCCAAATGAGCACATTACAGTATAATCACCTTCTGGGCCCAATCAACGGTATCGAACCGAGCCCCAGTGCGAAGGAATCTTCTGAACCATGTGAAAAATCCCTCCTCGCAGGCTGTCCACGGTCAGATAGAGCCTAAACAAGGAATAATACAGGCCTACCAGTGATTCTGTCGGCAAGTTCAGGTACCAAGAGTTTCTTCAGCTCCTCATCAGTCCGTGTGCAGACCAAGGCAGCAATTAGGCTTCCGCAAGAGGTCCCGGCTATCACTCGTGGCAGCAGATTGGCATCCAGAAGCGCCTTTACGACGCCAAAATGATCTATGTGATGTCAGTATTGACGTCTGGCTTGAGAGTTCTACTTGCAATATCCAAACGTAGCACCACCGCTTAAACAAAGAGCAGATGATCCAACATTACGGTTTGCACTTTTAAAGAATCTCCTCTTCTCGTCAAGTGTGATATCTGGCGAACGGCGGACAAAGTCGATTGCGGCCTCGACCTCGTTGATGTAAGCTGGATATTATCAGATGTCTGCTTAGAGAGCGGATGCGTGAAATACCTTCAACAGAGTCCTTTGTACCGTAAAAGGTCTATTTTCCTGCGTCAATAACCGATCTTATAATCGATTCCGGGCCTACCTCTGAGTACAAACGGGCGCTCTCAGTGCCGGCAAAGTTGGCCCTCAAACATAGGTCAAGGACACCAAGGAGACCTCGCGCATCGTTCTTTTGTCGAAGACTTCTAAGAGAACGTCGGACCTAAGGAAACGGTCAGTCGTAGTGTGCCACCCGCGGTGATATCCGACCTTCTTTACGAGAAGATAGTCGTGATAAGGGTCCTCTTCTTCCTAGACAATACGTTAGCAACGTCCGACCAAATAGTTCTAGGAACATGCCCTCTTCCACTCGTCAAAGCCTAGATACTCGTCCAGCTTCAGGGCAGCTTCCTTCCATTCTTCGTAACTCTGCGCACTCCTGAGCTTCTTTCGAAGAACGCCTTTTCGACCTCTCCCTACGTCGTATTAGCTCGTGTGATGGCTTAGATAGATGGAACGGACAGGCAAACAACCATTCTAGAGCGTTGACAACTTGCCGAATAGCTACATAAAGACCAAACTGTCCGAATATCACGATTGCGAGAAGAAACTAGAAAGGCTGAGCAACGCTGCCACGGGTGCGGAAAAGGCAACTAACCAATAACGGCCAGCGGGCGAGTTGGAAGACGAATTCCCTCTGTGGAGCACTCCTAACCCGCTTACTCCTTCTTGTTCTAGTCAGTTTCCTTGTGTATTTCCTGAAGGGCAATATACGGACTGTCGCTTCACTCGGGTGGCGATGGGAGCAAAGTCACTGAGCGCACTGATCTTCCGAGTCCTTCCTTGAGGCTTTGGTGTGGCTGGAATGAGTGGAGATGTCGCTCCCGAGGCTTCCTGGTCCGAAGTGTCATCGTCAGCTTTGAGGGCCGCCGCGAATGCGGCGATGTGACTGCAAGGAGGAGCGTTGTGAGCCTCTAGAGCAAATAAATATGTTTGATATGACCTTTGGTTGATAAAGTCTGCGTAAAGGTCGTCACCGTTTGCGCCAGCGGTTGACATTCGGTCCAAGTTGCGTTGTCGCCGCTTGGTCTCCGCGTCATCCACCTGATTTCAACTGCTTTCTCTCAAATAATCCAGAATAAATGATTAATTCTTATCTTTTGTTGTCACAAATCTATTTTATGAAGATTGCATTCACCAGTGTTCCAGCTGCTTTCAGAACTCTGGTATCGAGCAACTTGACAGCGTAAACGAGCCATTTATAGTATTTTTGTGCTGCATTTTGTGGTCAAACTGATAAATGTTTGGGGTTTACGCCTTCCACCCAACTTGTTCTCCTTTCCTTCCGCGTCGCCCGTGGTTCAGCGCGTCTCTCTTGCGTCGCCTACTGAATACACATTTCTTCCTTCTCTTACAGTTGTCCTTAGTTGATTCTTCATGTCCTTTACTTCACCTACTACCCCAAGCACCCCTCCCGTGTTCTTCCCCGAGCACCGGCACCAAATCCTATCCACCATCGTCCATCTACTCGGTGAGACATCATTCTTCAAGGCGCTGCAGCAGACGCTGACTGACGTCGGTTTGTCACAGGGTGCTCGATCCTCTCCGCATGCCTGGCCCGTCGCTTCAGCGTGAGGAACATGTCGTTGGCAAAGTAAATACCGACTTTATTCTCTAACTTACTGTTGACGACACGTAGAGCGTGTATTGTTCTCATCTTTGTTGATTCGTACGTCGCCCATTGTGTCGACGGCATGTTCCTGACGTCCACTATAGATGGCTCTTCGTTTTCTCTTGTCAGTATGCTGCCCTTTTATGACTTCACCCTTTCACTTCTATCAGCCGGTGTCGTCGTCAATGGGGTAGGCATGTCGCTCAACCTTGGGGCCTGCCTCTCCGGGATCTACCTATGCATTTTCTTGTATGAAACATTCCTCTCACTACTCTGTTATACCTCTGATTACAAGCAGCTACGCATCGAGCAAGATTGTGATCTATATCTTTCTGGCCGAAAAGGTCTGTCTATTCTCGCATTGTCGAACAGCTTATACTCACTTCCTTAGGTTCATATCGTCTGGAGTGCGGGCAATACCGTCAGTAGATTGCGCAGCAAGGTGTGGCTTGTCTGTTGCTTTGTGTTGGTGGGATACCTCGTCGTATTCGTCTTGATGTTGGTCGGTAAGTTGCCACTTGTCTCGTCAGAAGGGTTTCATTCTTTGATAGCTCGCATTGGTTTCTTCAGGGAAGACGGGACCTGCGTCATCGGCTTGAAGACGATGGCCACAATCCCTCTCCTTACTTACGACATCTTCCTCAACATTTTCCTCACTGGCCTCTTTGTTTGGCCTCTTTACATGCGTCAGTTGTCAAATCCCAAGCTCAAGAGCCTTGCGACCCGAACGTGCTTGTGTGTGTGCCATTATCTCCGCTACCTCCTCTCATTTGCACCAGCGCCGCAGCGGCTGCCCTTTGCACCTCGGTCATCAACATTGCGATCCTCACCACACTTCACGGTCGGCAACTCGGTACGTAGCCTTGGTGCTTCTATACTCTTAACTGATCTCCGGTAGCCTGGGTTCGTCTGCTACCTTACTCTACTCCTTATACTGATAGTGTCCCAGGTCTGCTTGGCTAGTTGTTCATCAGACGTGAGTGAGCATCTCCAGTGAGACTGTACTGACGCCACTCAGGTGACGATCAACGCTGCAGTTATCTATGCCGTCTCTCGCCGTAAGGAGAGCACGTCGACGGTCGATATGGAGTCTCACCGTAATCCTTTGTCCTATGAACGACCAGCCAAACCGTCCCCCGCCTTCATGTTCAAAGATCGAGTTCGCAACAAGTCCAATGGAGATGGATTCGTGGTCACGTCCCGCTCGCAAACCCTCACCCATATCTGTGATCTCTGCGCGGACGATTCTCAAATGACGATGGCAAGCACGATTCCCGATACCACCGTCTCCAACCCTGGATACGACTATCTGCCGAAGGATCAAGTGCCTACGATAATCGATGAAACAAAGCCGATTACACCTTTTGGCGAAATGATCGATCAAGAACTTGTAAAGGCGCCAAACCTCAGCGTCAGTTACAATGGCCACCAAGTCTCGGGAGAACATTCTAGACGTCTTATCAGCCATGGCCACCGCAGGAGCTCCCGCAGCTTAATCGCTGAGTTCAAGGACCGAGTGACCAAGCGCTCGCCGGTGATCGTCGAAGACGTTGCTATTCAGGTGGGTGCAGTCATCAGTCCAAAATTGCTGTCTAACACCTGCTCAAGGTCACTGTTATGACAGAACATACTCCAACCGACGATTCTGCTTTGCACATCACGACAAAACAAGGCGATAATACTACCGACCCCAGCTACTTGAAGTAGGACACCATTCATGCATATCGCGTCGCATTCATTCTTTCCAATTCCCAATATCCTGTGGTTTATTCTGTGGTTATCCAGTGACGCCATCTACCCATTCAATGATACCTTTCCCTCTCCTTCCTTTCCCTTCAACGGCCTCTGATCGGTGAGCCCGCATTACTGGTGCCCGGTTGACCTTGATCTGCTTGTACCCTTTACTCGTCTGTGCCAGCGGCGTACCACACCACTGACGCAGAGTCTGTGAATAGAGTGGTACATTGCCATTGAAATCTCCAGAAGTTGCGTCCTTGTGACCACTACTGACGCCTGTGTGCTGAGGTACCTCGAAAGCAGGGACGTTCATCTCGCGTGATTGAGGTGTCGTTTCGCCTCGGCCAGGGGAAGGAGCTACCGCAAGCCTTATCGTTGCAATGCACGAGAGATCTGGATCTCGGAAGCCTGAACCGACGGAGCTTGCACAGACCCGGAATGCGCACTCCCGCAGGCATACGACAACGTGTCGAGTCTGTTCTGGAATTGCCAACACAGACGCAGTAGCTAGGCTGTACTCAGCGCCGATTTATCCTCCACCGATTCAGTCGAGACTCAAGCTCAATCCAGTAAGCATAGGCGATCACGTCAGTGACTGTTGGGTCCTCTTCAGGTTGTTTCACCCAGTGAGAACCATCATAACGGCTCTTAGAGTCTAACCAATCACACAGGCGCCGAAGAGGAGCCAACCTTGTTTGACAAGTTGCTCAATTCACGGATCCAATCGGCCACACGTTATCTATAGCGTCTTTGCCGCTAATACGGCCACAGCTCGGAGGAAGCACGTTTGCATAGCAGCTGTTCAGGAGGTAACAAGAAGAAGCGGGCGCTCTCGGCGGTGTCTAGTCGATTTCTCCGTCAAACCGTCATGGACAGGGACGCATTGCATTCGAGAGGTTGCAAGGGAGCCGCATGTCTCGTTTAGGCTTGCAGGTTTGACGATTAGGCAGGTTGCGTCACCTCGAAGGGGCCAGACTAGCGATAATGGAACAATGAGACTGACCCGACCTCCTGTGAATCTGTGGAGGATTGGTGGCTATGCAACAAGCTGAAGATCTCAATCTGAACAGAACCAAGCACGTGGATCTCGGATGTCAAGTGCTTGCGGCTAGACATGACGCAGATGCGCGGAACGATAATCGATGTCCCCCCATCAAGCCTGTCAACATGACGAGAAACACGGCAGGATGTCACGCACTCTGTCTACGAGCCAGACCGAATACAACGGCACACTTCCCGCGATGGGCCGGTCGTTGGAGTCCGCCTTCCACGATTGGGTCGACGAGTGAGCCCAGCGGCTCAGAACAGGGATACCGAGCAGCTTTGTGGGGACATATCCATCGAAAGAAACGATTTGAATTCGCTTCTAGTCGTTTGCTCGCTTGGCGCTATCTTTCCGACGCTCCTCCACGGCCCTTTGGGCTTGCCCCTCTTGCCTTTCCTGTTCGGCTCTCCGCGATGGGTTCGGCGAAAAGAAATATGACAATACCTCGCCTCCTGCTGCGAGACAGCCCTGTGATCTGGTTACTGGCGGGTGAGACGGGTGATGGAGTACGAACGCGTCTTGTCTTTGGCCTTGCCGTGCAACCCTGACGCACGAGGCTCCTCTGGCGAGTCCTCTGGAGATTACGCTATAAAGCCTCTGCAATGACACCTATGGTCCGGTTGCGTGCTTTGCTGTTCACCCAGTCCACCATTGCAGAATTCTTGACATCCTACTTCGAACAACGAGGTGAGCGTGCCGTTTCTCCGCGGCATCAACGTCGATACTCACGTTCTTGTTCCCTATAGCCGGTTCAAGCAGGGAATTGTTCATCGGAACAGGGAAGCACCCTCTAAAGTCTAAAAGCGTAAGTGGGGATCAGTACCCTACTGCATGAATGAAAGTTCTAAGCATTCACTGACCCGCCTATTAGTACAACCAACCGCTCGCTTGCACCTCCAGTAGCGCGATGTCCGAAAGCGGCGACTCGGATGTAACAGACGACTTCGAGCTCTTTCCGTCGCGTGCGGCGCTCCACCCGGACGCCTATGCCCATCCAATTGCCAGCTATCCTCAGGAGATCCTCGGTCGCATTTTCCTCTTCTGGAGAGACGGGGTATGGGCTCGCCATCTCCTGAGTGGCCTAAAGGGTGGCCACCATCACTTTGGAATGCATGCGCCTTTCGTGCTTTCTTCTGTGTGCCGCACCTTTCGTGAAGCTGCCCACTCCACTCCCGACCTCTGGAGCTTCCTTTATATCGACTGCTCCGCGTCCAAGAATGATTACAACTCGAAGCACCTCCTTTCTCGCCTCAAGCGCACCGTCGAACTTGCAGGGGATACTACGCGTCTCACGTTGTGCTTCCAAGCTCTCAACGTCGATGCGTTCGACACCGGGTGGTTTAGAGGGATGCAGGCCCTTCTCGAGCCGCTTCGCACTCGTTGGGGGAGCATCATTGTATCATTCGGTCGCAACAACGATCTATCGAGCTGTTGGAATATATGGCCACTAGCTGCGTGCAACGTCTCGGTTCTCCGACTGCTGGGATCTGTCGAGGAGCAAGCGTCCATTGTCCCTCGTACACCTTTCCTCTCAATCTGCACCTCTTTGGTGCACCTAGAGCTGCGAAACGTTGCCTACGTCCATCAGAACGGCGTTGTATTTCCTACTGTACAGTCATTGTCCGTTGGACCTTCGGCTGGCAGCGTCCTCGGGCAGACTTCAATCATGCATCTCTTTCGCTCGTTCCCGAACGTCATCAAGCTTCGTCTACTCGCGTTCGAGAACTCTGGCCTCACAGTCACGCACAGCCTTGGCCCAACATGAGCCAACTGGGGAGACTCGAATCCCTGACGGTCAGCCCCGTTCTCCTTCGTACGTCTTTGCAAGGACTACAGCAACGGCCGCACCTCCCAGCACTCATGAGGGTCTCCATCCACTTCACCAGTAGTATGCGGGATGATGCACCCGAAGGTGCGGTCATCGAGCCAGATGATCTATCAGGTGAATGCTCGGATGTGGATGGGGACGATGATGAATGCTCAGAGAATGCACGCCGAGTCGAAGACCTTTGTGCGGTGGGGACATTTCTGAGCAAGAGTCTGGTTGAGACCTTGACACTGCGGGGACTCGACCGAGACTTTGACGAGAATCTAATCAGCGAGAAGATTATCCAGCCGATGAACACGACAAGGCTCAAGCATCTCTGTCTCAAGGAGTGCAGCGAGCACACGACCCAAGTCATTAGTGTCGTCCTACGTCCCTCGCGCATCTTTGTCAACAGCGGCCGCCATAGCCCTCCTGAGCGCGCAGGATATCTCACTCACCTTCACTCTCTCAAGTTGATCAAATGCAGGCAGGTTGATGGACCGGACGTCGTCAAGCTCGTGCGGAATGCGCCCCATTGGCTCAAGGTGGTGGAAATGCGGGACACGGACATTGACGATGAGAGCTACGAGGAGATCCAAGCGATTTTGAGCGAGAGAATGTAACGGTCGTGGATCGACCTATGTCCGACTTATGCCCAACCCATGCTACCTCTTATATACCCGTGACCTTGCCCCACCTTTGCGGTCACTTGCCTTGAACCCTGACCTCGATGAGCACCGAGCTCGAAATCGCCGGACCTGCAGACTTTCACGTTCACCTTCGGCAGGGAACTTTATCTGAACTTGTTACTCCTCATGTCCGTCAGGGGGGGTTCACACTCGCCTATGTAATGGTGAGCGGCAGCCAACCAACTCGAGTTGCCGCCCAATCTCTGATTCATCGCGTCTCGTGGTCCACTTTGATGTGATCTACTGCCCTTTTCCCGCTTTCGACATGGTCTCTGATGCGAATCAATCCGTCTCCAAAAGCCAAACTTGACGCCACCGGTAACTACAACTGCACAGGCGTTGGAGTATCGCGATCGCTTGAAGAGAATTGATCCGAGGGTCCATTATGTTATGACACTCTACCTCTCGCCAGACCTCACGCCGCATGAGATCCACAAGGCGAAACGAGCTGGCATTGTTGGTTCGTCGCCGTTTTACGTTGATTACCGGGTTGAGATCGCATCGAATCTAACATTGCATCGTCCTGCAGGCGTCAAGTCGTATCCGCGCGGCGTGACAACAAACTCGGAAAGTGGTATCGAATCTTACACGACCTACTATCCAGTCTTTGCCGCAATGGAGGAAGAAGACATGGTCCTCAATCTTCATGGGGAAATCCCCTCGGACGCGAGCACGGTGAGCCATTCTCCATTTTCGGGGCCGTCGCGTGCATCCATAGCCACCGCATCATTCCATTATGCACTAGTTCCCTCATTCTACTCTGCTCCCTGTGCCATTTCATCCCGATCTCAAGATCATTGATTCGGCTACAGAATACATGCGTTCTCAATGCGGAGCGGCAATTTCTCAAGCACCTAGAAGCACTACACAGGGATTTCCCCAAGCTTCGTATCGTGCTCGAGCATGCGACCACAAAAGAGGCCGTCGAAACCGTCAAGTCGCTCGGAGACACGGTCGCGTGTACCATCACCGCCCACCACCTCGCCTTGACCGTTGACGATTGGGCCGGACAGTCCTTCAACTTTTGCAAGCCAGTTGCCAAATATCCAGATGATCGCCGAGCACTGCAAGACGTTGTGAGAGAGGGTACGTCCCCTTCCCTTCGCCACTCCTTCGCCGACAGGGGGACTGCGGCTTTGTTTCTACGCCGCATCCACGCCGCTTTCATTTATTTCTTCGTGGCAATGGTACTCACACACACCTTGTCTGCCCGTCCGCCAACGCAACTCTGGTCTCTAAACACTCTCCACTGGGCTATGTCGACGAATAAACCGGTAACTTGATCACGGCAAATCCCGGAACTGCACCTGCACTTTCAAACGTCCCGACCACGCATACTCCCTCTTGTGGGTGCCGTAACGCAATTCTCGTTTCCAGGTCACCGGCGCTTCTTTTTAGGCTCCGACTCTGCTCCTCATCTCATCGAAAAGAAAGCCGTGGCCTCACCGGACCAGCCGTGCGCGGCGGGAGTGTACACTTCGCCTATCCTCTTGCCGCTCGTCGCGCACTTGCTCGAGTCGTTTGGAGCCCTTGATAATCTCGAGGGATTCGTTAGCACCAATGGACGTAATTTCTACAAAATAACCGAACCAGAGCTCCCGAGTGATGGACAACGGTCATATTCCCTTCCAGTCGTCAAACTCTGCAAGACGCCATCTTCAATCGCAAAGAGTCTCGACTTGAATGAGCAAAAAGTTGTGCCCTTCTGGGCTGGAAAGCAACTTAATTGGTCGCTTCTCCCAGTGTAACGTAGCCACAATCTTAGAACTTAGAATCAAAGTAGGATTTGGTGATGAGGTTTACATTGTATGATTAGCAAGCCGTACAGGAAATAGCAAGAATAAACAAAACCAAAAGATGCAATTTGAATCCATGACTAAAAACTCTATCCGAGAATAAGTCGAAGCCGATGACCTAAACCTCGATGGCCCGACGTTTGATGCGGGGTTCATCAGTTTCGGCTTTGACGAGCGGGGTACCCTCTTTTGACGACGGCGAAGCTTGTTTGCCCGACTCTGGTGCATTGGCTTTGCGCTTGGTGCCGGCGACAGCGAGCAGTCGAGTTGGAGGCGTACGCGGTGAGTCAGTCTTGATCCTCTGCGGAGTACCACTATCGCGAGAGCCGATCACATCTGGCGTCGCTTGTCTGCTTCCACCATTGGCAAGCCGACTCTTGTTGAAACTCGATGTTGACCAGTCGTGTTGACAAGTAGCGTGATAAATCTGTATACTTCGGTCAGTCGTAAGCCCTTGCGGAGATAGAAAAGACAAACCTTGTTGTCAACCTTGACGGCGTTTCTCCATACCCAATCACCATCTCCATCATCTTCTTCCATAAACTCGACGTTGATCTTCTCTGTGCAGATGGCGCATCGAACCTCTTTGCCTTCCTCACCAGGGGGCACGACCAGGTATTTGGCTTCGAGCTCTTTCCTCAGTGCTTCGGCAGCTTCTGCCTTTTGCTTGTCAGTGAGAACAGTAGCTGGGCGCTTGCCCTTGTTCAGAGAATGCTCCGGAATGTCATTAACCCAATCCTACCGAGCGAATCAGCATCCACAACGCCAAGACGAATAGAATACACATACCTTTTTGCCGACGAACCAGCTCCGAGAGAACCCTCTGCCCAAGTTTTCGCTCGACTTGATGTTTTGACGGAAGTGCTGATCAAGGTGATCCCGCAACTTGATCTTGCCATCCTCGCCAGCAGGAAAACGCATGCTACACTCATTGCACTGTGGAGAGTCTTTGATATACAGAAAAGGTAATGCTTGGGGTGCGGTCCTGAACAATGGTCAGCGATCCACGCGCACAAGCCAAAAAGGGAACCACTTACTTTGTAATATCGTGTGTATTGAGCTTGATCTTGCGTTGCAGTATTGCCTTTTCGTAATCCTCAACCGAGGTAGAGGCCGATATCTCAACTGAGGCAGGGGTCTCAACAGCTATTTTTCCACTTTGCAGCGACGTAATCGAAGACAACAGCGAGATTATATTCTGTGCGTTCAGTGTCGGTGGAATGACGGGGATAACGTTCTGCGCGGGAGGCACTTGCACGGGAGGGGCAGCGGCGGGAGGGAAAGATGGGTAGGGCTGGGCAAACGGCGCTGCAGTGTAGGGAATTGGTGGTGGTGGAGCTTGGGGGGCTGGTGCAGACGCTCTCGCCATCTCTCGGAGTCTCGTTAATGTAGCTGTGAGATCGCTCGCACCCATAGTAGGCAGCATTTTTCTTAACTGCTCGGATATCAGAGCCCCGAGCTGTTGGGGGGATGGATCACATACCTCATGAAGCGCAGTAATATGTCGGGGGAGAAGTTCATCGTGAGGATTCTGTTGAAGCGCTCTCTCCTTTTGGACAAGGACGACGTCAAGCTCAGTCTGTACCTGCGACGCTGTGGGAAGTCTCTGCAAGTGCAGAGGTGTCGGTTTGAGTGACCGTTCGTGACGGGCAGGGACCATTCGTCGTACCGAAGTGCCCCAGACACGCTCGATCTCGCCTTGGACCCCCGGACCAAAGAGTTCTCTGTTATTCGGTGACCCATTTCGCCAGGTTACCATCATCTCACGCATTTTGTGCTGTGTCTGCTGGTCGACGGCGTGATAGGTATCCAGGAAAAGGCGGACGATACGAGGCGTAAAGGCAGCTGCATACGGCTCAAACGCATTCTTAGCAATAGAGTCCAGCAAGTAGAAGAGAGGAAGTTTGAATGGCGGTGCCATCTAAAGGACAAGAGTCAGCCTCAAAGCAAACGCGAGAGAATAGGGGCTTACAGTGCGGACTTGGCGTTCAATGCAATCGACGACAACGTGTGCCATTTGTGGGTAATTCTGAGCAAGCATGGAAAGATCCTGAATAATGGGACGAGAATTGACGGTGAGCGCTCCCAGCCGCTGTGCGTACAGTGAGCGGAAACTATTCTCGTCAAAAGCAGGGGCCTGAGGATTGGAGGAATAATAGCCTGAAAATTGCTGGTGTTGCTGAGGTGGATATTGCGGGACGCGCGGAGGCTGCTGGTGGGCGTAGAATGGGGCCGTGGTGGCTCCACCATAGGCGTTGTAAGACATGGGAAGAGACGACGTGGGGGTGTTGATCTCAGCGGATGGGCCAAAAACGAAGACAGAAGCCAAATTCAGTGACACCCGTGTGCACAAAACTTGTCTCTCGTTATCAACTCGATGACCGCGCCTGACTAAGTCTGGCTTGTGGGGACTATGAGATGCTCGTGCGCTAAAAAAGACTCTTTTTCTCTGATCCCAGAATGCTACGCTGCTCAATCTATTTTGTGCGAATTTTTTTTGGATGAGGCCTGCGGAAACAGCGGACGAGGTTGGAAACCAAGTTGGACCATCGCCTTCCCGCGCAAACAGCGAACGGCCGTCACTGGGCCCATTGCGGCATAAATTTGGTAAAATACAGAAAACGTTATATATCATCAATATATATGCTGTTTGTTGAGCGATGGAATTTCCAGACGTTTTTGCCAACTGCAGTGGCCAAACAATAAACAGCAAACCGAACCCCGACCACTCACGTACGCTGGCCGTTGGCTTAAAGTCACAGAGGACGTACTAAGTAGAATTCACAGAACATGCGTGATATTCTCAAAACCGAAGAGCTGGACGTCCCCGAGGGTGTCACGGTCTCCATCAAGTCGCGTATCATTATCGTCGAGGGGCCGCGGGGAAAGATTCAGAAGAATGTTCGCCACATTAACATGGACATTCAGCTCGTCAAGACCAAGATCAACAAGGTCACTTGGCTGTCTGGCAAGGCGGCAGGAAACATGTCGCATGCCTACGAACGATCAAGTCGCTCATCGAGAACATGATCACCGGTGTCACAAAGGCAAGCTGCATTGGAAATTTGAGAACCGTATGCTAACGCGTCTTTTCTCCACCAGGGCTTCCAATACAAGATGCGTCTTGTATATGCCCATTTCCCCATCAACTGTATCATTCAAGACGGTGGAAAGGCTGTGGAGATCCGAAACTTTTTGGGAGAAAAGGTTCATCCCTATCACAAGCACAAAAACACCATGACTGACCGCAGCTTTAGACGGTTCGACATGTCCCAATGTTGGAGGGAGTAATCATCTCCGAGTCAAAGAACCAAAAGGACGAGTTGATCATCGAGGGTAATGATATTAGCAACGTCTCGCAATCTGGTACGCAGTTCAGCTCCCTGGACTTTATACAACTAACCACGGGTAAAGCTGCTTCTATCCACGGTGCTTGCCCAGTCCGAAACAAGGATATCCGAAAGTTCTTGGACGGTATCTACGTCTCGGAGAGAGGCACTATCGTCACCGAGTAGACGACCGCGCCGGTTGGGTTTCGTTATTCTCGCATGATACAAAAAGGGCATGTATGCATCATGTGATTTGTAAGCACTTATGATATGCATTACTCGCCTAACAACATTGTGTAATCGAACGAAATAAGTTCTAATGTAGCTAACGGATGAACGGGATACGGGTCGGAACACGTTCTCTATACGTCTTATAGTCATCACCAAAGAAGCGTACCAATGCTCTCTCTTCATCTAACGTCTTGTCAGCGATCGCGGGTGACACCAGCCGTTCACGTACAGATGATACGCCTGTAGAAGAAACGCCACAGCACAATAGAGTATCCAATGAACGAAATCTTGTTTTGCAGAGCAAGCTGTGTGCCAATTCCCCAATAGAAAAATCCGACATAAGACGGGTGTCGTGACCAACTGCGTCCTGTCAACACGGAGCACATATTTAGCAGACTACCCACCTATAAACACCCCCTGTTACGAGCCTGTGCCCTTGTCTATGCTGATGAGCAACCACGTGAGAGAAATTTGTAGATGCATGAATCATTGCAGCCGAACGCAGGACCTGCCCAGCGATGACCATTAACACGCCTATAACTAGCGTGAGTATGGACCGTAGCAGGCGATGTCGAATGAATTACCGATAGGAGTAATAAACGCCCATTGGTGGGAAGTTGGGAAGAAATACCACGTCACAAGAAACTCGACAAGAGCGAAAGTGTGCGCAATATGATACTCCTTTCCGTTGTCCAAAAGGAATGCTAGAAAGTCTTAGTTCCCGAGCCAAGAGACTATACTAGACGTACAATGCGAGCTGCACTTTTCTCGGTTCCAGCCCGCGGTGACAGCAAATTCTGCCCAATGAAAGAATGCCCAAGCTCCAATGAAGAATGGGAGCTGTACTAAAGGCTGATTAAAGGCTACAGAAGCCCACGAGCCCTTGAAGAGAGCCGGGATTATGTGACTGTTGGCTACGAAGAACCATAGGCCGATAGAAAATAAACTCCCAAGGAGAAAAGACGTTGTCGACGCAGCGAGCGGAGTGTTGGGCGGAAAGCAATTATCATAAACCTCAGCCGCCGTCGGATTCAACTCGAGATTTGCGGCCTGCTGTCCATTAGATGAGGTGGCGTTTGTAGACGAGGGTTCTGGAGCTGTAGCCGCGCTCATGGCGTCGCGGCGGTTGGGTCCAAAGTGGAGACAAAGTTGTTCACCTGCCAAACCAGGCTCCAATGTTGTTATGATCGCTCGACTCGTTCGGAATCACATTTTCGGACGTCAACGTTGTCCCAAATCCGTCCAGCATGTCTTGCGGACGCTGCATACAGATGCTGCCAACATTCGCAACATTGCCCTCATGGCCCATATTGGTTAGCTCGTTTTACTCCGTTTCAAAGCACCTTTGACACTTGAACAGACTCTGGAAAGACAACATTGACAGAATCTATCTTGCATGCATCAGAATACGTCTCAAATCCAGGTTCCGTGGACAGTGGAAGCACGACGACAGATTTTCTTCCAGCGGAAAGGGAGCGCGGAATCACCATCCAATCAGCAAGCATCCCTGTTCACTGGAAGAAATGGATATTCAACTTGATTGATACGCCCGGGCATGCCGACTTTGGAATGGAGGTCGAAAGCGCGAGTCGTGTCGTCGACGGTGCTGTCGTATTGCTGGACGGTGTAGAAGGAGTCGAGGCACAAACTCGAGGAGTATGGTCGCAGCTTAACAGGTGATTATAGGAGCTCTAGGATGTGTTTCGCTCAACCTTGATAGGCACCAGGTGCCGACTCGGCTACTCTTCATCAACAAGCTGGACAGAGCAGGATCTTCACTCAGAAATTCAATACTTTCTGTCCTTTCGAATCATTTGCACCCTCGTCCGACGTTACTCTGTTTGCCAGTAGCCTCTTTCGATACCACATTGTACCAAACAGGTGATTCCGGCCTTGAGGGGATCGTCGACATTGTGCGATGGAGAGCGTTCAAATGGAACACCATAGACGCAGAGCTCATGCAGGAGGAAGTAATAACCGGCACTCCAGAAGAATTGCTCTCACAGAATCACCCTCTCCTTCCTGAAATCAAACAAGCCCGGACAGATTTGATCGACTTGCTTTCCGTCCACTCTCCAGAGCTCATGGACGAGTTCCTCTCCCTCGACACATCAGATCCATATCTCACGCTCCCTTCCACATCCATCGTTCCTCACCTTCGTCAACTCACGTTGAGAAAGGAGATATTGCCTGTCTTCTGTGGGGCTGCACTACGACACATCGGAACCAAGAACCTCATGGACTACATTGGCGACTTGCTCGCCAGCCCAGTCGATGTCAACACTGCTAAAGCACCGGCGAAGCGAGGGTTTGTCAATGTCCTCGCGTGGAAGGTTGGATGGGATAAGCAGAAAGGCTGGATGACATTCGTTAGGGTGTATGGTGGTGAGTATCTAGCGTAATGCCTACCACAAACTCATAGTGACGCCGGGTAGGAACACTTACAAAGTCTACGATGCTATACAATACTTCTACGCGGCAAAAGGAACGGATTTCAAAACTTATGCTCTGCTATGCCGCCGAACACAAGGAGGTGGAGGAGCTTCCATTTGGATCAGTTGGGGTCATCTTTGGCTTGCGATACACTCGCACAGGTGACACTCTAGTGTCGGCTTCATCATCTTCGGATCCATCCGTTTCTTTGACGACGAATTCAATCAGTGCTCCACCTGCGACTATCTCAGCTTCCGTCGTCTCTCAGAGCCAGTCGGATATCCAAGGAGTTCAAAACGCATTAAACTCTCTTTCACGCACGGATCCCTCTGTGCGCTGGACAGAGGAGGATGGCCAAACTCTTGTCCATGGGCTTGGAGCTCTCCACCTCGAGATAGTGGACGGTCGCCTCAGGGAGGAATTTGGAGCGCAATGCACCCTTGGCAAGCGGAGGGTTAGCTACAAGGAAACGTTTTCAAAAGCCGAAGAGGTCGCCGAATCCATGACATGGGATAAGGATGTATTAGGAAAACCCGCTCGAGCCTTTGTCGAGCTCTCCGTACGCCGTCTGGCGGAGGATGAGAATGGACTCGATGAATGGGATGGGAACCTGGTTCTCGACGCAGCGGGAAAACCTCTGCCAGCGTCTGCCATCGATACCGGCAAGTTCCCACTCGATCTCTTAGCACTCGTCCAAGGACTTCGCGGCCCTCTCTCTGCTTCCCCGCACTCCGCTCTCCCAATCACTGGAACTTGTATCACCATCAAGAACTACTCCAGCGCACCAGGGTCGCCACCTGCAGCACTCGCGTCAGCCTCATCAGCCATTCTGAGAGATATCCTCAAAAATTCTGGTGGAGGAGAGCTGCTGGAGCCATACATCAAGGTCAAAGTCTCGGTTCCAGAGACATACATGGGCAAGGTGGTTAAGGATCTTAGCGAAAACAATGGCGAGATTCAAGAAATGGCAACAGACGGCACATCTCTCTCTTCGATGGGAGGTGCCGACGAGGTTGCACCCTTCTCGCAGGATGGGCTCTACATCCCTCCAGGATGGATGTCTCCATCCGCAGTCCCCACCGGTCAAGGCGAACAAGCGTTATTCAACCAAAAACGATCCGTCTATGCTCTGGCTCCTCTCAGCAAGATGCTCGACTACCAAACACGTTTGCGCGCAGTCTCGGGAGGCCAAGCAACTTTCGAAATGAGTAATATTGGTTTTAGGCAGGTCGATCCTATGCGCAGGATGGAGATTCTGCAAGAGCTCGGTCGGGCATAATCTGCTTACTATATTGTTCACCTATTCAATCACACGTTGCTCTTCATCAGCGTCTCCTCTCATATAGTCCTCCTCTGAGTCGCTACCTCCGATTTGGTACTGGACATTGGCTAATGCCTGACTGAACGCCATGAAGTTGTCCGTATTGTCATTCTCAGTGGCGATGGATGCTGCGTTATCGAAGGGCGGTACGGGTGGGAGAGTTCTAGTCTGGATATGCCGAGTTGGAGCAGGTGTCTCGTCTCTCACAAGACCATCCTCAGGCAGAAATAGTGGAGTCTCTGACCTAAATCTGACCGAACCCGCTCGCGAATTTGGTGGCATTTCGGCGATATTCTGCAGTCGTGGTACCTCGGGAGCGACTCTGAACCTACTCTCCAGCGGCTCGACTGCCGGTTCAGGTGGGAGTTGGTCAGGTCGTAGTGGTGGCCATGGAGCAACAACGACGCATATATAGCGGCCCGCAACATGGTGTCCGGTGTAAGAGAGGTGCATAGCCATCTTCGGCTTGTCCTCTTCGACGTCTACGGACAACGTTTCTGCAGGAGGAAGTATGATGTCCGTCTCTTCTTGTTTGACGCCATCTTCATGGAGCTGGTTGTCCATATCCGGATCATAAATCGAGCCATTATCGCTGACCTGACCTTCATCTTCTGCGTCCCCTTCGAGTACGTGTGTTGCAGTTCTTGGCTTCTTACGTTTGGACGTTTTTCTACCTGGCGCTGTTTCCTCTGCCATCTCGACGTCGTCGTCTTCGTCGGTGGTCCGTGCTCGTTTCTTCCCTCGTTTTCGAGAACCACTCGTCAGAGCCATAGAGACAGGTTGAGAAATTGGTTCCGGTTCTTCCTCTCTTGCATCCTGTGTCGTCGGTACCATCCTAAAGTTGCGTGTCTGTCTCCGAGTGAGTCTTGGAATTGGAATAGAATACGAAGGGACCTTGATGAGAACACTGTGTTCCTCGAGCCTCCGAAAGAAGAAAAGAAATCTATAGCCCTCTTTACAATGTCAATCGCTGTTTGCCCAGCAGGTACCCTCGCACCTCCGTAGACTGGATCAGCGGTGGCATTCGGATTTCTAGCCCCCGCGAAGAGGGGATCATCTCCCTCTGCAAGCATCTTTGGTCCGATTCTGTGGAGTGTCACTCAATACCATCGAAGCGTGCTCTTCAGTACTTGCAGTGGTTTTAGGTCGCGGAGGACCTGTTGTAAGACGTAGTCTGACATCCAATGGACATGCTTTTGGTCTAAATAGAGGTATAGAGGTAGAACTACGCTCGCAGAAATCTTGAGATAGTATAGGTTTCGTGTAGTGAACATCGTGGCCGGGTCCAAGAAACTCATTCGAGCCGATATAGTGGCTATTTTCGGAGATCAATTAGCTTGTTGGAATTTCTAAGTGACCCATCCGGCAAAGCAGCATGAACTGGCTGCACTCTACAACTTGATCCATGACCACACGAGTCCAACTACTGAAGGAGTATCAAGGTTGGCGCAGAAGATGAAACAGAGGAGACTGTATCATAATTTCATCTTGCAGAACTCAACGAGTCGAGCCACTCGACGGTGGACGGCCCAGTATCGCCTCTTGAATTCATGCGCATGGTCCACACATCACGCCCTGTTCTATTCCAAAGTACGCAGCAGTTATTTTCGGCGGTATTCACTCACCCTCAGTCTCAGATTGCCCATTACCTCTGCGTCAAGAATGGACGGACGAATACCTTGCCACTACAGTTGGCGAGATAGATGTTTCTGTCACGCCTGACGGGTATGAAAGACAGGTTCGCACCAAAAAGAGCTCACTCATTCATACAGACGTGCAGATGCGCTCGTTGACATCGACGACAAGACCTACTTTGCGGAACCGCTCGTGGAAAGAATGTCCATGAAAGATTTTCTCACACGTCTCGATAGTAGTACGTGACTTACATGAGTTGACCGTGTTTAAACACAGTATAGACAGACGACCACACCAATGAGATTCTCTATTTGCAATCGCAAAACGATAACCTTGATTATGGGTCTAGAAGTGGTACGGGAGACTTTGCAAGGATCAGAACAGACATTCCTCCTGATATACATTGGGCTTCTGCTGCGTTGGGTGGGTCCACTGCCAATTACAGTCGGCCACTGAGCCCAAGTCAGGCCGGCAACCAGATGCAGTAAACATTTGGATTGGGAGTGACAAGAGTGTAACGAGTGTGCATAGCGGTTCGTGCCTTACCCTTGCGAAATGAGACTCAATTTCAACCAGCAGATCCATATGAGAATGTTTATGCAGTTATACGAGGAGCGAAGATCTTCACCCTTTTCCCTCCAACAGAAGGATGGTGTTTACAGGGTGGGTCCATCTCTCTCTCACATGTCCGACGATTTGGCTGAACAAACTACAGAAAGGGAGTATCCTCACGCCCGGTGGATTCGAGATTCGAGCGGCCAACTATGTCTCAAGCCAACTGCCGACCAGACTGTACGGTGGTCTTCCATTCGAGACCCCACGGATCCCCCACCGCTCACTCGCCCTGTCACTGTTTTGGTGAGACGTGGGGAAATGCTCTACCTACCAGCTGGATGGTGGCACTATGTGCAGCAGGTTTCGAGTCGAACGATTGCCGTGAATTATTGGTACGACTTGGAGTATCAAGGTCACAACTGGCTGTTCCTGAGTTACCTCCGCTCACTCGGGTTGTCTGATGAGAAATGAATCCAACTTGTTCACATGAATTATTTTCTGAGACGAGTTGTAAGCTTTCCAAAAGCATGAGCAAGTCTATCGAACGGCGCCCGAGCCCTGCTTGTGGGAGCAGTTTGATCCCGTCCACGATATATTCCCTCTCTAGCCAACTTTTCAGCAATCATATTTCACGATGAGCAACCCTCAAGCGCGTCCTAGACAGCTCAGCAACAATTCTGGCCAGCGACCGCAACCGCAGGGAACTTCCTCGTCGCAGGCGGGCCAAGGCGACAAAAACAAGGACGATTACGTCTATTTCAATCGATCTACCGCTGGTTTCTCAGATGAAGCTGTCCCTAAAGCGAAAGCGGCCCAACTCAAGCTTGAGCACTACTACAAGCTGGCCGTCGAGGCTGCTGTTGAGCGTAATGGAAGGTTCGTAGACATCGACTTGGGATATGGGTATACCTTGATCTCTTGCTCGCTTTTGCTGACGTTGATTGCCCGTTGCCACAGACGCGTCGAGTTGGAACGGAAGTTGGCAGCCGATCCAAACATGTCGGATGAACGCAAGCAGAAGCAATTGCAAGCTCTTGGAAAGAAAGAGTCTACGTTTCTGCGATTGAAGCGGACTAAGCTGGGTTTGGACGACTTTAGGACTGTCAAAGTCATTGGCAAGGGAGCTTTTGGCGAAGTAAGGATGGATTGATGCTCTTGTTCTGATCTCATGCGAATGGTCAGGTTCGACTGGTGCAGAAGCTGGATACCGGCAAGATCTATGCTATGAAATCCCTTCACAAGAATGAAATGTTGAAGCGAGACCAGGTACGAGCTCAACAAGCGCATTTAAATCGCCTAACTTCGTTGTAGCTTGCCCATGTTAGAGCAGAGCGAGATGTTCTTGCGGAGTCAAATTCTCCATGGGTAGTGCAATTATTTTATTCGTTCCAAGACTCGGCATATCTATATCTCGTTATGGAAGTACGTGCGTGTCTTACAGGGATTGTAACGATTCTAATCAGGTTGCCAAGTTTCTGCCAGGAGGCGATCTGATGGCAGGTTGCTGAGATTGTCGTCTGCATTCGGCTCACAGCCATATATAGACAATGCTCATCAAGTACGACACCTTCTCCGAAGATGTTACTCGGTTCTATATGGCCGAATGTGTTTTGGCGATTGAGGCTGTTCACAAACTTGGCTTCATTCATCGGTACGGAAGCCTATATGCAATACTGATGGAACTGATGTACATCTGCAGAGACATCAAACCGGATAATATTCTGATTGATAAAGACGGTCATATCAAGCTTTCAGACTTTGGCTTATCCACAGGTTTCCACAAGCAACACGACTCGGCCTACTATCAGAAGCTTTTGGATTCTGCAAATGGTGTACAGCAGTCAGCTGCTCCTGCGAGGAACAGTGTTATGGTTAATCCGATTCACCTCACTGTGAGCAGCAAGGACCAAATTGCGACATGGAAGGCCAATAGAAGGAAGCTGGTACATCTATGATTGATATATCGTTTAGATCTAACCTGTCCGTAGGCCTACTCGACTGTCGGCACTCCCGACTATATCGCACCGGAAATCTTCCTGATGCAGGGTTACAGCAATGAGTGCGATTGGTGGTCTCTTGGGGCTATCATGTTCGAATGTCTCGTTGGATATCCTCCATTCTGTTCTGAGAACACACATGAGACGTACAAAAAGATTTTGGATTGGCGAAACCATCTCATCTTCCCGGACGACGTTCACCTAAGTAGGGAATCGGAAGAGATGATTCGAGGGTAGGTCTTACTATTTGCTGGACTCTCCACTAACCTTTGCTTAGATTGCTTACCTCTCAGAACGTCCGACTAAACGTCGAACAAATAAAGAACCACTCGTTCTTCTATGGGGTAGAATGGGATGCTATCCGCGAAATTGATGCTCCTTTCGTCCCTCACCTGCGATCCATCACAGACACGTCCTACTTCCCCGACGATCAGCTGGATGCGGTGCCGGATCGACCCTCCGGCACCGATACAAGCGGCAATAAGGATCTCGCGTTCTTGGGGTACGTTTACCTGCTTCTATTCTCTAGAACCGTCTCTGACCGCCTGGGACAGATATACCTTTAAGCGCTTCAATCTGACTGACAAAGCACTGTAGACTATCTTTTCTTGCTATGAATTCCACTTTATCTGGAGCCGTCGGAGCACCGTCTCCGTCTGTATTATCGCGTCAGGCGATCGCGTTCTTACGCAATAGACGGGCGTATAAAAGACGGACCGGAGCGGCCGCCTTTGGAGCCGAACTAGTCCTGCATCTTGGATGACGACTAAGCTCTCGTCCGTCAATCAGGACGTCGACAGCGAGTCCTCTGTCGTTTCACAAAAGCCGGAAAAGCCGGAAAAGCCTCTCTGGAGACGAGTACTCTCGTATCTCATCGCGCAATGGCTCATATTTGGCCTTGGATTGGCAATCTTGCTTGCATGGGCCTTCCCCAATGTCGGAAAGAATGGAGGTGCCATTCGTGCTGAGTATACAGTCAAGTGGGGCGCGATAGCTCTCATCTTTCTTCTTACCGGCCTTTCTTTGTCAACCAAGGCGTTCCTCAATCAGGCCCTGAACTGGCATCTCCACCTCGTCACGCAGATTATTTCGTTCTTTGTATTTTCGGCTGTCGTTTATGGTGTTATTTGGGCTATAGTTGGTTCAGGAAATACGCACCTCGATAGATCCGTACTGGGTGGGATTATTACCATGGGGGTTCTCCCAACAACGCTGTAAGCTTCGCTCATAGAACAGTGTCTTGGAGTTGATCACCTGTTTAGTGCGAGTAATGTTGCAATGACCAGAAATGCTGGAGGAAATGTCGAATCAGCTACAGCAGAAGTCGTTGTAGGGAATGTAGTTGGCGTCTTTCTCACACCATCCCTGCTCTCCCTCTATCTCAAGCCCCTCGCAAAGCATGGCTTTACTCAGCCGGATGCGTCGGGTAAAGGTGGCTTGGTAGGGATTTATATCCTCATGGTCAAGCAACTTTCTGCATGCCTCTTTGGACCATTGGTAAGCTTTTGGAATCAATGCCATGTTATTCCACACTGACCACGCGGAGATTGTCGGTCAAATCATCCAAAATTTGTCACCGACCAAGGTCAAAGAGATTCAAGAAAGATTCAAATTTGCCATCATCAACCAAGTTTTAATGTTGGTCCTGGTTTGGTCAACATTTTGTGGCCAATTTGCGACTGGGATTTTTGACCGCGTGTCTCACGATACTATCATACTGGTCGCATTTCTCAACGTGGCTCTCTACCTATTTATGAGCCTCGTGTGCCTTTGGGGAGCGAGGCCACCTCTCCCATCGCCAAATAGCCCACTTCTACCGTGCAATGGAGTAGAAGAATCGAAGAGCATGAAGAAATTGCGGGGTTTCGTCAAGAAATTGACATTTGGGAAGAAAGAGACGGCGGCCATTTGTTTCTGTGGTGCTGCCAAAGGTTCGTCGACATGCACTGAGAAGAGAGTCGACTCATTGTCATTAGGTCTTGTGCTGGGTGCTCCACTCATTTCCATCATGTATTCGGCGTACGGCAATGACGTCCAAGCAGCAGCAACTCTACCGATTGCCCTCTACCAAGGTGGGTTCTAGTGGATAGTAGTGCTATTTCTCACGTTGCGTCTTTCAGGTACACAGATTGCAATCGCTCAGATTTCTGTTCGAGTTGTAAAGGCTTGGATCTTACGAGGCGACGAGGAAGAGGAGGCAGAGGATAAGGAACGCAACGAATAAAATAGACGGCATTATATTGCGAACTTGTGTAACAATCGATTTAATTGGGTGGCAGCACGACGACATACCTTGAATCTTGACCATGATAGCGACGGAGTTGGATATCCCAAATGCAGCACCAATACTAACTTCTTTGTCTGCGTTAGTCGCTCCAAACTGTCCTATTGCGCTGGATTCGCCAGAAGGACAAGCCTACGCCGACTCGTTGTTTGCACATCTCAAAGCGTTGAACCGGGAAGCCCATGCAGTCGTCCAACGATCCAAGCAGTTGACGGCTTCGTCTCGAGCTCTGATGGACGAGAGGTTGCTCAAGCTACAAAATCTTTTGTACGAGAAGCGGCATCTGGAAAAGGAGATTGAAAAATGTCAAGAATACGGGTGACGTTGGATCGAATAGCATCATTTCATTTATTTACAATGTCATAGGTCAATCTACCAGGACGTTTCCCTGCATACGCCCGAAGAGTTTATGACACTCGCTCCATCGTCCTCGACGTTACCAGAAATAGTAAATGACGAGCATCAACTCTTCCTTGCGAGACTGCAGTTTGAACTGGACGAGCGAAAGAGGTTGCATCGATTCCATTTCTTCTTGACTCGACGCTGACGCGCAACAGATTAGAAGAAATGAGGATGCGAATGGTCAAGGAGCGGGATGAATTGCTTGCGCAAGGCCAGGCTAAGCAAGCAAAGGAGGAGGATTGGGACAGACGCACAGAGACGCTCGCCAAGGTCCCGCCTTTTCCGTTCTGTCTTTGGATCTGGTACTGACTGCTCTTGCGTTAAACGCAGCTCCTCGTCGAACTCCGCCGCTCGCTCGACTAGCAGTAGCCAGTCCAATGGAGGCCCATCTTCTCTCACTCGAGACGACGGCGCTGGCTCCCCATCGAACTGTCCAGCTACCAGAATCTTTGCTATCATTGTCATCCGGGTTTCTCGCACCATACACATTGGCCGAAAGGGTGTCCTGCGTAGACATATTCAGTTGCATGTATCTAATCTCGATCGTATTCACGGATAATCCCGCACGCATATCAGCTGATTGGGTTCGTGGCCTCCCTGTGGTGAACGCAACTTGACCACCTTCTCTGCGGCTGCTTCTGTCGTATTCGCGCAATCATGATAAGTCTTTGCCGTCCAAATGTACACTCGTGTTAGCTGATAATCTCCTTGCGCTGGCGGCATCTGCCTCTGCCTTGTCATACACACAGTTCCTCCTCTCACCGCCGGATTGAGACGGATGTAATGAAGCTGTGAGTATCTCTTGCTTTCATGCGTCTCCCCGCTGTCACGCTCGGGGGTTTCGGTCACGCACCGTCAAGTGGCTCATCAGCTCTGGCGCAGGTTGACTTCCAACTTTGAAGTCGAGCTTGTCAACGATAACATTAGAGAATTCCACGTCACATTTCATGGTCCCGCCGATAGTGAGCCCCTGCCAGACGAGCCTAATCTCAAATTCGTTGCTAAATGACTGTACCAGCGTTCTATGCTGGCGGCGTATGGAAGATCCATGTCGAACTGCCGGAGCAATATCCATACAAGAGCCCAAGCATTGGATTTATGAACAAGATTCTACATCCAAACATTGACGAAATGTAGGCTCTCGTCTGGGTATGCCATTCATTAGGCTCACACGATCACGTATCCAGGAGTGGATCTGTGTGTCTGGACGTTATCAACCAGACATGGTCACCGATGTTTGGTCCGTCTCGCCGTTGACAGTGCTATCCTCTCTGCTTACCCATTATAGGCATGATCAACATCTTTGAGGTGTTCTTACCCCAACTTCTCGCATATCCAAACGTCTCAGATCCTCTCAATGCCGAAGCTGCGCATCTCATGGCCCGTGAACCAAAGACATACGAGATGAAAGTCAAAGGCCCGCTCTGTTACCTCTCCTCTCGTCCAATCTACTGACTGGTTCACAGAGTATGTCAAGCGCTTCGCGAGCCAGTCGTCTACTCCCGCTTCCGAGGCAGTCAAGAAAGAGGGCGCAGACGAGGACGAGGAAGAGGAGCACGTCATGAGCGATGTAAGCCTCAGTGATGAGGAAGATCCAGCAGGAGACATGGAGTTATGATCAGAGTTCCTTTCGTGTTTCGGGTACTCCAAGCAATCCCTAATCAGTCCCAAAGGATAGTGTATTGTACATACGCCAGGCTTGGAGATTTATGACAGCAAGATTGATTCGTGTTATACAATCTTATCTGTAGCATTCCACACACGCTAACAAATCGCTCTCACCGTCTGCAGCAACTTGGGTGGCAATGAAGGGACTGTCAACGTGTCCAAAGAAGTTCCTTACGTTATCTTTGGAGTCTGAATGTCCCGTGACCAGACTTCCGAAGACCCAAGTTTGGTAGCTGCATACCTTGGACCTACCAGCCACCATTCGCTATAATGGCAAACGAACAAGAAGGGTATAGATTCTTCTTCGTGGATAAAGAAACTCCCACGGATGTGAAATGGGTTACCGTTTCGAAATCTGCAACGGAATCGCTTGTGGGCTGTTTCTACTTTGACTATAGCTCTCTCTCTTTCATGACCACAAGCTTTGACTTGTATTCGAATCTCTACTTTTACACTTTCTAGACTCCCTCGACCCCTAAAGCGAGGCAATGTTGGTCACTGGCCATGAGCTACGGACATGATGAGAGCATGTAACCGGTATAAGTGGGTACTCACTATCCCTGATCGGCCCGCTTGTAGCCGTATTTTTTCATAAAATCGTTCAACTCTTTCGGGCCGCGAGAGCCGTAGGGATAAGGGTTTGGTCGAGGCGCCTGTCCGTTTTTGCCATCTATCCAGTGAAGAATCGGAGTAAAGATCTAAGTCGGATGGTGAGCACAGGCGTGCACTAGAGAGAACCCTCTCGGAACTCAAAACCGCGTACCTTCCACGCCGCGTCGAGCTCATCGTCTCGGACAAAGTTTGATTTATCACCATGAAGAGCATCGAGAATGAGCGCCTCGTATGCTTCTGGAATCTTGGCTTCGGAGAACCGTCGCTTGTACGTGAGGTCCATCTCAGTCGGCATCGCGCGTGTGTAGAGACCGGGCGTTTTGGCGTTAAACTTGAGGTAAATAGCTTCGGAAGGCTGGATGCGCATCACGAGTTCATTGCGGGCAATGTCCTTGAAGATGCCCTGTGTCACGTCCTTGTACTGAACACGAACTTCAACCTTGGCCTCGTTGAGAGCTATCAAAGCGTTGGAATTGGACAGTTGAGCAAATGACTGGACGCACCTTTACCAGCTTTTAGGATAAAGGGTACACCCTCCCAACGCGGGGTATGGATCCAGAGTACAACGGCGGCAAATGTGGGGCACTTGGAGTTTGGTGGTACTGTATCGTCGTCGAGGTATCCTGGCTTGCCATTGGCGCCAACGTATTGTCCGAGAAGGACGTCCGACTTTTCAATCGGTGGGATAGAGCGAAGCACTTTGACCTATAAACAATTAGAGTCATCGCCTTGTCACATGGGAGTAGGGTACCTTCTCGTCGCGAATATCTTCGGCTGAGAAAGAGACGGGACGCTCCATAGCCAGAATACAGAGCACCTGGGTAAGGTCTGCAGGGGTGGGTGAGAATGGATTTGCGAGAATGTAAGAGGGGATCGTACGATTCTGCAGGATATCGCGGATGATACCAAACTCGTCAAAGTAGCCACCACGGCCTTCGGTTCCAAATGGTTCTTTGAAGGTGATCTGTACGCTGCTGATAAACTGATTGCTCCAGCCAGCAGAAAGCGCAATGTTGGCGAAACGGCTGACGAGCATATTCTTGACCATTTCTTTGCCGAGGTAGTGGTCGATACGGAACGTTTCCTCTTCTGTAAAGTTTTCCTTGAGCGAGCTGAGCAATTCTCGGCAGGATTCCGTGTCCTTTCCAAAGGGTTTTTCGACGATGACGCGGATGGTGCCCTTGTCGGTGTAGCAGTTGCGCTTTAGTCCGCGTGCGACGGACTGGAAGACTGAGGGTGGCAAAGCCATGTAGAACATGCGATTGCGTTCTGGACCCTGATATTTTGATTCGATCTCTTCGATGTGCTTGTTCAGGTCCTGGAAGGCCTTGTCGTCTTCGTAATCACCGGCGACGTATGTCGAAAGGGCCTTGAACTCTTCGACCTTGTCCGCGTCTTCGGGGGAAGGTGAGATGTGCGACGTTGCTCTCTTGTGAAACTCTTGTGCATCCATCTTTGTGCGCGCATAGCCGATGATGCGGACGCCATTTGGGAGGAATCCCTGGCGGTAGAGGCCAAAGAGGGCGGGGAATGTCTAGATACAGAGTGTCAATTACAGTCTAATAAAGCAGATGTGCTTTCCTTTTTCTTTGCGAGATCCCCAGATGCGCCGAGGACTGCGCGGGACCGTATATCAGCAAGCCTGTATCTGCTGACGGCGTCGACGGGCTAGTTCTCACCGACAATCACCGTGTTTTCTCTGAGTTCTTTAGTTGCAGCCTGGCTGTTGGACATATTGTCGTCAAAGTCGGGTTCAAGATGCAGCCCAGTGGCGAAACCGGACCGCGTAAACTTGATCGTCATCAGCTGTTTGGCCGCCCAAGGCCGTCGAAACCGCCCGTCTGAGCAAGCATTCCGAAAATGTCGCAGATATTCTACACGCTCCTCCGAAGCTGTCAAACTGCTGACGTAGTCGATGGGCTCCTCCAAATCGTCGATCTCCGATGCCCACACCGGCCGTCTCTTTCCAGCTCACAACTTGGACCCGTCTACGCTGGATTGGAGACGTATAACTCGTTCTGTAGTCTTTCAGCAGCACAGATTGCTCAACGCAATGCCATCAAAACGTACACTGGAGGATGCACGCTTGCCGCCAAATAAACGACAGAACAATGGCCACAAACGCGCTCCAGACATGTATTACAGAGTCGCATCCCTCGAAAACGCGAACAGGGCGCGTGAAACTCCGCCCGTCAGCCTTCTTCAGCAGGCAGTCCGAGAGGCCAAGCAAGAGAGCCCGTCTGGAGGCGACACCGCTGTCTATTGGATGAGAATGGAGGACATGAGAGGTTGGTTATTCTTCCATTTGGCCCAGTGGCGTGCTCATCATCTACCAGTCGACGACAATCGCGCCGCCGCGGCTGCCTCTGCCTTTGCTCTGAAGCACAACATTCCTCTGATTGTTATCTTCATATTCAGTCCGCAAGACTATGCCGCTCACGACAGGGGACCCCGTCGAATCGACTTTACCCTCCGAAATCTGGACACACTAAAAGAAAAGTTGGACAGGCTGAATATTCCTCTCTACGCCATCAGTCACTCACCTCGCAAGACGCTCCCTGACAAGGTCATAGAGCTGATGGAGTCTTGGAACGCAAAGGCACTCTTCGCGAATCTCGGTCGGTCACCTTGCTTTTCATAGCTCACCGGTTACTCACACGTAGAAGAATATGAAATCGATGAAGCGAGACGGGACATCAAAGTGATTTCCCTTGCCAAGGAGAAAGGCATCTTTTGTGATTTTCACGAGGACAAGTTGGTGGTTCCCCCGTTCAAGCTCTCCACTCAACAAGGAAAGCAATTTGCCGTACGTTCTGACTATGCATATTTGCTCTGATCTGACACCTCAATAGGTCTTCTCGCCATGGTGTCGTGCTTGGAAGCAGTATATTGACAAGCACCCTGAATGCCTCGTCCAAGCTCCCGCCATCCAGGCGAACCCCGCATCGATTCGTGACGACAAAAAGTATACATCGTTATTTGACGTTACTATTCCTCAACATCTGCCTGGCTTTGAGCTCGAGGACGCCGAAAAGATGGAAAAGTGTTGGCCAGCCGGTACAGACGCCGCTCGCGATGCACTCAAGCGTTTCCTCACCACAAAATACCGAGTTGGTCAACTGGACGTGCCTCTCCTCAATAATGGTGCAAAGACTGTGAGCAAGAATGACACACGCCTGGGTCGCTACAGTCAAGATCGAGATATGGCCGACAGGGACTCGAGCTCGAGAATGTCACCATATCTCTCTGCTGGTGTCATCTCTGCGCGGGAGCTCATTCGTGAGACGATGAAGTTTCAAGGTGTGAACAAGATTAATGTGGAGAGAGACAACGGTGGTGGGATGTGGGTTTCTGAAATCGGTGCGCGTGGTAATATAGCAATCATGAGTATACTAATAGTTCGCACAAGGATGGAGAGACTTTTACTCTCATGTCCTTTCTGCCTTTCCGCATGTCTCCATGGGCCGACCATTCCAGGAAAAGTATGCAGATATCAGATGGGAGACAGATGAGTCGGTCTTTGAAGCTTGGAAGAATGGAATGACCGGATACCCGATTGTCGACGCAACGATGAGGCAGCTCAAGGCTCATGGTTGGGTGCACAACCGAACGAGGATGATTGTGGCCATGTTCCTCACCAAGGATCTCATGATGGATTGGCGTCTTGGGGAAAAGGTACACACCTTCATGCTTGAATATGACATCGGGACTCACTGTTGGTAGTGGTTCATGCAGCAGCTGATTGATGGTGATCTGGCCAACAACAATGGTGGATGGCAATGGTCCGCTTCAACTGGTTTGTCTGGTTGTATGGGCTTGAGGTCGTGCTTATATTTTCCCAAGGGGTTGATCCTCAGCCGTACTTCCGAATCTTCAATCCCATCCTCCAAAGCGAAAAGGCATGCCATCTGATTAGCTCCTGTTTCCGGCGTCATGACAAGTCTACAGGCGGATCCAAGTGGCGACTTTATCCGGCACTTTGTACCCGAACTCAAGCACCTCAAGGGCAAAGGTACGCGCACGCATAATTGCTTGACAACTGGGTTCTGACACGGGTCTTAGCCATTCACGAGCCTTCTAAGCATCTCAGCGAGGAACAGTTTAAGAAGCTCGGATACCCCAAGCCTATCGTGGATCACCATGAAGCTCGTGACCGTGCCATCCGCCGTTTCCAGAATCCAGGCTCTCTCTGAGATCTCCTTTCGAATGACATGTAGCAAACCTATCGAAGAATATGACTACTCTTACAGCTCCCGAGTAATCTATGTTTGGACCTCCAGGCAACCTGTTTTATAAGCCGCCTAGTCTCTTAGATGACGGAGAAATGTTTTCTCGAGGTCTCGTGAGGCAAATTGCTCCCAGTGGCTCAGGCTTTGAGCCGTCAAATAAACGTCACCCTCTCGGTGGCTGTTTCGATCCGTTCCTGAGACAATCTGTAGCGCCAGAGGCGAATATTGGACGTCGGTGCCACCACCGGGCTCCATTTAACTTCCAACTCGAGGCTCGAACACTCGGCTGGATCAACTACGCGAAACAAGGGCGCTTTGCAAAGGTCTATCCATGAATCTCGTTTGATATCTGTCCTTTGAGGAGTTGTAGGTTAGAGAGATTCGTTATCGGCAACTCCAACAAGCGGCAAGGTCCGGCAGTGATCAAGTAAACCTACACCTCGAGTCCTCGAACATAATATAAGAGCATATGGGACATTCCGCCGAGCCATCACTCCTTTGCCTGTCACCTCGTCGGGTACGGCACAGTTCGATATCCGGTGCCTGAGCATTCGGCCCTCTTAACGGCATGGTACTACTAACAAGCCTGATCGACGGAGAACGCAGACCCTCCCCCCCCCTTCTAGATGGCTGCGCTCCCCGCCTGGCTCGTGCTCGAACTCGAGGGAATACGGAACGAAAGGCTGCCTATCGAGAAGATTGCCGAATATCTCTATGTCACTAGGCTGCTCAATGGTTCGTCATTCAGTTGGCTTTGACTAGTCGCTTATGGCCTCCTCAGCCGTTGCCCTCGCGATTCTGTGCTACGATACAATCATTCTGTTCGATGAAGAGGTGAGGATACTCGAGTGATATTATCATGGGCTAATACAGTACATGTCAGGTGCGATATCTGTGGCCCAAAAAGATGAGCCTCGTCAAGGTTTTGCTCTACCTCGTCAGCACAACCAATTTTGATGCAAATTCCTACTCATACGCCCACAGAATCGGGCTATTTGCTTTACATTCACCGCGTTGAACGCTGCTCACTTTATTGGGCTTCGAAAATCGTTCTCAATGGACTTGTACGCATCAACTGCTTCTACCTGAGTTGTCGCTTACGCATGCACAGCTGCAAAACCGCAATCGTTGGCGTAGGGTATGCTTCTATGCTCTGCTTTGCCATGAGCAATTGGATCTTGCTCGCTCGAACGAGAGCGCTATTGGGGAGCCGATACAGATATTTTAGCATTGCCCTCATCGTATACTACTGCCTCTCCTACGCCTCCACCGCCTATCTTACATACCGCGTCACGTCTGCACTCGCTCCAAAGAGCTTTTACTCGTTCAACCTCAGGATCTGTGCCACCGCTGTCCACCCAAAGATTATGGGCTTTGTATGGATCCCGAGCATGGTGTTTGAGACTTCCATGTTCCTCATCACCATCTTCAAACTCTATCAGCAGCGGTCGGCCCCACGGTGCGAGTATCGGCCTCAGCACCAACCTCTTCTACGTCCTCTTCCGCGATGGAGCGAGTTATTATGTCATCATAATGGCCCTACGGACATGGAACCTCTTTGCGTGGGCAGCGTTGCCAAGTTCTCTGGCATACACGGGAATATTTATCCTCTGGAGCGTCATGTCCATTGCCGTCATGCGTTTACAGCTCAACTTGATCAAAGCTGCAGACCCGAGTGTAATTCTAACGGGGCCGTCCAAGGGTCCAACGGATGTATCACTTTCTGCGCTCAACTCTGGTCAGGTCTCTGGTCAGATTCCTCGCTTTGTGGCTCCTGGAGGTATTGGTAATGGAAGACGAACTAACGAGCCGCTCTCGACGTTCTTCTCTGACGAGGTGGATGTCTATGGGGACTATGCTTCAAATGGTCCGCAAGCGAGGCGATGGTACTGAAATATGAAACATGCATGGATTGCACCAGAAACCTATTGTCCGAGTGACAAAAATTCGACCTTTTTACTGTCTCACTTTTGTACAAACGTAGCTGTACTTCTAATCCCTAACGAGAACTGTAATTCAGCAACCCATATCGACGGATGGTTTGTCTGCCCGGTTAGCTGGACAGATTAGACAGCGTCCTGTTCCCTCGACTGTAGGCCAGGGTTGCGTGACAATCCCACTTATCGGTACCGCCATGTGCGCGAGCTCGCTGAACAGTAAAGAGGTGCACAGGTGATTGTTCCCTGCTTATCATCCATATTTGCTCAAGGGCCCAACATATGAGAATGATGAAGAGATGATAGTATATAGCCATTTATACCCGAAAGAATATACAAGATAGACATACTTTAAACAATTCCGGCAAATATAATCCAGATCAGTCGTGAGATGGCCTACAAGTTACAAATCTGAGGAGTTCCATTGAGATTATAGAACAAGGATGATGGTACCAGGGACTTGAATAGGTGCAATAGTCTCCCCTCAGGGGATTTACGACCGTCTCGCAGTCGTTTGCGCCTGTATAAGGTACGAGGCACGTAAAGTGTCAAAGGCAATTAAGCTGCTGCCGATTGCCCTCGAGTCTCAAGCTGCAGAGCAAGCATATCTTGGTGCATTTTCTCCACTTCCTCGAGTTGACCACGATCACGCAAGGTGATTTCAAGGTTGTTCATTGCGCTGATGGTGTCTGGATGGCGCCCTCCAAGGATCTCAAGTCGCAGCGTGAGTACTTCTCGCTGCATCTTCTCTGCTTCATCCAGTTGACCATGGTCACCCAAGGTGGCTGCAAGGTTGTTCATTGCTGCAATGGTGTGTGGATGGCGTCCTCCGAGGATCTCAAGCTGCAGCGTGAGGACTTCTCGCTGCATCTTCTCTGCTTCATCCAGTTTACCATGGTCACGCAAGGTGGCTGCAAGGTTGTTCATTGCCGCAATGGTGTCTGGATGGCGTCCTCCGAGGATATCAAGCCGCAGCGTGAGTACTTCTCGCTGCATCTTCTCTGCTTCATCCAGTTGACCACGGTCACGCAAGGTGTTTGCAAGGTTGTTCATTGCCGCAATGGTGTCTGGATGGCGTCCTCCGAGGATATCAAGCCGCAGCGTGAGGACTTCTCGCTGCATCTTCTCTGCTTCATCCAGTTGACCACGGTCACGCAAGGTGGCTGCAAGGTTGTTCATTGCCGCAATGGTGTCTGGATGGCGTCCTCCGAGGATGTCAAGCAGCAGCGTGAGGACTTCTCGCTGCATCTTCTCTGCTTCATCCAGTTGACCACGGTCACGCAAGGTGTTTGCAAGGTTGTTCATTGCCATGATGGTGTCTGGATGGCGTCCTCCGAGGATATCAAGCCGCAGCGTGAGTACTTCTCGCTGCATCGTCTCTGCTTCATCCAGTTGACCACGGTCACGCAAGGTGCTTGCAAGGTTGTTCATTGCCGCAATGGTGTCTGGATGGCGTCCTCCGAGGATATCAAGCCGCAGCGTGAGGACTTCTCGCTGCATCGTCTCTGCTTCATCCAGTTGACCACGGTCACGCAAGGTGCTTGCAAGGTTGTTCATTGCCGCAATGGTGTCTGGATGGCGTCCTCCGAGGATATCAAGCCGCAGCGTGAGGACTTCTTGCTGCATCTTCTCTGCTTCATCCAGTTGACCACGGTGACGCAAGGTGTTTGCAAGGTTGTTCATTGCCATGATGGTGTGTGGATGGCGGCCTCCGAGGATGTCAAGCCGCAGCGTGAGCACTTCTCGCTGCATCTTCTCTGCTTCATCCAGTTGACCACGGTCACGCAATGTCCGTGCAAGGTTGTTCATTGCCATGATCGTGTCTGTATGGCGTCCTCCGAGGATATCAAGCCGCAGCGTGAGTACTTCTCGCTCCATTCTTTCCGCCTCGCCAAGTAAACCACATCCATTTAATGCCTGAGCAAGGTTGCCCATAATCCATATCAAAATTTCATGCCCTTTGCCTTCGGCCTGTTGCGGTTGGGAAACAGCAGGTTCCAACAGCTTTCGACACGAGTTCCAGTCACCTAGGGACTCGTACAGTTTGTGAAATGCCAGCGCATGTGACACACTTTCTGACTTTGTGGTGTGAGATATATTATTGGCGTGGGGAAGCAGTTGCCAATGTAGCACATTACTGCCGTCCACCGGCCGAATTGCACCAAGCAGGAGTTGTCTTGTCATACTCAGGTAGTGTCGGCGTTCTTCTTCATCAAGACGGTCTTTTATATAAACCTGAAGGAGGGGGTGCACGCTGTAGAATAATCCGTCACTCGAAACATCGACGAACGACGTACGAGAAGCCGAATCAACGATTTCCTGAAACACAGAGTCATCCCATGTCGAGCCTACTATCCGCTCAAGGTCGGAGATGAAGATCTTGTCACTCTCTGGTGGAGGGTAGCTGCCCAGAGCGGCGTATGCGGCAAAACCATGCAACGTCGACTGCTCAAAGAGCGAAATAGGAATGAGTGAGTGATGAAGAAACGCGCAGAGCTTCAGGAACTCCTGCGTCTTCGAGGGGAGGTCGTCGAAGGACAGGTCGAATGCAGGATACGTCGACGATGTATACTCCGTCCCGAGCTCTGGTCGCTTGCGTAGAAGTTGATCTCGATGCCTGCGAAACGTGTCGAGGTATGTATCAAGGCGTCGCGTCTTGCGAATATACGCTCCTGCCTGGGTAATTGCGAGCGCCAGCATTCCTAGTTCCCTGACAATTCGGAGGGATTCACCGTCGGATGTGGGTGTAATATCGGCGGTTGTATGGAGGAGCTTGACCGCCTCGCTCTCCTCAAGCCCACGAACAGAGACTGCGCCATCCAGAGCGTAGCCGACGCATTCACTATTCCTCGTAGTGATGAGGACTGTCCCATGCGGGGAAGCAGGGAGGTACGGGCGAAGATCGAGATCTGGCGAGTCGGCATTGTCAAGTCTGTGCTGGCTCATCAAGGTTTTGCTCTACCTCGTCAGTACAGCCAACTTTGATGCAAATTCCTACTCATATACCCACAGAATCAGGCTATTTGCTTTACATTCACCGCGTTGAACGCTGCTCACTGGATTGGGCTTCGAAAGTCGTTCTCAATGGACTTGTACACATCAACTGGTTCTACCTGGGTTGTCACTTACGCATGCACAGCTGCAAAACAGCAATCGTTGGCGTAGGGTATGCCTCTATGCTCTGCTTTGCCATGAGCAATTGGATCTCGCTCACTTGAACGAGAGCGCTACTGGGGAGCCAATACCGATATTTTAGCATCGCCCTCATCGTATACTACTGCCTCTCCTATGCCTCGACCGCCTATCTTACATACCGCGTCACATCTGCACTCGCTCCAAAGAGCTTTTACTCGTTCAACCTCAGGATCTGTGCCACCGCTGTCCACCCAAAGATTATGGGCTTTGTATGGATCCCGAGCATGGTGTTTGAGACTTCCATGTTCCTCATCACCATCTTCAAACTCTATCAGCAGCGGTCGGGCCCCCACGGTGCGAGTATCGGCCTCAGCACCAACCTCTTTTACGTCCTCTTCCGCGATGGAGCGAGTTATTACATCATCATCATAATGGCCCTACGGACATGGAACCTCTTTGCGTGGGCAGCGTTGCCAAGTTCTCTGGCATACACGGGAATATTTATCCTCTGGAGCGTCATGTCCATCGCCGTCATGCGTTTACAGCTCAACTTGATCAAAGCTGCAGACCCGAGTGTAATTCCAACGGGGCTGTCCAAGGGTCCAACGGATGTATCACTTTCTGCGCTCAACTCTGGTCAGGTCTCTGGTCAGATTCACCGCTTTGTGGCTCCTGGAGGTATTGGTAATGGAAGACGAACTAACGAGCCGCCCTCGACATTCTTCCATGATGAGGTGGACATCTATGGGGACTATGCTTCAAATGGTCCGCAAGCGAGGCGATGGTACTGAAATACGAAACATGCATGGATTGCAACAGAAACCTATTGTCTGAGTGACAAAATTTTGACCTGTTTACTGTCTCACGTTTGTACGAACGTTCTAACCCCTCACAAGAACTGTAATTCAGCAACTCCATATCGACAGATAGTTTGTCTGCCACGGTTAGGTGGACAGATCAGACAGTGTCCTGTTCCCTCAACTGTAGGCCAGGGTTGCGTTACAATCCCACTTATCGGTACCGCCATGTGCGCGAGCTCGCTGAACAGTAAAGAGGTGCACAGGTGATTGTTCCCTGCTTATCATCCATATTTGCTCAAGGGCCCAACATATGAGAATGATGAAGAGATGATAGTATATAGCCATTTATACCCGAAAGAATATACAAGATAGACATACTTTAAACAATTCCGGCAAATATAATCCAGATCAGTCGTGAGATGGCCTACAAGTTACAAATCTGAGGAGTGCCATTGAGATTATAGAACAAGGATGATGGTACCAGGGACTTGAATAGGTGCAATAGTCTCCCTTCAGGGGATTTACGACCTCCTCGGAGTCGTTTGCGCCTGTATAGGGTACGAGCCACATAAAGTGTCAAAGGCAATCAAGCTGCTGCCGATTGCCCTCGAGTCTCAAGCTGCAGGGCGAGCATATCTTGGTGCATTTTCTCCACTTCCTCGAGTTGACCACGATCACGCAAAGTGATTTCAAGGTTGTTCATTGCGCTGATGGTGTCTGGATGGCGTCCTCCGAGGATATCAAGCCGCAGCGTGAGTACTTCTCGCTGCATCTTCTCTGCTTCATCCAGTCGACCATGGTCACTCAAGGTGTTTGCAAGGTTGTTCATTGCCGCAATGGTGTCTGGATGGCGTCCTCCGAGGATATCAAGCCGCAGCGTGAGGACTTCTCGCTGCATCTTCTCTGCTTCATCCAGTTGACCACGGTCACCCAAGGTGGCTGCAAGGTTGTTCATTGCTCTGATGGTGTCTGGATGGCGTCCTCCGAGGATATCAAGCCGCAGCGTGAGTACTTCTCGCTGCATCTTCTCTGCTTCATCCAGTTGACCACGGTCACCCAAGGTGGCTGCAAGGTTGTTCATTGCCGCAATGGTGTCTGGATGGCGTCCTCCGAGGATATCAAGCCGCAGCGTGAGGACTTCTCGCTCCATCTTCTCTGCTTCATCCAGTTGACCACGGTCACCCAAGGTGTTTGCAAGGTTGTTCATCGCCGCAATGGTGTCTGGATGGCGTCCTCCGAGGATATCAAGCTGCAGCGTGAGTACTTCTCGCTGCATCTTCTCTGCTTCATCCAGTTGACCACGGTCACCCAAGGTGTTTGCAAGGTTGTTCATTGCCGCAATGGTGTCTGGATGGCGTCCTCCGAGGATGTCAAGCAGCAGCGTGAGGACTTCTCGCTGCATCTTCTCTGCTTCATCCAGTTGACCACGGTCACGCAAGGTGTTTGCAAGGTTGTTCATTGCCATGATGGTGTCTGGATGGCGTCTTCCGAGGATGTCAAGCCACAGCGTGAGTACTTCTCGCTGCATCTTCTCTGCTTCATCCAGTTGACCACGGTCACGCAAGGTGGCTGCAAGGTTGTTCATTGCCGCAATGGTGTCTGGATGGCGTCCTCCGAGGATATCAAGCCGCAGCGTAAGTACTTCTCGCTGCATCTTCTCTGCTTCATCCAGTTGACCACGGTCACGCAAGGTGGCTGCAAGGTTGTTCATTGCCGCAATGGTGTCTGGATGGCGTCCTCCGAGGATATCAAGCCGCAGCGTGAGGACTTCTCGCTGCATCTTCTCTGCTTCATCCAGTTGACCACGGTCACGCAAGGTGTTTGCAAGGTTGTTCATTGCCGCAATGGTGTCTGGATGGCGTCCTCCGAGGATGTCAAGCCGCAGCGTGAGGACTTCTCGCTCCATTCTTTCCGCCTCGCCAAGTAAACCACATCCATTTAATGCTTGAGCAAGGTTGCCCATAATCCATATCAAATTTTCATGCCCTTTGCCTTCGGCCTGTTGTAGTTGGGAAACAGCAGGTTCCAACAGCTTTCGACACGAGTTCCAGTCACCTAGGGACTCGTACAGTTTGTGAAATGCCAGCGCATGTGACACACTTTCTGACTTTATGGTGTGAGATATATTATTGGCGTGGGGAAGCAGTTGCCAATGTAGCACATTACTGCCGTCCACCGGCCGAATTGCACCAAGCAGGAGTTGTCTTGTCATACTCAGGTAGTGTCGGCGTTCTTCTTCATCAAGACGGTCTTTTATATAAACCTGAAGGAGGGGGTGCACGCTGTAGAATAATCCGTCACTCGAGACATCGACGAACGACGTACGAGAAGCCGAATCAACGATTTCCTGAAACACAGCCTCATCCCATGTCGAGCCTACTATCCGCTCAAGGTCGGAGATGAAGGTCTTGTCACTCTCTGGTGGAGGGCAGCTGTCCAGAGCGGCGTATGCGGCAAAACCATGCAACGTCGACTGCTCAAAGAGCGAAATAGGAATGAGTGAGTGATGAAGAAACGCGCAGAGCTTCAGGAACTCCTGCGTCTTCGAGGGGAGGTCGTCAAAGGACAGGTCGAATGCAGTATACGTCGACGATGTATACTCCGTCCCGAGCTCTGGTCGCTTGCGCAGAAGTTGATCTCGATGCCTGCGAAACGTGTCGAGGTATGTATCAAGGCGTCGCGTCTTGCGAATATACGCTCCTGCCTGGGTAATTGCGAGCGCCAGCATTCCTAGTTCCCTGACAATTCGGAGGGATTCACCGTCGGATGTGGGTGTAATATCGGCGGTTGTATGGAGGAGCTTGACCGCCTCGCTTTCCTCAAGCCCACGAACAGAGACTGCGCCATCCAGAGCGTAGCCGACGCATTCACTATTTCTCGTAGTGATGAGAACTGTCCCATGCGGGGAAGCAGGAAGGTATGGGCGAAGATCGAGATCTGGCGAGTCGGCATTGTCAAGAAAGAGCAACCAGCCTATCTCTTTGCCATCAAGATACGAAACCGCATCTTTCCAAGACATTTTGGCATACTCGGGGCCTAAAGAGCGAATCGACAGCTCCAAATCTTTTTCCAGCTGAGTTTGACTGGAAGCGTCGATGGTAATCACGCGAGTGAAACTACTCAAATGTGAGAGATCTCTAGATAACTGAGTACTTCGTACCTATCTTCATGCTCCCGAATCCAGTTTGTGGCGAGCTGAGTTTTGCCAGCCCCTCCAATTCCATGCAGTATACACCGTGGTTGATGCCGTGCACGACCACTTGGAAGCAAAATTTGCGTCATGAGGGATTGAATGCTTGGTCTATCCACATAGTTCCTTGACACTGCGAGACGAGGCTTCGGCAAGAAAACCTCAGGTAGCGACAAGCTCTCTCCATTTGTCAAAGCTGATCATAGGTCAGTCTTCAAAGGGAATATAAGGGCTAAAAAGACCTCGGTGTTTGTCCTCTGCCAACCATTTCTTTTTCACCGCGGGGATAGCCCCTTCAATATGCTGTTTGAGGTACGAAAGAACGGCAACATAATTGACATGTTTCGTGTCTGGGAACTTGACCATCTCACAATGATCAGCAGCCAGTCCTTCCTTAGTCGCATGGCGATCTCCAGCGACCGTTGCCGAATGATGCGGGACAATCTGCCAGGTCAGGGTCAGAACGATTGTATTTCGTTGTACTCACTATTTGACTTTTACCGCCAACGGTCGGCGTCGGATACACTTCGTAAAACAGAACGGTCTGGATCTCCTCGCTCGCCGAAGTGTATAGGTTTTGTATATTTTCTAGCTCTGGGGAGTTCTCTTTGAGGTTCCGGAGGATAGCCTCTGTCGTCTTCAAGTATACTGACAATAGCCTGTTCATGGTTTTGAGAAGCTCGACACCTTTGACGCCGGAATGAGGTGTTCCGAAGAACAAGACAGCATGAGTAGACACCAATATATCCCGCAGTTGATTTGTCGAGCTTAAAGTCTGGACGTGGCAAAGGACAAGAGCCTAATCGAATATGAGGACAAGCATCTAGGCACTTGGATGGGAATACCTGTTTGAGTACTATGCCTCCCAAGCTGTGCGCGATGAAGATGATTGGTCGCTGTGATGGGTTGAGGAGACGTTGACGAGGCAGGCCTCGATAACTCACACGTGGAGTATCACTACGTTGCCGTATGAGAGACTTGACAAACTTGTCCGCATGCTGATATATCGTCTGCGTTGAGACACACTCTTGGCTGCGAGTATCAGCGTCGTAGCCATACACGAGGATACGAGCATTGGGGATGTCGACCGAGAGAAGATCTCGGAGCCACAATGTGCCATTCTCTGCCGTCCAAGTACGTTCTCTGTGGCCGTCCAAGCCATGGATGGCGACAATGCTGAGATGGTGAGATAGGGGCGAGTGCGCCAAACGACAAAGCTACTCACTCGACAATTGGATCAGTCCCAGACACGAGCTCTAGGAAATCGAGGTCATCCTTCTTCGATTTGGCTTTTGTTGTCGATAGTTTATTGGGATCCAAGTCTAGGCTGGTTGTCGACTTGTTGGTCTTTTGCAACGACGGTTTGGAAATGCGAAGAATGCCCTTCAGGCGTGAGCGCAAACTTGACATCCTTCTTGGCGAAATGGTGGGGAACAAGAGCTGCCTTGCTGCTCAGCGCCTCGGCGTCAAATGGTTGTTGAGGGCGAGGAGACTGGCAACATCTCAACGCCCCCCAAATGTCATCGGTAGCGTCTTGATGATGATAGTCGAAGGCGACTGTAAATCAACTCCCCAAGTGTGCCCTTACTGAATAGACTCTTGTCTTCTAATTAAAGATGGTTTCTCTAACATGTACTGGCTGTTACAAGTACGTGGAGCTGCCAATACTGTATAGTTTCAACGCGATTATTATCCACCACTAGCTCATGCTCTCCTTCACGTCGTCGACTAACGTCACAAGCAGCTCTTGAATTTGGGCGGTAAGATGAAACAGCGATACTTCCAGCGTTTGTTACTACATGGTCTGTCTTTCTGGACCGAGATCAAAAGGACCCTAGTAGCACATCCACTTTCTTCCTTCCGCGGTGCGAACATAGATTGTCCCATCCCTTAATAGAGTGGAAATATCATTAGCCAAAGGATATAAGCCTGGTGCCCAGACGTACCTGTTCAAATATTGGTATGCTTTCGAGCCATCTTCAAACTTACTAGTGCAATAGTGATTGCCCTGTATCGCACAAGATGTCAAACTCATGGATCTCTGTACAATAAAAATGTTTACCAAGGAATTCGTGCCGCATCGTTGATACCAGCCACAAGGGCGTAGCTCAAGGGTCAAGAACCATTCACGACTGCGTGGGGTATCTTCACTCATTGTTTCAGTCGAGTCTCGATGGGCGTCGTCGCTGAAGAGAAAAGGGAAGATCAGGTGTGCTTGAGAGCAAATGAGCTTGTCTCACATATATAGAAATATGCCCACCAGTGGCCCAAGTGCACGAGTTCATCCCAACCCGCAGGCGCTCGCAATACGGCCAATCCAATATTCGGGTAACCCCGGGCTATCACCTGACTCTTGGCTCCTAAATGGAACAAACCAAGAGCGTTGGAGCCCATTCATTGCCCATTCAGAGAGGCTCAGAAGCTTCCAGAACGCACCCATCCAGAAAAATCCGGAATTCCATTTAAAGGACAGCATTGGAGACTTTGGTTATTGAATATGACGACTCTATAGGCTGAGTGAGGAAGCACGACGCGCTCATTGAATCCGCCTTCGCAGCCAATTTTGTTCTATGCACGCGTTGCCATATCTGATAGAATGCGGACATTGGTTCCGAAACGCCCAGTGCAGGGACCAACTACCAGTTGCATTCTCGAACCCTCGCTCCGGAATTGACAATCGCGTGGCAGAGTCTCTAACGCGCTTTCTTCCTACAACTACACATCTATCTGGTGACCAGAACTACTCCTCCTTATTCTCATCCCACCCTCGAGAGCGCTCAATGGCTCGTTGCCATTTGCGCCACCGTTCCTCGCGCGAGCCATCCTCAAGTGACGACCGAAATATCCTTTTCCCGCTGCTGTTGACCTGTGCAAACGTGTCCGGTTTGGCAAGGTTCCATCCGTGGAGACTTATAGCTGAACCAGCAAGGAGAGCGGCTCCAAGAGCAGTCGACCTAAGATGAATTCCGATCAGACCCAACAAGAAAAGGGAATAGAGTCGACTTACTCTCTCATCTCCGGTCGAAGTATATCGCATCCGACAAGATCCGCAAGAATCTGCATCGCAAGGTCGCCGTTGGTCATACCACCGTCCACCTTGAGTTCAGTATCCTTGGTGCGCTCCTTAGCCTTTTCCTTTGTTTGCTTGGGCGCGTCAGTCTTTGGGGCCTCCGACTTGCGGTCGGCATCTTCATGCTCCTCTGCATCAAGGTGCATACTCTCGAGAATGGCACGCGTTTGAAACGCACTGGCTTCTAGAGTCGCACGTGCAATATGTCCCGGAGTGGTGTACGAAGTAAGTCCTGTACTTGATTATTAGCAGGAAACTTCGACTTGGTCAGTGCGTACCAATCATCATCCCAGCGGCAGTCGGGTCCCAATACGGGGCGAGAAGGCCTCCAAAGGCAGTGACGAAAACGACACCTCCAGTATCCTCTACGCTTTCGGCCAATGTGTTGACTTCTGCCGTCTTGCGGATTAACTTGATGCCGTCTCGCAACCATTTGATCGCAGAGCCAGCCACAGCAACTATTTTGGGCTCATCAACAGAGATGATCACTGAGAGGAATCTACTCACTGCTCCCCTCCATTGCATAGACTGGCTTTGTGCCCTCCCCCGGCTGAAATGCGACAGTGGTTAGAAGCCCGTGTCGGCTTCTGACAACGTCGTTGCCGGTACAGAAAAGCAGGAATGCACCGGTTCCATATGTGCATTTTGCCTCTCCTTTCTGGAGGCATTTGTTGCCGACGAGGGCAGCCTGTTGATCACCGGCAATCCCAGCCACGCTGACGCCCTTGAGCTCCGTAGAAGAGAGATGGCCATAAATTTGCGAAGAAGAGACGAGTTTGGGGAGAATGGATGGTCGTAATTCGAAAAATTCGAGAAGTGGTGGGTGCCACTTGAGATCAGAAAGTGAAAGGAGCAACGTGCGGGATGCGTTTGTTGGATCAGTGATATGAAGTCCGCCATTCTCGGCGTATTCTTTCTGTGCAGGATCCAAAAGGTGCCAACAAATCCAAGAGTCGACGGTGCCAAACGCCAGTTGGTCCTTTTCGTGAGCCTCGACGACCTGTGGGTAATGATGCATCATCCATTTGAGTTTAATTGCGCTGAAATATGTAGAAATAGGCAATCCAGTTGTCTTCTTAATATATTCGTGACCGTCCTTTCCTTTGAGGATTTGTCCATTCGGAAGTTTGATACCATCGGTTGAGAGCTTGTCGAGATAGTGTGCAACCGTACCCTTTGTGCGAGCGTCGTCCCACACGATGGCTCTACAGAGGGATTTGCCGGTCTTGCGGTCCCATGCGACACATGTCTCTCTCTGGTTCGTGATGCCTAGCGAAGATGAGATTCAAAGTCGGCAATAGGCGAGACATACCGATGGTTTTGACACTATCACGAGCCCATCCCTCCTTTTCCAGGTTCTTGACCGCCTCTGAGATGCAGGTCCGTACAGTCCCAATAATCTCTTCCGGTTCATGCTCGTGCCATCTACGAGCATCTCATCAGATAAGTGAAAAGCATGAAGAAATATACGTGCCCCGGATGAGGATAATATTGAGTAAACTCGACCTGGTGCTGAGCTACAATCGCGGCGTGCTCGTCAAAGATGATGAAGCGAGTCGAGCTAGGCTTTCTCAGTCATTTAAACAGATACTCGTACGGAATGGAAACTCACGTTGTGCCACAGTCGAGTGCTCCGACAAACTGTCCACTACGAAGGGAGCCCATTGTGCGTCTGGTGACGAGGAGATGGGAGAGGCGAGGTCCAAGGAATCTGCGCATTCAAAGGTGTCTCCAGTCGCATCAAATATGCTGCCCGATGTGGGCAGTTCTTCGCTCTGGCGGCTTGAAGCGGGCCGGATGAGAGACAGAGCCGTGAATGTTGAGCGGCTCGTGCTTTCGATTGGATGCCCGAATGAGCTTCCGGATTAGTTTTTTTAGAATAATAATTTGCGGGGAATAGTAACCAGTTGGGTCCAACTGTTGACCTTGTCTCTTGGCCACTTCCACATCCGACCAACGACCAAAATGTCCGATGCCTGGGACTTTGCAGTCTGCGCGACGATCCAGCTGCTCAGAGCTGGAACTTCGTATCTCAAAGTAGATCCTCCTTATGTCCTCGACGCCGTCGCCTTTGCACTCGCGATTCTAGAGGGCGCGATTTTGTCCAACACGTTGCCCGACCGTCGCAGGCTGACGCTCTATCCATCGCTCATGCTCGTATTCCGCATCATTCTTGACTTTGTCTCGAGCGCAACAACCTCCAACGTCTTTCTGGGCATGGCTGGCACCCTTGGAGGCTTGTTACTCGGGCCCGTGTTCCACTCGCCATATCCGGCCGATAGCGTCTCAGACGATGGTCACAAGATTTCTTCAGCATCGTCTGTTGGGGGACTGTCGACTATTCGCGCTAGCTCAATCGGAGATGCGCAAACCACGCCCCTGTCGAGCCCACGGCGCGTGTTCACTCCGCCACGGCCAGTCATGCATCATGTTGTCGACATTGACAAAGAATCGCACAGACCTGTGCTTTTCACGCCGGCAATGTCCCTGCGCACCCTGCCCGAAGATTCGCAACCGGCTCCTTCGAGCATGTTGAGCTCATCTGCACGCTCACGAACGCGCGTAGAAGACAGCTTTTCCACGGATGAGACGATCAAGTATCGTCGAGCAAGCATCAGCCTCGACGAACACATCGGGCCCTTCTCAACACCTACGCCAACGCATGACGAAACCGTCTATCAGGATGCCATCGACACGCACACTCCCGGCAAGAATCTCGTCAAGGAGACTGTCAGAAAGCTCAGAGCTCAGGCCAAAAACGACGACATCAACCGCAGAAACTTGCTTCACGAACGCGAGCAGGTCCTCCAAGAGGGCGACGTTGCACGCGCCTTTTTGTTAAAGCATCAGGCAGAGACACTCAAGAAGAGTATGCAAGAGTCGGACAAGGAGGCTGCAAAGACCATCTTTGAGTGTATGTGTTGTTCATCTTGAGATTGACAAGTCGGTCTAACCGAGCACTAGATTACAACCCCAACGGACGACCAGACAAGTCACGCATCGACCTCCGTGGTCTACAAGCTTCAGAGGCGATTCAGTTTTGTGATGAAGCTCTCAAGGAACTACAAGAAGTTGGCGGAAGCGAGCTCGTCGTGACACTTGGACGAGGAAAGAATACCGACGGCCCTGGTAAAGGAAAGGTCAAGCCCACATTACGCCAGTATGCCAAAGCGTAAGTCGGTCGAGTTTGTATCTGCGCATCTGACCTCTCTTTCTAGTCAGGCCATCCAAGTTCGTGAGTCCGACGACGGCACGACGCTCATCCTCAGCCTACCAACGATTCGCTCGCCTATCTACTACGACTAAACGATGCCCGCTACGAAACCTCATTACCAACCCCCAAGCGACACCCAACGTTATTTTCATTTGCTCTTTTGAACCGATATACATTTTTGCGACACCCTTTCCCCTGGACTGTATTTTTTTTTCTTGGATAACCCCATTGGAATCAAGTTCTTTCATAACTTAGCTTGCGTATGAGCAAGTAAGGTTGATCGTGAACTTTGTGGCATCCTAGTCCTTTTTGACATTGGGACGGCCGAGGTTCAGACGCCAAAACTGAAAGCTGAGGTATGTCGCAAAGGACAGCCAAGCGCAATAAGGCGCGAGGAATGGAGTCGTCTGTCCGTCTGTTGCACCATGCAAGGTGTACTTGGGACTGTCAGCTTCTTCCATCTAGGTGTGTTTGGGCACTTACGGTCATCCAGTAGACCAACGAGATGAGAGCCGTCATGTCGAGGAGAGCCAGTCCTTTCTGAAAATTACGTCAGTTCTTGTATAAGTATATACGGTTTGCGTACCTTTTTGAGGAAGAAGAAGAGAGTGGTGTATGCGAGGTTGAGGACGAGTTGGATCCAGTAAATCTTGAGACCTGTATACACAGCTTCACTGTATATTTTAATGTCAGACGTTGGAGCTGGAAGTGAAATGCAGGCGAACCGTGAGGACGCCAGAGACTTGTTGTCGTAGACCTTGACGGCAAGATGACTGGCATATCCCATTCCCATGTAGAGCAGAGACCTATTTAAGTCACCATGAAGGTTAGAATGAAGTGTATTATGGCAAACCAGATGTGGCAAGACACGCACCATACAATCCCGAATACAGCCTGAGGCGGCTCAAAGGCCGGACGCTTTAAACTCTATAACCATATAAGCTATCAGGTTGGATTGAAAAAAGGGATCGAATAGGAGAGTACAGGTTGAGAATAGGGTGCAGCTGATAGCAAACCTGATACCATGGCCCATTGACAACATTTCCCGTCGGAAATCCGCTTAAAGAACCTAGAACAAACGGTACACCAACGGCCAAAGGGACGCTGCGAGAGAGGTCCAGCAAGATGGGTGGAAGGTTGAACGACTCCATTCGCAATCGACGACTGCAAGTGTTGTTTCGGGAGGTGGGGCAAAGCAAAAAAAGATATGGACGGGTTCAAGTTGTTCAACACGTCGAGGCTCGGCCTTGTCACATAGGCTAATCGGAGATAAGCTGCATTACGGCGCCCTCCCTCCCTCACACTCTATCAATCACTGGGATCAAGTCTCTCGAATTCAAAGGCGATCAATACCTACAAATAGTCCTAGAATTCTTTGAGTTCTGGGCGACCTCGGTTCAGGTACCAGAACTCAAAGTTCAAGTAGCTGGCAAAGGTCAACCAAGCGCAATAGGGAGCCAGGAAGAGGGTAGTCGCTCCATTTGTCGCGTGATGCAATGTATACTACGCCTTGTTAGAGACAGAGGCATATTGCTGGAGCGACTCACTGTCATCCAATACACGACGCCGGTCAATGGGAGGATATCCAAAAGTGCGAGTCCTTTCTGTGCCAATAAGTGAGTTTGTTGACCGCCGAGCTTCAGCGTCCTTACCTGCTTTGCCATGAAGAAGAGGGGAGTCCATGCAAGATTGAGACCGAGCTGAATCCAATACAGCTTTAGGCCAGCATATGCATCCATTCTACGCCGTATATTAATACAAATTAAGCTCATAGAGAAGAACCACGGTGAAACTAACCGAGAGGAAGGACTGAGACTCTGGTCATAGGCCCTGATAGCCAAATGAGAAGCCCATCCCATACTCGCATACAGAATCGGCCTGGAGGATGCTAAGTGTTGTGAAAAGGTGGACAACTATATGCTTACCAAACGATACCAAACGCCGCTCGTGGAGGTTCGACGCGAGGCCGTCTTAGACTCATGTACCATGGCCCTCTGACCACATCTTTTGTTGGGTATCCACTCAACGAGCCGAAGACGAGCGGCAAGCCAATGGCCACGACCGCATTACGAGGAATGTCAAGCAAGATTGGCGGCAGAGAAATAGAGTCCATTGGAGAGGTTTATCAAACTGGAGAGTATTTGCTGGTGGTTATGTAGACGTGGTAGGGGTCCAAGTTATATTTGACGTCAAATCGAAGGTGACCCATGAGCATCGACGCAGATCGACGTCGGCGTCCGCGAAGCTCACACGCACGACAGTCCAGAGCAGAATCGAGATTACTATAATCGAGATTCCCACATCATTTACTTCCATGGAAAGATAATGGAGAAGCCTATTAGATGAGGAGAAAATAGAGAATACGAATAGATACAACTTGTCCAGCATATGTAATGGCATTTGATTGTGACTCAAAGAATTCATGAACATTATGACCACGAATCTGTATCAGTCATGACCAGTCACCCCTTCTACTCGTCTTTGAATCCCGAACGACCTCGGTTCAGATACCAAAATCCAAAGTTGACGCAGCTGGCAAAGGTCAACCAAGCGCAATAGGGCGCCAGGAAGAGCGTAGTCTTTCCATTCGTCGCATTATGCAACACGAACTGGGTAACATTCAGACACACAGCCAGGAAACTATGCAAATGTGACGCACTGTCATCCCATAAACGGTGCCAGTCAGGGCGACGAGGTCAACCATCGCAAGTCCTATCTTTTCCATGCTTGAGTTTGTCAAACATTAGAATCGAATGGTCTCACCTGCTTTGCAAAGAAGAAGATGGGTGTCCATACCAAGTTCAGCCCGAGCTGAATCCAATACAACTTGAGGCCAGTGTATGCGTCCATTCTACAACGAACAAGTTAAGACACATCTAACTCGGGGAGAGGGAACCTACCGCGAAGAGTCAGGTCCTGTTCATAGGCCTTGATAGCCAGATGAGAGGCCCAGCCCATACTCGCATACAAGATTGGCCTAGACATCGTTAAGCATTATAAACATCACTCACAAACGGACAACTGACCAGACAATGCCAAATGTTGCGTCTGGCGGTTCAAAGGAGGGATGCTTCAAACCCCTGTACCAGGGTCCATCGACAATCTTGTTAGTTGGGTATGCACTCAGCGAGCCCAAGACAAGCGGTAGGAGAATGGCCACGACCGCGTTACGGGGCAGCTCTAGTAAGATGGGTGGCAGAGAGATAGAGCTCATCCTGGTTGCACATCCAGCTTGATAGAGCTTCTTAGTGGTTATATAGATGCAGAAATGTGGCTTGACGTCAAATCCCGAATAAACCACGCATCGACGATGTGAATGATCGCCATCGCCGCCCAAAATTGAGATTCTCTGGTTAGCATAGCATATATTTAAGTTACACACCATTATCGAAATGAAGTATCTTCCGTCCCCGAGGCAGTCCTTTCCGCGTGTCCCTCGCTTCGCATTCGTGTCAAGCTCAGCCGTCGACCATCCCGCTTCGGCGAGGTCGTATTTGACCGCGACTTTGGCTTTGGTTTCTTGGCTGTATCCGCTTTGGGTGCCCACGGGTTTGTATTCCCCGCTCCGGCATTCCAACTCTCATCCTCATCATCCCACGCACCCCAATCATCGTCTGCATCTTCCCCGGTTGGTGTGGTTCCATATGCCGGTGATGGCGGTGGCGAACGTTGTTTGATGGGGAACGCTCTCCTCTCTGTACTCGTATTCGAGGAACCAGCATGAGCTGTGTCTTCTTTCAATGGAGCCGCCTTGGGCTCTTTGAGACCCTCAGTCGAAGTGGAACGAGGTCGTTTCTGAGGAGAAACGATTCCTCGCTCCAAATCTCGAGATCGCCGTCTTCCCGTGATCCCAGCGGTTGCATCGTGGTATTCATCGTCGTTGTCGTTGTCCGTAAACAATGGTGCATGTATATCCTCGTCCTCTTCGCGAGAGGGAACGAATCCTCCGTTTTGCACCAACGAGTCGAGCGAATCTCGCGCCTTGACAATCGAGTCGATGAGCCAGAACTGGAGCATGTTGAACACAATAGGGCAGATTCCCATGACACTATACAGGGATGAGAGTCGCGCAACAAACGCATACAGAGCACGTACACAACCACTTGCACCGTGTCAGAGTTTCCAGTCCACGAAAGCAGCCACTCGCCAATGGCAAAGATTCCAGGCCATATAGCAAAGAGGAGCACGACGACGACCTTCATCCCAAGCAAACAGAAGACGTAGACGGCAGCCTGCCGAGCCCAAAACTTGATAGACGGCTTGGGTCCATCTCCATATTGACCCGTTTGCAGTCCATGAACATGAAATTGTTCAGTGAGTACTTTTGTCGTTCCCCATAGGAACAAGTAGATGATCCCGACACCTGTGGTCACCCAGCCGTCAGCCGCGCGTCACGCAGCGCAGCAAAACACGCACCAACAGTCGTGTCGACGACGATATTGAGAAAATAGAGTACACATGGATTCTGTACAGCCTGGTCTGCGCCGAAATCCGAAATGAACACGTTGGCAAAGTGGACGACAATCTGACCTGCACGTCTTGCCATCAGCCAGTGCTAGACGCGTCTTAAATGTGCAGAAACGTACCAACAAGTTGCTTAGACACGTCAAACATCCAGATTTTCCACTTGCGCTTTGGTTTCTCTCGATATCGTTTATATACGAGCGTCAGGACGACCATGACACCCATCAGCCCCTGCACAATCAGTGCTGGAGGTCCCAGCAGTTGACAATTACCATTGTCGACGCCGGGTGGGGAGGGCTTGGTGGGGGTCGAGTCCAACATTTGCAGACCAATGCTAAGCGGCTTCCGGTGCACTCAAGCATATTTGTCAGAGTACTAGACAATCAATTTTACTGAGGATATAAACTACAAAAGCGTGCTCACGAAATGGCAAACAGACAAACCACCGCGAACAGGTGCCCACTGAATCTATCCAACCACCTTTTCCATACCAAATTGCTCGCATTGAGGCGGAAGAGGCCACTTGGAGAACGAAGCCATTGATCCGACAAATGAACTCTCAGTCACGACCGATGAACCAGCGACATCAAGTGCTTGATGAGGCACAGACTTGCATTCCAGCGAAGAAGGAAGCGACGAAACCTCGTCGTCCATCTCCATAAACGACTCTTGAGCATGCACATCGGTACCCACGTCTTCCTTTTCCAAATCACTCGAAGGGTATTCGTCTGCATTCTGGATGATCACATTCTCACGTCCGTATATGCGAACGAGGTCCGCTGCCGAAATCGATATTTCCACCCACTTGGCCGGGTCAATACTCGTCCTTGTCGAGGCAGTGTGGGCTTGCTTGTCCAAGAGACTCCATCTAGGCAAAGTGGAAACTGGTCCTCGTTTTGCTCGGGGAGGTGGAAGCAAGCTCGAGAGATCGCTGGAGCGTTTCTGTGAAGACGAAAAAGTAAGTTCCGGCAACGAGAATGGATGCTCAATCATAATTGAATCTTCTGCATCTTCCATTTCGCACTTGACAAACGAGTCTTCAAAAGCTAGCCCTGGCAGCGTGCCATCAGTCGGTGTTTGGAGAAGAGGCGACGTTCCTCTAGCCTCTTTGCGCGTGAGAACGGAAAAGAATCTGGAAAATTTTCGCTTTGGAATAACGCGGATTGGAGACACGTCGGCGTCGGCCCTCTGATACTCTCGTCAACAACATCAGTGGCAAGCACGGTAGACGAACCTTTAGCTTCCAGAGAGCAATCTCAGAAGAAGAAAGAGACGATAAAGAACCTTCTTCGCTCGTCGTCACAAAGCTATACTCGTCCTCGCCCTCGCGCGTCAACGGTTTAGAGTAGAAGAAGGGTTCCGGGGGTTGTCCGCTGGACACACTTCGTGGAAGAGAGGTGAAAGAGTTCTCTGCTTTTGAACCATTTCGAATCGAGGGGATAAACGAGCGAAGCGAACTCGAGGTGTTGCGTCTGGGTCGTCCAGCGCTGTTCTCCCCATCCTTGAGCGCAGAACCAGCAATCCAAGACACGATACGCGAGCCTCGTTTCGGTCGTTGGTTGTTCATGACGCCGCCCGACGATTCTCTCGACAAGGGACAGTCCAAGTGCGGCTTGCAACGACCAGAACACGACGTCAAGAACAAAAGGGAATAGGCATTAGCATACTAGGCCGCTGCTTATCAATAATATCGGCTACCGTACAATCATAATGGTACATCGGAAGAAGCGCACTGTTTTCTTCCGGTCAGGCATGCGGAATGAAAGGTGGGTTGGACATGGATGTGTAGCACGAAAAGTCTCTTGCGCATGGCAGTGTCATCAAGTGTAGCGCGATCGGAATCTCCCAAGCAAAAAACTGGTCTCCATTTCTCCCGTCCGTCAGGCTTACCAAAAGTGCCCCTTAGCTGAGGATGAGCACATCCAGTTCGAGATTCTCCGTCGTGTTAAACGCGCACGTCAAGCAAGTCGCCGGTCCTCTTGAGATGACTGCATGTCGTCCAACTTCGCTACACCATGCCCTCGCGAGCGCTTCGGCGTCTCCACCACCCGTAGCATTGATGAGTAGCAACTTCCCAGGCGCTACTAAATTTTGGTCTTTGAGATCCTTGACGTCAACCACGTTGCGATACCGCTCGAGCTCCCTGGCGTGTGCGAGATGGGGTCCGCTCATGCACGGCGGTGAGGCGACCATGACCGAATTGTGCACGATATTGTATTCGACTGTGCATTCTTGCCCGACATCAAACGAGACTGTCGCGCTGGCTTGCTGACTGGTGATATCCTCGTCGTCTTCAAGCGGCAGCAGATCCAATCGTACGTCGATGACCTTCGGCACTGTCGCCGATTTGGGAACGGGTGTCGGTAATACCCACTTCGTCATATCGGCCAGTTCATTGAGCAACCCTCGAGGGGTTTCACCGGGACGCACTCGTAGACCTCGGTCTTGAAGTTCGTGTTCGTCTTCTGTCATGTCATCGAGCGCATTGTTCATCTGGCTAAACTCTGCTGGCTTGCTCTTGATCCTTATCCACCCCGTAAACGTTGCGCCTGCCGTCGTCTTTACTGGTGGACAAGGCCCAACCCAACCCGCCACGCAATTGGTCTCCTTCAACCCTCCTAGAACCCGAGCGAGCGGCGTTCGTGTCCGCCAATACGAATGCTCGCGCAGCACCAACCCCGCATCAAAGTAGGGTGTCGTCCCAAACGCGCGCAACGAGGGAGAGGCATAGATTGCCGCCGACATGCATTTCCATGCAAACCATCGTCCCGGGAGACAGGTTCCATAGAGCCAATCGAGGAAATGAACGTCGACAATTTTGCCATTCAAATGGTTCGAATACGCGGTGGGGGCGAATTGGCGAACTTCTTCCAGTAACGGCCACTTCATCGCTTCGACAAACGCGATGAGACCGTCGGCCTGTTTCTCGTGTACTTTTGAATACACCTTTAGCTGGCCGTCACTGATCTCCGCAGATACGTTTTCGACCCATCGGACGGCGACCTCGAGCGTCGAATTGACTTGCTGAGTGATTCCAGGAAACGTCGAGGCGTGTTCGCATACCTTGAGGCGAAGGTAGAGCTCATATCCAATGAGAACCTGGAGGAGGAAGAGGCGAACGCCCATGCCCATGGGAGGGGGTGCTATGGCGAGAAGGTAGACTGAATCAGCCAGAGTAAAATCTTCAAAAAGGTCCTCTCGGTTGAGCACCCGAATCAAATCTCCGGCCTGCGAATTGTATGGTCTCTCTGCATCGAAAAAGGCAGACGACCCTTGGCCAATGATGCTTCGCAAGCGTTCGCCTTCTTCCTCTGCCCTTTCTGGCTCGAGTATGCGTTTGGCTTCTTGGAGCTTTTGGACGAGCTCGGGGCCAGAGAGCGGTGGAAGGGCTCCTTGCATAAAGTAGACAGTCTGGCGACGCCCACGAGAGGCCACATCAAATCTCTCCCATCCGAGCCCGGCAACACCCACGGTACCGGGCAGTCTGCCCTGTGGATGAGACTCTATGTCGAGCTCAGTCAGACGCTCCAGACCCGGCGCTTCCTCCACGAGCATGCTCTGAAACGCCGGGTGGAGTGGTTTGGGGGTCTCTAGGGGCGCTGCAACTCCGCGGTTCGGATCCCAGCCCAAGAGTGTCCACGAATAGGTCGGAGACACGCCGTTGTACTGCGCGACAATGTTCAGGGCGCCATAGTTTAGTCTCTCCAAGTGCCTCTCTACGACAGCCAGCATTTGCATGATAGGCTGCAATGGCTCAGAGGGAGTCCTCGAACGGTCTCCCTCGTCCTCTTGGTCGGAATGAACCTCTCTCCTGGGCAGTGGTGGCGTTTGGGAACGGGTCACTGGTGCCGTGAGGGGACCATTGAGGGCGACGGCGTGCGCAGAGATTTCCTGATCCACGTCGTCGTCTGGTGGAATGGGCACGCCCGAACGCAAAAGCGCATCCGCCGGGAGCGAGTGTGATCGAAGTATTTGCTGTGGTGGTGGTGCTGATGCTGCATCCTCGAGCTGCAGGGTCTCCTTGGAGGCATTCCTGGATGCTGAAATTGCACGTGTGTCTGGAATAGTGAGATGGGCAGTCTTTGGAGACGGTTGGAAAAAGGTCGCGAGCAGCGGAGAGCCAGGTGAGCGCGGGACGGCGGTAGTAGCATCGTTCTGGGAGACACACGAGCGGACGCCGAATTCTGTTTCCGAAGGTTTCTTTGTGACCGTGGGTCGTGGTGACCTGCTCCAGTTCACGAGGCCGTTCAACGAGAGGGAAGAATGCTGCAAAGATGGGTCATCTCAACGACTGGCCATTAATACATGTTTCATACCGCAGATTTTGGACGTCTGTACTGGAGAGCTTCAATGACCTGCGGATTGGGAGCGTTGACCTCGAGTGCGCCGTTAGCAGTCTTGCTGCGCTGTCGGAGGCGTGATGAGAGCGCTCTCACCAGCCTGTGTGGCGAGCTAGTGCGTGACGAGGACGAGTACTCGCTGCCCACCGACCCGCGCTGGTCCTGGAGCGACGGAAACGCCTTGTCACTTGGGCTATTGGTCGTCGAGCTCGGCGACGAAGAGCTGCTCGTCGACGCGTCTCGATACCAGAGTCGCTTGAGAATGGCTACTGCGCCAGACATGTAGCCAGCACCCAAGTAGCAGGTTCGTAGGTGGTCGTCGTGTCCAAGGGGGGTCCCCGTTCTCAAGTGGCCCATTCAACCCAAGTGGCCATTCTAACAAAGGCTACAAATTCCATCTACATGCTGATCCCATAGTATCCTGGACTCTCTGGTTCCCCCTCTGCCACTCGTCGTCGCGCCGGTGGCTTGCTTGCGCCCCCTCCTGCCTGCTCGATCAGAGATGACACCAGGCGCGCCCCAACCTGTCCAGGATCCAGCTTTGCCATCTCCGCCAGATTTATCAGCTTCTTGACACCAATGCTCAGCTTTGTCGCCCCATACAGTGCCTGCTCCTCCCTCGTCCGTGGCCGGAACGCGTCTTCGATATCTTGCATAACTTGCCGACGTTCCTGTGGATTCTCCAGTGCGTCCACAGACTCGAGCACAACCTCGACCCCCCGTAAACTGGACACGGGGCCCACCCGCATCTCACTGTCAAAGAGCTCGGCCATTTCCAACTCTTCTACCATGGCCCGATTCGACGTCGTGGCCAGAACCAGAAGCTTTCGGCCCTGCATCCATCCCAAGCGCGCTTTAGCATCGCCTACTAGATAAGCTCAGGAGACGTACCATAGGTGGTCGCCGCGTCATGAGGACCATGAGCGTCTGCACCACTGCGTTGGAGAAGCGAGATCCGATTTTAGCCCAGTCTAGGCAGAACAACCATCAATCTAGATCCAACCAACCCAGCAAAAGTCGAAACTCACCGATGAGACGCTCAATATTGTCCACCACAATTACACTCAGCGGCGACTTGTAGCTGTCGTTGAAGATCTTGTGGATCGCTTGCACCTTTTGCTGCTCAGAGTACCCAACCATCTTCTCGGGTGTGACCAATTTGATAAACGGATACTCAGAGTTTTGAGCGATATGGGCTGCAAGCGCCGTCTTGCCGGTTCCCGGTAATCCATGCAACAGAACAGACACCAGTGGCGTCTTCTCCGAGGTGCGCACCTGCTCCACAAGCAGCCTGGCGTTTTGTTTGATCGACTGCATCCCCCTTCAGCACCCGTGTCAAGTTCAAAGACGACGACTGACCTCGATCGATTCGTCAAAGCCAATGATTCCATTCAGGGCAAGTCCAGCGAATTCTTCTTCTGAGACACCGAACGCGGGTTGAACTTCGGTCAATCCAAGTTCAAAGTCTTGTTTGGTAACGCGAAGTTGGTCAATGTCATCGGATATCCCGGCAGTCGTTCCGACCTGTGCCTCGTGTCAGGACATGAGAAGGCAATCAAACAGGGCACTTGCCTTGATGTGACGCTGGAACGCAAAACTGGTTGCGCTCTTCACCAGACCCTCGATTTCGGCACCGCTAAAGTTCTTCGTCTTACTGGCGAGGTCTGGGAGGCTGACATCCTCCGCCATGACACCTTCCTTGGTCATTTTGGCGGTATGAATCTTCAAGATTTGCAGTCGGCCAGATTCGTCTGGTAGCGAGATCTCGACATGCACCTCCAAACGTCCCGGGCGTAGCAAGGCTTCATCTATCATGTCCTTTCTGTTGGTCATACCGATAATGAGAATATTATTGAGTTGGTCAACACCGTCCATCTATGTGAAAAGTTAGTAGACAATTCAGAGGAGCTCTCCGACCAACCTTAGATAGCAACTGATTGACGACTGTGTCTCCTACACCGGTTCCACTATTGGTGGATCCTCGTTGTTTCGTAATGGCATCAAGTTCGTCAAAGATAATGATATGCAGTTCGCTGTCGTCCCCTTTCTCCTTGTACTACTTCAACGTCAGCAGACGAAACGAAACGACCAAAAGTACTCGCCTCCTTTTCAGCATCCGCAAAGAGCTTTCGCACATTCTCCTCACTCGCACCGACATATTTGCTCAAAATCTCGGGTCCGTTGACAATCTTTGGCTCGCGCGCATTGAGCATCTTGCCAATCTGTCGAGCCATGAGGGTCTTTCCTGTTCCAGGGGGGCCATAGAGAAGGAGACCCTTGACGTGTCGGATGCCGAGCTTCTCAACAAGACCACGAGGGAACATGCGGCTTGCAAATGCACGACGGAAAATGGCAGCAAACTCGACATCGAGACCACCAATACCAACATCCTCGAAGCGGAAATTAGGCGCAAGTATTGCGTTTGGAGGGGGCTTCTTAGCGCTGCTCTTAAATTTGATGCCGCTGTCTGCTGCCTTCATAATGGTAATGTCCGTAGCGCTGTCCAATTGACCATATCCTTCTCGAGGTGCAACCCCGACGTTTTGCGTAGCTGAAAACTAATCAGCCATGGTGCATACAATTGCAAGAGAATTCACCTCGTACGGTCGCTTTGAGCTTGTGTCCATGATACTCAAAGTAGAGTACCTGATCCGGTGAGAACATCATTCTATCAAACTGCCTGTGTATAAAGTCCGAAAGATCGTCGATTGAAAAGACATCGTCTACTTGACGTTTTGCCCGCATGAAACCGAGATCTATGGTGATGGCGGCAAGTATGACATCCTTTCCCAATTCTCTAATGTCGATGATGGAAATGGAGATGGAATCATTCTCGTTGACTAGTGCCCATTGCCGTTGGACCATTGACAATCCGACCTGACCAGGCTGCAGAATTCCAGACATATCACGTCTATAAATGCATCAGATTTTGCGCCGTATTCGCGGAGAGAAACTCCCTACTTGATGGTCATCGCATATCTCTGCTGAACCAAGACGTGTTCGCCCTCTTGAAAGTCGTTTGGATGACAAAGAAGACGATTGCTTTGTGAATCTGCATCTGTGGGCGACGATTTGACGATAAATGTCCTCCACGTATACATTAGCTTTGAGCGCCGTGGTAAACACGTCGGGACATACCGCGCGTGCGTACGAGAACTACCACCACCACCGCGTCCTCCTTGATATTGCATCGCAGGCGATTGTTCGCCATATGATGGACCCCAACGATTCAGCAGTCCACCAAGACTGTCCTGCTGGGGCGGCGGTTGCTCACGTCCTGCGCGAGGACCACTGGGAATGCCACCACCAGCACCTGGAGGCAATCTAGAATATCCACCTTGCTGCGGTGGTGGTTGTTGGGGAGCATTGCCGCGAAGCCAGGACATGGTCAAGATCAAAGAGAGAATATGTGGACTGCCACCACCTCAAGCGCGTATATGAACAGCCTTTACACTCAAGCAGTAGAGTAAAAGCCGCTTATAACATTTAATGCGTATCTAGCAGCAAATCCTGCATGTATATCACGCTGTCTACCATTCACCATCAAACGACCAGAATCCCGTGAGCAAAAAGACGGGAAAGTATCGCTTCTTCTCCAGGTTATTACACCACTCCCATGCAGATGTAAGCCGGCCTAGACTGGTCAGCAGTCATTCATCGAATTCCGAAGATGCTCTCACCATCAATACACGACCCAGCGTCAAAGTACGAATCAGCTCCGCTACCGTCGAAACCATGTCTGAAAAAGTCGCCGAGAATCTCAACCATGAGTTCTTCCTCCGAACCAAATTCGGCCTCGACAAACTTCTTCAATGACGGCTTCTTCATTAACTCTGGAATCTTTCCAAGGGTGTTGCATATTGGATTAGTGATGCGATAGACCTGCGTGTACTTGTCGAGGAAGAAATGGGCGTTGGGCACATTGTGATCACCTTGAGCAGCTGGTGAGCGAGATCGTGGAATAACTGTTGAACTTACCCATGTGTATGACGGAGCTTCCAACCCAGTAACCGATGCTCGATTGAGCCCTGTTTAGGATACCGTGCATCTTTCGTGCGGTTTTGGGTGCCGCTTGCACTCTGTTGAGACCTAGGGCTACATGAGGGTATGTCTAGATGAAAATAACTGCACGGACCCTGGCCCGTATCGCGGAGTCGGTAGGAGATTGTGTCCGAGAGGAGGTCATCCTCGGCGAGACTCCACAGTTCAAACATGTCTAGCAATATTCAGAAGATCCTCTTTGATGAAGAAGAAGAGAAAGACCTCCTAGAATCTCCCTCCAAAGGGTAAGACTTTGTAGGACGTAGGAAAATTGCTTCTCATGTCCATGAGTCAACCGTGCACCACCCTTTCCGATCCGAATGGCTAAACTTCGACCTTGCTGAGGAGTGGTTGGGTGGAAATATTGTTTGAGATACTGAATAAGGCGCTGACAAGGGTCTCGGTTCACGCGTAAGAACGCGCTATTATCGCCGATGGAATAGAGACATTGTTTGAGCTCCTCTTCTTGCATCTCCGTTTGTCGGGAGTACTTGTAGGCGAGTTTTTCTATTGCTCGTTCCTTTGCTTTGATTGCAGACTGAATCTCTCGTCTAGACCGATTCTCCGCGCTAATCTCCTGAGTCGCAATGTCGATGATATCCTCTCGTAGCATATCAAGTGCACCACCAGCCTCCAGTACACTGTACACAGTTTTGATGGGCGAAACCGCAGTGAAACCCAGCATGTCTTGGATCTCTGGCATCTGCGAATCTTGGAGCATGTAGATGAGTTTTCCGTATGTATTTCGCATCTTGTCTGGGTTCATAATCTTGTGACGCCGTCCTAGTTCAAAGACTCGCTGGTAAAAGTCTGCATTCGCGCTAAAGTCGCGAGACTCGAACAGTTCTTGTCCCTCTTTGTAGTCGGCAGCTACGAGGAGACCGGAGATGATCGAGCATATCTCCCGGATTTGCTGGACGATTCGCTTGGCTTTGGACTGGACGGAGATCAGCGACAAGGACCAATTTATTACTCGTGCTTGCCTTGTTGAAGACATAGACGTCAACTGCGAAATGATGAGAAAGCGTATAACAGACATTATTACGTACTTCTGTCGGTATATTCTGACACTGTGAGTGCCGCCTCGAGTAGACGCAAGTATTTTCGCTCTCCGTACGTTAGGCGTAAAGGAATAAACTAGATAACCCATATTAAATATTCTGAGCTCCATTTCATGGTTCATCGATTGATCACTCACCTTTGCCCTACGCACATATTCTTCTCTAGAGATTGTCGAGGTTGATGCCTCTGGCACAACGTCTTCAGTGTCTTCCATTGCGGCATCATCCATATCTTCATCCTTTTGTGATTCCACAGGAGCAGTTGCTGCTGTAGGCTTTGACGCCTTGGGAACAGCACTAGCCAGAGGGCTCGTAAAATGACCCTTTCGTGTTCCTTTCCGGTGCTGAGCTGCAAAGCACTATACCCATGTGAGATCTCTGAATGAAAACACGCGTCGAGAAAGACGTACGACTGCACAAAAGTTATCCTGGCACTCTTTACAATGCAACTCGGCCGGCTGATCTGTTCACAAACGATAACGAATCAGCTTCGGAAATCTGCTACATGGTTTCAACGTCTGATAATACCTTCACACTCTATGCAGTAGCCCTCCTTTGCGCCAGCCTCGTGTTCTTCATCGGATACTTCGTCCTCGGGCGCTGTCTTGGCCACGAGATTTTCTCTGAGAGACGCGTCTTTGTCAAGGATTTGAGACAGCGTCAAGCCGCTCGTCTTGGATGCCTTTTCGTCTGAGACGGACATGAGGAAGAATAGGGCAAGCCACACGCCTGTTTGCGCGCCATCCCGACGCGTGCGCATCTCAAGGGAAAGGCTACAAAAAACAGTCATGAACAATTTGCTTCATTTCAAAGTGTAGTTTATCAACCCCAGACCCTTGTTGTACATGATAATGGAACGGAGCAAAAAGCCAGCCACCGCCCAAAAAAAAGGACCAAGATTTAGCAGTGACTTGTCTCGATCAAGTGACCTCAGGGTTATGAGCCCTGCGCGCTAGCCTCTGCGCCACACTGCTGATATTTTACAATTCTCCTCAAATTTATTCATAATGCATCAGATATATTTCGGGACATTCTCAACAATTTCTATCCATATCTTGTTCAAAACAGACAGTCACTTTTCCAAAACGTATATTCATAGCTTTCTAATCAGTCGAGTCATTCTGCCTATATGGTTCATTACTCCCCTCTCATTCCTGGATGCTCGGCAAGGCCGCTTGCACCACAAGAATATTCGCTTTGGTAGCCATCATCAGCGCCGTTGCGACATCTCCGAGCGTCCTAGACGCGTCGCCTCCAACTCGTCCGTTCCTAGCAGCGTACTCGTGCAGGATAGTACGCAACTCGGCATGATGAGACTCGACTGCCATTCTCCGACCACGTCCAGTGACAACCATCACACTCTTTTTCGGAACATTCGTCTCGTTGACCCGCTTGATCAAGGCTGTGAGCGGAACGGGGGTGACCAAGTCCTCGAATGTGATGCGAGAAAGTGCATCTTCCACTGAAGCGGGAAGTGCGTCTTCTCCATTACGATGCGCGTAGCGAGCTAAGAGAAGGCTATCCGCGTTGACCGACTCCATGCGTGTTTGTGTCGTCTGGGGGGCGTAGATAGTGTCAGGGAAGCCAGTGTTGGACATGACTGTAGCACTTGGAAGATTTGTGCCGGTTGGTTTGAGATCCGTGCCCGTCGTTTCCGATCCCGAGACAATGTCATTCTCGACTTGCTTGATACGGATGACGGTGGCGGTGATCGATGGGTTGGTACACAGCTGGACGACGAAAGAGAGAGCCAATCGATCATCCGGGCCACCCATAAAGGGAAGAAGGATGTGTTGGCCAAATTGCTCTGCAGAAATGCCTCTGTCTACGAAGAGGCCGACATCTGTAGGAGCCGTTGAGAACACTTGTCGCAGGAAGTGGGTGTAGATAGTGGAGCCACCCTCTGTATTGGAGCCTGCACCAAAGATTGATTCAAATGGATTATACGCGCTCTGAGCAGTGGCCTCAGAGTTGACATGCCATGGAATAATGACCATTTCAGAGTCTTTCTCTCGCACATGACTCGAGACGGTTGTCGGGAACTGCTCGGCAGAGACCACGGATATCGAAGTGGAGACTGGGATAGAGTTGAGATGGCCATATGTTCGAAGAATGGTGAGTGGTGCGTCTCGGTGCATGATCTCCTCTGCTTCAGACGATTGCATGACGGCCGACGTACGATTCGTGAGCTCGATGAGACGCAAGGCGTGCAGAGAGATTTTGGTCTCTTCCACAGATGGCGAACCACTGGCTTCGGACGACGACGTGGGGTCTGCGAGCGTAACAGAAGAGGAAGATTTGTGAAGAAGTTGAGTGAGGGTCATTATCGCGGGGAGATGTTCGATTCTGCTGAGAACAACCGAGAAGCGGGATTTAAAGTCGTCTTCAGTTTGACGACCGCTATGAGGAGCCCTTTTTTCCTCTTCATCAGTCGGTGGCTTTGATACGTCTGCTAGGCGTGCAGGAATGCGATACTTCATCGGATAAATGGCTTCTGTTACTGGCGAGGTGATAAAAGTCACGACTAGGGCCATGACGACGAACATGCTGAACGTTTGCGTGTTGAGGATGCCGGCTTGTAATCCAATGTTCAAGACGATGAGTTCGACCAACCTAAGCTATTGTCAGCAATTCGTGTGTTATCCAACAAATTCTCTCACCCTTTGCAGCTCATCAAAACACCAATAGTGCTAGACTCACGCCAGTTGAACTTAGCAATTCGTGCAGCGGCGACACATCCAAAGAATTTGCCGACAAAAGCGACAACACAGATGAGGATTGTGTATCCCCAGACTTTGCCGCTATTAAGGAGACCAAGGTTTGTCTTGAGACCGGAAAGGGTAAAGTACTGGAGAGGATTTAGTACACGAGTATATTTCCGTTCGGAGACTCACGATGGGCACAAGAAGAAGCACGACCAAATCCTCCATTTTCTCGACCAGAGCAATAGCAAATCCATTGTCATGCGGAACGCTGAGAAGAAGTCAGCAGACGTATGGAAAAAGGAGACTGGAATCGTACATCAGTCCAGCGATGAAGGCGCCAAAGATCGCATGTACCCCTAATTCGAGGTCAGCGAGCTCAGAGAGCCAATGAGAGCACACACCCAAGATATCAGTCATGAAGGCGGATACAAATACGATGGTAAGGATGATCATGATCACCAACGGTGTAGGCTGGCCAGTTTCCAAAGACCCGGTAACTTTAGCCAGGTATCGAAATGCCCATCTCACAGGATATAGCATAAAGAGTGTCCATGCCACGGATGTGAGGAGGACATAGAGCGCAACAAGCCCACCAGAAGCATTCACAAGCGCCACACTGGATTAAGATGAGCAATGTTGGAGAGTATTGACAGAGAAACGCACGTGAGAGCAAGAAGAACCCAGCCAATTACATCGTTTCCGACACCAGCGCTGAGGACGACGATGCCAACCTGCGTTTCCAGAAGCCTGAGTTCTGTGAGAATGCGGCAGAGCACTGGAAAGGCGGTGATGCTCATAGCAACCCCAACGAAGAGGATGAAGTAACCGATATTAAACTTGTGATCCACGTAATTGTTGTAAAGTGGAATCGCAAGGGCCGCACCCGCGCCAAACGGTAGGATGATTCCCGCGAGTGAGATCATGAGGGACTGCTTTGCATTGCGCTTGGCGATTCGGACATCAACTTCGAGGGCGGTGAGAAACATGAACAAGACCAAGCCTATTGTGGCAGTCAGACTGAGGTACGGGATGGACTCCGGTGGGAAGATGGATGCTGTGAAGTTTGGGATCCGTCCCATTGCTGTGGGACCCAAGATCACACCAACAATCACTTCTGCAATGACCTGAGATGAGAGTCAAAGTTAGTCTCTACTCAATAGCATCAGGGATCTGCCACGGACACGAGGCTGTTTGATTCGTGCTAGGATAACGGCGAATACTTGGCAGAGGGCAAGAATAATCCCTGCAAGTGCTGCTCAGTCTGGGTGCTGCTAGTGAGAATAGATTTACCAATCTGAATGATCCACAGACGAATAGGATCCGTGGTTGTAAATTTGACTGGGTTAATTCCAGAAAGCACTCCTCCCTGCAATCGGTGAGCACCATAGACTTTTGCTCGGGAAGAGACTGACCTGCTCTGGGGCGGCTCTCTTGACAATCCCAGCGACATCTTCGACCCATCTCGCTTGGAGTGATTCCAGCATTTTTGCAGTGTCCTTGGCTCGAGATGGGACGAGGCAGGTCCAAGACGGAGCACGTGCTGTACCACTTGACACCCTCTTATATCTAGGCGCCCTGTCTGCATTAGGGACAACTTATCTCTTGAGACGGATCTAACGAGTGATGGCGCGAGTAGGCAATGGACAGTATTATTTATGGAACTATACATAAACCCAGAAAGCAATCTACGAGTCTGAACTGCATCCTCGGCAACCTAAAAGAAACTGTGAGATTCGCAAGGGGGCAATGCACAAAGTCATACCACAGTGCACGCATTCGACAACGGTTCCAGCCTTGACCTGAGCTTTGGGAACACGACAAATGCATGTAGAGCCTTGGTAATTCATGTCCTGATAGCCCCTTATTAGCATGCGTTAAGGATAAACAAGAGAAAGACTCGCCTTGGACTGGATGCAGCGAACGCAGCACAATTTTTCATATCCGGGCTTCTTCCACTTGGCTATCAGACTATGCAGAAATTAGCGCGGACTAGACGACTGGTTCAGCCCACATACTTTGCGTCCGCATATCCTTGCTTGAGCAGCCAATCATAAAGCTCTTTGGAAATGGCCTCTCGCTTGTAGTATAGCTCGTAGATGTAGCGGGAACGCGTGTGGGAGATGCGCATAATGGGCCACAGCGACTCATTCTTTCGCTTGCCTTCGTGCGACTCATTCTCTGTATCCAAGCGGTCAGCAGACGAAGTAAGAGGTATACAGGTAGCCATACCGGCGTCACGCATCTTGCGCGCGTAGTCCTCCAACACCTGGACAAACCACTTGATTAGCACAGCTTGATGGAGACATAAAGAACGTCTGCATACGTTTTCAATCTCCTCGTATCCTTCTGGAGGAGGCTTCGTTCTGCTAGTTCTGATTTTTGGCATTTTCTTGCGACGGCGCTGGTCAAGACACGCTCCAACCTTTCTTGACCACCCGCTACGAACTTGAACGAACTACAAACCCGCACTTGTCATCTCGACCCTCATTTTACACGCTATAATACATGAATTCTGTGCGTATCTCGCTCTCTCACTAACGCACGAGGCCCACGCGAGTTCAGCTGCTGACCGACCTTGGCTGCAGAGCCCGTTACGGACACTATGCAGCTCGGATACACAATTCTAAATCTTGTTCTCCTCTGGGTGAACTCTTGGGCTACATTCAAAACTTTGAATCGTAGGCATCTCGCCGCACAAAAGACGACAACACGCGGTTCGCGGATGCAACAGCGATCAAAACGCGAGATGAAGACCTGTCTTTCCGTTTGGGTCGTTTGGGTAAGCATTCTGGTACTTTTCCAATCATGGGCTCAGATTATATCAGGTCACTTGGAGATACATCGAGCGCGTCGTCGATCACAGCGTTGGGATACTCATACCCTTTCTTCACGAGATCAAGTGTCTCGTTCTCATATTTCTCATAATCGCGCGTTCTTGGGTGAGCAGCCTCCGCGAGCCTGAAACGAGTCGTGCTCATCTGTTGCAGGCTACAGAGCCACTGGTCCTACAAGTCTTGCGACCTGCTATCAAGCCCTATGTGGGTCTCATTGATACAACCCTTCATTGGCTGGAGATGGGAGGCGACTTTATGTTCCTTCTGATTTGCCTCCCATATCATCTTTTCATGTCCTGGTGGAATGGAACGGACAGTAAAGGCGAGGAGAATTCCATAAAGCTGGAAGTGGATTTGGAGATTAATGCTCCGCAAAAACCCGCATCCCAACCCGTCACTCCTGACCAGCCAACCAACGCCATCGAACCCGACGTGTTCGCTGGCCCAGCGCTTGCTCCCTTGCCTGTTTTCGACACTGTGCCAATATCGGCTCAGGAAGCTGCCGATGCTCACAGGAAAGAACAAGAAGAACAGGAAAAGGAAGAGGCGAGGATCAGGGAAATACAAGAAAGATCGGCTCGCGATCGAGCTTCTCATCTTCGTCGAGTAGCCGGACCACCTCCTTCGGCTCTCAACAACAACACGCCTTCGTCTAGGTCGTTGCAAGCGGCATTGCAATCTTCAAAAGCTGCATCTAATACTGACCTTCCTGAATCGAGTATGAACACGGGGTCGATTGTCAACAAGAGACCACCGAATCAGATTCACGTCCCGATGCCAGCTGCCCCACGCGTGGTTCGACGTCAGCCATCTAGAGATGGCTCCGCGGATGACTCTTCTCAACCTCCCATATACCCTCATGCTGCGTTGATTATGCCTGTACCCGTTCGAGCACAAAGGGCACCAGCACGCCCTGCTGTGCATGTCAACGCGTCCGTCTCTATTCCCCGACCAAACAACCCAGCGCCATCCGTCCCCAGCGTTGTCGTGCGCCCTAGTGTTCAAACGCTCCCCCGACCGCCAAGGCCACAACCTCTTCAGAATCCAATCTCGCGTACAGTAGGAGGTAAATCGAGCGATACCCTCGTCTCCTCATCGACATCGTCCTCCGCATCGGTAAACGAGTTTGGCGTTAGTGTCCATCGTCGTGAAGCAGCCAACGACGATAGCAGTACAGTCGATGGCGAGTCCCAGGACTCGAATGCGAAATCTCGGCGATGGGATGATTTTGTGGGATCTATACAGCAACAGCACCAACGCCATGATACGGATGCGGATACCATTGAAGCGACACGGAGGACGGCAGAGATGGTGCAGCGAATAACCGACATGAAGAAGGAAGTGGACGAGAAACTTCAGCGAATATCCGAGAGGGCAGGGGCAGGCAAAGGTCCAATTCAAGTGCCTATCATACGCAAGAGAGTTGCTACCCCAGCCACCAAGCCCTCGGTGGTATTCCCGACGAAGCAGTCTCTCAGGCATCAGCCTTCAGAGGATGCGATGACAGTCGACGAGACTATTGCCAGTACGTCGCAAGTCGGCCATAAACGTGGGCGAAAGCCTGGTGATTCTGCTGGAGTCTCGGAGACAGAGGAGCCAAGGAACAATGAGCAACAGAGGCGTTCGCCAAAGAAGCGAAGAGTCGACCTTGATGCTGTGGATGTCCATATGGACGTGGACACTGCGACGATGGTGACCGAGTCCACCGCAGCTCCAGAAGGCAGGACAACACGATCGACACGCATCGTAGTCCAGCGTAAACCGTCTCAGGACACTATGTCATCACAAGCACCTCCTACACGCACCGGAACCGTTCGTTCTACCCGCACTGTGCAACCACAGCCCACAGAGACGACCGCACCAAGCGCTACTCGGGTACGCACACGACGGACGGTCGTTTCGTGATGATGTAGGATATTACTAGACTTATTTGCGTAGCTTTCGCACTATCTAATAGTAGACTTGGGATACACGAGGTTTTGTAGCGCACACGAGAGGGATATAAAGATGGGGTATCGTGATTAGAGCATCGCCAAGATACCTACGGCTGGTCTTCCTCTATTTCTAGCAGCTGCGACGCTCATCATTACGCAGCTGAGGATGAAGCCGGCGAATCTGCGACGCGTGGATGTCAGGAGCCAAGCCATGAAATTGCAAAAAATTAAAAAGACGAAAGGAATAGATTCATACCTAAAGAATGCGACCCTTGAGATTGATCTCTCTTCCATGACTGTACGCGAAGAGGCAAATATCGAGCGCAAGACTCCTGGTGTGACTGGAATCCGCCGATTTGAGGTTTCGCTGCCAGCTGACGAGGGAGAGGAGAGCCCTCCGACACGAGAAGACGGCGCTGCGAACTGGCCTGGTGGCCCTCGGGGTCGGACGGTCGACATGGACGGAGTTCAAAGTCAAACTCCGTCTGGACCTCTCCTCTTCCTCGAAACCTGCCGTGGTATTCTAGACGACCTCGAAATAGTTTCTAGCACCATTGAAGATCAAGATAAATTGTTTCAATGCAACCGTTTGATGGCCAGAAGTTATCAGGACTACTTAGTGGTTCAAAAAATCTAGACGTCTGCGTTTCAGCAACTCTAGTTTGATATACTATCGTACTAGGGATCGCAAGTGGGATAAAAACAACCTTAAGGCGTCTGAACTCGCCATTGCGGCGGCTGGTCTGCATTGCTCCCCTGTCTAGGCCCGCCGCAAAAGGAAAGGGAGACTAGGCTATTCGCGCCCTCTAAATGTTGCAGACCAGTAGAGTCAGCCATCAGTTCGCTGGCGGTGATTGGTTCAAGATAAGCCGTTGACCACCCCGACGTCCAGCCTGGCTTGTGTATCTCCATGACGTAAGGAGCACTACGCGCAGCTATATCAAAACCATTCTGTTCGCGTTGCAGAATAACTTGGACAGTTTCCTTCAGCATGGCTACGACCGAAACGTTTGGAAAGGGAGGCGCCGGCACGTCCATGGTCGACCTTTACTCTGCTATCTGACATGGGATTGGTACAGGAAATGTTGGCACACACGTTAATCACGCCGTAGAGTCTCATCCAGCGGATGGAATGCACGGAACGAGGTAATGCTCAATCCCCTCGGAGCTTCCCCATAATGCTGAAGCGCTCTCAAGTGGTATGGCAGGTAAAGGGGGAGTCGGGAATCATACAAAGGCTGCAGGCCACTACGATGCATCCGGAGGACACGACGTTGTCGACGCATCTGGTCGCGGAGGAGCTGGTGGGTTATCTCTCCCTTGCGGCTCGCTTTCAGTACAAGGAGCCGACAACGTTATCATTAGGGAACATCGGCCAACACATAACTGAACGCGACGGTCTCGGCCACAAACGCAGAGTGTCTGCCGCTGATAAGCTCATTGGTACGTCGCCCTGTTGGCATTTGGCTGAGAGAGGGAGACAAATTCATATTGCAATAGGTTCAGCACAGATTGTACTTGGAAAGATTACGAAGAATGCAGACATGATTGCCAAGGGAGAGAAACGCAAAGTCGACGGCGCCGTGGCCAAGTAGTTTGCCGTCGGAGCCTAGGACAAAGACTTCTACATATATTTTTGTGTTATCTACTGTTCTAATTCATGCATAGTGGAAAATTTTTTTCAAGGGTGTCTTGCCGAAAGGTGGTGAAAGCCGGCTTCGCTCTACCCCACCCAGTCATGGGCGGGTTTGGATTTTCAGAAACATTGATCGATATTGGCGGAAAAATTGTTCATCATGTTGTAAGAGCAGCACCCACTCAGGTTCGTCCATCTCGTGCCATGTTCAGACCGCACGATCAACCATAATCGAAAGGGAGGTGTGATTTCAGGCGAAAACCCCACTGAATTCAAGACGACGGACCCTCTAAGACTCTGGGTTATACAAGTGGTACTGGTAAGTTTCACTTTCGAGGTGGGGCACAATCAAGGACGTCCTCTAGGTGATAGTCACAACCCAGCTGCTTTCTTTGGTGTTACGGCTCTTACGACAGCCAAGAGTGATATCCGAGGTACTCAGCGGGATCATTCTTGGTCCTTCTATTATGGGCAGGATTCCACGATTCACTAGTACAATCTTTCCTCCCGAGTCGCTCTCGTATCTCACCTTGACTGCGAACATCGGCCTGGTTCTCTTTTTATTCCTCGTCGGACTCGAGACGGACACGAGGGTCATCAGCCGCAATGCACGATTCTCTGTCTTCGTAGCGGCGGGCGGGATGATCTTGCCCTTTGGTCTTGGTGTGTCTGGTCTTGTTCGGTGGCCCGAATTCCTGATAAACATGACTAGGGACCGGAGTCGCGAGCTTGGTATACAACAAGTTTGTAGATTCATCAGAGGTCTCATTTGGCAATTTTCTACTATTTGTCGGGGTGGCATTCGCGTACGCTATCCAATCCTCGATATTCCAGCCTCTGACACTCTACAGCATTACGGCATTCCCAGTTCTCTGTCGCATCCTCACCGAACTCAACCTCCTCGAGACGACTGTCGGGATCGTCGTTCTATCAGCAGGTGTAGGAAACGATATCATAGCATGGGTGCTTCTTGCACTCGCGTAAGTTATACGATTCAATGAGAAGCCAGCTCATCATCAATAGCGTTTCGCTCGTCAATGCGTCCTCCGGGTTGACTGCCCTTTGGGTGTTGTTGGCGACAACGGCATTTGCAATTTTCATTCTGATCCCCGTTCGGTATGCGTTTGTCCGACTCGCGAAACGAACTGGTGCATTAGAGGAGGGCCAGCCTTCAGCCTTCATGATGACAGTTGTTATTCTCATCGTATTTGCCAGTGCATTCTGCACGGATATCTTGGGTGAGTATATGGGCAAATTCTTCGAACTGAGTTTGAACTGTCCATAGGTGTTCATCCCATCTTTGGTGGATTCTTGGCTGGGCTTGTGTGAGTCATGTGTCCGTTAAGCAGTCCTGATAACTGACATTTCTCCAGCATTCCGCACGAAAGTGGCTTTGCCATCTCGCTGACGGAAAAGCTCGAGGATCTTGTATCCCTGCTGTTTCTTCCACTGTATTTTACTCTTTCGGGTCTCAAGACTGACCTCGGACTTCTCGACAATGGGATTACCTGGGCTTACACCATCCTCATCCTCGTCGTCGCGTTTATCGGAAAGTTTGTCGGCGCCTCCACGACTTCCAAATGGCTTGGATTCAGCTGGCGCGAAGCGGGTGCCATCGGCATCCTCATGAGCTGTAAAGGGTAAAGAATACCACAAGACTCGTTCCCTAATACTCACACAACAAACAGTTTGGTCGAACTCATCGTGCTCAATATTGGGTTGCAAGCAGGAATTTTGTCTCCACGCGTTTTTGCCATGTTTGTAATTGAAGCGCTCGTTTTGACCTTCATTACCACTCCCCTGACTCTCCTTGTCTATCCCCCGGAGCATCGGACCCTCCATTCCGCCCCCAAGCCCAGAGTGGACGAAGAGTCTCGGCGCAATATCGAGTCCTCAAGAGGCATCACGACCTCTGGGGAGACGGAAGCACTGAGCATCAAGCGTCGTATCGCTGTCATGCTCTATAAGATGGAGAATCTCTCCCCTCTTATGACCATGACCCAGCTACTCGGTGCATCCGCTAGTCCAAACTCTTCCCGAAACTCGACAATGGCGGGAAAGTCCGATCCCAAATCCAAGGAGCCAATAACGGAGGGTCCTCAGAGTGCCCCAGTAGTGGGGAGCTCTTCTTCAGCGGCAACGCTTGTGGCTGGTCCCACTTTGGATGCACTACGACTCATGGATCTCAGCGAACGTACTTCAGCTGTGATGTACGGTAGTGTAACTGCCGAGTTATTGCACCGCGACCCGATGGTTGCCGCGTTGAGAACGTTTGCACGTCTTCACAATGCCCCCGTCACTACAGCCGCACTTTCCGTTATCCCATACGACGAATTCCCCGTCAAGCTTTGCGAGCGAGCCAAAGAAGTGGCAGCCGATCTCGTACTTCTTCCCTGGAACACTAGTCTGCATCCAGTTGTGGAGGTAGTCTCACCTGCGCGCGCCGGAGAACCATCGTCCTACAATCCGTTTGAAGGTGTATTTGGAAAGGCCGGAAGTACGCAAGCTCATACTTCCTCTGAAAAGTCGGCGGCCGTTCTCTATGCCCACTTTATCCGTAGAGTGTTCTCACTCTCCTTTGCGGATGTTGCTCTATTCATCGAGCACGAGGATAACGGTGCAGAGCAGGAAGAGGAACTCAACGAGATTACAAAGCCTTTGAAGACCGGCTACACCATCTTCCTCCCTTACTTTGGCGGTCCCGATGATCGACTTGCTCTCAACTTTGTCGTCCAGCTGTGCAGCAACGGGAACGGTGCTGTTCAAGCGAGAATTGTCAGAATCACGAAGACGGAGCCAGAACTGTCGCCCGAAGCATCTAAGGGAGTCAGTCCGGACCATAATGAGGCAGCGAATATGCTGAGCGTTCAGACGGTACGGTGCTCCTCATACAGCCCTCGTAGAAATTAATCTCTGAGTTGCAGGCAACCGGCTTTCCTGACACAGTCTATGGACCGGAGAACACCCAACACCGTCTTGAGAGTGAGACCGCAGACAACCTCGTCTGGGACCGATTTGCGAACCGTGGCCCAGAGGCACCCGCGCTGAACCCAGAGATCGAGCGAGCATTAACGCACATCACGTTTACAGAGCTATCTACGCCGACGCCACTTGCCAGCTGCATTGAACAGCTCTCAGAGATGTCAAGCACAGAGCTTAGCTTGGGTACCGCTCGTGGATACATGAAGAATGTTATGGCAGTTGTCGGTAGAGGCCGTCGTCTCGCCATCGAAGACCATCATTTAGAGTTGAAGTCCTTGCTCTCGACCGGTAATGCCTCTCAGAACCATGTCAGCAGTGACGCCAGAAAGACGTTAGGAGACGTAGGAGCGGCATTCATTGTCGCGGGCCCTTCGAGCATTGCGCTGCTTGTCATGCAGGCAGCTCACGCATCTACCGACGTTTGAGAACGACAGTTGTGACAGTTCCTGTGCATGTAAAATAAATTTGATCAATGATAACGGAACAATGTCCGCCTCGGGAACTATTATACACATTACTTGAGCCATACCAAATTGCAGTGAGAGCACAAATGCACAACAGATGAGATCAAACTGCCCGTAGTTTACGTTTCTTCATGGGCACAAGTAGGAGCCCAGAGTCTCCTAGTTGTAGCTGAACCCCCGCATTGTCCTTCTTCTTCTGAGGTGATAAGGGTACGATTGATCGAGAGTTTGAAGGGTTGTTATTTCCCTTGACCACAACCTCAACAACACGCTTGTCCCTTGTAACCATCTGCAGTCGTTCGTTGGGGACTCTGGACGGACCAGCTGCGCGAGATTTCGGGGGCGGCAGGAGGGTAAATTCAGCGTTTCGTTGATACTGGTTCTCATCTGGTGCCCTTGGTCGCTTGCGCGCTTGGCCCGAGTGCGATCGGAGCATTGGCGGCGAACTGCTGAGTGTGCTCAGGTCGATAATTCCTTGTGATTCATCAAGATCAGGCGACTGGCGTTGTTTCCCGGTCGACTTGGACAGCTGCTTCATTTGTTCTATCTGTTTCTCCAGCTCCGCTTTTTGCTGCTTGAGCTGTCCAATTTGTGCCTTTTGCTTTGCCTCCTAAGGATACAGTCAGAGGTCGCACCTTTTATGGGCAGGATATCCGTACCTTGACCTTGTGCTCGGCCAGTTGCGCGTGAAAATTGCGTCGCTCTTGCTCGACCTGAGTAAGTTTGGTCTCCAGTTCGGTATTCAGGCTGGCCATTGTGAAAAACGATTTCTGCGCTTCAGCCGCTTGAGCTGTAGCAGAATCGAGTTTTTGCTTGTATTTCGCAGTTAAATGAGTACTCCTTTGCAGTTCGGACTCCTGTGACAACAACTTTGCCTTTATCTTCAGAGTTTCGGCCTCGTGCTTTTGCGCTTGAGCAGCAGCTTCTCGTTTGAGCCTCCGCACTTTCTCGCCAAGGTCTTGATTCTGAAGGCTATAATGCAGCCTGTCCTCCAACGAATCCAGCGCGTCGGTGATGGCTAAAACCCAGAGCTAGCCACGCCTTGAATACGAAGCTTCAAACCGAGGAATTAAAAGCACATACTCGAAGGTTTTCGTCCTCTGTGCCGCTCGCGAAGTTTCGTATGACCGCTCGATGTCTTTGGGTAGCGGCATAGGCCTGACGAAGTTCTTCGGGAGTACTTGCTACTCCAAGACCATTGATCGTGCGTAGGACGCGTTGACGCGTCTCTTGGAGCAGATTGCTTGATGCATTCGCGATAGCCAGGTCGGCGAACAGCTTGTACGGGGGTGTCTGATAAGGGGCACGACAGTAGGGGCATATCTTCTGGAACCTGGGTTGTTTCTTAAGGGTACTAAGGCATTCACTGCATACAACATGGCCTGCAACATCGAATACAACTGTTGAGCCGTCTTCTCGCGAGCAATTGGCTATTGACATACCACAAGCGTATACATTCAGGTTGTCTACATGATTTCCTAGGCATACACCACAAACAACAACGGCCGCTGTAGCGTCTGTGCCTGATGCGGCCATGGTCAGGTCCAAAGTGCGGTGGTCAACAATCTTCAGAATTTCGTAAATAGGATATCGTAACGAGGTTGTACAGTATAGTCAAAGGTCACTACTGAAGGTCTCCGAGTTTCACCTCGTCTATACCCCCATTTAGCTACGAGGCGGTGGCTGGATGCGACCTACCAGTAAGGGCCCTTTCAATCAACGAGAGAGCTTCGAGGTGATTTGCAGATCTCTGATCTTCTGCTTTGGCTGTGGCTTCGACATATTCTTGAGTGAATGTCTGCGCATCGTCAGATGTGAAGGCACACCTCTGTGCTGAACTACCGTGAACTGCAATATATTAGTACTTTTTTCACAAAGAACTCGAATCCATACCTCTGAGTGGACGGACAAGATTTGATTCCAATAGCTTTCGATCTCTCTCTGCAAGGTGACGCGTTCTTGGTCGTAAATTACATGCATTTGAGTCCTATATGTGGCGCATAAGTTGATAGTACAGCGTTTTACGCGTAATTACATCTCTTCAAGTCGCCTTTTGAATCGCGTAGTGGCATTGGCGCGCTACAGAATGTCAATGAACTAAATAATGTATTTATATCATCCTTACAAATTGCTCGAGTCCAGATATGACGTCCTTCTTGAGTTCTGCATGAGCCTTTTTCTCTCGTTTTGCACGGTTGGCTAAGTAAATATGTCAGACTCCATTTATTCAAGCCGTAGAGAATCATAGAGACCCTTCAGTTGTGTGACAATCTTGAGATCCAGTGTTCTAGAGCAAAATAGCTTGTCAGTAGCGGGCTTCTGCCGTCGACTCTCCTACTCTTCCATACTGCCAGAGCTCGGTTGAGAAGATATACCGGCCTCTTCGGGCATCGTATGTTTGAGCGAAACGATTTCCTTGGTGGTACGGCTTGTCATACTTTGATCGCACAGGGCAATCGAGGTCGGGTGCAGGGTGCCGTTGCAAGTTGGAGCTGACCATTTGGCCCATCCAAAGACCGCCATGGCATCATCGAGTAAACCCAATCCAAATCCAAAGAGGAAATCTGGATGGCTGGACATGGTGAGGTGACTATGAACCATATCGGATTCCCGGAAACTGAGTTGCGCTCTCGTGATGCAGGACGACACATTTGACGCGTCAAAACGTCCAAAGATAACCAAAGGCGCTATTAATCGATATAAACCCCTTGAATTTGCTCCTCCGACGTTTGATGAGCCAAGAAGGACAAGTGTGTCACAAAGATCGACCCTTTCTCTACCTCTGCCTCTGCCTCCTCCTCCTTCCTTTTCATATCCGGGTGGCAAAGATAAAGATGAAAAAAGCGTCTCAAAGCTCCCAAAGGCTTATAAGCTCCTCGAGCCCCCTCTTCGACCGCAATCACCACCCAATTCGACTTCACCTCGCGGAAAGAGCAAGGCGACCTTGGGAAACATTCCTATACCACCTCCCCTTGAGATCGATGAGAGGAGTTCCCTCATAGCTCACAAGAAGATGAGAAGCGCCCTCGATACACCTCTAATCATGGGACTACCGTTTTCCCAGGAAAGCTCTGGATCTCAGTCACCAAAGAAGAGAGATGGTTTAAAGTTCGAGTTTGAACGTGGTGTAGGACCCAGTCCCGAGAAGAAGGGACATCCATTACCACGGATTGGCTACAAGTAAGTCACGGGCGCCTCATGAAACTGGCTTACGAAGATGGTAGAGGTGGCTTGGTAGACCATGCAAAAGCTTTGATGGCGAGGTCAACCACTGACTTTTCACTGTGGTACGAAGACACATCAGCAACTGGACGGGCCTCAACAGAAGCAGCACTACAAGTCCGTGTGATGTCTATTATTAACCGAATGCCATCCTCAGAAGTACCCTTGATCCCAATCCTACCTGTAGCAGGTCGATCTCCATTCAGCAATGTGTTGACCCTCACACATATACGAGATGAAGAAGACGGAAGCAAAGAGTTACTCGTCCTATTTGCTTCCCTACAGACAAGTCGGACAGGAGGTCCTCAAGTGGGCATCTCAGATACCCAGAAAATCGAACGGGGGAAAACTGTTCGCATTTGGCGCCCATGGTCGGAAATAAAGTGGGAGAATCAAACAGTGATAATGTGTTCGAGATTCGTCGTGCGATAGCCATCGCCATGCTAGTCTTCGGGCCCAGGCGTCAGGCTTGAATCGTCGCTTGCTTCACCTTCCTCCAAATCGTCGGCCACAAGGCGATGCGAACTAGTTCCATTGGCCTTGACTGTGAATGGGCCTTCACGAACCTCGCCCATTTCCACATCATCGTCGTTCTTATTCGAATCTTGGGTGTTTCTAGGCGAAGGAGCGCTCGGTGCAGGGGAGCCAGGAGCAGATGCATAATCACCTCTGAGGCGACTCCGTAAAAGAGAGGTCGTGCTGTGTCGAGGCTGGAATTCTGGAGCATGAGGATTCAAGGTGGAAGTTGGTGGTCGAGCGTTAGACGTGTCCTGGGCCGTCTCTCGTTCTTCTCCCTCTTCCATCTCCCCGTCTGGTTGGCTGCTCGACATTTCAACATCCCCAACGATCAGCTCTGGAACGAGGGTGTCGGAATCTAGCACCACAGCCTCTGCTCCCTTGCCAACTATTCGCAGTTGATCAAGTACGCGATTGAGTTCTGTTAGGCCATCATGTCTCTCTCGCTTGACACGGCGTTCCACTTCTTGTTCCTCCTTGATAGCTGCTATCTCAGCTTCCAGTGTTGCTATTTGTCTGTATTTATGAGTGATATTGTAACGCTATTCTATTCGAACTCACTTGCTTTGCTCTTCACGAGTTGGGTAAGCGTTGATTTTGTCCGCTATTTCGTCGTAGGCAATCTTTCGGCGTCTCAACTCTTGGCTCTCCTCCAGTGTGACCTTGAGCCTTTCAATCTCCTCGAGTACAGCTAGGGCCTCTCGTTCTGACAAGACATTTAGTCGGTTGCCTCTTGCGAGGTTGAAACAACTGACCTAACCGGGCCTTCTTCTCCTGATATTCAATCACCTGTCTCTGCTCTGCTTTGACGATAATGTTGTTTTTACGATACGCAAGTCCAAATGTTTCTAGTTCAAGTAAAAACTTTTCACCAGATTCTGGATGACGGGTCTCGGCATTGACGTGCTGATGCCATTGTTTTGTGACTCTTCTTATCATTTGTCTATCTTCCATGCCCAAGCGCGCATTGATTAGTTGCTCTGCCAGTTTCCGTCAGTCTCTCGTGCAAACGTTGAGGTGTGGAACGAACCCTCCTCTTCTGGAGTGAGCCTTTTGATGTTAGAAGTGTCGATGGCAGCCATTATATCAACCTCAATTTGATGTAATCGAGGTCAGGAAGAGACATGTGGTAGAGCCAACTTGTCCAATGGCACCTTCAACTCAAGTGGTCAAGGCGCATAAAGAGTCCAAGAAGCCGAAAGAGAAAGCTTCAAAACGTCTCCGAGATGACGATTCTACCGACACCGCTCGTCCCAAGAAAAGACGCGAGCTCTCCAGCGATGCGCTACAGAAGAAGTACACGTCAACTCCTCGCCAAGATCCTGCGAATTCTCAGCAAGAATCATTGACAGAAAACTCAACGTACAAAAGGCCAGCCACATCCCTCAGTATCAAGCCATCTCGAGATATGAGTCGCAAAAGAGAGAAGAAGAGCGTCTCCAAGTCCGAAAGGTCCAAGGAAACAAATAATGGACATGTTTTGACGAGTGAATCCCAAGAGTTGGTCACTCCTACAGCGACGAGTTCAACTTTGCATGCTGGACTAAACCCTGTCACTTCCTCATCCTCAGTCATTGCTGGTACCAACGAGCTACCAAATTTCTTCGACCCTGGTTCCGCCGTCACTCCCGACGATATTCTGCTCCTTATTAGAAATATGGACATGAGCTTACCATCCCAAGAGCGGGCTCACGAGATTCCGCGTCCGGCATCCGGGAGTCGCCCTAAGAAGACAACGAAAGCTGAGAAAGTCGGCAAGAATGCAAGACTCGAGGTGCCACCCGATGTAGCCAGCCAAGCTCACTTATTGGCTACAACATGGTACACCCCGAGTGAGCTGAAGGAGTTACAGGAGAAAGGTATGTGAAATCTCCCAGAAACCTGGTGATAGACGTTGAACAGATGCTAGGCATGCAAATTAGACGAGGCATATTCACCAAGATGGAAAAGCAGGCCGTAGAAGCAGCCTTGGATAAATATGCCTCTGTTTGTCTTGTCTAGAGGTCAGGAATTCTGCTGACGCGGACTCGTTTAAGACCCATAAACTCTTACGTGCTGAGGTGGTCGAACTCATGTTCAAGAAAAGAAAGGATGCGGAGCATGCCTCTTTTTGGACAGATATTGGCAAGTTTTTGACATGGTACCAATATTATTCTGACTTTCCTAGCCGTGAGCGTTCCGATGCGTCCTCTCATCACCGTCAATGCATATTGCAAGCGCGCATACCATCCAATGCGAAAGCAGGGTAAATGGACTCCAGAAGAGGATGAAAAGTTGAAACTGTGAGCGAGCACTCGCAATTTCTCCATCGTCTCATCATAGCATTAGAGCGGTTCTAACTCACGGTACTGCCTGGGTCCGCGTATCAGAAGATGTCGGAAGAATGGAAGGAGACTGCCGTGATCGATATAGAAACCATATTCAGGATGTCACCCACAAGGCCACCGGCAAGGCATTTCTCTTCGAGAGGCGACGTATCTGATCAATTTACCAGGCCCCTGGTCGAAAGAAGAGGAAGGGCGCCTCATGAAAATCATGGAAAAGTACGACTTTGGTAGCCAAAATGTAGACGACGACCTCTGGTGGGCAGCTGTAGTCCGGGAAATGGGAGGGACCAGAAGTCGAGCTCAGATACGAATAAAATGGTCAGAATGTCAACTTTTTGTGGATTCACCAATTTAAAATTCATAGGTTGGACTGTCTCAACAAGAAGCTCAAGGCCGGGGGCCCTCGTAGATGGCTCCCAATCGACCATTACATTCTCATTCACAAGCAAGTGATTTTACTCTGTTGCGTCGTCCTTACTTACAGAAGATCCAGAATCGTCACTCTTGAGGTCAATGACGAGAGCGAGATTGTCTGGAGTTCGCTCGGTGATGAGGGCTGGAATCTTTGGTCTGGTCACGAACTGTCCAAGCGGTGGAACGCAATGAAAAGGAGCGTCATTGGATACGAAGATATGCCTTTTTATGGTAAGGACTGTGTGCCTTATTCTTGCATACGAATTCATTTGCGTCATAGAACTCTTGGACATTCTCATGGCGAAGAAAGGAAGTCTTTCCGCAAAGGAGATCGAGGCTGCGATCAAGATGACCCAAGAAGCCAATCCCTCTGTGGAGACAAAGGAGAAACGAGCCGTCGTCAGCTCCGAGTTTGTCGAAGATTCAGACGAGGAGGGGGATTGAAGATGCATCGGTGGCGTATATAAGACCCGAGTTGTATGTACTCCTAAATCCGAGCTTGTACAGATGCGGGGGATTGCAGAGGAAATCTAATCGGCAGTAAAGCGCAGGATAAAGTTGACAATGACTGCGGCTGTCCATGAGATTAGAGTTTGTGTCTGAAGTGAATGAGATCATCATACCAAGCAGAGCGATGCACAAAATGGTCTGGAATAGAGTTAGGGACCAATTCGACGAAACTTAAGAAATTCAACGAACGGGGCCAAGTCTGTCATCATATGGAGCGCCACTTCGCTTTCTTATGGCTGCAGCTCTCCAATGGAAAGTGACGAGCGCGTAAATCATAATGGCCACGGCTGAAACAGAACAAACGTGCGTGAGACTTTTGACGTTGATAGCGAACGGCAAGGAAACCGCACCGACGAGGAGAACATTCCTGCACTGATTTTGCCAACCTGTACAAATTGAATTGGTTATTGGGGAGGCTCGTGTAGACGTCGAGGAAACGGCACCTTGTCGCCGAAATTGAGCAGACCGACGGACAAACCGCCAAGGACGACAGTGAAATGGAGCCACGATAAGAATGTTCTAGGGTCGATTGATATGAGGAAAAGTAGAGGAGTGCGCTAGGGAAGCTGTGTACCTTTCATTGGCGAAGAAGACCTGCGAGCGTGGTGAATACAAGTTTGAAATGCGAGTGTTAGAGCTACCTTTTAAATTAAAACGAGATGAAGAATGAAATCATCCGGTTGTGAGCATCTACTGACGCCAAGGCAAACGCTATGACCACATACCTTTGGTTCTACACGGACAGGGAGTGCAATTCGCTTCTGGGCAGTCCTCTGAAGGAGTGGTTGTGTCGACATTGTGGATAGACTTGTCGATTCGCCGGTGTCGCGGATGTGGTCAGGAGAAAGAACGGCTTAGTTCCGACTTCAACAATTGGCCATGGACATTCGACTCGCACAGGTCATGATCCCATCATTTATACAATATAGATCAGACATATTCACGCCTATGGATAGCCAGACGACCTCATTGGAATGCAAGCATGCAATCTCCAAAACCTTCCTGAAAACTATCAGATGCGATACTGTGAGTGGGGCGCTACTGGGCATAAGACTACATAAAACTGATTGCTTCGACTTACTAGATCTATATCATATACTAACATGGCCTCAACTGTCCTACGTTGCACGAGACCACAAGGGCAGGATAGTGGGCTACATTCTCGCCAAAATGTACTTGGATCGACTCATCACCACCTCTTGTCTACTAATGTGCTGATATAGGGATGAAGATACGGAGCAACCACCGCACGGCCATGTTACCTCGATTTCTGTTTTGCGAGGCTATAGACGACTGGGCATCGCAAAGCGCTTGATGCTTCTTTCTCGTACGTCTTGATTCCATCCCTCAGTGTCATATTGACCTCCCGTGCAGAGAGAGCCATGTCCGAAGTCTACCGGGCAGATTTTGTTTCTCTCCACGTCCGAAAGTCGAACCGGGCTGCGATTGCGTTGTACAGGGACACGCTTGGGTTCACGACACACCAAGTCGAAAAAGGATATTGTGAGTTGAGCCGAGTTCCCGGAGTTAGTTGTGCCTTTTCGTTCCGCTCACACAATGCATCTCGACAGATGCCGACGGAGAAGATGCATTTGCCATGCGCTTAGAGTTTCCGGAGAACAAGGGCGTTCATGAGAAAAAGGGGGAAAAGGACCGATAAAACTAGGAGGAAACTGAACCGCAGCCTATTACTGCATTTAGTATGCTCTGTGCTCAACTAGAATGGGCTGTCAATCGTATTTCAACGAGCGCCCATCTGTGAGGATGTCTGCCCGTTTTCTCAAACTTTGACCTCGACGCCGTCATGGCGCAACCATCTCCGCGTAAATTTGTACCGCTAGCGCCAGGCCATGATCCCGCAAGCACGTCTACAAAGTCGAATACACCCAGCGCAGACATTATCGTCACCAGACGCGCCTTCTTCGCGGCCGTGGTCGTTGAAGAAGACGCGCACGGGATCTCTCCTGGTAAGAAACCGCGCCAAATGTAAAGAGCTCACGATTAACTGTTGTTTGAAGATGCACAGGAGCTCATTGCCGCGCTTGGGACGCGCATCACAGAGCAAACACCGCAAGGGATCGATAGATCCAACAGTGAGCCGTCGATGGTGGCGACCAACAGCGTTGATCTACACGTATGGAATCTTGAAATTCAAACGCTTCAATACAGACTTATTCGCTCGGCAGCGAACAGCGACAACACGGAGACGTGCCATGACCGAAGGCACCGTACAGGCCTCTGGCTTGGGCCACAAGCGTACATTAACCCAAACAGAGAGCGACACTCTGCAGGACATGATTAGAGAAATGGTCACTACAGAGCGCACATATGTCAAGCGGTTACGAATCCTAAAAGAGGTCCGAGTGGCGACATGGCGTTGTACGGCCAAAGGCTGATCAATCAATCGACAGGATTATGCAGACCCTCTCAGAAACTTTTCAAAGAAAAAGGAGGAGGCTCTTCTCGACAAGTACAAGGCAAAGACGCTCTTCGGCAACATTGACCAGCTCCTTCCCGTCAACGAGGCGTTTCTCAACGATCTCGAGAAGATGATAGGGCCAAATGGACAAAAACTCGTGGGTGGTTTGGGCGATGTCTGCCTTAAGCATGTGCGTGTGGTCCTCGGAGTTCTCGACAGTTGGACTCACACGACTGCAGTTTCGCGACAAGAAAGCCTTTGAATGCTACAAGTTGTACTATGCCAAGAGAGAAGAGGCTCAAGCCATCTTCGAAGACGAAATGGCCAAAGGCAGCAAGTCTGGCTTCCCCGCCTACATCGATGTATTTGGGGTAATCATTCTATCGAGTTCATTCGCTTACATGATTCTAGCGCGTAAAATATTCCTCGGCCGATGTTAGGAATCGTATTGGTCTTCGTGAGCTCCTCGCGGAGCCTATTCAGCGGATTCCGCGATATACCATGATGTGGCAGAGTGCGTTCTCCTCTTCTTCGTAGTATAAATCAACTCAGCTCTCACAGATATGATCAAGGAAATGGACGACTCGCATCCACAGAAAGCAAAGCTCATCGAGGCGGAGAAGATTGCAAGCAAGATTGCACTCTGTGAATCCGACGACCAAACCAAGCGGGCAACTACAATGTACTGCCTAGAGCGCACAATTGAAGGGTTTCCGGTTTGTCATTCCTTAATAATGGGGTTGTTTACTCACTATCTTTAGCCGGGACTCATTTCCAACGGACGAAAGTTTGTCGACTGCATCGACGTGGAGGACATTCCTGCCGAATCAGCCCCAACAAGCAGCGCGGCGAGTACAGCGTCTGGTGGGCTAGGCGTGCTCCATTGCACACTATTTCTCTTTGACGACAGGCTTATTATTGTCAAACGGCCGAACGGAGCGGCTTCAGGTCGTGCTCTAGCGCGACTTGACGACATTGAGAAGCTCTTACGAACCAACAGTCTTGGGACTCTCAAGAAGAGTGGCATGTCATGCAAAGGCGTCGTGGATGTGCTCGACGTGACGGCTACCGACGCAAGTGGAGCTGAAATGAACGTCTATTTGGAGAATCCTCCACAGGATCAGAGTGACCGGTGGAATGGCAGGCCATTCCGTTCTTATGCCGTCGCATTACCTCCAGCACCTGTCAATTTGGACCCGACTACGACACAGGCGGCAAAGAAGCGCTTCTTGGAGAACCTGTGGACAGTACAGGCCCTTTATCGAGTGAAGAATGGCCGGTGCCTTGCGATGAAGTCGGAAAACAAGGAGCTGGAATGCCGAGGCGGTCGTGCGACTCATGCAACTACTTATTACAATCTTTATCAACGGACCCCATACCTAGGGGAGCCGAAAAAAGTGAGCGCTGGCTGGTAGGCTGGACCAAAACTGACCAGTTTTGTAGCACAAAGTGGTAGTTCACGTCGACTCGTCTAACGAGGCAGACAGAATTCCGTTCGGTATCGTCGGCGGACCCTTTGTCGTCATCCGACTACAGCCTATGCCGGGAGGGTTGTGTCGGTATAATATCACCTGCAATAGCCCCGACGAGGAAGAGGAAGAGCATATTCTGCATACTGAAGTAGTTCCCATTCGCATATTACAAACAAGTAAGTGTGCTCCACAGGAGTTTAGCCTATCTCACCAGTTTTAGTTCACCAGTTTGGTCTCTTCTCGTTTAAAACAAGTGTTGCTTCTCGACCGACCACACCTACCGCGTCCTCGAAATCTAGAGCTGCTGTGTTCGGTCTGGACGCCATCTCGCGGACATTCATAGGATCCCGGTCCGGTGACGCGTTTAGCTTTGGTGCCAGCATGTCTGGCACCATCTCTGGCACAAGGAGATCCAAAGGCGTGATGAGTCGCAGCTCGACTCAGACCATGAGTACTGCCCTCACAGAGAGTACCAATCGGTTCTCATATCGGTCTAATTCAACAGTCGCAACCTCGCTTGCGGACGAGGATTCAGTTTCTCTCAAGTCACCTGTCAGGTTGCTGCGTCAAGGCAAATCACCTGGAAGTGTCCATGAAGGAGAGCGCCTACCAAGTACCCCGGAGCCAATTGCTCGCTCCAGCTTGGACCAGGTGTTCACTGCTGAAGATCTTGCCGCATCATCTGATGTAGTGACAAATGGCGCCCCGTATCAGCCCTTGGATTCGTTTTCTTTTACAACTAGGGAGCCTCCGTTCGCGGATACCATCTATGAAGGTATGACACCAGCGTCAATACACGAAGCTCTTTTTCTAACACCTTTCAGAGGATCCACCACTATCGAGAGCTGGGTTCCTCAAGCCTCCCGACGAAGAGGAGGAATATAACCCTTTCCAAACCGACTCCACTACTCCAACCAAAGGGGCATCTTCGAAGCCACTACCTCGCAAGCCGGGGGGCCCACGTCCTTCAAGCCCACGTCCTTCGATACTGTCGGACATAAGCTTTATACCAGCAAAGGACCTCGATGCGGCGTTGGAAGAAACCATTGCCGCCTTTAGTCCCCCTCATTTCCCGTCCAACATGTCTGATGAAGACACACCGACGAAACGCATAATTATGCCCTCTGGATCAGAAGGCGTCACAAGAACACCAACCACGTCGTCCTCATCTTCTGTCGAGCCACTCTCCATCAAGAAGAAATCGTCGATCAAGCCACGAAAGTCGCCTGGCTCGTTTAGGCGAATACCTGTTCACGAACCCATTTCGCCGACCCCAGCTGTAAAAGGCGTTCGATCTGCCTCTGGTACCATCAGATCACCTCCACGACGAAGCTCTAGAATAAGCTCGCGTAAAGGAAAGGACGTTGACCGCATGGTTATCGTCGCGAAAACTACCAAGGAGGATGTACGTCCATATCCCGTGCTTCTTCTCCAATCCTAACAATTGTAGCTATCATCTGCTAGGAGAGCAGTCAAACGTATCAAGCAGGAGGTTGAAGGTCTTCAAATCGATGTCGTTCAAGACAGCCCAGGCAGCCGGTACGATAGATCAGGCGCTATTAGTCCTGTCGGCGGACCAAGGGGTATTGTTCGCTCACCACCAACGAGACAAATAGTATGTCGCTAGTTCTCCTAAGGACTTCGGCTTATAGGCTATAGAACCGCGCGGCAGAGGCGAGGATGGAGGAGATGCAACAGATGATTGAACGAAGAGCAAAGAATCTATCTGATGGCTCTCTTCGACGAGGTCCTAGTATCGCCATGCCTGCTTCGGCCATGGATCCAGCCCGGTTGCAACAGTGGGCAAAGACTATAGAGACTCTGATAGAGGATGCGGACAAGCAGATCGCCCAAGCGATTGACCAGAGTGACGCTCTGGTCAAAGATATGGCGCTGCTAACTGTCGAGGACGATGTAGGTGCATCATTCACGTGGTTTGATCCACACTTATCACTATTCAGGACTCCAACGACGAAGTCGAGCATCTGCGTGCAGAGTTACAAGGCAGCAAGCGGCAGACCGATGTCCTCAAGCAACTTTTGCAAGATGCCACTGCGGAGAACGAGGTGCTATACTCGGTACGCGCTATTTGTAACATTGCTCCACCGTCTCACCCGAAGTAGGCTTTCAACCAGGAGTTGGACTCCATGTATCAGGACATGCAACTCCCGGAAGATCAGGCATGGGCAGCGATGATCAACGACCTCAAGTCGGCAAAGCAAACACGTAACAAGTTATCAAAGGAAAACTTGTGAGGTTTAGGATGACTTGTATTGATAATTTCTCACGTTTTGCTAGCCACCTCAAACAGAGACTGGAGATTGCTGAACAACGAAACGAAGAGTAGGCTTGTTGATGCTTGTGCTGGAAAGACTTCTTACGCTATTCATAGGCTTCTCGCACTCCTCAAAGCTCATGGACTTGAACCTGGACACTGAATCTACTCCTTATTTTGGTTCTAGACACAACCTATCTTATTGCGACCACCAGTGAATGTATTCTACACTGTAAACGATAGCAGATACAACGCCGTCAGCTAGTTTTATGTTACAGCCTGGGCGTGACACATTGTCCATATGCTCAGAGTAACGGAGGGACTAAATTACGGAGTCGTAGGCGTGAGAGGAGACGATGGCGATGGAAATGACAACTAGCTAAGCCGATTGAGATGCTGGACAAATTGCGAGCTTCGACGACGGATGGATGACATGGGGGAGGGTTGGAGATGCTGTGAATGACGTGGAAGGGGTGGAACAGGTGGGATATCGGAAATGCTGGAGGTGTCGGACGCTGAACGTGGCATATCGGGCCGTTTGAGTAAACCAGCCTCGGACACTATCTCCCAGGTCGTCAACCCTTCGCCGAGTGTAGGTGTCGAGGCAGAGATGCGTCGGGGTGGCGTCGAAGCTGGCTCAGAGCGTGCACGGTGTGCTATCGACGAGTCCGTGTCTCCTTCCCGAGAGATACTGAGAGAGGAACGATTAAAGAGATTGCTCAAGCCACTTGCACCTCGGCTAGACTTTGCAGCCAAAAGCGTCCACGATTTTCGGAAAATGGTAGCGGGACGGAGCTTGGATTTTTCGGTTGGACCTCCTTGGACCGGTTGAACATTGCTGATACCCTGACCAACAATATAGACGGGGAGAGGAGTGCTGTGGGGGCGTTTGCCAGATTTAGTCCCGCTAAACGTTGCGAATCGACCAAGGTCCGAACCAGGCCTTCGCAGGGAATATGTGAGATTCGTGCTTCGTCTCTTCACAGGAATAGGCGGGAGTTCCTTCAAGGTGTTGAGCCCGAGTGCTGAAGTTGGTGGTGGTGCTGGATGCGTTGCCACGGGTTCGGGCGATTCCACCCTATCTGCGATACTGATAGACCGTCTGGTGCGCTTTCTACGGGCGATAAAGGTGATTCCGTCGTTGGGAGATGGATCAAATTCAGCCATGACGGGAGTTGATGGCTGCGAAAAGTTGCCATAATCTGCAGTCGCTGGGCGTGACTGTTCCATCTTGGACTTTTCCTCCTCGCGCTCCTCGAAGAATGAAGAAAAGGGAATAGCTAATGTACGCCTTCGCATCTCCTTTGAACCCATCGAGTGAGCCGACTTGTTGCGCGCAAGGCCAAACTTGGATCCAGAGGAAGTTGGAGAAACGAGAGGTGTTCCCTCTGCCACACTTCGTTGCCTGCGTAAGAGAACGCTCTCTCGACGTGTCACCTTGTCGCGTGCCGCAGTTGCCGAGCCAGACTCTGCGGTGAGTTTCGGAGGTTGAAAGAGTGGTTCTTTCATCTGCGCCTGCACACGCACCGTCTGGCACTCTTCAAAGAAGACATCGCTCAAACTTGAATCCACCGTCTTGCGGTAGTTGGCGGACGATCGCCGAATAAGGATCGTCGAGGCGTCTCCCTCGAGTAGCTTTTTCATCTGTGCGGGTGTAATGGGCAACGGCGGCGGCGAAGCCAAGAGCGGTGACGTGAGTTCGGTGGATGCCGGGTCTAGTGCCGAGAGCAAATGCGGATTGTCAAGATAGATTTGCCAACTTTCCAATGCGCCAAGGGATGATCGTCGCTTCGGAGGTGAAACGACGCTATCAGATGGAGCTGTCACCGGTGTGGTCAGTTTCCGAGACGGAGGTCGATTGGGCGATTTGATCGGTGTCGGAGGTTTAGGCGTGGGGCTTTCAAGACTGGATGGCAGCTCGCTTGGCCGAAGCAACGAGTTGACACGGGCTGTCCTGATCTTGTCCATCCACAAGGTCTTTTCCTGTTGACACCGTGAATACGAGCATGGGAAAAACCGGATTCGCCTACCGAAGCACACGCGGCGACGACTTCAAAGTGGTGTTCACCGCAAGACAAGCGAAAAGAGGCAGGGAGCAAAGCTGAAGACGATATGAGAAGTCGCCACCAAGAAATTGAAATTGCGAAATTACCTTCTTCCTCGGTAATCTCTTGAAGAGTCACCGTCGCCAAAGGAAACCAGTGTCGTGGTTCATACGTCCTGTTCTTATGAACTTTGACGAACAAAATCCATCCACCGTAGAGAAAGACGCCAAGATACTTGACTTTGATTGGAGGGACGAGAGGCGCAACCGTCTCATGATGGTAGACAACGTCTAGCGAGCCGGCCAAAAGGCAATCTCCAAGACTGCTCATCTGTGGAAGCGGCTATTGGAGAAAGAAAGCGATTAGTCTCCTGTAAGAGAGCAAGATGACAAATCATACCGGATCGGATATCCGAACAAGGAGCAATTTCGTCTTGATTGCGATATCAGATCTCTTTCTCGCCTCATCCACCTTTGCCGCCACTTCTCTCATCGATTTTAACGCTTGTAGCTCGATTCCGGACTTTGCAGGGTCCGGTATGGCGAGATTGACGGGAGAGGACGGCTCGATCGAGGCGGCCGGTCGTTGAAGTTGGCCGAGTATCAGGGGGTAGCGGCATATTCGTTGAACAGGCTTGATCAGAAAGTCAAGCATGGTCAACTTTGATATCGAGAGGTCGGCCGTGGGCCCTGTATCAATCGAGTGGCGCCGTGAGACTGAAGAAGTTGGAGCGTTGGATGTCGCCATGGTGTTAGAGTCTGGAGACCTCGCCTCGGCGTTTGCTCGTTCTTTCGCAACGATGATTGCACAACGCTTCTCATACATATCCCACTCCGGCAGCGTTTGTACGTGGCGGATAATATCCAACGCATGGGAATGTCCGGCACAGAATGCTTCGTAGAGGTGAAATGATGATGCCTGTGAACGTACGACATCAGCGGGTTGTAATTTGTGAGGTGATGCCTCCGCTGCCAGGGGGGAAGCGAACTAACCTCTTTAACAAATATGGAAGCCACTCTATTCACAGCGCTCTCCAATTTTTGTTGTGCAGCTTTTGAAACAGTTCCGGGGCCTAGTTCGCGCAGCCTTTCCTCGTCGACAATTGTGTTGAACCGTCGAGCGAGGTTCTTGTGGAGCTCTAACAGGGCTGCAGCGTTGCGCGCAATATCCATCCTGTCTGCTTCGGCAAGCGATTCTACAGAAGGTAGTTGAGCCAGGTAGATCCGCACAAGAATCTTGAGATCCTTGACATAACCGGCTTCCGTTGACACCAGTTCCATGAGTGCGTGCCACCGGTGAGTGCCGTAATTGGCCGTTTTAGCGCTGCTGACGTTTGGGGTGTTTGTGGCTTGCGATAGGAAATTGAACGTGCTGTCGTGCACGCTCTTGGCTCGAGGATGTGTTGAGGTAGGCTGCATGCCAGCACTGGTTTGTGCATCTCCCAAGCTGACTGCTCTCCGTCGAGTTTCACCCTTCGCGAGTGGTAGAGGGCTGTCGTTCTCCCGCAAGGGGGATTGGTCCCGCGAGCTCTGGGATGAGTTCTGAGATGTTGGTGAGGGGAATCGCGTCTCGAGAGGGACTGGTTTCGCCGCGTCAGAGCTGTGGAAACGGCCCATGGGCGGTCTGATAGGTCGTGCGGGTTTTGGAGTCTGAGAGCAGTTTACATCGTTTGTCGCCTTGGAGAGAGCGTTTTTGACGGCAAAGTTGGGCGACTCGGCAGGCAATGTCGGCTGGGGGCTTGGAGTTGGCATTCGAATTGTAAAGTCTGTTTCACCAGCCGAACAAGGAGTTCTGCTCTCGCCGCTGGGTGAAGACGAAGCCCGCGAGGTGCGTCGTGTTGAGGGAGCAGTCGAAGGAGCAGTAAAAGGACCTAGATCACCGCGTGCAAGAGAAACGACTTCCATCATCCGTGTGGATTGTCTGTTGAGAGGACATCCCTAGTTAGCCTATGGCCTTGAATGGTGCCGCAGGGATCGACAAGGCGTCACACTCACCGTCACACCCGGTACTTTGCAAAACTGTTGCTCTTTCCTTTGCGTTAATAAGTTTAGAGGTTGTCACGAACGATATCCTCTACAGTCTCGTGCACCCTTTGATGTCGCAATTTGACCACTCTCGCCACAGCAGCGTATCGACGAAGGAGTGGGTGTCCAACGGCTACAAATACGTGTTATACACGCTGTCCACGTTGGTGGAGTAAACCAAGGGCCGGAGAAGGGGAGAAGGGGGGGAAACCTGTACCAAAGGGTTGATGAGGAACACACCGGACGGCGGCAAAGCGCTCCTAGACGCGAATAGAGACCGCGTCAAGCCGTCTGAGGACTGGCCAAAGGCTCTGCGAGAAGCCAGACGAAGTCGGGGGTAGGGGCCAAGAGACAAAGTAGGTTTCACTTTGGAGCGCTCGACAAGTGATGGGCTAATGTACCCCCCCGGCGCAACTTGTAATACCGCTCAGGTCCCTCGCCCGAGAGCGGTACAGGCTCAAGTTCTCACATAGACATACAAATGTTCTCTCCAGGGTTTCAATCTTTCGGTCTCATTCCGATCGGCCCCCACACGTGGCCGTCGGCCCCCCACGAGCGCCCGTCGAATAATGGTCGAAATGGTCCAGACGTCGTCTATATCCAGACCATAATCTTCCGTCATTTCCCCTCAAGCAAGCGCTAGTTCGCTCATAGCATTCGCTGCTTCTTGGCCGAGCGTGATGCTGCAAGCTCCTCGAGCCGCCTCCGCTTTGCTGCCCGCAATGGGCTCTTTAGCATCTCCGCTTCATCGTCAGACTTCCGTTCGTCCTTACTCAGCCCCTCCGCGACGCCTTCCTCGTCTTCCTCCGCCGTCCCTATGTCATCTTCGATAAAGCTTGCTTGTTCGGAAATCTTGTCAGATACTCTGCAAATCCAAATGTAATGTTTGAGATACCACCCATGCCGTCAGTCCTGCGGAGCGTTTGGATTGCCAAACACTTACTCAGTCTCCGCTTCGTCCATTTCGGTGTCCAACGTCGCCCATTCAGTCGCTATTGTGATTAATTCTTCCCATTGGTCTCGTGCAGATTTGGTCACTTTCATAACGTCCCGGAGATGACATTCCCGACGGCAGGACGGACACGATAAGGGCTTGTTAACGCCACCTTGAGCGCGGAGATTTGTGTCCAACGCTCGTATGCAATCGAGGTGATACGTGTGCTCGCACGGAAACCTGAGAAATTGGGTCAAACAGCCCGTCTTCCTATTTCGCGCCCGAAGTTGCTGCATGCTTCCTCGAGGTTTCCAAGAGATACTCACGCGGCTGCTGTATCCAACGTGAGCTCCTCATAACAGATGGAGCAATCCGGATACTTTCCGTCCTCTCCAGGATCCTCCACTACAACCTCCTCCATCTGCAAACGAAACCTGCGCAAAAGCTTCGATTTTGATATTTAGCGTCCCTAAATTTGATAGTAGTCAGCTCACCTTTTTCATAGTCAAGTACCGGTCCTCCCAAGCGGAAGCGGACGTCCCCCCATTGAGTTCATTTGTCTCCCGAGCTAGCTCTGCCTTTCGTATCTTGAAATGCTCGTTTCAGTTCTCACTGATCCGCGCGGTACGTGAACAGACCTTTTGGTACTTTCGTTTGAACCTTGAGGCTTCCTGCATGACGGTCAGAACCACTCTCTATTCATACGACGGATAATGAGTCGCCTTCTTTGCTTCTATCAGCTCCTTTTCCAGATTCCTGGTTCGAGCGGCGCTAGTGTTGCCTTTTGTCGAGCTAGCGGTGGCAGTCGACTTCTAGTCTCACCGGTGAATCATTATCCTCAAAAAGTTTGGCACGAGGAATTGTCGCGTACCGTCCGAAGTACTTGGGCTTCTGCCTCAAGTGAAGCAACCTGGCCTCGTAATCGCGCATTCTCTTCTAGTAGGGCTTTATAGCGTTCATGGATGCTCCTGAGGTGTTTCTAAGCCGGATCTTTCGTCAGTTGCTCAAGTAACGAGGCCGTATCAGCGCGGTTTACCTCGACAGTATCCGGAGAGGATAATTCACTACTGGAATCTGGTGTCTCTTGACGTCGTGTTAGAGGCATTTGAATAGAGGCCAAGGTGTAGTTGGTGCACAAACGCTACCGACTGTGGAGGCCGACTCCAACCTGCGTATGTCTACGCTATTCAGGAAACAACCCGAAGACCTCTTGCTATGCGTCTTCGTTCACGGGTAAGTTTTCATTCAGCTTAGAATCCACTCTCGCCTACATCGATTTTGCAGCTTCAATGGGAACGACAAAACCTTTAACACTTTCCCTTCTACAATCGCATCTATACTTCAGCAAGTTATAGAGATTGTCTCTGTGGAATCGATAGTCTTCCCCGAATACAAAGTGAGGGTTGGCTGCTACACGCGGATGTCGCGCTGACGGGTCCCCAGACGAGGGGCGACTTTTCTGCTGCAGTGGACCATTTCACGGAATGGCTGTACCTTCAAGTCAAGCAGCGAGAAAGAAAGCGAGCGAGCGGTGCTGCAAAAAAGGCAAAGGTCGTCCTTTGCGGGCACTCCATGGGCGGTTTACTTATTGCGGATGCCATTAAGTCTATGAAAGAGAAATATCAAGGCAATCAATCTCAGCCGCGCATTATTGCAGTCCTTGCCTTTGACACTCCCGTGAGTTGGGTTCACTTGCTCAGGTCTCCTGCCACTTATGTATTATACAGTATCTAGGGTTACATCAAAACCTTTGGAAAAATAAAGTCAGAGAGGGCCTTTCGGTTGCTAGCTATGTGCAAAGCATCGCCTCATTGCTTGGTGGGCTCGCCCTTGGAGCGAGTAAACCCAAGTCGGTAGAAGGAGCGATGATTCCCAAGGCTACCAACTCGTTGGTACCCACCACCCCTGCTGGAGGTGAGCCACCAACAAACAGGAAGAAGTGGCTGGCGATGGGAGGTGTAGCTCTCGTTGCAACTAGTACAATTGCCGCCGCATACTACTACAAAGATAAGATTATCAGCAACGTTACATCTGGAATGACGTTGCTTACCGAATAGTACGCATGTGTCTCTCTGTGGCGCATTAATTACTGAATGAAGGCAGTCTGGAATATGTCGGGGCCCTGCACAATGAACCGAATATGAAGAATCGACTCGATTATCTGGTACAACTCAGCCAAAATCACGAAATCACATTTAGAACGTACGTGCTTGGGCACATAGGGTCTGAATGCTGACGCACCGCGAGATTTTACACATACCTACCGCCCAAAGTAGAGCTTGGACAAGGTCAATCGCGAACCTTTATTACCCTCCCCTTTGGCAATACCGATGCGGCTCAGTACTTTGTAGCAGCAACCAACACACTTGCCACGGATGAGATTCAAGCGCATACGGGTATGTTCGATCGCGATACCAACGATTGTTACGACGAGCTTGAGAAAGCGACCGCCCGATCGATCCTCCTGGCAATTAAATCTCTGCGAAAGACTGAGAAGACGATGCGAGTAGCAGGGAAGCCGCACAACGAGGAGGAAGAGCTCAAGCAGAACCGAGCCAAGGTGGCGGAGGACATTTGTGGAATGCAAGCTGTTGGATGAACAAGAAAGTCGACTCAATCTCCATCATTGATGATACAACGTGCCTGGTCGAGGAACGAAGAGACTTCTCTGGGTTTAAATCTGCTGACCTTTGTTCTTAATTTTAAACTTGAGCTAATTAACTTGGTTTCATAGCCGTGCGTAGGTCTTTGGAAGCCCTGGAGCCCTTTTACGTTGCGTTGGCAATTCTTGTCTGAAATAAAACATTCTGATAGCTCCCTCGGTGTCTCTCAACATCATGTTCGAGGCGCTCGAATGAAGGCAAGATGCAAGTGCTCAACAAACGCCACCTAATACTTGTTGATCTCGACTCCAACCTGCGTATGTCCGCGCTAATCAAGAAACCACCAAAGGACCTCCTACTCTGTGTCTTCGTTCATGGGTCAGTTCAGACCGGGCTCAAAAGCCACGTCTAAATCGACCGAGTTTGCAGTTTCAAGGGCGACGACGATACATTTCAGGATTTCCCTTCGAGGGTAGAATTCCTACTCCAGGAAACAGTCGAGAATGTGTCTGTTGAATCGATAGTCTTTCCCCGATACGAAGTGCGCATTGGCTTCTGTGTGACTATGTTGCTGACGTTTTGCCAGACGAGAGGCAGCTTATCCACTGCTGTGGAAGCTTTCGTCGAGTGGCTCGACCGTGAAGTGCAACAGCGAGAAGTAAAGCGAGCTATTGAGCTGGAGGGAGAGTACGGCGCCGCGGGAACGGCAAAGGTCGTTCTCTGCGGACACTCCATGGGTGGTCTGCTTATTGCAGACGCGATCACATCTATACGACAAATATATCGAGAAGGACCGCTCTGGCCACGCATCATAGCCGTCCTCGCGTTTGATACTCCAGTGAGCTCGCTCGCCCAACAAGCCCAAGGCTCATCGACTGCATAGTATCTAGGAGTTCATCCTAACCTTTACAAGGACAAAGTTGAGGATTTGCACACCATCATTACAGCGATAGGTGGGCTCGGTTTCGGAGCGGGAGCAAGTACTTCCAAGCCGACGAGTGCTCCGAAACCGCCAACTCCCAAAGCTATTACCTCATCGGGATCTGCAACGCCTACTGGCGCTGGACAGGCTACAAGCTGGGGAACGTGGGCCAAGATCGGAGGTGCACTCCTTGCAGCAGGCGGCACAGCTGCAGCCGCCTATTATCACAAAGACACGATCACCAGTAGCGTCTCGTCCGGAGTGACTTTCCTAAACGACCAGTAAGTGTCAGACCCTGCATTTTCGTTCACTGCTAATGAAGGCAGCATGGCATACGTTGGGAATCTGTACGACGAGAAAGCTATGAAGGATCGGCTCAATTCTCTGGTTCAGGTCAGCAAGGATCACAAAATTATATTCAGAGCGTATGTCCTTTGCATATACTGTTATAGTCCTAATTCTCTGCCAGATTTTATACATACCTACCCAAACAAGTGAAGCTGGGCCAAACTCGACCACGAACATTCATCATCCTGCCCTACAGCAAGACGGACCCAGCTCCATACTTTGTCCCGGCAGGCAATGCACGTGCTACCGACGAGATAAAAGCGCATATGGGCATGTTTAATCCAAAAACCAACGATGGATACTACGACCTCGGATCAAAGACCGCTCAGTTCATTCGAGAGGCGATTCAATCACTAATGGAGACTGAAAAGACGATGCACGTGGAAGAAACATCGCAAGACCTTGATGAACAGGAGCAAATGGAACAGAACAGGGCCAAGGTGGCAGAGGATGGTCGTGAAGCGCAAGCCGCTGGAGGACCAACGAGACCGCCTGCCGAAGGGGCGCTCTCTGACGAGCGATAATTTATGCGATATAAAGAAGCCTTTCTCAAAGCTGTTGACATCGCCTTTGTAGCATGGGATTCATATCTGTTAAATGATACAGTGACGAGGAGCTGGGCAATCGATACAAGGTTGAGAATGCGCGACAAGGGGGAACGGGACGATTACGGGAATCTATGGAGAAACGACGAGAGAAGAGACCAAAAAGTGTTGCTGTCCTCGAAGCAACAGAATGGAATCCCGTTGTGATAGAAAAGAGAGTAGAGACGAATCGTGATAGACGTATTCTAAAAGCATAAAAATGACGGCGCAATCACTTGGCTGGACGGCATGTGAGAATCTTCCAGACTCGTTTGAGCCTGGACTCGCTGATCCTCCGCTCAGTCTCCTTAACAGCAGGGGAAGCCATCTCCATCTGCATGCTCAGGTACTGATTACGAGGCTCGGGGAGAGTGCTGTCAAGAGGATCGACACTGATTTCTTCTGGTGTCATCTGGCCTTGGAAAGGTGACCCGTGCCAGGTTGGTAGTGGCGGTAGAGGAGGGGCACCAGCAGGGAGTGAGGTCCGCTGCTTAGAAAATGCAATAAACGACGGTCGCTTGGACTGCGTCTTCTTCACGGGCATGCTACCACGACGTCGACGAGGATCGTCTAGATCCTCGACAACCTCCTTGTGCGCATGCCCGCCAAGAGACTGACGCTTTGCAAACGGCAAGAACGAAGAGCGATTGCTTGGGGATGTCGGATATGGAGAAAACTTGGAGGTATTGGGTGTGGATGGAGATAAAGAACTGACGTTTGTGTAGCCATTGGTATGGGTAGGCGTCGAAGGGACAGAGGCGAACGGGTTGAGGGAGGAGAAGATGTTCACTGTCAAGGAATGCGGTGGTGTTTTGGGCCGGACACTCAAAGGTGTGTCCAATTCGGGCGTTGAATACGTGGGCTCGGGGTCCATAGTGCTTCGCCATGCCATTACTCTCTCTGCATTGTTCTCCCGCAGACGGGAGATGTACCGCATGTCTGATGACCGTTCGAGACTGCAGAAATCGTCAGTATACAATTTGCTAAACCGTGCAAACATGATACTCACGCTCTCAGAATTTTGAGCTCTTCAAAAAACAGTCGAGGATCCTCCAGTTCTGGCGATTCGGAGCAGAAGGTATCTAGGTCAAGGCTGATGGATACGTGAATGGCGCATTGTCGACTCTCTGGTTTTTGCGATCCGAGGCCTCCCCCTAGCTCGCATTTACGGACAGCCGGCAGCTCGTCCTCTGCCAGCGGCGAGGCCTCGTCCTGTGTTGTCTCTTCCTCTGTCTCGTTTGGTGAAGAAGAGCAGCAGGATGAGGACACACTCGCTTCTGAATGAAGGCTGGTGGCGGCAGTACTCGGCTGTGATGCCAAAGTTGTCTCCCTTGACTCCGAGGCCGAGGCAGACATGGAATCACTGGTTGAAGGACGACCATTCGGTATCGAATCTGCAGATTGGGGGGATACTGGGTCGGAGTTGGCAACCGGTGATTGTACTCGAGCAACCGTGGCACTGTCAAGTCCTTGAGGGAGACGAGGTACAGCAGGATGATCCCCGCGCTGTTGTTGCTGTTGCTGCTGCTGCTGCTGTTGTTGTCGACTTCGCTGAGAGGGTGATCTTGCCAAAGGTCGCCAAGCAGACGGTCCCATTTGCGTTGGCGTTCCCCCACCACGCTTCGAAGAGCCCGCGCTTTTCCTTCGAACACCGTCCATACCAAGGAGGTGAGCATAGTGGGCAGAGACTGTGGATGACGGCGTCCTGCGCCCTAGCTCATCTTCAATTTCCATTCCAAAGGTATACTCTTCGCCTATACTGAGCGCAGAGATGACGGTCGATAGACGAAACTGATCGTCGAGTTCATCTCCGGGTGATACGTCGTCGTAGTCTTCTTGTGATAGAGCGTCTGGTCCTGCACCGTCCAGAGAGTGTCGGGATGTAGGGACCGACGAGGATTGAGTAGACTCGCGTATTTTGTCCGCGGACTGAAATTCGTCATATCGCTTGAGTTCCCGAAGCGGTATCGACACCCTCCCTCGTCGTTTACGCGACACGGGGTGACTGACTGGTTGAGTGTCGGAAATGATGGCATAGGCATCCATGATGGTATGGGCGTAGAGCTCTTGAAAGGGAAGGAGCTGCCCATTGCGCACTTGCAATGGTGTCCTGTCGTGGACAGAAGGCTGGGACTTTCCTTGCGGCAAAGCAAGAGGGACGCTCATCATTTCGTCCACAGTGTCATATCTTGACCTCGTTGGCGGGCTGGTGTGTAGGAGGTTGAGGTGTATGGTGGTCGTGGTCGACGGCATTGGTGTTTTGAGTGGAGGAGGAATACCCGTAATTGTAGAACCAACAGAGGGTCTTCGAATTGTGGCATCTTCTTCTACGGTGAGAGCGTTGGGGTTTTGCTCGTCTGCCTTGGAGGGTACACCCGTGGCGAGGGCTGTCGATGAACGTTCGACGCTGCGCACAAACGCAAGGTATTGCCGTGTTTGATCCCCCAAGACATAGGCACTCTTCTCCACATCTTCGTCGTCTTCAAACAGTGGCTGTAGGGTCCGAATGGGGTCTACAGCCACAACGACAAGGTCGCCCGCGCGAACAAGGGGCTTTCCCTTTCGGCTGGGTCCAGAGGGCTCTTGGGGTTCACTTTGTTGAGGGACGACGTTTGCGGGTTTGAAAGGGAGAGCGGTGGTGATGTTCTGCGACGAGGCGGACAGAGGAGAGCTGTCGTCGGTGTGTACGTTTGTTCTAGAGATGCTTGAAGAGTCATCAGCACGTGTGGCTCCTGTTTCCGACGTGGCAATAACAATAGACGGTCGCTTGGGGGGGACCGATGTCGAATTCAAACTCCGCACGGTCGCACCCCTATTTCTGGCATTCTCCATCCCTCTGGTCTGCAATAGCGTCAGTGTTTGGATAAAGACAGTGTGACAGTTGACAAACTGTGGATGGGCCAGCTCGGTAGAGTGTCGAGAGAGCAGAGGTGCAAAGAGGGAGAGAAGAAAGGTTCGCGTGGGTTCCATGTGCGCAGACATTTATAAGGTCCAGCACGACATGAACACTTGCCAATTCTATATGCCCTACCCGAGGCGCCTGATTAGTTTTCTAGTTTTTTGAATTCACTCAGTTCCCGTGTTCCAGTGATGGCTTCCCCTCGATGCCGCGACCCGCTAGCCTTCTTTGTGAGAACAAGGCGCGCACAATCCTCGTTCGTCGCTTCGTCCCTCTTGTCCTTTCTCGCCGTTGGGTGCTCGAGGATTCTTTAGGCGGCGAACCCGGGTAATACCTGCCGTGCACCTGTCATGTTACTATCAAAGTAACGAAAGCAATAGAACCAACTCACTGCCCCTAGTACAGTCCCAGTCCTCGGAACGGAACGAAGGCGCAGACAATCGCTCCGAGACACGCGGTCTTAGGTGCCTTGAATAACTTGGTTGATGAGCTTAGGCATTTTATCTTCAGCTAATTTGCTCAATTGGGCCTTGGTATCTGCCACAGAGCAAAAGTTGTGCAGACCCCTCGATTCCCCCTCTGTTCGGTGCATTCCAGCCAAGCTGCTCGGTGCCATAATGGCCATTCTGCATACTCTTGATTGACAGTTGCCCCGGTATCTCTGAAAAGTCAGCCTCGCGGAGTCCGCCCATTGCCTGATATGGACACCAAAAGCCGTCCCACACAGACCGGCAGACAAATCTCCGGAGAAAACTCTACGCAATCTTTGGTCTTTGTTCTGCTCAAACTGTTCAACTGTACTCGATCTCTAGACATCCTCCCCCCTACAAATGTCATGGGCGTCGCCACTATCTTAGAACGCATCGGCCTTGGTGTCAATCTATACAGATGAGCTGATTAAGATTTTACCAGAGTAAGGGCCAACGACTGGTCGCCTAAGATGTCGGGCTCAGGTGTACGGCTATCGCCCAAGTACCAATTAGGTTACAAACCCAGATATCCATTTCTTATCGTACATATTTCAGTGGTATATCATTACCGAGTGCCATGTCTCGCCGACTCGACTCACAGACGTATGGTCCAGAATGCAAGGAATGCGAGCGTTGCGGCCACGAATCAACAACCATGTCGCCTGCTTGGGGGAGTGTAATTCGAGGACCAGTCCCAAAGTCATCGGCCTGCAAACTGGTCCCAAGTCCTGCTGATTTGTCGTGGACGGCTTGTGCAAGATTAAGATAGACTCGAGAACTCATGACTATAACAAGTCCTCATCCAAAGTACACGCCCATGTATGTGCTCTTGATATTTTGGGTTAGATACTGTCAAACCTATCAACTAGCTGGTCGCTCACTCTCTAGCAAGACTCACCGCCATCGCGACGCAAGTATATACTGCAAAGGCGCAGAAGAAATAAACGACTCCGTCTCGATACAAGACGGTGAGTAGTGGACTAGTTGGGGCAAATAAACTGTCTGCGATCCGTTCTCTCACGTCTCGAAGTGCACGGACAAGTATCATCGCAAAAGGACCAGCTCAAAGCGGGCTGGTATGACAAAGATTGCAGAGGATAGAAGCGCATTCGCCGTTGAAGCACACAAGTGAAAGTCTGTCGAATAATATGTTCGTGCTGGAGTGATGTGAGTATTATCACCGCTGAAAGTCACATAGGTGCACATACCAGCCAAGAGGTAGAGAGTGTTTGCGGTAAATGCAAATGCGAGAGACCAGGTGATGATGAGTAATAAGAAGAGACACCTTTTGACAGACGGTTGATTATTGTACAATACAACGACGCGGAGCGTGAGGATGGCTGTCGTCCAGAGTCAGCCGGCGCAGGAACGGGAGTTTCACAGGAACAGGACATACCGTTTCCAGAGAAAAAAGGTCGCCCATTGAATCATCCTAACGAACCAAAAGTAGACTTTACAGCTGTGATCAATGGTGAGAAAGAGTGAACGCAGTAGCTTAGTACAGGCGGTGTGTACAACTGCACAAATGCAACTTATCAGGGACTTCCCAGATTCAAGCAACCCGAGTAAACTGACTTTGACTGATAACGGCATACTCCATTGGTCCGTTGTCTCTACGAATGAACGAAATATGAGCACTCGGCATGCTCATTGCAAACTGAATACACCGATTACTGTAATTGTCAACCCGACGACGGCCAAGACGCGATTCTGAGCAGAATCAGTTTCAAGGTTGCTTGCTGCTGAGACGACATACGATCAGGTAGACGCCTTTTGTCCATCGCCAACGAGTAAGCCACACCCAACTTATCTCTACCGAGAGTGAGAGCGAGAAGGAGGGGCAAACGGCGCGCTTACCTCGCTCTAGGACGATCAGCCAATCATACACCGCGAGTGTGAGGGCGGCTCCTGTATGGCGTCGAGCATTGTAATAGAAACCCCGGACGAAGCATACCCGCAAAGAACCGACCCAAGAAAACCTGCTTAGCAAGGTCTAGGAGTTCCGTGTTAGTTTGTTAGTTTATACATTACATTCTTAGCTTGTATTATCTTTCACCTGTAACGCCGGTGGCGGTGGTCCCTCACTCGGTTAATCTACGACCGCAGTGAGGTAAGACCACCGACTCTCTCATGCGATCGTCCCTGACGCTCCATACTAGCTAATTAGACGTTGTCTATCAGGTAGTGTATTAGACTCGGTTAATCTACGACCGCAGTGAGCTAATTAGACGTTGTCTATCAGGTGGCTAATATTCCGGAGGTAATACTGGAGGTTCAGACATGGTCAATCATCAGAGGGAATAGATAGAAGACACAATGTCTAGTCGTCTCTTGTAGTTCGGTGAAATGAATGCCGGACGAGTGTCCGTTCCAGGCACCGACGTCCAATTTCAAACGGTCAATCCACCAGACCGGACCGCCTCGAGACTACGCAGGCAGCTCGTGAAAGGGACGCCTGTAGAGTGCCATGACCGATAGGTGCAACGCTGAATTGATCTCTGCAGTATTGCTGCTTCCGATTTAGAGTTCCCGAGCCACGATGCCGAGGAGTCGGTTCACCCTCGAGGAATTGCGTCGCTTAGAGGTCTTCGCTCAAACTTGGAATAATCTAAATAGGCAACCCCATATGCTCACAAGACGTACCTAATCACTTGCTCGCAAGATGCCATGCCGCTTCTGTGAGAAGATTGCGGAAACGAACACTGGTATTTCGAAACGTACATAGTTGAGCCCAAACTAGTCCTACAAGCAGCCACAGCCTGAAGCAGATCAGAATGCGGGAATCAACGACGGGCAACTTACAAATAAAGTCGAGAAACCGGCGGAAGAATGATCTCTTCGCCTTTATTGTTTCCACAATGTTTGTCGCATACTCATAATCTGGATCGTTCTCATTGAGGGCCTGTTGAATCGCTTCGGCAGATGAGAGATCTTCCTGGAAAAGAGCTAGAGCAAGTCCGGCTCGTCGAGTAGAGGTGTGATTTGATCCATATAGACTCTTGGTAGCATTATATAAGATTTGAGCCACTTCTTCCGCTTCTGTCCTTTTGTCGAGTTCATAGTATGTCCACATCAGATTCCCCATGGCAAGTTGAGTTTCGGGATCCAAGACTCCGAGGGCTGTCTTTCGATACTGTAGAACCTGGACCTGGAGCTTCTCTGCCTGGGAGAGCAGCTCTCCAATTTCCCTTTCTTCAGCTACATTTCCCCTGCTCTTGGACGTAGCAAGGCTATAGCAGGAAACGGCAAGATTGCTAGCAGCGAGAATAGTGTCTGGTTTATCCGGACCGAGCGTATTCTTTCGTCCAGTATAGACATCTCTTCTGAGGGCCAGAGCTTCGCCTTTATCACCTGAGGCATGATAGACGTCTGCCAGCTTTGCCTTCGTCACAAGGGTAAGGGTGCCGTCGTCACCCAGAGTCCCTATCCTCACTTTCAAAATCCGTCTGTACAGATTCACGGCCTCTGCATTTTCGCCGAGGCTGGTACAGGTCTCAGCCAGCAATCCCTCTGCCTCTAGTGTTTTCGGATGGTCGAGCCCAAGGCGTCCACGTCTCCACTTGGTGATAGTCTCCCTATGCGTCTTGGCGCGGGCATAGTTTCCGCAGGCTTGCTCAACGTTTGCAAGCTCGGCAAGTGCTTCTAGAGTGTCCTCTAGAGTGTCCTCGTGGTTTTGTCTGGGATCTCGTTGCAGGTCCTCAATCACCTGCGTGAAGAGCTGGAGAGACTTCCCATGATCCCCAGTGCGGTAGAGAACTCTGGCAAAGGAGGCCTTGTCGTTGGTGCGGAGGGTGTCAAAGGAGGATTCGAGCGCCATTATCTGTGGATTCAGGTACTGGTCCATTGGGTCTTTGCCCTTAGGCGAGCATCCGAGGAGTTGGATGGCCGCTGCTTGATATGCCTCCTCGGTTGGTTTATTGATCCAGCTCCTAACCCAGGACTTGACCTCTGGATGGAGAGAGGTCAAAACCAAGTCTCCAGCTTTGGCGTCCGAGATGAAGCTGTATTGTTTCAAGCCTTGGTACTCCCGGCGTAGCCCTTCTTCGTCAAAGCTCCCTTTCGCGCAAAAGATTTGCTGAAGAAGAGATACTGCGTCTCTGGTCTTTTCTTCGCTTCTCCGCACCATTGGGTACATCTTGTAGTCGAAGTCGGTACTAGCTGCCTGATTGACAAGTTGGAGAAGAGGGAATCTGACGGGAACGAAGCAAGAGAGAAGGAGTAGAAGTTGCTGAGCACCTTCTGAGATGGTGTTGTATGAGACGGTGAGGGCTGCATACATTGCCGTGTGGAAATCTCCGGAACGAGTCCTCTCTGCTATAAGCTCCGGTTGTAGACGCGATAGGTAGGTATCTGGGGGTGTACCTGACGCATTCATGTATGCTGTCGCGCAAGTGATCGCGGCAGGTTGATTTCCAAGGGCATCTCCTATCCTCTTCAGGGTATCTGTAGATGCAGGCGTGGAAACTAGCTGAAGTTCCAGCAGCTCCTTGGCTTCGGACGGCGTCATCTCTCCGAGATACACCGTAGCACGTGGTGAGAGGTACAGTTGTGCTTGTGTCGTGATGAGGACGAGGAAATGGTCCGAGGTTGAAAGATAGGGGTTAATATCGACAGAGGACGCGAGATTATCAAATACGATTAAGCATGGCCCTTTCCCGGGTGCTTGAGAGCGTTCGAGATAGCGAAGGCCTTCCTGAGGGTCCGTGATTCCAGGCGGTTGGATATATTTCTTGAACCCATCCCTAACCAGTTTATCGGAGGAACTATCAATGAAGTAGGCCGCGACGAACCTAACACCCGTCAGAGCGTGAAGACCACCAAGTCACCAACCCACTTTTTGCGGTTCTGCTGAACGAAATGCAGAATTAACTGTGTCTTTCCGTTCCCAGGTGAACCGGAGACGACGATGACATTCTTTCCGGTTGGGCGATCATTCCGGAAGGCAGCTTCGTTGAGTTGTTGTTCGGCCTCGACACGCGGTGTGTATGTGGAAGTGATTGACGGAAATCCTTGACCAAGAGAAGTGTCTGAGGCGGTAGACTTTCTTTTGGATCTCCTCAGCGACATTGTATTTTATGCTGTGTAGACAGAGAGATGTTGATGGTAAGTGGTGGGGTCGAAGAAAGTAAGAAGTTGGTGTCCTGAATCGATCATTTATAACCGAAAGACCCAATATATGCGTGAAGGAATCAAGTGCGAGCCACTTGTCTGACATTTGTGATGCCAACCTGGCGGGTCAACTTGAGGACGGCTGATTAGACTTTCATCAGAATACAGCCCACGGGGTCCAGAGAGATAGTCAATGGGGAGTATCTCGACTGAGGTGAACTATCAGGATCAGCAGATGACCGAGCTGAGCCCAGGTCTGCAGTAACGTCTGTCCGCGAGCATTTGGTAGCTGAGAGGTTGCTCCTTTAATATCCGGCAATATATTTGCTATACATTCGATTTCTTGTGTGCGCTGGCGAGTAAGCTGGTCAAGATCAAGGTTTGCATCGCACTTTGACGTCCTCCAATACCATCATTGGCAGTACCAGTCGACGAACAAGGTACAAACCTGCCGTTCTGCACAGCATGGCAGTCGCGCAGAAGATAGATGTGTCTATGTCATCCCGCTTAGGATTGCTAATGGATGCGGTGAGAGTCCTTAGTGGCTCAAGAACCAGCTTGGACGGCCCAAAACACAGTCTCGAGCAAGTTTTAGAATCGAGATTGGCGCGTCTCAACGAGTTTGATATTCCGGAGATTGCAAACCACATTACTCTGCCTGGAAAGCCTAACGAGCTGCGACACCTCACAGGCTCAACAGAATTCAGACTACTGCAAGAAATCGACAAGATTCTGTGTGAGGATCCAAACTATGAAGTCAGCATGAACGACCAGGCAGCACTCCGTGCGGCCGTCTCGGTCGCAGTTCGTTGGAAAATCGACACAGATACAAATAATTTCAATGCTGCAACTTCCCAGGCCCGCAATGCTGCTCTACAGCAACTGACTGCGACGGTCAACGAACTTCTTAAAATCATATTCCCCGAACCCGCAACCACTAATAGGTCCATTATTGGCACCATCCTTCTGCACCAACATGGTCTTGATTTACTCCCGCCGTTGCTCTCTCTAGGGTGGCTCCCACCAGGGTCGTAGAGGAAGGGTCTCAAATAAGGGCTGCGACTTTGCGGATCCTATCAAGGTAGGAGAAGTACCTGCTTAATAGCACACTCCTTACCCCTACCTTAGTTTCTCCTTGAGCGAAAGCATCCATATGCTGGGTGTTGTCTTGAACATTCCTCACTTGCCCGTGACTGCGAGGAATGCCATTCGTTACCTCCTCACTCGTCGAATACTGCCACAGAATGGAGTCAAGGCACTTTTATCGGGCCTGCTGGGTCAAGAGTCGCACAGTGGTGAACTTCTGGAGCGCTACGAGAAGATTGCCAAACTTTTATGCACGCCTCCACGAGGATTGGACAAAAAAGTAAGTTGAAGCATCGTTGTGTAAAGTAGCTAATGTAGGTAGGAGTATTTCTTCGCAATCATCCCACAGCTTCTTGGGCTCCTGGAAGCTGAAACCGCGTCTCCGGTCTTCCAGAGAGCGTGCGCATACACTCTCAGCCGATTGACCAATATCTCAAGCTCTGACCCTGTCGTCCTATCCACCATCAGCGCTACACTCTACTCGAGTTTTAGCGAGGATAGCTCGTCACCTTCATTTCCCCCACTACAAACCCTGGTCATCGTTTCCAACTTGGTGGCCATGGCTCCTCCTTCTCCAGATGCTCCTCTGACCACGAAGGTCCTTATGCCAATCATCGAAAAGCTCTACTCGCTCCTTTATTTCCTCGACAAGCGATTGACGTCGGATCCTGCTGAAACCGCACTTTGTCGAAGCCTGGTCCAGAGTTGGATGAAGATCTCTACTGAGACCGAAGTTAGCCAAAAGCTATGGTCAATCGTGCTCGGCAATGGAGGACGATGGATAGTCGCTGGTGAGAACCTGACATTGCAGTGGCAACGAGAGTACGTAATTGATCCCTTCTCAACGTCTCTCACCCATCTTTTTCAGATTCGAGACACCGTTACCCTTGTTGAACCAATTGGCGAATTTGGACCTTGATGCCATGGACGAAAACTCGCTTAATCTGGTGCCGGACCCAATTCATCTAGTCGAGCTCATACACTCTGTCAATCGCCAGGGGATTGTTTCTCAGCTTTTCACTCGAATACTCTCGGCTGAGCTCGAAGAAGTTGACCAAGATGAGCCAACGAGGTAAAAATTACTCCTTTATTATTCTCTGGATCCTGATTCCTCTATAGGAAACTGCTCCGAATGCAGATTCTCTATCAACTCCAGAAGCGGATGCCTTCCTCGCTCTTTGGAGATCCAACTCAAGCCCTCGCATTTGTCGATCACGCTATCGCTCTATCTAGACGTAAAACTGAATCCGAGGATAATCACCAAGAGCCCTTGCGCATTGTCTCGGATGCAAACGAGGAGGATGAGGGCAAATACTCCACACAGCAATCGAGTATCTACTTGCCTCGTTAGAAGGTCTGCATATCCGACGGGCTCGTTTGATGAAGTTCTGAGGATATTTCATTTAGCACACCCAAAGTACACCATTCCCGACACCAATCCTCATGTTTCGCGACTTACAGAATATTTGAAGGCCCTCAGTTTTCACTCTTCACAGAACCTTAGACAAGTGGCGAGGGAGGCCTCTCTTGTTCTGATGGCAAAGCGCGCGAGTGCTAGTTCGTCTACTCGCGAGCAATCAACCGAAAGCACGTCTGAGAAAGAAAGTCAAAAGATGTATCAAGAAGCACTTGCCATGCTTCAAGATCCACTCCTGCCTGTTCGTGCACAAGGACTCGCGACGCTTCGTCGTCTCATCGAAGGTTTGGCACGGCATGGCACTCGCTCAAGCGAGCCCTCTGTGGATAGGGCCTCATTCCAGCCATTCTTGACATCTTTGTTAACTCGATCCAGAACGAAGACAGCTTCATCTTCCTCAATGCGGTACAGGGTCTCATCGCCATGGCACAACAGTATGGAAGGGACGTATTCAAACGCCTAATTGCTATCTATGGAATCGAACGGCATACAATAGGAATCATGACGCGGCAAGAGCTGGATGTCAAACTCCGCGTTGGTGAAGCACTCGCGGAGGTTGTGGGCAAGACGGGGGAATCAATGGGTGGATATGGTGCGCATATCACTATTTCCGAGTCAGATAGAGTTGTCGGCTCATTCCACATATTCTAGCCGACCTCCTCCTTCCCGTTATTCTGGCGATGCTACGAGACAGGGACCTTCCTGTCACCTTGCGCGTCTCTGCAATTTCGATCGCATCCAAGGCAGAGGCGGTGGCGCCATTCGCGATTCATCAATACGAGGCAGAATTGACGGGCGCGATGCTCGACATCCTCGAGCTGGAGCATATTCGAAGAACCGAGGCTATCTCCCAAAGACAAAAGGAAAACCCCGGGATTGAAGAGAGTGGGCCAACTGTCAGCACTCTGAAAAAGGATAATATGACAGGGGCCAGGTCAATTCTGGACGAAGAGGCGCTCAATGGGGAAGAAGCAACAAAAGGCGTAGACAATCGGCAATTGTACCAACCTCAACGAGCAGAGCTTGGTGACATCGAAATGGATACCAATCCGACGGGGGCTAACGCCAAAATGGCTCCGCTGCGCCGCTCTGCCATTCATTTCCTACGAACGGTCTTACAGCGACACCTTCAGACGGTGGTCGATCAGGGTAAGCGAGTATACACCGGCGGTGGAGGCGGGTTACGGGAATTTCCTGTTCGGAGGGCGAGCGCGATCCTGGGCTATCTGAGCCTACACGATGCGGATGGGATGGTCAACGTGATGGCCTCGGAGGCTGTAGATCTCATCTCAGAGATTGGCAAGGCGCGACTCTTCGGTGGCTACTGATGGGCTGAAAGCGCTGCCACGACGAACGAGCCCATGCGAGTTGATCCTCGCTTCTCTGTTCATTTATCGCCACGCACATGTCTTCGGCGTTGTCAGCACACCCCGGTGGCAGGTGCCGGCGTCGTGGGAAGGATTACCTGAATCGGCTTGTTTTCTTTTGTGCTTCATGTCGGGCGTGAACGCTATTCTTCTCTGAGTTCAGACCACGCGCCATGTTATATAGACAACAGAGCTCACAGTCGAGTGACCCACCTTTTGCTCCTCTTCCTCAAGGGCTCTCTACTCCTCCCCCTCTCCTCTCCTCCCACCTTCATTTTCACGACCCACTGTATCCATTAACGACCCGCTTGTGACGACACGATCTACGACACCTACTGTATCCATTAGCGCTATCACTTTTCATCGACGAATCAAGCTAACCATGCCTGCCTCGCGAAGCAACACCAAGGCCTCGAGAACCAAGCGATCCGACGAGTTTTCACCTGTTGAACTCGCTGGAGACGTCGACTGCACCACTCCAGCTGCTGGGAACATGTTGACCGAAGAACAGATCAAGCTGCGCAATATGATCCCCGCCTTGACTGTGAGTCCATAGGACATTCTACGAAATATCTAACATTCATCTAGCCCGCTCACGGACCCGAATCGACTGCCACCGCCATTTTGGCCGCGCTCTCCCTGGGCAGCCATCGTCCCAACTCGCACACTCGCCGCAAGTCGGATGGTCATGTCAATCGTCCACCGAATGCGTTTATTGTGTTCCGCCGCGCGCAGGTTCAGAACATGCCCGCCAATGTCACCCAGCACCAACAGCGCATCTCGAATCTCACTGCGCTTTTCTGGCGTGTTTTGACAACCTCTGAGCAGAACACATGGTATGCTCTCTCGGATGACATCAAAAAGTTGCACAACATCCTCTTCCCCGACTACAACTTTAACCCTCGCAACCCAGACGGGACGAAAAAGTCGACACTCCCTCGTGCAGGTCTTACACCCGAGAGACTCGAGTTTGCATGGAACGAGGCTCAATTGCTCATCCAAAAGCACACTGTCATGGGCGAGCACCCACCGGCGCCACCTGCATCGCTCACTGGCAAGATTGCCCGCCCCAAAGCTCCTCGCAAGGGACAGGGCACTCGTGCCAAGGAACGCCGTGAGCAAGAAGCTGCTCAACGCGCTGCTGCTGCCGCTCAGGCTACGGCAGAGGCCGCAGGCACCGGCGCCAGCAGCGTCTACTCGCCCGAGATGATCTCGTCCAATACCTTTGTGCAATCTTACTTTTCAACCGTCGACGAGGAGTCTTCAATTGCTTCTCCTCCAAGCGATTCGGCGATCGCCTGGCGGCCAGATTTCAGTCTCGAGGTGTGTAGGACCATTGGTAGAACTTTGTTTCGATCCTGATGGTTCATTAGGGATCTGTCTCTTCTCGCTCCAGCCCCACCAACTCTTGGACCGAATTGGTTGGGCCGCTTGATGCTGCTCCCGACGCGTTTGAAAACGGCTACACGGGCAATGACTCAGGCATCTCTACGCCTATCGTCGTCGAAGAGTACCCAATTGGTCACTTTGGCGCTCCATTCTCACACCAGACCTCACCATATGAAGGCCATATTCCAGTCGCGGTTAGTTTTGCTACGCGTCATTGATGACATAATTAACTAAGCAATGTTGGTTTTAGAACGCCCACGTCTTCGCCGAAATGAATGTGAGCGCCACTTCGTTCAACGCGCCCGCGATGCAAAAGCAAGTGCATCACTTCACTGTCACGCCATCGAATGATGGCTACACACACTATTACCAGCAACAGACCGGCCCCATGAATGCAGCGACTATCCTTGGCCCAAGCGAATTCTCCACCTCGATCACGGGAATGGCGAGTGGCCAAGTTGAAGCTCAGTACATTTTCCATGATATGGACCCTACTGCTACGTACATGGATATTCCAAGCACCTATGCCGCTACTGCCGAGTATGCTTGGTGAGCAGCAAACCTATGGAGCTCTAGTGACCTACCAATTGGATGCACCAATGTGGCCTTGTCCTGCCCTTAAAGTGCAACCCCACCCGACCCATGATTGCCTTCCTGACGAATCCGAGGTCCGCGAGCTCCGACGCAATTTCCCGCTCTCTGTCATTCGTCACCCCCTCCCCGATGCCCATTCTCTTAGTGATCGTAGATCTGCGCCGCAACCCTCTCTCCCCACTGTAGCCCTCGCCGCTAATACGATATCCGCTCACCTCTTCTGTCCATCTTCTGCCTTTTACTCTTCATATTCCTCCTCCCATCTCCGCCCCCGACACCGCGTGCTCTGACGAGTAGAGATGAAGTGGTTATCTATTCTCGGCCAGCCCTTGTACTGATGCTGATGCATCAGAGTGTAACGACCCTTTACGACCTCTTACGACATTGAATATAAACTCTTTTCCTAAAAGACTTCTTACAATCTCGTGTTAAGGCGTTGATGAATCATCCAGAAACGGTTGGGAAGATGGTTGACCATTGGGTCAATAATGCCGAAGCTGCCGGTTCTATGCTCGTGAAGTGCTCAAAAGGCCAGCGGGGGTTCGTTTGCTTCCTGCCCCTTGGCACTCTTAACCCCAACCCACAGTGACATTTACGATTTAAAAGCCTTTTCCCGACTGTTGAGGCGGTGCCATCGCAGCTTCAGGCCATAGAACTGAACGGTGCAAAGCACATTAACCACCATGGAGTTCGCATTTCTTACGCCTCCAGTGAGTCGCCATCGTCCCTCGCATAGTCACTGACCGCAACGGGTTGCTATTTACAGGAAAACGAGATAGAAGCTGACAAACGCGGAGTAATGGTGTCGATGAGTACAACCTTCTATCCTCGGGAGGATCATCCAACGGATTTGATCATCTTGACCTCGGACAATGTCTTCTTCTCGGTTCACACGTCTGTTTTGCTCGAGAAGTCGACAAACAAATTTGGTGGGCTCATCGCATCAGTTGACACCCAGTCCATCACAGGTAAGTCAAACTGATTAGACCTTTACTCCTACACGAAGCACCCCTTGCCCTTCTTTCGTCTTGTAGTAAACCCCCCTTGCTTTGAGATTGCGTTTCCCTCTATTTTCCCTCAGATACATTGACCGTATGTCCACAGTGCCAGAATCATCTGATTCAATCAATCTTCTACTACATGCGTTTTACAACTATGACCCCACAAACTATATCCCTACTCTTGCGCAGATATCGACCATGCTCTCTGCTGTTCCAAAATATGGCCTCGCGCCCGACGGACTATTCGCGCGAGGCACGCCATTCTTTAATCTGACGCTCAACCTCGCGCTCTCTTCTCCACTGGAGACGTTTGCCGTAGTCTGCCAGCACAACCTCGAGGAACTCGCAGTCGAGGTCTCGCACCACTTGATCGCAATCCCGTTGCACAACCTGACCGACGACCTCTGTGCACGTATAGGGCCCATCTATCTCCGCAGACTCGTCTTCCTACACCTTGGCAGGACGGAACGTCTCAAGAACCTCCTCCGTATCCCGCCAGCTGGTCACGAACCGAACCAGCAGTGCGATAAGATCGATCAGAAGCGAAACCTCGAGCATCTCTGGATAGAGGCCACAAGTTCCCTCGCCTGGGACTTGAATGCTAGCACCCCTGTCTCCCTCTTCCATGCTGTCCTCAGCCCGCTCGCGGACAAGGTCTCCTGTGTCGAGTGTAAAACGTCCTTCAAGGAGAGTATTCGCAAACTTATTGTCGACTGGACAATGGTCAAGACCACCATCTGACGGTCCAATCTCCAACAAACGCCAACTGGCTCGAGCTGTGGGCTGGTTTACCGTGCCATCGTTTCGTCGCTCGCGTCATCTATGTTTAGCTTTGTAACCTTTTTTTCTCAGTTTGTTTTCACGATCAGCAATCATGTCCGCCCCGTCGAATATGACCCAGAATGCGTGCCGCCTCCATGGAGCGAGTTTGCCCGCACCTGGATGTACTTACTTACAAGATCTATTCATCACCCCAATAAGATTGTTGATGTTTTGTCATGTACACCTATACCAAGGCAAGCCGTGGTCTTGTTGCAAAGTCGTGCTACAAACTCCCGTCACCCTCGATGTCCCAGTTGAGACGCCCATAGAGTAATGTGATAATTTCGTCAAGAGAATTGCAGTATCCGCGCAATGGCGCCCTATTCAGAGGAAGAAGCGGACCTACTCCGTTTGCGCTAGGTCAACGTTGAGTCCAAGACCACCATCCATCGTTCTAACTCACCGACGCGGTGCGGCCGCTCGCATTATTCGCCGCATTCTCGACCCCTTCCATTGCATCGTCATCCTCTCCGTCACCGTCACCCGTCGCATCGCCTTCGTCCTCATAGTCCTCGTCGTTCTCATTGTCTCCGGCGCTAGCCGTGTCGTTGACCTCCAAAGCTCCTCGCTCCCCCGTAGCCCCATCCGCTGCCTGCATGGAGATATCTTCTGATCCTGCTGTCCCACTCGCACTCGGTGCGACAGTTATAGACTTGGGTGCGAGAGGGACCGTATTCTGTCCCGACGCGATGTTCGACGCAGCAGACGCCGCAGAGGGTCCTAGACGTTGCTTCTCTTTTGCAAGGTCGGCTTCTACTTTTTCGAGTTGCTTCTGAACTTCGATTAATTGCGTAGCGGCTCCAAATACACGCTCGATGAGCTCGATATTTTCTTTGGTCGGCATGGCCAGCTTGGTCGGATACAGGTCCAGCTTGGAGAAGATTGTTGCAGGAGGTTGAGATTGCCCATCTGGTGGACTCATGTGCGCAGCCTGAAGATGGGATGCAAGGATAGGTTTCGGAACGGGGAATTTCGAGGAACGGGCATGGACCGCGGTGTGTGTATTCTTAGGGTTGATGAGTGCAGACCCTACAGGGGCCCGATAGATGTAGTGTTTTGCATCTACGTATGTAAATAGTCACCAATATTGAATTTTTGAGGTTTAGCATCGACATACCAAATTCGGCCTGCTGAGCAGGAGGCAGTTGCTGCCTTTGCCCAGATGCGCCGGCAGAATTGAGGGAAATGAGCATACTGGAGTGCGTTGGACTATCATTCCAGTCAATACTGTGTCCAGCAGGACCACCTCGTTTCTTCCTGCTGGCAGCGCTGTTGAGGCCACCAAGAGCGTTGCCCCAGGGACCTCCTTTGACACCTCGTATCTGTGGATCCAGGTTGAGGGGTGTTAAACGGTCATCGCGAGTGGCAATGTCGGGCAGCCCGGACTCGATGCCAGCAAGTAAACGAAGTAGGGCATTGCGCTGGGCAGTAAAGACGGTAGAAGTTTGCGAAAGTCGAAGAATTTCTGTGTAGAGGATGGTCTCTTCCGCCATTTGCTGTGGCGTTCGATCCCAAAGTGCAGCTACATGCTGACGACGGGCTTTCTCTTGCGCTGTAGACATTCAACATCCACGCAACGCCATCACTGTATTTCCTACCATAATCGAATCCATACTGTAGCAGAAGGCTTTCGCCTGCCTTGACCTTTTCTGGATCATCTCCGGCACGTGCACGAATAAGTTTGCGAACAATGCTGTAGTAGCGACCTTTTAGGTCTTCAAGTTCTCGCTTGATTGCCGGTTGCTCCTCTGTGCCTAGGTATGGTCAGAGTAGCATTGTAGTGTGAATGAGCAACCGACCTTGGTACTCGTACCGATCCAAGACAATGTAAAAACGTAGCTTGTATTCATGAAGCAGCACAAATAGATAATCTGTTTCTGCCTTTGTCCAGCCCGACTCAGCAGAGTCTATTAGACAATAAGCAGGCTCCCTGAGTTGACGTGAACGTCATACCTTCGAGATGCGCCGCGTACTCTTCGTCCGTGTAACTGTAAACAATGTCGACTTTGGGTGTATACTTTGCAAACGGATAAGGCCCGTCGTCTTGAGCCATGGCATCTTTCTCTACATCAAATCAAAATTAAAATAAATAGGAAACTCGATGGAACATGTGAAAGAAAGGCACAATAGTCACCTTGTGAGTTCATGTATTCATCCTCCTCGTCGTTTGCCCCATCCTTGAACGGTACTTTCGACCAATGTCTGAGCTTGAGACCGTTTGCTCCCTCTGGTTTGCTTGTATCGTCTCTCGCGGTATTCGAGAATTGCTGCAATCTCCTAACAAGACATGCTCGTTGTTGAGTGGCCATCGACTTGGATAGGGGGACGGGCCGGGACTTGTCCCGCCGAACCGTGAGAGCTTACCACGTAAAATTTCTCTTCTCTTTGGTATCATTCTGCCCCGGTGCGGGATATGGTAGCAGCAATAAAGTTGGAGCGGAGAATGGGTGAGCCAAGTCTTCGAGCGTGGATGTTGGCTGATTAACTGCTGCCACGTGTATTGGTTTACGTATATCTTGACGTTCTGGAGGGTTTACGAGCGAGTCGTACGTGTTCCACATGGCTTGAAAGAGCGTGGCCGACTTTGAGTTTCTTGTCCAACTGGTTGCCATCAGGACTCAAGAGGCTTTCGCCGAGAACGGATGTAAGTGAATGATATGCTACGTTCCTCGATATAAAGCAATATACAGCTACAGAGATAAAAGCGGGCGCAAGAAATGGAGCCGAGATTACTTGTCCTCCGTGTCCAAGGTAAAGACTTCGTGCTCCAATGGTTCTCCCCATCGCGAGTCGAAGAGAAGGATTTGAGCTTCCAAGTCGACGTCGCTCTCAATTAGGCTGTCGTTGACTTTACCGACGACGAGCACAAAGAACATCCAGAATCCAAATATCTGGATGATATATGCGATGAAAACAATCACATCCAACTTTCGGTCGCTAATGTATCTATTAAGCTGTTAGAGCGCAGCAAGCAGAGTAACAAAGAGGCACGCACGAAAGGATTCCGTCAATGATATAGAGCAATGGAGAGCAAGCCAGAGATCCAGTGGCTGCGATGAGCCACCAGTCGAGCTTAGTACGAGCCTCTCTGTAGTATGTCATGTATTGAGGGATATCGGCAATGCAAGCAAGCCATAGGGAGACAGCTGATGCCAATTTGCAGGCATCTTGTGCGCTAATGGAGACAATATCTTGGAGGGAGAAGTAGTCAATGAGCGTTGAAAGCCATCCAAAGGTGGTAGCGGCAGCGTTGTCGGTTTGTGTCGACTGCTGGCCGATGGTGACCCAAGAAAATGACGTGTGATTGAATCGGTATGCGACGAGGAAGGCGGGGATCAGGTATTTGCAGCACTCCTTGACGATGGCGATGAAGTTCTTGCGACATCCACATTGTGACACATTGGCCTTTTGGGCTTGAGACAGGATGACCTAGGGTCATGGGTAATTCAGACGTGTGCACACGCAACACCAGGTCACTTACAAGAATGGTCAAAGTTGAAAGGACGAGTGCGACCTGCATGAAGCTTTGGCAGAGCAGTGACGAGGCCATCTCATAATCCACAGGAGCCTCGGAGATATTCGATCCCACATCCGCATATCGTAGGCTGAATACGATCATATGCAGCCATTGCGTAGCCGCCGACTGTCGAAACTAGGTCAACTTCAAAGTATAACGGACGCATGAAAGACTTACAATTCCCGAGGTTCCTTGCTTTCTTATTCTGAGGACAAGGAGTGGAAAAGAAGCGAGCAACGCAAGGTCGCCTATTCTCAGTGGTCAACCGCAGACTCCGACGGCGGCAACTGGCTACTTGCCTAGACTGCGAGCCAAGGATGTCGAACGCGAGTTCATAGTAAACGAGAGACTGTCTTTGGGCAAGACGAGCAAAGCGGACGCAAGTATTCGCGGACGAGGTCGAGTCCAGGTCGCTGGATGGCAATGGCAACCATTTTGACACAGCTGGTCGCTTGCAACACCGCGCGCGGAACAAGTAATTGAGTCCTCATATTCCTAGTGATTTCAATAACAAATCTTAATTGCACTCTAATACTCCGCAAACACCTCGCGGAAGATTTGAACTTGCGCTGGAGAGGTGATAGCAAACACAATTTGGTTAATCCCTTGCCAGTGCTCTTTTCTACCTCTCTTATTTCCTACGAGTACCGTGCGCCAGAGTGCTGCAACTTCCTCTACTGGGTTTCCGTATGCCCCGCAGCCCCAAGCTCCCAGCACGACCTTGGTAGCACCATGCCTACAAAGAGCTCTCATGAGGAGTCGCATCTTTTCCAGTACCAGATCCTTGACAGAGGGGTCCGCCCAGGTGACCTTGCCGTCCATCTCTATCAGATCTGGAGCACGCGGCATGGCGGCAGTCGCCACATCGACATGGATCCAATCTTTCTTCGGAAGATCGACTCCATCCACACCGCGGAACACGAGAACGTCGGGTGTATAAACGACGGATAGCTCGGGGAGCCGGTAAAACTCGTCGCGCAGTGCGGGATAGAGCGTTGTCCGCACGCACAAAAATTCTTCTTGGGCAGATGATCCAGAGAGGACGCCACCACCAGGACGAAAACTCGAGGCCATATTGAGGATTGCGATTCGCTCATTGTTAGTCTGTCGGTGATTGTAAAGCCAGATTGCCGCGGAAATGGTATCCGTATTCCAGGTCTGGATGGATGATAGAGTGTGCTCAGGCCCGCTGGGGGCTGGCAGTGGGGGAAGCTCGCGGTAGAGAACCGTGTTCGTGATACCGCTGCGAGCTGTGGCATCCCCACGAAGGAGTACAGGAATCCTTTTGTTGATAGTTTCTTTGGCCCATTTTGCACGGTCATCGCGGCTCATGCCTGGCCCAGCATGTGTGGTCATTGTTGGAGATATTGGAGAAAGTGAAAAAAAGTTCAAATTGAGTTGAACCGCGCAAGCCTCCCCTTGCCCTTGAAATTGACGCCGAGGTCAATACGGCTTGAACCGTTTGCCCTGTCTCTGTTCCACCTTCTGTTGGTCCGCCTCAAATGCCTTCTTGAGTGCAATTTGTTCTAAGCCCGTATTAGAGAGCGCGTCCTCATATTGCGAGATACTCACCCTTGATTCGCTTCTCCCGAACCTGGAAAGCATAGAACCCTTCTTTCGAAGTAGTCTTTTTCTTTCGTTTCCTTCCCCCATTCTTCATCTCCTGCATAAACTTCTTGCTTGCCACCCCGACCCCACCACCCAGCGTCTGGCCGTAGGCGCCTCCACGTGTGACAAGTGTAAACCCATCCTCATCTACAATCGCCTCCCCTTTACGGTACTTTGAGTTGCGTTTGCTCGCCTGAGCCTGCTTGTACTCAAATACCTCCATCGACGAGTCGGCATGCTCTTTAATGGCGGTGAGAGGCGGACGAAGCGCCTTGTGCCGAGCAATATAATGCGACAGCCCTGATGGTTCTGCAGAAGATGTGGCTTTGAACTTGGGCCACTTCAGTGGGAGGGAAGCAGCGGGTATCGCGAGGGAGGCATTGAGATGCTGCGGTGACGCGAAGACGATATGACCGACACTTCCCGTGGGTCTGAGGGCGCGCAAGGCAGCGATAGGCAGCGGTACAACCTTCGGGGCGACCTTTGCCTCCCTTTCCACTTTTTTTCGTTGCTTCTTGGCTTGAACATCCTCGCCATCACTATCATCTTCATCCATACCGTTTTCATCTGCGTCTACGTTTCCCTCTTCTTCTTCACTAGTCTCATCTTCTTGCTCTAAAATTGCTTGCACCCGATCGTGGCCCGCAAAAGAGACGCGTTCGACCGTCCCAAACTTGCCGAAAAGAGTTTTAAGCTCTCTTTCGGTCGCGTCTGGAGGAAGATTGACGACGAAAAGCGTCCTGTCTGCCGGCAGAGGATCTACAGCCCCCGGTTTTGGGCGCGAGGCGTGTGCACGGATGTACATGTAATGAGTGGCTTGAGATGAATAGGTTATTGGCAAAACATGAAAGTCTGAGATTTTCTGCATCGCGCCAAGGAGATGGTCGGAAACAAGACAACTGGGATTGGACAAACAAGAAGCTACACGATCTGCAGTAATAGTCACAAGACAGTATCTCATCCTTACGAGTAGACATAGACGCGATGAAACTCGCATGGTTGTGATCCAATGGCTTGGCCCTCACCAGCTTCGACAGGGATCCAGTGCGATTCATCTTCTGGGTCTAAACCAATGAAGACTTTGCAGTCACCATTAGAGTCTATCTGATGATGCTGGCCGCAGATTCCTTGACCGAAAGGATGGGGGAAGAATTCATCATCCTCCAGCTCGGTTGGATATTCTGGATATGCGGCCCTCGCTTGGGCGATCTCGTGTGCGTCTGCTTTTAAGAAAGGGTGGTAGAGCGCATCTCTTGCGGTGATTCGTTTAAACGAGAAGGGCTCGAGGCATTTTTCCAAGAGGTCGAGTGCGTCAACGACAAGCTTTCTCATCTCCTCTTGTTCCCTCTCTTCTGGCGTCTCCGGAGGCTCTAGCCGTACGGGGAGCGAGTCGAACAGTTTCGGATTGAGCTTGGTTACAAACTTCGACCACGGTATGCGATCTTTGATCTCGGGAATGTTTGTAGAGAAAGTACGACCTAACCTTGGTAAGCTTAGGTTCAGCAGATGGGCAACAAATCTCACAGTGTATGGCGGCGCATCGCTCCATTGCTCCTCTTCCAATAATTAGGGCCTGTTCCATTAGGGCGTGCATATCAGACGGTGCCGAGAAGATTGGACATTTCTGCGTCAGGAAGAAAAGTAGGATAGTACCAGCAGACCATATGTCAATGGCTGTATGGGGTTAGCTTTCCTAATTTGAACTTCGCCACCACGAACCAGGGGTTTGCGCGTTACATTTGAAGAGGACCTCAGGGGCTCTGAATCCACGTGTGCCCGCTCTGTTAGCCTTGAGGCCTGGTCTGTAAGGGGTGAGTACAAGTCGAGTGTTTCCCCGAGACTGACCTGACATCGTCGGTAGGCCAGCCCACGTTCTCAGGCATCTGTTCAGAGCGCGCTATAGACATTTTGACGGCTTTTCGCATGGCGAGAACGTGCTTCTGACCCTCTCTCAATCGACCATGTGGGTATTTGGGTGTTGGGCCAGTGTGCAAACAACCTGTCTCTTTTTCAACACCATCCGGTTCGTAATCAAAAACCTGTTGGTTTATAAGTCTACAAGCATCTAAATAGGCTTCTATGTACCTCTGCAAGGCCAAAGTCGAGCATTGTACCCGTCATAGTAAGAGGATCGAAGAGAAAGTTGGCAGGTTTGAGATCGCGATGTATAATTCCTCGTGCGTGAATGTCCCTCAGTGCCCGGAACATACAACGGAAGTATTCCCGGACGAGCTTGATGTTTAGAGTGCTCATGAGCTCCTTCAATACTTGTCAGTGATTACCTCTTAAGCGCCCAGCAACGCACCTTTATATCCACGCTACGTTGGTAAGGCATAACCGCGACAATCTGGTCCTCACGTCGGTATGCAGTGATAATTTGGGCGACGTGACGACAGCCACGACAAGTCTCCATGATCAATAATTCGTTGAGGATCCGACGAGGAGAAGATGTGACAAGAATCCGCTTGATGGCTACATAAACGGGTTTCGAAGGATCCTGCTGGGCCTCTGGACTCTCCCAAAACCGATTTTCCAGGTCGTGATAATGAAGATCTATCGCCTTGTAGACAGAGGAAAACGTTCCTGTCTCATGTTAGTGCAAAGTACCAGGGCGAGCATATCGCCTACCGGTGCCCAGGCGATCTACGATTTCGTAGCTGTTCTTCAGTTTAGGAACTTTGAGATAGAGCTCCTGAATCTCATCTTCTATATCCTGTTGATCTTCTACTGGCTTTATCCAATAATTCAACTCGTCGTCCGATGTGTGTGGCACAAACTCTCCATCGCTTAGCTCCAAGGGGGGTTCATCCTCAAACTGCGAAAGTTCACCTTCATATGTCCATTCTTCTTTTGCAGCTTTGGTATCGTGAGATTTGAGGTATACGACGGTAGATTCCGTAATGGGATCCAAATGCCCAAGGTCGTGCTCAACCAGCATCTCGTCGTCAATTCTCTCGGTACCATGGATCGTAACGTCCTCATGGCCCTCCGATGGAATATCTTCTTCTTCGTCGAGCAGAGTTTCTCCATCTTTCATACGATAGCCCCCAGTTTCAGACTCGACCCACATGTCGTCGTCAATTTCAACCGTTTCTATATGAATCATTGGTTTCGTTATCGTAGTCTGCTTTGCTTCCTTGAGCACGACCTCTGGTCTCTTGGATGGCCGTGGAAGAGCCAACTCGTCATCACTCTCGTCATCCCCCGTAGGAACAATTTGCTTCTCTGGTCGCTTCTTGCGTGGAACAGCCTGAGTGTGCGACTTGGGCTTCAATCGTGGTAGAGGGGAGGGAGCATCGGACAAAGGCGAAGATTTGGTTGGTGAAACAAGAGGATCGGAACTTTCCTCCATCCCGTTTGCAACCTGCTGTCGTGTCGTTTGGCTTTGGGTCTACCTTTTGATTTTACGGTTGGATGCGGTCGAAGACAACGTGAGCTACAATTTGGACCGTTGCACAACCAGCCGTTAGAGGCGACTAGTCTTCAAATATTCCGAATAATGTCCATAAACTGGGTAGAATTAACGGCATCAAATTCTCCGCTACCAATCAGCCAGGAGAGGTTCCTAGGAGGCTCTGGCCAGCTGTTCAACGCAGACCTCAAGATTTCTATGCCCCCAGAATCTTCCTCGGATGCTCCGACGAAGATGATAGAGCTCCAAGCTTCTGGCGTAGCCTACCTAAGTGATATGCGGGTAAGCGCCTAAAGCCACTCGATTGCCGACTAATCAAGGTCCTTGTATGCCCCTTTGCATGCGTGAATATCACGTCTAGTTTGTTTTTGTAGCGAAGAACCCACGTATGACGCCAGGCCCCTCGTCCTTTTCGAACTTTTCCGTGGCGTACTCCAACATTCTAGGGACCAAATACGAGCAACCGTGGTTTGGTGGAAACTACATTGATATCACTGTACGTGCGGTGCAGGATGGGGGGTTGACCTCTCGTTCGGTGATCAAATGCCAACTTCGAGTCGATGGTGGCGGGCTGTACTCGTTCAGCGCTGCGCTCGACCAATGCATGAATGCGGCTCGTGCTAAGCAGCAAGAATTTAACACTCTTCGTGCGTACTGGATAGAGGCGGATCTGTGGTAACTCACCGTTCATCCAGCTGTCTACACGCCTCCACAACCCGCGAATGCCTCTACTCCTAACGAGTTGCCACCAGCATATACCATCTAATATTCCCAGTTCTGTATTGTATGGACTGTGTACACTCGAACATTGAAATCTCGATGTGGAATCTAATCTTCGTCATCTTCGTCAAACCACCTCTCCTCATCATCTCTAGACTGCTTGTCCCATCTACTGTCCCAGTCGACGGCGTCATAGTCAAAGTTCTACAAAGAGTCATGAAAGTTTGACACTCAAAGATACCCGTACCTCCAAAAGGCCATCAATTAGCCTCTCTTTCAAGACGCGCTCAAACACCCGTCGCAATTGTTCATTATCTCCACTGTTCCATCCGCGTTCGCCACCGACAACGTCTTGGTCGTCCATCTCCTCCTCCTCCTCGTCACTCCCCTCGAGCTCCTTTTCCCTTTTCAGTACCCCTCTTCCTTTCTATACTCTCGCAATCGCTCGCCTCTCTGCGCTCTCGTCTCTTCGCCAACTCGCTCCTCTTCATATCCGCCAAGTAACTTTCCCAGTCGATTTCGTTCCCCAGCCAACGTTTTACCGGCTAGAAAGTTACTCTCTGCCCACGTCTCTTCATCCCTTCGGCCCTCTTTGGCCTGATCTCGCCAATCTTCTCTGAGGACGGCACCGGCTGGAGCTACTTCGTCCCATAGTGTAACCCATTTGTTTCTTGCGACAGGAAAAGATAGTTGGGCAGGGGCACTCGAATGATAATCCAATCGTCTATTGCGAATAGCGGGTATCTTGGACCGTTCGAGTGGTGTCAGGACATCGGAAAAGCATAGCTGAAGTAAGGACGGGGGTAAGATGCTGATGTATTGTTTGAGAAAGCCTATTGGATCTTTGCTTGGACTGGGCTCGTTGTCTGCCGGCAAAGACAGATACCGCAAGATCTTTGCATCACGTTCAGCCACGCTTAGCTCTTCTACTTGCGTGATGGATGGCATGAGTACTAATTTGAGGTCGTGGTTGAGCTCAAGTTTGGTCATCTCTTTGTCAGACTCGCCCATATCCAATGGTTCTCTGAAGAAGTTGTAGGGATTAGTCAAGTTCAATTAAAATATAATCGCGAGATTAGTTTCAACGATATCTCGACGTGCTGCCACCGAGTCAGCGGCTTGGCTCCTTCATCTCATCTTTTCTACGGTGAGCAAAATGTCTTTTACGAGTATGAACGAATATCTCAGACGGATTTTCAGATCTAGAATGCTCCAGCTCCTGCGATCTACGTTGCAGCGCCTGTTTTCTCCTCGTTTTCTATCTACCTCGAGCACGTCTAGCCTTATGGAGACGAAAACGAAGAAATTACAAGAGACTTCGGTTCTCTTATGCGATCCACAGAGCATCACGTTCCAACCCAATTCGACGACGCCCGAGATCACGTCGCCGTCGACGCTAGACGCCCTTCAACACGCTTCCGGCATCCTCCACTCGTCCTCTCTCGTCGTCTTTCCGACAGAAACTGTTTATGGGCTTGCAGCCAATGCGCTCTCCGCTACCGCGACAAGTCAAATCTTTCAAACCAAGGGCCGACCAGCTGACAACCCGTTGATCGTACACGTCTCATCAGTCGAGATGCTCCGAGATGTGATCGACCCGTCATTTGTGATACCTCAAACCTACGCCATTCTCATGCGTGAATTCTGGCCGGGACCTCTGACACTTCTTTTCCCCGTCAAACCATTCTCAAATGAACACGAAGGGAACAAAAGTGGCGTGCCACGCGAAGTTACAGCAGGACATTCGACGGTCGCGGTACGAATGCCAAGCCACCCAGTCGCGCGAGCGTTGATCGCACTCAGTGGTCTCCCACTGGCGGCTCCGAGTGCCAATACGAGTGGGAGGCCGAGTCCCACGCGGGCAGAGCACGTGGTGGACGACTTGGCGGGCAAGGTGCCGCTCATCCTCGACGGTGGGCCATGCGACGTGGGCGTAGAGAGCACTGTCGTGGATGGATTATCAGGAAACGAAGGCGAAATTCGTATCCTGCGACCGGGAGGTGTGACTGCTGAGCAAATGCAGCGCGTCTTGGGCACAGGGGTACGCGTGCTTGTACACCGACGGGACTATCGAGATGAACAATTGGAGCACCAACCTACGACGCCAGGGATGAAGTATCGACACTACAGTCCGACGTGTCCGGTCTACCTGCTTCTCGCGACGCCGTCGGAGGAAGCAATTTCGCTGGACCAATTATTGCAAAACGTCGCGCAGGACGTAAAGGCGGTGAAGACGTTGGAATTAGGTCTGCTCTCGCTTACGGGCTCGAAGCTGACGGACGCACTGGTGAAACAGAACGCGACGCTGGCAAACAATGTCCAGATAGAGTGGCGTGTGCGAGCATTGGGACGTGTCGGAGATGATGCTGGTGTGGAGCAGGACCTGTCGGAGCCTGCTCGGAGATTGTTTGACGGCCTCATCTCGTTGGACAAGTTGGGTGTTGCAGCCATTCTGGTCGAAGGCGTCGAAGAGGAGCGAGAGGGGCTTGCGGTGATGAATCGGGTGCGCAAGGCGGCAGGGCAGACGGTGTCTGTGCGGATATAGGGGCTTGCTGTGGCGGCATGCAAGGAGTTGTGAGGCAGATAAATGACCACTAGTTATACCTTTTTACTTTGATTTGTCGGTGTGAGTACTGAACGATGGACATGCTCTGGCGGCCGGAGGGGCGGGTCCAGGGTTAGGGTTTAGGGCAATGGGTCTTGCCTGCATAAAAGGTGGCCAGTCGCGCCAAACTTGCAACTTGAACCCCGCTCCTACTTACCTTTGAAGCACAACTCATCACTCCTCATCGTGAGTCCCGTTCTCAACGCTGCACACCGCGTTCTCCCTCGTCCTCGTCGCCCTCGTCGTCGTTGCCAGCGTCGACGTCGACAAGCGCGTCCGCGTGTGCTTGCTCCTCGTCTTCCCACAGACGCTCATCTCGATTCTCTAGATGTCTCGTGAAGATTCCGTCTATCTCGCCAAGCTCGCTGAGCAGGCTGAACGCTACGAAGGTCCGTGCTCTCCATCTCGTCCCCGACGCGTCTGGATCCTTCCCATCGCGCATTCCTTCTCCCCAGCTCTCTAGCACGCTTCTCTCGTCTGTCCCATCGCGTCTCCTCCTCGTCTCCGATCCTCGTCATCGGGCCCCCAAAACAACTTTGCTCACACGAATTGATATCCAGAAATGGTCGAGAACATGAAGACCGTCGCGTCCTCGGACCAGGAACTTACCGTCGAAGAGCGCAATCTCCTCTCGGTCGCCTACAAGAATGTGATTGGTGCCCGCCGTGCCAGCTGGCGCATCGTCTCGTCCATCGAGCAAAAAGAAGAGTCAAAGGGCAACGAAGCCCAGGTCACCATGATCAAAAAGTACCGCTCAAAGATTGAGAACGAGCTCGCAAAGATTTGCGAGGACATTCTCGAAGTCTTGGAGAAGCACCTCATCCCCTCTGCCGCCTCTGGCGAGTCAAAGGTCTTTTATCACAAGATGTACGTCTGCTCTTTCCTTGATCCTCGGTCGATTAGGCTTTTAAGCCCCCCACTGCGGGCTCGACACTGCCACCGCTTTCCTTTTTGTCGTTGGACACTACTTACGCCCAAAATTTATAGGATGGGCGACTACCACCGCTATCTCGCCGAATTCGCCACTGGCGACAAGCGCAAGGAGAGCGCAGACAAGTCGCTCGAGGCCTACAAGGCCGCTTCTGACGTCGCCGTTACCGAGCTCCCACCGACGCACCCCATCCGACTCGGTCTCGCCCTCAACTTCTCCGTCTTCTACTACGAAATCCTCAACTCGCCCGACCGTGCATGCCACCTCGCCAAACAAGCGTTTGACGATGCCATTGCCGAGCTCGATACACTCTCAGAGGAGAGCTACAAGGACTCGACCTTGATCATGCAGCTCCTCCGTGACAACCTGACTCTCTGGACGAGCGATATGCAAGAAGGTGGTAAGTAGCCTGATTCTCATTGTCATTTCGTTTTCTCACTCCTACTTATAGACAAGGGAGAGGAGAAGGTCGAGTCGGGCGAGGCTGCCCAAGACGACTAGACGCGTCTATTATTTTGACCATCCCTGCTCTCTCTCATTCTCCGGATTCGCTCATCCCCCTCCCTCTGCATTTGTGCATTTTTTGGTCTTTATCCGCCCGCGCCCGGATCTCTTCTACCACGCCGCCGTCGGTCTCGTCTCGTGGCCGATCTCTCTTTTTTTTTCTCCCCTACGCACCCACTAGAGCCATTTGTCGTCCTTCAGCCTCTGTCCATTTGTCGCCCCTCATCTGGGTCCGTGTGCGTTGGTCGTCTCTCTTGCGATAGTGTGTACCCTTTAGTAAAGTGAAATCGAAGAATTGAAGAGAAGCATGATATCAAATCCTCAGTCCTGTATTCAAGATGTATGGTCCAGGAAAGGGATCTATTGGCAGGCAAGAAATACGTCGACAAGGAAACGGCTACTTTTGCTGCGCCTTGTAGATGGGATTCTTGACCTCGTGAATCGGTAGTTGACCCTTTGGAGTGCCAGGAATCGTCTTGCTTAGACCCTGAACGACAAGAATGTCAGTACGAGTTTGTGAAAGGCCAGTAATGCTTGCGGACCAGTTTAGTAAACATGCATGCATTCAGAGGTCGTTCTTCTTTCCTGCACGGGTAGAATTCCTATCAATCAGATTCAGTTACACAGCAACTTGGATGGTATTCAAAGGCCAAACCTGGTTATTATTGTCTAGACACTTCCAGTGGGCTTCGAATTCTTGTGCGCAGGCAGCTCGCATCTTTTCTAGTCTGCATCCTCGGTCAATAAAGTGCTTCGTTGGAGGTCAATAAGAAACGTACAGGTCTGCGGCACAACGAGTTACTCTTCTGCCTTCGAGAAGACATTGCTCTGGCTTGTTTTGCGACTTGCAGAGCATAAAGTCCTCTAGAAGGACAATTAGCGATTGTGCCCATGGCTCGTGAAAGCGAACAAGGGGGATTGAGAAACGAGATAACGAGAAGAAAAGTGAATTAATAAGAAGAAAAGGTGGTAGAATAAGCATTCCCGTGTCTCGTGAGCCACGACGAGTGACGGATTCGACAGCAACGCACACAGCGAGGACGACGTACCGTTAAACTCTTTGCACTTTGCTCCAATAAAGAAACTGGCGCTCTTTAATGGTGCACTCGTTGCGCCAATCTCGTCTACGGGCGGGACATGCTTTGGCATTGGCACGGGGTTGTTGTAGGGTGTACCCCTGTCCGGGACTCCATAATGACTCATGATATAATTCCCTAGACTTGTCTGTCTAAGCCTTGAGAGCGCGTCTAGACTGTCCTGGCGGCGTCGGAGTGGGTCAAGGTCGAAACCAAGTTTGCACCTCTTCGTCTTTGGCCTCGACGCCCGATAATCCACAAAAGCGATATAAATTACTGCTATACGGATAATGGTACACTATCTATCGTGTTATTACTACACACTGACCTCGGTGCATTTGGCGCGCTAGTATCGAGGACGATTCAAAGCCGTTCAGTTGATGGTCAAGACACACAAGGTACGTGTCATTTATAAGGATTTATATCCATATCTAACAAGCCGTTCATCTGGATCGTCCTTCGCCACACCTCTTTGCACACCCTCGATGCGAAACGGAATCTACGTATCCACGATGGAATACAGACGACCATCTTCTTTCCATGTCCGCAGGAAATGACCTTCAACGAGGCGAAAGAACGCGTCTTATCAGCCCTCACACAGTTTCCAAACGAAACCGATGTTCCGAGTGTGAATTCGACAAATGATTTTGAAATCTGCGTCGGTCGGTTGACAAAAAAGGCTTGTTACCTTTCTCCTTGGCCATGCCACGATACACTCACACCGCATCTCGACAGACGACAGACGGCGCTGGATCGAGTAGCGGATCAAAGCTCGAGTTTGAGATTATCGATGGCGAGAAGCGGATGCGAGACGTGTTCAACAAACCTTGGGAAGTGTGCTACCTCAAGTTTCGAAATGCTGAGGGTATTTGGCTTTTTCTCGACGATTCAATCAACACTAACAATGTCATAGGTTCCCTACTACCCGTAAAAGTAAAGTTTGCGACGCTGGTCGAAGACGAGCCCGAAGAAGAACCACAAGAGTAACTTATTGTCGAACAGACTCGTGAATCTATTCTCATCTGCACCCTTAAGCACCGCGTTTGAGTCAATAATGCTTAGAAGAAATTAGCTACATCGTCCTATATCGGTGGTGTAGACATCCTATGATCGCTTGCTCTTTGTAGATCCAATTCGTAGGTCAACGCGTCGGAAGAATGCCGCTAACAAGAAGAATCCAAACATTGCAGTGCCGACAGCCAATGGCTTTGCGAGATGTGCGCGAACAGGAACGGTATATGTCGCCTATGAACAAAATCAGTCAATGCCACCTAATATACGGGACACGGCGCACATAGATGACTCCAGTATGTTGGTCAGTCAGCTTAGAAGATCGAAGGACCACAGCTGGTCGTCCAATAGTGTCCAGATATGTGACGTGGGTGAAGCGCGACGTCGAGTCGACATCAAACGGCGGGAATACCTCGACGTTTCTGCATTTTGTCAGCTCACATCCAATTGAACCCACAGAAAGGACGTACTCGGCTCCTTCAGGGAAAACAATTGTGACGCTTGCCTCGTCAACGGCAGCACCAGTAATAGGGGTCATAAATGGTACACCAATCACATATTTGCCCGTCTTGCTGTCATATTTCGCAGAGTCCCCTAGCGGAGCATCCCAACCCAGGGTATAGGTGTAATTCCATCCGCCAAGCAAGGGATAACGTGGTCGAATCTCTAAGAACGATGGCATTGGACGCTTCTTTCCGGGTACCTTTGGCGACGCGCGGTAGCGCGAAGTGGTTACATTACCAATTGAGTCGTAATAGTATGGTGTGTGGATGCCTGGTGGAAGTTGCAAAGGAATATGTGTGAGGACCTGGTGCTGAACCTTGTTAAAGTATTTGGCCTGCTGCATCTCCAAACGCGAGAAGTGGCCTTTGAGTCTAGCAAAAATTCAACATCTTGTCCGCGCGAACCATTGGAAAAGGCAACTCACTCTGGTCCGTCGTTTCGAATGTGGACATTGTCTTGAATGTTGAGATTGTCTCCCCAATGACTTATCTCTGCCCAACGGTCGAGCGAGACAACAGAAAGCACGGGCGTCTCATATTCGTAGTGCACCGACAGCAGTTGCTGATCTTCCTTTGCGAAAAACTTTCCCGTAGTGGGCGGTAGGTCGTCAAATGGACCATAGGTGATGACTGCCCCACTGCGGATTCCTCTCGCCTGTTCCTTTGAGCCCTCTGGAGCATAATTCGACAGCGCTTCCGGCGCAGAGTAGGATAAAACTTTTGGTGAAGGTAGTCTTCATGCATCATATTAACAAAACGTCCATATTTTAAGTAAGTTGGCGTACCTAATTTTGGTGCGCTCCGTGAGCGTTTTGTAGGGAGAGAGGACATATGCTTCGGTAGTGAACAAGAGGCATTGGGGATCTGCTTGCTTGATAGATGCTGGATATGCTTTCGAAGCATGCGCAAGGATCGAATTGACGACGAGCGTGGCAGTTGCGTTCTGCGCTAGCGGCGGTAGTTCCACAGTATACAGGTATGCATTACTTTCATCATCAAAATGAGCATCTCTTCTACTATTCTAATAGATAAACGGACCTGGTCGGATCAAATCCATGTTTCTCGACGGCCAAATTCTGCGCGCCGCCTTTTAGCTTGACCTCTAACAAGGCAGTCCGTTGATGTTCTAGCTCTGAGAGTGCGAGTTCATATACGTTTGGACCGCCGTGGCCAAGGGCCTTGACAGCAATCGTCGTTGTGACGTGGGTCAACGATCCGCCAAGCTCGACCGTCCGCTGGATGTTCGTATTCTCGAATAAATGTCGAGAGCTTGAGGATGCTGCGTTTGTGGTGGCCGCCAACGAGGCCGCTGCCAGCAGCCAGTAGACGAAACCCATAGTGGAAAGGTCAAAAGTACGAGGCCGGCTCAGCTCGTCCAAAAATCTGTATCTACTTGCATCTTAAGACCTAGAATGGGCTTATGCTTAGGCAGGCAATCTACAATCAACAGTGTGTATTGGCTGTTCGTTGAGAACAGTAGACAGATACAGGGAGAAACGGCAGGACAAGGCTGCCTAACCCCGATGTGTTGAAAGCACCAGGGCGACGTATCGGCAAACGGTCAACCATCCGGGCAAGAAATATCAACACGAGTGTGCACCACGAGACGCATCATCATCCCACTCGTCGTCGCGAGCACATAAAGAACGAGCGGCCCTAAGAGGCTGAAGCATTTTTGTGGATTTAAAAGGAGAGAATGAGGGGGACACCAAAATCGATCCTGTCGGCGCACGTAATAATAGCCAAGTCCACGTTTTTTTTTCGCAGGAATGCATCCTCGGTTAACGGAGAGATGAAGCAGAAGCGAATAAGGGTGCAGCACGTTGAATGCTACCGTGAAGATTGGATGCGTGACAATAAAGAAACGAGTCGTCGGAGTCGTGAGATGCTTCCGCGAGGGCGCTGTTGAAGCGCAAAGCCCAGTGAGGGCTTAGGCGAATTCCTCTCTCGCCCAGCGAGCGGCTGCGACGAGGTTCTTGAGGGACGCTGCAGAATGATGAGTACTAATCATAGCTACAGGTCATAGAATACAGTACCTTCAGTCTCCTTCCAACCACGCGTCTTCAGACCGCAGTCAGGGTTGACAAAGAGGAGGTCGGCGGGGAGGAGGTTGAGCATGGCCTTGATGCGGTCCTTGATCTCCTGTTCACCAGGCACACGAGGCGAGTGGATATCATAGACACCAGGACCGATTTCATTCTTGTAGCCAAACTGCTGGAAGGCGTTCAAGACCTTGAGGTCCGACTTGGAAGCTTCGATCGAGATGACATCGGCATCGAGGCGTTGAATGGACGGGAAAATGTCGTTGAAGTCTGAGTAGCAGAAGTGAGAGTGAGTCTGCGTCGAATCTTCAACGCCGGACGTGGCGAGGCGGAACGAGTCGACAGCCCACGTGAGGTAGTTGTCCCAATCAACACGGCGAAGAGGAAGACCCTCACGAATAGCCGGCTCGTCGACTTGGATGGCGTAGATGCCTGCCTTTTCGAGATCGCACACCTCGTCACGGAGAGCGAGAGCGAGCTGCTTTGATTGGGTCTCACGGCTGATGTCGACACGGGGGAAGGACCAGTTGAGAATGGTAACAGGTCCAGTAAGCATACCCTTCATTGGCTTCTTCGTCACACTCTGAGCGTAGCTGCTCCAGCGGACGGTGATGGGATGAGGGCGGCTCACGTCCGAGACGATGATCGGAGGACGGACATAGCGAGAGCCGTAGCTTTGAACCCATCCGTTCTGGGTGAAGACGAAACCCTGGAATTGTTCACCAAAGTATTGAACCATGTCATTGCGCTCGGGTTCACCGTGCACGAGGAGATCGAGCCCAACATCCTCCTGGAACTTGACGACGCTGTCAATCTCCTTCTTGATGAATTCCTCGTATTGCTCCTCGGTGATGGCACCCTTGGTAAGCTGAGCACGAGCTTGACGAATCTCCTTGGTCTGCGGGAACGAACCAATGGTGGTGGTTGGGAACTTGGGCAAGCTCAAGTGCTTCTTCTGCGCTTCACGACGAACAGGGAAGGGGTTCTTCCTCTGGAGCTGCTCGGAAGTGATGGCAGCAACGCGCTTGCGGACAGCATCATCCGAGTTGTGCTCAAAGTCACGGCGCTGGGCAATCGAAGCCTTGTTCTCCTCGAGCTTCTTGGCGACAGCGGCATCCTGAGAATCGGAAAGGATAGCGGCGAGGGTGGCAACCTCACCCGCCTTTTCAAGGGCGAACGAGAACCAGTCCTTTTGCTGGTTGGTAAGTTTGTTCTCCGAAGCGAGTGTGACAGGGGTATGGAGGAGAGAGGACGAGGTGGCGGCAATGACACGATCGGCACCGAGCGTCTCAACAGCCTGGCGACCAAGGTTTGCAGCAGCAGTGAGATCGGTCTTCCAGATGTTACGACCAGAGACCAGGCCAAGGGAAAGAACAAGAGATGTGTCCTTGACAGCATTCAAGACGTCCCCAAGTTGCTTCGGCTCACGATCGAGGTCGATGTGAAGACCAGCGACTGGAAGCTTCGCAGCAAAGGAGAGGTTTGAGCCCAGACGACCAAAGTAGGTGGTGACGAGGAGATTAGGGGCGTCCTTGACGAGCTCGGTATATGCGCTGGTGTAGTGTTCGGCATGTTGCTCCGCGACGTCCATGACAAGGTGAGGCTCGTCAATCTGGACCCAGGTCACACCCTCTGCCTTGAGCTCGGAAAGAAGCTGCTTGTAGATGGGAAGAAGCTTGGGAAGGAGGGAAATGGGTTGGAAGTTGGGGGAGGCTTCGCGACCAGCCTTTGCGAGAATGAGGAACGCAAGGGGGCCGAGAACAACGGGGCGAGTAGTGATACCCGCAGCCTTGGCCTCCTTGTACTCGTTGAGGGCCTTGTTGTAGTTGAGCTTGAACTCAGTCTGCTCCGAAAGTTCTGGGACGACGTAGTGGTAGTTGGAGTCGAACCTATCCTGTGTCAATCACCCGACCGCATAGCCCATCTAATGATATACCATTTCTTCATCTCGGCAGCTGGGACATCAACACCATCGGCCTGGCGTCCACGGCCCATGGCAAAGTAAACATCGAGGTCAGAGATGCCGAGGCCGACATAGCGAGGGGGGATCGCGTTGAAGGCGGCCGAGTGATCAAGAACGTGATCATAGAGTGTAAACTCGCCACTGAGAAAAAGGGCGGATCAGTGGACATCGCGCCATCGGGGCCATGGGTGGCTCACCTCGGGATCAGGTCGACACCCTGCTCCTTGATGGAGGTCCAGTTCCATTTTCTGGTCTCAGCAGCAACCTTCTGAAGCTCTTCAGCGCTGCTCTTGCCAGCCCAGTAGGCCTCGACGGCCTTTTTGACCTCGCGGTTTTTGCCTAGATGTCGAAATGATTAGATCGATGGTGCGCTAGGAGACGATGAAGAGCAATTACCGATGCGAGGGAACCCTAGAACACTGGAAAGGACCATTTTCAACGTTTTTAGTTGTGTTGCGGGAAAAGGAGGAGATGGTGGGGAGAGAGTTTGAGGGCGGTCCTTACGCCCGAAACGTCAACCGAAACCCGCCTGGCGAGAAAAATCGAACGATCCTGGTCATTTTTTATTCTATGTGGAAGCGCAGGGACATTGCACGCTGTTCAGGTGTCCCTCACCAGATACGATTCATGCGGCCATGGAGCCTGGAGAGAATGTCAAGATAAGAGTATATTATGTTGAGATCTCTCTTTCTTTTGCATCAGGGGCGACGTTAGATACAACATGCAGCAACTTGCAGTAACAAGTCAACCAAACATCGAAGTGAAGCGACAATGGTAGACTCACCAGCTCTAATAAGGTTTTGCAGGTAGCTGAGTAGGCAAAACACCGTATCTCTGCTTGATTTTGATACGATATTTGGAGTATTTGTCGTCGGGTGAGAATCGCGCTAGGATGCGTCTATATATACACGTTGTTAAAATGTTTTAAAACCCACCTGGGTGTGCAGATTTCGTCATTTTTCCTTCTGCAGTCACTTTCTGTGTTCGCGTCAGTGAAATTCAAGCGGTGTGGCCTTGCACGGACCTTGAGGGTATAGACTCGGTTCCCATTATCGTCTAATGTGAACATTAAATGCATCTTTCAGACTTGGACGATCTGCCGGTGGACGTGGGTGGTAGCAAAGAGCCTGAGCAACCTTGCCCACCAACCCTTTCAATGCTCCAGCTAGACCTTCGACCGGGCGATGGAATAGGATCATTTAAACTTGGTACTCGTATCCTGTATACCCTTGGCTTTGAATTCTAACCAGGCTTCAACCAGGCGCCTCGCTTTGGTCCATTCTGTCCTTCGTCCGCCAACCGCAATCCAAGACCCTCTTTCCCAGTGTCCAGATCACATACGATGTGGCCACTCCCGCAGAGACAATTATTCTAGTGCATCTGCATCCTCATCTGGACCTGCTGTTCTCCAGCAAGCACCAGCGTCTGCACACGATTGTCCTCCGTAATCTCCGCCATGGAATGCTTGCATCACCACGGCCTGCCTCGCAGCAGCTGGGTATTCCAAGCAGCTCTGTGTCCTCTACACGTAGCAGCCGGCCTTCCTCTACAAGCGCCGCTGCTGGAGGTGGTGGAACAGGCTTGACTGTACGCTACAGACACACGGTTATATCATCCCAGGATGAAGTCCTCAGACGTGGGAGTGTGATGCGACACTTTGGGCCTACGTATGAGGGTGAGGTGATGCAATATCCAGGCGTGGCGTTTCTCTTCGAGGACGAGCTCCCGTCTTCGTCTACCTCGTTCCCTTCTTCATCCTCTGGTGGGATGCACAAGCGTTCAACCAACACAGAGGAGAGTAAGCACATTGAAGTGCGAAAGATTGCCATCACCCAGCGAAGCACAGCCGCAAATGGAGAGACTAACGATGCGTTTGAGGAGGTTTTGGAGTGTCCAACAATGGATGGTGAACTCCGGTCTGTCGTCGTCAACGTACGCCTTTTTCGCCTGCATACTGGGGACATCTGCTGACTACGAATAGGTGCATCGGGGGATAGATATGTATTTCTTCCCCTCCTCAGACGCTGGTCCGCGGTCACTAGTACTTGGTGAATCGACGGCAGAGGACATTCGATACGAGCTTGGAGAGCCCACGGGCATACACTACAAAGATGACGACCGCATGGCAATTCACGGTTCCAACACGCAGACGCTTTCCTCCAATAGTTGTACGTTCCATATTTGTCCACAGTATGGTCCTTTCACTCACATATTTGATAGATTTTATGAATTATTATCATTTTGGCATGGATCTCCTTCTCGACGGGGAAAGCAATGTCCTTAAGAAGATTATACTACATTCTAACATAGTAAAAAAGTCGTCTCTCTGAATTTTGCACCTGCTAACTATATGGCAGATAGGCTCTCCATTGTTCCAACGGTACAAGCGGTGTCCTTGGGAGATTGCGGACCAGTCGTCACAGGGTATATAGTCATCCCCATCATCGCCGTCATCTGACACGAAGCCTAGATAAGAGAGTCACCTTTGCCGATTCTCTGGAGGATATAAAGACTCTTCTTGGAAAGTACTCCGAGGCATCACAGCCGATGCAAGTCGATAGGTCTGAAGACTATGAGGCTCTGTCTATCCCAGCTTTCTCAACACGTAAGTTTCGTTTGCTTGTCCGTCCAACTATTAAGGTTGCATAGGGTTGATCGGGTTCGATGGTATCATCCTCGAATCGATATCCTCTGGGCAGGTGGCGGCCATTACCGTCTACTAAGTTTCAGAAAGGTGTGGTATGAGAAATGTCTATGTACAAAGCCCGGACCAGACGGACTATACACAAAGGAGTTGGGATGGTACATAAGTTGCCAGGGGTCGTACATATCGCATATGTATTCAGAGTATTGTACTACGAAACTTTGTCCATACTGTACCCGACGTTATCTTTGACGTGAGACTATTACCAAGGATAGGCATAGCACCAATTCCAAATTCTAATTGGCAAAGGGATCGAGGAGCTCATGTGGTTCGGGTGCTGCAGGAGACTCTTCTCCATCATTATCGGCACCGTTGTTCGATGCAGGCGTGAGCGGTGCAAAATTGGTATTGAGCTGAGGCACAACGGGTGCTGGCTTGCGCTTTGGACTGAGGGGAGGATATGTTGATTCTGTAATTGTTGCCTCCCTGCCGCGAGTAGCTAGCCCACCAAAGGGATGATCGTATGGATCACGAACATCTTCATTCTGAATCTCGCTCTTCAATCGCTGAAGAACTTCACCCGTAGAGATGGCGTCCGTCGGTCGAAGTGGCAAGTACTTTCCGAGTCGGATAGCGAGTGCAATGCCTGGATTGATATTACCTGCGGTACCGTTGCTCAGGGAGATGAGGTCGTGAACATTGGCGGTTGTATGGTCGAGCGTGGCCGCGATATAGTCGACGTCGCTCGCAACATAATCAATATTCCATTCACGCAGAAAGGACTCGGTGATCGTAAGTGGAGCGTCTGGAACCAGCTCGTCGACGTAACGGATATGGCGAACAGTCTCCAAACGCTCAAGGTGTGAGAAGATGGACGGAGTGTGTGGCGGGGCGTGTGCGTAGACGCCGACGAGGAGGTGCACGCTTGGGAAAGCATACTTTGCTTGTCGAAGCGTCAGAACATGTCTAAGAAGCAGAGTATGTCAGTCAAGAATCAGAAAGCTGACAGCACGAGACTGACCCGGGATGCAAGACGTCGTATAATGCAGCAATATAGACGCGCACCGGGCGCATCTGTGGTGGCTTGTTAAGTTTATACCCTCCACGCTGGAGCCCCGTCGCTCCTGGGGCGAGAATACTGTCGTCCATGACGGACGGGCCGGCGTATTCGTCGAGCGCGGTGCCGTCTACGAGCCGCTGGACATAGCTCTGGATATCTTGCGGAGCCAAGCTCGCCGTCTCGAATCGTTCTAACACGCCTGGTGCGGCGACGGGCTCTGGAGCAAGGCCTGGGAGCTGGAGTTCGCTCGTGTGATATGCAGTGAGACCCAGAGGACCGGTATTGAGTGCTCCAGCGCGCGTACGGAGCTCAGAGTCGGAGAGGACTGAGCCAACGAATTCAAATTCCTCGTCAAAGGCCCCGTTGGCCGTGTTGGCGGATGGGAGCGGGTTGAACGAGTCGGACGACGCTGTGAGCGAGTCGTTGAGCGGCGTTGAAGCCATGTTGAGAGACAATGGCCGGTCGTGGTCGGGTCCAAGATGTAGCTAGCTATTGTCAAAGACTTTGTCGTCGAGGCTCAGGGGCACGAGTGGACCCACCCCTAGACTTTTGCCCATTATCAATGGAGCATTTACATAATCCTAGCTGGAACAAACCTATCCCAGCAGAGCCCGCGGGTTCATCTTCTGCAAGCTCAAAGGCCCATATTGACGCAAGAAGTCAACTAAAGAGAGCAATTGGGCGTCTGGATGATGCAAATAGCAAACACGCCGCCTGTTTATTATTGGCGCCGTCAGACTCTTGGAAACAGACGCCTTGCTGGCTTCTGATAGCCATAAAGTGATCTTGAAGATTTTACGTAGGATATCATTCACTTCTGGAATTGTCGAGCCCTAATGAAGCCTGCCCTGTGGCCGCTCCGTTGCCCGACGGCACGAGACTGCCGTGGCAGAAAATTGGCTGTAGAAATGTCTGGAAAGATTCTGTCGCGCGCTATTTACGTGTTCTCGCTCGCTTCCCCGAGGAATTAGTCCGGTTTGCGACCCAAGCTAGCGACGACAACTCGTTCGCGATCACGAGACGGCTGTCTCTGTAGTTCCCGGCAAATCTATCCCGCTCTACGTTGGCTGGAGCAATCCCCCGAGTGACGCGAAGTTGCTCCAGTCCACGTATTTCTCCGCTCCCGAGCTTTCACAACGGACTTCTTTTCTTGTCATGCATATAAATATGGCTATCTAGCTACTGTTCCCTTGTGGTAGGCCTCCTCCCTCTCGACGCTCATTCACCGTTCTGACCCATGGTCTACTCATCCCGCCTCTCGTTTCTCTTGGCGCTCGTTTGGTCTTTTGTGTTTGTGAAAGCACTACCAACGTGGCTGATCGACGAGTACCCTCCGGACCTTATTACGGTAGTGAACTATGAATCTTCCGGCGGCGAACTCTACCTCAAGTCGTCCGCGGCACCAGGTACCAATTTGAATTCACTCTTATCAATAATTTCTTACATTGTAACAGGAATGGAGGGTGACTGTGTCATTGAACGGAGCTGGTACACCCACCGTTACGCCAAAGAGGACGAGCGCTTCGCACCAAACTTTTTCATTCGTGGAGGCGAATTGTACTCCGTAACAAACAGCTCACACGTCATGCGTGTCGTAGCCCTGCGTATTCTCGACCATGACACCGAACACTATCACCCAGAATACAAGGGCGAACATGGACAGGAGCCCATGACCACAAAGGGACCGTTTGTTCGCTACAAGCTACAACTTGTCGATCCCCACAAGGCTAGGACCAACGCCGGTCCGGATATCAACAAATACGCCCATGGAACATTCAGTTGGGGTGGACCCATCCTCCTCTATAGCTTTACACCAGAACATGAGACAAAATACAAGGGATCGCTCTTCTATGCGTGCTCGGATGGTGGCATCTATGTCGATGTGCACAAGTACGTTTCTCCTTTCCGCTTTTGGGCCAAAGCTCATGTGTCATTTTTCAGCTTCCCCCCACCGTTGGGATGTAAGCCTGTCACTCTACACGCGCGAAACGTCCTACGACTCCGTTGAGCTCACGATAATCTCGGTGCCCATTCCGGATAAACTCCATTGTATTTCTCTCTACAACGCTGTAAAGTACACGTGCGGAAATGAAAATGATACGTTCCGCATCATTTCAAAGGTCCTTCTTGAGCACCAGGCCATTTTCTTTTGACAAGTTCGCAACATTGCGAACCCAGTAGGCCAAAAGCTCCTTGTTGCGAACGTCTACGCCCTCTTTAGCAATGCCATTCTTCGCACCAGACCACATGTGCTTGAATCGATCAATCGGATCCTTTGTCGTCGTCTTGAGCCCTTGCATCTCGCGCTCCTTGAGAAAGTTGTAGACCATTTCTCGCGTGAGGCATCCAGGAAACTCGTGTGGTGGCGTTGCGCCGAGAGACTGGAGACCACTGCCTGTTCCAGAAGGTGTCGGTGTCGCGGCTGGCTTCTTGCGAGCGGCATTGTCTGTTGGACTCGCAGTGCGTTGACGCTTGTGTGGTCCTTCTTCGCCGCCTGATGGGCCCGCGGGCCCGGTTTTGCGCTTGATTGCACCTCCACCACTAGCGGTAGGGGTGCTTGATCCGCTTGCCGATGGAGTCCTTCCATGAACTTTGAAGAGTCAGTACAATTCACTGGGGTGTTGAGATTACGCACCTGATTTTGGCATTGGACTCGTTGCCCTTAACGTGGATGATGGTGCGGGAGTGCCAGAGGAGCGGATGGCAGGTGATCCAGAACGTGAACTCTCCTGTTTTGGCTTTGGAGAAGTTGCTCGCGAAGCGTTGGCACCAGGTTTCAGCGATGAACCTCCACCTTTGCCACCCAGCGCCGTAATCACCTTGTTCGGTGCGGACCCTTCGTTTCTCGCTGTTGCTGCAGCTGCGGCAGCAGCCGCCTTGTTTTTGCGCTCCTTTTCTGCCTCTCGTTCCTTTTCCTTTTCCTCCAGCAGCTGCTTGAGCTGTTCCTCCTCTTCCTTCTTTGCCTGTTCGGCCTTTTCTTTTTCGGCCTTTTCCTTCTCTTTACGTTCCTTCTCTTCGAGGTCCGTATCAGAGTCGGAATCCTCCTGCGATGCGTAGGGATCCTTGTCCGAGTCCGTCTCATAGAGAGTGCCGGTCTTGTCTTGACCACGAAGCATTCGCTTGATCTTGCGACCAGCCTTGTCAAGGCGCGCTTGTCGACCCATGAATGTATGATCGGCAATCTCTACGTCTGTCTTGTTCGCTTGTCGCCATTCCCGCTTCAGACGTTCTTCTACCTCCTTTTCTTCCTCTTCTTTGCCATCGATGTGTACTTTCTCGTCATCATCCGCCATCTCTTCGTCGTATTCCATCTCGTCCATGTCCCCCTCCATGCCAAATATTTCTTGCTCGCGCTCTTGGTTCTCGCGCTTGATGTCGGCATCCTCGATATCATCGCCCTCTTCTCGATCAAAGGCAGTGGGTCGACCACGGTCTACGAGTCTACAAAGATGATCAGGCATTATACTCCAAGGTGGTAGAGCTTACCGTAAAACACTTGCGCCGCCGGTCATGGTGGCCTCGCCTACAAATCCTCCAGCCTTCTTTTCGTCGAGTTGCTGCTGTCTTGCAAGTTGTCGGAATGCTCGGGTAAACCCTTCGCTGTTGGTGTTCTGGGCAAAGTACAATGGGTTGCGTCTACGTTGATCACGCTCAAACTAACAAAGGCATGAGTGAGGGTATGTGTTAAAGAGGAATCTATGCACCTGCTCGTTGGCCATATCAGCGTTGAGCACTTCCCAAGTGGGCAGTTTGGTAAACATGTAATGCTTGCGAGCAGGGTACCATCGGAATTTCCCATCCTTGCAGACCTGAAGCAGTTGCATCTTGACTTTGTTTCTTTCCGTTCTGCGTCCTTCCCAGACTTCTTGCCCACTGGCATCCTCCCAGAGCCAAGGGTAGCGCTCCTCCTTTTTGAGCTTTCGAGCTTCCTCGGAGATGAGAAAAACCTAATCAGGGGTCAGAATAAGTGACTAAAGCAGCGCAAATGCCTAACCTGTCGCGTCTTCTTTCCGCCACGCCTCCTTCCCTCACCAGGCTTGCCATCGCCACCTTTGCCTCCACCGTTAGCACTAGAGGCACCGGGTGCGTTTCGTTGCGGCCCTTTACCCTTCTTTCCTTTGGGCTCGGGAGTCACACCAGGGATATAAGGTAACCGACCGCCTTTGGCTTGTTGCGCGACAGCCGGGGTGACCATTACAATCTCTCCGTCTGCTTTGTAGACCACTTGGCCGTCGGGACCCTTGAGAGGAACGAGCTTTTCATTCTTCTTGGTTCCGCTGCCGCTGGCGCCGGGAGTCTCTTGCTTAACGGAGGATTGTCCAATCTGCGAAGCGGACGAGGGAACAGTAACATTCTTCAAATCCTGGAGGTCGAGACCGTCCAAGAGTCCGGAGCCGGATGGGGCTGCACCCGCAGGACCTGCAACACCAACGTTTGCGTCGGTCTGCACAATCTCCATCTCCTCGTCTTCATCCATGCGCTCTCTATACTTGAAATTCTTACGATTAAGTTTAATAGGAAATTCAAACGCTTCGACGACCGTTTTATCTCCAGGAATACGATGGAAGCGAAAAATGTTCCAATCGACCTGTTTATAATGTTATTCAAAGTGTATAAGCAGATTAGATGCAAACTGAAAGTTATTCGCCGTTGTCTTTGGGGGGATGTGTGCCATTGTTTTGAAACAAAATCACCAACCTGTGGAGTAAATCCGCCCGGCGCCATAGGACCATTGAGATCGCCCGTAAGGAGGTCAAATTCCACGAATGGGTAATCGAGCGGCTTGGGAGCATCGCTCATTCCAGGACGCAGACTCCCAGCGGCTGAATCCATCGCATCGTTCCTAGGAGTGGGTACCGGAGATCGTGCGTTTGGTAATGAGGTAAGATGAGCTGGCTTTGGAGTTCCAACAGACGCAGAGCCGTTTGCTTGTGGCGTTGCAGCCTGACTCGGCCCAGGTTTGCGAGTCGGCTTGCGGGGAATAAAAAGATTGGAGCCTGGTCGCTTCTGTGGACGTGTAGATTGTCCTTCTGAGCCCTGTGTAGCTGGACGGCTGGCTGTGGTTGTTGTAGCCATTGGAAGAGTGGATTGGCGGCCACTGGTGGGAGTAGAATTACTTGAAGATGCGTTACTCAATGATGAGCCAATTTTGAGAGGAGAAAGAGATGGTGGTTGGAAGGCCAAAGACGGAGCGTCATTCATGGCCAGGTCCAAGCTTACTTTACAAAGTTGACTTCAGCCATGTCCCGCAATACGCCCGTGCTGGGAACAGCTGCACTGCAGAATCCAGCAACTCAGCGTCTAAATATCACAAAGTCGACATGCACCGACTTTTCCGTGTTCAAAGGTCCTTGGTTTACTAGAATCTCTGCAGACTGTCATTCTGACGCCGCTGTCAGATGTAATGCGAGAATACCGCAGGCTAGACGATACAATAACTATGAGAATGAATCGAAACGGGGCTCTCTTTAGAGATTCAGCGCGTACCTCCGGATCGAGAACGAGCGCATCTTCATCTTATGCAACGAGCAACGACGACTCGGAAGCATGTCTATACTTTTGGAAGCAACTTGTTGGTGTGTTACTGCTCTCGTCTGGCGTAACTAGCACTAATCACCTTGCCGGTCGGCCAGCTAATTGGAAGGCGCGGTCGGAAATCATCGACTACTGTGTAGAAGTACTAGACACACGGTTGGAAGAGAAAGAACGCTCCCTCAATTCTCTAGTCGATCAAGCTCGAGCACGAGGTGCTGGTCCCAACTTGTTCGAGCCAAAGATGCCAGACGAGGATAGATGGAGAGGACCAACAAACGAGTTTTACCGAGCAAACTCGTCTTCGTCTCCACTACCTTCAGTCCCAGCAACTCAGAATGATCAATCATCGCTTTCCACGCGGGAACTTCAGGACATTGAAAGAAGAAGACGTGAAAAGGAGACGGACGTTAGGGCATCACTGTATGAAGAGAGGGTCAAAGTTTGTTGCACCCAACGTCTTGATGCCACCTATCTGATCCACTCCTAGAAGGATTTGATGAACAATGAGAAAACTGTTGAAGCGATTGTACGAAGGCGGTCATATGAGGGTATGGATCATCTATCTGTTCTGAAATTGTGCTCATATTCCCTGCAGCCTTTCGGAGTCGCTGCAAGTTTTTCGAACCGCCGACGCCAGACCCATGGTGGGACCGAGTGACAAGTGATCGACAATCTCGGACATAGAAATATAAGCCGGTGTTCACAGCGATGGGTCGGCCGTGCCTGCTCGCACGATCGCCAAAAATCCCACTGCATTGCATCTTCGGTCAACGTTTGAAACTTTTAGGTTGGAATATACTTCACTGTAATGTATGTTAAATCCATTTACTTGAGGCCATCTACGCTGTCTGTAACATGCGCTCATGGGCGCTTTTGTTTGTATTCGGTAGCGATCACCTCTTGGACCTGCTTTCCTCCCACCCGACGGCCACACCGCCTGGCACAAAATTGTGGATATTATCACGAGGTCCTAGGAGCGACGATGGACTCGTCCTCGACAATAGACCGTGCCGCAGGACAGCGCTTGTACACTCTTCCTTTCCTTTTGCCCTGCTTTCTGCTCCTGATCGCCTCTGCTGGAGCTCAACCTGTTTCCCTTCCATTCTCTTTCTGTGCTCCTTCAACCTTTCATGAACCGAACCCGCTCAAACGTGTCAATGTCACGGCCGTGTACGGTCAACTCTACCATCCAGACGATCCCACAACAAGAGCGTTGAAGCTCACGGCGATAGGGGAAATTGGAGACACTCTTGAGGGATACTTAAACTCGACTGGATTCCTAGGTGAGCGCCGCTCTGTTGGTCGCCGTTCGGCTACACGGCTCCTCGTCGAGCCATTCCTGGGGCTGGCCCTCGCTCGCTGAGCACCGGACCATCTGGCATTTTGTTTATCATACGATAATAGCAGACTCCTACAGGTGGTGGCCCCACTCGGCGAGGAGTCTAAGCTTCTTCCGATGATGTCGTCGAATACACAAAGCTGACGGGTTCACTTATAGCGACGTTGTTCACCTCGACAGACTATCTAACTTATTCTATATCCGACAAGACCAGCTCGTTTTGCGAAGTCCTTCGGCCACCCTCTCCGCTCCCGACTCTCCCAACAAACGACACGTTCTACTGCCCGCTCTCCGCCGGTCCTCTTGCATTTGGACTGGCTGTACCTCTGCCCTTGGAATCATACGCACTCAAGACATTGGTTACCCAACTTCGCATCGTCGATTCGTCGAGCCCCGCCCACGAACTTGCATGCGTCGAGATTGCAGCCACGCCTGCACCTAGGGAACATAGGATCTATGGGGGCTGGACCGGAATCTTTTGGGGTACGCTCGGTCTCACACTGGCCTTCTGGCTTGTGACCAGTATTGGGCGGGTCAGTGCCGCCTGGGACCGGGGACTGGGAAGAACAGGACACCCATGGTGGCTGAAGCTGGAGAGGACAGGGTTCGTCCTTGCAAGTGCCCTCTCGGGCGAAAAGTTTTCCGTATCCCCTGCTTTGTTGCGTTTTGGTAAGTCTCTAGGCTGAAGAGGTGACTTTGACAGTTTGTTGATCGTTCGAAGCGACCCCATCCGCTCGCGACCTTGTTCTGACCACTCAATGGTGTGCGACACTCGGCATGATTGCCGTTCAGTGGCCAGACTTTATCTGTACGTCACGTCATTTGACTCTGGGTTTCTTCACTTACAGCTCTCGCAGATCCCATGTTTGCTCAAACGGCCTGGTCGACACTGCTGTCCAGTGAGATTTTATTGATATGCTTGAACTCAGGCCTAATCGCCCCTAGATTCCACCCTGGTGTCGGGCGCGACATGGAACCCTTTATATTCGACCTCATTTGACCCACCGTCCGAGTTTCGAGACCAGATCATGGACTCGAACTCGTCTTTATATCTGGACATCGCACAGCCAAACCTTCTCCTTACGTTTCCTCCAAACGCTCATAACGGCATGGACAAGTTTGTTTCGTCTGTGGGGCTTCTCCCGCAGCACGCATTCGGCACTTGTCTCGCGATATTCCTCATTATTGTCGCCGTTGTAGTGATTTTGAGTACAGTGATCACCCTCATCGGATGGACTGGATCAGCGCTTCTTGGGGGATCCAAGAAGCCCTCTACGGAGCGAAAAGATTTACCAGAAGCCGAAGGTTTGTACCAAGTACCCTGTTTACGTTTATTGACAAGTCTCCAGTCCGGCGTGCCCCGTGGAGAAGGCGCTTTGGTCTAAATTCATTCCACGGCAGCGTGGCACACGGTAATCTCGTGCGGCTCCTCATCCTCTTCCACCTTCCAATCACCATATTTTCGTGCTATCACCTCCAATTGGGTTCCGACGTTGCGACGGCGAAAAGCAAGGTCCTCGCCGGGCTCTCATTCACCATATTCTCCTTGATCCTCCCAGGCTGGCTTATATTTCGTATCGTCACTACTAGCACAAGCAAGCTCTACGAGGCAACTCGCACCCTTCTCGCCCTGGGTCCGCTCTACAACCAGTACCAGCCACGGTCGCAGCTGTTCTGTGCGGGATTCTTTGCCTCCAATATAATTGTCGGCATTGTTATTGGATTTGGACAGCAGAGCGGCACTGTTCAAGCCGTTATCATCCTTGTTGTCGAGGTTCTCACCACTCTTTCGACGAGCGTGTGGCTGCCGTGGATGACAGGGGCACAGATGGGAGTGATTAGCTTCATGTTCTGCGTCGCCCGCATTGTCGCAACCGTCCTAGTTGTCATATTGGCTCCTCCAGTACGCGTTTTCCTTCATGTTTGTAGACTGTCTCTGATCATCTCTAGGTCAATATAGGTTCTCAAGCTGGTGGATGGATTGCATTTGGCATTCTCTCCATTCTTGGACTCATGTATCTTGGATTCGCAATCATGTTGGTCACAAAGCTACTCGAAGGCATCGTACGCGCAGTACGCGGGTTGTCATTTGCAAGCTCCAAGCATTCTCTCGATTCTGGTCTGTTTGGTGCGTTGGGTTGTTGCGGTGGAACCACGAGGAAGAACAAGCGCCGCAGCCACCGTCGCAGTGGCGAACGGAGAAGCGGAGAAAATCGCGCACGTCACTCGCGTGGCTACTCTGAATCAACGGCGAATACAGTGGCGCCATCATACGCCAGACCGTCCAACATCTCGTACCTCAAGCCAGAGCAAGCCTCGATGCCGTACCGCGAGAGTAGTGACGATGATGCAGGCTTTATCATGGAATCATGGTCGAAGACGGATCTCAACCTGCCCGGGGGTCCCCGATCTAAATCAAAGGTGACTTTGGAAAGCTTGGGTGGTGAAGAGCAACCAACCTCGACGGGATTCGCGCGCGTTGGCGGAGGTCGGGCCCATTTCGATACACCGTATGCAATCATGAAGGGCAAGCAAGCAGCCGCACCTGGTCGTACAGCGGCCACTCCAGCACCAATATCTCAGTTTGGTGGCCAGCCACCCTTTGAGACACCTCCGTCTATCTCAGCACCTCCAGAACCCTTGCCAAAGGGTGCTGCACGTCCACTTCACTCACGAACACGCTCTCACACAGCCGTCATCGAGGACGTATCGACACTCTATCCTGGCGCCATTCCTGGCGCCACAACGGCAACTTCAAAGTCGACTAGCCGACCTGGGTCATCTGGGAATGCGAGTAGGCCGGGTTCATCTGGAAGGAGTGCGACGCAGCACGGTCGACCGAGCTCCGCTGGAAAGTCGCGGTCATATAGTAGGCCGGCTTCCAGTCATAACGGGAAGAGTGGACCCGCAACGGATGAGATGGGTGTAAATCATGCCGCACCAAAGTCTGCGTCCACCTCGAAGAACAAGGGACGAGGTTGGTTTGGGCTTGGTGGACCGTCGGGCGGTGACAGCTCTTCTGATGAAGATGATGAAGAGGAGAGTAAGGAATCATCTGGAAAGAGAAGCGGTGCCGGGGGTCGCTGGGGCTTCAAGCGGAGGAGAAAGAGCGAAAGCGATATGAGCCCGGTTCCAACGCCGACGGCGGAAAACCGCTCCTTTGTGGTCATTCGAAATCGACCTCAGCAGAACCCAGGGTATACGGCTGTTCCGCCGGTGCCGACAGAGGGTGGTGGGGGTCATCAAGCATTCAACGCATTCAACGTCGATCCTTATGGCAGCCCGTCGAATGAGCCTAGCGGACTAAACAATGTCAATATGGTGCTTGTCTCACGGACGCCTATTACACCAGAGGCTGGTGACCAGCGCCCTATGTCCCCTCCATCGTCATATGTCGCACCTCGGGGCTCGAGCCGTCGAATGTCGAGTCCACCGAGTTGATAAACCTATATCACCTGCGTTTTTGGACATTTTGTACTAGTTCATATGGAAATTTATTCCTGATTATTCCCCCTGTGCTTGCCACTGTATTCTCGCTATACTCAGCCACCTTGACCAACGCCTTTACATGGGCCAGGAGCAATCTGGACTAGGCTACGAGCAAAAGGGTGTAGCTCGAGCCGGGACACTCGTCTCCAATCGTTCGCAGCGACGTGCAGTTTCCATGAGCCAGTATTCGGGCAGTACCTCCCAGCCGCAGCGCGTCCCAACGCCTACGACGTCGCCGCCACCATATGCGATACAAGACCCATCTCCAACAGTACAAACAAACCCGTTCTTACCAGATTTACCTCCACGAGATGCTCGCCAGCCAGTCGGCTCGCCAACGACGAGTGGAGGCGCCTATGTGCGCAGAAATGTGAGCGCGACAGTGCAGCCGTCACCTCCAGTCGCTGGACCTCATCGACGGACGATGTCTCAAGGCGAATATGGACGACCGAGCACTCGAGAACGCTATGTGCCGTCCGCTGTGCCAGTGATTCCAGAGACGACGGCACCTATTGGCCAATCTGTCCAAAGACAGGATACACGAGCGTCTTTTCGGCCTACGCCTATCAATAGCCCGCGGGCGAATAGTGTCCATATGAGTGGCTCGCCGACGAGCGTAATGAACAGCCCGCGAACGCCATCGCGAAGGTCGTCTGTAGAGGACCCGCTTTTGCAGCTCGTCAAGTATGATACTGTCATTATTGTAAGTTTCCACTGATCCAGTTGGGCCACTTGCGCGTCATGCCGCAGTAGAGCGCTGACCCTTCCACCCATATCCCGATAGGTTGATGACTCGAGTTCCATGGCTGGACCATTGTGGTTCGAGGCCCGAGAGGCCCTTGCAGGCGTAGCGGAACTTGCAAGCAAATATGATGCGGACGGCATCGACATTTATTTCCTGTGGGTATCCAAATATCGCCTCTGCCTCTTTTGACACGTACCTAGAAACTCGCCGTTGGTCGGGAATGGACTGAGGGTGTGTATCAAATACGGTAAACCTCGCTTTTCTGATGTCTTATATAGCACGCCTCTGAGGTAAAGCGCTTATTCGACCAAGTAGAGCCAGATGGTGGTTCGCATCTTCTCTCCCTCTTCCTATTGCTGATGAGCATCAGGTATAACACCTACTGGAGAGAAGCTTGAAGAACTTCTTTTGGACTACCTTTTACGGTTGGAGCATGCAAAGGAGAGGGCCGATGCCGGAGACCATTCGGCATTGCGAGAGATCAAACCGGTCAACTACCTTGTCATTACGGACGGTGCACCAAGTATGTCAGGATTTTATGTTCCAATGAAGATGCTGATGATTGCAGGCGACGATCCGGAGACGGTGATTGTCACTGCAGCACGACGGCTGGATGCCGGAAAGTTTCCAATTACGCAAGTTGGTATTCAGTTTATCCAGGTGAGGACGTATGATGGGCGCCAAAGGACCTCTCTCATGGTTCATAGATTGGGAATGACCCGGACGCGGGTGAAGCTCTGCGGGAGCTCGATGATGACCTTGCTGGTAAATATGGAGTTCGAGTGCGTATATTTGCATAAAGGCGAATGATATCTAATGAGCCACAGGATATCGTGGACACGACACTGTATTCTGGCAATCAGCTTGATGCAACCGTACTCACGAAATGCCTTCTTGGTGGTATCAATCGCCGTGTCGACCGCCGTCCCTTGCAAGCCCGATCCACTGATACACACGATCACACGCGGCCATAATCGGCGCTGGCTTCTAGGACGCTCGTACGCTGGAGGCTGGGGACCAGCTTGTCCATTCTCCTCCGTCACACGTACTCCTCGAGGCTCGATGGCTGTAGACCACGGCAGTCTAATCAACATATCTAACCCGCAGTATTTGGACAGTTTGTACTAGTGCAAAATGGAAGATTATTCCTGATTATTTGCCCACGTGGTCTTGCTGTATTCTCGCAATAGTTAACCGCATTAATTTGTGCTCCACCTTGACCTTTGGCCATCGTATGGGCCAAAGGCATTCTAGCTCTGGAAACAAGGAACTCGCTCAGGCTGACACTCTGGAAAATATAGGAGCAAACTCCAACCATCCACATCGACGTGAAGTCTTCATGTCCCAGTACCCCGGTGACACCAGCAACCCCCAGCGGCAGCAGCGTGGCGTGACGCGAGCGACATCACCACCACCGTATGCAATACAAGATAACCAGGCAGCTCCATACGTTCGGGAGTCGTCTGCACACGAAGTTCGCCAGCCAGTGACCTCGCCGACGACGAGCGGCAGCGTCTTTCATGGACCGAGGAATGCGAGCACGAGTGCCCAACCAGCGGCCTCGATTGCGAGTACTTCCCATCGACGAACAGGATCTCAGGATGATTATGCGCGGACGAATCACCGGGAACGGTATGCAGCGCCTCCCATGATGGTGATTCGAGAGGACGTCTCTGCTCAGAGACAGGATACACGAGCATCTCTGCGACCTCTGGCTACCACCAGTCTCCATGCGCAGACAGTCCCACTCAGCATGTCACCAGTTGGTAGCCCAGGGACGCCACCGCGGAGATCGTCTGTGGAGGATCCTCTTCTGCAGCTCATCAAGTATGATACTGTCATTATTGTAAGTTTCTACGGCTTTCTTTTGCCTCTGCTTGGCTTACTGCCGCAGTAGAGTGCTGACCCTCCACCCATATCCCGATAGGTTGATGACTCGAGTTCCATGGCTGGTCCATTGTGGTCTGAGGCTAGAGATGCACTTGCTGGTGTAGCAGAAATTGCGAGCAAGTACGATACGGACGGTATTGACATTTACTTTTTGTGGGTGTCCAAACTATCCCTACCCTCTTTGACTCTTGCCTAGAAACTCGCCATTAGTCGGGAATGGACTGAGAGTGTGTGCATATTTTTAGTAAATCTGCCTTTTTCTGATGTAGCCCATAGCATGCTGCCGATGTGCAGCGTCTATTCGACCAAGTACAACCGGATGGTGGTTAGCGCAGTCTCTCTCTTCCTACTACTGATGAATACCAGGTATAACACCTACCGGAGAAAAACTTGAGGAACTCCTTTTGGTCTACCTGTGGCGACTGGAGCAGGCAAGGGAGAGGGCTGGAGATATGCTGCCGCTGCGAGAGATTAAACCGGTTAACTATCTCATCATAACAGACGGTGCACCAAGTAGGTTGAGATGCGCTGTCCAACGAAGGAATGCTGATTATTGCAGCCGACGACCCGGAGACCGTGATTGTCGCTGCAGCGCGACGGCTGGATGCTGGAAGGTTTCCGATGACGCAAGTCGGTATTCAGTTTATTCAGGTGAGGATGCAGTATCCAAAGGTCCTCTCTCACGGTTCATAGATTGGGAATGACCCAGAGGCGAGCGAAGCTCTGCGGGAGCTGGATGATGACCTTGCTGGTAGATATGGAATTCGGGTGGGTGTCTTATCGCGGTAGAGATGGGCTACATCTGATGAGCCACAGGATATTGTGGACACGACGCTCTATTCTGGGAATCAGCTCGATGCGTCGATGCTCACGAAATGTCTGTTGGGTGGTATTAATCGGCGTGTCGACCGCCGCGGGATTTAGTGTCCCGGCATCGCGTCACCTTATCATCTGTGATCTGCGAGCTCCGGTGATGGGTCTGCCAGGGAACCTAGGCCATGATCCCGATTGGGATGAGATGCGGCCTAGTCCCACTGCAATCACGGATTCATGTAGCCACAGCATCTACGCACGTGATATGTACCGAGTATGGATGGGGGACGCTTAGGGGCTGTTTACACACTTGAACAGTCCCGTGAGAGGTGTATTTGCGGCCCCGCATCCCATAGGAGGGGCTCCCAACTGAGGCGAGGTAAATGTGAAAAATATCCGAAATTCCAGGTGATTTTGTTGGCTGGTAGTTGCCGTCCCACACAGTCATTTGACCGGCCATCCAAAACTGGAGCGAGCTTGTCCCGTCTCTTCGACTCATCACTTGGACCTTGCCTCTGCCGTGCATCTCCACTGCCCACCAGCAACAACGTACTCGACGTCGTCACACACGTCCTAGTCCCCCTTTGATCCTCCCCGTGGTCATCTCCAACGACGACGACGACGCCCGTGTCAAAGACCGTCCAAGTCCGAACGTGTCCTAGTCAGCCACCCAATCGTTGGACATTTATTCCTCCACAATGGCCTCTGCAACAGCATCGAGAGCGTTTACAGACACGCACCGTCTCTACGTCAAGTCGCTCTACAAGCGGTATCTCACAAACGCCCTCAACTGGGCCGTCCAGCGTGACGTATGGCGAGCCGAAGCTCTAAAGATTAGAGAAGAGTTTGAGAAACACAAGTGAGTCGGCCCCGGCTTGGTCTCTGCTCGTCAGTCGCAAATGTTGCATGCCCAATTGGCTCGTCGACTCTCCCGACATCGTCATCGCAATCCGCTCCTTTTTAAACGATATTTCTCGATGCTCATGATTTTTCATCTGTTTATAGGAACGAAACCGACCCGAAAGTCGTTGCACGGATTCTTGCTGAAGCCGAAGCCAAATTGGCTGCAAAGCTTCATCCCGACCCCTATATCTGTATGTCCTTATTTCTGCTACACAGTTTTTCATTTTCTAATCAATCTATGCAGCTGCCAAGTTTCCTGGCGGTACCGGATGGTAAGCCCCAATCCCCTTGTCGAAATCCAGTGTTCTCACCATTTTCCCTCAGGGAACGAAATATGCCACCGCCAAAGAATGCATTCGCACACTGGGTCACGGAAGACCATGCGCACCACGAGCATCATCATCATCACGCAGAGGCTGTCGAAAGCACCGACTATCTATCGCCGGAACAACGAGCCGATGTGGGCGCCAACTTCCGTCTGTCACGCAAGGCTCGTTCTGCGCTCGAAGAGCTCGTACAGAGTGCAAACGCAGAACAGGCGTTTGCAGAGGCACTTTCGACAAAGCAGGACGGCCAGATGGTCTGGGACCGATATCGTGAGAGCTTAAAGGCACGCGGAATCGATATTAGTGGCCTCAAGGAGTTTAGCGAATACGCTGAAGAAGAAAAACGCGCTGTTATGGAGCATTGGAAAGGCGCATATACCGACCAGATCAACATGCAGGCTCGCGGCATCATCGAAGAGGAATTGTCCGACCGCCGTGATGAAAAAGATGGCATTTGGCGATGATTTAAACAGTCCTGGTGGCTAAAGAAGTGCACCATTTGTATATTACATGCAACATTGACTGATTTATTCCATCCGCAAAAGTCGTAGATTAGTTTAATGGTTTGGCGGAGGATACGAGGCTTCGTGCACGTTGATTGTTGGAACTGGTTGCAACTCCATATGATCTCCAGTCTGTGTGTACGGTGTTGCGGCTTCTCGGTAGCTCTGCTGTGCGGTTGTAGGCAAGAGCGGGGCACCTCCATTGGACCCGGATCGTGAACGCGTCTTGTATCCTTCAATACCTTGTTCACCTTCCTCTCTGAGTACCATCCATGGCGTTCCGGCGAGCGGGCTCCCCAGCCACGGGAAATAGTAGCGATATGCTAAGATGGCAAAGAAGACGCCAAGGGATGCACCCGCCAAGACGTCTGTACCACGATGTCTAAAGTCTGAGACGCGTGATGAAGTGACAAAGGATGCGAGGAGAAGCGGTGCAGCGCAGATTGCGTATGCCCAGAGATGCTTGCCGTGGACGGTGTGTGCAGCAAACAGTCTGAAACGACCGGCAAGGAAGAGGGAAAGGAATGTCAAGCCTGCAAAGGACATGCTCGAGTGGCCTATATTCTCGCTTTGAGTACAACTGTAGCGTCTGAAACACGGAAATGCGTACCAGAGGGGAAAGAGCGGAATCCATCGTTGAGTGCCTTTGTGTTTGTTGTCGTGCAGATTGTCGAGCTGAAGAGCGTGACAGCCGTTGCCGTAAATGCTGCTTGGGCGCGTGCGGCATCGGGCTGGCAGCGCGAGAGAAAGTCTGGACGGGGTCGTCCGATGATAAACTTGACAAACTCTGTAAAGAGCTGGGCGAAGATGACGGATGTACCTATGAGATTCACCAGTCAGTTGTCTCTTCCATCTTCTTCCTACGGAGACTAACCTAGGCAGAGGACGCTCCAGTTGAGGAGTTTCGCTCTTCGTACGAGGTTCCCTGGTCCGAAAGCCAAGTTTACTACGAGTAGGACCGCTATTGGGACCGCAAAGGCGTAGACGTAGAGCATGAATGCTGGAACCTTTTCGTGCTCGGCCTTTGGAAATGAAATTGTAGGATCCAGTACGGAAAATAGCTGTGCATAAGGCATTCTATCACCCAGAAACTGGGCCAACGCTTCGCCGACGCTGGATTGTTTGTCAATCGGTGAATTCGAGAAGATCAGGAGGAGGACGAACCCCAGGAGAATCCAGTCGGAGAATGTTTTCACAAACTCCCAAACTCGCTGTAATGTACCAGAAGGCTTTCCTTTGAGCATGCTTGTTGTGGTTGGAGGTCAAGATGGCTGCATGCAAATTTCCGGGGGGCTATAAACAACTCGGCTTTCAAGCGCCAGCAAAGCCAAGGCAGTGGCTGCGGTCGATCGGGATTAGAACGCATTCTATCACTGCGTATTGACATTACGGCCGTTGGGTACGTTCCCCTCAAAGTACACTTGGTCCAAAACTTGGAGCCGACCACCTGCTTCTCGCAAGCAAGGGAAAGCGCGTGAAGGCAACCAGCAACACTCAAAATGCAGCGTTCAAGGCGCCAGATTAGAGTTATTAACTATGCGGAAGAGCCAAGTCCGTACAATTCGGAGAGTGAATCCTCCGAGTTGACCGAACTCTCCTCGAACTCGTCTTCTCTCGAAATGTATCAGAATCACTCTACATTTCTCTTGGCTCGCGTCACACATCGCATTCTATCTGCCGCAGAGCGCGAGGGCGCAATCGTCCACATTCAGACCAACTCGCTTGAGGTTGATGCCTGTCAGAAGGAAGAAGACAAGCTAAGCAAGATAATTGGACGCTTAGATGTTCAAATATCTCGATTGAAAGACCAAATTCAAGCCGAGCGACTCAAAGTATTTCAGGCCCTCTTTGTCCCTCGCGAGCAGCTCAAAATCATGTTTGAATATTTCGTCATCGAGCTCGGTCAATCCCCTTGGATCCTCACCCAAGTTTGTCGATGGTGGCGACATGTCGCACTGACGACCGGAAAGCTCTGGTCCAGGATACTCGTCAACCTTGCACCTTCCAGCAGTCATCCCTGTCGCCGACAAGATGAAAGGGAGGTTTGTCGCAATATCAAAGAGTTTCGCCGTGCGCTTGCTCGCTCCGCCGGTGCAAACTTTGACCTCGAGTTCATCATTCATCCCAAATGGCCGGTTCACCGTGACTCAAAGTTCGAGGTACAGGTATCTGATGCTGTTCAGGAGGCAGCCGCGCTACTCATTTCGAGTGGAGCTATTCGGAGACTTGTAAACGTCACGCTTGGCGAAGTCGACATCGATTTTCGTCTGAATCCCTCCTGTCGTATTCGGGAACCCTACGGTCCCATTATCGATGCCGTGATCCAGATGGCGCCAGCACTTCGAGCAGCTGACATCTGCGGGGATAGTGATATGTTTCGGCGAGTAATTCAGCCCCCAAAGCGGTTAAGGAAACTTCAATATTTTCGACTCCAGTCTTTGACATCCAGCCTTTCCTGTGCGAATTTGTGTGGATTGCTTGCGGGTTTGACACACTTGCGCGAACTGGAGCTAGCCAATGTCTCTATCGCCACATCTGGCCTACCGGTCGTCAAGCTATCTTTCCTACAGAAGCTCACCTTACGAACATCCCACGTCTACAGAGGATTGCTTCGTCTGCCATCCTTGGAGCATCTCGTTCTCCAGAGGTCCAAATACGTACATATCAAGCCTCTCAACATTACAAAGCTGGAGCTGGACGATATTACCTATGACTCAGAGCAATTCTCGGACATCAAGTGTGCATCGCTTCAATCACTCTCCCTTGCCAGCCGGGGCTTCGACAACCAACCGCATGAACCCAGTATAAGCAACCTGACTTCTTGTCAAGCCAACCTTTTCTCCATCTCCATATCACTATTCATCACTACCCCGACGTTATTGAATATTCTCAAATCATGTTCAGCGCTCTCTGAGCTTCACATTCAGAGAACGCCACTAGATAAAGAGTTCTTTGTAGCTATCGCCGGAGGTGAACTTCCTCGTGTAGTCAAAATCCGCAAGATCGAGAAGGACCGTTTCCTCTGTCCGACCCTCAAGGTCATCACCATCGATTGTTCGATGCTCACTCTTATACATCATGGCCATGGGGGTTACTCTACCTGGCAAGATATCAAAATCGAAGGATGGGCGCAGAGAGCATTTAAACGGAGGCGATTATGCCTTTATCCACTAGATGCATCAAGACTCAAGCTTGCCAAACGACAAGGTACAAGCTGGTTGGAGTTGTAGCTGGAGCCGTAAATGTGACTTCCCCCACCTTCAGGCCTTTGGACTACTACAAGTATTAGCTGCTGCGGTGTTTGTATGTCGAACTTTGCCATCATGTATCTTCTTGTTGAATCAAGGAGTAGTTTCTGTTCGCTGTCCAAGTTTATAAGATCAAAGAAATGGAAATTAGTAGAGTCATGACTTGATCCCTGCCACCCATCTCATGTCCAGAGAGTCGCCGGAAGACGAATTTATACCAGCTCCTCTGATCCCTTTAGAGCACACTACGTATTTTTCTGTCGAGTACCCAGGATATATTGGCTCGGGTTCACTTCCAAAATGCTTTGATCGCTTGGGCGGGCTTCCAAATGTCTCCGAGACATTTCGGCGAAGCTTGAAGATTGACTTGAGACTAAAGGATAACCAACCGTTTGCTCATCCCGTTACCGGTCAGACGGTCGCGACAAATAACTTGGTTCTCAAAGTCGTGCGGAGAAAGAAGAAAAGAGGACTATCACCAGAGCAGGATACCACTGACATGGAACATGATGGGGCCTCTGAGGCCGGAGGAAGGCAGTCCAAGGGCCAGTTCACTGCTCAAATCGTTGGTGTCGCACGAAAGACAATACGCTTCCGAAGTATGTTCAAATCAGATTTCCTTAAGCTCATGTAACTCGGACAGACCCCGCAGATTTTCAGTACCATCCAAGGGCCGATGACCCTGTCATACAACTTCAGCAAGCCATGCACCGACTGGACGGTAGGCTCATCTCTTTCTAAGGTTGAAATTACTCATGACGTCGCCCTCTCAGTGAACTATATTGCCTCGTACCGTTTGCCTGAGGAGAGAGAAGACTACATGCTATCGCCAGAAGAGCAGAAGAAGCGTAGTCTTCCATCACCGAGCAACCTGAGGTCCTTTCCTTCCCCCCTTTTCACACGGTACGACATGCCCATGAACTACAAGTACGTTTGTGTCTTCTCTTCCCCGGCACAGCCTTTCATTGTTCGCTGGTAGTTTCAAACCAAATCCATCCTCAATCCAGCAGACTGTTGTGGACAAAGAAACTGGGGAAACGAGTACGCGACTGGTCAATTCGTCTCGTCTCCGCATGCAAACTCCTGTTTCGATCAAATGGGGTGAACCGGTACGCCTGAACCAAATCAGAGGCAAAAACTGACTCATTCATCAGACTCCAACCACATGTGGCCCTGAGAGGGAGAGCTTGAGGCCTTGGGCCAACAGTGACCTCTTGCAAAAGTTGAACGAGGTGCAGTCCATATGCATTCAAAGCTTCGCTCTCATCCCTCCTCTTAGCTCCTCGAGAAGAGACCAGTATGGACACGACAAGGCTTGTTGAACCAAATGACCCTTCTCGAGGCACGGCGCATGCACAAGTGAGTAGGTCAGCTTCAAAGAGGAAAAAAAAACTCACAGAAATCAAGTAATAAGGCACCATGGGCACTAGCTACCTATGTATTTCATGAAGGACCCTGGAGAGACTCCGTCATCAAACTAGGCTATGACCCCCGTCAAGATCCTGAATCGGTAAAGTATGTGAATTCGTCACATTTGATTCGATTGCTGACTTGCACAGATATCAGATTGTTTCAATTCGAAACACCAAGAACTCTGTCATGCGCCCATCGCTCCTTGTGGCCCAAACTCAGGAAACAGACATTTCGCGCGACGAGTACGTGAAGAATAGTCCCCGGAGCTCTAATAAATATGGCATAGACACTCTCACGAATTTGATGGCATACATGTTCGACCAGCTGGGACATTCCAATTGTGCGATGTCAAGGACCCGTTAATTGTCGGATTAATCACAGAAGCAATCAACGACCCGCTTGAAGAGTGTAATGTACGACGTATATTCATCCGAACCTGCTTTGGTTATTCTCACATCTGGTACAGGACAAGACTGGTTGGCTCAAAAAAGCACCATTTGAACGAATCAGAGCCATCATGAAGTTCAAGCATCAACGCCTATGCGACATGGGCGTTGCCCCGACGGAGGAAGAGTGCACTATATTCTTAGAGACGGGCGAGGACGTAGACTATTTGAGGAGAGCGATGGCGATGGACAAACAGACCAGGAAGAGGGCAAAGGCGCGAACGACTGTGCCAGAAGAAGAGCTCGCTGCGAGAAGACTAGAGCTGGCTGTTTCGAGAATGGGCCAGCCAGAGGACGCGATGGAATTGGATGGCTAGCTCCGTCGTCGAGAGGGTCAATGTATCTTAGACGATACGCGCCGATGGGCAGAAATACATTGGAAATGCATTATAGGTACAGGATATGAACAGTAAAGGTCATAAGAGGAACCAGGGTTGCGATGTGTGCATCATTTCCTTGTAATGCTCAGGCCACGCTTTACGCGTTGCATGGAACTAGGACTCATTGGGCGTCCAACGACTGCGCCACCGCTGATGGCGTTGATAATCCCGTTGCCTGTTCCCGTTCGAGCTCGTGGGTTCAGGGGAGAGAGGGCACCGGATCCTCGAGCTGGCGGCTGTGTCACACCTGGAAGAGGAGAAGTGTAGCCAGATGGTGAGGATGCATCTCCTGTCACCCGTCTTCTCTGGGGTGGTCGGCTACCCTGGGAGGTCCCAGCCGCCGTCCCAGATGTCGAATGACCATCAAGAAGAGGTCCCGGGTTGCCACCTAGACCCACTCGTCGCGCCTTTTCATGTTTGATCTGTACAGAGCGGAAGTGCGCAAAGAGGTCTTGCCACTTGATCTCATCCCTCCCAAGCTTGGAGCGGTTAGAAGCAACCACATTGACAGGAGGTTGGCTCCTGTGAGAGATGTCAATATCATGGCATCAATATGACAGTAGCTTACGGTTTGGGCGCAATATGCAAAAATCCCAGGGAGCTGACCGCATTCAGTCTGTTACGCAGCGAGATGAACGCTGGGCTTTGAGGAAGACACATGAGAAGGCCATATAAGCATTTGTACAAGTAAGGAAACTTGTCAGGTTCTAGGAGTTGGAGTCGAAGATCTGTATCGAATTGAGTGGGAGCAAATATACGACAGCTGACTCACAGGTGAAGACCGGAGACTCGATTAACTGAACGAGTTTATCGATTTGGACAAGGAGATGCACCGTGATCTCCAACTCCGCAAAAATCTGGAGCAAATTCGAAGCATGCTCGTATGCTTGAGCCAACAGGCACAGTGAAAATGCGGCAACTGCATTATGGCACCAAGATCGGTAAAGAGTGACGAATAGTGCTTGGCCATCTTGCTGAGCCGAGTCAATCGCCTGCACTGAGATATCCCTTTACTGCTTACCCGAGTCTCCAATGTCTTGAGACGCTTCCTAAACTCTGCCAGTTCTGGTGAAGTAATCAGAATCAAGTTGAGTTTTTGCACCATATTGCTGGCAAATGCTAGATCCTGAATATATATGGTAAGTCCAGCTCGAGATGGAGGAGCAGAGTACGTGCCTCTTCTTTCTCCAGGATCTCAGCCAGAGTTCGATATATCCTCTCGGTGTTCAGGCTAAGACACAACTGTCGGATGATCAAGCTCCCACGCGTTTCCAACAATCGCTTGTCTGTACTAAAGAGTCCCAAGAGATTGACCATAAATGACTTGAAGTAACTTTCATCCGAATTTGTAGAAATCTGTGAGAGTAGCTGCAAGTCGTACTTGATGACCTCTTCCGACGAATCGGAGAGGTTCTTCAGCAAAGCCGGGAAGGTTCCATCGTCCATAGCCAAGATCTGAAGCGCTTTGAGCAGATTTAAAGTTGATGAAATCCCTTACCTTGTCCGGGAGTTTCTGGTGCAGCATTATGAGCCACTTGAGAGCAGCAACTCTCGTGTCCTCGTGCTCACTCAAGAATCGAATCGTCAAAGCACTGACAGTTGCATGGTAGTCAAAGGCGTCAACAGCCTCCTTTGCATCACCGGCAGGTAGAGTTGCCTTCCTCTCAGGTTCCCGTTCAGGCGATCCAGAGCGTGACTGTGATGTCCCGCCACCCTCCTTCTCGGCAAACGAAGAGTTTGACGAGATTTGGCCAGATGCTTGTTCAGCTAGACCCGAGCGAAGCCTATTTTGTGCTTGAGAAGCACCTTCTTGGCCCTCAGGAATTGTCGACGGCCGCGGTATAGACGACGAAACAGGGGGAGACGAGGAAGGCGCGATTCCAACCGATGTGATAGAAGGCAGAATCGGCATACTGGGTCGTACTGGGGAGTCTGTTGCCATGTTCATGCTTTTCTGCGTTGTCAAGGTTTGAGGTGGAGGTACGAGGGGTTCTGAGAGGGGGAGGCTCTGGATGACGCTGAATAGCAACTGATTCGTCTTGTTTGCCGCAGCTTGAATGTCGGGCGCATGGTGTGCGATGTTAGGAAGGATAGCCGGGATCAGTCGGGGCGTGAAAGGTACAACTACATCCTGGGCAAAGGTCAGGAATTCATAAAGCCACCTCAAGGCTGTCGACTGCTGGATTTCATCGTCTGTAGGGATTTAATTCACCATACCATGCTCCAGAAACGTGAAACGTACGCTCTCCTTCCAGCTGATCAATAAGAATCTCGACAATTGCAGCATGGTCAACCTTCACGCCTTGGCCTGGAACCCACGCTGAACAAAGGTGTTACTTCAGCTTTCAAAGTCTATGGTTTCTTACCTCCGGGATCTCGCTCGTCAATCTCTTCCACACGTTCTGGCTTCCTCGAAGCGATGCTAACATTGTCCGTACTCCCAGTCGTTACGGCATTCGTCTCCAAAGTTTCCACAGCCTTCCCGTTGGCGCTTGTACTGGGATTTAATGACCCAAATCGCTCTTGCTCCAATCGCCTAGCAATCCGTCTTGCTTCTTGTCTCTCTTGTCGTCGTTTTTCAACAGCAGCAATGTCGTGTATCTCTCTGAGGAAGTCTGCCAAAAGGTTCTCGGCTGCAGTCCTGACGTCTTCTGTAGGATCCGACAAGTATTTACTGTAGGCGGGTGAGGATCAGCAGCAACCACTTGATGATACCCACAGGAGTCCATCTAGAAATTGTGGCAGGTATGAAACCATTTCCAGATCAGGAATACTGTCCAAGACCGCGATCCAGCTGATGAGGAAGCTCCGAGTGAAAGGGCTAAGAACATGGACTCTGTCGGCGAGGAGAGGAATGAAATTCGCCAGCGAAAACGCCTTTTTGGTACCAGGCTTATCTTCGACCAACGAGATGTCATCCGGTCGATTGACAAGGACACCCAGGCCGTACATGTCCTCCACGCGTTGCCTTGCCTTTTCAGAGTCAGGGTGCTGAGCTAGATACTCCGTGGCACACTCTGCAACAGTGTCCTTCAGAAGTCGGTCCAGCAGTTCCGCACCATTCTTCACAGACAATTCCGAGTCTGCGGAGAGCTACTAGATTGTCAGGGTGATGTGATTGTTGATTGTAGGCCTATACCTTGCTCAATGCATCGAATATGGGGTTAAAATAGATCAAAATCTCGCCTCGGGAGACTTTGGCAATGTTGTACATGCTCTCGGCAGCGAAGTAGCGTATCCTACTTTCAGTATCCGAGAAACAAACGAGTAGTGGGTTGATAAATTTCTCCATATATGGTGCAATATCCCCACCCAACGCAATACCAACAGCGGCGAGCGCAATGAGACCGCCATTACGCACGTGTAAGGGATGTGAAGGGTTGGAAAACAACTCAATCACTTGATCCAAGATGGCTTCAATCCGCACTTGGTCATGGTGCGTGTTGCAATCGCGAACCTGCCTGGAAAGAAACTGTGGTCGGTCTTGCAGTCGGGAACGTGATTATTGAGGAAGAATATACCTCTCTAGTTCGAGAGCAGCAGCCTTTCGTTTCTCGTAGAACTTATCATGGAGTCCTTTCGTGATGTTCTGGTCTGTGGCACGCCATCCGCAATGGGTCAACATTAGCTATCAGCGGTTTACCATTGAAAATGACGAACCCATCTCTCCAATTCTATGATTTGGTGCTTTCTCGAGCTGGAAGGCAAAGGCTCCGAGTATCGGAGATGCACGTCAGGTCCAGACTGGTTTACCACCTCAAGTGTATACTCAGCGAAGTACAATCGAGTTTTGTATGCTTGGATACAACTATCAACACGTTCTGGGCACAAAGTATTAGATAAGTACAATATCGTTCTTGACGAAGCCCCCTCGGAAGTTGTTTAACATTCGCGCCTTTTGCCTACCTTTTCTCTGCATAGCTGCGAATGCCGCTCGAATATGATCCGGTCGGAGTGCTGTGCGAGGTTCAGCAGGTGGGAGGAACAAGCCGCAAACTGCAGCCTCGCTATCAAACTCTGTTCGTCTCCGTTTAGCATCTGGTTCTGCGTTCTCTGCTTTATAGCCATTCAGCTCTCCACTCTGCTTCAATTGGAGTGCGTCGGTGCAGAGGACGCGAACGATCTCAAATGCAAGAAAACCTAGAATATCCATCGTGTCGTCTCCACTCTTGAGCTGCATATGGGGTGGAAGGTTTAGAAATTCTCTGAAGCGTGCAGCTGAAGGGTTTGATAAGACCGTAGAATGCCACAGGGAGTAGTAACGGACCTTTGCGATGAGTAAACGACGCCTGCCGCATGTCACTGTATCTGAGATATTCATCCTTGGTCATCTCTCGAGTAGCTTCATCAAGATGCTAGGCCGTGAGTCAACAGGACGAAGATGACTGTCTGAGAGAGCGTACGCGCAGTCGATCCTGTCGTGCTTCGGTCATTTCCTCGTCCTCTTCATCATCTTCAAGAAGTCCATTGTCCCAAAGTGCTCCGAGGTACACTGTCTTGAGCTCCCAAGGAAGTTTGACGTTCATTTGCTGAGCGGTGCCCTCATCTGCGTCACGTCAGAACGCAAGAACTTCTACTATCCCAAGAAGATATCTTACCCGGTTTCTCTTCGTCTCCTATCTCCAAGTCGTCTGCCCCTCCACCTTCTGTGTCCTTGGCGTGTTTTCGGACGTCCTTCCAGCTCAGGTACGTCCGAAGCCGGTTTACTTTGTCTTTGTCGTGCCTTAATATGAAGACTAGGTCCTCAGCTTTGAAGTTCTTCTGCCCTCTACGCACGGCGTGTGCCTTTGCCTGGGTAATCTGTGATGTGGAAAATGGTCAGAATAGGCTGAAGCAAACCAAAGTGCTCACAATTTCAACCACTTGCTCTCTGACAATCTCCTCTACGAGGTTCACCGTGTCTGTGTTGGGTTCGAGCACTTCTCCGAAAACATATAACTTGTTCAAGTCAGAAATACTAGGACAGATGACAGTCTTTAACCGGCTACCATATTCGAAATTTCAACGGTATAATAATACCGGGGCTCATTGCCATCTTGCAATACGGCCTTTCTTTTGCTCATGGTAATGGAAGGGTTCAAGTTGTAAGAGTTCCCAAAGTAAACTTCAGGAATGGCTTTTCCATCGCTCTACAAACGATTTAGCAGGCTCTAGATAAGTACTACATCATTCTTGACAAAACCTCCTCGGAAGTTGTTAAGCATCCGTGACTTTTGTCGACCTTTGTGCTGCATGGCAACAAACGCTGCTCGAATATGATCCGGTCGCAGTGCCGTGCGAGGCTCGGCTTGCGGGAGGAATAAGGAGCAAGTAGCCACAGAATCGACATCCATCCTTCGTCGTGATCCATCCAATTCTGAGGTCTCCGTGATTTCATCCCTGCTCTGTTTCAATAGCAAGGCATTGACGCATAGCACGCGAACAATCTCGAAAGCTAGGAAACCAAGGATGTCCATAGTGTCATCTCCACTCTTGAGCTGCATATGTGAAGGAAGATTCAAGAATTCCTTGAACTGTGCGACTGATAATGTTTAGTAGCATCTAGAACACAGGTAGCAACAGACCTTTGCGACGAGTGAACGAGGCTTGACGCATATCGCTGTATCTGAGGTACTCATCCTTGGTCATCTCTCGAGTGGCTTCATCAAGATGCTAGCCTGTGGGTCAACAGGGCGAGGATGACTGTCTGAGAGAGCGTACGCGCAGTCGATCCTGTCGCGCTTCCGTCATTTCCTCGTCCTCTTCGTCCTCTTCCAGGAGCCCATTACTCCAAAGTGCTCCAAGATATACTGTTCTCATTTCCCACGGTAGTTTGATGTTCATCTGCTGAGCCGTCCCTTCGTCTATGGAAGCTTCAGTAGTGAAATGTCACAACCAGGCCCGACGAACCAGGCCTGTCATCCTCTTCCATTTCTAAATCGTCTACACCTCCACCATCTGTATCCTTGGCGTGCTTCCGAACTTCTTTCCAGCTCAAGTAGGTTCGTAGCCTGTTGACTTTGTCTTTATCATGTCGCAAGATGAAAACGAGGTCCTCTGCTTTGAAACTCTTTTGTCCACGCCGCATAGCTTGATGCCTTGCCTGATTGATCTATACCGGGCCGGTCACAGGGGAATAAATGAAGTTTCTGATGGCAACTGACGATTTCTACAATCTGATCCCTGACAATCTCCTCGACGAGATTCACCGTCTCTGTCATTGGGTCCAAAACCTCCCCAAACACGTATAACTTGTACGAGTCAACCTGGCTTGAGAGTGTGGCATCTGCATACCATATTGGATATTTCGCCAGTATAGTAGTACTTTGTTTCGCTGCTATCTTGCAACACTGTCGCCTTTCGCTTGCTCATGTCGAGTTTGAGTCCAAGGGTCTCGGCTGGGTTCAAGGGAGTGAACACCACACTTAAGATGCCACCAAAAGACGGGATTCGCAAAAGGACGCGAAAGAGAAAACGAAGACAGGCGTTGTCATCGTCTTCGTCCTCTTCGAGTTCGAGCTCGGACACTGATGAAGGCTCATCACCAGTGGCAAGAAAAACGCCCGTCATGGAACGAGATGCCCCGCCAACGATAGAAGAAAGCACCTCTTCATCTTCTGAAACTGAATCTTCCGCCTCGTCATCTGATTCAGAGAGTACAAACAAAGGGGAAGGAGACGTCGAGATGAAATCACCGACGGGGCCAAAACGCGTATTACCTTCGCGTTCACCGAGTCCAGCAAGTTACAAAATGGAGACTAGCTTATCCTTACACCCGGTGACGGAGGTAGAAAAGGAGCGGGACACCCAATTTCGTGAACGGTTCCGAGGCTTTTGGATGAAGAGTATGGCCGAGGGCTTTGGGGAAGAGCTTTCTCAGCTTCAAAAGGTAAGGCCCATACTTTTTTGCCACCGAACTTCTGATCAAAGCATCAGGAGCCTGATATGACCAAGCCTAAACTCGCCATGCTCATTGATGCCCTGGCCGGGGGGACGGGAATTTATCTCCCAGAAAATGGAGCCGAAGGAACAAGCTCCGGAGTCAGTGAAGTAGAGATGCTGCTCGGGGTCAAAAGATGAGACTTCCCCGATGGGATCTGCACGTGTGATCAATTCAATAAACTAGATCGACATTATACCGATTTAAATATCACATCAAGCATAAGGAGACTCCGAGGTAGGTGGACTGTCCTTCGTGAGCCTTTCGTCAATATCCTTTGCGCGCTCGAGCGACACCATCTCCAAGCAAAATTGGATGCCCGCCTCTGTGGCCAACTTGATATCCTGTACTCGTTCACGCATGCAAAAAGTCACAGGAAATCGGTAGCTCATCCACAAATAGACGCAGAGCATCTTATGCAGCAGCTCCAATCCCTCTAACCGGATTGAGGATTCACGCATGGAAAGGACAGGTGAAGCGCCGCCATCTGTATCTTTCTGCGACTGTTGCTCCTCGCGAGCGGCCATTACGTCTTCCAAAATGAGCATAAGCCCGGCCTGCCGGAAGATTGCCTCTGGATCGACAATTTCGCCATTCTCATATGCCACGAGCATCGATTCGAATATCGGAACGGCCTCGGGGATCGCCCATGGGACAGGCACCTGGGCGATGGTCGCTTTTGTCGCAATGCTGAGATTTGGACATGCCTCATCGATTGTATACGCTGCGTCTAGCAGTTTTGAGTAATCTGTGATGGAAAATGGTGCATCGCATATGGCAACGTCTTGGAGTAATTGAAAGAGTTCGCCAAGTCCCGTGCTAGGTGGAAGTGTGCGATGTAGTCGTCCGAGCCAGACGCTATCCGCGGCGATAGTAGCGTATTTTAGTTCTCGAACGTCATTACTCATCGCAGATGCAAGGATCTGGTGCTCCTGATGCAGAAAAGTTGTCGCAATTCCGACAGAATCGGCGTCGTGCAGACCATATCTTCCAGCTCGACCTGCAATCTGCTTGATTTCGGAGAGAGAAATAGTGACGTTCTTGTAGCCATCCCATTTTTTTAGGGTGGAGAATAGTACTCGCTTGATTTTCCTACCAATTGTGAGGCGAAGAGGTGATGAAAAGGAGCGAGACATACAGGTTCAAACCCATACCAATCGCGTCGCTAGCAATGAGTACAGAATGATCAACGTCTCCAGCGTTGAATTTTGCCGCTTGGTCGACTCGGACTTCTGGTGGTAGTTTGCCATAAATAACGGCACACCGCAGTCCGGTTTTGGACTCTATGAGATGTTTGAGACCAAAGATAGACTTGCGTGAGAACGCGACGATACAATCGCCAGGACGGATGTCTGCAAGGTTGTTACCCAGGCTCTTGGGCGCAATCTGAAGGGGCGTCAAGCGCTCGTAGCGATTGACAATGACCTCATCGCCTGCAGGTTTGACAAGCTCCTTAATCAGTTCAACTGCACTCTCCTCTCCACATAGATGGATCTCCTCGGCGTTGAGACCGAGCAGGGCTTGCGTCCAGGCGCCCCCGCGTTCCGAATTCGCAATCATTTGGATTTCGTCGATGACTACTACGTCGAATTTGCGAGTGAGCGGCACCATCTCGACTGTTGCGCTGATCAGCCCGGCCTCATCGTCAAGAATCTTCACGTCCTCTCCCGTGATGAGATTACAGACCCGTGGATACTTTTTGGTTGGGTCAGCTCCGGTGGGAGCGATGTCACCATTGTTCAACCGCCCAAATATCTCGGTGGCTAACAGTCTCAAAGGACCAGCATAACAGCCGTACTGTGCCCCTGCTAAAGCACGGAGAGCATGATACGTCTTCCCGCTATTTGTTGGTCCTACATGCAGTATAATCTTGCGCTGCACTTGTCTCGCGGCCGGGTGTAGCTCAGCCGGGTGGGTAAGCAAAAGCGCGTCGTCCACCGCTTGCAGGAAGCCAAATTGTTCTTGGTCTACGTGTGGCATAATTTTGAGGAAACGAGCCATCAACGCGCGGTCGATCGCCTCATTCGGCCCATTCTCCATCCTATTCTGTAAATCCTCCCAGCGCCATAGTTTATCCAACTCCTCTGGAGAGCTACTGTGTAGCTCTTCCTTGATGCGACCAGCGAACACGTTGGCGAGTCTTGCGTAGTCTTTTCTGTTTTCAAATCCGAGGATGTGAAAAAACCGTTGGACATGGGAATGATTGCTCCAATAGTTTGTGACTCGTATAATGATAGCTTCTTTCTGTTGTTTTACTCCTCGTGGAACCTTGAAGCGAGGAGCGTCGTTGAATCTCCGTGCTGTATCGTTCGAGTGGCTCCATGGGGCCGCTCTGTGCGACGAATTGTGATTTTGATCATATCTTGTTCTATTATAGCCACCAAATGGGTCCTTTGGAGGTGGGTCTGCATGTTGCAAGACCCAGTTCCTCGGTGGTGGATGTTTTCGCTTTGATTGTCCACGTAGCGAAGCCGAGGATGTATGGAAGAAAAGACGAGGAAATTGCCTTTGTAGGCTACATCGCACACAGACCGAGGTCGAGAAAGACATGCCAGAAGTCGAGGTGTGGTGGACCAAGGGTCGGTGCAACCTACACCCCGCCGTTACCAGGTTGTTTAGAGGAAAGCCACGGAAGGTAAATAACAGGGTTCTATAGGCATATAGGAGAGTAGACACGACAAGGAAAGGGATAACCAGACTCAGATAAGTAATGCTACATCAAGGGCTCGGAAGAGGATCGTCCAGTGCACAATATGCATACAGAGAGCAGTGGATGATCATCAAATGTAGGCTGTGAGTATGATAAAAAACGGCAGAGGGGAGGAACAAATAGCTGGATCCCTTGCGGAGGGCCTTCTAGGCAAGTAATTTAATGAAAAAAACCGCTTTCTCTGACTATTTCTGGGTCCAAGAGGCGCTAAAGCTCGACGCCGTAGAAGTGGGGGGACGGGTGCTTGCCTGGAGCCCAGAGGGGCTCGACGAGTTGAGTGTCCTGCGCGACTTGTTTCGTTTGGGCTGATACCGGTACCCAGGATTCGCGGCCTCGTGTTCCTGCTTGACCGCCTTTGCTACAAATGGAGTCAGCCCAGAAAACAATGCCATTGTTCTCCCCGTGGCGCCGGCAAGGGGCCCGCGGCGTACCTCGTTCGAACCAAAAGTCACGCTCCTGTTGGGACAACTCCTTCCAGAGCACAGAAATTTCTGGTGGTGAATATACCGCTCCGTCGGGTCTCCGCGACTTGCTCATGGTCGACCTGCAATTAGTTCAGTACTTTCAAGGCCAAGAAAAAGGACGAACCTGAACAAAATCCATGCATTTGCAGGCCGAGGTATATGTGAAGTACTCGGGTGATCCTCCCCAGGAGACTGGGAGCGACTTCGTAGTGAACTTCCGGCCTCGTCATCCAGAAACGACGCAGGGGAACGCAGATCGGGCGTATTTGCATTGGAATATTGTCGTGGCATACCATCCATCCCTACCGGAAATCGGGTAGTAGATGCACTCGCCGACACAGGGGAATACGGCTGACTTTCTGTCCCAATCGAATATGGTATGCGCGAATCCCCGTGGTGATCATTTTCTACTTCATAAGCTGCTTGGAACCAGTGGTTTCGCTGCTCGGTCGAGAGGTCGTCCCACATTCGCCTGAGCCTATGCGCCAAAAGCGGGCTCCCATCGTCGGTTGGCAGGAATGGACCATATCTCTCGCTCGTCCTCTTCAGCGATTCCCTGAAAGGTGTCATGATCAACGTTTGTCCTGGCAACAGAGAGGCGACATGTTGTGGATGTGGACATACTTGAACATTCGAAAAGCGGCATGGCTCCTCGCCTCGTCATTAAATCTAGACCCAAGAGAAGAATCTTCATGCGAGGCACTGTGTTTGTCCGAGAGCGAGACGGAGCGGGAGACGCCAGAAGACGAATGTGGGCGTTCGCCTGTGAGCGGTAGCTCGTCCTCTCCAGAATGCCAGGACGACGACCTCGAATGACCTCTGGACTCTCGCCCTCTTTTCAGGTTTCTGTAAGACGGGAGCGACGGCGAGTCGACGTCCATGGCCATGATCATGTCCGTCGTTCCGCGGGGAGGCAAGATGATGGTGTTCGCCTCCAGATGGGTTGTGGGCGCTTTATCTGCAGACATTATCCCACCGGGTTTTTTTTATCAACGACAGCTTAAAATCCGCAGAAAATATCCCGAGTGTCCAAGGAGCACAAACGGCTGGTACGACCCACGGGAGCTTAAGAGTGGCGACGGTCTAAGCCAGACACAGGCTACAAAGCAATGCACAGGATTTAAGAAAACCGTCGCAGATGGGCTGAGCTCGACGTCGGACAAGCAAAAGTGACACTCTCCGACTGTTTGGTTTGGCTACGAATTCACTTCTCTAGTCTCCTCTCTGCCACGTGTTACAGTGATTCAAATGTCGAAAGTGGCCCTTTGAGCGGCTTCGTCGTCGTCAAAGCCTACAGCTGTTGCACTGCTCCCGAGAACAAGGGTTTCCTAGTTTTCCCAATCCGCCTAGCATTGATGCCGGCTACCAACCCCCGTTAATCTGTACACTCCCAGACATTTGTAGCAGTCTTTGTTCCCGAAAAGGAAAACCAACATACAAAACTGTGGGTGGTTTCGACGAGGCTGGGCTATCTTCCGTCCGGGACGCATCTTCTGTCTAGTTTACGGTGCCTCGTGGCTCTCACGTGGCATCTCAGATCATCTAATCGGATTTGCGCTCAGGCAGTGTGAGCACAGGTCTCCAACCTCGCGCAGACGGCGTAGAATAGACAGAAAAAGGGGGGAAAAGAATGTGATTCCATATTGTCAGTAACGCTAATGCTCCGCATCTCGTTGCTGCTGTTTCAGCTCCAGCCCAGCCGCCCGTCGGCATCGGCAATAATAAACAGATTACCATGATCTAAAACGTCAATGCTGCTCCCGCACCAATAGCAAGCGCGATCAGGGACCAGGCAGACGCGCCCACGAAGGGCAGAGAGTACCTGGCGGAACCGTCGTTGAGCAAAGCTGTCCGGTTGGAAGCATATACCGTTGGAATGCCCGAGGTGTCGTTGGCCCCATACATGTACGACACGGTGTCAGGTCCGACAGCGAGCCCTGACGATGTCGAGCATTGGATGACGACCTTTGAAACGAGAACTTGATATTGATCTATAAAAGAAGGGCTCAGAGAACCGTGATATCGATTTCAACTATTAAACTCACTGCCGGCAGCCTGGTACTCGGGCTCATTGTACTGAATCAAACCTCCCGACCATGTCACGACACCCTAAGATTACCCGCAGGGTTAGACTCATACTTAGCCGCGAATGATGTTCGCCTCTCACCTGAGGACTGTCTGGGAGGCCTCCAGGCCAGATGCTCAATTGAACGCGAGCAGGCGAAGTAGGGTACTGATACACTCCGTCGACGAGCGTTTCCTCCTTGCGAACAGTGCGAACAACGTTTCCGTCGATGGAGAACTGCAGTTGGTCTGGTTGCCAATTGATCTAACCCCAAACCCGCATCAATAGGTGACCGGAGGCGGACGACGGGACTAGCATACCGTGTAGTCGTGGTAGTTTTCGTAAGAGTCTGACGAGAGCGTATGTGTCGCTCCATGACCCGCGGTGTCTAGCAGCGGAAATTAACGAAACATGTGGTTCAGGAACGAATTAAACTTACAGTCGACGTGACCCTGGAAGAAGAAGTTGCTTTGAGCTTCCAGAGGATGGTTTCCGGGCCATTCCCAATCAATTTCTTTGCCGACTGTCAGCCCGTCTATTCATCGAAATTTGCAAGCGATCTCACCATCCTAACAGTATTTAGTACGGGCTTGACCTGTCACTATGAAGCGCACCTTGATATTCGACATTGTGATGAACGCGCCGACGACTCCATTCCACTTGCTAGTCTTAATGGTAGCCGTAATAGTTCCATACAATACATATTCGGTGGTCGAGATGCGAGTTCCCTTGGGCGCTCGGCTATCTTGGGTCAAGATCAAAGCGAGCTCTGGTCGCGGTAAGTACTACAAGTCGTCTAGAGCGGCATCTAGAACATACCTCCGCCATTATTGTTGGTGTTGAGTGGAGTACCAGCATCGATGGTCCAGTCGTAGGCGGTTGAGTTGCCATCATAAGTGGTAGCTACCGGGTTTTCAGCGCCAAGACGACAAGCAGACGACGGCTGAACGTACCATTGACGAGCGTAGGATTGCCCGGAGCAAAGGTATAAGTCTACACAGACAACGTTAGTAGACTTATGAAGACACGTGATGTACTGACCTTGTCACGGCAGATTGGCATAGGTCTGCAGCTGTCGAGGGTGTGACTTGACAAGGGATTGCATCCACCAAGACAATATGGGCCATAGGCTTGACAAAATCCAAACTCGGAGCAGCAGGGGGCAGAGGAAGGACAAAGGGCCTGTCCGGGACCACTTTAAATGAGTGACAGTGAGCTTGTTGAACCCTTTCTGCAACGGTTTATACGTACCAAGTAGCTCCGGCCTGGACCTGGATCACGGCAGCTGCCAACAGGGCAGCAAAAGCGAGCAGACGAGCCATTTGTGTGATTTCTTTGAGGTTGATAATTATTGTGTTTTATAAACGAATGAGATTTGCCTGGTCGCGGTCGTAGAAGGATCCAAGATATAAGAATAGGCAAGCCGTTTCAAAGCCGCCAATCCCAGGCGAGAGGCCGGTTGTAATATTTACAACTGAATTCGTATCAATAATAATAATCTCAGTCTATTCCGAGCGTCGCTGTAGACCAGGGGTTTACCGTGTTTACTATGCCAAGGCACTGGATTGCAAACGAGGCCACAGCATCGCTCACACCTTGAACCTTTCCTCATGATCCATATCGCGACTATTACCGCCCTCTTTATCGCAATCGTTGTCAAACTATTTCCACAACATGTTCCACAACTTGCATTCCATCTTCCAGCCTGGCTCATCTACTCTTTCTACATTCTCCTCGTGCTGCGTTGGCCAGTAGCGCCGTTTGTGCTCAACAAGCTCTCCAAAGGCAAAGCCATTGTTGACTCGGTCAGCTTGCGCTCTATCAAGGGCATACGCTTTACTATTCCCAATCTCGTCAAAGTCGAGTGTGACCGTCTGGGCTATTCGGTCCATCTCTTTGGCAAGAAGGCCAACCGGCGCATCGGAGTCACATTTGACGGTCTCAGGCTAACAATTATTCATATTCCTTCCAAGAAACATGCTCCCAGTAAGCAGAGGAGCGCCTCGCTCGGCTCAACAGACGCGCCTCCAGTCCCACATGCGTCTGCCGACAACGAACAAGAGGAAAAGGCATCTCCCATTCTCGAATGGCTTAAGAAAATTCTCCCAGATATCTGGGTCCAAGCACTCGACGACGCCTCGCGCGCCTGGATTCGACAAATTGTCAGCCTATCGTTTGATTTTATCCTCCAAGTCGCGCCCTCTATCATCTCCACACTTTCCGTCAGGTTTTCCAATGTTCAAATCACGTTTGTTGAGCTCAATGGCGTCAACTTTACGCTGTCAAAGGCCTCCATTGGCGTATATGTCGCGCTCGAGGTCGTCCCCGAACACCAAATGACCGAGGAGCAGCGTAAAAACTTGCGTGCTGCACAGCGGATGAAGGCAAAGTCGTGGAAGGACAGGTTCACCGGCAGCCTCTCGAGGACTTTCCAGGCTGCGTGGAAGGGCCGTCAGGGCACGGCATCGCTCACGCTCAAGCTGGAAAAGTTCACTCTCTTCAATCCTACCCCGCCTCCTTCCAAGCGGGCCCGGGCTCAGTCAACAGTGTCGACCGACTCTGGATGGGTTCACTTCAGCGACATTAATGTCGATGCACCCGAAAATGCCGTCCTACACATTCCAGGAGAGAGCAAGTTCTCAGTCAGGTGTGATTTTGACCCCCGGAAAGGCAAGATTGCCAACCATAGCGTGCGAATGCATGCGGGTGTCGCAGATGTCACGGTATTCGTCGACGTACTGCAAAAGCTCATCAGTGACATTCAGTCAATGATGCCAAAGAACTCGAATGTTTACGAGCCTCTTCCAGCTTCGCCGATGCCCACCTTTAGCCCAATCTCGTCGCCACCCACCTCTCCACAAATTGTGCCAACTCCCACATCCGCCCTTCCAGAATCCATGCCAACGTCACCAGTATTATCTCCAAAGGTACGTACAGCTCGCCTGTCGATTCTCTTGTGACCTCCTCTCTTAGAGTGGACGGTTTTCGTTCTCCCCTGCGCGCGCCAAAGCCGCCAAGCCAAAGAAGGATCTTAATATTATGGTGAGAATAAGGCTGTGAGTTGGTATCACGCTAACAAGGTATGCAGAATTATTTTAACAGCGTGGGAGTCACGATGCCACGCTTTACTCTGCAATATACGTCGACAAAGAGCCGAGAACCCATACAGTACAAGAGTCAAATCGTTGGTCTCGATTTTGGAGTCAAGCTGAGCGATCCGCAAACGGACGTCATTCACGTCAAGTGGTTGGGAAAGACTGGTCGACCCAACCTAGAGACATGTATGGCCTGGTTCCGCTTTACAGATGTCATCGTTCACCGGGATCACAACATCTCGAACGAAGACGGCATGATGCGTATCGTCAAAACAGCGGGACTGGACGCTCAAGTGCTCCTTCACCAGTTTCCCTCGCCCATGATCAAGCGTATTGGAGATACCACTGAGGCCTTCGTCGCCTGTGAGGTGGAAATGGAGAGTATAGAGGCCACTGAGAATCTTGATTTGATTCGCAAAAGGCTTGCTCGTCCAGCCTTGCCAAAGCGTCGCAAGACATCTCAAGAGCAACAGAAGAGGATATTCACGGATATTCCACGAATTGCTGTGGATGTCCGAATCGGGGAGATCAAGGGACGTGTCATTTGCGATGACGAGAAAGCGTTTCCTCACGACGTCGCTTTGGATGCTCAGCTCGATGCAGCAGAGCTACATATACGGTCCGACTATGACCAGTTCAAGGCTCCTCAACGAACGGCCCGCAGAGATCGTGGTTCAGACTGTTACCCACAGCTAAACTTCAACGTCAATGCGGCCGTTCACTCGCCGTTTGTCCGCATGTCTCATGCTGGAGCTGAAGAGGACAGTGATTCACCAATGCGACAGAGGCTTGGAGCACCATCGCATGGTGGTGCTTGCAAGCAAGACGACCCAATCTTCTTGATGGAAGGACTCGAATTCGGCGCCAGTGGAACACTTTTAGGACGGTGGAGCAACGATATCATTGTCCTTGATAGTGCCTCACTCATGACGGAGGCCCATCTCATCATCGACACTGTGCGGATCGAGCTGTGGACTTTGTCTTCGCTGAACATCCTTACCTACTTCCTACAACAAGTCAAATACGCGTCGGCCAAATCAAAGAGAGGGGCGCCGAAAGCTTCATTGCAAGCAATTCCATCGACGAATCTCCTGGATGCTCTCCCCTCTGGTCTCCAGTTTCAGGCCGCTATTGGGTCCTTCACCGTTGGAGCTACCGGCGTCGACATCAATCCTGACTGTACTCTCGAGCTCCATCGCGGCATTTTCTTCAGCACGAGCTTCATGTTCCGCTACGCCTCGGTTCAAACGGCACTACACAACGCCCGCGCGAGGGACAGGTTCAAGAAAGCCCTGTCCCGCGACCAGTTGCGTCTCTCGGAGGACCTCCTGATGCAGGCATTCTCATATGCGAATCAGAGCGACGACCCACGAGCCATTTCGGGCCTCACAGAGGTTCTATTCTCTAACACAACGTTGAGACGTATCGTTGGGAATCAATTTGGTGTCGAGGATAGCTATCTCGAAGAAGTGCCGAAGAATGTGGGTGCCAATGGCCTGACCTTGTCCATTCCCCGGATGCGCCTGCGATCGTTTATGACGCGAAGACCCACCGAAAATGCTGAATTGGTTGACAATGTGAACGTCACGCTGGACGTCAACGTTATTAGTGCACATTTACAGCTACTTGACGCGTACTGTGCTCTTCTAGCCGTTCAAACCGTGAAGCATGTTCTGGGTGCGGAGAGGAAGCTAAAAAATAAGGAAGAATCGCAGCAGTCCCTGACAACTGGGACTCCGAAGAGGATCAGTTTCGACGTTACGACACAGATTGCCGCAGCCCAACTTATTTGCCTCCTTCCCATCGGTCAAGTCCTCCAGGCTCGATTAAACGTTTTCACTGCGCGCGCTAGCGACTCAAAGGAGGTCGAAGTCAAATGGACTGCGGCGTCTGTTCTTGTGCCAAGCGGTGTACAACGCGTGCATCGAAAGTGGGAGGAGATTGGACGACTTCCATCGTGGCGCATCTTGCTCGGTCCCGACAAGTTGTCTGGCAAATTGTCGATTCAGGTGTATGGCGACTGTGCGCGTATCCGCATCCCTAATGGCTTTATTCTCTCGGACACAATTTTATCGGTCACCGTAGCCGTCAAAGCGATGAAGCACCTCGTTGATATTACGACCGCAGGTGTCTACGCCAGGATGCCTGTCCCGCCTAGCGAACCAGCGAAGCATGTGCCAAACATTCACGTCCAAATCGACAGTTTGATGTTCGAGGCTACTGACTCGCCGATCGAAGCCCGCCTTAGCCTGGCATTCCGAAATAATCTACTGGCACAACGAACGCGCGTCGAGCACGAGGAAGCCTTTGAAGCCAAGGTTGCGAAGATCGAGGCGGAGAAGAACTCCAGTGGGAGCACAAGCCGCGTTGGCGAGTGGAACTTTACGAGCGAGCACTCTGTACAGATTGGAGAGGCTAGACAGCGCCTTCGCGAGCTGTTTTCCAATATGTGGATCAGTCAAATACAAGACGCTCGTGCGATTGCCATGGTAAAGGAGGAGAATCTCACGATGAGATTCAGAGAGGGTAAGACAGTTCATATGGATGAAGTCATCCCACTTCCACTCTACGTCCCACCAAACCTCCCGCCTCTCTTCCGACTCACTCTCAATGGCGTGTCCGTCGCTGTCCAAGCACCCAAGTGGAGTGAGGAAGACCGAGCCACCTTTATGGAGGATCTTGGAAACGGCCTCCCTCGGGACACAGAATTCACCCTGTTGATTCCCTTGCACCTCGAGGTTGGAGTAGATAGCGCAAGATTCAGCCTTCGGGACCTTCCCTTACCTCTTCTCAACGTCCCGCCGAATTCGAGCGGAAAGGCACTCACCTTCGCTACGGATCTGGTTATCGGAGAAGAAATAGGTCCAGATTCGTCTGTGCGATGGGTAGAGTGTGATATCGCGACCCCGAACGCTGATGCGCCGGGGGCGGCGCCATTCAACGTTCTCATCCCAAAGACTACTATGCCGGTCAAGACGTACGCTCAGCCCGAGGTCAACGTCAAAACGTCTGGGATCACCGATTTGTGTTGGGGTGTCTCTTTCCTGCCGGTCATGCAAGAGGTCATGAAAGTCATTGACAATATGAGTACCATACCCGTGGATCCATCCCCTCCACTCGGATTCTGGGACAAGTTGCGCTTGATCCTCCACTGGCGTGTAAACGTCAAGTTTGCAGGCGAAGTGCACGTTCATCTCAAAGGTTAGTCGATTTCAACTAGGGAAGATCGCAACTCACCATCCCTGGTAGGCTCTCGTGACGCGTGGAAGACATCTGGATCAGCTGTTGGGATCGCTCTCTGCGCAAGGCGCAACACACGCATCACAGTTGGACATCCCAACCCTCAGGGAGAACTCGTTCAACTCATCAGTGACGATATGTTGATTGTTGTGCCTTCGTGAGTATTTCCTAGCCCTTCGTTTACTACGCCCTAAGGACTCCTTTAGCCTCAAGCACTTTGAAAATGCACCGTCTGGTCTATCATCCCTGGATTATGAATTAGGCCCTGGAAGTCGTCAGCCACAGAAAGTGGTGGCAAAACTCACTAGCGGTGTCCGTATCGGCATGGGCTTTGCCTTGGAGCGAACTTGCCGCTCTGATTGCGCGACATGTCCTAAGGATGCGGATGCCTTTCATCGCTCCTGCCGCCTATTTGACTTCAAGCCTCACTATGAAGTTGCGTTACGAGTCGACGACGACAAGTCGAAGGTACGGATGACCCGTCCAAGTATGAATCTACTAACAACTCTCAGGATTCGTTCGAGGGCTTTCGATCCGACTTCATCCATACGAGCATCTCATTGCACTCACCGGCTGATGTGACACCAGGCGAACACATCTCGCCAAATAGCGTTCATCTTACTCCCCGCGTCTTTGCCCATTTCTGGTCCTGGTTACGTCTTTTTGACAATGCATTGGCGCTTCCTATCCGCCAAGGCAAAATGTGGCCCGACACACGGCCTCCGTCAGAGAAGATTGGACGACACATCGCTACACTCAAGATGCGATTTTGTTTGGACAACCTCTCTATCTCCCACACGTACAAGCAAGACTCTCAAGAGGCCTGGTCAAATGGCGAAGTCCCAGCGGTCGGTGTCAAAGCCATGGTCAGATCTTTGCGTGCAGATCTTCACCAACGAGACCAAGAACTCCGCACTACGAATCCAGAGACAGGAGAATTCAAGTATACCCGCAGCAAAGCACTCTATGGAGCAGAGCTCCGCATGACAGACATTTTCATGCGTGCTGTTGTGGCGATACACCGTGAACCAGACCTGCAATCAGTGGCCGAAGATCTGGAAGTTGATTACGACTCCCCGTACAACATTGCCCCTCCCGCCTCGACCAGCGATCCAGCATTTGACCCTGACGACTATACCGAGTTGGATTGGCTTCCCACCGATCAAGCGCCGCGCTTCTATATGGGTGAAGTTGCGTCATGTCCCGAGTTCAGCTTTGTCAAGAAGATTGAAGTTCTGCGTCAACCGTCCGACGACCCGACACACGGTGTTCCGAAGATGAGCAAGTTTGGCGCCGAAGATTCTCATGTTTGTCTAATGGGTGGAGATGTCGGTATGTGCTACGGACTATTGTCTAGCTTCTCGTTGATGAGTGTGAAGATCCACGAAACGTGCACCAAACAATGGCCGAGTCTCGGAAAAGAGTGTTAGAGGCTGAGCTATCTCGCCTCGATCCCGCAAACGTAAGCAGCCCTCTCAAGTCACGAGCTAAACTGATGAAAATCACAGCGACTCTATGAGACCAAGAGAGCCAGTCTTATGCAACGCATCGATCTGCTTGCAGTCTATATTGAAAAACTTCTCCACCCTCCACCTTCGGCGACACCCAGTCGTTTAGAGGGGTCTTTACATGGGAACTGGTCAGCATCCGACTGGGAGTCATTCGACAATCTTTACCATGTGTACGCTCCCAAACTGAGCCTGAACAATGGCACGCGTAACGTAAGTTGTTTGGTTCAGCATTACTCGATTCTGACCTTGGCAGATTCTGTTGCAATACTATTACGAGTCCAGGAAGCGCAGAGGTTTCGAATACCACATGGCATCTAGGTAGGCCGGCTGGTTTTCTTGATTTTGGAACATTTGGCTCATTGTTGCCAGTGCTGTGCGCTTTATTCGCGAACACGCCATGGCAGTTGAGTCACGAAAGGAGGAAGACCATCCAACCAAAGCCGAACCAATGCCAACTGTGACGAGGAGCAAGTCTACAAACGCTGTTAAACGTCTCTTCACCCGAACCGCTGAACCGCGCAAGCAACAGGACCCCATTGCTGGGCCAGCAGATGTCGATGAGAATCTCGGTGCCCACCATAACACGGTCACAAACCAGTCACACTTTTGCCTCCTGTTCAAGCCTCAGATCGTTCTGAGAAGTAACTTGGACGATGAGAGTGTAATTATCATAGCCGCCAACGATGCAGCCGTCCAAACCACAAATGTCATGGATGGAAAGTCTGACGATCCTGTCGATGGCCATGTTTTGACAAAGTATGCCAACCACGCTTGGGGATCCGTCAACTGATCACAATCTGCAGGATTCATTTCATCCTGAGCGGCATGCAAATCTTCTCGCCCTCTCCAGTTTGGGCCGACGCTTCAACTGGAATTCAGCTGCCTTATGAGGTATTCTTGGACGATCGATGCGAAACAGTCGAGTATGATCGTATCGTGCGACATACCAGCTGCTTGGTGCAATACGACAAGTACAACCGCCTTCGGCTTCGAACTAGTTCTCAAAGCACCCCACAAACCGTGCGTATCACTAACATGTGCTTCGTGCTGCTTCTTATGCTTAAGATAGGATTTGCTCCTCGCCAACGTCCCCCGCTTCACACTGCAAGCCAACTCGGATCATTTCACGTCTCTCTACAACGTCGTCACAGATCTTCTACTCTACTCAGACCCTTCTAACAGAATTAGACTCGACCGCCTGGAGAATTTCATTTTCAACGATGATATCAGTGATTCTGCGACGACAGCAACGGAAATCTCATTGCGGCAAGGTCGCATACGCGCTCTCAGTGAGCAGTTAAACGACTTTACCCAGCGTCAGGGTGACTTGCGTTCATCCGAGCGCCTGGAGATGAACAGGATAGCCTCAAGGATGATGATCCAAACAGAAGAGCTTGGGCTCATCTTCGACGCTATCCAGAGCGTTCAACAACGAGACGAACAATCTTCGAGCAACAAAGCAGGAATCCGACTAGAGGCTTCGTCAAGCGAGATTACATGGAACCTGATGGACAAGGACGGAAGCCTCTTTATGCGTCTAGCTCTGCGTGCTATCGACTTCCTCTGGATTAGCGCACAAGACGGTTCATCATCGAATAAACTGAAGATAAAGGATCTGGAGGCATTGGATGCAAGACCAAACGCCAAATTCCCTGAGATGATATCCAAGCAAACCAAATGGCTCACCGACCATCCAATGGCAAAGGTTTGTATCTGAAGTCATGCATGTGTCGTATACATAGACTGACGTTTTTACAGAAGGACACTTTGATCGAAGTTGTCTGGAAAACGGAAGCCCCAGTGGGTGGCATCTCCATCCTCAGGAATTTTGACTTTTCCTTTCATCCTATCAACGCTCAGTTTGATGCGTCTGTCGGCCACAAACTCCAGACCTACATTTTCCCCAAGGATCGATCTGCGCGTTATCATTCAACTTCACCAGAGCTCGCTGACACAGAGAGCGATACCCGAAAGTCACCAGACTCACCAGATAGCCAAAGCACTTTCGACGTCCCATCTCGTAATTCACTTGATGAAAGGTCTAGTCGCTCTCTCCTCCGGCCCCCAAGACCATCATCGCGATCCTCATCCCATTCGGATATTGGGCGCGGCGAACGAGATGCACCAAGACTGCGGCGTGCTCGTTCTAACCAGAATCTGGAGGTACCTGGACGACAAGAGGCTGCCAGTGGAGCAATGACAAAAGGCAAGGCCAAAGTAAGCGAGGGTGTCGCCGAGATGAGGGCCCGCTCGGCTGAGAACCGTACCTTTGTGGCTGCCTGTATCAACGCGTGAGTCCTTTCTGCTCATATGAATAAGCACTACTAAACAATGTAAAGGTCTGGAATTTGTCTTTCCTTCAGACGAGATAAGGACTTGTCGATCATCATTCCAGATATCCACCAGCTGAACATCGAAACGCCCAGGATCGAGTTTGGCAACCGTACATGCTCCTTCCATGACATCGTTGTCGAGTTCAAATGGGACTTTATCACACTGACCAGCAATGTCGTTCTCAGTGCCAGCGGTCTCAAGAGCTTCAAGTTTAGCGGTATCAGAGATCGGTTTACTCCTGGCAAGCGACACGCTACTCCCACGCGTGCAGAGGGGCCCACCAAACCAGCTCACCGACAACTCACGGCATCTGGTTCGGATGTACCCTCCTCCACTGAGACATCCAGTCTCTCAGACTCACCCTTTGGGTCTACTCCGCGCATCTCTACGTCCTCTCACACGACAGCTATGGGCACCGGACGCAAGTCGACGTCAAGCTCGCATGCGACGGGCTTTGGTCGCCGGCATGGCTCGACCGATTCTGGACATAGAGGCGTTTCCGATCACGAAGAGTCTGAAAGCGGTACAAGTGGACCTAGACGCAAGTTGATGGCATTGCTCCACCGAACAGCCTCTCCTCGTAACTCGCCCTCCATGGTACGTCTTCTCCACATGTGAGAAACCTGGTTGACACCTCGATTGCAGAAACTCTCGTCACTCACTCCTAATCCACCTCCCAATCCTTAGACTGCCGGACGTCCATACCAACGCTGCATCTACCGTTCTATGTTAACCTTGTTTGATTGTATTTCCTGCGATTGCACCATCATAGACATACGGTTTCCCTGACTCGATCGCCATAGACGCTGGCCCACTCTGCATAGACGCCATGTGGAGAGCTGGAGATAATTATCTGGTTACTGAATGATCACTGCTCGTCTGACTGAATGTGCTGCGTGCCAAAATTCTAATAAAGGGGTTGACGTGAGGTTTGGGCCATTCTCCGTTCGGCGTCTTTGGATCATGTTCATGTTTGGACCATTGATTAATTGTAGACGCTGGCTGGGATAAAAGGCCCCGAACCAACGGACAGCTGCGTCTGCCACTTTGTACCCGTCCTTTACCGCTATCGACTGTCGGGACTCGCGGCTGCCGATCTGTAGCGTCGTTTGCCACTACAACTACTGTCCAGGAGTTTTCTCCAATCTTTGGCATGACGTCCTCGCCGGCCAATCCCACCTATGCTTGCTCTTGCCTCAATGTGAAGATATTCCCAAAGGAATCGGCAACATCTCCGCAAATCAATCAAGAAAGGACGCAATTCTCGTCTGAAATATCTACAAAAGCGTCTCCGGGATGGGTGAATGTTAGCATTGACGAGAAAAGCGTGCGCATTGTAAGTATGGCTTCCTTTCGCATTTATCCAAACGATGTTCTGCGTACAATAACAATGCTAACGTTATTGACGACTTCATCTAGGTCCACGACCACCTAACGCTCAAGACTCGATCGCCAGAAAGCGGAGTTCAGCTCCTCTGTCGTCTATGCAACACTCTTGTATACCGTCAAATGGACGAAAAAGATACCCTATCGTCTCCATCTTCCGCTTCGACAAACACGCCCACGCCACCACCCGCTGTTACAGGCAACCCCATGTCGCTCGCACGAGAACGACCGGATTTCAAGATTTTGTTCGAGAGAGATCGTCAAACATGGATACAGGTCTTTATCGGCAAGCAAGGCTGCATCGTACGTATCCGATGTGGTATATACAATAGATCGAATGACACTTATTCGCGCACAGACTGGTGCTCAACTGGATTCCGCTCTCAAGAACGCTTCGGCAATATTTGGGCTTGTAGTTCCATCCAACAACGATGCACTGAGTCCCTCTCCAACTCCGCCCACGCGCAACGCTCCACTTCCGTCAACAACTATGCCGCCTCCAATGTCCGCACTATCCAGCTCGCTTCTTACAACGACCATGTCGTCCCAACAACAACAGCAGCAGACTCAAAGTCAACCACTCTTGAACCTTCCAGAGTTGTTTCCTCCACCCCCATTCACGCCCTCACACCCACTCTTCGTTAACCTTGCCAAGGATGCCAAAAAGGCTTCGAAGGCCGCCCGAGACGCCGCGGAAGCCGAAATTGCTCAGTATATCGAAGCCAAAAGGCGGGAATTGATCGAGTACGAGGCTAACCTCAAGAGACAAACGAATGCGATTTGGAGAACGTGGAGAGACTCAGTCAACAATGACCAGCAGCTTCCTCTCAGCATTCCACCGACTCCTAACACGAGCGAACCCGTTGCTCCGCCAATGGATCCCCGGAAGCAACCCAAGCGTCTTTCGTCATCTGCATCGACATCGAAGACGACGTCTAGAGCGGCAACCGTGATTCGATCTTTCCAGGAAGAACCCGTAGATGCTTCACAACAAGCCGCCAATTCCATCGAAGCCTCTTCAGTTTCACCTTCCAATGCGACTCCTCGCCCTCATCCACAGATGTCTGCCCTCGGAACGTCACTTCGACAAACCGCTATGCTCTATCCATCGGGAAGGAGAGCAGCAAGCCCATCACCGCCGATAGAACAAGACAACGGAACGTTTGAGTCGGCATTCATGGACAACTTCGAGGGTGATAGGCCTTCAAAGAAGATTCACACCAAGGAGAAGGCTAGAAGGGAGCCAGGGCTTGATGATGATCTCTCTTTATCGCCGAAGAAACCAAGACCAAGCGCCATGAAGCGTGTATCGATTGGCGGTGCGCAATCAATTGATGGCGAGTCACCAGAAAGTACGGACGCAGATGGTGGTACTTCTGGAGGCGGTAGCAAGCGAAAGGCTGTCAAGTTTAGCAGCGACGCCCCGGATGTTGTTACTGTTACACGAGAGATCAAGTCGGAAAAGTTGCAGAAGATCAAGGAGGAGCATGCACGTGGCGAGGAGGCCATCTTTGATCTCGACGGGGACGAACACGACGAACCAAAACCACCGTCGTCTCCTGAGCCTGTTCCAGAGAGAGGAGCCAACTTGGTGGAGGAAAGAGGCCAAGCTTCCACCCAGGAACCCCGGCCTGTTACCCTCTCCTTTAAGCTACCATCGTATCTAGACAATGGCCGACCCTCTCGCAAAATCGAGTATACCATGGCCCGAAGTCTCCCCGCAACTTCAGTTTTATCGTCCATGAAAGGGCGGGATAGCGAGGAAGTGGGCAGCCTTGGTCTCGACATCAACTCTAGTAGCCTAGCGCGGACAAGGAAAGCAAAGCACGGGGAAAGCTCCTCCCAGTCCCCATACGCTGGAGAGTTGCGCAGGATCATGGCTGCTCAAACCCCGACACATCGTTCTGCATGGAGAACAGGAAGCTTTGAGCCTGGTTCCCGTATGGGCGGTGGATCGAGGTCTCGCGGCGTCAATGGTTATACCTCACGTACAGCGGCGCTCAAACGCGACTCGGACGACAATGCTTCTTCCGACGAGGAGAGCGACGACGATACATTGGATATGACCGGCAGGCAGCGGGATGCGTCCAATGATTCGGATAGACGAACGCGAGAGGATGTCATCCTATCTGCTTCTGTTCCAATGGACGTACCTCGCATGCGACGAGTAGGCGAGCAGCCGGCTATGGCCGATCACGACTTTGAAGGTGCGATGGCTCGCTCCGTGGATCCAGGGCCAGCTCTCGAACTCATGGTGGCCGAACGTCAAGCAAACCGGCGTTTGACTCGGGAGGATGAAGAGGATAGCGACCAGGATCTTGATAGCGACCGACGGGGACTTGCCCGGAGAAGCAGAAGGGACGAGGAAGAGGACGAGGAGGGTGATGCAGAAGCGAAAAAGTTGATGCAGGAGATGATTGAAGGACGAGGAAGCTTACATGCTCAGCGGATCCTTAGCCACACTGATCGCGGTAGTATGTGGCGTAGTCTGGCTTAATCTTTCGGATTTATTGTTGTACCCTATCTGCACCTTTGTTCTATAGTCTCATTTCAATTTTCTACCAACCTCCGTCATGGACGGTGATCGGCTGCAAGGTGGCTTCTCAACTTGCTCATCTCCCAACCGTCAGCTCGTCTGTAGGATGTCTGCTCGAAAGGCTCTTGCGATAATTGCTGGCGCTGGACCAGGTATTTGCACCCTTTATGCACGCAGCAATGACAAATGACGTGAGCAGGGACTGGGGCAAGCCTTGCACGCAGCTTTGCATCCAAGGGATACTGTGTCGCATTGCTTGCACGCTCTCCGGACCCTCTGACGCGACTTCAAAACGAGATCACCGCGTCCTATGGCGATCAGAGTGCACGGGCGTTCCCAACGGACCTTTCATCCTCGACTGCACTCCATGAGACGTTTAATTCCATTCGCTCAGTGTTTCCCGACTCCCCTATTCGCGTAGCAATCTACAATGCCAACACCAAATGGACGGTCAAGCCCTTTCTCGAGCTTCAGGAGGAAGAGTATTTAGGTGTGGTTGACGCGCATATCCGCGGTGCTTTCGGGTTCGCAAAACATGCTGTGCAGGAGATGCTGAAAAACGATGCCGAGGGAGAGGGAATGGGTCAGAAGGGCACGCTCATCTTTACGGGAGCAACCGCTGCTACCAGAGGCAGCGCCAAATTTGCAGCATTAGCAAGTGCAAGCTTTGCTGTCCGAGCATTCAGGTCTGTCGATCCAATTTATTGACGATCGTCTTGACTCCCTTTAGCCAATCTCTAGCTCGCGAGTTACAGCCGCAGGGAATCCATGTTGCCCATGTCGTTGTTGACGGTAAGGGTATCTCTCTAGCTTCAACCTACCTCACGATGCGCTAGGAGTGATTGATACTGAACGGGCCCGGTCTATTGTGGGAGGAAATAGCAGTGCCGCGACCGGAGAGAGACTGGATCCCAATGAGATAGCCAAGGCAGGTTCAATAGCACCCAGGGGGAAACTCTGACGCAGTATAGGCATACGTATATCTTACAGAACAAGCGCCTTCGGCTTGGACTCATGTGAGTTCCGTCTAGGCCTTTTCTAGCTGTCTTGACAAGACTTTTGTTATCACTTCAGGAAATGGATCTTAGGTTAGTTTCTTTGCCTTGCGCAAATGAAGCATTCATTTATAGAATCACAGGCCAGCCAAGGACAAGTGGTGAATGCTCACAAGTTCCGAAGTGTTGTCGAGAACGTCGATATTTTCCCCATGTTATAAATGTTTTTCGCTCCGTCTCAGCAGGTTGGAATGCCGTCCAATGCGGAGACTGTACCAGCCAGGAACGGATTGCACGGGCCGACGGCAGCTCTCCACATCATTTGAGAGTTCGACCATCAGCATGACTGAGAATAAGTCGTCAAGGCGTCGCGTTCATTGTCTGCGATCGTCGACCATGTGCGGGTTGATGGTATCCAAAGCGATAAGAACCGTTGGGTGGCGTCGCCTACTTATCAAGCACCCCGGACTTATATAAAGAGCCATCCAAACGTTGGCCCGTTCGGCTCCCCAATCTTGAACCCGACCACATCCGTACACGCGCAGCTCATCTGTAGGATCTGAGCAAAAACCCGTCAAAATGGCATCTGGAACTGCAACTCCCTCGCTCACCGCTCTCAAGCGCCATCGTACGTCGCACGGTCCCGCCTCGATTATGTCACTGACTTGGGCCCACAGCCGATCTCCAGCATCTGAAGAGTGAACATCTTCATCCAGCAGCTGCCAGTGGAGAGGGAATACATACACCAGAAGGAATCCTGACGCCAGGTCATGCCCACCACTTCAGCAACAAGGGCATAGATCCGATCGTCCTCAACTCGTCCCTCAAGCAACACATCGCACAAGGAGCTGTCAAGGGGGAGCGCAAGCTGAACGACTTCAGCGCTGATGTTGAAGACCGGCTGAACCCCCACTTCGATTCGCACTTGGAGGAAATCAAGAACGCGATGGCACCTGTGGAGCATAAGGATACGTTGGAAGTCCCGAGTGAGTTTGAGTTTTTGCTTCCGACTGAACAGCGTGAGTACTGATGAGGTGGCTCAGCCTCGGAACAGGCCCAGGCGTAAAGAAGGGCAAGCAGTTGCGGCGACTATTTCGGATGGAAAACATATGAATCTGTACTACCACTCTTTGCAATTTCAAGTTCCCTTTCCACGGGCATACACGCAAGAAGTAAACGAGAGTCACTGTTGCGTATTAGCACTTTGTTTGATTCTGAAGGAGGAAAGTACCATGACCCAGGGCCTATTCAAGTCTCTCCAGTTGCACTCGAGATTCTTGGACGACAGCCTCCATGTCCTGGACCCATTTCTCGGCCGACCTCGTTCTTTGTTTTGGGTGAATACGGTTCCTCGAAGATTCAGATGTCGTTGCGGATTCACGCGCTGGTGCTGTGAATAATGTCACGGGTGCGCCTCGCGCGATTGCTCGAGCGTGTGCAAGGACAGGTAGCCTTCGTAGTGCACGACCAGAAAGCCCCTCGTTTAAATTAGAGATAAATTTCCATGAACTGATAATTTCTTACCTTGCATTTGGCGGACAGTGCCCAGAGCGACGAGGAGACGTCCCATTCCTTGATTCCCGCCATCGCCGCTCGATTGGGCGTGTCGGATATTTGTCGATTTGGGATATTCTTTTCGAATTCAGTACATCATTCTACTTGAATATAGGGGATTTTACCATCTGTTGTACTATGCCTTTAGCCATGAGTTCCACCAAGCAACTGTGAAGCATGTCGTAGATGGCCTCGGTTGGTGGAAGCCCAATGTACTGGACAATATCCGCTCTATCCTTGAATGCAGGGTCTAGAGTGGTTTAGCTTTGAAGTAATGTAAAGTGTATCCTCACCAATGGCGCCAACAAGATTACTTGTCGCCAAGAATAGCACATTCTTTCGCTGTTTCATCCGATCTAGTTGCGTTAATAGGGCATTGACCACACGTAGTGCATCGGAAGGTTCCTGTCCAGCGACGGCACCGGCGCGAGCAGCGGTAAGTGATTCTACCTCATCAATAAGAACAACCAAAAAGACGTCCTCGTCGTCGGCGAGTTCTGAAATTGAGAGAAAGAGTTTCTGGACGAGCTTGCCAGACTCGGAGAACCACTTAGAGAAGAGGGAGTGAGAGTTGATTTCCAGAAGTCGACATTGCGAGTATCTGATGCGGATATTAGAGTAATCAGACGGGCCAGACAGCGACGTTACCGTTCAGAGAGGCGAATCGACAATTTTTGTGCAAGTGCCTTGCATAACGAAGTCTTGCCCGTCCCTGGTCTGATTACAGATGAGAAAGGCCTTTTGACAGAAGAAGTGTAGCAGACGTACGGTCCATGAAGTAGGACTACTCTGTGTTCCCAATGAGATTTGTATCAATCGATGAAAAGGTACTTGCCTGTTCCAGGCGACCAAATTGACTGCAGTATATCAGTAGTCAGCGTACATCTCCGCTATCACTCACAATCTACGTTTGCTTCTGACAAGATAAAGGTAGAGTATAGGTAGTTGAGAAGATGCGGTTTGACATTGCTATCATAGATGAGACTTGTTGCGTAGGGTTAGCACACCGTAGCTGGTAGGGGGTAACATACCTATCCCAAAGGGTGTCCCACTCGATGCACGGCAATTCGGTCACCGTTGCGGCAATCACGTCGTCCTTTGTATTGCCGGTAGATAGATCGTCTTGTTCACATGCTATCGGCTGGTACACGTGAATCTCTAGATGTGCATTCTCTATCTTGACCGTATTGGTTGGCGACGCTACAAGAGAATAAGAAGGTCAGAAGAGTCAAACGCCGCATATCGAGTAAAGAGGATCTACATGTTTCGCATGCTGTAATGCGCTGAACGTTTTGTTCCATTCTACTCTCCATTTCCCAACCAGTAATCTCGCTTGGAACGAAGATTGTGTCGTCTTGCATGAGATGCTCCATAACGAGGTCTTTTATGAAGTCGACACGTGCTGTTGATTGTTGCTTCAACCGCACTTCTACATGGACCGTGTACAACTCGTCTTCCTCTTCGTAATGTCTGGAGGTTCCAAAATCACGTGTTTTCGACGTAGGGTCATCCATAGCAACATCTTTTGGGTGTAAAGTTGTGCTGGACATGGTAAGTCACGTCTAACCACGCGTGTACCACCTTACACCTGACCGTGTTGGGATCAAGATGAACAATCCACAAAAGAGGAGTATCCAAGTGGTCAGTTATGTCCTATGCGCGTTCTAAATTCTTTAGCTGGTTCGTTTATAGCCATCTGATGATGGGGATGCTACGCGCAGCAAAAAACGGGCCAGGCTCGATGGACAAACGGTAGGCTATTATCTCATGTTCATCTCCCGAGTCAAATACTCAGATTTCCACCCCGGATTCACCAAGATTTTCAGTCAGCCATCGTTCCGCGGGTTTGGCTCCGCCAACGATTTTGAAAACGAAGGATACTCGCTATCTGCACCGACTGTCATGGTGTGTCTCGGAATATGACCAAAGCCAGCCTGATATTTGCCAGATCGACAGGAAATGCGAGTCAAGTCGAAACGAGCGGGCCAAAGTGCACAATATGCCGAATAATGAAGAAGAACCATTGATGGTTCCTCCATCCGACGTGACCACTTGTCTGCCTAGCTCAGCGATGCATTCAACCGAATCATCCCAACGGATCTCAAACACAGAAGATATGACAGTGTGCCTAGAAGCTCAGATACAGGCCAAGTTCATTCCCAGCAGCATTGAACCAGAGACGACGATTGCTCCCTCAGCTGCGACCGCATTCCAATCTGCGGGAGACCACGATTCTTACTCTCAGGATCATTCGAGGTCTGATAATCTGTCGTTTCAAGCTGATGCAAATAAACCTTCGACCTTTGAACCCAACGAAGATCTCAAACGAGACGAGAAGCGGATTGAGAACACCGTTCAACAACGAACCGAGATAATTATGTCTGACTCTGAGGGTGCTGATCATTCCTCATCTTCGACAAGTGATCCTCAACTCTTCAGCAACCTGCGTCAAGAATCGACCATTCTTGATGAGACCATCGAAATGCCGAAAACGAACGATTTGCCTCCCTCTTCACCCCAAATGCGTATGGATACATTATCGTCCCCGGTGTGCTCACCTCCTCATCTTACTCTGTATCCACTTCCTATGTCAGACCCGATAGTTCTCTCTGGAGAATACTCAAGACACACCTCGGACGGCATTGTCGATCAAGTTCAGGAGGGCATTGTGACTACGCATGGCTCTGTTGAGAAAGAGGCACCGACCTATGAAGCTTCGACGATTCTTACTCGAGTTGCTCCAAATTATCCTAGTACCGCGAGCCTACATCGCTCAAAGAAGAAGATAACCCAACCTTTCCGATCGCCGCTCCTTCTGAAACGTACGAATTCCAAAGAAGGCCAGAATGAGCATAAATCAAAAGTTATCACCCCAAGTGCTCGAAAGACCATGGTCAGCAAGATCAAAGCAAGCGGTTCTGCTGCAGCACGAGCTGCTTTCAAATCCCCTCTGCGCGGTGACAGGTCAGTCACCTCAGAAGCGAACCAAAAGCAGCCTCGGACGTTCACGGCAAATGCGAAAAGATCCGAAATTCACCAGCTTGAGCAACGTCTACAACTCCTTCGACGAGCGGTCAAGATCAAACAAAGCGGAGAAGACGGGGAGCTTGAGGTTCTCGTAACGAAATGGCGTGATATAGCAAAGGAGGTGGCTTGGGAGCTTTGGGAGATTGTCAAGGAGGGAAGCGTCGGTGATGCACAAGACTCGTACGCACCGACGAACAGGGAAATTCGGTTTGGTTCAAGAAGCACACCTTTCATGCGAGATGATGGATTCGACAGGAACTGGGGATGGAGTGAAGGGGAAGAGAAGGCAGGACCAGGCACAGAGGGTAACGCAGAGACGCCACTAGAAGAAGATACTGAGCAAGAGAAACATCCGGAAAGGACCATGGGCATCATGCTCAAAGAGCTGGGAATTGCAGACGAGACGCTTGGGTGGAACGAGGACGAAGGAGACTTTGTCACAGTATAAAGCTCTGGCCTATCCGCAGTCTGTTACTTACAAAACTGGATGAGATAACTTTCTTGGAGATGTGTTTCTCTTCAACTATGCATTAAGAGTGGAAGCAGTGGTGGGTATTGATCATGTCTATAGCAAATCAAGAATCGTATTCCCATGTGCTCATAGCTGAACACCCAGACGTTCGGCGTCAACAAAAACGTTTCTTTGCTGTGCTGAGGGTGTTGCATGCCTGACAAACGAAGATTCATCTGAATAAGAAATAATGGTCGTATTATCACCTAAACTAGTAGCTTCTTCACAGATTGAATGCTATTGGTGGCAAATTCTGGCGGAGCCTTCGGATTCGACTAACCCCCGAGTTAGTGCATCACAAATAGGTAAAACGAGTAAACTGACTGATTGACCCCGAATGCTGCCTGTCAGGCGTTTGTCTCTATTCATCATCATTTGTTCCCAATTGTCGATGTTATAACGCGGGGTCTAAGGATGATACCAGATGAGAGAAGAGACCTCTAATCATTGGATTACGCCCACCTTTCCATCGTTGTTGATGGTACGGGTCGTCTTGAACAATGTCCCGCCGACACCGAACATTGTAGTGAGCAAGGCTGAAAACAAGTTCAAACCAGAGAGATAGGTAGTCAGCTAGCATTATTCACAATACTTTCAGTCTCGTACCGAAAGGAATGAGGGCCTCCCACGGGACAGGCATGGTCACGGTCTTGCTTGGTCGAAATCAAGTTGGCGGTCAACCTTGGACCTGACCTTGTCCGCTACCAGAACTCGATCTTGAACTTTGAGGGTGTGGAATAGCGATTTAGAGGGCTTTTCTGACGCATTCAGCCCCCAATGTCTACTAAGCCACTCCGAATATTGATTGGTATGTTCAAAGTCATCAGTCCTCGCTCGACCAATAACACTGACCACTCTTTGTCTTTGCAACGCTCGTGCACTACGCCCGAACTGCTCGTTAATGCCGGTTACAGTTGGAGCCGGCGCCGTAGGACTATTCTATGGCTCCCGTCTGCATCTACCTGAAGACAACATACTCGTGTCACTAGTCTGCCGCTCCAACTATAATGCTATCAAAGCCAATGGAGTCAAACTCCTGACGCATAGCTTTGGAGAATATACCTTCCATCCAGAAAACACCTTCAACTCTGTTCAGCAGGCAGCTGAATTGGCCAATATTCAATGGGATTATGTCGTAGTCACCACGAAAGCCCTTCCACCGACGTCGACCGACGACTCGGAAGCAAACCTCGTCAAGCCTGTTGTCGGCAAGGACACAACCATTGTTCTCATACAGAATGGAATTGGTATTGAGAAGCCTTATACGGATGTATTCCCGCACAATGTACTTCTCAGCGCCGTCACAGTAGTGAGCGCAGAGCAAATCGAACAGGGCATCGTCCGGCAGAACCGCTGGACGAGAATCAGCATAGGTCCATGGGGAATTGGCAGTATATCTCATGGGAGGGAGAGAAATAAACTATTCTGCGACATATTGAAGAAAGGAGGCGTGAAAGACGCCGAAGAGTATGACGAACGGGGACTACAATTTGTTCGATGGCACAAGATAGCGGTAGGTAGAAAACTTGGCATATCCCTATGTCTGACTCTCAGTAGATCAACGCCTCGTTCAATCCTTCCTCCGTTCTCTCAAATGGTGCGGCGAATAGCGACATGGCAGCAGACCCACTATTGAAGACGCATATTCTCGGTACGATGCGAGAGATCCTGCATCTTGCCACCATTGTTCTCCAATCACCTCTTCCCTCAAAGTTTGCGACTCCAGAGAAGATTATCGAAAGTACACTCCGAAATACTCGAAAGAATTTTGATAGCAACCAACAAAAATCACAGAAACGACCAGTAAAAGATGATGGGGAATCATCTCGACCGTCCATGTGGTATGATTGGGCTCAAGGGCGACCGATGGAGTTAGAAGTGATCCTCGGAAACGTTGTCCGAGAGGCTGAGCGGGTGCGCGTGGATGTACCCAGAGTCCAGAGTATGTATGCGTTGCTCTGCATGGCTCAAGCACGGAGAGATGCGGAACGAAAACGGAAGACTGGTGCTAGACTATAAAGGTGTAGGTATTTGTAAAATATTGACGCGGTTACATCTCGTCTTGGATCCATTTCACAATGTCCGATTCGGTCCCCCCTTCATAAATGAGGTCTGCTTTGTCGAAGAGGCCGTACCGTTTACCGACCAATTGTGCGCTCAACGAGGGTTCGTACTGACCATCTTGACTTATCTCGCACGCTGTGATGATTCCGTGCTTTGCAATAATCTCGGCTCGCTGCGTGTCATCAGAAGCCATCTTGGCCATTTGCTGCTTTGCCTACCACAGTGCTTCCGTTCAAGGTGCCTTGCAATACATGTGTGAACTCGAGAGTCTGTCCGTACTTCCAGTCCCAGCTCTATAGACAATCAGTTGGATTCATTTACCAGGAATGGTCTTCACCTCGAGCTCTTCCATACTCTTTGCAATGTAATCTTTCTCAGCGCGATATGCCATGTTGTTGTTGATATCCGATTCCCCAATGTGCACAGTCCGACCGTCGCCACCAAATCTTGAAGAAAACGCCTGGCATAGGGCTTTGCAAAAGGCTTCATGAGTAACATCTTTCTTGACCTGGCTAATGTTGCGAACGGGGGAGCGAACAGAGGCAACAGCGCGTCCCAATGTCATGCCTTCTTTCGTGTTCCGTAACAAAGTGCCGAGATCAGACGTCTGTGCGTTGAGGAGCATGGTTCCGTGGTGATATGCCCGTGTATTGATAATTTTGTACGCAGAACCTGAGACGTGGAAAGGTGTTGGATAAGTTGTCGAGAAGGGCAACATGAAAGACTCATCTTGTAATCTCCAACACACACATCGTTTCGCTCGTTCACGTGAACATCAGGGACTCCCAGTCTTTGCAACGCACGGACGGCGAGTTCGGACCCTTTGCGTCGCTCAAAGGATGTTCTCGGAAGGTGGAGAGAAAAGTTAGTGTTTCCAAGATCCTAGAGAAACTTCAAACCAAATGATCAGACCTGCTTGAAACGACTGACATGGTAAACAGTGCCTCCTCCGCTTCTTCGACGAATAAAAGGAATGTTTGCGGCACGCAGTGCGGCTTGATTAATCTCTTTCCATGGGTTCTTGGCTCGTCAGTTCCGATGCTACATGGGGACAATGAATCATACTTGGTTCCTTCCGATGACGACGCAAGGCGTGTTCCTATACAAGAGAAGAAGGGGCTTGTCTGCTGGGGCTCGTCGAAAGAGCCTGAAAAACACTGAATTATCAGGAGCACAAGGATTATTACGGCATACAGGTCTTCTAATGATAGATTCCATATTGGAGACGTGCTCTCGGAGATGTAGATTTGCGAAGGTTCAAAAGCGAGCTGAAGTGCTGGTTGGGTCTTTGATTGTGTTGCCAAATATGCTCGCAAACTACTCGAGTAGCTGGTTGAGAGTCTACGGCGGACGTGCATACAATAATGGGTAGAGGCAGAAAGAAAGTGACATCCCATGAGCAGTCTCTCAGGCAGGAAAAGCGGCCATAGGCAAACGGATTCGTTACGCGAATTTCTTATTCCTCATTGAACACGGTCGTTATGTATGCGCTTGTCTGGTCGAACCTTTTGTGTATCCAAGGGCCGTGTAATTATGACATATAATAGCTACTAAACTTTATGTAATATACTTTTATTAGATGATAGAACAGTCGCGACCTAGGTAAGCGACTCATCACATATTTCCCATCATTCTCATACGGTCTGGATGGATACTAGGACCGGATCCTCCATTCGATTGAGGTACAAACGTTGGCGGTGGTCCTCCGGAAGCATTATCCGCAGGCTTGTTTGGAGGGAAAGGAGGGAATGCATTCGGCGCGCCATTAGGAGGAAATGGTGCTATAGAGACAAGTCAGAAGCAGCCCGTCTTAAAAATGCGAAGCACTCACGCATCGCACCTGGTGGCATCATTCCCGGCGGGGGCATAAAAGGAGGAGGGACCATGCCGGGTGGAGGTGGCCCTTGCGCTGGAGATAAAGTTAGTCAAAGGTGATAGGACACATATCTTTCTTGGACAACGCACGGAATCCGGGAGGGGGGAAGCCTGGCTGACCAAAGGGACCACCAGGCTGAGGGGGGAATTGAAAGTTGAAGCCACCGGGAGGTGGTCCTCCACCCCTCTCAAACGCTTGTGTGATCTGGTCGATAATGGTCTGTGCCTTGTCGTGGCCGAGGGCTGGAATGATTGTCAGAATGAGCCAACCGTGATAGAAAGAAGGCTAGACGAACAAGCGTAGTATTCTCTGACGTTGCTCAGGTGGTTCCTGCCACTGTTATGAGCTTTTCTGACTGGGAAATCGCGTTAGCCGTGTCGCTACGGGACCGACAAGCTCCTTAAACTCACCCGCTGCAGAGTCGTGGGTCAGCCACACATCACAATAATCGCCTAGAAAGTTGTCAGTTTATTATTTGCCGCCATAATCGCGTCTCGACACCAACAGTAGTGCTTTGGCATCGTGGTCTGGTACAAGCTGCGTGTTGCCAAACTTGACTGCCACCAACACCTTTGGCCCGGACGCTTTCAGCAAACCAACGCGTCCACTGAGCGTAGTTTGTATAGAGGATCTGGTCCTGTGGCATGGCGGCGCCGCCATTTATCGTTCCAACGCTCAGTCCAACCGGTGCCATCTACTTTGCAGCAGTTGGGCAGAATGCAACCGTACAGGATATCATAACGGAACTCTCGGAGATGGAAGAAGTCGTCGAGAGCGTGTTAGGTGACTTGCAAGCAGGCGGCTGGGGAGTACAAAAGATCCGCAGGCCACCGGGTGATGGGAGCGCTATCAGTGACGACGAACTCAAACAATACGGGAATGGTACACTTCTGAATGTGTATAACATAATCGATGCTTACCAAGCGTAGGATTACTCGCGAGTACAGAGCTTGTCAAGCCCCTTCTTGGACCGAGTAAACCACCCGCGATGCAGCGACATTTCTCTGCATTCCCGTTGAGCTCTCATCTTCATACACCTCCGATACGGCTGGTTTCACTTCATCCACTCCTTCATGTGACGCTGCGTTCCATGCGAATTCCCGACCTTGAAGACGACATCGACATCGAGTGGTTCCTTGCACGAACAACCACAGCAGAAGAAGTGGTCAACACGGTCACGGAAGAGCTAGGCCTACCCAAGGTCATCTCTGGTCCCGGTGGCGGAACTGTGGACTATGTCCTTGAAGAGGCATGGATCACTACAGATGGGGAAGAAGGTAACTGTCGCTATATGATCCTAGATTGATACTTATATCCCCCAAGTCACGACACGAGTGTCCAACTCTGCTATTCTCTCTCATGTACTTGAGACTCCCCTAAAGGCGTCGCCATCAACCGGAGCACAGCGACATATACGGATATGTGTTCCTGATGAGTGGTATCGAAGAGCTAAATCTCGCTCTCTCTCCCTTACACCCCTGGAATCTGATGGTCCACAGCAAGACACCTCTACACTATCAGAGGATGACAATGAAGGAACAGAAAAGCAGCGGCCAAAGGCTAGTAGCGTGCAGAGAGTCTCGCAAGATACTCAGCAAGCCAGACAATCCAGCCGCTTCAGCTTATTCGAGGGTTGGGGCACCATAACATCACCGCCTGCGTCCACAAGGCCACTCTCACAGGTTCTTACAGGAGATAGGAGCAGTATTAGTGTGCCAGTCGCTGTTTTGGAGATTCAGAAGACGGGATTGGGTATCGACACCGACCAGGACGCCCTCGGCGAAGAGGCTGTTACAGCGGAATTTGAAAGGATGATGGTAAGATAGATTGATTGGCTCAGATGCGGACTCTCATAATTTCACGATAGGATGAACTAGGCCTCAAAGAAGATAGACGGGAGGCCATGCGATCAATGCCCTTGGAGCGGAAAAAATACCTTGTCCATCAAAGTAGGCAAAGCAAGATCATGATGGGAACGTCCACAAGTACGGCCCAAACGCCTGTCCAGACGTCTCCAGAGCCCACTCCTGCGCCGATGTCCCCTCAAGTGACTGGTGGCCTGATGAAGCGGTTCTCCATTTGGGGGGGATCTCCGACACCAGCTCCAGCACCGGCATCGCCTTCAAACAAGGAGATTGCAAGCGAACAGACTCCGATTTCACCTCAGGTGACCGGAGGGCTATGGGGAAGCTGGTGGCCAGCTACACCTAAGGAGTCTGGAGGTAACAAGGACACTGGCCGGACGCAAGCAAAGAGTGTCGAATGGTTTGCAGACGGTCTCCGTAATGGAAAAGCAAACGACATGCGCCTGGCAAAGCATCTCATATCCTTACGGGTTCATCTTTCCACCGCCAAACTTCCCTGGATCGAGAAATTTTTGGACCAAGAAAAAGGAATGGATGCATTGGCAGAGATACTGTCATCGTTGGTTGGCAAAAAGTATGTTGAACATTGTCTGCTACACAGTGACTAATCTTGGAATCCAGGCGTAAGCCTACGGAAACTGAGGAACTCGTACTTTTGGAGACTATCAAATGCTTGCGAGTGCTACTTAATACTTCTCCTGGATACCCTCACGTTCTGAGGTCACCGACACTGATCACGCACATCACATTCGCACTTCATGACGCCGGTTTAAAGCTGCGAGCACTTGCATGCGACTTGCTCGCTGCAATATGTGTGATCTCTATGAACGAAGGCCACCAATTGGTATTGGGAGCGCTCTCGGACTATCGAGTTTCCTTCGAGGAACGTTTCAGGTTTGAGGAGCTCCTCTCAATCCTCCGACTTGACGAGGACATGATAGCTGGGTCCGAGGAAGAAGGCATATGGGAAGCACGCGGCGCCACTCTGGGACTCTTAATAGCCCTTACGAGCTGCTCAGACGTCTTGGAAGACCGCGTAATGATCAGGGAAGAGCTTTCGCGAAGAGGCCTCAATGAAATCATGGTTGTAAGTCGGAGCGGCCGTCCGAAGCTTGGGAGCTGACGGCTTGTAGGGCTTGCGGTATATCAAACCACCAGATTCTCTTATGAAGCAATTAGATGCATATGCTGAGGACAAATACGAAGACGAGGAGGATCTGCGCGAGCAGGCCCGAAGTGTCGGTGCGGTGCGGCCTAATGGACAAGCAGAAGATGGGACAACGTCACAGCTCCTTCAATTACGGCAATCATATCCAGATCTCTTTCCGCAGATTCAGGCGTTGCTTAATGCTTGCGAGGCAATTCTACAGCGGTATATAGAGTGGTAAGTCTTAAGATGGTCCTATTGCAAAAGCATAATGTCTTACAGGGACTTCAAACAAGATATCATTGTTGCTTCGCGTATTTTCCTCGAGCACATTAGCCTGCTGGACAAATTGTAGGTACGACCTAAATGTTTGGACTGTGTCTGACCTGATATCTTAGTGATGACTGGGAACGTCTTCTGGCACAGTTTTCATCGTCCATACAGCAGAGTTTGCCCCATCGGCTTCTGCATTTAACCAACTCGGACTCGGTGGACGATTTCAAACTGCAAATAAATGACTTAAGACAACGGGTAGGACAATCGACGAATTTCGGTTTGTAATTGACTGCTCTGTAGATATCGAGCCTTGAGGCAGAGCTGACAACAAGAGATTCAGAGATAGCTTCACTTCGATCTGCCAATAATCAGGACCCACCAGCTCGACAATCTGGCAAAGCCATATCAGGAGATGTTCGAGGGTTCGTCGAGCGACTACGCCAAAAGGAGAAGCAAGTAGCGCAGCTACAGACAGAGCTGGCTTCGCTAAAGTCATCTACACCATCAGAGGCAGTAAGTTGAGTAAATCAATGCTGTCCAATTCTTAAGTCCGAACCCAGGACGAGCAAGCCAAGCGCGAACGTGAACGCGCCAAACTGACCAAGCTGACGGAAGAGTTGGGCATAGCAAGAGCAAAGGTAATGCGCTTGAGATAAGAAAGAACATAATCTAAGACTTTCTTTAGATTACCGAACTTGAGGATACCGTAACAGCAAAGAACAAGGAGGTTCTTTACCTCAAGCGCGCTTTGGAATCTGTCTACTCGCGATTCAATGCGACAAACTCTTCTAATACTGCAGAATCTACAAGTAACAATCCGGAAGTCGACGTCCAAGTAATGGCCAACCACACGATCGAGGGACTGGCTAAAAAGGAAGAAGAAATTAAAGCCCTGAACGATGCCATCGACAAGCTCAAATCCGAATTGTCTGAAAAGCAGGCCAATCCTCTCGAAGTGGCGACACTCGAGAAGCAGTTCAAGGCTCGTGTTGCTCCTCCACCTCCTCCACCTACTAAACCAAAGAAACCTGTGAACAATCCCCCATCAGTTCCAGTTCACAGTGTGCCGAGCGAGACGACAGAAGCCGCTCCCGTTCCATTACCGCCGCCACCTCCACCCCCTATGCCACCTGCTCAGTCGTACGCAAATGTCCCTCCGGCCCCTCCACCTCCTCCTGCCCCTATGCCACCTCCTTTACCGCCTCCTATGGCCACAACTCCCACTGGAATTTCAATCCCCCCTCCACCACCCCCCGCGCCAGGGTTGCCTGGAGTGCCTGCTCCGCCCCCTCCACCCCCACCCATGTCATTGGGCAACGCTAGCATACCGCCACCACCCCCTCCCTTTGCCATGGGAAACATTGGACGCCCAACAACTGCGAAGCCGCCGGGAAAGAAGCTCAAGGTAGCGTTAGCAATGTGATTTCTATCGCTGCCACTGACCACTCCCAGCCGTTTTTCTGGAACAAGCTTGCACCTGTCCAGCTACAATCGACTGTTTGGACGGAAATTGATGCGACACTCGCGACTATCGACACAAAGGAACTTGAAGATATCTTCTCCGTGGACAATCAACCCCCTTCAAGACAATCGAAACGAGAAAGCAATAAACAACAGGCGCCAACTACTCTGTTGGATATTACTCGCGCCAATAACATTGGTACGCACTAACAACGTTCGAAAGCTCTGATTAAACTCTCAATAGCTATCATGCTATCGCGGATCAAATTGAGCAATCAAGATATTCGGCGCGCCCTGTCAAGCGTAGACGACAGCAAGCTGTCGGTTGATGATCTCCAAGCAATTGCCAGGCAGCTACCGACAAACGAAGAAGCTACACGTTTGCGTGACTTTGGTGATCTCAGCCGGTTAGCCAATTCGGATCAGTACTTTGGCGAGGTGAGATATCTATATCGTCGAGGGATAACTGACAAGCTTTTGTAGATTATGAAAGTACCACGTCTGGCTGAACGTCTCGATTCCATGATTTACCGCCGTAAATTGGAACTCGATGTTGCAGAAATTCAGCCAGATCTGGAAATGGTCCGCAAAGCAGCCACAGAGCTCAGAGAGTCAACCAAATTCAAGACAGTTTTAAGCGTACGTGATTTATTACCTTTCAAGCTGTATTACTCATATGTCTTCAAGACCGTTTTGGCTGTCGGCAACGCGCTCAACGGTAACACATTCCGAGGTGGTGCGCGTGGCTTTCAACTCGAGTCACTCCTCAAGGTTCGTTGTGCTATAATGGTCTAGTTTGGGCTCATCAGGATTTCAGCTAAAGGAGACGAAGACCGCAAAGACAGGCTCAGAATGTCCAACACTACTGCATTATTTGGCAAAGATTCTGATGCGATCAGATGCCTCGCTTGTCATGTTCATGGAAGATTTGCCTCACATCGAGGCAGCCGCACGGAGTGAGCTTGATGTCATTTCTATTCATTCGCTGACGTGCTGCAGTATCTGTTCAGTATGTGCTAACTTCAATTAGCACACTCAGTCTAGGTATCGAGAAAGTTAGTGAGGAGGTCTCGATCCACAAGGAGATTCCATTGGATGCCGAAGACGGCTTCATCAGGGTCATGGAACCATTCGTCAAGAGAATGCAACCGATGGTGTCCTCTATCAAAGCTGCAGGAGACTCTCTCAACACAGAGCTCAAGGGTCTCCTCGTGTACTTTGGCGAAGCAAGTAACGGATCTGAGAGCACCAAACCAGAAGACTTTTTCAATTTAGTCATTTCATTCTCATCCGCGCTGCAGGTACCTCAATTCCAAACTTTCATTTAAATACTGAAGTTGTTTAGAAAGCGGCACTGGAGATGCACGAAAAGGAGGAAACGAAGCGACCACCTCTCACCCCGTCTGTCTCGATCGAAAGGACGGAAGAGGTGCAGGAGAATACCGTCAAGGGGGTGAGCACCCTACGTCTTGGTTTCAGGTCCGAGTCTTACTCCGTCTGCAGCCGAATCCAAGAACCTCCAACAATTACCTATCGCCTCCGAGCTCTCAAGGACGAGCTGCCGGAAACCAGACAGTCGGACGTGGAGACGTCGATCAGGCCATTCGGAGCATGCGCGAAGGTCAGCGCCGGGTGCGGCCAAATCGCCCTCTCAGCAAGATGTTCCTCGATGGCACCAACTCCGGTGGACGGCCCGTCAGTCGTGCCTACGACTGATGTCTTACTCATTTGCTTCCATTTAGAATATTACGACCATTACGAAGTGTTCAAAGGCTCTGTATACACACATTTTCTTATCATTATATCGAATTATGCCTCATATCGGGAATTGCAGATAAATACTAGACTTGGATCTTTACTGGTTCAGAGGGGAGACGGCATCTGTCATACGCACGCAATCCATAAGGAGATCGAAGAATGCTGCAACCTGTTTCAAGTCAGCAACCGCTGGCAATCAGGGAGTTGACATACATCTACAGACTCTGCGACCAAACAGTTTTTGCCCGTCCCCCAGTCGTCGTCCGAAAGCTTTCGGTAGTTCCAGAGATCGACAACAGTCTCGCCCGTCGTGTGCGTGCCCGCGAGTTCGACATCGACTCGATAGCGTTTCGTTTTAAAGATTTCAGGATGACAGAGGTATGCGATTGTCAATGGATCGTGAAGTGGAGGTCCATCGTTAAATCCAAAGGTTGATTTGTATGAGCTGGCGAAATAGAGGATGATGGTGGAAAGCATGTGGCGGAGGGGTGTCGCTGCTTTGGAAACAGAGGAGGGGTCGCTGTCGTCGTCTGGCTGTCCGTCGACGCCAGCCAACAGACGCTTGTGGATCTCTTTGGTGAATATGCAGGTATGTGTGACATTCAGAGGTATCATTGTCTTCTTGATGGCACAATCGAGCACGATTTGCGCTGCTTCGGCTGAAAAGAGGTGAGAAGAAGCGACAGGAAGTATAATCACGTACGATCACAGAGGATGTTGTATTCTTCAAAAAGGGATCAGAAGCTGTTGAGTTCTGGATAAAGTAGACGTACCGGCGACTGCTCCGCGGTTTCCAAGCCCTACACCACCTCCCATGAAGACAATCTCCTCTATCGCTTCGTATAATTCGGGATGCAAAGTGAGAAAGACGGCGACGTTTGTCATTGGACCTGTGGAGACGATAGAGACTTTCTGGCCGTTGAGGTACGAGTTTCTGGTATGGAGTATTCAGGTACAATCATTTATAGCTCATATTAGTACCTACTTAACGGCCTTTGCCATTCCGTCGGTGGCTGATCGTCGTCCATCGAGATGATACCTCTCTTTGAGGGCAGGGTCTATATACCCGTTTCAGTGCACGTACGCTCAGTAATGAGAATTCGCGGCTACCTTCGAGGGATGGCAGTCCCTCGACGCCTCCAAGGCCATCCTCTCCATGAATCTCTGGGTCGGCTCTGACAGGACGTATCAAGGGCTTTGTCGCACCTCGATGTGCATGGACGTCGATGGGGGCACCAAACGCATGCAGTAAGCGGAGGACGTTGAGATGAGTACAGGATAGGGGTGCATTTCCATGACACTAGACATCCGACAGTTGAGTAATGACTAGATTTTGGTCGAGTTTGAAAACTTGCTCACACTGGAGACTCCGAGCAGCTGGATCCTTGGGCAATGGACGGCAAGAAGGATCGCAATGGCATCGTCGTGACCGGGATCGCAATCCAACCAGATGAGCTTGCGAGACGAAGAAGACATGATTGGCGAGGTCGGCGAGGTAAAGGACGGAGCTAGATAAGGTGGCGAGCAAAGGCTTAGCCAAGATTCTATGGAAGCACGTTGATGGCACACGTTGTCCGCTACACGGCTATAGATATCTCCTTTGGCCGGTTCTAGACGCAGAATTCACGGGGTCCAGACGGTAAGGATTAGAAATTATGCTGTGAGCCAGCATAAAGTGTGTATTGTAAGCCATAGATCCTCTAGGCGATGTATACCTAGAAGCCGTCGGGAACAAGCCAAGACTAGAAGTTTGGACTAGATCATACATCATGGACGCCATAAACATAGCGACGTGCGATCGGAGAGTGAGGTAAGGAACGAGTCTGGATCATGAAGGAGTAGTAAACGAAGGACAGGGTATCATCATCATCATATGCCACTTGGGCTTGGATTAGTGCCGAGGATGACATCCTTTTCTATGCCGAAGGAGATTCCGCTTCAGGATAACCTTGCCGCTAGGTTCCAAAGTCAGCCATGGGCTCGAGTGAGGCATCTTGGTCCACATACCAGTTGGAACAAGTGTCCGTCTCCCGGTTATAATGCGCTCTCCTTGCCTCGAGGGAAACAAAAGACTTGGGGCTAGGATTGCAAGGTCAGAGTATGGCCGGATTTTATGCAGAAGAGCCGCGCACCATTTGGAGTGACCTTTACTACCCTCGCAAGGGTACTGGTATACTTGGGTTTCTCGAGCAACATGGGCTCGGGCGCGGTCCTGACGAGAGAACCGTCGGCCACATATGCATGCCCAACCGCTGGGGACTTTGCTTATTTCATGCAGTTCCTGGGTCACCCGGGGAGGGAATACCGTTCTCTGGTGGATCCCCTGGTCGACGACTTGGTGTGGAGGGTAAAGCTGTGGCTGCTGGATGATCGAGGTTGAGGGCTGTGTAATATAGGCTATGTACGTGTCAAAATATGGTCTATCGATCACAAAAAAATGTCAGTCTCTCTGGACATTGGTCGGACTTTGAAAACACGCACGGTTCCAGAGCCTGGGGGGGTTGTTGCTGCTGGGATGATACGAACCCGTCGTTGATGAAATAAGGATACGACATTCCAGGTGTCGATGAATAAAAATTCCAAGGCTCGTATCCTGTAATCAGGGCGTGAGACGTATTAATGAGTGTGATCAGACTACTTACCAGACATTGCCTGTCAAACTACTGGGTTGTCCCCTCGAGTGACAACCGATTGCCTTATTTAAGTAGCAAACGCCTACGCGCAACCTACAGGCCGATAGCTCCAGTCGGTAAGCACGCTGTCTCTGTGCATCCGCTGTGGCAAAGAAACCAGGCGATCAGCTCGAGGCTGGTATTCACCTCCTGGCCACTTGCCGCACCATGGATGCGTTTTTGTGTCGGGGCTGCATATTCAATCGATCACGAGCGCAGAGCAAAAGCGGTGCTGTTGGGCAAGGGTCAACGTTCACCGGTCCGTCCTATTCTACCAACAGCATATCTATTACAGGTTATCTACCAAATCGAAGCCTACGCACGAGCGGCGCGTTGCGGCGGGCTAACATATTAGAATAGGCAGTAAAGCACGTATACACGGATCGACACAGCAAAGTCGTCCAAAGGCGCATGTCCGACGGGAACCCATAGCAAATGCAGGACATAGACTCCGATCATGTTTGAGTCACGAGGCACTCGAAAAGAACGGAAACGCGGCAACGCGCCGTCTAGAAACAGCGCTTTCGGTGGCGGGCAAGGTTTTGGCGGGAAGTCACCTTGTGGCTAATGGCCGGTGGGGGATGAGCGCATCGCCGACATGAAGAGAATTCAACGCACCAGATATGACAGCAAATCTGTCGCTTAGTAGACGGCCACAGGTGCCGCCTGTAGCAGTCCAACGAGGAATATGACACGGGGCTACCATCATCGTTTGAGACATCATCTCATAAACGGGGGAAAAAAAGACGCCTTACCAGTCCGGAACGCCGCATTTCCCTCCACAGACGTACGATTTGATCTGGTGGTGTCTGTCCTCGCAAGTGTCCCTTCGATCCCGTCGAGCGTATCCACGCCCACACTCAGAGCAGTGAAACTTGACACGCGACTGCTTGGACGGGTGTGCGTGAGTTTGTGCGCCCAAGCGGCTAAGGGACCTCACGCGGGGCTGCGGGGAGGGCGACAATTCGTATTCGTGGTCCGTTGCATTTGCGGTCGACGGAGCATATTCCGATATATCGCCTGCATCCATCCTCGCAATGTTTTTCATCGTTTCTGCCCGTGGGGAAGGGCTGGCATGCACCGCTCCGGGTTCGGGAGAGGAGTGGGCACTCGACGACGAGACGTAGGTTGAACAGCTTGCGTCAACGGGGTAAGCCAGCTCAAACTCCTTGTACTCTTCAGCATAATGATCTAGTCCCAATGCAGTCTGCATGTGGCTGTTGCATGGATGATCAACCATCAAACGCCGCAGATTGTACGAGGGCACAGACCAGAATTGCGGGCTTCGTAACATAGAGTCGAGGCTGATCACAGTATGGGCGTCCTCGGAGAAGGTAAAAGCGTCATAATCCTGCAAAAGACTTGCCCTCGTGTCTCCGAGGCTGATGGCAGACGGGGAATTAACGTAGGGGAGGACGTCTAACGCCACATTCCATTGTTGTTGACCAATATAAAGAGGGTAAGATAGATCGGATCGAGTGCGAGGGATGGAAACATCAAGAGGCTGAGACAGATAGGAAAGGGAGTCGGAAGACATGATGCGCTGAGCATCTGCTGGCGCGCCGCCCTGCTTATAATATCCCCTCGAACCATTCATTCGCAAAAGTCACCAGGGAATCTGCGCTTGTCTGCGAGCTACTATTGCCGGTCGAACGGCGGGAGGAACACTGATATCCCGGACCCCGAGTATTGCGATGGAGCGAGAGACAGAACTGGTGTATTGTCCAACATTCACAAGTTGTCCGTGTCATATCGCGTGGAAAGGGCATGTTGGATCCCGTTTAAGCAGAGCCATTCGGCGAAAGGAGCCACTTCGGTCGCAGTTTGGTTTGGGCCGCTGGGAGGAGAGTGGAAGATGAGTTGCGTCTGCGGCCCTGCTGATGAGTTCTGGTGTTAACCTGGAAGATTTGACAGATGCCCCTAAACGATTTCTATGCCAGCCCTCCGCCGTTCGGATGTCCAATTCAACTGTCAAGATAGCGGTACGCGCTGAAGTATAAACGAGGGGTGGGGGTTTGGACGGCGAAGTAGATTGGTTGGGAACACGCGGTCTGGCTGGGCATGGGGAGGCAATCGCTGGATCGTCGTACTAGTGACATTTAGAGAATCCCATTGTTGGAGAAGGTCGTCCCGAGTTTCTGACGCCGAACAATTTGCCCTGGCTTCTCTTCTCTGGGCACAAAAGGTACCATTATGTCGACAGTCAGCAATTCCGACAAATCTTCATTTCTCTTGTCACTTCCTTGTATCGTTTGAGGACCGGGGTGATGACGGCTCGACGCGTTGAATATGGACCTAGCCCAGACCCTCAACTCAAGGGGCACGACAACACGAGAAAAGACCCGTCCAATAATACCATCTAAACCGGCCTAGGACGCAGAGTATTCGTCTCTTCTAGCTCTGTACACGTTATTTCCAAGCGCCGGCGAGGTCGATGGCACGATCGCACACTTGAACGAGGGGTCCTCCAACTTCGCTTCGACAGTCAGGAGGTTCTTGACCAAAGTAGGAAGTTGGTTCCTCGGCAGGTTTTGTATTACGCCTTTTACTGGAGCCCTGCGAACCGAAAGTGGGCCTATTCGCAGCCATTCTGCGGAAACTTGCGTTCGCCGGTTACGACACTCGCCGCGGATTCAACCGGATTCAGGATCCTGGGCTCAGTTCCACAAACTCGAGCGCCTGTGATGCGAAGAAGCAGTCGGGAGCAGCGGCAAGTGCGATACCTCGGTTATGCGACACGGCCACGCCATTTTCTCAAGAATATCACTAAGAGCCGCAAAAGAGAGTGACTTGGAGCTCAGAAGAAGGCATTCTTGACTGTACAAGTAACCAGGGACCAGCCCAGCTAGATATCATGCATAGAGGATCAGAAAGGCTGGAAGAATTGCCTCGTTGGAGTATACCACCGTCTCATCATAGTTTAGGTCTCTCCCTGCCTCTCCAGAAACCTGTAAACGTCTGGGGTCAGCAAACCCGCACGCTCGCAAGCAGGATCCCCTCACAGAGTCGTAGCCTTCTGGCGGACGTTTGAGATAATCAGCATTTACTTGCAGGTGCTTGCTGGTCCCAACGACGACCTGGTTCAACAAGATTGCTTGAAAGGGTGAGGCAGTTCTCAGCTTCCAGAGATTGCGGCTGCGGTTGCGAATATAGTCATGGGACTTGGAGGACGTTGCAGAGGTATAAATGCTGGTCCAAAGTCATGTCAAGCAAGAAGAGGGCTCTATATGCTCACCCTGTGCCAAATCTGAATCACGCTGAGTCGTTAGCGACCCCATCGAGCCTTCAGCAGATGCTACCCACCTTCCCCATCGCTTTCCAAACTTTGCTACATCAAAGGAGGTCTTGATAATCTGGCATAGTGCACATAGCTCATCATCGCACAGTTCAGTGCTCTTTTCGCCAACCTATGAATAGGTGCTTAGTTCCTTGACCGCGCTGTTGAAGCGCCTTGGACGTGCACATGTGTGGGCACCCTAGATCGCTTCGTGTACTCGCCTTGCATCGTCTGCGGGTGCCATGCCATCTGAGTTGCTCGTTACCTGGCTTCAGGTTGAATTCCTGACACCGTCGTTTGCTTTCCACCAGGTCTCTGAGTTGTCACCGGTGAGTGTGGGACGCTGCAGAAAGATTTTTCGTTACCGATATGCAGCATAGCGTTCTGCTGTCGCAGGAGCAGAGATAATGGCGTAGACGAACTGAACTTTGGGACACGGGGTATCGTGTCTCCACTCGGCAGTGAACTGGCTCTCAACTGTCAGACATTGTGAGACTATGGCTTTATGCATGAAGCGTCTGGCTTACTATCACCACGAACGGGATGATTAAGGGGAAGCGGCGCCAAAGGGCTTCTCTGCAGATATCGCGATATGCAGTCTGGAGAGCAAAAAAGACCGCCTCTCATAGCCAATGTTTCACATCCTAGGCATTTGATATCCTGCGTGTGATGAACCACATAGGGAACAGAGGCAACCTGCCGAGCATAACGTTGAATCTCCCTCGGTCCGCCGCTGCTGCTGGCTTGTTGGGACTGTGTAAGAAATCCTCTAGCCTCGTTGTGGATAGGCCGCTCCACAGGCTTCTCAGCCACGCTCTAGTTTAGCTAGTGAGTGCCAGCATGATGGACTGTGGCACACATTACTGGATCCGCCATCAGAAAGTCAATAGTAAGATCCAATCTATAAGCAGATTGTTCGTAAAAGTCCTTGAGGAGGGCTGAATCCGCTCCTGGAAAGATGCGCTGAAGCTCCTGCAGGTCATTGGCCATACGAGATGCATCCATAGTGTACTTCAGAGTGAATTAACTATGCGGTAACCGAATCTTGATAGGCTTCGGGTGCACACGTCTCGGAAACAGAACCAACGTTGAAGACACGCTTCGAGCTGAACGGGAGAGTTGCTCGTCGGGTATGTGAGTAAAAATTATTCAAGAAGAAGCAGATCCACTTTGTGAGATTCAGGGTGTTTGGGCGAGTTCCAAGTCCTGTTGCCTCCGCTGGATGCTCTGGACTGAGGTCCGTGATTATCCCGCATTTGGAGTCTGAACTAGTTAATACGTGTGACGGCAGCACGGAATTTTCTACGACCTGTTTAATCCTGCATGGTGGTGGAGGTCAAAGTGTCCTACGATTATGGAGAGCTAGAATACAATGTGATACATAAAAGCGAATTATCACGAGGCTGATGGCCCAGGATAGTCTATTGAGAGGTCTACTCCCTGAATATGCGTATTCGTGAGCTTGGTCGGCCGTGGCTTGTTCACTTTGCGGGCCTTCTTCTTTTGCTGTGGCTTTGTCGCCATGGCATGTGAGACGGTGAGAGTCATTCCCTCTTGAGAAGGTTATTAGTAGCAGCGCAATGCACAAAAGAGTTGCGTACGATCACCAGAGCTAAGAGAGCGAACGATGTCTGCGTCTTCAGGTACGTTTTGTTCGAGCCACATAGTCTTGAATTCTAATAATGTGCTCAGCACTTGCACATATATCTTGAGCTATGGACGCACCGTCATCGATAATCTGCATATCCCTTTGCTCCTGTGTAATTGGGTTCCAAAAGGCGAATTTTGGGTTATCGTCCTTGCCGGAGCGGATAATGATAACTTTCCCCTCCTGTTCGAGCTCGAGGATGGCGTCCACGGATCCTTTCCACGACTCTTTCAGGTTTTTGATTGAAACGCCGACGCCTTTCTTCCCATGTCTTTGCATCTCCGTAAGGATTGCGTCTTTGCTGTCTACGACTATCTCTGCCTGGTTGTTTATGAGGCGCCTTTCCTCATGCGGGCCAGGTCTAGTAACCCACCTTGTAGGAGTAGAGGTTTGTTGCCGGATGAAATTGTATCTTTGGGTGAGCTCTCAGCTTTTCCGCAGCGCTTTCCTCCATAATCATGGGTACGTCTGCCATGATTGACAAGTCCTGGAGGGAGAGCGTCATGCCGGGCGAGTCCTGGATAGAAAATATTATGCAATGGACATTTCCAACTATGCTCATCGTGCCTTGAGGAACGTGACCGCGAGATGGATCTGTGTGTTTTCATTTTTGCCCTGATGAGTGTCCTTGGGCTGCGAATAGACAATGTCTAAAGGCTGTAAGATTAAACAGTCTATCAAATGCATGCATTCGCACTATTCTTTGGCTTTGGCTTTTTAGCGACTGGCGGCATCAGGTCCAAGAGTGGGGTCAGAATCTCACTCCCTTGTCAGCTGTTTGGCAACAGTGACTAGGTGCCACCGAAGAGCAAGCAGCATTATTTTCCATTCCTTTCGTTCTCTTCTTCACTCTCGAATATCTTTTCGGTCCCGCCTCTCAGCCTTTGGTGTCCTACAGCCCATCCCAAATCCGATACACCGCTTGAAAAGGACTGTTCCCGGAAATCTAGAGATGACCTTTGCCAATAACGCGGAGGTTGAAATACCATTGAAAGCAGATCCAGAGAGCGTCTCGGTTGGTCTCGAGGATGTCAAGCGGCTGGTCAACGGCCATTCGATGAACGGCAAAGTCATCTTACCACCTTTTGAACCGGTCATATTTGTAGAGGCAAAGGAAACAAATCTCAACGCGGAATTAGACGGCATCAAGTATAAGCCCATCAACGTTCCTGGCGAAGAAATGTCGTTCCATCCACCCGTGAGTACGTGATGCATAGTTGTGAGCGCTTTCTTGACCATCTACAACTAGCTGGTCGAAAAATCATTTCCAAAAGAAGGGATCAAGGAGACAGTAAAGGCCCCACCGACCCCCAGCAAGACTGAGGAACCTGAGCCCAAGCCTCTGGACACCATTGTACTCTCGCAAGAGTGGAAGATCGAAAAAGTGCCTATATCTGCGCTGGACTGTGGTCTCCATAATCTTGGCAATAGTTGCTTTATGAACAGCACACTGCAAATCCTCCTACACACTGCACCGTTGCTGAACGTACTGCTTTCACATCGACACGATTCTTGTATGTCTCTTGTTGCTTTTGGGTCTATCTCATCCTTTTGATAGGCAAGCTCGCCCTTGATGGCTCGTATTGCTTTACCTGCCAATTGCGAAAACTAGCGTTAGACATACTGTGTCGTAAGTCACGTCAAGCTCGGTCACCTGAAGATATATTTCGGAATCTAAAGAGTATGTCTGCTTAGTGTCCTATTTTCTAGCCTGCTAACCTTTTCTAAGGAATATCGCCTACCCTGCGGCAATACAGACAAGAAGACGCACACGAATTCCTTCGCTTCAGTATTGATGCATTGCAGTTGAGCGCCCAAAATGGTGTCAAGTGCGCGTGTTTCTTCCCAACGTCTTGTGATTTCTGATCCTTCATAAGGTCTGTACCCGAAAAACTCGCTGCTACCTCTTGGGTCTACCGGCTATTTGGAGGTCAATTTCGCTCTCGTGTCACCTGTGGTTCCTGTGGACACAATAGCGACACGTTTGATACTTTGCTCGACTTGAGCGTGGACATTGCCAAATGTGATACATTGAAACAGGCCCTCAGGATGTTCTCCGCGATTGAGCGACTGGAGGGAAGCAACAAGTACAAATGTGAAAAGTAACTGCTTCCCCTCAGGTGTCTACCCTCGAGTTAACTTCATTTCCAGATGCAAAAAACCGGTCAACGCAAAGAAGCAAATCACTGTACATAAAGCTCCGATGGCACTTTGCATCCAGCTCAAGCGGTTCAGCCCTTGGGGTCGCAAAATCACCAATATGATCGACTATCCGGAAACTCTGTCCCTGAACGAGATTCTAAGTGATAATCAGGTAAGAAAAGACCTCTCTAGTCACATTCGAGTTAATCCTGTTGCTAGACATCACCTATGTATCAGCTGTACGGCGTCATCGTTCATGCTGGATCGGGTCCTAACTCTGGTCACTACTACACATTTGTCAAGAACTATGCGGGGAAGTGGCTACGGATCAATGATGACGAAGTGGATACTATCCCCCGGGCACCTCTCGGATCGAAGAATGCGTACATGCTCTTCTATATGCGCCGCCCATTCAACATCAACGATGTGGTTGCTTCTACCTCGTCTCAGAAGTCGGCAGAGAAGCTGTCGAATAGCGACAATAGGAAGCGAAAGGCTGAGGATATGGAGGAAGACGAAGACGTTGGCGAGACGGTCTCTCGTCCGCCACTTTCGTCCCCGATGAATAGCAGTGCTGCATCCACCCCTGGACCTTCATCAGCGAAGAAGCCTCGCAACGAGACCTACGAATCGTTCAAGAGCAAATTGATCCAACCCCAACGCCATGTTAAACCCGTGATCAAAACTACTCTCAAGCTCGTGCCCCCAAAGGCTCTACCCAAGAAGCCACTTGATCTGCCGGGTGTAGACAATAGCGACGGCACAGACGAGAGCATATCGTCACCTGATGCTTCTCCTACCAGACATGACCAGCCATCAAATTCTCCGCGTACTCCCACCGTGGAGCACATACTCCCGCGAGCTCATTCAGAAGAAGAGAAAGTAACATCCATATTTCTTACACCCAAAAGCCGAATAACGACTCCACCGTGGTCGATCCCGGATGCCTCACAATCAAGTCCACGTCCTGAATCAATTCCTCCCTCCTCCGGCGCGTCAAAGGCTCAGACTGAGAATGAAAGTGACGACGGCTCGTATACAGCACCAACGTGGTCCCAAAAGTCCCAACAGACGATCGAGGTGAGGGACGTGCGTCCTCACAACCCCAAAAAACAATATCATAGCAAAAACAGACGTGAACGTGGCAGGAACCCCTTTGGTCAAATTGGCATGCCCAAGGGACGTCGACCTGGCGGTATATAGGCGTGCAGACCGAACCCCCTTAACCTTATTGCTCGTGTAATAAACTTAAAGAAAGTGGTATGTATCGTTTCTTAGACGGTATACACGGACGCGGCGACCTAGCTAGAGTTTTGATCGAGTAACTTCTTGTACTGGCATATCATCTTTATCAAACGTGATGATCGCGACACTGATATCGTCCCTGAATCTCCGGGAGTATGGAGGCGGGATGGACAAGAGCTGTTGAATCTTTTGGTCATCCTGACCTCCAATGGCATTGCGGATGAGGTGCATTCCAACGTGTTCGTCTCTGAAAGACCAATCATACGATCCCTTGTTGGATTTTGCTGCGTGTGGTAGAGGATCCGACGTCTTGTTCGAGATATCCTCCGTGGTCGGTATCCTCTTCGTGAGTTCTCCTCGAGGTATCGACCCTCTGTATCCAGATTGATGCCCTGCAACCAATGCGACGGCATCCGTGTTCGAAAGCTCGTCCCATAGACCATCTGTCGCAAGAATGAGGAAGCGAAGCGTCGAGCGAGGCGAGTTGGAAGAAGGTGCAGAAGAAGGTAGAGTAAACTTGCGGTACTGAACCTCTGGTCTCGCTGTCACGTACGGTGGTGTGAGGAGGTTGGCCGGTGGTGGTCGAACAGGAACGTTTGGAGGAAGGAGTTTGGGCAACAGCTCCTGTTGCATCTGTGCTGGCCATTTGTAACGAAGGTCACCAAAGGAACGAGATGGTTGTAATGATCCCAGGATTCGACCGTTTCGGATCACGTTTCCTGCATTGTCTTTAGGATGCTCCCGAATGATACTGATGACTTTTAGTTCTTGATCATAAACCATGAAAGTGGGACGCACCGTGCAACCTCTTTTGGACTCTCAGCAGTCTGATCTTCACTGAGCACGTCAACGCGCCAAGTCCCAGTGCCGTCACCCTTTTCATCCCAGTACCCAGCAACTGCACGACAATCCCCGGTACAAGCGACCCACATCTCTTTTTCCTCAGTGTCGACAAAGGCAGCAAGCGCACAGGCACCCGAATATCCGGGCAGCACCAGTGCCTGTTGGTCCGACTGGCTGGCTTGGGGGTCAACGCTCATGGTCTTTGCGGCTTGTTTGGGCTCATGGAATACGAGGTACGCATCGTATGCTTCCCAAGCCTTTTGCAGCAAGCCGGCTGTCTTCTCCTTGTGCAGTTTGAATGCGCTCGGAAGTTCGATGTTCGCCTCGGTGATGTCAACCTTTGGTACGTCAACCTTGAATCCTTGCTCTCGTGCCAGTGTCAACACGGTCAAAAGCCCCAAGTTGCCAGAGAGCTTTGCAGACGTATATGGACCCGAATGCCCGTCAGCAATGGCTGTGACGATGAGGGGCTTCCTCGTCGAGTTTTTGTAGGTATATACAACTGCTTCTGGCTGCATATCCTCTACGGGTTCGTTCGAGTTGAGTTGCGCACCAAAGAACTTGATGCAGTCGCGCGACAGGTCGCTATCATAGAGCTGAGGAGGAGGAGAGAAGAGTGTTCTACTGAAAACTTTGACACGTTCCTCCACCGTCGCGTTTGGGAGATAGGGAACCTCCATTGAAACGGTGACGACCTTGCCGCTTGCGTCTCGTTGCCGGATGGGAATTTTAAAGGTTGATTGCCCTAAAGAGTCATTTCTACGCGCTCTGTATTGATAATAGGCGTAGCCGGTGCCTCCAGCGACGACAAGGGCCGCGAGGGTCCGTTGAAGTCGACGCGAAGACTGCATAACCACTGACGGGTGCCGAGTTTGCCCACTTTTTTATCCATGTTTTTCAGAATAATGACTCGGGAAAATGCAAACGTTTTCGAGTTTCGGGGCGTGGTCTGGATGTGGTCCCAGAGAAATTCTGGATCTGCGCGTTTGTGAATAGTCGAGTTTGTGGAATTTTCCATCTTTGATTTATTTAAGAATGGAAAGGCCCCTCTCGGCGATACTTGCCACTAACGTCAGACCTTGGACCCGTCCACGACCGCTTATTCGCCACCAACCAACAAGCCCCCATATAATCTACAGCAAGTCGCACGTAAACAAGCATAATGAGCGTAGAGATTATCCCAGAAACTACGAGTTTGCCGCCATTGCCTCCGTCGGCATCACATCCACGGCCAAAGGGCATCCTAAAGAACGCGTCCTCGTCGTCCTCGGCAGTCCCAGCCGTCTCTTCGCAAACTTCAGGCGCCGGTGAACCGCCTTCGCGATCGGCTTCTGGCAACGGCCCCCTGCAAACACCGTCTGGGAACAGCCAGCAGTGAGTAGAATACAGTGATCGTTTTTGTCTGATCAGAGTTGGCTGACTGATCTCCTCTCCCTCTGTAATCACCCGCGATGGTCAATTGCCACCCACCTCGTGTCATTCAGTCTGACTTGGGATGAAGAAAACCTGGCTCTTACCGAAGTCCAGAAGGACAGCTTGATGAAGATCACAGAACCAAAGACTCCATATGTTCGCTACAATGCCGAACTGGATACGGTCGAAAATATGAGTGGTGCGTGTCATGAATCCCTGTCGTCACCCAATTTGGAAGTCCGATTTGGCGATCAAATATAGACTGACCCATTCTCTCAGATATTCCCTCATTCGACTTGAGTCGCAACGCCGGATCGAACCCATCGACGCCAATCTCAACCTCGTTCCAAGTCGACTCGCCCATCTCCCAGCCGAGCAATCTCCCAGATACAAAGACTCTGACTGAGGCTAATACAAACGCAAACGCTCGACGACCGTCCTTTGGCGCAGCTCCGAAGAGCCGCTCAAACTCGGCGTCGAGCCGAAGTACGAGTTTCCACCTACCTGAAGACGAGCGAAAGAAGATCCAGAAGAGTGCACGAGAGGCCGCAGGGAATGGCGAAGTTGGAGAGGACGACGAAATGGATGAAGAAGGTGAGCATTTGAGCGCTGGTCAGCACCCTGGGCGCCATTACGAATCCCTCTCGATCGATTGATTTTCTGACAAACCTACTCACAGCAGCTGCGAAACATGCCGAGTTTGTCAAGGCCCGTGGCCGTCACTACTCTAACGAAGCTGAAGCAATGAAGGTGGGCACGCCGGCTCCATCTCTGATGCGACGGTTGCTCAACGTCATTCTAGCTCGCCCAAAAGCTGCTGGCGGAAGAAGAAGATGATGACGAAGATGAGGAGGACGAAGAGGGTAATGGCGACAACATGGACGTGGATGGAAAGAAACCCAAGAAAAAGGGTATTCCACCCGTGCCGCCACTTCCCGCTAGTGTCAATGGCATAAGCAAATAGCAAAGTGACCAACCCCGGCAGTGGTTATTTTGCCTCTCGAAGATCCCAATGTAGCAGTCTCTATGAATGTATCTATGGTCGGAATTCGTTTACCTTGAAGGATTCATGTTGTAACTTGGACCCGACCTCGATGTCTCTATGGAACTCACAGGACTGGGTTATGACCAGGGCCTCCAAGAGACTCTGAGGAGGAGCTCGACACTTAGGAGAGCCTCAGAGATACCTTTGACGCTTGAAAGGACGCTCACCACTGGCGGTGAGCCAAATCCGTCTGCTCCTCGTACTCCAAATCCGGAAGAGGAGCCGGAAGAGAGGAAGGAGCTCGCACCTCCAGGAATACTCTCTCTCGAAGCAATTTTCCTACTTGCACCCTTTTCAATATTTGGCTTACTTGCCCGTCTGGGCATCGCAGCTCTCGCTCGGTACCCAAATGATGCCATTTTCGAGCTTGCATGGGTTCAAGCAGCGGGATGTCTCGTAATGGGCATAGCACAGAGCCAGAAGGCGTTTATAATGACTTTGTAAGTTTGATCCAGAAAGCTTCAGGTCTTATCTCACATTGCTCTAGTTACCCGCCGCTATATTTAGGCATCACGACTGGTATGTGAACTAGTCACAAAAATACACGAAGCTCAGGTTCAAAGGCTTCTGTGGCTCATTGACCACGTTTGCATCCTGGCAGCGGGATGTCTTCCTCGCTTGGATCGAAGGACGACCGGCAGGCTTCTCCAATTGGCACAGAGTACGTCACCTATGTGCTCTTTTCATGCAAGCCTAATTCTTTGGCAGTTTCTGGACGGTGCTACCCGCCTATTCTTCACTCAGGCAATTTCAGTTGCCACTTTCAAATGCGGATTGGCAATAGGAAAACGCAGGGTTCACATAATGCCTCAGATCCCCCATCGGCCTTTGCGAGTTGTCATTACAGTTGTGGCGCTCTGCACCTATATTGCTGTCTTTCCTCTCTTCTTCGTCCTCCCCTTGTCCTTCCGCGAGGAAGTAACCGCAGCGCTCCTTTTTGCGTTTCCAGGTGCACTTACTCGACATTTGCTTGGAACGTGGCTCAACGCAAAGAAATCCAATTTTCCTCTCGGAACATTTGCGTCCAATACCGCGGGTACTGTCATCTCTGCGATAGTATATGTGCTACAGCATACGCACCCAGTGGAATGCAACTCGAGTGCGACGGCGATTCTCCAAGGTCTCACTGATGGCTACGCCGGATGTCTGAGCACGGTGAGCACGTTTGTTGCCGAAGCGTATCTCATGAATCGTAAAGATTCATGGACATATGTGCTTTGGAGCTGGATAAGCGCGCAAATCCTGTTGGTGCTCGTCCTTGGTATACCCTACTGGACTATGAATCTGGATAGACCCTTTTCGTGTTGAAGTTATTCCGCTTATAATAATTGGAAACTTTTCATCTAGAAACCTCCAGAGATTGAAAGTTAGACCCGACCACCAAAATGCTATCCACCTTGCCCCCCGAGGTGCTTCTTGACATCTTGTCGTTCCTCCCAATATATGATATATTCAGCGTGCAGCTAGTCTCGCGTTTCTTCAATGACCTCGTTGATACCCACTCGGCTTCTGTCTATCGCAGCTTGGCGCTATTCCACGGGATCACGTCCGCAGAGGAAATCGATGTGAACGAGCTGCTCAAGAAGAGAAATATTTACCTTGATTGGCTCAAACCGTCACGTATGCTCAACTGGCGACAGCCACCCACCCCGCTTACGAGCTGGAAAACGTACGGTGCGTGCCGCGTCGTCCTTTACGTTTGACATGAGTCTAAGTCTGTTGTGAATCTAGTCCTCAATCATTTTATACTGGAAACCAGCTGGAGTCGAGGTACATCTCATGAGTTTCGCCGGAGAGTGAACCCAACCCGACCTCATCGCATTCAAATCGACGAAGAGGAAGGGACTCTCATATCAACTCACGGGCTCCGTGCGTACTCTTTGACACGCATTTCATCGCTCATTGCCTGTTACTAGGTCAAATTCAAGTCGAAGATATTATGCACGAGATTCCATTCTGGACACAGACGACGGTTCCTTCATGGGCACACTGCGAGTTTGACAAAGGCTTCTTAATCTGGGGCCGACGCTCAGCGCAGATTGAAGTCTGGAGACGCCGAAAGGACCAGCTTCTTGATCCACTTCCTGCCTGCTCCCCCGATGAACTCCAACTCGGGAGCGAACGTATCGCCCCAGGGGCTGAACTCTCGGACGACGAGCTCTTGGCCGCGCTTCGAGCAGAAGAGTCTACTTCTGACGAAGCCGGCTGTGAAAAGTCCGAGTTGCGTGATTTGGAGTACCGTGGACAGTTTACTCCGTTTTGCGTGCTCACGCCGCCAAAAGTCACTTCTGCTTCGCGGTTCGTCTACCCAGAGCTGGTCGTCGTGACGAGAGATGCGACAAATGCCTATATATTCAATGTCCCGACAGCCAGGTTGGTCAAGACACTCGAGTTGGAGGCTCTCGAAGACGAAACTGTTTGCTATGTCGATCATAGCCCAACGCATGTCTTTATCTGCACAACTCTTACCATGTCTGCGTACCGCAAGTCGGATGGACAACGCGACATGCGGCTCACAAGGGACCAGCTCTCACCCAATCATGTTTACAACGCAGTCGTACGACCGGGTGAACGTCTTTGCGATTTGAACATGATACAGTACCTTGCTTCAGAGCAGGACGAAGCTATGTATAAAGAGTACCTTGCGGTCCATGTCTCACCGTGCGGCCGTATCTGGGTCCTGATACAAGAACAAAAGCATCTCTACATATGCACGGGTGGCTTCGAAGGCGGGGAAGAACCACTAGAGATGACACGCATTGATCTTCCAGACGGCGAGCTGTACTATTTGGCGTTTGACGGTAAGAATATCGCCGTCGCTGGTGTATGTGGACCTCTTTGAAGGGTTTTTTGTCATTGACGATCAACAGGAGATGGGCATCTTCACCTTGAGCCTCAAGAGACTTCAGAATGCCGGCAAACCACTCTCGGCCATTCACAAGTCGATTTCCAAGAGCACCCTCGCGTTGAATCATCCTTCTGGAGTCAGAATGCAACACACATCGTGTTTACAAGTGACGGATACAGCTATATGGCATGTCGGGGCCACTGACAGTCGTATGGTCTCTTCGCATCGAGTAACGCGGGCTTACTTTTATTTTTAGTTGGATTCATGGGCACCGTCACGACGATTGATCACATTATGAGTCGTTATATTCCTGAAAGGGATGACCAAGGGACGGCCGATGATACGTCTGACGCTGAGTCGGAGTGGGAGGACATGGACGAATAGCGCATCTATTTCGCTGTCCAAAGATCGTAGAGCTCTCCATCAATTTTTTTGTCAAACGTCGAGATCATGTTGGGATCGGCACGGAAGAGGATGCGGTTGCGGGGCACGGTGGTCCCTGCCAAAGGAGAAGAGGTTGGCATGCGTTGCGTGAATCCAGAGGGCTACGTACCAGCACCTGCTGTTGGTGTCCCAGGCACGCTCTGGGCCAGAACTGAACCGGCCCGTGAGTCATGGAGCGGTTGAAACTGCCTCTGGGGGCTCTGTGCTGGGGTGGCTGTCAGAGTCTGCAGAGACTGTTAGACAGAATTATAGAAAGCTGAATGAGTATTTACAGAGAGTCTGCTAAACGCCCCGATCATTCTGCCTAAGAGGGGGGGTGTCAAAAGGAATGCAAGTGTGAGTGAATCTGCTTCGTACCCTGTGGAATCTCATCCTCGACGCCCTTTGACGGGTCAGGTGGTGCATTTTCGTCTTGTTCGTCCAATCCGAGTGTGTTTTCGCGACCGACTGCGGGAGACACGACACGCGTGGGCGTTGCGGGACCGTTGTTGTTGGCGTTGTGACGAAAGGTGAGCGAGGACGAGGAACCTGGCGGGAAAAGTGATCGAGAATTTTGCATGGTTTGGTCGTGGTTGAATATCAAGAGATGGTGTTGTTTGTACCAGTGGTTAGCACATTTTGGACCCAGGGTACCATGGACGGCCATTGTCAACATTCTCAGGATGGACTTCCCAATGGCCTGGGTCTAGATTAAATACCAGATTTTGGCGTGCTTTATAATGCCTCGTCGTATGTTTTTGTGATGAGGCTTCGCTTGCACGGTGCAGAATTGTATCAATCTAGTTGCTATTGAATAAAATAATCTCGTGTTCATGGCCAATCTAGGCGAATGATTCCCCCCCGTCAGGCTCTGTTCATTCCTGTTTGTATAACAGATTGTTCACCTCGCCGTCGCCACTTGGTCTCCGCCACCACTTGGATTTCTACAATGCCACCCCGTCCACCGCCCAGAGGAGGAAGAGGAGGTCCTCCAAGAGGAACTGCTCCTCCCCGCGGCGCTCCTCCTCCAGGTGCTGGTCGTGGCCAGTCGAGCACCGCTGCCGCTCCTCCTGGCCAAGTTATGCTCGCAGAACACGTCCAGACGATCGGTGTCCGTAAAACAGGCTATGGACGCGAAGGACGCCCATTTGAGGTCTTTACAAACCATTTTGCAGCAAAGATCACCGACAAAATTATCATTCACTACGATGGTACGCCCATTTCACGCCACATCGACGAGCGATCAGTCGCTGATGGCTCTCCATCTCTCTCTCTGTTTGCCATTCTCTAGTTGGTCAGTATCCTTTCTCCCTTGTGTCTTGTGGGGCTCATCGGAATCAGTCATTCATCCCTCGGAGAAGACTCTACCAGCTAGACTCAACTTTGAGATTATCGAGGCACTTCAGGTCTGTAATTTTATCTCTTTTCTGGTGTTCGACTCATTCTGAGCCACATCGTAGACGAAATGCTACCCTCAAGTGTTCACACCACGCGCAGTCTACGACGGCAGAAAGAATATGTTTGCATCTCAAATCATTTCATTCCCTTCTGGTCACGAGACTCAACACGAGGTAAATGCGTCTTTTTCCAATCCCCGTCCACATCTCTGATGATGCCACCAGTTTGATGTCTTCCTCGACGGCATCCCCGAAGATCCGTCCGCTGCGGATGCTCCAAAGTCGTACAAAGTCCGTTTGACCAAAGTGGCGACAATCAACCCAGAAGTTCTTCATCGCTTCCTCAGTGGCCAGCAAAGCCACGATAATTCTGTCCTCACGGCAATCACCGCACTCGTACGTCCACCTGCTGTATCCACCCTCTCTTGAAACAATGTTCTCACCTCGGTTTAGAACGTGGTTGTCCGCATGGAACCATCGCTGTGCGTCCACTTCCCGTTTGCTCCAGACCCAGCTCACCGGTCCACAGCAAGTATCCATTCAATGTACGATCGTTTTTCACAAACCGAGAAACAAAGGATATTGGTCAGGGTATGGTTCTTTGGCGAGGCTATTTCCAGTACGTCTGGTTTCTCGATCTGCCATTTCATGGCTGACGCTCCACCAGGTCTGTGCGTCCTGCCGTAGGACGCATGCTCATCAACATTGACATCTCCACTGGTGTCATGTGCGTAAATGAGGTTTCTCCTCCCCCCATCCCCAAAGTTTATGCCACATATTGATGCATACCTCTGTTCCCAGGTATAAATCAGGCTCTCTTATCGATCTCTGCCTAGACTTCTTTGGCAAGCCCGGTAACCCAGCCATCCTCGCTCCCTCGCGAGGTCTGCCCGAACGTGAACGCCAACGTCTTTCCCGCTTCCTCGTTGGTGTTCGCGTCGTCACCCGTGTCGCCCAGGCCCAAGGCCAACAACGTCCTGGGGGGCGCCAGGCTAACCCACGTGTCATCAAGCGTCTTTCAAATCAGAGCGCAAAGGATCTCAGGTTTAGTCTGCGCGATGGCACGACCCAATCCGTGGCGGTGTGTATCTACTACCAATGATGAAAGTTGACCCGCTCATACTAGACGATAGGACTATTTCCGCATCACGTACCGCCGAGAACTTCGATACCCAGACCTTCTCTGTGTCGAGGTACGGTACCTTTTTAGCCTCTAGTTTTCCGCGCTTTCTAACGCTACTATTCGTTCAGGTCGGCTCTGGCGCGCTTCTTCCACTCGAAGTATGCGAAGTTCTTCCTGGCCAGATTATGCGCAAACAAGTTCCACCCGACAAGACGTCATCCGTCCTCGAGTTTGCCACCAAGAAACCCGAGGCGCGTCTCGAATCCATCGTCAACGGGCTTAAGGTACTCGAGTATGACCAGTCAGAGTATCTCAGAAGCTTTGGACTCACTGTCGACACGAATGGACCCGTCAAGATTAAGGGACGTATCTTGCCTGCACCGACGATGCTCTACGGCCAAGGCAGTCGTCAACAGAATGTGGTGGGTGCTCGGATTATTGATCTACTTTGACTATTTTTTTGGATCCATTTCTGATGGTATCCTGTCTAGAATCCGCGTAATGGCGAATGGAATATGATTGACAAGAAGCTCTACCGACCTGCGTCTATCAACCGATGGATCGTCATCATCTTTGAACGCCAGCAGCGCTTCTCGCAAAATGCTGCAGATGACATGATCAATGGCCTTCGTAACGCGACGGCTGCGGTCGGTACGTCTCTCGGTTTTACGATTCTTTCTGTTCCTCACGGTACCCAATAGGTATCACTGGCTTCCAGAGTCAGCCTAGGGTTTCTTGGGAGAATCCACAAGCAGATGTTATTGGCGTACGTGTTGTCACTGGCTTTCTGATCATATTTACTAATATGCTCGTAGACTCTTCGACGCCATGGGATGGAGATGCGTAATACGGCTGGCGGCTTGCCAGATATCTATATCATCGTTCTCCCGGATGGTGCTGCAGATCTCTATCAGCAGATCAAGCAGTCAGTTTTCTCGATCATTACAGAGGATATACTCACGTGTTTCCAGCTTCTCCGATATCCAGGTCGGTGTCGCCACTCAGTGCTTGAAGAGCAACAAGTGCTTCCGTGCGAAGCCGCAATATTACGCGAACGTCTGTCTAAAGTATGTACTTCTTTGACATTTGCCTATCGTAGCTCATCGCTCGCAGGATCAACGTCAAGCTCGGTGGCGTCAATACCGTTCCAGATGCGAAAGCGATTCCTTTCCTCGCCGACCGTCAGAATCCGGCAATTATCATTGGTGCTGATGTCATTCATCCGTCTCCTGGCGTGGAGAATAAGCCTTCATTTACATCCATGGTCGCCAACATTGATCCCATGTTTTCTCGCTACGTCGCCATTTCCAAGGTCCAGAAGTCGAGACAGGAGATTATAGATCACGCTCAGGAGATGGTTGCGGTACGTATTGATTCTCTGAACTAGATGGGTAGATGCTGATGTTCCTCAATGACAGCATTGCTTGCGCATGCATATCAATTACAAGATTGAGACTGGTATTGAGCAAAAGGCTGCGTTTCCCCGCCGTATCATCGTCTTCCGTGACGGCGTCAGCGAGGGGCAATTCAAGCAAGTCATTGACGGAGGTGAGTCGTCACTACTTATACATTGTTTAACTCTCTCTGACGTTGTGATCGCGTCTTGTAGAAATTCCAAAGATCAAGGGTATAACTATCGTCTACTTTGAACTGCATATGTTGATCGCATACCAGCTGCCTGTGCCGCGCTCAATCTTCCCGTCACTCCAAAGCTCACCGTCGTCGTTGTCGGCAAGCGCCATCATGGTTTGTCCCTTTACCTCTAGCCTGTACACCCAGCTCATGTCTTGTAGTCCGTTTCTTCCCTATGCAAGGTCAAGGCGATCGTAGCGGCAACTGTCCAGCAGGACTCGTCGTTGACAGCGGTCAGTTCTACCTACTTTCTTTGTACACGAGTGTCTGACGAGCGTTGCAGAGGTTGCGTCGCCAGCCGAATTCGATTTCTACCTCCAGTCCCATGCAGGTCTTCTCGGCACGTCACGACCAGCACACTACAACGTCCTCTACGACGAAAATGGGTTCACGCCTGACTCAATGCAGCAACTCGCGTTTACGCTCTGTCACGTCTACGCCCGCTCGACGCGTTCGGTTTCGATCCCGGCACCAGTCTACTGTGCGTTGAACTGTCCATTATGAGACGCATACTAATCAATGTCCGCTCTAGATGCTGACATTGTGTGCGCCCGAGCCAAGAATCACTTTGATCCCTCTCTCAACGTCGACTTGTCCGAGACCGACTTGACACCTACCGACCCCGGACAAAAGTCTTCGGCAAAGACCCTCTCTCACTATCAAAAGAATTTCAAACCTCTTGCACAGACCGCGCAGCGTCGCATGTATTTCGCCTAAGCTTAGCCCCCAAATCTCTACTCCCTTCTTGTTGATAGTACATTCCATACCCACAACCTCATCTAACAAGAAATTGATTGAATGTTTTTGGTGTACTACAATCCATGTGAACAAAGGATATTAGTCAAGTAAGATGAACTGGATTACAAGATGCAGGGTATGCTCAAACATGATAGGAAAACCAAGTAAACATGCAAACGTCCAGTTTAGATAAAGTTTGGCTCTGGCTTCATCACCGTCCCTTGACGATCATCTGCCAAATAATAATTAATGGCGGTTATGCTCTGTGATAAATGTCAACGAAAGGAAACTTGACGAAGCAAAACTGTACGTACGTGTCCATTGGCTCGTCGAAGATATCCACCGAGAACGTCGCGTGGTACATTGGGGAGAATGACAGACAGTTCGTCTATCGCCCTTGTAAACTCATTGGAGCCACGAGAGGAGGAGTGCGCTGTCTCAGGCGGTCTTGATGGTGCAGAACTGAGTCCAGTGGATGTTGCAGAAGGTGCCGGCTTGAGAGAAGCAGTGGACCGTACGTTGCCACTCGAAGATATTCGTGTTGAGCCATGGAAGGACGGCGTCCGCGATAACCTATTCAGCGCGCGTGGACCTTCTGGAGGCCGCGGAGCGTCTCGTGGAATAGTCAGTGGTTGAATCGGAAAAGTAGAGTCATAAGTGATCTCATCCGAATTGTTTGGGAATTCGGTGTTGGGGAATTCGGCGTTCATAGGATTGGCAGAGAGGGGTGGAATGGGTATCGGCGCGGATATGATAGGTTTTGGAGCGCTAATCATCATTGTCGACGCGCGCTTTGGTCGAGGCGGTCTCGGACCTCCTGGGAGAGTGGGCGTCATACTAGGTAGCGCGGGAAGTGCAGAGACGGTGGTGCTAGGGGTTGAAACGGATGGAGGGGTGTTACTGCCTGTGGAACGCGCGGCAGCAGAACGAGCAGAGATGAGTTTTCGAGGAGTCGATCGTTCCTTTTCGCGGCTCTCTGTAGCTGACTGCGATCCTCTAGCGCGAACGCTAGTCTTTCGACTGAGCGACGCTAGGAAGCCGACTGGCCCACTTTTGACGGCGGATGACAATGAGGTCTTGGACGACGGTGTCGTGGGTGTCTGAACTTGGCTCCCAGTCATTTGTTGTCGCAGGGCCAATGTCGGGTACGGGATCGTACTAGGTACCTCGTTTGAGGATATGTCCATCATGACTGGCGTAAGATCAATAGCTTTGTATGCATCTGGTCGCATCGGAAATGTCATTTCAGACACTGCAGAGCTGCCGGACACAAATCGTGTATGGCTTGGGCCGACGTGGACGGGCCCATCTGAGGACATGATCATTGGACCTGAAAACCAGTTAGTAAAATAATAAATAATAATGTATAACCTACGAGTCCTATTGATGGTTGCGTCAATCCAATCCCTGAGGCCGCAGTCTTCAGTAGCAAGTTCGTTGATCTTCATGGCGTATCCACGGGCTCGCGCAATGGGTGTTTGTTCCGCCAGCACATCTGCAAAGCTCATGGCAGATGGCCACATTGACGGCGGTTTACTGCGCGGGCGCCTCGACTGCTGTGATCTAATAGACCCCGTTGTGGCCAACGGGCCTTTGGCCTTGAATGAGCTTGGAGCAAGAGCCAGACGGCCACGGTCTCCCGGAGGCGGCCCATGACCAAGGTGCGTTTGACTGTATATTCGTGTTGAATCTTCGCGATGTCGCTCGGGTGAAGATGAGTCGTCGCCATGTACAGCGCGAAGATGTTTGCTCCGGGTGGATCCTTCTTTTGTTGACGATGAGTGAAGACGAAGAGACTTGGAGCGTACAAGCGATATACGCTCATCTTCATCACTTGATTCACTGTCACTGGTATGTCCGCGCCGCGGGAGGTCATTTGACGATCTTCCATGTGATGACTTTGAGATTGATTGTTGTGACTGTGTGTGAGCTGTTGAAACCGAGCTCATGGCCGCACTGACGGCGGAGGCTTCAGGGGGGTTGAGAGTGGGTCGATCGAGACTGTTATCCACAGAGGTAAATATATTCGCAACATGTTCCCTCCCAGTCGGGGTTTTCAATTCCGCTTCTGGGGGCTCTGCTGAGACCTCGGTACGCAGGCGGTGAAGGAAGACGGAATTCGAAGGAAAGGCACCTTCCCGGATGTGTACTGAGCCTGCTTTTGAAAGAGAAGAGGGCTGTCCGGAGTGGGAACTGGTTCTTCCTTTAGTACTAGATTGACGTTTAGCGTGTCAATATTGGCATCAATGAATGATTACGCACTGTATATCATTGGAATATTCACTAGCACTCTCATCATCTGACACTGTGACCAGTGAGTACTTCTCAGGAGGACGCGAATGGCCAAGGTCAGCCATCGCGCGACCTCGATTTGGCGTGCCAAGTTCTTGGGTAGGATGCATATTTTGAGCTGAAACGTCGCGTGAGGGTGGGCCAGGGTGCGGTTTCGTAGGGGAAGGTTGACGGTGCGGCCGAGGTGGAGGGACAGGAGACGGTGAGGGAGACAAAGCGTTGATATCGATTCGCCTTGGAGGCATTGGTCCGGGATTCGGGCTCGGATCTCTCATGGACGAATAATGAGTCGTGGGTTGTGTGGGAGAAGGACCCGACGATTGTCGGCTGCTGGAAGGACTAAAGGAGTTGGGCTGCGAAGATGAATCGGTCGCGGTCGTAGCGGTCATCGGACTTCCTACGACAGCGCCGTGGGTGAAATCAAGACCGCTGTCCGGCGTAGCGGCTAACCAAAGGTCGGCGAGCTCTCCTCGAATGTCCACGACGACAGGGGGTGCCACCTTACTGTCGATTGGTTTACTATCTCCGATGCCCGGTGTCAGAATATTGGGAGAAGAGCCAAAATGGCGAGACCGGTTCGGTAACGGCAAATGAAGGCCTTCGTGAGAGTCTTTTGACTTGGTCGCAGTCGATGGTCTCCCAGTCTTTTCATGATGTTGTGGCGGCCTCTGAAAGACGGGTGAGAATCCAGGCTGCGAGGCCAAGCCGTCTCCTTTTGGAGGAACTGGAGGCTCGTCACCATAGTCACTGCCGCTAGAAGCACGCTCTCTTGCTGCATGTCGGCCGCTTTGTGGCGTTGGGTGATTTTCCTCGGAACGTCGGTTCATCGTCCGGACGGTTCCTATGATCCCAACGTCTCGTGGCGACTTGGGAGATTTGGGGAGTGCGCCTTGATTACTCGGAGATTCGAGGGAAGATCTGACTGCAGATGAAGCCATTGTAGTGACCTCGGAAGAGGTGCGCGAGTGGCCAGTCCCAGACGTCGACGGGTGAGGGCTGTGTTCCGAGGAAAGAGGTGACGTTTGTCCAGGGGTTGCGTGCTTTAGTCTGGAAGCCTTGTTCATTGCGAAAGAGGCCGCAGAGGGTGGTGACGCCTGAGCAGTGTAAGGTGTCGATGCATCTGGTGGCGCCACCAGAGCGAGCCTAGACTGATCAACACCACGTCGTGAAAGGATAGACGGTGATGCATTTCCGTGTACCCCGCCAAGTGGGGAACCCGGACTACTGCCAGTACTGGGCGGGGTAGTCAAGGGACTGGCATCGCGCTCAATAATTGCGACTCTTCGATTATCCTCTACGACGTGAATGCTGTCCGTGTGATGCAGTGCCGGTCGTCGAAAGGATTCCGCACCCTCTGAGCGTGAAGAGGTGGCGGGGACAAGCCGAATAGAGCCCGACGCCAGTTTTGGTTGCCTTGAATGATCTCTTGGTGCCATCTGCGAGCTGTGGTCCGCAACATCGCCCTCTTTATTAGCCGTCGACGGTCGACTGCGGGCATTGGCACGAGCGTGGGCCAAGTCTGCTGCAGAATATCCTTCAGATGCTTCTGCAGAGTTATAGTACTCTAGAATATCTGCAGTGCTTTCTCTTCCTAGGCCTGGACGAGCTGCAACATAAGTTAGCGTCTCGCGGAAAGAGACCTTTGGCAAAGCAAGGTGCGGAAACACACCTCGAGAGGTATCATCGTGAATTGAATGGGTTATTTTTGTCGAATTTGAGCCGTGGGCGACATGAGACATTGTTGGCCACTCAAACGGGGCCAGCGGTCGTCTTGAAGACGGTGATAAAGAAAAGGATTGACGTTATTATGGCGTATTTTCTTAGTGAAAAGTTCTTGTATCGACAGAGGTCTGGGCGACAAGCGACAAGCAAATCGAGGCCAGGACCAACGAGCGAAGCCGCTACAAAACGTCAATCAACGCAACTCAGTCCGGACAAGGATTGGCCGAAGGAATACAATTCTCGATTAGAAACCAAGTTAATCGAGGCAAATAACATACAAAAACGAACGAGAAAGGCACCGAAACAGAACCACACACGACAGCGCTCGTTATGCATTTAGCCGTCGTAGAACCTTGATGAATCTCCAGCCGAGAGTAGTCGGGGCCTATCCGTCGGCTACAGCGTCTATGAAGCAGAACAGTGCTCGCATACCAACTCGGTTCCTACGAGCTCGTGCGTGAACTCAGCGAGGTCAAGGAGAGCTTGTGGCGCAGTTCGACTGGAATCGCGGGTACAGGAGGTGCTGCGGCAAATGTCTTTGCACGACCAAGAAGAGAAGATTGGACGCCGTCTACGCGTGCAGATGACACTTTTCGGGCGGCAAGGGCAGGGGCTACCTCTTTGACGAATTGCCGTCGGACAGCTTGGGAAGCGGACTCGAGCGAGGATAGTACTGGATCCATGCCTTCTTGATATAGATCTGAAATCGATTCTCGGGTCCGGTGTTGAGCGCGCGAGAGGCCCGAAACAGGTGCCACCAGGTCGCGATCTGCTACTAATTAGTCATCAAGGCCACTATTAACCGTATTCAAACCCACCTATTCGCACATTAGACAGTCTTCGAGAGTGCCCCTGCGTTCGCAATGGCTCCAAAACCCACGGATTGCTTGTCCGTCGGCTCCTTCGCGGACTTAGAGGAGCCGCTTGCAATCGATTTGCGCTCTCGCCGAGATGCACAGATATCGAAAGCGAGCTCCTTTTGGCTACAGAGGGATAGATGACCAGGTGCGGGTACCCAGCTGGATACAGGTCGAATATTGGGTAGCTCGGGGCAAGTCGAACATTGACAGCCTTTGTTTCCGCCTTCCCATCTCCGTTTATAGTACGCAACGGCTCATAGATAACGATGTGTGGGTACGAAAAGCTCGGGACGATGGGTTGCCGCAGAGGTGGAGTCGGGACCGCGGGGTAGATATCGAAGTATGGATAAGCAGGTGCGTAAATGTCGAGGTTGGGGTAGAATACCGGAAGGCGAATAGGAGCCATTTTGGACCCGGCGTGCAAAGGAGCGCGATCTTCCGCAGGCGATGTGACGGTTGTGGCTGGATAGATGTCAAACGTTGGATATACCGCAGGGTAGATGACCAAATTTGGATAATGTGACGGTATACGGACTCCCGCTGGTTGCGTCGCTTCCTGAGAACCACTGGCCTGTGATTCATCGAGTTTGGCTGCCGGATAGATATCAATTGATGGATACACTGCCGGGTAGATGACCAAGTTGGGATACTCTGCCATCAAAGTGACTTTGATGTCCCTTGGGGTCTCTTCTTTGCTTTTCGTGCTCGTAATCTCACATGCGGGGTAGATGTCGAAGACTGGATAAACGGGGCGATAAATGACCAGGTTCGGATAGCACGACTTGAGATGGAGAGACTGAATCGGCTCAGCCTTCAATTTCACCTCCACTGCTAGCTTGACACTGGGATAGACGACAATGGACGGGTAGAGAGCCGGGTCTAGATCCTCGATGAGCACTCTTAGGAATACACGTCTAAGTGACTTACAGAGGTCGAAAAGTGGATATTGAGAGTTCAGACGGGTCGGCAGACCTAATGGCTCCTTGCTTGAGCTGGATGGGCTGCTAGGCGGCTTCTTCTCGACGCACGCTTCATAGAACGGTGGATAAGGAACGATGGAGGGATAGACATCAGGATAAAGATTGAAATGGCCATAGCTCATCGGGAGAGTTTCGCTGCGGGAAGAGAGGGAGCCACCGACGGCATTGTAGATGAGTATATCAGGATCTGCGCGACGAATAGTGTCAACGAGTGTCCTTATCGTCTCAACTGTGGTGGGCATGGCGGGAGGAGGACGAGTAGGGTGCTCACAAGCATAGGAAGGGCAAACTTTTCCAACAAACGGCGTCTTTTGAACCCTGGGAAGCTCGGCCGAGCCACATGAAATTCCAGAGGATATTTCCAATCTCGGATAAATGGGTGGATCTGGAACCGGCAGTGTCAGCGTGGGTCGCGATGCCTATCTACGGTTTCATCCTCAAACCGCAGAAAGCAGTTGACTCACAAATGACGAGGTGAGGATAAACTCCGGATGTCATGCTCTCGTTGACGGACGCAGCGGACGGACTAGCAGTGAAGAAGGGCCATGCGAAACTAGACGGAGTAGTCTCGCTTTCTGATTGGCGGTAAATCGTCTGCAAATCTCTTGTCCTCCTCTGCGTTTCCCGTAGTGGCGCATTCGATGAACTAGCTTCGATTGTTTGCGAATAGCATTGACTCTCCGTGGTAGAGTAGAATGGCCAGCCCATGTAAGACGTCTCGTGAGACTCCGGCATAAAGAATGGCCAGACCGAATTCGACGGTCGGGTTTCGTCGGATGGATAGAATGGCCACACAAAACGGAAAACTTCTTCTTCGTCGCCATCAACTCGGTCGGCAATACCAGGTGTAGCAGGTCGGGAGATCTCGACAGGGCTCGGGGGCCACACCTCGGGCGCACCCCAACTCGTGGCGGTGGTTGGGGTTGAAGGCACACTCTCGTACATACGAGTGGCGACATCCGGAGTCCGCACTTTGAATGAGGAGAATGGTGTTTCAGGCCAGACGGATGGAGCTCCCCAGCTGGTGGCCGTAGTAGGAGTATTCGGGACCGAAATGTATCCCCTGGCCGCGACGTCCGGCGTGTGGATGTAGGTCATCGTAGGTGGCGATAGAGGCCAAACAGATGGGGCACCCCAAGATGTTGCCGTGGTGGGTGTTGGTGGCGAGTCTTCCAGAAGGCGGCCCGCAATGTCTGGGGAAGGATATCGCACAACGTTGGAGGTGGCTGGCGTGGCAAGCGAGTCGTCTGGTCCAAATGACGTCGCTACCGACGGAGTTAGAGCAACAGACCCGGCCATACGACCTTCGAGGTCGACCGAGCGTAGAGGACGGTCAAAGGCGGGCGACGCCGGCCATTGCGACGGAGGACCTGTAGAGGAAACTGCCCATTCGTAGTCTTCCATATCAATATCTGAGAACATGTTGGTGTCGTACGTGTCGGGAACGGAACCTGCAGCCACTTCGGTGATGGGCATTGCTGGACCCATGGGGGTGGTTGCTCGCCAGTTGCGTACAAGGGTGTCGAGATCCTTTTGTTGCTGGATGACCGCTGGTTCGTCTACTTGTATGACGGGAGAGAGCCGCTTGTTATGTCGCTTAGAACCGATGGACTCGGCAACTACTCCTTCCATGGAATTGATCGCTCGATATTTTTGAGCAGTCTTGTTTTGTGCCTCGTGGAGGGTAGACAATGCAAGTGGCCGTAGAATTGGTCGCGGTCGTTGGGTGGTAGACGCTCCGTCTGTTTCAGCTTCCTCGTGACCTGCCTCACGATGTTCGTTATACCACCGGGTCATGGTGTGAGCCACTGAGGGTGGTATTGAAGTATCCAATGAGACACCGTTGACCCATGCGTCATACCATCGAGCTTTGCGAATGTCGATGTCGAATTCAATTTGGCCACAAACAGGAATGCCACCTGGTAATGCCGGCGAATTTTCATCGGAACCAAGGTAAGGGCCCCACAGGAACTGCCATGCCTCGTCGGAGATCCGTGGGGCAATATTTAGGCCAGCTTGATTGACATGGAGGTAGAGACAGACACCGACGATACTGGGCAAATTGAACTCTCGAGAAATTGCAGAGAGCTGTGCATACATCTATGCGAATGAGTATAAGTTTGAGCCTACTGAGAGTTAGGAAAGGATATACCGTCGAATACAAAGGCATGAGAATTCCGCTCTGGAATCGTCCTGGAGGGCCGTGTGCTAAGGTATGACCTAGTACTGGCTCGGTATTGAGGCTACCAGGAGGCGTCACAACGAGTAGCCATTTCCTGGCTGGTGGTTGCCGGGCAGGAGCCGGAAGCTGGTTATACGACAGGGATGGTTTGCGACGGAGATGCCTTGTTGTGCCCTCTTCTCGTAACCTTTCCTTGTCTACATGCTCTACGGTGTGTAACGTGCGGTCAACGGAGCCGCGATCCAAGGAGAGAGCCGCGGGGACGCTTCGTTCGGTTTCGGGAGGCGACAATGGAGCTCTTGGACGATGATGAGCAGAAGAAGAGCCGAGAGTAAAGGCTCTGAGTACGGTAGGCCTGCCTGGGCTGCTGGTGGCTTGTGGATTCGACATTGGAAGTGCGGTAGAAAAGTTAGGAAAAATGCAGGAGAAGAAGGGAGTGAATTTGGGAGAACTGCTAGCAGTGTCTCGGCGAGAATCAGGACGCAAACGAGGGGCTTATATGGACTGTGGGCGGTGTGTGAACGCAACGCGTCAATCTCTGGCGGCTGAGCTTACAATGAGGGCTGTAGAAAAGAAATAAAGAATCCAAGGCGTGAGCAGCCACTCGGGCGACGCTCAGAGGCAGCAAAGGCAGACGGGTCCAAGTCTAAGAGACGCTCGATGGCAACGGCAACGGAGGGATCAACGGGTGTAATAGAACAGCGGCTAGAGAGAATTAACAGTGGTTTTATCACTACTTTTGTTATACATTTGCAACTCGCCAAAGTGGTACATAAAGCTTGGACTCTAACCACGATGATCTCAACGGCTGTGGTCCTCTCGTCGCTGCTGCTCGCTCCCTTTGTGCATGCCGCAGATGGAGTTCATCGTATGAAGCTTAACAAGATGCCCAGAACCGCCCCAGGTTCGGCTGAGGAGGCGGCGCTGCTCGCACACAAGTATGGCGGTCAAGTCCCTCTCGCAGGCGTCGGTGGGCTCGGTCGCAAGCTGGCAAATCCTCCCACCGCTGGTGATGACCAGATGTTCTGGACGCAGGACATCGTCGCCAACGGCGGTCACGGTGTTCCTCTTAACAGTACGTCACGAGAGACCGTCGTATGATCCGGACTGACGCTTCAAAAAGATTACATGAACGCTCAGTATTATGCTGACATTACTATCGGAACTCCCCCTCAAACTGTGAGTGGTGTTTACAGCATGTTGAACTGCGTGCTGCGGGGCCCATGTGCTGACGCGTCTTTCAGTTCAAGGTTGTTCTCGATACTGGGTGCGTCATAGGACATTCAATGGTGACCTCGATGCTGACTTTGACTCAGTTCAAGCAACCTTTGGGTGCCAAGCACGTCGTGCACGTCGATCGCTTGCTTCCTGCACACCAAGTATGATTCGTCTGCATCTTCAACATACAAGGCAAACGGTACTGAATTTGCCATTCGCTATGGCTCCGGCTCGCTCGAGGGCTTTGTCTCGCAAGATACCATGACTCTTGGGGACCTCACCATTAAGAAGCAAGACTTCGCAGAAGCGACCAAGGAGCCAGGCCTTGCATTCGCCTTTGGAAAGTGAGTAGACCCTTTTTCGTGTACCAGGCCACCAACGCCTGACGCCATCTAGGTTTGATGGCATTCTCGGGCTTGCCTATGACACTATCTCCGTCAACCATATTACACCTCCCTTCTACAATGCCATTGACCAGGGCTTGCTCAAGGAGAAGGTGTTCACGTTCCGCGTCGGCGCCTCTGAGGCAGATGGAGGAGAGGCCGTTTTCGGTGGCATCGACTCGAGCCATTACACGGGTAAGATTACCTATGTCCCCGTCAGACGCAAGGGCTATTGGGAGGTGGAGCTTGAGAGCGTTGCCTTTGGTGACGATGAGCTCGAGTTGGAGAACACTGGTGCTGCGATTGACACCGGAACCTCGTTGATCGTCATGCCCACCACCATTGCAGAGATGCTTAACTCTGAGTACGTTTTAGGGCTGTGCAAAAAAAAGCAGTCAACTCATCGCTCATTTTAGGATTGGTGCCACTCGCTCGTGGAACGGCCAATACACGCTCCCTTGCGACAAGGTCCCAGGCCTCCCCGATTTCACCTTTGTCTTTGGCGGCAAGCCATACCCCATTGCGAGCACCGACTACGTCCTTAACCTTGGCAATCAATGCGTGAGCGCCTTTACCGGAATGGACATCAACCTCCCAGGTGGTGAACTCTGGATCGTTGGTTCGTATCATTTGGTCTTTAGCTTCAAGACGGTATGCTGACAACCTCTCAGGTGACGTCTTCCTCCGAAAGTACTTTACGGTCTACGACCTCGGCCGCGACGCCGTCGGATTCGCCGTCAGTGCATAAAGTACTTCCACATGGCTGGTGGAACAGGGGTCGACGTTAGTCTCGTATTGTCCAGATTGGAGTTTGATATCTATTCGTGGCACCGCGTTGTCCTCGAAATTTTCGACTCGATCATGTATACACTACTCGCAGAATTACGTTTACGATCTTGACATGCGACTAAGCCATGACTGCGTAAAATAGTGAGCTATCTACGCCATGATGATAGACGGCTGGACCAAGCCCTTCTCGACCAGCTTCTGAACGATGTCTTCGACCTGGCTTTGAGTGAGCGACTGAACGTTGCCAGTAGGAACTCACTTACACTAGCTGCTGTGTTCCTGATCTGATGATCCCACTTCTTCGTATAAGGTGCACCCGTCTCTTCCGTGTTCTGGTCGACGTCTCCCAATCCACCAGCTTTACCCTGAGCATCATCTTCCTCTGGTCCCTCGAACCAAATAAGCTTCTCGACTTGATCAATATGACCCCTTAGTCGGCCTTGTTCAATCATCCTTCTGGCCATTGTCTCAGCTGCACCAGGCGTAACGTCCAAAAGCGCTCCAAGTCCGGAGAACGTAATGTTGTTATAGATATTCGAGCAAGAAAGGATATTATGCTCCATCACAGCTCTGTCGAGCACCGTCTGCGGTCCCGTTCGTGTAGAGACCGCGACGCCCGCGTCGGCCATGGTGGTATCCGTATCTTCTTCCGTCATACGGGATGCCATCCTGTCGTTTGCAGATTGTGCAATCTTGGCGAGCTGGTGCGGTCGCAGCGTCTTTTCGAATTTTTGTACTTCGGCAGGCCGAATAATGTGGTCGAGGAACATTTTAGTCAGCATGTTGTAATTGTCGAGTGAGGCGGCTCGTTCATCACGGTAGAGTGTCGCGAGCATTCGAGAGCGGTTGGGGCCAGCCGGCGCGAGGACGGCGCAAGTGATTGCGGCAGAACTGGTCGGTAATGTTCGTTAGTGATAGAATCCGAGTTAAATGAGTCCTTACAGGGCGTTATTACACTCTTCTTCATCCAATTCACCTGTCGCACAGCTCAATTCGTGGTATCTCATTGCCGCCTCCAGGAATTTGCGACCAAAGTCACTCATACGCGCTTGGCAAAGCTTAAACGTCAACTGCAGCTCTCTATCTTGTGTAGAGTTGATGAAGAGTGTTGCTCGTTTGTAATATGCGTCTGCTTGGACCCAATCCTCCTCCTCCAAGAGAAGACGAATAATGCGGATATACAGCCTAAGTTTCTCCTCGTCTGACCACGTCCTGCAGCAAAGTTGTTCAGAGCAAGATAAACGTTTCAGACCGATCATACTTTGAGCTCGAATCAGGCTGGATGCCCATCAAGACACGAGCGGCGCCTGTCCAGTCCTCATCAGCCTCGAGAAAGTCTGCCATCTGCAGTCTCAAAGCCGTTGCCTATAGCATACACGCTCAGTAAATCTTATGGAATCGATCAGACTAACAGCATACCTGCTCGTCAAAGCTAACAACCTTGGGTTGGAGAATCTCAAGCGTCTGCTGGATAATATCCCGTCGCGCATCATCATCCGAGATCTGCTTCGTTTCTAGCGCCTTTACGAGGTCTGAGATGATCTGACGACCAATGACAAGCCCGACATGATCTTGGGTAACGACATTCTTCACAATCTTGATCACATTCTCCTTGTTTTTTAAGTTTTCCTCGAGAAGAGTTTGATACCCTTGCGCCTTGTTTCTTTGCACGGTCACCGTCGCGAGTTCTGCAAGGCGCTTATCCATCTTCAGAAATGTGGCGGGCGTCAAGGTGTGGCAGGCGACGAGTATGCTCAAAGGACCGGCACAGCACCGAAATATCTTATTATTATGCACGCTAGAAACAAAAGCTCTAATAGCTCGCCTTGCTTGATCCAGAACACACCCTTTTACATGGCCATCAAGCAGCCAGAGGAAACCGTGAAGAGTATGAACAGTCACGTAATATCAGTCATATAGCCATCGACTAGGAGTCATGGCTCAAGGTAGGGGAAAACTGACAAGAGAGTGTGAGCCAATGAGGTATACATTTGTAGGCACTTGCCTTTTGACGCACACTATCCCTCTTCTTATTGAGCTTGTTTTGTAGCCTGCTCAGTGCGTATAGAGTTTCGATAGGGATAGCTAAGGAGGGGCATGCAGGGCATCTTATGTCGTCCGAACTCTCGTCCGGTGGAAACATGACACTCAAGTCAAAGACTCTGTCACCTAGTGGTCTTGCGTTGACGCTAGTTCTTGCTCTCGCAATATACTCATTCCACCAGGTCTTTAACGGATCCTCTCCGCACTCCTTGCATTTTTTGACGCGATATTCGGCCGGTTCGTCGTCGAATTCTTCGAATAATCGTCTAAAGAATGCTCTTCTGGATTCGTGTAACGTCGTTAGATGAATGTAATGTTTCGTTGGCATTTCATCAACTTGAGGGGTGGAGACGACCGAGCTGAGACTTTCGCGAAGAGTCAGCTTTGAGCAATGGATAGCTTCTGCACTCCAACTATATGACTATTAGCCATATGCCGCAGAACTTGGGAGAAGGTACTTACCCCATCGAGGTCGCCACAGCATATCCTCGTAGTGGGTCACTCTCGGCAAGAGAAGATCGGACCTGGAGTGATTTATGTTCTGTGTCTATTCGTGGAGCGAGAAGCAGGACCCGCAGAGCGTCAATAGTGCCTTCAACGGCATACTTTGATGCTGCTTCAAGAACCTCCATGTATTGATTGAAGCTCATGTATGATGGTGACTTCATCGGATAGATGAACTGCAGCCTGACAAACAAGTCAGCTTGTCGCAGAATCACGGGGAATGGCAAGGGCCGACTCACAAGAGTTCGATAGTAATGCCATTTTCTGCCAAATCAACACAAGGAACTTCCGTTATAGGTGTTAATGATGGCTGAGGAATGGTAATCATGGCCTTGAACACATCAGAGGCAGCGCATAAGAAGACGCGATGGACAGCGAAATGAACATTGTCTGATGATCTTAGACGAAAGTCTGCATCGTCCTTGTTGAAAACTGGCGACGATCTGGCTATTTGCTCGTCGGACATTTTGCTGTGGCTAATGCGGTCGGCTCCAGGGGGTCTGGGAAAGAGTCGGTGATGCTAGTTAGCTGATATCTCAAGGAATTATTCATCTCCGATCACAAAAGTATGACAGTACAATTTCTTCGAATTGCTTCCCTTAAGTCGGCGTCTTGTTCCCAACCTCATCATGTCTACCGACACCAAAGATTCCACGATGCAGCTCGAAGAGCCTACGACAGACCAGCACGCCCCAGAATCAGCAAGGAACGCAATTGCAGAAGCGATTGCCCGTCGAGCGTTGTCAGCGGCTCCAGAGGACGAGGATGAGAGACGCTTTGTCCTCGAGCGCGACACGCGGCAGGAATTTCGTCGTCTAATCGATCCAGGAATCGCACGAGGGTCATCTCCCGCAACACTGGAAGCCACGTTAAAGGTACGACTTCTGTCTAGCCACCAGCAGGTCTGACGCCCCTTCAGATGCTCAGCACCATTGCCGACAATCTCCTGCGAGAGCCTGATAATGAGAAGTATCAGCGCTTCAAGCCAACAAACTCGCTAATAAAGAAGAATCTCGTCGAAGTTAAAGGCGCTATCGAATATGCAGTGGCTGTAGGTGGTTTATTCCAACAAGCTCTGCGATACTGACTCGAATGTACAACAGCTGGGCTTCAGGGCCGAGGTGATTCATTTCCAGCCCTACTACAGCTTTATGGCCACACCCGCGAACTTGAATAGATTGCGGATAGGAGCTGCTGTCCTCCATGAATCCCTCGACAGGATAATCCAAAAAGCGGAACAGGAGAAACTGAATCGCGTAGACCCCAAGGCAGTCCAGAAAGAGATTGCACAAAAGGTTTGTCATGCAATATTCGTCATGCATGAAACTCATTATTTGCAGGTCAAGATGGCATACGAGGACGACAGGTGTGTAGCATTCAATTCACTTGTCATTTCTCTGACAATAACAGAAAGGAGAAGAAGCGAAGAGACGAGATGGAAAAGCAAGCCCGCTCTACGCGCGTAACGGGTGGCACACGTCCAATATCAACTTCGAAACGTCCTCCAATAGCGGACTATCGGCCTGGGCCTCCGGGGCGCACGATTGGAGAGAAAACGCCCGAGCCTACTGAAGGTGATGAAGCTAATGAAGCTCCTGAACAAGAGCAAGAGGATGGGGATGAAGACGAGGACGACGAATATGACGAGGCCGTCATGTCAAGGATGCCTCTAAAGGGCGGTTACGTACTCGGAAGGCGCGAAGACGAAAAGGAAACGGAAGCAAATCAGGCGACATAGCTTTACGCTCGCTCTCATATCAATGTCCACTTTCGAGTGACTAAAATGCTACACTGCCGAGCCAGTCGCGCTCTCAATCTCAACGCCAGAGTCGGCTGTGAGGAAGAATAGGATTTCGGATTTTCATTAACGTAAAGTGCACGGATGCGTGAGACTATTGAGAACGGAAACTGCCAGTTGAGAAAGTTGGAAAGGGAGTGGCGGCGACGGGGACGTAGAAAGGTCATTTATCCGCAAGGAAGGAAGTCGTATCCAGTCAATGGGCATGTGATCCATGCCTCACCACAATGGCGACCTGCTTAGTATTCGCCAGCCTCCTCTTCCATGTCTGGGAGGTGTTCAGTACATATTAAACCGAGATTACTATGAGACGTACCGGCACTGTCGATTCCGACCTCCTCGTAGTCCTTCTCGAGGGCTGCAAGATCCTCACGAGCCTCGGAGAATTCACCTTCCTCCATACCCTCTCCGACGTACCAGTGGACGAAGGCACGCTTGGAGTAGCTGCTCCTGATGAGTGCCATTACTTTAACGGGACAAGGGATTACTCACAGGAGATCGAACTTGTGGTCAAGGCGAGACCAAGCGTTGGAGATGGAGGTTGTGCTAGAAGTTCTTATTAGTACACGCAAGAGCGCTCATGGTATCACGTACTTGGAGAGCATGCAGAGACTGCGAGAGACCTTTGCGAGGTCACCGCCGGGCACCAGTGCGGGCGGCTCGTTGCAAACACCAAGCTATGAAAGAGTAAGGTTGGGAACAGGCGGCGGAAGCAAACAAACCTTGAAGCCAGTTGGGCACCAGTCGACGAACTGAATAGTACGCTTGGTCTTGATGGTGGCAATGGCGGCCTGGACATCCTTGGGGACGACATCTCCACGGTAGAGCAAGCAGCAAGCCATGTACTTGCCCTCACGAGGATCAGCCTTGACCATTTGGTTTCCGGTCTCGAAGCAGGAGAAGGTCATCTCTGCAACCGAGTTTTGCTCGTGGTGAGCCTTGTCCTAGCAGCAACGTCAGATAGCACAATGATAGTCCGCCAGTAGACATACAGCAGACAAGAGTGGAGAATAGGTGGCCAGCGGGAAGTGGATACGAGGGAAACTATATCAAGTCAGCTACTGTCACGCTTTCACAGAGAAGTTTACTCACGGAACAAGGTTGGTCTGGAACTCGTTCAAGTCGACGTTGAGGGAACCATCGAAGCGGAGCGAGGCGGTAATGCTCGAGACGACTTGGGCGATCAGCCTGTTCAAGTTGACAAACGAAGGGGCAGGAACGTTGAGCTTGCGACGGCAGATGTCGTAGATAGCCTCGTTGTCCTAATAATATCGTGAGCAGCGTATATGCTATCTAGAACGAGAGACTTACAACCATGAACGAGCAGTCCGAGTGCTCAAGGGTCGTGTGGGTCGTGAGGACCGAGTTGTAGGGCTCGACGACAGAGCTGCTCATCTTGGGAGCGGGGTAGACGCTAAACTCGAGCTTGGACTTTTTGCCATAGTCCGTCGAGAGGCGCTCCATGAGGAGAGCACCAAAGCCGGAGCCGGTTCCACCGCCAAACGAGTGGAAGACCTACAGGCCGGTTAGACACGTTTTTCGAAAAAAGCTTTGGACATACAAAGAAGCCCTGAAGACCAGAGCAGTTGTCGGCGAGCCTCCTCAGCTTCTCGACGCAGACATCAATGACCTCCTTTCCGACAGTGTAGTGACCACGAGCGTCTGTTACCAGTTAGAGGAGCAGATTTTCTCACTAAGAAAAAGACTTACAGTTGTTCGCGGCGTCCTCCTTGCCGGTCACGAGCGTCTCAGGATGGAAAAGGGAACGGTAGGTGCCAGTCTTGACCTCGTCAATGACATTGGGCTCCAAATCGATGTAAAGCGAGCGGGGAACGTGCTTTCCGGCTCCAGTCTCTGTTTACGAGAGCGGGACCGTGACATAAGCAGAGCGATGGACGCGCGGCACGTGTGAGCACGGAGGTCATAGATTCGAGCAGTAAACTGACCAGAGAAGAAGGTAGAGAAGCCAGTGTCTGTCTGGGAAGGAGAATCGGGTGCGAGACGGCCATCTGGCTAAAAGGTGGCACGATGTGAGCCAAAGGATGGCGGACGATGCAGCGACGGAGACTCACGCTCAAGCCGTGTTCGATGGTGTAAAGCTCCCCTAGGAAGAAAAACGCATTTTAGACACGAACGACGCGTCGCTCGCGCGGGGATCACTCACAGCAAGCGTTACCAATCTGGACACCTGTAGACGACGACGATGAGCATCTGGATGACTCTGAATGACAGAAAGGAGTACTTACCAGCCTGTCCGACGTGGATAGAGATGACTAGAGCGTGCCAGCGAGGTCAGCAATTGCCAGAAAATTTCAGGGCCGCCATCAGCACGCGCCAGAGCGCACAGGAGGGCGCACGGCAGAGATAATAAGGAGATTATCGTATAGACTGACCTTCACGCATTATCGATTCGTGTTAGTGGATGCGGCGGGACCCAAGTTTTAACGGCGGTTTCACCACTGGCTACCTGCGACACCAAGTAACGGATGCGCCATGAAACTAGTGTACATCCAACAGACTAATCCTTTCATCCTCTTCGTCGTCTGACAGCGCTGCGATGCCCTGCGCTCCCGGTTGAGATCGCCTCGAGATGAGATTATGCCTGCAGACGCGTGTCACAGCGGTCAAACGCGACGGTTGGAGATTCATCTTACCGGAATAACAGATTTTCAACTCCATCTTGTCCAGCTTCCCAGTCGACACGCACCCAGGTGTGCAATAGCTCCCCTTTTTCATAGACGAGCATCGTTGGCAGCATATCTGTATCCGCTTCAGCTTCATCCGCATCCTCTCCTATCTCTAGATCTTCATCATCGAAGAAGTCCGTGTCCTCGCTTAGTAGAATTGTCGTGTTTGTCTTCCGAATCTTGGAGGATGATCCGCCCAGTGCACCTGTATCACTTGAGCTCTTGAGAGCAAACCCAATAGCAGTAGCTTTGACTCTAATAAACTTTGTGCTGGGCGAGGACCGGGCGAGTCTCGAAAGTGTGGCATCCAGGTCGTAACAGCGCTCCAACGACTGACTCAGATGATGAACCATAGTCTCAATAGGTCATAATGCGGCGTACCGGGTCGTATATATGCACCACCACTCGCGCGTTTGGATCCTCCACCGCTTGAACATAATTTGCTGCGCCCACTTCTCTCAGATAGCCATGGGACTTGGTCAGGCCAGACAAATCAATCTCCCCTCGCTCGCGAATAGTATCTATGCCTTGCTGTCGTCGTCGGTACTCCTCGTCTTCTTGCCATGTTCGTCCGCCTGCGGCCAGGCTCGTCTTCTCCATTTGTCGATTGAGAGACGCGATTTCAGAGGAACGCTTTGCGCGCGCAAGAGCCATCGCTTCCGCTCTATCGCGTATAACGCCTTTGACGCCTGTCCGCCCTGGCCCCATCCCTATACTCTCGTGCGGGGGATGTAAAGTTGCCTCGAAATTGTCCTTGTTACTGATATCTCCGGCTTCGAAATCTTCATCCGGCCATTTCAGACTATCCCCAGAGTCTTGTGAGCGCCTCGGGGATGAAGTTCCATCTTGTGCTTGGTTGAACGCCCCGGAAAGAATCAAGTCATCAAGATTGGACTTCCAAAGACATTTCAGATATTTAGAGCAACCACCGGTGCTGGCTTACCATCTCAGATCGGTATGGAGGGAAGCAAAGAAGTTAACCTAGGGCACCAAACTTCTCATGACAGATGCGAACACGCAGCAACTAAACAAAACAACGTCGATATTACGTAGATAGCGATACTTTCATCATTTGCGATAGAACTGGGAGTGCATCAGGTATGTACAATGCGCAAATAGAGCTACTCACATTCCGGCGAAAGTTGAACCATAGTGACAGACAACCCCGATCAAATGTACTTTTGAATCCTCTGCAAAGATTGAGCTTGTGACGTGTATTCGGCAACGGATATACCTCTTGTGGGAATGCTCCCAGTCCTTATTGACAATTTTGAATGCGATGTCCTCGTACGGTGGCCCTGCAGTGAATTGTAAGAGCACCGTATCGTCATTCGTGGAGTCTTTGATAATTTTGTAAGTTGGTGTTTTGGACTTGTCAATGAGATCTGGGTAAAAGATGTTAAACTTGTAGCCTTGAACGACCTTTGGTGGCGGATTATCAGTACTGTATAGGGTTAGAATTATAAGCCATCCGCCAGGGACCAGACGTACTCATAATGAGTTTGATTATACTTGTTCCATTCGTAACCCGTGTGCACTCGGTTGAGGTAACGTGGCTTGCGTGGTCGGTATTTGTCTTCCCATGTATATGGTGTCGGATTAGAGAGATTCGCTTCTAGGTTGAACATTTCCTCTTCATCATCCTCTTCGAGATCCGCCTCGGCATCCATACGAAAGTTGAGTTCGCGAGTAAATGCATCCATCGCCGTTGGCGCTTCAGCAACGGGTTCTTCAACTACTGTGGTTTCTACAGTCTTTGGCACGAAGCGAGTCGCCGCGACCGCACGTCTTTGCTTCAACTACGGAACTCAGTATCGTAGAAGGCCCAGGAAATCGACTTACCAAGGCCTGGAGCTCCTCCTGTGGCTTGACGGTTCCTAGCTGACGATCTTCATATGAGAGTCGTCCGTACTCGAATAACGGCGGGCTCATATCTCTTGTATACGGCTCTGGCTCGTCCAACTCCATAGCTTCTTCCGTATCTTGTGACGGGAGCGGACGAACTTCTGCTGGCCAATGCTTTCGATGGCTACTGTTGTCGCCTCCGAGCAGCTCGACCTGTGCTTGCAGAGCCTCATCTCGCTGTCGCTTGCGAAGTTGTTCTAGGCGATTCCTCACGACAACTTCGTGCAAGGATTTCAATTTTGCCTGTGCAGCATCGTCAGCCATTCGCAAACTCGTTAACGCTGAGGGCATACTTTTGATTTCCAGACAAGCAAAGTTTTCAAAAGCCCTTCCCAATAGTCGACGTCGACCGGATCTCCACTGGTGAGTTTTGCCTGGATCGAGCGCTGCAACTCGCTCAATTGCTCGTATGTCTTGTCCGCGAGTAGGGCTGTAATCCCGGCTTCTACGCCACGGCTGAGGGTTATACCTCTACGATTGTCTGCTGCTTGCTGCCGAAGATCATCTAGCCGTGCTTTACAAACGACCATCATATTCTAAGTGATGTCAAGACGAGCACCGAACATGAGGAAGGTACGCACAGTCCAAAAGTCGATGTGTAGCTCGTTATCTTCGAGACGGAGATATCTTTCAATATCATCGTGAAGCTCCTCCGTCTGAGCGAGGTTGAGGTTCTACAATAAGCTTAGCTTCTCGTAACGTGACCTATGATAAGACTCACATCCAAGATATTGTAAGGTTCGTCCAAGTCAATGTCCAGTCCAGCAGCGTCCAACCCTTCATCATCATCGTCAGCTTGCAGTGTACCGACGTATTTAAGATTGAGACTGAGAAAGTCAATCGCTTTTGCACGTCGTTCCTTGAGTCGAATGATGCTCCTCTTTCGCTCTTGCTCCAGCTGAAAGTCGCCCTCTTTGGCAATCCATTCCGCCATCTGTGCACTCTCTTGTAGTCTCGCCATCTTGGCCTCTTCTTCCTCACGCAATGCCATCTCGGCTTCTCTCTCTGCACGCCTCCTATTCAACCGCTCAAGCTCTTCCTTGGCCTCCTGTCTCCGCGCAGCATCACGGGCCTGAGCTTCGGCAGCAGAAACTCCAGATTTCTTGTCTCTTTCCGCCTTTTTATGCCACTTGAATTGCTGATTGAGATTGGCGTCGTGAAATGGGTTGTCCACCGGGTTGTAGACGCTCAATTCGGCCAATTGTCGAATCTGCTCCTCTTCTTTCTGTCTCTTCTTTTCATATTTGCGTTCTTTGCGTTCTTTGGACTTGTCTCGACGACTAGACGCACGTGCCTCGAATATTAGCGAAATACCAACCCGCACCAGCGATGATTGCACACCTTTCTTTCCGTCGCTCTCTGCTTTTACTACGACTCCTTGATTCTCTTCTACGTTTATGTCCGTCATCACGGTCTCGGCTCCGTTTTCTTTTGTGTTCGCTTCTGTCACTGTCATACCGCCGACGCTCATCATCTCTTCGTCGATCTCTCGAGTCATACGAGTCATCTCTTCGCCGTTCGTGACGGCTACTACCCTCCCTCCTGGGCGAACGGGAGCGCGAGCGAGGCATTCAACGATATGGTTGGTGGCTAAGTTGTGGTACCGCGATGCCCGGGCAGAGTACAGTAGTCAAGCCTAGATACAAAACAAGCAAGAATCACTAGTCGGCATAGTCCAATGTTCGGTCATTCAGAGCGATGCAGACGACTGCCTTGTGATGGCCATTGTATTGGCGAAGTGTCTCGGCCTTTTCCAAATCCCAGAGGCGCGCAACATGATCTGAGGAGGCTATAGAGAGTATTAGATAGCTACATCACCCAACATTGCCCTTACCAGATACTAAATAGGCAGAGTCTGCGCTAAACGCTGCATCCCAGACCCAGCGTTGATGACCTGTCAGAGTCTTCCTCAGGCTAACAGTATGATTATCATGTACGTTCCAGATCTTGATAGTCGTGTCAGCAGAGCATGTAGCTAGAAGGCTATGAGATGGTGGGTCAGTGAGCCAGTATTGAATGTCCGATGCCTACTGTGAATCGGGGCTGAGCACACATCTTGTAAGGTAGTTGTCATGGGCTTTGAACCGGTGAACTGCTTTGAAGCGTGTCTGCGGGTTTGGATCGTCCGTCATCCGCCATACAAAGCAGTTTCCCTCGTGGTTTGCCGCGATCAGAAATGTACCATCGTGTGCCATTGTAATGGACCTCATTGGTACGTCTGCTTCAGGCGCCTGGGAGAGAACCATTAGAGACATTCTGGTAGGAGAAAGGTGGACATACCAACTCTAGATCGCATTCGTTTGTTGATAGAACCCATTGTTTGATATTTCCATTCTGATCCGCTGAAATAAGCTCCCCTTGGTTTGGATGGATGAGGACATCGTTGACTTCGAGCAAATCAGCCCACAATCATGCCGAGGCATAGCTTCGCACCTGGGCTTTGGTTATCGTAAGTACGATGAGATTGGTTACTCCTGAGTAGCTATCAGTTGGTCACTTGGAAACACACTGAACTTGCCGCATGTCCCATATCCTGATGGTGCCGTCTTCACTTCCAGTGACAAACCATTTGCCGTCTGAATGATACGAAATTGAAGTTACGTTCTGGGTATGACCTTCGCAAACGTTGATCTAGAGAGCATCAGAAAGAAGCAGTCAAGACCATAATAGTGCGCACTGGCGTGTTCGAAGGGCTTGCAATGTCATACACTGCAATTTTCTTATGAATAGCAGCCGCGACAAAGCGTTTGCTGGCCGGTAGATACTCCGTCAATCTCCAACATCAGAGGCGGGTGGCGGGTGCTTACTCTGGCGAGATGGCAATACGGTTTACTTGCTGTAGCGAGTATGAAACTCTAGATATTCTTAGACTGATACGATACATACTCCTGACTCTCCGGTGCGGGGAATTGTGCGTGAGCAGATGCCACTCCAAGCCTCCCAAAATCGAATCTCGTGGTCGTATCCGCCCGTGACGAGCACAACTGAGAGATCAATTGGAGCTTGTGCAGGTGGAGGAGGTGCCACAGACGAGCTGCTGTACTGGTTTCGGCGCATTGTCGAAAACAAGGGGGTTGTCGAGTTCAAGCTTTGGACTAGCTTTGGACTCGCCCGCGTCTTGTTGTTGGCCGGCCACATACAAAAATCAAAATGTCTATTCCTCCACCAACAACTTCAAGCATCACACGCGATTTGCGTCATCTCTTTAGCTCGGTCACGCTGCGTCGCGCGATGCTCAACCCGAATCCATGGCAGAGACGAGTGTGGAAACAGGATCATATCAAAGTAGTACCAGACAAGGACAGAATAATGAAGTGGAACATTGTCCCCGGAGATTTTGTGCGACAAATCCCGGACCGCTTCAACCAAAACGACAACCCGGAACGGTACGAGGTACTCAGCGTGGATAAATGGCAAAATAAAGTCTACCTCAAAGGAACGCGGGTGCGTATCACGCCAAAAGTGTTGATTCTACCCCTTGCTAACATTTTCTGATGTACATAGTATAAAACAGAAGCGAAGGCGAAATGGGTCCCGTATTCAAAACTTCAGCTCTGGATTGGAAACCTTTCACTTCATGAAGACGGAGAGACTACTTCGTACGTATTCGACCCATGAGCCATCGCTCACCTAACCTTCCTTTTTCAGAGTCTACGCCACGCGCATCGGCAGTACCAACCTGAAATACAATTATAGAAAGAAGCGCTTCGAATGGGTACGCTATGCAGAGGCTACAAGCCCACCAATGCCGTTTGCAGAGAAGCGGCGGATTCCCTGGCCCAAGGAAAAGCAGCCTCCTTATCGCGCAAAGCGTACGTACGTCCACATAAATATGAGCCCCTTGCTGATGGGTGCCAGAGAACAAGTATTATGATACCGAAGCAGACAATGCGCTCGACAAGACGTGGTTGCCGTTTGTACCCCAGGGGAAAGTCTCGACGTTCAATGAAGAGTCCTACATCGGTGACTTGTTCACAAACAAAGACTTGCCATCTCAGTGGCAGGCTAGCATCCCAATGGAACACATCATCGCCTCGGAGCTCACCAACCCTCATTCCCGCGCTCGCAGACAGGAGAGATGGCAAGAAAGGCTTGCGATGCTTGAGCGCTCCAAGCAGGAATATGTCAAACTCGAACTGGCCGATCTAAAGGGCAGAAGACGCCAGGATGCCAAAGCAGACGGTGTATTCCGATGGAAGATTGCCGTCAGAAAGTACAAGGCAAGAAGGAACTGGCAGAGATGGGTGCGAAGAGGAGCAAAGGCAAAGATGGAGATGCGTATCAAGAGGAGACACAGACGTTCTGCACGCAAATTGCGACGACTCCGAATGATGAAGCTGAAAGATGCCAAGAACCAGGTTATTCCTTCATAAACTACCCTGCCTATGCATTTCCCCTTGTTCGACATGTTAGGCATAATATCGAGTTGTTTCTTACTCTTCGACCGCACTTCGTCCAAGTCATGCCTGGCCGTTTGGCAAATAAGGTTTATATCTTCACATCATCCTTCAATAGATCGTCTAACGAGTTCTAGGTTGCGATTATCACCGGCGCGGGCTCGTGCGTCGTAATGAGTTGTGGCTTTCTTTCTCTGAATGCGCGTTTTGCAGGGGAATCGGACTTGAATCGTCTCTCTTATTTGCTCAGGAAGGTGCAACGGTCGTTCTGGCCGACATTAATCTGGGCGCTGCAGATGCCGCGGCTGCTCTGATCGCTAAGCGCACACCCAACGCAAAGACGATGGTGTTCAAGACTGACGTCTCCTCTGAGAAGGATATCAAGGCCGCGGTCGATGCTACAGTCGAGCGATTTGGTCGGCTCGACATTATGTTCAACAATGCTGGTCGGCCTAAGTTATCCAGAGGCTAGTGATCACTCCAATGACTCTCGATAGGAATCATGCATCCACAGGACGACAATGCGGTCACGACGGAGGAAAATATTTGGTAGGTATCTCGTCGTCGCCTCCCAGCCTCATCAGTCGAGCTGATTCGACAGGGATCTAACGATGAACATCAACGTCAAGGGTGTTTGGTGGGGTTGCAAGTATGCTATTCTCGCTATGAGGAAGAACCCGACGGACGAGTCACTCGGCTTGCGGACCGGTGGCTCGATCATCAATGTGGCAAGCTTTGTCGCGTTGATGGGTGCAGCGACTCCCCAGTTGGCTTGTAAGTGATGTTGGCTGCATTCAGTTTAATATTCAATTCGATTAGATACTGCATCCAAGGTCAGCAGAACAGAATCTCATTCGACATTATTTCATTTAGATAGGGAGCCGTCCTTGCAATGACCCGTGAACTGGCAATGGTTCATGCCCGTGAGGGTATTCGCCTAAACTCTCTTTGCCCGTACGTTGTTCCCAGTCGTTCCTGATGCCACCTCGTTTACACCTGTATAGGGGACCTCTGAAGACGCGTAGGCGAACAACAAGTTAAAGCTAATGAAACCTCACTATTTTTAGCCCTCTTGATGGACTTTCTCAATACTCCCGAGAAGCGTGACCGACGCATGGTACATATTCCAATGGGTCGTTTTGGCGAGGCCATTGAACAGGCTCAGGCGGCCGTTTTCCGTACGTTTGAATACCCATATCAAGCGAGTATAACATACTGACAATGTTGAAGTTGGCAGTGATGAGAGCAGTTACATTACGGTTCGTAGTGCTTCTTTGACGTAGTATCGGATGCTGATAAGTTTGTTCGTTAGGGAACCGACTTCAAGGTAGATGGAGGCATCTCCTCATGCTATGTGACCCCTCTGGGCGAGCCTGTGCTGGCTCCTCCGAAGAATCTTTCAGCGGCTACGTAGACGTCCGACAACATCCAATGATTTTTGGCAAATATGAGCTCAAAATTTCTTTGAACTTGATGCCCCTTCAACTAAATTCCAAGTGTCTTTGCTCTCATGTTTGATTTCGCTACAGGCACAAGTTCAGAGCCAACTACAGTAGAAGCGTCTGAGTTGCAAAGTCGAAGAGCACCTCTATTCCTACATTGAGGCTTAGAAGATATAGCGCAATGCAGTGAAAATATTGTCCAATGCATCTTCGTGCAACCGCATATCGCCTTATCCGCCGTCTCTGGCCCTGTGTCAGTCACTAGCAAGTTGGGTCGCTCTGTATTTCGAGATTTGGAGAAAATGGAAAGTCAGAAGCGGGTTGGTTCCAGTGTGAGCAACTGAGAAGATATTCGCTGAGTGCGGGAGCATTGAGTACCTCCCTACAGTTCTTGAACACCGTATAGTCATAAGGGATATGAGAACCAGCATCGGTCTCTGTCTGGTCCTGGGCCCGCTGTCGAAAAATAGACGACATGTACTTCATGCTTCCCGGGCTTGTTTCTCAGCTTAGATTCAGTCCCCATGATTTCGAAATGGGCCCTTCCTTGAAGACGGCGTATGATGCGTTCGAGCATTGTCGTCCTATAACTAAGCCTATTCGGTGCCCACATTTCGAGCTTTCGTGACGGTACAACGGGCTCATCGAGCTGGTCGAAACGGAGGAAGAGGTCGCATAGCATACGATGAGGGATTGTAAACCCCACTACGTGATAGGTGTGCCACCACAGATCATAGTCGAGGTTGTTTCCATGACCTGAGCAAAGGAGGACCATTCGAGCGTCAGCGGTTGAGTCGTTTAGTGGCCAGTAGACGACGAACATTCGACGCAGTTGATATATTGGTCAACTTGTAGACGTCGAACTATAGACTGGAAACGTCGAAAAGGTATCTGAATGCGGCAAGCTCGGCGTGCTCACCAAGGGGCCCTGATAAGATCCTGAATTTATTTAGAGAGAGAAGATTTTGCATTGTTTGTCGTACTTTTGATGGCTTGCTGCAGGGCGGACAAAGTGGCGGCCAACTTGGAGTACAATCCTGTCTCCACCCGACTCTATATCGGTCATGACCGCCAATTATAGTACTCAGTCGACATCTGGATAGATACTGGGCTCCATTTGAACTGGGAAAACTATGCGACGTCGCCTCCGTCTCTGTCCGCTGGTGGCTGGAGTTCTTCCACATTTCTCGATCGAGCTCGAATAACCGTCGAAGTGTTGCCCTGAATCTATAAGAGGCTCCATGACAGCACCTTACATCGCACGATTGCTGCCGCGTAGCCAGACGCGCGCCCTTATCTTGCACAAAGGTACTCTATGCCTACACGTATAATATCTTAGGGATTGTGATTATAGAATTTCCCTTCCATCACCAGTCATGATAATGGGGAGTCGTCATCACAGCTCAGCAACGATACTATCTTCCGCACCTCAATCTAGTACACAAAAACCGTTGAAGTCGCTTATTGGCAAGTACGAGGTCAAATACACGATCGCTGCTACCCCTTAATGACCTTGATTTCTCAATGGACACCAGAAGTGTGCTCGACTCCTATCAATATCCTCTCTATTATCTGGAAAAGAAATAGAACAAGCGGAGAGACTAGTGTCCGGACGATAAAGTCTTAGCCCGTAGCACAAGGGAGCTGTCCATATTGGCAGCGGGTATGCATTACGGTGGGTGGTGTTTCGACGTTCTGACGGAGTGCCAAATATTGACAACTCTGTCCACCAGGGAAACGGTCTCGAAGCGGACGGAGTCTGAGTATCTGACATCTATAGGCGAGTCTACTGTAGTTTCCTCCGGAAGGCTGTCTCTGCAGCTACATGGGCTGAAATGATACAAAAAGCTCTTCAGCGAGGTTATTACCAACTACAGAGCATCTATGAACGGTGTGGACAATCTTGGTCGTGGCGGCGATCCGCTGCGTCCGTGACAGGTGCCTGGCAGCGAGGTATCAGGGGCGTTGAGTGCCAGTCACCATCTGCGCCAAGGCGGTTGCTAAATTTGGAGATCTGAATGGCATTATCAGGGCAATTAAACACGTCCGTTCCGGCTCTGGACCTCCGACAAGGCTACCCTTTGCCTTCTGACGGGCAACTAGCAAACATCTTTTGGACTCTTCCGCGTCTTTAGTTTCATTACTCTCGTTCTCTAATCCGTAGCATTGCCCGCCATGGTCGCCATGGGCTGGTCGGTGCTTCTGCCGCTCCTTACATCTGCTAACGCTTTGATATTTGAACTGGTACGCCCATAATCCTTTGATCGTACAGAATAGAAACACTCACTCTCGTTCCTTTTGGTTTTCATCCAGCCCTCTCACACAAATGCCCACAAACGCGCCCATCGTCGCTCTCTGAACTCCAAGCGAGCGGCTCCCAATTTGCGTCCCAACTGGTCCTACCAGGGATGCTACGCGTAAGTGTACTTGCGTAAAAAGTCTGATTGCTCATGAATTCACAGAGACGCTGCTGCTCGGACGCTCACGGGCGCGTCGTTCACCTCTGACACAATGACAGTCGATGCCTGCGTTGGATTTTGTGCTGACCAGAACTATATGTATGCTGGCACAGAATACTCTCGAGTGCGTCTATCCTTTTCTATACATACTCCGCTTCCGATGGGACTAACCACCTTTGGCCTATCTAGGAATGCTGTAAGTCACCTTTGCCGTTTATGGATTGATAAAACTCAGAGGTACTAACGTATTTATTCCTTGACATCCATCTCCCGCCCTCGGATGAACAGTTTGCGGTCATGCGATCGAAAATAACGCCGGTCCCGCCGGTGAATGCTCGATGATGTGCAATGGAGACGCAAGCCAAGTGTGCGGGGATGGTTACAAGCTCTCGCTGTACAAGTATGGCATTGCACCACAACCTCTGGCTTCCTACAACGGCTACTCGTATCAGGGGTGCTACACGTACGCTATCAAATCAACTCACATGATGTCATTGAGCTCATTGCCTATAGCGACACGGTGGTTGCTCGCTCACTCGCCAACCAGCTCGCGTATAGCGGTGCTCTCACACCCGCCAAATGTCTCGACGCCTGCAAGGCACAAGGTTACGCTTACTGCGGTTTGGAGTATGCCCACGAGTGTTTTGGAGCGAACGTCAATTCCGGAACCGTTGCTTCAGACGCTACGACTTGCAACATGGCATGCTCTGGCGATTCCTCCGCACTATGCGGCGGTGGAAACAGATTGACATTGTATCGGACGGACTCTGCAGGCGATACCACCACCACTACGGGCTGGTCTTCGCTTGGCTGCTACGCGTAAGCACTTTTATCACCGAGCTACATCCATTTCTGATCATGCCTTCAGAGATCTCGTATATTCGCGCTCTCTTCCGGTTCCTATGGGTATCTCTGGCTTGACCGTTGAGAAATGCCAGACGGCTTGTCAAAGCGCCAATTTTATGTATGCCGGCGTGGAATACGTAAGTTTTTCCCATCTTGGATCTGTACATGCTGACATTTCCAGGGTGGTGAATGCTACTGTGGTAACTCGATTGGTGGAAGTGGTCCAGTAACGGATGGTCGTTGCAACATGAGATGTAACGGAAACAATGCTCAGACATGTGGAGGTTTGTTTATTTTACACTCTCGCTACACCTACTGAGCGTCTGCAGGTTCCAATGGCCTCAATATCTACAAACTTGGAACAATTCTCGTTGAGAGTACCTCTTCATTCTCAGTGCCTACCTCGATACACGCCACGAGCACGAGCACGAGCACGAGCACGAGCAGCTCCAGTTCGACGCCATCCCCTCCAGCATCGCAATCTACTTCCTCCGAGTCTCTATCGATTCAAGAGACACGATCCGTTTCCTCCGAGCCCACAGTTTCCTCATCCATCTCTAGTCAGAGTACCGTCGCTCCCACACAATCATCCTCGACCGATTCGTCGGTTTCACTAGAGCAGGAATCCAGTCAAAGCACACAAACCTCGACACAAACACCAACAAGTACTGGTCAGACGTCTACTAGCTCCAGTTCATCCACCTACGAATCCAGCCTAGTGACACAGTCGAGTCAATCAACCACGTCGACAAGCTTTTCGACTCAAGAGACAGCTACATCTACGGAGACACCTTCCGATACCCAAATATCCAGCTCCACAATCGCTAGTTCATCCGATTCCACCCAGGCCAGTACCTACACCGACCAAACTCTGAGCAGCGCTTCCACGGATCGAACCTTGAGTAGTAGCACAGTCTCGACTCCTACGAGTGTTGGGAGCTCGACCTCGACCAGTGAGAGTTCAAGCAGCTCTACGGATCATACGCCAGTTTCGACTTCCAGTATTGAAGGCTCGACTTCGACAAGTTCTGAAAGCTCGACTTCGAGCACCGAAAGCTCAACATCTACCAGCGAAAGCTCCGGTTCGTCGACCGCCGTACAATCGACGAGCTCATCGAGCGAGTCGACCTCGGGATCGGGCACCTCTAGCTCGGTTTCTACAAGTGTATTTAGCACGAGCACATCTACCCAGTCCACTCCGAGTGCAACCCCAACGGCTCCATATACACTTCAAACGTATTCGCCTAGCTACTCGACAGACAAGTGGGTGTATCAAGGATGCTATTCTGATCTTCCAGCTACTCGAACCCTCGCCTTTACCGCCAATGTTAACGGCCTGGCATCTCCTCAAATTTGTGCGGACACCTGCTACCGCCTGGGATACAGTTATGCCGCGGTGGAGTGGCAAGTGGAATGCTATTGCGGCAACGAAATCCTGAACGGAGCAACCAAGCAGTCGGAAGAGGGGTGTAACAGCATTTGCTCAGCAGACCAGTGGCTATTCTGTGGAGGGGCGTTTAGAATAAGCCTTTACAAGTTCGAAGGCGTCGTACCAACACCAGTTGTCAATCCAAACAATAATGCCAACAATGTTCCAGGAGTGGTCAACCCAAGCCTCACTCCGCTGACAACGGGTTTACCAGGAACCTGGTCGTATCAAGGATGCTGGGTCGATAATGCCCAAGGCCGTATTATGACTTATAATGCCATCCTCCAAACTCCCAATGAGCCACTCGCGTGTATTGCGGCGTGTACGGCTGCAGGATACACCGTTTCCGGCCAGCAATTCGGAGTCGAGTGCTGGTGTAGTGCCAGTTTGGCAAACGGTGCGCTTCTGGTGGCAGATTCCGAATGTACGATGGCTTGCCCCGGCGACAAGGACCACGGGTGCGGGAATGGCAACCGAATGACAGTCTACTCTGCAACCTCTCCCGTCAAAGTCTATCAGCCTCCAAAGGCGCTCAAAACCAATCTCCCTGGAAAGTATCAATATGCGGGATGCTACGCGCAGCCAGCAAACGCCCTACTCATGCTCCCTTGGGAGCGTGAAATGTCGGATTCCGCAATGACGGTACAGAAATGCTTGAGCAAGTGCGCTGCATACGGATACGAGGCAGCTACCCTCGAACTGGGAAGTGAATGCAATTGTGGTGACTGGGACGAGCTCGAGTCGAGAGGAGGTGTTCCAGCCGACGAGTCATTTTGTATAGTTCCCTGCGGGGGATCGCCAACAGACATTTGCGGTGGCGTTTCATACGCTACTGTCTATCGCTGGGACCAAAGCTCAGATACACCCTTGTTCATTTTCAACAAACCGACTGGAGATGCTGCAGGCAGATACGAATTCCTCATTGGTGGCGTCGTCATTCCGCTCATCTCTACGCTCGGCGTAAACAACAAGATCACATTTGTCGAAAAGTTTGGAACAGGCGTAGCCAATTCGACGGGCGCATACGAGCTCGACTATACGCTCGCAAACGACTTCGAAAAGGCGTGGCGTCCTATGCATGTCAAATCGGATGTCTTTTGCGCAGCTAGCTTTGTTTTGCCCGACAGGCTAGGTCGACAGCTCGTTGTCGGTGGATGGTCAGCGGACAGTACCGAGGGTGTTCGCTTTTATACTCCTGATGGTGTAACGGGTGATCCAAACAGCTCCAAGAATGACTGGGAAGAAGACCGTAAGTACACATACGCGAAGCTCTCAAAATTTTGCTTACTATTCTTTAGATGAGCTCATTCGTTTACAGCAAGGCCGCTGGTACCCTGGTGGTTTGCAGCTAGTCAACGGCTCGATCCTAATCATTGGAGGTGAAGAAGGGTCGGATGGAAGGCCTATTCCGACTATCGAGATTCTGCCAAAGCCTCCCGGAGGACCTACGTGGCTGTTTATGCAATGGCTCAAGGACTCTGACCCGTACAATCTATATCCCTTCTCGGCCGTGCTCCCTTCAGGAGGGATTCTCGTCGCGTACTCCGACGAGGCTCGCATTCTCGACGAGAACACTTTTGAGACGATCAGAATCCTTCCAAAGATTCCTGGTTCCTCAAGAAGAATGGCGGTAGATCGTATCCGAATGAAGGCGTCATGTCCATACTCCCTCAAAGGGCGCCATACACCGACCCGTTGGAGGTGATTCTTTGTGGTGGTTCGGCATTTGGTATCGCACTCGACAACTGCGCGAGTATTCGGCCCGAAATCCCAGACGACCAGTGGGTTCTTGAACGCATGCCGGTAAGACTTGTCCTTTGTTTTTCAGATTGGCATCTGACCCTCGTGTAGTCGAAGCGTGTGATGCCCATCATGACTGCACTCCCCGACGGTACATTTTTGATTGCTGGCGGCGCTACACAGGTAATTTGCATCTACCGAGGACTCCGCTCGAAGCTGATCACCTTTAAAGGGTGTCGGTGGATTTGGTTTGGCCAGCAAGCCCAACCTTGGCGCTATTCTGTACGATCCATCAAAGCCACGCCACCAACGCGTCAGCCAACTGGCGTCGACCATTGTCGCCCGCATGTATCACAGCGAGCTTACTCTGATGCACGACGGGCGCGTGTTGGTTTCAGGAAGTGATCCCCAGGACAAGGTCAATCCTCAGGAGTATCGTATGGAAGTTTTCACGCCGCCGTACCTTGCGTCGGGACAGGTTCAACCATCTTTCGACGTGCCTAATCGTGACTGGGCATATGGAGGGACTTACACGATCGTGATCACCGCCCTTACGGGCTCTATCTCCGACCTCCGCATCTCGCTCGTGGGTGCCAGCTCCACGACGCACGGAAACAACTTTGGTCAGCGTACAATCTTCCCACAATTCTCATGCGCGGGTCTTAGATGTTCCATTACGGCTCCTCCAAACGGTTACGTTGCTCCCCCCTCCTGGTATCAACTCTTTATCCTTGACGGTCCTACGCCCTCCCATAGCCACTGGGTTCGTATCGGAGGCGATCCAGGACAACTTGGAAACTGGCCAAATATCCCAGGATCGACTTTCACTCTGCCGGGTATGTCTGGTCCGCTCGGAGGCGTCTAAACCACAATCCCTTTTTACAAGAAATCTCGATGATCAGTGGATCATTACGTCACTCGTTTTCCCCATATTCTAGTATTGGTTCGTGCATCGCCCACACATATATTGCCATGTCGTCGAACTCGTAATGCCGTTGTTGCAACTTTATCATACATAGACACCTCAGGTTATTGGTTCATACACATAAAGCGTGCATCATAAGGCCTGGACAATGCGGTCGATAAACACAGTCTGTGAAACGGTAAGCAACCAGAATTCTCAGTAGAACAAGTCAAGTTCATATCTGGCCTTGTTCTTCGACAACTGGCACTAGCCTCGAAACCTGCGTGTACGGAGAGCACCGGGTTTACTGAGACTGGCATTCCGGAATCACGAGCGTGAAACACCACTGGTTTGAATCCTCAATGAACGGACGAAACGTGGCTTACATGCTCGTTGGATCGTCTTGCAAGGGGGACGAACACGACGTTGAATTATGTATGAATATAATGCATGATGTATCAGGCAAGCGGACTAATGAGACTGCACAGAAAAAAAGTTAGCGTGGGACTCGTAAAGACGTGTAAAGCTCGACCGACTTTATGAGGGCTGGCTTTGGGTTGCTACGCGTGTATCCCGTGTAAATGATGAGAGGAATCCATCCATAGTGAAGTACAGTCTGATGTTATTGGATGTTAGCCTTGCCGTCTCGTTTTTCGCCGAGTTGAACAACATACGCGACCAAAATCAATGAGACGGACAATTCTCTCCTAGAATACGGGTAAGAACAACGTATATATCTCTCAGAAATAGTCCTTTACTTTTGTTTCTTCGGATGGCATTTTGTTCAACGACGAGGTCTGGTCGAAGCTTGAAGTCCACCACAAAAATGTCACTTGGGTCGCTATCATCAGCGCTCTACATCAACGCTCCCGGTTCTCAAAAGTCTGCAAAAATTAGACCATCAATGGCTTATTTTGAGCTGACACTTTGAGTAGATCGCCTGCGGCCGTGCGGCTCAATTCCACTGCAGTCTTTACCATCCTCGACCACCATCTCCGCAAACGAGATGACCAAAAACGCGTGATCGGTACGCTTATGGGCATAAGGACTGAAAATGATGTCGAGATTCGGAGCGCATTTGCCGTCTTGCACTCCGAGTCTGCAGACCAGGTGGCTATCGACGAGGAATACTTTCAGAACATGTTCGAGGTTACACAAAAGGTTCAGCCACGCGAACAGATTATCGGATGGTACTCGACTGGCCCAGAGCTCAACAACTTTTCAGCACTCTTCCAAAACTATTATTCGCACCAGACTGCACCTCATCAGGCCGTTCATCTCACAGTAGATACGGGAGAAAAGTCTGGAGAGCTGAGTATCAAGGCATATCTCGGGTGAGTAGCCACCCACTCTACAAATTAGCATCCTGACAAGGCGATTGCAGATCACCAATGGGTGTCTCCGCAAAGCCTGACAACTGCTCCTTTATTCCGATACCTGTACTCTTACGGCATATGGACATTGAGCGACCTGGTCGTGAGTACCAGAATTCTTGCATTTCGTCCCTTCGTCTCATCTTCTTGCCAGTCAACCTTCTCAAATCGGCTGCAGAGGCGCCAAATCATACCACGTCTGTTCATACCGACCTCCAGATTCTCGAGCAAAGTCTGCTCGAGGTGATTTCTATGATCGAGCGAGTGCAAAACTATGTCCAGGGAGTCATCGATGGTGACCTTGAAGGCGATGCGTCCATTGGCAGGTATCTATTAGACACGCTCAACACGACCACCGAGGGTCTCGAGAAGGGGAAGCTCGAATCGTTGTTCAACATTCACGTTCAGGTACGACGACATGCGGACCACGTCTTCCTTGTTGGCTAATCGCACATCTAGGATAATCTCATGATCTCTTACCTAGCCAACCTTGTACGATCACAAGCCGAAGTCTCCACAAGGCTTACACTTGTGACATAAATACACACTCTTTTTGCCTTTGGAGATACAAATGAGCAGTGAATTCACTGGATAAAAAGCTGTTTTCAAGATACAGTGGGTAAATAATGAATAAATCGCAGTAGGTTCATTCGTTCGGTGCCTGTGTGATCGCTCCGCGTGACGAAGGAGGTTTACTGGACACGTTCAGAGTAGGCTGAGCAGCGCTCTTGATTACATTGTACTCCCATTCTGCACGTCGCTTTCCTACTCGACAGTTCAGCATCCCATTTCAACTCGAGCAGATCGGCTCACCTTTTGCAATAGAATCGAATAGCCACTCTGGTTTGACTATGTGTGTTTTCACCTTTGTCTTTTGTGTAAGATGCCTCTGTAGTTTGCCGCCACTCAGAGATTGGGAGGTCAAGACGTGAGTTGCACCCGTCTCTGTGTTGCTAGAGGCGCTTTGTTAATATGAGACATGATCTCAAACGTAAAACAAACTCACGCGACTGTCCCGCCATACTTTGTGACGAGCATCTTGAGCTCGAGATCCGTGGTGTTTGCGCAGTATCCGCCTGTAATGAATGAGATTAAGTCGATGAAAGCGTTGCTCAACTTTCTATTGCAATAGATGCGACATCCTCTAAAAAGGGGGGACTCTGTAGCTAGTCTTTGTTCCTTCAGACGCCGAGATCTGTCTTCGAGATATGCCTTGCGATTTCCTCCACCATCTCCTTGTTGATGGCCGGTTGCACAGCTCCATACATGATCTAGAATGGGGATATCCAGTCATTCAATTCTATATTCCCAGGTCGAACGCGACAGACCGGCTTGACGAAGACCGTGCGAGTTAGTGATTGGGTTCCCAGGATGTGACAATGTGTTCAACACGTGCTTTCTGTTGGCGGAGACGGCGCTGGGCGTTGGCTGGCCGGTATCCGAGAGAGAACTGGCAACGTCTGGCAATCGATGGGATCTGGCGAGAGCACTTGGACATTATCAGCATCTAATTACTCTGTTTATCTGCATGTTACCGCTGTTCCTTTGCCTTTGCCAACCAGTCCTCACGCGCCGACTTTGGCTCGGCTTTGGCTCGAGTGGCATATGGGCTGAATCGAATCTTTGATGTCTGCTTTTCGGTTGTTATGATAGGTTGATCTGACATTTTGTCTGGAATTTCTGAGATGTCGTCCATTTCGCCACATGTATGGACGCCGTCAAAAGGCAGGCAATTGGCGCTTAGGCGGCGCAACTTGGCTCCTGACATTGGCTTCGGGACGGCGAGGCCATCAAATGGATGGCACTGCACTCAAATATTTCTCTTTTTGATTCATTTCAGACGCGAATCAGCGAGTTTTCAGTAACAAACATGCCAAACTCGTTGACGCACACACCACTACGTTTTCCAGCTCTCAATCTGGCGGTTAAAAGGTGAGAAATCTACTTAACATGCCAAAATATTGTCATTTACCGTCAATATCAAGACTGCAGATTGTCGTTGAGCTCAGTCACGGAGGTCTGATCGCTACTCGGCATACATACTCCTTTATCAACCACTTTCATGGAAAACCCACGCAACAGCTTTCCATAGCACCACAAGTACCACGTCGTGGGCGATGAAATCCCGCATCGCGTCCTGTGTGACCTCTACCTACGGCTTGATCAGTTGGATGATCGGTTGGATGATCGGTTCCCAGTTACGCTGAATCGCAAGCTCGAAATTTGGGCACTGGACGTTTTTACTTATGAGACGACAATGCTTGAACGCGTTATCCGCCGTGTCCACGTAACACCCCGTTTTAAAATCATGGGAACGAAATTAAATATGGTGAATGACACAAGAAAGCCGCAGAAGCATGTTGTATTCTTTCGGAAGCGACTCCAGGACCAGAACCAGACCCAGGTCGATCCCGGCTCTCAAGTTCTGTGCAATCGCGCGGCGTTCAAGTACTGTAGGGAGGCATTAGGCGTTTCAGCATCGGGAGAGTACCTCATCAGCTGTAAAAATTACAATCAGCCTGTTCCCGACCTCCCGTTGGCTCAACCTCTCCAACTGTTAGAGGCGCGAGGTACTGTCGGTTATACGGGGAAAGGAGAGGGGATAGATAAAGAGATGCCGAGCTACATGCATCTGCCCGAAGAGGTGTTGGACAATATCTTCGCTGCACTGCGTGATGTCCAGGACGAGACATGTTCCCTCCGTGGTGGATCGGCTACAGCGCCTTCTTGGACCAAATTGCGTGCAATTTGCAACCTGATGCGAGTATGCAAGGCCTGGCGACTTCCCGCTGCCAGAGCAACGCTCCGCATCATCGCCATGGACATTCATCGCGACTCGATCTCTTCTTTAGTGTCAATGTTGGTCTCTCTCAAGGGCCATGCGGCGAATAGGCTCAGTTACAACGTAACAATGCTCGAGCGTGTCGTTCGCCGTCTTCACGAAACGTCATCCCTTGAGATCATGGGGACTGAAGTCACAATGACAACGACGAAAAGCGGCCGGAAACACATGTCGTTTTCTTTCGGCGGCGACTTCAGGACCAGCTAGACATCTGCGCTGGTGATCGAGTCCCATATAAACACACGGCATTCGAGTACTGTAGGCAGGTACTAGGGGCTCCTGTCTTCAGAGAATATCTTCTCAGATGCCCACACTTTGACGAGCCTGTCGCCGACCTCCCATTGGCCCCACCCCTCCGATTGTCCAAGTCCCAAGGTGATCCCGCTCCCCCAATAACCCGAATGAGGCCAAATACGGTGAATCAGAATAACCATATCAAGCTGCATGAAGATATACTGGATAATATTTTTGCGATACTGCGTGACGTGCAGGACAAAGATATGTTTCCGCCGTGGTGGATTGGATATAGTCCCGCCTGGACCAACCTGCGTGCACTTTTCAACCTTACGCGAGTGTGCAAGGCCTGGCGAGTTCCTGCTGCGAGAGCGGCGCTCCGCATCGTCGCAATGGATATTCATCGTGACTCAATATCTTCGTTAGTGTCGATTTTGGACTCACTCAAGCGCATTGCGACGATTCACATTCTATATCTATCGTACCCCTGGCCAGAGACCAATTATTCCGACGAAGAGACAATCGACCTGCTCCGTCAATTACTCAGCAGGACGTCAATGCTATCTCATCTCTATCTGGACAACTTCTCGACAGATTTTCTTCAAAACTCGTCCATCATGCATCGTCTACACGATCTTTATCCAATCACCCTTCGTGGCTATGGGCTGCGTGGGATAGGACTTTATCGATTCATCCCCGAACAATATACTGGGCCCACGATGTCAGACTTCAGAGAGCCTCGAAAGACAGTTCGTCCCCCGGTCATCCTCGCGCACCTCCCACCACTGAAGAATATAACGGCGCTAGCGATATCCGGACTTGATCTTTCTACCATACCGAACCTCGATCAGCACCTCAACTCCACAGCCTTCCGCCATATACATCTCAGCGTGTGTTTTTTTCCTGGCCTTTTAGCTAGGGCAGGTGGTTCCAACCTGGAGACCATCGTGATCGACCGATGTCTCGTCAATGGAAAGGAGCTCTCCTGTTTACTCAAGCACTCCACGTCGCTACGGCGGGTCGAATATCACAATCGCTCGCTGATAGACTTGCCTCAACACCCTGGATCGATGAGACTATTTGGAAGGCTGCGCTTTTATGAAGAGGATGTATTAGATACGCTACGCGAGCTCGCGGGGGAAGCAGAAGTGAAGGAGACGACAGGGTATCCCTTTTTCCCTGACGGACTCCCAGCTCTTCGGTGATCAAGCCAGTGAACCCTCGTCTTCAAACTATGTGTATATACTACCGGATACTCGCAAATTCAAACGCTACTATAACACATCCATGATAATGTCCACGACCTGTGTCCTCATACATCGTGGTATAATCTCTAGCTGAGACGAACGGTTCCTTTCTATTGTCATGGGGGTGTTACCGCGGTCCTATGGCTAGTCGCGTCTCCATGAGGGGTCCGAACGATGCAATAGGTTCATTAAACTTAAGATACGCCTATACACGAGCACAGGTCTTGCCTGCATGTGGCATCGAAACTTGGTCACGACCAAATTCTGAACTTTCCCACGCCGCCAGTAAATCTCATACCTGAACGCTCGTATGCTCTTTGGCTTACATCTCCTTCAATCTAGTGTCAGAACCTAGTGCATCAGTTGATACGCGCACAAAAGTCGACAGGCCTCCTCGTACCGAGAGTTTTGGTGGTCAGAAAAACGATGCGTGTCAGCTTCCTCCAGTTCCATCCGAGGAGGAGGCCAAAAACTATTACTACGGGCTACCCTCGGAGCCTCGCCTAGTTGCTCGCTCTAATGCGGAGAGCTGGTACGAAGCATCAACCATCCATGAAGGCCCTCGTAAAGTGCTCAGTCCTTTTGGACCTCATCCTCTTTTCCACAAAATCTGGGATAACGAGGTCGTTCCCACTCTTCTCAACTATCTCAATAATGAAAAGGTGAACTTCACGAGTCTGGACCCTGTCCGCATAGGATATGTAGAAGACGCCGCTCCTCCAGCCATTCTGTGGATTGGCGTCGTTTACGACTCGCTCGCTGGTGAGGCTGGCGTCAAGGTTGCCAACGACTGCAGAGATATTCTCCTCCGACTGGGTGTCGATGACATCCATGTTGAAATTCGGGAGTCAGAAATCATCATCTGTGCAAAGCCCGAGCACCCAGGACCCGTATCAGGCATCATCCCACCCTACATTATCGAGCCTCTTTCCACAACCATTGGTCGTCCGATCTCTACCAGTGAAAGCCCAGACGTAGGTGGACCGGGGGTTTCTACGTTTCCGACTTCGACCAACCCGGCAAAATCTACCTCGTTACAGCCAACCATGTGGTAATACGCAAAGATATGGAGCGTAGAACCATATACAAAGCTCAGGAAATCACTGAAACCCACTACAAGAAAGTCTTGCTGTTTAATAATCGCGCCGTTGAAAGATATCAGGCTTTAATTCGCAGAGAAAGTGGCAATCAGGCTGATCTGCAGGCCGAAGCTAAATCCAACTTCAAAGACGCTACAACGAGTGGGGATCAAGGCAAGATGGATGCCAGTCTTTCCAAATTAGAGGCGAAAAGGGAAACGATTGCGCAACTCGATGAGCTTCTTGAACGCTTTACAATGGAGTGGGGGGATACAGATGATCGTGTGATTGGGTCGGTCGCATTTGCTCCACCAATCAACCTCGGTCAAGGGCAGGGCAAATTTACTGAAGACTGGACTTTAATCGAACTGGACAAATCCAAATTCGATGAGGAGAACTTTGTTGGAAATAAGATGAATCTCCTGGCTGGCGACAATACCGTCGAAAATATTCGCAAAGCGATGGCACCTGACGACACGAACCGAACGACGTTGTTTTAAGAAGACCCAGAAAAACGCTTCCTCAAGATTACCGGGATTATTCCAGAATCGGAAATGATCACGTCGACAGACCTCCGGGGGAGAGTCATACATGCATGCTGGTCGTTAAAAATGGTCAGGCAACTGGTCTTACAGTTGGGCGGCTACACGGCATACACTCGGTCGTTAGATACCCTATGGAAGGTTTGACCGGCACGTCGAGGGAGATTGTCATCATGCAAAGGGACGCTGAATCTGGACGTTTCTCAGCCCTTGGGGACTCAGGTTCTGCTATCCTCGATGGCAGAGGCCGGCTTGCTGGTATGTTGACGGCTGGTGCTGGATCACAGAAAGGGCTCGACCTTACCTACGCTACGCCGGCCTACTGGATCATTGAACGGATGAAAAAAGCAGGCTTCAATCCGAACATCTCACCTCGCTTTCCTAACATTGATCAAGGATTAGGCACCGTCTAATCTACCATATTGGACGTGCCGGCCCGCAACTTCCACTCTTTTCTTATTGTTTCAAGCTACACTGCGCTCATTTCATCGAATACATCATTCTCTGCTATCCTTCGTTTTCTAACGTGTTACCACTAGCCACGGATCCTATGTAGGTAGGCTTATATACGTTATTTCACGTAACGACTTCATGAAAGGTATTAATAATTCACCGCTTACGAACGATGGCTCTCGTTACCTCCCTAACAGGGCGTCGCTCCCATCCCGACCTGTGCACTCCTTGATTTTGTCGGCAGGTCTGGACTAGCAACCAACTATCAAGGTCGATGAGAGATTGTTACTCGTGGATTCTTGAAGCGAATTGCATTGCATGGAACGAACAGGTTCGTCTTTATATATACGAAAGTTCGATGATTGAAAATGTCCGATATACCAAGTCGCGTGTCAACTCAGGGATATAGAAACTATTTGACCTGTATTTTCGTCGACTAAATTCAGAATCTTGTCCTTCGGAACCGACAGTAGGATCCAAAGACATGCCGGTATGAGAATTCGCCTTGGAATCTCCGGGATGACATTGGTTTCGCCACAAGCCGGAACGCCGTTAGGCGAGAGACGGCGCAACTTTGATGGCTACTCTGATACGGAATCTTCGGATGACTTGGAAGCGGGCGCAACCTCCTTGGTCTTTATTTTCGCGCATTTTCAGTCGAAAAATGTCTACCAGAAACTTTGAGGTACGGTCGCATTATCACCGAACGGATTTACTAAACTTCGTCGTGACGATCCCCGGGGACAGGATGCCATCGATAAACTAAACTCACTGCAATCTAATTTCGCTGCGATAGAAGCTTCAAAGGCATCTGGAGGTCGTATGGTCCAATTCGCCAAGCATGAGACGATAGAATACCTTGGGCGGATTGGCTACTCGGTGAGCATTATCTACTCTCTCATCACGAGTAAAAGTACCAATAGACATCCAGCCCGAAGATTTGAATCGTTTAAACGTCATTCATGTCACTGGAACAAAAGGAAAAGGCTCTACGTGCGCATTCGTTGACTCTTTGCTCCGCTCATCGGATCCAGAGCGAAAGATTGGTGAATCTAGTGCTCTTGTCCTATTTCTGTCTCATTTTACTTCAGGCCTCTTCACGTCTCCACATCTCGTATCTGTGCGCGAAAGAATCCGCATAAATGGCATCCCAATCTCAGAGGAAGACTTTGTCCGCTTCTTTTATGAAGTTTGGGACCGACTGGAAGCCAACGACAACGTACGTCTGACCTACACTATGATCCGCGTGCTGAAAATCCTCTTCAGCGGAAATACGAAAGCACACCGGCAAAGCCAATGTACTTCAAATACCTCAATCTAGTAGCCTATCATGCATTTCTTACGATGAAGGTATAATAACGATCTGTATCTTACCGCCGCTTACAAACCTTTAGGTCGATACTGCAATCCTCGAAGTTGGAATTGGCGGCGAATACGACAGCACAAATATTGTACCCAAGCCCATTGTTACAGGAGTGACGTCTCTTGGATTGGATCACGTCGCTACCCTTGGAGGGACACTGGCCAAAATTGCATGGCAAAAGGGTGGAATTTACAAGGTCCGCCTGAGAGGAGACTTCCATATCAATGCTTAGTATGGACAGACTGGTGTACCAGCCTACACTGTGCCCCAGCCCGCTGAAGCGCTGGAAGTCCTTCGTGAGCGAGCTGAGGAAAAGCAGGTGAGAGCCAAGAACGAGATAGGTCTGGAATAACATTAGACAGTCTTCATTCTTCCAAGTCGTTGATATACCGTCGGAACTTGACACAGTTCGTCTAGGTACGGCTTCCTTTCGTTTTCTTTCCTCGCTTACGAGCAGCTAGGTATAGAAGGTGTACATCAACGTCAAAACGCGGCTCTTGCTCTCCATCTCGTTGACACGTACCTCAAAGCCCAACGTGGTGCAGAGATTGACAAGCCGTCTCTAGAACTTCCCCTCAAACCCGAGTACGCGCGAGGGCTTGAAAAGGCGCGTTGGCCCGGAAGGTGTCAAGCTGTTCATGATCCAATTGATCCAAAGTCGACGTGGTATCTGGATGGTGCACATACTGTCGAAAGTCTGGCCGCCTGCGCAGAATGGTTTACGACTCCGAATGTTGGTCTCAGAGAGTGAGTTTACTGCAGGTAAATGGCAATTCTGACCATTATATAGTGGTCCTTTACGTGTCCTGATATTCAACTGCACCCATGGGCGGTCGGGAGCTGCACTCCTCAGGGCCTTTCGAGAGGCCGCACAGCAAAAATTGCAGGCGCATCATTCGACTCTCACTACCGACACGCTCTTTGATCATGTCATGTTTTGCACGAATGTGACGTATTCCGACGGGACCTTCAAAGGCGGTGTGTTCTCCGTTTTCGAGTCAGAACAAGACGTTGACCAATTGATGCAGAGTTTCTACAGAAGGGCCTCGACCAAGCAGATCTCGATCAACTCAAGACCCAGACAGAGCTCGCTAATGCGTGGCTCGAGCTGTGTCCTTCCTTTTCACGGGAGAAAGTACATGTTCTCCCAAGCATTCAACACGCCGTTAAACTCGCTCATCATCTACGCGAAACTCAGGAGAAGCCAGTCGACGTGCTCGTAACGGGCAGCCTTCTGCTTGTTGGAGGGTTGATCGAGGTGGCCAATTTGACCAAAGTGGCGTTGGACATGTGACGGACGTACTTATACAACATCAGAGGAGCTACATTTAATGGATCTGGACTGGCATATATCCGAAGATAGAGAAATAGACTTACTCAGGCTCTGAGGTCAGGGCCGTTGAAAAAATGGACGGCCTATCAGCACCAAGTTAGAGTCAACACACAGAAAAGAAATATCTACGCGCCTTTTGGTCCAAAAAATCCCTTAACCGCCGTCGAAGTTTTGGAGTGGCGACTTCATCACCTGCGGCCATCTTGAGGAAAACTGCAAAGTCCAAGGGTTCGTAAAGGAGCACGCGTGACCAAAGATCTTGATCATTCTTGATCATCATCTCCATCAACGTTGTAAACTTCTCGTCGGAGATGGTGTCCAGTTTGTGTTTTGACTTCCGAGGGGAACGTTCAGAAGTCTTTGCAGACTTTGGTCGCCGGCTAGGGGAAGGAGCTAAAGTGGGCATTGACCCTGTCTCTAGCGATACTACCGCTTTTGAGACTGCTTGAAGAAGGAAAACTCTTTTGGAGGGGAAGACGCCCCATACTCTTGGGGCTCGAGCTTGTGTAATACTGTCGGTTCTTTTGTGGCAAACGCTTTGTCGGGCTGGTTACTTCAGTCAAAGTAGGCCGCAAAGGCTTTGCCATCGAGCTTCCGCCGTCGTGAGGCTGGCTGAACAGAGCCTTGTCTTGTATCGATTTGGTCATTCGAGGAGTTCTCTTGTCTTTCCCTTTTGAGTTGACCTCGCTCGGCGACTGGCCTGGGTCGTCCCTAAGTTGTCGAACAGTATTTTGGATGGCAGTCTGTGAGTCTTGAGCTGAAACAACGCTAAAAAGGAAATCAAACTGACGTTGAGGTGATCGGGTGCGGATTGATCGGTCGACTCGGATAGGCTTTGCAATGTCGTGTGCGCTCCAAGTCGACTCGGAGGGAGCGTTTGCGTCGGAGGCGCATTACCATCCTCCTCATCCGGGAGTGCCGAGAGGAAATGGCCAGCCCGTTTGGAGAAAATCTCGTGCTGCTCGTCGACAGGGAGAATCGTCGAGGCGGCGACTTCTCTGCGGTTGCGATGTTTGGGGAAAGTGCTTCTGACTATCTGATCCATGAGCAATCCATCTACGTCTTCTCTTTCTGGGTCGTCTTCGGTGGAATGCCAGGGCTTGGCTGCAGTATCCTGCTCCAATTGCTTCTGGATGAGGAGGCGCATCGTATCGTCGCTGAAAGCATTCTTCCTTTGGCATACACGAATGTGCTGCAGTTTCTTTGCAACTGATTTGCGAGTCGTCCAGCCGGAATTACACGCGACGCATCTCGTCAGTGGCCGAAGTTGATTGTCCGTAAAAGAGTAGTTTGTCGTATTGACGCTACGACTTTGTGGCTTTGTAGTCGTGATGACAGAGGAACTTTCTGCAACCTCTGCGGGGGCTGCTCTCGGAAGCATAGAAGCTGCAGTCCTCACCTGACCTCTCCAAGCAAACCGAGAGAGATCTGGTAGACTCTCTTCAGAATCTGAAAGTCCCGGATCTCCAGAGTTGGTACGTGCAGGGACGACCGGACGCCGGGCATTTGCTCCTCTCGAAGCGCGCAAGGGCGGTCTGACAATCTCCACGATTTCAGGAGCGCTTTGTGATTCATCTGTATAAATTCAGTGTACTGAGTGTGGCAAACTGCGCAACAGACCGGTGAGATTGATGATTTCCGCTGGCAGTGACGGTCCAGAATCATCGTCCGAGAGCTCGATGATGTCTGTAATGGGCCTTTGAGTGTCCCTTTTGGCTTTTACTGAATTTCGTTTGATGCTTGATTCGGAAGTTTGGGGCGGTGGCGTGACGGGCGTTTCGTGGTCGCTTTCTGGGACAATGCGATCGTCTGGGATTGGACTCTCTCGCACTATTCGTTCTCTGAGAAACGCATATGACCGAGGACTTTGGTTCATCACTCGGCGCGTTTGGTTGACGAGGTGGATGGTGGAACGAAACATAGACCACCAACTTGCCTCCAGCCCATTCCGACAACATGCTACAGATGCATCGTTATAACAGATTTTTTTGACAATTTCACCCAGTGTTCCATCAAGTAAGCCGTGTAAACGGTGGCAATACTGCTCATACAAGCGACCAACCATCAATCATCCGCTTGACGGGTGCTTTTCTAGTGAACACCGGCGTGGACTTGGCTCCGGACCCTTTCGCTCCTGTCGGGACAGCGTACGGGACAGCGTACGGCACCGTCCCTTTGACGATGAAGAGCGAAAGCGACGAATCAAGCAAACCAAGACTAAGAACGGATCCAGGAGGACGGAGAACCAAAATAAAACTCTATTCTCTGCCCCGTTCTTGTACAGCTAGTAGTAAAAAAGCGACCAAGGACGATATAAAGGACGGGATCTGTCGACAAATGCTCTCCATCCTTCGAGATAAATCCCATCATGTCCAAAGTCGTCGGCACCAACGCATTCAACCAGGCTTGCACCAAGGTCAAAGATGACATCCTTGTCTACTTTGATGCCTTTGTCAAAGCATTCGGAACCCCTCCAATGGAGGTTGGACTGACAGATAGAGCTCTGCTCATGTACAAAACGCTCATTCCTAGTCTCGTCCTGGTGAGTCACCGTCTTCACATTACCACTGGTCTAACGGTCGTAAAGCGTCAAACTGGTATCAAAGAAGAGTCACAGAATGGAGCAGATTATGTTTTCGAGCTCACCATTCAGAATCCTTATGGGCCCTTGGGAACCGGGATTGACGTCGACTTTTGGATTCAGGCGAAATGCTTCAGACATCTCGACCGTGACCATCCAGTTGCCGACTTTTGCTACATGTACGTCCTCGCATCTGTTCATTCCCAGACACTCAACGACCGGCAGAAACAAGAGCTCAGGCGAATATCAGATGAATATCCTCGCCAAGTCTATTGCCACGGCAGATACCAAGGTGAAACTTACCAGTTCGTGCGTTTACTCCCTTTGACTGACACGCTACTTTGGATCGTTTAGGTAAAGAGGGCTGTGGGAGGGTAAGTAGCAGATACGAGGTTTCAAGGTTGGCACTGACGACTCTAAAGCTATTTCGTGTATGGTCCAGACACGATCATGTACATCCCAATTACCGACCTCACAAAGCGCTTCGCGAACTTGAAAGAGAGGAACCCTGGTAGGGGCAGCGACTGGTACAATACCGAGCTCAGCAAGTTCTACTGGGGTGCTCGCAAGCAAGACTACTTCATCGAGTCTCTTATCACGAACATTCCCCCTATCTAGTTCCGTGTGCCTAGCGTGGTCGCGGCCGAAATCAACATTGGTTCTCGTCATGTTCACAAGTTAGAGTTATAAACGAGTGGAATTGGCCTTGAGGGACCAGATGGGTACTGCTACAGTGGTAGTAAAACAACAATCAACAGAACGGCGTGCGATGACCATCCAACGATATCAAGGAAAAGATACAAACTAGAACGAAGAAAATCCCAAGTCATGACATCGTGCGCCATCTACATTAAAGGCCGTGTCGTCAAAGTGCGTAACCCCATTGAAACCTCGAGCCATCGCCGTTGGACTTGGTACTCTCAGGCGACTCGATGCTTTCTTGGCCGTGTGAGGACATCGAGCCGACGCTACTGCTGAAAAGGGAGCGCAGCTTGCTGCTCGAGCTCGCCTCTCTTGGGCCAGCTACGCTCGGCGTGTAGTGCATCGATGCTGAGGTAGGGCCGGCGTCCTTGACTTCTTCCATGCCCTTGAGCAGGGCCTCGTAGTTCGGTGCGGCAAGTAGAGTATCCTCTGGGGCGAGAGAGGCACTCTTCGACTTGTACGGAGATGAGCAACGAGAAACAGTAGGATCGGGCGCAATGGCACGAGAAGGGGCACGAGGTGTTTTTATACTGTTTAATAGGATAATGTTGTGCAGGTTCGTCTTCCTACTCGGAACGATTGACCTGAACTGGAGAACCCGGGCCTCTTGATAGTTCTCCCCTTCGGTTGAACCAAGTTTTTCGCCTTCCCAGCATTGGGCATCAGTCGTAAAGGTGCCCTTGTCGGTAGTAGGACGGATTATCGGTACGGAGGGCGGAGAGGGAAAGAGACTGAGGGAAAAATTGGAGAATTGCGAGTTTACTGAGTCAATGGAAAATGTTGATATTGGGCGTTCGTCAGGAGGGGTTGTCAGAGGGACCTCTCCATCGGAACTGGTGCGAACGGGTGCGGGCGGCAGGGCCAAATCCAAGCTGGACACACGGGGAGACATTTGAATACAGGGCCCATTCGTCGGGTCTGAATCTGATTCATTGCGTAGTTGCGTCGGCTCGTGCTGTATCATGGAGAAGCGAAGATATGGCAAGGACGAGATAGAGTCCATTGACTTCGTCTTCGAAATAGCAGTACCTGAATTGCTGGCACATTGTCGAGACACTCCATCCTCCTTGGGTGCTGTGACGCGCATCCTCGGAACGCCGTCAGCTCCGTACAGTCTTTTTTTGGTAGGCGTCAATTGCGTAGTGGATGAGATCTGACTGTCCACACTTTCACTCTCGGCGACGCTCCAGGCCTTGGATAGAATGCGAAACTCTGGTGTTGGGGGCGATGTCCCTGCTGTCAAGGGAGGATCGTGACAGAATGAAACGATTGTGGCAGGGGCAGATGCTGGTACGAGAGGCACTAAAGGTATTTCTGAGCCTGGGGAACTTCGATCGTGGGAGTCAACGGGGCCGGACGTCCTTTAACCGCAGGCTCGGAGCTACGGGGCTTCTTTCTCTTCTCGTTCATGAACAACGGCCCGATATCTTGCTTCAAGTCTTCCTTGACTTCCTTCAGGAAGCTGTCACAGACATCATCCAGCCGCAGAGCTACGCCATGGCCACTACTCGAGGAAAGTCCCGAGCCATTCCTCGGGCGCACTTTGATAGAGCTGGGTCGAGACGAAAATACAGTCGCAGATGACTCGTCACAAGCTTGGAGGTTACTTGAGTAGTTACCAAAGCGATAAAAAGAGGTCGCGCTCGAGTTGCTCTCGCTCCGTGCCCGCGACGAGTTGCTTTCACTGCGTGCCCGTGATGAATTACTCTCGCTCTGAGCCTAAGTATCCCAGAGCCAGAGAGGGGTGAACTCGTTGCTAGCCCAGGGGACAATGGCGAGGCGACTATGGTCGCCGTCGCCGACGCCTCCGTAGATCCAGGGCCCAGAGACAAAGTCGCGGAGAGTGGAGAGCCAGATGTTAAGCTCATTGGGGCGAGTAGTGAGGAGGTGAGAGGGCGATTGTCCTGCGTGTGTATCGAGCTTGCAGAGTCCAACCGCACCGGAAGAGGCATTGGCGGAGGAAGCTGCAAGGGAGGAGGAATTTTGAGTGCTGAGATATCTGAACGATTCGCGGAGGATCCCATTGATTTCGCTCGACGACGCTGTAAAAGGACGCTGGTCGCTGGCTCATCTGTTGGTCCAAGCGATGCCGGAGAAGCACCGATGGTTTGCACAGTAGACGAGGTATTATTGGGATGTACAGTTGCCCTTTTCTTGTACGCCCGCTCCGCCCGCAAGATTCCGAACGATGCTGGAGATTCTTCGTCTGGAAGGTCTTGTGGCTTGACGGAGCGAGGAGAAGTCTGGGCGACAAAGTGGCTGGGTACTGCTGGAACTGGTGGATTGATATTCGTTGGCGTAGTAGGGTTGCTACCACCGGCCGTTTGGACGGTCAAGATCGGCGGGCCTGGCAGCTGGGACGACGACTTGCTGAATCCGAAGCGCGTGTAGATGGGAGAGCGTGATTTGGGGTCCGGTGCAGGGAGAGTATGGTTCCCTGAAAAGATGCGTTCGTTGCTGCGACGCGGGAGTCGGAGCGAGAGTGCAGGGCGCGCTTTGAGACTGGAAGAGCCATTACTGCGCGTACTAGAGGGGAGTGACGATGAGGCTGGAGCACTAAAGGGTGGCTCGTCGTGCTCGTAGCTGCTTTTCGAAACTAGGAGCTGTGGAAGTGTCTGTTGGTCATGGTGCAGTCCCTGCTGCTGAGTCTTCTTAGAGCCATTCAGGAATGCAAACGCCTTCATGGTAGTCTGCGACACATGTAGATGATTCAGTCTAGTGAGCTCTAGAGACCTCGGGCAAGCCCAAGGCGCGTACTCACGACTCGAGAATCGTTAGCAGCTTGCAAACGCGCGAGAAACGCGTCGCAGAGGGTAGATAAATGGTATGAAGTATGAGAAAAGCCGTCGTTATTGAGCAACAAGGACGGACAAGGTCGTGGTCGGAGACAAGGTGCGAGTGGCAGAGGTGCTCAGTCGAGGTCATGAGAATGGGCCAAGAACAAAAGAAAACATTATTTATATGCATGAACGAGATAATATTTAACGGAGGTTTCATCTCCTGACTGGAACAGACGGAGAAGCAGAGCCCCCGCGGAGAACGCGGCTCGTAGACGGCGTCGCACTATCGAAATGTCATGGCACTGTACAAATACAGTTAGCAACCGTGCGTAATGATCGTAGGTGGGTTCGAAAAGGAGATCAGGACACCCCTAGCGTAAAATGGGATGCCAGGGTAGGTTTCCTCGTGGAAGATCGGTCTGGTGCACAGCAAAAAGCTCATCACGAGATGATAAAAGATGTGTAAACTCACAAAAAGTAGAAATCCAGCGTGCTCGCAGCGACACGGCTGGTGATGGTGGGAGCCAAAGTGAGAGCCCACCTTTGGCTCCGACAATGTCGTTCATGGATGCCAACGACCCGCTTTCGCCCTTTCACGATCCTCACCGTCACGAAACAGATCCAGAACCTGCACCAGCGTGGCCTTCTGTTCCGTATTCTGCAGCAGATCCTCCCCCAGACCTTGTCACGCCCGTGCGGGCCCCCCAGCCGCTTTCACCAGCGCCAACATCGTCTTTGGACGGGAACGGGCCGTCTACGGGGCCCTGGGGACGCGAACCGCAGATATACGGCCAGCCAGATCCAGGTCTCATCTCGCCACGGGAGACGACCGCGTCAAATGGCACAAATCTCGAGAAGCAAGAACCATATCTACGCGTCCGAATCACCGCGCTCGACAGAAACAGGCGCGACATTCTGATACGCTTCGATGCCCAGGTCAGTCATACCGTTATGCAAATCAAGAAGCTGAACACCGTCTTCTTCTAGACAAATCTATCAAACTTTACCGGCTCTACCTATCGCAATATCTCCCGCTCCTATGTCGAGTTCCAACGTTTCTACGATCAAATCGTCTACAGTAATCCACAAACAATAATACCGGCTTTACCACTCGCGCAAACGTCTGCACCTAGCGATGAAGAAGGTGCGTCGCATTCATATCGGAGATTGCCACTTCTCATCCAATTTACAGACGACAGACTTGTCAAAGTCATGCTCCAGCGCTGGTTTACTCGAGTCTGTGAGGATCCTATCCTACTGACCGACGAAGAATTACGATCGTTCATTGAGTCTGACTTTGGGGTCAGTGTCTAGACTCGACCTCTTGCACTTACTCAAGATGTTTCTAGTATCAGCCTATGCCGCGTCCAAAACGCAAGGCATCTTCCGGCTTTAGTCTCTTGAGTCGACGGCCGCCAGACGAAGACGAACAGCTTGCCCAAGCCCGCTTCGAGCTCACAAAACTCGAAACACAATATATCGAAGCAGCAAAGGCGGTCGATAAACTGTCACAGACTCGCAAAGGTCCTTCAAACTAGTGTAATGCGTTTCATCTGACTCTTTGATGCAGCCATATCTTTTTCTCATGCTGACATGGGAAACAAGCTAGTCGATGTCGCTGCCACAGAGGTTCACGCGCCTTTGGCATCCGCCGTCCGTAAAATGGGACGAAGCTGGCATATTTACGCGGACATTGATGCAGCTCAGGAGATTAGCGATCGAGTGATCCTTGGTGACTCGCTAGGCTATCAAGGATTAAATGCACGCTCAGCCAAGGCACGTTCTATCCACAAAACTGCGACATAATGCCTAATATTCTCTTAGGAGACGCTACTTCAACGAAGTCTTGTATTGGAAGAATATCAAGAAGCCGTCAAGAATACGATTAACAAGAGGAGAAATATCGAGCGTCTAAAGGCGAGCTCGAATATTCGTCCTGAACGTGTGGATGAGGCGTTGGAAGAGTTGGAAGAGGCAAACAAGATTGAGCAATTGATTCACCGCCGAGTAGAGGGCATCTCGCAAAACCTCCATAGAGCTCTACACCGGCATTCGCGACTCGCCCACGAAGACATTACGGCCGCTCTCATCGAGCATGCGCGGACGAATATTCTCTATGAGAAGCAGTTCTTGCGAGAGCTAGAAAGTCTCATGCCAGATATGCGAGTAGCAGCCGATCCTGCACCTCCACCGAGCAGTCTACCTGCGGCGGCAGCAATAGCACCGTTGGCAGCACTGAATCGATCAGCGACAATGCCTCCTGGCGCAGAAACCTCCCGTACCACAATATCCAGTGGACATTTTATGCCGCCCTCGATTTCAACGCAGTCGCCTCTTGCCAAGTCTGCCTCCATGCCTGGTCCAGAACCAATCGCCACTCCCTCTCCCACTGCATTCATACCTCCGACACAAGTAGTATCCTCTGGAGCACCGCAAACACCCACGTCTGCGACTTCTCCTGTCCCACCACGAGACAGGACGACGTCCGTGCCCTCGTTTCCGAGGACGAGCCAGTTCGTTAGCCAACCCGTGGACGGTGCTGCAAGTCCAGCTCTTACACCCGGATTCCCAAAGACCAGCCAGTTTGTCTCTGCAAGTCCAGCGCGACCGAATGTACCTCCAACTGGAGCGACGCCGAGTCAAACGCCTGTTACACCTGGGTTCCCTCGTACGAATCAATTCACCACATCAACTCCGGCAACTCCTTCCGTCACTCCAGGGTTCCCCAAGACAAATCAGTTCACAAGCAATCCAGGGCCGACACCTAACCAGACGCCAGTCACGCCTGGGTTCCCAAAGACGAGCCAATTTGTTGGTGTTTCGAGTCCATTAACACCTTCTGGAGGTGCAATGTCGCCAGCTGCCGCCGCGACTGGAGGCTACAGCTCTTACCCTCGAACGAGCCAATTTTTGCCCGGTGCAGCACCTGGTCCCTTGTCTTCACCTGGTTACTATGCAGTAAATGGAGGCGGGATTGATGGAAGACAGCCTGACGGGCCACCTGCACCAAGCTCGGGTTACAACTCTGCCAATGGACCCGGCACGCCTACTCGGGCCAGATCACCCCTCGGACAGGCTCCGCAGCAAGGACTTGCTCAGCCTCCATACCAACAGCCCGCCCTTCCAAGCCAGATTCATCAGCAGCAATTGCAACAACAGCGACAACAGAATGTGGATCCATTAGGTAGCGATAGTCGGATCATTTCTTCACAGCCCATGCCCTCTTCTCCACCCATGCTGCGGCCCCAGCAGCCCTCGCTCTCAGCCTCTATCGCCAGTCTACCTCCTCGGTCAGCATCTCAGGGTCCCGGCAGCAGCGTTGCCGGCGATCCACTCTTGGGAGGCGGTGGACTCAGCCAGTCCATGTTTGTCACACCTACGACTCCCAATGGGCCGTTGGGAGGTGGATTGGAGACGGGTCCGTTGGGAGGGACGATTCGGGGTACGCTCAGTGGCAGAGGTACGCCAACAAAACGACTAGATGCTCGCGAGGCTGCGAGCAAGCTCGCCAATTTCCTGTAAAATGCCTCACAGTCTGACCTGTTGCTGCCGAAAAGTCTGTTTGTGTACACGTATGTCCCCGGTTGTGTTTCTCGGCATAATTTGCTCCGTCGGACAAGTATTCTGATAATGAATTGAGCAATTTTTTTGCTTTTCAATCTATCTTCCGGTGTCGAGGCTTTCGGTAATCCGGATTCTCGGTAGTTGTAACTGGACGCGTCGGCATCCAGAATGTCCATCGGCGCCCAGAATCTTCGAGATATAAGACCTGTCATGCGGTCAGCAAACAAACCGTGAATCTCAGACTCTACTCGACATGTCGCTTACGTTTACTATTTCTCAAGACTATGCTCTCGTAGCATCAGCTGCCACTGCTACTGGATTTTTGGGAATTGTACGTGATCTGTTTCGTGGTCCCTCTTCCAGTACGCGGCTCCCAGGCCTCTCGCCTACATCCCCGGTTTTGAGTCGTTTCGACTTTGCCAGCGGAGACGTCGTTCCTCCATGGATCCGGGCCATTGAGACACCATACTGACATATTTTCACATCCAAAAGTGGCAGGGAATTGTCGTTTCTAAATGGCGTAGACTCTCTGGCATCAAGTACCCTCAAAGTGCGTTCTTGGTGATAGACTCGCACAAACGGCGCGATTGACGATTCTTGCTAGCTTATGCCGAAGTCTCTGAGATGAAAGAGAATAAAAATGCGCACATTTTTAACTGTGCCCAGCGAGCCCATATGAACATGCTCGAACACTTGCCTTCGTTCCTTGCAGCGTAGGACTTATCCTACTCAGACCACAAACGGATACTGATGGTCAATAGATTATTCTGGACTGGTCTCCGCTATCCGCGGACCGCGGCTGCCTTGGGATGGATCTGGGTCCTCGGTCAGTCCATATAGTGAGCTCCGAAGATATGATATTCTGAACCAAATTTCTCACAGGCCGCATCCTCTATACGACGGGTTATGTGACTGGAGATCCTCAAGCAGTATGTCACTTTGACCCAATCCGCCTCATGATCCTAACAGTTTCCAGCGCTATCGCGGTGCGATCCATTACATCGGTGAATATGGTATGTTTTTGATACCATCTTTCCATGGTAACTCACCATAGTCCAGGTCTCTATCTCGTCGGTCTCTGGAGCTCCTACGAGCTTTACCGCGGAATGTGGTAAATTCACCAGGCATTTTTCCTCGGGTATTCGCCGTAGGACTTGCTTTGATAGTATTGGTGAATGGATTTTGCTTGCCAAATGCTCCGAAGTCTTATTGCCCGGCCCTCGGGCAAGACTGCCTAAGGACTTACCGTCTTCTGCATGATTCCTTAGTAAAGAGCCTGTCGACTTATCTATATACCTCATGAAGCCGATCTTTCGGAGGTGAGAAGGAGGGCAGGTTCACTCAACCTGTCCGATCTCGATAACCTCCGAGTCGGACTGCCGATCTTTTCGACAAGGATATAAGGCGGGGAACAGCAACGTCGAGTAATGAAGCCAAACACGGTCACAAATCGATTTCAATACGCTCACGGATACATTGTCAAAGATTCCCTATGTCTGTGACACTGGTCGTTCCAAGGGAGTACAGGGTTGTCGTGGCCGTCGGCTTGTCCACGGTCTTCCTGGCTAGTGTGCGTCTATACATCTACTCTTAATAATGTCGTGGAATAACACTAGTCTAGTACCATGGCTTTGTCACTAGTTATTTCCGGAGACGAGCAAATATTCGACATCCACAATGTGAGGATTAAGTTAAGACAACAAAGTCGAGCATTTCTCATTACTTTTAGGTTATGCAGATCCCAAACAAATGAGTGACGATATCAACGCTCTCAAATTTACATGCGCTCAACGCGCCCACCAAAACATGTTGGAAACTTTACCTATCATCTTATTTGGGTACGCTTGATTGTATCATTAGGATTGAAACTTATGAGACCAGCCTAGCCTGGTCCGGCCTCTATTATCCTGTCACCACCTCTGCTCTCGGGGTAGGATGGATCATTAGTATGTTTGATTTTCGTCACCTGATTTCGACTGACTGGAATAGGTCGCGTTATTTATTTGAAAGGATATACTTCCGGGACTCCAGAGAAGGTGATGAAACTATCTCTATGGTTTATCCCATCTGGCTGACTGTGCTACAGCGATTACCGGGGTTCCAAATTGCCTCTACGTTTCTATTCTGTAAGTAACATATCTCTCATATTAATTCTACTGATATTCAACAGGTATCGTCGGGCTTGGTCTTTATTCCAGCTTTAAAACCTACTTTGGTCAATGGTAGTCTCCCGGCATTTCGTTGACATCATGTTAAGAAATAGCCTCGCCGACACTGTTTCAATGTCAGCATTTCTATCTCGGACTTCTTATAAGTAGTGTGCATTGCATCCCACGAAGTCCCATGCCACCCACACTTAAATAAGCGTGTAGTCCAGATGTGTCACGATTGAAAATACGAAGATAACAGGAGATCGAGCTGAGGCTCGATAGCGGTTGGGTGATAGAGAATCGCAAGTGAAAAGTGGGGAATAAATCAGGTCTTCTGAATGTTATCGATTACCTTCTCTTGGGAGATGCTCGGTAGCTGTCACCTGTGCCCAAATCTTGGGCACCAAGTAACATCGCGCGCTGGCGACACTTCGCAGTTTGCATGTGTCGGCTGATGTTCCGAACACTTGTCGGATAACGACTAGTAATAAATAAGAATGGATTAAAAGTGGCAAAGGATGGTTGCTTACCACCTTTCGCAGATGGAGGACCCCCGGCGGAGATGGCTGTTCTTCGCTGCACCGCTGGGAAACCGGCGGGTACTGCGAAATATATTCAGTAAGCCTTTCTTGAGACATTTTTTAGGAAATACTGACCAGTTGATATCTCCACACTCCCCTCCGCACTCAAAGGGGAGCATGCGGACATGGGTCCCGAGAATATGGCTAAGCGCTGTATCCCTACGTTTAAAACTTCCTTTACACAGTCCGTGATCGCTGGAGAAACGGCAATTCCATCTTTTCTCTTTGCCAATAAAGGAGGTTTCAAGGAAAGCGGCAAGGTCCTCCTTACGGTTGGGATGCCATGGTGAAACCATAATCCGTCCCAGCTCCGCTTGTAGGGCCGAGTTCTCGGGGAAAGATTTGGTACAGAACTCGTTGATACCTTCGTCGATCAACCGGCCTTTGTCAGGGACGGCGGCGAGCGAGGCGACACCCGTCACAACTGGCACTTCGGGTGGGGCCACTTGAGGCGGGGAGTCTAAATGAACAATGGGCTGGATACTGGCGCAACCTGTACCCCAGTGCGCGAAAGCAACAGGCTCGAAGAGCACTGATTTGGGAACATCGCTTGAGAAGAGCATTGAATCGGCGACTGTCGGATCACCGCTTGTCGACACAGGCTTTCTCAGCCTCTCACCCAACTGTGCGTGCACAATAACAGCATCTGGTGCCAAGTCTCCAAGGTGTGAGTTCTGCGAGAGATTCGGGGTGGGGACAATCGACAGATCAGAGTCGTGGGGCGAGAAGGAAGGAGTAAGAGTATATTGAGGTGTGGCGGGGACCGGTGAAGGGGCCAGCGCAGAGGATGGGGAGCAGCTCGCTGTTGGGCGAACAGGTGTTGCTAGCAACGGGGCCGGTTGTGGAAAATTCATGAACACTGGGACATTGCTCTCCTTGAAAGGAACGAGTAGCGAGGGAGTCGGGGCCGCCGTGCTCTGTCCTACTAGAGCAGGCCCGCCGAAGCTAGGGGCTAGATGGTCGGATGCAGCCAACTGAACGGTTTGCACGATGTCTGAGAGCGTGATCGTGTCAGAGAAGCAGGAATGGATAGCTGGTCAGGGCTCACTGGTTGGCCGCTGGGCATGGGCGGCATTACCCTGAGCGAGCGCAGGAGGATAGGCGGCAGAGTTCACAGCGTGATATGGACCGTAGATGAGACTCGGAGCTTTGGACGTACTTAGTATGTGCACAGGTGACGGCACGGTAGACTCACTTGATGCAGGCGCATTCTGGGCCATCGAAGACTCTGCAGGTCCCAAATTCCACTCCATACTGATTGGGATCGGACATACATCTGTAAAAAAAGCGCCGTTAGCGTAGTATCGACCTGGGTGTTCTTCTACTATACCAAACGCTTGCAAATACCCTTGCGGAGCGTATACAGGGTCATTCACCTGTGCATCCGCATCGAACATCACTCGCTGACGTGCATAATCGTAGTAAATGTTAGTGAAATTGGCGTCCATGACCGAGGCTGGCTAATGGTCGGAGGGCAAGGTTCAGGCGTATTGAAGCCGGAAAGAGTTACCGCACCGTAGGTTTGCAGTACGGCCGTGCTCCGATGAATAGCCTTACTCACGCGGGTTGAGCGCAGAAGACCACCAACCTCTGTCACCGCGATGCGAACAGTATTGTCGCCGGACAGTTAGGGAGTCGGGGGTTGGTCTGGGATTGCTGCTGATGTCCGCCCGACCTCGTGGAGTATTTATGTACCTCTGATCGCTTGATGGGCCCCACTGAATATGACAGGAAGACCCAACCGGTGCGTCAGGCTCATGGAGGTGGTACCGCACTATCGATGGAAATAGACGCTGGACCTGTCAGAGAACAAATATATTGACGATCTAGTTCTGATAGCATACCTATTTAACCTGCTTAGTGCTCCGTAGCGTTGCTCGAGTGGCAAACCCCTCGACTAATGGTATGACCGCCAGAATTAGTATTATTTTTGAGTAGATATGTGAGAAGAGCACATTAAAACGTCACCAAGACCTCGTTTCTGCTGCAGCCGGACTGAATACCGCCGCCAACACATCTGGGGAGCGAATGAGGGTAATAGCGATCGTAAGCCGTGTCCACCACAGCCATCACCATAAATAAGGGCCTTTGTGTCCAAAACTGGATGGTGACGGCTTTGAGAGGTCAGCGCCTTTTCGACGTCGAAAAAGTCAGTAAATGTCCAGCGAACCGTTCCAAGTCTTTTTCTGGAGATGATCGTGCCAATGAGAACCAATAACTGGTCAATTTCACCGCCTATATTCCCTAGTTGCTGTTCGCCTCTGTATCTTTCAGCGACGGACAGTTTAGGTGAGACGACGTCTGCAGTACGGTCTGTCATGTAAATGAACCTGACTTGTGCTCATGAGGGTAGGTATCGTCGTCAGTTTCTTGTTGAAGGAAGGGATGCCGGTGGACGAGAACCTTTAGATTACCCCACGATGCCTGGAAAACGAAAGGCAGACCCTGACACGGGCGCTACGACGGCGTCGAAAAAAGCTCGCTTTGATCAGTGGCTCAGCGACATGGAGGATAGCTCTGACTCTGAAGACGGACGCGCCGAGCCAGAAAACCGGTCAGACGACTCAGAGTCGATAACAGAGGAGCAAATAAACAAGGTCGCACGTCAATTTTCTCCAGTTGAGGAGGAAAATGAAAAGAGTGCAAGGCTAGGGAGCCGCCCTTCAAAGGCAGGCAAAGGAGTTGTTACTCAGCGTGCCATCCCGTCTGCGGAAAAGGAAGAAGATGCTGTCAATTTTGCAGAACTTGGTGTTCATCCTGACCTGGTGACCTCTTTAGCGAACATGTCCATTCGCAGACCGACTCCTGTCCAAGCAGCATGTATACCTGCTCTATTACAAGGTATATATGCGACATATCATAGATTCGTGTACTCACTAAAGCCTTCAGGTCTGGATTGCATTGGAAATGCCAAAACCGGCTCGGGAAAAACGGTGGCATTTGCCATTCCAATACTACAGCAGCTCATGAAAGATCCTTATGGAATCTATGCACTGATCCTTACGCCTACAAGGTATCTGGTCCTATGAAGCACATTGTCTGTTGCTCATATGTCCAGCTAGGGAACTCGCATTCCAGATTGCTGATCAATTCGCTATCTTGGGTGGCCCATTCAACGTGAGAACAGCTATAGTTGTTGGAGGGATGGATATGATTGCGCAAGCCATCGAACTAGAGAATCGACCGCACGTCGTGGTTGCCACGCCCGGTCGACTGGTCGACCATCTCAACAGTACAAGCGGGACTTGGAATCTCTCCCGTGTCAAATTCCTGGCTGGTAACTTCTTCAAGTTCTATCGCAAGTACTGAACCTGCTTAGGTCCTGGACGAAGCAGATCGCCTGCTTACACCGACATTTGCCACCGAACTTGCTGCACTCTTTCAAGTCCTCCCGCCGGATAGGCAAGTATCGCTCTTCACGGCGACAATGTCAGACAAAATCGAGGGCATCGCAAATGCTGAGCCAAAGCCCGGGAAATCGAGACCTTTCATTCATCGGATGACAGATAGGTATACTCCTTTTCCTATAATCTCGCTCATCTAACTGGCAACAGGATAGAAACCGTCTTAACACTCAAACAATACTACCTAATTGTGCCGTCGCACGTTCGCGAGGTATATCTATACCATCTACTATGCAATCCCCCCCAGAGCATTGTTCATCTGCGCCGTGCCCCTCCAGAGAAGTCCAAGCCAGCTCAGTTTCGGAGAAAGGAAAAGCCAAAGATGAAGAAAAAGCAAGATTCTGTCGAAGAGGATGAGATTGTTCAGCCTCCACCAACAATCATCTTCTGCACACGACCAAAAGCTGTTGCCTATCTCACCGAGTTTCTCAAAGCGCTCTCGATCCGTGCTACGCCACTCCACTCACGCCTGACGCAGCGCGAGCGTCTAAACTCTCTCAATCTTTTCCGTGCATACGTCGTTCCTGTTCTTGTATCAACCGACGTTGGTGCAAGAGGTTTGGACATTGATGATGTCGCTATGGTTGTCAATTGGGATATGCCCGTCGAACCAGAAGAGTATACACATCGCGTCGGAAGAACGGCACGAAGAGGCAGAGGTGGTCTGGCCGTCAGCTTTGTAACGGAGAGAGACGAAGAACGAGTCAAAAGGGTGGAGGAACGTATCGGTGCGATCATTTGTTGCATCCTTGTATTGATCAGCTGAATTGCCTGGGCAGGCGCTCAATTGGAAGAGATGAAACTCCCCGAATCCGTAGTTCTCGAGCCTATCAACACAGTGTTTACCGCGCAGCGTGTCGCGAGAATGGTAAGTTGAAGATTAAATCCCATGCTGGAATCCGCTAATTTCGTGACTAGGCAGTTCAAGAGTCTGACTTTGGGAAGCGTGAGGAAATTCATAAAAGCAAGAACGCAAAACGTGCAGCGGTACAGGAGCGCGATAAAATTCTTGGTATTGGAGCTGATCAGTAACGCCCTCGACCCAAGCTAGCGGCCGTGGGTGGTTAGACTGATGCTACCCAGATAATTCTACTTGCCCGCTTGCACTGTCAGCATTACCTTGACTGTTACGATAACAATTCATGTTCATTGTTTTATTTAGTTGTGCAGAAGTTTGTTTTCCTTACCCAGTTTCGCTTCCAGCCCCTCTCTTAGCTGAGGCAGAACCCCTCACTCCCGTGACTAATATACGAAGGGACGCCTGTTCGTGATTTATGTACGCCCACTGATTCCATTAGACCTCGCTAATGCAGTCCAATCGGTTGTTCTCTGCTCTGAATTTGGTATTTATATCATTAAATTCCTTGCTCGTATGCGCGGACTTTTCTTCTCTTTTCGTCGCTACTAACAATGAAGCCTGTAGCAGCTATCTCAAGTCTCTCCGTAACAAGTTCACCATTGTTTCTCAACTCTGTCCAACGTCGACGACACCAACCATCTCACGTTCTCATCAGCGGAAAAGATCTCATTTTATCAAGTAATTTGAGGAAGAAGACATTCTTATCGAGGCCAAGACTGAAACCCAGGGCTCAATGGGCTCTGGAAATCCATTGTACGGACCAGGCCAGCCGAGAGGAATTCGCCTCAGGTCTGAGTCGATTCCCAATGAGGAACGGACAACAAATTCTTATTGAAAGTATACGTAGGCCGCAACGGTTCTTCCCAGAAGCCACACACACCCTAGTAGCTAACCATTTACGAAGATATTCCTACGAGATGATTGATCTGATTAAATAGAACAAGAGGCACTGACAGAGAGGTGTTGAGACAGCAAAACAACGAATGTTACTGGTCCAGCATTGCATGAGGGATACTGTAGGGCATAGATACTAAGACGCTGAAACAAACCTGAGTATCCAAGATGTCGTTCAAGCTTATCAACCGAGATCTGCCCGTCGAACCACAATAGTATATGTGTCGGAAGGGACGGAGAGAAGCGACTGAGGCGGGCTCGCGATGAGGCAGGTGGAGGAGTACATCGGCACGGTACCCGTTGAGCCATACATCCAATTAAATGCAAAGGAGATGGAGGTTTCCGTGTCCAAGGCTTCCAAGCCCATCGAAGGTGTGCAAACTCACCATGGCAGGCGGGAATGATGCATGTACAATCGATTGTATCATTCGGATGTCTGACATATGCAGATCTGAACTAGGTCGTACACAGATCTGACTTTGTGAAACTAGAAAGGGATCCATAAGAGCAAGAACGGGAATCGTGGGATGACACAGAAGCGAAGTCAGGTTCCTGGTAGTGAATCAGCAACGCAGTGAATAGTGATCCAGACTCACCATAAGGTTAATAGTGAATATGAATAGAGACCAGGATAAATGGCACGCTATCATCGCGCGTTTGTGCCATTGAGCCACTGCTGACCTCTTGATGGTGGCTCGGGAATTGCCATGTCGTTTGGATCGTCTGCCGGAATTGGGAGGTTCCGTGGCCATGTACCGTCTCGTAGCCACGCTCCTCGCAAGATCTTTATCTGCCAATCAATCGTCAGACGCTGACTCGGACTATCGCATATTTTTTTTCACCAGGACAGGCAGCGGCAGGTTCTTCTTCAAGCGGTCTCCGCGCGAGAGTCCTTTCCATATCCCACTGACGCTATCATTCCATATCATATCATCCTCCTCTGCAAGCGGAGCCGCAAGCAATGCCTCCAAACGCGCCCGTGCACGAGAGCCGGGTCCATTGTCACCGTTTGCGGCCTCGGACCGTGGTTTGGATGATTCCTGAAGCCACTCAGCGCGTCTTTTCTCCCAATAGGCAACACCAGTCGTTGCTTCGTCTACCGAAGCATCATCCCTGCTGGTGAGCTTCGCTGGAGAAAGCGAATGAGGCAGTCTGCATGCGAAAGTGTGAGTGGGATAGGAGCATACAAGTCGAGACAGCCTTTTGAGACTCATTTGCGTCAGTTTCCCCGCTCTTGGCGACTTCTGTTGGCATGCGGCTATTGTTGCAGAGGTGACGTCGGGTTTTAGCTGTAACCACATCCAGCGCTGCACCCGGGCGCGTTGAAAGTATCTTCAGCAATGATAGATATCAAATCAGATATGATAGGACTCTAAAAGACCGGCTTTCACCATCTACACGATGCGGCAACACCGGTTCGGCTGCGACACCATCTCAGCGACATTTGCGACAAAAAGGAAGACATTCATCAATGCTTTCTACCTTTGCAATGCAGATCTCATAAGGTTTTGGCTGTCAAAGGTCACGCGAGTACTCCGTCGGTAATGCGCAGCAAACGTACCAAGACAGTGGCTGGCATGTCCTATGATTCAACGTTAACAACAAGGAGGATGTAAGTTCAATAACCTTGGTGCTTTCCCTATGACAGCCATTCCTTTCGGAGTCTCTTTCGACCCGTCGGGATGATCCTTATGAGAGGCAATTTACCCGTACATGGGTCAATCTGATCCCCTTTTACGTCTTCTGATAGTTTGCACCTTTCAGTCGTGTTCTCCCACTGAGTTGGACGTATTTCATGCTTAATCGCAACCTTGATGATTCCCTTTCTCACGACGTCTACCAATACTGCGACATATCGACTTTGGCCAACCCGCACATCCATTAGGTCCTCGGAGGCAGGCCACGTACCGTCTCAGCAATCTCGGATAGAGATCCAGCTCTCCATGTGTGCTGGGAGATCGACTGTGCTACCAACCAAAGCCCGTCCTGGACTGTGTTGGCTCCACTGAACTCCACGACCGGACTCCACGCAATGGTGAGCAGAATGACGCGACATCCAAAAAGCCCGTGTACTCAAAAAATACCTGTGTCAATTTGGGTGCGATTTGACTCCGTATTGAACCCCTCCACACTCGGAACTCCGGAATAACTTTCCCTGATCAGTTAGCGGAACCTTGTATCTACAAGGTGACATCATATATTATCACAATTGACCGACTCGTAACCATCTCCAGCGCCATTTCCAGCGCCATTAGTGACTGGACTTGGTCCAGACCAGGTCAGAGCCCCGCCTTTTATAACGAGATCTCCACTAACTTTGCGTGCTCAGGATCGAGCTGCTTCCTCTCTTGCAGCCATGGAACTTCTATACTGCACCCGTTGTGGTACGCATTCTCCACAGATTCGTTGCTCTCTGTGTTAAGTATGTTTCACGTAGAGTCGTGTTCCTGCGTTTGCTACACATATGGATTACAGTCAGGTAGTACCGATCGTGGTCCCTCGTGTGGCGTGTTTTTAAACCTCTTTTCCTCCTTTGTTCTTTCATCAGCCCCGGTTCATTCCATGGCCCAAGATACACTCAACGAAGTATCCAACGACGACGACTTTGATGCGATATTAGCCACTTTGGTAACGAGCTCTTCACTAGCACGCACGCCCTCTCCGAGTGGCCCACGTCTCAGCCCGGTCCGTGACCGATCATACAACGACGAATTTTTTGTGCAAAAGTGCTTTCCGCAGCCGCACCAGCATTGTCTACGTGCAAAATTGCGAGGCTTGCTCCAAAAGCCCTGGCTCGCAGCAAACAATCTCGAACCCTCGGGGGATCTACAGTTCCTCCTTGATGATAGCGCATGTGGCGGGCAGAAGTGCGTGATTTGCACCAAGGTCCTTCGTCGTGGCGGTCGCGCCTTGGAGCATGTTCGCGCTCATCTCGGCCATAGGCCTTATCAGTGCCATGGAGGGTTTAAGAGTTGCTCCTTTCTCCTCTGGTGAGACGTTTTTGTGCTGTTCGCTGTCCACTAACAAGGACGCCAGTGGCAAACAGTTTTATAGTCAGGAGGCGATGAAGGATCATCAGCGTAGAGATTTCGTTCAATGTCAAAGATGGTTAGTTTAACGCTTTGCCCTTTCACCGACGCTCACGACCACAGTAACGCCCGAGTACTCCGCAAGAACTATGGCCGACACCAGAAGACGAAGTCGTGCTATGTGATACCGACCATGGATTCCACACAATAAGAAAACACAAATTGCATTCATCACATCTACTGTATCATTAGTCCTCTAGAGAAGTTTGATAAATATCGTCGCTCACACGAGTATGCTAAAAGCACGTGTCTACTCCCTCTGAGGTGGTGATACCTGGGAACAGATCAAGACTTGCAGACAACCCCCCAAAGGGTACCTACCAGAATCACACCATCGCCTCGCACGTATAGCATTTCGATCTGCCTTTTTGCGACCTGGATTGCTTAGGGATATCTATCACGACGAAAAGAAACTCACTCGTATCGAAGGCTTGACGCCCTCTGGCACTGGGTCCACAATCATCACAGTCTCTTCGACATCGCTGAGGATCATATTCATATGTCCATCATAAGCCTAGAATATGATTTATCGGCGCAAAAAGATCTGAAAGGGTGAAGCATACATGTAAAACGCCTGAGAGCTGTCTGTCGCCTCGCAACTTGACCATGACCCGTTCAGAGAGCGAAAGTCTGATGAGATCAAACGGTTCCTGAATCTCTCCTGAAACTTGCATCCTTCTTTCCTCCGACTAGAACAAGGTGGAAGGTAGGTCAAGTCCAAAAGGGCGGACTTTGTTTGGTCCCGCCACTTGGTCTCTCCTGTGTCGACAATTTGGGCCGGAGATGACACTCTCATTGGACGAAGAAGTACGATTGTACACCTCAAATGCGGAAAGAGAAAAGTATGAATCGATGGCGACGCTCTTTGGAATCATTGTCGCACTCGATTACCTCGAACGCGCCTATGTGCGAGATGCCGTCCCAGCGAGCGAGTATGCACCCAAATGTGTGCAGCTATTGGGGAGATACAAGACAATGTGGGGACTTGTCAGCGGAAAAGAATGGGTTGGTGGCGACGTGGAGGAATTTATGAAGCGTTATCGAGTACGTGAGTGCTAGTGAGAGAGTTACTAGTACATTATTGACCCTTAACGGCTCCAGATGGATAATCAAGCCGCACTGCATCGTTTGCGTGTTGGTGTCCCTGCCACTGTCGAGCACGCCACTCAGAACGAAGCGCAGACTGCGAAATGGGTCGCAGAGACAACTCAGGTGAAATATTCAGTGTCACAATTACTTTATCTGACCTTAAATAGTCGTTTATCAACTTTATGGACGCTATCAAACTCAAGTATCGGGCAAAGGATCAGCTGTATCCTATGCTACAGGAGCTGATGACTGGATACGCTCGATTCAAAGGCAGCAAGGAATGGGAAGGACGTGGGAAGATGGTATCATGGTGAGCTGCGCTCCAAATATTGCAAGCGCCGTCTTACAGATTGCCAAGGTTGATTATGCTCAATGGTATGAAGGCAGCAGATGAACTCGACGAGGAGCAACTACGCCAGCTCATGTTCGATATTGAGCACGCATATGCAGAGTTCTTCCGCAGCCTCGGAGGATCCAAGGACACGCCATAATATGTCAACACAATGGCATACACACGTCCTAATTATGGGACAACAGGTAGCTCTTTGTATGGTACTGATCCGATGATGGAACATAGTAGATGAAACATTCTCCAAGAATAAGCAGGTCGTAACAAATCATGAGCTAGTCCGTGACAAGTTGAACAGATGGCGAGGAAACAAGACTGATTAGCAGGGAACACTTCGGAATTCAACGCCGGGCTGAGGAATTTGACGAGAGGAGGCTCTCAGAGTAGACTTGGCCACTTCATCTTGAGTCCCTCCAGCCATCGCATGTATAGTAACTCCGAGATTGGGCTCCTCTTTTCGTCTTTTGGACCGCTACTGCTTGAAAGATTGGATGTACTTGCTCCTCTGGACCTGGCAGGAGAAATGGGAGGGCGTGGCGGAGGAGACGCTGGAGGCTCGGGTCGTTCTTCGGGATCTTCCTGCTCGATCACAACGACTCCCTTTGGAGTTACTTGAGTATTGCGCTGGATACGACGATGCGGGAACAGCCCGCGAGTAGTTGAGATGTGCTGTCGCACGGCTTGATTACTATTGGAACGTCAGTAGGATTTCCAGACGAGCAAGACCGAAGAACGTACTCGTTTATACCAGATAAGATGTCAAGAACGAGGTTATAAGCTAGCTCTGGATTTGCCTCTTTGAGTTCGATGAAGCCTCGAGAGAGCATGCTTAGCGCTTCGAGCTCTCGTGCGTCCATGTCGTCCCGAATAGACTTGAGAAGGGTGAGTATCCAGCTATGAAGCAGAACAGGCGACGCACGTTCTGGATAGTGGGAATAATGACCTCTCCGACCATGGCCGTTCCTGCTCGCATATGCTCGCTTTGCGTCCTTTTATGCGAGTTCGATGCATTGCTAGTCGGACTAGTTGGGCTAACGGGACTTGCGTCCTCCTTTGCCTTGACACTGCCCACGTAGTCAGAGCTTAGTCGCAGGGAACCAGCCGCATCAACGCGTTTAAAAGGTCGAAGGGTATCGGAGCCATTCCCAAGATCGGCAGCTCGGACAATTGAGCCATTTGGATCGTTCCGTGCCGACCACGACGAACGTCTAGAGCTTTTTGGATGCCTGGATATGCGGGAGGGGGAGCAGAGCTCGCATCTACAGGTGTCTTGGGCTCTACCCCGTTAGTCTCGGTGGAGGCACTTGAAGACCCAGAGGTGATTAGATCGGGTGTGTCTTTTGACGGCGAACCTGGTAAGGGCTACTTGGATCAGCTCATGCGATTGACTAGGGCTTAGCTCCTTACTTTGATCACAACTGTCGAATGAGATGCGCCTTGGTTGATGCCAATGCCATTAGCGCCACCAGATTGTTCACTCCCACTTCCCCGAACAGATGCACTGGAGTAGACGCTGACCTCATCATCGGGAATGGTGCCAAACCTACTTCCATGTCCAGCACCCATAAGATCTTGAATGTTTGTACGAAAGGTGCCCATGGCATCTGTCCGCACAGTGTCAAAACTCCATCCGCTACGAAGTGTCGAATTTGCGCCCCATGTCTCTCGGCCGTTTGCCGTCGCATCAACACCCTGTTGAGCTTGCGCCGCCTTGCCTGGCGAGCGCGCGGAGTAATCTTGATATCGTTCAATGAGCTCAGTGAGAGAACTCGTCTTACGCGCCATCCGAATGAAGCGATGTTGCAGCAAGTCCTTTGAAGAGGGTCTCTGTGACGGATCCTTGGTGAGACAAAGGGAGACAAATTCCTTGAAGGCTGGGGAGAATGGGCCGTCCAAGACTGGTGCCTTTGCCTTTGGAATGAGGAAGAGAACTCGCATTGGGTGATACTCAGCCAATGGAGGCTCTCCCTTGGCCATTTCAATTGCTGTGATTCCTTTTCGAGTGCTTCAGTAAGCGTATTCAGTTTGGCGGTGAGCGTTTGGGCTCACCTAGCGACCAAATATCAGCTTTGTGATCGTAGCCGGCCTGACGAATGACTTCTGGGGCCATCCAGAACGGTGTTCCGACGAACGTATGTCTCAGCGTCGACGATAGCTGGGCCGCGACGCCAAAGTCCGCCAACTTGACTTTTCCGGACGCAGACAGTAAGACATTGGCTGCCTTGATATCTCGATGGATTTTCCCTTCTGAATGAAGATAATCGAGTCCACATAGAAGCTCCCGACATATGACGGCGATGTGGGCTTCGGAGAACACGCCAGGTTTGAGCTGGGTTCTCATTAGCACGAGGCCACAGGAAAAGGCGTCGACCCACCAGGTCCAGACAAGAGCCACCAGCGAGATATTCCATAACTAGATGTTTTGTAAGACGCATTTTTCTTCAAAAACCGATCATGTCCGACTCACTTATCCAAAGTTTGTAGCCTTTTACGAAGCTGCCGTAGTAGCGGGTGACGTACTCGGAGTCACATTGAGCCAAATGTGCAATTTCTTGTTGTATTTCCGTAATATCGTCGTCCGAGTCCTCAAGATCTGGCGGGAGCGCGAGCAGCGCGTCAGTGGCATCGCCCCGGGCCATTTTGCAGCGTTAAACGGACCAATCTGTTTGATAGCGACAATCTGCTTGGACTCGTTGTGCATACTAGACACAGGGTGTGAACATTAGCGGCGCGTAAAGAGGTGGATACCGACGCTTTGTAGACCGTTCCAAAGCTGCCGGTGCCCAGCTTGCTGAGGAGGGTGTACTGGCTCGCAGGATCGCTGTTTGGCATTATCGTAGGCATTATGCGCGAGTCTTCACGGTGCCCAGAGGCAGCGCGCTGGAAGAGGGGCGATTCTGTTCGTGACGGTCGGGGCGAAGGTTGCTTTTCGAGTTTGCGGGGCTAGCAAACGAGAATACACGAATATTAGCTCGTCCTGCGTGTCTTACACCTTTCAAGCAGACGATTTAGAAATGTTGCGTACCATTGGCGGCGAGTCGTGGTTACAAGAGGAGGCACTAACGCACACGACGCGCAGGGGTCAACAATCGATGATAAAGCTATCAATCTCCAACTAAATGGCCGACTTTCACGGTCCAATAGGTAGCCACAACTGGCCGCTGTCCCGCAACGCCTTGAGGTTTCGTCGTGTCGGGGTCGATTGCGTTCCTGGTATTTCGACACGGCTATCCGGGGTCGCCGCTGGAGATTTCTGGACAATTATCCCTACTCGTCAGACCCACAACCGGTGGTGGAACGGTCCAAGATGCAGAATCTCCTCGATCAAAGAAGTGATGCCATCCGGAGTCCGGAACGTCCTGCAGCGCCATTGGAAAGCTAGCGCGCTTCCATTCCCCGCTCGATATTCGTCACTTTATACAGGCGCGTTCTGATTCTTCCAGCCGTTGCTGTGAAGCCGCACTTCGGCATTCGCGATATCCGCAAAGGCACCGCGCGCCTCTGTACGTATTCTTTGCGTCACCGGACATGCTGGGCATTCTTGGTGTCTGCTTTCCTCTTAGTTGAGGGCACGATACCCCGTCGGGCGCAGTATCAGCATACAGTGCGCTCAATCGTGGGGTATCACTCGAGGTCCTGGCTTGTACTTCGAAAGCGTGCCAAACCGACTGAGGGGCCACAGAATACCGACTACTCTGCCTTGCACACAGCCAAGAGGTATCGGCCCATAGTCGTTACTGTCCCTTGATCTGTACCCCTCGTCACCTGCCTTTGGTCAACAATGCTATTCTATTCATGTCATTCTCATTACCTTCTACCCAAATACGCCCTTCCGGTACCGTGACCTCTCGTCGATTACGAGCGTCCCGGGTAATGACCTGACATGGTAAGGGCAAGTATCAGGAGTACGTATGCACCTACACGATCTCCTGGTAGGGCAATGATGCGTTTGACATTGACCTGGCTTGGCTCTTCGACCGAGCTAAGAAGAGGGTGAGGGATGTGCAGAATGATCACAGTATTCTTACCGGATAGACACAACATCTCCACGCTTGAGAGTCTGATATGCGAGGAATGTGACGGGTGTCTTGTTGATGAAGACGTAGTCTCGCGTGGTCGAAATATCTGGATTGAGGGTTGGCTGGCAAGGCAAGCCCGATCAGTCAAGAAGTAGCAATATTTAGTTGCCCTTACCTTCATACTACTCCCAGTAACCTGTCGGATAGCCATTATTTTTGGCGCTTCTGCAAAAAAGACGACTAGACGCGTTGAATGGCCAGATATTGTGAGAGATGTGTGTACCCTGCTTACTTGCTGTGATGAATCCTGCGCGCATCCATTTGGCGCGTCCGATTGCAGCCATGGTCGATTCCAAGTTTGGTCCGTCCAGTTTGTCCACGACCATGTCAACAACCGCCAATCCAATGCTCGTCACAGAGCTCCTTGGCTATCAACCACAACTTCTCCTGGATGAACTTATGTCATGCGTCAACGAAACAATCTACGAAGCCGTCGCGCACGTCGAAAACTTTCTCAACAAATGGATCGATGAAAAGGAAGAAGCGGGCGAAGATGTAGAGAAACTGAGACAGGAAGTAGACTATGTGGGTACATGTACCATGGACTATGACGCGTTCTGCGCGCGTCACAACGTCGCCGCACTCTAAAGACAAGGCAGGCTAACGGTGGCGGTAATCCTAGGGCATGCTTGCACTGCAAACACTACTAGAAAACTATGCAGATCTCGCATTCGACGTCTTTGAGGCATGGTCACTTCGTAATCTCTTCGTCGTCGACGCCCAACTACCGATAGTCGCACCCCACCATCGTGGACTGGATCTTAGCGTACCTGTAGAACGCGAGAGAGAACTTCAGATTGAGGTGGAGACCCTGAGGAGGAAACTAGAGAATGCAAGTCTCCCCCTCGGCAGTTATTCTCACAACCATTGATCTGCTCCCCACAGATGCAACGAGAATATGCAAAGATACGAAGAATGGAGGCACAGACGATGCAAAATCGACGCAAAGCTGAAGCACTGCTGCAAAGCATAAGCTACGTTGATACCACTGCAGCCGAATCGGAACAAGGTTCGTAATCTAGCTCAACTTAGATGATAACTAACCCCACTCCAGCTGCAAAACCACTAGCTCAATTCCTACAAACGCTTCGTGAACTGCGCTCAATACCGGAAACATCAGATCCAAAGGGGGCAAAACCGACTACGAGCCATACAGCATACCTCAAGTGGGCTATCGGAAAGCTCATGAACGAGACTGAGATGGACAAAGTCGCCGCCCGAAACGCAGAGGAACAGGCAAAGGCCATCTTTGACTCGGACGATTCAGCAGTCACTGGCTCCTCTCTAGGAAGACTACCACCAGAGATTGACGAGGACGATGACACGTCCATGAGCAGTTCTTCTACAGACTGATGTTCGGCTTCCAAAATCTCTTGAACCCACGGAGGACGTTCCACATAATAATCAAGTGTATACGATCAATACTTTGTATAGTATGTACTTTTGACTGCTTCTCATTCCGAGTCGGAATCAGATTCCATGTTGATAGAAGGAAGGTCTTCGTCCGATATATCACCAGCGTGCGAGGGTCTATTCTCTCTAGCAGGGACTAGAGCCGAGGACGCCATTTGCAGCCCACTTTGCTGGTGGAATGCCGGTAGAGCGGGAACCACGGACTCAAGCTCTGGTGGCTTTGTGATGAATCCAAAGCTGGCTTGAGACTGTGGCTCCGTGACTTGAGGTAGATTTGAAGTTCCCGTAGTCGGCATGGCGAGCTGATCCATAGATGGTCCTGTTTTCTCGACCCGGGGTATCGCCCTTTCCCCGCCCACATTCGACTCCACTACTACTTCCATTTGTTGTTGCTGTGGACCCTCTATATCCACAGCCGTAACCACAGTTGCTGGTGCGGTGAGGATAGGTTCTGTAGGAATTTCGACGTCCATTCCAAAGCCGTGATCGAGCGAGAGTCTCTCTCTTTCCTCCCTCTCTTCCTTGCCCTCCTCCAGGCGGAACAGCATGAGGCTCTCTGCTTTGGGCAATGGTCTTACGGCAGGCGGCATGCGTGGATGGAGGATTGAGTCGAGTGCATCCAAGCTGAGCTTTGATGTTTTGGCGACGAGGCTCTCAGGATCACATATCGAAAGGGTAGATACGAAGTGATTCGTCCCTCTTGGAGCATGACCGGCTACTCCAAGCAACAAATGGCCCTGAATTTGGACGAGCTTGGCTTGCAGCTGGGTGGAAAAGGCTAGTGAGCCGCCAATAGGCGGGTTGGCGAGCGGATGCGTTGTGAGGTGTAACTGCAGGGCAATTATTAACCGACTTCCCAGCGAATGCAAGGAAGCAGAAAGATATGGCTCTCTGAAGACCCGTTCGAGCACTGTAACAACATGAGCATCTTCATCCCAATGCGAGACACATCGTACCGTCGACACAAAGCAGCACCGTTGTCGCTCGCTCCGGGTCCTCCAATTCGTTGGAATTGTCGAGTGGCCCAAGCAGCTCTTCGCCTTCGTACTGTCGCCCTTTCTTGTTCTTGCGGCTGCTGCCAGGCTCGCCGTTCACAGAGCCCTTGGTCAGTGATGAGTTGATCGATTCTATTGCCTGCTTCTTGGGAAGTAGCGGCGACAGTCGAGGGACGATAGCTCGGAACAGTCGTGCCGGGAGCAGCGTCGAATGTGTGGCGGTATGGTCCAGGACGACTACCAAGTTTGACAAAAGCATATTCAATGTCGCGCTAAAAACTTTAAGTTTGGGACTTATGCCGGACAAACGCTTACGGTGATGGATCTTGTTCGAGATGAAAGGCAAAGCTAGTGAGAATCGAGGTCGCATGGGGAATCAGATTGTGACGCAAACTATCCGCGCATAAGTAGATGCTGGCTGAAAGAGAGACACAAACCTGGAAGCAAGGGTGGCCGCGAGCTTTGCGCCCAGCAAGACAAGCTCCGGGGAAATTTGTCTCTCCAATTGCATGAGGATTAGGTCACGGGTTTGGGATGTGTTAGGACCAATGGAGTGGAGGAGATGTATGCACAATCGAGCCAGCTCTGCAACCGGTACAAGAACAGCTCTCGCAGGATTTGCGCTAACAGGTCTCAACAATGGCTACAAGAGAAGAGACTATTCACACCTGAGCATGGCCTCCATCACTTTGACCATATTAGATAGCCGTTTGTATGCGATGCATACAGCCACCAAGGGATCTTCAGGCAATGAGGGAAGGGTGAATGGCTTCTTTACGGGGGCACGCTGAACAGCTATCAAACGTGGTTAGCGGCATAATTATCGGAGCAAAGGGCTTCACCTTTTCCAGTTATATGCTCTAGACAGTGCCACGCCTCTGCGAGGGTGGCATCCAGTGTTGTTCGCCAAGCTATCGGCGCACCTACTTTCCCGTCTAGTCGATGCATAGCCGCGAGCAGATGAGCAGCTGAATCGACTATAGACAGAGAAGGGCATCCATATTGCCAGCCAAGTGCGGAGTGACAGCGGCGAGAATGGTCGACCCTAATGCCCGGTGCAAGGTCGGGAACCATTGAATAAGGCTGGATATAGCATTCATTATCATAACCTATTCGATTTGAGCCTTTGGTGATTAACGATTTTTGTCCTAACCTTTAAACTGTCATCCGCTTTGCTAAGGAGCTCGAGCAGGGCGGTTGTAAGCTTTGGGACCGTAGGGGTAGAGACCTGTCTTCTAAACTCTGCAAGGTGTGTTGTGTTCACAAAGATGAACACCAGTAGGTCTATCGAGGCTTTCCAGATTGCATGCGGTTCTGTTTTCTACAAACAATTCAGAATAGAGAGAGAGACATTCAGAGTCTCAGCGCACCGATAGAAGGGGCAGGGTCAAATTAATCCAACGCTGAGCATACTCTGTCAACAAATCTTTGCGAAAGTGGCCGGTTTTTCGTGCAATGCATATTCCCGCCCAGCGGGCTCCGACGTCTTTTGATTGCATGAGGGACATGATCCTGTTCATCCATCTGTTTATTTGAGCTTGCGAAGTCCCCGTCGTTGTGCCAGATTTGGAGGTTGAAAAATGTAAAGGTGAAAGCTGAGACAAAATAGACGGAAGATAGACGACTGAGAGCGTGTCTGAGGACAATTGAAGCTGCAAGATGGATTCTAGCCCATCTTCGTGATGCATGCGGATGGCGGCAGTTTGTCGATGGTGGCAAAGGTCAAGTTGGTCTCCGTCTTGTTGGGGATAATTCTCAAGCATCAAATAAATGCGCCCAAGGGCTTCAAGGCACTCTGAACAAACTTATGGTAGCTTTAGCGGCATGTAATTTCGTCTGCTCCTCGGCAGGCAGGATCCGAACAGGCGGCTCGGAGGCAATCCGTACTTTACACGGGGGGTTCAACCATCTCCAAACACTCGTTTGAATACGTATAAAAACTACAATACACAATGGGATAAGTTATATTCATGCCGACGACTGGATGACTTCTGCAATGGGCGTGTCCAGTGAAATGGCTTTTTCGAGAGCCTCCTCACGACTCTGGAGCTCCTCTTCGTGTTGCTACACGGTTAATTAGTCTCTCAATTGCCCTCCATGACCAAAGGGTACGTACCTTCTTCTTCGCCGCGAGCTTCATCTTGAAGTAATCCTTGTGCAGACCGCACTCCGTTTTGTCACGACCTGCCCAGCGTCCAGCACGCTCCCCAGCGTCGCCTTCGCCGCTCTTTTGTGTGCTATGCCAATCGCCAACCGACTTGTAGCCCTGGTCAAGAAGTGCGTTCCGCGGGACATTGTGCTCATCGATGTAGGCTTTGACCTGCGAGAATGACCAAGAGACAAAAGGATTGAGCTTGAAGATGCCCGTGCTGTCAATCTCGAGTGGCTGAAGTGTCGCCCGCGCTGCACCCTGCGAGGCTCGTCGGCCGGTGATGATCGATCGGACACCTAGCTCTCTGTATGCACGTTGGGCAGGCTCCACCTATGGCCGACGAAATTAGCCCCATTCACCAGACTGTGGGGATCAGACGGCTCACCTTGACGGCATAGTCGTATACCTCCTCACTGACCTCCCACAGCCTTTCGCCGTATTTGAGCTCAAAGTCTTGGATGGTTTCGCATCCTTCGGGTCTGTATACGGCAATTTGGATGCCATATCGGTTCCGTACTTGTTCGACAAGGTCAAGCGTCTCCTGGAAGTGGTAGAGAGTGTCGAGGAAGATGAGAGGTGGCGGAGATGAGGTCATTTTGGACAGCATATCGATGCCAACCAGCCCGGTGAGCCCAAAGGCTGTAGTCTGGAAAAGACCTGGGAGATGGTCGACACCCCATTGGAGCACCTCGTACGGTGTCAAAAGGGACAAGTGAGCATTGATGAGTGCCAGTTGCTCCTCTGGGATGGGACCCTGGAGCGAAATATCGACGGGGGTAATTTCGACGGGCATTTTTCAGATGGGTGGCAGAAGAGGTTGAGATGGGGAGAAGATGACAGTTTTCGTGGAAACGAGCCGTAAAACGGGCAGGTTCTTATACGTCGCCTGCTCGCTAAGCTGATCTATCAGCCAGATTGCGTGCTCGACAGTTTTCTATAGCCCGCCTTTTCACCGACCACTCCCCAAAAAAGGCCAAGAAAGAGCACTGAAAGCATATCTATACATGTTATCACAACCAATCGTATGCCGGGCTCCCCCGCTCAGCTTACTCAAACCCACACTCTTCGGTGGCAGTCCTCCTCGGTTATATAAACTCATCTCAAGAGCTCTCTAAGCGTTGCCGACATTCGTCAGTAACTAGCTTTATGGCGTAGACGTCAGCGCTATTTGGAGCTCTTGGCTGTTTGCTTCCCCCGAGACCAAGAGTATTAACTTGAATTGATAGATTGCATAATGTAGCCGTGGTACAAAAGGTATTTTTTGGAACAAGTAAACCTTCCCCTTCCCCCTTGTTATCGCTCTAGACTTGCGCGGCGTGTGGTGGAGGGGATTGGTACGTCTGAACGGGTGACCCATATTGCGCTGGGCCCTGATTTGGGTATGGTGACTGATACGGCTGCTGTTGAGGTGGATACTGACCCGATGGAGGGCTGTACAAAGTTGGAGGCTGATTTGGTGGATATCCACTTGAAGGAGACGCAGAATGGTTGTGAGCCATCCTGGGATCTGGATTGTACCCTCCAGGAGCTGTCGCTGGCGGCGGAATCTTGGGCTCGCCGCTGTGGGTGTGCGTAGGCGAGAAACTCAAGTCTGAGACTGGGCTGAACCAGACCCTCTTATGCCCCTTCATCAAAGCAAGGATGGCGAGAGCGAGGGTAACGATCACATAGGTTTTGACGAGAAGCCAGTTGAGCCAGGAAAAGGCCTGAAGAGCCGAGTATTGGCGACAGAGGGATTCGAGTGCCGCTGGGAGGAGTGTCAGAGGGGAAAATGAAAAGAAATATCGTGCACATACAATCGAACGAGAATGAACTGCAGTCACCGAGGAAGAGGCCGACAGAGGTCGAGAGGGCTGCCGACGCTGATTGGCAAATGTCAAAACTCTCCTGGAAGAGTGAGAGAGAGGGAGACTTACATAGCCAAAGAACCCAGAGAATGCCCATGATGGGAAGCTCGACGACAACCCAGGACATTAGGGCACCCCTGCGAAGCAAATCGATGACAATCCTGATACCCATCAGTCCCTGTGGATTCAATAGCCCGCCCGAAGTTACTCACATTGGAACCACAGCGAGTATTGTCAAGACCGAGACCGCAACAGCAAAACCGGGGAACGACCATTGGTCTCCAAGTTTATCCACCAAGTTTGCAGCGAGACCGAGGGTTATTAAAGAGAAGAGTAGAGTCGTCCCTTTGTCATATCGTCAATCTTTGGGGCCATTCCAAACTCGAACCACCCGAAAACGTACCAAGGAGGATGAGACGGAGCATGGCAAAGAGATGCATGGTGCTTTTTCTCCTTCACGAGTCGTTTACACACAAGCTTGTTGCCTCCTACGAGTGAATCTGAGGCAGTTGCACTGGGATGATTGTGGTCAGGAGACAAGTTCTAAGCGCCAAGGAAGATTCTAGCCCCTAGGCAGCGGAAAGGCGCAAAACGTAAGAGGGCAACTTTAGCAAATCCCGACTTTTATATATATTTAGTAATACGCTCTATCAAAAGGGTTGCGCGAACTGGCGTAGCAACGAATGACATGCGCCCGGCCGGCCCAGAATACAAACGGAATTCCATAGCCGCACCAATGGCTGTGGTGGTTGACATCCAGCACCATTCGAGCCACCTTGCTTGGCGTCGCGAGAACAAGGGAACTGAAGGGTAGATCCTACAGTGCCTCCGATACCGAGGTACTGCGTCGCATGAGCGTGCACTAGCCCCAACTGTTCCAGATGAAGATCGCATGAGCTCTTGGATGTCAGATGAAACATTTATTCCTCCCGTTTCCGCCGTTTCAGAATCTAGTTGCCGATTAGAAATTACTAAGCGGCTAGAAGATTGCATACCTTGGGTTCATCCTCATGGGGAGATCGTCTACGCCGCTGAACGTCTCCAGGCGATTGCGGCGACCCAACCTCCGCCCCACTAACCATTTCCACGTCACCATCCTTGTCTCTTTGTGTGTCTTGTTTTGAAGAATCCCATATGCAGATCTTTCCATCCTCTCCACCAGTAAACAGCACTCCCTGCGGCATTGGACTCAGTCATGGAAAGGCGTGGAAAGGATAGAACATTACCTCCTTTGTCCAGCATACTGAACGCACAATATCAGAATGACCATTCTTCAATATTCGCTCGATGGTCCATTTCGAGCTGTCTGAATGGCTCAGACGAAGGAGAGCAACATCGCCTCTGCCATAAATGGTGAGTTAGGCCTCCGTTAAAGTGCAAAGAGACTCACTCGTTTGTCCCACACCACTTCAGTAGCCCACTCTCGCCCCAAGGTCTCGCATCGCCTCGATGCTTGTCCACCCATTTGACATCAATCACATAGTCCGTCTTCCACTGCTCTGGACTCGAGCTCTGCCGAACGTCGCCATATTCGCGGACGGGATCCAGCTAGAGAAATTCTGAATAAAAGCATCGAGGAAGCCCAAGAAGACTGACCTCTGCGGACCAGAGGCCCATCGTCTCCATGTCACTCGTACTCCATATTTTGGGGATATTTGACCTGTCTTGATGTTCACGAACCCTCAACCCATCACCTGGGATCCATCCGCAACGGGCGACGGAACATCCCCAGTTGGCGACGTGCTCGACAGCGTCCTCATCTTCATCTTCGTTTGATTCGTCCATGGTGGGGTTGAGGACGTTTTGTAAATTGGTAAGCGAGAGGAGACCATCGGTGCTGCCCGAAAGAATATGTCGACTGTCAGAACTCGACGAAGACAAGTCGGGGTCGAAATGCAAGCTGGTGATGTCGTCCGAGTGGGTGGATGTATGAGTCGCCAGCGGTTGTTTTGGATTACGAGGATCCCTGCTGTTGTCAGATTGTCGGCGCGAACAAGGTGCGCTCACCAGAATACGATCGATGCGTCTTCACCATCCTTTTCTGTCCCAGCTATGACCGTGTTACCGTCCGGAGACACATCCATGCTGAGAAAAGGCCGCCTATGACTCCATTTTCCTGCAATCGAACAATGAGTCATAGTGAACAAGGTCGTATAGACTAACATACCCTTGAGAATGAGACGTGCGCTTGGTTGGGTGCGCATGTCGCATTGAATAACTCTACCATCCGTTCCTGCCGACCAGAAGGTTGATGGATCCGAGGTATTAACAAGGGTCGATGTTCCAGTTCCATCTTGGTGTGGCTTGAACGTTTGAATCCGGCGTAATGGCTGCTGGAGGTTGGACGCCGCCGCGGTTGCATCTAAGAGAGCGATACAATCTCCTGGTGAGGAGAAAACTGCGAGGAGTGACGAATTGGCAGAATTATAGTCAAGACAGGTAACATAAGGTTGATCTAAAATCTTTCTGCTCAGTAAAAGCGATCGAAAGTGGAAGGAAGCATACTGTCACGAGATCCTAAAAGGGGATTCTCATCGATGTAAAGGGGTGTGGCTGGTCTTTTCGAGTTGGCCCCAAACTTGAGTCGGAAGGTGGGCTCCATTCTTCGGATCCACACTTGTATTGCTCACATGGGATTATTTCCCTTACAATCCGGAGTACTTGGGGCGTATTGATACTCCGTCCAGGCTATCCAAAGCCAAGGTCGAGTATGGCCGCGGCACTTACTGCCTACTAGTCGATTGTATACAAAGCGCGCGTCAAATGCATATTGGCGTGGGACGGAGATTCATTCGGGTTTAGGGAACCGCTGTTAGCGACAACTAAGCAAGTCGGCGCTCCGTCCTGACGTAGCGAGATTGGGGGATACGTCAAACAGTCTCGTCTAGCAACCAAACTCTCCGCGCCCTAGCCATTTCCGGAGCAGGGAGTAAACCCTATCCAGATATATCCCCGTCTTATGAACCATGGCAGGCATTCCCTAGTATCCAGCCCTTCCCAAAGCGCTGTTTTCTGGGAAACCGACTCTATTGCGGCACCGGATGTTCTCCGCCCATCGCGGACCTGAAGCTTTCGCAGGCAAGTATAATCCTGGTGATTTCGTGCGAATTTCATATGAATAGGCGTGCCTGGCCGTGCTCCCTCTTCAATTCCCTCAAAACGCACCGCCGACCCACCATCTTGTCCCCTTCCTCTTCCTTGTTTTCTACCTCTTGTACCACTTTCTCGCACAAATGAAGGCCCAAGCGACACAGTTTTCAGCTCCGCCAGCCGTTATTTCACTCATTCTTCCAACCTTTATACCCACTCTCCTTCGTTTTTGCATCCGCTTGGAGAACAAGGAGTTGGAGACCTGGATCTCGACATCCCTTCTATCCAGAGATATTCTCTGATCAGCAGAGAATGGAAAGAACAGTGTCAACGACTTCTCTTTCACAATTTAGACATGGGTACCATGCGCCGCTCGCCGAGACTTCGCGCCTTCCTCAAGAGCTTTCCTGCTGCCACCACCGCAATTCTGCCGCAGACGTCGGATTCAAGTGAGGCTAAGGAGGGCGAACGGCCACCCAGTCCGGACGCAACGCTCATCGGACATGCGTCTTCTTCACACCACGGCCACGGCACGCTCAAGGAGAGAGTAAACGCATACGTAACAAGTAGATCTCTTCAAACATCTCCCTCCGGCTTAGCTTTACCCACCTATGTCCGCATTCTCAGCCTCTCCATTGGCCATAGCTACACAACCCATATCCAAGCCACCGAACTCGCAGACATTCTTTCCCTATTTCCCTTTCTTTACGAGCTTCGCCTCTCTATCGAGGGCAACCCACCCGCCTTGCCGGCTCGCGCTCTCCAGCAACTCGAGCCCAACCCATCTGGTGGCGGAACACCACCGATAGAGGCCCTTCGGATCACATTAGGTCCATCACTGGAGAATCCAGAGATTCTCTATCAACTCTTGTCTGTCCCTTGGCCTATCAAGTTTCTCAGTATCACCCAGCCGAACCGCTTGCCTGTTCTCCCTGGACAAAGACATGATGACCCAAAGAGCATCATCTCGAAACAAGTGCTCGATACGCTTGCGCCACCGACCTATAAGCTGCTCGAATATCGAACAGACGCCTTTCCGGGATGGCAGGCCCTCTTCGAATGGGTCACACTCTTTGCAGTTCAGACGATTAATACTCTTGTCGTGCCGCCATGCCCACAGAGCGAGACTCTTAGACTACTCGCCCCACAGCTCCAAAGCCTCAGCTTGATTTACGAACCCGGAGTAACCCAAGAGGCTTTTGAAGGAATGGAAGATTTTCCAAAGATGCCAGAGCTTCTTGAACTCAATTTGGTCAACGCTACTCTTCAAAAGGGATCGCGAATTTATCAGAGCATCCCCATGAGTGTCGAGTCCTTTAGCATGACACTTTCTGCGCGTGGTGAGTTTCACTCTACAACCTCAGTCACATTCATTGACGTAGTATCCAGGGAGGAACAATATCCGAACGATCCTTGAGATTTGTCCTACCATTCCGATGCGTATGGAAAAAGTCACCGTCTGGGCTGAGCCACCGAACCTCGCATCCGTGCGTGGTACCGGCCACCGAGGTCTGATGAGTGGCTGGGAGTCAATGGTGGGAGAGTACCGTAGCATGGATGGGCGACTAGAAGTGAAGAAGAAGATTGACGATGTAAGGCGTTTTTTTTGTTCACGTCTTGATTTACGACTAACGCGCGCGTTACCTCGGTTAGCTTCCTTCCATGATCCCATTCACTTCGATTCACACGAGTCGGTACGACCCGTGGGTGAGCAAGCGCTACATGGACCGCGCGGTAAAGGACCGCCCACTCCCTGCCCCTCGGACACCGCCCGCGTCGGCACCCCAACTCCTCCGTATGCTCTTTCCTTGTTTATTCCCCTCCCTTGCTTCCTATTCATAAACATTTTGTTCTTCTCCTGCTTGACGCCACAGGCCGAGCCACGCTCGCCTCTGCGTCTATTTATTCCTATTTATTCTGCCGAAATATGCGTGGGGAAAAATACTCTTTTGTTCTATCCGTTGTTTCATATTCATATACTTTTTGGTTCACCCCGCCACGCCTTTTTTTTTTTGCCTTTCCTCGTTCAGTTTGACAAAAGTATCTCATCAAAATCCCCTTTGAACATTCTAGGTCGCTTGCTCTCTACGAGTGGAACACGACTCGGCCGTGCGCTTTCCCTCTCGCGCGACAAACCCGGACAAGGCCTCTCAGGCATTGCAGGTTATAGGTCCCGTCGACAGACCGTGAATACCCCAGCGCCAGCAGCGGCACCGGTATACACTTAGAATTTGAATAGCGATGCCGAGCACCCACTGGATCACAACCTATCCTTTCTGAGTATACCCTTGGTCGGAGATAGATCTCGTACTTTCCAGCAGTCATAGATTAATAAGATGGACGACGTATTTTAGATTATGGGACAAATTCTACATATGGTCCATACGTTTTCTGCTTTTGCATTCGGCTTCGTGGAAGAACCGCTAGGAATATGCAGTGACTCGAGCCGTGCCTTGTTTATGACGAGAACATTGGGAGCGGTAGTTGGTACGCTCCTCGATGAGTTCAAGGCAGTACCATCCCGAAAGAGCACAATCGTCGCATCCACGTAGGCTATCCATGAGTCAGTTACATGCAAGTCGGTGATACACTTGGACTTACGAAGGTGACCGACGCGCCCTTTCTGACAGGATAGGGTACTTGCCGGCTAACGCCTCTTGCATTGGTCGTAAGATGGAGGGATGAGGGAGTGCAGGTAACGATAGACATGCCAACGGACGCGGGCGTTTGGACCGTTCTTCTTGTGATAAATGGAGAGTCATATTTCTCCGGGCGAGTAGCTCCATGAGTGGTGGCCAACTCGGGTAATCATCCGTCATAATTTCGACAAGGTGGGGACACAGCCCACCATCCAATCCACGCTCGGCTGTACCGTAATGGAGCATGTCTTTGACCAGAATGTCCACTAGGATTAAATCGTTCTGGAATGTCCTCGGTAACGAAAATTTTTCGACCTTACTGAGAGCTGGGAGAATCTCTTTGAATCCCGCCACGGACGGGAAGAGAACCTTGGAGATGCAGAGGTCGAGATGGGTGATATTCGTAAGCAGCGATGTCGGATAGGCACGTGCGCCGCGGTGAAGGAGGAATTTGTCGAGGTGAATCCGTCGCTGTGTAAAGTGTAGCATCCCTCTTTGTGTGGATTTTTCCTGTAGAACACCCATAGGGCGGAGTTCTCTGAGGTTGGGAAGGACAAGGTGATCGAGGACGCCCAGTGCATCGTGCATGATAGCGAGATCCCGAAGATTCGTGAGCGCGATTACCTCCCCGGTGATATAAGCGGCAGACAATTTGCTTATCTGAACAGCTTCGAGCTCCAGCGCCCTTAAATCAGGAGTGCGCTGGAGGAAGCTGTAGAATACAGGAAGGGAGAGGGCGGAAGTGTCAGACAGCTTGAGTGTCTGCAGTTTCGGGCAAGTCATCGTTCCAAGAGCGACGTTGCATGCCCCGCCATTTGCGCGCAAGGAACGTAGTCTGCCAAGTGTCAACGAGTCTGAGCTCAGAGCAAGCTCGACATCTTTGGCTTTGATCAGGCCCTTTGTGCGCTCCACGAGTAGGTCCTCAACGGACTCAAAGTGGCAGAGAGTGCGGTACCAGTCAAAGGAGGCTTGGTCACTTCGAACTGTCACATGGTTTGCCCTACTAAAGAGCTGTAGTAGCATGTCAAACGTCTGCTGACTACTACTGTCTCCATGTTCGATAGCCTCTGCTGAATGTGTCAAATGGAAAGCATCAATGTCAAGGGGTTTGGCCACATCCAGCCTTGAAGGCGACGGTACCCCATAGAGTGTAAGTGCAAACTCTTTGAGTTTATTTGCACCTGCAATCCTTTGATAGAACGTGGGTATCTCCTCGGCGAGGAGGAGCGCAGATAACTTCTCCAGATTCTGGCATTGAATCCGATCCAATAATGGCATGCATAAATGCGATTGTTCGATGTACATCTCTCGTAACTTGTCGAGAGGGATTGGCTGAGAGGTGGATGATTGACCGGTTACCGTCCCAATCGTTGGTCGCCGCTGTGCGAGGAAGCGCAGATAGACGAGGGCACGAAGCTCGCCGAGAAGTGCCATGAAAAGCGAAAAGTCGATGAAGAAGAGGTTAACGGTAAGATGGGACATGATGAGCGGTTTGACGCTAACATTGTCCAAGGTACGACTGTCGGAAAAGAGGTTGCTCCACAGCACAGATGAACCTGCAGCTGCAGTCTTGATCCGGACGTCGATGGACTCGAGCAACGGAAACTCGCGGTTCTGCAAGAAGTGCAACACGACAGGCGCCTCGCGCATGCGTAATGGGAATCTGAATATGTCTTGATCAAGTTCGTTTCTACTGCTGACGATGACAAGAGTCTTCCAGCGCTCCAGGTGGCCCTTGGCGGCGATTTGGTCCAGTTCGTCCAACGAAAACGGAAACTGAAGCGTCACATCCAGAGGTCTATCTCGAGACTTTTCGCATTGTACCTCCAAGCACTCCAGCCAATTGACATTACTGGACGCGACTTCTACACGCGTCCAGAGGTCTGCTGCGATTGTGGCCATGATACTCGCCCAGCGTGTGCATACGAGGGAGAGCACAAACGGCGCATTAGTATTTACATCCTTGTCGTAGCAATAGTCGTGAAATATTTGGTGAAGTAGCTCGGCAGGAAGCGCGGCGAAGCGGTCGTTGCCACGGGTGAGCTCTTCGGCTCTGTCGACGAGGTCATTATACGACATGTAGTTTGGTAAGGAATGTGCAGAGTCCGTGGTTGTTTGAATCCGATCCATCAGAGTCCTTGCCTCTGCGTGAACATCCTCCATAGTTTGGAAGCGGGCGGATTGCATCTATAACGTCGATGAGAGAAATGAGATATTCAGATGAATAATAACATACTATTACTTTTGTCAAACTCCGACGGGTAGCCACCTCGTGGAACAGGTCCAAGCCTCTTCGACTCCGTCACTCCTTTGAATCCCAGAGCGAGGCCCTGTTGTACTACTCTACAAATTCCGATAAATCCAGCGACGACAAAACTCGCTGTGAAACGCCATTTAGACCCTTCCGATGGTTCAAAGGAGCTCTAGGCGGCACAGACGACAACGGCGTGATGGACAAGCACCAATAATCGCGGTACTGCTAGCATCTGCACTCGCTGCTAATGCTGCAGCTCCTCAGGTCGACTTTGACCGTATGGGAAAGGTTGCCGTTGCGGGCTCGTTTGCAGGTCTTGACCTCTACGATTCTCAGCAGGCCTCGTCCTCATCGTTCGATCCATCGACATCCACAATCTTCCTCCGTGGAAAAGAAGGTGGTCTAACGCCAATTGGAGCCACAAACGCCGGTGGTTTGGTCACAACAGGCTGCGCCCTCGGCGACGATTTCTACTTTGGAGGTTCCTTCAGCTCTGTGGCCGGTCAAAATGCCGCTAATATCATCTCCTACAACCCCTCATCCCGAAAATTTACAGCTCTGGCAGGCGGAGGTCTCGACGGGCCCGTTGAAGCGCTTCATTGCGACTCTTCAGCTAAAACAGTTTGGATCGGAGGTCGTTTCCGCGGGCCCTCGTCCGGCGCAACAGGCTATTCTGGCTCTGTTGCTGTGTATACCCCTTCCAGCAGTAGCTGGTCTCCCCCGGGCTTTGGTGGACTGGCCGGATCGGTGGCCTCCATAGTCTCAAACGCGGACAGTTCCTCTCTCCTTTTTGGCGGTTCATTCATAACTTCTTATCAATCTGGTTCGACAACAAATAATAATAATACGGCTGTCAGCAACCCAAATGTTCCCCAGTCGTCTGGTTCCACTCCCTTCTCTTCATCTCTTGTTCCATTTCCCCTCTCCAGCGCAGAGATTACCGCGGGTCCCTCGTCCTCTCGCCAGGGACTTGGAGATGTCACCGCAATCCTATGTCCAAACGGTGCAGATGGCCCTGGGAATACTTGGTTCGCTCGCGAAGGTTCATTCACCTCTATCACCATCCGTGACTTCAAAGCTCTCATGGCAAGAGGAATTCGGCTTGGCAACACCTTTTTTGACGGACAGAGTACCAAAACATTCTGGTATGTACTAAACCGCCCTATATGGCTCCGTCTAATATATTCGCAGCCTCACCGCTTTGCCGAGCAACGAGGTGTTGACTCTAACCTATAATGTTCCTGGAACCTCGGAGACTCGGACATGTTCGGATGATTGCCCGCTCAGCACGGATTCCTCTGTTGCCTTCCAGGATTTCCTGTTCGATGGGAGTACCATCTTTGGAGTCCAGCTAAATTTGAAGGAATGGACGGGTGCTGGCTCCGGCCTACATCTTTTGCAACTCTTATCGGATGGTACGTCTTTGTCCGCCCGTCAGAGTTTTTTTTAACCAACCTCTTTCTCAGGTGCATTTGCTCCCGCTATTCCGTCCAACAATGGCGCGTCTTGTTATGCACCGGGACCATCAGACGTGCAAACGTCTGGCACATGGACTCGTGCCACCGTCAATACGGAGATTCCGGCGACGGTACAGACGGTCCTCACAAGCACCGTTGCTGTTGGGTCGGGAAGCAGGCCATCTATCACGTGGGATGTCTATGCATCAGCCTCTGGTCAATACGAGGTGTACCTTCTCATTCCAGGCTGCGTGAACTTGGCCAACTGTGACAGCCGCACTTCTGTCGATGTCACAATCAATCCAGGAGGCTCCATGTCACCCGTTACAAGGACCATTTCCCAGCAAACAGATCGAGACTCGCAAGAACTTGTCTATACCGGACCACTTGTCCCCACCACCCCAGACTACACTGTCACGATCAAGATGGAACTCGCTGCGAGTCCGACTGGCCAAGGACCGGGAGGGCAATACACAATTGTTGCCGATCGTGTGGTTCTAAAGCTGGTTTCAACGGATTTGTCGTCCGATGGCACTACAGGTGGCGCTGGAGGCAACCCCACGGGTTCCTCTCGACGTGGGTTCGGCATCTACGAATGGCCCTTGCGCAACAGCCCCAGCAATGTCAACGCAGCCAGTGTTATGCCAAACAACACCGAGACATCCCTGACTACTGCCGCCTTCAACCTCTTCGCGGGATTGGGCAATTCGACGTCTAGTGCTTCCCAAGCAAGCATTGACTCAATTGTTCCCTTTAATAGCGACAGGACGTTTATCGGTGGAAAGTTCAGGCTCTCGGATGGGACCGAGAACGTTGCACAGTTTAGCGGCGGAAGTCTTACCTCGCTTGCGAACAAGGGCGTAGATGGCACTGTTCATTCCATGGTGCTGTACGGAAATACGCTCTTTGTCGGTGGATCCTTCAATAAGACAGCAGATGGATCGACAGACCTCAAGAATATTGCTGCCTACAACGTTGCAAATAACCAATGGTCATCATTAGGTGGAGGCGTGGATGGTCCTGTGTCTTCACTTGGAGTATCGAATGGCCACATTACAGTTGTCGGCAACTTTACGCACACTCTTGTCACATCGAATACGGCCCTCAGCGCATCTGGTTTGGCGACTTGGAATGTCGCAGGCTCAAGCTGGATCAACAGCGGTGGTCTCCTCGTTGGAAAGATGTCGACCGTTGTCAATGCCACGACAGGCAATGATAGCACGGAATACATCGCTGGTTCAGTTTCTATGTACCTCAAGTATGGGGCTGATGGTGCTGCGTCTCTCAGCAACGGCGAGAATGGCCAGGCGGCGATTACTCCTCTCGGTGCGAGGTTGGACGGAGCCACAACTTCCTCAGCCAGAGCCAAACGATGGGCACTAAATTTCCGTAACATCTTGGCATCTAGACAGAGTACCGGTAGTAGCCTCCCAGCTGACCCAACTGCACCTGCACCGTCTGTCCTTAGCGGTGTATTCTGGACCAACACTACGTCGTCACATCAGGTCATGGTCATTGGCGGCAATTTCACCGTGCCAGGAACTTCCATCACCTCGCTGGCTTTCTACGATCCCGCCGACGACAGTGTCATTGGAGTCCACGGGAGCCAGGTCAACGGCATTGTGAGATCGCTTTTGATTGTCGGATCTAAACTCTACGTTGGCGGAGATTTCGCGCTTCAAGGGGTCAACGGTCAAAGCTTCGCCGTTTATGATCTTTCCAACCAGGGATGGGACACAAACGTGGCAGGAATGAATGGTAAGAATATGTTGCCGAGCATCTATATCATATTGATTTATTTATAGCAGCGTCTGGTCGACCTGTGGTCCGCTCAATCACCACTGTCTCCGATTCATCCTCCGCGGTCATTGTCGCTGGTTCGTTCTCTGGAGCAGGTGAAACTCAATGTAGCGGAATTTGCTCGTTGGATACCAATTCAAGAGCCTGGTCAAGCCTCGGGTCTGGGGTTAGTGGAGACGTGGAGACTGTTTCGTATGCAGGTGTAAGTAAACCGACGTTTTCATTGGAGCGTCACTCACAGCATGCCAGGGCAACGCGGAGATTCTGCTCGCAGCCGGAGCGCTCAGTCTAGCAGGCTCTCAGGTCTACATGGCGGCATATACCTCACAAAATCAGTCTTGGTCTGCAGTCGGCACCCTGCCAGGACCCGTTACTGCACTTAGCGTTGACGACCGCAACCAAAGCAGCTTGTTCGCGGCTGGAAAGACATCATCTGGATCATACATTTCTCACTGGGATGGTTCTCAGTGGAATGCTATTGGTAAGAGCATTATGCGTGAGATTATCCGTGGCTAAATGAGTCCCAGATCTTCCCCTAGCCGCGAGTTCGAATATTACCCAGCTTGAGATGGTTCCGCTGCAAGAAGATCACGATGCAAAATCGATGATCGAGTCCAATCGCATGCTCTGGATCTCGGGATCACTCGCCGGTTCCAATTTTACGCACGCCTCGTCTGCCTTGTACGATGGACAAACTCTGTACCCATACTTGGTCACTTCGACTGTTTCTGGGGATGCAGGTTCTATCTCATCGTTCTTCCACTCCTTTTCCACTTTCAGTTTCGCTCGTAGAAGTAAGCCTTATAGCATGGCGCCTTTTCTTCACATTACTCACATACAAACTAGAATTCCTTGCAGTTGGCGTTGTTATTCTCATCTCCATCGCGCTTGGTGCCGGTATCGTCTTCCTTCTGGGTTTGATCGGTATACTCTGGGCGCTATTCGCTAGGAGGGAAGATCGTAATATCGGCCAAGACACCATGACAGAGGACGACGATAGCGTTCGACCATCCTCAATGTTGGCTCACGTTAATGCAGCTGCCCGCAATACCATCATCGGCTCGCCCAAGGGTGATTACTATGCTCACAAGGGAGAGGATACGATCGTGGATGACCCCGTCCGTCCCTCGACTGCGGGCTCCCATATGGGTGCCGATGTCGCCGCAGGAGCTGCTGTCGGGGCAGGAGCCGCCGCTATGGCACATCATAGCTTGACACCCGTCACCACCACCGACGAAAACGATGTCAATCGGCCTGCACAGGCCCGCTATTCGTTCGAAGGGACGGGTGAAGGCGAGCTTCCTCTTCATACCGGTCAACAGGTGACTGTGCTAAACGATCAAGACGCAAAGTAAGTTTATCCAGTCTTTGGTAATGTGTTATACTGACATCCTGCTAGTTGGTGGTATGTTCGTGATGACGCATCGCAAAGGGAAGGCATCGTTCCTAGCTCATAGTGAGTTGTTTTGGTGTGAAGAATTTCTGATTGCTAACGACTCGTAGTCTCGTGTGATTCCGGTCCCGCCTCACTTCTTGGCCTTTAGACATGCTTCATTCCCGAGAACAGTCTCCTCGATTCATATTCTTGTATATTCATTGCATCCGAGCATTATTAAAGACAAGATATTATGCACCTCTCGTTTGTACATTGTGAAAAAGAATTTGTCGTGCGTTGTGGTAGACGATACGAAGCACAGCAAGCGGAGGTAAGATATCCTACCGGGGGTGAGTCTTATAGTTCCGCACCCTGTTACACGTACCTTGAAAGCCAATCTCAGTTTGAGATCCAGTTGGTTCCTTTTGAAGGACGATGGCCGTTGGAAGATGGCCAGGTAGTAGTACCAGCTCCAGCGATGAAGTCCTTCATTGATAAGAATGTCATGTATGTCTTCCAGGGGTATGAATGCGCGAGAAGTGAATAGTGGCTGGGTGAAGAAGGGCATGCTGATGCCTCGGGCTGTCTCAATCTGAAGTCCGAGATCCGGAAGAACAACAAGAGATTCTGCAAAAAATCAGACACAGATACTGGTGGGCGATAAACATACCCCATAGCAGCTGCGTGCACATCGCGTGCGCCAACATTACGAGAAGCAGGCCTCCGACGAGAGGATACTGTCGTGTTTCGTCAGTCACACTCTCCCATGGCCCCTGGTACGTACATGGAGCACAGTCCAGATGTATATCGAGACGGAAAAGTGTGACACGTCTCGCAGCGAGACACCATAGCGTCGTCGAAGGCGATTCGACCCGTCCTTTGTGAGAGAACAGTTATAGACGCGGTATTCAATAAATAGCGGTAGATTATCGATAATTTCAAGCTCGGGGTGCGCGTCCGAAAGCGGCCGCATACATCGAGCGACAAGGCGGAATCCAAGTTGGTTTCTGACCCCGTCTACCAACTTTTGGCGACCGTATAATGGCACTACCTGCAAATCTGAAACAAGCTCCTACACCTCAAGAGTTGGAATACATAACAGGAGAAATCATCGTTGCCATCGAGCCACTGTTTAGAATGGAGAAAGTCCGACTGGTTTCTGTTAGTGCGTCTTCAGCAATAACAGGGCAAAATCTATCATATTCGCGGATCTAATTATTGAATAGGGTGTGTATGGACCCTTCAGACCGCCGGCGAAGACGAGAGTCCCGCTGTGGCTGGCACAATCACTCAAGCTCAAACGGAAATGTCGAATCGTCCCCCCGGATTGGGTGACAGTTGGTAGGATATGGCCCAAATGCCTACATTCTAGCCCCTCTGAGCCCTACTAGACTTTCTCACCTTGAGATTACAACAAGAGACCTCGCAGAGCGAGCTATCGAAGATGCCGTTTCGTTATGCAGAGGTTGCAAAGGTACTCCTTGATATGTACGTCTGATTTCACCCAACGACCCCTGTATGACATCCTTCAGAGCTTCAGACGACATTATGGAACCAGACAAAATACGGATCCTCCTCAAGGACATTCGGGAAGCGAGACAGGCCAAGTCGAGACAACTTCTGCTTGCTCTCGACGCACCTTACACTACGGTGTGTACCCTTTCTGATTCGGTAGAACTTGTTTTAAATGGTCATAACAGACAGAGAATCTCTGCTCCATGGAGATTTGCGAGATGAGGTTATTCTTTAGTAGCGCAATGGGCATCATTTCCAAGTTGGACGTCGAGGCACCAGCGCAGGATGAAGAAATGTACGATTTTTAGCGTATGGTTCCCCGAAGTGCATATTTTATGATCAGTTAATGACAGAATTACTTTGTGAGTTGCCTCATCGACACTGCCAGGGCCATCATAGCCGCTGCTGCTGTGGAGTATGTAACGCTCGGTCCAAAAGTCCAATACATAGCACAAGCTGTAGAGAACGTTCAGCGTTCAGTCGAGTAGCAAGATCAATCTGTGGACGTACAGAGCAGTGGCCCGATGGCCCGACCCAGTTGTCCAGAGCTGCGAAATTGGCCCAGTGCTTTGCCTTTGGCCAATGCTGAGCCTTCACTAGTCGATGCATCATCATCACACTGCAGCGAGGCTAGCGCGGTCAGTGAGCTGACAACGGTGGCGGATGTGAATGCCAAAAAGGCGGCGGCCACATAGATCACTCGGGGTGCCCAGATAGCGTCGAGAGAAGGGAGCGATGCTAGGAGTAAAAAGCTGATGGCACAACTAATCATTCCTCTCCGAGCCATGACTCCCTCACCAATCTTGCGCGTGGCAGTCCGGGTGTAGCCGCCTTGGAGGAGAGCCGACATAATGCCCACAATGGCAAGAAGCCGCCCATTTTTTGCATTGTTCCAGTCGAATACTAGTAGGGTATCAGCAATTCATGCGTGTTTGGGCAAATCAGACATACGGTCATATGTCAAGAACGTCAACGTAAACTCGACACCTGGAGTTGTTATTACACATTCGGGGAGGAATTATCCCGTGCTTACCTGAAAATGCAAGCAGAAAGTTGAAATGCATCCCTCGAGCCTGCTTTAGGACACTAAGTCGGTGCAGGCGAGAGAGCACGGGGTTGCCCTTTGTGGCAGATGGCTTCTTGGAAGCCTTTGCATCCTTCTCAGTAGACTGTATAGCTTCACTTGTCACACGCGCTCGGGTTTCTGGTAGCGCGAAGGCAAGGAAGAGGGTCTCGACTACGAGTAAGACAAGAGTGACAAGTGCAGGTGTCGCATAGATATTGAGTTCCCAGCCTTCTCTCAGATAGGATTGGAATTGAAATGGATGCATCGAGAAATATGCCCCTGCGCCGACATCAGCGGATCGAACGCGTCCGAAAAGTGTAGACATACCGATTGGAGGACCAATACAAAAGCAAATGGAGAATGCAAGTCCGACAAGAGCTAATGAACGAGAACGCGTCTCTGCGGGTGTTACGTCGGACAAAATCGCGCTACGCAAACGTCAGTATTGTCACGTCGCCCGTGATCCGCCGCATACATTGCTAGCTGTACGTTCCCTGCAACCTCTAAGTTCCTGAGTCGCTCGGGGAGTCAAAGGCTCACCTTCGGAAAGGCCTCCTACCGCTCGCGAAAGCAGGTAGGACGACCAAGAAGTCGATTGTACCCAAATGAGTGCGGAGAGAATGTTGCCTATCATCGTGACGAGAAGGACTGGCTTTCGACCATACTTATCAGACAGTGAGCCAATATGCGGCGAGACGAGGAATTGCAGCGCACTTGTAACCCAAGTCAATAAAAATAGGGAACATGCCAGTACGACTTACGAGAATAATGATCCCATGAATCCACCTAGTTTAGCTCAGCGTGAACAATGAATGGGCAATAGCAGAGACCTCATACCGAGTAAAACAACATCCCAACGTTTGGTGTCAAGCTTGGAGCTCCTGAAGAAGCTTCGAAGAAACGATACGGCTTGCAACGAGCGTGACAGCAGGCCAGTCTTGTCATGAGCCTCGCGCTTCACGAGTCAGAGACGCATATAAGGGTACTTGAAGCAGTTAGATTTACCTGTGTGTACCATTCTACAATTCGAGGAAAGAGCGGGAGCGGAATAGTGAAAGCTTCGCCGCAACGGTGAGCTCCTACACATGCGACTCGGATCATTGCTCACCAAATAAATCAAGAATGAGTGAAAGGAATATGACTGTTTTCACCGACATGATGATATCAACTGTGCAAAATCGACAAGACGACAGTAGCGGAACGGTCCAAAGGTCGAAGCCCTCCCTGCCTCAGTATGTCTATGAAATCTCGGCGACCACAGACTCTTCGTCCGCAACCTCCTCAGCCATCTCAGTCTCCATTAATTCCGGATCTTCCGTAAATCCTACACCACGGTATTGCTGGTCTTCCGACGCAACAGTGAGCATCGTCTGGGTGTGGGTACTCGTATCCACTTTCGTCACCTCTCGAAGCGCCATAGTGGCGTAGCACGCTGTTCCTAACTGAAGGCGGATCTGAAGTGCAAGGAAGCGTCCGTCCTCGTCCGTCTGCGGCGGATCCAAGCCCAGAAGCTTGTCTTCATCCGATTGTGCGAGCGGAATCTCCGGGTCAGTGTAGTGCATTGTCTCCCAGCTAACGTGCTTGGGTAAATGCACAATCTTACGGTAAGAGCCCGCCAGTGAGTATTCCCTGTCGCATGTTCGATCAATTCTTTCGCGCTATATTGTCTCTTACCTTTGCTTGCGGTTAAAGTTGGAAGGATCGAGCCCGTCAAGCTTGAGGAATTCACGGTAGAGCTCGCCTAGTTCACCTCCTGGATATGCAACGTCCGTACCGGGCAGAGGCATCAAAACATCGAAGATGGTGTAGTTTGCCAAATCCTCCCAAGAGAGCACCTTGACTTTACGTGGTGGTCTCCTTTGTGGTTTGTAACCACCCCTTCCTCTTCCTGGACACGCCTTCAGATTTTAGCTTGTTCGTGGGGGGAAAACGTACTTACCAGTGGGAGCGTGATCAGATTCGCCATCACTAATCTTCTCTTCATAAACAATATCCCCTACAATAGGCCCATCGAGCCCGTATCTCTTGATTCGCTCCGAAACGATTGCATTCCAGACATAGGATTGGTACGCGTGGACGTACATCATGCGCAGGTTTCGTGGAATCTATCGCTATTAGCGAATAATCGCTCATAGAGGACTACCATACCGAAGAGAGGGCTCCGATCAGATTTCGAGTGTCGCCATTCATGCGCTTGAAGCTCTCCAGAAGACAACGTTCTGCTACGACGCGTCTCGGCATGAGTGCAAGAGCCTTTTCCAGATTCTTCTCTGCAGACCACGCAAATCGAGCTTCTTGAATTTCAGGGGCCTCTCCCGGTCGAGGACGAAGAATGAGATCGACAGCTTTTGCCCAGTCGGATTGTAGAATAGCGAGGCCAATGGCGTGTGTAGGAATAGATGCTGTGCCAAATCGTTGCATGCCTACAGGAGTGTTAGACCGCCCGGATACAAAAGTCATCGCGTACCGTAATAATTGATAAACCCTTTCGTTTTGAGAATGTTCATAGATTCATTTATGACTTCAATAGATGCTGCCTTGACATTCCTAGGCAGCGTATCAGTAGGGTAGTGCACTGTTTCAAAGCATACGTACCGTAAAGTGATGAGAAACTCATTTCCTTTAAGCATCCCCAGCTGGAGGAATCCTTTTCTATAGTCAATGTCCGAGACGCGAACACCACGTTCTCCTCTCTCTTCCAAGATCTGGGTAAGCGTGCGCCGACCCGCTTGATTGATTCTATCCCAGACATCCTCGACCGTCATGCGTCCACGTTTCAAGCACACGCGTTGACACGTGACACCTCTTTTGTCTTTTGTACCCGCCGTGGTTAGTAACTTGCCATCAACCTTGAGCATACGAGCGAGGTAGGCCAAGACGTCAGACGTATCACGGTTAGTTTTTTGGAGGGTAAAGTGAATATACGGTTGGTGGTCGCGGTCATTGGCTGCTCGTCGTGAGCCTAACATGCCACTGGTAAATAAGGGGTACCAAATAAGCATGTATCACACCTTTGGATCCTGCTCCAGCCCACTTGATAACGATACGAGCGCCAGGTTCACCCGGTTTTACATCATCTGTAAACGTATCTAACTTGCCACCAAAGAGGTCGCGCATGGTTTTGTGAAATTGAGATCGCTGCTCCTTTGAAGTAATGGGCTAGAGAGTATGAGTTTCATCCAAACATATAAAGATATGGCTGACATCAGAAAGGACTTGGCGATTATCAACTGCTTTCTGCTCCTTGTTGCCTTTGCGCGCGTCCTTGCGACCTTGCTGCCTCTTCGCTTTGGTGCCAGTGAACTCTACCGGAAGAGAATCACCTGAGATAGGAGCTGTAGAGGTAGATGGTCCAGGCGATGCCTTTGGCGAGCCAGCTCTCGACACTGTTTTGGGTGCCGGAGGGGTTGGTCCTTCGAGAAAGAGGGCTTTGACGGCCTCAACCTTCTCCTTGGACAGTATTCCAGTCAATACCTCATCAAAAGATGAGGGCCATGGCTCGCTCGAGTCGACTTTGACGATCGGAGGGGATGGTGCAGAGACCAAGGTCGCCGTGGGCCGTTCAATGGATTTGACGTGCGTGACATTATGAGTCATGTCAATCTCGTAGACCATAAAGTCGGTAAACCTGACAGTGATGTCAGGCAGGGATGGGGAGGCTTGTTGAGCGTCGTAATTGCGGCGGCTCACTATAGGCAAACTTACCGCTGCTTGATGATTCCGTTGATCTGAGAGAGTCCCTTTCCAATGTATTGCGAGATCCCAACGTCGACTTCAAGGGTTCGATGCATAAGGCCATCGGGCGGGAATTCTGGCGCGGGAGGAAGTCCTAAGAGTTTTCTACTAGGTGGAAGGAGATTCTCTTGCTTGTAAGTGTATGAAGAAGGTGTCAATGTGCCGCTTGTATGCGCATCGACAGTCATGGTCAGGTCTAACGGTGCATTTTCCGTCATGATTTCGGCCTCTTCGTCGGTCAACTTTGGCCTCTTGAGCAGTCTCTCATCATCTCCAACGTCTTCTTCATCTCGCGGTCGCACCAAGGAAACATCATTCGTCGGCTCAGCGCTCGTAGACATCAAGGGCCACTTTCTTCTTGGACCAAATAAGCACACAGGGCGAGCTACGCTATTCCCTCCCCGTGAAACGCTAGAACAATCATATACGCAGAACGCCTCCAATCATCCTTGTGAGACGGATCCTCTGCGGTCTGCTCCTCGTCTCCATACACATAAATGTCCTCGTCCGCGGGCGAAGAGCCACTCGCAATATCTATGCCACATACGTGTGCCCACTCCTTGTCTGCAATGACAACAGAGTTAAAGTTGGCTTCCGAGGGTAGTTGGGACGGAATGAGCGATGCGGTGAACTGGTCGAGGAAAACAGAGCTCCCGTCGTCTTGGGGCAAGACATCAACCGGTAGATATTCAATCTATCACAACAGTGAGCTTTAAATTGGTCATGTAACTGCAATACTGACCTCCATAATCACGCCTTTGAACTGCTCGCCAATTGCAAATACTCCCCCGACGCGAACGATCCAATCCGAGCCAATGTTCCAAACACGACCCTCTATTCTCAACCGATGTGTCGTTCCACCTGTTGGTCTCCCCATCATGCCCAAGTCGGTCGGCTTTTGCTGCTGTAGATTCCATGCTCCGCCAAGTTGATCTAGCAGTGCCTCGATGCTTGCTTGTCGATAGCTAATCAATGTATGTCGGAAATGCGGCGGAAGTGGTGGCAATTCCGCCACCTCCAGGCCAGCTTGTTGTTTGGCGGCATTTGCCTGCATGGCTTCAGCTCGTGCGGCCATATAGTCGGCTCTTTTGGGTGCAGTCGGATCTTCAATTATAGTCAACACTTGGTCTCCCGCATTCGTGTACTCCCAGAGTAAGCGTTCTCCGCCAACGGAAGTCACACCGTCGACATAGGTGTGTCGTCGAATGGCACGTATTTCTGCCTGCCATGAACCAGAAGGGCGAGCCTGAAAAGATTTAGAGTCGTAGAAAAGGTAAATATCCAACAAGTGACGCACCCCGTGCTGTCTGGACACCGAATCACTAATCAGTTGAACGCCCGTTGACGGTGCGTTACTCCATCGCGCAATCCTATCTGACAAGAGTACTGGTTAGACGTCTGAGGCGGTCAAGCCTGGGAACCAAATACCCTCGCACACCCATGGGACGTGGTTCTGGATCAAGTTTGAAACAAGGTGAAGTCAAGGATCGTCCATAATCTATCCATTCGTGGAAGATACATTAAAATGCGTATATCAGTGATAAATCTCTATGGAACCTCATGCCATCATGGCACCTCCCGCAGAGCCTCGCTCCTAGAAGTTTCGTCAGGTTGATTTCCGAAGATGTGCGCATCACATACCTTGACGTTGTGGTCCTTGATCAAGAATGCACTTATGGAAGCCAGGACTGAGGTCGGGATGGCAACGATAAAGACATAATCTGCGGCAGCGTAAGCAAAGGAAAACATAGTTGGGTGGTACCCACTCAGGGCTCGGAGATATGCTTGGATCACTTGACCTTGCACCTCTTGAGGGAGCATTTCTAGGACCGAGAGAGTTTGTCTGACGGCCTCTGCAATCGAGGATCCAGACCGGGTGCGAAGATTGCGATGTTCTTTCTCAGTTGATTGGCAAAGACGCTACCGGCAATACTGAGAAGGTGTGAGTTATCTAGACTATACCGTGTATATGAAACGTACGCGATACCAAGGATACCCCCATCAGCTGGAAGAAGGTCACAATTGATGTGGCTTGAGGAATGAGCTCGTCCTTGTCGGCCCACTATGCGTGTGTGAGAATCGGTGAAGACTATAGAATGAGGCAAACCTCTGCTTGCACGGCAATGATGGCGTTCTGGAGAGCGCATCCGATACCCAGTCCAAAAATGATTTGATAGCCTATCAATTTTGCATTGCTCGTGTGCAAATCTAGAAATGATATCAGATGGAGCAAGATTGGAAGAGACAAAGCGTACCCAACGTGTAGAGGAGTCCAGCACCGATAGCAGAGACCAGAGTTGCATAGCGTAAGAAGTAGATGTATCGACCCGTAAAGTTGATGATAGCACCAGAGATTGCGGCGGCTATAATAACAGTCAGGAAGGCTATTCTGTGGAAACTGGCTCACTCACCAAGGATACTACAGGACGTGAGCCACAATCAGCGGCATGGAAAGGAAGCAGGGCTTACATTGTCAACACTGTAGAGCATTAATGTTAGGATGGAAAGTGGCAATCATAGACTCACTGAATGGCAGATATCTATTCCACTCTGAGTTGGCGTACGTCCTCGAGATGCTTGATACTACAATGGTTCAGTGGTGGATTATCGGAAACCAAGAGACTTACATAGAATGGCAGGTAGTATGTACCGAGGATGAGGTTCATCATGACGAAGAAGCTGCACGCCGATGTGCCAATTTGAGTCCTGCGCTTGTACAAGGAGAGAGGCATGATTGCCTATGAAACCTGAGCATCCAGCGAGCTTCATTTTGGGCTACATACCCTGGGTCCAAGCTTCCATCTAATCGGATGTCAGTATTCATACTACAATAGGAGTATAGTACGCACTGCCAGGCAACAAAGGATGGGAGCATGACGGCGAACTGGGAAAGTCAATAACACTCGATCAATGTTTCCGAAAAACATACCACACAAAACAGCGCAATGACGACTTTGTCATTCCATGGGCGAGTATTTCCACCCCACTGGAGAGCTAGAAGGAGACTGTCGCCTTTCAGTTGATATTTCTCACCACAAATGTTCAAGGACGCACGGCATAATCATTCCAAGGCACAGCGTCGTTCCAATCCAGTCGATACCGATCCACTTCTGCAATTTGGTCTTGCCGGCATTACCAGGGAGCTCTGTTGGTTATATCAATTGAGCGAAAGTCACGAATGGATACGAATACGTACCGCGTGTGGGTTGCGCTTTGAGGAAGAAGATGACGGCCAAGATGGAGACGGCACCAAACGGAAGATTGATATAGAAGCACCATCTCCAGCTGAGATGATCGGTGAAAGCGCCACCCATGAGTGGTCTAACGACAAAGGTCAGATAATGCATGCATAGCTCTGGAGACGAGCCTACCCGGCAACACTTGACACGGCGAAGACGGCACCAAAGGCACCAAAGAGGATTCTTGGAAGGGTAAGCTATCACGCAGTCACGATGAGAACTCAACATACGGCCGGTCCTCAAGACGAGTCACGCGAGAGATGATGGTCAGAATACTGATGAAGATACCGGCTGCTCCGACACCAGCAATAGCACGGCCAAAGATGAGGAAAGGCATGTTCCACGCGACACCGCAGAACAAGCTTCCTATTTCGAATATAGTAATAACTGCGAGATAAAGTATCTGCGGGGATGGTCAATTCGCACTGGAGACGTGAGAGGTAGGACTTTCCTTGGTATCCATGATCGTCAGGACTTGGCCAAAGAAGAGAACAAGACCGCATTGAGTAAAGAAGTAGGCAGAAACTACCCATGTGAGGTCGTTGAGCGCGTTGAACTTGGAAGCAATGACGGGGAGAGCGGTGGCTTGAAGAGATTAGAACAAGCAGTGAATAGCGCAGAGCAATTACCTATGATAGTCTGATCCAGAGACACTGAGCATGGTTAGCCATCGGCCCTATATCATGGTGACGAGGCAGCTAGCTCACCAAGGAATATCGACAAAAGTAAACCACTTAAGCGAATTAGCCCTGGATCATAAGCGTTGATTATTGAGCTTACACGAAGACGAGAACCAGTCTAAACCCGGTGATGTACCGGTCACTGTCTGGATCATCCTCCCCTCCGCCGGCCTCGACAACTGGATCGGCCTCAAGGTCTCTCTTCTCCTTTGAGAGCCCTTTTTCATTACTTTTATCGTTCGCGGAATGGATTTTGTGCGTGGCTACTGCAGAATCCGTTCTTGGAGCGGCCTCGGTGCTTTTAGTGGGACCATCGGCCTCTTTGGACAGCTCGTCTGAGTGCTTTACCGAGGCGTTGCCCTCGATCAGCGTCTCAGATCTGGAAGGTGAGATGCTTGTTGCTGCAGTGTTGGCCTCTGCAGTGGGAACACTGAGGCTAATGCTGGGATTATCTGTGCTTGACATTTTGAGCGAGCCGAATCGCTAGAAAGACAATGGTAGAGTCCAAGCCAGTTCACAACGGAACCAATGTGGCGACTTGGCGTTTTAAGGAGCCAGGCAGGTAGTGTGGTGTGCACATCCGATAGGAGCGGCTCCGTCACTCCGTTCAAACTTGCTGCCTTGACGGGCGTTTAGCTTGTGCGCACCCGCGGCCTTCGGGTCGTGAGAGAATGGGCCAGATGTTGCATGGAGTTAAGGCTGCCGCGCCTGGTCTGCATTGATTGGCCGTGCGTCTAGGGGTAAAATTGAGCTCTAAAATCAATGTTGTCAATTAGAGGAGGTTGGAGTTCCGCTTTGACCACTGACAAGACTATTAAGCGTTTACTATAGCCGTAGCTGCCATTCAAAGGTCAAATCGTATTGCAGCTTGGGATAAACTCACAGTGTTAATGAACACTTCGTCAGTTGCAATGGGGAAGCGGTGGCTTCAAGACTCGTGGTCTCCAACGAGGCAGGCCGGCAGATTTGGTCAGGAGAAAGAGATAAATACGGTACCCAGTGATCATAAACATTGAAAAATACTATTCGGATATAATCTGCCCAAGTTTTACACACGAAGCAGTCCATGCTGACAGGGAGAATGAATTGGCAAACGCAGATGGCCGAGTTGTGATCGAGATAATGACGACGGATATGATGGTTAAAATGAGGGCATCACGTCGAAATTTTGCAGTGCTGCATGCTGGGAATCCTAAGGACCTGCGTTTCATCGAGTCTCACTTGAATGAGGACTTCATGGCCTCGAAGAGAGTCTTATGGGTGTAGGCGTTGACCTGAACGCCGAGAGTATTGGCTACCGTGAGGACTTCGGCCACCCAATTCTGGGAGTTCCATTCACGCGTACCATTTTGAATCTGGACTAGTTTTGCGCAACTCTTGAAATGCTGAACTGCACTGCTCGTGGAGGCAATGTGACCGACCTAATAGAGATTTAGAGATTGTGGTTGGCTGGCCGGGCTGGCGGATGGGTGGTCGCGCGAGAGTCCACGAATAGAGAATGATAGCGGACAGAGAAGAAATTAAAAGGGCTCAAACTTACCACAATCTCACCCTGGAAGCATTTGGAATGGCGAGCAACGACGCGGCTGACCTCTCCTATTTCATAGTTGCGCACTCCCTCACTGCCGACGAGCTGCAGACAGAGTGCCCTCTCTGGTTCATGGGGATCAGAAAGAGTATAGCAGAGGATGGCGTAATGCCATGCTCCATGAAGCCGGTCGCTGCCGTACTGTGCAACGGTAATCTTGTAGACTGACATTGTATCGTTGGAGGATTATTAGAGAAAGATGACGATAAGGGAAAATGAAATGGCGGAAAGGTGATGGCGATGGCGACGATACTGCTATGGCTGAACGTATGGCTGAACGGAGTAATGATCATAGGTGAGCGAAGGCCCTTTCAGCGCATCTGCAAGGGGCACCTACGAAGGTGTTGCACGAAACTAGAAGGTCGACGTGGTAGAGACGGAAGATGAGTTGCGTTTATATAGGCCTCGAGGAGACCACCTCACCACCTTGTCCCCTTTCCAGCCAGAATCCGCCATAGCTTGTGATGTACCATAAGAGTGGAATCAACCATTTTCTGAAGTTTGATTTAATCACTCAGTAGTACTCGTTACCATTTGCCCTCGATGTTTGGACTTGATCTTTTGTCCCTGTGACGCTTGTCCCCACTGCCGCGTTTAACGAAGTTCGTACGACCAGTGATTGTAACGGGAAATGCAAGAAAGAATCAATGGTAACATATAGTGATTACAAGGCGTGTGGCCTTAGTTTGGCCCAAGGTTGCGGTCACTCATTGAAACCCGAAGCCGTCAAGCCTGTTTAAACCTCGATTCTTCGTTCTTTGAATCGCAGATGTTGGAAAGTCGAACAGCTCCTATGATTTAACTATGAACTCGGACCCTAGAGGATGTCACTGCTAATTACGGGTCCCTAGACCGCATCTCTGCACGAAATAGGTAGAATCAAAGTGGATTGCGAGAGGTGTTTCGTGGATCAAGGCAGAGCGAGTTGCATTCCTCCCGCTGTAACCACCCTTAAACTCCACCGCTCAGGGCCCGCAATCCAAGGGCGCATAGTTAAAAGGACGACAGCACCAAGCACTTCTGTGAATAGTAATTCACGCACTCCAAAGCCTCCTCGCATCATTTTTCCTTGAGCCAGCTTGGGACGGCGAGGACATAATTACGAGGGCGCGTCGACCCGGGTCAATTTTACCTTATATATTCAAGACGTTATTTTCATTCCTCACAAAAAGCGCCAATCTACTCCAATAACCTCACCTTCTGGAGCACAAAATCCAGAATTGGATGATGCAGACCAAAAATGTAGACTCGACCAATCTTACCAGCCCTCCTAGTCTTTTAACCAATCTTACTGAGGACGAAGCAACTACCGTTCCGCCATTTGACAAAACTGACCTTTCTTCGGACGCTGCGACGAGGACAGGCCTAACGTGTGGCATTTGCCGTGTTGGAGTCGCCAGATATACCTGTCCACGATGCGGTCTCAAGACATGCTCATTATCGTGTGTCCGAGCGCACACCGATGGAGCGAGCTCTTCCACGGCGAATAGAATAGGTACAAGAGTAATACCTCCAGGTGTCCAAGTAGGATGCTCTGGTGTGCGAGAGAACAATGCTGGCGGTTATGTCGAGATGAGCTCCTACGGCTACTCCAACTTTATGAGCGACTATGTCTTTTTGGAGGACGTTGGAAGAAAGGTTGGAGAATGGGGAGGGAGATTGACAAGAAGCGATTGGATGCCACTTCTTCTACCGTTGTCGCGTCAGGGGCTCGTCAACATCTCCGCGGCAAGAAGAGTGGACACAATCACGCCCGAACGAAGCGAGATATACTCAGGGAAAACCTAGAAGAGGAATGGGATATCGACCTTCGATTCCTTCCTGAAGGCATGGAGCGGCGAAAGTCGAATCAATCGACATGGGATGTCAGGTCAGTGATAGTGCCATCCCTACAAGTAGCTGAACTCTCCTAGGTCAAAAAAAGGATACCTTACGGCACAGTTTCGTTTCCATCGTTCATTTCCACCTCGACCCAATAAAATGGATCATGAGCGGCACCACTCAGAGGACTCATTCATCCTTCTTTCACATCGCAACGAACTCGATACCTCCGTCTATACGTCTCTTCACAAGATACTACAAGAAAGGAACACCGCGAAACGAGACAGGAAGAAACAAGATCCTCAGCGACCGATTCCGGAAACCCAGCCCACGACAATTGGTCAATCTGCGGAGGGAATGGGCAGTAGTCGAGTGCCTCCTTGGGTATCCGAGATGGTGCACGAGGGAGAGTCGTGTGCGTACCAGGTGCTCATCGCCGCTCATGATATCGTGGAACCGACCAGCACAACAACAAATCATCCTATCACGAGAAGGAGGTACCGAGAGATCCAGAGTGCCACAAACTTTGGCGAAGCTCTCAAAGGCATGACGATCGTCGAATTTCCAACGTTCGAAGTGGTTCCCAAGGGGAACTACAGTGCCCTTTTGGAAGGAGCCGAAAAGGATCAATCACCAGCAGATACGATACGTCGACTCTGGGCATTTGACGAAAACGAGGAAGAAGAAGAGTTTGAAGAGAGACCAAGGAAGAGGCGCAAGGTGGACCCAGAGGCTGGCAAGAAGCTCCTTGGAGGATTGCTCGCATATGGTGAAGATGACGAAGATGATTCGCTCGTTGAAGCCCCGCTCCTGACATCTGAGGCGCGCCCTACAGGCCTCTCTCTGGCGTATTCGAGCGAAGATAGTGAGGGCAGTGACTCGATGAATGCATCTCAGCTTCCTCAAGCGCCGCCTGATGGAGACGAGGTTGATTGGGACTAAGTAAGCCAATATCTAATGCGCACGGCCATAGCTAATCCCAAATGGCTTCATGCGCACAGCTTCTTCTCTAAGATAAGCATCGACAGTAGAAAATGTATTCAGACATCTACTTGGATCAAGAAGTCACTTGGGAGGTTTGACGCGCCAAACATGCTCTTCGGAACTGACTGCTACCAAAGACTATGAAACCGCATAAGGGTATAACCATGGGGGTAAAGCTTATTGTCTCGTACTCCCAAGTACTTGGCCGAGTGCTCGTCCCCATCCCTCTGGATGCTCGTGACAAAGGTTTCGCCTCTTTAAACAATACCGAAATTACGAAGTGTCAATCGGATCAAATAGTGACATTGCATTGGTGGCTGGAGGTCGACGGCTATCACGGGATGTCGGTAGTTTGTAGGTTATGATGTTCTGGACTGAAGAATAGTCCAACTAGACAATGTTGACCGTGATTTGCGCGCGTTCCAGACATATGGACACTATGGAGTAGCGAGGCACCTCCGTGCCTGCTGCCTGTTGCCAACGGCGTGAATATGAGCAGCTTGGAAAGGATAGAGTGCATCTCCAGGCACCGCCGAGGGAGCGGGCGCCTGGGATTTTGGCGGCGGTGCAAGTCGGTTTATTAGGACGCTGCCTCCTTCCCATCTTCGCCTCATTCCCTTTCCATATTTCTTGCCATTTGGTCGGTGACGGGCTGTTTTTCTTTGCCCCGGTGGTCCATCTCTCTCCTCTAGCAGATCTCGCGTGCAGAGATCCCTTTCCATTCCTTTTTTCACAGTCCGCGCTCAACAACGCCAGGCATAGCTTTTCCTCGAGCAAATGTACGTCCACTTTGCTCTTCTCATTCTACACGTCGCTCACAGTCGTTTGTCTCCCATCCGCGACCTCGTGTTCCGTCCTCCGTCTATTTCGACAGTCAAAGTAGTCGACGGCTGGTACCACACTCGTTCAAATCAAGCACTCGTTCAAATCTCAACCAATAATCTCCTCTTCACGTACGCCTCTCTTCCTCTCAACATTTGCTCGAAATCCCCAGCCGATTGAGGTCGCCCGCGCGGCATTGTTGGGCAAGCCAGCCCGTCATGCGGCAACGGGTGACCGTGTACTACCCAATTGCTGGTTGTGGGTGCAATGACAGCCGGCGGGTGGCCTCGAGTGGTCCTCCGCGACCCAACTCGGCAATCATTCTCCTATTCTATTCCCCCGATCGTCTCTCTCTCGGAGTTAACTCACACAAATATAGGGTATCGATAATCACGTCATGTTCAACAAGGCATCCTTGTTTTCTGCTCTCGTCCTCACTGCCTCTTTCGTCCACGCCCGTCCAGGTCCCACTTGGGTTCGTCGTCAGGAGAATGCTCAGTCATCATTGAGTATGTATTGACTTCTTTGTATCCTGGATTCTCGCTTGGGGTCGGTCCGTGGCTCGTTCCTGGAGCAGCAACCGGCAAGCACTCGTAGGATGCTTTCGGCATCGCTTATGAGCTCGGTGCAACGTCCACAGGGTGAGCGGCACACCAAGCTGGCGACCACTCGCCGCCCATCAATGCCCCTCTCCCACGACCATGTCTCCATGTGGCTAGCGACCCATTCTGCGCCCAACAACCCACCGTTTTGGCAACTCGTTGCAAAGGTGCTGACAGGTCGTTTACAGCGCTTGACCCTGCCGTCATCTCTCAAGGTCTGGCTCAGGACGGACAAGGCAATACTCCAGACCCCGGACAAGTTCGTTCCGAAACATCGACCAACAATTTCATCAACCACTGTCTCAAGTTCCTCGACCAAGGCGTCCCCCTCACCGATGGCAAACAAATCACTGGTGGCTCCTGCAACCAGACGCCGGTATGTCCCATTCTAATTTTCAGTTAGTCATTACTGTACTTATACTTGCGAAAGATGGGCCGCATCATCTCCCTTGACAAGGCTCCTCGCTGCAAGTTTGTCTTCCCAAAGAACGGCGACGACTCTATCATCGAGAATACTGCGTTTACCGTCCAAATGCGTATGGTAAACATGGTCGCTGGCAATTTCGTCAACGCCCAGGCCAACTACTACGCCGCGCCACAACAAGTCGACGGTAACGGTATCCTGATCGGCCATTCGCATATTGTCATCGAACCTCTTCCATCTCTCGACTCTACAGAGCCACTTGATCCTCTCGCGTTCAAATTTTTCAAGGGCCTCAATGACCCCGCGGACGGACAAGGCATTCTCAAGACAGAGGTGACTGCTGGTCTCCCCAAAGGTATCTACCGCATGTGTTCCATCAATACTGCGGCCAACCATCAACCTGCATTGGTTTCAAATGCCCAACATGGAGCACTGGACGACTGTTCCTACTTTACTGTAAAAGGAAGAGGCGAGCTGGGAAATAACAACAATGGTCAAAATAGCAACCAGAATGGTGGACAGAACGGAAACGTAGCCAGTTCGTCGACCGAGGCCGGCTCAACAACTCAGTCGGGAACCGCAGCGCCTGAGTCCACCCAGAGTAACCAAAATAGCAACCAGAATGGTGGACAGAACGTAACTAACGGAAACGTAGCCAGTTCGTCTACCGAGGCCGGCTCAACAACTCAGTCGGGAACCGCAGCGCCTGAGTCCACTCAGGGTAACCAAAATGGCCAGAGTGGACAGCAAGGAAACAATAGCGGTGGACAGAGTAACAACACTGGTGCACCGACAGAGACTCCTGGTTCAACCTCCGTCCCTGCACCCGAGCAGTCCCAAGGCAATAGCAATGGTGCACCAACGGAGACGCCTGGTTCGTCGTCTGCACCCGCACCTGAGCCATCCCAAGGCAACAATGAACAACAAGGAAACAGCCCCGGTGCACCGACAGAGGCTCCTGGCTCAACACCTGCCCCTGCACCCGCACCCGAGCCGTCCCAGAGCAACCCTGGGCAACAAGGTGGCCAGACTCCTGAGCAAGGGAACAATGGTCAGCAGAGTGGAAATCCAGTCCAGCCCGGTCAGGAGAATACCTCGCCGGCTCCAGAGCAGCCAGGTCAAGGTCCAAGCGGTCAAACTCAACCGGAGCAGAACCAAGGACAGCAACCTCCACAAGGACAAGCTGATCCTACCTCTCCACCAGGCCAGGGCAGTCAAGGACCTCAACGTCGCCGCTCACACCACGGCCGTCAATAAAGCGCATCCTCGTTCAACGCGACTCGTTCCAGGTCGCTTCCACTCGTTTGTTGCCTCGTTCATACCCCATCGTCCGTCCCCTTTGCAGAGGCTCCGTGAGCCTTTTGGGGTTTGTCCGGTCGAATGTACCATCCTCACGACATGATTATCCCTCACACATCCTACCTTTTCTACGTTTGGTTGACAACGCTTGATTTATTCCTTTACTTTTTATTCGCTCGATGCTTCTTGCCGTCCTCTGTCCAGTGCGAGGCGGCATTTGTACTGGTTAGTTCGGTCTGTGACCTGGCCATTTCTTCTTTCATCCTCGGTCGCTTCATTTGTAGTCACCCGTCATTTTTTTGGCATGTGGCCGCCTTTGTAGCGCTTTCTAGTTGGAATGGAACGACCGCTCACCGCAGAATTTACTGTGAGAAAAGACGAATGTGGGTGGTACTGTTCGCCTTTGAGCCCACTTTGAGCCCACTTTTGACCTCCTTTGTACAAGCTTGCTCTCGAGTCTCAACGATCCTAGTACTGCTGGTCTATTATAATCCAGACTCTTAGACTTCATCTCAAATACTGGCAGACCTAGAGGGAGACGCACAAAGTGACCAAGGCGGATACTCCACACGTGTAGATCGTAGATGGAGTCAGATTCCAATGTATCACATACTACACGCTTAACCTGTAGTCACATGGATGCGGATGCGTCCTTGACCAACCCAGAGGTGTGCTAAACTCTGATCCTCGTGACAATTTAACCCACCTTTGTAGGTAAATGTACCACGCACAGATGGGAACATGTCATCTCTTGGAGTCGACACGGTAGAGGAAGCGCAAAGACTGGCCATCCAGCATCAAGTCTATGCGCTGGTGGCAACCCATGCACATGTGGATGAGCATCCAGAGCTCGTCGAGCAGTATAATACACTCGTTCAAGCCTCAGATTCCCCGGGAAAACCGCCGCCTCTACATGATTTTATCGACATCCTTCCCAGCGAGATCAGCCTCAAGATTATCACAGAGGCGCTCCACGTTTATTTTGCCGAACACCGCCTGTTGGACCGACTTCTCGCACTCACGCTCGTCAGCCGGCGATGGGCAAAGGCGCTGTGTAACGCGCCAAGTCTTTGGGGCCATATTCTCATCGGGGAAAGACCTAGGGGGGAAGATGCGATGGCGGGTTTAGTGACTGCACTTACACTCTCCCGCGATTCACCTATTATTCTATTCGTTGCGGACCGGGTGACAGGGCCAGAGTGGGGCGATGCTCTTCCCGTTCTGCTACCTCATGCGAAACGGATAGAATCGATTCGCATCATTTATGGATCCAGTTTGGTTCCATTCACCAAAGTTAAAGGGCCATGGGCCTTCACCTGGTTCCGACTCTTTTGCCACTGGATAATCTCAAAGTGCTCAACGTAGGGTTTAAAAGGCTCACTCGAGAAGAGAAGGCCATTGTGAATAACTGCCTGCCCAATACCGCTGCAAACAATATCGCCAGGGGTGGGTGGTGCGACCTCACACGAGCTGCCGACTATTCCAAACATGAGACCATCAAGATGCGATACTCTGGCCAAACAATGAAGGAGTTTGCAGAGATATTGGATGGGTTCACTGCAATGACCTTCCTACGCCTCTCTTCTAAGTGGTCGAGTGCGGAGGGATACTGGAGCCAGCCGGAAACCCTTCTACCGCAGCTGCAAAATCTCTCCATGAATACCAAAGTCCCAGAAGAGCTAGCACTCTACTTGATGCAAGCGGCTACAAATATTGTCTCACTAACTGTCTCCCTGACGCCAGCGCTCTTGATTGAGCTGGGAATGATCCTTGATCAATTTCCGAATCTGGACCATGTTGCACTGCGCGCGAGACTCGACTTGTCCTCCCGTGTGCCTTTGTTCGACCTTGCCACGCTCCATATATCCGAGGCGACGAGGATGATGTTTCAGCATAACTGGCCACGCGCGCAGTTCCACCATGGTGATATCGAGGGCAATGTGGATGTGAACGGACAATCTGCAGCGACAGTGTCGGACACTGATAGTGTCCCAAGCCCCGTCGAATGGGAAGAAGTAGGAGACGAGGTTCAAGAAGCAGACCCTGTGGAAGGAGAAGAGCTACTGGATGATATTCTTGGTTCGGGTGGACCTATCCAGGAGGCTACAGTAGACAGCGACTTGTCGAGCTCCTACAGTTTCGACGTCGAGGATGAACTGGAGACAGACGACACCCCACACATCTTTTCCCAACGTTTGGAGCGCCTTCGGTTCTTCTTCAACGTGCTCAAAGTATGCTTTCCACGGCTACGGAGCCTGTATGTTGTTCTCCCACCATCCAACGAGGTGCCGACTCTGTTCATTCAATCGCTCCACGAGCTCAAATCAATATCACTCCGTGCATCCCAGCACGTCGTGACACCAGCGCCGATACAAGTAATCACGCATGAGACCCTGGAGACGGTGACGGTCTGGCATGGCCATTGTTTGACCGAGCCGACACCCATCGGGGCACTCTTCCGTGGCCCAAAATTGTCGAACGATGACACCCACGCTCCTGGCTCGAGGTCCTACAACTTTCTCCCGGAACCCCTCCAGCACAATACGTGCAAGAATAACATGACTGGCATCGACGAAGATGCATTTGGTCAACTGATGAGTGTCGATATGCCATGGTTCCACTGGCGACTCGACCTATTGACTTCGGTGCGGACTATCACCTTCAGCTCAATAGGAGCGGAGGGCAATCCAACGGACCTGTTTATTCATTTGATCTACAAGCCGGAACTATGTCCTAATTTGGAGGAAATCGGCCTATCTCAATGTCCCGAGTGGGATTACTTGTTCATCATGCTCGAACGACGAAACCTCCTGCCCAACTCCAAAGTCTCGCGCATCAAGAAGTTATCGCTACCGGCAGTCCCAGCATATGTGATCCTCAATCCTCTTACCCACCTCCTTCGTGGCCAAGTGGCACCTCGCCCGTCCAACCGAATACTGTCAATAGAAGGGAGAATGAAACATATACGGAACGCCAAGAGGTATGTCGTCGTATGGGAAGTGCGTCTAGCTCTAACTGTGTACAGACCTGGCTGTTCGTCCTGTTGCTGGCTGATGTACAAATGCGACGCACCGATAAAGACGCTGAGTGGGGGGATGTTGAGACAAGAAGAATGGTCTGCCAAGTATACGCTGTCACGGTTTGACTTTAGGAGACGACAGGCGCCACCAGCAGCAGAGCCGCCGCTGGACCCAACGACGGTACGGTATGTGAAGGGGAGAGAAAAGCGAGAACGACAATGGGCTGGCTACATCCCAAAGCGGGGATTTGACCGTTATGAACGACGGCCGTATGCGTGTGGAGTGCGTAATGGAGACCTGATGGCGCTGATCACAGGAGACATGCTTACTGGTGAGCCTTTGGAAATACATTTTGTGTTGAAGGCTAACCGGATGATAGGGATCCCCGTTGGCTAAGCTCTCGTGCAGATCATGAGATTTGCGAATGGCCGTAGATCGCTATTGTCTGATGTGTCATAATAGGTTACCAATTGTGGGCACACATCGATAGACGCTGTCTGTCGGAAAGTTAGGCCCGGACCAGAACCGAAAGAGGCCTTGAGCTCAGTGGAGGTTGCTCAATGGCATCTCCGGTCGATGTAAGCGATTTAGAAGCATCCACGAATTTATAAGAAAGAATTAAAGAGGTCGCAAAAAGGCTCAGGGCGGCGCACCCAGTGAAACGCGCCTGACCCCGCAAGGACCTCTCTACAAGGCCAGAACGGTCAAAGACCTCAACGCCGGCACTCACACCACGGCCACCTTTGTAGCGCATTCTGGTCGGAATGGAACGACCGCTCGCCGCAGAATTTACTGTGAGAAAAGACGAATGTGGGTGGTACTGTTCGCCTTTGAGCCCACCTTGAGCCCACTTTGACCTCCCTCGATCACGCTTGCTCTCGATTTTCAACGATTCTACGAGTACTGCTGGTTTGTTATCATCCTGACTCTTAACCTTCATTTCAAGTATTGACAGACCCTAAGAGAGACGCACAAAGTGACCAAAACGGATAATCAACACGTGCAGATCGTAGATGGAACCACATTCCAATATTTCGTATACCAGACGCTTATCCTTTAGTCACATGGATGCGGATGCGTCCTTGACCAACCCAAAGGTGTGCCAAACTCTGATCCTCACGACTCAATTTAACCCACGTTTGTAGGGAAACGTACCAAGCACAGATGGGAATGCGTCATCTCTTGGAGTCGACACGGCAGAAGAAGCGCAGAGACTGGCCATCCAGCATCGAGTCTATGCCCTGGTTGGAACCTATGCATATATAGATGAGCATCCAGAGATCATCGAGCAGTATAATGCACTCGTTCAAGTCTCAGAGATCCCAGAGAAGCCGTCGCGTCTGCACGATTTTATCGACATCCTTCCCAGCGAGATCAGCCTCAAGATTATCACAGAGGCGCTCGACGTCATTACTGCCGAGCACCTCCTGTTGGACCGACTTCTCGCACTTACGCTTGTCAGCCGCCGATGGGCAAAGGCGCTGTGCAACGCACCGAGTCTTTGGGGCCATATTCTCCTCGCGGAGAGACCTGGATTGGAAGATGCAATGGCGGGTTTAGTGACTGCACTTACACTCTCTCGCGATTCACCCATCTTTCTATTCGTTGCGGAGCGGGTGACAGAGTGGGACGTTATTCTCCCCGTTTTGCAACCTCATGCGAAGCGGATAGTGTCTATTCACATCATCTATGGATCCAATTCGGGGCCATTCACCAAAGTTAAAGGGCCATGGGCTCTTCATTTGATTCCGACCCTTTTGCCGCTGGACAATCTCAAAGTGCTCGACGTTGGGTATGCAGGCCTCACTCGAAAAGAGAGGAAAATCTTGAAGAGTTGCCTTCCCCAACCCGCTGCAACTACAATCGTCGGGGGTGGATGGTGCGACCTCACACGAGTTGCTGACTATACCAAATGCGAGGGGATCAATATGCGGTACTCTGGCCAAACAATGGAGGAGGTTTCAGAGATACTGGGTGGCTTTACAGCAATGACCTCCCTACGCCTCTCCTCTATGGGGCCGAATTCGAATGGATACTGGAGCCAGTCGGAAACCCTTCTACCGCAGCTGCAAAGTCTCTTTGTGGACGCCAAAGTCCCGGAAGAGCTGGCACTCTACTCGATGCAGGCATCCACAAACATTGTCACACTGGAGGTCTCCCTTACGCCAGCGCTTCTGATCGAATTGGGAATGATCCTTGATCAATTTCCGAATCTGGCCGATGTTACATTGCGCGCGAGACTCGACTTATCTCTACGTGTACCATTGTTCGACCTCGCCACGCTCCAAGTATCCAAGGCGAGGAGTATGGTCTTTCAGCATAACTGGCCACACAGGCGGCTCACCTTTAATGACCTCGCGGGTGACGTGGATGTAAACAATCAACCTACAGGAGCAGTGTCGGACACTGACAGCATCACAAGCTCTGTCGAATGGGAAGATGCAGGGGATGAGCAGGTCCAACAAGTGGATATGACTGAGGGAGAAGAGCTATCTAATGACCCTTTCGGTGCACTTATTCAGGGCGCTGCAGTAGACAGCGACTCGTCCAGCTCCTCCGAATCCAACCACGCCTACAGCATTGACTTTGAATATGAATCGGAGACAGACGAGACTCCATACATCTTTTCCCAACGCATGGAGCGCCTACGGTTCTTCTTTGGTGTGCTCGAAGTGTGCTTTCCACGGCTGCAGAGGCTCTACATTGGACTCCCTCCATCCAAAGAGGTGCCGGCTCTGTTCATTCAATCACTCCACGAGCTCAAGTCAATATCACTCAATGCAAGCATGCACGTCGTGTCCCCCGCACCAATACAGGTGATCACGCATGAGACCCTGGAGGCGGTGAAGGTCTGGCATCGCTATCGCTCAACCGAGCCGACACCCGTCGGAGCACTCTTCCGTGGCCCAAAATTGTTGAAAGATGACACCTACCCTTTTACCCCGAGGTGCTATAACTTTTTCCCGGAGCCCCTACGGCACAACACGTGTAAGAACAACGTGACTGGGATCGACGAAGATGCATTTGGCCAACTGACGAGTGTCGGGATGCCATGGTTCCACTGGCGACTCGACCTATTGACTTCGGTGCGGACTATTTTCCTTAACTCAACAGGACTGGAGGGCAATCCAACGGATCTATTTATTCATTTGATCTACAAGCCGGAACTATGTCCTAATTTGGAGGAACTCAGCATGTCGCAATGTCCTGAGTGGGATTACTTGTTCATCATGCTCGAACGACGAAACCTCCTGCCCAACTCCAAAGTCTCGCGCATCAAGAAGTTATCGCTACCGGCAGTCCCAGCGTATGTGATCCTCAATCCTCTTACCCACCTTCTTCGTGGCCAAGTGGCACCTCGTCCGTCCAACCAAACATTATCAATAGCAGGGAGAATGAAGCAGATCTGGAATACTAAGAGGTATGCCGTCGCATAAACCGTTTCTAGCTCTAATTATGCATAGACCCGGCTGTTCGTCTTGTTGCTGGCTGATGTACACGTGCGACATACCGATAAAGACGTTGAGTGGCGAGATGTTGAGACAAGCAGAATGGTCTGCCAAGTATACGCTGTCGCGGTTTGACTTTGGGAGACGACAGGCGCCGCCAGCAGCAGAGCCGCCGCTGGAACCGATGACGGCACGGTATGTGAAGGGGAGAGAAAAGCGAGAACGACAATGGGCTGGCTACATCCCAAAGCGGGGATTTGACCAGTACGAACGACGGCCGTATGCATGTGCTGCACGTAATGGAGACTCGATGGTGGTGATCACAGGAGACACGCTTGCAGGTGAGCCTTTGGAAATGTGTCTTGTGCTGGAGGCTAACCGGGTGACAGGGCTCCCTGTTGGCTAAGCTCTCGTGTAGATCATGAGATTTGCGAGTGGCCGTAGATTGCCGTTGCCCGATGTGTCATCATAGGTTACCAATTGTGGGCACACATCGATAGACGCTGTCTGTCGGAATGCTGGGCTCGGACCAGAACCGAAAAACAAAGGACTCGCACCTTGGCACCTTTTCGAAGGTCGGTCAATGGCATCTCCGGTAGACGCGGGGAATGTAGAATATTCTAGAATTATATTATTGAAGAAGAGGTCGAGATACCAGTTCCGAAGGCTCAGAGGCTCGGCTGATTGGCGGTGGGTCGGGGCGGCGCACCACGCCTGACGAAAGACTCTGACCGCTCCACGACCGCACATAGGCGTTGAAATCGCAGTGAATAATCCTGAATAATCATCTACGAGCTGTACAAGGCAGTGAGCCGTAGCTGGTGTGTCACACGTCGTCCGAGGTGCGTGAGCCATGTTGCAACGACGTTGCCTCGCGGAAACCTGGTCGCCGCACGATTTCACTCATACGCCACAGACACTTCACAGCCCTTTTCAAAAAAGATTATCAATACACTCGGAAGAGAATAAAAGGACCCCCACCTGGACAGAGCCCGGCCTTCATCTCGAACATCTTCAACCCTCTCCTCAGTTCTCCATCTTCTCTCTCAAATGGCACGCTACGAATCTCGTCGCGTTGAACCCCGTCGTGCAAACACAAAGGACTCCTGGCTCACCATTGATTGGGTACGTCCTCTTCGTCCGTCCTCGACGAGAGACTGACGCTTCTTTGCAGGGAAAGCCACAACCTCCATCTGCCCTCCATGGTGTCATGGACCAAATCGCAGGCACCATCCTCCGCGACCGCGACCTCATCGCCCAAGGCAAGCGCGAGTGGGCCAAAGCCGCCGCCATCCGTCGCGCCCGTAAGCGCAAGGGTGGCAGCAACAGCAAATCTGGTAGCGGCACATCAACGCCCCGTCATTCCAACACCCTCCGGAATCCAAAGAGGGACCCCTCGCGAAGGGGTGGACGCGTCGCTGCGGGTGCTCGCAAGACGAGTGGAACCCCCGGCATCAAGGGTTTCTTTGGCTCCCTCTTCAGCTCGAAATCAAAGTCTTCGAGCGGTAGAAAGAGGACGACGCACTCTAGCAGCGCCGCCGCCAAGCGTTCGTTGACAAGACCTGGTCAACATGGTGAGCATTCCTCTAATCGCTCCGGCTAATCTGCTCTGTGGATACATGCGCGCTGATGACGCCTCTGGGCGCGGGCTCGCATGTTCCTCGGGGTGGCTCGGATTTGATCATCACCGATAACTGACAACTTTTCCCTATTTCAGGCTCCCACTCGACTTCCAAGGCTCGACCAAGTGCGCACCGACATCAATCGTCGCGCCGTCAATAACCTCGACTTTTCGTCCGCAGTCTTGTCGCTCGATGCCCTCTATCACTCGGTCATCTCGCTACCTCGTCTGGCTCTCAGTTCCCCTGTCGCGCAACCACTCGTCAATTTTCTTGGATACGTAACCTTATGGTTCAATGCGTATAAGCAAATGTTTAATAACTTTATCAACCCATCTATATCGGCTCTGCTGATCGGAGCCGCCCGTCCTGTAGACTCCCTTCCCGCCCCCGACCCCGCATAATGCTCCTTTCATCCTTCTCCTTTCTCATACAGTCTGAGAGGCTTGTATCGTGTGCAATAGAGGAATAATTTCCAAGTTATTCATGTCCACGAGATGAATACAATTGTAAAGGCATTAAAGCGTGAAATCAGTCCTCTTCTTCGTCCACTGTGACTAGCCTTGTCTGATCGTCTGCGTGTTTCTTCTTCTTCTTTCGCCGTTTCTTCTTTTTCTCCGCAGTGACTTCTCCTGATACTGATTGAGTGCTCGGCTCGGGCAGTGGTTCAAGCTGGAGAAGTGGTTTCGATATTGCCTCTGTTTTCTCTTTTGTCATCCCGTGCGAGGCCGAGGGCGAGTGAGATGTAAGAGTCGGTCGTTGGTTTAATGGAATGATACGGGGTATGAACTGGGGATTGTACAGGAGCTCCCTCTTGAGGAGCCGCCGTGAAGCAGAGGATCTTCGCGAGGACGAGGATGACATGGAGAGAATGGAGTTTGATCGTAGTCCGCTTGAGCCTGTACTATGAATATACGCATCTGTACTGGATTCCCTTTTGCTGAGATGTGAGCGAGATGAGAGAGGAGAGTGGCGGGTCTCGCCACTCTTGAGTGACGCCTCAGTGTGTGTTTGAGATGAACCTTTATCATGCTTCTCTGAAAATGAAGCATTAAACAGAGTCGTAGTTTCCTTTGCTTTGTCTGGAAGCTCAGGAGTCTTGAAAGCGCTTTTTTTGGTATTTCCCTGGGGTTGTCCATTTGGTAGTGAATCTTCAGGCTTAGTCGCATCTTTGGTAGTTGGATTCGTTGCCGATTCGGTCTGGTTCCTCTGGCCTCCTGTCTCATCCCGTTTCTGTTTCTTCGACTTCTTCGGTTTGGGCATAGCGAATTTATCCACCTTTGGATCCACTTTGGAGGTAATAGAGAACTTGTCTCCAGGTTTCGTCCGTGAAATGGTTGCCGCTCTGGATTCCTCCTCCGAACTGGCCTCGTCAACCTTGAGCCTCTTAATGCCATTCGTTAGCGCCGCCGGTTGCTCTTCTGTGTCCAAAGTGTCTCTTCCGCGTTTCTTGCCAGCAAGTCGGCCATGTAGTCGTGCCGTTTCTCGTCCAAGGCTTGTTGACGCCTCTGTCTTCGCCGAAGGTACAGCGCCTACGCCGAGTCTATGCATGCATATTAAAATATAGCTTCAGATTTTGTGATAACCAATGCTCACCGTGGCGGTCGTGGCTTGAAGTCTGTCAACGATTCGACTCCATACTCGTTTGGCAGTGTGCTGTTCTTCATCGACGCATCCACCGCATCGTAAAGCAGGGCCATGGTCATTTGCATGTGCGCTTGAATGGCCTCGAGATCCTCGTTGTCTCCGTCATTGTTCATATTGGATGTGTGGCGAGCTAAACCAATATAAAATGCTACCAGAAGATCCAAAATTGCCGCTTGAAAGGAGTACAAAACCTGCGGCCGTAGAAGGTGAAGAGAAAAACGCTGGACAAACAACAGGCAAACTTGCCGCTGACCGTGACTCGGGTCTATCGTATACAGCACTACAAGCGGATAGATTCATCTCAAGTACCAGTGGAAATTTCAGAATGAGTGACTTGGAAGCAGACGACGACCATGATTTTGCTCCCAACCAAGTTCTACCAGTGGCAAACCTTCCCAGCGACTTTGACGGCGTTCCCCAAGACGGAATGGAATACTTGTTCACAGTAAGGTGTCTCTTTCATACATTCATATCTGCATCCCCTCTGGCCGTTCTATTTTCCCCAACTCTTGCCTAACGCACTTGCAGACGTGATGCAAAGTCGCTTCCTCGGTTCACCAGAGTTGATAATCCGTATGAAGTGGATGAGATCATCCACGCTACTCGGTACGGAGCCTCTAGTGCCCAGGAGAACGAACAGCTCCCGAGTGAAGAATGGAGAACGTCGTTTACTCGTAGTTTCCAAAACTATCGCCAGGTTAGAGTATACTTGAATCTCAGGACAAATTTTGAACGCTTGCAGAACCTAAAGCAGGCAATGGCCAAACCTCTGGAGAGCGCACCACTTACTCTTCCGAGCTTTCAAAGTCGTGAGGCTTGGTGGCGATACATCACTGGGACTCAGCCCACAGGCAATCAGGTGCAGCTCCCTGTTGCTGGAGAGGCATCCACGACAGAGAGTGGCGAGGCGCTTGCAAACGGAGCTCCATCTTCTGCAAACGCATCGCAGCCTTCGCACGAACCAACACTATCAGTTCTGAAACAGCTCTCCACGGTCAGTTTGTCCTTTCTCTATCGTTGCTTCCCTGACGATCACCCTAGAAGAACACTGTGCAATTATTGTACTGGCACTCTGTCTGGATCGACAGCTTTACCGAGACACTGGAGGAAATGGAGCAAGGTCAATCAATGACGTCTGCGTCTCGACCGCTGTCCCAAGTCCACACTCGGTGGATGTTTACACTGCTAGGGAGATTGGACGACCATCTCACGAGTCACGACATCAGTACGCTCCGATCCCTTGCTAGATCCTGCCTTCGGCTCGTCAAGGCGATGGGGGATGCCCAACAAGACCCTGCTTTGACGAGTGAGTCAATGGAGCTTTCTACTGAAACCAATCAGACAAGAGTGCTTGGTGGCTATTGGATGGTATTTGCGGCCATTGTGAGCGTATGGGGACAAACGGATCTTTGGGAAGAAGCACGACAAGAATTCGCGAAAACATGAGCCTGTGGCTGGTTCTAATGACTGTAGAGGTTGGAGGGCCCCCTTATGCGTATTTGGGTTGATAGTATGTTTGGTGTTCAATGCGAGGCGTTCCTCCCGAGACTTGGGGTTGTCCGAACCACTAGATTTTGCACAAAAGTGTAAATTAGAAGCATATAGTAGGTTCCAACACACGATTAAACCATCTAGATGACTCTCTTGACCTCGAAGAACGACTATGCTTTTTGTGAGCTCAAGAGCATGAGCGATAACAGGATTTCACGCACCTTGAGATAATACACCTGCCACGCACAAACGAGGAAGAGAAGGATAGACTGGCAGATGGACCACCACATTACACGCTCGTTTGTCGACTCTGCGGTATTGCGATGCACACGCTCGCGGACGACAATATACTCTTGCTCATCTTTGACGGCTTGAAGACCCTGAGCGAGCGCACGAATCTCCTTTTCGACCGGAGCCATGTGTTCGTCTTCGGAGACGTACAACACACCATGAACATTGAAGCTATTCGACAAACAAAGCTCATCAGCATCTATTCCGTCGATAGAAATAGAAATAACGCACCTGACAATCTTGTCGGCAATGGTGCTCATGACATTGGAGAAACAATACTCGTATCGCCCGTCGCGCTTGGCCGTGATTGATGCTGTACCTGTAGATTGCTTATATTGCTTGACGAGCGCATTATTCATCGGGTCTGCGAGCTACGACCGACGCGCGTGAGCTGCCACGACGGCACGCGGAACCTTTATTCGCAGCGGACTCACCCAAAAGTCGATATCTAAATGTCCTCCACCACCCACTTGATACGTCACGGTCATCTACAGCAGTTCAATACCGACTTGGGTAGAAAGACGCCTTGTTTACCTGGTCATGGGTATGCAAATCTTCAAAGAAGCACTCCTTTTGCGACGCTGGGATCTCAATCGTGTGTGCAAATACTGAATTCGATAGGAATAAAAGCACTAGGCCAGCCAGGAGGACAGGCAGCCGGGCCCAAGGTTGTATGCTCATTGCGGAGGAGACCAAGTCGAGTCGGCCACTCGACAGCTCAACTAGATGGATTGCAGCGAGGAGACGATCTGGATTGCACACAGCAACGAACAATTATACATGTGAAGGACAGCAGATCAATAACATAGGCGGTCATAGCAGGATGCAACAGATGGATCGTTTCACAATCGTAGAGCAAGTTATTAGAGGGAGGGGAAACAGCTTCTTACCAACGCAGTGTCATTGTCACACTTTGAGAACTGCGTCGCAGCAGTTCTGGGCAAGGGGGAGAGACACAGAGAGAACACATAGGGGGGTTTATATCCGCTTGAGCATCTCCTTGGAGTCCCGCCATGCGTCAACAAGCGAATTGACGACACCATTCGCACCCCTTGCCGGATTCGACGCTGCTCTCGGTCGCGACGAGTAATGGTGGCTGATCCGATGTGCGGAAGAAGGAGAGCCCGATGGCAAGAGTCCCTCGTCTTCTTCAATCTGAAGCTGAATTTGTCCAGACTTTGAGCGCGAGGCTAGGCCACCGCTCGCGAGGTTGGCGCTACCGGCGCTGCTCGAACGATGACGACGGTGGTTCGACACCCAAGCCTCTGTGGCCCCCAGTTCGTGTGCGCTCTCTAGCGTGTGACGTACGGGTGCGTAGACGAGAACGTGTTGCGGATCGTCAGATCCGGCAAGGGGTATATCGGTCGATGGCGGCAAAAGGAGAATACGCTGCGGTGCGCTGTCCAACCGTTCGAGACGTTGCTTGCGTAGCATGCGGGTATAGAGATTGGACAGTGTGAATGTGAATTGCACCTGGATTCCGACCGGGAAAAAGTGTCAGTATCGGCATCGAACCATATGACGATGTATGAAACACACAAAACATGTTCCGATCGTGAAATATCCGAGCAACAGAATGAGACGAACAAACGTACCCTCATGACTAAGGTGATGAACATGACGCAGACAAAGGTCACAATGGCATTTTCAAACCAAAGTTCGCAGTTTTCGAAATTGAGACCAGAGTTTGCGACACTGCGTAGGAGTTCTGGTTGCCTCGACAGATGCTCGCAGAGGAGGGCGCGAGTGGCCGGACGAGATGTGCAAAAGGCGACGACGACCGTAAACATGAAAGAAAATACGATATCCACGATTGAACAGTCGCGGAAAAAGCGCAAAAACGCGGGAATGTGCTGTTGGGCGTGTGGCGGGAACAACAATCGGAGAGAAAAAAAAGAGTAAGCTTGGTTGTCAATTTGAAAATTCGAGTACATGCCTTGAGAGCACCAATCAAGCCGATGAGCGCGGCGAGGCATGTCCACAGCATGTAGCCGCAGACGAGGCCGACGGCGACACGGACACCGTTGAAACGAAGACTGTCCCATTCCGTCTCTGGTTCCCATTTAAGGGCGGACCAGAGGTAGGCTAGCTGAAGGGCCTCTGTCAGGTTGACGACGATGACTATGACACAAACGGCGACGACGATGTGGCCTGATATGCTGCGAAGAAGGGGTATTGTGAGCATTTAAGGTTGATGTAGAATGCACAGACTGGCTTACCGCGGAGAGATCTGAATGCCGAGCGTCGAGATCATGGCTGGACAAGTTGGACGCTGCGTTGGACGACGCAGGACGTTGTGAAATATTTAATTCTGATTTTACTGTTGCAGCCAGACGTGCTCGGCGTCGGTCGACGAAGGCGGTGGTCGGGATCAAGCAGCGAAGTCACCGGACGGGAGACGCGGGTTACCTAGATAAACCAGGAACAATAAGGAACGTAGACTCGAATTTTACTTAGCCAGTCACAAATCTTATAATCATCTGATCTTCAGCCGCCAGCACGCCACAGACGCACGAGAAGCAGGCGATCAGGATACACATACACTATAACGATTATTTTAGTTGTCATGTTACAATTCCAGTTAGCCAGTCCGCCGCAGCCCCTTGGAGCCAACCAACACCGCGACTAAAAGAGCGCCCCGTCTGTAACACGCTACTCTACGCTCTCTTTCCTCTACGCATCGCTCCATGAGCGCAACGCGTCCCTCTGCAGCCTCTCCTGCCTCGCCAACCCACCTGCAACACCAAAACTCGGGTCCCTCGAGCGCTCCAGGCAGCCCAGCAGACATCACAAGCAGTCCAGAACACGCTTTTACAAATATTTCTTCCCCCGCAAATCTTTCTCCGCTCTCCAGCCCCGTCAGGCCCACAAACGACTCGGCGACCGACGCGACGCACGCCATTGACGGGCCCACGAGTCCAAGTCCTACTACTACAGCTCAAAATGTAGATCTCGTCGCGTTATCACCCGACACGAGCCCTCCAGACGCTCAGAACGTGACCAGTCCGTCAGCGAGCGTCACCACTGCTCCCATGGAAGTCGTCGAGGACGAGATTGGTGCGGCTCTTGAACTCGATGCAAACGAAGAATACATGAACGAAGACTATATGCAGGACATTCGACGCGTCAAGGTGCGTTTTTCCGCCCTCTCACATCGCCACCGCTTCAACATGCCTCTTGACTCGTCCCTTTTCGTCCGTCTACATTTCCAGTGACACTCTTCATCGTCATTACGGGCGCGTTTGAGCTCATCCACGTCTCCTTTACAGGTCTACGAGCTCGCTGGTCAAAACTGGCGAGATCTCGGCACCGCATTTTGCTCTGGAGAGTTTGACGAAACGATCCGAGAAGCACAATTAATCGCAAAATCGGAAGAGTCGCAGGAGATTCTGCTCCAAATTACCGTTCGGGCCGACGACGTCTACCAGCGTCAAGCTGGTGAGGCCAACCCATCAAAGCCACTACAATCACTCATTTCTTTTAGATACTCTCATTGTGTGGACAGAACCAAACGGCCAAGACTATGCGCTTAGCTTTCAAGACGTAGAGGGATGCACCGAAGTCTGGGACTTTATCACCGAAGTCCGTCGCCATCTTCGTGCTGCCCCAGGTACACACCTTTTTTCATACTCACCCATACTCACATTTGCACAGGCGACGACCCATCGTCTAGCTTTCATGACCCTATCCAGACTATGCAGCCCATTCGCTTGCCAGAACCCACGCTAGGGAACTTGGGGGACATTGAACGACAGATCAGAGCCGTTCATCGCTTAGGCCAGATTCGAGAAAGGGTGGCCGAGAATATAGTCTCTATGGTATGATCACCGTACTAGACAATCATGTGCTGAAGCTCGCCCCAGGATATGGTCAAGAAGCTTGTAGCGTTGATGAGGGACGCCGAGGATTTACAAAGCATCTCTGATCTGCACGCCCTCTGCACACTCATGCAGGCCATCCGTACGCCCATCCTGACATTTTCTTGAGACCTACTCATCATTGGCCATAGTCCTCTTGAACGATCAAGGCGTGTATGAACACATCCTCCGAGACGACATCTTTGTTGACATGGTCGGTCTAATGGAGTGTGCGTCTCCTCTCCCAGTGCCTCCTTGCTCGGCTGACCACGCACGCAGATGATCCCGATTTTCCGCGGCTAAAGGCACACTACCGCGACTTTCTTCGGGACAACGCCAAGTATCATCAAGTGATCGAGTTTCGAGATCAGGGCATCCAAACCAAGGTGCATCAAACCTATCGCCTTCTCTACCTCAAGGACGTCGTGCTCGCGCGAATACTGGATGACCCGATGTTCAATATTCTCAACTCGCTCATCATCTTTCATCAGATTGATATCATCACCTATATTCAGTCCGAAGAATATTTCCTTCGCGAAATGTTTTCCATCTTCCTCCAGCATCCGCGTCCACCGACAGCAAAATCCGAAGAAGGGGCAGTCGCAGAAGAAGAAGAAAAAGAGCAGACTTTGAAAGAGGACAAACGTGCGCCAGCGCTTCTTCTCCTTCATCAATTCTGCAGCATGGGGAAGAATGTCCAGCTTCCTCTGCGCATCAGCTTGTTCCGTTCCCTCGTCGACAGGGGGATTCTCTATCCGGTTCAATGGGCACTAACACAATCCGACATTAAAGTGCTTAATACGGCGGGGGAAATTCTGGCCATGGTCCTCGACCACGACGCGGGAGGTGTCCGGGGTTATATTCTCAGACAAGTTGAGGAGAATGCCAGGCGGGAAGGAACCGTGACGATGACGCAGCAGCAACAGCAGAGTAGTATTCTCGGTGGTCTTGTTGGTGCACTGGCTAGCACGCTTTCGACACAGCCGACTCCGCCACCGCAAGAGCCCGCCTCCTCGACACCACCGCAGCCTACGCTTCTCATGCTGTTGTGCTCGATTATCACGAATCCAGAGCACGAAATCTCGCTCAAGACTCAGCTCGCCGAGTCATTCAAAACGTTGATGGATGTCCCCGGTCTGGACGGAAACGTACGTCATACTTTGGATTCTTTTACAACGTACTCTGACACGAGGTTGTTTACTAGCTCCCTGGTCTCAAACTCTTGCAGCCGGCGCTGCGCAAAGATGAACAGTCGGATCGATTCCTGGAATACTTCTACACCAATTGTGCGGAAGATTTATATAAGCCGATCCTGACCAGTGTGCCGGAGCACAAGACGGTTCAAGGTGTGGCACTTTCTTTGTTTTGGAATGCGCAGGGCTCATCTTTCTCGATGGTAGCGTATCCGCTACAGCTCACGAGAGCCCAGTCCGATCTGTATCTCTACCTGTGTGACTTATTGTCCGGATTTTTATTACAACACTCGTATCAAAGCCACTTTTTCGTCACCACGAAGAACCTAGCACCACGGATCGCCTCTTTACTTTATGCTCGGGAAAAGCATTTACGGCTGGGTATGTGCATATCTCCCTAATATGGTTCATGGTTAACCCTTTCTCAGCCGCTCTGCGGTTCTTCCGGACATGCCTGAGGCTCAACAATAATAGTGTACTGCTCCATCTCACACGGAATGAGGTGTTCTCGCCCATTCTCGAGTTGACAAAACGCGAATCGTCAAGAGACAATTTGCTCAGTTCATGTTGTCAAGAGTTCTTTGAGCATATTCGAAGGGTACGTTTTCTCACACACTCTCTGGCTACTTTCTTTTTCTGACAAGTGTTTAGGAGAATGTCAAGGATGTGATGAATCACATTATGAAGACGCGTGAGCCCCTGGTGCGGCAGTTGGCAACTTCCCCTGTGGTCGGCGAGCGTTTCCGCGGACTAATACAACGCTGGGAGATCAACAATGAACCGCCGCCAAAGGTCGAGATCAAGTATGTGTTTCTTTGCCCGGGATTCTACGCGAATGCTGAGGCTTGTTGATTGTCTAGGCCGACACCAAACCCTCCCAAGCGATGGGGAACCCGCGCTGTCGATGCAGAGGATGCCTATTTCAATGCCGATGAGGATGAGGGTGGTGCAACCGCCCGACAGACGCGCGGCCAAGGACGAAAACGCGGGATGCCGACTGGTGTGGCTGGCAACGCGCCTCCCAGGCGTACACAACGACCTACCGGTGTTGCCATTCCACGAGCATACCCTATGGCGCTTGTGGACTATCAAGAAGAGGACGAGTCGAACGAGCCAGCGGCAGCGGCCTCTCCGTCTACATCCTCTGGCAAGCCCTCGGATCAGCAAGCACGTACTCGCGGGCGGACTCGAAGAACAGATCTTGCGAGAACGGCATCGTCTGCTACGCTGGATCCCAACGCCCCTGGAACCGCGGGTGCAGCGAGTCCAACGGCGTCCACCTCTGCGGGTGATCAACCCATGAGCCTACTCTCGCAAAGGAGAAATGCGACGACGGAGATTGGGCCCGTGGCCATGGACGAGGATGATGATCTAATCGGGCCCCCAATTTCCCTTAGCCATAAGCGACGACGAGATACGGAAGAAGAGGATGAGGCGATGGAACGGCTTGCGAAGCGACCTGCACTTGGACACACGGCTGAGAAGACGGATTCGAGCCCCTCCTCATCCTCGTCGCCGGCGGGTGCTGCGTCCACCAGTACGGTGTCCACTGCGGCTAATGGGAGCGCAGAGACGGCAGTGATGGAAGCAGAGAGCTCTGCTGCTGAGCCTGCAAGAGGCACCAAACGGCCTGTGCGCGTCAAGCTTTCAAATGCGCTGTTAAGCACCCCACCTGCCGATGTCAAAGTAGGCGACAAAGGATGACTGCAGGTTCAAAAAGCTCTGGCTCTTTTGTCGAGTAATTTCGTTAGCTCTTGTTTTCACGTAATACTGTTGGTTGTATTTCAGGTTATAGAATGCAGTAGATTCACATCGGAATCCATGCGCGTCTTTTGAGATTGTCATGTTTCGCTCCCGTGCAAAGGACTGGCACGAGCTGCGTCCAGTCCTTTGTCACCTGACTCCTCTATTTCCTCGTCGGCCTCTGCGATTTGCTCGGTTGTATCGTCTTCTTTCTGCTTTTTCTTTGCTTTGCGTGCCGCTTTACTAACGTTTTCAAATTTGCGTAGCGGCATCACGTCGTAGAGCGCCTTTCTCCAATCTCGACATTCGACCCACTTTACGAGAATGTCAAATACCTATTGAACTTGATTAGTACGCAACTATAAATTGGACAGGATCTGACCTGGTTAACTGTGAGCACTTTGCGCGTCGGCAGCTCTTTGAGGTAGATCCCAATTGGAAGGCGAGCTGTTCGTACGCCTTGCTCTTTGGCCTTGTTCTCGCAGAGTGACTATGAAGTATGAGTGTGGAAATGAGCAAATATGTCTGCGCACCTTGTAACGGTTCTTGTCAACGATGCCACCAATGATATATGTTGCGTCTGGATCAAGTTCGAGGAGTTCCTCGTTTGAGTCGGCTGTGAGATAAACGACTTTTTCCTTTGTGCATGTAGTCCGTTTCTTTGGAGTTTTGGTGACAGGGCAAGTATACGTGTGCTCCCCGGGTGAATCTGATATGCCTTGCCCTTGGTTTGTGGCATCCGTCATTTGCTCATCTTCGCCCAATGAGGTAGATGACACAATGCTTGTCGGTGCTATAGATGATGAAGTAGGTTGCCACAGTTGCTCGTAGCCCTCTTCCCACCACTCTACGCCTTTCCAGTTTTGATATGTATTCAAGAGGTCGAAGCGTTGCCGCGTTCGGCCATTCAACGAGGTGAACAGGAGCGCAGAGAATGGCGTGTCCGTTTTGCGATTAGAAGAATAGCAGTATGCGCATTGTGAAACCATTGAGATGATCTCCTAGGGGCTCAAAGTGTGAGACGAGGATAGTTTGCCAACAAGTATTCTTACCCTGTCGGTCATCTTGTCGTCAAACCCAAGATCTACGACAATCTTTGCACCAAAAGGTTGCTTTCTCGCCTGTTTGTTCGTGGCACTCGTACCGTCGGACACGGCATCCTGTCGTCGCCGCTTGGACTCTCTACCAACCTCTTCATCTCCTTCTCGACTCCTCTTACGAGTTTCCTCTCCAACCATCTCATCATCTTCTCCACCGACACCCTCGCCGGTCGACGTTTCAGACCGCTTTGCCTGCTGTTCCTCCAGTACGGCGCGTGTAGCAGCCCTTTTGGCCTTTTTAGCAGCCCTTTCTTTCGCTCTTCGTTCTAGCTTGTGTTCTTGATACCTTTGCGCTTTAAGTAGACGTTTCTGTGCCTTTTTGGAGAGCCGAGGTGGTGAGTCTACGTCGTTGGACTGTTCTTGTTCTCCAACCGCACCATTTTGAAGTGTCGGTGAGATATCTTCGTCGCTCTGGTCGCCGTTTTCCGACCCAGATTCTGATCTCTGACCTAGAGCAAGAGCCGTTTCGTCTGTCTGAGCCATCACCGGAGAGTACAAGTCAAGGTATATAAGGATATGAGTATAACGATAGTTTCAATGCGCGTTTTTTTTGGGGGACTATTGTCGATGGTCGAGTTCAAGGACTGCATCTAGGGTGTTAACGAGTCGAAGTGCTCCTTTGGATCTAAAGCTGGTAGGACCTTTTGGACTTACGAGTGCAAGGGTTCTTTGGATGTATCAATTATGTTTCGACATGGTATTGCGAGACTGACTCCCCAGCCATCGAGGTCGCTCGTCAAGCAAAGTGAAACTCGAGGTCTGCTAGGTCTACTTTGCTCAGACTCGTAAGTTGCACCATCGTACATCTAGACCCGCCTGGATGTTAAGTCAAGTCGATCGAGACCGAAGGCTCTATAACTGTCGCATTATCCTACCAAAAGTCGGAGTTTTGCGCCGAAAAGAGTAGCTTATGTATAAGTGACCTAGTTATTCCATACAAACCTGCCCTAAGGGATACTTATTCAGGTCGGTCCCCTACCCGAATGAGATGGAGCCCTGCGGATGGAAGGATGAATACTATCAGCTAAATGCGGATAAATGCGTCAATGGTTTGAAAAGTGTTACGGATGCACCAGAGCTTTAGTAGGCATCCGCGTTCCCATGCCATGGATGCACCGGGAAAGTGCATACTCCGGGCTATATGTTCATGTTATGCATACCGAAACCAGATTCACAGAACAAAAGGGAGCAGGTTTTACTGCGGATCGAGGCAGAGTGCGACAACTTGATAGGGGGTGTACGGGCTTCATGGGCTATCGCGGCTCTCTTCAACGCTATGATGTATCAAGAGATATTCTCTGAATGGCACATGCCTTGACGCAAAACACCCGCGATGTTCTCTAAGGGGCTTTTGGGGTTTCCGAGGGTTTCGCCCAGCCATGTTACTCGTCGGACTCTTCCGATTCGTTATCTTTAACACAGAGACACGAAGATGCTTGAAATTCTCGAGGGGGACGTACGTTTGCTTCTCATAGGGCCACTTGAGCTTCGGACAACCGCCCACTATCGACCAAACTTCTTTTTTCGCCACCGCCACGTGCATCGTCCATGTCCGCGCCAAACTGCGGTATACGACGGGCCTACATGCCCAAAAATATCCTACATGGTCTTGGACGGGGGAGAATTTGAATATAGAAGGAGCAAAGAGCAGAGCCCGTTTCATACTGTGCGCCTGACATTGTATTGCGATAAGACGCCATTGAAATCATAACTCACTCTGGTTGATAGCGAGAATAGCTTAGGACAGGTACGTTGTTTGCCAGCAATTACCATTTTGCTCAAAGCGTCGTTTGGTCTCGCCGACCTGTCCGAAAACTAGATCCGGAGATGAACGTGTCTGAAGCTGGAAAAGCGCGCCACCCATTCAGGGTCGCGTCAATCTTACAGGCCGCTATCTCTTTTGAGCCAGGTCATTGATCAAGGGCAGTCATTCCGTTGATGGGTGCACAATGGTAACTGACTTGGCAGTCGCACATGCCAGCACGGGAGTAGAAGGATAAGGCATACGCTTAAAGAAATGTATTATCCGTCCTCTCTAATCTTCTCCTTGACCGTCCATCGGTCAGACACTCTCGTGTCGCAGTTGACAAAATTGCAGAGGAACCAGGTATTATTAGAGTTTTTCTGACAGACTGGACTAACGAATTCAGGGGAATTTCCAAGAGCCAAGCAACAGCGGAGCGGAGGGCTCGCTCGACAAGCCCATTCCGAGCTAGCCCTGCCGTGCTCGCTACACACATTAGCCAGCAAACGACTGTTTACGATTGAGTCGGGCATTACAAACGTCAAAGGAAACTCTTCCGCCGACCAACGGCGCGCAGAAAGCTGTCACGTACAAACTTGCTGTTAGTAAAGCCCTGTGCAACATGTCACAACTTTTTACCTCCCTGAATTAAACAAAGAGATAGGCGACCGCGGTAAATAATACACACACCTCTTTTTGCTCCAGTGCCTCGCTGCTTGCTTTCTACCAGGGTCCTCCCCCCTCCCCCCCCTAGGCCCTACCTCGAATTCATCGACGAGCGCTCGGGTATGCGTTGTAACTGTGCCCTTGCAAGTTGATGAACATTGAATCGGCGCTCGGGTCTGTCGCCTCCGACAAACCTCTCTATTCAGACTTAAGCCAGTTATAGTACCATAACTGGACCCGTCCCGTTCCTGATAGGGGCAGCGATTCACAGGGTCCCGGGAGCGGATAAAAGAGTTATTTATGGGAGATAAATAAGTCGTAGCTTGACGTGGGAGACAGAGACCGAGGATCGACAACCACCGCCGTCGCCTACGCTTCTGGCAGCCCCCCCCCCATTGCGTCGGCTCGATGCGTTTGGGACCCGCGTTTGCGACGGCAAAGGAAAGTACGGGTGTGGTGGCGTCCGAGGTCGAGACTCGACAAAGTACAACAGGTCAATGTGGGCCCTAACGACGACAATCAAGCAACCCCCTCTTTTGGCTACATTTAACCATGCAACTGATAACCTCTCTCAACTCGGATACCTCACATAACAGCACAGAATAAACAATCTTTATGAAGCGAGTGTGATTACGAGTGAGTGAGCGAGTAGACTATGTACGAAACAAAATCCCCAATGGACCAACCAACCAAATCAGGCAGCCAGCACGGAGATCAGACCGAGGGGGAGAGAAACACGATAGGGAGGGAAAGGACGGAGAGTCGGGTACATGAGGACAGATGAGGAGACGAGCGCGCATGCGCCACTCTGACCCTATCTGGCCGTCAAGGAAGAAAGAGTAGCAAATCTATGGTCGTCTATGTTGAGTATGGTCGGTTGCAATGTCGATTGGTTGGTCGGTTGGGTGTCCGTGTCGTAGATAATATGGTAAAACCGCATCATTGTGCGCAAAGGATAAAGTGAAAGCGGATGCGAGTCGAGAGCTAGAGGAGAAATATGTATCTTGCGCGTCTCTGTCCGCGCCGCTGTCGTCAAACCTGAGCACCGAGTCCGAGTTTAGCAGATCTTGTACATCTTGACGCTATCCACGACCATAGAGCGTTGGTCATTGTCACCCCATGTCGGGAGCCAGTCGTCCCTCTTGGACCAGAAATCGATCATAGCAGCTGAACATTCATCAGACACATGGAGATGCAAAAGATAGAAAAAAAACGCACTCTTCGAACCATCGAGCCAAGGCTTGTTACCTGCTCCATCAGGGAACCATCCGTTCGTGCCACCAACGGCAACGTTCAAGATGAGGTAGAAGCTACGATCAAACGGCGCAGAGTTGGGTCCACCATGCCATGGGTTTTGGAGGACGACTTGCTGACCGGTGGTCGTGTTGGTGATAACGGTAGGGAACTTGCCACGATCAAAGAATGGCTTGTTGAACGTGAGGTCAAGCGAACGATGCAACCGCGAGTCGACGTAGATCCACATAAACTCGGGTGTCCACTCGATCGTATACTCATGGAAACCCTCGTCAAACGCCTGGCGGCGTTCAAACCACCATCCGTACGTCTTGGCGACTGCGTTCATAAACGTCGTAGGTCCCCAGTTGAGCGAGCCACGGACGTAGTCGCGTCCCTGCGCAGGATATGTCTTGTCGTTTCCACGGGCTTCCATAATCTATCGGTACCATTCAGGGGCGCGTGTGAGGAGAAGAGTTGCACGTCAATCGCCAATGTCAATAGTGCGAGAATCATGCGACATACATCAATCTCGCCAGACATGGGCCATTCTCCATAGAAGTTCTCCTCCTGTTCTCACCCTGTCAGTGGCTATTCAACACGTATAACTGACAGATGGACGTACCGGCAGCATCCAAATAGCGGGCCAAAGCCAATCACTGTACGAGAAAAAAAAATATGAGGATATTGCTTAGGGGGTGGCAGGCAAGGGGGTACTCACCCTCGGGGCAGTTTAGCGCGGACGGTAACTTTTCCATAGGCAATATTGTGCTTCCCCTTTGTCGTGAGGCGTGCACTCCTGATCGGAGGGATCATGACGCCCTCGGTACGGTTGGGTTGGACACCACAAGCATCAGGGTTGGGGATGGTACCGTTCTGGGGGTCATTGATCGTATTCGTGCAGCCAGTCAGATTGAAGACGGGGCCGTCGAGCAGTTGATCATAGCCAATAACGTCGCCAGTGAGAGTCGGGGTAATGTAGAGCTTTCCATCCTTGACATACGAGTTTTTCTCGTCGGCGGTCGCCATGTCAAATTGGTGATTGCCAAAGCCTCCAAGGTCAATCTCGTGGTTCCACGAGTTCAAGTCGAGCGAATTAAAGTCGTCCTCGAACACGGGGCAGTAGTTGGGAATCTTTGGGAATGCACGCCAGGAGAGGAAGATGGCGAGACCAGAGCCACCGAGACCGAGGATGAGGAAGAGAGACCAAGTGACCCAGTAGGAGATGCGGACATAGGGGTCCTTTTTCTCGAGCCATGGCTTTGAAATGTTTGCGTTTCCATTCGCATCCCGAACGAGAGCAGTGCTCTTAAAGGGGATTGCCTTTGCTGGTTTAGTGCGCGTGGCGTTGTCATTGAGACTAGGGGATGGCTGGCGGATAGGAGGAGCGGCAAAGGCAGAATCGCGCGATGCCATACTTCCAATACGCGGAGGGCCCATAAAGGAAGCAGGAGGAGGGTCCCTTGCCCGAGGAGAAAAGGTCAGCATGTCGCCGGTGGCCTGGCTCATCGAGTTTACAGTCCCCGGACGACTGTTGGGGGCATTGTTGCGACGTTGGTGAATGGAATTGGAGGAAGGAGTGTGAGTAATGTACCCAGAGGACGAGCCGTGGTGCTGGTGGCCACTGGTGTGGAACGGAAACTGGTTCTGGGCTGCCGAGGGCGAGTCTGGGAAATCAGAGTGCGTACTCGCAAAGGGATTCTGCTCTTGCGAGGATGTTGAACTTGGACGGTTGTGGTCCATCGCTGCCAACGACGACGGGGAGAGGACGAAGGAAAGGAAAAGGAGCGAAAGGTCGAGGCGGAGGTCAAGTTGCGATAAACAAGGTCGAATAAGGGACGATGAATTTACCAGACTTGTTGACAGCTGGATAAAATTATTTATTTTGTTTATTATTTTGTTTAATATCATTATTTATGGTAATCAATATTTATAACTAATCCAACCTCGTCTGAATTTGTCAACCGACCGATCCACTTGGCAATGGACGTCGCATTTGCCGTTTCAGAGCGCACATACATAAACCCCCGTGAGAGGTGTCCGCGCGAGAGATCCGCTTGTCCTGCATTTCCTTTCGGTTTTTGGGTTCTTTGGTTCTTTGGCAGCTCTTGCGTGGATCGTGATTCAAGCCTGCCCACGGCGTATCCCCGCCCTACCAAGAACTCCCACAGCTCGTTGTTGAATTCTTCTGTGGACATAAAGTCTCAGAATGGCTCAACCACCAGCTCAACACGCTCCTTTTACCCGCTTTCTAGCCCCGAACGCGTCCAGCGCCTCTAGCGGGCCCGCACTCCCCCTAAAGCCCATGTCGTCTGATTACGACGCGTTTGATGCTATTCTGCATCACATCTTCAAGCAGACCCAGGGAGAGGCCTGGTTCAAGCCCACCCAAGAGTCGGTCCAGGTCCGTCGTCGACAAGTTTCCCCCCCCTTCCCCCCTTTGAGATTGCAACTGACCTGTTGGATACCCAGGCGGGCGTTGCTCTACGTCTAGAAAGCAATCCTCCTCGTTTTAGGATATTTCCATACGAGAACCTGCGTCTGGCGCCCTTTGAAGCAGCCGTCCGAGGCCTCAACCCGCTTGTCGCCGTCAAGATCCGCTCAGCCTCGGTCCACGCATCGCTCAGTTTTGTGTAAGTCCTATCAGAATATGCTTACAAGGTCAAGTAACTGACAGACGAGGCAGCTCAGAGACGGACATTTCGATCCAAATCGATTCGAATACCCGCATCCAAATCCTTGACAATATCTCGCAGTTGCCCAGGGCCGATAAAGAGCAGTGTGCAGCATTCATCGTACGTATTTCACGTTTCTCCGTTCTCGCGCCACAAAATCTCCCGGGACTGCGTTGTTGACATGTCCTTTACCATACAGCGTAACGAACGATGCCTAATCTGCTGGTCCGACAATCTGGATCACATTATCCCGACGTACGTCCTATCTTCCGAATCTTCACAATCCTCAGGGGCGCCCCTCTCTGCTACGGCTCCGTCCCAGCCCTTCCCACGGACGCAATGGACTCGCTCGCTAACATTCAAACGCTTAGGTGCCAGGAAATCGACAGGCAGCTCATTGCACTCGTGTGGAAGAACCGACCTAGCAACCTCGGTACACCCGCTGCATCCTTCATGACCTCGGCTGCGGGCACCATCACGCCCGGAAGCTCAGACGCACATGTAGCGATGGGCGAGAAGAAGAGTATGGACGGAAGGGTAGACGTTCACCAAACTGGAAGGCGTACAGAGCCAGAAGTCCAAGAAGAGGAGAAGCGCGCAAACGTACGCAAGAGCTGGTTCGGATGGAGGACAGAGAAAAAGGGTCACGATATCGAGGCAGACAAGCCTGCGAGCCGCCCGACTCGACTCTTTGCCCCTGTCTACAATGGCCTCGGTGCCGGCCTATGTCTCTGTAAGCCGACACTACTTCACTTCGAGCCTTTGCTTATTCCCTTTGCCAGACTTTATGGGTAATGGTGTGTCCATGCTCCTCCGAGAGTATTGGGTCGATGGAAATCCCATTCGATTTGCACTCGCCGCAACAGTTCCTTTCCTCTTCTGTGTATCTCTTGTGAGTAGGGTCATGTGTTGGTCAACAGTCTCTCACCTCTACAAGTTCTTCGCCATGTCCGTCGTCGGTATTTTCACTCAAGCCTTTGGTCCCGTCGCGCAATATCATCAAAACTCCAAGTACTATTCTGCAGTCAAACCAGCTCCAAACCCAGCCGTCGATAATCATCTCCCCCACATCACGATCCAAATGCCCGTCTACAAGGAATCCCTCAAGGAGACGATTGCCCCCTCTTGCGAGTCGATCAAAAAGGCCATGCAGACCTATGCTCGTCAAGGTGGCACCTCGACGATCATGATCTGCGACGACGGTATGCAGCTCATCAAGGAGCCAGAACAGCGCGAACGCCAGGAGTACTATGCAGACCATGGCATCGGTTGGATCGCCCGTCCAGCACACTCTTCCGAAGCAGATGGCTTCAAACGTGCCGGTCGTTTCAAAAAGGCGTCCAACATGAACTATGCACTCGACATTTCGCTCAAGCTCGAACAACACCTCGCGAGACTGATGACCGACGAACAGGCACTTGCCAATGCTCGTGCTGCTGCAAACCTCAAACGTGCTTTGGAAATCCAAGAGGGTGCCGGTGGTGACGAGGCTGGCGAGCAAATGCCCGGATGGACAAACGCACTCGCGGCTGCTGCTGCTCGTACGGGTGATGGTGACGAAGATGACGAGGACGGTGAAGAGTCGTTGGAGGACCTCGCGCTCAGCCTTGCCGTCGATGAAGTGTTTGAAGAGAGTGGTAGACGGTTCAAACCCTGGGCAGCTCACGGACGTGCGCTGCGTGTGGGAGAGATTATTCTCATCGTCGACTCTGATACCATTGTGCCCGAAGACTGCCTTCGTGACGCTGCGCGCGAAATGGCAGAATCCCCAGAGGTTGGTGTAATCCAACACGAGTCGGATGTCATGCAGGTCGCGCACAACTATTTTGAAAACGGTATTGCTCATTTCACGAGGCGCATCAATCATGCTATCAGCTTTGCGTGTGCAAACGGCGAAGTTGCGGCGTTTGTCGGTCACAATGCATTCTTGCGCTGGAGTGCGATTCAAGATGTGGCGTTTATCGACCCGGCGGATGGCAAGCGCAAGATTTGGTCCGAGAGTAACGTGTCAGAAGACTTTGACATGGCGTTGCGACTCCAACTTGGCGGCTACATTGTTCGATGGGCGAGTTACTCTGGAGGTGGATTCAAAGAGGGTGTCTCGTTGACGGCGGATGACGAGTTGAATCGATGGGTACGTGGACGACCTTTTGAGAGGCTCTACCTCCTAACCTTTGTGCTAGGAAAAATACGCCTTTGGCTGTTCCGAGCTCATCTTCAATCCCTTTATCAACTGGTTCACCAAAGGTCCCATCACGGCTCAGCTACACAAGTTTGTCTGGTCAGACGCTCCAGTGCATTACAAGATTAGTATGATGGCCTACATGTTCTCGTACTACGGTATTGCCGCCTCGTTCACGCTCGCCTTGCTCAACTACTGCCTGCTCGGCTGGCAATTGCCCACGGACGGATACTACTTGCGCTCCTTTGAAGTTGGATTGGTATCAGCTTTGTCTTCCCCATCTGCGGTAACCTGGCCTACTCGATACTCGAGTACCGCCTCGGCCACCAAGGGCTCCTTTCCGCACTTGGCGAGAACATTATGTGGATACCCTTCTTCTTCATCTTCTTCGGCGGTCTGTCTATCCATCTCAGCAAGGCCATTCTCGCGCACATGGTATCGTACAACATCCAGTGGGGAGCGACAAAGAAGGAAGTCGAGAGGTCCAACTTTTTCTTGGAGGTGCCCAAGATCTTGGTACGGTTCCGCGTTGCACTCGTGTGCTCGTTTATCGTATTGGGTGGTATGATCGCACTCATGTTGCCCGTCATCCCGCTCGAGTGGCAAATCCCGATCAACAGCTGGAGTGTGATCCTCCCGCTCGCCATTGTGGTCGGATCCCACATCGTGAGTCTCGTCTTGTGGGTTTCATTGCTCTCGCTAACACCTGGATAGCTCTACCCAATTGTGCTGAACCCTTACCTTATGGTCTTCTCGTACTAGATCACAACAGCTCTACGATATCTCTCCCCTTTACCTCTCCCTTACGATTCTTCCTTCCTGGGATCTTGCTGGTTGCGGACGCTCATATTATTAAACTCACGCTCTCGGACTCTCAGCTGTCAGCCCTCCCAACCTTACGACCCCTCCTCCTCCTCTCTATCCTATTCACTCCCTCAGCCCTTGACAGCCCTCGCAAACCTTTGTGCATCGCCAATCTTTTTGCTTACCAAATACTAGTACACTACCTGTCTTTTATCGTACATACGAGCCATGCTCCCCATTATAGACGATGCGCTTTTGCGCCTCATTCGCTCCCTCAAACTGGGTTTTAAAAATGGTGCTTATAATATCGTATTATTACTATTATTATCTTTGATAAATACCACCGAGACGTCGTTGATATTGGATACATCAAACCGTCCCCCTCGGTGCTTTTTGGGCGCTCCGGCCACGCGGTTGTCAGACAGATGATCAATCGTTCACATAACTTGAAGCGACGTCCAAATTGAGGCTAATCAAATGTCATTCGCAAGCCGCAATTGCAGCCACACGGAGGAGCTGAAACGGCTCGGTGGAGGTAGTTTCAAAAGCTCCAGAGGACCTTTGATAAGTAAGAAGATGCGTGTGTTAAAGTGGGATTTGACCTAAGAGGCGAGCACTGGATATTGGGGCAAAAGGCTTCTTCCGGGGTCGAGAAGTTTTGTGTGATAGCATCAAGGTGGCCCCAGTGTCGACAATCAAAAAAAGAAGACTGCAACCTTTAGTGTTTGTTCCCTCTTTTTATGAGTATAAGAGTGCAGACCACGTCCTACTGTGGCCAGGACATTTGGTCAATACTCGAAGAAGCACCTTTACAGAGGTCACGCGTTTACGTCGGGGCTTGAATTGGGTAATGTTCCAGCCAACCAGTATCACGAGTATATTTAGATGTGAACGTAGGATATCCAGCCATTGCCAGCAACTAACTCAGTCCCTATCTCAGCGCCCCCTCGCCGGTTGCTACGTATGTAAACGGAGGATTGGGCTTAGGGCATCATACATGTCCCGCTGTCTCTGATTGGCAGTTGATGTCTCCCATGTTTTTGTGGTCTTGTGGCGTTGTCAACAACAATATCGTTTATAGGTTTCCAGGTTTCCTTTGGATGAGCGGGGCTTAGGACGGCCCGAATCGGACAAGGCCTCCGAGCTGTTCCAAACGTACATCCGTGCGTACGACATTGTATATACGCACTAGCGAGCGGGAGTCTGGCTGTCCCGGCCGTTGTGGACTCCCGGAGCGGGCCTGTCAGAGTTGTCACATTTGCCCCTTTGAAGCAAGCGAGATAGCTGGAAAGCGTGAGAAAGCCGCATGGAAATAAAGGATAATATAAAATAATGATAATATAAATAATAATGTTTGATCTGCCAGGTTGTTTGCGCCCCTGAGATAATTAGCCTGGACCCGAGAAGTGTTTGTAACTCGGAATCAATTCATGAGGTACCTAAGGGACCTCCCCCCCGACCACGCTTGCCCGTCCATTCCAACTTGGTCCCGTCCGTGTCTTTGCTTTCCCTCGTCTCCTCCCTCTCCAACGTCCTCTAGAGCCTCGCTCACGGGGACAAACGCTGCCCACACCACACTCGTTATCGTCTCCCTAATCCCTCCTTTTGTTGTATCCGGTTCCCCATTCCGTCGTTGCTTGCCATGGCCGACTTTGTGATGGAATACGACTCGTATGATGCCATTCTGCATCACATCTTCAAGCAAACCCAAGGCGAGGCTTGGTTCAAACCCACAGAGGAGTCGATGCAGGTCCGTTTGGCCAGACCTTTGAATTTCGTCGCCGCTCGGTTGCTAACAGGTTTGATAGGCGGGTGTCGCTCTGAGGATAGACAATAATCCTCCAAAGTTTCGTGTTTTCCCCTACGAGAACATGAGTCTGGTCCCCTTTGAGGCGGCTGTTCGTGCCCTCAACCCTCTTGTCGCCGTCAAGATTCGTTCCGCTTCGGTTCACGCATCCCTCGCGATAGCATCGTCAGACGATACGGGTCTCTACGTCGATAAGGAGACTCGAATCCAGATCCTCGACTCTATTGCGGATCTTCCCACGGCAGACAAGGAACAGTCTGCCGCATTCATCGTGCGTATTCATTTTCTCTAGCCGGGCAATCATTGATCGCTCCCAGCGAGACGAACGAGTCTTGATCTGCTGGTCCGACAACCTCGACGGTATCATTCCGACGTGCGTCCACGGCTCCCTCGGTGCTTTTTTTTTTTTTTAGATCGCTTACCGTTTGGACAGATGCAAGGAATTCGAAGACAAGCTGATCAGCCTCGTCTGGAAGATTCGCACGGCACAATTGCAGGGCGGGGACGCCATGTCCTCTGCCACCTCTATCACCGGCTATAATAATTATGCCGACTCCCACCACACACTCGAGCCGATCATCATCAATAACCAGGGAACAATCGAAAAGGTCGATCCTCGCAAACTGCGCAATGAACCGACGAGCGAGTTTGCCGACGGTATGGATGAGAAGCGCGCCAAGACTCGCTCGAGTTTCTTTGGATGGCGTACCGAAAAGGACGGCGGAGAGGTCGAGGCGGACAGACCCGCCAAACGTCCGACGAGGCTCCTCGCCCCCATTTACAACGGACTCGGTGCTGCGCTTGCACTCGTGCTCACATTGGATGTCGTCCGAAAGCTCCTCATCGAGTTTTGGCTAGATGGTGGAACGATGCGCTTTGCGCTCATCGCCATCACCCCTCTCTTGTTCTGCGTCTCTCTCGTGCGTTTCTCAAGACGGTCCTTTCTTCGACGGATTCTGACGACATTTCTGTACAGTTTTTCTACCTCTTTGTCATCGGTGTGGTCACCCAGTCTATTGGACCGGTCGCTCAGTTTCATCAAAATTCAAAGTACTACTCTGCCGTCAAACCCGCCCCCAACCCAGCCGTCGACCGCAAGCTCCCACACATTACGATTCAAATGCCCGTCTACAAAGAATCGCTGACAGAGACCATTGCACCTTCGTGCGAGTCGCTGAAAAAGGCCATGCAGACGTATGCTCGTCAGGGAGGCACCTCGTGCATCATGATTTGCGACGACGGTATGCAGCTCATTGAACCTGCAGAGGCCGCCGAACGCAAGCAATACTATGCCGACCACGGTATTGGTTGGATCGCCCGTCCAAGACACTCTTCCAACCCAGATGGTTTCAAACGAGCAGGTCGATTCAAAAAGGCTTCGAACATGAACTATGCGCTCAAGATTTCGCTCAAACTCGAAGAACACCTCGCCCGTTTCCTGTCTGACGAGCGCGCAGTGGCCAATGCACGCATGCAGGCTCAACTCGCCAAGGCTGCAGAACGCGAACAAGGAATCACAAACGGTCATTCGGCGTGGGCAGATGAAGAGGAAGAAGGCGAAGAATCGTTGGAAGAGCTTGCGCTACGCGCGGCCATGGACGAAGTCTATGCAGAGTCGGGCAATCGCTTCCAACCTTGGGGTGCTGGTGGCAAGGCACTGCGTGTAGGCGAACTCATCTTGATCGTCGACTCGGACACGATTGTACCCGAAGACTGTCTCCGTGATGCGGCGCGTGAAATGGCAGAGTCGCCTGAACTCGGTGTCATTCAACACGAGTCGGATGTCATGCAGGTCTCACACAATTACTTTGAAAACGGCATTGCACATTTTACTCGACGCATCAACAAGGCCATCTCGTTTGCGGCTGCCAACGGCGAAGTCGCGGCGTTTGTCGGTCACAATGCCTTTTTGCGATGGAGTGCGATTCAGGATGTTGCCTTTATCGACCCTGCCGATGGAGAGAGGAAGATTTGGTCAGAGGCAAATGTGTCCGAGGACTTCGATATGGCTCTTCGTCTCCAGCTTGGTGGTTATACCGTCCGATGGGCAAGTTATTCCGAGGGAGGGTTCAAGGAGGGTGTGTCGCTCACTGCCGACGACGAGTTGAATCGATGGGTATGTTCCTACTCTGTCAATGCCTCGCGTCGTCACTCACAGATCTACAGGAAAAATATGCATTCGGTTGCTCGGAACTGATCTTCAACCCGCTCATCAAGTGGTTTACGCGTGGCCCCATCTCTGGCCAGCTCCACCGCTTCGTGTGGTCCAACGCACCAGTGCACTACAAGATCAGTATGATGGCCTACATGTTCTCGTACTACGGCATCGCAGCGTCTTTCACGCTCTCGCTGTTCAACTACCTGCTCATTGGCTGGCAGTTGCCCATTTCGAGCATGTACCTGCAATCGTTCCAGATTTGGGTGTCCATTGTTTTCATCTTCCCCCTCTGCGGTAATATTGCGCACACGCTGCTCGAGTACCGTATCGGCCACAAGGGGCTGCTTGCAGCGCTCTGGGAGAACATTATCTGGATCCCATTCTTCTTCGTCTTCTTTGGTGGTCTGTCGATCCATTTGAGCAAGGCCATTCTCGCGCACTTGTTCTCGTACAACATTACATGGGGTGCGACAAAGAAGGAAGTCGAGCGTTCCAACTTCTTCTTGGAAGTGCCCAAGATTTTGGTCCGATTCCGCGTTGCGCTCGTCGTGTGCTTTATCACCGTCGGTGGCATGGTCGTATTGGCTTTGCCGTTTGTACCATTGGACTGGAAGATTCCGTACAACAATTGGTCGGTCATCATCCCGCTTGCCATCTCGGCCATTTCGCACTTCCTCTATCCCATCGTCCTCAACCCGTACCTCATGGTGTTCTCGTATTAAGCACCCTTCTCCCTTTATGACTCCCACTTTTCCCTCTCTCTCGCCCAGATCGACACTGGAGAGCATGGTTCTCCTCGACGGTCAAGGTCCCCCCTTTCCTCCCCTTCATAGACGCTTTCATCACTCCGACAAGAATGGTGAAGAAGCCCATACACCGACGCTGACATAAGGACACTACACGGACTGGACCGAATCTATATGTTATACATAATCCCAACTACCGTCCGCCTACGCGCACTCATACAAATCCCACCACGACGACCGCGTCTGCAGATTGCGACGCAAGATACAGCTGTGACCAAGCACCCTTAGACTTCCCATTCTCTCTTTCACTGTGTTCCTATCAACCCGTTGTGTGCTCCTCCATCTCGCATCGCATCGAGCCATCCCTCTCTCCTCCGCTTTCCCCATCTTTACAGGTTGAGCCTCGTCCACTCGCTCTCGCGCACCATCGCAGACCTCTGTCGTCGACAAATTCAGCGTACCCTACATCCACCTCTGTCCACTTATCCTTGGAGGCACTCGCGGTCCTTCTTCCGCCCCCTTCGCCTCGCAGCTTTCTTTCCAATTTCATCCGACGCTTGACAGAGATAGTTTCTTATCATTTGGCCACTTGGTACATCAATTTAATTGTGCTCTGAATGGATACTTGTAGGAGAAAGTGAGACGATTAGAAGCTGAGCCCATCTTTACGTCGTTGCGCCAGCCATGAAGTGCATGTTTGCGATGCAGGAGCAAATCATTGGGAAGGTCTCATACGTGCGTGAAGATGTCCAAGATTGGTGCCCATGTCATAATCTATTAGAGGTGGATCATCAAAGCAACGGAAGAAGGCACTGACTGGCAATCGGTGGCGATCGCTACACGAAGCGCGTGCCTTGCAGCTGCTTCAGTCTGTGTTCATTGGAGGATTCTTCGACGATCAAGATTGTCGCCTTTGGCATCTCGAAAAGATTTGCGCGACAGGATTTCATCGAATATAATCCTTTAAGAGAGCGCCAGCATAGAGTTGGTGCACGAGCCTCAAATCCCACAATGGCGTCAGTATCCTTATTTGCTGTTGAGATCTGTAAATTTTATGATCATTCGATAGATCTTTTTCCCGTGATGATCTCGAGTCACTCACATACACCGCTGTCGCTTTTACGCGGAAAACTTCTGTGGCAGCCAAGGCTTCGCAAGGTAGAGCCGGAGTTATCGCTCGAGATTGTTCGCATTATGAAGTCTCAATGTCTCCTGCTGCGCTTATTCAGAGGATTTCCTGTCGAGTTTGCAGACTGAATTTCGCTCAAACCCCTGATTATGCCCTTCTCCGAAAGTCATTCGCGGACCTCGAAGACAAAATGGGATGGAAAGTAGACAATGCGGAGCCTCTGGATTGGGCGCCATGCGTCGCACCGGATTTGGAGGAGCCGACGGTGGAATCTGTGGTCGAGATAACTGAAACGAACGAGGAAGGAGACACCGATGAAGAATATGGCAGTGGGAATGGGGAATAGCTACTGTGGTTTTGGCTTGGACATGAGGGACGAGCCTGCGAACCGCGGTACCGACGTAGCTCTGCCATCGGAGATTGAAGAAGAGCTGAATAACCAGGTTCCTCTTATCACAGAGATAGACCCATCTTTCCCTCCAGACTTTATAGACGATCATCTATGCTATTAACTGTACCTAGCTCTCAAGCCCAGAGCACCTGCTGCCTATAGTGTAGGCTAGGGATGTGGGTAATTACAGAGCTAGATGATAGAATTGCGAATTAATATACAACTAAAATTTACTTCTAAGGAGTGCGTGGCCTCGTCCAGGCTAGAGGGGGGGCCACTATGGCCGGCTGGGAGTATCTACCCAGTAGATGCGGATGAAGAGGTGGGATCCGGGGCAATTTCTATGTTTCTCCGGGGTTCGATGCTCGTTCGCATCTCTGTTTGAGCCCCAAGGGCCTGACTGTGCCTGACCTTCACAGTGAAGTTGGAAACGGTACTAAAAGATGGGATGAATGTGGAGAGAATCGCGTGGAGACGAATGTCATATCTTCCCCTGGATGTCACCCCAGAGTTGACTGTCCATCGATTCCGACGAGCCCACCTGTTCCCGTCTCCTCGGTGACCAAACATCGTAACTTCATTGTTCATTGGAATATCAGTACTTACTCCTGTGTCTTCTAGTGGACTAGCGGCTGCTAGGAGGTTCAGGTGTAGTCTGGATGAGGCGATGGACATAATAGACCATAGCATGAAAAAGCCTGTGAATACTGGTGAAACCGGCCGCATATTCCACAGGACCAGATTCCATATGCGAAAAATGCAGATAGAGACGTAGTAGCATACGCCGTCGCGAAAGAGGACGGAGAAGAGGTGGGATGCAATATGGCCATTACGTGATTTCGTATTTTGATGGATCTTGAAAGCTGCTAAGACGAAAATAGTCGTCTCAAAAATCATGGGACAGATCCAGATAGTACCCATTGTTTTCGGGTGAGTGGCCGCCGCACATGTACGGAGCGTTGGCGAAAAGAATATGCTTTTGTGAATTTGGTAGGACGTGATTGCGGTCAAGACGCCAGTAATGGCACAGGTGATTGCAAAGTAGATGACCAATGCGACATCTAGGTACGGTTGCTCGATTCTGACGAGAGCTCGAGTCCGCGCTAGGAATATCCAATTGCACATTGCAAATGCGAAGGATGAGGCGACGCCGATGCCCAAGAGATAAAATACGCAGCTGATAGAAATATTTAGACTGGCGAACCCGGACGTCAAGTCTACACACTATTCGTCCGAAACGGTGTTCATATTGATAAACTGTTGACTGGCTATCATGGCGAATGATGCGCAAAGAGCCCGATTCTATAAGGACCGTTGTTGGCACTTTCCGCAATCCAGGCGCCAGCGTACCAGGAAGTAAAACGCCTTTATGACACTCCATCTCTTGGGCCAGAGTAATCGCACCTAATACGAATCAATCAAAAAGCCCAAGCTGATGAATTTCACTTACTTCGTCAGCGAGTATCAAGAAGGCATCGTAAATGAAAAGAGAAATTGCAGCGGCTGCAGAAGCGTCAGCCATCGTCAGCCTCAAACCAGGCAAGTGGTTTGCCCCACCGTTCATCCACCGTGTGAGCTGGAGGTTCCACGCTACCTGAGCCAATGTCAGCCCATCGTTACGGAGCGCCTCGAGTTCAATATCCCGTATCATTGGAGGGAAAAAAAATTGTCAGATCATGGTTCCGAACCGGTCTTGCTTATGAATCCCCCAGACCAGGTACTGATGGGTCGTCTCAACATAAACCCAAGGTTGAGGGGTGTCTTCTGTTGGATGCTTGAGCGCCTGTTCCTGTTTAGCATCCGTAAGAGATGTCGACGGAGATGTCAAGATGACTGTCAGGCGCCACAGTTTCATACTCGATGGCTTGGATCACTTCTTAGCTCCCAAATCTTGGCGCTCTGTCTGCATCGAAATCTCCTTGGTAGGGCTTCAGAGGTGTGTTCATCGCTGACTGACAAAGGTGCAACACACTTGGCTATACCGGTGAAAAAGGGGGGAAGTTTAGTGGCCGGTCACTATACAGGGTACCGAAGTTCTTCACCGAACCTATCGGCTCATTCACGCCCTTGTTGCTGAACTCCCCACCGTGATCAGTTTCTCGAGTTAGTAGCGAAACGTTTGATTTTGAGGTGGTATATGTCTGCGAGAGCAAGGTATGAACCGAGATTGGGTCAAGTAACCTTGACCTCGTCCAACCACCTACAGTACCCCTTGTACGCAAATTGGGTATCTCTACGCCATGATACAATGTCGGTGAACATGTGCAAGTTGTTGAGGGATCAGACAGTTGTGAAAGCGAGTCAAAGGATTTGAATATGTATACAGTAATTAACAGGATTGTATACCTACAAGCAAATAAGTCTTACAGAATAATGCATGACGAGTATCGTTAGCTGGTCTCGATAGGGCGTACCCCTCGAAACTCGGTCTGATCCAGCCCTAAGATCGTTGCTCGGTGCGCGAAATCAACCCGGTTGAACGTGGGCAAGGGGTAGACACGAGCCGGATTCTCAAATCCATAAGGGCCACCCACACAGGGGTTTGTGGATTGTTTCTACTGAGGGGGGTCTGAATGGGCGCTCAACGATTGGATCGTGGAAAGAGGGAAGGTTTCATGCCTTGACCACTCTCTCTTCGCCGAATAGAATGTTGACGTAGACTTCAGATAACCTCGTCTATTCCCATCTACTCGGTGTCCAAAGGTAGTCACCTCGCGGCCTGTTACAGCGGATGTGATGCCAGTGGGGGTCCTCGTGTCGGCGGTGGTGGCTTTCAAGAGGTTGAGCTGCAGTCGGGAGCAGGCGATAGACATGGTGGACCAGAGGATGAAGATACCAGTGAATGCGAGGGAAATGGGTCGTAGGTTCCACACGACAAGATTCCATATGCGAAAGAGGCAGATGGAGACGTAATAGCATACACCATCGCGAAAAAGAATGGAGAAGAGGCGGGAGCCGAAATGAGCGCCATTGGATCTCGTCCTGCGGTAGATGCTGTAAGTAGTCATAATAAATATAGTCGCCTCGAAAAGCATCGGGCAGATCCAGATGAGGCCCATCGTTTTGGGGTGTACAGACGCTGCACAGATACGAATTGTTGGAGAGTAGAAGATTTTGTCGCGAATTTGGATACAGGTGATGATGGCCAGGACGCCCGTGATGAGATAAGAGATTGCAAAGTAGACAACGAGGGCGGTATCCAAATATGGACGCTTGAGGCCTACGAATGCTCGAGTTCGTGCTAAAAGCATCCAATTGCACATAGCAAACGAAATAAAGGTGGCGGACCCGACGCCAAAGAGGATGAAGAGACAGCTAACCAAGATTTATATCAAGAAGAAGATCTGCGGCTGGTACGTACAATTCATCCGAGACAGCGCGCATAGTGATGAATTGTTGAGCGTTGACCAGGGTAAATACTGCGCAAAGAGCCCGATTCTGTCCGAATTTTGTTAATTTATCTTCTTGGATCATTGGTTCGCGCACCAAGAAATAGAACGCCTTAATCACAGTCCACCTCCTGGGCCATAAAAGTTCAACCTGGCGGGAATTAATCACAGCGAGGAGACTCAGACCACCAAAATTCATACCTCGTCACCCAAAATCAAAAATGTGTCATAAATCAGAAGAGAAATCGCTGCGCCTATAGGACAATCAGCAATTTTGGCCCAAGATGAGCTGAAAATCCACCCACCGTTCATCCATCGCGTAAACTGAAGATTCCACGCTATCTGAGATAGCGTCAAGCCGTCGTTGCGGAGCGCTTCGAGCTCACTCGCAAGGACCATGAAAGAGGGAAACAGCTGATATGATGCAGGTCGAGGCCTTATTCTCCTTATGAGCCCTAAAGATACCGCGGTATTACCGAGACTATGTTCTCCTGGCGTTTCACAAAGTGAATTCGACTACCTTTTAGGCGCCTGTGGGCATGTATTCGGCAGGCGGCGACGCGGATGACGACCCTGGGATTGAGAGTCAATAAACTGTGAGTGGGTACACATATTTCCTTAGCGTGTGATAGTTTTGCTTATTGGAAGTACCAATTCCGTGCCTCCCGAGGATATCGCACACGCCGCCCAGGCTGCATAAGGGCGGGCCTTTGAATACTGGTGTCATGGTCGCTTACAGTGACCGCCACACGCATGGTCCGCGAGGTCAACCACCCTTCATGCAATAAATATAGTTATATATGCGTCAATACAACTACTCCGTCTGCGCGCGGAGCCGTCGACTTGGCATGTAAAGTGTGCTCCGTGATGATGCACCTCCTCGACGGCACTCTTGCCGGACATAAATCTACCCGATAAAATGATCCTAACCAGGTCTGAAGTTGTGACCGCCACTTGCTCTCCCGTTCGTTGCGCGTTTTGATCCATTCTTCGACGCCGGGTGGGAGAGGGGGAGACCTCACCGGAACCACCACCTCCAGCATTTGAGTTTGATCGTGCACATTGCGTGTTCCCGGTATTGGGTACCGTAACAAGCTGCGCCTAACGGCCGCTATCGGCATAGTGTTGCAGCTTTGCATAGACCAGATGCACTCCATGCACCCGGGCCTTTGCATATAAATGTAAGTTTGGAAAAACGTGTATCTAGATGGCACGTACAGATTAGGGTCGAAACATATCGGCGCGATCTCGCTAATGGACAGTTCTTGGTTGGATGGACGTAATGTGAGGCGTCCTGCGACAAGATCCGTAAGAGGTCTGAGAAGGCTGTAAGAGATACAGGACGGAAGTTCTATTGATCTGATCCTCGATGTGGCACTTGTTCGAGGTAGATAGTTTCGTCGCTCTAGTAGGATGAACAGCCAGTCCCATTCGGGGAAGCAAGCGAAGCCTAATGCGTTGAGGGATGGACAGAGCAGGGGATCCAAAATTATATCCATAAAGAAATCGGACATACTGCGCGTGCGCTCACCAAAAACGATGCGCTGTAGCGAATTAAACACGAGCAGTTTCCAATGTGGGTAGATTGTCTCCAGAGCAACGAGTGAGCGGAATGAGTCCTCTTCCTCCAGATTTAAAGGTAGCCGAGTTCGGGAATTTTCTTTCCAAGGCTCGGGTTGCCGTACTACCGCGCAATCAAACTCATTCCCTAGATGGAATCGGAGGAGGTTTGGACAAACAATAGCACTTTCGGGGAGAAACTTGACCGAAATATCGAGTGATAGAAAAAGATATTCTAGTGAGAGTGAGAACACTCGCCAGGTAGGCTCGCGTGAGGAGACGCGTAGGAAGAGACGTCGGAGTCTAACGAGTGATGATACGTAGTGTTCCCACTCGCCCGTGGATGCGTAGCTGATCCTCAAAGTATATACCTGTGGGAAGGTAGATATGCACAATTGAAATAAGGTGCGAATGTTCATGGTAAGCCAGGCTGGTGGTGATCTCCTCTTTTCTCCACGGAAATCAATCGTCAACTCGGTTAATTGGGACATAGAAGGGTGCACGGGGAGCTTGAGAACATAATTGGGATCTTCGGACACGTTGACTGACAGAGTAAGGCTGCGTAACACCTTCCAGAGGTGAACGTTGGGCAGGATGAATGAGAGCTTCTTCCATGACATCTCCAAGGACAGCTCGACAATGTTGTGGCTGCGGAGAATGATGTCGTAGACAAACAAGGGAGTGAGACTCAATACGCTAATCTCTTTCAGTCGTGCGAAGACCATGTCATCGATCCCATCTAGGTAGCTTTTCTTATTGTAGGGGTATGATGAAAGTTCCTGGATCAAAACCGACTCGATTTGTAGTGTTGTAGCCATTCTCCATGGATGTAATTTGTCAGCCATGTTGAAAATAGCATCTTCATCGATTGTGATGGATGCATTCTTGGAGAAATGCCTGATTGTTTCTTCGAAGTCCTCTCCAGTCATCGCTTCGCGGAGGAATGTGACTTGATCTAGACCTGGGGTATTCAGCCCACATATTTCGATCGTGCCGAGACTGAAGTACTCCAAATTGGGTAATGGCCCCAAGGACACAAGTTCCTCGATTCCAAACTCTATCCCATCGTCCTCTATATCTAGACCGGATTCGAACACGACGATGCGTGCTATCCGATGAGCCTGATCTGAGATCACAGGTACGTATGCCATCCAATGGCGTACCTGCTGTGGTATGTATACGGATAGTGGCAGGTCCCGGGAGAGAGCTAGCACTACAGCCAACTTCGCCAGACTATCAGCCTCCTCGAGGCCAATTCCGACTACTATTTTCGTCCAGAGGGTGGGGGTTGTCATGATTGAGCCTGCCCATGATGAGCTCACCAATGTCAATGATAATAAGTCATCGACTGCGAGGCGGTCATTATCTATGACCACTTCGGTAATAATTTGAAGAGATATTTCACTTGGGAATACTTCCAGAGGGTCTGTGAAACAGGAACTCTGCATTCTCTCCTCGTCAACGAGAGTGTTGTACCGGCAGGCAATGTCAGCCTGAGCAGCGTTGTCCGAGTTGATCCATCGTTCTAATAGGGACGACTTCTCATACTCAAGCGCGTCTAATCGACTCGAACTTGAGACGGACAGCATGGATTCGGTCCAAATGTGCAAAGCCACTTGATACCATCCACCACAATTCTAGGGGGAAACTCAGTACCAGGTAAAAGATGAATAATAATACCTTATCGGGTAGCAAACTTACACCTCTATCAGCTCAAAATTAAATGGGTCGCACGAGTTACGAGGGCTTTGATGAGGATGAATATGAAGAATACGCAACTCAAGCAAACACAGCCGAGCTTATGGAACAACATCGTCTTCTTACCCAGCAAATCAAAGCCCTCAACACTCAGACTCGCCCGACTCCAAAGGGAGGCAGGCGACAGAAGTCGCGTCAGCAGAGGTCCGCGGAAGTGATGATTCAAGTTGTAGAGGATGTATTGCATGCAAGAGGGGTCGAGATTCCTCAATATGACAGCTAGTCATCAACTTGTAGCCTTTCGGACTATGAATCAAACCTTTTTGGCCCCATTGTTCGGTAGTAATATCCTCACCACAAGACAGCAAATGATGTATGGAACGGTTCGAAATGGAGACGCTCGAGGGACGCCATGCGGCGTATGTTCAGCACATCGCAGCAGCAACAACGGACTGCCTCAAGGTCCATATATCTGGTTCCATGAACGATATTTTCTTGTCCCGTCATATGGTTCCAATGCATCTAGCATCGACTTCGAGCACCTGGTGTTTTGGCCGAGTGGCCTCGACCTTCGTTCTCGGCTTTCCGAGCTACTTCCATCGAAACGGGCAGTGGCTTGTGATATATCCGACATTGCTTTAATACTGAGATGGCGCATATTGGTCTGAACTCCTCAAGTATAACCACATATCATCCTCTTCCTGGTTCACGATGTTTGGCATGGGAAGCATGGTCTCTGCATTTGACGAGACCACAAACAGCGTCGACCTTCATCATGCCACGATCGAAGAACTCGTCAAACTCCGCCAGACCAACCTCGAATTTCTAAAGCGGCCGCATTACACATTTCCTTCATCTTCGAGGATGTTTACACCGTTTGCCTTCGTTCATGGACATTCGCACGAGGAGCCTTTGGCCGCCTTCTGTCAGAGGGAACTCGCAGAGGTGGAGAAAGAACTACGTGCAAGGGGTGTACATGTGACGGCTGAGGATATATAGTTCTGGAGCACCCGGTACGCCTTTTAATTGCCTCGTTTATGCCCCTATTCTTGACCATACTTTGTCAGAGTTACTCAAAACCCACAACTTTGGCTAGTTATCTGGTATTTGTTGGCTGTATTTACTATCTCCATCAATGTAACATGATTGCGTTTCCTTAGAGGTCTGAATTACTCGAGTCGCGCATGTTGTGGCAGCGAGAGAAAGTTCGTCGGCGCTTCGTTCCCGACCATATTACGGCCTGGAAACGATGGGCAAAAAGGACAAGGCAAAATCGAAAACAAAAGGGAATGCAGCATCAGATGAGAACGCACGGGCTGCAGGCGGCGACGTTATCATGAATGGCGTGGAGCCAGGCGGCGTAGCGGCGGGCAGCGCATGGAGGTCGTCGCATATCGATGGTTTCGGCGCAAAGGGATGGGGTGAAAGTCCTGTGGACGAGCAAAAGAATCTGCATTGGCTTCCAGACCCCAACACGAGCGACTGGGATACGCCCGTGCCAGATATTTGTATGTTGTACCATGGTTTGCATCCAAACGCGGCAATGATCTGACAGATTACTTTTAGCTGCATGGCTGGGCACTACAGGTGAAGAAATTCCCGGCTTGATGGGCTCTGGGGCGAAGAGACATCCTAGTGCCGCTGTACGAATGTCGCTCGCCAACAGTGCGAACCAGCGAGATGTGCCTCCAGATGTAGCTGCTTTGCTTGCTAGTATGCAGGCGGGGCCCATGGGCTCACCGCCACGAGCACCGACAGAGCTTTCAGTCCATCGCTCCTCTGCGGCCTATTCCAGCAATCCACTCCGTTCTGCTGGACCAACACGTGCAAACTCCGTCAGTGGTGGTCATACAAGCACGTATTCGGCTCTTCCAGCGTCTGCAAACCTTCAGCAAACACGTTTCTTCCAACGGCCGTCACAGCCCTTATCCACTATCCACTCTGAACGATCTGTACATACCCTCATGAACACCCTTGCCGCAGATGAGGCTGCCGCTGCCGCTGCCGCCGCGTCACAGGCTGGGTGGTCTCATACTCACGAAGGGTTAGCTCCGCTACACGAGGAGATGAGCTATCTACCAGAAGGACACATCAGCACCGAGATTATTGGAGGGGGTGGGCCAGGAAATGCAGAGTATATCAGCTTTCAGCAAAGTGGTGGCGAAGCTTTGATACCTGCTGACCTGGCATTGTTCAAATCCCCACGTCCTGCAAAAGAGAGGCTACGATGGGATCTAAATTCCGACCAAGATGAGAGTGTAAGCTCCCTCCTGAACTGGATTGATGTCATGAGCGCGGATCTTGCGACACTCGCTGTGAGCCTTTTTTATCATCATCTTCGAGACTAATCTAATCTTATATAGCTATTTCAATATACAGAAACCAAGAGCCGTGGTGCTCTGATCTCCAACGCTTCGTATCGACCCGCTCACACCCCCGACGAACCGGCATTTGATTGGATTACCTTCGAGCAGGCAAGGGGTACTCTAGACCCCACCTTTCAAGAATCCATTGCGAAATAGTAAGTGTAGACGTCATGAGGTATTTGACGCCCCTGACATGCAGCAGCGATCCAAACACCCAGTTCATCGTCTATGTCTTCTTACTATCTCCTTCTGGAAACTCTTTGGCCATTTGGCGACGCAAACTTCCCATTCCCCCTGAAGTGACAGACGCGTTTGCCGACAAACTGGCCGAAACCAACGAGATTGTCAGGCGAAAGCCATGCATTGTTGCTGTTGAAGAGTCAGTGGTCTATTGATGATCTAATCTCATGCTAACAATGTGTGCATCAGACTGCCACATCGTGCTAAGACACCCAAGTCGACAGTCAAGATGTCATCATCGAGACAAGCCGGTACTCAATCCGCCACGGTCCCAACCTTCGCCGCCGCTGGCCAGTCCGTCCGGTCACGGACTACCAGCGTCCCAACACCAGCAAAGAATACGATTACTCGATCCAGTTCGACATTGAAAAAGGATCCTCCTGAAAAGGAGAAGAAACGCAGTACATGGTCGAAAATCTTTGGGGGTCGGAAGTGAAGATTTTCGGTGGCGGTCGTTGGAAATGATTTCGCGCACGCTCCAGTTATTTATTGCATTATGGCATCCCTCATGCGATCTCGTATTCCTCATTCCGTCTTTGATTTCGGGTTGCATACTTCCTCATGTGTATTCAGAGAACATGCCTTGTAATGTACTCTTCGCTATTGGTTTGACGCCTAAAGCGCCGATTCTTGACGCTTCTAGTTGCTTCTGTAGCGCCAAAGCTGGATGACAAAGTCGCGCGTCTTAATCGCGTATTGAGCAAGCGCTGACCATATCTTGACCTCCAACCATACCACGATGGCGGCTAGTCAAAGTGCAAAGATGGACATTGATGAACAAAAGATTGACGAGGGACTGTATTCTCGCCAGCTGTGAGTTCTGTGACGCGTCCGGTGGCATTAAGAACGGCAGTTGACCAATTTGTGGTGGCTTCAGATACGTGCTAGGCCATGAAGGTCATACGCTTCGTCAAACGCAAACGGTTCTGATCTGACACTTCTCTCGTGTAGCGATGAAGCGAATGGCGTCGTCCAATGTTCTCATCGTCGGAATGCAAGGGCTCGGTGTCGAAATCGGTAGGCCATATTCGCATTTAGAGTACTTCACCTCACTCTTGTGGTCATGTAGCTAAGGACCTTTGTCTTGCTGGTGTCAAGTCGGTGACGATCTATGATCCCGATCTTGTCCAGCTTCAGGACCTGAATTCTCAGGTGGGTATTTGGGTAGCCTTTATAGAGCCGTATTGATCCCCTTTAGTTCTTCCTGCGGGCAACAGATGTCGGGAAATCACGAGCAGACGCGACCCAGCCCCGACTCGCAGAGCTCAACGCTTACGTGCCCGTGCATGTCTTGCCCGGTACTACAGGTCAACAAGTCACGATCGATCAAATCAAAGACTTTCAAGTAAGCGTTATCATTGACTACTCCCATTTCGTAATCGCCTCTACAGGTCGTAGTCCTTACAAACACACCGCTCTCCATCCAACTCCACATAAACGAGTGGACACACGCCAATGGGGTTCATTTCATTGCAGCAGAAACCAGAGGTCTCTTCGGGTGCGCGCCTTCTATGCTTTTAGAGTCGCACCGTACGCTGATACTATTCAGATCCGTCTTCAATGACTTTGGAAGTCGTTTTACCTGCGTGGATCCCACTGGGGAGCAACCGCTGAATGGAATGATTGCTGAAATTGATAAAGTGAGTGATCTTTGAGACCCCTCGCATGCAATTGACATCCCATGTAGGGCGAAAAGGCGATTGTCACTTGCCTAGACGAGACTCGTCATGGACTGGAAGACGGTGACTTTGTGACTTTCAGCGAAGTGGAAGGCATGACAGAGTTGAACGGCTGTGAGCCGCTAAAGGTTACGGTCAAAGGCCCTTACACCTTTGAGATTGGAGACACGAGCAAATTTGGGGATTACAAGCGGGGTGGTATCTTTACCCAAGTCAAGATGCCCAAGATTATCGATTTTGTGAGCACATTGGAAGCGGGGTATCCGACGTGCTGGTTGACGCATCTACAGAAACCACTGAGCGAGTCCCTGAAAGATCCAGAGCTCTTTATCACCGACTTTGGGAAGTGGGACCGACCCTCCACTCTTCACGCAGGGTTCCAGGCTCTCTCCCAGTACCAAGAAAAGCACGGCAAACTCCCTCGCCCTCGAAATGCGCAGGACGCCGCAGAGCTCCTCTTGATCACGAAATCACTTGCTGGCGAGACAGAGCTCAACGAAAAGGTCATCGAGGAGCTCGCATTCCAGGCCCAAGGAGATTTGGCCGCTGTGAATGCAGTCATCGGTGGCTTTGTCGCACAGGAGGTACTCAAGGCCGTCAGTGCCAAGTTCCACCCAATGGTACAACACATGTACTTTGACTCGTTGGAATCTCTCCCGGATCAACTACCCTCCGAGGCAGATGTTGCACCTCTCGGATCTCGATACGACGGTCAAATTGCTGTGTTTGGAAAGACATTCCAAGAAAAGATTGCAAACCATCGTCAATTCTTGGTCGGCGCTGGCGCTATTGGTTGCGAGATGCTCAAGATTGGGCAATGATGGGTGTTGGCGTTGGGTCAAAGGGTCATTTGCACGTCACTGATCTTGATACAATCGAAAAGAGCAATCTCAATCGTCAGTTCCTGTTCAGACCAAAAGACCTTGGACACTTCAAATCGGAGGTCGCTGTCCATGCCGTCACCGAGATGAATCCAGATTTGCAGGGTCATACCAATGCGTATAAAGAGAGCGTAGGACCAAACACAGAGAGTACGTCGTTCCCATCATTCCATAGTAACTCTGACTCTCGTAGGCAAGTATAATTCCGCATTCTTTGATTCCATCGACGGTGTGACTAACGCACTGGATAATGTCGAGGCTCGTAAGTGATCATGCGATTCATTCAACAGTCTTTGATTTGTAAAAGGTCTCTATATGGATCAGAGATGTGTTCTCTATCAAAAGCCACTCCTCGAGTCGGGTACATTGGGTACCAAAGGAAACACACAAGTCGTCATTCCACATCTCACCGAGTCGTATGGATCATCACGAGATCCCCCAGAAAAGGAGGCGCCTTCTTGCACAATCAAAAACTTCCCCAACGCGATCCAACATACAATTCAATGGGCTCGAGAGCAGTTCAATAATGCCTTTGTCAACCCGGCTACGAACGTCAATGGCTATCTTTCGGAGCCAGGCTTCCTTGAAAACGCCATGAAGTACTCGAGTAATCAAAAGCCGCTTCTCGAGCAACTCAACCGCTTCCTGGTGACAGAAAAGCCACTGACCTTCGATGAGTGTATAGTCTGGGCAAGGATGCAATTCGAGAAAGACTATAACACGGATATCAGGCAGTTGCTCTACAGCCTTCCCAAGGATGCAGTAAGTCGTATACATTTGCGAGGACTCCGAGCCAATCATCTCCAGGTCAACGACAATGGCATTCCATTCTGGTCGCCGCCCAAACGTGCTCCGGATCCGCTGACATTTGATACCTCGAATGTACGTCACGTATTTCGCAAGACGGTAGCTCACCCTTTTTAGACGGCACACCTGGACTATATTGTCGCTGCCGCGCACTTGCATGCCTTCAATTATGGACTCCACGGCACAAATGACCTCGATCATATTGCCAAGGTGGCGAGCTCGATCAAAGTTCCAGAATTTGTCCCGAAGACCAATGTCAAGGTTCAAATCAACGATAATGATCCTCCCCCGGCGAACGAAGATAACGGTTTGTCTTCAAATCGATTCGATGGTAATATTCTGACGTATAATAGACGAAGAGGACTTGACCAAGCTATCTGCATCGCTTCCTGCACCATCATCTCTAGCAGGGTTCCGCCTCGTTCCAGTGGAATTTGAAAAGGACGACGATACAAACCACCATATCGATTTTATCACAGCAGCATCGAACCTTCGTGCAATGAACTATGGCATCGAACCAGCCGACAGACACAAGACGAAGCAGATTGCCGGAAAGATTATTCCTGCCATCGCCACGACCACTGCTCTTGTTACTGGGCTTGTATGCCTGGAATTATACAAGGTCATTGACGGAAAGAAGGATCTCGAAAAGTACAAGAATGGATTCGTCAACCTTGCGTTGCCGTTCTTTGGCTTTTCGGACCCCATTGCGGCTCCAAAGAAGAAGGTGCGGATACTGCAGTTCATCAGTTTCGAAAACTGAATATCCCCTTAGCTTGGTGAATCTTCTGGACCTTGTGGGATCGGTTTGAATTTAGAGGTGACCCGACGCTTGCTGAAATGGTCGACTGGTTCAAGAAGAACCATAACCTGGATGTCAACATGGTCTCGCAAGGCGTCGTGATGCTCTGGTCCCCATTCGTAGGCAAAGTCAAGACACAAGAGCGCATGAAGCTGCCAATTAGCAAGTTGGTGGAGTTGATTGGCAAGAAACCCATTGCACCAGGAACTACCCACCTGGTAGTGGAGACTCTCCTTTGTGATGAAGAGGGTGAGGACGTTGATGTGAGTTTTGTTGTTCCGTTCCCGTGAATTTTCAGTTTACGCTATTCTAGGTGCCCTATTCCCTTGTCTACATCTAGACCTAGTACTTCTCAGATTTGTTGATATAGGAAGCAGTAATTGAAGAAATTTGGATCACGTATTCAAAGAAGTTCGGCAACTAGTTTTGACAGTTATGTGATGCTGCTGCACTCAAGGCATAACAACTACTTGCTGCCCAAGGCCGGTGCGCTCTGCAGCAACGGTGAAAGCTTCCTCGAGTCCTTCGAGCGCAAAGGTAACAGTTTTGACCCCGCCCTTCTCTCCGATGACTAAGGAGCCAGCCTCGACAAGTCCGACTAGCTTGTGCACCGCTGGGCGAGATGCCATGAAGCTACCTATGACCTTCCTGTTGCCGAGCATCATGAACTGATAAGGGATGCTCACTTGGCCTGTGATACCTCCAGAGAACACGGCTCTTCCATATGGCTTCAAAGCGAAGAGGCTACTGGCGATGTGCGTACTTGTAGAAGCCTGAGGAGGGGAGAAGTCGATATAGACGTCTGCGCCTTTGCCGCCCGGCGTGGCAGACTTGAGAGCCTCTGCATCCTTTTCGACATCGCACGCGAGGGAACTGTCATGAGACGTCCACCATAGAGGTTTCCAATAGTCTCGGAGAGATTCTTGAGTTGATCCCTGTTCCGTCCAGCTGCGACGACGCGAGCGCCCATCGCAAGAGCGACAGAGACCGCTACGGGAGAATTAGAAAGACGATGAAACGATGAAACGATCTGACCTGCACCTCCGAATGCACCAGTTGCGGGTGCAACGATGACCGTCTCGCCTGGCTGAACTCCAGCTTCATGCATAGACCCTGCAGGAACTAGCAGCTTGGAAATATATGCTAATTCATTGATATTATATCCCAACTTCCCAACGAGGACATGCTCATCGAGCGGGAACAAATTCTCCAAGGGTGCTTTGACGTACTCGGCGTACGTCCCGTCGCGCCATTCAGTTTCCATCAGAGTTACACCGGGTCCAACGGCGAAGAGGCCTTGGAGCATACTGACAGTGGGTTCGTCGCGAGCGCGGACGCAGATATCGACCAACACGAGTTGGCCAGGCTTGAGAGAGACTGCATCCGAGCCTACAAGCTCAACGCGACCGATTGCGCCACCGCCTGGTGTAAGAGGGAGGCACATGGGATAGGGTATCTTGCCGGTGAAGACATCTTTGCTATAGGATGCGACTTGAGAAGTAAGAACACGAACGAGAGCGCTTCCTGCTGGCATAGTTGTAGGCGTGGTAACGTTGACGAATTTGAAGTCAAGTGGACTGGTCAACGACGAAAGCACAGCGGCGACGTGCGTCTTTGGGAAATTCTATCACGGTCCTCAATTACTTTGGCATTCCTAGAAGTATGACTGCTTACCATAGATGCTGCCATGTTCAGGGATTTGGGCTTGGAACACCACAGGACGAAGCTGGTCGCCTTTTATGCACACAAACCTCCGTGTGATGACCATAGCTTACATATCTCTCCGATGCCCGAAATATTTTTATCATTCTTCTGTCCAAATCTCGCTCGTGTCTGCCTTGGCCGGTCGAGGGAGAGGTGCAAGCTCTATGGGTCGGACATCCGATCCACATCTTCGGCAGGTGTAAGAGCGAAAGAATTGGTATTCAAATCATGTATACTCAGTAGAATGAATGTATTATAGATGCGTAACGTCTCTGATGCGATATTGGAGCTCCGCTTGCTGTACCTCCTAAGCCAACGGAATATGAGTAAATTTATAAAATACGACCTCGATAGTATTATCAAACGTAGAAGGATTGGCATGTTCGCACTTACGATGAGCTGCAAACGTATCAAGTTTGCGTCCAAGCAAAGTCTAGTCGCTTATTGAGGTTATGTTGTTTAGAAATTATTACCGAAAACAAAAGTCTCAGATATAGCCAGCCAACGGACTTTGGTGCCACAGCTCCTTGAACCTTGACCTCCATCATTATAATTCCGGAATGTCTAATCCTCTCGATCCCGTCAACCCTCTCGATCCCGTAAAGACTGTGCGTGCCATTTTCTGGTCATACGCGCGTTTGTCGTCGCATGCCACAAGCGGATACTTGATCGACGCGCAATCGCGAGCAAAACTTGCATTCAAGGCTTCAGCTAACGTGATTGTTCAACAGGAAGAGGAACATGATCCTCATTACGAGCCCGTTATCCGCCTCACGGATAAGGATCAAGTAGAAGTCAAGACGCACGAGGAAGACGAAGACGTCAAGTTTAAAATGTATATCTACAAGTCACTTGCTCCGTATTCCTTACTTATAGAGACTTAAAGGCGTGCCAAACTCTTCCGATTCGACCCCGACTCGTCCGAGTGGAAAGAGAGGGGAACAGGAGATGTACGGCTACTCGCCCACAAGACGACGGGTAAAATCCGACTCGTAATGAGACGTGACAAGACGCTCAAAGTGTGCGCCAACCACGCCAGTACGGTTTCACAATGATTGAGGATGAGCCCTTTTTGACGCCCACATAGTCACACCGGAAATGACCCTCCAGCCAAACATTGGCTCTGACCGCTCGTGGGTGTGGAAGACACTTGCAGATATGGCAGAGGGTGCCCCGTCTGCGGAGACGCTGGCCATCCGATTCGCAAACTCGGATAGCAAGTCTTGTCTCTCTGCATTTCCTTTTGGTCTCACTAACGTCCTCGACAGATGCAAACCAGTTCAAGGAGGCGTTTGAAGATGCGCAAAAGGTCAACAAGGAAATTTCCTCTGGCAACAAGCCGGAGACTGTCGAGACAAGTTCAACCGATCCCGCTGGACCGTCCGCCGCAACTGCAAAGGAGGCCACCGACAAGCAAAATGCTGCTGCCGAAGGGTCTGCTCCAGAGTCAGAGGCCGTAAAGACGACCACAGAGTAGACCATGTAGATTGCTTGTAAAATTCGACGGAGACCAGTAGATTCCCTGCCGAGCCTTACCATTGCAATCTTAGTCTCTTACGCGGTATTCTGCGTCTAGAAAGCGGTATAGATTAGCGACGATGAGTGACGTACACATGCGAGATAAAACAGATGAAAGCAGTCTCTAACTGCCGACGATGATACAATAAGCGACCAGACCCATCAGTGATTGGTATACTGTCCGTAATCTCTTCCAACCTTGAATGCTCACATGCGCCAAGTTGGCGGTTTTACGGGAGTTGTAGATACAATTCTTGCAGGCGTTCGTGATGTCGTGCTCTTGGATAGGCGATGAGGAGGTGGTGTCGTACCGGATCGATGTGGTGACTCTTCTGCCTTTCGAATGAACTGCAGGGGTGCAAGAGGCGATCCTGGCGATCCAGAGGAGTGTAGAGAGCGTGGGCTCGTGCCGTTTGGCGTATGAAGGACAACAACTGCACCAGATGGCCGTCTGGGTTCCGGAGTTTTTGGTGGGCGGGGACCCTGGAGGATTGGCAGTTCGAGTAGGGGTTCTTCGGTCGTGGTGTTCAATGTCGCAGAACTGATCCATTTCTGCTCCTTCGAACCAAGACTCGGTGCGTCTGGAATTTGGTCCAAAAGATGGGCAAAGTGATCTTTGAGGAATTTGGACAGTTCACACCAGCCACCTCCCACTCGCTGGTCAAACGATAAGTGAGGTACTGAATATGCTCGTGATACAAGGACTTACAACCATGACTGTCTGCGACCGTAAGATTCTGCAGAAACAAAGACGCGCCTCTTCGTCGTCACCGATCCAATACTTGCCGCTCTTGTCCTCCCACCCGCTAGACGTGACAGCTTGAATAGGAACGTTCACTGCCATCTTGTTGACGACATTTCCAACCGCCACGTCCAATTTATTTTTGGGATTTGCCACATATGGTTTGCGCACAGCAGATTTGGAAGCTGGAGGACGAGGCGGTGGCTTACCGAAGGAAGGTCCGCTAATGCGAGAGTGTGCCGACACTGATCGACCCTTGCTCTGTATGCTGGATGTCTCAGAAAGGTCTGGAGAGGGAGGTCGTAACCCCTTGGGAGTCTTGAACGGAGAGCGTGAGCCGCTATACGATGGTTTGGTCGGTGTGACTGGGTCCAATCCGAGGGTGTTGCTGGCGGTGCGTTGTCGCGAGGAGAACGTCGATTGGTGCAAGGACGAATTGGGACTGACCAGTGGGCCTGAGACGGATCTCTTCTTCGCAAGCTTGGGCTCGAGACGCTCTTGTCGAGCGTTGAGAGCGACAGATGCCGTACGACCTGAATGTGTCTTGGAGACCGTGCGCGATACCTGCCTTGGAGTCGTAACTGGCATCGTCGCACTGGGACGGGGACTTCGTCCTAGCCCAAGACTTTCCCGATCTTTCTTCTTCTTTGCTACTGGTGTCTTCTCAAGCATTGCTCTCAACGAGGACGTACTTCGACCGGAAGGAGCAGAGGAATTACTACGACTTGACATGCTGCTTCCACGGCCTGATGGAAATCCATGACCGCTCGCCGTACTCGGTCTCGATTTATTTTGCAAGCGATCAGTGCACATCTCTTGAAGCTCAGTCCACGTCTGGTCGAGGCGCTCAGTCTCTGCAGCTACACGACCATCGGACGATAAAGGCTTTGAGGCTGCTTCGAACTCTTGTACGAGATTTTGAGTGTAAGCCAGACGGGCTGCAAGTTGCTCTTCCGGAGGCTTCGATGGGTCGGACACATGCGGCGATTGCAATTCTGCAATAGGTGCCGAAGGGTAACCATCTACGTGTTCAAGCAGATCACTGAGAGATGCATCGCACTCAGCCGCTTTAGAAGACACCACCGACAATGCACGGCAGCGATCGAGTAGCTCTCTTGCATGTTCCAACTCCTTGTGCAAAGTCTGGTGACTTTCTTGCACTTCGCTGTCGTCCATGGTCGTGGGGATGCCGCGAAATGTACTTGAAATCTCGTCGAAGACCACCTCCGATTGTGCAACGTAGCTTTTCGTCGGAAGAACAGAGGCCTGCGCCGAGTCTGGAATTGGTGTAACCCAGTTTTCCAGACTCAGACCGCGCAAACGACGTCTGAGATCCTCGATTTGTTCGAAAGTAGACGCAGGGCCGTCACCGCCAGCCTCCTTGGACATAGCACGAGCAAACACATCTGAAAAGGTCGTCAAAATCTGACTCATAATCTTTGACAATACGAACCTTCTATAGAGGAAGCACTGGCCTCTTGTGCAAGTCTCCGTTCCTCTGCAAGTCGTATCTCTGCAAGGCGGGCTTCTTCTGCGATACGGGCTTCCTCCCTCTCCGCCTCCAGTCGGAGTCTTTCTTGTTCTCGGGCTTCTTCCTCCTGCTTCAGTGCCTGACGACGTAACTCTTCCTCTTCTGCTATACGCTGGGCCTCTTCTTCAGCACGACGAGCCTCTTCCTCTTCAGCGCGGCGACGAGCCTCCTCTTCTTCAGCACGGCGACGAGCTTCCTCTGCGATGCGTTGAGCCTCTTCTTCTTCAAGACGAGCCTTTTCCTCTTCAGCGCGACGACGAGCCTCTTCTTCTGCAATGCGCCGGGCCTCCTCTTCATCGGCACGACGACGAGCTTCTTCCTCTTCAGCGCGGCGACGAGCCTCCTCTTCTGCTATACGCCGGGCCTCTTCTTCAAGACGAGTCTTTTCCTCTTCAGCGCGGCGACGAGCTTCCTCTTCTTCAGCACGACGACGAGCTTCTTCCTCTTCGGCACGACGACGGGCTTCTTCCTCTTCAGCACGACGACGAGCCTCCTCTTCAGCTATACGCCGAGCCTCTTCCTCCTGTCGACGTGCTTCCTCTTCCGCTTTGAGCTGGCGTTGTCTTTCGTGCTCCTGTTCGATGAGACGCTGAAGTTCTTGCTCTTTGAGAATCCGCTGCCTCTCTTGTTCTTCTTCCTGTAGTCGTCTCGCTTCTCTTTCCTCCTCTTCGCGACGTTTCCTCTCCTCTGCCTCATCGGCTAAACGTTTCTGCTCCAATGCCAATTGTCGTTGCATTTCGGCTTCACGCTCGAGCCTCTCGGCCTCGTCACGCTGACGTGCAAGTTCCTGTTCTTCTGCAATTCGTCGCTGCTCGTCCTCGAGTTGCTTCGCAAGCATTTTCAAGCGCTCTTCTTCCTCTCGAATCGCAGCTAAGCGTGCTTCCTCCTCTGCGGCTTTACGCGCCTTTTCAGCTTCTTCCTCTTCCCTCCTGACCCTTTCAGCCTCTCGTAACCTCTCTTCCTCTTCTCTGCGAAGTCGTTCCTCTTCCTCTCTCGCCAGGGCAGCTTTCCGTTCTTCCTCTAGCCTCAGCTGCTCAGCAACTCTTTGTTGTTCTTCTAGCTCTGCTTTTCGTCGAGCTTCCTCTGCGAGTCTTTCGAGGGTCTCGATTGCAGCGCGCTCTCGATTCAGAGCAAAATTGATCGCTGATGCTGCCCCTTCTAATGCGGATGCGACCTCATTCAGCTGGGAGCCAAGCTCTCGCTCCTTTTGTACACACGGGTCGATGATTTGCTGTTGAACATCCGGATCTTGAGCGCCAGGTCGGCCGAGCAGATCGCGTAAAGAGTCGCGAAATGGAGGTATTGCTTGCGAAGTAAACTCCTTGACTTTGTTCGAGGCGCTTTCGACACTTTTCAGCGAGGTTTCAAACTGCTCCATAGCTCTTCGATGCAAGTCGATGTCTGCATTCTCAGCATCCACAGCGACGGAAGAAATTTTGGAGGCGTGGGCATCTACTTCTTCCTGAATCGTGCGTAGCTCGTTCTGGAGTGAGCTGGCCGACTTTTCGACCTGACGGGCCGCTAACGCGAGCTCCAGATAGTCTCGATACCGCGAAAGTTCAGATGACTTGGTCGTGATACGTATCACAAGATGATTGGCATCGGAACGGACGTTGTGGTCGAGAGCGTTGGCGTCGAGAGGAAGCATGAAAGGCAATGGTGTTGGTGGTACTTGGGGGTTCCAGGTTTGAAGGAAGGTGGCCAAGGTAGGTTGTGCCGAACGAAGGGGTCCATGAAAGTAGGCATCAGGCTTGCCTATAAACGGCACTCGAGAGACAAGGCCATCGCATAGCTGCACAACCGACTCTTTGATAGAGTCATGATCGCTAAGCAAGCCTGCAATTCTGTCTTGCGCTTCAACGTCCGCGTGAAGCGGATGCTTCGTTGAGCCTAGCGCATTCTTGTACTCTTCGAACAGCGGCATCATGGTATCGATGCGTTTCTCAAGCGACATCTCTTCCGTTTGAACATAGTCCATCGCCTTGGCCTGATTCTTGACCGTTTCGTGAAGTCGGCACATCCCCTGACGTTGTCGAGATACTGCTGAACCGCCGTCGTTGCCCCTCCCAACGCCCCAACCACGTCCGATCCAACGGATCCATCAAGGTTTTTGATGGAGGGCAGAACAACGTTGGAGATATTGGCCGAGATTTCATCCAACTGGGAGGGTATTCGCTGAAAGGTCGTCGACCAGGATCCATCCTCTCGCATAGGCGATCTCAGAGGTTGCTCCTGCCCCATTGGATGCCATTTGTCTCGCTCCATGTGAGAAGCGATAGTAGCCTTGACTTCATCAAGGGAGGCCCACGCGTCTCCTACAGCTGCCCACACCTTTCGAGCCTCTCGCAAGGCAGCAGCTTTCGAGGTAAATGCCTCCTTTGCTTGAATGGCTCGCTCTTTCGCCTTTGTAAAGGACTCGAGGGCTTTATCAGTGCTCTCTGAGAAAGCCGGATCGAGTGTGGCGTCTTTTAATCCCACCATAGATCGACGACAGATACGGGCAGCATTATCTCCAAGATTGCATGCTTCCTCCAATTCTCCACAGATAATGGGGAGAACTGCCAGATACGCTCCATGTCGCATAGGCTCCAGACAGTCGACCGAGTCTAATCTAATCGGTGTTCCGTCACCATCCTCGGCCTCTGCACCTTCCTGTAGGCGCTTCGCACAGCTTTCGAGCTTGACAGCGTATTGCTCCAATTGTCTCTGAGCATTCTCTACCTGGCCGACCAGCTGATTCCTCTCGTGGTACTGCTGACTCACAGCAGCCGCTTCTTGTATCAGCGACTTTGTGTATTTAAGCTCCGAGGATAGCGTAGAGACGATGGAGTCGTTGCATGCGGCTTGGTCTGGAAAGCGAGGGTGAGTCGGTTTTGGGAACAGGCGAGAGTTCACGGCCGTGGTCAACGTGGTGATCCGTTGGTTCATCCCTTGAAGTCGGGTAACAAAAGAAGAGTCCATCTCCGAATCTGGATGATGTTTGATGGCATGCATAATCTCTTCCCTGAGGGAGCCGGCGGCATCCTGTTCCTTTTTGAGATTACCGTAAATCTCGTCTGCCCTACAAACATAGTCAGACGATTCAGTTGTACAAGTGACCAACATACTTTTTCCATTGTGCCACAACCTCCATTCCAAAGCGAGCCAGTGCTTCCAAAGGCCGCGTCTTGTCTTCCAATCGATCCTGTTCATCTAATATGGCATCTGGAACAGTCTTCTTGTCGATCATCTTGTCTAGAGCCTGGCCCGCTGGTTTTACTAGGCCTCGATCCCAAGCAGCGATGCGTGTCGTGAATCGACCAGCTTCTCGTCCAAGATCATCACCAACTTTTGATCTTGAATTGCGGTTATTGGATGAAAAGGCAGAGTTTCGCCTGCCAGGAGTCGTGGCAGAGACTGGGGAGGAAAGTGGAGAGTCGAAATTGGTCGAGGCATTGACGCTGGAAGTGCTGGCGTTGGGATGACTCATAATACTGCCAGATGCGTTGCTGGCATTCGTGTGATGCATGCTGAAACTCGACACGCTCGACGTACTGACATTGACCAACGATTCGATCATACGTCGATACGCCTCTGGTGTCCATCGTGCCGATTTTTTGACAAATGCTTCGATATCTTCCTGTATTGACTGATGCTCTGCCCATGCTCCCAAACGCTTCTCCTCCCATGTGAGGCGAAGGCCAGTGAGTTCCAAAAACTCGGAGCGGGAGCGCAGCAGATGAACGAGTTTGTCGAGCGCGAGAAGCGTAGTCAAGGTGACTTCTATTAGATCTGTGTCTGCAGGCGAAAGATTTCGCTGGGTGGCGGCTGCAAATCGTCAGCGTCGCTGGATGCTGAAGCCACCGCGATGACTACCTTTGGCAAATTTCTTGAGCCTTTTCATGTCATTGGAATCAAAGCGCTCCGCCTCTTGTTCGATGGCATCGTGCTGCTTCATCCATTCGGCCAATTCTTCGCGCGTTGGGAGGCCGGGTATGGGTGTTGGACTCGCATTAACGAGAAACTCTAGATTGCTGAAGAGGTCGACGGGCGGTAATGTTTCTAGGAACTGTAGGCGGAGTGTTACAAGACGATCCGTTAGCGTGACTGCACGCGCAAGCTCACCTTGATCTTGTCTTCTATCCATTCTCTGCGCGGAATGAACGCTTGAAGCTCCTATTTGGTGTCGGTAACGTTTAGCGAAGGATGGTTGCCGCGTTGTGCAACCACGTACAAGAATTTCGCCCTCTTCGAGCGCGTCTTCGCCTTTTGGAGACTTTGGAGAGTCTCCTGTATTTGAATCTTCTGCTGGGGCCACGATGGCGGCATCTGGGATTGCTTTGGCCGATGCGGCCTGCGCGTTTGTCGAGTCGTCTGGACCTGTGGTCGAAGGAATGTTCGTGCTCATAATTTCCTGATTATTTCCCGTCTTGTTAATATAGTTGCATCGATTTTGGAGACTTCGTTGACGACTTTAGAAATTTGGGTCGTGAGGGTTGCTCGCCAACGTGTTTTGCCACTTGACCCTGACTGCAACTTCACTACAAGCGACAACTCGGATATTTCGCGAGTTTACTACGCGCAAAACGCGCACATTTGGCGTCTATCGCGTCGTAATGAGTTGCAACCTCCACCACGGGTTTATCCTCATTCTGATGCGAGAGAAACGACAGACAGGGGCTCATCCCGAGCATACTGACCATCTTCAGCACCCACTTGCGACGGAAAATCTCATGTTTCTGACTCCAGCACGTCAAAGTTCCATTCGCAGGCTTCATGCCCGAGCTTCGGGCTGGCCGCCTAGGAGATCCACTACGTTTACAAAATGGTAAAAGATAGTGTTAGTATGATTCCCAATGCTACCATCACCGCCATGACCACAACCGCAGCTACACCTTGCGTCAAGGCGACCCAGTAGACGAACGATACAAAAGCGAACACTACTCCGGTAGCAAAACTAAGGGCCATGCCATACGAGATCCAAGAAACCCGCTTATCCATTCCAAATTGTTGCAATCTCTCGAAGGTATACTTTTCCTTGACGTACTTGGACGGTAATTTACGTGTTAGGACCCAATCGTATGCGTCCTTGTATCGTCGTAGTGCTTCCTTGTCGCCGTGGTGGTACAGAACGGCGAAACGACTAAACTCGCACTCCAACGACGTGGCAAGATTTATGACGGCGACAGCAGCACCAGCGCTTCCAAGGTTTACAATGACAGCCGCGTACAAGAACCAACGCAAGTAGAGCCAAGTCTTGAGGGTGTATCCTCTGAGCTGCGGGGTCTCGCTCGTGAAGACAGCAGCTTCGATTATCGAATTGAACGAGATTTGGACAGCAGCAAATAGGGAAGACTAGAGACCTGTAAGAAATTTGCAGTGCGTTGTCGTATCGTGACGAACCGTGACCGCGATCGTCTGTGCTACGACAACCAACGAGGCAACGTCCGCCTTGATTGGTACTGGTAACTGGGCTTGCATTGTGGTCAGTTTTATTTCCTGAGTAAACAGACCCTAGAATACCTGTACTCGCTAAATCACAAAGCTCATCATCTGTTATCGGGAAGATACCTCGCTCTCGAGGTGCGCTTGGGTGTTCCCCAGGACTAGGGTATGTGACTTGCAGCATTGTTGGCCACAAAACTGGTTGATCCCGCAATAAGCGCGTGGGATGGTTGAGAGCAAGTTGATGGTGTTTGGTAGAGGATTGTCAAGTGACAATTGTATTCAGACTGCTCTCGACCCTTTGCACGAAAACGAACATTGATGGTACTATCATGTACAAACTACATTAACTATTCTTCTTCTGTGTGTCCACCGACTTCTGCTGAATGATGAGCGACAGGAGGGATAAGATTCAGTTATACCGTACCCCTCGTCTCCAACTTTGCAAGTACTGTGCAAGTTCTCTCATGTTTTTGACGGTAAAGCCACTCGGCTCCCCCTTCTGTGGACTTTGTCAGCCAAATGCACCATTCAAGCAGTCTACAAGAACTCGCCTTGACTTGTTCTTCCTCTATTAATGCTGCTGCCTTTGCGACTCGGTTACCGACGACCGTAATCAAACTCTCGAGGCATCAGTTCTGGCCTGTCAAGATGGAGTTGCAAACCTACTCTTCCAATTCTTCTGTTTTGACGGTGCTCTTTGCCAGTTCCTCTTTCAAGGTGCGCATGTCTCTCTCCTGAGCTAGGACAGCAGATTGGTACTTTTCCTCTACCGACTGTAGACTTGAGTGGAGTTCCACTTGAAGATTTTGCTCATGCAGACGACGCGTAGCTTGGTCGACCTCGTGGCTCTTGGTCAGCTCTGCGATGAAGCAATTCCCTGTTTTGATGTCTGCATGTAACTCCGAGATGAGTCGTCTCTGCTGGACGAGTTGTCGTCGTACAACCGCATAAGGGAGTAGACCGATTGTCAGGCTCAGAGCTCCTACTGCAAGCAGGGGGACAAGAGCTTGTGTGGTCGATAGGGATGGATTATGCGGTCGCTCCAACGGTCCGTCGGGTATGGAGCCCTGACTGGATTGTGATACAGACATAATATGATGGTGGCAGGCGAGTTTGACATACCCTGTCCCAGCCTCCAAGCTGACAGGTCATTGGTTCATTCGAGCGGTTACTGTTCTGGACTCGCCGGGTTTCACACCCTTGGGCTTATCAGCCTCGACACAGTTGCGAAGTTCGATGCGAACGCTCCACTGAGAGATAACAACCATCAGTCCTTACTCGTCCTCCCCCACCATAATGACCTCTACGCACAAGCCTCCCAAAGCTACCAAGAAGGTCTTTGTAAGTTCTGGGCACTCTTCATTGTATGCACGTGCCTCATAATTCCCCCGGTAGATTAGTTCTCGGGGCGGCTCTCGGACCAAAGGAGCGGATGCCGTTGCTCGTGCAAATGTACCTCCTCCTCCCCGCATGAGCCTCGAGGCGCCGCTACCACGTTTGACGGTACGCTACGCTGCGGTTCCAATTGCGATAGAACTCCCTGGGCTCACCTCTGCTTCTCCACTCAGGAAGCCCACTATGCACGAGGCGGCGAGGCCAACTCGTGGAAATACGTGGTAGAAGACGGAGTATTTGAAAGCGCCTTAGCGCACGACCAACATCGCCTACGAGAATTAGGCTGGAAACCTAAGCCACATCGCCCTCGATCTCTTCGAGGAGGCCCCGCAGTCCCCCAAAAGGACAGAACAAAGTCAGAGACCAGCAGTGTATTCTGTAAGTGCCCATATTTCACATGCTGTGATCCTCTAATGACCCGTCAAAGCCTTTGGAAAACGCACTGCAGCAGCAAGCATAACGACCCTAGACATTCAAAACAGTCTCTCCGCCGATATTCATCCAAGCGGTTCCTCAATCGGACAGCTTGAAGATCGCCTATACGAACTGTCTATCACCTCTTCCGAAGACGTCGACCAAGTGTCACTGTCCAACTTCACCGCGCCTTCATTCTTAGAAGAAGGCGAGGATGACGACGTTTATTCGCAGTATTCTGTGGAGGCAGAATCCTTTATCTCCGAATCTGCCGTGCCACGAGCTCGCTCATTATCCCTTTCCTCTGCAGAGACAGATGAATCCCTAGGTCCATCAGAGGCCCTGCCAACCCGTCCCCACCGACGCTTCAGTCTCGTATCACCTGGCGTCGTCGTCTTCAAGCCAGACGAACCCAGACCGCTTTCTTTTGATCAACATCCGCATCCCGCGGATGTGGCCCTGCAGCGAAATACACCCGCCATATTATAACCCCCGGCTTCCATGCTCAGTCTTATCGCAAATGAGATAGACGGGCGTTGGACTACGGTCGACTTCGGACCATTCACGCCATCGGCTAATCCTTGATGGCGCGCGCACGCGTGTTCTCGCCTAACGTGTGCTGATTGTGGTCCATTCGTTCACTTGGATTTTTTGAATTGTTGAAACGCAGTACTTTCGTATGTATACCCTTCACTAGTTCTCTAGAAGTCTCGCTTGATCCCATCTTGCCCACCAACTCCCTTCCATATGTTCGACATCAGCAAAGGCCCAAAGGAGCCAAAGGAGCCAAAGCCTCCAAAGGAAAAGAAAGTATACGTGCGTCGGGCTGGGAACTGGGTCGACCAAGACTGATGGTTTCCTAGTATTCGAGTCGGGGTGGAGCCAGGTCAAAGAGCGTCGGACCAGCCGTGCGTAAGCCTGTGCCGACAACAGGCCCTTCAAGAATGTTGGAGGTTCCCGTACCCACGAACAAGGTGAGCACCATGCTGGCACACCCAAGGGGTTGGTCTGATATACCGACGAAAAGACGACGAGCACCGGAAGGGGCGGCTTCAATGGTCGAACATTTGTCGTAGAAGAAGGCGTGTTTGAGCGAGTTATGGACTTTGAGGTCGCCAAGATTAAGGAGATGAAGCAGGGCGACGAGAAGCGAAAAACCATCTCGCTCCGCGGAGGTGCTGTCGTTCCAAAGGAACGATCTGAAAAAGATATACGTAAGATCCTGTCAACGCATTCCACTCAATACTGACAGCCTTTTTTCTTCAGCCCGCACGTCCACCCGTTCCACATCCAGCGGACAGAGCACGGCTAGTGGAGATGACTTTTCGCCCAAGGCTCTTGTTGCAAAGTTTCCAAAGGTTCCAGCATTGACCGGTAGTCTCTTCTCCAGAGACCGCGACCGACCAGCGACGCCTGCATCTGTCGTCCCTTCCAGCAACGGATCCATCCCGTCAAACGGCTCAAGTGGAGGTGATCCACAAAGTGCTCGACACTGTCCTACGTGTCAATGCTGGAGACACACCATGTCCACTCAAGTCTCGGTAGACGCTCAGCTCAGCCCGCCGCCCACCCAGCCCCCATCTCCTTTCCGTTCAGTGTTCCCAGGAGTCATGCTCTATGTGCCACCGGAAGAGCAAAGGCCTCAACCCGAACCGCCCAGCCCGACGTCGGCGTCGTCCGTTTACTCGTACTACCGCGAGGTGCACAGCGAATTCCGAACTCCTACTCCAGAATATCGTGACTCTGAATCCAACCGTCGATGACAGGACCTATTCCAACGTCCCTCCGGCATTGACGCTCATCCTATTCCCCTCCGTTGGCGATTCCCCTTGGCCCTGTTGTAGTTGTTCTCGTGTATTTTACGCCCTAGAAAGTTGTAATCGATCCCACTTTGATGTTTGCAAACGACACGCTATCATCATGTCAGGTCCAAAACTATACTTGGCACCCACCGCCCTTGGCCAGCATGAGCAGTCTCTTCTCAGAGGCGTTCTGGAGTCTTTATTTGTATATTCGAAATTTCATTAGTGGCTCAATAGCACGGTACCAGAAGCTGAGATGGTTTGGCAAGCTCTTGATCATGCTGCTCATCGTCTTCTACGTCGCTCTGGTCGTCACGTTCCTTGTCATCGGCCCAGACACCATATTCCAGGTTAGAACATGCCTGAGTATATCTGCTGATTTTTCTCATCCCGAACGACAGTACTTCTTTGACCTATCCCAAGTGCTTCGAAAGATGGAGTACGGCTGGCTCATTCTCGCATCTTTAATCGGTCGGAAACCGCGTCTTTACATGTTTAAAAGCTAACTTTTCGCCTGCAGTTGTCGCCTCTTTCCCTCCAATGGTGGGGTTCACGACCCTCCTCTCGATTGCCGGTGCGCAGGCTCATTTACCGAAAGCTTCCCAACTGACCACGCTCCGGATATTGCATACAGGATTTGCTTGGGGTGTTAGAGGTTTCTTACTCGCGTTGCCAGCAGCTCTCGTCGGAGCCGGCCTGTCGTTCTTGTCGATGCGGTTCCTCTTCAAAGCACGGCTACACAAGCTTCAGCAATCGAACAGGCATTGGAGAGCCCTTGATCAAGTTGTAGCAGCCAAGGGCCTCCCACTCATCATCCTTATTCGCTTCTCTCCTCTGCCGCCGTGGGTCTACTCGAATGCGCTCTTTGCTTCCATTACATCCGTCAAGTTTTGGCAGTTCATGGTGGCAAACCTGTGAGGACCAAGTTTCTGACATTCTGACCAATGCCTGACAACGTATGCAGATTCTTGTCGCCCAAGATCCTGTTGACCGTGTTTGTTGCTTCAAGGATCGCTGCACTGGCTGATCGTGACCAACGTGGCCAAATGGACTTGCCAACGGAGATACTCAACTATAGCTCCATCGCAGTCGGTATCATTATTGGTGTAGGCACAGGATGGTGAGTAATGTGCTGCGCAAAATTGGCATGCGTTTATGTCCATCAGGGTCGTGTACCGTCTCACTCAAGAGAAGATTCGATCGTTACCGGATTTGCCACGGGATGTGGACGAGGCAGCAGCAGATGCCCTCCGCGATGCGGAACAAGGTGCCCCTCTCTTGCGTGACTTTTCGCCTGAACCGGAAGAGGACGATGTTCCGCTGGAGACTTCACCTCCGAGTCGCCAAAAGTCGCTCTCGCCTGACCGAACCAAGGGACGTCCGTAGATCACATATTCCTTACGGGCCACTTGTCAGTAGTGCTCTGCTTCAGCGTTGACTGTATATATTACGACGAACATGTAGGAGACGACAGGTATACGATAGATAGACGAATCAATAATTGTGCAAGAACAACAGTGCCAATGACGCTCCCATAAGAAATACCAATATGAATAGCCGAGAGTCCTTTTGTCTCCTTCGTGCCTCTTGGAGCTGCTTGTTGCCCGCGTTGACGGTAGCCCCAGCTTCGATGGCGTCTTCGTAAAGCTGGTCGGTTATCTCTGCTTGTTGTGTCAAGTGATTGACAAGCTCCATCTGAAGAGCAGAGATTTCCATCAACCGCGACTCTGCTTGTTGCACTGTGGCCAGTGCGTCTTGAGCCTCTCGTAAGATGGCGGCATTCTCCTCTTCAAATTGCTGAATCTGGGATTGTGAGAGGACCATCTCGTCTTCAGAGTCTTCTGGATCTTCGTATGTCGGTACTGGTGTCCCGTTTGGTTTCGCCCGCGAGCCCAAAGAAGTGGGCCATAGTCCTCCTTCCGAGGCTTTTGGAGCTAGTGAGGTTGGACGAAGAGGATCTGCCGTCATTGAACCCAGTGTCTTTGTGCGCTCAAGTTGCCTCTTGATGCGCTCCTCTTGCATCTCTTTTTGGGTTTGGCTGACCTCTGCCAGCCGTCGATTTAGATACCAGGTCACACTGGTGTTGTGTGCAGCCAAAAAGTCGGAGGCCAGTGTGGCGGAATTTCCCTGAGATACAAGACGGGCTGGGAGCAACTTTATGATCTTGCTCGTCCGCGACGTGGCCAGTTGTTCTCTGTCTATGCAAACGGTCATCAGTTTCAAGCAACATATTGTAGTTGTGACGTACTCTGTTCTACTTGTTCCATCGCCCTCACACGCTCTGCGCACCGCGAAATAATCATCTTCGCCTGCAGGTCGACTTGGTCTCGTTGTTGGCTGGTTAGGTACTTGAGAGCTCCCAGAGAAGCCCCATCTGTCATCAAGTCTACCACGGCACTAGCATCGCGAGTAGAGACCATGTCATTCACTTCCACGTTGAGGTACGGTCTTCGAATAACGGCGAGGACTTTGGACAGGGCCTGGATATGTCGTAGCTGGTTCATTTCCATCAGTTTATGATTTTCTAAAAGAAATGATCTGATACGGACAATTGTATAGGCATCTTGCATATATGCTGACGCTGTCGCTCTGCTGAGCTGGTCATTCCGTTCGGGTGAAGTCGCGGGCTTTCGTGGCTTCGATGCGTTATGTATGTTCAGTGTTGCTTGCACATCCTGCAGACATTGCCGGAATTCCGGTGTACGGTCAAACATTGTGGAGCGGTCCAAGAAAGTCAAAGGGTGCAGAATCATTTTCATTTTGGCCAACACCTCACAAATGTGAATGCTTAATCAAGTTTATTGCAGATTCGAAACAACGATATGGATCGTTCCCCATGACGATTACTCTTGCATGTGCTCTTCCTCTCCGTCAAAGGCGTCGTCTGGAACTTGGCCTTGAATAAGACTCAGTGCTCCACTTACTATATAAACAAAAGGTGCATTGCGAGTCGGTGGCCTCTCGTTTTGGTAGGCAACAAGCAGATTGCACCGCGGGCCTGAAGATTAATGAGAACTGATAATGGACAGTATGAATGCCATACAATTATACCTGAACTGTCTCTCTAGACCATTTGGCCTGTATGGCTCGGTCAATCGACATTGAAGCTCGAATGGGGAGACTCGCCTTTCAACAAGCACAGCACCCACTTCTTTTGCATTCAATTTAAATACGCAAGCTTTTGCGGAGTCGGTATCCTTCGAACGGAGAATGATGGCATTGTCAGTGGTTCTTCGGGGGAGGTTGCTGAGCGTTTTGTCAATGACTAGCTACCAAACCGTCAGAGTTGGTTGATAAAGGAGGGTGGTCTTACAATGAACTCGCCACAGAGGCAATAATAAGTCCTAAGCGCGGCGGTCGCCGAGGTTGTAGCAGACGCTGAAAAGGGTATCAACTCGCGTCAGATACCGCGCATTACTATCAGTGTTACACTTTTAACCTTCTGCTGAAGACGAGATGGTCGACCTTGAGATAACTTTGGGCATGGTGCGGGTTGAGTGGTAAAGCCACCTTGGATCTGTTGTCCCAAATGAAGTTTGTCGCTCTGCTTTCTGGAGGTAAAGATAGCTGTTTCAACATCAGCCATTGTCAAAAACACGGTCACGAACTCGTGGCAGCGGCCTCACTCCGGCCCAAAGAGGGCATTGGTCAGAGTCTCTCTTGCCCAATCCTGGTTTCTGACCTCCAATAGATGAACTCGATTCATATCTGTATCAGACCGTAGGACAAGATGCTATTGAATATGTCGCACAGGCGTTGGATGTTCCTCTGTATCGCACCGTAATCCAAGGGACAGCCGTTGAGCTCCAGAACGAATATGGTACTCGGCTTGGAGTCGAAAGATCGACGAACCAGGGTGTAGATGAGGACGAGACAGAGGACATGTTTCGTCTTTTGCAAGACGTTCTCGTAAGCCGTTTAGTTGGACGAGGCATGTTCTTCACTGATCGGTAGAGACATCACCCAGACATCCAGGCCGTCTCAGTCGGTGCAATACTGTCGACATATCAAAGACTTCGCGTCGAGCATGTGTCAGTTCTCCAAGTCATTTAAGGGACATCCATAACTTGTATCAGTTGTCGAAGGCTAGGACTCACTTCACTCTCATATCTATGGCAAAGAGACCAGGAGGAGCTTCTGCAAGAGATGATAGATGCGGGGGTTCATGCTGTCCTAATCAAAGTGGCTGGCATAGGTCTGAAACCTTTGCACCTCGGTCAGTCGTTGGCTGAAATGCAACCATTGCTCCAAAGTTTGGTATGAAAGCAAAGTAAGGTCTGAAATTTACTCATTTATTCTAGAACCTTCGATTTGGCTCCCACGTTTGCGGCGAAGGTGGAGAGTACGAGTCACTTACCTTGGACTGCCCCGCCTTCAAGCGCAAGATTATTCTGTTGGTTGATTCACCTCCTCCGAACCGGTCTCTGATGATTTGATTGAGATTAGGACTGAGACTGAGACCGTCATTCAAAACGACCATGACTTTGCAACGGTGGCATACCTCAGGATCAAGTCGGCACATCTGGAAGATAAAGCATCTATTATCACCGATATAATTCCGCCAATTCTATTCGACGAGGAGGTAACCAACGTACAGGCAGCTGCCCAATCGACGCCTGCAGATGAAGCAGTAGCAACCAAGGAGTGCTCGATGGGCAATGTTGTTCGCGCTCCCACTATCCAAGCCAAATATAAATGGGTCGCAGTTTCATCGGTATCAGGAGCCGAGGAACACAGCAACGGTATTGCTGCTGAAACACGCCGATGTTTCGAAAACCTGAAAAGTGAGTACAACATCATGTCTCATGATTCAATTTGATCCCCTTTTAGAGCTGCTTGCGAAAGAAGACCTGGACATCACTGCCGTGGCACACATTACTGCTCTGCTAGGAAACATGGACGACTTCGCTGCTTTCAACCAAGTATACTCTACCATGTTTGGCACGAGTCCACCAGCACGTGCTTGCGTAGCGGTAGATCTACCTCGATCCCATAGCGTTTTACTGGAATGCCTCGCATACAGGAACCACGCGCCTCTAGAGCGACTGGCTCTTCACGTACAAGGTATCAGCTACTGGGCACCTGCCAATATAGGACCTTATTCACAAGCCATATCGGTGAGTCACGAAAAGACCGACTTACAAGCGTCTAAAGGTTCGCCCAGGTTGGCGGCGTCACGTTTGTGTCAGGTCAAATTGGTTTGATCCCTTCGAGCATGATCTTGCCATCCCCATACGAGTTTGCGACCGAAATATCCTTATCACTGAAGCATATTCGCTCAATCATTAAGGCTCTCCAAACGTCGTCTTTGGAGTTACAGCCGTACGGTTACATCGTTTGGCTACAGGATTCTCAACACCTGTCCTCAACTGTTCGCGCGATGAATGTCTGGATTGAAATTTCTCGAAGTAGCTCAGCTCCGTCTCGTGTGCCCGTACTAGTCATCATCCCTTCATCCTTGCCAAAGGGAGCTGCAGTTGAAGCGCAGACTGTACTGCATCGCCAAGATAGCAACTCTGAAGAGACAGAGAAGCTTGATTATGTATGCCAATCCACCACTTTGCATCGACTGGAATCCACCAAGGTAGAAGACGTCGATAGGTTCACCGTTGTTTGGACAAATCTCACCGGTGCGTCACTCAGGAGCCATTTTGGTTACTCAAATCCAATTTAGACATTGAGAGTGCCATAGGAAGATGCAAAGATGCGCTATCACAAGCGCTTTGCCTCAAATTATACACCTCCGGTAATATTGGTAACTAGAGTCTCTAGATACCAATCTCATGTATTGACATATACGCCAGGAGCGAATGTTCTGGACAAGCTGAATGATCTCTCAGCCCTAACGGTGGTTCCAGTCCGTGGAGTCTTCAGTCTAACCGATAGCTCTTACAAGACATGGGAGGTCGCTATTGTTGCCATGTGCTTTGATAAGTCAAGAGGGTAATAGCGAAGCGTTTACAAAACCAGAGGTCTACATCGATCCATTGAGAGTACCGAGTCAATCGACCCTGTCTATTCCGCCTCCTGCTCCTTCATCTCGGCAAGTCGTCTCCTCATCTCCTTTTCCGTCCTCGTTGGTGCCACAGCGCGCGAAAAGGCGGCAGCCACAATGGAGCAGAGCCCACCAAATCTGAGAAGCCAGGCCACGCCATTCTTATGATAGTACACATCGTTGGGGTCGCTATCAGCGGAAGAGTCGACGATACGGAAGATTGCTGTCGCGACCAAAGCAATCTACAAGCAATGGTAAATCACGGATAGCTTGTCAACACCAAAGACTTACGATAAACTGTGGGAAGACAATGGCCAGGTTGTGGATCCCAAGTACAGTGCCGCCAGCCATAGGAGTAGGAACCTCGCCTGTCTCAGCTTCATAGTCCAAGCGTAGAGACTGTCTGCGAAGAAGAGGCTGCCTCTCATCATCTCCACGAGGGTTTTGCATTCCTCTCCAGATAGCCGGAGAGGACGCAACTCTGGTGTGCGTTGACCTGCGGGTCGCGTAGCTTTGAGGGGCAACTGGCGGGGCAGCAGCAGCCGCATCGACCTCTTTGAGGTACTAAGAAGGTTTCAGAAAAGTTCGATTTTGTCGGAGCATAAATACGAACCTCCATGATGATAGCAAACGGCACCCAGCAGGCGATGGCCCACGAGATTCCGACAAGAGAAATGACAAGAGTTGCTTGCCATACGGTGCGCACGATGAAGGTAGACAGCATAAGTATACCGAAAAGGAGAAGTCCTCCAGTCCAGATATTTCGCAACATGAACGGCATGGCAGGGAGATGCAAGGGGCGACCCATGCGAGCGGCCTCTTGTTTCCACGATCTAACCATGGCACGAATGCGAGAGATTTCTTCGTCCTCTTCTTCGTCCTCTCCATCACCCTTTGAAAGCAAACGTGGATCACGCTGAGCAATATAAGGTAAGACGGTGCCAACAACCACCGAGACTATCAAGATATAAGTCGTCGGTGAGAGTGATGAGAAGAGAGCGAACCTATGCTCGAGAGGAGAAGGGCCAATTCGCCCGCTCTCGTTGCATCTGCAACAGTCGGCTCTCGATCCAATTCGTATGCCATCACTTCACCAACCCATACAGTGCTGATGTCGTTGTAAGCTTCTGAACAATACCACCGTTTTAGACTCACGCATAGAAGAGATATGGGAACCTGATGAACGTCAGAACGAGAGAGTCGGACAGAATGTAGCCTCACCAGCCCATAAAAGCAAAGAGTTGGACGATGCAAACGCGGCGAATAGGCTTTGGTAGCTCATAGATTGCCTTGGTTATGTTGTTGATGGTATCGCGGAAACGACTATGAAGAATGAGATTCGAGTCAATTCCACAGAAAAGGGGCTGACCCTCTGCCGCTAGTAATGTCGCGATCTCGAGCAGTTTCCTTCGAGGTGATACAAGTGATCGAGACGGTGACCGAAATGATCACGACAGTTAGGATGCAGACTTTGCGGAAATGACCATCTCCGAAAGGCTTCAGAATGGGCCATTTATCCAAGTCTTGGGCTCCCAACGTGTAGCCAATAATGTTTCCTGCATGGGTCATTCGTCCGTGCCAAGCATTGCCAGTCGCCAGTTGCTCTGCAGGCGTGATGTCCAAAAGAAGGTTGCGAAGTGAGGCTTGCAGGGCGTTGAGGGCAAAGTCAAGAATATAGAAACAAATAACTGCGATGATAATGGCGAGGTTTGAGACCTGACTCGAATGAGACTATACCGCAATTATTCGACGATATACGCACCTTCTTTCTTCTTCCGGGGTTCCAATCCTCCATATGAGTGAACATGTCGACGAGGAACGAGGCGATAGGTTCCACATAGGCGAGAACTATAGTGACCACAACCAAAGAGCCTGCAGCGAGCCAGATCCAGAATCTCCTTCTATAAGCGGACGTGGAAGAGTCTGAAATAGCACCTGATAGAGGAATTAACAATGAGCAAAGAGGGGATACATTGGTCGAATAGACACGTACCAATCAACGGCTGCGCAATTAACCCGGAAATCGGACCAGCAAGCCATACAAGACTTGTAAGTTGTTCCGGTAGTCCCAGACCACGGAGGAACGGTGTGCCATAGCCCAACTCGAGCGACCAAGCGAGCGTGCTACCACCCATGGCGATCGAAATATTGAAGAAATCCTTCCAGTTCATCCTCCTCTCGATAGACTTTTTCGACGTGGTCGTCCCCTGCCTCTCTGGGTCGCGAGGCCCGACGGTTGGTGCCCTCACCTCGACCGGCGACGCAGGTTCTGGCCAGGCCACTTGGGCATTATCGTCTGCATTTATGTGACGTGATGCCATATTTTGTCCGAATTATCGACTGCCTCGCGCCGTCGAGGTCGGAAGCAACTGTGGAGCGCTGGGCACAACACAACTTCAGGTCGGTGAATTTCGGTTTGCGTGCATAATCAAGGAAGAAAGATCGATATATTGACACACAAGATACAGCAAATGGAAAGAAAAATGCAAAGTACATATGCGTACACACGGTATACAACAAGGCAGACCAGAGGGGTCTGCTGTTCACATCGAGTCCGTGCGAATAGTAGCCATGTCCCGAAGCAGCGAGCCAGAGGGACGTCTGGTGTGCCCATCAGGAACGTGTGCATGCGTTATGGACTCAGTCGCGCGTCCCGGTAGGACTGCCATGACTGGCCGCTTTAACGTTTGCAGAATGGTGGCTGCCATCGGCGGTGTCTTTGGCGTGCTGACACCAGAACCACCCGGCGTGTTGAACGTCCCTGCTCGGATTCGCGGGTTTGAGCCATTTGCAACGGTCGAAATGGACGGAAGAGGGTTCTGGCGAAGAGATGCGGCGGACAACGAGGGTCGAAGAGACCTCGGAATGGTCCTCGTACGAAAGTCGGAGAGCTCTGGTAGAGGACCGATGGGCGTGACGGGAGTTTGAACTTGGTGGATGGGAGCTACAGCTGAAGGAGGCATCAGAGATCCACTGGTCTCCCCTGTGGTGGTGCTGCTATGACTGCCACTGCGAACACGGTATTCGGCCATTGCTCCTGCGTCACGCTCCAGCATTCGAGACGCAATAGGAGACAATGCGTTAGACGCGCCCCGTCCGCTCAGAGTCGACGCCGAAGAGGGGTTCAACCTGCTATTCGCGGACGATACACTTGGGCGACTGCTGTGAGTCGGAGCGTGAGAGGAAGATGTTGATGTGTTTCGAGCTCTGTTGGAGGCTGGAATGGGAGTAAGAACCGTTCCGTTTGATGGAGGTGGTCGAGGTAGAGATCCAGATGAAGAGTGACCCGAAAACTGAGACGAGCCTGGTGCAGATGTGGACACTGCACCTTCATAGTCTGTGCTGTCGGAAGCAGACGTTGTTGCGGAACCACTTCGTAGCCTCCGAATTCCAGCGACACCAAGAGGCCTTCGCCCGTCTGCACCACCCCCATATCTCTCGGCGCGTCGCGCTTGTTGCTGTGCAACTGCTCGAGATTGCTTGTTTGCTTCGAATCTGTTGCGGGCTGCATCTTGTAGAGCTTCGTAGGTATTGTTCCTGTAGGCGCGCGTAACATGAGAGATCATTCGATTCAGAAGGGTGACAACACTAACGAGTATGCGTAGTCAGATGCGGTGAAGCCGTCATTGTTTTTGGCATTGAAATTGCAGCCACGCTCGATGAGCGTAAGGACGACCTGATTGCAGCATTAGGTACAGTCGATCCATGGATCAAGGCAACTCACTGGGATATGACCCCATGCACTCGCACTGAAGGCCCGTCAGTATCGCCACTCTGGAAAATATACCAACTTACTAGTGGAGAGGACTGTTCCCTTGCAAATCAGGAAGATCGATATCTGCCCCCAAATCACAGAGCATCTGGAACGAGGTCAGTCTCCGGCCCAATGGTGCGCTGAAACACGGCATACGTACCCGCACAAAGTCGTCACTGCCGCGTAATGCTGCATTGTGCATTGCAGTTTTGCCGTGCATATTGGACCAATCGATTGTAAACGGGAAGCGGTCAAAGTATAGTCGTGCCATTCGCATTTGCGCACTAGCAGCCGTCGGACTTGATACATCAGCGAGTAAGCAGAGTATCGTGTTCTTCTCCGAGTCCTAAGCCCATTCCCGACGGTGAGCCCTTTCGCGGCAGCGGTATTGGGCCTCTAAACGCACCTTGCTCAATTCTTCATCGTCGTGTCCCATCAACAGGAGATACTCAAACGTCTCCTCACATCCGCACACCGCTGCCCAGGCGAGCGACGTGTATCGTGAGGCTACACTGTCCGGATTTCGCATATCTGTGCGTTGCACCAGGCGCTTGACCAAGGATAGGTTGTTGTCTGCAACATTTCAAGGCGAGAATAAGCATACTCGTGCAGTATAACCAAGGGGAATCGACTCGGACCCTTAACTGCTTTGCGCAAACGCTGTGTAATGTCTCTTTGAGCCATTTTAACTGGTTATCTTGCTATAAGCCGTTCAAAGCCAGCGGCTTGCCACGCGTCGGGCGCTCTGGCAAGGTCCAAGATGGCGTTGCCTTTTGGTTTCGACGACGGTCATGCCCACAGTCTCGGTCGACAAGCTCGATCTCTTTGAGCGTCTTGGACGGTCTTATAGTTTGTTGTTTCGGGTTTTTATGGGCTCAGGAGACTCATCCGGACGATAGCCACCGAAGAGTTTGATCACCTCTGCTTTGAATTTGGAATCGAGCTGGATGAAGACGTACGAAACCCTTTGTCACTTCGACGTAATCCTGATTTATCTGGATAATAGACTACAGAAGAAGTAGAAGCAGCGGCAAAGCGAGGAGAGCCAGCGGAGAGAGCGGTATGTCCACTCTCAGAAATAATAGTAACAGATCCTAATCAGCCTTTTCCACAGCACCTAAAGATTGAGATACCAGCAAACAGGTGCGGTTTAACATGCATACCCAGTCACCCTCCATTGACCACTGGCGGGACAGATCTGATCTTCTTTGCATCGAGGGAATCGCTCGTGCCCTCCGTGTTTTCCTCCAACTAGAGACATGTCCCCAAGTCAAATGTGTGCTACCTCCTGGCGGTGAAAAGGATCTCCTCACCTGCCATATCGCTCCCGAGGTATGTCTCCGATGCTGTCCATCCGAGTACTCATCGGGCTTCAGACGGCTCAAGTTCGAGGGTTTACTGCTGCTGCTATCTTGCGCAATGTTCAGTTCACCCAACGGAGCTACGACTCTTTCATCGAACTTCAAGACAAGCTCCATCAAAACATTTGCCGAAAGCGCCAACTCGTATCAATAGGTACACACGATTTGGATACTCTTAAACCTCCTTTCCGATACGAGGCAAAGGCTCCGACGGATATCAAGTTTTGTCCTCTGAACAAACAAAAGGAGTACACAGCCAAGGAGTTGATGACTGTCTATGAAGTAAGCATTTCCTAGCATCGTAATAGCCGCTCACAGGCCACCAGTCCGAGAAACATCTCGCAAGATACCTTCACATCATCAGAGACTCGCCCGTCTACCCAATCTGGTACGACCAAAACGACCAGGTGCTATCGCTTCCACCCATCATCAACTCGGAGCACTCTAAGATTACCTTGAATACCCGCAATGTCTTCATCGAGCTGACCGCTCTTGATGAGACCAAGCTTGCGATCGTCTTGAACATTATTTGCGTCATGTTCTCAGAGTACTGCGAAGTTCCGTTCACGTAAGTTTTCTGTGAATATCAATCTCTAAGGGCTGAACAATTGCAGCGTCGAGCCAGTCCGTCTGGTGTGGCCAAATGGCAAGGAGACCATTACCCCAGACTTGTCGAGCCGCGCGACGACAGCCTCGGCAGAGTACATCAACTCATGCACCGGACTCTCTCTTTCGGCAGCTGAAATCGCCGAGTTGCTCAAACGGATGACGCTCGAGGCGCAACCTTCCCCGACGAACCCCGATCAGATATTGGTGCAAGTGCCCGCATGGAGACCAGATATTCTTCATGAATGTGACATCATGGAAGATGCCGCGATTGCCTATGGTTTCAACAATCTCACCAAAACGTTCCCAACGACAAACACCGTGGCACAGCAGCTCCCAGTGAGCAAGCTGTGCGATGTAGTGAGAAGAGAATGGGCATATGCCGGTTGGGTTGAAGTCCTCCCTCTCATCTTGGTTCGGAATTCTCCCTCGTGTTCCATTCAGAAGCTGACACTTGCGCAGTGTTCTCATGACGAAAACTTTGCATGGATGAATCGGAAGGATGATTCTACTCAGGTCGTCAAGCTCGCCAATCCCAAATCCCTCGAGTACCAAGTCGTCCGCACGTCGCTTCTCCCGGGTCTACTCAAGACGATTCGGGAAAACAAGGCGCATCCACTCCCGATCAAAGTGTTTGAAACCTCGGATATTGTGATCAAGGATCCGACGGCCGAGCGCCAGACGCGCAATATCCGCCATGCCGCCGCTATTTGGTGTAACAAAACGGCTGGATTTGAAGTTGTGCATGGCTTGCTTGACAGGATCATGGCGATGCTTGAAGTGCCCAGAATCGCCGACGACGCAAAGGGTTCCGCAACGCATGGATATTATCTAAAGGAGATTGAAGGTGAGCCTTTGTTGATAATCACGAGCCGAGTCTGTTTTTTCCACTAGAACTCACATGCACCCTATAGATCCCACTTTCTTCCCGGGCCGTGTGGCGTCTATCCTATACCGCTCCGGTCAGCCAGGAGAGGAAATAACGCTTGGCGTGCTCGGAATTCTCCATCCGACGGTGCTTGCAAGCTTTGAGATTCCATACCCTTGCTCGGCGCTCGAATTCAACCTGGAGCCCTTCCTCAAGTCAGGCAAGGAACCATGGGAGTAGAAGCACAGTCTTTTATTAGCGCACGATATGTGGGGCAAGGCATGAGACGATGCTGGGTGCCAATGCTGTGGCGAGCTTGATGGGTCTGGGTTCGAGGCCAATTTCGGGTGTAGATAGAAGGGAAAATAAAAGAAGGTTACGAGGAACGGGGTGGTCTGGACGCTGAGAAAGAGGATCTGGGCAGCGCACAGACTGACCATGAGTTGCGTCCAAAGCACTGGGGAGCCCGATGGGCCATGGGTCTCGACCGCGCGCTCAGAAGATGAGCCGAGCTCACCCATTTCCTCGTCCTCAAAAAGGAGCAAGCTCAGTGGCTCGGCGCGCAGTCCATCAGTCTTTCGACATTCCACCTCTCCTCCTCACGTCCCAATCGATCCCCCGCACAACGATGCAACAAGGGACCCTCAACCCCGCCGTACTCAAATCTTCACCTCTTAGGCAACTGTATGAGGTCCTTTCCGTCTTTGAACGAAACCGCGACTGGTCAATCGTCGCCCGCCGACAACTCATCGACCAAGTCTCGGCACGGCTCCCGCAACTACACCAACCAGACGTCTTTCTCTTGCACTCGCTCCTCGAGGAAATCGGCATCGACCCTGCGAGCACAGAGGGCCTAGGCAGGTCGTCGTCGACGGTCAGCACCATTGGCGGAGGGAGCAACGCCACGCTCGATGCACTTGATAGCGTACCGTCGATAAGCCAGTTTTCACGGAGTAGCTCCCTCCCGCGCTTGCAGACACAGACACAGTCGCCCCAGGGACTCTTCGCTCAGCCGCCACCCCCAACGGCCCTCCAAGCGACCGACGACAGCGGTTCGCCCGTGTTGACTCCACAAGTCGCTGGGGAGATGACACCGCAAGAGATGAGCGCCTTTGTCATGTTAAAGATGTTTGGCGACCTGTCCGAGCAACGGATAGAGAGCTGGGGACGAATTGCCAAGGTGGACAGACTCTTTGCTCGCATCCGGAATCGCGCTTACCTACACTTAGCAGCTAATTGTCACCCAGCCCATGGACGGGTTCGTCGCAAAAGAAGAAGAGCTGGTCAGATGAACGCTCTAGGGTATGTCCTTGCACACTAATTTGCACCTCGTTGACAAATGGCAGGTTCCAAAGTTATAATATTTCATTCATCTTGCAAGAATTTATATATCTATAGGGTGTAACATGTACTAATTAGCAATCGTGTCAATCCAACAACCATCATGACTCACAAAAATAATTAAATGTAGCCCTGGTTGGACAAATCACGACGCACACGCTCGTCCTGGCGAATCATATCCTCCCCTTCATGTGTCCGTGTCGATGGTGCAGTTTGTTGATGGGACAATGGGCGCGCCGACGTCGGAGTTCGGCCAGGAGGATTGTTGGGCAATGTAGGTCTCGTCAAGGTAGCTTGAAGGTTCGAGAGTAACTCGCTCTCTTGTTGCTGACCTTCTGTAGGAGCCTGCGTGTTTGAGGCTGCGATGCTCGACTCCCACCGCTTGACTCGCCAATAGCCAAGGATAGAGGTCATGAAGATGAACCAACCAATGGTCATCTATGGTCGTTTAGTATGTATTTCGCAGTCGATGATTGATGACTTGCCAAGAAAAGGGCTAAAAAGTCTGCAAACGGGAAAGCGGGTTTCTGATATTTGCCACCATGCATGGAAGCGGTCGAGTTCCAGTAGAAATGCCACGGCCCTGGGGCTGCAGTTGCAGTGGTATTCCATTCTGCAGTGGCATTGAATCCCGGGAATGGGGTGGTAGCGTTAAAGGTTGGAAGAGGGAATGTAGCGTTTGGAAGCGGCCAAAAGATTTCGTCTGGAATGTCTTTCGAGTCGAGTAAGCCTCCTCGAGTTCTGAACCAGAGTCCGAGTCGAACAAACGTGACACCGAGTCCGGCCTTTGCACCGAATCGACCCGCGTGGGTCATGCTGATGATGTATGCAAGTGCAAAGCCGATCCATTCTAAGAACACGGAGACGATGAATGCCTATAGTTTGATAGCGCTATATGTCAGCAAATTGTATTTCACACGGCAGAAGGGCAACGACGCACGCCGAGGAAACCAACGATGGTGCCGGCGGGAATAGACTCGATCAAGAGTTCGCCATCCGAGGTTGCAAAGACGGTTGTTTGCCAGTATGGGGGAGCCTGATCCATCTGGGACGCGAGATAACTTGGCGGTGCATCGTTTGGCGCGAGTTCTGGCGCGTGATAGATGGTATCGGTCTCGTTCTCTGCACGGTTCTCTCCTGCACGTTGCTGTGAGCGTGTACCAGTAGGGCGTGATGAAATGTTGGCGAATACGCCATCGTTGTTGATGCCTCCACCGTAGGTGCCGACTGGTGGTGTCCCACGGCGACCGCGACCGGTCACAGATCGCCAGGTGCGGGTAAACCAGTTTCCTTGTCTCTTTGGATCGTAATGTACTGGCTCAGTGACGAGAATGCCGTTGGTGTTTCCCCAGTGGTTGGCAATGGCAAACTCGCGCGGCGGTGAGCCTGGTGGAGGTGGATAGTCGTATTCAAAGTTGTAGGAGCCATCTACGGTTGTTCTTGTCGTTCGTGGAGTATGAGAACTGCGTGGCCCGTATACAGACGGCGTCAGCAATGGCCTAGCCGCGTTGTTGCCGTCGTGCTCGTCGTGCTCATCATCCGAGGCTGCAAATGCCTGTTCCAGCTGGTCCTCGTCTGTATCCTGCGCAGGTACAGCTGCATATTGGCGGCGGGGCATAATAAACTAAAAGATGTGGAAGAAAGAAAGAAGGGAATATGGGTGGTGCACAGCTCCATGGCTCTGCTCGCGTCGCTGCCTCCAGAACTCCTCGTCAAGATATTCGAATACTTGGATTTATGCTCACTCGTCGATGTTTCTGCCGTCTGCTCGTCGTTTCGTGTCGTCTGCCGTGAGCTCAATCCATGGCGCGCCCAGATTGCGCGCGTGCTCAGGGACCAGCAGCCACAGACAGAGTATTGTATACTACTCCATCTGAGCTGGTACTCAGCCGTCTCTACTCAAAACTGGATTCACATCCTCGTCGTCGCTTCTCCAGAGCACATTCTTTTCCATGATATCCCCCCGCTCCCAGAAGACATTTGGCACGCTGCATTCACACAGCGCTTTCTTCCGAGCTGGCAGAGATGGAGAAAGGACGGGACGTGGCAGAGAGCGTACAAACTGTTCGTCACTCTTATAAAACTATCTATTTACTCATCGCCTACAGTGTTCTTATGCGCATATGGCATCGTATCAATGCAACCTGCACTGCAGACGAAGCATGGACAACCTATCTCATCCTCAGCAGACACAATGTCCTCAATATCAGCTCGGCCAGTTCGCGGCAATACAACCCCCATGCAGTTCTAAATGTCTACAAGTGAGGTTACCACTAACATCTTTGACTGACTCACATTCTCAGGGAACAGAATAATCTCAAGCAATCCTCGACGACGCGGCTCGTCCTTCAGCTCTCCGACATTCGCATCATCGCCATTGGCACCCTTGGTGCATCCTCATCGTACCAGATCAACCGCCTAGCCAAAGAATTTGTCAACCCCTCCGGTGTCTATCCAGACGGCATCCTCCCATTCCCTGACGAAGACAGCGCCCCACTCAGTGCCTCGTCCGACACACCACAATACTTTAAAATACCAGTGCCACGAACAATAGGCACACCAATGACCCGCAGTCTCACCATGGATGCGACGCCACCCGCGACAAAATCCAACTCACTATGGCGCCGTTTCCGACGCTCGGAAACGTTTTCGAGTAACACCTCGTCTGAACAAGATACATTGTCATATGTAAATGCCCCGTTGGTCGTCATGGAGGCCATGTACAAGTCGCTCAAACCTCACCCCCCCACGCCGCGCGAGTATGTGCGTTTAACCCATCCACGGCCAGTAGACGGGCACAGAAACTTTCCGAATTATACACCCGGTGGGATGGATCTGCGGTGGCCCAAGACGTATGATGGAACAAACGAGGATACATGGGTTGGACCAATGCTGTGCCGTTTTCTCCCTTCTCCTGAACCTTGGCTGATTAGATATAGGGTGACGGCAATTCTAGTGTCTTCATCGGATGAGCTGACGGGGGACAGCGCCGAGGAGCTGTTGAGGAGAGTTGGGTCTGGTCGAAGTCGATGGGTATCGTTTACGGGGGAGGATTTGGACACCATCGCACCTTGGTTGAAAACACATATTGATAAACGAATGGAAGGTATGGGTCTTGGCAATTAACCATGTACGCGTCCGAGTGGTGAATAAACTTGACCGTTCCTACCTCCATGCGCCAGAGCAAAATAACCGATTTTTTGTGACAAAGAAAGTCTTTCATGGTCCTCCATATTCTATCATCAAGCGTCTTGGATTGAATGCTGCGTCGTTTTCAGGGCTCGCGGATTTACCAAACGAGCTGTTCCTCCTCATTGTTTATGACCACATGGACTGGGCAGAGGATGCCCCAAGAACAATAAGACAGCTTTCTGCCGTCTCAAGGCGCTTTCGAGCCTTCTTTGGCCCAGTAGCCTCTCAGAGTCTTATCGCTATTGGCGCCAAAAGGACACTTAATATTAAACGCTCTCTGGAGAACAATGATATGGATGGCTCAGACTTTCGGTGAGTATTGAAGCTCGTAGAACGCGCATTTTATTAACACTTGGTAGACATCTCAGAGTACGGGTGCGCGTGACCAATTGGGCCACCTTCTCGATTGGGAGAAACGAAGTAGCTCCGATGGTAAGGGGGCTTGGAGGTTTGACTTCTGTCTCCCTGACGAATGTGTTTGTTTGTCGAGCGGTGGTCAGTGCACTGAGTTTCTTGCCCCATCTGGTGCGACTTGAATACGATGTCAACTATCCCCAAACGGAAGAAGGAGATGTTGAAGCCATAACCAAGGCACCTGGTCACCTCTAGTGGCTCTCGGTACGATTCGGGGCCTTTTCTCCCTACGAACACGCATTCTTCATCCTTTATTCCATTATCACGGCATCATCCAAGGAGATATTGCATATCGCAGTCGATTTCAACGTCTTGGTACCCTAGAAATGAACACAATACTCACCTTGGAAACGCCTCGACTAGTCACTTGCCACTTTTACAACGCATACTTCAACCTCCCTCATTCCAGGCATTTCAAATCCATTGACTCTTCAAACTTGCGAGAATTTAGCATCTTGCATTTCGATGAGTCGGCATCTGGTCATGAGCTCGAGTCTATGCGCATCCCTGGGCTTGATCCCACTCTACCGTCCCATCTCGATCTGGTGGGGCCCTTGCCTCTAACCATTGGCGGCTTTTATTGCACATTTACGATCAATCAGGCCAAAGAGCTCGTTATGACAGAGTGCTGCTTGATAGACTCAGATTGGGAAATACTTAATATCTTCTTGCGACTTCACCCGCAACTCCGGGTGGTCAACGCCTGGGATTTGTCTGTCGTAGATCTGCCGGAAGTCGGCTCTCGGATACAAGGCGTAAGTTTGCAAATTTATGCCATAAATCTAACTTCTCACATCTCAAAACAGCTTCTCGAGCACTGCAAGTTGGATATGCAGTCAATGGAGGTACTGCGCTTTAGCTGCACCATTTCCTCGTTTGTTTCAATATTCTGTGAAGACGACCAAGAAGAAATAACATTCACATGCTCTTGTGATGGATGTATCCATTTCCCAGACATGGATTATGACCAGAGGCGCGAGGTGTTGGAAGAGCTCGTAGGTAATGAGCTTGAGGGGCACATTGACGGGCTCTTTACGTCCCTTCCTCACTTGAACCTGATCGAGTGGTGGTTCGATGGTCCAGGGGTCTATCTAGATTCCCGGCCAAGTATATTTTGGGAGTGGAGAATCGTCAGTGCATGTAATGGGCGCAAATTCGAGCGAAGAGTGCGAAACTGGGACTCAAAATCTTCGCTTCTGCCCGTGGATAGGTGGGATGTGTTAAGGGGTATGTCGAATACCACGTTCCCCTCTGTACGTTGAGCATTTTTGAGTTCCTCGATTGAATGAACTTCTTGACTGATGAATCTCGCATTTTGTCAATCGCAATAAGCAATGCTACCATTTATGATTCCCTCGCTGGAATAAATCTACTGCGGAGAGTCGAATATTGTTTAGCAAGAAGATTTTTACGCCGCTGCAGTATGGATGCAAATATATATCGATTGATGAATAAAGTGCATGGGTGGTCTTGGCAAGTAATGTTTGAGGGGTGGCTTAACCTCTGCCACATCCATGCGCCAAAGCAAATTAACCGATTTCTTTGTAACAAAGAAAGTCTCTCATGGTCCTCCATATTCTATCATCAAGCATCTTGGGTTGGATGTCACGCAGTTCGCCGGGCTCGCGGATTTACCAAACGAGCTACTCCTCTCTATCGTTTCTGATCATCTGAGTTGGGGTGAAGATTCCCCAAGAGCGACTAGACAACTTTCCGCCGTCTCGAGGCGTCTTCACGCCTTCTTTGGCCCAATAGCCTCTCAGAATCTGATCGCTATTGGCTCCAAAAGGACTCATGAAATTAATCGCTCTCTGGAGAACAATGAGATGGATGGTTCAGACTTTCGGTGAGTATTGAAGCTCGTAGAACGCGCGTTTTTGTAACACTTGGTAGACATCTCAGAATACGTGTGCGCTTGGTCAATCAGGTCACCTTTTCCATTGGGAAAAACGAAGTAGCTCCGATGATAAAGGGGCTTGGAGGTTTGACTTCTGTCTCCCTGACGAATGTGTTTGTTTGTCGAGCGGTGATCAGAGCATTGAGCCTCTTGCCACATCTAGTACGGCTTGAATACGACGTAAACTATTCCGAAACGGAAGAAGGGGATTACGAAGCCAGAATCAAGGCACCTCGTCACCTCCAATGGCTCTCGGTACAATTCAGGGCCTTTTCTCCCTACGAACACCCATTCTTCATCCTTTACTCCATTATCAAGGCCTCATCCAAGCAAATCGCACATATATTCGTTGATTTCAACATCTTCGATGTTTTGGGGATGGACAAAATACTGGCTTTGGAAATTCCTCGACTCGTCACCTGCCACTTTTACAATGCATACTTTGACCTGCCGCCTTCCAGACATGTTGAGTGTCTCGACTCTTCAAATGTGCAAGAATTTAGCATATTGCACTTTGTAGGAGCTGAAGGTACTGATCGCGAGTCTCGGTGCATCCCAGGATTTGACCTCACTTTACTGTCTAACCTTGGTCTTGCGGGGACAGTATCTCTGGATGTGGCCAGCTTTTATTCCTTATTCACAATCAACCAGGCTAAAGAGCTCGTTATGACAGAGTCCTCCTTGAAAGACCCAGACTGGGAGGTGCTTTTCGTCTTCTTCCGACTCCATCCACAACTCCGGGTTGTCAACGCCTGGGGTTTACTTATTGAAGAGTTACACGAAGTTGGCTCTCAGATAAGAAATGTGAGCAAAACATTGTACGTCACAAACCCGGCCCCTCACACCGTATATTAGCTAGTCAGACACTGCAAGTCACATATGCAGTCAGTAGAGGCAATACGCTTTAGCTGCGAAATTCCAGAGCCAGATCCGTCGGCTTTCACCCCAATACTCTGCACAGACGGCGAAGATGTAGGAATGTCCCCCTGCCCTTGCGACGGATGCACCAATTTCCCGGACATGGATTACGACCAGAGGCGCGACGCGTTGGAGGGGCTCATTGGAGAAGAGCTCGAATCGCATATCAGTAGACTCCTTACCTCGTTCCCGCGATTAAAGCTTATTGAGTGGTGGTTTCATGACCCCAAACTCCGTCGAAGCTATCCACCAACCATCTTTTGGGAGTGGAAGATTACAAGTACATACGACGAGCGTACTTTCGAGCGACGGTTGCAAAACTGGCACTCAAAGACCTCGTTGCTGCCTGTAATTGACTGGGGTATATTTAGGGGCATGTCTAACACCACATTCCCCTCTACATACTGAGTAACTCATAATAGAACCAAAGGCTGTCGAGTTCCCGACCAAATGACCTTCTTGACTGATGAGTCTCGCATATTATTCATCGCGATAAGTAATCCTACGTATTATTGTTCCCTTGCTGGAGTAAATTCATTACAGAGAATTTAACAAAAAGATTTGGACGCCGTCGCGTCATGGATGCTAGAGGGTATGGGTCTCGGTAATTGACTTTTGAGTGGTGAATAAACTTGATCCATGCGCCAAAGCGAATTGACCGAATTCTTTGCAACAAGAAAAGTCTTTTATGGCCCTCCATATTCTGTGATCAAGCGTCTCAGATTGAATACTGCATCGTTTGCCGGGCTCGCGGATTTGCCAAACGAGCTGCTCCTGTCCATCGTTCGTGACCACATCGACTGGAGAGAGGATGCTCCAAGAGCAGCTAGACAGCTTTCTGCCGCCTCAAGGCGCTTTCATACCTTCTTCGAACCGATATCCTCTCAGAATCTTATCGTTATTGAGTCCAAGAGAATTCATAAAGTCAAGTGCGCCTTAACTGAAAATGATATTGAAGGTTCAAGATTCCGGCAAGTGTTTAGGTTCAAAATTTATGCTTTTTATTAACACTTGGTAGACATCTCCGGATATGGCTGCGCTTCCACAATCAGGTCACGCTCTCGATTGGGAGAAACCAGGTGACCCCGATGCTCAGGAGACTCGGTGGTTTGACCTCTGTCTCACTGACAATGTATTTGTCTGTCGACCGGTCAAAGCAATGAGCCTTTTGCCACATCTGGTGCGGCTTGAATACGACGTACGGCATACTCAGACGCAATATGAAGATAGTGAAGGTATTATAAAGGCCCCTTGTCACGTTCAATCGATTTTGGTGCGATTCCGGCACAATGCCCCCTACTACCACGCATTCTTCATCCTTCATTCGATTATCAAGGCTTCATCCAAGGAAATCTTACATATTATGGTCGATTTCTACACCGAAGATTCTATTTAAACAAACGAAATACTCGCCTTTGATACTCCTCGACTGATCACTTGCCACTTCTACAATGCATATTTCAACCTACCCCGTTCCAGGCACATCACGTGCACTGAATCTTTAAACCTGCAAGCTTTCAGCATATCCTACTGCACAAGGCTCGACCGCGAGCTCGGGTGTCTGGGTATACCAGGTTTTGACCGCAACCTACTGTCCGGTCTCGCTCTTGACGAGACAGAACCTTCAAGAACAAGTGAATTCCACTTCAAATTTATAATCAATCAGGCCAAAGAGCTCATTATGACAGAGTGTCGCTTGATGGAACCCGATTGGAAAATGCTTCCAATCCTCTTCCGACTTCATCCGCAACTTCAAGTAGTCAACGCCTGGGATATACCTGTCTGGGATTTGCACGAGATCGGCCCTCGAATGCAGGATGTAAGCATTCCATCCCATTCCATGACATTTACCTGGGGGCTGACACCACGTATCAAGCTACTCGAGCACTTCAAGCTGGATATGCAGTCATTGGATGTACTACGCTTTGGGTGCGGGTGGTCAACACAAACCCCCTCATCTTTCACCCCGATACTCTGTGAAGGGAGGGGGGAAGAAGGAAGGGCATTCTCCTGCTCTTGTGACGAATGCACGAAATTTCCATACATGGAACACGACCCAAGGCGTAATGCGTTGGAAGAGCTCATTAGTGATAGCCTCGAGCGCCATATCGCAGTACTCATTACATCACTTCCTCGATTAAATTGATCGAGTGGTGGTTCTATGGCCCCGAAGACGTTGAGACTTACGTACCGAATATTTGGTGGGAGTGGCAAATTACCAATTCATGCGGTGGGCGTACCGTCAAGCGACGGTTGCAGAATTGGCGCTCAAAGGCCTCAATTGTGCCCTTGATTGACTGGAGATCGTACAGGGTCTATCTGACGCCGAGTTTGCGGTTATTTGAGTGTACTGAAATCCAATTCAATCTTGTCAAGTCCCATCAACCAAGTATTCTTAGTTTGGTGATGATATCTTCTCTGAACTTTGGTGAAAATTGCTCCCGAAATGTTCGAAATAAAACTTGGTCTCCGCTACTTTCGAGATGCGACCATGCACCCAAACTACGAGATTCGCATACTTCATGCGTATTATAGAGAGAAAAGATCTCCCTAAACCTCCACACACTATCGTGCGGCGGCTCCGGCTCAACAGCAAGCCATTTGCGGGTTTGGAGGACCTTCCATGCGAACTCCTTCTTTCCATCGTGTCCGATTTCTATGAAATTGACGAGGAGAGCTGGTTGACTGCTCGGGTGTTGTCTGCACTATCGAGACGACTACGTCGATTTTTCGGTCCTCTCGCGTCCAAAAGCCTGGTCGCAATCGGATATCAGCAGGCAGACAGGCTGAGGCATTCTATCAAGGTTGGAGATGTTCAGAGGAAACCAATCAGGTAACTTCCGGCACATTTGGTGGTTCCACATTCTGATTCCTTCATAGACATCTTACAGTATTGCAAAAGTATATCCACCCGATTAGATCCTTTCTTGGAGACGATGAAGTCGTTCCAATTGTGAATAAGCTTCACAATCTCACATCTCTCACACTCTCAAACGTCTTTGTCGGCGATCTCCTTATCAATGCCCTCAGCAAGCTTCCACGCTTGGAAAGTCTAGAGTATGACGTGCATTATCCATGAGTATACGAAAATGATCGAGCTTGTCGCGGGGCCATGCCGCGACGACTTCGGCACCTCTCTGTATCCTTTCACATCGAGGACGCGGACCCTAAAGCGTGCAACTTACTCTTGTCCATCATCAAGGCATCTTCAAAGCAACTTGAACATTTATCGGTTGACTTCGATTCCTGCCCCTCGAATAATGTCGATACGTTGATGGATTTGGAGATGCCCAAGCTCGTTCGTTGGTATCTTTACAATGCCTACTTCAATTTATCATCAAGAAGTTTCAATCTTCATCTGTACCCAAATCTGAAGCATTGTTTTATCCTTTATCGTAAACAATGCAAGGATGCGGCGGGAGAAGCAGTCGGCATTGATGTGCTTGACATACCCTATTTTAATCCAAACCTTCTGGTCGGCATCAATCTGTCCAACTTGGAATCACCGATATTCGACGACCTATCTGCACAAGTTTCAATTGACCTCATGGCACGCTTCTACCTCACTGAAGTTTCCCTCATGCATCCGGAGTAGAGTGTACTCTCAATTCTTTTCCGACTACACCCAACGCTGCGAGTTTTGAATGCATGGGGCCTACCCGTCGTAGCCCTGGACGATATGTTGAATAAATTCGAGTCGGTCAGTTTATTCTATGACCAAGTGCGTTTCGTGACGGCCATTTCAGCTTCTCACTTCCTGCCAATTTGGGATGCAGTCCCTGGAAGCCATTCGCTTTGCATGCCTGCCATGTTACAAAGATACATCAACTCACTTCCCACAAGTCTGTGACGAGGATGATGAGCAAATGGGACAATGCTTGTGCGTGGGCTGTTATGAATTTTCCACGTTGGATTACGAGAAAGGCGAGAACCGGTCGAAGATTTCGTTGGATCGAAAGCCGACGTCGAGGTCGAGGGACTCATCGACGCAGTGAATAGCCTCAAGGTTATCGAGTAGTGGCTCTACGATGCTGGCAACAGTTGGGACTCGTCGACCATGTTTTGGCAATGGAATATCGTGCGCGCAACGGATGGGGAAGCCGAGGTGGAAAGATTGCTGCACAACTGGTATAAGAAGTCGTCGATACTTCCCGTGATCCCATGGGAAAAGAACAGAGGGATGTCTGAAGGGTTCATCTGATGATCATTATCAAACTACGATTTTAGAAAACTGTCTTGTAGACCGAATGAATGAGCATTACGTTCGTACAACCTGTTCATGAGTTGATCGTGTGAGAAGAGTAGTTAGCTACGAGGGGCGTCTTTTGTTGACCTCTGCAGCGTCGAGAATGGCCCTTGGTCCCCGCCGAGCCATAGAGTACACAAACACAAGTAAGATTATCGCAGCCTGGCAATTCCGGTTATCAAGTGTACGGGTTTCAGTAAAAAGAAAGGACGGACCTGTAAAATAATCCAGATTTCCACTAATGTGCCCGCCCATCCATCCTTTGGCAATTCATCCTGTCTTCTCTTGCGTCTCTCCACCACTGGCCGATCTTCTGCATTCGACATTGCCGCCTGCGACTGTGAAGCCTCTGAACGTCGCCCACGCGACCTCGGGGGTCGCCTGGTCCGCGCCTCTGCAGCCTCGTTCATCCTCAACAAAGCCGCCATGCGTCTCGAAGGTTCCGCTTCCGAATCAGTCTCGGTCATATCGATTTGTCCCCGCAGAGAGCGATATCGAACAGAACGTTCACGCTCACGTTCACGCTCCGTCTCACTCCCCTCTGGATATTCATCCTTCCATGGATTTACGCCGCTCGATGCACCTCCGGGCGCTGGAAGAGAGAGGTATCCAGTTTTGGGTACGGGAGCACCCATTGTTCCGTCCTGAAGGCCTTGAGTCCATTTGGCTTTCGAGCCTTCGATACTTTGGTCATGTGATCCCTGTGTCCATTTGGTGGGACGAGATGCGACTGCATGCGAGAGCAGGAAGAATGATTCGTCAGGCGATCCCTCGAGTGACCCAACAGGAAGGATGTGTTCGCCCTCCTCGAGGGGTTTCCCGTGATTGCTGGGATCAAGTGCATGTCGAATGGCAGTAACGGCGCGGTTCTCCACGAGTGCCTCGTTTAATGCTACAGAAAGAGGCTCTCCCTCGTCTGCAGCGCCTTCGACTTCATCTTTTGAAGCATCATCATTGTCTAGCGAAACCCCGCCGACCGAGGGGATGGGAGGAATATCCGCCTGGACTCGTTGCGAGGACCGCATGCTCTGATGAGAGGCGCTTGGTCGAATCCTTTTCGCGCCTGGAGATGGCTTGGATGGGGATGAAAGAAGTCGAGGATCCATCGAGGCCCTAGGCCGCAGCTTTCGCTTCGAATCCTTGGGCTTGAGGGCGGAGATTCTAGGGATCTGAAGCGGTTCGATCCGTCGTTCTTCATCCGAGTCGTCGTTCTCATGCCCGGGAGAGCCATCGTAGAGACTCGGTGTCAAGGCCTTGCGACGCTTGCCGTTAAGGGTAGGAAGCGGTTCAAGTTCACGCGTCGAGGAAACCGGAGAGCCTCTATCGCGGAGAGACTGATTCGGCTTTAAGACTCCGGGATGCAAGAGTCCATCAGCTCTGACGGGCGACTGGTCCGCACTAAATGTCCCATCTTCGTCGTCTGCGTCAATCTCCTCTTCCAAATTCTCATAAACCCTCTGAAGAGCATCGGATTGCGTCGTGACAGCACGCAGACGAGAGTCAGTCTCTTGGTGGCGCTTGATGATCTCGCGATTGGCATTCTCCAACTCTTCAATCTTGGCGAGAAGCTTTTCGAGAATCACCAGCTCCTTGGAGGGGCCGCTGGCAACCGGAGGCCTGATTTCCTCGCCGTCAGAAGAGGGAAATGAGACTAGATTCGGCCGCTCGTCACTGACTCGTGCACCCGAGGTAGCCTTTTTGGGAGTAGGTGTATTCGAGGTGGGGGCAAAGTTGGGGAACGAAGGCGACTCGTTGACGTGTGTCGCGGCTAACCGTCTCTCCAGGATCTTGGCTTCGCGCTCTTGCTTCTGCGCGTCCTTCTTCTGTTCGTGTTCGGTCTGGACTTTATCGATGCGCTCCTTTAGCTCGTCGTTCATCTGATGCGAGTGTTCGAGCTCGGTCCGCAATCCGGCAATCTCCTTTTCGAGCTTTCGAAGCTTTTGCTTGCCCTCCAAATTTGCCGCACTCGTGTCATCTTGGAGCTTTGCCAGTGCCTGAATGAGATCTTCGTTTTGCGAGGAGAGAATGGCGAGTTGCGAAGGCGATGTAGAGAGACGGCGAGTATGGATCTGGTTCGGCGTCCTAGCAGGGTGGAGCAAAGTTGGTGAGATGATTGGGCTCCTGGGCGGCGTTGTCAAGTCTTCCGTCAAGGTATGGGGTGGGCCAGCATCGCCTATGGGTGCCATTGGCGAGGTCCTGGCGAGTATGGACGCATGGCGCTGTCTGAGCGAGAGATTCGTCTCGAGCAATTGCTTCCCTACGGCAGCAGCCACCCCGAGTTCTGTAAACACAACATGTGATTCGTCAGTGAGGAAAACGCGTGTTTGCATGTTTTTGACAGACGCACCGTTCTCCCGGGCACGAATGACTGCTTCGGCCTTGATGAGCAGTTTCTCGAGCTCCTCTTTGCTCTTGTCGCGTAGGTACTGTTCCGTCTGCGCGCGGTCAATCTCATTGTCGGGATTGACGGCGTCGAGCTCGAGTCCCAACATTTGCGCCGTAGCAGCTACTGATGCATCGACGTTTCCGGAGACAGAACAGAGACTGAGGTTTCGCTTGTGAAGTGGGACGGCGCCATTGAGAATCTCAGGAGCAATTTGGTACGGGGGTGGGGGCGGAGAGGGCGTCTCTGAGACTTTATTGTCATTGTTTGTGGTGTTTAGACTCTTCCTGGGCCGTGCAGGAGGTCGTGGACGCGAGATGGAGGGACCGGAGGAGGAAAGCATGGCAGACGCGGGGGACAAAAGGTGATTGAATGAATGGGCTGCCACTTTGAACTCGTCCATCATGGTCAGGATCAGAAAAAGTATTCATATCACAGAAAGTTAAACATAAATGACTTATTGAATACATAGAAACGAGCAATCGTATGTCGACTGCCCACCGGGCAAAGATCAAGCACAAGGCGCGAGAGACGAAGAAAAAGCGCAAAAAGGAAGCCAAAAAGAATCCACATCTAAAAAGTAAGGCTTTTTGACACGCTTTCCCTTATATTGACTGTTCGCAGAGAAGAAGAAAAAGGATCCGGGCATTCCCAATAGTTTCCCGTTCAAGGAGCAGATCCTTGCAGAAGTAGCAGAGACGAGGAGACTAGTAGGTAGTCATTTCTACAATAAAGCTATACTAATTTGTAGGCCCTCGAAGAGAAGCGAAGAAAAGAGGCCAAGGTGGACATTGAAGGAAACGGCCACATTCTAGAGATTCAAAAGGAGCCAGTGGCGGTACAAGCTCGCCCCAGCAAGATGGACGTAGACGACGACGCTCCAATACTCATCGACACATCGATTCCGACAACAGCTGCAGCGCTAGACGCAGCAAATGTGATCCTATATCTACTAGATGCGCGAGATCCATGGTCATTCAGGAGCATATACGTCGAAGAAGCGACGACGAAACCTATTCTATTCGTTTTGACCAAGACGGGTAAGCATCCTTTTCGCCTCGTCTTGAGGATATTCTAAAATCTGTAGATCTTGCTCCCCGAGAATCTGTCAATGATTGGATCATACAGCTCCGGAAACGCCGCCCGACCTTTATCTTCCGCGCAACACCGTCGTTGTGCTTTAAGAATACGCCACAGAGCGGGTCGAACACAAAGTCACAGTCGGAAGATGCAGGTTGTATAGGAAGGGAGGCAATTCTTGAAGCATTACACACAATTGCGCAGAGTCAGAAGGAAGCAGACCTCTCTGTAGCCGTCATCGGTGTTACCAATGTGCGTAAGGTCTGGTCTTCGTGTTCTATACTTCAACGCTTTTCAGGTCGGAAAATCTGCTTTTATTAACTCGCTCCTCGGGACATCAACCCTTGCAGTGTACAACCCACTCGGGCCCAAAGCCACTGCTGCACCATCAACCACTCCGTACCCGCAATCCGTCTCACTTCAGCACAAAAAACGTCAATTCACATTTATTGACACCCCTGGTTTAACCTTCATACCTCCACCCTCTGCAACATCTACTCCTGAAGAGACAGAGGAACGGATTGCACGAGATGTCCTACTGCGCAACAGGGGGAACATTTCCAAGATTAAAGATCCACTTCCTCTGGCGCTATACATCCTCTCTCGTGCGAGTATGGAGGACTTGATCCTCCTATATAATCTGCCTGCGGTTACTATAGGTGACTTTGATGCCTTTTTGGCCAGTCTGGCTAGGAAAGAGGGCGCCCTGCAGAAGAGAGTACGTTCTTGCCACTCCGCATCCCCCTTCCTGCATTACATTTTCGATTTGTGAGAGCCTGTTGACTAATGATAGCATAGGGTGCGATTGTAGATTTTACTGGTGCGGCAAGAGCGCTCGTGCGCGATTGGAAGACTGGACGACTGGCGTTTTACACCTTTTCCTCCCCTCAACAACTTGCGGATGACCCTAAAACATCGTCACCCCCGTCTACCCCGGACTTGTCGTCGGTGTACACGAAGTGGGATGAAAAGTACCTGGCCCGACTGTCATGGAGAAAGGACTTGAGAAAAGAAGCGAACATTTCGCTGGTACGGCTCAAGGATGACGAACTAGACCGACGAAAGGTCGATTTAGAAGCAGTCTTATTGCCCTCTGATGACGAGATGGACTCTCAGGATGGAGGATCACCCGAAGAGGATGAAGACGATTCCGAGGAAGACGGCGAAGAGGAATCCGAGGACGAAGAAGGATTCTCTCAGGAAGATGAAAACGATTCAGAGGGTGGTGAAGAGGTGGACGCAATGGGTGCTAGCGACGAAGAAGAAGAGGGGAGCGACGAGGAGTCAGAACCCATCCTCAGCGGCAAACAAAAGCGGGCTGCGCAAAAGGCGACAAAACTGGAGACCTCCAAGCAAACTTTGAAAGCCCAAAAGTCGAAAAAGGCCGTGTCGTTTGTGCCGTATACCAAGGCTGGGGCCAAGGTCAAGCCGCAGCCCAAACCCGCCTCTACCGCACAACCAAAACCGAGCGCAGCGCTGCCTCGAGAGAAGAAGAAGACTGCAAGCTCACACGTCCCCACTTCAACGAGGGTCGCAAATGTCGCCAGCAAGGCGTCAAAGGCCGCTGAAGCAGCGGGAGACGACGCATACGACTTTTCCAAGTATTTTTAGTGTAGGCTAGTAATCTTTGGATCAGAATTTAGGTATTTCGAAATGAACAGGTAACCCTTTAGACTTCCGACGCTGCGGGCTAGAAATAACCCCCGACGGAGGAGGGTTGTCAAGACGGAAATGGATGGATTGTAAGCATGTTGCCCCCGCTATAATCGGAAGTTCTGATTACTCCCGACGCGCCGATCGTCGGGCGCCTAGCTAGGGGCGCGCATAATTATATGCGTATAGACGTGCCGTGGCCGACGGGAGGAATGACTAATCCGATCAGACTGCGGGAATTATTATTCATCGCCTTTTTGTCTGACATTTTTCACACTTAAGGCGCTCGAATTCTGCTGGACTCGACAAGACTCGGCACCCCCATCTCGGCACACTTGACTAGTTACGCCCCGCATCTAGGTTGCCTCCGCCCTCGACCTCTGAATTCTATAAAAGCCTCTGGAAATGGTAGAAAACTCGTCAATCAGAATGTCAACAAGCAACTACTTGTCGCACCGATTGTCACCGCTCGCAACACGCCACTCATCGTCGGATACCGAGGCGTCCAGGAGGAGACTGGCCATATCCAGCACAGCAAGCCGTCAAGCAAAAATGGGAGTACACAAAGACGACCTGGGAGTCTCCAAAACGAACACGAGACCTGCACTGATCCATCGACACTCGCCCGAAGCTACGACGTTGCTAGCACTCGTGCATCCACATGAGCCTCTCGACATCCCAATACCGCCAACTCTCAAGTCGAATCCCAAAGCGCGGGCATACTCGTTCGAGACCAGTAGCCCATCGGGCTCTGGCCCGGGTCTGTCGAGCCCGACTCGGAGAAAAACACCTACCTCTTCGCCATCACAATCATCACCAAAATGGTATGATTATAACGAGTTTGGTGATGTGGGCTATTCACGCCCACGAGCGGAAAGCCACTCCAGCACTGGCTCGGGATTTTCCGTCCCTACGAAATCGGACAGCGCACATGAACAATGGTTACAGCAAGTTGCTACCTCGTCTCTTATCGTAACTCGACATACCATTACGCAAGACGACGGACTCCGAGGCGACAGGCCATATGGACCCTTCACACCGACATTGCCCTCTCCTCCAATTATTCACGCAACAACATTTCGGTCACATCCACCGCCATTGAGCTTACCATCCTCTGTTCTGTCGACCACAAGTGCAGCGTGAGCTGCTAAGCATTCGACATTATCAACCTTACCCTAGTCTGTGCACTATGATCGCGTTTGTTATCCTATCGTGTCTCTTGCATCTTGGTCTATTTCTTGTGGGCTCGTGCGATATCCTGTTGTCTATTGCTATCTATTCTTTCGTGTTCTGGCCGTGTTATCTGTTGATTGTAATTCTGTGAAATATCATTTTTATCCTTCTTGGTATTTTGATACATTCCGAAATAATGAGGCTCGGTGGGGCAGCGTTCTGTCCTCCACCACGTCCGTCTTGAAATGGCTGTAAGACCACTGCAATCTCCAAGAAATAGATGGACCTGAGCATTTGCTTGCAGCTAGGACGACCACCATTCTATGGGCTCGGAATTGCAACAACCGTCAAGAAGTGGTCCGCCTGACAATGGATCAACGAGCTCTATTTCTCAACTGCTCGACCAACTCTCAACCTCGACGGCCTGGCAACAAGCTATCGCTCTCAACGTTAATACTACTTCCGAAACAAGTGCTGGTTTAGAGCCGTCAAAGCCAGAGAGCAGGCAAGTTGTATTGGCCACCGAGCTTTGAATCTTCTGATACAAGAGGAATTTTTAGTGATGCTGCAGGGGAGAATGCTGAAGACGCAAGTGGCCCCTCTGATAGAGTCAGCGCGCTTTTGAGTCTCTTAGGGTCCAACAAAGGTGGAGAAGTCCAAACCTCGACTCCTTCTACTCGTTCTACTCATGTACCGGATGGTACGTTGTCTGGTGGTGACTCCCGGGTGGATAGGGGAAACCTTGTGAGCTTTGGCGAAGCACTCCAGATCGTTACGCGTCTTGTCGAGCGCAAACCGGGGATACTTGACCATTTAAGAGAGGCATGTGCTTTAACTCGTGATTCGAGAGGCATTTAATCATATCAGTCTAGATCAGGGAAGAGCAGAATCGCCTTGAGCGGACCTTTTGGGCAAATCGGGACCGGATAATTGAGAGTCAAAAGGCCCAAGTCAAAGAGCTTAAAACAAAGTGCGTAGATATACAAATGGTATCTCTTTTGTACTGATGTATGTAGAGTAGCCATGACGGGCCCACTCGGCCCAAGAGAAGTCGAGGTGTGTTCATCGTCTATCCGATCCACTTGATGGAGAACTAATTGGTGAGTAGAAACAAAAGGCTCAATTCGAGGGCGAACTGCGAACGCTCGAAGTGGACGAATTCTTGCCCGCATGGGATCGCCTTCGACGACGACAGCAGAGCACGTTGCAACGAATGGGCATACCTTATATGCACGAGACGGAAGACGAAGAGGAGCAAAAGAAGCAAAAGAGGCTCATCAGTGTTTTGGAAGGGTGGCTCGATTCGGCTCCTCGTCCGTAGGTCACCGTGTCTATAATGCCCGTGCATATGACTTGATACCCTTTTTCGACCAATCATTCGGTGGAGACGCGACGTTAATTGCGGGGCCTCGCGAGTGTGACAGGTCGAGGGGAGATAAGGCGATAAGACTTCTGTCTCGAGAGGGAGCAACGTTGGAGCGCACCAAGACATGGTTCGAGCATCAGACGTCTCTTTCAACAGGAAGATTATCCAAATTGTCTCTGCCGTCTTCTTTGGGTGAGCTTTCCATCGGTCGAAGGTGGCCAAGTACACTCATCGCTCGACCATTTCATCACAATGGACGCAACGCGAAACACGGCTTCGATAAATTATGTTTAATGTGTTTAATGCACAGCTTGACGGCAACAGGCGTTATCTTTGGATATGCCGCACTCAAGCCCGTGCTCGTCCGTCAAGGTTCGTTATATTTATCACCGCTGAGGCCGCACACTGACTTTATTGGGGAATAGGCGTGTATAGAGACTTATGTACCGATGATGAGCGCCAAGCGGGCGTATGGGTCTGCGAAAAGCAGGATCTCCGATTGAATTTCATGTTCACGCTCAGCGCCGTCATCACAAACGTATTTACACGTCTCTCGTGGTTTTCAGTGGAGACTAATAGTCTATTTGCCGATATAGACGATCGCGTTGCCCGTCGGAATGCTCATGGACCGTGCTGGTCCACGATTCGCGACACTTCTCGGTGCTTTCTTCTTCTTTTGTGGGAATGCAGTCTTTGGTATCGGCCTGGAGACAGAACGTACGTCCCATGCTCTGTCCCTTTACGCGGTACTATACTGATTTGCGTTAGATATCGACACATATTATGTGTAAGCTCGGATTTCGACTTGAGTGAAAGCCTAATCACGCGATTAACATAGCGGGTTCGTTCTCCTGGCACTTGGAGGACCATTAATCTTCCTCTCGAGCTTCCACCTCTCCAACGCCGTGAGTATGGTGCCACCTGTGAAAATCATGTCATTTTGAAGCGCTTTAGTTTCCCAAAAACTCGGGCTTGGTGCTCAGCTTCATCTCTGGAGCATTCGACGCGAGCAGTGTTCCGTATCTCATCTATAACGAGGTGTATGCACCTATAAATCCATTCTTGTGATGAAATACACTGACATAATTTGACAGATTTCCAAATGTACCACTACGCACGTTCTTCTGGTCATATACGATCATTCCAATCTTGTGAGTCGCTCATAGTTGACAAATGCTTTGATGGGACTAACACACGACTTGATACTTTATTCCTATAGGTTGGTCATAGTACAACTCACCATCGCACCAAAGAGTTCGTATGAGCGCGAACATATCAAGCATCGACATACCGCCGCGGCACCGGGCGCTTCCCGTGCGGATGAGGAACGTATATTAGCGGATGAGGATGTCGACTCGCCGGATACGCTTGTCGGTCATGATCACGATACTGGGGACAGGATCATTGGCGTGATGTTCGGCAAGAGCGCAAAGGAGCAAATCTTCTCGAGCTGGTGGATGTACGTGTTTTCATCTTATTTACGAGCTCACGATATTGATTTGCGATATTCAGGCTGATCACAGTCTTCCTCTGCGTGTACATGTAAGTCTCTTCCCGCTCTGAAAGAAGAGACTGATGGTCGATAGGACGAGGATAAACTTTTTCATCCAGACCGTTGCATCGCAAATGTTGTTTTATCTCCAGCAGCACGACGATGCCATCCGCCTCGCTACAACGTTTACGATTTTGCTACCGTTGGGTGGCGCGATTGGTATCACCCCAGTCGGTACGTCTGCGCTTTATATCATGCCTCTCTCTATCGTACCGTACACACTTCATTGGAGCCTTGCATGTTTGGCAAAGAAAATAAATGGCTGACACGAGTTGGCGAAGGGGTTCTCCTGGATAGAGGCGGCATCTTCGTTGCCTCTCTCGTCGTCCTCTTCATGGGTGTCGTATTCGGACTGTTCGGTATCATGCGCTCCTACGCGGCGCAGCTGGTGGCAATAGGATTTCTTGTCTTCTTGAGGCCACTTATGTATACCTTCGGTGCGTCTTCTTATACATTATGCACATATACTGAAGAGTTCTGTTTCCTGGCCACAGTGGGTGATTATTGTGCCAAGTGGGTTTGATCCTTCTTCATTTCAGCCATCTCGTGACCAATATACTGACAAAATCCTCGTACTACAGAGTTTTCGGTTTTGCTACGTTCGGCACCGTGTATGGTTTAGCGAACTCACTCTCGGGTATCTTCGGGCTCGTCCTCCGACCTATCGACCTCTTACTGAAGTCTAAGCTTCATGGAGACTATACCCCACCTAACTTGGTCCTTCTAGCGTGCGGTGTTCTTGCGTCGACCGCGCTCAGCTGGAAAGTTTGGAGTGGCACGCGACGGGTTGCATTGCAGTAATGATATATTTCAGACAAATCGTGGGTTCGTGTAGGGATTTGAGGTGCGAAACACGGGGTTAGAGCAACGGATTACTGTATGCATCGACCAAGAAATCAGAATACAAGAAATGCGCGACTCTAGCGCGACATTGACATCTAAACAATTGTGCCATCTTCCAATTGGGCTTTGTAGTACCGTACCATTTCCTCGACACCCATGCTCACCGTCCAGCGTGGATGCCACCCAAGGACTTCCTTTGCCCTTGCGTTGTCTGGACGGCGTCTCTGTGGATCATCCGACGGGATAGGCTTATACACAACCTTTGACTGTGCCGCTTTGGGTGATTCTTGTTGGTTGTCCTCCCTTTGAACCTTTTCAACGATTTCCTTCACCATCACTGCAAAGTCGCCCACGGTGAACTCGTCTGCATTGCCGAGATTGACTGGGCGTGATTCGTCAGAGTTCATGAGCGCGATAAGTCCGTCGATGAGATCGTGGATATATTGAAACGAGCGAGTCTGCTTGCCGTCGCCGTAGACAGTCATCTCTTCCCCTTTTAGTGCTTGCATCACAAAGTTGGATACGACACGTCCATCTTGTGGCTACAAAATCACAAAGGTCAGTCGAAGAATGTATTGCTTCACGAAGAACTTGCGTTCATGCGCGGTCCGAATGTGTTGAATATCCTCGCCACTCGTACTTGGATATTCTCTTGTCGTTGATAGCAATATGTGAGCGTCTCGGCGACGCGTTTCCCTTCATCGTAGCACGCCCGGATGCCGATGGGATTGACATTACCCCAGCTGCCGAAGGTCAGATAACGCCTAAGCTTTAGAATAGAATAATTACTAGTCCTCGCTTTGTGGATGCACAAGAGGGTCCCCGTAAACCTCTGAAAGCTGTTACCAAAAGGTGACCTGGGGAGAAAACAATCATACCAGATGTACTTGTGATCAAGAATCGAGCTTTTGTTCGCTTTGCTAACTCGAGCATATTCATTGTGCCCATAAATGATGTTTTGACCGTCTTGATTGAGTCGAACTGGTAGTGTGGCGGCGACGCTGGACAAGCGAGATGATAAATCTCTATACTTTAACGATGAGTTTTAGGCGTCTAGATTGACAAATACGTACGATCGCATTCGATCATGTATGGCTCGGTGACATCGTGGCGGACAAGCTCAAAATTTGGATGTCCAACCCAATGACTAACGGTAGTCTTGGATCCAGTAAAAAAGTTGTCCAAGACAGTCACATCATGGCCCAGAAGCATCAATCGGTCAACGAGATGCGAACCCACAAAGCCCGCGCCGCCCGTGACGAGTATCCGCTTCTTTTTTGATGGGGGCAAAAGTTTGACTGCGGGATAATTATTCATAGATGCGTAAGATATTGTATTTGTGGGCTTGTCGTATGTCGATTGCAGGCCTAGCGTAGCGGGTCGCGTCGTATCGCTCGTAGATGTTGAGTGACGGGAACGAAGGTAGAGTGCTCGGACATCTTCGACGTCTACAGTCGAATCAAAGCCAAACTGATCAAAGCCAACGGTCGCCAGACGTTTGCCCGCTCGATCCATGGCCAGCAAGGGGGGTTCTAAGTTTGCCATCTACCATCACCATTCCTCGGACAACTCACGGAACGGTGCTTAAGGGAAAATGCCCAGACAAAATAAATCAAATTCAGTAAAGCAAAGACATGATCCTCTTCATGTCGAGATTGCCGCCGATGAAAAATTGCAAAAGTATGGCAATGTCTCGCGGCCTGGAAAGCGAAAAGGTGGTAAGAAACAAGACGAAGAGGAACAAGAAGTGAGACTATAGTGGTTTGATTTGCTTCGGAGATCTAATGACCCCTGGCCACAGCCGTTCCTTGACAGTAAAACCTCGCGCAAGATTTTGCAACTCGCCAGAGACCAGCAAGAGGAACTCGAGCTCAAAGAAGAGTTAAATGTGAATGAGAAGGAGGCTCAAAGGTTTGCATAAACTTATAATATACCCAAACTAAAGGAAGCTAGGATAGAACCGGGCTATCGAGAAAATGTCCAACTCGAGAGCGATGATGAAGATGAATTCGACAATGGTGCAGACTCTGATGTTGAAGAATATGAGGAGATCGTGGGTAATCGACTCTGATGCCTTCAAAGCTCACAATGAGCAGGAAATAGACGAGGAAGACTTGAATGCGCTCGACAAATTCATGCCTGCAGACGCCCTACAAAGAAAGACTCTTGCAGAGATTATTCTCGAGAAACTACAGGATGCCGAGGACCAAGCAGAGGACCAGGAAACCCAAAAACCAAAGGTCCAATTCGAGGCCGCCAAGTCCTCCAAAGGTAGTTTAATCCACCATCATGCTTCATCTACTGAATTAGATAGATCCCTCGAAGCCTCTTGATCCCACGGCTGGTCTTGATCCAAAGGTTGTCGAAGTATATACAAAGTACGAGCGATCTTACAAGAGCACGCAGCAGAGTACTGACGAATAGTAGACTTGGAGTGTTCCTCTCACGGTACCGCTCGTCCTCTCTACCAAAAGCATTCAAAATTATTCCATCTCTGCACAACTGGGCTCGTATCCTCGCCATTACCAAACCTGAAAACTGGTCGCCACACGCCATGCGAGCTGCTACGCGTATTCTCGTATCCAATTTGAAACCTGATCAATGTCGCGTCTTCTTGGAAGGCGTTCTACTGCCCGCGGTGCGCGACGATATTGCGGAGCATGGCAAGCTGAATGTGCACTACTTTGAGGCTTTGCTCAAGAGCGTGTACAAGCCTGGTGCATTCTTCAAAGGAATCCTGTTTCCGCTGTGTGAGGGTGGTTGCACTCTCAAAGAGGCCTCGATAGTTGGCAGCGTACTCAGCCGCGCCTCTGTCCCCATTTTACACTCTGCCGCGGCCTTGTTGAGATTATCACGCATGAAGTATTCAGGTGGGTTCCTTGACATTGGTCTTTCAGGTCTGACATTACGTAGGACCGAACTCCCTCTTCATTCGTATTCTACTCGATAAAAAGTACGCACTGCCGTACAAGGTTGTCGATGGACTGGTCGAGCACTTTATCATCCTTTCCAATACCTATAAAGGTCGACGAGACCGAGGGCAGAGCGAGAAGCTCCCCGTCTTGTGGCATCAAAGTTTGCTAGTGTTTGCTCAAAGGTACGTCTATTGAGAGAGTTCTACCAGTTCTGAGACTGGCCTAGGTATGCAGCAGATATTACACCAGAGCAAAAGGATGCGCTACTCGACGTGATTCGAGTGAACCCTCATCCTCAAATCAGTCCAGAGGTTCGAAGAGAACTCGTTAGTTCCGTTGCACGAGGAGAACCCAGAGATGCAATGGAGGTAGATGCTACAGGTAATTAACGAAACAATGATCATAGCTTTATGAGTCCATTGTCCGGATATAAAAGTCGAGCACGATTATAGGCCGGCTATGCGCCGTAGCGAATCTTGTAACTTCCATACCGTCGATGAAGTTCGTCCAAGCTGTAGCTCGATTAGTTACTGCATGTGCATAGGGAAGAGCTTACTCCATATTACGATCCACACCTTGCTTCACGACATTATGAACGAGGTCGTCTCCTTCGAAAGCAGCGAGCCAAGTAAATATACTATAATCATCGTCACCATAAGCTACTCGACCCAAAGCAAGGACGAACCTGAAATCACGACGTGGAATACCCAGAGGAAGGCGAGGAACGGAAAACGCGGCAAGGAGTCCAACAAAGACAATCACCCCGAGCGTGGCGACAGTCGGACCGGCAAATATTGTCGCCTTTGCTAGAATTTCATTGTCGTATCGGAAGCCAAGCACCTTCTTTGAGCCAATGAGGTAGGGGAGCATTTGAGCTGCATCCGCTCTCCCTAGCGACGTTTGAAGGTCTTTGACGGACAAGGATGTGTAGTTGTTGGGTCCAGAGTTGCCTGTCCAGGAGATGACCTGCTTTCGTCAGCATCAGGTATGTTCAAAATGATTTGACCTTACAGTTGGGTTGGGAACCCACCAAAAGTCTCGACCATTGTCCTGTATGACATTGAATGAATGAAGACAAGGCTTATGAAAGGAGCAGACCTTGATTATCTGGCCACGGGAATTCTCATGGCCGGCCGCGAAAGGCTCAAACTTCTTGGTGGAATTCAAAACCGCGTCGAAGCCGTCGAGGGTATGGCCAGAGCGTTCGCCATTATTTAGCCCGCCTCGTAGCACGTCCCCTTTGCCGACAATTCTGATAGAGCCCGCCCGTCCAGATGTTGAATTGTATGCATCGACTACGTAGGGCTCGATTGCCTCGACGCAAACAGCGGCATCGTATCCGATACTTTAGGCTCTTGAGACAAACGAACAGACAGGTCCCATTTGGCTCACCTTTTATCAGTCGAATAAGTTCCAAAGGAGCCACCGGGGGTGTAGGTCGTATTGAGTCGAATCATTATGACCTCCAGTTCTAACCAACCCCAACCCTTGTTTCCGTTTTCTATCGGCCGAGACCGGAATTGATGGGCTGATTCAGGTGAGTCAATGAAATTAGATGTCCTGGCTAACACGTACCGACGCCGTTATTCCACCAGTACCCAACAAATCCGATTTGGTCCATGTCGATACCATCCGGAACAGTGTCATTTCCCTGGAGAAACGGTGGAGACGTTGAATTCCAAGACCATGTAACGTCTTGGAAACCCAAAGTGGTGATAAGACCCATGATAGTGTCTTGCGGGACGTATGCATATGTAATATTGGCGGGGGAAAGAGGAACAATGTTCGTGGTTGGATTAGGTAACTTGGTGCACTGAATGCGGAGACCCCAACGAGAGTAGCGAACAACAGATCCAACGACATAGCCACTGAGGTCTCCTGACGGCACAGTTGTATCAATCTTGCCATTGTTACCGGTTTCGTCCATCTTGAATGTCCCATAGCCGTTGCCGCCTCTGATAAACTCGTTTGAAACTTCTGAAAAGTAAACGTCCTCTTGTCCGTTGTACTGTAGGACGACTGGTTGGGGCACTTGTCTACCTGATCCGAACGGCGACAGTGTCCAGGTCTGAATAAACGATTCTTGGGCGGCGAGATGGACATGTGCTGCTGCAATGTCTTCTTCGCTCAGGTCGCCCACGACCGTAGACTCTTTGTATGTCCTCCCTTGCCAGGATTCCTTGGTCGTGATATCAATTAGACGACCCAGAAGGAAGCTGATACTCGCCGCAAGAAGCGAGATGAATATGAAGAACACTACGTATAAAGACCATGGACGTTTGCTGCGGGAATGTCAGTGAGAATGACTCTTGATGCCAAGAGGTCGGCTCACTCATAAGGCCTATTCCGTCTGCGAGTCGACTTTTGGAGCATGCGCTCAACCAGCATGGAAATCCCACGCCATGTCCAATAGTGATAGGTCGACTTTGTCTCTAGGTCAGCGAGGGTGATCCCCGTTCGCCCTTCGTACATTGACCGATGGACAATGGTCGCCCACGTCGTCGCTTCCAATAGCCGTTTTCCAATGTTCAGAAGCTCCATTCCCAAAGCAAACCCAAGGACAGCCGCCGTGGTGCCGACGATAAACCGCGTCCAGAAGATGGGTCTATTCTGGGCTAGAAGCGTGGCAATAAACATGATGGGATAGGCGAGTAATATGATGACAAGCAATTTCACGATGGGAACCGGGTCTACAGCCTCAAAGTCGTTTGGAAAGTATGGATGTCGCGGTGGAAGCCAAATTGTGCTACTTCCCTTGTCACGAACAGCAGTTCGTACGCGAGGAGGTGGAAGAAACTCTGTGCGCGAGTTGGCCGAATTGGGAACGCTGCCAAAGTCGTCGATGGCATCGCGGTCGCGTGCTATCGCATCCCCTGAAAAACTGGCTGTAAACCGCGTCTGTCGAGCGTCTGGAGAAAGGAGAAATGAGCTCTTTCTTGATCCAAGAAGTGGTTGTTCGTCCTCGTCTTCCACCACGCGCTCGTCTTTTGGCGGTAGAAGGGGCGGTCGGAGCGTTTGATGACCCTCTTCGGGATTATCAGCATCCCAGGGTGTTGCATAGAGCTGAGAGTGTTTGAAAAGTTGAAAGGATGGTGCATTTGGCGATGTGACTGAGGCTAACGAGCTGACCGTTCGCTGTCGGCGGCCTTGTAGAGGACTTTGAACCTTGTCCTCGTCATTGGAGCGTTGTTGAGACATAAAGACGGCTTTCAGCTACAACACCAAATCGTCGTGGGACGTGGGCAAAGACCAAGACCTGAGGTTCAGGAACACGACGCGCTTAGGCGCGGAGATGGCGCTGTACCGGAATAATGAAAAACTACCAAAACACATAGATCAATCTTCTCTCTTTCGTTTCCTTCTCTTTTCTGCAACAGTCGGCGCAGCAGTTTCCTCTGGTGCGACGTAGGCCTCTGCTCGTTTGGCTTGGTGCTGGGCGGTAACCTCTGCTTGCTGTCCAGCAATTAGATCGGACCAAGTGTAATTTCCAAAACAATACGCACTTGCTGCTTCCTTTTAATTGCTTCTCGTGCCTCCTTCTCTGATGATTTGAGGAAATACTCGCCCGACTCGAGTTGAAGGTCGACCTGCATTCGACGGGTGAGAGACTTCCACGGCATACATGAGCGATAGCTCACCTTTCTCGGAAGCTGTGGAGGAGGGAATGGAGTGTAGACCTTTTTCTTCTTCTTCGGAGGCTCGTGCACGTCGACATCCATCGGCTGTCCACTAGAAGCTGCGGCGGCTTGGCGCGCTTCCGCCTTTGTCGCCGCCGCTTCCCTCTTTTTCGCACTCTTTTCTGCACTGGTAAGATGTCGTTTGCGAAACTTGGGTAGGAAGCGATCCCACGACTCTGTGGCGAGCTTGGGATCCTTTGCCAGCTCTCGCTTGATCATTAACTCCTATTCGAGCAATAAGTCAGTCCATTATATGCTCATGTAGTGGATCTACCTTTATGCGATAGATTGGATGGATATTTTTCATGCAGTCCAGGACTATGCGTCGAACCTCCTTTAAAGATTTGTAAGGGCCCATTGCACTGACAGTGTTACCCTGCACAAGCACATAGCACCCTGTGAGGAGCTCGATGGCCTACCAAGAGTGAGATTCGCATGTAAAATTGGCGGTAGCTCACTTTTAGCGTACTCCCATCCGGACCTATAATTCGTTGTCTCCGCTTGACAAACCGCTCCTTGTTCCGGACAATGTTGCCAATCTTGATAATATCACAGGCAACCGCATCATCGAGGATTTTCACGGCTTGACCGACGGCGACACCCCGAGCCAGCAGTTTAATCATATCCCGCGCCTTGAGGATGATATATGGATCAAACGTCTTACGAGTGGTGCGAACAGACATGGAACCGTTGATGAGATCTAGTGTACACGCAATTCCCTGGAGAATGTCATCAAGGAAAACTTGCAGAATAGAAAATCCAACTTGCATGCGGTTCGAGGGCGCGAGTGACGGCTCCCCACACTTCTCTCAGATACTTTTCTCTGTACTTTGGGAATAACGTCGCAAACGACGATTCCTCTGTGAGGGCTCCACCCTTGTTGTCCTCGTTTGTAAAAGGTTCGATTTTCCACTAGTCTGGCTGAGATTAAGCCTCAATAAAAGCAATAAACATACGCTGTAGAGAGATATAAACGTCAGTATGATCTTGTATTGATTCCCCTGCGGCTTACTGGTCAATATCATCCGTATCCCAAGCTGTGGCGGTCATTAGCGGAGCCATACGGTGGGTTGTACTACGTACGCTTGTCCTTGCGATGTCTCTTGTTCTTGTTGACCACCGTCGTCGGCGTCTCTCCGTCGGACATGGCCCACAGTCGGCGAGGTCACGAACCAAGTTTGCTCGGTGCAATTTGAGTTTCGACCACCATGCTCGTCCTGTACGAGACGGCGCTGGGCTTTTGTCTTTTCAAAGTCTCCGACTCTGGAAAGCTACAGAATCCAAAATCACTCTGGAAGGAGTTTGAGACGCCCGAAAAGGCCAATGGACTGTGAGCATCCTGCAGCGATTGGATCGAAATTCGTGTTAATATATCTTCTTTCGTATTTTACAGACTAAAACTACGCGCTTTACATCGTTTTTCGTCGACTGCCGCTGCCGTAGAGGACCTCACGGCCGTCCAAGAGGGCAAGATTCCAAAAGGCCTAAAGCAATTCTTGACCCGCGAAGTCGTTGAAAAAGGAAAGGGAAAAGAAGTACTAGCTGTAGCAGATACAAAGCTCGGTGAGTTTGGCCATTGCCGCTCATTTCAGGGTTCAGACTGAGTTTGGATTCCCAGGCAAGGCTATTTCGAAGAAACTTGGCATTGAAATTTACTCAAAGGCGACACAAGAGGATCTAATGGATCTGTATCGAGGCATCCGAGAGCAGATTACGTCTCTCCTCTCCGGACTCGACCAAAAAGACCTGACCACGATGAGCTTGGGACTGAGTCATTCTCTGTCTCGGTAGGTATTATGAACTTCTAGTTTTGATCTTCTGAACGTGCTATAGGTATAAGCTCAAGTTTTCCCCCGACAAGGTCGACATCATGGTTGTCCAAGCCATCTCGCTCCTTGACGATTTGGACAAAGAGATCAACATTTACGCGATGAGAGTAAAGGTTAGCGAATAGTTTCAAGCAGTCAGACATAATCTCATGGTTGTCAGGAATGGTACGGATGGCACTTCCCAGAAATGGGCAAGATTATTGTCGACAACCTAGCGTATGCCAACGTCGTGCGCACTATGGGTATGTCATGAATTATTTGCAGAATGAAATATTCACTGGTCCCAGGTGTTCGTACAAATGCCGCCCGAGCCACTCTCGCAAACTATTTACCAGAAGATCTCGAGGCTGCTGTCAAATTGGCCGCCGAGATATCGATGGGTACAGAAATCTCCGAGGCAGATATGGATCACATTCGTTCCCTATGCGACCAAGTCATCGCCATCTCCGCATACCGAGCACAGCTCGCAGAATACCTCCGAAACAGAATGAACGCCATTGCACCCAATCTCACCGCATTAGTCGGAGACCTTGTGGGGGCGCGACTCATCAGCCACGCTGGAAGTCTGAGGAATCTGGCAAAGCACCCAGCCAGCACCGTACAAATCCTTGGTGCGGAGAAGGCGCTCTTCCGAGCGCTGAAGACAAAGCACGACACTCCAAAATACGGGTTGATTTACCATGCGTCATTGATAGGACAAGCACCTCAGAAGCTAAAGGGCAAGGTCTGTACATGTGTTCATCAGCTGAATATGATCTAACTGCTGTGTAGATGGCTCGTATGGTTGCAACCAAAGCAGCCTTGTCCATCCGTGTCGATGCCTTGTCAGACGCAGATGCCAAATCCGGAACCGACGCGGCGACAATCGGTCTAGAAAGTCGCGCGAAGCTCGAGTCTCGCCTCCGCGCTCTCGAGTACCGATCCGACTTGACAACAACAAAAGCTTTTGCAGGAGAACGACGCAAGGAGCAGCCAAAGTTTGAGATGACTGGCGGAGCCAAGACATATAATACCGCGGCGGACGCTGTCGGTTTCTTACCCACGCAGAGACAGGATGCCGAAAAACTCGCTATCAGCGCGGTCCTTGACGTCAAGGAGGAACGAAGAAAGGAGAAGGAAGCGAAGCGTGCTGCAAAAGAGGCCAAGCGCGCTGCAAAGGCGGCTACTGTTGAAGAGGATAACATGGCGGTGGACGAACAGGAGAAGCCTAATGGTGAGTGTCAGTACTTCACTCTCCGATGGATGCTCATCAATCTCAGTTGAAGAAACTGAAGAGGAGCGCAAAGAGCGCAAGAGGCTAAAGAAGGAAAAGAAAGCTGCAGAAAAGGCTGCGGCCTTTGCCAACAATATTGGTACATCTTCTGTCGTCAATGGCGAGACATCACCACCCAAAAAGGGCAAGAAGCGACCGGTCGAGGATATCGAGATGGTGGACGCAGCAGAGGGCGAGAAGAGTAAAAAGAAGAAGCAACGAAAGGAGCCTAATCATTGAGCTATCTGTATAACAGGCGTGTTTATCTTATCATCGTGCTTCCACTGAATTTTTTCATACGTGCCCACGTGCGACGGAGCGTCATTCGTTTCCATATCCAAGCTAAAATGGCAGAAACTGGACTCTGGATGTTCTTAAATAAGTAGGACATAGCGTAATATCAGAAACCTCGACATCAACGATACGTGAGTGGATACACAACCAACAGGGACCACTGCACGCAGAAGCAGTATATTCGAAAGTATAATGATAGAAGTATAAAATCACCGGCTGGCGTCTGTTCGAACCCTTGTCCAAGAGGAACCACAACAAAACCGAGTGAAATCAAGTTTGGTCGCACGGAGCGGACTCGCCGTGGGGATGCTCAGGAAAAGACACGGGTTCTGCAGTCCATACCGATTGTCCAGTGGTACCCAGAAGAGACGCTTACCGGACGCTTGCACCCAGCCATCCTGCAAAAGGGAGCATGCTTTGAACCCAGGTACGAGGATTTGTAGTGGAGTCTCCTCTAAATCCCCTCCGAGGTCCAAACGCGCAGACTCTCTATCATCCTGGTTGGTCTCGCTCGCATTTGAGTCTAGTTACATTTGTAAGATCATCCCACAGATCATGGAAATGCCGAATTACACTCACCGGGCACCTTAGCCCACAACCGAATTGTAGTATCGTGCGAGCCAGAGACAAATTGTGAGCCGTCCGGCAAGAATGCGATGGCGTTGACCGAGGATGTGTGACCTAGGAGTGGCTCTCCCAAAGGCTGACCGGTGGCCGCATCCCACGATCGGATCGTGTTGTCGGACGAACCAGAGACGATTCGTGAACCGTCTGGCGAGAATGCGATGGCCTTGACCGAGGATGTGTGACCTCGGAGTGGCTCTCCCAAAGGCTGACCGGTGGCTGCATCCCACAATCGGATCATGTTGTCGGACGAGCTGAGGAAGAATCCGGAGCAAGAGGCGATTCGTGAACCGTCTGGCGAGAATGCGATGGCGTTGACCGATTCTGTGTGACCTCGGAGTGGCTCTCCCAAAGGCTGACCGGTGGCTGCATCCCACAATCGGATCGTGTTGTCGAACGAACCAGAGACGATTCGTGAACCGTCTGGCGAGAATGCGATGGCGTTGACCGAGGATGTGTGACCTCGGAGTGGCTCTCCCAAAGGCTGACCGGTGGCTGCATCCCACAATCGGATCGTCTTGTCGGACGAACCAGAGACGATTCGTGAACCGTCTGGCGAGAATGCGATGGCCTTGACCGATTCTGTGTGACCTCGGAGTGGCTCTCCCAAAGGCTGACCGGTGGCTGCATCCCACAATCGGATCGTGTTGTCGAACGAACCAGAGACGATTCGTGAACCGTCTGGCGAGAATGCGATGGCGTTGACCGATTCTGTGTGACCTCGGAGTGGCTCTCCCAAAGGCTGACCGGTGGCTGCATCCCACAATCGGATCGTGTTGTCGAACGAACCAGAGACGATTCGTGAACCGTCTGGCGAGAATGCGATGGCGTTGACCGATTCTGTGTGACCTCGGAGTGGCTCTCCCAAAGGCTGACCGGTGGCTGCATCCCACAATCGGATCGTGCTATCGGACGAACCAGAGACGATTCGTGAACCGTCTGGCGAGAATGCGATGGCCTTGACCGAGGATGTGTGACCTCGGAGTGGCTCTCCCAAAGGCTGACCGGTGGCTGCATCCCACAATCGGATCGTGTTGTCGGACGAACCAGAGACGATTCGTGAACCGTCTGGCGAGAATGCGATGGCCTTGACCGAGGATGTGTGACCTCGGAGTGGCTCTCCCAAAGGCTGACCGGTGGCTGCATCCCACAATCGGATCGTGTTGTCGGACGAACCAGAGACGATTCGTGAACCGTCTGGCGAGAATGCGATGGCGTTGACCGAGGATGTGTGACCTCGGAGTGGCTCTCCCAAAGGCTGACCGGTGGCTGCATCCCACAATCGGATCGTGTTGTCGGACGAACCAGAGACGATTCGTGAACCGTCTGGCGAGAATGCGATGGCGTTGACCGAGGATGTGTGACCTCGGAGTGGCTCTCCCAAAGGCTGACCGGTGGCTGCATCCCACAATCGGATCGTGTTGTCGGACGAGCCGAAGAATCCGGAGCAAGAGGCGATTCGTGAACCGTCTGGCGAGAATGCGATGGCGTTGACCGATTCTGTGTGACCTCGGAGTGGCTCTCCCAAAGGCTGACCGGTGGCTGCATCCCACAATCGGATCGTGTTGTCGGACGAACCAGAGACGATTCGTGAGCCGTCTGGCGAGAATGCAATGGTGACGATAGAGCCTTCGTGACCTTGGAGAGTTCTGGGTAATCCCGGGTATTTCTCCTCAAGTCCTCGAGTCACAGTCAGGTTGTTTCTATACGCCTTTACACCCTCGATATGTAGTATTGACTTTGAGGGAGTAAAAGGAAGTGCAGAAATGTAAATGTGTGGAGCGCTCTCCTGTATTGGTACCAAAAATGTCATTAGAAACCGCCATATTTCATCTATACGGATTCTAGTCTGCTCTCCAAGCTGCTTGTAGTGTAAGAGGCTAGGATTCATCGGGATAGACCACTCACTCCTGGATGGCGTGTAACAGCTCGAAGTCCGGCTATCGCTCGTCGCACTCCTCCAGTAAAGCTCAGGATCTCTATCCAGTGTAACACGCGTGGAATTCGAATAATGTATTGCAAGGCGTTTTCGAGCCTGTGTCGCCAGTTATTGTCTGTTTCGGCAACATGAAATGACCAATGGGAGCTGGCATATCGAAGTCTTCCTAAAATAAATCTTGACATCCTGATATCAAGGTCCGGAATCTGCCTGTTTAGGTAAAAGGATGACTCGAGTTGACATATGTTAAATCTGAGACCGTCGGTCGGTGAATTGAGGCATTTGAGGCACCACGATGCGGCCTGACCATGTGCGTTGACGATATCGATAGTATGGTTATCGAAGGATGGAATGACGGAACGACGTCGAAGGTACTCTATAAAAGTGGGATGACGAAATTGGATCAGGTTTGTAGTGGCGTCCTCGATAAGTACGCTGCCGAGGATCCATACCAATGCCTTGGCACTCCCATCTACTCCAGCATGTTTGAGAATGTCGTCTAGATCCTCGATAGTGACCGGTTCATATGCGGCAAGCAGCAGTGCAAGCATCTGATACATAGTATCATGGTGTTCGGGGTCTGTACGCTTGAGGATGAGACTATACAGATCGTCTATGACACCACCCTGTTCCATGGAGATCAGACGATTATATGTGCTTTCAGGAGGCCTCAAGTTAGTCTTGCTATTGAGCATTCGGCATGCGGTGCTTGCCCAGATGAACAACCCGTTAGCCTTTTCGACGAGTCGCTGCCTCTTGTCCAGCGATAGGACATTGTTCAGCGATTGATGTACGTAGGTCGCAATATCGTCAATAGTATCTTGATGGCGGACGTCGTGGAGGCGGTCCTTCAACTCGGCCTTGATTGAGAGCGGCCGCAAAACCGCTTCAACGATGGGGTCTGGCCGACTGGTGATGAATAATTTGAGATTTCTGGTCTCTCTAACGGCCATAGCAAGAGCTTCGAGAAGTTCCTGTCGCTGTGCTCCGGATTTGCATTCGTCGATGGCATCGATGACAAGAATTACGCGTTCTTGTCGATGGCGGAGTGGTTCCGTGACCAGTATTTGGAGCTGTTCGTGGAAGGGACTTCGCATGATGGCAGGATTTCGCTTCACGGCCTCGGCGACGTGCCGCGCGAGTTTGGGCATTTTCTGGGCGAGTTCTCTGGCCATGGTCGAGCAGAACTTCTCGGTGGTAGACGCATCGCTGCTAGCCAAGGAGAAGAAGAACTGGGCTCCTAGGATCCCCTCCGTTTTCCATACGTTGGATACAGTCATTGCGACTGTGGATTTGCCAGACCCAGCTATGTCACAGAGCCAAAAGATTGATTCTCGTGACATATCGTCCTCTGCCCAACGGTAGATGGTGCGGAGAACAGCTTCACGTGTTCCTTGTAAACAAGTAGAATGAACCGAGGATGCAACAAATGGCACCAGTGGGAGTTGGAGGATAGCATTTGCTTCCACTTGAAATCGTTATCGAACGTCTATACACAAAGCTTCAACATACCATCTGTCAGAAGTGTTTCGACATTGGCCCTGGTAGCCTCCATGTCAGCCTTGGTAGCTTGCATGCCGTCCTTGATAGTCTTTATGCTTCGATCGACGACTTGAACACGTAATGCGGTAAAAATACCGAGTTGTTCCTGAGTCCACAGTGAGATTACGAGTGTGCTTAATGTCACTCATACCATGAATTGCCTATGGCGATCTTCGATATCGCGATTGAATTTACGGATCACTCCTGCATCAATTTTCACTTTGCTCACTGCAGTGAATATGCCGAGGCCGTGGCTTCGCTTATGCTTGTGATTCGCGACGATGTTATGGAAATCTTCAAGCAGTCTGAAGCAGTTAGCATATGCGAATAAGATTTAGTATCTACTTACTTCACATAATGAATGAGTGGTTGGCTGAATGCGTCATCTACAGCCCTTTCCTCTGGAGGGTACTTTTCGACCGAGTCGATTTGGTCCTCGATACCGGCCAGATATTCCTCCAAACGCTGCGTTATGTCGTTCAATTCTTCTTGATTGTCATCGACAGCCTTTCATGTTTTGAATATTATATGTGCGTTGTTTCGCATCGACTCACTTGGATCATGTCGAGGATCGATTTCGTTGTACGACAAGCTGCCTTGAGGGGAGATAGTATATCCGAGGCCTCGGATATATTTGCGACCACGTCAAGGCCCTGGCTGGCCCCGTCGTACAGCCGACCTCTCTTGCGAGATGAGCGTCTGACAGAAGAAGACGAACTCGGCTGATCCATCGAGAAATTATTGGGGTAAGTTAGCTTTTCGGGTGGTTGTGGACGGGTCCAAGTTGAGGCAGACGCCTGCCAGTCTCTGCACCACAATAAGCCAGCTGCTTTGTTTGGTCAAAACTGTGACTTTCTTGAGAGAGCACACGGATACTACTTGTTAGCACACTTATTAAATGCAGGAGTCCTTATTAAATCGCCCATGTAGGCGATTTTCTTTCTGTATCAATATCCACGTTATTTTTGAAAAGTATATTTCATAAAGCAACGAAGCTACAAGTACAGCTGTGGCAGGGAAGATTGTGAATCGAGATCAGACGCAAGCAATTTCCCGAGGAGGGGAAAAGGGATTGCTGGGGACGCAGAAAGTAAAAGAAAACGAAAACGATGTAGGCTCAGCGTATGAAGGTGTCAGTGGTCCTAGAGCAAAGGCGTAGGGCTCGAGCTTTGGTCTCACACGAACTCGGCGACCGAGAGGCTTGGTGCCGTTGATTTTGAGAGCCTTGTTCGCTCCATGCTTAGTCGAGAATGTAACAAAGCAGTGCCTGTGCACAAAGTAGGTATTAGACAAGCGCGGAATCGGCCAATTGGTGAGCACGAACCGCTTGTGCATGATCACGTTCTCAACCTCTCCATAGGTCTTGAAGACGGCCTTGACCACTTGAACATGACAGTGATCACTCCCCAAGCCAAGGACGAAGAGCGTGCGGTCCTCGAGATCGAGAAAATGGCCGACATGGAGACCAGATGCCTCTGCCCTTTTCGCTGAAACGAGCTTACGATTCAAATTGGACATCTGAGCTTGAATGCGACGAATCCGCTGTGGACAATATTAAGCCATGTTTGGTTTACCTCATATAGCCCACTCACATATTCGCAAAATCGGATAGAGGCCTGTAGAGAGTCAGTAGCGTAAGAACACGCACAAGAATCTCGCCTTGTGATCTCTCTCGTTGACTTCCTCGGTCCAGCCCATGGCGGGAGGAAGGCTTGGGTCAAAGTACGAGCTCTGGACGTGGAGACGCTTCAGCTCTTCGACGGAATTCTGTAGGTATCGCTTAAGGTCTGCCAGCTGCGTCAAACAAGCGTTAGCACATCGTGCAAGCGGCGGCGTTCGGAGCGCAGTCAGTCTCCAAACAGGCTCACCTCGCTTTCGAGCACCGACGCCGTTACAAGCACATCGCTGTTGGTTTCCCAGTCACTGCCATCTTCGTCGTCAAACTCTAAGACCAGTTTAAAGTCCTGTAGAGGCCGCCGAGGGATGAGTGTCGGTCTCGCGACTTATGAACTAGGCCGAGAGGACGTACATCCGAGTCGGGATCCATTCGCTAAATTAGGGCAAGGAAAGAAGCTAAAGTAATGTTGAAACGCGCGAGCCGCGCTGTGCGAGGTGCTCTCGAGACGGAGATGGTAGGGGTTCAACCTTTTTTGGAGTGGACGCTGGGAAGCCTTGGAACCAATAATGGCTGTGATGCGCGTATTCTGCGCTGGTTATGGCTGGTGGGCGCCTTTTGTAAGCATGTCTGGCTGACACAAACTGAAATGCTGGCTAATTCCGACCTCAATCGCAGATTGTCTATCGGTGTCCTGCATCACGGAGAAAACACATCAAATAACGCGTAAAGGAGCTCTGTGAGCAGCATTATACGGCATGAACCCACTCGATACTCAGGGTATCGACTTTGTGGGCGGAGCAAAGGCCCTGGTCCCCCAGGATCTACGCCCTGCATCCGTCAAGGAGATCTGGGCAGAGCCTCTCTTGTCTACGAGAGAGTTCTTCAGGGTACTTGGGACAATGGCGATATTTTTGTCCTTTGGAGTGTTTCTATATTACTCGGTAAATATCTTCAACACACCCCATATACTGCTCTTGACACTGTTTTAGTTTTACATAGCATTTATTGTGACCTCTGTGGAGAGCTTTCAGCGTACAACACGAGCTCCAGCTCGCCCTCGCCTTGCAGGATCCTATCGCAGGATCACTCTTCACATGCTTCATACTATAGGGCTGAAGCATTTTATCACGGGGGCTTGGACATTTCTATGGACTGCCGTATTGGCGTTTGTTGGTAGAACTGCTATGCCAGTGTCAACAGACAATGCCATCATCCAATCGCTTGGTGGACCGAGTGTCATCTCTGGCCTCTTGCTGGAGCCCCTCAACATTCTCTTCACTCACAAGATCCTCACAGCATCGTCCTTTAGCCCCTTCGACACGCTCATTCGACTACTGCCAGCCATGGATTTCTATGTCAACCTTGCGTACATTGTAGGGATTCGCATCGCATTTCATATCCTCCAGACAAGGCTCCTCGTATCCGACCGCTCGCAGCATTACGCAAACCCTTTCCTTACCTTTTCGACATTCATTGTGCTTTTCCTCTTCCGCATCGCTATGGTCACCAACACTCATGCAAGACTGCTTGCCCCAGAAGTTACGACCACTATCCATGTGCAGCGGTTAGGGGGTTTCGAGTGGGGAGGCAACTTTGGCATCTTGTCCTCCGAATGATTTACATGATTAAACTCCTCACTGTATGCTCCATCTTGGCCATCCTACACTTTGTGTCCTTTATGGCCGCGCTCGTATACGCCAGTGGGCACGGTGACAAGATTATGAAGATTCTGACTGCGTCGGGACAAAAGATGGCGTCTGATGGGCCGTTAAGAATGCTCCAGGATCCAGAGTTGGATCATGACCACCGTCATTAGCGTCGCGCATGGTTTGCATGCTATACCTAGTATATCTTCGAGTTCTTTATTAGTAGGAATGACACTTCATGCTGCTTCGATCAACCGTCAGAAGTCGAAACTCGCCAATCCGAATGGGGAGTTGAATGACAATCATTGTACTAGGCGGGTACTCACGTCGAGTCTGGACGTACAGGGACCGTGTAGAACGGGGAACCGTTATGTTGGTCCCGCCCTGTTGAATGCCGTAAACCTCCGGACTGAAAATAACGCATTCATCTCCACTAGCCATTCTTCTGGATATCAACCAAGTTAAAACTCGCGGATTGAACATCTCCGTCTTGAACCCTTCGCCGTCACTCTCACTCAACTTCCATTTGGAGGCTTCAAAGGACAACCTTGATCATTCAACACGCATTTTTTTGGGCCTGAAGGATTGCATGGTATCAGAAGGATTGCATGGTATCATTTGTCACCGACGTTTTCCACACCAAGGTCATCACCTATGCCGCCCTATCGTCAATCACCAACTATCTATACGACTATGTACTGACACTGAACGATGAGGTAAGTTAGGGATGACAAGGTCCAGCTAATAATAGCCATTCAGGTGGGGCTGTATTGGACGTACGGCGGGAGCTGGGTGCTTCGTGCGGTGTTTCTCTTGGTATGTTATCCCCAATGATAATTGCCGGTTCTAAACTGTCAAGTCTCGATATATGCCTGCGTTGGGTCTGCTCCTGGGGTTGCTTAGTGTGTCAATGCGCAAGTAGTACTCTCTTGGGCTTGACTGTTTGCTTTTTCCAGGTCTCAATCCTTCTGGGTTCATTCTCAACGACAGAACGTGCGTATTCCTCCCTGCTAGCGACGTCGAATGTCAGCTGACCCCTATAGCTGCCGAGCTCTCTTCATAGCTGATGTCATCTGTCAATCAGCAATGCTCATCTGCTCTACTGGCATGTTCCTACTTTCTTCGTGGCTGCAACGCAATCTCAAAACATTCAAAAGGAATATTATGTCTTCGAATCCTCACAATTTTCCAACACAACTGGCTGATAAGAATTCTCGTTCATGTTTCATTCTGGCTCGGAGCAATAGCAACCTGCTGCCTCACAGGTCAAGCGTTGCACCATCTAATCCGTACGTACCATGATGATTCACTACCTCCGCTGACTCTTTTCAGCCAACTTGGGCTTTGCGTTTGGCACTTGTTCAATAGTAGGACAGCCACCGCCATATGTCGGCACTATAATTGCAATGGCTTACATGTCTGCGGTACTTTGATCGATTCTCTGCTACGCAGACTCTGACGGATATATAGTTACCGTGCGAGATCATTATTATCGGGGCGACATGGTTTCATGCGTATCAAACCAAGGAACTCCGGCTGTCGACATGGGACAGCGTCTCTTGGCCGATACTCAATCGCATGTACAAGGACGGCGCAGCGTTCTTCGTGGTGAGTCCATACATCTTATCAACTTCACGTGAATAACCTCGCTTGTAGATCTCGCTGATACTCCGATGCTCCGCGTGTTTGACCGTCAGTGGACGAAAGCGAACTACTGTGCGTTTAGCTGATATTCAACAGCATCTTCTCTGCAATAATAACATCAAGAGGGTGGTGGATTTTATGGCACTTAGTCTCAACAGCGTCGTTTCGAGTCGGTTCTTCTTCTCGTTGCGACGCTCCATTGTGCGGTCAATCATCGACAATGATGTCGTCGAAGACGGATTTGGCGGCACGATACAACTTCAAACAAACCACGATATAACGCTTCTGCGAATGCGAAGACGGCAACAACAGACGGACTGGATCATCGAGACGGTAGACAAAAACTAGCCAAAAACATCCATTATCGGCTTCTGTAGGATTAGATTTCGTTCGTGAGTAGCATACTATCTTGCGTATCGTTGCTTCACCCTTAAAGTGAGAAGAACCGACTTAGGTGTGCGTTCAGACCAAGCTAAGATCTTGATCGCCTCTAGCTAAAAGATTGCCACTTGTGCTCGATGAAACAGCGACCACTGGTCCTGCACCCGCATGGGTTGCATCCTAGTAATTCCCGCCAGTGCTTCGCGTCGTTATTGGCAATGTTTCAGACTTCGGAGCTTGCAAAGAATATACCAAAACACGCCGATGTCAGATGAGCGCTCATACTCTAAGGCCGAGAGAATCGGAGGTACTCTCTTCGAATTATAATCTATTATGTCAACGCTACAGCCCCTTGGCATCGGGACCGCGCCCCAGCATGGATTCGTGAGCGCATGTCGGTCTGTCATGTTGGCTGCCGTAAATCCCGCGGCGGAGAGGAAGTTCCTTGGGCCGAGGCCAGCTATTTTCATTATTCTATGCGCCAGTTGTGGGCGGACATCAAGCAAAAGGAAAGCTTCCGAGTGAAGCCTCCGCCTTGAACCCCCTCTCAACGATCGCCCATCGTCCATATCTTCAAGGCAATCCTTACCCGTTCAACGCACATTTTGGCATAGAAAGCCTGCATGGCTTCAATTGTCACCGAAGTCTTTTACGGAAAGGCCGTAACCTATACTGCCTTCTCCTTCTTTACCCTCTACTTGTACGACTATGCGCTCACACTGAACGACGAGGTTATTAAGGAGTGATTCAGTTGATTTCCTGCTGAATACTGCTAGATGGAATTATTCTGGACTCATGGTGGTAGCTGGGTGCTCCAGACAGCATTTATAACGGTATGCAGTCACGATTACTATGACCTCGTCTTAAGATATGACCAGTCTCGATACTTGCCCGCAGCTGGTCTCCTCGCAGGAGTCCTTGGTATGTCGACTTATTACATATAGTCAAGGCTAATCGTTTGTTTCACATGTAGCCCTCAATCCTTCCGGGCTCACTCTTGATGACATATCGTACGCGCCTCTATCTGCCATTGATGTCGATTGCAGCTGACATCGACCAGTTGCCGCGGGCTGATGGCGGGCAACATCATCTGCCAATCAACGATGTCTGTTTGTTCCACTGGTATGACTTTACGGCTTGTTGTGGATAAATATCATCTCACTCGGCCCCAAGGGCTGATATGCCTTCGGATTCTCACCATCTTTCAACATAATCCACGAATCAAGATTACTCTCCACATTTCATTTTGGCTCGGTGCGATATCAATCTTCTACTTCACGGGCCATGCTTTATATTACCTACTCCGTACGTGGGTTTGATAAACTCGCTTCTCTAAGCTGACCCTACCTAGCCAAGGTAGTGTTCGCCTTCGACACCTGTGCGATAATAGTGCCGCCACCACCCTTCACCAATATCATCATCGCTCTGGCTTACATGTCTGGGGTGGGTTCATAGATCCCATTTTCACCGAGAGATTCTGATGAGCACAGTTACCATGCGAGGCAGTAATCATTGGTGCTACGTGGTATCACGCATACGCAACCAAGGATCTACGATTATCAGCATGGGATAGTATCTCTTGGCCGATACTCAGCCGCATGTATAAAGACGGTATGATGTTCTTTGTGGTGGGTCAATACATTGTGTCTTGTTCATATCGGCAACTTTCTTTCATAGATCTCATTGGCACTTCGGTCTACCGGCTGCTTGAATGTAAGCATGTAACACCTATTACTTCGTGCATCGAGCTAACGACCAGCAGCATCTTCTCGTCGCAGAAAACATCAAGCGCGTCGTGGATTTCGTAGTATTGGGCCTCACCACTGTCGTTGCGACTCGCTTCTTCTTCTCATTGAGACGTTCCATTGTCAAGTCAATAGAGGGTAATGGGGTGGTCGCAGACGGGTTCGGGGGCACAATTCAGGTCCAAACAAACCACGAAATATCGCTTTCGCGAATGCGAAGGCGTACGACGAATTGGACGATGGACACACGGGATTTCCCATCAACCACGAGATAAACACCTTATACGCTCCATACATGCGTTGAATCTCTGTAGGATTAAAACGGTTCATGATAGCATGCAATTATGAAACTTGCCGCTACCATCTATCCTGAAACAATACGATCTATTGTCGATTGAAAGGCTTAATAAGTGGGGTTTGAACGAAATATAACCAAATCTCACGCTGTCAAAAGTCAGTGTCATCGCCGAAGCTAAATTCATTCGAAGCCCCTGGTCAAGGATGCAAGAGAAATGCGTCTGAAAGTCTCCGCCCTTGGACCCTCCCTCACTGTTCTGGTCGTTTAAAACACCCTCTAAGTGTTCTTTGGGATACAGCGATATCGCCGATCACGAGAGAAAGCTCATGGCCTCGATTTTGACGGAGGTTTTCTATTCAAGGGTCGTCAATTACGCAGCTTTGTCCTTCTTCACCCTCTATTTGTATGATTATTTACTCACTCTAAACGATGAGGTAAGTAAGGAGCACCGAGATCCACCTTTTATTAGCTGAGTGGCATGACCAGCACGAGTTGTATTGGACGTATGGCGGAAGCTTGATGCTCAGGACAGCGTTCTTAGTGGTATGTGGGTCTATTATTATTGATTAATGACGCGAGATGCCGACAGTCTCGATACATGCCCACCCTTGGTTTCCTCCTCGGATTGCTTGGAAGGATATCACACTGATTCGTAGGCCAATCTCAATGTAGGCCATTTATTTTGCACCTAAACCTCAACCCTTCGGGCATTCCTTATGACAATATTACGCGCATGGATTTCAATTGGCAACAATAGTGCGCTGACATTTAGTAGATGCCGAGGACTCCTGGCTGGCAATATTCTCTCCCAAGTATCCATGTCTGTTTGTGCTATTGTTATGCCCATGATCCGGGGGGTGTATGGCTTGGTCTCAGACCGTTCACAAGGGATATTATGCCTTCGGATCATTACCCTCTTTCGACACAACGTACGAATCAAGGTCGTCGTTCACCTTTCGTTTTGGTTCAGCACTGTGGCAATGTTTTGCTGTACAGCGCCTGCGTTGTATTATCTACTCCGTGCGTGACTTGGAAAACTTGTTGCCTCTCGGTGACACAACTGATTAGCTGGGACTGTCTTTGCGTTTGGTACCTGTCAACCAGCAGGAAGAACACCACCTTTTACAAACGGTTTAATTGCTTTGGCTTGGGTCAGTGCGGTATGCTCATTCATCTCACCCTGGCTATGAGTGACTCATGGAGACACAGTTGCCCTGTGAGATTATCATTGTTGGTGCTACCTGGTATCACGCCTACCAAACAAAGAATTCGCAACTGTCGCAATGGGACAGTGCATCCTGGCCAATCCTCAGCCGTATGTACAAGGACAAGGACGGCATGATATTCTTCGTGGCGAGTCGATGCATACTCGGGATCCTGTAATCTAATTCGTTCATAGATTGCACTCCTGCTTCGATGCACTGGGTGCTTTGTCGTAAGTTGAACAAGCTGGGTATGGCTTCCGCTCATGTCTATGGGTTAGCATCTCCTTTGCCCAGAAAACGTCAAGCGCTTCGTAGATCACATGGTTCTGGGACTCGGGAGTATCGTCGCAAGTCGGTTCTTCTTCTCATTGCGGTCGTCCATCATAGGCTCAATGAGGCAGAATGTCGTGGTTGAAGACGGGTTCGGGGCACAATGCAGATGACAAACCATGATATTACGCTTCTGCGAGTTGGAAAGCGTAACCGGCGGGCAGGATTGACGATCGACACACAAGAATTTGATGACGAGCCACTGGACACAGTTCACGGGAGCTAACATTGAGGAGCCCCTGTCTCATGTTCATTTCTTAGTCTATAGTCTATAACCTATACTTGTAATCTTATTACTAAACAAACAACGGCTGTTCATGGGTGACAAGTTCACTGGCTCCTTCGACCCCGCGACACCTGGCGACATTTGGCGAACCTCATTCAGACGTGTTTCAAGCGTGTAATCGGTCGTTTGGACACTATTACGGACATATTTGCTCACTGGACCAACTTGACGTATACCTACAATGGTCCAACAAACAACTGTCGCTCCGGGCTCGAGAGGCACAGCGCGAAAGTCTACAGGAGGGAAAGCACCGAAAAAGGTTCCTCCGGGTCAACCTGCTGCTATTCGTACGTCTCCTCTAGTCGCCCCGCCTTGTCTTGTCTCGTTTCGCATGTTGCTGCGGCAACGCCCAGCAAAGTGCTATGTTCATACGAGTTGCTGACGTTAAATTTGTATCTGCCCTCGTATCACGCTTCGACACGTGATCTAGGCCGCCCAGAGCCCGTAAAGAAACGACGATACCGACCCGGCACGCTCGCGCTCAAAGAGATTCGACGTTATCAGCGTAATACAGACCTCTTGTTAGCAAAACTTCCCTTTACACGCGTTGTGAGTGACTGTCCGCGAGGTTTCTACCGAGGACCAAAGGTCTAACGTCCAAAGGTTCGTGAAATTTCAATGGAGATGATGACGGGGAACGGAAACTATCAAAGTGGAGCAGCTGCACTTCGATGGCAGACATCAGCGCTCCTTGCTCTCCAAGAGGCCGCAGAGGCGTATTTGGTGCACTTGTTCGAAGACGCGTATGCACCAAACCTGTGTTTTTGCATTTTATACTAACCCTTGAGCAGTAATCTATGTGCCATCCACGCAAAACGGGTTACTATCATGCAAAAGGACATTCAACTTGCTCGTCGCATTCGGGGCCAATGACCAGTGCTACAACCCTTACTTGAACTTCACTTATCCTTTTTGTTTGTATGACCAACTGACCCGAACCGCTGCGCCCCGTATACAGGCGCATAGGCAATTTTCGCCTGTGATGTGTGGATTAATGCGCTATTGAACAAATACAGTGATGACAGCCCTATGATTGTGCCCATATGTGAAGACATGGAAGGAGGGGATAGCAAAGAGTTCTAGTCCGCTATTCGATCAGGGAGTGCGTCGAGTTCTGCCTTTAAACCTTCCAGGAAATGAAAAGAGTCCAACATATTCCCTCCGCAAGAAGGGCAGCCTTCGCATTCGGAAAGAAAGCGCATCGAAAAGATGATGTCTGTGAGTGGCCGCCGCTCTAGTTCCTCCTTTGCTCGCTTTTCAAAGCTGTACCACCATCTAGGAAGCGAGGCCTGCCCTCCAGGATCATTGTAGCTGCATCCCATACACCGAGCCGGACAGGACTTCCCACGGAGGCCCACGACATTTCTTGCCGCCCGGCTGCGTGTGCGATGAAAGGACAGGAGGCGGTGATAGTCATACGCCGAGACGTATCTGAGCTCTTCGACGAGGGGAGCATCCACGATATTCATGGAAAGCGTAGCATTAGACGCCTCTGTCGCCTCTTCCTTGAAACCAAATCTGCACGCAATCGCAAAGACGCGAAGCGGCTCGCTGGAGAGAAATGAGGGGGAAATGAGCTGCTTCCGTAGCGTAGTAGTGGCTACCGAAATGTCATACTCGATGCTGGCGGCCAATACCTTTGCCAATACAGAGAGATTGTCGAGTGTTGGGGTAGGAACCGGGTAAATGATGCGTAGAAGCAAGTCGAGTACATGTGCTGGCTCTGTAAGAACGAGTGGTTGTCGAACGAGGATCGACTCGGATGTGGCGGAGGGAGGAGGCAATGGCAAGGACTCGCGGAACACGGGAGACGCCATCGTGAGGATGCAGCTATGGACTCCAAATAGAACAGAGTCTGAAGACTGGATCAACACATCGCCATTGTCCACCGCAAAGGCGGGATGAGGGCAATATGAGCTGAGAGATGAGTCGCTGCGACTGGCATCGGTGCGCTTGGCTCTCGATACCATTACGGCCTCACGAGCGCCCCAGCCGACTTCGACAGTGGTCAAGACTTGGCCGTGTCCTGAGTGTCGGCTCCACCAGGAGGCGAAAAGGCTGCTGTCTACGTTAGGGCTTTGCCACCTGTCCACGCTGAAATATCCGCAACAGGCGAGCCGGAACTATTCGCGTTGGACCGCGATTTCCACTTACGGTAAACCACCGAAGCGAAGCGAACCGACGGAGCGGTGTGTGAAAGTGTATAGGTCTTCTTTCCGGGCGTGACAGGCGTGACAAGCCAAGGTTATGGTGATTAAAGCGAATGCACAAGGGGAGTTTTACGAATTGACCGGTTTGTGACGGCCTCAGTCGAGATGAATACTGGCGATCATTTGAGGTTGGCGGTGGCGCGTGACAAAGGCAAAGGACGGCTTCACCGTCGGTGGTAGGAGGACTTATGGTCTCTCTCGCGACTGTGACTACGGCGTCGAGACTCTCTGTCTTCTCTATGATGGCGACGTCCGTATTCGCTTGATCGGTCGCGATTGGGCGAGCGCGAGCGAGAACGCGGGCGATAGTGAGAGTCGCGCTCGGGTCGCTTTTGCCGTTTGCTGGAGCGGTAGTGATCTTCATCATCAAATAGCATGCTATACTGGTCATCTCTGTGCTGTTCCTCGCCTCGGTACCTCCTTGTGTGCTCCAAATCGTCGCGGCCTCCCAAACCACGACCTCCTTGCCTCTTACGGGGACCCATTTTGACATCGTTCCCCCACTTGCCGTCATTTAGGCGCGAGACAGATTGCGAACTAAAAGTTAAAGTATCAGCACCGGCCACTCGAGTTCCAAAATGGGGACCCACAAGTCTACCCATATTCGCCTATCGTCTATCAGGACACTCTGCATCTTGAAATACGCCTAGAATATTCCGTCAGTCACGAGCGTGCCTTGTACCTTTAGACTGACCTGTTCGGCGTCTTGTCTCCTGTCAAATTCAATGAACGCATATTGCAGCGAGTCTCCAGTGCGTTTGTCACGAATGATCTGGCAGCTCATGATCTTTCCATGTTGAGAAAAGATGAGCTCCAAATCCTCGTCGGTCGTCACAGGGTTCAGCTTGCAGACGAACAAGACGTTTTCGGGGGGTCGCACGTTGGCAAACGGGAGGTCACCCACCATTTCCAAAGTGAGTGCAGACGCCTCGGCTGCGCGCTTTCGGCGGAGTCGTTCTGCCTCTTCCTCTGGCAACTCTGCTAGCGCATCCTCGTCGTCGGCGATACGAATCGCACCCGAGTCGGCGTCCGGTGGACGCGACGGTGGCTCATCTGGTATCACTAACCCAGGTGGATCGGGGTATGGATCGTCTAGAATGCCGCTTTATCAGCAAGGGGCATTGAAAGTAGCAAAGGAGCTCACCCAATATCACGACATGACGAATTCGTATGTCTTGAAACGGTCGACCATTCTGGTCCGTAAAAGCATCATTTATCTTATCCAGCACTTCTTCGCCTTCGACGACGTGACCGAACACGGCGTGCTTGCCATCCAGATAGGTGATATTGTCGGCCAATGTGATAAAAAACTGGGAGCCACAACCCCCAACCTGACCGTCTGCAGCCGGAGCGACTGCCATCGAAACAGTGCCCTTGGTTTTATGCTTCAGGCGCGGAACAACATCAGGCGCAAAGTATCGAGGAGTGTCATTCGATGCTCCTGATTTAGCAGCAATATACGATAGGATGCATTCACCACCAGTTCCAGTGGCTGTTGGATCGCCAGTTTGAGCCAAGAAGTCTTTAGATACTAGACGACCTGTAAGTGACAGTAGAGAACCGAAAGAGGAACTACTTGCCATTAAAGAAAGCGTTCAGGTTGTAGTAATACACCTTGCACAGTTTCAAAAAGTTTTCGCAGAGCGCCGGGCATAGTTCGACTTCCAGGTCAATGACAATGTCCCCGAGGGACGTTTCGAGTAACACGGACATCCCTGAAACCCTTTGAAAGTAGCTTTGTCGTTTCGGAGCCTGTTGGGAGCCGGCGTTGTTGTGGTCAGGTTGCAACCACACGAACCACAAGAGTTCTTGGATTGCATAAGAGCAAATTCTCGTCTCTTAGTGTTGTCAGACGACGGAGAGCGCGATTCCATCTTATTACGCAGCCGATGAACATGAGCTCAATTCGTGAGCGATGGTCTGAGTCGCGATGAGTGCGATACAATACGTCGGTATTACACTATGGATACACACTACTCGCTCTCCCTAACGAAGCTACTCTCGCAGCCCAAGTGGAGCAAGACCTCGAGACAAGGGTGACAAAATGCGACCAATGGTCCTTTTCTGCATTCAAGGATCTCGATCGTCCCACTGGGATGCAGCAAGTTTCTGCCCGAAGCTGAGTACAAGCAATGAGCAACAGGAAATACGCACAAATTTTATCTTCTCCATGGACCAAGCCAGATCTTGCATATCCTGCTCTACGGATGTAGATTGCTGGAACAGAGTCAGAAAGAATATCCATGATACCAAAGTAAGCCTCACGAACCTTCTTGGCACACGCATGTAGAGAAGACTGACACCTCCTCCCGCAGCTTGTCAGATTAGAATGGAATGCCTCGGTGTACTGGGTATGCCGAGCGCGAGCCGATGCAAACGGGGCTGGCGGACAGTAGGCGCAAATGGCAGCTCCTACGAAGCCCAACATGGCTATTTTATAGCGCCGAGCATATATGAGCCATCTCTCCGCGAGTTGGTGCAGTGGTTCAACGCTCCCCCGGCGCGGATGAGGGCTCGTAGCAAGTGTTCGTCTTCTCGGATGTCGCTGGCCGTGGATCACTTGGATGGGCAGGGACGGCATGAGCACAATTTCTGGAAATAAACCAGAAAGCTCGACGGGTCCGTCGCGACGTGGTTATAAGCAAGCGTCAACCGTCGGCCCAGATTCAGAGGCGAGCCTTTTCCATCTGCCGGACGCAGACGCAATCCATCGGGTCGGCTGCGGCTGTGTCTTACGGCTTATATAATTATGCGCAAACATAATCCCGACATCAATCAGCATTCTCCGATCTTCTATGGACCCGTCGGATGTCCTGCGCAGCTCAGGCCATAATGTAATCAGAAATTCAATTGTATTAACCGGTTAGAAATCAGCACGACAAGCGACGAGGATCTATAGGAGAATATTTATGCCACTAGATCGACCGTCCGCGTGGGAGACAGACTCTGGGGAACACATTGAGGTGATGGAGATAGTAGCGGAGGTCCGGATACGTGGCTAGATGGATAGTGAGGCTTTTTCGTCCCATTGGTAGTATCATGAGCTGTTGACGCGCTCCCATTTGGCAACTGAGGGTCAGCATGACCGTTCGGATGCGAGTTGGCCGGTGTAGTTTCCGTGGGCTCGGCTCCGACATCAGATGCCGAACCCAATATCACGCTACCTTCTCTACTCCTCCCAACGGAAACACTCCTGACAATCCTAGCGGTGAATGGTTGAAGACGATCGTGATCCATCAAGTCTTCTGGCTTTACTTTTCTTTCTTCTTGATGTGGCGTCACCGTCTCTTGCGAGCTCATAGGTGATGTTCGGTCACCATCACTCTGGAATGGTAGCACTTTTTCGTAGAAGAGCATGAAGCTACCTGTCCTCTCCGAGAGGACAGTTTCCAAGTCAACCTCCTTGACACTTTCGTCGGATATCCGTAGCCAAACATCTTGCTTGGTCTCCCACGAACGCTCTTTTCCTTTACGCGAGGGCGTAATAGTGACATCGGCGAAAGGATTTGGCTCACGCACGGGCCCAAACTCTTCGCACTTGTCGCATGTACATCCATACGGGCATTGAAGTTGTGGAGGGTTCCACCGGGAGCTTCGAAGGGAGGGATCTCTAGGTTTCCGTCGGTATGCGACATAATGCCCATAGGAGTGTGCGCCATAGTGGCACACAACAGACGCGAGGCGATAAAGGGTTCGTGGGTTTGAATAGGTAGAGGGGGTGGGAGTTGAACTGCGAGGCGGTATGCCGGGCGTCGGCTTGGATATCGGCGATTGTGGGGACGTGGACAACGCTCCGGACGTGGTGAATGGAGTCAGGTCCAGGATCTCCGGATAAGATACGCTGCAATTGTTCTTTGCCGCATAATGTCCGTAAAAAGCTGAACGATTGAGGTGCAGGGCTAGAACAGGAGGAGCCTGAAAACGAGTTAATGACGATCAAGGCAAATTGGCGTGACACTTACCCGGGCAATCATGGCCTGTTTCGTGGAGGACTTGCTTATAACCTTCTCCAGTGTCACACCTTTGATGTCTTCTTCTATTCTCCCTGTCTCGAGTGCTTCCTTGACTTTTGCCGCCAGTTTCTTGACATCCTTGGTACGCTTCTTCCGGGAAGATGTCTCGACTCCGTCGACAGGTGTCGCGATTCTGATTGCATCAGCTTCCAGCTTCCTTAGTGTCGCTGTCATGGAGCACTTGCGGCAAATGCAATCGGTCAAGATTTCCATTCGTGTAAAATCCTCTAGGCAATCTTCGATCCTGCACTGAGAGACGCGAGGGATGGTAAGTTGAAGGTTGTCAAAAGTAAAATGCATGACAGCCTCTGTATAACCACACATTACGCAGCTCCTCCGGTTCGCAGTGAGGCCCTCGAAGACTCCTTTGCCGGGTTCACGTGCGGATCGTTGAAGGTAAACCTGGTGCGGCGTTCCAAGTCCACCGAGGCCTCTATCCTTGGTTGTTTCGGTGTCCACCGCGCGTGCCTCCTCCTTGAGCGTCTCCGTGATCAGTTGGAAGAGCTCTTGCGCATCTTGGTGTTCTCTTGATGCAAACAAAGTCCCGCGTTTGAAGCCTGGTGTCGGAGTGGAAAGGGCATGAATGAGTTCTGTAGGCCGGAGGCTCGTATGTCTTGACGAAGGACTATTGAGGCCTTTAAAAACCGTGAGAATTGGTTATAGTGGGTGGAAGCATTGCGTACTATGCATTTGTGCGACAAGAGCGTCAAGCACTGGCGTCGGAACATCGGCGAGATCTGCTTTTGCATGCGTGGAATCGAGGTATGGCTGGAGATATGATAGAGATGCCATAGCCTAGATAAAACAGACGGATATGAGCGGATTCGTCACGGATATACGCCCGGCACTTACTTGAAGAGTGGAATTTAGGAAGCAGTAGGTGCCGGAAATGTTGACAAGACCAGGATAATACTTTCCAGAGTGATGAGAAGCTTTATTATCCAGTTAGCAAGTCTGCTAGATCTACGGCGACCATGTTACCCTCTGATGTGCTAGCCGCCTGCTCTGCTCTGGAGCGAATAATTTTCTTGCGCTTGTCTTTTCGGTGATCATAGCTATACGACTCGTCGTCTGTCGATTTCCCGAGCAAGAATCCGAGCCCCAGCGCCTCGAATAGCATGGCCAGGGTCCGACTTACGTCAAACACTGGGTTTAGAAGGAGGACCGGAACTACAAAGATGAGTGCAAGAATAAGAAGAGCCTGAGTTGGTGAAAAGATGACTGGTGGCTGCTCTGGATGCATCAAAGCATCAAAAAGGCTGGGGCTGTCAGAAGCCAACCTGTGGATAGGCTAGCTTGGACCCGACCTGATCATCGACAGTTTAATATTCTTTGCAAAAAAATCATGAATAAGCTACTCCAGGCGAGCACTACGTTTACTATCTCTCGAAGCGCAACTCGGCGATATCAGTCAGCCAGTCAGAAGCTATTCGAGGATGCCGAAAGGGAGGAAAACGACGAAGAGCTCAGGAAGACCAAAGAAAAGCTGGAGCAAAGACTCTTGCAAGACACAAACTGGACAGGAGAGGAGAAGACAGAAGACACTGTGCTGCGAATGCTCGTCGACAAGCACAAACCGCTGAGGACGGGGTTTATACAGACTGCAGACGAGAAGATTAAAGCAAACCCGCCAAAGGTCAGGCCCATGCTGGGACAAGAGAGCCAGCCACACGAAGCAAAAGACGACGTGATATTACCTGGTATAGAGGGCCACAAGCCTTGGATGACCACCTACAAAACACCATCTTTTGCGGTGAACCCCTCTATTCGCGTCATGCGCTTACCTCCTCAGCCAGCTGCAAGTCGAAAGCCAGCCGACGAGGGCTCGACTATCAGAGGCCCCACTCGAGAGGAGCGAGCCAGGATGGAAACAGCAGATCGTGTTGCAAGCGCTAGAGAAAAGGTCATTGACTATAGGTTCGCTGGGATTTCGCCCGCGACAACTGGGGACTCGGCTCCAAGGGCCAACCCAAAAACAATGCAAGGATGGCGGTCACTAGTTGAGGAAAGGATTGAGGAAGCAAGGAATCAAGGCGCCTTTAAAAATATCAAAGGCGCGGGGAAACCTTTCCAACGAGATATCAACGAGTCAAACCCATTCATTCCTGCGACAGACCTCCTACTCAATAATCTTGTAAAACGCAATGGTGCGTCTCCGCCTTGGGTCGAACTCCAGCGAGGTAGATGGTTTCGGGAGCTCTGTCGACATTGCTCATGATTTTTGCAGACTTGGACTCAAACGTTGCTACTTTTCGCAATATCCTTCGTTCGTCCTGGGTTAGACGAGTTTGCCGCCATCTCCCGACAACCTACCTCGATCCTGAGGCCATTTACAAACTTTCCCCAGAGAGCCTCGCTGAAGTCAGAGATGCAGCTTGGGAGCAAAAGGAGCGCGCATATCACGAGCAAGCCATCAAGGAACTCAATTCTTTGGTGCGACGATACAATGCCATCGCGCCGTACTCTGTCAGGCGAGGGCTTCATGTTCTCGAGCAAGAACTTGAGCGGTGCTACTCAACAAGTGGCGAAATTATCTACAAGGAGCTTCGGGCACAGCGTGATGTAATGACGTCGGCGGGTCGCCCAAAGTCGCAATCTCAAGTTGCGGATGCTGGGCTGTCAAACAGCACAGGCCTCTGGGCTCAGCTAGTAGCCGCTATTCGTTCCCTCTTGCGAGCATAGCCGAACCCTGAAATCACCCATGGGACAGGCGGCGCCGCTGTCGAACGCGATCTACCCAATTCAGTCGATGAAGCGGTCGAAAACCCATTATGGGGACGAATGACGCAACACGTGTATTGTGGCCGCCCAGCATATCGGAACACGTTTCTCTTTGGCAAGGTTTGTATTCTTATCTCACAGCTTCGAATGTGGTAATCGCACCGACAACACGAGGCGCACGGCGCGATGGCGGCGAGGCAACCCGATTATAAGCAAGTGGCTCGCCTTGATGGTCGAATCCAGCTCCCAGCCGCGCTCCAGTCCCCTCTCTCCAACCATGTCTCTCAACATGTACACCACCACCAGCGACGAGGTCGGCGTAAGTATCGCCGCTATGTTTGCAACATGTAGAGGCTTACTGTTCCTGGATAGCTTGGCGACATTGTCTCTGTCAACATCCCAGCTCAAGCGGCCTCTATCCGCGAGGGTATGGTTGTGGGTTCTCACTACGACAGACTGGTATGTCCACGTAATTCCAGTTGATATCAAAAGCTCATCTGAACGTAGGGCCGTCTCGTTCTCGAGATCCAGTTTGACGGTGGTGTTATGTACAACGCTTGGTCGACGCAAGTCCAAAAAGTCCGAAGGACCACCACGTACTACCAGCCCTACCCAACCCACACAAGACGTTACGTCCATCGGTTAGTCTCTTTATTATCTCGGCAAGATGTCTCGACTGATTTCTTCCTTCAGCTATCTGGAGTACTGAGTGTCCGGTCGCATCCTGGAGCATATCGCACTTGGGTCTCATTATTCCTGCAAGTTTGCATTGACTTTGCTACGGTTTCGATTGTATTTTAGCACAATATACGGCCACAGGTAAACTGTGGGCTGTCCACATCTCAGACTGCGCGATCACCTATGAGTCTTGCTGATCATCTAGAGAAGCTTATTCACTCATCGGAATCCCATTCGGCATCTCTTCAGAGCGAACTCGATGACTTAGAACGATGGGCAGCGTGAGCATGTTCAAATTTTGTTGCCTGCACACTCACTCTAGCAGCACGAAAGCAACAGCCGTTTCAAATGGTGTGCTCATACCTTGAAAATTTAGACAACTCCTCAGAAGGACCATCAGATGCAAAGTTTGCAGGATCTCCAGGTCCAGCGGTCGAAAGCCCCGTTATAGAGCGACTTCGAGAGCTCAGAAATACTACGATCAATACTCAAGACAAAGTAGAAGAGGACTTTGACGATATCACTGCGTTGGTTTCGTTAACTGTCTCGCAATTCGGCACTAAATGAGGACCAGACATCCCCAATTCGATAAGCACCGAAAGGAATTGATCAGTTTGCTATCTTCTAGTCAGTCTGATGCGGAAGTGTCCAGCGCAATCGCGGAATTAGTGGGATATGAAGAGCTCGATTTCGTTATGAAGCTTACCTCGGCTCGCCATGTACTAGTTTCCAAGGTGTGTTCTCGCCACGTTTGTTCCACAATCTGATCTCTCTTTCACAGGGATTCGAGTCCGCCACTCGACAGAAAGTCGAACCGAAATCGAAGAAGGGAAAGGACAAACGCGATCAAGGTGAAGACGATCAAAACTCCGATAACCAGTATTGAATTCCCCAGATTTCTCTGAAGAGGCTGTAAAGAGGCGAATGGCAGAAACTTTCCGTAATGCTGCTGAACGGCCCCTTTTTAGCGGCACTGCCGTGCGTGTTGATATCTTTACGTCGTCTTTCACTGATAAACCTAGCATGCCGAGGCTGAAGTTCTTCCACATGTATATACAAGCGCATCGATGACACACAACCACTCGATATCAACATTCGGGACCAAATACCTGCTCCCTCTTGGCACGACACGGCGCTATACAGAGGTTGGTTTCGCTGGCGTCATAATATCCAATCCTCATGGTAATTTAGGACTACGAAGAGGTCACTGTTCCTCCAGCACGGGTTGTACCACCCCGAGCCACTGAGCGACTCGTTCCGTGTTCAGAACTACCCCCCTTGGCAAAAGGATCCTTCCCAGTGAGATGTTGCAGACTAGTCCCTACTTAGCTGATCGATACTCAGGGATATACATCATTGAATCGCATTCAGTCTATTGTGTATCCTACTGCATTCAAAACCAACGAGAATATGTTGATCTGCGGCAAGCAGCGTCCATCCACTCGGCTATATCTTCTGACACAACTGTAGCTCCTACGGGTGCTGGTAAAACGGATGTTGCAATGTTAACTATCCTGCGAGCCATCGACCAGCATCGAGATCATCGAATAAGCGACATACCATCCTCAGTGCGGCGTGATGACTTCAAGATCATTTATGTGTAAGATTGCTTACTTGCTTTTCTCCTGCTCAATTCATCCAGCGCACCAATGAAGGCCTTAGCTGCGGAAATCGTCCGTAAACTCGGAAAACGGTTGGCTTGGCTTCGTATCAAGGTCCGAGAATTGACTGGTATTTTGAACCTCTGAGAAACACCTGAAACTAATACGATTTTAGGTGATATGCAGTTGACAAAGGCCGAAATCGCAGAAACCCAGATAATCGTGACAACACCAGAGAAGTGGGACGTGGTAACCCGAAAACCTACGGGAGAAGGAGAACTGGCCACAGTTAGCGTGCCGTTCAACAGCCAAAATGGCAGCTCACCCTTTGCCAGAAAGTCAAGCTCCTAATCATCGACGAAGTTCACCTTCTGAACGATGAACGTGGCGCTGTCATCGAAACTATCGTGGCGAGAACAATTAGACAAGTTGAAGCAACGCAGGCGCTGATCCGCGTTGTTGGTCTCAGCGCGACACTTCCGAATTATATCGACGTCGCTGATTTCCTGAGGTGAGCTTTCTGCGACGCAGTATGTTGTCTAACAGTGCTAGGGTATCTCGAACACAAGGATTATTTTTCTTCGACTCGTCGTTTCGGCCAGTGCCTCTTGAACAGCACTTCTTAGGAGTGAAAGGGAAAAGCGGCTCACCAGCTGCAAAGCGTGCCCTAGAAAAGACGGCGTATCACTTCGTTTCAGAGCTCGTCCGAGAGGGGCATCAGGTCATGGTATTTGTTCATTCTCGAAAGGATACCGTGAAGAGTGCCGAATCCTTGAAAGAGCTGGCAACATTGGAGGGAGAACTAGACATGTTCGGCTGTCAAGAAGACCCGAAATTCGAATTCTACCGCCGAGAAATAGGCATGTCCAAGAACAAGGAGATGAAGCAATTATTCGACCACGGATTTGGAATTCATCATGCAGGAATGCTGCGCAGTGACCGAAACTTGATGGAGCGACTTTTCGAGTCTAAGGTGATCAAGGTAAGGAATGTGCAAATGCCACACGCGCTCTGACTGGCCAAGGTGTTATGCTGTACGGCAACTCTCGCCTGGGGAGTCAACCTTCCTGCACATGGGGTTCTGATCAAGGGAACTCAGCTATACGATCCAAGTCAAGGAAAGTTCGTAGATTTATCGGTCCTGGACGTTCTTCAGATCTTTGGACGAGCCGGCCGGCCTGGGATGGAAAGCAGTGGCGTGGGTTATATTTGCACATCCGAAGATAAACTGCAGCATTATTTGGAGGCGGTTACAGCGCAGGTACGAGGTGGAATGTCCCATATGCCACAATACCGACTCTTCGCAGCATCCAATCGAATCCAAGTCCGTCTTTCCAAGATGACGTTGCTCCTACTCACCAATAACTCAGATTCGTTCACGGCATCCTTGACTCTCTAAATGCCGAAATTGCCCTAGGAACAGTCACTAATGTTGCCGAAGGCGCCGAGTGGCTAGGTTATACGTACCTCTTCGTCCGAATGCGTAAGAACCCAATGGTTTATGGTCAGTATTTCCTCTGCTTTGATTCCTCTTCCATCTGAACGCTCTTCCAAGGTATGACTCATGAAGACCCAGTCAATGACCCTGATTTGATTGAACGACGGCACTCCATGATCACTATCGCTGCGAAGAAGCTGGCAGAAGTCGGCATGATTCGCTTCGACGAAGACAAAGGAAGTTTCTCAATTACAGATATTGGGCGGATTGCGGCGAAGTTCTATGTCAGATACGCAAGCATCGAAGTTTTCCGAAAGGAGTTCCGACCAAAGATGACTGAGGCTGATGTCCTCGCGTTGCTTTCGATGAGCACAGAAGTGAGTCTTCTTATGCATATCCACCCTGTAAGCTGGCTAACATTGGACCAGTTTGAGCAGATTCAAGTAAGGGAGAATGAGGTTGAGGAATTAAAGGCGTTAGAACAAGATATGCCTTGTCAAGTCAAGGTAAATATCACGCCTCGGATTAGTATAGACTCCTGAAGCCTTTTAGGGCGGGACAGACACCAGCGCTGGCAAGGTCAATATCCTCTTGCAAGCCTACATCTCCAAGCGGCCGGTAGAAGACTTTGCCCTCGTATCCGATACGATGTATGCCGCTCAGAACGGCAGCCGTATCATACGAGCTCTGCTGGAAATTGCCCTCAGCCGCAAGTGGGCAAACGCTAGCTTAACTCTGATGGCGATGAGCAAGTCGGTGGAAAAACGGATCTGGGGGTTTGAACACCCCTTGAAGCAATTTGATCTGACACCTGAAATGCTCTATAACCTTGGAAGATGGGCAGACGATGTCGAGGTTTTCGAACTTGCTTCCATGTCGGCAGCAGAGCTCGGGAAACTTATCCATCTCAACGAAAAGCATGGAGCAGCACTTTTGCGTGTGGCAAAGCAATTCCCATCGGTCATTCTTTCTGCAAAGTTAAGGCCGCTATCACACGAACTACTACTTATCAACATTGACATGGAACGCGGCTTCGAATGGTCATCCAAAATTCACGGGAGTGGAGAACCCTTCTGGGTATGGGTGGAGGATGACTCTGGTTTCATTCTACAGCTGACGAGGGTGAGCTTCACCCAGAACACCAAACATCTCCCTATTGTCTTTATTATTCCTGTACCGCAACCGCTACCTCCGTCGGTTATCTTACGTGCAATATCCGACCGCTGGATTGGCGCTGAAGAGGAGGTCGTCTTGGAATTGGGCAGTCTAGTGATGCCAAACTTGTCAACCCGAAAAGCACATATTATGGATCTCCCTCTTCTTCGGACAGACCTAAAGATCTTCGACCCTCACACCCGGATGGCATTCAAGCAATTCATCCAATTCAACTCGATCCAAACGCAATGCGTTTTTTCAACATATAACACTGCCAGGAACCTACTTATCTGCGCCTCTGCATCTTCGGGTAAATCGTTATTGGGGCAATTGGCCATATGGTAGGTAGACTTTCTTCGAGTTCTTGTCACTGATTGAAATCGACTAGCCACGCGCTTGATAAATATCGGAAGGCGCGATGGGCTCTCATCGTATTCCCCGGTTGGACAGTGCTCGTTCTATGGGATATCGGCTCCGAGACGCTCTGAATCTTAAAGTGGGGTTGGCTCATCATCCACGGGATCTGGATAGACAAAACTCTCCAATCTGCTTGACGACCCCTCAATGCCTTCTTGAGTGGCTAGGTCAAGCTCCATCCTCATTGCACTCGTTAGGACTCGTCGTTCTCGAAGACCTCGAGCTCTTAGATGCCACCTCTGAGATGGCGATATCCCTACTGCTCCATGCAACCCAATCGAAGCCGGTGCGAATAATCGGGCTCGCAGCCGCACTCAACAACTCGGAGTCTCTCGCAGAGTGGCTAGGAGTTCCCGAAGAAGGCACATACTGCTTCCCACCTACCGAGCGTGATCAAGCCGTTAGCATCACGTTTCAAACATTCACTATTCCCTACTCTGCCGCACTCATGAAGGTTATGTCCAAGCCCGTCTATGATGCCATACGCACCAACTCGCGTGACGAGGCTGCCATAGTCTTTGTTCCGTCCATATCCCAATGCAACAGTGTGGTCGCCGACCTGATCACTCAGTGTACGTTGGCAATGAACCTTCGAGGATTCCTAGGGAACGACATATCTCAGGACATACTAGAAGGATACGTCTCCCAGATAAAGAACACTGACCAGCGCGATGGTCTCATGCAAGGCATCGGTATATGGCACGAGAGAATGGACCTAGCAGACCGAACACTCGTGCTGCAACTGTTTGCCGAAGAAGTCATCAAGGTACTCATCGTACCTCGCGAGGCATGCTGGACAATCCCTGTACGAGCTGGCCTTGTCATTGTCATGGGCACTCAGTATGTCGTTCGTCGCGTGGTACCGGGGCCGGAGGCGGATGTCAAATTTGAGCGACAGGTCGTCGACTATACCAACCACGAGTTAGTGCGGATGGAAGGGCGAGCAGTTCGCCACGGCAAGACGGGACGCCTCCATGTCCTTTGCCAATCCGAGCACAGGGACATCTACATGCGCTTCCTGACAGACGGGCTACCACTCGAGTCGAAGCTTCTTGAAGCTCGGGAATCGGAGGACGCTGGTTCTTTTGTCCTCATTGACTGGATCAAGGAACAACGCAAATGTGGCCTTAAACGGCAGGATGTGCTGGACATGTTGGATGGCACATTTTTTGCGCGTAGGATACTACAGAACCCTTCATACTACGACGTGGATGCTTCCCCTGCGACGTACTTGTCCAGACTAGTTGACAGGCTGTGGCAGCACTCGGAGCTCACTGTAGCTAGCACTAGTGTGTAGCCTGTCAGTTTTTTTGCACAATTACTCTTTGTAAGCCTGCTGGCACCGATAGTTGCGTGGTGATAGTATCTTGGCCACTTCGCCAGCAGCACATGAAGGACGGCGTTAAGTCCGCCAGTACATAATAACCGTGAATGAGTGAAAATTCAGACGCTCAACGGGAATTATCTATTTGATCTCTTCCGGTAGAGATATTAACGCAGATATTCCGCACCATTTACGTCGATGAAGGGAAGAAAGACTTTCCGTCCAGTAAACTTCGGTACAGCGAAGTTCTCTCGCATGTATCGTTCTACTTTCGCTCTATAATACTCGACCTACCTGACGCTTGGACGACGATCGACTTTGGGCTCTACAATCGGCCAACATTTCTCTCCGAATATGCATCGTCCAGGGTCAGGAGGGCAAAATTCACTCCAATTCACATCGTCGTGCACGACGTATACCGTGATTGGTGGTCGGAAGAGGTGGTGGAGACCTTTCGGCAGGTCTTCCACAACGTATCAAATGTCGAGAGGATCAATTTCGTGCTTGCACATAAACGACTCAATCGAATCCATGACAGACTCTGACACGCGCTTCCTTGCCCTGTACGATCTCTCACCATTCGATATGGGCCCCATCGGATATCCAAACGAAGTCGGCCATGCGACTTGCACGATCTCACCCTTCAGTCTGCCACCCTATCCAACAGTGCCAGAGTTGCTGCACTGGAGTCTATTTGGGCTGTCGATATTGTCCTCTCAGTTGCTCCAGGCGAAATCTCTCTTGACTGGCGAACTCTTGTCATACAGCACCACACTACTCCAGAACCCAGATTTACTCAAGGAGGAGTCTCTGCTGACATCGTCTTCGAACGATGTCCCGGCTTGGAGGTTTTCCACCTCAAAGGTCGCCTTACGAGCCCGGACAGTTTGGTCAGGGTTCACTCAAATCTACAGGAGCTTCATATATAGAACTGGTTTGATTTATTTGAAATTCGGGCAGCTTTCGTTGGCCTGCAGTTCCCAATGCTCGTCAACTTCGGGATAGAGCAGTGCTATCTTGACGATACTACCCTCCTGTGCTCTTTCTTTCGACTACATCCGACGATAAAGGAACTACATTGGGGTAGTTGTTTCTTCCACGCCGGATTTCCCTGACTTGTCTACACTTTCAGAAGTTGTGTATATCCATCGATGCCCTTGCAGACTTCCTCGGTCTTTTTGGAAAGTCTCAGAGTAAGGGCAATGTCTTGCTGCTATCATACGAATTAGATGCTCCGTTTCCGGCCCTGGAGCATCTTCAAATGAATTGTTCATCTCGTGATCCCATGTTGGAGGAGCTGGACAATCTAGTTCATATGTGTATAACGGGTTCATCGCCGACAGAAGGTCGAAAGGTCTCGACGCTTACTCTTAGACATTACCCTTTGAGCGCAGAGGCGTCGCATTCGGCTCGGTGGAGACAAAGTCGATTCGCGGCTTCGGCAAATATTAAATGGAGTGGCCTTGATTGTATCCTGGCATGGCCACGACAAACAGACCCAACTCATGGAGACGGCTACTGAGCCAGATGAATTGTAAATACATCCCCAGGTTTCATTGCGCAACGCTATGCACGTGAATCACAACATCTATTGACCCATAAACTTTGTGATTCCTCTGAGCCTCTCTCCCGCCTTGTGTAGGGTATCCAAGTCCTTGCAAAAGGCGAAACGCAGGAACCGCTCTCCAATATTCATATGCTCGTCGCAATAGAACTATGGGACGTAAGACGTGGATAGTAGGGACGAAATGACAACTCACCTCGCTGACAGGGATTGATGAAACTCGGAGTTCCTGCGCTAAGAACCATCCAGCGCTGCAGAAAGTGAGATATTGATCGAGTGATAACTAGAAACATACTAGAAATCCTTTCCTCGACCCTTGATTGTCTCGGGGAAAGGATAATCCTCTGGTATTTGCACCTTGCTTATGTCCTACGAAAGTTTAGCACTCGGTCAATAGCCTGTTGTGTGTACATACCACAAGGACAAAGTAACTGCCATAGGGGAGGGAATATTGGAGACCAATTTCGTCAAAGTACTTCATCAACACATCCCGTCGCTCTGTATACTCATCAATCTGCTGCTTCCAATATCCGCGCTTGGTGGCCTGTTCAAGACCGGCGGCAGCAGCTTCTTGGAGCGGAGAGTTCGTGCAAAAGACGATTCGAGTTTGGGCAGCGAGGGTGGGTCCGATGAGTGATTTGGGTCCGATCAGCCATCCGACACGCCATCCCGTGCATGCAAAAGACTTGCCCGCGGAACCGACTGTGATGGTTCGGTCCCACATGCCTGGCAAGTTGGCGATTCGAACATGAGGTTTGTCGTCGAAGAGGAGTCCATCGTACTGCGGGGTGAGGATTAGGAGAATAAATGAAGAAGTGGGTGTAAAACTCACGACTTCGTCCGACATGACTATCAGATTGTGCTCAATAGCGACGTCGGCAATCTTTTGAAGCTCTTCCTGACTAAACACTTTGCCTACTGGATTGTGAGGAGTGTTGACGACGATCATTTTGGTGCGTGGGGTGACTGCCCGGCGGAGTTCTTCAAAGTCTATTTTCCAGTCATCTGAAGTTTGGTTCTTGTCGAGGACTGCAGGAGGATGAAGAGGAACGTAAACCGGAACACCGTGGTTGAATGTGATTGAGGGCAAGTATTGGTCAAAGTAAGGCTCGAAGAGAATTACTTCATCTCCTGGTTCAAGCCACGCCACCCAGGCGGAGTATTGACCTAAAGATTGTTAGATTGGACTCGGGAAATTGACCGAGGTTACCTTCGTTGGCGCCGCTGGAAACAAGAATCTCGTTTTCGATATCCAAGGTCCGACCAAAGAGTGGTGAATAGTGATCGCGAAGGGCTTCTCTGAGCCTGAGACGTCCTTTGGGGTGAGAGTAATGATTGCCAGCGACGGTATTAAGGGCCTCGTCAGCAGCCTCTTTGACCCATTGTGGGGGTGGAAAGTTCATGTACCCCTGCCCGAGATTGATGCAATCTGCAGGGAGGTTTGCGGCACTGGAGATAATTAAACTGCGTTCTATGGCGAGAAAATAGGGGCTTACTTGAAGATTGACCACACGTCCTGGGACATCGCACGGCCTGTGGACATGCGGGATGAGAGTGCAAACTGAGGAGCTGCCCCATTAGCAACTGGTGCCTGTTTCTGGTTGGTAGACATATTCCGCGAGTATGATTGAAATCTACTGGGTGCTAAACGCCCTGGAACCAAGCTGGTGGTGTAGAGGGCCGAAGTGGACAATAACCGATGGCCTTGGAGTCTAATTATTGGAGGAAACAGCTTGAAGAGAGTGCTGCGACGGGCGTGGGAGGGGCCAAAATGCTAGAGGGGGCAATCTAAGCATATTGTCGGCCGATTGCGTGCGCTCGCGAGACTTGACACGGTCAGTGGCTGACTCTGAATCTCCTTCGTCTGAGTTCGCAACTGAAAATAGCTTACCGCTCGCTGTCCAACTGGCGACAAAACTCTGCCGCCCACAAATCTCTGCATAATCAGGGTGAAAGTTCTCAGAAGAATATTCCAGCAATCTACTTGCTGAGTAGTGACTGCGAATAAAGGTGGACAAGGCGCGCGGTCAAGCTTGGAATCCACCGCGGAGGCCACTCTCCCGCCCGCTTCAATAGAGCGCGCCAGAACGAGTTATTTACGCGCTTCATGTCTCAGAACGCGCTAGGGACGATTGAAGAGTACGCTTCATGGCAGAATACAGGGGATGGCTAACAAAGCTGGCATCCCAGGTCGGGTCTCTCAGATGCACAAGCAACACCGACGACCGCAAATACATCAACTGAAGATCTCCTGTCTCGTGTGACACCAATACATCCACTAGAACCCGCCCCAGCAAGCGCAGAGGCAGAGGATGAAGATGACGAAGAACCGTTTGTGTATCCAGGAGCAAGCGACGCATCAATTCATCACGAGCAGCAACAGCAAGAAGTTCCAGAGCTTCCCGTGGCGGTCCCGGCTCCTGAACCTCCAGCGGAGCGCGATCCAGCTCTCTTAGAGGAAATTTACGCGGCTGCAACAGCGGGCGACCTCCATCTGCTGCAAACACTGTTTCAGACAGCCGTTTCATCTGGTTCAGGTGGAACGGAGGCATTTGCGCTGGCAAACGACGCGACAACGCGGACCGGATTGACGCCTCTGCATGGTGCCGCGAGCCGTGGCCATTTAGACATTGTTCAGTGGCGTGAGTTGCTTTTAATGTCGTGTGACATTGACAGTTGGCTCATGGTTTCTTTCGAAATAGTGGTCGAGTGTACAGGTGCCATCGTCTCCATCGAAGATAAGGAGGGTGAGACCAGTCTTCACAAAGCAGCGCAGAACGGGCATCTTCCAGTCGTAGAGTTTCTCATCTCGGCGGGCGCGGACCCAAACTGTGCAGATCATGACGGTTGGACGCCCGCGCACATTGCCTGCTCCAAAGGCTACCTGGATATTGTGCGATACCTGTGTACTCATGGTGCAGAAGATCGCAAGAGCAAAGGAGGATGGACACTTCTCATGAATGCTGCCTCCAAAGGACATCTCCCTGTTGTTCTTTATCTCCTCTCGAAACGGCGGGTGGACCCACTAGTCCGCAACAACTGGGGAGAAACAGCCTTTGATATTGCAGCTGCAGTGTTTGAAGTTTGGATTTGCGAGGTGAGCCCCCGCACCTCGTGCTGGATTTCGTTCTCAATTCCCCTCTTTAGGTGCTGCAAAAGTTTGAAATCGAGAAATGGTCGAACACCTATCCTTCATACAACACTTTGGCGGTTCATACCACAGTCCCCCTGATCCTCTACGAGAATCAACGCTTAGACACCAGGCTCAAGACTATTGCCGTGTCCGGTGGACGACCGAAGTTTTCAGCAAGTGGTCTTGGGCATAGGGGCCGTCGCGCTCCATTTGAGCTACGAATGCCCCTGGGAGACGATCCTTCTGCTCCGCGAGAAGTTGCCGCATGGAGGAGCGACGTTTACCCCCCCTTATTGGAGGATCCTTTCACCCTTCCCGTACCAAAACATACTCGGGAGCCCCGTAACCGGCCAGAGGTTGGGGAAAGAAGTCACTTCTGGCTGTACGTTTGTCCGTCTCGTCTGACGAGGTACTGACACTTACCCAGATCTGATTGGACTCTCGACCTAACGGATCCTCGGGCAGATGCGAATGAGGGGTGGCAGTACGCTCGTTCATTTGACGATCCTGACGATCAGTGGACCGCCGAACCGCCTCAGGCTCTCGACCGACTCCTTTCGGGAGCCGGTGTCCTGAGTCGTGCAAGTTCGTCTTCGAGCTCCCAGCCTGTTAGCATTGTAGGCGGGTCTCAAGCGCCATCCCCAGATGCCACTACCTGGGTTCGACGTCGTCGTTGGATCCGGGTTCTCCGTCGAAGACTCGATATCCCCCCATTGCCATTCCTACAACCAGACGGTATCCGCTACTATCTCAGTGCAGACGGTACTCTGGTTCCATCCGAGGAGGGTCATGTCGGTTCCTTTGAAGGAGAGGGTCAAGAGTTGGGTACCTTTACATCTTCAAATGGACAGGACTACGTCTCGCGGGCACGCTATCTCGCCGGTACACAGCGCAAGGGCAGTCTCAGCGTAGGCTTGCTCGATAACAATGGCGCTGGCGTGAATGGAGACATCAGTGCCGCCGACCTGAAAAGAGCGATAGGCAGGCTGGAGAGAGCAACTATTGAACTGCGGACTGGTAGTCTAAGTATGTTTCATGTCTGTTTTAACGTTCCTCTTGGCTAAATGTGGCCCAGACGACGGAGACGCGGACAGAAAGACACAAGCGGAGGTCTTGCTGAATGTTTACAAGCAAGTCAAGTTTCATCGCCGTGAGTTTCACTAATACTTTTCGCAGCCGCGAATTGGAACGACTTCGATTCTCCGCCGGAGCAAGGGGCATATATCTGACCGCTACAGGTAACGTACACGTTGCCCCTACCAAAATCTAGACGCCGACATGCTCTTCTTGTGCTTCGCAGCTGAAGATGATTTGGATATCGGGGACGACAACTCGAGCGATTCTGATGAGAGCTTTCACTACCCCATGGCCTCGTCCCCAACCTCGACGGCACGCCCGTCGTCTGTGCGCTCGCACGCGACCAGTATGGACAATTACTTTGGATTTGTACCATCTGCAGCCTCTTCTAGCTCCGCTGGACCATCGAGGCGCGCAGTGGACCTCACACCCCAGCTCTCGCAAGCACCAGAGTTTAGGGTGCCGACACATGAAGCCCCGCAGAAAGTGTCGACGCCACGATGGACGGCGCCGACTCCACAGTCGATTCAAATACGATGGGAACGAGACGATGCAGTTCAAGAGTGCAACAATTGCCGGCGGAGGTTTACATTCTTCTTGCGCAAGCATCACTGTCGACGGTGTGGCAAAATCTTTTGTGACAGCTGCTCGTCTCGCAAGGCCTTGCTTGATCCTGCGGATGTAGTCCAAGACCCGGCGTACAGAGACTCGTTTAGCTTTAGCACGATGACCCACCGTGTGTGCGACTCGTGCTACGAGCAAGCGACTGCCAATGTCCCCGCGCGTCTGCAAAACGCAAATTCTGGACCGGCGCTCGAACGCATCGTTGTCGAGGCGGCGTCGTTGCTCTCTGTTCCGCGCAATCGTCAAGATTCGATGAGCCAGATTAGCGATTTGGCGGATTGCCCAGTCTGTGGGACGTCGTTGGCCGAACTCGGAGGTCCGGCTATCCAAGAGGCGCACGTCAAGTCGTGTTTGGATGGACCAAGTGGTGGACCTGGAGGGAACCAGGCTGCTCGATACTTGGTGTACAAGTTGCCGGCCGAGAGTACCCTTGTCGGGGTCGAATGTGCGTACTCACCTCTTTGTGCTCGTTGTTGACATTCAATCCCTCCGTTACAGGTGTGATCTGTCTCGAAGAGTTTACAAAGGACTCTGATGTGGCCCGTTTGAGCTGCTTCTGCACGTTTCATGCGACGTGTTTATCTGCCTGGCTTCAAAGGGGGCGAAGCTGCCCAGTACATGCTAGAGACACCTGATGCCGATATTTGGAGTTAGTTACAATCTTTGTCTTCATGTCACAGATGATGTAGGATACAATAGGAAAATGGATGGTCCTATAGACCAAGGTCAACGTAATATGGACGGCGCCTTTCATCCCGCAGGTGTATTAAATAAGCAAGGTAAATGGATCGAAATCGTCGTGATGGTGGTGCGGCCTAGGCTGCGATTATGGGTCATCGACAAAGTTTGTGTAGAAACCGCCTGCGGCGATGCGTTCTCGATCGACGGTAATCAGGTGTGATAGGTCATTTGTGTCGATCCACTCTCCTCCGACGGCGCCAGCCTCGTCAGCGGGCTCACCATCATCGGCCCAATATTCGTCTTCGTCCGTGTCGTCTTCATCCTCGTCAGAGTCTCGATGATTCCTAGATGATAGTTAGAATAAGGCACCAAGAAGACGGTGAATGACTTGCATGTATTCGAGGATGAGTCGATGCTTCTCCTGCTCGCTCAGGCTCGACGTATCTTGCGGTCGTTGCCTGACTGGCCTCTTCTGTGAGTCTGCGTATTGGCGTTCTATCCTCGCCGCGTCTTCAATCGACATGACTTGGCCTCGTCCCCGGAGCACCTGCATCAACGGCAGTCAGTAATCACCTAGTTCGCTGGGTAAAGTGGCACGGCGTACCAATGGACGCTGCGCGGCACGATTCTTGACGGAGAGGACATATTCTGGGAGTGGAGGTAGAGATTTGAGGTATTCTTCCCGTTCGTCTGGCCGCTGTTCTAGCATTGCGAGTCTGGCCTCGATGGCCTGTTGCTCTGCGAGAACCTGTTGTAGATAGACCGACTTGCCCACGTCGGTGCCATTGGCAAACTGTTCTCGAATGATCGATTCGTTGTAGCGCGAGATGCCCTGGAGCTGATCCTTTGTGAGTGTGTCGTAGGGGGACAGAGGCTCGGACGGCTCGTCGTCTTGGTGCATAGATTCCAGGCCGACGTTGTTGATCGAGTCTTGCATGCTATTTCTCTTTCTATTTCTGCTCGTATTTGAGCTCGTGGACGCCATTGCTGGATACTGGGTGGCAGACTTTCTGGCCTGGGTATGGTCGGGGTCAAGATGCTTGCGGAGGCCGCGTTTTGTTACTCTACTTTCGACTTGCAAGAATGGCGGGGTCAGCAATTCGCCATAAATCTGGCTGTAAATGAGCTCAAGCTTTCTCTAGAGACTCTTTATATCTCGACCCGCAGATTAGGGACTGGGTAAGCACATCACCAGCAAAGTGTTACAGCGCTGACCCCGTCTGGCGCAGGTCCTGTTCCCAATTACGCTCGTCATGGTCAGCGTCTATCCTCTTCATGGCTCTGTATCTCCTTCTGACTCGACTCAGATCCTCGTCGGCGTCCTCCGGCACAACATTGTCCAGCTAATTGCCTCGTCACCCAAAAAGCTCAGTCGTGCCGCTACCAGGGAGCAGTATGTTCATCATGCATGATGATATAACATACCAATTAGCTGACATTTGGCCAGGCGCGCACTGCTACGGGCGCAGATTCTGCGTTCCACCGCAAAGTCGTCTCCCATCCCACCGAGCTACTATGACTCGCACACAGACGAGCTCACCGCAGCCTTCAAAGCTGGAAACTATCTCTCCAAGCCCGTCGAGCTCGACCAGGACGGAAAGCCGATTGCACCAAACCCGACAAGCATGCTCACCGATCCTGCCGCCATGGAGGGCATGATGGGCGGCATGAAGAATCAGGCCGTGATGATGATCCCTCAAATGATCATCATGGGGTGGATCAACTTTTTCTTCCAGGGCTTTGTCCTCAGTATGTGAAAATAGCCCCGGCTCGTTTTGTTGATTCTCAAACTCCCTACAGTCAAACTCCCATTCCCTCTCACTCTCGGTTTCAAATCAATGATGCAGCGAGGAATCGAGACGCCCGACATGGACGTCCGCTGGGTTTCTCCCTTTCTTGGTTCTTCCTCAACTGGTTCGGCTTGAATGGTCTCTATCGCGTCCTACTCGGTAATGATAACAGTACGTGATTGCTTATGTCTAGACTGTGCCCGACTCATGGCTTGCTAGGTGCCGTAAACCAGCAAGATCTCGCGAGCTCTCCATTCGCAGGTGCAGCCGCACCAGCAATGGGCCAACCACAAGATTATAACAAACTCTTCACAGCAGAGTCGGAGAACCTGCAACTCGCACAGGGTGTCTACCACTGGGTGGGCGAAGACATTGACACACGCATCCTCCGTCGATACGGCAAACTTGCCGCATGAGTAGCTATCCTTATTATTTTTTCTAGAATCACTTTATCCGAATCTAGTCGACTTTGCAAGAAAAAATCATGACGTTCGTTTCGTATCAGACATTTTTTTTGGTGCCTACATCTGCTATGGTAAGAATGTTGTGCTACCTAGCAAAACGGATAGAAGAGACTGAGGAAGTTTATCAACGACGCATCGAGACACCGACCCGTATGAGACGCATGGCAGGGTTTTAGCCACCCCAGCCTACGCGTAAAGTAGAAAAACAACGCAAACACTGCGTAGAGAAAAAAGGAATGGGAAACATGGGCAAGGGTCGTGGGGGAAAACGAGAGAAATACTCCAAACATCCTTTGAGAGACCAAATGGGTGGAAAAGAGCAAGGCTGCTGAAAAGGAACGGAAGGGCATCGATAGCGCAGTTCTAGACGGAAAACACCGTTCGAGTGTCCGGTTTCGTGGAGACTAGACGCGAATGCGTGATGGGCCGTTGGGCATCGCGTACCGGCGATTTAACCCAGAGGCGTTTGCCAGCGACTCCCTGGCTTCCCTAAACTCATTCTCCTCGTGTTTACGAAGGGCCTCTTGATACAGGTTCTCGGCCTCGACTTCGGCTTGCCGTTGGAGATCGAAATCAGAGTCGTCTGACAGCTGGAAATATCTTGTCAATGCATGAATCAAGAGATAAGAAAGAACGCACGTAATCCGTGAATGCGCCATCAGAAATGACCGTGCCTTCTCGAGCAGACGAGTTGGTCGAAGAGGAAGAGCCCGAGGCTGCAGAAACGACTGAACCAGCTTTGCGGACGTGGGGAGGAATGACACCTCGCTTGCTATCCATTTGCATGCGAGAAAGGGCGGCAGGCGTGAGACCGTTGATATTCATATTGACCATGTTAGCCATGACACTCGAGATGGATGGATCATTGTTCTCGCGCGAGCGGGGAACCGGGGCGGGAAGGACCTGACGCGGTGGAGACGGGGCCGCAATCTGATTCAACCGTTTCATTGAGGACGACGCTGGGCTGTATGGATTCGAATACGGATGGTTTGAGGAAATGGTAGAAGCAGGCGGACTTGACCTCTTCTGCGTCGTCGTCGTGGGTAAAGCAGGAGACTCCCTCCCGCGTTGTCGGTCATACGCAGAAGGTGGTTGTTGCTGCTGGTACTTTGGATCTGAATTCGACCTGCGCTTGCCCATCAATGAATCCTTGTCGCGTGGGCTGCCACCTGGGGACTCGGTCCGACGACTGCCGACACTCGACGGTTTGATGGGTCGGTGTTCATCCTGGCTGTTGGAACGAATCGGACTAATGGGAGACGAACGTTCAGACCCATCGAAATCATGCTCGCGGCGGCGGGATGCATTGGAACCATTGGAACCAGTGGAACTCGGCGGAGAGCCGGAAGAGTTTGACGAGTTGTTGGAAGACACCGAACCACGGTGGCGAGAGGACCGGTCACTCCCGGGTGTTGCAGGTGAATAGAGCCCACCGGGAGAGTATGAGCGTGGCTGGGACAGATTTGCCGTATTCGCTTTGGGGATGGGGACTGGTTGCTGGCTGACCCGCCCGGTGGCGATCTCGATTGAGGGACGCTGATTCTCACGCGATTTCTTGTGCATGTTATCGAGCGCGGACCTCACCGTGGGCGGTATTTCCATATGATGATAGGTCGCGACATAAGGCCAGTCCTGGGGTAGAATCCAGGAATAAAACCGTTCTGTAGGTGGATAGCAGCATCCTGGCCATCCAGGGTTGTCTTGAATCGTCCTGGCTGGCGCGCTATAGCCGCTCCTTTTCGCATTCTGTCAACAACAGGGTCAGAAACGCGCCGCAGCAAGACGAGGCCGAGGAGCAAACCTTGCAGAAACCACAACCTTGAAATGTTGATATACCACCAGCATTCTTGTAGTGATACGAATTCCAGTTGGCTGGACAAAGGATGTGTGGTGTGAGCCCATGTTGGCGAGCGACAAACGAGACACTCACGATGGACGGCCTTGTTTGAACAGACTGCAAGCTCGTGATTACACTTTCTCTGGCCTGTTGTGGCGCAGAGGAGACATGTGTCCGCGCTGTTGGCTGGGATCGCGAGGCGGCACATTGCAAGGCGGGGCGGGCGGCGTGCAACGAGGCTTGGATCGAGATTTGGCTTGCCCTGGACGATGACCCTGGCGTCTAAGAATTGTTTAGACTTTGCCCAGGATTATTCCTGCTTTTTGGCGCTGCGACGTTGACGAGCTGACCGCAGTGGCTAAGTGTCAAGGCCCACGGTCGATTTGGCCCACAGGCAGGTGGGCATTGGATTGGGCATGACCAATAAGTAAATATTTTATTAATCACCTCTATATATATATATATACACCCCCGCTTAGTCGTAATCTCCGGCCTTGCCAAGTAAGAAACCCCTCATGGGAGCCTTCCGAAGCTACGGCTCGAAACGAAGTATATAATCAATACTCTCCGATCATTTCCCGCTCGCCAACGCCCACGCGTAACCCAACAGAGTCCCAGCGCCTCTTACCGCGTCTCTTTCTCCCTCCATATCCACCCTTTTTGCACAACTCGCCACAAGATGGGTAAATCGCAGTCGAAACTCTCTCAGGAGCAGCTTACAGAGCTCCAGAAGAACACGTATTGTCCGTAGATTGTCCAACAAACGTTTCAGCCACTGACCGCCTCTTCAGTCGACAAGAAGGAACTCCAGGCCTGGTAAGCCTCACGATCCCATCCAGATCCTGCATATATCCATGTGTCTTGATTGTATCTCTGTCTTGCTCAGACGGCGGATTGACGACATTCCGCAGGTACAAGGGTTTCTTGCGCGATTGCCCCAGTGGTCAGCTTGACAAGAACGAGTTTAGCAAGATCTACAAGCAGTTCTTCCCCTTTGGAGATTCCGAGCAGTTTGCCGAATACGTCTTCAATGTCTTTGACAAGGACCGCAACGGCACCATCGACTTCAAAGAGTTTATCTGCGCACTCAGCGTCACTTCACGGGGTCAACTCGACGAAAAGCTGGAATGTACGTCCGCAAGCCCCCTCCCTGTCCAAATCGATGGTGGCACTGCTTCACCACGGACTGCCGAGTGACGCGGGGTCAACTTCTTCACGGGACTGATCATTTTTAGGGGCCTTTAAACTCTATGATATTGACGGCGATGGATTTATCACCTATGATGAGATGCTCAAGATTGTACAATCAATCTACAAGATGACCGACCAGATGGTCCAGCTTCCAGAGGACGAGAACACGGCAGAAAAGGCAAATATTCCCTTGTATTCCCTGTTCGCATACTTACCAACCTGTAGCGAGTCGACAAGATCTTCGCGAGCATGGACAGAGACAAGGACGCAAAGCTGACGTTCCAAGAGTTTGTCGAGGGCAGCAAGCATGATCCAACGATCGTAAAGGTTGGCGTCTCTTCTTACAAAACCACGACGTTACTCACCGGCTTGATAGGCGCTCTCCTTGTACGATGGCCTTGTATGAGGCACCATAGCGCTAGATTAACTGAAATAGTAAGCTGTCATCCTTGAGACTGTCCAGCCATTCTGACCATTCTGCCCAAGCCTCTCTTCTTGTACCCACGCTGGTCGCCTCGTATGCGAATCAACATATCATGTGGATTAATGTTATTTGCGCCCCTTATACATTACCATTGGCAGACGAGACCAAACCCCATCAGTGAAACCTCTGTGCGAGAATGATACTTGCTATTGTAAATCCATAGTAACTACCGGCCCGATGGATCGTAATTGCCTTTTGCGTGCCTTGCCCGCCACTCAGACCCCACTACAAACCATGTCCGAAGCCCCGCCCACCATTCTCCTCTCATACGGGTACAGAGCGTCGACATGCGGTTACTGTAGTCCCCCAGGAGTAAGATCACAAACAGAGACGTCTGTTACTGTGGGCGCGCCAGCGTTACAGCTCTCTTGCGAGGTCAGCGGCAATTCTCATATCTCGAGGATGACCGTTCAACGGGTCGCATAGATGTATCAGAAGATGGTGGATAGGGGATGGAGGCGATCTGGGACGTATAATTATCAACCGAGGATGATAGAGACTTGCTGTCCACAGTACCCGATTCGGTACGGTAATTTCTCGCTCGTCTAAGACAGGTATTTCTGACAGAATATTTACTCTTGTAGATTGGATGCGCACAAGTTTGAACCGACGCGAAATCAGCGAAAGGCGCTGTACAGGTTTAATCGCTTTGTGGTATCTGGGGACTCTACGGAAGACTCAAACACGATGGACACCACTGTTGCACCCATTGTATCTGATGCTGAGAAGAAGGGGAAGAACGGAGCATCCTCTGTCAAGTCCAAACCACGAAAGCAAGTGTTCTCACTTGTAGAGGCGATCCATGCATCAGAAGCGAGCTCTATATCTCCTTCATCTCCACCTCCATTACACAAGTTTGAAGTACGCTCCGAGTCCTTGCAGCGCCCGCACTGACCCTTGTCCAAGGTTACAATAGAGCCTGCTTCGTATACCGAAGAAAAATTTGAACTTTACAAAGATTATCAACACCACGTACACAAAGAAGAGGAGAAGAAGCCGTCTTCGTTTGACCGTTTCCTATGTGATACTTGCCTTGTGGTTGGTCGGTGTCCAGGCCAAGGATAGAAGTTCTGACAACTTACAGCCGCAGAACATTCCTTATACCAACACTCCAGGTCCGGGCTTACCAACTCAATATGGAACACACCACCAGCTATATCGGGTCGACGGCGAGCTTGTCGCAATGAGCGTCCTCGACATCCTACCCAACTGTGTCTCTGGCGTCTATTTCATGTACTCGAGCAAATGGGAACATTGTCAGCTCGGGAAATTGAGCGTTTTGCGTGAAGCAGCACTGGCGAGGGAGATACATGCTGCCGGATTGGATTCAATGAAGTGGGTGTACTTGGGTAAGATGCTTCTGTGCCACTCAAGACAGATGCTAAACTAGTCAGGGTTCTACATTCACTCGTGCCAAAAGATGAGGTACAAAGGTGATTATGCCCCATCGTATTTATTGGATCCGGTGTGTGGAGAATAGGACGTCCAACTCTGTGTTTTACTTGTTTCCTAGGAATCGTATGAGTGGTATCCACTCGAAACATGCAAGCCCCTGCTCGACAAGCATCGTTATGTTTGCTTCTCGAACCCCTCCCACTCTTGCGACGAAACCAAGAAGCCAGCACTCATCAAGCGGAAACAGAGTGAACTGGCAGATGTCATGTACTGTCAAGTACGGAACCGGACTCTGGTTGCCATACCCATGTCACAGATTGTGCGTGCTAGGCTCTCTTCCTGTGTGGCCTCGCTGATGATTCAACTAGTCCGCCGAGGTATGGAAACGATATAGCGACGATCTCTTGTATACTCTGGATGCCCTTGGACCGCACATTTCGCGCGAAGTCTTTTTCAAATTCTAGACGTCCTATTGTGTGCCCATAATGCAAGGTGAATGTATTAGGGCTGCGTAACACATGACAATCCACCTAAACTGCTCGAAGATCCGGGTGTATTGGCGGTGATCATCCCAGCCTGGCCAATTATTTAAACGGCCTAACTTGGAGTTGACCACGACCAGAGCCGGCGCGCATACGCTCCCAGGCGGGAGTAATTAATCGATCTATATTCCTGAATCTCTTCAATGAATCTGGGAAGGCAGTCTATCAGTGCGACAGTCCCTACCCAGATTATTGATGTTCGCCTCGACGCCGATTGCAACATCTTTACGTGCTCGACGCCGTCTGGGTTTGCTGTCTACAGGTCAAATCCACTGACACTCGTCCGTAAACGCGGTAAGAACGCGCAATTTGTGGTGCGAGTGCGCGTCTAGGAGCGTCTGCTGACGTTGTCTCGTACGCCGTTTTCGCTTTTTTAGAGGTGACTGGCGGCACACTATCTATTATCCTTCCACTTCACTCTACTTCACTCCTATTTCTCGTCGGCGGTGGAGGATCGCCGCGGTATGCACCGAATAAAGTCATCGTCTGGGACGATGCCCAGGGAAAGGAAGTAGCTGAACTCGAGTTCAATGACTATGTGAGAGGAATCGCGTGTCGCCGAGGGTTGCTCGTTGTTGCACTCAAGAGACGCGTGATTGCCTTTGAGATTACAGACACGGTCAGATGGCTGCGACAGTGGGACACGGGAATCAACGAGAAAGGTTCGTTTCTGTGCTGGAAGACGCTGAGAGCTGTCACTGATCGCTCAACCAGGCTTGGTAGCGCTCGCCACAGCGCCTGGAGCTACGCTCTTGGTCATCCCTGGGCAACAGACGGGCCATCTCCAACTTATACATCTCTCCATGTCCTGCACCACCAGAGGATCACACTCCAGGTACCGCAAAGGCGACGCGTCCTCCCCCCGTCCCCCCCATCCGCCGTGATCCCGTGACTTATATCGTCGCCCACACTTCATCACTCTCGAGCATTTCCGTCTCAAGATCAGGTCACTATGTGGCCACTACATCAGCGGTCGGCACTTTGGTCCGAATTTGGGATGCGCAAACTGGGCAAAAGTCTCATGAATTCCGTCGTGGCACAGATCAAGCACATATCTATGGTGTCGCATTTCGACCTGATGAAAAGGAATGCTGCACATGGAGTGACAAGGGAACCCTCCATTTCTTTTCTCTCGAGCGCACGTAAGTGTCCCGTGTCGACGCGTAGTCAGCCTTCTAACGCATTCTATAGTAATCAGCTGTCGTTGATGAGGCATATTACTGCCCTTTTACCAGTGCAGAATAACTACCTCAATTCGGAGAGAGCATACGCAAAGTATTATTTGCCGACGCCTCCAGCTCATGTAGCTCATTCCATGTCTCAAACAAATCGTTTGGGCACAGCTCATCCAGATGCTGGTGACGAAGAGAAATGGACAGTGGGATGGATAGAGGTCCCCGCGGATACGACCCCATACTCCTCCCCAGTCAAGACGGCCACACCTTTGCCCTCTGTACACGGAAATAAAGGTAGAGGACGCGCAAGCGTTCCTGGATCGCCACTTCGAACATCTATTGATCGTCGAGGGGCTCAATCACCAACGTCCCCAACACGATCCCATCCAAAGTCGCCCCCTCCACCGGAATACCAACTCGTTGCGCTCACCTACACAGGTGGTTGGTATCGTCTGTCGTTGCCCAAGAGTATTGAGGAGCCAGAAAGATCTGGTACACCAGAGCCATATCAGAGGGCTCCCCAGAGCAAGTATCCACGCCGAACAGATACAGGTTCGGCTGCGGGAGGAAGCTCTCAAAGCCCTCAATCTCGTCAGGAGGAATTACGAAGACGGAGCGAGCCATCGAGGCGACGGAACAGCGACGCGCAGCGTGTAGACGGGATGACGTGCCAAGTGGAGGAGTTTAGACGATTTGGTCGGTGGGATGGGTGGGGATGATGACTTGGGCTAATTGACATTGTGTGATCTCATTTTTCTTTCCAATCTTTGCTTTGGTCCAGTTTGTATATGTACTTTCATGGTATTTCACGTTTATCGATCTACAACTCAATGGACACTTTGCACTTGATCTATTCTGGGCCGGAAATGATCGCCTTGATGACACCAACGCCATCTTCACTCTTGCCCTTGCGCGTCGTCTCGAATGCTTGCTTCGCATCTTCGAACTTGAAGCTGCGAGGTGTGAGTGCTTAATTAGTGGAATCACGGTAGCACATACCGGTGAGTGACAAGGGGCTTGAGGTCAATCTTGTTCTGCGCGACCAACGCAATCGCGAGAGCATAGTCGCCAGGTCCATACCTAGGCAACGGTTACAACTTGAGAGCTAACACAGAGTTGTGTCGTACCTAAACGAGCCCTTGAGAGTAAGTTCCTTGACGAGGATCATCGTGATTGGAATCTGGACATCTGGTGTACCCATTCCGACCTGGACAAACGTTCCACCGGCTTTTGCGAGCCAATAGCCCATTTGGATGCAAACTTCTGCACCGCTCGCCTCGATGATGACATCTACACCATCTGGACCGGCGTCTGCAAGCTTGAGCTGGTCCTTCATGGCCTGTGCGGTTCGTCGCGAGTAGGCCATCTTGGTCTCGCCTTCTTGCATCTTGCCGGGCATGAATATATCCGTGGCAGAGTAGGATTTCGCAAAGTCGAGACGGGATTGTTGAATGTCGATGGCGATCACGCGGCGTGCGCCGAGGGCCTTTGCGACGGCCATGAGAGCAATCCGACCGGACCTGCACCAAAGACGGCGACATTTTGGTTGGCCTTGACCTGAGCGAGTGTGGAGACGGAGTGGATGCCGACTGAGAGCGGTTCCATCTACACGTTGGGTCAGTGACGATTTGGAGAGAAAGTGAGTGCTAACCATGGCACCATCCTCCAGACTCAGATTCTCAGGAAGCTCATAAGCCAAATCAGCAGGAACGCGGTAGTAGCGGGTCAAGGTCCCGTCATACGGAGGAGTAGCAGCGAACTCGATGTCGGCGCAGAGCTATGCCGTGTCAGCGGGGTACAGGTGAACAAAGAACACTCACATTGTATTTTCCGTGCTTGCATGGCCCGCAGATGCGACAGGTTGCACCGGGTTCGATGGCTACTCGCGCGCCGGGTTTGAGGTGCTTCACCTTTGATCCGACTGGGAGAAATTAGACAGAGGCGGGGAAAATGTCGGATACGTACCAGAGTGAATAATACCAGCCGACTCGTGGCCAAGGACCATGGGATTCTCGACGATAAAGTCTCCTGGACGGGCGTAAGCTGGGTTTGGACAAGAGGAGATGACGAACCAATGCGTCCATGGACGAGATAGTGAACCTAAACGAAGGTCAGTAGTGTTCGTTGTAACCGTGACGCAGATTACATCAGATCCACAGATACCTAGCCAAGACAAAGTCAGAGCTGGCCTGAAGAGATAGATAGGGGACTTACCGGTTTTCTTGACTTCTACGAGAACATCTTGAGGACCAACTAATGCGTAGGTCAATATCGCGATTGCCATTTGATCTGGGTGGCCAGGTGACCGTTGAGAAGCACTCACTCTCTGGAACAGGGCGTTCCTCGAAAACGACATCTTCGATGCCCCGGAGGACGAAAGACTTGTTGTCTGCGTATGTAGCGTTTGCCATCGTGGTCGAGTCCAAGGTTTGGCGTCAACTCTTTGCCTCTCGAGTCGGTCCGTATGCGGCAGTTTTACCGAAGTATAGACGGGATCTGGTGCTGAGACGGAGCAAAACAATAACCAATGGGCTCGTGATTTTGCATTTTGCATTTTGTTTCGTGTAGAGAGCTCCAGGGATGTCGAGTGGCCCGGCAGGTCGTTGAGAACGGTCAACAGGGCCAAATGCCGCTCTGGAGAGCGGATCTGACGACGAGAGTATCTTCTGTGTATAATATCAAGCACATTTTCAATAATATGCTGGTCATTTACGTTGTCGGTCGGCAAAGGATGGTATGCGATTGGTGCAAACTCGTTGAACAAAGCAAACTTCGACCTTTTGACATTTTGGCAAAGAATTTGGCGAGCACTTCAACAACTTGAAGAGTATGTAGTTGTACTCTCTTCATCTTGTAGAGACGTACATCTCATTGACATTCGGATCCTGCTCGTTTTCGCCATGTTACAGTGCCGCTGGCGTACAACCAGTGCGTAATCTGTCTCAAATTTGATATTAACAACTTATACAAATTCTTCTGAATCTTTCTAACAACTACAAATATGTCTCCGCGATGGTCCAATGTCCACGTTGAATTTGGTTTCGGCTTGCCGTAGAGACCTACCGCCAGCCGGAGGCTTTGAGACCCTCAAATACAAACGAAGTCTTCCCTATCGTGGACCGAGTGGCGCCGTTCTACTCCTTGCAACAATTGGCTTCTGTGGACTTGGGTTCTACCGCTATGGTCAAGGTGCAAACGAGCGTAGGTGAGAAAGTCTTTTTATGATCTCAGCCCTCCTTCGAAAGGGCATGCATTGGTCGATCCTCTTTTGCTCTCCGGTCTTCATCTCGATGGAACAAACGGCTGGTCCACGCATCACATTGCTGGTGCCCGACGTCGTTTTGTGTGTCATCCACATGCTTATCTCAAGCGAGTTTATCTCTCTGCCAGGAGAATTTCAACGTTCCGAAATTTCGGGACCCCGTCTGGAACGCTGGCACAATCATGATCATGTGGTTGTATGCTTTGTGGGGCGAGACTAGCCATCCAATCTCCTGGTTCCACAATTGCAGGAATCACAGGAATCCAGCTATATGTCCAGTCACCCCCTAGTCGGTGAGCTGTGCCCTTTCATTTAAGGGCGGCTAGCGGGCCCAAGCCACTGCATTCGGACACTGGTGTGATCATATTGGACAATGTGGAGACAAGGAGCGATGCTAATTAGGCTCCCGGAGGAGATATGGGACTGGTAACACCTGGCGAATGCCGAGCGCCTTAGGCCCTATTCTCTCTCTCTGTGTCGTGGGAACTATCCAATATGGCCCTGTTCCACTCTCATCATCGGTGACGAGGTAGTGGTTCCATATGTCGCCCAGCTGACAAGGGCCAATCGCCCGATGGGCGTGGGACACTCAATTACGAGCGCATCTGTCAAGTTGCGATAGGACCCCGGATCGACCGCTGCCGCCCGCCCGAATTCATCACGCGCCTCACAGCGAAACAGGCCGACAGCCCAAATGAGGCAGGACCGGGACTGATGCATTGGTGCGAAGTCTGCTTGCCATGATGGGATTATCCATCTTCCTAATCTGCATATCACTTCATCGTGCCATCAGAGATATCGACAACCATCTTTGGCGGGCCCTTTACCGCTTCAGTACGGAACCTTTAGGGTTTTTGGTCCATGCGACGCCCTCGCTAGCGTTCTCAGCTCGGGGCAGCGCCGAGTCGGCCCTTTGCGATGTCGGCTGCGGTGTCCTGTGTCGTCTCAGCTTCATTCTCGTCTCGCTACCCGGGGGATCGCGGTGGTCCCGGAGGCTGCATTACGTTTCCCTTTGGCCGGCGATATCTTGCTGACTGTTGACTGGTCGCTGACGTGCTCCACTGGACAGGGAACTGAAGCGCGAGAAGATGTGGGCGAGGATCCATCTGACTCCCCTATTGGAAGCAGAGCACGACCGGGACGAATACCGGCGCGCGGCAGCAGAGAGGGCGCTCGAAGCTGCTATCATGGCACGACACAAGAAGTGGAAGGTGAGCATATTGTCCACTTGCCATTCACTCCTCGCCTTCCGCCGCTCGCTGTAGATTGTATTGCTGATCACGCTTGTTCGCTTTCCTCTAGGCCGGTGAAAGCGTCTACTTTTACGATCGGGGTGACGATGAAAAGGTTGTATAGGGCACAGGGGACCCAATATGGCGGGCGGCATTTAACTGATGCGCACGACGGGCGCCCCCGCCATAGCCGTCACGTGTGCGATGTATATAAGCTAATGGCAGAGCCCTGTCCATCATACTCGCGTCTTTTGAACCCGACCACGTCGCGCGCTCCCCCTCGCTCTTTCTGCCGCCCTCCTAACCTGTCCTTTACAGAGACTGGTTGCTGACGGATACGCCCTCAAGAGCGTTACACAGCTACCTTTGCAGCGCGCTTCCCATTGAGCGTCGCCAGGCTTCTGGGCTTATCCCATTCCCACTCGGTGGCAATGAACAGCTGGCCCACAAACTACGATACTCAATCGACCTACCGTGTCCACAGAGCTTCCTTTTCCTCGACCTGTTCTCAAGAGGCCGACAGCGGCGGTGGGCCCGAACATCAGAAGATGGCAACGCCAAGTTCACCCGTATTTGATCTCGATGAATTTATCTATGATCCAGTGACGACGACATCGACGACAGCGGCGTTGACCTCGGGATCAGCCGCTACTGGCGGTATGTCGGGCCTGACAGACGTCGCACAGCTCGGCTCCGCCGCTCGTCACGCAAATGGACATTCGTGGACAACGTCGGGCGGTGATGGTGCTGGATGGGAGTCTGCATCGAATGTGTTCCAAGAGACTGCCTCGAATGCCTTCTACGGGGTATCCTTTCCTTCGAGCGCTGGCACACACTCCAAGCCATCGCTCAAGACGACAACGACCCCCCAGGCCATTCTGAATAACTATTATGGCGGTGGGCTTGCATCCTTTCACCAGCCAGCATCTTCTGGCTTTTCAGACTTTGAGCTCGGGCTGGATAGCTCAAACAGTGCAGAGCTCTTTGCGTTCCCAACAAAGACGGGCGCATTGGCCGACCAGCAACATCACCACTCCATGTTTGATCAAGGACTCTATCCGGACATGAACAAGATGATGCTGCTCTCTCAGAGCGAGCCTGGCTATGCCTACCCCACCCAGGCTCAAGCGCAGCAACACTTACAGCGCCGAGGGTCGGTTCGTCGTGAATCTACATCCTCCTTGCCATTCTCTACAGCGACATCTATCCCGCTCAACATCCAGGCACCGTCGTTTAGCTACGCGCAGCCTTCGACCGTCTTCCCCACATCCGTATCTGGGCATACGCCCTCTTCCTCGCTCTCGTCCTCTTCCTTCCTGTCCAACCTATCGCCCGGATCTCCTCTAGGATCCCCGCACTTTTCAGAACGGGGCTTGTCCATTTCCCCCTCCATCCCCCCGGCGTCGCCACTCTCAGCTTCGGCCGTTGGGGCAATCTATTTCCATCAGGGACCTGGTACGTCACCGACGCCTTCATTCGGAGGAGTCCCGCCCGCGCAATTGTCGGCGAGCCCGCATCAGTTTAGCAGCGCGCCAATCACGTTTGTGAACCAGACGACGCAGTTCACCAAGCCGACAAAGACGAGCACGAATGCGACGAGGGATTCGTCGCCCAAGGATGCCGACGCGGACGAGTATTCGCCTTTGATGGACGAACGGAGCCACGACGATGGAATGAGACAACGCAAGCGACGGCGGACCTTGTCCAACAGCGTGATGGGCGACGAGTCGGACGATAAACGTGACGAAGGTATGTGTTTACTCGCTATTGATTTCCGTCACGAGGTCGCCGACGATGGCGAAGAGAAGAGCCAGACGTCGGTGGGGCTGGGGTCCCCGACGAGGCCTCGGCTCGGTTGTGATAGAGTCGCTCGATCAATATCCCTGACCATTTGGTAGATATCCCCATCAAGTCCGAGCTTCGACCTCCCAAACAAGCGCCTTCAATGTGGCAGGTCTATTTCGCCGACTGGCTCCAGGACCACAAGACACGCCACCCACACGACAAGCTCAACGTCGCCCAGGCTGCCAAAGAGGCTGGTCAGTTGTACAAGACGCTTACAGCTGCGGAAAAGGAGGTATGCACTCTTATTTCTTGGCCTGTCCTCCTGTTTCTGATAGGCGTCCGCAGGACCTGAAGCGACGCGTGCAGATTGAGAAGCAGCTGCGCGAGCAGCGACTCGTCGCATGGCAGCGCACGCTCACACCAAACGATATCAAGCGCGAGAATAAGTTTCGTGCGGCACAGCGCAAGGCGGGGCTCTCACGACGGGCAAACATCAAAGATCCAAATGCCCCCAAGAAGCCCCTTTCTGCCTATTTCATGTTCTTGGCCAAAATTCGCAGTGATCCTCGTCTCGTAGAAGAAGTATTTGGTGGGGAGACGGAGACGACCAGGCAGAGCGTGCTGGCAGCGCAGACCTGGAGGGAGATGAGTGATGAGGAGAAGAAGGTGCATCTTTTACTACCAGTTGTGGGTAAATACTGACATCCTGTAGCCCTTCCTCACGCAGGCGGAGCATGACAAGATCCAGTACGAGGCTCTCCGTAAGATTTACGAAGAGCAAGCTGGCTCGAGCTCGGCCAACGCGCGCAAACAAATGGCTGCTGGAACAGGCTACATCGTACCTCAGCAGATGAACACGACATTGTCAGACGATGTCACGGCGTCCATTCTCTCCGCCAATCCCAACACGGGGAATCGTTACTCCAGCCATGGTGGAAGCGACTCGGATGATCTGCACATGGTCTCCTATGACCCCCAGGCCACAATTACAGCTCGGAAATCTTCGACGACGGCATCATCCAAGGCGATTGCCACTGCTGCTGCTGCCGCAAGCTTTGCTTCCAATGGAAAGGCAATGTCGAGCTCTATCCCCGTTTCATTCTCTGCAACGGGTACTATTCGTCGAAGAACAGCAGCGGCGCGCAAGTCGGCGAGACAGATTATGATGGACGATGGTGCCCAGAGCCCACCCGACTCGTCTGAAGACGACGACGAGTGGGTGCCGGGCAAGTCTGTCTGAGAATATCTTCTTGGACCATGCCACCCTTCTTGGAGTGTTCAACACACGGACGAATCTCATTCGAGCATACTCTCGACGGTTTTCTTGGTCAATCTCATGTGAGGTTCGACCCCATGCATCTCTCTCGGACTGCATCTTTGACTCGGGTTCCTCTCCCTGGCATATGCCTCTTTTGCATATTCCTTGTGTCACGACCTCTGTTCTCGGGTATCATCGATACTCTTTCTCTTTTTGGTGGCTTGTGATTGTTTATGGTCCTCACCTATTACGACATCTACGACATCTGTAGGCTCTGTAATCGCTTCTTGATGTATTCTCCTTCCTCTAATCACGACCCTGACGATTCCTCTTCATGCGGGCCTCCTCACCACTTCTTCACGTCGCACTAACGATTTCTACGACGCCCCAAACACGCCAGACTTCCGCATACCCACATATTGGCATTCTTTCTTCACAACAGGATCAATAGGCACCCTCCTTTCTTGCATGTAGCACACACACATCAAATCGCACTCTCATTCTTACAAATGAATTAACAGCAAGATGAGATGCACAAAGACAAGAGGGTTGCCAAAGAAGAAGATATAAGCCTAAGGACGTAATAGTAACTCGTCGTCGTCGGTTGGTTCCGACTCCGACCGATGTCCGCTCACTCTCCCTTGAGAGATGTGCACGGTCGTCTTTCTCCTAGGCTTTATTCCAGTGGACGAGCCTGTATCAGATTGTGTGAAGCCACCGGGGCCTCTGCTGTGAACAGGTTCGTTGGGCGAAGCGAACCTCACCCCTTTTACCGGTTTCTTTGGTTTGAATCCACGCCTTAAGCTCGACTTTTGAGACTTGCTTCAGTGCCGAGCGTCTAGTTTCGCGGTCAAACGAGCGTGCGACCTCTTCGTCCGAGTCCAGGACATCTAATGTGAACGGCACCCGGTAGAACGGCTCCAAGAATGCATACTTGTCCAGGATCTCCCGTCCTTCGAGCTCAGAATCGTCATCATCATGCAGGGATGACGTGCGATGCTCAAGAATAGGACTTTCTTGCGAGTATGCGGACCGGGCGGTGCGTTTAATCGGGGACAAAGGCATGAGTGCAACGGCTGACTGAACAAGGTCAGCGTTCAGTCCGCACGGGACGATCGAAAGGTCCACTCACGGAAACTGGCTTGGGTGACGGTGTTCGATTGACTAATCGCGCACTTGGATGTCCATAAACTGGAAATTTGACCGCTTCGGATGATGGGGCAACGTCTGGAAGTGGTTCCATTGGCTCAGGTAAGCCATAGTAGAGGTCATTCACAATGGGCTTCAGGAGGCTCATATCACCATCGTGCTGTTCCTCGATATGAGACAGAAGTTGAGGTTCTCTTCGTGTAATGAAATCGCAGTCTATGAGAACTCGTTAGCGAGAGATGTAAGAACGTAGGTGGCTTACCAGCGTGCATGCAGAACTTCCGGGAAGCCATATGTTTGAAAAGATGACGAAAGAGTTGTTGCTTGTTCCGAAAAGCACCTTGATGACATTCATTCCATCGACACAGGTATGGGCCTGGCTGCTATAATGGCAAGCTCAGCAACGGATTTGATCACTAGAGCTGAATCCACCTTTATTTTGTCCACATGCTGTCTCCGCACATGACTAGCCAAGTTCCTCAGGCAGTTGAAGCGGGAATCGCACCTTGCCCATTTACATACTGTATATCTGAGATCAGTGCCGACCTGTACCGCATTTAGAAGTACCTTGTGCAGTTAGACGCTTTGCATCATCCTTCTCAAGGATCTCCTTGATCTCTGTTGCTCATCAATATTAGTTTGAAAAGCTATAATCTAACGGACCCACGTCGGAAGTAGAAGATGTCGGTGTGAGACCTATGAAGAGATAAGTAACTCGCTCTATCGGTGGATGATAGCGCACCAAGCTCTGGTGGACGTGGAACAAGGACATAGAGGAAGCGATGTAGGGGCCGTTCCATCGACTCTTCGTCCTTTTCGTCCGGAGGGGTAGGCGATTCAGGGAGAAACAATGGCTCGGTTTTCCGGTCGTCTGTCCTGTCAGGCTCCTCGGCCTCTCTCACATCCGAGGGATAAGGTCGCGAGGGAGCTTTCGTGTCTGATACTGGAAACTTGGTGGCCTCCTCTATTCGGATACCAGGATCAACCTGAACGGCCAGATCGTCAATAATCATCGGATCTATTAAAAGAGAGATCAGAAATCCCCTAGATAGGATAAAACTTGACTGACCTCTCGTGTCTGCCAGCTCTTCCCTGGCTGTGACTAAGGTGGACTCCAACGTGTCGTGAGCCGCGGGTCCTTCCGGAGCAGAAGGATCATCGACCAACGAGGTATTGTTTTCTGGTTCAACAATATCTGTTGGTCTGATTGGTGGTGGTAGGGGCGTAGCCGGGTTCGGACTCGGAAAAGGGATTGGACTGCTTTGAGAAGGAATGACTCGTTTACTTGATGTTGATGAGGTCCCAGCAGAATCCATCTCCTTGCGCTTCTGGAGCATTTGTAGAACTGATCTCGCGAGGCCTGCAGGAGCGGGTTCAATTAGAGGAAGTCCTCCATTGAGTGTAGGAGTATACAATTGTACAGGTGCAGTGGAGGCCGGATTAGATGCCAAAGGCCTCCTAATCTCTCCTTGGCTCTGCTGTTGAGTTGGAAGAGGATACAGATATGACCTGCTGAGGCCAACTGTCCTCGAATGCTGTGATTGCGAAGAGGCCCGATGGGGCTGCACCGGCGTATTGACATTTCTAGATGTAGATGGAGTACTCTGTACTTGTCGGTTCGGTGGCTGATTGAGACCCTGACCTGAGCTCGAATTCGCCAATAATGGATTAGAGCCCTGTGCAGAGTAAGGTATCAGATACGGTGTTTGGTCTACCGTCTGACTTGGAAAGGGGGCCACTGATTGAACGGCAAATTGAGGTCGATTACTGGCGACAGGAGTAGTCTGCTGGCGTACTGGTGGTAGAGGTGCTCCAATAGGTTGAATGTTGATTGCCGCATTTTGCGTGATCGGCGGGGATGGAAGAGCTCGAGAACGGTTAGATGTGCTAGCTTGCGGCACAATCTGAGCCACTTGAGAGTAGTAAGATGGCTGTGGAATTTGATTATTCCCATTCGGAGCCGGAGCGACAGGCGCACTGTGTACCGGGTACCCAGGAGCTGGATACACAGACTGATGCGGATACAGGAAATGCGCATTCTGTGACGTGTTCGCAGTGACACTCTGAGATATAGGGAGGTGTGTGCGTTGATATAGAGGTGTATTTGAGGGGGCGTGAAGTGCTCTTGTCTGCGAGGAAGATCTAATAGAGCCGAGTATAGTATTTGAGCATCTTTCGCAGCGGAAAAACTCGAGTAGCCCCGCATACCGATTAACGTCCCTTCGTTGCTCGATATTCTGATCATAAACCGCAATTTCGTGACGAAGCTTGGCTAGCTCATTCTTGAGGAAGCTATACTGATCCTCATTGAGACCTACGAGAGCCTTGGTCAGGACTATACATCAGCCTGACCCTGGCACCTTACCAGTCTGTTGTGCAGCATGATACAGAGTCAGCGCTTGAAAACGGGCTCTTTCTGAAACTCTGTGTGCGATTTGTAGAGTTGGATCATTTGCTACTTCTGTTGCCCGCGCGTTTGCAGTCTGTAGCGGCGGAGCATTTATGGCACGCTTTGGAACGAGTGTAGGCTGTCCATTTCGAAGTACAACATCCCATTCACCAGGATTTATTCGAATCGGAGTGTCTTGTCCAGCTTGTTGGGACATGTAACCGCAGCGGTGTCGCGGTCAACTCCAAACATTGAACTACTACTACATGCACGCGTTACTCCGACAGACGCCCAAAAGAGCATTGGCTACTCTTTCCAACGCTCATGTGAATCAGCCATTTGCAGTATTTGATCGACAAGCAAAGCGCGTTCAACGAGACAGAGCAGCCGTCAAAAAGGATGGAGAGACGAGCCGTACAGTTGATTATTTGCGGAACGAAGTGGCAGAAAGGATGATAGAAAGGCTTCTAGTAAGTATTGTGGCCCTTTGACGCGTCATACTGAGCCAGTCAAGGATGTCAAGCGCACCTACACTTCGATACTCGATCTTGGATCAGGACCTGGCCATTTCTCGCGTCTCATCGAATCACACTTGACCAAAAAGATAGTCATGATGGAGATGAGCGGTGCGGAATATCTATGTACGAGCTCGTCATTTTGACCATAAGGGCAGACAAGTTGCTGAAGCGGGATCCGGATTCGGAATTCGAAGGTATTCTCTATATACTACTATTCGTGATTCATGTTGACGAAGTGCAGTTCCCGTTGAGCGAATTCATGCGGACGAGGAGAATCTACTTCAAGTCATCGAACCTAATTCACAAGAAGCAATTGTATCTTGTCTGAGTCTGCATTGGATCAACGATCTGCCTGGTATGTCGCTACATCTTGCTTGTCTGTTCTGAAGTCTCTCAGGCCTCTTGGTGCAAATTCGCGAGGCTCTCAAACCAGATGGCTTGTTCTTGGCTGCGCTTCTGGGAGGAGACAGCCTTTTCGAACTCAGGTAAGACATGAGTGTCATTCTTTCTCTTCTAAGCAACGTTAGGACTGCATTACAAGTCGCAGAGCTTGAGCGGGAAGGAGGTATCTCTCCACATATCTCCCCTATGACCGGTATTTGTTGTGTCCTAATTTTCACGCTGAAATTAATCTCTGGTAGATACCCGAGACATAACGAATCTCCTTGGTCGAGCCGGCTTCACCCTTCTCACTGTTGACATTGAAGACGTCACCGTATCGTACCCTAGTATGTTTGAACTAATAGAGGACCTCGGTGATATGGGTGAAAACAACGCAGTGATTGGAAGGTCTGTGGGGACACATATAATGAATGACACTGACACGGTCTAGTCGCCCTTTTATGCATAGGGATACCTTGATGGCAGCTGCGGCTGCATATCAGTGTATGTCCACGTCTTGTAATCTTGTATCTGCTCACATACGCGTAGCCCTTCACGGAAACGAGGATCAGACGATCCCTGCAACCTTTCAAGTTATCTTTTTGGTACACAGATCTGCACTGTGTCTGAATGTAGACTAACCCTTCTCAGATTGGTTGGAAGCCTCAACCCAAGCAGACTTAGACTTTGCAATGGCGGTCAGACCAAGCCTTTATTAGATGATCAAACGACATGACAAGAAATCAATGCTACTTTACTTCCAGGGACACGGCAATACCCATACTCGCAAGCTCTGCGCAGAGATACCTAAAGACATACGGGATTGCGATCACGTCCATATCCCCTCTGCTTCCCTGTTGGGACAACAGATTCGAGGATGAGAGGCTAACGCGCAAGTCTGTTCTGACACGGGGGTCCGTATCGGATCGACCCTCAGCCAAGGACGTTCTGGCTCGTTCCGCCTCCGACTCTTCCAGCGCTCGACAAACGCGGCAGTATTCTCCCGACGGACCAGTCGGAAAATGTGATGAACTGCCAATGAGTTCACCACCGACGCTGACATCCTCGTAACCCAAGGAGATGAGGCTTCCGCACGTTCGACAGACCCATGCTGTAGAATAGTCGGAACAGTTCATCAGTCTGTCCTGGAGAAGGAAGGACGTTCCATGTGCAATCAACGCATCACGTTCCATCTCTCCAAAGCGAATACCACCGGCGCGTTTTCTGCCCTGTACGCGATATCAGATCAAAGCCGAGGAATTTTCGAGATTTAGTACCTTGACTGGTTGTCTCGTGACGGGGTCTACGGGTCCGGTGGTACGGACTTGGTATTTGTCCAACACCATGTGTCGCAACCTCTGGTAATATACGACGCCTAGATAGATGTCTGCCGCAAATTCTTCACCAGTGATTCCCGAGTACATTGGTTCATTGCCGTAGTAATTATAGCCAGCCGCCAGGAGCTGCTTTCCAAAGTAATCGATGGCAGTATCGTCCTCGGAAAATCTGTCAAGGAGTTGAGAGCTATTCAAAGGGGTCGTAATGTGCTTACTGGAATGGGGTGGCATCCTGAGCAAGTCCGTGCATTGCACCAGCTTTGCCCGCCATACTTTCCACAAACATGCCGATAGTCATTCGACTGGGAAATGCGTGTGGATTGATGATAACATCTGGTTGAATTCCGCTCTCGCTGAACGGCATGTCGACTGACGGCCACTTTTGAGAGCAGACACCCTTTTGGCCGTGCCTGGATGAGAACTTGTCACCGATGACGGGGGAACGAGTGATACGAATGGTGACGTGTATCTTTTGTAACTCTGTGTCTCCCGCGTCGCCACCTGTGATATTTGAGCTATACATATGAGCGGGTTGACGCAGGGCGTACCTATTAACCGTACAGTGTCAATATACCCAGATTCGTCTCCTTTGTATTTGATTATCCTTGTTCTGCCCGTAGTATCGTCCTCGTACGCAGCGATAGGATCGCCAGGGTTGACCTTGACTCCGACAGAAGGCAAACCGTCAGTGTCGATCGTCTTGCGAATTTCCTCGTTACTCGCAAGCTTCCCAAGTCCAAAGTGAAGAACAGGCGCTGTTTGAGATTTCACTGCACCCCGTTGCTCCTTCAAGTCGATGATAAGCGACTTATAGATAGTGCCATAGCCAAATCCTCTCTCATGCGAGGACTTGTTCAGGATCATGGCATCTTCCATATCGTATCCAGTGTAGGAGATAACCGCCACTACTGCATTTGTACCATTTGGGAATCCGTCCATGCCGTACTTGTTGTGCAAAGCAGGGCGAACGATTGGAGTTTGTCCGCTTTGAAGCCGATACAGCTTGTTGTCTGTCCTGTGTTTGATTGCGGTCGATGGCGTTCCCATGCTTTGCTTTCCCATCTAGGAATAAGGGTCAGAAAGCATTCTTCAGCGGTAGAGAGAATCACCTGGCACTGGTAGATGTTACGAGGTGACTTTCCAGGAGTCAGATACGTGCATATCCTGAGAGCTCATACTCACCTGGTTAAAGTCTGAGAACGGGGTCAGGTTGGCAAGAATGGAGAGAAAATTTGTGGGTGCCAATTCGAGGTGAGTGGTAATAGTGGGATCAATCTCCTCCGGTTTGATTGCAATATCCATATAAACTTGTTCGAAAGAGCCTATGGAGTCATCTCTGCCGTTCGGGAGATAGCGCACTGGGCGCATCATGCGTGCTCGAGATGTGAAAAGGTATAGGCCAGGGTATTGACCGCCTTGTGAGACGGGCACGAAGCCAATTTCTAGGTCTAGAGGAACGTTTTCCCTGCCTTCCGTTTTGAGAATTCTTAGCGTCGTAGCCAGATGCTTTGCCAAGCTCGGTGTCGCCCATCCAACCACCTTGCCATCCAGCTGAACGCACAGGCTCTTGCTACCGTCAACAGAAGGCGCAAATGCTTGTGTCATTCCTAATGAACCGAGGATAGTGGGGAGGTGAGCAGCCTTGATCGGATTGGTGATGATTCTGCATGAATGGGAGAGGTGGTTGAGAAGACCACAAGGGGAGCCATCGGGCGTATGGACGGGACAAATGAATCCTACGGTACTTTAGAAATGGAATCATTCTCGGGACCTGACATACCCCATGACTCTGGCAGCAATTTACGGACAGTTGTTGTCTTGAGTTCGGCAAAGAATGCGCCTCGATGCACACATCGGAAGTGGCTGATGTAACGATACCAGTTCAGTTTTTCCGCGACAATAGTGAAGCCCGCAGCCTGCTGTAAGTCGAGACCAGTTGGAGATACCAGATTGCCAGTGGCCAAGAAGTTGACCATCTTTGACCCAATGTCAAAGCTGACCTTTTGTAGAACCTTGTTGACATAGCGTCCTAGTTTCATTAGTCTCTGTTCAGTCTGGGAAAAGAGTACATACTGTCGAAAAAATCCACTGCGGCGACCTCTCTACGAACATCTTGAGCAATTTGATTTCGAACTTGGTTCAACGCTTCTTCCAGACGCTCTTTGATGATCATGCCGTAGAGAGATCCAGGAAGTAGGATTTCTTGATGTTGTGGCGAATCTGGGTTATCCGGGCAACATTGCCCAGAGACAAGTGCATAGAGCTTGCGAAGCATGAAACTACGAATATCAGTTTACTTCAGGGGACCTTTTGGAAACCTACATGAGCATCCTAAACTTGTCGCGAGGGTCGTCCAAATGGACGAGGACGACCTTTCTGATGAGCCATATTCCCAATTCACGATTACTCATATCCTCTGGCTGACCCAATACTACACGAAACTTCTCTCCGAGATAGTCGAGACACTGCGCGCCGGTATAGAGGCTGTAATGATTTTTGAAGCTTCGTAGTAAGAGTTCGACGCGGTCCGTGAGGAAGGTGTTGTGATAATCTTGCATAATGACCGCTTCGAAGATCTCGAGATCTGAGGCACCGACTAGAGCCTTAAGAATGAGCATGATTGGAATGACATATTCTTGCTTGCGCCAACTGAACCGAAAGGTTGCGCTGCCGTTCGACAGGTAATGCAAGCTGTTGGTGACACTCGACTGGTCTGCACGTACGCCGCGTATTTGAACCGCATATGGCGTGTAGGACGGACCACGATTGACAAAGCTTGGTCGGATGAGTGCAACGACGTGATTCCGTCGGGGTAGAATAAGGTAGCGTATCAACCTCTCATTTCCATTGATGATAAAGTATCCTCCAAACTCCTCCGGTTCTTCATGTCGTTTGATGAGCTCTGCAGATGAGAGTCCGCGCAAGTTGCATCGTACAGACTGGACCTCAAGTTATTGAAAGTACTTCACAGTGAGCAAGCTACTCACGCGAACCATAATCGGTAATAGCCCACAGTCCCTGGTTTCATTGTTCTCTGGCCCACCATTGACACTCCAGCAGATTCTCACCGTCATGCGGCCTCTGTACGAAACCAGCCTTTCTCGCGCCTAAGAACGGTCAGGTACGGTATTTACATCTTCCAGCCTCACCTCTGAAGGATATATCCTCCTTTCTATGGAATGTCGATCTTTTTCGGGGACCATTGGTCGCCCAACCGCGATCTGGTCTATCCAAACTGTAGACTTTTGTTGAGAATACTAGTAAATCGGGAGAGTTGTAGCTCACAAGCTAACCTCGCTCCACGAGAATTTCCTGAAGATGATTGGTTGCCGCTGAAAACGACTTTTTCTCCAATCTCTTTCAGTCCCAATGACAATAATCCTCGTCCATCTGTGTCTCCTCGGTCGAGACCACTGTCGTCGAATAGGCTGTTGAACGACTCGATGTGTGGTGCAGCGAGTCGATCCAATGTTGGGTTCACGTGCCCTTTTGTTGGTGGATTCAAGAACGCTTGTTCTCTTTTTAGCGTTTCAAATGAGTGTGCGGCCATGGTTGTGACCGCTCGTGCTAAAGGGTATGGGTGGCGGAGAAGAAAAAAAGTGACATCGAGGTAAAGCGAGTGAGAACGAAGGGTATATTAAGAAAATAAGAATGAGAATAAGATGTGACTATACAAAATGCAGACTCGAAAGACCATTAGAGCATGAACCGGTGGTAGACCGTCTCGCCCACCATTGGAAAGGACCAATGACAAGTAGTGTACACACAGCAACAATCAATCCCTGTAGACCAAAGGAGAGTGCCCAGCCGTTTCTCGTCACCCAGGGTACGATGAAGAAGGGACTTGCAAACGCGCTCAGATTGAGATGTAGGCTATAGAATGCCGTGACATCCATGGCAAGATTCGGATAACAATCGACGCAGTAGGAGACTGTAGTCGTATTACCTAAAGCTGATGAGTCTGGTTCCGACCACGCTTCGAAATGCACACCTATTTGGACACCAAAGGCCATGACAGCGAGGGATACTTGAACAATCATCCAATGCCATGAGAACTGAATCGAACACCCAAAAAGGATGAGTCCGAGGACAGTTGCCGCGGCAGCAGGCCAATAAAGCCAAAGTCGGTGCTCGGGAGAACGAGACCCAGCAATGGAGAATTTAGTGACGAGATTGTCGGACAGGCGACCCGAGCATAGTGCTTCGGCCAATGCCGTGCCGAGGATAAGGCCTATGAAGAGCAACCCCTGAGAACGCCATTAGCGAATCCCCACCTACGGTGCGAGAGGTGGACAAACTTGGGTCTGTGGACTGTAGGTTGGGAAGGCTGCAGGAATCATGGTGATAGGGCACATGATGAACTATCGCCAATCAATCAACTTGCGAGTACTTTGCACCGGCCAGACGCACCCAGTACCTGGTGTTGATATAAGTGATAAGGAAGAGTGACTAGATAAGGAACTTACCAGGCCCAGCAATAGAAAACGATGGGAATAGCGACTTTAGGATAGGCAAACATTCGCAGGCAGTTGACGGTTGTTGACCACAGCTTTGGGCGGGTGACGTTGGGTATAGGAGTCACATTGAGAAACGGCTGCTTCCTGTCGTGGCTAAAGGTGCTCGGCGCCGTCTCTGGCATGCCAAAGAGCATAACCACCAACAAGATTCCAAACATGATGGCTGTAAGCCATGCTGGCCAAGTGAAGGATGCCATTGCCGCAAAGCCACCAAGGAGGGGTCCAAACAACAGGCCTTTTTTTTTTAGAAGAGGCAGCTTGGTCAGGAGAGTCGCGTGGCAGGTCAGGTACATACCTAGGTCAATGGATGCAGTCCAGAAGCCAACCGTTGCGCCTCGTTCGAGTTCAGAGTATGTATCCTGGAGCATTTGAAGGCCGACTGTGCTGGCTGGACCGACTCCCCAGCCTTGAAGAAAGCGCAGGACCATGTAGCCCGAGTAGGTGGGTGCGAGGGCGCTCCCTATTGTTGCTGCGAGAGCAAGCGTACAACCAGCAATGCAAACCGTTCGTCGGCCATAGATATCGGCAAATGGGGTCCAGAAAAGTGGTGAGACGGCGAGAGCGAGAGCAGGAATGGCGACACTGTAGTTTATCTGAGCATACGTAGCATTATAATGCTCCTGGAGCTGTGAAAACGTAGGGACTGGTGCGCACGTTAGAATCGGAATCGGGCCAGAGAGGTTGACTCGCCAGTGACGGTGGTGAGAAAAGTAAAAAGAAAATAAAAGCAGCAGATCGGAATGAGCACTCGAAGCTTTTTCGTTCTGCTCCAGTCCTTCCGAGGCTGTCAGTACACTCCCAAGGCATGACTGATGGCTCACTTGGGCATTTGTGGCCGGTTTGATGGACGGAGATGAGTGGGCGGTCTCGATGCGTACTGGATCAACGCTGCTTGAGATTTTGTCCGAGGACTTTGGCATGGCTAGGTCTCAAGATGCAGAGGCATGCAGCCTGAATATGCGGCCAAAGAGACAAGTCCGTCAGGGGCAGCGAAGACGACAAGCGAAGTTTAATATCTGCTATCACAAGATAAGCCACAGTTTGAAGTTTACTTCTGAAACACTTTGTCATCGGTAATTTCCACGCCCTTTGCAATTGATACCTTGCTTCTTGACCCCGACGCGACGCCTTCCAACTCAAGGATCACGCGACGTCACAGCATCTCCCCATGGATCATAGGTTTTAAAAAATTAAATGTTTAGGGAACGCATGATGTAGCGCGTCCCTTTGGTTTCCAGCTTACTGTAATTGATGACGCTGGCGCAAACGGTCCGGTTCACGCGTACCAGGACAACTATCATTCTATGGAGATGAAAAAGAAAGAATACATCTTCTGGAGTCAATCTTTGTCATTCCCCACCGGCCTGGCACAAGGCCTAGAACTTCTGGAAAACGCGGGGGAGCCTATAACCGGCGCAAAGACTTTAGAACACTCGGGACGCCGATTAACCAGGAAATATCCCGAGGTGGCCGTAAAAGCATCCGTAGGATACGAGTCAGCACTATTGGAGGCCAGGCCAGAACATGTCAACGATAATTAATGTCTGACGCCTCATTGACTGCCTGGTACGTACAGTCTCTCCTGGCACGTAATCGACCCAATCCTAACCTCCTCAGATCCTACCAATGGCTGGAGCGCCATAGGATTCCTCTACTTATACCGCCGCCGAAGCCTTTCGACCGCCCAGAAATCAAAGTAAAGCCAGCTCTCCAGTAAACTACCGACTATGTTCCCAATGAAATGGCTATCTCAGGGGTCTTCCGCGACGAATCACCCCTCCAAATCACCGTATGGGCATGCAGTCTTGACACACGAGACTCCTCAAGTGCATGCTCACCATTCTACCACAAATCATCTCCAGAAATCGCACCATCACTCAGGCGACACCCACTACCCCCTCCCTCGGGACCACTCCATCTCACCATCATCCCCTTCGCGGCCTCTACCGTCCCAACAAACCCACTCACCCAATCTCCTTCAGAAGCCACGAAAGCCTATCGAGGCGCACATTCACGACTCGCCACGTCCGGCCTACCTCCAGGAATCCGACTATTCGGCATCTCAATCTTCCCTGGGCCTCGATTTCTCTGCCTCTTGTTCACCGTATCGTCACATATCGGATAAGAAGTATCGACTCATTCCATCCTCGCCACGTGGCGCTGGTAGTGCAACCTGGCTTACGACTCCCCTCAACGTGCCTTATGGAACGGACATACCACTCGTAACGACACCAATACCGCCCAACTTACTTCGGACACGGAGTCCAAGCACAGGTTCCCTTCAATCTCCCGCTAAAGCCGCCTCACGCCTACATGCGACGCATGCGACCCCTTCACCTACTGGTCACCGTCATCGTTTACGCTCTAACTCTACACCACATGTGAATTTCTCACCATTTATTGCCCCAGTTGTCATACATACCCCTCCTACGACGCCACCATATCTGACTCCAAAAGTCGCTGTTCTAGACGAGTTGCCGGACGAGCAACAGCGGCAAGAGCAGCATCAAGGAAGCGATCTATACTGCTTCCCTTCAAAAGAGTTAGATATGACGCGCATCCCTGTACCCACAGAAGGACGGACGTATATCGTAGGCTCATATCCTACAAATTCTCCTCTTTCAGAACATAGACGTTTGACTGCGATCCCGAATCCAGTTCGAGGAAGGACAGTATCACACCCACCTTTGAACTCGCCCCGCTACTATATTCCGCTGCCGCCGACTCCTCCAAATCGTCATCACAGCCTCCACAAACAAGGATGGCAGTGGTCCACAGCACAGGCAGCTACTCATGCGCGTCCACCAGGGTACTTTAATCGACGTGGAGACGAGTTCCTAGGAAGAGGTATGGTTCGACGTCAGCCGCATGCGCGGATGGAATGGCACTCCATGTTTGGCGATTGTCCAGATCCTGGGCATGGATGGATGAATGAACATGGTCACTGGATCCCCGAGGGTGGTGGAATTCTCAAGCATGGATACTAGTAGATAGTCAAAAAGGACAGACTAAATCTACGTCTTTAATTTTTGGGTTATGTGCCATACCAAATTCGTATGGAATGCTACTCTATGTTGTACTCGTATCAGCCTATATTCATCTTGTTTTGTGAAATGGAAGAGGGGATTGGTTGATTAGCAAGAAACGCTAGTAAGGGAACATGAGAAAGAGCGAGATTATGAGAGTTTATGCATTGGCCTCGTTGAAGTATCGTTCGGCAGCTGGATCCAGACGGACTTGGTGCGTCGGAAGCGCCTCGCCATTCTCTGACCCATCGCTGGACATGTTGCTCGCCTCTTCGGCGCATCGAGTACAATCACAGGCAAAGCCCCAGCCACGCGCGAGCTCGAGCCGTCTATGCTTGCGAGCGTCGGCGAGGTTCTTGTCCTTGGATCGTTTTTTAGTATCAACGTAGGACACGGTAATTTCTTCTCCCGCTTTGATGTCCTGTGCTGCGACGATAGAGAGCTCTGCTGTTCCACTTGCAAATACGGGACGAGCCGATGGGGCACACGAGTGGTTGATCTACAGACGAAAGGTAAGTGCGAATTCGTGGGTAAGGATGAAATCCTTACATAGGATGCAACGCGATAGAGCGCACTACCAACTTGGTGCATTGTCCCATGAGGCGTCCTTGTCCGCTCAAACGACTCCGTGGGGCCATGCGGCGAAGGCTTTGGAGAGTGAAAAGACGTCTGCATCGATACTTTTCAACGTACCTTGTTCGTGCGACCCGTATCATAGGTCACACCATAGCAGTTGTACGCCATTTTGCCTTTCAGCAACATGAAACGCTCGTCATCCAAAAACGCTTCCATGCCATCCACAGCCAACCGCAAAACTTCTCTACTTTGAGCAAGTTCTTTTTCGTCTTGTGGACCCGATGTGAGGACAAGAGACCGCAAGCGCTCGGTGTAGTCGTAAAACGAATAGTTTAGTTTGCTCTCTTCCTCGACCTTTGGCAAGCCATCATCAGTTTTATTCTCACCCACAAGCCTCGCATGCTCGTCGGCAATCAAACGTCCAACAAAGCGGAGTACGAGCAAGGCACCCGTCTTTCCGCTCTCCTTGACCGTCTCGACGAATTGCTCTTGCGCCTTTTTGCGTTCTTCGACTTGAGCCTTTGTACGAACGGGTGCTGGGTTTGAGGGTGTCGCTGGAGGAATGGTGCTAAAGAGCAGAGTTTGGTATTGCTCTTCGGCATCATGTTGACATTGAGTCGAGCAATATGCCGAGTGGAAGGGATCCAATGGTACTTGTATGGCCGAGCCATTGGGGATAGCTTTCAAACAATACGAGCAGTATTGGCTTGTACCCATCAAGTCTGCGTCTAGCGCAGTCACCATTGGCTTTTCCTACGGGATTATCAATACGAGCATCAAAGTAGCTCCCAGATGAATGGTACCGTGAAAATAGTATCCCCTGCTTTAAAGTCCTTGGTTGCAACCAGAGTGACTCTCTGAAGAGGGCTCTTTTCCTTTTCTCCGATCTTTGAGACCTGGACTTGGACGTTCATATTCTTTGGCGGAAAGTAATCATGATAGACTTGAGAAAGCTTGTAAACTCAATCTCATTGGGATACCCTCAGGGCTTACCATCAGCCTTGTGCTTGACCTAGCGATGAAGTAATTAGAGTCTATTCATGACGTGGGATGTGGAGAGAGACGTAGATGATAGATACAACGTCGTGCTATCAAAGGGCGGCCAAAGGAGAGCCGCCGTAATTTACCAGCGCGGGGTAAACGGTTGGTGTCTAAGAGGTCGAGCTGGAGAGGGATGCGATGGAAGCGTCTGGTTCGGTGACGTTGTCCCATTCTTGAGAGGATGTCTCGGATGGAGGTCCTCTGGACGAGGTGCCCGTACGACGGCTGCTGCTCTTCTTTGGCCGCTTCTTTGACGAAGACGACGATGCATCCGCACCAGGTGAAGCAGAATCACTCACATCGCGACTCATGAGATCCATCACGACACGGAACATATCTTCTGGTAACGTCTTTTCCAAAATCATGACGAGCTGCAAGGGCTCAGGGTAGACGCGAATGGCACGGAAGAAGGACAGTGCCGCTGGGAGGACGAGACCTTTGTAAAATTATCAGCAAGGTGTTCGACCTCTATGGCGTGCCTCAACCAGCACGCCTAGCAGTTTTCAGACTTGCCTTGTGACGCGAGTTGCTCGCCGACGGCAAGGTTGGACATGAAGTATTGCTCCTTTTCTGACGCAGTTACAGGAAGTGTTTCGTTGCGCACGAGCTGGAGAGCCTCTTCGATTTCTGCATCGGACGGCAGGGGACCTCCAGACGCAGACGAGGCGGTAGTTGAAGCTTTTGTAGACGCAGCAGAGCGATCTACACGCTTCTTTTCTTTTCCTGCAGCGAGTGTGAGCTCATTCTGGACGCGGAGAACACGATGAAAAAGACGTACGGAGTTTCTTTCGAAACTGGGGGTCGTTTCTCCTCGCATAGTCGAAATAAATAGCATAACTTGCTATTCCCAAGACGACTGCAACCGTGCCGATTGTCAATATTTGCGAAGTCGATGGCATACTATAGAGGTCGGAGTCTAGGTTGTAGAGATGCCGTGCAGCCTTGGCCCCTTACTCATAAATTGCCATGAGCCCCCATCGGACTTAGACTCTTCTTCTTTCCGTGTCGACGTGTCCCGCAGCGTCTATACTCTTGGACTCTCCCACAACTCATGAAGCGTGCCGTCGACCTTTCAGAGGCGTTCCTCAAGGTCTCCTTTGAGGAGATTGAGAACACAGACGCCAGTGAAACAACCACCAAGGAAGGTGACAAGATCTACAGCGACTGGCAGAAGGAGAATGGTGCTCAAGTCATGGATGCCGCGTTTGTCCTAACCAACATTCTGCGAGAGCGCTATCCAAAGCATTCGTGTGTCAGAGTTTCCAATCCGTGGATGTTCCCCGTCCTCCAGTTTCCGGATATGATGCAACAGGTCAGTTCACCCACACTTACTTCGACTCACCATACTAAGCTTCTGCAGCCACTCCCGGATGAAACTATGGACCTCCTGGTCGCCGGGTTCACGCCCTTTCTGCGTAGGACTGGTCGAAAGGGTGGTCTACTCAACATGTCGGTCAACTTTGGAGGCTTCATGGCAGCCTGGCGTCAGTACGATTTCATCATCTATCATGCAATTGTACGTGTTCACTGTGCCACATTTAATATTCTAATTAATATCTAGTTTCCTATGGGCATGTACAAGGACACGAACTTTTGGGTTCTGCACCAAGGACCAACGATCCCCATCTACGAATTCCTCAGCGCCGTTGGCACGTGGTTCCAAGAACTTCACGAGGAGATCCTTGTCTTTGAACAAGGCATGTGGACAAAGGACGGCAATTTGTATCAGCAGATCCAAAAGGCACATTGGGAGGACGTCATTCTCAACGACAAATTCAAGACTGCCATTCGTCGTGATATCAGCGAGTTTTTCAAGAGTGAGGCAGTCTATAAAGACTTGGCAGTACCGTGGAAGCGTGGGCTGTTGTGTACGTCCTGAGTCTCGTTTCATAACTCTCGCTAATGAGTTACAGTCTACGGTCCGGCTGGTAACGGAAAGACGGTGTGTTGCATCCTGATATTCACGCGGTATTCTGACCTCGTGGCAGATCTCGCTCAAGGCTGCCATGCACGAGACGGACAAACCTATCTTATATGTTCGAAATCTGATCAGTGCGCATTATGAGCTCTGTCTCATGTATACTGATCATTAATACAGGCTGGATGGGGGAGGAATATGCCATATCTATGGTCTTTGGAATGGCGCGTGCGTGGAGTCCTTGCATCCTAGTGTTCGAGGACCTGGATTCTCTTATCAACATGCGGTGGGTTAGGCTACACATATACAATGCATTCCTGATCAGCTTGCAGCAACCGGTCCTACTTCCTGAACCAGGTTAGCAAACAACTTTTGGAGGCGCCGCTTTACCCATGGTTGAAAGGTCGATGGCGTAGAGTCCAACGACGGCATCATGATGATCGCCACCACTAATCACCTGGAGCAAATCGACGGCTCAGTCTATAGGCCATCTAGGTTCGACAGGCAATACTTGTTCGATATTCCAGACGAGGAAGAGCGTCGTCTCTACTGCGCATACTGGCAAAACAAATTGGCAAGAAACGATCGCGTAGATTTCCCAGACAAACTCGCCGACGAAATTGCCAAGCTCTCCGACACGCTCTCCTTTGCATACCTCAAGGAAGCATTGTAAGTGGAACAGCATCTCCTCGAATAACTGTTATTCTAACGGCTCACCCTCCAGTGTCGCGACGCTGATCCGAATGGCCGGTGATCCTGACGTCAAATTTGCAGAAAACTTGCGAGAACAGGTCAAGGAGCTCAAGAAACAAGTTGGTCATCGCTCTCAGATTGTACCGCAAGTTCCAGAGGGCCCATCCATGTCGGCTGCAGTGTCCGAACTCGGCTCGATCCGAGAACTTCTTGTTCGCATGACCGGGGGAGACATGCCTAGAGGGCTCACGACCGAGACTGTCGTGCCCTCCAGTAACTTGGGTTTGTACAGATGGAAATAAGCTGCAATATGTACTCGTGTGTAATGTTTCCAGTGGAATCCTCATCATGAAAACGGGAGCGTGTCATCTTTATTATGAAAGCTCAAGAAATGCCCAGGATTATCAGAAGGAATCCATAAGCTAAGGCAGCGCATGAAACCCGGGAAATTAATCAGAACTCACTGAAACAGGAAATACAAGAATTTGAAGCAACCCGTGGCCTTACCGTGAATGAGAGCAGACCAATGAAGCCGCTGTCGTGTCCGCTTGCCAGCGCCACCGAGACTTGGTGTCAATCAAGGCGAGAGAGGGCAGAGATGGCAGACATTGTGGCACTAGATAAAACCTGAGCTCGCCGTCAATACTCCTGATATGTCTGGTCATTGGCCTGGAGATTTCGTGGACTGGACCGGGCAGGACCGAGTGCTGGCAAGCGGATTGATAATATGACGGTCTTGTATTCGATCAATATCGATCGGAATGGGATGTTCGGGGTCCCTTTTTCCGAGCTGGTCCACGGTCTCTTGTTGAGATCGGCTCGCCAGGTCTCGAACAAGGGAGGGCTTCGAATCCGCCACACCTATATATGACGGACAAGCGTCGCATCTTTTCGCTTAGCCATTTTACAACCCTAAAAAATGAGTACTATTCCAGTAAGTGGAGAGAAAATGCGTGAGAATGTGACTGACTCGCAGAAGGTCGAAGACCTAAGTGAGACCCTTCGAGGTCTCACTTCATGTATTGAACTGGCGATGAAGAACCTGTATGATCTTCAAACTGCAACCATCAACGCTACTGGCGAGACAATCTTCGCCATGCGGAGCGCTACAAGCAAATTAGAACGGAACTCAAATCCCAGTGGGGATATATAATCACGCTTCTGAATAAATGTCGTTCGTTTGGAGCAGATGTGCAACTCCTGCGCACATCCCTGTTGACGGCTACAAAGAGTGACATTGGGGATCTTCTCGAGGAAATGCTGGCCAAATGCAAGCAGGATGCCACTATGGCTGCGCAGTTGACAGCTGGCCACAGTAACGTGCTCGCGGTGTATCTCCAGTACCGAGACAACTTCCGGTACCATCTCGACCACCCAAAGGTACAAGCGACAGCTCCAAACCATATAGGAATGTCCTCTCTAAATGTTGTACAGTCACAACCTATGAAGTCATTATTGTTCAAGTCCTCTCGACACCAGCCCACTGGTGCGTACCTGATTTCCATGATGAAGAACCGCTTATGCTTGAACAGGACCTACGGGAAGCCCCCAACCAAAGCTCTTGGAACATGGTTTTTTTGAGGATAGTATTGCGAGCCTCCATCCGGACGGAAACCAGGCCATGGCGGCGTTTGAATCAGCCATGGAGGAAATACACGCCAATCTTTCACGATTGTCCATTTTCCTTACGGCCCAACACCTCTTCTGCCAGCGCGGCCTGGACTCACTCTACCACCCGTCTCACAGCCTGACACCGAGACAACTTCAGGAATATGCCGACAGCTGGGTGACTTATCAGAGTGCACTAATGAAAGCAATCAAAGACATTACTAGGACATGCGATGCAGTGATGATCGACGCCGTTGGTGCTCCTCATCACACTCCTACTTCACCGCCGGAGGAGGCACTTGCACCGTGGAATGTCGTTCGTAGTGCAATCCCATTCCTTGCCCGGGTTGGAAGGCCTGTCGAGGGCCATCGACATGACAATGAGAATGACGACGTGGAGATTGATATCACCATTACAGCAAGAGTGGTTCCACACAATGGGAATTGATAATTCATCACTCTTTTCTTTTTTACATTTTGTTCGTAAAGACTGTAAAAGGTTCCCGATGCATGGTATGGCCGAAGTGGTGAACAAGCCTTGATCCACTCACAGGCCCGCCGGTCGGTCATAAATAGCTTTTAACACTCTGTACTTTACGCCTTCGATATATTGGTGTTTGAAATCACAACACCTTTAGACCTTGGAAGCCCAACAATCACTAGTAGAGATGCTGTAATTGCTGTTACGGAACGCAGTGAAATCTATGCAGAAAGAGTAGGAATTGACATAATGACTCACATGCGCCACGTCGAGAAGCTGACGCGCCACCATAGACTGGTCCGCTCGACGGTAGCGGACCATACGGTGTCGTATATGACCGACGACCTCTCGCTACCGTACGGAACCGAAGCAAATAGAATGTCAATTATGGGTAGGGTTAGGGTCGACGAGGATTCGACGTCAACACCTTGTCATCCGTCCGCTACTCCGCACCAGCCAATCGTCTCCCATCCCCTATGCCCTCTGCTCGCTGACTCTCATATCCGTTTGATATCCGTAGATATTGCAAATGACTCGATGGGTCTCGAAACAGTATATAAGGACCGATTTTCGCGTGTACATTTCGCTAGTTCTGAATCTGCTTTCGTTCCCTTCAAACCCTCTCACAAACTCTCGCTTAGTACTATATTCACTACGTGAGTTGTACATTCCCACCCGGGCCTTCCACCTGTCAGACGAACCGCCGCGCGATTCGTAACAGTTGCTTCGCTTTCACAACTAAATCTGCACATACACCTAGACACCTGGAAGGTCTACCAAATCTCGCTCCAAAGGTACCAAGTCTTTTGTCATCATGATTTGGAGCCCTTGCTCGCCCGAGAATGCTGCCGAAGGTTAAATGACTGTCACGCTCCAGAAATCGGGATCCAAGTCTGTGGAATTTCAGCCAACCAGTGGACGAATACGAGAGCGACACGAGAATGTGCGTACTCGAGCCTTCCAGATCTTTGGTATTGAATCGAATCTGATATCGGACGCATTCTAATCCAGGCCGAAATCGAAGTAACCATCGTGCTGGTTGCATTACACGGTTCGATAACAAAGATACGCTAAATACATTCAGTGGAGAAACGCCTTACTTTATGATTGGATTTATATCAATGGCGAGCTTCACTGCATTGAAAACGGACCAATATCTAACAGTCTGATCCAATTAGCAAGCCCCGAGGAGCGTACCAATTCCTAGCTTGAGTGCAGCACTAGTTCTCGATGGAGGAAGGATAGAAGTCCTGTAGTCTCGCAATCTGTTTAGAAAATTAATGCACGAAGCGGCGGCTGAACGACTCTTGCTTACGCCCGTTTTGTAATCCAGATACCTTTTAGATACTTCACACCATTGATCCCGGATGGGTTTCACCCTGAGCCTTGCGAAATAGTCCCCCTGGATAGCCTCGACACGAACGAATGTCTTCAAGAATGCCATCGACTCCAAGCCACCAATCAGCCATTTTATCGATGTGACTCCCGAGTTTTTCGAGATCAGAGGTCATTCTTCCAAGTTGATCCATCGCATCGACGCAGGTTTGTACCTGGGTCTCTGAATCTGATATCCCATTATTGACACACAATCTTTGGATAAGATGGGGCATACCTTCACGCCTCAATTCGTAATGACGGCCTACGAGACCGGCAGCGAGCGTTGCTAGTGGCAGAAGGATGGGAAGAACGAGAAGTGCAGGAGGGAAAGCTGCTCCAGCTATAGCGATTCCTGTCGCCATGGTGGCGCTCATGGCCCCGAATGAGAGCTCTAGTGTCTTGTAAAGCTCAATGCGGTCCCTGCGTTTGCTTATAAGCCTGTTCTGGTACTCCATTTCTTGATCAATCCTGGTTAAAGTAGTGGGTATGTTTTTTGTGATCTGATGTGTGAAAATGAGCCATTTTCCTGATACCAACGTCTCGCTCACCATATAAAAGTTTTGCCTATTCTTTCGAAACATGGCGGCTGTCGCGTTTGCATCAGCATGAGCCTTTCGAGCAATGACTCGCATATCATCAATGAATTCTCGAATTTCATGGGCTGAGTACGTTCCTTTGGGCTCCATGAGAAAGTCGCAGAGAGCTTCGGCATCTTTGGCGAATGAGTAGCCAGATTGAGCCGTCTGTAGTGACCCATTGACAGCGTTATAGTAGCGCTTTACTTCGTTTCTAACTTTACCGAGGATTTCTTGGACCTCGGGATGGCCTGACCTGCAATGCGACGTCAAACCGTACACTAGAAGAGCAGAGACGTGCACCTTGCATATGTCCAAGGCTCTATGAGCTGAAAACTTTCGTGAGTAGCTTTGGTAACGGCTTGCGTCGTGTTGTCAGTCCCTTGCGAAGCCAGGGAGTTAAAGCGAGAGAGAGCAGTGAGAGTAGACATGAGGATTTGAGTAAATCCTAATTCCTCCTTGATGCTGCTGATAACTCTGATCCATGGTCTAGATACCTTGCAGACTGGACCGGCCACGACCGAATGCTGGCAGGCGGATTGGTCATACAGAGATAACGTGACGGCATTTATTATCGATGTGAACTGAATTTCGGGACCCCTTTCTCCGAGCTGTTCTATCGTCAGCCATTGGAATCGGCTCGCCAGGCCTCGAATCATGCGCGAGGGTAGGTCTTCGAATTCGAGACGTATATATGAGAGACAAGTGTTGCATCTCTTTCCTTGATCGTTTCATACCCTTGCGGATGAGTACAATTCATGTAAGCAGCGAGAAAGATTATGAAAATGTGACTGATTCGCAGTAGATGGAAGACTTAAGTGGGACTCTCCAGAGTCTCACGTCGTGCATCGAGCTAGCGATGAAGAGCCTGTACGATCTTCAAACTGCGACTATTAATGCCAATGGCGAGAACAATCCTCGCCATGCTGAGCGCTACAAGCGAGTTAGAGCGGAGCTCAGAGCGCATTGGGAACACATTACCTCGCTTTTGAATAAATGCCGCTCATTTGGAGCAGATGTGCATCTCCTGCATGCTTCGGTGACTACCGCCTCAAAGGATGATATCAGAGAGCTTCTTGAGGAGATGTTGGCCAAATGCAGGCAGGACGTTGATATAGCTGAGCAGTTGATGGCTCGCCATGATAACGTGCTAGGATTATATGCCCAATATCGAGACAGGTTCCGGGACCATCTTGACCACCCAAAGGTGCAAGTAACTCCTCCAGGCCGTATACGAGGGTCTCCTTCACATGCTGCCAGGTCGTCTCGACGACAATCCACCGGTGAGCGCCGTCATCCTGTTACGGAGACCACTTAAATTTGAACAGGTCCAACGGGTCCTCCCCAATCTACGCCCTTGGGACCTATAGCCAGTTTTGTCGAGGACAGTATTGCGAGCCTCTATCCGGACGGAAATCAGGCCATGGCGGAGTTCGAATCGGCCATGGAAGGAATACATGCCAGTCTTTCGCGGCTATCCAGGTTCCTTAAGGACCAAATTTTCGTCTGTCAGCGTGGCCTCGACTCACTCTACCACCCTTCTCATAATCTGACGCCAAGACAATTTCAAGAATTTACCGACAGCTGGGTGACTTATCAGGGCGCTCTAATGAAAGCAATCCAAGACATTACCAGGATATGCGACGCTGTGATGATCGATGCCGTTGGTGCTCCGCGACGCCCTCCTAGTCCACCAGAAGAGGAGGAGCTGTCACCATGGGAGGTCATTCGCAGCACAGTCCCGCGCTTCGCTCGGGTCCGGAGGCGGAGTGTTGAGACAACTGGCTATCGACATGATAGCCATAGCGGCAAGACGGAAATTGGCATCACCAGTAGGACACCACATAGTGAGAATTGAGAATGCGCTGTCCTGTATTCTTGTACAGTTCGCTTGGAAAGACTTCTTGTTTATCGAATACTTTGTCACCGGTTAAGGAGAATGGTCAGGTCAAAGTGGTGAACGAAACCTTGATCCACTCGTCGACGGCTCGGCGGGTCTGAGACTGTATTGCAAATATTTAATGCTTATATTGATGTTACAATATTATGACAGCTGAATCTTGGGAAATATCAAACCGACCGACATACAGAACGATGACTTTTGTCCACTTTTCAATCAGTTATTCTCAGTCGAGCTACCTGCAAATAGAGCGAGGTCAGCATTCTTCACCGATGGACTGACGCTACGACTCACCTCTTGCGTGTATCGTAAATATTCCCCTCTCAGCTTGAACCATCGCTTTCGCAACTGGATGAGGCGGAGCTTATGGTACCCGTCCCCTTGAATGATCTCAACATTTTCGGCAATAGAGTTGAGAGCGGTCTCGACTTCGATCCACCAATTCGTGAGGCTCTCGATGTGGTGAGCCATGTGCTCAATGCTGCCGGATAGTTGAGACAGAACCACGCGGGAAGCGGCGCATTGATTCGCTTGGACCATGCTGTCTACGTAATCATGAATTTGGACGCAGTGGTTTCAAGCCACAGTACCTCACCTTGCATTACCCAGCGTGCTTCGGCACGCTTTCTTTCAGCCTTTTCAATGAACCAAGGGATACCGAGCGGGAAAAGAATAGATTTGACGATTGCAGAGGCTTTTGCGTCAGACTTGGCTTCTTTTGCCTGTGAGTATCTATGAGCTTGGAACAGCTCATGATGCAGCAGTTGAAATTGGTTCATGGGAATCTGGTTTGCTAGCTGGGATAGGATGTCTCAGGTGCGCTGTATCTTCTTAGTGGTATGATTTTGACTGACCTCATTGAGGCTTCTCCTGGATTCTCGAAACGACAGGGTCGTTGCGTGTGCTTCCTGTTGTGCCTGTCTCGCTACCTTCTTCATATCATCGATATGTCGTCTAATGCGGAACGTCGGAGTAGACTTGTCCAACAGGTATGTACACAGCTGCTGAGCCTGTTCCGCAAACCTTGCACCAGAGCTGGCGGCGCCAGCAGAGTCTTTGACATTGGCACAGTACTGCCAGACCTGCTGTTGCAATGTCGCCAGTGTCCCCTGTACGACTGGGAGGTCGGATCTAGTTTCCGTCAACCGTAGCAATAGAAAGATTATCCCTAAATGTTACCTAGCATTGACCCATGGCTGAATTGCGTCTATGCTCTCATGCACGGCATTGGCAAAGCCGTCCAAGTCGATATCAGGGGCCATAGAAGAGATAGCTCGGGTGATTTGCACGGCATTAGAATGCGGGGGGAAGAAAAAGGGATTATCCATCGTAAGGTGCTAGTATCAAGGTAGAGGTCAGTTGGGGGTCGACTGCTCTCGCTGAGAGCTATGTAGAACCACGGCTTGGCCTAGGCGAGTTCTCGATTCCGCCTCCAGAACCAAAAATTCATCGAGCACTACGTCTTCTGGAAGCCTTGCGGGTGTCTCTTAGAAGGGATTTCGACAAGACGAGTTCGCTGGTTCTACGGCAGCTCGCCGCTCAACGATCAGCAGCATCAAATCGAGTTCATACTCACAACTAGGAGTCCGAGTCCCTCGCATAGTCACTGATCAGATGTCTGTGCTGGCACGCAAGTGGTCGAGGCCATGCCTAGTAACTCGCGAATTGAATCCCAAACGCTTGATCGATTATTCTCGAGCATACCAAATGATCTTAGGAATATCGTGCCATCCAATACCGGGAGCCTCTAGAATCCATTCAATGTAGCACTTGAAGATTGAAGGGGTCATGGCAGCTCAGTGGTCTTCTCTTGCCTGATCATACCGCTCGTCGTGGAATTCTTGTTCTTGAAGCAGTTGTTCCCTGTTTGCATTTTTTTTTTTTTTTACAATCTGGGCGTCTCGTGAGTCATCTATTGTCTATAATAGCTGTAGCGCACCTCATTGAACCCTCTCCTAGCCTCTCGGAAGGATCCGCAGGTTAATTGAGCTTCTTGTTGGGCTTTCCGTGCGAGTACCTTCATGTCATTGATATGCTGCTTGATTTTGTATTCCGGGCAGGATTTGTCCAGGAGGTATGTACAGAGCTGTTGAGCCTTTTTGTTACGGACCAGCCCGCAAGACCCACGTCATCTGGATGACTCGTATATGTCAGTATGAGTCACGAAGAACGAGGATAATCACTTACCTGACTCACGATGCGCGGCCGGCCGTGGCCAGCTTTGGCCACTACGAGCGGGAGCTTGTATGTGGACGGCTGCGCACGACTCGCCCGTATCAAGAGTCATCTCTATAGGTGACTCGTTATATATATGACATGATATAAGATGTCGGATCGCTGTCTCGTCTCGGACTCCTCTTGTCCCTTCCTCCAACTCCCGCCAACCCTATGCCCTCCAACGTAGTCCCGCTACCGACTACTGGTTCCGAAATAATGCTTACATAAGCTTATCGAAAGGTATAAAAGGACCCGATTTTCCATGTAACATTCGCTAGTCTGATGTCTGACTCCCTCGCCCAGTTTACGCGTCATATTACAGTAAATAAGTACCTCACGTCGAGGAATAATCTAAATTAAACCATTGCTAGACCTGTCCTGACCCTACTCGGGACTCCGCCAGTCAGAAAGACGTGGGTATCGTCTTTTAACACTTTTCTGCAAAAGGTGCCCCAGAGTTGGCGGTATTCAGAGAGCCTTTGACTGCAACAGATTACTGCTGAACGCGGCTTTGTAGGGATGCTACAGTGTTCTGAACCACCGGGAGATTAGAGCTAGCCGCGTTAGCGACCTCTTGCCAGGGGAGTCATACAGCACTACCTGGCTCCTATCCAAGGCTCAATAGCGTCAATAATCTCATGAACGGCATGAATCAGGGCATTCATGTCCATGTCTTGTGTATCAAGAGGGGATAATGCCTCCTGGACCCGAGCAGCATCATACCGAGAAGGGATACTGGACGAGATACCCATTCTATGAAGCGAGTCCAATAAATGTCGTGGCTTAGCTCTGTCGAAGCTAATATAGTCCCTCGCTGGAGGCCAAGTGTCACTTTGTCATTCACATTTGACGAGAAGAGGGACGCTGGATGCTTTGGCTGGTATCTCGATCGATGCCGGTCACCCGCGTACACTTCATACCGCATTCAAGAGAGGTGCAAACCCCTCATACCTCTGATCAAAGCATGGTCATCCAATCCGAGGCACGAACAGCCTTGACTAGCCTTTGACGCCAGGCCCGTCCCCGAGTGGCCAGCGCTGGCAGTTAGGCCTTTCGAGACAGATTACGAACCAGTGATATTCCACAGGACGAAGGATTTGTCGAATTCACTCCTCGCCATCCCCAACCACATTCAGCTACTATGGCCACGCACAACGAGGACGGCGGCAGCGCCAAGGTATCTCTCGACATGAGCAGTTTTTGCACTCCTAACCCTTGATTAGTTGGAATTTTCGTCACTACTGCGCATTATTCCAACCAGCATGGAGCATGCCACAAAGGGGCTGTATGATCTTCAGACAGCTGCCATCAACGCCAATGGCGAGAGCCCTCCAAGAGATTCTGAGACATTCAAGCGCATCCGCGCACCACTGAAGGAGCAATGGGAGGCAATAGCGCAGCTGTTCAGAAAGTGCATCTCACTCGGTAATGACATCAAATTACTTCAGAAATATGGTACCGGTGCCGAAAAGGATGAAATTGTCGTCATATTAGGAGATATTTCGACCAAAGGACAGCAGTGTGCCGGACTTGCCTTACAGCTTGCAAATGGTCACGACGCGGTTGTAGAGCCATACTTTTCGCAGAGAGAGGCCTTCCAGAAGCAGCTTGATCACCCAAAGGTGAAAGTAGATGTCCGACAGTCTCAGCCTACGACCCCTCAGCCGGCCAGCGCGGGTAGATCATCCAAAGTGACGGCAACAAGGAGTAAGTGAACCTGATCCAGTACTATTTTCTTAACAAAATTCTCTAGGGGCCTCACAAGAGGAGTTTACAATCGACCCTCTCGAAGCATTTCTTGCAGAGTCCGGCAAAAGTCTGTACCCTGATGGGCTGCGGGCCATGGCGCTGGTCCAGAACTCTTTCGATAGTATCCAAGACCATCTATTTACTCTCTCAAATCTTCTCCACCAGCAATCAGAGACATACGATCGATTCCTCACAAAAGCCAAGTCGACTTTGGACGAACCAACGATGAAAGAGGCTCAGGATATGGCACAGAAGTGGGAAATGTATCGAAAGGATCTCACAGAGGTGGTCAACGACGTCTTCAAGATATGCGACGCGATCATGGTCGACGCGACGGGGGCCCCACCTCCAGTCAATGCCACCCAGATGATAGGTCATGAAGATTCAGCGAACGAGTACCCAAAGGGAGGAGTAAGGGATCACCCGCGTGGCATCTTCAGCCGTCTTCTCAAGCTTTTTGCTAAGAGAGACACATCGAATGACGCACGTTGATGTACTCAATATATATCTGTTTACGTTAGATGAATTACCGTTTCATCGAGGTACGAGGCGGAGCCTGAGCACTTGGACACGACCAAACATTGGATCATGGCCAGATGCCATCTAAACCGCGTCGAGTGAAACGCAAAATAGCACAATGCATTCTTTCTCCCTTGGAATGACCCACTAGAAACGCCTGAGCATGATTTGAGGAGAGATTCATTGTTTCTTCCCCCGAATCGGAGTATGGTTCAACGTTTGACGAGTGAAAGAATGGATTTGTCAACTATATCGGAAAATTTCGCAATCAATGCGGTGGTCGGAGCTGCGGACGGCGGTTCTCAACACCCAGTGAGACCATCAGGAAACCGTCGACTGGGTGAGCAATATTATTTGACAAGCGGTTGGCTATAAAAACGGCGGAGAATGATTTGTCAGGCGCTTGTTGTCTCTCTGGCCTATATCGAGCCCCTGTCGCACCTTCCACGGCATCCAACCTCGCCTTGAACAATGCCGACTTTAGAAAGCAAGAATTCTCCATCTAACGAGGTAGATAAAGCCAACGTTGGAATCACACAGACTACCGACGAGCGCACTACTGACAATATCGTGGACACAGATGTTGAGAAACAACAGCCAAATGTGACCAAAGAGCAAAAGGATAAACTCCCAGTGCCAGACCTTACTTGGAACAACGGCTCTACCGCGTGGTTGACCGTCTTCGGCGCATGGTGTATCCTCTTTTGCACATTTGGGTTGACAAATGCCGTACGTCCATCCTATAGTTTTGATTCACCTCCTTATATTTCATAGTATGGCATCTATCAAGACTTTTACGTTCGCCACTTTTTGACAAACTACACGCCGTCTGCAATTGGTTGGATCGGTTCAGTCCAGCTCTTCTTCCAGTTTTCCCTTGGACTCGCCTCTGGGACACTCTTTGACCGTGGCTAATTCTATCCAATGATGATTGGCGCTTGCATGCGCTACATACTCTCGTGCTACATGCTATCCCTCGCACACGTCAACACATATTATCAAGTACTTCTCGTCTAAGGTTTCGGCGCCGGTATCGCGCTCAGATTTCTCTTTGTCCCCGCGATCAGCGTCATTGCACATCACTTTCGTCGACGCAGGAGCTTTGCAATGGGGATTGCGATCAGTGGAAGCAGCTTTGGTGGCGTCGTTTTCCCTATCATGCTCAACAGGTTGATCGAGCAACGAGGATTCGCAGAGGCGACAAGGTCCACGGCATATCTGTGTACGGGCTTGATGGCGATCGCGTTGTTGTGCATGCGTACCAGATTGCCACCTCGGAACAAGGTGCCTAGACCAACACATGGAGAAGAAGCACCCTCTCCGCCACCAGCCGTCCTGGACCTCCTCAAGGATACCAAGTACATGATCACTATTGCTGCGTAAGTGGGACTACCTTTGCAAAAAATTCTCGACTAACCTTGTTTCAGTAGGTTTGTCAACATTCTCGGCATCTTCACACCAAGTGAGTTTTTCGTCCTCTTGAGGTTGAGCGTTACTGACAATGGATAGTATTCTACATGCAGCTATACGCGGTGAACCACAATGTCGACTGGACCCTTGCACTTTACCTCCTCACCATGCTCAATGCGGGCTCCATCATCGGACGTATCGCACCCAACTTTATCGGCGATATCTGGGGCCCATTCAACACTATTATTGTATGCACAATCGCCTGTGCTGTGCTCGTCATATCTCTCCTCGCTGCAAATGATGCAGCAGGCATCATTGTCGTCGCAGTGCTCTACGGTATCTTTAGCGGTGCCCGTAAGTCCTGTTCACTCCATCTCAATGATTGCTGACAAAGGTCTAGACATTTCGTTGATTAGCCCGCTCTTTGCCAGTCTCTCGCGGAGTATTTCGGAGATTGGGATCCGTCTTGGATTGACATTCACCGTTGTTGCGTTTGCTGGACTTGCGTGTACACCCATCATGGTTGCGCTTCTCACCGACGAGCTCAAATGGAATCGGCCAATTGGCCTCTCAGCTGCACGTCCACTTTTCTCTTCTTTTTGATATCGTGCTGACAATGATCTCAGGGATTCATGTTTCCTGGTTTCTTCCTTCTCATTGTAGCACGGATGATCACTGAGAGAGAGAGAAGAAGACGTGGAAGGTGTAAGAATTGTGATTGGGAAGAAGAGCCGTCTTGTAGCTACGTTGGTAATTAGGAATCAATTGTTGGACATGAGGAATGATCCTCGAGCTACTTTGCAGTCGTTTCATCTTATTTCTGTTGCTTGGATGGCTTGCGCCACCAACACTCACAACTTGGTTTCTGCTCTCTCGCACGTCCGAGACGTCTCTAGTTTACAACTTTGCTAATCAGTTCACAACTCTTTTACTAGTAGGATAAACTCGATTTTGCCGTTCTACCGCGAGATTGACGCTCTGCAGTCTATTGACTATTATCGTTTCCTCCTAATCCAGCCTTCCGACGTCGACGACAATCGTTTCATCGTTTATACAATGCCTCCGAGACATCAAACCTGGACACGATTCATCCCGTTGCTGGTCGTGACATTGTCCCACTCGGTCACGCACTCCTCGGCCCTACCGACCGAGTTTCGCCTGTTTCCAAACGGAATTAACCTCGGAAACATTCTAGAATCGCTTCAACACGCGTTAGTAGGGTCATCAGCACAAGCCAACGTGACCGCCTCTTCCGAACCCGCAAACGCGGCAATGGCGCTAACCAGCATCAACGAGTTTGATGAGCCTAGTTTGACAGAGTATCCAAACGGTGGGGTTGGTATCATTTACTCTGTAGGCAAGCCAACTCCGCTCGTCGTAACCGACCCGTCGTCTTCGTCGTTGTTGCAAGAGGCGGTTTCCGAGGACAATCCATCGTTGACAAATGCGGATCAAACGCAGCCCACGTCATCGGCAGACTTGTTTCGTAGTACCGCCGATGTCACTAGTCTGACAGACGCCGTTGTTGCAGCCTATTATGCAGATTGGGCAGTTGATCAACTCGCACCCGAAAATGTCGACTTTACACGCTTTAATTGGATCGACTTTGGTAATTGTTCATTTTTTTGCGGGCTGGGTTGTTACTGATTTCATTTGGTGCCTGTTGCTAACCAGCCTTTGCGATTCCAAACGAAAAGTTTGAGCTCGAGTTTACACAATCGAATTCGGAAGACGTGCTCCGTCGACTCGTGTCCAGTGCACACGGCCAGGGTCGAAAGGTCAAGTTGAGCATCGGAGGATGGACGGGGAGTCGATTCTTTTCTCGTGGCGTCCGCACGATTCCAGCACGGTCAACGTTTGTCAAGTCTATCCTCCACACGTACGAAAAGTTTGAACTGGATGGGATTGACATTGATTGGGAATATCCGAATGGAGACGGTGCTGGAAACGAAAAGTCGTCCAAGGATACTGCCAATTTTCTCAAGTTTCTTCAGTTGTTGAGGAAATTGCTCCCAAACGAGGCGACGCTCACTGCTGCCGTGGCGCTCACGCCGTTTGCAGGTTCGGATGGACAACCGCTTTCGGATGTTCGGGAGTTTGCGAGTGTGCTTGACTGGGTGGTGATTATGAATTATGATGTTTGGGGATGTGAGTAGGTGTTCATTTCGAACGAGCGCTTGGAAAGACGCTTACCCTGGAGATGCTTAAAATTCGCGCTTAAACAATATTTGCAGCATCGTCATCGCCTGGACCAAATGCGCCCTTGTCCGATGGATGCGGCCGGTCACGGATGCCGTTTGCCAATGCCCAAGGTGGAATCCAAAAGTGGGTCGACGCGGGAATGCCGCACCAGAAGATTGTTTTGGGGGTTCCGAGTTATGGCGTGATTTCACGGTCGGGAGCGCAGCGGCTGGAGAGCCGTGACAAGGATAAACCAAGCGTTGACGTGGACGATGACCAGGAAAGTCGGGACGGAATCCGGTACAGGGATAACCGAAGAGGAATTAGCGCTGGTGAGGAAGACGCGCCGTTGTCATTGTCGGTCGGGATAACCATGGGAATGCTTGCGCGTAACCAGCCTGACGGTCAGACGTCGAGGGGAAAACGAGGCGAGGTCGCAAATGCTGATGGAGGCGATGATCAAGGACAGATTGGATTCCACTCGCTCGTCCGTCAGGGGTTGCTCGTGCGAAACAACGGCGGAGATTATGAGGCGGCGGGGGGATTTGAACGAAGATGGGATACGTGTTCGAGCACGGTGAGTGAACTAGCACTTTGATATTATAATTATTGATGACTGACGGCGGCGGGTTGGGGTTGGACCCTGCGGCAGCCCTGGCTACGAGGCGAGGCCGGGGGCCAGATTGTTTCATATGACGACCCAGTGTCGATGAGACTCAAGGGGGAGCTTGTGAATCGGATGGGGCTACTTGGGATCAATATGTTTGCGGCGCATGGCGACGACGGATGGGCGTTGGTAGACGGAGCTCGAAGGGGAATGGGCGTTGGAATGTGAAACACCAGGGGAATTGCCGTATGATGTGCAGGTTGTGGTCAAGGTAGTATGGCTCGAATAGGCAACGACGACGGGATAAGCGATATTCCCAAATGTGACTAAATGAGATCTCCGGTCAAACGTGTAGAGGCGAGGCCGGGGCATTGAAATGTCAGTGACCCCCAGCCTCTGATAGCGCTGGGCGTGGCCATAAGATGGGAGCTTTGTCGGGAATGATCAAAGGCATTGTTGTCCACTCCCCCCCGACCTTTTTACTGTTGCCCTCTGTGCCGACGTTGCTAATGTCCTTTTCATATGGCGCAGTTCCTCCACCAGACTCTCCACCGCTGAGGGCCATGCCTCTCTCGCCAGCACCTGCACGCACAGACAGACGAGCTAAACGACAGACGACGGCACTCTCGCCTTCCTCCATCGCCACGGGCATGTCTGGCCTCAGCCTGGACGATGACCCACTCGATCTCAACGCAACCACAACGACGGGCAGAAGGAGTGATTCTTCCTTGTCTCGTAATAGCACAATGAGCAGTAAACGAGCGTCTGCTGCACCTGCGTTGCCCGTCCCAAAGATGATCAATTCGTTGCCACCAAATTACCAGCATCCGCCGAGTCCTGCTCCCAGTGCTGCTCCCAGTCTCAGCCACTCGAGTTCGACCCACGACTCTTCCTCTTCTTGTGCATCGTCCATTAAGAGTTCTCGAGCTCCCCGTCTTAATACCGCCGTCGAGCGCACAAACAATTCGAGCGACAGTCTGTCCTCGGAGCCTGTGACGCCCACTGGAACCAGCTTTTCGAGGTCGAGGTGTGTATGTTCATTGTCATTTTATTACTCACTCACATCTCCCCAGGGGAAAGAGCATCTCACGCGCTGTAGGCAAACTCGCCTCGGACTTTCTCTCGCTCAAGGGTGGCAAAAACAAGGACCGGTCCGAACATCCTGAACCCGTCCCTGCGCTCCCAACTGGCCCATTCCGAAAATGAGCCCATCCGTTTTAACCTCGCATGTCCCGCGACGTCGGCTTGAGTCTTTGACCCTGGGGTCGTCTCTCGTCGCGCCCGTTTCACCTTGTGTCTCCTCAAAGAGGTCTCGTGGTCCCACTTTCCTCCGTCGGCCATTGCCGCGAATCAAAGCCCAAAACGTCATCCAGTTTCCGCCTCTCTCGCATTCTCTCAAACATGCCGCTACGTCGGCATCAAAACGTGTTGTTTATTTCTTATCAAGTAATCCTTCTTCTTGGCCCAAACACTCCAACTCCCAATTATAATCAAAGCCCCACCCAGCAACCCACCTACGTTTCATTATAACTTGGCATCCCCCTTCCCCTTATCTATTCGGCAACGACGACTCCCCGGAGATACCCAGCCCAGTATCTCATTTTTGCACCAACTACATCCCATTTGTAGCCCATACTCTCCCATGGCTCGCATCAAGACCCAGTGGCTTCTACGAGCACTGTCTGTCCATCATCATCGACTTCCCACCCAAATGTAGTTGTCAAACCCCCTCAACCCACACTATTCTACCCGTACCTTTAACATTTGCATATCGTCTGTTGTTCGAACAAGCATACCCACACATTATATTCCCCGCCTTGGCCCCCCCCGTCTTCTCGCGCCCGTCCGCCTTAATCTTCTTATGCACACGCACACCACACACACACACACATCATTATGCATGCAGTACGCGAAACAAGTAGTTTTTTTACTCATATTGCAATCAAACCATGTCGACAAACGGAGATTGGGTCAGCGCCACGCGCTCGCCGTCTCCCAGAGTCTGAAAAAAAAATATTTGGACAAATTCCTTACATATTGTGTCGAGCGTAAGCAACGGTCAAGTCGGTCCGTTTGACATTGTGGCTTAAATGATCAAGTGCGGAGTACGCCGCGGCTGTCATTAGGCCCTGTCGAAAACAGAGTTTACCTATTGTCAAAACCAGGGGGTGACATCTCGTATTACAAATGGGCGGTGGACATCTAATATGCGTGAATAGTATATGCGTAGAATACGTCCGGGGTCTCCTCTATGCCGTCGTGACCTTTTGGACAGTCGCATCCTCGGGCTTTTGACGCATCTGACAAGAAAAAACAAAACACATGTTAGTTTGTCATGTTGAAGAGCGTAAGAGAAATGAAACGGGCCGGCGTACCTGGTTCATCCACGAGTGGTCAACCGGAGGATGCTCTTTGCGCTCCTGACGCTCCTTTTGCGAAAGAAGCGCCGTTCCAATGATCATCGCTAGCGTCACTCTACGCCGACGTTAGTCTCCAGATGACGATGGACGTCTTGACGTACCCTTGTGCAAACACTCGGACTTGGACTATCCGTTGTGAGACAGTTTGTAATCTACAAAGTTGATTAGAAATTTGGATAACCCCCCCCCAAAAAAAAAGAATGCCTACTTGTCGCGACTGATATACGCCCACGCGCCAACCATACTCGCCGCCCAACTACCCACAATGACCGAATACTTGTTCTCATTGACAAAATTGGTCGCCTTTTCTCCAATACTCAAGCGTTGCGCCTTTGCCTTTTCATTTTCGGCGATCCTCGTCTTTTCTTCCTCGGAATATAAACTCGAGCTGTACCGCCGTTTGTCATATTGTAATCCAGCGCGTTCTGCCCAAATAACCGTCGTAGCAGACGTGAGCATCACGACGCCAAATGCTTTGAGTGGGACGGGGAGACGTTGGTAACGTGGCGAGTAGCGTTGGAGATATAATGAGAGTGGAACACTTGTTCCGAGTCCCAATGCGAGTCCCTTAATCCCACCATCGCGTGTCACAGCGTCAAATTCCTTGAGCTCTTCTTGCGTAACGAGCTATTCCCCAAAAAAAACTAAGAACGAGAATCCTAAGAAAAGACGAGAACATGCCTTCATGTTTTTTATAGGATAGTTTGCGGAACCAAAAGTGGTCGTGGAGTCTAAGAAGTGGCGAGTATCATCATTACTGACGAGCGCTCAAGTACCTCACGGCACGGCACCCCGGCTTACGCGAATCAAATCCAGACTCGTTCCAGACTCGCCTTTCCGACGGCGAAACCAGGTTTAGATTTGCTAAGCATCTCACACATCGCCGACGGACAAGGAATAATAGTTTTTGCTGCTGCTGCTTCTTCTTCTTCTTGTTTGGGTTTTCTAGAAGATCGATCCAAGGACTGTATCCAACGCCCGGTCAGCTTCCCCCGCGCGCGGAGGAGGGGGAGCTCCCTCCTTTTTGCGCTTTTTGCTCTTTTCTTTCTCCTCTCGTGATTCCTTGACGCGTGATGCGGTCTTTGGTGCCCGTTGCTCCACGGGTGCGGCAGTCCCCACTCCTTGCTCCTCTTCGCGTTTTCGCTTCTTTTCCTGCCTCTTCTCCATGCTCTTCCCAATCTCTACTTGTCGTAGATAGTGCTTTTGCTCGCGCTTTGATTGGGAGAGTTCCATTCGTAGCTTGGCAGCGTGCGCCGCGTGTTCATGGGCTACAGATGTGTCAATTTGTTGGAAATGATAGGAATAAAGGGGGAGGATTGAGAGACTCACCAATCTGCTCGGTGAGCATGTACCACTTGAATCGCGGGAGATATTTCATCGTCCATACATCTTCACGGAACCGCGTACCCTTCTTTCCACCCACTGGCTGCGCGTTTAACATCTCCGCGACGTAGCGCGCCACTTTCTTGTCCTTGAACTCGACCCAGCCCTCGGTATAGTGTGGCTTCTTGGAAGATGTATGCTTTTGTCGGAGATACGCTCTTTTCGCATCTGTACAACCGCTCGGCGTCAGTAGTTTGCTTAGAGTAAAAGTTGATGAAGGGTTGGAGACAAACCTTCTTGTTGCAAAAACACTCTTCCAATCTCTCCATATGCACTCATGAGATATCGAACCTTGTTGGGACTCATTGCCGGCGGAATACGCGAAATGTAAATCACGCCCGCCTTTTCCTGGGCGGCTCTATACGCCTCGAGCGATTTTTGTGAAAGCTCGTTCTCCTCATCTAGTCCTACATCTTCTCCAAGGCCATTGAGAGGATGCTCTTCGTCTTCGTCGGTTTCCTCGTCTCCAATCTCCAAAGCCTCTTCTTCCGACTGAGAACCTCCTCTTCTACATTTTCCTCGTCGCTCGACAGTTGTTCATCTTTTCGTTTTCGATGTTTAGATTCCAGAGACGACATGGTCAGGTCCACAATTAGTCTATGCGTTTCTTTGGTAGGAAATACAGGGCATCGTTTGCAGTCGTAGTCTGACTATGCTTCAACAACTCTCTTCCACTCACTTCACCGTCGTCCTCGGCGACTTTTGCGCTCCTGAGAGCAGTCGCCTCGACAGGGAGTGGATACACTCGTCCATCCGGAATTTCTAATCCATCTCCTTTAATCCCACCAACAGCTGAATCCTGGTTTGAGTCTTCTTGGGCGTCGTATCCGCGTACGGCGTTGACCAGCTTGACCAAGTCGGCCAGTTCATGTCGAAGAGCCTCACGAGATGGTGGGTTGTATTCAGGATCCTTTAATGCACTGAGTTGGTGGAGTTTGTCGAGGGTCGCATCGTCAATCACCGTAGAGTCTGTCGAGGATTCGAGAAAGGATTTGATAGACCATGTTGGCGCAGTCGGAATGCCCAGTTGAGTTGTTTCTACTTCTGAAGAGGTCTGGCTAGAAGATTTGGATGCACGTCTTGATAGGTGTATTCCTCGTCGAGTGACGAGACACCTCGAGAGCACCGTTCTAGATCTCATCCACGACTGAATGTCACGTTGAAAGTGGGTGTGACAAGATTTGACCCAATTCAAGTTATGACCACCACCTGCCTGTGTCCTGCACCCCACCATTCTTAAACTCCGCCAACACCCGGCAAGCATCATGGCAGGTATTTTCAACGTCAAAGACCAGGTAAGTCTTGCTATCTCCACCCAACTTGCTCGCACACTAATAACCGGTCTTGCCGTTTCCCCACACGTAACACTCCCGACGACATCGGTGACCGCAGCTCGCCTTTTACGGCTCCTACCACAGCAACAAGGTCAACGTCGCCATCCACATTGTATGCGTTCCTCTCATCGTCTGGTACGTTTCTCGCTACCTGCCGTCGGCCCTTCTCACAATCCTTGCGCATCTAGGTCCACGCTCGTTTGGCTCTCTGCTGTTCCATTACCAGAATCCCTCCAAGCGTTCAATCTCCCTAGCTTGTATGTGAACCAGTACATCAGCTTCCAGCCAACATGCGCCTGGCTCTTCGTTGCCGCATACGAGACGTACTACTTCATTCTCGAACCCGTTGCAGCAGTGCGTTTATCATCTGCATAATGGTGATAAATACTGATAGACGACAGCTCATTTACCTCCCTGAATTCCTCCTTTCTCTCGGAGTCGCAAACTCTTTTTCACATCGTCCAAATGCCATGCTCGAAGCAACAGCTGTGCACGTCTTTTCCTGGATCATGCAATTCATCGGCCATGGTAAATTCGAAGGCAGAGCCCCTGCCTTGTTGGACAATCTGGTCGGCGGTATGTAGCTCCTTTGCCTCTGTAGACCATCACTGACAAACTGATACGGCATCATGCTCCTGTGAACAGCCCTCTTCCTCGCGCCCTTTTTCGTCCACCTCGAGATCCTCTTCGCACTCGGATATCGTCCAGATCTCCACAAGGCTCTCAAGAACTCGGTAGGTGTCAAAGTCACCGAGTTCCGCAAATCCAAGGCGCAAGAACAGAGATCTGCAAAGAAGGAGCTCTAAACAGAACTAATATTCAAGCTCTCGCCTTTGAGCATGAGCTCAATCAGCAATGAGGAACCTCGTAAACGGGAATGAATGGAATTTTTGTAAATCTACTCTCGTGCCGTCTGCAAAACTTGTTCTACCTCTACGAGTATCTGCCGACCACGGATCGTGAGCCCTCGTCGGATGACTAGTCACAGAACGTACCAATTTTGCACTCTCATGTGCCTCCGTGCCTGGTTTATTAAACACAAAGCAATTCGCCAACATCCGTCTCAAGTCCCTTTCTAATTCATCCCACGAACGATACTGACCAGCCTTTACTGCACGCTGAATCGTCGCGAGATCAATTGGTTTGCGTACTGCCTTTGCATACTCTGGCGCCTCCTTGACGGTAACAGGCCGTCGGAAAATGTCAGCGTGCTTATTCTGACTAAGAAGTGTGAGTATTTGCGTCATGGATTGTCTTAGTCGTGGGTGTGGCGCTGCGGTAGCGGTGCTAGCTGCTGTAGATCGCGAAGCAGGGGGCTGGACGGCTGGTGTGGACACTGAGATGAGTCAGTACCATAATCTCCCGAATAAGGAGATTGCATACGTTCGTCTTCGATTGTCATGGACCGATCTCGTATCCGTTTGGATACTTGAGGTTGATCGACCTCCATCTCCGACGCCTTTCGCTTGTGTCCTGTGAAATTTTGAGCATGGAAACCACAGGGAGAGAATCCCTCAAACCTCGTGTGCTCCTCCTTCGAGAACCATCCTCCACTACAGAGGTAGCATCATCCGTGGCAGCTGGCGTCGCGACACTTTCATAAGTTCCAGCTACCGACGCAGTCGTTGGTGAAGGAGGTGGTTTTGAACTGTCCGCAGTACCTCCTCCGCGTCGTCGACCTCCCCTTGTTGATGTCTGGGTAGCGGATTCCGACGCTACCAAGAGTCAGATAGAGGATCGACTTGAATAAAAACTATCTCACACTTCCTGCTTTTGACTTTCCTAGTTGCTCTCGGAGACTCTTTCGACGCTGAAGGTCCCCCCGGAATTTCGATTTCGAGTGCGGGCCCTTTATGACTTCTCAGACCATGAGCGGGCGGTGCGTCCTGTTCCTCTTCTTCCTCGTCCTTTGATCCTTCTGCATCCTCGTCTCTGTCTTCTTCGGCCTCTTCTTTTGTAGATTTGGGTGAGGCCCTCGATGCTTTGGTTTCTTCTAGTGGCTCTGGTGTCAGAGGTGTAGTCTGCTCTCGTTTATCAACATCCATCTTTTCGGTGGACTCTTCTTCTTCCTCTTTCTCTGAAGGTTTGATAGTCACATCTGCCTCGTCCAGTTCCATCTCCGTGCTCGCTTTCTCTGCTAAACCTTCGTCCTTTGGCTTCTCAACAACGGGTGTTGTTTTTGAAACCACAGGCGAATCGATAGAGGAAAGTTGGGAGGAAGATGAAGAAGGAATTGGGGGTACCGGCTCAGCGGGAGGAGCAGCAGGCGTTGCCTGCTCAGCAGCTGCGGCGGCTTGTTGCGCAGCTTTCTGTTGGCGTATCCTGTCGTCCCACGCCCCGCTTCGGATCGCTTCAATTTCCTTCTTCAGAGCACTGGAAACTGTGAGACGAGCCAGGTATGCTTGAAAGACGTACTGCCAACCCATTTCCTTGAGCAGTATGTGTTGATTGATCTCTTTATAACGCCAATGAAAAAGGGCTTTCGCAATAGCTAGGTTTTCCGGAGCTGTCATGGTCTACGTCAAGGGCTACACCGACTCGCAGAAAAGGGACATACCAAAGGGTAGCATGAAACGATCTCGCCTTGTAGCGTCTATGCTAGCAGGTACGAGTTGGCTTCGTTATCTGCCTGCAGACAAGGGGAAGACATACTGGGTAACGGGTGCCAGTCCCGTAAGCATTCGCTCCCATATTCCTTGACACTCCTTCCCAGAGCTTTAGTATTATACACTACGTGCCGTGTAAAACGTACCATTGCATTCCACATCACGGGCTTGCCGCGTTCATTACTTCGCTCTGTTAGAGTAGCGGATACACGCTGCCAGTCTGATATCCCGAACTGATAGACAATTTGTGCCAGCATTAGATTGTCTTCGATGCCGTTGGGGCCACGCTGGATTTGAGCCATTATCGTAGTTGGGTCCAAAGGACGTTTGTCTGCCACCACCACCAGGCCTAATCATCTCCACCGCCGTACACGTCTTTTGATGGATCCAGAACCGGCCGAATTTGTCGCTTTACGCGCATGGCTGCTGGAAAACGGCGCGTACATTCACCCCAGCTTGCGGTTCGGAAAGGGCCAGTACGGCTCCTCAGTCTTCGCGTCAGATGATATAGAGAAGGACGTGACGGCGGTATCCTGTCCTTTTGGTCTTATGATCACCTCAGATTATGCCCTGGATGTGCTGCGACGACTCTCTCACTCCGAGTCCAACCCACCTCTCGACGGCAGAGAGGCAATCTGTTGTTATCTCGTGTTACATTCATGTTATTTGGATTCCAGTCTCAATATGTGAGCATCTACTACTGAAGTACTTGGGAGTTCCTTAGTGATCTTCAAGTGCGAAAGAGGAGAATCTCTCCAGTATCTTCAAACATGGCCCCTACATCAGCACATTACCCTCGCATGTGACAACACCCCTATTCTTCAACGAAAACGAATTTCAACTACTTCGTGGGACCAACTTGTTCCTCGCTACAGTTGATCGACGGGAAAGATGGACCGAATCTTGGATTAATTGCAAGGAATGGGTAGAACAAAACATTCAAGAGATCTCATGCGACTTTTCCCTGTGAGTTTTATGCACCACTTTTACAATGCATTGAGCATGTATAGGTCGAGATTTCTCCTCGCACAAACTTGGATCTCTTCGAGGTGCTTTCCCTCATCGCTCATGGAGGACCCACCCTCTTTATCAAGTCCAAACGCGTCGCCAGTCTTGATCCCCCTCGTGGATGCTTTCAACCACGAAAGAGCGAAACCGGTTTCGTGGTCGATTGATCAACCGAACTCCAAGCCGACGTGCCTCTCCCTCATCTTCCACACTCCATCTCCTTCCGGCTCAGAGCTATACAACAATTACGGCGCAAAACCCAATGACGAACTTTTGCTAGGATATGGCTTTACAATTCCGGATAATCCTGACGATACGCTCCTTCTCAAGCTACCAGGTAGCGAACAGAGGTTCAAAATTGCCAAGGGAGCGAGCGGCGAGAGCATGGCCGTTTGGTACGAAATCGGCCGACGGTTACAGCAGGACTTTGCGACGGATGGAGATGACCTCGATGTGATGATGACTGAGCTCGAGCTCGAAATTGGACAGATCCTTCCCGAGATGATCAGAAACCTCCGTTCCAAATTGCCCGCTATCGTGGACCGAGATCCAAGAGAGCCGTTGCCAGGAGTGCGAACAGACGTCTACGCCATGATACGCCAGTACGTGAAAGGTCAGGCACGGATTGGCCCACTGCAGTGACAGTGGGAACGGATGTCAGAGCCCAAATATGCTGATCTACCCTGCAGGTCAATGGGAGATCCTCGAGGATTTGTTGGAATTCGCAAACAAACGATTAGAGGCGGCACTTCGTCGTGCGGAGGAACTGGGAATAGATGTTTCCTTGGAGCCGGAGGATGACAGCGGGGACGAGTAATAGACCAGGGGTACGCATTTTCGAGTCGCGAGGGATCGGAGATTTGATCGCTCCCGTTCCGATCAGCCTGGTTGCCAAGGCCAGCCCTCGTCGCCACATACCAGATGTATAAACCGCCGTCCCACTAGCTCGACTTTTTCCTCTTCGCAACTCTTGTAATCTACTTGTACCACTCTCTTTTCGAACGACGACGATCCTTACAATTGCTCAACATGGGCAATCTGCAACCCCGGACAATGGTTCGCATCCGCATCGGATGCTACACTGCATTATTTCTGTGGAGTTCGCTCCTGGTCTTTGTGGCCACGCTCCGCCTCGTCTACACCCTTGACCCACGTCGTGATCGCCGACTCGTCAACGAGGAACCATTTTACGGTGGGAGAGGCGACCGTCCAGACACGCATAATTCGCTTATATATCACACAGATCACTCCATTGTCGAACTTTGGATATCTGCAGCGCTCTCTATCCCTTTTTCCCTCCTCATGTGCGTGAATTCGTAGCAGGCAAGCCGTACCAAAATCTAACGGAGGCCTGCAGAATCTTTGTTCTTCTCTGCAGGAAGCGACTCAGTACACTGTCACGCAACTGGTTCGAGCTTACATCGCTCGTCATCCTCTGGTGCCTGTGGCTAGGCGGCGCTGCTTCTTCTACAGTGGGCTACGCTCTTTCTGGGTTGCATGACTGCTCATTACTTTCAGAGCTTTTGGCCAGATATCAGCCTTTGCTATACGACCCCTTGCTCCGTCTTGAATGCAATACTAGCCTTTAGTTGGGTTGGTTTTGCAACGCTCACCTTTCTGCTCTTTCCGGCACTCTACTATGTCGCAAGATTCCAAGCATGGGATCACCACGCCTTTGAACAATGGACTCCACGACCCGTTATACGTGAAGACAGGACTTTTGCAGAGCAGAAGGATATCGGAGCGAGAGAGATCGTTTCATGGACGTATGAGACTCAAGTTGAGAGTCGTGTGTCGTACCGCCTTTCGACATTCACAGACATTCTCCCTTGGCTCGTCTGGAGCGAGCACAGCACACCATTTTCGAGCAATGAAGGTTCTATCTTGCCAACTAGTCGTGGTCAAAAGGAATAGTACAAGAACTCGGCTCACGTTCAGCGATGGCTCCCCGTTTGAAGGTTCAAAGGTGTAAGATACACTGTACACTGTATAGCTTTAGTGAATAAATCACACTGTCCTTTCTCCTTAGAAGGCAAAGAGGGCCGCCTGCTTTCGAGTTCCAAACGAGTAGACGATGAGACCACTGCCAAAGAGCCCAACAGTGATACCAATAGCCACTTGGATCATGCGCAGACCGATTGCGAGTCCTGTCGTGTACTCATCGCCTTCTTGATTACGATAGTTTTGTGACAGGCCTCCGGCGGCGGCGATACCAGACTACAAGCATGAGCAAAAGGTGGACGCTTGGAGTTTCTCTTACCGGGACTAAGAAAAGAACCCCAATCACCATGCACTGGAACGCTGTTCCTCGGAAGACGCGAGAATACAGATTCCCCAGAATACTGATAATGTCAACAATGTACGGATGGAAGCACATAAGATACTCACCCAACAACAAAGGCACCAATGGCGCTGACGACATCACTCCGGTTGAGAATGTACTTGTTGGCCGCTTGATTGGCTGCAAAGGCTGCACAGCTGATCAAGATCATGACCGGTAGCTGCTTGCTCTTCAATGGCTGTAGATTCCACAAGCTCGAGAAGAGGCTGAAGGTAGGGACCAAAAGGAATAGTGACCAGAACGGAAAGTCTTGCTGGAACCACGGCCACGTCGGATCTCGGTAACAGCCCAACACGGTATTGGCATCGATCTTGTCGGTATCGTTGGAAAAGGTAAAGACACCATCGAATGAGGGAACAGTCGAGTTGTCCGGCGTGAACGCGCCATGCAAAGTGACCGTCGTGCGATTGGCTGTGGCTTCCTCGAATCGCTGCGTTTGGGCTCGCCTATCGATGATGTAATACAAGTCGGAGCCAATAGTAAGTCCAAAGCCAAGGAAGAGCGAGTAGATGATCGCGTATATCATCCGAACGCTGCCATTGACGATGTTCTTAGATGCGAGCTCGAGGGCGCTGCATACTGCGTTGGGTGAGTTGACGAATCGCAGTACAGTATAGTCTCACAGATCAGATAGCCAGGCAAAATCAGCACGACTCCAGACGACGAGATGGCCTCGTAGCAAAAGTATCGACCAGGGATCGTGGACAGCCCCCGTGCGACGAATGAGATCAAGACGGAGACCGACAGTCTACAAATCTATTAGTTGGGCCAGACGAGGAAGCCAGGGCGTACTCAAAGACGTTTGCATACATAGCGCTTTTCGTTGCTGCATGCAGCTGAAGGAAACAGAGGACCGCACCACAGGCTCCGGCGACCCACATATCCAGAAAAGAGCCACCAAAAGCCAGTGGACAAATCAGCGCGCAACAAAGAAAGGCGATAAAGCACCGAATCAGCGAGTTGTACAAGGGTGGTTCGCGCATCAGCTTTGTCAAGAGCACTGTGCCTTCTTCGGCACTAATCTCGTCGTGGACGACCTGACGATAGACTTGATGTACGTTGTGAAGTTTGCCGAGCGCAAGGCGACCGTTTGCTTTGACAAAGTGAGTTTCGCTTGCTTGGTTGTCTTGGTCACCAAAGGACGCGATGATGACCGAAGGAAGATGGATAAACTGCGCGTTCACTTCGAGGACGATCGCCGTCGCATCTAGCTGAGATTCAATTCTGTGCGATGGAGCACCGAATGTCATCAGAGCCTTTGCCAAGCGCAGGATGAACATTTCTCTTTGCGTTCTCGCTGCAAAAGTATCGTCAGTTTCTGATACGACGTAATTTTGCGGTTACTTACTAGCGATGTGGTTTACGATGTGCCGAGAGTCCCTGCTTCTCGTACGGTTCATTTGCCAGGTTGGCCTCGTGCGAGTATTCTTCTTGATGCCCGTAACCAGAGGATGATCTGGATCCAAAGGCCGAGGCTCTGCTACATCCGGAGGGAGTGTCTCGTCACTTCTCATTCCCCTTGACCTCAGACCAGTCCTCCCCGGATCATCCGCTGACGGGCCACGCGAGATTGTCATAGGGTCATGATCAGGTTGCCGTTTGGACAGACCGTACAGGCTTATAAGATTCTCGACAATTCCACGGGATGCCGGAACACCCCCTTCTTCGAGCGTCGTTTGTGTACGCTTCAGCGACGGTCGTAGAGTGGGCTTTGCATAGGAACGTTCATTAGGCCTTGCGTGCGCCGATGGAAGTGGAGCAACGGACTCGAATGTACTCGTACTGGCGTCATCCTTCTTTGTAGGAACACCAGAGTCATCATATACTGTATCCTCTCCACTGCTGGGTTCGTCAAAGACGTCGTCGCCAGAGACTTGAGAGATGTAGCGTCGATGATGCGCACGCCTGAGTGCCTGCTCTTGAGTGATGGTAGGGACTGGTTGTATCTCGCGGTGTGTGATTTCTTCGTTACTATGCATGACCATTTGTGTGTCCAAGGGGACTTGCTGTCGCCGAAGTTGAAGGGGTTCTACAGTTCGGGGACTCTCGTCAACCTCATCTTCGTCTCCAGATTCGACGTATGCACGATGGAAGGGAGTCGGGTCACGAACGACTGGACTAGAAATTTGGGGACTGTTGACGGGTGGCCCATCATGAAAGCGGACGCTGTGACCGGTCTGCGGAGACCTGGGATCTCTTGAGGCTTCATAGATCTCAGAGGCGTAGGATTTTTCGGGAAAAGAGGGCTCGTAGCGCTGGGGAGGAGCATGATCGTCGTCTGCGGCGAAACGAACACGACCACGGTCAGCCATTGGTCAGATTGTGATTAGTTAAAGGTTAGAGTAGAAATTAAAGACGATTAGAAAGGAATAGAACGATATTCTCGAGCAATTGTAAGGAGCGATCGAAGTGGTAGAGGGCAAATTGAATGCTTTGTTTGGACAGCCCGTGTTCAGAAATACAGCAAAGGGTGGCTGATTAGTCCTCCATATCTTCTTCTAAGGCCTCCCTCGCTTTTCTATCCGCCTCTAGGAACAGGTCCTTTGGTACGGGTAGATGGACATTGTTCGTCTCCGACCCGATCCACGACATCTCCAGCTCAAAGTCCTTTTCCTTTGCATCGTCATGAACGAGATGGATTCTTCAAAGCGTATGAGTATTGAGTGGCGATATAAAGCACCCAACTCACATTCGAGCGGCTTCAAAGACGGCCTCTCGCATACTCAGCTCGCTAAGCTTGAGCTTTTCCAGTTCGGTCTTTGCGAGCTGACGACCTTTGCCGACAGCAGCACCATGGTATCCCTAAGATCTGTCAGGATGACATCGCGCCACTCGGCTGGACGTACAAGACTGATGCCACTAGGCTCAATCACATACAGGCCAGGACCGTGCTTGTCGACAGCAGCGAGGAGAGACGTGCATCCAAACGGACGAACTGAAGTACAGCGTGTACGCTTGTACAAACAGACTTAGCCGATTGACAATCGCCTATGCAAATCTGTAAGAGCAAGGCAGTGGCCAGAGGAGACGACACTCACCTTGAGAGTCGGAGGCTCCCTGTAGAAATCCCTCGAAGATTGAGCCTCTTCACGCGCCCTGTTCGCAAGTTGCCTGCCGTCTGCCAATAGCCCACTTGATGTCTGTACAATCGGATAAGCAATATGTGCTGTGAACAAGGATGGTTAATTACGTATCCAATGTGACGATCTATAGTCAGAATGCGCTTATTTGACTCGGGCATGAGCAGCTTGGAGTGTATAATCTTCTCCACCGCAAGTACGACACCATCTTTGACGCGTAGCCCTATTGCAGTTCTAATTCATGGTGTTTGAGACTGATGAGCGTAATCTGAGAACGCGCGTCCTTACCCAGCGTTCTCGACGGCCTTGTTTGCATACTCGACCTGAATTCCAAGGTGAGCTCGGCAATAGGACAGCGTCGCAGAGCGACAAACCTGAAATATGCGTCCGTCTGGAGAGTATGTGCTTGCAGAGAGATCGTAGCCAGTCCCGATCGAAGTCATAGTACGGGTCAAAGGATTGCGCGTACCTTCAGCGCGGTGTACAAACAAAGCCACTCATGGGATATCGCCATCTCGCTATTTCCGTCGAAATCAATCAAACGTGCAATTTGTACAGAGATTATATGACAAAAGGAATCTACTCGAGGGCAGTCACCGTCTCCTCGATGAGCTCGTCAATCAGCTCGACCGTTTCCTCTTGCTCCTCGTCTCTTCTTTTGGCATTCTTTCGACCCTTGGAAGTCTGGGCCAGCTCTTGACGTATCCTTGCTCTCCACGCATTCCATTCATTGATAGCCCGCTTCCTGGCCTGGATGAGTTCGGCGCTGACATTGCTTTCCATCGCCGCATCCTCCTCCTCGAAGACGCGACTGTACTCCTTCAGGTTCTTGCGTATTTGCTTTTGTTGTTCTTTCGTAAGAAGTGTCGCCGGCCGTGGTCGCCAGGCGAATTGCTTGAAGCGGTCAATGAGGTGTCGTTGCTGTTCTTGGCCCTTAAAGTCCCAAATAACGAAGCCGTTTTCCACCTAAAGGGTTTGGTGAGCTAACGATTGACGGTCGGAAATACTACTTACCGAATGCCGCCAAACACTGACACTACTCGCCACGTACCGCCCCGAGGGATCCCATTCAATATCCGTAACGCCGTAATGCTCCGTATTTGCCAAAAGATGCATTGCAGATCCCCATTCCTCCTTTCTCTCAGTTGGTTCCTTCTTCCCAAAGTCATCAACGTTAAAGTCCATGTCCCAGAACTCGAGATCCGACTTTGAACTGGATCCCATTGTCGAGAGAATGACATGGCGACCACGAGGGGACCAACGGATGACATTGATAGTTTTGCCACTCAGTGACTCTGTGTAACGGGTCAGAGAGTGACGCAAAGTAAGCAAGTAACATACTCAGCATACGGAAGTCGTTTCTGTTCCTGTCCAATTGCCAGAATGAGACATCCGTGCGGATCTGCACACCGACTTGACCCGTCCCATAGTTTGGGTCGTTAGTCGAAATCAGGATGAAGCGCTCTCCTTTTGGTTCCCAAGCAAACTCCGTAACAGTGTCTGCACTGGATGAGCTGGAATAAGCAATAAAGAGAAACCCACACACCCTTTGGTTCGACGACTTCTACCGGAATATCCTTCTCTCGCATACGGAAGATTTCAAGGTTACACGAAGACGGCTTCTTTGTCTTGGTGTGTCGATCAACCTTTACACAAAGGAAGTCTCCAGAGTCTTGCCAGTAAAGTTTGCACTAGAACATGATGAGTTATACTCAGCTGCATGAGTACAATACATACGTCCGAAACGTTGAACAGATTCTTTGATCGAAGCTGTGTTCGACTGGGGAAGCTGATCAAAGTGGCACGGGCAGGCTGGTTGCCAATTTCCGGTGTCCAGTATGCCAATATGCTCTCTCGAGGTTTCTTGCCCTGTGCAACGTCCTCTCGATCCTTTTCACCCAGCGGGCACCATTCAAAATCGACCACCCCTTCAATCTTTAGGCTCTTTTTGTCGACAAGGGCAAAGTCGGGTAATGAATAGACGCTGATTTGTTGACCAGGGGTAATTCTTGCAACGTACTTGCCATCTGGACTCCACTTGAGTTGCGGCCATATGAGGTTCTTGGATGTCGCCTCATCCTCGCCAAGTAGCACCGAGCGAGGGAAGGTACGCTTTAGATGCCCTGTTCTGACATCCCATACGGCAACATAGTCGCCCTCGTTATCTTTTCCAAGGTACTGAGGACCTTGAAGAGCATTGTCGGGTATCACAATCTTTTCAAACGTGACGATGTAGTTTTCGTCGGGAGAGAAATCCATCCGCTTGATCATCGGATGGGCAAATCGTTGGACAAGTTGGAACGACGGACCACCCCATAGCTTGACACCTTGTCGGTGTATAGTGGCGAGAAGAGTGCCTTTTGGTGACCATTGAACATACAAATCGGTCCAATTCTACGAATATCAATCAGAATCCAGATATCTATCGCAACGTAGTGACGTACATTTCGTTCTTGTGCGACCTCGGAAGATGATCCCTTGCCGTGCCAAAATACAGTCACCTCGTCGCCGCGGTAGGTGATGTACTGATCTCTTCCCGCCGGATCTGTTAACCAAGCTCGCAAGTGTTCCTGTAAACCAAATCAGAAACAGTGTCTCTGTAACGACGCGGGCCGACTTTTGGTCTGAAAACTTCGGGCTCTGGCTCTTTGAATGTCTCGTCAAGCTCCACATACTCGTCCAGTTCGGTCAAGATGTTGATCTTGAAACGATGCTTGGCGTCAAATGGATGTTTGTCCATCACGGCTTTGGCTCGCTCAGCCTCTTCGGCGGTATTGAATTCGATGAACATGAATCTATAACAGTAGTAGATTTCAGAGGTTTAGCTACCCGGGATTGTCTAGATTCGGTGATTACACGCACCCTTTGCTTTTTCCTTCAGCTTTATCCCATGGTAGGACGACCTTTTTGGACGGATATGGACAGCCACGTCTCGTAAACTCCTTTTCTACTTTGCTCAAAAGTCTGTCTTTTCGAGATTCGTCAATGATGGGTACGCCATCGACCACGATGCAGTTGTCCAAGCCTTCCATCGCCTCGACGCGATATCTGACAAATTTAGGAAATGCAGATGCACAGATAGATGTGCATACTTGGCTTCAATGTCGCTGTAATCGATTCCTTCATCGTCGGGAATGGTAGAGGCCATTGTGGCGAGGTGCAAAAGAAGGTTTGAAGACGCGTTTCTCTCTCTTCTGGTAGAGACGGCGAGTGTTGAGAAATAGATGGTCAAAGGAGATTGCATTTAATTCGAATTCAGCCTTTGGATGATTATATTGCCTGATGAGAGACAAGAACATATCCATAGGCTACACGCGTTATGCAATTAAAGTGCGTATATGTGGCTTATTCAACGCACTTGACTCAATTTGATACCGATTGACGTCCCAAAGCGAGTACGCAATAGGTCAGTAAGAATCGGCGGAGACAAACGGCGGCATATACATGCTGAGTATACAAGGATAGTGACCACTGGCTCGCCATTTGTGCAAACATTTGTCCAAGTGGGATTGCACGAAATGGGCCCATTGTCTGTATAGTCAGGAGAAGACGCAGGGTTTTGAGTCTATGTCGATTGTCCAACGGGACCCAGAAGAGACTTCGTTTGCCGGAGGATATTTCACCCAGCCATCCTGCAAAGTGAGCATCGTTCGAATTCAGGTACAAGGATTCGTAGTGGAGTGCCCTTCGAATATGTAGACTCTATCATCCCGCTTGGTCTCATTCGCATCTGCATCTGAGTGCACTTGTGAGATCGCGGACATAATAATGAACAAGCCAATTACACGTACCATGCTTCCCTAGTCCACAATCAAATCGCAGCGTCGTACGAGCGAGAGAAGATTCGTGAGCAGTCTGTTGAGAATGCGACGGTCGTGACCCATCCTTTATTGTGACCTCGCAGTGGCCCTACCAAAGCCAGAAATGAAGAGGGAGCACGGATCTCGTGATTGCCAAACATCGCGTAAACAATGATAGTGAGATTCGTTCGACTGAGCCCAAACTTCGGTTCAAGGTACAAATATAAGCTCATGAAGAAAGCCTTGAATATGTAGTAAACAAACCCCGTAATTCAATGCCTCGCAGTCGGGCTATTTACACTCGGCATAACCCTTTCTCACCGTGGTTTTAGGGGATCACTGCACCTGAAGCATCTCGGTCGAGCACTCTACGATACGTGCAATGAATCAATGACACGACATACAATTAACTGGAGGAAGTACCACTTCCCTAGGATGAGTCTGCAGGTGGATTTGGATTTCGTGGAGCCGAAGGGGCATTCGCAGATCCACTTCCACTTCCTCTCCCAGTCCTTGATGAAAGCAAGCTATTAAAGAAGTTTTGGAGTTGCTAAGAATGTGGTAAGCGGCAGCCCTTTAACGAAAACGAAACGGACCTCATGCTGAGACTGTGGAAGTGCCGGACTTCCTCCAGTTGTGGGGGATACACCACTTCGTGGTACCTGCTGCGAGATCCCCAGCGGTTGAAGAGGAGCGCCGCCTCTTGCTTCCTGCGAACCAATCAACGCACGGACGGTCGTTCGGTCAATACACGTACTCGTCTTGCTGCAGCACCACTCGTATTCGTCCTCGCTGCGAGGCGATCTCGGTCCGCCAGCCTCGTACTTCTATCCAACTCTGGCCCACCTTCCATGTCCACCAAAGCCTTTTCCACGCTCGGTAGGCTGAATGAACTGCTACCGAGAGGACCGACCACGCCGACACCAACTCCTCCGGCACCACTCGCAGAGCTACTGATCGAGGCCCCATCGACCGCCACAGCGGGCTGCCTAAAGGACGCCCTGGGATCTCTTGCAGGGTCCTTTGCAAGTGTTTCGTAGTGTTGCTGGAGGAACACCTGTTCGGGAACAGGTTTTATGATGGGAGGAAGTGACTGCGCCGCTGGTCCTCTATCCGAGCCTACCAGCACCTTGAAATTTGCTCGAGCACCGCCAGAGATAGGGGGTGTTAAAAGTGATTCACCGAGGGTGGGAGCGGTTCCATTGACGGTACGGGTAGGTGCAAAGGAGTCCATGTCCTTTTCCCAGGCATCGGCCCACCGACTGGGCTCGAAATCGTCCCGGAGGATCTTGATCTTTCCCCAGCTATCCCACCCCGCCGGTATCACTATACGGTCTCGGTCAAGGGCGTTCGCGGGGTGGTTGAACTTGAAAAGATTGCGGACTGGCGCTGGGGCATCTGTAGATCCGATGACAGGCTGGGGCGGCGACGGAAGGAAGAGGTAGTGGAGGGCGTACTGCCGCAGGACCGCCATTGTAGTAGGAACCTGGGTGGAATAGAAGAGGGCAGCACCGTCTGTCAAGGTCAGCAGATATTTAACTCCTTGAGACGCCCATACATTTGAGACAGATCGTACGGAGTACTTGCATCACTCCATCCGTTCTCTCCTCCCACTCGCCACCTTTACTTTTGACCATGCCTCCCATACCGCCAGCGCCAGCACCTGCAATCTCGCTATTGTCGTCGATCATATCGGCTTTGGTACAGACGACAATAATTGGTATACCAGCGACGTTGTTCGTAAAAGTTCCAGCTGGGAGAGGTAACGCTGAGGATGCCAATGTAGCAGTAGTCATAGGCAGAGGCTCGTCGGTGGGCTCTGTGTAATGCTGCAAATGATATAGTACTACGCGTATTTCAGTTGCTGTGTAGTTCAAGGAAGATTATCTTACGTTTCTCTTTTCCTTCTTCTCGAACTACCTCCAGTTCACGGCTACCATCTCCTTGCGCCCACCTTTCTATCCATCGAAGCCAAAACTCCAACTGTTCAACGAATGTCCATGGTTTCGTCCAGTCGAGTACAATCATCGCCAACGTGTTGCCTAATGCACTTTTTGGCGGTAGGGACTGCGGAATCAAGCTAGTGTGCACTGGATTTGACGATTGAACAGTATAGATCGAGATCCTCGCTAGCGTATCTGCAAACCAAATGAATCAAGCCCCCAGAAATCATTAGAGAATGCACGAACCTTCATCCGTATCATCTCGTACATCCGCCCAGTCGAATCCGAGAGCAAAATCATCTTTCGGACGATCAAGATCGAGCGGTTTCTGCAGTAAAGCGGAGGCGAGCGTCGATTTCCCTGTCCGCGGCTCGCCCAAGATCAAAATTTGTTTCGAAGGCGTGGACCTCGACTTTGAAACCGAGTCAAGGATGGAGGACCAGAGGTCCTGTGTGGGTGACGAAGGCCTGGAAGTCGTGGCCATATCCAAGCTGGACTCCACCACATTTTCTGTGAGATGGAGGGAAGAGCAATCCCAAAGCATCACGTAGAAGAGACGGAAACAACACGTTCTGTTACGCTTCCGGCGTGGACAATCACTGCGGAAAATCATCCCATCTCGAATGCGGCTCATCTCGATAGGTTGGGCCTGGAGCTCGGGATTCCGATGCCAGAGATGACATTCGGACACAATCTTATCAGATTGAAGCATCGGGAATCTGGGTGGGAATACCAATTTGATACTTTGCATGCGCTCCAGCATGTCAAGAATGGGCCATTAGAGGACGGAGACGGTGCTGTAAAAGTGCGCTATGCGGATGAGTGGCTCAAGAGCCGGTATTTTGATAAATTGTTCCCATCCCTAGCTTACATTCCACGAGGACTGACCCAAACTCGCAAACGCCACTTCCGCAGACGGTGCCAACCAAGCCGTACGACTGGACATACACAACCATGTACGAGGGCCACGTTTCAAACGAAGAAGGTCTCCGGTATCCATTTATCAAGACACAGGACCCATTACATGCCATTCCTATGGCCGAGCTACAGAGACACGACCCAATCCTTTTTTATGCCCAAACACTCTTGTTTGAAGATGAACTTCATGACAATGGGTCTTCATCTCTACTAGTTCGCCTGGTGGGTTTACCTGTATCCTCCGATCCAGTCTAAACGAAAGCTTTAGAGGTTATGCCTGGATGTATATTTCTTCTCTCTCGGTTTACACTTCGAGTCGACCAGGTCCTATTCCGAGCATTTGACACACGAATCTACCACTCATTTTCTTCGTCCCCCCTTGGTCATCAAGGAAGTTATCGGATTGGAAGCACCTTATGATGCCGTCAAACAGGCGAGTTATTTATACTTTAATCTTACTCTTACTCACAGGCAATAGCGCCTGGAAGACCCTGAGGATTTGACGCCGCTGACCGACAGCACGTTTATTGCAAACACCCTCTCTTCCATGAGTCCTCAAGAAAAGCAGCAGGGTGCGAATACGGGCTGGCGAGGCATCGGTAGAAAAGTGGAGGTGGCGACTCTGCAGACTTGATGAGGACAGTACGTGTATAAGACTCTTGTGGTTTAAACATAGCATCGTGTATCAATACGCGTCTTTTACACGCTTGGGGATATCTGTTGGTTAGGGTCAGTGCCAAAGACCCACTTGGCCTCTTCCTCATCGGATCTTTGGCAAAAGCGACTGCGAAACCTATCTCTACTTCTCTACCTCGACTTGAAACTAGCTATATTCATTCATTCGTGCGTCCTTCGACGTTTTTCGTCATTGATTTGCGTTGGCGCTGACATTCTCCCAGCTTGTAGCACCATGCCGACTGCCACGACACGTTCTTCTGACACGCAACCCCGTCTGAAACCAGTTTCTGGCACAAAGGCGCGAAGGCAAGAGAGACATCTGGGCCATCGCTATGGGCGTGTCAGGCGTGAAGGCGACGAGGATATCGTTCGTGAAGCTCGTTCAGACGACGAAGAAGAATCGGAAAGCGTGCACTCTGATGAAGGAGACTCGATGTCGCAGTCCAGCGCAGCGTCCTTGCCAGACTCGCATCAGCGCTCGAGCAGCCGCAGCTTTTTGCGACCGGACCTTTCCAATGGGAACACATCTTCTCTCTCTGATCCATCCGAACCTGTTCCTTCTACAAGCAATTCAAACTCGCAAGTGTTCCAACAGTCTGGCCTTGATTGGTCAGACGTCGCCAACGAGCATGGGGAAGGTGTCCATGTTGTCCAATTTGACAACATGGGAGACCTAGTCAAAGAAAATACAGGAAATGACGAGGACGAAGGGGTCCCGAGAGCCAGTTCGCGTGATCCCAGGGTCAACAAACGACCAGGCGGGATGTCAGCACGCCAAGTCTATCTCAAACGACTGGAGAATGATCCCGCATACATTCCCCGTGTAGGAGAATTCTGGGGTCACGATGAACGTTTGCTCGACAAGGATTTGCGCAGCCTCAGTGGATGGTGGAGGGGCAAGTGGACCGCCCGTGGAGGGTTTAGTGGCCGAGGTCGTGGATCATTCGGTCCATCAGGACATCGTCGTTCACTCACTATTGATGCCCAGTCTGGCGGACCTCAGTCTGACCCAGTCGACCAAACCTGGAAACACGATGGCTACGAGGAGATGAGCAAAGGCGACGAGACCTCCAAGCTTAAGAACCGTGAGGAGACATCTCGAGGCAGAGGCAGAGGACGAGGTGTGGCTTCGAGAGGACTGAGTCATGTTACTCGGCCCATAAGATCTCAGTCGTCCGCATCGCAGGCTCAAGCTACACCTCGCCCTTATGGACATGGCCGTTCTTATTCCCTTTGGGGTCGATATGAACACGCATGGACAAAGCATGCCGTCACGTTTCTCTTCCAAGACGTCCTCAACAAGCCGAAAAATGGAGAGGATGTGGGTATTCGAGTCAAGCTTCCAGGCCAATCACGATATAATGTCGTTCGCATCCCCAAAATAGACTCGTCTGTCGATGCGTCATCACCAAGTCGACCAGCGCAGCCAGCAAGGCACATTATTGTCAAGCTTCCCAACCGACCTACCTCTCCAAAGGCAGAAAACTCATCGCTGCCGGACCTGAAGTTGGATATTGGTGAAAAGCAAGAGGTCGAACCGAATCCAGAAAGCGATCCTCAGCCCTCTGAGGTGGCACAGGCCAAGGACTCTGTGGAGGAAGCCGAGCGCGAACAGGCTGATGTCACAGCATTACAGCCAGGAGAGTCGATTGAGCATCGCTCCCCCCCAAAAATTCAGCTCATCACGAATCTTTCGACTACCACGCCATCGCCGGCGTACTCCTCGCCGTCATATGGTCCTGGTTACCAATATCCGATGCCTCGTCCAGCCTATCCAGGCATGCAAATGTCCGATCCATCAATGTGGTTTGACCCTCGCATGCCATATGGATACCCAACACCACCACCCATGCCCGGTCACGTTTATACCCCTCCTCCTGCACCTCCTGTTCATCAAATTCATCATCACCATCATTCTCACTCACTTTCTCATGCCCACAACTTTCCTCATGGAGCTTCGATGGTGACCCCTTATTATCATCCGTCTGTCCCCATGGACTACTCACAGGCTGCTCCGTTGCCCGAGTACATTGCTGCTCGCCCACAACCAGAGCGTCATGCATCCCGCTCATATGCCTATTCCGTGGACGGGGTGATGGTCGACCCTCAGACCGGGGCTCCAATTTTTGCTCCACCCAAAGCAACAAAGGTTGCCATCCGCAAACCGGAAAACGTTTCCAGCAATGAGCAAGGCCAAAAGGAGCAAGCTTCTAGTGGAGACAAGCCTGTCGGTAACTCTGAAAAGGCAGAGGTCTCGACGCCGGCACCACAGTACGTTTCTCCACCTGAGGGACCGACTATTTCATATCCCCACGCTGCCACTCCAAACTCGGGAGGACCCACATTCTGGAATGGCTTTCCTCCTGCCCAGAGTGGTTACTACTATCCTCACGGGTATCCAATGCATGGGCAAGTCCCAGAGTATCCATTTGCCCAACCTCCTCACTCTGCTCACCCGATGCAAACGTTCCCTCCGCATCATTACGGAGAGTCCCAGGACTATCAACCTCCAGTCTATTACTAGACCCGGAAGAGATGTCAGCCTCTCCACTGCGGATTGTCGTTGCTCTGGCTATTGGCCATTGCTTACGCACTTGTGAGAATGGAAGGACAGTGTGTCGGGTTCCTTCCAACATGATCTTTCTGGTGGTTGCCCTTCTTGCCCTTTGCCCTTTCTTTTGAGCTACCTCTTCTTCCGAAGCTCTCTCTGACACAAAGGTATAATCATATCACAAACATGTCTGGTAGCTGCACTTCACGACTCATGCATCATTCATCATTTACCACCAGCCATCGATGTCCCAGCATTCCCGCGTCGACGCTGGTAGCTCATGCCATTCGCCATCGCACAATTTGGGTTGTTATTACTTGTATCCTTGCCTGATAAATAAATTGTTCTGTCTATTCTTGGCGCGGCCCGAAGTGTATGAGTGGGTTCCACAACTTGAACCTGACTTGCAACCATGGGGAAATGGTAAACGACAGAGGCACGTCAAAACGCACGGACTAACGAATCTCAAGGACGGTACAACACACCGAAGAGATCCTATTAGAGAAACTCAGGGCATCCGTGTAAGTTATCGGCCTCGGGCGTAACATAGCGTTCTCCAAGCGTCGGCTTGTGGGTAATGACCCATCTATCTCGACATTCTTCATGTTGTAAATGACACGGTTGTACGGCATTATTCCAACATTGGTTCGTCGAGGTGGTTTGGAATGCGCTTTCAGCGGTGCCCGCTCGGCTAAACATCAATATCTACCACGGAGCTTTTGGGGGCCATCTTGTCGCTACACTCTGCTATCACTCCTTCCGAGATACTCTTACCCGCACTAGCTTGGTTACCCAACGGTTATTTAGTTGCTGACGCTTGTCACACAGTCTTGACGCCATTGAAATTCACAAGAATGAAAAGAGGAGCGAAGATGACGCCAGACCAATCACTTTTGACGAATTTGTTCAACTATATGATCCACGAGATTCATTTACAGCCAAGCTAATGGAGGTCTTAGTCAAGGTACGCTCTCCTTTTTTTGCACCACGCAAGTGCGCTAACCAAACGATTGTGTACAGGAATACTCCGAAAGAATAGCAAGAAAGACTCCGGTCGATCGTAAATTCCAAATTGCAACACGCACATCGGCAGCCCTGGGAGCGATTCCAAGGGATGCAAGAATCTATAGCAACTCTCGACGGCTGGGACATTCGGTTCGGAGGAACAGAATCATATCCACCCTCAGACGCCAGCTCGAAGAAGACGAGTCCAATCCCAGAGCCACCACCAGGACCGACGAGGATGTAACAGTTTCCACCTCTGAAAGGGATCATTTCTTTCAAAACGCGCTAGAAGAGTTGGACGATGGAGAGTTTGGGGCGTACTGGAATTCTAGTCTGAACGACGTCTACGCCGAACAAGAGTCGCTCTCGCGCGCACGGCGGCGTCGAGAAAACTTTCCCGCTCTTTTTCATGACGTCCCAATAGAGTCATGGTCCCTGAGTGCAGATCAGGACGAAGTCGGTCCACCCATCGCCAGCGGCTATTCCAGCTCGCGAGGGTCTGATCCAGACGGACACTTTTCGCGCAGTGTGGCACCCCAACCTCAGTCGAGGAGCGAGACCCTCATCAACTCCTTTGTTGGCAGGCAGGACTCGCAAAGGTCAAGCTTACTGCGACGGAATTCGATCAGGCGCAACTGGTACAACAGAACCAGCTCTCTCGCGCAGGATCCTCTGCATTGGCGACCGTTCACACTCGATACTGACACTGTTCGATCGAGCGGTGGTACCGAGACTGCGAGGCCCTCATCGCTTTGGGAACTCGTTTCGTCACGGCCAATAGGAGCTTCTGTGGACTATGAAGTGACACCTCGTGCATCGCGGCTGGACGGACCCAGCAGGATCATGAGCCCTCGACCAGCTGCCAGCACGAGCATCATTGGAAGCTCTTCAAACCCTGCCGTCCCGCCTTATTTCACACCGACACCAGATTGGAACAACGACCAAGTTCCAGCGCCTGGCAGAACTCGCTGGGATCTGGCATGGCCTGGGGATGGCCCGGGTGCTACTGGCACTGATGCGTTGCCCGCAACCGATCCTGTGACACCAGGTCTTCCTATGTTACCGTTGGCCGATGCACCTACAGCTCAACCTGCAGTTTCGTCTTCTGAGGCGGTCACTTCACAGAGAGTTGATAATCTTCCATAGTTGCTTCTACATTAGATCACATTTGTCGTTAAAAATGAATCCGGCGTAGCTATGTCCAAAAGAAAAAATCGTGAACGAAACATCTAGAGGCTACATGAGATGAGTGAGGGGTGGAAATGATATCAATGCCAGCAGAGAATGTGTCAGTATCGACGTGTCTGGACTCTGCGGTCGGAGTTCAGGCTACTTGGCGACGGATAATAATCTCTTGGGTGCTTATTGGGCGATCGTGAGTGATGATAGGTATGAGGCTCCTCGTCTTCTTCTTCTTCTTCGTCTTCATCTGGTGGGCTATAAGGTCTGGGATGAGTAGGCTTCACAACGACGGCCTTGCTTCCATGATACGGTGACGAGACTGCCGTGTTGTCTCCGTCCATGGATGGGCGATGAGATGCGAGGGTTCTAGATGCAGCAGTACGACTATAGTCGGGCGATCTGTCGCGTCCATCGGCTCGCCTCTCGGATCGGTACTCGATAGCTTGTGGTCTAGCGTACTCCCTCGCATCCGTACCTCGCGAGGCAGGTACAGATGGAAGCGATTTGGCGTTGAAGGAGCTTGGAGGCACGCGGCGAGGTAACAAGACGATATCTTGTGGCATCGGTGGTGCTGGCTCGTAGATGGGCGTTCGGGATCCCTTTGGCGTGGGTGTCGTCGCACGCCTGGGACGCATATTTGTCGGCGTCATGGCGCGTGAGTGGACTGGAGAGACGCTCCTGGCCCGCGGATGGTACGGGGTGGACCCGGCGGAGTACGCATCGGACTGGGAGATGCGTTGAGGTTGAGGGTGGTGATATCCTTGATAGGCCGGTGCCGCAGAGTATGAGTAGTAGGAATCTTGATAGGGTGTGCCGGCCATAGAGGGTGCGATCGACTCGTCAGCCACATACGACGGGTACATTGCCTGATTCTTCTGAAACGCCGTCGGTAGGGTGGTCTTTTGATTGGGTCAGCTAGCTTGCACATAGGAGAATTGGCGCACGAACACCAGGTCTTATGTAGTCGACATCTCCATCGGCATCCACGTCTAGAAAGGGAGGTCAGAGTCGATGGCAGACACCACAGCACAAGGCTTACGGAAATGATACCAAGCACCATCATCATTGATGCCAACCGGTAGCTCTTGATGTAGATGCTCCACAGGTTCGTCGATAATCTGTATCTCTCTTTTCCCCTTTGACTTTTCGTTCCGCCATGTCAAAGGCGAGCTACGACCCTTCTTCTCTGTTGAAGATGTTTTTGACAAGTCGATTGGTGAGGCGTAGACGGGGTAAATGTACTGTAAAGTGGGATGCGGCGTTGCGACGGCGTACAACTTTTGCTCTGGCTCAGCCGGCTTTGAGACCTTGGAACCCATTTGATAGATAGAATGCAAAAGTGGGAAAGAAAAAAGCGTCGTGGATGAGGGGGAGGGCAAGAGACAAGGAAACGGGACGAGGTCACAGGCTGGAACAGGCGAGGTGGGTCGACCACACCACTTATAGCAGGAGAAGAGCCGTCTGTACGGGTTCCGGTGTTAGTATTGCGAAGGCCCTCGGCGGACAAGTGAGGTAAGCTCGAGCTTCGCCTAGACGATAAAAGGAACTACGCTGAACCGATAGCAGTTAGTAAGTTGACGTGGGGAAGAAAGAGAAAGGCAGAATGCTAGCGGTCAGCTCTACGCGCCTTTGAAGCCGAGGACCCATACTGCAACCATACTGCAAACATGAGGCAAAGGCGCCGCCCATCAGAGCGTCCCCGAACTCTGCTGAACTAGGAAGATGGACAATGAATCATGTTAATAGACGTCTTGACGTGGCATTTGTGTGTGTCGGGCCATGCGCTCTGGCGCGATTGGTCGTACATCAGGTCGCTATCCGCTGCCTGGATGAGATATCGAGGATACCACGCCTATGAGGAACCTTAAACTGCAGAATTAAATGTCGGTGCTCGATCACGTCGTGTGAGCGTAGCTCCCAGCCCTTCGGACTGGCTCCTCAACGCAAGAGTTTGGCAGACAAGGGTGAATTCATCAATTTACCACAAGCCTATTTGCGAAAAGACATTTGTCGAGGCGTAATTGCTCCAGACCCTGCTGGAGTCGCAAAGCCAGAGGCATCACCCGGGAGAACACGGACTCGTCTGCCGTGTAACTGTAACCGATGGTCAGCTGTAGCAACACAAGCTGACTGTTGGCACATACTATTGGAAGCTTTGGGAACAAGCAAAACATTAACGCCGTAAAATTGATGGCAAATACCCAGGGATTATAATCGGTGTAGTGAGTCGAGAGGAGGAACCTAGGCAGTGGCTTTAGTGGACACCGGGCAAATGATGAGTATTTGACGTACAGTAATATGGGGGTACAGATGAGAAACTTCTTTGCTGGGGTATACTGTTCCCCATCGTCAATCTGTTCCCAAAACGTGAGGTCGTCGTATGCACCGGCATGGAGCTCGTTGTGAAAGGGGATTCCAGTTGCCCAGTGAAACATCAAATAGGAAACCTAGTTTCATATTCGCGTATGAGAATCATCTTCCGACACGGAAACCGCGGAGGACTTGCCGCTAAGTAGCCTAAATTCACGAGCGTCCAGCTAGCTTGCTGTGTCATTCCTGGGATGATATCCAGCGACAATTTGACGACGAGAATGAGGATTGGATGCATGAGCCAAGCACCTTTTTTGCAGTCGCACGTCAGCAATCGAGCCATATTCGAGGAATGAGCGTGCCTTTCGAGTTTACCCATTCTGCATTTGGGTTTACATAGGCACTTTGATCCAGCAGTTCGTAGTGTGATTCGCCCACTTGCTCGACGGTCACCAGACTCGACGACCGGCCGCGCCGAGTATGTGCGCTGGCTGGTGCTGTTGCTGTCGTTGACGATGAAGAAGGCTCTTGGACGGCGATAGAAGGCGCAATGATGCCTTTTGCTGGCATGGCGTGCAATCCACAAGTGGCGGCGATGGTCAACCTTGGACTTCTCGTCGTTTGCCCAGACTATGTCGCTGCTCTACTGGACAACGCTGGAACCACAAAATTCATCAAATCTGGCTGCAATACGCTTCTCTGTACCCGTAGTTATCAATCGGATACGCATCTTTGGCCCCAGCGAGCGATTATTCGAGAACGATGAGACGCTAGTAAGGTAAATACGCGCCTATGGTATCCTTCAGCCTACAGATGATCCAGTGAAACAGAACTTCCCGAGTCGCATCAAGAGGTTGTCGTGCCAATTCGACTCTTCCTCACAGCCGCCCCGCTGGACGTAGAGCGCCCTAAGCCATCAAATCAACTGGAGAGTACAAAGATATACTACGATGGAGGAACTCAGGACTTTGATATCGACTTGAGTCAGGTTCGTTCTGCCCTCAACTAGATCAACATTTCACTAAACGGTGGCGTAGCATTCAACCCGACTACTAATCTTCGACACCTGGATAACACGTTTGACTGTCGCAGTATATGGGCACCCTGCTTCAGAGAACGTTACCACGAGCCATCCCAATCCAGTTGCCAGTCTCGCCTCGAACTCTCGTCTCCCAGACTATCTCCAAGTCGCCCAACATTCCACCCCATCCCGTCTGGCAGCATCACTATGCAAAGAGTGTGTCGGAGATGTATCACCCTTGCATCTTCTGCGCCTAATGTTCCTCCTCAAACCGAGCGATGAAGACTGGGAAATCCCAGATTACCCGGCACGCTACGCCGACCTTTCCTCAATCCCAGAACTCGATTCTTTGAACGATATCGATGGCGTTCATCCAAAGCAGCGGTGGCTGGAGCAGATTATGGAAGAACTGCGTTTCCCTGTTCATGATGACGAACCGGAATCGTCCCTGCTATTTCTGTCGCAGACTTTATTCACTGCCCTCGAAAACCCAGTAAGTCGACCAGGCATTTGCACACGTCTTATCTCATGCCTCTACAGTCTGTCATCAAGCCAGCATGGCTCAGCCATGTTCTCAACAACTTGAACAAGCATCCACCACAAGTATCCCGTATTGCATTGGTGATAACTGATTTTCTATGCTCACCCATCACTGACATCAGCGCAGAGCAAGGTAGACCTGCCGTCTTTATTAAAATTCAGCATCAAACGAGATAATTCTCTTCTCGAAAAGTTTTACATCTGTGCATCTAACCCATCCTTTGCCGCCCATCTCTGCGAGCCTCAAACCATGCAAACCTTGCGGTCTATGAAAGATGTCAAGGATCCTGAGTTAAGCAAAGCTATCGAATCTCTTCTTCAACGAGCGCGTGGTTGGAAATCTCTGCAAGACGCCCTGACCAAAGATGGCACCGACTTTGGCCCATCTCTCTCGTGGATCTACGATATCCTCGGAGAAGAGGATTCGTTTTCTATGTTCCTTCAAGGACTGGTAGCATACGCACCAATTGCCAAGCTCCTCGGCTCCCCTCAAGGAGCAGCCGTTAAACCTGGATTTACCAACAAAACCGAACGTTACACGTTACCTGAAAGACAGGCATTCCTTCGCGCCATCATCGGAATAGGGACGGTCCTTCCCGTCTTTTGTTGGGCCAATAGCGAGGCAAACACTCGACTCTGCAAAGAATCATCCATGCCTTTCTGCTTTGGCAGGGTGACCCTGGATATGCAGACGTAAGCTATTGCTCTTATGTGTTTTACTATTCTGACGATGACTAGATCCTCAACCGAATATTGTCGCTCAAACAGTGTTTATGGAGATTGTCAATGACGATCAAAGATTGCACCCAAGGCACAAGCCTGGCGGCAGAGCGGGTCATTTATCGCCTCTACAGATCAACTCCCCAAGTTCTTTTCAAACCCACCTTCCTTCAGTATCTGTCGAATCACAACGCCGATTCGCTGCCCTTTTCTGACGATACCTGGTTTAAAAAGGCAGTCGAAATCTCTCAGAACGGGCTGTCCGGCGTGTTGAGAGTTCTCCTCGCTCCCCCACTCCTCTTACAGGGAGTCGAAGAAGAAAACGCCGCATACTATCTTCGAGTCCTTGTGGAGCACGTGAGTGACGAGCTATACAAAAATGGCATCGATGTGATTCTCCGTGCATTGTGGTCTCTCAGTGATCAGGATCACGGGCTAATTGATGCACTTGTGGATCAACTATTCGCAATATCTACTCTGATTGGACGCCGGGAGTATAACTCGCTGACATCTGGTCTGCTCGGGGACCTCTTCCATGCAGCGGCGAGTATACTGAGCATGCTCCCCGATATAGGCCAAGTCACGCCTCCCCTTTGTCGCGTCGTCGACCAACTGTCCCATGCATTGCTTCATTTATCTATCCATTCCGAGTCGATCATACGGTCAAAATCTCAGTCTATTGAACCTCCTGTCCTGAGCATTGTTCAGAGAGTTCAAGCTGGCCTACGAACCGTCATCTCCTTCTTCTCTCGGTACGCATTCGGGGAACTGCCAACTAGACGGTTCTTTGAGAGCGTGCTATTCGCATCCCATATCCCATTCGGTCGTGATCCAGCTGCTAGCATCCGCCATGTTTCACTGCTCCTGGAAGCGCTGTTACCAGAGGTCCAGATCCACGAAGACCCGGCAATCAACCCGGCGTGGCGGAGTGCTATAATCTCGCAACTTACTCTGGTGCGAGGCTTCCTCTCGCGATGCTCCGCGGAATTGCGTGTTAAGTGGACGCTGCGGTTAATGGCGTTGGATGGTGGAGAGCTAGGAATCGGCGCATGTCTCCTAGACGAGGAACTATCTCATCTTTATCTCAGCCTCGAGAGACTTCAGCTTGCCGAACAGCATACGGCACTGGAACTCGCCATTCAATTCCAAGTTTCCGATTCATTCGAAGCTCTCGACATGCTTTTGCAACGGAACTACGATGAAGTGCGGTCAATAATGTTCACTGGACGGCTTGCGGATCGACTCGCGAGCTGCTACGCCAAGCTTAGCCAACTTCGACTCCACGACTCTGCTTCCGCCAACCTCGCTCGTCGGTTCTTTGCGGAGAATCACCAAAGCCTAAAAATCGCGGCTATTTGCACGCTTCTGAGGCAGATGCGATCCCATGACGAGTCATCGCTTCCAGATATCCTGTCGACGCTCAGAAACAGTGGTCCCTATATCCATGCAGACACGGAGTTACTCTTTTATGAGATTGGTAGCACGCTTCTTCTACTCAGTGCACGTGCTGTGTTGCCATCCACCGACGTGGACAAGATCGTCGGTCTGCTGGAGTGGCTGAGCTCTCGTATGCGAGGTTTGATGATCCCCTGTCTGACATATGAAGCATTCCAATCACTGCAGAGGCTCATCGAAAAGACGGCTGGTACGCCAAACAGCCATCTGAGTGCCATGGCCAACGAGCTGCACTTTGCAGAGGACTCGGCAATGGATGACAACAACCAAGAAGTAACAGTACTAGCAAAGTTGAGGTTGACAATACCTCAAATGAAAACGTTGCTTGATGCGCAGAATCAGCCTCGGACCCCCCCAAAGTCTGCAACTCATCCCGCACTTGGGCTCGTCACGACATCTCCACCTTCTCTGAACCGCTCACCTATGAGTGCGACGCTTACAAAGGTGTATATGAGTAACGACTTTCGCCAACTTCGCACTTCTGCCTTGGGTCGCATCAACACCAGTCGACCTCCGAGCATTCATGTTGATGTGAGTATCTTTTTTCCTGTAATGTTCATCATTTTGATGTTTTCAAGGATTTTGTTACTGCAGGGTCTCCCTTGGGCAGTCGCTCTGTCACCTCGCATCCATCAGCCCAGAGTTCGCCAGCTGTGGCTCAGGCGCCTCCAAACCCATTCATTCCTGGTTTGTAGTTAGAGCTCGGATATTATATCATGTTTTGAATCGAGTCTCCGATTGTTTTTCGTTTGGTCGACGGTGACTATTGACCTACCTTTTCCTCCGCCACAGATGGACATTGGCCGTCCAGTCTCGTCTTCCGTCGCATCCGTCTCGTTCTCCTTTTTGAGCACCGAGGATATTCGACGAATATCTGTAAAACAAATCGTCAACCCGGTCCTTCTCGATAATTTCAACCAACCAAACCTTGGTGGCCTGTACGATCCCGCGCTTGGTCCCAGTACGCAGCGAGATGTGTATGTAAAAATATTTCAATAGGTAGTTTTTAGAGTCTTACACTACTTTTAGTTGCGCGACGTGCCATCTAGACTATTTTCAATGTCCGGGACACTTTGGTCACATTGAGCTCCCGGCGCCGGTTTATCATCCACTGTTTATGATGGTCACATACAAGCTACTGAGGTCTACTTGTTTGTTTTGTCACCACTTCAAAGCGAGCCGACTCCATGTATGTCTTCTGTGGCCTCGGACAATCTTGCCCTCACCGCCTACAGGTTGCAAAGACGATAGGGAAGCTTCGACTACTCGAAAGAGGTCTACTTGAAGCTGCAAACGCGCTGGATGCAGCCAACTTTGCAGACGAAAAAAGCAAAGACGATGAAGCAGAACAGGTTGTAGAGGAGAAGATAGCTCAGAAAGTTGAGCTCTACGTGAATATCAATCTCCAACACGCTACCAATGCAAAGCGCGGGGATTACAAGGATGGACCCGTGTATCAAGCTAGGAAAGCGGCCATCGACGAATTTCTGCGAGTCGCCCTGGCTAGTGCGAAGAAATGTCAGCGCAAACAATGTGGCGCGTAAGTCCAGTCGACCTCTCTGTTTTTGGTTCTGATTTGTTCCAGAGCGGCCTATACCTTTCGCAAGGATGGGCACACTAAAATCATCGAGTATGACCTTACTCCAAAACAAAAGGTGCAATTGGATCATCTAGGACTTCGACGTCCAGACGCATTCGCGTACGATGCTGCAATCCATCGTCAGACAATCCCTCGCGAGACGGAAAAGCGTATAACCAAGTCTGACTCCAGATCAGAAAGCGGGAGTGAAATGGAGGTCGATGAGGAAATCAACGACGAGGAGATGGAAACGGACGAAGGCTCTGGGGATGACACTGCAGAAGTGGTACACGTTGCAAGAGCCGCCAATGGCAGGATCAAAGGTGCCCGTGGTCGAAATGAGCGCGTAGTTGCTCCAGAGGAAGTTCGTGCTCACCTCCGATGGCTGTTTCGCAACGAGTCAACGATCTGCTCGTTGATATTCGGCAGACAGGGGCCGTACGCACCTGTTAATGCGTCAGGGTTCAGTCCTGTCTCGGCAGATATATTCTTCCTAGAAGTCCTGGCTGTCTCCCCAACCCGTTTCCGCCCACCAGCCAAGATGGGGGAACAACTCTTTGAACACCCTCATAATCAGCATCTCACCAAGGTTATCAATACATCATACAACTTACGAGACATTACTGCGCAGCTTCGAGCGGGTTCTGTCAAAGAATCGACGATGAGCTCGGAGGAGCGGAATCGGATACTGGCGAGACTATTCGAGACGCTGATAGTTCTCCAAACCGATGTCAACTCGTATATCGATAGTTCGAAGAATCCTACGCCAACCAGACAAGGGAAGCTGCCAACGCCGGGTATCAAACAGGGACTGGAGAAGAAGGAGGGGTTATTCAGGATGCACATGATGGTGAGAGACTGAGACTGAGACTGTTTCCGCGAAGGTTGACAATCTTTTCAGGGAAAACGTGTGAATTATGCTGCTCGCTCTGTCATCTCGCCAGACGTCAACATCGAAACAAACGAGATTGGGATACCTCCGGTCTTCGCAAGGAAGCTTACATTCCCCGAGCCAGTCACACAACACAATGTCACAGAGCTTCGAGAACTTGTCATCCGTGGTTCGAACCCAAAGGAGGGCCCGGGTGCAAACATGGTTCAATTCGAAGACGGGCAGACCCAGAGCCTCGTACGACTTGTGTCTGATTCTGCACCCTTTTTACTGAGATTTCGTAGGACAAGCTCAATCTTGAACAACGAACAGCTATCGCCAATCAGCTCTTGACTCCCAAAGAGCTCGAGAAGAATGTGAATACGCTAAGGCCGAGAGCTCCCGTGGTGGGCAAGAAGGTTTACCGGCATCTACGGGACGGGGATATGCTTATTCTCAACCGCCAACCAACTCTTCATAAGCCGAGTATGATGACCCACAAAGCCAGAATACTTCCCGGGGAGAAGACAATTCGTATGCACTATGCTAATTGGTAAGCAAGCTGCTGAAGACTTTTCGCGAGCTGATTCACGTCTAGTAACTCGTATAATGGTCAGAGTTCACACATGTTGGCCCTTTGCTATCACTGACGGTATCATATGGTTTATAGCTGATTTCGATGGAGACGGTAAGTCAACTATGCATTGGCGACGCTCTCTAACCTGCCTTTAGAGATGAACGTTCACTTTCCCCGTAAGCTACAGTAGATTTTCTATCTTTTGACTAACTTGAGGCAGAGAGTCAACTTTCTCGCTCCGAAGCTTTCAATCTTTCATGTACCGACGATCAGTATCTTGTGCCAACCTCAGGTAAACCACTGCGCGGCTTGATTCAAGACCACGTCGTAGGTGGTTTATGGCTCACAAATAAGTCGTCGTTCTTTACACGAGAGGAATATCAGCAACTTGTTTACGGAGCCCTAAGACCGGAGAACAACTATACTGGGGATGGCCGGATACACATGGTACCTCCAGCGATCCTAAAGCCTCAACCGCTGTGGACTGGAAAGCAAATCGTGAGCATAATCTTCACAGAACTGCGTTTTCTTATATGGTTTAGATATCTACCATACTGAAGAACATCACTCCTCGTAACGCCTCACCCCTAACGGTGAAATCTGCTGCTCAAGTCAAGGAAGCGAGTTGGGGCCGACCACGTAACATCCATCCCTCAAACTGGGATTCGGACGACGTCAAAAAGGATCGCAGCCAAGACAAGTACGAAAGGAATCTTTCCGAGGAGCGGGTGCTAGTATTTGGTGGCGAGCTTGTCCGAGGTGTACTAGACAAGTCGCAGTTTGGTGCCTCTGCATACGGGCTTGTGCACTCAGTGTACGACGTGTATGGAGCAGAAGTAGCGGGTCGGCTCCTCAGCATCTTCAGCCGCCTATTCACCAAGTACCTCCAGCACCGTGCGTTCACGTGCAGAATGGATGACTTGGTACTCACCGACGAGGGCGAGAAGGCTCGGAAAAGTACCATGGCTTCTGGTGCTACTTTCGGAACCGAAGCTGCTACGAGCTTCTTCAGTGACCTCTCACAAAGCACTAAGAAGAATGAAGCGGAGAAGAAAGCAGAGCTCGACAGACTTCTCGAAAAGGTCCTCCGTGACGACGCTCAGATGGCTGGCCTGGACAATATCGTCAAAGGGAAGATGACTGGGCTGTTTGAAGCTGTCATCAAAGTCATTCCAAATGGTCTGCTCAGGCCGTTCCCTGATAACCACATGCAAGCCATGACCACTTCTGGGGCGAAAGGAAGTTCTACAAACGCCAGGCAGATATCCGCACTTCTTGGACAACAGGAGCTGGAAGGGCGACGAGTGCCAGTCATGGTCAGTGGCAAGACTCTTCCTTCGTTCAGACCCTTCGAGACAGCAGCGATCGCAGGAGGCTACGTAGCGAGTCGTTTCTTGACAGGATTAAAACCGCAGGAGTTTTACTTTCATTGCATGGCAGGTCGAGAGGGCCTTATCGATACTGCGGTTAAGACCAGTCGTTCTGGCTACCTACAGCGTTGCCTTATCAAACACCTGGAGGGTATCCAAGTGCATTATGACCACACGGTCAGAGGTGCCGATTCTGCCGTGTACCAGTTCCTCTACGGGGAGGATGGTCTGGATGTGACGCGACAAATGCATCTCTCCAAATTCGGCTTTAATCTCAAGAACCAACGGTCGTTGGCGACCAAGTTTGCGGCCAAAGCGCTCGCAGGCATCATCGACGAAGAAAACGCCAATGATCATATGAAACGCGTCATGAAGAAGAAGCGAAAGCATCCGGACCGGCCTCTGCCTGATCCGACCATTAATACTTTCTTCCCCTCACGGCATCTAGGAGCAGTTTCGGAGCAATTTGCGCAAGAGTTGGACGACTACATCTCTCAGAACAAGAATCATTTGTTGATCGTCAAGGGCAATATCAATGGACGACAAGCAATCGAACCGACACTCCCTTCAAAAGTGTTCAAATCATTGATGTCTGTGCGATATATACGCTCTCTGGTCGAACCAGGGGAAGCCGTTGGATTGCTTGCATCTCAGGGGTGAGTTCTAGGAAAATCGGTGCTTCGTTTATGCCTCATATCCCATCAGAGTTGGCGAACCATCCACCCAGATGACGCTCAATACCTTTCATTTTGCTGGTACATATTTCGTACTTACGTAGACAACGTCTAAACCGTTTCATAGGACATGGTGCCGCAAATGTGACTTTGGGCATTCCCCGCCTGCGTGAAATTGTCATGACCGCAGCGGTCAACCCAAAAACTCCAATGATGACCCTCCCTATCGTAAAGGGGACTCCTCTTGTGAAAGTGGAAGAGTTTTGTCAGGAAACCTCCCAGCTTTCTCTATCTCATTTGATAGAGAATATCCGCATCACGGAGCACGTTCGACACCACCATGACGCCCGAAGCAAGGTGTTTGGAGTCGAGATGCGTTTCTATCCACAGTCAGAGTACAAGACTGTCCATTTCGTCTCAACCCGCCAAGTGATACTCGCATTGAGCAAACTGGCCGCCATATTGAAGCGTAGCATTCAAGCTGAAGTAAAGAAACTCACTGTCGACCTGAGCGCTCAAGCAGCTTCTATTGGCAAAGGCAAGACTGCGAAGGAGTCCCGGGCGACGGGACGAGACGATACCGACGACGTTGACGCGGATAACGGCGACACTGTAGTGGAAGATAATGACAGAGACGGCTCTGAAATCGGAGACGGGGACGCCGATGCCGAGAAACAGCAGACGAGGAGCAAGGAGCAAGCTACTTACGACGAAGAGGAGGGAGATGATGCTGACTCGGAGAGTGAAGATGAAGCCATCGCAGATGAGACCGCCCTGGAGGCGGCAACGGATTCCGATGGAGAGGACATGGATGACCAGGGAGAGGATCGTGATTCAGAGGCCGCTGAAGAGCAAGGATTGGAGAGGGCTCTAGACGACATCAAGGACGTATTTTCGTCTGCTCTTCCTCTTGTACCAGATTCGTGGCGGTATGACCACGAGCGGGGTCTATTCTTCGAGTTGGAGGTAAGTTGATCTCTTGGTCACCGACCCATTTCTCACATCACTAGTACGATGTCAACATGCCAAAGCTGCTTCTTGTCGACATTTTGGAGCGATCCTGCGTCAAGTGTATCGTCAGGGAGGTTCCAGGCATCCACAAAAGTCATGCTCCATCAAAGTCTCATAAAGCTATCTCAAATGGAGTTTTCACAGGAGATGCTGTGAGTTTACCATAGGCACAAAAGAATGATGCTGATTTACTACAGGACATTATAGTCGAAGGCACAAACCTTCGTTCAGTGGCTTTCCTAGGAGAAGGCGTCGTCGATGTCACTAGAATCAGCACAAACAGTATTCATGCCATTCTGGCAACTTATGGAGTCGAGGCAGCGCGCGCCAGTATAGTCAAGGAGATCAAGGATGTCTTCGACGTATATAGCATCAAGGTCAATATTCGACACTTGATGTTGATAGCCGACTATATGGTATGGACTCTATCTCCGACAAGAGACAGCTTGCTGACGTCCCTGTAGACCTTTGACGGCGGCTTCAAGCCTTTTAACCGCCGTGGTATAGCGACTCATAGCTCCCCGCTTCTCAAAGCCTCGTACGAAACCACAGCCGCGTTTTTGTCTGATGCAACTTTGCACGGCGATTTCGACACTCTCAGCACACCGTCTGGGAATATAGTTGCTGGTCGTCCGGCTCGAAGTGGAACTGGGGCGTTTGACATTGTGTTGCCTATTGCGACTTAGAGGATAGGAAACGCGACGAATGCCACAAAGACGGGATCCCGCAGAAAACTAATCGAGTGCTAACTCGTCTGCATCCCCGTTTCATTATATCGCTATATACTATCAGCTGGTGATTTGAGCTAGATATCGATTTGGATAAGTGCTTCCTCATCTAGAAGGTTCTGGTCGTCATCACGTTAGAGCGCTCCCCCGTTTTGGAGGCGGCTTCTTCATCCCTGATTTCATCCGCTGAGCTTCATTGACCATGCCTGCGATCATCTTGTTGAAAGCGTCCGAATCTTGTTGCAACGCGTCCCGACATTGGAGGAGGTAGGTGAGAAGGTTTGTAGCGGCAATGGTCTGGGATCGGATGGCAGATGCGTGCGCCTCGAGCTTTGGTATCGAAAGCAAGGGGAGGTTCTCTGGCGGTACATCAGGTGTGTGCAATTTGGGAATAATCGACGAACCAGGATCCAAGTTTAACAACCTTTCAACTCTATCGTGATCTAGCTCGGGTTTTGGACCAAGATTTAGTATTGCAGTCTTTGCCGCTGAGTTATATCGAGAAGAAGTAGGCCCTTGGGTTGGAGTGCCGACGCGAGAGGCAGGCCGACTGCCTTGTCGCGATCCAGGTCGTGGGGGTGTCGATGCAGGACGGGTGATGATGTTCAACGTTGGGAGCGCACGCCCAGTTGCTTGGGGGTTAACTTCGTCAAGATTCACCGGGATGCCCAACGTGATCAAATGGTTACGACGAATCTTGGACCTAGTCCAATTAGGGGCTCTCAATGACGGAGCTTGCTCCTCGAATAAAGTTTTATATAGGCTGCGACTGTACGAGGGTGTCAGAGCTAATGAAGTTCAACGACGAGACATACCTGTCCGGTGTGACCAGTAGCTGAGTAGAGCTATCAATTTGTCTGATACCGTCACCTGTCAAGATTTTCTCAACGGTGGATCCTTTGAGAATGTCCGATAATAGGTTGCCGACTTGCTCAGTGAGGCCGGTAGGATCTGGCATTGGATCAAGCCGTAGTGGCTGCGGTACTTCGGGCTTGAAGGAGTCGAAAGTAGCTTCTTCTCCGAATGAGAACGATTCTTGGACAAAACCACCCCCCTCTTGCCCAATCGGCGCGACTGCGTCGTCCGTGAAGTCGCCAAAGTCTCCAAAATCATCGTCCCCGGCGTCTACAACCGCACTTGGCTGGGCAGAATCTCCGAATTCATCAAATTCGTCGAACGGATCGTCTTTGGGAGCCAGTAATGTTGATGCTGTCGAGGTGATCCCACCGCCGATGCTGGACGAAGCTTGGTTGGAGAGTGAAGGGGCATCCCCCCACACAGCGGACCCTCCAAAGACGTCCATCGTGTTTAGTTGGAATTTGGGTATGTCGTGGCGGGAAGCAGCGAGCAACAAACTTGGAACTTGCCATCAATGGCCTCGATATTTCTATTTGACTCTTTTGATTCCAAAAATCCACAAACGACGCGTAAAAAGCATTTGAGGACACTTTATGACTTGCTGCACGTCTGCATACTTCGCGAGGACTGGGCGAGGGCCAGTCGAGCGTGGTCTATCCTTATTCGATGTCCCGATTTCGACACCAGTAGACTGTGGAGAATAGGTCTCCTTTTGATTCTTCGGACTCAATCTGAGCCATCAAACGCGGACAGCAACCACCAGATAGAGTTTTTGAAAGCAACCATGCTTGCAGCTCCTGAAAACGTATGTCTAGATTGCTTGGTCCATTTCAAAGTCATTGCTCAGCTAGTCTTACAGAAAACTACTATTCTTACAGAGCTGATCTTGCTTTTCATCGGCATGAGACGGTTTGAAGAAGCACTGGAAGAGCTAGAGTTGCAAGTCATCCACAAAAAATATTCTAACCTGCGCAACGTCATATAGGTACCTCCCATCTCATCCTTATCAAGATGACCCAGTTCTCCACATGTATGCTGGAGCCCTTCAGCTTTATCTGGCTCAAACCTTGGCCAAGGAAGCCGGAGGTGCTGTTTCATCCTCAGATAGTGGTATGTTCTGTTCTCGGGCATTACAACTGAGACTTATTGACAGCAAGAAGTGACCCCTTCGTTCGACATGTTTGATCCCGTACGAATCCGAACAGCTCAATCTCATTTCCTCCGAGCATCGGTAATAGACCCCGGAAATCCAGCAGCAAAGTATTATTTGACGCTGGTATGAGTGCCGTTCTTTAGTCGACGGTTCACTAACTCGACTGTCAGCTGCAGACGCTGGAAGATGATGAAAAAGGACTGATTGACCAAGATGAGGACGATACAATCAGTGCAGAAGACGTAGCTCATCAAAACTCGCCGCCGAGAAAACGTAGCAGAATCTTGACCTGACACCCTTGCTGCGTCGGCTCTTTCGAAGCCCCGCCTGGCGATATGTTTCCGACGCCTTGTGGGGTCAAAAAAGGTGCCAAGAACAACCTGTTGACTCTGGTTGACATCTGCGCTTATTCCTTTGAAGAGCTACTTTCAAACGACTCAAGGGATTGTACCGTAGACACAGATATCCTTTTCGATAATACATATGACCTCCTCGCTAGCGTGTCTGAACTCGGAGTCGGAGCCAGTCATGGCTTGAACTCTGCCATGTCTTTGGATACTGCAAGTGCTCTTCAGCTGCTCGATGCTGAAACGCGTTCTAAACTTCGTTCAACTCAAATCTTGACTTCACTTAGTCAGATCATCTCAGAACTCGTCCAGAATGCGCTAGATGCAGATGCAACAGAGATCCACGCCGCAATCAACGTTGCAGAGTGGGAATGTCGGGTCCAGGATAATGGAGTAGGAATTTCCAAAGATGGAATGAAAATTCTCGCTGGAGGCTCGTCGACTGGACGTTATGGTGAGTAGAACAATCAGACGAAAAGCAAAACTCTGACGAGAACCATAGCCTCGTCAAAGGCGTATTCTATAAACTCGTTGAATAATGTCTCAACATTTGGCTTTCGTGGCGAAGGTAATGTCTCTGCGTCACTCCTGTAGCCTCACTGAATATTTACTCTAGCGCTTGCGTCTGCCGCCGACGTTTGTTATTTGGAGATATCATCTCGTACCAAGACTCTCAAGGACACGTGGTCTGTCATTCTCAAGGTCACTAGCCTTACAGATTAATGGAGTAGATGGTTGACGTCGATTTTAGGGGGGCAAACAACTTTACTACGGACCTGCCATTCATTGGAAGAGAATTTCTCATGGCACGATGGTTTGCATCCGCGATGCGTTCTACAATGTGAGTGATTCACGCCTACGGGAGTATATCTCCAACGATGAATACAGCTACCTGTTCGAAGAAAATCCCATCCTTCACAAGCAAAGACTCTTGAAACCGTGAAGCAGGATCTTCGAACCTTTGCTCTGTTGTTCCCACACGTCCAGTTTGTTCTGGAGGATTTATCGGAAACCTCTACAAAGCAGCATCGTGGGAAGGTGATCACTATCCAGTGCGCGGCTTGAATGAAAAGGAGGTCACTTGACTGATCAAATTGACCCAGGAAGTCGCCCTCCACACTCGACGCCTTTCGCGCAATGTTTGGAAACTCTTTGGCAGCGGTGAGGTACATTTGCTGGTCTACGGTCACCGTGCTCATTCTCATATCGTCCAGAACGTGCACATCGTGCATGAAGGGGGCGATGGCTGCAAAATTGGCGGGTTCATTGGATTAGAAGGTACCGTGTCCAAGGTACTGTCAAACTGGCCCCTAATTCACTAAGACCGCTGACTCAAACCAGGCTTACCAATATCTTTGTTCGTTTATATAGGCTCGTCGCCAATGGAACTAATCTCCGACTAGTCCTAAATAAACGACCCTTGGAGGTTTGCGAGCTCCATGGAATCATAGATTCGTTGTTCGCTCGAAGCACATTCTGGAAACAGGCATGACTCGTCCTAAAGCGGCTATCTCCGAACTCACATCCTACAGGATTTATGCGACGAGAGTCCTACAAAGCCGAGTAAGCTCTCAGCCGTTAAATTCAGTAGTATTAACATCTAGGAAAGACATTCGCCGATCGCCTCGCAAACTAGACAAGAGACCTATTTACGTCCTTCATATCCAGACATCGCAAAAGGCCGTCGATGCTCTCTTGCAGCCTTCGAAGACTGTCATGTATCTCGCGGTAAATCACCTCTTTCTGTCAAACCTTGTACTAATCACAAAGACCAGAATTTAAACGACATAGAGAATATGCTGACTAGAGCCATCAACACCTTTCTTCAAGATAATGGATATATGACCAAAGCAGCGAAACACTCAGAGAACTTGGGGGATCCATCATATCCTGGTCGAATATCTCCAGAAACATCAGAGGAAGAATATATTGTACGAAAGGCACCATCTTCCTTGACTCCGCTGCGCGCAGCGAGCGATGTACTCCCAAAGGGAGACGAAAGACCCGGAGCTCGTGTGCACATCAACATGGAGACAGGGAGAACGATTTTTTCAGAAGCACATGAACTGTCTGGCTTAAGCAGAATAGGCATCAACCAACCTCGATCTACTGGGATTGACAGTCCGGTTCCGAGCTGGATACAAGGCATACTTGAGGTATGTCCGCAATGAACTTTTCGAAGGATCTCATCTTTCCCTAGGAATCTCGCCTCGAGACCTTTGGGCCATCGGAAAGACGTGTTGTTGCTATTGGTAATCGGGTTAGGTGACACTACTTGATTCTTCAGGGTTACTAATCTTATCTAGAACTTGTCCAAACAGGACCATAAAATGTCGATCACCCTCACCAACGAAGACCTAGCGGCAGCAGAGGTGCTCGGGCAAGTGGATTGCAAGTTTGTGGCCTGTATCACAGCAAAAAAACCAGAGCTAGACTCAGTGCTCGTGCTCATTGATCAACATGCCATGGATGAACGAATTCGCGTCGAGAAGCTGCTTGCTGAATTCTTCAGTGGAGCTGCGGAGCGCTCTCGAACAAAATCGACTTCCCAATTCGAGGTCCCGGTATACCAGCTCGATCCACCCACAAGAGTATTGATGACTCGGAACGAGATGGCTCGCCTTGGACAGGATTCTATTCGGCAGGAACTGAGCAGATGGGGATTCGACTATTTAGTCTTAGAGGGCCCCAGTGACGGAGACGAGGGTTATGGACAAGTGGAAATCGAACAAGTTCCCAAAATATTGAGAAGTCGAGTATGTCTCTATTTCCTTGTGCGAGTGAGACTCACGGTTATTAGCTGTCCCAAACGAGTGAGCTGGCGGACGTAATGAAGAGCATTCTATCAGCACGCGAGACGCAAGATACCGTCGATTTGAGCGTATCTGAGTCTCGGGGAGGCGATAAAGAAGACGCGGATTGGAGGTATGGAACGCGGTATTGCCCTCGCCCGTTGGTCGACTTGATCAACTCTCAAGCGTGTAGAGGTATGTACATTTTGAAGGAGACGATTCTTGCTCATCGCTCCCAGGTGCAGTCATGTTCAACGATCCGCTATCCTTGGATCAATGCAGGTCATTGGTTTCACGCTTAGCAGCATGTAGACTCCCATTCCAGTGTGCTCACGGAAGACCTTCTGTCGTCCCATTGCTCTCGACATCGCAGATGAAGGTGAAAGGCCGGCATACTGTCAACTGGTCAGAGTTTGGTAGACGCGTAGCCAAAAGCACGTCCCCCCTGTAGCATGATCTGGACGTCATCACAGTGTATCATATTTATCATAAATCGCAATAACACACCTCCCAGGTCTCTGGAGTCTGCGATTCGCGCGTTCAATGCACGGAATGGAAGCCATTTGTTTGGCCCGTCCGTTCATTTGCAACTTTGACCCCTTCCTCTTCCGCTTTTTCCTTCTCGCGGCCTTTTTTCTCTCTTCTTTTCTTTATTACTGTCACTCTGTTGTCGCTGCGCGTCACACAAGGTGAGTAGACCCATCGTCTGCATCTTCCCCGCTGCATCTTCTTCCCGTCGCCGTCATCGCCGATGCTGACGATGATATCTCCAGTTTTTCTTATTCTAAATGCCTGCCAAATCGTCTCTCGTGCCAGACTTCCTTGGCAAGACGGTCGATAACGGACGCTTGCTCTTGCATCGTGTCCTGGGCTCTGGCGCGTACGGCGTTTGTTACGAGGCTCGTTGCGTAAACGAGAACTCGGAGGGACCCAAGTCTTTTGCCGTCAAGTGCATCATCAAGGTTGGTCTCGACGACCGGCAGCGCATGTTCCAGCGTAGAGAGCTCAAGCTGCACGCTGCGGCATCTGCCCACCCAGGTATGTTCTCCCCCTTGATAGAGATGGTCTCTCAGCTGTTTCAGGTGTCGTCACTCTCCATCGTGTCTTCGAAGAGGGCAGCTGCGTATTCCTTGTGCTCGACCTCGCCGAGGGCGATCTCTTCAGTATGATCACCGAGAAGCACATATACCTTGGACGCGATGCCTCATCAAACATGTCTTTTGTCAGCTCATCGACGCTTTGGAGTATTGCCACACGCGCGGCATCTACCACCGCGACCTCAAGCCAGAGAGTGAGTATATTTCTCCTTTGCCATTCCACTACACACCTAAATATTCTCTAGATATCCTATGCATCCGTGGTGGGTCCAAGGTCATGATCTCAGACTTTGGGCTTGCGACCGCAGACCCCGTCTCAAACGATTTTGGGTGTGGAAGCTCCTACTACATGAGTCCTGGTCAGTATCTGCTCCTTTATTCTACCTTCAGGGGATGCTGATGGCGTTTATCATCCTCTGTAGAGTGTCACGGCGGCGTCTTCCACCGCGTCACCGCCTACGCTACTCGTCAGAATGATATATGGGCCCTCGGTGTCATCCTTGTCAACTTGACGTGTGGTCGAAACCCGTGGCGTCAGGCTGGTCCCGCCGACGACACTTTCCGTGCCTACGTCCGTGATCGCGATTTCCTACCCAATATCTTGCCTGTATCGTACGCCTGCAACCAGATCCTCAAGCGCATCTTCACAATCGAGCCCAAGGATCGCATCACGCTGCCAGAACTTCGACAGGCGATTCGCAAGGTGGAGCGCTTCACTATGACCAACGAGGAGCTCCGTCGCGCACCCGAGGCATGCAAGGCGGCGGCACGAGCTGCATGGACCGATGCTCAAAAGGTGGCGAGGCGCAATCTCCTCACTGTCCCACCCATCATTGTCGACGAGCTCAGTCCGCCCATCGCTGACGATGATGTTTTGGTCGCACGCAGCGACGAAGGCTACCTACCAGACGACAACCTGACTCGATCCTTCTCGGCTGGCTCCGAGCACGTTACAGTCTCGCCATCTGATCCTGAGCAAGCAGAACGCCTTGACGAACCAAGATGTGTCGCTAGCAGGTCTGTATCCTCGCTGGCTCATGAGGTGCCTGGTCGTTCTTCGTCTACGCTCTCATCGTCGTCCACTGTCGCTGAGTCGGATGGTCCCATCACGCCCGAATGGAACCCCAACGCCGACAACGCTGCAGCCCTTCCCGACGTCAACGAAGAGCCTCTGGATCTCAATGCTGCTCCTGCAGCCTCTGCAGGCAAGCCCAAGGTTGTTGGTGGTCTTACTGCCGAGCGAGTGCAAAAGGATGCCCCATCGAGCACGATGCGTGGTGTCAAGGATCTGTGGAAACGAGTGCGAGCGTAGAAGGTGAAGTGGCTTGCGCGTCGTCCCTTTTTTTATTCTTTTGTTCGTTGCCCATCTCAGTGTAGCCTACTCTCAACCTGTAGCATGTATTCAAATGAGATGATTTTTACTTTCTTCAATCAATGATGGATGCACACGCACTGAAAACTAACTTGATCTCGGCCTTATTACTCACAAGTCATATTGAAAGAGGATAATATATCATTCAATGTATTTACTCGTGGATCTTTGTCCAATCTTTCTGCCACCAATCTAAAGACATGTCAGTGGTCTGATCGTAGCCAAAAAAAAGATGCAGAAAAGAGCTCCAAGGATCAGTTACCGTTGTTGTCATAATTAACAACGCACATTGGGACGTGTCCCTCGCATAGTGTGAATAACGTATCATCATAATTCCTTGGCTCGTGCAGAAAAGAGCTGAAAAAGCAAAGCTTACCCTGTACACAATGCATAAATACCGTTTAGAGCGTGATTCAGAGCTCTCCAGAGTTTGACCCCGAAAAAGTCGAAGCCAAGTGTTGGTTACGCCCTTCACCCATTTTGAACCGCTCCCCGTCGTCCATGGCGGAGGCAGAACATGCACCGACACTCCCATCACTCAGGGAATTGCAGCTAGAGGAACTTTTGCGGACGCGTGAACTGCAAATACAGACACTGAATGTGAGCATACTTATCACCGGATTTACTGCGCTAGGAAAGCTCATGTTTCCATGTATTTTCTTTGTAGAATGAACTCTTACTGGCCAAGAAGCAGCTACCTGCTCTGACTCCACATGGATTGGTGTCGGAGGAAGCAGTCTCGGCGGCAGCTATGGCAGCCCTCATGCCCCATCTTGTCAACGAACGAAACGCGATCAATGGGATAGGGTCATCAGAACTTATTCATCCTGGTCTCGTTGCAGCACTCCGACAACGTGCGACTATGCTCCAGGAGGAGAATGACGAGCTCTATACCGTTTTGCGTCGAGCAGAGACCGGTCGATTAGACGAGGAGGTCAAAGGACTGAGAAGACTTGTTGACAAGTTGGAGAGAGCTCTCAGAGGTGGGTCTGGTTTGGTGAACATTTCATGCATGCATGGTGACGCTCGTCCATAGAATCAAACGAAAAGGTTCAATACCTATCGTAAGTCGCTCTTACCAGTTTCCCCATCGAATGCTGAGCCAGGACACCAGAGGGGAGATGGCAGCCACCACGGAGCTCCTCGCACGGGATAACCTGACTCCTGTTCACCCACGAAGACAGGATCGTGAGCCAACTCCATCTCGGGGCTCTCGATCGCCACACGACGCATCCCCCAAGCCTCATCACCAACCACCCACTGGACCACGCTCAAAGAAACCGCGCACCTATCTCTCTCCTCCACCTGCGCACACTCGACCAGACGACCGAACGAGACAACCTCATCGCTCACCAAGCTTTGAAAGCAAGAGCTCTGACCGCTCTCATGTGCCCCCACCTTCCCGCGCTGCTGGAATGGACATGGACAGTCGTCGTGACCGCGATCGACGCCGTCCGGAGCGAGATATGCCATCTCCCACCCCTCGTGAAAGAGATAGGTCTGGGAGAGACAACCAACATGGTCGGGCCACGGACAGTGGACCCGGACCGTCCGGCGACGCGAATGGCCTGCAAATTCGCGGATATGCACGTAGCAAGGGTGACAACGGGAATCAAGGTCGAAGTTCGCCGCGTCGAAGTGCTGGGGGACCTCCTGGTCGCGCAAATGGGTTACCCAATCGCCCAGACAGAGGTCTTGCCGAAAGAATGGGCCTATAACGTTTCTGACTCTCGCAGTGAGTACTCTGATCCGACTTATAATGAAATGTGACTGACCAAGATGCAGATTGCTCCCGCTGTATTCCCTTTCCATGAATGGTCATTTTCCTTGAATCACGGTCTCTGTCTTGTTTTGTCTGCTTGGATTGTTGCTGGTATGTTTAGGCTCGCTCCATGGTCTCTCTATCCGTTCGTCCCAAGACGTATATTCGCCCGTGGTTCATGCCCCCTCGTTATCTTTATCACTATCTATTCTCTCGGAATCATTGTCGTACAACATTTTGCAGCACGCTGCGCTCTGTAGAGCATACATCTATAGGCAAACTTGGACCGTCGCTCAATAGCCTACAATGAACGTTAGACATTGCGAAGACAAACTAAAGTCACCCACAGCATTCGCAGTCAAATGGACACAGCGGGGTATCTGGGTGCATCTCAGCATTGGTTCTTTCCTGGGGCTGCAGCTCATACCTCCTCCTTCCTTGTTCAGACCTAGTTCCTCCTCGGTGTAGATGAGAAAGCCCTCTTCTGTACGTTTCCCTGATAAAAGGCCAAGTCAGTCACACATCGCTCATTATAAAGATCCGACTGACGACCAGAACCACCCCTCGAGTCTTTAAACTTTGTCATTTCGCCCTTTCTATCCATTTTTGAAGGTTTATCTGCCGACTTTTCTACCTTGCGCTTCTTCACGGCCAACGAGGGGTCTACGATCTCTTCTGGCTCTGACCGCTTGCGTTTCTTGTCCGAGCTTTTTGGATCCTCTGGGATCTCAGTGTCATTGTGTTTGGACTTTTTAGGCTTGTCCTTTGACGGCGGCAGAGGCTCATCGTCCTTGTTGTGCTTTCGCTTGCTCTTTTTCTTCTTTTTGTCGTCTACAACTTCATTCTTTGATTTTGGGATTGCCTTTGCAGCAAAAATGTCGTCGATTTCTGAGGCGGGCATCTCCAAGTCAAGGGCTGTCAGTTGTTTGCCATTCAGTTGCCCTGGTCACTTGAACTCCTTCGTCCATGTACTGCAACCACCGCGCTGAACACGCTACGCCGCCAACACGCTCGTCGTATCCGCTCGATGGCTCCTCTCCAGGCCATAAATGGATAAAATCGCTCACAAACGACCGCGCGGGTCAATTTACCGGCGGGCGCTGGTCGTCGCTCAACTTGTCGTCTGTGCTCTACACCGAGCGCATAGATGACAAGAAGTATGTCGAACTCAGTGTTTGGAGCGCTCCCGGACGGTCCAAGCCCACGTTCGAAGAGGCCATGCGCAACAAGTTTAAGCCAGCGAAGAAGGGGGACCATTTTGGCCCGAGCTGTGCGTGTAGAATGTTTGGTGTCTTGATAAAATACTGAGGCTTGTCTAGGGACGAACCACTGGTGGAAAGTCAAGCTCCATGTCCCGACGGCGTGGACAAAGTATGAACGCGTTCAGTGTAAGTCAACGTATAATCCATATACTAATTCTGATATCTCGAAGTCGAGTTTGATCCGAGCTGCGAGGCCATGATCTTTGACGTCCATGGCACACCTTTGCAAGGTATTACTGGTGGATGGGGTGGAGAACGACGCGTCGAACATATCATCCCTCCGGCTGCAGTCAAAGCTGGAATCTATGAGATTGTCATCGAGTCTTCTTGCAACGGCTTGTTCGGTGTAGGAGACTCGATTGAGCCTCCTAACAATAACCGATGGTTTGGCCTCTGGACTGCAGACATTGTCGTTCCAAATATGGAGGCATGGAGACTAATGCTCGACTATAACACTCTCCGCCAGCTTTCCGATAACCTGCCGGGCAATTCGCCAACGCAGAATCACGCACTCGTCCTCCAGAACAAGATAATGAACACATTCCGCAACGATGATCCCTCGACGATTGCACAATGCCGAAAGATTGCAGAGGAAATTCTTGGGGAGGGATGGGAATCCAAAGGAGCAGATATTTACGACAAGAATGTCGACGCATTGATTTATGGTATTGGATGTGAGTGAATAGCGCTGACAATTCGTTTGTTCTAATATCTTTAGATTGCCACATTGACACCGCTTGGCTTTGGCCTTATAGCGTGTAAGAGAGCCTTTTACTTACACTTTATCTTGCTAACGACTCGGATAGCACACAGCAAAAGGTTGCACGCTCGTGGACGACACAGGTAGACCTTATGAACAGATATCCCGAGCATCGTTTCACTTGTTCCAGTGGTTAGTGTGTCTGTTGTATTGTGCTGTTCTCGCTCACGCTCCGGCAGCCCAGCAATTTAAGTGGCTCGAACAGCTTTACCCGGCTGGATTCAAGGCGGTCAAGGACAAAGTGCTGGCCGGCAAATTTCATCCCGTTGGAGGTGCTTGGGTGGAGCATGATGGAAATATGCCGTCTGGAGAGGCTCTCATCCGGCAGAATCTCCTCGGGCAACGCTATTTCCAGTCGCGCTTTGGTGTCCGCTGCGTCACGGCATGGCTTCCTGATTCGTTTGGTCTCAGCGGCGCACTTCCACAGATATTCCGTCTCTGTGGTATGAAGGCACGTGTTCGTGTGCTCAAAAATATCTCTTTCCTGACTTTCCCCAGAATTTCTTCACCCAGAAGTTGTCATGGAATAACGTCAACGTCTTTCCTCATACCACGTTCAATTGGGTCAGTTGTTGTACGTGATGCACTCACAGGCTCACATGTCCATAGACCGGAATCGATGGGACACAAGTCCTCTGCCACATGACGCCAGTTGGTATGTTTGTCTACATGATCATGGCATCTGTCTCATATCTATTACAGACACCTACAATGCACAAGCTACTTTCGGTGACGTTCGGCGAGGGATTACAAACCACAAGGTACCCCCCTTTCTCGTTCCCGATTCCGATTTGACACGCGTTCAGAATTTGGAATCCTCAAACACCGCACTTTTGGTCTTTGGTAATGGTGACGGAGGTGTGTATACCGCGATTTACGTAGCCAAATCTGACACAGCCATAGGAGGAGGCCCGTTGCCGAATATGCTTGACAGCCTGCGCCGCATTCGTGCTGCTGCGAATCAAACCCCTGACGTCCCTGTGGTTCATATGGGCACTAGTGTGGAAGACTTCTACGCAGATATTGAGAGGGATACCAATTACGGCGAAACACTGCCGACATGGCATGGAGAACTCTACCTCGAGGTACGATGGGCTGGACCCTAGTCAACAACGACTAACGCTCGGCAGTTCCATCGAGGCACGTACACGTCCCATGGTGCGTTTGATATCCTCTGTGCGATCACAGGCCTGACTCCACATAGGTTCCATCAAGCGAGGCAACCGCAAGTCGGAAATCTTGTTAAGAGAGGTCGAAGTGAGTCGAACTCATACGGCGCGAATTGAGACTGAACTATACAAGTATGTGGCCACTATGGCTTCACTTCACGGCAAAGACTATGAGTATCCATATGACCGTATCAATGAATGTTGGGAAAAGGTCTGCCTAAATCAATGTAAGTTTTCAACTCGTAGCTAGCTATGACTGACACGATCCTCAGTCCACGACGTCCTGCCTGGATCTGCAATCGGCATGGTCTACGAGGATGCAGAGAAGCTGTACGGCGAAGTTGCTCGCGACGGCAAGCAATTGTTCAAGGAGGCAGTCTCGGCTTATATGGGTAACTTGATACCGATCGCATCTGTCATGGAAGAGCAACTCGCTCTGTCAAACGGCAAACTTGTTGCATTCAATACAGTGCATCATGCCCGCCGAGAGGTCGTGGAGATCCCTCTCAAAGGTCCGTCAGCGACACGTCTGAGGAAAGAGGTCGTACAAATCTCCAAGGATGGGACGCGCGCATACGCTTTGATGGACGGAGACGACAACGCCGGTGGATTGCTTCAAGCCAAGGGTCTGTACGCCGATATCAAACCAGTCACAGGCAAGTTTCCCGCACGCCATGCTCATATCGACTGAGGAGTATTCTAGCTATGCAAAAAGGAGATGATGAATTTATTCTGACCAACTCGAACATTTCCATGACTATCAAAGGTGGTCGCATCACAAGCTTATACGACATGATCCTCCAGTAGGTTTGGTCATATGCCCCTTCACAATTACTAGATATCTGCAGGCGAGAGCTCCTTATTAAGGGAATGACGGGTGGTCTCGTTATTTTCGATGACAGGCCAAATTATTGGGATGCTTGGGGTATGATACGATGAATGGACATGTGGATATCTGACACTTTGACAGATGTGGAGATCTTCCATCTTGAGACACGTGAACCTTTGTCATTCTCAAAGGTTACTCTCGCGGAGAGCGGGCCGGTGCGAGCAGCCTTACGAGCAGAGCTCAAGTTGCCAAAATCGACGGTCAAGGTCACAGTACGTAGCTAATACAGCCGCTATACTGTCTTCTCAACGTCTATAGATTTCTCTGGATGCCACCCCGGGTACACTTCAGCAAAGTGGCTGCTAGCATTTCTAACGCCCTGACAGCAACCTTCCAGCCCAACTCTCGCTCGCTGATACGCTTTGATGCCGAAGTTGACTGGCATGAGCGTCACAGATTCCTCAAATTTGAGCTTCCGCTCAACATTCGGGCGCACGACGCATATTATGAAACGCAATTCGGACATGTCAGCCGTCCAACTCACAAAAACACGACATGGGTAAGGTTAAAATTACACACATTAACTTGGGGACTAATAAGGAAACAGGACGCGGCCAAGTTTGAAGTCTGCTGCCACAAGGTAATGTGGCGCGCTCCAGGCCACGCCACCGGGGGCTAATGTCTTATAGTACTGCGATATCAGCGAGTTTGGATATGGAGTTGCTTTCCTCAATGACTGCAAATATGGCGCCTCTGCAGATGGGCAATTCATGCGATTGTCACTTCTTCGGGCTGCCACGGCACCAGATGCGGAGCAAGACCAAGGTTGATCTGCCCTGACATGGATTCTTATCACTCATGACGCTTTAGGCAAACACGAGTTTTCATGGGCCGTGCTACCACATGCCACGCATTTTATGCAGTCGGACGTCCCCATCGCGGCTCAATTTTTCAATTCTCCACTCCACGGTGAGGATTTCGTCATATAGATCTAGGCGGGCCACCGAGTTAACCGCTGAATAGTGATGTACGCACCCGAGAGTGGGCCTTTGCGTCTGGCCCTCCCGACCGTGCACAAGTCGCCCTTCTCGGTTGAAGGAGCCCCGAACGTGGTGCTCGAGACCGTAAAAAGGGGTGAAGACGATACAAAGAAGAAGCTCACGCGGGTAGTATTGCGTATATTCGAGGCCTATGGAGGGCACGCGTCTGCCACTCTCAGAGTCGCGAGTCACCTCTCCATCGATCGTGCGTACACACCAACCTCTTGGAGGAGAAGATTTCAGCGCTAGAGACGAGCACGCACGAGGCGACTGGCGACACACTCATCAAGCTTGACCTGCACGCGTTCCAGATTCTGACCGTGCGGCTTACGATATCCAAGGTGGAAATGCCATCGTGAGCAACTTTCTCTCTCTCTTTTCATTTTGCCCGCTGCGCGCGCTTATTAAGGGTTTATCGGTAGAAGCCGCCGCCGTTCAGAGGAGTGGGTTGCAGTCTGAATGCTTGGGAACGGAAATTTGAACTGTCGAGGATGTACTTGCGGAATCTAGACGCCCCTTTTAGCCTTTATTTTTGTAAAGCGAACGAGAATGAGCTGGAGTGGCCTGGACCGTCTGGCGGCCACGGGCGTCTCGACCTCGGATGGGCCGTATTAAGCTTGGGCCACACCGTCCCGAGCGAAATGTCTACCGATATGCGCCCACGATCCCCTCGACAAGATTCGAGCGATCTCCCGCCCGCAAAGCGCCAGCGGCGGTCAGGATCGTTTACAGGCGTCGCTCAGGAGCCTACTTCGTATTTTGCAGCAAACCTATTCGAAAATGCCCCGCACCTCCGAGAACAATATGAGTCTTCACAGCCATTTAAACACGTTGTCATCGACAAACTCTTCCAAGAGTCCCTTTTGATGCAAGTAAAAGACGAGGTCATGCAGCTCAGCTTCACTGAAAAGGAGACGGATATTTACAAGGTCTGGGGTCGCTGAAAACAATGCTAACTCGTCATTCTTATCGTCGAAAATAGGTCATGCAAACTGGCGACCTCCAGTCCCTAAACTATCTCGACGAAGATCAGCGGAAGTTGTTCCCCGCGCTCCAGACCCTTAGGGACAGTCTGTACTCGAAGCAGTTTCGCGACTTTATCCACGAGGTCACCGGATGCGGTACGTTTGAGAAATCATTCTCGTCGTCATTTGCAGGCTGATCGGTATGCAGGCCCTCTCTCCAGCAGGCGGGACCGCCAGGACATGTCCGTCAACTCGTATAAGAAAACCTGCCACCTGTTGAACCATGACGATGTGATTGGGAGCCGCAAGGTTTCTTACATCTTATATATGCCGCTACCTATCGATCAACCATGGCAGACCGAATGGGGCGGCGCGCTCGAGCTATATCCAGGTATGTTTTCAAGCCCGAATGAGGTATCGTTTGTACATGTTCTGAAGGGTTGCTCCAGTGGTCCCTGGCTCCAACCCCCCGGAACCTGCGCCAAATCCCAGTAAGACGATACCACCGTTCGTCACCTCCTCGTCCTCTTGTGCACTTGCTAACATCTATCCAGGAGCTGGGGTCAATGGGTAATGTTCGAGGTACGTTGAGCATGGTCTCCCTCTTGAGCAATGCTCATGTCACCTGCGACAGGTGCAACCAGGAAAGAGTTTCCACTCCGTCGAAGAGGTTGTTGTGGACACGGACAAGTCTGGCCGACAGCGTCTCTCGATATCTGGCTGGTTCCACCGCTGTCAGCCTGGCGAGGAAGGATATGAGGAAGTCCAAGACGAGGCTGACACATTCAGCTCGTTGAAGCAACTTGTACGTGGAATGCATTGGTCCGCAGCCTGATCTCACTACCTTCCGCAGATCTCGCACTCTACACTCACCCACTCCTATAACGACGGCGTCGAACACACGATCCTGCCGACGAATACCTTGACACCAGATCAAATATCATTCCTTTCAAAATACATCAACCCAGTCTACCTCTCACAAAAGGCGCTATCGGCGCTAACAGACCGCTTTGCCAGCGAATCCTCACTAGAGCTGTATCGATTCCTCGTGGACGGATTAGCAGAGAAGCTACGCACGGGCCTGGCCCAACGAGACGAAGAAGACGGATTGGGGATCCGAAGAGCGAGACAGATGCCCTATCATAGCTCTGGCACGGATTCCCAATGGCACGCCAAGGGTCCTCCGCACAAGGCGCGCTACTGCGTCTTGTCCAATAAACGGCGAAGTGGGCGTCCAGACTCGCCATCCTATATCGCAGAAGATTCTCCGGAGTGGATCATGCGCCAACTGCAAGAAGTTTTGTTCCCGTCCCCCGCATTTAGAACATGGCTCGCGATTGTAACATCGCTCCTGCCCCTGCGACACACGGTAGAGGCGCGGCGGTTCCGACCAGGGCTCGATTATACGTTGGCAACCTCGGAGGAGACCGAATCACGCTTGGATGTTTGTCTTGGCCTGACTCCGCCGATAGAGCGGGGAATTGACGGAACCGTCGACGGTTCATGGCAAACGGGGGAATGGGGTGGGTGGGAGGTGAGTTGATCAGCATAGTCCTGTGATTCACGAACGATGACGCTGATGATTGTGATGCAGTGCTATCTTCCTCCAGCTGACGGTGACGAAGACCCTACTGTTTACCGCTCGTCCAAGTCCAAGCGCCGTGTCCAAGAAAACGGGAATCAGAATGGAAAGACTACGGAATCATCAACTACAAATGGTCATGATCGGTCAGCAGTCGAGGATGAGGAAAACGAGGACATGAGTGACGAAGAGGAAGAGGACGATAGCGGCCCGCTTTTGACCGTGCAACCTGGCTTCAATCGGCTATTGCTCGTTCTCCGGGACGAGCGCGTTATGCACTTTGTCAAGTATCTTTCCGCCTCGGCGCCAGGGTGTCGCTGGGACGTTTGCGGGGAGTGGGAGGTGGGAATGGTAGAGGAGAGCGACCAGGCCTCCGCTTCGGAGTGAACAGGTTTCACAGGGGTTCTCTAACTTATCTGATTCCAGAATCTCCAGAGGCGGCGCCCGCCCATACACCTGTTGTCCGAATAGCCCTTGTTCGAAGACTAAAATACAATCTTTTTGCCTGTACTCTGCACAATGGCCACATTTTCTCGTGGTGCGTTTGCAAGCGACGCTCCCGGTTTTGGTCGTCGTCCTTTTTCCTTGAGAGACTTTTCGGGTCTTTTCTCCTTTCTGCGGCTCCTTTCGTCTATTTCTAGACTGCTTGGATTTTCCTCGGGTTGCTCTTCTTGGGTTGCTTCGGTTTGGGTCACCCTGCTCGCCTGCTTAGCAGCAATTCGCTCCGACTTTTGAGGTCGACGGGCCGCGCGGTTTTTTGGGAGGCCGGCTTCCGACTTCTCGTGAACGACTTTACCTCGCCTGACAGCGTCTGGCGACGCGTATTCTACCACCAGGGCGCGGCCATTAAGTGAGTGATTATGCGGATTGACGAGGGCATCGGTGGCGAATTGGATCGTCTTAAAGTCAACAAAGGCAAACCTGGAGATCAGTCAGTTTTTCATTATCATAATGAAAGAAGTGGCTAATACCCTTTACACTTGCCACTGTCCTCGAACGTGCCCATCCGCACCCTGAGTAGCCTGTCTTCGATTGACTCTCCTTCCTTCTTCAACTTGGGGTGTACCCTTCCGAATAGAGCTGCAATTTCCTCCTCTTTGGTTTCAAAACTGAGATTGCCGATGAAAAGGGTAGGACAGGCTTCGTTCTTTTGCTGAGAGAGAATCTTCCGCGCCGTCTTTGTCATCCCAGTCAGCGGCGCTGACGATGCTTTTGATACTCTATCCTTCTCTGGACGACCGGCAAAGTCGCTCCCTGTGGGTGCCAGTATCAAGATTGCATCGTATGGGTCGTGAGGGGTGTGCCTTACCATCTTTGATTAGCAACCGTCTTCCATCAAGAATTCCTTCGGATCTCGCAATTGCAGAGTCCTTTGCCCCTGGTGTCGCAAAGTCTACATATGCGAATCTAAGTATCGGAAGCACTGTGAGTGGGACAGCATATCCACGGTAGACACGTACCCCTTGTTATCTACACGAGCAGTTTTCTGCCCTGGCTTCGTTCCATGCAACGCCTTTGTAGGCATGTGGATGCGAATGATGGCCTCCTTCTCATCCGTGAAAAACTCTTTGAGACTGGCCGGGGTCGTCTTAAATGACAAGTTTCCAACCCATACACAATGTGCAGATCTATTTTCAGCTTTTGGGCGTGTGGTTTCACTTGCTACGGGCTGCTCCACGTCGGGCGCGACCTTGACTTTCTTCCGAAGCCGTCTTTTTGCAGCATGCGACAGGACCTGAGCTTGTGGAACATCTTCTGCTTCCTCGCTATCGCTGTCGACATCGTCCAATTTGCGTTTGCGGCCTGTGACTGACATGGTAGAGAATATCCCTCGGGGACACCCGCTCGCAGCAGATAAGACTCAACATCGCGGAGATGAGCCAATAGATTGGTGTTGTCTCTCATTCTTCCAGCGGAACCGCATCTGCACCCGTCCTGTCTCGTCCAAACTTGTCGACTTTGTCACAGGCCCTGGGCTAGCCACCAACGCCATCAACCGAGCTTGTGCCACTGTATCGGTGTGCTAAGTTTGTATTATCGATTATAGGTTGCGTATTTCTTCAGGCTTTGAACAGCGACTCGCGGTTTGTGTGGTCATCAGATTTGTTCCACGCTAATCACGAGCGGGTACGTGGAAATCTGTCTACCAAAAGGGGGTTTAAGAACACTTGTTGGCTTGAATCTCGCGCGACCACAAGCCCGCAGTTATCGCGAAGTTACACGACACGTAGGTATGCTTCGCTATATGTGGGCCCCATAATTCAATTCAACCCCGAGAAGCGTTCTTGGCTCCTCCATACAGGTCATCGCCCGCATCATCCGTAATAGTGTGACGGGAAGCCCCCGTTGCTAAATGCCTTCGCGGCGGATACAAGGACATATTTCTGGGATCTTGGTGTCTATAAAGCGACAGCTCTTTAGCCTAAAGGATCGCCCGCAACTCCCCTCTCTGTTCCCCCCCTGTCGAGAGCATGTCCTCGCACGCAGCTGCCCCGTCCTCAACTGCATCCTCTTCCTCCTCAGGTGGTGGTCATGGATCCGCAGGGGGAGGCTCTACCCCCTCCCACCTCAATAGCCCATATCGTGCTTACCAACTCTGGCAACGCGCGACATACCCCAAGCAGGTTTGGATCTTTGTTGGCAGTGGGCTTGGACTTCTCGTCCTCTGCAACATCATCTATCTCCTACGCGTCAGATCACGCAAGAATGCTCTCATGCGTAAGAGCACCGCGGGCCCTCGTGGTGACCCAGAGAAGAACGCCACTTCGTCGACCACCTCCTCATGGAACCGATTCTTCGGTGCTGCAGATGCCGCTTTCAAGATTACGGCGTTTCGGTGGACTATTCCCTATGGACGCAACTACGTCCTGTCTCTCAGCGAGGTATTCTTCACCGTCGGCTACCTCGCTGCACTTCTCATCTGGAGCTTTGTTCACTGTGAGTCATGTGACATGATTTAGACCACATACCGATCCATTTTATTTATAGCTCATGGTGCTCAAGCGGTAACGTGTGCGCTCATCTTTTTGATGGTGTGGCTAAACCTCGCCACAGGGTTTCTGGGCCCAACGTACTGGTGCCATCGCCTACCCCCAGTTTATGCTCCTCCCTCTTCTTGCTGGCAAGAACAATCTCATCACTCGTGAGTCACCTTGGTGTTTACATCCGCTTGCTCATCCTCTGCAGTCGTCACCGGCCTCAGCTACGAGAAGGTACGTACTTGCCTTCGCAGCTGTTCACCTTTTCATCATTATTTAGATCAACATTATGCACCGTGCAGTGGCTCGAACGTTGTTTATCCTCATCCTGTTGCATACCTTCCAGAAAGTCGAGTGAGTCTACGTACAACTGTCGCCGAACACTATTGATCTGTCTCAGGACGTTCACTCCCCCCAAGCTTGCCGCTGAAAAGTATCTGACCGGCACCATGGCCACGGTTGCCTTTGGCGCCATCTTCCTCACCTCTCTGCGACCCGTTCGCACTCATGCCTTTGAATTCTTCTTGATCATGCACATTTGCCTCGTGGCGTGAGTCGATCGGATGTTGTGGGATCCCTACTAACGTTTCTCAGAATCTTCCTCTCTGGAATATATTTCCATCAGCCCAAGTGAGTCTGCTAAATATGTGTTACTTGTGTTTCTGACATCAAAAGGGATGCTATCTATGTGTGGCTCTTCATCGCGTTCTGGCTATTCGACCGTGTCTCTCGTGGATTGAGGATGATCTTCATCAACCGCGGCAGCCCGACCTCCACCGAGGCCATCGTGGAAAACGTCTCACGCGACTCAATCAAACTCGTTCTCCCCAACCGCCATATCACGTGGAAGGCTGGCCAACATGTGTTCCTCATTTTGCCTGGTGTCTCCACTATCCCCGTCGAAGCCCATCCATTCACGATTGCCAACATTCCAGACCGTGATCAGAACGGAAGAGCACGTCCAACAGACCTCGTCTTCTACATCCGAGCCATGGACGGCTTCACAAGGAAACTGCACGACTACGCTGCCATCAACCACGCAAAATCTGTGGTTGCACTGGTCGACGGGCCATATGGTGCTCCGCCCCAGTAAACACGTTTAACACTGTCATTTTGATTGCTGGTACGTTGCCCAATTTTCCGTCATGTCCAGCTACTCAACAACTTCCAAGGTGGCTCTGGAGTCTCGTTTACACTTCCTCTCCTCTTGGACATCATCTCGTATGGGTATAAATCTCCGTGTCTATCCTTTACTGACCATCCATAGGGCTGCTCGTCGACAGGCCACGCCTGTGAAACGGGTTGTATTTGTATGGACCGTAAAGACATACGGTATGTAGATGTTTATGCCCCTCACTCACATCAGCTTATTTATATCTCAGAGGACCTCCGCTGGGCTTCGGAAGCTATCGCTACCGCCACGCACAACGCACCGTCAACCCTAAATCTGGACCTCCGAATTCACGTCTCGCGTGCCAACCCTCTGGTACCGTCTCTTAGTATGTCAGGCTTGAAGAAGGATGTTAGTGGCAGCGGTCCTCTTTCCCCCATCTCGCCAACCGAAAAATCGCCTATTGAGAAGGATACGGGCAGCCCCATCAAAGGCTCTTCCCGTGCAGAGATCATCACCACTCTTGCTGAAGATGCGTCAACTCATGAAGGACACCTGGCGGCTGCCATGAGTCATCTCAAGACCTTGGTTGGTCGACCGGATATCTCCTCCATCATCCAAGAAGAGATTCAAGCTTCCACGGGTCCCGTCTCCGTCAATGGTAAGTGTCTCCGATATCATGTAAAGGATTTAACTGACGTTTCGCTACAGCGTGCGGCCCGGCTCGCTTGACCAAAGCGGTCCGTGCTTCACTCACGTCTGGAGCTGCTGGTCCATCGGCCATGCTCCATGGCGGCGTGCCCGTCTCGATGTACATTGAAAACTTTGGTGCCGTCAGATCATCTTCCTAGAGAAGTACCCTGCAGAATCGAACCTCTGTGATCTGAACATTTCATGCTTTTGTCACGTACTGTTGTTCTTGTCTCTTCCCTACAGATGAACAAACGAGTTTTACAAGCAAGGTCTCGATGAAGGACAAAGTATTTACAATGAATGTTCTACATTCTAATCTAGAACGCAGTCCCGGCTGCACTGGCACCGCCAGTATATCTTTCGCCCACAACCTTGATGCGCTCAAGGATATCGTCAATGGCCTTGAAATCTTCGTTGGCTAGCAATATAATTAGCGAGAAATACCCAATGGAATCCTTACTCACTCAATTGAACATCACGACTGCCAATGTTCTCTTTCAGACTATGGAACATGAGGAAATGCCACCTCAGTCGAAGAATTCACCTACTATTTAATTTTCTTGGTTCCTGGAATGGCGAAGATATCGTCACCTTGGGCGAACACCCACGCCAAGGTCAGCTGGCTGGCAGTAACACCTTTCTCGTCGGCAATCTCTTTCAAAGCATCGACAAGTTTCAAGTTCTGAAGAGTGGGCATCAGATAAAATAAAGGAGTGCTTACAACAATAATTACATACCTCCTTGAACGCCTCTCCCTGGAAACGGGGTTACTGCGGCGGAAGTCGCCCTCTTCAAAGTCGTCCACACTCTTGTATGCGCCAGTTAGGAAGCCTGAACTCAATTGATTAGAGAAACTAGAGATCAGTGACACATCTGCTTGCCTCGTCCAAGGGGGCTGTATGCGACGATTGCGATACCCAATTCACGGCAGACGTCCAGCATACCGTTTTCACTGATATCAGGGGTAAAAGGGGGAAAACTATATGACATTAATTTGATCCAATGACGGTAATAATTCTTACATACCTCGATCTGAGCGGCAGAGGTGGGGGTCACGGCATGTGCACGTCTAATTTCGTCCACCGTCGCTTCGGAGATGCCAAGATACCTAACTTTGCCCTCTTCCTTCAGCTTTTCAACTCCTTCCAGGTTTCCTCGATGGTTATAGTCCGATCCACCTCGAGACAGAGCCAGAACGGTCGCGTAGCGTAATCTAGAGCTTACTCAATGCTGACAATAGAGATCAATATGGTCCACTTGGAGTCTCTGGAGCGACTCTTCACAGCATTTCCGAACATATTCTGGAGTGCCGTTACATCCGAGCCCGCCCTTGTCGCTGAAATAGGCACCAAACTTGGTGCAGATAAAAACCTTTGAGCGGAAGGCCGGATCCTTGAGTAAAGAGCCAATTAGCTCCTCGTTCTTGCCCATGGGTGGGCCATAGACCTGTAATTCATTCGAACCTTGGCTGAACAGAGATTCAGCAGGCTTACATTGGAAGTATCAATGAAAGTGCAACCTGCTTCGACGGCCTATGAAAGATGAGAATGGGCCATTTTGGAGCCTTAGTAAGGAAACGTACAGCTCTCAAGACTTCACGACTCTCATCATCGCTGACGCGGTTCCCGTAGAAGGCGCTGAGGCGCTAACGACGCTTAAGTAAACCAACTCCAAAACGTTTTCGTGACTGGCCATTTCCCCGAAACCAAGTGCGGGCACTGCGCTTCGTCAGTAATTTATATGGCTATACGATGCAACCTGCCTGTGGGACCATTTTTTCCCAGTTGACGATAAATGATGTTGAATTGGGACATGATAGAGAGAGGGTACAGATTTTGGACGTACTCCTCTGGCTCCTGTTACAGAAGGTTGAGTGGTGGATGACTTCAGTGGCGCGGTAAGGATTTGCGCTGAGACTTCCCGAGGCCCCATCCAGCTCAGCTAAGACATGAATAGTGTCAGCGAATGCAAGAAGCCGGGGTGGTATTGGAATGACAGTATTGGGCCACAGTCGGACATCCGTGGACATCTCGGACCTCCGAATGAATGGTAGGAAATGCCTCGTGGCCCTTATCGTGGTATAAGCAATAAAGATGCAGTTTGACAGCTTAATCATGACATCCACTATTCGTATGAGGCCTCGCTGCACTCACGTAAGGCTTTCGTTGTCGATCCAATAAATCAAAATGGCACCTGAGCATTTCCCAGTTCGCATCAGATTCTAAATTCCTAGAAAGCCGTCCAATTTGCCGCTGTACCACCTGCATACCTGTCTCCAATGACCTTGATACGATTGAGGATTTCTTCGATAGATGAGATGTCCTCCTGAGCTAGAGAAGATTCTATCAATTGGACTCAGAACGCGATTAGAGCACTCACTGAGCTTCACATCGCAGGCACTGACGTTCTCCTGAAGACTAGCTCGAGTAAGGTCAAATGGAAACATTGTGAGAAAATGAACGTACTATTTGATCTTCTTGGTTCCAGGGATGGCGAAGAAGTCGTCACCTTGAGAGAGTACCCAAGCTAGCGTTAGTTGGCTTGGGGTAACACCTTTCTTGTCGGCGATCTCTTTCAGAGCATCGACGAGCTTGAGGTTCTGAGTATCATACATTAGTTACAGAACAGTAGTTATGCATAATGATCGTACACACCTCTTTGAATGCTTCTCCCTGGAAACGAGGATTGTTGCGGCGGAAGTCACCCTCTTCAAAGTCGTCCACACTCTTGTATGCGCCAGTCAGAAAGCCTTTGGGACGCTTTTAGCAATGGTAAAATCTCTGTACGGAGCAATACCTCTTCCAAGGGGGCTGTATGCGATAATAGCGATCCCGAGTTCACGGCAAGTATCGAGAAGTCCATTCTCGCGAATATCTGGAGTGAAGGGGGAGAACTATTGATCAATGTCAGTGCTATCATATATTGAACCTTGTCTCTTTACCTCGATTTGCAAAGCAGAGATGGGTGCGATGGCATGAGCGCGACGAATCTCCTCTCTGTCGCTTCACAGATGCCAAGGTATTTGACTTTACCTTCCTCCTGGAGTTTCTTCATTTCATCCCACGTCTCTTCGATTGGAGTGGTACGATCAATCTTGAATAATTAAGCGGCAATTATGCTTGTGCAGAAGTTCACTCACCCTGTTCTGATAGTAAAGATCAATGTAATCCACCTGAAGATTTTTAAAGACTCTTCACAGCACTGGCCGGCGTATTCTGGCTTTCCAGAGATGCCAAATTCGCCTTCAGGTGTGATGAAGGTTCCAAATTTTGTGCAAATGAAGACCTTGGAGCGGAATTCGGAATCCTTGAGCAGGCTGCCAAGGAGTCTTTCATTTTCTCCCATTCCATATAACTGGCTTATGAATCAGGTCATGGCAGGTAGTAGATATGTCAAGCGTACAAGGTTGGTATCAATGAGAGCGCATCCTGCTTCGACAGCCTGGAGTCCGTAAGGGCAGTACCAATCGAAAGGGTTCACGAACCTCTTTGAGAACCTCGTGGCTCTCGTCATCGCTCATACGGCTCCCGTAGAAAGAAGTGAATCCCTGGATGAGTGGCTGGAGAGGGCAAAATGGGTGACACTTGTACATACCATTGCACCAAAGCCAAGAGCAGGGACTGCTTTTGATCAGTATGAAGGCACATTCTGATGATTTCACTCACCTTTGGGTCCATTTCTGCCCAGTCGATGGTAGATAATGTTGGTATTCGACATGATAGTGTTGCGTATTTTGGGTTCTGGTGTAGCTGAGTTGATTCGAAACTCGAGACTTTCTTATAGCGCTGCTAGTCGATAGATGACATCAGTATCGCCATTGGGGATTCCCGTGTTCCCAATCGGTCAAACGCACGGTTGTGTCGGACGTCCGATATTAACTCAGGTATATAATATACGTTCTTCATCAATAGGACTGGCCCACGAGGCATCCCCGCAACTTGATGCTGAAGGCTGGAGTGGTGCAAGGTCGAAGTTGTGCAGGGGCTAGATGAAGGTAGACGTAGATTAGAGTCCCAAAGCCACAAAGAACGAATGGAGTTAGCTTTGGGTTTGGTCACAACATTCACGATTTGAGATTGCATTCTCCTGTGCTCACTTGGAACTATCGTAGTGAAAGAACAATCGAAATTCAACATCTGAGTGTTGTTAAAGTGCATATCAGATCCTAGATTCCTAGAAAGCAGTTCCGGTTGCCGCTGCGCCGCCTGCATACCTGTCCCCCATGACCTTGATGCGGTTAAGGATTTCTTCAATAGATGAAATCTCTTCTTCGGCTAGAATCGATATCAGACATCGGGTCCAAATGTGAGCAGAGTACTAACTGAGTTTCACATCGCGCGCCCCGAGGTTATCTTGAAGACTGATCCAAATAGGGTCAGATGAGGTTCTGCTTGAGGGCAAAACTTACTATTTGATCTTCTTGGTTCCAGGAATGGCGAAGAAGTCATCGCCTTGAGAGAGTACCCAGGCGAGAGTTAGTTGGCCTGGGGTAACGCCTTTCTTGTCAGCGATTTCTTTCAGAGCATCGACGAGCTTGAGGTTCTGAGTATCATACATTAGTTACAGAACAGTAGTTATGCATAATGATCGTACACACCTCTTTGAATGCTTCTCCCTGGAAACGAGGATTGTTGCGGCGGAAGTCACCCTCTTCAAAGTCGTCCACACTCTTGTATGCACCAGTCAGGAAGCCTTTGAATTTATTTAGCAACGGTGAAGCCAATAGACGGAGCAATACCTCTCCCGAGAGGACTGTATGCCACGATAGCAATTCCGAGTTCGCGGCAAGCGTCGAGAATTCCATTCTCACGAATATCCGGGGTAAAGGGAGAGAACTATGATCGATGTCAGCGCTGTCATATCACGAACCTCGTTTCTTTACCTCGATTTGCAAAGCAGAGATGGGTGCGATAGCATGAGCGCGACGAATCTCCTCTACTGTCGCTTCACATATGCCAAGGTATTTGACTTTGCCTTCCTCTTGGAGTTTCTTCATTTCCTTCCACGTTTCTTCAATTGGAATATTACGGTCAACCTTGAATTAATCACAGGTAAGAGACACGTCGTAAACAACTCAGTTTACGTACCCTGTTTTGATAGTAAAGGTCAATGTAGTCGACCTGAAGGTTCTTCAAAGACTCTTCGCAGCACTGGCGAACGTATTCAGGTTTGCCAGAGTTGCCGAATTTGCCTTCGGGTGTGATAAAAGTTCCGAATTTAGTGCAAATAAAGACCTTGGAGCGGAATTCGGGATCCTTGAGCAGGCTGCCAATGAGCCTTTCGTTCTCTCCCATTCCATAAAGCTAGCTTGCGCGTCAGATAGTGAGAATGAGAATATTTTTAAGCATACGATGTTGGTATCAATGAACGCACATCCCGCCTCGACAGCCTGACGCCTGTGAGTAGAGGTACGGGTTCGAAGGGTTTACTGACCGCTTTGAGAACTTCGCGACTCTCGTCGTCACTGACACGATTTCCGTAGAAGGACGTAAAACCCTAGATGAGAGATTGGAGAGGGCAAATTGGATGACGCTTGCACACACCATTGCGCCAAAGCCAAGAGCAGGGACTACTCCTGATCAGTATGAGGGTAAAAATCGTTGGTATCACTCACCTTTGGGTCCATTTCTGCCAAGATGATGGTAGATGATGTTGCTGTTAGACATGGTAGTGTACTTTCTGTGAAGACAAGCGCAAGGAGTCGATCCCAACCGAAGAGGTCCTTTATATAGCATTGTTGGTTTTATAGGTGACATCAGCAACGCCATTGAGCATAATATGCCCCGAATTGGTCGATCACCTTTGCTTACGTCGGACGTCCGAATACCTGCTGCGCGTGGTCCATAATCTCCTGTATACGCCAAACGCTGTCAATCGGCTGCGGTTTACTCATCTATTCATCTGCTGAAGCGTACGCACACTTGGGGCTGATAGGTTAAGTGGCGGGAGATTCAGGACGTCCGGGGATGTATGCAAATTGCTGACTAGTTATCATATCATACTATGTGTAAGCTGAACTATGCCTTTGTGTGCTTTTGTGAATCGTGGCGGAAAGCAAGTTGCCAGGATCTCACGTGACTGGTTGTTGTTGAACTCCTTCGTCGTCCTTTGAAAGTCATTCATTCTCCTCCAGTCAGCCATCAAACTATTCAGTGACACATCCAATTCGCTGTTATAATCTCAAGGAGCTTTCCAACCATGGACAACGCTGCCTCAATCACAGTTGCAGGTTCGTTTTCATGCCTCGGGTGGTTTGGTTCAACGAAGCACAAGTGCTCACGCGATCTTCATCTCCAGTTCGAATCAGACCCGTCACAGAATGGGAAGCCGCGCGTTTGCCAGACCCGCTCGACACAACGCGTCCATTTTTTGGCGACGGTAGCCTCGCGTCGCACGTACAAGGGCATAAGTTCGGCCAGTTCCGCAAGATCATTGCATACGAGGAAGACGGTTCACTTATTTATGACCCAATGGATCCCCAAGCAGAGGCCATCTACCGTCAAAAGGGATATCTTCCTCCAGGCACATATCGTTACAAGCATAGAAAATACCAATACGATGTCGTATTTGGCCCAGAAGTGACTCAGCAAGCCGTATTTGAGAGGACAACGAAACCGCTCCTGGACGGAATTCTGGATGGATACAACGGAACAGTCTTTGCGTATGGTGTATGTGTCTCTTTAACATTCAGTGGCATGTCTCATGTACCATAGGCCACTGGTTGCGGCAAGACCCATACCATTAGCGGGACGCCATCAGACCCCGGTATCATTTACGCTACCATGGCAGAGCTATTCCAACGAATAGACGAACGTCGAGAGGATTATGCAATCGACGTTTCTCTCTCTTTTCTGGAAATCTACAATGAGGAGATCAGAGACCTGTTGGCCCCTGCTGGAGCAGACACCCCGCGGGGCGGGCTGGCCATTCGAGAGAACAGCGCGAACAGAGTCACTGTGGCCGGACTTACCGAGGTCGTTCCTACAAGCGCGGATGAAGTAAATGCTATCGTGCAAGCTGGTAATGCTCGTCGAACCCAATCGCCCACCCACGCCAACGCAACCTCCTCTCGCTCACATGCTGTTCTGCAAATAAACGTCACTCAGTCCCCACGAACACCTGGTGTTACAGAGGAACGCACTATGGCGACGTTGTCCATCATCGACCTCGCTGGGAGCGAGCGGGCAAGCGCCACCAAGAATATGGGAAAACGCATGGTTGAGGGAGCAAACATCAACAAGTCCCTACTCGCGCTCGGAAACTGTATCAATGCGCTTTGCGAACCCAAGACCCGCGCTCACATCCCTTACCGAAACAGCAAGCTCACTCGTCTCCTCAAGTTCTCCCTGGGTGGAAACTGCCGGACGGTCATGATCGTCTGTGTGGCTCCCACGTCGCAGCATCTAGAGGACACTGGGAACACACTCGCATACGCAAACCGAGCGAAAGAGATCAAGACGAAGGTGTCCAAGAACATCATGGATGTGGATCGTCATGTTGGACAATACGTCGAAGCCATCAATCGACTCAACGACGAGGTCCGCGAACTCAAGGCTAAACTCGCCGGCGAGATGGCTGTCGAGAATGAAGCCGTCAAACGTCGTCGCGCCAACGCGGCCAAGGCGGTGGAGAACGTTCGTGCAGAGATCCGCGCGCTTGCAGCAAAGAGCAGGACAATGCTCTGTGCTGGCTCGTTCACAGCTGGCAATACTGCGGCGTCGCAAGCAAAACTCGATGTCCTCCGTATACGTGTCAAAGAGTTGGATTCTATGGCCGACCCCTCGTCCGAAGTCGAGGTAGAAAAGGGTCTTTTGCGCGCCCTCATTAACGCCGAGGAGGAGTGTGTTCGAAAAGAGGCCGATACCATTTCCAAGGCGATGAGCTCAGCCGCTCTCTTCGCCACGAATATTGGACTGGCGCAAAGGCGGAAGGGTGACGACTGGGATGAGATGGCTCCGACTATCGTCAAGCTCGAAGGGGATACGGTACTGGCTGAGATGCGCGCAGCTCAGGCGGAGCATGAAAGAGACGGGCTCAAGCAAGCTCTTAAAGGGCAGGCAGCGGTCATCACCACTCTCGTTGGCATGCTGGCGCGAACGAATGCTCTCATGGTCGACGGGGTTCAGATGCTCCGTAGCGGATCAGAGGCAGCGATGAGCAATGAAGATATTGCTAATCGTTTACAAATCCTCATTGATCTCAACAGCAAGACCTTTACAGATGTTATCGGCGTTGCTGTTCCGACAACAGGCGGAAGCAAGAAGACTGGATTTGCCGCGCTGTCTACACGCCCAACTACGAAGCGGCCTTCGGTCAATGGCGCTCCTCCCACTCGTACTCGCCCATCAATGGGCACGCGTCGCACTTCGTTGAGTGGACTCGGATCGCCCGGCCGTCGCCACAGCTATCGATCTCCACGAAAGCCATCATCTCTTCGTGCCGGTGCAATCACTACTACTGGAAGAAAGGTGTCTGGAGAGAAAAAGTCTGTTCGCTGGGCAGTTCCTATCAAACCAGACGAGTCGTATGTAGAGCCCTCTACACCAAAGGCGAAGGTGTCCATTGCTCTACCGACATCCGAGTCCGAGGAGTGGGAGGATGATCGGACTGATGAGAGCTCTGCTGTCGAGACTTCCTCCATGTCTCTGGATGCCGCTATCATGACGATAGGTGCGAGTACCGCCATGCCCAGTGGGTCGTCCTCAGGACCTGCTGTGCGCAAGATCAAGATGGACGAGCCCAAGGTCGTTCTCGATAGTCTCAAGGAGGAGGATGAACAAACTCCGCGCCGGACGGTCCTAGGCGAGCACAATCAACAAGTGACGGCGTCAGCGTCTAAAGCACGACGGCGGTCTGGCATCGGTTCTCTTCGCAGTGATCGCGTTCGACGACGCTCGAGTTTGATTCCTCAGTTATCGCCCAATTATAAGGAAGTGGCCAAAGCTGCTGCCGCTGGCGGAACCGCAACGGGAGAGGCACCGGCCAAAGCGCACCACAAGTCTCCCAAACGCCCAAAGCGGTCCTCACTACTTGGAGTCTTGTCCTCGAGCAGAGTGCGTCCATCATTGTTGAGGATCGGCGTTGAGCAGCCGCCTTCTGGGACTGTAGCGAAGCCATCGTGGAAGTAGAGTGTATGGTATCGTGGACGGTAAGACGCCTTACCGTGTCTGTAGTTTATTGGACGCTTCCGTGCGTAGATCTATGTTACTTGTGCTCTCGTAACTATGTTTTGATATGGCTCAATGCCGAGAGTCTTTAGGAATAACAGGTACATATTTGGTGTAAAAGCCTTGGCCCTTGTACCTTATAACGAGTCTATTCTGTAGGCCAGATCGAGCGAGTGAAGCCCGTAAACACTCTGGAGATGTAAAACTCAGCATAATGCACTTTGGAAAGCAGCAGACACATACTTGGATTGACCCTCCCACACAGGCTCGGTGACTACACTTAGCTTATCAGTTTCATAGGGGCTGAATACAACGTACGCTCAACGGCCAATGTAGACGATGTAGTTGCAGCGGGCAACTGGGTTGCTTCGCTGGTCTTCACAGTATTCGGCGCTTGGATATTAGAGCCTGCCGCTGTAGCAGCGTTGGCGGGTTGCATCACTAAATGCGTCGAACAGTTAGGCGTTGCGAACAGTGATAGAAAAATTGTGACCAGTGCTCATAATTACTTCTAGTTCAGATGCCTCCTAAATTAGGAAGCGGAGGGGGATTGTGAGGGTGCATGTGTTAGGATATTGGCAAAGCTACCGACATTTATAGCTTGGGAGCTGAGTAATATTATCGATCATACAGCGAGAGCTGAATGACGCGTATGCACATGTGGCGGGATTGGATTGGGGCATGTCGTTGAATCCAGGGACAAGTGGATACTCCCCTGTAAACGTCTGGCCTATCCCCCTCACTCCGAAGCAGAGCCATGGCATCTGAGAGGATGAGAACCCGCAAAGAGGCGGGTAGAGGTACGTTTCTTCGGGCGCTCTTTGGGCCAATCCTCCGTTGGATATGTGTGGTACTCGCACTGATACTTCGTTGTCCACACGGGAGCAAGAAGCTGCACCAGAATCTCAGACTCTTCTGTTCATCGGAGAGAAAAGGGGATAATAAATGGACAGTGATAGCATAGTTGGAGTGCAGAAAAGAGAGAGAGAAAGCCAGGGACATTTGCAAGGAAGTTCGCCTGGCCTCATATACTCATCAGTAATGACATGCTGTCATATGTCCAACCCGCAAGGTTGCTGCAGAGACTCCGGTATACAGATAGAAGACTCAACAATCACGTAGATTTGCCGACATCTTTGCGAACCAACGACCAATGCCTCTTATGAGCCTATGAAACCTGCTGATAAGGGTCCTTTATCTACGTGAATCTGCCCTTATGTGTCCCATTGGGGCGCCGGCTATGCCAGTATCTAGCACCTGCGCATGCAGGACTCAAATGAACCTCAGAGATTTCGAACGAATTCCACATAATCTCCTATATTATGAACATGTGCCTGTGACAGCGGTCTCAGTAACGCTATCCGGGGGATATACGGTACAATACAGGCCAGATATCCGACTTAGAAGGAATATCCTCAATATGACAGAAACTCTTCAAAGAAGGGACTTGGACTCTCGAGTAACGGATCTGAGACAGTGGATTTGACACACAAAGATGATAATGAGTGCAGGTGAGCTATATCAGTGATATGATACTAAATCTCATTCGTCTCAATTTCTATGATTTTATCGTTAAGAGTGACGTTTGCGACCTTGTTTCATGCAGCCAGTAAGTGAGCCAGACAATTACACGTCACCTCACTTGTTAGCCTCGACCACGTTGGAACAAGGAACTATGTACAAATAATCAAGGCAATAAAAATAATCGTATAAGTCTGCCATCTAAGCGGAGAACCTATTTTCAAGGCGTGCTTCCGAAAATGCGACCTATCCACATAATATCACATAAACTACTGAAGATAGATAAGATTTGTGAACCCAGATCACGAGGAATAGGAGTAGAATAGGCACAGACAAAGACCAGTCTAATAAACATATGCCCGATTATGTAGGCGAAAATGTGAACATGTCAAACATGCAGTAAATGAGAAACATAATGTTTGATATGAGTCCGGGGGTCTAGTCTATTTGCTTCGGGGTTGGCGACATTACAAGAATGGATTGTCACTCCTTATATAGCCAGCGAAGTAGCTACGAGTAGCCAGAGTTCTTAGTCAATAGCGTCTACTTAGAATCTTGGAGGACACTCACCCATCCTTACTCCATAAAGGTTGCACAACTGGGCGAACAAGGTGATGTAAGTGGAGGGTCTCAACGAACAGAGACACCCACATTCAACTGTTTGCGCAGGAGCTGACGGAGTGTGGTCTTGTGAGTTACCTTCCATTGTGTTTGTGGACGGGTATTTTTGTGTCGTTGAACGATTGTGTGGATTTCCTTGCGTAGTGGGGCTAAAATTTGCCACAGGGTTCTCTGTTTGAGATGAAAGTGGCCGATAGATCAGCAAGGCCGCCTTCTGTATCAGCAGTTTTGCGGAGGCTCCGCAGAGGGTTGTTGGCTCGCGCCTAACCAACTACTGAGTGACGCACCTTGGGAAGCTGAAACGTTGGTCTCCATGAAGTCGATGTATAGCGCTAAAGGAGTGGAGAAGGTGTTGATCTCCAATTCGTCCGCTCATAATCAGCTTTATAGTCAAGCTCGGCATTCTTCCGCCAAAAGTGCCCCAAAACTTGGCAAATAGGTGACCCTAACGACATTTCACTCGCAACCAGGCTGCGAGTGCCTCGTGCCGCAGGAGGCCAGGATGACGCCGACGCCTCTATAACGAATATGAAACGTTGCTGCTGACAATGCATAGCTTAGCAAGAAAAGCTGAGCGGGAGTGACACGGGTTTCCGGTGCACTGCGCCATCCCCAGGGATGCTACCCATCGATCTCGCTGATCATATAGCAACGTCCGGGTTGCAAGAAATGGGCTAATGGATACATTGACAACATATACATTTCACAAGCAAGGGCTGTACTCTTTCACATGGCTCCGAGCCTCATGTTGTCCGGCGGTGAGATGAGCGCTCAACTCTCACATCATGGCCAAGAGCCTACAAGCTCTTCCATCAGCAAAGTGATCCGCAACACAGGTTCACTCTTGAATGTGTTTCTCCCCACATAACCATAGTCGAACTCTGTCAACTGTCATTATACCCTTAAACCCACATCAGGTTGCTTATGTCCGTATCCCAATCGAGCAGACCATGAAACAAAATTTTGTTTCAATAATTGGCAGATCTGTCTTGCCTGTAGTTGTAAATCGATGTTACATCATGAGTCTGTCCCACCCGGGCCTAATCGAGAGGACAGGCGCCACATACTAGCCGACCTGGGCCGTACGAGCTGGGCTCGTTCATCAGTCCTCAGCGACTGATTCTGTTGGATAAACATAATACAGATGACATTGCTGCGTGAATCCGTCCCATATGCCCATGAATTGAGGGCGCAGAAGTGGGCCGACGGAGAGACGCAGGAACAGGTGTGGATAAGGGATTTACTTTGCCCTCCGCTGTGACTGGCATGGAAGAACTGACAACCAGCGCGTACATACTGCATACTTTGTGATAAAGGAGTATTACTGCTGGTGTCAGACCGAGTGCCGATGTGGTGTAGTCTAGTCGCATGCCAAATGGCTCAGAGCTGACGCATATATCCACATACCTTTGTACTTGAGCTCCCGACACGGATCCCTAATAGACCTTTGGCTTCTTCTACGAACTCGCCTGCACTCATTTAGAAGTCCATCAGATTAAAGAAGAGTGTACCAATTCAGGGCTCCGTCTATGAACACCGGGGATAGTTCCCAACGAAGGTATGGGATGCGGAAGTAGCTTGTATTGTATGAAGGGACCGGGATTGAGCAATCTCGGTAATGTAATTTTGACATGCGATAACGTGTACAGGCTAATAAACTCATTAGGGTCTTTATAGATCCCTGCTTTCGATTTCATCTCCTCGATCGACGTCAAGTTGTTTGCTAGTGCAATGCGCTATCTTGGTTCTTGTCTTCTCTCATTCTCTCGCTTATCCTTTGTCCCAAATGGCAAAATATACGGCCACTATTGCGTTAGAAGGGGTGTCTGGGGCGATGTCTGCTCCCGATGAGTGGATGCCGTACTCGAAACGTGGTGCAGGTTCATGGGGACCGACCACATTCATCCCTGTCACTTTCGAAAAGAACCATCTATGATACTTTCTCCACGACTCTCCACGTCCCCGAACTTTCGTGGGAGGATCTTCCAGGGCTGGTCTGGTTGTGTATTCCCTCGTTATCAGGCATCGCGCATTAAGCGAGATTGTTGGGGAACTCCGTATCAAGATGACTTGCGACCATTCTGTTTGGAATGATGTCGGTTGTGGCGCGTGAAGCTGGCCTGGGAATGCAAGATCGACTTTTCTCCGTTCAAAATGCATTAAGATCTAATTTTGCATATTTGGGACGGAATTAGATATCACCCAAGACTATAGGACTAGTTCTTTACAAGGTAGGTTTTCGTGGGAAGGCTCGGATGTCAGTACTCGTAACTGTGTCATTTCGCATTAAATACAGGTAATGAGGACTTGATTTCGCCGTTAAGGTGTCGCATCGGAAGCATAGATGTGGGTATATTTCTGACGTTACAGATAACATAGCGAATCGAGCAAACAAAACCGATTCTTGTCACCGCATAATGTCAAGCGCAAGTGATAGCATGTATAGACATATGTTAAAGCATATAGCGTTCTCGACACCTCATAAGCTTGCTTGATATACTCCGGGGTCCCAACTTCAATTGGATGGGTCGTCACTTCTTCTAAACCCAGCGAAGCACCTAAATGTGGACAAGAAGTTATTCGATAGCCAAAAGTAGGAAAGGGGGAAGGATTCTACCTGTTTTGGTCCCATAAGGGCTCCACAACTGCGAAAAATGTGGTCAGTCACTTACATAGATGTCGTGGATGTAGGAGTACGCACATTCAAGGCACGTCTGTGGACCTGGGATTGGTTTCTGGCCGTGAAATTGGCATTCTGCGTCTTCGGAACTACTCTTGGTGCTCGTGGAGACATGGGTGGTTATGGCGGTTTGCCCGCCCTGTGATGAAACTGGGAAGTTTGCATTAGCATACTGAGGACCCTCCGATGCAAATACCGCCGAGGAGCGGATCGGCCTCTACACCGACATACGTTGGTGGCTTGTGCTGTTAGATGCCATGGTCATAAGTATGGGAATTGAAAGAGTGAAGGGGAAAGGAGAGACGAGTTTGATGAACCTGATTAGAGCAGATTCTGCGTCTTTATAGTAGCCCAATGCAAGATCACGCTTGCTTCACGTCCCGCAGAGTCACGAACAGCTATCCATAGTGGTATAGTAAGAACCAGCCTGGTCCAAGCTCCAAGAGGAAATAGCTCCGATGCCGAGCGCAGGTGTAGTGAGAAGACATCGGTTACACATATGCATAATCTTGAATGCAACGGGCCTCGTTGCTCGGTCGTGAATTAACCAAAGGAATCTTCACGGGCAAACCTCGTCGAAGGAAAATACGGCGTTCCTCCCTAAAATCTTGGCAATGACACTGACTTGGTTCGCGTGGGCCGCTAAGTGATGCTGTGCACGGCAGGTTAGCCATCGGCATTAGGTGTGGTGAAGCGCCGCTGGGGTTAGGCCCGTCGATCGTAAATAGGAGGCTGGCAAATAATGGCGGCCAACTGCACCACCTGGCTGATGAATAGGGCAACCGTATGCTCGCCCCCCACGCGTCGCGTATCCCGCCGGTAAGTCGAGTATTGACCCCCACAGTCGTTGTACGCAGACATTACCAGCTCTGGATAATCCTAGGTTCAAGAACAAGTAACAGGACATATTTTGGCATCCAGACAGGTAGAATCGATTGGTCTCGCATCGATGCTCGCATGGCGCGGCGCAACTTGAACGGAACCATAATCACCGAGTGACGCCAAGCCCGCCAATTTACTCCAAATACGGCACCCCCTTTTGAGGTTTACCATCAAATTTACCGGACCCAAAGGCCATTCTCCTGAGCTGCTCAACAACGGCCATTTCTTCATCATTGCACTTGGTTCTTCGTATCTCTAGGCAAATTAGGACAAATTAGAGACAGACTATGGTTAACCATGCGAGGAAACCACCCGAGCATACCCGTTCGACCGCAAGCGAGCATGACGCGCCTACTTCGAATGAGAGGTGGGGAGATTCTACTATGCTCAAAGAAACATTAGGATTCGAGTACTCCGCTGCTTATCACTTGTACAAACGGCCCACGAATATTTCGACCCGTCGGCACTACCATGCAACACGTCCTCTACGACCATCTCCCAGGGTCAAAGTAAGTAGCCTCATGGCTCTCTGCGCAGGAATGAATTGAATTCATTCGATTTCCAGGGTCGATCTCCCTCGATGAGATAACCTGCGGCAGCGGGACCCAAAAGGATAGACTATCTCCCAAGCGGCAGCATGAATGTCCGGACTCTGCACTCTTCTTGGTAAAATCGCGAATGCATATCCATATACTCCGACCACTCCGTTCTTCCGAATGTGGTTCGTGAATGATGAAGATGACCGGCCTCGTGATCAGGACCAGAATTTGGCCTGCATAACAGATAAAACCGCACAGCTTGTCGTACTTTTGCGGAATCTACCGGAACCGAGCTTCTGTCCCTGAGTTAGATCAGCAGCAAATTTGGTCGGCCCGTAGCTACAGCAGTCTGGTTCATACTAGCGCTCAACCCACGCTCTCAATTCATTCTATACAGCCGACATACCTGCCATCGCACCGCCGCGGCATACCACCGTATCCCTTCCCATCGAAAGATCTATCTTTCGACTCGTACATCCCGATTACTAGTATATGGTATCATTCAGGTTGCTAAAGCATTCTCATGTTTGCATCCTACGCTTGGCCGGCAGGTCCCCCCGCCTCGGTATGAGGAGATGAAGTGAAGCTTTCAGACAGACAAACTCTTTCACTGCCACTGGAGCTCTTTAAAACTGGAGTATCTCTGGTACAAATAGGAACAACGTGCACTGCGGAACAACTCCCCGGCACTCACACCTCCCTGCTGGATAGCTCTCAGTACGTCGGTTTACGAGGATTTCCTATTTCAAGTCACTGAATAGCGCCCATAGCATAAAAATCTGCTCGTCGCAACAACCTGCTCGTAAAAAGACCACAGAAATTATGGCCGACGCTCCCAATCAACACAATCTCGGTGGCTTTGGTATGGATCACGCGTTTGGTTCTCTCGTGGTGACTTAAAATTTACTACCAGGACGACTCCAGGAGGAATCTAACGGCGATATCCGTTCACAAAGCTCCACTTTCCCTGTCTATTCAGATAGCCAACCTTCACTCAGTAATAGGACCAATCACAGACCTCCTGACCAGCCACCACTGAACTGGCAATGCGGCTCCCCTCCAAATACCTTGCATCCCATACAGAATATGCCCCTTGCCGTTCAAACTGTCTCGTATCACCCCGAGATCACTCAACACATGTATTCATCCGGCCCGGCCCATGCATCCTCAACTGGCTACTCCGCTCCTAGACCACAGTATGATCCAGGTTTATATATCAGAAATCGGAGTCCCCCACAGCATGCACTGCAAGGGCCGCATCACACACCTCTCAACCCTTCAGCATTTTCTAAGCCAGCCGTCTACCCATACCCGGGCCTCAACCCATCAAATGAAATCTCCGATGTGCCAATCCCTGGGTATGTTGGTTGTGGCATGAGTAATGAACCCGTGGATCTGCGTTCATCGCATGCCCGCAACTTGACCTCTGATGTAAATGGCTACGGATCCGATGGCATTACCAAGTCACACGGTGCCAGTATGTCCAGCCGCAAATCGCCGAGGCCAGTTAAGCCCTGCGAATACTGGTAAGTGTTGCCGTATCTGTTGCATTTCCGATATTCAGATTATGGCGATAGCTCTCAACTTCAGTCTGCTGCAAATATTGCGCGCCATCGTCGGAAGTGCCCTCGAAATCCTGGAAAAGGGCGAGACTTTGCTAGCTCTAGCTCCGGGCCCACAGGCCAATAGTCACAAAGTTTGTTGTATTCGTGAGCGTGTGAATGCACGGCCATTGGCCATTGGCGAGTTCCTATGGACATTTGTTTGTCTCCCCCGCTCCACGGCCTTGTTTAATTTTCGCGGCGTTTATATCGCGTGGCTTGGCGCGGGATGCCGTCGACTCAAGCCGGCAGAAACAACTTGGACCCGGCCACCTCACTCTCTGAATCTTGAAATCTCTCGAGACTTTGCGGGACCATCTCCTGCGGGCCTCAGACACTCTTTTCTGCATACAAGCACGTTGCTCGAAGCGGCCGGGAGTGCCCGTTGCTTATCTCACAAGTCCTATAAATCCACAGTCTACCTTTTCCGTCATATTTTAAACCTTCCGAATGCAGCTCTCCTCCGCCAACGGCACGGCGCGTGACCTTTTCAATGGATTTCTGCGACTGCCCATCACGAGGCGGCTCGCGATCATCGCAGTCTTTTTAGTCGCGTTTCTGTTCATGCTCACGCTCCACTCTGGACCTCAAGCTCCCCCGCTGGATTTGGACCGCCCGTATTTGGCGCAGAAGCCCGATCTACAACTGGACCGTGATCCGAGCCAATGGAGTCAGCGAAGAGAGACTGTACGAGAAGCATTCCAGCATGCGTATGGAGCATACGAAAGATATGCGTTTGGCAGGGATGAACTGAAACCATTGAGCAACCGAACCCAGAACAAGTAAGTGCCCTATCAGTCTTGTCGATGAGAATCACTAATGGTTCCCCCAAGTCTGAACGGTTGGGGTCTGACTATCGTTGATTCGTTGGACACTATGCTTCTCATGGGCTTTGACAAAGAGTTTGAACGTGGGGTTGAGTTTGTGGAGAAACTCAATATGAGCAAGAATGTGAGGATCCATACAGAATATCACTTACAAAAATACTGAATGAGAGCACGCCCTCAGACGCACAGAATTGGATTCTTCGAGACGGGTATTCGTTATCTCGGCGGATTTCTCAGCGCATACTATCTCGCGAACAAGTCTTCAACGCCCTCCCACCGCGAGAAATATGCACCTATTCTCCTGCAAAAAGCGGATGAGCTAGGAGAGATCCTGGTCTCCGCCTTTAACACCCCATCGGGGTTGCCGGTGACGAGCATACGGATAGAAGAGTCGGTGTTAAAGGCTTACGCACCTTGAGTAGTACTCACGCCCTTTGTCAGTAGCTCCGTTGTGCTTGGCAATTCGAATGGTGATACCTATCTGGCAGAAATGGCGTCCTGCCAGATGGAGTTTAAGTATCTTGCACATCTCAAGAAGGAAAGCGACTATTTTCTCAAGAGTGACAAGGTTATGGACCACATGGAATCCGAACAAGGCCAAACGCAAGAGCGAATGATGGGCAAGGATGAAACTGGGAAATGGGTCGAGAAAGTCTCGACCACGGAAAAGACTGGGCTTTGGGTGACCAGATGGAGTGTGACCAGCGGAAAGATGACTGGCAGTGAGTGATCTTGATTGACCGTGACGATGCATGCTGACCCCACGACAGCGAGTGTCTCGGCCGGGGCTATGGCCGACTCTGCGTTTGAGTATCTCCTCAAACAATACCTGCTCAGTGGTCGCTCAGAGAAGCGACTACTAACTATGTGTGAGGCCCTTGTCTGACACGCAGTTCTGAAGACTTATTCATTATTCACCAGACCTTGACGCAATGGACGGCATCTTTAACCATCTCCTCTATTTATCAACTGAGAGGAACCTACTCTACGTGACAGATCTTGGCAACTGGGCAAATCCCTCTGGAAACATGGAGCACTTGTCCTGCTACCTTCCTGGCGTTCTGGCTCTTGGTGCCAAGGTGTTACATCCCGATTACCCATGGCCAGACCAGCGATCTTCGCGTATCATGTCTCGTTCACCTGTGCCGCCAAGGAACTTGAAGGCCAAGCTCGACATTCACATGCGGGTGGCAGTCGGTCTTGCATATACGTGTTGGAAAATGTATGACGACACGGAAACCGGTGTTGGGCCAGAAAATCTGCACTTCTATGCACCTCCTAAGAAGAATGGTACGCTCACGCGGGATCAGTATGATCCTGTTAGATGGGGACCAAAATTGGCATCGTGGGAGAGGAGTGGACGTGTTGGTCCCCTTGTTGGAACGGAAAGGTGGCCTACGGCCAAACCGAAGCATCAAGAGACCGCCCCTCGGGACCAACGGTATCTTCTCCGACCCGAGGTACGCTTTCCTACTTTACGTGGAGTGTCATATCCTGAGATATCTTTTAGGCTCTAGAAGCAATGTATTTGCTGTGGAAGACCACAGGGGACCCGGTTTGGAGAGAGCGAGGGTGGAAGATGTTCGAGAGCATCAACAAGTGGACTCGTCGTGACAATGGATACTCGAGCATCTATTATGTCAATTCCGACGAGCCACATCCCGTTGACGATATGCCGAGGTCCGTCTTTAATGCAGCCTTCCTCTACTTGTCCATCTGACCAGGTACCATAGCTTCTTCCTGGCGGAGACACTCAAGTATGCCTGGCTAAACACTCTTGATTACGATCCACTACCTCTGGACCGAATCGTCTTCAACACGGAGGCGCACCCCCTCCCCATCTTCCAATGGACGCCAGAAGAGATAAAGATGTATAATATCCACTAATACTCCTTCACATTCGTCGTATTGGCTCTTTATTCGTACGGTTATATGTATTTTCTTTAATTGGAGCCTAGTTGGCGCGCCTGTTACGTTATGGTGACTAAGCTCCAGGATCGTAACTGATGGACCATCAAGACTTGCTTTCCGCCACGACCATGAGTTCGCAGAAAAAGGTCCAGAAACTATCTACGCAACTTATTCACGCAGACGCGGACTTTGCAGATGTCCACATAGGACCTGCCATCTCGGTTTCTTCTAGTACGTTTCGACCTGCCAGGATTGCGTCGAGTGACGGGATGTCCTAGCATATCGCTATCCGGAGATTAAGGAGGGTAAATGGGAATCTGTCACAAAAGACTGGGATGTATTTAATCCCAAGATGCATGTTTATTCTCGCTATACGGTGGGGACGAGTACGCGAGCGGAAAAGATACTCGGCGCAATGCATGTTTGTGATGCCATGATGTTCAGAAGATCATTCTGACATATTCAGGGTGGATATGCACTTGTTTATTCTTCTGGATTATCAGCCGGTTTTGCGGTTAAATCATTCATTGTCGCCACATTTCGGGTACTGACTCTGCATGTAGGCTCTACTCTATGCGAGACCAAAGAGGGTCGCTATCAAGGGTTTGCAACTCGGCTGCTCTTGAATCGTGTCTTACTGTTGACAGGAGGCTACTTTGGATTCCATAACACGATTGGCGTGTATCAGAAGATTAACCCCGCAGTCGTAAGCACGGTTGGTTTCGCCCGACGCTAACTCAGTGTATTTAGAAAATGATCGACTTGGACGATGAATATCAAGCGGGTGATCTCGTCTGGTTGGAAACACCTCTCAACCCAACTGGAGAAGTCAGGTATGAATTGACGAGCTCCATTCTTTGACTAATAGTGTCTCAGGGATATCGAGTACTATGCAAAAAAAGCACATGCTGCTGGGGCAAAATTAGCCGTCGACGCCACTTTTGCTCCTCCGCCACTCCAGAATCCATTCAAATGGGGGGCAGACATTGTCATGCATTCAGGTGGATTTCTTTGATACTCGAAGATGCTAATGTCTCTAATGTCTGCTAGCGACCAAGTACTTTAATGGGCACAGCGACGCGCTTATTGGCGTTCTAGTGTTCAAAACAGAAGAAGCCTGGCGTGAAGCTTTCCATAATCGCACCTACCTCGGCCACCCCGCAGGATCCCTCGAATCTTGGCTTCTTCTCCGGTCACTGAGAACCTTCTCCCTCCGCATTCTAGCGCAGTCAAAGAATGCGACCGAGCTTGCACGGTGGCTTAACCAGATTGCCAAAACTCCAAAGGGAAAGTCGTATGATGGTGCACCTGGGGGAACGATCAGCTTTGTTTGGCATGGATCGCTTCAGGACAAGGGCAAGTTTGATCCCGCGAAGCAGCACGAAGGTGGCTTCGCGCCTACGTTCTCCATCTTGGTATGCCTTTTATCCCATTCCAAGCCAGCACTGACCTTTGCAAGATGGAGAATCCGTATCATGCCCAGCGACTCCCAGAAAGGCTCAGGTTGTTTACGGTAGGTGCCTATACATCTATCGGTCATCAAACTCACTCTTCTAGCATGCTACTAGTCTGGGTGGTGTCGAAAGTTTGATTGAACAACGCAAGCATTCAGACGAGAATGAAGATGCTCGCCTACTCCGTATTAGCGTCGGAATCGAAGATATCGGTGTAAGCAAGCTCCGAGTATGTCGATGTAGCTCATGTGGCTCTAGGACCTTAAAGCCGACTTTCGTCAGGGCTTGCATGCAATCCTAAAGGAGAAGGCAAAGCTTTGAAACTCGTGTCATTTGCCGTGGATGAACGTGACGTTTGTGTTGTGCTCGTCGGTGGCTGTCCCAAAGAAATAGACTTGGCCTCTAACTCTTCCGAGCTGTGAACTACGATGCCTCCATTTTCGCGTCTGCAACTCGCAGCAGCGCTTATTGGTCAGTGAAAAGTGTGTAAATATCACTGTGAGCTCATGGAGATACAAGAATACGACAACGATCCAGATGATCCAGATGCGCCGTACCGTTCTGCCGAGTCTAGCGCCATCTTTTCCTTTCTACGAGGTCGACCGAATCCACGAAATACATTGATGGGTTATGACGAGATGCCGCGCAAGAGCGTCGACTATCTCGGTGTCACGATTCCCAACGAGGGACACGGCCAGCTGCGGTCGCCGGCAGTGGGCGGTCGAATGACGCCGAATGAGCCACCTATGCCTACGTCAAGACGACAGAGTATGGAGATGCTGGCAAACGGTCGCAAGACGCCAGATGGCCGACGATCCATGGAACCCTATGGCCGACCGTCGAGCGAAATGCAAAATGCCATCTTTCGGGGACATGACGATGAAGACGATGACGATGACCTACACGATACTCCCGAAGTCAACCTGGCGTCTTGGGGCGTTGACGAATTTCTTGTCAAAGAACAGCCGAGAGCTAGGTCGCGAGCCAGTAGTGTCAATGCGTATAACCGAGCAGCCTCTCCTGGTCCGAGTATGAGACCGAGCATGCACGAACGCGTCGCTTCCACCGCGTCTGCAGGGTTGGGGTCTGTTCCAGCTCAACGAGGAGCGAACCGACGCTCGGATGGCCAACGAGCAATGAGCGCAGGTGACTGGGGAGTGCGGGAGCAAGCAGTCGACTTTGAGGGAGTTGATAAACCCCGAACTTCGACCTCTTCTGGCCGGCCTCGCCCCACCTCGGTGGCAGACCTCGACGATCTTGCGGCTCAAAACCAACATCCTCCCATCTCGTATCGAGCTCGAGCAGGCTCCGTCTCTGGTTTGCAACAAGTCGCCTTTCCGTCCAGCGCTAGGTCGGAGTCAGTCCATGAATCGAACCCATTCGAGATCCCACCCCCTTCTCCTACACACACTTCTCGTTTTGACCCGAAAGCGACAGCGCATCAGCGAAATATCTCGTTTGCTTCCCTCAGTACGCACCGTATCTTGGATGCGAATAGGGACGTGCCGGACAATGCCTCAGTGATGGCTGGTCCCCTTCGACATGAGCCCCCCAGTCGTTATTCTCGAGCAGATATTCTTCGCCCCAAGGTTCTCGTCATGCCTGCCCCACTCCAAGAACAAGAAGAAGCCAATGCCCCGGCTCCGCGACCCGTACGCGAAGGCTTTCAAGATTCGACAGACTCACGACCTCTGCCTCCTGGTGCTAAAACTGTGGGCGCGTCGACGTATGGAACTGGAGGCAACCACAACTACCGCTCGAGCATGACGCTCTCTCAATTGACATTCCGGAATTCGCTCATGGTCGGTGGTCAGCGGGATCCTTCATTTGTAGATTTGGAGCGCCATCTTCGGAGGGCGGAGCATGAAGGAGAAATGATACAGCAGGAGATGGAGCCAGAGTTGGAGCTAGCTTTGGAGGAACCTATGGGCCCCCGCGCTCCTGGAAAACTGTACGGGAGGAGCTTGATTGACGACTTGGAGGCGAGAAAGGCACAGCTCAAGAGCAAGCAACGGTTTGTGGGTTTGTCTCGGTACTGACCTATGACTTATGTACATCCTCAGAGTATTCCGTGGGGATGACCGTCCTTCCATGATGCAAAGACCGCAACCAAGACGGGGTAATACCCTGATTGACGCTGAGGATCTGCATCAACCCGCCCAAAGCAGCGCTCCTCGCCCTCAGATGATGCGCAACGCAAGCTCGCAGGAACCGTTGGTCAACTTTCGGGACGACCCAGTCCCAGGAACGAATTTACGTCCAAATGCAGGCAGAACTGGTACTGGCTTGACCACGTCCCGCTCCGTCTTTGGTGTCGACCCTATATGGGAGCGAGAGTTGGAGAAGCTCAAGGTCATTGAAGCTCAGGAAAAGGCAGAAGCCGAAGAGCAACAAAGGCTCGAAGACGAAAAAGCTGCCAAAAAGGCCGCCAAACGATCGAGAGGAAAGAACAAGTCGATCGACAACTTTGGCGCATTTGTTCATTCCGGTGACCATGCCGCTGGACACGATCCTGAAGGTTCACCTATACCAAGAGCATCTGCAGAGCCACCCCTTCTCCCTGCGGTCGATCCATTCCCCATGCCACCACCCGCCCAACCCGAATCGGACTCGGACTCTGACAACGAAAGAGAGGTGGAAAGACGGAGAGCCGCTAGCCGCATGCGGACTGCGGGCCCAAATGACGAATGGCTTTCTGACGATGAGAGAGAGGCCCTTGCTCGTCGCATTCCTCCGCGAGTGCAGCCGCCTGCCACCGCCAAGTATGCTGCCGGACTTCGTGTCGGCGATAGCGACAGTGACGAAGATATTCCGTTGACTAGCGCGCTAGTCAAAGCGCGACAACGTCAAGAAGCCGAAGATTCAGAGGAGGACAAGCCTCTAGCAACAGTGCTCAAAAAGTCTATCTCCACCTTTGACTTTGGCGGAACAGTACTTGCCGAAGTAGCCAAACCACCGCTGAAGAAGCAAGCAGCCGATTCGGATTCGGACGACGACAAACCGTTGGGATTACGTCCTGTCCCATCTCAGAGCAGGTTTTTATCTGTGAATAATCCCGATGACGAAGATCAGCCCTTGGGATTGCGATATTCTGTCGCCGGATCTCAGATGTTTGGCGGACCACAGCAGCAACAGCAGCAGCAATTCATGATGCAGCAGATGATGCAACAGCAAATGATGGCGCAGATGCAAGGTTCCATGTTCAATCCCATGATGATGGGCGGCAGCATGCCGACTATGGGCATGCCGATGGGTTTCCCTCCAATGGGTATGAATCCACCCATGATGCCCATGGGCCCTGGTTCGTTTACAAACCCAGCACCTCCTGCTGACCAAGCTACGTATGGCAGAGTGGACAGATGGAGGCGCGACGTCGGGGCATCAGCTGATTGATTTTTACATATACTCTTACTCATAATATCGTGTTCTCTCTCTCGTGTGTCGTACTGAATTATTGTCACTTATTTCCATGGTGGAAAGAGAAACCTTTGGCATTACAACACACGCGAAAGATGAGCGAGAAACGACAAATAACCGAGAGCACGAGAACGATGGAGGAATAAAAGTCCGGTATGTACAAACGCACCACCATCTACAAACGGAATAAGGGGTGAATCTAATCGCAGTCGCGCCGGGACGTGCAGCGGCACATACGTAGAATTAACCTTGGATCCAGGTGATCATACTCGCGGGACCCCCCGCGCCAACATTCTTTGCAATCGTCTCTCGTCTGTCGTACCACTGTTTCATACTACGAACGAGAGCGATAATCTTGTCGGGTCGGGCATCCCGAACATCTGCAAGGCTGATTCCAGAGAGCTTGACGTCGTTGTCGACCAAAAAGTCGAAAAGCTTCATCAAGCCATCGATGCGCTCTTCTTGATTATCGAATAGGTGGTCGGGTACAATAGGATCATCGGGGGAAGGAGAACGCAGTCGTGCACTTGCATAATCACGTCCGTACTTGATGGATTCGGCTAGGCGGAACAGGATGAGACCTGATGAGAGAGAGCTGGAAAGATCGGTAGCCAGAGGTGTCTGGTCGGGAAGTTGGGAGTTGATCCACTGGATTAGCGCAGCATTGGAATTAGAGCCGCCGGCTTTGGTACCCTAGAGAGAGCTCGGTTATTTCCTTGTGGGCAATGCGCGTCGCGTACCCACTTCCGACTTGTTAACTATACTTGGCCTTCGCATTTCACGCGAGGGTCGTTGAGGAGCAGAGGGGCCGGGCACGGCTAAGGACGAATGAGTCGACGTGTTTAACAAGGACTGGACTTCACGAACCCCCTAGAACGGCAGATCCTTCTGCGATACCCATAAGAACTTTAGCATCGCGACTGGACAGGCCGCTGTTATCTGCTTGTCTGGCCTTTTGCGCGGCTGCTATCGCCTTTGGCGAAGGAGGTCGTGGCGCGGGGTTCATTGCTTGCGCGACCGTCAATGGGATCGTTGGGATATTGCAAGACGAGACGACGGGACCTAGCTAAAGTCAGACTCTATACATTACGCCGGTACTGCCACTCACGAGCAAAATCTCTGTCGATGGTGGCCTTCATTAGCGCCTTCATCCAATCTCGTACAGTTGCTTGGTCTTCGGAGCTGAAGAAATGGGGTTTCTGGGTATCGTGGATAATACGGAAGCCATATCTCCCAGGATGAGTGGCCTCGTCTGCGATAATCTTATAGCCTCGAATGTTAATATAACCCTTCATGCGAGTTTCCTGAAGACGAAATGAGTAGGAAGGGTGTTTAAAGAGTAGATACACACCTGCTTGCTCCTAAGATAGTAGAGGTGTGGTCCCTTGAGGAAGAAGAAGCGACTCTTCCAAGTGCTATACCTCTCTCCCTTCTTCAACATAAAGCCAGAGTGATCCGCCTCTCCCAAAATGCTATTCAGCTGAGGCAAGACTGGCTCGCCTGGTTTAAGAGTAATGGCACCCGACGGTGTCTTGGGGCTTATAGGACTCTCATTTGTCGACGAGAGCATATTTGACCTAGGATCCCCAGAGAGCGTTCGCTTGCGCAGAACACCTGCAGGACCCGCAGGGTGCTCCATCTCCCTTTCGTGCGCTCTTTCCCTCTCCTTAGATTCTCGCTTGACGCGTTCGCGCTCTTCCTTTTCTCGTTTCTCCTTTTCACGTTCCTCCTTTGCCTTGCCCACACGTGGAGGTCGAGTCGGTCCTGCAAGGTAAAGTTTGGAGTGAACTTTCTGCTTTTCGGTTTGACTAATATTAGGCGAACCAAGTTCTGCGGATTGATCGCTATAGGGACAGAGACAGTATGAGCGTTCATATTCCACGGGTACAAGATCGAACGTACGATGAGTACCTCGGTGCAGGCTTTCGATTGCGAGAGATTGCGCTGAAGAAGCTGAGGCGATCAGACGGCTTTGTATCAAGACTTGAACGCGGCCGCCCAGAGGCACGAGAAGGTGTATCGGAGCGAGAATTTGGCGTGTCAGGCGGATCACGAGACGCAGCTGAATCAATGGACAATATCTCTTTCTTGCGCTTTCGAATATCTGACTACAAGGGGTTTGAGCATTACACAAACCCCCAAAGGAAAACTTACATCACTCATCGCAGTGCGATCATCTTCTTCCTCCGATACGGGCACTACTCCTCTCTGAGCGAGCGCAGTATCACTTGGAGATAATGCCAAAGAGCTTGGTCGGCCCTTTCCCTAAGAGAGGTCAGTCACCCCGAAAAATACTCGCAACTCTACAATCACCTTTGATGCACCATGACCAACCGTAGCAGCCTTGTCCGATAACGTCATGCCACTCATGGACATTGCTATGCGCGCAGCTTCTCCCACTGCGTTGACCCCAGGATCCGAATCGACTCTCGCGTGTACATGCCCAGCATTTGGTATCTAAAACCCACTGAGCTCTCCTCTTGTGCATTCTTGACGACAAGCTTACCCGTTGTTGATCATAACTGGTAGAAGCAGTCGGTCCCGCTGTATCTCCAGTAACCGTCACGTATGGGTTAGGGCTAAAGTTTCCGTTGGGGTAAGGTTGCGCCTGTTGACTTTGCAGCATTCCAAAGATGTTTGGAGAATTCATCGCAGAGAGGCCACCGCTGCTGATACTGGCATTGTAGCCCTGGGTACTCTGGCTGAGTGACTGATAGTGCGAAGGTACAATATTCGGCATAGATGTTGATGCGCCAAACTGCTGGGCAGTCGAGGATTGCGGCGCACTTGACATTTGCGATGGCGCTCCTCCCATAGAAAACTGCGAGATTGACTGAGGTTTAAGAGATGCGGCATCCGAAGATTCGAAAGAGGGTGGCCGGCGAAGCTCGTTGATAGCATTGGCAATCTTCATTCGCTTTCCAAACGCTACGATGTCAATCTCCTTGAGCATGTTGACATCAAACTCGAGCAAGACATCTCCCGTAATCTCATGCTCTGGAAAGGGATCAGGATCGACCGACAAGGCAAAGAGTAGACCCACCGATAAATTTGGAGCAGACTCCATCATCAAAACCTTTGCTTTTCAACCACTCGACAACTTGATCGACGGACCACTCAGACGGAGGAGGCTTCTTGAGTTTTGGAGAAGTTTGGGATGCAGCTCCCGGAGGAGGCACAAGGGACGCAGATGGTGCGGTCGAGATGATCGAAGCCGCTGTACCAGGAGTGGTCGAGACAAACGAATGCTCAGCAGCAGAGGACGGTGCAGTCGTGCTTCCGTGCTCTTGACTGATCCTCTCACTCTGTATGGCCTTTGGAGCCGGCGAGGACGTTCGGGGAGCCGGCGAAATAGTCGGCGCACTAGTTGACACAGTAGCCGGCGCATTAGTCGATGTGCTCGGTGGTGCATGCGTCGTTCCATTTTGTGCGCTGCTGAATGTTGCAGCAGTAGGGGACGGAAGAAACGAAACGTACGATGGCGTCGCGCTCAGAGGTGGTGTGCTCTTTGGTGGCGTGCTCTTGGCCGGTTCGACGGGATGCGACGAAGAAGAGATTGGGTAAATAGTATTCGTCGCAGTGGCGGTTAAAGGAGGAGAGTTGACCAACGGACTAAACGGCGAAGTGGGTGCCAAATTGGGGAGATACTGCGAAGGTGTTTTTTCAGATGTCTCGCTCGCTTTCTTCGTGGGAGGCGTATTGTCCATTACAGGCACTGGCGCCGGCTTTGGCTCAGGGACAGGTGTAATCGCCCGTTTGTCCTGCGATCCGGTAACTGGCGCAGGCGCGGGTGTGGGTGTTGCTTCACGCCTCGTTTCGACCTCCGCCTCGGAATGAATCGCTAAAGTGGGACTATCGGCCTTTGCAGGGCTCTCCGTCAATCGTTTGACACCCGCTGTAGAGACATTCGAAACGTCGGCGTCCCCTCCCGCGTCATCTCTAGGCAACGATGTAGTTGAGGCGTCGGGCGCGAATGTTGAGGGCAACGTAGAAGGAATCGAATCGTCGTGATGAAGCTTGTGATGCTGAGGATCTCTGCTGTGGTGGTGGTGATGATGATGCCCGTCTTCATCCTCGCTTTCGTCACTAAACTCGGCCTCGACTGGGGGGCGATGGTGATGTCGGTCATAGGCATCGTCAGATTCCTCTTCCAATCTCCTAGCCATGTCCATCTGGTCCACCTTTTCGAACAGACGTCTCCTGGCATCGCGGTGCCAATCCTCGTTCATGGTCATCCGGTTGGTGCCGCCGGGTGTAATGTCCGCTTCGTCATACATGCTATCTCGAATGCTCCGATCATCATAGGCTCTAAGACTCCTGTCGTCGATACTTGTGCGATCATCCCGGGTCGATGCAAACGACATGCTACGATTGTCGTCTGTCATTGCCGAATGGGAACGATTCGCACCAAACTGATCGATTGCTTGCTGAATGTCGGTCATTGTCGCGGCCATGACCTGTCCGCCTCCATGAGACTTCGAGCCATTCGGCATCGGGGCGCCCTGGGCAGTGTCGGACTCGGGTTCCTCTGTGAGTGGATGCAAGGTGCTCCCATAGCCAGCAGAGTGAAACGAAGAGGTAGAGTATCCTGCAGCTTGATTGTTCGTTGTGCCAGCTTGTCCGTGGAAATTCGTGTTGCCGGTCGGAGTTCTCAGGTCTGGGATGAGCGGCCCTGGCATGGTATAATCCTTTGGGAAAATTCCCGTGTGACCGGCCAGGTTTCGACCCTAGAGAATGCGCAAAAGTCGCGTGTCAGCGATGAGCAATTGTCCGCCGCTGGTGCTTGCAGATCGTTTCGTACTCACCGTCCACCAGCCGTCTCCATACGCATCGTCCTTTTCTAGCACTTCGATTCTTTCTCCAGCCACAAAGGCTATCTCGTCGTCATTCTGAGGCTCAAAATCGTGCAGGGCGTAGACGTATTCGATGGCCATCCTTTTCTTGCCGTCGCGATGGCTTGACCGGGAGATAGGTGGAGGGTCGGTAGCTAGATCCGAGAGCCCCTAGCGTAGACAAGAAAGTGGTGGGATGACTGCCGGACTGGCTGCGCTTATACACGGTCTGTGAATAGCACGAGGTGCCGAGCTTGAGTGTATGAAATGATGTATTGAATGTCGAGGGTTTGAAGATGATTCCGGCGCCTGTATCAGCGACGTCGTTTGTTCAGAATGCCCAAAAGTGTCCTAATGACCTCAAACGTGGATATCGGGTCGCCGCAATAACTGTAAGCCACGCCGCTGCTGGTAGGTGAGTAGACTACAGCTCCCTGCGTTTGTTATCTGGCTGCTGGAGAGCGTACAGCTGGCTGGGCAGCAGGACTGGTCAAGGGTCAAGTCGTCAGTTTTGTTTGGCTTTTCCCATTTGCACCCAAGTCCCATTGGCATTTCCTGGGCAATCCTCCGCTGTTGTTATTCCCAGTATTAGAACAGGGAACAGCATTCACACGACACTCCAATAGCTCAAAACGACGGGCCCCCAAACGGTCAACCAAATCTAAAGGGGCGTCATGTCTAGCTCGGCCACAGCGAGCACGCAGAAAACAGACGCTGGAGCAGTAAAGAGACGCCAAATAGACCTGTAAGTCGCTCCCAGCCATCTGCGTCTGGAGCCCAACCGCTCACCATGTTTTTCATGGCTTTCCGGCGCGTCAAACGCGTTCAATACTCGCTATACTCGTGTTTTGGTGTGCGAATGGATGTCCCTGTTTCATATTCGTCCACACACTCAATCGCAACACCCTCAACTTTGGTTCGACACCGGCTTCTCGTCTCACAACGTACTTCTTCACCATCAAAACAGCCCATGGAGTAGACTCGCGAGTGATATTTCACTCCTGACTCGCAACCTCAGTCCCCCAGAGATTGCAGACGAAATCATTGCCCGTATCTCTCAAATAAAGAATCCGTTGGCACCATACCCAGCAAGGAACAAGGACAGCGAAAGTCAGCTCAAGGCAGCAGCTTCCAAAGCCGCAGGCAAAGGAGACACCTCGGGCTCGGGGACTACCCCCACGGTGGCAGAAGTTGGTGCAAAGGCTGGAAACTCCCTATTTGCACAAGCAGTCACAAGGGCGGCGAAGGACGCTGCCGGAGGCAAGTCCGACGCCAAAAAAGGCGACGAGCCCAAGCTGAGAACGGCCTTGGATGGCGAGTTTGTCGTCGGACCGTTGATGGTTGCCAATGCCCTCGTCATTAGTGAAGAATTCAATATCGACGAGGTCGAGAGTTATGTTCTCCTTCGCAGTATGATGTACAACAAGGGCGTTCCCATACCCGTGGACGTCGTCGAAGCCGCCTCTGCAAACCCGGACAAAGCAGACGGTGGAGCGGGAAAAGAAGGGGAGAATGGTTCTTCGAGTGGTGTAAAGCAGCTAGCAAGCCGCACCACCTCGCGAAGGGATCTCGACGACTACGACTTTGCTATTCCCAAAGAAGTTCTCATCAAGACATTTGCCTTATTCCACGGCGAAGAGGTACTCGCAATTCTCAAGAGCCTGACTTCGCTCTGCATCGCCTATCAAAACACAGAGCACCCACTCCATAATGTCGCTCTCGACGTCGTACCCCGGATCCTGGGAAATGACAACAGACCAGGAGAAATTGACGACCAAGCCGTCAAGCAATACATTGAACGCTTGCTTCGTGACTATTCCATCCGTTCGGGGCTCGAGGACTCGGACAAGGTCGCAAAGAGCGAAAAGGCAAGAGGGAAACAGGCCGTCGGTCGTCCTGCGTCCTCACTCTTCAAAGCTGGATCAGCATCGTCAGAAAAACCACCATATCGCTCTCATGACGTCTCGCAAATTCTTTTGGAACAACGAGCGATCTTGGAGCTTCTCTTTTGGCTTCTGTGGGCTGGAATATTGCCATGGGCTCGAGTCGCTGTCTCTATCCTCACATTGGCTTACCAGTGCGACCTTGGACTAAATGTCCGGGTGCCTGCCAACCCCGATGGGTCTGGGCCTACAAACAACCTCCTCTATCTTGAGGATGCCGATAAGTCAATCCTAAAGCAAGTAGAAATGCTGTGGATGCTGCTCTCAGTGTCTCTATTTGACCTTGCGCATCTCCAATCGGGGACAATGTCGCTCTCCCTTTTGCCCAACCAACCAGGCGGTAGCGAAAGTTCGGATTACCAGCGCGTGTACGACTCTCGGCTCTTGCCCCAACTTCACTCCATCATTTCTTCATCTCCATCGGACCCTCGATACTCTCCCATTCTTCTTGGATGGTCCTTTGTGCTTTATAGCATCTGCCAACTTGCGACAGAAATGGGCGACCGACTGCCAAATCAGTACATCTCGTTCATGAAGGCAATCATCCCAGACTTCAACGTTGATACTATCAGCGACAGTACCTCGGGAATTGGAGGATGGCTGAGTAGCCAATTGGCAGGGTATGCTATCAACGATCTCAAAGTACTCGATTATCTCGATGCATGTATTGTTCGAGAGGAAAGCGAAGGTACCAATATTTTTGATGGTGAAGGAAAAGGTCATAGTGTCGGCTTTGGGCCACCCATCTATCGAACAGTTGTCAAACGTACGTGATTAATCACTCGTCCAACTCGGCTCTGATGTGCTATTTAGGACTTGTCATCTGTATTCCATCTCAACTCTCCATTTCCCTTCTCCCAATCGAATATCGCTCGTCATACTTGCGCTTATTCGGAAATCTCTTCGGACATGGTCCCTCTCTTCCAGAGCTTGCGGCGACATACTGGCAAAACGACGTGTTGGCAGAGCCCTATAGAGAGGCGCTGAACCTCACAACGGAACTCTTTCCTCTCGGTCAGCTACCCATCTTATTGGTCTCACTAGTTTTACTAACTGATTATAGTGGGGACTTCCCTTCCGTCAAACGGAGCACTGGGTCCATTCATTCGCCTGCAAAGAGCCCTCAGTGGTGTAGGGCACTGGGATCTCGAGGCCAGCAAGGATCTTTCCTCCATCAGCCGGTTCAACAGCACTATTGTGCCCTCTCCCGCTTCTGGCCGAGTCGGAGCAATCAGTGATGGTCTCTGGGGCGGGAGCGTGTACAATAACGGCGGCATTGCGTTTCTGGAACGCGCTCGAGATGAGGATAGAAAGCAAGCGGCACTTCACGTCTATCACTACCTGGACGTGATGGACTCGTTTGCAATGGTGCTCCCAATGAGCCTCCGAAACCTTTGGGAGACATCGAGTGCCCTTTCAGAGGATGGAACGCCAACAACGATATATCATAACTTGTACCCTTTTCAACTCCCCGGAGGCTCCATATTACCAGTTCGAAGTGGCGGTCAGCTCGTCAGTGGAGGCAGCGGTAAACCTCTTGTGGTCCGTTGGAAGCACAGGTACTCGGGGTGGTGCCTGCTCCTCGAAATTCTGGACGAATGCGCAAAGATTGTTAACAATCCGGCCAGTCGCTCTTCTGCCGCTCATGCCGGACAAGAACCAGTGGCTCCAAACGTCAATGTGAATCAGCTTCGCAAAGGAGTTGGGAAGCCCGTCAATTTTTCCCTAGCTGCTGTCGGCGTCGACTTGGCTTCGAGCGATGTAGAAGAGCTGATTGTTGAGATCCTTGATCTCGTCAGGAGTGTCCTCATGTTTGCAGATGATCCGAGTAGGATCTCGTTGCTGGATAGCATGGAGGAACGCGATGTTATCGGAGATTCGATGGAAGAGGATCAACCCAATAGCGTGGAGGAGACAAAGAAGCTCGAGCTTGCAGAGGTCGTGCTGCGATTATTGAGCGACGCGCTCTCGCGCTCCTCTTCTCGCGCGGGAACGCTTTCGGGGGCTGTCAAGGTCACCAAAGAGACGCAGAACAGCAAAATCATCTCCAGCGCCATCCTTACCTTGAGTGTATTGGCGAGAGCATCTCCCAATCGTGTATGGCCTTATATGCGATCAACAGGCTTCCTCGGACTCACGGGTGTGGGCCTTGGGTTCGGCACCTCTGGCTCTTCCCATTACAATACATCTGGTTCACAGTCGACATACTTCCAACCCAGCACATTGCCGCAATCGTCCACCGCGGCGGTTCTCATCTCCGAACGAATGACTGGTACCTACAACATTACCTTTGCTGTCATTTCTCTTGTACGGTCGTTGCTCGACAATGCCCTGACAAGTGACTTTGAAGCCGCGCTTTCCCGTCAATTACAAAGTGAGGTACTCGGGAATGCTCTCCGATTCGTTCATACCAATATATGGACGGAATACTCTGGGTGGAAATACAGGCGCCTGGGAGACCGATTTGAGATTGGAAGGCGGATTGCGGAAATGTATTGCGATATTGTGGGTAACTGGGCGACAAACTCAGAGCGACAGGTACGTTGGGATAAACTGCAAATGAGAGTGTGCTAAATGCACAACTTAGGGCTCAACCCAGGGGGTTTTCAAAGGGTTGGCCGACTACGTCCTCGATGTTTTCCTGCACCAAGCCATTCCAATCACGCTTTCTCCCTTGATCCACATCCTCACAATTGGTCAGGAGATGGCGACTGCACTTAAGGCATCATCGCGTGCACTGGAAGACGCAGAATTGATATGGCTTCTTCAAGCGTTCCTTTACTTGCTTCGCCTTCTGCTTGCACATAAAGCCACTTCGCAGAATAGCGCAAAGCAGTCCCTCCTCGAGCATCAGCTTTGCGTCGGGACTTCCCCCTCTTCCACTGGCAGCAACACGCGCCAGGCGAAGCAAATTCCAATCGACTCCATCGCCAAACTTATCAGCAACGATGAGATGGGACCCAACGTTCCTTCCTACGCTTCCGAGGTCATCTCCCTCCTTATTCTCAGCTTTTCCAAGATTCAGCCCTCTGCACCAAGCTTGGTGATGCATATGCAGGATGCAGAGGAGACAACGAAGCAACTCGTCGCCATAGTCCGTGATCCCTATCAAGATCCGCGTCTGAGGCGATCCATCTGGACTCTGATGGCCACTGCGGTCGAGCACCAGCCAGCGTTCGCAACCTTGTTTGTCACGGGATCTTTCTATAACCGGCTTTGGCCCGAGGGAGCGTCTGACGACAAAGGAAAGGCGAAGGCGGACGAAGTCGCCCCAGCTCAAGACGAAAAAAACGTTCCGGACACCTTGCTAAGGAGGAGGAGCGCCGTTAGCATTGCAGTTCAGAGTGCTTCTATCTGGGATAATCTTTGGGAAGCTGACCCTGAGCTGCTTTGTTCGATGCTACGGTTTATCGCCGTTGTATGGCGCCATGGCTTGGAGCATGCAGCAGTTCTTGACCAAGTGCGGAAGGATGCCGCGTTTTGGACCCGTATAATCTGGATATTACGCCAGCGAGTTTCCTCTGACTCTCCGCGTACCGGCATGGAAGTGGAACGAGTAGGCGCATCGGCTTTCCAATCCACCTCTCAGCAAGCCTATCACATACTTAGCCAAGCATATGTGGTCGAAATCCTTTCCATCGAAGTCAGTTCACATCGCGCGCGTAGCAAAGGCTCAAGCGCCCCGACCACACCATTGAGCATAATGGGCCTGAAAAGCTTTCTCCAATCGGGGACTGCGCTCTCGCAACACTTGAAGGATGCAGCGACGTCTTCCTTTGATCCTTCCCTGCACTCCAGTCTCGCTCAGCAGTTCAAGGACTCTCTGCCAGATTTCGACCTGGAGGCGCTCCAAACCCCATTCCCATTCTCCCACCGTCATTTCGGTCCCGATTATCTCTATCAGATCACCCTGCTTGAATCACGACTGCCTATCGAAGCCTATCCACGCGAAATACCTCGAATAAGGCAAATCCTTCACACTGCACAAGCGGCCAACTGCAACTGGTCGTTGGTTGATGCGCAAATTGAGCACACCCGGGCCTGGAAGAAGTTTGTGCAAGAGGGAGGCCCCACGGTCCAAGGCGGAGATGCTGGTCAGGAGATGTTGTTCTCTCTCTCCATTCCCCTGTCGGAGATAATAGCCAAAGAGTCAAGGCGTGGAGACATTATGGCGGTTATTCACGTGGAGCGTTTAGGGATATTGCTCGCACTTCTCGAGGGGAGCTGGTCGTTGCCTCTATCGGGTGATAAGAAGCTTGTCAAGAGCTTCTGTGACTTGGTTCGAAACGTTCATGCCATCGTGATGAGCGAAACCTTTCCGCCGATCGACTCTCTTCGCCAGACGCGAGCAGGTGTTGGAACGCAATATCACCGATTAGTTCTACGACTGGCCTACCTCTGCTCTCGCAGGGCTCGGGCAGTGTGTTCCAAGCAGTCACTGCTCACTGCAGACCAATGCTCCATCATCGCCTCTGCAATGTTCTCCATCACTGCGTTTGTCTCTGTCGCGCTGGTAGAAACCATCGAAAACGCCAGATCAACGCAAGCCGTTGAGATCGACCGCGATTTGGAGCTCCTAGTCACCGTCTTTGAGCAGTCTACTCGACCCGAGCTCCATACATCTCCGGGTCTTTGGCTAGAACGCGTTCAAGAGCTCAACTTGGCTAGAATAAGTCTTGAACTGCTTGCCAAGTGCGACATCGCTGGTGTACATATGGACGAAGAGTCATGGAGGACACTTCGATATCCACTCTATGCACGGCATATGCTCGCTCTTCAAGCTTCTCTATCGAGCACAGATGGAGCTGCCGATACGCTGGCTATGTCTGGCGCAGCCTCTGCGTACTGCAGTATCAGCATTGCTCCGGCGCTGAACGTAGGCACGCTCGACACATATCACCCCGCCCTTCCCGGTGACCGAAATCCTGCTCATACGGCTTGGTGCATGATTCTCACCATCATGACCGGCCTCGTTGGATCAGTCGGCTCTCGAAGTGGACACTTCATCGAGACGGAAGTCGTGAGTTTCATTCAATTCTATGGTGCACAACTCTCTCGTGCTTTAGAATGGAATGTAGGACTTCCACTTAGTAGTGCAATCCTGGACGAGCTCAATGGAGTCATGGGTCTTTTCTATGCCATGTCCCTTTGGGTCAATCCCCGGTCTCCCATTGATCAGCAAGCCAAGGCAATCCTCGAAACGTTCTCCGAAAAATCTTTGACGCTCCTGCAACATTTGAACTACGTGCTATCTCATCCCAACCACCTGGCAAGCCTCTTTGAGGCCAATTCTTCGGAAGAACGGCGGATACTGGATCGTGAACTTGCTCAAAGTGTCGGTATGACATCGACATCCGACTTGCTGGATGTCGACAAGCGACCGTTCATAGCAACCCTGACGCAAAAGCTGCATGGTACTGTTCGGGACATCTTGTCCACACTTGTCATTGTCAATCAAGGTGACGCCGTCATCGTGACTGAGCCAGACGATTGGCCAACCACCGTTCAGATTGCACCTGTACGTTTTGTGATCCCTTGAACCTATTCTTGGCTGACCAATTACTTCAGACGACAAAAGTTGTAGTTGGCGAGCTCGCTACAATGGGGACCTTGCTCGAGATGGGCAACGGGATAGTCGAGGTCATGGACCACTTCAAGGAGAAGAAACGAGCGAAACCACCCCCATCGACATCGCTGCAGCCATACGAATCGTCCTATGACCTTTCGCTTTTGACCCAGTCGCTTGAGTCTATCGCTATATTCAGCGTAACGCAGCTCGCGATATGGAATCAACAACGTGAGGCAGGCGATATTTCACAGGAGGACGTTGGAGCAGAATGGAACGACATTGGCTACGGTAAAGATCCTTCGGCATTCCTTGGCTTGATGGCATTGAAGAGAACTGCCCTCCTGCCTGGTATCGGAGGGGATGTCGTGTCTGAGCTTCTTGCAATGCTAAGCAAAGCGAAATCAGCCCTCTCGAAAGCCTCGAAACCTGTCGGGAACAAGGAGAAGAACATCATCGATATCCTAGAAGCATTCTTAAACCTCCGCGTCAACTAAAACATGTATTCACGTTCTTTCTGTAATCATACTCCCGTCAAAGCTCCGTCATAAGTTTGACCCTCTACCTCGACTTGACGCGTCGTCGACCATGATTGTACGGTTCCAAGCATCTAGGAACCACATTCTTAGACGGGTTTCAATGTATTCGCGATGTTTCTTTACTCTGCCGACATCACTCAACCCATTTGGAGAGAGCTCTGGAAAGGATTCGGGCCCTGAGGACGACCTACAGAGGTACCACGAAAGGAAGATTATGCCGTGCGTGTATATACTACTTAAAATCTGGGTTAAGCTGACCATGATGCGTAGTTATAGCAGAAAACAACTTTACGAACTGGTCGCCAATGTCGACTCGTATCATCGATTTATCCCATTCTGTACCGGCTCAACAGTCTTGAAATCATCCCGTCCAGACTGGAAAACTAATTTGGGAAACGATGGGGATCCACCGGTGAATCTAGAGGCAGAATTGAAAGTCGGATTTCTGGGCGTGGACGAAAGCTATGTTAGCAAAGTCGAATGTCGCCCGTTTGAGAGTGTTCAGGTATGCTCATCAAATTTATTTTGTGTTCAGTATTAAGGAATCGTAGGCCGTCGCTGCAACGTCCACACCAATCTTTAAAAGACTGATCACTACATGGCGATTTCAGCCGGCGTCTGCTAACTCTCCTCACCCTACGAACGTGGAATCGCGAATAGATTTATCACAGCATCCTGCGGAAGAAGGGCCAACGCTCCTTTCATTTGACATTGCGTTTGCGTTTTCAAACCCCTTGCACGCGGCAATGTCCAGAGGTTTCTTTGGACGAGTATCGTCGATGATGGTCACGGCATTCGAGGAGCGCTGCATAGAGGTTTATGGCAAAGGCAAACGATGAAAAGGCAACGGGCTTGTGTGATAACTTAATTCTATTTGATCCATCCGTATACTAGTCCTCAATACCAAAATAGCTTCCCTCGTCTTGGTTCTTATTCTGGCAGCGTCTTGAGGAAATCGACAAGCTTTGTTAGCGCCTTGAACCGATGAGAGATAGTGTTCTTGAAGACGGGATCCATTTCAGCGAATCTGCTCAAGTCGGAAACTGATGAGATTCGACTACCTTGTAGTGGTCGAGACGTACGTTTGGCCTGTCCCCGCGGCTTGGAACACGGCATCCCAGCCAAAATGCGTAGGTCCTCTGACAGGGACAATCTCTCCCTCTGTCTCACCGACAAATAGCTGAGGTGTTTCTCCAGGTCCTGCAGAATAAGCAACGTGCAAATGGCGGTAGCACCCTTGGTAGGAAAGCCAGTGAGCATCGCGTTGAGACCTATCATTGAAGATATAACATGCTTGTCACTCCCGAAACGAAACCTGAATACCGCTGTGGCCAATTGTCTTCATGAAATCCTTGATATATGGCCCCGGCAGGCCTCCAAGTGCGTGAAAAGCGAGCGCTGTGTCTTCTGTTATACATGGACCACCGACCTGCAATGTTCGTTAGAGAAGTGCCAAAGTAGACCGGTCTCTTACTAGCTCTGCTGCTCGTCGACACTTGTCTGCCGAGACTTCGAGCGTCGTCCCTTGAATTTCAGGGACTGAATGGGCCTCACATCAGTGGGAGACATATACAGAGGTGTGATCACGTACTATCAAGAGCCCTTGCCTCCACCTCGATGTCGAACTTTGCCAATATGGCCTGAACTTCTACTAGTTTGTTCTTGTTCCCTGTGATAAAGACTTGAAATAGGTAAATTCTTGGGTCCTTTGATGCTTTTATGAGCTACCTAGCTTGCGAGTCATGATAATGGACGAGGTCAAGTTCTGATTTGGGTGGCTCCCCTCTCTGACTCGAGCAGGCCATATGGTTGAGCGATAGATAAATAAATTAAACACAGATAACAAAGAAAATTAAGGAAGAAAATTAAACAAAGATGCAATTAAAACGAGTTTCATATTTCAGCATTCCATCGGAGGATAAGACGCGAAAGATAATTAGAGAATAGGCGCAGTTGATCAGCAAGGGCAGCCTCGCTCCCTAAGATATCGGATGGCGAGGTTGGATGCACTCTCTTGAGCATCCTTTTTGTTCGTGGCAGGTGCGCCTTCCCCGACTAAATTGTCCTCATAATAGAACCTGCATGCCCACTCTTGCTTGTTTTCGGTAGAGTTTTTTGTTTGGTAGAAGTCCCAGGTGATAGGCCATTTCTTCTTTGCGAAATGCTTCTCCTGGATCTGCTTCAGTTCCTGGATCCAAGAAGACATTAGAGCAAGGTTATATGTGCTTGGATTTTGAATGTGGGTGGTCGTGCTGATGACTCCTGTCCTGCCGTGGTAGGAGAGTCCTTTTATCTTCGCCGGGAGGGGTGTGAGCCTCTTGGCTTCATGTATCAACCATCTACGAGTCGTCCCCACGTCATATATTTGAGAGGAGCACCACATGCATGCGTAGCTGTGTCAGCATCCGACTCCAGATTTTTAAATTGAACGGTTATGCCAGTTACCTGGTGTCGATCACCTGTGAAGTAGGAAGCTGTGCAGTCACTTGAGCTATTCGCCTTGGAGACTCTCCTGTTCCGGACACCTTTGGAGGGACAGAGTCACGCCGGAATAGAACGAGTAGTGACCAGCGGCTGTGGAATTGTGACAAGCAAGGAGCCAGCATTGGAGAGTAACCCACTTTAGGCGGCTGAGGGGGGGCAGCGGTACATTTGGTTGGGAGCTAGGGAGTGGTGAGGGGCGGCATGCGCTAGATGTGGCGATGCGAGGATTACGGCGCCTGCATGGCAATGGAGTCCATATTTTTCCACCACTTACTCACCCCAGTTGTGTATGGCCCGGCCAGCAGGCTATGATATCGAGGAGGGTGTCCTCAGTGGTACATTCCCCAAGCGCACGCATAGCTGGGCAGCTATGAGACTGTACAAGCATTGTGCTGGAAAATAAACCGGTTGGTGTAGTATCCTGGTCGCTAGGATAGCCCAAGGTTGCGCCTCCTCTTGAGTAGCCCATGGCAGATTGCAGCGTAGCTGAGACGGTTCGTCATAGAGTGTGCCGTATATCTTGACCAAGGAGCTCTGCAGTCCCAGACTGGATCCATCCTCGGTCGTGCCGTCTCTGGGCTGGGCTCGTCGATTTCCATCATTTGAGGATAGATTGCATCCTACAGCGTCTAAACCCTTGGGTATTCCCAACCATCTCAAGAAATGTGTATTGCCAGCCCGTCAAAGGAGTCGACGAGCTCGAACCTGACAAATCGATTGTGCTGGTTGAAACGGGATTGATGGCTGCTGATTGGCCACTCAGCCTCTTATAAGTCAACCATTTCCCGAGACTTGTCTTGAACCTCTTCCTGTTCCATCGACGCGTCGGTGGACCACGAAATGACCACGCTCTGTCCCGTATGTCAGCCTCGATAGTGATAAAAGCGAGCTCACAATATACAAAAGAATTGCAATACACGTCCAATCAATCCAGGTTACCAGTTCTGCTCAAAAGCGTGCGCTACAGCAGCGACGCCACAGTTAGTGATTATGCAAGCCCCGGCCTCTTCAGCTGATATCCTGTTCTTATTCCTTTCATCCTGCAGATTCCTGGGTCAGTCTAATCAGCACAATAATCAACCACCGCCCGCCTACGCAGCCCAAGCGCCTCAACCAATGGCCCAGCCCCAGCAACAACAACCAGCTCATCAAAGTGGAGGAGCCTCTGCTCTTCTTAATCGTTTTCTTGGGAACCGTTCAGGCTCAAGCAGCCAGCCGCAACAGCCGACGGGAGGTATGTCCGATGCTCTTCACCAGCTTCGTAGATCTCATGATGCATGCGATAATAGGTCAAAACTGCCTCATTGCCGGATGTGGTCGACCAGTCTACCGGGATGCTGCTGGCAATCCTAGCTTGTATTGCGGACGGAAGCATATGCAGTACGTCCAGCTCCCTGATGCGAGGAAAGTTCTAATCACTCTGGAATAGACAAGGTCAACAGATGGGTTTGGGACAGCATCCTCCCGCGGGAGCCCCCGCTCCCGGAATGATGGCACCCCAACCGACGGGGCAGCCTCAAACAGGCCAGCAAGCGATGATGGGTCACCAACCAATGGCCTCTCAAGGAGGAATGGCCTATCCGTACATGGGTCAACCGGGCCAGCAAGCAGGGATGGCGTATCCTCAACAGCCTGGCATGTATCCGCAAACTAACCAACAAACTATGGGTTCTCAACCTGTAATGGGCTATCCACAAATGGGTCAACAGCAACAGCCGATGGGTCCTCAACCCGGATCTACCTATCCGCAGATGGGCACTCAGCCTGGAATGGGCTATCAACAAATGGGACCTCAGTCTGGGGCCTATCCTCAGATGGGTCAGCAGCCAACGACGTCGGGAATGGGACAAGCTCCCACCGCAACCGCTCAGCCACCTGGAACGTGCCAGTTTCAGAACTGTCCAAAACCCGTCTATGTCGATCCCGTCACGAAAAAGCCGAGCCCGTATTGCAGTAGGACACATATGAGGTATGCGTCTAAAATTTGGTGAATGGAATACTCATCTATGATATGTAGAATGGCTACCGGTCAGCAGGCACCCGTTCCTCCTACACAAACTCCCTTGCCTGGTCAGCCCAACATGATTCCCCCTTACACGGGTGTTGGAGTACCTCAACAGGCTCAACAGACTCAAGCTGCTCCATCCGCGAGCTTGTATCCTAGCATTACCGGGAGTACTCCTGCGCAGCAGTACGCAGCTTCGATTGCGAATCGACAGCTTCCAAATACTCCTGGGAATCAACAACAGCAACAACCACTCATGGGTCCCGCATACCAGCCTCTGAGCTCGACTAGTCCACCACCCTTCAACCCTCAGCAGCCCGCCGCGCATGGGCAAAATCCCACATCGAGCAGCGAAGGAACTGCTTCGCCGCCTCCTCAGCCTCTCTCGACGGGGTCTCTCCTTCAGATGTGCTTCCTGTGTCGCTCCAAGCCCCCTCTTCCAAACGACTTTTTCTGCTCACCAGACTGTCGCGTTCGTGGCAAAAAGTTTGCACGGGACATCCTGGATAGCGAGATGCCCATGGATCCCAACGATACGCAGACAATTCCAGGAGCGTTGTCGGAGGATGATGTAGACGAGTTCGGACTCCCATTGAATCCACCGACTCCAGGGTTCGCGACCCACAACATGTCGAGCGGAATGGACAGTGGCCTCGCAGCAGGACCGTCGCCCGGGGTACACATGGCCTCTCCCGTGTACGCTCATACGACTGGTATGAGTGGAAACACGGCTTCTGCGTACTCGGGGTATGATCGAACAGTCCCCCTCGCGGCATCAGCGCCACAACCCGCGCCGGCTACCCAGCAGTACCAATCCACTCAACCTAATCGACCAACGCATGCAGCTGCTTCACCTGCGGCCCAAGTTACAACCCAAACGTCGCCAGCCCCTGTCCCAGCTCCCAGTCAAAGTCCAGCCCAGAATCCGGCCCCAGCCCCGGTTCAGCAACAATATCAACCACAGTATCAGCAACAGCAACAGCAACCCGCGTACCAACCGTACGTGCAAATTCCCAGTGGCTACGTGGGCCACATCGAGGACAATGGGGGCTCGTGGAGCCCAGACGAAACAGACTCATCCGCTGCGGTGTCGCAGTACAAAGGTACACAGCAACAGCAACAACAGCAGCACCAGGCGCCACCAGCTGTACAGCCGGGTATGAACACGACGGTGGGCTATGGGACCGCGGCATATGGCTCGTACGGAGCCGCACCGACGAACCCAGCGGGAGGAGTGTATCCTTATCCTCAGCAAAACCAACCACCACAGCAGCTTCATCACCAGCCGTACGGGTATCACCCAGGTCAACCTGTAAATGAAGACTCGATGCCGGATTAGTGCACGGTTTCTTTCTTGATTCGTAGAGTCTATTCTCTACTGTAATATGAAAGCTTCAATTATTTTGTTAGATCCTTTTCTGTCACTTGACCTCCACTACGTTAACTGGCTTAAATTCGGTGACACAATCCTCGATTAGATGGACTCTATTCAACTTATCGATCGATTAAACATGGTTCAAATGTCCCTGCGTCGTTGTCGGAACATCATTATCGCCATGTCTCCCTCTTGCTAGAGCTGATTAGTCCGACACAGCTACCAAACATCTTATTTGGTGCTTGAGATGCAAATTATCTTTGAATGAAAGATGCGAGAGTTTGCTGGCTATTGGACTGCAGTGTCAGGCGGAGACAGCTGGGGCTGAGGCGATGTCGTAGTCCCCGATGATTGAGAAAGCTGGTTTGAGGTTACATGAGCTGGTTGGCTCTGTACTCGTTCTCCCCCTCGTTGACGAAGAGAATGAATCCTACAGCTTGGTGTACGGTACGTAATCTACATAGTTGAAGTCGAAAGATCTGATCGCACGCTGTGGTATATAGCACTGCGAAACCCATCCTTGCACCCCTGGCCATGCGTTTTGCAGTCGGACCTGCGCCAGGGCGTCGAGGTTTGTAAGACCCTTTATATCGAGTCTTGCTGACGATATTACGCAGAAGACGAGGTTCAGGTCTCATTTCGCGGATATTCAGCTTGTTTAGGTTGGTACATCCCTGGTTCCCTATCAACCTCATGGCATTGCAGACGACCGACCGCACCTACTTCAAATGCCCAATTCAACCCACAGCCGTACATAATACCTGCTTCTAGCGCTTACTGTGCTCTCCCTGGCTGTACCGCGCTGGCATGGGTCGGGAGGAACGGAAAGCGGAGCGACTACTGCTCGAGAACTCATAAAGCGTAATGGTGCTCCCTCTTTACCGGATTATTTCTCTGACCGTTTGCATAGTCGCGGTGAAACATGCGCGTTTAAGGACTGTCAGAGAAAAGTTTACGTTGATCCGACTACCAGAGTACGAAGTAGATATTGTGACCGCGGACATTCGATGTACGTCGTTCGACTCCTTTCTCTCTTATATGCGAATAGTCACAGCGATGCCAGGCAGGGTCAAGCGGTCCGGCCTATAATGAAGATCGAGATCATCAATGGCATGCAACCGTATAATACACCGATGGCTCCTGCGCCAGTAAGAGATGCAGCCACTTGCCAATATGACGGATGCACAAGAAATACTCGCCGCGGTCTCATTCGCCGATCAGCGCCATATTGTCAGCATCACACCAAGTATGCGATTTCATTTCGAGTGTATTAATCTCTAAAGCCACAATAGCCTTGTAAGACACTCCTCCCCGCAACCGCCAATCCAGGTGCAACCGTTCACAGGACCAGGCCGAATACACGTGTATGGACATCCATGGTCGAACGTACAAGTCCAAATGGTGAATCCATAGCACTCTTCTTGTCTGGGCACTGCCACTCCCGGAGAAAGTGTAGTATGTAATACTCGAGCAAATTCCATGATTCAGTCCAACTTAAACCGCTCTTCATTGTCTTTGTCGAGTAAAACTGCGACCGGCCATGTCCTTGCAAGGAGTCATAGGTAAATAAAGATGTGCTGGTTGAGAAACTGGCATGCTGGATGATCGAGACCGGGTGACAGACGGAGACTAACACCAACTTGTAGCCAAACACAACCTCAAAACCGTTGTCCAGACGGTGACAGTCGCTATAAAATCGAGCGTTAATCAATCCAGCAGCCAACAGACGCCGACTGCCACTCCATCTTCTACGATGGCTTCTATACCGACCTGTGCGGTGAATATCGACCTATAATCGCCGAATATGCTTCTTATAAACTCATGCGACTTGGTAGTGGTGCAATCAGCGGCAATGTACACCAGGACATCCATATTGCAGCAAGGGATGCGCCAATGCGGCATTGGCAGCGTAATTAACCTCTTCTTACGATTCTATGCGTCCTTTTCAACAACTTCATAGACACGGAGGTGGACAGACGACCGTACAAGTCGTGCAGACGGGTAGCGGAGGTGGTCCTGCGGGCGGAAGCATGATCACAAACGCGGTAAATAAGTTCAAGAGTCTCACTAATATGTCTCCGAGCCCTGGACAGTATCATACCATGTCCGGTCCTCAGCCCGCTGGCAACTGGGTGCAGGTCCCCGCCAACGCGGCACCACAGCAAGTCATGCTCGTTCAAACCCAACCAGCTCCTCCTATTCCTCCACCTCAGATGGCAGGGACTGCGACATATGTGACCTGGACGTCTGGACCTTGTACGTCTAGAACTTTCTATGGAACAGGCTTGAGTGCGATTTGCTAATTCGCGACTTTAACAGCTGGTCCTTCGCATTGTATTCTCCCTGGATGCGGTAAACCGGCCTGGGTCGACCCAAGTGGAAAGCCAAGTTATTACTGCTCAATAGCACACAAGAAGTACGACTTGCACTTTGGCACGTAGAATAACTCTAATCTCTGGGCATAGTCTCGGGAATACATGTGCACTCCCAAATTGCGGCAAAAAGGTGTACAAGGACCCCATTACGGGCCAGAAGGGCAAGTATTGTAGTCGAGGACATGCAGCGTCAGTATACCCTTCTCATACATATTTCTATTATTGAAAGTTGGTCAGATTGGGTCAATCAGGCGCACCACAGTCTGCACCCGTCGGTGTTCCCTCTGCGCCTACGCAGTATGGAGTACCTCCCGGTCCATCGCCAAATCCGGGTTGCTGTCAGTGGGATGGATGCACGAAGCCAGTCTGGATTGACCCGAGCGGGAAGCCAACGCAATATTGCGGCAAGACTCACTTGATGTACGTTCAAACTTGCACAGAGAGAAATTTCTTGGGCTTAAGAGGCTATTCTTTGTAGGCTCGGTCAGCAGGGTGCCGCTTTGGCGCAATATCAACCTGGCGGGCAATCGAATTCGCAGCCTGTGCAACAGCCCGGTGTATATAATCAAACTGTATGGACCAACAACGGCCCTCAGCCCTCTAATCAAAACCAGGGGCCTCCTCCCTCTGGTCAACAAGTATACAACCAAACAGTTTGGTCTCAAGCTCCCCCACCGGGTACGCCTTCTCAACCTCCCCCTGGACAACAAGTGTACAACCAAACTGTTTGGCCTAATGCGCAGACTCCGCAACCCCCTTCCGGTCCTCAGCATCATCCACTTCCGACGCCTCCAGTACAAAATCAACCACAGCAACCGCAAGTGTATACTCAGACTGTCTGGCCAAACCCTGCGGGAGGAGGTAGCAATGCGAGTCCTTCACCGTACGGACAACCACCAGCTTGGTCCAACGGCCCCACGCCAGGACCTGGTACGCCGTCGGGATACGCAGGTCCTCAGCCGTATACTCCCGGAGATGGAGGAGGAGGACCAGGGAATTATTCAGTTCAACAGCATGGGCCTCCTTCATATTCATCACCTCCCATGTCTTCCCCGCAGAACATGCAGTACGCTCAGCCACAAGCACCAACCAACACGTTTATCAGCCCTGTGATTAGCAGTACACCGGGAATGTATGGAGGAAACGGGAACCCGCAATGGAATAATTCAGCAGTTGTACGCCCATGAAACGAACGTGTCCATGTCATGGGTTTCCTTGGGTTAGTTTCTTGTATGCACACTCTTCTCTACGACTACTCTTGTTTTGGGATTCACGTGGGGTGCCATCTGAGGTGGTGAATGTATTCAATACGACTCTGGAGCTGACCTCGACGAGCATGGCAGCAACAATTGGCAAAAAGGTCCTGAGTAGGCCTGCATTTTTCGTTTGTGATATTCAGGACCGCTTCCGGAATGCGATTCATCAATTCCCTGCGGTCGTCGCCACGAGTCGACGGATGCTTGCATATGCAAACGTACGTTCGAAGACAAAGAAGACTTTATGGGTGTCGTAATTGCCCTTCAGATGTTCAACATTCCTGTATTCGTTACCGAGCAGAACCCAAAGGCTTTAGGGTCGACGGTTTCAGAGATGGAACTTGAAAAGCTAGGAGCCCTACATGTACGTATATGCTATTTGGATAAATGCCCCTGATTATGTTCAATTTTGTCCTTAATTACACGTCCTTGCCCGATAGGTCGGGACGTGGCCCAAGACGAAATTCTCAATGTATATTCCCGAGGTCCAAGCCAAGCTCCATGAACATGGGATTCAAAGCGTAGTCATCTTTGGAATTGAGGTGCGCTGCCGCTCGTACTCGGACTGGTTTAACTGCCTGTTAGAGCCATGTCTGTGTCTTACAAACGGTCCTCGAGCTACTCTCGTCTGGTTATTCGGTGCACGTAGTTGCGGATGCAGTATCGAGCTGCAACAAGGAGGAGATTCCTATTGCACTGGCTTCACTACGGTGCGCCTGATCCCCTTGCTCTTTCTTCTGTGTTGATGTGTGAGGCAGTCAAGCAGGCGCAGTCATCACCACGAGCGAGAGTTTGGCGTTCCAACTTATGCGTACGTGCATCTCCATCTTGTGGCTGATATTCACTCTGAATATGTGTTGAAGAGGATGCTGGGTCGCCTAATTTCAAAGAGTTTTCGTCTCTCGTAAAGGCGGAGAAGCAAGCAATTGCCAACTCCCTTCGTGACCTCTGCGGGGATGGGACGCCAAAGAGTGCGTTGTAAAGCAGGAAATTCGTGTATTGTTCTAGAAACTCGATGCAATATGGAAGGACGAAACCTGAACATGAACATGAGCGACACAAGTCATTCTTATTAGCTTCAACGGGTAAGTTGAGACTAAAGGATGACAAAAGGTTGTGAATGTATAAATAAAGTGGATATAATCCCTGGGCATCCTCATCGAGTTCACCCCGCGGGGCTCCAATTACGCCCAAATCCAAGAAAGCCTCCTACTCGTCATCTCGTCTTGCGGCTCCTGTCAACCGAGCTCGTCATACGCGGATTCGGCCGAAACATATCTCGCAATAATACAATAGAATCCAAGAGTAGAACGCCATCCAACCGCCACCTCGGATGGATGACGGCGATTGTCGAGGACCGAAGACAGATCCTGACCAAATTGGCACTTGGCATTCAGATATTTCGCTCCTCGTGTATTATCTAGCGTCTCTGTTTCTAGGACATTCAATCCCAGCAAGTTGAAGAGCTCCAACGTTTGTCTGTCGCCCGCCGCACATGCGGTCGAACATACCCTGAACCAATTTCCGAGGGTCTAGATTTTCGATGCTAGTAAAGGGATGCTTCTTGAAACGACCGAGAGGGTATCCACACTCTTCCCGTAGCATATGATTCGCTTCCTCCATTCATCGACAGGCGTTATGCATCTAATTACATGCAAAAGGGGAGGCAAGTCAGCTGAAAATGGCGCATGACGTGCGAAGAGCTCATTCGCTCGTGCACTCCTCGTCCTCTTTCGTCAACTCGTCATCGCATGTGACTCCAAGCGTCATTTGATTGACAGTTGGTTCCCGATTCTGCAAGCGAGGTGCGCATATAAGCCCTCGATTTCCCCCCCTTTGCTTTCGACCAGCAGAACACCCCATACGCACCATGTCTGGATACGGAAACAACGACTCCTACGGCTCCAGTACGTTATTATATCGTTGATATCTGCACAAATTGTAATTCCTGGGTAGATCGAGACCGTGATAACGATTACGGTTCCAGTACGTCCTCAGCTCAGCAACTCAGGCATAGTAGTCTAACAGGCCTTTAGACACCAAGAGTGGCTATGGAGGCACGAACACTACATCCTCGACTGGATACGGTTCGGGTGGACGTGACAATGACTCGAGCAATACGTATGGTGGCTCCAAGAACACGACAACATCGGGTGGCTATGGAGCCTCGAACAAGGACAACACTTATGGCTCCTCAAATACGTCGGGGGGATACGGATCGTCCAACCGTAATGATGACTCCGACAATACCTACGGAGCCTCGAAGACATCTGGCGGATACGGATCTTCAAACCGCGACGATGACAACTCTTATGGATCCAACCGCGACAAGGATAATACCTATGGCTCGTCCAACACCGGAACTGGAGGCTATGGGTCTTCGAACCGAGATAAAGACGATAGCTATGGCTCTTCAACTCGTGACACCGGAAACACCTACGGTTCCTCGAACACGACCGGTGGATATGGATCCTCTAATCGTGACGAGGATTCCAGCAATACCTATGGGTCGTCCAACCGCGATACGTCGACCAACACATATGGTTCTTCGAATAAATCCGGAGGATACGGATCCTCCAACCGCGACGAAGATTCCAGCAACACCTATGGGTCGTCCAATCGCGATACATCGACCAACACATACGGTTCTTCGAATACGTCTGGTGGATACGGATCGTCCAACCGTAACGACGATTCCGACAATACCTACGGAGCCTCGAAGACATCTGGTGGATACGGATCTTCAAACCGCGACAATGACAACTCTTATGGATCCAACCGCGACAAGGATAATACCTATGGCTCGTCCAACACCGGAACTGGAGGCTATGGGTCTTCGAACCGGGATAACGACGATAGTTATGGCTCTTCGACTCGCAATGACAACTCCTATGGCTCCTCGAATCGCAACAGAGACGACGATGACTCGTATGGAAGCAACAAGCCCGGCGTAGGTGATAAAATCAAGGGCACGGCACAGCAAGTCGCCGGCAAGATTACGAATAATTCAGAACGCGAGCAGGCTGGAAGAGATCGCAAGGTGTGTACTTTGATCGACTTGTCTTGCGTTCATCTACTGATGCGAGAGTAGACCGGCAATAACTACGGAAGCTCCGGCGACAACGATTATTGATGAGTTAGATGTATCGTAAAAGAAGCCAAATTGAAATCATTATCGTGTACTTGATCCATACTCCGCGCCAAGGGTAGTTGTGGTCGCTCTGAAAAGCCCCGAACGCTTGTGGTCATCCAGAGATAGTAAGGTGTGCTCAAGGCACCTTCCATTGCCATTTCTCGAATGCGCTTCGGGTGTTCAACTCTAAAGCTCTGAAGGCGCATTGGACGTGCCACCTCCCCTCCCCCAACTCGTCATTGGTCATTTCTGAGTTTGATCGCAATGATAGAGGCCGAAGATGGCCCATATAGTGATTATTGGTCTCTGAGAAGTCGAGCATGCGAGAGGTAGATATGATTCTCGTTGGCAAAGTCGGCGGTTGGTGGCAGGATTATGTCTTGACAAGGCAAGTCGTAATGAAGGGTCAATTCGAGAGAGACCATACATACGGTGGTAGAAAAATGACAGGACGGTAGTTTACTCATTTTTTACGAATAAAAAAACCATTATATCCATTCTCGCAGGGTTTGGACACAACACGTCGAGCATGTTTGGTATGTATGGTAGTGGCCTTTGGCAGGTCGAGCTTTTGCCCAACACCTCACCTAGATGTGTATACGATCGTCACATGACATTGAGAATCCAAGCAATACAATAGTGTTCAGATTATATATATTACACACGGTGTAAACCAGGTCCTTCTACCCTCAGGTTAATCCCCTCAGTACAATTTCAATCCAGGCAGCCTATAATATCGTATGACTACTCACGAATTTCTCGGTTATCTAAGGAGTGAAGAGATCATGGCAGCATTCCTTAGGTCGTATTACTGGAGAGCATGGTAAGTACCCGCAAACTAGTGTAACAGAGAGATTAGCAAGTCAGCATATCTTGGGAGAATAAACCTGTAATTAACAGATATCGGCCATTCTTAACCGAATGACAGGCCACATTACAAGTCAAATGAAAGCCGGTGCCTCAACTGAGCATAATAATTGAGGTGATTCATAGACCTATTAATTGGGAGGCACCAATTGCCTTACATTCCTCGTAGATTAAGGCGTCAAATATGTCGCAAGCACCTTACGTACCTGCAGGGCTCCTGAGACAGCCAGCGTATTCTTTCACGATTTCAATTACGCTGCCAAATGGAAGGGTGCCGGGTAATGGACATCAAGGACGCATTACCTCTCAAGAGTGATGATGCGAACCGTACGAATCGGTTGTATTGCAGACGTAGTAAAATGAAATCCATTTTCAACCATTCGGGACATGATAAATAACTCGAGTTCTTAGAATTGGTTTATAGTTCCGGTCGTTTGGCTGGCCCTTGCGTCTGCTTTGGCGGATTCCGCTTGTTTTCGTCGCAATGAATAGGAGTGGGACTCATTGGGTCGATGGGAGGATGAATGACTTTTCCCACAAACGGATACTTGTCGCTTCGTTTGAAAAAAGCCTTCCAATGTTCGACGCCTTTCATCTCACCCTCGTCCAGACCACGGAGGTCATGAGTTCGATGATCTTTGAAGCAACCCGTTCCAAACGAACGCGCGGCATCGATGCCCGCCATGAGGTGATAACTCCCGCCAGGCCCATATGTATGTCGATTGGCGGAGACGTCGTATACGTCACCATCAATCTGGAATAGTCAGAAGATATCAATGTGTTTTGGAGTAGCAAGACGTACGGCAAGATAGATGGGCAGGTTCGGATTGGAACCGTCGTATTTCGCCAACATCTCTTCTGTGAAGAGCGATCCCGATCCCTCAAAAGGCCAGTACGTCCTCCAGTGGACCCATTTGCCATCATAACCCCATACCAAGCTGTCTGTCACAAACTTGCCAGAGAGCATGAAGACGAGAACGAGGATGAGGAGCGTCTTGGCTAGCACCATTCCTACAGAATCTTCTTCACTGACCGAACCTGGTGCGTCCGGGTCGTCTTCCCAGTCGGAAAGCTCCTCGCCTTTGGCCCACTTTTCTGCGCGTTTGGCTCGTCGCGCCTCCTTGGCAGCTTCAGCGGCCTTCCATTTGCCGTACCTGTCGATTGACATCCAGAGGAACGATAAATTTTAGTGGAAACGTCAGAGACAACATGGTCCACATACGAAAGAAAAGGCATATTCGCCTTTTTCGTCGAAACCATCCGTCCATAAGAATCTTTGACCTTTGGAAGTGGAGGTTCAAGTATCGGGTCGTCACCCAGCTTGGACGTTGGCGTGGGGTTCGACCCAATCGTTGGCGGGAATGGTTCTTTGCGTGGGGGCGGAAGTTCAAACTTCTTCTTGGACATTATTTTCCTTATTTTAGTGATTCCGTGACCTAGGGAGAAGCGGGGGACCCTTTGGATGCACGCGACGTGGCGGGAAGCAACCTTGGTGAAAGCTCGCTACGCCACAGAAACCAGCGAATACGACCGCTTTCGTTTCGAATAAATGAGCATTGGTTGATAACTAGGAAAAGGTCTATGATGGATAGTATTTCCATTGTTACGACAGAAGACTGGAGTGTAGAACGAGATCCTGCAAGCAAGGTGCCAGGCTGCGGAGCCGAAGAGTCCAGTTTCGAGACATGTCCAAATTTCTAATAGATCCTCCTGTCCACAACATCTATGCGCTTTCGTTGATAGTCAGCTCGACAATACCATCATTGACGGTAAATGAAACACTACTAAGCATCAGTAAATGCTTCGAATACGCAATTGATACGTACTAAGTCAAGTCTGGGACAATCCAATCTGGCTTCGCTGCCTCAACCGCCTCCCTCGAGTGGCTTGTGAGCACTGCGAGCACTTTCGCACCTGCGGCTTTCCCACTTCGTATTCCGTTTGGAGCATCTTCAACTACAAGGCCTATCGAGGCTATCAGCGACGCTCCTTCTGGCTCCGTTCAGAAAAACTCACATGCAGACACATCCACCCCGCACTTCTGAGCACCCGCCAAGTATGGTGCCGGGCTGTTTGATACGATAAATCAACGACGAGGCCGCAGGTGAGGGGACGCAAGCGTACTCAGGTTTGCCTCTTTCCACGTCCTCGGCTGCCACAAACGCTGTGGGTCGCTGGATACCTGTGTTCTCAAGCGCTGCATTTGCATATGCATGTGTAGCTATCGGACTAATTAGCAGGATCCCGACGAAATAGGACTACTTGCCGGAAGTGCAGATAGCCCAGATCTCCTTTCCTTCCTTAGGACTCGCGTTCTGGAAGGAGAGGCAGTGAGTGATTCATCTTGGTGGTAAGTAAGCGTACCTGGAGAGGCGCCAGAGTCGCCTTTACGTTTGGGAGGATGATAATCCCTTGCCTCCCATTGCGCTTGCTTGCGCTAACAATCTCCATCTCGAATCTTGTCGCCTCTCTCTAGTATTCGGTCAATATTCTACCAGCCCAGCTGCAAATGATGGGCAAACCTCGAGTTCTTCTGGATCGGTGATGCCGCAAAAACGTTTGAGATTCTCCACCGTCCTAACGCCGTGTGCGACTAGACATATTGATAAGATTTCAAGCTCCGATAAAAAGGAAAGGCGCACGTTGGATGATCTGGTCCACGTTCTGGAGACCGTAATGGTTGCCAAACGTTTCCCAAGCACCTTCGACGCCGGGTGTGGAATCTGTCTACGGATTAGATCGTGGATTTTCGTTTGATGGCCTGATTCTTGCCCACGAGAGTCCCATCCATGTCGAATAGCCTGTCAATTTGCCACTGGCAGTCAGAGGATATCCCAATGGTCAAGGACTTTGAAGAAGATCATACACTGCATCGAATGATTCCTTGATTTGCGGCATCTTGTGAGTAAATGCGAAACGGACAGATCCAAGTTGCTGGTTAAATAGATCGTCAGCCGGTCATTATCGGGCCGCAAATTACGGAGCGCGCGTTTCGGGCTTGTAGGGACCAGTTTGTGACTCCTACTGCGTGCTGATTCATCAATGCACTAGTAGCGCTCAAGAACCCGTCGCCGCGAATGTACCAAGCGCTGACGAGGAAGGGAGGATACTAGGAACGGGAAATTCTTCGAACCCAGTGCCACAACGAGCTTCTAAAGAAAGATGTACTCCCATAGCGAGTTGAGATTATTCGATTCGAAGGCAGGGCAGTTTTGGGGCATCTGAGCTACCACCGCGCAGCCTTAATAACCGCGACGCAGATTCGAGATCGAGCATCATTATAACAACCTTGGACGCATGAAATTAAAGAACGTGTAAAACAGGTGATTAGGTAAAGACAGAACTTGAGACTTGAAGCCCCATCTATATTCCGCAGGATAGAGGATCACGCTAAAAGCGACGGCATATGTCAATGTTAGTTGACGTTGATAATTGAGATCACACCTTGGAGCATGCCACCTCATACGTCCGAGTGTAGACCGAAACCTTTGCGGAAAAGATCAGCAATGAAAATAATACAAGGCAGTTCTCGCTCACAGATGTGACTCCATCTTGCCCTCCACCACCGCAAACCTGTTGAGGATTATCAAAGCAAGTCTTCGATTGGGTCAGAATCAGGCCAATGGCGACGGTGAGAAACGCACGACTGGACAATCTCCGTCCGAGATGCTTGTAAACGGAGGGGGACTGTGGACGCAATCTAAAAGGAGATAATGAGACATATGCCGAACAAGCGGGCTGAATCTTACCGCAAGTCTAGAGAGATGAATCAGCCAAAGGCGAAAACGAGATGACAAACTGTACATACACCTCCAGAGATGAGTGCTGTCTTGTATGATCGACTCTCGCAGTAGTCGAGACAGTCCCGGCCTCCTAGTTCACGCTGAGAAACGTGAGGGAAACCATCTTCTAGCGACCATCCCGGTGGGTCTCTATGACTAATCGACGTTCAGAGGGCAATATACCACCGTATGTCAGGCTCTTACCTCCAAAGCATGCAGCCGATAGAGGTCCAAGGGTAGTAGGAAACTGGAGTCGAGGTGGAGGTGGATGTACTCGACGTCTCTGTGCTCGTCTCCGTTTGCGTGCTCGTTGTAACTGTAGATGGTGACTGATAGTGATAGACGTTCAAGCGATTCGCACCACCACAGAGGTGAGCGGCATCTCCTGCGCATCCCATGTTACAGTTGTCTGTAGCCTTGTTGCTCTCTGCTGGAAGAGCGACAGAGCAATAGCATTCGGAACCGAATTCTACACCAGCCACGTCATATTCAGCGTTGGAACAGGTGTCGATGCACTTTTCCACGGTCATTTGGCCGACGACATCGACCGGGGTCATGAGACGAGCATGGACAGAGTCAACGTAGCATCCTTGGCTGACAAAGTTGTTGTACGACTCAAGGACGGTAGGTTGAGCGGTGAGCACGTTGCCTTGATATTTGTAGACTGTGATCCTGTCTGCGCCACCGCAGACAGTAGTTGCATCTCCGGAACATGGCTAGTGACATTAGATGGCCGCTCCCAAGTCTAGCAATTGACTTACCATAGTACACCCATCCGTGGCTGGAACACCAGACGAGCCAATCGAATTGGAGCAATAGCACTCGTCAGCGAATTCGACGCCCGCGTATCCGTAGTTCAAAGAGAAACATTTTTCAGTGCACTTTGGTACTGTCATCGCGCCCTCGACGTAGACGCGGAGACCGAGGGCACGGTTTGAGACGGCGTCACTGCACGTTCATGAGCACTAGTCTAGAGCAGTGAACAAAACTCACGCGTGGCATCCAGTAGCACCCTCAAGAACCCAGTCACCAGTCGATGGAAGAGGAGATGCCGCATGCTCGTAGATATTCAGCCGGTCGGCACCGCCGCACGTTTCGTCGGGGCTTCCGGCGCACGCCATATCACATCCTGTTGTCGTTGGGGTCCCCGAAGAGCCAATAGTGGCAGCGCAAAGCATTCGTTGGCGAATTCGACACCAGCGAGCGGGAAGCCAAGGCTCTGGCATTTGGTCGTACATTTCTCGATCGTCATGCCGCCTTCGACATATACTTGGGTAGAGAGAGCACGATTTGCGACCGAGTCGGTATAGCATCCCTTCGAGGTCCAACCAGGGTACGTGCGCACTGGCGGGGAAAGGGTGCCGGTGTTTTCGTAGACAGAGAGGCGAACGCCGCCACCACAAGTTTCTCCAGAAGCACCGGAGCATTCCATGTCGCATCCACTATCAGCTTGTACGCCATTGTTGCGAAACTCGTTGTCACAGTCTGCTCAAATCAGCGCAAGCTACAACCACAGTCTGTCGAATACATACAGCATTCCGTGCTCCATTCAGTTCCGGCATACTTGAAGCCTTTGGAGTAGCAGAAAGCCTGGCACATGGACGTGGTCATCGAATCGGACACGAGCTGAGCACCGGTGAAGGTACGGGCAGCTACATTGTCCGTATAGCAAGCCAGAGAGTTCCAATTGAAACCTCCGCTCTGACGACGGACGTGACGAGAGGGTTTAGAATCGAAAGGGAGAGCATTAGAGAGCGTAGAATAAGCGAGCGGGGTGAGGAGAGCCAAAGCCGTCAGGACCATGGCTAGAGTAAAAATTAAAGAGTGTGATACGACTTCGAGGGGGAATCGTAAAGAAAAAACTTTTGGTTCCGCGCGGTCGCTCCCTTTAATGTTTGTGGGCTCGACGGACGTCGTGCAAGGCGGCTATGACTTGACAGGCCTAAACGATCAACTGACGAACCGGTTTTGAGACTTTCCGAGACGTTTATGTTGTTTCGGGCCCGTTTTTTGAACCTGACACCCGTTCATGACGGCGCCGCGTTAGGTTGATTGTTGCTGCCCTGAGGATAAATGAAGTTTGAGGTGGCTTCTAATGTCAACAATTCTAGTATAGGGATGCTAACATGAGTCCGTTGCGGTACGCCCTTAATTTGCCTGCGAGAGAATACGATTGTCTGGAACCATTGAAATGCGTCTTGGACATCTTTTTATGCTGCCATAGAGGCGAGGCTCAACGTAGTCTTAGGTGGACGAGGAACAAGTAGTGGTACAACCCGTGAATGATATCAACCGAGTACAAACAAATCCGACCGATCCCAATGAGACTGCTTTTGGTTACTGTTACATGCATGGTCGATTACCTGTATCGACCAAAGGCCTTGCTATTGGTCGACGCAGTCGCGTCCTGGTAAAAATTGGTATCGGCAGACGTCTTGACAGACCGCTCGGACGCAATGGTGGGCGCCATGGAATTGTGTCTGCTTAGCGTCAACTGGATATCCTCACCGGGGATTCCTCCCCCTTCGACGTCGCCCACGTCGTCGGCTTTAAACGAGCGGATGCGTGACTCGGTTACGGCTTGGTATCCGACGTTGGCGACCTGCTCGACTTCTTTCTGTCCGTCAAAGATGGCGGCCGTTTCTTCGAGCGTCTTGCCCTTGGTCTCGACGAGGAACAGGTAGATGTAGCCGAGCTGGAACAGCAAGAAGCAGCAGTATACGATGTACTATCCAGATGGGTTAGTATAAGGATTAGAGTAAAGATGGACACGTACAAGTTTCCAACCGAGCTTGCCAATAGCGATCGGGTTTACGAATTGATTTGTCGTGATACCAATGCAAATCGTCGCGTTCTGTCAAAGAGTTAGGCATGAAATTCTTGATGGATGACGTGTGACGGACCATCATTGTAAAGCCACGGGCTCGGATCCGGTATGGGAGAACCTCGAGTGCATAGGCGACGAGCATGGGCGAATACGCAATATTGTAGGCAAAGTAGAAAAGGGGGATGATGCCAAGAACGGCTGTAGTCACGTAGTGTCAATACCGAATCGGTTTCATCTGAGAGAAAGGGAGGAGACCCAAGACGTACCATGCGCAGCTGACTTGTCGCCCCTGGTGGAGAAAAAGGCCGTGGCAAGCGTCCACCCAATAAAGGTAATCAACATGCCCGTGTTTGAACTGAGGAATAGCAGCCGACGACCGAGTCTATCGACAAGCATGGCGGCGGCTGGTCAATTTCGGAGAAATGTCAGCGCCACCGTAGAGGGGAAGAGAGAGTGGGTGAGAGAGACGTACTGATGGCGACGGCGCAGTTCCATATCTGCAAGGAACCGTTGATGAGGCCGACTGTCGGTGGATCTGTCACGCCAACACCCTTGAAGACGTCCCCAATCTGAATGCAACAGGAACACAAAACGGTCAGTACAACGGCGAATTAGTGTAAATGAAACGTGAGACCATCACGTACATAGTAGCTGACGAGGCCGTTCCCAGCCCACTGCGAGAAAAAGCCGATGGCGAGTACGATGCGCATACGACGTCGGTTCCCAGGTGTCTTGAACAGTGTTGCATAGCTCGTCATGGCCGAGATTTCGCGTTCCATCGAGAGGGCCTCGCGGATCTGGCCATAGGTGAAATAGACAAGTGGGTCGCGCTCGCGGCCGTTTGCGTGGTACTTTGTGAGGACTTTAACCGCCTCGAGATCGTGACCGTTTGCGACGAGCCACCTGGGCGATTCTGGGCAGAACCAGACAAATACAGCCTGGAACAGGGAAGGTACGGCTTGGAGCATTGAAGGGATGCGCCAGGCCCAGACAGAACCGGACAGGGTGCGAATGGTAGCATAGGTAATCCAAGCAGAGAGAATGCTTCCGATGTACCAGCTTCCATTGTACATAGCCGTGACTGCATGAGGGTGTTAATGACAATACAAATCTTGCAATTTCACGAGCTGCACTTACTCGGCGCTCGCTGAGTCGGATATGACAACTCGGTGATAAGCAGAGGAGCCGCATTAGTCGCGATACAGAGCCCGAGTCCAACTGTGGCAAAAGTAAGCAAACGGATCCAGGGGGAGACCAAAGATACGCACTCAGAACGCGCGAGGCTACGAAATGCGCGACCGTGGTTGCCATAGCCTGTAGCAACACACCTCCACCAATGATTGTTGAACCGAGGGAGAGCGTCTTTCGCCGGCCGATGCCGTCGCTGAGCAAAGGCGCAAAGGGGAGCATAATAAACGAGCCAAACGTCTGTGCTGCGACCATGAGACCTCTAGTCTTGTCTGAGGGATCTCCAAAGTACTTGTCCCACTCGGGCATGATCTGGATGCCTTTTGGTCTGGTCTTAGCGTGGCCAAGAGGGGATGCGTAAGGAATGGCGTACCGTTGAGGACAGAGCCATCGTAGCCATTGAGGCACTAGGAGCCTTGTTAGAAGTTGTTTTAGATTTCTAAAATGGTTGCCCAACCTGGTCATCAAGAGCAGGGCAATATAGACGTTTAGCTGGCGGATTCCTGTTTGCTGCAATCAGCCACTGGCGAGTATTGACCAACAAAGTACAGACCCTTGTTCTTCCACCATGGGCCTGTCCAGAGGAGATCTGAGATGTGTTCCATGGTGAAAGGCAAAGAAGGGGGTAAAGGTGGGGGACACACAGGCGTGCGGGGACTTAGAATTTGTCCGTGTTATTATATCTGCCGAATCTCGTGATGTCCAGGTACCGACGACAACTATTCCCGGCCGCCGATCGTGACACAGATTTCGCCGACCGACAACTTCGGAATGCTCGACGACTACTCGGGCCTTCGACGGCCTCTTGACCTGGCGACCCACAGGTACAGCCTTTGACGCTTTTGATAAGAACAATTTACTATACTCAGCTTTCCCCCCCGGCATCCTCCACATGGCTTTCGCCGACAGGACAACAATCCAGCTATCTCTATCCCATTAGGCTCTCTACATGTCAGATCACGATGGATACTTTTCCTCGCCATCACTCCCGATTTCAAATATCTCCTCCTCTTCTTCGATCGGCTCTGGAATCGCCCGCCCCTTGCCCTTGCGTCGTCGCGACTCGTCGCTTGACAGAGTGAGTGGGATACTCTCCTCGGTCGTCCCATTTGCGTTATCGTCCCTTAGCACGATTCTTGAGGGCCCCACATTCCGTCGAGACCGACAGTAGAGCACCGTACCAATGCTCACCGCTATCAGCACCACGATTAGTGCGACAGTTCCGGCATTATAATACGCTGTCAAAGTGGGCCCCAAAACAATTTCAGTCAAAATAGCCTTTACGAGCAAATGAAACAATCTTGGCGCACCCTGCCATTTCGCCTTTAGCTCCAAATCGCTCAACGTCCCACCCCCAGGCAACGGCGTTTCCTTTGGTGTGTCACCCAGACTGCTCGGGATCCGCCCAGCTGTCCCCGTCGTTATCCTTCCAAAGTCGACGTTCATAAACCTTAAAATCATGTCGTGCACGACGTGCGGCAGGTCCCATCCAACCATGTGCGATCCCTTGAATATCTACAAACGCCCAGGTCAAACCCCTTGCCATCCAATCAGAAAAAGGCCAATAAACGCACCTTGACGTAGGTCATATTCCGTGCCGTCTGCCAGGTCCCGGCTGCAGTTCCATTCACCGTCCACGGAAGGCTCTCGGCGTTCTGGAACCCCGCACGTGAGCTACTTTTTGGAATTATGCCACATGAAACAAGGACGCACCCCCATGCCTACAGCACCACCCCATCGGAGCCTCTCGAGCAGCTTCTCCTGGCCGACATAGTTACAGATCACGTCCTGGTCGCCTGCGAACAACATGACAGAAATCTTTTCCAAGAGTCCCGGTAGTAATGTCACAGACGAAGGCGATTTCTTGTTGGACATGATCGAACCTACGCGACCAGAGCACTCCGTCCACGCAGCGTCTTTGGCCTCGGCATGCAACGAAATGACGACTGGTTTCTTCTACTCTCGTCGTTAGTCCCTTGTACACCGAACGATGGATAATGCAGCGCACCCTCAGCCATGGAGTAATTTGCTTCAGGTCCGGTGGCCAGTTCATCCCACACGCAGGGTAATCGTCCGTCAGTCGAATGTCGTAGACGTTCATACACGTTTGTCGTCCGTTGACCTCTTTGTTGAATGGCTCTAGGACGGCACCCATGACATGCTCGCAGACTGCATCGCCCACTGGCTCAAAGCTGGAAGGAAGTTTGTCCAAAGAGGCCTCGCACTCTGCCAGTTTCTTCTTGGCATGTTTGTGTTCCTTTGCTCATCGTCAGTAGTGTTTCGAGTGGAAGAACCAAAGAGTCGCGCACGTTGGAATTCTCCTTGAACAAGCCCGCTTTGAGACCAAATTCTACGTATGCGGGATACTGGGCTCGCGAGTCAATCCATCCATTCCCAATGGCGATTCCTCGAAGTGGCGCAGGCATATTCGAAGCTTTGAGCATTGCATCGGCAATGTATGGGATGTATTGGCCAGCAAAGCTCTCGCCCGCGAGATATGTCTGTACAGTGTCAGTTGTGAAGGCGAATACAAGGCAAAACGTACGTCGATGCCAGCCAGTTCTGGAAACACTTTGTAAAAGTTGCGCATAAACTCGATCATTTGAGGAGTCGACTAGTGTGACTGTCACACATGTGTCACGTAGAGTGGATAATTCATACCTCTGTTAGTTCTGTGGCATACCGATCTGTGCTGCCATATGAGAAGCCGGTTCCTACAGGCTGGTCGACTACATGGCACGTCAATAAAACTATAGACGTAATCCGGAGTTGGTCTTCATACCATAGACGATGTTGGCATACTCTTCCCAGCCACCCTCAATTTCCCTCAGCTCGCCGGTACTGTCCATTCGCCACGGACCGACTTCCATCATCAGTCCATCAAAGCTACTACACCCCGGACCACCATTAAACCACCAAATCGTGCGTTCGCGATCGCTTGGTCTTCGCGCTTTGATGAGAACAAAGTACAAGTGATTCTGGACGGGCAAATTTGGGTGCGGTGTCTCGTTTGGACCGGGAGGAATAAAGTTGTCTTGTTCAGCAAGCAAGTGACCTGCCCATATGTGCAATGGTGGCGACGAGGGCAGTCGGTGAAAGTTTGGGAGGTGCGCGAGGTCAACGTAGAAATTCGACGCCGCGGGGAGTGGTAAAGGGGCTGCTTTGCGTGTATTTGCAGACCGTCGTTGGTGCACAAACGCAGACCGTAAGCAAACCACGTCAAAAATGCGCCGTCAAGAAGAAGACAAACCTGGAGCAGCATTGACCAGCCAGATTGAACATAGCGATAGAATAATTCTTAGATATTCCCGGGCGACCATGTCGTGGCTCGGACGGGAAACAAGGGCTGCGGTAGAGACCAAAGGTTTGAGAATTAGACGAGATGCTTCGTCGGCGCTGTGTCGTGTACAGTCTTCAAGTCCAATATCGTTGAATATCCACCGAATCGGAGGTCAGCATGGCACTACAGACGGTGCCGCATGGTCGAACACGCGCAACGCAGCTTGGACCCGCCCACGTCCGGCTTTGCTCACCCACAGTCTCCAAATCGACTCAGAAATGGTCTGTCGACGTGTATTTTACGTGCTCGCGTCCAACGCGCTCCTCGTCTCGGCCTCGTACTTTTCCAAAGGTTGGTCCCCCGACGCCGCGAGCCAGGCTGCGGCGGCGAGCCCAACTCCTCGTCTCTCGTCCCTTGGTAGCACTGGTGCATCTCCGACGGGTGCTCCTGCGCGCTTCGACTGGTCAAAGCTGTTCACCGCCGGCCCTGTGGCCAGTTTCTTCGAGTTGACGGGCATAAATGTGACGCAGCGATGGGAGGCGGCACAACAGGCAGCTGCCGTGAAACCATATGATACACGTATCCCAATGATCACCGATGACAACTATGACGAGCTCGTCAGAAAGGGCGACCCTAACGATACCTGGTTCATGGTCGTGTGCGTCACGTTATCAAAACTACATGCGTCTGCTCACTCGTTTTAAAGTACGCTAGGTGACCCTCGTGATCCAATATCCAAGGATGTCGATGCGATTTACGACCAGGCGTTCAATGTGACCCTTGAAGCCAATGACACTCCCCATGTCAAGTGGGGTCGTGTGGACTATATGGATGTCACTAGAGTGACCACAGAATGGATGGTGTGGAAGTGAGACACTTTTCCTGCTCAAATGTGAAACCCCCCATTGACGAATCGATACAGAGCACCAATCATGGTCGTTGCTCGCGACCAAGGACGAGAACTTCGATTCATGTATCCATCTAATCTCGTCATGCAACCGGAATCCATCCACCAGTTTCTCAAACTCGGTCGTTGGACCGATATTCCGATTTGGACGGGCCCTTTTGCACCTGGAGGCTCACTGGAAGGAGTTGTTAAGATGTATGCCAACATTGCGACACCGCTATACGCGATGGCGAATCGTATCCCTAAGTGGATCTTCCTTCTCGCGAGTGGCAGCGTCGCGAGTTTGCTCATCCAGCTCATGCATAAAGTGGGAGGAGACGAACAACCCAAGAAACCGATTACGACCACGACTAGGAACCTGCTGCTGAGACCACCAATGGGTCCACTCCGGCCTCCACTTCGGGTCGCCCAAAGCGATTCGTCGTCAAAAAGGCCAGTGAGGTGCACCCAGAACTCAGTAGCAGTGTAATGACTGCAAGCGTCGTAAGCTCTGCAAGGATGAGCGAAAGTGAAGGCGCTTCTTCTTCACCCGAGAGGCCCAAAGCCGCTACACGGAGGAGCACGCGAAAGGTTGCCAAAAAGTAACGATGGAATAGGAACACGAAACAATGTCTTCTATGCGCTATTATGTACAGGAATGTAACCTAGAACTGGGAAAATATTGTACGGGCATGGTTTCTCCCAACCGTCAAGGTCACATAGTGACTTGAATCGGAAAGATATGGAATATGACCCGCTTTTCCCGTGGCAACGATGACCTGTCGACGCGTTTCCGCGGACAAAGATCTGTGGCCACGAAGAAAAAATTTTCTGGCGAGCATATACGGCGCTGTTTGGCGAAAGACTTTAGTCCCTCGTGTCCACAGCACACGTACTGCCTTCGCTCTGTCGACTTAGAATTTGTCAACGCCATGGAGAAACGGCGCTTCGATGGTCGAGGCAGACGCCAAAGAAAAGCGGCTTGTTTGTGCCACCCACGCTTCACCTGGCCCCGGCCTCGACTTTGGCTACAGCATCAAATAGTGGTTGAAAATGTTTTCATCTGCGAGACAATCGATTATGCCCCTTGGGCGTGGGGGTTTGGAGTCGCTACAGGACGTTGGAGCGTCGTACAGCGCCGAACACGCCAAATCTGCTCGTTCGATCATGAAGACAATGTCAAAAGCAGCTATGATTGCAAGTTGGGCCTCGTGGTTGTGGTCATTTAGGCTGATGGGACGGACTACAGGGATACCGAGCCGCAAACTCGTTGCGTAGTGAAGCCATCAAGATTGATCGACTGAATACCATCTTGGATTGCACAGAGGTATGCTATCTCTCATCTATAGATCACCTGGTTGACGACATGGCACGCCTAGTACGCTGTTCTGGTTCGCCAAGATGCTACTCGCAAACATCAAGAGGCCCTCAAGGCAGAGATTGAGCCACAGGTACAGGCACTACTCAAATTGAGAGAGGAACGGCGCGCCGAGCGAGATAAGCAAGAAGAGCGATACAGACGACGGGTGAGCCCTTTCGTGTCAGGGTTTCGAAGATGGGTCTGATTGGTACAGGCGAGTGCTCGACAGAGTGGCGGAACACCCAAGAGCGAGGTCGCGGCTGTACGGAGAGAACAGCTGCTGCTCCAACGTCGGGATCGATTGAGGAGGGAGAATCAGGATTTGGAGAGGCAATTGGCTGAACAAAGACGAGACTAGGTAAGTGTATCCTATGCCTACAGCTTTTCAAGAGCCTCGCGTGCAACAGCTCTAATATGTCTACAGAAGAATTAGCTCCTTGCATCAAGAAGTGGACGCCCATTACCTGAAGCGATCAGGTCCAAGAGGCTTACCGCCGTAGAAACGCGTCACAATCACAATGACATTACGCCAGTCGGATTGGCGTAGCATGTTCAGGAGTACCATCCCAGCACCCGACTCTCCATCGTTGCCCATTCCTGAGCAAAGGTTGGCGCGTAGTCGCACGGGCATGTGCACCTACCCTCTGCTATCTCGTTATTCGGACAGTTTCTCCAGGCGTACATGGCACGATGAGACGCCTTTCTTACTGCCTTCATCTCCCGCACAGTCTTCAGGATATTCTCAGCCTGTACGGTGGTTATTTAAGAGAGATGCAGCGTCTTTTTGTGCGCTTACATCTTCTTTGGATTGTATTCTTGCCGCACGACCTATAAACTTGCTTTGTCGATCCGTCACGACTTCCGAAGTCGTAATCAAAGTGTCACTATGACTCTTTCTGCAGTGTATTGCTGCTGTATTGATCAATGAACTATTGATTCGGAATATCCAATGTTGCCTTGCTACATGTCTTGCCAACATGTGGTGGTGCTCTCCAAAGTTTTCCCCACTCTCGACCACGACCCAGAACGCGTAGATGGAGGACTCGAAAGAAGTGAGGCTACATCATTGGTTGATTATCTGCTCCTAAAGGTCATAAAGCACCCATCTGTCTCCTCGGAACGAAACGGGACACAGACTGCCACTGAGCCTACTGCAAAAACAACGGGCGAGGCTGGCGGCAAAAGGACAGGCAAGGATAAAAAAGAAAAGAAAAAGAAGAAGGCAAAGCCACAGCGAACGGGGGAATGGGCCACAGATATTGAGCGAAAGAATGCATCTTTCGAGCGATACTACGAGGTGAGTAGTTCTCTAGCCTTTTCAAAGAATCGCAAACTTATGAACGTTCGATCACACAGGCCCAGAATCTCTTTGAAGACCGAACGGAATTAGACCTGATGCTCGACAGTTTGAAAAGAGACTTGCCCACGACATTTCGTGTGACTGGGAGCCGAATGTATGTCCAAATTCACGTAGAAATTGCACGCATCTTACTGTTTGTTCTGGTAGAACAGCAAACGATGTCAACGATATCATCCGCAAAGTCCATGTTCCCAATTTGACAGGGATCCAGCACGAAGGTGTCGACGTTGATCCCCCAAGACCTATTCCCTGGTACCTTGGTGGACTTGCGTGGCAGATCAACGTCAACAAGTCGGTTGTACGCAAGCTTGTCCCCTTTCAGCAGATGCAACGCTTCCTCGTCTACGAGACGGAGGTAGGGAACATTTCACGGCAAGAAGCCGTCAGTATGTTACCACCTTTGGTTCTGGATGTCGAGCCGCATCACCGAGCAAGTCATCTACTGTGCAAGAAACCGAGTACTAATTACTAGCAGGTTCTAGATATGTGCGCTGCACCAGGCTCAAAGGTATGGCATTCTTGCGTATACTCTCTAAGTTAATGAACAAAATAGACGGCACAAATACTGGAAGCAATGCATACACTGCCCTCTGGAGAACCTGTCTCGTCCCCGAGCGGAATTATCATCGCAAACGATAGCGACTACAAAAGAGCCGGATTATTAGTTCACCAGTCGGCTCGATTACCTTCCCCATCGCTCGTGGTCACCAACGTCGATGCCTCATACTATCCCAACATTTACATAGACAACCAAGGAACGACACTCGAATTTGACAGGATTCTATGTGACGTACCGTGCAGCGGAGATGGAACTATGCGCAAGAACGCCGTAATCTGGAGGCAATGGACAATTCAAGGTGCGAATGGACTTCACTGGTGAGTGACTCGGATGTGATAAACTCGGAAATGTTGAACATGAATACAGTCTTCAACTCCGAATACTACAACGAGCGATGAGAATGCTCGCGCCAGGCGGACGGATCGTCTACTCGACATGTTCCCTCAACCCGGTCGAAAACGAGGCAGTCGTGGCGGCTGCTATCAAATCTAGCGCAGGAGAGTACCAGCTCGTCGACGTCTCGAATCGTCTTCCCGAACTCGTCCGTCGACCTGGCATCACTTCATGGCAGGTGTGCACCGACAAGGACACTATGAACATGGAACCATCCTTTACTGCCTACTGGGAACGCCTCAATGACAAGCAACGAGCGGATTCGAAGATTGTCGAAACCATGTTCCCGCCACAAGAAGTGCACGAACTCAATCTCGATCGATGGTGAGGTTACATAAAGCGTTTGGGTATAGGTCTGACGTGTATATTCCAAGCTGGCGTATCTATCCACATTTGCAGAACACTGGTGGTTTCTTCGTCGCAGTCTTGGAAAGATCGCCCACCTACGTCCTTCCGCCTCCCAAGAAGAAACACACCAAACGACCGGTCGACGACCTCGCAAACGACTCGGAGCAGGATGGAGAAAGGACGAGGAAGCGAGCGCGTGTCGACACCAACGTCGAGGTCACTTTGGACACGGAAATGGCGGATCCGACTCCTGTCGATACCGAGCCGGGACCCGTAGAAAAGGAGAAAAAGGAAAAGGGTAAAGGGACGTACAAGGAGGATCCCTACACTTATGTGGACGCCAACAGCGAACTGGTGACATACCTATTGTGAGTGTACACCCGCCTCTGAAATACGGTACTGAGTCCGTGTAGAAAATGCCTCCAAGTTCAGGACACGATCATCAACGCACGTGGAGAGACGGAAACATTTCCACGACACAATCTATTCGTCCGAAACGCCGATGCAACCACACTTCGATCCGTCTACTTGTCCAACGACCGCGTCAAAGCAGTGCTGACATCCAATGAACCGAGTCGACTCCGCTTCATCAGCGCGGGCGTCAAGTTGGCGATACGACAAGACGCAGGTGCACGTAAAGCCATGGCCCAGGGTGGTCCAGATGCAGAGACTGCGCAAAAGTATCGTGTATTGCACGACTCCGTCTCTCAAGTCCTTCCGTTTATGAGGCCAGAGGATGTAATCCATGGAGACACGCGGTTGCTAAAAGTCTTTGTCGAGCGGATGTACCCTCTGGCTCGCGAATTTGCCAGCCCGTATGGAGAAGTGTTGGGGCGTTGTGGTGAGATCTGCCAGTCAAGTCTCGAGCTGATACTGACAACATTTAGAATTGGGCCATCATGTCTTGCAAATTGATCCATCCAGTGCCGACTCTGAGGTTCTCAAAGGCGGAGAGTGCGCATACGTGATCGAGGTTTGGATTACGCTGACTGTTGGCCAGGTTGACGCACCCACTGATATTCCCCATCTGGAAGTCGAACGTGTCGCTCAGTCTGATGCTAGATAAACGTGCAAAGAGGTGTGTCAGTCGCGCATAGGGGTTATCGTTTCTCAAAGGGGTTTAGTGCTCTCAGTTTACGCCTGTTTGGAGAAGACCTCACTGTGGAAGGCAAAAGGCCAGACACGCAGCAACTGGCTGAAGAAGATGCTGAGCAAGAGGACACTGGCGATGAAAAGAGTTGATTAAACTGGCAAATAAAGAAAAGGATGTAATGTACCTGGTCGTGTCTAATACGGCTTGAGTCGATTGGAAGCTTTAATCTCCTTTTGAAGCGCTCTCTGTTTGTGCTTCCCGAGGTCTACAGCGCGGACATTCGAGTCTGCCTTTTTCAGCCTGATTGGCCGATTTCCAACGTATTTGCCTGCGAGGAGATTAGAGGGTTTGTCAGATGTAGATGAAATGCGTACCGTCCATCTCCTTCCACGCCTTGAGAAAGTCTTCGGGGTCTGAAAAGGCGACAAAGCCGAATTTGGCCTGACAACTCGTCAGCTTTCGAGCCATAACTCGGTCCAAGCTCACCTTTTGACTGAGCTTGTCTCGAATGACCTTTGCTTTGGTAAAGGATGGATACTTGTTGAACGCTTCCGCGAGGAGGGTGTCCGAGACGTCGTTGCTCACATCTCCGACGAAGAGCCTGAACCATTCTGCGAGAATAATTAGCCAGAATAAGATGAACCAAAGTGGGTCTACCCACGTGGATCCCACTCCAAGAGCGTTGGGTCCTCCCACGTCTTTCCGCCTCCTCGCCGCACCACCGTCGTCTTCTTGCCTCGCCCGGTGCCTCCAGCAGCCAGATGCGACGCTGTAGATGTACCAGCGCCGCGCTGTACGATGGCAGCGCCTGGGACGTAGACGCTGGCCTGCTCATACATGCCAATGTCATATTCGTGCGCGTTTGCGGGGAGTTGTGGGCCTGTAGAGGGTTGTGCGACTGCAAATGGATTTGATGAATATTGATTTGCAGATGATTTTCCGGGGACTGGGAGATAGGGATTCGAGCTCGCCATGGTGGATTCCAAGAGATGGCGGCCAGTTTGCCAAAGTATTTGGCGCTTTGTTTGGTCAACGGCCGACCACCCAACTTTGCAAAGGCAAGCATCTTGATTACACGCTAGCTAGTCGCTAACCAATTCTCTACTTCTAGATGGTCAGTAAACATTAGATTATATGCTCATTTGCTCATCTGGACTGCAGCCTTTCGTCAAAGTAGTCAAGTCGAACGCCTACTTTTCGCGGTATCAGGTCAAATACCGTCGTAGAAGAGAAGGAAAGACTGACTGTGAGCATCTACTTGCATTCCCATTCTTCTCCAGTCTGCTGACTCGGCCAATCAAGACTATGCGCGAAAGCGTCTGGTCACTCAATCCAAAAGCAAATAGTGCGTAGAAGACACGAGTATAGATCAATGCTAATATGCACTAGTAACGCCCCCAAGTACCGTCTTGTAGTCCGCTTCACCAACAAGCAAATCATCTGCCAAATCACCTATGCTCGTCTACAGGGCGACTTTGTCCTCGCATCTGCCTCGTCAAAGGAACTACCACGATATGGCATCAACCATGGTCTCACCAACTGGACCGCCGCCTATGCCACCGGTCTCCTCGTCGCCCGTCGTGCGCTAACCAAGCTCGGCCTCGCAGACAAGTACGAGGGTGTCAAGGAACCCACGGGTGAACTCGTCCTCACTGAAGCCCTTGACGACGAAGACGCGCCACGGCCCTTCAAGGCCTTTTTGGACGTCGGTCTCAAGAAGACGAGCACGGGTTCACGAGTATTCGGTGCGCTCAAGGGTGCCAGCGACGGTGGCATCTTTATCCCCCATTCGGAAAAGCGCTTCCCCGGATACGATACCGAGAACAAGAAGCTCGACGCAGAGGTCCTCAAAAAGTACATCTTTGGTGGACACGTCGCCGAGTACATGGAGTCGCTCGAGGAAGAGGACGATGAACGGTCCGTATCCCGACTCCGATTCCGTGACATGTGATTGACTCGACTCTTTACAGCTTCAAGAAGCAGTTTGCCTCGTATCTCGAGGACGGCGTAGGATCAGAGGACATTGAGGAGATCTACAAAAACGCCTACCAAGCCATCCGAGACGACCCGACCTTCAAGCCCACGGACAAGACAAAGGACTGGGCCGCCGAATCCAAAAAGTACAGGACTCCACGTCTCACACACGCCCAACGGAAGGAGGCAATCGAGGCAAAGATTGCCAAATTCCAGGCGGGCAAAGATGCGGCAGACGACGACGAAGACGAAGAGTAGACTCTCGGCCCTTTATACATCCGAGTTTCGGTTTTGTCAGCACGTTTAGTTGTCTATGTATGATATTGCCCCCGCTATCCATAGGCCGCGCTGAGTCTGAGCCTGCACGCCGTCGCTGCCGATAAGTGGTCGTGTTCATCAAGTGGACTCGTCTAAGTATGTCACAAAGGGAGTAGTACATCCGACACTTGAACCAGCAGATAGCACAAGTAAACGAAAAAGAAATAAGGCCCGGGTATGGAAAGAGGGGATTTGGTGGAGGGGGAAGAAATTATTGATGGGTGAAATTAAGGGTCGAGTCCATTCGTGAATCCTCCAAGACGAGCAGATCAAAGCAAAAGGAAGAAAGAACAAGGGCGAATAGCCACACAGTGGTTTGGAGAAAGGAGCGTGATGTGATTCCAAGAGAATGGGGAATTTCAGCCATGGCAGAGTTTGCCCTAGCTGACTACAACGGGCGATGTATTCCCGTAACGGTGATGATGGACTGGAGAGGGCCCATTGGCCACAGATGGGCTTGTCTGCTTTGACGTATCGATCCGCGCACCCCGTGGTGCAGGAATGCGAGGGGTCGACTGCGACGCACTAGGCGTCAATGGTTCATCCGTCGAGTTGGAGACGGGAGATTGGGCATAAACCGTCTGTTGTCCCTGCACATACGACGACGACGAGGAGCCCTCGTGCGAAGGCACACCGACGCTCCCGGAACTCTCGCCAAGTAAAAGTTCGACAATGCTCACGCCATGTCCATCGTCATTCGAGGTTCCGTTGAGCACAACGGGTGGTGATAATGGGCCCGCAAGCTCGTGCTCTTTGTTGACGGGGAATCCCCACTGTGTCAGGAACAAGTCGACGAGCAATCGAGCTTCGGGCACGCTCGTCGCCTGCGACAGCTTTTTCCGCATGTCGCTCACATCGACCGCCTTTGCTGCAGGCAGGTTTGGAATACCCGCACTTCGCGCAGCAGGGACCATTCCTGAACGTCGTGAAGGGGTCGGCGGAGACGAAGGCGAGGGTTGCGATTCCTTTGGTGATGCGACCGTGTTAAACTGGACTGGATGTCCACTCTGAGTGGCTATGTTGGAAGAAAGCGATGCTTTGGGGCTTGGAGGAGGTCTTGTATCTCCAGGAGAGCGAGGTGTATTGGGGACGGGGGGCACTGGGAGCTGGTCATTTCCTCCATCCCAAACAGGCGCGGCCTTGCGCGTAACAGAGACATGTCGGGCACGCTCCAGTGATTGCGAGTGTGAGCTTTGTCCAGTTGCTGACGCGGATTCGCCGGCAGGCGTTTGCACCTGAGGGGAAGAAAGAGTCGGGGAGGGAGGCGCAGAAGCGCGCGTATAATGAGGAGGGCGAGGATATTCGACTGGAGGAAAAGGTTGCGGGGGTGCTCGAGGGGCATCAAGATTCCCGACCGAGCGCTGCTTCTTCAGGGAAGAGTTGGACCGCCCGAGAGAAACCGATCCATTGGTTGCGCGTGAAACATTGTTGGTGCTAGCACTATTATTCATAGTGGGAAGTGCTTCGGTTGATGGTCGAGCAGAGTTTCTCGAAAACATGCTCCTGAGACGACCCGATTTTTGAGGCTTTTCCGTGACATTGAGGTTGTTTGTCTGGAGTGGCGGGAGCGACGGTTGTTCCGGTGGACCCTCTGACAAAAAGTCGATGAGATCCCGAGTACTAGAAGACGTCCCGGACGCGCTCGCCGCTTTTGGCATCATTGGCGGCGGACCAAAGGCAATCTCGTCGTCGACGTCCATCACCTCGTCCAAGTCTAGCGACTCTCTATTCCTAGCGGGACCACGGGGACCAGTTCGGTTACGCTTGGGCATTCCATTCGACATGTCCATGGGTTCGCCAAGCCGGCGGGAAGAGGCAGAGTTGGTGTACGAGGACGGACCTGGGGCCATAGAGGGACCGGTTGCGGAAGCTTTGCGTAAGAGTGCGGGGTTTGTTGTCGGGGGTGTGCTGCTGTCTGACCCACGACGCGCTGGGTTCACACGAATGCCAACTTCGCCTGGAGTTGCGATGCTGTGATTGCGCTTGCCGGAGAGCGGGGAAGTCGCGTTTTCTCTGTCTTCTAGCAAGTCTTGCGCACGTCCTATTGACTTTGTGCTCGCGACGGGACGAAGCGATTTGAAGGGAGGGGCAGGTTCGGCGTTGGGTGGGGGAGCAGGTGTGACCTTTGCTTTGGCGAGCTTCTGCTTGTTATAAATCTAGGTAGTGCCAAATGACCCGTTAGCATACAGATAAACGGAGCGCTCAAAGAACGGCAGCCCGGCCGGAAGAGAAGGGGACCGACCTCGAAAGTCTTGAGGCGGTCGGGAGTAAGTGAGACCTTCATCGTTGTGCCAGAGTTCATCAAGTCGTCGAAGTCCTGCATTCCGTTTTCAGACTGACGGACATATCAATTAGTGTGTGTGAATAGGCGGGGGCCGAGTAGAACGGGCGACCCAAAAGCGTACCTCCGCTTCATTGTCTTGAAAGGCGAGTGTTGTCCTTTTGCTCATGACGGACATGCTGCGCTGGTGCTCCTTGTTCGATGCAGCGTCGCTGTTGCCATTCTTGAACATTTTGAGCGCGCGGAGCTTGTCAGACGACGAGGGCGCGTGTCCGGGCTGCGTCGTCGCCAATCCTCCTCCATTTACATCTGCCGAGGCTCGCATGTTGTCTGTCGAGCCGGTTGGCGTCGGTTGTGGAGAGGTGGCACGCAACGGCGAGCTGTCGCCTCGGACAAACGATTTGCTCCTGCGAGGACGGGAACCTTTGCTTTGGCGGTCGATTTGTTCTTGAACTGCAAGAAGTTGATACGTGAGCACGGCGACGCCTAAGATGCCTAACGACGAGAGAAGACGAACCTTTCATCGTTTTGAACAGTCCATAGATCGTATCGTCTTCGCACAATGCCACGTACAGGTCGCCGACCTGGGCAGTGGCTCGACTTGCATCGCGCCCAACAACGCGCGCGAGGTTTCCCAGGATGTGTCTAGAGAAACAATAAGCGTCTGAATGATGTTGCGTGTGTATCAAAGAAGTCCTTACTCGCAAATATGCCTGTGAAGGAAAGTCATCAGCTATTGTTTCCCACGAAGGGCGCCCAATTGAGACGACGTACTCGAGGACAGCAGTTAGATAGAGTGCAGCAGGAGCGACAGCTGTCGCATTTGGCGGGTTGGACGACGCCTGGAGCATACGGGTCTGCAACCGGGACTCTACATCTGCATCCTCGTCTAGCTCGCCCAGCGTCGAGTAGGCTTCACATTTGTGTCGTAGAAGCTGTGTAAATACGTGTGAGTATAAGAAAATGGGAACAAAATGAGCATGCCTACTTCAAACGCTGCCTGCAGCGGAAACTCCGTCGTACTCGGCGAAGGCGCACTCTCGAGTGCTTTGAGGACATGGAGACCAGTCTTTTCCCAGTATGCCTTGAGCTCTACTTCAGCCTCTAGAAGCGCGTCTTTGCCGAGCGTGGTGGGGAGAACTTTGACGAGCGAGACCTTTAGACGATCGGTGGAAAACGAGCGCGCGGTGCTGAGGACGAGCCAGAGAAGTTCGTCCAAAAAGACGTTGATGCAGATTAGTGTCTCTGTCCTGACTTTGGTCGGCCTGACTTCGGACAAGATTGCCTCTGCCTTTGACTGGGAGAGATAACTGGGTGCTGGAGGCGAATTGGAGCGGTTAGCTGGCATAATAAACATGATAACTAGTCTTCAGACCTCGATCCATTCCAAGTAGCACGATACAGTCAAGGCTCGACAGCGAGTAAACGAACGAAAGGAGGCCAAGGTACCCGTGGACCGTCTGCCAAATACTAGGCCCGCCGGAGGTTGCCGCCATGGCTCATTAGGGCCATCAATCCATCGGTTTCTCCGCCGTAGACGCTAAAATGTCACAGATATCGGATCATTCGCTGATGCGGAGCTCCCTGGGACAAAGAGGTAAGTAATACACACGGACCAGACACGGACCACTCACATCTTCATCAAACTCGGGTCCCTAAACTTTGCTTAGTTTATAGATTCAGTCAATCTGTATGCATGCGCTACGCACCACCTCTTCATATCCACACCTGTCGCAAAGTTTAGTGTCTGAACCCCCAAATCAAAACACCAGTACACATACTTTGCATAGAACCCCTTGACGTAGATTTGAGAATGCAGCGACACGGACAGTCGCGGGCCATCCTCCCCGTTGGACGTGACAGCCTGCTTGCGAATGTAATCATGGGCGGCGAGCACTAGGTCCTTTCCAAATTTAAAATTCCGATACGGTTTGAGCACACAGAGACGGCCGAGCTTTTTGTCCGTCGGCGAGAGGTGGACGATGCGGATAGTCCCAATCGGTTCCAAACCCTGAACTAGCCTCAGGAGGACATGTGTAGATTTACCGGGTTCGTCGTCTAGGAATCCCTGTATCAGCCACCCGTAGAGTTATTCACGCCAGACGACGCCGTACATTTATCAATTTCTGTATCGAGAGGAAACTGCTGTTCGTCGACAAAGACTAGATAAACTTTAGTCTCTCGCTTCAGGAATGGCTAGTTGACACACCTGCGATACGGACGTTTACACACTGGGCGAGAAGATCGGGTGTGCTATCGTCCGCAATGACAAATTCGTGCGCAGGAGCGTCGGTGGAAGGCATTCCTAGTCTTATAATCAGAGTGGGAAACGTACTTTGGACGAGGGGCTCGATGGCGGGGAGAGCAAGTTTGCCACTGCAATTGCTCTTTAGATTACAAATAACATGCATCCTGACTAATCCTTGTGCTTGCGTAACCAACCAAACGCGAGGACCAATTTGACCCGAAGCGCTCGTCAAACTTGATCCCTTGCACGACTGCAAGGTAATATTTCATCATCTCCAATCAAGGTCTATTATTCATAAATGTTATTCTAGGGTATCTATGTCAAGAGATCTCTATTCTGCAATCGTTTTCTGTGCCCAACTCTCGGCCCAAAGGCGGCTCAAACATGACCAAGTATGCGTTCGAGCGCGTCCATTCCTCTCAATGCTCTTTCAAACCAAAAGGCAACATGTATCAAGACATTCACGACAGAAATTCGACCCAGCAAACGCCTTTACCGTCCAGGTCGAGACCTCACGACTCGGGTTTTTTGACCCGTCTTTTGTCCCGCATGGGTTCGAATCAAAGAAGGCACGTGAATTACTGCGAAATGCAGTAAACAAGGACCTTTGCTCGTCCAGTTTACGACGTCAACGTACGTAGTGCCTGAACCATGTCAACCATTTTTTTCCCTAATCGTTCACTAGCCAAGCATATACAGAATCACTTGCGGTCCAACTATCGCCGCTTACATGATACCAGTACGTCTCCATGGCGAGGACGTGCCATGTCTACGGATCCACGCCAGGAGGACATACAACACACCAAAGCGGTCTCGAAAACCCAGCACAGAAAGAACAAAAAGTACACTCCGCAGCAAAGACTGGACCAAGCATTGCAATCCGGTGCCCAAGGCGAGCGTCTGGCTTTTTACAAGCAAAGACTCGACCCCGTCGTGCGTCTCATCGAAAAACGCCCACATCAACTCTCCCTTCCTGACCAACTCCGTCTATGCTTCTGTCTCCTCCTCGCGGCGCATGCCAATACCACCTCTGGCGAGTCTCCAAAGCAATTCACACCTGATAAACTGCGCTCAGACGTTCAATGGCCGCGGTGGTCCTCGCCTTGGGCCGTGTTGCTCGCTCATCAGATTTGGACTCGTATTGAATCCTCCGACTTGCGAGGGTCTTCCGAGCTTCTTTTCTATGCACAATGCGTGCGCGCTCAGATATACTCCTTCTTTGGGCAGCTTTCAGAGGCGGAAGCTGAGCTGAACGTCCTAATAAATGACGAGGTGCATGATCAGGCGATGGTTCTGCAGACGCTCAGAGCATACATCTTTTCTGCTCGACTGCATGGAAAAGTAGAAGAGGCCCTGTTCCTCGTCTGTCGGCACTGGGAAAGGCTCTCTGTACACTTCATTGGCACGGGGCTGTCTATCCCCACGACGACGAGGCAGTATAGTGATCTCCTCCGCAAAGAGGTCCTGAACATGTTCGGGGAGATTGAGGGCATCACACGTTGGTATGCCGGACGACGTTCTACCAATAAGAGGGAGAAATCTCGACTTGATTGGGACGAATCGACACATCAAAGGGTTGGCCTCCTCGCTTTTCTTTACCTAAGTCGCCGTTTCAGTGCGATAGAGGACGGTCCACGTTACGGGCGGGTGCAACAGGTCGTGGCAGAAACGGCAAAGTTGATCAAAGTCATGAGAGATGCAGGATATACACTTCCATCGCAGCTCCTCCTGAAATTCAGCATCAACATGGCAAGCACCGGGCATCTACGGCTCTCGGAATTATTTTTAGAGCTCTATAATCACCAGCTTCAAACGAATCCGACGGACGAGAGCGCCAAGGAGCTCGATACATACTCCCGCTCAGCACAACTGGTTCTTGCCGCTCGAAAGGGTGATATCTTGCAAGCATTGGACCTTGTCGCCAGTCTACAGAAGGATAATGGGTTGAGCAAGAAAGATGTTCGGAACCTTATCCAGTCATACCTGGAAGCGCCCCTATACGATCTTCAATCACCCACCATTCTCCCCGATCTCGTCGCTTCTCCCTCTGTCGACCGAAGTAACCCACCGGTTGACCCAACGCCCTCCCCATCCTCATTCAACCTTCCTGACCGACTCAAGGATGCCGAGGAGATCTTCGAAGTCATGCTGATGCCACATGGCCCGAGTGTGTCAGACTATATTCCCCTTCTCGAAGCGTATGCTAGGAGTGGAAATGTAGACAAGGTCACGCACTGGATTGAACGAATGCTAAGTGATGGCATCTCCTCGGATGCAATCCCGTGGAATACAGCTCTCCGCGCTTTTGCCAACACGGGCAATGCCCACGCCGCGGCCAAAGTGCTAGAGTACATGCATTCGATTGAGGTGCAACGAAGGCAGAAAGGGAAGGTGGCGACTGACGAGGTTCATGGCGCACGAGGGGCCATCAGTGCGCAGACATTGGACATTCTCCTCAACCTCATGATTCGGCGACGGGACCCGCAAAATGCGACGCGACTCTGGGAGGCTACCGTCATCAACCGCGGGGTTCACCCGAGTCCAAATACTATCCTGAAGCTCATGAGAGTCTATGCGGATAGCGGTCAATGGGCGAGTGTCACCCGTATATGGACACTATACGAAGAGGATCTTTTGGTGGCTCCTACCGTCTCTCATGGAGGTAACAAGACGGACAAAAATATGGACTCGTCTGTGGTCGCAGCCGAGTCTGAGCAACGGACAAGTCTGTACAACATTGTCTTGCGAGCCTTTGTCGCGATTGGGGCACCGTACATCACCGTTCAACGCGTCTTTCAAAACATCACCGAGCAGTCAGCTTTCCCCGTCGAGCCAAATGCTTATTCAATGACGATGATGATCATCTCTGCATGCGATGCAGGTATGATGGACGACGCGGTTCACTACTTCCAACTCATGGATGACGAGGAGCGAAGAAGAGGTTTGAGTAATGTAGAACGACTTCGAAGTGGAATCAAGCCGGGACGAACACGCAAGCTCTCAACTACACGACATCTCTCATCTTACCGTCCCATCTATGCGCTTACGCACATATTGGCTGGCTTCGTCAAACAAGGAAAGTTTGACGGCGCTGAGTGGGTTTATCAACAGCTCAGACGACGTGGGCTCAGATTGCTGCCCTTGACCTATGCGCTCATCATCAGGACCCTCATTGAATCTGATTCTACCGGCAATCTCAGCGAGGAGGAACACCAACAAAGCTTGCAGTCTGCTGAGCGCTTCCTCGCGAGACTTTTCGAAGAGCGCTCAGAGAAGGGTGATTCGATGCTCAAAGGACAAATCCTTGGTCGCGAGATAGTTGCGGGACCGCTCTTGGACGAGTATGTCAAACGTATGCGTCCTGAGAAGGTGGAGAGGTTGTTGGAGCAGATCACGACTATTGGTGATGAGCCGTCGATCACGATTCTCACACGACTCATGGACGCTTATCGACGTAGTGGCAACATTGAGCGCGTGGAGGAGACCTGGGAGCGTATCATCACCGTCACCCAAGCGTTGATTGAAATGGAGGAAACAACCGTTCGCTCTTTGACGGGATCCAACGCTACTGACGACCACGGGGGAATGGAGCCGAATCAACCATCCACAAGGGCAGGTGTTCTTCGCGCCACTCCTGCTCGCAGGATGACACTTTGCTATCCCTTGTCCATCTATATGGACGCCATGTCCGACGCAGGCCGACAACTCGATGTAGCAAGGCAATGGCAGCGACTCCGTGACGCTGGCTTTGCGTTTGACGCACACAACTGGAATCAACTCATTCTGGTCCTTCTCCGCGCTGGCGAGGTCGAACGAGGCTTTGAAGTTGTCGAGAACATTCTGTCCGTACAGGGTGAGGAAGCTCTCGATGTCAGACTCGATGGGGGAGATGAGAATGGCATAAAGGAGAACTGGGGGATGGAATGGGGACGACGCGCATCCCGTATGGAAACCTTATCTCATCCGGAGATTATGGCACGGTCCTCTCTGCTTCTGGAGGCTAGAACGGATGGCGGGTCGAGGGACAAAGCTTTACTAAAGGAGGTGGACCATTTACGGCGCATCGTTCGCGAGGAGATTGGCTGGCGATTACACAACAAGGCGCGGGGAGCACTCCAAGATATCCTCGGTCGACTGCAAGCTGGACAACCCCTCGCAAACATCCTGGCTGACGAGCGTGAAGGAGAGGTGTTTGACCCGCAGGCAATAGTTACGGATCCCTCGGAAGCACCAGAAGCCAGGAAGTTGTACATGCTTCTGGTCGAGAAGTATCCTCGAGCCCTGCGAGAGATCTATTCACGTTAGGGTACATGTATATCTGGTAATAAATCGGGTCTTGGATACGCGGACGATTCAAACAAGCTTAGCTCAATAATAGCCGGTCGCAGCAGCTAATTGTTACCCCGCCCACGGTCACCAATCGTATTTGTACATATGGAACGGACTGTAACCAGCTGAGGCTCGTACAGCAAGCCATTCAACAGACCAAGACGAATCTTCACGTCTATGATGCTAGCATCGTTCGTCCACCGTGCCCTTGACAGCCGTTTATCAACGCCCTCATTAGTCCATTGATGGGTGCCAAAAAGAAGATATCACCATCGTCCTCAAGCTCAACAAAGAATGAGCTTACGATAGATTAGCCACAACTTTAGTGACCTTTGAGAATGGCACATACCCATTATCTCCGTCCTCAATTTTCCATTGGATGCCCGGCTCGCTCGTCGACAACCACCACACCTAGAGTGTCGTCGAATCTCAGGGGCATACGGTCTACGAAAGATATCACAATTCCACCTTCAATGATCCACTGCATGTTTGCATGAATATCGCCCAGAAGATTTATTCCACACGCACTCTGTCTTCGAGATCCGGTTTCTCGGCTGTCCTGAAAGTGACACGATTGTCAAAACTATTGAACGTGAGATAGCTCCGATCTGTAGAGATGCGAAAGGTGTAAACGCCGTCGGGAAGGGAAGATATCGTTTAGAGCGTCGTCGGAGTGATCCCAAGAGGCATCAGGCAGTCAACCACTTTGTGAGCCAGACATTATGTATATGCAAAATGAGTATCCGATGTTATGAATATATTGCTCTCGACATGACTAACGAAGCGCGGTGGCCAATGATTGCAAACCCTGCCAGCTTCTGAAAGTGATGGACCTCGCACGTCCGGTTCAATGTATTGGAGCTACTTTGATTATTTTTCAGGTAGTTATAGTCTATGAAAAGAGCAACGAAGCGGCGATCTCGAGATTACCGCCCGCAGCACGCAACGTCCGAATCGCGTCTTCACGCGAGGCACCCATCTCCATGATGGTCTGAATATCTCGCTCCGGGAAAGGTGTTCCCCCTCCGCCATTTCCTCCGGGTGGAGCAGGTGCAGAGTTGGACGGATTTCGCGATCCACCTGCTCCGACGGGAGTGTTTGAACCTCCGAGAGCGTTCCCCGATCCAGGGAATCTGGAAGGAGTTCCTTGTCGTGGTTGTTGAGGCTGGGAAGCCGAGGTAGATGCTTCATCAATCTCCGGATTATGCTCTGGTCGAGCGTTGTCGGGGAGTTCATGTTCCGGCAGAAATCGTACTTCGCGCCCTTTGATCCGTAAGACGTCATGTTCGAGATCGATATTGGCCTGGTGCGCCTTGAGCATATCTAGTCCGAATAACAAGTCGACATCCTTGCCCTACGACATTGTCAATGACATTAATCTAGAAATCTCATGGTAAAGGGTTACCTCCATGATTGTGAATGCGCAGGGTAAGAAGAGGTCCGCAATCTTCAATTGGGCAGAGTGTACCCTTCCGAGAATCTTGGCCGTCCCCACACCCTTGGCGATACCAGAAAACCGTGTATCAATCAGTCGAGTGATTCTGACAAGTCATAAGAACACGCCACTCGGGGCCGTTTGTTTACATACCCGCATCGTTCAGCGCATTCGGGGCTCACTACAAGTATAAGCTAAGAATAATCGCTAGCATAGCACTCACTGATCGTCTGCTGTGCACCGCTGTCCACAAATGCCTTCACTTTGACCCCGTTGACTTCGAGAGGGATGCTACACACAATCAGTATCGCCGTTCATTAGTACGACAGACTACTTACTAGAGCATATGGACGCGTCCAAAAAATTCAGGCGAGTATTCGAGTGCGTGATTTAAATTCTCCATGATAGCCTCTTGTCGAATCGCTTCTTCAATCCGTCGCTGTGCATCCATATCGTACGGATCTGCACTCTCAACCTCGCGATGCTGCGTTTCCTGTCTAAATTGTCGCAAGAGCGCGGCGAATCTACTGGGATTGCTAGCGGCCGCCTCTGCGAGCTCTGGCCGAGTCTAGACACCGCGTCAATCGTGACAGTAGATTATGTTTGCGACATAAATATACTCACTGCACGCAATTGTGCCATCAAATTGGGATCACCGAGCACCTGGAGTCTCATCATCTCAGCGTCCTGTTCAGCAGAGCTGATTCAATGTCAATAAATAGGGTCGGAAAGGTGAATCTCTGGGAGAATCACTAACCGACCAGCCACGACGACGCGTCGCCGCAATAGGATCATGGCATTCTCTTGCACCCCGCATTGCCTGACTGTTTTCTTCGGGTCATCGAGTTCTCTACCCTCGTAAGAGATTCTTTGTTCTGAAACGGGTATCCCACACTGTGAATATGCGCCCTGGGTTAGCCTCTCCGCGCTAAACGCATCGTCAAAGACGTCAAGAACGCATTACCTCGGCCTCTAGTAGTGCCATAATATTCTCCATCTCCATATTTGGGTCGATCTCAAGCCCATAGGACTCGCCGATATCCGTCACGAATGTAATGAGCATTGCGGTTAGTGGTCAAGAAGTTGATTGGGTGGCTTGAGGCTGGATGGTTCACGATCTTATAGTACTCTGAGTACTTTACGACGCGTCAGCCCGTGCGAATATTCCAGAAGTATATGTAATTATATGCAAAACGGCTATTTCTATGGCGCAGGCCCAGGTCTGCTATAGCCTCGGGCGAACGAGGATCTGAGACTAGTCAGCAGAATATTAACACAGTACACATAACCTACAGCCTCGAAGTACTGCCTTGGCGAAAATTGGATGTCAAGGCGTCCTCAAGTGCAGACGTTGATACGCTGGCGTCTGCTCTAATTTAGAGAATGCACACGCATCAAAGGAACATACCACTGATATCACTAAAGCTGGACGCACTCGAACCCTGGTTGCTCACTCGATCTGTGTGTTTTCCGAGCATCTTGTTTCGTAAGACCTGGTTGGATGGCGAGTGAGGCGGAGACCGGGCAACCTGTGTGTTTCCAGCTGGAGCCGTATTACGGGGTATACCTCTTGGAGTTGATGAAAGCGCAAAGGCACCGGCGCGTTTATCGGGAGGAGGTGAGGGGATGGATGGGATTGAACTAGAAGCAGATGACGTTCTGTCCTCGGACCTTTGACTCTCTCTGACCATACTTAATGTCAATTTCTCTTTGTTTTTCCCGTCTGTCTTTGGTCGAGCGAAGCCGAGGAGTTGACTAGACATCATCTTCTCAAGCTGTTTCAGTTGTCTGTCCACTTGCTGTCGATTCTCCTCTTTTTCTCTCTCTGAGTCGTTATTCTCACTTGATGAAGAGGCTGGTGATTGTGGAGATGGAGGGGTAGGAGGTCGCCGAATGGTAAGAGGGGAACTAGGTAGTGGTCGCGTCGACGCCGGCCGATCAAGCAAGGCAGAGTTAGATGTCAACAATGGAGACATCTGGGAACCTTGAAGCCCCAAGGGAGACTTGTGGAGAGTCGCTAGCCTGTTCCGTGGAGTGCCGGCAGGAGTGGAACCTCTGGATAAGGGTGCGGGTTGCGAGGTTCGAAGACCCAGCAGAGGACTCCGCAGGCTCAAGGAGTTGGGTTTCTTGTCTGGCAGCTTCGTTTGGATGGTCGGCCTGGGTGTCCCGGGAGTAGGAAGGATAGAGGCTCCCAAGTTTCCTTGTAGTCCACGTAGGTCTTCTTCGTATCTGACTTGCGCTCGATACATGAGAAATGGTAGTGGAACTTCGAGGTGGGCAGAAAGCCCGGGCCCTAGAAAGGTCAGTCGTCTGTAGTATGGAGTCTATAAGTGCTTACAATCTATCCCACTAGAATCTGATCCTCGATATCGCGAGATTATATCCCAGAGCATGGCTTCCTTGTCTGCAGTCCATATTACCTGCGCCGTTGAGACGAATCAATGACAAGTGTGGGTGAAGCGCTCACCACGGGTGGATCTACAGTACCTTCTGGTCTGTTGTATGGAAGCTTGACGATTACATGAACCGGGGGCGTCTGCGTCGGGGGCATCTGGTCGAGTTCAAGGTTGGATTCCAACTTGATCCCTCCATGTCTTCCAACGAGTTGGCAGACTTGATTCAAAATCTGGAAAGCGATCCAGAAAGAGGGGAAATAGCCGTAGAGATTCAAGGTTCGTTGATTGAAAGGTTATTCACGGCATCTGAGCTCTCTGTGATAGCTCTGCAGTCTATCTACAGCGAGGAAGGGGCGATATCGATATGGAAACCCGAACACAGTTCTTCGTCTTCCAGACTGCCTAAAGACACGATCCGTCTAGACGTGCGCACCGCGTAAGCAGCCGTGCCGCATTTGTCCTATGATCGACTCAAGTCTGGACGTCTCATGCAGTCTTTCGCCACTACACAAAGACGTTGATTTCCGCGTACTTGTCTCCCTTCCACCAACATACCCTGCCTCGTCTCCTCCACAACTACAAATCCTCTCGCGCTACATTGGAGCTTTTCAGGTAGACTCTGTTCTGTTTGGTGCAGCACTCAAAACGTACATTTCGCGTGGTAGAGTAGAGTTTACACCTCGAGAAGTGGCCATCTTTGATGGTGTAGAAAACCTTCGCGAAGTGATTCAACGCTGGTACGAGGAACGCTTGAGTGCCCTTGATGCTGCAAAATCACAGAAAGGCGATGAAAAGGGACATGGAGACGAGAATCCTGATGGTGATTTGGTCCTTGAGGACGAGCATATCTCGTCCACCGGCACGTCGCTGACTGCAATACAATCCGAACTTCCCGATGGAGTTCAAATCTGGGTTTCGGAGCCTATTGTCGATCGAAAGAGCACGTTCATTGGGCGAGCTTGTCAAATCACTCATCCCTCTCAAGTATGATACTCAGCATTTAATGCGTGTACTCAACCTGAATAGGTACCGCTTATTCTGTCCTACTTAATGGAGGACAAATCCACGGCAAAGGCAGCACACCCAGTGATCAATGCATGGAGATGTGAGGTGAACGGCACGATGCATCAGGGTGAGCGCCATCACTTGTCGGGTGCTTCTCTGACACAATAATAGATAATGACGATGACGGAGAGACGGCAGCGGGAGCCCGCCTAGCGCATCTCTTACAGATATTAGACTTGAAGGATGTTTTGGTCGTGGTTACTCGCTACTTTGGTGGCATTCACCTACACGGAGACCGCTTTCGGTGAGTATCAGATTCGTGTTATTGACACTCTTAACCACTATAGGCATATCAATTCTGTGGCGAGAGCGGCTTTGGAAGCTGGAGGATTCCTCGACGAACCAGAAGATCATCGACGAAAGGGAAGAATGGGAGCCAAAGGGCGCGGTAAAGCATGACCTTGCCCAGGTACACGAATATGACCCGTGGACATCATTGAAGGTGTCATGTTCGAATACGTCGGTTGACATATTAAACGGAGAGTATATTACAAATGTCCGTGGTGTACGAAAGGAGTGGAAAGCAACTGCGGTGTGTCGCAGATCATGAGAGTGTCCGTGTCCCATGTCCAAAAAAAAAAAAGAACATCGGGTGAATGCAAAGACGGAATGTCCGGAATGTGGATCAGAGGAGAGCAAGTCCTCCGACTGCAGCAAGGATCAACGCCGTAAAAGCGGAAAGGACAACGTTGGAACCAGTTGCGCCATTTTGAGAGTTTCCACTGCCACCATTGCTGCCACTACCACCGCTTCCACCGTTTCCAGAGGATCCGCTGCTCGAGCCAGAACCAGTGTTGTTGCCCATATTTCCAACGGGGGCCTCCTCGGGGGCAATGCAGGAAGGAATAGTGATATCCTTCAAGTTGCGGTCTTTGTCGAAAAGACCCCAATATGGCTGCAATCCCAAGTCAGACTGCGGCGATCCACTTAGCCCGGACGACTCACCTCTGCGCCGCCGTATTGAACCTTCCATTCTTGGTCAAAGAGTTCGAACCAGAAATATCCGTGGCCCAGAGCTAATAGACCATGAGCGCTTTCAAAGAAGATTGATAGTTCTTACCGGAACCAGCGGTGAGGTTGGCATTGGTGGCACAGACAAATGTGTCAAGCATCGTTTGAAGATTTGCAGTGGAAGCAATACTGCCGTTTAACGTCAATCCCGCAGGATCCGTCGTAGCCATTGCGTCAGTGGGCCAACCAACTTCAGAGGAAAGGAGTAGCTTTCCAGCGTCGGTAGCGAAATGAGGTTGCTCATTCACGAGATATTCCGCTGTCCAGATCGCTGCGCCATCAATTGTGACACCTGAGAAGAAGGGGTGACTGTTGGCCATGATCTTTCAACGAGTCAGTAGTCTGCGGCCTGAGGAAGCACCATACGCACAAAATCTGCGGCCTGGGCATATGTAGCAGTAATTTGACTACCAGCATCTGCACTTCCGACGGGAATCGTCTTGCCATAGTTCTTGCTGGCCAGCATAGTGCGCACATCTTGGATTTTTGAGATCAAATAGGTCTGGGCAGTTTCCAGAGTCGCTGGATTCGCCGTGTAGGCCTGGAGGAGGTACTCATTCCTGGGGCAATTGCATGAACACTCTCCACATATTCCATCACAGACCTGCTTACCCGACGGTGATGCCGAGGACATTGTCCACTCCGTACTGATCAAACACGGCAAATGCTTCGTCTCGTTGACGTTCAAACGTGGTCTCGTTCCCATCAATATACTAGCGAGCGGGTTAATAAACGGCTGTCAGCCAGACGGGTGGACGGACGATGCCAGCATAGACGTGAAGGTTCGTCTTGGTCTGTTGAATGGCTTGCTGTACGAGCCTCAGCTGGTTACAGTCCGTTCCATATGTGCGAATACGAGTGGTGACTGCGGACGGGGTAACAATTAGCTGCTGCAACCGGTTATTGAGCTAAACTTGGACGGACGTTGGCTCATGAGTTGAACATCCCTAACGACTTCATCAAGTGTATCTCCACTGGAAAACCATAATTGGAACAAGGTCTCGGCCGGCCGCGGCAAAACTGGACATACCATGCCGGATAGTTGGCTGCATGCTCGGCGCTGCGCTTGGGTCAGTAAAGTAATGTATAAATAGGAATAGGAACATACGTGTATGCAATTCCCCACATTGAACGATGGAGTCTTGGGTCTGCAGTCCATTGGGACGGATCTGCTGCACCCACGGCAACTATAAACGAGGCCAAACCAAGTGCAATCGACGTCGCGCGAAGCATTTTTAGACAATTTACGAGGGAAAAGAGAGAAAAGGAAGGTTGTGGTAGGAGGTCAAGAGGTGTCTAATTCTGGCCCTTCCAAGTGATTATATTCCCGCCCTCTCGGCAACATCGCCTCTTAGACCGCCCCGCATTGGTCGCCACAACACAGCACGCTCACCGCCGCTACAAAAGAAAATATAGACGCTATGTCCGCGGGGTTTGACGGCTTGAAGCTGCCAAAGGCGTCGTCGTCGAATGCTGAGCTTGCGCCCCGTCTTCAGCAGTTGCATTCAGCCAGGCAGCCATTTGTCGCGTCTTCTGACGCGTCTGGAAAGTCTCTGGGATTTCCATTGCGCGATGTTGCTACACAAGCGCGTCAGTCGCTTGTCGCCAACAAAGTTGCCGGTCCCAATTCACCTTCGGCCAAGCCGCCCAGCACGATTGGCAACGGCGGACCCAGGCAAGAACAGCAGAGGGACATTTTCCGCGGATTCTCAGCTGGCTTGGAGGGCTTTGGACGCGCTCGGATGGACCTTGCTCACGCCCAGGACCAAGCCGCTAAAAAGGCGAGCTTTTTACAAACGCTGGGCAATCAACAATCAAATACGAAACGCTTCCTGAAACCAAAAACTCCGCTCTTGACGCGTAACGCTGCACAACCAGCTCCGACACCCACTCCAACTGCTCCAACGCAATGGGACGCGTCGATGAACGACCCTGACGCGTCTAAACAAGATTCTGTCCCTCCTCCTAGTCTCCAAAGAGCATGCAGTGTCACCGCGTTTGGTAGGAGCTCCACCCCGGCATTTGAAGGTGATTGCGAAGTCGAAGCTCCAGCCGACTACGATGTGCTCCATTCTTTGCTCCGCTCTCAACAGAAGAAGGATAGGATTCTGAGGGATAGGGTGTGTTCCTTGTGCATGCATTTCTGACGCTCGCTCATATACCTCATAGGAAGGGCAAATAGCGGGACTTGAACAAGAGGTAGACGACCTCAAGAGCGCAAAAAGGTCGCTCGAGGCTTCCATTCAGCGTGTCAAGCAAGAAGCGAAAGCCTGCATCCAAAAGTGTAATGAGCAGTATGTACAGACACGCGAGGCTACTTGTGATTGACAATCACAAACAGCATCCAGGCAGCGCAAGCAGAGACAGAGGCTATTCGTCAATCATCCCAAACGTCGCTCGCGCAGTGTCTCGACGAACTTCGTAGGACTGCACCCCAGGTCGACGAACTCAAAGCCGAGTTGGTGAATCGAGTACAAGAAGTCGAATCTCAGCTGGTGGAAGAACGTCAACATCGCACAGAACTCATGAGGGATTTAGTGCGCCAGTTGGAAGATTGCAAGTTGCCCGATCATTATCGCGTAGGATTTTGCTCATATCTCACTAGCCAAACATGACGCGGATTTCCTTCGTGACAAGCTAGAGGTGACGGTATCGAATTTGGCCGACTCGAAGACTCGCACGGCAGAATTAGAACAGCTCTCCCACAAAGCCGATGCGACCCTCAAGCACACGCTCAAGATGCTAGAGACCACCCGTAATCCCATAAAGTGTGAATAGAAAGGTATTGACTCTAGACTAGAATCCGAGCTGTTTGCAACGAGGAGGGCTGTCACGAAAGCTACCGAAGATGAACACCTACTGCAAGCCGCCGAGGAAGAGCTGACGAAAGAGCTCGCCGCCCTTCATCAGCGGTAAGTATGCTCCGATAGAATGCATTGGTCTAACTCTTCCTAGTTACGACGAAGCGCAGATGACTGTGCAGTCGCAGAAGACCGACCTCATGGCACGCCAGCGAGAGTGAGTTGCCAGGATTTCATAATCCACTGCTCATCTTTGCAGGATCGACACTCTTCACGCGTCTCTCAACGCGAGTATTGAGAAGGTTGGCAGTCTAGAACATGTCTCGAAAGCGTAACGCGACAGATGTGCGTGGAATTGTTCTGATATCCATCAGTCTCTCCGAATTACAAGAGGTATACCGCCAAGAAAGCCTGAAACTCGCCGTCCTACAAACGCGATACGACGCGAAGGTCCAAGAGCTTGACAGGTATTGTGTGACTCAATGCTATTAGATATGAGCTGAGGTCTTGGTAGTGCCAAGGAGCAGATCGAACGTAACGCAAGCCTCCAAACGCAACTAGAGGAAGCTCGGCTTCGCTGCGCTTCCTTCGAGTCTCAGCATGAAGAACATCAAGTCAGCTGCACTGCTCAAAAGGAACGTTTAGAGACGCTTGAACAAGAGTTGGACCTGGTTCGCTCTCAACATTCTTCTTCATTGATAAAGTGCGTGCTCGCTCTTGGCTCGTTCGAAATACTCACAGAAAATAGACTCGAGGCGACAATTAAGGAGCTCCAGGTAGGCTTGTTTATGCTAAAAGTGGAGTCTTCTTCTGACGGCTAGCAGCGAGCGGAAGAGCGCCTAGAGGACAACAAAGTATTATACCGCTCTGCTCGAGAGGATGCCATCAAGCTGCAGGTCAGTACTCACTCTAGCAATTCTGTTGAAAGTTAAGGTGTCATGGGATAGGACGAAATCGACAAGCTCCAAGAATCGGCAGCGGTAGGCTCAATACATGAAGGGAGCACAGATACTGGGCGCTCACAGGTTTCTCAGCGGCAACACGAAAGCCTGGTGAAAAGCGCTTGATGAAAGAGAGAAACTACAAGACCTGCTCAAATCCAACTCGAACTCGCTTGTGCGTAGAGATATTGGCCATTGAATCTCACCCTTTGATGCGACTTTCCAGACTACCGCACAAGCCGAGGTTGCTCGTGTCAAGGCTGAAAATGCGAGATTAGAGGCACAGCTACACGATGACCCCGAGAAGCTGGAAATGAAGTCTCGGATCCAAGAGTTAGAGGTACTCCTTCCGTCTACTACTAGCACCGGTACTGAGTGAGCTTAGGATACGTCGATTAAGGCAAGAAACGCCAGTACAATCAAGATCCAAGCACTCGAAGGAAAGCTCAGTGTCTCCGAGGCGACGATCAAAGGAACTTCGTTCATCAGGGGATTTGCATGCTCAGCAACTAGTACGCACTCACTTGGCACTCTATCAGTCTACTTACACTACCCAGAGCACGGCACATACGCAGAAGGTACTTTGCTTGCTCGAGGTAACCTCGTTCTAATTCGGGATTAGGAAAATCTGGTGGAAGAGATCAGAAAACTCACTTTACAGCTGGTAAGATTATCCGTATACGCCTTTTGACGCTCACTCGGAGTAGGAAGCGTCCCAGAAGGCTGAGCTGAACAACATGACGGTTATAACAAACCTTCAGCAGAGCAACGAAAATCTAGTTGCCCTCCAAGAACAAGAGCGTGAGAGAGCTCAAGCGGCTCAATTGGCGCATCAGGCTTCAAAGTTCGATCTACAGACAACCCTCAAGGACCGGGATGAGCGCATTCGACTGTTCAAGGAAGAAAACACCAAGCTCATCCAGGCCGCCGATCAAGCTCGTAACGAACTAGAAAAGGCAAATGAGCGATGGGCTACGGTTGGACAACGAATGGACACGCTCACTCATGGTATCAGCCAAGCTGCAGAAGATATCAAAAGCACGAGAGGCATTGCATCAGAGATTGCGAAAGCGCAAGAAAGCGTTGCCAGCCACAATATTGCTCAAGAGGTTGAGAACACGACGAAAGAACTCCAAATGCAGATCAAGGCGCTCACAGAACGCAACTCTTTTCTCAAGGAGCAAGCAGCCACGATGGTTCAGCGTCACAAAGATGGTCGACTGGTACATCTGGGCCAAACTTAGGTATATACTAATCTCCTGGTGTTAGAACGCTGAGGAGGCCGCACTCGTCAAAGAGGTGATCCAGTCGACCTTGCAGATCGGCGAGAGGGACTCGATTCAGAAGGCAAATGATATCAAACGAGTACGTATCAGAGGCATTCTTGGCAAACTCTGACAATCTCCTCCAGCGTGATGTTATCATTCAGACGCTGCAAGCGAGGGTACAAGATCTCGAGAAGCAGCTCGCGACACAACTGGACAAGGTGGGGCCCTCGATTCAGTCCGACGATAAGCCTTCACTGTGATTAGCGATCTGCAGGTCAATTGATGACCACCAAAGACATCTGGAGCTCCTCGCCTCTTACCCAGCCGGACGACGGTATAAACAAGACGGTAGCTCTTCTTTGCTCATTTCGTCCTGGTAAGTGTGTGGCACTTTCTTACTCAACGATACAGGATCAACAACGATCGAAACAACCCATTGATGCAACGACATCGACTACTGTGCATGTGCACAAGCACGTTACAACTGATACTCGCCAAGATCAAGGCACTTTCTCTCACCTGAACCGGGAATCCTCTGAAGAACATGACGCTGATGAGATTCGTCCATTCTCTGACCCGATTTCAACCACCAAGAAGAGGAATATCTCTCAAGATATTGTTGAAGCAGTGATGAACGAGGACGGATATCCGAAGTCTCCTGAACGGCGCCTTTCAAGGTCTCCTATACGACGTGCGTTGAAGAGAGGGCGCGAGAGTGCAAGTTTCGACGCAGACGCTGGAACGACGGCTGATACCAGTGGGACGGCCAATGTGCGGGCAACGAGGAAACAAAAGAAATCTCTTGGTGCTCAAGAGGGGAGAACGATACTGGGGATCGAGTATTCTCACAGGAGTCGGACTCAGAAGGGCAACAGAAATGCGGGTAACGGCGGTGAGGCGGCATCGAACGCGGTAGCAGTAGCAAGGTATAAAGCGGCTCAGCGCGGTAAACTTCGTCGTTGATACATGATGGGATTTAGCAAGTATGCTACACGAATACAGTGGTTTGCATGGTCAAAAAAAGGAGCCAAAGTTGAGCATATCTACTACTCTAGATCACTCCAGTGATCCTTTTCTGAAGTCGCTGACATGAGTAATCTCTTCTAAATCTCTGATATCTACCTCTCCTTGTGATGGCATGTCGTCTTGATCTGTGGGGAGATGAGAGTAGCCAGTGGTAGCCAATCTTCATCGCCATCGAGAGTAAAGGGAACTCAAACTCCCAGTCTTCGCTGTCGATGTCTGGAGGGTTGTTCGCCTCCTCGGGCTCTTGGGGTAGAGTGGGGGAGTGTTGGCTAAATTGAATCTGTTCCCTAGACATATGCTGCGAGGTGTCTTCGTTCGACATCTGTTCTCCTTCCACATAGTGAACATGAGGAAGAGATGACGGATTGCCAGTCGCCGGGACGAATCCGTAAAACAACGCATCGCTCGCGGGGTCAAAGGTCTCTATAATCTCCTGTTCTTGCATTTCATTATAGGGTGATGTATCTGCATTATCAAGTGCGGCTTCTTGCAAAAAAGACTCGACGATTGCGGGGCATGAAGAGACGGGGACGGATCGGTCCTGGGCGCTTCTTTGGTGGCTCTGATAAGCTCTCTACAGAACTTTCTCGCCGTCGTTTGCGTGATCCTGCTCATAAGGGGTCTTAAGTTTTATGGTCAACGGTGGATCAGTGGCAAACCTGGTTCCAGAGGCTGTTCATGAGACATTTATTTCGTTTTGGTGCATTGAGACGATGTATGGTGGCCACAGGTCTGGTCAGTGTCTAGGGTTGACTGTGGATGAATTCAACTCGGATAGAACTACCATTCAGAGCCTCATCCGATTTGTCGAATGCAATTACACGTCACATCTCCTTTTGGTTTGGGTATGATTATACTCGCGAATGAACTTTTTATAAATATGGCAAAGACGAAACATTCACGTAGAATTGTAGATACGAAATTAGCTCTGTTGTATAACAGACAACGGGAGGCTAAAGCCTATATTGGCAATTGGAATCGGCGTCACCATTTGCCTGTGAACCTTTGAGTCATTTCAAGTTCCCTTCGGGTGGCATGCTTACATGGTCGAGTGAATGCATTCATGGGAGTATCCCCTTGCAAACAGCATCCCGAGTGCACGCCGAGTAGTTATTAGGACGAAGGAAGAATAGAAGCATTTCAATCTAAGTGTTTATTTGTTCAACAACCCATCGCCAGTCATTCGTCGACGTCCTTACCAGAAGTGCATCCTTGGACTCGACCGCGACTCTCTTCATGAGGCTTGTCGAGCTTTGTAGCTCTGGAACGCCTATTGTATGTCAAACGGTCTGTCAGACTATTTTGTAGTAGTTAATGGTCTCCAGGATCTCGGCAACAATTGTATTCGAGCATGGTGGACCGGCTTACTGCCCGCCTCTGTGGTCCTGTTCAACCTGTCAAGATATACATACAAGAAAGTTGTTCCAAAGAACTATCGCCCACTTTCGTCGACATTTTCCGACTTTCTCCCATTGGAAGAGGCCGTCCAATTGCAGCAGCTTTCTCCAACCAGTTCTATAGTAGAGGCAGCCGGAAACCATGAAGACCATGAAGCAGTGGACAACTCTTACGCAGAAAACAAGACCAAATGGAAACGAGGCGTGCTGGTTTTGCCAGCAGTCGTCGAGTTTGGATTCTGGCTCACATGGCTCATTACTCACGTGTACCACGCCATAAATAACACCTCGGGAGATGGGAGCCATGCTCCTCCGACCTATGAGCTCACAAAGGGTCACTGCTGGCGCTTTCGTGGCTACGCATGTATTCGGCCCTGTTCATCCGCAAGCGCGTTCTGACCGCTCCATACGACCTCTTCTCGCTCTACATCTCGATGCTCGTCGTCCTTGTCATCAATGTAGGAGCCTACTTATTCAAAGAATACGTTCGTGGCAAGCACGGAATCCTGAAACCCCTACATCTCACTCACAGGCGGTGGCTATCCTGATACACCTCCTCTGCTTGTTCATTCTACTACACTCTCGCTTCCGATGAATGTTCCTCCCCAGGTGTCAACGCCGAGGAGATTGGAAAGAGTGTCACACCAGAGGACTACACTCCACTCTGGGGTTGGATAACGTTCTGGTGGGTCCATCCACTCCTGAAGAGGGTACGCCACACTCGATTCCAAGAAGTCACTCATCCATATTCTCATAGGGTACCGGACGTACGCTGGAGGAAAAGGATGTGTGGGCGCTGTCGCCCGGACTCTCCTCCAAGCCCCTCTTTATCAAGTTTCAAGCACTGCTGTCGACCCTCCCATCTTTCGGATCACCAGGAGAAGACAAAGTCACGAAACGTCGCATGTCTCTGTTGAAGCAGCTCTGGAAAGCCAACTCGCTCGACCTTATCCTCGACGCTCTACTCACGCTGACTTCTGTCATCTTCAACTACGCCAGTCCCTTCTTCCTCAAGAAAATCCTCGATGCGGTGTCTCAACCCTCATCTGGTGCTGGACCTGTCCTCTTAAGCAACTCAGACTCGTTCAGTCACCACTTAATGACACTCTTACGCAATCCTCGCGAAATACGAGGGCAGGCATACGTTTATGCGTTCCTCGCCTTCTTCTCCTCGGTCCTCAAAGCCCAATCTGATCTCCAGCATCTTTGGTACGCACGGAGAGCTTCGACGAGGATAAGATCCGAGTTGATGGCAGCAATCTACGAGAAGAGCCTGAAGCGCAAGGACTTTTCTGGTAGTGTGCAAAAGGCTACTGATGACAAGGTCAAGGGCAAAGGAGATGCCGATGCAAAGGGAAAGAGTAAGGACGATACCAAGAAGGCCGGGGCGGATATCGGAAAGCTTGTCAACATCATGAGCAACGATGCGAACCGGGTGTCTCAGACTGTATCTGCATTCACCATGCTTTACGTACGTCGTCAAGTCTTTATTCCTTTCGCAGAAGTCTAACTGTTGTTTAGGCTGCACCTCTGGAGCTCGTCATTGGATCAATCTTCCTTTACCAGTGGGTAATCGGTCACTTGGGCCCATCTGTGCTGAAACGTGTCGTAGACTTCTAGGCTTTAGCGGGTTCGCAGGATTCGTGGTCCTTATCATCGGCTCCCCTCTCAACAACTACTTGATGCGTCGAGGTAGGGAGATACAAAGGGCGGTCCAGGAGGCCGGACAAGCGCATGAAGGTCCTCAACGAGTTGGTCTCTGAAGCAAAGTTTATCAAGTTTGGTGCCAGCGAGGATAGTAAGTGTCGTTCCTTGAGATAGGCAACTCTAACCAGTATTGTAGAATGGATCGAGAAGTGTCTTGCTGCGCGTGGAGTGGAACTAAAGTTGATTATCAAGGGTTCGTCTGTGTTGCATAACAGCATATTTCAAGTCTTACCGTGCTCATAGGCGTTATAAACTCTATCGGTTTCAGTCTCACTTGGGGCTTGGCTCCTGTCCTTGTGTCCATCATTTCCTTTGCACTTTACGTGTATACGGGCCACCATCTCACAGTATCTGTTGCATTCACCGCGATTCAAATATTCTCAATGATCAAAACGTTCGTTCACTCCAACGTGAATCAAATAAGTAACTAACGCCTTTGATCACAGACCTATGAACGTTATCCCAGCTTTCCTTGCCATGCTACTGTCGACTCAAGTGTCATTGGATCGCATTAATCAGTACCTGGACGAAGAAGAGGTTCCAGCATTTGTCTCAGCTCTGATAGAAGAGGACGATACGGCAGTGGTAGCGCCAACAGGTACTTCAGACGAAAGATTAGGCATCAAGAATGGCTGGTTCCGATGGAATCTGGCAGTCGAACCGCCAGTGAAGCCAAAATCCAGCGCAAGTTGGAAGTTTTGGAAACGGCGCCAGGCAGACGGTAGTCAATCAGTCCTCCCAACTGCAACAAATGGAAATGTGCATCAGCGACAGGATACAGATGCTACGGCTGTCGAAGTGCCTCGATTCGAGCTGCAGGATATCAACATCATCTTCCCTACTGGCAAGCTTTCGCTTGTGACCGGACCCACAGGTATGCCAAAATCGACCACTGTCACAAACTGATAATAATGGAACTTTGCAGCCTCTGGCAAATCTGCGCTCCTAATGGCGCTCCTCGGCGAGATGACACCAGTCGAGCAAGGGGCTTCTAAGCCAGTTAATTTCTTGCCAAAGCATCCAACGCAATTAGATCAAGGAACAGGTCTACGTAATAGTGTTGCGTACTGTGCACAGACGCCATGGCTCGAGCATCTGACAATTCGGGACAACATTCTGTTTGGTTCGCCATTTGAGAAGGCGAGATACGACCAAGTCATTGAACAATGCGCCCTCAAACCGGATTTGGACATTCTTGAAGATGGTGATATGACGGAAATTGGAGCACGAGGTGTCTCTCTTTCTGGTGGACAGAAGGCCAGGTTCGTACTCTGTGCTACCAGGACCCAAATCTCACGAGTTTAAAGGGTGGCTTTGGCTCGGGCTGTCTACTCTAGGAGCAAGCACATTCTCTTGGATGATCCTCTTAGCGCAGTTGTAAGCATTGGCCTCAGCTGGAAGCTTCTTATCCTCATTATTGGCAGGACAGTCATACAGCGCGCCATTTGGTTGATAAGCTGCTTCGGGGTCCTCTTATGGCCAACCGCACCGTTGTACGTTGGTTATTGGAGAATAATCTGACTTCCTGACGCTGGCTATAGGTTCTCGTGACACATCATGTCGAACTCGTACTTTCATCTGCTCATTACTTTGTTCGCATGCTCGATGGTCGGATCGATATTCAAGGAACTGTCACAGACTTGCAATCAGACGGGCGTCTCGAGATTTTTGTTCACGAAGCCGAGGCAAATGCCGAGCCCGAGGTCGTGACCGCTGAAGAATTAGCGGTAGCTGCTACCGAGGACACACAAGAAGCAGTCGATGGTGATTCGAATAAGGCAGCACCTTCGAAGAAGAAGCAGGCGAAGAAACTTGTCGAGGCTGAGGCTCGTGCCCGTGGTAGTGTCAAATGGAAGGTATACAAGGCATATCTTGTAGCAACGTGAGTAGATACAGATCTTCTTTAAAAATCTCACCATCGATAGGGGATATCTTACGTGGGTTTTCCTACTTATGATTCTTGGCTTGTCCCAATTAGGAGGCGTTACGGAAAAGGTGTGGTTCATTCCAGCTTGAACAACAGTTTTCTCATGTTCCTATCAGCTTTGGATGCAGATATGGGGAGAGGTCATAGTTTCTATCCATTCATATATCGATACTAATCAGAGTGTAGGCCGGGAGTGCAACCGAATCGTCACCAGCCGTACACTTCTCGACATTCCACAGGACAATGGCTCAAGAGTTTGCATACCACGACGTCCAAATTACAACTTCATATCGATACCCAAATAACACTTTCAACCCATTCACGTCTACTGTCGCCATCAGTGCGGAGAATCCATTCCCGACCGACCGCTTCCCTTCAGCGAATGAGCATCCACTGTTCTATGTTGGCGTATTTGCCTGTATTGGAATTGGTGTCGTTTTTGTCAACATTCTAGGACAAATCATTTTGTCGATTGGAGCATACAAGGCCTCCAAGCAAATGTTTGCGGACTTGCTCAAGATGGTCATGAGGGCCACCATGCGTTGGTTCGACACCACTCCTACAGGCGAGTGTTGGTCTCTTGAGTCTCTTCGCACTGACCCCGGTATAGGCCGCATTCTCAATCGATTCTCAAAGGATATTGAGACCATTGACTCTTCATTGGCGTATTCTCTGCGCTCTACCTTGACCTCGATTGCGGGCTTCATTGCTGCCGTCTTGACTATTGTCATCATCTTCCCGGGTTTTGTAGTTCCTGGTACGATCATTGGATTCTGCGTACGTACTTTATGGTATGAAGCTATGCTCTGACTCGTCGCTTTCAGTACTACAAGCTTAGCCAAAGCTATATGGACACAGGACGCGACCTGCGTCGGCTGGATAGCACAAGTCGCTCACCAATCTTCGCAGCTTTTGGTGAGACTTTGGAAGGCATCGTGACTGTGCGAGCATTCTCTGCGGAGCGACGATTCCTCGAAAATCTGCACACGCGGGTGGATGACACGACCAAATACTTTTACAACTTTTGGATGCTCAATCGCTGGTTATTGCTCAACTTTGATCTGCTTGGCGCAACCTCGGTGCTCCTTACCACCTTACTTGTTCTTGGAGGCTTCATATCCGACTGGCTAGCTGGTCTTACTATCACCAGTGCTATGAACTTTACTAGCAGGTATGGCTATTTACGAATCAATGCAAGCCACTCAAGCTAACCTGCTTCCAAGTGTCTATTGGACATGCAGAATGGTGACTCAACTAGAGCTAGATCTCAAGTATGTTGGAACTTTGTGTGTTCTCCTGGCTAACAGCGCATTAGCTCCGTTGAACGCGTCGTCGAATACATGGAATTGCCTCAAGAGCCACCAGCGGTCATCGAGAATAGTCGACCACCAGCATATTGGCCATCGATCACCTCGAGTTCGGAGGCAATAGTGAACGTCAATAACTTGGTCATCAAATATGCACCTGATTTACCCGCTGTTCTGCACGGCGTCAGCTTTGATGTAAAGCAAGAGAGAAGATTGGACTTCTCGGACGAACGGGTGGCCTAGCTGGTGGACTGTACTCCAACTAATCATTTTTAGGCAGTGGAAAGTCCACTCTCGCCATGTCTCTCCTGCGCTTCGTCGAGCCGACAGAGGGGAACATTACCATCGACGGTATTGATATCGGCAACATTGGATTACACGACCTAAGAAAGCGAGTCGTAAGTGACCATAAAGGTTGATGGAGATTTGCTAATGACGGTCAGACCTTTATTCCTCAAGATAGCGTCCTCTTCTCCGGCACCATCCGGTTCGTCATACGCTAGAATTGACTACGGGTAGCTAATGCATTTTATAGAGAGAACCTGGATCCATTCTCCGAACATACAGATGAGGAGTGCCTAGATGCATTGTATCGTGTCGGACTTATCTCAGAGGCAACATATGCCTCGCGTCGTTCGACTCGTCCGTCGTCGGTTGTGGACGTATCCCCTCCTCAAGAAGCAGAGGAGACTCCCTCTGTACCGGGACGAGCACCCCAGGACGATAAGCTCTCCAAGGTCGATTTGGACACTGACGTCTCTGCCCGAGGGCCAATTTAGTCAGGGACAGCGACAGTTGATGTCGATGGCAAGGTCAGACTTCTACATTGATCATCCACGAATGCTTACCGTTATCAGGGCTCTCTTGCGTCAAAGCAGCATTGTCATCCTCGACGAAGCCACATCCAGGTATGTAGGTTGACATGATAACGAGTATGCCCTCATGAACCGGTAGCATCGACTTTAAAACGGACGCAAAGATTCAAGCTGCAGTGCGCGAAGAGTTTAAGAATTCGTGTCTGATCACCATCGCTCACCGTATACGAACCGTAATTGACTATGACCGTCTGGTATGCGCTCGTCCGACGCTGTTGCCTTTACGCTGACCAGCCACCCAGCTTATCTTGGATAAAGGGAATATTGTTGAATTCGACACACCGTGGAATCTTATTCGGAAGGAGGGGGGATTGTTCAGAGACATGTGTCTCAAGAGCGGGACCTTTAGCGAACTGGAGAAGGCAGCCAAACAGGCAGCGAGTCAGTAAATCTATTCAAATTTTGTCCAGTATATCGCGAGCAACGGCATTTCTATTCACAAATCGCGTGGAAGATATAAAGTCATTGAAAGGCTATGACGATACAAAGACCCAAGTAGAGGAGTCTATTCGACAAACATAACTGTGTACCTGGCTACGGTCAGTAATTGTATGCGATGAGGTAGTCTGGGGTGATGGCAAGTGGATTCTTGCAGAACACATCGTTGTTGTTCCCAAGTATCTAGTACTGGCTTAGTAACCTTGTAGAGAGGTCTGACGGGAAAACGTACAAATTCTCTGCTCGCATTTGATGGTATTGTAAGACTAGCGAGAATGACGACGCGATACGGCGTGCCCGTGGATGATATTGCGTGCTTGTCCGCAACCGCGGGTTCTCTGGTTGTGTAGATTCCGTTCCCGTGGCTAATTCTGACTTAGATACGTGATTCAGAGCAAGAGAGATGGGACTTACAGGCCAGTTTGGTACTTTTGCCCAAACTCAAACGCACTGAAGCCAGATTTGAGTGGAATGCAGATACCGCAGGACTTGTACTGGCAAAATTCGACGGGCTTGGTCGGACCGCCGAGCTCGCAGATGTTCTGACCAGAATACCATATAGGGAGCCGAGAACTGTCACCCGAATTCTTGTATTGCGAGCGAAGGAGTTGACTGTTTTCTCCGAGCATTATTTTGAAGACGCGTCCGACTTGTGGTGGACGAACACCTCTTGGCCAGCCACTAATGAGCATTTGCTGTGCTGTAATCACACACTTATCAGCATATATATAGTATAGACATACAATATGAACGCACCTTCTTGGAATCCAGTGTCGTTTGGTGGGAGTTCGACCAGCCTGTTTCTGTTCTTGTCCTGCATCATCTGGCAATTGGAACAAAGTGCATGTCCTGGATTTGCTGGTGTAGATTTGCAACTCGCGCAGTAGACCGTCGCCTTTTGGTGTTTCTGTGAGCAGTAGCCGCCATACTCGCGCGTGCCTTTTGCGCCGCATCCTGGATAGAAGCAGTTGGGTGCCTTTGCAGCGCAGGATTTGCCGCAATATGGATGTACACGAAAGCTATCGCGGTACTTTGGGCGGGCGTTGCAGACCTAGAGTCGACGGAAACAGCTCAGCGGGATAGATCAACAGTCGAGAAGTGGCAGAGGGTCTACCTCGCAAAGGTCATTCCCGTTGAATTATTGCTCCGCCGTTCCACCAGTTGCTAAGCATCGACATTGTTGGAAATCCGAGAGCAGGGTTGAAGACGGAGAACAAGTCCAAGTCGGCGCCAAAGGCACTGGCATTGTCAACCAGCATTCGACGTCTGAATTTTATCAGCCAGATCAGCCAGCAATTCGCCCACAATTCGGAACCACATAGTACTATTCTGGATCGTATGCGAGACTACCTACGTGCGACCAAGGTATATCTGCGAGTTGAAGAATGCCTAATAGCATACGGCTATTAGGGCAAAGCACCTTACTCTCGAGGTCTAGGCATGGATAAATACTGCTACTACCATACTTCTGACACTCGGTCCAGAGTCGTCGCGCATACCGGACATCGAAGGCTAGGTGTAAATGCACTCCTCACTCATGGATTTACGTCGCGTCGTTTTCAGGTCATGTTGCAGTCGAAAGAAATCTTCTATATACAACATTCACAACAGAATGCTCGATAATATTGCCCAGACGCTTATCGTGGCCCAGCCCCCTGTGCCTCGACTTGTCCTCTCGGAGTACGGCCTATCCCTGAACCTTGCCATAGCCCAATAGCTGTCTATCAATTCATGCGCTTTCAACACATTTCAGAAGCGACAGGCAGTCATTACCAGCAAACCCGCGGACTGGCCCCGTTATTGTTCCCGAACGTGACATATGATCCATATTGATATATACCAGAGTAAAGACGCACACTCACTTGATACTTGCATCATCTGTGGGTCAGCTCTGGGAGCTCTCTCGACGCGGTGAGTAATTTTTGTATCTACTCAGATGACTCGCATCAGTCTGATGCTGAGTTCTCTTTAGCATTTGGTATTCACCCTTGCGCTGGAAACTCAGTCGCACCCTTGCACACGTACCACAGTCCCCAGATGGCTGCTCAGGGCAAACAAGCTGGAATACCTAATCTTGCTCCTTGGAGTAGTTCTTCAAGATCAAGCGTTGGATCCAAGGGTTATAGACCTGGCTTCGGCGCTGTAGCGCCTGTCCAGCGTCAACCTAACCGTATCGCCCCTCAGATTGCATGGCCTGCTAACTTCACCCAACAGAATACTGGACTGCCACTATGCGTCATCTGTGGGCAACGACCCGCTGATCAGATCCGTAAAAGTCTCTTCTGTACACTCGGCTGCGTGAAAGCCGCGGAGACGTTGGCCCCTGCTATCATCAATATTCCACCGAATCACCCCAAATACCAAGACGGTGCGATGCGCTACGTTTTTATTAAGGAAATTATGCTAACAGTCATAGTTGAGAATCAATTTCGCTCTAAATGGCTACACACCAATGCGCCATTCCGACCTGTGAAACGCATCTATCTCATCGCACAGACTGCGCAATCAAAGGCGACTTACAACACATATCGACTACAGGTCGAAAATATGGGCTGTTTCAGAGCCCAAAATCGTACAGCGGGCAATGAGAATCGCAGGTTTCACGGAACTCGTCGAGATTGTTTGCTTGGAGATCCCGGGGTACCGTAGAATTCACCAGAAACTAAAATGGGCATGATTTAACCTGCCCGATAGAAGACGCGGCTTTGTGCGAGTCAAACCTGCGCACTGTGTGGCATCATTCGTAACTCTTTTGACCTTGGCTTTTACAAGAGTCGGACCAAATGAGGCCGTTTTGGAAGAGGGTATGCTTCATGCGGTCATACGGTCATACGGATGCAAAACTAACGCTGCTTGTTGAGAATATACACGTCCTCGACGTCGTCCAAGAGCGATCAATACACAGCGAACAATCAACTTTCAGATTATAAAGCCATGATATTGAGTAAGGTAGTGGTAGGAAGGGGATTCAAGATGACGAGGAATAGTCCAAATCTTGTTGCCCCTCCCGTAGGATTCCACTCGGTATGCCCTGTGATCCACCCGCTCGGTCGATCTAATCTGTTCACAGGTTCTGGGAGAACCAGACGCTTCTGGAACTCTTAACTATGATGAACTCGTTGTCTATGACAATAATGCGATCCGACCCGCGTATCTCATCATATACTGAGAGCCCCTGATGTACTTAAGCAAATGCGCTGAATACTTGCTCCCTAGAAAGTATTGATTCATTGGATCTTTGACTCTGAATCTTTGCTCTTATATCCATCAAAAAGAGAGCGCGTTATATCTGGGTATTTGGTCATTTGCGGAGACGTCTTGCGGAAGATTCGTTAATCAAAACCCAGGCCCTGAAATTTGCATTAGCGGAATGGGGTAAAGTTTTTGCGCGAATCAACTGAACTCTCAAACTTTCCCCCCGGCTTTATATCCAACCACTCTGGTCGTATACGCGGTTATCAGCTCTGACAACGACCAAATATCGTTCAAATGTCTCTCTTGGACGACGACAATTGGGAAGAGCAGGCGCGCGAGTTGACACAAGGTAAGAGGCAGCCAGAACGGAGGTCATGCGTTGACGGAGAGAACAGGTGAATAGATTGGAAGAATTTGAACCACTAAGGGCGCTGAACCGAGGCTATATTGAGGGCAATCAATACACAATGAACAAAGAGTTCAAGATGAGATTTATTATTCCCTCGGGTGATCATATCTGTTTAATGTGCTTGAGGTTCTGGAGGTGCAGATGCTTCCGGGCTATGATGATAAATAAATCGAACGGCACTCACCGGTTTATGTACATCACGCCAAACCCTGATCCCTGGACAGAGTACCCATTCATTATTCCCTTTATTTGAATCTCTGAGTATTTGTCATTGCGGTGGTAGCCACTCCAGATTGCGTTCGGCATGAGTCCTGGAAAGCATCCAGTGTTCAATGAGCGTCCTTGAATACCCTGAAATCTGACTGCTGCCAATGAGGAAACCACGGGTCGAGCAAACGGAGCAGACCCCGATCGGGTATCCTGTCGACCAGCAAACGCCACGGCTGTAGTGAGATCCACCGTTCAGGGCGATAGACGCTCAGTTGCCGGTAACACTCTTTTTGTTCCTCTCCGCAATGGCGACAGCTCCGCTATGTGCAGTAAGTGCTACTAATCAAGAACTGGCGCCGCGTCGAGTCTGAGCGAAATCGATAGCACTGTAACAGGCGACCGCGATACTTTGATGGAACGCGGTATCTGAGCTATTGTGGAAACCACTGCAAGAATGCAGCTCAAGGGGGCTCTTCTTCGTCGACACTCTCTACCCCGAAGAAAAAGTCAATGTTTGGGTCGCTATTTCGAAACAAAAGCACGACCTCACTCGCACCCGCATCGTACACGCCTCCTCCTCCCTTACCTGCGTTTGCTGGTCGTGAGTGTTGAATGGAACCTAGTATAGGTATAGAGTACCGACGCGAAATTAAACAGCAATCTGCGTCGTTCCGGGCTGTAATAGGCGAGCCTGGCAAAATCCCCAAGGAGGGTATAGCAGCTTTTGTGGAATAACATGTCGAGAGTGAGTGCACTTGACCTTGGGTATTCATTGCGCTCACGTACTGTCCCCAGCAACAATCCGCATCTCCAGCGACCAGATAATTCGACGGCGCCTCCCGTGAACAATTGGAATCTTGGAACAAGAGCATGTGTAATCTGCAGAACACAACCCTACGATCAAGCACGCAAAAGTCTATTCTGTGGGATCGCGTGTGTCAAGCGGGGAGAGGCCATGTCACCCGGGATTGTCGAAATTCCTTCTGACCATCCCAAATTCAGCGAAGGTAGGCACACTCTCTATGACGTTCATATTACTCGCGCGTGCTCATGTGGCTGCCAGTCGCCCACCAGTTCAACTCCAAGTGGCTTCATACGAACAACCCAGCTAGACCCGCCAGGTTTATCTATATCATCCTCTGCAGTGAGGCCCAGAACGCATCCTACAATGCCTACCGGGACCGTGTCGAGAGAGAGGGCAACTTTATCGCCAGGGGTCGAACGCCAGGCAACGAGAATAGAAGATTTCATGGCACCACCCGTGCTTGCTTACTTGGTGATCCAGGAGTGAGTGTTTCCGTTAGCAAGGGCGAACGAGTCGAGGACTAAACGATCGGCAGAACACCCAGCTTTGCTCGATTACGACCTGCGGACTGTGTGGTATTATCCGCACCTCGTTTGACCTCAAATTCTATAAAGGGAAGACAGGATGGGGTCGATTTGGCTGCGGGTATGTTTCCCTCTGAGCGTGCGGGGCAAAGTAGCTAAACGAAAGCTAGCCTTTACACGTCGGCGACATCGTCCAAAAGCGATTCTTACACCACGAATAAGGTGCCTTCACAGTACAAGGCCATGCTTCTCAACAAGGTTGTCGTCGGGAATGGCTACAAGCTAAAGACTGATGATACGACGCGTACTGCTCCGCCGAGCGGCTATCACTCGGTGAAGTATCTCGCCTATGTCTGAATCCCGGCTGATATCTTTCCAGGTATTGGGCGAACCGGATGCTGCCGGTTCTCTGAACTATGACGAACTGGTTGTTTACGACAACGACGCCATTCGACCAGCGTACCTCATCGTTTATTGAACGTTCTCATGTTGTTTCTCTAGCCGCCTCCTTGAAAATGCCTGTGGTTCACCCAACTTGAACTTGACCGCATTGTGCCACAAATTCTGACAGTGGACGGCGACGCGATGAAAAGTGTAGAAATAAATATTTAGGAAATAGAATTGTCGTCGCTCGTCATGTTTAGTGTGGGAGCCAAAGTTTGGCAATTGGCAGCTCTCAACCAGCACATTCAAGCTGGGCTGGATGACCCACCGAGGGTATAGTTTGGTTGTCTTTCTGACACAGCTGGCAGTTCCGAGCGGACCCCGCGTACCGCAGAAATCTCTCAGCAAGGTCGAATAGACGCTCACCGTTCTCCTCTCCTCCCTCGACCATCCATAAACACGATGGCCGCGGCACCACTATGTATGGTGAGCCTTCATTGCTCTCTCTGGGTTTGAATCATCAAGGGCTGACTGGTCTCGGTTCATTGCCCTTCTAGTTTTGTGGGCAGAAGCCGCGATGGTTTGATGCCCCCACGGGGCAGCTATTCGACTATTGCGGTAATATGTGCAGGAATGCAGCAAAAGGAATGCCTCCAGTTGCGCCTGTTAATGTCGCGCAACCACCGCCGCCTGCAGGGTATCCGCCGAATCCAGTACCATATGCACCCCCGCCCGCTCAATATCCATCACCGACTGGTCAATATCCACCTCAGCAACAACCCTACAATCCACTACCACAGGCACCGAATCCATATCTCGCTCCTGGCGGCGTATATCCACAACCGACGGGACAATTTCCCCAACAGGGGGGTCCATATCCCCCGAATGGATACAATCCACCACCACCAGTCATGAGTAACTATGGATATCCACAGAATCCTTACCCGCCGCAGTATTATCCACCGCCGCCCTACTATTCTCCCGCTCCAGTTTATCAGCAACCTCCCCCAGCCCCGGCCCCAGCCCCGGCCCCACCACAAACATATGGACGTGCGTCTTTCTTTCAACGCGATGGACCAAGACTAAATTCGGTGTGCTATAGCGATATGCGTCGTTCCTGGCTGCCAAAAACCCGCTTGGTTGGATCCAAATGGAGTCCATTCCTTGTTCTGTGGTAAAAGATGTCGAGAGTGAGCTCTGATCGTCCGCGAATATGCTGTGGACGCTCATCGTCTGCTCAGCAACAATCCACACCTCCAGCAGCCCACACTGACTCCCAATGTATCCGCCTTTCTGAACCTTCTAGGCGCCGCGGTCGGGGCAGCAGGTCTAGGCACAAGAGCCTGTGTCATCTGCAAGATACGGCCATATGATCAAACACGGAACAGCCTCTTCTGCTCGCCAGCATGTGTACAAACATCAGAAACAATGGCTCCAGGGATCATCGAGATACCCTCAGATCATCCAAAATTCAAAGATGGTACGCCTCCTGTCATATACTCGATCCGGGTTGCTGAGACGAGAGCACAGTCGCCAATCAGTTTGATACCAAGTGGACGCATACGAACATGGCGCCAAAGACGGCAAAGTTCATCTATCTGATCCTGATGAACGCTACTCAAAATGCCTCGTACAACGCCTATCGAGATCGAGTAGAGCAGGAAGGTGGCTTTGCTGCCAAAGGGCGGACGCCAGGCAACGAAAACCGAAGATTCCATGGAACTACCCGTGCTTGTTTACTCGGTGACCCAGGAGTGAGTTTTTATCGTGATCAAATAGAGTGACAGACGGTCTAACTGGTCGACAGAATACTCAGCTCTGCTCGGACTCGACGTGCGGACTGTGCGGTATTATTCGGACGTCTTTCGACCTCAAATTCTACAAAGGGAAGACCGGATGGGGCCGATTTGGTTGCGGGTACGTACCTCTTTGAGCGGGCAGGGCAAAGTGGCTAACGAAAGCTAGCCTTTACACGTCGGCGACATCGTCGAAAAGCGACTCGTATACGAGTAACAAGAAGACGTCGCAATATAAAGCCATGCTGCTCAGCAAAGTCATTGTCGGCAATGGATACAAGCTCACGAACAATAGCACGCAGCTCACTGGCCCTCCTGCGGGGTATCATTCGGTGCGTTTTGAGGACGCTTTGCAGGTGTACGTTGGCTTATGTTCTAATTCGATAGGTCCTGGGCGAGCCAGACGCCGCGGGAGCGCTCAATTACGACGAGCTGGTCGTATACGACAACGATGCAATTCGACCTGCGTATCTCATTGTGTATTAGCAATTCGCTCTACTCTGTCTTGCCATGCATGTCCATTCATTCTCCTCGTAGCCTAGTGTTTGGTCTGTCTTGCCTTTCCGTTGTGAATCTTTCTGTATGGGTTTTTGATTGGTATCTAGATTTCTATTGCTATTCTAGCCTTTTGTTACTGGTGGCTTGCCTCATCTCGTTCTTGCGCCTGACCGTCACTGCGTATGGCAACTGTACCCCATGTATGCTTCTTCCCAAGCAGGGATCTTGAATGAGAGTATGCAGAAACCGTAAACCACCAAAACACTGCAGACCATCTCAGATAGCCGGTTTGATTTCCGCTGATTGTGCATGGCTGCCGCGCAGGATCCACATGGAAGTGGTCTGCTCTTTCTGCTGGTTAGCAAGCCGCCTGCATTTTGGGAGGATTGCGCCCTTATCCCATGAAGCCCCTGCGACTTGCGGACCACCACAGCAACCAATTGCACGACACACAATGTCGAGGAGAAGCCTCAGAGGAAAGACAACCTGGCCAGATACTCTTAGGCCTCTTGGTCCGGGATTTCCTTTAATCACGCCTACTTACACCCCGCGTGTCGAGGCCGAGCGACTTCTCGAAGAATATGCCTTCCCGAATGAAGCAAGTCGCTCAACTGGAAGGAATATCATTATCATCACAGGTCCTCCTGGAAGCGGAAAGACACAGCTGATTCTGTATTTCGTTGAGCGGAACCGCCAAAAGTCAGTCGGTGATATCGTTGCTATCTTCACACGTTGAGGCTTTGCAGATTTGTAGATGCCTACTTCATTGATAGTTCCTCAGATGAACTTGTTGCGCACGGGTTCAAGAAATATATACAACCATCCGGAATCGCAGATCCTCAGGAAGCCCTCCGCTATCTCGAACGCTCTCAAGCACCGGAGAAAGGGCCATGCTTGATCGTATTCAACAATCTTGTGCCCTCTGTCGACCTTACCCCTTATATTTCAACTTCGGACCATTTCCTTGTCCTCATCACGACACAAGCACAACAGTACCTTGCTGTCACACCACATGCTACAGTGTATCTCGGAGAGATGACGCCGTCTGAAGCTGAGGAGTTGCTGGAACTCCAGCTGGCTTCCACGTCTGCATCCAAAGATACTCTGAAGAGGATAGGAGAGGCGCTTGGGCACCATCCCGCAGCGCTTACTTGCGCAACAGCATACATAAATGCGTCGAATACACCCCCAGATGCTTACCTGTCACACCTCCAACCAGAGCTCATAGCAGAGAGTGCTCGTTCTGGTTTTTATCACGCTCCGACGTACGCAGCTCTTAGCGTCTCATACAGAGCCATTTCTAGTCGTTCTCAGAAGCTCCTCCTCCTCCTCTCTTCCTTCTTCCCTGGGGGTTTCCCATTTCTTCAACTCGTCAGTCACGGAGCCCGAACTGGCTTCGACCGGGAGATGTACCAAGCGATACAGCGAAGTGAAAGGGAGATAGACGACGCAGTATCTCTTCTCAAACAAATATTTTATGCTGGAGGCAGGTTTGACGAAGGGGGGATCCTCAAGGACTTCGAGACCTTGAAACGATTTAGGTTCACCTCCGAGGTCAAATCTGGGGGACTGGTTCTAGTCTCTATGGACGAAGAGGTCAAATCCTGGGCACAGAACCGGATGGACGAATCGACCGCGGAGGTATATCGGACGGCGTTTATTCGACTCCTTGGCTGCTCGCCTTGGGACGAAGATCCCATGGACCAGTATCTGGCTCTACAGATACTACTAGAGTTCGAATCTTCCTTCGGTGAATTCCACACCAACGACAAGGCCACCTTTGCCAGAGTTCTCTACCGTACTGGCGATTACGAAAGGTCTCTGTTGCTCTTTGAACAAGTCGTCAACGACTTGCAGCAAAAGTGTGGGCCGTACCATGAGGACATTCCGGTAGCCCTCGCATGGCTAGCGACTGCTGAGCAAGCAAACCAAAACTACGCAGATGCCAAGGCGCATAGAGAGACTATCAGAGACATGATGCGTCGATACTTTGGGCCCTTAGATCCGCGTACAGTAGAAGCAGAGGTGTCGCTGGCGGAGACCTGTGCCAGGCTTGGCGAAAATGAAAGAGCCAGAGATCTGTACCAACAAGCCCTAGAAGTAATGAGAAGGAGTCAGAGCGAAGATGACCCCCTCGCCATTGGGACAAGTGCAAAGCTTGCAAATGTATATGAAGCTTTGGGTCAAAGAGATGAGGCCGTGGCCCTCAGACGTGACGTCTATATTCGCCGGGCGAAGGTGCTCGGAAAAGACCATGTAGAAACCATTCTCGCCGCTAACAATCTCGGTGTGGCCTACTATAACCTTGCCATGTCTCGCAGGAGTGCAAATAGGGGCCAAGGACTGGCAAACGGAGAGAGGGAAATCCAAGAGCTGCTCTCCCATGCGGCGGAGCTTCAGGTCCAGGTTCTGCGTTATCGAACAACAATGCTTGGGGACTTAGATCCTGAGACTCACCTTGCCACGAAAAATCTGATGTGGACGTCCTATGAACTCGGCAGATTGGCTGAGGCAGAACAAGCGGCCCGTGCCTTATGCAATGCTAGTGAAAGGCTCTATGGGCCAAACAACTCTTATACTTGGCGAGCCAGACTTGCTCTTGCTCTTTTCCAGATAGACCTCTCGTCCGCCGAAGCAATTCAACAGGACCTTACGGAAGGCGATCCAGACTATGCATATGCCACCAATATTGTGCGTGCTATAATGGCAAAGGGTAACAAACCGCAACCTGCAAAGTCACGGTTTCACCGAAGGGAGTTCTTCTCCGTCCCATTCTTGTCATTTGAATATCCTAAACCGACGCCCCCTACGACCAAACGTCCTCCCACTGAAGGCACAAAGAAATCTTCGGGCGCCATCTCTTTCTTCAAATGGCCAAAATCTAGTGCTAAAAGGGATTCAGAACGGCATGAGAAATCAGTACACGTCACCAAAGACAAGTCTAAACACTCAAATATGCCCAAGGTGATCCTCTATAACTTTTGTACGGAATTGATACTAACCTAGCGTGGCTCAGTCGGTGACGGAGATGCCGAGCAATGAAGTTTCAGATGGGCAGATGATATCTGAAGAGGCCCAAAATCTTGATCAAACAGTCACATTGGCAAGTTACTCACGGTCACTGGCCCTGGAAGACCCAGATAAACGAGGACAACAACAGACGCATATTTGCAAAGTATATACAGACGTACCGTCTGAATCCTTCATCCATACGGAACAGCGAACCAAGACAAATCAGGTCGCAATCAGTAACGCGGGTGTTGCATTGGAATCATCTCTACCTGCCATACAACAAGATGCCGATCAGACGCAGCGACCGACCCAGCTACACCTTGTTCGAACTGCCTCAACACATCAGCCACCTGGTTCCTATGATAGCTTACCCAACACTGAGAATGTCGATTTGTACCCAAACAAGAGCTTGGCAGCCCTGATGGATTTAAATCGACCCAAAGACTTGAGCGACCAGGTTCACGTTACAGATATTTGGGATGCTGCACATGGCGGCTTTGCAACTGTCTATAAGGGTCATTTTGGGGGCTCAAATGTAGGTATTACTGTCCGAACAGTTCTTACACTTATTACCTCCAGGTGGCCGTCAAGGTGACAAGATTTCCAGCAAAGGGCAATGAAAAATGGCAAGCAGCACTCAAACGGGTATGATGAAAGGGTAATTTCTGTCTCCACAGGTAATTAAACGTCTTTATTAGCGAGTTCTCAGAGAAATCAATGTCTGGGCGGCCCTTAAACACCCGAATATCTTGCCACTCTGTGGCTATTCTCAAAGATTTGGTCTATTCCCAGCCATGATCTCCAAGGTAGGCTCCACATTCTGAGATTATCTCTCTAAAAAGAACTCATTTCAGTGGTGCCCACTTGGTAATGCGGCTCAATTTCTTAGCATGGGCTACTGTGAACCAGATATCCGAATGAAGTTGGTCAGGTGTCTAATGGTTCTATCCCAATATGCGCTAAATTTCAACAGATGCACAACATAGTAAATGGACTCTGCTATCTTCACCATCTGGGCATTGTTCATGGAGACCTGAAGCCTGTAAGTACCTCGTTTCGATGCATAGAAGTATTTAATAATGTTACTTAGCAAAACATACTAGTAGATGATGGTCCAACAGGCATGCTATGTGACTTTGGCCTCATACGCTTAATGGAATGGTGTGGGGACTCTGGAATGACCACTACTTCACCATACATTGCAACTCCACGCTACACAGCACAGGAACTACTTATCACAACTGATAACGCAAATCCTCGTGCTACATTTGAGGGCGACATCTATGCCTTGGGCTGCGTTGGTCTTTACGTATGTTGATCCAAACATGAGGACTTGGAACTGACACATGGCTCATGGAATGGCAGCTTATGGAAGATAGAGAGCCATATGCGCAAGCTCAAAATGCAACTCACCTCCTTCAATTGATCAAAGATGGTCACAAACCTGGCTTGATCGAGTCTAGTACTATTCAGGATGCCGATATACAAGAAGTATTCTGGGAGTTTTTAACAGCGTGCTGGAGCTGGCCCAACATTGAAGACCGTCCCAGGATCAAAGAAGCGGAGGCCCTCATCGGAGATTTGACAGGTTAGATTTCGCCTTGAACTTGATTGATACACTCTCCCTGATTCCTTTGCCTTTAGGTCGTCTTTGCTCACAGCAGGGTATGGCTTACTTGAAATTAGTGCAGTCCTAATCTAAAATCCTAATCAGGAAGATAGGCGACGCTAATTTAGAGTAGACATGCGTTGTTTGTTGCCCACGAATATTTGACACATTTCCTCGCGCCTAGTTTCCCTTTTCACGAGCGTCGACTCTGTGGATGCAAAGATGCACCCGTAGACCATTGAAATTCCCATCAGAGCCGTCAAAGGTAAACATCGGTTGGACCGTCGAGCACTCCCCGGCGGTCGATTATTGTCGAAATTCATGGGAGTCGCCGTACGAATCGGTAGTCCGAGAGGTTATATTACCCATATGCTCTTCACGTAGGTGCTATTCACTTGCTATAGATGTCCCCTTGTTTAGACGAGTTGTGTATATCCGCCTCTTTACCGTATGATCGCTTTGCCGAGCTGCTGGGTGTAGATCATGTATTGAGGGAAACTTGCAATGAGTATATTGCGTACCTCTTTTGAGAACCTGAAGCGTGCTGAATTGGCTGGCAGGTACGGGTGAAGAGTGGGACTTGTCATCCAGCGCCTTGGTCCCTTTCTCTTTCCTCGCCGTCTCCGTCCATCATGACTGAAACCACTACGATGCAGTCGTATTCGCCTGTAAATCCTATGCCTACACCGCAAAATGATCCGTTCATGGACCCGCTACCTTCAAGTAATGGCCCAGGCGCCAATCTCGCTGGTATCGGGGCAGGTGCTGCGGCCCAGCATGGCTTGCAATATGTCCAACCGTCTCCGTCCAGTGTACCATCTGCTGGACCGTTGAACATGGGTCCTTATCTCCCGAATCCGTATTCAACGGGCGCATCGTCCGGTTCGCATCCGTCGAGTCTCATGCCCGGAAGCGCAAGTGACAACGGAAGTACGAATGGACTTGTGCCAACTGGGCTAGTCCAAACACGCGTCGGACAGTTTGGCAGACCATCACCACCACTTCCCAACAGCCAATCGCAGCCGCCGACTTTGGGTCAGCTTCAGAATCAACAATATCAGCAGCATCAGATGCAAATTCAACAATCGACTGGGGCTTCTAGCACGCCAATTCATGCAATGATGACCCAGAATCGCCCTCAGCAACCGACAATGAACCAAGTTGGCATGGGTGGCAGAGCCTATGGTTTGCCTCCACGACCCGTTCCGCAAACTCAGTCTCCTGCACCGGTGAATACTGGGTACTATCAGAATCAACAAATGCAACAGCCGATCATGCATCCCCCTAGCCGCTCGGGATCGCTCAACGTCGCTGGTTTCAACGCACCAATGGTTCATCAAGAGGTTCAGCAGCAACAGGTCTCCGAGCTCAAGTTCTACAACCGAGAGGACCCGTATTACGAGTTTACCAATTTCTCTCCCGACAAGGTGGTCTACCTTGGGAGAGAATACCCGACTTCTGAGCACGCTTTCCAGGCTCAAAAGGTCTGTGTTTATCTCCTGGAACGAGTAGTATGGATACTGATTCAAGATGCTTTCAGTTCCTTGTAAACCGCCCAGGATTGGCAGAGCATATCAGGACATTTTCGGATCGTCCACGTGACGCATTTGAAGAAGCACGAAGATTCCAACCAGAATGGAGACCGGATTGGCATTCGGTCAAAATTCAGAAGATGGACGAGATTCTGCGCGAAAAGTTTACACAGAATCCACGACTACGGCAGATGCTTGTCAATACAGGTACTTTAAAGCTCATCGAGGTATTTTTGAGTCCTGTGGTCGGAGAAGAGACGCCTGATATCGGATAGGATTCGCCCTACGATCCATTTTGGGGAGTGGGCAGGGATGGTAACGGCGAGAACCAACTCGGTCTCGCGTTGATGCGATTAAGAGCCGCTTTACAGCAGGAGGATACAGCAGCTCAGCAAGCAAATAGACATGCAGAGGCTATGCACGCCGAAGTCGGACAAGCGATGATGCCGACGATGCCATACTAAATTCCCTTGGCCCGCTTCTCTTTTCGTTTGTAGAGATATTCTGGATGTTTCGTCGACTCTTATACAGCCGCCGCTTGATGTGCGGCGCGTTACTGAATGTGCTGGATGGTACCCCGGATACCCAAAGTCTGATCTTCCCGCCTTGCTGTCAGTAGAGCTGCTGTTTCCTTGCTACTCAATAAGTAAGCAGTGTACTGATCAAGGTTGTTGAAGTTGGATCCTGCGGCGCGGCTGGAAAATAGACGCCCCAAGCGGGACCCAAACGCAACTTCAACTCTGACCACAATGTCCTCGCATAAATCGACGCGACTGCAGAGAACTACACAGCAGATTCCATTGTCGCCGCCCATTGTAATCAATGCAAAGAACCTTGAGATCATCCATCACCAGCCCCAACCGCCAGTCGTGCCTGTACGCCCGTCCTCGATGACCCGTCTCGTAGACTGATTCCATGCTACTTGTTATACATATAATATTTGTTTTCGGTACCATTTATGTCGGTGCGAATAGAGAAAGCGCGCAAACTCGATGGGAGCAACGTCGGCTTCGCACAGCGTACCCTACCCAGCGTATCTTGCCCGTCAACCGCGTGATCATAATGCACACGGTGGAGGTCGAGGTTCGCCTACTCCTTATTCGACTCCTTCCAAGAAGACCAAGATTTTGTTCTACGACAAGGATAAGCCGTTCTATGGGTTTACAAACTTTTTCCCCATTCGGTCCGTTTTCTACTTTTGCAATTGTTTCGGAACGGTCATTTATAGGCGTTGTAGGTTGTGTTCGAGGGAAGGACGTATCCAACGTCCGAGCATGTCTTCCAAGCGTACAAGGTTCATCTTGCCAAATCCTGAAAGATGCAGACTGACATTGAGCTTAGTTTATCGTTCATCGACCGGGGCTTGCGGAACATATCCGCACGTTCTCCAAGAATCCACGAGACGCGTTCAATGAAGCTCGTCGGTTCCAGCCCGAGGTTCGAGAAGACTGGGCAAAGGTCAAGATAGACCTTGTATGCTCTCGCCCTCCCACTGGATATAGGCTAACAGGTGACAGATGTATAATATCCTCAAGGCCAAATTCTCCCAACACTCCAGTCTCAAACGCGAGTTGATGAACACGGGGGATGCAGAGCTTATAGAGGTACGGGGTTCTACTCTTATTGACTGAAATAAGGCTGACTTTGTCAGGACTCGCCAGTGGACGCCTTCTGGGGTTGCGGTGCGAATGGCAAAGGAGAGAACCAGCTCGGTAAGACTCTGATGCGGCTACGAGACTTTTTTCGCAGCAAGAAAGGCCTCCAGTTTTAATGATCTTGATGAAGGCATGATATTGAAGAGCGTGATGATCTGTATATTCGCTAATAGATGAAGTGTATATCTAGGTGACTCGTCTTGCAGACGGTAGATTCCCTCGTGAGGCAAGAGCTGCGATGCATGGATGACCATCATCTCTTGACCGCGATTGACGGTGGTTGTCCCCTGGGCTAACGAACACTGGACCCGTTCTATTAGTCATTTCGAAGTTACCATCCGTCCATCAAGCGCCTCTAACACAAAACGTTGAGTCGCCGGTTCTGTCTCCGACTATGGACCGGTCTGGGCCAGACGTAATATCAACGGATATCGATAGATAAAGGTGAATGACGGTACTGAAGAGGGTGTTGCATTCAGAAAGACCGAGAAAAGCGGAGGCACTCACGGGGACGGTCATGCAGTTGCCCCATATACGTTGTATCATGAGGCGTTCCTGAGCGGTATCATTCATTTTTTGACTTTTATGGCCGAACGCCGGTCAATATTAAAAGGGTCGAGGCCAGTTTACGTCCACCATCCATTTCTCTTCTCCCTTCCCTCCTCCACCCCTGTATGCCTTTACACACGGAATTGGCACAGGAAGAGGCAATATGACCATTAACATTACCACAATCGGCTTCGAGCCGTCAACAATCATTCTCAGCCCACCCGCGCAGCAACTTGTGACAGAAGCAAACGTTCAGATTGCTCCTCCAATCATGGGTACATTCGCGGATATGTTGCTCCAAGGTGTTTCACATCTCCGTTGCTCAGGCATCGGTCGCTGAACCCCTCGACTTTAGGGATTTTATTCAGTCAAACTGCCAATTTCTTTGGATTCAGAGACACCGACGGGAGTAAGAACAGGTTCACGTGGCTCGTAATACTCCTCAACGCTCTCTGCATCACCAAGTCGGCCCAGAACATTTTGATCTGCTGGAACATGGTCATTGCAAACTATTGTAACCCAGACGTCACCGTATTACTCATTGCTGTCGATTGGCGGCACTATTCGACCGGGCTCACAGTCAGTACCCCTTGCTTGAACAGGTTGGGCCCCAGTTGAGATTTATGATCACAGACGGCAATTATCGCTAGTCTCGTCCAGAGCTTCTTCATATATCGGTATTGGATGCTCACGAGAAGAAGAATCATTTGCGGTGTAACAATGCTTGGTGTTGCCTTTTCACTCGTTGCCGCTATTCTGGTCGTACGTCTGGTGACTTTGGTGCTCACTCGTGTTATAACATATCAACTGCAGACTGTCTACCTTCCTCGTGTCGAACATCACCGAATTCGAGCGTGGTGTACGTTTTGGCCTCGACGATACACCTGGCGTATACTAATCATCGCTGCTGCAGCTCTCGTTCATTTTATCTTTGCTATTGCTGTTGACACGCTCATTACTGGTGCAACTGCTCTACATCTCTACCAGCAACGGCCAGACATGCGATCGTGAGTACTCTACCAGCTATGAACTCGGACGCTCAATGGTATGTAGAACTTCAGAATTGATTGATCGTCTCGTGCGCATGACATGGCAGACGGCTCTCCCACCGACACTTGGAGTTGTAGTCACCGCTGTCGTGCTTGAGACACGTCCAATCGAATTGACGTATGTCTTTGCTTCTCTTTCCAGACATATAGACTAAACTTTCCAGGCATTTGGCGTTCAATATTGTCCTGTCGAAGCTATATGCAATTTCACTCATGTATACGCTCAACACCCGCAATGAGATGCGCAGCGAACGTGCCAGCTCGCACGAAGCCTCTGCGTCTACGGGAGCACGTATCACGGTTACCAATATCCACCACAATACGGGGCGGGCGAGTATGTCCATTGGGGGCAGCGGGACGATCAATACGAATGGGCATGCCGCTGTGCACGGACGACATACCTCGGCAACGAGAATCGTTAGCTTCATCACGGATCACCCGGATAAACTACATTCACCTCCGCCTCTGGGTGTGCATGTTGCCACGCCGGTACACAGGAGCGACAGCACGGATGTAGAGGTGTGTAGCTAGTAAAGATTGCCCGTTTGAAGCTAATTCTTGCAGATGGACAGTCTGGAAAAGCTTCCTAGACCCAATGACGACTCGGACGTGGATAGAGAGGATTGGAAAGATAAGAAACGCATAGCTTAATTGGATGTATACATCATGATATGTTTAATGCAAGAGTCAAACTACCAGCAAACAGACTCTCGGGCGGGAGAGATTAAAAGTCGGTGAACACGCGTGGCTTTTGCTCAGCGTTTCGCTTGGAGCGGTCCTGACAAACTTTGAAATAAAGGTAGTGTAGGCTAGGCATTCCCTTGGGCAAAGCGCTATTCACATAGAACACTTGTGCTCTTTGTTGCATGCGCATGCGTTTCGTCCTCCATGAGCTGTGTAGATCATCTGGTGCGCCACGGCTGTGATCCTCTGCGGAGCGTCGTAGAGGTGCGGCGACCTTGCGCTCTGCGCGTTGCGGCTGACCGCCTCTGCGCGCCGCGAGAATCAAGCGTTCAGGTGCATAACGCGACTCTATTACGAACAAAGCAAAATTCCTCCAATCTAAGATAAGGTCTTTGCCCGCCGAGACCGGGCAACCTGCTCCCGTCCACGTTTTCTTCTTGACCACTACGACCTCGCACGAACGCCTTTCGACGAGCTCTGCTTTTAACCAGAGCTCCATCTTATAGGAGCAGAAGCAAAGACGTCGAGCCTGTGCTCCTCTTTGCCTCCTTTTTTCTGTTTTAGTTCTTCAACGCTTGCGTGCGCCCCCCGCTTGCCAGCAAGCCCGACGACTCGATTAGACGACTAGACGATTGTAACGACGATGTATAACATATTTCCTCTCGTTCGCGGTGCCCTGCTTGGTGCGTCCCCCTCGCAACTCGAGTGGCACGACGGCTAATGGCTCCACTGCTCGTTCTACAGGCACTGTTGGCGCATGGACATTTATTGTGCTGGGCATAGCGATTCACTTTCAAATGTCCTTTGTAGACTCTGCTCCTCAACGTACGCACACCCGCCTCTTGTTGACAAGCTCCCAATCGCTCACATTTTGTCAGTGACATACGTTTCCCTTTCCGTCTTTGTTGCTGCGGTCACTCTTGCTACATTCCTCGTTGTGTGAGTCTCTTTCCTTTTTTCCTCTATTTTTTCGGTCCAGAGCAATTGCTCCCTTTGCCCTGAAAGGCCGTTGGGCCGGCGCCGGATCTGGATGGCTTGGCCACGACTCGAAGCGATTCTGGTTGCCTCCAAAGCCCCACCGCCTTCTTTGTCCGCGCCGAGTAATCACCAAGCTGATCGGGAAATAGATTGGTTGCGCCGTGTAATCGCAAAGTCTCGAATATCCTCCGAACAAAGTGGGAACTCGCATGGCTCGGCGTGCTTGCTCTTCTTTGGACGTGTGAGTAATTGGTCTGTGAATCTCGATTGGTCAAGGCTCATGAAGCTTAGCATTGGCTGGATACACGACGACACCCGCTGCCAAGGACAACGAGGTTGAGTGCTGGGAGGAAGACGAAGAAGGCGTTGTGGTCGACTCGAATGTCGAAGGCTGTGAGTTAAACCAAGGCGATGGGAATGGCTCCTGACGAGTTGTTAGATTCCAATTCGGTCTACCATGCACGCTACCGAGTCCTCCAAGCCTTTGCATTCTTCAACTGCATCCTTCGTGAGTAGCATTTCAACTCCCTTGTGGATTAGTGGCTAATAGCAACAGTCTGTTTCCTCTTTTTGTTCATTCTCGCTCTCGCATTCTGGCATCACAAACGTGGCCGGTATGTCATCTGGACGACCCCGACGACCTCGGTTGGTTGGTTCGATGGCCCAACGCGCCGTGGACACCTTCCCCCACCCATTTCTCACCGCAACTCGCACAAGGACAAGAAGCGATCGTACGAAAAGTGGGATGACGAAAAGGAAAAGGGATCCGGACACAAGAAGGCGTTCAAGTTTGACGCAGCAAGTATCTCTGAACGTGTCAGAGACACTGTCAAGGACAAGATGCCGAGCAAGGACAGGAGGAGAGCCAAGGATACGAGCGATATCGACGAATTTGGCGAGAGGAAGGACCTGATTGCCAAGCCACCTCCAGTTGCACGCGCAAACACGACGCCGCTCAAACCCAGACAGTACATGGTGAGCACGTCAGGCGAGACGAAAGCCAAGCCACCGTTGGCACCGATCGCGGCCAAGATGACGGAACGCAAAGAGGAAAGGGGCAACACCGAACCAAAGCGTCAGCCCTCTCAACGCGAAAGAGCGGAAATAGCTCGTCAACAGGCCCGAAGGGAGCGAAACACGACGGACGATGAACGACCATCGCGACCAGCCGTCCGCCAGAACAGCTCGCGTGGACAGAGGAGTGGATCAGCTCAGCCTGCGACTGGAGTGCGCAGAGAGACGAGCACGACACGTGCTCCAGATGTTCGTAGACAACCTTCGCAAACGCGGGCGACGCCCGATGTGACGCGTTCTGGATCTGGAGCTGACCGAGGACGCTCGAGTGCACAAGGACAAGGGCGTGCACAGAGGAGCGAGAGCAATACTCGCCGAACGACAGACGACGAGCGGTATCAGTCTCGGAATCCGTACCGGCCGGCGAATGGGCGGAGAGTGTAATGATTATACCTTTTTTTTTCTTTGGATTAGATGTCCTCGCCTGTATGTATGGGCTGCCAGTGGCGATATACCGATTTTTACTTTTGTACTATTTGCGAGGGTAAATAGGGGTGACACGTTGGTCACTGCCACCTCGCAGCCACTCGGCGCGTCTTCTGGGATGATTACGAGTGACTTGAAACCATCGCCAGCATCAACAATCTACGAAGACGCGCAAGAACATCCTCTGGAGAACACTGCGACGACGACAAACGACGCAACAAGGCCAATTTTGGCACCACTTGCGACGAGCGCAGACGCTCCACCGTCTATTCTCGGCTCACATACGTCTCCTTCTATTCACAATGTACACGAAGGCACTCAAGCGACGCTCAACACGCTGCACGACTCGCCGGTAGCTGACGTAGGACCCAACGCCCACGGCAAAAAGGCAAACGAAACGGTCCAAGAAAACACATCGAAGAATATGAATAATATTACGCAACCAAATGACCTAATCACGTTGACACCGCTGCGAGCGCACTATCTTAAGAAATCGCTCGTCACGCTCCAGTTCTCCAAGGAACTGCTTGGCTTTACGGATATGGATCCGTCGATCCCTACACTCTCCCCATTGTCATATCTAGGCCCACCGTTTACACCTCCACCACGTAATGCAGCCCGACATGATGTCCCATTCCTGCGCTTCATGTTCCGCCAATTCGTCCTCACGTTCCCCTTTATCACCTCTGCACCAAAGGACTTCTTTCCCAGCAAAGTTCAGCCATTTGTTGGATCTTTGATGGCGCGCAATTTGAGCACGACGGATGATGTGCTCGGGATGGACGATCCAAACTTCCAAGGAGAGGATCCCGAGGTGCGCTCGCGGCAGAAGATTGTCGCCAAAGCGGAAAAGTACTTTTCGCTCATCGTCGGATCGGCGATCAAGTTGGTTGAGCAAGAGGAGGTCGTACGTCTATCCCAGAGGGATCTGGACCGTCTGGAGATCTTGGCGAGAAAGCGGAATGCGCGTATGAAATATGCGCGTGATGCGTTTGATGTCAATATTATATGCGTGCGTACTGTGGTGGAAAAGGGTCGTATGCGCAGTCGTGTGCATGAAGAGTTTATCATTCGTACGCGTAGAACGGGTTGGGCGGATACGCTCGTCTCTAGACGTTATGGAGATTTTAAGACATTGGCAGAAGAGGTTTGTTTCCGTCAAAAGTTTGTGTGCAACGAGACTGATTCCTGTGCAGCTTCGCAAGGCGTTCCCAGAGTTTGAGATTCGTGGACCGCCGCCCAAGGACCGTAGGACTGTGGCCATTGCGCCTCAACAGCAGCAGCAACAACCCAACTCGATACCAGGAGCTAATATGGCATCTCTCAATCCATACGACACGCTTACTCGCTCGGATACCATGGCTTCAAGTACAGATGACCTAACGAATGGAGGCGCGCGTCCATCCGCTTCGAGCGTCACCGAGTCTTCTTTAGCACGTGAAAAGAACCGTGTGACGCTTCGCTCGTACTTGCATGGTCTATTGTCATCTCAGCATGTTGCGAATTCGCCCGTCCTCAAATCGTTTTTGCTCTCGGATCCAACGGAGCTTACTCCCGAGGAAGTAGAGGATGCACGTAGGCGTGAAGACGCTGATAGGATTAGAGAGGAGGGACGTAAAAAGTTTGCGAGCGAGGTTGCGGCCAGGGTGGATGGTCTTCGCGACGCTGTTAGGAGTGTGAAGAGTGATATGATGGGAAAGAGTAAGTCCGACTTTTTGTATAGGAGCGTGAACTGATGAGTGTAGATGGACTTGTCAACATCTTCTCGACCGTCAAGAATACGCCACTCGCCAAAGACTTGCCACCGAATTATCGTGCTGTCCTCGAGTGGGGTCGGATTACGTGCGTTTTATTTCCCTGGTAGTTCATAACCTGACTCGCTTTTACAGTCTGGCCTCGACTATCTTTCAAAGCTTTGTCGCATCCGACGATGCCTCTGGGACGCTTGCTGCTCTAAAACGATTCCACGGTCTGATGCCCTATTTTATGCTCAAGGGAATATTGAAGATTAGCAATCCCATGGCCATGATACGTGGAGTTATGGATCTCTTTATGGCTCAGCCTTTTGGAGGCAAGAGTCTCCTCCAGCGGTATGCTACGTGAGTTGGAATCCAGGAAATACTAATTCCGGATCAGAATGTTCACGAGCTCGCTCTTTGAAGAGTCTCGAGCCCTCCAAGAGGATATCGCTGCTGTTGCCGAGAGAGTGGGCGATCCGGCATTGTGCGAGAAAGTGCGCCTGTTCATCTATGCGCCAAAGGAGATTCAAAACATCTATCGCATGGACTCATGTGAGCAAATATTTCTTCACTATACTATGCTGACCCATGTCAGCTTTGGAGAATATCAACCTTCTTGTGGCTATCCTACGCTCGAGCGATCCGCCGCTCCTTAATCGTCCTCAGATGCACCGCGTGATCCGCGCTGCACGAGCACACGCAGATTACATGCGCTACCGCGAGACACTCCAAGATTCGGACGACGATGATGGACCCGAGAATGAGGATGCGTGGCTATTCGAGGACCTGAATATCCTTGCCAAGCTCTACTCGCGTCTCCGCGACAAAGAGCAACTGATCGACCTCATTTTCGAGGGGACGACTTCGGATTTGCTGAGGGACATGTTTGCCATATTCTACACCCCTCTTGCCCAAGTTTACAAAGCGGCAAGCATCGCAGACTCGCTGGGGGACCTTCAGAATTTCATCACCGATCTCATTCGGACGATTGAGTCTTGCGAAACCTGTAAGTTGGAAAGATTTGTACTGTATGGGGAGCTGACTGTTTTGTAGTGAGCCAGGACGATCCGCATCAGACGGTCCAAATGTTCATCAATCTCGTCGAACGCCACGAACAGGCGTTTTATAGTTTTGTCCACAAAGTGCAGTCAAAAGGCGAGGGTCTGTTTGACTCGCTCATGCACTGGATCGAATTGTTCCTCTCCCTCACACGTGATGGATTTGGACAGGCCACCAGTTTGGAGTTTATTCTTCCCCACACTGGCAAAGAGCGCGAAGAGATCATCAAGGAAGTGGACGATGTCGCGCTCTATTACTACAAGATGAAGCTCTTCTACGAAGAAAAGCTTCGTCGTCGGTTCGGAAGAGCTCAAGCAAGAGCGGACGCCGACGCAGATGACGCTGCGGCGCAAGAATTGATCGACGGTGTTGTCAAAGAACTCAGCTTTGGCGAGCTAGTCAAAGGCGATGCGAATGACATCGCTGCCGAGGACAGCGAGGACGAGTCGGCAGAGGATGATGAAGAGTACACGAGTAGCAGTAGCGAGGACAGCGAAGATGAGACGACGTCAAGTAGCTCTCCGACCCCAACACCCAAGCCGAGTACACCGACAGACGGTGCTGATACAAGTAGAGCGCGTAGTCCGATCAAGACGCCGCACCCTCATGTTGCGGCTAGCTCACCCTCACGAGCTCGCTCTCGTCCAAGTGATACTCGGAATAGACCGCTTTATGCCGTAGCCCAAACGGGACACAACACGCCAGCCGCTACACCTCCTACGGCGGACCCACCCGTACGACCACGCCTTCGTCCATCCAAGTCGTTCTCTGGATCTTCGACATCGACACCAACGCTTGCCAACAAGCCAGGGGAGAAAGCGTTGCCTCCCATGCCACGTTCTGCTGGGATCAATACACAAATGCGGCCGACGCCACCTCCTTCACTTGGATTAGGAGGAGGTTTAGCTTCCACTCGTGGTAATGGAAATGCTGGTGGACATTCACGCGGCCCGTCTACGTCGAGTAACAATAAGAGACGACGAAGAAAAGGCGGCCCAGCGTCCATTGAGCACCCGGAGCTGACGCATATTCCAAAGCTCTTGCCCATATTCTTGGAGATGGTGAGTCTTTCCCGTGCTAACGCTCAGAGAATACTAGCTGATTCTTGTCCAAGATCAAGCCTCTGCTCCGCCCGCAGGCAATTTAGACGTATATGTCAATCTAATTCTAGTTGTCTCGTTTATTTCTAGGCTGTGATATAGGTCGCTTCTGGTCTTCTTGATCTTTGAAATTCGGGGGTTGCTTGAATTGAATCACGTTGAACCGCTCCTACCATAAGCCCCATCGGCGTATGCGCTCTGTTCGAGCGCTAGATGTCTTATTCACTGCGCATGCCGCCGTGAATCTTCTGTCGCGCGTCGCAGCGGCACAGGCGTCGAAAATTTGTCACACACAACAGCAGCCACCGCCGTCAAGCGTTGACGCCCAACAAGCAACCAAGAGAAATGAACAAAGGGTAGATGAGATTAAGGCGTCAATAACTGAGGTTGAGGAGCCGAATCCTATCGAAACAGCAACGAAGCCAACGTCATTCGAGTCGACTTTGTCGGGGTCACCGTTGCCAATATCTCCAGCACACACACAATTGGGCTCAACTCCTCAAATAGAGGCCATTTCCCAGGCTCCATATGCAAAAACACTTGCGTCGCGGAAAGAGGTTCGCGAGAGGTATGCAAAGACACCCAGCAAGCTCTATCGAAATGTCGAGTCTCTGACGATTGATACTGCACCGGTAAGTTATCTCCTTTGACCTCCGATAGGGAGACTGATGCATCACAGAGCCCAGTGGTAATGAAAGCCTCGCGGGTGCCCTCGTCACGGATGGGACGGCTATTCCACTACGGAAGTATGTCAATCATCTTTTCTATGTCATGGCGGTTCTAATGGGTTCTTAGGCTTGGCTGCCGGGATGGGAATCGGTGCCGCCAGCGAGTTCATGCGACGCGCTGTGAGCCCATCAGACGCCTCTGGGTCTGTGCTTATGAGCGAAGCCAATGTCACACGACTCGTGGAAAAGCTCTCGAGAATGAGAGGGGCGGCACTCAAGTTGGGCCAGTTTATGAGTATCCAAGGTGGTTGCTTCTTCACGAGCTCGATGGGTAACTCATAATACACAGATTCCCATATGTTACCACCTCAAGTGGAACAAATCTTCCGGCGCGTGCAGAATAATGCACACTATATGCCGAATTGGCAAATGGAGGTACGGAGTACTGAGAAATGTATTTGTCACCAACAACTCTTTAGAAAGTCATGGCTACAGAACTGGGAGCTGATTGGCGCTCTCACTTTTCCGAGTTCAATCCTGTCCCTATCGCTGCGGCCTCTATCGGTCAGGTGCATGCGGCAACACTCGCGTCGAATGGAATGCCCCTCGCTATCAAAATACAATTTCCCGCGGTAGCAGAGTCGATCACATCGGACCTGAACAATCTTTCCATGCTCCTTACCGCTTCTTCTCTCCTCCCCAAAGGTTTATTCTTGGAGAATACGCTCAAGGCGACCAAAGCGGAACTTGAGGACGAGTGTGATTATCGTCGAGAGGCAGAGTGCGCGCGGCGATTCAGACAGGAGCTGCAGGGTGACGAGAGATTCGAGGTTATGCAAATTTTGGACGATTTATCGACAGGAAAAGTGCTGGTGATGGAACGTATGACTGGAGTGCCGATTGTGCGAGCAGAGAACTGGCCCCAAGAATTGAGGAACGAGGTAGGTTGACTGAATTTAAGTGGAAACACAATTAATCCTGGCAGATTGCATCTGGTATCCTCAGCTTATGCTTGAGAGAGCTGTTCCACTTCCGGTTCATGCAAACGGATCCCAACTGGACAAACTTCCTCTACAACACCAACAATGGAAAGGTACGAGTCATGTAATTGCTCGGGATGCATCTTATGCGCGTTTAGATCCAACTCATCGACTTTGGAGCCTCCCGCGAATACTCGAAAGAGTTTATGGATGATTGGTTAAGGCTGCTACAAGCCGGTGTTGATGGTAACAAAGAACTCTGTGCTCGATACTCCCTGCGTCTTGGATATCTCACAGGCCAGGAGAGCCAGGTACGTCCTGTGGACCATGAAGTTATGCATTTATTCAATGATTTATCCAGGAAATGGTCGATGCACACGTTAAATCCATCATGCTTCTCGCTGCTCCCTTCCGGAGATCAACACCCCAACCATACGACTTTGCAGACCAGACTATTAGCGAAGAAATTCGAGCGCTTATACCGTTTATGCTCCAAAATCGTCTCACACCACCGCCACGAGAGACCTATAGTCTTAATAGGAAGCTCTCCGGTGCATTCCTACTTTGTGGAAGACTCAAGGCTGAGGTCGATTGCGCAGACGTTTGGGAAGATGCGACGGCTGGGTATCAGTTTACAACTGCAGACTGACCACTACGTGTTCTGTATCCTGTAATTCCGCTTAATTCTCTCATCACTTACATTAATGCGTCGAGTTCTGCGAGCCCAGGTCAACTCCGGCGCAACGCCTGCGGGCAAGTTCAGGTTATTATTATGTGATGTTTCTTTCAGAAATGCAAACTCCAAACGAAGTGCATAATGTCTTGGGTTCAAGAAGTATCAACCGACCAGATTGGGGTATGTGGTTCGCATTCACTCAAGCTGCACCCTTCCCTCTCACTGGCTGAGCCAGAAAACGCGTTAAAGCATTGGAAATCTCACAGATTCAAGTCTCATTGAACTCTTCTTGTCATACTCTTGCCGGTCTTCCGGTCTTGTCGCGCAAAACCCATGTTTGCACGTGGGCTCGGAGAACTAAGGGGCTGTTCGCGCTCTCGAATATTTCCAAAAAACTCACTTCGAATACTATCGACTCCTTTTACGATACGAAGATGCCAGGCCACTGCCGTTGAGCGCGTCTTTCAACCATCGAAAGAGCAACTCGCCGTGGTACAGGCAGTAGAGACCAATAATGTTCTGGTTATGGCAAGGCCTGGCGCTGGAAAGACGGCTACTGGAGAAGCTGTCATCGCAGCATTTCCAGATGTTCCTATTGCGGTTGTGACCTACTCTAAACGACTCCAACTGGACAATGCGGAACGACTTGCTATATATCCGAACGCAGACGTCTTCACCTTTCACGGGTGTGTGGAACTTTTGATATATGTAGAGCTTGCTAACTTTTGGCAGTCTTGCCGGTCGCCTTTTTGGGCAGCTGGTCCCAGACCACATTGCGCTTCTAAATCTTCGGATGAGCGGTGCTTTGCCTGTATGGGCGCCAAACTACGAAATTCTTATTTTGGACGAGCTCCAAGACTTGACGCCAGACCTATACTGGTTTACTTGTGTTCTCATAGCTACCATTACCCGTCGACTCAGGAGGGCACCTCGTATTATCAATCTGGGTGACCCGCGGCAGGCCATCTACCAATTCCGAGGTGCCGATGCACGATATCTACAGCTATCGGAAACCACCTTCTCCACCCTGTCGCCATATGGGTGGCAGGATACTCGACTTGCCAAGAGCTTTCGTCTATCTTATGAGACAGCAGGCTTTGTCAACGCATTCATCGGAGAGAAGTACATTGAGGGGTCGCATAGTGGACCAAAACCACTCTACGTTCTCGCCGACATCTTCAAAGCCCACCAACTCCTCAAAGTCATCTTGCCGCTGATCAAGCAGTACGGGCCTGCACGGTCGGCCATTATCGCCCCTTCTGTTCGCCACAGCCCTTTCCTACCCTTATTGACCAATGCCTTGACCAAAGGCCATGGGATCCCAGTTGCTATTCCTACCTCGGACGATGCACCATTGGACCCCGACGTTTTGTATGGAAAGGTGGTGGTCGCGACCTACCATCAGTTCAAAGGGAGTGAGCGGGACTTGGTCATCGTATACAGGGTCGATGATGGGTACTTTCAGGTTTTAGGACGCGATCTTCCCGATGATCGTTGTCCTAATGCTATGTTTGTTGCCCTGACGCGCGCCAGCAAGCAACTGGTGGTCATCCAATCACAAGAAAACCCAGCCGTGCCGTTTATGTCTTGGGAAGCAATGAATAGGACGGCTAAATTTATCAATCTGACATCAGAGGATCCGAAACCTCAACGTCCACCTGGAAGATCGTTACAACTAGGTCTCCTACTCCCCCGAGAGATCTTTGTTACCGATGTAGTACGCCATGTAGACCATGAGGTGGTCGAGGACCTGGTAAAGCGGTGTCTACGCATCGAAAAAGTTTCAACGCCTTTACCAGAATCGCGTTGTATCAACGTGGTAGACAAGGTGCTAACCGACGTTGCAAAGAATCATTACGAGACCGTCAGCGATTTAAGCGGTCTCGCCGTTACCGCTGCTTTTGAATGGGATTTAATAGGCCAGTGCTCTACGTATCGAAAGAGTCCGGATCGATTGTCGCAGATTCCGAAGGATGCCACAAAACGCGCACGATGGTTTGCAAAGGAGGCAGCCATCTACCACGCACAAGCATCCGGATATCAATCTCGGCATTTACAAATGAAGAGACACGCATTTGACTGGCTTGACGGACATTTGGATGCAACGACACAGCGCCTAGCCGAACAGATCAAGGATTTATCCCGCGTCAGATTCGAGGTGCTGCTGAAAGACAAGTTCACAGTGGAGGAGAAGGAAAACAAACTTCAGCCGCTTCAGACCATACATATCAGTGGTCGCGCAGATATCCTTCTTACCGCGCCGACTCGACTTCAGCCATCGGCCATCTGGGAGATCAAGTTTGTCAGCGCACTCCTTTTAGAGCACGCCATCCAACTCGCCATCTACGGTTATCTCTATTATGCAAAGGCCCCGACGAAAAAGCGCAAGAAACCGCCGTTTCCTGAGCTTTGGCTGTTCAATGTTCGGAATGGTGAAAAGTGGAGAGTCGTGACGGATATGGGAGCAGTAGGAAAACTCATCGAGGGCTTGTTACGGGCGAAATACACGTCCAAAGGCGAGATACCGACACATTCCTTTCTGAAACAGTGCGAGAAGATCCAAAAGGAGGTAGAAGACCTAGAAATATGAAATGAATGCTTAGCTAGCGTCTGTAGTCGTGATTTCGATGTAATCTATCTCATTTTTCGCATCTATCTGTCCTAACTCAGTATCCCTGCCTTTGATGGGTGCTTCATATGCAGATAAACTCGTCGCAGCAGTTTATGGGTCACTTTATTCTCCTGCACTGTCACTCGGTCGTCAAAATCCGTGTCTTCCCCATGTTGATAGCTTGCGCGGTTACGACAACTCCACTGGAGGGGCGTGATGATGCGCTCAAACAGCTCAAGTGTCTGCCAAGGGTCAGCATAATGTTCCTTGCAGGGGCAAGGCGGGATCTGTCATCTAGCGCCAATTGCAAGCCAGGGTATGGGAGAAAGAAGCGATCCCATGTGTTAGCAGGCCAGCCGTGGTTCGATGCTAATATTTGATTGGCTGTACTTTTATAGGTTGAGTGTTTCGAGGTTCATTTACACGAAGGTGGTCTGGCCTTGAACTTTGTCAGAAGCAAATGAACGGATCAAAGAAGATGTATTGGGACTCATATCTTGTCTCCCACTGAACCACCGATCGGAGGAGCCGAGATGACGCGTTGCTAATGAGCCGAATGACCAGAGGGCAAGGCTTGCCGTTTCATCACGAGTTCCAGGAACGCAAAGTTCGACAGTCGCAGGGTTCATCGCTTTTGCATATTTGAGAAGGGCCTGCGCGCGCTCGTCTGAGGCTGCGCAACCCTTCGACCCTTCGGCTCGTCCAATTCAATCGCTTCATTGTGTTGCTCCTTTCCTTGATTCCCTGGCGGAAACCCCTTGAATATTACGACCTAAAGTCCGAAATGATTCATAAATGGTCAGACCCGTCTCGACGCCTTTAAAAGAGGGCCTCCGTTGGGACCAAAAAACCTCAGACTGGTTCTCTTTTCTTTTCTTTTCTTCTTCTTTCAGCACTTTTTCTTCGCAAAGTTCATTTTTTCCCTTTTCAAATCTTTCTACCTTTTTCACATCATGCGCTACTCCTTTATCGCCGCTGTTCTCTCCACCGCTGCTCTCCTCGTCTCCGCCGCTCCTATCGAGCTGTAAGCACATAATCTCCTCTGACATTAGCTTATGATATGTTATAGCGACGGGACCCACATGAACAATCTCAAGGCACGACACAATCCCCCACCGTCTCACACGCGGGCATTCCTCCATGCCGAGGCCAAGCACGACGAACATGCCGGTAAAGCCGAGTGGCATAGTAACAAGGCGGACCAGCACATCAGTGCCCAGAGGTCTGCTATGGACAGAGCTGAGACCCGCCCCAATTCTGTTAAACACTACAACCAGTTGATGCAAGAGGCCGTGCATCACGGTAGACAGGCCGACCACCATATTGACCGAGCAGAGTGAGTCCTTTATCAGTTGTTTCCACCCGAATTCTGACCATCCAAAGTCATCATTCGAGGAAGGCCGCTGAATATAAGGAAGATATGCGCTATGTATGTGTCTTCCATCTATTCTTGCACATGAACGCTAATGTGATTCTGTAGCATGGTAGCAGGATTGGAATCCACGTCCCAAGGAGCATTGATGAGCTAGATTAGAAACCTGAATGGCTGTCATTATATGTTCGTTGTTGATAAGGGAAATAATTTACTGCTTTCATAAATCCCGAGTTGCCTGAGCATCCTTGGAATTGGCTTGGATCTGAGGGAAAAGGCGTGGCTGGGACTGGCTCGCCTTATGCCAACGACCCAGATCTTGCACAGGTTTCGGATATATCGTACTCTATTTCATATTGGATATGATTCCTACCTCGGTGATTGCATGAGGAACCACAAGGATGTGGGAAACGCGGCCCTAAGTGTAGATTCGTGGAAGAGTATAAAGGTGATATCGACTGTCTACGAGATATCATTGTGTGGATGATTCATGTGCGATAGTAGATTGTGGTATTAACGCAGGTCGGTCAAGATACAAACTACAAAGACATCTGACCGTATTGTCCACCATAAAATAAGGTCTTTAGTACGTACGTTGCATCTATATTGAGTCCAGACTCTCTGTTCGCTATGAATTCTGCTCAGCATTTGGCTGTACTTTCATAGTTCTGAGTGTTTCGAAGTTCATGAGCGGATCAATCAAGGTTAGCTCATGTATTGGGCATCACATCTTCCCTCCCACTGTCGAGTTCGAGTTCCAGGAGCGCAAAGTGTATAAGCAATGCGCAAAAGTCGCGGGTTCATCGCTTATGTACATTTGAGGACCTCCTGGCGCCGTGGGGGGCTGTCCAAGCCTTGGATTACCCAATTCAATCAACTTCGCTTCTTGGTTCCCTTCGTTCCCTGGCGGCACTTCCCTCAATATTGCCGCCTAAAGTCCGAAATGATTCATAAATGGACAAAGTAGTCTGAGGCCTTTAAAAGCAGGCCTCCGTCTGGACCAAAATCTTCAGAACTGGTTCTCTTTTCTTCTTCTTTCAGCACTTTTTTCTTCTCAAAGTTCTTTTTTTTCCTTTTCAAATCTTTCTACCTTTTCACATCATGCGCTACTCCTTCGTCGCCGCTATTCTCTCCACCGCTGCTCTCCTCGTCTCCGCTGCTCCTATCGAGCTGTAAGCACATAATCTCCTGCTATGACGTCAGCTTATAATATGTTATAGCGACGGGACCCACATGAACAATCTCAAGGCACGACACAATCCCCCACCGTCTCACACGCGGGCATTCCTCCATGCCGAGGCCAAGCACGACGAACATGCCGGTAAAGCCGAGTGGCATAGTAACAAGGCGGACCAGCACATCAGTGCCCAGAGGTCTGCTATGGACAGAGCTGAGACCCGCCCCAATTCTGTTAAACACTACAACCAGTTGATGCAAGAGGCCGTGCATCACGGTAGACAGGCCGACCACCATATTGACCGAGCAGAGTGAGTCCTTTATCAGTTGTTTCCACCCGAATTCTGACCATCCAAAGTCATCATTCGAGGAAGGCCGCTGAATATAAGGAAGATATGCGCTATGTATGTGTCCTCCATCTATTCTTGCGCATGAACGCTAATGTGATTCTGTAGCATGGTAGCAAGATTGGAATCCACGTCCCAAGGAGCATTGATGAGCTAGATTAGAAACCTGAATGGCTGTCATTATATGTTCATTGTCGATAAGGGAAATAATTTACTGCTTTCATGAAACCCGAGTAACTTAAGCAGTTTTGGAATCGACTTGGAAGGGGATGGGCTACCTGGGACTGGCTCTCGCCTTGTGTCAATGGACTAGACCTTATTCGGTTTTGGATATATCTTACCCTATTTCATATCTAGCTGGTTGCACGAGGAGCCACAATGATGCGGGAAACTACGCGGCCCCGAGTGTAGCTTCATGGAAGGTATAAGGGTGACATCGACCGTCTACGAAATCTCATCGTATGGAGGATTTGTGTCCGATAGTAGATCGTGGAATTAACGCAGGTTGGTCAGGATGCAAACTACAAAGACATCTGACCACATTATATGGCCTTCAGTACGTACGTCGTATCTACTGTCTGTTCTCTATGATCGCTGCTCAGTAAAGCGTCGCTTTTGAGTTTCGTAGAGCTCATCGCAGTAGGAGACGAGATTCTTCGCTTTGTCCGCATACTGGGAATAGTTGTCCATCTCATTCCCGCCGACGTACGCCTTGCCCCACAAAGTAGCTCTGGAGCCGTATACGACGAGCTTTTTCCGAACGTTAAGAAGTGGCAATGCAACAAGGCTGACATGCGTGGCGGCAATCGCTCCGTTTATCCAACTAATAGGGTGGTGGACAGAGCCAAGGAGTCGAGCCTACAAATGATAAGTGTGAATGCAAGGCGAGATTGGGGCACATACAATGTAGAATGCAAGAAGCATAGCAAAGGAGGTAAATATATTGAGTTGGTCGAGAAAAATGCCAGTGCTGGTGACCCCAGGATGCGTAACAAAATGCCGTGTTCTTGGCGATTCAAGGTCCAGGTAATGTGCGACGAGTTGTGTCTGGAACTTGCACATACTGTATGGTTTTATGCATGTGATGAGTTGTGGGTCGTCCCAATTTGCGTATTTGAGGGCATAGGTCGTCTCCAGACTCGAGGTCCATACAACTCGTGTAGGCCATGGAGATTTGTCCATGAGAGGCTTGAGTGCTCTCGTCTGCAACCATAGTAAGCAGTTGCTGGATGGTAAAAGTAGGGACGTACGATAAAAAAGTGGCCAAGGACATTGCTCTGAAAGGTGAGCCCGTATTGATCTTTGCTGAGTACGCCAGTGAGTTGCCTCTGGTATTGCGGATATGTAACAGCATTTTTGATACTTTTCAGAACTGCCCAGATGGCAAGTGGCCAGTCAATGCCGTTCCATGGTGCGTATCCGGCATTATAAATAGCATGCGATATATAAGGGTATCTGAATTGGTCAGAAAAACAATATTCCTCGCTTGATATTGATGAGCATACCGCTGCGAGACCTCACGGCAAAACTTCAACGTGCTCTGTGAGCTTGCAAGGTCCAAGAGGAGAATGTCGATAGTTAGATTCTTCCGGAACTCGTCCATCTCTTTGGAGAAGGGGCTGTTCTGCCTCTTGCGTTCCGCAATATGTTCGTCGAGAAATTGAAGCAAATTGTTACGAGCCTCGCCTGCTCTTTGTGCACTCCGGCAAGCCATTATAAGAGTAAGTTTAGTCCATGGGATGTAATCACATGGCTGGTATGCTCCTGGCGTCGCTTCTGGTTGCGGAAGTGCATCTTCGGGGACGTCCCCGCAAAGATTGAGCAATAGTCGCTGGCAAATGCCATAGCCAACTCCGCTAGGAGCATAATCAGAAATATTACAGCACACTTGAAAGGAAAGGGTACCCATTTGCGCCCGTTACTATAATAATAGGATGTCGGCTGGACATGGTTGGGTCGTACGATGAGCATCCCTCGGAGCCGAATACATTGCCGGTTTGTCGTGAACTTGACCAAACTAATGTTAAAATTTGAACATTCAAGGAGACCAGTAGTCTAATTCATAAGTAGCCATTGAAAAGCTTCGACCTCCACCACTATGCCTCGCGAACACCGCAAACGCGGAAAGCGAAAAAGGAATGACATCGTCCACGAAAACAACCAGGAAGAAGCTCTAGATGAGCAGGAAAAGACAAAGGATGACTTACCTTCATGGATTGAAGCGGCCACCCCCGAAGATTCGCCCAATATCGACGCGCCATTTGGATTTTGCGATCCAGATGTCAAGGCATACTTTAGGACTGTGGATAAGCAATTGAAGGAATGGCAAGAACTAGGCATGGAAAATAAAAACGAGGAAATTGACGATCCAAACCTTGGTCAGGACGTTTTCTTTCCTATGATCTACCTTGATTCCAATTCAATTGCAGAAAGGAGAATGTTTTTCGCTGCTGCTCTCACCGAAATGCAAGGAAAAGAACTTCAGCTCGCTACAGACCCAGATACAGCAGTCATCCTTGAGCGTATGATTCATTCCATGGACGACCTAGCACGCCGTATTTTCACTAGTACTTTGACTGGATCGTAGGCTCTCGTCCCTCCGCATGAAATATGCATTGACGGTTTGAACAGAATTATTGGAGTGGCCAAGCATCGGTTTGGATCCCATGTTCTCGAGACCCTTTTCGAGGCTGCATCTTTGACAATTGACCGTGAATGCCGGAACATCTTCCCAGCTGCACAGTCCCTTCCCCAATTCGCCGATCAGGCGACTATGGGAGACTTAATATCGCAAATATGCCGGGTAGATCGCTTACAAGACATTTTTAACTTATGCTTACATGCCACAGGAAGTCACCGACTCGGCCCCGTCACTTCTCAATGAGCCGTTTGGCTCCCATGTCCTCCAACGTCTCGTCATTCTGCTTGTACCGTCTCTCTCTCATCTACAATCCAAGCAGGATCTACGCTCCAAGCGGTCTGCTGGCTATAGAGCAAAGGTCGGACCAATGAAATCCATCTTTGACGAGGAACCCGCAGAGGATAAACGACATGTACCCCTGGAATATGAGAGCATGGCTTTGGGCATCCTCAAGAGAATTAGGGACAAAATGAGTGCGAATGAAGTACGTGCGCTCGCGGCCGACAAAGTTGGCTGCCCATCATTACGGGTAAGCAATCACAGCGCCTTACTCGTATCCCTCTCACATCCTTTAGATCCTCATCTCGCTCGAATCAGCTTCAAATCTGTCAAACCAGTCCAATTCGCTCATGGACAGCGTGCTTATGGGCATGATTGATTCATACGGTTCGTCTTATCATGTTTTTAATGCGCACTTTTTTATCTATTCTTTATCCAGAGACATCCAATGACGCTACAATTGCTGAATCAGACTATATTGGTACCCTCCTCCGGGACGCAACGGCATCACACCTGTTCCAAACAGTCATCCAGCTCGCTCCTGAACCCATATTCGGACTATTATGGTCTATCTACTTTGTGGGCAAGTTGAATCGACTCGCTGTTCATCCAGTAGCGAATTTTGTGGTGGCCACGGCGTTTGGGAGGCTCGACGACGAGCAACTCCGAAATGCCATTGTAGAGATGAAAGGTGTAGTAGCAAAATGCTTTAGTGAGTATATGCTTTATGGCTATATTCTTGCGTGCTAACGATTTGTAGAGCAACAGCGACTCGGTCCGGTCACCGCGTTGATTCAACAGTCTGCAGCGCTGAACATTGGACCCGAGGAGATTGTCGACGTAAGCTTAATAGTCTTCCGTCGTACGATGCTAAGTCTCTCAAGGTCATTTGCAACGCACTCGAAGTTGAGGCGGACGGCAAAGGTCTCATACTGCAGATCCTTGGAGCAAATTTCGAGACCGTAGGCAATTTCTAATTGTGAACTATTGGATCTAAGACTCATCAGAATCCACAAAACGAAAGTCGGGCCGATACCGTTTCTGTGCAAGGCGTTTTGCTCCTTCAAGCAATCCTGCGCCTCCCAAGTCCGCACAACGAGATCATCGTTAAAAGGCATGTTTCATCACGCTAAATGCAGATTGCAGATACTAATGCCGTCGGACATTGCCAGTTTCGAGGACCTCCCGGCAGACACCAAGCTCGCTCTCTCACACAATGCCACGAGCTCGCGCGTCGTAGACGCGATGATCGAATCACCTACACTCTCTCGTAAATCGAAGCGCGCTGTCGTGTTGGCGTACATCGGAAACTATGAGAGGCTCGTCGATGATCGAATCGGAAGTCGCGTCGGGGACCGATTCTGGGCGTATGCGGATCCGTATCTCAAGGTACATTGTTCTTTCTCTTCTTCTTCACTGCTTGTTCTGCTTTGCTGAGTGAATACTAATTAATTTGCAGGAAAAGATTGCACGGAGTTTGATCCCACATCAACAGACGCTCAGCGCATCGTACTACGGAAAGTTTTTCGCGCGCAAGCTCCAACTTACACTTCTCCAACGTAAACCGGAAGAATGGAAGGCAATGCAGTCGAGAGAAACCGTGGGGGCGCAGGTCGTCGATTCCAATTCGCAAGTACAAAAGCAGCACAACGTCCCAGTCGAAACCAAACCGAACAAAGACAGTACGGGAACAAGCAAAGGGGTGCATACGGCGGGAGTAGAAGGACAAGAGATGGAAGGTGACGAGGGAGGGAAAGAGAAGAAGAGACAACGCAAGAGGAAACGAGAGGAGGAGGGCGACGAGATTGATGCCCTATTTGCTGGCGTAAAGGAGAACCGTTTCGGCAAAGTCTCTGCCCAATCATCTGCGACTCCTATTGGGGCCAGCAAGACGACAGTGGCGGAAGAAAAACCAAAGCCCAAGGATCTTGAGAGCGTCTTGAACGCCATCAAGGCTGCACCAAAGAACGAGACGACTAAACGGCGAAAAGGGTGATGGTTATTGCCTATTGCGCTATGGCGACCATGTATTCGTATTGTAGGTGACGAGGAGAAACCAAGACGTCCGATCTTGAATGTCCGTTTGAGGCCAGAGTTGAGATTGAAAGCTATGCGGGAAGTGGGAGATACAGAATGATGTACATCGGTCGAATGGCAGAGTTGTTGTATACGACAGTCTCATCGTAGTTGAGCCCACGAGGTGCACCGCCGCGATGAAGGCGCTTGCTTGGGACGGCAAGTACCTATTGGGGATAATCAGATGGAGGGAAACTCCCATTAGGAGCTCACATACCGAGTCGTAGCCTGATGGCGGTTCGGTCATGTTTGGCATGTCGCCTGCAATCTCGGCGCCTTTGCCAATCACGACGTCGTTGAGAATGAGCGCCTTGAGTGGGTTGGTCGGTGGAGTGCGTGCGTAGTCGGCAGCTTTTGAGGATGTGCATGTCGTGTAGATACCTCTTCCGTATCTGTGTTGATGCGTCAGAAGCGAAAACAGCTGGATGAGGGCTAAACGTTACCTTCCCCATTTCTGCCCGGACCATGAGATGTCGTAAGAGTTGCGAATGATACCGCAGAGGGAACAAGACCGTTCGGAGCAGATGGAGCCTGTGGACGTGTAGGTAGTTATGGAACACCCGCAAAATGTGCCATGCCAGCGCCATTGCTCGTTGCCGGGTTTGCTTCCTTTGGGTATATACTTGCGCTTTAACTCGATACGGTTCCTATATCAATAAGATCAGCGAACGGTGTCGAGAGACGTGGAGGAGAACGTGCCTGTAGGCGCGATAGGCATTGTGTCTGTTCTCTGGAGCTACGACTGCGTAAATCTTTTCGATTACTGGTATTGGAGTATCGTGACTCCAGCCTTTGGAAAAGAGTTGTGTGACTGGACGACGAAGGTGGTAAGCCTCTGTGTCTTCCCTAGGTATTGTTTGAGACGTACTAGTAGTGTACATTGGATGTGTAGAATCGAGTGCTGCCAAGTGTGGACCAAAATTCTGGGCGCGGTTCATACAGGTCGCACCGCAAAAGACGCTATCCGCCCTGGCGGTGGAAACCTTGCAGACGACGCAGAGCTGAGCAACTGAGGGGGTAGCGTTCCATATCGTCGACGGTCGGGGCTTTGCGATGGTGTTTCTGCTCGATGAACTCCGAAAAGAAAAGATGCTCGACGACGAAGAGTTGGCGTGCCTTGCAGATGGTCGTGGCTTGAGGAGCGGCATCGGTAAGCCCAGCTCTAGCGTTTTTTTAACCAAGTGGAGAGAGAAAGACAGACGGAGGTGCTAGACAAGTTGGGTGGATGCTGGCGGCTAAGGGCCCTGATGGGGAGACTATAAAGCTGGATGAGAATGACAGCTCGACCATCCATCCGATACGCACCCGCATACGAGAGCCTGTCGTTACAGAATCTGCCATCACTGTGCTATTGTCAGAATCCAAAGTGAACAAAATGCAGTGTTCACAGCGACGCTCGTCTGTTTTCAGAAGTGTGCCAGGTGTCTCTCTATTCTGTTGAAAATCCTATTTACTAAAGCTTTTTGGGTTTGATGAAATCGCCAGACGACGTCGGAAGCAAGTGCACATGTCTCTCAGACCCACCGTCATTTCTGCCTTGGCGCGGCAGAGACCATGTCGCCTAGCTATTCAACGTATTCAAACGTTCAATATGATACAAGATAGATATTACGCCTCGCGAGCCTCTAGACGCTCTACACCCGGAGATGTACTCCTCGAGTCTCGAACTCCGCCGCCAGACGCGCCTAAAACAAGCACAAGTTGGGAGAGAAAACCTGCTGTAGAGCCTAGAAAGGGGTATTGGAAGACGGCTATCCTTCTCGTGTGGGCTACTGGGCCAGCGGTGAGCTTTATAAAATTTAGTTGCACAAAGAGTGACAAACCGCAGTATGCGTTATACATGTGGATAACTTCTGACGATGTAGATTCGCGTGCATTATTATCCAAGCCAGCGGTTTGAACGACCTTCTTACAACCTCCCTTCTCAGCGCACAACGCTTCATTGAATCTACCTATACCTAGCGTCTAATAGAGAAAATGCGATCTTATGGCAGGATTTCACTCAGAGCTGTAGTTTCAAGCCCCCCAGAAACATACAAGACGGATGACGATAGGTTATCAAGGAGTGAATGCACAAAACCCGATCATTCTAAAAGTGTATATAGAGGGCGGTCATGCGGGGTGAATCCTGAGGACGTGCCGCATGTCGATCGAGCTAACCGGCCAATGAGGTGCCTCGGGATTGAACTGGTAACTGCCTCTCGGGTTAGGCGCCTCGGGCAAAGAGACTGGCACGACTCTGTTCATAAGCACGCTGGTGGGGGTGGAGTGTCGCCTCCAAGTGGTGAGGACAACTTGCTCTTATCTTCCACCTCCATTCACCCCTTTCCGGCCAAAGGTCTATTACCAAAACTTTCGAAATTTCTTCTATCGATATAAAGGCCTTGCAAGCGAACATAGGTCCTTTCCTTTCCTCAACGCCACGACGCCTGCATTTCCGAGCTTTTGAAAGGCACCCTCGACCCCTGGCGAGTCGTGTATGTCCAAGAAGGATGTGTATAGTCATAAGCTCATCCTATCGCAGAGTGATCTTGGCTAATTTCTGGAACGTATATCGCCTCCCTTGAAACCCAGAGCAACACATCGGCCGTCGGCATGCTCACAAAGCAGCAATCCTCCTCATCCCTACAAGATAACATAGATGAGACCACAGAACGTGCAGGTATGAGTATACTCATGGTAATTCCTGTCGAGTTCTAATGACTCCCCAGAGGACACCTCTGAAGATTTGAGAGTACTCATGGATTCATGCAAGCCTATCGATCTGACTGACAAGATAACAATCAACAACTCGGCGGACGGTGTTCCGGGAGGTTTTGCGACTGTGTACAAAGGGCTGTTGAATAATAAAGAGGTAAATATTATACAAGGTGATACTTCCTTTCTAATATCTCGTAGGTTGCAGTCAAAGTGTCCAGGTTCAAAAGAAAACGGCCTAAACCCGCACCATGGGAGCATTCGCTCGAAAGGGTACGTAGTAATCTCGTCCTATTCCCCAGTACATGATTGATGGACCGGATATAGCGAATCAAAAGAGAGATTAAAGTATGGGCAGCTGTATCGCATCCGAATATCCTACCTTTCCTGGGATATGCACGCGAGTTTGGAGACTTTCTCACAATGGTGTCTCCGGTGCTTTACTTCTATGCTACCGGAAGTTCTGTCTAACAGGCATTTCAGTGGTGCTCGCTAGGGGATGCGAGTAGTTACCTTGACACCCATAGAGATATACGCTTCGATGAGCGGATACAACTGGTAGGAACTGTGTTTTTTCTTGAATAATCACTCTCAGACATTCCCCAGTTACTCGACGTCTGCGAAGGGCTCGCGTACCTCCACAAACTCGGAGTGATTCATGGGGATCTAAAACTGGTGACTCATCCAAGCTTATGATGGCTCAAATACTAAACATATACTTCTTCCCAGGAAAATGTTCTCATCAGTGACCAAAACCGGGCCCTATTGGCAGATTTTGGTCTTGTCCGACTGGCGAATTGGGAAGGAGAAGCCGGTATGACGACCACCTCTCCATACAGAGCCACACCTCGTTATACTGCACCTGAGCTCCTCATCCTGGACCAAGATCCTAATCTGCGTGCGACTATGAGTGGAGATGTGTGGGCTGTGGGATGTCTAGCTCTCGAGGTAGGAGTTGATTCTAATAAGACATTCTAAGACTCAATCCTTTCTAGTTTCTAGTTGACTATCAGCCATACCAGCCAATTCACAAAACAAACAAGCTTCAGGAGGCCATGAACCGTGGACAGCTTCCGGCTGAACTCTCAGATCTTCAGAAATTGGACAGCTCGCTGGCATCGATGTTATGGAGCTCTCTATTCGTACACACCTGGCAGTTGGACCCTGCGAAACGGCCGAGTGTAGCTAGTATTCAGGCGACCGTCATAGTTCTAAGAGGTGTGTCTGCCTGCTTGAACGCATTCTGCTTCTAACTCTTATATCATAGATACGGCCAGACTTCAAGGTTGGTCAAAGTTGTCCTACAACGCTATGGAAGGTCCTGTTGCAGTTAGTTTCAAATTACTGGGCTCTATCTGCAGATTGGGTCATTCTGACATGAAATACCATTTGTAGGAAGTAAGAAATTACGAAATGCTGTCATTGACGGCACAGGGCGATCACGCTGGTAAGTTGAAGGCATGCGTACGCGGTGAATTCGACTTATGACTATTAGCCACAGTGCAGCCTCAACGTCATGGCCTTCAGATCCCTTCATCGTTATCATCATCACCATCATCTATTACCGGAAATGCAACATCTTTGTCTGGAGCGACTGTAGAAGAGTCGGGCTCATACAACACTTTGCCAGTGGTTAGCAATACACTGATCAGCTTCGACGGACCATCAGCCTCATCAACTTTCTCACAGTCATCATCAACACTAGTCACCAATGGAAATTCGACTCGGCCACCAGACTTGGCCTCTGAAACCCGCCGAGAGACACACGAGTGCGATAGGAAAGCGGCTTCCATCCAGTCGGAGACAGTCAAAGCCAAGCGAGCATACGAACCGAATAAACTCGAGCTTGAATCACGATCGACGAGCCGTGCACCAGCTTCGAGTCCCGGTGCCCACAAAGTTGGCCCGGTATCCGGACAACAAGAGGGCAGTAAAATGCTGGATTCTCTCATGGTCCCCGTGGTGCGGCTGTTTTCAAGTTTAAAGTCTAGTATGCAGCGCTTCATATCATAGAAGCTAAACTGCGGAGTATATTCATCATGTCGACATTTAACTGTCGTCTGGTTTATTATAATGCCATTTAAATATCTTCAATTCCACTCTTTCCTTGGACCCAGAACATCAACCTGAGCCTGGATTCGATATAATTTATTAACGACCGAAGCATTCGTGGCGACGAGATCATCTGAAAGCTTGCGGCAAAACTCTCAGTGATCAAAGTAGATAGCGTGCTCTGTTAACAATATACACGACGATCTCGACTAGAGAAACTCCGAGTCGAATAATGTAGAGAGCGAAATACAGTCGTATTTAGTCTCCAAAATCTGTATCTGGGGGTTTCCAGGGCCTCCAATGGAAGATATTGCGGAATGCGTTCTGTCCCCTCAATCGCTCCGCTGGAACTAGGGACCTCATACATTGATACCTGTACGATGAGTCTCGTGATATGGGTACGAATTGATCTTAGGGGCGGTTGTGGTCCGGAGAGCGCGGGCGGGCTGTCCCGTAGATCGAGCGTGCGTCTTACCGTCCACGCGTCGGACCCATCAAGGAGATGAAGCCATGCCTGACTGGCACTTTTCCCTCTTTTGACCATCTGCCGACTATCTTCGTTTAGCAGAGCATGCGTTGCCACCCTCTAAAGAGGCAAGAGTGATCACCGTCTTCGTAGAGGTCAAACGTGTGCTCTGCGTGCTCGTGCTTTCCCAGACCATCGGCTCTCTGATTCTGCCCAAAACTATCTTTCCATTGTACTGAAGTTGGAACCCTTGGGCGATTTGTGGACATAGGATATATGCGTGAGCATGTGGCTCGTGACCAGTCTCCCGCAAACGTCTGTCAGACATTTGGGTTCTGCGAGGGTTTATGAGGATAAATAGCATTGCTCGTGTCGGAAGGTTTGGACGTCCGTTGACCGCGGGTGAGATGGGGAAACTATGCAGGGAGTGGAAGATAGAGGATGATGAACATTGGTCGATCGCAGAGTTGTTGTACACGACAGTCTCGTCGTAGTTGAGTCCACGAGGGGCGCCACCACGATGGAGACGCTTGGATGGGATAGCAAGCACCTACGCGTGATTAGATTGTGCAGCTCCTAGTAGAAAATCCAACGTACAGAGTCGTATCCTGATGGTGGCTCGGTCATGTTTGGCATATCGCCTGCAATTTCGGCCCCTTTGCCAACCACGACGTCGTTGAGGATGACTGCTTTTAGTGGGTTCGAGGGCGTAGTGCGCGAGTAGTCGGCGGCCTTTGAGGATGTACAAGTCGTGTAAATACCTCTCCCATATCTGTGGTGATACGTGAGTTATGAAACCGCTTGGATGAGGTTTAAATGTTACCTTCCCCACTTCCGCCCGGACCAGGCTATATCATACGAGTTACGAATGATGCCACAGAGAGAGCAGGTTGGCGCGAGGCAGATTGCACCTCTGGATTCGTACGTAGTGATGGAGCACCCACAATATGTTCCATGCCAGCGCCATTGCTCGTTTCCAGGTTTAACACTTTTGGACTTTAATTTGCGCTTCGACTCGATATAATTCCTGCAATGGTTGCATCAGCGGGCATGTCACCCGAGCTTCGAGGGGTGCGTACCTGTAGGTGCGGTAAAAGTTGTGTCTGTTCTCTGGAGCCACGACCGCATAAATCTTTTCGATCACCGGTATTGGTGTATCATGACTCCAGCCCTTGCCAAAGAGTTCTGTGACTTGACGACGAGGAAGACGGTAAGCATCTGAACATTCGCCAGCGCGGTTTTGGACATACTGGTGTGATACAGGGGGTGTGTAGGCTGGAGAGCAGCCAAGTGCGGACCAAACGATTGAGCGCGGGTCATACACGTCGTCCCGCAGAATACACTGTCTGGCCTGGCCGTCGAGACCATGCAGACAACACAAAGCTGACCAATTGTGCCGCCAGCGTTTTGATTCGTTGATGGATGCGCCTTGTTGATGGTACTCTTGTTGCTCCTAAAGGAGAAGATGCTCGACGACGAGTCGGATTGGGTTGCAGGCGGTCGCTGTCCAAAGAGTGGCATCGTTGAGCCCAGGTCTTGCGGTTTCTAACCAAATAGAAAGATAAAGACAGACAGAGGTGGAAGTCAACCTTGGTTGCCGCTGGCGAGTCAGGCCCCTAACGGAGACTACTGCATGAAGCTGGATGAGAATGAAAGGTCCCGGACACGGCTGTCTTCTGCCCGTCCGCCATCAGTGCGCTATTTCCAGATGTCAACTGAACCCTTTATTCACACGCAGCCCATCCGGTTTCAGAAGTGTGCCAAATGTCCTCCAAGTTTATCTATTTCTTTGAGATTATTATTGACACATGTTTTGTGAAATCCCAGACGTCGTTAGAAGCAAGTCAGACCCACCATCATCTTTGCCTTGGCGCGGCAGAGACCATGTCCCCTAGCTATGCGCAGCATTTAAACTTTCAATACGATATAAAAATAGATATTACGCCTCACGAGCCTCTAGACGCTCTACACCGGGCGATGTTTCGCACTCCGCTACCAAATACGCCCAAAACAAAGCACAAGTCGGGAGAGAACCTAGAAAGGGATATTGGAAGATGACTGTTCTTTTCGTCTGGGCTATAAAACCAATGGTAAGTCGTGCAAAATTTAGCTGAACAAAGATTGACGAACCACAGTATGCAATATACGTGTGGATAACTTCTTATATTGTAGATTCGCGTGTATTATTATTCCAAGCCGGCGGTTTGAATGGCCTTTTCGGTTTAGTGTCACGATCTCCGGTCTCAGCGCACGCCTCATTGAATCCACGTATACGTAGCGTCCAATCCCGGATACCATTACCCTCTCATTACCGAAAGACGTAGCCCTGAAACCTGGAAATACGCAAGGCTTGTGAGAGGATCGGTCATGGAGACGCGATCATGCAAGACTCAATCGATCTCTGAACGTGTGTATATAGGAGTTATACGGGCGACTACTGAGGATGTGCCGCATGGCTGCCCAATTAACCAGCCAATCAGAAGCCTTCCCATTAACCTGGGAACTGCCGCTGGACAAGGCGCTGATGATAGGAGACCGCGAATCCTGCTCATAAGCACGTTGATGGGGTGTGGAGACCTGCTCTTGCCCTCCACCTCAATCCACCTTCCGGACAAGATCTACTACGGAGACTTTCGACATATTTTATAACAACATTACGGCCCTGGAAACGAACACATCTCCCCTTGTTTTCTCAACGCCACAGCGGCTGCATTTCTAGGTATGCCGAAGAGGGATCTGTACAATCATAGGCTCACCCTATCACAGAGTAATATTGGCTAATTTCTGGATCGTATATGGCTTCCCTCGGGGCCCAGAGCGGCAAATCGTCTGTCGGCATGCTCACAAGGCATCAGTCCTCCTCAGCCGTACAGGATATCTCAGACGAGGCTCCAGAAAATGCGGGTATGGGGTATGCTCAATATTTGTCGAGTTCTAACAAACTCCCTAGAATACACCTCCGACGATTTGAGGGTGCTTATGGATTCACACAGGCCCATCAATTTGACTGGAAATATAACAATAAGAAACGTAGCGGATAGTGTTTCTGGAGGATTTGCGACTGTGTACAAGGGACATTTGAATGACACAGAGGTAAATGTTTATAAGGGGGACTCAGCCTTTCTTACATCTCGTAGGTTGCAGTCAAGGTAACCAGGCTCCGGAAAAATCGGTATAAACCAGCACCGTGGGAGCATTCGCTCGAAAGGGTATGTGGTAATCCCTTCCTATTCCCCAATACATGATTGATGAACTGGATACAGCGAATCAAAAGAGAGATTAGAGTTTGGGCGGCTCTATCTCACACAAATATTCTGCCTTTCCTGGGATATGCCACTGGTTTTGGCGACTTTTTCGCAATGATCTCACCAGTAATTCACCTTTAAATGCTACTAAGAAGCTCAACTAACGGACACTTCAGTGGTGTTCCCTAGGGGATGCGAGAGATTACCTCGAGGCCCGGGAGGACCTACACTTCGGTGAGCGGGTACAACTGGTAGGGACTGTATTCCTTCATGAATAATCGCTCTCAGACGTTCCCTAGTTACTCGGTGTCTGTGAAGGGCTCGCGTATCTCCACAAACTCGGAGTTATTCATGGGGATCTAAAACCGGTGAATTATCAAACTTTATGATGTCTCATATGTTAACAAGGCATATTTTCCTCAGAAGAATGTCCTCATCAGTGACCAAGGCCACGCTTTGCTGGCAGATTTTGGTCTTGTCCGACTGGCGAATTGGGAAGGAGAAGCCGGTATGACGACCACCTCTCCATACAGAGCTACCCCTCGCTATACTCCACCCGAGCTTCTCGTCACGGGCCGAGATCATAATCTGCGCGCAACCATGAGTGGGGATGTGTGGGCCGTGGGATGTCTAGCTCTCGAGGTAGGGGTCGGTTCTAATAAGGCTGTTCGATGCTCGATCTTTTCTAGTTTCTAGTCGGCCATCAGCCATATCAGCGAATTCTCACAGCAGATGAACTTCGGGAGGCCATGATCTGCAAACAGTCTCCAGCTAGATTCTCAGATCTTCATCAACTAAATGAAATACTGGCGTCAATGTTATGGAACTCTTTACTTGTACACGCCTGGCAGCCGGAACCTATGAATCGGCCAGATATAACTCGTATTCGGGCGGCCGTTGTATATTTAAGAGGTGCGTCTGCCTGTTTGAACGTACTCTGCTTCTCTAACCCCGATGTCGTAGATGCAGCCAGACCTCAAGGTGAGTTATAGTGGTACCGCAATCCTATGAATAACTGAAGCCTGTAATTCAAAGATCCTATCGGCGTTAGTTTCACTCACTTAATTCCATTCATGGATTGGATCATTCTGACATTAAATATACATTATAGGAGATGAATGACCGCGAAATGCAGCTATCGATGACACAAGACGGTCATGGTGGTGAGGCAAGATTGTGGGTGCGAAGTAGTTTCTGAATTATAGCCTATAGCCACAGTACAACCTCGCAGTCATGGTCGCTGGACCCCTTCGTCATTATCGTTATTACCAGATTGGTTTGGAGCGGCTGTAGAAGAGTCGGACCCATCCTACGCCTTTCCAATGTCTAGCAATTCGATCGGCAACTTCAATGAAGAATCGAATTCATCAACACACTCAGTGTCATCATCAGTAATATACACCCCTGTAACTTCGATTCGGCGACCAGAAGCGTCTGCCATCCATCGTAACACGGAAGCAGCCAAGATAACAGACGGACTGGACAGACTCGAGCTTGAATTACGATCGACGAGCCGTCCGCCAGTTTTGAATTTCACTGCCAGCCAAGTCGGCAGAATATCTGGACAGACGGAGGGCAGTAAAAATGCTGGATTCTCTCGTGGCCAACCTGGTGTGGATGTACACCGGCCTAAACGCCAATATGGAGCATTTCATGGGGTCCTAATGATCCCAATGATAGGGTTGACGATCTCGGCTATTGCAATACCTGACGCAGTACTATATGAACCCGCCTGGTTTTTACCCTTCTAGGTTATCTACTCCACCAATCACACGAACGCCAACATGCAGTGGCTCCAACTACCTTTCGCTACCCCAACGCAGAGGCGGGAAGGAATGTTTATTTCAAAAGGACGTACGCCAGGGAATGAAAACCGTAGGTTCCACGGGTGCAAACAGGACTGTCTCCCCGGTAATCCTGGGGTAAGTACTAGGCAATGAATGTCGGGACCACTAACGTTCATGGTATCTTATCATAGAATACCGAGCTATGCTCAAGCCCGACCTGTTCACTATGTGGTATCGTTCGACACTCTTTTAGCCTTAAATTTAGTAAAGGAAAGCTGGGTTCTCGTCGGTTTGGTGCCGGGGTATGCGTTTCCGACCTCGGGAATCGCTCCCTTTTCCTGACGTTGAATAGAATCTACACCTCTGCGACCTCGTCAAAAGTAGATTCGTATGCAATCAACCAGACCCCCTCGGAACTCAAAGCAGTCCTTCTCAACAAGGTCGTAGTGGGCAATGGCTGCAAAGTCAAAACAGACGCGCCGAAATTCATTGCTCTACCAAAGGGATATCATTCTGTGAGGCCGTGGTTCTTGGTCTTGTCCTATGCTGACCTGTATCTAGGTTCTCGCTGAGCCAAAAATTCATAATTCCCTCTTGCACGACGAATTGGTGGTCTATGACGAAAACGCGATTCGCCCTGTTTACTTGATTGTGTATTGAATGTACGTTGGTCATGGACTATCAGCCTGACGTTCGGGCTTATCAGGATGGGGACACTCTGAAAGTTACGGCTCGCAGTGATTAGAGTAGATAGCGTGTTCTGTAACAGTATACACAACGAAGAATGATACATCTCGACAGAATCGAGTTTGCTTATTTTGGATCGAGTCGAATAATGTAGACGATTGGCATACAGTCATATGCGTCTGGAAGAGGGGGGAGGGGGAGGGGGGGGTATGCAATGTCTCCAAATGGAGAATGCGTCTGCGTCGTCCACCATTGTTCGCACAAGCTCATACTTTGACGCCTCCACGATGAACCTCTTGCCGTGGATAGGGGTTTGATCTGGGGAGTGGTTGTGGTCTTGAGAGCGCAGGCGGACTGCCTCTGAGATCGAGTGTGGGTGTCTTGCCATCCCACTCATCCCTCCCATCAAAGAGACGGAGCCAATCCTGACCGACATTTCTCCTCTCTTGGCTGTCCGTCGACAATCTTCGTTGGGCAGGGCGTGCGTCCATGGTCTCGGTCAAACGTGTGTTGGTGCTTTCCCTGAGCATGAGCTCCCTAAGACCGCCGAGGGCAATCTTTTTCATTGTACTGAAATCGGAACCCTTGAGAGATTCGCGGAGATAGGAAATGTGCGTGAGCATGTAGCTCATGGCTAATCTTCCCAAGACGTCTGTGAGATCTGCGAGGGTGCGTGGGGGGATATAAATAATGTTGCTCGAGTCGGGTGTCGTGTACAATTTCTCGCGACAATCATTCGAGTTTGACGAGGGTGCACTGGATGACGAAGCAATAGAGGATGCTGACGAAGCTGGGATGGATTGAGGGTCGATAATGGGTAGTGATGAGATGCGAGAGGCTGGCGAGGGTGTGGAAAAGGATGTCGACGACGAGGCGTGCGAGGATGTGGAGAGGATGGAACTTGAGCTATATGCGCTATCACTTCTTGTGCGTGCAGCGTGTTCTACGTCGTCTTCTTCGTTTGAGACGGTTGTCCCCGTTGTTGGCGAAATGGGGACACGGAGGGTTGAATGGGAGCGGAAAAAGGACAAGAGGGCGTCGTATCTGGCGGCATAGGCGACGTGTTTCCATGTTACATGGTGAGTGTGCGTGTATTTCCTGGTCAAAATGTGAGCAACCTAGAATCGAGTCACTGGGCTAGACGACGTACTGGACAAAGAGCCAGGACTGGGCCTCGACGCTGTCTGCTGGATAGTAGTCGTCGAGAGTAAACGGCATGATGGGTAGAGGACGGGTCCAAGGTTTGGTTTGGTAGATTTGCAAGGCCGCTTTTATAAGAGACGGGGCGTGATAAGGTTTTGCGGGGAAAGGGAAGCGATAATACGACGCGGTTTGACTCGGCTAGTCGTCCGATAATTGGCTGGCTTAATCCGATTGGTCCGTGGGACGCGCAATCTCGGGAGATTAATCCAAGGGAGCCTTGCTTATATATCCCTAAATGTCTGACAAACGTGCGCTAGTCGAAGAGACTGGGCGCGCAATTTTATGACATGAGCATCGGAAGATGGCAATGCCCATCTTATCTCAATGCCAGATTTGGACAGCGATCATTCCCAAATGATCCGTCCGGCACATGACTACCATTTTCTTACCCGTCGTACTGCCGGTCGCTCGTTGACGCCTTCCAAGATAACAAATGGCGACAAATACATCCGCAAACTCTGCTTATCCGTCTACAGATCACCTGTACGCTCCACCACACTCCACGGCACCCACCACCGCGCTCTTCCAAGCGATCAACAAGCGATACAAGCCATCGCCACCGCTAGTCAGATACCAAGACGGATGGAAATGGTCGGTAGAGAACATTGGATCCTTCTGGGACACTGTCTGGGACCAGGCGCGCGTTCTCGGCTCAAAGGGCACTACACCCGTGCGTATAGCTTGCCTGGTTTACTATTCTACTTAGACAATTGCAGGTTGTTGACGATTCGGCCACACCAGCTGACAATCCAGATTGGTTCCCGGACGCCCGTCTAAACTGGGCAGAAAATATGCTTTGCACACGATCAGATAAACCAGCAATTATTCAAGCAAGTACGTACGTCACTGCGTCACCACCCGGCCAGACCTCGTCTCGCCTCACCTCCCTCTCACTTGACCCCTGCCATTTCTGGTCACTCACGCTCACATAGCTGAACCCTTTGTCCATTCTGGAAACCTCATCGAGCCACCCTCACGCAGAATCTCCTACAATGACCTCTACACGTCCGTAGTTTGTGCTGCAAACGCCCTCCAAGCACGTGGTGTCAAGCTCGGAGACGTCGTGGGCTCGTATTCAAGCAACAATATCGTATGTCATACCCGAATATGGGCAATCAATTGACGATAGATAGGAAAATATCATCCTTGCACTTGCCACTGCCGCGCTAGGTGCCATCTGGACGAGCGCCGCTGCAGACTTTGGACCTCAAGGCGTCCTCGAGCGATTTGAACAGGTCAAACCAACTGTCATTCTCGCCGTAGACAGTGTTTCGTATGTCTCTCAGTTGGCTCTTATTGCTCCTTCATGGCTAGAATAGGTACAATGGCAAATTACATCCACACCTCTCCAAACTCTCCACGCTCGTCGACGGATTAAAACAAAAACAATGCGCACCCAAGACGGTCATCGTCGTTCCCTTTGACACGGCACAACCCTCTTCACTCCCAAGTACGACGGACACTGTCGAATGGATTCCATGGGACGCCTTTCTTACTTCATCAAAATCCCAAGAGGAAGACTTTAAATTCGTTCAAACACCCTTTAACCACCCTCTCTGGATCTTGTTCTCCTCGGGGACGACGGGTCTCCCAAAACCCATTGTGCATCGCGCAGGCGGTATGCTCTTACAATCCCTCAAGGAACTCAAACTCTGTGCGGGGCTCAATGCAGATGACGTCTTTTTCTACTACACCTCGACGGGGTGGATGATGTGGAATTTCTTGGTAGGCGGCCTCGCGCTTGGATGTACGCTCGTCCTCTTTGACGGTAGCCCACTCCGTGAACCGCATAGGCTATGGACGATTGCCGAACAGGAAAAAGTGACAATATTCGGTACGAGTGCGAAATACCTAGAGGTTCTTTCCGTGAGTCTACCTTTCCGTCTTCCTCGCGAGAGAAAGCTAAATGGTCTGGAAAGAAAAAATACACACCTAATAAACACCACGATACACGTCCTATTCGACAACTATACTCGACCGGATCCCCACTCGCACCACAGCTCTTTGACTACGTCTACACATCCATTGCCGCACAGGACTCGTCCTCTCAGGGACAACCCAATAGCACGCTCCTGCTTGCGTCTATCACGGGTGGCACAGATATTTGCTCCCTCTTCGCTGGGTTCAACGCCATGTTACCCGTCTACCGCGGCGAGATTCAGTGTCGTATGCTCGGTATGGCGATTCGTGCAGTGGATGAGATGGGAAACGAAGTCAAGCCTGGTGAACAGGGTGAATTGGTGTGCACGCGTCCATTCCCTTGTCAGCCCGTTGGATTTTGGCCTCTTCGTGGGTATGGTACGGACGAAGATGTAGTCAAGGCGGAGAAAAGGTACAAGGATGCATACTTTACGGGCGTCAAGGGCTATTGGTGTATGTTTCTTGGTATACAGTTGTCCGTCCTTGACTCGTTTGATAGATCATGGCGACCACGTTCTCATCACACCTTCGAGAGAGGGGAATGGAGGCGGCGTGATCATGCTTGGACGAAGTGATGGAGTATTGTACGTAAACTCTACTTGAAAACGCCACATCTAACTCTCCCCACAGGAACCCTGGTGGAATCCGCTTTGGGTCAGCAGAAATCTACCAAGTACTAGAAGAGTGCTTCTCAGACAACGCACAATCTTCCACCTCCAATAAAGTAATTCTCGACGCGCTCTGTATAGGTCAAAAACTCCCAGCAGGCGAAGCAGGGGCTGTTGGTGACGAGCGGGTGATCCTCTTTGTCAAGCTCCCAGATGGCCAAGTCCTCGATGACGGACTCATCAAGTCGATTGCAAAGGAGATTCGTGCAAGGAGATCGGCTAGACATGTTCCTGCTCTGGCAAGTCACCGATTCCATCTAACGATGACGAGTTGCTAATGGCTTGGTCTTAGTGCGTTCAAGTCCACGACATTCCGTATACCCTAAATGGCAAAAAAGTTGAAGTACCTGTGCGAAAGGTGTGTCTCAACTCCACCACGAAAGCCATCGACTTATTGCATACTGCAGATCATGGACGGTGCCCCGTTCTCGAGTATCAACCAAGCGACGCTCCGCAACCCAGAATGCTTACAAGAGTACATCGAACTCGCACAGTCGCTCAAACCGGGTGTAGATGGTGCACGACTATAACGCATTTTGCTAGATGGATGTACATTGCGTGAGAATGCAACGCTCAATCTATCACTCTTGGTCTTCCTCGTACATATCATCCTCTCCGTCTTCTTCTTTTGCAAATGCATCAGGCGGGACAGCGTACAGTCGGATGACGGGCTTGAACGACGTGAGAAAAGAAAGCAAAGATAGTCTAAAACTCACCTTGTTTGGATCTTTGATGAGAACGTACTTGCCATCTGGATGCTTGAAGCACAGGTCGATAATGGTACGCACGATACCCCAGCCATTCATGACAGACATGTTGAGCTGGGCTGCAAACTCGCTTGGACGCATCGTTGCGGTGCTTAGGATCACATGTCGGGTATTATCACGGACGCTCGCGCGCGAGACGTAGCTACCCCAGAAATTAGCAACACTGCCTGTGCCTAATAAGAAAGGGACGCACCCAAGCTTCATGACATCTGCTCCAGCAAGAATACTCTGCACGGCCCAGCGCGCCATTTTAAAGCTATTGTTCTTCATCTCCGTCGCCACGACCGCACCTCGCTGGCTGTCCAACTTTGTACGCCAATCCGGTGCATTCCCTGCTCCAGGAGCCTTGGAATCAAACTCGTTGAGCGCCTTGACTGTGACGAGTCCCTCGCCCTTGCCACCCGTCGTCGTCCCCAAGTTGATCACACCAGAACTAGGCGCGTTTGTGGGCGGCAAAAATGCGTCGACTTCAGTCCTTAGCGCAAGCTTGACCTCTTCGTCTTCATGCACGCTCAGGTCAAAGACTTTGTAATAGTACCCGGCGCTCGCGAGTTGTTCACTCTCCTCGGTCGCAAATGGATTTGGGTTGGCCAAGTCGGCGTACACGTCGTCTTTGACGACTTGGATGGCAAAGTTGGTGTGAATCACCGTCGCCTCGAGCGCGAGACTCGTCGCGCTGTTGATTGTCTCCTTTTCTGTGTCTGCAGGTGGGTCTGCGGCGTTTTCGTTGACGGTCAGCGTGTCGCTCGGTCCACCGTCGCGTTTATCAAAGATGAGGTGGTCCCCGTCCCGAATTACGATGATATCCCAACCAAATACAGATCGTGGCGCGCACATAAGCATGGAAAGGATGGAGTCAGTCGCATAAATGGACGCGACGTCGTCTTGGATAAGCTAGTAAAATATGAGTGATGTAGGAAATCTCGCATAGTGTACCACCTTTTGCATGACCGGATCGTCGGACGTGCTGGGGTTAAACCGTGTCTTTTCAGGGACAAGTAATGGTCGTTCATTCTTTGTCGTGATGCGGTCGTACGCCTTGTCATAGGCATAGATTCGTCCATACGAATCGCTGCGAAAAATTGAGTTACAGCCAGGGGCATAGTGAGCAGACATACATGGTCTCTGCAGGTTCTACTTCTAGTCTGAGCTTGCTCAAGCGGAGGAAATCGATTTCCTCGAGCATTCTCCAACTGGGGTCGATCATGACCGAGCCCTCTCGTACGCGCGAAGTCTTAGAGAAATTTAGTAGGGACAGAAACCAGCGATGCTAAACATACCTTTTCCCAGTCTTTCCATCCCCTTCGGTTCCCGGCTCGAGCTGCGCCACCTCTTCCACCATATTGACCAGGCTGGTTGCGTCCGTACCCACCAGGGCCAGTGCGACCGCTTGTACCTCCACGACCTGCACCAGCTCCTCTCCCAGCACCCCTCCCTCGCTGGAATCCGAATCCACCTGCGCCTCGTCTGGGACCACCCGTCTTGTTGTCCACAAGGGAGAATGAAGCCTCGTCTTCAACGTGGAAATACGAGAATGCATTTGTTGCTCCAGATCCATAGGCTGCTTGGCCGTCTTTTCGTCCGCCTCCAATCCTGCCACCGCGTCCGGTTGCACCTGCTGGTCCTCCACCACCGAGGGCGCGTCCATCGCCTTCAGTCCAGTCTGCAAACCTGCCCAGCTTATCCGATTTTGAATAAGGTGCATACGGGATGCTTGGAGAAGCCAAGGATAATCAGATTTGAAATCTGAGCATCCGAAAAAGAGACGTACTCTTTGAACTTGGCGGGAAGGTGTGCCATGGATGGTCCCCAGGATCCATCTGGATTATCTTGCAGAGGCGGCAGCTTAAATGCTCGAGCTGCCATTTCGTTTTTTAATCAGCGTGGTGGAGATCAACAAGCGACCAAACAACTTGGACCGCGCCATGAAGTGCGTATACGAACATGACATTGTACAGAAGGGACACTGATTTATTTCAGCGTAGTACGCGAAATCAACAGGATAAATGAGCGAGAACTCGATCTCGCGCCCGGTCAGGGCTCGTGGCACGACCAATACAAGGGTACGCACCCTTCCAAATCACTTGCACTATCTAAGTCTCTGGAAAGACTCTGCCTACATCTTTATTGGCGGCCTCAACTATGAACTCACTGAAGGAGACGTGATCACGGTCTTCTCGCAGTACGTAGTCTTGTTGCCCTTATTTTCACATCATGAAATGGACAAAAGGTACGGAGAAGTAGTGGACATTGATATGCCGCGTGAAAAGTCGACTGGCAAGCGACGTGGTTTCGCGTTTTTAATGTATGAAGACCAACGCTCAACTGTACTTGCTGTCGACAATCTCAACGGCGCCGAGTTGGCTGGAAGGACTCTACGTGTCGATCACGTTCAGAATTACAAGCAAAAGGAGCTCGTAGACGGAAAATGGGTGGATCGCGAAACGGAACGTCTTAACGTCAAACCAGAGCTCCTCACAGGTGCGTAGCCTATCTACATCTTTCACGTATATTGAATCTTTTTAGATGAAAGAGAGGAAGAATCAGACGCTTCTCAGTCGTCACTTGCCTCTGTCGACAAGGAGGACCCTATGAGAGACTATCTCATCGAACAGAAACGCGAAAAGGCAAAAAAGAAATCGAAAAAACATCCCAATGAGACTCCAGAAGAACGAAGGGCTAGGAAAGAGCGCAAGAGGGCCAAGAAGTTGGCAAAAGAGGAACGCCGGATGATCACCGACAGACCACGGCACTCGAGTCGAGAACGAAGAAGTGAAAGTTCACGAAGGCGCTCTCCTGATCGCCACCGAGACAAAATGTCGTACGAGAGATCAGTCTCTCCACGCAACGACAAACAACATAGACGGTCAAGATCTCCCAGACGACATCGAGACAATGATGAAAGAAGAAGACATGATTCTGATAGACGATACGACTGACGGACCGACGCCTGCACTGCATAAAATTGCTGGATTCATAGGCAATAAAGTACATGACCAACGAGGGACTATTTTAGGCATATGCATTACACAAATAACGTAAGGAGCGTAGGGGCTGCAGAGTTCTTACTCGTCCCCAAGGTAGCGAAACATCAGGGTGGAAGCATAGACTCACGGCAAGCGCCAAAGAGTGGGATTCTGAAGGCGAGCGCAATCATTTCACGAAGCGGCGGCTTGAGGCTGAGGCTTGCCATTCCTTGGTGTGACTTGGACGGCCCCGTTGGCAGAGGCTTCCGTGACCGCACCGTTGGGATTGCCAATAGGGTCCGGCGTTTTGGGGGGACCAGCTTGCGCGAAATCAGAGGCCGGTATTGCGGGTAGCTGTGCTGGCACAAGACTTTGAGGGTTCACGGGAGTCGGTGTCTGTCCGTCGTCGCTCGGTCTTCGTTCCGAACGCATATTAGCCCTTGCTGCAGACTGGCACTTTAGCCACCAGATACGAATGCTCACCGTCGTCGCTTGGTGGCTTGAGCACCTTCTCCATCAATGGGCACCTGCAAATCGGTTAGTCAGAGGCTACTAGGTGCCGATGCTCCGACTTTGGATTTCGCTACACGCTTGAGGCCCTTTCTTGGTCGAGGAGCACCTTCAAAAACTTCGTCGGGAAGTGCCGAACTGCAAAAGATGAGATGACTTCTATGATAAACGGACGACAAACTTTTTGATGTGGCGAACAGCAATACCCATGATATCGTTCTGGTATAACTCCCAACTGCGTGCGGTCTTCATGAACTCACTAGTGGGAATAGAAATATCCAGCTTTCGTGGGCCTGTCGTAGTGACAGCTGGACGAAGTCAGTATGGACGCCTTGACAAACAACTCACGCACATGGTGGTGGCCGAGTAATCTCCATGCCGATGTAGAAAGTGGTAGTGTGGATGACCTGACGCTCATTAGACTCAATCTGCTTTGCTTCTTCCTCTGTCCGATTCGCAACTGCAGGGGGAACGTTTCCTAGCACAATATCGGCGTGCTCTTGCATGGTTACAGTATAGTATGTCTTGTTGAAACCCTTGACGAAAGGATGCACCCGAGCCAACGTGCCAGACTCTTCGAGCTTGCCAACAAGCTGACGTCCTTTCGACTCGACAGTCTTAGACCTGCAAACATTTAGCATTGTCTCATGCGATAGTGCGCGCCTTACCATTTCTTTTGAATCTCTTCATCATCACAGGACGCGATGATTTGAAGATAGTACTGATACTGGCTGAAGAAAGTGTGCTTTGTGAACAAATCCGCCCACTTTGCTTCGCCATTGGTAATTCGGACTATGAGTTCTTGCCCTTCTCACGGATCAGTAAGAGCCTGGGCAGACCGTCGCACGCACCTCGCTTGAGTTCTTCTTGTATGATCTCAAAGGTGCAGTTCATCACGTTGTGAGTTGAGCACATTGACGGATAAGCTGGGGTGATTATCGGCATTTTGTGTGCTCTATCAGACGGATAAATCTATAGTGATGAGCAATCGCTCCTACACGGAATGAAACCTTACCTTGGGATTCCACACACGCATATTAAGATTTCCCTCCTCGATCTTCTTTAGCACGACGGGTTGAGGCCATTTCCTGCGATGATGCCTTAGATTGACGGGCCATAGATACCAACCATACTCACCACATGGACATGATGAGGAAGAACCGTCGAACAATGGTTGCCGCGTTACCATTGGGGTACAGCTGACAAACTCGGGCCACAAGCAATGCCCAAGCGATGCCCCCCAGGAATCCACTGACGTTGGAGTAGATTGCTCGCCCTGTCAAGATCATGTTCAGATTCACAAACGTGCGCCTAAAACTGCACCGACGCTGAGCCCAATATTTGATTGCACGCAATGCGTCGCGGAATACATGCACGTTTGGCACCAGACGAAGAATCGCATCTGTACTCCGTGACCCGTTAAGACTACGGACGCACTTGTCGTCGAGATTCTTGAGGAGAGAATCGTCACCAAGTTCAAGGTCGTCTGGAATGACAGAGAGAGCTAGCCGGGCAAATGTAAAGTCCATAGAGATACCCTTGATCTTTGCATCGATCACCGGCACGTATGCATCTGGCACTGGCTATGAGAAAGACGTCAGAGAGCGTTTTGAATCCCATCAAAGGACGCTTACGTTGGCTTCTTCGACCCAATCGTCCTTTTGGAGAAGGTCCAAGAAAATTTCCATGAAATCCTGTCGGTCGACATGTTTGGGAGCGACGACGAGAGTGTCGATATCAGAGCCTGGTCCATGTACACCTAAACGATAGGATCCAAACGTGTAGATTTTGCCTCCTGCAGCTTTTGCAGCTGCCTCACTGAGATTTCTTCGTATGCACGCTTGGTAGATAAACTCTTTGACGAGCTTGGTAACCCTTCCGAGGACCGCTTCGCTACGGAGACGAAACAAGCGTCATCCGAACGCAGGGAGTTCACATAAATGTATACGAGGGAAGACATCAGCCAAGGTCTCTTCTAATTCACCGAGAAGGGCAGCGCAACGCAGAGGAGGTAACAAGACTTTTGATGCTTACCGAGTCCGCCCTTCCTCTGCAGACTCGAATGTTCCCTTTAGTTCTGTCATGAGATCTGCAGCAAGCGTAATTTCTTGCGGTGAAGGTCCATCTCGAGAAATTGGAGGCGTTACTCCATAATCGCGCCTGCACCATTTTGCATGAGCAATGCATTCCCAGTAGCCGAATTACACAGTTTTGCAAACGTACTGCTCTGTTGTTTGATTCATGGAGGTGGTAGAAAGATACAAGGTCCGGGTCCTTGACAAGGCAGACTCCAAGCTAGCTCGCTCACTTTTCGCCACGCTCACCCCCCTTTCAAGTCGGCCACAACACAAAAACGAGGTCCATTGCTATGAATACACAACAACAAACACAATTCACAGATGGGTACTAAATGCTGCCAGGTGAGACATCGTCGCCCAGCCAAATCACGCGATAATCATCTAATCCTCGCTGTACGGTCGCATATATTCCCTTGCCAGTTTCCAGTTTGGAGGTAGCTGCCGGATGCGAGGCCAAGTCATTCGCCCATTCCGAGGGATGTATTTCTGGCCGTCCAGAACTCGTGTCCAATCGATGCCAAATACCACCTCGACAAAGAGGCTTCGTAGTCTCCATGGTATGCCACTGCGCTCTGTTCAAAGGCTCGGATTGCGCGCTTATCGATTTGCCCTTTCCTTTTCCTTTGCCAGGCGAGCCAGGGTCGGACTGCTGGAAGAGAAAAGTGACTGGGGTTTCAGCGATCTCTATTCCCTTGTCACTGAATGCTACCAGTTGGAGCATCGCCGGTCGATCAGCCAGGAGGGATACTCTTGCCGAAACGCGACTGGGTGGAGTGTGCCAACGAATCACCCTTAGAGGCTGATGATTTGCCAGAGGCATTCGAAGTGGAGAAGGTAAGATATGAGTTTGCGATCCACGCGAGATAATCAGGAATGTTTTCGACAGAGCCATGACCGATTGCTCTCCGTTGGCCGAGGGTGGATAGGGGATATCCATCGTGATCATCGGCTGCCACATCCCTCTCCCATCCCGATGAAAGTCGAGAACCTGAATGGACTTGCGGAAGCCCGAAGAAGAGTGGATACTGTGGATACTGGTAGGAGATTGGGCTCGAATGGGGGAGGGCGGCCGACCACCATCGTCCCACAGTTCCATTTCGCTGACCGCAGAGTCTGCTATTCGGATTAACCCAGCCTTCTTCTCAAATATGACAAACAGTGAGAGCTGGGAGCCGTAGGTGCTATCGCCTGGTATGGATTGGCGTCTTGCGCGCGGAGTTGCACTAGCCACACCCTCTGGGCCTCCTCTAGACAGAGGGCGTTCCTTTCTCAGTCTCTCCCCTCCTTCGTGATGGACAGAAACTGCACGGACAATGTCGTTGTTCGTTTGTTGGACAAAGGTGACCAGCTTCGCGGGCAGGGGTGTATAGAACTCCTGCTCATAATGATTAAAGATATTTAGGCCAATGGAAAAGACGTACTTTGACGAAGCGGAAGGATCGTTCTCCCCTGGGCGTTTCATAGAGCAGGATGGCTGTCTTTGTGACTACCGCGAGCATGGATGTTCCTCTGGAATTTACCCCATCGTTCCTCCATAGCTCGTAGAATAGAACCGGAGTGTTTGAAAGTTTAGATCCAGCAGTTGCAAGGTTCACGTAGTCGGTCGCCCATCGCAAGGGTAGATCGTCAACAAGGTCCCACGAGTCGGCTGTATCGGCAGAATCTTGGTGCTTTGGTGGAGATCTTTCAGATGCGAAGGACGATGCCTTGACAGACGACATTGACCCTGGTGGTGTATCCGGACGTCCATGATCGATCACCATCGACTTCAGACTCTTTGTGATTGCATGTGCGCTTGGTCTCTGCAGTCTTCTTGTGCCCGCTTGTTGGGGGGACCATCCCTTGGGCCCATGAATGACAGGTGGTTTGGCATCCTGCGGAGATGTAGTCTCAAAACCGGCCGAGGTAACCTTACTCACTGGATGCGCTGCTGTCCATTTTACCAGGCTAAATATACTGGCCAAGTTATACATTCTGACACTCCTCATGGGCTCCTTTTCCGGGTCGGACTCCTCGGGACCAACGAGGGCGAGTACGACGCCTTGAAGCCCACCTTGGTTATCCGGATAACACTCCAGTAGATTCAATTGATAGATCCTGAAAGATTCCAGATTGGAGAAATGGTTGACACTTTCACTCACGATTCTCCAGTCCAAACATCTCGACGTTTCGCGGCTTCCAAAGCATGAAGAACGGATCCATTTTCGAGGGCGAGTGACTCGGATTCCGGGAAAACGTCTAGCATGCCAAGACCATCATCACTCCCTATCAGGAGATATCGATCCTCCAATAATGGTAGTAAGCAACGGATTGGGGTTGACGAGTGGGGTATAAACCGCGATCCAAACTCGTATAATGAGAGACTCGTTTCTCCAAGGCGTTGAGGTGCCAATTGTGCAGACATCGGCGAGGTTGCGAAGCCCGGTGGTGGCGCTTGCTCCGGGACTGCTGTGTCGATCTGGAAGTGAGAGAGCAGTTAGAGGCATTATTGATAAACCAGTATGCGCAAAAAACGAACTGGGAGTCCCCATCCTCGTTCGCGTTGACGGGCGCGGTCCTCTGGAGTAATATCTGCATACCGCTCGGCAGCCCTGCAATCACAGGTCAGTCTTCGCACGCAATCAGACTTTGAAAGAGACCTTTTCTCCACCCAGCTTCTCCATCGTCCAAATCTAAACGATAGTCAGGCGGCGCCTCGACTTTCTGATGCTCAACTACCTCGAATTAGGATTGGAGCGCTCTTGTTCCTCTAAATCACCATATGTTGGAAGCTCCTCTGCTGCATTAATGTCCTTTGGTGTATTTGTGGGGCCTTGATCGCTCATGCCTATTGACGAAAGGATCAAGTTTTGCCACTCAAACTCTGATATACCTTGGTCAGTTGATTGCTTGATAGATTGATTCATAAAATAATAGATTATATTTATGAAGATACCTGGTCCAGCAGTGCATGCCAGGGAGCACCGGTGTTTTCTTTAATGTATCGGCAATCCAGTCACATTACACGCTACCTGTGATAAATAGTGTCCACACTTATCGGATTTCAGAGTAAATGCGGGTGGATACTCCCTTTGGACCCGACCTCGTCAACCTTTATGCAGGCTACACCTGAACTACCCTCCCCAGACCGCATATTCCAAGTTCTACAAGATGCAGCTTCGCAGGACTACGTCGTAGCGCAGGCGGCCAGTGCCCAGCTTGACGTCTTCAGAACGATTCCAGGAGTTTTCTATATGGTGCAGATGGCCGCAAACGAACGAAACCTACCATTAGATGTGCGAAAGATGGCCATATTTCAGTTCAAAAACGTCGTTCCACAGCAGTGGCGGCGTGCTGCGTTCGCCACCCATCTATTGCCATTTTCGGATGCTGACCTTGCATAGATTGTACCCCGAAAATGTGAAGCAGGATATCAGATCGGGCATGTTCCGCTTTCTAGATGAGCCGGATGATATCGTTGGTATCTCCTTGGACACGCGCGAGCCGGGCTGATTCCATGCTCCAACAGATTGCCCAGACCAATGCTATTGCGATGGCGAAGATTGCACGGATTGACTTCCCACGCGCATGGTGAGTTCATCCTCTGTATTCAATGACAATGCTAATCCTTCTTGCTAGGCCGGACGTTGGATCCCAACTGCTGGAAGTAATTGGCACCAACTCGCAAGCTATCTACATCAACTCTAACACTGATCCGCGTGCTCTACTAGTTCTGAGGAGGGCACTGGGTGCGCTGAACCAGATAATAAAGGAGTTGACGCCAGCAAAGATTCCCTTGCTCGCGTGTAAGTGGCTTAGTCTACCGTTTCGATATCTAATTCCCCCATAGCTGCCGTACTTGGAGTAAGAAGAATTTCATCTCGGGCTCTTTGGTACTCACTCTAGAGCTAGCTCGTACATCAAGTCCAGGAGGCACTTTTACCCATTTATGGCTACGCAACAGCAACGTTCAGCAATAACTTGTCACCCGAAACGTTGGCAAGTGATGATAAGCTAAACCATATTCGTATCGCACATTTCACATTCAAATGCATCGTCAAGTGTATCACATTTATGTGGCATCGGACCAGGGTGAAAGGATTTGAGGTGGCGGAACCCGTTGTAAGTGGACGTACTACGTCCTGCCATCATTAATGCATATTAGGTGAAAGGTTTTTTTGGAACCGCTGTCACTCATTTCATCGCACTGTCAACCTTGCGTTCGAGTCTGTTCCAGGCAAATCTAAGCCAGAACCTGATTCAGTCCCCAACACAGTCCTATCTTTCTCGGCATGTTCGCCTGTACGGGAAATACTTCCGAAAAACTCAAGTGTACTCACCACAACAATTTGTGCGGTTGCCACATTGCCGAGAGCTGGTATTACACTATTGGGAACGGGTTGTAGCAGCGTCTGGCGCACCGCCAACGACAATACAAGACTCAGATAATGCGATGTACCCTATTCGGTTCCTTACACAGGCATTATCGATCTTCAAGGACGCACTTGCTCAGTGGTCGCCCATTCGTCAACCTGACAACCAAGAGGTTCTCCCTAGGGAGTTCGTAGAGGGTGCTATTGATCTCATTGTCAACCGCCTACTCCTTTTGGATGAACAGGATCTGGAGAAGTGGTCAGAAGAGCCGGAGGAGTGGATCAACATCGAAGAGGGCGACTCGGATGCCTGGGAGTACGGCGTTAGAGTGAGTTTTCATCTTGATTTGTGGCATCGCTTGACCATTGTAGCCATGCGCTGAGCGTGTGCTTATGACGTTGGCTACACAATATGGCGACTATGTAGAACCCATGATTCGTACATACCTTCAACGGGTGCGAGGTGCGTAATCATAAAAACCAAGTTTAATGACATTCCGACCTGCATCAAGAACATCCGGCAACAGATCTCCCGTCGATCATCAAGCAGGAAGCCGTTTATTGCGCCGTAGGACGATGCGCACACCGTCTCAAAGACATCGACTTTGACTCTTGGATCTCCCAGAGTCTTGCCCAAGAGGCTTTAGATCCTAATCCGATATACCGCATAATCAAACGGCGGATTGCATGGCTATTCGGTCGTTGGTACGCGGAGAGATCACTCTCTCAGTCGAGAGAAAAGGTGTACGAGATTCTTGTTCACCTCATTTCGGCGCAAGGGGAAGGTTCAGATCTGGCAATCCGTTTGACTGCTGCGACAGCATTGGAGAATTGTATCAATGTAGGTGGTTAAATCTCTCACAGAAAGTTCTCTGACGCTCCGTAGTCGGTCAACTTTGAAATCCCGGTATTCCACCCGTTCATCACACCATCTCTTAGTGCACTTCTGCAACTTGTTGCCGACACAGAATCTCAAGATGCGAAGCGAAGAGTGATCAGATCCATCAATACCTTGATTGATAACGTGAAGGAGGCGGTACGCTTTGCACTCGCTGAGCTGCGTCAGACTAAAAACACCACAGATTGTACCGTCTCTCGGCGATATAATTGGCCCAGTGACGCAGCTTTGTAAGATATACGTCGAATTCGATACCTTTCGCTGATAGTAAGCAGGGCAGCATCCCGAGGTTGACATTCCACTCCGAGGAGAACTGATTTCCACCGCGTCTAGTCTGATAAAGGTACGTAGTAGTTACAGTCCGTGCTGGTGCTGATATAGGCTAGGCATCTAAAGAAAATTCTGCTCCTTTAGCACCAATAGCGGCCATCTTGATCCGAGATTGTCTATCACCTATAGTACGTCCAATACAGATTTTGTTTTCTAGGAGCTAATCTTCATTCAGCTGAGTGTCCAAATGGAAGACGATGCAATTAATCTGTGGCTGGTCACCCTTCGAAACTCAGTCCCCAATCCCAATCCAACAGTCCCAGACATATTCGAGCTTCTACCAACATCGATACATATCCTGAACACAAACCTCGATGCCGTCTCGGGAGCCTGCCAACTGATTGAGAGTTACCTCTTACTCGATGCCACCCGTGTGCTACAGGTGTGTTTGAGCACCCTACACGTGACAAGTCCTGACATCAAGTGTAGCTCCAAGCGCTTCCACTTCACCAAGCTTATCTCCAAGTTTACAAAACTGCAATCACAGCAGACGTGAAAACCGTACTCGGAACGGCGTGCATGATGGTCCAGCTCTCCGTGGATGGTCGTTTATGGGCGGAAGCGATGCACACTTCCGGGTTCTTTGCACACATACTTTCGGCCGTGATCGAAGATAGGACCAAGAACGACAACACGCTCGTTTTAGTCGAAGTGATACAATTGTTTGCGAGGATGATTATACAGGACGCAAATATCTTTGTCCAGCTCGTTGCTGCGAGTTCTGCTGCGTTGAACCAACCAGCAGAGTATCTCATGACGGGATTCTTGGACCAGTGGTGGGCAAAGGAAAGTTTAATGTCCATCTGAGGGATAATACAGGCTGACCTTTTGCAGTTTGACAACATCGTCGATGCGCCACGAAGGAAGCTTGTGGCATTAGCTACTGCCGAACTTCTCGCCACGGGTAACAAAATTGCCGTAGAGCGACTTGCAACGTCCGAAGCATTAAACATCTGGCTTGACGTTCTTGGCGAACTTAAAGAGGCACTCGAGCAACGGCCAGGGGAGGACGATCAGGAGTGCGTATATAAGCATTTCCACACATATTCTCACTTAAAATATAGTTCGCCGCTGATACTTTACTGGAAGCAACAAGACGAGTACGTACTTCCGGACAAGTTGGAAGATGCGGCGGAAACACTAGAGTTTGGACGACGGCAAGACTTGTTCAAGCGAGATCCTGTACGAAATATCCCGCTCAAGGAGTTTATCCAGCAGAAAATGCAGCAAGCACAGGCCGTTGCTGGTGTCGAATTCCAGGCGGCATTGTCCAAAGTGGACAGCGCAACGATTGCGTCCATTCAGAAACAGCTTTCGTGATTTCGAGAATGTAGCTTAAACATAATTTGAGGGTGTTATTTCGATGCGTGTGGTGACATGGAGACATTCTCTTCGACTCGCCCACATTTTTGAGAAGCAACGCCGAATGAACCGTGCTGTTTGCAGATGGGCGCATCAAAAGAAGTTCATAAATAATAGAACCTTGACTGTATCGCGCTTTTACGCGACAAGCAAATCCAAGTCTCGGCCAATTTTGACCAAATCATCGACGGTCCAAGCACGGAAAACCGAGCCGCAACATACACCCATAAAAGAAGACTCTGATCCTCCTTATGACTGGCGGGCACCAGCGTCGTTGAGTTTTCGACTGTTCGCTGTCGGGAGTGTCCTGCTCGCTGTGGTCTGGACTCTACGGCCATTTGATAGCAGCAAAGACTCTACACCTACATTGTCAACGACTGCGACCAAGCCAGAATTGGGCCCGCGGACGTTTGTACGGTGTCGAGTTGATTCCATCACCCCACTTTCTGGGGAAGGACGCAATGGCAATCATATCTTGCTAAGGCTTATTTTGCCTATGTACAGTGTGCCAAAGGATTCACAGATGCCGAATGGGATATACCATGTGTACGTCAAGGACGAGGACATGCAAGTCGAGCGACCTTATACGCCTATCAATGGCATTGGCGTGGACGGGAGAATGATATTTTGGATCAAGCGATACCCTAGAGGAGAGGTATCGAACTGGATCGCTAGGCAGGCTGGAAAGAGTATAGAAATTCGAGGACCGATCCAGCAATGGGACTGGCGAAAGGAGGAATGTGATGAAATTATCATGGTGAGTCCTAATTGCTTGTTTATTTCAAAAATTTCGAATTGGACTGATGTGTTTATGGTAGATTGGTGGTGGGACTGGTGTTACTGCGTTCACACAGATTTTGCACGAAGCATTCTTCCCTTCTCGTCCAGTAACAACAAGCGTAAACGCACGGACTCACTTCACCCTTTTACACTGTCATCGTACGCCCTCGCAGCTTCCTCCAAGCGAGATTACCAACGACTTTGCGCAATACAAGGAGACAGATGGACACCGGTTCACGGAAAAGGCGTATGTGGATGATCTAGATAGCGACGTGGATGATCCGCCGCGGGGTGTCACGCACGGGCTTATTGATAAGAAGGAGCTAGAAAAAGTTCTGTTGCAACGTGGAATACTGAAGAGGGAATCTGGAGGAATATGGAGTGCGGATAAAGTGGTGAGGAATCCAGAGAAGAAAGTAAAAGTCTTGGTCTGTGGACCAGAAGGGTACGTGTTAGCTCGGCAAGAGATACCCATGCTGACGAAAAGTAGACTAAATGTATCCATGGCTGGGCCACGGTCAAAGCCCAACGCCCTTCCACAAATTGGAGGCATATTGGGAGAGTTGGGATTTGAGCCATCACAGATTATTCGCTTGTAGATCTATCTTATAGCTTGCTTAATCTATTTTCCCTACTTTGCGACCGGCGGTGGTAAATCTTCTCTCCATCCACGATATGAGCGACTCTTCGTCGTCGCGACACTCGTCGCCTGATGGGCATGAACCAAATCCGTTACTAGCAGAAAACTCGGGGGAAGTATCCGAGACACCATTTAACACTCTAGGGCTCATTCCCGAGCTTTTGCAAACCGTCGAGGCTCTGGGATACAAAAATGCGACGAGTATCCAAGCACAAGCAATACCGTCAGCCCTTCAAGACCGAGATATCATTGGTGTAGCGAAAACTGGCTCCGGTAAAACAGCCGCATTTGCGCTACCAATACTGCAAAAGTGGTGGGAGGACCCGAAGCCTTTGTATGCTTGCATCCTTGCTCCCACGAGGTACTTATTTCGAAGTAGGATACATTCAATGACTAACGGTTGGACAGAGAGCTAGCGTATCAGATACAAAAACAGTTTGAGGCGCTAGGCGCAAACTTGGGTGTACGGTGCTGCTGCATTGTTGGAGGACTGGATATTATGGCGCAAAAAGTCGCATTAGCAAAAAGGCCACACATCGTCGTCGCGACTCCTGGTCGGTTACAAGACCATTTGGAGAATACGAAGGGATTCAGCCTTCGGTCGCTCAAGTACCTCGTACTCGACGAAGCAGATCGCCTTCTCGACATGGATTTCGGACCGATTATCGATAAGATCCTCAAAGTCATTCCAAAAGAGCGCCGGACGATGTTGTTTAGTGCGACCATGTCGACCAAAGTCAAGAGACTGCAACGCGCATCGTTGGTGAATCCCGTCAAGGTCGAGGTCTCAAGCAAGTACTCGACGGTGTCGACGCTGCAGCAGTACTACGTCTTTGGCCCGCACATGCGCAAAGAGGTCAATCTGATCACGCTCGTGCGGAGTTTAAGCGGAAAGAGTATCATTGTGTTCACGAACACGGTTAATGATACTATCCGGCTCACACTGATGCTACGGGCGCTCAATATCGGCGCGATACCACTGCATTCGAAGCTGTCGCAGTCGACACGACTCGGTTCACTCAACAAGTTTCGCGCTGGAGGAAGACAGGTGCTCATTGCTACCGATGTAGCAGCTCGAGGACTGGACATACCACAAGTGGATGTGGTCATCAACTATGGCGTGCCGCAGAATTCAAAGGACTATATTCATCGTGTAGGGAGGACGGCACGTGCGGGGAGGGCAGGCAAGGCGATCACATTTGTGACGCAGTATGACATCGAATTTCATCTGAGGATTGAAGAGGTGATTGGGAAAAAGATGGACGAGTGGGTTATCCCCGAGCAAGAGGCGGCAATGTTGGCAGAGAAAGTGGAAGAGGCAGGACGTGCTGCGGCCATGGAGATGAAAGACATGAATCTGTCAAAGGGGAAGGAGGGAAAACGAAAACGGGATGACATGGACCGAGACGACGACAGTGTGCCGGCAGGGACGGGGGTGGGAAGAAAGAAGCGAAGATAGCGTTTATTCTTAGAGTAGAACGACATACAGATTACGCTTTGGTGATGACCACTCTTGGTAAGCCTCGGAACAAGCAGACTGTGCTCGCAGTAAGCAGTCTATCAGATAAGATATAAAACTTGGACCTTGCGGGGACATCTCGAAGGTCATGGACGGCTTGAAGACTCTCGTCAGCAACAGTGTCAACGGACTCAAGGGTCTCATCGTGACTAAACGCCCACAGGACGAACTGATCGCGGAACTCTCTAGCGCGTCGATTCCGGCGAGCGCAGACCCGTGTAGGACATGCGGGAATCCATGCGATGTCGGGCATCTCGAGTATCCAAATCGACTATTCATTGATAACTTGTCGAATATGTTGGGTTCCGTCAAGCCATACATGCGCCAGGTCAGCCAAAAAGTTGAAAATTTTTATGGGTCACTGATGAAGCGGATGAATAGGTCGTGATTTCAACTGGAAAAGCCGACTGGGCACATGAAGTCACTGAGGAAACCGGATCACTCGCGCAGCTTCTGGCAAATAATCCGAGCACCTCGAGTAGTCTGAAATGCACAACTGCGAGCTATCCACCAAGCAAGCCGTCTACTAGGATCGGGATCTTGAACGGATCACATACATCACACGAAGACGAGACACACAGAGTGCTCGTCTTCCCCGACTACAAAGTTGTCTCGCATGTCCCAGCCACAAAGTCCGGGGCCTTTGACCTCCAGCAGCGCGCTCTAGACCCCGCACTTGGCAGAGTCGGTGCTCCTACACCGAACAGTACGGATATAGACGAGGAAGTGGGCAGAAGCTACGTTCTGCCGTACGCATGTGTCATTCTCATCTGTGAGCTTCTTTCATGCTTGGATTGCAAGTGCAGTATACCAATCAGTGTACAACAGGTTCACACAAGAAACGGGATAACAGGTGTCACATTGCCGCTTCAAAGCTTGAGACTGCCATCTGCCGCGAATTAGAAGGCCGTGGATGGAACGTCGACCATAACCTACGTGATGAAGACTGCATGGGAACCTCGCTCGAGGATCTCACCGGGACAGAAGCCGAGCGGGAGCAGGCCATGAGTGAATTGTTACGCGATGCGGCGAACGGGACACTCAATGACCAGAAGATGGCGCTCCTGATCAAGGTATCTCATATTGGTGGTCATAAATTTGCGGGTCAGTGTCCAGCCTTTTGATTCTATGGACAGATCCTGACATCGTGATAGGAAACATTATAATCTACACACCACAAGGTCCAAATGGCACCGGTATCTGGTACGGACGCGTTAGTCCACACGAGGTGCCCGCCGTCGTCGAGCATACCATCCTTCAAGGCCAGATTCTACCTGAGCTACTGCGTGGAGGAGTCAACATGGAAAGAGCAAAAGGAAAGAGTTTGTTGGACTGGTGACATTCGTAGAACTTTCAGAATATATGTCGCGCTTTGTCGGATCCGAATGAGGTTTATTTATTTGGGTTACGCGTCGTTCACACTTGGCTATCGCTCTTTCCGTCGTTTTCTCAAATCACGATACAAGATATCTCAAGTGCGGATATAGATCGACTTTTGGGTGTTTGAGATGGATCCGTCAACCTTACAAAGACTACTTGGACGCGCGGCGGCTGCACGAGATGGAGGCGGCGCAGGAGTGGATCAACCGACGCCAGACAAGTAGGTATTGCTCCAAAATATCAATGCATTTGCTCTATCTGTCGCGTGCGATGCTGACTGACTGGCGTAGTGGCGAGGTCATTCACATCTCGTCTCTCGCCCTTCTCAAGGTGAGAAGCTAAGAATTCGATGAAGATTAGCTCACAGCATGCAGATGCTCAAGCACGGTCGCGCGGGTGTGCCAATGGAAGTCATGGGTTTGATGCTCGGCGAGTTTGTCGACGAATAGTGAGTTTATTCGTATTAATGAACATTATTCTGATGTCTCGTAGTACAATTCAGGTCGTGGATGTCTTTGCCATGCCACAGTCCGGGACGACGGTCAGCGTCGAGTCTGTCGACCATGTCTTCCAGACCAAGATGCTGGAAATGCTAAAGCAAACTGGACGGTACGTACATCATGATCTCATGTCCTCTTCTCAATGACGAATACTTGATAGACCCGAGATGGTCGTCGGTTGGTATCACTCTCATCCAGGATTCGGATGTTGGCTCTCCAGTGTCGATATCCACACGCAGCAAACCTTTGAGATGATGAACTCGCGCGCTGTCGCCGTCGTTGTCGACCCCATCCAATCCGTCAAAGGCAAAGTTGTCATTGATGCGTTCCGAACTATTCCTTCTACAACAGTTGTTATGGGTGTCGAACCGCGCCAGACGACGTCGAATATTGGACACATCAAGAAGCCGAGCATCCAAGCGCTGATACATGGGCTAAACAGGCATTACTATAGTATTGCCGTGAATTATCGAAAGACGGAGCTGGAACAAACCATGCTCATGAATCTGCACAAGCAGAATTGGACGAATGGGCTGAAGCTGAGAGATTTTTGCGATCACAAGGCGGAGAATGAAAAGGCGATCAAGGTATGTCGTCCTTGTGAGGAACATGAACAAGAGGTTGATGATGGGCTAGTCGATGTTGAGCTTATCCGAAGCGTATAACAAGTCTGTGCAAGAGGAGACGACGATGACGGCCGAGCAGCTCAAGACGCGCCACGTCGGAAAACAGGATCCGAAGCGGCATCTAGAGAATGCAGTCGAGACCGCAATGGGCAATCAGGTGAGCGGTCCATCTTATCTCGCCACCCCCGCTTGCCACTTGTCATTTCATCCATATCTGCACCCGCCTCCATCCTCTGCAGAATCTCTATTGAGATTGCATTCATCTTTAATCACAACGGCTCGGGGACGGTGGTTCTGGAACCCCATATCGCGAGTGGTATCCGGGCATCAGCGGGCGAATGCACACGAGTTGGTTCTACTTGTCACGGGACATTGTGGGAATGGACCCTGACTCATCGTTGGATGAATTATGTTGGGGTTTACCCCTTCGCGCTCCTGACGTTCTGATACAAGCCGTGCTCGCGTGACGCTTCATCGTTGCAGGATCCTATTCGTCCGTCGGACGTAGCTGGCGCGTGATGTCGTCCATGCCGCTCTGCGCCCCCACTCTATTTTGCAAACCCCCCGCATCATTCTACTTCCGCTCAATTGACGATCACTCACTGATGACGGATTAGGTTGTCCAAAACCTGGGGACAATGATGCTCGCTGAGCTCTAGAATTCATGTAAAGTAGACAAACAATCACGGGCAATACCTCTGAAATGTTATTGCTCTAATCATCTCGACTTGATCATCGAGTCTTCCCATCGACTAAACGATGGAACCAAGCCCATTGCCCGTGCGCGTCGAATGGCCTTGCCAATCTTGCGCTGACTCCTCCATGTGAGCTTTGTCTCGTTTCGCTTTTGTATCCTGCCCATGTCTGTCGTAAACGAGGAGATGAGGCTGCAGTTGAGGACCTCGTCCAGCGGGTTGATGCCCAGTTGGTAAAAGACGTCTTGGCGGACTGCGAGTGCGCGTGGCGGACCCGAGGGTTCGATCATTCTTCTGTGTGTTGGTGGGAGTCGGTTTACTGGTTCAAAGTCATATGGATTGTATGGCTTTTAGATGTTGAGAAGTAGTCGAGTGTTGCGGTTGGGTTTGCTTACTTTATTGGGGGTAAATCTCTGCAGACCCTCTGGTTGAGGTGATGCTGTAAAGGGGATTAGATTGCTCATGTCCGTCGATACAACGAGTTACCAACCAATGACCCGGTTGGATGGTGGGGGAGCCTTTGCAATGATGAGTTTTCGAGTATAGACAGATTATTAACATACCTTTTTAATGGAAGGGGTTGCTTGTATCCTCGCCGCCAGGTCAATGAGGTTTCCTCTGCCATTGGCATACTGTCTCGTATGTTGAATAAGACGCTGTGGACGAGCTATGCATCGAATGCTGTTGCAGAGCATATTTCCCAACGTGTGGCTGCCAGCAAAGAGAAAAAGACCACGAAAGAACGGGGGTCCAGAAGCCAAATCGACTTTGTTTCTCAAAGTCGACCACCAACGATCCCCCCCCGCCGCCGCCGGCGTCGACGACGACAAAATCCAGTGTGGAAATAATTCGTTAATCTCGTCGACGCGTTGTGCTCGCCGAGCTGCTCGCTCCCGGCGCACGCCTCGCCAGTTGTCACCCCGTCGCTGCTCGCGTTTGCCGCTTTTTGTGCTGCGAGGATTGCTGCAGACGACGCGATAGAGCATTTACAACACTTTGTTACTCGAGTACGCGCCAGAGATGGCATTCGATGGCCACAAACCCCTCCAGGGAGGCTCCCAGCGGCGGTCCAGCAGTCCCATTAGCTTTTTCTCGCCATCTACAGCCAGAGTGTCCGATAAAGATCTCGAAGACGCCCCGACGCGGCCCATGAGTGTGAATCCGCTTACATACCCTCCCACTAATCACGACCAGACGAATCCCCCTGGAACCCCTCTGACACTCTCCACTTCCGTCGTTACTGCACCAGTTCCGATGGCCTCGACGACGCCCGCACTCTCGTCGGGGATCGCCTCGCCCTATGTGCCCCCGATGAACCAAATCTCAATGCCCTACATCAAGCGACACGCCGTCAAACGCGTTAAGAGCGCAAAAGATGCCTGCAATACAGAGCTTCAAAAGGTCATCCACTCGATTACAAACTATTTCGAGGAACGGCTTGGCGAGAAAGAGCGCGAAGAGGCAGAGGAACAGTATGCCAAGGCTCAGCTCCAGCAGCAGTACATGCGCGAACAGCACATTCACAGTCGCGATGCCATGTCCGAGGATGGCTCCCAGGCCTCGCATCTTCAAGTGGGCAGCCCAGGAAATGTAGCCCCTGCCGAACTTGCAGCGGCCATTCAGCAGATTCACAACTCGAAATATGATGCCCACAGTGAGGGTATGACCGACGCAGATGATCGTCCTTTGACGAGGGCAAGCAGTCGGCGAACGGCCAACAGCTCCAGTCGGCCTCATAGTCGCCAGCGTAAGTCTATTGCCCAGTTCTTTTTTCGCTCTAAACAAATTATAATAGCCTCCTTCTCGACACCAGCAGGTCTTCGACGTTCTGGCTCGCTGCATAAACAGGTTCCTCACTCCGCACCAATCACCGTCCCAGGCAACAGCACGCAGTCTGGCAGCGGCGATCAAAGTCCTAGCCTTCGCGCCTCGTCCTTGATCTATCAGCCAACACCAACGAATTGGAGCGCGCAACCGGGCAACCCGCCGGCAACGGCTCCTTTACCGGCGTCCTCTCAGCAACAGCAGAAGCGGCTATCCAGGCACATGCACGTGCCCACACATACTTCTGGCCACTCACAAGTGCATCCACAGGGTCCACAATCCGAGATCTCGTCTCGGTCAACCTCTCGATCGCGCTCGCCTATGCCCTTTACGCAGAGCTCGACTGAACATGCCACGCCAAACTCGTCATCGCCAAAAACGACGAATAAACGTCTCTCACGACATATGGACAGCAGTACCAACCTGGAGCCACCCGTCGATCCGTTTGTGTCAACCTTGCACGACCTGATTGCCGTCTGTACGGATATTCTCGAAATGTCCCCAAACGCCCTCACATCTAAGCCTGGCATGGGTGCCGATTTGGTCAGAAAGGTTCAAGAAGTCGGGCGTGCATGGGACGCTCATCCAGATTGGTACGGACGGACCTGGTACATTACCGTCCTTCTCGCAGTCGCAACCCTCGCTCGTGTCGTCGAATGGTTTGAAGCCGAGCGCCAGTTTTGGAACTTCGAAGACAATGACGAAGAGGGCGAGATTGAGCCGCTGACGTTTGTGCTCAAACCAGAGTCTGAAGTGGGGTCGAGAAGCGGGTACGAGAGTCGAGAGCGGGATGAAAGTATGCCGAGAACGCCCTTGGCACCGTCCAGCGTTCTGGATGAAAACCCGCTGCGGCTGTCGCGCGAGTCGAGTCTTGGACAAGTGCATGAAGCGCGACGATCACGGGATGAACGCGTGCCGCAAAAGGACCTGCGTGGTAGCATGCTCATAGGGGACCAAGGCTTACCAGCTCCATCGTCAGCGATGACTGAGCGTGCGGCTCAGCAGCCCTCACCAGCACCTGTTACGCAACCTGCCCAGCCTCTTGTTCACGGCGGTCAGCAAGCTGGAACCGCCGAGGGACAGGGTACGAACGACGGAAGCCTCGCCACGAGCGAATCCATGCGGGTAGAGGCTAGCGAGCACCTTCGGCAGAAGGCTGATAAAGCAAAGACGTCAAATATCCTTATGGAACTGAATTTAGACGGCGAACACTTTTTATACATTAATCGCAATTGGTTTGATGTCATTGGGTACGTTTTTACCGAGTTCTTCTTTGGTGATAGTTGTTGACGTACCCTCTTAGCTCGGATCCGGATACGCTTGTCAATACTGGGATGGGCATTTCTCCTCTTCTTCATCCTGACGATCGCAACAAGTTTAGAGAAGCGAGCGAGAAGCTGCAGACGGATGACTCGCATACAGTAGAGATTGTCTTCCGCATCCAGGTAGAGGATCCGGACGCGTCTCCAGACGGCCAGTTTCATGCACCCGTCTATCGCAATATGGAGGGATCTGGCATGCTCATGCTCGACCGCGTCGACCATGTCCCGTCTCACACGATGTGGGTCATCAAGCCCGCACCAGAACCTACACCCACCGAAGAGAAGCAAGAGGTGTTGGCACCAGAACCATCACCCGGCTTTGCTCGGATACCGACGACTCCATTCCGCTTTCCCATGTCGCGTACCTCGACCGAAGGCATCAATCAGCTCGCGATCCCCGTCATCAAATCGCTCTCCGCCACGCCCATTCTCTGCCGCATCTGCGAGAACCAGATCCCGAGTTGGTTCTTTGAGAAGCACAATGAGACGTGTAACGAGGTGCATAGATTTGAAGCCGACATTGCAGAGTGCAACGAAGGGATTTCCGAGCTTCGTAATACTGTTCGAGAGCTTATCACCGGTATTGAAAAGCTTGGGGTGAATGTGGAAAAGACGATGCCGGAGCGACCAACGCTCGAGTACCGTGGCATGTCCATTTTCACTCCCACGAGTACTGGAACGACCAATTCGCCCATTCAAGCCTTTAGACCGCCACTTGCGTCGAGGATGCAGCGCGTCGGTGTCCGCAAAGCCCAGCAACGTCTCCTCGAACAAATTGAGGAAATTCTAACGACTGCATTGGAAATATCGGTTCCCAGTCTCAAGGAGGAAGAGGCCAAGGAACCGATAGAACGACAGCGATTATTGTCCCCCGACTCGGAAGATCGCATTGGAAAGTGTAGTACGTGGATCAAGCCGGCTCCGGAAGACCCAGCGCTCTCTCGCCTCGTTCAAGATTCTGATCTCATCATCAAGCAGAAGTTGGACACGGTTATGCGTATGCAAAACACAGTGCGCTATTCGGAAAAGATTCGTCAAGAGTGGGCTGTCAAGTACGACGAGGCGGTCGCCTCGATGCTGCTCGAGCAATCGACACCAATCGAGCCGTTGATGGAGGAGCCTCCAGAAGACATTCTTGAGGGTGAAGATAGTGATGGTGCGTCGAGCACCACGTCTGAATACGACTTTGGACGCGAACGACCTTCGACTGACCCAACACCAGTCGCCTCTTCTCCGGCTCGCATTCCTTCCTCGCTCCCATTGGTACCGGTCATGCCTGTACCTGTCCCCGCCACATATCAGGGTGTTGGAGCGCACAAGCACAGTCGTTCCTCCACTCCGTCTTCAGTCACTTCGCCACTGGCTATTGCTGCACCGATCAACGCTTCGACGCCAGAAGCCATCGATCGTGCGGCGCTTCTTGCGGCAGTGGAGGATCACACGCAAACGATACGCGCTCGTCGCATGTCGATCAATTCCGTTGGAAGTCCCAGCGCCATGCTGTTAGAACCTAAGCTCCTTGTTACACCCCCTGTCTCACCACTCCTGAGCACTACGGTGCCACCAATCTCAACGGCTGGGCATCATGCTAGGAGGCATTCGATTGTGCAGCCCATTCTCAGCCCGACTGTCGCCGTTGCATCTGGGTCTCATCATGGTCGCCTGCCATCGGTCGCTCCGTCTGCGGCCAAGGCGGCGCCATCGTCCATCCGCGACTTTGACATTATCAAGCCGATCAGCAAGGGCGCGTTTGGATCCGTCTTTTTGGCCAAGAAGAAGACGACGGGCGATTATTATGCTATCAAGGTCCTCAAAAAAGCAGACATGATCGCCAAGAATCAGATCACAAACGTCAAGGCCGAGCGAATGATTTTGATGAAGCAGGCCGAATCTCCGTTTGTCGTCAGGCTCTTCTTTACGTTCCAGAGCAAGGATAATCTCTATCTCGTCATGGAGTACTTGAATGGAGGTGATTGTGCTGCACTTGTCAAGGCCCTTGGGTCGCTCTCAGAGGACTGGGCGAGAGCGTACATCGCAGAGGTTGTCCTTGGTTTGGAGTATCTTCACAGCAAGGGCATCGTTCACCGGTATGTATATCCCTCTTCAATACACGTTTGTATGCTAACATTGATTTAGTGATTTGAAGCCAGACAACTTGCTCATCGACTCGCAAGGGCACCTCAAGCTGACCGACTTTGGGCTCAGTCGTATCGGTCTCTTGGGCCGCCAGACGCGTGAATCGCGTCGACTGCCAGAACGTCTACTAGGTGGCAAAGCAGGTCGCGGACGACGTAGCCCAGGCTCGCGGCCGACGTCGTTCGATTCCGGATATCTCCAATCGCCTCTCCTGTCTGCCAAGATTGAAGACTCTGGTTCATATTTCAACCCACGAATGGCTGCTGCTGCACAGATGCAAGAGGACGTCAGCGAGTCGAGTGGTTCAGAGGGGGTTGCACATCTCATGTGGCGAAGAGGCAAACAGTCGCAGGCGGACAGCCCGCTACAGTCCTTTGCTTCGGAGCTGGCGACAGAGCTTAGGTCACAGCAAGGCAACAATAACACTAGCAATAGCACCGCGAGTGCCCTAGTGTCGTCTGGTCATACCGGAACCACACCTCCCGCTGCACCTGAGCAAAAGTTTGTCGGTACTCCAGACTACCTGGCTCCAGAAACGATTCTCGGATTGTCAGAGGACGATCGTTGTGTCGATTGGGTATGTTTATCGGCTTCAATCTGTTACACGTAAACTAATGGTTTTAATAGTGGGCACTTGGTATCATTACGTACGAGTTTTTGTACGGCATTCCACCCTTCCACGCAGAAACGCCGGATAAAGTATTTGAGAACATTTTGTCACGACGCATCGATTGGCACGAAGAGTGGATTGAATACTCTCCAGAAGCTAGAGATTTCATGGAACGTCTCCTGGTATCAGATCCGACGAAGCGATTGGGCATGAATGGAGCGCAAGAGGTCAAGGCTCACCCTTGGTTCGCCGAGATTGAGTGGGACAAGGTCATGCAAACCAAACCTCAATTCGTACCAGAAGTAACAGACCCGGAATCGACCGACTACTTCGATGCGCGAGGCGCTATCCCTCAACTATTCCAGGACGACGAGGCAATCGCGGTTGCAAAACCCGCTTCAGATGCCACCACGACTGCCGATGCGGCATCAAAGACTCTATCGGGCAAGGGACCACTACGTGACGCTGTACCGGCGCCGGCAGCAGACGATTTTGGTACCTTCCAGTTCAAGAACCTTCCCGTCTTGAAGCAGGCAAATGACGAAGTCATAAAAAAGCTCAAGTCAGAGCAGGTTGCCGCCATCACGCAGGCCTTGGGGGATAGTGCTGCGATGCATCATAGAAGACGCAGCATCTCCAGGCGCATCAATAAACCTACCAATGTCCTGACCAATTTCGAGCCCAAGGTATGTTCCTGTACTATCCAGCGAATTTCGCTCACGGTCTTATAGCAAGGAACTACGAATCCCCCCTCACCGTCGACGTCTGTCTCATCTATTGCCTCTTCACCGTCCCGTGGCAGCATGGGACCATCCACGCCTGGCAGCGTCCAAGCACATCTCCGTCGACCCTCGGAATACACTGCTGTTGATCGCTTCAAGGCGAATCAACTTGATCCAGACCGACGAAACTCTATGCCGAGTCGATTGAGGACGGCGTCCGTCTCCAGCTCCGACCACGATGCAAGCTATTCTGCTGCAGAAGCTTGGTCACAGTCTATTGGATCTTCGGCCACTTCGTCTAGCCCTGCTCCGGAACCAAAGCGTGCTTCAGAGACGAGTGGCGTGGACCGGGCGGTTGTATGTCTCATTGCAGAGGACAACCCCATATCGGCCAAGATTTTGGAAACTCTTCTTGTTCGCCTAGGCTGCCGTTGCGTTATGGCTGCTGACGGGGCAGAAGCTATCAGTACGGCCCATGGTGATATCAGTGCGTCATCTTTCTTTAAACAAGATATTGACATTGACCAGATTTACAGAATTCGATTTGATCTTGATGGATTATCACATGCCCGTGGTCGACGGTGAATCGGCAGCTCGATACATCAAGAGCACGAATAATCTGAATAAGAGCACCCCGATTGTCGCTGTCAGCGCCTACGTTGGGGTCGACAGCAACGTAGCCAGCAATCTCTTTGCGGCTTGCCTTTCCAAGCCCGTGCACAAAGCAGACCTTTTGGCCGTCATGCGTCAGTTGGGCTTCCGTACATCTACTTCGGAGGGCCCAAAACCTCTATCACAGGTTTCGAAAGTTGCTGCGGCCGTGTCGTAACTAATCCTGCGAGTGCGGCCTTTATCTAGAAATCTCGCGTCTTAACCTCTTTGTGGAAACAATCCCTACCTTGCTGTCATGTTGTAGACTCCTCGTGTCTCCTTGCCTTTCCATGCCTGCTTCCCTCATCATCCCTCTTGTAAACCTCGACCTGTCTCCCGCTCTGTCCTTGTACACCTTTGTAGCAACAGCGCATCATATACACCCTTTTACGATATATTTGCTCCGTGTCCCAACTTCAAGAAACCCGACTGCAATTCATCGTATCACTAGTCAAAGCTACCTACAAAAGCTGAGAGATCGATCCAGGTCGGCATGTCATAATCGTCGACTAAGACGATGACGTTTTTCCTCGCTATCACATCCTTCATTCTAAATTTGTCGTCCAGAATAGCTTTAAAGTTGGGAGGGAGAGGTAGGACTGGACCGTAAGGAAAGGCCGCGTGTATCCAGCCTTTTCGATGGGTGAGGAAAGAGGGGTAGTCGCGGAGGGATGGGGGTATAGTATCGCTAATAACGCGAATGAGTGCATTTCCATCGATCGCCCATACCAGGGATTTAATCACGACGAATTTGCCGTCAGAGGAGAAACGAGGCCGGTCCCAAGGGTTCCACGATTCATGCGGCATCTTGATTTGCGCCATAGGTTTCTGACCTCGGCTCCTCCAATCCCACAGCTCAAGAAATTGATGGTCGGGCATGACAAAATTCTCAATCACTGTGATTGCGAGGAGATTACCGCCTGGCTGTATATCCAAATGACGAAGGGACCTTGCTCGTATGGATCCAATCTCTTCATTGTCGGCAAGATTGAAAACTTGAACTGTGGATGACGGGTATACGGCTATGGTAGTTCCATCCGCGGAGAGGGCAAACTTGTTCTCTATGTCTAGTTCTGTCGATTTCCACAAGGATTTCCCGCTATGATATTCCCACACCTGAGTACATTTCCCTCTGCTAATTGCAATGAGAGACCCGTCGAGATTAAAGGTGATGGTACCCCCAAAGGTCTCTGGATCCTCGTCCTGTAGAGCCTTTGGTAGCTTGAGATCCGATTTTAACGAGATAAAGATAGCACAGCCGTCTCTACGAGTGTATACGAGCTCCTTTTCATCCGGAGTAACCTTGAAATCTCCAATATAGTCACCTGAGGATGTGTCGACAAGAGTTCTCCGTTGCGGCGGATTACTAGCACCATTCCAGAGATCAATCCGCCTCTCTAATTCACTTCCAGGACGTAGTATCAAAGAAGAGGTGTCAGATAATAGGATACCTTGAGCATCCCGGATTGCTTAGTCTCGGGCTTTGCAGACCTTCTTTCTGGCCACCAAGATCGAATATTCGAACTTCTCTGAGACCCCTTTGATTTAATAGGACATTCCAGTCTGGTGTGAGGACAACCTGCCAGCCAACCACTCCTACATAACCCTGGAGAAGACTCGGCAATTCCTGGAGAGTATTAACGTCCCACACTTTGATTTTCTGGTCGTTAGAAATGGCAGCTATTCGTTGACCGTCCGCAGATACCCAGACCCGATGGAAGTAAGCGCAGTCGCTAGTGACCGACCAAACCTTCATCCCATTTCGTGAGTCCCACAACTCGATCGTTGAAGTACCTCGGGGAATAGTAACCATTTGCGGACTGTGAGGCATAAAGGCTACGGCATGAGAAGGCGGCTCGTCGACATCCGCCATCGTCACTTGCTCTCCAGTTTTGCCGTCGAGGAGAATCAAGGCTGATGGCTGTTCTCTACGGCGTGATGCAATTGCCACACGCGTGCTATCACTGGAGTATCTAATGGTGGGGATTTCGATAGGAGCAGTCTCAATTTGTATGAGTTGCTCTAGATTGACCATGTCGACGATCGTGATATATGATGCTTTCGAAGCGCGTTTATCGTCGAAATTCCCAATATGAACACTTCTTTCCCCATCTGGGGAGAATTCAAAGTACGTACTTGGGGGGTCTAAAGTCAAAAAATCGTCGTAAAGCTTGCCCGTAGCCAGATCGTACATTCGAGTATAGCTCTCCGTGATATTATAACCGTCCATTCTCCCGGCAGCCACGGCGATGTAAGGTTTTGTTGGCGAGAAGCGCACGGTCCTGTAAGGTCCATGCGTGCGAAGATCGTGTGGCACTCTGTAGAACCATACTTGCCTACCAGTACGAGCTTCCCATAAGACCAGATTTCCCGCGACTAGCGCTATAGCCAGATACTTGGAGTCGCGGAAAAATCTGCGTCGATAACTGTTCGATATTGATACGTTGCCTTTAGAGGGACACCGACGACCTCGCCGGTGTACAGATCCCAAAGTTGGACAGCTGCGCTCATGCCAACTGTGACCACGCGGGTACCATCTGGGGAAACCTTGACTATGTTGATATCGTCCTCCTCCCAAGAGAGTCTCCTTTGCGTTTCCCAAAAGACGGGAGCCGCGGTTATAGTCTTCAGGAGAGGAAAGCCGCTTGTGGCTCCGACGACATTACTCAGCGGGGACCCTTGGGGCGCTAGCGCGGCAGGTATAGTATATGTATGAAAAGCTGCTTCTTGGATAAGTGAATGGTTCCTCAGGACGAGCAGGTATGCGTGCTGCACAAAGAGCTTATCGATAACGACCTACAGAGGATAAGCTGAGCTCATTAAGATGGCGAAACATACCTTCGAACCAGTAATACTCGCTTCTTGTCGCACCCTGTAACTCAAACGAGACAGTGCTTGTAGACAATATCCAAGCATACCCCTCCAGCTCATGAACTCAATCCAGTGATACAAGTGACTCTGGAAAAAGCGCGCTATCTTTGCCCAATCCTGCCATGAGTCCTCCGAGGCGACCACATGGTGAGCCCAATAGGAGCTTGCATAGCGTACGACAGGGGAAGTACACTTCTGAATCCTCTCTTCGAGTTCCTTGATATCACTGTTACGAGGAATGAGGTGTTTTACCTCGCGGCTCAAGTCGAGCATGTCAAACCTTAACGAGTCTTCCAACACGTCTAGGCAAGCTTGTCCCACGAGTGAGTGGGATGGATCAATATGAATGAGGAATCCGTTCGCTCTGTTCTCGTTGGAGGCGATGAACTCGCGGAAGGTTGGGTGAAGAACTTTGAGGGGTCGATCAGGGTCCCCGTCCTTGATCACACTAGCGAGATTTTGTACCAGCTCATCAATCTGATGAACGGCAGGAAGAAGCGAGATAATGGTATTGGTCGAGACTGGCTGAAATGCGGAGATAATGACTTGAATAACTTGCCTTAAACTTGCCTTCCCGGCACCGTCATCGATCAAGGCTTGTTTGAGAACGTTGAGATAGAGCTGATCTATTGAGCCAGTGACGGCTTCATGACTGAGGTTGGCTAATAGTCGGGCTCCCAAACGAGTTTGCAAGAGGGTACGACAGAATGTCGCCGCCCAGATGAAAAGGCCCTTCGCATGATCGATAACTAACTGACGATCCTCAAGAGAATAGTTGTGGAGCTTCGAGTGAACGTACATGGCGATATCGTCCTGCGGTGGATTGTTGACATTCAAAAGCTGAATACCTTGACCACAAACAAGGGACGAGCTGTTCATGACGTCCACTATGTCCTGTATTTCGCGACTTGTGATGAGGATTCTGAGTCGAGGGACCATTGGGAGCTGGAAGAGAATCGTCTTGAGAAAGTATGCTCGATCGTCTAGGTCGCAGTTGTCCAAGGCGTCTATCACAAGAATGGCCGTCTCCTTTGTTTTTCTCCGTGCCAGTGGTTCGATAATAGTTTGCCTAAATTGGAGAGCAAAGTCCATTCGGCTTTCCATTGAGGGAGACTCCTTGAGTTTGGTTTCGATCTGTTCTTTTAAGTCTGGAAAGTGACACGCAATATCCGCAGCCACTGTACGACAGAAATACTTGATCCTCTTATTGAGCGCGATGTTGGGACTAAAGAAGAAGCGCCCAGCGAGCCGTCCTTCTCGCTCCCACTCGGCTGCTATTGTTACGGCTATAGTCGACTTGCCGGTACCAGCAGCATCTCTGAGCCAGAACATTGGCTCGCTTTTGATGTCTTTGCCCCACTGGCGAATTCTTGAGAGCACCTCTATGCGCGTTCCCGGCTCGCATCTTTCAAGGTCTGTTCCGTATGCGTATTGCAATGCATATCCAAGGGCTTCATCTGCACCCTCCATGTCAGACGATAAACGCGCAATAGAAGTATGACAGACGCTCTTCCCCCTTGCCTAATGCGATAGTAATTGGGTCGATTTGGACAATATCTTGACGCATTCTTCCGGCTATATCAGCCAATTCGTCTATTTTCGTGACCATCGGTCGAGACAGGGCTCCCTGCGAAGGCCTAAGTGGTGGCATCATTGACGTGAAGAGTCCATACCATATACATGCGAAACGCAGCCTCTTCTTTGGAGCGGAGGAGGTGAATCTGGAGCGGGCTGACGGTAATCTTGGCGAAGTACCGTGCAGAGCTCTGACGGCCTCCGGCCTGGGTCATGGCATCTTTTGCCACCGCTACGATCTCTCGAATAACTCTTGAGAGAAAGTGAATACAGGAGGGAAGTCACTTGTCATCACTTACCCGATATAGCTCTCCATCGCCTTGTCAAGGATCCCATCTTGCGTCGGCCCCTGTTGACTCGCCAGTTTGTCGATCCTGGATTGAATATCATGCGCGTGCACATGTGCATCATTTAACAGCTGTCCCCATTCCTCATCGTTGCTGTAAACAGCCTGAAGAACAATTAATGGAAGCATGAATAGTCAACGGGATAAAGTCACTCTAGCAAGTTTAATCCCTCTTATGACGACAGAAAACGTGTCGTTGAGCGACGGAAGAGTGGGCGTTGTCTCGGACGGGTCTCGAACGACGGATGATCCCTGCTCTAGCCACTCGGAAACCTGTTCATAGGTCATTGGAGAGTTAGGAAGCTCTTCAATTCCTCGAATAGGTGCTTCCTGATCACTTTCAGGGGGAACTGTACTAGTTGGTGGCTCTTGATCGCTCATACCACCAGCCTGGGTTTCCAAAGCAGGCTCTGTCGTCGTCGGAGAGGGTTCTCGAGTTCGAGAAGAACCCACAGACTTGGCATTTCTCCTAATCTTCTTAATCAGATGTTTCATTCTGAAAGGTCGAACGTGGTTGAGGTCGAAGGCGCATCGACTAAGTTGGAGCTGACGACTACTCAGCATAGGTCCTCATGAAACTTGAACACCTGGCACACCAGATCAATTTGTCTATCAAAAACAATAATGGATCTCGTTTAGGAACGTTACTATCGGTCAACGATACGGATCACGTCTTCGCACTGCGCAGAGAGAATGTCGGGAGTACCGTAAGACATGTCCTATTTCTCCTTGCAATGAACTCAATCCATTATTCTCGCCAAACGCTCAGCGGGATGGGTTAACCCGCAAGTATGCTACCAAGATCGCTACGCCATGGGATGAGATTTGTATCGCACACTTGCTCGCGATCAATGCCATAGAGGAGAAAAGAATGGAAGAGGCATACAAAGAACAAGCGCTTGTCGTAAAGTAAGCGATAAACCTCGATCTCACCCTGAAGTACCAACTGACAGCATTGTCCAGCGCATTTCTTCGTTTCTTTACATCGCAAACAAATTGGATTCTTCCAGCTCTCTGGATTGTCCTACGCGAACTGCGAGATCTTGCACATGAAGTCAGGGGTCGATCATAACATTGCCTTCTTTACACTTACCTGAATTGAAGGGGGACACGGAGCTGTATAACATGCACAAAGCGACGACATGCTGCGAGGATGCTGCAAGGATCTGCAACAAAGCATTCACCAGTTGCCTCACCGACAGGTCAGTCTTCTTGGATACAATCAGCCGGCGCTGACTCCTTGGCATCGTTCATTCAAAGGACGTCTCAGCCTACCGAGTCACGCAAGTGGGGCGTATACCGCGCGGTGAATATCGTACTGAAGTGCTACTTCAAGGTGATTGCCGTTCGCGTGCCGCACCTCCAGGACCTATATCTCTCTCCTTAGGTCAACCGAACCAATCTGTCTAAGAACGTTATTCGAGCAATCGAGGTTGTTACGGAAATGCCTCCACTAGAGCGATTCCCTACCGCAGATCAGGTAGACTCATAAGATGCAGATGATTGGACCTAATGTTTTGTAGGTGACCTACAGGTACTATCAAGGATTGCTCGCTCTTCTAGAGGAGAACTACATCAAGGTGAGGTTTCTCTAGACCCAATTTCGCGGTGCTAATCGCATTTGTTCGAAAGGCTGAAGGAGAACTCACCTTTGCCTTCGAGAATTGCCATCGTTCAGCAGTTCGTAATCAAGAGTAACGTAGTATCACCCCAGTCCCACACTATCTGACAATTTAAAGGCGCATACTGACATTCCTCATACCTTTACGTATGATGAAAGGAAGTTTTCCCGCTCCTCGACTCCTTGCTCGGTTCCCAGCACTAGAAGAACTATACGACCCATTTATACAAAGTATCCGACAAGGCAACATCGCGGCATTCGACAAAGCCCTGCTTGAACTTGAGTCGCGACTGGTTCAGTTGAACATCTGGTTAATCATCGTGAAGGCGCGAGAAATCGTGATCAGCCGGGTTTTCAAGAAGTGGTCAGTGCTCTATCCTATCTTTATCACAATTCTGATACGCGACCACTCAAGTTGGTTGACTCTGGGCAAGGCGTCTCGCGTTCCTGTCCCTGCCTTTCAGGCGGAGCTCAAAGTGGCTGGGGAGCAGATGGATATGGAAGGAGCAGAATGTCTCGTTGCGAACTCAATCTTCAAAGGATATATCAAGGGTTATATCAGCCACGATACCCAGCTCGTTGTGCTGTCCAAAGCGGATCCATTCCCGAGGTTGCGAGCAAGGGGTTTACGTAATGGAGCCTAGACTTTATATTATTAAACCTCAGAGTAAAAGTGTCTCCCCCTTCTCAGTTGGCCGTGTATTCAGAGTGAGGATTGTTTGAATTAGCGGACCTTGCTCTCAACCATGTTACCCACTCCAATCTCCGAGGCTGCATCTAAGCGCATATGCGATTATATGAATGAAGGTACCGACGTGAAGCGTTATGTCTATCTCTCCTGATCACAGTCCATCTCCGTGGAATTATGTACTGGTTGAATCAACAAAACACCAGACCATTCCGACAGTTTGGCGTACTACCTGGAGTATTACACTAATACAAAGGCTCGTCCTCAAGATCTCGTCATGACTGGAATCACAAATTCAGGAATGGATATCGACATTGTCGGAAAGAAGGGCGAAAGACGTACCGTTCATATCCCGCTGGATCCCCCTCTCGAGTATGATGGTTGAAGCTTTGAGAGGTGTTCCTGATAGCCTTACTATACTGTCAGGAGTGCCAAAGAAGCAAGACAGCGACTTGTGAACATGACGTGGGAGGCCATAGAGGGACTTGGCTTGGTTCGTACCTTGCTTAAATACTATCCTATCTTGATCTCCTCCTGTAGTCACGATACCAGGTCGACCGCTACGTACTTACACTGGGCCAGCTGGTCGCAGTTTTTGGATCCCTGTTCATGTACTATCTCTTCCTCGCACCTCGAGCATACGTGCCGTATGTGTCCTTGATCGACGGGATCCAACCATTCTATCGCCTCTTCTGCATATCCTTGCCACCTTTCCTACACACCCTTGAGAACCAGCTTCTCATGGTACCCCTTCTTGATAAGCACCGAGTACATGGACGCTTGAGAGCAAAGTGGATCTTTGCTTGCTTGATGAGTGGAGGACCAGCTGTCAAGTCGTTCAAGAGTCTGGTCGCTCAGGAGAAGGAGAGGCTGGACGGACAAATGAAGAAGCAGTAGAGCATTCTTGAGTAGTTGCTATTATCTACAGAAAATACAGGCTTCGGTTCGGAGTCCCATATGGTGGCCCAACCTTGGAATCTACTTCTTGAGAGATCGACACAGTATATCTCTTACCTCCGCCATGGATTCAGCAAAAATCAAGAGTATGCGTGAGCATATGACACACGGTATGTTCCTATCCTTGTGATTCGATGTAGCGCCTCAAGGCTACTTTGCAGAGCATAATGACACGTTGTCGTACTACTTGGAAGGCTATACTCAGAAAGCATCAATACCAGGAAGCTGTGTTCTCAAAAGTATTAATGAGAATGGAATAGAGATTGAATACAAGACGCCAGACAAGAACTCCAAACGCGCGAGACAAATGATCTTGTTCCCACATCCTGTCACGTACGTAAAGGGTCTCAAAGTGTTGAATTGACTCTTAAGATCTACAGCACGGTGGCAGAAGCGCGGGATATGCTGGACCAGATGAGAAGCACGGCACTTATCTGCCTTGGCTTGGTGGGAAGGCCCGCATAACTTGTTGTTTGCGACTAATTATCTACAGTCTCCTTATCAAGTAACGAACTACCGTTTTACGCTTTCGCAAGCGATCTCGTTGGGCATAGGAGCACTGATCACGATCGCATACACGACATCCTACAACCCATTTCCGTTCAATTATATTTTAACTCCTATGCGTGCATACGTCCCAACTCACTATCACCTCCTTGCCGGGCTGGGATTCCCGATATCTCATGTGTTCGAATATTTTTTCCTTTTGCGACCTCTTCTCGTCACCCATCAGGTCCCACTGCCAGCTAGAAGGGTATGGTTTGCGGCCTCCATGCTGTGCGGATACACCGTAATCCCAACATTCAAGGATATGGTTGAAGAGGCTCGTAGTGACGAGCTACGACGAGCGACGAGAAGCTAGCAAGAAGTTTCACTGATATTTTCTTATTAGACTGAAATTTTTGGTGGGTTTCTTCGCAACGCCAGTGAGACAACTGACCGAATTGGCAGTCGTCGGCGCAGTCAAAGGGGGAAAAGTTGGCTCCCGACCACGACTGTTTCCGCTTCCTTCATCGGTTCTTCCTTGCTATTTATATTCGATATATGGACTCCACCCTCGATGGGTTTTCACTGCCAGAGTTGGGCTGGGACTGGGCGACCGCCTTTGCCCAGAACGAGCACCCTTTCGACCCTTTACACAATTCTATGATTTATGAAGCTAATTCAACTGATTTCCTTTTTGACCCGATATCCGCTTCTGTAGTCACGCCCACTGTCGGCTTGGGCTCCGCCGCTCCAGCTGCCCTAGGAGAACAAACTCTGGGAGGCGTCGAAATCAACTGGGATATACTCTCCAACGACTGCTTTATGCAATGCTTTACGACTACGGCCCCTTCCTTTGCAAACACTGCGACATCTGTTTCACATTTGGACGGGGGAACACAAAACGTTGTTGGCTACGAAGAAAATCGGGCTGTCGAGCTCTCATTACAAGATTTAGCCACGATCGAAGACGTGTTGAGCCGCGCCGCAGACAGTTGCCTCGCTCACCCATCACCGTCAAACTGGGCCGAAGGATGCGCACAGCCAAATCCCGACATCCAAGAAGATTATACCAAAGGAGATGAAATTAGTGGCACATTATCAACTCAAAGCGACGCGCACGAAAGGGAATCTCAGCATATCAACCCGATCGATGCGGAGGAACGGCGAGGGTATCCGTACTGGGGGGCGGAGCACTCGGATCAACCCCCTTCATATGTCTCGACGCCCATCCTACGGCGAGCTCAAGGCCTTCACACTCTCAAGGACCCAAAGCCTGGTGAAAGGCCACCATATAACCTGCGGACGCTGATCAAAATGGCCATCCTTGGTTGCCCGGACCAGAGGCTCCAAATTGACCAGATATTCGAGCAGATCATGGGCCGCTTTGAATACTATCGACTTGCAGAGAGTAAAAAAAGTGTTGGATGGAAGGTTAGGCATCTCTGATTCACATTTGATTGAATGTTCAAACTGTCTACAGAACTCTATTCGACATCAACTTTCTCTGTATGCCTGCTTTGTCAAGCGTGAAAAGGAGCGTGGCGAAGTGGGAAGGGGAGTTTGGTGGACGGTGGATGAGAGTGCGGATCCGAGCAAGTCTTGATGACCACATAGTAGCTATTTACTAACAACGCCACAGAAGCAACAAAACGGCAACTCAAACGTGGCCAGAAAACTCCATATGAGTGCACCGAGTCTATCTCGAGTCGGAAAAGGTCAGATTCAAGGGTTGTTCGATCAGGGAACCACTCTCAAGCGCGCCCTATTATGAGCAGTCAAGGAACGACATACCGGCCACTACCAGCTTTTTCAGCGGCCAAACACCTGTCATCGTCGCTCCCTATGGTACCATCCACCAGATCCAGTGGCTCGACCCGAAGCAAGCTTGCCAGCTTTGGAGCCGAACCATTAACTCCCCGCTCAAAGATGCAGCCATACTTATCATTCACATCTCGTCCTTTGCAAGCCAGGCCATCTCAACTGCTGACCGCCAATCCTGCATCAATCCTCACCAGAGTCGCAGGCGCTTCCCGTCCAAAGGCGCAAAAGTCTGAGGGCCCCGATTCTCTCAAGCCCTACAGCACTCCAGCGTATTCTGTACGACCCCTACCCTCTCGGGTGTACGCAGCATCGTGGACAGGGACGAATCCGCTCAAATTTGGGAGGGGAACGATCTCCAATTTGGCCGATAGTCCAGCTGGTCAAGCGTTGACGCTATCGACGGAGAAGGGCTACGCAAGTTCAAGTTGACCGCATCAGGTGCAATTTGTCGAAGGTTTCTGTAGGTTCATTAGCAGCCACTAGATTCGACTTGGTCAATTATGAGCGTTCTCGTGCCTCGATGTAATTAGGAACGCGTAATGCAACTGGTTGGACTTTACTAGCATACCTCCCACTTGACGTGTCTAGAATTAACAGGTTTATTCCTCCAGAAACACAGAATCAGCCTCAACCTTGCACACTCGCGATCATGGACGTTGGGTTTCTCGTCCAAACCGGATACTATCGGTGTCATCTGTACGTAATATCGTACGGAGAAACATGCAGAAGCGGTGCTGCACCAAGACCGGCGCATCCCGTTGTTCACCGAGGACGTTGTTCATTGCTCGCAAGAGTCACGCTCAAGAGCCTCTTCATTCCAAGAATATTCTGTTACACACGACTAAGCAATTACATCTGTAAACTTTGAATCAATATCGTACATCGACCATACCACAAGGCAAGGGGCCTTGCCACATTGGGGCGTAACCAAGAAGAGTATCAGACAAGCTTGCGTCTATCGGCGTTGATCAGAGAAGGGATACGACGTCCAAAGGTCAAAAGATTTGGAGATCGAAGTGACGAGATCAGCATTAGGGGAAGATGAGTCAGAAGTCGAGTCTGCGAGTTCCATCAGAGTGTCAAGAAAAGGTGTTGGGTCCATTTCATGCGTAAAGAAGTCTGTTGCCAGGTTTGCACGTTGAGCTGCACGGCTACAAAATACGATGAACATGAGTGACCCGTGAAAGTAGATTAGAGCTTACCGGTCTACCTCTGCGCTCGACTCTTGAATCGCCCTACTCGGTACGTATGGCGGAAGGTTATCCAGGCTAATCATGGCCTCGCCATCTTCTTCCTCCACCTTTGCGGGTACCTGGTCCATCTCGACATCTTCAGTAGGTGAGCTGTCGCTCGGTGCTGAAGAGCCAGAGGCTGGGCCAGCTGCGACACGAGAGTAGACGGCTGCTGCACAGATTGGGATGATCCGACCGCGGGTGGCACCCCATCGAGAGGTAGGCCGGAGCCTGGTGTCGATGGGATAGCCGCGACGGTCATTGGCAGAGTGCTTGGGTCCGCAGAACTAGTACTCGCAAAAGAAGAGGAAGGGAGGGCTGTCATGGTAGCTTGATCCGCGGGGGTCGAGAGGTGTTGGCCGACGACAGTCAGAGTACCAGTTGCCTGAGATACGCCCTCATCGTCGGATTGACCAGCAGTAATGGGCGGTTTCTAGCGTCGCGAGTTTAGGGCACATCAAGACGAAACAAGGGCTGACTCACCGAAGAAAGAGGTGACGGCTTCAGGGGCTTATTTCCGTGCTCTGATGCCCTGTACATGACGAGGTGAGGAGGAACCCTTGGCTTCTTGGATGCAGGTTTCGGAGCGCCTTTCAAGATCAACTGTGATGCCGGCAATGGCGTCTGAGAAAGGGCTGGGTTTGGCGGCAGAGACTTTCGTGGCGCTGGTGCTTGCAATGGAAGCGTCATCTGAGGACGCGGTGGTTTCGGTGTCGGCTTTGGAGGTGGCACAGGCGACGGAGCACGTTCGACGGGCGGGGGTGGTGGAGGTGGCGTCACTGGCCTGGGTTTTGGGGCAGGTTGACTTTGAGATGGTGGCGAAAACTCCATAAGCGTTTCGCCAGTCTCGGTAAGCATCATCTCGACGGACAGCACGGGCGTTCCTCGTTGGGTAGTGATCAACTTTGTCGTCCTTTTGACAATCTTTGGCGGTTTCTTTTCCTTTGGCGGCTCATCAGACGAAGGTCGTTTGGAGGTGCGCACAGGGCCGGGGCCAGACGACTTCTTTGACGAATCTTTAGGAGATGTCTTCTTTTTGCCACCAGACGCCGCAGCCGTCGCGGAGGGATTTCCCTGAGCAAGAGTGGGTATTCTTCTTCTCCTTGGTCGCGGAGGATCGGGTCCCCATTGCATCTCCTTGTAAGGGGCGTTTCTCCTTCCTTCTTCCATGAAGACCTCCATCATAGCTCGCCACTCTGCCGTTAAATCTGGCTTGACCTCTTCCTCTGGTACCGGTGGGACTTGCTCGGCAGTAGGGTCGGCATTGGCCTCTGGATTGGGGGCCGCTTCGTCACCCGACTTGCTCCGTTTGCGCGGTCCATCTTCCTCACCACTCTCGCGGCTACGCGATCGCTTAACACCTCGGGGTGCATCAGCAGAAGCAGCTGGTGGGGGTGTTTGCTTCGAGGGTGATGCTGGTGCTGCAGCCGATGGAGTACCTGTACGCTGTCGCTTCGCTGCACGCTCTTCATCGTCGGTGGGCTCTTCAGGTGCAGAACGCTTCTTGCTTGACCGAGTAGATGATGCCGCACTCATGGATCGGGTGGATTGAGGTTTTTCAGGTGCGGGCGATGGGGCTGGTAGGCCAACGGGAACCATGGGGGCGAGGACGAGTTGCAAACCGGTCAACTTCTTGTCTCGAGGTGGTGCCTGGTAGACGTATGGTGGGCAGTATTGCCAAGGTCGAGACATATCCCAGTCTGGAACCGGTGGTGCGTTGAGCATAAGCTCCATGTACGGGGACATAGGGGTAGGCGGATATTCTCCTGGAAACTGCTTGGCAGGACTAGGTCCATGCATTACAGGAGTTGGCTCGCGTTGACTATTGCCGGGAGATGGTGAGGGGCGTGTCGACTGGTGTGGCAAAGGTGATCAGGGCAAATCAAGAGGTGGCGAGTATACGTACTCAATAGGGTCCAACATTCTTGCCTGGAAAGAAGGCGAAAACCTTCTGGGATCATTCGGGTCTTCGATCTGACGGAGATATACACCGTCAAACTCGTCGTCCCAGGCCTCTTCGTCGGATAAGTCTGTTTAAGCTCGTCAGAATAAATAACCTGGGAATGTGAAATGTACTCACCAAGACCACCGGGAGGCATGCATGCTTTTCCACTTGCAATCTGTTGCTTCTTCCATTCACGCCTGCGTTCCAGGCGCCATAACCGAATCTTTTCTGCTTCAATTTCTTCCCATGGTCGCGGGGGCGGAATAGGCTTAAAACGGCGTCCCCACTTTTTGAGAAGGTACGGCTGTCCATTCTTATCGTTGGCGAGCGGGTAGAGACCATTCTTGACTCTCCACTTGTTCTCGTAATATTTGCTACGTCTGATGCTTGCTTCGTAGGCGATATCCCAATCTCGCGTGTCGTGATCTGGGATGCCATGCGCACGGCGGATTTCCAGTTCGCGCTGTTGGGCGGCCTTTTTGCGGAGGTGGCGGGCATAAAGCCAATGCATGAGCGCCCATACTAAAAACGCCAGTACGAAATAGCGTTTAAAGGGTGGCTTGGGCGGGGCTATCAAGACCAGCCGAGGTCAGCGCTAGCCTCGTAGGGTACAACAGGGATGGGGAGCATACTTACGGGGTTCTGGACGTACTAGAAGCACGTCGTTCTCGTATGGGTCCCAGTACGGAGCATTGAATCGATCTTTGATCACGTACGACTGGGTGCGGTACCAGTCGGTATGGAATTGATAGGTCCCATCGGGGTCTCCATTGCGCAAATACTCTTCTTCTTCTTCTCGCTCTCTTCTTCGATCCTCCTCTGTCTGATAATAGCCACCCAACCTGGCGTTCCAGCCCTTTGGGTAAACAAACTCGGGCTCCTTCTTCTCGACGACGACGGGCTTTCGCCAGCTAAGTAAGCTGCTAAGACGCATATCGTATGCCTAATAAGTTGAATAGAGGGTTTCTTGGTGGCCCACGGCGGTCCGCGTTGGTTGGTCGCGTCGTCTTTGGGACTGGCTACAGCGACAGAGCGCGAACCTGGGGGTAAACAGACCACCAGCGACGCTTAATCCACGATATTTTAGTCGATATCTGTGGATATCGGGCCGAATTTCAAGGCGGATGAGATTGGCCCTTTGTAGTTGAGGTTCAAGTTGTGACGCCAAAAGTGGCCACGGGCATCTCGCTCAACCCTTCTGGGACTTCCATAGACTTATATAAACATTTTAACTTTGTGACTTTCATTTAGATGAATATCTGCAACATTAAACTCGGAGTGACCGCCACTCTCTGATCAAATCGTGGAAAATTTCCAAACGTCTACAAATGAGCATATATTCCGTAAATGCGTATACCAGAGAGCTAAGAAGACAAATGCGAGCGAGTATAAATGGTCCAGGGTGTAATCATCCTCCCAGGCTGTAGCCCAAGATGGCGAATGCATTCCACGTCAAAGAAACAAATTTGAGGAAGTAGACTCTCATTAACACCTGTTACGGTGGGTAATACACAAAGGCGATAGGTGAGAGCCGTCCTGAAGGGTAGAAACCGCAGAGGATCAGAGGATCTAAAGAAAAAAGGGATGGACGTTATGAAGTATAACGATGCAGGTGATCCCTAGTGATGCATCTCATGCACCGTAATAACGGTAGGCAAAGTACGCTCCCAGACAAGCAAGAGGAACGAGGAATGCGACGGTCCTAGGGATAAAAGGAGGAATCAGTACTGTAAAGATGGCCGAATGTAATTATGACATACCCTGGTCCGCTGTTATTCACGACTTTGGGTGTTGAACCGGGAGTATGCGTGGGAACAGGTGCAGATTTTAGCTTCTAGAAGAATTGTAAGCATGCATTGAATGTGAGTATACGCAAAGCGTATGGGATAAGTTAACGGCGAGAGAGCGTGAAACGGAGACCGGGTAGAGATGGCGTGGTACGCCGCGAACAAGAGAGTATAGACCATGAAAATGATTTCAAAGAATAGTGCTGTTAAGCAACTCACCTCGCTTCCTGCAAAGGTCCCGACCAACATGCCCTTGAGCAGGTCTCGAGCCTCGTCCGAATGGCCTACGTCCTCAAACGACTCTGTCGCGTCCTTTCCTATTGACACAGCAGGAAAGCACAGAAGAGATGCGTGTCAGCATTTGTGAACAAACCGCGACGAGCACCTGGCGAGTGTCCACCTGGCGACGACAAACGAAAAGAGAAACCCACCAGCTTCAGCTACGATAACCTCTTCTCCTCCAGGATGCTCGTCGAGGAACTTTGCCACGTCATACACTGTGCCGTCGTCAGAAATTTGGGGTATTAGCAGAAGGAGTTTTGCAGCGAAAGCTCTGCGTTGCGTTGTAAAAGAATGGGAAGCACTGCGTACCTTTGCCGTGGAGTAGGATCCACAAGTTTTCGCGTTGTTGGTGCGCCTGGAACTCTTCAAACGTGACAGTCTTTTCGGCCATGGTTCGACTTCGACGGGTGTGGGATACAAAAGTAGTGTGTCAGAAGGAGATTGAGAGACGTGTACCGAGAACAGAGACGAGTTATAGGCGTGGTAGAGTCTAAGCTGGGAGATCCAAAGCAGACGGGCGCCGGCAAGATCGAATCATGGGCCGATGTTTGGGAAACGCGTCAACAAAAGTCTTAATAAATCAAGGAATGGCTGTAATGCACTTTAAAAAGTAGTATAGACAATGTAGTGTACAGTGGAATGTGCCAGTGGCTTAGTGCTCTGCTTTCACCAGTCAATCTCTGCGAAAAGAGCGTGGACCAGGGGCGTCGACGACTAGTTCTCCCGTGCTCCAGTTAGGATGCGAATGCACAGACATACGAGCGTATGGCGCTGAATCCAGGCATGGGAGCACGGTGCTAAGTATCTGAGCCACCTGCACCATATCAATAACCTTGTCAGCAAAAGGTGAATATTATATTTTAGCAAAATCTGCCATTTCCCGACTCTAGCAGAACAAATTGGACGGCAGCAAGCGTCAGTGGCCCGCCATCCTACCAGCTCATACCAGATCCACGACGAATTCGAAATTGGTCTCACCGACGAGGCAAACATGAAAAGATCTGGCTCGTAAACGACATTCGGTGCGTAACCGACATTTATGTACTTAGAGTAGGTTAGCGAGTAAATGCACTGTTTGCGACTTTCACCTCCCAACATCGCCAAGTTAAGATGAAGCAATTCATTAAAAAGGTCAAGAAAAAGGTTCAATCAGCTAGTTCTTCTGGTACTCGGGAATCATCTCCGAATCCTGCGGAGTCGAGTGTAGGGGCGTCTGGCCATCCAACAAACACCCGTGCGTCGTCGACGAGTGCGCAGATACGTTGAAAACTGAATCTAACACAGCGCAAGATAAGATCCAAGAGCTCACAAATTCGTCGGAGACATACGAACAGATATCAGAGTGGCTGGAACAAGGCCTATCTCCCCTGCGTGATGTATCAAAGGCTACATCCATCATCTCGCCGCTTAAAGGCACGTGTCTAGTTGCAATAAGAGGTGTTCAGCTGGCCAGAGTGAGGAAGATCCTTACGATAATGTCTCAGTCATTTGCTCAGCGTGCTTTCAGAATGTCCGAAACTACGACAAGGCGTGGGGAGATTTCTTACGGACAGCGCAAGGTCATGCAGACTTGATCAGTCTACGGCTAGATAGACTGGAAGCCAAATCGGCGAAAGCTGCAAAGGACGAGAGACTGGTCAAAGCAGCGCAAGACTATGCGGAGTGAGTACGTTGCAAAGATGCACATAAGAATCTCAAATTCACAAGAGCCATCCGAGAAATCCTCGTAACCGCCCAAAAGGCCATGAGCGCAGCGAGAGAAGGAACCGGAGGGACTGCCGGGCACTTCGCGCAGACCAACATGGATCTGGCAATAATCAGTGAACTACGAGTTAAGGAGGGTCGCTCTTTCAATATATACCAGGTGTGTCTTGCACCAATTGCCAGAGTGACCCTAAAGCCGTCGCAGAGGACGTTGTCCGATATCACTTTTTCAACGGCACTAGAAATTGAAGCGACCATAAATGAAATCCAAGAGGAAGTAGGTCAGCTCGACCAGATCAACTTTGCTCTAGGAGAGGGAGCAGAGGGTACGCCATGAGGAAAGAAATGAGAAACACATCTCACCAAATTTATTAGCCGATGCCCTGAGGTCTTCGATGCAACATGCATATGGTACAAATCTCGACAGCTGCGAACCGGGCACAAGGGTGGATGTTCTCACCAAAATCCGCCAATGGGCCCGCGACCATAACGACCGTCAACAGATCTTCTGGCTCAGAGATGCTGGTGGAACGGGCAAGTCGACGATAGCCGTGACGATGGCGAATGAATGGGCGCGAGAGAAGCGACTTGCCGGGCGTTTCTTTTTCAGCCCAAATGTCGACATCAACCAGAGGATCAAATTCTTCTGTCGTATCGTTGCTGCTGACATAGCGTGTCAGTTTCCTTTGCTAAGGAGACAGATTGAACTGCCTCTGTCAGAGTTGCCGTGGATGGAGAGCCGGATGGACTTTGTCCTGCAATTCCGCAGAGTCATCTTGGGGCCATTACAGGAACAAATCGCTGGCAGGGCAGTGTGTCTGGTCGTTGATGCCCTCGATAACTGCGAGGTGCAAGATCGGGTATTCTTCCTCAAGACGATTCTCATCGAGCTCCCAAAGTTTCCGCTACTCAAAGTTCTCATCACCAGTCGTGAGCTGCAGGATATTGCGGATCGTCTCGCAAACTCCCCTCTCGTATGTGGTCAAGGCGTTCAACTATTGAATGTCAACAGTCCGCCACAAAACGACATCTCCGTCTATATCCACTCCAAACTTCAAAGCTACCCGTTGAAAGACCGACAACGCATTATTGCCCACTCCCAAGGGCTGTTTATCTGGGCAGCAACGTTCTGCCGGGCATTGTTGCAGACTCGATTAGGAGCCAGACTCTTGAACAATCTCGCCCACCAAGCGGTGACTGGCTCAATCGACCAGCTTTACCTCGACATCCTCAAGCAAGCCTCGGTTGACAAGAATGCAGAGGAGAATCTGACGCTAGTCCTCCAAGTCATCATCTCAGCATTTCAACCAGTCTCTAGCAATACTATTAGGGATCTCCTTCCTGCAGTCGAGCAAGTAGACGACCTGGTTCGCGATCTCGCCGGCGTGATCAAAGACGGTCATCCAGATCGACCTCTTAAAGTTCTTCACCCCACCTTTCGCGAGTTTATTGCTTCCAACGAGGATAGAGCGAATGGCTTCCTTGTCCAAATCAATCCTTCACACTCGCTACTTGGACTCGCATGTCTAGAGGTGATGGAGTACCTGCTCAAGTTTGACATGCTCGGGATCAGTCACCTGGGGGGAAGCATTCCCTTCAACAAGGAAGTAAAGGACATACCTAAAGCTATCGAAAGGCACGTTCCAATGGTTTTACGGTATGCGGCGTCCTACTGGGCACACCATATCGCCGCTGCGGAGAGTGCATGGGAGGAATGGGCAAGAGTTGCCTCCTTTCTACGCAATCATTTGTGCCACTGGCTAGAGCTCATGAGCTGGAGAGGTGCCCTCGATCAGTCTCTTCAAGGGCTGTCGCAATTAGCTCTCCGAGCCAGAAAACAGACCCTAGTAGGTAATCATCTACTAAGAGTGAGGTTTCTGATGCCTCTCGAGGGAAACGACGACATTGCGGTGGTGCAGCACGCATTCCAGTTTCTTATCAAAAACAGGTTAACCATTGAAACCTCTGCATTACATGCGTATACGGTTCCGGTTGCGTTGGCGCCCAAAGGCTCCTCTTTGTTCCGGGACTTTGATCCACCAAAGTCTCTTCCGACACTGAGAGCAGCCCGAGCAGGCGACCAGATATGGGAAACTCAACTGTCGCTAATAGGTCACGATGATCATGTCATGGAAGTCAAAGTCTCACCTAACGGAAACCACGCCATCACCCTTGGGCAAGATGGAAGTATACGCTTATGGGATACAAACACGGCGGAAAGCACCCTGCTATCATACAATGCGGAGAGAGACACCGTATTATTTGGCTCTACTGCCGAGTTCTCTGCTGATGGGACCACAGCCGCCGTCGGGTACAAGAACCACGACCTGCGATTGTGGGATACGCGCAGCTGCCGTCCAATTTGGACATCAACCGTACCACTTGAGATGCGTGGTGGTCCAGCGCCAAGTTGTGTTCGCTTTTCGCCTACGCAGCCGCATATCGCATATGCCGTAGACTACACTACCCCACATCAGCGCTCAGAGAGTATCTTGCGGCTCTATGATGTCAAAACGGGTGATCGGCATGATAAGACCCTGATCCTTCGGCCTGCCAGCACGACGTTTGCAATCTCACCTGATGGCACAAGGAGTATTCATGCCGGGCGAGTTGACGATGCATCTCGTGACTGTATTATTACCCTTGTGGACTTGGTGAGTCTGCAACAACTCGTACAGCTGAAGGCTGGTGCCGCGGAGGGAACTACCATCAGCTACTCCCCAGATGGCACTCGAGCCGTCACAAGCTGTGACTACGATCAAAGAGAAATCCCATTGACATTACTGGATTGCAGAACGGGGGAGATGATAGAAATGGAGGTTGTTGACGAGAACCAATCTTATCGAGCGACTTTCGAGCCCCGCGGCCGTCGATTTGTGTCCGTTCTCAATAATGAGAAGGGCCTCATTGTCTGGGACGGAGCAAATGGGAGGGCCATCCGGACAATCCCTTGCCACGATGGATTCTTCAAGAGGATCTGGTTTTCGTCTGACGGGATGCGTATTGCGGCGCTGTCGAGTGTCCAGACAGTCAAGGTCTACGGCATTGACACTGGCAAGGAGCATCCAACCATTCTCAAGGGATATACCGGAAAGTCAGTATCTGCCGCTCTCTCCCACGATTGGAGCAAACTCCTTGTCGTGCGGAGCTATCAAGAAGTGTGCGTGTTTGATACGAACATCAACGGCTTTGGTTTTCACTCACCGGACAAGCCAACCCTCGGAACAGTTTCAGCATGGTTATTCTCTAACCAGTCCACAGCATTGATCACGTTCCGTGGAATTATATTTGTCTGGACCCTAGAGAATGGCACTTTCCGCTTGAGGACGAAGCTTGAAGACGGAAAAGGACACGGCCATATCGCAGTCACACCCGACGAAACGAAAATCATTAGCACATACGGCAACCCAGATATCTTATTCTACTCTTCCAGACACTTTGAAAGAGTTCAGAATATATTAGAAGACGAGGACAAGAGAACTCGGGGCGGATCAATCAGCTTCTCCCCAGAAAGGGACCGCATGGCCATTAGTACCACCTCATGTACTCAAGTATGGGAGTATAAAACAGGAGTTTCCATTTGGAAATCGCCTGAGGGGGGACTGGGTGATTCAGTCACATTTTCTATGGATGGAATCAAGCTCGCCGGAAGCACTTCTAAGGCCACATACGTCTACAGTCTTACAGATGGTACAGCTATCTGTCGGGTGGATCAAGCAATGCCGTATGGCATTATGACTTTCAGTCCTTCAGCCGATCGCCTGGTCACGCTGATGGCGCAGCTAGAGGTTTGGGACATAACAGGCAATATGGGATTACATCTCGCTGACTATCCTGCGCGACAAAACTTTGAATCCACTCACCATCTTGGGATGGTCGCAGGCGAGGGAGAGGAATATGTTATCTACGGGTCGCAGGTATGGAAGCTGGATAGGAGAAAACTAATAGCATATAATGAGCCGGTCATTCCTCCAGCTCTCCGCCACTACCGTCACTCCCTCCTCACCTACAAAGATGGCTGGATCTACTCGGCGCTTCCTTATAGGGCCATTCTCCCTATTCCAGCCGATGTAGTCGGGCGGGGTCTCGGAATATGGAGCGTCGGGAACGCTGTGCTGATAGGAACAGAAACCGGGGAGCCTATCCTACTTGACTGTTCGACATTTGTTTCTGCTGAATAGATGTGGAATATAACCAAAATACTGTCATATCCCTGCCGGTTAGACGTGGGATCTATCCCGACGCTTTAATGTAGCAACCCAATCCTGGGTGGCAGGAGTGATGGTAAGCAACGCGTTGCTTAAATACCCTCCTGCCGCCCGGTGTTCCGATGATGGAATCTACATACCAAATCCACAACAAGAAATTCGAAACCAACTTCTCCAACGAGGAAAGCGTAACAAGTCCCAGATCCGGCTTTGTAAACGTCATTCGGCGCGTACCCGACATTTCCTACGCAGAATTTCGCAGCGATCATTTGATCCCCAACCAACCAGTCATCATTGGTTCGGCATTGATACAGGATTGGGAATGTACCAGATCTTGGCGAGCTACAAACCAAACGGCAGAGGTCCAAACCGATGCGGGCCTTCAGTCCATTAGCTCGAAGACCTCTCACCCCAATCTGGCGCATATGCGGCAACTATATGGTAACCTTCGCGTTCCAGTGGATGAGGATGGCTGGAGGTGTGAGGAAACTCTTTCAGACGTGCTGGATCAATGGCAAAACCAAAAGGGAGAGAAGGTTTATGTGAAGGATTGGCATCTTGCGCTCCAGTTGGAGCGTCAGTCGTCGGACTCGCCTCTTTTCTATCGGACACCATCACTGTTCGCCGACGACTGGATGAACGACTACTACCTACAGAGAACACAAGATGACTTTCGCTTTGTTGTGAGCCCATGTCAGAAACGGTGTATCCCCGTTGATTCAATTGTCGAAAAGTAGTACATGGGACCAACAGGGACGCAGACCAAGCTCCATAGAGATGTCTGTGAGTGATTAAATCCACTATTCGCGTAGAATAACGGCCATCAGATGGTTCTTATTCATGGTCCACCAATGTCGTCGGTCGCAAGAGATGGTGGCTCTTCCCGCCGCATGTCACGTCTTACATCACCAGACCAAATGGAGAAACCATCGGAGACGAAAAATCGATTCCAGAAAATGGAAGTATGGACGACCTGCTGGATGACTGGCCTGACTGGGAGCTGGCACGACAAGCCATGACTGTCGTCGAGCAAGAAGAGGGCGAGACTATTTTTGTGCAAGTCACGAGATGATATCTTTGTGCGCTCGTGATTGACCTTCAGTTAGACCGAGTGGCTGGTACCATCAAGTACGAACCGAGGCAAATTCGCAGAGATGGCTGATTCAGGATCACAGGTTCTCAACCTCACGTTCTGTATCTCTATCAAGTAAGTAGTATGACGTGGATACTTCAGCATCTGATGTCCATAGCCATAATTGGTCAAACTCGCACAATGTAGAATCGATGTATCACGCCATGGTCGATGCGGTTCAACGAGTGGAGGATTCCATTGATGACGTAAAAGAACTACTCAAAACTCAACACCCAAACGTAGGTATATACCCATATCTCCAGCGTCTGACCGAAATCAATAGGGTGGCTGGGAAGAAGAGTGGAGGACGATAGTACAAGACCTGTTGAAGAAGGATGCAGGGTGGGAGTATGTCTATATGTCGTATCGTTGACTGGTATTGACCTTGCAAGTTGGCAGACCTTTCTCGAAATGGTCGAGCTCAATCTCTGCCGAGTGTCGAGCGAGGGCGGCCCGTCTTATCCAATCCAGTGGATGAATTATGGGCCAAGCTCTGAGCTCACTGGCGGATCAATGACTGTCAGCCAGGCAAGTCTCGTGCTGGCGCAATTTCGGACTGGCCTCAGCTGACGAGAAACATCCCTAGCTTGGCTCCTATGCGTACCGGCATGTTTCCCCCGAGAGAAGATATGTTTTCGACCGGGTATCTCCGTGCATCACGCACTTTGCTTGCTCGGTGTGGGGACAATCGGCTGAATATGGCGAGATGCTTACTCGGATTCGATTACTACTTGACAAAATTGCTCTGAGCGTGTAGGCGCCTTGACCGAATCGAGCCGTGATTACTGTGAGCTGAGCTAAGCTTGTCATTCGGCTTACTGCCACTTCGGCTGTTCTCTTTCCGAATAAATTTCACTGGCCATTCGCGTGCTAGCCCGTATCTTGGACCTCTCCACGACTGCAGATATTCTCCACGGTATACACGACGACAACGCTCAGCGACAATGTCGGTCCAGATGACAAGCCCAGCTGCGCTCATGACCGATTTCGACGTGCTGACCATGCTCACGTCGTCGTCTCCTCCTTCTTTCAAACACAAAACTGCTATTGGGATCGCTAACAACCGCTACAAACGCCGTGAAGCGCCTCTAGATCCTCTATTGTTGGCCGCAGCGATCTCGTCTGGACCCCATGTCACGCGTCACCACTATCATCATCACCAGCCGAGTATTCAAGAAGTAGAGGGACTGCTCGCATCCTCTTCGACAAATGATGCCAGCTCGTCCCAGCCCAATCCCACCGGTGCCGACGCTCCCAAGCCAAAATACCAGAGTCAACAAGCTCCAAGGAGTGAGCGACTCAAGCAAAAAGAAGAGGCGCAACATAACGAGAATCAGCGCGAGCCACTCGGGGTTGTAGCCAATCTCCCTAGACGACCCCGAGGACCCTCACTGTTACAACCGATATTTGCAGAACCAGCCAAAACAAGCTCAAATGTTATTGGAGCAGGCCCTCCGGCACCTTCACCATTTGTCCTCAGTTCGTCCCCATCTACCCTCTCACCACCAATCATCCGGCATCTACCCCCAGCACCACTCCAGGTCCAATGCATGGCTAGGACGCGGATTCCAACTCCTCATGGACCAGTCTTCTTGCACTTGTACCGGAACAACAAGGATATGAAGGAGCATCTCGCCTTTGTGGCCGATCCAGATCAACTCCGAGATGACTATACTATCGATACACATTCGATCAGAAGCGCCAGCCTAGAAGCCCGATGGTCAGACGACGAGACCGACCTCGATCGCCTAGCCCGTGGCGCATATGTCGGACGTCTAACGCCTACAACTCAACGAGCATCTGAACCTGGCTTGTCGACATCCTCTTCGGACAATGTGCTTCCGCCTCTTGTCCGCATTCACTCTGAGTGCTTTACAGGCGAGACGATTGGAAGCATGCGATGCGACTGTGGGGAGCAATTGGATGAAGCGCTGCGCCTCATCTCTCTCCCTCGTTCTTCCACCTCTCCAGGCCGGGGTGCTGTCATCTACCTTCGACAAGAGGGGAGAGGGATCGGGCTACTGTCCAAGATTCGTGCATACAATCTTCAAGACATGGGTCATGATACCGTCCAGGCAAATCTATTGCTCGGTCACGGCGCGGATGAGCGGCGGTATGATATCGCTGCTGCCATTATGCGTGATCTAGGGCTGGATAGCGGCGTCGAGCTCTTGACGAACAATCCCGACAAGGTGAAGAGTCTCGAGGTCGAAGGTATCAAGGTTCTCAAGCGGCGGGAGATGGTTCCGCGGAGCTGGCAGCAGAACCGGGAGCACGTACATGTCGCTGGTGATAATCACGATGCTCGTGTAGCGGGTGCGACGCTGATTGGGGGTGGTATCACCTATGGACCAGAGTTGGAGAAGTACCTTAGAACCAAAGTGGAGAGGATGGGACACATGCTGGAGCTCCCACCTCAATAGAGGCTGTTCTATGTATCTATTTGTCTAATCTTATCGGTTTATTTCACTGCTCCAAATTGTTTGTGGTTGACGATTCCTTGGCCCTTGCCACTCCTCTGAGCGATCTGACAGACAGGCGCATGCCTCCAAAGAAGCAAGTTACAGCATCCCTAGCGTCCCTAAAGCCGACAGACAAAGTCCCATTACCCAACTTTCTACGCCTTCTCAACGATGAAGGCATGTCGATGCCAAATGCTATGGCGGTAGCAGCAAAGGTGCATGTATCTTTCTCACCACGTGTCTGAATCCAAAATGAAGTCGTCACTAACGTAGAAATATAGTTACAAATCTCATAACACGCCAGAGAAACTCGGGGCTCTCGACGCTGCGTCATTGGTCAAATTGGGAATCGAAGACAAGGACAGACGGACGGAGATCCTGGACGCGTTTAGGAGATTTCAACCAAAGGGCGTCTCTCCATCTAAACCCGCCACCCCCGCTCCTGTCGCTTTGACCTCGCGCAGTCGCATCGTTGGAGGTGAAGAGGACGCGTTTTCTTTTTCAAGCGAGCCAGAGGTAGTTGAGAAAGAGGATACGCAAGGCAAAACGGACAAGCAAAGGCAGGAGCGAGCACTAAACATCGACCAACGAAGGAGAGCTGCCCTTGACGCGTTTCAAAAATCTCTTGGCAAGCAAGACAAGGTAACCTATATAACCTTAATAGAGCTCTCTACTCACTCGCTACGTAGGATGCCTCGCCGAGCAAGAAACGAAAGAGAGGGGTGGACAATGACCCTTTCTACGATGCCCTCGCTCCGCCTCCGGCAGACCCACTGTCAAGTGGTATAGAGAGCTTCGAGTTTCATGAGATCACGGATGAGGAGATATTAGCGACAAAGCATGTCAAGATTAATCGAGCACCAATTATGATGGCTTGGAGTTGTGTGGTTGCTGAAAAGCTGGGTTTTGCACGGGAAGAGGCTCTATCAATTGGTATGGTCTATATCCCTATTATGTGATCGTTCTTTGACCCTCTGTGCCCAGCGTCTGCATATACCGAAATGAACGCCGTGACTAGAGGCGCCAACCTTGGGATATACGACAAGCAAAAGCAGAAAGGAATGGAGCCGGGTAGCAATACAGCCCAACCGCACGTTGAGCTGATGGGTCGAAGGATGTGGGTCATTCTCTACTCTCTGCGCCTCAGCTCACCTGAATAGACCATTATTTCAGACAGAGAATGGACAATGGAGGGCTCTCATGAAAGGGGATCCAGTATCTCCCGCGAAGGTATGCATCTTAGCTGCTTAAACAATGGCTAATTGCTCTAGGCATTTGGGTACATTACGCGCTCGCTCGCACAAATGACGCCTTATGTCGTAGGCGCATTACAGATAGTCGCAAATTCGTACGAAGACCCGCAACTTCTGAATCAGCGGGGATACAATCTCTACTGCGACTTTCGACCAGAGAATGCAGGTTGGGGCGTGGTCGGCGACGTCAAGCTTTCGAGTATTCTACGTAATAAGTATAAGTCAAAGCCTGCAGTTACAGAAGCAAAGGAGACAACTAATGTATCAAAGGAAGCCAAACCAGCTGGAGAGACGTTTGAAGAATTTGAGGCCAAAGAGGAAGCCGAAGGAGGTTTTACGCTGTGGGATCTGTACGATGATGATGATTAACCCGTTGTACTGTATATCAAGAGGGGTCGATTTTGAGCTCCGCCATAAGAAACTTTGAGGGCCAAATAAACACAAACAGGAACCCGGCCATAAAGGTGCGCTCGACGCTGCCGTCTTGACTTGAGCTCACACCTAAAATTCACATCCATCTGTAGAAAACTAGAAGCTATTCGGAGCAATGGGTCGAGTTATCCGCACACAGAGGCGTTCGCATGCCATCGTATGTACTCTTCGCCACCATTAAGGGATAAAGGACAACATGTTGATGATATCTGGAACTTTGTGATATAGTTCAAGGCGCATACGCACCACAACAAGGCACCAGCACGCCTACGACCGCTCGACTTTGCTGAGCGAAATGGTTACATTCGGGGAATCGTCAAGGACATTATCCACGACGCTGGACGGTGCGTTAAACTCATCGTCAGTGGATTATATACGGCAACTAATTCGAAAATTGTATGTAGAGGTGCCCCACTTGCGCGCGTCGTCTTCCGCGATCCATACCGCTACAAGCTGCGCACAGAGACATTTATCGCCACCGAGGGAATGCACACGGGTGCCTTTGTCTACTGCGGAAAGAAGGCGGCATTGGCTGTCGGAAACGTGATGCCAGTGGCCAACATGCCCGAAGGTACCATCATCTGCAACGTTGAAGAAAAAGTGGGTGACCGTGGTGCGCTTGCACGCACGTCTGGCAACTATGCCACCATTATTGGACACACCCCCGAAGAGAACAAGACTCGCATTCGTCTCCCATCTGGCGCAAAGAAGACTGTCAGCAGCAACGCTCGCGCGACTGTCGGTATCGTTGCGGGTGGTGGTCGTATTGACAAGCCATTGCTCAAAGCTGGTCGTGCGTACTATAAATTCAAGGCCAAGCGCTACAAGTGAGTTTCTATACGTCGAAGCGACAGTGAGAGATTGACATTCGTGTAGCTGGCCTCGTACTCGTGGTGTTGCGATGAACCCAGTCGACCATCCTCATGGTGGTGGTAACCATCAGCACATCGGAAAGGCGTCCACCATCTCCCGACAAGCCGTCCCCGGTCAGAAAGTCGGTCTTATTGCTGCTCGCAGGGTGCGTAAACTATATTTGAACCGCGCTGCTTTTGCTCACGTGCAGAATAGACCGGTCTCTTGCGTGGTACTGTCAAGACAAAGGAGGTCTAAGCCTTATCCGTGCTTGGATTCCTTATTCTGGGAGACGATCGAACGACAAAACCTCTTGCTCGCTCTTGTATGCGTACCTACTGCATTTACCTATGCGTATGCATATTGCACGCCGCCTGCGTTATCCTTAGCTCCTCCCTCGAATAGAAATAGGTAAAGAAGATAGTATTTTGATCAGAGAGCAAGCCAAAATCCGATTATACCACGACGACGCGTATAGTTCCTGAAACCTGAAATACCAGATAGACCTATGATAATCTTGGGTCAGGGAGGGGCTTCATGAGAGACTATGACTTGGAGGGATCCTTGACGAGACCCTTTGCGCGCATCTCTGCAAGATGAGCCTCTCGACCGTTTCGGACCTCTTTCTCGGTCGAGTATCGCCAGATGGGTACGCCGGGCTAGAATAAAATCAAGTCAGCAGGCCGGTTTTGAGAACAGGATGTGGATTCGGCTGTTGGAAATTGCGTAATGCAAACCACCGCTTGAGATAATACGCAGGGTTGATAAAAACCATGGGGAAAAAAGGAATGAGAGGGTTATGGGAGCGTAAAATGGAATTGATGCGGAAAATACTGATAGCGAGGACCTACCCATGCGATGAGATAGAAGAGTGCATCGATGAACACGTTGTTATTCGGAGCCGAGCCGCGCGTGGAGACACGAAAGAATTCAGTGATGATGTCGGCTGTAAAATGCGCATTGTTGCTTTGGACGCCTAGAGTCATCGATAGAGGTGCACATGATGGGTATTTTATTCCCGTTCCATGTCGTAAGGAGATGACGGCAAGAATTGATCGGCAGCGGACCGAGGTCGGCACGTAACATGTTGTGTGGTGGGCGATAACGAGGTGGAGGTTTCGGTACGAGAGGACGAGGTTCAGTAGGATTACCTCACAGATAGAGGTTACGCACCTTTGAGCATGCGAACCGCCGCCTGTTCGGGTGTGAGCCCACCATCCGTCTCCTCAATCTTCTTCGTGATCGCTGGCTTGGACTTGTTCTCGTTTTCGTAGCCGGGCGAGAACATGGTACATGGTACGAACAATTGCACTGTGGCGCCATAGAGAGCGAGTTCGGAACGGAGTGTCTCTGTGAGGCCCACGAGAGCGTGTTTGGCAGGCGAGTAAGATGCGTAGCCAACAAAGGACATGTATCCGAGTGTCGAGCCGACAAAGACGATGCGAGTGTTTTGGTGGCCTTGGGCGGCGATGAGGCGCGAGGTTGCCTGTGGAGTCGTTGGGTTAGAGGCCGGATTGCCATAGTAAAAAAGGGTACATACAAGAGCTGGCCAAGCTTGGATCCAATATGCGTTTTGCATGCCTCTGAGCATACTCTCCTCGGTCTCCTCGATAAAGTAACCGGGCGTTGCAACGCCGGCGCAGGTAAAGAGTGCGTCGGGAGCGCGGCCATCAAAGGGGGTACAGGCACTCTTGATAGCCTCTGTAGCCTCTGCGAGAGAGGAGAGGGAAAAGGAGTGCGAGGTGATGATTTGAGATGGGTTTACACGCGCTGCCTAGAGAATTGATACACATGAATAAGGTATATTCCAGTGCATTGAATGGTGTGAAACGCGTCCACAGCGGACTCGACACGTAGGAAATGTTGAGCGGGCAGACACACCTCGAGCTGTTCAATTGCCTTTGCCAGTTTGTCCTTGTCGCGGGCAATAATAGCGACGTGGGCTCCATTTTTGACGAGGAGAGTTGCAAACGCGAGACCCAAGCCGGAGCTGCCGCCAGTGACGATGCAATGCTGGCAAAGTCAGTGAAATGGAGACTTGTAGAGTGTTAATACCTTTGCAGCTGGGTTCCACTTTGGCTTGCGAGACCAAAACATGTAGACGACTAGAAATAGACCAATGCCGACGAGGGCGAGCATTGGCTCACCACTGACATTGCCGGAGACCAAAAGTGAACAAGTAAGCGGATTGATCGTGATAACTCTTAAATGGTCAACTCCTCTAAAAAACCCACTCGGCCCGCCTAAGCAAACGTCGCTTAGATTCGACGGCTAAGCATAAAGCGGCCGACCAGCCACTCGCCATCACTTGGACCCGCCCTTTTTACCAATGCCCACTCCGCCATTTCTTCCTCTTCTTTCTCAGAATACTCTACATGATCTAGAGCGTCCACTTGCGCATCTAGGTCCTGCTTTTGTCTCCCACCAAGACCTGGACATTTTCTCCAATGCCCATACCGCTTTCGATAGCATAAACGACACGACCATTGCACTCAGATGCAGAGAATTCTATGTTGTGGCAAACAATGTTGCCGGAATAAGTCTCGAGCAAATTCAGGCTCTCCTCGACAGTGGCGCTCGTAAACTCGTCCTCCCTGCCTCGCCCGTCCTTCTCTCAAAGTGCTCTGCTGCGGGTATCGACAAAAGTCGTCTCATTGCACATCTCGATCTCGTCAATGCTGCCGTCGCCCTCAGCGTCACTGATACTCTTCGCAACGCCGTCAGCGGAGTCTACGTCCGTACAAATACTATCGATTATACACTCGTAGAAACTATACGTGGGTTGTTCCCGTCGAGGACACATGACCTCTACCTCTCCCCCATTTCCTCTTTCGAGGTCCCGCTCTCCATGGAAGCTGCCAGTAGTGAGGGTGAGATTGGGAGAGCCATTCGCACACTGGTTCACTCCCACAGAACGACGCTCGTCGTTCCCTCGACAGCCTTACCCACGCCCCAGGTCATTGCATCGCTCTTCGTCTCCGCTCTTACGACCGACCGACCAGACGGGCTCTATCCCACCGTCGTGAGCTCCTATCACGGAAACCATTCCCTAGGGCTCGTGTACTCGTCAGCCTCCTCTATCGCCGCCGCACTTGCCTCTTCCCGTGGGGTCTATTGGTCCCGCTCTCGGAATGCCCTCTGGCAAAAAGGAGACACGTCTGGTGCGACCCAGGAACTCGTCCATATCAGACAAGACTGCGACGGCGATGCGCTCGAGTTTGTCGTCGACCAGGTCGAGCCTGGGTTTTGCCATTTGGACACACCCTCGTGCTTCACTTCGCCTTCTTCCCCACTCGCTACCTCGATCCATGGCGGTCTATCTGGTCTCGAACGCACACTCATCTCCCGATTGTCATCGGCACCAGAAGGGTCATACACGAGGAGATTGATGGCGGATGAAGACTTGTTGCAGAAAAAGATTAAAGAAGAGGCGGATGAGTTGTGTGCTGCGACGACAAAGGACGACATTGCCTTTGAAGCTGCAGACTTGCTCTATTTCGCAATGGTCATGTGCCTGAAGAATGGCGTCAGGCTGGCAGACGTCGAACGTGCTCTCGACAAAAAGGCGACAAGGTTACCAGACGAAAGGGGGATGCCAAGCCCGGATATACCGCTTCGACCAAGGTGAATGGCGTCGTTAACGGAACAAGCGCTGTTCTGAATGGCATCGCGTCGAAGACAAACGGTGTAGAAGCCCCGTCCACCTTGAATGGATATCAGAATGGGGAAGCGGAAAAAATTAAGATGACAACATACACACTCTCTGCGTTGTCTCCACCAGAGCAGGCTGCTCTACTCCGTCGACCGGTCCTCAAATCGGGCGACATGATCGCCAAGGTCCAACCCATCGTCGAACGCGTGCGCAAGGAAGGAGACGAAGCTCTCAAAGCGCTCACGAAGCAGTTTGACAAGGCTGAGTTGGATGAAGTTGTCATTCGTCCACCATTCTTCGCTCCAGAGTCTGGTAACGGTAAGCCATTCTTTCTTCCACACTCGGCGTACTCACGTGATCTGCCTGTAGGTCAATATCACTGTTTAGACGGCACGACGCGCATTCCTCTATCCCAACAAGTCAAGGAGGCAATGGACGTCGCGTATCAAAATATCAAAAAGTTCCATACCGCTCAGCTCTCCGCCTCTCTCACGGTCGAGACGTCGCCCGGCGTAATTTGTACGCGAGTAGCCAAGCCGATCAACAAAGTTGGGTTGTACATTCCAGGAGGTACGGCAGTTTTACCGTCAACGGCCTTGATGCTCGGCGTACCCGCCCAAGTCGCGGGGTGTAAAGAGGTTGTATTCGCGACGCCTCCACAACGCTCGTCTCTCACGACGAGTGGGAACGCGACAGTCTCGCCCGAGGTACTCTACGCCGCGCATCTCGTCGGTGCGTCTGCTATTCTCAAATGCGGAGGAGCTCAGGCTGTGGGAGCGCTCGCGTATGGGACGCAGACGGTGCCAAAGTTGACAAAATCTTTGGACCGGGAAATCAATGGGTCACAGCGGCCAAGATGCTCGTGCAGAATGACGATGCAGCACTGGTGGGCATCGACATGCCCGCGGGACCTTCCGAGGTATTGGTACGTCCTCGCCGTCTTTTTCGCTCGGTCAACTTCCACATCGCCCCTCCTCCCATTAGAAACCCCCTCGCGAGAAGCATTCTGATCCACAGAACAGGTCATAGCCGACTCAACTTCGGACCCAGCCTTTGTCGCAGCAGACCTACTCTCGCAAGCCGAACACGGGGTGGATTCGCAAGTCGTCCTCGTTGGAGTCACGCTATCCTCCACCTCGTTGCAGGCGATCGAAGCAGAAGTAGACCGGCAAGCACGACTTCTCCCCCGGGCTCGACATCGTGCGGCAGTCTATTGCAAAGTCCATTACAGTGATCGTAGAGAGTCTGGATGAGGCGCTGGCGTTTTCTAATCGGTACGCTCCCGAGCACTTGATCGTCAATGTGCCTGGCATCGAGGGGACAAAGGTGCACGAGGTGATGGCGAAAGTGGAGAATGCGGGCAGTGTCTTTTTCGGGCCATACACCCCTGAGAGGTAGGTTCCTTTGCGTTCTTTTGGCCCCACCCCTTTCCTCACATCGGCCAACGCCGGGGCCTACTCCGTCGTGTCCTTACGCAATGGGCGTTGTATTCCTGGCGCTTTACCAGCACTTTATTTGGGGGCCAATAGCTGCTGGAGCATGCTCCGGCCGTGCTATCTCGCTGGGTGGTCTTCTTCGTCTCCCCTCAATCGGTCGTTCACGCCATATTCGCGTTTCATCTCGCTATCCTCCCGCTTTTTTCTCTCTATGGATATCTGACTTTTTTCTTCCTTTTTCAAATCACCATACAGTTGCGGTGACTATGCTTCGGGTACGAACCATACTCTGCCCACCAACGGCTACGCGCGCCAGTACAGCGGCGTTAACACGGCATCGTTCCAAAAGCACATTACATCACAAGAGATTTCGCCAGACGGCCTCAAGGTGCTCGGTCCCGTTGTCGTTACCCTCGCTGAATGCGAGGGCCTCGAGGCGCACGCCAACGCCGTTCGCGTCCGTTTACAGGCGCTCCACGCCTAGGAGTGGCAGTGACAGGTGTTTTTGGTTAGGGTCGCCAGCAACGGACGTCACCGTAGATATCGATTTGCATAAAGGAAGAAAGACGATGGTTAGAAACGATACCAAGGAATTTAGCAAAATTTTTATTCCCTCCACTCTCGATGTAACGATTCGTAGCTCAATTCATGCTCTGCCTTTTGAAATTTGAACTGGGGGATGTTCCTTAAAAATGCGTGTGGCGCCCGTTGGGGAAACAAAGGGATCCGTGACTGAATAATTAAGTCACCAAACAGTTTGGAGGGTGCAGACAAGGCTAGTCTCGACATCCTCCGTCTCGTCGAAATTTTCTCAGCAACCGAAGATTCCTGGCAATTAAATACAATTGGTGCGCGACAAGAAGGATGGTAGTGAGGATGAACAACGGGTCATTTGACGAACGAATGTACTCGGGAGGATCCAAGGCGAGTTTTGATGGAGCACGCAGGCGTTGCCGGCGTGCCTTGACTTGATGTTTCAAGGCTGCTTCTGGGGCATCAGGTCTCTATTTCCAGGGCCTATTGTCGACCTTTTTGGGAATGAGAAAGAGACCTGTGTATCGGACTGGCGGTTCCGCCGTCTCACCGTTGCTGCAGATTCCCCCTAATCACCCTCTATCTCGTCACCCTGGGGCAGTCCTGTATCTGTCTGTGGCTCGAAAAGGTCCTTGAGGAGAGTTGTAATAGCTTTCTTGTTATCTGGAAGCCAAGTACAGGACGGATTTCCCCCACGTCCCGCCGTATGTCGTAAAAGACTCCTTGGAATGGTATGTGAATATGAGGAGGGATTTCTACTGTCATTCATCTACTAATACTACTGGCAGGCACGAGCGTCGCAAGCTTGGACCTGTCCGGCCTGTGCAAATCCTGTTACGGCCTTTGGAAGCGACTGCTCAGCAGTAAAGGAGACGTGAAAGATTATATAATGGTGTATATCCGATAATTGTGAGTGCTATGAAGGCATCTACACGATTGTAACCTACGTACGTACGGATAACAACCTCGCATCTTCCTCCCTCAACCACACCAGCTTGAGTAATACGCTTCTATCAATATATCTCTACATCGTTTTCCACCTCAAACTCACAGCTTTGAAGTCAGGGTTGGCCTTGAAAAGCTTGCTCGTTGCGTTGCCCGTGAGGTTGACCTCGACGTCGGTCTTGACAGTAAGTCTAGTAAATCAGCACGGCAGCCAACATCAGCTGCAGATATAAGACTCTCATGAGCCTGTACAACATATCCTGCGTTGCGCAACCATGTTCTGCCACTTGGCTGCTCGCTAAACGTTCCCCTCGCTGCACGCAAAAGTATTGTTGAAGATCACACAAATGTGGCCGGAAGCAATCGACTATACACAAAGCGACGTATTGGAGATCAACATTCCTAGAAAAGACGGTGACGAAGAACGGGAAGCAGCCTTCTTCTAAGACGCTTGGACTCATATGAGTGCTCGGGCTGACTACACATTCTACACAGGTCATGATATTCAGGACGCAAGGAATATACCTGCTAGAAGTGGGCGAGGATCAATGGCTGCAGCCCGGGCTGGCGATGTGCTTACAATGCTGGGGTTCGGCGCCTCGAGGAGAGCTGCTTTGACATGTGGACAAAATGATCCATGAATTTACATATGGATCCGGCCGTACATATTCGGAGGTGGTCTGAAGTGTGATCGAGGAGATATCGCACCTGACTGCGAACAAATGCGGCATTCTACCTCTGTATTCGACGCATATACATGTGGCTAGACAATAGTGGAGCGTAAATTGGCTTTTTGCATGAGACCAGCCTGATATCCGTGCATATCGCGTGACATACAAGAGCCCAATGCGATGCCGCATGTCCTGCTGGCTGCTGTCCCTCTCTGGGGTAGGTGTAGTCTATCTGAAGAGCGTTTAGCGACAAACTTCTGGTGGATTTGTCACCGCCTCGGTAGGTGAATTTGATTTTCTCAGTATAAAATGCCCCGAGTAGAGGTGCTAGACCTCCAACCCACCCAACCAACTCTCCTTCGAAACCGCATCGACTATTAATCAAAGTCAAGATGACCAGTTCCGACTCTGCTGGTGCTGTAAATTGGGCTCCCAACCAAAGTGCTAGTGAGCCCATGCGGAAACATTGGTCCCAAGACAAATGGCTAACAATAGCCCTCTGTTGTACTCTCATAGATATCGAGTTAAGACTCCCTTACTGTCCCTTGTGCCACCGTCCATTGGCATCGCAAGTCTGGACACAAGGTCTACAAGGCAAGGACGCGCATGAAGTTTGTTTGACCACAGAGAGTCTCCTTCATGGAACCACTGAAAAGAGTGCTGATAGGTAGGTGTCGGCGGCTGGAAACGACCACGTCCGCCCTTACTTACCGTATTTTAGGGTCCTGCGTATCTATGGGATGGGACCAAACGACGACCAACTTTTCGGTAGCCCATGATACACGAAATTTACATTGGCTGAATCTCGAGACGAGTTACGTAGATGTTATGATTGCGAGCCCCTGGTTAAGGCTGTGATTGAAAAGAAACTATGTGTATTGTGACAATTGACAGTCGAGGTTAATGATTTTAGACCGAAATGAGCCGTTATCCCATTGGCCTGATGAAAGTTGCCTCTTTCGGAACGTCACTCCAACCGGCCCGGAGTTAGTCCACCAGCTTAGCAAACACAATTCAAATGGAAAACTTTCATAAATCATACACTTGGTACATGCGATGTCACCACGCTAGTGCATCTTTTGTGTCTACCATCAACTAGGACATCGGTGCTTCTGTCTCAACCTGGCGATACGGCACGTCCTCTCCTTCAGCTGTCACAGTGATGGGTTTGCCTATGATTGGTTTGGCATTCTCTCGACGAACCCAATCCTCGTCAGGCCGCATGAGCATCTCCACGTCCTCGTAGTCAGACTCGTCCTCTGGTCTCCAATCTTCGACCTGACTGTCTTCTTCGGCGGTTGTCCAGGTTCTGGAGGAGGAGCAGGCCAACGACGCTCACGTTGTGTATCCAATGGCCCGCCCGTCGCCATCTCTTGGAGAACGTCGAGAGTGTACTACGAGATTTATCCACATAGACATCAATTTATCGAGACCAACGCACCTTTGCGTCGTTTCCAGCATTGTGGAAGTCGTAGCGAACCGAATGCTTCAGCCGGCGGTAAACATCCTCGAGCTTCCGCCGGGATTCATTGTCCCCTTCGAGGGCCGCAAACATCAATGAAGTGTCGATAGCAAAGAGGCCTTCGGTTGGTGGAGTTTCAGGGAGAGATAACGTCGGAGGTTCTTCAAGAATTTCCAGTTTGTACTTGGGCTTTGTGAGATACCTAATACCATGTCAGTATATGATGCTTCGAGAGAATGCACTACGTGCGCAACGTCTTGGGAATGATCATGGAACACCAGGTAGACTGGGCCTTCGTGATTCTCAGGGCGAATGAGAGCTCGAATGCGGCGAATGAACTCGGCTCTTGGGATGACTTCGCTCCTCCCAAACGCATAACACTATAGCTCATCAGTCACTGGAGGGCTCGAGAGCGAGGACGTACATCTCGGTTATCTGGACAGTACGTCCCATTCCGGTGAAATTGGTTCTCCTCTAAGATCCAGTGGCCTGTACGCGTAATAACAGGCTCAAATGAACTAGACCCTGGAGGCGTCTCTGCCCGTTTCGCCTTATCCGTATTCCCAACCGTAGTGCGATCCGCCGCTGTGGTTTCAGTGTCGACGTCGGCTGGCCTCCACTTCAGTTCTACAAAGCCAAACTCTGTGATCACGTCATGCGCGAGCTCCCAGGATTCGAAATCCAGCGCAATCCATGTGCCCTTGCATGTACCGTATGCGGCGCGTACACGCTCAAAGATCTGGCGAATGGCGGCGAGCTTGACGTCGACGGCTCCTCGAAGACGTTTATTGAGTTTGTCGATTTGCTTGAGTCAAGAAAGGAAGGGAAGGTTATTCGAAGGGGACGGCGGACGGAAAAGGAACATACCTTTTGCTGCTGTTTCATTTCTGCGGCTGTTTTAATGATAATTGGAGCAACGGAACTAAGCATATCGACCGTAAGCAGCCACTCGCTGTGAGGAAGTGGGAGCAGATGGTCGACGAAGCCCATTGCCTTGATCCAATATCGGATGTATTCGATCTGCTTGGATGAATAGAGCAGCCGAGACTCGTTATTGTGTTTCAATACGCCTAGATATTCGTAGAGTAAGCCAAGCATTGGGCTAATTCCGATGAATACGAACCGATGAAGAGCTCAACGCCCCCTTGACTTGGATTCCAGAATGGATGATCGGGAGACGTCAATGCTTCTGAATGGATAAACGATTTGAACGGGGTCACGTCTTGCTCTGGAAGAACTTTTTGCCTAAACATTCATCAAGTTTTGATCGTGGTAGACTTTGCTCGATGCCGAATCTCACCATTCCCAGATGATGTCTGTCATACGGTACCATCCGTGCATGACCGCACTCTGCATCGACATTTTGGCAAAAATTCACGATTGTGGCAGGGAACAAGTTAGGAGCCTGACAAGCTCCATAGTGCGATACAAATAGAAAGACACAAAGAATATCAGTCTGAGGGTCTATATCTATCTTCAGTCAAAGCTCTTTGTGGCCCTTGCCGTTACTCTTGGCCAGTTGCTCCTTGATCCAGTCGAACGCCTTTTCTGTCGCCTAAATGTAATATATCAGAATGGTAGAGGGCACTGTGAAAGAAAGATAACCTGACCTGCTCTACTGGATGATCAAACAAGTAAGGAAGTGCTGGCACAACGCCCAGGCCGGTCAATGTAGGACCCCACGCTTACTTTTATGAGAGTCATGAAGAATGAGAGATGTTGGCGACTTACCTCTGGCGCGTGGGTTCTTAGCGTTCTTCCATAGTCGCCCCGACTGCGCGACAACGGTGTGGATCGTCAGCGCTGGGAGTGCCCTATCGGTTGATTAGACAAAGTCAATACAGACCCAAAGTAGATCATGCGTACATAGATGCTATGGACTGGAAGACAGCCCGTTGAACAGCGACCATTCCGATTCTCGTCCGTTCAGAGAATCCATCGGCGCGATCCAATGCCGAAGGTCCTCGTCGATAAGCCTTGTAGGCTTCATATCCAACGTCTCCAGTGAGGTAGAGCCAGCTTATGCCATAACTGACGTCCGTTTGGAGTAGATGGGAGGTGTGGCCCGGAAGCATGAGTCATATGTCAAACAGCCACTATTCCTTCTTACGCAGCTGTAACAATCCGGGGGTGAACGACCGGTCGGAATGCCTCGCCGACATCACTCGTCTAGGTTCAGAAGAAAAACGCAGAGAAATTAGGAGAAAGAAAACAGGATGTCAAAAAAATCATACGTAGGCTACATAGCGTGACGACGCTACAAGGGCCGTGCGTAACCGACTTCCATAGGCCATGTAACGAATGTTAGAGTCTGTTGAATCCGCATCCTTATCCGCGAGCGTCTGAATTTCTGCTTCAGCCTCTTTTGCTAATGTTTCCGTTGTCGTGGTCATGGCGGGATGAACAACGTCAAGAACCAAGGGCGTGGTAGATGGCCAAAGCTTGCGAATTGAGTTTCCGGTGGCCAACGTACACCTTCGGCTCCGGCAAACTCGAGGAACATGACTCGTATATTCTCGCTGTTTACAAACGATTTATTGGGTGAACGTCTATCCGGAGCTCCTTGTGACAAATGCCGAGCAGTCAATCCAAAAGGGTTTGTATGCCTCCGTAACTAAAATAACTACATTCCCTTTTGATTCGATCCTCGGAAAGTGACCCATGGTCTTTTTCAGATGATCAGGGACTGGGAGGATAGGTCGAGGAGGAAAAGCGGTATATATCCAGCCGTTGTAATAAGTGAGAAAGGAACGGTGATACGCCTTGAGAGACGTCGGAATCTTTGGAGAAATGTGGCTCGTGAGCTGCGTGCCCTCCACTTCCCATACGAATGAGCCCAGTATGAGAAACCTTCCGTCGGAAGAAAAGTCCAGACTTTCTTTCCCACTGCATTCAGTTGGTGTAGAGAGCTTCGTCCCAACTTGTGGTTCAGGCCCACGGAGGTCCCAAATCCATAGCTCTCGCGGACCTACGCACGCCAACAAGTCTCCGGCAGGATTGAATGCCGTTGCCCATGCAAGGGGCCCCACCATCCTAAACTCCTGACCTCCGACAGTATGAAACAGGTACATATAGTTGTAGCGTACTCCCGCCACTTTCATCCCGTCTGCTGATAAAGCAAACCAGGCGTCAAGCCCAAGTGACGTCGTCTTCCACAGGGATTTACCCGTAACATAGTCCCACACTTGCACCCCACGAGAACTGCTGATGGCCATATGAGACCCACTGGGCGTGAAAGATATGTAGCCACCATAAACCGTCGAATCTTCATCCTCCAGTGAAATTGGTTCCTTACAGGCTGAATCCAACGATACAAGCATGGCTCCTTTGTTCAAGCGAGTATAGGCAATACCCATTCCACCTGGGACCTCTGCCACGCTGACGAGGTCAACGACGTCAGTAGACAACATATCACTGATCTTGTTTCGACACAGTAATCCATCAGTGGCATCCCATAGTTCCAAGAGTTCATGACTATGGCTCCATAGAAGGAACGATGTCCCGTTTGATAGAAATACGACGTGTGGATTTCCCTTGCGCTTTGCCTCTGGCAAGATCAAGCCAGGTTCTCGGGCTTGTAGATCAAATACTCGCATCTCTGAAGATGCTTGCACGACCAACCGATTCCAATCGATCGACAAATGCGCGGTCAAGAAATTTCCTGTATATCCAGAGAGGATAGTAGGTCTCTCCTCACCAGTGCCAATGTCCCATACCTGTATCCTCTGTTCGCGGGAGAGTGTTGCGATATGCTTGCCATCCGTGGAAGCCCAGACAAACTGCAGAGGATCATCTTGGCCGCTGACAGTCGACAGCTTTCGACCATTACGCATGTCCCAAAAGATAATTGTTGAATCTATGGTGGAAAGAGATACCATACAGACACCATCCTGCAAGGCTAGGGCCTGAAACGATGGTGGGCTATCATCGTCGGTCATATCCGTTACCCCTCCCGTATTACAATCGATCAAAAGTAGCGGAGGAACAGGCCGAGAGGTCACAGTATGGCTCTCTGGCCATGATATCACCACTTTGGCGCCGCTGGAAGAGTAACTAATACAGGAAGAAGGTACATGGTCCGCTTCGAACTGCTGAATTTGCTGGAGGGTGTCCATATCGATAACGGTGACCACCCCTCGATCACGGCGCCTTTCGAAGTAGCCGATAAAGACACCGCGCGCTCCATCAGGTGAAATTTTGAACTTTGTACTCGATGGTTCAATGGTGAGCATTCCTTGGAGCTGTCGACCAGTGTCCACATTGTAAAATCGGGTTTCACTAATGGTTGGGCGGCCGGCATGATAGCATTCTGTAGCGTATGCGACGTATGGCTTGGTAGGGGAGAAGCGAACGCCGTTGCTATTTGTACTGCCTCGAAGAGCTGAAGGTAGTGTCGCTTTCCAGATCTGCCTACCTGTACGAGCTTCCCAGAGATAGAGAACGTCACTGCTATGACCTATGGCTAGGATTGTTGCATTGGGTGAGAATTCGGCCTCGATCAGGAGAATGACAGTCGAAGAATACTTTGGAAGGGTGATTCCCACTTTCTCACCAGACTCTATATCCCATAGAGACACACTTCCCCCTTCACCGACAGTGACAGCTCGGCTCCCATCAGGAGATATCTTCACTCTAGAAATGGGATCGTCTTGACCAGTGAGTACTATATGTGTCTCCCAATCAGTCTCTTCGTGAGAAGTTATGATTTCAACGGACGGAAGGTCCGTCTTGGGCCTAGACTTGTTAAAGAGTGGCGAGAATTTCGGTGCCATCGCCACTGGTATTGTATATGTATGGAGAGCGGCTTCGGTGATAATGTTTTGGTATCGAAATAGGAACTGTGATGCATGCTGTACTATCAAAACATCCATCTGTAGATGTTGAACAGTTCGATATTCATTTATTTTTGTTAACGTACCGTACTTGGACCACCCATGACAGCATCCCTTCGAACCTTGAGGTGCAATTGCGCCAGTGCTTGATGGCATGACCCGACCATGCGACGCCAACTCATCAGCTCAAGCCAGGAGCAAAGATGGGTTCGTAGAAAGCTTGAAACTTGGTCCCAATCGGTCCATGCCTCTTCAGAAGATGCAATATGATGAGCCCAGTAAGAACTTGCGTACCTCATAGCCGCAGAGGTACGAGTTTCGATCAGCTCTTCGACATTGTCGATGTTCTTGTTGTGCGGGATGAATGAATCGTGCTTGCTGATGCCCAAAATGTCGAACGACAGTTGCTTCAGTACATCTAGACACGCTGCAGCAACCAGGGAGTGTGATGGCGTCAGCTGGAGAACAAATCCATTCGCTCTCTTCTCATTGGAAGCAATGAAATCGCGGAACGTTGGATGTAGGACTTTGAGCGGTCGATCAGGATGCCCGTCTTTGATAACTCCAGCTATATCCTGGACGAGATCATTCACTCGGCGAACATGAGGGAGCAAAGTGATGATAGAGTTGGTTGAAACGGGTTGAAAAGCTGAAATGACAACTTGAAGTATCTTCTTCAAGTCGTCCTTCCCTTCTTCATCCACAGCTTGCCTCAATACGTTGAGATAGAGTTTGTCTAGAGATCCAGTAATAGCCTCGTGTGCAAGATGCTTGAGGAGCCTTTCTCCCCAGCGGGTTTGAAGGAGCGTCCGACAGAAGGTTGCTGCCCAGATGAAGAGACCTTTCGCATGGTCGATGACTCGCTGGCGGTCTTCTATAGAGTATACCTGAAGCTTCGAGTGAACGTAAATTGCAATATCATCGTTCGGTGGATTATTGATATCCAATAAATGAACACCCTGCCCGCAGACAAGAGTCGATTGGTCGAGAATATCCGCTATATCTTGAATTGGGCGACTCGTTAGAAGGATTTTGAGATGGTGGATTTCAGGCAGCTTCGTAAGGAGTGCCTTGAGAAGATATCCTCGGTCGTCAATGTCGCAATTGTCCAAGGCATCGATGACGAGGAAGACGGCGATATCATCTCCTCTCTGCTTGATAGGCTCCAAGATGGCCTGACTAAGTTGTACCGTAAAGTCCATCCTACTCTCCATTGAGGGCAACTCCGAGAGCACATCCTCAATATGTCTCCTCAACTCTGGAAACTGACATGCAACGTCTGCAGCAACAGTACGGCAAAAATACTTGATTCGCTTATTGAGCTCAATATTGGGGCTGAAAAAGAATCGCCCAGCGAGCCGCCTTTCGCGGATCCATTCGTTGGCCATTGTCGCTGCTATTGTCGACTTTCCAGTTCCAGCGGCGTCTTTGAGCCAGAAGACTTGTTCTGAGTTGGGATTATCACCCCATTGCCGAATTCTGGCGAGTAGATCTACTCGTGTTCCGGGTTCGCATTGGTCGAGGTCAGTGCCATATGCGTACTGGAAAGCGAGCCTGAGAGTATTGTCTGAGGCAAGGGATTAGCCTGGTCCCCAGCTATCATTCTGAACGCGCCTTCGACTTCGGTTCCCATTGCAATGGTGACCGGCTTCACCTCCTCTCGGAGATTTTCAATGAGGCTAGATATATCGTCCACCATGACAGCTAATGATTCTCCTAAAGTGCTCTATAATGACTTAGTGAACGGAACAGACAAGAAGCCCCAGAATACCTGGTATTGTGCAAACGCATCCTTCTCTCGACCACGCAGCCACTTAATGGTATCTTTACCGATCTTAGTCCTTGGGAAAAGCCTTGCATCCCCATCTATTCTTCCTTTGGCCACAGTCATTGCGTCCTTGGCCTCGTCAAGCATTATTCCGATGGTCCTGTACAGCATCATTGGGTATCGCAGAGTCGAATTGTGTATACACCAACTCGGAATAATTCTTCACGGCCTTTAAAATCCTGGCATTTGAAGGCTTAGTTTCTAATTTGGCGATGTCCTGCTGGATCTGGTCCGCGTGCATCTGTGCATCTTGGAGTAAGTCATCCCATTCCTTGTCGTCATCTTGAACATCCTGTAATATCACTAAGTCTGCATCTATGCGGAGAAGTATTTACGTGAAGCCTACTTTGGCTAGTTGGACCCCTTGTATCACAATAATGCATGTAGCCTTCAGAGATGCAGAAGAGGATGTTACCTGCGAAATATTGTTCGCGGCGGAAGGCCCTTGCTGCAGCCACTCGCAGATCTCTTCGTATGTCTTCGACGAATTGGGAAGATCTGCATCCGTTGACACTAGTGTTTCCGCTGGTTTAACATATGTGGTAGTAGACTCGTCAATCACGGGTTCATTTCCGGTAGGCGGCTCTTGGAGACTGAGGAAGGGGGAGGAAGTGCTTGAGCCGGCTTCGAGACGATTTGGCGATGAGTCTCTGCTGCTTTCGATTCTCGAAGATTTCTTCTTCATTTTAATCTTGCTAACAAGGCGCCGCATATTGAAATTGCAACTGTCGTCTGGGGATGGATCACCAACCATGGTTTGTTTGTCTCATCGGACAGCGCTTGAGAAGCGGAAAAAACTTTTGATTTGCCGAGTGCTACAAGAAAAGATTCAAATGATTAAAGCTAGGAACCAGTGGGACCAGGGGAAATACACAGTTCATCACGGTCACGGAGAAATGTCCCATGAGAGCAACATGATGAGGAGAAAGGTGTTGAGCGATAATAGTTTGTTCGTGTGTTCGAGGATTTGACGTCGGGGAGCGGGATGTAGCCAGGTTGAAAAGGTAGAAAAAGGAGCTACACTGAGGGGCCAAACAATGGCGCGTTACCAGAGAAGGTAATCCGTCGCCGGGGGAGCCCCATCCACAAAAGTCATCTGTGAAATGGTAGAATCGGATGGACTCGGATTCCATGGCGACAATCCACCACTAAGTAGCGCCGCGGGAGAGTCGACAAGAGTCGTAGTAGGAGAGGCGCCAAAGAACGACGACACAGAGCCCTCCAACCCGACTCCTGGTCCAGCCGGATATCCCATGAGATTCGTAGGGGACACAGCGCTCATGCTTGGAGCGGGCGAGAGTCCGTCGACAAAGGTAGGCGAAGCGACCATGGACAGCGGCGAAACAGCCATTTGCGGTTGATTTTGCTGCCTTTCTCGTTGGATCTGCATTTGAATCTCCTGCGGTGTCGGTACGGTCCTCGAACTCCCAATTGTGTTCGCAGGCGAAGTTGCAGAAGGGTCTGACGCAGCCAAGAGAAAAGCAAGAGGGTCAATCCCATCACCGCCTTCCAAGTTACGACTGGATGTAGAGGGAGGTGCAGCAAGACTCGAGGGCATTGCCCTATTGGCATCGAACAATGTACTCCAATCCCAAGATGGCGATGGGATGTTAGGTGGTGTAGAAATAGATGTCAAAGGGTTAGAAGGTATGATGGCGGAGGTAGAATGACTAGGGACAGGTGTAGAACCAGTACTAGGGGCCAAAGCAGATGGCGTGCCTGCATCTAGCGTGGAGGGTGGCGATGTAGCGTTGCCGGTGGAACTTGGTGCCGTCGGTGCTCCAAAATGTGTCCGTTCCAAGCTTGAGTTCGAACTCGTAGATGGCGCAGGCGATGCCTCCAAGCCTCCGCCACGACCCGTCGTATGACGTGAATTCAATGGGACAGCCGCTGGCGGCATAGTAGGATCCGCCAAAGCTCGCTGCGGCTGCTCCTGTTGCGGCTGTCGAACTCCATTGATATAAAGCGCTCCGCACCCGACCCATCCGCAACATATACGGTCCCGTGGGCAAGTAAACTCGACCCGCCAGACCTTTTCGCAGCCTCCTTTCCCTGAATTTCTCGCTCCATCTCCCGCGAACGCAACACCTTTTTGTACAACGCGAGCTGATTCCGCTGAAACGTCCACAGGAGGTCAATCTTTTTGCCAGTAGGGAGCGCGTCGAAATCCTTGACTCGACTGCGCAGAAGTTGAACCGAGATGTTGCCCTTTGACCGATCGACCATGTATCCCGTTCCGTTGAAGGTAGAAGGGACCTCTTTGTGCGTCGAGTCTTGGATCATGGAAAGAAGGGTAGGAATAAGGTTTCTGGGTGGTCCTGGACGTTCACGGATGTCGAGCGGAAGGGCACTAAATACGTCTTGTGCGAAGCGAGTGTCGGAACGGGGAGGTGGGCTAGGCGCCTGGTGATTCATAGATGAACTAGACGGGGATGGTATTGAATCGGTTTGACTACGACTGGGGTTGTCAGTTTGAATCGGTTGCGTGGATGCTTGATTCGAAGGGCTCTGAGGCGTCCGCGGATGCTCTTCACCGTACCCCAAATTCTGTACCCTTTTCACCTCCGTTGCAGTGCCAAATGCTTTGGCAGGAACAGGGGGTGGACCCATTGACCGATCTCCACCACTACTGGTCACGTACATGGGTGACCCAATGTCCATATCTTCACGTTCGCCCCTATGTCTCACCGTCGCATTATTTCCCTCGGGAGAAGAAGATCCAGTGTCTGATGAACTGGGTGGCGAAACACGCATCGCTGGTATGGACAAAGACGAAGAGGACGAGGTGCTCATTGGCCGACGACGCGTGCCACCACCAATACTGATCCGTTTATAATGACTGCCTCCATTCCCACTCCCACTTGCAGGAGGAGAGGAAACTGATGCATTGGGAGAAGGGGTCTCGCTTCCCAGATTTCCTTCATCTTCCTCTGTGCGTGGTCGTTTCCCATTCTTGTTAACCTCCATAGATATGGATGCGTCTAAATTTGACGGGAGTTCGAACTCCATCGCGTCGTGACTCCTGCGGGAGGGCGATTGGATGCCCGAAGGCGACTTAGCAGACGATGACTGCCCTGACCACTCTGGAGATGAGAGTACTTCTTGAATCTGACGCTTTCTCTGCTCCCGACTGAGCTGTTTGGAAAAAAGCGAGGGCAAATGCGCGTATAAAGCTTGCAGACGGTCTGTCGAGGTGAATGAGACGGATGGTGGTGGAGTAAGGGTCGGAAGTGAAATTTGGGAGCCGGGGATTGTCTGCATGACGCCACTTGAGTGAAATACTCAGTATAGGATGAAGGTGGGTACGGACCATGGTTTGAAATGCCTGAGTATGCTGGATCATCCAGGTAATGTTCGACTGGAAGCGCGTAATGTACCTATGCAGCCTTCAACGCGAATCCGAACAATTTATCTAGGTTACTTACATGTTCAATTCGGACGGCATTGTCTGGGCGAGATTGCGGGCGTGAAACTCTTGGTTGACCCTGTATGTAGTCCTTAGACGAATATTGAATATAAGAAAATCAAATTACGCACCTGAGGAGCTCGCTATTAATATCCAGGAGAACCTCTGCCGGATCATTCGACAAGGATGACTGGGGTGAACCACGCGTCGGAGATTTTCGAACCTGTGATCCTGTCCCAAGAGCACAAAGTTGATCATTTCTTGTCAGAGTAGTGGAGTGTCGCATATCTGGACTCCCAGCACCAGTTGTCTCAGCACTGCGTGCAGCAGGTACGGGTGCATCGATGCCAAATGAGAAAGACGGGGAAGAGGAAGAAGCAGAGCACGAAGATTCTGTGGACAATGTCGCAAAATCTGTGAGCGTATGGGGTGACGGGTGTGCGGAATTCTGTAAACTGGAAGCATCTTCCTTGTCGACAACATGTGGACGCAATAAATGAGACACAGACGCTCCTTGTGCCCGTTTGAGTGTGCGCACGGGCTGGACGAGGCGGTCATGGTCCATCCTGGAAGTGACAGCGTCGAGTGGACAGTATATTGTATCCTCTTCCGTTATTATGTATTCCTGCTTCCTCGGCTGCTTTTCGTTGCGTCCAAGTCGATTAATTCAACGTCCACCCCGACCGCGCCGTGAGCGCGTGTTTCCTTTGTCTGTTTGGTGAGCCTTAAGAACGGACAAGCTATCAATGGACCGAATAACTCGTCGTGATTCTTGTCACAACTGTGGCCGTTGGTTTGGTCAAGCAAGACAATGGTCAGGTTCAAAGGTGTACAATAGGCGGATCAGCTGATGTGCGCCACACCTCGTCCTCATCAAAGATATACTTTGATAAATTCGTAAACACTCAGTATATGTAGTTTTGGAGGATGGACTGAATGCAATGCCTCGTTGCTGTCCTCGACCTCAATACCCAACGGTTAAACGCTTAGTGCTTGAGTTGGCCGTGCCAACCTCTCCTTTACGACGCCGTCCCAGCCTTTCTTACCGGGGTTTCAATGACGCGACGGCTATACACAAGCGATTTGCTCTCCGTCCTATCATTCTCCATCCGTTTGGCATGAATATACAATACATTGATGGTCATAGAAATCACAATAAGTCATTCGTTGGTCCCTGCTCGAACGTTGGTCCAAGAGGATCCACATTGAAAGTGGGTAAAGTCAATTCTGGTCGGGCGGTATCGACTCGTCGTTGGCATCGTCATAATATGAGGATATAATAGTCCATTCCGGTTGTCTGGTGGCACCCAGAAGAGAAATCGACCGGCAGATTTCACCCAGCCATCCTGCATCATTGAGCATCGATTGAATCCAGGGACGACGATTCTCAGAGGAGTAGCCTGTTCCTCGTCTACGAGACTGGAGCGTACGTCTCTGGAGTCAGAAACGTGGGCGCTTACGGCTACGCTCGGTGGTCAGATTGCTGTCTCAATCAGCGATAGTTTGAAACCACAACTGACCGGTATCTGCATTCCATAATCGAACTGTCCCATCTCGTGAGCCAGAGACGATTTGTAAGCTGTCTGGCGAGAATCCGACGGCATTGATCCCTCCCTCATGACCTCGGAGTGGCTCTCCCAATGGCTGGCCAGTGTCTGCCTCCCACAGTCGAATAGTCCTGTCGGAAGAGCCAGAGACGATTCGTGAGCCGTCTGGCGAGAATCCGACGGCCATCACCCAATTCTCATGACCTCGGAGTGGCTCTCCCAATGGCTGGCCAGTGTCTGCCTCCCACAGTCGAATAGTCCCGTCGTCCGAGCCAGAGACGATTCGTGAGCCGTCTGGCGAGAATCCGACGGCATTGATCCCTCTCTCATGACCTCGGAGTGGCTCTCCCAATGGCTGGCCAGTGTCTGCCTCCCACAGTCGAATAGTCCCGTCGTCCGAGCCAGAGACGATTCGTGAGCCGTCTGGCGAGAATCCGACGGCATTGATCTCTCTCATGACCTCGGAGTGGCTCTCCCAATGGCTGGCCAGTGTCTGCCTTCCACAGTCGAATAGTCCTGTCGGAAGAGCCAGAGACGATTCGTGAGCCGTCTGGCGAGAATCCGACGGCCCTCACCAGACCTTCATGACCTCGGAGTGGCTCTCCCAATGGCTGGCCAGTGTCTGCCTCCCACAGTCGAATAGCCCCGTCTTCCGAGCCAGAGACGATTCGTGAGCCGTCTGGCGAGAATCCGACGGCATTGATCCTCTCTTATGACCTCGGAGTGGCTCTCCCAATGGCTGGCCAGTGTCTGCCTTCCACAGTCGAATAGTCCTGTCGGAAGAGCCAGAGACGATTCGTGAGCCGTCTGGCGAGAATCCGACGGCCCTCACCAGACCTTCATGACCTCGGAGTGGCTCTCCCAATGGCTGGCCAGTGTCTGCCTCCCACAGTCGAATAGTCCCGTCGGAAGAGCCAGAGACGATTCGTGAGCCGTCTGGCGAGAATCCGACGGCATTGATCCTCTCTCATGACCTCGGAGTGGCTCTCCCAATGGCTGGCCAGTGTCTGCCTCCCACAGTCGAATAGTCCCGTCGTCCGAGCCAGAGACGATTCGTGAGCCGTCTGGCGAGAATCCGACGGCATTGATCCCTCCTCATGACCTCGGAGTGGCTCTCCCAATGGCTGGCCAGTGTCTGCCTCCCACAGTCGAATAGTCCCGTCGTACGAGCCAGAGACGATTCGTGAGCCGTCTGGCGAGAATCCGACGGCATTGATCCGTCTCTCATGACCTCGGAGTGGCTCTCCCAATGGCTGGCCAGTGTCTGCCTCCCACAGTCGAATAGTCCCGTCGTCCGAGCCAGAGACGATTCGTGAGCCGTCTGGCGAGAATCCGACGGCCATCACCGCACCTTTGTGGCCTCGAAGAGCTCTCGGAAGGCCGGAATACGTTGCCTCAAGTCCCTCAGTCACTCTAAACGTCCGCCTGTACTGTATCAGGCCGTCAGTGTGCAGTTTGGACTCTTTCGGACTGAACGGAAGCCCAGAAATGTAGATGTGTGGAGCACTCTCTTGGATCGGCACAAAATGCCATCATAAACCGCCGGATCTCCGTCATCCTATTTCTTATCTCCTCTTCAAGCTATTTCCGTGTTAGTCTCTCGAGCTCATTTCAAAAGATTACCTACTTCCGCGTGACGTGCAATTGCTCCAAGGCCGTTTATTGCTCGTGGTATTCCCCTCGTAAAACTCAGCACCTCCATCCAGTATAGCGCGTAGGATGTTTCCGTCACTTTTCGAGTTCTTTCTTGAGTATGTATCGCCAGCTGCTCTCACTTTCCGCCATGTGGAAACACCAATGGGAGCTTGCGTACTGAAGCTGCCGCGGGATAAACTTGGATATTCTGTCGGCAAGATTCGGAATCTGTTTATTGAGGAAGAAAGATGACTCGATTTGACATATATTGAACTTGAGCCCATCGGTCCGTGATGTGAGGCGGTTGAGACACCACGACGCAGCTTGTCCATGAGCCTCTGCGAGTTTAATGGAGAATTTGCTGGTAGCTGGAGTCATGGAGCACCGTCGGAGGTATTCAACAAGCGTGGGGTGGCGAAATTGGATTAGCTGTGTCCTTTCATCCACGCTCAGTACGCTTCCTAGATTCTGCACCAACACTTTCACACTCCCGCGTACTTTGACATGCGTCAGGATGTCCTGCACCTCATCCACCGTCAGCGGCTCGAACGCTGCCAGCAGCAGGGCCAGCATTTTACACATCGACTCTTGAGCTTTTGGGTCTATCCGCTCGAAGATGAGACCATAAACGTCGTCTATGTCTCCCGCCTTGTCCACTGAAATCAGTCGATCATAGATATTCTCTGGCGTGTCCCATGTGGCTTCGCTGTTCAGCATCCGGCAAGCAGTGCTCGCCCAGATGAACAGTCCTTGGGCCTTTTCGACCAGTCGCTGCCTCTTGTCAGGAGATAGAATCTCATCTAGCGATCGATGTATATAGGCAGCGATGTCATCAACGTTATCTATGTGATTGACATCGTGGAGGCGGTTCTCCACTTTGGCCTTGATCGAAATGGCCCCCAAGGTCGACTGGATGACAGGATCTGGTCTACTGGTCATAAATATCTTGAGTTTCTTGCACTCTTGAACGGCCACACAAAGCGCGTCGAGCAGCTGTTTACGCTGTGTTCCAGATTTACACTCGTCGACAGCGTCGATGACGAGGATCACACGCTGCTGCCGACGAAGAACAGGGCCTGTGACCAGCACCCGAAGCTGCTCTTCAAGAGAGCTTCGCAGGAACGAGGGGTTACGCTTAATGGCGTCGGCGATACCCGGCATGAGCTGGGGGATATAGTGGGCAAGGTCTCTTGCAATGGTGGAACAGAATTTGCCGGTTGTAGATGCCTCGTTACTTGCTATGGAGAAGAAGAATCGGCCACCTAACGCTCCTTCCCTTTGCCATGTCTCCAATGCGGACGTCGCAACTGTGGACTTGCCGGAGCCGGCGATATCGCAGAGCCAGAATATCGGCTTATCTGACGCATCGTCATTGGCCCAGTCCCAGATCATTTGGAGAACAGCTTTGCGGGTTCCTTCCAAGCAAGTTCTATGAACAGTTGACGCAGCGAAGTCTACAGTTGGGAGCTGAAGTATTGCAGTGGAGTCGGCTTGAGAATACTAAGTACGTGTTCCACTCAAGGCTTGAGCTTACCGTTGGCTTTGGATTGCTCTTCCATAGCTTGAATGCGTAGAGCGATAAACAGAGTCAATGCACTCTGTACTATTGGTCAGGGGAGAATAAGACTGGCGATGTTCGCACCATCAACTGCCTATGCCGGTCCTCAATATCCCGATTGAATCTACGAATCTCTCCCGCATCAATCTTCACTTTGCTAAACGCTTTGAGCAAGCCAAGTTTGCTTTGCTTGCGTTTCTCCTGTAAATTGACGACTGTGGTTTGCATCCCTTTCAGAAGCCTGCATTGCTCAGCTTGTTGAAACTGATACCTAAACTGTTCACGTACTCCATATATCGGGCAACCGGCTGGTTGAGCGCCTCGTGGATGTCCTTGTCCGCTGTGGGGTATTTGCCGATCAAGGCGATTTGTTCCTCGAGTGCAGTCTTATACTCTCCCAGACGTTGCGTTAGATCCTTCCAATCCTCTTGGTTGCTATCTATGGCCTATCGGACTCGTTAGACTCGCCACCTATACCACAATTCGCCAACGTGCCTGCATGACATCTAGGATAGACTTTGTAGTTTTACAAGCTGCCTTGAGAGGAGCAAGAATATCCGACCCTTCAGCTACATTCGCCACTACATCGAGCCCGATATTGACCGTGTCGTACACTTGCTGCTTCTTGCTGGACGAAGCCTCGGCGACAGACGAAGATTGAGACGCGTTTGCACTCTTGTGAGATTTCTTGGTTTTAGCTGGCTTTTGGGTCGACATCGTGGTGGTGGATGAGTCCAAGATCTGCTCGGCGTCAACCTGCCAGTCTCGACCATGAAGAGCTGACATAGCAGTCACAACAACATGACCAAGTTTGAAAACACAAGTAAATTACTCTTCAATCCCGGTACCGAAGACTCGGGTTACGTACGGCCTCGCGGAGCCCTAGTCGTTCGCAACCCTTGCGAGCTATTCAACCGACGGCACCGCGCGTTCAATAAAAAAATCATAACAACTTGTATCCACGTGATTGCGTTTTGTCTTGATTCCATGGTGTACAACTGCAACTAGTACGCGGGGGAAAAGAGAGATAGAGGGTAGCCAAAACCGGCCGAGAAAGAGATGGAAATTGCTGCACGATTGAGATGGATATGAGACAAAGCTGAGAAATGAGATGAGATGGATGGGAGATGGATGGAATAGGAGCAATATGAGCACAGGGGCCAATGCTAACGCGATAATCTAAAGTGAAATCGAGTAGAGTTGCCATGCAAGACTGGATAGGACGCGAATAAAACGCAATCCCTGCGTGAAAAGGGGCGATTAAGCGCGGTAGAAAAGTACCGCGATAAAAAAGACGAGGCCCGTCCGACCGACCGTCCGGGTTCCACCAAAGGATGGAGAGTCAATGGCAGTGTCATCACGCAGGTGACACGCTCAACAATTCGACATTGTCCTCTGCCTCTTTACTCCGGGACATGCTCAAACTGCGCCTCCACCACTCGACGCTAAACCGTTTCTTGTGCCCGCGTCCACGCTTTTCACGCTCACGTTCGCGTTCGCGTTCTCGGGAAAGCGTGACATCGAGCTCGGCCGTCTCGCCATTCAACCACCGGGACAGACGATCCTTGGCAAGGATCGGCGCCAGGGAGACGAGGGTCAAAAAGACGAGTTTGAAGAGGGTGTTTGGCGAAGTGACGACGGATGAAATCGTCTGTTGAGCCGAACTATTTGGCGAAGTCGGGGTCGACGCAATCGTCTGCAGGATATCCCCAATCTACAAAATATCATCAATAAACGACCATAATCAACAAGGATAAACGCACTTGGCAAGTGACTGCGGTCCAGGGCAGGGTGCCGATAAACGCTCCCACCGCACAGTGCCACAGACTCACACCGCAGACTCCGCAGGCGATATTGATGCCGGACCAAGGCACGATTCCGATCAGTCGCAGCACGCTCAAACGTGCCCAGGGAGATGAACGAGACGTCGAATTGGATGAACCTTCGAGGGCAGAGCGTGTGAGGGCAATAGCCGAGGGGAAGAAGCGAGTGAGGAGGGGAGTGAGGGGGGTTGCGAGGATGGTAGAGAGGACGGATCCGAGTGTAGTAAGCAGTGTTTGGAGAAGGGTGGCTGGGAGTGGTGGGAGGAGTGTTCCCGTCAAGATGTTCTACAAAATGGAATGAGTACTCCAAATGAGGCCCTTTTTGCAACTCACGAGTAACACGCTGCCTGGGATACTCCAGGCATGTTTCCACAGGGCCGTGACGGCCAAGACGGCGAGGACATGGACGAGCTCCCACTGGCCGGTCTCTGAATAACCTTTGAGGGCCCAGGCCAGAGCGCGGACGTCGGAGATGGTGCGTGGAAAGACAGAGTGGGGTTCACCCGAGCCCGTCGACGAGTCGTCAATAGCAGACGGTAGACGGACGGGCAGCGTCCATAGAGAGCCAATGACGAGAGCGGTCGAAAGCGGAAAGAGGAGGATGACTAACAGGAGGGGAGAGTAATTCTGAGACATTTGTGAGCCTTTCTAGATAATAATCTCGTTGTTATATATTCACCTGAGAGTCTGCGGATACCGGTGCAGCAACGATGATGGGCGAACGAGGACGGGTAATGTCACTGGGCACACTCGACGCGTCGCTTTCGCTCAGTTCTGCACTCGAACGTGGTAATACACTTCTGTCATTTTCCCTCAGTGAGTGTGTATATGGCCACCACCATTTTCTCGTCGTCGTAGTCGTCGTCGTCGTCGTCGTCGTCTTTGTCCAGTTTGGCGTCGTGGGCGTGTGCGGTACTCCTAAATCCTCGACAATCTGCTTTCGTGGTCGACTGAGCATGGTCGCTGTGGCCACTGTTGGCGACGAGCTCGACGAGGCCTGGTCACTGGCGAAGTGGGGCCGCTGTTGTGAGCGATCTGTTGACGATTCCTGGACGTTGAATGGCGGTTGTAGTCGAGGATGAGCGACCTCTGCGATGGCCAGGGAGTTTGAGAGAGGCCATTCGAACCGTCCGAGTCCAACAAATAAGTCGTATGTTTTTGTCGAGTGTGATGCCGACCGGGCCCATTACGCGTGGTCGGCGCCCATCGCCTGATTGGATTTACCTCCGATCCCAGCGGCCACGGCGGTAATCGCTAATACAAGCGCTTTGTCATAAATCATCTCATCTAATCAACATCAACAATCACTTCTTGACCCCTTTGCGTCGGCGGCTCCCGGTCTTTGTAGGCCCAGCTGGCGCTCCTTTGGCCTCGTCCTCTTGTACGACTTCATATCCATCAGCCACTTCCTCATCTTCTTCACCGCCCATCTCCGCCATCTCCTCCTTTTTGCCCATCACGAGACCCATCGCCCACACTGCGAGCACCACCGGCCATGTCCGGCGCCAGCTCGGCTTGATAGGCGTACTCTCGTCTAGAATATGCCTCTCATTCCCATCCAACTGGGCCGCGCATCCGTCAGAACTACAACACCGCCACGACCGATAGAATTCACTCACGATGTAGACTTCGTCCCCTTGCACGAGCATTTCGACCGTTCGCCCCGGAATAGACACTTGTTCTTCTCCCTCGACGTCGGGATTCCCACGAATGTTCACCTTGACTTTGCGCGCAGCTTCACTTCGCTGCAGCTTGGGTCCCCACGCCGCCTTGCGCGCCAATAACATAAAGGTGCGCACGCGTTCTAGCTCGGATTTGTAGGTCATCCGATGCACGACGTTTTGCAACAACGACGTGAACAGCGTCAAAAACACCAAGACCATCTACTCTCTCATCAGTCTCTTGCAGGGATCTGTAGATGAAATGTACCCCAAGTCCAGGTCGGAATCGGTTGAAATAATATCCCGTTCCTACTCTATCAGGCCAATGCGTTATTCTCTCGACGAGAACGTACCTCGCCACTTTGGCACACCACGCTTCATCCAAAAGTCATATCTGCCCATAAGCATTCATAACCTCTCATAAAGAGAAACTCACCGCTCACGTCCCTCGCTGAGAACCTGCGCAACGACACCGAGACGAGCATAGCGTTCATTCGCACCAGGCACTCCATGATTCTTGTCCGGACTAGACATACTCCTCTCAGCTCGCATCAAACCAACAAAAAAATACGCACTGCAAGTCGAGCGACTTTTTCCGATACGCCCTCGTAATCTCTGCAGAGTTTGCCTTTTCCGTCACACCCAACCAAGAATAAAAAGTCGTTCCTTTGCCTGTACATAACTTTATAAGCACTTTAATCAAGCCCCGCGTTCCGATTTCGCGGCAGTTCTCCCGCACCTTCGGAATTTTCGACAGCAGTGACCAGGTCAAAAATCTCATAGTCTTCCTATCCCAAAATTCAGCACAAAACACGTTGATTCACCCATAAATCGCTCACCTTTGACCATCTACAGGCCTACACGTCAGCAACGACACCTCTCCAGCGTACACCAAACACAGAATTAGACAAACTCACGCAGCCACCAGTGTCAATAACGACACAAACGCGAGTATATGCACAAATATCCTCATTTCACAGTACGCGAGCTTGATTCCTCGCGACTCGAAAGTTTCGCGCTGGCCAAGTTTGGTCGGGCTCCGTGAGTTTGTGCGTGACGGCGACCTCGGCAGTGATTGAAGAGTTGATTATGTAAAAACTCGTTATGGGGTATTGATTATATAAAGTCGCGTTTGTTGTGACTACCTCGAGCGAGACTGGCAGGTTGGATGCTGAGCAGATCTTGAACTCATCCACCACCACGATGTCGACCCAAAAGCCAGCCAAGACTAAGAAATCTCACAAGAGTGCAAACGCGTCTCAATCTTCGTCTGTCGCCGAGGCTTCGTCCAGCAAGAAGCAGCAAGTGTACGACACGGTCAATATCGGGCTCGATGTAGTGGCGAATGTAGCTGAAGGGTCGGATATTCTTGCTCCTCTCAAGGCAGCTTGTAAAACTACAAAGTCTATCCTAGATGTCATGCAGGCACGTTGGCGAATTGTGGTATAGGTGGCGAGTCTAACGAGTCCGATAGGCCATAGATAGCAACCAAGAGGATTGGAAGGATCTAACGCAACGTCTGGGAGAGTATAAGACTGCACTCGAGGAACAAATCGCCTTGATCGGCAAATACCCCACAGCGGACAAGGACATCCACGAGGCGCTCAACCAGCCGGTTGCCCGATATATAGTACGTGACAGTTTAGGTATCAGTTTCAACAAGCTGAGCAATGCAGGCTTCTGAAAGGGATGCAAACCACAGTCGTCAATTTACAGGAGAAACGCAAGCAAAGCAAACTTGGCTTGCTCAAAGCGTTTAGCAAAGTGAAGATTGATGCGGGAGAGATTCGTAGATTCAATCGGGATATTGAGGACCGGCATAGGCAGTTGATGGTGCGAACATCGCCAGTCTTATTCTCCCCTGACCATAGTACAGAGTGCATTGACTCTGTTTATCGCTCTACGCGTTCAAGCTATGGAAGAGCAATCCAAAGCCAACGGTAAGCTCTAGCCTTGAGTGGAACACTTGCTTAGTATTCTCAAGCCGACTCCACTGCAATACTTCAGCTCCCAACTGTAGACTTCGCTGCGTCGACTGTTCATAGGACTTGCTTGGAAGGAACCCGCAAAGCTGTCCTTCAGATGATCTGGGACTGGGCCAATCACGATGCGTCGGACAAGCCAATATTCTGGCTCTGTGATATCGCTGGCTCCGGAAAGTCCACAGTTGCAATGTCGGCATTGGAGACATGGCAGAGGGAGGGAACGCTAGGTGGCCGATTCTTCTTCTCCATAGCAAGTAACGAGGCATCCACGACCGACAAATTCTGTTCCACTATTGCAAGAAATCTCGCCCACTACATCCCCCAACTCGCGCCCCACATTGCTGAGTCCATCAAACGCAATCCCTCTTTCATGCAAAGCTCTCTTGGAGAGCAGTTTCAAACCCTCATCACTACTCCTATTCTTCGTCGGCAACAGCGTGTCATCCTCGTCATCGACGCTGCCGACGAATGCAAATCTGGAACACAGCGTAAACAGCTGCTCGACGCCCTTTGTGTGGCTGTTCAAGAGTGCAAGAACCTCAGGGTATTCATGACAAGTAGACCAGATCCTGTCATCCAGTCGACCTTGGGGGCCATCTCGATCAAGGCCAAAGTGGAGAACCGCCTCCACGATGTCAATCACACAGATAACGTTGATGACATCGCTGCCTATATACATCAATCGCTAGATGAGATTCTATCTCCTGACAAGAGGCAGCGACTGGTCGAAAAGGCCCAAGGACTGTTCATCTGGGCGAGTACTGCTTGCCGGATGCTGAACAGCGAAGCCACATGGGACACGCCAGAGAACGTGTATGATCGACTGATTTCAGTGGACAAGGCAGGAGACATAGACGACGTTTATGGTCTCATCTTCGAGCGGATAGACCCAAAGGCTCAAGAGTCGATGTGTAAAATGCTGGCCCTACTGCTGGCAGCGTTCGAGCCGCTGACGGTGGACGAGGTACAGGACATCCTGACGCATGTCAAAGTACGCGGGAGTGTCAAAATTTTGGCGAAGAATCTAGGAAGCGTACTGAGCGTGGATGAAAGGACACAGCTAATCCAATTTCGCCACCCAACGCTTGTTGAGTACCTCCGACGGTGCTCCATGACTCCAGCTACCAGCAAATTCTCCATTAAACTCGCAGAGGCTCATGGACAAGCTGCGTCGTGGTGTCTCAACCGCCTCACATCACGGACCGATGGGCTCAAGTTCAACATATGTCAAATCGAGTCATCTTTCTTCCTCAATAAACAGATTCCGAATCTTGCCGACAGAATATCCAAGTTTATCCCACGGCAGCTTCAGTACGCAAGCTCCCATTGGTGTTTCCACATGGCGGAAAGTGAGAGCAGCTGGCGATGCATACTCAAGAAGGAACTCGAAAAAGTGACGGAAACGTCCTACGCGCTATACTGGATGGAGGTGCTGAGTTTTACGAGGGGACTACCACGAGCAATAAACGGCCTTGGAGCAATTGCACGTCACACAGAAGTAGGTAATCTTTTGAAATGAGCTGCTGGCACTCATACAGAAATAGCTCGAAGAGGAGACAAGAAATAGGATGACGGAGATCCGGCGATTTATGATGGCATCTTTTGTGCCGATTCAAGAGAGTGCTCCACACATCTACATTTCTGGGCTTCCGTTCAGTCCGAAAGAGTCCAAACTGCACACCGACGGCCTGATAAAGTATAGGAGGACGTTTAAAGTGACTGAGGGACTTGAGGCAATGTATTCCAGACTTCCGAGAGCTCTTCGGGGACATAAAGGGGGGGTGATGGCCGTTGGATTCTCTCCAGATGGCTCACGAATCGTCTCTGGCTCGGAAGACGGGACAATTCGACTGTGGGAGGCAGACACTGGCCAGCCATTGGGAGAGCCACTCCGAGGTCATGAGGACTACGTGAGGGCCGTCGGATTCTCGCCAGACGGCTCACGAGTCGTCTCTGGCTCGGACGACGGGACTATTCGACTGTGGGAGGCAGACACTGGCCAGCCATTGGGAGAGCCACTCCGAGGTCATGAGGGAATTATCTGGGCCGTCGGATTCTCGCCAGACGGCTCACGAATCGTCTCTGGCTCTTCGGACGGGACTATTCGACTGTGGGAGGCAGACACTGGCCAGCCATTGGGAGAGCCACTCCGAGGTCATGAAGGAATTATCTGGGCCGTCGGATTCTCGCCAGACGGCTCACGAATCGTCTCTGGCTCTTCCGACGGGACTATTCGACTGTGGGAGGCAGACACTGGCCAGCCATTGGGAGAGCCACTCCGAGGTCATGAGAATTGGGTGAGGGCCGTCGCATTCTCGCCAGACGGCTCACGAATCGTCTCTGGCTCTTCCGACGGGACTATTCGACTGTGGGAGGCAGACACTGGCCAGCCATTGGGAGAGCCACTCCGAGGTCATGAAGGAATTATCTGGGCCGTCGGATTCTCGCCAGACGGCTCACGAATCGTCTCTGGCTCGGACGACGGGACTATTCGACTGTGGGAGGCAGACACTGGCCAGCCATTGGGAGAGCCACTCCGAGGTCATGAGGGGGTGAGGGCCGTCGGATTCTCGCCAGACGGCTCACGAATCGTCTCTGGCTCTTCCGACAGGACTATTCGACTGTGGGAGGCAGACACTGGCCAGCCATTGGGAGAGCCACTCCGAGGTCATGAAGGAATTATCTGGGCCGTCGGATTCTCGCCAGACGGCTCACGAATCGTCTCTGGCTCGGACGACGGGACTATTCGACTGTGGGAGGCAGACACTGGCCAGCCATTGGGAGAGCCACTCCGAGGTCATGAGGGGGGAGCCGTCGGATTCTCGCCAGACGGCTCACGAATCGTCTCTGGCTCGGACGACGGGACTATTCGACTGTGGGAGGCAGACACTGGCCAGCCATTGGGAGAGCCACTCCGAGGTCATGAGAGTGGTGAGGCCGTCGGATTCTCGCCAGACGGCTCACGAATCGTCTCTGGCTCGGACGACGGGACTATTCGACTGTGGGAGGCAGACACTGGCCAGCCATTGGGAGAGCCACTCCGAGGTCATGAGGGAGCGATCAATGCCGTCGGATTCTCGCCAGACAGCTCACGAATCGTCTCTGGCTCGGACGACGGGACTATTCGACTGTGGGAGGCAGACACTGGCCAGCCATTGGGAGAGCCACTCCGAGGTCATGAAGGAATTATCTGGGCCGTCGGATTCTCGCCAGACGGCTCACGAATCGTCTCTGGCTCGGACGACGGGACTATTCGACTGTGGGAGGCAGACACTGGCCAGCCATTGGGAGAGCCACTCCGAGGTCATGAGGGAGGGATCAATGCCGTCGGATTCTCGCCAGACGGCTCACGAATCGTCTCTGGCTCGGACGACGGGACTATTCGACTGTGGGAGGCAGACACTGGCCAGCCATTGGGAGAGCCACTCCGAGGTCATGAGGGAGCGATCAATGCCGTCGGATTCTCGCCAGACAGCTTACAAATCGTCTCTGGCTCACGAGATGGGACAGTTCGATTATGGAATGCAGATACCGGTCAGTTGTGGTTTCAAACTATCGCTGATTGAGACAGCAATCTGACCACCAAGCATAGCCGTCAGCGCCCACGTTTATGGCTCCAGAGACGTACGCTCCAGTCTCGCAGACGAGGAACTGGGTACTCCTCTGAGAATCGTCGTCCCTGGATTCAATCGATGCTCAATGATGCAGGATGGCTGGGTGAAATCTGCCGGTCGATTTCTCTTCTGGGTGCCACCAGACAACCGGAATGGACTATTATATCCTCATATTATGACGATGCCAACGACGAGTCGATACCGCCCGACCAGAATTGACTTTACCCACTTTCAATGTGGATCCTCTTGGACCAACGTTCGAGCAGGGACCAACGAATGACTTATTGTGATTTCTATGACCATCAATGCATTGTATATTCATGCCAAACGGATGGAGAATGATAGGACGGAGAGCAAATCGCTTGTGTATAGCCGTCGCGTCATTGAAACCCCGGTAAGAAAGGCTGGGACGGCGTCGTAAAGGAGAGGTTGGTTGGCACTCAAGCACTAAGCGTTTAACCGTTGGGTATTGAGGTCGAGGACAGCAACGAGGCATTGCATTCAGTCCATCCTCCAAAACTACATATACTGAGTGTTTACGAATTTATCAAAGTATATCTTCGATGAGGACGAGGTGTGGCGCACATCAGCTGATCCGCCTATTGTACACTTTTGAACCTGACCATTGTCTTGCTTGACCAAACCAACGGCCACAGTTGTGACAAGAATCACGACGAGTTATTCAGTCCATTGATAGCTTGTCCATTTTCGAGGCTCACGCAAACAGACAGAAGGAAACACGCACTCACGGCGCGGTCGGGGTGGACGTCGAATTAATCGACTTGGACGTAACGAAAAGAACCTAAGGAAGCAAAGAACACAAAGTAAAGAAAGAGGACACAATATCCTGTCCACTCAACGCTGTCACTTCCAAGTATGGACCATGACCGGCTCGTCCAGCCCGTGCGCACACTCGAACGGGTACAAGGAGAGTCTGCATCTCATTCATTACATCCAAGTGCTATTGACAAGGAAGATGCTTCCAGTCCACAGAATTCTGCACACACGTCGCCTCCTACCCTCACAGATTTTGCAACCTTGTCCACAGAATCTTCGTGCTATGCTTCTTCCTCTTTCCCTTCTTTCTCATTTGGCCTCGATGCACGCGCACGTGCTGCACTCACTGCTGAGATAACTAATGCTGGGAGTCCAGGCAGCTCTGTTTCATATCCATCAACTTCCGTCTCTTTCAACGACCGCTCGGCTATCATTCATCCCTCTCTCCTCCAGTCGACGCCGCGTACTAATAGCTCTTGTACAATATAGAATCAGGCAAAAGTGCAGTTGAATGGATGTGGGTCCTATGATCTTGAGTTCACGCATGCTGTCGGTTATAATATTTAAATGACTCGATGGCCGACAACAAGCGAGCAGACTTTCACTGGCAAACGGGCTGCAAGGACACGCGTCTATTCAGTGGCCAAAAACGGTCCAAGTTCTACACAAATCTACAAGAAAGACGATGAAGGACGAGATGCGAAAACGAGTGGAAAGGTATTGGTAATACTCGGTCAATAGTCGACCGTTCAGAAGATGTAAAATAAGAATCTATTGTCAACGGAGCAAACGTGGTAGCTCGACGTTGACAGTGGTCTCACAAAAGATGCGTGGCGTTGCGCATGCACTCGGTCTGCGATGGCGACACGGTCCAGCCACGCTTGCAGCGGCTTACCACGCAGCTTCCAGAGATACACTGCACACCAGAGACACCTGGAATGGCCGTACAGTCCATACCAGAGATCGGATGCTCTTCAAGGGCGTAGGGATACGTGCATCCTCCGCCTGTCACAGGACAATAAGCACTCTTAATCACACATAGGAGCAAACTTACAGGAATCCAGAGTGCGTCGTGTATCGATACATTCCCAGTTGTCCGCTCCTTTGTTCCCGCCCACTCCGCAAAGACGATGACCCATAGGGCAGCGCTCCTCTGTCAGAATCCTCATGCGCGTTCGAGCGTGTAATGGGTCGATACCACGTTTGGATGGATTCTGTGGGACACCGGACGAGCATGCCTGGCTTTGACAAATGCCATTGCACACAATCTTTGGCGACTGGCACACGCAGTTTTTCCCGACCCTGGTATACCCATCGATGCACTAGAATTGCGATATGTGGGTCATCCGACTTGGGTAGGGGAGGTGGACTTACGCCAAAGCTGCAAGGAGTACCCACGAGACACATGGGCATCGAGTGCTCTGGATAGGTACACGTTTTACCATCCTTTGTGACGATATTCAAGATGGCGTTGACGACCGCTTGCTCGCCCACGAGGGTCACGGCGAGCCGGGTCTTGACGTTTGCCTGGACAAAAGCTAGACGAGTGAGCGAGCGCGCCAAAGTGAGAATCTAGGGCCTTACGACGAACGGTAGAGGCACAAATACACGCGCGAAGACGGCCTAATCCTGTGAGGTCGGGGAGATTGAGCGCGGTCAAGAGGTTAAACTGAGTACGGCGACGATGAGCCAGACTAGACAGCGAGAGAAGAGGCTGCTCACGTCTATATTCGCGCATACATCTACCGGAGGAATCAGCCCACGCGGTGCCAGCTTTGTCGAAGCTGCATTGCAGACGGTGGCGGCACTGAAACAAAGAAACAAGAGGGTCTTCAAGAGCTGCATCGCAAATAGCACGCTCTGCAGAGGAGAATGATACGCGAAGGGAAGGAGTGGCGGCGACCTTTGTCGCGGAGAACGAAGACGATGGAAGCAAGAGACAAAGCTTGTTTGCCAGCGCTCCAAGTAGACCACACAAAAACTAGATTTGATTTCAAACTAGCTCTAGTATTCATCTTCTATGGTCCAATGTCTACGAAAATACAAGCTGCGACGTACAAATACAGACAGCACGAGAGGCAACGATCATGGATCAGTCGAATTCGAGTATGGGTCTAGTTTGTCGGAATGCACTCGTCGTAGGCTGGCGAGAGGACGTATCCTGGCTGGCAGCTGTGGACGATGCACCGCGAGTTGCGGCACTCGACGTCCACGGCTCCAGGGAGCGAACTGCAGTCCGCACCCGTCGGAGGCTTCTCGTCGAAGAAGTAGGGATAGATGCAGCCACCGCCTGAGGCATCATCAGTAACGAATAGAGATATCAGGTCGTAAACTCACATGAATCCAATGTCGAGCGTGTATCAACGCACTCCCACTCATCGACACCCTTCTTCCACCCACCACAGAGCATCTGTCCGACGCGGCAGCGGTCCTCCTGGAGCGATAGGACGTAATCACGCTCGCGGAGCGAGGCAAAGTCCGTCTTGTCTTCATCCTCCGATTCCTCTTCTTCGTCATCATCTCCTTCCTCTGTGAAGTCATCTTCAGTATGCTCGGGCTCCTCGTATTCATATGTCGTCTCGTCCTCGTCGCGTCCAGCCACTTCTGCAAATCGTTTGCTGACCTGAGGGACCGGTGCACGCTTACTCTGAGGCGACGGCACACGCTTGCTTTGAGGCGAGGGAGCACGCTTGCTCTGAGGAGACGGTGCTCGTTTGCTGGCCTGAGGGACCGGCGCACGCTTGCTTTGAGGGGAAGGAGCACGTTTGCTCTGAGGAGATGGTGTTCGCTTGCTAGCCTGGGGAACCGGTGCACGCTTGCTTACTTGAGGAACGGGAGCCCGCTTTGAGACTTGAGGAGAGGCAGTACGCTTCGCAGGCTCAGCAACACGTTCGTTGGGCCGAGGAGCCGGTTCACGCTTGCTCCGCTGGGGGACAGGTGCGCGTTTGCTCTGGGGAGATGGGGCGCGTTTGCTTTGAGGTGAAGGGGCACGCTTGCTCTGAGGGGATGGAGCCCGCTTGCTAGCCTGAGGAACGGGTGCACGCTTGCTCTGAGGTGAGGGGGCACGCTTGCTTTGCGGCGACGGGGCACGCTTGCTCTGAGGTGAAGGGGCGCGTTTACTTTGAGGAGACGGTGCTCGTTTGCTGACCTGCGGTTCCGGGGCACGCTTGCTTTGCGGAGACCTTTTGCTGGCTTGTGGCTCGGGCGCACGCTTACTCTGGGGAGAGCGTTTGCTAGCCTGCGGCTCCGGCGCACGTTTCGCTTTCTTGGACTTGGTACGTTTTCGACGAGGAATGGTGGGTGTTGCGCGTCTACGGGCAGCCTCTTCGAGCATTGCACGCTCAGCAGAGTTAGTACAGGCGCTCTCCTGGCAATGACCCGCGCAGATGTTGAATGGAGCAGGACAAGCGCATCGTCGCCGACACGGGTGAAGCCATGTGTACACTATGAATAATGAGCGATTTCTCCAGATATAGCGAGAAAATGACGTACAGTGAAGTCACAAAGTGCGTCCTCTGAGCAAATAGGCAGAGCATTGTCGGGATATATGCATGTCGCGCCCTTCGAAGCAATCTAAGACGTAGTTAGTAGAAATAAGAGGCAGCTTGAAGCAAGACATACGTAGTACATCAGGGCCTGGATGACCTTGTCCTCGCCAACGCCGAGCTCAAAGTCATTACTGGCGAGCTGGGCAATTTGATTCGTCGCAACAAAACCTGGAAGAGCATATAAGCATAATAGTTGCCTTGAATGAATGTATTTACCTCGCGACCCGTCTACGGAACTTTGGCAAAGACAGACGTCCAGATCCCCTGGTACACCGTTGATGGTACCGGTCGGGATCTCAAGTAAATCATAGAGATTTGTCTAAAGCAAATTAGAATCGAGTCAGAGTATACGCGTCAATACATACCGAAACAAAGGTGCACACGTCGGGAGCAAGAACGTGCTGCGACGCACGAACGACCAAGCTATATGCAAGCGCGAGGAAGAGAGGGAGGTGGGATTTCATCGTCGAGAGAGGAAAAGTGGGAAAGATGGGGATTTGCCGTCAAAACTGGGCCACCTTTTATGCTCTCAGTGAGCAGCCAAACACGGCCAAATTGAGGATCCGCTAAATCAATTTTGGGCTTCTCAGATGACCCCAGGTGTCGACGAAAGCATCGCTCGACCTGTCCAAGTCGTCAGTTTCATCAGCAGACAAACGACTCTCAGCGGTTCTAAGAAGAATTGTCAAGGTCACTGATGGTGGCTGACCCTGCAGATCTGCAGGTGATAATTTGTCTTCTGGCTCGAGACGTCGAAATTTGTCATCGGAATCCCTCGATGCTTCTCTCCGGCAAATCCGGTCATCGAGCTTGAAATTTGTATAATCCAAGGGCATATATTTGTAGGTGTCTACTGCCATGCTCCGATGCCACTCAGCCGTCTCGGAAGGTTCTTCTCAGAGTCGCGCTCTTCGGTAGATCAGCTGTCTCTATTCATTTCCTGTCTACCTAGAGGCGGTGATTATCAGCGGTGGGAACATGCCGAGTCACGACTCACCCTGAAACCCGCCGTCGATGCTCTCGACAGTCTTCCGAGTCCCAGCTGACGAATTGACCCGACAGAGCCTTGGGAGCAGAAAGAGAAAGTGAGGCAATTACATAGCCTACGTCATCTGGATTCACAAGCTTGCCATTGCCATGCATATCCGTGAAGGACTTGAGGTCTGTTGGATGCATCTTGTCCCCAGAGGAACGCACAGTCGCTTGCATCTGAGAAATGGTTGAGAATGAAACGGATTTAATTGTGGATTGCCATACGTCGGTGTCTACAGCGCCAGGCCTCAATGCGACCGTTGTAATATCCTTTTCTTCCGTCGCCAGTGTCCTACAGCTATCAGCCACAGACTTATAAAGATGAAAATTGCACCTCGCCAACGAGTTCATCGCAGCCTTACTCGCTGAGTATGCACCCCACCCATAATATGACTTCTGAGCCGCTCCGCTACTAACCATGATAATCTTTCCGCCAGCAGAGGAGCTTCGAAGCTTGGGAAGACTTTCTTGTATAGTATAGATGAGCGAGAAGAAATTGACGTCAAAAAGGCTCTTCCACGAATCACTAGTCTGAGCCTCAGTGACAGGAGCACAGACTTTCACAGAAAAAACCGACCTTTCAGAACCAGGTGGGGATTCTACAGTTGCAGATGCGACCGGACCGGCAGGAGAAAGCACACCCGCGTTCAAAATGATGCCGTCGAGCTGCCCAAACTGCTCCGAGGCAGTCTTGACAGCCTCTTTCGACGTGATTGGGATCTGTTCTGCAGGCTGTGAGTAGTCGAATAAAACGAGAAAGATGGCACCAACATGTCGCCCAAGACGACTGCCAACGACGATGGATGATCCGCAGCAAGCGCAAGCAATGCGTCGTTTGAGGTGCGTGATAACGCGATAACACGAGAATTCAGTTCATTGAGAAGTATCTTGACCACTGCGAGGCCGATCCCTCTTCTTTGATGAGACGAGATGGCCTTGTCTGCTTGCGGAAAGTAGCACACCTGGACGCCCCAGTCACCAGAACTACAGGCTTTTTTCCATCAAAGGATTCCATTTTTTCGAATAAAGGATTTATTGGATTATGGCTCATTCCAGCCGAGAGCAGAGGTGGCGTGCAACTTGCGATGATCGCTCCCTAAGTCGAAGCTCTCCTTGTACGGTGCCGTGATACACGAACAGCTGATACATGAGGAATACGGTATTGAATGTCAGTCCAATGTGATTGACCGGTTCACCATCCAACTAGGAGAAGCATACGCATGTTTCACAAGAGATCACATATCATAAGCCGGTCTATCCTGTCACTCAATGCATAGTATGGCCAATAGTAGAGCCGAAACAATCCGTTCATAGATGTTGGATAACGGCAGCGGTGAAATCCGAGGTAGTCGCCGAGCCTAAATACGGATCAGCTAGAGTTATATGTTGAATATACAGCTACTCACCACCCATGTCGGCCGTTCGAACTTTCTTGGCATTGAGAACATCAAACGTAGCGGATGCGATCGAGTTTGCAGTCGAGTCGAGACTGAAGACGATAAGTAAGGTGTAAAATATAGTTAAGAGACATACCCAAGGTGTCGCAACATCATGGTCGCGCTCAAGATCATGGCGGCTGGGTTGGCCTTGTTGGTTCCCTTGATATCTTCAGCGACATGTCTGCATCCAGGCTCAAAGAGGGCATATTCCTGAGGATTGAATCAGAAGTGACAATACGATCCTGAGCGAGACTCACTCGGCCAACGTTGCAACCTGGAACGACGCCGGGTCCACCAACCAAGGCGGCACCAATGTTGGAAACGATAGCACCATAAAGGTTAGGCATGACCATGACATCAAACTGACCCGGCTTGGCGACGAGCTGCATAGACGTATTGTCGACAATCATGTCATTGGCGACAATCCCAGAAGACTTGTACTCTTCGGCAACACGGCGGAAAGTATTGAGGAAGAGACCGTCACCGAGTTTCATAATGTTCGCTTTGTGAACGCATGTGATTTTCTACAATGGACCATTGAGCGACGGAAGCGAAGGAAAAAAAACTCGGCCCTGCGGCTTACCTTGCGGTTATTCTTAAGCGCAAAGTCGAATGCGAAACGGATAATGCGCTCCGACTTGTGACGGGTAGACACTTTCAAGCTCTCGACGACACCTGGGAAGCTTTGGTGCTCGAGCCCAGAGTACTCGCCCTCGGTATTTTCACGAATGATGGCAAAGTCGACGTTTTGGTGACGGGTCGGAACACCAGGGAGCGACTTGCAAAGAACGACTGATGCATAAATGTCGAGTTGCTGGCGCATTGCAACGTTCCACGACAAATGTCCCTCGATGGGTGTGAACAGGATCCCTTGCAGCACTTGTTCAGCTGATATGAAGAAGCAAATAACACAACATACCTTTCAGACCCACACGGTTGCGCTTCAAGCTCTCCATTGCCTGGTTGAAGAGTGCCTCGCCTTCGTTCGACATGCCGGACACATCGTATTGCTCCCACTCAATGGGTGCATTGACATGCTCAAAGATTTCCTTTACCGAATCCGTGACCTCCTTACCAATACCGTCTCCGGGAATGAGCGTCACCTGGATCGTTCACAGGGATCAAGCCGTCGAGTGAAAAAGAGTGCGTGGATCGAAAGAGAAAAGTTGCAAGTTAGCGAAAAATATGCATAGAATGGCCGTCGCTCTTACGGTGTACACGCCGCCGTACTTTGTTGGTAGCTGGACAGACGGTGCAAATCAGCTACGCTTGCCCACAGAAAGCGCGCAGAGGAGACTTACCCTCTTTGAGACTTTGGGGAACCCAGCTGCAAGAGTCGTGGCGGAGCGCTATTCGTTTATCAAGGCCCAGTTGTCAGTCACCGCTCATAGCAGCGACGCCCTCCGCTGCACCAAGGAGTAGATCTCTCACCTGAAGGACCAATGGTCGCCTCGCAGCTGCAGCCAACGTATTTCTGAGCATTTTCCGGGAGAAGGTTTGGTGACGGCTAGGTCGAAAGTCGAAATGTATAGCCGCCGGCTGGCGTTTACGGACCAAGTTTACAGAGATAACGGACGGCCGGTAAATAGAGTCTATAGCAAGACGAATAGGACTAGAAGTAGAGGACGCCTGCAAATTGCTAACCCGTTTCTCAAAGGGTGCAACGAGAGGTCGGGGGGCGGAAAGGAAAAACTAGCAAACGGCATTCAGTTGGTCCTGTATAGCGACCTCTTCGCCACCTTGACGATCACGTCCGAGTCTGGGAAGGCGTATGCCTCGAGATTCGCAGCGTACTGCAAAAGCTGTCAGGACGTTGTCATCAAGACAAGAACAAACGTACAGGAGTGGGTACATCAGCACCAGTAACGCGTTCGACTGGCGCATCCAAATAGTCAAAGGCCTCGCTTTCAACGACCTGGGCGCAGATTTCACTTCCTACGCCAAATTGCGGGAAGCCACCCTCCACAGTGAGCAGTCTAGCTGGATGTCAGACACAATTCCTAACTCAGATGCATCACGTACCGGTTCGTCTTTTTGACACTCTTGATGATAGCATCAATATCCAGCGGTCGAATGCTCCTGAGGTTGATGACTTCAGCCTTGATTCCTTCCTTTTCCAGCTTCTCCGCTGCTTCTAACGAGCGTCCGACCATGATCGAGTGGGCAACAATGGTCACATCAGTACCCTCCTTTTCGACCTTGGCCTTTCCGATGGGCAAGAGGAAGTCGTCCTTCATGGCTTCGGCAGACATTGGGAACGAGACACCATAAAGCATTTCGTTTTCAAGGAAGACGACTGGGTTGGGGTCCCGAATCGCAGCCTAATGTCGCGTCAGCAGCTTGCCAATTGCAATGTCCTGGAAAACGCACCTTGAGAAGACCTTTGCAGTCCTCGGCGCTGTAAGGGCTGACGACCTTGAGGCCTGGAATCGAACCGTACCAAGCGGCATAGTCTTGCGAATGCTGAGCGGCGACACCAGCAGCAGCACCATTGGGACCACGGAACACTACAGGACACGGTACGTTGCCGCCGGACATGTAATAGGTTTTTCCGGCCGAGTTTACGATCTGGTCAATAGCTTGCATGGCAAAGTTGAAGGTCATGAACTCGCAACTATGCAATATATGGTGAGCAAGCATCTGAAGGTGACGAAGAAACACGCACATTGGTCGTAGACCAGCTAGAGCAGCGCCGACGGCCAAGCCAGCAAAGCCCATCTCCGTAATGGGGGTGTCGACGACTCGCTTCTCGCCAAACTTGTCGAGCAGTCCCTTGGTGACCTTGAGGGAATACTTAGCTACACACACAAAAAGAAGTCAAGGCAAAGACGGACCTTGTAGGCACCGTTATATTTCGCGACCTCTTCTCCCAAAATGAAAACGGTCTCGTCTCGGGTCATTTCTTCGTCCATTGCAGTGTTGAGCGCCTCTCTGACGGTCATCTATCGAGCCAGGACACGCGGCGAGCGATTTGCATCGAGTATGTCGAACCCCATTTTTTGCGACAAATGTTAGCAAATGGGCCAGTCGACGTCACGCAACGCTGAAAACAAGTACAATGTGACTTACAGAATGCTGTTCGCTGGAAGACGAAGCCCATCGTCGTGCAGCAAATGTCGATGAGCTGATTGTTGGCAGTCGCTGGGGGATGCTGGAGAAGCGTCGTATCGACGTAACCGGCAATGGTGAGCGTGACAGGCGGGTTATTTTGAGAAATGCTGTTCTAGAGGCCATTTTGAAGAGACCAGTGGGATGGTCGGGAGTTGAGCTTTGACGGAGTTATTTGGTCCCTGGCCTTTCATGGCTACACAAGGAAATTGGTCAGAAAAGCCAGTTGTGATTGTCACCGGAGCTTCAAGGTCTCTTCAACGTCATGTCCACGGACAAACGGTTCCCTGACGAAATTCCAAAGGGGCATCGGACTCGCAGTCGTCACTATTCTGCTGGAAGAACTCGACGCACGCGTAGTTGGCATAGTCAGATCAACAAACTCGTCGTTGGATCATCTTCTCGAAAAGCATACAGACTCCCTCGTCTTGATCTACGGCGATGTGTGGGTGGAAAGCCATCTCTCTGTATATCCTCATCTTATGCCTCACAAGAACAGAACCAGAGACATCCAAGCGAGCGGTCGCGTCAGCTCTAGAGCAATTTGGAAGCCTCGACTCGCTCATCCTGAATGCCGCCGTGTTCACCCCTCATGGCACCGTATCTTCTATCCCAGTGGACTCGATTGGTACGTTCTCATATAGTCCTCAGGATATCAATCCCCACACCCTTTAGAGCACCCACAAGATACGTGGCGACATGTCTTCGACGTCAACGTATTTTCCTTGATACACACTATAAAACATCACTTCCTCATTTGAAAAGTTCAAGGCGAGGCGGGCGCATCGTATTCGTCAGTAGTGGGTCTCTCTGAAAGGCTGGCACGGGGTCGGCCCGTACTCTGCGAGCAAGGCTGCTGTGAATTCATTGGCAAGGTAATTTTGTCTACTCTATTCTTTTCTATCTCATTCTCTGTCCTAGGACGCTTGCCAAGGAAGAAGAAAACTTGGTAGTGGTCGCTGTCCAACCGGGGGTGGTAGACACGGATGTAAGTATCATCTACCTCTCATTCTCAACTGACAGCGACCATTAGATGCAAGGTCAAGTTCGCCGGTCAAGCGGCATGACGCCGGATGATGTCCAAACCTTTCGAGACATGCACTCCGAGGGCAAACTAGTGCAACCATCGGACACGGGATACGTCATTTCATCTCTTGCTCTCGCCGCAAACAAGGAGTTGTCTGGGCAATACCTCAACTGGGACGGTGAAGAGTGTCAACCTTACAAGCGGTGATTGACCTTTCACAACTTTGTGCGGAACACAGGGTTATAGTTTGGAGACATTGGACTTTAGGCGAGATATAGCTGAAGTGGGCGTGGAAGAGGATGTACGACGACCGTCGTCGGACGTTCACTCCTTGGTGATCACGCTTACTCTCTCTTATATGCTCCAAACGGTATCTTCTTTTCAAATATACGAATGTCATACAAACAAATGGTCTCCTCGTGAAACGTACAAGTCGCTCAGCCACTTGGATAAATGACTGAACCCGGGGAATGTCGTGAATTCATGGATTGCTGGTATAGTAATTCGGTTTCATCAAGGGTCTCTTGGAAATTAAGTATAGGTCGGCGTTGGGAATGTCACACCATGTGCGCCGGTGACAACTCTGGCAGGTCTGACCAGGCTCGGTCAAAAAAACTCTCCTTGCACCATTTAACGTCCCGTTACCAGATACATGGCTTCGAATACAACCGGGGGTAACATTATTGGCAGCAGCAGCGATGGACGGGCAGGTATCACCTCCGGCGACGAGGATGCTGCTGTTGCACATGACCATAATATAATTTTAGTCAATATGTCGGGCATATGACATGTTCTTCCTTCTGGGGTCCAGTCCAGTTTCCTTGCTAGGGACGCGACCAGCAGGCTTAGGATCGCCACCCAACAGAGGACGTCGTTCGTCACCAGGCTTTGGTTCCACGGTCATTTGTAATTGGCTAGCAAGTCGACAAGGCATTTGAAACCTATGGCTACGTCTTTCTCCTTAAATCATCTTTGATCTACACCTTTTCCTGCAGCTCTTGGGAGCCCTTATCGTCGACTTCCGTATGGTCCTGGAAAGGCCGTCAGCTTGTTATGTAGCCAATAAAATGCTCTCACCGAATGGTGTACCTCATGAACCGCCTTTACATCCTGCAGTGTCTTCTTCCCTACATTACGTTTGATCTTCCAGGCCGTGAACACATGTCCCTGTGAGAACACTTCTTCAATCTCCTCCAGACTTCTTCCGCATGTCTCTGGGAACATGAAAAGCACATGGAGAAATGCGGCGAAGTTGAATGCTCCGAAAATGTAGTACTGTTACCAGTCATCCGTGAACAGACGTGCCAATACTATAGTACTCACCGTCTTATAAGAAATTGAAGACAACAACGGAGGAACGGCCCATGCTACATAAAAGTGTTAAAAGGAACCAGACGTCCAAGATAGAGGGGTGTGTACCTAGGGCGCAGTTCATGATCCAGTTTGAAGCAGTCGCTAGAGATACCCCTTTGGCTCTCACCCGCAAAGGATGGATCTCCGAAGAATATGTCCAACTGCAAGGCCCCATCTGCTAAGGGTCAGCGCCAATGTCGAGAAATAGGGAGACTCTAACCGTGATCGCAAAGCTGCATACAAAGAAGTACGAGCATACGATCACACCCTTTGTGATGCTGTCGTGTCCCGTTACCACCCAGACGCGCTCTCCATCCACCATACCCCAATGGCCATACATTCCTTGGAGCCCTCCGACAAGGAATAGCCAGAAGCCCACTAAATCTGATTAGTAGTCAAGTAACAATGAGAACTCGGATGCTCACTCAGCAGTTGGCCACTAATTGTGTGATCAGTAATGCTTCTGGCCTATGTAGCTGTACGTACATAAGTAACATGGGACGGCGCCCCCACTTGTCGATGTCTAGCGACGATAAGCTAGTAATCTTTTGGCCCGAAATACACCTACAGAGGATGGCTGGAAAGGTCATCGCAACGACGAGAACATATCTATAATGGGTCAAAAAAATGCCAATACAACACAATCATCCTTACTGAACGCTGGAAGCAATAAGGTTTCCTCTACGGCCTAACAAATTTCAGACTTGGCTAAGGCTTTGCTCGAGACAACAGACCGGTAAGGCCAGCCCCAATGAACACTGTTGAACATTAGCCAAAAGATATCGAACCAGGATTAGACGTGCCATAAGTGATATAGTACATCATGATGTTCATCCCCGTTAGCTGGGACCAGGCCTGTAGCGACATTGCAAGCATCAGTCGGCGTAGCACATTTGGTTCCAGGAGATCCTTATAGGACTTGGCGCCATATTTCTTCTCAAATTCTACTTGATCCTTGATTTCAGTGTATTCGAGTTGCACAAGTTCGGCGTCGGGGTTTCCATTTCCGTGAACTTCTGCCAAGATCTCGAGAGCCTCGTGCTCGCGGCCGTTGTCAGTCTGCGTTGGAATTAGTTGCTATCCATCCTGAAAGCGAATATACTCACCAGCCATCGAGGAGACTCGGGGAACCATACTAGAGTACTGATTGTCAGACTTTGGTAAAGTGAAGGTGCTGACATACTCATTCCGATAGAAAGCACGATCGCAGGGATCATCTATGGGATGATGAGTCATTCAGTTGTCGGAGAATATGTGAACGTTCCTGCAATCCCCAAGGAATGCGAAAGGAGGCCTTCCCGTTTATGTACGAGCAACCGAATTGGACAAAGTACTGCAGAAGACTTGGGATGTTGAGTTGCCGATACCATTGAGTAAGATACTCACATTCCCCATGTAATCGACCACTATGATGTGTTGAATAAAGTTCGGGTAGCACAACAGAGAGCACATACCTGTTGAAGACTGATCAAACGTCCACGGATATGTGCAGCAGTGATCTCTGCCTAGGCCGAATTGAGACCCGTTCATGATCGAAGTGTGAAACTGTACCTGATACAGTGGCACCGTAGCGGAGGCTACTTGGGCTAAGCTTTACGCATTCCTCTCCTATCGATAGACTCACCGATTCCGACGGAACCCCCTGAAATTAGGCGACCAGCAATAAGCATTCCCCTATTCATAGCAGCACACTGGAGAATGCTCCCAATTACCCAGATGACGCCTGAGAGTTGGATGGTTTTCTTTCGACCCAAGATGTCTGCGAGCTTTCCGACGGTGAGAGCGCCCACCAAGCTACCGGCTGCGGAAGATCAGTCGAGCTCAGAGCACCAGATGACACGTACCAGGCATCGAAGCAACGATGGCCTAATGAGTTTAGTAAAACCCCTAACACTTCTTGATGCACTTACACCTTGGGCATTTGGTCCGGGCTACAGAGGTGTCAAACCAGAAGGCCCCAATGATAGTGACTTACATATCCAAATTGGCTCTTGTATGAATCATTCTGCGTGCTTGCATTAGCGTTGAAGAAGAGAGTATAGATGGACTTGCCGTCAAGACACCCGACATCTGCAAGCGAGTCAGTATAACGTCACCAATATTTGCTGTACCCACCGAAGAGATGTCGAGTCCAAACAAGCCCCCTCCGATGCACGCGAAAGACCCAACCTAGGAAAGGTGAATACGTGCTGCATTTGTGAGTGGGGCAACAAACGAGGTATGGGTTCCTCAAGATTCTTTTGCTATACTGGGGAAATAATTAGCGATTTCCAAGGCGAAGCCTCGCGAGACTTGCCTTGGGCATGAGAGATCAAGGAGAAGACGAATACCTCCCGATGATGAGAAAGGCAGGAGAACAAGTTGGGGTTGAGCTCGAGTCGTACTTATAGTCCTCTTCACCATCCTCACGTTCTCGAGAATGAGTCGAAGAATCCTGGTCTATGTCGAAGGTAACGGCCCGGCTACCACCAATATCATCCGCCGACCTGTGGGGATCGGATAATTACCCCATATGGTGGGATTTGGGAGTGGAGAAAGTAAGATATTTCATTGGACAACGAACGAATCCCGGGTCGTTCCGCGAGCATGATGGAAAGGGAGTGGTCATTATATTCTCTTGAACTCTATTCAAGATTGTGAGAGATAAACAGTGAAGAAACGTACGGGATATCAAGGCGGTATGCCGGCTTCTTGGGCTTCGGAAAGACCGTGAAGGGGAGTTGCAATGAACCCATAGAGTTCCGTATGGATTCGGCTGGCAAAAACGTTTGCCGATAGCTTGAGAAGGGAGGAAAGAAGGCATCGTCTCGCCGCCTTCCTCAGCCGGAATAGAGAATCCTGCTGCACTTTCAATGAGTGGTGACATCAATCATTTGCGGGCCGTATGTGAATGTGTAGAATCAAGTAGACGCTCTTCGAATATCAGATGCTAGCAACCTCCAACCCACAAGCTAATTGAGACACCGTCGGCGGCGGTGGTTGCGGGCTCGCAGTCGAGTTCAGTGCTTGATTCGTAGAAAAGGGTTGGAAGGGCGCCCTTGGGTGACCCTCAATCTATCGACAACTATTAGTAAGATTCCAAGGTTGGGCCCAACAAGGCCTTCATGAATCTTCAACTCTGGTTAATCAACGCTCTAACACAAATCCTCATCTTCTAAATTTCATTCGTTGGGCAAAAGCTGGTTTGACACGAGTCAAATCCCTTTTTAGACGGTCCTTTGACGAGGGCGATGGGCGGATTGCAGGAAAACCATGGGTAAATATTATTTGACTGATTTGATCGCTGTTCTCGAGGGGACATTGACCAACAGTGACGCAGCTCAGAGCTTGGATGGGCGCAAGATAGAGATGGCACTGACAGGTCAGGAGCCCGCGAGTGAGCAGGATGCGGAGGCTCATTGCAAGACAGACTGGGTGGACTATCCGTCATAGAACCTACGTTCCACGTAGTCAACTATCACATTGATGCCTAGAATCGATTATTACAGTTCATGTACCAAGGGCCCTCTGTGGCTTGACCGCCAGTATGTATATCTCCATAATCACCGGCGGAAAAAGGGTGGTCGGCTTCCTTCGAAAACGGCGCCCATCATCTCAGGTCAAGATTCCGATAACGAATCGAAGAGACCGCCAATGGAGACGGAAACCCGGATCCGTTCCCGCCATCTGTCGTCATCAGCCACCTCTATACCTGTTGACCGTTCGACGCCATCACGCATGCCACCCCTGCGCAACAACGTGATATAGAATCTGGCCCAAATGGCTCACTCTAACGTGTACATAAACACTGCAGTAGACGTGTTATGATTCCGTATTTTTATTGAGAGCTTGATTGGGGAATGTGGGACTCAATACGGCGGGTTAGTCCACTGTGTACACCTCCGGCTATTGAAATGAGTGCATGGAAGGAAAGTTCTGAGGAAAAGTGACTTGCTCCGTTTAGTACCCCTCAGCCTTGAGGCAGAGCATGACAGCTGCAGTTTACGAGAACGACCATCTTTTGTAACTCCCTATCTGCGTTTCGTCTGGTTAGTTTGGTCTCTTGGCAAACTGGTCGTGAGGTTGGGTACGGTGCCCGCAGTAGCTGTTCTAATTAGAATCCGGGGAGCTATAGTAGCTGCAGGTAACCCTTGCGTGTCGCTATATATAGTACCCACCAATCTCCAACCAAGAAACCCCCATACGCTCAGGGCTCGGCACCGCAAATGGGAGCCAATCGGTGCGGGCGACCAACGAGATGAACATTCAAAGGGTGCATCTATCTTTAACATCTCGAGCGCTCAAGATGCGCTCAAGATCTGGATGATCCCCGGTGGCGAGCAGGGATGCATAGCTGTAGGAGGCCAGGTTGCAACTTTTCTTGGATCCGCCGGACTTTTACGCAGCCACAATCCGTCGTACTCAATGTGCACGAGCGATTTGCAATATAACCATACATCTTGGTCCCCGTACCGAAGGTTAATGAAATTGTAAAGTTCCAAGGCACCTACCGTTCAATGGGATTACGAGGATGCGACCCTGGCAGCCTTGCCCCGTTAAGTGTCCAGCTAACGAATGCTCCCTGCATCTATCTCATCCATTATCAGAGCTGAAAAGCGTTCGACGTCAGTGAATAATGGATCCCAGCTAACTCTGCGCGGATTTTACTGTCACGACCGTTAGTTTTTAGTCAGTCTAGAGTGGTTGTAGCCTGAAGTTATAATACTCATAGAGCCGGCTGATTATGCTGGAGATGGCCTTCGGAGGAAACTCGCTCCATGAACGAGCCTGCATTCCCCACCACTTCCAGCGCATCCACTTTGCGGATGTTCCAGAGTAAAACAGGAGTCTGGCTGACCCTCTATGCAATTCAATATTGCAGGTTGATTGGGCTGGTTCCTCGGAGAATAAAAAACGGGTGGATTTAGGGATAAACTCCTCGATGCAATGCCCTCACTGTGGCTGAATCTGGCTGGATATGATTCCTGCAGGCCAAGAAAACAAGGATAGCCGCATTTTGCGGTTCTCCTTCTATTTCTCTATTGGCCAATTTCATGTTGGGAGCAAACTACGTCGTCAGGCGTGTGATGGCAAGACGCCGAGAGGGCTGAACACCGCAACCATACCTCCGTACAGTCTCCATGGAATTAGGGGATTCAAAGTAGCTCTGGGTATATAAAGCTCCCCCCCTCTCTCTCTCCACGACGTAACATCCCACCACAGACGTTGTCTTGCGCATCGTTGTAGTACGCAGCAACCTCCAAGCAAGAACCTCCCAGCACTCATGTTTACAGCGACTGATAGCCAATCCTTGGGTGAGTAGCCCGCAACTTCAAACCCCAGCTCTTGCTAAACGTCTTAAGACAACTCGGAGACCCCCAGCGAGTCAAATACACGCCGTAAGCGTAATACGTGTGCGTGCGGGCGTCGTTTAGCCACAAAGAACGAGTCACCCGCTGAAAATGTCTTTGATGATGGTAAGTTCGGACCGTTCTGGTTGCCTTCCTCATTGACGGGATGAATAGACGCCAATGAGAAGATGGCAAACCGGTGTGTAAGAACCATGGCTGACTCGCAAGTTCTTCTGACCAGTGTTAGGATTTGGGCGGCGTATGGGGTGGAGAGACGCAACGTGTAAAGGGCGGGGGTCATCGTAGACGTGGATGGATGCAACTGGTGTAATGTCGTGTTTCGCATTCGACATATGTCAATGAAAGTCCCTTGATCCGTTTACGGGCTTGGAGTTAACCCGGGGGGACGCTCCTGTCGGAATCCGCGGCGTTGGGGCAAGAAATCCACGAAATGAATGCGCAGTTCCGAAGCGAGAAATAGGGTCAAAATGCATACGGCTATCGTAGGTCCGGAGCAAGCAACGTGAGTGCGAGGCTGGGGGGCTATGTAAATATCATTTAGCTTGAGGACGACCACAGCCCAGGTCAATCTTGAATCCCAACCAGATTATCGACTTTTATTACGGAGTTTGGATTTTCCTTTCGTTTGGACCCGTGTCTCTTGTCCCAGCGCACACGACGACTGCGCAAACTGCACTCGGTTCACCGCTCATCCGCCCGCAATCGTTTATAGGCAACCAGAGCATTCTAATACTGTACGTTAAACCTCTCTTTTACTCCTCTTGTCCGCACTCGATCAACGCCAGCGACGGGGCGAGCAAACGAGACGCCCGCTGACGACTACGTGCCAGATAGATGCGAATATTCCGCACACAGAAGCCCAAAGCTCCGACTCCAAAGTCGCCTGGAATCGTAGATGCCAGCATGGGCATTGGAACCACGGTCGGCTCGCGCGATCTGTCGGCGAGGATAGAGCCCTATACGTTTGGACATTCTTCAACTCCTCCTCCAATTCCCTATCCAGCAGCTCATCAGCCAAGGAGCGCCTCGAATAGCTCTCCACATGTCCCAGACGTGGCGTCTGTACCCACCAGTGGCAAACCAGATGGTTCGATGGCTCCTCCTCCTGCCCCAGGAAGAAGACATTCCCTGCGTGCTACATCGTCAGAAGAGGAGCGCTGGGTCATGGTCCATGACAATCCCATTGACTCACGTTCATCATCCATTGCATCCCTGATGCCAGGAGGAGCCGCCGCACCGTATAATTCACCTGCATTTACGCAAACATCCACGACCGTACCTAATGCAAACACTGGCGTACAGCAGCAGCAGCAACATCATCCTGCCAGTCCCATTCAGCCGCAACAACAGCAGCGAACAACCGCCGGTGCGACCAGGAGACCGCCAAACTCGTCAACTCCACGTCCAGAACAGCAACAGCAGGCATTGAATTCCGCACAGTCACCTCCAAAATCAAACGGCCATCCACAGCATGTCGAGCGGACCCATTACGAAAACCAAGAACGAGAGGGTTCAATTCACTCCCAGCAGGACAAAAGCTGGACCCGTGGGCTGTTTGGAACAACTGGAAGTGGCAAAGAGCGAGAGCGCGAAGCAAACGCAGAGTTGATGCGCATGATCGGTAAGAGGTTCCTCTGGCGTACTACAACTCGATTCTCATCTTTACAGGCTTTCTCACTGCGGCAGCACCTGATGATTGGAGCCTCGTCCTCGAGGTTTGTGACCGTGCCTCTGCCAGTGAGAGTGCCGCCAAGGAAGCGTCGAAAGCCTTGAGACGCGAATTCAAGTGCGTGCCGACACCGACACTCGATCAATCCCACTTAATCACACCTCCGTCCTCTCTAGATATGCCGAGCCCTCCGCTCAACTCAGTGCCGCGCGACTCTGGGCCATCATGCTTCAAAACTCTTCCGATGTGTTTATTCGTGAGTGTATCTCCTCTTTCCCGCACAGCTCGTCGCCCCCGTATATCATCGATCCGACGAGGCAATGCTTGCTGACACCACTTCTTCCCATGCTGCTCTCACTATCCTATTGTCTCACCGCATTTTTGACGCTAACGAACCATGTATATTGAATACCGACACCCGACAACCTCGGCGATATCAATGCGGTCCGAATGCTCAATCTCCTCCCGCGCGCACGATTGGAATGATCTTCGTCTCCCGCGCCAATCAATTTGCAAACCTGGATCACAAAAATTGGCAGTTCACTGCGCCTCACGAAAGTTTTTAGACAACTTGGAAGAGGTTATCAACGCGGATACGACTTCGCCTGTCGTGCGCGAACGGCTGCTCGATGTGCTGGCCTCTGCAGCTTACGAGTTTGGAAAGAAGCCGGGGAAAGAGGGCTTTGCGACAACGTGGCGACGAGTACGGCCATCATGGAAGCCACCAGAGGTGCGCCCATTCATGTCTGTTTTCTATATTGGTTTATTTACGTGGACCTGTGGCGGCGTCATTGCGGCTATGTAGGGTGTCCCATTCGAGACGGTCGAAGGCTTGTTTGATTCTGCGTTCCCTCGACGGACGGCTGCTGTACAGCCGCCCACGGAGCGACGCGATGACCGAGACAGGACGAAGCGTGAGAGGGATCGAGACAAGATGTTGCTTCAACAGCAGATGCAGCTCGATGCGATACAGAATCGAGGGTATCGCAATCATGGTAAGTCCGCAGTGTGAGAGATAACAACCTCTGCTCACGACTTGTCAACCTCAGCGACGCCACCGGTTCCATCACGCAAGGACCGAGGCATAATCTCGCCCGAGGAGGATATCCGCCGACTATTCGAGGAGTGCAAGGTGGCAAAAGAGAATGCAAATGTTCTCAGCAGTGCTCTCAGCTCGGTTGATAGAACGACATTTGCTACCAACCCTGTCGTTCAGGTTTGTTGATTCTAGGCACACCATGCGCATATACTGAAGATTTTCCAGGAGTTTTACAAGAAATGCCGCGCCTCCCAAGAGCTGATTGTTGCTCAAATCCCATGGGCGAGTGCCGGCGCAGAACGATCTCGTATAGCTGCGATGCAAAAGAGAGCTGCAAAGGATTCCGGAAGTGACGGTGGACCACAGGGCAAATTGACGAAGAGAAACCGCGACGGACGTGTACAACCGCAAGCCGAGGGCGCTGGCGATCCCGATCAGACAAGGGAGGAGATGCTACTTGGCGATCTCTTGGCTGCTAATCAGGAGATTGTCGAAGTTTTCGCAATCTACGAACAATTCGAGACCATGGCCAAAATGGAACAGGAGGCACGCGAAGGTGTCAAGAGAAGCATCGACCATCATGATCTAGCAGTACGTTTTCTTTTAACCATCGAGTCCTAGATTGCTAATTTTGTAGCAAATACACCTCACTCTGCCGGATGGGTCGGTTGTGACCGAGCCTCCATCCACTCGGGCGACGAACTCTTCACGATCACCTTCGCCATCAATAGTGACCAATGTACCTCAACCGACCAACCCAGCATCTATGCCCCACTCTGCCACCACTGCAAGAGTTCAAGGAGGTCGCGATTTACCCCACCCGCCCAACCAATCCGGAGACATGCTCAATACGCATCCAGCTGTAGCCCAACCAAGACTCAATACTTATCAACAGCAGCCCGTATCACAGAGCCCCATGCCGTCTCCGATGCAGCACATGGCTCCTCAGCAACCGCCCCAGGTGCAATCAGTGCACACTCAGCCCAAGACTCAGCCCTACCACTCGCATCATTCCTCGAATCACTCGGTGAATAGCGCATATGGTGGTCAAACACTAAACCTCCCGCCCTCGGCACCGCATGGACCTCGACAGCCCTCAAACACACGATCCAGGACGCCGTCTCCCGACCGAAGCGGTGACTATTCTGCCGGTAGTACACCACCAACAGCCGGAACGCCGACGAATGGGATGGATTACCCCCCGCCTTCGCATCCACCTCCACATTTGGCTTCGCAAGGACGGACGGAGTCTCCCGCACCGGGGAGTGTTCCACCAGGACTTCAAAACTTTGGTGGGATGCGGATCGACATGGACGCTGCCCGAGGCTACGCTGGTTCGGACGGAGAAAGCGAGGATCAGATCATGACACCCATACGACCGAGCGCAAAGGCACTTGGAAAGCGACGAGCCGAAGTAGACACCCCAATAGATGACGAAGAACTTGGTGAGTTGGCTCTGATCATTGAGAACATGCGTAATGTACTCATTCATTTCACAGAGCGCCGCGAAGAGGCGGAGATGGAACAAGCAGTCATGCTCTCGACGATTGCTCCTGGCGCAGAGACGCTTGATCGACCGGCCAAACCGATTCAATATGTCTACGACGCCGCTGCGGAGCGCGCAAAGGAGCTCGATGCGATGGAGAGGGAGGAGCGACTGAGAAGGCAGCAGACCAGGAGTAGTATGCAGAGAGTTCACCCATCTGCTGGAGGTGGCTCGGCTGCAGGTGCGGCTCCTGTTGCTCCTGCTGCACTGTCCTCTGCGACCCAGCCTACCGGGGCGATGAACGCTGGTAGATAGCCCCTTTGTGCGGTCATTTCTATCCCCTCTTGCTTTTTGATACTATACGTGGATTGAATACGCTCTCTTGGGTGCTGTATTGCAAGCCTCCGAATTGATCATGTGCGAGCGGTTGCTTAGCTGTTCTTCAGAGTTTCCCGTAGTCAATAATCAGCACACGATTCATACGCTCGCATTCTGGTCGCTGAATATAGGACTATCGCATCGATTTGGTCAAAGAATTCAAAACACTAGCAGGCGTTTAAACATATCATGCAATCCTGTATAGATCTGTTTGACTTGAATCTGGCCAGAGAGCCCGCAGGAAGCGCTCTCAAGGTGTTGGATCAACGCCGACACAACGGAGAACCTCCCAGAACACTTTGGACAACGAAATGTGGATGGATCCGTGCGGTGAATCTGGGAGCGTAGGTGTTGGTTTAGATGCGGAAGCTTGGCGAATTGACGCTCGCAAGTCGCCAGGGGCATACGTATGCGTCGACTGTGGCATTCCAGGTCTCTTCAGTGGCGAGCACGTCGAGGATCTGCTGCATCGCTGTAGTGTGATGGGAGAAGAGAATATCGTCATCATAGTCGGTACCGTCCTCGGAGACTTCGCGGATACGATTAGTATAAACTCTGTCGGTGATTTGGTGGTCTGTGTCCCACTTGATGACGGCCTCTGTAACTTTTCTAAGACACTTGTACTCCAAGTGATGGGCCACTCCAGATGTCGTCTTGAAGACCTCGGAGCAATGAGGACATGGGAGGTTGCGCTCATTATGGACTGGGGATGCCAGATGCTACTCAGGGTGAGCATGAGCAAAAGACGAGAATAGAGTCCAAACCTGAGTCAAATTGGTAGCATAGCGGAACCAAAGACCACATTGTTCGCAGTGCAAGCTCTCCTTATGCGCATTCGAGAAGTGTGTGTTGAGTTGGCCCACCGAGTCGAATTGGCGTCGGCAATGAATGCAGTAGGATCGCTGGTCAGACATCATCTCCATCTGGTCGACTACATCGTGGCGAAGGTCTCTCTCAAAGTGCTGTCGGGGCTTCGTTGGACGGGGTTCCAATTAGCGCGACAGGACCCACCTCTTTCAGTGCTCTGAAAGTCTTGAACGTGTATGCGCACTTCTGGCAGTAGTATTGGTGACGCTTGAGGTCCGTTTTTAGGTGCTGATCGAGCGAACTATAGTCTCTCCGCAGCCCGTAAAGAATTAGCACGCACCTCGATCAGGAGCTCCTTTGAAGGAAAGACAATATTGCACCATTTGCATTTACCTATCATACCTATAGTAGACTGCAGCTGGGGGAGATCAAGTGCCGTGTGTGCGGAGCCTGACGGGCGAGGGGTTCACCCTTTCACCACCCCAGCAACCTGGGTATGCCCAGACCACACATGAAAATCAGGATATCCGATGATTTCGCGTCTTAAGCATCTCAAACATGCTATGAGGTACGTATTTGTGTTGAGTCTCATGGTTCTAAATTACAGACTGTGAAATTTACAAACGGTGTTCTGCGATTAGAAGGTCAGATAGAACGAACAAGGAATAGAAACAGCGGCGACGTACTCATCATGCATTGCTCTTCTCTACAAAGCTAGTGACCGCTAGGGCTCCTCCGTTCGGTCCTTGCCCCTGTTGATTGACCAGTGGAGGAGGCGATTGGTTGCCTTGTTGATTGAAGCCAGGATATTGCGGATATCCCATCTGTTGAGGCCCCAGTTGATATGGTTGGTATGGTTGATACGGTTGGTTCCAAGGGCCAGGACCTTGTGGATAATAAGCCGCTGGAGGATAAGCCACTTCTAATTTGGGCTGCTGTTGCTGATTATGGCTACCAGGCTGGCCTTGTTTGAACTGCTTGAGAGTTTTCTTGCGGAAATGAATCTGGACTCCAAACTCTGCCCACAGAACAGCCATACCAATCCACGCGAAGGCTGTTTCCACTCCTGGTAAGGCTAGGCTTACTCCATAGGTTGCGGCGACTGACCCACTGATGGCCGCATACAAAATTGCGGTCACCAACCAGAAGAAGGCGAGGAGGCCAGTGAGGACGATGCTGGCGATGCTATAGATGGACGTGGTCTTGGGTTGATTGCGTCTCTTCTTATATGTATGTTTCCACACGGGGAGCGAGACGCTGTGGAAAATTTCGGTGAGGATGCAGGCCACTGGGCTGAGGAAGAAGCTAAAGACTCCGAACAAGTCTACCATGGAAATGCAGAACAGTAGCAAGCTGATAGACATCGATGTGATGATCAGCCCTAGTAGCCATTTCTCGTGCGGTTGCATGACGCTGAGTGAGATCCGGAGGGACTACGCGACTTGGCAGAAAGAGGGCGAAGAAGCAACTGGAAGCAGATCGAGAGACACCTATTTTTGAAGCTTATAAGATATCAGCTGAACGATCAAAGTGAGTTGGTGCTGGTTGCTGGCGACTGGCGACTAGTGGCTGGCGATTGACATCCACCACTTCGGTTCACCATGCGGCTAGCCCACTATCTCGCCATCTGTCGTCAGATTCTGGACTAGATTTGGAGATATGCTCTAGAATTCAAATACGTCTAGCACCAGCTAGAACCTAGCCGGATACTCGTTCAAGCAACGGCCATCTTAGACTAGAACCTGCATACTAGTGTCAAGTCCTTACATGCGCTCTCTCGTGATCACCTGTTTACGTGGAGAGGTACGGTTTGTCCACTCGTGGGCTGGAGCTTGTTTGAGTGGATTTCTCTTTCAAAGTGGGTATTCATGCTGTTGCCAGTCCACTTTGTTCTCAGTAGGCTGCTGGGATCCCTCAGTATGATCGGGATGTGTATACTCCCAATCCATCTCTCCATCTGGAGCCTGGGCTCCCATTTTCTTGTTCGAATGATCCTCATCGAGCCCTGATAGGGGGGTCAAGGCGCAAGACGGGTCGAGTTTTGGGGCCAGAACCTGCTTGCGCCTCCTATAGCCACTATTCGGATCCGCTCCCGGTGGCTGGTTCTGCTGCCTCGGATCCGGGAATTCTGTCTGCCGAAGGACTTTCTCGACGATAAAATCCTCGCCATGATCACGAAGGATATGGCCGGGCTGCTGTTTCTTCCATCGCGTCGGCTGAGAAGCTGCAGCTTCATGCAGACCAGCGGACTTGGGTTCTGGCTCTGGCGTTCCAGTTGGCGTTTGGAGTTCGCTGACGGGAGTAGGAGGCGCGTAACTCCAGAAGTGAGAGCGTTGGACGGTATGACCCTGTGGAGCTGATGGTTTTGCGCTCCCATGCACATCCTCAACGCGCATAGGCTTCGTTGTATGAGGATCTGGTTGCTTTTGCCGCCTCGGTTCAGGCACCTCTGGCTTTGGGCGTCGGTCGCGTTTGACGCTTTTACGTCTGAGTTTTTGGAAGAACCGCTTCCGGTAATGAACGAGGATGATAAGCTCGGCCCAAAGGATGGTCGTCCCTACAAAGGACAAGGTCATACCGATGATGGCCATGACAATTTGGTGTGTAAAGGACAACCCGCGACGATAAAACCGCTCGTCTGCCTCGATTGCAACAACAACTGCAGTAAGGATTGAGAACGCCAGCCAAAGGGTTGCGAGGAGGCCAGTCAAGATGATACTAGCGATGCTATAGATGGAAGGCGGAACTTTTTGACCTTGCCGCTGTATTGCCGTCCTTCTCCACAGGAAGAGCGAGGTGGCATGAAAAATTGCAGTGACCAGACAGGACGGCGGGGCCACAAAGTGACTGTGACGGCCGAACGCATCCGAGATGAATATGCCAAAGATGGAGAGGCTGAAGATAATAGAGAATATGATAACAGTAAGGAGCCAGGAATTGTGCGCCTTCATATTGGGCGGTCAACGTCTGGATAAGCAGCGTTAGTGTGAGATGGAAGAGGCTGATAGAACCGCACTACTTGAGCGTTTTCCACATTTCTTGACCTGTACTCGGTTCTTTTGGCAAAGCATCCGGGTTTTTTACCGTGCTGGATGGAATTGATAATACCAACCAGCAGGACCCCGATGGCGTCGGGCAGTTGGTGAAGTGACCACTAAACCAAGGTGACAGTGTATAGAGCGACTTCTGAGCGTCATAGTTGGCGAGATAAATAATCCCTAGTTGCGGGCATTGGAGGCAGGCGGAGGCCAACCAGGACCCGACGTGGTCCAGAAGATCCTTTGGTAATCTACAGTCGTATCAGAACCCGCAACACCCTCTGGATTTCTAATACTGTGCAACACTGCCCAGTTAGCTCGATCCTTGACCAACAGTATAGAAGTCTCCGCAAAGCCGCAATACGCATGATAGCCGTGTTACCGCCTTTTCACGCACTAGAATAGGTTCTCAAGTCGATGACTTCCAGACATAGACATACCATACATGGAACTATAACAATACCGTCAAACTGCGAGCCGAATATGGGCGTACTTGCTGGTCAAGCGTTAATAGACTGATTGCAGCCAATAGAGTTTATTCCATGCGGGGCTGTAAGGGGACCCGTCGCCCGACTCGTTACTGTATGTCGTGGCTCCAACCCAGCATTTCCCATTGATTTCATTGCACAACAGATCTTTGAATCCGCAGATTCGAGGGCACGGAACCACTGCGGATGACTCCGTCGTATAAAATCCTCTGTTCAAGGTTGCGGTAGTTCGGAAACACTGCTGGCCTGCTATGGGAATCACCTTTTCATCCCGTCGCGAAGATCCGATACCAGAGGCAGCTGTTGGCGATGAACGCGCCGAGGATGATACTTCCCGGCGTACCGGCGGGAGCGAAGAAGACGACAACGAGGCACACACCGACCAAGAATCTCAAGAAGGTGTGTCTGACATCCCTCGTCGCTGTGCTTCTGTCGCCTCGGACCGTGGTTCACCAAGCGAAGATGAGGAGGCGCATGTCGCTCGGTACGCCGACATCTATGTACTCTTCGTTCGATGACCTTCATCTCCCTCGAATTAGTATGCTCACCTCTGAGGATCCGGAAGGCAGTGACGATGGGAACAGTGACGACCAGAGCACGGAAGGTGACATTGACGACCAGCAAGTCGAGGAAGAGGAAGAGGAGGAGGACCACACACATATAGATGACTGGAACGTCGAATCGAGCGCTGAAGACCAATATGTGAGGTTACGCAATCGGTGAATCTTGTCGGAGCGTTGCACGCGTCGTGGCTGACCACATCTATCAGTATTTTTGAAGCTTATAGCTTGGAATAGACCACCAAGTGCGCATGGGCGACAAACGGGTGTTGCCCTCCAGATGCTTGGTGGCGCTTGCCGAGCATGTACCTGTCAGCTTTCACAAATTATCAACGGCATTGCTCGGACGGATCTGTGATTTCACGATGGCACATTCGCCATCTCTGCAGTGACAAAGTACACCCCAGAAGTCCAAATCTCTGCCCGCGAGCTCGACTATAGTCGGAGGTCACTGTAAAGGCATAATGACTTGGCCGACATCATATCTCGGCCTATCTTTTCACAATACGTTTCTAACGAGTGATAAGCGGCCAGAAATAGTCCTCGAGAATGCCCACAGCCCGAAATCAGTATAGTAGTCCGACGCGTCACCCTGTCATTCTCGTCGCTCTTAACGAGCACTCTTGAATGTATTTATCCTCCTTTTTGCCGGTCCATCTCATCTCGCACCAGAACTCTAGTAAGCTGTCCGCGCATGGATGAAAGTAAGAAACATACAGATGTCTTTAAAGCGCATATAAAATGAACCAGAGAATTCCATAGTTCCCGGGTTCATGTGGTCTCAAAGAACTGGACCTGCCCACCACTCACGAGGTGTACTCATTGGCTTTCTGCGTGACCTAACATACACCTTGTCGTCTCATATTGCTCATTTTCGTCGTCAATGGACACGCTTCCCAGGTTTGAACCTCATTTGTCAATTAGGGCCGTTCGCGCATCTCCGCAAACTAGAAACAAGAATGGGTTACGGCATGCAACGCGCTTATAACTAAACACACTTCACCGGGCTTTTTCATGCACTTATTTGCACCAAATTCCGGTCATCGGGGTCGCAGGCATCCGCGGTGTCCGGGCACTAGCCTATGATTGAATGGGGACTGTTGGTTAGTTCGATGAGACCAATTGTCTAGTCCATGTCCCTTCGACATTGAATTCATTATTCCGCACTCAGTGACGACCAATAAAACGCCGTATTCGGCATCTATGATCATAATCCCAGGGATTGACTTTCAGGCAGTGATTGTATTGTACCTTTGGGTCTTTGGTCCCTACAAAGATCAAGGGTTCACACGGCGGTCAACCCGACGGTCGGAAAGGCGAACCCATAGCAAATATAGACCTTACCATCGGATGATTTCTACGCTTCTCTACGCAATTCTGTGAGCGAGGGCTCATATAGGAGTGCCGATGGACGGCGAGAGGATTCTCGGTCAATTCTAGCGCGTCAACTATCGAGCGTGCGACTCCGTAGAATCCGGAGCTGCAGGAAATAAAAGCTCTCCCAGTTCCTCAAGGATACGACAGGTTCTTCCTATCTCTCAGCGCGCCAAACTCTCATCAAAAGCTTCGACTTTGCTCTCAAAATGCTTTACTCCGCTTTCTTTGCCCTCATCGCTTCCGCAGTCATCATCTCGGCCCGTCCTCTCGTTGGTCGTGATAACATTACGGTCATGTGCAGTGGCAGCGTTCTCGTCGCCGAAGGGGATACTTGCGCGTCCATCGCCGCTGCCAATAATGTCACCCCGGTTGCATTCGAAGCCATTAACATGGTGATGAGGACCGAGTTTAGCTGCGACAGTCTTGGTGCGTCTCGCTCTTGCCTCTTCATGAATATTTCTAACGCTAGCGCGTCACCCAGTGACTGGAATGCGCCTTTGCATCCCCACGGCCGGAGTCACCGATCCTGGAGTCGCACCCAACTACGTTGCATGGTGCAAGGAGAGTCCTTTGACCGAGCCTGGTCAGACCTGCCAGAGTATTGCCGACGCACATGGTGTGACACTCCGAGAGTTCTACACTCAAGTTTTGATGAGAGGCTCGTTTGAGTGCGACCCCGTCCGTAAGTTCATCCTACTTCTGATCGTTACCTTCTTTGACATGATTTCAGCGCAAGGAACTCGCGTCTGTATCCCAGGAAGCGGAGCGTCCGAGTCGGGTTCTGGCTCTAGCTCGACGTCTGTTCCCACCTCGACGGCCTGAGTAAAGTGCAATTTTCGGTACTCTTAGGGCCTCTATTCGACACCAATTTCCAACTCACGCGTATTAAGTGCACTTCAATGACAAGCGCGAGTGCACGTTCATGTACTGAGGCTTGTAGTCTAATTCGCGTGATTTGTGCCTGAAATGTGATAAAAAAAGCTTTTGCGGCTAGGTCTTTACGGTTGTCATTGTGTATAAGCGAGCTACAGGACACGATCAGGCATTAGAGTCGACGGTGAAAGATGCAACTCTCACAATCCAAGCGTGGTGCAGGTCTTCACAACGTTTCCAATACAATGAGGGTATCTAGTTCACGATGAATTACGTAGCGCACTGATACTTATAGTTTGTCCTCTTAGCCAGGACCGCGGTGGCCCCGTGGCACAACTCCAACCATTAATAGGATTTGGCTGATGTAAGATTAATGCTCGTATTGGTCAAGACGAGCTGCCTTGAACCCGGCTGGAATATGTCTGCGCCCTCCTGTACCCCTCTACGGCCCCCATAAATAAATGTATATGTGGTACTACCGGTTTGCTTTCTTTAATTTTCTTACTTGATTATTCTTTCTTGCATTTTGATTCTTGTTTCCCGGGAGACGCAATGTACGCCACCTAGTAATTTACGAACGAGCTCACATATACAGGTGACGTGTACACACAAATCGTTTGTATCGAAATTTATATCGACATGTGACTCTTCAGTACAGATGATGCGCTGCACTCGGTCGAATCGTCGTCTCGTCCCGGCTTCCTCCCATCGCTCCCAATTCCGCGCTCCCCGCAGCTCCTCCACGCTCTAGTCCCCATTCCCGATCTCATGGTTCAGAAAAGAGTGTTGGATAGTTTCGCAACCGTGTAAATGACGCAACTTCGTCTATTATACTCAGTAGTCGGGTCAGAGAACAAGACAACGGGCGATTTACATACGGCGTACAATCGAGCTACTTATCACCATCGAGGTGCATTTATCACGAACGCCATCAAGCAGCCCGCGATAAGGCCTGTACAGGGGAGGGTAATGAACCATCCCATGTAAATCCACGCGACCATGCGCCAATTAATGGCCTTGAAATCTCCAGCACAAAGCCCAACTCCGACTGTAGCTCCTACGATGCATTGCGTGGTTGAGATAGGAAGGGCCAGGCGAGTGGCCAGGACGACTGTAAGTGCGGCCCCAAGCTCCATGGAAAACCCACGACTTGGAGAATGAAGAGTGAGTCGATTTCCGAGATTCCTCATAATGTGGTATCCATACGTCCATAGTCCGATGACAATCGCCGCGCCTCCAAAGACGAGGACCCAAATGGGCACCGGCGCTTTGGAAGCGATTGTATCTGTCGACCAGACGAGGTAGATGGTTGCGAGGGGGCCCATTGCGTTCGAGACATCGTTGGAGCCGTGCGCGAATGAAGCAGTCATGGCGGTCATGACTTGAAGGAATGAGTAAAGATGTTCCGTCTTGTTGTCATGATGTTCCACGCGGGCATGCATGTCGTCCAAATCCCCAACGAGGAAGTTGCCCTTTGCAGTAGTCTGTTCTGTCGCAGGGTCGCGGTGGACGCCACGGAAGAAGGCCCAGGTGGCGATCGTCCAAAGGTTCTTGGGCTTGTACCACGCGCCTTCGAACGGAGGAAGACCCTTGGACTCGACATAGGTCTGAACGTGAGACTGGTGGTGAGGATGTTGATGATCGGATGAGGCTTCGGAAGAGGCCGCGGCACCTTTGGGGGTTCCAGTTTCGCTCGATTGTTCAGTGTGCACTGGTGCCTTTTCTGCATCACCAGGGTGAGCGTTGCGCCTGGCTTCGAGCTGCTCTCTTGTGAGATGCCCACGGTAGTAATCCTGAACGATTTGGTGATGCTCGTCAGCTGGTGGAGGAGGCACAGGTCCACGACGGAGGAGAAGAGGTCCCTGGAAGACATGGTACCAGCGCAATGTCCAGTCTTCGAGCATGAGACGGCGGTAGAGATAAGGCAGGAAGAAAACGACGCAAATGAGTGCGACACCGAACGCAACACCCAAAATGGTGCCAATAATTTCTCCTTGGCTCAGTTTGTCGACTTTCAGAGCCGGTGCTAATGGATAGCGGGGTTAGCCTCGGGGTTCACTCGCGCATACTGGAAATACGAACCTCCTTTCCAGACGACCATCATCGTCAGTACACCAGAGGTAAGAGCAAAGTAAAAAGGGATGGCAATGAGACCCTTGCGGAATGAATTTTCGCGCTTGAGGACTCCATACTTGGTGATGGTGAAGAGGATGGCGGCAAATGCACCGGCGATGGCAGGAGCAATTACCCAAGCTGCAAAGACTTGGCTGACCCCTTTCCAACCCCAGACAACGCCGTCTGCACCAATAGTAGCGACGCCAACGCCGATGACCGCACCGACAATGCAGTGGCTAGATGCTCATTAGCCAGAAGATCATCAAAAAGGCGAGAAGCATACGTTGTAGACACAGGAAGACCAATCTTCGTCGCAATGGTCAAGTAGGTGGAACTTCCGACAAGTGCGCACATCATGCCTACAGTAAATTAGACAATGGCAATAAGATTCGTTGATGCGTACCGAGCATCAAAACTTCTGGCTGATCCTTGAATCGGTTGACGTTGATAATCTTGCTTCGAATGGTATCTGCGACACGAGCGCTAGGAACGATGGTCAACTCAGCCCTGGAAGGCAGACTCGCCACTCACCCGACCAATACTGCTCCTCCAAACTCGCAGAAAGACGCGATTATCATCGCTGCATGTAGCTTGTCAACCAAGCACTTGACGAGGCTGAGATAGAATCCAACAGACCTTGCTTCATCGTCAGCGAGCGCGATGATACGCTTGTCGCGAAGCTGTTGGCGACATCATTGGCTCCGATGTTCCAGGCATCAAGGAAGGCGAAAATGAGACCAATGGCGAAGATGTAATCGAACTGGTGAAGGTACGGCATCTTGGTTGTAGACCAGAGAGCTCTGAGCTCAAGAAGAGATTCGCCACTTGGTCATGATTTTAAAGGGTGTCTGTCTGTGAAAGGATGCAGGTGGAGTCGACGAACGTGCACCGGTAGAGGCGAGATGGTCTTGGCAGGTGAAGGAGGTGAGTAAATTCGTGTCGCGTGGGTACTGAACTGTGACATCGAATTTTACATAAACCGTAGTATATTGTAAATGTCCTTTTGAAAGTGGATTGAAGGCCGGATAGTAAGAATTATGCTCATGCATGTCTACGATGTAGTTGACGAACTGGCACATAGCTATTTCGAACGTTTGCATGTTTTGAATACTATTGTCCATATGGAGCATTGCCTTGGCATACTTCGGCTGGGTGAGATTGAACTATTAATCGTGTCCGGCCACATTTGAACTGAACAAAGGGCCATGCTAACGGCATCTAGGCCCAATCAATGAGGTTTGGCGATAAGATAGGCGGTGAGCACTCGCGACTCTATGGTGGTTGGCACGGTCGACCCAAACCTGGATACGCATCTAATTCTCGCGCCGCGCCGTCTCTCTATTCATCCCTGCCGCCTCTTCTCATTTTGGTTATGGTAGCCCAAGCCTATACACGAGAAGCCGAGATCCTGGCTGCAAATCTTCGCTTCCGTCACCGGCTCTAGTTTTTTGCTTCGCCATCCCGAGTTGGCTGAGCCACTCGGAGAAAGTACTGATTGATGACAGAAACTCTTACTCTGACTGGTCAAGGGATATCCTGATGAATTTTGTGAGCAAGTGATTAGGACGACGGGAGAAGAAACTTCCAAGTTGCGAGCCCCACGTGAGCCTCTTTGCGTGCGAAATAGCACGTGAATGAAGAGCATTTGAGGACCTAGAACTAATCAAAGGAGGGGTGGTTGGCAGGACATTTAGCCGGTTCCTACATAATTAGGCCAGAAGCGCGGTAATGGCGTCGAGACTGTCATCCATGTGCCACAAAAATAAGACAAAGCATGCCTGTTTAATTGGCTTGTACTGTCTCGGTTTCGTGATATGGAACTGGTCCGGAAAAGTGGCGTAGGAAAGGTGTACACCGAGGTCATGTCCATCCTTCTCGTGTGTTACAATCACCTCTGGGACGCTTTTATTCGCAGATCGTGTTTGTTAATACAGCGTAAAACTCCTGTGATGACGAAACGCTTCTATAGTGCGAACATCGCACAGGAAGCAAAGCTGACACAAAAGACCCTAGGCACTGAGGAGCGACCACAGTCTTATTTGATGCATTGCGATCTTTGATGGTAAGCTCAATATACCTCGAATTAAACGGTAATATTCACCCGAACAATAATGGGGATTGCAGGCTTGCAAGTCTAGATTGTCCTTGATTCTGTATTTAAATCATCTGGTCATACGCACTGATTGGCCAATGAGCACGTAGATTAGAACCATCGAGTAAGTGCCTGCACTGATCGAACGGCAGTGAATCCTCAGAGACGGTACACGAACCACCCTCTACCTAACCTTAGGATCATGTCTTATGCCATTTACTATTATAAAAGAGCCGGGATTCCTGTGACGCCCCCGTTGTTCAGTCTCCACCTCAACTTAAACTGGCTCATGTCCACGCAAACTCCCCAAGGCCGTCGTCGCAGCCCATTCCTCATCACGAATGTTGGTTGGATCTACTCTCTTTCAAGATGCTTCTTCGATGACGGCGGCTTATGATCAAATAAATCGCCGTTGGCTAGTAAAGCAGGCTGTCCGTCGCTCTCCGATCGGTATATCGCGGTTTGACAAAGTGACATCGAATCATTTGTGGTTATATACTATAGGCTAATACTTTCAACTTTGTTCCCGCAGTTTTGAGCCTCTGAAGATGGCGGTGACCTGAAGTTGAGACTCGTAGCGCCGTAGGTTGTGACCTGTCAAGTTTGATCACTTGACGAAATGTTACGAGGCGACCAAGTATAGATTACTCTATACGACAGCCGTTGCCGAATACATGTCGGTAAGCCCAAGTTTGAACTGCATTGTTGTTGGTTTATCCTAAAACATACTTCCGAAATCAGATTGATTCTTGTTCTTGTTTGAAATATTGGAATCGCTTCTGTTGCGCCGGGCCAAGTTTATTGTTGGGAGGTGTGAGATATCGGCTGCTGGATGTCATAGGTCACATCCGTATCCCATATTAGCCAAGCGAGGCCGGTATATTGGTCCTTCAAGGAATTCCCGCGCCTCCGAAGAAGTTTTCGACGATCCTGTCACGCCCAAACCTTGTCAACAATGTGCTCCCGATGCTCTACGTACTTACACTACCGCCCACGGATGTTCCTCTTCGGGCCAAGTGATTACGCTGGGCACTGTATGGTCCTCGGTGGCCGCGAGTTCCTCGGGAGCCTCCTCCTCGAGCTCTTCAAACATACTAGTCAATTCGGAGCCGGGTTCAGTTTTTCATCATACTCGACGGCCCAAAGGCTTACCGCGCTATCAAACGTTCTCTGAAGTCTACGGCAGTGCACAGTCAGCGACATTGGCCATGGGCGTACTTCGCATACGCGAAACATTGAATTTTACTCACCAGGTTCAAACTCGTCAAACTGGGCACGCAAATCCGGCGGTTGACAGGCCTCGTTGCAGGAGCATCCTGGGACAGAGGCATAAACTGTATCCGTTTCCTCGTCTACCTCCCGTCAGAGATGAGAAATGAGGGGTCGAAAGGACAAACCGCTCGCCACATCGTCAAGAAGCGCATTTTCGACTTCTGCAGTCGAAGTTGGAGACGCCACTCTGCCCTCAACCATCTCTGGGTCTCTGGATTGAGTCACACTGCTTGTTCCTTGCGTTTCTGGCGATGTCAATTCTACTGACTCAGTCATTACGGAGAAACACAGAGGAGTCAACCTCGGCCCACTTCACGACCATAATGGAATCGGTGATGTCAAAGCCAACGGTGAGTTCTCCGTTCGTATGAGATTTATCAGAGTTTTTATTCACATTTAGACCCTTCAAATTCCTTATTTATTTGTCTGGATAATTCACGGAGATAGTTTGTGGTCATCCACGTCCAGCAAGCTTGTAGCTCGCATTTTGAATAGATCTCACCTTGAACAAACCTTTTACCGCTTCTCCGAGTCACCAGGACCGTTCCAGCTATACCGCGGGAATGTACAGCTTGAGCGAGGCGCTCGCGACGTCAATCTCCGCGTCGGCTCCGAGCGCAAGGGGCATCGTCTTTGTCGTATCGTGACCCACAGAAAGACCGGTGATGACCGGAATCCCCAATGGCGCAAGCGTACGGTCCAAGAGTTGCAGCGCAGTGTATGAGCTGGTGTCTGCGTTGATAAGTTGGCCTATTGCGATGCCTACGATGCCACGAAAGTCATGTGAGCGTAAGAGAGTGGTCAAGAGTCTGTCGACGCTGTCTGGTGAAGTTGTAAGTGGGGTAAGAATGACAGAGTAGAGTGCACGTACATGCCACTTCGTCCGTGTCCTCTATGAAGAGGATTGCGTCGTGGTAGGATGGCAAAAAACCCGACCCGACGAGACTGGCCAAGACGCTGAGGTTTCCCCCAAATAAGCGGCCTCTTGCCCCTGCATTATTGGGTCCAGTATACCGAATAGCGCCATTGAATGTTTGTGTAGTCGTAGCGGCTGTGGAGATGACAGAGAAGAGGCTATCACGATGCGCCTGGGTTACTGTATGGACGTTGATACCCATGGCAGCATACATTGTGATGACGCCTGCCTTGTTCCACAAAGCTTGCAAAGCCGTGACGTCTGAATATCCAATCAGCCATTTGGGGGATTGGCGAAGAGTAGGTAAAAGAATAGGCTCAAGTTGAGCCAGCAGCCTTGCCGTGCCATAACCCCCTGGACGCTTTTAGCGTGAGAAGATTACTGAATCAATATTCCTTACCCCGGGCAGCCCATATTGTCGTCGCGTCTGGATTGGCGTATGCGTCCAAAATCTCTTGGGCACGCACGGCGTCAGTTCCGGCATAGTACATGTCTGCATCGTAGACGTGAGGATCCAGTTGAACGGTGAGATTGTATTGAGATGCTAGAAACGTCGTGCCAGTCGCAAGGGAAGAGCCAGTGACGGCGCCGCCGGTCGCAACCACTCGTACTGTATTTCCTGCCAAGAGCGGAGGAGGCCGAACATGCATTCCTTCCGCACAGAGGAAGAGGAACACGGCAATGGCAAGGGCAAGTTTTCTCATCCCCTGCGAAACCCCGGGGACGAAGAGTCTTACTCCGGGACTGACGGATGGCAAAGCTATAAAAGCACGAGATTTGCATGCTGATTTATCCGTCCTCGCGTGATGGAATCCCACAGCGGTGATGGGCCTGAAACTCGGCGTAGACTCGTCTGAACAGCGAAGATGATGCTCACCTGGGTCGTGAACCAGTCGCAGATGGTGGTCATTCTCCCAAACATGGTTGTATGATCTGGAGCCTGTTTGGGAACATAAGAGATGGGCCAAACACACTGGCGTGCCTGTTCGGAGGCGGCTAGCAGATAGATGGGAAAACATGTCGACCGGTTACTTTGTCCGTTCAGCCACATTGCGCGGAGTTCGGAGACAGTTGTAATGTAGCTCGATCAGCCCCGCGCCATGATCCATGATGATCGCGCTGATGGCGAAACGGGGCCATTCAGAGCGCGTCATTAAGCTGAGCAATGTAGAGAATATTTTATGCAAAATGCTAGGAATTGGTTGAGCAAAGGTGGTCAGAAGCCTCACGTCAGCGGTGAGGTCCAACGAGGGGATCGACCTTGTGTTTTGTTTATGTCGCCTTTCCATGCGGCCTTGACCCCTGCCATTGCGCCCCCGTTGCGCACAAAATTCCCAAAAATCTCTTTGACGGGATCCTCAACGCTCCCACAGACATGAAGCGACTGTTTGGTAGACGAGACAAGGACAAGGCCGTCCGCACATCGGCCACCGAGTCTGCGACGGAAAAGGAGACGACCTCTGCGCACAACGAGCAACCGCAGACGCATACTGACGCCGCTAATGGATTTCTGTCACCGTATACTGCTCCTGTAGCCCGCAAACGGTCCCTGTTCTTTGGCTCTGCGCGAGGGCCGACAAAGTCAGTCCAAGGCTCCCACTCTGGCTCTGATGCGGGTTCCAACACGCTGACGACCAGGTCAACCTCTGGGAGCAGCGACGCGTCGTCTTCGCTTGTCTCGACGCCCATTGACGAGCCCCTGACCCCGTTGGGGACTGAAACTCCTCCGACCGAGACCAAGTCTTGGCCAAATCCGTGGGCGAGCAGCCTGGGTAAAGCAAAGGCTTCCAGAGCTCTCCAAACGACGCAGCAACAACAGCCGGTCAAACCCTCCCCGGCCGCATCTTCTTCGTCGTCATTCACAAACGCGCTTCGCTCGAGGGTCACCGCCAGTCGTACACAGACAATTCCGCGAGTCAGCGTTGAGAGCTCTGCTGATTCCGAAGAAGAGTCCGACGACTCGTCATGGGATGAGATTCATCCAAACGAGATTACACGACCCCGTAAGACACTCCGGATTCCTGCTTCCGGACAGCGGCAACAGTCGCCAAACTCGAGGCGTACCGTCTTTGGAGGCGCCGTGACGTCCTCACCGCTCACCCGCGAAACGTCGAAAGCGCTCGCAAATCTCCACGCACTCACCCTTGATGCGCTGGTCCCCCCAACATCTGCGCCCCCGCTTGTGCAGACGCCATCTGCCGTCCCTTTTCCTCGATCCTCCAACAAGGTACACCTCCACCCAGCCATTGTAAATATCATCCACGCACAGCACTCCCCATTGCATATGGAGATCCTTCGCAAGCGGCTCCTTCGAAGGATCGAGCGCCGCGTTCTTACCGCAACAGAGCAATCCTCAATCCAACCTCTTGCAACTCGCTCAGCAAAGCCAAGAGACGCAAACAAGCGGAGACTCCCTGCTGCCGAGGAGACGTACGAAGACAGCAAGGCAGTAGGCGGAGGATGGAGCAAAGGCATGAAACGATGGGCAATGCGACCATGTTTCGAGGAGCGTGTAGTCGTGTGGAAGCCGCATGCCTCGGGAGTAATCGCGCGATCGGTGGAGAGAGACAACCGTTGTGGCGTCGCTGCCCTCGAGTTTTCTGAAGGCGCCGAGGCCCTGGCAGGTCTGCATCGACAAAACGAGCTACCGCCTCCCCCCTCTGGTAAGCTTCAAATGGCCTTTTTGACACGGGAATAGGGAACTGACAGGTGGCTAGACATTTACGTGCCGGCTTCAAACCGCAAGCTTCCTCCCCCATTGGTGATTCCACGCTCACCCCACGGCATAGCCAATTCCGATGCGCGCTCACTCGGCATGGTGTCATCACGCACCAGGATTGGCCCGTCAAAACTGCGTCCACCACCAATAGACGCGACGGCCCTCGTCTCTCAAGACGAAGATGATCTCCCGCTCGGCATGGTCGTGCTGCAGCGCCGTCAAAAGGAGGAACTCGAAGAGCGTAAGAGACGGGCCGCAGCCGAAAAGGCTGAGCGAGAACGTAAGGCACGCGAGGAAGAGGAGAAAAAACGGCTATTTGCAGAACAAGTTGCCGCGGCGAGACAAAGAAGAGAAGGTGAAAGGCTTGGGAAGAATGGCAAAAAGGACAGCTGGTTGGAAGGTGAGATCGATGCACTTCCGCCTCCTGTGCGACCCTATGCCTCTACGGGACGGTCCAGCTCGAACCCCAACTTGCCGACGTCCAACTCGTTGCAAAACTCTAAGCCTCAATTTGATCGGCGACAAACGTCTGCAGCCTCCATCATCTCAAGTTCTGCCACCGTCACGACGAAGAGACAGGAGCCGGTGAGGCAGCAGACCGCCCCGCCTTTACCTTCTCCATGGACAGGCATCGCCTATACTGGAAATACAGCAGGGAGCCAGCGCGAGTATTCAACACCAATCTCAGCACCAGCCACGATGCGAAGCTACAACATGATGATGCTCCCACCTCAACCGGATCCTGTCAGTATGGCCATGTTTGAACAAGGCTTGCTCCACCCATGGACTATGAACCATGGAACTGGAAGTACGGGAGCTTTGACGCCACCACGGGCACTGTTTGGATTGAGCTCGTCCGGAGACTCTGCTGGGTCTCTGACACCACCACGCTTCCCCAGCTCGCGACCGTCAAGCTGGGGTTCAAGCAGTGAAGACGTTTGGCTGATGATGCAAAATGCCGGATCCAGTTCAGGGACAAATCCCGATGCCCACGACCGGCGGAGATCAAAAGGCTCGATGCTAGCGAGTCCGGTCGATGAAAGACGGAGCCGAAGTCACTCCAAGTCGCCGACCGACACGGCTCCACCAGGCTATGGTCGACCAACATCAAGTGTCAATGGCAGCGCACCAAAGTCACAAGAGAAGCGTCATTCCCGACAAATCTCATCTGTGACTGCACCATCGGCTCCAGGCCGACAGCAATCTTCATCGTCTTCAACACCGAATCTACACGTGCCATCCCTCCCAACACGGCCACGAGGAAACTCTGCGACGTTGTCCAAGCTCAACCCGGCTCAAGCGAATCGAACTCCGTATGGACTTCCCAGCGGTGAGAGCTATGCGCCCGTGTCGAATGCGTCTAGATTGCAGTCTCTCTCGAGCACGCCACAACGCGAGAGTACACTTGCACCCAGTACCAGCAAAGACACGCTGAAGAAGACGTCTTCCTTTTTATCCTTGACACAAGGACGGGACGGTGGCTCAGTCACGACGCGGAAGAGTAAACTCTTTTCGTAAAGCCGTCCCCTCCCCCAACTTCTGGACTCTGATTACGACCCTCCACAAACCACACTCATTTCTCATTCAGGTTTTACATACACACCGGCCATTACCCTAATCACTCGTTTTGCACGCTCCTCGTTCTCGACCTCGTCGTTTGGTCGCTCATTAGACCTGCATCCGGCAGGCCGCCCTCCCCCCTCTTCTTTGCCCACAGTCATGCACTCTACACACTCCCTAACACATTCTCTTTATTCTAGAATTATTTTAGCACCTGCCCTCGTTGCATCCCCTCGCGTCATTTCTGAACTCTTTTTGCCGCCACGCGCCATGCCCTTTTTTTTTTCATGATTGTGCCGTTTGCGGACAATGATCTTGGAGACTCGAAACTATGACCGACCCGGTCATAGGCTCTATGGCCGTCTGTAGAAGTCGTCGTTTTTCTTTTCGTCAATGTAACTCTGTTGATCCCGACCGCGACCGAGGAGCTGAGTGTGTTGGATAGTTTCAAGTATGGAAGTCGAAGAGAATATTTGGGAGAGTGCAGAGAGTGCGAGACAGATTGAGAAATTGGTTCAAGTTGAGCAAGTGAGTAGCCGTTTTTTTGTTGTTGTAGTTTTGGGGTCGCTGTAGCCCTTTGGGATGCGGGGAAAACTGACACGGAGAGGGACATAGGAGATTGTTCGGTTGATGGAATTGGCATCACAGGGCATGTCGTTGCTCGCGCTGCCACAGACGGATTCGAGCGAAGAGGCCCGAACGTTGCCGCGAGGACCGAATCGGTCGGATGCGTTTGCGAATACAGCAGAGTCGTATTTCAAAACGCTCAATGTATGGGTCTTTCTCCTTTGCTTTCTAGCGAGCACAGCTAACGCATTTCACCCGCTAACGCCTACGCCAATGCCACGCTTACTGCGCTCGGTACGATCGGACGTAATCTCTGTATGCCTATTGGATAATGGGGGGAAAAACAAACCTGAACCGAACTGTATTCGACGTGTGGGGACATGCGTCGGGCAATTGATCGGTCCCCTGCAACTGGACCAACTCGCTACGAACCACCGGGGGGATTGGGACGATTTTGTTCGACGGACAATCTGTGGGGAATATTCGTTTTCGTAACGGGCGACTGGACGGCTACCGAATTCTCGTAACCGACGGGGGCTCGCATAACAATTGTGTGGGCTGCCATTTACGCCCGCACGCTATTAGACGATCCAGACCGGGATCCGAACGAGCATTGCGCGAGTGAGAGCAGCCAGAATATCACCAAATGCGCTCAGAGCACCAGAGGGCCGGCTAGGCAACTCGCGATCGCTGGGGGCGAGCATCCCTCGGGAGACGGCTGGAGAGGCAGGGGATAGCAGCGCAAGGAGCGCAAGGAGCGAGTTGGGCTTCCAGGAGCTCAAGGTCGAAGCTGCAGCGTGGATGGGCCTTGCAGATGCACTGGAAGAGGTCGTGAGGGCGAGCCGGGCGGCTGCTCCAGAAGACCAACTATCGATCGGCTAAACGGGTATTTGACGCGAGCAATCAATCTGATGAATAAAACAAAACAAACAAAAGACTGCTGGGGATTGGCCCGGATGTTGGTTATCTACAAGTGCTCCTGCTTATCTCCCAATGGCGGCCAACCCGTCCCGACGATATAAGGCGGGTTGAGGCAGTCGGCCCAACCGCCAGTCTCTTGTTCCCTTCCACAACCGCCAGCACTCTCCGCCCACCCAGTATCCGTCCTATTCGTCTCGAAAAATGGCCGCAGCATACACTCACAAGCCAGAACTCCTCAAGCGCTACCTTGATCTCGATCAGGGAGGCAAGATCCAGGCAGAATGTGGGTCACACGCGCACCCAGTGCTCCTTCTCAACAAGTCACAACTCACCCTCTTTTGCAGACGTCTGGATTGATGGCGATGGTGGTCTTCGCTGCAAGACGACGGTGCGCATCTCGGCCGAACGCCCACCTCAGAAGAGCCCCAGTCTCATGATTTTCCGCAGACCGTGACGAAAAACGTCAAGGATATTGGAGACCTCCGCGTTTGGGACTTTGACGGTTCGTCGACCAACCAAGCCCCAGGTCACGATTCGGACGTCTACCTTCGTCCCGCCGCCATCTTCAAGGATCCCTTCCGTGGTGGTGACAACATTCTCGTCCTCGCAGAGTGCTACAACAACGACGGTACCCCCAACAGGACCAACTACCGTCACCATGCCGCAAAGGTCATGGAGCAGGCAAAGGACCAGGTCCCTTGGTTCGGTCTCGAGCAAGAGTACACTCTCTTCGACGCCGATGACAGACCATTCGGATGGCCAAAGGGCGGTTTCCCGGGTCCCCAAGGCCCCTACTACTGCGGTGTCGGTGCGTAATCCCGTTCCAAGCCTCCCAAGACCCGTCCCGAACCCCAACGCTGCCGGCATCCAGACGGGTCGACCCTTTGCCCTTGCTTTTCTTTTTTGCCAAATCATAATTCCTGACTTTATCCGCTCACAGGAACCGGCAAGGTGTTTGCCCGCGACCTCATCGAGGCCCACTACCGCGCTTGCCTCTACGCCGGTGTCAATATCTCTGGCATCAACGCCGAGGTCATGCCTTCTCAGTGGGAGTTCCAGGTCGGCCCATGCGAAGGCATCTCCATGGGTGACCACCTCTGGATGGCTCGCTTCCTCCTCGTCCGCGTCGCCGAAGAGTGGGGCGTCAAGGTCTCCTTCCACCCCAAGCCACTCACTCAGGGTGACTGGAACGGTGCTGGTTGCCACTCCAACTACTCCACCAAGGCCATGCGTGAGCCAGGAGGAATGAAGGCCATTGAAGAGGCCATTGAGAAGCTTTCCAAGAAGCATCTCGAGCACATTGCCGTCTACGGTGAAGACAACGAGCTCCGTCTCACTGGCAAGCACGAGACTGGCCACATTGGCACCTTCAGCTCTGGTGTCGCCAACCGTGGTGCCTCCATCCGTATCCCTCGCCATGTTGCCGCTCAGGGCTACGGCTACCTCGAGGATCGTCGCCCAGCTTCCAACGTCGACCCATACCGTGTCACCGCCGCCCTCGTCGAGACGACTTGCCTCTAAGTCACCTCGTTCCCTGCTACCGGCCTAGTGTCATAGCGTCCCTTCCTCCTTTTTTTCTTGCACCGGTTAGACGTCGACGCGCTCATTCTCGTTCTTGGACACTCTGAATCCTTAGCTCGTACAGGATTCGGTCACTCGGTTCGACGCTTCGACGAGGTGGCTTTCTAGACAGGATTTCCCCTCCCCCCTCTCCCCTTCTTAATATGATTGTCGAATATGGAATGAAAAGAAGCTATTCATCACGTCTGCGTGCATTAGTCAGATTTAGGTTTTACACCTTCCTCGTTCGACCCGCTTCTAGTGTATTCAGTGGGAATGGTCCCTGGCTGGTGGGTGGGGTATATCCGTCGACGATGCTGAACGCAATTGGCACGGCTGATCTGCGAGGCCGTTCGGTCGTTCTATTGGGCGTACAATTCACATTAACAGGTACAGTAACGTCTACATTGTTCAGTACGGAGCGTTGACAATGTTACTTCTGCTTGGTCGGTCTGCCGGGGCTTCCACCAATGATTTGCGGCCCTTGAACTGGGTGAGTGCCCGCTTCGGCAGCATATATACGTCGTCTGTCAATGTGACAATCTAATAACCCATCAGAGACGTCCATCTAGTCACTATAAATGGACGTACAATGTCCTTGTCATTGCCAAATGAGAAATTGTCCTCGACAACGTTTGCCGTAAATCTACAGATTGGTAAGAAGATTGGCGATTCAACGAAATGTTTCCTCACCTCTTGATTTCATACTTATCCAGGATGCCCTTCTTGACCTTTTCAAAGTTCCACGCAATCACAAATGGTCCGTTGGATGTCACGATGGTAGTCTCCTTTGCATCTCTACCAGTATTGAATCTACGAGTCGTTAGTTTGGACGCGTGTGACTACCCAAGGATTTGCAACCGACTTTGCAGGTGAAAAGTTGATGGCAGCCTTCATATACGCCACATGCTCCGGCCGCAACTGCAGCTTCTTTGGCGTGGGCTTTGAATCCGCTGGGAAACTCCTGGTGAACCCAGAGCTCCCGACGTATTTCCCCGTCCCGATTTGCGTGTCTATGAGCAAAAGGTACGTCTTGCACGTTGCAATCACCCATCGGCCATCTTTCGTCACGTCTATTCCTCGTATAGCATCTCCCAAACCCGGCAAGAGCGTCTTTGCATTCTTGCCCAATGCGTCAAAAAGGCGAATCTCGCCCTTCTCGCTTCCTACTGCGATATTTCCAGCTCCGGTTGTGACAATGGACGAAAACTTGTTCTTGGTGGTATACTGTTTCATATCTGTCTGAACCAACTTGCTCCCAGAAAGGCGAGGGTCAATACGGAATAATGCATTGTGCGATGTACCAAGCAGGGTTTGCTCGACCGTCGTCTGAGCGAGCTTGTCCACGGGTGTCATGCTGTTGATCGCAACGTTTTCAGTCAGCTTCCACTCATCCACCACTTTGCCCGTCTCGAGGTCCATCTTGTATAGAGAGTTGGCATTGTTCGGGTTCATGAGGACGAGTGATCGATCTTGGTCGTGGAGCATCATCTACAGTGCACGCTCAGATAACCCAATGCGCAAGCTGCATTATGCTGACCTTGTTGGGATTGAATGCTTTGCCATCCCTCCCCGGAGCTGCAATTTTCCGGACAGACCCTCCGAGCTCAAGCTTCCCGTCGGTCGTCTCCTTGAAGATACCAACCTGGCCACCGCGTAAAACGACGGAGATGCCCTTGTGTCCAACAGCCAGACCAGAGTTCTTCTCCTTGTTTGGCCCCCAGTCGGTATGTTCCTCCTCCTCACTTTCGTCGCTTTGTTCTGAATCTGCATCGATGAGACAGGAATAACTGGAGAAACAAGCGATAGACCTTCGTTGAGCGCACCCTCCACCGCTGCCTCATCCTCTTCGACATCTGTCATGTCCACGTCTTCGGTCATAGCCGTAATGACATAGTCTTGCTCTATTTCCTATAGGTTTTGTGAGGGAGTGAACATGGCTGAGACTAAAAGCACACCTTGATTTTGGACCAGTCCATAGCGTTCTCTGCTTCGTAGATGCACATCCCCATCACGTTTGTGAAGCGGGTGTACGTCTCCGGATATAGAAACTTGAGACACCATGCCTCGATTATTCCTCTTGCAGTGGTATGATTCCATGTAAACGACCGCAAGGCCTAACATTGTCAACGTCGCATACAGCCAATTGATTCCACTTACAGCATTTGCTTTGCCGTTAATGTCGTCCGTTATCTTATGTCCTAGCACCCACATTCCTTGGGACTTGGCTCTGAGATAATCTTTCGGGAATATCAGATTGAGCGGGTGATGGCACTGTACGCACATTGGTACTGTCCAGTCTGGACGATCCGAATCTCCACCGGGTTTTCAACCATGTCGGGTTGTCTAAATGCCTCTAGTTCCATATCCCATATGTAGAGATCGCTAGTTTCCATCACCAGATAATCGTCATCTCCGACCTCTGCGACTGATGCTGGAACAGGGTCCTGCTCTGGAGCCGAAAGAGGTAGGAGGGTACCACTGTGAATATTGAGTATGATTTATACTACAAAAAATGAGATCTCCTACTCGCTGAATGTCTTCATCAGTTCTGTCATGGGCACGTTGTCAGAAGGTGAGCCTGTCTTGCGCTCAAAGATTGCACGGAGGACAGATTCAAAGAAATGGTTGAAAATATTGGGGTCTGTGCGCTCGTCGACCACGAACTCGTAGAGATTTTCGTCCGAGGGTGATCCTCCCTCGTCGGCTTCCTCGAGGTCACGCCAAATCAGGGTTTGTTGGTTTTCAAAGGTTCCAATACGCGGTTTCAGTTCCTCTCTCAGTAGAAATTCGCGCTCTTCCTCTAGGGAAACACGACGTCAACAACAAATTAGACGCTTGTGGCAGATATGAACGCCATGAAGACGCGCACCTTCCTCTTCGTCCATGTCGTCTAAAAGCTCTGCTTCGCCTTCTTCATAAGCCCTCATGATGGCGAGCTGGTAACTAAAGGGAGTTTCCGTCCGTCTCACAGTTGCGACGGCGGTAGTGAATCTTCCGATAGATGAGCCTGTGGACAATGAATCTACGTAATACGAAGTGACCTACATGCATTCTCTGGCACCTTTTGCACTATTCTTGCGTAGGAGATAGAGTGTTCCTTGGACTTGCGCGAGCTCCTCCGTGCTTGCTGCTGGGGGCGTCCAGCCAGTTCCCGCGTTAAAGACTAGGATCGATGTCAACTGTTGAGCATTCTCCGTCGTTTGTCAGAGGCCACTGACATTTCTTGACAAACTGCATGGATAAGGATCTCTCCAAGACGTCAGTCCTCCGCCACTTACAAGGTTGACGCCGACCACGACCTTGCTTAATCATAAAAGATCCAGAAATCTCGGAAATAACGAGCATCTCTTCAAGTTATACCCAGTAGGCCGTTCTTGAAGTCTTGAAAGAACGTCGTAGAATTCAGTACTACCTTTGAAATATGGATTCTATTGTGCTAGCTTACCTTATTCCCTTCCGGTGAACAGTCTCGAATACCCTTTTCACTGTTTGAAACTTGACCACGACACAACTTTGTTCCCGACCCGTCTGTTATGTGCATTTAGGCGCTATAGAGCGTTTCGAAAGCCACGATGATTACCTTTCAACACGTTGTTTTTGCTGCCGTGGCCTTCCGCGCTGCCCTCATCGTTTACGCCGAATACCATGACGCGCACTCTGTCCTCAAATACACAGACGTTGACTATCGAGTGTTCTCCGATGCCGCACGCTTCGTAGCTCAACCTATGGCTGACAACCACGCGGTCGGTCCTTGGGGCGAGTCGCTATCCCTCGGCGAGTGCGTGATCAGAATACAAATGTGTTATAAATCAATACACTAACTCCACCAGTCCTTACACGCGTGAAACGTATCGATATACACCACTGCTTGCTCTGCTACTCCTTCCAAACGAATGGCTCCATCCTGCCTTTGGCAAGGTCATATTCTCATTGGCTGATATTGGAATCGGGCTCTTGTCCAAGCAGCTTCTGGTAGCGACATCATCCAAGTGGAGGCAGAAGGAGCATACGTACTGGGGACTTTCGCGCGACGAGCTCATACTCGCTGGAATTTGGCTTCTGAACCCGATGCCCGCAAATATCTCTACAAGAGGCAGCGCCGAATCGCTCCTTGGAATACTTGTCATCCTGACATTGGCATTGGCCGTGCAGAGAAAGTGGGTTTCTTGCGCCATCTTGTTAGGTGCAAGTATCCATTGGAAGATATACCCACTCATCTACGTCGGGAGTCTCCTTCCACTGGTTGGAGCAGAGATTGACACACCTTCACGCACGCGGGTCGGGGGATTTCCGAATTGGGTCTTGAACCCCCAGCGACTGCGCTTTGTCGCCGTATCTGCAGCCACATTTGCACTCCTATCAGGGGCCATGTACATGACGTACGTTTCTCTTACCGTCCCATCCTTCACCTAATGTCCCACCAGATGGGGGATGCCGTTTCTTGAGCATTCTTACCTGTATCACATTGGGCGTACGGACCACCGACACAACTTCAGCGTCTACTTCTATCCGCTCTACCTTGGCCTCACCCGTGAAGCCGTGCTCACAAACCTACAATCCAAGGCCCTGGGTCTTCTCGCATTTCTACCACAGATGACGCTGTCTATCGGCAGTGGATTCTATCTGTCTCATTCGCTCGTCGAATCTTCAGCATTCAACGCCTCTAGAACCAAAATTGAGCGGGATACAGCCCATCACGCGATCGGACATCTTCCGTTCGTATTCTTCCTCCAAACGATGATATTCGTCACTCTCAACAAAGTTTGCACGTCGCAATACTTTATGTGGTATTGGTGGTTCCTACCACTAATCATTCCGCGTCTCATCCCTACCAGGTCTGCAGGTAAAGGGATCCGCGCATGGAAAGCAGTATTCATGGTGGGATCCTGGTTTGGCGCGCAGGCTTTATGGTTATCCCAAGGCTATACGCTAGAGTTTCTCGGGGAGACAGTATTTCTGGAACTCTGGATGGCCGGGCTGGTAATGCTCGGAATTAATTCATGGCTAATTGTAACCCTCGTTAAGTCATATCAATGGGAGGTCTAACCGCCCATTTATCCCGCCTACTCTTTCTTCTTTTTCTGAGGTTCGTCGTCCTCGTCATCAGACCGCTCGTCGTCGAGCGTCGAGCTGAAAATGGCACTGGACTGAATGTCAACTGCTGTAGCGCCATGATGAAAAAGGACCACTTACCGGAGCAAGATGCGCCAGATGAGGAAGTACCAAAACAGATTGATGAGCTGAAGCAGGAAGAGTGGGAGGAAGATTTGATATTTCATCCTATCACCGTCAGCAACACTCATTCGGGTTGAAAACAGGCATACCATGGTGCCAACCAAGCTCCTCGTTCGCGTTCCCAGACCTTGTTTTGGTACCTGTCGTTTGTCAGAACAAAGCGAGTATATAGAACGAGCGACGCACGGGATAAGATCAAACTCCTTCCAGACGGACCAAAGAATCAAGATATTGAGGTAATGTCTGGTATACCTGTGAGAGGCGTCAGTCATAATTTTCAGCGCTCGTCAAGACATGACCCACGTCCAAACGCATGTAAACCAGGCAAAGGCGACCGTCTTTGTTTTCTCCATGCGAAGGTAGTTGAATATTTTTGATAGCTACATACTCGTCGTGAGCACATGCAACAGCTCACATCGGTATGGGTACATACAGCCAAAAAGACATCAGACACGTCCATTGTCATGTATACCGCATTGCCAATATAAGTGAGGTTGACCAGATAGCTCCAGAAGATGAGCCACAAGGTCACTACATGGTGAGCGACGAGTTCAGCATAGTCGCTGCGAGGCTTCTCGAGTTTGAGTACCAGAACGAGGAATTGCTGGGTCCAATACGCTGTTTGGAGCAGATAGTAGACTTTCAAGGTACCTGGCATCTGCCAATGGGGGTAATCTGTCGTGGGTTATTGCCAGAAGTAGTGCGATTATCAGAAGCAACTTACTGATCCAAAAGTACTCGGTCCTATAGAACCACGTCGGCATGTAGTTATACATGGTGTACTGGACGAGGGTCAGCGTATCCAGGATGGAGCGTCTACGGGATCAACTGACTATGCCCAAGGATGTTGAGATCGAAAAGTAGAATACGGCATATCCTTGCTCAGCGAACCTGTCTAATTTGGCCTCCTTGTTGATACCGTAGTGACGTGCGAGCGGTTTGAGAACATAGATAGTCATAGACTGTCGAACAAATGAGAATACGACAATGTAGTACGCGACAAAGGCGAGATCCTGCAATGCATTTTGTGAGCCTGAGAACGCGGCACCGACACAAGAAGAGCCAAACCCAATAGCTTTTTGCGTATTGTCGGAAGCCTTGAGCAGAGTCTGGCAGCCGGTTTGACGGAAAGAGGAGACGGGCCCAAGGATTGTTAAATTGCGGGGCAACGAGGGCCCAATTGATATACAGGATGATTGGCAGGACCAACAACTTGAAGGAAGACGCTATGGGACGTGTATTTAGCACCTTATCACAGAATAAAGGAAGCATACAAGGTCGTCTCATCCATCTCATCGTGACAAGGTCGTTCAAAAAGCCTTGAGAAGGCAGCTCATGCAAGCGTTTTGGTCGGGGCGAGCTTGGGACACTCGTCGGAGGCCTGAAGATTCCACAATCATGATGAGCCTTGAGAATGCAGACGGAAAAGGAGATGGTCACGTTTGCGGAGCCAAAGAACCGGCAATGTGATGTTTTGGGTCATCCCTTGACAAAAGTGGGCATTTAAGATGCTATCTTGACACGATGAAGTGGGGCATACTCGATATTTTGGAGAGTTTTCTGCAGAGATCCTGAGCGCTGACGCGTTACATGGCCGTTGCGCGCGCTCATGATGGTTCGGGTCGAAATGGGCGGAATCAGGTGGGAACCGTGGACAATGTTTTCTCCACTTGGACTCTTCCGGCAGATTTCATGTTCAGCACCGGCGTGTCGACGCATAAATTGCCCATTTTCCCATCTTCCTATCAAATCTCTGCCACTCCCGAGCGATGAACTGCGGGCATTTTCAAGCGCCAGCCAACCACAGCCCGTCACAGGCAAGCGACCACATCCTCCAATGCCCACAGCCGTTCTTGCACCCCCGTCCAAGATTCCAAGGACAGATGCAGCCAGCCGGCCGTCCACGAGCCTCGCACGAACAGGACAAACCGCAACATTCTCCACGGGCTTAGCACCTCAGAGAAGGGTCGAAGACTTTCCAAAGTTTGTTAAGGATGTGGCCGGAACAAAAGTTCCCTTTGCAATGCGCCAGGCTCTATTCGCGACAATGTACTCCACGTTCAAGGACCTCTACCATCGATTTCATCAAGAGCACCCAAATCAAGCATTCGATGACGCTGTAATGCAAGAGGCAGAAGTGTACGCTAAATCTAATAAAACAAGCTACAAGAATGTAAGTGCATCACATCTACTGACCGCTTTTTTTTTACCTTACAATCTATTTAGGCAATGATCTCGAGCATTGCTTCTTTGAAAAAAAGGCCTGTCCCCGACAAGCTCCAGCATCCATCCGTTGGCAGCGAAGGAACGAGAGCACAACGTTCCAGCTCGACGGCATCCCCACCAGAAGCCTACACCTTGACTCTGAGTGACGTTGAGCCTCTGCTCCTGACCACAGAGGTTATGCGTCTCTACGGTATCCCAATGGAAATACCCTCGGGACCAGGAGGGACTCGATCCGATGCCACTGGTGAAGAAGTCAAATGTGATCGCTGTGGGAACGGAGTCATCCTCAAACCTGGACGGGATTCCATGGCTTGCCAATTTCACTGGGGTAGAGTCGTTCGGTCTTCGACAGGAGGTAAAGTACTGAAGAGGACAGACTGTGTCTAACTCATTCTCTAGGTGAAATTAGTCGCACATACGGCTGCTGCTCTGCGCCCTACCCTGGCTCTGCTGGGTGTCAGTTTGGACCTGTGCGTTTCTACAATGTCCGACAGTCTGTAACTGAGCACTCGCAGCACGTATTCATGGAAAAGGACCTTGACAGACTTCACGCAAGACATGCCTTTACCAGCTCGTGTGCGGTTGAACGCCCGTGAGATTCCTCTACTTTACTCAACTCGATGGACCAACCTTTGGCTAGTACACAGCTGGATATTGCGACGATTGACTGTGAGGGTATATACACGACACAAGGAATGAGCGTCGCCCGAGTCTCTGTATGCGATGGAAGCGGAAAGCTTGTGTTTGACGAGTTTGTGAGACCTGACGATGGCGTGGAGGTGATGTACGCCTTTTGATTCTATTCTTACGTTACCTAACTTGTCGCCCAGAGACTTTAATACTAGGTATCTCTTCGACCGATTCAAAATGGTCTTCTAAGATGCAATAGATTCTCCGGCGTGACCTCGCTCGATTCAGCAAACCTCGATTTGGTCGGTATCCGACAAGCGCTTGATGCCTTGATCGGACCTCGGACGGTGATCATTGGGCATGCCGTCGAAAACGACCTCATGATGCTTCGGATGATCCATCCGCGCCTGGTAGATACAATTGTCCTGTTTCCTAGCAATTTTGGGCTCCCTTTCAAACGTGCATTGCGTGTTCTGTAAGTACCGCTCGCAGCTATATTCTTGTCTAATGTTTCTAAACTAGTGCACGCGAGTATCTCGGCCGTTCGATTCAGCAAGGAGGTGCAGAAGTCGGACATTCTTCAGCAGAGGACGCATTGGCCACGTTGGATTTGGTGAAGCATTATGTATTGGATCAGCGGCGTCGCAAATGATGATCTACGAAATGCAACAGGTATTAGCCTATATGACCCTCGAACCTAGTCGCGCCAGGGTATCCTCGCTATTCTCTGCCTCTTCAATTGAGTCTGATTGCGCGACCTGGGTCATCATCAGTAACTCATAGAGCACGTCGAGCTCGTCCATACCACACGCAGGACCGACTTCTTTGACGATTCCTGTAGTTCTCCCGCAATTATTAGCTCGTCAAGTATCTGGTAGAGTTGTGTGAGAGATATTCGAGCGACGAGTGTAAGTCTCACCGCATACGCCTTCTGAAAGTTGAAGATTCTGGGATGAGTCAGAATCTGCTCGCAGACTCTCACAGTGATACTCACAAGTCCAACTCGCATACCTAAGTGACAAGTTTAGCCTAAAGATCTCATTTGTCAAATCAGTGACATACGTTTCCAAAGTACCGGTCCAATACTTCGACATAACGATGCACGATCTCGAGCGTGACAAGCTCATTGTCTGCAGAGCCGATGCCACACACGAAGAAGAGTGAAGCATATCGTCTATACACGACTTTGGTGTCTAGGAGCATGGTGTCAGGCCCACATGGATGTACGGCGATCACGAATACCTTTATACTCAAGGAAATTGCACATCCTAGTTCTACGACCTAGTACCAGCTGAGTTACATCCTTGACAATCTTCCCTTTGGCCTTTGGGGGCATCGTAGTGAACCATTTCGCCAACCTGACCTTGCCTTTGAGCGATGATCTCTCGTCAGTTATATTTTGGACTAGATTTTGGTCATAGATCAGCGAGCTGACCTTGCCTTGACACGAGAAGAATGTAGTTGATCATGGCGCTGGCCAACTTTTGCCGTCGCCACCTTGATAGGACGTCCAACACGCTTAGTCGTAGAGACATCATTTCAGCTTTATTCAACGAGTAGATCGGGATTCCGAAGTGGTATTTTCTGTGCGGCTCGTTCTTGGACTCCCCAATAACATGGTCAAGCTACGCTGCCCTGTCTGTCGCTCGCGCAGATGGCGCAAAGAGCCGTCAAGTGGAATGCTTGTCTGTAGTGAAGGTCATATTCTCCAGGTAAATTGCGACATCTGAGGAGACTGGCCTCTGTTTGACTATTAACAGGGATATAGAAACGAAACTACAGAACAGGCGGAGATACCGCAGCATGCAATGAGAACAAGGGCCCTAAAGGCACAAAAGAAGGTCACAGGCATTGTGCTAAAGAACTCGGACCGTAGGCTCCTCGAGTTCCTGGCCAAGTCTGTGGGCTCAGGATGGTGATAGATTTATATGGACATCAAGCCAGGGTTCTTTATTTTCAGGCCCAGCAACTTCTTTTTCGACTTCAGATTGCCGCCCTTCATGATTTATGGTCTCTCCCAGCCGAGTTCGAAGGAATATGCAAAGACGTTTGGAGCCTACACCTAATGCTGCTTCCTAATTCCTCGATAGCACCTCATGGAACCAAATCAGATGGTAAACCGTGCGAATGTATCGCCAAGCCCTTTACCAACCAGATGATAGATATACCCACACAGGATTCAGAGCAACACTCCAGCGATGAAGGAAACTCATCAGTCGATGAAAAGAGAGACATTGGGGTACACCAAGGTGACGACTTGGCCATGTTACTGGATAATCTTTCAGATGCGAGCTCGGCAAGTGATGAGGAGGGAAATGTAGAAGAGACCCAGACCCAGGCTGAGGAGCGCCAGCAGCGTCCCAAGTCGAAGCCCCCATACTGGACGCATAGCAGACCATCAGCCAACATCGCAATCTTGGTCGTCGCTTGCTGGATAATGAGAATTCCAGTAATTTATGCCGACTTTATCAGGTAATATTTCCTTATCACTGTATAATCCATCTAAAGTCTCTGTTAGGCTCATCGATGACTACGCCCTCCCATACCTTAATCCCATTGAGCGGGGTCTGCTTCCCGAGTCTATGGTCAAACATATGAACAGATCAATCAAGTTCGAAGTGTCTCCAACAGTTAGTTCTGTCGGCTCTACTGCAAGCACCGTCTCACTCGCAAAATTAGCTCTCACCCCGCCCTTTGGACCTCCATCACCTTACATCACGGCTAGCAAGGATATTCCTGCAGAATCATCGGGTGGTAGTGCCAGAGGCGAATGTTCCCATCATCCTTTTACGCTGCCTGCGAACGCTACATCTCCCAGGTCAGCCTCTGATCATACTATATATGAATCTCACATTGCAAATAAGCTGTGTTCTATCGAATAATTGTCGAGCTAGCAGATCTTCTAGAACTTCCTCTCTCCCTCCATCCCTCGCTGGCCCCAAATCCTTCGACTGGACTGACCAGACAAATTGGGGACAATATTCCGATCGAGGTAGCCCTCGCCTGTGTGGCCACCTTGTCACTGAAGCTGGTATACGGCCTGGACGGTCTACCCTAGTTCGTGATCCCCAAGGCCTTGAACTCCGCTCAGTTTTGGTAGCTCTAGTTCTTCAAAAGTCGACTCAACGAAGCTTCCTGAGAAATCAAAGATACTGCAGGAACTCTCGCGAGATAACGACCGGTATACCCAAAGAGAGAATAGGTCCGTGAGCCTTTCCGTTCATATTATGGTGGCTGATTGCTTACAGAACGGCTTCCGACCTTTCAAATATAGAAATAGACGAATACCTGGATTTCTGTACTCGAGCACTGCTCTCAAACATTTCGCAAGGTTTGTCAGACGGCAAGAGTGCGTCAGACATTAATCTGTCCAAAAGATGAAGGAATTCTAGAGAGGATATTCCGTCCTCCTCTGAATCGAGCTGACCAAATGCAGCCTTCATCATGGCCTTGGTTGAAGAAAACAGACTTGATTGAGAAAGAGGACGCATTGCACAACGCAGATGACGAAGTGACTGGCACACCCGAACAAGCGCAACAATACAGAATCTATCAAAGCAGTGATACACTAGGCCTGCTTCCTGAAGAGTATGGCCTCGTTGCAACGGTAGCCGCTCGCTGGTGTGGTGTGACTGCCGACGATATTGCTGTTGTCGTAGAACGGTATGAAAGGAGAATTCTGAGAGGAATGGTTAAGAAATCCGATCAGCGAACCATGACCGGACTCTCGTAGTGGTACAGCGGACGGTCTTTTGTGCCAGTAGAACTGACTCCTCTGCATGTGACCACTGAATTCCGAGCTTGTTCTGCTTCGCTTGTCCGATATCGCCGTTCCACCTGGGAAACTCGGTACGCGAGGGGATATGTGATATATTTGGCCCGAATACTGAAATGAAATATTGTAAAGTAACTCTTTAAACGAAGTAATTCAGACTCCGGCAATGCTTTGGTGGTGAAGTCGAGTTTGGCCCGATATCCAACTTGCTCTCAGCCTTGTCCCGCTGGCAATGGCCGAGTACAACTACGACGGCGGCTTGGCTGCCTATTTTCTACTAGCGTTTCTTGCACTCATTTTGATTCCAGTAACGTTGTCTCTTGCTTCCAACCTAAGCAAGTTACTTGCCACCTCGACGCTGCCTTTGCTAACCCAGCTTACTAGGGTCTGCACCAGTCGTACAAGGCTGCCAATGTCAAGAATGCATTTCCCATCGTGAAGAAATTCGTCAAGCGGAACGTCCGACCTTGACCAATCCTGGCGCACACACCAAGTACGTGGCGACCATGGCCACAGCCTCTATAGCTCACGAATCTCCGTATCCTCAGGACTCTTCTTGTTGGTGCTGGATGGGCCCTTTTCTCTGCCGTCCTTTATTTTGTCTTGACCTCCAAGTCGACCATGACTGTTTATGATCCGTTTACCATCCTTGGTATAAGCTCGGTACGTATTAGGGGAGCAATGGCAATACCAACAAACCTGATCCCATCCTAGAGTGCCACCGAAAAAGAAATCAAGAAGTTTTATAAAAAGCTCTCGTTGAAATTGTAGGCATTGCCCTTTCATCCCCATAACTAATTCTTATATTCTACAGCCATCCAGATACGGTTAAGCTTGCGGAAGGTCAAACCGCAGAAGAAGCAGCAGCCTATTTCATCGAGCTCACTAAAGCCTACAAGGCTTTGACGGATGAGGTCGTGCGCAAAAATTTTCTCGAATTTGGACATCCAGATGGCAAGCAGACAGTCGAAGTTGGCCTCGCATTGCCAAAATGGCTCGTCGATGCCCATAACAGCGTCTGGGTTCTGGGTGCATATGCGTTGGTGATTGGTGGTGTCCTGCCTTACATAGTTGTGAGTGTCGTGCCTCTTTTGGGGGGTCCAATTTCTCATATTTTCTAGGGGAAATGGTGGTTCGGCTCTCGTTCCAAGACCAAAGACGGTGTTCAAGCCAAGACGGCGGGCATTTTCTTCAAGGACATTAGCGAAGAAAGCACTACATCAACCCTCGTTCTCTCGCTTAGCAAGGGCTGTGAAAGCGAACTCCCACAAGTTTTGAAACTGTCCAATTCCCTGTCTCCCCAAATCGATGCTCTGCAACGCGATGTTGTAGACAGGCTTGGTCCCTTGTCGTCAAATATCACCAAGTTGCCATCGAAAGAGTCCAAGGTGGCCTTTACGCTCCTCTATGCACATCTTCTGAGGATCCCTCTCTCGAGCCCAGAGTTGCGGTTTGGTGCGTAATCAGGATTAGCGTCCTGCCAGACTATTGACATTGGCCATAGCTCAAAGGGAACTTCTACTTCATGTACCAACTTTGCTTGGCTCCTTACTAGCCATGTCGCTAGGACATGGGTGGCTTCCCACTACCCTTGAAGTCATGCATCTCCACGGCTATTTCACGCAGGCACTTATGCCTGGTAAATCCAACCTTCTTCAATTCCCGTCCATCACGGAAGAGACACTGGAGGGTGCTTCCACCAATGACACCGAAAAGCTTGTGCAGATACTTCGAGAGGAACCTCAGCGGGCAAAGAATCTTCTTTCTGCTGCTTCACACATTGGAAAACTGGAGGTGGTGGATGCACAGTTCAAAGGTAAGGTCATTTGGAGTGTCGCTGGTAACTTGTCTCATTCCTTGTAGTGATTGGAGAGAGATTAGTCACTCCGGGAGCATTTGTACAACTCGTCTTCAAAGTTCGACAGATCTCGGTCATGTCTGGAGGCTCTGAATCGCAGGAACTCGATTCAGAACAGCTCGCCACCGAGGCAAAGGCAGACGATGCGTTTTTGATCGGTAAAACAGATGTTGAGGATATGCCTTCGTATACTCCTCAATGGGCGCACGCTCCACATTGGCCAGCGGTACGCGGTTCCCTATTCGAGTGGACTTTTCTGACGTCACCCAGAATCGCAAGGCCGGATGGTGGTGCGTTGTTGGAGATCTCAAGACTCAGAAAGTCTTTGTTCCCCCATTCAAGTTCACCGACGTCCCATGGACCAATCCCGAAGAACGGCCTCAACGCGATTACCGAAGCTTCAAGATGCAGTTCCAGGCACCCCAACAAATTGGAGTCTACACTCTGCATCTCACCTTTGTTAGCGATACCCATGTCGGGGAGGATCAGAGTGTGTTCCTCACACTCAAGGTTGAGGATTTGTCAGCGTTGGATGCAGATGAACAAGCCGTAGAGGACGAGATCTCAGATCCGGAAGAGGACACACTCGCCGGGCAAATGGCAGTCATGCGAGGTGGAAAAGTGAAAAAGTCGCCGTATCATGGAGAAGAGAGCGACGAAGAAAGTACCACTGACGGGGATGATGACAGTGATTCCGACAGCAGCGACAGCGACTAGATCTCAGTATTATTATTCCCTTGTTCTCTATCTAGTGATCAACTCGTCGATATTTGCATTGTCTCAAGATAGAGAACACTGATCAAGATCCGTTGGCGGACGACGTTATGGTCGGGTTGAGGCCCCCTCCAGACGATTCGTATGCTCCCATGCGGACCAGCACATATTCGATCTGGACAAATGATGAGTATACCGACGAAGCGATGCTAGGAACTCACAGTTGTAAAATGTCATCTACAAGGTCAATCAGCATTCAGCGGGACATAGAATGCTATAGTATGTACCTTTCCATGCCAATTTGGCGTTCTCGTGCCGAAATTCTGAAGTAAGGCGACTGCAACGGTCCAGATTCTCGGGAGACACAAAATCGACTGCCACCTTGATACAGTCAGCTAGATTACAGACCTAAATCCCATAAGTTATTATCTCAAAACGAATATTGTACATACCTGATGTGCGCAACCCGCCGGAATGAAAACAGCATCACCAGGCCGTTGATAAATTCTCCACGCTCGTACTCCATGCCTCTCGTAAAGCCTTTTCCGAAGTTGAGGGGTGAGATAGAAGTACTGCGAGTGAATTGGGTCAATGTACGAGATGGAACATTTCTCCGGGGGGAACTCTTCTTGCAGAAACGCGCGGATTTCGTTGGCATTTTCCGAAGGATAAATATCCCAAACAGCGAATCCAGCCTCTTCTCCGTCTCGAGGAGATGAGTAGAGCATAATATTTACTGCATCTGCCTGCTACCAGTCATTTCTCGTCCGAGTTATTTCAGGATTCAAACACACCATGTCCATATGAAGGCGGGTAGATCCAAACTTTTCCTCATCCGAAGCAAATGCGTTGTACATTTTTGGGCCCATATCCGGGGCGACAATGTTTGTTGGAAAGTGGGCTGCGATGTTAAAGAAGCCGTCTCGTCGAGTATAGTTTGGTGCGGGGACAATGCTATGAAAGTCCTCGAATAACGCGGGAAACGCTGTCCTGAAATCGGCACTTGGTGGCCAATCCTTGAGCTTGAGTATTCTACCTTCTCTCGTCGAGTAGTTTCCGAATTGAGAGAAAAAGTCACGAACATTGGACGGATGTCGAGTCTCATTCTCACAGTCAGTAACCCAGCAGGTCTCAGAGCCGTGGTGCTGGATAAAGTAGTCAGGTGTCCATTCGATTTTGAGTTTCTCCAGCAAGTTGCTGACCACGATGGTACTTCCCGCACTCCACAGGCGCTGAAATTCGTCATCACCCAGTAGCGAATGATGGAAATATGGGATTGGAAGTGACTGAACTCCAGCAGCGTCTGAGGGAGTTTGCTGAGGCCCTGACTCTTGGCCAAGGAAGGATCGCTGGAAGTGCAAAGTTTGTGGACCGGCATTCAACGATGCCTCCGAGCTCAGAATCGTGGCAGGTTGAGTTCCGCCAGTCTTCAATTCCAAGGATGATGTTTGAGCTAAAGGTGTTTCCTTCGACATCACCAGATGTTCGGTGATATCACTTGGTGGATTGTTGATGGAAAAGGTTCGGTGTGAGCTGAGAGCCGTCAGAACTCCTTCCATTTCTCGGATATGGCGACCAATTCCTGCTATTCCCAATCTCGACACAGGCAGAAAATCTTCCGAGGTGTGAAAGTGTGGCTTATTCGACGGACCGCAAGTCTGATACCGTAGATTGAGACTTGGCTGTTCAGCGTTCGGGCTGGCTCTCCCATATGCCTCAAGGACATCGTAGCAGTCAATACAGAAGTCTCGCCCACATTTGGTACAAATGAACGAAGCGGAGAAGATGGACGTGAGACACCTATCTGAAGCGATCCGTCAGTAATGGCAAGCACGTGGTGAGAAGTTGCATACCGCAGGTAACCCTTACGTCCATTTCCCGCATCCTGTGGATGGTAATAGATTCCTTCCCGGCAAGTTTTTGCTTTTCTGTTTGCAGGATTGGGAGCAAAATTTGGGCAACGCTTGACTAGAGTGCAAAATCAATGTCTTCTCAATGACCCCCATTGACATAAAATGACGAACCTTGATTCTATTGATCTGTTCGACTGAAGGTTGAACAAACCATTTTGTCGGGTAAATTAGTCCAGTTGGTAGTGACTGTGCGTGCGCAGGCAAGCTCATGCCACTGAATACTGGTGGCCCAGACGGCTTTCCGTCATTATCAATGGCAAACGCTCTGATACCTCGAAACCGACAGGGTTCACCAGTTTTCTTTGCCTGCAAGATAGTAGGCGAAAGTTCGTGGATAAGGGAATCACTCACAACGCATGCCATACACCTCGAGAGATGTCTGTACTTAGATCGTTGGCAGCTACCGTCCTGCAACTCGATTGTTCCCGGTGTAGGCGTTGGAATAGTCGTGGAATGGTGAATTGGCTTTTCTTTTCGTCCACCAGAATGGTCTATACGACCCCTTCTTCTTCTTCTTCTTGAGAGTTTTTTCCGTCCAGTCCTCATCTCCAGGGAGGTAGTCGGATTCGCCATCAGAGATATCTGTACTTGTCAGAGGAGATGACCGGGACGGCTCATTCGTCACCTCTTATGCGCTTCTTGGACGGCCTTGATACCGCCTCATCCAAGCTCATGGTGGGCTCAGGGGTATTTGGCTTGACGGCCTGCTTGGTTTCGAACTCCCCAGTAGGGTCGTGAAGGTGAGTGGCCTGTTGCGCACGCCGGGCCGATATCCGCTCTTGAACCTCAGCGTAATCTGCGGAAGATATCGAAGAAAGTGCTGCTTCATGTTTCAGTGACACGGCCAGATGATTGGAGCGGTGGACTCACAAGACGTGTCGCTGTCTTGTCTTCTAGCGTAAAATTCTCTCTGTGTACGGGCAATATTTTCCCGAAATCGGTTCATAACTAATGGAAACAAGCGCTCAGCAATGAAACCGTCTTTAGTCGGGAACGACAGACTCGGAACTCGGGTAGGTGATGTCGGTGGTATATAGACCTTCGCTTGGTCATCCATGCGTATCAATGCATTGGTGGAATGTATTTCTAAAGTTGCCATGCCCCTTGTAACTTGGATAGGACGCTTGGTGGAAAGCGCAGAGCTCATTCAAAGGGATTTCTGAGTATTCCAAGAGGTTGAAAAGGCAGACAGCTTGCGCGTCACGAAGTCTATAACCGGCGTGAACAAGGTCAGGATCAAGTCGATATTTCCACCTGGGCCGGCCAATCCGCGACCTCAGAGAAGACGCGGCACCAGTTTACAGATAATTTAGTTGGATTTTTGATATACAGGATTGCCTCTTCACAAGCGTGGGGGACAATGCGGGTCAACGACAGGTAGATTTAAATTGCATGGGCGCAAGGAATTGTATAATAGTCAAGACAGTGCCTAGACTTGTATCAACACTTTTCAAGTTCATTTACCTCGCAGCAGATCAATCATAGCTTTCCTGTCCTGAATAATGCTGTCAGAGAAGTCGAGAAAGAATGGATGAGGCTTATACCTCATCTGTGAGCTCTATTCCTGCGTCTTTCATCGACTGGGCGACCTTTGTCATGCACTCTTGAATCCGTGGGCTCGAATACATTTTGGTCATGGAGGTCAGCGTCGGCTTGGCGAGATTGAGGCCTGGGACTGTTAGAAGGAGCTTATTTAGATGAATTAGTCGCTACCTTCGTCAGCACATGCCTCAGAGAGCTCTTTGATGGCTAGTTTGATGTTTGAGTTTGTGAAAAGTTGAGCTATGGCTGGCGAGCTCGTCATTGCTTTGGACAAGAACTCGTTCCGTTCATCCTCTTCTGCTCGACGACTGGCAGAGAATGAAAACGGTCTGTGCTTCGAAACCAAGGTGCTTTGTCGTGCCGGGACAAGCGCACATCTCTGGCAAGTATAAACGACGCGGGCAGCATTCCTAATGCCGCTGTGAAACATTGTGAAACCGCGTGAAAGCGGGTGCCGATGCCAATGTGGAGATGTCAAGAATCAACGCGCAACTTTGGACCCGAGCTCAACAATCACCTCCCCCGTAATCGCGAGGAACAAATAGTATATACATAACACGGGCTTGAACTCGCTTTCGAGCACCATCTCTCCAATGACCGTCCTCTCGAGTATTATTGGTCTGTTCAACACAAGACTCGCACTTGTATGCTCTCCACCGGTTCTTGAATCGATTTGGCATCCTAAGGCCTATTAAAAGGCTCTAGATCCCCCGGTTGTCCCAAAGAATGAAGCCCCGCTGCGATTCGGGATTCTTGGTGCTGCCAACATCGCGCCTTCTGCGCTCATCACTCCAGCTAGGAGCCATCCAGATGTTGTTATTTATGCTGTTGCCGCCCGAGATGAAACCCGAGCCAGAGCATACGCGAGGAAACATCGAATCCCTGTCGTTTTCTCTTCCTATCAGGGTACGCCTCTTTTCTACTAACTACACCGGTTCAATAGTATACTCTAGATCTACTTGACTCTCCCGACGTCGATGCGGTGTATAATCCACTTCCGAACGGATTGCATTTTGAGTGGACCATGAAAGCCTTGACAGCGGGGAAGCACGTTCTTCTCGAGAAACCGAGCTCGAACAGAGCAGAAGAAACTCGACAAATGTTCGAACTGGCCACAAAGAAAAACCTCGTCCTCCTCGAGGCGTTCCACTATCGGTATGAGGCGAGGATATAATCTCTGTGCATATAACCAACTATTTACAAGATTCCATCCCGCCAATCACCGGTTCAAAGAGATCATCACAAGCGGCACACTGGGCGAGCTCCGAAGTCTGCAGGTTGACACTAGAATGTTCAGCGGCTTCTTTCCCGCGCGTGATATCAGGTTCAATTACGAGCTTGGAGGGGGTGCAGCCGCTGACATGGGGTGCTACGGCTTGTCGGTGGTCCGCTGGGTCACTGATTCAGAGCCGATCGTCGAGTTTGCCAAAGCGGAATTATTCAATGGTCGAGCCGATGTGGACCGTGCAATGGTCTCGGACCTCATCTTCGACTCGTCTCCTCACTCATCCTCCCGCATCTATGCCCATATCGCATGCGATCTCGCTCGTCCGTGGAAGTTTGGGATTCTTCCAACGTTACCGACCTTTAACATAACCGCAACGTGCGCTCGAGGTACTGTCCGATGCACCTTCTTCATCATGCCCGCATTTATCCACTCAATTACCATTCATGAGAACGGCAAGCCTCCCATCAAAGAGACGAGGTACAAATTTCTGGGTGAGAACACCATAGGAAAGGACTGGTGGACCACGTGAGTCCCTGTTCATACAATGGTCAGTTAAACTGAGACACCTCTCAGCTATCGGTACCAGCTTGAAGCATTCGTCGACCGAGTTCGCAACCGAAATCCACAGCACTGGATATCAGGAGACGATTCGGTAGCACAAATGAGAGCATTGGAGGCAGTCTATGTCAAGGTGACCGAACAGCTTGGCAGGTTCCGCTTTTGCAATGAGAAACATCTGATACCCCTCCAGGCTGGTTTGCAGCTGAGACCTGCCTCCAATGTCGAATTTCACTGAGCCCACAATTATGTGCGAAGGCCTTTGGGTTGATATTGTGTACATCGCTTTATAGCTAGCCTAACGTGTAGCCTCCAAAGATTCCATGGACAGCACACTGTTTCCTCGTATAACCTATAGAACCGAGCTGTATCAGTCGACTTGAGCGATCTGGGCAAATGTGCGACAGACCACCTGTCCAAGCGGTAGCTTCTTCCCTGGAACAGTCTCCTCGGTAGAATCGTCGAGGACAATGTTCAAGAAAATGTCAAAGCCTCGCAAGACTCCGCTGACCTTTCGGCCACCTTGCACTTGGATGAACAGACGCTTATCCATGAACTAGACACAGAGTTTGACATTCAAAGTACATTGAGACGGAACTGTTTACCTTTTTTAGTTCTGGTTGCGATGCGCCGGGCATTTTGTCAAGATGTGGGCGGGATCAAGAGAATTCACCACCAAACCTCGGGGAACAAATGATCATGTTGCGACTACGGAAATATTACGTAGATACGGAGTACAGGTAATATGACATTTGCAACCTGGTTTGCTTCAGTCTGGAACGAGGGCGTGTTAACTTCGTGAATCGGTCCAGGACGCTAGCAAGTTTGGATGAAACACGTAAAATCGTACAACGCGACACTATCTCCAATGCATTCTATCTCTACGCTATTCACGTTCGTGTCAAGCGACCACATCAACCGAGCTAAAGCTGCTTCTCCTTCGTTTGACATTGCGTAGAAGAGGCCGCTCGCCGGATTTCGAGCTCGAGACCACGACCGCGCTTGCTTCCTCTCCGTTCATCCACTCATTGCTGGTCGGCGTATCGTCCACGAGCTTGAGCTTTCCACTCTTCCTCGGACTCCGACGAACGCCTGTACTTGGACTTGGCTGTCCGTCGTGAACCATTTTGTTCTTCCCAGAGTTACCTTTGGCTTGATCCCCATCTCCGCCAGGTCCTGATTCTGCTCCGCTATCGCCTTCGATGACCACGTAGCTCCGTTTTGCGGGAACCACTCTTGGTAAACGAGAAGGCGTCGCAGGCGGTGGAGGGCGTCCAGTGGTTCTCGTCCGCGCGCCAGTCGTATTGAGCGTAGAGTTGGTATCTTTGGACCGTTGGAGTTTTGGGATCCGGCCTCCTTTGTTCGAAGACTTTGTGGGTGTGGACGAGTTGGCGGCCGTTTGTGATCGAAGTTGACGAGTACTTGTGATTGTGTCCATGTCGTCCTTACTATTGACCTTGCTTGCAGATAAAGAGCGCTGATTCCGCGGCCGGATTTGTCTCTCAGGGGACGCTTCTCTGACAGTAGGAAGAGTAGCTAACAAGTCGAGCTCTTCATCACGAGTAACTGTGGTATTTCCCTTCTGAGGCGACTTCCGTGGTTGAGGTGGATTGGCTATTGTCTTGACTGCCGCAGTTGTTGGCGCTACATGACGTGACGGCGTTACAGGAGGTACGGTGGTATCGATTGCCCTTGTAGGGGTGGAGCGACCATCTTTTGCATCGACCATCATTTCGTCACCAATATTTGGATCCGTGGAGCCTGTGCCAGTACCATGGCGTCTGAATTCGTCGATTGCCGACCACTTGCTCCACTCCAGCTGTTTGAGATACATAAAATGCTGTAAACGGATTAGAATCAGTAATACAGTTACTGGTATGGGGAATACCTGTTGAGGACCAACCACGCTTCCAGGGCGACAGATGCGCATGAAAGCAATAGCTTCGTTGGCCAAAAAACCATACTTCCATATGAGGTATGCTGTAAGCAATCATCAGCTTAGTTCGCTCAATCCCGGACACTTAATACCTCCTATCAATGTCCCAGTACGCCCCAATCCAGCCTTGCAGTGAATAGCTACAACGCCTGTGGTGATAGTTCAGGTATCGGCGAATCCCAGCACGAATATCGTACCTCCATTCGAGATGATAGGATCAGAGACTTGGATAAACTTGCGAACAATATCATCTGAAGGATTTGTCCCGTCGTCGAAATAAAGTTCGAGGTGTTCCATGCCATGATCGATAAAGTGTTGTTTGTCGTAAAGCGGATGGTTGAGTCGGATCACGAGCTGTACGCCCTTCTTCTCGAAGTATTCGAGACAGTTTGAGAACGCCGTAGGGAGCCGCCTTTCCAAAGCGGAGTTGTTAACTCTCTCGCCGTTCTGCTTCTTTATCCAATTCGTCTCTACAGGAGACGCAAAGGCGATGAAACCGGGCGTTATCCAGTTCCAATCCCCGTTCTCCACCTTTTCGTAGTATTCATATTCCTCCACTGAGAACTGGTTCATATCCGTCAGACCGTTCTGCAGGGCTTTCCAGAAACCCCATAGACAGTCCTGGATCGTCAGGTCAAAGTCTGGTTTGGCTCTTCCCGCATCTCTAAATGGCATAAACTCCATCTCTGCGATTGGTTGAAAGGCCTCCCATGGAGGACGACGAAGGACGATCATGACGAAGAGCGCCATCAAGAGGGCAGCGTTGGCCTTTCTTCTTGGATCGCTCGACGAGTACATGACAAGCCTGTGGCCAGCAGTCTCCTTGTCCTGGAGCAAGCGCGTTGAGACGGCGTGGCGAGGGAGCGTGTTGGAAGCTTACCTGAAGGAGCTCATGGATGAGAATCAGTGTCCTAAATACATTTGCAATGTTAAGAGGTCCCCAGTCCTCGTAAAACGATTCGTAGTTGAGCGAGTGGTCAATGGTAAAGTAGTAATACTTTGGCGGGGCCGTGTCATTTGTCGCCATCACCGAACGCCGCAGCGGAGGATTGTCCTGGGGACCATTGATGGACGCGTTCAACGCCTGTTGGTTGGGCGCGATGCCCGGAAATGTCGTGAAGAATAGTCTGTGCGTACACTTGTCAGCAACGCGCTTCAGAGAACACGAAATAGGTGTGAATTCGAGAGACCTTTCTCCAAACTGGACCAGCGGTGCGCAGGCTGGCGGCGGCATTTCGAGCCTGATGAGGCGGCAGACAACTTGTTGAGCCATCTCGTCGTCCGTGGCTGGCTGCTCCCGTCTTTCGCCCAATATCCCAGACAGTCTCAGACTCTCCTGCGTGCTTTCTGGCCTCATCAGCTTGTGCTCATTCTCCCTGTGACCAAAGGTCACGTGTCCGGGAGTTTGAAATCGCGGTTTGGACCCAACCTCGTCAGTCTATGCAAGCCCAAAAATCAAAACAGATATCCCTCAAGGGTTCAACAGCAGTTGTAACAGACTTCTTCAAATTTGCGATCAATACGTGTGTCTAGAGCCCCTCCTCTGCTTCGTAACTCAGCGCCCACCAGCATCTTGTATCAACGAGGTGTCTATCCAGCCGACGATTTCCACCTAGTCAAGAAATATGGGCAGACTGTCATGCTTACAGAGGATGCCGCGCTCATCAACTACCTCGACAAGATCCTCAAACAAGTCAATGGTATGGAATATTGCGTAGATGTCTCCCTCCGTAATAACGTCTTATAGAATGGCTTCTAAAGGGAAATGTCACTCAGTTGGTTCTCGTTCTGCTCTCGAAGGATACCAGAACGCCGCTCGAACGATGGGTCTTCACGGTCGACATCATCCGCTCAGACGACGAGAGCATACCACTGTACGTTTTCGAATCTACTAGCAACTCGCAATCTGATTCATTGATTAGAGACGATGCCAAACCGGATGCTGACATACAAAAGGAGATCCGCCATATAATTAAGCAAATAGTCGCCTCTGTCACTTTTCTCCCATTGGTCTATGAGCCCATGGTATTCAACATCCTGGTTTACACTCGGGATAGCGCCGACGTTCCCGAGAAAGAGTGGCTAGACACCGACCCGCTAGCCATAGAAGCGTCTATGAGTCAACAGGTATGTCATAATTTTACTTGGTTATCAACTGAGGCTGATCATTATGGGTTAGGTGAAGCTCCGCTCATTTAGCACCGATTATCATCGCATTGGAGCGATGGTGGACTATCGATACGACCCAGTTCCAAGCGTGGCTGAGAAGTGACTTTTCCAAACTTCGCCTCAAGATTTACAGAAACTACATCCCAAGCTCTATACGATGATGGTGATAAGAATAAACAAGTCTTTTGACGACCTACGAAGCCCATCTAGCCTCGCGCCCCCTCTGTTTGCTACGATAACTAAGAAGTGGAGACCCGTGTAGGTACTTGATCAGGGTGCCACCACCCTGGATAAACGATGTCGCCCGATCCTGATTTCGGGAGCAAGCCATGCTGCGACGAGAGTATCCTTCGTAGTATTCCCAGTATCCGGCGTACGCGATATTGCCATTCTGGGTTATGAAAGTACTGGGATCGTTGCATTGGGCTGATGATTGGGTGCGCTAGACGTGGCAGTAGATTTTCGAGCCTGACGGTTAGATCTGCTAGGCTGAGGAGAGTCTCACTCAAACCCTTATCCAACGTGAGCCCATCTATAGCACTATCCCGTAGTGATGCCAGCACCGCGTGCAAGTTCCGCAATACCCACTCGTATAACGTAAATAAACGAGCAATGCGAGTGCCACTGCTACCATCACCAGGAGATTGTTGAAGGACCCGACAGACGCGCCGGTCAATCTCCGAGAGACGTCTATGGAAGAGCCGCAAATGATTCGTATATGCCTCGGTCCCATACAGCCGAACGACGCCCGCGCCGTTCGCTGATGAGGCTTTCTCTGCCCTCTTCACGAACCTCCAGATTCGCATAGATAATGTCATGGAGTAAGCCTCGGACGCTATGAGTGCTGCGGTGGCCCAGAAGTGGGGTGATAGCAATCTTGCTCTCCGAGTAGCCGATGTCGACCCCAAGTCCCGCTTTACACCTTTGCTAGGTTGATTTAAAAGCGGGAACTGAAGGAAAAGTATCCGAGATGCGTTTGAGATATCACCAGCAGACAAGTCGGCGAGCATCACCGCAATGAGCGTATACTCGTCTACCGTCGGCGCTGGGAAGGCAATCAATATCTCCATGATTTTTGCAAGAGCTGCCGTGTTGCCGTCACAAACTACCCGATGCGACCGAGCTATATAGTTGGTTGGACGAGAAGACAATCGTTCACGCAGTTGGAGCGAGAGGTTATCTTCGTTCATCTTGGTCGCTTCACGTATCAGGATATTGTACGTGGCAGAGGTTGGTCGGTGGTACATGCAGAGCAGTTCGAGCACCCGAGCCGCAAGGTCGAGTGATCCTCGCTGTCTGAAGGAGTAATGGAGAAGAGAGTGGTATGAAGCGGAGTCGAGAGGTGCTAAAGACGTTGGATGGGTGCAGAGATTCTCCAGACGAGAGTGCCATTCCTCGTGGATCTTCGCGTTAGTATGTGATTCCCGTGGGGTCTCGGCGACTGCTTTGATCAGATGTGATCTACTGGGGACAAATGGTACATGATCCCACAATAAAGATGCCAACACAGACAGTCCCCGCATGGCCTGGTGTTGATCAAATTTAGACACAGTATCTTGGTGGCTATTCGTCAGAGATTTAATGATTTGGCGCATCCAGGCATTTGTGGGTTGAGGGACACAGTCCGAGGCTTGCGCACCAGGTGCACCGTCTGGTTGCTCATCGAGATTGTGGGGCCCATTATCCGTTTTGACAGTCTTTTTCAACTGCTGGCGCGCGTTCCACTCTCGGACAATGGTTGCAAATAACAGCGCCGCCGTCAGCATCTCACCTTGGAGTAAGAGAGCGCTGAGAACGCGGTCATACATCCAAGGTTCCTGCTTGTGGTTCGACCTTCTTGCCGCTGCTAGCAGGGAGATTGCAGCCGTTAGGGAAGGCGGTCGAGTCTGAGGAAGCCGAGCCTCTGTTCGAAGTGGGCTGAGTTGGAGATCGCTGGGTGGCGAAATGGCAGCAAAAACTTTGAAAAATGTGGATTTTCGTATCCTTATTCCTCTCTCCATACACAGTTTGGCAAAGCTCGCTGCAGCGTGCGCTCGGTTATTGCGAAGCAGAGAGTGCAAGAGGATATGAGCCAAGAGTCTCCCAGGCGATCTACTGGACCCTGTTTTATCCTCTACAGTGGCAGATGTTTCCGCGTGAAAGGTTGTAAAAATGTTGTAACCCGTATGGACATTGCCGTCTCGAATGGCGTGTTGGATGGAGGTGGCGATTCGGAATTTGGGGTTTTGAGACTCATTGGTCTTATATGCATGTCTAAAGGCCAATTGCGAAAGATGAATCGTTGCTCTGGACTTTGGAACGGAATGCAGCAGCAGCATATACACTGCCCCTAAAACAGCTGAGCAATCTTGACGGATCTATGAGAGCGTTTTAGTATACTGGCATACTTATATAGCAACTTGCGGCGTACCCAGGGTGCAAAAGAAAATCAAGATGAGGTCGGGTCCAGATTATCCAAAGACCTCTGGACCCTGACCATATGAAGGAGACGGTGCTGCATACGCACCCAAAAGTAATGTAAATGCACTTTTATCTATTTGTATATATCCTCTAATCCTTCCTTTCCTTTTTTCCAGCAAGCAATTACAGTTCAGCCTCCTGTCCGCGCAGGATATCGTCAAACTCGGAGAATTCGAGGTCACACATCGTGATTTGTATACTCCAGCAGACAGACTTCCCTCACAGAATGGGGTCCTCGATCGACGTTTGGTCTGTCACCAACATCCATAAAATCCATGGCTCACATCGCTGCTAGGGCACCACAGAGAAAAGTGCCAACTGTGAAACTTGTGGACTCAACACCGTTGACTGCGTGGGTCACTTTGCGTACATGAAGCTTGCTTTGCCCGTCTTTCATATTGGATATTTCCGCCATATCTTAACGATTCTTCAATGCATATGCAAAGTGCGTCACAACCTTGGACCGTTCAAAGTATTCTGATGTCCTTGAATAGACATGCGCTCGAGTCATGCTGACCGAGTCTGCTCGTCGAGCGTTTCTGCGCAGATTTCGGCGCCCTACCTTGGAGAATCTCGCAAGACAGAGTCTTTGCAAACAGGTTCTTGCAATTTCGCGCAAAGTAAACACTTGCCAGCATTGTGGGGCCATCAACGGAACTGTCAAAAAGGCGGCGGCTCTCAAGATCGTTCATGAACGATTTCGGCAGAAAAAGCTTACAGAGGAAGCTGAGAAATGGAGGCAGTCCTTTTCAAATGCCATCAAGGTTCAGAACGATCTGGATCGCGCTCTCAGTATAAAGGGTGCCGAAGAACTTAATCCACTCAAAGTGCTGGATCTTTTCAAGCGAATGACAGCAGAAGTGAGTAATTACTGTAAGATATCAATAGACCTTCATGCTCGCCCAGGACTGCGAGCTAGTCGGGATGAAACCCTCCCATAGTCGACCAGAACACTATCTCTGGCAATATATTGCGGTTCCTCCCGTTGCAATCCGTCCTTCTGTTAACCAAGATGGGGCAAGGTTAGTTACCCATTCGTATCTAGACGGCTTCTCAACTCTCCGCCAGTAATGAGGATGATCTCACCACGAAACTATCAGAAATCGCATTTGGCAACTCCTTGATCAAACAAAGTCTCAATAAAAGTACAAATACATCGAAACTCATGGAATTGTGGGAATTTCTCCAACACTCGGTAGCCCTCTATATCAATAGTGATGCGCCCGGTATTCAACAATCGGTAGGCTTTACAATCTTATGTCGACTCTGCCTTGAATACTTGCAGGACTCTAAACCTCTACGAGGGTTCTGTCAGCGATTAAAAGGGAAACAAGGTCGTTTCCGTGGAAATCTCTCTGGAAAGCGGGTTGACTTTTCCGGGAGGACGGTAATCTCTCCAGACCCCAACCTTCGTATTGACGAAGTAAGCCATCTCTAGGGTTGCCCTGATGGCACCTGACATGCGCATTAGGTAGCGATTCCGGAGAAAGTGGCTCGGATTCTCACTTATCCTGCAAAAGTTACTGTCCATAATCTCGAGCAACTCCGCCAGGCTGTCCTCAGGGGCCCAGATAAACCAGGAGGAGCAAACTTTGTACAATCCGGGACCAGTGGCTTCAAAAAATTTTTGAAATACGCCGACCCGTTGGATGTCGCCAAGAAGCTTCGAATCGGCGACATTGTTGAGCGCCACCTGATCGATGGCGAGTAAGTCGGGCCGTATTACGGTTCCGAGCGTGATACTCAACCCATTCAGCATCGTGCTTTTCAATCGCCAACCAAGTTTGCATAGGGTGCGTTCAACGACTTTGCATAGTTCGGCTGAGATTATGGACCTGTTAGCTTTCGATCATGTGCCATCGAGCAAAAATTCGACCGTGGCGTACATTTAGGCTTAACGAATGCGTATGTGGCCCCTATAATGCGGATTTTGATGGAGACGAGATGAATTTGCGTACGTGCTGAAGGTTAGCAGATATCGAGGCATTTATTTGCATTCGCAGATGTACCGCAGACGGAAGAAGCTAGGACAGAAGCATTGCAACTTATGAGCGTCAAACTCAATCTCGTTACTCCGAAGAATGGAGAGCCAGTCATTGCTGCGACGCAAGATTTCATTACAGCGGCATTCCTGCTTTCGGGAAAGGACAGGTTTTATGACCGTCGCCAATTCACTCAGATCTGTTCCTATATGGCAGACGCTCAATCTCATATTGATATACCGCCCCCAACTATTTGGAAGCCAAAGCAACTCTGGACAGGAAAGCAGGTTTTTGGCGTTCTGATGCGTCCGTCGCGAAAATCTCGGTCCTTTGTCAACCTAGAGACTCGGTGTCAAACGTATCAAGCTCCTAAGGCAGATCGGCTCCATGGTTTTACGCCCCTCCCCGATCTCTCGCCAAATGACGGTTGGCTTGTCATAGTCAATTCCCAAGTGATGTGTGGGGTTATGGACAAAGCAACTGTTGGAAGTGGGAAAAAGAAATCTATATTCGGAGTTCTTCTACGCGACTATGGTCCTGACGAAGCTGCAAACGCCATGAATCGCCTTGCCAAACTTTGTGCTCGATGGCTCAGTAAGTGAAAAGCCCAAACTCTGACCGACAGAAAGCGACTGATTCGTGTCCAATAGCTAATGTCGGAATGTCACTGGGTATCAATGATGTGATACCTGGCTCAGATCTTAGAACACAGAAAGAAGGGAAGGTCGAGGCTGCATATCAAGATTGCCAGGAGCTGATAGCGAAGGCAAAGCTAGGCAAGCTGGACAATAAGCCCGGGTAACATTAACCTCACGCCGTCACACAATGCTGAAGCATTATAAAAGATGTAATCAAGAGCAGACTTTGGAAGCGATGATCTCTGACGTTCTATCGAAAGTCAGAGGCGACGTTGGAAGCATTTGTATGCAAGAGCTGAGTCGACACAATGCCCCGCTTATCATGGCTACATGCGGGTCCAAAGGTTATTCTATTCCTTTGTTACTCATCAAGGCGCTCAGAATACTCTAGGCTCGACAGTCAATGTCTCCCAGATGGTTGCTTGCGTTGGCCAACAAATCATAGCGGGGCACCGTGTTCCTGATGGGTTTCAAGACAGATCACTCCCACATTTTCACAAAAGGTCAAAAGATCCCCCGTCGAAAGGCTTCGTGCGAAATAGCTTCTTCTCTGGCCTCAGCCCGACTGAGTTTGTCTTCCATGCGATCTCGGGCCGTGAGGGACTGGTGGACACTGCAGTCAAAACCGCAGAAACAGGCTATATGCAGCGTCGTCTTATGAAGGCAAGTTATGGGCAGTCGGTCTTTGACATACGATTAAAGATGGCTCTTATCTAGGCTTTAGAAGACCTCACGACCCATTATGATTTCTCTGTTCGCAACTCTCACGGTGGAATTGTGCAATTCATGTATGGCGACGACGGACTCGATCCCGCGTCATTGGAGGGCGAAGCGCAACCGCTTGATCTCAACCGAAGCTGGATGCATGCAGAAGCCGTTTCGGGTCGTCACGGACGCTCCCTCTCACCAGCGGAAATTATCAACCTCACTGACGAGTTCGTGAAAGGGGACGATTTTGCCAAGCAATGCTCAGTGGTGTACGCACGAGCGGTGACAAACTTTATTAGAGGCATCTGTTCTCGTATGGAGGCGATAGGAAGACGTCATAATTTGCCCAAAACTCCGCAGGATCATACCGTTCTCAGCGAGTCGGTTCTCGTGTATCATGGTGACTACATAGCCGCGGAGAACAAGTGCAAGGTTACCAAGCAGCACCTCGAGACATTCTTGCAGATCTGTAAGGACCGTTACTCTAGGGCGAAGGTGGAACCAGGTTGGTCTCCTTTTTCCACTTGTTTCAGATCTCTTAAGTTCATCTTGGATCAGGTTCTACCGTAGGGGCTGTCGGAGCGCAATCTATAGGCGAGCCAGGAACCCAGATGACTTTGAAAACTTTCCACTTTGCCGGTGTAGCATCTATGAATGTGACACTTGGTGTTCCACGAATCAAGGAAATCATCAATGCGTCCAAGACAATCAACACTCCGATCATTACCACCAAGCTCGTAGCCAGTGATAGTGAACGGGCAGCCCGCATAGTGAAAGGAAGACTAGAGAAGACGTACCTCGGTGATGTTCGTATACAATGTGAAGATCGCCCGGTGCTCACCAGGCACGTTTAGATTGCCGCTGTCATCGAAGAAGCTTGGTCCTCTGAGGGAGTTTACTTGGGGATACACCTTGACTATGAAGCTATTCAAAAACTTCAGGTACATGCAGCTAAATTGTCTTCCGCCATAAATCTTACGTTCCCTAGCTTGAGCTCACTCTCGATGATGTCAAATGGGCCATTATATCTGCCAGGAAGCTGAAACTCAAGGATTCAGCAAGTGGTTTCTCCATCTATTTTGCTCGTCTGATAGTGAAAGCAGGATATTATGATCCAGCGATCTAAACAGCGCCTCCGGATCGAGATAAGAGGGCCAGCAGAGGACAAATTTTACGTACTCAAGAACCTTAAGCGCGTTCTACCATCAGTTATTGTCAAGGTATCTCCGAATCCTGTCTTTGATTGATGACGCATCCATATACCAGGGTATTCCGAGCGTCCAACGCGCCATCATCAATATCAAAGAGAAGGACGATTCCAGAGGGAGAAAAGGAGAGAAAGAGCTCATAGTTGAAGGGAATGGGCTTCAGCAAGTTATGACTACTCCAGGGATAATTGGAGAACACACAATCTCCAACCATATCATCGAGGTCGAGAAGGTCTTGGGCATAGAAGCAGCGAGGCGCACAATCATCAACGAGATCGAGTATACCATGTCTCAGCATGGCATGTACATCGACCCTCGTCATATCATGCTTCTAGGGGATGTCATGACATACAAGGTATGGTTCACAGTTGACATGAAGAAAGCTCACGCTTGTAAAGGGTCAAGTTCTGGGAATTACCAGGTTTGGTGTATCCAAGATGAAGGACAGTGTGTTAATGCTCGCGTCTTTTGAAAAGACGACGGACCACCTATTCGATGCATCTGCCTTTGGCAAAAATGATTCGGTTTTGGGCGTTTCCGAAAGCATCATTCTTGGTAACCCCGCGGCTAGCTGTGGAACCTCGATGTAAGTACTCAACCCTTGCTATTCACGCCTCACAGTTGAGATAGGCCCGGGTTGGTCAACAATTCCAGAGCTACGCCTGTGAGGCGGAGACTCGTATTCGAGTCGTCACTCTAAAGACGTGTGAGAGCTGTAGAATCCTATTCGGAAAGTGATATAAATACAATACAAACTGCCTCCAATGGCCAAACTCAGTATTCCATGGAAATGAGTACAGAAAATGCAATATGATCGAGCACGGTAGGACCGTGTCTATGTGGCTGTCGGCTGTTCTTTTCGAACGACCTCCGCACCCAGAGTGCGCGAGATTCTAGCCAATGCATCTGTAGATATAACCGGTCTTGCATGTGGCTTTTTGGCCCCTGTGCCATATCTTGTAGATTTACGCTCGCCTTCGGAGGGGGTGGCAATGGTCTGAGTGAGGGATGCGGCTTGGGGTGGCGGCGTGTTGCGTGTCCGCGTAGCGTCACGAGAATCTCGAGAAGTATGCTGCCTTCCTCTTCCGCGGTGTGTACTACCTGGCGGTGGCAACTGTTGTTTGGGTGCCCAGATGGAGGCTGCACTCCCACCACCTGACCTCGATGGTCGATGCGGCGACATGCGTGGGTTATTTTCCACGTGTTCCGCGGACTTGTCCCCGCCGGGCAACGGTTCCTTGGTCAACGGCGTTGTGGCCAGATCGACGACAGGGTCTCGGAGAGTTGCGTCTACCTCTCTGGGATCCGATGGAGCGAACGAAGGCTCGGGATCAAAAGTATTCTGAGAGGCAACGGACACTTTGGGACCAATAGCCCAGTCATCCAGGTCAGGCAAACTGTCTGGATCATCCTCCTCGTCTGCCCAGTTGAGTGACATTGTGAAGCGAGATTCGATAGAGCCTGTATGGGCGTGACTGCTAATTGCCAAATCCCGTACCCGAGATGCGAGGGATTCACCATCCACTGCAGCTCCGGCGATGTGGGGAGGGAGTTCTCGTTTCGAGAGCTTGCTTGAGGGAGAATCTTCATTAGCGTTCATCGACGGGATACTGTCTGCGACTGTCTCCGGATTCCCTGCCATTTTCTCCGACTGCCTAGTCCTTGTATCGTCTCCACGGGGATTTGCGCGAGAACCCATGGTAGATATGTCTCCTGGTCCATGCTCTCGACTCGTAGCTGTGGTTTTACTCGCTGGAAACCGAAACGTGCCTCGTCCACGACCTTTGCCTCTGCTTGGGCGCCCGCGTCCAGCGTTCCTGCCGCGACTCGAGTCGTGGTTAGCAGTCGACATGCAGGAATTACGCTCTTGGGTGCAATGGTTTGGGCCCGGCCGCTTCGGGGTTAACGACCAAGGTGGTGGAAGACAGTCAAGACGCAACTCGCGGTTCTCACTGTCATATGATACGCCAATATTTTCTGAATAAATTCAAAGAGGAAACATTGAAAGTCAGGAAAAATACGCAATTTCGAGACCCAGAGCCCGAATGGGCCTCGCTCGATTGGCAAGGTCGGACACCACTCCTAATCCAACAAGCATTTGTCTAAGTCGACCCTGCCAGAACATGGATACATCCTGAATCAAATATCAGTTTAGGGGCCATAGATAAGTGTCTTCTTACATAGTTGGTGGATATTCGGGCCTTGAGCATCCCTTGGGGCTCACCTCCAGAAGTTTTGCTTCCACCGGCATCATAATCTACCATCGGCCTCTTTACAAGCCACTCTGCTCCCATTGTCCACTCGCTCTCGTAGCTATAGGCGTTAAAGTCAAATCGCGAGCAGACGGCTAGCTCGGGCGATACTCGAGTTGCGTAGGCTGCAGAGATGTGGCCTAGAATTGGATTAACCACTGCAGTAATGGTCGTGGGAGGTTGTGAGAAGTTTCCCGTCTCGTGGAGGCTCGTCGGATCCGGTATGGTCGTAAATCGTAACGCAGTAGACACTGGCCATAAATCAGAGAGTGCAAGGCATCATACGCCTCCTCACCTCCTCCACTCTTTTCCCTTGCACTGAAGTAGACCTCAGCGCCAGCCGATATCCGGCCCTTTAAGCCACCCTCCATAGCCTCGCCCTCATCTACTCGCCGCTGTCTACTAGCCTCTCGTCTAGCCGTATCGTTGCTCATCGTTTTGCCAAAGTTGTAAAGAATCCGGGCTCCCCACAAGCCGTCGATAGCACTCCATGTATACTCCGAGCACCATTTTCCACGGTCGTTTTGTAGATTGAATAAAATATTACTGTGGTCTATAGTCCGATTCCTGGTCTTCTGGATGCCTGTTTGTCGCTCAGAGATGGCAGCAGCAACAATTTGCCACGTTGAACCGAGGCGGGTGGTATAAAGCGCGTCGAGCCTGCCTGTGGGGACATACAACCTTCCATACATAAGATAGTCTAGAGCTTTGGTTGAGATATAATCTTTAAAAGGCAGAGCCGACTTGTCACCTCTAGTATCTGCCCGTTCGCCCGCCAACCAGATTTCTGGTTTTGACTCTGGCTTGCGTGGTTGGTCGTAGACCTTGAAGCGTTGTACGACCTCTTGGAGTGCAACCGTGGCCGATGGCTCGAGACGAAGTTCGCATGAGGTGAAGATGTAGCCTAGTGATCCGTTGAGGTTTGGGAGGGCGTTGAGGGAGTAGGTCGTGTTGAAAACGTCATTCGGTGCCTTGGAGATATGAAAGTGGAGACCACGAGGAACCTGAAAGTCGAGAATAGCTGCAAGTCGTAGTCGTGAGAAACAGGGCGCAGGCTGGAGCTGACCACTGACCGTTGGAGGAGCGTGTAAGATTCGAATAAAGATTGTCTTCGTTCCAGCCAGTGGCTTCGTAGTATTTACGCAAGACGTAGGACGCAAATGGCTGCATCAATGGCAGCGGTTTGAACAAGGCTGCTATTGGACAGGTCCAAGCTATGATCGGCCCATACACACTCCGAGGGGAAGAAACAAGAAACTAAATATACTCTCCACCTCGGAGTTTGTAATGTAAAACTGCTCGACGTAATTTAACACCAATTAAATTTCCTAGAACAAATGTATTTTATGGAGGTATAAAAAAGCTACCCATATCTTATCTCCATCCTTGTCCTCTACCTCTTCCAACTCCCCGGGGTGGAAGCCCTCTATATCCATTCGGGGTCCCAGCTCCGTAAGAGTAGTCTGGCTCTCCTCTCGCGTTCCTAGCTCGCCAGTCATTATTCCCATTTTGGCCAAATCCTCGGCCCCTGCTTGAATTGCTGTAATTATGCACATAACCACGGGGTTCCTGGCCAGGGTACGGACTGTGGCGTTGGCTGTCGGTTCCACGGAACCCGTCGTTCTTTCCTCTGCCACTCCTTTGAACAAATTCATAATCGGCAGAGGAGAGTACCCGCCGCGGAATGCTCACCCGCGCGAGAAGACGAGAACGGTGTGGAATGGTCTGTGGTGGATACAGATAGAGTGCCGTAATCGACGAGTTTCCCTGGATGTCATCTAGACCTACATGCGTGAGAGGGCTTGAGTATGTTGCACCAGGGATGTAATGCGGATCAGGTCTGATGGATCCACTAAGTCCGTAGCTGAGAGAAGGATCTAGCATCTTCCCCTGGAAGATACGTTGGGCTTCGGCATCAAACAAAGAAAAAGGGCTTACCTCACTGTTTCTTTGCCGGCCATAGAGGAATGCGATCGAGTCAAACAACCGATGTTTATCTCCAACAAAAAGATTATTATTCCCCCAAGAGTTCCGCCTTTGTTCGTCGGCAGTAAGGAGAGGATAGAGCGGTCGTATAGCATCCAACAAGCGGGCTTCATCGATGAAGGGGAGTAGAGCGACTCCTTGCCATGCCATGCGTTTACCATTCATGTCAATATCGAATGTTGTTGGGTAGAAGTCGATAATCGGAGAATCGGGATTGGTCATCAAATCTTGCAAGGGCAAGGGTAAATGGTGTCGACTAATAATATGCATCAATGCACTGTAACTCTCATTGACGATAAGTACCTTGCGGGTGGGAAGACGCCCATCAATTGCTCGAATGGTTGGAACGGCACTCCTTTGTCAAATTTGATATCCAAATCCTCGATGCCCTCGAAGTCGGCAGCGAATGGCGCAAAGTGATAAGGATAATACCAGGTCCATGATGGCGTCTATATTCGTCAGTGAACGAGCTGATAAATACACTCGATTTACATACCCCTTGATAATAGTATTGCAAAACCCACGCAAGACCTTCGACGTAGTGCTTGACTATTCTGTATCCCACATTCAAAAAGTGTTTCTTATATGTCCGTAGGAGACGTACCGTCTCCTAAACTCGGCGTCGTTAATGTCCGCATTAAATTTCTGGCGGTAGTAACGCTCTCGATAACCTGGTTCCCATAAACTAAAACAATATGGTCACACATTCTGCTGAATGTGACAATAGACGCACCGAACCGTATCCACTTGCTCAACTGAGCCATCCGCATTGACTTTGAGCGCGAGCTTGGATGTTGACGCTTCTTCTTCCGAAGCGGTTTCAATCGCATCGTCCTCTTCCATCGCTTCTAGTTTCCGCTTTATGCCCCTGGTGGCTTCGACAAGTTCTTCCCTGGGCTCCGCTTTCATATCAACTTTATCGAGTGGTTGCTGTACTTCAAGAATTGGCAGTTCGCCCACAGAGGTATGGTCTTGCTTTGAAGTTGGTGACACTTCTGTTAGACGATCCATCTCGTCGGTACTGGGGTCTCTCGGCCCCGAGTCCATGTCAACAAATTTCGATACTTCTGGGCCATTTGAGGAATCCTTTTCGAGCACGACCTCCATGTCTACCACAGAAGGTGAAAATATACCCTTAAGTGCTTTTAAGGCGCTCAAATTGGCCCTTCGTATCTCATCGGGTTCCATATGACGAGCGGGCTCTGTAGATTCTGGTGTTGGCGTGAGACCCGCTGAAGATACAGTCTGAGGTTCCGCGCCACTGGGTATAGGCATTTCTGGTTCCCGTATCCCAATTGAGATGTTGGACGCCTGCTCGATTTTGCGCCTTTTGGCAGCTTGATCTTGACGTTCTTCAACTAGCCGCAAGTCAATAATATCAGGAAAGAGCGAGAAATTGGTCATTACCTTCGCGTCTACGTCTGAAGATCTCATCCTCTCGCCGTGCCAGTGCATTCAGGATGATCTGTGCACGTCGTAGCTCGATAGTACCGTGGTTGGTGAGGTATCCACGCATGGTATGAAGCTCGCGTTTCCAGATTCCAACAAGCATGTCGATGGCTCCTTCTCGAATCTCCAGGGATGGAAGGTGTGGTAAGAAGTCGTTTCCCACGAAGAATATCAGAAGGACCCAGTCGTCTATGGCCCGCTCAAAATCGAACTGAAATGGAGCCGATACATCGAGTTCGATTTCGAGGTACTCTCGAAGGATGGAGACATCCAGGAAAATGAATGGCTTGGAATCAGCAAGTGGTTTTTCAATTTTGTCCACCGGCTCCTTGAGGGCTGTTTTGTCGACGGTACATTGAGCTGCGAAATGACCTTCCTGGCCGCAGTTACGACATGCGGTGCTTTTGTCTTGAGCAAATACGTCTTCTCTCAGCACTCTGAAGTGGGGCTCATGCGTCGCAAGCGCCAGCATGATTAGATCAGCGTCCTAACATTTGTCAGGCACGGGGGATTGGGATGAGTGAGACATTACAAGTCCGTATATAACATGTTTTGTGTTTGGGTCGTGCGTGGGCGATATACGTTGTCGACGGATAAAATCCATGATCTTATGTTCCCCTTCTCCAGGAACACTCGCATCGGAGATAATGACTTCTAGCTAACAAGGTATCAGTCTAGGGAATTTTTAGGGCCCAAACATACATTACTCCAACCGGGATCAGTGTTCAGTTTCTTGATCACCCAATAACGCAGTGACTCCGCGAGCAGGTCCATGAAGGGCGTGCCAGGTGTAATTGCATTCGAGTCCCATGTCTTTGCATTCTTCGTTTCGTCACTGACGACCTTTCCCATCGCTACAACGAGTGAGAACATCGACCGAGATCTTAGGTTACCAACCTTCGAACAATGCAATTTGTTCAAGACGTTGCTCTTCCTTCTCTTTGGCTTCTTGTGCCGCCCTGAATCTTCTTGAGCGCTGTTGGTTCATTTTGGCACGGGGGGCCACGCCATCTTGTGGATTCAGTTACGGGCAGACCAAAGTATGAACCCTTACCAATAGCCATAAAAAGCAGCTTGCGGGGCCTTATCATGTTAACAATGCGTTCCGTGTACGTGAAAATCTCTAGCATCATGTCCTGCTCTGTTGCCGGCGCTGGTTTCCCTTCTGGGTGCGTGCATGGATGCACCTAATGTCCAAGGTTTAGCGAAAGAAACATTAGTAGCCATACGACATTACAATACCGTTCATATCAAGATATAGATTATCCATTTCGAACCCATTAGGATTCGGTGTTGTGATGTCGACCGGGACGATAATTTCAGTCCCATCTCCGTCCACCATACGTGAAGGTTTGTCTTCTGCTACGTGAGTAACTTTAGGACGTTAGCTTAGCTGTGCAGCGTAGCCATTGACAGTACTATATACCAATTTTGGGATACTTTCGGCTGAGCCATCGAAACAGTGCTGGTACTCCCTGGGCTCAGATTAAAGTCTCTCCTTTCTGCATTTGTAAACTGTACCGACCATGAGCGGGAACTGGCGACGGTGGTAGGCTCCAAACTAGCTCAGACTCAGCTTCCACCAGTGTTTTGCATACCGCCCCGGTACATATACCAACCAGCGTTCTGACGACTCACAACTGGGACTCTATCAGTTTTAAATAGCGAAGGAGACACGCTTGGAGACCTAGGCCGGCGTGCCACTATAACCCTTCTCATGAACGACTTAGCGGACAACGAACCTACGATTCTGGAAGAGTCCTCGGATTATCCACCGACTCAACATGTCCCAAGGTTCTCGCGCTCTTTCTCCTCGCCCTTACCCGCAACCCTTGGCCATCTCCAACGTCCGCAAAGCACAGATGGTCAACGTCTAGCAGAAGTCATCGAATTTAACCCGGCCATCATTGCGTCTGAGATCGCTGATTCAGCGCAGACGGTCATCCAAACCCTTCTTCAAGTCTCCCCACCTCACCTACTCGATCCGACAAAGGAGCAGCTTTCTGGTTGCTCTCTACAAGTGCCGACAACCTCAATGTCTGCAGTGCTCACCAGTATGAAGATGTTGAATTATCTCTCAAAAAACCTGACGATGCTTGCATCTGCAAGCCCCATACCTTCTTTAGAGCGCCCCAGCAACGAGTTCGATGTTGGAGAACTCCTTCAAAACGTCGGGGATGCTCTGAGCGGAGTCGCTGCGGAAGCGGGAGTCAATTTGGTTGTATTTCAGCATGAGCCCAAGCTCGACAGCTCAACCATCATCTCTGATGAGTGCGGCTTGATCTACGCTGTAACGACGGTACGATTATTGGAGTCTACCGCGGTCAACTAATATCCGCGTAGATTGGGCGTCAGATCATTGGATCATCTATCCCCGGGGATGTGCTGGAGATTGGTTTACGACTCGAACAGTCCAATGCGTCGTTAGTCGACTCACTTGCCACATGCAAGTTCGACTTCAAACATCGTACGGTTGCGAGTTCGGCCCAGCCAATCAAGCACGAGTCGTTCGTTATTGGCAGATTGCTCGAGATGCTCCAAGCCACCATAACCACAGTCCCCAATGAGAGTGTCGACGGGATGACAATTGTGAGACACGAACTCTCTTTTCAAGCAAGCCACGGGGATGCCGAGCCACTTAAGTCCACTCCAGCTCCTATGGACATTCCAATGCGGCAGCCATTTCACGGCGTCAAACTGGCATCCGAGCCTACTTATTCGGAATTGGCCAACTTCGCAGTCTTTCTTCGACATTCAAAGGTATCGCTATATGCCAGCCCGGACAGTACTTTCGCCCACAAATTAACTCTCTATCTGGCTGGTTGGGGAGTGGACGTACTCGTCGCAGCGTCTACAATCGATGGAACTACGACACCTCCTGAAGGAGATCCGTCGGTAACCTCGAATACTACGACTGGCCCAGATAGCGCCGCTTCGAAAGCTGAAGGAAATGATACTGCACCCCAGCAGCCGCGAGATGCAGAGAAGCATACAAAAGGACGCCCGTTGATCATTATCGACGACGATCTCTCCGTCCTGAGATTAAAACTCATGGAACTCCAACTACATATCCCACCTACCAAACCCACGCGACCAAGCTTGGCCTCCAACCACAGGCCTAAGTCTGCAATCCTAAAGCGTGTCATGGGGACCTTCAACGAGTCCATGCGGGAGCCTCAGCCCGCCATAGTGTACTTCACCAGTCTCTCCAAATATAGGGATGTCAAAGATGCCATTCAAGCATCGGTGTCTCGAGAACCTGGGAGGTGTCCTGACATCGTTGTTGTCCCCAAACCGGCTGGTGTTCGTCGTTTCCTGACCGCACTCTATGTAGCATCAACCAAACCCTGGGTTGACCCTCTGTTCTTTAGCCCAATCGCCACGTCCCCAATGACCCCTCATACTCTCACACCATCACCTTTTATTCCGACATCGGTCAAACCATTGGCTCCAGGGACACCTCCGGCAGTAATAGAGGTACCAACTCAAGATGTCGCCCAAAACGCACTGTCGAGCGGCACTCCCACCCCTATACAAACTCTTTCGTCGCCCATAGGAGCTACTGGAGGATATTTTGACCGAGGAGGTAGCAAAATTGCTGGTTCTGTGACATCTGGACTCTTCGTCAAAAGCGCAGATGGGAAGACGGGGATATGGTTCCAACCTCCTGAACAAGCAGATCGCGCTCTCGACCACCCTGTATCGGGCAGCTCAAACTCTGCACACGACGTGGCTATTCAGCGGGCATCTTCATCACAGACAACTGAAATACCTAGCACATCCATACCAGCAACATCAAAAGTTCCAATCCCTGACGGTGACACCGACCAAGGTCCAAACTTGGTATTTGAACAGGGACCACCCTCCGCTGCCCCAAAGGCACCGAGAGCATCGATCGTTGGTGCAAAGGCCAAGGAACTAAAGGATGCAGTTGTCCCACCAATCAATGTACTAATTGTAGAAGGTGAGTATATATCCTATAAGACATGTCCAGATATTGATGCTGCAACAGACAATCCCATACAGCGAACTTTTTATCGGGATTTATGCAGAAAAACAAAATATCATATGGGATGGCGTGCAATGGACAAGAGGCCGTTGACATGTGGAAGCAAGGCAGCTATCACTTGGTTCTGGTAGGTGTGGTCTTATTTGGCAGTATTTGGAGCGTAATTTCTTCAGATGGACATACAAATGCCAGTTATGGACGGCATTGAGGCAACTAAAAAGATACGGGAACTAGAAGCAGCTCGATATCGAGGACTTTCTTCTTTTGGCACGGTACCAGAGGGCATACAGACACCGACCTCATCCGTATCAAGTGACTCACTACATCCATCCACACCATTTCACTCATCGGTCATTATTGTGGCGCTAACTGCGCAAGCCTCGACACAAGATCGTGTCACAGCCCTCGCGGCTGGATGCAATGACTTCCTTAGTAAGCCCGTGAGGAATGTTTGGCTCGAAAAAAAGATTATTGAATGGGGTAGGGCCATTGTTTCGATGACCTGGGGGCACGTTTTAATTTGTCATCAGGTTCCATCAAGGCCCTCCAAATGTGGGCAGATCCAGAAATAGAGCCAGCACTACAAAGAAAGCAACAAACAGCAGCACAAGTCGTCGCTGATAACCTGAAAATTGTTCGGCCAGGACGGAGCACTGCGGCGACGTGACAAGAAGTTCCTAACACACCTGCTATCATTGATTGCAAAAGTGGGCAGTCATACTATTAAAGGATTCGACTTGTATATGCTCTGTATGCAGTGATAAGCTGAGGCTTTGTGTTGCTAGCTCGAGGCTATTATTCTTCTAGAACAACAAATATTATTCCAAAGATATTTCACCTGAGTCGTCTAAATCCAGTACATTGGTTATGTCCGTTGGAACAGCAAAAGGGGCCGCAAGCGTCGACAATTTATTGTTTGTCTATTCGCTATTACTGTTGGAATTGTTGCTTCAGTGCTCTAGATAGGTCGATATATTTGTACATATTTGTTTCTTTGAGTCATGATCTCCCCCACTACTTCAAGCCTTTGTCAGCATCACTGCAACAATTATACTACCCAAATCTCATACAGCATAATACAAGTGAATATCCTAGAACATAGCGCGTTACAGGAAAATACCAACAATTGTGTACCACGGAGTCAACTCTTCCCTAGGTCTCAATCAATACAATACAATGCGATTCACAGTACGAGTAGAGAGAGTGTGTACGGAAATTAGACAGCTCAGATGCGGATTCACATTTTACTTTCGGTAATGTTTTCTTTACTCGTCCTTGGGCTTTAGTAAACTGTATCGCGTCTCTCGAGATTGTATTGTTTATTGTGCAAATATCATCATCTTGGTTGGCACGCGGGTTGTCCTTCAAGTAGCTCATGATTTAGCGATCACGGCAAGCTGTCACCAATTCTATTGCGCACCAATACGAGGTATTCGACAGAACTCTCCTACTACAGTGACAAACAGAAGCGTCGATACTGACGTTCAGTGTCCGTCGTACATTTAGGATGCTTGCTTAATACCGTAGCAACGTCACCTCTATTGGCAGTCGAATGTCAGTGTAGTTCGCAATCTCTCAGCATTCATCCCACCATATGGTTATTTCATAGTTCGAGAATCATTATGAAGCCATGAGATACGGAAGAGTTACGGGGTGCATCTTCATCTCCATCGCTTGACCAGATACAACAGACCAAGAACAAGTTCGTGAATCCGCACCTCTCCCGTCCAAGTCCCAAGGTGCAGAACGCACTTATGTTTGCACACACAATAACCCAAAAGAATTCACTGTTGTAGAATGAGCAATACATGGTAAATATGTGCCAGATGCGGTGAACAGCAATGGGGGTCGCCATACTCCCGGAAATATAGACGGTATTTTAATACTGTATTACTTACTATACAAACGGCATCCTTTTGGATACTGACAGTTGCGATCTCTTGTCAGTATCAACGTCTTAGTATCACTAGTATAGCCCCTGAAGCCATTCATTAGTCTTGTAGCCTTACCAACTAATCTACTACGTATCAGTGAGCTAACTCTTTCCTAGCTTCCACACAGTATATTACAGTATAAAGGTCTCGATACTAACAAAAGACTGAAGTTACCAGTCACTAAAAAATGATATTTGTACAATAAACAATACAGTATTGAGATATTCATTACAGTGGAGCCAGAGGACGAGTAAAGGAAAGCAAAATGTTGGAATTGTTGCTTCAGTGCTCTAGCACAAAAATAGAAGACATGAGGCCGTCTAATGAACAGCTAAAGGTGGCTGCAAGCGTCGAACTCGAGGCTGATGAGGGATTCAATGGAATACTATAGCCATGAGTGAGTGGGCAATTTCTCTGGCTACCAATTGAGATGCTGATCAAATTATGGTGCCAGGCGAGTATCCTAGGGTGCATGGCTGACTACGAAGGCAGATAGTCTTTCAGCAGCTCGTGACTTACCGATCACTCCTCACGCGCAGTAAAGTATCACCGATTCAATTGCGTACCACGTTGAACTATTCTCCCCACATTCTCACTTAATACTATAAGATTTAAAGACGTCGACACTGACACAGACTTGTAGATGCCAGTCGTCAAGATAGATAGATTGTATTTGTACAATAAACAATACAATACAGAGAGACTTTGTACAGTAAAGCCAGAGGACGAGTAAAAAAAAGCATTACCGAAAGTAGACAGCTTGAATTCGCGCCTGAGCCGCTTAATTTTCATACACTAAATTCTGTCCACTGCTTTACATGTTAGACATCTGTTGCTACAAGACTGGAAGTTAGACTCGTAGATACTGTATCTGCCATTTATTTCTTTTCTTACTACCTTTTCAATGTGTGTGATGAGGATTGAGTAGGATAATGCATATTAAACAATCTGCAACTTCATAGTCAGTTCTAGGATGCAAAGCTGCCACTAATGCTAGCAGCTAATTCTCACAAATTTAATGCAATACCAAGTTCCCTTGTGGCTACTGAGTGTCTTCGTAGCCATCGTACTCCCAAACATTTACTCGGCACTATAATTTGATCAAGCTCTCCATTGGTAGCCAGCTCATCGGTATGCCCACCCGTCGTTAGAGTTATTGCAGTGGTGTATCGAGCTAGAGCACTGAATCAACATTTTCAACAGGAGTATATCATCAAATTCTTCATCAGCCTCGAGTGTAATGTTGCGACCTTATGCTGTTCACCAAATGTAGATAACATGAATCCGCACCTGAGTCATCTAAATCCCGTACACTGTCAACAGTGCAAAGCTGCAAAGATGCATCACGGTTCATTACAATACTACGCTTCTTTTTGAGATATTAAGCCGGAAGTGAAGCTTTTCGTTACTGGAGGCAGGTAGTGTTGTCACCACCTGCCACCTTATTCATAGCCAAGGCAGAGACATCAAGAAATGGTCTCAGAGCATCATGGAGTATTCTGGAGGATTTTATGGGAATAAATGGACGAGAAACGACTATTGAAAAGGTCAGAAAATTACTTTGACAATTAACAACTAGAGCTAGTTGCAAGTGCCACAGCTCTCTGAGGTAACGAGAGGTGTGCCAGGATTGTGAAAGGCATCAGTGTCTTTAGGAGTGAGATTGGCACACTCTTGAGATAAATTTTCCTGCATTTGATCGGACTGTTTATGCAATTTGGACGCATATCTGTACCTCGTTACAAGACCAGATGTGATGAAAGTCTTAGGTCTGGCCTGTGGGCAGGCTCGTCCATGAAAAGATGAAATTCTATCCTCTTGGGAGTTTACACAATCGAATGAAGACAAGAAGACATTGAGTAACGAGTGACTGGGATCGCATGGCGGTCGTGAGTGATGGAGAAGGATGACAATCTTGGATCGTCTTTGTGAGAGTTCATGATGGAGACATGGGGAAGTGGTCGAGTGTGTAAAAAGCGGTGGATGCGAGTAAAAAACGGCAACAACGTAGGAACCAATGTTACAAGTGGTGAAAACGAAGAGGCTTCAAGCCAGAGCGTCGCAAGGCGTGAATGTTCGGGTATCGTTAGAGTTCATAAAAGGAGCGTGGTGGGAAGAGACGATTTTTAGTCGCCTGCTACTCCCTGGGTGTGCGTCGGACACGACGAGCCAATGCAGTAGGCCAGATACGACCTCCAAACATGCGGCACGGACCAAGCGATTTGAATTCCATGGCGGGGGCAAAGTCAACGCCAGGTAGCTGTGAATTCCTCAAGGCCTGCGCAGAACGGATGTCGAGGTAGCGATCCAGTTGATCCTCAAGCTTAGCCAAGCGACTTTCAATGGCTGGCATCTACACAGGGAACACGTTAGCGACAGAGGAATAACAGCCTAATTGACAAACCTGTTCGAGACGACTTCCGTAGATCTTGCCGACAGGCTTGACATAGGTCCATGGAGACTTGGCTTCTGCACCTCCTGGATATGGCCGAGGAGGAAACTCAGTGGGACCATGTTCGACTGGGACAGCAGGAGAGTCTTCCTCGAGCCTAGGCGACTCGCGCTCAAATTTGCGGACGAGTCCGTGTGTAGTCGAGATGGCCGTGGTGGGGGTCTCGAGTTCTGGCGAGCGTTGGGGCACAAAGAATTCCGAGGCAGTCGCAGATGTCGGACTGGCATACGCCATCATGGCCGTCGGGGGAGCGCTGCTCTGCCCCATAGAGTGGTGATGCTCTACAAGCCGCTGGTCGCTGGCGTCTGTGTGATAATAGGCCATTTGGACGACGGGCCATTGAGCAAACGCATGCTGGTCGTGTCCGACACTGTGGGAAATGTGGTCCGCGTTTGAAGGGCCGGCCCAAGTTGGTGCGGGCGAGAAGCTATGTGCCTGGAGTTGCGCCAGGTGCGGCGGTTGGACTTGAGTCAGAAGCAGTGGCGGTTCTGGGACGACAGTAAACGTCTGCAGGTGAGATGAGTCGTGGTCGTTGGTGCGTCGACGCTTGGTGGCACGCGTTTCGTGGCCGTCCTCGGGCGACTCCACGGTAGGTGACGGTGCGTATGGTGGCGGGGGAGCCAGTGCGGACGGCGACTGAAGATGGGCCGCAGACGGCGAGGAGGATACAGTAGACCGTCTTGCAATACGTTGATGGTGATGATTGGTCATTGTCGGGCCTGCGCGAGTGGCGGGCGTGATGGTTTGTCGTTGGAGTCTCGTAGCCGGATTGAAGGAGCGTGGGCGGTTGGACATGGACCGAGAACGGTTGCGTGAGCCAGAAAGAGGAATGGGAGCGATCGTAGAGGACGGGCTCAGAGCGAGCACGTCAGTTTGGGAGTGCGGGGGGCTGATATCCGAAAGCGACAGGGAGGAGAGTTGAAGCGGTGCTCCGCTTGCGTGGCCAGAGAGTGATGGTCCAAACCACCTTGGGTCCACGGGGAATTGGTGCGTCGTCGCATAGCCAGTGGGAGAGTAGGCAGCATGCGGGAAATAGTGCTCTTGCGCGTCGAACAGTGTGGTAGGATAGGCTTGCGCATTGAACGGATCAAATTGGGACATAGAATGCATGGTGGGCATTAAGATGGACATTGTCGCTGTAGACACCAAAAGAAAAAAAATAACTGTCAGTCTTGTGAAAGGTATTGTTGGTGAGCGGCGGACGAAAGCGTACGCACTGATCTCGTGAGGACTGTTCGAAGAGACTAGATCTCTAGTGTGAGTGGACAGCGGATGCTGCTGCTGGTACTGCGCCAGCTGTAGACGTGCAGGCGTCGCCGACCTAGGTGGCGAAGACGGTTGATGCGTCGTCTGGAGACAAAAGACGACAGTGATGCCGCGTCAGACAGCAGTCCAAGGATAAAAGCAAAGGGAGTGGAAGGGAGAGAGAATGGGACTACTGGACGGCACAACAAAGCAAAAAGGCGCGACTGGCCGGAGCCACCCGGCGATTGCAGAGGGGCGGGGGAGAATAAATGGAATAAAATTTGAATACAACTTACGAGATGTACCAAGTGAAATGCAGATAAACTTGACGCGTGACAGCGCGTCGTTGTGTCGCGGCGAAGCAGAGGAGGGAGCGCAGTGGTCACTTGAGATTATGGGGGCGCCCGAAGAGGAAGTCTATGTGGACAGTCAGTCGCATGGTCGATTTGAAAGTGCCAGGGAGGGAGAGGAGTGCACGAGCACGTGAGTGGCAGACGCGCACGCTCCAAGGGAAGAGCGACGGACAGTGTAGGGCAAACTAGAGGCAAACGCGCTGCTCGGCGGGTAGTATAAAGTGTACAACTCTTGTCCTGTGGGGCAAAGAAGGGGCGAGGGGGTGGCTAGGAGGTACTAACTTATTATATATACCCGCTGGTCGTGGCGTGACTCACGCGTCGTAAGATGTCGTAGATCCGGAAAGGAGCAAAGAGCGAGAAACGGGCTATAGCCACGCCCACTATCAGACTCTGGTCTTTGGGTGGTGGTGGCGGAAAGAAAGATGGATTTGTGAGCACTGGACGCCGCCACTCGGTATTTACAGGGCGGCTTACCCATTAGACTTTGAACCTGGCTTAGCAGCTGATCGTCGCAATCGCCGGGATGCGGTGTCTGGCCCGCAGCTGGCCTCTTCGGATTATTTTCTTTTCATCCAAATTTTCTTTACCCTGCAAAGCTTCGATTTGAATCCGTCTCGCGTGCCGTGTCGTTGGGGCTTTGAGTCCATGTCCGGAGCTGTGGCCACGGCTGACCTCCGAGTTTCCGTACAGGTCCCGGCTCAACGCTGGCGGGATGTGCAAGAGCGACAGAGTTCTTCAGAGTTTGAACTAGCTGTATTTCCTGGTTTTTGCTCTTTCGTACGTCGTCTACAGTCGTGGGCAGCTCCAAAGCGTCAGTGACGCTCATCCAGCGTGTGGTCTACACGAGGCCCGTGGCGACTCACTGAAGAGGCTTGCTGAGCTCTATTGAGCGTCTTTTTCCATGCACTTTAATGCACTTTTCTTGGCTGCTCAGTAGGCTGTACCGCTCACAAGCCCTACGTTTTCCTTGCCGACCGGGCTTTGCCATTTGTCGATTTTGCTGCAAATCGCCCGATACTGTGGTTTATCATGTTGAATACGATTTTTACAGCAATTCTTCCCCGTCTCTCGCGTGGCCTCGTCGTTTATGGATACTCGGAGTAAGCGGCCAACCGGTGAAGTCGCTAGCCAGCCCCTTTGGCGTGCTCGCCGTCTGTTTGAAATCTGAAAAAAAAATATCGACAAAAATCATGTAATATTCGTCGTCGTTGACAGCAGCAGTAGTGGCGAATGAGCCCCCGTCCATGCCTTGTCCCCTGCCACGACGACCCCGTCCATGGTCTCGAGCGAGCAAGCGTCGTACACGTCCATTGGGATTGTGATAGCTATCAGTGGCAATATCTTGATTTCTCTGGCGCTCAATATCCAAAAAGTCGCTCACAAGCACTTGCACCGAGCAAGCTCCAGTCCTCGCTCAACGCCTGCGCTCAGCAGACACGCCTCGGCACCAGATAATCGCGACGATTTTATCGAATCGAGACCTCTTCTTCCCCGCACTGCGTCCTCCCCCGGTCCCGAGCAAGGTTATGGAGCGACAAAGTCGAAACGCGTCTTCAATTTCCCTCGGATACGCTTCATCCAGAAGCAGCCTACTCCAGCGCTCGAAAGTCCCCCAATATCACCCAATGGAGACATCGAACACGACCGGGATGACGATGAGCTCGACGAGACGGCAAAAATGGCAGAGTCTGACTATCTTCGCTCCAAACTTTGGTGGTTTGGATTCCTTCTCATGAATATTGGCGAGATTGGCAACTTCCTCAGGTCAGCGTTTCCCCCCATGCGTCTGTCCACCGTTGCCGCCCATAGCTGCTGACCTGCAGCTCTTATACAGCTATGCATATGCGCCAGCAAGTCTCGTCGCTCCTTTGGGCACTGTAGCTCTCGTCGCCAACTGCTTCTTTGCGCCGCTTCTGCTGCACGAGCAATTCCGCAAGGCACGTTGGTACCAGGCCTACATGGACCACCCCGCTCATTCATTCTACTTAGCGAGACTTCCTTGGAATCATTCTCGCCGTAGTGGGCTCAATCACCGTCGTTTTGAGCTCCAAGCCTACAGACGTCCGGCTAGATAAGGACGGCCTCATCCACGCCCTCTTACAGCCCTTGTTCATCGGCTATACCATCTTTAATTTCCTTGCAATCCTGTTCCTAATGGTTCTCTCGCAAGGCAACGCGGGTAGAGAATGGATATTTGTCGACGTTGGTATCGTAAGTGATTCATATGGCTCGTTCATCGCCTGGGTTGATGCTTCTTCAGTGTGCCTTATTCGGAGGCTATACAGTACTTGCTACCAAGGGTTTAAGTACTTTGCTCAGCCTCAAACTCATTCAAGTCTTCAAACTCTGGATCACCTATCCCCTGATATTCGTAAGTGTGCTATAGGTCCAATTAGATACCTACTGAGTGGCTCTAGGTCCTTGTAGGGACTGGCGTCGGTCAAATTCGCTACCTCAATAGAGCCCTAATGAAGTTTGACAGCAAGCACGTTATACCCACTCAATTCGTAATGTAAGACGATCCCATCTCTGTGATGTACAGGGTACTGAAAATATTCCAGGTTCAACCTCACTGCAATCATCGGTTCGGCAATTTTATATCGAGACTTCGAGAACATCACCCTTCATAAAATGATCAGCTTTATCTATGGCATCCTGACCGTGTTTGCTGCCATCTTTATTCTTACCTATGCACCTCCTGTCGATTCCACGGGTACACCACTAGTGTCCCTCGACGATCCTATTGCCGTTATCACCAGCCCCGTCACGCCCACCGCCCACGATAGTATCCCAGAACCTGGTGCCGCCGTCAATATTGGAGGCGGGAACAAGTTTGTGGTCCGGACAAAAGCTAGCATGTCCAACCTGGGCATCTCGCCCGGCCAATATCTGCTCTTGGCCGCCTCACCGCCAGGAGAGGGAGTTTCGAGGCCACGCGATCCAGAACGCAACAATTATGGCTCTATGCGTGCTCGTCGCGGCCGCTCCTATGCAGGGGATATTGGCGAGCGTTCGGGGTCAGCGGATGGGGGTAGAAGGCGAACAATACATTTCGAAGGAGATACAGGGAGATAACCTGCGGTCTGCAGTCTTCATGCACTAATTTTTTTTTCTTATTTTGGACACGGATACTTCGTTCGACCTATTATATGGCATAAGCTGGATCATCATTCCATCTCTGGCGACATCAGAGAAAGGGAGTTAGCGTCGTATAATGCTGGGATTGCAAGCGTAGATGACATGGGAGGACTACGAGGGATGCCATTTTGCACACTGCATTGGCAGACTGTCCCACAACGAACCGAGTTTATGCAGCAGCACGGAGAGCTGCTAGTGCTTTTTGCTATTGTACGGATGAGATGCAGAATACAAACAGGCAAAAGGGATTACTGACCGTGCCAGCGACCGCGAAGCGATGGTTTCGTCGGAACTAGTAAAATGTGTGATTAATAGCCGTCGCATGGACATGTAAAACTGTAAAGTACCTTGGGATCGACCTGTCGGATTGGAGATGTATGTGAGCAAACTTCGACGCGGACAGTAATGCATTATTAGACGTACACCCTTGAGGGAGAGATGTCTTCCATGAGACTTTGGCTTCTTGATCCCATTACGGTGGGCTTTCTTGTTCTGTCGAGGTACGTTCAGGCAACAAGCACGACAGATTGGCCGATCCATATTACCTGGTTGTGATTTGTATGACTAATAAGTAACTGTAAGTATCATTCCATGGAGTCTAGACAATTTCCTGACTTTTTGGATTTGGCCATTTGTATCAGTCCAAGGTTGGGTCGGTGCCAAACACGGGACAAACTCATCCGCCACTTTGACAATTCCAAGACGCGTCTTGACGTGGAGGATGCAAGTAATGGATAACTTGGGTTATACTCATTCTATACAAAACACAGATATTGTGCTAGCTGAACAATTGCTCCCCTGTGCGTTGTGCCCACGCCTTTGAGACAGGGTTTGAAGCGTATTCGGAGTGTTTACGATCATCGAGACTTGTCCGAGGATTCATACCACGCTTTGACTTGGCGTGCGCTCTCCTGTGCCATGACAAACACTGAGCAGCGAAGATGGCAACCGTCAGTTCCCTCAAGATGACCATATGGATCGACATTCTCACGTTCTCGTTCCGTCGCATCTAGTCCCGATCGAAACTCTGCCCCTGCATCGTCACCGCTCGTCCGTGCGGCCGCAGACGCCGTGCCTGTGAAATGTTGGGCTTGGTCCATGAGGTCCGGGAGACGGCCTTTGAACGTCTATGAAGCAATTTGGGGTTAGTCTCGTCAGAAATTGTGGCGGACGGACCTGTCTTAAGATGTCTGCCAGTTCCTTTGCCTGTGGGTCACTCAACCTGTCAAGCGATATCGTCAGATTAACAGTCTGCCTGGCAGAGAAGATCTCACAGATCTACAACCATCTTCCCAAACGCGTACCACCGCCCGTTTTCCCCAACCAGCGCTCCTATCTTTACGCTTCGCGGCTCCGCCACAACCGCGTTTTGCACCAGTCCATTGTAAGGACGCGGCATATTGAAACCAGCCCAACCTCTGTATTACACCTGAGGTGTGTACTCCTTGACAAAGGGATCACTCACGTGTAGAGCATCGTTGGGGCCAGCCAATAGGGTAACTGAAGCCTCGTCAATGGTTTGAGCTAGATATTAGTCAGTTTTGGAACCTGGTCGTCTCGGTGAAGTGCTTTGACATGCTCATCTGCTGCATTATCTAGATAGCCCAAGCCTGGAACTTCAATATTGAACGTGCATTCGATTTTCTCAATGAAATTCAGTTCATCTGAATTATAATAGTACGAAAAGCATGCCTGATTCTCAGCCAAGATTGCGTCTAAGGAATAATACTCGTTGTCCATGACAAGGAAGATTCCAAGTGCGGTTAGCCACCTGGTATCGATGCTACACCAGGATAGCTACTCCTGTTTGAGCCCTTTGGATTTCGATGATTCTGGCACACGTCTGGTCCCGTCAGCCGTGTACAATAGTGTGCCAATAAAGACCAGTGAGGATCCCATCCATAGCCAGCCATCCCCTCGTCCGCCTCCAAAGACCACGACCGAGAGAACAAGTGAAACAGCCTTTCTGACTGCTGTCACAAGTGTCACGGTAAGAGAAGAAACTTTCGCAGTCAAGCGATGGACCCCAGACACACAGACAAGTTGTGTGACGACGTTGATGATTACCGGGACCCAGAAAATCGGGATACTTGGTGCACTGAAACGTTTGAATTCCCTAGGCATATACCCTAGTACGTCAAGTGGAGGACTGGCGTTGAGAATTTGGACCTGCTCCTGAATATCGGGAAGCAGCGGTGCGAACATGGGCAGAGACAAAAAGTGAAGGTAGAACATTCCTTCTTCCCAGTGACCTCTGCCATATTGGCTGTATGTCTTGTCCTGAGACAAACCCATGGCGCTTGACAGAATCAGAGCACCGGTGAGGATTGAAACTCCAATAGCATAGTCTCTCTGAATATGCTCGTCTTGGATGCTCGACGTAGTGGGTGAGGTTCGAGGACGAGTCGAGATAGTCGTGAGGGCGACCCCGAGGGTTACAAGTAATACCGAGAGTACCTGAAGACGGGTGTACCTACGAGAGCATGAGATAAATACCAACGTCTAGCATAAAGAACCCGTACCGTTTGCCGGCCCACGCCCAGCCTAGAAGCAAATTCGTGACCAGGCCGGCACTACGGAAGATGATATGAACGGTCATAGGGACCCTATATTTGAATGCTGCGTTGTTTAGTAGTGACGTGAGGAGGAACAGGATCACCTGGACCATCCATCGCGAAATGGGGATTGCCCGAGGCTTTAGGCGAATCTTGAGGACACTAGATGGACTGCTGAGAAGGTGTCTAACTGAAAACGAAGAGTAGGATGTCGTCGTGTCCTATGGCGTCCAAGATAACGTTAGTGGGCGAGCTTCGTGGCAAAGTTCGATAAGAGACGTACTCGAGTTTTGAAACACAAATGTTTGGGCAAGCCGACCAGTGTAACAATGACAAACTGTGCCAGAGTTATCAGAGTACCCGCATTACGATTCTGTGCCGCGGATTTCTCCAGAGCCCATGCATTGCTACGTGTGAATTGAGCTAATGCAAGCGGATAGGCAAACACATTAAATACAGACCTGCAACAACCTCCAAAGATGAGACTCAGGATTACTGCCCAGTCCACAGATGCAGATAGCGACATGTCTAGAACAGACGGGATGCGTCGGGGTAAGGAGGCAATTCTATTGAACGAGACGGGGGCACCTTTCCACTTCTATAATGGTGGTACAAAATATCATCTATTATACCTCCTAGGTTGTACTCAAATCATGCCGAGATGTCGATCAGAGGTGCATCAGGTCGCGTTTTCTCAATGTCCTCTGGGAGCGGATCAGTGGACGACACAATAGCTGTGATCAAACGTACCAACAATAGAAGAAAAGCACCATTCGACAGCCTCTGCCGCCCAGTAAAAGTCACAGTGCTCTGAGAGATCAAGCCTCTCTGCACGGATAACCTTGATGTGCTTCTCCTTGGTCTCAAGGCGCTCTAGAAGAGGTTCTGCTCGCACCAGGAAGTCACGACCGCCGTAGTAAATAGCTAACGGAGGAAAGTGTTCGTCCCACCATCTTGGCAGGTCGACATCCATTGTGCACTTGCGATCGGCAAATCCACCCTCTCCACACCACCAAAAGATCGAGGCAGAGCTTACGGGGGTGGGTGTAAACCTGAACATTTTGTTTTTCCTGCGAGGTAGCCTGTCGATTGTGGTCAGTATTTCGCTTCCATCCAGACAAGTGGATTGGCCGACCAGTTGGTATCCGTCCATTCAAACAAAAACGAGAACATAGTGTAGCCCATGGTCGAGAAGATGAGAGGGGGCACGTAGTCGTAGGAATAGCGCATGAGCGGGATATAATCCAGTTTACCAAACAGCCGTTGCCATCTCTTCCATTTGATCTTACGAAGTACGTTAAATGGAAAGCCATGTGTCAGAGGACCCGCAAACACTGCCGGCGCCAGCGCGATAAAGCATGACAAACGGTCGCCGAGTTCCGGTCGATGTCCCAAGGACAGTGAGAGAAAAGCAAGGCCGTTGCCCTGGCTGTGTCCTATAAACGCGATTTTTTCGTACCCGGTGGCAAGGCAGACCCAGTCGACCAAGGCTGGTAGGTCATACATGGCCAGCTCCCGAATTGTCCAGTCTAGATTTTCCTATTAGTACGCTTCTCGAGGATAAAACAAACTACATGCGCACCCCAGAATCGAGGGTCCTTGCGGGATAGGTATCGGTGCCCCATTCCGAACACCGCACGGTTGTTTCCAAGGAAGACTTGATAGCCTCGCTCAGAAAGCCAGAAGGCGAGTGATCTCTCTTCGGACGTGATAAAACTGCCGCTGGATTGGAAGAGTCCGTGAAGGATAAGAATGGGAAAGCCGCCTTTGCCGTCCTGGCCCGGTCGATGGCGAGGGTTGATCACACGATGCATACTATGAGATCATCCGACATGTAAGGTCAATTACATCCACAAGAGACTCGGGGCACGTACCGTAGATAGTAGCCGTCTTGAGTTTCGACTTCCTCGTCTTTGATGTCAAACCCACACTGACGAGCATAATACGCTGCATCCTTGACAACCTTTTCCTGCTTCCAATGCTCTGCATTCTCGTCCCAAGCGTAGATGTGCGGTGTTTTGTTTCCCTTTGTCCAATATGAAAAGGCGTGAACCAGTCGGTCGGCACTCGCCCAGAGGACGACCAAAATGAGAAAGGTGGACGAGATGAAAAAGGTTGATACTTTGTTCCAGAGGAGTCCAAGCCTCGCAAGAAGCGTGTAAGGCGGCACAAATGAGTCTGGGTCGTGCACCGTCCCGACAAAGCTGCTCTGCCGTCGCTTCAAGCTGTTGCTGGGAGCTTCAGTACGTGATACGGGCGTTGATGGACGTATTCGTACGCCATGAACCGGGGCCGAGCTCATAGACGTTTGGGTGTGAACGGCGCCACTGCTTGCACTGAGCGCTGGTCTGTTTGTAGGCAAAGCATTGGACGAAGAGGCCTCCAGGACCTCTGGAGAATTTGAGAGTTGGGCTGGGAGTGATGGCGAGGGCTTCATGACTTGTGAAAGGCCACCTCGGGTTGGAGCTGGCTCCAAGTTCTAAATCCCGATCAAACGTACGACCCGCAACAGAAATCACGAGCGGCTCAAAGGTATTTGCGGTATAGGGATTCATAGATATAATCGTATGATTAGCACCAAATACACGACGAGTTTACTGATTCTTCTTCTCCGAAGACGGTGCCTTGAAGCTCGAGCCACCCACGGGCGACTTGATGCTCCCAAGCGCCGTAATGGCAATATAGACAAGAGGAATCACAAACCCAAACACAATACCAAAACTATATATGAGCGTCGGTGTCAGCACACGGTACCCGGCGGGCGACAAAGGCTTCGAGGGTGTCGGTGTCGGAGCCGGTATCGACCCAAAAGAATCGTCTTCAAACTGTCTCTTTGCGTGGCCAGAAACACCGGTCAAGAGCACCAAGCTCGAGGGGAATGTCGCCTCGAGCTTGGCCAATTGGCGGGCAACCATGTCTGGATTAACAATCAGTGCATGCACCTCGGTATGTTGAGTGTATTACCAGCATTGTACTCATGAGTCGATGGAAAGCGCAGATGGACGACATGCTTCTCGGACGGATCCAGTGCAAGCTCACTGTCTTCGTCAACGGTAATATGCACAAGTTTCGAGTTGCATCGGGCAGCGAGCGCCTGTGAATGTTCCAACGGCGACTCTGCATGCGACAGATACGGTAGGTGACAGTGGCTCGCGGAAGACTTGATTCTGTCCAAAAGTGCAGAATGGGTTGAGCGTATGTGAGAAGCATGCAGCTGATAGTAATGAGCATAATAGATATAGCCTTGTAAAATGCTGCTTACATCCTGCTGAGTAGCGACGATGACCGCCTGAAAGTCGCACACGTCGGTGCTCGCAAACAGTGTACTCAGAGCCTCCCGTTGATTGTTTGTGTTCAAGGAACCCAAAGAGGAAAGTCTTTTGTCGTCAGCAAGAGCAATGGCCGTCGTATGAAGCTTGCTCACTCGTGCGTTGAGTACGCGAGCAGCGGCACTGGCTTGAGCGCAACTGCCTGGACAGATTTGTGAGCGGTATTATCACATTATAAAACGATCAGAAAATGTCTACCAGAGATGCGAGCGAGAGACAAGCGAAGAGACGCATCGTTGTTGTCGGGTCCAAAGCTTGCACCCAACTTCGACAACTGACCACGAGCTCGGAGACGGTTGTGATGAATTTTGGATACGCATACGATGGAAGAGGATCTACTTATAGACCAAACAACCATGGACCACCAAACAGAGGCTCTGGTTACTCGTTCTCTGCTCGTCAACGTAGACACGGCCGACAGCACCATAACCACCATCATAGCCATCCAGTCGTACCACAGCAGGAAGTTCAGCAGGAGCCCGTGCGACCCCCAAATGCAACTCCGGAAAAGCTGATCGAGCTCCTCAAATCATCTGGCGAATACGATAGATTGCGCAAGCAAATCTTTACACGGTTTCAAAACTCGGTGTGTGATTCATCCTTATCCACGCAGAAACCCATCAGCTTGACCCGGGTCGATAGGACATGCGTAAAGTATTGCTCAGCCGAGTGGATGGCGTCGTCACCGAATGTCTAGAGAACGACCAACACGTCCTCTCCAAACCACCAGAACTACTTCATGCAGAGCTCATGCATGAGCTGGACACATACCCTTTTGTCGAGAGACAGGTCTTATGTGTGCCCATCTGGCGAGAAGACGATTGGATTGCGCACATTGAACACGCAATCACCAATCTTATACACGATAGGCCCGTCGATGCTCCTCCTGTCCCGCCACCACAAGCAGTCAAAGGTAAAAGCATGGTTGAAACCGCTTTGTCGATGCAACTCATATACACCACAGTAGAGGCTCAAGTAGAGCGCCCCAAGGCTCCAGTTCCGTGGAGGATCAAGGAAACGGCCACATCCTTTTTCGCCCCAGACAAGGTAGACGATGGTGACGGTTTAGGAGAAGACGATATGGCCATCGACGACGACTAACTGCTATTCTATTTCGATCTTTATCGTGGAATGATCAACGTCGCCAATTATCCCAAAAGTTTGTAATCCTTTACGTGCCCAATCACGTAGTGTATTTCAGAAATGTATCATTAATCATTGATCGCCGCGTAAACCTGGACATTTCAGCTCTCTTCTGCTTGTGCCCTACCACGACCGCTGCTTTGTCGTTGCAGTCCTGCTTGCATGAGACCTCTCATTGCAAAACCTCGTCCTCGTCCACGACCACCTCCCGGTTCCCTATCCATGTCGGCGATGGATACATGTGGGGTAGAATCTCGAATTCTCTGCAAGCTAGATCAGCATCTATCTCATGTGTTCATCGAAAACACGCACCTCGCCCTTCATGGCCAAGCCGGCTTTCATTGCCTCCTCGTCTCCAAACTCGACATACGCAAAGTGGCGTTGAGTCTTGCCTCCTCCCTGATTGATGTGTGGTATTTTGACGTGGATGATCTGTTGCAACTCGTCAGAGCACTTCAGCGTTTGGCAGTAACCAGCAGCACATACACCATTCTTTGCATCTCCAAAGAACTCTTTAATCTCGTCCTCTGAGACTGGAACGGGTAAATGCTTGATGAACAGCGTCCATGGGTTCCTCGCCCCCCTTCGTGATATGGGCGTCTGAGCGCCGCCAGTTTCCGCGCCAGGAGAAAGTGTAGCACCGTCATCATTTACAGAGCCATCGATTCCAGATGTCTCCAGGTTCACGCCCTTCTTCGGACCTTGTTGGATATTCGCCTCTGTTGGGCCTCCTTTGTCCACCTTTTTTTCTTTTTCCTTTTGCTTCTTCTTGTCCCGTTTCGAGGCATCTTTGTCTGTACCATTCACGACGTCTCCTTCCGCACCTCCAGCCCGGGAAGCTGTAGGTGAATTAGGTTTGGTAGGTGGAGCTGGTGTAGACGATTTGGAGAATGCAGGCGTGCCAGGTTTTGTAGGAGCAGTAGAAGCAGGTGCCGTGCTGTTGGGTGCTTGGTTCGAAGGGACGTTGAGTGCGCTATCCACAGCCGGGCCAGAACTAGGTACTGTCTGTCTTCGATAGGCATAATTGAAGCCCTGACTCCGCATCTCCGCGTTGACTCTGCCCTCTTTGATATCCAAAACTAATTGACCGTAGGCGGCGTCTGTCAGATTCCAATTCCAACAGTTCTTCCAAGCGTTTTCATCTGCAGAATTGACGGTGGAAACCGGTGGTGGGATTCTCTCTACGACGGAGAGAGCTTTCTCTAACAAGATTTTTTGATTCTCGCTGGGAGAGCATGTTAGGTGGTCCCTTGGCGTTTGATCACAAACACGTACTCCAAAACGGCTTCAACCTGCCCTTTGACGGCGTCCCAGATCTTTTCAAAGTTATCCTTTGAGGCCAGAAGCTTGGACCTAAAGCCCTCAAAATCGCTTTGGACACTGAACTCGTTATACGAGGTTGGGTATCGGAAATGAAGTCCAGCTGAAATGGTCAAGTCTGCTTTGACGACGAGAGCGAGCTGTGCAATGAGACCTTCTCTACCAGGGGAGGCATGGGACACCAAGATCCTCGTCTCCGTCACGTCATACACCCGCTGTGCAGTATCGACGAGTTCCCCAATCTGCAAAGCAGTAGTCCACATGGTACCTTGGCCACCTGCGATGGTGGCTTGACCATCGCCGTTATCAAACATTTTGTGCGGGACAAAGGCACCTCCCAGACCGAGAAGCCGAAACTTGACCCCTCCAACGTCTATACAACGCGTAGTTGCTTCGTCGATGATATGAAGGTTGTCAATGTTGTATTGGCCTGCGCGGAATCGCTCGATGACCGCCACGTCCTCGCAAGCGCCGTAGACGGTGTATACTGGGACTGAAAGCTTGATGTCACCGGATAGAAGCTGTGGGAACTCTGACAAGAGTGGTGTCGCCGAGTTGGTGATCATTTCTCGGATTGTGGCGACGGTGTTTTCAGGTGCGAGCAGCCGATTTCGATGTGGTACAGTGATCAATGGAGAGTACATGACAAGATGTCTGAGAGTTCTGGAAAGAAATGTCAGAAATGGACACTGCATAAGGTATTGCAAGAAAATGGGCCCGAAAGAGATGTAAGAGAATATATGTAATGAAACGTGTCTTGATGACGCAGAGCAGAGACAGGCTCCGTCCGAGATGGGGGGTGGATGGGCAGCGGCGGGAGGAGTAACGGACCTGTCACTAATCCTGTCCAGACTAGAGGGCTCTAGACGCGTCGATAAACGTCAGCAACGGCCAAAGTCGCGTCTGGGTGCTCAAAATCCTTACCAATAAAGCCAAAATCGCCAGTGTGAATGATTGCCTTTGCATTTGCCTCTGCTGCGAGTGTATTGAGATGGGAGATGTTTCCACGAATGTCTGCAATGCACAGCAGCCGACCCTGGACTGTGTCGAGCAATTTTGTCTGCGTGTTGACGGGCGGTCGCTGGCCAGGCATTGTCGAAGACGGACGCGTGTTGGAAGATGTCGAGGCTGGTCCAGGCATTGTGGGCTTTCGGTTGGCAGACGCGGCGTCGGCGGAGGAATCAAAGCTTTTGCAGGCGGGGTTGACCACCTTCACCACTCTTCTATTACCAGTTTATCAACACCAGTCCAACATAATAACATTACAACTGTTGGTTTATTGCAAAGAAGCAGTATGACAACTATTACAACTATTAGGCAGGTGGACCACCAGCTTTCTCCCCGACTCCACTCGAATGTGGAAATCCCCCGATAACTCTCGTCTCCCATCTCGCGAGGAAATTCATCAGACACACCAGGCTCTAGCTGCACTCGACAACGAGCTTGCTCCACTCCATTCCACCCTGGCCCGCAATGCCCAACGCGAACAAGACTGCGAGCAGCGGATCGCCCTGCTTCAAAACGAGCTCAGGTCTATTCGAGAGGACAAGAACAAAGTCTCTGAGCGTATCTCCGCACTCGAATCAGAAAAGGACCGCCGCAGGGCCTGGATAGCTGTTCATCGCCGTCTCCCGCGCGAAATACTGGCAGAAATATTCATCTGGCACGTCAAAATAGACAACAGAGCACCTCTAGTTGTCTCTGCCGTCTGCAAGCTCTGGAGGTCGACGGCACTCTCGACTCCTAGGTGTGTCGAATGAGCCGTTGCCACTGAGGCCATCACTGACGACAGTATTTGAGCAGGCTCTGGGCATATCCGCGTATCACGGATCAGTCGCTTCCTCTGCCACTGCTCAAGCTCTGGCTTGAGCGCGCGAGTAACGCCCCCATTCATCTCCATCTCGAAGTCCAAGACGTCACCAATGACCTACTCGAACTATATTCAAATGTCTACTGCCTAAAGTTTCGACCATGGCCCACACATTTGCACAACAAGACATTCTCCAAACTCCACAAGCTCATGCTAGAACATGAAGATGCCTCTCTTGAGCATCTCCGCCGCGACGTCTTCTCGTCCATGCCCAACTTAAAACAGTTGCATCTGCACTGGTTTCGTCTTTCACGACGCCCCGTGCTCGAATGGGCCTGGGACCTCCCTCCACTTGATGAACTCCATTTTGCGGGTCGTACCTGGGCGTGGGTGGACGCGGTAGAGCTCGTTGCCCCGTCCCTCAAGAAGTTGGCCCTGGATATTGGCGACGTCCCTACACCTGTTCCGTCCAATGTCACCATCAGAAGGCTCCATTTGCCCAAACTCGAATACTTTGCCTATGGTCCTCAGTCCCAGACACTTCTCGTCAATGATTCCGCCAGAATTCCAATAGTCGCCCGTATTCTTGATGCCCCAAACCTCAAAACGTTTGAGGACCACACCGTTATGCCCCTCGAATTCTCTCTTCCCGTGTCGGAGAACTGGAACTTTCTCCTCTTGGAAAACTATATAGGCCGTACGTCACGCGAACTCGGATACGTCAAGCAGTTATTTCCCCACATCCGGAGAATGGCATTCCTGGTGGATCCAGAGTCTGGCGTGCTGGACGTGACTGCACTGATTGACGAAGCCAGGAATGGCATGCTTACTTCACTCGAGGCGATTGAAATGTTCCAAAGTGCCACCCTGCTTCGTGATCCACTGGTACAACAAAGTCTAAAGGAGTATCGAGAGGTTCGAGGACGCGACTTATACGTAATATTCCATCCAGGGCGGCACGATACGCCGTACCAACAGGTATGCGTTGATGACCATGTAATTTATTCTCTCATCTGTCACTTACTCGTATACTCTAGTGCTTCTTTGGATTCCCATGTTGCTCCAGTTATCGGCCCGATCCTGTTAAACCGCAAGGGTTGGCCCATCATGTGATGGGTATCAATGGCACCTTTGCAAATATCTCGCAACCTTCCAAGTAACAGTACATTGTCCATCGATTATGGTCATTTTTCGCGCGGAGCGCGGATTTGGTCAGAACAACGGTCTTCTTTCGTGTACCTTTTACATCGCATTATTAGCAAAAGACCATTCTAATCCTTTTCACCATATGCAAGAAGATGCTTCTCCACCTCCGCTTCGTCGAACACTCGCCATTTGCCCCTTGTCTTCTCTGGCTCGTCTTCAGAGGTGGAGACGATGGAAATCTCGACTTCTCCGGGCTTATAGTCGGTCGAATGGACAGACGATAGGGTCTCGATGGCCATCTCTATCACCTTGTCCCGAGTAAGAGCTTGACCGGCGCCGGCAGCGTCTTCTCCGCCATTCCCGCCTTCTAATCGCTTCCACTTTTTCTCTAGGTAATTCATGGCTTCTTGTTGTTTTTGACCTGCTGCAGTTGCATGAAATCCGACATAGTAGCCTGCAGGGTCTAACTTGAAGATTTGGGGCCCGCGTTCGGAATCATTACCGATCAGAAGCATGGCTGATCCGAATCCATAAGTAACAGGACCTAGAATGCGGAAGAAACAGAACTGACCAATGCCCAATGGTCTCATGGCGGCTCGTTGGGTATACACCTGATTGATGTTTGCCATTCGCTGCGCGAGCGCATCTGGAGTAATCTCGTAGCCGTATTTGTATCTAAATTCCGCAGCTTCTGATTGAGTGCGCGTCACTTGCGCCTTCGCGTCTGCTAAAAGGAGACATGAACACGCGTCGTCAAATGGTTCGAGCAAGACACACCCATCAACCCAGTAATAACACATCCGATAGTAGGTGTGAGACCAAACATGTGTGTAACCGTGTTGGCGTCGATGAGCTTGTCTGGGACCTTCTTCTGGGTGATGCAGACTGCAGTATCGCGGCCACGAACGGCAATGGCAGTATGTCCAGAGCCTGAGATAGCCTTGAAGGCATATTCTACATCGAAAAGCGTTGGTCTCATACGAGTCTTGAGATGTCAGTTCGTACCGACTTGATAGAGACGGCCTTCTGGCGAGAAGACGGTCAGATAGCGATCGTATGATGTCCTAGACCTGAGAAATATGTCAAAATCTTGAGCGATGTTGCGAGTAATTGTTCCTTACATAGTCTCCGACGCGCAAGCCACTCGAGGTGGTTAGGGTCCAAATCTTCTTCGACCGCTACCCGCTTGGCCAGCGCTCCTCATCTGTGCTGTTAGCTCGAGGAACTGCCAATTATATTTAGCAGATATGGGGAAACAGCACTCGAATAGGGGTGCCCTCCTTACATCCAACCTGCCGCAGCTGCAAAATCTCATAAAACGTGACCCACAAGCCTACCGCGATGAATTTCTCCAACAATGGAATCACTTTCAAAGTATACAACGTATATGGAAGCTTCAGTCAGACATGGCCGATGATAGCCATCATTTTCGTGAATTGGTGAGCTTCATCGCCCAGGTACGAACGCTGTCAATATTTCCAACGCGCTTGTTGACAAGCTTTCTGGTTTCTAGGTCGCTCAATGTTATCCTGAACAAACAAAGGAGTTTCCCAACGAGCTCGCCACGCTCCTCCGAGATAATTATGCCGGTTTGACCCCTGAACTCCGTCGTTCATTCATGCAAAACCTCGTAATGCTTCGTAACAAGGAGGTCATTACCTCTTTAGAGTGCGTGACCATATGAGTTCCTCACATATACTAAGAAACCGGCAGCTTACTCCGAAACCTTTTCCCTCTCCTACCAAGAACAACTTCGTCCTCGCTTCGTTCATTTATCCGAACTACAATTCTCACCGACATCAAAACAGCAAACGCCCGGACAAAGAACCACAAACTTAATCGAGCAGTTCAGGCCATGTTGTTTGGAATGGTCGAAAAGGACATGGATGCCGAAGTCCAAGGAGATCGAGGAAAAATACGAGGATCTAGCCACCCAGATACTTCAACGCCGTCAACAAAAGGTGTAGAGGCCCTTTGGGCTGTCCTACTCACGAAAGAACTCTGGAAGAAGGGGATTTGGAATGATGCAAAAAGTGTTTCTATCATGGCTCTTGGTTGCTTCCATCCAATCGCCAAGGTCCAAAGTGCCTCGCTTCATTTCTTCCTTGGCGAAGAGGATGAGGAGGAAGAGAGCGACAGTGAAGAAGAGGGACCAGACATCAAGGCTCTCCAACACCGAAGGGGGATTAACAAGAAGACGAGGAGCGGAGACAAGAAACTCGCCAAAGCAGAGAAAATAGCACGAAAGGTAGACAAGAATCCGCAAATCGTATCTGACAGGTACTGAATCTGATATAGAAAAGAAAGGAAAATAACCAAGAAGCTATACCGAATTTCCCTGCGATTCAACTGCTCCACGATCCACAATCGTTCGGCGAGAAGCTCTACGACGGCCTACTACGATATGGTATAAGTCTGTATAGTTCGCGTAGCGTTCGTTCTGACACTTTGCAGATAAACGATATTCTTTGGACCACAAACTCCTAATAATGCAGCTCCTGAGTCGGGTTATGGGTGGACACAAACTTTGCGTTCTCGGGTTCTACACCTATGTTATGAAGTACCTCACGTATCATCAATTGAGGGTTCCTCTCATCCTCGTCTCGCTGGCACAATCTGTCCACGATCTCACGCCTCCCGACGCATTGGTCCCGGTGGTTCGAAAGATAGCGCAAGAGTTTGTCCATCCAGGGGTTGGGCCGGAAGTCATCGCCGCTGGCATCAACGCCATACGAGAAATTTGCAAGCGGCAACCTTGGTGCTTGAGTGAAGAAGATGGAGGCCAAGAGCTCCTCGGAGATCTTGTTGAGTATAGGAAAAGTCGAGATAAAGGCGTGGTCATCGCTGCGAGGAGCCTGTTACAACTGTACCGAGAAGTCAACCCTGGACTTCTCAAGCGAAGGGAGAGGGTATGTAAATGGATTATCGCGTCGGTTCTATGACTCATTTGAATAGGGTAAAGGTGCTAGCATGGGCATGGCAGCTGGAGCACAACCGTTGCCCTATGGCCACCAGCGCGCCACTACAGATATTGATGGACTCGATGTAAGGAGTACAAATGCTCTTGAATGGATTCATCTAACCAATATCAAGCTCTTAGAAAGCCACCTGAACAAAATAAAGGGAGAGGATGATGGTGACGAGAGGATGAGCGACGACGAAGCAGGTTGGGAAAACTGGGATGTCGAATCTGATGACGAGTCGTCGGAGAGTGAGGGTGGATGGATGGATGTCGACAGCGACGGCGAACAAGAGTTCGACCTCAGCGATAGCGAGGACGAAGCTCCCAAGAACATCCCGGAAGAACCAAAACAGGACGAGCCGAAACAACCGCCCACGCTGGCGACCACAAAAGTAACTCCAAGCCTTGTGTTTGAATCTCTTTGCTTACACAGGACATAGATTTTGACGCCAGCTGACTTTGCGTTGCTGCAAGAACTTCGTATCAAGGAAGCACAGCGAGCTGTCGATTCAGGGGGCGGCTCTCACTCAAAGCGCAGGTTAGCTCAGCTGGAAGCGCACCGCAAGGCAACTGCGATGACGACTGAAGACGACCCATCAGCTGGTATCGTTACAGAAGCGAATATTCTGGGTGTCAGGAAAAAGTCAAAGGCGACATACGAGGAACGAATGGCATCCATTGCCAAAGGACGTGAAGGACGAGAGAAGTTTGGGAGCTCCAAGGGCAAGAAGAAGAAGGCAGTGATGAGTAGTTCAACCAATAAGGAAAAGGGGCGAAACAAGCCGATGATGATGGTACGGCAAAGCTCTGCAGTGCGGGCAAAGAAGATGGCGAGCATCAAGGAGAAGCAAAAAAGAGTTCGCGCGCATATCGAGCGAGCCAAGAAATCGTATCACTGATGTAACTTATTCGTTATTGATCGATCCCTGCGCGACTCTTCCCATTACCCTTTTCCCAAACTGGAGTGGCGAGACCGAGTCAGCGTTTTTTGGACGAACCCACTGAAAATGTCTGCAACAGAGCCTGCAGGTCCAGCGCTGGAAGATGCCTCAAATCCTCAGGATGGGGTACAGACGCGAAAACAACTCACAAAAGCGGAGAGGAGAGAGCTTCAAGAGCGCCAAAGAGCTGCAAAGGCTGCTGCTACTGCATCGAATCCGTCAAACAAGTCCCAGAATCAGAAAACACCACAGAGTCAATCAAATAAACAGCCAAAGAAGGATCCAACCAGCGTAGCAGGTCCATCGGGCAGCAGCGCGACAGCAACCAGTGGGAAGAAGCCAACTCCAAAACCTGGTAGAGATGCAGACAAAATCGCGCCAGGAGCTGGTGGGATGGACAAAGGAGACAAAATTGCGGACCTGGAGACTCAGCGGAGACACCAGACCAGGATATTTGCACATTTCGCCTCGCCAAAGCAAGATGCCCAGATTGGGGCCGGAATCAAAGGCGAGATACATCCAACCATCGTCAGACTCGGGCGACAGTTTGCGGACATGAAGATTGTTGGGGCAAATGCAAGATGTATCGCAATGCTTGTGGCATTCAAAGCGGTGAGTGGCTTTCGGCTACTCTGTTGAGAAAGCTATTCATGTCTTGATATAGGTTATTCAAGACTATGTGACGCCGCCCAACCAGACATTGGCACGAGATCTCACGCAGTACCTATCTCCTCAAATCAGCTATCTCGTCTCGGCCCGGCCAATGGCGGTCAGCATGGGAAATGCGATCCGCGAGCTCAAGTACCATATTAGTGTAGTCAGCATCGATGTACCAGAACAAGACGTGAGTTCCCCAAAACAGGACAGTTCTCTCTGACGCCCACCCACCTAATAGGCCAAAGACCACCTATGCGAGCAAATAGACACCTATATAAGCCATAGGATTGTACTGGCCGATAGTGTGATAGAAGAATATGCAATGCCCAAGATTCAGAACGGGGCCGTCATTATGACATTTGCTCGGTGGGCCACCTCTCTGATCCACAAAACCTTGCTAACAATCAAAAGATCTTCCGTTGTTGAGAGGGTGTTGATCTCAGCTTGGTCAAGAGGGAAACGATTCTCAGTCAAAGTCGTCGACTCAGCTCCGCTTTCAGAAGGTAGGCTCGTATCCACAAACAAAACGGGAAAGTACCTCACTTTGGATCAAGGTCGAAAAATGCTTTCTGCTCTCCTCAAAGCAGGCATCCCTTGCACATACCTCTTGGTAAATGGCATTGGATCGCTGATATCAACTGTCTCTTTGGTTTTCCTGGGAGCTCATGCAATCAATTCTAATGGATCAGTGTATTCAAGAGCGGGCACTGCATTGGTCGCCATGCTTGCCAAAGAACACTCTGTCCCCGTTTTGGTGCTCAGCGAGACCTACAAGTACTCAAATAATCTCCAGCTTGATAGCTTTACAAAAAACGAGCTAGGTTAGATCTCGAAATCGCTCCTACTACCTTTACTGACTTTCTCAGCTGCCTTGAGTGACACCCTTCAGCCGCCCAACGGCCAGGGCCATCTCTTGTCACAATCAAGTCTCCAAATTATTAACCCACTTTACGATCTCACACCACATACACATATTACCGTCTTGGTGACCGAGGTTGGGCTTATACCTCCAAGCGCAATCTCGACCTTGGCGGGCCTTCGAGACAAAGACAAAGGCTTACAACTAGCGGTGTAATATGGATCGAATCGCCTCTATAGGTTGATTTTCTGATGCTGAAAATGATCCTTTTGTAATCTATGCTATAAACGACGAGTGCTTGTGAAAGGAAACTATATTTGGATTCCTGACAAGGTCGAAGCCATGGCCTCGGCTACAGCAAAGTGCAACGGTTGCTTGTAGCCGTGGCTAATGTCCCCCCGTCTTGCGTCGTTGAGGATCGTGAGGTCGTAAAAGTTGGTGGCAACGTCTCTCATATGGCCACGAGCTTCTCCGGAGTACGAACTATTTCCATATCGAACGAGATGTAGTGCGTGGATCTGTAGGCTGGATGTCCTGTAGCCACCTACATCGGATAACGTCGAATCTTGAGGGTGGGTAGTCCAGCCCGGTTGACGAAGGATGTGAACCAGCCAACAGGTAGACACTGGGATCATGAAAGATGGTGTATCTTCCTCTGCGCCATGCTCCATAGTCAAGAAGTCTGACCGTGTCACCTGGCTGTGAGTCGAAACGGTCAAATGGGTGGGACGAGGAAAGAGGATGAAGGCGTCAGTGGAGATGTCGAGGAACACTGATCCTTCTTTATCCCGGCTTGGTGGCGAGACCTGATTAGGTAGGTGCACAATCAGAGGTGAGTCGAGCATAGTCGGTGAGTCATCTTTCGTGACCGAGAGGAGTGTGATGTGCATGGATTGCCCTCCTTGGCCGAAACGGGAGTCAAATTCGAGTTTCCAAGCTATCAAGAAGTGAGATGTCGGTCGAAAATTATTTCTTAGTGACGCACCATCAAGCTCTGGAGCACTCATTGCATCACTCTTTCCAATGGTCACTCTCCAGTCAATGTCTGCCTGCTTCGCCGTGCTGAGAGTAAAGTCGAGGACGAGTCTGGCGATGGATGTGAAGGGATCGACATCGTCCAGCTTCCATACTGCGTTTTCTTGCATGTCACCCCGTTCAGTTACGACTGACGCCGTCAGCCATTCACCGTCCACCGAGGATGCATAGGCAACGTGCATAAAGGTGTACCTATCAAAAACGTCGGCTGCCGGTGGAGGCCATCTCTCCACCAGGGTAGCTTTGATCTGCTTGCGAGCGCCAAGCGTGAATGCATATGCGTCGAGTTTATCTCTGGAAGCGTAGAGTTTGGATGAGATACGGCTATGCTGACGTTCGATGACTCGCGGAATGGCATCATAAACTGCAAGCGCCACTTTGTCCAGACTGAAGTTGAGGTTGCGGGCGAGGGTTTTCTGGTGGGAAACAAACACTTCCGGGATTAATCGGAAGAGGAGTCGTCGGGGCTCATGAGCGAGCGAATCTGTCACCTCAGCCATGACTCCAAGCACGGCAAGGGCCGATGGATGCTGAAGGTTGGCAAACGAGTTTGGAACGACCACGTATACGACGAGTGGGGTGACCAGCTTGGCCGCAAGAAACCGTCCTACGTCTCGGTAAGATCTCAGAGTTCGGAGAGTGAAGATTCCTTACCGCAAATCGTTCGGAAATCATCCCACTGAATTGGGATCACCCCATTTGGATGCTTTGAAAACGACATTGGCGCATGTGTACCTAAACGACGGGCCTAGAGACACTGTCAGATCTTATTGGGTTATGTACGAGTTTCTCATGCATACGCCATAGATTTTGCTGAGTTGCTTCAGCCAACTGTCTGTCAACGACACCAGGCCAGGTCCTCCGGCATCGGAAACAAATGCGACAGCATTGACGTCCTTGGGGCCATTTAACGGCACCATGTTGATGTGATCCCAGAACCTCAAGATGGCGGGCAATGCTTCTATCACCCCAGTGCCGTGACCGACGAGTAGCTTCGGCGTGTATAGCCGCATGACGTGATTCACAGATGGTGCATTAGCATCGACATCCATTTGAGACGCCGTTTCAGTTGTCGTGGTCACTATAAGATGATGAGAGAGATCCATTATGACCGAGATTACAAACCATAGTCCGCTTCAGCGATTTCGGCAATCGATTTCCCCCAGGAGAGGTTAGAAGCAGCCTTCAAGACCTCGGCTAGACCTACGGTCTCTGCTTGGCAAATCGCAATGCGGTCATTCGAGGGCTCCAACGTCAATGCTGCCATCGCAATGGATGTAGAGTACCATAGAGTGTTATTTCCAGCTTCCTTGGCGAAGTGACGAGCAATATTGGTAGTCAGTTTGGAAGAAGGCTCGCTATGGGAGTTGATGGCGTCTGGAGAGACTGGAGTTGGGACAGAGATGGGCATGGTGAAGGATGGAGTGTGTGCGTTTGAAAAAATGGATAGTTTGGACGTGGGCAATATGAGGTCGCTCGATAAAACGAAGTTGTGATCTGCTAGCCACCCGCAGTTGAACGACGCTTGAAGCAGCTTGACAGGATCTTGCGTGCAGACATGTGCATCGCTCTTCAGGTCGAGGACAGGAGCCAAAGGGTCACCCGTCTGGAACGGATCGTCCTGCCCATCGTCTGCGCCGAATTCATCTCCATCCAAGCTGGAATCCCCATCATCTCTGCTGTCTAAATAGTCTTCTGGAGGGGTGGGATGTCTCCAAGCCTCGTTACCTGTTCCCCACGTCAGCCGACGCTTCTTTAGGGGGGATTGCGTTGAGTTGGTTTCGAACCCCAGCTCAACGGCCGGATTCTGGCTCCATGGTCGCTTCGTTCCCGATAGTTTGGCTAACATTGCCTGCTTGGGTTGGGTCGCAGCCATGTACCTTGCTCTAAGGTCTCCTTCACGAGTGGTCGAAGACTTCCAAGGACGTCCCGCATCGTCAAGTGCATTTAAAGTCTTTTTCTGACGAGCATGGGGATTCGTGGACTTTGGTATCGGCGAGCGTGAATCATTTGTATCTGGCGGGGGGCTCGGTAGAGAGTATTTCCCACTGGAATACTTTTCGTCTGCAATATTGTTTGCTTTGCTGAATTGAACCGCGAGGAATCCGGCGTCTTCGTCCACCTCATAGTCCTTTTCACCAGTAAAAGGAGCTGGACTGTCGAGGGAGAGCTGAAATTTGATAGAGTGACTCGAATTTGGCGCCTCCAAGGCACCCGGTGTCTTGGAGGGTGTAATCATGGGCAAATCTACGCCAAACGGTTCAATTTCCAAGTTTGTTTGGAACATTTGCGCCGTTGTAGCCAGACCGGACGGGATTTCCTCGACAGCGGGCATGGCAAATGGTACCGTGTCCTGGGCAAAATTCCAGTCGATTAGTGATGCGTCGAGTTTTGCAAAGTCCTCCGGTTGTGGTTGGTCGCTCAGTGCCATCAAGACGTCTTCCCCCAATGCCGACGAAACAATGTTACCGACAGAGTCGACAATGTCTGTTGTAGAGGTTTCTGGTAGCTGACTACTAAAGATATTAAAGTCGGCTTCCGTAAACATTGTTCCAGAGGCAAACGGGTCATAGGAGGTGGTGACTGCGCCGCCAAAATCAAAGGGAGCAGTCACACCAGAAGGGTCCCAAGACTCCAGGGTCTGGGGCATGGTGAAAGGATTCGTTGACGAAGGGATGTCTTCAGAGGTCCTGGGTGGCTCGTAATTCGTCTCCAATGCAGCCGAACTCGATAGGTGCTGGTCGGTATCTGTATGGGTGCTGGAAAGATCCAGTTCGGGTAGGATGCTAGACTGAACTCTGTCCACGAGCATCTCTAGTGGGGATGGATAGCTCTCAGCGGGGCCAGATGAGAGCGAAAGAGCCATAGTATGCGATGGACGCGCGGTTTCTAGGAGGGGGTCGTTGCTGGGATTGGCCGCCAGGCCTTCTGCCTGAGCATTGGGCGGATGGAGGCGAGCGGGGTCTACCCTTGGCTTATCGCGCTCTTTCATGATGGATTCAACATAAGCTCCCATGGCCGTAGAGAGTGTAGACATATCCACACTAGAATGAAGACTGAGCGAGGTGAGCACGAGGGCGAGATGGTCATTGGGTTGAAACCGTGGTGGGGTTGAAGGCGGTTTCTGGATTGGCACGTTCGTGTGAGGGAGCGTTGGAAGAGGTGGACGGAGGGGAGTTGCAAGGACGAGGTCACGCGGCCATATTGTCGTGATGCCACCGTCTTGCTGATGGCTAATATTGCGCACGGGGATATAGCAGCGAATAAAGTCGTTTGTGATCATGACCTGATTGTCCTTTTGCCCTAGGCTGTCTAGGAATTCACACACGACCCGGTCATCGGCGCCTTGCTGGCCAATGCAGAAGGCAGGAATGCCCTGGGGCAACAAGAGAATGGCCGCGCCAAGCGAGGCTTCTCGAAGGGGTGTAAGGGTGATGAGTCGCCTGGGTACTGGCTGAATCAGAATGTGAGTCGCCATCAGGTGCAGTTGCATTTCGCAGTATATCGTGCTAAGGGTGCTGTGTCAGAGGGGTCAACGCTAATAAAAAGAGGAAACGTACCCCACGTCGTTGTCGGCTTCCCAATTCCTCGTCCATTCTATGGGAGTCCGGCTCGAGAGCAGGCAAAAGCCACTTTGGAGTTTGACGGCGGGGAGGTGGCCGTTTGCTCTTGATGCGGCACAAATCTCATCAACGAGAATGTCCCTTACAGCGTCAAGAAAGAGACTGAGCGCGAGATTTGTGTCCTTTGTGTCCTGGCTCATGGGGGGCTTGTTGTGGCTGCAAGTGCACGGGCGATGGTCGTCTTCGCAGAGCATATGAGATGATACTTGTATTCCGACATGAATTTTCAAACAAGATGATTCTGGATGGCCAAGCGGTTAGTCAGCATACAAGCGTTGATAGCGGCAACTCACGTGTCAAGCCTGGCATTGGCGTTGTGGGCTCTGGGGCGTTGTGTGCGATGACATGGAAGACGTAGAGAAGAGGGGCTCCTCTTTTAAAGTAAATCCGACATAGTGGACTTGCAAACAGAGCGCCAGTGCGTGCTTCCGACAGCCGTCTTCGGGCGGATTCAAGGTCGTCGAGCGGTTCAGAGCCTGGAGAGGAATAAACTGAGCAGTAAATAGACGCGTCTTTTGGGAGTTCTATCGACGACAGCAGCAGTCGTGTCCCGTCGTGGATGGCCTGTGCCATTATATTATGGTTCCGGTAAGAAAACCGATTTTGGATTCCCCCACATGCGAATACGCATCCGCTCACATCCCCCATTACCACCACTCAAAGCCTGGTTTCAACTTCCAAAACACGAGGATACAATATTTGCCATCAAACGCCTGCTATGCTCCCAACTCCTTGAGCCTCACTGCCATCCCGCCCAGTTGCGGCTCGAAATGGAGGACTTTGAACTGTTGGATAACACTCTCATCTCTGTCCTTAGAGACGGGGATCTTGTTGAGTATGTTGCAAAGTTTTCGTCGGACACTTCTCCAACTCTCTCTGTAGCCTGAAATACGAGCAGAGGCTCTCTGGAGCAAAGAGAAAGCGGGAAACAGGTGAGTCTCAGTGTTTTAAATCCCATTCCATCCTGAGTTTCTGCAGAGGAAGAACACACGTCTCGGAAGCTAGCCGATTCTGACTCGAGCACTTCGAGCTCTACGTCGTCTTCAGATACTTCATCTTCGAGCGACTCGGATGACACTACTTCAGACTCGACCGAAAGTGAATCGACTCATGGTGAAACGAAAAGTGGCACTATCAACCAAGCTCTCAAACAGACAAAACCTTTGATCCATCCACTCATCGGCTACACAAACAGGTCCTTCAAGGGTACAGAAAAGCCCAACCATGTGCCACCGGGGTCCGGCAAAACGTCCACTCGACAACGCAATCTACGTCGACGCAAGAAACGGCTGGCAATGAAAGAAGCAGAAGCAGTACCTCCTCTGTCTGCAACAGAGCGAACATATTCTCCATCGAGTGTTCAGATGCCATCAGTCGTGAATCGACTCGATGCAGACCTTTCGAGCTCGATGATGCACGCCACCTCGAACGCCAACAAGCGCAAGGGCTTTAAAGAGAGCATGAAGGGCGTCTCAGCGAATCACAAAACATTTGGAGCGGATAGTTCGTTTCCTTCTTTTACCAGCACTCGTCGTCGCCTCGTCCCGCCCAGCGAACGTAGAGACATTCCGAACAACATTATCGTTACCAGCGTCGACGTCGAGGCGAATTGGCAAATGGATTCAAGCCATTCTACCAAAAACACTATCGAACCGCTGGAGCAGGACGAGGACAATTTTGTTTCCACCCAAAGGCAAGATTTGCCAAGGCTCGACTGGGATGCTGTCGAACGAAAATGGGAGAGTTATTCCTTTGTTAAAGACTCGGAAATACGATCAATCGGCATCATAGTCCTATGGAAGGTACGCTCAAGTATAACGCCGTCAATTGCTGGAATAATGAAGAAATAGGATCTTGTTCTCAACCCAGAGACTTTCTCGCCGGAGATAGCTATATGCGCAGCACAGGTTATGGAGGCCGGCGAGAGCATCAGATTGCGACCGATTCCACGGTTCCCCACGGATGAAGAAGGTGATGAGAGTATTCTAACCGTGAAGGAGATGGGAGAATATAGAATATACTCGTAGCGATAGGGGGTGGGTGCTTTGAAAGTATTCGTCTACGGGTACACCCAGGAGCGAGACCGGCCATCAATAGAGAACTCATCATAGTACATCGAGCAGTCAATCATATATTTTTGTGTTTATTACAATCTTAATGCCTATCAAACCTGTGTTTCACCTTTACCGACTTGGCAAAGTCTGCCATGGTGGTCGAAACAAAGTTGGATCACCACCGCGGCCATGGAAGACGGGACGCAGCCCAGATTTCAGGGTATCGCGTTTGAGCACGACTTGGTGCTGATAAAGACTGGTTTTGATGGCAGTATACCGATGAACGCGGCTGTTTCGTTTCTTGCAAACCAGCCAACGCCAGAAACATGCTCTGTGGTCATCTTCACACCAGATTCAAAACTGTATGATGACTCTGAACACGCCAGTATGCCGTTAGAGGTGGATGAATGGCTACTGGCCAATGGATCCCGCGGGGGAATATCAAAGCTGTTGAGCCGATTGAGCATTGTGTCAGTACAGGCTATATTATTTTCCTTTCCTCACTCTATCACAGACGCGTCGTAGACTTGGCCCAGCTCGCAGTCTGTTTGTCTGCATTTCCGGCTGACAGTTTGCAACAAGAATGGCCAAAGGATGGAATCATGATTATTCTACACGATATATCGACATTGTCTAAACTGAATTCGGAGCAAGACCTTGGACGGCTGCTTGCAATCGTGGGCCATGGAATTGGAGCTCTGCGTGGGTGTAGTGGAGTCAAGTAAGTGCACTCGAATAAATCAGGGGATGAGGATGTGACGACTGGCAGGAAGTTTATCATCTTTGACGGCCATTTGAGTGCATCCACCGAGCGAATTCTGAAATGCTACTTGACACAGGAGAGCATCGTCGACGGCCGGGAAACGGAGGGCCCGCGGCGTGGCGTTGGCGACCGGCGAGATTAAGCGCTCGAGGATGGGGTTGAGAAAAACCTGTCGGGGAAAAGGAAAACACGCAGAGGGTGTCGGCGCTGCGCCCGTCGACAACTTGAACCCCGCCACAGCTGCCGCCATTTCGACACGGGTCGTTTATCGCGCATTGGGCAGGATTTTGTGCGATATTTGATACTTTCAGTCTATAATCTGTACCATTTGCCATCCTCCTGAGCCATGGCCGGCCTGTGGACGACGTATATGGACAGCCCGCCAACGCAGCGATCCACCGTGCTTGCCTCGATAATCAACGGTATGTCATGTCCTCACTCTGACTTGTTCTTTGGCCACTGCGCGCTGACCCTGCACCGTCTCCCTCGAGCAGCCTCGCCGGCCTCCATCACAGAACAGGACAGAAAGGGTCTTGTCCAGAATATCTTGGACGATATCGACGAAGGAACAATATCCAAACAAGGCGAGTATCCCACCCATCAGTCATCCTCCGCTCCTCCTCGTTGTCCCGAGGTTGCCTGGCATCGATGTCCACGATGAGCTTGCACAAACCACTCAGCGCCTGTTCTACCTCTGACACGAGTCTTGTGATCGATTGCCGTGGCAATCATTCTCCGTCCCCCAGCCTAAATTTCTACGGACCGACCACCGGCACGGCAAAAGCTGACCACTTTCAGACCTTCCAAAGGCTCTTTTAGCTGTCAAGACACTCGGAAGAAATCCAGACGCCTCTTCCGTCATTGTCAAACCCGCCGTATGTGCAAACGCCCAATCACACATCCATGTGTGTGTTGACCATTCGGCAGAATCTCCGTCAACTGCACAAACTATCCCGTCCCTCAAACTCACCAGCAGCCTCTGCGGAGGCCCTCCGCTGCGTTGCCAACGCGCTATTATTAGTCGAGTCCGGTCGGGATGCTTGGTTAGAAGTTGGAGGCGGTAAATTATGCCTCGACTATTTACGAGATCCCAAAGTCAAAGAAGAGTTTTACTTTCTCAACGCGCGCATCCTCTTCCTCACCACGTTGAAGCAATGCCCCTTCTTGAAGGAAACTGCAGAGGACCAAAAGGTTATCGAAAGCATCGCAGAGGTATGTGTGCTCTCTGTCCATTGACTTTGCAATACCTGACAAGAGAAGCGGTGCGAATCGTTACTGGAAGCCAACATTTCAAGCAAACCGTTTGCAAAGGAGGCGTTGACGGACGTCCTCAAGTTTATATTCAATCTCATGCTCCAGTATCCACGAATGACAGACGGTGAAGGGGCAGAACGAAAGGTGATGGGCGAGCAATGGAGTCCACGATTCGACCCGTGAGCGCACACCCCCATGTCATGAAAGATGCAAGGCTGATGCCCATGTAGACTGATAACACCCTTGATTCACATCTTTATCCGCCTTCCTCCTTCAAATCCACCCCTTGCAGCCCCTCTTACCCATGTCATTCATGCTCTCCTGAACATACCAGTCCTCTCGTATGCCAGCGTTTGGTTCCCCTCTCTACCCACGGAGAAGGAAAGGAGCTCAAAGCTGAAGAAGCCATCTACCCCTCGCGGTGATAGTGCCGCCTCTACGTCGTCCGCCTCCGGTACACCAAAGGACAATGGCTGGTCCAAATCCTCTGGATCGTCGCTGTCAGATCCATTCCAAAGAGCCATGTCGCTCCTTTCGTCTCAACGAAGGTCATTTGGTGGAACACCGCGTCCAGAAGTACCAAGGAGGTCGACCAGTTCGGCATCTGCCTCTGGATCGACGTCAAGTTCACCGCCCCGAAGTTCTTCTATCGAAGGAAGCTCGGAGCAAGATAGAATGCGTTCATCATCCCCCTCGCGTGCCTCGACCTCTTCCTCCTCGGGAGGCAAGCCAAACATGCAAATGGTTACCCAAGCTTGTCAGCTGTTGGAAACAACCCTCGCCACATACTGGCCTGGGACGACAGAAGTAGACGCGCAGAGCGTGCGTGACCACGCAAAGCGAGAAGGCATCACGCTCGACGAAGTTATCACGCCTCTTGTGGCATTGATGGCGCGCATGGCAGAGCATCTGGACGCTCGCGTCGAGATGAGGAATTGGATACTGCCTGCAGATCTGGACCGAAAGGAGTCGTTGGAGAACCGGAGCGACACACTTGGACGCTGTCTACGGCTGATGGCCGGCGTTTATTTTCCACGTTTAAAGGATGCCATTGGCGAATGGCTCTTTACCGTCTGCGATTCGGATGCGACCATCTTATCCGGACAAATTGGATACGGGAACGCGGCCGGGTATCTCTTCAACAAGGGCCTCATGTCGGCACCCCCTTCGACTTCTGCCTCTTCGAGGGCGTCCACGAGCGGCGGGAGTGGTCCCTCTCTACCGGAGAATATCAACCCGATCACAGGTACACTGAACCGGGAAGACGAAGACGACGGACCGGAGATGACCGAAGAGGAAAAGGAGAGAGAGGCAGAGAAGTTGTTTGTCCTCTTTGACCGTCTGGATAAAGCGGGGATCGTCGAGCATCCGGCACGCAAAGCGATCCAAGAAGGCAAGTTTAGTATGGGACCGTTTGGACCTTAGCGGGGGACTATTTTTAGGATGTTTTAGTCGCATTACCTAACCTATTCTATCGCTTTTGCAACTACCGAGATGTGGCTTGCTCAGTGACGGGGCGAGGGCGGAAGTTTGACAGCAGCAGGTTTCCCATAATCTTGGACCTTTCCATACCTTTCTCCTCTCAAGATCCTACTAATAGTGGCCAAAAATGCTGGCCACTGCCATTCCTTTGATCTCTAGTCTCGTTCTTGCAACCTCTGTTCGAGCTGCCCCCTCGACCGTGTCCGTCTACAACGGCTGGCTTTCTGCGGGATGCTTTGAAGACTCTATTAATGCAAGAGTTCTTCCTAACCAGCGCTATCCCGCTGGAGGACCCTCTGCGATGACCGTTGAGCTCTGTGTCGACGCTTGTCGTGCCGATGGATTCAGCGTTGCTGGCCTCGAATGGGCTCAGGAGTGCTGGTGTGGCGATGATATTCCTTCAAATGGTGCTCAAAGCTGTGATATGGCGTGCAAGGGTCTGTAGAATTTGTCCGGCGCAGAAGATTCTCAGCTTACTAGACGCCTTCCCTTTCAGGCAATCCCAATGAACACTGCGGCGGAGGCAATCGAATCAACGTCTACCAGTACAGTAATATTGCGACCTACAACGACTGGACTTTTGACAATTGCTACACCGACTCTATCTGGAATCGGGTGAGTCCTATTAATAGTTTCGACTCTCTAGAATCAGCTCATACAGCTTAGGTTCTCCCCAATCAACTGTCTGTCTCAGGTGGAATGACGATAGAAAAGTGTTTAGATGCTTGTGATGCCGCTGGGTACGCTTTCGGAGGCGTCGAGTGGGGCAAGGAGTGCTGGTGTGGAAACACGGGACCGACTGAAATAGTTCAAGATCAACGCTGTGATACCCGCTGCGAAGGTTCGTCTCTGTCTAGCCGTCCCCGAGCCGAATTGACCCGGCCTCAGGCGACAGCAGCGAGCTTTGCGGTGGCGGAAACGGACTGTCCGTTTATCACAACAGCAATCCCAAGGGGCCATCAAATCTTCCGAGCTACAAGGACTGGACCTATGACAATTGCTTCGTCGACTCGCGGTGGAACCGGGTCTTGCCCCAGCAGCTCTCCATCTCTGGCCCAATGACAATAGAAAAGTGTTTAGACGCATGCGACGCTGCTGGTTATCCCTATTCAGGGCTCGAGTGGAGCCAGGAGTGCTTCTGCGGTCGCTCCGAGCCAACGGAAGTAGGTACGGATGGTCGATGCAACATGGCTTGCCAAGGTGTGTCTCCTCCAAGGCCTTTGAAACCCACTAAATTCTCCTAGGAAACGGTGACGAGCTTTGCGGGGGCGGAAATGGCATCTCCGTCTACCATTCTAGTGCTCAGGCCCCTCATCATCTCGACTCTTATGACGGGTGGTCATATGAAGGCTGCTTCGTAGACTCTATTGATCATCGTGTATGTTTATTTTTCCTGATTCGACTCTCAATGACGGTGTCCAGGTCCTTCCCGTTCGCGCCAGCCACGAGCATGACGGCGACATGACGATCGAGATTTGCTTGGACGAGTGCAAGCAGCAAGGTTATCGCTTCGCTGGTGTTGAGTACGGAATCGAGTGCTGGTGCGGAGATTGGAAGCCGTGGAATGAGGTTACAGATGGCAGATGCAACATGCCGTGTGTCGGTATGTTTGCCACTTGTCAAAGGGAGTCGTTGTTGACCATTTCCAGGCAATCCCCACGAGCTGTGCGGCGGGGGAAACGGCATCGAGGTGTACGAGCATTGTGAATCTCGGAGCACAACTGTCGTTACTGCATTCACAACTGCGACCGCACTCGTCTCAACGGTCACAATCGCGACGACAATTGCCACTCCTGTCGAAGGAACTGGAACCTACGCACAGCCAATCACCACGACCACGCAGATTGTCGTTCCTGCGACGATTACAACCACAGTCTTGGCACCATTGACAATTATCACAACTGCCGTAATTCCATATACCACGACGACCACTCAAATTGGCGATGTGACGCTCACCAGCACGCTCGAAACGGCTGTCGTCGGTAGCACGACGGTCGTAGTGCCCATTGTTGGATCTACGACGCAGGCAATCCCTCTTACTGGCTCGACGACGGTTCCCGTACCACTTACTGGTTCTACAACGACTCTCTTCCCTGTCACTGGTTCGACGACACGCACCCAGCACAGGGACGAGAACGGTCCCTCTTACCGTCGCTCGCACAAGCTTCACTCTCTCGATTTTCACTGGGACAACAAGCTTTGTGGACCCATTGACTACGGTTATTCAGCCCGTCATCATCCTCACCACCCTTGCGAAAACGTACACTACAATAACTGGCTCTCCGCTGCCGTTTACGACGAGTGTTCCCTCTGTTAGCCCCATTACGCTCATCGGTAGCGACATTAAGTTCTTTACTACAACCTCTTCAGCCATTCAGGCGTTCCCAACAACATCACTTGCCATCAATACGTTCCCAGCCGTCTCGAGCAATGTCGCGGCTGTCACCTCTACGTCGACTTACTACGTACCTTTCACGTCGGAGACCACTGGTTTCGTTCCTGTTGAGACGTCCTCTGTTGACGTTGGAGAGTATACATCAACCTCGACTACTGTTGCAGATATTCCCACATCCACTACAGTTGTTACCGAGTATACGACCACTTCAATCGGCTACACGCCGTATACGACTACGGCATACAATTCCGAGATTACGACGCTGGTCACGACGGTCGCTGAGCCAATTACAGTGACCACATCCTTTGTGACGCGTGTAGGCGATCATTCACATGGACCATACTAAGGAAATTTTGTGCCACCCACATCTCGTGCAATGGATTGATTTTGGCGTCTCTTTCTGCGCTGTCCTGTCTTTTCTGGCTGGATTCATACTTTATCCTTTCTTCAAAATACATAATATTTCTTAGTGCAAACGGGCGAAGTGATTAAAGTTTTCGATTGTATCAGGACGCATGAGATGATGAGTTATTGGACATCGAGTAGGCACCCATGGCGAGCCTTCGTGCTAAATTTTCAAAGTAATCTTCATTTCCATCCTCTGGTGGAATATTCTGACCAATGTCCCGAGCTAATAGCTGAAGGGTCTGTGCACGGTCGAATACCCGCGCAAGGTCATTGTGCGAAAGTTGCAGAATTTCCAGATTCTGATCATGGCACTGATCGTATGCATGGGATGTGGATGATGTGTGCGCCATATCTTCCTGAGGTGGCGCCAACGTTACATGTGAAGACGATATGTGCGAACAAGAGTCCGCTCTGACTAGTCCTCCTGAGGGAGAATAAGGCGTGAAAAGTATAGGGTATTTGCTCATCGCGTTGGTGGGATTGAGTTCGCCTTGACGCGGGGTTGAGATGACGAGTGGCGAGCACCGTCGGCGCACTTGTTGGCCGACAAAGATGGATTCTTCACGTGTCGATTCGGATCCTTTCGTACGACGATGGGTAGCATTCCAGATCCGCCGTCGGCAAAAGACGAATAGAAGGTAGCTGACACAAAAGAGGATGAGGAGTATCGTACAGAGGGCGAATACTATTGCCTCTGCTGATGCTTCTGGACTGACTGGTCTAGCCCAGACTGATCCTGTATCAGAATATCCAGGCCGCAGGTCGCGGGATTGGAGTATGGTGCCATTGATTCTAAGGGCAGATTAGTGTAAGGAAAATATATTTCTACGGAGAATAAATCACCTAATAAAGTCGAGATGCAATGCCCCTCTCTCGACGCTGATATTGTACGAGTGCATACTGGCCCAACCGGACAATGAGTGATTGAACAAGAGTACTTGATGTGTCATGATCTCGGTATTCTTTGCACGCATGATGGATCTTACTGTACTCTCTATCGTAATGTCATCGAGCAGCGAGTAGAGGTCCATCCGTAGCAAGGTTTGCTCTTGCATGGGTACACCGTATACCCTATCAGCTAGTGAGCAAATAGAATGTGTATGTAGAGTACGTACCAAAGCCCTGAACCTGAGAATGTAATGTGAACCCATGCACCGACAGTGCTCGTAGATGAAACGGTGTTCATCCACGAAAACGATTCATTTATTCTATGTTCCCAGCCGTGATCAGAAAAGGCAATGAAAGGCGAGGCGTTGTCCACTTTGTCGCCTAGGGAGTATGGCTCAGCAGATCCGTCGTTCTCAATCCTGTATACAGTCAAAATTAAGACAAATAGTTCGGAGCCCTACTCACAAAAGTGTGGAGATTGTGACCGGGCTCATAGGGTTGGGAGCAGAAACATCCAGTCGGAATTGGTGGTCACCGTATATAGCGGATTCGAGCCCGAAACTCGTGCTTTTATCTTGAAGAGGGTGCAATTCTGTCAAATTGCCGTCGAGAAAAGCCTTGATTGAGGCACCGCCAGCCGACTCGTGCAGAAGTGTGACATTTCTTCCTGCAGCACAGAAGTCAGGCCCAGAAGCAAACAATGTAAATGCTCGCCTCTATAAAATGCGAGAATACTTCCAGAGCTCGTTGTCTGTAGACCATTTGCTGTAGAAATCCAACTTCCAGTTGTCGCCACGCGGTTTGGGTTGGAGCTGTTCACTCGCAGCAGTTCCAAGCCAAAGGCACTTGCTAAAGGTATAAGCAGTAAAATGAGCCTGTTATAATTGTAAGATGGCCATCTCATCGTTGTTCTGAGTAAGGAAAGCGACGCACTAAGAAGCCATCATCCGGGGTAAATATATATGTATGAGCCCGCTGGTCTGCCCGAACTTTTTCCGTGTGCCAGGCTGAGGAAATACCGATCAATGTATGATCTAGGCAACCTAAAAGGTTGGATGCAGTCATCGAGGCTCTTTATTTGGCTCCGCTTCGCGCCAACTCATGACTAGAACCCATCTTCCATAGCTCTTGTGAATCAATGATAACCAGGGCTCCAAACTCACCCCCATCAGCTCCATGAATGTAGCTTCGAACCGTTGGATGGCCATGTATAGTATACGCAAACCATAAATATTACTGGAACGACACGACAGCTAACACTAGTCTATAAATGCATACACAAACAGTAAATAACCGGTGGAGAGACGAGAAGAGTGATGTGGGATTGACTGATTGTGACCAGACAAGGGCCGGCTCAGAGAACCTTGACATAAGCTGCCGGAATAAGACCTTCCTTATCTCCTGATTGAGCCATCCACCAGTCCTTTGACGTGCGCTCAGTCACAAAGACTTGTTGTCCGGCTTTGAATGGGAGATCCGTCGCGTCCTGAAACCATTCAGCACACAAGGACATTTCGGCAGGGCCATCGACCAACCGAGCTATCAAAATCGTAGAGCGCCTCTACCCATTCTCCTTTTGCGTACTCGCCGTCGTCGTCCCCTTGCATTGTCACAGGCGGTTCCTCTACCTTTGGAGTCGATCTGGAGGGTGGGGGTGCATACGTATCCTTGGTCTTGGGCCTTTCAAAGGCACTCTTTTGCTGTACATGAACACCCGTCGGTTTCTTCTCGTTCTTACCCATGCCCTTGAATGAGAAGACAGTGCTAACAGCGGCACCTGCAGACGAGGTGTCGATGCTGCCCATCCCTCGTGAGCTCACGAGGCCATTGGCACTCCCATTTGGGGTACTAGGCGCATTTGCACCAGAATTTGCGCGTGCCGGCGGAGGTGGTGGTGAGGATGAAGTCGTGGTCGGTGGAGTATGAAAATGAGTCTGCGTAGGAGGTGGTGAAGCAGCTTTTGCTTGGCTGGTATTGCTGGCATTGGAGGCTGAGGAGAAGCGACGTTGAGAAGGGACCGGGGGACGTCCATTGCCAGGACCCAGACTGTTTCCAAATGCGGCTTGCGCTGCGGCGATTCGACTTGATACCGAAACCGGTGCGCTATCTATCGAATCATTGTCATTGTCACGCGCTTCGTGCTCTTCAGGTGCGGGCTAGGGCGACAAAGTTAGACCTTTGTTGTCAAACATAGGAGAACATGGGATGATGATCTGGGTAAGTAAAAGGGAGGAACGAACCTCGACAATACGCGGCGTTGCGGTGCGTGCCGGGACAGCTGGAGGTCCCGAAGATCGCGGCTTTGGTATAGGAGGTGTCGACGTAGCTTGTTGGGATGTATTGGAGCTTGTAGACAGCGCTCGGGCAGGTGTTCTGGGCGGCGTGTTTACCACGCTTGGTGCTGGTTTTGCCACGGCAGTTCCGTTCGTCATCGACGTTGCGGCTCCTGCATTTACTGTGTTCTGGAAAAGATGTGGTCGTGATTCAAAGTATCTGGAGCAAGACGGTTGGTTATTGATTGCTGCGAACAACGCATAACCTGATGACATACTCGTCCAATAGCGCAAAGAATGCATCCTTATCACGTTGAGTAAGGTTTGCGAAAGGCATCTTGGTTGGTATCGCTGGCCGAAGTTTAGATTTGATCTATTGACCTTTCTGAGGAGCGAGAAGTGAGACTCGAAGAGTTTGCGGGACACAATGCGTGATCTGTTGTCCAATCCTCTGTGAGTGAGGAAAAGAGGGATTGAGAGACGGAGGGGGTTGAGGGTCAAGAAAGGAAAGGATGGTCGACCTCGGAAAGGGACACACTAAATACCGAAACGATACATATTGAGCATATAATCAGCTGACAGCGGACTTTAGGACGGCGTCTGTCGTGGGAGTTTGCCACTGTTCTCGGATGTGGCTTGAATACATGAAACTTCAAGAGTTGAGATGACTCGATGATAGCTATGCACGTCAAAGACCCCGTGAGAATGTGAACCGTGGGACAATAGCTACCTACGGCCTGAGCTCGCCCTTGAAAGAGGAGGGCCGCATTCATGATATGGTGCAACCTCACGTTTCGCTTGAATAATTACAGGAGACAGCAACTGTCGGACCCAAGGAATGAAAGTTAAAGAGTACTCATATTAAAGGAGAGTACGCTATAGATTATTGACTGGCCCTGATCTTCACGAACGTGAGAGGTCCATCTAATCGTCTTACACTCGTGTTGTAAAGGTGGTAGTGACTGTGACTGGCTCTGCAACTGTGGCGATGACTCTGGTCACGACTTCTCCATACGATGTCGTTGTATACGTCGTGTAGCCGACCGATGTCGTCGTGTACGTTGTAAAAACGGTAGTTGGGGTGGGTTGAACAACATAGTCAGTCGTAGATGAGGTATAGTCTCCAACATTGACAGAAGATGTCTCGACTGGAATGAAACCAGTCGTCTCCGAGGTAAAGGGTACATAGTAAGTCGACGTAGAGGTGAGAGCTTCAATATTGCTCGAAGAGGTCAGGAACGTATTGATGGCAAGTGACGTGGTTGGGAATGTCTGAATGGCCGAGGATGTCGTGGTGAAGAACTGGATATCACTGGCTGTGAGAGTGATGGGACTAGGGACAGGGACGCTCGTAGTGAACCGTAATTGGGAACCAGTTGTGGTGGTGAATGTTCTGGCAAGGGTGGTAAGGATGATGATAGGCTGATAGATTGTCGTTAATGGATCCACGAAGCTCGTCGTCCCAGTGTAAATAGAGAGGGTGTAGCTCGTCCGACCAACAGTCAAAGGAACCGTTGTAGTCCCTGTGCTAGGTGTCAAAACAGTTGTCGTTCCAGTCATAGGGAAAAGCGTCGTCGTAGAGCCAGTCAGTGGAATTGGCACTGTCGTCGAATCTGTCAAAGTCACTGGCTCAGTCGTAGATCCAATAAAAGGCACTTCAACGGTAGTGCTACCGAAGACAGCCGTCTCAAGCGTGCTCGTGAGCGTCACGTCTCCAATCACGATGATTGTAGTCGTGTATGGAATCACCGCGGTTGTAGTGATCGTTACAGGGCTGATAATTGTCGTGGTATACTCTGCGATTACAACAAACGCGGTGGTAGTAGTAACCGGGACGCCGTACGTATCAGTCCGTTCGAGCACAGTCGTGAACGGTCTTGTGGCGAGCGGTGTTTGAACGACGCCCGTTGTGGTCGTATAAGTGGTTGTTACCGTTGTGAATTGGGGACAATCATCCTGTGGGGCGGGGGACTGTGGCGGAAGATTGTGTGGGGAAGATAGAGGCTCGTAGTGGTAAACCTGAATCCCATTACCGCCTCCACACAGCTCATCGGGATTTCCTGAGGACGTCAGCTTTAGCGAGTGCGAGGATGAAAGTCAGACCTCGGCACTTCATGTCACAGCGACCATCTGTAGCTACTTCTGTTGGCACTGAGCGACCGCAAAAGCACTCCTGGCTCCATTCTAGCCCTGAATAAGGATACCCTGCAGCTTCGCATCCGTCAAGACACTTTTCGATTGTCATCTGGCCTTCCACGGAGATTTCGTCCGGTAAGACGCGGTGCCACCGCGAGTCGACAAAGCAATTGTCATACGTCCAATCTTTATAGGTAGAAATAACGCCATATCGGTAGACATTGAGCGCATTTCCACCGCCACAGAGTTCGTTTGGATTGCCTGGGTGAGCATTGTCAGCCTGGGGCTCACAAAAGCGTATGCTACATACCCTTACACGCCATATCGCAGCCTTGAACCTCATCTGAAGGAATATCACCACCACACCAGCACTCCTGACCCCATTCGAGGCCAGCAACGGTGAAGCCTTCGGCGCGACAAGTGTCCAAACAACGCTCGACGGTCATTGACGTGGAGCCACCGGGAGGGAAACGTTGATTTGGAACGACGCGGGCGTTGATCGAGTCTCCGAAGCATCCTACAGTTGCCCATTTGTTGTAAGTTGTCACAGTCGATGGGGAAGCTCGAACGAAGATAAAGATAGAGCAATAAAGTAAAAGAGTGGTAGTAGCCTGCATTGTGGCTAATAATTACGAAGATGCAAGGAGAACGTAAGTGGTGGCGGAAAGCAGGTTGCGAAACAAAAAGATAAAGAGAAATGCCTGGTCGGGTTTACAGTCCTTTCGGTCTATTTCAGTGAAATTTGACTAGTTCAATGTTCTCAATGGCTGGCTGATCGGCGTACGAAGAGGGCTAAATTGGTGGTATTGACATGGCGACAACGAACTAGGATTATCGTAGGGTACGCTAATAAGTAGCAATACATTACTCCGTTCAGACCAGTCTGAACGAACACGCACCCACTTGACACCATCCTAACTACCGCCATACAAAGACGACAGCCGGATCAAGTGGTGACTCTGGATCACTTCCTCCTCTACCTCGGCTTCCGCCGTGCTTCCCTCGAGCAGTTTCCACCACCTGGCGACCACTCTCCTGATTTCCACGCGACGGTACTGCAGAGGAAACATTGCCCTTGTCCTCATTTACGACGAGTGTCGACGTGCGGCTGGGACGTGGACCACGCACAGAGCCGACATGTCCAGAGGACGTCGAGAGGGCCGGCGAGACTGGAGACACTGGAAATTCTCGTAAATGGGAAGAGGATGGAGAGGGAACACGGAATGACTGCATAGTCGGACCAGGTGGGGGAGGTGGTTGAGGAAACGATATCCGAGGCCTCTCGACACTCGATATCTCTTGTGTATCGCGCATGTCATGATGAATGGCGTTGAAACTCGGTGGTCTGGTTGTGTCCTCTTGCGACGGTAGGTGTTTTGTGTAGGCGGTCTTTGACGACTCGAGGGGTGCTGAAATGGCTACAACAGGGATTGACTGAACATTAGAGGACTGTGGATGCGTGCGCAAGCCTGGATTATTCGTTTCGTCATGTGGTACTGTCGCTGGCAGAGCAAGCGCAGGTGTAAAAGTCGTACGGCCGGTAAGTGGCATGGGGCTTGATGTACCGTGCGACCAGGAAGTGTACGCTGGCGTTGGGGTTGCAGGCGAGAATGAAGAGACACCATACGTCGCATACCCTCCCTCTTCGCTCTCGACCGCTCTCCTCCTTGCACTGGTCGTGCGGTTCATAGCGCCTGCACCCGAAGCAGATTTCTCATCGCTTGAAACTACCGGCAACGTCCTCCCCCTGTCATCCCTCGACTGAGAGTGAGGATACACTGGGGGCTTTTCGACCAACGGCGTCGCCTCGTCCATCTCATCTGACCCTCTTCGCCCTTGCATATTTACCACATCCTCCTGGACGTTGAGAGGGGGATACCGATGGTTCTGCTCTGCCCGTAAAGCACCCGGGGGTTCACCAAAAGCTGGCACCGAGTAGACCGAACCAGAACTGGCGCTGACGGGCGGTTCATACGGTGCTTTCGGTCGTGGTTGCGTACTAAATCCTCCAACAAATGCACCATTAGCCCTTGGTGAGGACACGGGTGCGGGTACTTGTGGGCCAGAGACGACGTAGCGATGCGTGCGGAATGGGTCCTCGTCACCAGAGGTAGTGGATGTAGCAGGTGGTGACATGGCTTCTGGTTGTAAAAGGGCCTGATCGATCGAATAAGGCTGTTGAGCAGGATAAATAGTATCCTGTGCATGTACTCCCATCTTCAACGTCGAGTTTGGAGTCGAATAAGGATGCGCGGCATCGTAATATGCAGGCGAAGAAGGCTGTTCGCGTTGGCGGACAATGGTGATCAACGGGAATGTGTTTCGCTTTCTTTGAAGAAACTTGCTCAAGCCGAGATTGAAAAAGCTCCATCTGCTTTTCCTCTTTGTCGTCGTAGTGTTCTGAGAATCGGCGGTATACGCAGAGGAAACTCGTCCCTTCTCCGAGGGTTGCTTGTTGTGATTTAGAGCTCTCTGTTTGCGTCGACGAGAGATGAAGAAGCAGAGAAAGCCAAGGAGACCGACGACAGCGAAAAATGCAAATAGTGTTCCGACGATGATACCAGTGAGTTTGCGAGTTTCAGCAGGAGTGGGATTGTATGCGGAATTGGAGGGGGCAATTACGGTGCCGTTTAGACTGTAAATGATGGTGAACAAACGAACAGTGACTGGATCCAGAACGTACGCGAAAAAATCGATGAGGAGATTGAGGTCTTTGCCTGGTACACCAGCGAGTTTGATCGTGTGAGCTCCTGCACCCAGGCTGTCAGACACCCAAAGCGCAGGCCGTTCTAGCGGGTCTTGGAGGGGTTAGAATACAACTTATATCGAGAATGAGCGGGTCACACTGACCATTGGGGAACGAAGAATAGTTGACGGCGGTCGCGTCGAGCGTCTTTACAAACTGATCATCGACAAAGACGCGTACAAGACCTCCCGTCTTTCCAAACACCCAGACATTTGTGCCAGTGAAGCGGAATTGGAGGGCGCCATTGACGTCTTGAAACGAGGTGCAGGTCCCGCCGTGGCAAGTGTTATTAGATGTAGTAGCAAATGGAGCAGTATAGGAGATTGCAGTTGTATTCGAGTCGTCAAGGAGAGTCACTGAAGCTGGGAGAGATGCAAAGGTTGGATTGCTGGATGCGTTTTAGAATCAGCTATTGTACTTTGAGTTCGCTAGTAGTAGAAAATACGCACAAAGACATGCCTAACCAAGGAAAACGGGGCCAAGCGGCGCGTGGGTGGACGGGCTGACGGGGCGGCGACGCTGGGAACGGACGGGCAAAGAGTTATATAGTGGAATAGACATGACATAGAACTACACAGCTATCCATATCTCCTGCACTGGCAAGGGTGGCGCTCCCCGGGCAGTGCCACATGGACGCTATGCAGCCTTGATCGGCGGCATTTCTCAGACTATTTCTTGGATTATTGTTGATACTCTACAACTATTTTCATAAATAGTCGTGGACATGGCCAGCGTTCAAGTTGGATGTCGGTAATGTCGGCCCGGCGGCATCAAGTAGAGTCATTCGGCATCCTGGACGACCTTGTGGATGGCTGACAAACCGCTAAAACTATCCATCCTACACCTTGAACCTCGTCTATCACACCTATGGACAAGAATACGAGTGCAGCGACGACACTCGTAGACCCCCACCTTGGTCCAGAGGACGTCAGGCCAAAGAGTATTAATGATATTGAAAAAGGACATCAAAATGCAAACCAAATTCCTCCTGCTGTCGCCGTTGTCGATGAGGTAGACCGAAAGGGGCTGCCGACGGACAGCCAGGACGGACTAGAGTTTCCAGACGGTGGCTGGAGAGCTTGGAGTGTGTGCCTTGGAGTATGTAGTCTCCTGGTTGCTGCCCGGCTTTGGTTTCATTGACAGTCTGTTAGGGGGCTTGTGTCACCATTTCGACATTTGGCTATGTCAACTCGTGGGGAGTAAGTCACTCCATCACCTCGACAATTGCATCTAATTAAGCTATAGGCATTCCAAGCATATTACGAAGCCGTCAAGTTTCCTGATCACTCACCCTCTACAATGTACGTCCCAGCTTTCGACACTTCCCTAAGTAGCTAATTCTTTTTTCCAGAGCATGGGTCGGCTCTATTCAGTACTCGCTCATCTTTGTTCCGGGCCTCGTTGTCGGCCGTCTATTCGACAGAGGCTACTTTCGACTTCCCTTCATGTCTGCAAACTTCGTCTTTCTCCTCGCCACTTTCATGGTTGCCGAATGCCGTACGTTTCCCCAGGTCCTTGTCTGCCAAGGTATCCTCACTGGCATCGCCTGCGGCACAATGTTTTCCCCTCTTCTTGCTGTTCTCAGCCATTGGTTCAAGCGCCGTAGACAACTCGCCTTTGGACTCATTGCTGTCGGGAGTAGCATTGGTGGCACCGTCATTCCTCTCGTCGTCAAGGCGCTTCTGCCCTCTGTAGGGTACGTTTCCAGTGCCGTCCATCCCATTCTCACTGACCAATTTTCATAGATTCAAATGGACGATGAGGATACTCGGGTTCATCCTTCTCGGTACCACTTCCATTGCGAATCTAGTAAGCACCTCCCTTTTCAGATATGGATCCCTCGTCTTATTCAACCCTCAAGCTCCTCCGCCCGCGTCTTCCACCACGAAAACATGTCCGAGGCCGTCTAATTGACGTCTCGCAATTCAAAAACCTAGCGTTTAGCGTCTACTCCGTCGCGAGTCTAATCGCCTTTCTCGGTCTATACACAAGTATGTCAGCCTTTGCTGTTCTAATCGTCAACTCATCTCTTTCTAGTGCTCACCTATGTCGCAAGCTATGCGACTGAACGACAAATAATCAAGCAGAGCAGCGCGTACAACCTAGTCGCTATTGCAAATGCCTCGTCTCTCATCGGGCGTCTGCTAACAGGCGTGCTAGCCGACAAAAACGGACCACTGAATGTCATGACACCTCTGACTATCGCGGCGGGAGTCCTCACCTATGGTACGTGCAAGATTCTCTCCCCTCATAACACCCAGCTGACATCTTTCCTCGATATCTGGAAACAAAAACACAGCCTGGCCACAAACGCGCACCTTGTCCTCGCTCATTCCCATTACCGTCCTCTATGGCATCTCGTCAGGTGCCTTTGTTGCACTCTTTGGCTCACCTGCCGTCTCCATGGGCACGCACGATTCGGTAGGTGAGCGTACAGGGATGCTCTTTGTCGTCACTGCCATTGGCGCACTCGCGGGTCCACCCATCTCTGGCGCTATACGGAACAGTTCGCAAAATTGGACAGACGTCGGCGTGTATGCTGGTACCATGATCCTCTTTGCAGTCATCTTGATGACATGGACGCGATATCTTGTCTTGGGAAAATTATGGGGTGGCGTCATCTAAAGGACCAAAGGAGATTAAAAGAAACGGCATCTATATAAATAGATTAATATAAATGGATATATATAATTCCATCTGGTGATACAGAAGCATGCAGCCGAGAGCTCTTATGAGACGCCAGCCAGCTGACGTGCGAGGGCTTCCAGTTGCGCTGACTGTTGTCCTTGTGCTGAATCACCCGGATCAGCCCTCTCTATACCATGCAAATCACGCAATTCTGTCGCGCGCTGGAATACTATCGCGAGGTCTTCATGAGTTAGCAGTAGGGGTTCCGGCTCCTCCTCGCCAGTTTCACTTGCAAAGACCCCTGTTTCTGATAAATAGGGGTCACTTGGAGAGCTAGATGCCGCATAGGTTGTGTCAGGGGGACATGACGACGTGCCGTGTGTTGGAGCGAAGAGAAGGGACCCATCCAACTCTGTGATAGTATCTGTAACTTGCACTTCACTCCGCGAGGATAGGTCATGAGGTGTTCTCTCATGGCCCATTTGCCCCACGAGGTCTCGCTGTTGGCCGTGATGGCGCAGAAGGGCAGCCACCGAGTTACTGCTTCCATCATGACGCTGTAATTCGTTCCTCATCCTTAACTTGGTGATGTTTCCGGCAATATTTCCGGTCTGTATTGCGTTGGCAGCTGTATTATTCGGCTCCACATGCCTGTCCAGCACTGTGACATCCAAAGGAACGGGCGTTGCCTCAGATGAACTACCGTTACGGGCAAAGGTGCCAACAAACCGTCTACGAAGCGCAAAATTTTGGGCCGAGCCGTCGTTGATTTCGTATCGCTTGGGGAATAAACGATTTCGTACCCAGTAGCATAAAGTAAGGACCAAAATCACGAAGAGTGTTGGAATGAGAGCTGCGAGAAGCGTCGATTTGAGTTGAGAACTTCGCTCTGTCGGTCTTGTCAGTTGCAGATATATATCTGGATGGTAGAACTGTGATTCAGATCTGTGGCCATAAAAAAATCAAGTTGAGGCAATTAAGGATCAAGGACCCGCACCTTGCAAAATCAAAGGTCATGGTTCCATTGAGAAGCGTAAGGCGGAAGATGTAGCCTTGGGTTGAGTCAATTTGCCCGGTGTAATATAAGGGAACTTGGTATAGTGGGATATCGAGCTTTTGATTAAACTCGTCACCACCGACGCGCACGATGGCTTCCTTGCCCAAGACCCGCTCACCATCTCTGACTTTGAAGACTTGCGCTTTAGCCCAGGAAGATTCTTGGGTAAGCGCACCGTATATCCTGCAAGATAATTAGAGCCATCGAGTGGTGATAAGTATCAGTATTACCAGGTGGTTGGGTTACCGTGTGGCAAAACCGAAAGTTCGACCCAAGCGCCTAATTTGCTCGTTCTCGATATTGTCTTGTTGTTCGCAAACATGAAATTTGCTTCATGTTCCCAATCGTCCGGAGAATAATCGACAGCGTCACCCGTGTTGTCAATGTACCACGCCTCTTGGGGTACATTCAGAGCGTTGAGCCCAAAAGTAGTCGATCGAATGGTGGTCGTATTAAAAAGCATGCTATAGTGAGTTAGAGAGCGCACAGAGGGTGGCACCAGTCTTACTCAAAGCTATTGACCAGCAAGAGCGCGGATGAAGTCGTCCGCAATAAAAACTGATGGTCTCCGGGAGTGCCAGAGATAGTCGCGTCCACATTTGTGGCCACAATAGCTACACCACCCTTTGATAACGGTGGGACTTGTGTATATGAGGGGGTGAATATCCGTCCGTCTAGATATATGTCCATTGTCGGAGCGATAGGGAGGAGGTAGGAGTAATGCATTTTCATCGAATAACCTGTGTTCGTCATTGATTTGGCCTACAACATATATCGAAAAACTTGCCGTTGTAGGCGATCAGGAGCTCAGCACCTTTCGAGTTTGTTGACACATAATATGTTTTGTTTGCCCACTTTTCATCGTAGAACACGAATCCGTCACGATTTATTGCTAGGGGAAGCCATGCATTGGTGGCTCGGATGCTCATTGCAGACAAAAGGAGCACCAGAGTGAGGAGTCCGAGCCTCCAGTGGCTCATTATCAGTCAAGTTTCCAGGCAGTTGTAGTCGTGGTCGGGTCTAAATTGTGCTGTTTGTCGCCAACCGACCCTTGCAAAGAATACCGGCAAGTAGGACCGCTAAGTCCGTGTTTGTAAAGGCGTCCATGGCAGTCAGCAGTCAATATTGGCCTTGTCCCGCAAATATGTGTGGGAAAGTGCCAAGTCAATTGACGAGTGTAGTGCCCAAATGGAACAGATATCCTTCATTTGAGGGCATACGTATGGAAGTCGGGTGCGATGCTTTTCTCTAGATTATCGAAAGTTGATGATTGCGAGAAAGAAATGTTCAAGCCAAGGTCATATAATTTTGACTTGGAGCCGGGTCTCAGCGGTCATTCGGGTGAGGCTCTGAGGGACAAAAAGGTGTATCGTAGTTGGTTAAGAGAACAAGAGTGGCATTGTAAACGAATGAACGGATAATGCCGTAATTATGGGAGATTGATCTAACTAGGCTAGGTAAAGATGGGCGAAGATGCCTAGGTGTCCGTGGGTTGCACATCATCTATGCGGGTGATAAAGGTAGTGGTGACGGTGATAGGCGTGGGGACGGCAGCCACAAACGTCGTCACCTGGGTGTCGTACGCTGTAGTCGTGTAGGGAGTATATCCAATCGAGGTCGTCGTATACTCGGTCACAACCGTGGTAGAACCTGCAACGGGCTCAATGTCGACGGAAGACGAGGTGTACGATCCAACATTGACGGAAGACGTCTGGACTGGAAGGAAGTCACTCGTCTCTGACGTGTACGGGACATAATAGGTTGATGTAGCGGTGACGGCTGCAACATTACTCGAGACGGTTGGGAAAGTGTTGACGGCAACGGACGTGGTTGGGACCGCTTGGATAGACGAAGACGTCGTGGTAAAGTAGCCAATATCACTCGCCGTGAGCGTGAGAGGTCTGACAGTTGCAACACTCGTGGTGAAGGGAATTGCTTGCGTACTTGTCGTCGTAACTGGCGCGAAGAGAGTGGTGAGAATAGTACTCGTGCGCAGGGTGATGGGAGTGCGTGGATTAGTGTTAACGTCATAGACGGTAAAGCTGGATATGACGCTGCTCGTGTAGGTGAAGGTCTTCGTCGACAAGGAGGTTGTTGTGACGGGTACGGTAGCCGGCGTCGTCGTTGTGACCGGGAAATAGTTGGTTGTCGAACGGGTTAGTGGGATGGGCACGGTTGTCGAGCCGGTCAGAGGAACTGCCTGTGTCGTAGATCCAACAATAGGCACAACAACAGTCGTGCTACCGACGACTGGAGTGGCGATTGTGCTCGTCAGTGTCACGCCATTGATTACAACGGTCGTGGTCGTGTATGGGACAACCGTGGTTGTAGTGATCGTCAATGGTGCGACAATTGTGGTCGTATACGTCGCTGGTACAACAACATCCGTGGTCGTCGTAATCGTCTCTGCATACGATCCAGTTCCCTCAACTACGGTAGCAATAGTGGTAGCTGTCGTGAAAGTACCGATAACTGCCGTCGTAGTTGTAAAATCTGTGACAACCGTGGTCTCGGTAGGGCTTGCTGTCGAAGAGGCACTCTCGGTTTCTGACGCACTGTCGGTCTGACTGGCACTTTCTGTAGCAGTTGAGGACGCGCTCTCGGTTTCTGAAGCGCTCTCTGTCGCAGTGGATGATACACTTTCGGTTTCCGAAGCGCTCTCTGTGGCAGTTGAGGATGCACTCCCGGTTTCCGATGCACCCTCGGTGACAGTCGAGGACGCACTCTCGGTTTCTGAAGCACTTTCGGTCGCAGTCGACGATGCACTTTCGGTTTCTGAAGCACTTTCTGTGGCAGTCGAGGACGCACTCTCGGTTTCTGAGGCACTCTCCGTCTGACTGGCGCTTTCTGTGGTAGTTGAGGACGCGCTCTCGGTTTCCGATGCGCTTTCGGTGGCAGTCGAGGATACACTTTCGGTTTCGGTTGCACTATCGGTCTGGCTGGCGCTTTCAGTCGCGGTGGACGATGCACTCTCGGTTTCTGAAGCACTTTCGGTCGCAGTCGACGATGCACTCTCGGTTTCCGATGCACTCTCAGTGGCAGTCGAGGACGCACTCTCGGTTTCTGAAGCGCTCTCTGTGGCAGTTGAGGATGCACTCTCGGTTTCCGATGCACTCTCGGTTTCTGAAGCACTTTCGGTGGCAGTCGACGATGCACTTTCGGTTTCTGAAGCACTTTCGGTGGCAGTCGAGGACGCACTCTCGGTTTCTGAAGCACTTTCGGTCGCAGTCGACGATGCACTCTCGGTTTCCGATACACTCTCGGTGGCAGTTGAGGACGCGCTTTCGGTGGCAGTCGAGGATGCACTTTCGGTTTCGGTTGCACTATCAGTCTGGCTGGCGCTTTCAGTCGCGGTGGACGATGCACTCTCGGTTTCTGAAGGGGTGTCGGTCGCAGTCGAGGATGCACTCTCGGTCTGGCTAGCGCTTTCCGTGGCAGTTGAGGAAGTGCTCTCGATTTCGGAAGCGCTCTCTGTGGCAGTTGAGGATGCACTCTCGGTTTCCGATGCACTCTCGGTGGCAGTCGAAGACGCACTCTCGGTTTCTGAAGCACTTTCGGTCGCAGTTGACGATGCACTCTCGGTTTCTGATGCACTCTCGGTTTCCGATGCACTCTCAGTCTGGCTGGAGCTTTCTGTGGCAGTTGAGAATGAACTTTCGGTTTCCGTTGCAACCTCAGTGGCAGTAGAGGATGCACTCTCGGTTTCCGATGCACTCTCGGTCTGGCTGGAGCTTTCTGTGGCAGTTGAGAATGAACTTTCGGTTTCCGTTGCAACCTCAGTGGCAGTAGAGGATGCACTCTCGGTTTCCGATGCACTCTCTGTCTGAGTAGCGCTTTCAGTTTGAGTGGCGCCAGTTGAGGTCTCGTAGACATCGAGTCCATTAGGTCCTCCGCAACGCTCCTGATGATTACCTACGAGAGAAGCTCTGTGAGTACTAGCCTTTTATCACGCAGAAACAAAACTTACCAGCACACGCCATGTTGCATCTGCCATCTGTGGCACGATCTTCGGGCTTGACGTTTCCACACCAGCACTCGTTTGCGTACTCGAGCCCTGCGTAGACGTATCCGAGAGCATTGCAAGCGTCGATACAAGTCTCGATTGTTTGATCGCTACCGTGCTCCAAGGCAACTCGGTTTGGAAGCACTCGGGCGTCGACAGCGTCCTTGTAGCAGCCAGCAAACGACCTTCCACCGTAAGAGTCGATCGGTTCCGGAGGCGTGACAGAAGTGGTCGATTGGTACACGCTCAGGCCATTGCCACCGCCGCAGAGCTCGTTGGCGTTTCCGGCGCACGCCATATTACAGCGACCATCATTAGCTATTTCTGTCGGAGGAGTATCACCACAATAGCACTCGTTTGCATACTCGAGACCGGCGTAGCCGTAGCCAGCGTCATGACAGGCGTCCAAGCACTTTTCGATGGTCATCGGGCCAGAGACGGCGACGCCAACGGGGAGCGCTCGATTCACGACCGAGTCCACATAGCAGGTGTCATACTCCCACGTCTTGTACGTCGCAAGGTTAGAAAGACTACTCGGGTTGGATGGGGGCAAAGGCGTGCCAGTGTAGACGCTGAGACCATTTCCACCACCACAAATTTCGCTGTTGTTACCTAGAGGGGATAAGTATCAAGCCTGTACGCTCGGCCGGTACCCACCTTCGCATACCATGTTGCATCGGCCATCGTCCGCTACTTGCGTTGGTGCTACGTCGCCACAGAAGCACTCGTGGGCATACTCTACACCAGCATACGCATATCCAGCACCTTTGCAAGTGTCGATACACTTTTCAATGGTCATACCGCCGGAGACGCCCAATTGGTGAGGCAAGACCTGGGCAAAGTGAGAGACTGTGATGGCCAAATTAGAAAGAGACATACTCTGTTGGCTACTGAGTCGACGTAGCAATTGTCATACGCATAGCCGCTGTAGGATGCGAGGTTGGATGGGCCAGAGGGGGGAAAGGGACCGGAGCCGTTGTATTGATATACCGTAAGGCCAAGACCACCACCACAGATTTCATTATCGTCACCTAGAGGTTGAAGGTCAACCAGCGAGCCTCGAAGTCAGACAAGGCACTTACCCTGGCAAGGCATGTTGCAACGACCATCTGTAGCAGGTGTAGGAGGAAGAACGGAGCCACAAAAGCACTCCTGGCTCCACTCAAGTCCGGCAAAGGCGTATCCGCTGGTGTGACAAGCATCCAGACATTTCTCGACAGTCATCCCGCCAGAGACTGCCTGTGCGTGAGGGAGCACTCGAGCACCGACGTCGTCCTCATAGCATCCAACAGAGTTCCAGTCGTTGTAGGACAGAACGACGGAAGCCGCACGTACGGTGTGGGTAAGGAGGAGAGGGATTAAAGGAATGGCGATGGCCAGCATGCTTGGCCAGCTAGAGAGCGACTCGAGATCAAAGAGAGAACGTGTTCGGGATCAAGACGCGTATAAAGGAGGGCTACTAGAGCCGAGCTTTCCCTGATATATATACACCTGCCAAACGCCACCCGACGTGTCTTCCAGCACGGAGGCGCTTTGTTCAAGGGCTAAGGGGACTGATTTTTGCCTTGTATTCTTCTTCATTGATGAGCAGCAAAGGTCAGGAAATAGGTAGAGTAGTTTGCAGCGCAGATGGAGTGATCTTGCAAGAGTTACCAACGGTTCACTCCTGATACACCACCGAAGGAATCGGTTGATCTAGAATGCTGGCGCATGCGTATCCGAGTCTTCCTCCCGAAAGCTTGCTATATTAACGCACTTACGTTAACCAAACGACTCCGCTGTCGCGGTTGGCCTCCGCTACATCTAATTGCGGAGTTCTGGGCCCAAAAAAGTCAGAGTCGCGAATTCTCTCACACGCGATGGATACGAGGATAGCGGCATTGCAACGCCCAGATGTCAAAAAGGTCTGATCCATGGCACCACCCGGTCCCAAACTCGTTGAACCTCGTTATGTGCCCCCAGATGGAGTGATTTACCATGAATCGCTGACAGTGGATTCCTGTTCGGTATCGAGGAAGGCGGAGCTCGGTCCCGGCGTCTGACAACCTTTCGGTAGCGATGGGCCATGCAAAATCCCGCTAGCAATGCCAAACGTCCGCACTCAATTCGTCCAGATTGATAAAAGAATTGATTCTAATGATACACCAAGTCCATAGTAAAAAGTCCTAATTGTCCGCTAATGCTGATACGCCGGCCAACTGTCGCGCGAGCGCTTCTAATCGTTCCGCTTGTTGGCCTTCGTTCAACTTCTCCAAATCCGCCGGATTTGCAGATCCATGCAGTGCACGCAACTCGGTTGCCCGTTGAAATACCAGCGCCAGATCCTCATGCGTCAGCATCAAAGGCTCTATAGCGGCTTCCCCCCCTCCATTGTTGTCGGTAATTTGCGCCGACGGAACACTTGCAGGTTCCATAAAGGATTCGACCTCGCTCGTCGAGGGGATATAGGAGGTCGTGGCCGAGAAGCGGAGCGATCCGTCCAACCCGGAATTCTCATTCTCCTCGGCAGGTATTCCAGATTCCGACTCAAACTCGTAGCTGGACGCGTCTGAGACTCCATGTACGGCCGTCCGGTTCCCAGTATTGGTCAGCATGAGGGCGACCACAGAGCCAGCACCCTCATTATTATCCAGGACCTCCCCCCGCAACCTCAATTTAGGATTGTGGTTTTGGAAGAATCTGGAGCCTGGAATCGTATTCGTCGATGTAGCAGAGACACCGGCTGGTGTTGTCGCGCCCGTGGGTGTATAGGATCTCGTGGGAGCAAGTATGTCCGAGTCGAATGGAATGGGTATCATCAACGATAATTCCTTTCCAGCGACAGTGGTTTTCCCAACGAACTGCGGACGTGACCGTCGCTTTCCGACCCGTATTCTTTCGCGACTCTGTCGATAGCGACGCCATCCAATACAGCCCAGAATAGCGAAAAGCGCAATAAATATGATTGGAAGAATAGTGGCTATCAGGATTGTTTCCAGACTGAGGCTAATTCCTTTGGGTGGACGTTGGAGAAACCACTTGGGTGAGAAAAACTGGGATTGGCTTCTGGGTAGGTGTTAGAGCAGACTGGACCAGAAAGTGAATAGGCAAGTATACCTGGCAAAGTCAAACGACAGTGTGCCGTTGAGGAGAGTCAAGCGGATAATATAAGCCTTGGTGGATTCGAGTTTGCCCGTAGAATACAAAGGTACTTGATGGATAGGTGAGTCTAGAGGTTTGTGAGATTCGTCACCGCCGACACGAATGATGTCCTCCTTGCTCGGTATTCTATCATAATCGTCGACTCTGAACAACTGCGCTTTGGCCCAAGAGGACTCTTGAGAAATCATACCATATAGCCTGTGAGCGTGAGTGAGAAGACGCTAAGTTGGTATTGATCGGAAGGCTATACCATGTACTAGGATCGCCGCGCGCGTCTACCAAGACTTCCACCCATGCGCCAGGGGTGCTTGTGAGCGAAAGCGTCTTGTTATTTGCAAGGGTCTTGTGTGCACCCAAGTCCCAGCCCTCGGGCGAGTATGCCACAACATCGCCTGTATTATCGACATAAGATGCCTCTTGGGGGATATTACCGGCGTACAGCCCAAATGTACTTGAGCGAGCGGAGCTTGAGTTGAAGTGAATTCTAGGTCGGATGAGAAACGCGTTCGTATGACGCAGAAGTTTACCTACTCGAACCCTGTGAGAAAAACGACCACGGAGGAGGTCGTGCGCAAAAGAAGTTGATGATCACCGGGGGCATCACCGACGCTTATAATCCCGTTGGTTTCTGCCTCCCTTGGATCCGAAGAGTTTAGGGATGAAGTCACGGTCATATTGTTGGGCTCGATGGCACGGCCGTCTAGATAAATGTCGAATGTTGGGTGGACAGCATGGTGGTATAGAGTAACTACATCGACAGAATATCCTATAAATCTCTGTCAAGCATATGGAAACAGGGAAAAAAAACAAGCGCACCGTTGTATGCAAAAAGAAGTTCGGCGCCTGTCGAGTTTGCTTCTACATAATAGGTACTATTCGTCCATTTATCGTCGTAATGAACAAATCCGTCCCTATTGACAGCCATTGCTAACCATCCGCTCGAGCCATGTGTACCAGAAACGGCCAATGCGAGCAGCCCAAGTACATGAGCCACAAGCCTCCAGAGGCTCATGTGAACGGAAGGCAATACAGGGTGTCGTGGTCGGGTCCAAGTGTTGTCATGGATAAATTCTCGTCGACCGCATGGACCCTTTTATACAGTATTGGCAAAGACCGTTAAGTCCGTCGAAAGCTTGCCACCAATCCTGAGGTATTTAAAACTGTCCTAGGTTACAATAGGACTGTTTTGAAGATTTCATATACATATAGTTCGTGAGGCTGAATGGTCTTATTGCGTCGGTCAGTGAATCCAAAATCTCATAGAAACAGCAGACCTACTCTATAACGAAGGCTAGTCGATTTCATTCAATAAACTATCCTGGTCTATATTCTTGAGGTCCTTGCTGGGGTATCATGGGAGCGAGCGAGATTCTGCACATCATGCTTCCGTCCTCTATACCATTGCAAAAAAAGTGGCCAATGATAACCGCAGCGTATATCGAGCAAACCTGCTCCGACCGATCATTGAATGGCTGGCTAGAAGGGTGACGACGGATGGACTTGGTACCGCTCTTTATACATTCCAAATGTATATTACATCCAGATATACACTCAGTGTATTAGCTACATCCCCCTACAGTCTAGGCTGACACCCTTCTTCTGTCTGTCAAACTTCGCACCAATGCTTCCAGCTTGTCCCCTTCTATGTCTTCAAGCGGTGGCGTCTTCCCGATCCCCGCCAGAGCTCTGAGCCCTTTAGCACGTTGAAATACCAGTCCTAGTTCCTCGTGAGATAATTGTATATCCTCTTGTCTCTTTGCGCAGAAATTCTTCTCCGTCCAGTTTTCGGAGGAGACATAGGCAACACTCTGCTCACTGGTAGAACAGGAAGAATTAGAGGCTGAAGGTGAAGCTGATAGGGCTGCCCCAGACCGCCGTATCAGCAATGACTCCAATCTAAATATCGTCCAACTGGGACGCACAAGTTTTTGAACATCCTTCTCATTCTTTTGTTCATCTCCAATAGTGCTTCGGCTAATATGCAAGGGGCTGGCTAGTGGCGCTTTCACAGTATCTTTCCCAACATACTGGTCCTGGCGTCTTCTTTGTCTGGACCAGATAGGAATAAACGTCAGAACCACAAGTAGTAGCACTCCAAGGACGATCAGGGCTGCAATCCAATCTAGAACCCTCCCTGGTGCACGGATGGGCTCTCATAACATCATATCAACATGTCAACTGTCACACTGATGAGCGAAGCTTGCTATATACATTGAGTTTATTCTCGTGATGGTCCGAGCACTGCCCAAATGTATCGGAAGACTCGTCGATTCAGATAGCGCCTATACACAACGCTCCTTGTTCATATAATGTCAATGGCCATTAGTTATATGCATTATTTAGCTAAATTTAATATATAACTATCAAGGTTGAGCTCACCCAACTGAAATCTGTGTAGACGCATATAGTCTTGGGTAGTCACTATCTGGGCTACACAAGGCTACATGTTTCTACACAAAAATACACACTCAGACGGTTTTCTTGATGCACCCTGGCACTACCATCTGGTCATGCCCGCCGGACTCCAGAGAGGGCACAGGCTTAGTTGATGCGTCCCCACAAGGAACACGCAGATTCAGATGGCGAGCTTGACTTGGACCCGACGAAACTGTCCTGCCGGATAGATGGCTATAGCTACGCCCCAATCAGTCACCTATGGCAGTCAGGTACAGAGCAAACCTGCACGAAGTCACTAAGAACATAAGTGCAGGTTTCCTGTGGAATCCCCGGAAATCCACAGCAGTAATGCCGTGACACGGTGTGATATCCCTACAAACAAAGACCAACCTAGTCCAGATCTGTGCATTCACGACACCTCTGCTAAGATGTTCCCTAAGGTCACCTGGAGACGCTCGTCCGACATGGCACCACTATGCCGCAATTTTACCATCTATGCGTTATGGATAGTACTAAGCTCCAGTTTATGTAATGTTATTGTCCCCAGGGTTTCTCACTATCCATTGCGCTCAAGAATGCTGTTAGCTTGCCTGGCTTATCATAGGCGAATTGGTCACAAAGACTTGATAGTTCAGGCCCGGAGGTCGAAGCGACCCTGATGGCCAGACCCATGCACGCAAGTGGCACGACTAATTTGAATAGACTAACCACGACGATGCGCGATATTGTATAAGCTGTTTACCATCTTACCGTGGTGTCCCGTCGGAAGGCTCATTGGAAGGCCCGAAAGCCGGAGTGTCCCCCCGACCCGCTTGAATAGCCTTACTTTGACGACGTGCGATATTGTATAGGCCGTTTACCATCTTACCGTGGTGTCCCGTCGGAAGGAAGGCCCGAAGGCCGGAGTGCCCCCCCTGACTCGCTTGAATAGACTTTGACGACGTGTGATATCGTACAAGGTGTTTTTTATCTCACTGAAAACACATACAAGCTGGTGGCTTGTTCGCTGAATCGATTGAAGTCATGGTAAGTCTTTATCCAGTCAACGTGATGCCAAGAAATTTCTTGGTTGACAAGATGCATGTCAGCCACACGTCACGGCAATTTCGCCGTGGATTCATGGCTAATTTAACAACTTGGCCTGTGGTGGCACGGTGGACTTCGAGGGACTTAAGCAGATTAGCCCTAAATCACTTGCTTGATCGTATCTAACCATCTTTTCGAACAATGAGCATCCAAATATCATGCAACCACGCCCCAGACACCTCGCAGCGATGACAATTGCTGCAAATCTGGTACGGACATAATATTGATCGTATGAATTAGCTTGCTAACTCATCTTAAGGGACCTATCTCCAGTCAGCACGACTCAGTCTGGCAATAGAGCAACACTGGTTGGCCCCCCTTACCGTCTTACCCAGCCACCTTGCCATACGGGCCCACAAACCAGGCATACAATCCTTAAACATCACAAATGATGCATCAGCAAGTACCTTTCAATGGTGATCACTCCGTTAGTGGTCAACACCTCAACGAGATCAACGGACTGAGCGATGATTGCTCACAACAAGGTGTGGATGCGCGTATATGGAATTTTTATCATGCTGAAAATGCTCTAGTCGGTATCAACAGCCAGCAAGACCAACACAGGGTTATTGGTAACAACTTTGAGTCGGACCGGCCCATGTCTGATTGTGAGAGCGAGGAAGACACAGATGGCAATGAACAGGTAAATGGTAATATGCTGGGACTCAATGCTGACACATATCGAGGCTTTACAGGTGGTTCGACAGCAACCTGCAATCAGGAAACCACACAAGCAAGCACCTGTAGACGCCTCGGAGAGCGATGATAATGTGGACATGGACTCTGTTCATCACTTGCGTACAGGATACCGCATCAATTTATCACGTCGCAAGAATCGTTATACACCGCCAGTGTCAAATGCCAGTAAATTGTGGAAATATGCAACATCTGCACAGAATCCGCAGAGAATCCGTGCTGTCATTGGCAACAATGATCAAGTTACAGACGAGATGCGTGAACTTGTCGCTCGCCGCCTGGCCATGCCGACAGCAATTCCTATCCCTCTGGAAGACGATGATATGAACGTATGGGAAGGTTTTGTGGATATATACACTTCATGTTAACAACATTTGAAACTAATGACCTTTGTGTAAGGTTGTTTCATAGTTCGAAAAGTGATCCTTACGACATCATTATAGGCACCAGCGCGCTCTGGTCGAGGCCCATTTCTCCTCGTTAATGGAAGACACTTACGACGCCTTTGGCTGGCCAGCATTTTGCACCGTCTTTGTTCCAGGCCCTCAAGGAGCACCGCCAGAGGCAAAGATGTATGTCGAACACTCTCTTATCTGGCTTGGTTATCTAATTGGCCGTAGATTTGATATCAAACCGAGGAAGGCACTCTCACTACCAGATTGGCAGGCGAAGTTCGAACCAAAATCTCGGCCTATCCAGGCATTGCCTCAAAAGTATGCAAATTATCTCTGGTTGGAACATGGTGAAGGATGTTTGTCATCTTTTGTTGTATGTGCAAAAACTAATGATTCCCTAGTGCAGAATATCGACGAACCCAATGAACTGTCATCATCAAATGCTACCCGTAATTCCGCCCTTGATATTGAGTCAAGTCAGGCAGGCAAGCGGAGAGCAAATGCATCGAAGGACCACCGTCAGGTGAAGATCAGGAAAATAGCTGTCAACTTACCACAGGAGGGTGACAAACTTCCATACAAGGTGGCTCATGGAGATGTGGTACTAACTATATATGACATACGTGATGGTATCTACTTGGTTGAAGAGATCAATAATGGGGGTTTTGAGAACCACCACAAGAACAAGACCCTTGTCTGATTCTTGACTGCTAATCGCCTTGGTACGCGCACATTGGCACATCCAACAACCTAACTTAGTGCCTAGTTCGTGTTGGCCGAGCTCATAACATTGACGCTCCTATTCCCTGGACCTTGCTGGAGAGCAAGTTGGCCGACATTGCGTGGATTGACTACTTTCCCAAGACTAACGACAGTGGATGTGAGGTACCCATTCCTCTTCCCTTCACACCGAAGGCCGTGACAAAGGCACATCTGGAACATTGGTTGAGCTTCTTCGCGGAGCACCAGGCCAACAAAATTCCTTGGGAGAAAGGGCTAATCTTCAAACCGACACCAAAGGCCAAAGCCATAGTCACATTTGCACAAGGTACCGTAACTCGTTTGGTTTCTTTCCTATTCTTATGGCCCACTGCTTTAGATTCTATTCCACACCCTCTCCAAAGCTCTCAAGATGCCGGTGAGTTACTTTGCCCGGTGCAAATCAGATTCTAATCCAAAACGTAGTAAATTCCCACAATGGTTGGTCATTCTACTATTTGGAGAAGCAAGTTCTAATCTTGCAAAGATGATCTTGATCTTGGTCCCCCAAGCCGTGGACGTGCAGGCGATTCTGTGGGAACTGGCAGTACGTCATGGTATGGAGACGCGATCAGCACACTGATATAGAATAGGTAATGCCACTTGTCCAAGCGACATACCTTCACAGTCTGTTAACATAACCCAGAACCCGCGTCTGTTGGAAATTGGCGTGCCGACTACCTTTCCAGACCAGTCTCTGCAAAATGTTTCACACGTCTTGGGACAGCAAGTTATCCACACCGGTGTAGGAGGCCACGACGACAACCTCACAAATGTCAACAGCACTCTTGTGAACAAACCTTCCAGTTCAGCTCGTACACTGCGTAATAGGCAAAAAAGCCTGCAGCCTCAACAACGCCTACCCCAAGAGGCACACCGAAGGGCTGTAGGTGTCAGGGGCACAAGGAAAGGCAGTCGTAGTATTGTTTGAATCACTCTATATCTAGTATAAATGATATACATAACTCTATTATCACCTCTAAGAGATACGATGGGGATATTAATGGGCTGAGGGTCGTAGATCCTCTAAGGGCTACGAGAAGGAGGGAACGAGGAGGTGAAGGTGCTCGGTAAGCCACATAAGCCCACTAGCCTGTCTCCCGCCGCTTCATCCACATTTCCCGTGTTTAATCCCAACGCCTTGACCGTCCCACCCGCCCCGCATACAACCTCATTCACTCCCATCATACCCAACGGGACCGTTCACGGACGCGCGCAATTCCGTTCGGAACAAAGGACTATTCGCCCGACAACACTATCCCCGGGTGCTTCAGCGTGGCGTTGATCGGCGACCCCGGCGTGCTCTTCCTCTTACTTCACAACTTTGTTGCTAGTTCATTGTATTCCTGCCCACCCATCCCATTTCCCGCCCGCCCGTGCCTGCCGATCGCCTACGCTCCCCCACACAAACGGATAGCGCGCGTATCACCAAAACCCCGCATGTATCCTAACCACCTACATATATATGACCCTCAGATACGCTTACAAGTATAGCCAACCGAGATGAGCGACGCACTCGTAGCTGAGGTGGGTTACCAAGATTGGGATTGTGCGGGTTTGTAACTCGGAGCCCTGATGATCAAGTATGGCTTTGATATGTGGGATATTCATAGTACACCCTCCGTTAACACAAATCAGACACGTTAGCGTGCTCACCGGATGTGCTCCAGGTCAGTGGCCCAAAAAGGCCAGTATGATACCGGTGTTACAAAAGATTATCACCACCCCGTCGGGAGGCGCTGGATGGCAGACGGTACATCCACCTTCCCATTTCTCATGGGAGAAAGCATATCTCGGCCACAAGTTTTATTGGAAGGGCTGGACTTGTTGCTCATGAGAGGACAGCAAAGGGGGGTCTGAATGCAATTTGGCCAGGAACACTACGTGCGAACCTTGTAGCCAGACAATCTACCTAATCCATGCCAGGAACCCTGAAGATACGGTGACACCGCGACAAAAGCGCATGCAGCCGAGTGACCGGCCAAACGAAAGCGCGACTCCCCCCAAGCTACCAGAACTCCCATTAAGCTTGAGCAGTCGCCGATCAAGGTCCCGTGTCGTTAGCTGCGAGTAGTTCCATCTGTGCATAGCCAGTCACCAACGAGAACGTTTGACATGCAATAAGCTTACAATAGTAGTCCCTTCATTGAGATGATGACTTTGTGGATCCAAAACTGTGGCACGACGCCGAAGGGCTACTGGCTCAGTATGCATTCTCTTCAAAGCTTTTGCATCGTTGATTTCTTCGGCGATGCGACAAACGTCCACAGCGCTGACGAGGAGCCCTTTGAAGACAGTCGGTCGGGGCGCTGGCTTGGTTCCATTTTTCGGGCCGTTCTTCGAGACCCAGGCTTCCAGTTGTATGACCACCGAGTACACGAAGCTCCTCGTCGCCCTTCAAACGATGCGAAGCTCAGCCTCCAGGAGCATACCACAACGGGCCAAAAGGTTGCGGATAGGTTCGACGCCGACGTACGGATCTTTGCGTATTTTGGCAATATTGAAACTAGAGAGGTTGCATTGCGGCTGCCACCTGATCGCCACTGGAAGACCAGTCACTTCAATCCCCTGGCGGGCAGATACCGAGGCGAGGCTGCCTTTGTTTGGAGCGTTCCTCACCTGGGCTATGTTTTGACATGGATTCCACAGTACGCCACGATCTATGCCAACTTCGTGGCCATAGGGATTGCCAAAGCTGTACCAATGGAGGCGCCGCAGGGTTTGCGACAGGGTTCGCCGCGATTGAGGATCTAGGATCGGCACAAATCATCGGTCCTCGTTAGAACACCCGGAATCATTTGTATGCCCAATACGACTCTAGATAGACGATAGTTTACAGTGAAATATATAGTTTATAATCCTACAGTACTGCATTCTCATTAGTTTGTCCTCATTCCAACCCAGCCAACTGTCTCGCAAGTGTCTCTAAATTCTCCTGTTCTTTTCTTTCCTCGAGCCTTTGCCTATCTTCGTCGTGTCCGTACTCGGCAACGCGGTCTTGCAAAGTACGCAACTCGGTGGCACGCGCAAAAACGAGAGCAAGCTCTTCGTGTGTCATCGCAATCGGTTGATCTTCGTCTTCGGCCCCCTCTCCATCGTCGGCACTAGATACCAGAGGACGATCTGTCAAAGACGAAAGAGTGTTGCTGAGAAGTAATGTCGTTCCAACGCCGACTGGTGATTCTGTGCTGCGCGTTGACCTTGTTTCTGCCGTTGGAGTACCCGTCTGACGTTCCACACCGGAAGACGTGTTATGTATTCGCGACATCTTGGTGCCCGCATTCATCCTTGTTCCAGGTCCAGTAGTCTCGTAGGGATGGATGGTGTACCGCCGTTTGACTGATCGTCCAACGAAATTTGCGCTTTTCTTACCAATTGATGGGTGATTCTGTCGTCGATATCGTCGGCGCCATATCAGGAATAGGCCGATAGCGGCGAAGATAGAGAACAATGGGACAAGAACACTGACGAGGATGATGACTGTTTCGGGAGTGACACTCTCTGGCAGATCCTCGTATGTCTGGAGCGACGTAAATGTTTGGAAGTTTGTCCCAGATCTGTGTCACATCTTAGAATAGCTCGCAAAGGGTGATAAAATTGAGCATACCTGATATAATCCAAGGAGAATGTTCCCTCCAAGAGCGTAAGCTTGACGAGATAGTAGGTATCAATGCTGAAGCCGTCGAGCTTGTACAAAGGAACCTGGTAGAGGGACGTTCCCAGGGCGTTTCCACTGTCATCACCACCAACGCGCACAATCTCCGTCACGTTGATTGGGTCAGAGCGATGATAGCTGTAAACTTCGACCTTGATAAACGACGTGGTTGTTTCCATCATGCCATAAATCCTGTAAGCAGTTAGGTATCTTCCAGGAACGCAAGGGATGACGTGATCTGCTCACCAGAAAGAGGCACCTTTGCCGACCATCGCCATTGCTATCCATGAACCGGGAGTACTCGTAGTTGAAAGCGTATTATTCCACGCAAAAGAGTCGGCCGTGCGGTTTTGCCATCCATTGGAGCGTAGAATACGCGAATCCTGATCGTCTAGGATGCCTGCGTCGCGTGGCACCTGTGTCGCCCGGTTACCATATAGTGTAGATAAAGGATTTGTTGATGCGTATGTGATACTACTCAAAAGTAAGTACAACAATCCTGAGACCTGGGAACTTACTTGAGCGAGTCCAGAGTGATTGCCGAGTCCGAGGATACATCAATACGTAATTGGTGATCCATTTCGGATCCAGAGATGAAGGTTGTACCGTTGGATGTCGAAGCGCTTATATTCGTAATGTTCATGGGACGATTGACGGGCACTCCATCCAACCATGCTCTGTGGTCGATCGATGAATCGGCTTGGAAGTGATAGCCGAGTGAAAGAGAGGATCCTGGAAACCAGTGAGCGTCACCGGAGGAGAAGAGAAGATGCGAACCTCGATAGAACACCAGAAATGATCCATTTGTCGTACTTATTCCCGTGATTTCCGTATTCCAGTGGCTATCCTTTTGAATAAATGTGTCCAGCGCGCTTTGAGCCGTCGCTATGAGTGTTTCCGCTGCCACTGAGGAGAGGAGTAGTGACACAAGAGTGAGGATGAAGAGCATTGTCGCTCGTTTTTTACAAAGAGATTGAAAATGCGATACGGGAGGTTGACCTAAATAACTAGAGATTCGCATTATGAGCTCGATGTGGCACAGGTCGTCCACGAACAAGAGTTACCGTGTAGTGTATTCGAATAATACGTCTATCTGGGGGTGCGACTTGAAGTATATTTCGTAGACTAGTCGGTCATGGTTGCGTCCAAGCTGCGCAAAGCAGGGCACAGCCGCGAATCCAAACTTGACCTCGACCACCTTGGACGTTGAACTAGAATTACTACAAACAGCATGTCGCAACAGAATCCAGACTCGCGTCCACTTCCCGACGGCTGGGTCTCAGAGTTTTCGCCACAGTGAGTGGTCCATTACGCCATCCACGGGTGATTTGCTGATTTCATGAGCGACTAGATGGAATGCTTGGTATGTTTATTCGGTTCTGAATCGTCTACTACAACGTCTACGCGCTGCGTCGCGAGTCGTCATTACTGCGTCTTTGCTCCTCAGGAGATGGAGATGGGATATGAAGACTGCCAAGGCAGTCTAGCAGAATCTTCAATGCTCCTGTGGACAATAAGATCGCCTGTTGCGGTCAAATTCCGACGCGGCCAAATGTCTGATGGGATCACTGAATTCACACGCTGCGTCCTAGGTACTATGTGAACACCAAAGAGGTCAATCCACAGCCCGGATGGACCCACCCCTTAGATATCAATCAACCTGCTCCAGCAACGGCTACACCAACGGGAGGAGCAGCAGCTGGAGAGCCAACAAACCCCGACACGCGCCCACTTCCCGACGGATGGATCCAGCAGTACAATCCCGATCACAAGACATTCTTCTATGTAAACACCAAGCACGCTGATCCTGGAAGCACTGTCACCTGGACGCATCCAGCGGAGACGGCGGCAGGAGGAATCCCACCGACGAATCCTCAGAGCCCCGCAACGGCGTCGACGGCACATACAGCACAATCCCCTCCTCCTTCAACACACGGAGCTGGAGATGTTCATGCGACAGCGCCAACAAATAACACGGCCGGAGGTGTAGCCTCCACGGGGGTGCCTGGAGGATACGGAGAGAATCCAGATAAACGGCCACTACCGACAGGTTGGATCTCCAAGTATGACGAAAACTACAAGGCATGGTATTACATCGATACAACTAAATCTGACGGGCCCTCGAGCTGGGAGCATCCTGCAGACAAACCTGGTGCGGCTTCCCCTCCCGTGCCAGACCACGGTGCTTCGACGGCTGGTACAGGAGGTCATGTCGCTGCACCTGGATCCACGACAGGGCCTGCAACGCCAGCGGGATCAGAGAACCCTGACAAGCGACCTCTTCCGCCTGGATGGATCACCCAGTTTGACAAGAATTACAACACATGGTACTATGTCAATACGGCAGAACACCCCCCTCGTACCGTTTGGGAACATCCAGCAGGACCAGCGCCTCCCACCCCCCAGCACCAGCAATCTTCCTACGGTGCGCCAACTTCGACACCAGGAGCCCCTGCTGCTGGCGGGTACAACAATGACCCTTCCTATGGTAATCACGGTGCAGCGGGAAGTGGAGGAGGCAAAGGACTAGAAGGCCTCCTCGGCGGCAGCGCAGGCAAGATGGTTGGCGGACTCTTTGGTGCCAAGGGACGTGCCCAAATGGACAGCTTTGCGAACAAGATTGGCGGTGAAATCAACAAGTATAAAACCAGTCACCCGCCTGGTGGTGGTGCTGGCGGTCACGGCGCGCCTCCTGGTGCTCCTGGGCAGCAACCACATCAAGCGTACGGCGCTCCACCTGGACAATCTCAACCTTATGGAGCGCCACCCCCGGCAGGCGCACCTGGACAGCATGGCTACGGATCGCCAGCGGGTGCACCGGCTGGATATCCAGGCCAACAACCTCAGCAGGGATATGGCCAACAACCTGGATACCCAGGTCAACAAGGATATGGACAGCAACATGGAGCACACGGACCAGGTAGTGGTGGACATGGAAGTGGCGGGTTTGGAGGCCTACCGAGCAACCTCAACCAACTTGGTTCGCTCGCGGGCAAATTTGGTTTTGGAAAGAAATAGTGGACGAACGACGTAATCTATGCGCGTGGAACCAAATTGATTATATGAAGATGTACATTTCATTGTCCTTGAGTGTCCATGTCTGTAAGAGTCCGTTTTCTCTGCCTCATCATTCAATTAGTATCGTTGTTGTTCGAATGGTTGGCGTCCGTATTTGCGTTCCTCGCTCGTCAACACGATCGATGTCCTCGTGGAGACGGAGGCTCGATCAGGCGTTGGGAAAGGAACGGGCTTTCGCAAAGGCGAGGGCACATGCGCTGGTCGATGGTGGCCCGAGCCGCCGCTCGTCGTCGTCTTCATGGAGCTTACACTTCCACGCGACGTACTTCGATAGTGTCCACTTGTCCCTTCTTCACCTTTCCTCTTGTCCGCTGGGTACCCTAGTGTAGACGCTTGGAGCGAATTGGCTAGTGGGGATGCCTGTGATTGGTAAACCTGCGAGGAGCTGGTAGCTCGGTGATGTTGGGGGGATGTTCGCTGGGAGGACGCCCGAGACGCTCGTGGCGGCTGGACTTGTTGGGATGAAAGGTTTAAAGATGGGAATGAACCCGTCATAACCCCGCTCGGGTAGCGCCTTTCGGAGCTGATAGATGATGTGCGTGAAAGTCGCTCCGTCCAAAAGGCATGCGGGTTTGAAGGCGGGCTACCCTTCTTGCTTTCGTCGTCGCTCAAGGCGGTGAGTGCGACAGGCATAGGAAGCGTCAAATCTGCCTTTTCAGTGGCGTAGTTTGATCCCTTCCTCGTGGTCTGTACATCTTTGGGCCGGAATGAGAGGAGAGATGCGTCAAGGTAGAACGCATTCGTCTTCTTGTCTGTGGGCTTGGTCCGCATATTCTGAACAAGAGCGAGGGTGAACACAAGTAGGGCGTAAGAAAGAAGAACTGCTGAATTAAGCCATGCGAAAACTTGGAGCAGCGTGAATTGTATGCATTCAGATGCAGCTTCATCGCCAAAGACTAGCATGATATCAGAGATATGACGGAAGCAGCCTTAGAGGAACATACATTGCTTGTATTCACCACAAGACAGAGTGAAAACTGGCGTCGAGGTTGTGACCACGGCAACTAGCAGCCACACGAGCCAGAGCACTCCGACCCAAGCTAGTTCGACGATGACGCGCGAGGCCGCTGCACCTGTTCTAGCCATCGAAATTATAATCCTGCGTCGGGTTAGCTTATGTCCAAAGGACGGGTTAGGAACAAACATTGGAGTAGCAATAGCATGCGTGACGATTGACGCAGCAAGGGCAATACTTGGAAATGACCATAAAGAACCAACAGATAACGCAATATCGTTGGCAGCAATCCCAAGAACGGCGATTGAAAGTGCCCAGACAAAGCCTATCACTCGTAAGCCAGGGATTGGTGAGTCAGAAGAACGTACCGAGCAGAGCAAGCCGAATAAAGGAGAATGCTCCCATGGTAGATTAGAGACGAAGAAGTAAAAGGCAATGTAAGGGAGAAAGGCGTGAAGCGTCTGGCGCTCCCGGGCTGGACGAACGAAAACTGGCAGAAAGTCCAACAGACGAGACGGATAGATCAGACGTGCTGTTGATATACTGGGCAGTTGGCGAGAGTTTGCGATCAACGGGCGTTGTCGAGACTCGGCTTGTTGCGCGGCGACGCCGCGTGAGGCGGGTGCAACGCTGCTTTACTTTGCATGTCGACTTTTGCAGAACGTTGCATCGATCCTTAGGAATTCCGAGTGTGGAATGTTGATGGTGCGTCGGTTACTTTGCGGAATGGGTTTATTCTTTGCATTGTTCCCTCTGATCTTGTCACACAAGAGCCAAAATACTGTCCCAAAGACGAGGTACGACTCTCCTTTGCGGTGGTATCGAGGTGGAGATCAGGTATCTCAAACCCTTGGATCCCACCATGACCAAAGGACAAAAAGATCTCTAGAAGTACCAAAAGCTGGGCAAAAATCCCGCTCTGGATGCATTATTAGTGCTTGTAATGTGCATTCCGCGAACTTGATGTCCTTGTATGGCGCGACTGTGAATGCTTGAAACGCTTAGAATGTCGATGTACCGTCCCTTCAATATCAATCAAGAAGAGGCATTTATCATCAAACACATGATCTTCCTCCCGGATCCTTTCCGGCCGCTCGTTTCCACCGTAACGACAGAGACATAAAAGGTCCCTTATAGTACAAGACACCATCTTCCTCCCCCATATGTCAGAAATCTATCGCGACGCGTTCCGCATACTAGACCCAGCGAACAATGCGACAAACACAACACCCCTCAGGCCAGGCTCAGACAACTTTATCCTGTCGATAGGAACTTGGGATATGGTCAATAGGGATACTGGCCTCTCTGGACCAACGATGACATCTAAAACATGGCTTTGCGTTCTATTCAAAGGTACGATATTTGCATTATCACGCTTCATTGGAGTTGAGATTAACAATAGGAACAAAGCTGTCCCTCGGCCTCCATTTCGCCCCGAATGCTTTCAACGGCTCATTTCGCTTCTGGATGGATGGCTATAACCTCGGAGTCAACTATATCACCTTGGCCAACAGCCTTTCTGCGACCGAGGCGTCCCACGTCAAGCTCTTGATAGAGCTCAACTCGACCTCACAAGAACTTGTCGATCACCAGCTTCTCGGATACTTTGGCGAGGCGGCTCCTGACCGACCTATCCAAATCGAAGTGGGGTACGTCTTTCTTGAGAGAATGTCACTCTGCATGCTGACCTTATGAAGCACTGACAATGATATTGATGCCAACCCCTCGACGTTTGGCCAAAGTGCACTCGATGTACCGGTTGGCAATGTCATAGACGACCAGTCTCCGATGCTCAGATACTCTCCTGGGTGGTCTCAAACGCCTCCTGTGTTTTCAGAGGCACTCGCTTGGAATCAAACGTCAACTTCAACGGTGAACAAGGGTTCTTGGGTTGAGATCACCTTTGCTGGAACGGGTATCTGGTAGGTCCACGGAGATTGGCGAATATCTCTGATACATATGGCGCATCTAGGTTCTTTGGTAGTACGGGTCTGTGGGATGTGCACCTCGACATTGCCATGACAGAATACACGGCATCTGGAATCCATACTCGACACAGCGAACATGTCATCCAGAGGGATAGAAGTGCAGAGAGACAGTTGTTTCAAGCTCCCCTCTTTAACGAGACCAATTTGGCTTGGACAATGGCCAGGACATACCGTATTACACTCATCTCTGGGTTCATCGCCCTGGATTACATTCGGTACGGCGATAAAACTATTAGGCTTAGTGTGCGCTCATGTTGTTTAGACTCCAAGGGAATGCCATTGATCCCCCGCAAATCGATTCTGTCTTTCGTAGCTCGACTCGTAACCTGACACCCTTCATCGTTGGCGGGTCCTGTGCTCTCGGTGTAGTTTTACTGAGCATACTGGTCTATTTATTCTTCAGAATTCGAAGAAGGCGGCGAAACAATTTAGTTGGAAAGGAGGTTGGCCCACGAGCCCCGACCAGAGAATCGTTCTATGCAGGGCACCCGCTCACCGCTCCCTGTGACCTGCAAAACAAGAAGAGAGCACAGCAGTCCGAACATTCACTCTGGGTGACCTTTGATGGTATCGACTCACAGACGCAAGGGTCTATGCACACCCCGACCTATTCCTCCACAGAGAATAGCGCTTTCATCTCGAGAGGGCAAGCCTCGGAGGAGACATATCCACGCACTTCTGACTCACCCCAAAGTAGTGCAAGGATCCTTGAGGACGCAACGACCACAACCACGACCGAGGGGCAGGCACTGCAGCTATCTCATGAAGACTTGGCACGTGTCTTTCAACGAGCAAAGGAGTTGAAGTCCATGTCCAGTCTCGGAAAACTCCCCGCATCGAACGAATCAGACGGCCCACTGGAGCGCCTGGCGCGAAGCTTGGCAGGTGTGTAGAGGAGAATAGGACAGATATGACTCTGTATACTATACTGTACTAATTGAATATCAACATGTATCAAAGCCACTCGATACATACCCATAACGCCTCGGATACATTCCCCTCAGCGCGAGCACACTCTATCATCTTTCAATAGACATTCGAGCCCCATTGCTTATTCCTGGTAGTTGTGTTGATTTCGATGCTGAGAATGAACTATGCACGTTGCCCCCATTTCCCCCGCTGTTCGGCGTGGTTCTTGAAGAGTCGGTCAGTGGCAGTAAAAAGAAACCAGTAAAGGGTGGGAGGGGAGAGTAATTGCAGCCGTTGTACCTTGCTTATACACAGTGTGACTACGAGAAGCCAGATTGCCAAAGCGCAGATGACGACCGACCATCGGAGTGAGTGGTTTCCATTACTCAAACTGAGTTTCTTACCTGAGAAAGTCATTCTAGGGTATCGTTGCTGATCGGGCTGAGTGAAGAGTTTGCACGGGATCGAATGAATTGATCGGCTTCTCACAGCAAGGGCGGAGGTAGCCGGAGATAGGTTCCACACTTATTGAAACATCCTCAAGCCATGAAGTTTATCTCCGTGACAAGTTATCCGGTTGAGACCCGCGCTGCCTCAACTTGAACATAAATCGCCTTGGTCCTCCCTTCCCGACGCCGAATTAAAATCAAGAAAAGCGGTCATCAGAGATGTCCAACCTCACTGTCTACTGGGGTACCATCGGCGTCGATCCTAATAATAACGTGACCAACACGACACCAATGGATCCAGAGTCGGATGATTTTCTTCTATCAGGCATATGGAACAAAAACCCTCAACTTCATACTGGCATCTCTGGGCCGACGACCGAATCTAGCGCAACGGCTTGCATTCTCTTTCGCGGTTCGAAAAGCTAGACCCCTACACGCGGCTAGATACTTATCCGTGAGATATAGGTTCATTCTTGTCCATCGCTGCCTCTTTTTACGCAGACACGTCGATGCAATGGTGGCTAGACGGTTATCCAATTCCTCTCCACTTGCGACAACAGACGGGGGTCGTAGTCGATCCATCGGGTGTTTTAAGGGTCAAATTGCTACTAGAAGCTGGACCAGTCTCACAGAGTCACTTTGACGATCATCAACTCGTGTTCAGCGTCGACGCGACGGCAGAACAGCCGGTCCAGATTGAATTCGGGTATGTGACTGTGTTTGCTACATACGCCAATCTAAGGATAGTATCGAGAACGAATAATGACCTACCGATTCCCCACCCCTCCATGTATGGTATGAGCGCAGTCGACGTTCCTCTAGGAAATGTAGCGGACGACACGTCTCCTCAGCTGACGTATTCCTCTGAGTGGAGTCACGTTCCGTTGAATGACATGAACAAATTGTACTGGAAGGGCTCAATCTCGACTACCATAAGTGGTGGTAGCTGGGTGGAAACCACGTTCTCCGGAGCGGGCATCTGGTGCGTCCACTTTCGACCCCATTGCTCACACTCATACTCTTTAGGTTCTTTGGTGATACGGGCCTATACGATACTCATCTCAACATCACTGTAACCGAGTACTCTGGATCAGGCGAAACGGTGCGGTGGATGGAGCACTCTCTGGTCGGAGGCCAACAGAGGAAATGGCCGCTTCTCCAATCTCTCATCTTCAACGATACAAGTCTTTCATGGACTCTTGCACGTACCTATCGGATCACTCTGCTTTCTGGTCAGCTCACGTTGGACTATATCCGGTACAGACAGTTTCCGGGACAAGTATAAATTACTGAGAGGAGCCAATAGTGTTCAGGGAACGTTTGTCGACATACCCGGTCGTGATTTCGTCACTTCGGAGTCAAACTCTAGCAATAGACAGGCATGGGTTGCGGCACCTATCATCCTCGGCACAGCCTTTCTTGGAATTCTGGTATACGTTCTTCTGTATGTTTGGCGGAAGCGACGAAGAGACGGATATGTGGGCAAGGATGTGGACGAAGCGCCCGTGGTCAGCTCCTTTCATACCCAGAGCACGGTCCCCGAGGAGGTGAGGAGGGATGAGAAGTGCACACATGGTCATTTCGACTGGATGAAATTTGGCTCAGATTCTCATGTGTCATTGAGACTCGAGTCTGTCACGGAATTGTCTGCTTTCCATTCGTCTGACCCGTCTAGTGTTTTCTACGAACGGGAGGCTGCTAATCTGTCTTCCGAAGTTTTGACGGAGACAAGCGAGAGCAGACAAGGACATGCGCAAGAGGCGATTGCACTGGAGGATATGCAGTTGTCTCACCAGGACCTTGCGCTGATATTCCAGCGCGCAAAAGAGCTCATGAATCTGGCAGAGATCGGAAAGGCACCGGAATTTGATGATAGAGATGGGGTGGATAGACTTGAAATGTTGGCACGAAATTTGGCAGGCGTGTAAAGGCGAAAAGGACGGACGTGGACTCTGTAGACTGTATTCTATTAATCTAATATCAACATAAATGCGCCAATGTCACTCGGTATATACCCACCAGTGATCATAACGCTTCGAATCCGCATTCCCCTCAGTGCAAGCACACTCTATCATCTTTCAATAGACATTCAGGTCCTATCTTTTAGACCTAATGATTCGATACTGACAATGAATGCCGATCAAGTCAGGACCTGATGCGAGCACCTCCAGGTCAAACGGTATTGCCCACATTTCCTCTGTCCGCTGTTCGGCGTGCTTGAAGAGTCACCCAGTCACAATAAGAAACAAGTTTAAAGCCAGGAAGAAGTGAGAGAAGAGAGGAATTACAGTCGTCGTGCCTTGATTATATACATCGGGACTAAAGCACAGGCGATGACCGACCGTCGAAGTGAGTGATTTTCTTTACTCAAATACAGTTTCTTACCTGAGAAAGTCATTCTAGGGTATGGTTGCTGATCGGGCTGACTGAAGAGTTCGCATAATGGGATGGAATGAATTGGTCGGCCTCTCACAATAAAGACGGAGGTAGCCGGAGATAGGCTTCACATCGTCGAGCCTTGGCAATTATATCCGTGATAATTTATCCGTCGGTTGAGACCCGTGCTGCCACAACTTGGACATCTCCTCCCTTCCTACTGGAAGGGTACAAACTCGCAGATCAGAAGTGGTGGTAGCTGGGTGGAGACCACGTTCTCCGGGGCAGGCATCTGGTGCGTACACACTCTCGGACCCATTGCTCACACTCACCAATCCCTAGGTTCTTTGGTTCAACGGGGGTATATGATGCTCGTTTGAACATTACCGTGACTGAGTACTCTGGATCGGGCGAAATGGTGCGATGGATGGAGCATTCTTTGGTCGCGGATCCTAAGAGGGAGTGGCACATTTTCCAATCTCTTATTTTTAATGGCACCGACCTCCCGTGGACTCTTGCATGTACCTATCGGATCACTCTGCTCTCTGGCGACCTCACGTTGGACTATGTCCGGTAGATGGGTATTTCCGGAATGCGTCTCAATTACTGACAAGACTCAATAGTATTCAGGGGACTTTTGTCGACATACCCGGTCGTGATTCCGTGATATCCGGGTCTACGTCTAGCGATAGACAAGCATGGATTGCGGCTCCCATCGTGCTCGGCACGGTGTTTCTTGGAATTCTTGTATATGTTCTTCTGTCTGTTTGGCGGAAGCGACGAAGAGACGGGTATGTAGGCAAGAATATGGAAAAAGCGCCCGTGGTCAGCTCCTTTCATACCCAGAGCACAGTCCCAGACGAGAAATGGAGGGATGAGAAGCGTACAGGAGCCCTCAACTGGACGACATTTGGTTCAGACTCTGAGAGGACATCGAGACCGGACTCTGCCGCAGAGTCGTCGTCTGACCCGTTTAGTGCTTCCTACGAACGGGGGACTGTTAATCTGTCTTCCAAAGTTTTGACAGAGACAAGAGAGCAGACAGGGACAGGGAATAGCACTGGAAGATGTGCAACTGTCCCACGAGGAGCTAGTGCTCATATTCCAGCGTGTAAAGGAGCTCAGGAATCTGGTAGACATAGGCAAAACGCCAGAATTTGATGAAGGAGACAGGGCGGATAGACTTGAAACGTTGGCCCGAGGTTTGGCAGGCATAAGGGTTCGACAAATCTAGTTTTGAATTTGTTGACAGGAGGGGGTGGGATTGTGGCTTGATCGCTTACAATTTTTGACCCCTTTTTCCCATGCATTAGTCGTAGCCAAGCGATGTCAGGCCAGGCACAACTGCCGATCCGCGCCTTCCTCCCCCATGCTCATCGTTCTCCAGTTATCTTACGTTGAAGGGTTTCAGCTTCCCCAATGGGGTCCGTCTCGTCAACTTGGGTGCATTTTCCAATAAAATAGATGGAAATTTTAGAGCTCTCTGTGAATTTCGGCTGTAGGGACGGGCCGACGACGCGGCAGATTTATTGCTGCGTGGTTTGACACTTTTGGCAGCTCGTGTCGATGCGCGGCTCCCTTTTTTTTTGTTCAGGATTACTCTCTTGGTCTCTACCTCATCCTCTTCCTCCGTCTCGAGTCGCTCTCTAGCTGGCCACATCTAACATGTTGGCCATTGCCCTTCCTTTAATCCCCCTCCTTTTGACCCAATCCGTCCGCGCAGCTTCCGTCGTTCCTTCGTACAATGGTTGGAACTCTGTCGGTTGTTACCAAGACATTGTCGCTGCTCGAGTTCTCCCACACATGGAGCAAATCTCGGGCGGGATGACCGTCGAGAAATGTCTGGATGCTTGTCACTCTAGCGGATACGCCTTTGCAGGGCTCGAGTGGAGCCAGGAGTGTTTCTGCGGTCCTACTCTTCCACCTACACCTGCTACAGATGGTCGTTGCGACATGCCTTGCCAGGGTGAGTGACCCCCCCCTCCTCCCTCCTTTAATTTGTGTGGAACCCGCTAAAGGTCTGACCGCCAATTTACAGCCGACTCGAGTGAGATCTGCGGTGGTGGTCTCGGCCTTACAGTCTACGAGTACAGCGGATCTCTTCCTTCCCCTCCGTCCAACCTCGCAACTTACAAGACGTGGACATATGACAATTGCTACGTCGACTCAATATGGAACAGAGCTCTTCCCAATGGCAGATCCGTCTCGGGTCCAATGACCATCGAAAAGTGTCTCGACGCTTGCTCCGACAGCGGATACCAATACGCTGGCCTCGAGTACGCCGGCGAGTGCTATTGCGGAAGCGCACAGCCGAATCAAGTTGCGAATGATGGTCGTTGCGATATGGCGTGCTCCGGAAATCCCAGCCAGCTCTGCGGCGGTGGTAATGGCCTGAGTGTGTACCACTCGAGCAGCTCTGCAAACGCTCCTCAGCCCATCGACTCGTACAATGGATGGTCATTCTCTGGTTGCTACAAGGACTCTATCCACAGTCGAGTCCTTCCACAGCGCGCCGCCCCCGAGCACGACTATGACCAGACGATTGAGATTTGTATCGATGCTTGCAGTGCTCTTGGATACGTTTTCGCTGGGCTCGAGTATGGAAGCGAGTGCTGGTGCGGAAATTGGAAGCCCTGGGATGAGGCTACAGATGGCCGATGCAACATGGCCTGTGTCGGTGAGTAGGACCTTGCAGCCCGGCCAGGACAGCTCACTGATAAATTCTGTTTTCAGGTAACCACCAAGAGCGCTGTGGTGGTCCCAATGGCATCGACGTCTACCAGTTCCACCCTCAGACCACGGTCGTCACCGATTTCACCACCACCACTGCCGTCGTTGGCACGTTTACAACCGCAACCACAATCGCCACCGTGGTAGAGGGAACGGGTTCGTATGCCGAGACGATTACAAAGACGACAGACGTTGTCGTTCCAGCGACGTACACGACCACGCTTGTCGCGCCGTTGACCATCACCACGACGGCAGTCATCCCATATACGACTACAACCACCGTGATTGGTGGCGTGACGCTCACGAGCACAATCGCGACTCCAGTCGTCGGTAGCACGACGGTTGTAGTGCCTTTGTTGGATCTACGACACAGGCAATCCCGCTTACTGGCTCGACGACAGTGCCCGTCCCACTCACTGGCTCTACAACGACGCTCTTCCCTGTCACTGCTTCGACGACACTATTCGCACCCAGCACAGGGACGAGAACGGTCCCTCTTACCGTCGGTCGCACAAGCTTCACTCTCTCTATCTATACCGGAACGACGAGCTTTGTGGACCCATTGACTACGGTTATTCAGCCCGTCATCATCCTCACCACCCTTGCGAAAACGTACACTACAACAACTGGCTCTCCGCTGCCGTTTACGACAAGTGTTCCCTCTGTCAGACCCATCACGCTCACCGGTAGCGACATCAAGATCTTTACTACAACCTCTTCGGCCATTCAGGCGTTCCCAACAACATCCCTTGCCATCAATACGTTCCCAGCCGTCTCGAGCAATGTCGCGGCTGTCACCTCTACGTCAACGTACTACGCACCCTTTACATCGGAGACTACCGGTTTCGTCCCTGTCGCGACGTCTTCCGTCAACGTTGGCTCGTACACGTCGTCTTCGGTCGACATTGAACCTGTTCCAGGTTCTACGACGGTCGTGACCGAGTACACGACAACGTCGGTCGGATATACTCCATACACGACTACTGCGTACGACACTCAGGTGACGACGTTTGTGGCCACTGTTCCTACTCCTATCACCGTCACTACTACCTTTATCACCCGCGTCGATGATCCGCAATACACCACTGCCCCTTAAATGGACATTTTATGCGGTTTTCACCCCTAGCTTGTTCGGCGTGTCTTAATCATGGCGATATTCGCCTGTTAGAGTTTTTTTTTGTGCTCTTCCTCAATCTTATACACTGTCTTTTTGTGCTTTTCATCCGTTCAAGGACGTAAGCGGTTCGTCGGCTTCGACCTGAACTCGACTTGCACTTGTCAATATTCAACATGCAATTCATCGTGACGTCTTATACAATCTCCGGTCTTTATCATATCTACCCCCACGTAGATGTTCCAAGACGCTTCGTTCCCATTCAAAAGCCCAGATTATGTTGAAAAAGGCCACCTCGAGACATTTGCCATCAGCTCTCCGACGATCGGATCCGGCTGAGAAGACTTTATCATCACTTAAAATCGCATCGTGCTCGTTCTCCACCTTCAGTCCCCACCTAGGTGGTGACAAGTCCGAGTGGATAGATGATACAGCCTTGGGCGCAAAAACTTGATGACATGTGTGGAACCCTTTATACATCGTTTAAATAATTGGCTAGGTTACCCTCTCCATATCCGCCTTGTGTGTGCGATGCGGTCCTTTTCCGCCCTAATCGTCTTCCCACAGCCGCAGATTATAAAGACATGTCCGACTGCAAAGAGTGCTCAAATCTCTCGACTATCATGTCGAGTTCGATTGTTCTCTTCAACCTCGTGCAAGGTGATACCAATACCACTCCCCTCAGATCTGGGACGGACAATTTCCATGTCTCAGGGGACGGATACAATTCGACAAGATTGTCTAGTGAGCTCTCCGGACCTACATTAAGTACCTCTGCATGGCTCTACGTCTTCTTTCGGGGTACGTTTGACCCATGTGATGAATCGAGACGCTAAGTTGATACATAGGCTCAAAGCTCAGCCTAGGGTTGTCCTATCGAGCACAATCACTCCCCACTGAATGGTCCTTTTGGATGGATGGCCACGACTTTAACTTGACGACGAGTAGCGTCCCTTCAGGAGATTCGGCAGGGAGCACACTCACAGCACGATATCTGATCAAGATTCAAAGTTCTGCAGCAAACCAATCTACCGATCACCAGTTAGTGGCATACATTCCCGCTACGAAAGACCGACCGTTGCAAATCGAACCAGGGTGAGTCTATTATCGCACCATGGTTAGAAAACCTGACTCGTAAAGGGTCGATAATAATGCGCAAGATACTATACCCGCGACGTTTGGCATGAGCGCAAAGGACGTTCAGGCTGATAACGCCATAGACAATACTTCTCCATCACTCATCTATTCCTCTGGGTGGTCTCATTCCACAGGGAGCTTCTGGGATCTTCTCTGTTGGAACGAGACGTCTTCGAAAACCAATGAAGCTGGGGCATGGGTAGAGACGACATTTGCCGGGACAGACATATGGTATGTGGATATATCTTTAGTTTTATATCCCTCTCACCGTGTGGAGGTTCTTTGGTTACATAGGCATAGACGGCGTGCATTTAAACGTATCCATCACAGAGTATACTGGAGACCAAAAACGCGCCTGGTCAAAAGAGCATTTCATCAAGGGAGATGCTGGCATGAAAGTGCCCCTTGTGCAGGCTCCGCTCTTTAATGAGACCAATATACCAACAAACCTCGCGAGAACGTATCGTATTACTGTTATTTCTGGATCTATCGCATTGGATTTTGTGCGGTAAGCGGCTGCTAAACTCTCAAGCAGATAGGTTGTTGAAGCAAAATTAGATTTCAAGGCACGGTTGTTGATGTTCCCGCTCAACGCCAACATCCACGAATGAACCTGATTCTCATAGCTACCCTTGGCGCAATTGGCGCGTTCATGCTAGGCGTTCTATCCCTTCTTTTCCTCAAACGGCGGCGACCTCGAAAGGAACAGCTTGTGGGTCGAAATATTGGGCCAGATGCACCGACCATTCGATCCTTCTATGCAGCAAGCACAAATACGGCTGTGAGTGGAAGGCTTCACAGAAAGCGGACCGAAGACGATCACGTGGAATGGGCGAGGTTTAGTGGTCCGTCTCGCTCGACACAGCGCTCGTCCACAGGCATACATTCGGAAATAGACGATTCGCTCCAGTCTAGTCACTTGACTCTGGAGAGTCAGACTATGCACTCTTCTGAACCACTGCGCAGTAGTATATCCTCCTTTGGAGTGAACGGGCGACGAGTGGCGATAGAATCCAGTGGCTCGGAAGGTCTCCAGTTGTCTATGGATGACCTGGCCCGCGTAATACAACGTGTCAAGGAGCTTGAAAACCTAGCCAACCTTGGTAAGCTGTCCAGTGGCGGGCAGCCAGAAGAGAAGACGGATTCCTGAACAGCTCGCTCGGAGGATAGCTGGTGTCTGAAACAGAAATAAATGATTTCGCTACAAGATAGCCCTGAGTCAGCGTTGTCTATCCGATGCGCGGACAATTATTAGCCTTATGTCCGAGAGTGATTTTCCTTCAATTCTGGTCATAAAGCCTTAGTGAGCTCTACATTAGCGCTGACCAATGTCGACCTCGTCCGTTCCCATCGTCCGCATCAACTCCGTCGACCCCACGAATAATGCGACGTCCACGACACCTATAAGGCCATATGCGAATAGCTACTTGAAAGGAGGATCATGGAGTAACGTTTCTTCGACGGAAACTGGCGTTAATGGCCTAGTTGCGACTTCGACGGCCTGGGCGTGCATTCTCTTCCGCGGTTTGTGCAAACAAAAGCTACATCAGAAAATGCGCGCTGATGCTGCCGCTCAGGTTCATCTCTCTACATTACTACTTCTTACTATAATGTTACAAGCATACGCTGGTGGCTTGACGGCTACCTTATCAATCAATTTAGCGCACAGACCTCCAATTCTACCACCATAACACCTCTAGATCCCTTGCAAGCGAGATTTATACTCGATTTCTATCCAATCTCAGATACAGCAGACCACCAGTTCACTTTTCGAGCAGAGGCTACTCCAGAACGGCCGGTGCTTATCGAATTTGGGTATGTTATATCGCATTCAGTATATAATTTCTTATGTCCTCTTGCTATAGAAGCAACTCTTCTGATTGGCATGCGGCGTCGTTCGGCATGGACGCCTCTGAGCTCGCCAACGCCACCGCCAATGCCGACGACTCTTCTGCCTTTCTATATTATTCATCTGGCTGGATTCATGCGAATACAGTCGATCAACTCTCCTGGAACTCTACCAATTCGGTCACTACCTCAAAGGGCAGCTGGGTTGAAGTCAAATTCTCTGCAGAGACCATTTGGTAGGCATTCGTCTGCTCCCTGAGATGATTTCATATCTTTCTTAGGTTCTTTGGAGAAACTGGGCTGTATGACGCTCGACTCAATGTGACCATCACCGACGAGTCGGGACAGATAGTGCGGTCAAACGAGCATCTATCAAACGGAGACGTTCGGAGATATATCCCCCTCGTGCAGTCGCCTATCTTTTCAGAAACCGGACTCTCGTCCAAACGTACCTATAGATGTCGGGTCACTCTTCTCACAGGGCGACTGGCTCTCGACTATATCCGGTTCGTGATTAGTTTCGAATAATGCTTGAAACTCAAGTCTTTAACAGTCTCAGCGGGATGGACGCAACTTTCCTCGACGTGGTCGGCGACAGTTCAGTACCACGCATCGACGCGTCGACAAAACTAAGGATCATTATTCCGCTCATAATCGGCAGCTTGATGTTGGGAGTCCTCCTCTATGTTCTTCTCCGACGCAAACGGTCCCCGAAAGCGCAAACTCGACACATTGGGGAAGAACTTGGCTCTCGCGCTGGGACTATACGGTCCTTCCACGCTCCAACAATGAGCACTGTAGTAGTAGAATCTCAATATGTCAAGATGCTTCAACAAGGCGGTTACTCCGGGTGGACAACGTTCACAGGTTCCGATACATCTTCCAGACCCGTATCTGAAGAGTCGCCTTTTGACGATCGCCATCGCGTTGAGATGGACCACTCTACCATAGACTATCCGTCTGAGCCGTCGACATACCTGAACGAGGAGAACGGAGACGAAGACACGAGGGAGTTGGACCTGTACCAGCTCTCGCAGAAGGATCTTGAGCGAGCGCACCAACGAGCAAAAGAAATACAGGCTCTTCGCATCGACGGGGAATCTATCGATCCAACATATTCCTCCGACCGAATAGAGATGCTCGCACGCCAATTGGCCGGAATGACATGAGCAACTACAAGGTTTGTCTGGCGATTATATATGCGAACCAGTCTATTCTGAACATTGTGACCTTTAGGTATAGACTGAATGACAATTAGGCAGTGAAACCTAGAGGTGTCGCTCGCCTCACCCTATCACCGACATGACGGAATGATCTGATGACAGGCACAGAGGACGCGAAGAACTCTTGAGAGTGACAACTATTGGCCACTTTGACGCATTGTCTGCGTGGATTCCTTGTCCCAGTCGCTACTTTCACGCGTCTTCGTTTATACAGACTGCTAGCGCTTGTATCCAATATCTTTGACAACGGTTACAACTCTATTCATTTAACCTCTATAAGACTACACTTTCGCCGTTTCATACGGTGAAAGAATGACCGGAACAACGAAGAAGAACACGTATACAGGACTACAAGGAGGTGAACGAGATGAACACTGAAATCTGGATGAAGGGTGCAATGGGCAGCGATACGACTGCCTCTGTCGCAACCCATGGACACGAGAGTGTCCAGGAATTAAGCAAGGTGCGCCTTTGGGACCGGCGCCGGCGAGTAAGTTCCATAGCCCGTTGGCAAGTGGTCTATCGCACCAAGTCAGCAAAATCAAGAGTACCCTACTATACTCACAGGCTGGGCAACTAGCATCAGCCGGTGCCGTCTTGAAGCTTGGCCCAAACGGCGAAGGTGGCGAACGGCGAGTGTCGACCACGTGCGTGTTCCTGGTCACAACCGGTTCAAGCTGCGACAGTTCGACAGCATGGGGAGAAAAGAAATCTGGGTCGATCAACGAGTCCCAGTCCGTGAGCGTCGAGTCTGGCGATGGCGGAGCCGAAGCCAACGGTCGCGGTAATACAAAGTCGCTGGCGCTGTGGCGCCGATAGAGCGTCGACTCATCGTCGTCATTCCACCCCGCTGCGGCGAGAGCTGCCGCAGCCTCTGCCCGGAGGCGACGCTGCCTTCTCCGGTTGAGCACTTTACGACAACACAGAACTGTTCCGATTCCGAGCAGTGCGAATATGACCACGAGAGCAGAGATGAAACCCTTCTTGGAGCTGCTATTCTGGATGCTAGAGTCAACAGAAGACTCATCAACCGTGGCCGTTGTCGCGAGTGAGACAGGAGGGGAGGATTTACTTGAAAACACCATGAATGAGGATGGTACCTCCGGATGTTGTACGGTAATGGTGTGGCCGTATGAAGAGGACGAAGAATTGGATAAAGGAATCACAGGAGTGACGATCGCAACTGACAACGGTTTGCTAGTTTCCGTCTGTATGAGATAGGTCGCTTCAGCGACGGTGGCGATCGATACTGTGGTCGAGCAGAATTGGGTGCAGATCGTCATAAGGGCTCCCGAAGACGTCGTGGTGACCTGCACACTTGGGGTGAGTACCGAATGAACAGTGGAATGCACGGCATCATGTTCTACAGAGTGGGATCAGACGGCGTTCCTCGAACGTGAGCGACTGACCCATGGACATGGAAGGAGTGATTACAGGGGCGCTTGATTGACCACCTTGGACGTCGAAAGCAGAAAATATAGCTGTGGGATTTAATGGATATTTTTAACGCGTTCCGCGCGCGCACAGCTAACATCGACTGACCTGGGGTTGGGAACACGGTGACAAGCACCGAATCAGCGTCTTGAGTAGTCAATACTGGTGCGTGGAGCCCAGTGAACGTGGCGTTGCCGATCGAGACGCTGAAATTGGCGAGGGACGGCTGACCGCGCACGATCGCCGCTCGCGTGAGTGCGTTTAGAGTGAAAAGTGGTCCAAATGGGACCGAGGTTTTTGTGAATGTGTGAGACATTCTTGGCGTAGAGTATTTGCGGCTGTAATCGCTTTGGATCGACTGGAGAAGATCGTCGTCGGGTCTAAAATATACGTTTTGTTTGTTCGCCACACCTTGCCTATCTCTGGGTCTGCAGGTAGATTCTCTTATCATTCTATGCTCTGTGAGCGCAGAATGGAGGCTGTCGACTGACTTCTCTCTCATTAGTTTAGACAATCGAAGTAGAGTGCTGGCATACAGAGAGCGTAAATCCACTGCTTGATAATATACTATACCTCAGTGTCTCCACTCCATGCATTCACCTGCGGTCTTCATGGCGAGGTCTATTCTTGGATTCTTCTCTGGATCTCAGAGATAAGGCTTCATAAATATCTAAATAAATTCCTCCAAGGCTCTAGAAGTGAAATTGAACACACTGGATGCCTATTTCTTTGACCCCAAGTTCTCGAATTCGATGGCCAGTCTAGACAATGGCAAACTGTTTCACGATCCGCTCGCTTGTGTATCATCGACATCAAACATTAAATTGAACATTCCCAAATTTTCATTATTGGTGACTTGACGTTTATTTGATGAGTACCTAGGGATGTTAGCACTGTTATACCCAAAATCTATCAGCACTTACACCTGGCAACAAAATTCCGCCGAACTGCTCGCACTGTCCACAGTCGATTCTCGACTAGAATACATCACCTTTGACCTAAATAATCCATGATGGAACCGTATAATCGGGAGAGCAGATGCAAATGGATAGACGATAGACATGTTATGAATATATTCTCGCCTCCGCCGTAATTAGACTGCCTGGACGTGCGCAAGAGGGCTTTGGTGTTGTTGAATGCGAGGATATTCTTTTCAAAAGCAATGATTTATTGAGTCATTTATCTGCGCTACGTCGAGAAGCTCGAGCGCCACCGACCGCCCATTTGTCGGTAGCCGACGACGATACGTCGCGGTTGGCCCAGGGTGCTCTCGCCACCGTACCGAAATATAGTGAATAAAGTACGAGATACACTAAGTAATTGACAATTTCGGCGTGTAAATTTCGTTGCTTTTGAATCTGTTCATCCATCGCTCGATTATCCGTGCAACCTACTGAAACTTGCCGGAATAACTTTCGTAAAGGGTGTCATTCCACCAGGGATCCTAAAATATCAGACGAGCCGCTGCGCAACTCGTAACAGTTGGCATCTCGGAAGCGCATCTGCTCTATACGCTTCGCTAAGCCGAGTAGGGCCAAGGTGTTGGACAGAATATAAGCGACCTAGGACATTCCCAGGGAATCTATAGAGCTCACTATCTCTAATGCCCTCCTAGGCTAATAATAGACTCCAGACTTTCTGTTGTGTGGTCTGATAGTTGACGCCGCTGTCACTGTTTGCTATTTTCATAAACAGAAGCCATTCAAGGGAAGGTTTAGTTTCAGAAATCATGGGAAATTCGTCTCAGAATACTAGTAATGTATGAATTGAACTTTTATCCGCCTAAAGAAGAATATAGATGGGATAATTGATCATTAGTACTTTGTGTTCCACTGGTTGTGCGTGATAATATTCTCCGCACCCGAACTCGAGTTTGGCGAGCGTAAAGCGATCAAAATGAAAGTGAAAGAGGCACAGTCAGAATATCCATCCGTTATCCTGAGCAAAGGAGTGACTATTCAATAAAGTCTAGAGCTAGCGCGAGTCGCTGCGATGGTATTTAAAAGCCGAACCAACCTTCTCCCCTCTCAGCGAGACTTCGACAAGCCTTGGAAGAAGTATGGAGTCTGAGTGCTCTCCCTCTTTTCCGCGGCTTGGAGATTACGGGATCGACGGACGAAGAAGTATATGACTGTCGCCAACAATACCATTCCGACGACAACGATGGGAGCCACGATCTTAGCGGTATTGTTGGCAGGTTTCGAAGGCTCGTCGTACATTACGCTATCAATCCGATGAGATTACCCAGTTTGAGATGGCAAGAGACTCACGCAATGAAATCGATGGCCATCGTTCCTTCTTCGAGAGTAAAGTTCACAGACGTGCCCGGTGTACCCCAGTCGCGGTTGGAAGAAATCACGGTCTGGACGAGCGTATCGTTGACTGGGGAGTAGAGAGAGCCGACGCTAGATTGGACTTGTCCAGAATGATATGGGTATACCGCTTGGACAACAGAGTGTTCGCCATGCGTCCCGTAGGTCCTGGAGAAGTAAACATCAGCGACTGCTCGAAAGTCGAGAAAGCTGCTAACACAAATTGACGATAAGGCTTCTGGAAAGTATATGACACCCATGCGCCCTTGGTTCTGGTTCGCATTAGCGTCGAGTTATGGGAAAATGGCGCCTCTGCGGCCACTTCCCATCCAGAGCTATAGTTGAAGGCCGTATTGTCGATGATCTCTATATTGTGGCCAGATGGAACGCCAAAGTTCATGCTCTCTGCCGCACCGTCCTCCAGGTTCGCACTAGGCAACCCAGTCAACAAGCTGCCCCGACGTGCTTATTTGACTCACTTCAGTCCTCCAAAAACGATAGGATCCGATTTAGAGCTCGAAGATCCTGCAATGTGAATCTGATGGCTACCCAAGGGGAGTCTGAAGATGGTCGCCTTGAGACTGGGGTCTACAGACGACTGTGGCGCGGTAGTCGCCGCAAGTTTCAAGTCGAGGTACTGGGTTCCGTCGAGCCAAAGGTGCATGTTGCCGTCCTTTGGAGGCGCATAGTGGACCGTCAAGTCTGTACCTGTACCCACACAAGGTCAGCGAGCAATCATGCCTTTTGTCAAGCGAGACGAACCTCCATAGAAGAAGTAGATGGAGCCATTAATGGAGTTTTTAAGCTTCGAGTTTACAGTAGAGGCCGTCCATGACTTGTCATACAAGATGCGCGAGTCGTCTGCACCCAGGAGAACGCCTTGTGCGGCAGCTCCAATCCCCAGCAATCCCAAGGATAGGAAGAGTGATAACGAGCGTATGAGCATACCTCGGGAGATGGGAGAGTCCAACCTGGGCGCCAACGAGACTCGGCCTTAAGCCCAGTGAATAATGAGGAAATGCCGCATGTACAAAGCGCCTTCAAAGGCAACCTATGGAATGATATGATATCTCCGATGGATATCCGGCAGCCCGCGCCGTCAACGTCGCCATCTTTAGCCAGAATCACTCCGTTTTCGCTACAGAGAGCGGCGCTGGGTTCTCCTCGCATTACCGACGGCGTGATTTATGTCCATTTGAGTCGCTGAAAGGTGTAGGTAACTGGTAATATGGCGTGTGAACCGGTCAAGAAGATCCCGCCAGAGCCTAGAGCATGGAATTCATTAGACCGCCCACTTATGATAACAAGAAGAACGCGCGTCTACAAACACGCGGACGGCTATTATCGATGTCAGCGTTTAGCTCCATATTGTTTTTAATATTCACTTGGAATCAATGGAGCGGCGTTATCTCCAAGAGTTTAGATGGTATAGTAACAGTGGCATGAAAAAGGGTGCAATTGTGCAGTTGATTCGATTCGATTCATTGACCGCTCGTCGATAGTCAGCTCGAAGGTGACAGGAGCCACCTGCCGCATTCGACTCTGTGCGGTATGGCAAACTAAAACTTCCAGTCTAGCCTGATACCATTTCCAGACAGATTTAAATCTGTATTTGAAGGATCAGCTCTCAGCAAAAGTCGATTTGTTCCCAACCCACCACTAACTCGGAGCTTGGCACATACCGATTGGGTATACCATGCCGAGGTGTCTACGGGTTAGCCAACTAGGTGTAGAAACACTTCAGATTGGTAGTAGCCCCATATGATCTCCCGAGCTGCTAACGCGACCACAGCCATCAAAGCAAACGTCCTTTATAGTCCAAAGCAACACCCCTCGCTATGAGAGGTAATACTAGTTGAAAAACTAGCCAACCCGCCCTCACTCAAGGCTTGGCTCCCTTGGGCTTCTCCAGGCCTTCAAAGAAGTACGGCTCATTCTTCCTCTTCTCCTCTTCCGTCGCCTTGCGCTTGCGAGATCGAACGACGAAGTATGCGACAGCAACCAACACTGCCACTCCGAGAATCACAACAGGGACTGCGATCTTGACCGTATTGTTAGGCTTCGGGGGTTCGCCATAGATCACACTGTTGACAGGGTGAGACTAATGAATTGCCAGAGCAAGTGACGTACGCGATAAAGTCGACAGCCATCGTTCCTTCCTCGAGAGTAAAGTTTACAAACGTGCCAGGCGTACCCCAGTCGCGGTTGGAAGAAATCAATGTCTGGACGAGCGTATCGTTGACTGGGAAGTAGAGAGAGCTGACGCCAGATTGGACTTGTCCAGAATGATATGGGTATATCGCTTGGACAACAGAGTGTTCCCCACGGGTTCCATAGGTCCTGGCGGAGTTGATGTTAGCGATAGTTAATCCAACGAAATGGCGAACCAAAATTGAAGATAGGGCTTCTGGAAAGTATATGACACCCATGCACCCTTGGTTCTGGTTCGCATCAACGTCGATTCGTAGGAGAATGGCGCCTCTGCAGCCACTTCCCATCCAGAGCTATAGTTGAAGGCCGTATTGTCGATGATCTCTATATTGTGGCCAGATGGAACGCCAAAGTTCATGCTCTCTGCCGCACCGTCCTCCAGGTTCGCACTAGGCAACCCAGTCAACAAGCTGCCCCGACGTGCTTATTTGACTCACTTCAGTCCTCCAAAAACGATAGGATCCGATTTAGAGCTCGAAGATCCTGCAATGTGAATCTGATGGCTACCCAAGGGGAGTCTGAAGATGGTCGCCTTGAGACTGGGGTCTACAGACGACTGTGGCGCGGTAGTCGCCGCAAGTTTCAAGTCGAGGTACTGGGTTCCGTCGAGCCAAAGGTGCATGTTGCCGTCCTTTGGAGGCGCATAGTGGACCGTCAAGTCTGTACCTGTACCCACACAAGGTCAGCGAGCAATCATGCCTTTTGTCAAGCGAGACGAACCTCCATAGAAGAAGTAGATGGAGCCATTAATGGAGTTTTTAAGCTTCGAGTTTACAGTAGAGGCCGTCCATGACTTGTCATACAAGATGCGCGAGTCGTCTGCACCCAGGAGAACGCCTTGTGCGGCAGCTCCAATCCCCAGCAATCCCAAGGATAGGAAGAGTGATAACGAGCGTATGAGCATACCTCGGGAGATGGGAGAGTCCAACCTGGGCGCCAACGAGACTCGGCCTTAAGCCCAGTGAATAATGAGGAAATGCCGCATGTACAAAGCGCCTTCAAAGGCAACCTATGGAATGATATGATATCTCCGATGGATATCCGGCAGCCCGCGCCGTCAACGTCGCCATCTTTAGCCAGAATCACTCCGTTTTCGCTACAGAGAGCGGCGCTGGGTTCTCCTCGCATTACCGACGGCGTGATTTATGTCCATTTGAGTCGCTGAAAGGTGTAGGTAACTGGTAATATGGCGTGTGAACCGGTCAAGAAGATCCCGCCAGAGCCTAGAGCATGGAATTCATTAGACCGCCCACTTATGATAACAAGAAGAACGCGCGTCTACAAACACGCGGACGGCTATTATCGATGTCAGCGTTTAGCTCCATATTGTTTTTAATATTCACTTGGAATCAATGGAGCGGCGTTATCTCCAAGAGTTTAGATGGTATAGTAACAGTGGCATGAAAAAGGGTGCAATTGTGCAGTTGATTCGATTCGATTCATTGACCGCTCGTCGATAGTCAGCTCGAAGGTGACAGGAGCCACCTGCCGCATTCGACTCTGTGCGGTATGGCAAACTAAAACTTCCAGTCTAGCCTGATACCATTTCCAGACAGATTTAAATCTGTATTTGAAGGATCAGCTCTCAGCAAAAGTCGATTTGTTCCCAACCCACCACTAACTCGGAGCTTGGCACATACCGATTGGGTATACCATGCCGAGGTGTCTACGGGTTAGCCAACTAGGTGTAGAAACACTTCAGATTGGTAGTAGCCCCATATGATCTCCCGAGCTGCTAACGCGACCACAGCCATCAAAGCAAACGTCCTTTATAGTCCAAAGCAACACCCCTCGCTATGAGAGGTAATACTAGTTGAAAAACTAGCCAACCCGCCCTCACTCAAGGCTTGGCTCCCCTTGGGCTTCTCCAGGCCTTCAAAGAAGTACGGCTCATTCTTCCTCTTCTCCTCTTCCGTCGCCTTGCGCTTGCGAGATCGAACGACGAAGTATGCGACAGCAACCAACACTGCCACTCCGAGAATCACAACAGGGACTGCGATCTTGACCGTATTGTTAGGCTTCGGGGGTTCGCCATAGATCACACTGTTGACAGGGTGAGACTAATGAATTGCCAGAGCAAGTGACGTACGCGATAAAGTCGACAGCCATCGTTCCTTCCTCGAGAGTAAAGTTTACAAACGTGCCAGGCGTACCCCAGTCGCGGTTGGAAGAAATCAATGTCTGGACGAGCGTCTCGTTGACTGGGAAGTAGAGAGAGCTGACGCCAGATTGGACTTGTCCAGAATGATATGGGTATATCGCTTGGACAACAGAGTGTTCCCCACGGGTTCCATAGGTCCTGGCGGAGTTGATGTTAGCGATAGTTAATCCAACGAAATGGCGAACCAAAATTGAAGATAGGGCTTCTGGAAAGTATATGACACCCATGCACCCTTGGTTCTGGTTCGCATCAACGTCGATTCGTAGGAGAATGGCGCCTCTGCAGCCACTTCCCATCCAGAGCTATAGTTGAAGGCCGTATTGTCGATGATCTCTACATTTTGGTGACGCGGGACTCCCCAATTCGTAAAAATTGAATCCGGCCCATCTAGGTTAATACTGGGCAGGGCAGTCAATCGCCAGTCTCTAGATATATATGAGACTCACTTCAGCCCCCCAAACACCATCGGATCTGAAGTAGAGCTAGAGGATCCAGAAATATGGATCTGATGATCTGCTAAATAGAGTTTGAAGGTGGCCTCCTTGAGACTAGAGTCAATAGACGATTGCGGCGCCGTAGTTGCAGCAAGCTTCAAGTCAAAACACTCCCTCCCGTCGACCCAGAGGTGCATACTTCCATTCTTTGGGGGCGCATAATGAATCGTCAAGTCTGTCCCATAGCTGACAATACACTGTCAACAAAATCGCACTCTTCAACAAGCTGGGGCGAACCTCCGTATAAGAGGTAGATAGAGCCATTAACTGATGTCTTGAGCTTTGAATTTTCGGCAGAATCTACCCACGACTTGTCATATAAGATGCGCGCATCGTCTGTACCGAAGAGAGCGTCCCTTGCAGCAGCCCCAATTGCCAGCAGCGCAAAAGAGAGGAAGGCTGACAATGGATGTGTGCGCATGAGCAAGGATATGGGAAAATCCAACTGGGGCGTGAATAGGTCTCGGCTTTTGGCCTAATATATGGTCTTATGGTGGCATAAGCTTCTAAGGCAACGTATCTCCGCGATTCCGCGCGTCGGAAGGTTCAATATCCATCTCTGTGACCCTCTGGAAGCGGTCCAACCTCCCTTTATTAATTGGGTTATGTCCGAACCCTCGGATTCAGCCTCATCGAGGTAATCACATCCGAGTCCAGTGCCTGGAATAGATCAGATAGTCCGATTTATGGCAATCAAACGGATATAAAGGACTCACACTTACCCCGGAAGGGACGGTCGTCATGAGATTCCACACATTGTATTAAAGACTTGGGCTTTACCGGTACAGCCCTGAAACATTTCTTATGCCTCGTTTCTTGTACAGTAATAGCATCGCATACAACAATGCATTTGTGCGATAGGGTTGATCTGATCGTTGACCTGCCTGAGTGTTGGTCGACCAGATATACAGCTGAGACTGTTGCCGAGATTGAGGCTGCACGTATGGTGGAACGCGGCTTTTAGTGATAATAACAGTTTGATTCGAGACCACTAATTGCCAGATCAGTCGGGGTTATTCCACACTGCTCAGCTGCGCTTAGCCCAGGTCGAGCCAAGTGTTTGTTCCCACCCACCCTTGAAGCCGACCTCTATGTCCGCATGGACCCTTTGCCCTTGATTCTTTTTTTATTCGTATTTCTGTTCCGATTGGTCATTGCTGGAACCGATATTTTCATCAATGCAACTGATCCGCTAATTCTCTACGACCATGGATGGCAAGAGAACACAACATATCCAGGCACCATGACAACTGGAAATAGCTCACTCTTCTTCTTGTATACTGGTGTGAACATGATGACAATGTGCTGGCAGGGCTCGTTGCTGACGGTTTAACAGGGTCCAATTTTACAATTCATTATATCCCTGCCGATTTTGGTACTTCTTTCATGTGGATAGACGGTACTAGGGGTATAGATCTCAAGGACTATGCAAACATTGGCGGCACGTCGCCGTTTAATCCCAAATTCACAGCGGTCCCGGTCAATGTCGTCGAAGGAGCGCATCAAATTCATATAATTGGAGTCGTGAATTCTGTTTCTGGAGGCAGTAACCTGACGTTTGCCGGCATCACGTATGTTTCTTCTGGCCCCTATCGGATCAGGCTGACAGAGAAGCTTCTAGCGTACAGACAAGCGGAGATAGTCAAGACGTTCGCCCACGCTCTTATGGTCCAAACGCAGATTTTATTTCGTCCGCCGAAATAATCGATGACACCAGTCTTGATTTCAGAGGCGACTGGAGGCGTGATACCGACTCGCCCTTTTCACACAACTCGACTCTTACAACGACAAATACTACAGGAGCGAGCTTAGAGTTTCAGTACTACGGAAATATTTCACAAATCGTGTAAGTACTATGCTCGGACCAACCTGAGAACTAAGTGTCAGTCTGTTCGGAATGCAATCCACGGATAATCCAACGGTCAACGTCACCCTGATACCAAAGAGTGGAAGGACCATGAACTATACTCGGCTCCTTGGCGACGGTTCCCTGAAGGATTTGATCATCCAAGGCTCTCTGTGGGAAGAGCGGGAATCTCAGCAAAATGACGGGTCCAAGCTCAGTATCACACTGCTGAAGGGGACTCTAAACGTCGACTTTCTTGCGTACGTAAAATAGTGCATACCCGGTCACCAGCTCAGTTGCACTAGAGTTCGTAAAACTGGCACCGTTGTCGACCCAATCTACGGTGGTGGATCCAAAGCTGTTAATCCTCTTATTATATGTGGGGTCATCGCGGCCGTCATGTTATGTGGATGGTCTATATTCTATCAGTGGAGCTCCTGGAGGCAGAAACGTAGAGCCAAAAAGAATATGGAATCCAAAATGCAGCTTGGTTCGTCTTCGTTCAAAAGGTATTGGCCAATCTAATCCATTCTCAGTATCCTCTCCAAATAATGAGGGGATTTCTTTACATGAGATGCCGTCTGCTGGACAAATACCTGGGTCGTCTCCAGAAGAGGACGATGGCCAGCAGCGTCCACCCCATATCCAAATACTCCCAAATCCTTCAAACGAGGACCAGGGCTTGCCCTCGGTACAAGCAAATACTCTTTCCATTTCACCTCTCGGGCCGTCGCGAACATCGATTCCTCTCCCAGTAAACAACACTCATTCATCTCCAATCCCAGCCACTGAGTCGCTGCCCGCCTGGAGTCCTCCTCCTCCATCATACCGAACCGTTTCTGAATTGCTCGTAGAGGACCGCGCGGCGAGAGGGCTCATGCCCTTGACTCCTGAATCCCTGGAGCGACTCTTTGAGCGGGTAGTGGAGTTGCGTGGGGAACGTAATACTTCACGCGGCGCCAGTGGTCTTAGCGCGGTGCCAGAGGAGATGGACGAGGAGCTAGAGGCTTTGGCGCGGAGAGTTGCCGACATCAACGCCATGCAACCGACCATCAAGAGATGATAGATACTGCGTAGAATTATATATTGCACTTTGTTATTAGCCGCCGCGTATAGGCTTATATGATTATTTACACAGCTTGCTTTCTTGGCCCCTCGACCCTGCCACCATATGCGTGGATGGTACTTTCTCGCAAATTCTATCGGTTTACTTCTCCTTTGGGCAACTTCTGTTGTCGGAGATGAAGATGTCCGTATTCCGGCGAATAGTGACATGATATTATACGACCCAGGGTGGTCGAACATGACCGGAAACCCTGGATATCAGGTAGCAGTGAACGGCAGTCTCTACTTCATGTACTATGGTTCGGCTTTTGTTCCCTTTTTTTTGCAGTAATTTTTACCAGTCAACAGGTTCCAACTTTTCGATTCATTATTCGCCGCCAACATCTGCTGCTCAAAGGTCTCTTTTCATGTGGATTGATGGGAAAATTCCGATAGACTTGATATCATCGGCTGATATTGCCGGTGTGTCGTCTTGGAATTCTTCGCTCAAAGAGTATCCTGTCACGTTGACCACTGCCAATCATCAAATCTACCTGACGACGTCGAATAGCGACGTTATTGACCCTTGTATCCTTGCTGGGTTCGAGTAAGTTATTGTTTTGCACAAGGTCCACCAACCAAACTCAATTCTTTGGTCAGAGTCCACAGCAGTGACGGCCATATAACCCCCAGCGCGTTCGGTATGGCGTCCACGCTATATCCTGACGTGAACATTGTAGACTCTTCTTCCTTGAGCTACAATGGCGATTGGATGACTGACGACGAGTCGTGGTTCTCGCACAACAAGACACTCAAGACAACCACATCTGTCGGGGCGAGCGTGTCATTTACTCCGCCAGAGATATATTCATCTATAATGTGCGTACACCCAGATACTCGAGGTTTTATTAAGATCATCGACAGCGTCTATGGAACAGCTCCCGTCGAAAGTACAATGGTAAACATCAGCTATAGTAGCGGGTCACCAGACGACCCATCGCCGATAAGCTTTCTCTGGAATGCCAACCTCAATTACGGTGGTTTGAACAGAAGTATCGTTCGCGCTCAAGTCTGGACAGGCCGGGGAGATACCCCTGCCATTCGGGTTTTGAACATTACTTTGGCACAAGGAACCTTTGCCATCGACTTTATCGGGCATGTCACGCTCCAGGCAAGCGAGTGCTCAACTAACGTTGAGATCTTAGTGTCCAATACCCGTCCTCGGCCCCATCTTCACCCCCGAACAAGGGCATGGCACCCGGAATCGTGATACTGACCTCCTTGTTATCTCTCTGTCTGGCGCTAGTCCTTTCATTTGTAGGGTATCGCATCTGGAAAAGGCACAAGCTCAAGGTCAATGATGAAGCCGCTAGCAAGCTTGGTATGTTGGCAGTGTGATATCCGATTACATCTGACCGGCGATAGTTTCTGTGTCAAATGACGATGAGATCGTACTGGACGATGTCCCGAGGCAAGGACACTCGCAACCTCACCAAAGTCCCTTATTGGAGGAAAGGTCATGGCAAGCACCACCACCGGTACCTTCTCTTCATCGACGTTCGCTCTCTCAAGTAGAGCTTCAGCCTGCAGTAGAGATCTCTCATACTGTGCCATCCTTGGACCCACATGGTTCGATACAGGACACGGTGCAAGAACATGCGTCCAGCTCCCAAGTCAACGAACTTCCTCCGGCATGGAGTCCACCACCCCCTTCATATCAGACCGTCTCAGCAATGGTGACGGATCACCGTGCTGCGAGGGGGATGATGCCATTGTCCCAAGATCTTCTCGAGCGACTTTTCGAACGCGTCGCCGAGCTGAGGAGAGGAGAGAATGTTCGTCACGACGATTTAGACGAGGATCTCGAAGCTCTAGCTCAGCGGATAGCAGGGATTGAGACTGCGCCTCGAATAATTAAACGATAAACATATATTGTATTTCTAGGATAGGCATGTTGATTAGTGATGAACGTAACCACGTCTCAATATAAGTTGATGTCGGTTGCAATTCTCTTTTACTAGGGAAACTATATTCGGAAATTTATGTTGGCGCTTCTCTGAATCCTTCTATTCAGTTTCAAAGCTATATATACCAAACCCTTGCGCGGAGACGTGTGGGTCCAGATGCTTTCTTTCCCTGCGGTTGACCGGCATGTCTCCTCCCTGGCAGCGAGGGAAATGCCGAGGAACACGACGGCACTGGATTATCCAACAGAAATCTTCCTAGTCGACCGCTATTGGCGGCATGGGACAGCGAATGGAATCAAAGGGCCAATGACAGACGGACATATGATACTCTGTCTCTTGTTTAGAGGTATTCATGCACTTTGGCCATCGTCAAAAGAAGTCAAATGACATATTTTCAGCCACATTTCTTCAAATTCGTGCCTCTGCCCAAATTACAACTTTGGGTAGTTTTGATTCTGCCTTGGATGGGATCTCATTTGAACTTCCATGGTATATTGATTCGACAAGCTCTTCCTCGGACTATGTCGTCGCCCAACTGGATTTGCCACTCGACGACCACCAACTCTTCCTCAGCGTGCCAACCTCGCCACAGAAACCTATTCAAGTAGAGCTCAGGTACGTGAATTTGTAACTTTGGCTGTCTTTGACTGGGTTTGGCAGCGTCGATGCCTCCCAACCGGATCCAAGACCTGCGTTCTATGGAGTGACAGCAACACAACTCCCTCTCGGAGACATTATAGATGATGCATCGCCACAATTGCTCTATTCTTCAGATGTGGGTTGGGACCATAGGACGTCTGGGGTGTTGGGTTGGGGTGGCACCCACTCTACTACGTATGAAAGTGGTTCTTGGTTTCAAGTCACTTTTGCGGGATCGGCCATTTGGTTTGTGATCGAACTTTTGGTCGGTGGTAGGCCTGACACCTAGTCAGGATCTGCGGTGATATAGGAGTATACGACGCTCATCTCAACGTCACCGTTACCGAATACATTAGCAACACGACAAGCATACGATCATACGAACACTATATATCTCGAAACGGGCGACCTTATCCACTGTATCGAGCACCCTGGTTTAACGAAACCAGTCTCCCTTGGTCTCTTGCTCGAACTTACAAGTTTACTCTCCTATCAGGCGTGATGAGCATAGATTATATTCGGTAAACCCTTTTGCCTCTCCCATATCTGAAATCCTCAAAGTTTCCAAATAGTGTTCAAGGTGCCATTCTGGACCCCCCAACTTCACGACCGGACTCAAGCTCTCCATACCCAAATCGAAGCCTTTTAACTGCATGGATCATTGTACCATTCGTTGGACTTCTTCTCCTTGGATTACTACTCTACTTCCTATACAGGAAGAAGAAGCGGAAACCAACACGGAGACGAATTGGAACGGAAGTCAAGGAGTCTGAAGCACCGCTTAGACACTCCTTCCGTTTGGAGGATATTGACAAGTTAGAGAGAATCCCGCGAGATGCCAAGGAGCCGCTGCAACCTACCCCTGCATGGAATCTGCGGCATAGCTCCGAGTCCTTGGCGACATCGGCAAGCCAGGAGCCATCAAGTAGTCGGTCACCGTTTGGAGACAACAATCGAGATGCGAACTTGCCAGGAGGACTAGGAACGCCTATCCAGCTTCGACTCAATAATCCGTTCGAGGATCTCGTGGCAAGTCAAGCTCCTACGTCTCACCTAGATTTCGAGGGAGGACCAGCGGTTGTAGAACTCTCGCATGAGGACTTGGCCCAGGTTTTTGAACGTGCTAGAGAGCTGCGAGTACAGGTTAGCCGTGGCTCTCTTCGACTCGATCCTGGTTCTGGAGAGAAGCTAGATCAGAGGGAGATTTTGGCTCGAAGGCTAGCAGGCATCCCACCGGTGGACAGATAGATTTGTGAGTATCTATATTTTTATTTAGATACACCTTTTGCATAAATATAATCCTCGTTACAACTTTCCGGAGTGGCAAACAGACGGGCGTCACTTGTGTTTCGACCACATTCTCAAATAGGATGTCCATGCGTATATTCGGCAAGAAGGAAAAGAGAAAATATTCACATTTTGTGAAAGACGGGATCATATCGCCTCGAACGAGCAATCTAAGTGGAGACGACACATCTGCGGGCGATTCGGCGCAAGACTGGCTCGTCCGGATCGAAGGAGCAATTACGTCTCTGAAGATTATAAAAGACGCAAGTGAAGGGAGTGATTTATTGTCACCTCTCAAAGCCATTTGCAGCGGCCTTCTAACACTTCTCGAAAGAGCCAAGGTGCGTCAACTCGATTGAACAAATTGTGTTGTAGCTTGACACAAACTTCAATCAATAAGACGATCAAGCGGAATCAGTTAGCATGGACAGATGTCGGCATGCGAGCGAAGCACCATCTGGATACCTTTGAGCGACAACTGGCTCAGTTCGACGAAGGGGAATCGGAAGAGGTGGAGTCGCCGCTTTTTGTCCCTATACGGCTGTACTGCGGGTACGTACCTCCCAATTTACCCCAAGTAGTCGCCTAAACTGTGTATTAAAGGGAATTGTATGATATCCTCACCGCAGTATCAGACGAGGAGCGTGTAGGTTCTATTACATCAAAGAACGAAAAGGTGAAGATCAGGACCCTTTTCAAGAAGACTATGACAGCGGAACTCGACGTGGAGAGCATCAATGCCTTTGCCATCCGGTTGGACGATGCAATGAACGAGGTCACGGTGAGTGTGCTAGATAATAGAAGACCAATACTGACGAGTTTTTCAGCTTGCTCTTTCGCTCTTCACAGCATTTAAATCCCAAGAAGTGAACAACACTCTGAGTCATATCGACGTCAAACTTGAATCCCTTCTGCGTACGTGGAGACTAACAACAATATCTAATTAACGGCTCTCAGAGAGAGATACGGTTTCACCTCATGGCGTTCAACATCGACGCTGTCTCCCTGGTACTCGAGTGGCTGTCATCGACGAGGTCCATACATGGCGGCAAAGCAAGGAGACTGGTTATCGCATCTATTGTCTCGGAGATAACGCAGGCGTAGGCAAATCCACACTAGCAAACGAACTGGCCACCCAGTGGAACGAGAATAGACTAGCTGTTGTGCGGTTCTTTTTCTCGAAGGGAAACGCTGCCACCTCCACCGCCAGTGATCTCTGCCTACATGTTGCAAGGGTCCTATGGCTTGAATATCCAGAGCTCAAAGAGAATTTGGGAGATGTCATTAATCATTTGCATACCATCGCCACTTTCTCCGTCGCTGAGCAGTGGGACCGTCTTGTTGTCACACCACTCTCGACCTTGAAGCAAGAGGGCATCGTTGTCATTGATGCGCTCGACGAATGCCAAACATCGACGAGAGAGTATCTTCTCTCGTGCCTGATCGACACATTCGGCAAGGATTCGACCAAGCTACCCAACTTCAAACTCTTCATCACGACGCGTCTCGAGGAGGACATCAAGGCCGCCTTGGAAGAGGATTGTGGAATCAAGTTTGGCGATATGCGGTCGGGGGGACACGTATATATGGAGGATATCAGCAAGTTTATTCATGAGCGGGTAGCCAAGATCAATCGTCGTGGCGTGCAGCTCACCTCTGAGCACGAGGGGCAGCTCATCCGACGCTCGGAAGGTCTCTTCATCTTTGCTGCGACAGCTTGTGCGTCGCTCGAGAAAAGTTTGGATCGTCTGGGACATCTCGATGCAATACTCGCACCGAGCGCTCGAAGCTCCCTGGATACTTTGTATCTCGAGGTCCTGAATCGAGCTTTACAAGACGAGAGAGCGACGACTCTCTCCAACGTCAGACTAGTTCTCGGTGCCATCATCATCGCACCAGTTCCCATCTCGGTGCACCAGCTCGTGGTTCTCTTGCCGGAAGCGAACCAAACCACACCAGTCGAGCAGATTGTCAGTCGACTTGCAAGTGTCCTCCGCGTCAGTTCTCAAGATGGAACTGTATACTTCCTTCACCCGACCTTTCGCGAGTTCCTTCTTGATAGGAAACGTTCGCAACATTACGCAGTCAGTTCTAGGACCCTTCACGCCAGGCTGGGAGCAGGCTGCCTTCGCTTGCTTCTACAGAACCTCAGACAAGGTATCGCCAGAGATTGGGACGTAGATCCACAGCAGCGATCCGATATATTGAATGGTATCGCGTATGCGGCGTCATTTTGGATCTTCCACTCAATGGAGTTTCTCCACCTGCAGCATGTCCTCGACGACATGCGTCATCTGTTCGAGGAGAAGTTACTAGAGTGGATCGAAGTTGCTATTACCGTCTCCAACATTCCTTGGATCCTTAAAGCCCTCACGGAGCTGCATAGTGCCATCGAACGGAATCTCAAAATGAAACGTACATCTCTGGTAAGGCAGTCAAAGGTCTTGTTCTATCAATTTTCTGACCCGTCTGAAGCGTCAGGTCGATCTGCAACGGTGCCAGGAGATACACAGCTTCATAATACGAAATCAATCTGTTTTGGTCCACTCTACCGAGGAGATTCACCGGTCGTGTCTCGCATTTGTCGCCGATAGTGGCTTCATTTGCGAACAATACCAAAAACCAAAGGCGGCGACATTGCCCAGAGTTGTCCTCGATACTGCTCCACCGAGTGGATCATACAAGCGACTTCGGATGCACAAGGGAAGAGTCTCGAATATCTTATTCGGTCACGACGGGACGAGACTTGTATCTTGCGCCAACGACGGGAACATCTACGTTTGGGATATTAGCACTGGTGGCCTCCTCGGAACGATGACCAAGAAGGCACCTATGGTAGCCGTCGATAAGTAAATTTGCTTATTTGCGCTAGGAAAAAAACTGCAAATTTACGCTCATAGAGGTGTCTGTCACGAGCGCTTGATGGATTAAACGTTTTGAATATAAAGGCTAATAATATATGTGAAATCATTTTCACCTCAAGCACGGATGAAGAACCCACAATAGATGGTGACTGAGGCTGAATCCGTCGCGTAATTCACCATGATGGAGAAACCGCAAACTGGATACTGGGTTTCGGATTTCTCTGTATTTCACACGCACCCCTGTCCGTCAGTCTCAACGCCTTCCCCATCTTGGTACTACTTCCTAGGCAGGCTTAGCGGGGACTTTCAGCGCTCGACCAGAGTTAAGGGATTTTGTCCATACTTCGTGATGAGCTCTGTCATGAAATTTAGGCGCTTAGCGCATCTATCATCACTAGAAGACGTGAAATTTACCGTCTGCTACAACTCTGTATTGATATGGGAACCTCTGTCATTTAGAATTTAGGTGCCTAGCCCGTCAATTTCATCCGGCGGCATAGACTCTATTGTCTATCATTCCGGGATTGCCGTGTGGGATGCTTCGTCACGAAGAATTCAGGTGCTCGGCTCATCTGTCATCGTTCAGAGACCCAGAATTCACCGTCCGTCATACTCAACAATGTTGTGCGGTGATGCTCTGTCACCAAGAATTTAGCCTTTGGACCATCCGTCATCACAAAATAACGTAGAATATGCTATCCTGTCATACTCAGTGTCGCTGTGTGAGAATCTCTGTCATGATAAACTGAGCCATCTCGCTCGTCTGTCATGGTTCGGAGACCCGGAATTTGCCGTCTGTCATACTTGGTACTGTCGTGCCGCAGCACTCTATTATGAAGAGTTTTGGCCCATCAGTTATCGCGAAATGATGTAGAATCTACCATCCCATCATATTTGGTATCGCCTATGTTAGAGTCTCCGTCATGATAAATTTGGGCATCTCGCTCATCTGCCATGGTTCGGAGACCCAGAATTCGCTATCTGTCATACTCAGTATTGTTGTACGGCAATGCTCTGTCACAAATAATTTAGGCTTTTGGCCCATCTGTCATTACAAAACGACATAGAATATATTATCCCATCATACTCAGTGCTGCTGTCTCTGTCATGATAAATTTTGGGCATCTCGCTCATCTGTCATGGTTTGGAGACCCAGAATTCGCCGTCTGTCATACTCGGTACTGTCGAGCGGCAACACTGTATCATGAAGAATTAGGGTTTTTGGCACATCTGTTATCGCGAAATGATGTAGAATCCATCATCTCGTCATTCTCAGTGCCGCTTTCTCCGTCATGATAAATTTGGGCATCTTGCTCATCTGTCATGGTTCGGAGACCCACGATTCGCCGTCTGTTATTCTCAGTCCTGTCGTGCGGCAACACTCTGTCACGAAGAATTTAGGCTTTTAGTCCTCTGTCGTCGCAAAACGTCGCGGAACCTATGGTCTGTCATCCTCATTGATATCATGTGGAAGCTTCGGTCAATGTCACCACTTCCCCTCTTCCTCAACAACTATGGACATGCGGAGTTCCTCCAATGAGCAAAATCCTCAGTCTGACAGTACCTCGGTCATGTGGAATGGCTTTCGGATCTTTAACGATAGCAAATTCTTCTCATATCTCAACAATACTCATAATAAAGGTTTGGTGGACGCTTGAAGCAATAATTTTCGCTCATCAAATTCTTGGCTGCTCATACAGAGATCTATGCGTTCTGGAAACTTGTATTGGCTGGACACAAATGGGAGCTCGTTTATGCCCATTTTCACAGCCTCTATGTCGATGTCCCGGATGAGGCGGCACAGAGGCTCAAGGCATCACTTCAGGCTGTTGAGCATCGAATTTGGAGAGATGCCATAGAGACTGCACGCATGTATTGCATGGAGACAGCAGCTCAGGGGAGGATGAGATGCATTCGACGTCATGTTACCAATTACAAGTACCTTGGGGAGCCAGAGACATGGGTAGAACAGATGGAAAACTCAAGTTTCGAGGATAAAGTTGCACTTATCCTTTCAGCTCGACGCTTCAACCTTGATGGTCAAGTAAATACAATGCTTAAGGAACATGCACGGGCACAATATCAAGCAGGATCCACTGCCCTCAGCGAGTTCAACGTCTCTGAAGGGAATCACTTTGCATTGAAGGAGTATCAATGTGAACCCGACCCCATCATGGAGCCCAAATGGGACGCACTAAAAGATTGGGATGCGGCAGACCGCAGGGATGTAGGAAATGTGCTAGATTCACTTTAATAGACTAGCTAATACAGGGAAATGCACCTCTTCTAATCAATGAAATATTGCGGCACATTTGAGAAGTTATCTCTGTCACGGTTGATGGCCACCAATTTGTACTGATGTACAGGCTTTCACGCTGAGGGAGAAACAACAACACAAATATTTTGGACCCAACATCGACACAAGAATGGGAAAGCGGATACGCCCTGCAGTTGAACAGATATCTACTTCTGCTAGCGTCTCTATCAGCAATGTGCAAGTTCGCCAACCCAAGAAAAGGAAACGAAATACAGAAAATTACGTGACGAGTTGGGATCCAGCTCCGTCTGATGACTACATACCATGGGAGCCAGTAATCCCCCAGGAGAGTGCCAAGTTACAGCCATTCGAACCTCTCCAAGCAACCAGGAGAAGCAAGGTATGTTTCATCTCTGATCCATGCTTGCTCAAGTTGAACTTGCAGACCCAACACGACTTTCTGGATGAATGGATTAATTGCTCGGGGTTGTACCTCTCTGCCCTCCTTGAGCTTGAGTCGCTTCCATATGGTCCTATCCCATGCGCATGCAACTCCGGGGAAAAGGGACTCTTCATGTGTACCAATTGCTTTACAACACCTCGCTGTTCACAATGTATCGTCATATCACATCTTCAAACACCTTTTCACAAGATTAAGCGATGGAATGGAACACATTTGCAAGGATCATCGCTCTCAGACCTTGGCCTCGTCGTGCAGCTTGGTCATCATGGCTACCCATGCCCAATGCCAGCAGGAGCTCGAAAGCTGTTGGTGCTCCACATTGATGGTTTCCACGCTCTCTCAGTTTCCCTCTGTGGTTGCGACTCCTCAACCACACCAGACTTGCAGCTGTTCAAGTCGAGGATGTTCTCCGCTTCGATTCAGAACCCCAAAACGGCCTTCACTTTCGACCTTCTTGAACACTTCCGTATCCTCAATTTAGAGAGCAAAGGAAGTGCCAACTCTTATCTCGAGTCTCTTTATCGCCTGACAGACCTTGAAGGGTTGAGTAATATACCAGTGTGTTGCCCTCGTGTCATATAATATTCATGACTGACAACCTTACCAGGACCGCGTTCGAGAATTCCGGCGCATCTCACGGCAGTGGAGTTATCTAGTTGCACAGCGAGATAGTGGCTCCTATGAAACAAGTCAGAACACAGTCTACCCCTTGATCAGATGTCTGGAATGTCCTGCATGCCCTCAACCGGGAGTAAATATTTTGGAGAATTGGGCTGAAACCATGCCAAATGATAGACAGTATGTGAAATCACGAACCTCCAAGGCTTCTCACTCACGACAAGTTATATCAGCTGGCTCGTCCGACGTTACGTACACTTTGACGCCAATTTTCGGCTGACTTTGCTCAAGCATGACAGTCGCAGTCCACTTGACAGAGTGCTGTGGTCGGACGGCGGTTTCTTTGCAAATCCGGTTCAATATAGTGACTATCTTGCATCTGGAAATGGCTCTCGACAAGAGGTAAGTTGTTCCCAGTAGCAATTGAGACTCTTACATCATTTGTTTAGCCATCGGACTGTTCAAATTACCGGGCTACTGTCAACTCATCTCGAAGTCGATTCAATAGACTTGAGGTTACTGGCCTTGCTGGCGGTGTATGCCGACATGAGTGCAATTCCTCAATCCTTCGTCGACCTCCAAAAAGGGGAACGGTCAGGCAATTATTGTTCGCAATGATGATTCCTAATAAGTCGTATAGGTATTTTAATTCAGACTTTGCAATTTCCCAGATCATCCACAGGATGAGTGGTATCAAGGACCTGGTATTAACCTACGATATTGCATGTCAGTATCGTCGGAACTTCCAGACTCGCTTCAACAACCTTGCCGCCTTCTTACGCCTCCCACCACATCTTCGAATCATCTTCCTGGTGCCCAAATTTCACCTTCCAGCTCACAAGGAAGAATGCCGTTATCGATATTCACTCAACTACTGCAAGAAGGTCGGGCGTACAGATGGGGAAGCCATCGAAAGACTGTGGAGTGCCCTTAATCACTTATCAGGAAGCACATCTCGCATGACGCCTGGAGGAAGAATGGATACCCTCAATTTCCACTTGAACTATTGGAACTGGCGGAAGACATGTAAAATGGGTGAGCAGGTCACGGTGTTAGTGTGCCAAGTCTAGCCAATTGAGCACGGCTAGGTGCTACACTCTCAAAGAGGTTACAAAATACCCGGGAAATGCTAATTCAGCACCAAACATTGCTTGCCGATCTGCGGGCGAGTATTGGAGAGGCAAGGGCTGCAGTACGTTCTCAGGTTTTCCTGACGTTTGGACTAAATATCTCGAAGGAATGGTCTGAGCTTGAAGATCATTACAATATAGACCAGGAAGGTCGATCTATATATCAGACACTAGCAGACCAAGGTTTGTGCCTGTTTTGCAATCTAATGTGCAAGTCTAACCGTCTTCAGCTCCCACCCGTGCTGAAATAATTCAGAAACTTACACGTTTTGATGCTCTGCTACCACCCCTGGCCCTCGAGAATGCAGATGGTTATCCAGCACTGGCTTTTTGGGTGAATGACGGCCTCGATTTGGAGGAATATCAGTACGTTAGGTAATTATATGCTCTTTCGATACTGAATGTCGACAGGAAGAGGCTAGAGATACATTCACAATCGATCACAACAGAGCGGCAGCGCATTGAGCTCAACCAGAAACGTGTCGCATTAGCCGACAGGATCAACGACTGGAAAGCGCGTACTCCGCTAGATATACATGACGAGGAAGATGAGGAGGATGATCCCGCGCTCCCTGAGCAATGGAAGCTTCCCATCCCTTCAACGCTCCCTCCGAACGAACAACTTGCAATTCCTCGACAGGTTGAGAAGGAGCTACGAGAAGCGCAAGCGTTTGACTATTTACGCGCTCTCCGCACTGGACTTGCAGAGGAGATCGCACTTTTACGTGACAGGGATCGCCATCAGCACGGATATGACGCGAACTTACGCTCCAGATCACTGATAGAGCGCGTTCGTCGAGACATTAACTTTAATACGGGCCGGTATCGTGCTACCTTTGCTGCGCTGGAAGTTCTAGGTGGTGCTCGGAATCCTGAGCTTAAACCACTCCTACCAGCAGATGTATCTGCTGCTAACGTGTTCCGATACACTCAAGAACTTGGGCGTGGCTTCAATGTCAACATCTCGTGGATCTGGCGTCGGACTGCGGTGGGGACGCACGCAAATGATGATAACTGGCTTGACGAAAGTATTCAAACCCCACTTAGATTCTTCCTTAGAGCTCACTTTATGTATAGTGCTTCGCGTACGATATCTGGAGGCCAAAGCAAGTCACGACCGATGGAGTGAAGAGCTTGAGCTCACTCATGCCGAGATTACATACACTCACAAAACTTTCGAATTTAGATGTGAAGAGTGGCTTCAAAGGGCTTTAAACTCAGAGAAACAGGGCGAGAGGGCACATGCATATGCCATGTCCAGTATTTACCGCCGTTTGGCTGACGAAATCACGGTCATTCAGGTCTAAATGAACTGACTTTATGTCGAATACTTAGTTTATTGGAATTATCGCTAGATTTTATAATGCGAAACCCACCAGAATAAGTTCCTCTCAGCTCGCCTCGTATTGAAAACCAAGAAAGCTTCTTGAGGCGTAGAGGAGTAACGGAAGACTGGAAGAAGAAAATGGAGGCGAGCGGGGAAGCAAGACGCTAACGGGGGTTGAACTTAGAACGGTGAGGAAACAGCTGGAATTCGGACTCTGGTACTTCTTTATGTACGGCATAGGTAGATTATGGAGGGTTATATACGCGCGAGAGCGCCAGACGAAACGCGGAAGGATGGGAACGAAGAGTAGGAGCTGGAGATGAGACAGAGCGGAGCTGCTGCGCCGCTTTGAGAGTGTAAGAGACTAGTAAGAGAGTCAGAGACTAGCTAACTAATCCCGAGAGCTCCCACTGGGCTCGTGCCACCAGGCGCGAGGGCGTTAGAGTATTGTTTAGCAACGGTTCATTTATGTCACTGCGCAACCAAAAGCCCTGGAATGACTCTTAGACGGTTCCCAAAACGAATAAAGTGCCCTGTTTTCCATGTAACATTCTCTTGTATCCAATCCCCTCGTCCAGTTTACGCCTCAGATTCCCTTAATTAAGCACCCTCACATTGAGGAAACAATCTGAATAGATGCGAATAGGACATAATGTGACTCTGCTTGGGACTCCGCTCACCAGAAAGATGTAAGTGTCATCGCTAACATCTTCATGTGGGCACTGAATTTCGTGCTGTCGGCGTCATGCTCGTCAGTGTGTCCTCTTCATGCACAAGCCTATCACCCTGTTACTTGGCTCCCTGATTGTATCTAATTTCACGTGGTTGACTCGTTGACAAAGAAGAGGCCGCATATGTTCATTCGCCTTCTGTTGTATAACCGTCCCTCTTGATATCAGTGAATGGACTCTTGTCGACAATATTGCTCATCTTGAACGTATTCTCATCCATGATTCACCTTTTGTGCTTCTCAAGCGTGCTTCCTTCACTCCTTCGCAACCTTCAGGTGGTGGAGCCATGATCATCTGTGGCCAAATTGGGCAATCTCAAACATTTCCAAACATGCGACTTTGCGTTTGCCAATGCCATCATTCTGCGCTGCTTCAATGTTCAAACTGCTCCTAGCCACCCGAGGGTTTGTAGCCTTTGTCAACACTCAGACGGTCTGAAGACGCTCCCATAGCTAATTATCGACATTTTAGGTCCATTTTGTGACCCGGTTCATGCATCATCCGGGTTTATTCAGATTGAAATTCTGTTGATGTGGACTCCGGGTTGGAAAATGACGCTTTTTTGTTGGTATTTCATACCCAATCTTGGGTTTATCAACAAAGAAGAAGCAAAGTTCCTGGTTCTGAAGTTGAGGGAGGTTCATGCCTTTACCTGGTGTGGTCTTAGTGTAACGCCCTCACGCCTTGTGGCACGAGCCAAGCAGGGACTCTTGGGATTACTTAGCTAGTCTCTTACAATCTCATTAGTCTCTTACACTCCCAAGTGCAGCAGCTCTGCTCTGTCTCATCTCTTGCTCTTATCTTACTGTCCGTTCCCATCCTTCTGCGTTTCGTCTGGGGCTCTCTACACGTATATAAACCCCAATAATCTACTAAAATATACATGACGAAGTAACAGGGTCCAAACCTCAGTTACTTCCTTGCCGTTATAAGTTTGACATCTGTTAGTGTCCTTTCCCTGCTCGCCTCCTCCTTCTTCAGTCCTCCGTTAATCCTTTAGGCCTCAGCAAGCATTCACGGTTTCCATTAGTAAGAGGGTACTGAGGGACTGAAGTTCGTTTGCTGAGATAGAGACTGCTGATACTGGCTCATGTCTGTTTTATCCACAATATAGATCGCTTAGAACATGTCAAATAGCAAGAGAGGGTAATTTATTCACAATAAGACAAAGCATATCATCATGAGTGAATTGGTAGCGACCTAGTCACCCCTCTTGGCTCGCTTCCGAGGCCGCAATGTCACCTCAGGTGCTGCACTTACCTCGGTCTGAGCCGCTTGTTTTGCAAGATTGAGTGCACGTGTTCTTTTGCGTTTTTGGGCGGGGGTGAGCTGCTCATAAGGTACCTCGGTCCTGGGCTTGTCAACCATGACGTTTGCAGCTGCGGGCGTGGTTGCTGGTGCTGGCAATGGCCTTTGATCAGGTTCAATTGTCAGAGGTGAAGCTGCTGATGGCAACCCTGGCACTGGTGCCAGTGAGTGCGTTTGAGCATTACTGACCCCTGTAGACGCAGCATTGTCAGACTGGTCCTGTATCAAGGTTATAGTTTATTTTTCATACCTAACTGCCCAATGTTGACGTTTTGGGTACCACCAAAGGCAGGGACCGAATCGTTCTCATCTGGACTGTTAGTGAGCACTAGCCTGGCATTTGTGACGGTTCTTGAGTCCTCTGAAGGGAGCAACTCTGTACAAAACTATCAATTTAAGCTTGTTTTCCGACCCAGTTGAGACATACCTGGAGAGAACGCAGCAATTGCCTTTGCCTTCGGAGTAGGTTTGAAAAGCATGCCCTTGCCCAGCTGATTGTCCTTTTGATGAGACTGTATGAGTCCAATCCACGCATTGAGGTGATCTTTGTTCCAGTTGACATCGCCAGGAAGCGTAGCTCGGGTGGTGGGCTTATTTTCTGCCGTTACGACGGGTATGACATCTGGATAGCACAGATTGTCCATATTTGCCATGATATACTTCCAACCCCATTTCGATTCATCATGTCCTGCACGCACTGTCAAGATGTTAGCCAGATAATATAAAGAAAGTCAATTGAACTTACAGTAGCGGTCCTGAATTGCAGCAGATAGGACACTACGACCGTCATGCATAGACATTATCATCAAGTGCCCAGAGCCGTATTCCATCACGCTCGCCCAGAAGTGGAACTTTGTATATATCTGGTGACTTTAGCCGACGTTTATTCTTGTTCTGATTGTCGCTTTGGTCTGCGGTCGACTCAGAGGTTGTCTCGGCTTGTGCGGTTGGCAAGGCCAGGGTGGTCGAGTGATCAGGGGCTGTCCAATGTTGAGCTGAAAGTGATCCAATGTCCGATTATGTAAGTGTTCCATACCTATACTGTCAAAGAAGTAGTGCGCATAGGCTTGCATTCCTGCCCGAAACCCTGCAGCGACGTTGGGGCGCTCATGTGCAAGCCATGCTAAAGGGGATAGTTTGTTCTCTGGAGGCGCAATGTTGAATCTACTGGGAATCAATGACAGGGCTGACATCTAAGGCAAACTCACATCCTTGTTCGGGTGCATTGTTAGGGTCACCAGGAATAACCACAACTGACAATGCAGGGAACTTGAAAGCAGCATACGCATCTCCAATAATTGACGTAAAGCTTGCTGCGACAAGCTCCTTCCGGGCACTAAGTACACAGTTAGTTCCGCTTTTACAGACTTAGTGTAATTATGTACGTACTTAAGAGGAATTAACTCGAAATTCTGCTCGCATTGGTTGAAGAAGTCCACGAACTCCTCCCACACCAGCGCTTGGTCTTTGTCCAGGTCAAAACACGTTTTTGTTGCCAGACGGTGCATGATGAGATCCTTTGCAGCTTGCTTTGACTCAGGCCTGGTCACCACGTGCGCAATTTACGGGAATTGTCGCTGAAAAGAAGTTGGTCCAGAACTTCTCGGGATTGCGCTTATTTGGTGCGAACTTATTCTTGTTTCGAGTGACATCCGGCCGTACGGGAATGAGAGAGTCCGCAGACCTTTGTAAATCGGCGAGGTACTGCGCGACAGTGCTTGATTCCGGAGAAGTGTTAAGCGCATTGGGAACCGCTTCAGAAGAGGTGGATGTTGTGCTGGCCTGACCCGGTTGAGGTGGTTGAGCCGTGCTGCCCACAGGATGCGATGCGGATGAGGGAGTTGGGATATTTGACGGTATTGCTGAAGCCCGGATCAGAGAGGTGTCAGACAAAGCCGTCGGGTCATGCTGATGTTGTGGAGCTGGCAACGAGGTGCGAGAAGCAGGATCCAAGGAGGACGAGGGAACCGTATTGTTTTGTTGCCCAGATGCCATTGTGAGGAGAGGCCCTTCGAGTGGAATATATGATTGCGTGGAATATAAAGGTGGGCTCCAAGTTGGAAACCCACCGACGCCGTGGGCCTGAGCATGGACCGCTTGGTGATCACCTGCTTGGAACATCTATGAACATGTTAGATTAGCCCATCTAACGCCTTATTATGACCTGATTGGAGACACTAGTTGCGCCGTTGTATGGTTCAAAGTATGCATTTGGACCAGCTAAGGACATTGGACGCTGACGTGGGCAGCATGGTAGCTTGGATCGAAAGCAGACATTCTGGAAAGGGAGACTGTCTATCACCGATTGTTCTCCTTAAATATTTTAGCAACGGCTGAGGATTCATAACCTCCGTGATTGTTCGACACACTCCTCATGCCATGTGTCAATGTATCTTGTACCTCTTAAGACCCGAGAAAGCAAAATTATCACCCTTATGTAACTTGCTCCGCCACGTTTCGCTCACAAACAGTAAATCTTTGTAGATTGTCCATGATGTACAAGGTCAGCCACCGGAATTGGTGACTCCGCAAGCTTGTGTGTTCGAGACCTGAGCGCGGCCCTGAGTCCTAATATGAAACCCTGGCATTAGATGCCCGATTTTTGCAAAGAATGCGGAGCGTCCTGAGTATGCAAGTCACCGACATGGGTCAAATTTCATAAGGCTGCTCCGGATTCATTCAAATAGACTAGATAGAAAGACGTCAGAGATTGTGCGGTGACACGTTCTCTATGGATAGGCCCCTATCCTTACAGCCAACGTAGCTACCAATGGAAAGCGGAAATTGCGCAATACCTAGCATTTTAACTGTTTGACGGGTTAATGACTTGATTATTGTGCTTTCTTGAGCATTCATTATAATTTGAGCTGGAGGGCTATGGCTGCCATGGTTTCTCCTGTTGCATGCCTTGAGAGTAAAAGCATAAGAGCATGTCTAACATGAGGTATATATAAAGGAAGGATTGGATTGAATACAAGATATGATTTGAGACTTAGGAAGGAATAAGTAATATCCCTCAACTTTGTCGGTTGGTCCCCACTAGGACTGTAAATGATATTCCTCATATATTCAGATTCTTACAATACATCATATTCTACTTGACTGTAGAAAGAGTGTGTGTTCCGAGCATGGGAATAAGCGTAATTTATCTAGAACTCATATAATGGCTCTTACTGATCATATTGCTGTACGGAAATCTTGATATGAATCTTATGTGACGGTGATTGTTCGTCTGAGGTGATTCGCATTGCTAAGTAATAGCCAACGGGAGAAATACCTGAATTTGTAATGACAGAGGGTTTCATATAACGGAGCTTGAAATGAAAGCTCGTGAATTATGTCTTGTTTGCAGATGACAGACAAACTGGGAGCCTAAATTCTTTGCGACAGAGGTCCCACATAGCATGACAGATGGTAGGTTCTACAACGTTTTGCGATGACAGAGGGCTAGAAGCCTAAATTCTTCGTGACAGAGTGTTACCGCACGACAGGATTGAGAATGATAGACGGCGAATTGTGGGCGTCCGAACTATGACAGATGAGCGAGATGCCCAAATTTATCATGACGGAGAAAGCGGCACTGAGTACGACGGGATGATGGATTCTACATCATTTCGCGATAAAAGATGCGCCAAAAACCCTAATTCTTCATGATACAGTGTTGCCGCTCGACAGTACCGAGTATGATTGACGGCAAATTCTGGGTCTCCGAACCATGACAGATGAGCGAGATGCCCAAATCTATCATGACAGAAAGCGGCACTGAATATGATGGGATGATAGATTCTATGTCGTTTCGTGATGACAGAGGGCTAAAAGCCTAAATTCTTCGTGACAGAGTGTTGCCGCACGACAGGACTGAGAATAACAGACGGCGAATCGTGGGTCTCCGAACCATGACAGATGAGCAAGATGCCCAAATTTATCATGACGGAGAAAGCGGCACTGAGAATGACGAGATGATGGATTCTACATCATTTCGCGATAACAGATGTGCCAAAAACCCTAATTCTTCATGATACAGTGTTGCCGCTCGACAGTACCGAGTATGACAGACGGCGAATCTGGGTCTCCAAACCATGACAGATGAGCGAGATGCCCAAAATTTATCATGACAGAGACAGCGGCACTGAGTATGATGGGATAATATATTCTATGTCGTTTTGTAATGACAGATGGGCCAAAAGCCTAAATTATTTGTGACAGAGCATTGCCGTACAACAATACTGAGTATGACAGATAGCGAATTCTGGGTCTCCGAACCATGGCAGATGAGCGAGATGCCCAAATTTATCATGACGGAGACTCTAACATAGGCGATACCAAATATGATGGGATGGTAGATTCTACATCATTTCGCGATAACTGATGGGCCAAAACTCTTCATAATAGAGTGCTGCGGCACGACAGTACCAAGTATGACAGACGGCAAACCGGGTCTCCGAACCATGACAGACGAGCGAGATGGCTCAGTTTATCATGACAGAGATTCTCACACAGCGACACTGAGTATGACAGGATAGCATATTCTACGTTATTTTGTGATGACGGATGGTCCAAAGGCTAAATTCTTGGTGACAGAGCATCACCGCACAACATTGTTGAGTATGACGGACGGTGAATTCTGGTCTCTGAACGATGACAGATGAGCCGAGCACCTGAATTCTTCGTGATGAAGCATCCCACACGGCAATCCCGGAATGATAGACAATAGAGTCTATGCCGCCGGATGAAATTGACGGGCTAGGCACCTAAATTCTAAATGACAGAGGTTCCCATATCAATACAGAGTTGTAGCAGACGGTAAATTTCACGTCTTCTAGTGATGATAGATGCGCTAAGCGCCTAAATTTCATGACAGAGCTCATCACGAAGTATGGACAAAATCCTTAACTCTGGTCGAGCGCTGAAAGTCCCCGCTAAGCCTGCCTAGGAAGTAGTACCAAGATGGGGAAGGCGAGACTGACGGACAGGGTGCGTGTGAAATACAGAGAAATCCGAAACCCAGTATCCAGTTTGCGGTTTCTCCATCATGGTGAATTACGCGACGGATTCAGCCTCAGTCACCATCTATTGTGGGTTCTTCATCCGTGCTTGAGGTGAAAACGATTTCACATATATTATTAGCCTTTATATTCAAAACGTTTAATCCATCAAGCGCTCGTGACAGACACCTCTATGAGCGTAAATTTGCAGTTTTTTTCCTAGCGCAAATAAGCAAATTTACTTATCGACGGCTAACTAGGCTGAAGAAGGACACACTTGGGAAGATTCATATACCGGGAATAACAGACCCGGAGATCATCAATACATACCCAGATCCAGAGCATAGGCAAGTCTTTGGGATAGGTTGCTCATCGGATGGCAAAACTCTCATTTCAGTGATAGAGGTAGACATCGCAGACACCTTCAATGCTGTACTCCTCTGGGATCTGAGAACGTATCAATATCTCGGTTGGACATATGAGATCATGGATCTCACCTCTATGCTCATTTCCCCATGTGGGCTCAAGCTTGCTATTTACAAGGAGGGCTTGCCGTCGGTCATCCGTTGCCTTGATATCGAGACTGGGCCCGGAGCTGGCTCGACGCTGATACTTCAGCATCCATTGAGGCAAGGAGGCTTTCAATATACTCCCGACTCTAACAATCTCGCCGTTGTTCAAGACAAGGCTATTCATATATGGCGAATCCCTTTCGAGAGTTCTGATAACCCAACACGGATTCTTTGCCATGCCCTCAACACTAATATTACATGCATGGCATTCTCCACAATGTCAAGCACTCTGGTTTCTGCCGCAGACGCTATTTATGTTTGGAACTGGGAGGCTGGAGAGCTTGTATCTAAATCTCAACCAATATCCCCGGCGTCTGCAATCTGCATCTCCCCAGACGATGCGACCGTGGTGTTTGGCAATTCGCTTCTCTATGTCTGGGATCGAGAAGCTGGATTGATCCACGAAAGCCCGCTGATAGGACGAGAGGGATCTGTTTCGGTCGTTTTGTTCACCCCAGATGGCAAAAGAATAGTGTCTGGGCATTCAAAGGGGACGATCCTCATCCAGGATCCGCATCCTTCGCCTCAGCCCGTAGCTGGCCCTGGGCACGTCCTACCAGTCACATCGATCGCGTTTTCAAACGATGGAAAGATCAGCCAGTGTCTCTGAGGACGGACGGTTGTGCATATGGGACGTGACGATGGGTGAACTGGTGCTGGACCCAGTTCAGCTCTGCGAGGGCAAGCTGCGCAAAGTCCAAATATCCTCTGCCAACGATAGCATTATCCTAGCTCTCGAGGAGCCATACGCGATCCATATGTGGAACCGGCATACTCGAGTCCACGTTCAACGAAAGATTCCCGAAATCAAGGCCATTGGGATTCACGTTCTGGACGGCGTCCCTGGTCATCCATGGTGGATCGTTCTGGGAGAGCTTTACAACTTTGCTATGCGGGTATATGATCTCGATTTGGAGGCTCCAGACTCCTCGCCGGCACGGCTCCTGTGTGAGGGGACACTGCCCATGAATTTAAAATCACCCTTGGCATTCATGTCCACGGATGAAGCTGGTCAGTACGTGTACTGGAGTGATCATGTATGGGAGATACCCAGTGGTCAGCAATGCACGACTCCTCCAGATGTCCGCTGGCTCAACCGTCGGCCTGAACGACGGTGTTATGCAAATTTGCACTCTTTAAATAACATGGTCTTCTCGGTGGAGTTCGACACCAAAGAGGATCTTTTGTATCCCTTATCCCACGACTTTGTCTTTTCGGCCCAAGCTGGGTACGGTTGGAAGCATATTTTGGGAGGCGAAGATGGTCGAATTATGATAGTAGATTGTACTCACCTCGTTTGATGACAAGCCACTTTGACGGTTATTGCCACTTTGTTGCTACCGCCACGAGCGTCCATCCTCCAACGTCCTAAATGCTTATTCTGTAATTATAGAAAGGCTATATTGACATCAGGATACGATTCTCAGCGCAGAAGGCAACGGACTTTAGCCAAATGAACCCTCGAAACCCTTGTGCCGCGTTGCCCTCGACTCTTTTTCCCGACCACTACATGCCTGGATGGTCGGTCGACCGGTTTTTGCTTGGATTTCGGTGATATGGGCGATTTTGCTGGTCCAGACGACGCTCGCCGCCAGCGTCTTTATCCCCGCGACGAGCTCGCTATTTCAATACGATCAAGAATGGAAAAATGCGACGTCTGATCCGACGATTATGACCGCTACGAACAGCGGCTCGTTTTATTTTCTCTTTCGTGGTGCGTGCCCAAACTGGAACTTTTGAATATTGGCGGCCTGCTTATGTATCTCTCGGTGTGCATATAGGTTTCAACTTTAGTATTCACTTTTCGCCGCCTTATGAAGGTGATATGGGCCTCTGGTTTAATGGGAACCAATACGTGAATCTATCCGACGTATACCGGACCGGCAATACGAGAGAGTCAAGTTTCAAGCCTGGATTGGCCGAATATTTTGTTCAGGGTTCAGATGAAGACCATCAAATCCACTTCTCCTATACCAACACGAATGCGAGCGACGTATTTGGGTTTGGTGGCCTCACGTACGGGATTCATTCACGACGAATGTCAAATTTAATGATTATAATCTAGAATTGGCACTTCTGGTGATACCTACATAGCCCCGAATATGTACGGTATCTCTGCGACGGTGGCACCGTTGGATCGGCATATCATGGACAATACCGCTCTCAACTACTCTACGGGAGACTGGAAACTGTCGAGGAATGCTTCGTTTGCATATGGTCAAACTTTGGCGTCTACAAATGTTGTTGGCGCAAGTGTCTCTTTGACGTTTACGCAAGACGTGTCGACTCTCTGGTGAGTGAAACTGGGGTGCGTAGACTGGCATCTTATTCTGCACAGGCTGTTTGGAACTCTTTCGAGGGAAGGCGCGACGTTGAATATTACGTTTCCTTCAAACAACCAGATTACCTATCTCAACAATTACGGAATTCGGAGGTCGTATCTCAACGATAGCTTGGTGCAGGCCATACTCTGGTCATCTGGTCAAATGTCCGTCACGCCAGGGAGCACAATGAATATCACGCTTGCTGGTGGGACGTTTGATCTCGATTACATTTTGTAAGCGCATTGCCCTAAAAGTCTAAAACTAACGTAATAAGATACTCGACGCCATCCGTCAAGGGCAAATCCTGGGGTCTCTATATAACCGTTATCGTAATAGGGGCGCTGTTCACGCTGTTTGGCCTAAGCGGATTGATATTCTGGCGATGGAAACGGCAAAAGAAGCGAAAGAAATCAAGAAACGTGGATCGAAAAGGAGGTACGATGGGCTGTTCTAATTTTGCAAAGGGGGTTAACGTACACAATCCAGTGCTCTCCGGCGGGATTGACGAAATGCCTCTGCGGTCACCGATAGATAGTAGCGTGGCTATATCTCAGGAAGATATCAACTTCATGCAGCCTCCAGTTGCAGAGTCGGTCGATCCTCCGACCGTCGCCCTTCGAACGATTGGGCTGCCGAGGGTGGAGAATCCAACGACACCATCTCCCGCGTACGAGTCGAGACCGACGGGAACTCATTCGTCGCGGAGCACACATGTCACCTCCTCTGTGGCGACGACGCCTTCTGTGGTTGCAACAGAGCAAGAGGTGTTGCCTGCATGGAGTCCGCCCCCACCATCGTATTTGACCGTTTCCGAACTGGTGAGCGAAGCTCGGAGGGGGATGATACCGTTGGACCAGGAGACGCTAGAACGGCTGTTTGAGCGTGTCATGGTGTTGAGGAGAGAAGGCCGGTCGTCGGCGGCGTGGATAAATCGACCGGGGGGTGGATTGGGCTTCCATGCAAACCCGACTGGGGATACGATTGTGGAAGAGGAAGAGGTGGATGAATTGGAGGCGCTCGCGAGGCGAATTGCAGGCATTGAGACGATGCCGTCGCCGATGCCACTGAGCACAAAGCGGTGATAATCGCATGGACGATTGTATGTATAGATAACGGATAGGAAGAGTGATTGTGAGCTATGCACTGATAATAATATGCATATATAACCAAAGGTTGATCTCGACCGTATCGTTGCTCCGGGCACCTGGAAGGGCTCCAGTGTCTGCGCTGAGCCATTGTACCTTTTCCAGACGAACCATTAATCTGCAAGGCCCAGTCAACAACACCGCGGCGAGCAGCTGACTGAATCGTGTCAACGACGAGTTGAGCACGGCGGGCAAGGGCAGCGTTGGAGAGCACCTGCAGAGACGCTGATTGTTTCCAAAAAACAGCGTAGAGTGACCAGCACGTGCCCCTTTTGAGAAAAACGAGCAGAGGAAAGAGGTTGGACCACGCGCAACGCTGGACGACGGCTGAAGAGTCGAAAAAACAATGATGAATGGGAGACAAGCAACTGCACAGGGACTTGGAAATCCAAACCAGCTGCTCCCAGTCAACGGCGGCATGGTTCAGCCCACCGCTCCTGGAGGTCCACCACAACCTTCGCAGATGGCCTATGGCGGCGGTTATGTCCCCCAGCCAATGCCACAAGGTGTCATGACAAGACTTGTACCAGGCCCCGGTGGTCTCCCAGGTCCCCCAAGCGCACAACCACTCTACTACCAAGCTGGACCAGGCGTCGCACGGCCCATGGTCGCCGGTCCTGGTCAGTTACAACATATGCAAGGTGTACCACCTCCGATGAATGCTGGTGCGCAGCCCCCAGGTGGTCCCCAAGTCCGCTATGCGCCGCACCCGCAGGCAATGGGCCGGGGAATGCCAGGACCAATGCCAGGAATGCAGAGACCCCCCCAGCCAGGCTCATATCCAATGGGCATCCCAATGGCCTCTATGCCACCAGGAATGAGAGCATTTCGCGGTCCACAATCAATGCAGCCTGGAACATCTGTAATGACCATGGGCGGTCCTCCTGGCCCTCATTCCATGGCTGGTCAGCCCGTCATGCTTCCTCCAGGCTATGGTCCACCACCCGGTGGGATGCCCCCGCAAGGACAACCCGTCATGATCCAGCAATCGCCACGAAAGCAACCGGGTATGTCTATTCCTATCCACTACCCTACATGCGATTAACATACGTTATACCAAGGCTCCCTAGCAGGTCCAATGACCGCCTCGAGTCCTCGAAATGCGAGTCCACATGCTGGAAATGCCAGTACTGTGGCGACACCCGCCAGTGCAGGCACACCTGGCTCACGAAGTAAGTAAATTGACTTGTGAATGAAACAATGTTAATTGGTTTGCAGTGGCCCGAGCACCTACCCCAACGGGCCGACCTGGGACAGCGACACAACCACCACAAAGCCAGACTCCTCGAATGCAACATGTCGACCTGCAGAACTCCGTTCAGCCATCTCCACAAGCATTACACCGTGTCGCGTCGATGCCTAGCATGTCCATGACAGGACCCCCTCCACCAGGAGGTGTCAACCCGGCCTATTTCAGAACTACGCCTGCGCAGGCTGTAGGAGACCAGCAGATGAACCCCCAACCGACAATGGGCCCCGGTGCTCAAGGACCGATGGACGGTGTGCGATACACGAGTTTACCTCCACATCCTGGTGCATCTGGTCCAGTCTCTATGCAACCCCAAATGCAACCGGGACCACGAATGGTCCCGGGACACCTTGGCCAGCCGACTCCGCTTCAGCCTCAGCTGACGGGGGATGCGCAACCGCTCATCTCACAACATACCGGAGGTTCGCTAGGAGGTCCTCCTCCGCTTACACCTCAGCATACGGGCGGGGCGGGTTATCCACAGGGTTCATCGGGCGTAGGAGGACAACCACCACCACCTCAACCAACGACGGCTGCAAGGTCTTCGGCTACGTCGACACCGAATATCCGACCGCAGTCTACGGCACCTCATAGCGCTAATGAGGCTATGGATGGTGTCGAGCGTCATCCTCCCCTACGAATATCCAAATGTTACCTCCAGAGGTGTCGACTATTACCGAGATGAACTTTCAGAGCATACATGGAGGATCGCCAAATCTGTGAGCCTTCAGCCAAGGTGGTAGGGCTGTACTAATTCGTCTTCAGCCGTCTTCAGTTTGGCACAATGCGTTTACTACAGTTTAGCAAGGCGATCAATAGCAACAAGGATCCACGGTCAATTCCTGGCGTATGTCTCTGGTGGAATCAATGCGCCTCTGAAACTCATCATTTTACCAGCGTGACGAGTCGTATTGGCCCAGGCTGCTCGCGGATCACTTTACGGAAGATGCTAGCCTTCGAATACGAGTCCAAGATCCCAGCAAGCCCAGCACAAACGCGTTTGGTCTGGTTTGTTCGCTGTACAGTTTCTGTCTTTGCTGACGTTTCCTTTTTCAGTGAGACTTCCATACGGGTTATTGATTCGTTTCTTTACAACCTTGTCCCAATCGGAGATTTACCGAATGTCGCTCAACCTCGACGGACCGGCTGAGACTCAGGACAATTATGTCACTTGTCAAACTGCTCGGTGGCCAATGCACTACTCGAATGGGTATATTATAGAACTTGTCGGGCAGCTTCGCGCAAAGTGCAAAACTGTTCCGATGCTGCCTCAACGTCCACCAGACGATTCCTCGCCCGAGTTGGAGGCAGGACGTGCACCGATACCGTACATGGTCAAGATTGAAGAAATGATCTTTGACTCGGCGTATAGCTCCAAGTACATCGACATCGACCTATTGCGACAGCAAGCGTATGGCTACGACCCGAAGACGGCGAGAGCCGACGCGCCACCGGCGGAGTGCAAGATTCCGGAAGAGCCGCCAAATTCGCATGGTTTACCTAGTATGGCAATGCGAATGGTTGAATTCGCAGAGGGTATGCATGCTCTTGTGCCTATTATACAACACGAAGGCAACTTTCACATTCCGCCAAGTCGTGCGTCTCTTCTCTATCCTCAATGAATATATCTCCTGATTGGATCCCATATAGACGCTATGCGAGAATTGGCGCAGAGTGTCATGATGGATCACCATTCGTTTATGCACACAATGGCCTATTCGGTACCGTTGCCTGAAGGGAGTGAGGGTTATGTCTCCGCCTCGGATCCGACAATCGGCTTTGGTCACTTTCCGAAAAAGGAGGATCCGTACATGGACCTGGCGTCGGCATCAACGAGCAATAATGCCATGAGCAATAGCACCCACTCAACACCGAACCAAAAACCGACTGCGGCGGGCGCAGGAGCGAGTACGGCTGCAGGTGCAGCTGCGGGGGCCTCTGTCAGCCCGACGATTAGCTCCAAGCCACCGTCGGGTAAAAAAGGTGGTACCGCGCCTGGGTCGCCTACAAAGGCGTCGGCGGCTGAAAAGGAAAAAGCGTCGACGAAGCGCAAGAATACGATTGATACCAATCCTGATGGGCCGCCAAATAAGCGGTCGAGAGTGACGAGAAAGCCGTCGAGGGGCATGTGATGTATCCCCCCCTTTTCCCTCTTTTCCCATCATGGTATCACTCTTTTTCTACAAAGAGCCTTTGTAGAGCACGAATCCTTTTCCTTGGTGCATGGGCTCCGTGCGAGTGCACGCGAGGCGCCCCTCCCCCGCCTTTCTCCATATTTACCTGCCTATATACTAGCATCTATCTAGAGTATCGTTGTCGAAGATTCTCTGCGGACTTGTCATTCCAAAACTCCGTTTTCGCCTCTGACAAATTGGGAATCGTGTACATGGCTTTTTGTCCAGCCAAAAGATTTTTTGTGTTTTCTGTCGCTGTCATGTCTTTTCTCTACCATGTCTTTTCGTAGCTATTCACAAGGTACTTTACAGAAATGGCCTTTTCGAGACGAGCGTCACTTGATATGCACGAGCCCTTGACAAGTTGCTTCCACGTCAACAATCTGGTTTTGTTGAGTGCGTGCGCTTTGTTCGGAGGGTTCACTCACTTCCTTTGGAGCGTCAACAGAGAGGACGACCCCATGATCCTTTTGAATCAAGACTTCGTCCTCGATGCGAATGCCGATATTGTGAAACTCGCGAGGGAAGCGGTTGTCGGCTGGGACATATACGCCAGGTTCGACCGTCACGACCTGTCCAGCGAGAAGCCTGTCTATGCATCAGAACAAAGTCGAATGGTAGTCGGATGCGTACTCTTCGCTACTCATGCCCGTCGACTCGTGCAAGTCAATACCCACACCGTGACCGACAAGATGAGGGTACAGGATATCTTCAACTTCGCGACCAAAGCTGCTAAAGCTGAATCCAATCTTTACTAGCTCTTCAGTGAGTAGTCGGATGGAGAGCCGGTGGAGCGCCGATAATGATACCCTAGCCTCTTGCCCTCCTGCGTGACTCTTAGCTTCGTAGGAATCCGAGTTGCGAGGGAAACATACCAGATAAAGCATCTGATGCAGAAGGTGCAGTTGAACCGGTGCAGAGGAGCGAGACGCATTGTTTCTGGACGTTGAGAACAGCCTGGTAGAGGGCCCTTTGCGCTGGCGTAAACGTTCCTGATACAGGAAACGTGCGCGTAATGTCCGATGCATATCCACTAAAAAGGGTCAACCACATGCCACGACGCTTCCCGGATCACTGACTTCCATTCTCCACCAGCGTCAATGAGTACAAGTTCACCATTTTGGATGGCTTGGTTATTTGTGGTATGGTGGATAGTAAGCGCGTTGCGCCTGCAACATCCTCATTGATTTTCGTCTCCATGCAAGATATGAACCCACCCAGAAGCTACGACGGGTACATAGGCGGGACGCTGACATCCGTTCGTCCCAAGCCCATCCTTTGCGTCAAAGGATACCGCGCAGATATATTGAAAGTGAGCCTCTAGATCCGCCTCGGAAAGACCTGGGCGCGCAAATTGCATCGTCTAGAGAAGGAGTAAGATTTCAAACGATTTTGACAGAGACAACACACCATTGCATGGGCTCTTGCGCTTCTCAGTGCAGCACCTTTCATGAGACGTTGCTCCGCCGGGCTTTTAACCAATCGGAATTTTGCTACATGCTTACCCAGATCCCTGCATTTCTCGACTCCGTTGGCGTGTAGTATGCTATCTACGTCGTTACCCTGAGTATTCGACTGTGGATAGAGATTTGTGCCTGGGTTGAACCACGACCGCACGTTGGTAGGAGGTAATCGTTTGTAGCGAGAAAGTGATGTAAGATCAGCATAGATATAGTTCGAAGCAGACACCATTGGCGCTAGTTTGGAGGGTAGTTTGTCGATTGTGTATGCCTGTCATGATCTCAATCCTGTCTGCTTTTTTCAGTAATCGAATAATATACCTTGTCAGCGTCAAAGAAATTCTTTGCTCCGTTCAAACCGGCGACAGGTCCTTCCCAAAGTTCCTTTTTCGGAGTTTTTCTGCGCAGAAGAACGTCATGCGGTAACCCCGAGAGGATTTATCCTTTTCTGCAGGAAAAGAGTCAGAATCTGTCGCAGACATGAATGTGGAGCGCACGCAAGACGACTGTTGCATCGGGCTCTTCGAATCCGGTGAGATACCAGAAGTCGGAGGCCTGGCGAAAGCGGTAGCTAAAATAATAGTTAGACGTTGCGTTCCAAGCCTAGGGTGTACGAACAAGATATTCTTTGACATGTACTTGACACTGGCTGCGCGAAGAATGACGAGACTTGAATCAGGAATTGAATCTATAAGTCGTTTCCGCCGTTGATGATACTCTTCCTTTGTGATTCCTTGAAATGATGAGCATTCATCATTACTTGTTTGTCTGCTTCTTACCTGGCGTTATCTCCTCAGAGGAACTGAACATATGTGGATGAGAGGTTGGATGTGGTTGAGCGAACTCATGTGGGTACATTGATGCATATGTGCGGCAAACTATCGACTATGAATAAGACATCATACGCTTGGCCGAGTATACTGACGTCGCGCCGTATAAGATGTTTTCGTTACTCGAGAAAGCATCCCGAGTATAGTTATGAATAAAAATAGAGTGTGTCTTCTTGGAAAATTATAAGATGACGGTTCTTGCTCTGTGCCGGAGCTAGGTCGATCCGGCGAAATGATAATGGAGAGTCTTTTCACTCTGTGACTATGAAATCTTGCTAATTTTGAGCACTCGTTATCGTCTCTGTTGCTCGGCGCCCAAGATTTCTGGCAGCGGTCGGGAGCAAGGTTGATTTGCAGTTTACTCCCGACGAGCGATTACCCATAGGCAGCCCAAGTCGGGACTTGACACTTCTCCTTTCATTCAGACTTGTTTGAAGCAGCATCTTAAAAAGGTGAATGACCTGGGCCATTCAGTTGTTCTCCCACTCAAGTGTTCAGATGGGTCATCCTGATCTCTGTAGCCGAACTGCTTATATGTCAACGGAAGAGGTTAACTAGAGTGTTCTTCCGGTTGGTACGTTCTAGTCCAATCACTGTCCCCGGGTAACATGTGATTGGTAGCAAAACACCTTAGACCTCGCCACATCTAACCTTTCGGCAATTCTGGAGGACACGTATACCGTCTTTAATTATTCAAGGAATAGCTGCGACCCCACTACTGTCTATCCTTATTCCCTTTGGGCTTTGACTGCGACTTGTAGCGATGAGTGGTGAACCAAAGAGCGTCTGGGAGGTCTGGACACGACGTGGAATTAGCGCCGCTAGTGTTGCTACTTCCTTTGGCTTCTATACAGCACGAAAAGGAACGCAAATCGGGGTAAGTACTTCTTTGAAGACCACGAGCAAGCTCATATGACACTCTGATAGTTTGGAATTGCACGTGGAGTCACATCCACCGTCCTCACTGTTGGATCATCACTCTTGTCTCCTTTGACGCCAGCGCCTCTTGGTGCCGGCATCGTCCTGGCCTCTGCAGTAACCTCGTCGCTGAACCTCATAGAGCAGGCAGCGCTTCTACCTCTAGATATTGGACAAGCAATCACCTCCACTTCCCTCACCATTGCTTCATCGTCCGTCGACGTCCTCACCTCGATGCTCGGCAGCCACGAGGCGTCCTTCTCATTAGCAGAGTTTGTCACGCTTGTCAAGAGAGAGTGGAACGACCCTGTTCTCAAAGAAAGGCTTCCTGCTGATAAGGACAAGTATGGTGTTATACAAATAGGAAAAGCACTCATTGCATGGGCGGCATTGCAATGTGCCACGAGGGGTTGGCACGAGAGTCGATGGCGAGACAATATGCGAGAGATTGGCAATGAGGAATGGACCGAAGTCACACCACCACCTGTTCCACCCAAGGACATGAACGAGGACGAGCGAAGAGGTTTCTACAACTCGTTTTCCTATCGAAGTCGCACTGCAAGTATCTTAGCGCGAGGGTCTAGGATCTGTGTACACGAAGACCTGATGCTTCCCGAGCAAAGAGGGCAGGTCATCAGTGCAGAAATCGGAGAGAAGTGGGACATTGGGGCTTACGCTCAGAGCGAAGGTAGTTGTCGACTACGTATCTGCTTTGATCTAACGTGTTTTAGCTATCGATGAACCTTCGATACAAGCTCCTAAATTGGGAGATATTCGCCTGAATCTCAGACGACTATCCAAACTTGTTCTTGGTTCATACGGAGGCACTTCCCTACTCTTCTTCGGCATTCCGTATCCTGGAGGAGAAGCGGCGCCAAAGGATCCTGTGATTCCACCTGTTGCAACGACCACTGGCGCGCAGATTGCCGAAGAAGCACTGGCTATGGAAGAAACCGTCCTCGTCCAACTTGTCAATGACGCAGAGGCAGAAGAGGTTTCTCAACGCCCATCAACGCTACATCATACGAGAAGTCTCGCAGCCTCTGTGTCTCGGCATCCAGCATGGGGCAGTTCTCACGTTAGATCCTCAACTCTCGACCTTAACCGCGGAGTGCCAAATGGAGAGCCATATCCAAATAGTACTGGAGTGCGCGGCGCGGGTGTCCCCTTTCCCGCTGTATCGACCCCTGATCTCAATTCTTTTGAGTCCTCCGTGCGCACTTCGTCGACCGCTTCATCTCCCACCAGAAGCGAATCTCATAGAGAAGGAGCGCAAACTACAAATGTACCGTCATGGTGGGAACTCCTTACCGGTCAACGGGATAGAGAGATTTTCGAAGGCTTTGCTGCTGCTGCCATTGCTGCAGAGGAGATCAAGGAAGGCGCCAGGGAAGCCAAAAAGGAGCTTGATAGAGGTATTGTTCTACCACCCGCGAAGGACTTGAGTGACACTTTCGCGCAGATATGAAAATGAATGCGACAATCGGGGCTATTGAGAAGATGCCCCGCTTTTGGGTGCTCACTGATCATGCGCGAAGACAAGTTGTCCTAGTTCTGCGTGGAACGATGAGTCTTAACGAACTTGCCGTGGTACGTGAGAAGTGTGTGTCATACGCAGTGACCCTTACATTTGACGAGGATCTTACCTGTGAGCCCGTTGATTTCACACCACGGACTGCGAAGCGCATTCGGGTGGCGAGCACGGCCTCCATGAGATCGCCATTCACGGTGCACGGGGGCATGCTCAGGATGGCTCAAGTGATGGGGGCCCACGGCAAGCCAGTTCATACCGCCATCAAGAAGGCTCTAAGGGCGAATCGGGGCTATGGTGCGTAAACAATTCCAGAAATTCATTCAGCCACTCACATTGTTAGAACTTGTTATGAGTGGGCATAGTCTCGGTGCTGGGGTTGCCGGATTGCTTGCTTTGGTGTGGCTGCTCTTTTGCTCACGGATTGGTGGTACTGACGCTGCCATAGATGTGGGCTGACCCAACGACGTGCATGACGATACCAGCAAGTGGACTACCTGTTGGTCGCAAAGTATCCGCGTACTGCATCGCACCTCCGTATGTTTACCTCTAGTAATCCGATGGAGCTGATCTGTGGTCCAGGTGCTTCACCTCCGCGGAACTTTCTCGACTCGCAGCGCCAATGATCACTTCGTTTGTTTACTCGCACGACGTCGTCTCGCGCCTATCTCTTGGCTCCATCAGAGACCTCAGCCGTGCCTGCTGGTGGCTAAGTGACGGAAAAGACGAAGAAAGCTGCTCAAATATTATCAAAAGAAGCTGGGGCTTGGAAGTTAGCACTGGACTCGGATGGTGGGGCAAAGGGGGAAAGAAGCAGCGAAAGAGGGAGGAAGAGAAAGACTTTGTAAGTAATTTATTCTGGCGAGCTATAAGCTTTCTCGTTTCTGAGCTTACACATGGCACAGTTACTGTCATTACGCAAGACATTAGAAGCGAATATGCACATGGCGGATCTATACCCAGCTGGAAATGTGTTTTGGGCGATTCACGAGAACGATATTGATGCAACTGCCTTGCCATCGTCTGCGGCCAATGCCACCGTTGCACAGACAAAGCTGCGACTTTTCAAAGTTGACAAGGTGGAAATGGTGTTTGACCAGGTCGTCTTCGCGAGGGATATGCTGACGTATGTCTTATATTGTTTCATTTATGTTTGTGCTGATACATTGACAGTTCTCATATGCCACATAACTACGACCGAATGCTGCACGAGTTCCTGTAATCAAAGTATATTGCACGAATTAATGCCGTCATCATACCAAATATAGATACAAATATACAACCGGTTGTTATACGAGCGGCTCGATCAGGATTCTTCCTCAGACGAGCTCGACACAGTACTTCGACCACTGAACATCCCCTTGTACGGAGAGGGCTGGGCCTCGAACCGTTTGAGCACTTCTGGTATACTCTGACTATCATCAGGATGGTCACCTGTTCTACCGCGAAAAGGGGAACCGCCATTTAAGAGCCTGGTAATCAAGTCGTGAGATAACCTTGGGACGAGGGGATTTTCTGGACTTTCGTCAGTTATCTTCGTCGCCTTCCAATCCTTCGTCGGGGTCTCGAATGAGTCCCAGCCGTGTGGCAAGGACATGTACGGCAGCTCCTCTTCCTCGGGAAGCTGCGACTCAAATTTAGAGGGAGAATACTTTCTTCTCCACTCCTCTTCGTCGTCGTCAAGGATTGACTTCACATCTTCTGGGTCTCCCGGGTGCTTTTGTGCTGGCGAGTGGGTAGGCGTTTCGTTTTCGCTGTCGTCCAACTCAATGAGGTCTTGACCCCTGCGGGCAACTCTTGTTGCGCTCTTCGATGTCGAAGTCAGTTTGCGTTTGTAGGGCGACATGTCTTTGACAGCGTTGACCAGGGAAGAAACGTCATCCACATCTCCATTGAGAGGAATGCTATCAGGGACAAAAGTGTCCGAAGAGCGTGAGTATATCCCTTTTCTCGAGGTTGAGGTATTGGGCAGGCGTAGAGGTGTCACATGTCCCATCTGGAGTGGAGTTGGGCCGACGAGCGTAGCGTTGGGGTCGGCAGGCGTATTCGTTGCATCCGGATGTTTTCGGCGAAATGTCGGCCTTTCTTCATAGTCCTCGGTTACTGAGCTTGTCACCGACACCTGGCTGAGTGGAGTACCTCCAGGGAGAGAGCTGGCCGGTGGATGAACAGGAGCTCCAGTCAACTCCTCGTGCAGGTCGTTTTGAGAAGCGTCCAGATTCAAAAGAGGTTGAGATGCGGTGAAAGGGGAGAAAAAGTCTGGGTTTTCCATCTGTTGTGACGAGGGAATCTCTGGTGACTTGGTCGAAGCAGGAGTCATCCAAGGGATACACGCGACATCTTCTTGCTGATATTTGTGGGGGGTGGCATCATTTTTGACCGACTCTGGAGAGCTAGGCGATGATGGTCCTGAGACCGGCTTCGTCACCATGTGAGGAAGGGAATATCGACCCGGGCGACGAATCAGACGCCCTTTCGAAGGACCTGCAGTCACACTAGCTAGGTATTAGAGTGGTGTTAATATACATCATATATGGCGTACACTTCTGGCGCTCGTTCCTCGAGTAGTCTCGCATGATTTCCCATGCCAGTGTCCGTCACTCGCTGTCTACGCTTCATGAGAAGGCGGTTCGGAACAGGAAGACTAGGGCTACCAAAAGTGTCAGGTCAGAGGTGACAACAGTCTCGATATTACCTAGACGGCGGCAGTTCCCGCTCAGGTGAATTCGATGGAAGGTTCTCCTGTAACGGATGTCGGCCGCCATTGTGATAAGTGAGGCCCCTAGTTTCCTCCACCCCTGCTTTGGGGTTACATGGTGAGAGGATTGGTGAGAGGTTCCATGGAATAGATTCCGCGTTCTCGTCGAAAAGAGGTTGAAATTGACTCCTGTCAACCTGCTTTGATCGTCGAGGAGTAGAAAAATGTCGAGAATCCTCATTGTCGGGGGTTGCAGATACTCGACTCTTGAGCGGCAGCGGTCGGGAGTTGTTGGAGAACGCGTCCCATTCTCGCTCTTTGCGCTTTTTGGAAGGATTGATGCTTCCATCTTTGTTCGACGTTGCCTTGTTTTCGTCCGCAATGAGGTCTGGGGTGGGACTGGAGCTAGCTCTTTTAACATCACTCTGATACGCTCTGTGCGTCATTTTTTGATGTTCGGGACCTGCTTCTTGAGAAACACGCTCCGGTAGAGTGCGGCTATTTGATTTCGACAAGGCTCCTGGTCCCGTGAAGCGTAAAAGAGACGGCTGGTACAGAGTACTAGATATTTGACTGCTGGACGACCGGGCTTTATCTTTGACAGATCTCGAATCTCCACCAGTGCTGTGCCGACCCTTTCTCCCTTTTTGTTCCATTGAAGAAACGCGCGTATAAACTTGAATGCGCCGATATTAGTTGCTAGTTCATAAAATGGGGGCCAACCGCGAGAATGCAAAGTCGTGGTTGGGAGCGACGCGTCGAGCAAACAACGCGGCTCACTCGTTGCACCGCGCCTCTTCCCTCAATTTTCTCTGACAAGTCGATATTCAATCACAAAGACCGATCAACTCGTTAAAATAAATATGTCTGATCTCAAGCGTCCGGCGTCGCCACATCCTGAGCAGCGACCGTCGAAAGTGCTCAACACGTCTGATCAGCCCACCGTCGAAGCGATAGCCGTATCGAGTGCTGTAGCGGATACAGTCAAGACGGCGGATCCCAAGAGCGTCCCAAGTAGATCACTGTTGATCAAAAGGCTCAACGAGAACGCACGATTGCCCACAAGAGGTTCAGCATTGGCTGCTGGATATGATCTTTACAGGTCAGTCCCGTTGTCACAAGATCTAGAATTGCATCCTGATATAATGACTCTAGTGGTGAAGATACGACTATTCCGGCGGGAGGGAAGGCACTAGTGAATACCCACATCTCCCTTGCCGTTCCAGAAGGAACCTATGGACGAGTAGCGCCGAGGAGTGGTCTCGGTACGTCCATATATATATCTAATCTACAGTTGAGACTCACTTGTCCATGTATCAGCCTCGAAACATATGATTGCTACAGGTGCAGGTGTCGTAGATGCAGACTACCGTGGCCCCCTATTCATCCTTTTGTTCAACCATGGCGAGAAAGAGTTCAAGAGTGAGTCCTGACGACCTGAAACGGCAGCTGCTGATCCCTTGAAATAGTCTCTATTGGAGATCGTATCGCCCAGTTAATTCTGGAAAAGATTGAGACACCTCCTGTAGTTGAGGTCCAGGTGTGTACCACATATTGATTGTGTAGCACGCACATGACAAGCGTTTTAGGATTTAGAAGAGACGTTGCGAGGAGCCGGAGGCTTCGGTTCTACTGGTCTCTAGCCATCTCAGGAGCCCACTTTTCTTGGAAAATAGAACAATGGTGCGATTTTATCGACTGTTTGATTCAGTAAATGGCACCAGTGATATGCAACGGATATGTTCAGGTCTCATGAAAATAGGTTCAGACACCATAAACCTACAGTTACTTTTGGTAGACTCCAGCGAGGTTATGGAAGAGCCGCATGATCCCGACCTCTACCTTTGCATCTATTGGAACCGGATTGCGCAAGATACTTGGCCCAGTTCCTCTAACCGCCTTTGCGTGTCATAGTGATCCGCACAAAATCGTTTGACTCTGGCATCTCCTCCCAGCCAATAGGGAGCGCCTCTAGAGCTAGATCAGTGCTCTTCCTGTTTAATCATAACCGGTGTAGACGAGTTATGCGGTGCAGTTGCTGGTACAGAGGTCGCTCGATTTGCTCCAGCTGGCGGATGACTTCGAAGCCCAGATAGCTCAGGAAAAGCATCCGCCAGAGCATCCCCCAATAGGTCGCGAAAACTCTGAGGTGGGGTCAAAGACGGGAATCATCGAGAAAGAGGGTGCGTACACTGATTGCGGCTATTTTGCCGTTCAGGAATGCGTTTTCCAGCGATACAGCCTCAATACGCTCCTTGAGTACATGGCCAGGGTGATGTGTGTTATCCAGATCCCTGACTATGGTCAATCGGAAGAGCCTTTATGATACAGACTTACTCGACGGCCTGTCCGTGGAATCATAGTCGGCACTCTTGCCGCGATATCGTCTACTTCCATCATTTTTGTACTATCGCTTGACTTTGGATCTTGTACATCAGTCATCAAACAAACAAGACGCGTAAACGTACATTGGCTCGGCCAGATTGAGCTGATTTCCAGAAGCCATCCATTCACTCCACCGAAACCCGCTCCTGCTCCTCCAGCACTTCCGTTAATACCGTTTATCCCCGAGTTTGCATTCGCATTCGGGCCTGAGCCGTTGACGACAACGGGTCGATTAAACCGCGTTTGCACACCATGAATTGCGATTACGAGTTCCCACAGCTTTGCTTCCGCATCTGTCAAAACTCCAGATGGTGGTTCAGGGGAACCGGTGGACTGTGGAGAGTGTGCGTCGTATGCTAAGTCATTTGGGCCTGCCATCTGGCCTAGTGCTTGAGTGTTCAAAGGTGGGACTTGTGAAAATGCGCGCTCTATGTGCGTTGGCTGCATGGTTGATAGAGACGACGAGCCGTGGTTTAGCTGGATGACCGTGAGCCGTCAGAGAGAGCCCTAATTTTAATGGATAGTCAAATTTGTAGATCAAAATTTACCTCAGTATGTCCGTCAAGGGCAATGAGACCGGAGTGGTTGAGATCAAAGTTAGTGTCCACCACTGAACCTCTGTATAGTCGAAATCTTCCTATGTAAACGTCTCCTAATCTGTTTTATTTTCACGTCTGAGAAGCTCTCGACAGCGGATGGAGTCCGAATTTCGAAGAATAGTGAGATCTATAGATCAAAATAGGCTGTGATATGTCTGTCTAAATAGATCTGGTAGAGATCAAACTTGGTTTCCACCACTGCTCATCTATTTCGCCGAGATTTTCCAAGGTGAACGCTCTCCTCACCTGGTTTGCCTTCACCTCTGATAGACTCTTGACAGTGGATGGACAAATCTGGCGGTCTCGACAATCAAAATTTTCGGCTGCATCCTGCAGCAAGGCAATTGCCATCCCTTCCCGTCGAGCTATGGCGTCAAATCTTTCGACTCTATCTCAGACCATCGATCACAAATTTGCCACAAAACTCACTTTATGGCTATGGCCAATGTGTCTCCCTCAATAGTGGAGAAGTTGCGCACATATATCGCAAGAAGGAGCAGACGCGAGCCATTCTGCGTTGCGTGTGCCGTATATGGAAGACGATATCTGATGAGCTAGACGATGCCATTGTGATGAGTAATTTGGACGAGTTTGACTGGCCTCCTGGTCGTTCAAAGCCCCAAGCAAAAGCCATATACTATATTTCCGACGACCTTCAATATTACGACACAAGACATCCCCTCAAAGCTTACCGCGAGGCCAAGGGTAAAATTCAAAGAACTCCGGGGAAAGTACGTGCTTCAATTCGGTGAAAAGGTCCCACTGGCTCCCATTACCATTGTGTATGACTATGCGATCCATATTCTCGACCTACAGCCCGATAAATCCCCTTCTAGCATTTAGGTGGTCGCCTTCTTAGGTCTCAGATACTACCCAGACGTTATATCACCCAGTATTTTCTAGATTGCTTGCCCTTTCCTTGATTTTTGGGTATACGGCATCTGACCCGGAGGTGACGCGAGATTTCACATTGCCGCAGCTCCGCTATCTGGATATCACACTCTACAATAGCCTTTTTTCAGCAGGAGTGCCGGCTTATGGGACGGTTTCATCTTGGTGTTTTCCTATGCTTGCGTTTCTCCGAGTGGATGCTATTGGAGAATATGCCAAAAAGGAGGTTCTTGGTCTCATACGAGCTCATAGTAACCAGCTTGTAGAACTCCATGCGTTGGATCTCGGTGTGGAGTTTCCGACATCCGATGACTGGTGGAGTTTTTGCTCGCTCCAGCTATTCGTGATGAATAACCTCGACATGCTGGCTGACGTGCTTTCCTCCGTGGGCACTCTCTGGACGCGGAAATCGACCAATACGTCCAATGAGACGATGATAGTTGAGACGGCATCTCAACGCCTCACTATGGGTCTTCAGTATCCCATGATCACTCGGCATACGAAGGTACACATTATTCGAGTGTTCGAGCAATCCCAGTCTGTTCTTCCCTTTCTCGATTTTACAGTGTCACGGACATGGGACTCCATACAAACGACACTTACCGAGTCCGACTACCACACTGAGGCGCGTAAGAATCTCAGGGAATCGTTGGGGTTGATGGAAAACCTGCGAATTGACTTCGTCGATCCAGCCGGGAATGGCATTGATTCCTATGAGGCCCGCTGTTTGAAAAGTACAGTCGAACTGATGTCTCCAGAGCCGCTACAAGACGGGTTTTGCGGTGAATCTTCCCTATATTGAATGCAGACTCATTCCCCAAACCTATCGAGGATTGTAGTTGAAATAGAATCAGCGGCAAAGACTTTGTATCCGCATCATGGCGCCTATCGTTTGCCTCAAGGTTGAATAAGGTGGGATATGTGCAAATGCGTGTTCTATTTAGGGGACTGCTGGAGGTGGTTGACGAGCGTAAGCCGTTAGAGGTTGCTCTTATTTTATAAATATTGCGTTTTGTAGATTATATTTGCTGTGATAGGTTTTTCAAGGTGAAGGAGTTGGAATGTGGGTCGTGGAACTTGGTCTTGGCCAGGACTGAGCCTTGGCCATTTCTGCTGTTGCAGGCTACAAACATTATCGCATCAACGGATCCATGGCTCTATTGAATCTCCCAGGAAACGAACGCAGCCATAATCTTGAGTATCAACCAGGCGATAGTGTTCAGCCACCGGCGCATCGACTTATCAACCCCGCAAGCAAGTTGCCCTTACTTCCGGTCGAGATCTGGCATCGAATATTTCAGCTGTATCTTGGGCCATCAATCACAAGTTTGCCACAAAGCTCACTATATGGCTATGCTCGCTGTATCTCCCTCCATAGTGGAGAAGCTGGGCGCATATATCGCGAGAAGGAGCAGATGCGAGCAGTGCTGCGTTGTGTCTGCCGTACATGGAAGACTCTCTCTGATAATCTGGATGACGCCGTTCTAATGAGCCATTTGGACGAGTTTGACTGGCCTCCTGGCCGTTCAAAACTCCAAGCAAAAGCTATATACTATTTTTCCCACGAGCTTCAACATCAGAAGAAAGATCCAGTCAAAACTTACCGCGACGCCAACGTTAAAAGTTATAAAGGATCCTCCGGGAACAAAGTGCTTCAATTCGGTGATAAGGTCCCACTGGCTCCCATTACTATCGTGTATGCCTATGCAATCCAACTCCCGCCCACCTACAGCCCTGTACATCCCCCTCTAGCATTTCGATGGATGACTTCTCGCGTCCAAGATGTCATCCAGACGTTATATCACCCAGTATTTTCTGGGTTACTTGCACTTTCTTTGGTGCTCCGGCATACGGTATCTGACCAAGAGGCGATGCGAGATTTCACGTTGCCGCAGCTTCGCTACCTGGATATCACGCTCTACACGCACCCGTCATTCGTGGGAGTGCCGACTGTTGGGACGGTTTCATCTTGGCGGTTTCCTATGCTTACCCTTCTCCGAGTGGAAGGTCTTGGAGAGCATCCCAAAAAGGAGGTTCCTGGGCTCATACGAGCTCATAGTAGACAACTTGTAGAACTCCACGCTTCAGATCTTGGTGCGGAGTTTCCGACATCTGAAGACTGGTGGAGTTTTTGCTCGCTCCAGCTATTCGTGGTGAACAGCCTCGACATGCTGGCTGACGCACTTTCCTCCGTAGGCACTCTCTGGACGCGGAAATCGAACAGTATGTCCAATGAGACAATGATAGTCGAGACGACACCTCGACGCCTCACGATGAGTCTTCAGTATCCCCGGATCACCCGGTATACAAATGCGCACATTATTCAAGAGTTCGAGGGATCCCAGTCCATTCTTCCCTTTCTTGATTTCGCAGTGTCACAGACGTGGGACTCCATACAAACAACTCTTACCGAGTCCGAGTACCGCCACGACACGTATAGCGCTCTCAAAGAATCATTGGAGTTGATGGAAAGCCTGGGGGTTGACTTTGTTGATCCAGCCGGAAATGGCCTTGACTCCTATGAGGCCCGTTGTCTGAAGAGTGCGGTCCAACGTGGGCCACCAGAGATCCTGCAAGGTGGAAGGGAATAAAATCTCCTCAGTTGAATACAAACCGATCATTCATACCCATTTAAATGAGTTGACTTACGAGTTGGAATGTATTTAGCGTGGATTGAGCAACAAGGGACTCTAAACTGCATCATGGTGCCTGTCATCTGCCCCAAAGATGAAATATAAAAGTATTTATTGGGGGAATGCGTGTTCTACTCATGTTACTGATGAATAAAGATGGTCCCAGAGCCAAGCCTAGGTCTTACTAGAAGTCTATAGGCCGTCTGAGGTTGCCCTGATTGCATAAATGAAGTCTTATGTGATGTTTTGTGGCCATTTACTTGTCAAGAATCAACGACTTGGGATGTGGTCGAGCCGAACTTGTTCTCTACCACTACTGATTCTCGGCCACTGTTTGTCGCAAGACAATATTCCTGCATCAAAGAAGTCATGGCTCTACCAACTCCCTCGGAAAACGAAGGTAGCCATAATCTTGATTATCAACGAGGCGATACCGTTTGGCTACTTGCGGATCACTTCTTCAAGCCTGCAAGGCAGTTGCCATCACTTCTTGTCGAGCTCTGGCTTCAAATTTTTCGACTCCATCTTGGGCCATCAATTACAAACTTGTCACGAGACTCATTCTCCAGCTACGCTCACTGCATCTTCCTCCATAGGGGAGACGCTGCACGCATATATCGCAAGAAAGAGCAGATTCGAAGTGTCCTGCGTCGTGTATGCCATGCATGGAAGATGCTCGCTGATGACCTGGACGACGCCGTTCTGATGAGCCATTTGGACGAGATTGATTGGCCTCCTGGCCGTTCAAAACCCCAAGCAAAAGCTATATACTATCTTTCCAGTGGGTTTTATCCTCTTCATAAAGATCCCGTCAAGTCTTACCGCGAGGCCAACGGGAAAATCTATAATTAACTTTCTGAGAACCAAGTGCTCCGATTCGACAAGGAGTTCCCACTGGCTCCAATTACTGTCGTATATGACTTTGACATCCATCCTCCTTCCACATACAGCCCGGCAACACCCCTGCTTGCATTTACATGGTCTACTTCTCGGGTACCAAATGCTATCCAGATGTTATGTCGCCCAATCTTTTCTGGGTTACTCGTATTGTCCTTGTCGCTTTCGCGTCCGGTATCTATCCAGGAAGCAATACGATATTTCACATTACCGCAGCTTCGTTATCTGAATATCACCCTCTTCCGGAACCTGTAGGATGTAGAACTCGCAGAATCCGGGACAAATGGATCGTTTCTAACTTGGAGGTTTCCTAAGCTTGCCTTTCTCCATGTAAATTCTATTGGGAAATTCTCCGAGAACGATGTGCTCGGTCTCATACGAGCTCACAGTCGCCAGCTTGTAGAGCTCCATGCGTCACATCTTGGTGGGAAGCTTCCGACCTCCGAGGACTGGCAGAGCTTTTGCTCACTCAGGTTACTCGTGGTGAACTCGCTCAATCTATTGGCTACAGCACTCTCCTCTGCGAGTACTCTCTGGACGCAGAAATCAGCCGAGGCGTCCAAAGAAGAGAGAGATATTTGGGATGGTATCTCGCCGCCTCACCACGTGCCTTGAGTATCCCCATATTGGCCCGCCTACCGAGATGCATGTTCTCGAAACATTCAGACAGTGTCGATTCATCCTCCCAAATATCGATTTCACAACGTCACAAACATGGCATTTCATACGGACATCTCTCATTCAGTCCACCTCTCTCGGGAATCCACATATGGCTATTCTAAAGGCCTTGAAATTGATGGAAAGCCTAGGATTCGACTTTATCGACTCAGACCGAAATGGCCTTGGTTCCTACAAGGCTCGCCGCCTGAAGGACGCAGTTGAAAAGTCCGTCCTCAAACCTCAGCGGTGGCGCCATTTACACCCTCCTTGACTTGATGGTGACTTCCATTCTCTACAACATGAGTCGAATCACGGATTAGAATGTATTTAAGATATAACTAGCAACAAGGACTGTAAGCCGCATCGGAGTGCCTGCCACCTGCCTTACTATTTGAGTATTTAAAGGCACCACTCGTGTGAATGCGTGCTTCATGTGTGTCGGTTGCAAGGCTGATGGAAACGGTCACAAAAACCGAGTCATCCTGGTTCAACTGGACGACCGTGATACGCCGGAAGGAGTCCGAATTTCGAAGAATAGTGAGATCTATAGATCAAAATAGGCTGTGATATGTCTGTCTAAATAGATCTGGTAGAGATCAAACTTGGTTTCCACCACTGCTTATCTATATCGCCGAGATCTTCCAAGGTGAACGCTCTCCTCACCTGGTTTGCCTTCACCTCTGATAGACTCTTGACAGTGGATGGACAAATCCGCCGGCCTTGACAATCAAAATTTTCAGTTGCATCCTGCAGCAAGGCAGGTGCCATCCCTTCCCGTCGAGCTATGGCGTCAAATCTTTCGACTCTATCTCGGACCATCGATCACAAATTTGCCACAAAACTCACTTTATGGCTATGGCCAATGTGTCCGCCTGAACAGCGGAGAAGTTGCGCGCATATATCGCAAGAAGGAGCATATGCGAGCCATTCTGCGTTGCGTGTGCCGCACATGGAAGACGCTATCTAATGAGCTAGACGATGCCATTGTGATGAGCAATTTGGACGAGTTTGACTGGCCTCCTGGTCGTTCAAAGCCCCAAGCAAAAGCTATATACTATACTTCCGACAGATTTCAACAATACGACGCGAGAGATCCCGTCAAAGCTTACCGCGAGGCCAAGGGTACATTTTATCAACCATCCTCCGAGAACAAAGTGCTTCAATTCGGTGAGAAGGTTCCACTGGCTCCCATTACTATCGTGTATGACTATGCAATCCAACTTCCGCCCGCTTACAGCCATGTAAATCCCCTCTAGCATTTCGATGGATAACTTCTCGCGTCCAAGATGTCATCCAGACGTTATATCACCCAGTATTTTCTGGGTTACTTGCACTTTCTTTGGTGCTCCGGCATACGGTATCTCACCAAGAGGTGATGCGAGATTTCACATTGCCGCAGCTTCGCTACCTGGATATCATACTCTACACGCCGTTCATGGGAGTGCCGGCTGTTGGGACGGTTTCATCTTGGCGTTTTCCTATGCTTACCCTTCTCCGAGTGGAAGGTCTTGGAGAACATCCCAAAAAGGAGGTTCTTGGTCTCCTACGAGCTCATAGTAGACAACTTGTAGAACTCCACGCTTCAAGTCTTGGTGCGGAGTTTCCAACATCCGATGACTGGTGGAGTTTTTGCTCGCTCCAGCTATTCGTGGTGAACAGCCTCGACATGCTGGCTGACGCACTTTCCTCCGTGGGCACTCTCTGGACGCGTAAATCGAACAGTATGTCCAATGAGACAATGATAGCCGAGACGACACCTCGACGCCTCACGATGAGTCTTCAGTATCCCCGGAGCACCCGGTATACAAAGGCGCACATTATTCAAGAGTTCGAGGGATCCCAGTCCATTCTTCCCTTTCTTGATTTCGCAGTGTCACAGACATGGGACTCCATACAAACAACTCTTACCGAGTCCGAGTACCGCCACGACACGTATAGCGCTCTCAGAGAATCATTGGAGCTGATGGAAAGCCTGGGGGTTGACTTTGTTGATCCAGCCGGAAATGGCCTTGACTCCTATGAGGCCCGCTGTCTGAAGAGTGCGGTCCAACGTGGGCCACCAGAGCTCCTGCAAGGTGGAAGGGAATAAAATCTCCCTCAATTGAAGACAAACCGATCATTCATACCCATTTAAATGAGTTGACTTACGAGTTGGAATGTATTTAGTGTGGATTGAGCAACAAGGGACTCTAAACTGCATCACGGTGCCTGTCATCTGCCCCAAAGATGAAATATAAAGGCAGTTATTGGGGGAATGCGTGTTCTACTCATGTTACTGATGAATAAAGATGGTCCCAGAGCCAAGCCTAGGTCTTACTAGAAGTCTATAGGCCGTCTGAGGTTGCCCTGATTGCATAGATGAAGCCTTATGTGATGTTTGTGGCCATTTACTTGTCAAGAATCAACGACTTGGGATGTGGTCGAGCCGAACTTGTTCTCTACCACTACTGATTCTCGGCCACTGTTTGTCGCAAGACAATATTCCTGCATCAAAGAAGTCATGGCTCTACCAACTCCCTCGGAAAACGAAGGTAGCCATAATCTTGATTATCAACGAGGCGATACCGTTTGGCTACTTGCGGATCACTTCTTCAAGCCTGCAAGGCAGTTGCCATCACTTCCTGTCGAGCTCTGGCTTCAAATTTTTCGACTCTACCTTGGGCCATCAATTACAAACTTGTCACGAGACTCATTCTCCAGCTACGCTCACTGTATCTCCCTCCATAGGGGAGACGCTGCACGCATATATCGCAAGAAAGAGCAGATTCGAAGTGTCCTGCGTCGTGTATGCCATACATGGAAGATGCTCGCTGATGACCTGGACGACGCCGTTCTGATGAGCCATTCGGACGAGATTGACTGGCCTCCTGGCTGTTCAAAACCCCAAGCAAAAGCTATATACTATCTTTCCAGTGGGTTTTATCCCCTTCATAAAGATCCCGTCAAGTCTTACCACGAGGCCAACGGGAAAATCTATAATCAACTTTCTGAGAACCAAGTGCTCGGATTCGACAAGGAGTTCCCACTGGCTCCAATTACTGTCGTGTATGACTTTGACATCCATCTTCCGTCCACATACAGCCCGGCAACACCCATGCTTGCATTTACATGGTCTACTTCTCGGGTACCAAATGCTATCCAGATGTTATGTCACCCAATCTTTTCTGGGTTACTCGCACTGTCCTTGTCGCTTTGGCGTCCTGTATCTATCCAGGAAACAATACGATATTTCACATTACTGCAGCTTCGTTATCTGAATATCACCCTCTTCCGGAACCTGTCGGATGTAGAACTCGCAGAATCCGGGACAAATAGGTCGGTTCTAACTTGGAGGTTTCCTAAGCTTGCCTTTCTCCATGTAAATTCTATTGGGAAATTCTCCGAGAACGATGTGCTCGGTCTCATACGAGCTCACAGTAGCCAGCTTGTAGAGCTCCATGTGTCACATCTTGGTGGGAAGCTTCCGACATCCGATGACTGGCAGCGCTTTTGCTCACTTCAACTATATGTGGCGGGCGATATCGATATGCTGGTGGATGCATTTTCCTCTGTGGGTACTCTTTGGACGCGAACATCGACCAATACGTCCAAAGAGATAATTGGAACAGAGACGATACCTCGGCGCCTCACCATGGGCCTTCAGTATCCTCATATCAGCCGGTATACCAATATGCACGTTATTCAAGCCTTCAGTCAGTGCCAATCCATCCTCCCAAATATTGATTTTACAATGGCACAAACATGGGAGTCTATACGGCTGCCTATCACTCAGTGTCAGTACGTCGAGGGCACGTATAATGATCTTAGGAGATCTTTGGAGCTGATGACAACCCTGGGCGTAGACTTTGTCGACCCAGATGGGAACGGCCTTGATTCCTACGAGGCTCGCTGTCTACGAGAGGCACTTGATGATGAACAAGTGATACGTGCCTTTAGCTCCCTTACTTGAATACAAAGCTCAAACCTTATTTTATATTAGAATTCACCGTATCCGCGTCATCACCAGAGGAGAAGGCAGTCGCATTGCGTCTATACATGGTCAACTAGAGGATATAGGCTTTTATATAGCTAGAATAGTTACCTGTTCTTGCCTCGGGTCATGGCGGGAGCAACTGTAGAGGTAGCCTCTTTGGAACACTGGTTTCTGGCCAATCCACGTAAATATCTTCGTCTCTTCATATGCAGCCTCTCAACACACGTATTGTGAACACGCGCCAATGTAGCTTGGAAGTTGAGTTTGTCTCGCGTCAAAATTCCTGTTTGCGGGCGACGATGTAGCAACCTTGGTAACTAATTCAATAAATCATTGAATAAATATAGGCACGCGATTAGCATACCGACCAGGGCAAAAGTATTTTATATACTTTTCTCAGAGTATCAACTCTGTTGATTCATTCGCAATCAGTTTATCCCCAGGTTTACTGTGATTTGAACCTTATAATACGTCTGTTATGTAAATCTGAGGATTGCCCTAGCGACTGCTGGACGGTCAGTGTGGCAGAGAGCATGGCCAAGTTCCGGGGAGGTAGGTGGTATTGCGCCCGTCGGGTCCTTGGTTTCGAATCCTCACTGACGTGGATTACTAGACGCTGCTCCACGATCTCAGCTCGCCATCAACAACTGGGCCAAAACTACCTCTTGGTAAGTTGTCGTCTCTTGTTTCTGTCCACGTCCTCTCCATTCCTCTTTCTGTCTCTCTTCGTAGTCCCGAGCTTGTTGCACGCCGCCGTGCATGTTCCCGACGTCGTCTGTGCTCCATTTGCCGGCCAGGAGACTTTCTGCAACTTGTTTTGCTCAATTGACAAGGAATCTCATATTTACTCGTGCTCCCACCTCTTCCCTTATCCAAATTCTCTCTGCGGACCGTGGAAACTCACGAGGACAATTAGGCCACACCCAGATTAGGCTGGCATCCTCCCCAGCTGCCAAAGCGAAAACTAAGAACAAACAGACGTACAAGAAAATGGCCAGTCCAATGTCTATCGACCATCCACATTCGCCCGAAGTTCGCCCTGCAAAAAGCTTGTTGACCATCGTCGAGAATGGCAAAGTCCGTGGGTCACCCATGGCACTCTCTACTATCACAAACGCCGATTCTCATCCTCTCCCACCTCTGTCGGAAGCGGGTGATGACGCCGCCGGCATGATGAACGGCAAACCGGACGGGGACGAGGGCGAGGGTGGAGAAGAGAACAAAAAGGAAGGAGAAGAGGAAGAGGAAGAAGAAGAAGAGTTTGTTCCACGTCGCTCGACTCGTGTCCGCAAACCTGTCAAGATTCAACCACTCCCTCCCCGTAACTCGGACTCGGACTCATCTGATGATGAACCTGTTCAGCGCCGACGAAGGAGAAGAAAGCCCAAGAATGCACAGAAGGAGACGAGCGAGGCACCAGAAGGCGAGGAAACGCAAGAAGGTGCCGAGGCCGTGAAGAAGCCCGCAAGAAAGCGCAAACGATCCACTGCGGGTGGACCAGAGGAAGAAGATGCCGAGGGTGCAAAGACAGATGCAGAGCAAGGAGAGCCCGTCAAGAAGCGTGCGAGCAAGAAGAAGAAAAAGGAGGAGACGGATGGCGAAGCCATGGAAGTAGACGGTGAAGGTGACGCTACGAAGCAGCCTCGCGCTCGCAAAAAGTCTATTGCACCTGTAGAAGGAGACGGCACGGCTGAAGGCGAAGATGCAGACGAACCCGCCAAACCTAAGCGCACACGCAAGCCGAAAGTCACCGAACCTGTTGTCTATGTCATTCCAGATGTCGAACGCAAAACGACGACATTTAGAGGTAAGCCTTTTGCTGTTGAGACTTTTCCGCGGCTCACGACGTCATCAGGTCGGTTAGGATATGTCAGTCAAGTGATACCTTCTGCGCTCAGTCCCTCATACTCTCTCTAGGCGTGTCTAAACACGGTTCTACGAGCACAAAAGCCGTCGATCTTTAGTAGTCGGTAAGCGCAATCTCGCCTCGGATCACCAGTTGTCATAAACGTGCATAGGACATGCCGATTGGACACGATCACCAAGTTTGGTATCGACAAAGTCAAGGAGCTGGGACGCCAGAATGTGCAGGATTTACTGCAAATGATTGAGGTGAGCACAGTACCATACGAGGAATGCAGTTAACATTCTTCTAGTGGAACGAAAAGAACAAGTAGGTCGACTCGGCTCGTATATGCGTGGTGCTCAAGACCGGTAGCATTCGCTTCATGCGCATGTCATCTGAAATGTTCCCATTCGCCTCGCATAACGAGCATGGATACGACCTCGCCTATTGCGCGGAAGAGCTCAAGGCCGTTGGCGATCTCGCGAAAAAATACGGCCACCGCCTCACCATGCATCCCGGACAGTTTACACAACTCGCTTCGCCAAAGGACAATGTTGTAGATCAGAGTATCAAGGAACTCGAATGTGTGTCAAGCCTTCTCCTGTTTGTATCCTGATACTGATGGACGCTCAAAGATCACGCGGAGATAATGGACAGGATGGGTTTGGATCAAGACTCGGTCATGATTATCCATATGGGTGTATGTCACTTCTCTCTGCTATATCTTTATACTGACAATGATCTAGGGTGTATATGGTGACAAGGCTACAACGCTCGCGCGCTTCAAGGAGAATTATCAAAAGAAGCTGAGCGACCGCGTAAAGCGACGACTCGTACTGGAAAATGACGAGGTAAGATCGCTTTTTGTGATTTCAGTATATCTTTAACATGCTGTATAGATCTGTTACAACGCCGATGACTTGTTGAAGGTCTGCCCAGAACTAGGGATACCAATCGTTTTCGACTATCATCACGACTCGATCAACGTAATTCATTTACATTCACCATCTCAAACTTGCACTGACAAATACCCAGCCTTCGCGTCGATCGGCGGCAGAGTTGATCCCACTCATCAACGAAACCTGGATCAGGCGTGGCATCAAGCCCAAGCAGCACCTCTCGCAGCCACGTCCAGGTGCCGTCACCGCAATGGAACTTCGCGCACACGCGGACAGATGCGACACACTCCCAGCAGATCTGCCCGACGACATGGACCTAATGATCGAGGCAAAGGATAAAGAACAAGCCGTATTTGAGCTCTACAGAATCTATGGGCTGCATGAGGTCATCCACGAGAACCTTCGCCCTCCTGCAGAGGATCAGGGTATGAGGACAAAAGGCAGAAAGTCGACAGGCACAAGCAAGTGAGTAAATCTCCTCATACGACGACTTTCATCTTTCCTCCTCCCGTCGAACTAACCAATTCGATAATAGGAAAGTCAAGAAGGAAGAGACTGCGCCCAAAGTTGAAGAGCAGCCTATCGACCCTGAGATGATCGACGAGCTCGCTGACGACGATCTCTAACCACATAAGCCTCAACCCCATCTGCCGCGCTCTACTCAAACAACCAGAAGTTCCTGTCTCGATATTCATAGAGCATTGCTGCCAGCACACGAATAAACGCAATATTTTGTTTCGAGAGTGGGGAATTTGACAGTTATGGTTGCTATGTATCTCTTCTGGCTGTATATATCCCAGTTTCCTTCCTCCTTTGTTGCAATTCCATGAGGACGATTGGGTGCATCCATCACCTGTTCAGGTGTTCGTGTATAGCGATGCATTCTCCAACCAACGAGACTCTTATTTGCTTGTCGTAGTCGGATCAGCGGTATTCTGAGCGTGCTTGGTATCACCAGAGCCAGCGATACTCTCGCGATCGCTCTCGCCACGACCGTCTGCGCCTTCAAACGTCTTTCTGACGTGCTCGAGGCGGAGCCACTTTGATTCGGGTGTGAACCACCAGCTCAGAATGGCAAAGATGGTCGCTGCGCCGAAGATGACAGGAGCCTACATGTCGTCAGTGCACGTTCGCGGTGATGGGCAAAGGACGCACAAAGTTGAAATACTGGACAGTAACTGGGAAGAAGAATGGGGAGATGTCGACCTATCTATCGTTAATACACCCATCACGGTCAACTATGCGTTCACTCACAGCAAAGATCAAGGCCTGGAATGCGGCCGCGATAGCGTAGAAAACCGGGCCGATCTTTCCCAGATAGTACTTGCTACTCTTGAACGAGCGAGGTGTCATCGTCAATCTCAGCAGGGCAATCAGGCCATATGCCGCAATCGTCGGCACACCACCCGCAGAGATGAGAGACGTAAAGGCGACATTGGAAGGAAGGATTGTGCACAACAGAATAGCACCGAAGATGTACATCACCCGCACGGCATTGCGAGGCTGGCCGTCTGCTGTGACTTGACTAATCCATCCGGAACCTGGAAGTACACCGTCTCGTGCGACGGCATAGATGAGACGCGAGGCAGCAACGACGGCGATGCTCGTGTTCTATCGTCGCGTGATGGGGAGATAAACACGTCAGCTCTCACCTTGCGAAGGAATGCGAAGACACGCACGATAATCAAGCCCAATGTCGCAAGACAGGTCATGAACACTGCACCTCCCTTGCCGAGGGCGAGTGCGTAGACTTGCACGAATGGTTGAGGTGCGAAGAGGTTGAAGAGAACGTCAAAGCTAGGCGTGCAGTAGAGGAAAACGATCATCGTCAGGAAGCCGCAGATGCCTGTCGCGACCGCGCTCGTAAAGATTCCTCGAGCAGCGACAATGCTGTGGCACGTCAGTCTCTTGGCGAGTTGGAGTGCTGGGTACTAGGCTTACCTGGCATTTTTTGTCTCCTCTGCAATGTGCCCAGCCGCGTCGAATCCAGTGAGCGTTCCAGCAGTGAAGAGGCTATAATGATGGTTAAGCACGCAGGAAGAGCTCTGATGATACATACAATGAAAGAATCCAGTTCCATGCGGGCGGGGCGCCAGTTCCGTTGTCTATAGCGAGTAAGCAAGCAGAGAAAGCCCAAGATGACTGAACGTACAAGTCGTCATAAAGGCATCGTGCGTGCTTCGCAAGCCATAAGTCTTGGAGGCGCCAATGGGGAGCCAGATGATGCACAGGAAGAAGTCGAGCATCATGAGTGCGAGGGAAAACTTGAAGACGCGGGAGTACCATCTTGCTATATAACCGTCAGTACACGCACAAAGGAGGGAAGGAGGATCGCAATAAAAAAGATACAGACGTGGAAGATGGTTAAGCGCAATTGCAATGACGAGGAACAACTCCGAGACAATCCAAACAAAGGCACGGAATTTGACGTTGTCCATGCTGATCCCACCAGGATAGTCATACTCGTACACGACCATGAGTGAGATGATATAATTGGCCGTGGTCTATCGTATTCTCAGTGATCCAGGCATTTCACGAGAGCAAGGTTCGATACTCACCTGACAATTACCCGCAGCAAATGTCATCCAAGCGGTACATGCCCACCAGGCGACGACAAACGCGACAAACCTTGCCAGTTCTATAGGGAGAGAGACATCATTATTATGTAAAGAAACATCCGTTAAAGATTGAACTCACTCGGACCAGCGGCCTCGGCAGCCCAGATGTAGATTGATCCGCTAAGTGGGAGTGCGGAGCAGATCTCTGCGAGGACAGCAGCAGTGATGAACATTCCGAAGAGTGTGACAAGATAGGAGGTCCACATGGCGAGTGGTCCACCTGCGAGAAGTCCTAAGAAGAATACCGAGCTAAGATGTCAAAGTCAGTCGAAGAAGCAAACTGCACGCGAGAAGTGCCATACCGTACGCCACCGATAAAGTTGAGGGCGCAAAAACTAGCCGCAAAGTTTTCGACATAGTGCCATGTACGATGGAGGGTCTACGCCAATCAATCGTCATCTCTGTTCCGAAAAGAGGTAAAAGTACACTGACCTGTTTGTACCCTAGCTTTTGCTAAGGTAATGTTAGTACTGTGACGCTATACCCGCCCTCGAGGCGGGTAGAAGGAGCGACACGACGGGTGAGTTGTGGCTTCCCTACGCAGGTCTCGTGCGCTGTTCAGGTTCGAGCGGTATGATCTCAATCCTGCTCAACCGTCGTCCATCGTCAAAACCCAATCGACAAGGAGGAATCTTCGTCGACAAAAGGGTGGGGGGGGAATAACGACAGACGAGACGGTTCGCGAGGATACCCGCAGCCAGTAAATCTTTCCGTACGTGCATTTCGCTCAGAGGAGAAGAAGTAGTGACCACGTTACCAGTCTCGTCTCTTTTAGTGCTGAATGTCTACGAGTTCGCTGCGCCGGTCGCCCATGGCCGTGGTGGGTGGAGAGGAGAGAGGTTGTACCAGTTGGAGTTCGTCTGAATCGATGCTTTGCGCTGCTTCGTGATCGTTCATCTTGTTTTTAATGCGTTTTCTCTGTCAGTTGGGGAGTGGGCGAGTTCAAGAGGGAATCGTTTGTTTGGTTCCTCGACTAGTCTGCGACAGTCGACCTCTTCCGTCATCTCTTAGCGCAGAGACGGGACACAATTCACTCCTGAGATTAGACTCATCTGCTAGTTATCAAATTATCTAGAAGTACTAGTTCTATTATGGGCCTGCTTACGGTAATCCGCAAGAATCGCCGCAAGGAACGCCAGATGCGGATTCTGTTCCTGGGACTGGACAACGCTGGAAAGACGACGATTATCAAGAAATTAAACAACGAAGATGTCTTATCTGTGAGCCCAACGCTTGGATTCAATATCAAGACGTTTGTCCATGGAAAGTACGCACCGCGTCTACTCGCATTTCATCGTATATACTAACGAAATATAGATACACGCTGAACATCTGTACGTCTATGACTGTAAAAACAAACGAGAGATACTGAGAGCGGATCATAGGGGACGTGGGCGGCCAAAAGACGCTGCGACCGTATTGGCGCAACTATTTCGAACAGACAGACGCCCTCGTCTGGGTAGTCGACTCATCCGACCACATGCGCATGAACGACTGCAAAGCCGAGCTGCATGCGCTACTCCTCGAAGAACGCCTCGCAGGTGCTTCCCTGTTGGTCTTTGCGAACAAACGGGACATCCAGGGTTCGCTATCCGAAGCCGACATCCGTGATGCACTCGACTTGCGCGCGATCAAGACGCACAATTGGAAGATTCAGTCTTGCAGTGCTATGACTGGAGAGGGACTCGTAACGGGCATGGATTGGGTCGTGAACGATGTCGCGGGGAGGCTTTACTACAGTACTACCGAGTAGTCAAACGGATAAACATTCTTTCACCACTGCGAGATACATGATGAACATTACTTGGCCTTCTTGACCGCCCTCTCCTGCTCTTCAATGAGGATCCTCATTTCCCTAAACATCCATAATCCTCCTATAACCGAGCCTGGACCGAATAAGACGACGAGGACCGGAAGCGTCTGCACGGCGAATAGCACATCTTTTATATCATCCGTCAGGAGGATGGAGGCTAGAATCGTTGACCCAAACGCCCATAATGCATCATACTGCAAAAGATGCAGCGCAGCGCTTTGGATTGTCGTCGCCGAGGGTGAAGGAACGTCCCACGTAGGCAGCCAATTCCACAAGTCGAGGAGGATAGAGCTGAGAGAAGAGGCTTCGGTGACATAGGGAAGGAGTATGTATATCCAGCTAATGGTGCCGATACCGGAGAACAAGAGGAGGGAAAGCTGCAATAGATCCCATCCTGAGCCCAGCTGTTCCTCATTACGAGGAGAGGCCTTGGCGCGATAGAATGTCCAACCCTGCTGAATGATGGACATGTACACCGGGAATGGCTGCCATACAACAATTGCCCATGTGGACTTTGTCAATAGCATCCACGCTGTTGGGATCATATACCCGCCCAGCGTCGCAAGTAGTGCCGCCTCGACGTCGACCCTCTTCAAGGGTTTCTTACCACTCCTCGTCGTAGACCAATACGCCTGTGCGACGAACAACATCCAAAACGTAGAAAAGGAGATGGCGGCTGTGATGACCTGCATCGCCAATCCGAATACGACGGACACAAACGCAGCGTACGGTTTGTCGCTTCTACTGGCTTCGAGGAGCAGCACAAAGCTCATGACCGCGCCATTGAGGGTGAACAACCTCGTCAACGTCTCGACTGGTCCACCCTCTTCTAAAGCGACAGTGAAGAAGACATCTGCACCGCATAGAAAGTTGTCGATTGCTTTGATGCCGGTGCCATAGGTTTTAGAGAATTGGGCGAGATGTTGTGGTGGGCATCCGGCTTCGAGGAGGGCTGCGCCGCCGGATTGTTCGAGGTGTGTGACAATAGTGTAGAATGCACTGGCTATGATAGCTCCGTAGAGCGACACAGCGACTAGAAGTAAACGGCGTCAGAGTTTGTTTGGAATCAGGAGAAAGGGGTGAGTATTAGGAGCAGATAGGAGCAGGTGAATGAGATGTAAAAATGAGGTAGAATGAGAGGTAAAAACATCAAGAACGTACGGAGAGATTTGGTCGAGGACATGGTTGAAAATCTGGTGCGAACAAATCAACCGGTGCACATGCTCCCTCGTCTATGGCCCCCACGCACACCAATCCATATGGATCTACAGCGGCTACACTTCTAGCGCATGCTCACTTCATCTCGGCTTCCATAACTTTGTCATGTCCAACTCCAAGGTCGAATACGAGGGAGTCAAGTGGAGACTGGCATCTTGCATTTGGCCACGATCATCCCGGAAATGGACCCTACACAAATACGCAAGACGATTCCAGATCTGATTCAACAAATGACTCTGACCCGTATCCAGCTCGAAGGACTTGCCGGTCGTCCCACGTTGCCCAATCCGATCATCCCGAGTCTGCATATCGAAGTCTACCTGCTTGAGAAGGCTATTTCAGACCTCAAAGAGTCTCTGATAGACGCCGGGCGTCTGTTTCCTCGCGAGAATGTCGAAACAACGAGAGAAATTGATCTCTCGTTGTTTGCCACTAGTATCACACTGTCAAATATGGTCAAACAACTCCATCAGCTGGAAAATCCTCCTCTCGTCAAACGGAAATCGAGATTTCCGTTCGGTAATGACAGAAATTCACGGAAAGAACTCGACATGAACAATGATCTCAGCGACCTACATTCATGCCACAATGCACTTCGAATGCAGATTATGCGATTGGATCCGTGAGATATGCGATTGGTTTCATTGGCTTCGCTGACTGTATTCTTTAGCCGCGAGGCCGGGGAACAAGTGCCCAAGGCTTTACAAAGCAATTCGATTTTGATTGAAAAGACTGTTGCCCAAATAGTTCGCCGTGGCTCGTTCAATGCAGAACCTTGTCCTACATACGTCGCGGGGCTATGGCCGGACCGTAAGCATGTCCTCTTACATTAGTATCCTAATCATATATCACCAGGGATTAAAAACCCTTTCTCACCGTGCAAAAGAGACACAAAATGCTACCCATTAGACCCTAGATGGCAAGTCGAGCAGCTCTTCTACGAGGCATCATCCGAAGACGAGCAAGAGCAACTATTGGGACAGAGGAAATTAGAAGAGCTCTATCGACGATGTGGAATATCCCGATTCGTCGCCAAGCATATTTTACTCAAGTGGAAAGGATACTCAGTCACTAAAGAGGACTCCTACTCAGGGCGATCACGCTTCTGAAACGAAGTGGCTACGATCTCCATGCGACAGATGTTTTCCTTACCGAAATTCATAAGCTTGGCGATAACTTATACTATCATATACTGAAGCGGCTTGAGAAGTGGAATTACAACGTTCGAAAGACGGTGGATCTGCTCCAGGCAATTTTTCTGCTCGCACATCCCGATGCTGGTCTCCGGGTGGCCAATCTATCGGTTATGGATGCCAACGGACGCACGCCCTTGGGGCTGCTATCTCTACCACCCGAGATGCTGGAGGTCTTGAACTCCATGTTGGACACCATGTCCAGAGGGATCCTATTAAGGCAACACGGGCATAATGGACTATTAATGATACATAGTGCCTTGAAGGCACTCCAAGATGTCGAATGCCCTGATACTCTCACCCTCCAGAATGATCACTCGAGCATAGTCAGTCCTGAAAGAGATTGCTACGTTCGCCTACATAAAAGGCTAGGATTGGAGGCACGAGAAGCCATGCTGAATATCTTCTTCGCGGTTGAATTCATGGACGAGGTCTATCGAACTAGATGGACAATAGCAACAGCCTTTCACATCCTGCAAGTATATCACTTCCATGTTAACGAGATGATATATTCCTTTATATCTTCGATAATCAAGTCTATGTTTCGGTCTCTTTCTATTACTCTCCCGTCGAACCGACTACAAAGGCTAGAGAGCGAGTGTCAATATATTACGACAAAGGAGCAAGTGGAGTATCTACTCCAAACTGATAACCATGAACCCTGGGCCTTAGTTAAGTACAATTACTCTGGAAACTGGGCCTTAGCCAAGTACCATAATTTCGTTGGCTGGCCACGGTTGCTAAGGCGTATAGCCTCTTAGTTCCTGTGTATGATTGGTAGACTATGTTGTATGAATGCCAAATGGTGTTGTTAGTCCTTCCAAGCAGGATTCTTTAATTGATGCTTTCGAAAACCACGAGTTGAACACTGCTTAAGACGTAAGACCTCAAGATCACATCAAGTTTATGAGAGTCATGTATTGAACAACATTACAAGATCATCGAGGTGAAGTAGGAGAATGCGGGCTGCCGGCAGTCCCATCTGGATCTTCTTCCGCAATCCTTCGCGCAAGAATCTCCACCGGATCCTCCTCATCCATTTCACCGGGAACATCGCTCCTTTGATCTTCTCCCTCTCCTCTCCTCTCACTAGGTCCTTCTTCAAGCTCATCCGGCACAGTCACACGCAGCGTCGCGGACGAAGGCTTTTCGAGAGTTCGATTCTCTAGTATGACATCGTCTTGGCCCATCGCACGATTATGACCACGAAGTGCCGTGACGCGATTCACGAGTCTGCCGAGATCGCCTTGCGAGAGTAATCCAAACGGCCGACGAGGTGTGTTGAGCTCGGTCAAGTACGCCGGCGGAGGAGTGTTCCATTCAGGAGCACGTGTGACGCCAGGGGGTGACTGCAACTCTGGTTGCAATTGTTGACGAGAGGGACCAGACTCGGGGTGTGGTTGTCCTGGAACGAGAAGAAGTGCATTATCTTGAGAAGTAGGAGCGTGAGATATGGATTTGCGGCAGACTCGATGGGTGAGATGCTCGATGGTTATGCTCGTGATGGGTTCTCTGTTGACGTTCGGCCGGGCGAAGATAACGATCTTCGTCACCGTTCGTCGAAACTATGGGTCGGGTGTGTTCGTCCTCGGTGACGGGGATGTCCGTACCAGGAGCCGAGGTGTTTTCGTATTCGAGTATTGATGTAGGGACATAGGGTGTGTTTACGGGTCGTGACTTGCGTTGCTGTCGAGGTGGCGGCGGATAAGAATGTAGGTCCCCTCGCCAGGTTGGGGCCGCATAATACGGTCCAATGCCCGTCCAGATAAACGGAAGTGTATGTTGAATGGGTTCGAGAGTTTCGTGAGGAGAGCGCCGTGGCGTCGACATGCTGAAAGGGACAACTGTAGCTGGTGGAGACTCCATCGACCGTGGCGAGTCCATGATCGAGGCATCGGTGGGAAGTGGTTGAACGTGAACACTCTCGGTATCCCTTCTTGTCGTTTCTTCTTCTTCCAGACGCTTCCTTTCGATTTCTATCGAGCGGTTAGTGACCTTATCTTATGGACACAATGACCGTACCCGCTAAAACGGCCATCGTTCGAGCTGCAAACCTGGTACGGGTACGTGGCTCAGCACATAAACACCAGCAGCAAATGAGGGTGAGGCCAGCCAAGAAGATGCCTCCTGTGAGGATCCAGATGATCTGCCCGTACCACCACAACGAATGTTCTTGACGGGTTGCAGCTGAGCCTTCAAAGATCCCGCAGTTTGTCAGATTACCAGCGACACTAGAAAGGTCTCAGCGAGGGTTATTGCTAATGCAAACTTTCGTACCGAAAGTAATCAAAGTAGGTAGTGTCGAAGACATCGGCGCGGAACCAAAGATCGACTGCATGAATTCCCTCTGAGAGTCCAGTCACTTGCCATAATAGCGCCTGATAGACAGGTTGATCCCGCTTGGTGGCCCCGTACTGTTTCTTGACAATATCTCCCTTGTCGACACGCGACGAAATTTCGACATAATCTCTCGAAATATAGTTTGGACCGAACAGCCATAATCCGGTTCCCCAGAAGAAAACCGTCACAGCGGGGACGCCAGAGGTGGTGCGCATGCCCGAAACGACGACGGTATTGTTGTTGTTACCCCATTCGTTCATGTTAGTATCCCATTGCCATGACTTCTTGACGCAGTCTGAATCTGGTTCGAGTATGAGAGCGTCTGTGGGCACGGATGAGGCGTGAGGCCAAGCGTTTCCGGGGTAAAGGACGGAGAGGTCTTGTTGAATTCGAGGCTGAGAAGCACTCAGATGACGTAAAAATCATTCCTTTGACACTTACTAGATGCCCTTGAAGAGGTAGGGCTCCGAGCCTGTTGACTTTGCATGGAACAATACTTGATGATCTCCATGAAGAAGTGTAATGTTACTCAAGTCTCCGTTTTGATGACTGTTGTAGCTCGAGCCATCTGCCCAGACTGAGATGGTCACTCCAGGCTGCGAGGGAACCGAGAAGGATGAGCCTGGTTTTCTGGTCACGGTATGTCGAAAAAGAAGATGGAAGAACAAACCTCTGAACGAAAGATACCATGAACCGTCATAAGTGCTGTATCCATCGCTCTGCCGCGTCCAGCTGCCGTCAAACGTGTAGAGTGGACTCGACCAATCGAGCAGTTCTGCAGCGACTAGGCTGTGGCCAACTTGAAGGAATAAAAAGAAGAAAGCGTTGGAAATAAGCCATCTTATGACCGCTTCCATCATAATCCGTCCTCGTGTGGTTGCCCGAGTACAGGCAGCCCGGCTAGTGCAGAGTGGGATACCTAATATCGGGTCGTTGCAGGAGGCCAAGAAGAGCAGTGAGCAAACTGGAGATAACGTGATTTACAGCCGTCGCACCATCAGAGGATACACCGAGGTTTCTGGGAGAGGCAGGGAAAATGAGTTCGATCGTTTATACAACACTTGAAATGGTTCATCCAAGAAGATTTGGAGCGGGGAATTGTTCCTTGTTGTTGTCGGATGCTCGTTCCATCCGAAACGCCTGAAGATGGCAAGTCGGAGCGCTGGGTTGGGACGTAGATCACGTCTTGAATATCGGGTGATATCACAATTGCAGTTTATAGCCAGCTTGTGATGTAGACTTGGACGTAGTAGAATCCAAAAGGGGACACGGAGCCACAACCTTGGACTCACCCGCTATGTCTACCTGAAAGTCGGACAAGAAACCAAAGGTCCCAGTTAATTCATCGGCGTCGAGTTCATCGAGCAAAAAGGATCAGGTGTACGATGTCATCAACGTCGGTCTAGACGTCGTGGCGAATATAGCCGAGGCTTCTAATATACTTGCCCCATTGAAAGCTGCTTGTTGAACAACAAAATCTATCCTCGAAATTATACAGGTACGCTCGCGCTATTGATATTTCCATCTAACAAAGACAACAGGCGATGGAAAACAACAAGGAAGAATGAAACGACCTTGCCCGACGTCTAAAAAAATACATGTCTGCCCTCGAGGAACAACTCACTTTGTTCGACGCGTATCCTCCACAGGAGAGGGTGATCAACAAGGCGTTTAGCCGGCCACTCGTCCGGTATATCGAGTGTGTGAACAGTCCAAGTTTATTTCAAGAGATTGACCAATTTAGATTCTTGGAGAACATACACGACATGGTCCTCAATCTAAAGGAGAAATGCAGTCGTGGCAAACTCGACCTCTTCAAAGCCTTTAGCAAAGTCAAAGTGGACGCAGGGGAGATTCGTAGACTCAATCGAGATATCGAAGACAAGCACAAACAATTCATGGTACGAGCTTCAATGGTTTTGTTCAGGGGTTCACCGTACAAACAGGAGGCGCTGGGTCTTTTTACCGCGTTACGCATTCAAACTATCGAATAAACCACAGTGGTCACCAATGTCAACGTGGAGGTCACAAAAGCTAACGTGGAAACAATTTTGACAGACGGTAAGCCGGAACTCTGATGTGATGATTGCTTAGCCGTTTCAGTCGACTCTGCTGCTATACCCCAGCTACCAACGATAGCATTAGTTCCGTCCTCGGTGCACAATTCCTGTATGCAAGGAACCCGTGAAGCTGTTCTTCAGACAATCCAGCGCTGGGCCGCCCATTCACCATCAAGTCCAAGTTAGCGGATCGCCTACACGATGTCAATCACCGCGATAATGTGGACGACATCGCCGTCTATGTGTATCAGTGACTGGACGGAGTGTTACCTCTTGAAAAGAGACAACAGCTGGTAGGAAAAACGAGCGGCTTGTTTATTTGGGCGAGCACCGCGTGCCGAATGCTCAACCGCGAGACCACCATGAACACTCCTGAAAGCATATTTGATCACCTAGTTTCCTTGGATCAACCTGGAGCTATAGATGGGGTATATGACCTCATCCTTGAGCGTACAGACGCCGAGTCTCGTGCGGTCATGTGTGAGATGCTCGCTCTACCCGTTGTAGCATTCGAACCATTCACCGTTGACGACCTGGAGGACCTCCTTAAGCACGCTGGAGTCTGGGGAAGTGGAAAGGCGATACTACAGAATCTGGGAAGCGTACTTAGTGCGGATTACAGCACAAATCTCATTCAATTTCGTCATACCACCATCGTCGAGTACCTTCGACGCCGTTCCGTTGCCTCAACCGTCGCTAATAGTACCAGAATCTACATCAATGCCATCAAGGCTCATGGTCAAGCAGCATCATGGTGTCTTCAGCGGCTCAAGTCACGGACAGTGGGTCTCAAATTCAATATATGTCAGATTGACTCATCCTTCTACCTCAACAGGCAAATCGCAGACCTCGATGCAAGAGTATCAAAATTCATTCCAAAAAGACTTGCTATGCCAGTTCCCATTGGCTCTTCCATCTGGCCGAAGCTGACGATAACTGGCCAAGTGCCCTCAAAAGAGACTTGAGACACGTCGTCCAGGCCCCGTACGGTCTATATTGGATAGAGGTTTTAAGCTTGACTGGGGGTGTGTTGCGAGCAATAGCTGGATTCCGCGAGTGAGTGACTTAGTCCAAATTATCCATTTTCTTAGGCTATATACTGTTTGAAGGGGAGACTAGAAGCAGAATGACCGAAATCAGTCGGTTTTTATGGCATTTTCAGTGCCAATCCAGGACAGTGCTCCTCACATCTATATTTCCGCAATTCCTTTTACTCCTAAAAACTCGGAACTACACCACGAGGGCCGAACGAAATATGCGGGTGCGCTCGCTGTTACCCAGGGGCTTGAAGAGGTGTACGCTGGGTTACCCAGAACACTTCGAGGTCACCAATTGGCATTCAACGCCGTTGCGATCTCTCCGGATGGTTCCTGCATTGTTTCTGGATCGTCCGACTGGACGATTCGGATTTGGGACGCAGACACTGGTCAGCCACTGGGAGAGCCATTAAGAGGTCACGCATTACAGCTACTGACTGTAGCGATCTCGCCGGAGGGCCCGAAAATTGTCTCTGACTCGAGGGATATGACCATTCGACTGTGGGATGTAGGTACTGGACAGCAGCTGGGAGAAACACTCCAAGGTCACACCCACTCGGTGTGGCTGTCGTCCCCTCTCCGGACGGCTCCCAGATTTTCTCTGGTTCAAACGACGCTACAATTCGGGTGTGGGATGTTGACACCGGTCGACCGTTGGGAACACCGTTCCTGGGTCATAAAGGCCCGGTCTTCTCCGTTGACATCTCGCCGGATGGATCCCGAATTGTCTCCGGCTCATTCGATACAACGGTCCGACTGTGGGATGTAGAAACTCGCCAGCCAGTGGGTGAGCCACTTCATGGTCACTGGGACAGGGTCATGGCCGTCACATTCTCTTCAGACGGCTCAAGAATTGCTTCTTGCTCAAGCGACAAGACTATTAGACTGTGGGATGTAGCGACTGGTCAACCGTTGGGAGAACCACTCAGAGGCCATAGCGGTCAGGTAAACGCTGTCTCTTTCTCACCAAATGGTTCACGAATTGTCTCTGCCTCGAGCGACAGGACGATTTGGCTGTGGGATGCAGAGAAGGGTGGGTGGATTTATGGGCGATCGCTGGCTGCGTGACTAAGCTAACAAATGGTCATAGATATAAATACCAATGTATCTACCCAAAAGGATGGAGAACTCGTACATTTGGAACTTGTGGACAGTGAGCAGGGCATTCCTCTGGAGATTTCTGTACCTGGGTTCAAAATTTGCTCCCTTTTGCACAATGGATGGGTTCCATCTTCTCGAAACTTTCTTTTCTGGGTACCCCCAGCCAACCGTCATGGCCTGCGATATCCGCATCTTCTAACTATACCGACCAAGAGTTCGTTCCGTGCAACCCGACGCGATTTCACACGTTTTCAATGCGGACTCTTCTGGACTAATATTCAAATGGATGCGAACCAGTAATTACTATTACTGTCAATATATTTTATGTTTTGGGCAACGCGCGACAGAGTGAAATTGAACTCTCTTGCCGTATATCTCCATTTACTTTGAGTTCACTGTCCTATTTCAGATCCCAGGTACTGAGAACGGGGTGGCTGGAACTATTCTTTGCATGACAGAGGTGTGACCCGCTCCCTGAGATGAGTGTACCGCAGGCATCTCAACATCTATTCAAGATTACTCCCAGACGACATTTGCCTATCCCAGCGCGACATTAGCCATATATACCGGAACAACTAGCTTCGTCGATCCATTAACCACAGTCATACAACCCGTCATTATCCTCGCCATCTTCGTCAAGGCGATCACGACAGGTTCGCGCCCTACTACATTCACCAGGAGCGTCGCGACCTTCCAGCCCATTACGCTCACAGGCGGTGACATTGTGTACTTCACCACGACATCTTCGGCCATTCAAGCATTCCCAACCTCGTCGAGCGACCTGGAACCCGTTACTTCTACGTCAACTTACTACGTACCATTCACGTCGGAGACTACCAGGTTCTTCTGTCAACAGATCGTCTCTTGACATTGGAGCGTATACATCAACCTCGACTATTGTTGCAGATATTCACACTACTTGCATCTCGCGAGCGGGCATCCTTTCAATTGGCGTCTCTCATCGGCGCCGTCCTTTCATTATCCAGAATCGGACCTATTCGTCGTTTTAATAAGATTTGATCCACTTTAACTGAGATATGCGGAATTGTGTGAATCGTTCGAATACGGATGTGTCTACTCAAGTTCATACAAAGATATTCGAGTGCTCTTTAGCTTCGTGCCATCCAAGTTATTTGCCACCACAATAGTAGGTCGGTATATAGCCAATAGGCTCTTTAGGAACGCCGTTACGAATGCGGCGTGTTCGTTTAGACAAGCCTCAAGGAACGGTCGAAATTGTTGCGTCGCTCCACGAGGGGAGTACAGCCTTGCTTCTACAGGTAATTAAATACGCCTTAGGATTCGAGCGAAGGAAAGGTAGTGAAACTTAGGCCGATGCGGAGCCGATTCGGCGGATGTAATCTTCAATTTCATTCTTGAAATACCGTGCCTCTGAATGAAAGCTGTACCCATCTGGGTCGACAAAGTCGAGTTTCAGCCTTTCCATCAACGCCAATGTCTCTCTCAAGTCTTCTAGTGTGCTCTCGTTATGGTAGAGTTTGACCGCCTGGAAACTCTCCCGCAGGTCTTGCCATGTTCTTGCTACGGCAAAATTGAAGTTGTGGAGGATTTCCCTGCAGGCATCAAACTTCTGTAGAGCAGCTGATCTGGACTGAATGTCTTCCCGAGGGTATTGAAGGCTCATGGTCAAGCGTTTGCGTGTTGTTTCCACCTGGCCATGTGGTCGAGAGAGGCCAGTAGCTACAGATAACTGACGAGTGTCCATGGATGAGAGCGCGTCTCCCATCTGATCGAGCGAGTGAAATACGATCAACCTGAGCACGCAAAGGGTGTGCCAGTCATATTGGGTTGGGAAAGCGTCACCAAGGTCGGATATTTGAAGCTCTTCGATTTGGTGTGCGTGAGTGCGCACAAGAGTGCGCAACTCCGTCTTGGCATCGGCATTTTCCCTCGCATGAACCCTGACTATCGAAAGTCTTGGGAATTGCCAGGTTGAAACCGTCCCCTCTGTTATCGATGATACCAGCAAACGGCTTTCGAGGAGTACGACTTCGAGAAAACGAAGTTCCGGCAATGCAATTCCTTTGTATGTGTCGGGATGGGATGGAGGATAGAAGAGAACTAGTGACAAGGCAACTAGACTGGAAAAAACTGGATGGCAAAGTTGGTTCGGACTATCTACGAATGGAATCTGACAAGGTGACCAACGAAATGCCTGAATGGGTTGAGCTGGGGTGTAATTGGGAGGGATCCAAATATCGTAGTCAACGACTGCGGTTATAGGCGCCAGTGGATGTTCGTTACCAAGTTGAATCGTTTCATCCTGAAGGCGAGGGCCTTGCTGGTGGGGTATGTGGCTCTGACGGTATTCTTTGACGGGATTATCGAATAGATAAGATAACGGTTCCTTCTGTAGATAATGTATAACCTTTGCCTGGCCTCTTGAGCGGTGAGGCGGCCAGTCGAACTCGTCCAGAAGGCTGATTTGGAGCGCATCATCCAAGTCCTTGGATATTGTGTGCCATGCACGGCAAACAAGACTTAGAACGGTTCGAGTCTGTTCTTTCTTTAGATATGCGCGCGCGGTTTCTCCATCGGAAAGGAAGACAAACTTGCTATATGCGTGGAGAGAGGTTTGCCTCGGGTTCGAAAGCGAGGGTCCGAGGCATAATCGGAAGATTTTAAGCCATATCTCAACGGGAAGTGGCGGCAAGGTTCTTGTTGCGGAAATCTGATCATGCGTTGTTTCGGAGTTGCTGACGACGACGCTTCGATGTTTGGCATTGAACGTGATCCTTCTGATAAAGGAATTGACCAGAGACATGTCTTTCCCGAGATATGTCCTGTCAGACTGTTCACTAGAGCAACAGGAGCACTGATAGATAGGTACAGACCGCAAACAGGCTGATCTACTTTGATCCAACTCTGAGAGTTGCCCACAGGATTACTCTATTGTTATCTCGCTCCTACAACTACGAAGAATTTTTATGGCGGACGTGGTCGGCAGAGAAGATTACCAAACATCGTTCTCATTGAATGCCTGCATTATGAATTTAGGTGGACTCTTTATGGTTCTGGTCTACAAGTTTGCTTATAACAACTACAGCATTCATGCAGATGCAGGGCAGTTGCTGAATAAGGTTTCTGCTGAACTGGCAACCGATACTTCAATATATATACGTCCCAATATTTGCATTCTGCCTCTTATTTGACTTTGGAACCCGGTATCATTAAACTACGGCAAGACATGACCGCGTTTCGCTTTTAACGAGAGAAGTCTCAAGTAAATAACTCGGCAGTAATTCCATCGGAGATGATATCCTGGACGAGACTTCTGACATTGCGCGCCCTGTCAGAATAGAGACCATACCCATCCGGATCGACAATGTCAATACCCAGCTTCTCCGCTACCATGAACGTGTCTCTCAAGCCATGAAGTGCGACCATATCATGGTAAAAGTGGTTCGCTTCGATTTTCTCCCGTATTGCCTGCCAAGTTGTTGTTACCGCAAAGTCAATATTAGGGAGTATACTTTGGCATGCATCAAATTTTGGCAAGATACTCGAAATCAATTCGTTTTCGGTGGGCGGATATTGAAGACTCATGGTGAGCCGTCGGTGCGCCACGTTCGATGCATCAGAGATACCGGGGCGTGTAGTGTTCCAGCGGACATTCGCAGATGAAAGTCCATCTGCCATGAGGTTGAGCGAATCAAATACGATCAACCTAAGCGAGCGAAAACTCTGCCAATCTTGTGGCGTCGGAAACTGGGCATCGTACATCGATGCATGAAGCTCCTCTATTTGGTGAGCATGGGCGCGTACTAGACCGAGTAGCTCATCTTTGGCGTCCTGCTCCGTTATTGCGTTGACTCGGAGCAAAGTTAGTTTGGGGAACCTCCAGGTTGAAATTGTCATCTCTGCTTTCTCTCGTGGAAGGGTCCACTTCTTGCGCAGGATGAGTTCGAGATAGCGTAGCTCCGGTAGGATGAAGTCCTGACAGCCATAGAGGTGAGTCGTGGGATAATCGATAGTTAAAGAAAGGGCGAGTAACGAAGAGAAGACGGGGTGGAGAAGTGTAGTCAATGGATCCGCGCTTTGACCTGACCACCAACGAAGAGCAAGGATAGGTTGAGCTAGGTCATAGCTGGGTGAAATAAGAATGTCTTGGTTCAATATAGTCGTAATACGTGCTAGAGGGAATTCGATACCAATGCAAAGTTTTTCATCTTCATAGTAGCCAGCTCGATACTTCGCTGGGCTACTATGATGCGCTTCGACAATACGCCTCATCCCACAGAGCCTTCTCTCTTCCAGGATATAATAAGCGACCTTGTTCTGCCTGTTTGTCGGACGTCGAGGCCAGTCGCCGTTGCGTAGATGACTGATTCGGAGCAAGTCATCAAAATCGTCCAAGAGTATCTTCCACGTGCGGCATACGAGACGCAGAATGGCGCGATTCTGTTCTATCTTCAGGTATGCATACCGTGCATCCATTTTTGAAAGGAATACAAATTGTGTATAGGCATAGAGTGACCTCTGCCTCGGGTTTGATAATGAAGGCCCCAAGCAGAGTCGAAAGATTTGCAGCCAGATTTCGACAGGGAGCGGTGGACTTGTTGGCGCGTCGGGAGAATCTGAGTAAGAGTGCTGTGTTTCCCTATCCTCAATAATCTGCCGGCTTTCATCCTCATATATAGTTTTGCGAATAAAGAACTTTGAATCGAATAATCTTTTCTTGAGAAACATCCTGTAGAGGGGCAGATGTGACCAATAAAACGATAAAGAGACTGGCACCAACCTCAAAGTCAGGTTAGTCGTGATCGAGACTCGTCAAAGGAATCACTTTTTGCTATAGCGTAGTGGGAAAGGCAGCCAACTGTTGCTGGCGGTTGTGGTTGGCGACAAAGACGACCAGCCTTTGAGGCTGGCAAGTAGCGTCAGTTTGCAGTGACAGGAGGATTCTCAAGGTGGGTATAGTTTGTGGAATATCCACTCATGCTTACAGTACTGGAGCGTGGAGGCGAAATGCAGTCTAAGAAGTGCCACATTGAGTCAGCATTCGTTTGACTCAGAACACCCGTATCAAATGCATTTAAACACAGAGTGTGACTACAGCATTTCACGTCTAAGTGTCGTAGAGAAATAGTGATCTGTTTATTCCGTCCTCTGGATCGTCTGCCAGTCCACCTATGGCTCGTGGTTGGGTATATCAAGCTCGCGTAGGATGTCATCCCAAAGGAATGCGGCTTGTTGCTCCGCCGAGTATGCATCTGGGATCACATACATCTGTTCCTGCATAGGATTGGCTATCGGCACCACGCATGGAGGAGCTCCCAGTGGTGACCCCGGTACCCCGATCCCCGTCACAGATCTCTTCGAGTCCCCACTATCCGACAGTGGTGTGGGCACCACAGCCGGGGCTGCGAAATACGAACCATGCATTTCGTTAGCCGTACTGCTCTCTAGAGGCCGGCTCCCGCTCTCTCTCTCCAAAGAGTGCATTGTTAGAAGAGAACTTGAGAGCGTCTGAGTAGTCAAGTTGATAGCCGAAGGCATGTTGGATGATGTCCAGTCATCACCGAGTATCCCTTATAGAAATTCGTCGCTCGAATTGATGGCTGATGCATCATTGATCCCCGTCGACGTACTGGAATAAAGCGAGCGGAATTAATCTTCCAGTGAGAGCTGTAGCGATTGTGCCGCCTCTTAAGGGGGAATACCCTCAGTCGCATCGCCCGTTCTTGCTGTGGCGAAGTGGAAGGGTTTGAAACTCCCTGAGCCTGCAAAAGGGAGCACTTTGCCACTGGATTCGAATCATGGACATGACTTACGACCTGTGCCAGTCGGGTGGCGGTCCCAAGGATCACCCATGCCTTGGAGTTGCGCGTCGCATCGTTGACCACGAAATTATAGTTATACTGTAGCATCAAAATAGCGATTGTGGTCATGCCGGTATTCATTATAAAGTCGTCAAGAGCGAAACACGGTTTAGAGAGGTTGTTGAACTGCTCCCCCTGAGCAGCACAATTCTCCACCTCAGGGTAGTTTAAGATCTCTATAAGAAAGGTGAGCAGGAGCCATGGGGTATTAAAGCACATTTACCGAGAGCAAACGTTGCAAACAGGAGAGCAACGCCTTGAATTCCTATCGGCGGCTCTTGCGGACTCTCTTAGCACGGTGTCAGGTATTGAATTATAAACCGTCGCTGTATAATAGATTCACCTCTACGTAGATGAGCCAGGCACCGACGTTGCTCGAATATACGTACAGCCATGCCACTCTAGTGTAGAATATTTCGACGAGCCTGATCACCAGGTCTTTGCTCGGGAGCTCGGCCAGTATATTGTACTTGAGACTTTCTGGGTCCGGGGTGTGAACATCGAGATAAAGGGTAAGGTGCGTGTGGGTTTCCAAGTCATCAGCTCGTTGCTCCGGTTCGGTTGGGACCTCATTGGATCATCACCAACGAGAGAAACCATTCCCTATAAACGAATGAGACGCTGCATTCTCGAGCGAGAAAAAAATTCGACTGTGTTTGTCCGACCGAAGAACCTGGTCTTCCCCTATAAATTGTCAGTGGGACCGCTATGGTCTATCTTCCTTACATCTTTGTGGATTAAGAGAGCACCCAACGAAGTGATCAACAGTTTATCTTTGTTTGAGAGAAGCGGGTGCGGCTCGTCTGAATGCAATCCCTAACGACCGACCATCGTAGCAGGCTTGCCTCAAACAAGAGGGCATAACTGCATATTTGCAAGAGCATATTTCACCTCTCGTAATCTTTTGGTCATTTCTGCTGCCTTTGCGGACGTCTGGTCTTCGTCAAGTTTTGCAAATCTGGCTCGTCGTTGAGTATTATTGACTGTGTGACCGTAAGTGCATACCTTTCAGCCTTTGGTAGTAGACAACCGTCAGGACATAGTGTTATCTTGCCCGACTTTGCGCAGTGATTGCACGGAATCTAAATTTAATAGCTATAGCCAAGCACGCAACCAAAGGTGCGGTATACTGACAGTTCGGGAGCATTTGACCTAACAATTAAGCAAATATTCAGTCCAAAATACAGAAGCGACACAGCTGTAGAACTTGCATACCTTGAGACGACGGCATTCAGCGCAATTTTTAGCATTGGTGTGCGAGCCTGTGTCTCTCCTGACGCTGGAAGTGTTTGGGATAGTCCATATGGTATGATAAGGAGCAAGCTGGGACGAGCGCCCATCTAATTTTGCCGTGCAGTCTACCCTGGACTCAGAAGAACCGTTCTCAGGGGATACAATTGGGTGCTACTTCTCAGGAAAAATCTGAGCGAGCGACAAATGCTTTGGGAGGAGCGAACGCGCTCCAAGCCATCTGCCGCCCCCACAAAAAGGCGGTCACAATACAACATAACCGACGAATCTATACCATCAAGACATTGGACTCGGCAACTTTGTCTATTTTTAAGCCCGGTAGCTATGGGTATAATAATCTGGTACCGGGTTTTGTAGACTTCTGGCTTCGAGTATGGCGTATAGATGTATTTAGTTGGATAAGGGTACAATATGTCACTTCTGAGCCGTATTTGGGTCTACTTACGGCCCCTGAGCGGGAATATCGAGCTCGCGCAAAATGTTGTCCCATAGAAAAGCAGCTTGTTGCTCTGCCGAATATGAATCTGGAACTATGTTCATTGGGTCCTGCACAGGGTTGGCTACCGACGCCAATTGCGGTGGAATACCTGGAACATAGCCAGGCATTGCAGAACCAGGTGCGGACCTGGTCGAGCTTCCACCATCCGATAATGGTGAAGGTGCCGCTGGCGGAGCTCCAGGGTATGGAACGTGCATCTCGCCACCCTCCATACTTTGTTGGCCCGGGTTCCTGTTCCCATCTCCGAACGTTGTGCCATTGAAAGAGGAGAATTCACCGTATGGAGGTGCCAAGTTGGCAGCCGAAGGTACCGCGGAGGATACACATTCACCGCTGAGGATTCCTCTCAGGAAATCGTCACTCGAGCTGACCGTAGAAGCCAAGGCGTTGTTTAAATTGGGCCCTAACATATCCGCGGACGCGTTTGAATGAAACGAGCGCAGGTAATCTTCTAGTGAGAACTGTGGATGTTGCATCGCTCCATGAATGGTAGCCGTTGGTCGAAGTGTTGGTGGTCCTGTGACGGTACCAAGAATGGGGGATCAGCGGGTACGTAGGATTGTCCCAAAGTCTGAGAGGGTGATCTCTTTGTGGCATGCGTCGCGTCGCGGAGGTGGTTGATTACCATGTTCGAGCCTCCAAGACCGCGAACGAGTTGAGCATCCGTTGCGGTAGGTGACTGCCACGTTCCCGAATTGAACGCCTTCATAGCATCGTGGGCTTTCGCATGAAGCTTTGATACAATTGGCTAAGATTCTTTAGTGAATTCCTGCTTCCGGCGAGAAGTAAAAGCCATACATAAGCTCGTCGTGGCCGGTAGGCTGCCTGTGCTTGTCTAAACATTTCCACAGTCAAATCTGCTTAATGAGTATCCCTCTGTCGATTCTGTAATCTTAATGAGCTTACCGAGTTCAGTAAGAGCTGGACCAGCAAGGGAGCAATCTGGGGCCCTGATCACAATAGCCGCCAGGATGACCGTAGCAGTAAAGCAGTACGTCCAGAAAAGAGACATCCGCATTATAATCACCGGCTCTTGAGCGTAGAGTCGACGGACACATCCGACAATGGCACACGCACTGCCGTACGAAGCCAAGAAGCTGGGTGTGTATGGGCTCTTGAGAGGGGTAAACGGGCGCTCAAGAAGTGCACATGCAAAGTAGGAGCTATATCCTATCAGCGGAGTGACCCATATCTGGACGGACGCACCGATGGAGACATAGGAGAGTGAGCTCCCGAAACACTTCTTCTGTACTCTGCCGTATTCTGGTTCTAGTAGCATATTCTTCCGTCGGCTTGAATTCAGGGAGCATCATCTCCTTTGGTACGTTGAACTCTCTGATTCGTGCATCGACTCTCAGTACTGCAGCATATGTTGCCTTGTTTGCGGACGCAAGGCCCAGATCCACGACATGCCAGAGGCAAGCTTCGCTGAAATAATGCTTTCCTGTTGTATAGTTGGGATCTGGGTCAAGAGTGTCCAAACCTCTAGGGATTTTGACGTCGAAGTGCTGCCGAGACATCATCGGAGGCCGTCCTGTCACCATCGCCTACCATTTAGCTGGTTAGAAAAGTTATGGGATATGGAAGTATGTACCGTCCATAGCTCCATGCTCACGAGCTCCCACTATGATTTTGAGTCTCAATCAAGGGATGAGGTATATGACATACGGCAATTTTCCGTCTATCCGCCACCTGATCTGGTGGTAGACCAAAAATCTCTGGATCTCGACTGCGCGCATATAAGAGGTATGCTTTTTAGCTCGCGTAGAGCACTCACTGCAGGCCAATCTTGAAGAATTAGTACGAGGACTGGAGGAAGTCAGGTAAAACCTACAACTTGGGCAAGCCGTGCGGCGACACCAAGCATCACCCATCCCTTGGAATTGCGGGTCGCGTCATTTACCATGTAGTTATAGTTGGCTTGTAGTATCAGAATTGCAACTGTGGTCACGCTCGTGTTCAGTATAAAGTCATCCAGCGAGAGGCACGCTTTGGAAAGGTTATTGAATTGTTCGGCCTTGGAGCTGCAGTTCTCTGCTTCTGGATAGTTGAGCATCGCTTGAAAACGGATTAGTATGAACAAAATGATGATTCAAAGACGTACCAAGAGCAAACGTAGCGAACAGAAGGGCGACACCCTGTATTCCTATGGACGGATCTGCCGGATTCTCGTAACACGGTATCAGGTACTGGTTTATCAGCCGTGACCGTATAATAGGTTCGCTTCTACATAGCTTAGAGGCAGAGCTACATTAAAAGAAACGGACTTACTGCCAAGCCACTCTAGCATAGAATATCTCGACCAATCTAATCGCCAGATCTTTACTTGGGAGTCCAGCTAGCACTTTCTGCTTTAGGCTCTCGGGATTAGACGTGCGAATATCGAGGTAGAGGGGGAGGTGAGTTTGCATCTCTAGACCATCCGTTCCTTGCTCGGGCTCGGCGGAAGCGTCGACAGGTTCTCCTTCTACTAGCGCCGTCAGACCCTATCAAATATGATCAGATGTCAACTGGTCCAGCAAACAGAAAATTGCATACAAATTCGGCTGTGCTCGTCCCACCAAAGAACCGAGTATTCCCCTAAACAATAAAATAAATCAACAATTTATTGCCACCAGATCGGTTTCTCACATCTTTACCGATCATGAGAGCGCCGAACGATGTGATGAGCGGCTCTTCCGTGTTCGAAAGGAGTGAGTGAGGCTCGTCAGAGTGCAATCGCTGTGGGGCATGTTATCCCATCAGTCGCATGCAGACCAAGAGAACGAACCTGCATATCTGCGAGCGCATCCTCTAGCTCACGGATCCTAGCCGCCATTGCTCCCATCTTTGCAGACGTCTGGTCCTCATCAAGCTTTGCAAATCTAAAAGCCGTTGAGATTTATTGATGACAAGAGAGCTGATTACATACCGTTCAGCCTTCGGTAGCAGACAACGGTCGGGACATAGGGCCGCTTTGCCCGCCTTTTCGCAGTGGTTGCAGGGAATCTGGATTAAATGGCGCGAATTCGCATTTATAAGCGCATTTATATTGTGTACCAACAGTTCTAGAGCATTTGAGCTACAAGGGTTCAGCCGCTGTTTTCGATAATGGGGCTTGCGTACTTTAAGACGGCGACATTCAGCGCAGTTTTTTGCTTTTGTGTGCAATCCTGTATCTTTCTTTACACCAGGGGCGTTTTGGATGGTGTCCATCTGGTATGGCAGGGGGCAAGCTGCGGCAGGCGCTTAACTAACCGAGTCGTACAGTCTACTCTATACTTAGGAGGACTATATTTAAAATTTACAGTTACTTTTCAGCTCCTGGAAGAAGTCCCGATGAATGGTCGACGATCGAATAGGAAGACGGGAAGGAGCAGGCGTGCTCATGAAGTCATCAGCAAACGAGTCCGAAGGACGCAAGATATGGTCCGCTATAGCAAGTCAAAGTCGTCCAGCTGGGCGCAGTCAGCACAGTTCCTTCCGACGACCACTATAGAAGACTAACCTCATCGTTATAAGCCATCACCGTTCTCCTCATCTTGCTCGTATCTACCCATGTCACATAATCCTCCATGTTCCTCGTGACAAGGTAGGCCGGGTCCGTAATCGTGTCCGGTCCAACGCGAATGTGCCCTTGCTCGACAAACGTCACGGCCTATCCTCAAGATAAGTACACCAAACAGATGAATCAAGATCAGATAAATGAACAGTACGAGTAGGGAAGGGGAGGACAGGAAGAAAAGAAGAACAGAATACCCACCGCAGTGACAGTTTCCGCCATCTTCAAACGACAAACGACAACCCCCAATCGTCGTCGACAAAACGCCGCAACAGTAAGCTTATTCTCAATATCACTAAGCTTTGCCGTCGAATTCAAGACACCCCTAATATCCAAACAATCAGTCAAAACCCCTCCAGTAATAAAAGCATCTCCAATGACTACAAAAGCCACATTGTCCACCAACACCACAAGGAATGAGACGGAACAAAAGGGAGAGAAAAAACGCACATATCATACAATTTGGACAACAATTGTCCCTCCATCTTTGCCCGAAACGGATCTTGAGCAGGTAAAAGGGAAAGTCGATGCGCATACGACCTGATCTGGCCGCACAATTTATTATACTTGTTGTAATCCTCCCGGTCTTGGATATGATACCTCCGCATCACTTTAATCTCGCGCAGATTATTATCTTGCTTCCACTAAAAAGGCCACAAAACGACGGGCGACGGTCAGAATGGCAGTTTTCGGAGCAGCGAGTGGCGTACATTATAAAAGTCGACCTTTTTGAGGAGCTTCTTCTCATGGTACTTGAGTTCTCTCATCTTTACGAGTCTTTCAATGCGGTTTCAATCCTGCCAACGATAAAGGTGGAAACCAAGGAGTAGACCACCACACCAGCTCAAAAGACAAAACCCGGGAGTATGAAAATGCCTTATCATCGAGGCAACATCGTACAAGTTTTCTCGATACAAACAAACGATAGAGCATCACCAACTCGTGCGTCTCCTTGATTGCCATGACGGAGTTGAGACGCGGATCCGCACAGAATAACGGAAATAGGAAATAACTAAAGGGAGAACTGGAACGAAACAGAAAACGGGTAAGGGTATGTGCTACCAAAGAATGGCGGCAACAGCGTGTGGTGACGGTGCGGAAGTGATGACCATGGAGATTATCATGCGCAGATACCTAGGGCGCGAAATGACGTCGGGCTGAAGGAGTGGCGAAATGAAAGAGTGAAAGTATTAGGCGTCGCAGGCGAAAGCGAGTGAGAGGTCTCCAATCGAAGAAGGTGAAAGGTCCAGTGTTCATTGCCAAAGTCCAAAACCCTTCAGTGCTCAATGTGCACCTCGTCGGGAACAATAGTTGCAGTCGAAACCTTTCTGTCTCCCTTGATTCCATGTCCAACGCGACGAGCGGATGAGAGCGTCTTGCCAACACCAAGGATCTTGCTCATGAGACGAGAGCCACCCCCATGTTCGGAAAGAAAGATTTGCCCAGACGTCGTTGGATGAATGGCAGAGTCAGAGTCACGACGGTGCATGGGTGGAGGCTTGACTACATGGTCATAGGCTGCAGACGAATCCGGAGGAGTCGAAACCTCAGAGTTGCTCGTGCTCGTGCTGGCAGAGATGGAGCTGCTCGCGGTCATGGAAGAGCTCACCGTGCTCGAAAAGGTGCGAGCAACGCTCATGGTCACGACGCCGGCACCTTCGAGCAAACCGTCGCTAGAGAAGCTGCGACCAAGCGACATAGAGGTGCTACCCTTGACTCCAGCGACGCGAATCTCTGGAAGAGCCAAAGTAGAGGACGCGGTAGTGGCTTGGTCGTGGGCAGTGTTGACGAGGTGCGAAGGGGCCGACTGAGACGTCGAGAATGTCATTGACGAGGACTCTGTCGTAGTCTTGCGGGCCACTTGGTGCTTCTCTCCACGCTTCTTGAAAGCAGGGACTGGCTGCAGGACAAAGTCGCGAGGAACCACCTCTGCCTTGAACCGGCGCGGCGCTTGAGTCACCTTTGATCTTGGACTCGGAAACTGGAGTGCCTTTGGCGGCATTTGAAAGCGCGATGGGCGTAAGAGGCGTAAGAGGCTGACTGGGAACGTTGAGCGTCGGAGGCTGTTTCGTAGAGGATCCGGCGGAGCGAGGGTGGAGAAGCGGAAACATGCGCTGGATGAGCTGCTCCTCGGTGAAGCTCAGATCAAAGTCGATGATGCTGAGGACCTGCTTCTCCATGAGCGTAATCTCGCAAGTCGCGAAGAGGCCGCGGGAGTGAACTGCCCAGTGCTTATTTTTGGCGTCTGGTCGTTGAGATACTTTGACGCGACGATGATAGCGGCAAGTATGATTCGATGTCTGGTGCACGTCATGCCTGAGTAATGGTCAGAGACAGATCGCGGAGAGGACGAGGAGTACTACCTTGAGCGTGAGGAGGGAATCGGGATCCGAGGCGCTCAAGAACAAGCAGCGTGTAGCAGAGTGTAGGAACGCGGACTTTGGAGCTTGCGATGATCCAGGGGACAAACTGTTCGAGAGGGAGCCACTGCGGGTTCAACACTGGCGGCCATCCCGCGCGATAATCGCTATTCGCGTTTGGATCCTGTACTCCCTCCTCCTCTTGCTGTTGCTTGGAGAGCGACTTGAGCGGCGTCGAGGGCGGCGTGGGGAGAACTTCCTGCTCCGGGACTTTGATCATATCTCTCACAGCCTTGATGAGCTCTACGACGAGAGCAGGTTCAAGAGGAGCCGCGAGATACCTGACCAGGGCGGGATCGTGCTCTGTGAGCTCCACCAACGAGTGGGGATGGCGGCGGCGAACGGGCGATCTGTAGTAGCGACAAAGCTCTGCTCTGGAGAGATTGGGCGAGTGCAACGCATGAGAGGGCATTACAGCAATCTGGATCTGGTCAAACAGCGGCGTCAACGACGGTGAACGATGGCGAGAACAGCTACATACAACAAGGACAATAGAACAGGGGAAGAGAGAGTATGTAGAAGATGCGTCGCACAGGAGAAAAGAGGGGGGAATAAAACGAATGGAACGTGGACTCTGAAGTGGCGAGGTCCAAGGTGCGATAATGACAAACCACCAAACATTTCACGCGTAAATCAAAACATTTCAAGGTGTACATTACGTCTCTATGTCTCAGTAATCATGTCCATGCGCGGCTATAATCCTCTCAGAACACACCCAAACGCAGTAGAATGTCTACTTACTGTAATCCCAAGTTCATCCAGTTCTGCCCTCAACACATCTGGAATCTTTGCAGACAGCCGAACGGCATAGATACCACGAACTGAAATGTCTATCCGGGGGTTAGACGGTCCCAGTAAACGAAAGACATTGAATTACTCACCAACACGCTTCCATCTAGCGACCCAGCTCTCCTTTGGGTTCATAATTGCTGTCATTCCATCAAACTGAGCCGTCGTGCATGTATTCACTCGATCCGTATTCCCTCGCATCTGCAAAAAAAAAAAAAAAAATAGTCAAACACGGGTGAAACCATGATCCCAAACGCTCACCTCGAGAAAATGCTCGCAATTCGGACACCCTTTTTTGCGAAAGTCCATCGACGTTTGGATAATCGTGCAAACCAAGCACGCCCGCAGATTCTTCGCTCGTCCAGACGGTGGTACAGCCGCCATTTGCTCCCTTTCCATGTCCCTCTGTTTGCGGCAGATTCCAAGGGCGCTTACCACTTGTGACCGCCAGCGTGGATTCAACCTTGACTTCGAGGACAAAATGTAAACGTATATGGCTCATTATAACGATGAAAATCAGCCATATGTATTGGAATATCATCCAAAGAGACCTCTGGGGTGCCATCTTGCGATTCGTCAGCGGCCAGACATGTTGTTATGCGATGAATTATCAACTCGGATATCCTATGTTCTCATCAATCCGCTTGGAATTTCAATGAGGCTAGCAAGACATAGCTAAACATCCTCCGACTCGACAATTGCGCAAAAGACACGGGCAACATATATCGAGGGACTTTATGCCACCATCCAACACATTTTAAAGGCTCTAGGATAGTTCAAAGGTTGAATCCAGTACTTGTGGATCACCTCTCTGAGGGATATGGGAATCAAGACCCCCGTCGTATGATAGGCTCCGTCGGTGTCACCACAAATCGTATACCATTAACATTCTCTGGATTTACATGCAAAGATAATCCGCTCTCGAGTGCAAAGCGACGACTCGACAGACGACCAGCCTGCTCGCAAGTAGTTTCCGTGCGTTCTAAACCGCCGAAAATATCTCTTATCATCTCATATTCACGCCTAGAGTACATTTCCAGACACTATGGCGCCATCCACTGGCGCCAACCAGAACACTCCTTTTGTCGGAGTAGAGCCTTCGATTTTTTCAGTCATCGAACCTGGTAAACGTTGATACAAACAACTAGCAACTTGGGATGAATCTGAAAATCCGCGTCTCTATATCGCGGCAACACTGGCGGCGAGGCTACAAATCGCCAGATCGTCGAGAACGCTCGCTGAGGTGCACCTGCCCGTTCTAAAGATAATTTTATATGTCATTATCATACAGTGATCCATGGAGGCCGCGCCCACTTAAAGTTGGCGGGACCTGGCTGGTAGTCCACCGTCTCAACTTGTCCCGGCCCACGACCCAGTTCCTTTGCTAGTCGATCCCAAGGACTCTGTTATCAACTTTCCTTGTCTCTTGTCGTCCATAGCATTCTTCAAATCATGCCGCCAAAGCGTACTCTTCCTTCTACGACCACCATTGTAGGGAGCAGTGGACTCCCGACACGCTCAAGGCACCGGGGCGCCACTCCTCGTGGCCCTACAGCTCCAGGTGTACCATATGTACACCTGGATGCCGTTGAGCGTCGCTCGAGCCGAGCCGCCGCGGCGAGAGACCAAGTCGACGAGGCTCGACTACTCCCATGGTTCTATAGCTGTAGTAGCGAGCCATCTGCAGTCGAGATCTCATCTATTGCCGATGAGATGAAGATGTAAGTGCATTAATCCATTCCAAACCCCCGTTCAACATGGCTCTGGCTGGCACCGAGTTCCGAGCTGCTCCTTCGGAGCCTATGCCACTCGAATACCAGTTATATCACTATATATGCTACAAATTAACACGCTAGCTAACCCGATACCCTTAGGTCCGTCGCAGCCGTCCAGGACTGGGTCAACGCCCGGCAGGCGCGAAAGCCCACATCCTCTGCACAGAACCCAATGAGTTCTTCATCAAACTCACGATCAGGGTCGAGTCGTGCTGTCTCGAGTGCGCGCTCGACTCCTGTTGCCACTTCTGGTGGCGCGTCCGTAGGGGGTCTATCCCCAATCCTCGAGAGTGCTCAGCCTCTCGAGGTTGACCAGATGACCGGTGGCGTCTCTTTGCCCACCGCCGGCCAGAAAGTAAAGGTGAGCAAACAAGCCACAACCTTTGTCGCAACGAGATGGCTAAGCCACATTTGATCAGGCAAAGAGAATGACCTCGAGTCAAACCGAGAAATTGGGGAAATGGTATGCTCAGATTGTTGGGAGCGAGCAGAGGCTCCCCTCCCCTGAGGAATGGGCGGCGATCAGCGCGATCGTCAACAAGTACGTATGGCTCTCCTGAGAAAAGGATAAAATTGACCTGATTCTTCTTCTAGATCCGTAGACAAAGTCCAGCGAAACTGCAAGCGCAATGGGCACGTCTACATTGCGGACTATAGTCCGCCTGCGACGCTGGTGACCCGCCGGTCGCAAGGAGTTATCGGGGTAGATGTGACCACGTTCGCTTCAACCACGACGACGGTGACAAGGAGCTCGGCGGCGGCTCCTGCCACATCGTCGTCTGCTGAGAGCGGAGGTAAAGTGGTGCGCAAACAAACCACGCCGTCGCGCGTAGCTCCATACTCGACGGATCCTACGACACGCAAGAAGTCGACAAAGAAATACGCAACGAGCAAGACGAAGAAGAACTCGGCTGTCACCGATGCGACGCCTCTCCCGAAACCCAGGAAAGCCAAGGCAGTCATTCTCGTCGTTCACACACCTCCCTCCTCATCTACACCACACACTTCGTCCGTCGACCTTGCGCATGAAGAGTACCACGCCGCCGGCTTCGGCCCTCATCCAACCCCTCAATCGAGCCGCGAACCAAATTCACGCCCACCTTCCAGTCTCCCCATTCCTCCTCGCATCTCATACGCTCCTATTCCAGCATCTCTCCCCTTCTTACCGCGCCCAGCCCCTCAGTATATCCCGCCGCAGGTCGAAGACATCAGCGTCCTCCGCACGACTCACTGCCCGCGAGTACGACATGGCGCTCATCCTCGCGTCAATGGCCGGCAAGACGACATTCTCGACGTCGAGCATCCGAGACACGCTCTCTCCACCAACGTCGAGCAAGAAGGGTAACACCTCTCGACCAGTCCGCATCACGGGCTTGATCCCTTCGAAGCCAACCGTGTCCGACGCCGACATCTGGAGTTACCGCCTCAGCCACCCATAGAGCGTCTGGTTATTACCTCGAGCCACTCGACGTTGCCCACCTCTCATGCGCCTCTCCAGAGTAGGCGAGCACCGCGTCCCACCAGATCAACGCAGAGTTCCTCACCTCGTCGTCCATCACTCGCGCTTAGCGCCACGATGGATTTGACTACCGAGGAAATTTCAATGATATGGCGTGGATTGCACTGGCTGGTATTGGAGGCGTGGTAGGGCCGCTCGCAGAGGAGTCGTCGATTCAAAGACGACCGCCCAATGCACGATACGATATGACATAACATGACCCGACCAAGACACGTTTCCTCTGTTCCGTTTCTCTGTTCTCGTTTGCTTCTCTTTGGATTCGAATTAGACCTATCCATTTGCTAACGCCGCCTTCTCTCTCGCCTCTTATGCTTTTCCCTGTTCCTCAGTCTGCCATACACCTACTCGCTTGCTAATTTCATGTACTAGTCGCCTCTCGATTGTATTTCGTCACATGCTCGCGTAAATCAAGATACTCGTTAGTCTCAGTCGTCTTCGTGAACTAGGATTTGAAAAGATGGATAGTCGTAAATGCTAATGTTATAAGGGCAGTATAATCTACCAAGGACAACGGGGGAGACGATAACAAATGATACGACAAAGCTGACAAGACGAGATCGAATAGATACCCAGTCCATAAGATCCAATCCAAAGAAGACTGCCTAGACCCCAGCTGTATTCTATAGGGGCCCACGTAGCGACAATCTTCAGTGTTTTTGTTGCTTGGGGACGAAGTGACGATGACGATGGACACAACAGACGAGACGAGTACGGTCGCACTTCTAAGTCGCCGAGACGCTGATTACTGTATATTATTTGCACGTGTAGGGGCATTCTAGAATCCCCAGGAGTGTGTCCAGCTAGAGCAGTGTCAGTAGAGGCGAAAAGCAAGATTGGGAGACGGACTAGGTGATCGTCCACGCTTCAGGGAAGGCGTAGTGGCACCTCGTTTCGTTGAAAAAGGGACTATGCGGACGGCATAGGCACTGAAAACTACATTAGATGTCATACCGAGGGAAGAAATGGGACGTACGTGGTGGAAGAGAGGCGAGTCGTACCAGCTAAAGGGATAAATCTATGAAGACGGTGAGAAATATGAAAAGTAACAGGTGGAGACGGACCCTTTCGTTTGGCAGGACGCGGACTTCTGCAAATGTGTTGTTGCCTTCTCGCTGCTCAGTCTCCTTGAGCCACTTTCGGAGAGACGTTCGAAGAGCGACCGGTCCGGTGAGCCCCTCAGGCTGAGCATTATACTCGTCATCAAGTTGATGTTCCTTGACAAAGTCCAGCGGTATCTTCCAGAACGGGTGGCCCGGCGTCGATGAAATCATGAATGCGTTGGGAATAGAATGTGCGTAATTGTCGTCTCCCATGTGACCAAGATAGATGATCGGGATTGGTGGCGAAGTGTTGTGTGTAAGAATGGGGATGCTTTCTTGGAGGCGCGTGAGGGGAACAAGGTCGAGGTCGGCATAGACGCCCCCGAATTTGTGCATGTACATGTTTCGAACCTATTTTGGGATGAATAAAGAACTATGGATCAGAAAAAGGTGGCACCCACCATGTCGGCCCGATAAATTTCTCGTGGAAGGAGATCGTAAGACTTGAGATAGTCGGGGAAGTACTTTTGGACAAGTTTCCTGTTATCCGCATCGGTCCACAAGACGTATCTGCAACAGGGTCAATCGACTTGCCAAGCGGCTGGATGCGAGCGAAATAGGAAACCGGGTTTCCCTGAAATAAAGTAAGGGGACGTACAGCCAAGTCTCATCGAGCATCGTCTGCCACAGTTTACTCCACCGTTGAAAACGATCCGGGAGCATGGTCGTCTTCCAACTCTGGTGCAAAATCCGTGGTGCGAGGTGTTCTCCCTTTTCCACGCGCTCCATGAGCTCGTCGGGCGTAATAATCTTTGCCCATTTCGCTGGATCTGTCCACGCTGGTGGATGTTTTGATCCTCCGCTGGCACCAGCGACCGCCGTGGTGACCGACTGCAACGAAGTAATCTCCTCCAGGGACGGAATGTGCGCCTCTTCAATCGCCTGTTCACATTTTTCAAACGGATCCAAGTCCTTGACGGGCTCTGGTGTCGGCGGGGCCTTGAACGCGTCCTTGGTGAACCACCAGAGAAAGAGGAGGCCAAAGGCCGGTAGGAAACACCATTTGACTAGTTTCCTTGATCGAGCGGTAGACTTTTGCTGGAATTTGGGACCCGTTGGCAGCTCGCTGTACTCTCCGTTTGTGAATGGGAGCCGACTAGGGCGGATATAGGCTCCAATCGAGGCGCTCATCGTATCCAGCGCGGCAAAAAGTCCGTTTTGCATCAAATTATTTTCAACGTCTTTTGTAGAATTTTATGCGCGACGCGGCGCTCGTCGTGGTCGAATGTGAACTTTGGGTAATTCAGTCGGCCCAGACAAGCCGCCATGAGCTGGCGTTCCCAACGATGCCGAGCGTCCGTCAGACGTCGGGTTTCAAACAATGTAGGTGGTCTAATATCTGCCACTTTCTCATTACAGCAGTTTTAAGAGTCTGGGCATCCTTTCTCGTAAGAGATTGTATTCCAGTAGCGAACACATGCTAGGCTCAGGCTAGGACTTGGATTGCATACACATTCCTCCAATCCTTTCAGAGAGCATCGTCGAGTTTGGATAAATCCACAAGCGCGGATAGTAAAATCTCGCCCGAGCCTCTTCATCCTAAACATTCATTAATAAGAGAATGATTCAACGTCCAGGTCCTCTTACCTTTGGCACGAGGCCCAGAAAGACTTTGACAAGTTCCCTTGTACCTGCGCCCAAGTCAAGCGACTCGCCTTCGACAGGAAGCGTTGATTCGTGTGCATACTCTGTCAGATGATTAGCCACAGAGCTCATGAGGATCGTCGTCAGCGTACCCGCTTCCTTTGTTTGATCCCTTCAATAGAGTGATAAGCTTTGACACCATGACGAAACAGAGTCACATACCAAACCCAAGATGTTCGTATGCGCTGTGACTTCATAACGCACTCACTAAAACCCCTTGGTAGTATGCCATCCTTGACTCTGTGCAACTCTCCGGCCAACGTCACGACTCCAACCCATCCCTTTGTAACACCGAGACCGTATACGTGCGTAGTGCGCATAACAGCATCTCCCAGAGAAACAAAGTTGGTAGGCAGTCCATTTGGTGATTCGTGATACTTGGTGTAGACACTCGTTGCTATCCAAATTGTGAATCGGTAACGGCAAGAAGAGGCGAGACATACGAAGTTTGTATTCCTCGTAGTGCGCGCGAGACCATCCGCCGTCTTTGGAGAGAAAGTCGACGAGGTCGCAATACCAGTCGTTCATGGGCTTGCCGTCAAATGTCCTCATCGTTCGATAAAACTCCTTGAGATCTTCTGGAGTACGTGGTTGTTCCGCCGCCGTCATGCCGAAACCTCCAAATCCGAGAGTGACTACAATGATGAGCTCTCATAACTAATAGACAGCGGAAACTCACCAACTCCCCCTTCCCCTTTACATGCCGTGAGTACACGTCCTCCCAGACTAGGATCCTCCCAAGCAAAGATGAAGCTCTCGTACTCCCGCAAGTGGCCCGGAATAGGCAGGTTTTCCATCTGCTCCGGTGTCAAGTGAAACCATACTGTAAATGATGAACACAAGCCGGCCGTGGGATAGGATTTCTCACCTGTTACAGAACGTATCGCTGGATCATAAGACTCTTGTGGAATCCGACCGTACCCCAAATGTTCTAACCACTTGACTCCAGATTGCGAGTGTCCAGTGCAATCTACGACCAAGGCGGCGTCCATCTCCTGTATACCTTTCTCGCCCTTGGTCGTGTACAGTACTCTGTCAACTCGCCCGGGGTTCGCACTAGCGAGAGAAGTCACAATTCCATTGATGGTAGTGATACTGGGCGACGCCGCTGATATTTCCCGGCGAAGGAATGGTTCAAAATTGGCCCGCGAGATCCAAAGCGTGTCGGGTAAATCCTGTTTAGGCAAGTTATGATGCCTTGGTAGTCCCTTTCCTCCAAGGTATGTCGAGTTGGGGTAAGGGAGATGTACTCCCGACCACCAGGCGTTGAAAATCCAAGGCTTGATTCGTCCTCCTGCGGCCTTGAACTTTTGATCAAAATTGGATATTAGGCGACGAAGAGCCAATAATCCAAAGGGTTGATACACTAAACCATGGATGAGTACAAGTGACCCCAAAGTCGAATTGTACACACGATGAACTTCGAACATTTGCGGCACCCGTGGGCGGCGAGTGACAAACGTCTTGTTTCCGTGAGCATCTATTTTGTCAGATGAAGCAGGAAAGCTTGTATCGGCACCATCATCTGCTTCAATGATGACTACTTTTTCGAAATGGTCCGCGCAGACGCGCGCCGCTAGGAGTCCTGTCATGCTATACTCGTTTTGAAATGGTTAAAGAAGTTGATTTGAAGGCTGACCTTCCACCCACGATGACCGCTGTCCCTCTAAGTTTTGCCCGCCATGTTCTCTTTCTTCCTAGTACATCCAGGTCATCCATTGCAGTATAGACGGCGAATTCGTGAGCATCTTTTGATCTTTTCCATCCATTGTATATGGCATATGCGGAAGCCAGCCCTACCGCTGTCAGTGCGAAGTCAGTATAACTGTTGACATTTGTCCAGTTTCTGAATTCGACAAGGAATTCCAGCATTGTGGTTGGAGTTAAAGACGCGCAGGCAAGTGGGGCAAGAAGTTGCTTTACAAACACCACCGTGCGCGCTTATCCAATTCGAAGTGAGCGTTCCGATCAATCGGAATTATGGCAGACAGTGATCAGAGCGAGGTTGGGTGGCCATGAGAACGTTCAAAGATAAGGCCAGGTTCAAGTGGCTGAGAGTAACGACGGACTGAGATGACAAAGGCGCATAGAATATGATCCAATCTAGTTAAAGATACTATATCACAAGTAATGAACAATGCATGTGTACTGGGCAGCTTTGGAACGATTCGTGTATTATATCCACTCCTGGTCACAGAAGTGGTTTGTACAGCAGCAGTCAGATAAGATCAGGATATAGAGCAAGGCGAGGCGACGAGCGCATGCAGAGTTGAGATGGGGATCGAGCGATAAAGAGCAGAAGCGAAAGCAAGAGCGTGCGGAAGAGTACCTACAGATGCAAGGCGGGTAATACCCTACCCGCTCGGGGCCACCCCTCGAGCCTCAGAACGTTTCCACTTTGCCGTCTGGCCATACGACCTCGCACGTCTCCAACGCCGTCCAGAATCGCTTGCGGGTCGTGGCCAGCTTTGTCATCGCCTTTGCAAGTGTTTTTGCACTATCTGCATCATTTGGTTCGCTGGCGGCTCCGCCGGCTCCCCCTGCTGATGTGGGTGTGGGTTCAGGTGGGTCCAAGTCGATTCTCCCGGTGGTTTGGTCCGAATTCTTTTTCGCCTTTTTCTTCACATCCTCCACCTCTCCGGTGCAGTCCACCTTGAAGATGCGGAGGTCGGGTGCCGTAATCGAGCTCACAACGCGGCCTGTAATTTTGCCAATCGCGAGCTCTTCAAAGATCTTGAGACCCACACGCTTCGTCAATCGTAGACTCAGCACACGAAGTGCAGGCAACGCTTTGATGATCCGCACAACTGCCTTGTCTGTGAGGTCTGCGCCAAAGTGGAACTCGCGAAGTGTCTTGAAATGCGACACTCGAGTCGCAGTCACAGCGTTTGAGACCAAATGGGGGTTCTCTGTCTCTGTTGGCGTGTCCGCCTTCGAACCAGCGGCGTCCTCGGGTCTTTTCTGCTTGAGGTCGTTAGGGAAGAAAAAGGGTTCCAGGTCGGCTTCGCAGCGGATCTTTGGTTTGCACTCCGTTGTCAGATGAAGTTTCTCGAGGACTGGCATCTGGAAATGCGCTAATGGCGCGCAATGGGGCGAGCGGACCTTGAGCGATTTGAGGGATGGCAAGGGAACCACAAAGTCTGGGTGGGCGTATTGCGCGGCAATGTCGGCGTTGTTGGCGCCTGTCATGCCAAACGCCGCAGTCGATTGGGTGTGGTACCGAGTCCCGGCGGTAATCTCCAGTGATTGCAGGACGGGAATGTGAGGCGAGAAAGAATCGAAAAGTCGTCGACCACGATCGAAAGCGATGTTAGCCTCAAGAAATTGACGTTGAGCGTTCCGCGATTGGGCCACGCCTCGGGGACATCTTCCAGAACAAACCATGTAAGCAAATATTGAAAGAGAGAAGATATACGCTTACCATCCCTGGTTTTCCATCTCTGTGTAGGAGAATAATCACTGCCCAACATCAGCTCCTCAACTTCTACATCGCCAACGAGAAGTCGATTGAGGTCGGTGACCGTGTCGAGTTGCAGGTATTTGACCTTGGACCATAATTTCCGTTCGTCAACGAGCTGAGTCGGAAGGCCCGAGATGTAGAGGCGGACCGCACCCAAACCGGGATGGTCGGAACTGTCGCATGCCTTTGTAACCAGCTGTATAATTGGCCAGTTTGGTAGCACATTGTAGTCGTGCAGCGATAGACTCCGGATCCGGGTGAGCGGCCCCTTGAAGATGTCGGCGGCGCCGAGCATGGCAGTTTCATACGAGGAGAATCCACCGACAGTGTTATACCCAGTCGCTGGGTATCCCACTGGCCCTGGGAACCCGATCGTGAGAGGAGTGGGCAGAGCATGAGGTGAGGACGGGACGCTGTAGGACTGAGCGCATGAGGCTGGTAATTGAAGTGTAGACAGGTACTGCCCTCTCGAAGAGTCGAGCTCGAGGTGACTGATACGGGTGCAGACTGGAGGTGTGAAGAGCATATACAGCATCTGAATCGATGGAAGAGGGAGGTCGCTGAGGTCGAACCGATGAAGTTGCGCAAAAGCGAGAGTGACATCCAATGGGGACACTCCAGATCTTTGGAGGATGATTCTGAGTTGTGTGGGATTTCCGCAGACTTGCGTTGCGCTCCATAATGAGGGAAGCTGGCGTTGAGGGCCCGAGGGCTGAACGAGGGGCCCGACGCCCTTGGAGTTGCTGGCACCCAATACTTGTCGTTTAGAGGTCCAGAAACCGATGGATCTGTCGGTGACCAACAACGTCCGCCAGAGCCGTGGGGTAGAAAGAACCGTCGTGTACCAGAATCGGCATACGAAAGCTAGCGTCCACGGACTTCCACCGACTCCTACTTCGCCTTCTCCATTGACAAACTCGTCGAAGATGATGCCAAGGACCTCTGCGGGTAGCCGTTCGAAGACAATCGCACCCTTCTTGTTCTTTTCTCGGGTTTCGAGATTGCGAACCTCCCTCATGATTAATTCCTTTCTCTGCTTAAAGCTGTACTGCGTCTTCTTCACAGCGTCGTCGGTGACCTTGTCTAGCTGCTGAATTTGAGCGACTAGAGAGGCTCGAGTTGTTTCATATCTGTTTTTGAGTCCGTTGAGAAGTTCTGTGTGCTCCTGCTTGAGCCTGTCAATCTCCGAGTAGAGGTGCTGCATCTCCAGTGTTGGCGACGGCAGGTCGCGACCATCGGATTGTGAGCCCATTGAGCAAGAACTGAGGGGCTATAGTGAAATGGTGTTTGGTGGATGCGGTTGGATGCCTAAGCTAGGGTTTTGTCAGGGATCCGCAAAGTGACGGTGCGCTGGAACGCTCACAGGATGCTTCCTGGTTCGAAGTCTCGCGTAAGCACTGTTATGAGTGTACAAAAAGTGCTCCGCGTTGCCAACTAATTTTTGGAATTTTATTTGGCGAAATGGAAAGTCGGGGCAGAGAGCGAGTCGTGCGCCTTTTAACGTTGGCGGCAGTCTGACTCGGGATTTTCTCGATGTTCTGGGCTCCGAGCGATCACAGGTGATGATATCAGGGCAACATGGCGACCACGCTCCCGTGCGGCCTCGATAGGGGCCAGTATCCGGAAAGCCTCCACAAGGCCCGCGACTGATTTGTTTCTGGAAAAATACTCACCGACTAAAAAAGGGCGGGAATGTTAGATGATATCACTTCAAATGCGCCTACCGACCGTAGTTGAGCTGAGATGGGTGCGCAAGTAAGCCCTCACCTCCCTTGGCCAGCTTCGAGATAATCGCGGCCCAGGAATACTCGAGACCTCCACTCATCCATACGGGCGGTTCAGGAGCCGTATTGTTGTCTTATCTCGCCTTCAGTGAGACTGCTGGTAGACGGCCACTGCGAGTGCGCTCAGCGCCCAGTCGAGTCCTATTACCCGTTGCTATTGATTTTCTGTTACGTATGATGACAGTCACGGTACCAATCCTAATCAAGAGAAGAGAGCGGACGCTGGTTAAGGATGAGGGGGGACGGTCACCTGCGCCGGCGTCCGGGAGGTGACCTCGGATTATTCCGAATAAAGAAACTTTCCCACTAGCATCGTATGTCAAGTCATGGGTCATGCGGTCATGGCAGGCGGCAAACGCGTTGGATCCAGCTTTGCAATCCAGGTTTGGAGTTCCTTATCGTTTGGCGCCGCGAAGACATGAGAATTCGAAGAGGTAAAGAGGGTGAAGATGTGCGGTTTCTGTCGACAAGATTAGATACCCTCACAATCGATGAGGGCGTGACCTACTCCAAGCAAAGTTTCCATATGGGTACTGTGTTCGACCTTGACACCGGTCAGGCTGATAATGCCGACTTCGTCTAGCTCGTTAGAGTGTTGGTATATGTACAAGTGAGGTCTGCAAAGGCTCGTCAGCTCGACGATATCCTTCCTTAAATTCGGCCTACCTTCGCAAAACGAACCAAAGCTTCTTCCATGTATTCTCTCCTGCATCGGTGAGGAGGAGCAAGGAGCCGGACCGAGTAGACATATCCCTGCAAGGGCCGTCAGTCCTATTCAGCGGCTACCGCAAAGCACTTACGATCTCGGCATCAACTTTGATTGTCCGACTAATTTAAGTGGTTGTGGAGGTTGTAGCATGCTTGTCGTAGGACCGGTTGTTTCGTCTTCTTCTGGATCCTGGCTCAACACGATCTGAAAACGAGAATGAATCAAATATGCACGTTTGGGTAGGCCACGTACCCTGCCCTCGTGACCAAACTTCTTCTGCCAAAGCTCCAGGGATTCTTTGAGCAGCGCAGCGGCATCCTTCGAGCCAGAGTACGGTGCCGGAGGTGATGCCGCAAGAATGACTTTGATCGCCTGAACGTCGGCAGAACGCTTTTCGGTTGCGATAAGCCGCTCGTAATCTTCGACCACGGAGATTCCACGCGGCTTCCATGTTCCCAATGAATCCTCGCCTCGCACATACTTTTCGGACGTGTCCAGTCGCCACAAATCTTTGGCAGACCTCGTCAACGGCGGGGTAAGCTTGACTCGGAAGACAGAGCTCGACTTGCTCAGTCTCTTAGTAGAGCTGAACATGGACACAAAGCGCGAAGGGGTTCCAGCGTCTCGAGCTTGCATAGTGACGGCCATGTCCATTGAAAATAGAACCGGATCCACGCATGTATCAATATCCACGGACCATTGGATCTGAAGGAGAATTCGCTGTCCGTTTGCCGTGACGCGGTTGAGTAAAGATGACTCGTGCACTGACGAATCCCAAGGTGCATCCACGGAGAGCGTTCCGGTGCCGTCTGGTTTAAATTCGACGTTTTGTTGTTTGCCGAGTTTGACTTCAAACATGTCTTTGGACTCTGACTCGTGCGCCAGCCCTTTGGCATCTAGTAACCGCACATTCCCGACCTTGATCTTGGTGACTGCAACCCAGGGAAGCTGCTTTCCAGCGTTACACCAGAGGTTCAGATTGAGTTTTCTCTGCAGACCCTGATGCAGCGAGAATGACCCTGGATCCAGCGGGCCATGAGAGAGCACCGGTACAGGCTTGTACTGGCCGTCGGATCCGAGTTCGCAGATGCTCAGCCAAGCAATTACGTCATGTGCTTGTTCCACGACAAAGTCGTTCTCGGAACGGCGCATAGAAGGCAGGTTTGTGCTTGACCCACTAGAGCTGGGGGCTCGAGCAAGTTGCGGCTTTGGAAGGATATATCTCTGCTCCCGCATCTCATCCCAGCGTTCCATTCGTTCGAGGTATGTAGGTTGGAGTGCGGCGAAGAATTCTATTGGCGCATACCCCTCGCGCATGTGCGCCAGGATCTTCGAGGTGACAGCAAGCTGAAACGTGCGCCTGAACTTGAGTTCAGACGAGCCAGATTTGGTGAGGTCGACTACAGGGGAGTGAAACACCTCTTGGGATCGGAGGCTAGGACCAGCAAGGGATGCGAGCCGGATTTGGAGATGAACCGACGAGAAATCATTCGACCCGAGTCCCTTGACCTGGTCAACGGAGAGCAAAAAGTTGACTTTACATCCCGGCTGCAGCTGATTGTTGATTGGCGAAGGGGCTCTCGTCGAGGGCCGTGTCGATGACGCAGAGCCAGTTCCACGTTTGACCGGTGCCGTCACGCTGGCCACCTTCAAATCGACTCGACATGAGCCAATAGCTTCCGCGGTATACCGGCAAAAGATGGGGACAGTCGAGGTTGCCGAGAGCTTCCTAGCCAGCGGCGCAAGTGAGATGAGGGCGTTTCCTATGAAGGAATACTCCGGGGCAGGAGAGTCGTAGAATGGTTGAGCTGAGGAGAAATGCTGAGAGTACTGAGGTCGGTCAATGTATGTCGTCAGGTTCCGCATCTTTTGGAGCTGTTGCTGAAGCCTATCTAGCGACCACACGTAGATCGCATTGTGCGCCTTGTCAACCACTTTGACGCCAACAGACGGTTGTGTGGCTGACGCCAGGACTGGGTCTGCGACGTCTCCAAATTCATCCAAGCCGGCAATGGTGTCCAAAGCCGATACTGGGGCAGCTAATGACCCGCCAGCCGCAATAGTAAAATTGTACGTGACTTCTTTATCAAGCTCTTTGCTGTATGCAGTATTAGTGAAATGGTTAAGTGAGATCCCAGACACACCTGATAACGTTGACCTCCTTGACGACGACAGCGTTTGAGAGAACGGTTTCCGCCATCGAAAATGCGCGATGAGCCCTCCACTTGTCCAGCACCTTGCGAATGAGTCGGAGCTGCTTGGCGGAATATAAGACCGGTTCGAAAGGCACAAAGTCCTCATCAATCTTGCCTCTGCCGCGCATCTCGAGAAGTCGCTTCATCTGGGCCTGAACGACCACAAGCTGCTTTTCCATATGATCCTTTTCGACTTTGAGGTCCTCCGCTTCAACACTTGGTCCTTCCCCGAGGGCGTTCAAACGGTTCTCAAACTCTATGCGCTGCGCTTCAAGTTGACCTTGCATCTCTTTGATCTGCGCAGAGGCAGCACCAGTGACAGAACTCCCCTCGTCGTACATTGTCCCATTCTGATTATCAACCACCGACGTGTCGTCCGTGAACGCGTCGTAGTTTTGAACAGGCCTGCCGGCCTCGCTCCACATGTCATCGAGTTGGCTAAAGCTTGCGCTACTTTCCGGTCGACTGCCCTCTAGCCGACGTCCTCGCTGTGATTTTACTTTCGTAATCTTTTCATACAGCGAGTCGAGCTGGTCGTCGGGCATGCTGTCAGGGTCGAGGCCAGCCAAACGGAGCGCTGCTTCGCGTTTTGCATAGTTCCAATCAACGTCGGCTGCACTCGACGCAGGAGAGTCGGGTCGTGTTATAGGTGTAGCGCCACCGGAGACATCTTTGTCAACTCCTTCTGTCAGAGCGAGGGAAAGGCGTTGCCGATCTCGCTGCTTCCGAACCTCCTCTGGGTTGTTGAAGCGAAAACGTGATGCTCGCCTATTCAAAGATGAGCACGCGAACTTCGTAAATGGAAATTCATACCTAGAATGATTCGGAAACCAGATTTGAGCTTATAAGGCTGATCTGGAGCGATTTGTTTGCCATTGAGGAACTGTGATCCCTGTTAGTTGGCCGTGGCATGTAGTCTCATTCGACTCACAGTGATGCTTCCGGATGAAGCTTGAAGTGTCACGACGCCATTCTCGTTGTCAAAATAACAATGCTCCTCTAGAATGTTCTCCCCACTGAGACGAATGGCAGCTGGCTTGTTGCTGTCTAAACGTCCAACCTGCATATTCGGTCAAGGTCATGGCATCTCATGCTTCTTCACGACGTACGACCGTGCGTCCCATTTTGAGCTGATAAACGAGACATTCACTCATGAGAGGGTCTACGCAACGTCAGAGGTCGCCACAACAGAGCACGAAACTCACCCTCATTCTGGAAAAGGAGCGTCTCTGATTAGCCGAGCTTTTGCTTTCTCGATCCTGTACGTACCAGATTGACCAAATGTGGCATCTACGTGAAGTATTAAGCGGTAATTCCCGACCCATGAGATTAAAACGTACCTTCTTGGGCGCATGCACACCCACCATATTCTTCTCAACCGTGATCCCCAACTCTTCGAGCGCCTTTTCCCGCTCCTTGTGTACCTCTTGCGTCTTCTGCAACTTCTCCTCCCAAGTCTCATTCAAGCTCTGCATAAGCTTTTCGCTACTCTCAAGTTGCTCCTGTAACTCTGCCTTTGTCACGGTCTTGACTGTACCATCCTTGGCCTTGTACCGCACGACCTGCTTTCAGGAGGCACGCTCGGATCGTACGTCTCCTCAGCGATCCCACCACCGCCCGCGACCCTCGCTCGGAGCATCTCGAGTTCCTCCTTGAGCTCCCTGACGAGCTTGGCATTCGGATCCTCGTTGACGACGGCCTTGTTCTTAATCTTCTTTGCTTGATCCGCATACCGAAGCGTGCTGAGCGTCTCTTCGTAGTCGGCAGGAGAGATGGCGGCAATCATGGCCGTCTTGCTGTTTCCACCAAGACTGTCTTTGAGCAGCCACGTAAGGACTGAGTCTCGATAGGGTACGAATTCTTCCGCCTTTTTCTTCCCTTTTGACTTGCCCTCGGCTTGAGACGCCATGGCGAGAGAAGAAATGACTTTGCCCAGCGTCGTGAGAGATTTGTTGATATTAGCTCCTTCCTTGAGACGTTGACCTGTAGCACCAGTAGAATTGGCTCGTTCAGAGCCTGCAAGATCTATCAAGCTGCACTCGTTAGCCCACCGCACGATACGAAAGGGGTCAGAACTAACTTGATTCTCGACACTTTCTCCGTATCCAGATTCGTTCCTTCGTCATGTCGTTTCATAGTGAGCAATAAGGTAAACACGGAGTGGGACCTCGAGGATCTATTTGGAAAGGTGAGATGGGGCAACTTTTGTAGTTGACGCCATACGTTTCGTTCATGTTGGTTGCAGCCACCGTACGCGCTTTGTTGCCTTCGTCCATGAGAGTAATCATCTCGTCATAGGTGCCCACCAGCAGCTTTGACAGATCCTCGACATATGGACCAAGACTAGATTAACATCAGCCCAGAACAGCAAGAGGAGAATGTGCGCACCTAGGGTGTTCTCGAACTTTCAAGTTTCCGGTATTCTTGGGGTTCAAAAGGTCACGAACTTTCTCGTTGTAAATCTACAAGAACCTTAGAAAGGACTCCGGACGGCCAAACGTTGCATACCTCGATATATGATACTTCGACTCGAAAGTCGACGTTGGGATCCGAAGCTCGCTTTTCGTCCAGTCGACGGAAGAGCTCCTCGCAAGTGAGTGGTATAATGCCCTTGTCAGCGCCGTCTGCAACACCGTCAGCACGAAATATAAAAGATGATTTGAACTCACAGCCCATCATACTGTACGACTTTCCCGAGCCTAGAGGGTGTCATTTAGTTGACCTTGCTAGTAGCATCCACCCACCTGTCTGTCCGTCTGCAGCGTGTCAGAATATAGTAGCTGATTGAGTGAGTACTTACATGCCATGATACATGCATTAAACCCGTTGAACGCATGATCCAGGAGCTCTCTCCCCAAGTCTTCGTACAGAGTCTACGGTAGGTTTAGCCACGGAACTGTGACAGAGAAGGAATGGACCTGTTGCGAGCAATAATCTGGATCGCTTCTATCACCTGCACTCCAGTAAGACTTGTCGAAAGTAAACGTCTGCGGCTTCTTCTCCGTAGCACGACTGCCGGCTCCGCCTTTGCTCGATCCTAGAGCGTTTCCAGTTAGAAAGGAAACTATACGAATCGATATCCTACCTCCAGCCGCGTTTCCCTCTTCCTGAGGCGGAGAGAGGATCGTTTGGTTGCCGACCATCTTTATGAGTCCCTTCGCTCCCCTCGCCAGCTCTTAGAGGTTATGAAGTGAATACACAAAGACGCCATTCATGCAACAGGTAAAGATGAGAATGAGCAAATACACTCTCCACGCAATTTGCAAGCCAACGTACCACGACTGTTGAGAGGGCGACACCGGACGACGACCTTGATATTCGTATCCCCCATCTTCGCACTTTTCTACACGTTGTACACCAATTTCAGCAGATTGACGGCCTCCGTAGGTTGTACTGGGCCAGTGGTTACAGTATACGAGCGCGATTTCACGAGGGGTATGCCACTACGCTCGGGATACGGGATATATATGTCGCCGAAACCAGTTAAATCGCTGTTTTCGAACAGAATAACGTCGTTATAGGAGCAGAATAGCGCGACAGACGCGTTGAACTGGCTCAGTTGGGGGCACGCGGTTTGCTCGATGGGCTGGTGGAGGCTGTTGTTTGTATAATACGAGTGATAAAATAGCGCCGTTACGCCGCGTCGTGGCCACGTTTCAGTGCGGCAAGGGAGAAAAACGCTGGACGGCCAAAATGGGAAGGGACAAGAGGCGACGGGAAGGTAAACTAATGGGAGAGACTTAAATGCAACCATATAGCCATAACCAGTATATATAAGCCAGAATAACACAACTCATAACGAGTCTACTGCAGTCGTATGTCTCCCCCTTTGGCCACGCGCGTGTGAACTGCAAACTGAACAAGGAATCGTCAGCCAAGTCCCTAGAACGACAAGTAAAGAGCTATATTACACATACCTGGCAACCAGTAAAGGCAGTGACGACGGCATAGAAGATGGCGGCAGCGTAGCACACCCAAGCGACTTGCTTCGGGTTATTGGGATCCGTCTTTGCGCCAGTAAACACCTCCCACTGCATAGAGATACCATAGGTTGGATTGAGGAGAAGAGCAGGTTAGAAAACGGTGACACAGTGGACTAACTACGCACGTCGTGATCAAAACCATAGCCCATCTATCATTTCAGTTGCCAAGAGAAGCGTGGTTAGTGCGAGTAGACACGGTGGGAGTGGACCTCGGACGTACAACTACAGCAAACGGCGCGTGTTAGCTTAGAGGTCCGAGCGGGAAAAACAGAAATACGTACCAGCTAGGATACATGTTGCAAAGAACCCAATAAATGACCACTGGACGGCATTCTCAATGGTTATCCACGGCTTGAGGCCCATTTCTACTTTGATGTGTACACTTCGAGCTTAACAAGCTTGTTCTATATCACGAAATGAAGTCGTTGAGTAGCCCTTGGTATGGCTAGACAGCCGTCGTTTTATCGTGGTCGAGTTCAAGTGTCGACTTGGACTCATCCTCATCATGAAGCAAACCCCGACGGTAAAACCAGCGCGTAGTAGCACTTCTGGAGTATCGAGAGTAAAGAACTGTGCAGAATGCCGTCGTCTAAAGGTGCCTCCCATACACGTCGTCGTCGGCTGCGGCTGACATTGTCTAGATTAAATGCTGCCGCAACGTACGTCGTCTGGGCTAGCATATGGTGATTTCATATCGTAATTTGTCTCAGGTTCCGTGTGAGAACTGTGTCAAATCCGGAAAGACGTCTATTTGCCCAGACGGAGCATTGGCACCCAAAGGACATCGGTAGGTTCACAACCAAGCAGAACCGGTCAGCCTGCTTACTCTTTACAGGCTCATTCTCTCCAATACTGAAGAGCTTCACAACAAGATTGACAATCTGACTGCTAGAATCCACGAGCTCGAGAATGCATTGGAAACGCTCCAGTCGTTGCACTATGACGAACCTCATCCACTGCTCAATGGAGCAATCGAACCACCCACAGCTGCATTTGGGTCGCTCAAGATACACGCAGATGGTGTCGCCAGATTCTATGGAGGAACGAGTACAATCGAATGGGCAAGTATCCAAGCGCTACCGTCACAGCGCCCTCTGACATTCTTGTATAGCTTATGACTGGCGATGAGGCTGAACCAGAAGTCATGGCACGGCACAAGGTGTTAAACGACGGCTCAAGCCCAGAGACAAACTCGAATGACAATAATCCAGAGTCATCGTCGTATTCTCGAAAGCCCATCCATTACATTCAGTTCCCGACTTGGCTCAGATTGTTGGTGACAGTCCACTGTTCTCCGATCCAGAGGCCATCGATATTCCCCATGTTTCGTCACTGATACTATCAGAGCTACCAGATAAAGAGACGGGCCTTCGACTTATCGACCAATATTACGAACGCACAGGTTGGGAGTATGTATTACTTTCTGTACTTCTCTTCAGAGCTCATTTCAGCATACAGGCTTTCCCCAATTCTACGAGGACGGCTGATGAAAGATTTTATCAAACCGTGCTATGACAGCGAGATGGAGATGACGGCAAAGTCGATCAGCTTTCACAAGCTTGCATTGCTGTACGCGCTATTCGCAAATGGCTCGTGAATCCTTGCATCTCCTATTCACTCGTTAACCGGCCTTGCAGCTATGCTTCACTCTCCTGAGCACCCACAGTACATGTATCTATCAAGCCGATACATGACTCTCTCACGAGCATGTCTGACAATCGACTCGCCGATATCGAATACTACCTCGACTTCGATTGATATTCTCCTACTTCACATCGCATATCTGTTTGCATGCGACGAACCGCATGCATATGCTCGCGCAGAGGCCCTGATTGGAGTTTGCATGAAGCTGGCTCATTCAGTGAGATTTTTTATTGGCATACGGATGTTTCTAACAGGACTTTAGATTGGTCTACAGTAAGTGAATGTGTGTGCGTGCTGGTCACCACCTCACTCTTACCAGCCGTGACCCAAGTCTATGGGGTCTATCCGCCGAGGAGAGTGCTCAGAGAAGACGTACAATGGTGGGCTATCTAAATACTGTCTATAAAGTCTTACAGTCCATAGTGGGAGCTTATTTGCATTGATCTTTGGGCGGTACGTGCACCCCTACGTGTAAAAGCCCTCATTCACAACGCCCGACAGGCTCTGTCCGCTGGACGACCGCCACTAACACTACGGCGGTATATTGACGTCAAGTTTCCTTTGGACCCTCCAGACGACAGCGACCCGAGCCCCAACTATACTCGAGGCAAACACTACTTTTCAGATGCCTGTCTTTGGCACGTCTTGGAACTTGGATTGGCACCAGCCAACACATCAACGTATTCGACTGTTCTCAAGTTGGACCAAAAGATTCGCAAGTATACTTTACCACAAGGTTTCAGTGTGGCAGAACCCACGAAGCCGATCGTGTGTATCGAAGAAGAGGAGAGAAACGTTGTCGATGCCGCTGAAAGTTTCCGTAAAGCGACGGTTAGCATCTTCAGGGAGATTGCCCTTTTGTGCTTGCACCGGTACGTTTGTTGTCGCACAAGGTACTGAACTGACTGAATTTAGATCCTACTTTGCATCTGCATTACTACTCCCTCCATTTCAACCCTTTAATTCACCATACGCTCCGTCATTCGCGTCGGCGTTTGCGTCGGCGTGTGCGATCTTGACGGCTGTACGGGATCTCTACTCACGGGAACCAATTCTCATCATGCGCTTCGCCTGGTTTTGGACATATGGTTTCACATGTGCTGTCATTCTTGGTGTGCTTGTTGCGAGAACACCAGATTGCGAGTTGGCTGAGCGCGCGTTGAATGAGTTTGGTATGGTATACCACATCGTCAAGTTTGATCTTAATCTCTCCCGTAGATCTTATATTGGAAGTCTTTCGTCGGGCACAAGCGAATCCTCGTGCGGGTAGAGGATTGGTACGTTGATTATAGGGCGTGAAACGTGGTCAAATCTGATTGATGCCTTCCAGCCGGCACTCATGCAGCTGAATAAACGCGCGCATGATGCTATGGATGCATATAGGCTGGGTACATGGACTCCACCGACAGCCACTGATTCTAAGTTGTACCATGGTCTCGGCGCAGCGGCGTCTATACTGCATTCTCAAGCTGCGAAGAATGGAACCATTCCTCCTGCAGGAGTGAATGCCATACTATCAACGGATACATCGCGACCTCTGGCTCATAAGCCATCTCAAATGACGCAGCATCCACCTATATCTAACGTACAGGAAACAGTATCCACTTCTTGGGACACGGCCACCCGTGCATCGAATCCGTCTACCATACTGAAATCCGCGGCTAGTAACGATCCTTTCAACACAAGTGACCGGTTCATGCAAGATATGGTCGATGCATCTTTCTTCCCTCCAACGCAAGATCCATTGAATGGAACCGGAAACTGGTCACTGAATCCACCAGAAGACCTCCCAACTGCCCAAGGCTTCGGGGATGGTTACGCAGACTATACTCAGCCATTTGCCGTCCCACCATTCAACTCTTCCGAGAACACGTCATTCTCAACGTCACTTGCAGGGGATTTCTTCACATCTGCCGCTAATCCTATGATCACTGGAAATTCTACCGAAGACAATCTCTCGCTATGGGATAGTCTACTACGAGAGTTTGGTGTAGCTAATCCTACCCAGTTTTGATTCTATACTTATATTAGTCACATTTATGACAAAGGTCATTGGTTGTGAGGCGAGCGACCAAACAAAACTTCTTTCTTAGACCCGGTGATGAGAGCAAAATCACATTACGATCAAGCTCAACAGTCTGATCATTTTGATGAGCCATCTTCTGCAATTCTGAGGGTCTCCATACAGGCTTATCGGCCGCTGTATGTGTCGAGGAAAGATTTTTTGTCGGAGTTGCATCGTTGTACGCGTTTTAGCATATGGTTCATGTGTATTGATTGATAAAGAACTTTTTCATACATAATTAATCATACTTGTCAACTAGTTTGTCTAAGCTTCGGCCCAGGTCACTTGAACCGTACCGCGTTGGCGAGAGGCGTCATGCGCCGTTATTCTCCGTTACCATGGACTATTCTTCATCTCCTTATTCTTATTATCACTCCTGTCGTGTCCAGTAGTCATCAAGGACCCAGCGAATCAAAAGCGCAACCTGGTGACGGACAGCAGCCGACACAGGCATCCTTCTCAACATCTCAACCAAAGGAAATGGCGAAGGAAAGGCTATTATTAAAGCCGCTAAAGGACGGAAAGATTGCTGCGCACTTTGAGTTTGATTATTTGGATGCCGAGGCCGTTCCGCGGGATCCGAGGACGTTGGGAGAAAGAGATGTTGGTAAGTCACTAAGGCATCTTGCTGTTTATCTCCTTACTTACGTTCCGTTTGTCATTGCTGGCAATGTCTTCACCTATAGCTCAACATTTCGACTCGTTCCCTCTCTCGCTCGGCCAAATTCTGCGAGAGTATGCAGTTGCAGAAATGCATCTGACTCTGAATAGCGGGCGTTGGCAATACGACACCTGGGGATATCCACAGAGTCCTGCCGTTGCCAGCGGTGCAGAGCTTTGGGTCTGGATGGCGGATGGTGGAGAGAAATCGTCAGTGATTGTTCAATATCTAAATATGTACAACTGATACAGCACTCAGGATCGAGGAACGGTGGAGCGGCTTGTCAAATGCGCTCGCAGGACTCTTTTGTGCGTCTCTTTCGGCACTTCCTACATCTCGAACCACTTCTCCTCGCTACGCATTCAGACCAGAAGGCCAACTCCCCTTTTACCCTTTCGATGAGCCCTCAGCCGCTGGGACGAACAAAACCCAAGACGGACTCGACTATGTCTTGCGACACGCCATCCTCCCATCCGAGAATATATGTACGGAGAACTTGACACCATTCATCAAGTTGCTCCCTTGCAAGTCGTATGCGGGTATTGCCGAACTACTCAACCCGCACAAACTCTTTGGAGGCTGGTGGTATGGGGTCGGTGTACATGCTACCTGGAATAACGAAATTAAAAACGTCGATAAATCAACGAGTCAAGCTGGTGTACGCCTCCAACTTACTGTAGGCGCAGTCCTTGACGGGTCGGCGGTGCATCAAGATTCGAAGCAGTGGAGTTTTCGTTCTCTGTTTGATCGAGAGATTCAGAGGACATGCGCAGTAACTGGACCAGGGGAGGTGCAAATAAGACAGCCATCAGAATCCGGGGGTTCGGATACTATTGTGCTGAGCCCGGCACCTGCAAACCGCATTGTGCGTCCATCAACCAGGAACAGAGAACAGGAGATTTGGGACGTCATCTTCGTCGGAGAGCACGGTCTTCGACTGACAGCGACCAGTCCCATATCATTGAACAGTACGTAATTTGCATGACCTTTGCCACGCTCTGACAGCTTCACAGGTGACTCCTCTTCCATTGGCGAGACTCCACTATCTATCAAGCGCTCTCTTCGTGGCTACGATCAAACTCGTGGTGGCTTTGCCATCTCTATCACGAATCGCCTGTACCATACGGTCGATGCGTGGTATGTCGAAAGCATACCCTGGATCATCAAGCCCTATCTTAGTAGCCTGCGAGTTGTGAGCGTTCAGTATCTGGATGCTTCCTCAGGCTCTGGTACCAGCGTACCGCTGCAAATTGATCCGTCCATCCTTGATCTCTCTCATATGAATTATATTCCTCCCGCTCCTGGACTTAATGCGCGCACAACCCCAGCACTCCTCGAAATACCGATATACCTCCCACCTCGCTCAACGATTCACATCTCACTCGAATTTGAGAAGATGTTCCTCAAGTATACTGAGCACCCACCGGATGCGCAGAGAGGCTGGGACCTACCAGGTGGCGTTCTCATACCCGTAGACGACGAAAGGCGTCTAGGATTACCGAGAATGTACACCCCACCACTTCTCGCGGACCTAGCCACGCCGGACTTTTCGATGCCATACAATGTGATCATTCTCAGTGGAGCGTTGATCGCGTTATTGTTTGGGATGACGTTCAACATGTTGACGAGGCGGTTCGTATTAGTCAAACCATGAATACATGCGGATCGTGATCACCAAAGCAATGGATATCCCGAGTACTGAGGCACGCCTTGATTATCTGGTCTGCTGCGGCATATAGCTTTGTGCCTACCCAGGTTTTTCTTGTAGAGTGACGTGCGACTTGTCCCAGTCTTAGCGAATGCGTTTCTGAGCAGTCACTATTATGCGACGTACCAATAGTCGCAGTCAACCTTGGGACGTTTGACATGAGCTGCGAGATACGACTTGCAATAGAAGCGCTCTTTGCTATATGACCATCAGTGGCATCTCAATGAGCACACATTTGCTACTCACCACATTTCTACGCCACAAGAGCCCCCACATATAAACGGTCTATGCTGGAAATGACTTCGAATATGGCCAATTGCACGGTCGCATCGAGAGTATGCCTTTACACATCCATCAAAGCGACAGGTATACTCGGATGTCGCCTCGTTATGGACCAGGAAGTTGCCAAAGATGGAGTTGCCCGCCTCATCGCGTGGTTCGGGCTCATTCGCGTGAAGCCACGCCTGCCCTTGAATACTCTTTTGAAGTTGAATCAATTCAGGAGTGGCTCCAACTGCTCCATCCAGTGACGGCGGTTGTGGACTGACACGATTGAAGAGCCAAGGAGGTGGGGAACATAAATTCGAAATGGCTTCTGCGAGCTCTTCCTTTGCGCGGGTTCTGGCGGCCATTAGTGCATCAGCCATCTCGTCGACTGCTGAAGGGTTGGGCCCCTGGAAAAGTTGGGCGAGGCCTTCCTCTCCGTAGATGCTAGTGGCCATAGGGTCATCGGCCATTTGATCTAGTGCTGTAGCGCATCCGTTGTATTGTGATCCAGAATAACCGGAGATGATTTGCGGATTTTGAGTTGATATTCTGTCGGAATCCGGTAGACTATTGACGCTCGACCCCAGAGAAGAGCATGGGGATGGAGCTGGCGACATGGGGAGGATGCTACTTCCGGAATTGTCGATAAATTCTCGGAATATCTGCCTTTTCGCTGCTGTGTTGTCCATTGCCACGACAAAGATGGCCTTCCCCACCGACAGAGCGGAGGGGAAGAGATGTGTATCTGGGTATGACAACGCTCTCGAGGTATCTACCGAGGATGAGCTGTCAGCACTGGACGGATGATATATTGGCCATAACGAACCAGTCTGCCCCAGGGTATCGACATTCGACTCAGACCTGCTATAGTGCAACCATGGTACCGATGTCTCCATTGCAACTCTGGCCTGTATGATTGCCCCCAGTGGAGTAGAAGCCAGGAGAGATTGCAGTCAAACGAAGATCAATGCCCTAGATAGCGAGTATAGTGTCTCCGTTTCGAGTGCACTTGGACGCCAAGTTGCAAGTGCAGACTTTGCGCCCAGCTCCATTATGTGGACAAATCCAGGAGACTGACACCCACTCTCCTCAATAGCCCACACAGAAGGCAGCCCTGAGTTTGAATAGGAGAATGCCATCGCTTGCCAGTAAGGCGCTGACACAACCCGCATATAAAACCAAACCGTCTACACGTTATCTGTCTCGGAGAATGACGCGTAGTCACCGCTCGAGTTTGCGGCGTGGGTCTGCCTCTCCGCTGAGAAAATGACATGGATCAACGTCTCTCGAACCAGTTCCTCTTAGCATGCCAGAAGTAATTGCCTTTGAAGCGTTCCTTCAACCAGGTAATGTCCGGGTGGAGGGGGCACGGCTGCTCGCTCGGACCCGAATCTGTGAGTACAATCACGGGCGCAAGTCTGCTAATCGTTCCAAGATCGCTCAAATATCATATAAACAGGCCTGAATATATAAAAGGGCATTATTTAGTCCGAGCAAGAGTTGTATCGTCCGCTCTCGTCATATATCACGTTCAGGGCACGTAGTTTCGTGTCTCTTCAAGTTTTGCGAGCATACCGGAAGCTGACTGCAGAGAATTAGTCTTGTCTCTTGGGCAGGCTCGACATACCAGGCAGGGCAGATGACTTTGCGACGGTTACGATGGGCCTGGAGATACTGCAAGGAGCAAAATCGTTCTGCACTGCACGAAGATCAGAGAAAGGTGACATTTTCAGCTGGGAATGTTACCAATTTCCAGCCAGACATCCTCCCGGACAGGCGAAAGGCAGATGCCCAAGATGGTGACCACGGATGTGCCCGAGAGCGCGATCTTGCCGGTCAAACACCTTGTGACAGTGATCGAATAGACAGCGGTACTGCCTCGTCTCGGCTGAGCGGTGTAGAAAGCGGAGGTACACCGACTGCTGGGAGTCGTTCTGAGGCTCGAGTTCGTCGGCATGGAACCACGGTGATGTGAGAACTACGTGCAGAAAGTTCCGTAGCTCCAGCTTGATTGGATCACGAAAGTTTGTCTCGAGGAGATGGATGCTATGGGCGGAAAGGGGAGTGGCTCGTAACTGCGGATCCGGATTGTGGAGCTCGAATGGCATGTTGAACGAGGATGTCGATGCGGAGCCAATTAGAGGAGTGTGCTGTATCATATTCGCGTGATACGCAGGCAATACCGCAGGTTCGGGTGGTCGAGGGTGGTTGTAAGTTTGAAGGGGTGGGACGAAGCCGCCTATGATATTGACACGGGAAGGTTCTGGGACATTTGGAACAAGATACTGAGGGATGTCCAAGATAAAGGGGGGAAATGGATATGAAGCTCCGACTTGTCGGTGGTCGCCGCGCATAGGCTCGAAATCTTCGGTGGTGGATAAGTTCTAGCTACGGACTTATCAGGCAAGATTACTCACTCGTAAAGGGCATTTCGACTGGTTGCAGGGTATTGGGAGTACTATCCGTGAATACGGGTTCGAACATTGCGGGATCATAGATGGCGGGTCCAGGAGTCTCGTCATAAAGGCCCTTGTTTTGATTGTAAGGTGAAGCACCTATCACCTGTAGTTAGTCGGGTCATGACATACGACTAGAGGCGTCACCGTTGCTCTTGTCCATCTTTAGGTGGTATACTGTCAACTTGAGAGGTTACTGGGTTCGAGTCAGATGCGTCCCGATTTGGCTTTTAGGGTATTTAACTGCCGCTGTATATTCCGTGGAGAGACGGCTCGAATGGAGGGCATTTGAGCGGCAGAGCACCATTGCGCTCTGCAGTCGCGCTATCAGACTGAGAAAGCCATCTCCTGAAGAAGATCATATACACTACAATACTGAACTACTCGCGCGCCACTCGTGAGACGCGCATTCGGCGAAGTCTTTTGTGTTGCCGCGCTTATCCTGACGGAATCCGGAATATCTCGCCAAAGGTGACACTTACGCCTGCGTCGCTCATGGCGGAGTGCTTGTAACCCGGAACATCGTGAGCGCGACATGCCCTAGTAAAAACCGAAGAGGCTGCAGTCAACACCGCTGCATAACGGCTTGTCCCAACTATACATCCTGTGCTGATTTGAATAGCTTCTGTAGCAGATTGTTCACAGATAGCTTCCAAGGCTCAATATTGAAACAACTGGCAGTCAACGTTGGGTCGTGGAAGAGGTCAAAGCGACGCCACTCTCTTTGGCAACTTGGTTGGTTTTCACTCGTGAGGGATAAGACAGGAGTGACGATGGAAAAACTATATTTTGGATGGTGAAGGAACGCAGATACGCTTATGGCGTCCTGAATTCTGCTTCAAAAACTGGCGGCCACTGGATAACAAGAATTCAGTGTCCCAGTCGAAGAGCTGATGATGGCATACCAAATATCACATTTTACTCGCAAACAGCCGATGTGCGAGTCGAGAGATGACTTATGATAGAAGCGCTCTTCACTATATGACCGTCAGTGGCATCTCAATGAGCACACATTTGCTGCTCACCATAGGTCGACGCCACAAGATCCGCCACATATAAATGGTCTGTGTTGGAAATGCCTTCGAATATGGGTGATGGCCCGGTCGTGTCGAGAGTATGCCTTTGCACATCCATCAAAGCGACAGGTATAATCACATTCGTCCGCGCTACGGGTCAGAAATTTGGCAAATATGGAGTTGCCGTCCTCATCGCGTAGTTCGGGCTCATTCGTTTGAGGCCACTTTTGCTCTTGGATACCTGTTCGAATGTGCTGATAGCTGGACGTGATCTGTGGGTCACGGGAGGGTTCAGCTACATTTTCCTCCTGACAGATGCTGGAAGCCATCAATCCGTTGGCTGTAAGGTCGGGATTGGAGTGACCCAATGAGACCATAATGTTCAGTGTGCCGTCGATCAGTGGCCTGTAGAATTCTTCTGGCTCGATGGGATGCGACATGTGAGCGAAATTCGATGGTCGAGTGGGGGGCCAAGTCGTAGGAGCCACCTGGGAAACGTAGATGGGAACTTGCGCATGGCATATGGGGCTCGAAGCTGAAACATTGCGGCGCTAATCGGAGATTGCCACAATCAGCCAGCAATCATCTGCATTTCAGGCTTTTTAGGTACGTTCTTGAGTTACTGCCTTGGTGAAAATCCCTCGAGAGGAGAGGTACCGGTGCCAGATTACTCTGCCCAAGGTTACTTTGCCATTGCATTCCAAAGGCGTTACAATTGACTGGTCCATCTAAAGGTACTTTGATACAAGGAGTAGTCTGTAAGAGTCCATACCAAAGTTTGCGAGCGCGGATCCATATAAGAATTGGATGAAATGGGATAACTACAGAGAAAATTGAGCGCTTTTGCAACTATCACAGTGCCTACAAGGGGCGGGGGTCATGACCTAAGAGCGGACTATGGTCGCAAGGTGAGTTTTGCCTGCCAGCGTAAGCAAATCTGCAGATAGACTTACGCCGGCGAGCCAAAAGGACGAAGATGGCTCGCATTTGTATATTATATGAATACATATACTTTGGAGTTCTTTTGAGCGTGCTTATCGTGCGCAATTTGTCTAGTTTGGTAGGGGCGGGAGGCCCTTGCTAGCACAGTCAAATTTACCGTAACGCTTGCTTGAGAACTTACAGGGCCATGTCAAAACTATGATGGCAACCAGTGATGACTGTGCCGGCGAGGAGAGTTTACTAACTTTCTCGCTTCCCCAACTTTGTGCCTTTGTTTGTGGCTTTGCCTTTTCTGGATATTTGTACTACCTTGATCCCCAATTGTTGGACTCTCCGCTCCCAATGTCCCAGCGCCATAGGGGTATTGGATCTGTGCAACATAACTACTCTGCTCAGTATACCGAAGTCCGAACCATGCCTATAGGGAGGAAGGGCACAATAGGATTGTCTCGTAAGAATCAAAGCGTGTCCAAAAACATCTATCTACCAAACACAAAGAGCTCCGTCAACGTATGGAATGCTCGTCACAACCACGAGGAAAATTTAAGAAAACTTGTGGGTCGTCAAGACGTCACAGCGGAGATGAGCGCTCTCATCAGTAAGATGAATGACCTTGGCGACCACCAGACCCTCAGCGCAAGTGATGCGGCGACGTGGGAGGCGCTGTATTCCATCTTCCAAGAAGCGGAGCAATCTTTTCAGTTTTTAGATAGAGAGTATGTTCCTTTTTTTTTTCTTATTTTCCACTATCTAAATGGCCTAGGGCTCGCAAGGAAGCTGTAGTCGGCCGCCTTCAGAACTTTCAGAGGGACACTTACGAGGCATTCGGCATCCTTTTGACCGCAAATATGCTCGTTCCCGAAGATAGTGAGGGTCCACTGGAAAACATTGTGTGAGCGCAATCTTTTGAGTGTGTGCTCAGCTCTCATATCATCCTCTAGGGTTGAAACGAAGCCCCCTGGGTGTCTCACATATGCCAACTGGCTCAAAGGTAGTCACCCAACCGGTGCGGTTGCAGAGCGTGGGCACCGCATCGAGTATGCGGAAATGGTGTTCGGGGCGTCGCGCGTTGCGACCGAACAACGCAGGGATGACAGCGGACAGAGCAAATATAAGGAGGCTAATGACGAGAATGAGGGCAAAGATGATGAGAGTACAAGCCAGAGCAAGTCACCTGCACCAAAGTTGGAAGACGAGGATGAGTACAAGGACAGGGACCGGCGTGCAAATCGCGGCTCAGAGAGCAACAACAAGGGGTATACTAGTAAAGATCGCAGGCTCCCGAACAACATCAAAGTCGTCGACTTCAAGGATGGCATTCGCATTTTCAGCGGCTTGGATCGTCTTTGCAGTACGGCTCCAGGCGTGAATGCGGATCAGCGCATCATGTATGACGAACTCCTGTATGACCGCTTGAGTACGTTCTAATTGCGTTATGTACAAATTGCTAAGATTTCTTTTCCAGAAGCCACGGGCCACACGACTAGGAGATTCCGCTGGAAGCGATGGAACAACGAACCCGACAGCTATTTACGCTCTGAGCACTTCCCTAGACTGCGTGGTTCCCGTTTGATTCTTGGTCCATCACACTCGACCAACCAGGAGGAGCTGGCTTGTTGGCTCCGGTTCTTTATCGACCACCAGAATAATCAAACAGATGGAGCTGCATGGCAAAATGGTATGGTGTTCAAAGATTCTACACTTGTAACCACGAAATAAGCTAGCAAATGGAGAATAAAGCTCTTCAATGCTCTAGCTTTGCCGCGGTTAGAGACAGCCACAAACAGCCAACAATCGGCTACATACCAGTCCTTCTAGATCGATTCACAACTATTTATTTAATGAAAAATCACTGAAGTGGTATCGAGTGAATTTGTCGTTGGTTCCAAATCTCTGTTATTTTCTTATCAATCCAAGTAAAACTCATCGCATACAATGCGGTGTATGCGGCTATACTGGCAGTCGTGGTTTCTCAGACGCTCCCTGTGATAATGTTTCCTTCTCTGATCGAGGTCTTCATAGAGGCTATAGGCAGCGGAAATTTGGACGAATCGGACTGTTCTGAGGGTTCCAATCTAACATATTAGCGTCGGATGACGTGGTAGGAGAGAACACTGTGAAGCCCTCGTGGGTGAAGCCGGGAGTCTTCGGTATAACCTTGAGATCAACGTGGATTAGGGCAGCTCGTCAGTTTAAAGCTTGTCTACTCTGAATTGGGCTTACTCCAAGGCAGCTCTTATATTCACCGACCATGTCAATTGCCATTTTTATGGCCAGGCTTCTGCCGATTGCGACCGGTGCTTGATTAGGTCGGATTATCCACCATGAAATATCCAACAACTTGCAATATTGAGGTGTGGAGCTTTGAACTACTCTCGAGTTTGCGGCGTGGACTAGCGGCACTCTCCATTATGTTAAATTTCTCCTTATATTAGGAGATACCCGCGTTCTCAATCGGTTGACATGAACCACCATCGAAAATTCCTTACCCAATTGGACTTATCTGCTTGCTCCTTCTATTCTGATAAAGCCAGTGTGACGACATGCGCTTTCCTCGCCGTTAACATGCTTTATTACCTCGCCATTGACAACCAGTAACGGACCTCTATCAGGATAAATACAATGATACATAGCAATCCACAAGTCTCTCCATAGATATGTATGCCTGACCGGACTTAGTTGCGTCTCCGCCGCCTTCTGTTAAGTTTGGGACATGTCTCTTCATGCCTTTTCAAATTCTGGGAGCAAAGGCATTTGCCGCTGTAACGGTGTCGGCAATTCAAACTCGTCTATGCAAAGGATACGCACCAAGCGCTGCAAGCTACCGAGCTACGTTTACAGTGAGATTTGAGAGCGGCAGAGGAGTAAAATCGTAGCTTGCTACACTAATGTAAGCGCATCGCGGGTCTACTGGTAAGGAACCTTACCACCCTGTGATTCGGCACTTGCCTAAGCAGGCAAAGGGCAAGTGCCTGAGGTGGTGCTTACGAATATGCCCCAGTGCACGATCTGGTCTGCCGAATGTTTTACGACAGCCGTCGAAAAGGCAATGATACTGCGTGGGATTTTTGAATGATGCAGAAAGCTGGCATATATTGATTGCTGATTGCCATCCGTTGGCTCGAGTTGGTTGGCGAGGAACCAGGAGGATGTAAGGACATGGTAAAGGAGATCCCGCAGATTCACACTGTCTTCACGGTTAAAGTTTTGGTTGAGGAGAGTCACGGCAAAGCCGGATAGTTGGGGACCTGGCTGGGGATGCTGAGTTTGGAGCTCTGCTAGCCCGGTAGACGTCAGAAGTGGGTCGATCAATGCGTAGTCCTGTACGGAGGCCTTCCAAAAAGAAGCAGACGTGGTGAGTTCCGCGGGTTGATCATAGACGCCAGCTGACAATTGAGGAAGCAGTTTCATTTCGTCTGACAAGAGACTGTCATGAATCGTTCCGGGCGAAGTTTGGGTGAGATCAGAGAATAGAAGTGAGTTTATGACCTGCATTTGACTGTTGTCTGAGATATACTCGACACCTTGGACAAAGAATGGGTGGAAAATATCGGGCGCCGGCACCAGCTCGAAATCAGGTGCTGGAATAGGGTAGAACGACATGTTCGGGTCATAGTACATGTCCAAATCAGATGAAAACAGGCCTATTCCCTTGTTAGCCATGTTTGTATCCATCAACGACGAGAAAGGTCACCGTTGTCAGCGCGCATGATAACGAGGGGTCTTGTCGGTTCTTGTCGGTTGGAGAGACCGCTAGCTCTGGTCAAGGCTACTCCCAGGTGCATTTTAAGGTACTAGTTGACTGATGAGCCGTGCAATCCATCTGGGGGGTGACGGCGGCTGGTGTCAGCGAGCTTGGCATGTTTCTCGTGGCAGAGCCTGCAGTCGCTTTACTCAGTTCTGGGAGCACAAGTGTCGAGTAAGATGGCCTGTCGTGAGGGAGTTTTGACTGACCATGTACAACCAGTGAAGGGCTCCCCTCGTACGAGCAGATGCTCTCCCAAGGGACTCTTGCTTCGGCCGTTTGACTGTACAAACTCATTCACGACGCAAAAGATAGTTGAAACGAAGGTCTTCTACGCTGTACTCGCCCGCATAGAAGATCTATCGCGCCATGACACTCCCTCGTTATCCTGACGAATCTGAGGCGTGTCAGCTTGCGGTCATGTGGCACTGTGACTAGGGACACTCATTCGGGTCCTCCCATCGGTTTGCTACTGACTGATGCTGAAGAGACGGTCAGTTGAACTACACCCCGACCGCAGCGCATGGACCTCACTTGTGCATATCAGTACGTCACCAGGATAGCCGCTGGTTCACAGTGACTCGCTTGGCTATTGTAGTGGCAGGACGTGCAGTTGTGACAGAGGCCAAGTTTCGACTTTTGCTGTGCAGCCCAAAATTCACAAAGCACCGGACCCTTGTCAATTTACTCTTCTCTATCAACCTACTGTAAGCTTGGTTCATGCTGTGTACGAGTTGCCGTTGTCCATGTACTACCGCCCAACACAGAGCAATGTGAGCAATCTCTCACCTGGACACTCGGCCATTCCAACTCGCCGCCATGTGATAAATCCATGTTGTTTTGGGCAGTGGCGAGTGCCAAGCTCAACTTCGACCCAAGCTCCACAGGTTGCGATGACTGCGTGGTTCTAGAGTTTCTTAGGTCGCCCAAATTGTCAGTATCAACTCTTTAGACGGCGTTTTGCACTCCAGAGCGCTAAGAGTTTTGCCTGACGCTTTGTTCTTCCCGGTCCGTGATCGCATGCCGAACCTCGGGCGTTCAGTTCTGTCAATAAATCTCACCTCCTCACATTTTAGAGTTCAAAATGGCCGCGTGGTGTTCAAGGAGCTCCTATTGACCCGACAAGGAACAGAAACGCGCTTGCGTCGCGTCAGCACTGCGAGTGACAGTCTAATTCTCGAGTCGTGACTCCGGGAACAGGGCTGGAACGAGACTGTCGGTGCTTTCAGGGTGCAGCCGGTTAGTTTCTCGATGAGCCATTGGGACATTCCGCTCGTGGTCAGCACGGCCTCTGACGGTTTGGGCCTGGAGAAAAGGTGACTCCATTGCCGCTGACGATCTGAAGATTACGTATCAAAGTCAATCCCGTCTCATTCGATCTCATTGCAGAGGCTTCGGCGGTAGTCCATCTAGCTCGATCACCTCTGCTGCAACTACTCGGCAAGTTAGATTGACATGACAGGTTCTAACTATCGACCGTCTCTATGGCGTTTGGCAAGCTAGGTACCCACTGCAGTCACACATACAATCTACCCGCCGACCGACCACATCTCGCGGTTTCCCGGATCAAACGACGACAGTCGCGACCTCTTGTTATTTTGCATCTCCCATTATGTCCGTTGCGACACGGAGAGCTCCCTTTGCTATTCGTACGTCAGAATCATCAGTCCGCTCAGTGATGAGACCATACTTTTACGCCATCATATCATACCCTTACTCTCCATACACCCTCCTGAAATGTCGGTAACGTAACACCATCCAACTGGGCCGCCCAATCTACATTCTCGGTCTCGGATTAATCATAGTCGCATCACCCCTCGGGAGCGCGCATATTCACGGTATGTGCTGGAAATGCTTTGGAATGTAGCTAAAAGCACGACATCATCGATCTAGCACCTTTTCGCATCTATTACTGCGACGAACGCAGTCGGATGTAACCTGGTTAGGGTAATTTCAATGAAAATGAGCACACTAGGTGCCATATTTAGGTGCAAAAATACAAAAAGAACACATGAAAATGGTTCATGTCGGAGAATGCCTGTGAGAATGACCATTCCTTTTCACAGTCATGAAGGCGACAGGTGTAGATCAATGTCTGCTCGTTTTGGGACACAGATCTACGAGGATTAAATTATTTGCCTTGCCGTGCGGTTCGGATTCATATGAGCGAAACCATTCCTGCCATTCAATCCGCTTTTGAAGTTGCTCAATCTGGTATTTGACCGTTCGATCTGACTCGAACAAACATGGTTGGCGAAGACGAAGCAAGATGCTGATAGCCAGCCGAGACCTGTGGGAGGAGAGGGTTCAGCAAAAAGGCTCGTCCCGACAGGGTACTGTACTCAGAACCATTGACTCCTGCTGCTCACAGAGATGCGGACGCTGGAGGTCTCTCAATTGCTGCCCGTTATCATTCATTGCTTTGATGTTGTATGCTTAGAGCCAATAAGACGTGGATTGTTAGTGTGGGGAGTGAAGCAACGGGTCCGTTCTTCATTAGCCAATTAGTCCAGATTTTCGCTATAAATCAGTTTAACGTTGCCTTTATTGTTTATGTCATATATATCAGCTTGCAAGGACCTGTCTGCTCTAGTGGGGCTTACTTCGAGGTGGCTCATGTTGTTTTTGGAGTATGTCAAGGCTGGCTGCTGGCCGTTTTGGCCAGGCTCCTGCCGATCGCATCCCGTGTTCGATAAGTTGAGGTGAGATTACGTGGATTAGATTGCAATATCGAGCCGCGGACTCGGGTTTGCGGCATGGGCTGGCGGCATTCTCCGTAACGTTAGGTTTCATCTCGCATCAGAAGTTGTGCCATTTAGCTGTATTCTCGAAGGAATGGTCTGAAGTGTTGCCGAAAATTCCGCAGTCAAACCGGGCTCCTTAGCCGGTGGGACCTTTTCATCGTAAGTAGCGCTTGCGTTTGGCGAGGAGTGCAAAGGATCTATGTATTTGTATGGCACAGTTCAAGTTGCTATGATAATGCAGTTTACACGTCGGAAGACAAGCGGTCTCCTCCCATTTAATATACTTCAAACGCTCGTCACGAGTTATAAAAAATGAAACTCTATGAGGATATATACGATGATAAATAGCAAGAGGAGAATAACGCAAGCGGAACTCTCTTATTATATATTTGCGTGTACAGGCTGATTAACGTTAGAATCGCCACTACGACCGTCTAATTATTTGTTTTTACGTGACAGGACTTTTGATGCCGTTTGAGATTTTGTGAGCGGAGTTGCCTCCCACTGTAGGACCGTAAGCAACTCGACCCATCATTCAATGAAATTCCGACGCACCAGGCCTTGCAGACTACTGTCCGGTGCTTACGATGGTCTTTGAGAGACATCAGGGATTTGAAGCGTAGGTTACTAGGCTAACGTAAGAATTCCGCTAGTTTACTAGCCAGGAACCTACCATCCTACTTTCTGACAGCCTCCCGAACAGGCAAAGGGTAGATATTTGAAGTGATCGCCGCGAACATGCGCAATTGCACGATCCCGTCTTTTAATTTGTTTTCCGCAGTCACCGAAGCGACAGTGATACTTCCTGGTCTGTTCGGAACGATTCAGGAAGCGGAGATATTGTAATTGCTCTGATGCATTGTTCGGCAGAGGCTTGTCCGCATGAAGCCTTGGCGATGAAGTTAGGAGGGGCTCGAACAACGGAGTATTTTGAACAAAGTCAGTGTGATAATAGTGTACGGTGGATTCCGCCGCTTGTTGAAAGGGCGGGAGTATTTCGGTTGATATGAGATTACCATCACTCGTTCCGGGCACATATTGAGTATAAGGAGAGGAGAAGAAACACAAGTTCATGGGCAGCACTTGATTGCTCCTTAACATAGGTTCGGCGTCTTGAGCGCGGAATGGAATGTCTGCAAACGTTTGCTCGAAAACCAACGTTTCTGGATTCTGAAGCGGCATGTTTGGATCATAGTACATATTCGTATCCCATAGAAGAGGGCCTGTCATAGGCGTTAGCCAGCTCAATGATCCCCAAAACGACAAAAAAAGGTCACCGATATTAGTGTACATAACGTAGAGGCAAGCTCGGTGATTGAAGAGATTGTCAACTCTGAAGGAAGTGTACTTCCGGTCCAATTTAAGTTGCACACCTCTTTATAGGCCGTACAATCCGCCTGAGGGCGGCTGTTGGGAGCCAGGCAATGTCCCATGGCAGAGCCGGCGGTCGCTGCACTCAGATCTAAGAGGATAGGTTCCAGGGAAGGCAACCCGTTGCCGTTGTGAAGGGCCCTGACTGTCTGTGAAACCTGTGGAAAGGTCTTTCTGGTCCCAAGCGTGCTCATATTGCGACCAATGAACTGTACAGACTCGTTCATGGAATAATCGAGAAGCCCTTGTCAGGTATTTTCTATGGTGGACTCGAGTGCAATGAAGAACTATGGTTTCCTATGTTTCCAACCAGACAGATCAGGGTCATGGCTGTTCACAATCATGTGGCAGGCTGACTAGCGATATTCATCTCGTCCCCTAAAACAAGCAGGCCAAGGCTTTCGGATGACAGATGCTAAGGAGACGGCCAGTTGACCACCGCTTCTCAATTTGCCTCTCTCTTCATTGACACTTTAATAAGCTTGATTTGGTGACTTGCTGTGTACAATTTCATTGTCTATTTACCTGCGTCGACGCTGGGCTGTCTGTGGCCTCTGAGTGGCGCTGACATCCTGCACCAAACCATATTCGGCCTCTTGACCCACCTTCATGTGATTCCATGCCATCTCCCTAAAATTTGACCAAACCTTTATCGGCCCCGAAAACTTTAGCTGAGTGTCGCATTCTCGTATCATTCGGACATCAAAACCAACCTCTTTCGTCTATTTGAAGGCATCAGCTAACTCTTGCCGTTTGAATCTGCCTCCTGGGCGTCTGCAATGTCGAGGAAGAATTCTGATACTCGCTCCATACATGGAGACCATTTACCTAACATCCACGGCTCTAAATTCATAGCTGTCTCCTCCAATCTCCGTGAATGCTGTCGCGTCCGTCGTTGACTTTATATAGACGTTTTGGCCATTCTGATTCGATGGATCTGGAAATGAAGGGCTCGCGTACCTTCACAAACTCGGAGTGATTCATGGGGATCTAAAACTGGTGACTCATCCAAGCTTATGATGGCTCAAATGCTAAACACATACTTCTTTCCAGGAAAATTTTCTCATCAGTGACCAAAATCTGCCAGCAGCGGAGGTGGATTCACCAAAAGATGAACTAGCACACTTCCAAGTGACTCACGACACCGAGCAACGCATGGCTGCGATTCGGAGCCAAGTGGTCGACAAACGGCAGAGATTATTGAGTGGAGGAGCATCAACTTCACAGCGTAGATTAGGGCAGTGACCATGAGATCAGTGAGCGAATGCCTGTCGAGATAATCGAGCTGAAACCCCACAAAGGTGTCTTTATTCATGTGTAGATTTTGTATAGACTTATATTTTCTATTTTTCCACTGGGAAATGGGACCAAATGAACCTGTCCGCAGTTTCGGGGTGCGGATAGTTGGGTTGCTCACGAGGCGGTTAGGATTTTCGCCGGCGGTCCCCCTAATGAACCGTATTCTCGAAGATTTGGCACGAGATATAGTCAGATGCCGCACAGTTACACCTACGTTGTACGACCCATCGGCCGTGTGCCCTGATTCCATCTGAGCCACACGTCGCACTCGACAGCGATCCGTGACGGATCTACGGCCACCATAACTGCATTTTATTGGTTTTGGCAGCGTGAATCACACGCTGAAGGACATACGGATTCCTCGTGTCTAGCACGCGTTGAAAGCACATGTTTAGCTGTGAGTACTGAAGAAAGATAAGTCCATCAGAACAGATGCAGTGGTCGCGATGGAATGATAACATATACTTAACCTTCTCCGGCTCTATGTATATACCCCCGCACCAGTCTGAATCAAGATTGTCATCACCCATCACTACACTCATTAAGCTGTCGTCCGGTACATGGATTTTGACGCTCTTTAATTTTGGTAGGTAGAGCCACGTCCCACTAGAGGAAGGTAAGCAAGCAAAGAGGCTCTCATTTTGGGAAGTAGACACAATAATTCTTGCAAGGGACGATGCCACGTATACAATGGACCGCACGGTTTCCTCTATGTCGCAAATGATGGAAAAGCTTGGTTGAGGTATTCTATGCACTGTACTCGGATGCGCCATCTGTCATGGCCATTCGGCGTTATCCTGACACAAACTAGTTTGGTATGATGCAGCTGGGTAGTTAGATGTACTGATTCCCCTCTCGTAAATGAACAAGCGTGAGTTTGAGACTGACAGGTGATGAAGAGACGGCGGCTGAACACATCCAGTGCTGCCTGCAATGCAGCCATGGATCCTGTGTGTTACCTAGTAGTGGTATAGTCTTGTTATGGACAGCGACACGCTTGAATGGTAGTCGTCCGGCAGAGGGGGTTGGAGGGCTGTGTGGCCCAGAGTAGCCGCTGATTTTCAATGTGCCCACGTCGACTGACCCTTTGAATGGGTGGAGGCATTTGCATCTGTCGGTCTACTCTCTGCATTCCTCATTTCTGAGCTATGTGGGCGCTCTACAACAGTGCTGACACCCCCTTCTGACTTGCCGTCATGTGATTCTGTCTATTTGTGACCATCCTCCCCAAATTTGGACCAGCCCTCACCGGCCCGCGGGGACCATACTTGATTCTGGTTTCCTCAGATCATCTGGATATCTAAACCAGTTATTTTGAACATTCCTAGACTCCAGTGTCTGCCTTATATTGCCGGGTGGCGGCCGTTTTTGGCGTTCGTGTCTGCTTGTCAACTTCCTGCGATCTCACAGTGGAATCCTAGCGCCCAGATCAATATACAGCATCCTGTTTGCTACCAATGTGATCACAATGTGCTCGCCAAGCTGCAACTGTCAGCTCGAGTGTCTACAGATACTGCTGCGTTCGCGACTTTATGTAAATCTCATATCTTTACAATGTCCAAGGTTGCTATTTTTGCGTTCCTACGACTAAGTACGGCCTCCCGTGACGGACCAGTACATATTGAAGATGGCCAGCCCCCTGCTCTAGCGGGCTCTGGAAACGACCACTTTTCTATCCAGGATGTACAGTGGCCTCATTATCGTCCAGCGCTTTGCTTTAGTAGATCCGGTCGTGCTTCAACCACGCAGGATAGCACGGGCGTTGGAACTTTCTGAACAAGCCAGGCGTGGTACTATGTGACTATTGGGTCTATATCAATTGATGATGGCCTCCCTATTGACCTGACAAGTCGGAGAAATGCACTTACGTCATGTGAAGACTCTGGCTGAGTTTTCTTAGCCCGATTCGTGACCTCGGAAATAGAATTGAAACAAACCTGTCAGTGCTTCCAGGATGCAGCCAGTTGGTTTCTCAATGACCCTTATAGAACCATGAGGACATTTCCGCCGGTGGTCAGTACGGCCACTGAGTGCTGGTCCCGTTGACAGAGGCGGCACGTAAATCGCTGATAACATTGAAAACTTGATCTCATCGCATACGAGCTTGTTGTTGACATCCATAGACAAATGTAGAGGCGTCGGGTAGTCCAACTGCCTCGACAACACCTGGCACGATAGCTGAGCGAGTTATATTGTCAAGATATGCTCTTGATATCGATTCTCCCTATGGCCTTTGGCAAGCTGAGCACACAAATTACCCGCTACGACCGCACATCACGAACACCTAGATTGCACCGCACCGTAGCTGCCAACCAAACGCCTCTCCCCGGTTCCCATATCAAGCCATGACTAACATCATGACGAGCCTTTTGTTGCTCGTCGTTGCATTTCCAGGTATGCCTGTTGGGATGCAGGGAGTTCCCTTTTCTACTCATACGTCAGCTCATTGGTTCATCTGTTGATCAGGTGATACTTCTTCGCTATCAAAATAGACTCTCTTTATGTGTCTTGCTGTCGGTAACGTAAATCCCCTCCACCTTGGCCACCCAATGCACTATATCGGTCTCGAATTACTCATGGTCACATCCCCCCACAGGCGCGCATCATACTGAATGCTTTCGATCGCAGACGAGGCATGGGCGATGCTGAGAAGGTTGATGCCACTCTTGTAACGTTGTCACTTCACGATTTTCGATCTGTTCGGGCGTAACAGGAATAATATCATGTCTTTCTCATGAGTGCATTACATCTCGAAATGGGGAACTGAAGCAGGTGCTCTTGTGACGCCGTAAATCTTGTTTGAAGAACTCGCGCCCGCTAAGCGTGAAAAGGTCATTAACTGCTTTGGAGAAGTGAATACTACATACCAGCTGCTGCATTTTGCTTTTGGACGATTGACGTGAGAGGTGAGATATGATCTACAATAAAACCGCTCTTGGCTACGAGAGCATCAGTATAATCCCACTGAACACAGTTCGCTACTTACCAAAGTTCTACGCCACAAGAGCCTCCACATATAAACGGTCTGTGCTGGAAATGCTTTCGAATATGACCAATTGCACGGTCTCGTCGATCTAGCACCTTTGGGCATCTATCAAAGCGACAGATATACTCGGATGCCACCTCGTTATAGACAAGGAAGTTGCCAAAGATGGAGTTGCCCGCCTCATCGCGTGGTTCCGGCTCATTCGTGTGAAGCCACGCCTGCCCTTGGATATGTTTTTGAAGCTGGATCAATTCAGGAGTGGTTCCAACTGTACCATTCAATGGAAATGGCTGTGGACTGGCAAACTCGAGAGGCAAAGGAAATGGTTCAGTGTAGCTAGAAGAGATATTCGAAGGGAGTGAGAGTTGTGCGAGACCTTCCTTTCCGCAGATGCTGGTGCCCATTAGTGCATCAGCCATCTCGTCGACTGCTGAAGGGTTGGGCCCCTGGAAAAGTTGGGCGATGCCTTCCTCTCCGTAGATGCTAGTGGTCATCAGCTCGTCGGCCATTTGATCTGCTGCTGTAGGGCATCCGTTGGGTTGTGATCCAGAATAGCCGGTGATTATTTGTGGATTTTGAGTTAATATTCTGTCGGAATCCGGTAGACTGCTGAGGCTCGACGCCAGAGAAGAGCCAGGAGATGAATCCGATGACGACATGGGGATGACACTACTTCCTGAATTATCGATAAATTGTTGAAATATCTGTCTTTTCGCTGCTGTGTTGTCCATCGTCACAAGAAAAATGCTTTTCCCCACCGGCAGAGCGGAGGGGAAGAGATGTGTATCTGGGTATGACAACGCTCTCGAGGTATCTACCGAAGATGAGCTGTCAGCACTGGACGGATGATATATTATCCAAAACGAACCAGTCTGCCACAGGGTATCGACATGGCCTTGGGTATTCGATCCAGCAGAATATTGCATCCATTGTTCTGGATGAGCGACTCGTGGAGTATCGTATGTGGAATAGACGAGATCAGGTTTTTCCATCGTGTGAGCGCGTTGATTGCATTGTTCGCGCTCTACCATTAAGTTTGGGAGAGGGAAGGAGGTTGAGCTGCAACTTACATGACTATGGCCCTAGACTAGATATATATACTATCCGTTGAGTCATATTTCTGAACTAGAATCCACCCTCACCCTCGGATGGAACTCGCGAATGCCGTTGAGGCGGGTTGCTGGTTGGCCGTCAGGAGGAAGACTTTCGAATCAGCAGATAAAGTCCAGTCTCCGGAATTTTCCGCGTCATATGGTATTATCTGTTGCCGAGAATCCTGACCCGCCTCTTCGTCACTGGACATGGCGCAGCGGACGAGCAGCGGCTGGAAGCAGAGCCCAGATACGCAAGTTTGATGTAATGCCTACACATATCTTAATAATGCCTCGTCAGCGAGCTCACTCTCCTAGGGTCAAAGTCTGCAAGTGGCTATGCGCGATATTTTCAGGGCAATATAGTACTCTGCTTATGGGGTCCAGCCGCCATCAATCGTCTAGACCAGCAAGCCGGAGGGAGTGACGGTCGAGTTGCAGATCAACTTGCGCCCAGATTTGCTGGCAATCTTGGAGAGGTTTCTCTTTGACAAACTAACATGTTCAGAGCAAGTTTCTGTTAACCAACAGGTTTCAATCCAGGACAAATACATTGAACGGGATTCCGTTACTCTTCCACTCCTTCGTCGACCAGCGATGGCCACATTACAATCACAAGCTCTTGCTCTTGCCCTGCATAATCTGAACCAGGAGATTCCTTTTGTTTACCTGCCGACGCCCTTCCGTCCAAGCCGAGTATTTTCATGACTACCCAGAAGATGTTTTCGGCTTCCACGGCAACGGAATCACCAAATTCGGCCAGGTGCCATGAAGGCCGCTTGACCGGAACCGTGCAATTCTGTGATTCTTCTGGAGGGCCGTAGCGGGATTCTGACTCGGATTTTGACACCACCGTCTCGGTATAGAATAAACTGCAGTCCAGCTTGCTGGGTTCGTCCTCGCCTCGATTCATATCTCTGATGGCCGCAAGATAAGGCTGCAGTGTCTCTTCAGCGGAAGAGTGTCGGTTAATGGTAGCGGAAAGATAGACAATCCCTTTCGTCGTGTATTAGCACCTCAACCAGGCAAATAGAAATAGAAGGAGAACTTGCTTTTGTCATGGGGACACGCCATTGCAGACGGACCAGCAATCAGCGCATGTACTACTCCAATCTGTTCTCTTGAATCTGCCAGAGATCCGGGAGGGAAAACAAGGACTGCCGTGTCGATGTCGCCCAGCAATGCTTCGGCGGATTCTCACCATCTTTCTCGAAATCTTCGGTTGGTACTTTCTGAGGAGAAGTCGATGGTCTGAATCTGACAGGAGCATCTAAGACCGCAATACACCTGGCTAGAACAGTCTCGCCGATATTTTCTGGTTGCAGGTTCGTTTGAAGGGAGAGACCATGAAGCCTTTCTTGCGCTCCTACAACGACCCTTGCGCGTAGAGGTTCCTCCACATCATCAATCTTGATCTGAAATGAATGACTTGGGGAGGAAGAAGACGCATCCGCACTGGAGTGTGATTCAATGGCGTCAATCCTGTTTATAGTAAACGGTCGGCCTAGGATGTAAGTGCCACCAGCCACGGCGCAAGCTCTAGCGTAGTAGATTAGCGGAACATTACAAAGTCACAACAGGAGTTTCCTACCGACAGAATCCCTGAGCCAGTTCGCCTGCTCCTCCAAAGTGGCCGACAATAAACGGCGAGTTCCCATGCCTTCCTGTGGACCGAATGTATTTTTGGAGGCGGGTGATAGCCGAATCTTTCTCCTCTGTGCACATGGATTGTTAGCGAGTTTGAAAAAGCGGCTGAGGCTGTACGTACCGTTCGCATCGGTACTAAGAGCCAAGGCATACGCAATAGCGTCAGCAATGCCTGCATCCAATCCCACCTCTTTACTTTGCAAGTAGTCCCTAAATGTTGTTTTTGTAGGACTGGATTCCCCACCCTCTTGGGTCGGTGCTGGGTGTCGCTCTGAACTATTGGCGCCCATCAGAAATTTCATTAGTTTGCGTTTCTGAGGCAATCCTAGTTCCTTGCTCTTGAACACGTCCTCTTTGCTGGCAGGTACCAGCCTCACTTGACTTGACCTCTCCGCAGTGTCGGAATACAACCCAACCGCATCCAGCAACTTGAATGGTACATATCGAGCGACGCCACTCTTGACTAGTGTGTCGATAAAGGGACCGATAGATGGGGAAATGGAGGGCGAGAGCGAGAATGAATAGTTCCGAGACTCTCGTAGGACGGCCTCTGGGATGGGAACAGGGGCTGAGACATTCTCCATAAATGCTTTCGGTTGCATTACGAGATGATGCAATTCAATGGCTGAGAGAGACGCATCCCTATCGCCATAGTAAGGAGACTCGTCCAGATGAAGCACTCTCAGGCCAGCCTTGGCTATTGCGCTACAAACGCGTCAGATCTTCTGATAAACATCATGTGGAGATGCCGGTGGAGCCTTAATGCACGTACGCACGCTGCTACAATAGATTCCGTAAGCCCCGTCCCAAGCACCACTACGTCAAAATCATTTTCGGACATTCTCGAGCGTATGGTGTCAAATAGAAATCGTCGATATTTGAGAGAATTGGCAGATACAGAGCGCGCTAGGATTGGCCAGTCGTGGTCAAGACCGAAGGCGCTTGGAGCCCTCCACGTCTGCCGTTGGTTGTTGGGAGCTATCACGAGGCAGTTCAGACGTAATGATCAGATATTTGATTCGCAACCGCAATTACTTTTCAATGTCCGATCGAGAAGATTAGACTTTACTCTCGAACTGGTCCATCCTCCATCGCCTCGCCATACCCAAGATGACATTGTTCTGGAGCCTATGTCGAATATATTCCCCAGCCAGACCTTTTTCTGGATTTGAAGCGCTCTCATCGACGCACCGCTTGGAGTTTAAAACCGCTCTTCTCTCGGTCAATGGATCCCAGAAACCCGGTTTACCATCATGACTGACCCTCTATTCTACTACTCTGCTGAATATCCGACTCATGACAGTACTGTTCCACCCCGAGCTTGGTTCGATGCACCCTTCTGTGGCCTAGGAGGCCAACAGGAATTGGTGCCATCCAACTCGTCAACTCTTATGGCGACTAGCTCTAGTTCTCCACGGAAGCGCTCCATTTGCCCTCATTGTGGCCGTTGTCATTCTAGGCCAGTCCGTGATAGAGCCTGTAGCAATAGACATACCCATCATTACCCCTTTCCCTGTGGGGGAGTATGTGGAAATGCAACTTGGCAAGTGGACACCATCATTTAGCATGCGTATCAAGTTGACATATTCCGTCCTGATAGCCTCAAAGCGTTTCCGAGCTCGGAAAGGAGGAGTGTCCACATTCAAGGTCGCGTACCCTGCGAAAAGTGGTATGGTTTCAACTCGATGAGACTCAGTATACTAAAGATACACTCAGTGGGAAGATGGGTTGGAAGAAAAATGCATCGCGCCACCGAGCCCGATGTGGCTTCTGATATTAGTTCTCTCGAGAGGGCAAACCCCGCTCAAAGATGTCTCTGGGAGGTTCTGTATACATCTAAAAAGTCATATTGGTTAAAAGGTCGTCTGGTTTCGAAGTAGACGAGTGGATGAGCTTCACCATGGCTTATCCTGCACCGACAAAGAGCTCTTCAAGGGTGACGCCATCATTAGGGTGAAAATAAATCGGAATTTGTTTCGCATTCTATCGAGTTGACTCCTTGAGGATACTGAGCACGTTAGAAATAGTCAGTCGTGGTCAAGACAGACGGCGCTTCAGACCTTGGATCCGTCCACTTCCAACATCATTTCGGTTTATGAGCATCTCACCTCAAAGGTCTCCAGACGGAGTTTATACCCACGATTTAAGACAACAATCCTTGCAATCAGTGTCAATCGTTCCGGTCCGGGTTCAGTCTAATCGCGATGAGGTCAAAGCCAACAAGGAGTATGTCCAAGACGTTTCCAGACAATGAAACTCTCCGAATTCTGGTTCTTGGTTCGACTTTTCCGTTGTTTTGCCTGGGATTCAACTTATAGAACCATAGATGGAGGGGACATCAACTGCTTATCGCAGCTATTTATTCTCCAGGAGTATATAAACAGGCTCGAGATGGATTCTGGAGACTCCATACTGCCAGCCGAGCACTTTCATCATATTGCCGGTGTCGCAGGTGGCGGGTAAGTCATTGCAACGCCTCCTCGTAGATACTAAGTGGGATTCAGAATCATTGCCGCTCTACTGGGAATATTCAGTCACTCGGCTGAAGTCGCAGCGCAAAAGTATATTGACATATGTCAAGCTACCTTTCCTCTCAGCGACGTGAACAAGATGGAGAGACAAAAGATGATTAGAGAGGCACTAATGTCTCTGATAATAGAAGGCGGATTCGATGAGGATACGAAGGTGGGAGAGGCAAAGAGTCGCTGCAGGGTGTAAGTAGCCGTTGTGCATCCAATTCGTCCCTGATAAATCTGTTCCAGATCCCTTGGATATCTCAAGGCCATCAATCTCAGTACCTGGAATGCATTTCGCAATTTTCCTTCATCACTGGGTGGCAACGACGACAGGCTCATTGACGCTTTGTGTGCTTGTTGGGCATCTCCGCCTTCTGGAGAGATGACGATCAAAACTCCCTTGGGGAATGAAGCGGTGCTCAGCGCAATCACCACGTTTAGCAATCCTACATTACAAGTCCTCAAGGATGCGCAGGCGGCATTTGGACCCGACCAGCCTATTTCTCTCCTCATGAATGTGGGAGCCGGTACTCCTGTACGAGGATCGGAAGCAAAGTCGCCTTCATCTATCACTGCCCGCCAAGCACAAATGACCGCAGAGGAGCTTCAGCGCAAATATTCCTCCTTAAACGTCTACTATCGCCTATGCGTAGACAGTAACTTTGATAGCATCGCTTCCGCCGACGAAAATGCGTTCAGCGTTATAGCCGCACATACGGCGGGATATTTGGCTTCATATCTCGGTGAGAGCACCCTCGACGCCTGTCAAAAGGCATCAGCTCGACAGAGTCTAGTGACTCTGAGGAATATGAGTAGGTACCAAACATCGATTGTCCGGTCACGTCTCACCCAATCATAGATGAAGCGTCTCCAATCTCGCGCCCTTCTGCCAACGGCCTCCCTCCTCTATCCCCTTACTACATCAATAGGCAGGAACCCATGGCGAAAATCAATGATGCCCTGTTGGGTGATGAATATGGGCGCTCCTTGCGTCTCATGGTCATTACAGGAATTGGAGGTTCAGGCAAAACACAAATGGCCATCTATTTTGCCAAGACTAATCAGGATCGGTAAGATATGCTTCGTGCGCTCCGAGATTTGCTCATCAATCATCAGCTTCCAACACATCTTCTTTATCGACGCATCCTCTGCAGAAAGTATCTTCAACGGTTTGCTCAAACGGATGAGATCCATAGATTCGTCCTTTGAGGGATCATCCCTCGACGACATATTACAAGCGCTTGCCGAACCCAACGAGGTTCTTACGACGAGATGGCTCCTCATCTTCGACAACGTAGATGACCCCAATCTCGATATTTCAGAGTTTATACCACTCTGCGATCACGGTTCCGTCCTCATCACCTCGCGCAACGCCCAATTGGCCGCATTGGATCCAGAAAACCACCTCCCAGTCGACGTCATGACGCCTGGTGAAGCCGTTGAAGCATTATTATCTTCAGCTGCTATCGACCTCACCAGGCTCGCTCAAACTTCTGTATCATCATCAGCCGACATGTCCGCCCAGAAACGACATTTCTTACCCAACTCGGATAAGGCCAGGTCTATATTACAAGGAAAAGGCTATACCGATCCAACTGGACTCCCCGTCGGAGGTCACAAGCGGTGTTCCTGATATGGGCATCGCTGCCGTGTCTCAGGACTCGGCTGTAGCAGTGGTCGAAAGGCATCGGCGTCTTGCCTATGAGATCGTGAAGGAGCTCGAGTACCTGCCCGTTGCAGTCATCCAGGCTGGCTGTTATATTCGAAAGCAACAGTCCCTAGAGACATATCTTCCCCGACTACAAGCCAATCGAGACAGCCTTCTTCGCTATCACACCATCCAACGTGACAGGCTGAAGTACAAGCATGGCGTATACGCAGCATTCGACACAACCTTAAAGGTCTTGTCAGATCGAGCAATCCGACTGCTCTCGATTCTCTCTTTCTTCCACTACGCCGGCTTCCCTCGATCAGTTTTCACCATCGCTGCTACGAAAAACTTTGCCCATGAGAGCTTCTTACTCTTCGATCGCGGTGCGGAACACGGTGAAACTATCAACCTCCTGAAATCCATCTTCTGCCCGAATGGAGATTGGGACGAAGTCGAATTGGACAAGCTCCTCGACGAGCTCCAGCAATACTCCCTCGTCACCCTTATACCCTTTTATTCCACAGTTACCCTTCGCTTTCACCCGCTACTTCATGCCTGGGCCCATGACAGACAAACGTCCAAGGAAAAGCTCGTGTACAGAGCGGCTGCCGTGAGGCTACTAGTCTGTGCCACAGACTACGATGACGGAGACATCTGGGAGCAGATACTCCCACATTTCGATCGCATCTTTCCGGTGTTTCACCAACTTCATATCAACGACCAAGCAGCTTTTCTCCGTGTTCTCGAAAACAATGGTAGGGAGGAGGAGACACTCCCGATCATGCGCGAAATTTACGATAAAGTGGAGGGTAGATATGGGAAAGAGCATGTACGGACGACAAACGCAATGATGGGTTTAGCGGCCGCGTACGAGGCTGCTGGCGACGAGGAAACGATGGAGAAACTAGAGCGCCAGGTCTTGGACCTACGAAGAGCTCTTTGCGAGCCCGAATCAGAGGAGATCCTCGAGATATCCATCAACCTCTCTCGTACTCTTAAAGACCTGCCGGAAGTACCTCCCGAATGTGAGGAGCTGCTTCGCTTCGTCACTGATACTAGGCTCAAAGTCTCCGGGGAACTTCATCCCGAGACGGCCGAGGCAATGAATGTCTATGGCCAATTTCTTATGCGGGCGGAACGATACGATGAATGCGCGCCCATGTTCGAAAGAGTCGTGTCTATCCGGACGCAGCTATTTGGTCGAACTCATTGGCGAACGACGCAGGCACTCGAAGCGCTCGTCGAGTGCTATCGGGAGCAACACGATCCTCGATGGGAGTCACTCCAACGCGAAATTGTCAGTAGTCGCGAGTCGATTTTTGGCAAGCTCCATCCTAATACGCTGCACGCCTTGAACTCGCAAGCGGATGCATATTATAAACAAGAAAGGTTCGCAGAAGCTGAGGACCTATGGAAGCAGGAGATTGCTGGGCGAAAGGCCAGTGGAGAGACAGACCTGTTTCTTCTCGGTGCTCTCGACCGACTGTGTCAATGTCTTCTGGATCAGAAAAAGGACGAAGAATATGAGGCCGGGCGCAGAGAGGAGATTGCAGGAAGACGAGAGGTGCAGGGCAATCAGAACAGTGACACCCTGGTCACGATCGAATCCCTCGCAAACTTTCTGTATGAGAAGAAGCGATACGACGAAGCGGAGGCCATGTATTTGGAGGTTCTAGAAGGCTACAAGATCATTTATGGCGCTGGTCACGTCCACGTACTCACCGCTATGGGTAACCTTGCTCGCTGCCGGATGGGCCAAGAGCGGTTTGCGGATGCTGAACCACTCTGCATCGAGGAGCTTGAGAGCAGAAAGGCATTGAGTACCGAGGTTACCACCGACCTACTCCTAGCGATCTTTGACCTCGCGCGTTGCAAGTTTGAGCTCGATAATATCAAAGCTGCACAAGAGCTTTGGGAATCCGAGCTAGAAGGGAGGAAAAAAATCCATGGGGACCTACATGCGGACACTCTCGACTCTATATATTGGATCGGTCGATGCCTATTCAAGCTTAATCGGTATGAGGAGGCGGAGAAGAACTTTAGAGCGGTACTTGCTGGGAGAAAGGAGTTGTTCGGAATGCTATACGAAGACACCACTATAGCCCTCTACTGGGTCGCCAAGTGTCGTTCAGAGCTGAAATTCCACAAAGAGGCGGAGGATATGTGGACTGAGGAGCTTATTCTCGAGAGACAAATCTTCCCCACCATCAACGACAGCATAGTGGTGACGATGGAAGCAATTGCGCAGAGTCTCATGTTCCAAGAGCGCTACCAGGAGGCGAGCTCGCACTGGGATGAAGTGCTAAAGGCAAGAAAAGCATTGCATCCCGGTCTCTCCAAAGAGGTGCTCAACGCGATGTTCCGGAAGGCTCGAAGCCTCTTCGGATTGGAGAAGTACGACGAAGCTCTGGAGCTCTGGAAGCAGGAGTTGGAGGAGAGAAGACGCTTGAAACCTACTCTCGATTCTGACGCGTTGGACGCCATGCATTGGCTTCGTAAATGCCATCTCGAACTCGGAAACATTCACGAGGCAGAGGCGTTGGTACAAGAGGAATTACCAAAGAGGCGAGAGCTTCATGGAAATACCCACGCCGACACCATCAGTGCTATGAGTGGTCTGTCTGAATGCCTTTGCAAGGTGGATCGCCGTTCCGAAGCCGAGCCATTGCTTCGGGAGGCACTCGAGCAAACCCGTCTACTTCGAGGCGGGGATCACGAGGATGTATTTGAGCGCATGCAAGATCTCTCCAAATACCTCTTCGACAGCGAGCGGCATGCCGAAGCCGAGCAAATTGGCCGAGAAATAGTCTCGCTGGCGGAGAGACTCTTCGGCACAGAGGATGAGAGAACGCTGCTTGCAGCTGGGGACGTCGGGCTCTATCTTTATTCGCAAGGGAAACACCGCGAAGAAGAGTCTTTCCGGCGTCAGGCCGTTCGAGGACTAGAAAAGATTAGAAACAATGGGCATGAAGAGCTATTTCTGAATAGCCTCTTCAATCTTGCGATGTGTCTTTTTCTGCAGGACCGATATATTGGGGCAGAGAGGCTATGGGTCCGGGAAGTCCAAGGGAGAAGAAACCTTCACGGGGACCTCCATGTCGACACGTTGGATGCCCTTCACTGGTTCGCTCGATGTCGTTTTGAGCGTGATCGTTTCCGTGATGCCACATTCCTATTCAAACTGGAACGGCTTGGTCGCAAACGGCTGAATGGCGATGACCACATAGACAGCATCGAATGTCTAGATTGGCTCGCGCTGAGTCACTTTAACCTAGACGAGTATGCATATGCTCAGCGACTCTGGAAGAAGGTCCTCGCCTCACGGAGACGGCTGAGCGACGATGTCAACGAGGACGTCCTCGACGCGTTGAGTTGGCAAGCCCGCTGCTTTGCCGAGATGGAGGAATATGAACGGGCAGAGCTAATCTATCGATGGAACGTGGCTGCTTGGAAGAGGATTGGAAAGGAGCAATCGGAGGATGCCATTTTCGACCTCCAGTGGCTTGGGCAGTGTCTGTTCAAGCAGGGCCAGTATCGAGAAGCCGAGATCGTCTGGAGACGCGAGCTCCTTGCTTGGAAGCACCTCGAGGGACGTCAGAGCGAGAATGTCGCCTCTACGTACGATCGTCTCGCCGACTGTCTCGAGGAGAGAAAGGAAATCAAGGAATCCTTGGAGTTTCGACGAAAGGCAATAGCTATGTGGCGACTCATCGGAAATAGGGCCGGCGTTCGAAAAGCGCGCCAGAGTCTCCGCGAGACGCTATCTAGATAAAAAAGCAGTATATTATGTATAACGCTGCACCCTTGTTACTATCCAAAGTCTGTCAGAAGAGATCCGCTCGTCGGGACCAAAGGCGCAAACTCCGTGACAATCTTGGCCTCGACCACGATTATAAGATGGCTAGAACCGTCTATGAACAGCGCACAATGCAATGTAAATGGACAAGCTATGCCTCTTGAAGGAACGGACTTTATTTTCACACTGCCCGATGAGCGGGATTGCCGATATGTAGACAGACGCCCGTGCCGGGAGAAGAACGGCAACAGGAACAGCAGTGCATAGAGGTCGGGCGGCGTTAATGGGCAACTGTCCACTCTTTATAATGCACGGTGAAACTCCCTCGGGCCGCCTCCTCATCCCCTTTTCCTTCTTTCTTTTCAGCGCCAGAGCTTTCGTCTTTTCTTCTGGTCTCTGGCTCTCTCTATAATGGCATCAGTCTCGAAACTCTCTACTCTCGTCGCGCTTGGACTCGCCGTTGTCGATTTTGTGGCGGCGGAAAATTATGACCCAGCAAAGCATCATCCACGCTGGGAAGATCTGAGAGCGAAGAGAACAGCAAGTCAACTACATAGAAGAGGTCTCGTCCCTAGACAAACACCAGGAGGTGTCAAACCTGGTCAACCAACACACCAAGTACCGGATAGTATGATTGGCGGCTTCGAGAGAGTTGGTGATTCATATGTCTCTGCACAACAAATGTTTCTTGGTACAGATAAGCTGGTATGTCCTTACTGTTACGATAGTGCTATGAAGAAAGGCTCACGGATGTCGAATTAGGTGTACATCCTCGACAAGGTCGAAGGGAATCCACATCAGATTAACGGACATCCTGCCTGGGCTTCCGTCTATAATCTCGAAACCAAAGAGACCAAAGCACTTGAAGTAGTCACCAATACATTTTGCGCAGGCGGTGGTCAACTTGGTTAGTGCGATCTGATGCTCAACTGACAATAGCTCATGTCTACCCTAGGTGACGGCCGATGGCTCAATTTGGGAGGAAACATGGCTTCGGATCCGAACGGTGTAGATGCGGTGAACCAGAATGGTGACAATACCTATCATAACTCGGATGGAGGTAAATCCGCGAGAACAATACTTCCTGGTGATAATGCCGAATGGACAAACGACCAGAGTCTCGATTTGTGAGCAACCTTTGCACGTCGTTGCTTTGCTGACAATACTCAGGACGGAGCGTCGATGGTATCCTACTCTGGAACCCATGGGTGATGGAAGGATGTTCGGTACGCTTACAATACTTGAAGTCGTCGCATTCTCACTGTTTGGTAGTCTTTGGTGGTTCGAAGACTGGCGACTTTGTCAGCAGGTGAGCGATTCCCTGAAAGTCGAGTTCATTGAGCTGAATGACTATAGTTTGGACAACAACAATCCAACATACGAGTTTTGGCCCCGTCGTGATGGGGAAACTCCTGTCGGTAGCCCAATCCTTATCGACACGGTTCCCGCCAACCTGTATCCCATTACACATCTCCTACCCACTGGTCAATTCCTTTTAAATATCAACCGCGCTGCTGCCATTCTCGACCTTAGCGGGCCATTACCTCGAGAGTTGCCCCTCCCCACCGTTCCCGACGCTGTTCGTACCTACCCAGCATCAGCAGCCACATTCATGAAGCCAGTCACCGTCAAGGATGGATGGAATGCGACAGTCGTCTATTGCGGCGGGAGCGACATTGCTCGAGAGGACTGGTTGAATAGGGACAAGATATTGATCAACATCCCGGCATCGGCAAGCTGCATCAGCATGTCTCCTGCATTTTCGGGTGATTGGGACTTTGAGGACTCGTTGCCTGCTGGACGAGTCATGTCCAATGCGATTATTTTGCCTGATTCGACGGTGGTCATTCTGAATGGCGCGAATATGGTCAGCTTATTTGTATTGCTCAGGTCGAAGGCTGTACTAACTGACAATGCAGGGTGTGGCTGGATATGCCAATGCACAACAACAATCTTGGTCCGTGGACGACAGTTTGGCAGACAGACCAGTCTTCCGACCGGTCATATACGATGGCAGCAAGCCAAAGGGCCAAAGGTGGTCGGATCAAGGCCTCCAAGAATCACAGGTCGCGCGCATGTATCACTCCACAGCAACTCTGCTGCCCGATGGTACGCCGCAGTCTCCCAGACCTATTGACCTCAACTCACCCTTCTCCCATAGGATCCGTTCTCGTCTCGGGAAGCAACCCACATGCGGACTATAGCCCCCAAAAGACGTACCCGACCGAATACGCCATTGAACGATTCTACCCTCTGTACTATAACAAGCGTCGTCCGGAGCCATCGGGCATCCCAACCACTTTAACCTATGGCGGGCAATACTTTGACCTTCAGCTCTCCTCTGAAGACTTGGGCGGAAACATTGGAAACTTAAACGCCGTCAAAGTTCAACTGGCACGCACTGGATTCTCGACACACGGAATCAACTTTGGGATGCGTATGGTCGAACTGGAATGCACGTTTACGGCCAATTCGGATGGAAGCGCGACATTGCATGTCAGCCAGCCTCCGCCAAATCCGAATGTAATCCCTCCTGGCACTTCTTGTGAGTTAACCTTGCTTATAGTCCTCGTAATTGAGTGCTAATAACCGCTGTGTAGGGCTCTTTGTCGTCGTCAATGGTGTTCCCTCGGTCGGCGTTCAAGTCATGGTTGGGTCTGGAAAGATTGAGCAACAGACTCTTCATGATGTTGAGCCCCTCCCGGCGTCATCGACGGTGACGGCCACGCCGGATCATCAGACCAACAACGGCGGATCGCATCCTTCTGGATCACCGAGAACAGTAGCACTGACCAAGTCAATTTCTGCGCTTTTGGTCGGGCTATTGGGTGTATTTGCGCTCTTTTAGAGGCGCCGTGGACTCACGAACCTATATTACCGGATATGGACTACATTTACTCGCTTATTTGGTACTTTCATGGACAGTCTACTACACAAATAAACGCTCTTTGACATTCATTGTGACACGTATCTAAACACGCTCTCTCACTTGCTCCCGGCCACAACCGTGGGCCGGAATATAAATAGTCTACATAACTCTGCGGAAGGAATGAAGGACTTCCTGAAAACTGGTTGGCAACTCTGGGTCAGCCTGAATGCGAAAGTTGATGACCTTGCCATCCAATTCCTCGATGAACTTGTGTTCTCTCAATATGCCGACGAGTTCATAGATTCTTATGATCCCAGCGGTACGTATTACCTATTTGCGAATCGCATATACTGATATGGAGAATTCTTTGCAGTTATTGGTTCGTCTTTGGGTTCTGCTAGGCTTGGCTTCCTTCCGGACGAGCTTCTCCTAGCTATATTTACCCATTTTGTCATGGATTGCAACTCTCCATGGCACTTGACGCTCGTTTGTCGTCGCTGGAGGGCGCTTGCTCTCGGGGCGGCTGCGCTTTGGACGGACATTACCCTGAGCGACTCGCCTCCCAGCAACGCGCACGGTATCGATGTATGGAGAATACACCATCGTATCAGATTGGTGTCTCGGGGATCTACTACAGTTTGCGAGACCCCACCGGTGTTTGAGGATGCTCTCAAGCGAGCGCGCTCTGCACCTCTTCGGCTGGCGGTCAGATTAAGCCAACAAAATATCAATGATCTCAAGAACTGGTATTCCGTTCTTGCACAGTCCAAGGGCGTCTCCGTTCGAACTCTCGAGTTTGACACGAGCCCCTTTGGTGTAGGCTTCCTCACCGCACTCTGCCAGTCCGTGGAAGTCCGCAATCTCGAGCAAGTCGTTACGTATGCTCCGCGGGGACTACCCCCACTGTTGATCACCGCGTTGCAAACGGGACAACGACTGACTAGCCTTAACGTTCCATTCGAACTCTTCCTCCGTCTGGATCGTGATGACGTAGGGCTTCATTTGCGCCTGAAGGAGCTTGCTACTGGCTTTCCTGCCCGTAACCTAGCAGACTTTGACAACGTCATATCCAAGTATCAAAAGCTGCACCGGTTACGGATCCCCTTTGGAATTTGGCCGGGTTGTCGATCACCGCATATCAAGCTTCCCCTACTAGAAACGCTGTCCACCCAGTGTTCGCCGTGTCATCTGGGCAAGGTCGACTTTCCCGTACTTCAAACCTTCTTCATTACTATCAACGACAGGGAGTGCTTGTGTCGTTATCAAGCGACAGCGAGCTATTGCTTTCCATGTTTGACCGAGTTGAACATCGTTCCGACGCAGGAAACAGACACGGCTTGGATACGGGATATGAAGGTTCCCCTCTCTTGAGAGGATCGCTTTTGACGGAGAGTCGTTTCCCGCAGACCCGCCTGTGGTGTTGCCGGCGGTGCCACGGCTCAAGTACTTTCTAATGGCCACCATTGCAGCATTTCCACTCAGTGACGAGACATTTAGGTCCATGCCCTCTGTGGAAAACGTGATACTCTTTTCGCTGAGTGACGATCTAGTGTTGTACGAGCAGACTCTATACGCACTGTTCATGGATATGCCGTGTCCGCGGCTACGGACTTTAACTATCGGCACTGTGCCACACTTCTCCATCCACATCGACCTTTATTTAAAGCAGGTAGTGCGTTCAAGTGCACGGAGACCGCCTTTGTTGGAGCATATCGACGTCCTATGGAAGGATTATGGGTTGCATCGCTATTCAGTAGATCCGGACGATTAATAGAGTAGCTTGTGCTGGGTAATGACACGAACCGTATTTATCCCTTGAAGTGATGTTTGCTCAAACTTGAACTCGACCACAACACCTTGCTACGCAATTGGGGGATATCTTGAATATCCTATTGATTAAACGATGAGACCGACTCTGATACGCGCTGCATCTGCTGCGCAAGCCCGAAAACCGTTGATCCATTTTGTCGGCAAACGGACTGGTGCGTCTTGCTTTGCCAGAATCGTGATTAGACTCTCACAAAAACTGTTTTTTCAATGATACATCTTCTCCAACTTTGGATTTTATCTCCTTTGGCTACGCTTGGAATGTGCGCTATCGAAATGCGTCACACCTGGATACGGCGGTCCATGGGGATGGTCAAATTCGACATTACCAATACCATGGGTTTCTTCAATTGCGAATACGGACCCAAACTTGTGGTTACGACTGCGCGTGATTCTGCGTTGTGAAACAACATGGCCTGCAATTACCTACACCGCGATACTTGGATACTTGGATTTTGAAAACAATGGACTACCAATGATACTTTCTACTTTTGCGGTGGAATTACCGCCGACGTTGAACTCGGCGAAACGCAACTTGTCCCAAAACGGCAACGGGGAATCCGAAAATATGCGATTTATACTTGATAACTATTAGGAGGACATGTAGAGGCACACCGTCCACACCCGGCCGCACCCCAGGATATCAAAGACGCGTTTGCCAACCTTTTCAAGCGGTTTGACTCGTCGTCATCATCTACTAGTGCTTCTGTTGCATCCAGTACTGGAGGAGCATCTGCAAAGAGTGAGAGTCCTAATTCAAAGGCGAGCGGGAGTCGGACGTATGCCGAATTTTGGGAGGCACCGGAAAAGCTATGGAGGACAGTGGCAATGACGGAGCGTGAAATGGAGAGTGTTATGGTATGTCCTATGCTGGCTTTGTGATGTGTTGATTGACCAATGTCAATTAGACTGGTGGCGCCGCGTAGATTTGCAAGCTATCGTATTCTAATTGTGTGTTATTGATCGACACGTGCTTGTTTCTGGAAAGAGAGAAAGCGGAACCGGAGATGAGATGGAGCCCCGCAATAATGCGGATTTCTAGAAGAGGTGCCGTTGGCTGACGAGTTGTCCGGCAGATCTGGCCCACGGTGCTGAGGCTGGGGAGTGCCAACTCTTGAACACTGACTCGTGTGATACTACGGTCAACGGCATGCGCCCATTGGCAGAATCTGGTCACAAATAATTCGTCTAGATTTGCTTATTCGTCTCCTCTATCTCCAGACGCATTCCGCATATTCCGATTCACTTTTTTCGACTACCCACGACGACCAACATCGGCCCTTCGAGCACCAACAGCACGTGTAATATCTAAAAAGAAGCACTCATCATCCAGAAGAATATGATTCCAAAAGCAGCAACGACTCTGTTCCACTTTACTACTGCCCGTGTCGCTGCTGCCGTCCAGACGGGCACACAGACGATCACTCCGTCGCTCATCAATGCTTTCCAGCATCAACCTCAGCAGCAGCTCGCGAATGCTGCCTCGAATGCGACCACTTCGCTCGGATGGAGCGCGGGGGCGTCGGGTGCGACGAGCAGCGCGTCGAGCAATGCTGCCAGCGCAAAATTCAATGCAGGAGGTCGCTTTTATAATGCATATCAGGTATGTAGTCGTCTATTTCCTGGTATTTCCCCAGCGTATGGACACGTCGTGCTGAGCATATCACGTTCACACCGAGACTTTTTCTTGCTTGCTTTCCATCTTGTCGCAATAATTCTAACAAGCTTATAGCAGGCAACACAGGATCCTTCCTTTGCAGCTCAAGATGACGAAGAGCGACGGAAGCGCAAGCAGCTCGCCAGACGGGCATCCACCGCACGTCCATTACACCAAAAGCACCACCAACTTATCCGTCGTAATCCGAATAATGCACTCATCTCTATCCCACCGTCACGTCTCGTCCAAGCGAGACTCTTGCAAACAAAGTCGTACCCAGGTCCTCATTACCGACCTCAACGACGAGATTCAGAAGAGACAGTCGTAGACAATGCCACATCACGATCCTCTTCGCGAGCGCTCGTGCGTAGTCCAAAGGCCGGTCATCTCCAGCGGTACTATGCCACTTCTGCCACAGACTCGCCGTCTTCTTTATCCGCAGAAGGAGTCGAAACTGCACTAGATCTGCGCGAGTCCGGCTCGAGCGCTGGATCTCTCGTCGACGAGCATGCGGAGCAAGCGATGGGCATGAGCCAGTCCGATGCAGAGTTGTACGAAGGAAGCGTCGCGGAGAACAACGAGGCGCTGTTCGAGATGATTGAGCAGGATGCAGCGGCTACACTCGCTGAGAGCGCCACCGATCCATCCTCTCCGCAATCAGTTCTCCCTCCTACCAAACAGGCTCGTGACGTCCGTCAAGGCGGTCAATTCCGACACCCGAGTTTACAGGCCATTTACGAATTGGCGCGTGGGCGATCCCAGGCGGAAATGGCAGGCGAGTGGACGAGTCAAAAGGCAGACTCGGCTGTCAAACAGCTGGAGAGGCATATCCAGACGTTAAGAAAGGACGGTGTTAGTGACTCTACAACTTGGTCATATGTCCTTTGGGCCGTCATCGTCCTCCGACGTCCTATGGAGAGCTTACACCGGGCGATTGGGCTGTACAATGATCTCTTGAGTGGATCGTTTGTGCAAGTCAAGACGCCCAAGCCAAACTCGCTCCAAGGTTTGGAAGAATCGACGGATGCGGGTGTCATCATTCCCTCCGAGGCCGTCGTGGGATTGCTCATCCGCTCTTTGGCGGTACGAGACGAAGAGGTGTACATCATCTTGAATCACCTTTATCGCTTCGAGGAGATGCACTCGTCCGTGTCTGTCGACGAGCAAGGCCAAAGGGAGGATGTTCATGTCTCGCCCGCCCAGGTCGACAAGATGCAGCAATTGGAGCAGGAGAACAATCTTGCACCAGCCATGGCACTCCTGAACGCGACGCTTCAACAAGACACCCCGAGGAGCCTGGGTATCACTACGTATAATTTACTCCTCGTCGCCGCTCGTCATCATGCGATTATTCAAATGTCAAAGGCACAACAAGGTGAAGAGGTCAAGGTAGATGCCGTTGGTGGCGTCTCGAGTGCGATCACAGTTTACGCGCACATGGAGAAGAGTGGATGCTTGCCCAATGCGCGGACATTCCAGTTGCTCTTGGATGTGAGTATCTTTTCCTCTGTGAGAAACACAAGTATTGACGTGTGGTAGATCTACTCGCTGTCCAAAGACCTTGAGGGTGCCCAGGAGGTGTGGAACGAGTTCCGTTCTGCCTGTGCGCGTGGTGGGATTGAATGGATCGCCGATGCAGAGAAGGCCAACATGCCAAACCGTCAACGCTCTCAATTCTTGCCATCATGGTCCAAAAAGGCACGGGTACTCCAACCGCATGAGCCGCTCAGTCCGCCTGCCGTCAGGAGTTTAATTGGCGTGTGGACGCAAATGATCCAAGCTCATTTCCGATGTGGAGATGCGGTTGGTGCGTTGGCCATTCTGGAGAAGATGATGGATTCGACGTCGTTTGCTCCCGCCGCTTCGACTTCTACAAAGACCGCGTCGGCTACAGAGTCTGCAGCAGCGGATTCGGACCTTGTCACGTCGATCACCTTGACGCCCGTCGACGTCCCACCGCCATCTGCGCGTACGTACCATGAGGTTGTCAAGAGCTTTATGGATATGGGGGATACCGCTACGGCTATCGCCTGGTTCAAGCGACTCCTTGAGCAAACGCCCTCGGCCCACCTCGACAAGAACCACCAAGCCCCGCAACTTGCAATCGTCCACCAGTGGGATCCCATCCACGTACCACCGCGTCCGAGTCGTACGCTCTGGGACTCGATGTTGCAGCATCTGTATGACCGAGGATTGGTGCGCGAGATGGAGGACTTGACTGATTATGCCAACGTACTCGCCGTAGAGTATTATAAGCGCAACTTGCTTCCACAGGTCGCACAGAAGTGGCAGAAGATCCTGGCCAAAACCTCCAATGCCGAGGCCTCGAAGGCGACCGAGGAGAAGAGAAAGCTAAGCCCAGCGCAAAGGGCTGAAGTGATGGCTCTTATACGTCAAGCGTATGGTAGGCATCATGTGCATTACGACCTGCGCGAAAGGCAACTCTGGGGTACGATTTGGCGCTCATGCGTTGCTGGACTCGAGGCGAGCAAGTTGGAACCGACCGAGGCGCAACGACGACTGGATTGGACACAAACAAGACTCATCGACAAGCTTTTCCAAGAGGAGAAGCTGGACGAGTTTGTGGCCAAGTATCTTGACCCTGCCTCGGACGCGAGCTCCTCGCCTTTGACACCAGACGAGGCGGCGTGGTTCCTCGCTTGCTTCCAACCTCACCCGCGTTCTCTCATCGATACGGCGGGTCGCGCTCTCCGTAATCGTGGATGGCATGCGGTCGGGATGTATATCAACCAGAACCGGCTTGATGATGCCATTATGCTCGCGAGCAGGTTGTACACAAAGGAAAGACAGCAGGTTGTCGCACACGAGACGGGGTCAGTTGATCCAAAAGAACTGGAGGAGCTTGGCGACGAGCCACCCGTCGAAGCACTGACCGCACTCTCAAACCTGTGTACGCTCGTGAGCGGCTTGCTGGAACGCCTGTGGGTGTACGGGTCAGAAACGAAGCAGTTCCCGTCGTTGAATGGGCTGCTATCGATGCTTCGACTTGTGGATGCGGCGGGTATCTTGCCACCAATGCGCGCGGCGTGGTATCTCAGCAATGCGTTCCTCTCTTACCGCGATGATCCTGCACTCAAGTCACTTACCCGACACGACTGGACGAACCTGGCGAAGACCTTTTCCGCCACGGCCATGTCCGTTCACTACGAGGATAACCGACCGCAGCCCAACCCAGAGCTCGCATGGCAATTGGTCAGCTTTTTGCAGATTTTGCACTCCAACGGGGGAACGCTCCGCAACCTAGGCAAGAATAACGTCTATCGGATCTATCGCATCCTTCAGTACCACCTCGGCCAAGCCAAAGTCGACGAATTGCTCCAGTCACTCGGGCCTGGATTCGTCGATATCAACGAACATTTGCCGCTATATGTCAAGAAGAGCGGCGTGATCGACGTTCCACCCGACCAGGTCCCAGAGGCATCCGCAGCCGTTCAAGCTACCGTGGACGAAGTGCGCGGGGTGACGAATGGGAAGCTGGACATGATCAGCAATTCTGTCATTGGTGACGGACAGCCTCTCGCCAAACGCTCCACGTATCCGCTTGTTATCAGTCCCGCGCAGAGCAACTATATCAACGAAGGCTCTCGTTCGAATCCAGCATATATCAACGGTGTAGGCGGAAATATCCCACCGGAAGTTGCCTATGAGCGCCTGCTCGCGGGGTACAAGCTTGGCGATGTCCCTGCACCCGAGAGCATTGCGCGACTGATTGTCACACTTGGACATTCCAAGGCCAAGGACAAGGTTATCGTTTGCTATCAGATTGGTAACGAGATTTTGTCCACCTTGGAGAACAACAAGTCTTGGCAGGCAAGCGCTTGGTTTGCGCTCGAAGACGCGATGATCACGGCCCTGTCGCATTGTGGAGATATCAAGGCTGCGTCGATTCACCGCTCGAGGCTCGTAGCCCAAGGAAGTGCGCCTTCTGCAAACTCATACGGAGCCCTTATCGCCAATATCAAGGACACCACCGACAATGCATCCGTCGCGACAGAGTTATTCGAGGAGAGCCGACGACTTGGAGTCGAGCCCACTGGGTACCTCTACAATACGATTATCTCTCGCTTGGCCAAGGCGCGCAAGGCAGACTATGCGATGGTGTTGTTCCAGGCAATGAAGACCGCTGGGTTGGCGCCAACGGAGGTCACGTACGGGGCTGTCATTGCTGGTTGTGCGAGAATTGGAGACGTAGCGACGGCCGAGACGCTCTTTGAGGAGATGACGACCCTTCCGGCGTACAAGGCTCGCATCCCGCCGTTCAATACGATGATGCAGTTGTATACGCACGTCAAGCCAAACCGTGAGCGGGCGCTTTACTACTACCACTTGATGGAGCAAATGGGTGTGCAACCGACTGCGTATACGTACAAGGTTTGTCATTTTCATGTTCGGCACATACGATTTCTCATCGATTTCTAGCTCATGTTGGACATATATGGAAAGATTGAGCCCGTTGACATTAGGAAGATGGAGGAGATAATCGACTTGATGAAGCAACGTGGAATCGAGATTACCGGCAACCACTATGCGTCGATCATCATCACTCATGGGTGCTCGACGTCCAATCTCGAAGCTGCCAAGGGTGTCTTTGATGGCCTGCGTGGGGCTAATCGACAAGTGACGTCTACACTTTTCCCTGTTAACAAACGCGGTCGTTCGACGCGGGTTACATTGCCCGACGTAATTGCATACGAGGCCATCCTCGCCGTCTTCCTCAGCCACCACCGAATTGACCTCATGCAGCAATACTTTGAGCAAATGATCAACGTTGACAAGGTTCGCCCGACGGCGTACATCAACAACATTCTCATCAAGGGGTACGCGTCGATTGGGAATATGGAGGCAGCTCGAGAGGTATTTGAGAGTATGCGAGATCCAGCGGCTGGTGCAGCGGCGCCCAATAACCATGCGCCGCACATGACGCATGATGGACCGCAACTCGTCAACGGTTCGGTTGTCGGGAACGTCAATGATCCCGTCTTCCGAGAGGTTCGTCTCTGGTTCTGTCGAAAGAGTATGTCTGCTCACTGATTTGTATAGCCTTCGTCCTGGGAAGCCATGGTACGCGCCGAGCTCAGTGTCGGCGATCGCAACCGGGCCAACGCGCTCCTTGAGCGTATGAAAGCGCGATTCTACCCTGCAGCGATTACGGCCAAGATTGAGGGTATCCTATGGGAACCACCGCAACCATTGATTCCACCGCGGTCTTGAGGTTGCTGGCTGCAAGCATTTTCCCTCTCGTCCTCGTTCTCTTTCCTTTGGTCGCGCATTTCCGTCGCATTGCATTTTTTGCTCCAATCATCACATTCGTATCATTTATTCCTCCTTCGTGCACGCCGTATTCCTCTCGCCGCCATTCAATGCATCCACCGCGAATGCTCCGCGTACCCACCATTCAATAATGCTACTCTCATCCCCATTGTAGACGTCACTAAGTACTTGCTCTCCCTCTCGTGTTTGTTTCTTGTTGGAATCGTGGGACCCGTTCCGAGCTACACGGTGTATTTTATGCTACGTCCCCGTAGAGTGATAGAACTACCCCCTTTCACACAGAAACCTCCCTTTGAGAACTGGGTTCGATTGCGGAACATGTACAGCGACCTAGAGCGACGGAGAACTTGAACTGCGACTACGATCGGAGCTCGTTGCATAGTTCCCATGTCCTTGATGAATCTGACCTGGTGGTATATTACTTACAGATTGGATCACCCTGATGGGTATTTTCAAGTTACTAGACGGGCCTCTCGCAATCTCTGGACGATACTAAATAGAAAGCTAGACCTTCTCGTAACGCGTAACATGGACAAATTCGTCCTCGGTCCCTTCGTTGAAGATTATGCCCACTCGTATACTCCCAAAGGTCTGCGCGTTCAGAAGGTGACCGTTATCTGCATTGTTGACGCCCTTTGGCAGCACAACGGCTTCCCCACCTGCCAGATGATACTCTTCTAGAGATCTTCCATTGCCTTGTCTTCGACGAATTGACGTCCCCATGGCATTTGACGCTGGTTTGCCGCCGGTGGAGGCATCTTGTCCAATACGGCTGCACTTTGGACCCGCATATCAATCGAGGACATGACGCATTACCATTCACCTTCTTCCATTGATCTATGGACGACTCCCTCCGGAACTCGAATCACAATGGGATGCACCAATATTTGCAGAAGTCTAGCAGAGCTCGAGGACGCCCTCAGACGGGCCCAATCTGCACCCGTGGAGCTTAAAACCCGGTTTGATACATCAACATCGATGTGGCCTGGCGCGTTCCCTTGTTATGTCTGAAAGAGACCAACGTTCGATCGCTCGCCATTATTCACTTCCCGTCCTGTGGAGCGGAGTTTCTCGAGGAGCTGAGTCGTAATCTCGACTTTACCTCCCTTCAAGATCTGCACATGTACATTCCTGCCATCCAAGGAGAAGAAAGACTCCTGCCGGTTCTATTACACATTGTTCAGCGATCAGCACCACAACTCACCAAACTCTCATCATCAATTAAATTATTCAAAGCAATTCTTCGTGAGGAGTTTCGCCCCCAACTCCAGCTCCAGAACCTTTTCATCATCTCGGATCTGTTCGACAGTTCGTTGGATCCAAGCGGCCATTTTTCCATATATCTGAATCTCCGAGCATTATCCCTTGACGATCTATCGTTTCTTTCTTGTGCTACGCCTAATCTTACCTTTCCTCAACTGGAATCTTTATCTATGCGCATACGGTCACCTGCGCAAGTTCAACCTTCCATCTTTGAAGATCTTGACTCTCGGTTCAATTGACGACGGCGAGTGCACTTGTAATCCTCCAGACATTCGGTATACTCTTAGCTTGGTATTTCCTTCAATGACCTATATCAGCATATCAGCGCAAGTACCCGATACATACTGGATACGCCGCATCAAAGCACCTCTCTTGTCGCATCTGTCTTACTCGAGTTGGGAAATGAACTCCTCCATGTTGGGGCTTCCGGCAGCTCCTGGACTCGAGAATATCACCATCACCCACCATGACTATTTTGGTGAGGTCGATTTCTGGACGATACCTAGAGCCAAGCATTTGACCCTATCTCTCGATAAGGCCAACAGCCTCACTGAATGGGAGATCACTTTGGATGCACTATTCAAATCTGCGCCTTGTCCCGAACTACGCACGCTGTGCCTGATATCCAAGGGGCTCAACTACGACTCCTCTCTGGATCTCTATATCAAGAACATCACACGCAAATGTAGGCCTACGCAGCCATTTCTTGAGCACATACGATTTTTGTGGAGAAACTACGGCCATTATGTGTATTATATAGAATAATAAATCTATTCGAGGCCAATAAAGCTAATTTCCACTTGACCGTCAGACTTATCGACACAGAATTTACGAGAATTCATGATACTAACGAACTATACCCTTTCAGAGCTGACCCTCTGTGTAATTTTGTTATGAAGCCCGTTGCGAGTGGCCTCTGTGTTTCTTAGACCTGACAATCTTCGACTCCAATGGCAATTCGGCTTTGAGAAGCGTCCAACTAATGTTTCTAAGCGTTCAATTGGTCTTTGCAAAATGCATGCGTCATGTATGATCTTCCTGGCTTCGGCGCCGTGGATTTCTATCACGGAACGGGTTATCTTTAGGGCCTCTGGACGTCATTCAATCTTCCTGTTCTTAAAATGCGATTTTGATACATAAATATAAAGTATTTTTAACTCCGGGTGCAGTTTCACTCACCTTATCCCCCAAGGAATCCCTAGAAACCATGGCGCTTTCAAAGCATGGTGAGCGACGCCAGACCTGAAATTTACTCCATGTTAACACACATTATTAGTTGATCCAGACCACCTGATCGAGGCGTGCAAAGATCACCCACACCTGGGCTTGCTCGACGAAGGACACAACCCAGCGGTGCACAAGACCGTGTACGGTCTCTCTGACATCCCAAAGTTTACTCTCCCAAAGGAAGGAATCCCCAAATCTGCTGCGTATCAACTCATCCATGACGAAATGGAACTCGACGGGGCCCCTATTCTCAACCTCGCCTCCTTCGTGAACACTGGCATGGACGAACATCTGAACCGCCTCATGCAAGAAAATGTGAACAAGAATCTGGTCGATTTTGATGAGTACCCCGCTACTCAGGTGATCCATACGCGCTGCATTAGTATTCTCGCCGACTTGTGGAAAGTACCCAAAGGATGCAAGGCCATTGGGACTGCTACGACGGGCAGCAGTGAAGCCATCATGCTTGGTGGGCTCGCAATGAAGAAGCGTTGGCAGGTAGGCAATGCATCTTGTGAAGGGCTCTTGGTTGATTGGCATTGAAATATAGGAAAAGATGAAGAAAATGGGTAAAGATATCTACAGGCCTGGCCCGAATATTGTGTTTGGTGCGAACGCTCAGGTCGCTCTCGAGAAATTTGCAAGATACTTCGATGTCGAGTGCAGGCTCGTACCTGTGACGGTGGAGAGTCATTTTGTACGCGCATTTCTTCTACAATAGTCTCATCTCATATGATTCAGGTCATGGATCCAAAAGAGGCAATCAAGTTGGTTGACGAGAATACCATTGGCGTTATGGTCATTATGGGGTCGACATATACAGGCGAATTCGAAGATGTCAAGCAGATGAGTGATCTACGTGCGTTTAAAATCTCAAAATGCCATCTCCGCTCATTCGGAAATAGTCGACGAGTATGAAGCAAGGAGCGGGGTCGATATACCCATCCACGTCGACGGGGCTTCTGGCGCTTTCATCGCACCATTTGCTTATCCTGATCACCAATGGGCGTTTGATGTCAACCGCGTCAATTCCATCAACGCGAGTGGCCACAAGTTTGGTCTCACATGCGTTGGATTGGGATGGCTCGTCATAAAGGACGAGTCGCTACTTCCAAAAGTGATTACATCACTTGAAATGGAGCAACTTACTTATGGGCGGACTAGGATCTCATTTTCGAGCTTCATTACCTTGGCACCACTCAATCATCTTTCACTCTCAACTTTTCACGCCCAGCTGCACCTGTCCTTGCGCAAATGTATAGCTTTTTGGCTCTTGGTCGAAATGGATACACCGATATTATCCACGCCGATCTAGCCAATGCACGTCTCCTCAGCCGTGCACTCGAAAAGAGCTACTTTACTGTCCGTTGACATCATCTCAGCCGTGTTATTGATCTGACTTGCGGTATAGCTTCTGTCAAATATTCACCGTCCTGCCAAAGTCAATGTGACGACTCGCGCTGCCGTTGCGCTGGGTGCCAACGAAGAAGATCCAAATCTCTACTGGCGCGGCTTGCCGGTCGTCGCATTTCGCCTCTCAGATGAGTTCATGAAGGAATATCCACACGTTAAACAGCGCTGGATCCAACAGCTACTTCGAATGAAGGGGTGGATTGTTCCAAACTATAATGCACCACATGCAGTGGAGCGAGTGAGTGATGACAAGATCACCCTCATCTAATAGTTAACAGCTTTACAGATCGAGATGCTTCGTGTCGTCGTCCGGTCGACCATGTCTGCTGATCTGGTTGCACGTCTCCTTACGGACATCTTGGAAATCACGGAAAGTCTCAAGGGTGAGTTCATCATCTTGCGGCTAAGGAGCGGAGCTAATAAAACGTAGAACGAGGATCAGAAAACTCACTCATGATGGCACTCCAGACACACAGTGAGAAGGAAAAGAGTCAGACGTCTGCTCACCATCCCGCCCAACATCGTCCTTCTCTTCATCATAGCCCTCATGGTGGTCACCTTCACAAACACAATGGTAACCGCCCTGAATCTATGGGTGTTCATCACAAGGACGACGGTGGAATAGGACAAGTCGGTTTCGGAAGACCTTGTTGAAAATAGTATTGAGATAAGGAAAGTGAATGTAGGCAATAAAGATTGGTGAATTGAAGATGATCTAATCGCTCTTAACGGGCCGTTCTTTCCGTGTCCACCAAGCTGTGATTGACGGCTTTGATCCTTCCTCTTCAGCAAAATATTCCACGAGTCCAGAATGAGGCACAATTCAGATTCGAAAGAAGATCTACGGATTCTATCTCTCGGTGAGTGGCGCATTTCCGTGGGATTCACACCCAACTGAACATCGCTGTTCAAGATGGTGGAGATGCACGTTGTACATCACAGATCTTCATCCTTAGAGTATATATCTCGTCTAAGCTCGGATTCTGGGCGGGAAGTCTTGCCATGCGAACACTTTCATCTCATCACTGCCGTGGGACCAGCAGGGTAAGGCTGCTTCCACTGAAAATGGTTCTTACTGAAATCACCAGCGCTATAGCAGTCCTTATGGGCGCTTTGAAGATGTCTATAGATGATACCATCGACCTCTTCGCACAAATTTGCCGCGACGTTTATCCCGCGGAGAGATTGTATCCCAAACTCGATCCGAGGCTCTTCGAAGCGCTGTTGAGAGTGCACTCGTGAGCAAAGGAGTCGCTCTTAACACCCTATTAAGCCAGGTCACGGGCACGAATATGTAAGTCGAGTCAGGCTCACGCCGAGCTTGGTTATTTACGTTACCCCAGTGTGCTTGGCTATGCCTCTGCCACTAATATCGGAACATGGAGGGCTTTTCGTAATTATACGACGCGCCATCATGCGTATGACCCTACAATTATCGAAGCCATTTGCGCTTGCTGGGCTATGCCTCCGCAGTTCGAGGGTTTCATTGTTGGTACGGAGATTGAGAAGTCGAAGGTCATTAGCGCAGCCTCTACCTTTCCAAACCCGGCGCTTCAAGCGATACAAGAGGCCAGTGACCTCTACGGTCCCGAGAGACGTGTCTGTCTGCTGTTAAGTCTTGGATACGGTGGATCTATGCGCCGAAATGTGGGTGGAGACGACAAGCTAGTCCAAGCAGAGGTCACCGCTCACGAACTCGAACGACGCTGGGGGGATGACCGGCCTATATTACAGGCTCAGTGTTATTCCATCTATCGCTGCTGTAGAATATATTGCGCAGGAGACTCTTGGGAGCATTTCGGCTCATACGTCCGACTATTTACTCAATCCAGTTACCGATCGAGTGCTCGACCAACTAGTCAAGGCTTCATCTCACAATAGCCGGTTCACGCTCAAAAGCCTAAGTAATAGATGCATTTCCCGTTGATTAGTCGCTTATGGTCCATGCAGCTCAAGTTACTGCACCACCCAAGGTCTCTTTCAGCGGCCTTCCACCATTGTCGCCTTATTACGTTCAACGTGATACCCCAATGAACCACATGGTCGTATCTCTCCTCGGTTCTGAAGTGGAAGAGCGCCAACGGGTTCTCATCTTAACGGGCATGGGCGGATCCGGAAAGACCCAAATGGTCATCGCGTTTATTCGTGAAAACGGAGACTGGTGAGTGAGCAAGTCATGCGTTGTCTTCCTCTCAGATCGCATAGTTTCCAGAACGTCTTATTTATCGATGCGTCATCCACCAAGACTATTGAGACAGGCCTCATAGCACGACTCAAGGCTATTGACAAGTCGTTCCAGGGAATCGACCTCGACAGCGCATTAGAGGCACTCGCTCAACCGAATGAAGTTATTACTACAAAGTGGTGCCTCGTGTTTGACAATGCTGATGATCCGACGCTCGATATCGCCGAATTCTTCCCAGCTTGTGACCATGGAGCAATAATCATCACCAGTCGTAACGCTCAACTCGAGTCCATCTCTCCTAACGACCATATTTCGTTGGAGGTCATGACGAAAGATGAGGCTTGCGAGGCACTATTATCGTCCGCGATTGGTTCCAAAGACAGTTGGCGACCTCACCATCGACGACTGGCACTCGATATCGTCAAGGAGTTTGAGTATCTCCCGATCGCTGTCGTTCAAGCGGGATGCTACATTCGCAAAAATAAATGCTTGGAGACCTACCTTGGACGGCTGGAGGCGAGCCGTTCAGAGTTGTTGAGGCACGCGTCTATGCAACGCGACAAGCTTCGGTACAAGCACAGCGTATATGCTGCGTTCGATATATCCCTCACGTCCCTGTCGGAGCGGGCTCTCGGCCTCTTATCCATACTCTCCTACTATGATTACACCGGCATTCCTCGCTCCGTGCTCAGTCTTGCGGCGGCCAAGAACTTTGCACACGAAGATTACGAGCTGATGGATCGAGGGTCGGACTTCCAAGAGGCTATTGGTCTCCTCCGTCATATAATCACCCCTAAAGGCAAGTTTGAGGACGTAGAGGTGGATCGTATTATCGAGGAACTTCAACAGTCCTCATTGATATCTCTTGTCTCATTCGATTCGGATATTAAGCTCCGCTTCCACCCATTGATACACGCATGGGCATATGATCGGCAGAACGATGAGGAGAGGAGGAAATACCATGATGCGGCACTGAGACTCCTCACCTGCATGGTAGACGAGAATGACGGGATTGATATCGAGTCAGAGTTATACCCACACGCACGTCGCTTCATCAAAGAGATAACAGCGCTACACGTCAATGATCAAAGCGCACTGGTCGAAATTTGGCAAACCGACTCGGAAGGTCAAGCAAGGCTCATGATTCTCGAAGATATCTATCAACAAGTACGAGCAGCGTACGGCGATACAGATATACGGACGAGTCAAGCTCACCTTGTGCTTTGCATTCTGTATATCCGTGAGACATACGACACTTTGAAAGCGGAGGTCATTGCTCGGCAAGAATACGAACTACGAAAAACGATCAGTGGTCCCCGGACCGCCCCAACTGCTGAAGCAATGTCTATACTGGCCTTCTCTATGGACTTTTCCTTTACCAGGAAGGAGGAAGTTATGGATCTCTTTCACACAGCACTCGATATCCAGCAGGAAACACTTGGCCCAAATCACTTCTCTACTCAGGCGACCATGCAAATGCTCGCTACCTCATTGATGCGTGACGACCACGGCCCAGATGGATTAGAAGAGGCATCAATACTCTTGGAGAAACTTGTTGCAACACGTTCTGCCCTTTGGGGAGTGGATCGCCCAGAGACTCTGGAAACTATAGACCAATTACTCGAGTGCTATGCTGCTATGGGGGACGCCAAACAAGAAAAGCTCAAGGAGCTGCTAGAGATTCGTCAGAGTCGTTACAGCAGCTCGCCATCGGATAGCGTGGCCGCTCTCACCTTCCAAGGCCATGTGTACGAACTACAGGGACGACACGAGGAGGCTGAAAGTGTGTATCGGGAGCTCATAAAAACAGGACGAGATATGTTTGGAGACCTATCGCCGCGGAATCTAAATATTGTCATAGCGTTTGCAGAGTTTCTTCAGAGGAGGAAAAAGTATGCCGAGCTGGAAGTTCTGCTGCATCAGTACGTCAGAACCGACCTCAATATACATGGCACGGCGAGGGATCAACTGCGTTCTTTAGCAACAATCCTCGGAGAAACAATCCTGCTGGACGGGCGCCCTGAAGAGGCACTTCCTATCCTTAGGGCCGCGTACATAGCAGCTGTGGATCGCTTTGGCAGTTTCTGGGTTGGGATACTCCAAAATAACCAACTTCTCGCAGAATGTCTGCTCGAGCAGAAGCAATATGGAGAGGCAGAGCTGCTGTTTCGGGAGCAGGTGCATTACGCTCATCTTGCGGACAACGTCATTTCCAAGGCCGAATCCTCTGTGCACCTTGGTGTGTGTCTCCTTGAACAGGAGAAATATGAAGAGGCAGAATCGGTATTCAAGGATGCATATGGTGAGAGTAAAGAGGAGTCGGGGGCAATGCATGCGGAGTCTTGCCGCCTGCTCTGTTATCTAATTCTCACTCTCGAGAAGAAGAATGAGCTGGAGCGAGCTGAGCCTCTCATGCAAGAAATGCTCAAACTTTACGAGAACATTGACGGTGGCAAGGAGACTCCCATACTGTGGGTACTATCCACATTCGCCGAGATTCTCGAGCGGCAAAAGAGGCTCACTGAAGCGGAGGCCGTATGGAGGCATCGTGAGGAGAAATCGAGGGACCTCTTTGGTGCAGATCATCTTCAGTACGTGGCTGAAAGAGGAGCGCTGGCAATGTTCTTGTTTCAGCAGCGACGATACACCGAGTCTAAGACGATTAGAGAGGAGCAATTGGCAAGGTATATCGAAGCGGGTGATATCAATCGCCAAGATTTCATCAAGGAAAAACTACGAGAGATTGAAGAAGTACTCATATCAGAGAATGTTGGTGCGGCTTAGCTTACCATTGATGTTTCTTGAATTCGTCTGCTATATACTCACTAGACGAGTGGTCAAATAGATATTGAATTCAGAGTTGGGGTCTACTCTACGCGAGTGGATTTCTTGACTACCTCCATCTCCCAATCCATATATCAAATTCAGGCCTCTCGGGTTCGCGGCCTAAAATAAAGCCGGATCAATCAATCATTTCACAGAACAAGTTTTCGGGGCCTGTAAAGAAAACAAAATGGTCAGAGCGGACAGAGTTGAGAAGGAGTACACACAGCATTCATGCTTGCAGCTTTCAATGCACGGTCCAACACCTATTATATCGGGAGAGTGATTAATCAGCTAGAAGATACTTGTCGCGCGTGAACAGGACTAACATGTGGGACACCCGGGAGGAGGCATACATCCCATCATACAGATCGAGTTGCAGATACGGAAATCGTTTCCGTCACAGCATTCCTGTCGCTTCGCCTCGAGGTGCCCTCCCTCTTTGTCTGGCTGAGGCATAGGGTTTGAAAAGACCGTCGAGGCATATGGGAGGATAACTGTTGCAATAGCAAAGAGCTTCATAGCGTTCTAGGATTATTTGCATTTGTTAGGTTGAAGAGGAAACTGGGGAGTACGGCATACCAAAGTTTCTTCGAGTAGATAGAACCAAATGCTGAGAGTGATGCTTCATGGGTCGCCCATGAGTAGCCTTTATATACATCTTGGGACTACCTGTGGCTCGTCAACCCCACCTCCTGTCGGTTGCCCATAAATGAGCCAAGACGGGGATAAACGCGTTTAATGTACACCATTATTCACCACTCCTCCTCTTGAGCCCCTCAGCCGTCTGCCGAGCAAGAGATTGGAGGTGGCAACCATGTCAGTGGAGGCGGCTGCCGAGAAGAGATGAATGTATGCCGTCAGTGGATTCATCTTATTTCTTGCCGTTGATGCCGATCATCTATGCAGTCTATCAAAATTGAAGTATCAGGGGTCACGGAGATAACACTCCTCTCTCGCGCCGACTCCAACTCTACGTCAGAGTCCGCGTAGATTTGCCCGAATTTTGTACGAATCTGTAGAAAGAAACGCGGGACGAAGTCTCTAACGCCGTTCTAGGTGACCACAAGGACGGTTGCCAATGCCGTGCGGACGGGGATTAGATCCCGGCTCAAGATCATCGAGGACTACCTGGGGTCACTGTCTATACGGGGAATGGTACACATACTATCATTTTGTCGTTTCTACTTTACAATGCCTACCAAGATCCTTGAGCTCCAGCCTTTGGTTCCTCTGGGAACGGTTTACCGTCTGGCCGCGGGAAAACGGGAAAGGGAGGGGCATGTCCTTGGCCGTGAACTGGACGTTCCATCCAACGAACCTCGGGCTTCCACCACGAAGGCGACGCAGCGGCGTAAAACACTTTATCCTCGTCTGGGCGATCTTCACCCCAGCAAAGGAAAACAAGATCTTCGCCTATTTGAAAGTTAGTTTCAAGAAAGTGGGTGTGAGGAAGAAATGCGTACCGTCACCTTGTTCGTTTTGTGCGTCGTTGAGGAGGGTGTGGGCGATACCCGTCCCGGCTTTCCACCCGACTACGTCGCCGCTCTTGAGAATCTTTTCTGGAGTGGCACCCTGGAACCAATAGCGCGCTTCGCCACTTAGGATGAGCGCAAACTCGTCTTCGGCAGAATGGGCATGTGCGTTGGATGACTGGGTGCCGGGAGGGGATCCTTTCGATATTCAAGTGCCATGGAATGCTGGGAAGGTCTGCAATATCCGTCTCTTTAGTGAGTTTGGCAGACTTGGTAGTGTCGATCGCAGTGCCACGCCATACGGAAACAGAGGGTGCGTTGATAATCTTGGGGAACGCAGGTGGTTCTTTTGTCTATCAGGGGGATTTGTCAGACGCCCGGTCAGAAGCACCATCAGGGATGACCCACAAGGACGACGGGCATTACATGTGGAGTGTCTGAGATGACTAAGAGACCCATGTCACTTTCCTTTGCGTCGACTGTGTACGTGCGCTCGACATCTTTGGCAGCCGCAAAGGAGAAGCAGTCATCTACACGGAGGGGTGCGCTCTTGTTGTCCTTGGTCAAGCTGCCCTCGCCAGTGATAACGTAGCAGATTTGGTTCACGCCAGGGAGGACCTTTGAGGTGAATTGTTTTCCCTGGAAGAGAGGGATGTACTGCGCTTGGATACGGGCGAGGTCGAATGGGGTGGCAATGTCGATGGGCTTGCCATCTTCAAAGATGTTGACGACTTTTGGAGTTGGTACGACTGGGTGATGCATTGTGGGTGAGATAAAAGGACAGCGTCAGATTGTTACTCACCTATTATATATCACGAGTGGCTCTCGAGAAGAGCTGACTAATGGCCCCGCCTGGACGGGTTCGGGCCCATTTTGGAGCGTTCGAGGTCTATGATATAGGGGTCTTGGAGATGACTTCGAGGTCGGATGACCTCCCCTCCCCTGTTCGTGTTCCCTCTTTGTGGACCAACGACGGCATTTAAAAAAGTCTAATGCAATACTATGAATATACTCAAAATGACCCATGAGATGATCACTGCGGGGGGTTTCCCGCACTCCTGCTGCTCCTGGCCATTTCTCTTGTTGGGATAATCCTTTTGTGTGAATGTGAATAATCATTTCGGAATCTCTCCGGAGTCGCAGTCTGCGCTGCTGCGGGCCAAGTTGTGCGGCCACTGCGACTTGGGCGTAAAAGGGGGAGATCGTCACTGATTCCTGTCCACTACCTCCTACGACCTCCAACGACACCCGTTATCACCTTTTGGTCAGTATTTGCTCTTTTATCTGTCATTATAGCACATATTCCATGCGCTTTGTGTCCACAACAACCCCCCGCTCGCCGTCTCGCACGTTGCACGCGTGACACGTCTGAAATCTGGGTCGCTGACGCCTCGAGACAGCCTAGTAATTAGATCCAAGCTACCATGGAAGACGAAGTCGCTGCTCTCGTACGTTGTCTGTTGCGCAGGGACGCCGCGATGCTCATCCCGTCGTGCAGGTTATCGACAATGGTTCCGGAATGTGCAAGGCTGGCTGTGAGTAGATGGTCTTATTGGACTTTGTACACTTGTTCTGACCATTCTCCGCCCGTTTTTTGCCCTTTACAGTTGCCGGTATGGACGCTTTGGACAGTTTGCTTTGAGCCGCTAAACCTTACTCGACTGTTACAGGCGACGATGCCCCTCGCGCTGTCTTCCCGTCAGTACAGATGTATTCTCCTCGTCTTTGGTTGCTCACATCTGTCCTCATCGCAGCTCTATCGTTGGACGACCGCGTCACCAAGGTGTCATGGTTGGAATGGGCCAAAAGGACTCTTATGTCGGGTAAATACAATCTCTACAACTATTCCTCGCATCGGTCACTCATGATCGTCACCATCTAGCGACGAAGCCCAGTCGAAGCGTGGTATCCTGACGCTCAAGTACCCCATCGAGCACGGTATCGTCACCAACTGGGACGACATGGAGAAGATCTGGCATCACACGTTTTACAACGAACTCCGTGTTGCACCAGAGGAGCACCCAGTGCTCTTGACCGAAGCTCCCCTGAATCCAAAGGCTAACCGAGAAAAGATGACCCAAATCATGTTTGAAACGTTTAATGCCCCCGCCTTTTACGTCGCCATCCAGGCCGTCTTGTCGCTCTACGCCTCTGGACGAACGACGGGTATCGTGCTCGACTCTGGTGATGGTGTCACGCACACCGTGCCCATCTACGAGGGTTTCGCTCTCCCACACGCCATTCTCCGTCTCGATCTTGCCGGTCGTGATTTGACCGACTATCTCATCAAGATTCTGATGGAGCGAGGTTATCCGTTTACGACCACGGCCGAGAGGGAAATTGTCCGTGACATCAAGGAAAAGCTGTAGGTTTCGAGCTAGCGTTGTATAATTTCTAACGCTTTTTGGCAGTTGCTACGTCGCCCTCGACTTTGAGCAGGAAATGCAGACGGCCGCCCAAAGCTCTGCCCTCGAAAAGAGCTACGAACTCCCCGACGGACAGGTCATCACGATCGGTAACGAACGGTGAGCTAAACTTTGTTAGTCTTGTCGACCACGCACTGATATTTGGCTTTTAGCTTCCGTGCTCCGGAGACCCTCTTCCAGCCCTCGTTCATCGGCCTCGAGGCAGCGGGTATTCACGAGACGACGTACAACTCTATCTACAAGTGCGACCTCGATATCCGTCGCGACTTGTACGGCAACGTTGTCCTCTCGGGTGGTACGACCATGTACTCTGGCATTGCGGACCGTATGCAAAAGGAGTTGACGGCACTCTCGCCGGCGACGATGAAGGTCAAGATTGTCGCACCTCCGGAGCGAAAGTATTCGGTCTGGATCGGTGGAAGTATCTTGGCGAGCTTGAGCACGTTCCAAAACCTGTGGGTCTCGAAGCAAGAGTACGACGAGAGTGGACCAGGCATTGTCCACCGAAAGTGCTTCTAATTCTTCCTCATGTCGTCGATCCATGCGGACGTAGACGAGGGTGTCGGTCTTGAACGTTTTGGGATTCCTTGCCCTCATTGCCCATCCTCCACCATTCCTCTCTCCATCTCGCACGTTTGTCCCTTAGCGATTAGTCGACATTGTTTGTCCAAGGATCCCTCCCCGTGATGATGAAATTGAATTCCTTATAACTCGTATGACTGGTTCTAGTGCCAAACGTAAATAAGCAAACAAAACACCGGTGTGGGTATGTATTGGACGACTCGAGTCAAGGGTTCGACTTCTGTGGATTGATGGGAGTGCCTGAGGCTGGATTATCGACGTTTCTCTTGGAAGGTCACGTCGCTCGCGTCGCGTGCTCGACGAGTGCATGACTCCAGTGAGCGTCTTTACTGGGGCTTGTTGGGTTGTCGCATCTTGGACTCTTCCACATTCCCTCTTTGGCGACGCTAGCCCGACGCGACGGCTCGTTAGCTCTTACTCGAATCTGAATCCAAACGTCCCCTTTAGCTTTTCCAAGTACGTGTTAGCACAGCTTACGCGGGGGGTCGTGTTTGGGACTCTAACGCGTTTTGTGCTCTAGTAGATATTTTTTCCATCCAATGTCCGTCAACGATGTACCCTCGTCGCAGACTGCGCCTGCGAGTTTGCCTGCAAATGTGATTACGCTCAAGCAGACGGCGCAGCTCGAGGCGCTTTATACGATTATCCGCGACAAGACGACGAGTCGGGGTGATTTCATCTTTTATTCGGATCGCATCATTCGCTTGCTGGTGTGTATTTCTTCTTCTACTCGTTTCTGATGTCTGTCCATGTGCTCCCTTCTCAGACGCTTCTAGTTGAAAGCGCGCTGTGGCTCTTTAATATGGTTAGGATTCTAGAACAGTATTGACCCAATCGGTAATCTAGGTTGAAGAAGGATTGAACCATTTGCCCATCGTGCCCAAGACGGTTATGACGCCCACGGGCGTCGAGTACAATGGCGTTGGATTCGAGGGTCGGATATGCGGTGTGAGCATCTTGAGAGCTGGAGAGGCCATGGAAGCTGGGCTCCGAGAGGTTTGTAGAAGTGTACGAATCGGTGCGTTTATCCCATCTCTCCAACATGGCAAACTTATCACGATGGATAGGAAAGATTTTGATTCAACGTGTGCGTTTTCCGAGGCGTGAATTAGGAGAGAGAGATTGATGGACGAATGATTGATAGGATGAGCAAACGGCGCTCCCAAAGTTGTTCTTTTCCAAGCTTCCAGACGATATTGCAACGCGCTACGTGCTTCTCCTGGATCCGATGCTAGGTTGGCCCCTTCTTCCCTACTTCACCCTCAACTCATGCGTTTGTAGCGACAGGCGGCTCTGCGAAGAAAGCCGTCGAGGTCCTCAAAGAGGCGGGAGTCGCCGAGGATAGAATCATCTTTATCAATCTTGTACGTGCTGGACTACCTATGTTCACAAAACTGAACCGCCCTCCAAGATTTCTTCGCCAGAGGGTCTCAAGACATTTTGTAGCAGCTTCCCGCTATGTCGAGTGGTCAGTTCTCGCTCCGCATCAACGTATATTGTCCTGAATATATGCAATAGATTACAGGGTGGGTCGATAAAGGTTTAAACGACAAGAAGTACATCATCCCCGGTTTGGGAGATTTTGGAGAACGACGATACACGGCTTAGAGGTAGGTACGCTATTCGAATGTCGAACGTAAGCTAATATGGTTAGACGTGAGATACGACCTGTATTCAGAGAAATACAAAGTTCCAAGCATAGCATTGCGGAGGACTAAGACGCATCCTCTGCAACTGAACCAGGCTTACGTATCGCGTACTCGATAAAAGTAGGGTCCTCCCATTCAGCCAGTGGCTTCTGAACCCATTGCGTATGCGGATGGTCCGGTCCTAGTGTTTTCAGATGAGCCTCTACCGTGGCAGCGTATCTTTCTTCCGCTTCGGCATGATTTCCGGCGCAGAAGAGGACGAAGCACATCAAGCGCTGTGCACTCAACCCCTCTGGAGTATTGCGTCTGTCCTCTGGACGAATAGCAAGCTCGCTCGACTCGTCTCCGTCAGAAGACGGATGAAGACGCTTGAAAGCATGTTCAAGGTGCTCTGTTGCCTCGCCGAACCTCCCAAGCCGGCATAATGTCCCAGCCGTAGAGAGTTTTATGCGTATAGAAGTAGAATGATATGGCCCAAGAAGTCGATTGATCACGCTCGAGAGTTGCCGGAATAACTCGAGTGCGTCTGGGTATCGGCCAAGAATATGGAGTGAGGTTCCAATGTTCTCCATGCCGCGTAACTGCTCCATTTGCGTGACCGTGTCTTTCCCATCGAGCCTCTCAAGCATAGAGACCTTGCGGTAATAACCAAGTTGCCGCTTACCAGTCCGGAAGAGAATAGTGGCCAGACGGCTTTCGGCCCTGAGAACGTCTGGGTGATCTGGACCGACTGTCGCCGTCAGAAGCTCGATTATCTTTAGGTAAAGAGATTCAGCCTCGTTATTTCTCCACATGTCTACCAGCGAGCTGGCCACATTGGACATTGCTGATAGCGTCTCAATATCCTTCTCGCCGCGAAGTTTGAGTCGAGCAGCGAGTACTCGCTGGTGGAGCGTGAGAGCCGTCTGAATGCGATACGGACCAGATCGGTCATAACTTGTCCCAAGGTCGGTCATAATTGCGAGAGTTATCGGAGACTCATCGCCAAAAGTCGTCTCAGCATGCACTAGAACCTCTTTTAGCTGCTTCTGCGACCACGTAGAGTTCCCGACTTCGTCCATTGCGAATGCGAGCGCCCACTTGTCCGCCCATGCGACTTGGTCAATGAGGACCCGTTGGATTATATGAGGTGCAATGAGTCGATGAAGATGAATTTGAGCCCAGGATTGACGAGAGATGGAGGAGGAAAGGAGGCGAACAAAGAGTCGGTGTTGCTCAGTGGTTTCGTGAATCGACTGAATCCAGCTCTGAACCAAGATATGCATCGAGAAAACTCTCGTCTCTCCGCTACTTGTAACTCGCAGAAGCGAGTAGTTCAAGCATGGCTCTATGAGCTCATTAAAATGAGCTTCTGACCACTTGCCGTCTCCACAGAGAATATTTAATAGTGCATCGCTATCACGTTGCACATTATCGCCGACCGGGATATCGACTTGAAGATCAGGTGCACTGAACCGCCTCTTTGCTGCTATTTTGAAAACGTCGAACGGGATGTCGGTATTGTGAAACTCGGCAAGCAGGCGTAGGAGAGATTGTGTGGGAACAGGGAGCTTGTCTAGCGACATCTGGATAGTCGACGCCACCGAAAGCTCGTAGTACTCAAACATGGCCATCGTTTTTGTCCTCAGTAGCTGCCGCCGGCTTTCATTATAGATATCCAGATATGTCCTGAGACACTGATGAAGTCGTATATAGCCGGCCGCATGCGCGATGGCTAAGGGGAGGCGCCCAAGGGCATTGATAATGGCGAGCGCGGACTCTTTGTTGCTGAGGATCTCTCATAGCCAGAGGAGGACAAGAGAAGTTCGACCGCGGACTCTGATTCTAGAGCCTCGAGTGCCTGAAAATTGCAGGTGAGATTTGCGTATGCCGAATTGCGAGTGGTGATGATAATATTTCCATTTCCATATCTCGGGAAGTATTCAAGCACTTTGAGGGAAGGATCGTCGGCATTATCCAGTATGACCATCCACGCCTCGAGGGAAGTCAGAATCGAGCTCGACCATCTCTGCGAGAGCCCGGACTTCATTGAGTAGACAATATTCTGGAGCCCCTGTTGTAAGGCTTCCTCGGAACGTGCATCTACAAAGTAGACCATTGCATTTGGCACACTGGTTGACTATAAGTCGTGGGTGCATCCAAAAATGCTTACACCTTCTTTCGTACTCAAGGGCGAATTTTAGTGCACACTGCGTCTTTCCAGACCCTCCTATACCAGCAAGTACGCTAATTCTTGGGAGCTGCTCTGGCGCAAAATGGCCACCCAGATGATGGGATCGAAGTTTGGCTAGAACATCCTCCCTTCCAAGAAAGTTTGGTACGACCGATGGCCGTGGGGGAAGTCCCATATCCAAAATCCGTACCGAGTCTACGTTGAGGACATTAATATCCATATAAATGGTCCAAACTTTAACTTACTGATATCCCCGAGGGCAATCGCATGTTGTGTCCACCCTTCGTCGATAGTACGCACAACAGCATCCACAGAGCTGCTGATATCTACATCCTGCAGGAAACCACCAACGCGAGCCTGGATATCGGCGGGGTCCTCGGACAATCCGAATTGCCCTCGCGGGTGGAGTCGATAATAAATGCGCGTGTCTTTCAGTCGAGAGAGTAAATCTTGATGAACCTGTTCCGATTCGACACCGTACTGTAGTCGACCCGGTCCTCCATGGTATTCTTCAACCGTAAGTAGCTCCGGATCACCACAGCCTAGGCTGAGAATGAGTCGCACGCCCCCGTTTTCGGTATAGATGATTTCAGCCTCGCGTAAGAGGAGCTTTGTAGGATTAGCGAATCTCGCTGGCGCTTCAATGAGGGTAACTCTTCGGTGGAACTTTCCGAATGTAACTGGTGGATATAACGTGGGGTCTGCCATGCATGCCATTGCGGCTTGCAAGATTGTACATGGTGCCGTCTGTACACCGCGACTTGGATAACTGCGAATATAATAAGGATTGGACATATTCGTGGTTTGCCCGGTGCAAACGACACTAAAAATAACTAATAAGTCGTTAATTAAAACCAAAATAAGTACTCACACTCTGTGAGATTCGGTCTTCCTCGTATTCGTTTGCATCATGTCATCGGGGGTAATCCCTTCAAAATTTAGGATCCTCCGGAGCTCTTCCTCTAGTCTAGTCGCATTCTGTGATCTCTCTTCGTCGCTCTGTGCTGGACTCGTCGGAAGCGCCACTAATAATGAACAATACGCCTCAAGCGCTGCGTCCACAGGCATCCGCAGCTTGCCAAGTAGAATCGCAACAAGTCTACCAATGAGCATTAAATCGACTCGGTGAGGACAAAGTATTGTCTACACCTACCCGCCATGTCCGGAACCGATGGTCATGCTAAAGATGTCACAAGGCAGCGTTTCTTTAGTAGTCCCGTCCTCGTTTGGAGGATGATCAAACTTGTATCGTTCCATAACCTCTGAAAGGAGCATTAGTGCCGGCAAGGCGTTGGAGCCGCCATCTGTGACCAGTCGCCGTCAGTATGTGTCCGGAATTCGTGCATCTTACTTGCCAATTGATAGAAGATGGACCATTATCGACCACTTTGATCAAGCAATGTGTATCTTGGTCGTGGTGCAGTTCAAGGTGTGGGCGGCTGTTCTATCGCCTTCATAACCTCTAAAATCCGCATCCATATGCATCCCTTGTACTCATATTTAATCACTAGTAGAGCTTCTCGCACAGTGCAGCATTCATTGAGCATAGCCTTGCAAGGGTCTCACCTGCTATACACATAAAAGAGACGTCTAGGTGATAAAATAGTATGCTCCGCATTTATGGGTGTCTAATTTTGTAAGTGGACCTGCAATACACGACTACGGTTCATATTCCTCAACCCCCCCCTCCCCATTGGGGTCTTTAGGCGGGCTCAATACCCAAGTAGATAAAGGTAACGAGGTGCAATAATGTCACGACATGGTAATAATTAGTGCGGTTGAAGAAGTACATCATTCCCTGTCTGAGAGATTTAGGAGAATGAAGTTACATGGCATAGAGGTAGGTACATTATTTACGATGTCGCTTCTAAGCCAATATAACTAGACGTGAGACAAGACCGATATTCGGAAAATACGAAGTTATAAGAGTAGAACTCGACAAGGTTCAGGAGCGGAACATGGTGGAGATCTAAGAGGTCTCTTCTGCAACCGGTGTAGGCAAACGTATCGCGTACTCGATAAAAGTAGGGTCTTTCCATTCGGCCAATGGCTTCTGAACCCATTGCGTATGCGGATGGTCCGGTCCAAGTGTTTCCAGATGAGCCGCTACGGTGGTAGCGTATCTTTCTTCCGCTTCAGCATGATTCCCCTCGCAGAAGAGGACGAAGCACATCAAGCGCTGTGCACTCAATCCCTCTGGTGTATTGCGTCTGTCCTCTGGATGAATGGCAAGCTTGCTTGAATCATCTCCATCAGAAGACGGATGAAGATGCTTGAAATCAAGCTCAAGGCGCTTTGTTGCTTCGCTGAACCTCCCAAGCTGGCACAATGTTCCGGCCGTAGAGAGGCTTACGCGTATAGAGGTAGAATGGTATGGCCCAAGAAGTCGATTTATCATGCTCCAGAGTTTGTAGAATAGGCTGAGGGCGTCTGAGTATCGGCCAAGAATATGGAGTGAGGTTGCAACATTCTCTAAAACACGTAGTTTTTCCGCCAGCGTAATCCTCGCTTGAGTATCGTACCTCTGGCTCATAGTCACCTTCCTGTATAGGCTGACTTGGTAATCGCCTTTCCGGAAAAGAATCGTAGCCAAACGGCTTTCGGCCTTGAGGACTTCTGGGTGATCCGGACCGACTGTTGCCTTTAGAAGCTCGATTATCTTTAGATAAAGAGATTCAGCCTCGTCATTTCTCCACATGTCTACCAGCGAGCTGGCCACATTGGACATTGCTGACAGCGTTTCAATGTCACTCTCGCCGCGAAGTTTGAGCCGAGCGGCGAGTACTCGCTGGTGGAGGGTGAGAGCCGTCTCATTGCGATACGAACCAGATCGGTCATAACTTGTCCCGAGGTCGGTCATAATTGCGAGAGTGATCGGCGAGTCGCTACCAAAGGTTGCTTCTGCATAAGCTAGGACGTCGTGGAGCTGTTTCTGCGACCACGTAGAGTTCCCGACTTCGTCCACCGCGAATGCGAGCGCCCACTTGTTGGACCATGCGACTTGGTCAATGAGAACTCGTTGGATTATATGAGGCGCAATAAGTCGGTGAAGATGGATTTGAGACCATGAGTGACGAAAGATAGAGGAGGAAAGGAGATGAACGAAAAGTCGCTGCCTCTCGGGGGTGCCGTGAATCGACTGGATCCAGGTCTGAACCAAGATATGCATTGAGAACATCCTCGTCTCTCCGCTTCTTGTAACTCGCAGAAGCGAGTAGTTCAAGCATGGTTCTATGAGCTCATTAAAATAAGCTTCTGACCACTTGCCATTCTGACAGAGAATGCTTGAGAGTGCTTCACTATCGCATCGCACATTCTCATCGACAGGGATATCAATTTGAAGATCGGGCCCATCGAACTGCCTCTTTGCTGCTATTTTGAAAACATCGAATGGGATGTCGGTATTATGGAACTCGGCCAGCAGGTATAGAAGCGCCTGAGTGTGGGCGGGGAGCTTGTCTAGCGACATCTGGATAGTCGACGCCACCGAAAGGTCATAGTGCTCAAACATCGCCATCGTTTTTGTCCTCAGTAGCTGCTGCCGACTCTCATTGTAGACATCCAGGTACGATTTGAGACACTGGTGGAGGCGTATATATCCAGCCGCATGTGCGATGGCTAGGGGAAGGCGCCCAAGGGCATTCACAATGGCGAGCGCGGACTGTTTGTTGTCTGAGGATCCATCATATCCGGAAGAGGATAAGAGAAGTTCGACTGCGGACTCTGGCTCCAGAGCCTCGAGTGTCTGGAAATTGCAGGAGAGGTTGGCGTATGCCGAGTTGCGAGTGGTAATAATAATGTGCCCCCTACCATAGCTAGGCAGGTAATCAAGGACTTTCAGGGAAGGATCGTCGGCGTTGTCCAGAATGACCATCCAATCCGGTAATGATGCTAGTATCGAGGTTGACCATCTCTGCGAGAGCCCAGACTTCATCGAGTAAACAATATTCTGGAGCCCTTGTCGGAGGGCCGCCTCGGAGCGTGCATCTACGAAGTAGACGCTTGCATTTTGCACACTGATAACCGCTTATAAGCTATCATTTCCATCCAGATAATCCCTACGCACCTTCTTTCGTACTCGAGGGCGAATCTAAGTGCACATTGTGTCTTTCCAGAGCCCCCTATGCCAGCGAGCACGCTGATCCGTGGGAGTTGTTCTGGTGAAAATTGTCCTCCGAGATGGTGGGATCGAAGTTGAGCTAGAACGTCCTCCCTTCCAACAAAGTTTGGCACGACCGATGGCCGTGGGGGAAGTCCCATATCCAGAACTCGCACCGAGTCTATTTTGACGTTGTCAACCTCAGCCCAGGTTTAAGGGTAAGACTCACTGATATCTCCAATGGCGATTGCTTGTTTTGGCCACCCTTTTTCCATAGTACGCACAACAGCATCCACAGAGCTGCTGATATCTACGTCCTGCAAGAAACCGTCGACGCGAGCCTGGATATCGGCGGGGTCCTCCGACAATCCGAATTGTCCTCGCGGATGGAATCGATAGTATATACGCGTCTCTTTCAACCGAGAGAGCAAATCTTGATGAACGCGTTCTGATTCGACTCCGTACTGTAGTCGACGCGGCCCTCCGTGGTATTCTTCAACCGTAAGTAGCTCGGACTCGCCACAACCTAAACTGAGAATGAGTCGCACGCTCCAGCTTTCAGTATGGATGACTTCGGCCTCGCTTAAGAGGAGCTTCGTAGGGTTGGCGAACGTCGCTGGCGCTTCGACGAGGGTAACTCTTCGGTGGAACTTGCCAAGAGTAACCGGTGGGTAGAACGTAGGGTCTGCCATGCATGCCATTGCGGCTTGCAAGATTGTACATGGTGCCGTCTGTACACCGCGACTTGGATAACTGCGAATATAATAAGGATTGGACATATTCGTGGTTTGCCCGGTGCAAACGACACTAAAAATAACTAATAAGTCGTTAATTAAAACCAAAATAAGTACTCACACTCTGTGAGATTCGGTTTTCCTCGTATTCGTTTGCATCATGTCATCGGGGGTAATCCCTTCAAAATTTAGGATCCTCCGGAGCTCTTCCTCTAGTCTAGTCGCATTCTGTGATCTCTCTTCGTCACTCTGTGCTGGACTCGTCGGAAGCGCCGCTAATAATGAACAATACGCCTCAAGCGCTGCGTCCACAGGCATCCGCAGCTTGCCAAGTAGAATTGCAACAAGTCTGCCAATGAGCATTAGATTGACTCAATGAGGACAAAGCATTGTCTACACCTACCCGCCATGTCCAGAACCGATGGTCATGCTAAAGATGTCGCAAGGCAGCGTTTCTCTAGTATTCCCGTCCTCTTTTGGAGGATGATCAAACTTGTATCGTTCCATAACCTCTGAAAGGAGCATTAGTGCCGGCATGGCGTTGGAGCCGCCATCTGTGACCAGTCGCAGTCAGTATGTGTCCGGAATTCGTGCATCTTACTTGCCAATTGATAGAAGATGGACCATTATCGATCACTTTGATGATCAAACAATGTTTGTCTTGGTCGTGGTACAGTTCAAGGTGTGGGCGGCTGTTCTATCGCCTTCATAACCTTTAAAATCCGCGACTACGCACAGCCTTCGGACTCCTAATCGATCCCTGGTGGAGCTTCTCGCACAGTGTGGCATTTCTTGAGTATAGCCTTTTGAGCGTCGTGGATTAAAGCGACTTAGATTTGGTCCCCTGCCGCTCACCTGCTGCTATGTACCTAAAATAGACAGGCTGGTAAATAAACTGTATGCGAGTATTCTTGCGAGTCTACTTTTGCAAGTGGAGGTGTTCTACCGGTCATATTCCTCCCGCTCCTGAGGTCTTTGGCAAAGATAAACTATGCTCAAAAGATTTTTAGACAGGCGAAATTGGGTCTGTAAACCAATGGGTACAAATGATAGCAGGAGATAAGATTGGGATTGCGCGGTAGTAAATTTTTGTGTAATTCCCCATTACGGCCACTAGAGAGTACTCAGTGGATACCTAATGCTGAATCCATGGTAAAGCCGTCAGGGGGTCTGTGCTGTCATCGTAACGATCGCACTTACTGATTTCCTCGAGCATCATTGCGTGTTGTGTCCACGCCGCGTCCATGGCGCTTACAACCGAATCTAAGTAATCTTGAACCCTAGGTCCTGTAAGAAACCGCTAACGCGAGCTAGGATAGTCGCCATGTCCTCTGACCATCCAAAGTGTCCTCGGGGTTGAAGCCGATAATAAACATCCTCATGTTTCACCCGAGGAAACAAGTCCTGGTGAATCTGTCCGGACTCTACTTCGTATGGCGTCCGACTCGACGGATCCATATATGTCTTGATTGTGGCTAACTCCGAGTCACCACCGCCCAGACTGAGAATGAGGCGTACTATTCCTTTTGCACCATATACGAGCTTTGCCTCGCTCACGAGGAGCCATGTAGGATTGGCGAATCTCGCTGGTGCTTCGACGAGGGTTGCAGTATGATAAGAGTCCCCGATGGTAACGGCTGGGTACAACCTCGGGTCTGCCATGCATGCCATTGCGGCTTGCAGAATCGTACATGGCGGCGTCGGTACCCCGTCATGGGGATAGCTGCGGATGTAGTAGGGGAAGCCCATACTTATAGGCACTCCAGCGCAGACCACACTGCTTATAATTAGCGATTCACATCAGCCAGAAGCTGCCTGAATTCTCACACTTTATGGCCTCCTGTAGTCCTCGTACCTTCCCGCATCATATCGTTGGCGGTGATCCCTTTAAAGTAAAGGATTCTCCGGAGCTCTCCTTCTAGCTTCTTTGCGTTTTGTACCTTCTCCGCCTCGCTCCGAGCTGGCTTTATAGGAAGAGTCTCGAGTAATGAGCCATAGGCCTCAAGAGCAGCGTCCACAGACATCCGTAGTTTGCCGAGAAGGATCGCAATGAGCCTATCATCAAACGTTGGATCGGCCAGAGAGATTCAAAGTATTATTTATACCCACCCACCGTGTCCAGAACCAATGGTCATACTGAAGATGTCGCAAGGGAGCGTTTCTTCGTCTTCGTCTTCGTCTTCTTCCTTCCTGCCCTTCTTTGGTTTCGGTTTCGGAGGATGATCAAACTTGTATCGCTCCATAATCTCTCTAAGAATCATCAATGCTGGCAGGGCGTTGGGGCCGCTGTCTGATCAAATGTGTGAGCAACTAATGACTACACGTCCAGCATGCTACCTATGGAGAGAAATCGGGTCATCTGCCTGCAATCTGAGACGAGTACTGCGTATGGCGAGTCAGTGGTAGGCTGCAAAAGTCGCTGCGGCTCTTCCACTCATAGCCCTCTTTTGAGGTCATATCAGTGATCCAGTCTCCCCTTCGGCCAGTTTGCCAGTCTCGAGGGCCACCTGTCAGCCCCAGAACCACATTCCACATTTGTACCAAGAGAGTATATACGAGTACGCATACGTGTATCGCACATTTAGTAATTTGAAATAGTACTGTATCACCCAACGCTTTCGCTTCAAAGCTGGCAAACAATCAGCAGGATGCCAACAATCAGAAATACAAATGGAAAGCTAACAATACGCACTCGGAAAAGGAAGCTCAAATCTTCAGGTGTCAACCTTCCCATGGCCGAATCATCTGTTGATAGCGTCGCCTCCACCATGGCGCTCTTCTTCTCCTGAAGCTGCACAATACGACTTTCGATGCTATCCTCAATGACCAGCTTGATAGCTTGAATAGGTCGGTGCTGCCCAATTCGATGGATACGGTCCATCGCTTGATACTCTACTGCGGGATTCTTGACGAAGTGTAAATAAAGACCTCGAGCAGGAATGAGGTATTGTACTCACCCACCAACTATCCATGAGATAAACACGCGAGGCCTCTAAGAAACGGTCAGAGTAGCACTCATCATGGGGGTGCGGCATACCAGTAAGATTTAATGCCACGCCTCCAGCTTTGAGGGATACCAAGAAGACTGTCACATCGACGTTTGTCACTAAGACCATCAGCAGTAGCCGTCGCATTCGTTCGAGACATACTAAAGTGTTTGATGGTCAAGTCTCGCGCTTGAGGTGTCATCGTTCCCTCCAAACGACAAATCTAGAGAGAATTCAGCAACGAGAACTAGCAATGTCACCAACGTACGTTGAAGCCTGCCTTTTTGAGGCGGAAAGCGATCAAGTCCAAAAAGTTGACGCTGCCATCACGTCAACAAACGTACACCACATCCTACGATCACGAACAATTGACTAAAAACAATGCTTTTGATCGTCCTATCTTGATCGCGCAGCTTGGATAACTCCTCTACGAGTGCTTCAATCTTGGAGGAAGAGCGCCACCCCTCCAAGTCGAGTCGGCCAAGAATTCCCTGCCGAGCCTTGTTGACATTTTCCTCGGAAATCTCGATCGCCTCTGCCTCGAGGTCGATAGTCAGGGGCAAATGGCACACGGGACACTCGGGCTGCAAACATAGTCAACTACAAGCACGCCGAATCTTATGAAGAAGCGTACAGTTATTCCAGCCGACGCCTCGAGGTACTGACGTATGCACTCGCGGTCAAAGACATGATGGCACTTCGACTCGATCGCATCCTCCGCAATGTCGTTGCACAAGCGGCAAACCGTTGCCTCGACGATATCACCAGAAAACTCGGCATTCTTCTTGCTCTTGAGAACGAGGTCTGGATGGCACGCCTATGGAGGCTCAGTTGGGAGACCTTGGAGAACAAGTGTACACACCATTTGTCGCATACGAGTAATGAGAGTAAAGATGTTCGAGTAATCTATGGAAATCAGCTATGCGTAACAGATACCTAGTTAAGACGTACTGTTGAGCACAGTCCCAGCGTCGACATAGGTGGAAAACTTTCGCTTCGCGTCCGAGAACAGAGACAAGTAGAGTTCTTTTTCTTCCGGGCTGAAATAGTCACGGCGGACAATGACCGTACGAGGCGGCAACCCAAGATCGTCGGCACGCTCGAGCTACAGTATTTCTCGTATGAGCGAAGAATGCATTCTCGGTGACAGCGACAAACCTTGGTGCGGCGCAGCATCATCCTGTCGAGCAAGATGCGCAGTTTGCGGAACGCGTCTTGTCCAGGTCCAGTGAACCCGTGCTTCTGAATCGGGCCGAGGATCTCATTATTCCATAAACATACGTGCTGTGGTACCAGTTAGATATTTCTCGGGATGTATGGAAGCCTGCTTACCAGACTGGGAGGATGCTTGCATTCTATCGCACGCAGCTTGTTAGAACAACATCGTGGATAAGATTATAAACCCACCATCGCAGCTTCGTTTATCCGTAAACTTCCAATGTAACGACTTGCATGGGCACTTTTTACCTAAACAAAGATGAGCATCAGCCAAGCTACAGCGGATCGACTTACAAAAGTAATAGCTGAATGGATCTCCACCGAGGAAACGAACCAGGCTGTACAACTCTCCAACACGGTTTTGGAGCGGCGTGCCAGAGAGACACCAACGAAACTTTCCATCGAGTTCGAATGCGGCCTTGGCCGTACTGGTCGAGCGTTCTTTGATATTATGCGCTTCATCGAGCTGGAGAACGAGAGGGATCGATGAGGAGTCAAAAGCGGGTTGGGAAAGAACGTACAATGATCCTCGCCCAAGTAATCTCATGCAAAATACTCCTCTCCTTGACGAGCTGACCCTTGCGTTTGAACCCATACTGTTGCTTTCTAAAGCGAATGAGAAGACGATGGATATCCACGAAGAGGACATACCGATAGACACTCTCCAAAACCGCATACGTTGTAAGCACGATATCACACTTTTTGAGCGCCTCGATATCCTTGGTTCGGGATGCACCATGGAATACATTGACAGCTAGCCCACTCGTATGCTGATCAATCTCGTTCTTCCATTGCATAATAGCCACCGTCGGCCTATTCGCAGAACATTAGTATTCCTGTCTTCTCAATGCAGCCTCGAAACGTACGCAACGACAAGGTTGGGCTTGCGTGGATCGCTGACAAGCAAGCCCAGTGTCTGGATCGTCTTACCGAGACCCTACCGAACAAGGTCAATGTTGACACTCTGTGACGTTGGCGCACTCACCATCTCATCTGCCAACAGACCACCATTCCAAGAAAACTCGGTATTCTCCTCTTGTCGACGCATCCACGTCAAACTTTCCAACTGGAACGGTAAAAGTTTGAGCTTGAGACTCGCGGGCTGGACACCCGGAACCGCCTTGAGAATTTCAAGTTTTTCCAAATCGGCCCAAACCGTCTTGAGTTCCGGATGATGACGATAGAGCGCAATTGTCGCCTTTTCCGCCTATGTAGACCCGGATTAATAAGAAACAGGAATGTAAAGAGGAGGAACAACTCACAAAGGTAAGTCGACGTCCGAGTCGCTTTCTCTCTGCCGCCTCTTCCTTCTTTAGGATTGCTCTAGAGATTCTATCCGCTTCCGCCTGAGCCTGTACTTGAGCAAATCTATCTTCTTCCTCGTCCTCATCGAGAAGCTCCATAGCAGCATCAATGTCCATGGCATCAAGCCCTGTGCCAGAGACAGCGTCATCGTCCGAAGAGTCCAAGACAATAATGTCCTGCTGAGCTCCCTTCCCTTTACCCTTGGTCGCTTTGGACGCCAACGGGAGATTGTCAGAGTCACTCGCGTCCGCAGTCGCGACGGCCTTTCCCTTGCCCTTTTTTGGCGACACGCTCATCGACATACGATCACTACGAGTCGCAGAGGGACCAGCACCAGCAGACGAATACTTTGCGCGATCCTCTGCGGCGGCCGTGGCCACACTCTCTCGGATGGCCGCATTAAGCATCTCCTCGTCTGTATCATCCGCATCCCCAACGTTCATCCCATTTCGAATACCTTGTACACTCTTGCCCTTCTTCGCCTTGAAACCATTTTGCCGACCGCCCTTTGTACGCTGTTGGATGCTGGCAGCGAGAATGGCCATGCTATTTTCGTCGTCAGTAGAGATGTGCATGGCTTCGAGATCGAGTTGGGATGCGTCAGATTCCGAGGCAGAGTCTTCGAATTCGGAGCCGCTCGACTCTTCTGACGAGATGTCTTTATACTGGAGCGAGTCGTCTGTCAGGATTTCGCCGTCAGAGGTGTGTGGGGGCTCAGACGTTGCGGGTGTCGATGTTATCGTAGTCCTACGAGATCGAGTACGCGCGAGTGAGGTCTGTTTGGGTATTGTTTAGTCAAAGGAATTGTGTCCACAGAGAATACTTGCCCAGGTAGCGCGACGTGAAGAGACTGGCGTGTCTGGAGTGCTTTCTGTGATGGACGTGGCCTGGAAGAAACGTGAGAGGGGTGTTTGGAGAATGACAACGGGCCACACCTGGCTTGCGGTGCGCTTGAGAGCAGCATAGGGAATCTTTCCACTTGGTTTTCTGGTCGTTGTTCCATTCAAAGTCTTTGTGTTCTCCTCGTCGTCGCCGTCTGAAGCAGAGGCACCGTCTTCAGTCCCGGCTTTGTTGTCGTCCGTCTCTCGAGCGCGTTTTCCGTTGAGATTGATCTGTAGGTGCAGCAGCGAGGGACGAAAAGTCAGCGAGCAAACGACCGGCGGCGAAGTTTGCCACTCCATTTTTTGTGCACTAGACGTACCTTTGAGCTACTGAGGCTGTTACGTGTGCTACGACGCGTCATCGTGGGTCTATTCGACAATGCAGACCCTTTTCCCTTGGATTTTGATGGGCTGTCGACGTCGCCGCCGCTGCTCGAGTCTGGTGAAGCATCTACATTCAACGAGGTGCGTCGTGGGAGTCCTTTTGATCGCTTAGGTGGCATTTTGAGTGCGTTCTACGTGCTACAAAGGCGTAAATGAGCGGCGACGGACGGGTGAAATGTAAACAACTGTACAGTTCAGGTCGGAGCACAACTCTGCACGCCGTCTGAACTGCTAATCGCAACAGTGGAGACTGGGGATGGAAGAAGAGCGGGTCAAAGTGCTGCTCCATCGCCGATTCACAAAAACGGCTCCTGGTGTTTGCTGACAAAGCACATTTACCACATTCTACCAGCGCAGATGTGGCAAATGTAGATATAATTTATTAATCTTTGACATTGAATGTCACCGGAGCCTGACCATTCTTGATCCCGTCCACGCTCAAGCATGACAGATATAATCCCCCATGAAGACATAGACATTATACAATTCACTCTTCCAGGGCCCAATATCTTTCAAAGGATGCCTCTTCCTTTGAAGAAACGCTTCAGGGAAGTAGACACCAACACCCGGCCTTGGGAGATATGCAACAACTGTCATGCCGTTCCAAGCGCAAATGTAACGCTTAAACAGTGTAGCAGATGCTACAACAGCGTATCGTACCCATTTTTCACTGTGTACGTTGTCCTCTACGGAGTTGCCACTGGGCTAATGACAAACCAGAGCAAGAAGTGCCAAAAAGAGCATTGGACAGTTCATCGTAAGGACTGCGAACGGTTTTGTCAACCCGAGTCCTCGCTCTGGATTCATGGGGACCCAGCCGATCAGCATATCTTCAAGATCCTCGACCACTGGGACGCAATTTACGGATATTGTTTGGTACGTTGAGATGATTCCGAGCATTCGTTATATAATATTATTCTAGTCTCGGGCCGCCGCGCATGCGCTCGTCTATTCAAAACACAAGAGGGACTAACAGGAAGTCGTCTTTACTCTTCGTATTCAAGACCTCTGCGAGGATCCTCCAGTTCTCTGGCCACACTCGATCACGATTCAGCCCTCCAGCATTGCCAACCACCCTTCCAATCGTCCCAATGCAAACCAGAATAATATCACTTATTATAGAACTTCACTTGTTGGTCCTCTCAAAGGTATCAGTGCCGGGTAGCCGGTCACGATCAACCGCAGGATGACAACACCGCTATACCCCGATTGGATGCTCGTTTTCCTCCATCTCTGTCTCGACGGGAGCAAAGCTATGCCCATTGCCCAAGCTAAATTCGATTCTCTCCTTACCGCGCTGGCCTGTATCACGCTCTCTCGTACAGTCCACCACTCCTCGGGCCCGTCCTCCCGATCGGCGCCGAGGTCATAGTTACAAATGACCAAAATTGGGTGGATGAGCTCATCGAAAGAGATGTGTGGGGCCACCTTGGTCAGGAAATACCCGTGTGCTCATCGAGTACAAACTACGCAAAATGTGGAACAACGCGTGAGGTGCCAGTCAAGAGGAGAAGTGACAAGCATCTCATCGTTTAGTGATGCTCTTCGTTGACTTCTCTGTTTCTTGAACACTATCTTCTCGACAGCTCTGCTCCACGGTGAGCGTTGCCTACTGTGCATAGACATTGTATAATTCTAAAAGCTTAGTTGTTATAAATAGACTACCGTACTCAAAAACCTTGGTTGACAATATTGACGGAGCTAATGACGGAGCCTGACCACTCTTGATCCCGCCCACATTTCGATATGACAGACATATACCCCGATAAAGATATAAATATCACAGAATTCACACTTCCAGGACCAAACATCTTTCAAAAGTTGCCTCTTCCTTTGAAGAAACGCTTGAGAGAGGTCGATACCAATACCCGGCCTTGGAAGACGTGTAACAAGTGCCATGCCGTTCCAAGCGCAACTATAACACTCAAGCAGTGCAGTAGATGTTATAAAAACGGCGTGATGCCCGTCTTTTACTGCGTACGGAGTTTAGACCTATAGGTGTAGCTACACTGACGAGGAAGCAGAGTAAGGAGTGCCAAAAAGAGCATTGGCCTATTCATCGTAGAGATTGTGAACGGTTTTGTTTACCCGACGCATCAGCCTGGACCCACGGGCCGCTCCTTGCTCGGCATATCATCAGAATTCTCGACCACTGGACCGTGGTTTATTTGACGCCGTTGGCATGTACATGCATTCCCTAAAATTTCCAACTCTAATCATTCTCTAGACCTGGGCCGCCGTGCATGCGCTCGTCTATGCAAAAGCAAAGAGAGACCAACATGTCGTTGTCTTCTCCCTCCGTATCAGAGACCTCTCCGAGGATCCACCCGTTCTCTGGCCATATTCTATCACCATCAAACCGTCCAACGCGGCCCATTGTCCTCGAAATCGCCCCAATGTAGATCTCAAGGGCATAGGCTACTTTCGCGTCTGCCTCGCTGGCGAATTTTCAGGTATCTCTGCAGAGTACCCGATCCATATCAGTCGTACTTTAACGAATCCGCTCTACCCAGACTGGATCCTCATCCTCCTCAACCTCTGCCTGGACGGAAGCAAGTCTCGCCCGATCATGGAAGCCAAGTTCGAGTCCCTCCTCACCACTTTGGATTACATGAAGCTTCCTTGTACGGTTCCGACTCATCTCGGACCCGCTCTTCCCATTGGCACCGAAGTCGTGGTCACAAACGACGAACATTGGATGGAAGATCTCATCGAAAGAGATGTGTGGGGACATCTTGGTGAGGAGAACATGCGTGCGCTCATCGAGTACAATTTGCGAAAATATGGAGCGACGCGCGAGGCGCCAGTCAAGACAAGGAGAGATAAATATCTCATCGTTTAGTGTCCCTCTCTTGACTCTGTTTCTTGAACGTTATCTTGTCGCCAGCTCTACTCTACGGCGAGCATTGCTGCGTATTTGTATATTAGACAGCGAGCAAGTCCGAATTATCCATTATTGAATGCAGTGGCTGCATTCTAAGGGAGCCTGACGACCTTGAACCCGACTTTGTCGACGGGCTTTTATCGAGGATGGATCGCTACCAGCCAATTCTTGAAAAATTGCCACAGATGGGCTCTCCAAAATCAACCCTCTTGCGAGACGCACCGGTAATCTTCCAGAGCGTCATCGACAAAGTCAGCAACGGTATTCGCCAGACACACTACGCCTGCTGTCTTATGGAAGACACAAAAGGAACCTTCATTTCCTGCAATAAATGCTCAAGGACAAATAGAAGCCCAAACGTGTACTGTGTATGGATTACTTGCTATTAGACGGACTATGCAGCGAGCCGACATATATTTCAGAGCACAGAATGTCTGAAACGATACTTGGTAGTGCATAAAGCTTCTGTGGTGTTCCAAAGCAAGAACCGACCAAACAGCCGCTCCCACTTTCACAAGCCGGCGAGACCAGGGCTCGACTCGCTCTAGGAGACTGGTCCAAAATTCATCACGATATTCTTGTGAGTCTACATTTTAATGCGTATCCCACTTATGACCCGTGCAGAGATGGGCCGTCCTCCACGCCACTGCGTTTGCGGACGTGGATAGCGAGACCCATATCCTCCATATATGGCTTCAAGTTCAAGATTGGAACGAGGAGATGCCAACAATGTGGCCGGTCGCGATGATGCTTCAACCCATGTCAGAAGAGTTCATGACCTCGATCAAGCTTTTGCCCCGCTCTGAACGTGCTGGATGGGTGAGAGTCAGCATTATCGGAGTTCCAACCAAGTCCTCTCTCACCTTTCCGTTCACCTCCACCATGCATAATCTCAAGATTCTGCATCGCGCATGGACTTACATCCTCGTCCAAGTCTGCATGGAGGGTGCAAAGTCGAAGAATGCGGTCGACATCCGCCATACACTTATTCAAATGGCCCTCATGGAGATGAAGTTTAGGTCCAAGTCCCCCATCGTCGAAAAGGTCTGGCCGGTACTCAAGGTCAATGAGTTGTTCCTGTGTCACCACGGGGCCCGCTGGACCGAAGAGGCACTGGAGAAAGGACTTTGGGACAAGGCAAGCGCGATACGTGTTCGGATTCACCTCGAGATTGCCTTTGGCTTGGACGACGAAGATTGCCTCGAAGATCCTACAGCGTGCATCTGAGGCGAGTCGATTGCGAGCATCTTGCTTACGTCTTCTCGTTCGTAAATGCGCCACCTTGTAGTTTCTCAGAATGTTTCTTGGTACGAATGAGTGAATGAATTTCTTGTCCTCAATGTTGCTTCGAGTGTGGTAACCACGCAACTGGGGCCTTGCCAAGGTGGCCAACGAGCCGACTAGAAGAAAATTGATCTCTCAATAGTCTACACGTCTGATACAGGCCGGCAACACCCTAATTTGATCCAGAGTTTGCACAGAGGGCCTTTCAACTTAGTGAAGATAAGCACCTCTTTGTTTAAACACTACTAACTGTGAACCACTTCGAGTCTATATCCTAGGATTTGATTGCCCCCTCGATCTCTCGCAGCTCCTCTTCGACAATGACCCGACCCTGATCATCGCCCAAATCAATATATCTCCTTAATTGCCCCTCCCGAATCTTCTTTGACTCGGCATATCGTTGGTGATTGAAGAGAAATGTTGCTAGCCTACCTCTTTCGACCACATACCGACGGTGTCCTATCCCGAAAACTCTTTCACTTTTTCGTCACGACATCTACATACTATTTCGGCCTCAGTGACCCTTTTTTGCCGCTCGAGGATCTCGGCGAACGTGGAGAGTACCCACAGGACGGGGGTGTTCAAGTCTCCCTCAATATGCTCGTAGAGCTCAAACATATCTTGGATGAGAGACTTAGCTTGCTCCAGCGCCCCCGTTTTCTCAAGACTGAGAATTAGGTAACAAAGTGTACGGCAAGATTCCGCGTGTTTAGCCCGGGAAGCCTCTTTCCCCTTGTGATAGGCTTCCTTGAGTATTGACTCTGCCTCGCTGTACTGTGTTTGCTCGAAGAGACATATGCCTAACAGCGCAGATGGACTGGTCATAGACACGCTGGTATTGGTTTCCATCTGGTGAGAGTATTTCAGTTCTTCTCGAATGAGTGACTCGGCTTCCATATACTGCTTCTGCTGGACGAGACATTCGGCAAGAAGTTGACGTTTCCTGGAGACTCTGAGCCAGAAATCTCCATAACGGTCGATGGGTGCATTATACGCAGTTTCGAGGATAGGAAGTGCTTCATCAGGGTGTCCTTGCCTCAGTTTTGCCTCTCCCAGCAGAGTCAATAGCGAAAGCATATGCTCCCCTGCCACGCCGTCCAGATTGTGGCCTAGGCGGACGTACTGACGTAGCAGGTCCTCCACTTCCACGTGCTTTCCCGTCTTCTGGAGAAGCTCTGCGAGCATCTGAACCGCATTCAGATTTCGCGGTGAAAAATCGCCAAATGTAACACGGCCAGTCTCGATGAGCTCCCGGTATACATCTTCAGCCTTCTCGTATAGACCTTGAAGTTGGTACATACGTCCTTTCAGGGCGAGGACGGCCATGTTATTGGAAGACGTGCCGCCATAGAGACTTTTACAATGCTCCAACAGCGTTTGGAGTTTTTCTTGTTTTGAATCTCCCTTTGCGGAATAACATTCGAGGAGCTGATATACTAATCTCAGCGTTTCTGGGCTATCGACTCCCCAATGCGTGGAACGAGCCACAACGAGTTTCTCGAGGAGTATAGACGCTTCTTCGTATCCACCTAGGCCGTGGTCTGCGCGTATTAGGGAGGTGGCAAGCATATCCATCGTCTTTATGGTGTCTAGGTGATCTGGGCCAAGCGTCTCTTGCTGGATCTCCAGAGTGGTGTGGAAGAGCTCCATAGCCTCTTCTTTCCTGGCAAAAGAAAAGTCGATGAAGCAGGCGAGGAGAAACATTGCTTCGGTAGTTGCCAGGGTCCGGGGACCACTGATCGCCTTCCTGAGCTCGTATTCTTGCCGAGCAATAGCCTCGGCTCGTGCCGTATCAAGTGTTTCCCTGAAGCCCATTACGCAGAGAACGAGGTGGGCAGTACTGGTTCGCAGATCTGAATCACCGTAGGCTGCCCGTACCGTTTGGTAGATATCTTCAAGAACTTTGAGCTTAACCTGATCCTTTGGTTTGGTCAACCAGACTTCAACCAGAGAGCTCTGGTCATTGACATGCAGCATTGTTATCTCCTCGATGAAGCGACGCGCATGTGGTTCTAGGTCTGAGTCTATATATACCCCATCATCCCCGTCCACAAGAGAAGTGAGTAGTCTCAATGCTGCATCACGATATTTCTTCCTCTCCTCATCGTTCTGCCGATCGTATGCCCAAGCATGGATCAATAGATGGAAGCGAAGCTTGACATCTGACTCCAATGGTACGAGGGAAACCAGCGAGGACTGCTGAAGTTCTTCGATGATACTGTCGACCTCAACCTCGTCGAACTTGCCTTTAGGGGTGATGATCAGGCGGAGGAGATTGACAGCCTCCTGAAAGTCGTGACCTCGATCCATTAGCTTGTACTCTTCGTGCATGAATTCTTTGGATGCAGCGAGTCTGATCACAGAAAGAGGGAGGCCGGTATAATCGTAATAGGAGAGGATGGATAAGAGGCCGAGCCCGCCCCGACAGGGACGTGAGGGATATATCGAACGCCGCGTATACGCTATGCTTGTACCGAAGTTTGTCCCGCTGCATGGATGTATGCTTCAACAGATCGGAACGACTCGCTTCCAGTCGTCTAAGGTACGTGTCCAAGCATTTGTATTTCCGAATGTAACATCCAGCTTGAACGACGGCGATTGGGAGATACTCAAACTCCTTGACGATATCGAGCGCCAGTTGTCGATGGTGAGGTCGCCAACTGTCCTTGATACCAATTGAAGAGAATAGTACTTCGCAAGCCTCATCTTTAGTCATAACCTCCAACGTAATAGTATCGTTAGGAGAGATAGACTCGAGTTGGGCGTTACGGCTGGTGATAATAATCGCTCCATGGTCACACAGGGGAAAGAACTCGGTTATGTTGACCTTTGGATCGTCGGCGTTGTCGAAAACGATACACCACTTAGTTGTGATGATTTCGTTTGGCTGAGCAAGCGCTTCCAATGCGCTCGTGAGATCAGCTCCTTGGAATGACTTGTCAATGGATCTGAGTCGTGTGACCAGGCCTGTCTCAATAGTCTGTTCGGATGACGCGTCGACAAATAAAACATTCTGAAAACTATGTGATCTAAGGAGGGGATTGTGCATAGTTTCCTCACTCACCAGTCTCCATGTTCACGAATAAATGCAATGACCATTTGAGTCTTTCCGGAGCCGCCCATGCCCGTCAGGGTGAGAACTCGTTGACGCTCATCCACTTCAGAGCCGAGAAGCGATACGACCATGTGGTTCATTGGTATATCACGTTGAACATAATACGGGGACAACGGTGGAAGGCCGCTGAACGAGACCTTGGGTGGTGCAGTAACTTGAGCTGCATAAACCATGAGAAATTATTCGACGAGAAAATAGGTAGTTTACCGAGACCTCTGAGCGTGAACCGACGATTGCGACATGAAGCCTTGGCTACTTGGTCGAGCACTCGATCGGTGACTGGATTGAGCAGATAGTCAGACGTATGAGCCGAAATGCTCCCAAGAGTCTCCTGCGTAGTAGATTCTAAAGCGGAGATAGATGGAATAACACTGAGCCTGTAATATAGGCCGGTCGTCCCCCACCGTCGTTCAAGCTCATGAGCAGTGACCTCTGCTCGGACCAGCTTGTCGTCTCCGCCCACATGTTGGCGCATAGATCCACCGTATCCAAGACTTAACAGCAGACAGACACGTGTCTCGGGACCGTAGAGGTAACTGGCCTCTTGTATCGCTTGAAGCGCCGGGTTTGGAAAGGCAGGGGCTGCGCTAATGACCTTCGACTTCTCAATCTCCGTACCGACACTGAAACCCTCGAAATGCGGAGGCATAGCCCAGCAAGCGCAAATGGCTTCGATAATTGTAGGGTCATACGCATGATGGCGCGCCGTATAATTATGAAAAGCCCTCCATGTTCCGATATTAGTGGCAGAAACATAGCCAAGCACACTGTAACAACGTAAATCACCAGTGTTAGCGCAAGCGTGACTCAGCTTACACATTTGTACCCGTAAATTGGCTTAATAGGGTGCTAGGAGCAACTCCTTTGCTCACTAGTGCACTCTCAATAGCACTTCAAAGAACGTCGGAGCGAGGTTGGGACCCAATCTCTCTCGTGGGATAAACGTCGAGACAAATTTGTGCGAAGAGGCCGATAGTGTCGTCTATAGACATCTTCAAAGCACCAATAAAGGCAACTATAGCACTAGTGACCTCAGTAAGAACCATTTTCAATGAAAGGAATCCTACCCTGCTGGTCCCACGGCCGTTATGAGATGAAAGTGCTCGTATGGCAAGACTTCCCGTCCAGAATCTGAGCCTAGACGAGATATATACTCTCGAAGGATGAAAAGTTGTGAAGTGCAGCGGGCGTCTCCTCCATCTTGTGCGGAAACGATAAGTGAGGTCGAACCAAAGCAGGCAACAAAAACCCACCTAATGAGAGAACTCTCAGATCTTCATCAAAATCAACTAGCCGCCTCATTCCGAATTGTTAGAGTATTCCACGGAGGAGGAACTCGTCAAAGTCCGTATTTGGCAGACGGGCTCAACGATTGCTTCCTTCCGCAATGTCCCCCAATCTACTTATTTGTGTGCTGTCGGCGCCTTTTTGTTGCTCTCCTCAGAATATTTCTTCCCTCTCCGGCATCGTCCTTGTAATGAACGCCCTTTGAAGCGACTTCCGTTGTGCTGTTTATGCTTACCGTGGGCGATATTACTCATTCGTATTCACTCCGAGGCATCTTTTAACTTGAACGATGACGATTGCATCGAGGATCCCACAGCGGTGTATCTGAGACGGGTTGATAATCAGCCTCCCGCTTCGGCGTTTATGCCTGTGGAAATATAGCCTCATGCCTCTGAGAAGAAATATTTCCTGGGCCAAATGAGGGAATTATTAGTTGTATAGCCCTCAAGTCGGCTTCGAGTATGGCAATTGCACAACTTGAACCCAGCTTAGGCGGTCGTCGAGGCGCGATGGCAGACAGACTAATCAAGATGAACAATAAAGCAAGGTCTCTATTAAAAACTTTGTCAATTCCACGCCTGATGCACCTTGGGCTGACAAGGCCCTCCCTCGCGAGTGGGAATTCGGTCAGGATTCTCCTCTAGGGCTCGAATTCGGTGATGAAGATGTAAAACCGAACCCTTTGTTCAAAAGTTACTAATAATTAACCACTCAGAGTCTAGATTCTCGTCTTTGAGTGCCTCCTCGATCTCTCGCAGCTTCGCTTTGACATCCTCCGCGCACGACTCGTCATCCAGTTCAATGAATCTTCTCAATTGGTCCTCCCGGATCGACCTCGACTCGGCAAATCGCCGTTGGTGGAAGAGAAACGTCGCCAGTACGCCTCGTTCAAATACGTATTGAGGACTCTCTACGCCGAAGATCTCCTTACACTTCGTATCCCGAGTCCTCAGTATATCCTCAGCTGCAGCGAACTGTTTTTGCTGCTCGAGGAGGAAGGCGGACGTAAAGAGCAGTGTCAAAACCACGATGTCAATGTCGTCCTCATTGCTCTCATACATTTGGAGCATATCTTGAATGAACGGCATATAGCGTTGCCTATGGCCCTTTTTGTAGAGAGTATAAATTAGATACCAGAGCGTAGAGCAAGAATAAAACTTGCTTGCTGCAAGGCTATTCTTATTCTTGGTGTATGCCTCCCTCAGTAACGCCTCCCCTTCGGCATACTTGTTTTGCATGAAGAGGCATTGAACCTGTAGCACATATGGATAAACTTTAGCCAAGTTTGTGCTCAGTTCCATAAGATGCCAATCGTGTAACTGTTCTCGAATGAGAGTCTCTGCTTCGGTATATTGCTGTAGCAGGACCAGACATTCCGCGAGACGTAGACGGTGTGAGGAGATACCGAACCCTGACTTCCCGTAGGAGTTCAAAGCCATACTATATCCAGATCTAAGGATGGGGAGTGCTTCTGCAGCGCGTTCTGATTTAAGCAGGTGCTCCCCGAGTTTTGTCGCCAGAGAAATCATATGATCCCTGGCTGCGCCATGAAAATCGTAGTCCAGTATAACATATTGACGCAGTAATTCTTCCAACTCGGTAAACTTTCTCGTCTCCTCCAGAAGCTCCGCGAGTGCCTTGACAACGCCCAGGTTACGGGACGATAGATCCCCAAATATAGCTCGAATATTTTCAATAACTTCACGGTACGCCACTTCAGCTTCCTCATATTGTCCCTGCAGTTGGTACATGTGACCTTGGAAGGTAAGGACCGCTATGCTGTCAGTGGAAGAGCTGATATAACGACTATGGCGAACGCTTAGCAGCTCATGGAGCTTTTCTTGCGCTTCGTCTCCGATTTCAGCGTAGCAATCGATCAGTAGATCCTCAATAGCCAGGGTTTTTGGGTGGTCGGCACCTAAAAGGGAAGTACGTGTTGCAAGGAGTTGCTCCAAGAGCAGAGTCGCTTCTTCATACTCGGCTGGATTCCTGTGTAACAGTATAGCAAGCACACACATCGTAGTTTGAGTGTCGATATGGTTAGGGCCGAGTATTTCCTTTTGAATCTCGAGCGCTTTATGAAGCAGATCCAGAACTTCATTCCTCCGTGTCTTGGTAAACGCTATGCGTCTGGCCAACACAACCATTGCTCTGGCAGTTGGCGCAGTCTGCGGACCACATATAACCTTCCGCAGCTCATATTCTTGCCGAGCGATATCCTCAGCTTTCGCAAAGTCAAATGTCTCGTCGGCATACCACGAGCAGTACGCAAGGTGGGCTTCGCTGGTGCGTAAATCTGAGTCACCGTGAGACGCTCGTACTGTTTGGTAGATATCTTCGAAGATTTTGAGTTTGAGCGGATCCCTCGGCTCGGTCTCCCAGATGTCAACGAGGGCACTTTGGTCGTTGACATGAAGCTTGGTCATCTCCTGAATAAAGCGACGTGCATGAGGGCCGAGCTCTGACTCGACATCTATCCCGTCGTTGCCATCCACCACACAGGTGATCAGTCTCAATGCGGCGTCGTGGTACTTCTTCTTCTCCTCATCGCTCTGCCTATCATATGCCCAAGCGTGTATCAGTGGGTGGAAGCGAAGCTTGATCTCCGAATAGAATGTTACGAGGGAAATTAATGAGGATTGCTGAAGCTCGTCAACGAGACGATCCAACTCGACGTCTTCTAGCTTGTCATGCGGGGTGAAAATCTGGCGGAGGAGTGCAATGGCCTCTTCAAAATCTTTTTCTCTATCCATTAGCCTGTATTCTTCATGCGTGAAGTCTTTTGCGGCGGCAAGCGCGAGTACGGAGCGCGGAAATCCGGTATAATCGTAGTAGGACAGAATGGATAAGAGGCCAAGAGCGCGCTCCGACAAGGACGCGAGGGATATATCGAACGCAGCGTATACGCTGTGGCTGTACCGAAGTTTGTCGCGCTGCATAGATGCGTGCTTCAACATCTCTGAGCGGCTCGCTTCCAGTCGGCTCAGGTAGGTGTCCAAGCATTTGTGTTTCCGAATATAACATCCTGCCTGAATGACGGCGATCGGGAGGTAATCAAATTCCTTGACGATATTGAGCGCCAGTTGTCGATGGTGAGGTCGCCAATTTTCCTTGGGACCGATCGCGGAGAATAATAGTGCGTTGCAAGCCTCCTCCCTGGTCATGACCTCCAACGGTATATGATCGTTAGGGGATATGGATTCGAGCTGAGCGTTACGACTGGTAATAATTATTGCTCCGTGGTCGCAGACCGGAAAGAAGTTGCTTATATCAAGCTTTGGGTCGTCAGCGTTGTCGAAAATGATACACCAATGGGTAGTGAGAATATCATTAGGTTGGGCGAGTGCCGTTAATGCGCTGTCGAGGTCGGCTCCTTGGAAGGACTTGTCAATGGCCTTGAGTCGGGCGACAAGGCCAGTCTCGATAGTCTTTGCGGATGATGCGTCGACGAACAATACGTTGCGAAAACTAAGGCGATTAAGTGGACAATAGCTGGCTACCTTTTTGCGTACCGTTCACCGTGTTCGCGAATAAAAGAGATCACAAGTTGCGTTTTCCCCGATCCCCCCATGCCCGTCAGGATCTGAACTCTTTGACAACCCTCCGCTTCCGCACCGAGAAAGGAAGCTACCATGCGGTTCATGGGGGTATCACGTTGAACATAATAAGGCGACAACGGTGGAAGTCCACTGAATGACACCTTTGGTGGTGCAGTGACTTGGGCTGCATGAAGAATGAGTGACCAATCGACAAGAAAGCGAATAGCTTACCGAGACCCTTGAGAGTGAACCGGCTCTTGCGGGATGAAGTCGTGACCACTTGGTCAAGTGCGCGATCAGTGGCTGGATTGAGCAGGTAATCGGATGTGTGAGCCGAAATAATGCCAAGAGTCTCCTGAGATACATATTCTGGAAGGGCAGGAGACGGAATAACACTGAGCCTGTAATATACGCCTGTCGGTCCATAGCGTCGTTCAAGTTCATGGGCGGTGACCTCTGCTTGGACCAGCTTGTCGTCTCCACCCACATTTTGACGCATAGATCCACCGTATCCAAGACTAAGCAGTAGACAGACACGTCTCTCGGGACCATAGAGTTCACTGGCCTCTTGAATCGCTTGCGGCGCCGGGTTTGGAAAGGCAGCGGACGCACTGATAACCTCCAACTTTTCTATCTCTTTACCAACAGTGAAAGCTTGGAAACGAGGCGGCATAGCCCAACAGGCGCAAATGGCTTCGATAATAGTCGGTTCGTATGCGTGATGGCGACTTGTGTAATTACGAAAGGCCCTCCATGTTCCGATATTAGTGGCAGAAACATAGCCAAGCACACTGTAAAAACCGTAAATCACCATGTTTAGCGCGAGCCGTGACTTGGCTTACACGTTTGTGTCCGTAACTTGGGTTAATAGGGTGCTAGGAGCAATTCCTTTGCTAGCTAGTGCACTCTCAATGGCACTTCGAAGAATGTTGGAGCGAGGTTGGGGTCCAATCTCTCCCGTGGGATAAACGTCACGACAAATTTGTGTGAAGAGGTCGATGGAGTCATCTATGGAGATCTTCAAAACGCCTATAAAGACAGCTATGGCGCTGTTGCCTTTAGAAAAGTCTTATTTCGGACAACGCGACCTCACCTTGCTGGCCCCACGGCAGTTATGAGATGAAAGTGTTCGTATGGCAAGACTTCTCGTCCAGAATCCGAGCTTAGACGGGACATATACTCTCGAAGGATCCAAAGCTGGGACACGCAGCGGACATCTCCACCATCTTGTGTGGGAACGATGAACAAGTTGGAACCAAAGAGAGCCAACAGAACCTACCTAGTGAAAGAAGCCTCAGATCTTCCTCGGAATCGGTATTTCGACTCATTTCGAATTTTTGGAGTATTTAGCAGAGGTGGAAAGCTCAAAGTGTGTAGATGGGCTGAAAACTTGCTTTGTTCCGAAACGTCCATCTGGTACCGCTAACATCTGCTAGCAACTGCCAACATCTGCACTGTCTTTTTATTCTTCTCAACGTGTCCTTTCAGCATGGTCTTCCAAAGCCGACCTGCCCTTCCCCGGCATCGTCCTTGTGATGGACTCCCATAGCTTCAGGGCGACTCCCATTATGCTTGGTACGGTGCCCACGCTTACCATGCGAGCCGTTGGATCCGTTGGAGCCATTGGAGTGGGGATGACGACCGGAAGGGCGGCGCTGCGCCGGATGGTTAACAGATGTCTGGTCCTTGTGCGTCTCGCCGTGTGCTTGCAGTGCCATCATAAGAGTACTATCCGACCCTCGCTCTGCGTAGAGTTATATCGATTATTTATCTGCAAGCCAATAAGCCAATAGACATACCCTTGAGACTCTCCGTAACTTCTAGGATATCCGTGAGGAGACGGGCGACCAGGTCAGCGGACAAGGTAGACCGCACGACCACGCGAAGCATTTCGATCTGCGGTTGGATAAGGTACTATAATTAGACTGTTTCATCACGACTTACCTGCTCGACGGCCTTGGGTGCATTATAGTTTGGTACAATCCAGCCTTTGATCCTCAGAAGTTGTTGGATCCATCTCTGCTGAACATGCGGATACTCCTTCATGAATTCGTCTGAGAGGCGGAACGCAACGACGGGCAGCCCGCGACAGTAGAGGTTTGGATCTTCTTGATCGGCACCGAGAGTGGCCGTAACGCGGGTCGCCACACTGACTTTGGCAGGTCGATGGATATTTGATAAAAGCTACATTGGGAGGTAAGATCCCCGGTCCGAATGAAATGAGAGAAACCGACCGTAAAGTAGCTCCTTTCGAGTGCGCGGCTGAGGAGACGTGCATTGGCCAGGTCCGCGCAGACAATCTCGGTATAACCTTTGCGCCCAAGTTCCAAGAAACGGTACATTTGCGCAAGGACAGGGCAGCCGAACGGGAAAAGTTGAGCGTGAAAGAGGATTGCGCCGTTCCCAGGTAATGAAGCTCGAAGATTAGATCCTAGTTCCTTGTTAAAGATGGGGTCATCGGAGGTGAGAGGAGACGGACCTTTGGAAGTAACGACTCGTCTTTGATGACCAGCCACCCAAGGCCTGCATACGTAAGGCCAAATTTGTGACCACTGGCGTTGATAGAGTTGACGCGTTTGACGTCGAATGCCCACTGGTAATCAGGGTACGCAAAGGGTGCAGTGAAGGCTCCAGAAGCTCCATCGACGTGAATAGGTATATCGATACCGGTCCTTGCTTCATATTCATCGACTACCTCTGGGTAAGACAGTGGCAACAGGAGATGGTAAAGACATACGGAGATCGCTCATGCTCTTGACGTCTTCGAATTCGCCAGTGTAGGTCGACCCCATGATGACCATAACGCCAATGGTGTTTTCGTCGACAAACTTTATTGCCTCTTTCGGATCCATAACCTACATCATGTGAGATAGTGACGCTGTAACAGCCAAGGTACGCACAAAGTGGCTCTCCTCTGTTACAGGTACGAGCCTGCACTCGACATCAAAGTATCTTGCAAACTTTTCGAGGGCGACCTGAGCGTTTGCACCAAACACAATGTTCGGCCCGGGGTTGTGAATATCCTTCCCCACGGCTTTCATCTTCTCCTACATCCGAGCATCAGTCTCGACCCTCCAGTTGGCGGTCTGGCCAGCGCAAATCTCGCGTACCTGCCATCGCTTCTTCATCGCGAGCCCGCCAAGCATGATGGCCTCACTGCTACCCGTCGTAGCGGTTCCAATCGCCTTGCATCCCTTGGGCACTTTCCACAAGTCGGCCAGGATGCTAATACAACGCGTATGGATGGCTTGGGTAGCCGGATACTCATCGAAATCGACCAGATTCTTGTTCATGTTCTCTTGCATGAGACGATCTGCGTGGTGGTCCATGCCAGTGTTCACAAAGGAGGCGAGATTGAGAATGGGTGCGCCGTCGAGCTCCATTTCGTCATGGATGAGTTGATATGCTGCGGATCTCGGGATACCATCGCTTGGGAGGGTAAACTTGGGAATGTCGGAGAGACCGTAGACAGTCTTGTGTGTCGTTGGGTTGAGTCCATCGTCGAGCAGGCCAAAGTGTGGATGATCTTTGCATGCCTGAATGAGCTCATCAGGATCAACTAAAGACGGGTATCAGTATACGGTAGACTCCTTCATCGCTGGCATCGCTCACTGTGTTTTGAGAGTGCCATGGCTTTTTCTGATTCGAGTGGCTAGAAGTGGGTTGAAGAGGACGGATCCAAGTTGTAATCAGTCCTCATCACCACTCCATTCGCTTATTCGGCTCGTATTTTTAGGACGCAGCGTGAGGATGACGTCCATCCTTCGTCCGAAACGGATTCGTGATCGAGCCAACGGCATCCAAGCTGAGATTACCGAGGACGGCACGATTATGACAAACACCAGCCGAGTAATATTCCTGGAGTTTCTGAGGCTGGCAGTCGGCTGAAGATGTGGTGGTCGTAGGAGGACAAGAAACGCTATCATTTAATCGATGCGAAGACTATGACTGACAGGAAACTACGATACAGTGAATGACGAAATAGCGTCAGAATGTTCAAGAAGCTGGATAAACGTCCCGCATCCATTGGACAAGCCGCGGAGTCCAGTACTCCCGTACTCGCGCATCGTTCTCAAATGCAATCCAGAAGCCTGAGAGATCGTTGCATGCCTCAGCAAACGATAGGCGGGGTGAATCATCCTCGATAGTTGTTGACGTCTCGCCCTCGGCACCTTGGGACGGCAAAAGCGAGGAACCTTGATGGTCTCCACCGGTGGGTGCTTCATCTTTTGATAGTGAAAGCCTACTACCACCAACTGCCCAAGTTTCCACGTCGTCAGAAGGAGTGATGGGAGGAGAGCCGGTTTCACCGTCTGATACGGTAGTATTGACGGAGAGCAAGAGAGACGATGGAGTCGAATTTTCAACTTCTTCGGAATCGCCGTGGCTAATAAGATGGATCGTACCTCGTCTGCAGGGTGCAATGGTTCAGAAGTCGAAGGCGTATCGGAATTTTTAGCTGGAATTATACGCCTCGAACCAGTGGACGTATCCTCTAACACTACTGCTTTGTCTGCCGAGTTGAGTGCCGGAAACGTGATCCTGATTTGTCGAGAGATAGTAGGGCGGTTAAAAGACGTTGGTCCCTCTTTATCCTCTACTTGACTATCCTCTAGAGAATGAGGAGATATAACGTCAGCAGGTCGACTATTCTCCACTGTAACCTCGACCACGGAGGATAGATCGTTGAGGACGCTGGCTCCATCTGCGCTTAGCGGAAGACCCAGATCGGAACACCGTTGGAAGAACAGATGCCAGTCTGATAGCGACTTCTTTAGGCGAGCGGACGCCCAAGTCAAGAGTACACTGCGCTTCAGCTGAGGCATTGCCCAATCCTGGGGTCGCAGTTCGCTGCCAGAGTCTTCATCTACGATGACAATGAGGCTAGAGTTGCTCATTAGCTCTCGCAATATCTAAAGGTCGCATTAGACAAGAGTGGTGAGACGAGATATACCCAACCTTTGTCCATGGAACAGGACCTTGGTCGAGCTGAGGTGATGACGAGGCGGCCATCATGGGCTTCAAGGTATCTACCCCAGTGAAAGAGCACAGCTGAGGGTATTGAGTACGAATAAACGCAAAATATTCACGCGCACCACTTGAGCACGCAGGACCCAGTCACGGTAGAGACGACGGAGACGTTGGGCAAAGCTTACGGAGGAAAATACCTACGGTGCCATCAGATGGAGAGTCCATGGAGTCGCTATACTCACGATTTCACCAAACACATATGGAATCTCAGGCCGGAGTACTCTCTGAATCCACGCCTTTTGGTCTGGCTTCTTGTCGAAGAATAACTTCGCATGGGCACTGATGGAATTGTATACTTCTTTTTCACTAGAGCACGCGGATATCCGCGCGAAGAATTGAGTCTGTCCTTCTGGAGGAAGCGGGGGTCGAAGCTGCGCAATTTGCCGTTCCAGGTCGCTTAGTAGTAGTTGTGTCAACTAGTTTACAATGTCAGTACGTTAAGCCTGCACGACTCCCGCCTACCGCAAGATAGTTGTCCGTTCTCTGTTGGACAATGTAGTACACATCGCTGACCGCAACCCGCGCAAATGGACCGCTGTTATTAAATACGCGATGTATTTGTTCATAATTAGGCATGTTGAATATCCGTATGACTCGCTGTTGCAACGTGGTGGATGGTAGACAGAGAATTGCATTACGGAGTACCGTGTTTCCTTGAGCTTTATGGGGCGACATGAGTGACATGATATCACCAATCCCGTGCTTTGATCGACCAGGTCGTTCTTGAGTCCCATATATCCAAATCCGAAGCAAAGGTTCGTTGAGGACCACTTGCAGAGACAATGAGTGGATGAATAGAGTAAGATCATTTGTAGACTTACAGGAATTGAAGACTCTTGCTTGCCATGTTTGAATGGGCTTTGCGCCGTCTGGCTTCTTTGCATTATAGACCCGCAAATCGCTGATAGTTCGCGTTCCTCGGAGAACGTAGTATCTGGAAGACCCTGAAGGTGAATGTTAGACTTCAAAATTCGGGTTTGAGCGCCGAGGTCACCTTGTGACACGGGACATATAGAGATTGGACCCCAACCGTTGACGCCATAGTCGGGATCCCAAAGGTGTAATAAAGGGTATATATCTAGCGAGTCGAGGCTGACGTCTATAGTTCCTTCGAAATGCTTGTCGATTTGTTCAAACTGCACCGTTTTTGTTTTCGATATAGCGGGCGTGAGTTTGGGAACCGTGAGTGCGTCCATTCTTGCTTTCATGCGGTTTTGTTCCATCTAATGCACAGTAGATGACAGTTGAGGGTCCTTCCTTGTCCGGGCGAGATGAGGTCGGAAGCAAGTTGCGGTTATAGCGCGCTTTTTCGTAAACCCACGGGAACTCGTCCTATTGGTTAGTAGTTGTCTTGGTTCTATTACTCTGCATTGGATGATGCACAACTTGGACCCAGCGCCACTGACGACTCTCACAAGAATAATGTCCGACGGGTCTCCTTCTTTCCTCCTCCAGGCGTTTACGCAGTCCTATGACTGGGGAAAGCTAGGAAGTTCCAGCAAGGCAGCGCAGTACGCTCGTGTGGCTGATCCAAACTTTCGTCTCGACGAGAAGACGCCGTATGCAGAGGTAGAGGACCTTGATCTACAGAAGGAGATCAATTTCTGAGTTGTACAACAGCTATGGATGGGGACACATCCAAATCTCCCGTCCAAAACCCTTGATGGCGTCCCGTTGCCAAAGATCCTTGCCGAGTCACCTTCGCTACTGGGATCAAACTCGAAGGGAGACCTTCCCTTTCTTTTCAAAGTCCTCGCCATCCGAAAAGCGCTCAGCATCCAGAGCCACCCGGACAAGGCACTCGCCGAACGCCTCCATCGTGAGCAGCCAAACGTTTACAAAGGTGAAATCCGTCTTCATTCACTCTCACAAGTTTTAATATACCATAGATTCCAACCATAAACCAGAGATGGCCATTGCCCTCACACCCTTCACGGCGCTCTGCGGCTTTCTCCCCGTCGACGACATTCTAAACAACCTTCGTACTGTACCCGAGCTGGCAGCACTCGTACCCCCGCAACTCGTCGATGACCTCACCATCGCACGTGAACAAGCCACAAACCTCAAATCTCCACCGCTCGCCACTGCAGAGGCTCATGGTGGAGGTGGCGTAACGATTGACGACGCCGACCGCGTCCTACTCAAAACTGCGCTCAAGGCCGTCTTCCACGCGCTAATGACCGCCGACCCAGCGCTCGTCAAGACCCAGCTGGACCTACTCCTCAAACGATACACGCATCCACCTCCCATCTCGACCGAAGCGGCGCTCGTCGACACCATAAAAACTGTTGCCGAACAGTTTCCAGGAGACATTGGCGTCTTTTGCATCTTCTTCCTCAACCTCGTCTCCTTGCAGCCCGGTGAAGCCATCTTCCTTGGTGCAGGAGAACCCCACGCCTACATCTCTGGAGATATTGTAGAGTGCATGGCCACGAGTGACAATGTCCTTCGAGCTGGACTTACGCCCAAACCACGAGATGTCGAAAATCTGGTTGGGAGTCTGACGTACTCGATGGGACGTGCGCAAAAGCACATGGTCTTTCCGGAACCATGGGGCGGTGCAGAAACCGAGGGAAGCGGAGGAGGTGCCAAGACGAGAGTCTACGACCCGCCCATTGACGAGTTTTCGATTCTGCATTTTGACCTCGAAGAAGACCAGACAGAACACCATCGTGCAGTGCATGGACCAAGTATTGTGATTGTGACAAAAGGAAGAGGAGAAATGGTCGGCAGCAACTCAATTGTCGTTGAAGAAGGATGTGTAGTGTTCATTGGTGCTGGGGAAGAAGTCGTTTGGAAGGCGAGGGGACGTCAAGGATTGGAGATTTATCGCGCATTCTGCGAGTAACGAAATCTAGTTTTATGAAATGGAATGGTTTGGATATGGCCGCTCGCTGATAGGCTAGTGCTAGTGTTAGCACGTGAACCGGCATCCGGCTATCATGCGCATCCCTCCTTCAACCCCGCCATACCCAGAATTTGTACGGAGACGCTATGCCAGAACCCAGAGAAATTTCATTAGATGAGGTGGCACAGGTAAAAAGACAGTCAACAGTCCTCGGTCACTACTGACGCCTTTGCAGCACAATATCGAAGGAGATTTGGTACGGCTTTTGTTCCAGGGCGTCATCAATATATTCTGAACCATCATCAGTGGATCGTCATAGATACATATGTCTATGATATCTCCAAATTTTCAAAGCTCCATCCCGGCGGATTGGCAGTCTTGCTGGACCCGAAGATTGGTGCGTTTTCGGTTTTCTATTGCTTCTCTTAACATCTGAATGACACCACAATAGCCGGAAAGGACGCAACAAACGCCTTTTTCTCCCTCCACCGCACCGAAATCTTGCAACGGCCCGCGTATAAACGTCTCATAATAGGCAAACTGCCGGAAAAGGATCCTCAATTTGCACCTCCACCCCCAGATGCGCTCAGCAAAGTTCCGTACGGGGAAGCCATGTGGTTAGGCGAGGGTTTCAGCTCGGCGTATTTCGACGATGGACACCGAAAATTCCAAAAGGCCGTAAGGGGTTTCATGAGGACAGTTGTTCTACCCGATGCCATGGCATGCGAGGAAAATGGCAAGAGGGCGAGTCAAGAAGTCCTTGACGCGCTTGGGTAGATATACCACCTAAATACTATACACATATACTCACCCTAGACTAGTGAAAAAAATATAATTGCCATGCGCTTCGGTCCAGGCCCACATCTCAAGGGGCTCAAACTCATGGACGGTATTATCACGCCCGAAGAGTTTTCGTTCTTCCACGAGTCTATCCTTACCTATGAACTCGGGCGACTTGGAACGCGCGGTTATTTCGACGGGCTACTCGCCGGTGGGGTCATCGGGTTGCCTCCCGTCCTGAACTATGCCAATCCGAGACTCAAAGCCGAGATTGTCCCAGAGGTCTTACGAGGAAAGAAGTTTATCTGCCTCGCTATCACAGAGGCGTTTGCTGGCAGCGACGTCGCTGGGCTGCAGACTTTTGCCGAGCTGACAGAGGACAAGAAACATTGGGTCATCAGTGGAACGAAAAAATGGATAACTAATGGCACGTATGCGGACTACTTTACTACCGCATGCCGAACGGGACCAGAGGGGAGCGGCGAGTTGACCGTCATTCTCATCCCCCGTGGTGAAGGTGTGGGTACCAAAGCCATCAAGACGAGCTATTCTGCGACAGCTGGAACGGCCTTCGTCACATTTGATAAAGTTCGTGTCCCGGTTGAGAACACGCTCGGTGAAGTCGGCAAAGGCTTGAAAGTTATCTTGCAGAATTTCAACCAGTATGTCCTCCCTTTGCCGATCTTGAGTGATACTGACTGGGATAGCGAGCGATGGATGATGAACTGTAGGATATTCAATGACCGAGTATCTCGGGTTGACGAGTTTGTCAGGCATTTCGGCTGGTAGCATGCGCCTTGTCGTCGAGGAATGCCTCAAGTACATCTAATTTCTCTCCTTTTCACTAGTTACTCATCTCTTCCCAGATGGTCGAATCAGCGGCAGGTATTTGGCAAGCCGCTCGTCTCTCAACCCGTCATTCGTCACAAGTAGGCACAATTCTTCGGCTGAAGCAAATATCTCATGCACCCTGCGTAGGTTGGCGAATATGATCGCCCGCGTTGAGGCCGTACAAGCGTGGCTGGAAAACATTACCTATCAAATGACGCAAATGTCGCACAAGGAACAATCTGACAAACTTGCTGGGTAAGTGTTCGTTCTCGTTCGCTCTGCCCGGCTTGACGGTTACTCGCAGGCAAATCGCACTCCTCAAGATGTTCATTACCCGCAGCGGACAGCAGACAGCAGAGGACGCGGCACAAGTCTTTGGCGGTAGATCACTAACTCAGACGGGAATGGGACGCGTGATTGAGAATGTGAGTAGTTTGGTGTTTGAGGGCGGCGACTGATTTTGCGTATTAGTACCGAAGAACTGCGGCATTTGACGCGATTTTGGGTGGTGTAGAGGGTATGTTGGTCCTATTTACTTTGGGTCATATGCTCATGACTTGTCAGATGTCCTCGGCGACCTTGGAGTGCGGCAAGCGATGAAAAAGATGCCACCGACTGCTCGACTCTGATTCATTTATTTCTTCGTATGAGACTTGTACCTGCGACAACTGAACGTAGTAACTTGATTTGAACTGGCGCCTCGAGGGCTAAGAGAGGCTACCAGAATCGTACAAAGTATAAACACATGGATTCAACTACAAGAAACGATTCTAGAGAGAGATGATTGCTCTAAGCTTTGGACGTCGTGACGGCCTTGGACTTCTCCACATCCTTTGGACGACCTCTTCCAGCCTGGAGTGTCCATCCGGGCTCCAGATACCGTTATGAGCAATACTATTCATGAAAAGGTGTCATTCCCCACAGGGACGATCATATTGATGGTCAGTCCAGGGATATGAAGGGGGTTTCCAAGACCAATTGGTGGTGTGGTGTGCTTTAGTCCAAGGAGAAGGACGTCGAGCATGGCATCAATAACACGAGGAGATTTGATACCCTGGATGCAGAGAGTGGTGAGGATAGGGATCCAACAAACATCGATGCGGCGGTTCTTGGATTCTGCAGGAACGCGGAAGGAGTGATGCGCGCTGATCCCGTGAAAGGGAATTGGGAGAGTCAACTGAAAGAACCCAATCTTGTTCGGCTCGTTGAGCAAATCCTTGGCTGTATCTGGCGGCGGAGGAAGAGCTCGAAGGCAGACGGAGACGGGCCACATTGTGGGAGGCTCCTGGTGCCAGTTTTTCACTTCGAGTTGGAGGACCAAGACGTGTTTCTGCGTATCTACGCGTGCGATATGGCATGCGCACGTCGTCGCCCATGCCTATACTTATCTCGTTAGGTTCATGCAATGGCAAAGGGAAATAGACTTGCCATTAAGTCACCGTACACAGCGTACCATTGCTCGAGCATTCGACGGCAAGCATACCAAATTCCTCTAGCTCTTGTCCACCTTTCGGTACTGACCAAAATCACTCCAGGGTGCCGGTTTCACGCCCTCGCCCACCTCTTACCATCGATACGGCATCTCATGCTGATCTGCCTCCCCTCCCAACGCCACACCTGACCAGCTCCGCCTCTACCGCATCAACACCGTTGATCAGCACCCCTTCTTCAGCAGGGTTCTCGTCTGAACACTTTCCACCTGCGGGGCCCTCACAGCATCCAAACAACGTCCCACCCACACCCATAATCAACAACACACGCAGGCACGTTTTGCCGAGTTGCTTGTCGCTAAACGATCTAATCTCTTTTGCAGTACAAGGCGTTCCGGCGCATCTGGCAATATTGATTACACAGAAGAAGATGGTGACGAAGATTTTGAGCAAGATAAATCACGCAAGAAGCGGAAGACGATCCAGCAAGCCACCGCCTCAGCTCCCAAGGCAACAACGGCTGCAAAAAAGGGGAAGAAGAACAAGAAGAAGGATGAAATGGAACTCTTGAAAGAACAGATTCAGCTCCTCCAGCACCGCGTGAATGCGTCCGAGATGGTAGCAAAGGGTACGACTCCCAATTTCAATATGCCAGATGCGTAAAGGCGCAATCGTACGTACCAGATCCTCTTCGGACTTGAGACGCGAGCTCATCCGGTGATAGCAAACGCGCTCTACTCCTATCCATGTTCTGTATCACCAGTTTCTTGGTCGCCGCGTATGCCGCTTCGAATCGCGCTTTGGACGCTTGAACCGCTTGTATGTGCTCTCATATGATAAAAGATTGAATTCGAGTGTATTTTGCATTATAAACGCTACGGATAATCGAGCTAGCGGTTGCGCGGTTGATTGCCTTGTGAAGGTGCTCTGCCTTGTGAGCTGCCTTGCAAGCTAGCTCGCAGGAGGGGCCACAAGCCGGTTCGCAATCGACTGCCGCCTTGCGAGGTAGGGCACCTTCACAAGGCTTGTGAGGTACATTGTCGGGGCTTGCCAGACCTCGCAAGCCTTGGGCCTGTTTTCCGACATGGACTCAACCGCTTGGAAAGGCTTCTTCTATAACTGATTTTATCAACCCTACGACTTTCTAATTCAATAACCAGATCGTTCACCAGTATGGATCCACATTTTTTTGGAGCCCCAGCAAGACGTCAGCCCTGCAATGGCCCATGGAAATCTTGATTCATGTCACTAGGTGCCGCGCAGAGTAACCCGGAGAATGATACGCAAATGCGAGTGTCGGAGGCAACATTAATGCAACCTCAGCGACATCCTACTGCACTACTCGAGGCCCCAGACATCTGGGAGGTAGCCATAGGTGCTCCAGGATCTCCCGAAGAGTCATTAGAGCCCTTTTTTCAGATCTCCCGTCTCTTTCGTACACATCATGCTGAGGGACATCCACTCCCAACAGTATCGACCTTGTTTGGACTTCTGGAGCTGAATCTTCAGTTGACCGTCAAGGTGAGTTCTGAGCCTTGTCATCTCATGCTCACATTGTCATTCAGAGGCAACAGACTTGGCTTATGCCGAAGCTATGGAATCGAATTCCTTATCTGTGGTCCACCCAACGATGTCAAATGACGGCAAGTGTTTAGTATATGCATTGAAACATGCTCAATAGTTGATGTAGCTCTAGTTCTTCACGATGCATCTGTGCCACCGTCAGGTGGTCCACAGATGCTGACGGCACCTAAGATTGCAATACTTGAACAGATCGTGGGTGTAGATGCCCTCAATATCCAAGCACTTGCACGGCTATCGCGCCCATCATCCTTCTATATTCAGCGACTTATAGTCCAATTGGTTGACCGGATTACTTCAACATTGCTGGGCAGTTCAACAAAAATCACGCACTCTACCTCTGACGGAGCGACTGTCCCATTGATCGGAATGATATATTCACCTGGCTTCGTACATCATATCACCTCCCCTTTGCTGCTGGCACAATAAAGAATATCCGCAGCATTTGGGGTCCTCAAGCGGAATCCAGTTTGGCTGAACTTACCAGGAAACATGATGAAGACTTAGCAAATGGAATTCAGGATGTCCCACGTTCAGCAGCAATCGATCTGCTTCGCATGCTCATCAACGGAGGTCTCTCACTGCCAGCTGAGAAGGATGATGATTTGCGGGTCTCACCCGAGCATGTCTATGGATCAAATCGTTTTTTGGCCAATCGAACTGTTTTGGTCCTGCCTCTCATCTCCGATCCTGGGCGAGACATTTACAAGGTGTCTAAACTGCAATGGAAAAAGCTTTCTACCGGTGACTACTCCTGGTTAACTTCGGATGGTCGCGTCTGATTCTCTGATTCTACTTATATCTCTGACCTCGTCGCTCTCTCATTCCAGTTTCCAGTAGCTAGCTCATATGAATGCATAAAGCTTTCCTTCATATTGTCCCATGTTCCTCAAAGTGGCAGCGAGTGGTGCATCAATGTTGAACCTAGTCATATCCTTCTCCTAGTGACACCGTTTCTCTATTGATGATGCGAAGACATTGACTTTGCGTACCAGGATCACCAAGGAGTAATGGGAGAGTTAACCTCACTAGTCTTATCACACTTACCGCTCGAAAAATGGCGAGCTCCCAGCCTGTAGGCATCTTGTTCAACAACAATTGCCCATGCTGACATGGGTTCTAGAAGGCTACAAGACAGGATCTGCTCACTGCGGTGCCATTGTCAGGTTTGATAGCATGAAAGATATGGAGCTTGAACATGCATAAATGTCTGCCGAAGTCAAGGCTCAAATTGAACAAGCACTCCCAAGCATGATAGTAAGAGAAATCAAGGAAGAGTGAGATGAAGACGACTTGGATCAAGCTGCCGGTCTACCAAACACCTAGCGCTTGCTCAGTGAGGCCACAAGGGTCGCTCCCTACGCCGCTTCGGCAACGCGACAACATTGGCAACATTGTGGACAGGCACGAGCACGTAAATAATATCGATATGTGAACTTTGTTTACTTGTCATTAGAAGATTTTGAACTGCGATTCAGAGCATACTGTACATGCTATAGCACTACTCGATGAATTAGCCACAAGAGTAATCTTCGAGTAGGTTAGTTGACACCAGCAAGATTTGCAAAGCGCAGGGATAGAATCCATTTCTGTCGCTGGTTATTCATTGACGATCATTGTAGTTCCAATGGCGGTTAAGATATGCGTCTAGCTCCTGAATCTGCTCTGTTCTAAGAGGAGCCTCTTGTGGGGCTCAACAATCACACGAGCAAATCGAGGTGGGGGAGCACGAAGGAAGACGTTGGCCGGCACTTGAACCTCTTCAAAGCTCCCTTCAAGACGAATCTCTTCGTCTCCTTGAAGTCTATGCCGAGCATAAATACCCTCTAGATCGTCCCAGTCAACTCCATACTCTGCAGGATTCTCCAGATAGTCCTCATCAAGATTGTGATGCTCCTCCTCCAGATTGCGATGATCCTCGTTCAGACCACGGGTCCCATGCTCAATCATTCCAAACAGAAACAAGTCTGCAGGTGATGGCCGTCCGCGTCTACCACTGACAAGCCTCATCCTGGCCGCCTCTTGGTTACGAGCGACTTCGACATTCTCGATCCCATAGTCACCTCTGACGCGCCTAGGGCGACCAAAGCAGTCTACCACAGATTCAAAGAGGCTGAGAACAGTTGTAGCATGATTATCTGTGACGACGTGGATCCCAACGACCATGCGAGAGTAGCCATCCACAAAAGCGTGTGTGATAAACTTGTATCTGATGAGTTCTATACATGTGTGTATATCATTAGATTGTCAAGGAATAATAGGTAACATACTGTGATGGCCATCATGATGCCAGAGTGAGTTGGGACCGGCAACATTGTACTTTCGTCGCTCAATCCGACGGCGACCAAATTCAGCCGGGGCACCATTGACACGGAGAAATGCAGATCGTATGCGCTCACGTGGAACTCTGAATCCCCTTGATCGTAGGAAGCCATCCTGCATTTGCTGACCGAAGGCAGGAAAGAGTGTGAGGCCCTCTCGCATGAGTTCATCCAAGTTTTGGTCTGTCAACTCCAGTTGACTTTGTGAGCGGTGCCCTGGATACATAGTTACACGCTGGCCAGTGTCATCAGCGCGTTGAATAGAGACAGGTAGACCTGGTTGTCTCACCCCTGCCTCTAGTTGACGCCTACGGACTGTACGTGTAGAGACATTGACAACTGGAGCTATGTCAGCAGGACGTCGAAGCTCAGTTGCGGCGACAAGGAATTCGCATTGAATCTCAATCCTTGGCCGACCTCGCTGGCCTGTACCAGCAATATGGGTCAAAACCCGAGCTGGTGCAATGTCGGGCTGATCTACAATTGTGGCGATTTTCGTGTGGAGACTGCGCAGAAGATAATCGAGGTTCTCGAGAAGATAATCAAGGTCGTCTTGATGTATGAATTGACGATGCTATTTTGAATGAGATTCCTCCAACTATTCCGCATTTTACTTGCCTGATTGACTGCCTGTTGCAGTCGTAGGGTAGATGCCTCGCGGGCACGTAACACCATGATATCTTGCTGCTGAGTGAGGTATGCGACTCTGATCTGGTTGCACAGGTCAATATAGGCCGCCATGAGAGCCTCAGCTCTAGCTTGTCCTCCGGGCTCGACCATCGTGATGAGGTCCAAAAAACACGAGCAAATATCGTCAGTAAACTTGATTTGGTAATATGGCGGCCTCAAAATGCTATTTAAAGTGTGGCACTCCACCTATCACAACACCAGGCACGATTCGTCACGACACTGGGCACGATCTGGCACGACAATTGGCACGATCTTTCACAACAATTGGCACGATCTTCCACATCCCCCGGCACAATCTGTCACAGACTTGCACGATGAGGATGCGATGGCCTGTGTGACAGATATAATGCTCCCAATAATGAATAATAATTACTCGGTCACTCCACCTTGCACGCGGCCTGGCACAGTTCTGCACAATTTTTCACGATCATCGACACTAATCGGCACAGATTGGCACGAATTGGCACGGCAAGTGTCACTAATCGGCACGGCAAGTGTCACAAATTGGCACAAATTGTCACGAATTGTCACAAATTTGCACATTGTGTCACGAATTGGCACGAATTGGCACGAATTGGCACATATTGGCACAAACTTGCACAAATCTGCCAACACAGGACGCATTATTGTCCGAGCTGTCGGCCCAAAGGTCAATGATCGGACTTGGCACATGCCAGAATGGTTCAAACGGAGACGGGACCTCACAAAACTGGTAATAAATTCACAGATAAGGAAATTAAACTCCCAAAGTCTTTTTCTCAAACTACCGAGTCTGTTGCGGTCGCCCGAGTGTGCAAAGATTGTTCATCGGGCTACAGCCATCCAGCATTGGCAATTGCGAGAAAAAGAGGAAGATGAAGATAATTAAATGAATTTTAATTCATTTGGAGAGGCTAATTATGCATCTCAGAGCTTGAAAATCTTGTCGCCTGTGGGGTTGCTCGATCTCCATGCGTTGTGGAGCGGGTGGCTGGAAGGGAGGCTTGCCAGGCACACTGCCGCGCTGAAGGTCACATTTTTAAGGAGGAACTGCATTGGAGGGAGACTTCGATGGTGTCATGTGCCTCGTTGCGCGTGGCGTTGCACAGTCCCGAGTTCTATTTTACAGCTTGGACGAAGGTTCGGTGCGAGTGTCCCGCTCCATCTGAGACTTCGTCTTCATTGTCTAGGCGCAATACGCTCTACACTGCAGGCGTGGGGGGGCGGCCCTTCGTGATTGTCACTATGAATGCCAGGCGACTCTCAACCTTTTTGATGCTGACTCATGCATACATTTTCTGTGGGCTTATCGATTCACTGGCCACCTCGACCAACACAGCCCCGTCCAACGCAAACATGAAGTTCATTGTGGACCAATCCTTGCACTAGCTCTCTCAGGATACATCCAACTCTAAGCTCGTGGAATACCTGCGCGCAGCCCGCAACTCGATCTGCTGGCAGGATTTTTCGACGAGATTCATGGAACAAATCCGCAGAGGGGTCCCACTGGCGGAGGCAACGGAGAGGACATTTGAGGGGGGACCATAATATCCATAGATTCATAACGTCGGCCCGGAACATCCCCCACTGACCCTTCGACCGACTGGAGACGGACGTTGTTCGGTGCTTGTTAGTCTCCCTACGACGCAGCCAATTCCTGCGTACAGGCTGGTAGAATTTAGAGACTTTCCCCTTTCACAACTATGACTGGTCGTTTCGTCAACTTTGTCACCGGACTTCGTTTTCATTTGACCAGCGGAGAATTTGCGCTGCCCATAACGGCGAAGTCTGGGAGACGCCTGCGTTCCAGCTCAGGGAATTCGATCGGTGCGGTGCACGGGACAGACTTTTTACAATACTCTGTCAAGACCCTACGCGAGATATCGTACATCAAGAATTTGCGCCGTGGCTTTGAAACATTTACCGCCATACGCTTTACTATGAACCTTGTTCACGACCTGAACGCCCAAAGCGCAATCGATCTTGTTGACCAAGATTTCGCTGTGGCTATTCAATACGGCCTTATCACCCTCATACTCTCAGAGGAACAGAAGCGGCTCTTTTCCGGGAGGCAACAAGCAAATCATGAACTCTAGAACATTCGAACGTATATTCATCAATCCCCACAGGAAGTATACGAAGGTTCAACCGACGACTCTCTGATTACTCCTATGACTCTGCAGTACGAAGCAGAAGAGATCACAAGGTCGCTGGAATATCGCAGGCCATGTTGTGGCGGATAGGAACACAGAAAGACGATTTAACAGGCAAAGATAAAATCTTCGCCATGTATGCAGTTTGTAGCAACACAACATTTTATAAAGAGCCTCGTTGTCTCTATATAGTCGATTTCGGATAACGCACTACGCTCATAAACGTGGTTGTTCGAGCATTGGCAGTGGGAGTGCCAAGGTGAAACACCGTGACTCCAAAGAGACAACGACACGAGGGAGAGTAAGAGTCATTACAGCTCTTCTCCAGCGATGCAAGCGCACGGATGGCAAGGCTACCATCCGGCAGACGCAATGACTACGACGGAAGAGACCGAGAGGCGCGGAGCGTGTATCAGAGAAGATCTACTCCTCAGAGGCAGCCCGTCTTAACCTCTTTCACTGTGTCAGTCGCGGTCGCGGTCGTGGTCGGGTCCAAGGTTTGAAATGCCAAACAAACAAACAAATGGCCAAGGTATCATCAGATTACAACTAATTATACAGCTTGATTACCCGTATGTTTCTCGTTTGTATGATGTTGCTGTCCACCTTTCTTAAACGCAAACTTGCCTAACCATCCCTTGCGCTGAGGAGCCGTCTGGCCCTTTTCAGCTTTCCTCTTTGAACGCTTCATGGCGCTCATGACGACGGGGATAGTGATGAGAATACTAGATGCGGCGATTATCCACGCCAGAATCTCGATAATCTTCAACTCGTGACACTCGCTCAGTCCGTCCTTTGGATTGCCCACGCCTCCACACTCAATCACACCGAGTGTCTGTTTGACGAGAACACCACCAACGATCCAGAAGATGGTGTTGAGGACGAGGAAGATGGTGTGATGGAGAGATTTGAACCATTTGTTGGCCCAGTACGAGCCTAGATAGACGGCTGCGAGGAGGACGGAGCGAATGGAGGAGAACAATAGAAAAGAGATGCGCTGGCGTTGAGTTTTAGATTGCCATCGATGTTTGCGCTGGAGGTATTGGAACGTGTCGACGGTAAAGCCGAGCTCGAGAACGGCGAGGAGGAAGAGCCATCCAAAGGCGAGACTAGAATACTCTTAGTGGGCGATGTAAGATGGATGAGAATAGACGTACGTGAACCAAGTCCTGTTCCTCTTTCGTGCGTGGTCGCCCGCAGCAGAATTTGGTGCCATTTCGTTCCAATAATTACCCAATCAATCCTTGTTGCGTTGTGGTATTTATGTCTCTCTCTTGCGAGTCACGTTCTCATGACGCAGGCCATCTCCGGTCATTCGTCGGTGTCGGGTTTATTATTGGAGTCTATTCAGGTCTATTGAACGCTACTTGTGCGTGCGGCGCAGGGCGGTAGTGGCGATGACGTACGCACTCTTTGGTAGCCACTCTATCCACGCGTAGTAAAGACCCGCAACGTCAGGTGACGTCGAATTGTGTAACGCGTGACTCAAAGTAGTTCTTGACGGCATTCAACATTCAGACCGTCATGGATACGAATCACCAAGTACTTACCGTCTAATATCTGCAGCATCTTGGCCACATTCTCTCGAATTCATGTTCGGATTGACACTTTCCGGTCCCACAACTTAGACTGTCTCTTTGGAGGGAACTATTGAGCCCGTTTGTCAAGGTAGCCGAGTGGGGCGCAAGAAAGTTAGGTAGCTCTTTTTCATCACAACGTAGTAGGTATCGTACCGCCGTGGTCATTCAGCACGATGTATTATATCCCTGCAAAGTTCTTTGTCTTGTGTACAGTTCCTTGTTATCGTCTATACAATTGAGAATGAAATCGATATAGTACCAGTACGGGGAGACAGTATCAACCTCGCACTACGTATGTCCTTTTCAGCCTACATCTCCTATAATCGGCATCAGTACTAGAAACCCTGGATATACGACAACACGCACATATTCTCCGACAAATGTGTCCTTTGTCACTGCAAATGATGGAGCGGAAGCAGGAGCATCGCTGGATGGATCAGCCGTGCTAAAGGGGTGAAACCCTTTGCGGATATGCGACCAGTACGTTTCTTCTCTCTCTCCAAACACTCTTTCATCAACGTCCGGGAGTGGATACCTTGGTGGCAGTCCGTTAAGAAGGTCTACGAGGGTCTCGAGGACGCAAGGGTGTGGTCTCCCAGGAAGCTTTAAAGTAAATAAACGTTCGTTGGTCGTCTCCTTAGGGAGACGATTCCAACTCTTGATAAGTGCCTTGATAATATCCCATCGTGGCCACCAGTCGAAGCCGATAGTATGGAGACGAGCAAGGTCAGTCCCGCGGCGTCCCCGTAGAAATAAACGAATAATCATAACGAGGGTGATGTCTTTCGTAGCCAACGTCTGGGATGAATGCGAAAGGAAGATCAATTCTTCCAACGCGGGCATGTAGTGCGGGAAGAAAAACCCGTACACAATATCTATGGGTGCGGAAAGACGGACGAGAGAAGAAAAAGTGTGATAATGGATATGCCTCCCGCCCTCTAGCGTCTGGTTCCTCCGGATAGCAGGGGAGATATAAATGTCCTGAACATGAGAAGCGAATTGCTCTGTAAACTGATCTCCGACTGTCGCTTCGGCGTGATTAGACGAAGATATCACGCATTTTCTTGCAACAGGTAGCCTCCGTAGGAGTTCCACATCCACCACGGAGTCTGCCGTAATCGTCAATGCATCGGATACGAAGTTGGAGATCGGGATGTGATCCCTAACGGCTTTTGGTGGCAAGGGTAGGAGACGTTCATGGTCTTGAGGTGAATGTATGATGGATACTTCGTTCAATGGGATATGAATCGGATCCGAATAATTCAACGCGCTGGATCGCATGACCGCCTTCCACCGGTTCACCCAAGCCTCCTGGAACATCCCAGCGACGTGATAAGTGAAATAATGTAGATCACCTCGTTCCGTTTGAGTAATATCGGTGATGTCGATCATGAGTGACCAAATAGGTCCAATCTGTACGCGGTACACCTTTGGAACCGACGCCGTGGAGATACTGAACAGTTTGAGAGAGAGCAGTTCAAGCTCCAGAAAGCCCGTGAGGTTCGATAGTATAGATGGGATATGGCGGTACTCGCCAGTAAGGCATAGTCTTGAAAGTCTCGGAACCCTTAGGCGCAGCCGAGGTTGAAGAATAGTGGAATCCGGGGGAAAAGAGTAGTCAAGCTGTTCAAGAAGAGGAAGTGTCCAAATAGGGGAGGTCTGCGCAGTTGACCAGGTTAGTGTATCTTCAATTGCAAGGGACGTCAAATGTGCCATACTGTGCAGGCAATTCATGAGAACTTCAGCGGAAAGACGTGATGAAGTACTCTCATTGACAGAGAAATGGCTGAGCAAGATGGAAGGACACTCCTCGACCGCGGTTGTGAACGCCTGAATATGATTCTCTTTGACATGCTGCTCAAGAATGGGATATAAAAGTGGTATAGGTACAAACTGAGGGTATTCTTTGTCCCCATACCAAGTCACGCGTCTGATGGTGTCTCGTGGATGCAAGCGCAGAACATTTTGAAGAGATAGAAAGCTGGATTTCAAATCAAATCCGATTATAGGTAGCGTATAAACCTTGAGTTGATGTATTTGCTGCTCAAACAGTCGTGAAAGCCTGTCGGCGTTAACCGGAAAGAAAGCCTTGACGACCAGTGGCATCTCGCGAGCGAGTGTGGTTGATATCGCGAGTCGCGAGTCCCAATCTTCGATACGGTCCGCGATAGTGATGTATCGCCAGACGGACGGTGTATCAAGTGCAAGCGACATCCACCGACTACAGACGGATATAATCAGAAACGCGCCATTTTCATCTTCTTGAGCGATAAATTCGAGTATATGGAGAAGGGCGTCGTCGTTGAGGTCGCTTATGGGCATATCACGGTCGTGGGCGGGTTCAAGTTTAGTAGTCTGAACTCGTGACATGGAAGATTGAGAATATCAAAATGAAACTTGTTGTGAGTCTGTAGTGTCGATATAACCAGGGAGATTTCGACCAAGTGGGAACAAGGTGGCTACATCTCTTGACGTCCACCCACGATACTGGTGACACAACTTTTGCCGACTTGCAACCAAATCCTCCTCAACAACTCCCAGGACCGTTATATAACAACATGACGGACATTGCTTTGAGCGCGTATCCTTCACCGCGTGCGGAATATCAGTAACAGGTTGTACCTGAAAACACGCAGGATATCCCACGTGTGCGTCTTCAATGACAACAGCCGAGCGACTCTTCATTACACGTTGTGACATCGCTTCATATGGCCTGTCAAACCGGTCCTCTTCCGACCAGCTCCGCTATTCGTAGATGCGTATATAAGCACCCTTATACTACTCATCTTCCTGGTTTATCAACCTCATGTCGTTCCTTGCTCCTCGATTCGTTCGGCCCTAATCATGCTGCTCACGGTCCTTAAGGCCATACTTCTCTCCTTCTCTTTCCTCTCCGCCTCAGCGCTTCCTATCAAGGATGGTGTATCAACCAACTCCACTATCAGAAAGAAGGCGAGTGGGGTTACGTCATATCCGTGGGATGCAGCGTATCAGACGTACGGCCACGTTATCGTCGGCGGTGGTCTTACAGGCATCACCGTTGCCTCTCGTCTCACCGAAGATCCATCTACGACTGCCCTGGTCATTGTAGCTGGCAGCGACAGCCGAGAGGATCGTCGCGTGTACAACTTCTACAAATATGGCAAGGCGTTCAAATCCGAATTTGATTGGCAGTATCAGAGAGATGCAGGCAAGATCATGCTCGCGTGAATATATTTCAACGTCCCTGGCTCTGGGTGATGATCAATAAGAAGAGTATGGTCTTCCTTCTTCGTTTCTACAGTATCTCACTCTGCCTGCAGCCCCCATCATGGGGTTATTCCTTGATAATGAGCACCCAGATGGGCTTGGCTTCCTCATCTGGAACCTCCCTCCCTTCAGCCGTGGAATCGTTAAGATTGCATCTGGGGACAGCTTTATAAACCACAAATCAATGTCAGCTGCTTTGCAATCGACGTGGATGCAACCACCCAGGCAGCTTCTACCAAATTGGTCAGACAAATTTACAAGACGCCACCACTATCTTGGCTCACGACGCGCGAGACGATCCCCAGCTTTGGTGCCGTCCCGGATCCGAATAACGACGGTGGATCTGATGCTGATTGGAAGCAGTGGGTGAAGGGTATCTTTGGTCCCGTCGCTCATCCTGTCGGTACGTGTGCGATGATGCGCCAGGAGCTAGGTGGTGTCGTTGATGGACGGCTTAGAATCTATGGGACTCGGAATGTACGTCTCATTGACGCGGGTACCATGCCCACACAGGTCTCGGCGCATCTTAGTAGTACACCTTACGGGATCGCGGAAAAGGCGGCAGACAAAATCAAGAGTGGACAGTAGATGTCGCTTCTCCTCTCCTACTCTGCTTGAGTAGAAATGCGCACTCTCCGCAATAATTCGACCCTCTATCCCTTATTCTTTCAACACTTTCTGTTTCTCTCCTTTTCTTCGTCACGCCGTCGAACAATGTATCCTAGCCTGACCTTGGGACCAGCTTAGACGTTATCACTCCCAACGTGACTAGGATTTCATCCTCAGCATATGGTGCCAACTAACGCCCAGCGAGCGTTCGTAGACCTCGCCCTCCGGATGATGAAAAAGATAATTGCGGTTCAGAGAAAAATTTTGGGCTATCCAGTATATCGAGAGTTCAGCTATGATTCGCTACTTTGCCGAGCGACCTCTCCATCACCCATACATTCATAGGTCCTGTTCGGCCAACCAACGGTTGAGCATCGCCAAGGTCTCTTTTGGTTTATCATACGGTGCCTATAGAAGTCAGAAATTCATAAAGAAAAGTAGCCACAGCGAGTTAGCACGCACCATATGCCCCGCGCCATAAACCGTAGCGAAGGTTAATCCCCTCGCGTTCCTGGTCATACCCGCCACATGTTCCTCTACTTTCCACTCACGGAGCTGCTGAGAGTTGAAGGCCTCCTGTCCAGACCATGGCAATGCTGCTGTCCAGCGATAGTTGCCGATATGGTTACTTCGAGGATCTTCAGCGACCTACCTGCCAAGAATAGATCGAAGACATACCAGATCCAGTCGTTTGCGCCTACGTAGACGAGTACACGCACTCCTCTCTCCAGCAACGCTTCAACGTACGGTGGCGTATCCCGCATGAAATCCAGGTGACTGTTGAAATCTTGCCCAACTAGGATGCTGTGCAGCTCGTACTTCTTTACCTTTTTACTCACGCCGAGCATCTTTCGGATATCAGGGCGATTAAGGTAGGCCTCGATATGTTTGGAGAGCGGGTAGCACAAGGTGTCCTCGTATTCGCCGTCACATTGTCGAGTCGCGTCGTAGGGGTTGAGACCATAGGAAATGAATGGGAACATGATCTCGGATTCGCAAAAGCTGCTCGCAGCCGAACACGCCAGGGTGTCAAAGCGATGGATGCAAGAGGTTTGCACCATTTCTTCGCAGCGAGTGAGCTACAAAGACGACATGTGAGCTAAGCATGAAGTATTGCAGGAATACATACCGCTCGGCGCATCCTCACGCACGTCGATATGGGCAAGACAGGGCTCGGTAACCCAGAAGCCTGCGTACAAGCATAGTCATAGTGGCCGCCGAAGAATCTTCCCTCATTAGTCAACTATTCTTGTGTTTTTGGCTACTCACCTGGATGGATCTGTCAGCCCGTTTCCTATCATGACCGACTTGAGTGGTACGGGTTTACTTCCATGTTTCTTCAGGATCAGGTTCTGGTCTACTATTTGAGACGCGAAAAGAGGAAGGTAGCGTCCACCGTAGCTTTCGCCTGCGAGATGAAACTTGATATCGTCCGTGCCTGACTTCCAAATGAATTTCTCCAAAAATATCGCCACGAAAGCTGCTATATCCACCGCCGCATCCTCCGTTCGACCAACGTGTTCGCCATAATCCGCGTACGAGAAGCCAACACCGACAGGTTGGTCGATGAAGATGACAGAGGCGTTGTTGGTCCAAGAGTAGGGGTTAGTGCGTGGTGTCTCGGTATCGTTTTTGGAGAAGATGAGACAAGGTCCCAGTTCCATAAAGAGACCCATTGCGGATGATCCACCCGGGCCACCGTTTGTCCACAAGACGAAATCGGATGAAGGATTACGGGATTCGAAAAAGTAGAAGAAGAGATGTTTCGCGCCGATATCAATATAGCCAGTATAGGACCTGATGAGTCGTCAGGGAATTACGAGGAGAGCGAGTGAGGAACATACCGGGTGGTGTCACACCACCCTTTGTTCGACTTGATTCGCACGCCGTAATGAGGGAAGAGCGGATGGGTTACGCGCGTGTAGGCATCATCCGCCAACGCGTGTAAATCGACGTATTGGACGTCGGTATCCATATTCCTCACAGGTAAGTCTTCAGTTATATCGTGAAAGTGATATCCTGGGGCCATAGATGGACCCAAGTCCGCGCGTGAAGGAGCATTCGACTCGTAGCTACCGTGTTGGTCCATAACCAGTTGAGTAGCCCCCATGGCAGCATAGAGACCACAGAGCACGCTAAAAGCTATTCTTTTCATGCTGGGCGTTGATGCTGTCTATCACAGACCTACTGTTGGTGCATCGCGATTATAAATCTGTCGAGGTGACCATGTGGAGCATCCGCAGACTCCGCAGGTCACGAAATTCGGAATTCAATTGACTCTATTGAGGATATTGCGCATTCAAGACCAGGTTTAAGCGCCTATTGGCGCAGGTCGAGCATGGCGAACGAGTCCAAATCAAAATCTATAGAACATCGCTAACGATCAGTCTTTGTCATCAACTAGTAGCAGGTGTTTTTAGTGATGGTGAAGAGTTCTAATAGCAACACATGCCCGTGTCTAGCTTCGCAACCTTCCTTGTCCCACATTCACGCCTGATGAACTACCAAGGCGTATTTTTCGTAATGGGAAAGAGTTCCTGTAATGATGCAGGACCGTGTCTAGCTCCGCAATTATCCTTGGACCACCATCCAGCGCGAGCACAATACTCACATTCCACTGAGGAACTGAAGCTCGGTGATCCGGGAAGAGGCAAACTAGGTGAACTGCCACTCATTATCTGAACTATGGCCTCTATAAATCGTATGGCGGGTCGTTTGGGTAGCTTGAGAGTCAGAACAGTGGTAAAGTCATGCGCTTTGGCCCAACGCTCCGTAAAGTACATATATACTCCCACTCAGGGAACCAATCGATTCCGAGGGTATGCAACTTTGGAAGCCTTGGTGATAGAGGCACATCACTGACTTTGCCTACCGCCCCCGGGAGAAGCGTGAGAAGTTGGACTACCTCTTTTTTATGATGGTAGAACTTTCTTACAATGTACAACTCTTCGAGTGCTGGGAAGCGATGGTCCGAGGTCACCACTTCTATTGCGAGGTGTATCTGGCATTTCAGACAGCGGAGGGAAACTAAGTTTATGCCCAATTGCCCAGGTGAAGATGTTTGCACTTTTATTGGCTTGTGTGGGATCTTGGGGTTGTGGTCCGGCGCTCTGTCGGCCTCGATCTCGGAGAGCGTAGGAGCCCAGGAGGTCGGGAGGTCGGAGAACGAAAAGTGACGTGTTGCAACGACTAGCCCTCTTGGACAAGGTAGCTGACGAAGTGGTGGTTTCCCAGTTACACCTATTACGGCCAGAGTGTCGCAATAGGCTGGGAGTGTAGGTAGCTCTTTGACATTATCCCAAGACCTACTTGATAAATGGATAGTATGTGGTGGATGATCGAGCTGCAACCCATGCAATAGTATGGTATACTCGCTGGGGATGTATGCGTAGACGCGATCGATAGTCAGGGACGAAACCAATACTCTGTGAAAGATTCCAAAGGCTTCAGAAAGTCCGTTAACGCGGACAGTAGTCATTTCCATGTCAATCTCGAGAGTGAGAGCAATATGACGGCGGTTATATAAATCCTTGTATTCTTCTTCAGACGGCTGTTGCCAGCGGTCCCCGATAATATGAAGGGAAAGGACTTTAAGTTGGAGACGATACTTTGAAATGGAGAGGTATCCACATAATTGCTCCCATGCCCCATGGAGAGTGAGCCGCTGGAGGTTAGGGGTGGCAAAAATGGACGTAAACGAGGTGAGATCCTCTGAAAATGTAATCTCTAGTTCCTGAAGTCGAGGGAGCCACAAGACCTCGTGTAGCTTGTCCGTCGTTTCCGAAACGAGATTATAGTCCATTGTCAACAATACTAGGTGGGTCAGCCAGCGAACGCATGACATAAACGCCGTCAGAGATATCTTTGATGGGCCATCTCCCATGGTAATAAATCGGCTTACACATGCGGTCATACTAAATCGTGTAAGCAAGACTACCGGGTATGTCTGGACAACGCTCTCCACGTCTTCAAGAAGAGCGCGATCATAAATCTGTTCCTGAACACTCGCTGGTGTAAAATAAATATCATCCGTAGCACCACCCCATATGCACATAACTTGCCTGATTTGATGCGGAGGATGTGCCGAGAGGACGTTCGTGAGGGTTGTAAATATATCTTCAGGAAGCAGTTCCGTCCCCTTGCTACTGATAACCAAGGCCGCGATTGGCCGGTGAAGAATCCTATTCAGATACGCTGAAGACAAAAGCGATACATATACACGAACGACGAGCGGCAACTCTTGTGACATGAAGAGCTGCATGGTCATCTTCGCATCCAAGTCCTCGGTATCATCCGAGATGGTGATATATCGCCAAAGCCACGGCGAGCGAAGTACCTGGGCTTGCCACTCGGTACAGACGCACATCAGGATAAAGACGCTATCGTCGACAAACTCTGCGACAAAGTTGAATATCTCAAAGCGAACATCTTGGTTAAGTCGTTCCATCGTCGCATCGTAGCAGGCGAAAGCCGGGACCGGGTTTGGATCTTTCCAGCCTCAGTCACGCCAGCGAACTCAGCCCACGCAATGAAAGAGTACATCACGCGGCATATATTGCGTCCTAAATCACGCAGAGAAATACACATCCCGTCTACTCCGGGGCTCCAACTACGGCTCAGCGTAATGGTCTTGATGACAGAAACACAGCCAATAAGCTCTTATGGCCAGTCAGCTAACTCTACGGTTTAGTAGATTCGATATTCAATCCGTTTCAATCAATTTTGCGTGCGTTTATGACCGAATCTCAGTGTAGTCGGAGTGGGCTCTTGCGAATGAAGCTGGGAGCGGCGGTAGTATCGCCGTGGACGAGATTCATCAAGAAATGATACATCTGGTGAAGCACTGTTTGCCGTTTTCTCCTGGTGAGGAGGTCTCGAGTCCGCGAGTAACAAGGGTCAATTGCTGTAACGTTTAGCCGTGGGAAAATGGAACAAGCCGGATTCGCACCGACTTAGCCGTCAGACCACTAGACTATAGTGTCCCTCTTTTGCCCCCTAATGCGTTACAGTTCCTATATACCCCCGTTACTCAGGTAATCCTGACCAGGTCGGCCGGGTTCTGACCTGTAAGGTGACCAATCCTTTCAATTGCGTACGGTTCATGTGGGATGCCATCGCCTAGTTCCGCTGCCTGGCGTACAGGGTCAGGCTACTCCCAAAATGGGCGCTACAAAATGAGCTAACAGAGCCTGGCCACGTGGATTATGGCCCCAGCATGGAGACTGGCAGGCGCGGAGCTTATCTTGAGCCTTGCCATGTCTGCGCGACAGTGGGACAAGCCCAAGAAACGAATCAGAGTTGCTCATCAGTATAGATCGCGTCGTTTCACACAAAATCCATCAATCAATTGGGATCAAGAATACAATCCGCTATTCGATACTGGAGACGGCGTACCGGAAAGTGAAATCGTGGCATTAGATGTGATTTTTGCTCTCAATACAAGCTACCAAACAATAGGCTCGATTCTCGAGATCGTGCAGGTAAGCTGGAGAGACTGACATTGCTTCATCTGACGACGGCGACAGACAGCAAAGAACAACGAAGACGAATGGAAAACCCTGATCCAATGTTTGAAGGAGTCCATGTCCTCGCTTGGGGAGCGAATCGCCTTGTTTGAGATGCATCCTCCAGAGAACAGAACGGCAGACGACACGTTCAGTGAGCCATTCATCGACTATATCGAGTGGGTGAACTGCTCTACTTTGTATAATGAGCTAATTGATATAGATTACTCGAGGATATGCATGATATAGTCGTCGATCTGAAGGATAAACCTAGTCATAGCGACCTTGGCCACTTCAAAGTCTTTGGAGAACCCAAATTCGATGCTGAAGAGGTCCATAGGCTCAATATGAGTCTCGAATACCGTCATAGGAAGTTCATGGTGCGGTTTTCGCCAGTCTTATTGAAATTCTTATCATAAATGCAGGAGGCCTTGGGTCTTTTTACTCTGTTACGTGTAAAAGGCATCGAAAAGTCTACAAATTCCACCAATCCCGACGTAGAGACGACCGAGACTAGCGTGAAGGCCACCAAACGTAATACGGAACGGATTATAACCGACGGTAAGCGGAATTTTCCGTGGAACGCTTACTCATCCCTTCCAGCTGATTCCACTGCTATACTTCTGCTGCCAACGGTTGAATCCGTCGCATCCTCTGTACACCGCTCCTGCCTGCCAGGAACACGGCAAGCTGTTCTTCAGACTCTCTGGCAATGGGCCGACGATGATACGTCAGGGAAACCAATATTCTGGCTCTGTGACATTGCTGGCTCCGGAAAGTCAACAGTCGCAATGTCGGCGGGGATGCATTGGCAGGGGGAGGGACTACTAGGCGGTCAATTCTTCTTCTCTATTGCCAGTAGTGAAGGATCCACTACCGAAAAGTTCTGCTCTACCATAGCGAGAGAGCTTGTTCAACATATCCCCGAGCTCGCCCTGTACGTCGCCCAGGCCATCAAGCGAAACCCTTCTTGGATGCGGAGGTCCCTTCACGAGCAGCTCCAGACGCTTGTCCTCAGTCCTCTCCGCCATTTACGCAGACCCGTGATTCTCGTCATCGACGCGCTTGACGAATGCAAGTCTGGATTACAGCGAAGGGAACTTGTCGAATCACTGTCCAAGGCCGTTCTCGAATGCAGGAACCTCAAGATATTGATGACAAGTCGGCCCGATCCTGTGGTCGAGTCAAGCTTGCGGCCGCTCTCAATCAAAGCCGTGCTGGTGGACCGCCTGCACGATGTCAATCACAACGATAACGTGGACGATATCGCCTTATTTGTACATCAGGTACTCGATGGACTGCTACCTGTTGACAAGAGAGAGAAACTGGTGGCAAAATCGAACGGATTGTTCATTTGGGCGAGCACCGTGTGCCGAATGCTCATCAATGAGATCGACTTTAAGAGCCCTGAAGCCATATACGATCAAATAATTTCCTTGGACCAACCTGGAGCTATAGATGGGGTATATGACCTCATTTTTGAGCGTATAGACGCTAATTATCGTGCGTTCGTGTATGAGATACTCGCTCTGCTCGTTGTTGCATTCGACCCACTCACCACCGACGACTTGGACGACATCCTCAAGCATGCCAGAATCCGAGGAAGTACCATGGCAACGATAAACAACAACCTGAGACGCGTACTTATGGTCGATCCCAGAACAAACTTTATTCTTTTTCGTCATCCTACCGTTGTCGAGTACCTTCGACGCCGTTACACTGCTTCGAAAATCAATAATACCAACGAGTTATATATAGACGTTGCCAAAGCACATGGTCAAGCCGCGTCATGGTGTCTCAAATGTCTTAAGTCGCGGACAGATGGACTCAAGTTCAACATATGCCAGTTTGTTTTGCCCTTCTACCTCAACAGGCAAATTGCGGACCTCCACGTGAGAGTACCCAATTTCATTTCACGGAGACTTCGATATGCCAGCTCTCATTGGCTATGCCATATAGCTGAAGCCGACGACCACTGGCGACGCACAGCCGAAAATGAACTTCAGTATATTCTCCAGAGCTCTGGCGTGCTATACTGGATGGAGGTTTTGAGTCTCATTGGAGGAGTGCCGCGAGGGATAGCCGGTCTGCAGGCAGTCATACCCATTACGGGAGTAAGTCGTTTGCCACAGGGGTTCCCTTTGTTAATCAAGGAATAGATTGAAGAGGAGACCAGAGACGCCGTGATAGAAACCTATCGGTTCCTCAGCGCATTTTCTCCATTGATTCAGGCCAGTGCTCCACACGTCTACATTTCCGCACTTTCCTTTCCCCTAAGGAAGCGGAATATACACATAGAGCCTAGAGTTTTTCAAGACCAGAAGATCTGGACTACGGCGATTGAATTATCCAGAGACGGCTCAAGAATCGTATCTGCTTCTTCAGATAGAACAATTAGACTCTGGGATGCGAACACTGATCAGCCATTGGGAGAACCATTCCGCGGCCACCAAGAATCGGCCTTGACCTTGGCATTTTCACGAGATGGCTCAAAGATTGCGTCGGGCTCCTCCGATAAAGTCATTCGAATCTGGAACGTGAATACCGGTCAGCAGATGGGGAGGCCGTTCCAGGGTCACAAAGGCTCTGTGTGGGCCATCGCATTCTCTCCAGACGGCTCGCTCCTCGTATCTGCCTCGGAAGATAATACGATCCAAATCTGGGATGTGGAGAGTGGTCGGCCATCAAAAGCACTTTCTCGACGCCACAAAGACTTGATCACGAGTGTGGCATTCTCCCCTGATGGCTCGTTGATCGTCTCCGTCTCTGAAGACAAAATCATCCGCTTGTGGGATGTATATACTGGTAGTCCATGGGGAGAGCTTCTCCAAGGTCAGCCAGTAGACGCACCAGTCATCGCAATTTCATCAGATGGTTCTCGAATTATATCCGGCCTTCACGACAATACAATCGGAGTCTGGGATGGTGCTACTGGCCAGCCATTAGGAGAACCTCTCCAGGGTCACAAAGCGGGAGTTTGGGCTATTGCATTCTCCTCCGACAACTCGCGCATGGCCTCTGGTTCATGTGATAATACAATACGCATATGGGATATAGATGCTGGCCAGCCGGTGGGAGAACCACTAATAGGCCACGAAGGACCAATCATGACCGTTGTGTTTTCCCCGGACAACTCGCTAATTGCTTCCGGCTCTGCAGATAAGTCCATTAGACTCTGGAATTCAGATACTGGTCAGCCAATGGCAAAGCCACTCTGCGGTCACGACAGTTCTGTCACCGCCGTCGCATTCTCACCTGATGGCTCCGCAATTTGCTCTAGATCAAGTGATCACACAGTGAGATTATGGAAATTATGGCCTGGTATGTGTGCATAAACCGTCTTCGAGGTGAAAGCTAACAAAGCCCTCAGGGAGAAATGGAACGAGCCAAGAGCAGTCAGAATCCGCTGATATTAGGTATCGCTCCATACCCGGGTTCATGAAAGTCCCCTTTGACCGCGATGGCTGTGTTCAAACTTGTGGGAAGTTTCTCTTCTGGGTACCGCGTGAGGATCAGTATGGAAGGAAACAACCTCACGCTGTGATCTGGACAGCAGAGGCATCTCTTCTCTGCATGGCCTAGTTGAGCGCCACGAATAGTTGATGTCAATAGTATTGAATTTGGAAGAGAATCGTGTCAAGGACGGTTTACACGTCTTTCTGGTCACGTAGTCACTTTCAGAGTTCTAAAGACTTCAGTGAAACTTAATTACGATAAATAACTGTTGTACGGTGAAAACACAGCCGACGGCCGGCCGTAAGGAAAGGTAAAGAATTGAAGGAGGATAGGGATAGACGTAGAGACGATAAAGGAATACTTAATAGAATGTTGGATAACTTCGTATAGACGATATTTAAGGACCTGGCATAGACATGTCGAAACTACCAAAGAAAATACAGGCAGTTCACATAGGTGGTCGTCAATGAAAATGCGGGACGTAAGAGATTTTGGAGTGCAAAATACGAAGGGGGAGGGGGTCGTGAGAGAGTCTCGAAAAATGAAATAGACAGGGGGAAACGGTGTGAGTTGGAAACGGATGAGGATGAGCCATTGAGGTGCCGATTAGGAAGAAGAATGAGTTGAACATGAAAAATGAGACGCGAAAAGGTCGCGAGAAAGTCAAGTAAAGGCGGGAAAAGCAGTAGGGGAGAACGAGTATGGTGACTGTCGAAGGTTTTCCCATTGGCTCTCGGCGCTTACAAATAGAGTTAGCCAATGATATCGTTTCCCTTTGTAACTAAATGTGTTTAGGGACGCGTGGCGCAATGGCTGGACCTTACTGGTCTTACCTCTCGCCTCGCGCGTCCTAGTATCAACAGTGACCCGGTAGACGGCTGCAGATGGAATTTCTACGTATAAAAAGCGGGTAATTGGGCAGATAATGAAGGGGAAACGAATGGGAATAGGAGAGAAGAGATAGGGGCGAGGGCCGTGGAAGGTGACTGAGGCTGGAACCGGCTATACGACTGGCTACCAGTCATGCTCTGATTTTCCTGTAGTACAATAACCACTTATCAACGCAATTAAGCTTGTGGGTTAACGTGGCACAGGGATCAGATGTTAGACTAGCGAATACTACATGATAAATGGGCTCTTTTATGCGTTTAGAAGTATTTAGAAGTTATTTAGGAACCATTATAGGCAGCAAAGATGCGTGGGAGGGCATAGGTTTGGAGGAGTCGGGTGAGAAACGAGAAAAGTCAGAGACGAGATGACGATTCAACACCGCTATTTATCATCCTAGTTGTGCATTAATATATGGAGATGACTCTCGATATGAGCAAGCCCCGCGCAGCCATCCACTTTGCGACCCGTCACAGATCATGGGCAAGATAAGTATCTTTGTTCATATTCGCTGGCTTAGTACTTACCTATTAGAGTCATTCTGATGATCCTAGGCCTTGCAGGCTGGTCCATAACACGGTGGCTGACTTTAGCGTTGTTCAGCAATCTTTGGATAATCTTAGTAGCCACTGACAAGTGACTTGGTATGCTAGAGAGATCAAATGAAGACACTGTTCACATCTAGCTATCCGTATTTGGATGTAGGTCAGGTGGCTACTTCCTTCCAATTGGGTTTTGGCCTCTTTATCTACAGTACCTGTAGTTTCACAGGCATCTCATGTCTGAGCCCCTGCCGTAGGCATTTTCATCAAATTTATCTCACATGAACTTATATTAAGTCAACCCGGTGAGCTGGGTCAACTTCTATATAGCTGGCCGCCACGAGCGGCGGAATCGCGATAGAGTGAGAGTGTGGGTGCGGAGGTGACAATGTAAAAAGGAGAATCGCGACGAAGATTTATGTCTGTGAATGCTCACCTGAGCTATGATGGACCTGATGAGCTATGGCAGAGTGAGAATGGTGACAAAGGAATGTGGAAGTGCGACGATTGTTTACAGAAAAAGAGAGAAAATATAATGGCATTGATTAGTAATACGTATTTTTTGTGATGGTAAATAGCTCGGTTAAGGGCACATAGCCGTGTCTCACTTCGCAATCATCCTTAGTCCACCATCCAGCGCAAGCGCAATCTTGACATTCCGTCATGAAATCCGAATGAGCTGCATATGTTGGAACGAAATCGGGCGTTGTGCCTCTCAGCATCTGAACAATCGCGCGGAGGAGCCGCCTGGCCGGTCGCTTGGGTAGCTTCAGTGTCAAGGTAATGTAAAGTCCACGACTCTCCACCCAGCGCTCCATGAAGTCACGTATGTGGCTCCACTCGGGAAACCAGTCGAGGCCAAGTGTATTCAGCATTGGTAATGCTTGCTGAAACTCTTGGTATCGGTTGGCTGCGCACATCGTCATAGAGAGAAGCTCGAGGAGTCGATTCACCTCTTGGCCGATATTGTAATCCATCTTTTTAACCCATAGCTCTTCTAGGGCAGATAGGCGATGCTCAGAGGCTAGCAGGGCCACCGCGGTGTGTACCTGACATTTGAGACAGCGAAGGGAAGCGAAAGGTATTGGAAAATTCCAAAAAGAGTGCGATGTGGTCGGAAGTGGTGTATATATTTTTTGACGTGGGTCTGAGGTGACGTCAATCCTTGCTTCTTCCAAAGTAGGTATCCAGGACCCTGGTAGGTCGGAGAAAGAAAATTGACGAGTTGAAATAATCAATTTTTTGGGACGAGGAAGTTGATGAAGCGACGGCTTCCCACTTGGACTCGTCAGTATCAGAGTATCGCAGAAGGCTTGAAGGTTAGGCAGCCCTCGCACACTATGCCAAGATCCAGTTGTCAATTGGATAGTATGGAGAGGGTGATTGAGGCGCAAGCCATGTAACAAGACTGCATACTGGCTTGGCATAGATGCGCGAACACGACCGATTGCCAGGGATGAAGTCAGCAGCTTTAAAAAGAATGCAAACTTTTCTGAACGTGCGCTCATAGGTGTTGCGGTTAGACGCATGATAACTGTGAGATCATGAGCAGTATGACGGTGCCTGGATAAATTTTGGTAGTCCCGCTGGAATGTGACTCGTCGACTGTCGCTAGTAATATCAATAGTAAGTACTTCGAGCTGAAGGCGACACTCTGAGACGGAGAGATATGCACAGGATTGTTCCCAGGTCCCATGGAGAGTGAGTCGACGGAGATTAGGGGTCACCAAAGTAGCGGGAAACGAATTGTAATACTTGGAAAAGATGACTTGCATATCCTGAAGTCGGGGGAGTCGCAAGTTATCACGTACACCGACGACTGTATCCATAAAAAGGTTGTGGTCGACAGTCAACGACACAAGGTGGGTGAGGTGACGGATACACGAGATGAATACCTCCGGAAATATTTTCCGCGTCTCATCTTCGGGTGTATTCGGCATCATACTTGCGCTGATATCAAGTTTTATGAGTAGCAATGGTGGGTATACGTGCAGAACGCTTTGAAGTTCGATGTCGCCGAGACAAAGACGATCGTAAATCTGCTTGAAAGCGCGTTCTGGTACATGAGGGGAGTTGCCAGCCGAATCACGCCACATGACCTCCTTGATTTGATGTTGAGGATATGCCGAGAGGATCTTGCAGAGGGTTATAAATATATTGTCACGATACTGGTTTGGCCAATTATTAATGATAACCAAGTCTGCGATTTTCCGGTGAAGAACACTGCTTAGAGGCCGCATAGAGGCGAGGGGAAAATGAACTCGAACCACTAGTGGCAAGTCCTGCGACATGAGGAGCTGCGTATCTAATTTCGCCTCAAAGTCTCCGATGATCCCCGAGAATGTGATATATCGCCAAAGCCTGGGTGAACGACATACTTGGTCCTGCCATTGCATACATACGCTCATCAGCACGAAAACACCATCGTCAATGAATTCAGCAATTGCGTCAAATACTTCAAATCTCGCGTCTTCGTTGAGTCGTTCCATCGTCCTTTTCGTCAAAGGATTCTGGTCGGGACAGAGTTTGGTTTTACCAGCCTCATTCGGGACATGGAGACTGACTATCGATAAAGAGCCGAAAATGGACATCTTCATTCAATACCAAATGTGTAGAGCAGCCTACATTCCAACAATACACAATCTCGCTCGCGCAGAACCAAATCTCCGACCATTTAAATGAACTCTTCAACACGCGCACTCAGCTCACACAACAAGCAGAGCGTATCAAACGGCATATATTTCACGTCTCAAACCTCGTGTTCAATCTCGACTAGCCAGACCCAACACGCGGAAGAAATCACGCGAGAGGCACCCATCCAAATCCTTCCATCCATCCATCCTTCCATCACCACCACCACAACGCCCTGAACACGACGCAGCGGCAATGACTACGCAGGGTCCTTGTCCAACCCAGCGCAAACAGAAAAGAGGAAAAAGGGGGAAAAAAAAGGGGGATACGCCAAACGCCATTGAGAGAAGAAAAAATAGGATATCAATTTGTCGTACGGCCCAGTCGACGTCGACGGAGAAACCAAGAAGAGAAGCGTATTTGCTGCAATTGTCGAGCTTTGGATTTGGTTTGGAGAGACTAAAAAAGGGAGAGAGCGTCCGTTGTTTGGGTTTGAAAAGATAAAAAACGAATGCGACGAGAAAGGAGAGTGAGTGTCCAAGGAGAGAGTTTGAGTTTGTCGTTTGGGAGGGGTAGTTGGGGGGGTAGGTGTTGTCGATATCCGTCGGTGAGGACAGAAGACGATGATGCAAAGGTGGCGACTGCGACAGCGAGGGGTTTGCGCGAAGACTAGGCGACTGGGGAGGACAGGGCTATGCTATATATCGTAGGGGACGTCGAGGTAGTGGGAGGACGAAGAAGGGGCGAAGGGCCGGAAATAGGAGTGGACGAATAAGGTATGGACATGACGAGTACATGGGACATGATCATCGCAGACGAACAACGTCAACGTCTTTAGAACAAGGCCATGGCGACAGCAACAACAGCACCAAAGACGACACCAACGCTCACACCACGCCCAAGCGCAGCGCCCGTCGGGTCCACTGTCCTCGGCAACGTCGCATACGTCCCCATGGGCTGTTCACCAATCTCCCCAGACCCAATCATGACTTGAATGCCCACACTCGGCACACCATCCACAACGGCAAACATCCACGCATTACCCGGAGGGAAAACGGCCGCATTCGTCGGGAGCTGATTGACGTGAACCGTGGCGGTTCCACTCGCCTCGTCGACAGTGTACGTGCGTTCGAGCTCGAGCATGCGTTGACCGAAATTGAGCGCGTGCGTCGAAAAGCCGGTGAGCATCAAGACAATCTTGATTTTCTTGGCATTCTTGATCCCAGCGCCTGGCGTGTTCATACCCGTGTTCAAGTCTTCCTTGCTAAAGTTGAGCGTAAACGGATCACCACCATAGCTGAGCCTGGACGGCATGCCAGATGGGAACGGTCGGTGCTTGTTATAGTAGAGCGGGTAGAATGTCTCGACACGGTACTCGGTAGGGTACGTCGTGTTGTCGTTAAAGTCCTTGTGCGGGTTCGAACCAGAGACCAAGACGGCACCGTCGGGCAAGAGCGTGGCAGTCGAGTGGTACATGCGAGGAATGGCAGATGCCTTGAGACCGGCACGCGACCATTTCTTGCCCCTGGGCTTGGTGTCATCGTAAATGGCCGGTGTGAGGATCGGGTCGTCTGCGAGCGAGTCTCCGTTGGCCCAGACCGTCTGGTTGACATCGGCGTATCCAGCCACACCCTAAGCGATCAATTAAGTATCACACTTTTTGCATTGTAAAAAAAAAACAAGCTTACTCGTCCGGCACCGTTGAGGACCAACATGGTTCCGTCTGGCAAGAGAATCGAGTTGCCCAAGACACGTCCCTCGGGCATCTCATCCTCATCGACCCACTGGTTATCGCCATAGGTCATCGAAATGCACGTCTTGTCGGCGGCAATGTCGATGAGGGCCAAACCAGGCTGGAGCCACTGGTCGGTGGCAATGTTCGAGCCACCGCAGTAGATGACCTTTGGCTTGTAGCTTCCATCCTTTTCACGCTTGATCGGCAACATGACGGTACTACCGCTGGCCGGATAGTTGCGGACCGCATAGGGATCGTCGGGCAAATACGTTTCCGTATTCGTCTTGTAATCCCACATGAGCGCCTTGCGACCGACGTGCAACAAGATTTCGCCATTGGGCATCATATCCGCGACCGGGTACAAGTTTTCGTGAATGACGTTTTGGAGAATGGTCATGTTCCGGAGCGACTCGCCAGGTGCCTTTGGCCAAAGCTCATACGTCGGGTTGTTGAGATAGTCCATGTTGACAAAGGAACCGTCAATGGAACCACTCATGACGAGCAATCGTCCATCCTCGACGGTGATGACGGTCGGGTACCATCTGTGCGTGGTCAAATAATATTGCGGGTCTTCGCTCCACTGGGCACCTTGGCCGGGCGTGAGCGTGCGAGTGGCCATGCCACCGTCGTGCACGCCGTACGAATTGTTACCGGCTTGGCCGCCATCTGTCCAGTTTGCAGTATTTCCCTGCGAGTCGACGGCGAGGTTACCGCCAATGGTGACCCAGGTTCCGTTTGCTATTAACGTAACGGTAGGTGTAGTTTGAGCATAAGCGAGAGACATGCAAAAGAGGTCCGAAGTAAGCCACTGTTTCATGTCAAAATAAAAGACCGGACGTACCGAGCGGAGCACCTCCAGCACAAAAAGTATTGGTATAGACGTCCATGGGCTCTGCTGTATTCGCCTCGAGATCATAGACGGTGGCCCAAGCGGGATGGTTTCCCACCCTGACGGGGTTATTCTCGACCTTGTCCAGGATATAGACCTTAAAGCGTGATATTGTCAGCATGGATCTCTACGGACATAAACGGCGCGGGAGCGCACTGCCGGCGAGCGGCCGGAGAAACAAGGAGCGCAGCAGCCCGTGGCTAAAATTGCCTTGGGAACAAATTTAAAAAAGAAAAATAACAGACCTGTTTGCTATCACCGAGGAACATCATTTGGGCAGAGACGCCCGAATTTCCGACAACGGCAAAGCCACCGATCAGGTCATCACTCACGAGAGCGGGCTGACCGTCTGCGGTGACAACCGTCGTGCCCGCGCTCGTCGACGTTTCAGACGAGGCAGCCGTTTCTGCAGAGCTGGAATCAGAAGGAGATGCAGCACCAGCGGCTGTAGACGACGGGTCTACTTCTTCTGCCGGTGTTGTTTCTGTATCCTGGCGCTTTTGGAGACGTCTTCTGACTTCTTGACGACGATGGTGGTGTCCAGATGGCGATAGGCTGGATGAATCGAGCGTCGCAGCGACGAGCGTAGAGGAAACGAGCAGGCTGAGCACGGCAAGACGAGCGGCCATGTTGATCTAGTGTAAACGAGAGTCCGTGAGGGAGATTCCTCTAGATTTTGAGTGATTATAGCGTAGCCAGGCAGAGTCCACGGGGTATGAGAGCGGTCGCGGTCGGGGTCAAGAGGTGAAGAGGCCCGACGGTAAATAGGGGAGGAAAATTAACGATCAAAGGAGGGTGGAAAGACTAAAGTTTTCTTAACGTTCCCGCCTTTTATTCTCTCTCCGTTGTCACAGTTTATTCTTAGGGGGTCCGCCCAAATCCCGTTTGTCCCAATTGTCTAGGCGAGTCTTGACTCTGCCGCGCCAGTTTCACACTTGGGCCAGCCACGGCCAGGTCTCGGCAGGCAAGGCCCAGATTACATTCACATCTACAAACATTGGCTGTAATAAGGATTCAGAACCGTACACGTCTTTCCACTCGTGCACGTCGTTGGCCCATTCCTATTCCGTCTTGTTAGTACACTTGAAACCATTGCCTAGAATAGCAGCTCACCATCCCATTCCACCACACTGTCCATACGGTGTGGCTCCAGGCGTCGTAGCACTTGAAGAGGAGGAAGTCGTTCTCGTCGATGACGTACTCGCAGTGCTCCTACTCGTCGTCCTCGTAGACGTACTCGTCACCACTGTAGACGTCGTCGTCGTCCCATTCGGTGGGTAGAGAATCGGTCCTCCAGGAATAGTATACGCAGGGTTCGTCGTAGTGACCGTACTACGACACGAGTCTCAGCAGCATCCTAGAACCATACTCGACTTACTAGAGCTGCAAATAGATGCCCGGGTCAGTCGGTTGATACGCCCCAGGAAAGGCGACGCCCGATGGCAGGCCCACGTTTCCACCGCCCGTAATCTTGATTTGGACGCAATTCCTACACGCCCAAGTTTTTAGTCTCCCTCGTCTCCGTGAGCACAGCCCAACTTACGGGTAAAACTAATAACCACGGATGAGCAAAACACCCTGTATGACTTGTGAAAACACGTACCTGTGCGCCATTCAACTCGTATGATAAATGTAATCCTGGTATACCATGAGCGACTTCTCACGACGGCAAAGCCAAGGCCGCACCAAGAATTTCATGGCGGAGGATATATTCTCCATCCGGCAACGTGCTCTACACCCTCGTCAGCCGAAATATCCTCGAAACGTCTTAGGGATGCCGTACAGGAATCGTCACGCTCCACGTTCCGTGACCGCTTTGACCTCCAGCCTCGATGAGCTGCTCGGCCCATTGAGGCGTGCGCGCAGCATTGACTTTTTTTTTGTCCAATCAGTGTGAATGTAAAAGCCACCCATTTCTAGGTTGACGTACATCCGTCCTGTTGACTACACCCGGTCAATGCGGGCCGAAGAAGAGAGGAAGCACATACATTTTAACCCAGACATTTCCCGTGTCTCCCTTAAAGTTCATACATCCATTTGGACATGCGGCGATATAGGTCATGACGGGTCTACGTTCAGCTTTAGTACGCCTGCCTCCCTCGATGGAAGACCACTCACCCTACAAAAGCTGACCTCGAATGTCGACTATTTCTTATATGACTCACCTGGATGCCTATAAAGAGTGAGATAGACTACGCGTATAGACGAATGGCATACGAAGACGTCCACGTCCCCCAATCAAACGTAACCGTACTCCCAGCGACCACAGGCGCAATGACCGCCGCAGGATTATTCCCACCAGGCTAGAATAACCAAAGCCTATCAACTCTTTCTCCATCCCCCACGAGGAAACACTCACCCCACACGTAATATCCGCACCCGTAAACGGCGCCGCGGGTCCATACGTATTCAACTTGCGAATCGGACTATTGGGATTAGGAGAGGATGCATAGGCGTCTGCGGCAGGGTACGTCGTCGTCGAGGTGATGAACCAGCGTACTTGACCGTGCGCATGTACAAGAGGCACCGCCAACGACGCAAGAAGCGTACTTGCAAATAATACCATCATTCTTTTCACTAGAAACCCGTCAATTGGCACCGTACTAAGCGATAGAGTCAGGAAGGGGGGCGCACCTCTTTGGACGTGATATCACGCGAGCCAGTGACGATTACATGAGGATTATAAGCACGAGATGAAGATAGAGACACGATTGACAGAAATGCGCGAGAATAGCACGAGTATTTCCACCCATCATCCCCGTGATAGCATCCCCAGCCAAGAATCCCAGACATCTTCCCACTAGAGGACTTTCTCATGTATCCAATAATATTCCAACCCGACATGCCGTCGAATGGACATTGAGCTGCGCGAAGACATTGGTCCCCGCCAGAACGTCGGACGAGCCGTCCCAATCATCGGCTATGGACGCGAGTGGACGGGACCGATATTGTCGGCGCGAGCTTGACGCGAAGTTTCCGTGGGTACAAGGAAGCAGGGACAAACACAGCAGGGACAAACGCAGCCGTGGGAAATAACAATGAATTGCTGGGACCATCAAGCCACATTTCCCTATTTGCCAAGATTGTTGACACCCGAGGACAGGAAAGGGGCGGTACCCCATCGATATCTCACCTCCGTTCTTCCTGCAATGCGGACGGAGATCAAGATCAGCTCACCACTCACACCGACAGTGGTAAACAAAATCCAATACAGTACACAACAGACTAGTCCAACCGTCGGTCCTCGCGCTTTTCGCCATCATAATAGTCGTTTGGCAAGTCAGAGTTGATGCACCATCTGCAGTCTTGTCAATTCCCGACATCTCGTCGACAGAAACAAAGACATACCGGAATGACATGAACAAAAAGACAAAGAACATGACACCAAGGAAGACTGTCGTCTTGACATTCTCTCTCACAAACGTCTCCAGTCCCATGAGACGATTGTTCACACTCTACAACCTCGTCAGAACACTGATACAAGCGGGGAAGCAGAAATAGAGACCCACCCTTGCTATCCGCTCAAACAAGTTTTCGCTATGGCGTGGCTTCGCCTTGCCATCATAAATCGCACGCAACGTCGACCACACCGACTCTTCGCTAAGCACAAGAGGCTTTCCATGATCGTCAGAGTCATAGTAAAGCAAGCTCTGCAACAAATCATCAGACATGGCTCGACCGTCCAGAGGGGCACTTACCCCATGATCAACAACGACGAGCCCAACGCCACCAGACGTCGTCACATCCTTGATACCATACATATTCTTCAACCACCGTCCCCACCGTCTCCCATCCATCCACACAAACACAACCTCGCGCGTGCGCTCCTTTTTCTCACTTTCGACTGCCCACTTTTCCGAAATCTTGCTCAACCGTTGGATATGGTCTTGAGCAGCCGACGAAAGCTGCTGTTCGGGGTGCGCATTAGGAAGTACCGCTTCTTCGTCGCCACCAGCTTCGACGTCGTGCCCAGAGTCAATGGCAGCGAGAACGACAAACGGCTTGGTCGGGTTCTACGACAACTAGTCAGTGAACAAACCAAATTTAGATGACAATCAACCGCACCTTCATGACGCTATAAAAATTGTCCATCCCCAACTTGCTCACGACAGGGAACCGATGGCGTTGCAACCACGTCTCCAATCTCTCGGCATTACCAGAACCCGTCACGAGTCCATCGAGTTCAATCTTGGCCGCATACTTTTTCTGCGAGTGCGATTTGATCGCCAATAAGACTGGCACAGACGAAGAAGACGCAGACTGCAGGTTATATTGCGCGTAGAGTGCCTTGGATGTCGACGTCAGGATTGGTGGATTTCCAAGAAGTGGTTGAGCGGCAGAGGCTACGACGGACTAGAGGCACGTTAAGAGGGTCCACCATCGCACAAGGCACGTACAACTAGTCGCTCGTCCTTTCCAGAATGTAAGAGGAGGAAGATCACTTCTTGCTCCTTGAGCTTCTTCTCAAATTGCTCCTCGTCGACAGCCTCGACGCGAGGCGACATGACCTTGCGGGCGAAATCCTCCATCGCGGGAACAGATTTGCTACCGGTGTAGTCAACCTTCTTCCCGTTGAGATACCTGCGTCATGTTAGGGACACTATACAAGTATCGAAAGCACACACAGCGTGACAGTAGGATAGCCTTCGATTTCCTGGTCGCGACACAAGGTACCGTGAGCATCGCAGTTGACTTCGGCCACGTTGATGACGCCTTTTAGCTTTTCGGCAAGCTCGACCCATTCTGCAGAGGCGTTAGAACCGTTGCAAATCGTCAGCAGTCACCCAAGTACTCACTCGGTGCCAACTTCTGGCAATGTCCACACCAAGGAGCGAAGAATTTGACAAATGTAGGCTCCTTGGCGACTTGTTCGCGGAACGTGTTCGCTCCCAACACCAGGACCTTTCCATCCACATTATACTTCTTCTGCTGTATAGATACTTGGTCGTTATGCTGGGGTATAGAATTGGATTTTGGCTTTGGTGAACGCTCATCAAGCCATTTTTCAATGTTTTCGATAGTCCGCGACCCGCCGAAGACGTCTTGAGTCTGCGTGCCATTGACTTCGTTGCGGTAGAGCCGTAGATACGGATAATAAGGTACATTTTGCGCTCGGCAAAGGTCTGTTATCACAGAGAATAGATCAACTTCTCTTCGTACAGAAAGGGAGAGCGACCTACCGCCGTTGGCAACGCAGTCCACTTGAGCGAGGTTCAGGCGTGGTGGGTCATCCCGCGCGGCAACAATCTTGGTCCAATCAGGTTTGAACGCAGTACAGTGCGGGCAATATGGTGAGAAGAACTCGACAAACCTATGACCAAGCCACGACGAGTTTGGTAAAGGGAGAGATGTACGTGTCAGCAACGAATATAATCAAAGACATGGGAGCTCGAACAGGAGTGAGGACATACCAATGGTTTGTCTTTATCGATTCCTCAAAGTTTTGGCCGGTGAGTTGGCGCAGCTCTGGCGTCTCCTTGCTTTGTACAGGGAGCGGCGTGGATGCAACAAGGAGGAGAAGAGAGGAGAGAAAGATGCTAGCTGGTCGGAGTGTCGTCCACATCGTTGTTCGTGTAGATTCACGCCGTAGACACCTCCCTTTAGGTATTAAATATAGTCGAGATCAACTCGTTTGGAGGATGGATAACAGATATTGTGGTTGCACGTTGACTTGTTGGAATAGTAGTCCTCCTTGCCCAGTGGGATATGATGGTCGGGTCCAAGTGATCAAGTGCACTTTGAAGCCTGTAAGAGCCTTTGAAGAGCAATATATATGTACAAATATGACTTGTTTTTGCAACTATATATAAGCCAGTTCAGTCCCTTCAAGATTGGCCCACCGCCACCGGGATTACCCAACTCGCCGTTTTGGCTAACTACTGGTCGCATCTAGCTCAAGTGGGCTATACTGATTGCTTCTCGTCCACTTGATCCAACAGTGACGTACCATGTCTCGTGTTTCTATCCAGCCACTTTAACAAGTTCTCCAATGAACGGTCGTCGTTAAATTCGTACTTGGTCACGGTACCGTCTGCATTGTTATGATAGAGACGGAGGAGTGAATACCATCCGACGATTTTATCCCTACAAAGTCCTGCTTAGACGTCAGGGTGTCTTCGTGAGTAGCGGCGACGATTGAAGCTTACCTCTAGATTGGATGCAGCCTACTAGCGCCAAGCTGATCCCCGCACTATTGCTCTTGTGAGACTCCCCGAGTTTCTCCCTTGTAGGCTCAAAGTTCCTGCTGTAACCACCGTCAGGCGAAGTGAATTCGATATGCCTAGGTGATGTATCAGTTAAGAAACTTTCACAAAAGCAAAGTATTAGCTACCATGTACCGTGTTCTGTCGGGCTCGCAAAGTCTGCTGCCTTGAGCGTTTGTAGCACAGGGCCCTCCTACGAGTTGGGAGAACTCGCTACGAGCATCGAGAGCGAGAAAGCAATCCCAGAGGACCAAAAGAAGAGCCTCATAATTATGAAGAATTTACTACTCACAGGCAAGAAGGAAGTGGGCTTTGTGGGAGTTAAAGTGGGACGGCGTCTACAGCAGTGAGGCCGTCCTGGGGAACTCACTCGACACCCGCGCATTTTACTGGGTGATATCATGCTCACAAGCATGAACCGACTAAATGAAGATGTCCGCTACGAAGTCTTCTACATGATTTCAGAGCTTGTGACTCACGGCGTCTTCATCCTCACCGCAGTCTGCACTGATTGGCAAGCGCAATGTGATGCGTTTACCTCGTTTGTGGCGATATATCACGATCTCTGATGAATCAGACGATCTGAATGCATACACAACTGGTCTTGTCTCAAGGGATGCCGCTTGTCGTCAGAGCACATCTGGCAATTTCCGCACCTCAGATTCACGACGAATTTATAAAGAAGTATATTGAATGCTTGATCGTCGTTAACGACGGTATTAATGACTATCTATTTGACATTCTCCGAACAAGACTTGTGCAATACCCTCAGCACCGGATCGGCCAGGTTCTCTGGCGTGACTTGACGGGGGATCACCCACACGCTCCGAGCGAACTCAAAGATGAAATGGTTGATCATGGACACCTAGATAATACAAAAGTCTTCGAGTGCACTCTCCAAGCGTATCCTGCCTGTTTACTTTCGTGTCTTGAGACAGGTAGACTATCAGTTCGGGCATTTAATTTATGTGTCTCAAGACTCGCCCATCTTACGTCGTTAATCTTCAGCCCGAATTCCTTTATCCAGACAGGGAGCGAAGTACTCCGACGTGTATTCTTGCCATCGCTTCATAATTTAGCTATTTGACACCTTCACCCATATACCCGACATCGACGTTTTCAATATTGATAACTCCGAATATGTTGATACTAGGACGCGTGAGGTGAGAGGCAAGACCAGTATATATGGTGTAACAAACCTAGGACGCGTGAGGTGAGAGGCAAGACCAGTAAGGTCTGGCTGTGTCATCCCGCGTCCTTAAATACATTGAGTTACGACGTGAGCTATTACTATTGGCTAAGTCTATTTAGTGAGCGCTAAGAGTCAAAGGGTGAACCTTCAACAGAATATCCGCCAACTAGCCATTCGAGGGCGGTGGAACTGTTGATTCCGTTGATTCTAGGACGCGTGAGGTGAGAGGCAAGACCAGTATATAGTGTGGCAAACCTAGGACGCGTGAGGTGAGAGGCAAGACCAGTAAGGTCCGGCCGCATCGTCCCGCGTCCCTAAATACATTGAGTTACGACGTGAGCTATTACTATTGGCTAAGTCTATTTAGTAAGCGCTAAGAGTCAAAGGGTAAACTTTCGACACGACCCCCTGACCGTATGACTTGAGCGCGTGAATCATGGATGGGCATGTGGATGAGGGATAATACCAAGCATTTTGACAAACTGTTCGAATTTGATGCGGCCTAGTGGTTTGGTGAAGATGTCGGCAACGTTGACAGCTCCAGGGACGTGAGCGACGCGGATTTCATTGTTGGCAACCCGCTCGCGGATCCAGTTGAAGCTCCGGTGAACATGCTTCATTGTCGACTGGTGCTCTGGGTTCTTTGCGACCTGGATAGCAGAGGCGTTGTCGACGTATAAAGTGGATGGAGTCGACGCAACGTCATAGCCAATTTCGTCAAGGAATGCGCGCATCCAGATCATCTCACACCCGGTGGCGGAGGCTGTTGTATACTCCGATTCCGTCGACGAGAGCGACGTGTGGCGCTGGAGTCGGCTACTCCACATCACAGCGCCGCCACCAATTGACATGACAAATCCGGCTGTCGAACGCGTGTTATCAGCATTCCCACCCAAGTCGGCGTCGCTGTGCGTCGTGAAGAGCTCGTCGGATTCCGGTTTGAGGCCGTAGGTGAGCTTGTAATTAGTCGTTTTGCGTAGATATCGTAGTACTCGTTTGAGAGCTAGCCAGTGTGCTTGTCCAGGATTCTCGCTGAACCGGCAGAGAACTCCGACTGCATATGAGATGTCGGGGCGAGTGGCCGTTGCAAGGTATATGAGCTTTCCAAGAGCTTCTCGATAAGGTATAGCTTGCATTTCGGCTTTCTTGCTCGGTTTGCGGTGAATCCTTTGCTGAAAGGAGTGGCTTTTCGACCATCGGTGTGTCAGCGCCATTGCAGTCCTTCATTTCATAGGCTTCAAGGATCTGTTCGATGTACGCAGGTTGAGAGAGGGAGATTGTATGGGATTGGCGATTGCGCTCGAGCTTGACACCGAGTAGGAATGAGGTAGGGCCTTGGTCATGAATCTTGAAGCGTGCTTTGAGCTCATCCTTTACCGTTTGGATGGCTTTGGATGACTTTGATGCAAGCAGTAAGTCATCAACATGGACTGGTACAATGATCTTCACACTGTCACGTTCATAGATGAAGACACTGTGGTCGCTTTCGAGACGTTTGAATCCAATTTCGGATAAGACAGCGTGTAGCTTCACAGACCAGATTCGAGGACCTTGTTTGATTCCATAGAGACCCTTTAGAAGTTGAAGCACCCAGCTTGTACCTTCATAGCCCTCGAACTCAACTCCTTCTGGCTTTCTCATGTAGACCTCCGCATCAATCTCGCCATTGAGAAAAGCGGTGGATATGTCTACTGACTCTAGCTCCCAGTCTTCGAGTGCTGCAAGTGCTATGATGGTGCGAAGGGCGCCAAAGCGAGCCGTCGGTGCAAAGGTCTCTGTGTAGTCGATTCCCTCTCGCTGTGCATATCCCTTGGCCACAATGCGTCCCTTGTATTTGCTAATAGACCCGTCAGCATCACGTTTGATTTTGAATACCCAACGTGAGCCGATAGCCTTTTTGCCTTGTGGGAGTCGCACAAGCTTCCACGTGCCATTTTCCAGGTGAGCTCTGACCTCTTCTATAGCCGCTTGGACATACTTGTCGCCGTCAGGGCGTTTCAGAGCTTCTCCCAGTGTTGTTGGCTCGCGGATTGTAGATGTGTTTAAAGCAGCTTCAACACCATCAACAATGGGAATCAGGATATGGTCAGGCGCTTCGAAGTTGGGCTTGGGTCTCCAGCGTCGAGCTTTAGTTGGCACATAAGAGCTGGAAGTCGAGGGTAGGGATGCATCTTCTGTGGCTAATTGAACGTTATCTTCATCGAAACTCTCATTTAATTCGAGATCCGAATCAGATTCAGTCAAAGTGCCTGGCTGACGCGCAACTGTGTGTCGTCGCGCTGGTAGATTTGTAGGAGCCTTCTCGAAATTGGTTTTGTCAGTGAGTGCTCGAAGCTCACGACTCAGTCGCGCCGGAGCTGTGGGTTTAGGTTGCGCTTGAGCTGGTGCTGGTGGAGGGACAGGCTCGTGTGCAGGCTCAGGTGGTATAGGTGTAGGTACAGGTCGTCCTGCAACGTGAACAGCAGGGTGGGGGTTTGGAGGTGGAATGGATGATGGAGATACAGTGGCTTATTCGAGATCTGGTAGCTGGACGTAGTCGGAGAGGTTTGGAATCGATTCCTTTGCAAGTGATGTGCCTGGAAAGACTCTCTCATCGAATACAGCACTGTCACTGTGTATAATCTTTCGTGTCTGTGGGTTCCAGAACACCCAGCCAGGGCGGTCGGATGGATACCCAACGAAGATACACTTGTCAGTGTGCGAATCGAGAGCATCACGCTGTGATTTTGGGACAAAGACATAGGCGAGACATCCAAATACTCGAAGATGATCGACACTGGGAGTTTCACCATGCCAGTGTTCATATGGCGTCTTTCCATTGTGAACACGGGCACGGTTGAACTCATGGACAGTGGCAAGGGCAGCAAAACCCCAAAAAGATGGTGGAAGATTTGCTTCTGTGAGTTTAGCAATTGTCCCTTCAGCTATCCATCGGTTTGCTCGCTCAACCCGTCCATTTTGCTCTGGTGTGGCAACTATGGTGCGTTCCCTTGTAATTCCAGCAGAGATACAGTACTGTTCAAACTCTTTCCCACTGAACTCGCCACCTTTATCGTCTCGCAGGTGTACCAAGTGCTGGCCGGTCTGATTCTCAGCGAGCTTATGGAACTCGCAGAATGCTCTGAACGCCCCATCTTTTGAGTGAAGAAGTGACAGCGTGACGAAATTAGATGCATCGTCTACCATGGCCATCCAGTACTTGGCACGGTGCGGCATGGACTCGACATTGATTGGGCCTTTAAGATCAATAAAGACACGATCTAATGGAGTTGTAGCTCGAGTTGCGGGCGTGGTGTGAGGGGCTCGAGTCTGTTTCCCTGCGATACATGGAGCACATATAGGGTCGGGCTTTGCATTGGAGTCCAGCTTGATTCCATTAACCAGATTATGACGGATAAGAGTGTCAACTCCATCGTGATGATAGTGGCCTAGGCGTCGATGCCATAGCTCTCGGTCAAGTTTGAGTGTACTGGCAGCATGCGCTTGTTCGGATGTGAGAACGCGTCCATTAAGGTAAGCAACGCAGTCGTCATCGATACGAGCTGTCATTTGGAGTTTACCATCAAGGTAGAACTCCATTTGCTTCGGATTAATGCGAATGTCATATCCTTCTTTGCGTGCCATTGAGAGAACTGAGACGAGATTCGATTGTAAGTCGGGAGCAAAGAGGACATTAGGGAAAGTAACGAGATCAGAACTAAAGTAACCATCTATCCACGGCTGAAACACAACGTCCCCTTCTCCAGTGGAGAAGATCCTTTCACCATTGGCCAGTTTGATCGACCTGACCAAGGGGCGGAGCATAGTAAAGTAACTTTCGTCACTCATCATTGTCCGAGTAGCCCCTGTGTCGGCGTTCAGGTCAGATCTAGCCGTGGATGGTAAGGAGAGGGTACTTGCATGAGCGGCATGGGCATTTGGTACAGTAGTTGATCCGTCTGTAGTGCTGGCAACACGTGCGGCCTCTTGCTTGCGACGAGTCGCTTCAGCCTTCGACCAGCACTGGGCGGCTGTATGGTTCCGTTTGCCACAATGATCGCATATGGCACCTGGTGTGCGTTCAGCGGCCGTGGGCTTTGGTCGTGAGGAGTGGGGAGGTGTACTGCGATAAGTAATGGGCTGGGAAGTGGCTGCCCGGAGTGCGATGGCTGGCTGCGAGTTCCTGCGCTGCTGATTGTCCTCGTTGACGAGAGCTGCATCTATTACATCTCGGGTGAGATTTGGCTGGCAGAGTAGCGAAGTTCGGACGTGAATTGATTCAGGCGGGATCATGCGGAGGCTTGACATCATAGCGAGGTCGTTCAGTAGTGCGTCTACATCGTAGTCTGTCGTCCAGAGTGATTTAAATTGCTCCTCGAGGGCATTGGTGGCGGCTGTGATCGACGCCAAAGGCTCTCCTTCGGCCTTCGTCTTGGTGAAGAATGCCTCAAGCGCATTGAAGCGGGTCGCTGATGTCTTTGCATTGTGAATAGACTCGAGTTTATTCCACATTGCGACCGGATCCCCTTTGAGTTTGCGGATCTGGCTCATGTTGGTCTCATCGACAGTGAGTGTGATGGCTGCGGAGGCCTGTTTTGCGCGGCGTTTCCATTCGTTAGCATTATCAGCAACGTATTGTTTGGAAGAGGTTGAACTCTCACTCCCCTCGCCTTCCGTACCAGTGGAAGGGTCTTTGGGTGCTGAGTCAGGGCTGAGCTCGAGTCCGTAGACAAGGTCATCGAGGTTGTTGAGTGTGAAATATCCATCTATCTTTTGGGACCATGCGAGGTAGTTGCCCGTTGTGAGGACTGGGATCGCACTGAAATCTTTTGTAGACATGTTTGTGTAGCAGTGGGTGCGCGGAGGCGAGATTACTGGTGAATTTGATCCTTTAGTGCAACAAGAGGCTCATAACCTGTTGATTCCGTTGATTCTAGGACGCGTGAGGTGAGAGGCAAGACCAGTATATAGTGTGGCAAACCTAGGACGCGTGAGGTGAGAGGCAAGACCAGTAAGGTCCGGCCGCATCGTCCCGCGTCCCTAAATACATTGAGTTACGACGTGAGCTATTACTATTGGCTAAGTCTATTTAGTAAGCGCTAAGAGTCAAAGGGTAAACTTTCGACAGGAACGACGTATATGACTACCTTGCTGGCTTGGAATACACATCGAAGCTTGAAGTGCTAATTTTACGGTCTGGAGTTAGCCGCTCAAATAGTCGGATGAGTGGAAATCAGCATCCATGCGATTTATCCTCATATGGTCACTCCTCCCGTCATCTAGAGATTGAGTTAGTTACCGCGGACGCCTATGAAGATGTACTCTCACGCGCATTCGCCTCGTTCGCCCGAGCGTTGGCTACATCCCTCGGCGCTATAAAGCTGGACATAACTTATGTATCGTGGTGGAGACCTTCCCTGGGCTCTGGCGGCAGGAATATTGAGTATTGGTGGCCTTCTTACATGGAACCTACTGAGGATAAGATTCCTTGCAATGTCATGACTCCGGAAGTCACGATGGACCCGCCACGACTTCCCGACATGTACCACGTGAAGAACATGACTATTAAAAATAACTATTCCGTCTATCTAACCTTTCTACCTCCTGGACCTCCCCACTGATCGCCCTGAACTTTCGCTATGGATTTACCACTCTTTGAGCACGCTCCTGCTTAGACAGAAGGTCCTGGACAGAAAAAATGTATTTCAATCTCTCCTGTATCTCAAGTGTCCCATTAGCCTTCTAGTGGATATACTAACCTCGGGCCATCAATCCCCAGAACTTGAGGAGTTGTACATCGAAAGGCTCTCTTTCACAGCGACGGAGAGGTGAAAAAAGGTCCTCTCCATCCCTCCTTCAACTGTAAGCGCATCTAACAGCCAACTCTCCGGGGGAAGCTTCCAAACCTCCGCACGCTCGGAGTCAATTGGCTTTCCAAGAGAACACATATCCAAAGTTTCATTGAAAGCTCCATTGATACGCATGGATTCGCGTCAAATATCCCGCTCAAGCTACCGAAACGACCAGGCAGACCAGTTCTCAGTGCAATCGTCCCGCTTCTCAATGGTCTGACATTCGAGATACCACTTCCCGGAGAATCCGAAGCAAGTTCAATCATAGGTGCCGAGATTGTGCTCGTGCCGGATGGCGGGCTAGAAGTAACTGTCGTGATAGGTATGGGCAGGTTAGTTGGTACCCACCAGTATCTGAGCCCTTAGGATCACAAAAGACACAGATTATTAGTCTAAATAAGCAATTTCACAACAAATACTATATGATCTTCCTTGTTTATCCTCTGCTCCCCACTGAGGGATTAGCCAGAGACGTAGAGAGTCGAATTGGCGAAAATGGTTAATTAATTTGGAAGAGAAATTAAACAAGACTGATGCTCTAAGTGTAGCAAAGTCGACAAATGAGACGCGATAAATGCAACAGGCGCGCTCTTGGAGAGAGAATGGCTTGTATTGTTCGTGCCGAACGCATTACAGTATGCTGGTAGAATAAGAGTCAGACTGACCGCATCCGAGGTCAACACGAGATACCAAGTATGCGGGAGTGTAGTTAGCCAAGACTCGACGATCTCGCTCGGTCGCCCTGCTTCCCACTAGCGCGCGTGCCATAAAAAGACAGTGGACTCTTGAATTGAACAGTCTCATTTCCATTTATCCCGCTATCTCGTGAATGACGCGTGAGATATTTAAACATAGCACCTGACGAGGGCCGTCCTTAGCCGAGCCCAGCCCCAGGTGACCAAGCTCAACCGTACTCAGCCATCAGGATAATTATTCATCGCAAAAATGGTAATACTCATACAACGCGATCCACTTTAAGCAGAAGCTATCAATGGCAGCCACGACATAGCACACGAGGCCATGCGCGACAAGGGTCGGCCGTGGCAAGTCCGTGAGAAGCGGAGATCCAAGCTAATGGCACGTAAGGAGGTAAAACATTCTCCGAGTGAATGAAGCTCATTCATTCTATGATCTAGTATGATTGAATTTCGCACCGTCGCCTCTCGTCACGTTGCGCGTCGCAAAACTCTGACATCACAACTGGTATCGCGGAGCAAATCAGAGCATTCAATGCATTCCTCAGACCATAGAAAATCAACATACGGTGAATAGTGACGTATAAGCTATAGATGTGCGGGTTTATCGTGGGAGGCAATGGCAACAAGATACAGCCTTCGAATAAGCACATGGAACACTTTATTCATCCAATGAACTCTGGGAGAATGTCTTCTTCTTCTTGGATTCATGCCTCGCCTAGCTATATGGCGCCCAGGGCTCTGTTTGCGGTACCCCTCGCCACCCAAGCACACTTGCACCGGTGACAAAGGAGACGGCTGAGCAAGGGTAGTCGAGTCTTGGCTGATGCACCGCACAGCATATTTCTCACATCGGGATCCGAAATCCACATTCGGATGGAGATGTGCTGGTCGCTTGGTATAAAGCCCGCCCAACTTTTGCCCTCACCATCCATCAACTCACCTCGAGCCCAGAGCCCCTACAGCAAGATTCACTTGTCGACTTAACAGCTCCCAGCTCTATCAAAGCCTACTCTTTTTCTTGAAGTCATGGAATACTTCTTCACCCTCGAGCTCTTCGCCTCTCAGATCACTGAGGAGAAACAAGGTCCCGAGGATTCCGAAACATCCACCAAGAGTGGTGGTGCGAGCTTTTGCATTGTCGCATAGACGAGGTTTATCGCTACCTAGCTTGTAAGGAGGTGAGTCCTATGGCAAAGCCTTCAGCGAATGGGCTAACAAGAATCTCCGTTCAGCATCATTCAATGCAAAGAACCTCTTGTCTTCCAGAGTCTCGCTGATAATCCAGAAATCGGTTCACTCCGTTGGCTAGCTATATGGCCTGCGATCAGTATTACACCAGTATATGCAGGCTACGTGTGTCACAGTTTGATTCGTTCTCTCTATATAAACTATTCTCAAAACTGGCCGCATCTCCTCAGATTGAGATTTTACAGTCTTGCGATGGACACCACGCGCCTTACCAGTCAGTCCTGTAGAGGTCGCTTGTACATTCTGCTATATACAACAATAATTTTCCGTATATCTCTAGGTATATATATTCATTCTTGGTCTCGGAAACCCTTCATTGAATTGGCAGTGAGGCTGGAGGGGAATCCAGACTCATCCAGTCATGAACCTACTAAACCAGGATGCAAGTTGCTATGTGTTCTGCGCTACTGCCGATCTGCTTGAGGACAGCGTCTTCACCCTCATCGCGGTTTGCACAGATTGGCAAGCGCAAGTGATTCGTTAGCCTCGTCTGTGGCGATATATTCGAATCTCTGACGACTCGGATAATTTGAATGTAATTTGAAAACACAACTGGTCTTGTCTCAAGGGATGCCGTTCATTATCAGGGCCCATCTGGCAACGTCCGCATCTCAGATTCACGACGAGGCTATAAAGAAGCATGCTGAATGCTTGATCGTCGTCAATGACGGTATTAATCACGATAGGTTTGACATTCTCCGAACAAGACTCCTGCAATACCTTCCGCACCGGATCGACCAGGTTCTCTGGCATGACTTGACGAGGCACCACCCATACGTTCCTAATGCACTCCAGAGTGCAATCTTCGACTACGGAAACCTCGGAGATACGGCGCGGTTCGAGTGCTAGCTGCAAGGGTATCCTGCCTGCCTATTTTCATTGTTTGAAGCACGTAGGTCCACTAGGAGCAGCCTTTTCACGGACAAACCCCCATGCTATCGGCCCAGGAGCTCCATATGTGTCTCGAGACTCATCCATCTCACGTCATTGATACCCAGCCCTGATCCCTTTATCCGGGGGTAAACGAAGTACGCCAGCGTATACTCTTGCCATTGATCCAGCCCTTGGATACTGAACCCTCCGTCACTCATACGTATACTTGACCTCGGCGATTCCGATTCTGACAACTCCTAATATCCGCCAGCTAGCCGTCTTAAGGCCCCGGAGCAACGTAAACGAGTATTTCACGAACTAAGAATATCCACTCGAGATCAAAATGCTAACTCTAAGTTCTGGTTGGACCCGTCCAGCTCTTCAGATTGGTGAAGATCGGCATCCATACAATTTATCCTCGCACAGCCACTCCACTCACCATCTGAAAATCGAAGTAGACGTCGCACACACCATGGGTGTGCTCGCGCCGGATGGCGGGCTGGAGCCGACTGTTGTAGCAGGCATGGACAGGCTTGTTGGTACTCACCAGTAGTTGAGCCCCTTAGTATCACAAAAGACAGTCAATCCAATAGAAAAGATTTTACCATTTGTCTCTCTTTGCTTCTTGTCTACGCTGAGGGATTAGCCAGACGCATATTAGCGAGCAGCAGAGGCAGAAAGCGGCTCATTCGCAGGACAAATTAAACGTAACGGGCGAACTAGACACAACAAAGTCGATAAACGGGACGTGAAAATACGAAGTGGTCACCTGCGCTCTTGGGGAGGGTACGGATAGGAGACTAGTTGGCTGTTTTCTGCGAGCGCATCATAGTACATGGTGGAAAGAGGAAGTATTCTGACTGTACTGATGGGCCGAGGTGCGACACAAAGTGTGCGGGAGTGTCAGGCAAGACCCGACAACCTTCCTTCGGTCGCCTTTCTCCGCTCTGGTGCACGTGACACGAGAATTTCCGTGCCTGCCGCTGTCTAATAAATAGGGCGTCAGATTTATATGTATAGCCCCGGCCAAGGCCGCTGTGAGCGGAGCCGAGAATACATCCCGGATTGATCCACTTTGGACGGAGCCATCGAAGACAGCGGAAACATAGATTGCGACGCTGTGCTTATGGAGGAACAAATTGGCAGGAACGATATGTACCGTAGATTTATCCCTCATAGGGTCGGCCCTATTTAAGAAATCCGCGACAAGCGGGGCTTCAAGCCAGTGTCACGTACGGAGGTAGAGGATCCCCTGGATGCATGAGGTTTCTTTCTATCTCTTGGTTCGGTGGATATGTACGCGCGACACAATCGGAGTCGCACCTTCTTCTTCTTGCCTGTCCCACCCCGATTCCGAAGCTTTGGCCATGACAACTGGCATCGTGGAGCAGGGCAGAGCTTCGAATACATCCCTCAATTCCATTTAAATGGGATATAGTGAGAAAGAGAACACCTAAGTCATAGATGTGCGTGTAGATCGTGGGAGGGAATGGCACCAAGAGACAGCCTTAGACCGTTGCAATACCGAAAGTGGAAGGTGAAACTTGTCCAACTAACCGTGAGAGAACGTCTTCATCTCTTTGAATTCATGCCTCGCCTAGCAATGTGGCGCTGAAGGCCCAACTTGCAATAACCCTGGTCCAACCGAGTGTGAGAGATCTGGAAAATATTTGAAAATGTTAAAGATTTAATTGCATCAGCGATAAAGAAGGCGGCTAAGCAAGGTAGGCAGGTCTTGGCCAATGCATCGTATCGCGTATTTCTCACATTCCGTTTCAAGCGTATCACACGGATACATTTGGATGGAAATGTGCTAGTCGCTCAGTGTAAAACCCCACCCAACTTTTGCCCTTACCATCCATCAACTCATCCCCCATTTGTTTGCCGTTTCACAGCTCTCAGCTCTATCAAAAGCTATATTTTTACCTAAAGCCATGGAACTCTTCACTACTTTTGATTTCTTCGCTTCGAAGACCACTGAGGAGCAACAAGGTCCCGAGGATTCCGACACATCCACCAAAGGTGCTGGCGGGGGTTTTTGTATTGTCGCATAGGCGAGGTTTATCGCTACCTAGCTTGTAAGGAGGTGAGTCTTAGGGCAAAACCTTCAGCGAATGTCCTAACAAGAATCTCTGTTCAGCATCATTCAATGCGAAGAACCTCTTGTCTTCCAGACTCTCGCCGATAATCCGGGAATTGGTTCACTTCGTTGGTTAGCTATAAGGCTTGCGATCAGTATTACACCAGGATATGTAAGTTATATGTGTCTCAGTTATTCGTGCTCTCTATATAAACTATTCTCAAAACTGGCCTATCTCCTTGGATTGAGTTATTGCTTTCATTCTTACCATGGATAGTACTGCGACTTATCAGTCAGTCCTGCAGATATTTCGCTTGTATATAGTGCATTGAAACAGTAGTGAGGCTGGAGGGGAAGCCAGACTCACCCGATGGTATCTGGTTTCATAACCATGAACCGACTAAACGAAGATGTCCGCTAAGAAGTGTTTAACGCCATCGCCGAACTGCTCGATGACGGTATGTTCATCCTAACCGCGGTTTGCACAAACTGGCAAGCGCAAGTGATTCGTTCGCCTCGTCTGTGGCGATATATTCGGATTTCTGACGAGGAGGATGATTTAAATGCAAAAGTTCATACACAATCGGTCTGTCTCAAGGGATGCCGCTTGTCGTCAGAGCCTATCTAGCGATTTCCGCTCCTGATATTTTGCGCGAGGTTATAAAGAGGCATATTAAATGCTTGATCGTTATCAACGATGGCATGAATCGGCATAAAGACGATAAATTTGACATTCTCCAAACAAGACTCCTGCAATACCCTCCGCACCTGATCGACCAGGTTCTCTGGCGTGATTCGAAGGGGGATCACCCATACGTTCCAAGAGAATTTCGGAATGGGATCTTTGATCATGAACACCTCGGAGATAGGGAGCAGTTCGAGCGCGATTTACGAGCGTACCCTGCCTGCCTACTGTCGTTGTTTGACGCACGTATGTCTGCCAGGAGCAGACTGGTCCATGGTTCAACGCCTAGACTATCAGCTGGGGCGTTTCGATTTTGTGTCTCGAGACTCACTCATTTCACGTCATTGATATTCAACCCCGATTCCTTTATCCAGACGGCTAACGAAGTACGCCAGCGCGTATTCTTTCCATCACTCCAGCACTTGGATATTGACGGCCTTCACTCATACCTATACTCGACCTCGGCGATTCCTATTCTAGTGACTCCTAATATCCGCCAGCTAGCTCTCCGAGGGCCGTGGAGCGACCTATATGAGTACTTTACGAATTCGGAATACTCATTCGAGCTCACAATGCTAACTCTAAGGTCTGGGTGGACCCGTCCAGCCGTTGAGATTGGTGAAGATCGGCATCCATACGATTTATCCTTGTACCGCCACTCCACTCACCATCTGAAAATCGAGGTAGACATCGCACAAACACGCGAGGACTTGGCCTCACGCTCATTTGCCTCATTCGCCCAAGCATTGGTTACATCCCTCGGTGCTATAAAGTTGGAAATAACTTATGTATCGCGGTTGAACCCTTACCGGAGCTCTAGTGGGTATTTGTGGCCTTCTCATATCGAGCCTACTGGAGACAAGATTTCTTGCAATGTCATGACTCTAGCCACCGAAGCACAGTCAATTTCCGACGTTTATCATGTGAGAAACTTGATTATTCTAGGATTCCCACACCCTCTATACAGCTTTCCTGACTCCTGGTACTCCTCGCTCATCGACCTTACATTCGGAAATGTCAGCACACTCGCGTTCTTTCAGCGCACTCAAACCTGGTCAGAACTTCCCGCAGGCAAGGAAGGTGTGTTTAAATCCCTTCTACGCCTCAATTGTCCCCTTCGCCTTCTTGTGGATATCCTGCCCTCGGGTTATCAATTTCCGGTGCTGGAAGAATTGCACGTAAAATGGTACTCCAATCATAGTAAAAAATGAGTGAAAGAGTTGCTCTCTCTCCTTCCTTCAACTGTATGCGCATCTAACAGCAAGCTTTCTAGGGGGAAGTTACCACACCTACGTATTCTCGGATTTGATTGGTTCCCTGAATGGACATACATTCAGGAGTTCATTGAGCGTTCCATCGAGACGCATGGAAGTGCCTCGAATATCACGCTCAGGCTACCGAAACGACCAGGAAGACCAGTTCTAGGCGCAATCGTCCAGCTTCTTAACGGCGCGACACCAGATATACCACTTCCGAGAGAACCGGAAGGTGCTGCTACCGTAGGGTGCCAGTATTGTGCTCGTGTCGGATGGCAGGCTAGGGCTGACTGTCATCTTACGCACGGGCAAGCTGATTGGTACGAGCCCTCATTAGCCCTTTAGCATCCCAAGGAATACGGAATACTAGCGATAGTATGAATGTCCGTTAACGTGGTTGATATGTACAGGTTTTTGTTCCTCTTGTCAACGCTGAGCGTTTTAGCCGGAGACGTAGAGAGCGGGACCCGCTACAATATGGTCGTTGATGAGTGAGAGATTCGCCGGCGTGACGTAAAGATCAGTATCGGTCACCATGAGGAAGATTGTCTACGTGAAGTGAGCAGATGGTCCCTGGCGAGAGTAAAACACTCACCCCGTTGATAACCTCGACACCATCTATCGAATTTGCGGTTAAATATGAGTAGAGAGTATAAGGGATGTACTTACGATCTTTGAATATCAACCCATCTGGCTGAACGGTCTCGGCATATTGGCCTCGAACATTCTCCAGGGGCGAGTAGGTGACATTGTACCTATCAAGGTTTAGTGTATGAACATGTCGTTGCGAGGATACATACTGGCTCAACCACGCAGCAAACTTTGGGCCACCTTTTGCGTTCGACGACGTGACCTGATTATATGGCCCAGCGGGGACACCTAGGTCCTGCCAGTTCATCTTCACACGTCTCCCAGGAGCTGTCAAGGCCGTCCGGTTATTCGCAATCGCCGGCTTGTAATTGGGATCGATGGGGTTGGGATTGTTGGTAATGTTGAGGCGCGGAAAGATGGGGAAGACGACAGGTCTACGAAAGTTGGAAGGCGGACAAGAGATGATGTTCTGCGAGAGGAGGGTCCATTGCATCGCTTGCGTCGCACCCGTCTCGAACCACTGTGTAACAGGGAAGAGACCAGAGAACTGACGGAATGCAAATTGTTGGCGAGCCTATAGCGGATACGTTAGCCGAGATGCCGAGAATAGATGAAACAATACCTCGGTTGTAATGGATTGAAGTAAGAGTTGAGCAACGGCCCTATTCTCGAGTAGAGGGAGAAAACCATATACTCCAGACTCCCCGTAGCGGGTAACGCGCTGACAAAAGTCGAAGAATTCCCCCACATTCTACCCCAGGTCAGCAACGGTTAGAGCACCGAAGGGGGAGACCGTACATTAAAGTTGTAACGATACTTGCAGGGCTTGGCTGCATTTTCTCCAAGCATATTCGAAATGATTTCGGCATGACCAATTTCTTGTTGGGCAAAGAAGCGAATGAGATGGATCTCGTCTCTGGTGAGCCCATAGTCTAGAAAGTCCTTTTCCGAAAACTTGACGAGGCCCCAGTTGAACAAGTCGAGCTCAATATACTCTTGATGGAGACCCACTTGCTGCAAGGCGGTCAGGACTGAAAAGGTCGCTCGATGTAAAGACATGCCAGGGAGTCGAAATCAAACTCTGTCTCCGCACGGTAGACGGGTTTCGGATTGAATGTACTGGGGATAGGATTAAACATTGGTCCATCGCCTTTACCGTCGTTGGAGGTTTCGTTCGGGAGTGTCCATCCAAACGCGTCAAACTTGCCGCGCTTGAAAAAGGAGTATCTAACACCCCACGGCGCGGCTTGTACCAAGAGATGAAGGGTGGAGGTCACGAGTAGCGCAAAGAGCAGCTTGGTCAACATGATGGGTGTCGATTGGGCGTGCTTGAACGCGTGTTGGCCATTTTATGCTCGCTCAGAGAGTTGCCCCTGGGGAAAGAGAGAATAGAGGCCTGTTCACCGCGCGTGCGATGAGAAGAGACATGACGAGACCGCCTAGGCGAGTGATGCAAGATTAATCGTCATAGGCGATATTACTTCGACCAGCCGGCTTCTTTGGAACTAGTTTCAGGCGGAATGTAGAATTAAGCACTGCTGCTGAATATCGCGGAAGTCAGAGGGCGTGATCTTCGGGTCGAGGATGAATGGGGGCTCACGGAATTATAACCCTGATATCGTCACATAATCGTAATAAAAAAGTTGTTCTATCCAATATTCACTGCAGCTATTGATGTCGATAGCTCATTGTGGTCGGAGTCAAGATCGAGTGACCCACACTTTGACTTTGACGACAGAGTTCCACAGCCATGGATCGTCTCAACGAAGATGTATTACGCGAGATATTTCGCTCCGTTGCCAAAACTCACGCTGATGGCGCGTTTATCCTGCTCACGGTGTCTACTTCGTGGCAGGCATTGGCTCTCCAAGTCAGTATGGCAGACTTGTGGATATACATTACAATATCAGATCAAACCGAAGATCTCGACGCAAGGCTGCAAATTTCGCTCGCGTTCGCCCGTGGCCGCCCACTTGCCGTCAGGTTTCGTTACTCTCCTCGAATTATTCCGGCATTATTTCGAGTATTAGCTTACGACATAGCAAGTCTAACGGTTTTGGCACATCGGCAGTCCTGGGACTCACTACAAGAGACGTTTGACTTGCTCAAAGGTGCGCTCAGGACAACTAGAGAGAGATTTGTCCCACAGATTCTATGGACCGACATTGATGAACGCCTTTATGTACGCTTCCAGCGTCTAGCTCTTGGATGGTGTGACGTTGATAGGTATTTCCCATTCTTGCCACCATTGGTTCAAAACGACCTTTGTGGGCGCCCGTTTCCAACAGTTGAAAGGGTACCAACCAACTTGATAACACTCGTCCAACTGAGAGATACTGATCGCATTTCGTCAAATTCTGCGGATAATCTTTACAAAAATTTGCCCTACCTCGGAACGATGACGCATCTTTACGCTCTCAGTCTTGACTACTCGCCACCCATGGCTCAAGACGCACCAACGCTGTACCTACCCGGCCTCGAAATCTTGCACTTAGAAGTTGAAACAAGTTGGTCCGATCATACCTTTACCTCAAAGCTACGGGTTCCAAAACTTCGTCGCTTTTGGCTTAGGGGGAGATTTAAGTCAACATGCGATATTGTTCGCACCATGTCCGATGGCCTTGTGCTTGACGAGTTACTATTGGAGCAGTCCAGGCTCGACGGTATCTCAAATACCCTGGCCATCAAGCCTACGAGGATCCCCCATTCAGTGGATAAACTCACAATAGTCGCAAAGGTCTCGGTCAAGGAAAGCCCAAATCTGCAGCTGCAGCGACTCCTCCTACCGCTTAGACACCTTTTACAAAGTACTAAAGCTAATAGACTCCATATTAGCTTGCCTTCATGCTATTATGGCTACTTATACCATCTTAAGGAGCTCCAGGAACCGATACACACCATCAAATTACTCAAAGACGTCGGTGCCGCTACAGACGGCCAGGCATCGCCGTCTACCCACGTAGGCTCACGTGCTAGCGTTTTATGCGACACGTTCATTCTGGACAGAGAGTCAGTCGGACCAATTGAATGGGTTCCCTCGGCGCGAAAGATCGTCGTAAAATCATTCTTCGATCCGCTACTTATCCCATACGAGTGGTTATCCGTCATACAGGAGTTCGAAATTCACACTATGATACCCGCCGCCGTTATTCTCTTCGGCTCGCAGTCGCAAGGTGACAAGTCGCATACACGGCAAGCGGATGGAACGTTGGTGACCGAATTTTATACGTTCACATCACTATCCAGGCTTGTATGCTTCTCACAGCTCGCTGAATCGCTTCTCTCCCCACTCTGCGCGTCTCCATCTAAACGACCTTCACCATTGTACTGCATATTCCCCGCTTTAAGCGAAATCATACTATGGCACGCAACTGGGAAGTTTGCGCGTTCAAGTGACGGCGTTATTCGACTACTCGCCGCTCGCTTGGGAGACATGCCTCTGCTCCGTACTATTGGCATTAACTGGTTCCCAGAGTGGTATCCGGTAGGACCCCTTATTCTGAAATGGGTGAATATACACGAACACGCGACTATTCTAACCTTACGCCTTCCTAGCCGGCCAGCGAGAAGAGTGGTCGCCTGTCTCGTACAGTTGTTCAATGGAAAGGAGCCAAAGGAGGCATTTCCTTATGATATTGGCTCCGATATGTACTTTATTTGCGATCAATGCTTTTTTGCTGGATGGCGCTTCCCAGGAGATTGCGAGACTAGGCATGGGCGTGTCGAGGTAGACGATATGTGGAATATAACGAGGAATACAGAGTATTAGCGAATAGAAAGAGGTTTTTTTTTAGATGATATTTAGTGAAAACGGTGGTTACGAACCCAACTCAGCCTCATTTTGACTTCCGCCATCACTCCGAGAACAAATGGATCGCCTCAACGAGGATGTACTACGTGATATATTCCATGCTGTGGCACAATATAACCCAGACGGCCCATTTATACTTCTGACGGTGTGCACCGCATGGCAAAGATTGGCTTTGCATGGCAGTATGGCGAACCTATGGAGGTATATTACGATATCGGATGAAATTGGGGATTTTGAGGCAAGACTGGCAATTTCCCTCTCAATGGCTCGGGGACAATCGCTCATCATCCGGCTCGGTTGTTCGCATTGGGCAATGGTAACTCTAAGGCGCCTTCTCGGATATGACGTCGAAGCGATCATAGTACTCGCGAAGAATAATACCTATTTCTCCCTTCTCTATGCATTCCAAGACCTGGAGTTGACACTGCGTGACGAGAACCAAATACAACGGATACTTTGGCTCGACGTTGATCCGATTATGACATCTGTTGTGCAGCATTCATGGCAGATTGATCGCTATGAACCCTATATGACAACAAAGCTTAGACATGCAGATATATCGTATTTCCATAGTCATCAGGACGAACGGCGTCTTGGATCGGTCCTATACACAACCGCTGATATATACCAAACGGACCTTGTGACAGGTTTCTCAGGTTCGAGTCTTTACACGGCCCAAATGCAACTATTTCACAACAGCCATCTTCAAACCTTGAGTCTCGAAGGTACACCTTACGTGACTCAAGAGGAGCCACCATTCCTCTTACCACATCTAAGAGGACTATATCTTGAGGTAGTGCCATTCACCGTCGGCACTTACTTTCTATGCTGCCTGACTGCTCCCAATCTTCGCTATCTTATCCTCAAGGGGGAGTGTAAGTCAATGTGCGACATTATTCAAAACTTTCCTGTGCGACTTTGTCTAGATGAAGCGCGAATAGTCACTAGACCTACACAGCGTCTCAATTACAAGGATATCCTACCGGGACTGCAACACAGTCACGAACACTCTATACGAAAACTCGTGGTGGTTCATATGCCTCCCAGTACGAGCCAAGGGCGAACCCTCCAAACTCTTTGCGCTCCGTTACAAACACTATTGTCAGTCGCGACAGTTCAGTACATCCATATATACTTCCGCTCGTTATCTTGGTACACATTATCTGAACTCGATGTTTTGAAGAGACCTATTACCAAGCTCGAGCCAACCTCTTGGGATATTTTGGAGACTATAAAGCCATCATGGCAGCAAACAGTGGTTAGGTCCGCTTTGTTCGCTTGTGATACCTTATCCTTGGTAGGAAAGGTCGACTATCCATTAGCAACGCTTCCATGTATTCGGAGACTTTACATCGGCAAGTCTGTGTTTGGATCACTCTATATTCCTACCGGATGGGTGTCCAGTCTCGAGGAAATTGAAGACCATGCCACAAAGGAGCCGACGATCGTGCTTCCATTTCCTACCTCGCCCGATGATATGAGCTCAGAAGAATCAAACGTGACAAATTCACACGCCATAGGCTCACAGGACCTCATATTTGGATCTTTATTCCGCCTCCATTGCAAATTGAAATCAGCCATGGGTTTCCTGGGTTCAGTTTACACATTCCCTGCCTTGAGAGAGGTCATACTTATAACTTCAACCCCCCAGACTCCAGAGAGTGGCGGCATGGTGCTCGAGTTACTCCACTCTCGTCTTCACAGCTTGCCACAACTCCGCACAATAGGTCTCGGCTGGTTTCCAGTGTGGAACATAGTCGAACGTATACTCAAGGAATGGGTCCAAGTAAATGATAGCTCCATTGTCCTGACTCTACGCCTCCCGAAGCGGCCCGCAAGAAGGCTAGTCGGGTCGCTGGTGCGACTTCTCAACGGAGACGAGCTCGAAGCATCACTAAATCACCTCGAGGGGCCCCAAATTGTTCTTCCCTGCGAGCAATGCACCCTCGCCGGCTGGCTCTCTCCCGGAGTTTGTAATACGAGGCATGGAGTCGTCGACGTAGAGGAATTGTTTAGCTTGACAAAATACACCGAATATTAGTCTATTATCGAAGACTTTTCTTTTTCAACTATTGACAGTCGGCTTTGAACCATGTACAGGAAGTAAGAGCAAGCTCAGAATGCTCCAAGGTGAAATGAACAGAAAATGGCATATGCAGGATGCGCTATTTACAAGGTATTACCAGCAGAGCGTTGACCAGAGAAAAGTTTGAGCTTTGACGAGACACAACGACGAGTGGGAGCGCGATTACTTCTTCTTCCTGTCCTTCTTGGTCGTCGAGACAGGCGGGGGTGTCTCCTTCTTGGCCTTTTTCTTAGGCGGCGGAGGTGCCTCCTCGCTAGATTCGCTATCACTACCGCTCGTATCCGTATCATCCTCATCCGACGTTGCTACTTTAGCCGGAGGAGGAGGAGGGACGGCGACGGCCTTGCCACCGAGCGATGGCTTGCCCTTTTTCTTGTCGATGCTCGTGTCGGCTTTAGCTGGCTTGGAGAGAGGAGTGACCACCGAGGGTTTTGGAGGAGGAGGTACATCGGATTCATCTTCAGAGCTTGAATCCGCGGGCGCGTCGGCGGGAGTAGCCTCAGCAGCCACCACCGGAGGGGATTTGAGGGCGGTATGATCCGCCTCGTAGGCCGCCTTGGACTTTTCGTATTCGCCCTTTGCAATCTCAGTGGCGTCCAGGTATGGCTAGCTGATGGTCAGTAATAGTAAGACGCGAATCCATAAGGGGCATACCTTTTTCTCTTCGGCACTGAGACCCGACCACATCTTGGAGATCTCGCCGAGAACTTCAGCGTACGTCATGGTGGGATTCTTGTCCTTGATCTCCTTTCGGATGGCGTTTTGGTAGAGGAGGTAAGCGCTCGGTGGTCGCTTGGGCGCGTTTGGATCCTTGGGTGCCTTTTCTTTGCGTGCTCTCTTGCGCTTCTTAGAGTCACCCTCCTCTGGTGTGCTTATTAGTTGGCAAACCCTCGGTCAGGCAAGGGCGACGTACCCGTGGGAGACATGGTCTCAAACATGATCACGTCAAGATCTCCTTTCCCTTTTTCTTTTTCTTTCCGGCTTCAGTGAAACCAGCGGCCATAGCGCCCATGGGCAGAGCAAATTGAGGCATTTGCGCTTGGATTTGAGCAATGGCCAGCGACGAAGGAATGGAACCAGACTCGATCATGCCGGCATATTGTTCCAAAACATATGCCGAACTATGTTGGGCCGCTGCCGTGGACCGGAGGATGGACGCGAACTAGGGCCAGTCAGTCACTCTCGTTACGAAGCGAGAGATAAGAAAATAGGCGATAGGTAGAGGGAAGAAACAAGACAGCCGAGTGAAACCTGGGCTGAACTTACTTGTCGCTTGAGCGAGTCAAACTCGGTATGTGACATGATAAGAAGAGTCGACTATTATTGTTGACGACGAGTTTTGGTTGTGCGCCGACCTGAGCCAATGGTCAACACGGGGTCTTTGAGCGACGGGATAAAGATAACAGGATTTGGACGCTGTTATCGACCCAAGACGGTGGCGAGGTGGAAGCGAAAGCAGACGCAAGACGCGCACAAACCTGATGTTAATCTTTTTTTGACCAAAGGTTGGTCGGTAAGGAGGGCGAGTAAGCAGACCTAAGGCGAAGTAACGGCCAAGTTGTAATCTGCCTTGCGCCCAAACATTATCTCGGATAACAAACAATAACCATGACTGCCTCGGTTGCCAGCGCCGTTGAGCGCACTCCCGTCGAGATTTGGAGTAGAATATTCGAGTTATATCTAGGTCCATCGCTCCTTGCTAATCCAGACAAGAGGATGATGAGTGGATGGCGCAAAATGTACGAGGCCAACACCCTATTGCAGGACTACATAGACGCAGAACGACAGAAGAACATACTTAGACTCGTATGTCACTCCTGGAAGCGGCTGGCAGACACTCTGGGGGACAGATTCGTCGTCAGTCATCTCGACGAACACGACTGGCCTCCTGGCCGCAGCAAGCAGAATGCAGATTACATATCCTATCACATTTACTCTCCTTGGCTTGAATATGAGCTAGTCGGTAATTATGGATCCCGTGTAGGTGCGCAAGAGTGGAAGGACTGGAATAGTCAACCATTCAAGATCACCCCCCATCTCCCTTTTGCTCCATACACTTCATTCGTCGGCCATTCGTTCGATATTTCGGATCTAGATTCCACCGTGGAACCAGCAAATGTCCAATTCCTCAGCATAGGCATTCGTTCAGATGTTTTCCACCATCTCGCCCTCCCCCTTTTCCACAACGTCCTTTTTCTGGATCTCTTCGTTATTTATCCTTTCAAAGATTCGGGAACAAATATGAAGCGCATGCTACCGAACCTCGACTGCCTCCTACTGCGCGTGCGGTTGCAAGACCGTCCCTTCAGCCCGAGTGTAACCCTCTCGGGTTGGTATTTTCCCAAGCTCTCAAGATTTGAATTCTCTACAGAATATGAATCTGGGGTGTCTTCAGCCGTATCCAAGGACCTTGGTGACTTTGTCCAAAAGCACATCTCTCTTCAGCATATCAACTTGCCATACGACGTTTGGGACCAACAAGGGAAATTTATCGACTGGCAGCATCATATTCGCCTCGAGTCGATGGAACTCGTCAATCTTTCTTCCCTCCCAGATATTCTTCCTCCCTTACGCCCTCACTTAGCATCGCAAGTAAACAAAGATGGTACACGCTCACCATTTATTACGATTAAACTGAGAATACATCTAAGGGAAGAACCACCAAGGGCGCTGGTCGCACGGCTTTTGCCTCATCACGACCTACTCGCAAATGTCGTCCTTCTCATGGAGCACAGCTGGTTCCAGTTACTGATGGGATTTGACGGGGCGATCAACAGAATCTTGAGCCGCAGTCATATCATCGACACCGCCGCTTGGATCTACTATATTCGGAGAAACGTGCGGATATGTTCATTGTTATAGAGGAGGCTCAGCTGAACGTGGTCGACCCTGATGGAAACACAGCCGACTGTGACGCCGCGAGAGCACTACGAGCTCTTGCTTTTCAGGACCAGGATTTTGACTCGACAGTTGAGTTTTCAGAGCTGCATGCTAGTCCCCTTGAAATCTAGGCTGATTTATATTGAACAGTCGAGCGTTTAAAAATAGATCCCAACATAGAATCTCCACTAATCTCTGCATAATCCGCGGTTCATACATTTTCCACCATCTCGTACCTCCCCTATTTCGCAATGTTCAGGTTCTGGATCTGTACGAATACTATTCTTTTGCAGGGCCAGCATCAGAAAACGAACAAGCATTGCCTCATATTCGCTGTCTCGTGCTCCCCCACCTATTGGAGGCCGTTGGTCACACCGACTACAGGTCTGGGTGCGTGATGGTTTCCTAAACTTGCCATGTTCAGCTTCTCCCCTCGTGGCCACTCACAGGTGGATTCAAAAGATTTCCCCGACTTTACTCAAAAACACAGTTTGACGCTAGAGGAGATTGACTTGCCAGAACCCCTACTGCACGAAACACATAGATTTGTGAGACTTCCCTAACCTCAAGTCGTTCACGCTCCTCAATTCGGTCTCCTTTGTGGTCGCTCTTCCTACCTTGTGGCCCCATCGGATGTCAAACGCGAACGAGCACGCTAGAATCCCCACCCCACTGACCCTTACAGTGAATATTTCGCTCGGAGGAATCTGTTCGAGGGTTGTAATCGGACAAATTTGCGTGCACAGCGATAGTTTTGCCAATGCGGTTGCCCGTGGTTGACTCTAAATGTCAGTCAGCTAGTTGTGACACTACGAAACTCCTTCGGGATCTCGTCTCCTATCGTCCATCTCAATACATGTACGTATGAGAGATGTTCACTCATTCACGCTCCAAAAATACTGATATTTACCACTTCAGAACGTCGACTTCGGACGATCGTACTGAAATCCACTCCATTCAAATATCTTCACAACGCATCCGTGGAGGCTGAGTTGCCATCCATGGTGGGGGCCGTCTAAGCTACGATAGCGAGGAGTAGAACAAACTATACTCTGTTATTTTTTTCAAAGAATAAATCATTTTGAGCTTGTTTATGAAATCGTTCATAATGACGGGAAACGATGTTCAGACCAAACATTCTGTTGGTAATCCCTGGCCATGACATCGTCATTGTCTCTCGACGCCGTATACCGTACCCCTATCGAGATATGGCGCAGAATATTCGAGTTTTGCCTTGGTCCATCACTTTTGGAGATTACTGCGTCGACATTGAGCGAATGCCAGGCTTTTCTGGAAGACGAAGTAGCTTTACTACAACGATATGTTGCTGTTGAGCGACAAAGAGGGCGAATTAGACTTGTCTGCCACTCATGGAGACAACTAGCAGACTCTCTGGGTGATAGGATCGTGGTGAGCCACTTGGACGAGCACGAGTGGCCTCCCTACCGTAGCAAGAATAGCGCGCACTACATCTCGTATCGCCACTACACGTCTTATCTTCATCAAAGTCCACTCAGCACTTATAGGCGTGGCATAGGCGCGAGAGAGCCTGCTCCAGTCGCCAAACCAATCAAAATCACCCGCGACATGCCATTCGCTTCAATCACCACACTCGCTGCGTCTACACTTGATCTTTCGGATATAGATCGCGACACCCCGCCAGCAAACGTCTACTTTCTCGGCGTCGGCCCACAGGTAGACCCCCACGCTCTCGCCCACCCTCTATTTTACAACATCCAGATCCTCGATATCCTCACGCGCTATCCATTCGAGAGCCGGGACGCAGGCGTTCTGCGCACCTTGCCCAATCTCCGCTGCTTGATGCTAGCCATGAGCCACAAGAGCCTTGTCCGGGACCCCGGAATGACTTTGTCAGCGTGGCACTTCCCCAAACTCGCCCTATTTAGCGTCTTCCTTTGGGGTAGCCCTTTTACACTCTCCGAAGACCTACTCCAATTTGTTCACAATCACAGCTCCACGCTGGAAGAAATCGATTTCCCACCTGAAGAGCAAAGCCACTTTGCAAGGAACGCCGACTGGTCGCGCTTCACCCGGCTGAGGGCGATCAAGCTCTCAGACCTGACCTCCCTTACAGACGCACTGCCCAATTTGTCGTGCCGCTGGACACCGAGCGCTAGCACACGATTGACAAATACCTCGGAAATACCACCACTAACGATTACTATAGACGTTTTGCGCAGAACACCATCCTCAAACGAGATGGTCACTCGGCTCCTTGCATACCGCGACGTCTTGCCAAACCTCACCTTGCGACTATCTCTTCGTTGGAGCGAGTGGTTGCATAATGCTCAGGTGCTGATCAAAGAGTCGAGGCGACGCGAGACATTGCGTCTCTCGGATGGACTCCGGCAGTATCAAGCAAGCACCAGCGAGATCTTCGCCATTATAGACGAGACACCGTTACGAGTGATCGATTTTGGTGGAGATTCGGCCATCTGTGACGCTGCAAAAGAATTGCGAGCACTTGTTTTCGAAGACGGGCCTCGAGCGCCGTTACATGTATGATTTGAGCTTATTATGAGAAGAGACTTGAAAATTCCATCAGGTTACATATTGAGAGACTTCCAGTGAACCAAAGGATCGGTCGAAATCAATGCTATTGAGCGATTTACCATGCAATGGGAGACAGTACACATGCAGAATGAACAGAGCGGATCATGATACAAGAAATGGGGGCACATGGCAAAGTACGCGAATAGTCCGAGGAAGTAATACGATAACCAGTGCCGAGACCCTCACGAGCTGGACTGGAGTTTGGCCGGGTCATGCGAGAAATCACAATTTTCACCAAAACGACATCTATAGAGAGTAAGTTCGACGCATCACAAGGAGAGAAACGAAACAACTAACCTTCCACGAGCAAAGAACGTACAAAGAGGCCGCCACGTGTTTTGACTGGCAGGTACATGCTTCTTGTTTGCCTTTCCCGAGTCGGGTTTCGAGCTACGCTTCCATCTATCCTCATCCTCATCTCGACCGGTAGACGGCATGGCAGTATGTAATGGAGGGGGTAATGCGTTTGGAGGTGGTGCAGTGTATCCAGTAGACGTCGTGGATCCGCCATACGTTGCATCCTGAGACGCACCGTACCCATAACCATTGGTCGTTGTCGCGTACAGGTTGCTCTGGCCTGTGATTGCATTGAGCGCGTTCAACAACGCGACCGCATCGCTACCTATAGCTGGTCCGCTATACGACTGAGTCGAGGGCTGATTCGTTGCGCCATAGGGATTCGTCGACGAGTCATTAGGTTGCGGCAGACCCCGAACCATATTGAGCAGGTCCACAATCTGGGTCGTTGGTGCTTGCTGAGCTGTTGCCGGATAGAGTGATGCATATGGATCTGGCGTACTCGAGCTGCCGAGGGTGCTGAGCAAGCTGTCTACCTGGGCCAACTCGGGCGGTTTCGATCCTTGGACGAGATCGTCAATGTCCGTGCCTAAAAGTATCGCCTTTGTTGACGATTCGTCTGGGGTGAGAGGTAAGGAAGCTAGATGTGGAGGTTCGACGGGTGTATCTGGAGGTGCGCCTTGGTAGACTGCAGCCAACGTCGACGCCTCTCGTTCTTCTTGCGCCTTGGCTTCTTTTGATAGCTCGCCTCGATTTACGGATTGAATATCCAAGGGAATGGCCACGACTGGGATCTGGGTCAGCATGGCATTTGACCAAGATTGAGTACTTACGAGGTGGTTCGTACCACTCAATCTGCTCTATCATATGTCGAAGTAGATTCCCTTCTGCTCTGTCCATGTCACGATAATTCTGCGCATGAACCTTTACAAAGAGATCAGCAACGGCTACCAAGACAACCAACCGACGCACCGATCCATGAACAGTATCACCATCATAGATAGCCTTTTCTATCCACCGTATCTTCTCCAACTCGCCATCTGGCGCAAACCGGACAGATTTCTTCGGCTTGCCCGTCTTCGCACTAATACCACTCACACTCGTCTCGGATGCAATAATCGTATTCGAGCTGGAAACCGGATTCGGACCCACAGCAGGCGACCCTTTGCGCACGGCCTTGAGCGCATCTTCAAAAGTATAATCCATCGTCGCAGGTGGTGTCGACTCGTCTTTGGACGCAGTGGAGGAAGTAGAGGAAGTCGGAATAGGCACCTTTTTGCGGAAACTCGGTAATTTGGCCTTTGGCTTGGAGAAAAAGCTCGAGTCGGATTGTGCGCCCTTGACCGGTCCAGCACCCGACGCCGACGCCGACGCCGACGTCGATGTGGAAGCAGTAGCAGAAGATGATGCTGAAGGTGCGGGTGTCGACGCCGGAGAACCGGCGCTGTCCCTACGCACCGCAAGCTTGGCCCCACTCGCCGTCGTAATAACCGCCTTCTTCGCAGCTGGTTGTGTTGTCGACGCAAGGGAAGCATTCTTTGCTGGTGGTGTTGGCTCCTCTTTTCGCTTCTTTGTCGTCTTGTTTGCGTTCACTTGTGGGACTCGGATCAGCGCCCTAAACATGATGAGGAGACTGGCAGAGACGTACAGGACTCCGACTTGGCCGCGGCTGCCATTTCAGCGTATACAGTCTTAACTTTCTCTGCTAAATCTTTGGCGGCTGTATATCGTCCGAGGGCGTGCCGGAAGAGGATATTGACGCGTATTGGAAAGGAGGCCGTCCGGAGCCGAATGAGCCAATAAATTGCAGTTTGAAAGTGGTTTGGTGTATGTAAAGAATAATAGAAAAGCGATAGTCAGTATGCTATGTTCCAAAGTGGTAGCGAGGAGAAGAATGTAAAAGGAAACAAAAAAAAAGAACAGAGCCCCGGCGAAGAAAGTAAGAGCCATCTACGATAGAAATGTACATCTGTGCGTGCTTTTGACCCCTTTTCTCCTTTTTCCCGAATTCCCGCTCGTGAATGCCGACTCGGGAGCGCGGAGGCACCACTGTGCCGTACGCACTGCTTTCGGAAACAAAGCAAGCGACGCGCCCTCTAACAGGACAAGTACGTCTCCGCTTCACGAGTAACAATTCGGATTGTCTCTTTTTTGGATCTCGATTTCGTCAAGGATCAATGACGTCCGCGCGTAGGGTGAGGGAATGAATCGATTTTGCTTCTCTTTTTTTTTCTCTCTCGAGTCAACGTAAAATACTAGAGTCCATAGGCGCCAGCCTTTGAACACAGTGGTCGCCGTGGAGATTGCACTCTCGCCACGCATATCCGTCGAGGCACTCACCTCTCTTGCCGGGCAAGGGGATAAAGCACGCACAAAGGTAGCAAACGAAGAAAGGAGAGAGGGTGTACTACCGAATAAAGAGAGACGACGAAGAAAAGACTCGAGATAATGAAACAGAGGCTCACCTCGGGTAGGCGGACGGTCAGCGAGGAACTTTACAATCTTGCCTAGGCCCGACTCGACCAGCATCGGAACCGTTATTGGAATCTTATCAACGACCTATAGACTATGAGCATGCTACGTAGCTCAGTGGTGTCGGTAGCTTACTTGTAACCAGTTCATTGCTGTCTCAATATAGGCCTCCTTCTTGACAGCGTCTTTACCCCAGTCTCGAAGGAGGACCAACGCGTCAAGGTTCTTGCCGTAGAGAGTGTAAAACTCTTTCGGGGCGTGGTCTCGTATTCTCGTCAAAACCTCCATACGGGTATCTTTATCTGTATTGACAAAGGACACCTTGTCCTGGTCAGCGGAAACAATCAATAAACTAAACAGCTTCTCCGCCGTCCCACGCGGATCCTTGTCGAGGTGCTTTGGCGTGAGAAGGGATTTTACTTGGTCAATGAGAGGCTTTGCGGGTGGTGCTGGAGGAGTTGAGGCGGTCGGAGGGGTCGATGGTTGTTCAGAGAGAGTCTCTGGAGTCGGTTCATAGTCGAGGGCATCCCCTAGTGTCGAATCCATTGCGGAAAGTGCAAGCATTGGCGGATAGCCGGCAAGATTTGAAGTGGATTGATACGACGAAGGGCGAAACTGAGCCGCAGTCGGAGGGAGGTATTGCGGATACGCCGAGGACGCGACGCTCATCATTTTGGGGCTAAGGAGATGGCATGGTTAACAAGCGCGATATTTATACATCGTATTACTCACTCGACGGTGGTTGGTGCGTCTCCAGTCGACAAGCCGTTCGCGGTCCGATTCGATTGGGTTAGTAGATTTGTAGGATTTATTCCCAGTGCGTGCGCGTCATCGTACTCGGGGTAGAGGCCGTAGTTCCAGGATGGGTCATACATTCCTTGCTGGAGAGTTTGAGGGTCTAGTCGACCTGAGTAAACGAGAGGATATTAGCACTTCCAGACACTCTAGGCAATGTCATGCGAGCCCACTCACCGTTGAGATACCCAACATCGGGTCCCCATGCATTCTGTCCGCCCTGCTGCATCCGGACCGCGCCGCCATTGGGCATTGAGCCTTGTAAGCCCGTCAGAGGGTGTTGTGTCGTATGCGAGCTGGGTTCAGGCTGGCTCGAGTGCCACAGAAATGATGATGGATCCATTCGAGTCCAAGCGCGGAGTGGACTAAATCGGTTTATTTCCTACACCAAAGAAATGCACGTAAATTGGATTCGTGCAGTTGTTCAAAGTATGCAATCAGCTCGGCGCTGCTACGGGATTTTTTCCGCAAACGATGTACCGTTGATTCGGGCCGCTGAGTGCTTCGAAAGCCGTCGCACGAGCAAGTATTGAAAGAGAAATGTGATTAGAGCTGGACTGAAACTTGTATAGACGCCCAGCTAGATCCTTTGAGGGCCCTTTGGCGACTGAGACAACGTTGGATCCAAGCGGTGCGGTGGAAGGACCGTCGAGAGTGCTTGAATAGAAACTATGTTCCAATTTTTAGAGATTTGAGCGAAAGATGAGCCCTTCCGCGGTGGTTGGCTGCGATATGCCGGTAAAGGCGAGGCTCAAGTTGTGTGTCGCCAACCGTTTAGACTTTTGATCGTCGAAGAGTTTGGACATATTTACCGAATATTGAAATAGTTTGTATATTTGACATGAAAAGGGTACCACGCTTTTAGTTTGCCACGTCCACCCGCCCATCGGTCGTAGCTCACCAGACGAGGCCAGTCTCGCAGTCTCTCCGAATGGTGCGTCCACCTCTGACACCCGTCACTCTTCCACGATCCACCGCGACCTTGCCATTGACCAGGACCCATTCTATCCCAGCACAGGGAACACTGGGATTTGCGAATGTCGCCCTATCCCTGATGGTATCCGGATGGAAGAGAACAATGTCAGCTGCATACCCAACCTTGATCAGCCCTCGTGGGACGCGTGGTCGCGGAGTATCCCCACGGTAGCTGACCGGGTCGAAGACGAGTCCTAGCCGTCGAGCGGGCCGGGATGTAAGATGCGGGATCACGTCCTCCAGTGTCGCTTCACGCCTAAATGGCGCAGGGTACCGGTCCGCCACTGGGATTTCTGGTGCTCCATCCGGTCCATTTGAAGGCGACGTAGAGAAGATGTCTCGTCCATACCACCCGAGGTATCGTCCAGTGGATCCCCACGCGCGAGGATGAGGCTTCTTGGGCGTCAAGATAGCATCCGTACCCATCATATGTCGATGATGGCGCATGATCTGCCGGACGTTGTCCTCGTTGCCAACATGCTGCAAGATGGTCGTTGCAAGCAAATCCTCGACAAGAATGTACACAAACAGGTGGAACGGATCCCGCAGAGTAGAATGTGCTTCATCCATTCCGGACGCTGCCTCCGAAATGCGTTTTCCGATCAAGGTAGATAAAAGTGCATTATTTTGTCCTTGGGTCGTTCCGAGTCCAGCAATGCCAATGGTGCTCCAGTCGACAGTGAAGCCGTGGCATCCATCGCTCCCCCGTTCGCAGACATCCTCTCGAATACAATCCAAGATTTGCAATCCAGAGAGTCGCTGGGTAGCCCCATGACGAACGACTTCCTGCTCTGGTGCAACGCCTTGCAGTCGGAGAAGCGTTGGCTCTGGACCACCAGCGAGTGCCCAACTGGGAAGCATCGCCGCGAGCGTCGTGGATCCGGGAAGGTATGGATACGTGTCTAGCGATACATCCACGCCTTTCTCTTCGTATCTATTTGACAATCAATACCACGATCCCTTGTGAAGGATAGAGTACACACCGTGCTACCAACTCAAGAAACGAGGGAGCGATCCCAGAGTTAGGTGGAAAGTTGAGCGTAGCATGAGTGAGATGGATTGGGCATCCCATGTGCAGTCCAATCCTCAACATCTCCTCGTACGCGCCTAGAACATTAAGACCGTATGACCGGTGGTGAGGAGCATAGAAAGGCGTGAAAGCTCCCAATGAATTTGAAGCCTTGTTAGAGCTTGCATCCGACAGAACGTGACAGAGCGCCGCCAGCTCATTCTCGTCCGCATACATCCCGGGGACGTACGTGAGCCCACTGCTCATTCCGACTGCACCTTCATCCAACCCCTCTTTAGCAAAACCTTCATCTGCTCCACATTCTCTTTACTCGCTTGACCAGGATCTGCGCCCACGGTGAGGAGACGAAGGTTTCCCTGAGGGACGAGGAACGCGACATTCGTGGGAGGGATATGGCGGTCGAGAGTATCGAGATACTCCCTCACGGAACGCCACGAGAATAGGGTCGTTCCCGGCTCAGCATTCCAATGCGCCGGCGCGGTGTCTGGGTTGCCATTCCATCCGGCAATCTGTCGACGCACGTACTCCAGCGCCCATGAATCCTGCTGTGCGTCTTCACATTCCAGAGCACTGAGAGGTGCATAAGAGATTCCGTCTTGCCCGACGACCTCAGTTGTGATACCCTGACTGAGTTTTGGGACGTGCGATGGGTGGGTGAGGAGGTGCAAGTCGGAATGCGCGTGCATGTCGATGAAACCAGGGCATAGAACAAGAGAACTTGCATCCACATCGAGAATCGCATCGTCTCCAGAACTATCCTGACCTCGGAGGTCCACTTCGGGCGTTTCCGTGGTTATATGAGTTATTGCACTGATGATGCCGTCTTTGATGAATACATCCGCCTTAAAACGGGAATTTCCCTCTTCCTCGCCGTCGATGACGCTCGCTCGTCGGAACAGGATCGCGCTAGGATAAGGCATCTCTGGTGGCGAGAGATATGGGGGATATGCTTTATCTGATGTCTGATTGCTCTTATTCGGAGCGTGAGTCCTCGTTGAGCACCTGCAGGAATGTTAGGCTCCTTTCCAAGGGAACGATAACCACGACGGCGCTCACATTCTAGATACTAGAGTCGAAGAGGAGGCGCGTGAAAACATTAAAGAGGTTAATAGCGAGGACTATAAAGGCATCGGGAAGAGACGGGTGCCAGACTCGACAGCGCGTGGTCCAACCTTCCAATGAAGCGAAGCATCACTCGAAGAAGAGGAGAGCAACGACTGGGATAACTGAATCTTGATCATAAAGATAATCAGAAATGAAGAAAAGGATACAAAGAAGGGCGGCTCAACATCGTGCGTCGGTCGTAGATACGGGAGGCACCAAGTCTTAGTCGAACCTCTGTCTCTCACGTCGAAAAGGAGATGCGTACGATAATGCGACTACGCCCAAGGAAGCCAATACGTTTATTCATGTGGATCTATCACCATAAACTCACCTCCGTCGGGAAGGGATGGCAAAAGGAAGCGGGCGTGTTCTATGCAACGACACAGTACTGGTTTTGACCGCCACCTTTGTTCCCCTTGTCCGTGACTTCGCCCAGGTCTTGGTCATCCTCGGTCGCCTGGACAGAGAAGGGATTGAGATGGATAAAAAGTTCCATGATTCAAAAGAAGGATTGAGAGGGACTGATCGTGTTTGGAGTGTGAAAGTAGATCTCGTAGTGGGCTCGAGGTGAGTGATGGTAAGTGAGGGGAAGAGATGAGGAGGCTTTTATCCAGAACGGCCAAAAGATCTAGTCCAAATTCGGACGAGTGATAATTACGGACACAATGTGTGAGAAATCCCCTCAATTTAAATGCCATTGGTAGTCTATGCATGAAAAGACGATATCCTTTGATAAGAACGTATATGTCTTGCACCTGTATCAACCTTGAATGATATTGGGTACACGTAGCGGCGAAATAGATGTTCCCAGGCCAGCCTAGCTAGGCAGCCTGTCGGGTGACCCGCTCGACCTCTAGGCAGCCCATGGATCTGTCATTTTCTATTCTAAACTCCACAGCGCCAACATTTTACTTTGAAACAGAGCCAAATGCTTGGATACGGCCTTTATCCACCGCATTTCTCTCACCCCCATAGTTCTATGCCGCTTGGAGACTTTAATGCGGAAACATCGGCCCATTCACAGAGAAATAGGATATACGATCCATTTGGCCACTAATGGCAGTTGTTGTCTCGAACATATGTCGGTCAAGACTCGCCGGTCTCGTTCGGTCGCCTTGCCCCATTGGCGTGGAAAGACGGTAGCGACTTAACCGAAACAGTACCACTTCCGTGTCTGCCGCTATTTTGTGTATGAAGTGTAGCCCAGCACGGATGGCCAAGCCCATTCTCTGTAGGATACTGAATTTCAGCAACCGATGACTGAATGTCAATTTCAGTACCCGGGGATACTGAAGAGATACTGAACCGGATACTGAATGTGAATGGTGCTGGGACGAGTAGGGTAGAGCGCAAGCACTTCGGGCTGCCTACTCAAACCTCGTGAAAGATCGTGATAATCCGCAACAGTTCGTGGCAATTCGTGGCAAGTTTCGTGAAAATTCGTGAAAATATAACAACGGTTTACCAGCCACCTAAGGGCACAAGTGACCCGCCACTTGCCAGACCATGGATTTGCCTTCAAGCGATCTACAGGTTGTTGATGGGGCTCCAATTGCACTTTGGATCTGAGGAATGATATCAGAGTACTTCAAGGCCGAGTTACTCAAGCTGCGAGTGTGCTAGAGTTGCGAGTTGAGGCGCGACCACCAGAATGAGGGAAGTGGCCATTGAAGAAGCCAATTAATGACAAAAACTGATTTAATAGCCCATAGAACTTTACTCCATGGGCGATATCGTCGGCAGCGCGCAGGCATAGACGCGACGAGTAAGAGTGCTACACCACTTCTTCCTATTAGGCCAAAATGCACGTTTTAATCATCTCATTAATTTTTTACGTCATATCTAACAAGTTCTCTCATTGCCTGGGTCGTCCATGCTGTCATCGACTCATGCTCGGCGGTCATATGTTCTCAATGGAGGTACGTTTGTACTCCAATCCATATAATTCGCTACCTATGTCACATTAAAGGTTGTATACGCTACTTGTGATGATCGTGATGCGTCTGCTATCCTCGCCACTTCCCCTGGTTGACCGTTCAGCGAAAGCGACCACGGACAGAGGCCATATGCCACCCAAGGACTCATCGGGCGATCGTATTTGCGTCCGCCTTCATCCCGACGAGACTTCATGAAGCCCAGCTTCGACTTTGCACTCTGCTCAACCCGTCGAACATTCAAGCCATCGTTCCCTCCGCATTCGAACAGTGTGTCAACTGACAAGTTATAGTATACGGTTCCATCAATCCCTGGATTGCCCCTGCAGACCAGGACTACCCAAACAAGTCCTATGAGCCATATCGATAGGCAAGGCTTAAAATTGAGGGGAGGAACATATTCTCACGGGTTCATCGGACGGATGCAATCTTCCACGTTTAGTGTTTCAATGGATTCGACACTGTATCATTTCCTGTCGCTGTCTATGCGCACATGTAGAGGTTATGCATCCCTGTCATGCTATACCGATTTTACAGAGAAATTTGAGCTTTATACAATACATTCATGCTACTCCACGATTCCAGTCATGATGGCTCGAGTTTCCGGTCGCAAAGATGCGGATGGACTAGGTGGTGTGATTCCGAGTGAGTGCACACCCATCAGACCAAGATGAAATTTAATGTCCTCAGAGAATGTTTTATCTCCTTCCGTGCCACTCGCTTGGAGCTCCGCTTCACACGGACTTGCCATAACTGATGATCATCGCTTATGAGGGGTGAATGCACGATGAATATTGTCCCTTTCGATTGGTTCTCATACAAATACGGCCCAGTATTCAATGTATTGGTGTCCTAATAAGCTACCTCCGTCTGAGGTGGATCATAGGGGTTACGTATTTGGCATTTCGGCGATGAAGAATTATAATAGTAGCCGCACCCCGTCAAGCTGGTCATCCAGGCTCGGCTCGGCTAAAGGCAGCCGTCGTCAGGTGTATGTATTTGCATCTCACGCCTCAGTCAGGGGATAGCGGAAAAAAGAAACTAGGCAACTCAGGCTCAACCTTCACTGTCTTGTCGTACCACAGGTACTAGTGGCAAACACGGCAACGAGGTCTTTAAATGTAAGGATTGGTTCACCTTACAGGTCCGAACCCGGCCAACCAGGTTGGATTACCTGAGTAACGGGGGTACATAGGGTGTGTAACGCATTAGAGGGAAAGAGGGACACTATAGTCTAGTGGCCTTAGGCTAAGTCGGTGCTAATCCGGCTTGTTCCATTTTCCCACGGCTAAACGTTGCATTGAGTCTTAGTTGGAGACCAAAGGTCTCTCCGCGCTGCAAGAGGCAGGCGGAGGACAGATAGCGTTACGCACGATAGACAATAGAAATGTTTATTGTGCCAACGAGTCTACGTACAGGAGACGAGAAAAGAGCAGGTGGCAAGCCAAACGTAAGGCTCCGCCACAGCGATTTACTCACACGGTTCGAATATATCTTATGTACCCAAAGAGATCAGATCATGCTGCTTTTATTCCCACTTGATGTTGTTCAGAAATCTTAGAATCGACTACAATGTCTGTCATTATGACTTGCCAAAATGCTACTTTGAAATATTACAACCCAGATACAAGACGGAAAGATCTTAGACCGTATATTCGTTCGATAATAGCTTTTGGCCTTTCGATATTCTCCACTTTTATACACTGTCTACTCTAAATGTTGCGAAGTGGAGGTCGGGATCGAGGCCTTGGGCCTCGCTATGAATGTCGAAGCTATGGCGGAGACTTGGTCCGGACAACAAACCAACCTCCAGGGGTCGGTACAGATAGGTCGGTGAGGGAATCGAACAAGATGGCGGTTTTGGTCTAGGAAACTTCGCAAAAATAAATATGTAAACTGCCTCAGCACTGAGAGATATTTAGAGCACTAGATTGCGTGATGGCGCGATACTTCATTAAAATACGGTATCAAAATAGCAGCACCGAACAGGTACATTATAGGCCACTACTCCAGTCTGCAGCGTTTCTACCCCCTCGAACGTGCGCAAAACTCGCTCACTCGCTGTTCATATGAGAAGTCCCAGTATTCTCTCAGAACTGTTGGCATGTCAAGACCGAATAAAAAAGTCAGTCCCTCTTCTTTGAGTCTCATTCGGATTCGAGGAACTGAGATGCACATGGCGACTATGGCTTTGTCGATTGCAATACCGAGAATAAAGGGGACAGAGTCCAACAGATTGCCGTCAAGAAGGGATGAAATTATGGATAAAGAACATTTCCAACTTGGACAAAAAATTATAAATAGAGAGAATGGAGTCTAGTGTGAAGCAGGTCTCGTATATGACCTTACTGTACTCTCCACCAGCCATATCCAGAGAGTAGACCAGATCCCACATTATTTGTAAGAATTCTGAAGATAAAAGACTTTCTGGGCCATGTGAGACTAAAGTAAATTACCTGTCAGCACATGGTCAAGAGCGAGTGTATAAAGCTTGCCTGCATGGAAGATCATTGAGACTAAGTGGCCGATGTGCTTCACTACGCGACGACGCAGCCACTATTCACTCCTCCACCGGCCTCGGCGTCCTCAAGGTCTTTGGTTTCCTCGGTGGCCGGCACAGAGAAAAGATCAAGGGTGGTGAAGAAGTTCATAGTTGCAAGGGGTACGACTGATAATGGAGACTTTGTAACGTTGGATAGCTTGCGATCGGATGCGGGGCTCGAGACGAGGGAACGATGTTGATGGAAAGTATACAGGGCTTTTATAGGCAACGGTGATGTAACCCCATTCAAGCGTGGACAAGGAACCATGAGAGATCCAAGGCGTTGTTATCCAATTGCAGACCTCTGCGACGTGCCATGCTGTGATTGCATGCATCAGCCTCAGGTACAACTCCTTGGCAAGATCGAGCCACTTTCCCATGTAGCGTCTTGTATTGATGCAATAAATGACTAAATGCACCAAATGGGCAGAGATTCGGTTTCGTTCAGCTCGTTTGACCTTACGCCTTAGAGTTGACTGATTTCTAGGCACTCGCTTGAAATCTGGATGAAACGAATCAATGAAGAGTATGGAAATAATCCCCGACAATAGATGAAAACTCAAGTTAGGGATCGCGGAATCCAGATTTTGTTAACCACAGCAACAAACTCATTGAACCTCTTCAGTAGTGCCTCTTAAGATATCTGGTGAAGTTCACGGTGAAAAATCACCTGTACGACGGCTATGCGGGACCAAGTAAGTAATCCTTAGCAGGGGCGAGCGAGTTCACTAGTCTAAACCCGTTTATTGACGGAGGTTATCGACGTGGGAGGGTAGAGGAGGCTCTGCTAGTTAATTCATGTACATATCGTCTTACATAGCATCATTAAACGTTGGAACGCGGAAAGAGCGATTGGAAATCTAAGTATGTGTTAATGCCGTTGCTACGAGGGTAGATGCAACGAAGGCCGTGAGGAGAAGGATGGTGAAAATGATATAGAATGGACAAAGAGTGTCACGGCTGCGGTTTCGACGCGCGTGGAGAGGAGAAATTCTCGAAAACTTACATATCTCCTGTTATGTTCTCCACCACCTTGGGCTTGCACTGACGGAAAATAGTCTTGAGCGCCATTCTTGTAGACTGCGTGCAGCTCAATGAGGTTCAGTCATTCTTCCACAGTGCATTGGACACCCCCGTCAACATTTCAGTGCATCGAGGCATTACTGGGGTTGATATTCTATCCGCAATCTATTTAGACGCTCATTCATTTTTTTTCATCATCTCCTTCTAAACGACATTATTATATGCATACAGAGCTTTACGCTTCCCTGACTTTTGGAAACAGGCGATGAGCGGCAATTTCGTACGCACGTCTACACCAGTCCAGCTAGGGCATAGGAGGATGGAATTGCAGACACCTTGAAGCCTTCTTCCGCCTTCATCATGCCCGCTGTCCGTGATCTCCGCTTTTCTCGGAGATCTCACGCCAGCGTCTACATTGAGGGATGGATGCACTAGTATACCGTCCCTGAGAATTAGTTTCTTCACAGGATTCACGTCTCCTGTCATTCATTGTCCGTCTCAAGCGGATCATGGTTGGTGGGAGAGGCAGGCGAAGGACAGATAGCGTTACCTATGATAGACAATATAACCGCTTATTGAGCCAATGAGCCTACGTATAGGAGATGAGCAAAGAGCAGGTGGCAAGCCAAAGGAAATGATCCGCCACAGCGACGACGGATGAACATTGCGCACTAGCAGAGCCGGCGCATCAAAGAAGAGACTGAAACATCCTCTACCCAGACATTGCGCCCTAGGAAATGCTCGGTAGGTGAGAGCAGGAGTCGTGGGCCCACCATCCCGCCCAAGGCCACTTCCACCCAGTGCCTACCTCACCTATCGACAAGAGTAGGCCTAGGATGAGGGCACAAATGGCAAGAAATTTGAACGGGAGATTATCTTTGTATCGAGTTAAATTGAGCCGAATAATCGTCGGATTGATGTCTAAAACTGCTGTCGTAAAGAGTTACTAACACGGAAATCTATTGACGGCGGAAATATGCACATATGGTTCACGAACAACACAGGGCCCATCGCTGCCACCGTCTCCAGCATACTCAGGGACTTTTGGTTCTTCAGTGCGCGGTCCAAGGGTGGCAAACAGTTCCATGATTGCAAAGAAGATGGCTTATTTGAATTGATATGGCTTTAAGAGATTCGCAAGTGGATTCAGCACTGAACTTGGTGCGAGATATGCATGTATAGGCAAAGAATGCTGAGTTTTCATGCGTTGATGCCGAGTCACTTGCATTCGAAAGAGGACAAGTTATCACAAAAGTACTGGAAGAAGTAGGTGATCGTTGTCCTCTGCGGCACGGTCTGCAGGTGCCGGCGCCAGCCAGATGTAGATTACCTCGCTTGGTCGAACCTATATCACATTATTTGAATTGATTAGATTAATTGCATTCAATTTGTGATAGGGTGATTATCTCGCAATCCAACCGTCGAGTGGTCTCTTCTGAGCCATTGGCCCACGGCGGATCAACTATAGCTATGGAAGCATATTCATATGGAAGAATCAGCAGGATCAGGTTTGACCCAAACACCGAACTCTAACAGCCTCGTCATCCAGGCTCCTTTCAGTAGCGCCGCAATCTATCCCCCCTCTGTCACTTCCCTCACCAGTATCCGAGCGGTGACGAGGATCCCAAGGAACCAAAGATACCGTGGCAGGATTAAATAGATAGCGGGGGTCGAGATGACCGAGATGATCTAGGCAATCTTGTATAAAATGCGACAGGAACAATGACTAATTTCACGGTTGAACATCGTATTATGCCGGCACAGTGCTTGTATTGCTGCACCGAGTACTCCATCAAAGTATCTGTGGACCTTCATTCATCAGCCCTTGCCCTCGGAAATATTAATATGTACAAGATTAAGCCTTGTCAAACGAGATAATCCGTTGTAACCTCTAGATTGTATGATAGGTCGGTGAGGAGGCACATAGCTATGCATCTACATCAAGTATTTTCTACCATCGTAAGTCGGCTTGAATCCGGTTTCGCCGTCTTGAGACGATTTTTGTTAGACAGATGGGTGTGGTACGGCGCAAGAGTATATCTATGACACAGTTGAAATGACTAGGATTGTGTACACAGAGTCCACAATCCCCTGTCGCGTACTTACTAGCGAGGGTACTAAACAGGAAGGCTCGGGCACGACACGACACAACAAGGCCTAACAACTCGATCGGAGAGGAATTTTCGACTTCGAACGCAGTAGTAACAACTTATTTCGAGAATATGTAACGAACACCAGTATAGTAACTACTCCTCAGCTTCTCAGAGGAATGCATCAAATATCGCATCCTTAATGAGAAACTTGAGAACACGAGGAGAGTTGAGTTGAGTGAGACTGAAGCAAAATACTCATCAGTTGATTGATGGAGCATGCCGCCATAAGGACTCACCCACGCAGGAGACTATTGGCGATTGGGGAATGTGTAGATAATTCATGCAACGACACAGCTACTGGAGCCTCCAGTACTGCCTCCGTCATTATCTTGGATGTCTTTCGGTTTTTCGGTGCGGGGCACAGCAAAATGAACAAAGGTGGTAAAGAATTCCATAGTTGCAAAGGATTAGGCCAAATATTTGAACGGCTCAGGATGTATGAACTCTGTAAGTGGGTACGCAACTGGTTGGAGGTGCGATATAGAGGGGAGGGAGAAGTGTGCTGGGCTTTTATGCCTCGACGGCTGCTGATTCGCAATATAATACAGTTCCAGAAAGCGTATCGGAGGAATAGGCAGTCATTCTGGAAGGTAACCTCCCCTGTGTGTGACTTCATCAACCAATTGTGTATGGCGTGCTTGGCCGAGCCAGGTCATTTTTAATCGAAACTTCAAAGGAATTGGTGTTGGTTTTATGAATAAACCATCAGCTTCCTGTCTAATTCTCGGCAATCTCATCTGAGCCCTTGGCCCAAAACTGGACCACTTGCCACGCGCGCCCGCTTTGAAGCGGGGACTCACGATGGAGAGCTATGAAGATATATGGGCCGATGATACCGCTATCGCGAGTATGATAACAAGCTTGACGGGAGAATGGACAGGATCAGGTCGATCCAAAGACCAAACTCTGACAGACTCGTGAGCCAGACTCTCTTCAGTGGCGCCCAATCTATTCCCACCCTCTCATTGCTTTACGGGAATTCAGGCCCAATGATGAGCATCCCGACGAATGAGAGATAACGTGAGAGGGATAAATTCGACATGATTGATATGATCGAGAGGCTCTCATATGAAATTCTCTGAGAATAATGACTTCCAGGATTAGACATTATAATGCGTACCGTGGTGCGCCTGGGTTGCGTTCCATCGAGATAGAACGAAGCGTATGTACTATCCGTCCATCTATCTTCCAGTACGTGGTAACCATCTTCTGGGATACTGAGCGAAGCATAAAGGCTTTACTCTGTACTCTGGAATAATTTTGAGTACGCTGTCTTCGAAATAGCTCCGCTCCGCGCCCACTCTAAGGGGATCATGTTGTACTATATGATAACTGAATCCACAATCTTTTGGGATGACACTACTCTCACTCGGATCAAGAGTCGGGACTACGCGTCTGAATAGAGCTCCTATCAGAAATGGGTGCCGAGGCGCGCGCCCAACATCTTCGACGGCTCAGTTACAGAGGAGAGGTTGATCGACTCTAGAGATAGGATGAAATGGCGTTCTACTTGTGGGCGCGCCCTCTGACGTCGGATGATTGCTGGAAAATGAGAAAATACGATAAGAATACATGACGCTACAACGTATCAACGTGATCTAGATACCCATCATGGACCTGAGCTGGATCTTTTTACTCCCCTCGACTGTCTAGCGATCGCGGGTGTAAAAGTGGCTCATGTTATGAACACCACCATACCCAGGCAATCCTACACCCATCCCACCCAATCCATACCCGGGCACGTACGAGTTGACTCCGGGTACCATCCCATAGACCTGTTGCTGACCTTGTTGACCTTGCTGTCCACCAGACCCTTGCTGACCCTGGCTACTCCCAGAGCCAGACCCTTGCTGAGTCTGATGATGCTGTCCGCTCAACAAATGTCCCACACCAAGCCCACCTAGCGCGCCCGCCGAGCCGAGCCCCAGGCCAGGTAAACTCGAGCTCCCATGTGGATGATGATGATGCGACTGGTGATGATGCCCATGCAGCGCATGTTGGTGGTGTAACGGCATCACACCCATCCCACCTACTCCAACGCCATGTCCCCCACCCGCAGCGGCAGCAGCGGCAACCTGGTTCAGATAATGCTGGGCAGATGTCGACCCAAGTGCACCGACACCCACACCGAGATGCTGCGCTTGTTGTCCACTTTGGTGGCCCATGACACTTTGCCCGCCGCTCAACACGCCACCCAGCCCGGCGCCCGCGAGTGATGCGAGTGCCGACGAGTGCAGTCCAGCTGCTCCAGAGCCCATACCGTGACTAACAGTTCCGGGTCGTTCACGCTCTGCAGACGTGAGTGTCGACTTGGAATTGTCGAGCACACCAGAGACATAAGTGCTCCCCAGACCGTAGAGTGCGCCCAAAAAGGCGGAGAGATCCCACCGACTAGAAGAGGGGGCGATATATTGGTTGAGAATGTGATGAAAGGTCGTCGCGGCAAGGAACGAGGCGTAGCCGGATGTAAAGTTTGGTCCAACGAGCACCTGTCGAATATCAGGATCCGTGATGTAAAAGAAAGAGGAGACTTACTCCTGTCGATACACCGAGATCTTGAGAGATTTCGAGCAGGCCGCCCTTGAGCTGAGGCTTTATCTGCCGCATCATATACTTGATGTCGTAGACGCGAGGGAACCAAATCTTGACAATGTCGAAAAACTCTTCTTCCGTGAGTGGTAATGGAGCGCCGGTAAGCATTCTTAGTAGATATCCAAAGTCGTAGGCCCTGTGCCGAATGAGTGCGCGTCAAGACGAATGGGCAGCGCGTACCCGTGATAAGATATCCATATTGTCTCGTCTGAAAGGACAAGACCGGATGTGATCATTAGTTCAGCAAAGTCGCCAGGCTGAATGCCATTTGTGCGGTGTCGCGCGAAATCCAGACCAGCTTTGGAGAGGGCGTCGATACTCGCTGGTTCATACGTGTCTTCACTAGATGAGAATACGGTATACGATGAGCGACTGGCTGGACAAGGGGTTGTCCGCGCTCACTCGGTGTTAAAGTAAAAGTTGAACTGCCATGTACAATCCTGGGCGACTTGACCGTCTTCGTTGACGAGGGTGATGCCGAGTTGGATGAGCTTGAGTATTTCCACGTTGCAGCGCATTGTCTGGTAATGATAGTCTGTCGACGTCTTGAACTTGCCAATCGGACGCGCCACGACGGCTGGAAACTCGCAATCCTACACAATTTCAAAGCAGTAGCAATGTTAGCACGCTTAGAGAATCCCAAAACTGCGAGAAATTGGACGGCTTACAATGGCGATGTAAGGATACGCGTCGACGAGACGGCGAAGATCCCGCATTGCATCTTCTAGATTGCTACTCCATACGTCGCGGGTGATTTCCCGCACAGGCAGCGGCGGCATTGTCGTGGTGGAGGAGACAAAGTCAGAGTTGTTTGTCCATCCCTTGGTTGGTCCTCGCCACTTTTGCCATTATGATGCGACGACCACCGCCAAAATCATTTACAATGAATCTCTTCGAGGCTACAAAACCACTCAACAATCGCCAGAGTGTCAGCATCTCCGACTATTTCTTTCTCAACAACTCCGACACGCCCACCCATCTTGCAAACTGTACATTCCACGTTCTTCCACCAAAGCAAGAGTACAAGATTACTGTCCCTCCACTCGCCAGGCATTTCGTCTTCATGCTCTATGGAAGCGGATCCATCTACCACCTCTCGGGAGGAAAGGACTTGGAGCAGTGGGATTGTTTCGCCTATGCACCTGTCAAGGGAAACGGAGAGAAACATAGCGAGCGGTCATACACTCTCGTGGGCGGAAAGGAGGGAGGAGGCGTATTGATCCTCAACGACAGCTTGAATGTGAACAAAGGAGATATCGTACGTCTTTCCATTTCCTCAAAGAGTCGTTTCCATTCTCGATTAGGATCCATCTCCGCCAGAAAGCCCAACAATCGTGTCCTCGTACGAAGTCACGACCTGGTCTGGCTCTGGTGTAGAGACGAAGAAAAAGGCTACCCTCACAGGTCTATCCGACCTCGCACGTCCTCTGCGAAACTTTACTCGCACCCCAAACCCAGAATCACCACCGCCTCTTCCCTGGAACGCCACGCTCGAAGTCCTCTTACCAGGAACACAAACATCCTTCCCACACGCACACTCAACCGAGGACGAACTCGTCATCGTCTTGGCGGGAAAGGCCAGATACTGGTGCGACGGTGAGGAGCCAGAGATGACGCTGGTCGCTGGAGACGTCGTCGCTTGGAAGGCTGGGACGGGTCTGTGCCATGCGATACTCAACGATGGCGATGGCCCAGGAGGTTCAGGTAAGCCGCCGATAGGTCGGTTTAGACCTCACGCCTTCTCACTTTACACTAACACCGACCGTCATTTCTCTACAGGGTCGAATGTCGTTCTTTTGACGATTGGCGAAAACAAACCAGAGACGGACAAGCTATTCTATCCGACAAAACTCAAACACCGCAGACACGAACATTGGTGGTGGAAAGACGTGCCACAGCATTCGATTGGAGGCGCGTCGGATACACCCCATTATCCACGTACACAGGACATGGAATACCCGACTTGGGAGACAAAGGCTAGGAAGAAATATGTACGGAGCGACGAGGATATGGAATTATGACCCAATGACATCGTTCTACAATTAAATGTCCTCAAACTCGATCACATTCTCATCGTTCAGAGACAGGCGGTGGTCTCGTAATATGAACTTGGTGGGATCTAGATCCAACTACACTAATACCATCCGTAAAAGGTAGCCAGATATAAGAAACACATGATTGTCATAGTTTTTGGTACAAGGCACAGATGATAGCTACGGATCGACCGAGGGCGGGGACGAAAGCCACCTCGATCTGCTGCAGCTTTTCAGAGATAAATTCTTGTTCCTTCTTGTCCTGTAGCTCACTCCAACGTCTCATTTGGTCCTCGCGAATGGTCTTTGACTCGTCATATCGGCCTTGGTCGAACAGCACCCTGGCCAAGTTATCCAACGCTCGCGCGGAGTCTGGCCCGGCATCTCCGTGAAACTTTTTGACGCACGTTATATGGGCCCGAAAGACTTCCTCTGCCTCGGTGAACATCCTTTGTCTCTCCAGTACCTTCCCAACTCTCAGATGTGCGAGCAAGATCTGACTCTTTTCTCCACCATCCAAAATACGGTAAACCCGCATCATTTCGGGAATATGAGACGCCGCTTGGTCGAAAAGCTCCCTCATTTGTAGACATTCGATCAGCCAGGAGAGAGCTGTACATGGCTCGGGGTGGTATGGCCCCAGGAGTATGGTCATACGAAGGTAGATGTCCTTCCAGAGTTTTTCCGACTCCTCGAACTTCTTCTGCTCATAAATACATCGTGCCAACCATGTAAGCGCACGAATATAGTTGGTATGCTCCTCTCCTTGTGCTTCTTTGATGCATTCCATGTTCTTACGATGGAGCAGTTCTGCTTCGTCATAGTGCTTCTGCTTAAAGTGGCAATTGGCAAGCGATCGACGCATGCTATGCGTAGCAAAGTGCATTTCCCCATATAGTTGAACCATCCCGTCAAGGGCCTCTGAGAGAAATTTCTGTGCTTCAACATATCTTGATTGAGAATTGAGGCAAGAGCCGAGTATCTGCAGTATCCTCAGGAGCGGAAGTCGCCCTATTCCTTGTAGTTCATCAGTCCTAGCATACCGCCTGAGTAGTGTTTCTAGCTCTGTGTTTCTATTTTGCTTCCAGAGAATATTGGCTAGATCCAAGACGGCATAAAGAGTGAGCCTTGAAAGCTGACCGTAGAGGCGACTGTTTGCCTCAAGCGATTCTCGATAAGCGTCTTCAGCTTCCTGATATTTGCCTTGTAGTTCATGCATATGACCTTGGAAAGCTAGAACGGCAACGTCATAATTTCGGTCCTTATCGCTGCCTTCATAATAGATCTGAAGCAAATGGTCGAGTTTTCCTTCCTTTTTCACCCCCATGAAAGCGTAGCATTCGACCAAAGCTTTGGCAGTGTCGAGGGTCCGTGAGTGAAGAGACCCATACAACCGGATCCGTATGTCCAGAAGCTCCTCCAAGATGGGGCGGGCTTCACTGTAGTTTTCTTGTCGACTCAATAAAACATCTGTCAGGGATATCATGGTCCACTGGGTTTGAATATGATCAACCCCAAGAACTTCAACTTGAATATCATATGCCGCACGCAATAAATCCAATGATTCTTTGAGCCCGTCCTTTGTATTCCCAAGGCAAGTTGCCAGCCAGTACATAGCCTCAGCGGTGAGGGCAGTCTTTGGCCCACTAATCGATCTTCGCAATTCCAGGACTCCACGTAGAAGCCGCTCCATCTTGGGGTAATCGGGGATAGCCTCAAGTCCCAAAGCAAAACCAATAAGTGCATCGCTGGTTCGGAGATCCTCATCCCCATGGGCAGTGCGTACTATTTCATAAATTTGCTCCCAGGTTCTGAGCTTAGCTTCTAAGAGCGTAGATGGATCAGATAGTTCAACCAGTGCTGCCCTGTCATTCACAGGGTGTGTCGATCTCGGAAACAAAACGACGCGCATGTGGGTAGAGCTCTGGCTCGATGTCTACGGCATCATTCTGATCCACGACACAGGTCAGCAGTCGTAGAGCCGCAGCCTTGTTCCGTCGGTTCTCTTCCGCACTTTGGCGATCATATGCCCACGCATGTAAGAGGGGGTGAAAGCGCAGTCGTATATCCGAGTAGAGTGACACAAGTGTGATTAATGACAGCTGTTGAAGTTCTTCGATGATTTGGTCCAGCTCAATCTCCTCAAACCTCCCAGTTGGGACTATAAGCCGACGAAGGAGATCGACGGACTCTTGGAAATCCGAGCCTCGATCCATGAGCTGGTGCTCCTCATATGAAAAATTTTTCGAGGCCGCGAGGCCGATCATTGATCGAGGAAATCCGGTATAATGAAAGAAGCACAGGATCGAAAGGAGGCCAAGAGCACGCTCGGACAACGAGGACAGAGAAGTGTCAAATGCTGCGTAGACGCTGTGTTTGTATCTCAGCTTGTCCCGCTGAACCGTCGTCTGTTTCAAAAGCTCGGAACGACTCGTCTCGAGTCGCTTGAGGTATGTCTCCAAGCATTTGTGCTTGCGAATGTAACATCCTGCTTGAACAACGGCGATTGGAAGGTATTCGAACTCCTTCACAATTGCCATAGCTTGCTCTTTTTGGCGCGGAGTATGCTTCTCGGTCGGCCCAAGTGCGGAGGCCAAAAGTGCATCGCATGCCTCGCTTTTGTTCATCACTTCGAGGGCTATGTGGCCCTCCGGCGAGATAAATTCGAGTTGGGCGTTACGAGTTGTAATAATGATAGCGCCGTGGTCGCATGTCGGAAGGAAGGAAGTTATATCCAGATCCGAGTCGTCCGCGTTGTCGAAGATGAGGCACCATCTGGTAGTGATCATTTCATTTGGCTCAGAAAGAGCCTTGAGCGCACTGCTCAGGTCGGATCCTTCGAAGGGCGGTCAATGGCTTTGAGCCGGGCAACAAGATCCGTCTCAATGCTCCTATCCGACGAAGCATCGATAAATAAAATATGTTGGAAACTGCGGAGTAATCTCAATTTGTACGCGTGATATTGAGGCCTTCTCACCATTCGGCGTGCAGCCTTGCCCAGGCCACTACGAGTTGCGTCTTACCCGAGCCTCCCATTCCAGTGATAATCGATAGCCGTTGTCGCATTTTTTCCTCGGAACAGAGAAGAGCCACATCCATATGATTCATTGGCACCTCTCTTTGGACAAAGTAAGGCGAGAGGGGTGGGAGACCGGCCATCGAAACCTTTGGTGGAGCCGTCGTTTCCGCTGGAAACATAATCAGAAGCCAGGATAGACTACCTCAGAATGACCTACACATGCTTCTTAGCGTGAAGCGACTGGCCCTAGAACGCGTTTTAGCCACCTGATCGAGCAGTCGATCCGTCACCGGATTTTGTAAATAGTCCGAGGTGTGAGCGGATATGACACCGACGATCTCCTGTGTCATCTCGGTTGCGGCGGCAAGACTGGGCACAACGCTAAGACGATAGTAGACGCCAGTCGTCCCGAAGCGGCGTTCGAGCTCGCGAGAGGTAACCTCGGTTTGAATGAGCTTGAATTCGCCTCCAGGGACTATGCGAGAGGACATCCCGGACCCAAGGCTTAAAAGCAGCCCAACATGTTTGTCCGCGCCATAGATTTCACTGGCCTCTTGGACCGCTTGAACCGTAGGATTCGGATATGCGGCTTCCGCACTGATTGCATCATCCTTTTCCACCTCGCTTCCGACTGCAATGGCTTGGAAGAGACCCGTGATAGCCCAACAGGCGCAGATGGCATCGATGAGCGGGGGTTCATAGGAGTATTGTCGGCTCGGATAGTTGCGGAATGCCCTCCAAGTCGCCATGCTCGAGGTAGACGAATAGCCCAGACAGCTTTGACGAATCAGTTCAGAGTTTGCGGCCCAGAGAGCACGTACATATTGGTCCCTCCAACCTGACTCAACAGGACGTTCGGGTCGATGTCATGCTCCTTGAGGATGCTAGTCAGTACCCCGCGGAGTTTTGCTGACCGGGAGACTGCGTCCATGCCCTCGACTGGGTACACTTCCTGGCAGATACGAGCAAACGTGGCGATAGTATCGTCGACGGACATCTTAAGAATTCCAAGAAGTATTGCAATCACACTAGATGGTGGTAAGATAAGGCGCCAAAGTCACTATTCGCTCCTCGCACCCAGCTGGTCCAACGGCTGTAATGAGATGAAAATGATCGCTTGGAGAAACTTCGTGATTGAGATCATGGCTAATACGATGCATGTACTCTCGTAAAATGTAGAGCTGTGAGATACAGCGGCCATCTCCGCCATCTGAGGACAGGGAGTAAGTGATGCGGGTCCACAGAAGAGTAAGATACTGACCTAGACTCAGGATGCGTACATCTTCTGTGTTGTTCGTGGACTGTGACATTGTTAAGCGGCGAGCGTCTCTGTGGAAGGGATCAAAGTTCGGTTAGTAGCGAGAGTGGGCGCTTCATCGGGGCAACTGTATAAACATCAGGAGTACATGGATAATTGGTACTTTTCCTTATCGAGACTCTATTCCTCTTCTCATTTCCTTCTCCATAACACCATGAATAACAAATGTCCGTTTGTGTTGACCAACGTGACGCCGAGTGCAATAAAGTTGATAATTTCTATGTTTCTGCAGTTTCTCTGGTAAGTGATAGCCAGTCAAAGTCTCGAACTGCCGCCTGGACACGACACGACTGCTAGGAATTCACAGCCCTGGGTGATTTCAACGAGAGACTCGTATCATAACGCGACAAATATGTCAAGGCGACTCCGTTGGTTTAGAATTGGGCTGAGTACATTGGCACGAAAGGATTACACGCGTTGACGAGACAGCGTAGATCCAGCATTGCTATATTCTATGTCTCTACTCAAGACTCCACACAAGTTTCCTATACAGAACAGGTAGGGCCGGCATTATGGCCAATGTCGTCGAGGAGACAAGTTGACTTTGTTTGCCCGCGGTCGTTGGTCCTCGCCACCTTGGGTCGTCGACCAGACAAAGACTACGACGATACGCACCATTTTCCCACCAAGAAACTGGGTAACCGACTTGGAGTAACGAGGTTGTTACGCCAAAGCACTTGTCAAGGCAAACAGAGAGAAAGTTGGCAAGCAGTCATACGCACGAGTGGGCAAAAAGGAAGGGTATTGCTTCTAGGTGATAGCTTGAATGTGAATGAGGGAAATATCGTACTTCTGTTGATCTCCTCAGAGAACTATCCTCAACCTCGATTAGTATCCATCTTGAACAGAAAGCCTAACAACCATATTCTCGTACGAAGTTATGACCTGGTCTGGCTCCGGGGCAGTCATCAAGAAGACTGTAAAGCCCATTCGACCTCCCATGCCCTATATGAAACTTTACGTCACGTTTCGAAAACAGACAGCCTTCCGCACACACATTCTAAACGGGACTAAATTTGTCGTCGTCATGGCAGTAAGGGCAAGATAGCGGGGCCACGGAGAGGAGGCAGAGGTGACGCAACTTGCTGGAGATGTCGTCGCGTGGCGGACCGGCCGGATAGGATCGTATGTCTGATACGGACCTTTGATGGCTTTGCTTCGAGGGTCCATAATCTTTCATAGTAAGAATCCTAGTGGCGAACAAGGCGACTGAACAAGGCCGACGAGCGACAGGGCCGCAGGAAGTGAAGGATCTAACGCGTAATCGGTAGATATTGACTATAAATCTCATTATGTGCACGATTAGCGATTGTTGTGCTCGTTATCTATGCGCGAGAGCGCGAGAAGAAATGCAGAAAGCATGAAGTGAATCATGAAAGCGGAAGATATGACAAAAAGAGGCCGCTGAGCATTTATTTACCACTTTTTAAAGTGTAGAATACTAAAAACGACCCCATCGTTCAGAGACTGGCTCGCTCGTGACATGAAGGTGGGATCGCGTTACAATAGGTGACAATTTCCGTAAAGGGCTTTCTATCCTATGATTGTAATGTTTGGTACATGAGAGTAAGACGTTGCGCAGTGAGGTTCAATCAAATGCTTTCAGAGAAAAGATTGATTTATTGACGAAAGACAGTGCCAACTTCGAATGGTCTTTGACTAGATAGCGAGAATGAAGTATGGAGCCAAAGTTGTATGCAATGGCGCATATTCAATGATGTAGGCCGAATAGGTCATCCCATGCCTTGTGACTCAGGGATAGAGACGCGTTCTATTCTACCGAGTAAGACTTCGAATCAATATTTGTCAGAACAGTGACTGAGGAGCGATGTTCAAATTCACACACGTTTGTGTTGCTTATGCAACGACACAATAATAATTCCAGCCCGTACCAGGCTCGTCTCATCCTCAGGGTCCTTTGGCTCTTCGGTGGCAGTCAACGCGAAAAATTTGAGAGTGGTGAAGAAATTCCATATCTGCGAGTGATAGTGACAATTGGTTGGTAGTTTAGACTTCTAGTATGGTCTGATAATAGGTTAAAAGAGAGGATGCGGAGAGTGAGAGTAAAACAGATGGGTTTTATGCAGCGGTAGCAGCTATTCCATCCAAACAAGAAAAAAGTATCGTGAAAGAAGCGGAAATGTAGAATGATTTAATTAGGCACTCTGCGATGTAATGTAATGACGATCTTGGGTAAAAGCAGTTCGGCTCATCTCCGCTTGTCTTGACAAGATTCTGTAAATAGTTAGCCTTCCTGGAAATAGCAATATTGAAGACCAATCGTGAGCGTGATCTCATCCAACGCAATATCGAGCTATCCACC